AGGTTATTAAGAATATACTAACTATTATCCGCGCGGACACCTACGAATAACGACGGCTTTAATAGGCGCTCAGTACCGTCTAAGTCGGTATTGAGGATCGTCTCGAGATCGTTCTTCGGGTTTACTAAATAGTTATAAGGAAGCCGAGGATAAGCGGCGAGAGAAGGGTCGTGAATCTAATAGATAAGGTAGGGCTCGACGCGAGATAAGTGAAGAATTTCACGGAGCGCCTAGGGGATATCAAGAAGAACTAGATATAGGGGGGTAGCCTTAAGCGAGGACGTTAAGGAAGCGAGCGATAATAGGAGGGATATATTGGGGAGAGGCGTGATCGGAACTGGGGTTTCGCCAAGGCTAGGTCTTAGGCTATATATATGTACAGGATAGGTTCAGGCGCTGTGATTGGCTAGCGCGCGCTAGGCTGGAATACTTCTTCTTCTTGTCAGTGCTAGTAAGACAGTTAACTTAGAAAGCAATCAATCACTTAATCAATCAGTTGTAGAGATACCTACTTGTTCGGCTGTGTTGTTGTTGTTGTTGGTGGTGGTTGTGTGGTGTGTATACAGCTCCCCCTGCCCACGTACGAGTTGGCTCCCCATGGCCTTGAAGCCTCTCCCCAGTTCACTACCCTACTTGAATCTACTCGAGGCTAGACTAGGGGTACTTACGAGAAGACGGCGAGTAGACGCGGTAGATAGTAAGGAAACGGGAGGTTCTACGGCCTCGTACGATACGGATAAAACAGTATAGGAAATATAGGAAGAGAAAGAGAGATCGCTAAGTGGCTCGAGAGGATAGTACGCGCGTGTCGGTACGGTAAGAGACAGCAGTTTAGGCGCCCTTCTCGCACAAGGGGCTACGTAGAAAGCGCTAAAAGTGGTGTCGTCCTAGGGTTTTATCCTATCTCACTCGCACTGGGACCTAGAAAGCGCTAGAAGCGTGGTGGTGTCGCTCGCCTGGACGGGCTAATGAGCCTGCTTAAGGAGTAAACTGTGAGATACCTGGGCGTTGGAAGGGTCCGCTCCGCCCTTCCGCGTGGAAGCAAAGAATGCTGAAAACTAGTGGGTGGGTCGCTAGGGACCGCGTCGACACCCTATGTATAGTAACTATTCTGTAGTAGATAGGCGCGAATACATGTATTTCACGGGCCAATCGACATTCCGAACTTTTGCGAGACCCTTCGCAACTGTTAGTAACCGCCGGAAACACCGGGTAGGAGAAAACACACCAAGAGGACAATGCAGGCACGGCTGGAGTTGCGCTGGTAAGAGTTCTTGCGAGGCATGGTACGAAAGATGGTAAAGAAGAAGAAAGAGAAGATGCGAAGGAAAACGACTGAGACCTACTTATTGGCAAACGACACTAGTAAATGCTAATGGCACCCGCCAGCGACAACCAACACTAGCCTTGGCAGCAGGAACAATCTGAGGCTCCCGCAATGCACATTCACTTACCTCTCAATATCACCTCATATGGCAGACGAACCCAGAAGATATAAGTCGTAACTACTCGCAACCAGGAGACAAGATTTACAACCTGAGAGAGAAGTGAAACTAAGATGAACCCACTCTAAGGGACCCAGCAAAGGGAGACCCGACCTATACGGTACGCAACCACGCGTCCCCGATCGCAACCCCAGGAACGAAGGCACCCACCTGGGAGGTGTTGGACACGACACTGGCCACACAGGGCACGCTGGAGAATATCACAGCCGAGGCGACACGAAGCGGAACCAATCGCAACCAAGAAGAAACGGAAAGGGTTGAGAATGAAGGCCCCCTATAGGACAATGGGGGCATTACCAAGGGTCATAGGGAAGGTGACCAGAATGTGATTCTGAGGTGCCCGTAACGGCACGCAACGACCCGGTATAAAGCGAACCCTAGGAGGAGAGTGAAAAGGTAATAGGTTTTCTACCCCAGAGGGTTTTCTATCACAAACCAGAACAAGGAAGCTGACACGAGCCACATGAGAGGAGCGCGCAACTCGCATAGGAAAAGCAGACTCCTATTCAGCCCCAGGCTCAAGGGGAAGGGCTGAGTGGAAAGGCCACTCGGGATCGCCCTGAGCTCATACGGTCCGCATGAGAAAAGCATGCTTCTCGGGTGCGAGAAGCATCCTTTCTTCATACTATGAGTCTTGTCACTACTGGAGGTAAAGGATACTTATTACTACGGAATTCATCTATCGCTGAGTACTGCCTATCTTCAATAAGGCATCCTTGATACGTACGTTACTTCGCACGCAGCCTCGCGAGGCTGCGTACACAAGGTTTTTACGCGTAGAACTCAGGGGGTTTCGCGTACTAGACTTTCGAAGCTTCTAGTTTTACTAATTAAGCTTCGTTCGTAACGAAATTTAGATAGATCGATTTGCCTCGAGGAGAGCTTTCGATTGGCGCTAAATTCACAGTAAACGAAGAGCAATTGAAAAAGTTGTATGATGGTAAGGAAGAAAGAAATAAACTGAAGGGGAAATCGCAGAAAAAGACTAAAAGACGCTAAAATAAGCTTATTATGTAAGAAATAATTGGCTGCATTTTAGGAACACAAGGGATAGTGAGCCGTACAAGCGCGAGCGCGATTCGAGGACGAACCGCCTTAAGAGGGGGGATAATTGTCAGGACCCTCCTGACAAAAACTTCCTTATCTATTATAGCACCAGAGTTATCGCCGAATTGCGCGATACTCACGTCTTTTTGACCTAATACGCCAGGGTCGCATGGTGCTCGCCTGATACAGCAGCCATCATTCTAGGTGCCTTGTCTCCCGTTTGGGGCGGCGCTGGAATTCTGACAAGTAGAAGCAGAGATTAAAGAACGTCAAGGCTTAGCATATGTTCTAAGGTTTGGGGGCTCTAGGATGCGAGTGGCAGCAAGCACCTACAGACTTACAGGATCTGTGACACCGGCAGCGGCGAATACCAACGGACACTCAATATTGGCAGGGTACTCTACAACATATCATTCGACATCACAGGCTGGTGTCTTTACGCTGATATCGGTATCGTCGCCGTTGATACGTCATTAGCTTTTAGCATAACGCTAGGCCAAAGAGCCCGCGATACGAAGGCGTGGACCTGGGTCCAGATGGAGAGTGGATTACATGCAATTCAGAGAACGTTATATGGCTACCATCCGAGTACCGGCCATCGTGTTCAGCCGTGTCGGGGAGGACATGGGCATCGGCGTAGGATCTGGAAAGGTGTTGATGTGCAACTGTTAGTGCACCAGCTGTGAACATTGTTAGAAGCATCTGTGTGAAGTGTTTAAAATTCGTGCCGCTCTTAGAATGCTTTCTTGAATACGATACAGGAACGTATCACCACTATCATATAGCACTGAGCAGCGACTCCCCAGCAGTTGCGGTTACTCGGACGTACTAATAGTCCAAATAAGATCCTGCGGCAGCTTTGCCTACAACCACACTTGGTCTTTCCCTATGCCAGACTGACTTCCATCTTATACGGTCTCTACATGGACCGGAATCGTACCTTCAGAAAAGACAAAGGAATCATTCATTTCTTGGAAGAATGGGTGCCCTGACACTTTTCGCGATTCGTTCAACGCTACCTAGTCCGTGTTAAGAATTGGGACCCCCTGCGATTGAAATCTCCCGCACCACCAACTGGAGAGGGGTTGTCTTTGTATGGACATCGGAAATGACATGATCCTCGTCCCCTCGACGCCAGAGACGATATCACTCATGATTTGATGTCAGATCCCGAGCTATTTAGCTAGTCAGCGATGTGAGTCTAACGAAGTCTGGCAAGATCTTACCTGAGCCTGCAAGGCAAAGCTCACGGGCCAGCTCGATACCATGGGCGAGCTTCAGCTCTCTCCAGATCTGCGAGACTGTCAAACTTTGCTCCCATGCTAACCACCAGGTGAACATACGAGTACCAGATGTGTAGGCAAGGCGCAAGTTTTGCCAAATGGTGATGAGACCAAGGACGGTACCGACGACGCCAAACACGACGGTCCAGATGAGTTCCGCCGTCATATTGTCGATTGTGTTGTCGAATGCCGTCAAAGAGTTAGTTGGTATTGCGTGTCGTGGTTCCTGAAGTTTCTGCTCAAACAGTCAGAGGCACGGAGAGAGAGATATATACGTCGACTTTCCAGGCTTTGGCGCCAGCGTAGCGCTATGTTTGACAATGCGTCGAAGCCATTTCCTATCATTGCGGACAAAACCCTGGCGGAAAAATGAATCTCTTGTTTCTGGCAACCCTCAGATCAGACAGCCGCGTGAGATTTGGGAGCGCCAGGGCGAGGAACGAGAAGTATGCAGGGATATCATGTGTTATTGTCGCATTCGCCTTAGCTCGATAGCCATGGGCAAATCGGCTAACGGGTCGTCGAGTCCGGATCCACTGCGCCAGGGCATCTGTTGACTGATGATTGATGCCGTTGGCTCGTAAACTGCACCGGAACAGTCGTATGCGAGATATGACGCTCATTCAGCAGAGGCGGTTGTCTACTCAGACTTCTCACCTCTCAATCCACCAGATCTACGCTCAACCTTGTCGGTCAGATTAGTCGAGACTGGTTGATCATCTTATCGACCTATCCTCCCCGGTACACGATCTTCGCATTTATTGTCACCAGAACTTGCACCTTTTAATCGCGTTACCTCCGCAAGCATTTTCAACTTGTTATTCACAACGAGCCACATCTCAAGCGCCGCAACATGAGAAGACATCGATGCGATGTGTGTGGGCAGGGCTTGACCAGGTCAACGAAGCTCACCGAACACATGAGAAGACATACCAGGGAGAAGCCTTTCAAATGCAACTTCTCTACGTGCGGGAAAGCATTTGCAAGGCACGACGACTTGGCCAAACACAAAAAAACTCACGGGCAATCTCACAAGTTTTCGTGCCCTGGCTGCGATTACAAAACTCATAGGAGTAAAGACCTACAAAGACATCTGAGATCTCAAAAGGCAGAAAATTGCAGGCAGGCGGAAGCGGAGCAGGAACAACTTCAAGAGGATACTGTGATGAACGATGTGGCTCCTGCGACTGGAAATGAGGCGGTAACCCAGGAGCTCGGTCCTCGACCGTGGGTTGGAGTTCTTGCTCGAGAGGGCTTGCACACCATCCAGGACCCTGAAGGGATACCAACAGATCAAGACATCGAAGCGAAGTCTCGGCTCGACGTACTGCGAGAGCTATTGCGTTCTGGGCGGGATATGCATCTGTGTGGACGATTCTCGCAAGTTGATGCCGACCCAATCCTGTTCTCCGAGGAGATGGTACAAAACTACCGTCTAGAAAGACCAATCAATCCTCCTCTATATATGGAAGAACTTCCTCAGGCACCATTGAAAGAAGGACCGAACACTACTCATGTCGGGCTGACATCCGCCGAGCCGGATGCTGATCTCTTTGACTTGCGTGACGAGATATGTTTTCCAGCGGCGGCGGCAGCCGAAATCCTGACCAGCTTGAAGGATGACGAATCCAGCGAGGACCTCACGCAATTCAATGACACCTGGTCACAAAACCTCCCTGTCATGGACACCTTCCACCAAGAACATGGTCTCACTTGGTTGCCCATGCCCGATAATATACGACAACAATACCCTGTGCTACAGACATTTGAATGGTTGGCGGTGGCGCCGAACGTCCCCTTTGTGTCCGACTGCAACTGGTCGTTGGTGACAAGTCGGGGCAAAACCCTTGCCGTCGCGAACAACTGTGATTGTGGCGATCCTAGTCGTGCAGAGACTAACAGTGCCTTGGGTTCTTGCTGCTTTTGCTCCTTCTTTGAAGGCAGAATGCGGCGCCATGCCTCATCGTCATGCGACAAATCTGCATCGTTCAGGAAAAGCGTGTACGCACTGTTACCAAGAAAGGAGGCCATTTCGAAAGCGGCCGAACAGGGCCGGCCCGACGGGCAAGTCAGACGGCACCACTCATCACCTAGGCACCTCTGGGAACCTACCAAGGCTTCTACTAGCCTTGAATACGAAGTCTCCATGCTCACGCTGAGCCAGCAGAAGTAATCCGGATGATCACCCTGCACCACATTATCATTGAACTCTCGCTTGCAGTCTTGAGACGGCGAGCTGTTCAAGTCAGATCGCCACTTATCCTTGAATCTACTTGGTTTATGCGGGGGGTGTTTTACGCAGGATTTCTCCCTAATCATCTATATCGACTATCGGGGCCTTGGCCGTTTCCCATCGGTCCTCTCGCCGAAGTTCTCATCCTGGGCGAGTCCACGACACAACTCGTGCCGATCGGCTAGTGGGTACTGACCCCACACGCGCTTGTTACGGACATATCCCTTGGCACGAACGAGTTGAAAACGGCGTGTATCAGGATGTCTTCCAAGAATTGAACGACGTTGAGCAGATATGTGACAATATGCGAAAAAGGGTTTGTAGAGCTGGAAAGCTGGAAGTTTGATTTTGCATCTGGCGAACGCGGCCAATTTTTCCAACGGGATTTTGGTTTCAACTTGCAAAGTATTCCGAGTAAAATATGTATTTCGGCTTGAACGCATAAGAATTTGCATCATTTCATTATCATGAATAATCATGTTTTTCCTCCTTCGTACTCGCGTTCGCTCTGGCTCGCGAGGCAGACATGAGATAGGAAATGTTCATTAATTTTTCGTCGTGGTATTCAAAGCAGACATAACGATTGCCTGAGTCTTTCCAACTTCCCGAAGGCCTTTGGGCATGAGGCTCTGCGATAATCAAAATTCGAACATCGGAACGCGCAAATCGGGTGATGAAATGCTCGCTCGGCGACTTCGCCCACAAATGCTTAGTTCAATTCAATTCAATTCGCTCGACTCGACCTACTCAGCCCAAATCCCTCCACCGCCAGACGACTCGCGGTGCAGGGGATTTGGTCTTGACACGGACTCATTCGCGGTGCTGGCCGGAGTTTCCTGCTTCGGAAACGGTGATGTCGTGGGCGCTGTGAATGCAGATGACGGAGGTAGTGCAGGGAAATCGGCGTCGGCAGACACGTCGGGTTGATGTTGGGCGTGCGAAGTCCAACCGTCGCTGCCACCGCCGTAACCATGTTGTCCGCGGAATCCACCGCGCCCGCCTCTACCTCCTCCGCGACCACCTCGTCCTCGACCACCTCGACGACTCCCTCGTGCCACTCGTACTTCCTAAGATCGTCCTCTTCGGCAGAAAAAGGTCGTGGATCGAAATTCCTGCGTCCACCTCCCCTCCCATCGATGACCTGATCGTCCTTGTCCCGATCCCACTCTCTCCCTTCCCTACCGCCCAATTTTCTAGGCCGGTCGCGTCCCCGCTCTCCTTCTAGAGCACGGCGGTCTTTCCGTTCAATTTCCCGCTTCTCCTTGGCTATGCGTTCGCGTTCTTCGAAGCTCGCCGCGTCAGCTTGGGCGCGCGTGTGCGGCGGCTAGGTTTTGTGAGCGTTCTTTCGCAGCGGCGAGTTTTGCTGTGAGTTCTTCATCAGTGAGTTTGGTGCGCGCGACCCCGCCAGTGAGGGTTCAGTCGCCGCGTACGGCGGGGGTTTTGAGTGTGGATGCAGGATTCGAGGGACCTGTTAGGGCATTTAACGGTGCAGTGTTGGCAGATGTGGTATCTCCAGCAGAAGCTTCCGCTGGTTGATCTGTGATAGTTGTGTCCGACTGTGTCGTGGAAAGCTGAGCTGCTTCTTCAGTCAACGGTTTTGAAGCATTGTTCGTACGCTGGGCCGGCTTCGCAGACTCAGCAGGTTTTGTAGCCCATTTTGAATCCTCCAATCCAGTGGATGGCTTTTTCGGACCTCCACCACGTCCTGTTGCAGATCCTCCTCTTCCTCTTTGTTTCTATCTGGAACCCGGAAATGGAGCGTCGGATGGTGTCGACTGAGGTGGTGCTGCTGCGGAGACAGCCTCCGACTGAGGTGGTGCTGCTGCGGAGACAGCCTCGACAGGAGGAGGGACTGGCGTGGGCTCTAGTGAGACTTGCGCAAGCTCGGTGGTAATTTTACCATGAGGAGGATCCTCAATAGGAATGATTTCGTCGTCAAAGAGATCGTCGCCGCCGCGGGATTGCGAAAAGTCTCCCATAGCAGCAAGGCAGTACGTGGATGTCTTGAGAGCAGCGTTCGACTCCAGAGAGGGTAAATAAATATATATTTTCTTAGATATTTGAATGTAGAGAAAGATGTGAGTGTCTAAAGCTCGTGGCGTGTTGATGTAGTATTTCAGTTCCTGAGACTCGAGCATCTGCAAACTTTTGGAACTTTTGTTTTACTCCGCGTTTGGCGGCGTTGGAGAAACTCCGGCAGATCAAATGGACACAAACTCTCCTGCAACATCCAGAACATCGCACTTGAAGTGCACTTTCACTTTTTCATTTCGCCCTCACCTTCAACTGATTCTTTTCAATTCTACATCAACAGCACATTGAACCTGCAACTTCAGGCTTCTCCAAGTCAGCTTAACCTCCTATCTTCACTGTTTTTACGTTCACGCAAGCTCTATGCCTCCTCACTGTTACTTGTTGGCCTCGCGAATGGCCTCCCAGTCAGCGGTGAAATGGGCCTCCCAGTCGGCTTGTCGCTCGCGCAGCCCTCGGCCGTGCTCCCTCACTGCTCCCCCGGCGCTCCCCGAACTCTGCCGTGGCTCCCTCGATGCTCTTCCGTGCTCGGCCAGCTGCCCCCGATGCTCCGTCACGTGCGCGATTAAAGTGGCCTCGCTCCCTTTCCTAAACGAAAATAGTAATGGACGAAGCACAGTTCGGGGCATATATAATATGTATATATATACATATATTTAACTTAGAGATCAGCCACATATATCATCCAAACCCTTACTAAGGTCATACATCCTACATCCCTAACTTTCCCATTCATCGGAGGTAATAGTGACCAGCACGACATGCTCGACATGCTCGACATGCTTAGAACGCCCGGTGCCGCTCCGCCTCTTTCCCTGGTGGCGTCGGCTCAGCATGACGGGCAAACAGTCTCCTCAAGCCCTTGTTGACGACCATGTCCATGGCGCGCGCGGGGCCTTTGGCGAGGCTCGAGATGCTGATCCGTCTGACGCGGAAGAGGTAGTAGAGGAAAATGCAGGCGAAGATCTGTCCATTCCCCACAGAAAGTGTCAGCAACGGCGGTTCGGGAAGAGGGTGGAAATGTTTCTGGTTTAAATGGGAACTCACGTTGAAGAATATATATGCAAACCCCAATCCAAAATTCCTCCATCGGTCGCTGGGGTAGATCTTGCTGGCGGCCAGGAACTGGTCCGCCGACGTGAGCGGGCAGTACTGGCACTGGCTGGTCGCGTGCGGGTTGTATAATTGGCCGGGAGCACCGTGGTCAAAGTACGCGGCCAGATACTGCGCACAGGTTTGGCCGGAGGGCGGGTCGAATGTGGCCAGTTCGTTCTGTGCACAGTGGACGAGGCGACCGTGGAGACCGGTACCGGCCCAGCCCGAGATGAGGTAGGTCATGGGTGACACTCGATCTGGAAAGGAAATCAATTGTTAGACTCAAAGATGGGGGGCAAGTAGGCGGACAAGGAGAGGGGGGTCAAAACATACACATGAAGATCCAAAATCCGGGCAAAGCAGAGGGGCTCTGCAAGACACCGTTGAACGTGAGCATCATACTAAACAACAGCGTCGCAATATTCCCCGCCGTCTCCGCGTCAGGCATTGCCGCAATGATCATGTGTGAAAAGGTGCTGGTGAAGACCATGAACTGGATCACGAAAAGCAGCATCAACCCCCTCGTTTCGTTATCTTGGTTCTTGCCGAAGATGGCAAAGTACCACGAAATCCACATGAGGATGGCCAGAACGATCTGGTAAGGAATTTCGACGACGATGTTGGCTACGAGAAATGCGATCCACGAATATGCCTTGGATGGACGCTCTCGGACTTCGTAGAGGGATCGTTGAATGACGAACCGAGGCATGATTTGTTGGACCAGGGATGAAAAGATCCTGTAGATGTCAGTAGAGTACGTGTCATGGCGCAAGGTTCAACTGACGTGACAAGCATAAAAATACCGAATATAGTGTTCTGCAGACCGGTCGAGGTGGTGTTCTGTTTATAGAATGAGAAGCCGATGAATAATGCGGACATGATCCCCAAGAGAAATCTGTAGAACGTCAGACTCGGTGGATCCGGCAAAGCGATGTAGGACCATTACTTACTTGCCACTGATATAAGATGGCGTTCTCCAATATTGTTGAAACACTCGGTGAGTGACATGGTAGATCTGAGCAGTGAGCGGCATGGCAAATTCGGACGTTGAGGATGCGTCTCCTGCCGGCTCTGATTGCTTAGCCTGTTGAATTCGATCCAGTTCTGCCTGCACCTCTTTAGCTTCGGGCGTCGTCTTCCACACCTCGCTCCAGTCACGGTCAGCCTTCTTCCCGCAGATGTCGAGCATATATTCGGCAGGGTTGGCATCATCGTCGCACTTGGGGGCACCGTTCTTTTCAAAGTAATCCAACAGAGTCCTGGAGTTCTTGCCGATATCGCCGAAGTAAATTGTCTTGCCCCCTTTCATCAGGAAAAGCAGTCGGTCAAACTCTTGGAAAAGGATAGCCGAAGGCTGATGGATAGTACAAAGAATCGCTTGCCCTGAATCTGCGAGCTTGCGAAGGAAGGCAACAATCGACCAAGAACTCTGGGAATCCAAGCCTGAGGTGGGTTCGTCGAGGAAAATGAGGAGTGCTGGCTTCGCTGCCAGTTCGACGCCGATCGTGAGGAGTTTACGTTGCTCAACATTGAGGCCTTCTCCTGGATTTCCAACGATAGCCTCTGCAAAATCTTCCATGTTGAGCATCTTGATGACTTCTTCAACAAAGTTATCCTTCTCCTTCTTTGTGACTGATTTTGGTTGCCGAAGGTAAGCTGAAAATCGAAGCGCTTCTCGAACGGTGGTGGTTTCCAGGTGAAGGTCTTGTTGCTGCACATAGCCTGTCTTCCGTTGAAAAGAGCGATCGAGGGGCTTGCCGTTTACGAGCTGGCAACAGAATTAATGTCAAAGAGCTGATCTAAAGCCAGCTGAGTTGAAGACTTACCATATCGCCCGTCAAAACACCTATGCTGATACGCTGTGCTAAGGCATCCAGCAAGGTGGTCTTGCCAGCTCCTGATGTCCCCATAAGGGCGGTCAAGGTACCAGGCTTAACCCATCCCGAGACGCCATCGAGTAGTCTTCGAGGCTCACCCTTGATTTTGATGTCAAGAGTCACATTACGCCAAGTGAAGATATCCTTTTGCGCAGGTAGAGCCTTCACTTCCTCGCTTTGCTTCTCATCGACTGGATTGACCGATGCCAAGCCCTTTTCGTCGGCTTGTACGCGCTCCTCATCATTCTTGACGCCTTGTAGGTATGACGGGACATGCCCTCTTCTGAAGACCAGAAACTCCGCGGTCGAGGTTGTGTCGGAGTTGATTTCAGTAGCGATGAAATAAATTGCGAAGAAGAATATCATGAAGGCGAATAGAAAGCCGAGATTGCGCCATATGTGGCTATAAGAGTATCCATAGGACGAGTGCACCCATGAATCTCCGGAAACGGTGGTTTGACCGGCCACAGAGCCGGCGACGGCGCATTGGAAATGGTCGCCAGTGCCGTAGGGTGGAACTAAGCTGGTAGGGGCACAGGGGAAGCGGCGGCCATGGACTTCATTGACAAGGAGCGATTCGAAAGCGTAGGCGATTGGGTTGATCCAGGAAGTCCATTTGAACCAGGGATGCATGAAAGACCTTTGCAGGGTGAAGCCCGTGTCTGGTATGACGTTAGCTTGGGAGGGTTGTATGGAAGACTAACGATTGAAGGACATCCCCAGCACAACAGGTTCAAGAGCACTTACATATAACAATCCAAAGGACCATCACACCAGCAATGGCCAAAGCGGCTGAAATGGTTTTCGTGACTGCTGCCGTCGTTCGGAAGATCGCTGACATGGTCAACATGGCCACAAAGTTGAAGAGGAAGAAGATGAAGAAATTTGACGCCCTGTATCTCAACCCAGCCAGGAAATACAGAATGATGTTGAATACAGTAGTTGTGCAGAATTTTATGGGCAAATCCGCCACAATACCTGCAACAGCCTCAGTGAAGGGATGGTAGAAGGCATACGATTTGTGTTTGGCGACAATCGGTCTTTGGCTGTATAAGGTGTTGATCTCGACGATCGATTGCAGAGCACTGAGCAAGACGGCGAAGAAGAGGACAGAGCCTTTGGCGAAGAAGCTGCCGGTAGAGAGTGGAGTGCCAAAAAAGATGGACCCTATGATTAGAGCTTGTGCGATTTGGCTGAAGATGACCGCGCTGAACCGGGCGTTAGCTTGGCTGCGAAGTCGTGAGATAACGAGTGCGTGAGCGTGACTTACATGGATGCTGCTTTGTCGTTCCAGAGTCGCTGGTATGCTCGAGTAACGCAAAGGCGAATTTGCATAGGAATGCTTATCACATATGGTGATTTTGGGCGCACATGGGCGGCTTGCTGCTGTTGGTGGGATTCTCTGAATGCCTGGAGAGCTTCTTCTCCGTCGGCCTCGACTTCTTCCGCATGTTTGGCTTCCTCTTGCGATGCCTTGTATTGAGGGCTTTCCAGCCAATAGTTCTCAAATTCCGCAGCCGTACGGGGCACCTTGTTCTCAAACCCTCCTCTGGGTTGCCTCTCTCGGGGATTGGTAACGGACCTAGAATGATGCCCTCAGTAAGTTCATCTCTTGCAGCAGTTTATTGAAGTTGGTTACAGAACGTACGTCAAGAAGTCGCCTGTGGTTTGTCTAGGAGGACAATACCAGCCCATGTCTTCGAAATATGCCCGAGCCTCATCGCAAGGTCCAAAGTAAATCTGTCTGCCTTCGTAGAGCACGATTGCCTTGTCGCACAAGTCGTAGATGGCCTGTGAAGCCTGGTAGATTGCGATGAGGGAAGTGAGGCCTGCGAAGTCTGCGGCGATTCTGAGCGAGCGAACGAATTCAAGAGCAGTTTGCGAGTCAAGGCCACGAGTGGAGTTGTCCCATGCTGCAATGGGCGAACCTGCAAGAGATACTGAGCATGTGCGTATGGAGAAGTTCGAATCCCTCTCACCTGCCAGAGCCATCTCGGCGATGCTAACACGTTTTCGCTCTCCACCGCTAACGCCACGGACGAAGTCGTCTCCAACTTTGGTGTTACGAGTGTGTGCTAATGTGAGGTCAGTTCGGATTCCCAAGTGAGCCTCTTACACGATCTTAGCAACTTACACAAACCGAAGATGTTCATCATAACAGATGCCATGTATTTGGCCCATTCATCTCGAGGAACATCAAGAATTCTGTTGGATGGAGTACGGCAGGCGGCGGCAAAGTTGAGAGTCTCCCCCACCGTCAAGTGAGGGAAATGCTTTTCATTCTCTTGATTGTATATTGCCTCGCCTCTGAACTCTTTCACGAACAGCTCCTGTGGTATCCCACTGTAGGTGATTTTGGAGTCCTTGGAGATCTGCAGACCCTGGAGCTCTCCGCAGATGGTCTTGAGGAATGTAGAACAGCCACTGCCAGGTCGACCAAGGACAATGAGCAACTCGCCGCTGTTGACGTGTCCATTGAAATTGCGTAGTATTTGTTTCTCGACAGGATGCTGGAAAAGCTCGCGAATGCGGAAAGGTTGCATAAAGATGGATCCGACATTTTGCTGGAGTACAAGAGCAGAACCCTTCCCTGAAACACCGAGATTCCTGAAAGTGAAGCCAGATCTTCGCAATTTGATGTTTTGCTGTTCGAGAAGTTGGAGAAACTTGCGGATCCATAGGAAGAAATTGAATGCGGGATTGTTGGGATCGAATTCAGGCGACTCAATGCCCATGCCCGCTACAGTGTCCTGTCTCTGTAGGCCATCGCTGGTAATCGTGCGAGTTCGAGCTCCGGACAGAATGGATGCAATCCTCGCAAGCTCATCGCGTTGTGTTTGTTCTTCATCGTCGAAGCGGTAGTCGTCCGTGTCTCTGGTTTTTCGGGTTCGGATTGGCTCGAATGCTGGCCCTTCAGAGCTACTTGTCGATACCTCGCGCTCCAGAGAGTCGTGGGTTAGGCGAGGGTGGATCGCTTCATCTCCTTCACCCATAGTGTCGATATCGATGGAGCCCTCACACTAGAATGTAGAGAGAGCGTGGAAAGAAGAGATTGCAAAGTAGAGTTCGAAACTGAGCTCTCAAAAAGCTCGAAGACACTCGCTTTTGGACTGTCTCGTCCTGAGAGCTGCGAACCAAAAGCGTGAGCAGTCGGAGAAAGACTATATAGGTTGCGGCAGAGACATTTCATGAGCGTTGTCGATGCTAGAGCAGGTGTCAATGAGATCAGAGTAATACGAGTCGAAGGAGGTAGTCGCCCGGACCAGATGCGACGGACTATACCCGCTTAGCTCCTGTTCCCACCAAACACGAGTAGATGTCGAAGCCGAATAACAGGGTGCCCCATTGGAGGAGAGTATGTAGTATTTCTCGGCTGCTGGAACGATGGAATCCTTGCATAAGCCCCTCGGCCGTCATGGACTCATGGGCCACACCAAACAGCCCGGCAAGGCTCAAGATTTCGCCCAGGCCAAGGGTCTACGCAAGCCCCGCCACGGCTTGGAAGATCCCGCTCGAAGATCCAATTTGTGAATGTGAACCATTGTCCCCACCATTGTTGATGCTCAGGAACAACCCGATACAATAACATGTCCGCCGTGTTAGATTATGCCATAGCACTGAAAAATGCGGGACGCTGGAGGCCTCAAATCTGGCGTTGTCCACGCAGCGGCTGGTCACTGTTGAGGGAGCACCGATACGCGCCGCGTCCAGGGCAAATTCCGACGGGGCCCTAAGAGGCTCGGGGCCTCGTGTCTGTTATGTTACTTAAGGCCTTACATAATGGTGCTTAGGCTCGGCTGCCACCCTGCTGCCTTCCTGAAAGGTCGGAAAGGAACAGTTGGCATGGGTGAAGCGTTGTCATCAGGGTTTAGCGTCGCTTACTGCGCTGCAGCAGGAACGCAAGATTGCTGTACTCGTACTCGGTACTGTCGGAGGAACCAGCGCCCGCGGCCAAAGGCAGCCAAGGTGGCAATAGGCTTGTGCACGGTGCACTAAGAATGGATCTCCGGAGCGCAGAAGGGGGACTATTCCGATTTCAAGTGCCCACCAGCGTTGACACGAACGGAAGATGGAAGCTGGGGAGATGATTGATTTGTGCAGAGTCGGAAAGGTTGATGCAAGCACCGAATCAGAGAATTCGCAAGGACACAGGATGGAGGCAAGGATGAGGACAGAGTTTTTTCCCCTGTGCGGCTGAAGAGTGAAGAACAAACAATTAATAATTGAGGGAAACACGAGTAGCCAGAGGCCCAGAGGGTGTACCTACTACCTACCTAAGGTACAGTACCTAGTAGGGAGCGTGCCTAGCTGAGTGCCACTCACCCAATGCACTGTGCCTGCAGTGACGACAAGATGATGCCAAGCCCCAACATCCGAATCCGGCGGCGCGGCGGGAACATTTGTCGCCTCGGCCGAGCATTTGCCCATTGCGCCTCCCTCGCATCGCAACACAACACAACACTATCCAAACTCATACAATCATCAAGTTAGTTGGCGATACGAAATACGCCCCCTGCCGCCACCAAAACAAACTCTATCGTCATCTCGCTCGTGGCACGATGATCAAATGTCGTTGCCTGGTCTTGGGCTAGAAGAGCCAGAAGAGGTTCACACTGTCGAGGCCACCCAACACGAACTCACACAGGAGACGGAATGGCGCTTCGAGGTCGCCGTGGGCAAATATGTCCAGGTCAAGGTGAGCTCAGCCTTCCTCACTGTTGCCGCTTGTGAATCTCCTCTCTCTAATGCATGGTCCCCGCAGTTGTTGACTGGGTCTGCTGAGCTGTTTGGAACTGAACTGGTGATCGGGAACACCTATACCTTTACAGGCACAAAGGCTGCCATTTACACTTGGAATGGCTGTTTATTCCAGGTCAGCGGTGATGCCCTGCAAAGCGAGTACATCGCCGAAGAAACCCCCATGAGCGAGTACATCAACACCCATTTCAGTCTCGAAAGTCTGCGAAGTCAAGCTCAAGCTACTGGACATGAAGGCCCGCGAGTCTTGATCTTGGGCCCTGAAAATGCAGGCAAAACCTCTCTTGCCAAAATCCTGACAGGCTACGCTTCTCGATCTGCCCGGTCCCCAGTCGTGGTCAACCTGGACGTCAAGGAAGGTGTCATGAGCATCCCGGGCACCCTGACTGCGACCGTCTTCAAAACCCTGATGGACGTCGAAGAAGGATGGGGAACTGCGCCAATGTCGGGCCCCAACGGCGCCATCCCCGTCAAGTTACCACTCGTCTACTTCTTCGGCAGTTCGAAACCAGAGGAAAAGGAAGGTAGGGTCTACAAAGCCCAGATGAACCGGTTGGCTCTCGCAGTGGCGGGACGCAGAGCTCAAGACCCGGAAGCCAGAGAAAGTGGTATCATCATCGACACACCGGGAAGTCTGACTGCGTTGAAATCCGGCAATACCGTCGGATACGATATTATCCAGGACATCGTCTCCGAATTTGCCGTCTCGGCCATCATCTGCATGGGCTCAGAGAGACTGTACAGTGACATGGTCAAAAGATTCGACGGACAGCCCACCGCATTTCGACCCGCATCGTCGTCGACCACGACAACAAAAGCAGACACAATCTCTGTCATCAAACTTGCCAAGTCTGGCGGCTGCGTCGACCGCGACGAAGCATTCATGACCGCCTTTCGCGCCGCACAAATCAAGACGTATTTCTACGGCAACGCGCGGCTGAGCAACGGTATCTCGCTCCAACCTCGTCATCAGCAGGTGGATTTCTCTACATTGACCGTCTGGCGCCGCATCGGGACCACGCCTGACCCCTTTTCAGCAGCAGCCAGCCTGGACCCAGACGACGAGGATTCGTTCCTACCCGGCGGAACAGGCGACGACGCTGATGAGACGTCTCCGTCCAAGGTCCCGCTCCCCGAATCGCAGATATTTGAACGCATGACCAGCCCCATTGCGGCGATGCGCAGTTCCGTCCTTGCGGTGATGAACTGCGACGGGGAAGCCGAGCAGGAAGTCATTCGCGACAGCACCGTGATGGGGTTTCTGTATGTCACAGATACAGATGAAGCTAGAGGACGCATCAGTCTGTTGAGTCCCGTTGCAGGGCGAGTGCCGAGCAGGGCGATTGTATGGGCGGGCTGGCCGGAAAGCGTTATCGGGTTGGAAAGGACGTGATCTAATACAGGAGCCTCAAAAAAATGAAAAAGGAAAAGTCGTCACCTGGGAGGATTTGGGCCCCGTATCAAGCATGCACCAGAATCGAGAATAGAGAAATCAAATGGTTTCAATTACAAGTAGTATCGACTTTTTTCGGCATCTGGATTCTGTGGTCTCTCTTACAATATTTTACATTGCCCACGTAGATTGTAGGTTATTTCTACCAGCCGTCCTTCTAATCGTGTTCTTGACAGCCGAGCGACGCATCACCGGTACAAAGAGACAACGGCCGCTCCCTCCCTCTTGCTTACTCTCCCTCGACCAAATCGCGCAGAAGACGTAGCAGACTCCGGATGCCGGTGAGGGCATTCTGGTCGGGCCCTTCGCCCGGCGTCCATCTCGCGTGGGCAAAGTCAATGAGCCGCAGTTCGTGTACTTTGTGCGGTCGTACATCCTCATCATCATCGTCGTCCTCCTCCTCGTCGTCATCTTCGTCCTGTTGCTCCGGCATGTCCTCCTCCTCTTTCGCAATGCTGGCCTCCAGCGTCTCCGGGTCTCCTTCATATACCATCAACACGCTGGCGCTGTACATCCTACTCTCCTCGTCTTCTAGCACGTACTGCACACTCTCTGTTTCCCTGATGAAGCGGCGGATAAGGAATTCGGCGCGTGGGTGCTTGAAGCGGACTTTCTTCTTGGTGGTCGTGGGGTCATCCTGGACAACCGCGCCGCCAAAGTACGTCTTGAAGGCGTCCACGACGGTCTCCGCCGAGAAGGACTGTCCGTAGAACTTGTTGTAGGATTTGTACCCGTTCTTGACTTCCACGTACTCTTTCTCGGTTGGGGCCACCTCGACTTCTTGGGATTCTGGCTCCGTGCCCGCCCACAACTTCATGCCCGCGAGACGAAACCCTAGACTTCCACTCGTGGTCCTCGCCGCCACATCATCGAGTTTCCTCCTCTTGGCCATCGGGGCGTCGTCATCCCACAGTCTAACGCCGAGTTTGACGTCCAACACGTTTGGGTGCTTGAACCCGGACACGACATTTTCCAGCACGATCGCCAAGCCCGTGGAGATTTTCTTGCCGCCAGAAGGTTTCCACGATGTGCGCCTATTAAGGCCCGGGCTGGCCCCCTGTGCTGCTGCTGGTGCGACCACCCCGTCCACGTGTGGAGGTGCAGGTGCAGCCGCTACGCCGTCTTGAGAAGACTGCAGCAGCGGTGCAACGGCTTCTTGGTCGTCGTGTTGTGAGAGAGACCCGAGGAAGGTGGGCATGTGGGCTTGGAATAAAGGGTGATCTTTGGCGGACTCGTAGAAGTCGATCTCGGCTTGCGTGCAGGGCTTGATGATGAGGGAGCCCGAGAGGTTGGAGCTGATGCCGTCACTGTGTGGAAGAAAGTCCTGTCAGTATCACAGAAGACGAACCACTGGGAGGAGATATGCTTACTGTCCAGCTGCGGTGTGGTCGAATGCCACCAGCTCGGACTCGGAGAGCATTGCTGCCACCCTTTTGGTTGGATGTGCTGAGGAATCGCTCTCCATGTAGGACAGGTTTGCGGAGGAGACACTGAGAAGCTCCGGTAGGGAGGGAATTCACGGCAAGGTAGGAAGAACCATGAGGATCTGGATCACGTTGACAGCTGCCAACTATGAACCGAAGCAGTACATGTGAATAGATATACGTGATTGTGTGCAGTGGGCATGGACATTTCTCGAAGTTCTCCAGTTCTCCAGTTCTCGCACTTGAGCTGCCCGCCCAGATGCGGAGACGATTGGCGGAAAGGTCGAGACGCTGTCCAAAGTCTGTCGTTAGTCGCAGCAAGCTTCTTTTGATCTTTCAGCCTCGCTATTACAGTCTGAAGATCCAAATGGAAATCAGGATGGGCTTCCTGAAGATGTGAGATTGGAGAGTGAATTATGTAACACCACCTCAACCGCGTTGCCGCACTGTGGCCTCCTGCAGATATGATTGTTTGCTAATTCAACATTCACCTCCGGCGGCACAATCAATAATGCTTCAACCTGTATCACTTGGATCTACCTACCCATTCAATATTGCAGTGAATTGTCAAGGTCTTTCTCCGGGATCTCATTTATCTGCAGCTCTCTCGACTTTCATCTTGAACACTATTTTCTTGCCTTCCCGTCTCTCTCTCTCACACACGTCTAATATCCTGCTGAGAAAAAATGTCCCAGACCCAAGAATCACCCGAGCAAAGTGACATGTCAGCACAGGATTCTAAGCCAGTGGTCAACGAAGCTGATCTCAAAACCACCGCTGCTATGAACAACTCCGAGACGACAGAACTTCCGCTAAGGCCGAAAACGAACACCACCGCGTCCACTGAGACTCGTGATTCAGCTCAACCCACTCAGCAGCCCGTGGCAGGCGAAGGGGACGAGAATGGTGGTGACCAAGAAGACCAAGACGGTCATGACTACGGCGAAGTGACCAATGTTCCCCCAGCCGAGATGAAAAAGAAGAAGAAAAAGAAAAGGAGCAAGCCAGCGAGTAAACGCGGGCCGGTAAGGCTTTTCGGTCTGACACTAAGCAGGAAGAAGGACAATTGTGGCTGACAACCGTCTTAAAAGACCAAACCCACTGGGTTTGAGGACTACTTCGCAGACCCTCCCTTGACACCAGAAGAGCATGCTGAGGAGCAAGAAATCTATCATCCGTGAGTTTCTACTAGAGAAGTAATGGTCCAGGTCTTCTAACCATTGCGCTCTTCGGGCAGCGGTCTTCCCTTCGTGGACAGAATCACTACAGCCATAGCACGCTTCGAAAGAACCCGGAAACTCGCTCCCGAGCGTAGTGATGTCCTGTACAAATATCTCATCTACGGCGGCTTGGCAAGAACCAACAATGTCGGCCAAGGAGGCCTCGACACCGAAGGCATGGACAAGACCCAGGCCGCACTTGCACTCTCCCAGGTTTGGATCAGTGAGGACAAGCGAGACCTGGGCACTGAGACCAGTGTCTATGCGGTCGACTTCCTCGGCTGTGTCAAGGGTTTCTTGAGCCGTCGCGTGAAGAACTGTCTTGGTCTCGACACCGAGGACGAGGTCAATATGATCTGCACCACCCTGGAGAGATTTCTGGACTACCTCCTCCAGCACGACGTCTGTCCCGAATACCACGAGGACGTGCTCGCCGCACGCGCGCTGTGCCGCAAGGCCGCCCCCGAGCTCTGGGACATGTACGAAGCGACGCGCCGCCTGCCGGGCGAGTTCAACATTGCATGCTCGAGCATCTTCGACGGCAGCTACTCGCGCGACTACGACGGAGAAACATGGTGGGGTGATCCAAACACCGACGGACCCGTCTTCGTGGGGTTGAAGCCTGAAGAAGCACAGCAGATCGTCAAGTTCGGCGTAGCAGGTGCCGCTGCCGAGGAGATCTATGCCGCATTTCTCTCGGGAGTGCAGGGCACCAGTCCCAAAATGTTGGAGGTCGTCGACACGCACGAACGCACGGGTTTTGAAATCACCCGCTTGGAGCCTCCCACCAGGGAATGCGAACGGATCTACACAACGTACTCGCAGCACTTCCGCCCCGTAGGCCGCGTCTACGCCAAACCATGGAAGAACCCGGACGCTGCCCCCGAAGACCTCACGCCGTCTGAACAGCAAGAGCATGCATTATTATCCACGTCGTCCATCTCGTCGTCTGACCACCTGCAGGATGGAGGGATTGAATACGTCTTCTTCATCGAAGCAATCCTCCAGTCCTGCCTGCGCGTCGGCACCAAAATCGAAGCCACGGTGCGAACTTTGGGATGCGGCATCATGTTCTTCGACGAGGTGCTGAATGTGTACCCCACATTCGACGAGTTTCTGGTCAACGAGTTGATGGTGGGGTGGAAGTCGCCTAAGCCCGTCAAGGGCGCGTTGGACTATGTTGCTGGGGATTACAGTGATGGCGGAGGAGAAGACGGCAGTGATGGTGATGGTGATTGAAGATGGGAAGAATGTGAGCAGTTGGGTCGGGCGAAAAGGTGCAGTCGGAGCGATGGTCCAGCATTGGATGTCAAGGAGAAAATAGCACGTCCTTTTACATGGGGAATTGTGGATGATATTGGCGTCCTCGCGTCCTAGACTGAAAAGCTTTTATTGAGACTTTGCTGAGCCAAGTTCCCATACCTACAAGTCCAGTCCTCGACTATTGAAGCTCTTCTTGCGATCCAGACCCTATTTACTACCAAGTGAAACTGAAGACAGACGATGCCATCCTCGCCACTGTCAGCGGCGTCCCCTCGGCCCCAACGCAGCAAACCCAGATAGATCCCGAGAGTCGGCTGCTTATAGAACAAGCGGCGACCACCCATCTTACCAAGAGTCCGGTACGTGGCGTGGGCTTTCTCTTTCCAAAACTCACCCCTGAGCCCAGATGCCTGGTATCTCTTGCTAGCAGATGGCAGGTGACAGGCAAGCCTGGTACTTGATGTCCAATCCTCGATCCCAGCCAGTGATCGGAATCCCGGGCATCAGCTTCGAGATACAGAACAGTGAAGGGGGAAAAGGGGGAAAGAGAACAAGGCAGAAAGAGTATGTGTATATAATATGTCTTCCCAACATACACACAAGCATACCTGCACACGGCATGCACGCACACCCCAACCCATCCACACTGAAGCCGAACGGTCAGGCCTGATACTCGCTGCTCATGTATATCTGGAGCAGGCAGGCCATGCCCTAGACTCTTTCTTCCTCGTCGAACTCGCCATCGCAACCATAATCCCATTTGTTCATGAACCTAAAACACCCTTGTAGAGTTCCAACGTCGAGGATCTCTTCAAATCATGTCGTTGAGTCCCATCAACACTCCAAGGGCACCCGCCTCCCATATGTCCAAATCCTGCGCAATATGAAAACTTTTTGGGTCCTTGTTCTGACTTCCTTATTCTTTTGTATTGACCCCGTCTTGCTGCTGGAGCTTGGTGGCCCAGTCTGTCTGTCAAATCAGTCGAAATCCTAGCTCAACCGGTGCAACACCTTTTTGCCCAGCATCAACACACTCCCCCGTTTTTTGGTCTCCGCGTCGCTGTCTGTGCCCAACCCGCCGGCACCTCCAACAACTCCACCAGCGACGCTTCCTGCCGAACCTTCTTCATTTCCACCAACTTCTCTTTCCCTCTCCTTGGTGCTAGGAGTGTGGCTGCCACGACTGTCGCTCCTCTCTCGGTGCGAATGACTTTCACTTTTGATCAATGAGAGTCCACCGAAATGCACTCTTCCTTTCACCGTGTCTCCAGAGAAATGTCTCCCGATCGTGTCCTTTAGTAGACCTCTGCTTGGGGTCGAAGGGGAATTGTTGGGACTGTTGAGATTCGGACTGGAGTTTGTTGCGGAGCTCGGATGCGCAGATCGCGGTCGTGAAAAGAACGAGGATGTGTTATTGACGACTCCATTTCCACCAACGGCTCCTCCGCCACCTCCGCCAGCAGTGCTGGGGACTGAACGTGGTGTGGTACCTATGAGTGTCCCACTACCCGTGGCCCCCATAGATGGTAGATTGATGCTCGAAGACCACGACCCGCTCCGCAGTAAGGGGCTAGGCCCATGGAAAGTGCCTCCCTTGTGATGCCCATTCGTTCCGGGCGGCGACTGAAATGATATACCCGAGGACTCGAAATCATCATCCCTCCCGTCCTGCGAGAAGCTATACAGACTTGTCGTCTCTGAAGTTCCTGAGAGCTGAAGATTAATGTCTGAATTCGCAATGGTGCTTGAATGCGCTATCTCTTTGAGTCGTTCGACCTGTTTCTTACTGGGTCGGTGATGCGAGAATTTGTTCCCAATAATCGCTCCAGTGTGGCTAATCAATGCTCTGATCACATCCTTTTTCAACCTGAGCGCAAGATCCAAGTTTGACCACGTCTTGTTCCGATACTCGAGCGTTGGCATGCGGAATACAAAGTCGTGCAGATCCTCGAAGTTGCGATCCGATTTGCCCTTATACGAGAGGCAGACGACAAAGCTGTTGAGTTTGACGTGCGCAAGCGTCATGTAGTTGGACGCACGAGACATCATCTGGGAGAGGTCGTCATTGGCTGTGGGAGCCTTGTCCTTTTTGTCCTTCTTGCCAGTGGCGCTGCGTTCTTTGCTGCCAGTCCTGTGTATGGGGAAGCGCTTTCTCTCTGTTCCCCCGTCACTGGAGCCAAGCGCAATCAGACTTGTAGATGATGCATCGTGTTTCTTTGCGGATCCCAGACTGGTTGAGGATCCTTTGCGCGTAGGTTCCTTCTCCTTGAACACAGAGCGAGTCTCGGACTTGTTGAAGTGTTTGAAGAATTTGTGGTGATCCCCCGAGATACCGAGACCTTTGTTCTTGCCATGAGAGGAGGAGGCCAAGTCTTTTTGCTTCTCATCATCATCAAGGCCGTAGGTTGGCTTCAGCCTTCTTGCCACAGCACCCGGTGAAGTATTACGAGTTTTGTCTGGGCTCGGGCTCTGAAGATCCTGCTCCGACATTAACGCACTGTGTGCTTCCACAAACTCTTGATCGTCTCCGTCATCCGTGGGCTCCATGTTCTTAACCATGAGCGGAGAAAAACTGCCGTTCTCAAAGGCATTCGACCCCACGCCAGGGAATATATATTCGAAGAGCTTTTTGCCAAGTTCACGTTCGAGCTGCACTTTTAGTGGGAAGACGGTGACCTGGAAGCGTTCCAGTACGGGAATACCAGCAATGGCTTCGAGCATGTACCAGTGTACCTGGAGCATTTTTTGAGACTCCACAATGCTAGGTCGCCTGTCCTTTTCTGATGCTTCGTAGTAGGGTCCAATTATTTCCGGGTACAGTGCATTGGGCAGGAGATTCCAGCCTCTGATGTGTTCCACTTCCAAGGCATTGTGATTGGAGCCGTCAGTGTTGTCAATCCGCTCATATGCGGCGTTGCCCAATTGAAACTCCAGGAGAGGTTCGTCCTTGTCACGCATGAGGTGCCACACAATCTCAGAGGCACTGAGATACCACCGCAAGAGACCACTTGATTGAGAGACTTTCCGGTCTTCGCTCTTTTGCTGAGACGTATTGATAGCTTTCATAATAAAGAACAATTCGTCTTCGCAACTGGCAAGGTCCTTCTCAAGATTGATTCGATCTTGCCAGCCTTGCTTGTCGAGATATTTGGCATGGATCTGGAAATGAAGTTTGATGTCTTCGAGCTGTCGGATGCGTTCTTGGAGGCTTTCAGCCATCTCAGGGGCGCCTCGCAAATCACTGAAGTCAGATGCGAGCATTATCTTCTCCAATCGTTCGCTTCTTGTCTTCTCCAAAGGTTCACTGTATAGCAACAGGTCAAGGACTATGATGTACATCGCGTAGTACTGAGTGGAGTCGCACCGAGCACGAATCCGGGGGAAGTCAACCCATAACTGATCAATTCGGTTTTCTCTTCGTGCGGCATCATTGGGTTCTCCGTTTTCGTTGCTCTCAACCTCCTCGTTGTATTTTAGGCGAAGGGGATTGTACTTCTCGTATCGGAGGCCTGCAGAAGTCTTCTGAATCACTCTTTGGAAACCGAAAGGTTCTAGATGGAAATCGAACATGGCTTCAAGAGAAACCCAGGGTGGCCACGACGATCCAGGAGAGTTGCCATATCTGTTGCCCGAGTACAGATGGAGATACCTGGCCAATGTCTTTTGCGTGGCCACGAAGAATTGTGCTCCATCCATGTCAAGTGCGAAGCGACGCTGAACAAGGCCACTGACGTCGTCCGACATGCGAGCTTTATCCATGATAGATACAACTTTTAGTTGCATTCCTTTTGCCGATATGAGCACGATAGCCTTGGTGTTCTTCTCACTCTGGAGTTGAATCTGGGGAGCGATCAGACGCAGGTGATAGCTATTCATCGCCTGGAAGTTCTCTGCAATCTTGTCACCGAGATCAGCAGTCGACGACCTCCGCTCGATATCGTCATACTCGGCTGCAGGGCGCTTTGATTCCTCATCCACATCTCCTTCGGGGACTTGGACAAACCGTTTCACATCATTCAGAAGCTGGTTAATCCGGTCTTCTATCACGGAATCCTCATCTTTCTCCTCACTCGGGGAGATGACACTCGGCGTGGGGGGAACCGGCGGTTGATTCTTCCTCTCTTGTCTGCGCCGCTGTTCCTTGGCCTTCGCCTGCTCGTCAACAATGTCGAGGATAAATTTAACGGCGCGGCGTGACATGTAGTATACAAAACCTCGGCGTTGGCTGACTTGGTGGCTGTAACGCAGGATGATATTTCTCAATGAATTGTTCCATTTTAGCTGAACATTATGGATGATGAAGCGGTTGTTGAAGTCACTCGCAAATTCATCGTGAGGAGCTGAATACAACCCGTCCATGTCCATTTGAGGAGTTCCAGGTGTCTGTCCTTCCAAGTCCGGCGTAGACTTCGTCACGTCTCCATTGGGAGGCGTAGTATTGTCGACATGTTGAACCTCGCCTGGGTTTGCATGGCCGATCAGACGTCGGAGTCCATGTTGGAGGAATCGTCGTTTGCTTTCTAACTCCTTCTGTTGTGCGACGAGAAGCTCATGTTTGTCGCGGACTGCTTGGTTGTGATCTCCTTCTCTAACTAAAAGAAGTTCGTGCTCGTTCATAATGCGCACGTGGGTTTGAAGCCTGTCTTCGAGATCGTGCAGCCTTGTTTCGATAAGATTCATCTGAACCTTTCTTGGGTTATTATCACGGCCCATCACGCAGAAGTGTGTGTCCTCGTCGCCAAACGGACTCGTACGGGACTCGTCTCCCTGAATGGCACCTCCATGATCGGTCTGTCGGAAGTAGGTGAAACGCGGAGTGAAAGCCAATGGCAGGATCTTGGTTTCCGGGTTCGACTCTGCGGGTAACACCCAATCTAATTCCACAAAGTCGTCCATGTCAATCCACGATAGATCCTGATCTGGAATGGTGAATTGGGACAGGTCGATGTTCGCAGGCACTTCTTGCAAGGAAGAGAGTGTTTCCTCGCTTGCATTTTGAATGTCTTCCGCCGTTGTCCCTGCAATGAGTGCTGCCACAGCCCTCAAGTCCGCCCGTACAAAATCAAGTTCAGTCTTGTAGATTTTCATGCCGCTGGTCCTCATTTGTTTTGCCCGTACCTTTGCCATGGTATTAAAATACTCTCTGCGCTGATGCAGGTCCAGCATGAAGCTATCAATCTTGATTTTTAAGCCGGTTGCAGAGACAACGTCAGCTTGATAATCTTCAGCATCCTTGTGTTTGTAAACGTGCGAGATGAAGAGAGGAGACAGCAGAAGGTTGTATTTGATCGTTGAAAGGTGTCGTCCAAATTTCTTGCTGGTCTTTCCCTGACCTCTCCACAGTGAACCTTGCCGGACTGGTAGAGACATCACGCCAGAGAAGGTCGACCACCAGTTGAAGAAGTGAGAAAAGAATTTCGGACTCAGATGGACGCTGTTGTAGCTTTCGGAAGGTGCTGAGTCTGCACCAACCCAGTTTTTGTCGTATGGTGCAGCAACGGCCAAGGAGAGATGTACATGATGACTGCGGAAACCACGGAACGCGTCATAGGAATTCAAATCGAGGTCCTGGAGAAAGAGGGGATTCCTCAATACCACATCGTAATGATGTCTGGATTCTGAAGTGCGGCTCCCGTCTGGCAAATCCCGTTCAAAGACCAGGCCAGCAGTCCATTGAACATTCCCCGATAACTTCATGATGACCTTTTTGAAAATGGCGGAGTTTTTCGTAGAACTGGTGCTAGATACGCTGTCTGAATCATTGCTTGCTCTCTGCTCTGGTGTGTTGCGGGCTTCGTGGCTGTAGTCGGGAATGGCCAATATAAATTCACCACTTTTCACAGTCATGAACTCTCGGGGGTCATCCACTTGGTGTATCAACCACTGTACATCGTTGCGCCAACACATGACAAAGCCAGCACCGTATCCAGTAACAATATATGGATCTCTCGTACCCTTTAGTCGGAGCTGAACATCTCCGTCCCCCTTCCAATTCACAACAAGCCGCGAGTGAAAGCTCAGCCGAATCTTATCCCAGAAACCGACCCTCTCGGAAGGGTCTATTTCAGGTTTCGTGAAGCTCTCAATGATCATCATCATGTCTTGTATCACGGGTTGGTAGGATGTACCCCAGGAAATGGTGGTTGGTAGGCTAGTGTTGATGTCGATAACAGGCTTTGAATACATTTTGACCGGGGCCACCGTCCTTCTAACGTCAATCGCAAAGGCAGGAATCTCTTCTCCGTGTTCTCCATGCTGCCCTTTGGGGACGATCTCGACTTTAACATGCTTGATAGAATTCTCATCTCGAAATTCTTCTGCAATCACAAAGTCTGTTCTGAGAGACCAGCTTGGCAAGCGAGCTGGCTGTCCAGGGCGTATGGCGGGAATATGAAGAAGGTTAAGGGGATAATCTCGAAGGAAAACACGAGCCTCTCCCATATCGAGACTCAGGCTTGTAGGAATCAGCAATCCGTACTTCATGTCGTACGGCATGCCTTTGCCAATTTCATGGAGGAATTTGGGTAGGTCAGCTTCCGGAAAAGAAGGCTTGTCAACGATGAGGTGCAGGTCACTGATGATCAAGGTCATCAAGCCAGGGCGGTTCGGAATGCCAAGAATCGTCTCGGTCTCATGGTCGTCGTGAGGGGGTTCATCTGCGCCCATGAACAGCTGTCGAACACTTTTCACGGTGTTGTTCTGCAGACGAAGCATCCAGTCGATCCGTCTTTTCCAGCTCCGGGAATTGTGCTCCTGAAGCTTTTCCCACGCCTCACTTGCTTCTATCTTGGCATGGGTTGTCAGTGAACACACGCCTTCACGATCGTATCGAATTCGATGCGAGTCTCTGCCGCGCCTCCCCCTGGAGATAGATCGTTTTCTCGGCGTGGTGGCTCTCGGTCCAGTGTCAACACTCCGGGAACGTCGATGATGATGACGATCAGGGGTGGCGTTGGGAGAGCCACGGCGGCTTGAGTGAGCGGATTGGGCCCGCAGTCGGGACGATGACCGAGGTCGCCTCTCGTCATTCATTCGTTTAACCTTCAAGCGGAAGGCATCTTCACGGGCAAGGCGTTGCTTCTGCTCAATGCGGCCAACGTGATAGATCACACCAAGTTTCCATTCGAAAGGGTCATCTTCCAGCTCGAAACAAAGGGCTTTGGACCGAAGCGAGATTCGAGGAACCTTAACAGGAGAAACGGGGTGCTTCGCGAGCACATACTCGTTGGACCGTGTCTGGAACCGGTGCTGCAGCTGTTTCATGGCCTTTGAAGTGTTGATGAAGTTGTCAAAAACCCTGTACATTTGGAGCCCGTGCGGTACTGCTAAACGAATGAAGTCGGTCGAGACGTCGATGGTTTTCTCTTCAATCATGCCGTGCTGCGTCTTCTTCTTGTTGTGGCGCAGATCTACACGCACATTGCTGATGCTGACGATACGCGCCCAAATTCGTTTGAGGTGCGGCGCTTCCGCGTGCAAACGGGCAAGTTCGGCCTTAATGAAGGGAGCCGCCCATCTGTGTCGGCCTCCCGAGACTTGGTAGATCTGGAGCATCATCTGGGGATCATGTGGCATATCAGCCTTGACTTGCACGTAATGCGCCTTGACGTCGATTGCAAAAAGTTCTGTGTCCAAAGATGCAGGCAGATGCCCATGGACAGCGTGGTGATCTGCTGTTTTCGGATGATGTTGTGTATCTTGTTTGATCGGGACTGGTCCCAGGAACGCTTCTTTCACAACGAAACCTGCAACACCTATCGAGTAGAATCTGTAAAGGGAGAAGTCCAAATAGAACGCACGAATAGAGGAGTGAATGTGGAACAATGGTCCTTGCTGATCCCTTGATGTGCTGAATGCAGTTTCAAGTCGTGGGATAGACATGAATGGCGTCGGTTCCCACCGATCAAGGGATTCGATGATGAAGCCGTCAAAGCCCTTGACATGGCATGCGAGTCGTCTTCCATCCGTGGGATCACTATGGTGATGCTTTTGTGGTGAAGGAGAAGAGTAGACACCTTTGTCCGCTGAAAATGTCTCATCATAGCGGACTGAAGTGCTGACTTTCCGTCCTTTCGTCTTTCGTCCTGAATCTGATTTTGCCGATGTGTAGTGGGCTGACCAGGATTCAAGCTCAAAGGCAGCACCTCGTGTTTGGGCAGAGACGCTAGGGTCGACGCCCGCAACCTCGAGGCTGCAACCAGAACCTTCGAAGCTTGCCTCGATAAGCCAGGCAGGAAGTTTCCGCAAGAAGGCTGTGGAAGGCAACTTTGGGACGGCCGCTTTATCCTCAGGAGCACGATGTTTGAAGTGCCTCACTATATTATAGATTGCCTTGCTTACTTCGTCTCGAACCATGAGAATGGAGAAAGTCCGCAAATTTCCTTGGAGCGTGACGGAGACATTCGTCGATGCAGTGAGTTGAATCTTGAGTTCCAAAGCTTCGGTAATGATTAAGTTGTGCGTCGTGCCTGTTGAAGCTTGATAATATAATTTATGTGATAGGACGCGGAAGCTCGACCCAAGAGAATACAACAACTCTCCACCTGCTGAGTGAGAGGATTCGACGTCCAGAGAGATGGAGGAGATGGAGGAAATGATCATGTCGTACTCGCCTGGGCCAGCGTGAGCAGGATTTGCGACTGGCAACACAAATCTGAGCACTGGTTCATGGATGGAGAACTTGATGCTAGCTTTGGGAAGCAATCTTGAGATGAGACGGTGGTGATTACGAGGAGCTTGACCTTGAGATTTATGGCCTTGCTGAGTGAGAGCCAACAGTTTCATAAGGTGCTGTGGTGCTAAGTCGAGCGATGGTGATGTGACAACAAGATTGGCAAACAGGATATTTCTGTTCCTTTCGGCAACGTCTCGGTCTTGTGCGAAATTCATAGTCTTAGCTGGTAGAGTTGTCCTGATAGTGGTCGTAGCCATGGGTATGTACATGACCCTGTTCGGGGGAGAGTCATCTTCGTCAAGGCTGACAGAGATTGACAGAGCGGCAAGCAGGGCTTGATGAGCGGTGTCCTCCCTCTGAAAGTACATGCGATGTGCAGGCGAATTTTGCTCGAGCCTATGCAGGTCAATGCCAATTTCGTGGATGACGACGTTGGCGACCAGCGGAAGATTGGCTTGCCTGAGTGACACAATCTCTTTCGATATGCGTACAAAGCTCATACCGACCTGAATCTCCTGGATGCTCTGAAGGGCAGAACGTAGAAACTCTTTTGAGTCTGCTACGGTCTGCACGATAGCAGCCTCACGACTTCCGGGACTGTCCAGTTCTCCGGCCACATCCTCGAACGAAATCTCATCGATAGGACTTAGCACATCATAGGGCTCATAGGCTTTCGTCGTCCTTTTACCCTTCCGCGAGAAGTGAATAAGCTCATCGACAGGTACATAGACTCGGCCGCCTTTGATCGCGATTGAAGTGTCCCGGAGGCCTTCCTTGTCCTTGTAAAGCAAGCCATGCACGTTAATTGTCAGCGCATCGAGTATCTCGATTGGATCACGGCCACCAACTCCCATCTGAATGCTCTTGACTGTAAAAACCCATTCCGCAGGCTTCTGGTCTCCCAGAGGGTCCTTCTTGTGTCGGAAGAGTCGTCCACGATCAAGGAGCTTCCGTCTGGTGTAAACAGCCGCAGTGAAGGTCGAAATCTGTACATAGCCGACACCAACAATCTCCACAGATGTGTTATAGGCACTGACATCAAACATGCGCCAAACACGGATTTTGCGGTGCAGGCGTTTGATGTGGTCTTTGATGTTGGTCAGCTTCTTCCAAAGCTGGCTCTTGTGTCCGCTATGCCGGCGTAAGTCTGCGTCTTGCTCCAGCTTCCCTTTGGTGATGTGCTGTGAATTCGTCTTTGTGGATGTGTTTTCCAACGCGGTCGGATCAATGGTGAGCTTCAAATCTTCGAACACAATACTGATCCATGTTGGCTGGGCGAAGGTAGGCCTACGCAAGCTCAGTCCAACACCTCGCAGATCTATTCTCAGTCCTTCTCTTGGGGTGTATGAAATGTGCCTCAAGCTAAAGTAGCCAATGCGCTGAATTGATATGCCGGTCGCAATCCTCAAAATCGCAAGTAGGATAAAGGAGGATAGGTAGAGGAGCAGGAGGACGGCCGCGACCGAAGTGACATTGACGAGAGGCATCTTGGTGTTTCAGCACTCTCTTCCCGTGCTTCAACACCGACCGGAAGGAGGCAACAGAGGTCAGGCGTGCGGGCAGTCGTGTCATCTCATTTCACGAATAAGGTCGCTATCGTCGAGACAGTGGTCTCTCTGGAGCCACATAGTTGACAGAGCTTTTCCCATCACCCTTCGTATTGCGCCTTGCACCGAAGCAACAGACCATCAACACAGCGAGCGGGCGTGGGTTCCAAAATCCAGATCAAAGCCTCTAGATGCGTTCTCCGAGACGTGTGGGGGAAGGGCTGCTGAGGTATTGCCCGGGCTTGCGAGTGAGGGAGCAGTGAAGCACAGGCGCAGTGACTTCAGACGCGGGGGTGGTTATATCGCTCTATCGCATTCCAAATCGATAGAGTGAAGTCATGCGACAGCAAGGGAGAGAGTTGCCGGCGTCCCCGGTCATTGTCAATCAAAGCACATGGTGGAGCGAGGAAGCATGGAATGTTGCGAGGGTGCGGGCCAGAAAATACGAGGAAATCTCTTGGTAGGCGAACGGGTGGAGGACTCGGAGGATTGGAGTGGGTATGCCGCTCAGGGAAGAAGCTCTCCGGCACATATGCAGCCCAAAGCAGCTATGCATTGGTGACTCAGCTTGTGTAAAGGATGAGAAAGGGTGTCTACCTAGGTAGATGATCAAGCTCCTTATGCTGATTGAAGCATTCCTATCCTGGTTTATGCTAAGAGATTGCGCATTATCGTGCCGCCTCCAGCGATCCTCGACCGCAGCATCTGCTCATGCCAATCACATCTATCGATAATCGAAATGATCCTAGAATTAGGCGACCCGTCTTCCCTCAACACTTCTTAGATTTCCCACTCCTTGGCCGCTCATTTTGGCTGTTCATCTTTGCCATGTTCGGAATAGGACTGGCAGCACGGGTGACGGAGCTCGTGCCTCGGTGGAGGTTATCACTCCCAAACGCCCTGCTCCATGGGGCAGGTACATATGTGTACGGTTTGCAAACTTTGTCTTCTGTGGTTTGCCCGCGTGGTAGGTAGAGGTCTGTCGAGCGATATTCGCCGGTCTACAACTTCCAATCGTCGAGTCTGTAGTGGTGGTCGATCTTTCAGATGAGCACTCGGCGACAGTCTGCTTGAGAGGTGCCGCCACACTCTTCGTTGCCACGTTCCTTGTTGCATCCTCACCCACGCGATAGCGAACAATACTTTGTGACGTGAAACAGCTCTCAGCTCGGACGGGTTTTCAGCTCTTGATACTTAACGTGGACGCGTTCGTCCCTTGCCGCTCGTAGGCTTGCTATCTTGTCGTCCAATACAGCAATTTCCGCTTCAATCCGGAGGAGCTTATCTAAAAGCAAATCCTCATACTCTTTGTCCGACAGAGATTTCATAGGAGAAAATGTAGCAAAGCCGCTTTTCAGACGTGAAGAGAGTTGAGCAATAGATGAAGAGCCTTGCGTGGTATTCAACCCTGCTTGAGACAGAGCAGCAATGACTCCGAACATGATGCTACCTGTGACCAGGCTTCCTCGAGGCACTGACTGCGGTCAAAAAATGTCCATTCTGCTTTGCGTCCCCGCCACTCACAGAAGGTTGCGATCACAGCTCCGGAACATGAACCTGCAATGCCACTTGCAGCGACTCGGTGCAAATCCTTATCCCGAGATAAGGGACCTGCCAGCAATACACTCCGGCAATCTGGAAAGATATAAGCAGATGCGAATTCCAAATTGGAGCAGTGACACAGACAGAAGAAGGTGGTGCCAGCAGAAAACCATTGTGTTGCAGAGATTGCAGTATACGCCAATGGACTCGAAGTCTGAATGAGAGTGCCAGCTATACCGCCATACGCCGCACCACAAACCCCTGTTTGCCATAAGTCAACGGCTCAGATTCCCAATGGTTCTTTGGGTAGCATCATCTCCTACCTGTGGCGGCTCCCACGTAGAGTGCAGGCACAAACGGCTTCCAGAGAATATCTTTCGCGACACTAGGATGCTCCTTGGACATAGCGCATTATACAGTTCCTGGGACTTTGTACAAGAGAAAAGAAATAGCACTCGCCGACAATGGTGAATGTGGCAAGCGTGGCTGTCGGAAATGCACCACGCACCATGCCGCCAAGAGCCCAATTTGGCCTGCTGCGTCCAAACCCAAAATGGCACTCGTGCGGGTCAAGGAAAGAAAAGGCCGGACAAAGTTGCCTTTGCCTGCAGAGTCTCCTACTACCGCCCTGCGCCCGCAAATCTTTCAAGACTTTCGTACACATCGTGACATCCACTGCGCCGACATCACACAAGGCGCTGTACTTTGTCTACTATCAAACAACATCAATTCCAGGCCTTTGTCTGGTCGAAGTGCGTTCGACGACGTGCTTAGGCTGCGACTTCCGACTCGCACTTTTGAATCCACCAGCGAGCGTACATTTTTAGGGCGCCTGCTGAGATTTCGCAATCATGGGTACGAGCATACGGCGACATTCGGCGCACAGCCTGCGCAACTGGCTGCGTCCTGGGCTTCACTTGCTGACATGTTCTAGCTCCCAAAAAGAACCAAAAAATGTCCCTCGGGACCTTCTTGCAGGATGAGAGTGCGTTCCACCCGAGGCTGGATGCAGCCAACCCGTGTCGCTAAATGTTGGTAGACTATGGCTCCTGGGCAGATGAGATGGAGGACATGCCCCTCCCGAGTAAGTACTCTCCGTACACGATGAAAACCCCAGGGGACAATGGACGTTGACTTTGTGGTGCGACGACAGCCTCCGACACAAGACCAAGCTATGGGTCAGAACGAAGAGCGTTTAGCACAACTACGGGCATGGGCAATGGCTATCCAGGTTTGTCACCGTCTGTCGAATCACCAGACCGGACAGAATGCTGACTGTAGACTACCATCACCAACAGAACGCCGAGACACCTTCCCTGCAAGAGAACAACTCCCCCTCCCCACGCAACCCCCTTTCACTGCACATCTTGCAAATCTATCCTTCGACGCCACACAGGGAGATATAAACGATTTTTTTCGCGACTGCCAGGTCACAAACGTCCGCATTGTGGAAGACAAACAAGATCGCAAGCCCAAAGGATTCGGCTATGTTGAATTTGCAACTTTGGATGGTCTCAAGGCTGCATTGGCTCTCAGTGGCAACAACTTGGCAGGTCGCCAAGTTCGTGTGAGCGTCGCCGAACCACGTGAGTTGTCACCGAGACTGTTTGTGACTTGTACTGACTGTCTGGTTAGCCAAGGAAAGACATGAGACCCGCGATTTCAGCGATTGGTCAAGAAAGGGACCTCTTCCAGAACTGCCAAATCAACGTAGAGTGTCTGACAGGCCAGGAGGCTATGGAGGCCGCAGCTTTGATAACATGTCCGATGCTGGAAGTGAGAGAGGCCATGGCAACGAGCGTGGCCATCGGCGAGGATTTGGGGGGGAAGGAGATGGAAAGGTGAGGGACTTCTCGAATTGGGAAAGAAAAGGTCCGTTGTCACCGGTCACTCCGGGACCCACGACTCTCCGGGAGGGCGGGAGACAAGGAAGCAAGGAAGGCTACGGCTTCCGCAAGAATTCGCCGTCCTGGGGCGAGGCAAGATCGCAGGAGGGATCTCGACCCCCACGACGCGAATACGCCGAACGCCCCCCTCCTGAGCGACAGCCGACAGCACCGGAGCTCGACAATCAATGGCGCGCTAGAATGAAACCTGATTCTGCCAAAGCGCCGACTCCCGAAGCCAGCGAGCCTTCATCTCCTGCAGCGCCCCCGGCTCCGGCGACCAGGCCGAAACTGAATTTGCAGAAGAGAACTGTTTCTGAAACGGATCCCGTGGCATCTCCCGCCGGCATTTCGGATTCGAAGTCGAGCCCATTTGGAGCAGCTCGTCCCGTTGACACCGCAGCTAAGGAGAAGGAGGTTGAAGAAAAGCGTCAACTTGCTCTCCGACAGAAAAGGGAGGCCGAGGAAAAGGCCAAGGCTGAAAGGGCCGAGGAGAAGAGACTGGCAAAGGAGAAAGCCGACTCGGACAAGGAGCGGGTTAAGGAAACGCCCAGCAAGGAGCCCAAGGAGAGCAAGGAGCCCAAGGAGCCTAAGGAGCCTAAGGAGCCCAAGGAGTCCGGCACCGCGAAAGAAAATGGCGAGGACAATGCTCAACCTACGCCCAAGTTTGACCTTCTTCGCCGTGCTGACACGGGCATGAACGATATGGTTGCGGAAGATGAGAATGATGAAGAGGGAGAAGAACAGCCTCAGCCAACGGACGACAAAGCAGTGAAACCCAAGCAAATTGTGCAGACGCCTACATCTGCAAAGACCAACGGTTCTTGGAGGAATGGACCTGCACCCCAACCTCCCACACCCAGTACAGCTACAGAACTGGAAGAAGACGGCTGGAGCACCGTGTCCAAGCCGCAAAAGCAGCGCAATAACCGACGATACGGCCCGTCGAGAGGAGCGGCATCCTGATGATGCCGTCTCAAAATTCCCATTCCAGGCCGTGCGATCTCGGGATGCAGCACCTGCTGTACCAGACGCTTGTTGTGCGGTCTTTTGTACATCTACTCGTCTCTCACCATATCTGGCCGACCTGCGGTTTTCGAAGTACGGTCGGTGTGGGAAGGCAGATCTCAGCAATTTTGGCTATTCTCCAGTGTTCGCACTTGTTCCCAAAAAATGCAAGGAATCGGGAGTCTGCTTGCTTTGTCCAGCATGGGGGAGTTTGGGCAGGGGGAAAGTGCGGCATTGCAGCCAGAGAAAGTCTGGGACAAGGATGGGATCGAGGCATTAGGAAAAAATTTATTTGAAGAGACAGTCTCTCGACTCGCACTTACATGTTCGCTCAAGGCTGGCCAAATGCAACAGACCACATCGCCTTCTAGATGGATCATAGAACAGGCATTGACTTAAAGATGTGTGCTCATTGTTTGTCGGACTTGCCCTCCATAACATGGATCTGTTCGATCAACTTCCCCCCGTAGCGCCCGTCCCAAGCAGTCAATGTCACCAGGGGGAGATGGACACGCAGACCAATTCACCTGCGATCGACTTTAGCAACTAAACATTAGCTATTCTCGTTATGATACTGTACAGAATACTACTAAGGACCTAGGTAGGTGCCTCCTTGGTATCTGCGTAGAAAGGTGCTCCCATTTATGATATCACGTGTTTCGTTCGGCACTGGCGCCACTGCTCGGGCCAATCAGTGCCCAAGCCAGTATCTGCCAAGGCCACAGCCAAAAAATTGAAACGGCTGGGACTCGAACAGGAAAGAGAAAAAAAGAGTCACCGACATAAAAAGTCCTTTCTTCAAGCGACCAGAATCCACTGGCTCTTCGTCACATCATGAGATGGAGAGCAGACTATGGCGAAGGGCCTGGATGATTTGATCGAGTTTCTGCTCGAGGAAATTGCAGTCAGTGGTAGTCAAGGTCAGTTGATTCTGCGACTCATTTTCCCTCCAAACTTGCATGATCCGAGGTTCCAGTGGCAAGGGTTCCAGCACTTCAAACACTCACCGCTGGCTCAGCCCCACATCTATGCATTACGAATGCTAACCTCCAACTCTCTGCGTAGGCCTCTCCATTAGTGACATCGCTCAGTCCATCTCGTCATTCTACGACAAACCGCAAGATGACTCGGGATCCAATGTGCCCACCGAGGGCGTTGATGCTATATCAGCAGTCACGGTTGACCGGCCTCTACTTGCCAAGGTCTGGTCATGGCTAGGCCGGCATCCTGATGTCTCTATCGGTGACGATAGACGGTACAACGAGACATCGTTGGCCGAGATAGAGCTCCAATTTCCGCACTACCTCAACCTCGCTGCCGGACACAAGCAAAGATCCGCTGAGGATGATGCTGCGTCGGACGGGTCAACCCAGCCTAGAGCAACACCCAAGAATCGACCAAGGCCCGGAAGAGCTCGTGCTGTTGAAGGACCACGAATCTCTGTTAACGAGGCTCGGGTCTATGAGGCTATATGTGGTCATCCCCCGGACATTAGCAAGGTTGTGCCTCTTGAGTTCGAGCTCTTGTCTCATATTGCTGCTGCGAGATCAACTGGGATTTTACAAGGAGACCTTGTGAGAGCGTCTGGGCAGGACAAGCGCTCTGTTCCAAAGCGGACGGATGCTTTGCAAAGCAAGGGCTACATAGCCAAGGAAATCGTCTTTCGCCACGGTAATCGGACAAGCCGACTCACCCTGAAAAAGTTCGCCCACCACAATGCAGCCGACGCCGAGCCGTTCCACAAGCTTCATAGCCTCCCGCAACATGGATCGACATTGCGAGATGTTGTCCGCAGAATCTTCGATGTGTTGGAAGAACACAACCTTATATCTCAGACAAGACTGGCGGAAGAATTGAGTCTAGGATCGTCGGCAGAGTCGGCCATCCTTTCTAAGATTATTCGTCGGCTCGAGAAGCTGAAGTGCATCAAGAGAGTTCGAACTGCTGTAGGTCCTTCTGCGACATCTGACGACCTGCGACACTTCGTTCAGCTTTTGCATCGTGCCGACGCAGTAGACCTGGAGAATTTCGACACAGAAAAGCTGTCTTTGAGCCAAACAGTTGAGGAATTGGCATCTTCCGAGCCAGAGGATCGGAATAACCAAAGTGCGTCACATTTTGCGGCCGAGGAGGAAAATGAAGAGGCCTCAGAAGCTGTGTACAAACCTGCCAGATGGAACCCTGATCGCTTAATGCCTAATATTCTCGTTGATGCGGTCCGACTTGCAGGTCTGGAGGGTCTGACAAATTTGGTATGCCCTTGGACTTCTCCCCGTGTGTTGCAATACTAACAGTGACAAGAATGCACGTATAATGACTACTGGCGATTTTGTGCGTCGTCAATTAGAGTCTCTGTTGCTCCGATTATCATGCGAGTCACTCATCATTCAGCCACAGCATTTGCGACACCTGGCCATTGTCCGAACCACTGTGAGACACGATGGGGTCATCCAGTATGTTCACTTCTCATGGGATGTCTTTCGGAAGAAAGCGGCAGACCAACGTCTCGACGTTTCTGAAATCCCGGGTGCTCATCAAATTATGAAGAGGCTCGCAGAAAAGGAGGCCGTCTCTGATGATCACGAGACTTCCCTATCTCATGCTCATGTTGACGAGTTGGGTTTTCCAATACAAGCTCCGTTGGCCCTACAGCTACGACATGGCGAGGCCACCTTTTACGATCTGATAAAAGCAGCCGCCCCTGGAGATGTCCAAAAACGCCTTGGAGAGCCTGCCATTGTCAAGCAGGGGACGAAAATAGCTATGAAGATACGTGATGAGTTGCCAGTCTCGTCCAGCACGAAGAATGGCACACCTCGTCGTCTGCCCCGTCCGCCGCGCCAGCCGACACGGCGACCGCCAAAACGTCGCAGAGACTCAGATGACGAGGAGAAAACAGTCATTGGTCGTCCTCGCAAATATATGCGGGGCACAGAAAAGTTCTGGCGGATGCAATTCAAGCAGGCTAGATTAGATGCAGGCGCGGATCCTAACGATCTTAGAAAAGGAGCAGCACAAGATCCCTCAGCCATTGCTCTGTACGCCCGGCGTCCGGCAGATTTCGACAAGACTCTGGTTCAGGCATTGGAGGCTGGGTTGCCAGTCCCGATGCTCCCAGAAGACATCAACGACGATTGGATCCGTTCAATAAGAGCAATTTTTGATCGCTCTCTTGAGGGTATCTATATGTCTCCCAAAGGGCTGCGCTCTGACAACAGCCAGAGGTTAGCCCAAATCATGATCGTGAAAACTCCACGGTTGACATCAGTCGACTTCAGCGACAGGACCATCGTCCACCCGTTTCGATTCATCTCATCCAGTGCATCACACAGCTTTATGTTCAGAAGGTACTACCCCGACCTCCCAACCATGCATCCATCAGCACTACGTACTCTAAGGAAATCGAAGCGCCAGAGTGAAATCGGACCCAGCAAGCGCGAAGAAAAGAGGAAACAAGGGCCCAGGTTAGGCATCTTCTATGAAGACCCGGGCCTTCCGACAGCACTGCCTTCTCAGCTTCCAAACCCAGCTGATATTCAACTTTCAGTGAATGTGCTTATGGACACAACTGATGAAGAAAACGGACCTCCTTCTGAAGGCGCTTTGGGCACGAGAACCTCGTCTCGTGTATCAATAGATGGGACCATCCTTTCTGACGATACAAGAATAGAAAATGGTGAAGCCAGCAAGGGCTCGCAGTGGCGGATTCAAGAACGAGACGCCAGCGCGGAAACACCAACCGCTCCCAATTCGAAGCCTGAAATCACCGAGCCACGCCGTGCCAGATCTGCCAGAAACCGGAAGTTGACCCGGAAAGCAATGGAATTGTTGCAATCGGATCAGACCCGAAATGTGCGTGTCTTTTCTGAATCTCGAGAGACTCCATCCGAGGTGTTTGCCGCGGATTCTGAACTTCAAAATCAGATGTCCTTGCACCGAGCATCCGAAGTATCCAGCGCAGAGGCACCGTCACATTCTAGTAGCCACTCACCCATGAAGGAGCACTCCACAGGTATTTCATACCTAAATGTGGACGAAACTCGAACTGCTCATTACACGCAACCCTCTGTTTCCAGTGACAAACACATGATTATTGATGTCAATCCTAGTGTCGGCGAGACAGAAGCAACGAGAACCTTATCGGTTGAAAGAGAGCAGCCTGAGTACCCGGTATCAGCGAGATTCTTAGAGGGTATCACCGAAGCTGCGGCATCTAAAAGCCCTTCTTTGAGTGAACAGCTGCCAGAGAACAATCACTCAGCAGAAGGGCAGGACAATTTCTCTCAAAAAAGGTCCTTTCCGTCGAAAGCCGCTACCAGAAAACGTTTGTCAACCCCAACAAGAGCAAGAACGGCGTCTGTTGAAGCAGGGAACGCCGAAGACGAATCGCAGCCAAAGAATCGACAGAGTCAGGGGAAGCAACGCTATTTCGAGGGCGCTAATGCTCTTTTCCGGAGAATCATTCTCCAACTGATTCAAGAGACATCAGGGGTCGTGCCAAACGATGCTTCAATGTTCAAACGTGTTGCGTTGCCTCGCTGGCAAGAGGCCGGAGGGGAAGGTCGACCCCTGCTGAAAACCATTAAGACAGCGATCAAGTCCTTGAATGAGTCTCGAAGACTAAAACAGGTCATGTTCACGTTTCGAGGAAAGTCTGGAATCATGGTTACGCGCTCGGTCATCTTCTTACCGCACATTGACCCTTTGTCTCAAGCCGTCGAGGAAGTGAAGCAGAATATTATCAATGCGGAACCCACTGATTACATACCCCCTGAGTGGAGGGATGAAGGCTACCGCATTCCCCTCGTCAATAAAAGGGCTCCGAGCAGAACGCCTGATGTTGAAGAAGAACCACCGAGGAGTCGACGTGCATCATCGGCTGTGTCGAAAAGAAGAATCGCCTCCACAAGCAGTAGGGGTGAGAGAAGCCGCACAAAAACAACCGAGTCTTCTCCGTCACCAATGACAGAGACTCCGGCTGGCAGTTTTCTTACACTCAGAGTTCCAGCGTTGGGTTCGCTTCCAATTGTGCATCTCCACAACTGGAGGAAGGAGTGCCCCGTGAGTGCATTGCGCTCCGACACATCCGATGCCAATCCTTGGAAGGCTGGCGCATTTCGACCCATTCGGCGGCGACGAAGGTTTGAACAGCAAGGTTCCCAGGCAGCTGGAAGGTCAATAATATGGCGAAATTTCCCTTCCTCGTTGGAAGATATTCTACAACTTCCTGATCTTAGATTGGACTATGATGCCTTTCAAGCCGACGATGCTGACTGGCAACGCTTTGCCTGCGAGATTGAGGGAGTTCGTGCGTGGGAAGAACAAGAGCCTGGCGCGGCTCTATCGAAACGATCTAGGTTCGCTTTCATCAATCATTCGGTCCCAGCTGCCCTATATGCGGGCTCGGTTTTTCCACTGGCAATCGAATTTAGCAGCCTTGTACAGTTCGATGAGGATGGAAGCGAGCTCGAGGTTGCTTATCCGCCTGCCGAAACATGGGCAGCATTTGCGAACGCCCTGCAAGCATCTTCCAGTGTCACCTCCCGAATCGTAGCAGTGGACGAAGCAAATTTACATTCGATGCGACCACTTTCCCCAGGACTTGGACCTCGACGATCAAAAAGGCCGTCTAAGCGCAGATTGTCGGAAGATGACCATGGGTTCATCCCTCTACCTCCCTCGAAACGCCGCAGAAGGGCGAGACGGGTTTCCGACACAACACCATCGAGGCGTACGGGAATCTCGGCCTTTGGCAATACAACCCGAAAGCTTCCCAAGAGTGCCAAATGGCTGCAGACGATGCCAGAGGAGATGATATACCGAATCGCAGTTGCCGTCATCGTTGTTCGGACGCTAGCAGGCGGAATGCAAAGTTTCATCAACTGGCATATTGTCATGACGCTCTTCCCTGATCAAAAGGAAGAAGTTATCAAAGCCCGCTGGAATACGTTATCAACCAGATACAGTTCTGATATACAAAATCTCACAGAGGACCTGCAATCAAGGTACTTGGAAGCGCTACAAGCGGGCGAGGTAGCGTCGGTCGGCTTTGATGTTATCGAAGCCACGGACTGGGGCGCCATTGTGGACTGGGCCTTAGAGAGCGTTGACCGTTTCAATCTGAAGCGGATTGCACACCTTCCAGCCAACCGGGGCGAGTTGCTGGATAGCTATGCCTTAGAATTCACCCAACCCAGATACTTCCACAATACCGTGTGGAACAACAGTACAACGAACGTTAAAGAAGATGCCGCAAGGTCGACAGTTTTCGCCACACATGCTAATTCTACAATGCAATCCGCCATCCTTCGCCATCAACATGGCTTCGAACTCGAGATGGCCAAGCCAGCCCTTCGTGTCGCTAAGTCATGGGTGCTCGCGACCGTTTTCACTCCCGAATCGGTGTTCAATGCAGAATTGGCGCAGGCCAAACTCTCCACCCTTGCCCTAAACCCGGTAGAATGCGATGCACTCCTCTCACGTGCGTTGAAATTGCTTCAAGATGAGAAGATCATTCAACGCAAACTCAATGCTCACCAACTGGAGCAAGGATTGCATCGTGTGCGCACCTGGGAAGCTCACCGCAAGTTCCTCCACCAGTTTGAGGAGCGGGGCATGGTCACTCCGGATGTGCTCCGTTGTGCCGCCAAATACAAATTGGAAGTTCTTGACCACGAGTTCGCGAGGGGGAATAGTGTCCCGATCGAGAAAGAAGAACTTGTCCCAGACGGTAAGATGGTGGCAGTGTTGAACCTGATGGCATCAGGACGCGTCAGGGTCCGACCAGGCGCAGACGTGCCAAAGACTCGCTATGGCTTGGATCACGAACGTGTAGGCTATCGGACCAAAGACCTGGACAAGAAGTTGTTGGGTTTCGGGATCGAGCTCACACCGACAAAGGAATATCCGTCTGGGGATCCCTGGTCGGGCGCGTTGGGAATACGCCAGCTCCCCATCCCGCGTGGACAGGCAGATGAGCCGATGGGGCCAATCCCTATATGGGTTGACATTCATGGAAACGTGCAAGCGGCACTCTGGTACACGTTTCTTGTCGGCGTGATCGGGCTCGTCTCGCAAATGCCGGGTGTGTCCGCCTCGCAGATCTCAAGGACTTTTGGATTTGGGCTTGATGAAGCTGAAGTTGAACTCATCATGCAGTGGTGTGTACAGTCTGGGTTTGCAAAGATGGATACTAGCTCGAAGGGATATGAGACGTTGGAGTGGTGGTGGCTCTGTGTTGACGAGGCTAGAGCATAACGGGAGATGTGGGTGGATGAAGTGGTTGGGATGACAATCATGACATTTATCGGCGTGGATTTCTGAAGCGCACTCAGCGATGGCGTCGGCCTTGGACCAACAGGACAACAGACCTGGCATTTGAAGGACTCGGGAACAGGATGGGACAGCGATGACTAGCAATGTATGATATGAGGCGTCAGGCATCTTCTCGCTGATGAGAAATGGTGACTTCGTACAAAATAACCTCGTGTTGCTGGAGACGCATAGCTAGGGGCGCTCTTGGACATCCTCACTACTAAAAAGAAGTCTTCCGTGCCCTTGACTATCTAGGTATATTAGTAGCTTCTAAATTCCCAGGTGGGTGCCAGGTAATCTGTGCACTACAAGCTGTACTGGGTACCTATGAGGAGCGGTGCGCGCCTCGCGTCGATTGTCGTTGAATACAATTTCTCCGCATCCCGCAAACTGCGCTTCTCCGAGTCTGCGGATTCAGCGACGCACCCAGGCACATTGACGGAAGAATCACTCATGACCAACTCACAACCACTCACAACCCTGGAGCCTTGAGGCTGAGGCTTCAATCCGGCCACGAGTACGCAGTATCGACCTTCACGCCTCATTCTCCGTTGTCTTGTACCACAAACCATTTCTCATTATTGCCTTGCCGTGGGAGATGAGTTGCGAATGTACTGCCCCTCCATCAGATCGCGACTTCGTGACCAAGATTCATAATGTCTTACATTGTACCAATCCACCCGCCTAGTGGTGTGCGCCATGCTATCAAATTGAATTTCCTAGAGCCCGCCGTTGACACACTCATTGTTGCGTGAGTACTCTTCCGAATCTCCTCGTCAACAGGATAATCCGCTGAATGCATGATCTAGGAAAGCGAATCGACTCCAAATATTCGAGCAAGGACCAGAAGGCTTGAGCCTGTTGCACACGAAGGTCGTCTACGGCTATATCACCATCCTTGAGAAGCTCCGCCCCGAGTCTTCCAAGACCGACCACCTTTTTGTCGGGACCGATCGCTACCAGTACTTCACTTGTTCATGGAACGCGCAGACGAAACAGTTACAAACAGAACAGAGCTATGTCGATCTGGCGGACAAGGTTCTTCGCAGCTCGCAAGAGGCGGACAGATGCCATGTGGACCCGACCCGGCGATACATGACTTTGGAACTGTACGATGGAGTCATATCAGTCTTGCCTTTCATTCAACCCTCCAACAAACGGGTGAAAAGAGAGAGCACCGCCGCTCCCCAGGTTGGGGCTCTCGGTGAGCCGGTTCAGGTCAGGGTCGAGGAGTTGTTGACGAGGTCATCCGCCTTCCTGGAAATGGATCCTGACTCAAAAGACAATCCGAGGCTGGCTATCTTGTGGGAAGACAATCTGGAGAACCCACAATTGGCGCTGAAAGAGCTCAAATACCGCCCTGGTGGGGAGCAGGCATCTGCAGATCTGGAGAGAGTGGCCGACTTGAAGGGTGACCAGCTCGACAAGGGCGTGAGCCATCTCATTCCCGTCCCCGTCCCGTACGGAGGCTTCCTGATTCTAGGCGACCACAACATTCGCTACGTTAACCGCGACCTAAGTAATGTCATTACTCAGCCTCTAGCGGACGTCTCGACGATATGGACTTGTTGGACCAACGTCGACGACCGACGATGGCTCCTCGCCGATGACTACGGCAAATTATTCTTTTTGATGATTGAGACCAGTTTTTCCGAAGTGATATCATGGAGACTTGATCCTGTTGGAGTCACCTCAAAGGCCTCTTGTTTAATATATCTCGATGAAGGCTATGTCTTTATCGGTTCACATGCGGGCGATTCGCAAGTTGTGCATATCGAAGAGGAAGGAGTCCGTATCGTGCAGACATTCCCGAATATTGCTCCTATCTTGGACTTTACCATTATGGATCTGGGTCGAGGTGCCGAAGGCGCCGCAGCTCCCGAATTCTCTTCCGGTCAGGCCAGGATAGTGACAGCCTCTGGAGCTTGGCAGGATGGTACGATTCGGAGTGTGAGGAGTGGTGTTGGACTGGAAGAGATCGGCACTATTGGCGAGCTATCTCACATTATCGACCTATGGGGTTTGAGCTCAACAGGACTGGGCGACGCTCAAGATACTTTGCTGGTTTCTTTCGTCAACGAGACGCGAATCTTTAAATTCGATGCGGAAGCCTCAGTTGAAGAAGTCGACGACTTTCATCATCTCGAGTTCTCTCAGCCAACTCTGCTTGCGACAAATCTTCCCGGTCGAAAGCTACTCCAGGTCTATGAGACCGGGTTTCGAATCACAGACCTTGAATCGAGTATGCTGACACTGGAATGGAAACCACCCGATGCTGCGGCGAAGATTACGGCTGCAAGTGCAAATTCAGTCCATCTTCTCCTAGTGGAGGGTGGTCATACTCTCCATGTCTTCCATGTCGCGACCAGCGAGGCTAAGCCCACCGTCTCAAAGACCTTCTCACCCAACTCACAAGTATCAGGTGTATCAGTACCAGACTCACAGAGTAACGTCTGTATCGTCTCGTTCTGGCAAACAGCCTCTATTGCCATTCTCGACCTACACTCCCTCGACGTCCTCCAATCACAAATGGTTGGCAGCCCGGGGACAGATATTCCACGATCAGTCCTGGTTGCTCAGGTCCTGCCTGACGCACCTCTGACTTTGTTTGTTGCAATGGCTGACGGCACAGTTCTGACGTATTCAGTCGACTCCTTGAAGAACTCTCTGTCCGGCATGACGAGGATCTTACTGGGAACAGAGCCCGTGTTCTTCAAACAATTACCCAAGGATCGCCTATCAGGATTGTCCAATATATTCGCTTCATGCGAACAGCCCTCCCTGATGTATTCCTCTGAAGGTCGCATCATATACTCAGCCGTAAACGCCGATAGTGCCTCTCGTGTGTGTAGCTTCAATTCCGAAGCATATCCCGAGGCTATTGCTATAGCGACTCCAAGCGAGCTGAAGCTGGCCTTGATCGGTACGGAGAGAACGACTCAATTGCAGACGCTTCCTGTTCGTGAGACAGTAAGATGTCTCACCTACGAACCCAAGGCTAAGATGTTCGCGATGGGGTGTGTCAGTCGAGCCATTGAGGACAGTGCAGAAGTAACGATGAGCTCCGTTAAGATTGCGGATGAGGTTAGCTTCAAGGAATTGCACTCGATAGATCTGCAAGACAAAGAGTTGGTAGAGTGCATTGTTGCGACGGGCTCGTTCGAGATGGAGGACGAATCTCGTGCTTACGGAGAGATGTTTGTGGTAGGAACAAGCCTTCTTGAGGAGAACGAATCTGGCGAGGAGTGTCCGAGAGGCCGAATACTCGTCTACGAGGTCAACAAAGAGAACAGGCTGAAAGAAGTCACTCAAATCCAGGTCAAGGGTGCATGTAGAAGTCTAGCCATGTGTGAGGGCAAGATCGTGGCGGGATTAGTGAAGACGGTGAATTTCAATCCTCCATTACAGGTCCTGCAGCTGACTGTCGTGATCAGGTCGTCCTTTACGGTCTCGTGCCCTCATCAACAAGAGGAGACCACTCCCTCAAACTGGAAAAGCTGGCCACCTACCGCACCTCGACGAACCCGCTGTCTCTTGCCGTCATGCCCGCCACTCCAAATGGTCCCGCCTCAATCGCGGTCGCAGATCTAATGAAATCTCTATCCATCCTTCAAGTCTTCCATGATTCTTCCTCCTCAACAGGTTACTCGCTGCAGGAGATATCCCGCCACTTTGCTACAGTCTGGTCCTCGGCGACTTCAATCGTACTGGAAAACGAATGGGTTCTTGCCGACATGGAAGGCAACTTGACCATGCTACGTCAAACCAGAAATGGCAGTAGACCAAGTGGCTTTAACAGCCGGCTGGAAGTTACGGGGGACTTCCGACTAGGCGAGGTAGTCAATAAGATTGTCCCTCTGACAATAACTCCGACGGCCCCAAGAGAGAACGGAAAGAACCACGCAAAGAATCCCGAGCAGGACGAGGACTTTTCCAACCCAGATGGTCGGCGTTATGGTGGTGCAGAGAAGCTGGTCGCTGCCAAGGTCCCGCGTGAGGGGTCGGTTGTCACTCCGCGGGCATTCCTCGCGACCATCGAGGGTGCGATATACATGCTTGCAACCATCAATCCGGGATTCATGAACGTGCTTCTGACCTTGCAGTCGGCATTGGCAAATCGAGTGCAGGCCCCAGGCTATATGCCCTGGAGCAAGTTCCGTGCGATGAAGACTGAGGTGTTGGAAAAGGATGAGCCGTTTAGAGTGGTTGACGGAGAGATGTTGGAGCAGGCGTTATTGAGCATGAATGATGAGGAGCTAGAAGGAGTCATCAGGGAAGGCGGCTTGATGGAGGAGCAGTTGGGAGTGACGGTCCAAGAGGTCAGGGCGTGGGGTGAAGAGTTGAGGCGATTGTGCTAGACTCAAAAGGCAAAGGGCTGGGCAGAAGGGGTGGATTCATGGAAGGGAGGACAGATACTCTTCCTCGGGTGGAGTTTCATCACTACTTCCTTTTCGCTGGCTCGGGGCGAGAATACCCGTTTGGAAGACTTGGAAAGGGCAGGAAACAGGAAGACAAGTAGAGTATCTCGACGGGACCGTCTCTGTGTGAAGGTCGTTGACACACGACTGCTTCACCAATTTGGACCCCGGGGGAAGATGTTGCCAAGCCTAGAAATCAAATGGCCTTGGGGTCTCCGCCCCGCTCCGCCCCCATCTTGGCACAGTTGATGAGCTCTGTATCCTCCCTCCACTCATGCAGCCAGTCAGCCCGCCAGCCAGCCAGCATGGAGTAGAGAACAATTCAAGTCGGGGATAGCCAGCATTGACCCGTGCGAGAGACCATCCCCCTGCGGCTGGGGGACAATGGGTGTTTTCCTCAAATGAGTCAAAAAGGCAAACAGATGGTTGATCAACCGGAAGCCACTGGTTCACTCCCGCTCACCCTTGAATTTCCCTTCACTTTGAGTTGAAGCTCACTTCGGCTCACTTCCCTCAACACGAACAAGGAAACGCCTGGGAGTGGTCATGAAGAACAAATAGCATTCAGGGTAGCAAGGGTAGCACGCGCATCACTTCACTTTGATTCAACTGATCAGATAACTTTTCAACAAAGACAACTGGCTGTGGGCCGGTGGTGAATGGATTCATGTACCGGACAGTCACTGAGAGATGAACAAGGCGTTGCCTGTCGCCAGCCACCCATGGTATTGTTCAGGTGAGACATTTCATTCATTCACTGTCACCGTCAAGGCGGCTGGGACCCTGTCACAGTGAATCGGTGATGAATAGACATGATCTCTCTGGCTTATTGATATGCTCTCTCTCTCTCTCAACGTAGCTCGTTTGTGCAAAGCAAAGATTTTTTCCCACACCCATTTTCTTTTTTGCCAGCTCAAGGGAGTCTTCCTTTTCACCTTCCATATCACCTTCTGCTGTTGTTTCTCAAACATCTTCAAACCAATCTTGAGGTATCCAGAAACTGTTTCAATTGGATATATCGTCTTCTTGTTGGCCTCTTGCAACAAATACCTCCAGTATTGAGACCATCCTCAGCATTGGCATTGACACAGTCAAATCAAAAGCAAACGCCAACTCCCCCAAAACATCCATATCACCATCCCCAACATCATCTCCTGCCTAGCCGGCACGCTTGCATACTTTGACCGACTTGCCATCTATCTACTCCATCAACCTTTTCCATTGAACGGCATTTTTTCCAATCCGCCAACCTCCAAGATACACCATGTGCTACCGCCAAGCAATCGAGTGGAAATGCGCCGACTGCGGCAAGAAGTCGCGTGAAAACTCGTCTGTACAAATTCAATGCCCCAACAGCGGCTGTCGCAAAGTTCAGCCAAAGCTTCGCCCCCAGATGAGATTCAGCCCTGAGCCATGTCAAAATTGTCAGCCTCGCAAGCGTCGCGCCAGAAGCAAGAAGTTGCGTGTGAAGGCGGGAGGTCGAGCTGATCAAGTCAGCGGTGCAGACAGCCCACACGTTCTGGTGATCGATCTATTTGATGCGGATGATGAGAGGCGAACCGTTACGGAAGCCGGCGCGGATAAGAAACAAAGCCAATTGGGGAATGAGATGGAGAGTAAGGTGCGACTCATCGAAATGCAACACTCTGAGCACCAGATGGAAGCAGTTCGACAAAGCCAGGAACATCGAGTTGCGCGTCATGCCACAACGGACGTTCACCTTGCCAGTCCAACTCGTGTCGGAGGTGACCAGGGCCACCCATCGGCCGCTGGCGAACATCAACCCCTCGCATTGCGTCCTCGCCGAGGTGACGGGATTTGCCGAATTCGCGATGCTGTGCAAGAACGCCATGGGGCATCACTGTCTGCTCACGCCCTCATTGCTCTCAACAACTGGTTGGAACTTGTTTAGGCCCAAATGGTCATAGGGATCTTGATGTATCGGTGATTTAAAGAGCAGATGGAGACAGGAGAATGGTCTTGGATACTTGGATATCAGGTTCGTTGGAGAGACGTCAGACAGACAGGAATCGCAAAGGGGCTCAACTTTTTTTGCACACAGTGATGGTGACTGGCAGGTCAAAGCGTCGAAGGGACGGACTCTCTCCGGCTAAGATGGCTTCGCCTACTTGGTGTAAACTAGATCCAGCTTTATTAGAGGATAGGGTTGGGCAATTGGGATAGATAAACTCTAAAACTCAGGATGAAAACATTCAAAGTCAAAGCCACCATTGTACAGCTTGTTAATTGAGAGGATATGGTGACTCGGTGAGGGTGGCCCCATTGGTGGTGATGCGTCCGATGGTACTGTGGGAGGCATTTTACGGGTGGCAAGAGCTATCACCTGTCGGCAACGCTCCTGTTGAGCGCTCTGAGGACATGGACAGCCTTCATAAGATGATGGAGGGAAGGTATATACCTGGGTGAGGAGACTGTATGTCGAGAGAAGTGTTGATTCTTTGCAATCACGGGATAATGATTTTCCGACAGCTCCAAATACTAGTAGGCACAGCCTCAAGTGTTGGTCAGAGTTTCAGCCTGATGCCCAACCAACGACCTCTGCCCACTCCAGATCTGTTCGATATTGGTCTCTGCTGCAACGACATCGTGGTTCAATAGCCCTGGCCTCAGCTCTGTACTTGACAGCTGCCGAGATTCGCGCTCGGGGTTGAGGGAGAGTAGATCTGCCCACCTTTCTCCAGTCCAGCCGTCTCAGGAACCGCTGCACAATATGCGCCTGATCAATACAGCTACACTTGACCTCAAAGAGTTTGAAGGGGAGGACGTCCCGTTGTACTCCATTCTTTCCCACACCTGGGGCGAGGACGAAGTCACATACCAGGATGTCCAGGCCGGCAGGGCGGAGGGCAAACTGGGGTACCAAAAGATCAAAAACGCGTGCAAAAGAGCCGCGGCCGACGGATTCGAGTATATTTGGATCGACACCTGCTGCATTGACAAGAAAAGCAGCGCCGAGCTCTCGGAAGCGATCAACTCGATGTGTCGCTGGTACCACGAAGCAATAGTGTGCTACGCATATCTTGCAGATGTGTCGTCCAGCATCGCCGACACTCCAACAACCAGTGGTATTCACTGCAATACTCCACCAAGATCTGGGATTCCATTCAGGAAGAGCAGATGGTTTACTCGAGGGTGGACGCTCCAGGAGCTTCTCATGCCTCAGGTGGTGGTGTTTCTCAGCAGCGACTGGCAAGAAATCGGTACCAAATCAAGTCTCCGAGAGGTCATATCAAAAATCACGAGAATTCCCCTGCATTTCCTCCAAGGTGGCGTTGATTCTGCGAACATCGCAGAGAAAATGTCATGGGCTTCGAAGAGAAAAACAAAGAGAGTCGAAGACGAAGCATACTGTTTGATGGGATTGTTTGGCGTTCATATGCCTCTACTCTACGGAGAAGGGAAGAATGCTTTTATAAGGTTACAGGAAGAAATTATGAGGGTTTCGGATGATCACAGTATCTTCGCATGGAAAGGTATCAGCCACGGAGATCCACTTGCGAAATCCCCAGCAGCATTCAAGAGCAGCGGTGGGATAAAAAACATGCATCAGCCGACACCATTGACCACTGGAATAACGGTGAGTAGTCAAGGAATCCACTCGAAACTCCCTGTCAGCAAGTGGGCCACCCATGGTAGGTTTCATCATACTCTTCTCCCATGCAAAATGGGAGGAGAACCAATTGCTATCTATCTGGAACCCATCCCTGAAACGAAGCACACATACCGAGGGGCCACTCGGTCATTTTCCACAACATTCGCCCCAGACTTTCCTAACCCGCAGGATCATCTCGTAAGGGATATCTGCATCCGACGAGGTCGTCGTCCTTGGAGACTGAAGAAGTTTCCTTTGCATGATGCTGCGGAACTTGGAAACAAGGAATTGGTCAATTTCTTGATTGGAAAGGTGGCAGTGGACTCCGAAAACCAGTTTGGCCTGACACCATTGTTTTTGGCATCGGAGAATGGCCACCTGCCAGTGGCCCGGCTCCTGTTGGAGAAGGGCGCCGACCCAAATCCCACCAATATCTTGGGAGAAACACCTATATCTGTGGCAGCAAAATACGGTCACGAGTCACTAGTAAAGCTACTACTTGAGAAGGCCTTAGCTTCTCCCGGGAGTGACAGCAGCAAGACAATGCTTGACTATGCAGAGAGGAGGAGACATGCAATATTGGTGGAAGCGTTGTTCGAGGCCCGCCAGCATCGCCTCCAGTCCTATGGGCACTGAGATTCGCGACATTTTATCCTGTGGTGGCCTCGGTGAATCTAATGGGCTATAGCTCACTGGTTGAAGCGGCCCTTTGCGGGCATGAGGCGACGGGTGAAAAGCTCTTCCGACTGTCAGTGCCCTAAGGCAACCTCATGCTCTGTCGCTCGTATTGACGAGCGTATACCCTTGGTTGATGAGCTCATCAGCAGCAGTTGCGGCGCACCAATCCTTCATCACCCCTTCCTCTGGAGCGTACCTGAAAAAGCCCAAGACATTTCCGGCCTCATCCCAGATAGTACTACCGCACATTCCTCCATGAAGCTTGATTGCTGAGTCTTGACCCAAGTAGCTCCAGGTTGTAAATATCCATTCCTGTTTCGAGGAGTAGTCATCCCCAGGAACTGCTTGGAATGACGACCAGCTGAATCGCCCTTCGATGAAGCCTGTATTGGGTGAACGCAGGTAAACAGAATCGGAGCGTCGGTACTTTTTGGCAGAAATAAATTTGTTGAGCTGAGTCGGCTGCTCGATCAACTCGTCGTGGAACATGACGTTGGAGAACGTTTCCGTGTCCCGCAACTTGACGAGGGCGATGTCCGTGTGCGAAACTTCCATAACGAGCTCTCCAACATCGCGGCCGGTGCTGGGGAAGGCGTGGAAGACCCGTGTGCCACATTCGCTGGGGAATCCATGCGCGGCTACAGTCATGAACTCGTTGCCAACTCTATCCTTCAGAAGAACTCCAGTTGTTGTTGCGAGAAATGCATCGGGTTTGTCTAGCAGATAGCTAGAAGCCACCCTCAGCCCTGGCTGTAGAGTATCGTACTGGTTCATGTCCAGATCCCCGGGAGCTCGGTCAGAAAGGCGGCGAACATGTGGTGCGGACGGTCTTCCCATCTCATCTTCGAACAAGTAGGAACACGAAATATTTGCTGCGTGGAACGGCAATTTGTTGTAATTCGTGTCGCGGTACTTCAAGACGATGAATACGACGTTGCCAAGATACATGACCTCTGTGATCGGGACCCGGAGCTCTTCAAAGTGGCTTTTAATGATGTGGAAGAGCGGCTCCCAATCCTGCATATCCCTGCCATTCTGGTCCTCAGCGATAGAGCCATTCTTTCGAGAGACGGGTAATGCTCGAGGCATGGGGTTTTGACCGGGAATTTGGTGAAGGTAGAGAGGAAGTCCGGCAACAGTGAGTGGCCAAGGCTTCGGCGGCAGCGTGTGTACCTGGAGGTATAGAAACCACCCGTCGCTGCCAATGCCAATGGTTCCGGGAAAGATGCTTCTTATGGCATCTCGCTTTTCGGGGTCGTATAAGGCGTTGGCGTCGTTCCGGAGGTCGAAAGGCAAAATGACGTGCCGTGTCGGCGGTGGCTTTTGTGGGTCCTGTGCTGGCATGTCTTGTAGAGGTGGTTGTGTGACAGTGGTGCCTTAGAGGAGCGGGTTTGGGGTGATAGCGGCTTTGTCGTGAGAAAACTGTTGGTCTAGAGAGAGTGAGAGAGTGAGAGAGAGGCAAATAAACAAAAATAAGAGGAGTTTATGTACCTTTTGACGTGTTGGCGGCAGGCAGCAGGCACGCAATTGCCAGCTACAGCATACTTTGTATTTCCTACGGTCCGTACCTTCCACCCAATCATACCTAAAGCTTAACAACCACGAGGTGACCACCTACTTAGGGACTACTAGTATCTGGTGATAAGTATGGGGATCTCCCTGTGTTTAAGGGTACCTAGGTAGATACAATGCCCCTTATGAGCGAAGATACCCTGATAGCCAACAGTCGATGGCTTCTGCTTTACTGCTGTCGTACCCCTTCCTCGAAAGACCTGTGCCACTTATCTTTGGAGTGGGCTCGCCCTAGGTACTTGTAGACGCCGTGCAAGTTGCAGGCGGGTGTCTGTGCCTGGCACTAGTCCGGCTTTGTGGCAGTGTCTAGACCCAAGTTGGAAATCCTCAATTCATCCCAGGACCCACAGCCATCAAGTCGCTGCAAGCACGCAGGCTATGCTGAGGGAGACATCAAATGCTTTTCCCTGGACCTGGTGGCATGGGGTTCGCACGAAAGAGGTAATCATGAAACTCACACCCGTGGTCCATGGGCAGTGAGCCTACGGCCTATCACACGCAAAAGTCCCCTGGTATCACAACATATAAGAACCATGTTGAGGCCAGTCACTGGGAACAGTAACGCCTCAAGTCTCATATCATCCAGGAGCATTTTTTCCATACGGGAAAGCAGGAGGTATGGACGCCAATACCAGGTAGGCCAAGTCAATTACACACGCGCTGTTGAGTGATTCTATTGACCACATTGTACACCGCCAGCAGCATACCAACTCCGCCGCCCTCACCTCGCTTCCGACCGCAGAGCTCGGCCACGAGGGACGAAATGCTCGCGGGAATCCTACCTTGCCGCGGAACAACCGGTCAACACGCCCAGTCCGAGAACGAAAACGAAGGTGACGCTTTAGCTGCGGAACTCGACAAGATGGCAGATGATCTCGCCGCCAGAGAGTGTCATGCACATCACAAATCACAAGAGACTCCCTCCTAAGCCGAAGTGTATGTAGAGCGCAGCTGGTCAGTGTCCTGCTTCGAGGTCCATATGGCTCCACGTTGAATGAGAGATTGAAGGTCTGGGTTGGCCCAGCGTGGGCAATCATGGAAATTGCTGAAATGGTCGTGATTGGGGTGAGAGTCAAGCGTGCTTGGAAATCTCCAGCGCCTCGCGTTCTGGATATGAAGATGAAGTCCGCGAGCCCACCTAAGCTGATGATCTTGCTAAAAGAGGTTTCTGCTGTTCCTTGAACTTCCTTCGCTTGGAGTGGCATATGTAGAACACACGGGAAAACTAAACAGGATATCTGGATGGCAATTCCAACTGGCAAATCACTACCCGCTCATGTTAATGTCCATGGGATTGATATCGTCAATGTCGGCCAATGAAGGGTTCGATGCGAGACCTGTGATCCTAGAGAACCTCAAGCTGCTCTGCGAGCTCCTCTGGCCTGACGAACCGGTCTGTTGGGTTGCAATCGAGGTAGCAGTGCTAGGTCTAACTCCCGACACTGTTGCTCAACCGGGCATATGCTTAGAGTTAGTGGCAGGGCTTTTCACCAGAGCTGGTGCTTCAGACCGAGTTCCTGAACTGGAGCTTCTGTTCCGCTTGAAATTGTGAGAGAAGAGCACATTACATGCGGAGGTACTATCATGTTGGGACGAATCTTGTGGACGAACGTGTCTTCTTGATTCAAGAGCAGGTGGGTAGCAGGTTTCCTCGGGGAATTCGATATTGCGGGGCAAAGAAATTCCGAGGAATGATTATTTGGGTCTAACCCAAATAGGAAGGAACGCGTCGTGGTCTTCCTTTTCAATTTGAACGCCCAGCTGCGTTCTGCATGTGTGCAACTTGATCCTGCTACCGACACTTTCCATCATCATGTGAACACTTGGCAGCCCTCCTTGAAACCTCTGCATGACTTCTGAATAGCCTCCTTGAAGCCGATCTCTGTATATTGCATGCCGAAACGACCCGCGTCACAGAGTCGACCTCCGGTACCAATCGCTTCGTCCACTACCCTCTCGCCCCGTCACGGGGGCTCTATACAGTTCAACCTCCCCCGAGTTTCCCGATGCAAGTCGAGCTCTTTGAGCCGGTGTCACCTGTCTTCCCACCGCTCGAGCCTCCTGGCATGGTCTCTGAAGAGCAACTGGATTACAAGGGACAATGTGGATGCGTGTCGGAACGTAACCCTAAGATGTTTGTCGGTTCAAGTGTCGCGGTCCAGTTGTCGAGTCTCTAAGTAACTACATTCGCGCGCCTCCAGCTTACTATTTGCTCCGGTAAAGAACAGCAGGTCGGATCGAATGCAGCCAAAAGAGAATGCGACGTTCAGAGCCTTCACAGGAGGGTGGTGAAAGACGGTCTAGCCATGCGTCAAGTTGGTAAGCGTCCCTGAGGGACCGCGCGTCGGCATTCCAACGCTGAACATTATACGTGATCATATATGGGATGTTTTGGTGTATTGGAGCGTGAGACAAGGATCAAGAGAGAGCGGAGATGACGAATTGTGGGGATTAGCGCACAAGGTCTATGCCTAGAGCACGGAGATCTTTTGGCCTACACACAAGATTGCTGGGAATCCTTCTGGGAGCAGATGAGATCCACTGGCCGGAGTCCGAGCTTCATGTCGTTTGGATGCCAGGTCTTGGATGTGACTTCAAGGATTCCAAATCAGTATATCTTCTAACTTGGCACTTTGTCTGTTCCGGAGGGCCATGACCAGCGCAGAATATCAGCAAACGTTAGCTCAGCATTAGCTGCCACTCCTCTCCAACTCTGTTCTTGTTCTCGCGGCGCTCTACCTTGTGCCAGCTCGTACACCAAACGCGCACCGAGGCAACAACTATCTGGTGTGTACTTCTGTTGAAGATCCCGATCAACCGTGTTAATCTTCCACATCATGTTCAGCATGATGAAATGGAGAGCGCCGATTCAGTGTGCCCTTGGTTCTCCGGGATCTCTGGGTTCATGATGAACCTCGCTTTCGAGCGAGAAGAGGACGAGTTTTGAAGATGTCATTTGTGCGTCCTGGCCTGAGACACGGCGAATGTCCTTCGATTAGTCTCTTTTGGGACGGAAGAGAGGAGAAAACCAAAATCTTGTCTTCGAGGTTGCTGTATCACACATGAGAGAGGCATTGAAATCCTGTTTTGGCAGGGCTTGGATGTTGCGTCTGGTCTGGAATCTGTGCGCCGTGAGAGAAAACATGGAATACATCGTCGGCCGTGAGAGGGATTCGGAGGGACGACTGCGAAGCTGCATAGCGACGGCTCCACTGTGCACCCCTACGACATAGTCTCAAGCACAACGCCGCTCTCTGATCGCCGCACAAAAGCCTATATCAAGCAATCGGCCTATTGTTGCCAAGTCTCAACTTCTACACGGGTCCACGGTATGATTGTCGCAACGAGTCCTGAGGGGTCTAGCCGCCTGAGTTTCAGATGAGTCCTGCAACGTCATCAACATGTCCATGCAAGAAATCCTGCAGCACAACAAATGCATCAGACTAGAAGTGAAAGGGACTGTTGAGATGGATAGGACCACCAAGTGTGCGGGACGGGACCTCTCTCGAGTGAGGATCAAAGCTTTGGCTTGTCTGTTCTTAATACTTGCTGTTTGTCAAACACAGTCCCGACTTGCTCCAGTCTGTGTGAAGTTCTCTGTCAGGCGTCTTCCTTTTCGTGGCAATGGTGGATCAATCTTAGTCGGTTGGCGAGGACGACCTTTCAGTGAACTCGACGTGACGGATCTTACGTGGGAGTTGGTGAACTTGCTACGATACTTGCGGTTTGCATCTCGGTACCGATGCTTTTGACGCGTGGACAGGGGCGATATATTTCCGCTGCCCCTGGACGCTTGCATGGTCCTTGGACAGCGGGACATCCTTTTTTATAAGTCTCCCTTATTCCTCCTTCGCGCCTGAAAAACTAACGAAGAACAGCTGGGATCGCTGGGGCTGCAGAGTCGTACGAGGTATCAGGCTCAAACGCAGCACCTGTATGAAAAAGTCGACAAACGATATCAGCTGTCTTCGACGAAGTTGTTATGGACAATGTCGCCATTCCAAGTTCGCTAGACACCTGTGGCGAGTTAGGGCAGCCAAGTAGACGCTCGAACTTGGCGGGAAAAAATCGCCCAGCTACGAGCATCACTACGGGAAGCGCACTTATCGACAGTGTTGACTTCCAGACCAATAGTGAGGGACTTGGACTCGGGAATAGGATCATTGGGAGGATAGCGATTGCTAGTGCGAGGGGTTTGTTGGACCATGTGGCTGGCTGAGGAGAAACACCTTCCACTTCAAGAGCGTATTGGAGAAACACTTTCCGCTTCAAGCGCGCGAATATTATCTTAGTATAAGCACATGCGGCTGAAGCACTCCTCCAATTAGCTTAGAAAAAGCGATGCCAACTTGTCAAAATCGAGTTTGGCTGAGATAGTCAGTCTGGCGCATCGCTTATCTACAATTTCAGTCCTAAGTTTGGACCCGGCTTTACGGCTGGAGGTTAGAAGAAGCCATGGCCCCAAGAATGCAGTGGCTGTTAACCTTTTGTGGTTGTTGGTTGCGTTTCGTTTGAGCATCGCGCGGAGCCGGTCGAGCGACTGTGCGGCAGCGCACCAGTATAAAGACTGGACTCTGAACGCTCCATTTTGCTCCGGCCTTCTTCTCCTCCTGACCCATTCCATTCATACCTCTCGCTATGGCTGCACCACCGGAGGTCAACCTCGCAAACCTGTCTGGGAAATGGGTCCTGGTACGTATACATCATTTCCGAACCTTCATCGACATGGTTTGTTTGACCGCCGTCAGAACCGTGGGCTGGCCGATGACCCCGACCCAATGCTGGCGTTTCAAGGTGTTCCTTGGTTGAAGCGCAAAGTCATTTTGCTCGCCACGGTGACCTTGTCCGTCAAGGAGTATGTTGACGACAAGAACATCACACATATCGATCTGGACCAGACCGCCTCGGGGGGCATCCAGGGCACCAGTGAGCTGCGCATCCTGGATTGGAGTGAAACCATCCACGAAGATCACATTTTCGGCACCATGAAGAGCCGCAATCGCTGGGTCGCCGATCTCAAGTCCTGCGAGAGTGGGAATGGAGGGCCCCTCGACCCGTACCTGACTGAGGGCTGGTTAGACGAGAAAGTTGGCCCGAATGGGGAGGCATTCGTCCAGAATTGGGTGAGTAATGAAGAACGAGGCTGGACGGCGGAGCAGATATGGGGATTTACCATGATCAAGGGCAAGCGGTATAAGACTAGGAAGATCCTCGTCAAGAAGGGGGATGAGAGATTGACAGTTACCTTTGCGTATGATTGGAAGGGAAGGTCCAAGGCTTAGTTGGGCGAGATCTGCTGAGACTGGTGTTGATCAACTGTGCCCAGAACGTGGAGTTGAAGAGCTTTGTGTGGCGCGCCGCGAACTTTTGTCATGCATAGTCAGCTCGAGTCAAGATAGTGTGAGGAAGGAGAGCCTCCCCTAGTCTATGCAAGACATCAGAAACCCCTGTAGACCAACGCAGCCTGATCCTTGTGGTGCTATACTTGTAGCGTTGCAAGGCGCCTCGAGCAGTCTGTAGGTTGTCTGCAAAGGATTTCAGTTTCCAGAGTTGCAACCCCTTGACTCGGTAGAATCGGTGGATAGGTGTTGTTGGTCCTCAAGCGCCGTCCATCCTGAAGAATCCGTACCTCATGACTGTCGACAAGCCGTCAAACGCGCAACTCCGTCGATACTTCGTGCGTCTGCGCAACCTTGAATGTGTCGAAGGAGGTCAATGCCCTCAGATGTGGCTTGCTTTGCTCACAGCAGAATCATTCCAGCTTCGGCGCATTTCTGAAGTAACAAATGACTGGCAGCCTTGCACCTGTCCTTCCAAGTACCTAGATAGGCAGCTACTACTGGGTATTGTCTATTCATGGGGAACGAGGTGCCAGACTCACATTGTGTCTATGAGCTAAGTTGAGCTATCGTCCTACCCCAAGGGGAATCTCGAGTGCCCCAAGGAGTTAGACTAGGTGGGTCATATTACGACAAACCCTTCTCTCCATGGGTACCCCAGACGCCAGCCGCTTTGCAAAGGCCTAGACTTGTGGGAAATGAGTTTTTGGTACCAGACTCTGTTACTCATGTTATATGGCATTCGTCGAGGTAGGCTCTCATGTGTCTCTGGGCACGAAATGTGGCAAGCATTGAGGGGCACCATGTCCTACAAAATATAAGAAGCATACGGTCTTCCCAGCAACGAAAGTCCTCTTCTTGAACAATCTCAAGTCTCTTGGTTCCCTTCGCGATCACGAAGATGGGGAAAAGGTACAACTGGTTTTGCACCATAGTTGCCGGTTTCGGGAGCATGTTGTATGGAATTGACAATGTTGTCATTGCCGGCACGTGAGTATGCCCTGCTGGGATCAAGTCAACCACCGCTCATGTAGATGACAGTTTTGCACAGCCTGGTTTTCTCCACAAGTTTCATCCTTCGGCGACATTGTTAGGGTGCGTCAAATATCGACCATAGTGATGGTCGTGCGATCCAGCTAAGATATCAAACAGCGCGATTGCCACCAGCTTCTATGGCGGTACACTTCTGGGCATTATTGGCGTCTTTGCCTTGGCGGACAGATTCAGTCGCAAGAGAACCTTGCAGTTCGGCGCTGCACTTGGGTTGATTGGGGCTCTGCTTCAGTCGGTCGCGCAGCAGATCGCTCTTTTCACTGCCGCACGTGTCCTCACAGGAGTGGCTTCAGGTGTCATGCTCACAACCGTGCAAATCTATCAGTCGGAGATCTCACCGCCTAATTTGCGAGGCAGAATGATAACTTTACAAATTTGCACTATCAACGTGGCCGGCCTAGCCATTGCCTTTACTGGCTATGGAACTTACCACTCGGACAATCCTAATCTACAGTGGTAGGTGGCGTGCGCCTGGGCCTTTCACTGCATGTTGGAGGAGTAATAACTGTTTCCAGGCGATTGCCTATTGCGCTGCAATGTGTGCCTGCGCTCGCATTATTTATCGGATGCTTTTTCATTCCGTTCACGCCACGTTGGCGTAAGTAAAGTACCCGGCCTGGGCGAGATCTATCCGCTAACCCCAAGAAAAGTGGTCATGCATGGTCGCTATGAAGAAGCCAAAAGCGTCCTCAGAAGACTTCACGACGATAATGAGGATCATTCTTTCTGGGAGAAAGAGTATACAGTTCTGGTGGCCCAGCTTGATTTTGAGAAGGAAGAGACGGCCGGTGTAACCTTCTGGCATATGTTCACCAACAAAAAGGAACTCAAGCGTGCCGGTCTAGCAGTCGCCGCCTTGACAAGCTGCCAAACCACTGGTGCGCAGACAATTCAAGTGTTCCAGGTGGGTGCTTGATTCTACGGACCCTGCTCCCAGAATTACTGACAGTGCGGCCAGTCGGTGATATATTCCCACCTGGGCTTCGACACTGCCAAGGTCCTGCTCTACGCCTGTATATTCCAGATTCTCCTGAACTTGGGCGGCGCTGTCAATCTGATCGCAATCGATTGGCTTGGTAGGCGGGTGTTGTTCATCTCCGGGCTCGTCATGCTCTCAATCATTTTGGCTCTTTTCACTGCATGCCAGGCGCAATTCGAAAGAACCGCAGAAACTGGTAAGTCTAATCAAATCATCATCTGCTGGTGAATCAACCTCTGACTCTCTCTGCAAGCTTGGGGCAAGGCTGGCATTGCAATGGTCATGATCTTGATCTTCTTTTACGCTTGTACCTACGTTTCTACCGGCTACGCTTATGCAGCGGAGATTCTACCAACCAAGATCAGAGCTCAAGGTATGGCTCTGGGAATGTTCTCGGCGTACTCGATGATCATCACTTTTGGCCAGGTCACTCCTATCGCGTTGGACAAAGTTGGTTACAAGTATTTACCTCTGTTCATTGGATTCAACCTCTTGTTCCTCCCCATTATTGCTATCTGGTGCAAGGAGGTGCGTAATTCCAAACACAAAATCTTGACCATATGACAGATTGACCGTGTGTGGCAGACGAAAGGGCTTTCATTGGAAGAGATCAACGTTGTCTTTGGGGAGACGGTTGTGGCAAGGATGAGTGAGCTTAGCGAAGATGCCGCTCACCAGAAGACGGAGATCAGAGTCGAGCAAAAGGAGTATTACTATGGGAGCCCTGGCTCTGCAAAAAATAGGTGCCCTGAGAAGAACGTTCGGATTGCAACGGTACGGCGATACGAGGACGAGATTGAAGACTTTCGTTGCAAGAGCAAAGTTCGGATGTGTGTTTAGCCTAGTACCAGCAACAAATCTACCCAAATAACATATAGAAGTTTCATAAACAATCATTGCTCGCTGTGAATCAAAAGGCATAGACCCCGTAGCTGGGAGTCAGCCCTCTCGGTCTCGGTGTTTGAACATATCTACTTTCTCCTCGCTATCGACGTGGGTGTCTAGCAGGTCTGAAAGGTCGTCCTGTCGACCACGGTGTGAAGCTCTCTCTATGTGGGACATGGTAGATCGATGAAATCGCGACCACGTCGAGGATTACAAGTAGTCCGACACAGTCAGCCATCTTTGACAGACGCCCAGGACTGTCCAGCGACCGCGGGAGCGCTGGCCTCGCCCTCCGTAAGTGGCGGTTGGCCTGATGTCTCGACGCTGATGTCCAAGTGGGGCATCAGCTCAACGAGCTGCAGATAGGTCTCCTGAAGCTCGTCAGTTACCGGTTTGGAGTTGCGAGTGAGATGGACCAAAGCATCTGTATTGATCTTCCAGGAGGCGTGGTCGGCTGTGCTCTGCGAAGGGGTATCTGCGTCAGATGCCTTGGGATCGTCAGCGACAGAGGACGCAGTGGGCTGCCAGAAAGTCAAAGTACCCAGATTGTCGTCTTCTTTTGTCAAGGGTGGATACTTCAACGGGAATTGCTGAACCAAGCGCATCCTCCCGTGCGGATTGAGAAGGATGTCTTGGCCCTCTTGATAGAGGATGTGTGCCACTTCTTCACATCGCTCACCAGTCTCGCTGAGCAGGCACCCCGCTACCTCCACAGCGACTAGTTGACCTAAGAGTTGGCCGCACTGACTGCTCGTCCAGCCATTGAGGCTGCTCAGAGCATCATCAATCACCTTCCGTGTGCCTAGTGGGGACCACCATCCTACAGTGTGTGCCAGGAAAACCCCCTCCTCCATGTAAGGGCGGATAATGAGATCATCTTGCCAGAGCAGATGCTCCATCTGGGCGACCCTCGCCATGTGCACGTACCAGGATAGCTCAGACCCAATCTTCTGCTCGATTTCAAAAAGACTTTCACAGATCTTCTTCTCAAGAAGACGGGCATTGTAACCTTGACGTGGTCTGATGACATCCACAGCTTGTGAGAAGTATACCTTGGCTTCCGCAAAGCGAGGACCATCCGTTGCTGTTTCTGAAGCTTCGCTTTCTTTGCCGTCAGATGACTTGGCCAACACAAGCTGGCCTATATCCCAAAGTTTGGAAGCCTCTTCTTCTGGGACCATTCGCCAGTCTGAGTGCGGATCATTATGTAATTCTGTCAGCTCTTGATGTAAAATCTGCGCCGTGTGCAAGTCGCAGTCAGTGACTGCGGCTTTGAACAATAACTCTTTCAGGGGTCCAGTCCAGGAGTCAGCACCAGGCAATCTCGACGACTTAGAGAGTTCGAGGAGTTTAAGGTAGTGAGAACGAAGCTCGGGAGTCATGTCTGGACCAGGGTTAGAGAGCCCCAGTGCAAGTCTCGCGTTGTAGTAATCAGCGACTTCGCTCAGCTCGATCGTGCCGTCCAGGGCAGCGCTCATCATTGTGAATGGTTCTCCTGGCTCCACTGCCCATCTCAACCCGATCTTACCCCACTCTTCGAACGTTTTCTGGCTAATGAATCCGCTTCGACCGTCAAAAGGGATCCCATAGAAAACCGAGTTCTCCTGGTTCTCTGACATGTACATCTTCTTGTTGCTCGACATACGTACTAACCGCTTGTAGTACTGTTCGATCACTTGTATCTTGCCCCTTCGATAGCACGATAGAATCCGGTTATCTGTCAGCGAGGGGGCCTCAACTTTCAGGAGGGCATTCAATGTCTCCAGGTCGACGGGATCTTGAAAGACCGTCTGTAGGCATTTGATGCAATACGAGAAGATGGGTAGGAACGCGGCTTGGGGGAGAACATTGCTGAACTCGTTGAGTGCTTGACAGACAGCATCGGTAGCGTATTTGATCTCATCGCGGTGAAGATCTCCTTCATCAAATATACGGATCATCATGCGCATGCAATACCAGGACCAATAGAATATCATGGTCTCTGGAGTGCCGTCTTTGTCAATCAAATACCCTGTGCCTGTCCTGAGTGTCTGTGATGGACTCTCATGGAGTTGCCTCCTTGCACAGTACGACACTGCAACTTCCAAAAGTGCTTTCAGGCAATGGAAGAGAGTTTTCTGCTGGATCATGGAATCGTGCCCCTGTGGTTTAGCCATAATTAGACCGTCAAGGATGGCACTCTCGGCAAGACCATAATGGGGATGAAGGACGTAAGTGTATGCCGCTGTGACGATGTTGTCGAAGTCTTGATCTATTTCTGTGAGAAACGTATCCTTCGATTCTCTGGCGAATGCCCGTAGTCGGCATTCGTAAAAAAGGACAAAGGCCTCCTGTACTTTCGTCATCAAATTTCGGTGGAATGTTTTCTCCTCCTGATGCAGCTTTGCTCGAAGTATGAATGGGAGGATGTCTGCCAGTCGTAGAATCTCTGGTGGCTCCAGCTCATCGTCCTCTTGATCGACGATTTCGCCAAGTCCTGTGACGGCCAGCATTCTGGCGCATTCTCCAAACGACACAATCCACTCCGGATTGACGATCATAATCTCCTCGTAGTCGTAATTATCGAAGGTTTTGGGATGCAATGGTTTGACAAAAGGGTTCTGCTGGTACATGGCCGACAATCCAGTGGAATGCAAAAACTGGAACCACATTTTCCACGCCCTACGGGGCACCCGTTTACGAAATAATGAGAGGCTGAGGAGCATGATAGTAGCCAGTGGATGCTCTTTATGGAATAGCTGAAAGAATCCGAAGACTGACAACATGGATCCTGAAATAATTGGAGCCAGTAGATAGAGATCGTCGCCGATCCAATGAAGCCTCGAGGTTGCGTCTTCGAGAATTGAAGGGACTTGCTGCAAAATGCGTTGTAGGGCTTCAGAGGCTGGAGCAGGCAGACCGGTCCTGAGGGCTTCCACCCAACACACCGGCCAGTTGCGCATGAGCAGTGGATGCCCAACAGTGATCAGTAGAAAAGGATTCCAATTCAGGAAATCCATCATTGCGCGCATTTGCACTCCTAGTGAAGAGCGAGGGAATGTTTCGGGGCCTTCTGTGACGCTGACTGCGGACCCAGCCTTGTACACTCCGACGGTGGTCAGAGATTGATCGACAACATCACCAGATTGAGAGGAGCGTCCACTACCGGCAGCGACGTGAGAGCCAGGTTCGAACGCGGTATTGTTTCCGGAATCATTAGGCTCTTCAGAGCCAGGAGTCGCAACATTGGCGTCACTAGCCTCTGGTTCTTGAGTCCCGTCTTCATCATCTTTCTGAGCATTGACACCTAGGAGTAAATCTCGGCTCGCTTCCTCTCCCAGAGCAGGAAGAAACTCACGACGTAAAGTATGATAGGGAAGCCTCGTTGCAAACAGCGGCGGACTCCTAGAAAGGAGTAGTAGAAAGCAGTTCGAGCCTCTCGATCGAAATGACTCAACAAAGGGAGCGAATGACTCACCGACTGTGCCAAACTCATCGAGTCCAATCTCGAAATTATCGATTACAATCAGTAGCTTGCGCGAAAGGAATTGTCCAGGATCTCCTGAGTAGTCTGCATGCCTCAGGGCTGCTATGCCTGCCCATAGTTTGCCATCCGGCCATAACATATCCGGTCTCCGGAGGCAATCGAAATAATAGCAGCCTTCGACAAATTTCGTGTAGGTCCACCAAGCAGCAAACCATCCTGCCATTGCGGTCTTTCCAATACCGGACGGCCCTTGCAATAGTACAGTTCGGGACACTGACAGTGCTTGTTCCATAGCCAACTGTTCTGCATCTCTCTCCGATGGCCAGCAGTAATTTTTGTTGACGAAGGTGCCTGCATGGGCTGCAGAGTTGATGGGTAACACTTCTTCGGTCTCGGCCTGTGCAATCGCGCACTCGCTTTGCCGTGGGAAATACACCCTGTTAGTGGTGGATTGATACAGCACTGGATTAAGAAAATCGTCAACCTCCACTTCTTTTTTGTGGATGTTAGTTTTACGCAGAGAAGTGGCTCTGAGGGTGTGTCTGGACTTTCGGACGGACTCGAGCAAGGACTCGTTAGATACAATAAAGTGCGAGTAGATCTCTTCCATGACCTTTGTTGCTGAGTCTGAGAGAACGGCAAATGACATTGCTAGTACCGCGGGGATGCCTGCTGAGGCGACTTGGTAGGCAAAATTCTGGAGGACAGTGCCACGAGAGAACGCGGAGCTGCATGCGTTAAGGAAGAGAGTCCGTACGCCGTGTTCTATAAGTAGTGCCGCTAAGTCAATGGGACTCACACGCTTACTCTTGCGATGTATGTCAGCACTTGCAAGTAGAACGTAAGGTCTATAGGAGCCTTGGGTCAGCCGACATACCCTATGCCTTCAGACGAGCATGCGTACCTTCCATTCTTGACGACACCGTGTACATCGAGGTGAACGAGCGAGAAATATCCTTTACCCTCCCCCTCCAGTCTCCGTTGTAGTTCATTGAAGGTGCCAGGTCGTGCAAAATGCAATATTTGCCGAGTAGAGGTGTTTGGTGTCGTCCATAAGAGGTGGCTTATTGGCTTTGTGATCAAGTTATACTTCTGATCCATCATTTGGTCGGGCCTAGCAGTAAGGAGCAGGATATTTCTGGCGGGTGCAAATTGTATTGAAGGCGGATCCGGATTGCTTTCAACATATCGCACGACACTGATGCAAAGATGGTGAGACTGATACTGTTCTTGTCTCTCCAAGGTCTCCCAGAGGAGCGAATGAAAGGTCGAATCGTCTCCAGAAGCTCTAATCGTAAGAGTGACCCTCAGTTTAGTATTCTCAGCCGGTGCCGCTTTCGATAGAGCCTCAAACGCTGGTCTAAGAGAGGACAGCAAAGAAATTTCACATCTTCGCAGTGCTGCCCTCGCCTTCGTCGCTCGTCCAGCCTGATATGGGTCTTTGACAGCGTAGAACTCCAAGAACCATTGTATGTCAAGCATTTCACCATCCTGAAGGCCGTCAACGATGCTGATATCATGAATACTGGTTAAGAACACTGCCCCCAGAGACACAGAGCAATCGGCAAACCACGCCCCCTTCGACGAATCACAACCAGTTTCTTTCAGCGTGAGACATGCTTCGAACTCATCCTTCAGCAGCTCTTCGTCAGTCTGAGGAGCAGCCATGCGGCGACAAACAATGATCAGATACCACCAAGAACAGCAAACTGGATGGTACTCAACAGGTCGAACCTTTGGTTTTAGTGTTAGAGGGGGAGGGTGGCTCAGCTTGAGAAGCTAGAAGCCACGTACGTCACTCTGTGCCAGACCGCCTGTTGCGTCCAACTGCGTGTTAACCCGCAAGGTGATATGTGAGGATTCTAGGCGAAAAGGACAACACCTTTCGCATCTGAACGCTACATGCTTGGGAGTTCTCTATCGAAATGTCAGGGTACAGAGCAACTTGGGTATTGCTGCCCACGAACGACCAAATACCAGCATCCGAAGCGGTAAACATGTTGGGCCGCATCGTAGCAAACCCTCGATATCCCCTCGCAGACTACGCCCCGGCGTCTCTCCCCACCCTTCCTGAAGGGGAAAACGGAGTTGTGGAAATTGAAGATGAGGATGTGAACATAGTTCTCCGATTTACAACGGATAGCAGCGTCTTGGTGAGACTTTCGAGGCTGCTCAAGGGTCAGAGCACCGAACGAGCCGATAACTCTGACAAATTCGAATCGAAACGGGTCGTCACTAGGACTCTCAGGTTACAAAGGAAAGTGTGGAAAGAACAGAAAAAGGCCCACGAAATGGAGATACTCGCTTTGATGAAGGAGAAAAGCGATCACGGCCACAGTCTCTACATGGTTGTGGGAGTCAAGACGGGCCTGCGCACCAACGTGGCTGACGTCAAGACTGTGCTAACATCCGTTGGTGGCCAAGCATCAATTTCGCTAGAAGCCGCATTTTTACAGCTTGGTCTTCCCATAGGCGATGCCTTGGATCTCAGCTTTGAAGCTAAAGCAGAGCGCTTACGGTCTGCTTTGACCCGGTACGTCGCTCAGGGAGAACGTATTTTTGCTTTGCAGTATCGCATTATTTCGCGCAAGCGAGACCTTGCCTTCCGCACAGCTTTGGCATTCGGACATGTGTTAGAGGGTCCGCGAGACCAAGGTTACTTTGCTGGGGTCGACGACGACGACGACGACGATGATGATGATGATGATGATGATGACAACGACGACAACGACAACGCTCAACTAGCTGAAGACAATTTGGAACTTTTTAGACTGCTTAACGCGGCAGACAGCGAGGCCCGAGGCAAGACTGATGACCTGGTTTTTGCAGAATTGTGATCGAACCAGTTTGCTGGACGCGTACTGAGGAGGTCTTCAGCGAGCGGGATCCACGGAGCTCATACGCTGAGCCTCAGGCGCCGCAACCATGGCGAAGCCTATGCACTCCTTTCTCACTCATATCTATTGCGCATTCGGTACGCTTAGGCTTCTGGGCTCCTGTTTTCTCAGCTGCAGCTCGCGCATTTGATTTCTGGAAGCGTCATGCATTGAATTCACGCCAATATTTCTTTCCAGCAGGACTTCTCCAGAGCTCCTCACATACTGCCACCGTCACTTCCCCAGTCCCCCTGTCTAGATCGTTCGTCTTCGTATCATTTTCAGTTACCTCCACGCATTCCATCAACCTATCTACCGCTTCTTGCACCCCATGCCGAGCAACCTAGGAATCAACCTATCAGCACTATGGGCGGCTGGTCGGCTGGTCGGCTGGTCTCTACTACAGATGTATTGACTCAAGGAAGAACGGCTGCTTTGCAATTACAAGGCGTATAAGTCATCTTAGATTTAAAAATGGCGTGCACGTGCAGTCTTGCAAAGCTGAATGCGCAAGACTCGGAGGATGTTGAGGCACCAATTGAGACAGACTGTATCTTGATGTAAGCAACGTCCACCATGTCCATCACCTCCCCACGCGGTCGACTCGTCCTTGAAACCCTGCTGGAAAATGTAGCCGAGGCGAGAGGGTCAGAAACTGGGGCTGACCAGGGGGGTCAAACGTCTGTACCAAAATGGGAATTTCCAGAGGCCAAAAAAGGGACGCCTTTCAAGTGTCTCATGGACTTATCAAGGGCGCTCAGGCACAGCACCGGCACGCCCCAGGCTATCTACTCAGCACCTACCTTCTTGGCGCATTTTGCTCAGGCTTGAAAGCAGAAACGGGGTTTGGTGAGATTGAATCCTTCCTGTAAGTATGCTGGCATTTAGAGTATCGATGCGTTTGAAACTCATTTTCTCCTCAAACCTCTGAGCTGCTCGACAGCAGTCATCTTCGTTGTGCTAACACATTTGAAAAGTGCCCATGAATAGCAGGTAATCTACTTCCAGTAATTGGGAAAGGATTCTGAGAATGATTTTCAATTTATTATGAGGAAATTGAATTTTCAAAGGTCCAAAGCTTTCACAGGTGTCGTTGGTCCGAAAAGGCCAGCACCTTGTCCTGCGGCTAGTCTCCCACTGTCGGCAACGATGACAGTGCCATTCACCGCGGCTGCAAGATCTGAAGCAAGGAACAAGCCCAGGTGCGCTATTTCCTCTGGCAGTGCTATTCGGTTGTAGTAATAAACGGCGTTTTCACCCGTCATACCACTCGATTTGAAGAAGGCATCTTGGTCCTGTTTAACCTGGGTGGAGTTGTCTTCGTTTTGAAGCCCGGCAAACCCCTCGACACCATCTTCGGCCCTGGCAGCGTTGCTATGGATGCTGGTTTGAGTGAATCCAGGGGCAATGCAGTTGATGCGGATGTTGCTAGTGGACAGTTGCACCGAGGCGTTGGCGATCATGCCGTGACAAGCGGCTTTGACCGAAGAGTATGCCAGGTCGGTGACAGCGCCCGAGATTGCTCCTATCGAAGATGTCACGACGATAGCGCCCTTGGGTTTCGGCTTCGTTGACGAGGTGAAGCTCATGGCTTGGGCCCCGTACTTAATGGCAAGGAAGACGCCCATTTGCATGACTGCGAACGCCCTCTCAAATTGCGCTGTGGTCAAATCGTCCAAGCTTCTGTTATTCGGTTAGTAAGCAGATGGTATTGCCTGACAGTTGGGCCAACAAGGTAGCGCGGCAGCTTGCTCTAGTGCCTACCGGTATTTTGCGTATCCTGCATTTGCAAAGAAAAAGTCGAGGCGCCCATGGGTTTTCAAGATGTCTCTCAGAACTTCCAGTGTCGCCTGCTCGCTGGATACATCGAGCAGGCGAGTCTCGACTTTACATTTTGGATTGATCTTGTTCGCACCGCTGATGAGGGCATCACGGAAGTTTACGTGAAGGTCACACGCATAGACCGCCACCGCGCCTGCTTTGACGGCACTCAGAACAAGTGAGCGACCAATACCAAGTGCCGAGCCAGCGCCAGTGACAATACCAACTTGCCCTTCGAGGGGGATAGGCAACATGTTTGTTGTGAATGCGATCGACCGAAGCCTGTGTGGAGTCTGACAAAATGGTAGGTTTGTCAGTGCATTGCGATAGATAGTCTGGAGAACCAAGTTGGGATGAAGAAGCCTCGCCTCTTTGTTCGTCCTGATTAAGAGAACTAGTAGACGTCTATTAAGGCACACAGCGTCTTCGCTAGCAGCTATCTCTCGACTGGACATTCCGGGGCCCTGGGGAAATGGTCCGACAAGAGAGGAACTCTTCACCTTTTTGGGGTAAATAATTTGCCCCAAGGAGTAACTCACTTACTCCTGTGGGTAATTTGTCTACTCCTTTGAGTACTGGTCAAAAGGAGAAGTTACGGGCCGGATCCGTCTTCAGCCCTTTTTGGACATGCTTAGCAATTCATCTTGATGGGTCATTACTAGTAGTGCTACCCTTGCAGCTGCAAAATCGCCTCCCTAGTGGTTGAGTCCTGGTGTCGATGAAGAAGGTACTCAGATGTTGCTCGGGAGGAAGATTCATTGCCGGTATCCACGTGCGAGGTCGCTTAGAAAGAGGAAAGATAAAAGATATGTATGCGCCTGAGTATGCGAAGTATAGTCCTTCCTCGATACACTATCTTTTTTGCCCTGGACTGCGAGTATCGATATGGGCTCCGTTGACTTGAGCTCCACGCCGGCCTTTTCCGCCCACGTACCTCCCCGAAACCCACAGACGATCCTCCTTGTGACCGTCACAGTCGACTCTTCCAATATAGACGATTTCCTCAAGGGCTTGCACATCTGCTATGACCGCTGCATCGAGGAGCCCGAGTGCTTGTCATTCGAGGTCTTTCACAGCCAGGATAAGCCCGGTCGATTCCGATTCCTGGAGATTTGGGCAAAGGATCGGCAATGGTTCGAATCGGTAAACTTCTGCGTGCGGATGTAGCTGGGATATATTGTAACTGACAAATTTACAGGTCCAGATGAAGAAGCCGTACTATGATCCGTACCACGAGGCCACCATCAAACTATGGACAGAGCCACGTACGCGGCCTGAATTGATCTTGGCAAATTGAATAGAGATATGCTAACTGTGACTCTTAAGGGACCCTGGAGTTCTTTGACCGCCGGCCTGGGCTCTCGGCCATAAATGTCAAGTGATAGCGATCGCATGGGGTGTACTGTGCAAAACATCCTGGGGAGCCAGTCAGTGCCAATGCTGTCAGATCGTGAGGATTGGAGACGAAATAAACACATAGTTTGGAACAAAGGCTCTTTGTAAAAATCTGTCTCACCACTTCGGATGCTGAACAGTACTCTGCTATCTGTACTCAAGTAGTAATTATCCCCAGGGGATCCAGTTTCGCTCACTGATGTTCTTCCTCAAATGACGTTCCGAGGTATTCCCTTATTAGCGCATAATTGGCGCCTATGGCTACTCGGTCAAGATTATTAAAACAGGCCTTCTTCCCCAGAGCTTTTTGCTCCCTACTTACTCTATTATGCCTACCCGATCTCCTTGGGGTAATTTCATCTGACTTTTTCAACTATTTACTCTGCTTCTATGATTCCCGGAGGAACAAGACGGTGACATGATCAACGTCGATCTCGAGCCGCCAGTTATGTTCTACACCTTTGCCACCCCCAGAAACGACAGTCGCACCAACCAAGCCCAACAGACAAAGTCCCAAAGAAAGCAGCGACCAAAAGTGAGCGTCGCTTGTGAACGTTGTCGAGATCATCGGATCCGCTGCGGCAATCGAACGCCATGCCATCAGTGCATCGCGGTCAAGGCTCGGTGTAAGCGGGCGACCTCCAAGGGAAATCTGTCACCTGTGGCAGCCCCACGAGCTGGCGGCAGGCAAGCAGTTTGGACGACGTCCTTCCCAGAGCCATCACAGAGAGATACTCCGAATGTTGATGTGACTCCCGCCAGTGTGGCTCTACCTTGTTCGGCAACTCCAGGGTGGGCTCGCATGAAGCAGGTTTCTACCATCCTAACATCATTCCTTGAATCCGCATCCAAGGCACTCCATCAGATCCCCCGAGATCCATTGTTCATCGAGTACGATACGCCAATCTCAGTCTATCACCCAAGCGCTCTCGAGTCGGACGCCCCGCCCGTGACTCCTTTGTCCAAAGAAGAGACGGACTGCTTGTTGGACCTCTACTGGCCGACGTTCGAGATCGAGATACCCATCCTAGATCCGATCTCATTTAGAACGCAGTATGAGTGTCTCTGGACCCAGGATGGACAGGCAAGATCTTCATTGCCTCTCGTGGATGCGCTCACAGCCTTGGCTTTGCAGCACGCTCAAAGCACAGATCTGATGGGACGGACTGTCGGCACAAGGCACTTGAGGTGCATGTACCATGGGGACGTTGGCCTGGCGGCGTTCTGCTACGTTCGGCGTTGCCGCAAGACACTTGAGCAGGATGCCAGTGAGCCTTCCCTGACAAAGGTGCAGTCGTATGCTCTCATGACGGCCTACTTACTCAATGCTGGCCAGTACGAGACGGCGTATACCATGCTCGGTGTGGCGATACGACTAGGGTATTTGCTCGACATACACGTGCAGCGCGGCCTCGACAACGATGAGGAGCCATCTGTGGTAGACTGGGTAAGTCGGACGTGGTGGTTCCTCGTGCATTTGGATCTTAGATGTTCACTAGAGCTCCGGAGGTCGCTCGCTGTCCACTGGCCCGGCTTGCCTCCTTCTGCACCTCCGTCGTCGTTGGCAACAACCATCCAGTATCATGTCTCTCGCGCAAAAAACTCACCACGGCAATACTGTCGGCGCTTGACACTCTGATGCGGAACTCGCCGGCGCCGCCACATGGTGGCGATGTGATTGTCTCGCTGGACGCTGAAAGCTTGGAGAAGACACTGCATCCCCTTGAGCAATGGAAGCAAAATATTTGCCACGACAACGGGCCTTTGTATTTGCGACTGAGCACGGCGCAGGCCGAGGCCACGAGTCCACGGCTTAAGACTGTTGGCTGCGAGAGACAGTCTGCCCTGCTGTCATTGTATTATCACGACGCCATAAGAAGATTCTTTCAGCCCTTCGTCACCGTCTTCCTCCTCGACCCACAGCCACCACAGCCACCTCGGGATCTAGGGCAAGCATCTGTATTGGCTAAAAAGGGAGCAGACCACGCCATGGCAATTATCGACATCATTCACAACAGCTTGCGATCGTCTGATGCTCTTTACGGCTGTTTTGAGCTGTACATCTTGGAGTGGAACGCCCTGTTGAGCATCTTCGCTTTAACAATCGCTTGCCCGTCGCTGTTGCCCTGTTCAGTCGCGCTTGAAAAGTTAGAGCGAGCATCAATGCTCTTTGAGCTGGGCGAAAAGCGGCATGCTGTAGCGAAGAGAGCCTGGATTCTAACTCAGAGACTAAGGACACAACTGCTCGACGCCACCAGAAGCTGTGCGATCAAGTCAAGAAACACTGAAACAAACGGGCTCTGCCCTGAAGCTTCAATCAACGCACTATTATCCACTGACCGAGAGTCTGTTTCATTGTGTACGGACCAACAGTGGTGGCAGGAGGACTCGGCTGAGGACGTATGGTCTTGGCTGGAGGATTTTGGGACCACCGACTCGTGGGATAGCGAGTGTCTGGAGATTGATACCTTGCTCAATATGACCCATTCACTGCCTTCGGCCGATTCGAGCACCTGCAATAGAGATCACCATCCGCAAGCTTGATAGGGCTGATGGCGTGAGCAAATTTATAGACCATTGCTTTGTCACGCCAAGCAACAGGTTTCGAAGCGGTTGGTAGAGGCAGTGGGTTGAGCAAGTTTCCAAGTCACCAGTCCTGGGCATCTTAACCTTTGGCGACAGAAACAAGAGTCTCCCTAACCGCCATGTGTTCTTCTCTGCGAGTCTGGCCCTTCCAGCGCTCTCATGCATGATATGGTTCAGGCAGTCGCCGAATTTCCTCATAGGTATAAATGTCTTTTCCATTACCATGGGTGAGTCCGTGCCCAAAGAAATTACCTCAGTGCCCGTGCTTCTCAAAGTCAAGATGAAGCTCCTCTCTCGCTCGGTGGCCCTGCTGTTCACCAGCACTCTATTTCTGCCAACTCAATGCATGACATCTTCGGGTCGTGCTGGACATGGGCTCATCGGCTATGGCATCAATATGTACTTCCATTACTGCTGCACCGCATGCCGCAATGTTTTGTCTGCGAGCCAGCTCAATTGCTCGAAAATCGCGGAGATGGAAGGCATGGGCGGAATGGACATGAGCGGGGATGGCGACTTCACGACCATGCCTGAGTGCTATGCCACCGATGATGCGTTCCTTCAGTCGCTTGCACTCTGTATCAGCCAACGCTGTCCCCAAGACCCGGACTAACACGACCTTAAGGACTGGCAGATTGAAAAATGGTGGGCGATGAATGTTGTCGGAAATGCTGCTGAACAACCCGACCCAAAGGAATCGTACGCAGAGGCATTGGCCAAGGTGACCACTGTGCCAACGGAAACCCTGGTGGCGGGCGATCCCCTCAACCGAACATTGTTGGTATCCGTCGAAGACTACCAACCAAACTGGAACGCCGACAAGATATTCGAGCACATCGAGATCCTGCACGAGCGGTATGGGTGAGTTGACAAGAAGTTTTCCCGATCATAAAGTCACAACTTTCCCTCTGACGTTTGAAATTGTAGACTTGTCGTGTTCCTTCCTGGAGTTGTTGTCCCCGTCGGCTTCTCACTCCTCCGCTTCATCCCTTTCCCAGGTCGGTGGGTGACCCTCTTCAACGCCTGGATCGTCGACCCCCCTGCAATCGGCCGACATCACAAAGTGCCCACATTCTGGGGATTGACCAACATGCCCACCCGAGGACAGGCCTTGTTCATTGCATACCTGACCATCCTCAATCTTCTTCTTTGCGCCACAGGATACTCTTCCAGACAGCCAAACAGCTGGTGGCCCGGTGATCGAGACCGCGAAATCCTGACATATGTCACCAACCGGACAGGTGTGCTGAGTTTCGCCAACATTCCACTACTCATCTTGTACGCGGGCCGAAACAATGTCATGCTGTGGCTGACCAACTGGAGCCACGACACATTCATCCTGCTGCACCGCTACGTTGCTGTAATTGCTACCTTGCAGGCCATTGTCCATTCGCTTATCTATCTATACATCTATGTTGTGGACGGTGATCACTCCAGTGAAAGCAAACTTCCATATTGGTACTGGGGAGCAATTGCAACCATCGGCATGTCGGTATTGCTTCCGATGTCAATCTTGCCGCTTCGCCGAATGTTGTACGAGGCCTTCCTCCTCTGGCACATTGCAGTCTCCGTCCTGGTCATGGCAGGATGCTATCTGCACATCTACGACCGGTTCGGCCACCAATGGGGATACGAGGTCTGGATCTATGTCGCCATTGCTGTCTGGGTCTTCGATCGACTCCTCCGGACTGGACGGTTTGCTCGCGCTGGTATTCGATATGCAAAGATCACCATTATTGACCATGACTATATCCGCGTCGACATTGAAGGTGTCGGCGGCAACGGCCATGCGTACCTCTACTTCCCCACGCTGACCTGGCGGGTGTGGGAGAACCATCCATTCTCTGTGGCGTCATCTATTCTCAACACTCCGACGCCATCCCTGTCCAAAGTGGATGTCAAACTCTTGATGACCGATATTGAGAAGGACGCCATCTCAACGGCCACTGGCGTCGTCGTCTCGGATCACTCCAGCGACGGGGAACCTGATGATCACCTGACCCAACCACCAAAACTAGCAATGACTTTCCTGCTCCGCACGCGCGGCGGTCTCACTTCGATCCTGCGGCGTGCACAATGCAGAATCCCCGTGCTCGTCGAGCCCGGTTATGGGCAGCAGCCGCACACCGATCTCTCCGCCTATCCAATGCTGATCTGCGTTGCCGGCGGCGTCGGAATCACGACCGTGATACCGCTCCTGCGCAGCCATCCAGGACGATCCAAGCTCCTGTGGGGGATGCGGACTCGCTCGCTCGGCGAAGCCATGGCCCACCAACTGGGTGGAGTAGTGGAGAAGCAACTCTTCGTCGGCGAGCGGATGGATGTGCGGGCTGAATTGGAGCGAGAGCTGTGCTCCCCTGTCGTCGGGAATAATTGTCCCGTTGCCGTTGTCGTCAGTGGGCCGGCGGGAATGGCGGACGACGTGAGGAACGCGGTGTGTGGGATCGCGAAGAGGAAGAAGGATCTCAAGGTGAAGCTGATCGAGGAGTCTTTCTCGTGGTAGTAGTGCTTGAATAACGTAACCTCTGTGGAGAAGCTTGTTTAGAAGGATCCAACCCTCCACCCTGACTTAGGCACCACAGTATACGGCGGAGGAGGAGACCCTAGAGACAATATGACGGGCGACAGTCTGAAGTTGTCCGTTGATTTGCGATGCACCAAAGGGGGACGATTTCCAAGCCTCAGAATACTCCTCCTAGATATCCCACGGGTTGTGTGATTCTTTGCCACGCTCGTCTGTCGTGTCGAACAAGTCTGGATCTGTCAACATGGTATAGCGGAACGTCGTATCTTTTATTGTCACTGACTGCAATTGCCAACCAATCTGAAAGCACAGGTCTATGTTCCACATTAAGAGCGAGCGCCGTGTTTCTTCATACGCTTGCTTCTCCCAATGGTCCGTTGAGGAGTTCCGAAAGCCGAGCGGACGTCTCTGAATTGGACTGCCTCAGGCTCATTGTCAACGCTGGCACGCGGGAAGCCGCCCTTGCCACTCTGCTCTGGGTCGATGCACCGGCGCCGTCGCCAGCGCCAGCGCCAGAAACCTTCGTGTCAATGGCCTTGGATCGATTCGCCGCTTTGTTGGCTCTGCTGCTCCCGCTGACCACGCCCGTCTTGGCCTTGGTAACACGAGCAGTAGCCGTAGCTTTACGACTGGGGGTCTCCTTCCCATTCGATACCTGTATTGTAGGTGACGAGTGCCTGGACCGTAGGTCGTCGGGCACGTATGGTGCCCAGGACGGTGTCTCGGTGCGCATCTTCTGCAAAACGAGGGCTGCATCGTGCTCTTGCCATGCTCGGATCCAGAACTCGTGGAGGCTTTGGGCGGCCTCTTCTTCTGCCGGTGTCCTTGACGTTGTGTTACTGCCGCCGATCTTGTTGCTGGCGCCCTTGCTGGTAGTGGAGCCCATTTTTATTATGAGGAGGGTTTGACGTCTTGAAAGGAGAGGGAGTGTGCACATATATCGCTTGGAAATGGGGTGTAGTTTTGTTGTGCACAGAGTCTTCTAGATACGGGGACGATTTGTGATGCTGTTCTCCCAAGAAAGAGTGTGGCACCTACTCAACTGATATACTGGAGGGATGAGGACCTCCTGCCTCTGTGTTGTAAAAGGTATCTACCAAGGGCAGTAAAGCAAATGGACTTTTCTGAAAAGTATATTTTGTCACTATTCTATAGCCTGAGGACCTATTCCCCTGATCCCCAATTCACGGGAGCACCGCCCTGCCTACCCTTGGCATCGCTATTGTTGAGGACCTGCAATACTAGATTAGACCATATCAACTGACAAAAACTCAGCGAGTTCTCCCGATGAAGCTGTCTGCCTAAACACCTCATTATATGCTGAGACTACCTCAAAATCTATATCTTCTTACACCTAGACTTGACCAAGCCCTAGTTCAACTTTCAACATGAACAATATCATGTCCTTCCTCGACATAACCCCATCCTCTTTATCTTCTTTCTCCAGCCCCGAGCAGTCAACTCCATCGATGTTTGCCAGGTCACCGCCAATGCCATCACTTACAGCACTGGCGCCAACATCCAACAACGGTACTACAGCAACCAGCACTTCTAACGGCGAGGCTCTATCGTTGGAATCATGGATGTCCACCTTCACGACAGCTGGGTATCACAGCTTCCTCCAAAAGATATACGACTGGGAAGCCTGGTCATGGTATTATATCCTTTACTATCAAGAGGATATCCCTTATTCGAATCTTTCACACGAAGGGAGACACTTCGTGAAGACGCTCAAAGCCCAGAAGTTGGTTGTTGAGAAGGGTGGGCGTCTTGGAGAGATGAGATTTGAGCTCTGCCCAACAAGTCCAAAAAAGTTAATGAGTTGCCACTATCGATGCGTATGGCGGATACAAGAAGCGGGTTTAATGATATTGGAGGACGAGAGTGACAGTGGTATTAGTGATAGGGTGGAGGACACTGAACATAACTTGGGTCATGTTAAAGTGAAGATACTGTGGAGGGAGTTGAGGAGAGTAGAGATTACAGAAGGAGGGAGACAGCAAATTCCGAAAGGCAGGACTGGGAGGAGGAAAGAAAAGAAGTGGGAGAAGAAGATGATCTGGTCGATGAAGGAGACTTATCGCATCTCCTGCTGGCGCCGTTCCTGTTGCCCTTGGGGCACATTCACTGGGTCCACCCCTTGTTGAAAGCGAATTATTACACCAGCTGTACAAAATGGCAGTTCCGATTACCAATTTGGTGAGAACTTGAGGAGGAAGACGCCGCACCCATCTCAGTAACAAAAATAGCGCAACACAGAGCTGAATACGGCGGCTGGTCAAAGGAAGGCGTCATGCACATCAGATGCGAACAGGATTTGCTGGAGTTGCTGGTGGGCCGGCACCCATTTCAATATAATAACATGTAGGACACGCTGTGGAGCTGATCGCAGTGGTTTCCTATGCAGGGTTGATGGCGAGGTAGGCGATTGCATGAGAGGGGCGGTGACCAGGGCGGACAGGGAGGGTGTCAGCGCGAAATACAAGATGGAGTCGCGATGAATCCGCCTCCTTTCCATGTCCAGCCTTGCATTGTGACGCAGGGACCCGCCGCTAACCTAATACTGCAACATAACACGGTTAGACTCGTAACTGATCAAGGGAACCGAGCCTCATTGGTTTCCACGGTTGATATTAGTAGTCAATAGAGAACAACGTATTTACCCTTCCCAAAGGTCCTCGTAAAACTACTGTAGAATCCACCACCAAAGAGTCATTTTCCCTTCTCTACCCACTTAACTTTTGGTCTTCTCGAGGCTATTTCGATCCAGATATGGTGCGCCCGATCCCTGTCGAAGCTACAGGAGTTGTAAACAAAATCTAGTCCTTACCAAGGTTTTTCTCCCTCTTTATGTTCTGGTAACGATTACAGACTTTACCTTTCTCACACTGTTAAACATTAAGCGGCGACGAGGGCTCTCACTGAGCGAACCAATAGATATCTCAGCCAAGCGACACATGCATGGGTCAAGGCTGGTACCCAAGATCCTCCAGAGGATAAAATCGACGGATATAGTCTGGTTCCCTTACATTTGACGCAGAACAACGTGGATAGATTTGGTTCGCATCGACTACAAAGTTCGTTCCTTCCCCTTTCCAGACAAATTGTTTGTGGAGTCGACCGCGTCTGACGATTTGTGACGGTCCATGGAGTATATAAACCAGGGCCATCCCCTAGTACAATTGCTCAGTCAACATCATCATCCAACAAGCGAAACACTCACTCAAGCACACAATACTCCCCCTGTCACCTCCTCGACTTCCCTAGCAGCTTACTGCCTTACCGTATTATCGTACCAACAGCGTCCACTTCAGCAAACCCAATGGCTCCTCGCCGATCGACCACGAGCAACGGCACGCGCGCCACCGGCAAGTCATCAACGTACCGTGAGCCACAGCTCTTCAGTCTCGAGTATTCGAAGGAAATCAAGCAGCTGGACAGGGCGGAGATCGAGTCAGACCTCAAGGCTATAAAGCACGCGATACTTCTTGAAGATGCAAGGCATATCCAGCAGCTGGACAAGGCCATAGCCAACGCGATGCGTGCAGGTGAGCAACGGCCGAACAATTAAAAATGCTCGCCAGCGACATGCTGGCTTCGACGACGCAACATCTTGCGCATGGAAGGTGTTGATATTTGTACATGGTTCGGAGTCTTTCGCCAGATATGGGAAGCGGGTCCATTCCAGCCGGCTCACTCTTGAGATGATTATAAAGACGAACTCTTCTGACGGCACGAGGTACTAAGATCGAGAGTGATAGTGTTGTTCCCGTCGAACACGCAAAGGAGTACAGGACTATTTTGGGTGTGTGTTGGTGTTTTGATAGGAAATCGGACGTCAAATGAATCCTCACAAGCCTCGATTGTTGCTTCTAGGCAGCGTCGCGTGATCCCCGCTGTAGTATGCATCAACACTTCCAGACTCCAACTTCTCCATTCCTCCTTCCCTCGATCAAATATCCATCTTTCAGTCTGACGCGATCAACAATACTCGTCTTAGTGCCGGCCATCCGATCCTCAACGCTGGTGTTGGCGCCAACGCCACAATCCCAGTGGCGCCCATCAGCCTTGTCGTAGACCTTGACGACGTCCTCGCCCGCGGCACAAACAATGTGTCGCGAGTCAAACATCATGCTCGTGATTGGCGCATCGTAGGCATACGCATCAAAAATCGTTCCTGTGCGGAGATCCCATATCTGTTTGTCCGTGTTAGTCTGTTAACTGGCCGGCTGCTGAAACTTTGCCAAACTTACTCTGATACTCCTGTCAGCGCTACCGGTAATAAGATGAGTATCATCAAATTGAAGGCATGTCACTGGCCCTGTATGCCCCACCAAACTTCTATGGACCTGTCCACTTCTAAGATCCCATAGTCGGACCATTCCATCGGCTGTACCGCAGGCCAGCGCTGCGTCGAAGCATTGCAAAGCCCCGACAAAGTCGGCATTGGAATCTGCAGATCGCCCAGTCGGCCGCCACTGCGGTTCTGTACTGTTGATTGTTGAACTAGCTTGAGCTGCTGCCCACAATACGTCAAGCGTCTGGACACACCGGCCTTTCACCAGGTCCCACTGCCGCAGTGTCTTATCTGCTGATCCAGAGACCAGCATATCACCACGAAGGTGCAATGCAGTGATTTCATCAACGTGAGCCTCGAGCACAAAGAGCGGGCACTCTTCCATCGCATCTGGGGGTGGTGGAGGCGGAGCATCTTCATTTTCGTTCCCAAAACCCAGGCCATCGTCTTCATCGCCTTTGTCGTCGTCGCCGTTTTCGAGTATTTTGTGTTCGTAGGGTTCGTACTTGGCACGGCTCAGATCCCACAGTCGGATGGTGGCATCAAGGCTTCCGGTTGCCACAATATTGTCTTCAACCTGGAGACAGCGAACCGATGCGGTGTGGCCTTCCAGAAAGCCCATGCAGCGGCCAAGATTCAAATCCCACACGCGGACCGTGTCGTCCAATGCTGCAGTGACCATTGTCCCGAACGGTTGGTCAAAGTCAATGGTGGAGATCGAGTCATTGTGAGCGGGAATGGTCTTGATGTGTGAACCAGGTTCGAGATGCTCGTGCAACACCGGCATAGATCTTCTCTTAGAATACTTTGGCCTGCGCTTTGTCTTCGGAGAAGAAGAAGAGGGCAACTTGTCGTAAATGGACTGGGACATGAAGGAGGCATCCATTGCTTCAGATTCGGGTGTGGCTACACGGGGCGCATTGAGGGTGCTAGTAGACTGGTCCATTGCACCTTGCTCCTCGAGCTCCTCTTGCATCTCTTCGATTTTGTTGTCAAGTTCATGTAGCTCATGCTCAACCTCGGCTTCGTCGTTTTCGAGGTCCGCCAATCTTTCAACGGCGAGCTTCCGCATATTGTGCAGGTTGGCGATTTTCATGTCAATGTCTCGAATCTCTGTGGTGCACATATTTTTCCGTATAGCCATCATCTCCAACCTGTGGTTGACATTGTTCCTCTTCTTCTTGAGGTTTTGTATCGATGGAGGGCCATCCTCTTCAATATCTCCAGCACCCAAAAGCCTGTGCTGCTTGGAACTGCGCCGTCGGTGTCCTTTGCGATGTTCGGATTCCCCTTCAGGCAAAGACGCCTGAAATCCCTGGAATAAGGAGTATGTGTTGTCATCTTCGGGAATATTTTGCAGATGTTCTTCAGAAATGTAGGTGAGGGCTCGATGTGCGATTTCACTGGTTGAGAGTTTCGCTCTGACCAGTTCAGAAGGCGCCTGTTGGGAAAAGGAGAATACGGCTCTCTGTATGCCCGGGCGTCGCATCTGTCGGGAGATGGTGTTCATGGCGGCAGGGTAGTGGGTGGAAGCATTGTCGCCCATGAGATGGCTTGCGGTCGCTGTCACCTTTCGACCAAAGGCTTCCAGCTGGCGCGTCTATTCCCACAAAGTCAGTCTTTGGTCACGATGATAGCTGGGATCTCTCACGTCAAGGACCGCGCCCAGAACAGAATCCTCCCCATCTCCACCAGGCCTTCGAGTTTGGGAGGGAGTACGACTGTGTGGCCGCGATCCGGCCATGCAGATCGAGCGCCTTGAGCGCCAGAGGAAAGTGCACGCTTTGAGGTTGGAACAGACGCGAGGTGGGATGTAGCTAGGCAGACCGGATCCTGAGGCTCTTCAAGGCTCTGTTGTAAAAATGCGGAGTGCAGGTCCTCAAGAGTTGTTGGCTGCGGCTTGGGTTTCGGAGACGCGAAGTCGGAGCTGCGAACTCTGACGTATTTTTCTCCAGGGTAAAACTGCTCCTTTGCCCACTTCGGATATCGTCGCATCTTGCTGAACTCACCTGCAAGCCCTGCTTACCGGGGGGATACCTTTTCTGTGACTCTTACTGAAGAGCTGCGAGATATTCTTCCCTCTTTCTTTACTTCGGTCTGTCTCTCTGACAGTGGTCGTCGGTGGTATAATCCGCGCGACCAGGACTTCACGAGCACGCGATCCTGACATATGCCGCTTTTGGGAATGGACACAGCGATAGACCTGTCGGATGCCTCCAAGGCTTTGGATCTGGCCAATATTCGTTTTCAATTAATGTTCGTGGCTTGTCGCCCAGTCTCGAGAGAAAAGCTCAGATACTAACTCAAGAACAGTCGACTTGAGGATACCATCACTTTCCACCTGATCGAACGAGTCCAGTTCCCCCTCAACGCGACCATCTACGATGCTGCCGCCCTCCCCATACCCTCGAGTAATCTAGCTTTGCCTGCGCAGATATCTCTCTGCGACTATCTTCTCTCCGAAACTGAACGTTTACACTCTCTTGTCCGCCGATATGATGCCCCGGACGAATATCCTTTCTTTCCCCAAGTTCTGCAGCGACCTGTGCTCAAAGCCATCGCATACCCCAAGATCCTCCATGATAACGATGTTAATGTTAACGACACCATCAAAGAGAAGTATATCAAGGAAGTTTTGCCGGAAGCTTGCCGAAAGTTCGGGCGGGAAGACCGTGGTGAAGCGAAAGAGAATTACGGTAGTGCCGCAACTTGTGATGTCGCTTGTTTGCAGGCCTTGAGCAGGCGCATACATTTTGGTAAATTCGTGGCCGAGAGCAAATTCCAGGCCGAGACGGAGCGATTTGTCAAGCTCATTAAAGCCGAGGACCGCGAGGGTATCGATGCTGCTATCACTAACGAGAAGGTAGAACAGCAGGTCCTGGAGCGGCTGCGGTTGAAAACCAAAACGTATGGCAAAGATCCCTCGGTGACTTCCAACGGTGCCGGCGGAGAGGAAAAGATCAACGTCGAGGCAGTGGTCAAGATGTACGCTCAGGTTGTCATTCCTTTGACCAAGGTCGTCGAAGTGGAATATCTCATGCAGAGGCTTAAAGGAACCCAGTGGGAATAGTTCAGAAATCTTGCTCAGGGCTGAGGCTTCAGGTATTCGGCCACATTCTGGACTGCGTCTTTGAACTTCTCTCCCGCAATGAGTATGGCATGGCCCTGCGGTTTGATCCCCAGCTCTTGAAATGCGCGTTTCGAGTCTGAGTGTCCGTCGTCCTGTTTGGTTGAATAATCAAAGCCGCTATGACAGATGGCATGTCCATGCAGGACCTCGTCCTCTGGATGGAAGTACATTGTCTCGAACGAGCCTGAGGTTGCTTTCTTTTTCTTTTTTGGAGGGTCATTCTCAGCGTCAAGCTTCGAAGCAACTTCGGTGTATGTCTTGGAGAGGATGAGATAGTGAGTGAAGTTGTATGGTTCACCATCTTGGATGGCCCATTCCATCTCTTCTAACAGCATTGTGTACATTGGAGGGACGACCTCGGCCGGAACATTGATCAGACGCTCTGTGAGGATCAGACCTATCTGCGGAATGGTGGCTTGGGAAAGGAGCTCCGCTAAGGGAGCAAGCTCGGGTTTTGATTTTGCTTTGGACAGTAAATATTGCACGATCTTACTGACAAACGGCTTATCCTGTATTTCTATCAGTAAGAATCCTGGATTTTCTTTCGCAAGAGGGAACTGACTTTGTGTTCTTGGAGATTCAAGACGGATAGGAAAGCGTATGCGTCCGTCTCATTGCCGTCTACTTTGACCGTTGATCCCAACGTCGGTTGAGACAATATCAGATCGGTTAACGCGGACAGATCAAACAACTGGGCGTCCACATCAAATAGCTGTTGGAGCAAGGTCTTGATGCCGTGGAAATCATACTCCGGCTGAGGGTCGAACCACTCGAAGTCAACATCGAGGACATCGAAATCCTGCGCCGAGAATTAGTAGCCATTCGACGTTCACTTCAATCGGGATGGAGCAGACCTCGTCATCTCCGCTGTCATTGTCCATGTCTATGTCGTCCTTGGCGATGTCTTCGCCGGCCTCCTGCTTCCTCTTGCTCATGATTGCGGTGTCTCGAGGCCCGTCTGCGGAAGGGGTGATCTCAATCTTGTCCTCGAGCTGGCAACTTTTTGGGCGGGGAAAAGTTGTCACTGTTGAATGCCCTATGAGTCGGCGGCTGGAAGCCCTTCTGTGTGTCAATGATTGTCCAAGCCTTGTCGATATGTGTCGAAATGCTTTAACAGAAACCCTGGCTTCAAAGAAAATCTCCACGCAATTGTTCGAGTAGTAAATGCAGCCCTTCACACGAACCGGCGTTGCGGTATCAAATTCTCCTCAGCGGGGCATATAATTTCCATCTCCACAAAATTTTATAGGCAGCCCACTTTTGGCAAGGGACTCATATTAGTATTTCCATTTGGATTCCCCTCCTGCACGTCTTCTCCTGGTATTCCTTGTGCCCATTCGACCTTGTCTCTCCAGTCACAATGGCTGCCAACGTCAATGGCGAGGTCAATGGCGCCGCCGCAGTCAATGTTCCTGCGAAGACCTTCGACACGATCCTCGTTCTCGACTTTGGGTAAGTCGGAAAATTCCACTGCCCTGATCTCAAGGCGCACCGAACTCACGACCGGTTGAAGATCGCAATACTCGCACCTGATAACGCGGCGACTGCGCGAGCTCAACATCTATTCCGAGATGCTACCTTGCACTCAGAAGATTGCGGACTTGCACTTTCATCCCAAGGGTATCATTCTATCCGGAGGCCCCTATTCAGTGTACGAGGATGGCGCACCGCATGTTGATCCTGCGGCGTTCGACCTCGGTGTGCCCATCCTGGGGATATGCTACGGACTCCAAGAGATGGCATGGCATTTTGGCAAAAACGTATTGGCGGGCGAGAAGAGGGAGTACGGCCATGCATATCTCAAAATCGAGAGACACACTGGCAAGGAAGAGCATATCGATCGCCTTTTCGAAGGCATCGAAGATGATATCGCGGTCTGGATGAGTCACGGGGACAAGCTGTCAAAGCTGCCAGACAACTTCCACCCCATTGCAAGCACAGCTAATGCCCCTTTCGCCGGTATCGCTAGTATGTCTAAGCCGTATTTCGGCATCCAGTTCCATCCCGAAGTCACACACACGCCAAAAGGTACACAAATCCTGAGCAATTTCGCGGTCAAGATCTGCCAGGCTCGGCAAGATTGGACTATGGAGAAGTTCGTCGATAAGGAAATTGAACGCATTCGAGCCATGGTTGGTCCCAAAGGTCAAGTGATCGGCGCCGTGAGTGGCGGAGTTGATTCCACTGTTGCAGCCAAACTCATGCAAGAGGCCATAGGAGATCGTTTCCATGCGGTCTTGGTTGACAATGGTGTTCTCCGCTTGAACGAGGCAGCAACGGTCAAGGAGACATTGACGAAGCATCTGGGTATCAATCTGACGGTCGTCGACGCCTCAGACCTGTTCTTGGGCAGACTCAAGGGCGTCTCCGATCCTGAAACAAAGCGGAAAATAATAGGCAACACCTTCATCGAGGTATTCCAGGATAAGGCAAAAGCAATCGCAGTGGCTGCAGCAAACTCCCCTCGAGCTGGCGACATCGAGTGGTTGCTTCAAGGCACGCTCTATCCCGACGTCATTGAGAGCATTTCGTTTAAAGGACCATCCGCGACGATCAAGACTCACCATAACGTTGGAGGTCTTTTGGAGAACATGCATCTCAAGTTGATTGAGCCTCTGAGAGAGTTGTTCAAAGATGAGGTGAGAGCACTGGGTACGAACTTGGGCATCCCTGAAGAGCTTGTCTGGAGGCATCCATTCCCCGGGCCTGGCTTAGCAATTCGAATCCTTGGTGAAGTCAATGAATCACAGCTCAAGATTGCTCGACATGCAGACAAAATCTTCATCGACGAGATCGTCTCGGCCGGCTTGTATCGGAAAATCTCACAGGCATTCGCTGGGCTTCTCCCTGTCAAAGCGGTCGGTGTTATGGGCGACAAAAGGGTGCATGCTCAAGTGATCGCCTTACGAGCAGTTGAGACGACTGATTTCATGACGGCTGATTGGTTTCCCTTTGATGGCAATTTTATCAAGCGGGTCAGCAACCGAATCGTCAACGAAGTTGATGGTGTATGCCGTGTGATGTACGATGTTACGAGCAAGCCTCCTGGCACGATCGAATTGGAATAGAGGATGGGAGGGTGGTTAGGGCAACTCGAGGGCGTTTCACTGGTAGAGGGGGTGTGAGATGGGGAAAGGTAGGGGAGCCTATCAGCCAAGTGGATTGGAGGCTTTGGTAATTGGCTAGATAACGGCTTTGAGTTCAAGAATGATGTACCGCGGGTGGCCTTCAAGTGGGCAGGTCTGTATATGACTTCCTGGAAAGTAACATAGAGAATAGAATCACCCCTGCAAAGGAATCTGGCCCCTGAGAGAACACTTTCTGCCATAGAACCCACCTCCTCAGACTCTTAAAAGAATGATACGCATCTGACTCACCTCAAGGTGTCGTCGGAAAATGGTGAGCAGACTCATCAATAATTGATCAACCGAAAGATGTTCCAAAAGAGAGAGCCTGATATGGAGCGGTGAACAGGTTCGGCGGCTGCTCAGTTGTCGACACGAAGCTGCTTGTTTGCGTGCTCGTCCGTACCCACTGTGCCTGGCCAATCAGTCTGGTTGCTCCGTGTTTTGGATGATTCCTTCCTACCAGGTAGGCAGCGTCCAGCAGACTATCGTGTTACCGCAAAACGACAACTAGAACAAGAAGCCTTCGGGAAAGCGTCGGCCGTGCAGATGGACGGCCAACTGAAGCAAAAACCGGATAAAGCGTATCAGGACTTCGCGGCCGCCCCAGACACCACAACTGCTGGGGAGAAAAGATGGCCCTCGGTCGCGCCGACAACACGTTGGACAGAAACCCCTATGCTCACGTTATGTGGAGAGCGGCCGCCGTTGAACTAGGAAGCATGAAGGGAGCATCTCGATGGGTTCGCCACACGATGAGGCAATTCTAGCTCGAATATGGCAATTGTCAATCGTCAGAGGCACAAGGAAGGTATAATGGTTCCCAAGCCCTACATTATGCAGTTCAGTATTCAGTCTGGGCACACCATCTACTACACTCGTTGTTAGCTACTTTCTACACGCTCGGACATTACAAATGGCGCCTCATGCTGAGGATCCTGTCCTGCTGGACTACAAACCATACTCAATGGATCCGCTAAAGCCCAAGGCTAGGAATGCGGTGCCTTCTTTGGACGAGGAGACTACATCTAGTGCTACACGGGTGGGAAAACAGCTGTCAGAGACATACGAACCAGGACATTTGCAGCCAGAGCGCCATGAAAATTATGCATACGACTACCTTGGCCCGCGCTTTCCTAATGTCCATTGGGATGAGCTGAAAGACATCGCTTATGAGGACAAAGGCCTTCTTGGAGATCCGCGCTTTCGAAATCTTCTTGATGCTGCCGAAGATGTGTTCGACTACATCCCAAAGATTGGCACAGAAATCAGTGGCCTTAGGCTGACGCAGCTCACTGATGCGCAAATGTGTGATCTGGCAAGGCTCATTGCAACTCGGGGAGTTGTGTTCTTCCGCGATCAAGACGACTTCGACGTTGAGGCTCAAAGGGAGCTGGGAAAGTTCTTTGGCACGCTTCATAAGCATGCTACGACTTCGATGCCTCAGAAGGAAGGGCTTGAAGATGTCCATGTCGTCTACACGACAGATCAATCTTTGGACCAACGGGCTCTCTTTACCCCGACATATTTGTGGCACTCGGATGTAAGCCCACTCCAGCTCGATAGCAGGTGATATACTGACATAACTCCCAGGTGACCTATGAAGCGCAGCCTCCATCGTATACATCTCTCAAAGTTTTGACCGGTCCACCACGAGGTGGCGGAGGCGATACTCTCTGGTGCTCGCAGTACGCAATCTACGACGTTCTGTCGGCACCAATGCAGAAGTATCTTGAGAGCCTTACGGCACTACATTCAGCAGACGAGCAAGCTGAAGGGTCTCGTGCAGCAGGCAGGCCAGTCCGGCGCGACCCCATCACTACCGAACACCCCCTGGTCCGTGTCAACCCAGTCACTGGTTGGAAGTCACTATTTTTCAACCCAGGCTTTGTCACAAAGATCGTCGGTGTCCCCAAAGCCGAGAGCGACGCCGTTATTCGGTATCTCAACGAATTGATCAGCACGACTCAAGAGGCTCACGTGCGTTTTCAATGGGGCAAGCATGATGTTGCGATCTGGGATAACCGGTGTACAAATCACACGGCTTCGTATGGGTTTATGCCGCATCGACGACATGCCGTGCGGGTCACGGTGACTGCTGAGAAGCCATACTTCGATCCTGCTGGGAAGTCCCAAGAAGAGGAGCACAACAAGAAATGGGGTCTGCCGCAGACAAACAAGGACGGTTCAAGAAGATCAAACTATAATGACTAGCCAAGTCAGAATGTGTACAAGCACAGGTTGCTATCAAGAATGTCTGGTTGCAAGAGTTTTTGAATGCCTACATACCTACACTGGTGCAGCAACTGCCTCTCTCCAACCTTACCGCTCAGGCTTGGCAAGTTGAGATGGAAGCCGACGCTTTGTTCGGCCTTCCTGCACTTTCCACCTTCAGATCAAAGTCACTGCATTCAAGTTCGTGAAATGTTGTCTCATCATGTCTGCACCGTCTGTTCTCGAATATGCCCGCTTCCACGGCCTAGCTGTCGACCACACCTCCGAAGATCTCCTAGAAAACCTCTCCCCACTACCACTACGAGCTATTGAGGATGGCCAACTGCTGCCAGACCCAAATTTCTCGGTATTCGCTGACAATGTCGCAGAGCCAAAGTTGCAGCTCACCCGCTGGGAGGGTTCCATGCTAGCTGAGAGCATCCGAAACCATGACTCTGTCGTGAACTGGAGCAACTTCCTGCCAGAACGGCACCGTGTTCGAAATCTAAAGGTTGAAGAGCCGTTGCTAGCAGGGGACCACGAGTCCGATGTTCGCCGTTTCAGGCGTGAAGCATCGAGCCACGTGGACACTGAACATTTGTTCGAGACTTGCTCTTTGATCAGCTCAGCGTCAGAACAGGACTTTGAAGATGAATGGAACGACATCCAGTCCGGTCATGCTCTGAGAGAGGTCGAACAAGAGCTGGAAGATGAGAGATGCAATACTACGAAAGAGGCGCTGCTGCATTTGTCTGCTTCGCTGAAGGATCCTTTAAGCGCGGACACAAAGGCCACAATACTCCATAGCCTTGTCCCCGCCGTAAAGGCTCGACTCCCAGTCTCCTGCCTCTCACACCCAGCTGACGAAATGTAGATCCCAAGAGCGAGATCTCTGACACCATTGTTGATGCCAGAGTCGCCAGTGCCACAAGCCCCGTCCTCCCCCGACCTCGACTTCTCTCTACGGTCTGAAGAAGATATTGAACGTGACAGTCTTCTGCTTCAGCTTGAGAGGGAAATGCAAGAGAAAGACCAAATACCCTCCGAAGGAATGAACAAAGCGAGCCCAACGATAGCCAAACAGGTACTCGAAGAGATTCAGGACGCAACTCAGTTCAAGGTCGAAGACGATCTCCGAATGGAAGCAGTCTGTGCATCACTCGATGAGCGTCGGCAAGCGAGAAAGGACCTCGAAAATCTACAGCTTGATGTATCGATGATCTTGTCCACTTCGGCATCTGAAAATTCGAGCGAACAGGGAGTCGAATTGCCAGCTCCCGTGGTGCCTATACCAGCTTCTCGAGCTCCATTCTCTACAGTCACTGCACCAAACAGCCACGGCATCGAAATTCAACCGAATCCAATGACGACAGAATGCGCGGTCAGCAGCAGAAAGCCAGCCCCTCTTGAAATGGTATTGTCTTCCGAAACAAGAAGTTCTGAAACTGATGCGTTTCAGGCGATAGAGGATGGTCTAGATGATGAATTGATCAAGTTCTGTGACAAAGCGGAGAAAGATATAAATGCCCGCTTGAAAGGTGACAAAATCAGCAAACCAGAGGAGTGCTTGAAACAACCAGTGCCTCCACTGGATCCATTTTTTACTAGATCTCCTTGTGACAGTCAAGATGCCGAGCCACTCATGCGCAAACTTGCTGAGATGTGCTTGGTCATCCCAAATACGGGGCATCTGCAGGGTGACATGAAACTCAATTGGTCTCCCTTTCCGCCCCGATTCACCAAGCTGGATCTTGTCGACAACATTGGAGACGATAGCAACATTAGCAGGCTTGTGAGGGCCCCACAAGGAGTAATCAGGAGTGAGCAATTGCTTTGGAAATCGCCTGGTGTGCGCATCCTCGATACGAACGATGAGAGCGATGGTGAAATCGAACAGGACCTCGACTTACACGAGGACATGTCCAAACCGGTCGAGCCTATCGTTCCAGCCAAGAGACTCAATGATGGGTCAGACTCAAGTCGCGAGTCGTCTACCAAGAGTGCTTACACGTTGTTCAACCGTGAAGTCCAGAACACGGTGGCCAAAAAGACCAGCCGTGCCTTGAACGGCTTTTCAACTTCCAATGCGCTGGAGGCATTCCTTGACCTACGAGGCGGAAAGTTCAAGAAAGCAGCACCACCACAACCACCTTCTGTGAATGAACTCGCAGACGATCCCATCCAGGCGACCCAGTTCGAAGAAGAGGATCAGGTCACCTTGGCGCACGGTTTGACTTTGAAGCCATCAGAAGCGCTGGCCGAGTTGAACCCATACACCATCCAGGTACCGTCAACACCAATCGGAGTTGCAGCCACAGGTGGCAACGACGACCTGTGCCCTCTCATGGACCCGAAGTGGCCTAAGACAATCTTGGTCGAAACTGCCATTCTCGGGAGTTATCGATCGCTTGTCAATTTTCTAGAAACAAATGGAGGCAACCGACTTAACATCATATACCGAGAAATGACCAAATCTGACCGCAGTGCACCTCATTCCGCGTCTCCTGACATCATTTTGAACCCCCAGACAGCTCTCATGTTCACGAATTTGCAGGCCCTGCACCAGAAAAACCTGCCTGGACAAGGGATGCAAGAGGGTCAAGGTATGGTTCAGAGCAGAGTCCTGAGGCTCGCGCAAAATTATACACAACTCTTCATTTTAGTTACCATGACAGGCCTCGGGAATAGCTTACTGCAGTCACAAATCGACACATTGACCACTTTCTCAGGGTTTTGTGCAAATATTTCCGGTCGTCACGGCCTCAACGTGCACCCGCTTTGGGTCTCGTCCAGGTATGGACCTCACTCAGTTGAGACGGCTCTTAATAGGTTGACCTGGAACTTGGCTTGTTGCCATGGATTTCCGGATACCGACCCTTCTCAGTCCCTGCGTGCGCAGAAAGACACAGCTAACTTCATCAACGAAGAGACTCTCTGGGAGCAATTTTGAACAAAGGCCGGGCTAAACCCTCTGGCAGCCCAAGTTGTCCTTGGAGGATTGCGGAAAGCAGGCCCATTTCAAGTGACATTTGACCAAAGCTGGGGATTGAGGAGGTTCGTGGAGATGCATCCCGATGAGCGTATAGACATGTTTGCCGAGACCTTGGGTCGAAGAGTACTCGAGAGGATCAATGCCGTGCTTGAGAAAAATTGGGGCTAGGGATGAGAAGCTTTGGCCGATGCACAATGCTGACAATGCAGGCTGAGCTTTGCCTCAGGTTAGTGGGAATGTGGTCAGGGCTGTCGCGTGTTCGAATTTGAGGTGAGTAATGCTGGGAAGCTATTGTAGAAGCAAGAGATAGAGCGAGGTGGATAGTGATGAAGACAACGAACTTGGTGAGGATATGCAAATCTGTATTACCTCGTACCTCGTAGGCATTTCAAACGTGAATATCATATGTGGATGGATCCACAGCCGCAAGGCTGACCCCATGACGTACCCGGCAAGTCTGGAGAGGCGGCGAGCGGCAACCAAATACGCAGGCATTGAGCAAAGACCCAAATCAAAAACACAGCCCATTCATTCCCTGTGTAACTCTGGAGACTGGTACTGGCTGAGCCTCTGGTCATGCCATTATTCTGAAAATTCACCACCTTCCCCTGCCTTTGACTACTGAGACCGCCAGGCCACAGCGCTGGTGAAAATAATCTCCACCAGCCGACCCTGACCATCGTGGCTCCTCCACTCCGCGGTTTGACGAGGTCTCAAAACGCCTTCTCCCTCCTTCGTTACCTCTTCCCAAACACTCATCGGCGCGCTCGCGAAAGATATTTGGGCTTCCGTCACGAATATATCCCTCAGCTGCGTCTCCAAGCACAGTCGAGCATCTACCGGGCCCTTGTGCGCAGGCAGCAGAAGAAACGAGCAAGGAGAGAAGCCAGACGAGATTTTGTTGTTTTCTTCCGGAGGAGGATCGGAAACAGTCGTATTGCCTCACTCCTGCGGCGGCGCATCGGGAAGAGCCGTATTCTGAGGGCCATATATGGAACATTGCGCCATGCTGGTGGTCGACACAGTTGGAGGGGAACGAGATCAACCTCAGCAACCGATCAGATGACAAGTTATGGCGGTAGTCGGGTGCCGGGCGCAAGGAGGGAGAAGGTGAAGGGCTACCTGAGGGCGGCAAATGAGCTGAGACAGACATACCAGGCGCAGATACAGCAAAGACTGCAGGAGAGCGTCGGCGATGGCGGGACGTCGAGGGAGTGGCCCGATGTTGAGATTGTAAGAAGTGAGAATGAGGAGATGCTCCTATTTCCTAGCTATGCGAGGAAACATACGACGCGGAGGAGTCGACACGACGACGCCGCCAGATATCCTCCTGGGACGCACGAGTCCGTGGACATGCCGCATAGCAGTGGAGACGCAGACTATTGGAAACGAGAGTGGGAAAAATATGAAGACGCGAATGCCATCGTCGACGTGGACGTTCGGGGATGGATATATTCTCCCCAACAAGGGCCACTGAATAGGAAGAATCGGCTTCTTGTGGCGGTCGCTAGGAGACTCAGCGGCATCTACGCTCCCACATCCAGCCCTGCGACGTCGCGTCCGTCAAGTCAAGCTCCCACCAATCGCATTCCACAGGACGACAATTCATCCAGGTATGAGGACGAAGTCGCTGCAAAAGAAGCAGAGAACATTGCCCGTCGCGGACAGAGAGAAGCGGATGCGGCGGTAAGAGGGACTTATAGTTCGACTCCTTCAGGAGGGACTCCTAGCGGTAGTCGATCGAACTCGCCAACACGGTCCATTGCAACGTCCGCAGATTGTGAAAGCGACGATCCGGGTCAGCGATCGATGGTTAAGCGCCAATCGTGGAATGAACCAGCGAATATGAGCAGAGAAGAGTTGTCGGCGGCGAACGAATTGCTGTTGGCAAGGCTGAAGCCTTTCATGTCAAATCCAACTGCACATGTACCGATTACGGTCTTCTTCTTCAATCAGTCCAAATCAACTTCGAAGTCCGTTACTACGGATGAGTCGGGCCACTTCAATTTGCGAGCTGCCTTGGATTTTATCCCTGATCAAGTCCGGGTCCTGGCATCGGATAAGTTGTCTGCGGTGGAAGATGTTATCGTTACGGAGAGCAAGGGCGTGAGTCTGGTGAGTGACATCGACGATACGATCAAGCATTCCGGGATTAGCAGCGGTGCACGAGAGATTTTCAAAAATGCTTTCATTCGAGAATTGGGCGATTTGACCATCAAAGGTGTCAAGGAGTGGTACTCGAAGCTGGCTGCCATGGGAGTCAAGCTCCACTATGTCTCCAATTCGCCCTGGCAGATGTATCCATTGCTGCGCAGCTATTTCTCTCTGGCAGGATTGCCGCCGGGCTCGTTCCATCTCAAGCAGTACTCCGGAATGTTGCAGGGGATATTCGAGCCTGCGGCAGAACGGAAGCGCGGTTCACTGGATCGAATCATGAATGACTTTCCGGAACGGAAATTTATCCTTGTTGGGGACAGCGGAGAGGCAGATTTGGAAGTGTATACTGATGTCGTGCTTGAACACCCTGGACGAGTATTAGGAGTCTTCATCAGAGATGTCACAACGCCGGTCAAGAAGGGTTTCTTTGATCAGGCGATATCAAACACACCGCCGGATTCCATGATTGCAAGAGATGGCGGACGACTTAGTCGGTCGCCTGGAGACATGGACAGAGATGCTCCTGAGAACAGGCCAGCTTTACCTGAGAGACCCAGGTCGATGGTGGATCCGAAGGTTGCAGAGGGAGATCTCATTGATTTCACAGACGACTCGGGAGCGAAACAAGGCTCGCTAAAGCCTCCCACACACTTGAGCGACATGCGCCAGCTCGACGCAAATGGCAAACCCCATGCTCCCAACAAGCCCAATAAACCCTCGAGCTTACGAAATTTCTCTACCTCCCAATCAACGTCGCCCACGAACCATGAGAGATCATCGGCGGCCTCAGATACAGAGACTCAAGCAGCCGTGAAGAAGAAACCGCCGCCCCCACCTAAACCCCGTCGGAGTGGCCGGACGGCGGACTCCAACAATGAGCATGCCATGAGCGAGCCAGCACCACAGTCTCTTTCGACAGCGCCATTCTCCTCCCCTCGCCAGAACCAAAGTCAACCTCCATTCCCCTCTGACCAAGCGAAGCAAACAAGTTCAACCTCGATTCCACCTACAATGTCGCGCACGTCCACATCTGCTAGTTCTTCATCGCGAAATGACGACGGCTACGTCGCCGTTGCTCGCCGCCAAATCTCCTCCGCATATAACGCCCTCCCAGCGATTCGCGCATCCTCACCTTCGCGCAGCTCGACCACTTCGTCCGATCAATCCAGCGACAACCGCCAAAACAATCCACCACTGCCCGCACGAAGGGCAATATCATCCTACCCAGCGGCCGCCGCGCGATGGGCCACGGGCTACGGTTACCCTAGCTCGGACCCCCTCGCAACGGCGAGCGATGGCAGCTCCATCCCACCAGCCCCCGGTGGCAATGCACCATACGATAAGAAGGTGGAGATCTGGCGCCGACGGTGGGCGAGGGCCGAGGAGATCATGCGTGCGAAGGGGGTGGTGTTGAGGAAGTGGAGGGTTGGTGGGGATGTCGTGGACGAGTGTGTTGCTTTGGTGAGTCGCGAGCTGGAACGGCAGGAAAGAGGACACGAGCGGGAGAGGCACCACCAGCATCTCAATAGGTGATTGTTGAATGGAGACGCAGAGATCCCCTGGGGAATACAAAAAGGGGACTGTGGAAATGTTTTGACTGCTTTAACTGACGGTCTCTTCCCCCTTTTTTGGAATACGTATAAAAAAGCCCAGCGTGCTGCTTTTTGTGATGCTCTTTTTTTTCTCTTTTGGCGGTTTATACAAATTTCTCCATCATGTTAATGGGAGTGCCAGCTGTTCGCCTTTCCCTCCCGTCTACCCTACCATATTTCAGGCTCGAAAAAAGATTAAACAAGCTAATCCTTGCCAGGCACTCGGGCAATCTCCTCATGCAAAGAAGTATGGAAATTAATTACCTAGGGTGAGTATGCCTTGATGGATGCCTTTTATGCCTTTTTGACTTTTGCCACTCATGCCATTCATTCGCATTGTAGGTACTGTACAGCACCTTTCTATCGGCACATTCAGGTTTGGTTTTCCTTATACCCATACCCATGGGTGTCGAGACCCGTCTTCTCAGTTCTTCTTCCCCGCGACATCGCCCGTGCCACCTTTGTGGTTCCCGCCCTTGGCGGCGTCCTTCTTGGCCAGGATCGCGGCCTCCTCGTCCTGCAGTTCCTTGTCGATTTGGGCCCCGCGGCTGGGCTCGTTGCCGTGCATGCGGGCGGGCGCCGTGGCGTCGACTTCGGCGGCCCGTGTCTCGGCGCTCTTGGGCTTGCCGGAGCTGGAGTTGTCCGAGGCGTTGGACGGGGTGTTTTGTGGGCCTGAGGCGGCGAGGCGGTTCGCTATTGAGCGTTGGTCTTCTATACAGAGGAGGAGGGTTAGTTGGTCAGTTAGGGATGTGGGTTGCCGGGTGTGTGATGGGGTTTTAGGAGAGGATAATGGGGGGTGGGTTTGTGGAGGAATGAAGCAATCCATTGCAGCAGGTGCTTTTAGGGAGAAGAAGCATGGAAGGGCCTGGCTGGTAGCTTGGACAAGGGCGCTGGGCAAGACGGGACGAGGGGGCAGAGCTCAGGGATGATACGGAGCGAAGAAACAGCCCAAGCCATGCCACACACGACAGAGCCATCGTCGCCTGCTCCAGACCGTTGCTTGGATCTCTTCCTCCCTGCCGGACTGCCCTCCTTCTCCAACTCTCTCATCCCGCCACGTATTGCAATCCTCTCAACCAGTCCGGGTGCCAGCACTGTTTCTTGCATTTTGTGTACTGGCCACGCTACCAGCTCCCTTCTTCTCCCAGATTCTTCTCCATCACCACCGGAAGAACAGCCAGACGAAGCAAACTTCAAGACGTAGAAGGAGATAAGAAAACAGAGGGAATATAACGTACTCGAATCATTCCCCAGGTGAGAATTCTTCTGTCCTTCCCCATACGCTTGTTCGCCTCCCTTCTGCGAATTCGGCGGCACCCGCTGGTCACCGGCCTCGTAGACGTTGCTGTTGCCGACACTAGAGTTGCCAGACATTTTGCACGGAGTCCGTTGTCTTCGGAGAGATTTGTGTATAAATTTCTAGTGGGTGGAGAGAGAGAAAAGGTGGGATTTCGATTTGAGCTGGTCGAGGGTCTAACTTGATGTTTTGGGGGCTTGGGAGGGTTGAAGGTACACTCTGTCACGCAGTCAAGTACTTCTTTCGAAGAAAAAGAGCTTTGCACAGACAGACAGAGGAAATTAATGGATTTTTGTGGTCAGTACATATTGAGAAAGAATGGTGCTGGTGGTGCTCATCCCAAGCATGACATCACAATCTCATCTCTTCGCTCGACGTTGGAGCCGCAATGAAGTCATCAATATCCACCTTTGAATGCGTGAAGCATGAATGGAGCGGATCATGACGCCCGCTACCTTGAAGGATTCGGCATTGCCCCTGTAGGTGCCTGGCTAAACAATACGTTAAGAAGATTTTTGGGCAATTCAACACGTGCCTCCTGGCGCCGAGGGGCGTCGATTGAGGTTGCTGAGCCTACAAGTACATATACCTACCTAGGTAGGGATGTAGGTCGATCATCCGGTGGGCTAGTACAAAGAGTGATAAATCCTCTAGGATGGTAAAGGGCCAGGCATCCGAATGGTGCTCCTTCGGGTCCTCTATAGCCCTGTCAACTCGTGGTGGGCATGTGTATCATGTCCTTCTCGAACGCCGAGATTCAGCCATGTGTTCATCCATTTCATGCCTCATGCCAATTGCTCTCAGGTCCAGCCGTCCACTTGCCTCCCACTCAAACCCCGCAAGTAACGTGTAGCCTCCTGTCCGGTGAAGGGAGGTCGTGCCGACTCTGTCCAGGCTCATGACCAGATTCTGAAACATGGAACAGTCACACCAAAACGGGCGCGGGATATGTGCGGGCCATTGCGGTGCAGATGAGACAAAACTCCGGCTCGTAGTGAAGGCACTGTTCGGTGGGTGAAGCTCAAGCAACTGCTGACACGCGACCTTGCGCTGTAGACCTTTTATCAGTGCTGGTCAGGCCAGGATGTATGAGCGACAGCCCATGCAGCCGAGTCGTGGTGTGATATGCCTGGCTCTCCTGGAGTCCGCGATGATGGTCGCAAAGCGATTGTGCTTCTTGTCGGGCTTCGTCTCAGGGTAAGTGCTGTATTCCAACAAAATGCGTCGGTCATTTCCCAATTGTCAACTGTGCAACTTCGTCCCTCGCAGCTCCAACCTTATCAGCCACATCGTAAAGACTCCTCTGCACTTCTCCGAATACATAGCGCAGCAATTGCATCTGATGCTCTTTTTCGCTGATGGCCCCGCCATTTCGATCGCCGTAGGTGACTCGATCACTCAACTCTCTCTCCTTCCCAGTGACTTTCCCTTCCAAGCCTTGGACAAAATCCTCAATGTCGCTCAGAAGTTGTCGATTGCCTTGGATCATGTCCTGCATCTCCTCGGTCCTCGTATTGAACAATTCAATCAAGCTCTTCGGGCCCTGTATTTCTTCTGCCTCCTCGCCCGGGAGTTGAATTTTATCTCCTTGAGCATGGCCAGCCCGGACGCTCCCCCTCAACGTCTGAGGATTATTCCACCATCCGCTTAGACCTGTGCCACCGTAGATACCGCTACCGTTCAAGTTTTCAGTCTGCGCATGAGCAACCTGTTGGTATTGCCTGGGCATTTTCAACCGATCGATGGCCCTGAAAACGCATTTTGCCTCCAGCTCATTCTTTTTCACACCACCATCCCTTGCCGCCACAATGGCCTCTGCATCGTTGCCTAGCCCAGCTTCCACCTCGTCCAGCTTCTGACTTACAAAGTCCACACCATTGGGTAGCGTTTCTCCAGCAGCGACTACGGTCGGAAGAAGGTCTGCTACTTCGGAGGCGAGTTTGATCTGATTGAGGATGAGCGTGTCAACCGCCTCGATTTCTTTTTGTAGGTCAGGTGTAAGCTGGTCAAATTTTGTGGTGGACCGCAGATGAGCAATGTCTATCTGCGCTTGAGAAGATGCGCCTGTTGTGGAGGTGTTCGCTTGCGGTTGAGCGGTTGTAGTCTGGCCTCTATGCAGCATGTGTTAGGACTTGCATAAACAATATCGAGAGATCGCATTGAGGGCACTTACAAGTTTAGGGGAGCCGGCGCAGCAGTACTGGTGCCCAAGCTTAGGACAGGTTTCGATGCTGAAGCGCCGAAGAGCGACATGATGTCTATTGAACTGTTGAGCGCTTCGATGGTGGCTTCGTAGGGGGAGAGATTTGCTTTGCCAAACTTCTTTGAAGCGTGAAAGACGCGCTGCGCGATGCAGAAATGTAGCCTGGGTTTAATGACCCGCCGTAAAGTTGAATGTCAAATACGGTGGCGCATCTATGCACTTCCTGGTCAATTGCCAGGAATGTTTCCAAGGTTCTTGGTTCAACATCGCAGCTTCATTCACCATGTCTATCATCTCTAGGCTCTACCAGCAATTGGAAATCTTCACATGGACCCATTTTCTCCGGCCAGTTCCACTATCCCCTGTGTGGACAGGCTGGGCCATTATGAAAACCCCTTTTACCCTGATTAGATAGGCGCAAAGTCAGCAGAACAACTGGGCGAGGAAAATGTTTCGTCCGAAATGTGTGGCTACCACTGGTCAATCTATCATTGACGATGCGCCGGGAGATTCTCAAGTTGCAGCTCCCAGGAGCTACTTCAAGAGTGTCCAATGGTCTGTACAAACTTGCCGCCTGTTCGATTTCATTCCTGACGAATAACAGGAGCTCCGATGGAACATGTCTAATCGCCAGCTGTTCAGACAACGCCGTCGATACTTTTGTTGTGTGAGTAAATACCTCCATGTTATCCTACAGTTCGTTGACACCGCACGTAGGCCCGTAGACCTGCTTGAGGAAGCATCAGAACCACGAATACTTTCTCCGTATTGCAGTATACAGGCGGCAGAGTCTGTCAAGGCTGTGGTCGGGTATCCGTTTTTCAATCTTCAGGATCCTTCCACCACGTTGATCTTATCGTCCATGAGAGATCATCCGATCCGGATGAACTCTGCTCTAACCGGCCAGCTGGTTGCATCATATCCGCTAGTCAATCCCATGACCGAGGAGTTCATCAGTCCCCATTCCTTGACGTTCAGCAGTCAGGGTGATCGCATCATCGCCGGATCAGAATCCTTGATCTCGGTCTTTGACGTGACTCGACCAGGGCAAGAGCCGGTTTCTTCGATACCCACCGGGCCGAAATGGAGAAAGGCAGCTGACTTCAGTGGTGCAGTCAATATGCGAGGGATTGTGTCCACGCTCAGCGTTGAGCCCTCAACTGGCCTTCTAGCTGCTGGGACTTACAGCCGGTGTGTTGGTCTGTACGATTCCTTGGGTCAAGGCGACTGCGTTGGGGTCTTCTCCGTCCAAGGTACAGGCGCCGATTTGCGAATTGGTGGACGAGGGATAACCCAGGTGCTCTGGAGTTCGTGCGGGAGATATCTCTACATTGCCGAGAGGAAAAGCAACGGTGTCATGCTCTATGATATCCGTAAAACCGGCCAGCTTTTGGCGTGGCTAGAGGGTCGAGCAGCCATGACAAATCAACGGTTGGGTATTGACCTAGTGGGCGCTGGCGATCAAGGGACCATCGAAGTATGGGCTGGTGGGCTTGACGGTCTCTTCAGGATGTGGAAAGATCCTCAACAAAAAGAAGGCCCGATCTCACCGGCATTCGAGTTCAAGGGCCACGACGGTAAGCATATGACACCTCCCGCCTTGAGACTTTATACTGACCTCTGCCAAAGACGCTGTCTCGAGTGCTGTGGTTCATCATGGTGGTGGCGTGCTTGCCACTGCATCTGGTCAACGGCACCCCACTGTGGAATGTGAAGATGTGCAAACAAAAGAGATGGTGCTAGATAAGAATGTGAAGATCTGGGAGTTATGACATATTGCTGTTGTCAACGACGGGCACGGATCCGTTTCTATGTCTTGTGCAGCCTATCCGCATTACCTTCCGTCGCGCACCAACTTGCCCAATTTTTGTAGCTTCCCTGGAGGTATTCCGGCAGCAAAGTCTGGCGCCATAATCCTGGCCAGTAAAGACAATCCAACATATTGTGTAGATAGTTGCTTTTGAGGATTATATTGGACTGGTCGAGGATCAGACCCGTACTATGGGGAGTGGGCCATTGGGCGACGCCATACCGTCCATGGACTAGCGTGGAGATGGTGTGTGGCCTCATTCTGACTTCCATTCAAGTTCTTCTTGATCGTTTCTGCTCGCTGTTAATGCTCTCTGTTAATGCTTCCTCCGACACAATTGCTTTGCAGTTGGCTATTTGGACTTTGCATCCCAAAAGCCCTATATATCATGAATGTCAAGGGATTCATAGGTGATGTGTCATGAATCGCTTGTCTCAACCACCTTTCCATCTTGTTTCGCGTTTCCTCTCACAAGGCGAGCATTTGGCTTCCCTTCCTGCTCTGGCATACTGGCTCTTTCTTGAATGCTTTTTTTTTCGCTGTGCAATGGGCTGACTATCTTGCAATTCCTCCATAAGATCTGCTTCGGCAGACGTATCGCGCTTGTTCATGAGCCTCTCGCAGGGAAAGAGCCGCGATTTGAAGTCATCATGTTCCCGTTCTCTTAACTTTTCCTTGTTTCTGGCCCAAGCATGTCACCTCATCCCTTGCCGGTGGTCGCGCTTGCGTTCTCAACTGGAGTCGCTTAGTCGTTGGTCTTGTGAAGAACCCTTTATAGCCGCAACTTGTCTTTAATTTTCATCTTTCACTCCTTGAGTCCTTGTGTTGTCATCCGCACACGACACAGAACTTTCTTTTTCCATAAGCCCGTCAAGCCCATCTTTGATCTGTTTGCTGAAGGCCTCGAGATCTTGTCGAGGATCTCGAGGCCTTGAACCCGTCTGTTGCTCCCATCAACAAGCTTACCCAAGACTTGCCAACTGGCAAGTTCAATTTCCAACCAAAACCGCCACGTCTGCAAATCCCAGGAGAGGCCCTAGATGGTAGGTCAGCACCACATACTGCTATCAATCACATACTGACTCCAAGTTGAGCTCGAGGCTGCTCTGATACTTACGATGAGGCCTTGGTCTTTCCACGAGATGACATGATGACCTTCTTTCAGATAGACAAGGCATCTTTCCAGTGGTCCGCCACGGTAGAAGAGCAGTTCATCGTTTCAGATGAAGGTCACAGGAAAGGGTCTGGCTCACCACGTATCAGCTGCGCCGGGCAAAACCCCAGAGCATCTGGCATAGCACCATGTGTCTTGTCACAGCCTGCCTCCTCCTCGACATCCGAAAATGGCTGAACATCGGCTGGTATCGGCTGCACATTTCACTTCACTTCAGGAGCAGAGAGATTTCTTGTTTCAGTCAGTGACGAGCAGTGCTGGTGACAAGACCGGAGTGACAAGGCGTGGGCAGTGATCCCAGCCTCCCCCCATCACAAGGCAGTTAGTGACGCAGTCGGCGAGTTACTGCCGCACTGTCACCTGCGGCACTATTCTGAACTGCCTTCCCCTCGTATATAAAAATATGTGCCTTGGCACGGTGATGGTGAGTTTTAAATATTTTCTCTCTGCACATCTCCGAGCTCACTTTGTGACTGACCATCTTCAAAGTCCATTGGTACCAAGTTAGATCTTCCCTCGTTGCTCTACAATCCATATCAAGTCGGTCAACATGTCTTCTCGCCAAAGTCAGGGTCACCACGACCCTAACACTTGCCCAGAGGTACAGGAAAGACTCAGCACCGAAGCTGCAGTCTACAATGTCGTCCAAGAAGTCCGCCAGATTCCTCAACCACAGCGAGGAGCCTCACAATACCTGAACACCCGCCTTGCTGACCTGGCCAAATCCGCAGACCTTATGGTCACCGAGGATGCAGAAGATATAGACACCATCTTCGAGACAGTCCTGCAAGCACGCATGTTCCGACAGGCTCTGCTTCCGAACAAACGCGGAACAGACACAACCATCCCGGAAACTCAAGAACAGTTTCGAGCACATGTCAAAGTCCTCTTCAAAGCTTTCAAATGTGTTCCCGACGAGTGTGGCTGCCAAGATGCGATCAAGCGGCCATTCAGAAACCAGATCCACGACAATTATCTCGTCGAATGTCTGTGTTGGGAGATCTTGGAGGCGTGCATCGAGCGTTCGAGAAAAGAGGCAAACCTCGTGGACGCATGGGAACCTGGAAAGTTCAAGTATAAGAAGGCCCACGATTTGACATTTGAAGAACGATTTGATAGCATTGTGGAAACCATGGCGACCTCGAAGACCATCTGCAAACACCTCTTCGATGTCAAGTACTTGCTCAAGGTCGTTGACGACCCAAAGACAAATGCCGAGCGTGTGGAAGCGAACCGGAAGCTCAATGGTCTCAAGGCGCGAGTCATGAAGAGAGGCAAGGAAGCGGAGGCCGAGGACAACAGACGGGCCAAACGTGTCAAGACCGAAGCACCCAAAAATGAAGAAGGCGACGCCGACGACTCTCCGTCTGTCAAGCAGCGGCCTCATTGTCGTAGTCGTGCGTCAAGCGCTGAGACGACGGCTGAAAAACCAGTGGCCACGCCTACACGACCACCGCTCCCCACTGTTCACCCGTCTTCTGTTCCTGCGAATATGTCTATGGCACCACCAGCCATGTATCACTCGCGCTATCCACGAAGTTTTCAATCAAGCCCTCTTCCTCATTCTAACAACGTTTTCGACCTCAGCCCATCTGGTCACGGCTCTCCAACAGGGATGTTCGGCAACCCGTATCGTCCAGCATACTCGGCAAGCTACGGTCAGAGAATGCAGACACCGTCTCCAATGCAGCGGAATGTCTTGCATCAGATTTCACCAATGTTGGCCCCAGGCTATGCCACTGCTTCTGATTCTCGATACCATCCTACACATACCATGCACAGTTCCAGATCCGCTTCCCGAGCATCTACCCGGCATAGCAACCCCACCACTCCCAGCGACCAGGGTTCGTCATATCATAGTTGGTTGAGCCAGCCAGTGCAGGACAACCACGGGATCAGCTCTAGCTACAGCTCTAGCTACAGCTCTGGGGCATCCACAGTGATGCATGAATCATTCGCGCACTCTGCTGATGAAAATCCGCAATGGGATCATAGCTACAACTCTGGTCTGGGCGCCTTGGCCGATGCTGCAACCACCTTCGGCGACAATGACGGCATCAGGGCGGAGAAATCCCACGGCAACATCAACATGTCCGACCTTCTTACACAAGAAGAGGCCGCACACACGAATGGACAAGGTGGATCTACCGAGTCCGAGCACGAAGAAGACGCAGAGTACGAAGACGAGTGAAAGATCTTCCGATCTGAATATTCCTACATCCGTGGCCAATGACTCAATATCAGTCTAGCCACATTATGGACTCCACAAGCTTTCAGGGATGTACGAGCATATCAGTGAGAGAAGCACGGCACACAGTCACGGCCCTCACTGCCAGCAACAAATACTAGACCGGTATCAAAATCATCCATCAGACCTTGCAAGAGAGAATGCTTTGTTTCTTCAAGATTTTTCCTTTCTCTCATTTCTTGGAAATAACACACAAAGACCACGGGACAAAGACAGGTGGGGACACGAAATTCACATCTCTTTCTTTGCTGGCTTTGTCCTTCTTCCCCTCAAAGTATGGGCTCCACGGACATATCCACAGCGGCAGCGATACGCATAATGGGAGTGGGAATGTGTGGGTTTCATTTTCTTTCTATGGGACAGGAGTCGCGGAGGTGAACTGTCACGATCACAAGGACAGGGTCGGACAAGGGCACGGGCGCGGTCAAGGTGTCAGGGTCAGGGTCAAGGACATGGCTGCGATGACGATGACGAATGAGAGACAGAGAGACGTCTCAATGACAGAGATACCCCACCATTTTTGCATCGAAGAAAGGATTGGATAGAATATGGGCGTACCGGAAAAGGGTTTGCCTGTAACTTCATACCTACACACAGGTAATCGTGGAACAATGGTGATGGCGATGGGCCTGAACGGCGAGCACTGCTCCGCCTGTGTATAACTACCAGAGCAAGTAATCATTCATACATACAATGCGAAGATTAAGCCAATCTTAGCTCTTGACTGTGACAACAGATGGTCGGAGCGAAAGCTCGATCCAACTCAATCATCATTATCTACTTGGTATCTGAGATGGCATGCAAGTCATCATCATGTCGCAGACATTATAGTCGATTCTCGCTTGTGAGTTCGCGGTCCAATGCTTTTTGTTGTTTATCGTCACATCATAGGACAGCATTATAGCAGAATCTATTCTCCTCTGCCTCCGCCTCTGGCCCTGCCTTCGCCCCTGCCCTTTGTTACCTACCTAGGTAGACACTCAACCTTTCTTTCCTGTCCCTCCCCCTCCACTTCCCCCGTCAAAACTCAGACTATACCCGCCTCCCTCGCCCTGCACGACCTTGAACATATCGGTACTCAGACCAAACGGTTTCAATATCCCGTTGCCCAGGTCCTTGAGTTTGCCCATCATCTCGCCGACTTCCTTCTGCTTGGCGTCTTCGATCTTGGGAGGGAGCAGGACCAGCGCGTCGCGGACGGTTCTTTTGTCGGACATGGGCAATGTCTCCCAGTATTGAGGGGTTGAGGAGAGGAGTTTGTAGTCTTCGAGCGCGGAGCTGAGGTTGGACCAGGCTGAGAATGGAGCGGAGGTGGAGGAGGAGGGTTTTGACGGCGGCGAAGGAGAATCTTTGGATGCAGGTGGTGGTGGTATGGACATGTTTGACCTCGCCCGGGCGCGGCGGAGCAGCAGCTTGACGCGGATCCGTGTGATGTCGGCTTTCTTCGTGTCTGAGAGCTGGAGATTTTTCAGGGCCGCGGACTCGTCCTCCTCGTCCGAGGGGAGTTCGACGACGGTGTCATCTTGTGCCTCGGATTTCGCTTGGTCTGCGGGCTGCGGTGGTGATGGCCCTTCGTCGTCCTCTGACTCAGTGTCTGAATTCAACCGCCCATTCTCACTCTTGCCATTTGTTTGTCGCGTCGAGGACGATTTCTTCGCTCCAGTGCTCTTCTTCCCTGTGCCTCCTTTCTTTGCCTTGTCTGTCTTTTTCTTCTTGGTCGGCAATTCTCGTTCCAAGCCGTCTAGCCCTCTCTCGCAACGTTCGACCGCATCCTTCCACTGATCGAGCTTCAAGTGGCAAGCCGCGATATTACTTTGCAGCACGGCCATCTCGTAGTCCAAATACCGCGGCAGTTCCGCCAGTGCGCGCTCGTAGGTCTGGATGGCCGACTCATAGTCTTGACGGGAGAAGAAGGTGTTTGCTTGTGTTTTCAGGTCGTTGGAGAGGGATAGCATGCGGGACTCCTCGGCCGGGGAGAAGCGGTCTTGCTTTTGCTGCTGCACCGAGTGCGCGGAGTGGAACGAGGTGGTGGACGAGGTCGAGGAGCGGCGCGACGGCCATGATGGTGGATTGGGATGTGCTTCTGTGGGAGGAGAAGGGGGTCGCGGCGGCGGTTTTACTCGCTCGGGACGAACTTTGGGCCCGTCTGCCTTGAATGACATGTCTGCTGTTGAGAGACTACTCTCTCTGGTAGGAATATACCTAGATCCACAGGTATGGTGATCATGCAGGAAGTTGCAGTGAGCAAAAATGACAAGGCTGCGAGGCTGTTCGATGCGACCCGCAAGATGACGTTGTTGTATGTTCGTGTTCGGCGAGTCGGCTACTACTGCCCCCCACCGGGTGCCACCAAAAGTCAAGCTTGATGAGATAGACGGGCTGACGGGAGCAAATCCAAGATTCGTGGCACCCAGACAAAAACGTGGGATTATGCAGGGGTTTCAATACCACCGTGACCTGGACACTGCAGGTACAAAATCTACAGATTATCCTCGACCGGACTCTCTCCCCTCTCCACACCCAGTCTTTTTCCGCGAGGCCAACGCTTTGCTCTCCCTCCAAAATACCTTCGTACTTTTTAAACTCCCTCCAATATGGCGCCAGAGAATAATCCTTCAATGCAACCCCGAGAGTATGTAGCTTGCTAGACCTTGCGTCTCGCCTGCCTGCTATTTCCGTGCATAGAAAATGGGCTAACCAGTATACCTCCCACCCAGCTTCCAGCCCGTCCGGGCCTGCATTTTCGACATGGACGGCCTTCTCATCGACTCGGAAGACGCCTATACCGTCGTCACCAACACGATCCTGCGGGAAAACGGCCGTCCCGATCTGCCTTGGAAAATCAAAGCGCAACTGCAAGGTCGACCCTCTCACGCCGCGGGGAAGATCTTCCACGAGTGGGCCCAGCTCCCGATCTCGAGAGAGGATTTCACGAGGAGGCAGACAGAGTTACAAGCCGAGGCGTTTTTAAATTGCAAACCGCTTGCGGGTGTAGAGAAACTGCTGAGGAAGTTGCAAAGAGCGCATGCGAAGAGTCACAACGGAGCTCCCGCCTCCCCGGAACCGGCGTCCAAGAAGAAGGTCCACCTCGCGCTGGCGACGAGCTCGCACTCGAAAAACTTTGAAATAAAAACGAGTGGGATGAAAGACCTATTCAGTGTCTTCCCCCAGAGACATGTCATCTTGGGTGATGATCCTCGAATACCCAAGGGGAGAGGGAAGCCGTTACCGGATATTTACCTGTTGGCGTTGCAGGCTATCAATGAGACCTTGATGGTGGAAGGCGAAGGAGAAAGACCCATCACGCCGGATGAATGTCTAGTCTTTGAGGACAGTGTGCCTGGAGTCGAGGCCGGCAGGAGGGCAGGTATGCGAGTCGTATGGGTGCCACATCCGGGGTTACTCGACGTATACACCGGGAGAGAAGAGGAGGTTCTGGCAGGACTGACCGGTGAGCATAAAGAGGACGATCTGGACCACACGGAGGGCGTGCCCCTCATGGGTAGTCCCGGGTACCCAGGAGAGATCATGGACGGATGGGCAGAAACGTTGACCTCGCTGGAGGAATTTGATTTCTCCAAATATGGGATTGAAGTTGGTGATGAGAGAGACGCTTCAGGAAACGGCCGGCCCACCGTCGACGGCATGACGGACAAAGAGCTGGAAGAAATGACGGCGCGGGCGGATGGTAAACGGCATGCTCCCGAGGAACCGTCGCCTTCGCCCGTTGCCAGGACAAGGATATGATGACAATTGTTTTGAGAAACTTCCTTCGATAATCCCAGTCGAAGAGCAAAAGACGGAGAGCGAGGATAAAGCATTCCAGGTGTGTAAAAAGCAGGCATACATTGATCATTCCCGGAAATCATCCTGATCTAAGCAATGGCGTCTCTTCCGATGCCTCCCGTCCTGTTGTCTCTTCGGGCTCTACACTCGGGTTGTAGTGTATTCGCCTCTTCAATTCCTCCTTCTCTCTCCTCCTCCGGACGACCTCGAAATAGATTCCCATGACCAGCAAAGTGCCTTGCAAACAACCGGTCACCAAGTAAACACCCCATGCCGACCATCCTTCCGGTCCCAGTCTTAATGCAAGACTTCCGGCGAAAACGAAGCTGCCGGGTGTTTGAATGCACATCATCGGAATGCTCAGGCTCCCCACTCTCTTGAGGGTGTACGTGGTATATATTTGTGGAAAATACTGGATGCTCGCGAGGACGGTGGACAATATGCCCAGAAAATTGGCCCATGACTGCGCATGGAGGGGGGCGGCGTATATAAAATAAAACGATAAGATTGCAGTGATTGCGGCATGTAAGACGCAGATTGCGACGACGACAAGAGCGGTGCGGTAGGACGGGGCAAGAGGTGCATTCTCTTTCACGGGGGAGGGCGGAGGGATATCTGATGTGGCAGAGTAGTCGGGAGGGTTTACATTGTCGGCGATGTCCTCGTCAAGCGGTGCAGATGGGAGTTGGTTGCGAGGAAAGAATATCAGGAATAGGAGGAGGCTAGAAATTCTCCATGTCAGTCTCCAACACTGGTACTAAGCCAGACGTGTACTGAAAGTCGACATTTGGAACTCACATAACTCCGAAACAGGCCCACTGTACGCCCACCTGTGCGATGCCGAGTAAACCGGCCAGACAGGCAAACTCATCCACCTCACGACAACAGGCAATATCGGCTCGTGATCTTGGGAGGACAAGGATATTCGCAAAGGCGCAGGTACCACTGGTGGTGCCTAGCAGGACGAAGTATGGGGACAGCCCGAAGGAGGAGCGCAGACGGATAATGCGAATGTGTTGCGGTAGGTAGGATACCAGAATGCCGACAAGGATGAATCTATGAGAAGAAAAAAGTTAGAATTGGGGGGGAGGGGGAGCAGAATCAGGATGGAGACGAACAGAGAGAGCCCGAAGTTGGTGTAGCTGACTCGGGAGATTTCTTCGCAGTGCGGCTCCATGGTAGAGGATTGGGATGGACAGCCTTGGGCAAAAGAGGACTATACAATCGCGGGTGAGGTCATCTTCGGTTCTTTCTGGGTGTAAGACGATGGAAGGCGTTGGACAGGCGTGACAAGATGGTCGACAAGAGCAGATGATGTTGATTTTCTCAATAAGGCTAGTGACGTCTGATCCCGTATTAGGAAACAAGATGGTGCTGCCCTAGCATCAAGTGACTTGCATAGTATGGACAAATAACACGGGCTGGGATGGTGCACCCCGCACCTCCGAGTCGACTACCCGGGGAAGTTGTGGGCCGCTAGGTTCCCTGAGCCTCACTAACCTGAAACTGCCGATCCGCCCAAGGCGGGCTCCAGCAGTGACATCCTTGAAGGCTGGCCTTATTGAGGCTTCAATCAAACCACGGTCCGTTCACCAACAATCGAGAGGCAGGTGGCAGGGTCTTCCCCTTTGCCACCACCATTTTTACTGTCAAAATTGTCAAACTGAATGCGGTAGTACCTCTGCTCAGTCTATCAAGAATTCGTTCACTTCAACGCAGAGTCTGGCTCTGGCAATTTCTTCCTGCGGCACCTCCCCTTGCCCCGTGCCGAGACCTAGAGCACACGGCAACAAGTACGGCCGCTACCACACCATGAGCTACCGCCGTTTCTCCGTCTTCGTGGAGAACAAGCTCACGACGCCCCGGAACGTCCAAGCTTGGATCTTCTGGGCCATGGGCAACCCGATCGCCGGTGACGACGGCGACGCCTATGTATCTGCCCGGGTGCTACGGCCTCCGCGAGATCGGTCCTCGAGGATGGGAGCGAGGCGGCGCAGAACTTGAAGCATGAGAAGCTACAGAGCAGACCATCGACATGATCGAAGAAGTGCTTGCCGACGGCCGCATCGTCCCTGCATCTCCGGACGAATGCAGTCCTCTTTTATGGTGCTACCGAAACTTCGGGAACTCTAGGCATCGCCACACTCTTACTGCACAATGCATCCCTGCCAGCCTTCACGTTGAGCTGATACTATCTATAGAGTCCTTTCAGCGGACCTGCCGCGAAGGGCGATGATGGATTGAGGCAAGTCCAGCGTGAAGTAAGTGAAAAGAAAGCTAACCACATTGATGGCATCAGCTTCCCGCACAATCTTGCCCCCCTGCCACCAGGCCTGCATCAGACCTTCCGGCAAAGAGGCGACCCTTGCTTCTGCATGCATGTCGAATCCCTTCAATGTTGCATTGCCACAGGAGAAGACGACAGTTACGGCTCCAATTTTGGATTGTCTCTTCCGGTTCAATCGTGGCGTATTCTGGGGTGGCAACGCTGCCCTTCCGTACTCTAACTTGCCCTGCAACCGTCCGTGCAGCGAATCTTGGACGGGGTTTCGTGGTCCAAGACTGGATCTGGCAATGCAACTGTCCAATGCGAGCTCTTTGCTTAGCCATATGTCGCAGATCCTGGACGTCTCTAACCGACTCATTTGGAAGTGCCCCTTCACAAATATCCATCACGACAAACCCACCTTCACAGCTTCCGTAAGGTCAGGGTCCTCGCAGACGAGTGAGCCAGAGAAAACCCCTGCGTATATGGCGGGCAGAAAGCTTTGTTCCCCAGCTCCAAGATATTTCGCCGAAGTAGCATCGACATCAGCATCCACAATTCATCGGATATACTCCTCATAGACCAATCAGAGTATTCTGACTAGTGGATATTATAGTTGGCGCTTTGACGGCTCCCAGATCCGATGCCCACAACTAAGGGGTCCTTACATGAAGTGAGTGGTCACTTTATAGCAGTCAAAGTCGGCGCCCAGCCACACAAGCATTGACGCCGCTTCACTGTGAGTCGAGCCGCAACTTACTCCGCACAGATGCAGATATACTTCTCCTGCCAAGCCGGTCTTGGAAAAGCCCCTCGACATCAAGTGAAAGGGTCTGGTGAAATGTTTGTGGTATGCAAATGTGTGATTGACCATGCATACGCGCTGAGTATGTCTCCAACACTCCTGCTTAATTCCGACTGCCTATACCTCGGCACGATATGGCAATTACCCCTGACCAATTAATGTTGAGCTGCTATGCGCAAGATGGACCTTGCGTCCATAGAGCTTCGGTAGGTCGTAGGCATGTCTCTGAGAGTGCCCCCGTCATTGGTCCATAAAGTGGCGATACCTGGGAAAGCCTTGTCCTCTGTCTCATTCACAGGGATAGAGATATTAGAGCTCCACTCACACTAGCTATCTATATACCACTCCCTAGAGGTCGTCTCCTGGTTTCTGCATATTCAGGAGATCGAAACACGGACCGATCGACCCCGAGAATGGCGGCCTGTGAGGTCGCAAGATGCGATGGGGGTCAAATGACCGTCAAGCTTTATGCAGTGTTTCGGATGTGCCTACATAATATGTGGCTGTCACAGGTGTTTCAAACACATAGTATTCAGATCCCGAAGGTTCAAGCCACAGCCAAAAGTCCCTTCCAAGCCCCCTGCCGATCCCAAGCTCTCCGGTTTGGCTGAATATCATGCATGGCCAAAGGAGAGCACGACTTCGAGATGTGATGCTATCTAGACCGCTCGAGATGTATATATATCCTCATCTCTTCCCAAGTTCATCCCATCTTTTCATCATCATCAGCACTCATCAGCTCCAAACATCAACAGCTCCAGCCTTCACCAAACCAACTTACCTTTACCAACCACTTCCAACTTTTTTCTTTCGAAAAAATCACCCTCATTTCGCACTTCCAAATCACCATGTATACTCTTCTTCTCATCACTCTCGCCGCCACTGGCGCTTTCGCCGTTCCCACCGTCAAGGCTCGCGGCGGCAGCGAGAGCGGCATGGGCATGACCGTCGCGGAGGCCGGCAACCAGTGCGGCAACGGACAAGTCGTCTCCTGCTGCGACACCAGCACTTCAAGCCTCGCCTCGGGCCTCCTCAGCGGCGACCTGAACGGCATCCTCGGCGGCAGCTGCAGCCCCATTCCCCTGTCTCGTGAGTTTTCCCATCACTTGGTCAAAAAGAAAACCGGGGTAAACGTTAGTGTGTGTGTGTGTGCTAATTGTCGTTGCTTGCAGTCGTTGGCTTGCCAGTTACACAAGCCTGCGTTGGTAGCGAGGCCGCTTGCTGCACCGGCGACCAAACCGTAAGTGGTTTTCCATTTTTGCTCTGTTACACCGGGGGCTAACCATCAGAAGGGACTTATCAACGTCCAGTGCGCCGTCATCACCCTCTAAGGCACGGGACGAAATGTTCACGGATCTTCGATGGGTGGGGTGCGCCGCGCGAGCAGAATTCAAGACGGAAGATGGGAGAAATCGTGAACTCAGAACCGTGAGCTGAAGAGGAGTGCGGGAGTCAAAAATGGCGCTGGAAAAGTTGCAAAAAAGTAAAATGTGTTCTAGAAGAAAGAAAGAAAACGTCTCTGCGAGGATTTTGTCGGGAAATTGTCTGGAGGAATCTGGTTATTCTTCGATAAGTGATGGAGGGAGGATGGATGGATGCTTTGTCCTTGGACGGTATCTAACCCCCCCTTTTGTGTACTAGTATCAGGCATCTTTCATCTTGGCAATGGTATGGCATTTTTGGGCATTCCCAACTTAACTAAGTCTTAGGTGGGATTAGTTACCTGGTCCCCTATGAGCACCACCTATTCTAGGTAAAACAAGCCCCTACAATGGTTGGCCAGATTACCAGCTCTTCACAGGCTTTAAGCTGGATCTATTCAATAGAGGATATACAGGATATGGTGTTGAGGCTCTAGCTTTCTCTTGAGATTCCTTTGGTCGGGACTCATATGGTAGATTGAGGACTTGTTTGTCTGAGCATTTTGGTGAGGCTGCTATACGCCCCTCTTGCAGTTTCAGTGCCCGGTTTTCGGGACCCCTTTCTAACTGTTTTCTCCAAGTAGTACTAGGTAGTTGACCCAAAACTAGGGCAACCAACTGCGGCTTCAGGGGGCCCCTTGAGTTGGTATCACTAGTAGTTTACGCCAAAACCTGATGATTTCTCGCTTTGATACATATCAAGTACTACTATTGTTATGTACATAGTGGTTTGACGACAAACCAAGAGGTTAGAGTGAAGGATAGCGCGGCAACACGTTTTCCCGTATTTGGGCTGAGACTCCGAGTTATTAAGTAGCGAGGTAGATTTTACTCGCCTTGGCATTTATGAGCGAACTATTGCTTGCTGTGTGAGGACGATATCATAGAGATCCTTCACCGAAGCAGTAGCAGTGGCATCCTGACTTGTCCCATTGACCACTTGCACTATGCCAGACCTCCCTCATACATCTAATTGGGTGGACGGCGTGCATGCCACTCCCACCGCCGACTGCATTCAGGTTATCAACCCCGCGACCGAGGCCACGATAGGCACTGTGGACGCCACGCCGCGAGAGGCGGTCGATGCCATCATCTCCGGCTCCTTGCGCTCGTTCCGCCACGGCAAATGGTCTCATGCAGACGCGTCCGAGAGGTTCTCTGTCCTGTCCAAGGCGGCGGTGCTGCTGCGGTCGCGGATTCCGGAGTTTGTGGAGCTCGAGACGCAGCAGACGGGGCGGCCCATCCGTGAGATGCGCGCCCAGTTGGCGCGGATTCCGGAGTGGTTGGAGTACTTTGCGTCGCTGGCTCGCGTCCACGAGGGGAGGGTCACGCCCTTCAAGGGTCCAGTCATCAACACCGTCACGCGCTTGCCGCTGGGCGTGGTGGTGCAGATCACGCCCTGGAACCATCCTCTCCTGATCGCGACCAAGAAGATCGCCGCGGCGCTCGCGGCGGGCAACGTCGTGGTGGTGAAACCGTCCGAGCTGGCACCCTTGTCGGTCCTGAGGCTCGGGGCGTTGTTCCAGGAGGCCGGCTTGCCAGATGGGACGTTGCAGATCGTGTGTGGCCACGGCCGAGACACGGGCAAGTTCCTGTGCGAGAACCCCTTGGTGGCCAAGATCGATTTGACCGGCGGCATCGCCACGTACAGGGCCATCGCGTCCAGGGCTGGAGAAAACATGATCCCCATCACGGCGGAGCTCGGCGGGAAGGCCCCGGTATGTCTTCTCCCAAGTGTAGACGTCCAACACGCCGTCAGAGCCGCCCTTTTCGCCAGTTTCATCGCAAGCGGCCAGACATGCGTGACCGGAAGTCGTCTGCTGGTGCACAAGGGTATCTATGATCGGTTTGCCGAGTTGTTGGGGAGGAGAGTCAAAGCCCTACGAATAGGTGATCCACAGGATCCACAGACACAGACTGGTGCCGTCATCTCGAAAGCCGCTCAAGCGAGATGCGCCGCTTTCGTGGACCGTGCCGTCAAGGAAGGCGGCAAGATCCTCTGCGGCGGGAACGCGACTGCAGTTGCAGGGAAGGGCTTCTTCTTCGAGCCCACAGTCATCGAAACGCACCATGGCTCCGACTTGTCCTGCAACGAGGTCTTCGGTCCAGTCATTGCGCTCGTCAAATGTGAGTCTGAGGAGGACATCATTCGCATTGCCAACGACAGTCCCTTTGCATTGGGTGCGTCGGTCTGGACCAACGACATCTCCCAGGCACATCGGATGGCGGAAAAGATCGAGGCCGGTATCGTCTGGATCAACGGGCATCACTTGAACGACCCTTCGTCGCCCTGGGGAGGATTCAAGGAGAGCGGCATGGGGAAGGAGAATGGCGTGGATGCCTATGAGAGCTATACGAAGGTCAAGAGCACCGTGATCAACTATGGCATTCCTCCTGCGTGGTTCGACGAAGAGGTCGAGAATGCACGGTATGGGTGATGGATTTCCTTGCCTGGGATTTAAACACAGGCATCCGAGATCTTTCGAAGTTCAACATGCCTTCGATAGAGGCTGTGTCGTATGTAAGTTAAGGCTCCTAACTCATCCCGGGGCTAACATCCAAGTCCTCACACCATTCAGCGAATCACCTCAATCACACCTGGCTCCCGAACGATCAGGAAACGGTGCCTTTCTGCGAGCCCATTCGTCGCTTTTGATGGTGAGATCCAAGAGGAGGCCGGTGCAAAAATACAGCCGGAGAATCTCGGCGAAAGTCTTGCAGACGCGAGATGCCATCAACAAAAAGTCATTTTGGGGCTGCTGATGGTGTCAGTGAGGATAGTACGGTTGAACTACATCCGGCCGGGTCACACACTACTGATACCAGTTCCAGATTGACTGTTGACGCTTGCGTACTATCTGCAGATGCCTCAAGAGATGAGGCGTACCGTCAGTCGATAATATACCGATGTAGTCTGAACTAGGAGATCTAGCTGGAAAATACGACGTCGTTGATTCATTTGTCCAGAATATTAGCAGTGTATATATACCAGTCCACTGTTTGGATTCATTCATTCGCCCCATAATGAACAAAGGAGAAAAATAGTCTGCCGCTGAGGCTGTGTCGTTTCCGACGAGTCGAAATTTTTTCCAACTGATGATTTCGCCATGTTCTCGTCCTGGTGGCCGAGGGCGCTGTACATATATACGTAGATGGCTGGTTCTTTCTTTCTTTTTTCTTTTTGGGGGCCTTGGCTGGTCGAAAACAAAGGAGACTTGGGCCCGAGACCCTGCCCGGGGGATCGTTTTCGTGTTTAATGTCTCTGTCAACAGACTCTTCTTGCGCTTTTTTTTTTTGCGTCCATGAAACTCATTCCAAGGCATGGATGGCCCTCGTTTCGTCGAACTGGGCTATTCTCACTAGGCCACACCACAGAGGCCTACCTCTTCCCCCGGTTCGTCATGCATGCATACCTGATGGCGATGCCTCCTCCCACAAGAGAACCACCTCAGGCTTTTGTGGTGTTGAAGACATAGCCCTGAAAAACAGCGGTGACTTTGACGCTGTCGTAAAAGCCAATGACCTCGACAATCTTCCTGGCGCCCGTGTCGTCGAGCTCCGTCCTCATCAACCACGCGTACTGCATGTCGTAATTGGCACCATTCTTGCCCACCACGCCCTGACTCCGCCAGTTCACCGTCGCCCAGTCGCCGTCGGCGAAGATGTGCTCGACGATCGGCACGGGGAGAGTCACCAGCACGTCCCGCAACGGCGTGAGCACTTTGTCGATGTAGACCTGTTTGCCGTTGTACGTGCCCGCGATGGGGCTGCTTCCGGTGACCGTCCACACGAGGTCGTCGGACAGCGCGGCGGCGAAGGACGTGCCGAAATTGTCCAGCGCGACGGCCGTGAACAGTGACTCGATGAACGACCGGGTCGCCTCGGTCGTGCCGTTGACACACTTGCGTGGTGGGGACGGGTGGGCCTCTGCTGCCATCATGAAGCCCGGTCCCGATGGTGCTGAATGCGTCGTCGACGTCGTCAATAACCGCGGCTTTTGGTGGGGAGCAAGGCAAGACTCGCCGTGATGGAAGTCGCCGTTGCTGCGGGACGAGGAGGACCGGAAAGATAGCAGAAGTTGGAGGACCGTGATAAAGAAAACGGCCGCTCGGGCCGGGGACATCATTTTGGCCATGTTTGCAAACCCGGGGCCACCCCGGCTGGCGCTTGAGGGGAGTTACAGTACATGACAAGGCCCCCTCCCAATGGTGGTGAGCTCCGACATTTATATAGCTACCTATGTAACCCACACAGCGTACCGAGCATTTCTTCACCTCTCTGCCTACATCCCTCTTCTGGAATGCCCCCCTTTCTCTAGGATTTCACCGACAGTTGTGACACGTGTATGGACAGCAAAGCAAGCGCGCTTGGCGATGCCACTGGAACCACTAGGGCGTGCATTGGCTTGAGGGCTTTGGAGTCGGTGAAAGGCAAGGCCCGTCGCGTCGAGGTGTTAGCCATGGGGTCTTGTGGACATTGGCGAGCTCCTTGTCTCTAAACGAGCTGTCTTCAATGCTTGGGACGTGGACGAATTTGAACTTATGACTTGCTCAAATAGCACTGAAGTGACCCGATGTAGGTGAATGCGCTAGGCAATTCAATGGTGGTGTTGACAGTTGCTCCGTCATTCTCCTCTGGGTCCGGGTCTTCCGCTAAGATCCAATGACCAGACAAATGCCCAAGTCCCAAAATCGGGGACAGCTGGTAGTAGATGGAAGAGGAGGAGAGGTCCGTCTAGGTACCCAGGTATATTGCTTGGATACTACGATCTAGTCTCTATCCATGCGCCATGCCACCGTGATGATTTCAGCCAAAGATCTCAAGAGAGGAGGGTATCATTCATTTGCAAAAACCGGCGCATTTCCGCCATTCCATGCTTGCCTCTGCTTCTTAAAATTTCCCCATGCCGAACCCCCGGTCACTCTAATAGTCCTTCTGAGCATATCTACTCCTCATCCTCAACCGCTCACCGTACTGCGGTTGTGGGTCAGCAATGGACCAGACTGTGCCAAAGGCGTGCGGATGAAGAACCGGGACGACTCACCTTAAACAAGAAGAAAGGTATGGGAATAAAGGCAATAGAAAGAAAGCCCAGTGTCGAACTAGCCCAGCCGACTCCGAGATTGTTGTACATGGCCGTGGCGAATAGTGGGAACCCTGCGCCGAAGGTGGATCGAAAGAAGTCGTTGCCGGCCAGCACACTTGCAGCGTATGCCGGGTATGCATCTGCCAGGTAATTGAGGACCGAGTTGAAGAGCAAGAACGCGCCCACGGAGAACCAGGCCGTGCCGATAATTGGCACGATCCAATGAACATCCGGCTGGGCGGACCATCCGAACCAGAACAGACAGATTGGAATGGCAAAGGCGCCGACAAACGAAGGCGGAAGGCGCCATTCGGGTTGGAGCTCGCCCTTGTCATTAAATTTGGGCTCAATGTATTTCCGTTGATACCAGATGAATGGTGGAAGTATGACCAAGACACCAATGAGGATGCCCAAAAATGCAGTTCCTTCGAGACCCAGTCTGAAGCCGTATATTCCACTGAAGACGATGGGGAAACTCTCGAACCAGATATACAGCAGTCCGTAGATGAGAGCGATGTACATGTTCAGCAGGAAAACCATGGGTTCCGTAAAACACAAGAGGAAAGGGCGAACGAGAGTCATCATGGCGATTTCTCTGGGGGTCATTTGTTCGCCGATCAGTTGCGGCTCACACATGAGTTTTTGGTTGCCCGTCAATTTACGGAGGCGCATTGTGCGTCGGTAAAGGATGTTGGCCGAAGAAGTCTCTGGCATGAGAAACAGGAGGAGGATCAAGGTGAACCCAGAGAGCCACATGAGTTCCCAAATTGTCCACGTCCATCCTTTTGATTCTGCCGCAAAGCCCCCAACGAGAGGCCCCTGCATCGATATGTCAACTCAAAGCAACGTTGGAGGCACAGCAACAGCGATTGATTCGGATTCAAAAATGGTCTGTGAGAGAGGAGACAAACTCACCATGGTAGGTCCACAAACTGCTCCAATACCCCATACAGCCATCCCATATGTTCTTTTGGAGGGAGAATACATGTCCCCAATCGTGGCGCCTCCAGTAGCAAGAGGTGGCGATCCCACGAAACCTGTGATGAAGCGAAATGCCATGAGCATGCCGAAATTGGTCGCCAAAGCAGTCGGTACCTGCAGGATGACGAAGAGCGCCAGAGTTCCAATATAGATCGGGCCTCTTCCGGTCTGTGGTAGTTCCGACAAAGGACTTAGAAACATTGGACCAACACCATAGCCCAACACGAACAACGTAAGACCTAGAGTGGCAGCGACACGACTGACTCCGAAGTCTTTGCTCACGTCCAAAATCCCAGCAGAATATATCGAAGAGCCAATGTAGACAGAAAATGTCAATAGGCAGATCTCGAAGGTAACCCAGATCTTCTTCAACCGGCCCCAGTTTCGAGGGTTTTCTGGGTCGTCAGGACCGTACCAATCCACAATGTGTGCATCCCTTCCTCTCTCAGGGTCGACTCTCGTGCCACTAAGGGTGTTGACCAGCACATTTTCGAAGTCGCCGGCGGTTGATGCTGAGCCAGAAGAACGGCGAGAAGGTCCATGAGGATTGGCATTCGGGTGCTGACGGTCGGACGGCAGGTCTAACTGTTCCTTCGCCTCTGCTGGGATAGTGGTCTGGTCGTAATAAGACGGTGTTTCTCCTTGCTGCCCCTTTTCTTCCGTTGGCGGAGTAGGCGAACCAGATGAAGATCCACTGCGAAGGTCCTTTTCTTGTTCAGGGCTGGTCGTGCTGCCATGGAGAGCCATGTTGGCCGACTTCTCGACATTGAGGTATCTCTGCCATATTGATGGATCCCGCTCCTCGGGATATTGGAGAATCCTTCGTGCTGTAATAAGCCGCAGTATTTGTCCGACGACCGTGTCCCGAAAGAGGTCGTCCATGTTTCTTGTAAGTGGCAAGCAACAATCCCAAGACCAAAGAGCGTGTTTGGAGAAGCAAAAAAGGCCAAGGGAAAAGCTCAATCATATCTTAAGAGACGTCATTATCATTTTTCAGCCTCGAGGCGTCATGATGGAATGGGTGCCATCCGGCTATCTGCACGCCAAGACGACGTAGCGGAGGTTGAAATGATTTCCAACCAAGCAGCCATAACACGCAGCCCACATTATGATTGAATCGGCATGTGAAGCATCCGAGATCGAGAAGCGGACAAAAAGAGAGATGGCAATGTGCACTCGGCGATCGACCGAGTCAATGACGCCGAAGTGGAGACCGGGAATTGTATCGCAGCCTCGCACGTGCTCGGCAGGCGAAGATCCTTTTCCAGGGGTTTTGTCAGCCACTCGGTTTGTTCTGGTTCCGACTTTCTGGTCTGGTGGACCAACTGTGCCTTTTGAAACCCACCCTTGAATACTAGGTAATAGTAATCATGATCCAGACCACGCTGGTCGCCTTATCCCACGTATTTGCTGGCTGGATGCGGTTCGTCTGAATGGTAGTCCTGACACCGGAAAGGACAAACATCTTCGCGTACGGTAGCTGTTCGACGTATCTGAGAATCCACTAAGATCATGATGTGTTGGACCAGGGGCTCAGGGGCTTTCCGAATTCATGGCCCTTGTGCAGATATCCAGAGGGATGGTAGACCATTTCTTCCGCTCAGTATGATGTGGCCCCTGTCCAACTGTTTGGCTTACTATTGCGTTCCGAGAGCATAGGCTCAATGAGGGTGTCTCATATGGTGTGGGTTGTGTCGATGACTTGCCCATTCCGATAGGAGGAGCATCTCCCCGGTTGCGACAGGCAGGCTGCTGCGACTTGGACAATGTTCGCAGAATGGCAGTAGATGACTTCGAAACGCTGACTCTGCGAAGCGATGGTGGCATAGCGTTTCCCCAATTTCTCTTCATGTAGTCTCGGTCACAGATGCATTCCGTCCTCGTTGACATCGTCGTCCTCGCCTCCGAGTCTATCCATCATCTGCCGCCGCAATTCCTCGTCGGTCAGTCTTCCACCTGCGGTCCTCTCCGTTTCCGTTGTACTTGTTGCCGCCTCCTCCGAGGATCCGTTCAACTTCCCATTAGTATCAGCTTCGTGCCATTTGCCTCCTCTTCTCACCACCTCGCGTTTCAACAGCTCTACTCTCTCCCTCTGTCGCTCGATTACGATTTGGTTCTCTTGGATCGCATCTGAACAATCTTTGTCCCCTTCTTGTCTCGTACTTTCTGGGAGGCTGGCGTCTGATCTGATACTATCGATATATTCTTGGAGTTGTCTGTTTGAGCGTTCAAGGTGGGCGATGGAGTTTTCAATTTCCTGGGCCTTGGAGTACAAGTTCTCAGCAGGAAGGTCTTGAATAGCTAGAGCGAAACGGTCCGCGGAGATAGGCTGCGATTCGGCTGACATTTCGTTCGAGTGCTGGCTGCAGGTTGGATGAGCCTGTAGAAAAGAGATCACCTAAGGCAGTCACAGAAATCCTAGGTAGGTGTCCTGCCTGGTGGGAATCACACTGTCGTGGTTGTATTTACGAAGGTGTCCTTGTGTGACGCGATTAGTGCGGAGAAATAGAAATAGAACCCCCGCTTTGCCTTCCCTCGCTTGCTACAGGCACCCACAGGAGGCGAGTCGACTTCAGAAATAACTGGCGCAGGTTTCCGACAAGAGGGCACAACAGCAGCAAAGTAGAAGTCGTTGACTTTTAGCTACCAGGTTGTCTTCATTGAGAAGGAAAGCCAAAACCTGGGCAAGCAGCAGAGGGCCCAGATCAAGCCCGCCAACCCTGCACAAACTCATGGAGTCTGTCAATGACCACCCCAAATACAGCATTGACGCTGTCCGCCAAAACCTGGTCCAGTGCCCTCACTGCCTCTTCTTCACTGACATCAAGATTGAACCTTTCCCTCACTTTGCCCACAGCGCCTCCTATGCCGCCCATCTGTTCTTCCATCAGCCTAATATCCGTGACAGAGCTCTGGACCATCAAACTGAACAGGTTCAGCACCAAGGAGCTGGACTTGCGCAGGGCCGTGTAGGCCGTGAAGCAGAATTGTTTGAATTGAGCATATTGCGGCGACGTGGTGCCTCCCAACCCTTCCACCATTTCTTTGCACAACTTAATGAGGGGTGCAAACGGCTTCGGATCTCTCCCAAGGATGAAACCGAAGTCGATGTGGAAGAAATGCCCCGACGGTTGAAGCAACAGGTTGTCGAGATGGCGGTCGCCGACGCCCAGAATGTATGTGATCACACAGTATCCGGCACATGATCTGATGTACGTATCCATGGTCTCCTTACGGACACCAAGAGGTCCAGATGCGTCGGGGTTGTTGGCGCGCAGATAGGCCAACACCGACCCCTTGTACTTTGCCGAGATCACCGAAAGCGCCGTTGATGGTATGAACTGGACAGCACCAGCCGATGGCGACGTGGCGAGAATGCGGTAGGGTGTCAATTTCAGGTCAAGATTCTCCTTGAGCAGGAGGTTGTTCATGAGGGTAATAATCTGGATGACGAGCTGGTCTTGCCGCAAATCATCGCCCGTCTTGAAAATAATGGGATATTTGCCGTGTGTCTGCGTTCTCTGTGTGGATGCACTCGAATCTTCGGTGGCGTTGGCGACTTTGAAGTTGAGGTATAATGGTGACAATGATGATTTGAAGACATTGGCTTCTTCGGGGTAAATTCCACATACCTGGACTTCGGGGTCAAGCGCCAGCGGGATAGGTGGCTCGATTTTGACAAGTTCGTTCTTGGGATCAGCCAGAGTCTTCTTAAGCAACTCGATCTTTTGTAGGCGATTGGTCCTGCTGAAACGAATTTCCTTGCTGATACTCGAGAGGATCGTGATCAATTCGCCTTGTCGCAACAAGGTCTTGCGCAGACTTGGATCACGTTTTTCTAACTCCACCATGAAGTAGTACTCTACTCTCGCAAAGACAGCTCGATTTGTAGCGCTGGTCTCGCTGCCCTGGTCGACACATTCGACCATGAGAAACCAATGCAAGTAGTTCCCGAGCATAAAATTGTTTGCAGCACGATCAATGAGAAATTTGGCCAATGACGAAGTTGGAAGGCCTTCTTCGGTACTCTCATACTTTTCAAATTTCAGCGCTTGGACGAGTTGAAGAAGATATAATTGCAACTCGGCGTCCCCAGCTTGTCGAAGTCGGTCAACGGCATAGGCTCGGACGACTGGGTTATCATAGGTCGGACCCAGTAATTCGAGTGCTGCATCAACATCGATCTTGGCCCACCTAGGGATCAATTCGACAAGTTGGCGCACCTCGTTTGGATTGGTGAAATCAGTCGCTTTGACGACCTTGGTAAGAGCTCGTTTATCACGACTCAAGTGCCGTCGGAATGTCCAGATGACATCTTTATCTTGCGCACTCAGCTCCTGCGTCGGGCCATACGACAGAATCTCGTTGAGTTCGTCCCTCATTTTGGCGTTCGGCTTTTGATCACTATCGGAAAATGCATTCCTGTCGCTTCGAACCAGTCGACGGTGTTTGCTCTCACAGGGATTTTCCCGTTGGAACTGCTCGGGGTCGAAGATTTGGACTACCGGGTAATCCTCGTCATCAACAACGGATGTGCCTGGAGCGATACCTGGACCATATCGGACCTCTGGCGGCGGTTTTGCCCCGACTGCGGAAGCCGAAGGAGTACTTTGAAACTCTTTCATCATTTTCGATGGCTCATATCCATAATCTTCAAAAATGACGGGGAAGTCCCAGCGAGGGAAGTCAACATAAAGAGTGAAACGTTCTTCATCATCCGTATCGTCATCAGAGTCGTCGTCGGCGTCTGGATCAAGTTGTGCGAGTCCGTTCGCAGTGTCATTGATTCCCTTGGATATCAACTGGGCCGACTTGCGCTTCGAGGGGTTTTTGACTGAGGAACGTTTTTGTGCAGCTTCCTCAACTTCGCGGGCTTTCTTCCCAACGTTCTGAAAGACCAGTTGATCCAGCCAGTCGTTCTGAGGAATCTCGTTCATTTCATGTTTCTTGAAGAGTTGCTCGAGCCTTTCGAGCTCGTCCTCTTCCGGAATAGGGGGAGGCGGCTGCTCATTTGGCTTTCGACGTTTTGGACGGGGAATGTGGGGAGTCCTAGATGGCGACCGACCATCGGCGGCTCTCCGGCGATAGACTTTACATTTCTGGCGACCTTTCCTCAAGGCACCATCTCCGTCAAACAACGGAACGGTGGTGCCGCCAAATGGCACAGCGTGGTCAATGCTACCATTCTCGGGACAGGGCGAAATGTCCCATACGGTGATGGCGATCTGTGAGGAGATGGGGCAGTCCTTGACTAGAACGGGTAACTCTAGCCATTTATTCCAGGTTCTGTTGTTCTTGAAGAACGTATGTGGCGTTTGCATAGAGACACCTAGTGGCTTTGATTCGGCCCATAGCTGAGCAGTCACGTACAGTTCTGAATTCGGGTTCTGGACGGATCCAACGTGGCGTATTTCTGGGTGTTTCAGCAGTATAGTATACGGGAAAGAATGTTGTTTGCCCTCCAACGTGTTGCTACATAAAGTCAGCGTAAAGGACATTGTCTTAGCCTGGCCTCTGACGGCAACGAGCGGGGCGAATGCAAAAAGAGCGATCGAGGTAGCCAAATACTCACATTTTGACACAGACGGGGAAGTCTATCTGGCGCGAGGTTGCGAAGGTATATGTGTCCATGATGGAAGGTCAGAGAAGCCACTGCCCATGATATTGGAAAGCTAGAAGCCGATCAGGCAGCAAGTCACCCTCGACGGATGTACAGTCGATGGACAGCAATATCAAACCAGAGTGTGAAGCCTGGTGAGCGATGAACAAGGCGGGCGACCAACGGGAAGGCTGAAGCGCTAACCATGATTGGATTAGTTTAATTGGCCAGACGCGTTGAGGGCCAAATCGCCGCGTCTCGTTGAGCCTCGCCGCCTCTTCATGTCCGACCTATCATTCTTCCACTGCCTCGTCTCATCTCCCCTCTATCATTGGCAGGCCAGCAGTTGAGGGCAGTGTACCGAGTACCTTCTTCCGTAAAGCTGTTCAGGAGAAGCGCCTTTGACAACACCTCCTCTCGAAATCTAGGCAAGCCACCTACTGCACCTGACTCTTAGCGACTTGCACCACATGAGCATTCTTCTGCGTGCTTCTGCGCAAATGTGTTAATCATGGCCCGTTTGAACACCCAGACTGTCTCGTCTGATACCGAGACTGAGAGACTCATAAGCTCCCCATCCGGTCGTACGGCTGCCTCGCCTGCACCGCCTTCCGCTCTCGGCGCCTACGGCTCCGATAAAGAGAACGAGCATCATACTCTGGGCAGTAACAGGAAGAGAAAGAGTGCTGCGGCGAACATGTCAGATAAGGCTCCCGTGGATACGCGAAAACGGAGGAGGACAGAAGCAGAAGAATCACAGACTCCGTCGGGCCAACAATACTATGACCCTGACCAGAAGCCTGAAGAACGACGCCAAGTCCGCAAATTTCTGCGTGGCCTCCATGCAAAGCTCCACGACCTTAGGGCCGAGTATCTTCGGCCTGACTCAAAAGGCATCGAGGAGACTCTCAGAGAAGCAGACGAAAACTTCAAGAATGTCAAGCAACCTTCAGAAGCCACCATTGATTCGCGATTTCTCGTCGAAACTGCAGACCTGTCTTGGAGAAAGATCAACAATCTGACGCTGGGGGATGGGACGATCGGTATTGACGTCGACGATTTCGTCACGAAATGCATCATGTTCATGAAACAGGGGAACGCATCGGAGGCGGCATATCGTGATGCCCCGCCCAGCACTCAAACTCAAGCTCATCGGCGAAGACGGCGTCAGGATGCGGATGAAGAGGATGAAGGCGATACCATGAACTGGGAGTACTTGGGGAAGAACGCTTGTTTCCTGTACAACTCGCGACCTTGCTTGACCGGCTTCTTGCTTGGCCCACTATCAGTCCAAAAGAAGGTTCGGCAGCAAACCCAACGCAAAGCGCGCGAAGCTCGCACTGAACCCACACAAGCGGTGCGTCCAGTTCAGTTGGGCGACGAAGACCTGCAGAAGCAGGAATCGGCCAACCTCACCGAGATCTGTACCGAGATCGCACGACTCTTGCAAACGGCTATGATTACGGGAATAAAGAATGCGGAAAGAGAAGTCGAAGAAGCAGACCAGGACCTTTCAGAGGAGCAAACGCGAGAGATCCTGCGGAAAAGCGTAATAGCCGACAACGGGTGCGTGCCGCTGTTCAACTTCTGCGTCAACCCGAAATCATTTGGGCAGACCGTCGAGAATATGTTTTATGTGAGCTTTTTGATCAAGGAAGGAAAAGTTGCACTGGACTTTGACAGTCATGGGTTACCGACGCTAGGTCTCGAACGGCCCAAGAGTATGGAGGAGAGGCAGGAAACACAGCGTAACCAAGCAATCTTCACTCTCGACTTTGACATTTGGGAAGACATCGTTCAGACTTTCGGCATCCAGAAGAGTATCATCCCTCATCGACGAGAGGAGAAGTATGACGATGGAATACTCGACTATGCGCACAGGGAGGATGATGCTGACCGCAGAGAGGAAGAACAGGAAGACTCCGATGCCTATTCCTGAGAAAGAGAGTGGTTGGGCGGTTGTTGGGCGCTGGTTTTATGATGTGATGTTTGTCTTTGTACGGCGAAGCGGCCATCTTGTCTTGTTCTCATGCGTTGGACTCAGTCTTTGTGTTGCCTTCTGCTTTTCTACTGAACAAGTCATGAGATGAATGAAAAGATTCAACACAGGAACGAGCCGAGCTTCCAGTCTGACCGAAGCCGTGACTGCTCCAAGACCCTACTCGCTTGCAGGGCAAGGATCCTACCTCCCTCGCCTCGACAGGTATATCCTGTACCATGTCGTCTCACAGGCAAATTTGGAGAAACGGGTCTGGACGTTGCATTAGACGGAGCCATACATCGTCACTCATAGGCTCTTTTCTCCGCCTGGCGTTCCCCGCGCCGCCCGCAATTTTCTCTGGGCCACCCACAACCCATTCCACGAATGATCTACGCATCACATCCTTGGTGATCCCTCGTCTCATATGCCGACTTGCATGGGACCCTGTTCTCAGGGCATCAGGTTCCTCGACATGGAGTGATGCAAAGAGGAACGACGCCGGGCATGACGGCCTCATTGCCGATCGGATTTTGTCCGTTTGGGTTGATCTCCCTCAATTGTCACGCAGGGGGGGATCACGGCCCCAATGGCCCATATGATATAAGGTGAAGGTACGACCTGCGGAGGAATCAGGATTCGTCTCCTTCTCACTCTGTTGGGAGAGGATCCTAAAGTCAGGTAGGTGACCCAGCTCAGAAACTCGTACTCTTTCGCGCGACAAAGATGGAGAAATCACCACCCGCAGAGCATCACGAGGGTACATTACCAGAGGAGGTAAGCAGTTTCACGCTTGGTGGTCCCTCACAGACACACGCCGCCACAGGGTCTTTGCTAAGGACGTCCAAATTTGTTTTACACAGAAAACCGTCATCGAATCCCCATCGAGTGACGAAGGTGTCTCCTATGGCGGTGCCGCCGCCGTCGACCACATCGAGTATGAAAAACGCAACCGGCGCCTGAACCGGCGGCTCGACGTACGCATCCTCCCGCTCTGCTGCTGGATCTACCTGCTCAACTTCCTCGACCGGGGCAACATTGGCAACTCCAAAGTGCTCAACTCGGAGACGGGCGACGACCTGCTGCAGCAGACGCACATGACCGCCAACGGCTACGCCGTCACCGTCTCGCTCTTCTCCCTCGCGTACACCATCTTCGAGGTGCCCAGCAACTATGTCATGAAGCACTGGGTCCGCCCGTCGCTGTGGCTGGGGTTCCTATTGTTCGCGTGGGGCGCCTTGACGATCGGGTTTGCCGGCGTGCACAACTATGCCACGGTCGTGGTGTTGAGGTTTTTGATTGGTGCTTTTGAAGCTGGTTTCTTCCCAGGTATGTCACCAAAGCTCTGTTTTCCCTCCCCCTTCTCCCACGAGATTCTATGGAACAAAGCATGGCTCGATCCCTCCCTGTTCTGGTATGATTGGTAGCACAGAGGAAGCGTGAAAAAAAAAAGGGAAATAGTGATGGACATGTGCCAGAAGTTGATTCGGCTTGCACTTTGGGAATAGAGAACAATGACTTATTTTTCTTAGGCATCGTCTACTTCATCACGATCTGGTACCGGTTCAACGAGCGCGCCGTCCGCATCGCCTGCGTCGTCGCCTTCTGCAACCTGGCGGGCGCCTTTGGCGGCGCCATCGCCTACGGCGTGGGCCACATCAACGGCACCGCCGGCCTCCAGGGGTTCCGGTGGCTCTTCATCATCGAGGGCATCATCACGCTGGTCTCGGCGTCGTTTCTCTTCCTGCTCCCGGACTATCCCGCGCGGGCCAAGTTCCTGAACGAGTCCGACAGGCGGTTCGCCGAGGATCGGTTGAAGGAACGAGGCGGCGGCTATCTCAGGAGCCATGCCTCGAGGAGGGAGGTTCTCGAGACGTTTTTCAGTCCGAGGATGTTGGCGCATTATATCGCATACGTGAGTTTTTTTTCCACTCGCCACTGGTTCCCACACACACCAGCCTTCCCCCCCTGTTTTTGCTACCATTCATACCTACATCCCTTGTGCCTGCCCTTTTCTTGGGCTCTGAGGAGATTGAGTCGTTCCCGAGGGAGGGAAAACAAACATAATATACACCTCAGAACAAAAGCTGAAAGCTGACCCACTGATTGCCTGGTAAGATTGCCGACGTTGTCCCGCAAGGATCATTCACCTTCTTCACCCCAACAATCGTGACCGGGTTGGGATACAAGTCGATCCACGCACAGCTCCTGACCGTGCCGCCGTGGTGCGTGGGCTTCGTCGTGGCCATCACCCTGTCGTACTCGGCGGACCACTTCAACGCACGCGGGTGGCACATCACATTGGCCTCGCTGGTCGGGGCCGTGGGCTGGCTCGCCGCGGGCCTGCTGCCGCACGACGCCTACACGGCGCGGTACGGGTGTCTGTGTCTGGCCGCGTGCGGGGCGTTTCCCGTCGCTCCCTCGATGGCCAACTGGGTCGCCTGCAACACGCCCTCCTTGCTGACCATCCCCTTCGCCATCGCCCTCAACAACAGCTCCGCGGGCATAGGCCAGATCATCGCCCAGTGGATCTGGAAGGCCGACGAGGCGGACAGAGGGTACCCCACGGGCAATTTCACCTGCGCGGCCTGCGGATTCTTCGTCGCCGCCATCACTGCCGGCCTGAGGCTGTGGTATGGTCGCATGAACAGGAACGGGGTCAGGGATGCTAGTGGGGCAGAGAGGGTCTGGGCTCTATGAGAACGGAACCCAAGGTGTTTGACATCCATGTCGGTAATAAGACAAAGAAAACGAGTTACGGCAAGGCACAAGGAGAGGAATGAATGGATGGAATCTGGCTTGTCTGAAGTTTATACCCTCCTGACCACCGCCTTGTCAGAGTCTATACATCTCGGTATATGTGTTGGTGTCAGATGCGACATTCTTCGTTTCTAGAATCGCAAAGAGGCGATGCAGCGTGCTGGCGAATTAGTGACGTATAAAGCCGAGCCTGCTCTATGCAATTCTTTTCTCCATTCAAACCACCTACAGTACTTCAAGGACTGGAGGAAGGGCCGCCGGGACCGTTTCCTCTCTTATCTCATTGTCACCAGTTCCTCTGCGCTGGTCTGGTATTTGTAAGTAGGCTGGACTGCAAAAAGAGGGAGAGAAATATAGCAGGGAAGACATACCGGATGAATGGCAACACAGCTATCAAAGTCTTTCTTCGTCGCCCCCATTTTGACAGCAACACTAGAAATTTGCATCGTTAGCCGCAGTCTCACAGACCAGTCGAGGCCGTATGTTTTCAATATTCCTTCCGAACAAGCCGCAGAGGGGGGAAAATGGGGATTGGTAGTAGGCGCTCACCCAAAGCCTTGCATCATCTCGTCGACTCCTCGCCCCAGAATATGCAGTCCCACGATTTCCTCGCGCGGGCCGTGGCACACGATCTTGAACTCTGTGGGTTCTTTCTTTCTCTCTTCCGGCGGGAATCTGGTAAATACATTAGTACAGAGTTTTTTGACATCTGTCCAAAGCGTGTGCATCCCAGGATATCACTTACACGTCATAGAACATCGCTGGGAACTTCGTGTGATACACCTTGACATTCTCCTTGCCATACTTCTCGATCGCTTGAGGTTCGGTGAGTCCGGTGGCGCCAACCTCAGGGTGGGAGAAAACCACGGAGGGAATACGATCGTAATCGAGATACGACTCTTTGAGTTCGGGGGGGCCAAAGAGGCGATTTCCTAGCTGGCGACCAGCGGCAATGGCGACGGGTGTGAGTTCAGCCTGGCTCCACTGTTAGAAGAAGATCGATCCCGGTACTTTGGGGCTTCATATACCTGGCCTGTAACATCCCCTAGAGCATAAACACCCTCAACGGATGTGTTCTGATACTTATCCACCACAATGTGGCCCTTCTCGTTCGTCTTCACCGGGATATTCTCCAGTCCCAATCCTCTTGTTTCTGGACCTCGGCCAATTGCCCATAATAGTTCGTTTGTTTCCATCTCAGAGCCATCGTTCATTATTAACTTGAGCTTCTTCTCTCGGGGGTCGGAGCCGTCTTCACTACCAGGGTTCAATTGTATAACTTCCTTGATACCGGGATGGTTTCGATGCACGTGGACGCCAATCTCCTCGTAATGTTTGGTCATAGTCTCTTGAACCATTGGATCGAATTTCCTCAAGAAGGTGTTGCCACGGATGAACATGTGCGTCTCAACGCCGATAGCGTTCATCACGCCTGCAAGCTCGACCGAGATGTATCCTGCGCCGACGAAAACCATCTTCTTTGGGAGATGTTTGATCAGGAAGAACTCGTCGGACGTAATGCCATAATCTGAACCCTTGATGCCTTCGGGCTTCGTTGGCCATGACCCAGTGGCAATGCAAATATGCGGTGCCGTAACTCTGAATGCTTCGCCTCCATCTTTGGGTTTAACTTCCATCTCATGCTCGCTGACAAATGTTGCTTGGCCCTTTATCAGATCAATGCCTTCTTTGGACCAGTTAGTCTCATAGGCGCCGTTGAGGACTTTAATTCTGGCGTCACGCTTCTCGACGAAAGTCTTGAAATCAAAGGAGTTGCCGTCGCCAAATTTGTAGCCGTAGTGCTTGCCTGCTGCTATGGCTTCACTGATGGACGCGAAGTTCCAGGTGATTTTCTTAGGTACGCAGCTGGGACGCCGAATCAGTACATGTGCCTCATGTCATTTGTAGAACGCCTTCTTTACCCAACATTTACGCAGCAGCCTCCCGAGACACCTGCATCGATGATACATGTCTTTGCACCGTACCATCCGCTGGCTCTTCTGGCAGCACCACTTCCACCCGATCCACCTCCGATGACTATGTAGTCATATTGCTTCGTGACGGGAGCCATACTCGAGGAAGAGGAGGAGAATTGTTTGGTGAGACCTGCAAGTCTAGATACAGAAGTAGGGAACGAAGCGGGGTCCGGCCGCGACGGTGCGATGTGCAGGGTCCTTCCAGACGCCAGAGTCGAGGTTCGGGTGAGTGTAGCAGAGAGCCTGGAGAGTCGACCGGTCCCAATTGACATGTCACGGAGTGGAGAGGAAGGAGAACGGCGGAGGAAGGCTCAATAGCTTTTATCGCAACCTAGAATAAACGTCTTCTCAATAGTCAGTCGGGGCTAGGATCTTGATCGCCAATGTTTCTATGGTGGGCTGCTAGCGAGCTAGGTGCCTGCCTGCTGGACAAACTGCGTTGGCTGATGATGTGATCCATGCCGCAGCAGAAAGATTCCCTCAAACCCCACATCGACGTTCCGCCAATGACTTTCTACAGACGCCCGCAAGGTCCCGATTGCTTATCAAATTGTACAGCAACGGCTGACCAGGGTCTTCGCTGTTTTTGGCAAGATAGCTAGCCAAAACGATAACTAAGCGTGCTGAGTTGGCTGCAGATGGCTGCAATTCGTGCCCTTTGGCTCAAGAAAGGCGACTGGCTCTGCCATTCTGGACGCTGTGCCTGTCCAGAAGAGGTAGGTTAATATAACTCAAAGGGAGAGGTCAAAAGCCAAGAATTCTACCGAATGCAAAGGACGTCATGGAAGAAATTCAGATCCGAAGCTACGTGAGCATATTCAAATCTACAGCTTCGGCTTGCCTCTTGGGTCAGGCCCCTTTTGCCCAATATCGATCTGTTCCCACCAAGGATACGCAGCTGGAGCGTCCTGAGGCATTGTTCCGGCAAACTTGACTGGTCTCTTCTCCAAGAAGCTCTCAACACCTTCAAGGTTGTCCTTGCTGCCAAACAAGCCGTGGATAATCTTGGAATCAAGAAGGTGGGCGCCCTCTGCACTGTCCGCTCCTCGGTACATAAGCTCTCTCATGAGCTTTGTCGAGACGGTGGATGTGTTCTTTGCAACTTCATCTGCGAGCTCGAGTGCTCGAGCCACGGTTGCCTCTGGTGTTGGACATAGTTCGGAGAAAAGAGTGCCAAACAGTGGACTCTCCGCAGGATACACGGAACCAGTCGTGGTCAAATGCAGTGCTCTGGAGTGACCAATCAATCGCGGGAGGAAGAAGGAGGAGCATGCCTCCATGATGAGCCCTCGTCTGCTAAACACAAAGCCGATCTTGGCTTTCGCATATGCAATTCGGATGGTTGCTGGTAGGCACATAGTGATGCCCACACCAACAGCGGCACCTTGGATGGCAGCGATGGTTGGCTTGGAACAGTGGTGAATTGCCAGAGAAGTTCTCCCTCCGCTGCGTGAAGAGGTCAGCATCGGCTTTGTATTATCAGTGGTCTTCCTTACCCATCTCTGTGGTCCACATCACGTTCAGTCTTGGGGTTCTTGACCTGGCCACTCTCATCTTTTGCTCCAATGAACCCAATCTCCAGGTCAGCTCCTGCGCAGAAGCTCCGCCCTGCGCCAGTCAAGACTACAACCTTGACCCGTGGATCAATGTCAATGAGTTCATAAACTCGTTCCATATCCTCCCGCATCTGGTCTGTGAAGGCATTTTGTCTCTGCGGTCTGTTTAATGTTATGATAAGCACCGGCGTGGGAGTTGGCGAGGATTCGGGGACGTGAGAGACTTTGATCTGCTTGAGAGGGAGAGTAGCGTAGGAATCGGGGATTTGCAGAGGTGGATGAGCTCTCGGAGGCATTTTGGATGGAACGAACACGCGTGTAGGGTAGCCAACGAAAGACTGTTAGAGGAATGCACAGAGATGTCGGGTCAGGGTTGGTATTCCTCCCAGGGCCTTTGCGCATGTTGAGTATTTAGTTTGGGTTCAATATCCTCGGCTCAAGCTCTCAGCTCACACCGCGGCTCCTAGGTTGATGGACTTGGAGAGCTGATGCGCGGGGTTAACCGGCGGCATCAAGTTGCCCGTTCACTGTCGAAAGGCTGCATCCTGGGTGAAGCCGAAATCCACACTGCATCCCAGTCAGTCCCTTGGAAATTGCACGATCCTTTGTGCGTGGGCTGCCCTCCGGCAGATGTTGGTCTGATGAGCTTGCTTGCCATCTTCGACAAGGGCACGCGACTCAGCCAGCAAAGAACGCAGCTTGTAGATTCGTAGAGAGTAACCAGCTCGCCGGGTTCCTGTGGCATTGTACAGTTACTCGACGAGGTAGGCTGAAAACGGTTCCCTTTGTGAGAGCACATCGATCAACCTGAAGGTTTGCTGAAGGGTTTGACGCAGGCTAGCAGTCCACGAGCCGGGATGTCACGTTGTGCCGGCGGATTTTGAAACTTTGGTAGGACCGTAGGACTAGCTCTAAGAATTGAACTGCTCTGCTTGTTCCCAGCTGCGGCAAGGATATGTGGTCTTCGTGGCCATGGAAGAGCTTCAAAGATGCCTCGGGTGGTTGCAGCCACACTGTCTCGGATGGCTGCCTGCGCCCAGTCTCCCTTCATACCTGTGCTATCAACATCACGTCAACGCGTTCATTCAAATGAGAGCCATAAATCACTCTTCAGACCTAAGTCACTCTCAGTCTATCTACTCAATGTACATCTAATTACCAACTGTGCCGTGGGAAACACCCAAATTGGCACCTCTTTTGAGCTGTTTGTTACAACGTTCATTGCGCACCAGCCAACTTGTCGATTTATCCTGTACGACGTCAAGGGATAAACTTCAAACCCCAGTCTGTTTAGGTTGTCGAGACTCTCTCTTCTCCAAAGCTTTGCTCGAGGCAAACAGACATTGATGAAAAGGATGGAAGAGCCAAAAAATACGCGGATAAGAGCCCCGAAGGACACTTAATGGCGACATCCACCGCGATGTGCAATGCAGGGACACCGCCATAGCAAACCCACTTCTTGAGCTAGGTTGCTCCCACAAGGTCTATATCATGTTAGCCATTTGTATTGTCATTGTTAGGGGGTGGTTTGGGGAGAACGCACAAGTATGACTTTTTTCAAGGGGGACTGGGGGAAGCAAGATATTTATAACAAAATTCTCGCCAAGCCTGTGGCCTTCCGGGATCAGCTGTGCACTGTAGAACTGATCACAACTGCGGCTAAAGTGCACTAACAACACGTTCCTTTGCTAGCGCCTATACCTATTCCGCTCTATTGACATTCATCACTCCGTTTCCTTTCCAACACTCCCTCTCATGCGATGCTCTCTTGAACATATATTGTCGCATGAAAGGTTCCGACAACGGCGGACAGAGGCGCCGCTCGGATGTCTTCACCTACAGTTCCCATGCGGGCGCACACCCCGGTGGAATATAGTCCTTCTCCATGCGTATCTAGTAGCGCGTTCCTCCTGAATGCCAATCTCCGATGTGGACACTGCAACATGCCAGCAAGTCCAATCACAGGGGATTGTTTAGTGGTAGGAGTAGAGCACATCGAATCTGCGTCACCAGACACTCGAGAGACGTCCTTCTGGTAAGCAGTTGAGAAGATCGAGGTATGGATGACGACGATTAGAGCAACAACTACAAACCATTCGGACGAAGACAGCATTTCCACCGATGTGATGGTCCGTCAGAATCTAAGACGAAGACAGAACATTTTGTGCATGGGATCTCTCATCGTTTCAAGCCATCGTCCCGCGAACTAGCTTTCAGATCGATCAGGCAAGGAAAATGCCCAAGGCAATGTTGCCCTGTTCTCCAACGCTCTGCATAAACCAAACGCATTGATAGAAAGCAAACCCAATTTTGGGGAAGGAACTTCTAGGTATTTGGCGTAAGTTTCCAATTGATTCAAATGCACCAGCACAGCAAGGTGCAGATATAAAGGTGAGCACAGCGATTCTCTTTCAACTGCAGCAAGGCATCAACCTTGCCTTCACATCAACTGACTGAGAGCCGGGCTACCAATGAATGGCTCCTACGTTATACGGACGGAGATTCTCTAAGTCAATCTGGTCTGTAGTGTCCCGTATTGGATTGGATATATTTCACCATTCCACTAATTCCAGGTTTCAGGGAACGAACTTACTTTCGGAACGATCATCAACAACTTTTCGCTCCACATAGTTAATACCTTTGCGAACCTGGCGTCTGTGAATGCACTCGCTAGCTGTACTGAATTGGGAATTTACAAGACCACGTAGAGACGGGAAGAAACAAACAATGTCGAATAGATGTGTTTTTGATTCATCACTGGGAAGTTGGACCTTCTTGGAAGATATTTTGAGGCTCGGATGGGCAAGGGTGCAGTATTCTGGATACCAGCCTTTGGCTCGAGGGTTGAGCGAATGCGGGTCGAACACCATCCAGAGTGCGAGATCCCAATCAACAAACACTTCGTAACCAGTCCATTTTGAGATTCGTTGATCTTCAGCATCGCTGACATTGACAAAGAGGCGGCCAATACCAATGGCGTGGATTAGGCCTTGGTTTGTGGTTTGACTGGCGTCATCGAACGAGATCTGGAAGATGTTGTCATCGGGCTGCACAGCGTCCCTCTCAAAATTTAACATAGTATAATGACGATGTAATTGAGAGTCTGTGGAAGTACCGTCTGAGTCATTCTCCGTGAATAATGGAATGGGATCTGTGCACATGTGAAAAGGCAGTTGCCCAAGCCACGTCCGTGTTCTGGAGTCTGTGAACGATTCATGTTATCGGACGTTGTCAAAGAATTGTGTCACCACCTCTCGTTTCCTAAGTGTCGCATTGTCTTCGTAGGCGATTACTATATCGTAGTCGGCAAATTCATCTTCGTCGTCGGAGGGTATGCTCGAAGCGACCAGCTCAGAGATAATCCCGGATTCTATTGATGTGTGAATGTATTAGCAATGATAGCGTTCCAACGCAGAGGGGCCAGGGGACTACGGCGCAAAGAACAAGTGCTTACCGGTGCTGTCCATTTCCTTTGCCTCCTGCATGATTTGCTTGCGAATCTAGCTGACTTTCCTTCAAGATGTGTTTCACCTGGAGGAGAAGATTGAGTCAACCGGGTTCGACGGCGCTCCTTGGCAACCTGCTCTCAAGCTATGTGATGTTTGTAGATTAGAGGACTGAGACTGTCATAAGGTATCCTTTGAAAGTTCTGCTATGGGCGTCAGTCACACATCCTCATCCACGACTTCTCGGCGTTTGGGCGGAAAGTTTTGGAACAAAGGTAAAATCCAGAAAGGGAGTGAAATGAGAGCCTGTCCTGTTAGCGGCTAGGCAGTTGTGTTTAGAGCACGGATCTCTCGTGACAGTTGTTTATCATCAATGTAACTCAATGGAGGAACATGGTGAATTCAACTAGGTCCTGGGACCATCAGACTATATGCATTTAGTTGAATTACCACCACACTTTTTGCCTCGCTTGATCGACCGTACTAGCTCTCATATGCGCTCCGTGATTGACCGTTGTGAGTTCTCCGCAGTCTTTATACCCCGCATACGACTCAAATACTCTCTTTCCATCAATATCTCTCTCACAGTCTTGGTTTGCCTTAGTTTTTATCTTGTCGCGTTGTTGTCACATTACCGCGCACTCCAACAGCATGTTGGACGTGCATGACGTCTCGGCCAAAGATCTCCACAGCGATGCCGGGACCAGAAGCAAATCTAGACCCGTTTGGTGCGGTGACGGGGTCCTCACTCACTCAGAATCCAAATCACTCCTCCTTCAATGATGTCTCTACGACCATAGACACTCCGTTGACGTGTTATCAACCCTCTTATTCGAAATCAGCCTCTGCGCTGCCGCTCATTTGCGAGGAGATTGAACGGTACATTCGTGGTCACTCTCCCTACGCTGACCTTTGGCTGCGGTACTATCTGAGCCCTGACGACCTCAGCGCATTGCAAAAGCTGATCCGGGAGAATTCACACTGGGGGGATAAACTGCGGTATGAGATGCTGACATCTTTCCCAATAGCACAGCTGCTAACCTTATTCCGTAGGTATGACTATTTCCCGCGAACTTCGCTCTTTGTCCTCCGCATGGCTGCGAGTAGTCAGCATGAGAGCCTACAAGAAGGCTTCTGCGAGTTTGTGAAAAGAGAATTGAGGCGGCTATACTCGGGAGATCTAGCAAGGGAGACTTTTGTAGATCAGATCCACAATGAATGCCACACAGCTATACGCGAAGGCAAGATCGGCTCGCACAGTCCCGACGCTCAGTTCGGACACGAACAGGCACAATATCCTGGTGTTGTACTGGAGGTGGCATATCCACAGAAGAGCAAAGACTTACCAGAATTGGCGCGCATATACATCACTGAAGGTTATCGAGGTACTCAGCTCGTTGTTGCGTTAGATCAAGATTATCAGCGCTCGAAGAAGATCGTGTTGAAGACTTGGAGGCCACAAATCAAGCACTCGTCCGGTAATGCGCCACCTCGATTATCGGTTGAGCATCAAAGTCAGGTAGGCTTATACACTACTCCCTCGGTGCGATGTTTAACTGAGAATTACGTATAGGAATTCCGCAGTCACGATGGAAAGCCGGTCCCAGGTTCTCGACTACAGATTCCGATCGTGGATTTCGCACCCAAAGCTTTGGTTCCCGAGACCCTACACGACAAGTCTATTACTATTTCTTCAGAAGAGTTTTGTCACTATCTCGATCGGAGAGAACGGACCCGGCAGATGAGGGCTGCACGGAGAGGAATAGTCCACGATTTACCTCCTGGCTCTGTCCATCCTCCGTCGCCCGCGAGCTCAGCTTCAGACACACCGAGCGATGACGACGAGGAAAGTATTGGAGGCTAGAGCTACTGCACATGAAGAAAAGAACGATGGAGATCAGGAATCAGGTCGGGCTCGCCGAATGCAGCAGGTGCATCGATCTCCTATCCAGACACGAAGCGGAGCTGCCCGTAATAGGCGGGAATTATGAGACTCGGCCATGGACGCACTGCCATTGGTAGCAGCGTGATTTTATGATATGGCGACCACCATGACGTTGTGGCAGCACATGGTCTCATCAGATGATCGATCACGGCCGTTTGACCAGGACCCTGCTTCGGCACTCTTTGCTCCCAACTGTGGTGTTGTCAGCTCGACCCATTTGCCACGGTCTCTCGGGGACAGCACACAAGTTAGATCCCAACAATGTTCCGAGAACACTAATCCTACCCTCTTGCACATCTGAATCGATCAGTTGATATCGTGATCTACCATCAAACATGGACTCCACCTCGGCCACCAGCATCGCCAGTCGCTCTTCCAGGGTTTTCTGTTGGAACTTCTCGAGCACGACAGGTAGATACGGAGCCAGGTGCTGAGCGATGATGTTGGCCGGTACGTCGAATTGCCCGTTTACTTCCCACAGCGCCACCAGCAGACAGCGACGTAAGATGACCGTTCTCACGTCCACCTGCTGCAGCACCAGACAATGCCAGGTGAGTTGCACCGTGGGATGTTGTAATGTCGGATGAGAGACGGTCGAAGTTGGCTGATACTGGATCGACGCAAAGTTCTCGAGTTGCTATACCCAATGGCTAATTTCGCATGAGCTCAGAAGGCGTATCGGGTCACAATCCAGACCCTTCAGTTCATACACTCTCCCCCAACCCTTGTAAGGCTTGGGCTCTTTCAACTCGGACGGCTCGGATATTTGTCGAACGGTAAAGTCCAATTGACCCTTCAAATACGAGTTCGTTGTGAGTAGCTCGTGAATCCATTGCAGCAACGAATTTAGCTCCTGTGGAGTTGCGGGAGTTAATAGCGATTGGGGCATTTTCAGTCCTGGGATGAAAAGGGAGGAGAGGGAGGCCCCCTCCGCGGGTGAAATGGGCATGAGAGATACATATCGGCGAGGCGGCGCGCTATTTTTCACTTGAAAATCCAACGTCTTTAATCCATGTTCCCTTGCGGGTAATGAAAGTGATGCCTGCCCACCGTTGGTGTCGAGGCTTTAGTACTCGACCTCGTCGAGTACCGAACTCGCGAGTAAGCACCCCTTAGTGCCTAACTCGTACTAGCTTGCCTTCGCTGCCAATGGTTATGACGTAATGCCGTAATGGGAATCTTTCCCGAGTCGCCTGTCGGTGGATGGACCTTGGACGCGACCTGTTACGTGTCGGTGACATGGCAACTCGCTTCTCTAGTGTTGGAAAGTGGCAAAGAACACTATCTAACTCAACAGCTACTCCTACGTAACAATCCACAGGGATATCATACTTGGATGCTGTGAAGATGACCTCGCTCCACAAGGGACAGGCATCACTCAGCGCACAAGGCTGAACACACCTAAACGTTCTTAGCGTCACCCTCGCAATAGGGAATGGTTGCCCTTGGATGGATTCGACTATCTTCACCGAATGAACACGGTATACAATGGCTTCTGAATCCAATTCTCAGCTGAGCGAATCTTGGGTGGTCGAGGACGAAGGGGATGAGAGAATCAGTTGGGAAGAACACTCTGCAGAGTCGGAGTACGGCGAAGAACCAAAAGTCGCAGTCCCAGACGAGGAGGACCCCAAAATGACGAGAGCAATTCGGGAGAGACGCAAGTCTCCCAGACTATCCACGCCGACAGCACCAGAACCGGAATTCATCATGCCGTCTCTGTCAACCAGCATCAATCCACCAGAGAAGATTGTCCGGAGGGGGAGACCGCCTGCCACGACCAAGGTCGCTTCGGCAAAGCAGCAGACAGCACCAATACGCTCAGGTCGGTCGAATCAAACACAAGCGCACAAAACCACGACGTCGCCAGTGGTGGACAAGATAGTCCTGGTCCTGGTGCATGCCACGGAATGGCTGCTGGACATCCTAGGGCAGGCGCTGAAGACCTTGAAGCGGCCCATCTCTTGGCTTCTTGCGGCATATCTCTTCTTCGGCATGTTGATGCTTTTGCAAAACCTCTTAACGACCTCCATTTATACGGCTCTGTCCCCCATATGCCGCATTCCCGGCGTGTCTCTTCTCGATCTTCCACTCTGTCAGTTTGCCTCACCCAACAATGACAAACCGACTCTTCCAGACGGGACTTCGGCTCCTGTCGAGTTCGACGCGCTTATGAAGACGCAATCCCATTTCGAAGAGATCTTGTCTGAATCTGCAGCCGGTGTCGCTTTACCTTTGGACATGAAACGATCCGAGACTTCGATTCGCGACCTACGGCAGATTGTGCGGTATTCGCAGCTCGCCTCACGCAACGAAATGGTTCTCGAATTCGATGGGTTCATCGAGACCGCTCGGATGGCATCATACGACCTCCAGAAATTCAATTCGCACGTCGGTCGCGGTGTGGACATTGTTCTGAGCACAGCGCGTTGGACGCAACGGGTGCTCGACGACATGGCGGTCAAGCAATCTTCTCGAGGCATCATCCCGGGGTTCATACAGGACAAACTGCTGGCCCCTTTCAAACCGGTGGAATTCACCGAAGCAAGGCTTCTCGACCAATACATCTCGCACACACGGATAGTCTCCGAAGAGATCGAGCGTCTGATCGAAGAGGCCCAAGCTTTGCTCTTGGTTCTGCAGAACCTCGAAGATCGGCTCGACGTGATCCACGCCATCGCACTGCGCGACAACATCGCCGCCCAGGCTGGCAAGGACGAAATCCTGTCGCATCTCTGGACTCTGCTGGGCGGCAATCGCGCCAAGCTGGGCAAGTACAACAACCAACTGACTCTCCTAAGACAAGTGGGCCAGTATCGGAAAGTCGCATGGGCGCATGTCTCTGCGACGATCCTCAAGCTACAGGCCATGGGCGCCGAGCTGGAGGAGTTGCGCACCCGGGTGTCGAGTGCCGAAGTGTTGAGAGGGCATAAGGAGATCCCGCTCGCGGTGCACGTGGAAAATATAAGGCTGGGAGTGCAGAGGCTTGAAGAGGGCAGGGAGAAGGCCAGACGGCTTGAGCAAGGTCATGTTCGAAGGGTTATTGAAGGCGCCGAGCAAGGGAATGTCATGGCGTTGGGAGACACTTAAGGTTTGCAGGCTTGTTCAGTTTTTATGATTTAGGGCACGACAAACAGACGGCGGCGCGGCACCAGGTCTTCTATACCCCATGCATTGATGGCGCTTTTTTGGGGCCCGGACAGCTCATATTCAATGACGAAAAGTTCACAGGTTCGAAAGGGAGTCGGTGGACAGTGTAACAGAGCATATATGGACCGGCGGTCGGTTTGGCCCTCCATGGATTGTGATCACAGACTCTTCTTTGGAATGAATTTTTATTGTGCTGTCAAATATTTTTGCAGGAGTAGTTTTTCGCCATCTTGTGCCTCGTGCTTCTTGCAACGTGTCGGCCGCAGCACCAATACTCATCCCCATTGCCGCACAGCACCAGCATTACACCCTTGACTTCAAGTCCATAGCCTTCGCGCGACTAATCCATTCACACTCCCCAATTTAAATCATCAGTCTCTCGACACGATTCTTCAATTCGCGGATCTGAGGCATCAAATCACTGGACTCGTTGGTCGTGATGCTCGCCGCAATAACCGCCCGTGAGACACCGCATGCTCTCCCCAGCGCCGTCTTGGAATTGACATAGACGTAGGGCACGTTCTTGTCTTCCGCAAGAAGGGGAAGGTGCAGGAGAATCGCGAGCGGAGAGGTGTCGGCGGCCAGGACGACCAGCTCGGCGGTGCCGCGGTTGAGGGTTTTCGTTGCTTTATTGCGGGAGATGGGTCAGTATATACATGAAAGAGATCGGGGGGAGGATGAAGTCGGAGAAAAACATACTTTCGTTGGCGCCTTTTCTCAGTTGGCGGTGATGAGAAGCCTGTTGAACAGTGTCCCTGCAACCTCTAGTCAGTGCTGTCTGCATCGGGAGTTGGCGGTCGAGAAGCTTCTGGAGAAAGGACTTACAGAATCTTCTGAGACAGTGCCTCATCGGCCAAGGGCCACGCAGCACTCGGGTTGTCAGCCATTCTTGGTGGTATGCGACTTTAATGTTTCGAAATTCTTCGATAGAGCGCGAGTGAAAGCAACACACTGGCTGCGATGGGAGTGTCGATGTTTCGCAAATGCCGAGCTTTGAGAAACGCTGTAGTGAGGTGGTAGCAAAGGGTTCCTTGCGTTGGCTCGCCCTTTGCTTGTGCGGTGAAGAATGTCACACTGAGCGACGCTGGTGTTGGTGGTGAGTCTATCCAAAAAAATAATTCTGGGGGCGCCCACTGTCTAAAAAGTTTAGGCGGAGGCGCAGAAGAACTCGGCCGACTTTCCTTTGCGGGAGGTTGCCAAGTTCAAGTTGGAGCTCCCCCTTCGAAGTCGAAGGATCTTCGAAACATCATCACCCATTTCCTGCTCAGCACCTGAAAACCATTCCATCCTGCTCAACTCCATCATCGCCCTCAAGCTCCTTTCGCTCCGGCAAACTATCCCAGCACCTACCCATTGACTTAGGAGCTATCACGAGCGAATCAAGCAGCCAGTCAAGATGTCTTCCGATCTCTGGTGCGTGTTCCTGCTGCCCCCCATGCCCCGATTCCCTTCAGCCTGCGCCCTCCTACGATAAGGTGGTCGGAGCTCCTACTTAACACAACTTTCTATTCGAACTCTTCCTCGATATGCATCTTACTAACATGTCTGCTTCTCTAGTCCCGTCTATGCGGTATGTTATGCTAGCCTGCGCGATTTGCCATTTCTACCACGACGCTTCACCCTCCCACTCTCTGCTCGTGCGGGAAGCTTTCAGGAAGAGGAGAGAGCTGACTATATCGATACTAAATAGCCCTTCTTTGGCGCCATGGGTTGCACATCTGCCATCGTCTTCACCTGCTTTGGCGCCGCATACGGAACCGCAAAGTCTGGCGTCGGCATCTCAGCCATGGGTGTTCTTCGACCTGATCTCATCGTCAAGAGTATGACCTGCTAAGGCCCATATGTTCCGAAGCAAAAGACCAGAGGAACTGACAATTCCAGACATCGTCCCCGTCATTATGGCTGGTATCATCGGTATCTACGGTCTAGTCGTTTCCGTCCTGATCTCCGACAACCTCTCGCAAAAGGAAGCACTGTTCACCAGCTTCATTCAACTTGGGGCTGGATTGTCTGTCGGTCTCGCGGGTCTCGCTGCCGGCTTTGCGATTGGCATTGTCGGTGATGCTGGCGTTCGCGGCACTGCCCAGCAACCCCGTTTGTTCGTCGGCATGATTCTCATCCTGATTTTCGCCGAAGTCTTGGGTCTGTACGGTTTGATTGTCGCGCTATTGATGAACTCAAAGGCGCAGACCGATGTTACCTGCTAGATTGGGAAACGAGAATGAGTGTGACAGGAGAGAAGAGAGGAATGAATGGCGGCTGCGATGGAGCGTCATCAGGAGGACGGAAGCCAGGAGAGTATGGAGATCAAGATGAAATGAGACGCACATTGGAGGCATCGAATGAGATGGACTATCGCCAATGTTTCCGCTGTCAGCAATGAAACCAATGTCAACCACTACCAAGAACCAATCCACCACCACAACACCCAAACCGGGGCCAGCCATTTGCAAAAGACCTGCTGCCCTTGAATCCGACTACTTGTTATGTATGAATGCTAGAGCTTTTGACCACAGATCAGGCGGCACGAGCTTGATTGCTCGCTTGCGGAGCTAGGGCTATGGATAGTATAGTAAAGTTTATTGAACTCGTTAACTCCGTTCTGGAGAGAAAGTCCTTTTTCCTCTCTATCGTTTTCTCTATGGATATTTGGATCGGTCTGCAACAACAACACCGGTGGCAGTTTTGAATAAGGTTCAGACTCGTCTTTCCGGGCTACGGAATCATTCTTCAAGAGTCGCAACGCGCAGAAGCGCCGAGCAGGTGACACGAGTTTACGACCAGACCTATCCACCTACCCACCTACTTAGATACCTAGGTACTTAGGCAGATACCTCTACGAGTTACTTGTACAGAGTTCAAATACGCTGGATAGGTAAGTACCTAGGTAGGTAGACAGGCTGAGCCGTTGAAATCCGATCGATGGGAGGGTGGCCTCCGAGTCTCGGGTAATAGTTTTCACAAGCTCTACCAGACTACCTACCTGCTAGGTAAGTATGTACACAGCATCCCTACCTACCTAGGTATTTACTCGGTACATGTGTAGGTTACTGGGGATTGGACATCTACTTCCCAGCCAGTGGCCACATGTGTATATCCGAGTTAGCTACTCAGGGTAGGTAAGTAGGTAGGTAAATGAATTAAGTAGAGATGCATGCCCGAAGTCCGAAGTCGGATCTGGAACATTGTTCTTGTAACTGAGTGTCTTGACCCGGACTCAGACTCAGACTCAGACTCAGACTCAGACTCCGTCGGAGTTTGGGTTGGAAGGAAACAAGGCGAGATCGATGGAGGTTCATTCAAGGTTTCCTCAAAGAAAAGAGCGAAGAGATTATTTCTAATAGCCACGTCTGGGGAGGACAATCAAGTCCCGAATTCACACGGGGCTGTATATGATAGTCTGCGTTGCAACAATGATGATCGTACTGACTGACAAGTGGTTACTCGCCCTGCCTGCCTGCTTCCCACCAAAAGCCGAAGAGACATGGAAGGACTTTGCAGGACCCGCTTGAAATGCCCACGACAATGCAGAACCCCTCGCGTGCAGATATGTCTAACTCAGGTGTATGATCCTTGCAAGCAATGCAGATCGACCAAAGAAAAAAGGCAAAGCCTCGCTTCCCGAACAGGAGGCACTTATATTTGCCCCAACTTCCTCCTCAAGTTCCTCGTCTTGCGCATCAACTTCTTGTACTTGTGCTTCTTCATTTTCAGGCGCCTTTGTCTCTTGACACTAATGGCATACATTCCTTCTCTTCTCCTGCCTGGAATGGAGCCGACCTGCCTTCGGTGGCCGATGATTCTGCTTCGTCCCAGAGGTGATTGTTGTTCAATCTCTTGCAGGGAAGACGAGGCGTTTGGATTCTCGATTTCCATGACTGGTGCACCACGGCTGGTGAAAAAGCCCTCTTGTTGCAGATCGGACGAGTCTCGAGGGACGTTGATAACGACCTGTTGAATGTAGGGGTCATTGTAATCTTGTTGTTCTATTTCCACTTCCAAAGCCTTAGCTTGCAATTCTTCCGCCTTCTCTGCCTGGGCTGCTGATTGCTCCTCGCTCGCGTTGATCTCGGCATCGCTGATGGGTCGGGGTACTGGAGGAACGTTGAAAGGCCGAAACCTTCGTTGGATTTCTTGGATGACTAGTTTGATATTGCCCCCGCCAACCTGGACAGTTTGCGGTGCACCATCGAGATGATGTGTTCGATTAGGGTCAGCAGGGCTCTCGTTGCGCTGCATGAGAGCCTTGATCAGGGCCGCCTTTTGCTCGGCCGCATTTTGTGAGGGCTGATCTGCATGCTTTTGAGCAATGTGGTCGTCAAGGGTTTCCACCGCTGACGCCAGGGTATAGATGACATCTTGAGATGAAGTGCGTGATCTCGATTTCGGCTTTGGCTGAAAGATTTTGTCTATCGCTTCTGTCGACACCTCGGGAGGTAAAGGTCCGGTAATAGACATGGGACGATGGGTTGAGAAGAAAGAGGCAACATAGACATCTGACAGTTGCAATCAGCTTGGAACGACGTGGTTAACCGCTAGACAAACCTTTTGGGTTCAAATGCTGCAGGCTGGGAACTGCCGGCAGTTTTGAAGTCCAGTCATCTTGGGCTTCCTTGGTGTCGGCCTTGTCCTTGGAGGACCTCTTCTTCGAGAGGCGCGACTCGGCGCCCGGTCGCTTCGACTCTGATCTGGGAGCACCGACCTGTTTCACAGAAGCTGCTGGGATCGCTGAGGAGCCATTGTTCGGCGGTATAGGTGGCTTTGACGAAGAATGCCGCCGCTGGTGAGCGTTGGAGGTAAAGGATGCTATCGTAGGAGTGGACGGGCGAGAGGGTACGGACGGGGCATTTGTGCAGCTGCGCGCCACTCGGCGCAGAGAAGTATTGAACATGTGTTCCAGCACCCAAAAAAGAGAGTGTAGAGGGACAAAACGTCCTCGGAAGAATAGCGGCGGGGTGGTGAGTCGGAAGGTTGAGCTGATAAAGAGCAGAACCATCCAAGATCGGAGTTGATCGTGACGGCGACTCGAATGCCAAGCCACGGGACAGTTTCCTGTTCCCGAAACGCACGTGATGCGACATCTACCCCCACGCACGTGATGGGCTCTCATCCGATGAGCACCCCTGACGCGGGGTCAATTCCGTCCATCGGAAGCTGGCAGATATACTATATAAAATACCAACAGACCTATACCTACTGCTGACTGATGTACAATATATGCTCAATTTCCTCTTAATTTCCTCTTTTCGCTAACAGAAGGACTCACTTAGCTCCTCTGCTTCTCTCTTTCTAAAAAGATCACTGACTTGCGATCATCATGTCACCAAAATACATCAAGAGGGTCACTCTCTTCAAGGTGCCCAAGGAGGAAGACATCGATGCCATCCTCGCAGAGTACCAAGTCATGCGAAGTACTGCACAAAAAGTACGTTTTATACCTGTTTCATTTCCAACTATCCGTCTGTGGTTGTCAACCTAAGCCAGCTCTAACCTGTGTCTAAACGCATATTTAGGATGGAGCACCATACATTGTCTCCAATGAGGCCACTCGGGTCATCAATTCGTCAGAAGAGCGAAGTCAGGGGTACACCGTGATTGCAGTCACGACCTTCAAGTCGCGGGAAGACGTCGACTACTACGACAAAGGGTGCGCCGCACACAAGAAGCTGAGAGAATTCATTACCCCTAGACGGACGGGGTTTGCAACAATGCACTACGAGAGCGACCTTTGACCTTGAAGGTCACATACATTAGCTAAAGCCTAAAATTTTCTCCAGTACATGATTGCAATTACAAAGAGCATTTAGTCTTCGAGACTGTCTCCCCTTGATTGCCCAAGTCCAACGGTTGTGATGGTTTGTCTCCGCGCACCTACTCTGCCTCGGGTTCTCTGGGTCCTTGAGTCCTAGCCCATGTCCCGGGCAAGACTGTCCGCAATCTCGAACCCGACCACGCGGAAAGCTGGTGTCCTGGATACCACGGGGACATTGGTCGATCCAGCTTCTGCTACTCGGCCAACGACAGACACTTCGACAGGAGTCGCACGTGGGCGTTGTTGGCAAAGAAGGACCACGCGTTCATGTTGGACAATGTGTGTGTGGACAGGCCGCTCGATTCAAATGAGAATTTTCCCAGAATATTCTTGAGGTCAGCAAGACTGAATCTTGCCTTCTTCAAATATACTCGTAAGTATCATTGTATTCGGATGACGAGTCCGAGGCGCTCTCTGCAGCAGGATCCTCTTGTGCAATGTCCCTCATCGGTGCCGTGCGTGACGATAATTCGGCGTGCGCATTGGAGCTGTCGGTTGAGTCACTTTCTTTGGACTCGCTGACGCCGTAGAATTTGGCTTCTTCGATGCGATGGCTGTCCTCGCTTCTTGCTCGTACTATGTCGTCCGCTCCATAGAGGTCATCAGTCTCTGGCTCAGTCTCCAGCTCTCGCTCCCTTTTCGCCCATGGAAAATGAGACTACTAGCATCTTGACTGAAAGCCGCATTCGTGCCAGGACAGAGCCAGTCCTCTCCCCCAAACGGACATTGCCCAGATGGCAAAATGCTCCGTGGACACCAAACAGGCGGATCATGATAGTACGGACAAGCGTCTTCCCGACCTTTCCACAAATATTTGAAAAATTTTCGCTGATATATCGGACACTCTGTGTCATCATATCGCGGCAGTCGATGGTAACCATGTCGCATTTGACGTATATCGTAACCGCACACCGATAGTGCTGCATCCCACACGTCGCCTCGACCAGATCCCAACATTGTCGCAGTGGGATCTTTATAAGCTTCGTCCGATATTGAAATGCCTTCTCCGTCCACAGAATGGATATCAGCACCACTTCGAATCAAAAAGACGATGCACTGGCGGACCTTATCAGCCTGGTATTGATGCCAGAAAGAACGGAGTGCGAGTTGAAGACAATTTCTCCCATACTTGTCTCGAGCGCCATTATCGGCACTCTTCGAGAGGAGAAGGTTAAGGAAGGATACTGGGTCGCGGAGGCGGGCACAATCGGCAGCAACAGACAGTAGCATTGTGCGACCTCGACTATCCCTGCTTTCAATATCAACGAATGGTATTGGGTTGCTCAGTATCAGCTTCATTCCGTGCTGTAACAGATGAGTAAAATTCAATGGATGTCTGTGGGAGAAAGCACTTACATCGCCAAAACGCAACATGGAGTACTTGGAATTCGAATCGCCTGTACGGAGGTAGAGTGCAGAGCAAGGATCTGCTCCAGCAACCAGAAGGAGACGAGCGACCTCTGGGTTGCCTCCGCTCAACCACATTGGCGTCCTATGACCGAGAAGCTTAGCATTCCCTTTACGCGGCTCTTACGGTCTTCCACACATGAGCCAGCTTACTGGGACATTCCAAACGCACTGCTTGGATCATGGGCGACCTCGTCAACATCTGCCCCATTCTGAATGAGAAATGCGCACATATCGTCAGTTTTCCGTCCCTCGGAATACGCAACTGCGTACTTTGACCCATCAGCATTGTAAACGCGCATGCGCTTCGCTGAAATCTGCTTACATGTAAGAGAGGAATTCCCTTGGTATCCCTGTCTCTGAGAGACCCCTCTCCACGAGCAAGCAGCCTCCGAAGTCCCTCAACATCCCCATTGCGCACAATATCAAAGATGGCAGAACTTCTGGGTAGGGTCTTGCCGATGGAAATGACTGGATTCAAGGAAGAAAACCCATTATCGAATCGGATTTGCCGCAGATACGCAACGAGCACGGCGGGTGATTTAGAATCCTCAATAGATGCTTTGACAGTTGCAAAGAATTCTTCTGCGTATGGACCTGTGGTAAGTTCTCCTGGCTCGGAGGGATTGCCAAATGCCTGGAAGGCTCTTTTGTTGATGGTGATGGTTGCCCTGCAACCTGACAGTACGAGCTCGATGCTCCGGTTCTTTTGGACGACCTTTCCGGCGCTTTTTGTAGTGAACCGCTTGGCTTTCGATTAGTTGGTTAGTTGATGCGTATTGCTGACAAGTAGAGAGAAGCTAGGTACTCACGAGCTTGGTTTACCTCTACAGCAGGAGACGCTGAGACCAGACCGCGCATACGTTTCAGGTCGCGGCGTGTCACTGTCTCGTCCTCTCCTATCTCTTTCTTCCTTTTCTTTGCCGTACCGAGTACTTCACTGTCCTCGAGCTCCATCAGTTCAGATAGAAAACATTCCAGATCCTCGATGATGGTGTCTGCTTCCTCATAGAGCATTGTGCCTGAGACTTGCGATTCTAGTTTGCATAATCTGGCGAGGCACTCCCTCAGCTCCAAATTCCCCCGAACGGGTTCGTTGGAGTGAGCAAACAGTGGACTGTCCTCTTGTGTCGGCGCTCGGCAGTGTTGAGGAAGAGAGAACTGAGTTGCATCTGCCGAGACCTGGTTTTGAAGCGCCTCAAGCAGAGTGGATATGTTCTGCAGCTGTGCAAGCGTCGCCCCTGAGGTCTGGCCGATAGTATGGTTGACAGCTGCAGCAGTGCTCCGAACCACCTCTTCCACTGAATCCTTGATGTCCTGCACATTTTCATTCAAGGAGGAGATCTGCAAGGTTCCTGCGGACAGAGTATCTCGGATTTCGTGGATCTGGGTCTTACAATCCAGCGTATCGTTGCTGCGAACTCGTCAATGGCCAAACTACATCCGCCCAAACACGCTTGCATCCCGCAACTGGAAATACTCACCTTTGAAGAAGATTGAGTTGGAACTGCAGCACGTTACAATGATGATTCAACTTGTGCCACATGGCAGTGAGTTGCTTTTCTGTCAAAGCTGCTCGGACTCTCTTCCATGCCTTTTGAATTTTCGGTGTCGTCGGATCATATTGTATCTTGTCAAGGTCTTTCTTGAAGTTCGCTATGTCTTGGGTACAAGCATCCAGCAGATTTCTGACATTTTGTAGGTCGACATTGGGCTCTGCCAACGCTCTGCAATCGCGGAGCTGTATCAAGATGTTCCGCAAGTTTCCCACAGCCGCAACAAGCGATGCAGTCTCTCGTGTTGCATGTCGGAATCCGGAGAGCACATTGTACAGCGATTTCGTACCCTGCAAAGCAATCCCTACAAAGGCTAGCACACTTGCGCCAGCACTCACGGGCTCCATAGCAAGCACTGAAGGGAGGTGGGATCAATCCAGGCTGGAAGAGCAGCTGCGGCGCTGTAGGAGAGGGAACAGAGGAACAGACATTGTTTTGGAGTGCAAGGACTCAGCCGCCCTTTTGAAGGGAGCGGAGTCTGCCTTCGGCGTTGAGGCTGAGGCGCAGAGGCATGCAGGCATCGAGGGGTGGTGGGTGCCGACGCCTTGCAGGTGTGTTGGTCTTTGCAGCTTGATATACAGCATCGGCTAAGCTTTGCTACCCAATCCAATAAACGACCGCCAATTCCTGACCGTCTTTTCTTTTAATGGGCTCTAACCAAGGGCAAGCAGTTCTGACATCCCTGGTAGTTGTTCCGGCATGTGACCATCTGCGCATTGAAGTCGTTGGCGTTTGATGTTGGTTATACAAGAATATTGCAAGGCTGTCTAGCAGTCGCCTTCTTCCACACTGCCGAAGCTAATCTACGTAGCTCTTTGCCGCTCGTCTTTACAACAAGCTGATCGAAGACGAGGATCAAGCGGAGATCTTATCGAAAGTGACCCGGGCAGAGCTGTTCACAGATATAGTCCGTCCACCGTAAGCTGGGATCGCAGGTCTTTTCTGTTCTCCTGTCGTTTTGAAGAGGTGTTATGAACCGGCAGTCCCAGAAGAACCGTCGCCTGCTTCCTGTATCAAAAATCCTTTGCCAGAGGAGAGAGGCTGGTCGACCACAGGTTTAATCACAAGGGGTGTGCTTCCAAGATCATATGGACATGGAGTTCCCTCGAGGATGGAGCTGGAGCATGGGCCGTGGTCCGCTAATGAGAGAGCATGAGCGTCTCACAGCTTTCCAAAGGACTGATCAATAAATGGTGCCCAGAATTGCCATAACTCATCACCTCGTCGGGCAAGCCGCATCAAGTCGCGGTTGGGCGAGCGTCATCGGGTAACCCTGGTCATGATCGTTCACAAATGATTAATCCGGTTTCAGAGAGACGGTCCGGACCAAGCCCGCGTAACTGAGTCTTTCCACGGAGGAGCATCGCACTGGACAGCTTGTGTTCTACCGGTACCTCTCGTATGCCCTCTCTTCATCAAGACGTCTTTTGACTTGCGCGAGGATGCTCTGGTCGTACAGGACTTCGGGTTCCATGTCGCCTTTCAGGACTAGCTTCTCGTGCTTCTGCGCCTCTTCTTTCGTCACAAGCACTAGGTCCGTCAGAGGCAGTTTGATCATCTTCTGTCCTTCTTTCTCGTATTCGGGGTCGATTTTAAATCCCTCTGCAGGCTTCCGCCATCTGATGAGAGCGAGTCTGGTTCCCAAGCCGCTAATGACACTTTTGCCACGAAAGACCTCTTCCACAAGGTAAGCAACATCGTCTCGGCTCACTGGAATGCGGAGACCAATAGTGTCTTGCCCGTTGGTTGAACGAACAAGTCGTTCTTCAAGACTCAGCAAAGATGATAGGATGGCGTCGTACATCTTCTCCCTCCCTTTGTCGCCCATTCGGTAGTCCATCGGATATCCAGCAACGCTGCAAATAACGTGGTTGGCCACTGTATATCCGAAAACGGCCGGCATCGTACCAAGGACAGGCAAGATTCTGACCCTAAATTCAGGCAGGACACCCAGCTTGTCGACCTGGCCCTTTTGGACTTCTTCGTCCGCAATGGGGAGCAATTCGGCCTTACCCTCGCCAGGCTTCTCCGTCGAGAAGACCACCGGGATGCCACTACTGATGCCTAAGACCCGTAGCCGCCGCCTCGTCGCCTTCGACAAAGGGTCCTCAACGCTCGTCGAGATATCACCCACCTGTATCCTGGTGGGATCACTCTTGCATCCCGCGCCCATGGCACTGATGACTTGAATGCCTCTCACGGCACAATATTTCAACAATTCGACCTTGGTGTCGATATTGTCAATCGCATCCACCACCCAATCCACCTCTTTGTCTTCCTCTCCGTCCTTTAGCTCAAAGTCCCATTTCCCCAGCAGACCCTCGATCGACCGTAACCCCATCAACTCATTCCGCTCGTCGATCCGGACCCAGGGGCAGATCTGCTCCAACCTCTTCCTGACGCAATTCACCTTTGGCGTCCCCACGTCCGCCAGCGTCGCCAAAGCGTGCCGATTGAGACTGCTTAGCGTGACCTGGTCAAAATCCACGACTCGTATGCGAGAGACACCGCTCCTGGCCAGCGCCGCGACACAGTGGCTCCCCACCCCACCGAGTCCCACGACGACGACGAACGCACCCCTCAGCTTCGCCAGGCCCTCATCTTTTAAAAACACCCTGTTGCGGGCTAGTTGCTCGAGTATCAACTCTTCATCGTAGTCTCCCTTCCTAGCCCTGGCAGCTATCTGCGCCGCACGCGTATCTTCCTTGTTTGTGATCGTGGGACGACTCGCCCCGCCGTATTCCGTGAGCTGGAGGGCGTGATGCTCCGGTGAGATCTCGGGAATCGAGGCTTTAAGTTCGTCGGTCACCCGACGGCGGTGGATCGCGGTTGCGGTGAAAATCACCGTCGTGGCAGCGACTGCACCCAGTGCTGCGGCGAGGCCAACCTGAAAAGTTGTCGCGGAGGTGTGCCTTTGGAGCCATTGGGACATTGTGGTAGAAGTTGAAAGAAGAGGTATCTAACGAAAGTATTTATTGCAAGATGCCAAAGGGCTTGACAGCGACATTACAGCATTATGTAGACGACAACGCTATGCCAAATCACAGTACATGGCAGACATTGCTGATATCTATCTCGCTGGTGCTAGAGTTGCGGACGCAGAGCTCAAGAGCTCTGGCATTAGAGGTCTTGCGATAGTGCTCGAAAATGTTTCCCCACAAAATTTTCCCAATCATGCATCTCCGCATCGGTTCCCGCAATCTTCGTGGACCTTCACCATCCACTCAATCTTTTAATGGTTTACGAACTTGATTAAGTCCTGTCTACTCTGCCAGAGCGCATCTGCCACGACTCTACTTCTCTACAGCACACGAGCCTCTCCACAAATCACAAGTGTCCGAGCCTAGGACGAAACCCTGCGCGCTTCCGCGTGTTGCTCGCGGCGCATCCCTCTCTACAACTTCTGCTTCACACTCACAGCCATGGCGCGTAACTCAGAAAAAGCGCAGTCCATGCTCTTCCGGTTCCGTGCCGCACAGGCCGCCGAATCTGGTCTCCTCCCATCCGCCAGCCTGCGCCGGCCCAAGGCGCCTTCTACGGTAGACACGGTGCCCCTGTGTGAAAAGTGGCGTGGCCAAATCCTCAAAGAAATCTCACGCAAAGTGACGAAGATACAAGACGAGTCGCTGTCCGACTTTCAGATCAGGGATCTAAACGACGAGATCAACAAGCTGATGAAGGAGAAGTGGGGCTGGGAACGGCGTATACGAGAGCTTGGAGGACCTAATTACATGCGGGGTGGAGGCACAGTGTTTGATGACCAAGGCCGAGAGGTACCCGGTGGAGGCAAAGGGTACAGATACTTTGGGAGGGCGAGGGAACTGCCCGGCGTCAAGGAGATGTTTGAGCGGGCGGCCAAGAGGAGAGTCCACGGCGACGAGGAGGAAGAAGCCGCCAAAAGGCCGCAGCTGGACATCAATCGGAGGCACCTCGACGCCAGGTATTTTGGTTTCGGGCCGGACGAGGAGAATGGCACGCTGTTGAAGTATGAGAGGAAGAAAGAAAAAGAGGCTGTTGAGAGGGTGGCGAAGTTGGCTGGCGCGGAGGACGAGGACCCAGACTGGGAACCCTTACCTGGCGACGCCGGCGATGGTGTGAGATGGCGCCTGCCCACTTTGGAAGAAGTTCAAGAGGAACTGGTGGATCGAAGACGCAGGCAATTGCTTGACAGGCTTGGTTGAATTTATGAATCTCTTCGATCGCACTTCAGAAGCCATATCATGCGACTCTGGACTGTTTACTGCCTGGCATCACCCATCCCAGGCTCAGACGCCTTGAACACGAGTGAATCCCTTTTCCGGATTGGTGATTTATCATACAGGAAGCCTTGTCTATCTACTTCTTTGTCCCGCGAACCTCAGTCAGTATGTTTGCTCTGCTCAAGAAACACCGCTCGAGCATGATGGTTGAAACTCTCGGAGCCATGAATTGTTTCGAGGGACAACTGTGTCACGCCTCATCACGCTCTCTGGGTTGACAAAACAACACAGCGCGCACATGCGTCCCACAGATTGTCTCTTCCCGTGGCGCCAAACTGGTCAACAATAGATGTACTGAAGAGTGATATTCCCGTTCCCGGTATTCCTCTTAACTCCAAGGTTCACCTCTGAATCGTAGAACACATTATCCTGCACCGACGCAAGCTCCATGTTCGCCGGGATCATCTGTGTGCCGCTACTGCCAGCATTTATCGGAAAATCGGCTTGGGTGTTGAGGATAACCTTGACGTCTCGGGTTCCTGCGCCGGAGGTGTCGAAGCCTGTGCAAGCAAAGATGATATCGACGTCTTTGTTCCCTTTCATGCCGCCGATATAGTTCAGGACGTTGTTGCAGGCTTTGCTGAGGTAGAACGGGTCTGGTGCAGTCTGTACGTTGATGTTGGCCTCGTAGATGCCACCACAGACTGGGTTGATTATGTCAGGATCGATGTTGAGGGACAAAGTGCCTGAACTGGCTGTGGCATTTCGCGTGGTAAGAGTCTGCGGCCAGCGATGGGTGAGACTGCGCGCCTTCGACCGACGAGGTACCGATGCTGCTGTGGCGAAGTCAAGCAAAACCAACAGAAGCATGAGTAGAAAGAACCGCATGTCGAAAAGACCTATGGATGTTTGAGGAAGCTTTTGGGCGTGTTAAAAATCCGAAGATGGTCTGGTAAGTTCGTTGCAGGAAGTTATACGTCAGAAGAAGCACCTTTTATATAATGAGGACGATTTTCTCAGCAAGCACAGCTGGATTCCTGCCAGACCCATGATGATGTGCAGACCTGAACGCATCGAGCATACCCATTTCTCCCTCATTTCTCTCTTCGACATTTTTGAAGTGGCCGTCAATGTCCTCGGATCGACTGTTTGTCGTTTTGTTTCTGAACCATCTGTTGTGGCAGTTCCAGAACCCCCGGCCATTGGTGTCTCTGGAGCGGTGTGGTCATACAAAAGGATGCAATGGCTCTTCGTGGCCTTGGTGGCCGGGCGTCAGCCTCGTAAGCTATTAGGCGTCGTTGGGTGATATCTTGTTTCTCCTTGCCGTCAATATAGACAAGACTGGAGGGGAAATTACCTGTTGCTGCACAGCATACGCAATGTTGCTCACACCCATGTTTGCTCCTTCGCTGGGTCGTTGTTGATTCGACGGCCTTGCGTGGGATCCTGTACGCTGCAGCGTGCATCCATGCAGGTAGCCTTTGACCATCCATTCAGCTCGTGATGATATGCAAGCAGCCATGCACCGGTGTATGGACCTGCAGAGGGAGTTCCGAGGACAGACACCCATTCATCTACCACTCAAGCCCTTTAATCCACCTCTTGTGGAGACTAGCTTCCCGTTCCTAGAATCCAGCTTCTCGAAGTTTGCTTTTCTCTACCACGGAGCCCAAGGATCACAATACCACTTGGAGAATGAAGGTTCTCTCGAGACGGGTGACGAGTTCTCGAGGCTCAATAACATCCCACCAGCTCCTAATGAGAGAACACGATGACTCCATCCCAGGCAACAGCGGGATATTCCACTGCGCGATCATAGTCTTTGTCAAGATGTAGTAGCTCTAAACAGTAAAGGGCCTAAGGGAGCCCGTGTGCGTCAATGCGAGGTTGAGGAGATGCCACATCATAGAGACCGCAGCTCTCACTTCAGTGTTTTCTCTCTCAGGATATCCCGTAAGACTGAATCCTGCCAGCCTGCGAAACACTGTTCATCTTGCGGGATCCCAATCACTCTCTGATAGTAGATGGTAGGCAATGAATTGCCCTGGTGCTGGGTCGACCTCAGCCAAGCTCGGCAGGGTTATTTTTCCGATCCGACTCCTTTTCCATCAGCCTCAGCCCACTTCATCCTTTCAGATTGAGCACAACCAAGACATGTCAAACCGGCCCCGGACAGTGCCTCCAAGGCTTCACCTCTCGCCCTTCCACGATGCTCTCATCCCGCAAGCAGATGGCCCCCGTTCCTTGCTGTGGCCATGTTACTGCGATCTTACCGTCGTCCATCCCTCCAACGCCGTGTCCTTCGGCTTCTCCTCTATATCCTGCTCGCACTCTTTGTCCTAGACTTACTCACCATCCTCAAACACCACCGCGAATTCACCCGTAACCTACTCAGCCACACATATACATCCCCGTCCGTTCTCCCGACCCCGATACAGAACCAAAAGATCTTCATCGTTGCGCAGTTCTGGACCAACGCACGTGTCATCTCCGAGCGATGGGGCCAAGCTCTCCTCGATCTGGTCGGAGTATTGGGGAAGGAGAATGTCTTCGTGAGCATCTACGAGTCAGGGAGTCTGGATAACACAAAAGAAGTCCTAAAAATGTTGGACGATGTGCTCGGCCAGAACAACGTCCCTCATCAGACCGTGTTGGATCCGATTACACATGCAGATGAAATCAACGCCGGTCCGCTCGATGAGCAGGGAGTTCCTCGGCAGGGCTGGATCCAAACCACGAGTGTGGGAACGCAATGGGGCAAAGAGTTGCGAAGGATACCATACCTCGCTCGCCTGCGGAATATATCTCTAAATCCTCTCTTCAGACTCCGCGATGAACAAGGCCAGAAGTTCGACAGGATTCTTTTCCTCAATGATGTCGTCTTCCGCCCACAGGACGTCCTTACACTGTTAGCCACGAACCAAGGTTCCTACTCCGCCGCGTGTGCTCTTGATTTCCACTTGCCGCCGGCCTATTATGATACCTTCGTGCTCAGGGATTCTGAACGTCTGGGCACAATTCAAAGCATATTCCCTTACTTCCGTTCTCAAGAGTCTCGCGAGTCCATGCTCAAGGGGCTCCCGACGAAGGTCTCAGCATGCTGGAACGGGATGATTGTGATGGACAGCACACCTTTCTACGACGGACTCCGATTCCGTGCGCTGAGCGATAGTCTTGCCAGCAAGCACCTCGAAGCGAGCGAATGCTGTCTCATCCACACAGACATGAACCTCACTTCTCCCGGCTCCGGTGATCGGATCTATGTCAACCCTTCGGTGCGTGTAGGTTACACTGTGGAAGCCTACAACACCACACACTCCGGCCCAGACGAGAATTTTGTTTCTGCGACCCAATACGTCACTGGGGTATGGACGAATCGTCTTAGAAGGAACATCTTGCCACGCGAGACGAAAACCATGAAGGAAGTTAAAAGGAAAATGGAAAGGTGGGCCAAGGAAGGAGAGAATTCTCTGGAAAATCGAGAGGAGACTGGCGGTCAATGTGTCATTGATGAGCAGCATATCCTGATCTGGAATGGGTGGAAGCACGTATAAAGCTCTCTCGTCTGCGAAGTTGGTCTTCCTCCTCTTTGTCCCATGTTTCTTTGAAGGAGCAGGGGTTGGAATTTCAGCTCGCCGACACTGGAAGGAACTTTCAAAGATGGGAGTTCGGGGCAAGGTACCATGCCATGGCACTTCTCGGGAACAAAAGTAAATAAATGCTTTGAGTGGATTGACGGCAGGGTTGGGATTCTTGTTTATACGGACAGTCGTTGTAGGGAAGCATCAAGACTATATACATGCCGGCTAGCATCGCGGCCAGTCCTGGCGGATGCAACACGCGTCGCGCGCGTGTATTTTAAGGACAGCCACAAGAGCTATTAGGCAATCAATCCATTCTGCTTCTTGAAGAAGCATGAACCACCTGCAGTGAGTGCTTTTTGTCACGATACCTTAGGTAGAAGGATTCGACACACTAGTTCCATCAGACAACGAGACAACCCCTGGCATTCTCGGTCTGATGGATATACCTCAGTTTTGGCAAGGATGGTTAGAGGTCGCAGCTCCATTGGGCCATGAACGATTGATACCTTGCTCCGACGAGCATTGTTCCGAGGTCATGCAATGCAATGCCCTGGATTAGTCTCATCCAAGCCATGACAAGCTTGATCGATGTGCCGAGTCCAGTTTTTGACTGGACTGCCGACAACAAGAAGCGCGGCAACAGCAGCGGCATATTGAAGGGGACATGATGCCCTAGGACGCGCGAACGCTTTGTTCCGAAGCGTCTGTGCGACCATCACCACAAGGCTGCCTCGTCTACAGAGCTGGGCAGTCACCTTTGCTCACAGGACTGGATGCCTAGCCCTCGGGTACGTGCACAGGCCTGGACGTAGCATGGTTTGGTGGATTCTCGCTTCAGGGCATCGGTCGCCGTTATAGTCGTGCTCGTGCACTTCGCCTTCTATTCAGTCTTGTCCCGGTAATCAGAGTCTTCTCGTGGACCGTTTCTCATGGTAACCAAAGGCTTGGTGAAGCTGGCTCGTCTGGTCACGCAGGGCATCCGGGTGTGCGGTCCAGTAAGTCACAATGACGACCTGACTCTCCCAGTCAGACTCAATCTCAAGGAAGCTTCTCTTCTGAAACTTTATGGATAGCTTGCTCTTCCTCCTCTCCATGTAGGTTTGGATTTGGCGAGTCCACGCTCGACGGAGCTGATACCTCATCAGCAGCATCCGCCGACGCCTCGGAGCCGGGATGCACGACCGGCGAAACCCAGGCAGACCCTCGAACCGCCGTGGTCGCATCTTCTCCCACTCCTTTCTGAATCCAAACCTCCCATTTTTCCCATGTCACTCCTCCAAATGCTGTCCTAAACTTCGTCCCCTGTGGTTGAACATCGTGCAATTTCTTGCAGGCAATCGTGATCTGTTCGTTCACAAAAAGCGGCAGAAGATTCTTGTACTGGAATGTCCGAATAGCGAAGGCGTACGGTTTTCCGACGGTGTAGAGGGCGAGAGCTTCACCAAGGATATCCAACATGAGGACAGAGGTGAGTGGACCATGTACAATGAGTTTGGGGAGACCGTATACCTGCCGGGTATATTCCGCGTCGAGATGTATGGCATGAGCGTTTCTTGTCAGTGCGCTGAATCGGAACAGCAGCGTTGGTGAAGGGGTCATGTTTTGGGAGTATACTGGGTTAGAAGGAGGCGCCAGTCGTCTGCGCGCCGAAGCCTTCGATTTCAGACTCTCTGGGATCTCTCGCATAAAGCAAAGGTACTTTTCTTCTTTGAGCACGATGTTGTCTCTTCTGCTCGCGGCTCGGAGGCCTCCCAGCCTTCTAAGCACGGGCTTCCCCTGGGAGTCTACCATGGCGGGGAAAAGGGTCCTTGTTAACGTGACAAAGACTTTCGCGTTTTCGCTAGCAAAGTCGCCAACTAGCCGCGTGTCTGTAATCCTTTCCTTGACAGCGACCAGGTTCGGCCTGGCGGTCCATATGCTGGGAATCTGAAACTCCATATAGCCTCCAGCCCAGACTCGATACTTCCATTCGTCGCTGGGAGCATGGCGCTTCTCAGCACCGTCATGGCCTAGCTCTTGTTCGTAGGGCAGGCTGTTGAACGACACTTGGTGGTAACCGGGGGGTACAACATTGGCCGGTCGAAGGTCGGAAAGTGAGAGGTGGCTCTGCAGAGTCTTCCGTAGAGCGCGAATATTGAATGTATTCCAGTGACCTTCATCAGTTGGCATGTGGCGGCTTTTCATGGATTCAAGCTGCTGAGCGAACTCTGAAATGGTCTTTTGAGGAGATCCAGTTGCGACATGCTGCCGGCGATTCCAAGTTATCCCTGATTTGCCCTTGATACACGGCCTGCAGCACAATCTCATGCGAGGAAGTGAAGACGGCAATGAACATATCAAAGACATAGGAAATCCGGTCAGTGGCTTGTCAGCCCACCATTTCGGACTTGCACAGCGAGCGGACGAAATACTCTTGCTACAAGAAATGAATCTCTGTGTTGGCGCGAGCGTCACGTGATCTCGTGTCCTGGATGATGGACCGAGACGCGTCTTTCAAAGACTTGAGGATCTCTTCATCGTCTGGAAAACAACGCTTTTCCAACCCTCTTGATCTCAGCTATCCGAATATGTCCTCTCGATCACGAGCTTTAATTGGGAGTCACCCCTCCCAGACTCCTACACGATTTACGCCGTCTACACCCCATGCCATCCGCGCCCTTCAACAGCGCAGCGGGGCAAATGCGCGCTCAGTGCGCAGGAGAAGAGCAGTCAGCGACACCGTCCGACCAGACTCAGCTAGGGGCATCTTGAGACAATTGGCTAAGATTACTGCGCCTGTTACCAGAAAAGTAGTGCCTACACCTGATACAGCGAGGGGAAAAGAAAACAAAACGCCGAAGGTTGGAAGACCTGTGGATGATGGACAGGATGAAGAGCAGAATGTCAAAAGACCACGCTTGACTTTGGATATCGATGAAAGCCTGGAGAGCATTGAGATCCCCCAACCTGGGGACGACGAGGACAGTGAACTCCCGGCGGCTCCTACGCCTTCCATCCTCCCGGAGGACGATGGCGGCGAAAATCACGATCCAACATTTACACTCAGGTCAATTGATTACAGGAAACAGGCGCATTCGCCAGACAATAGCCGCCGTATCTCGAGACGTTCTTTTCCTGTGTCAGATCCTGTCGGACAGGTCAGCTTTAATGGAGGAGACGAGGATTCAACATTCCTGTCCGAGAGAGGCAGAAGGGCCGAAACAGTTGAGCCAACAGAAAATCTATCGCGTTACGACTTTGGGCTCATCGACATGGATGGATTCCATTCTGAGCTCGAGATCAGAAGAGAGTCACATTACCAGGGTCTCCCCAAAAGTCCGGAGAAAATCAGGAATGACCTTGTGGAGCTCGATCCGAACCACCCATCTCCTAGGGAAGAGGGAGGGGAAACTGAGGCTTTGAGGGGCCTCCAATATCTTCAGAGATCTCCATCCTTAGCACCGCCTGACGAGAGCACTATGCACATCCCAGCACTCGATGACTCGAACTTCCAATTGCCTGTCCCAGACGTGGAAACCACCTCAAAATATGCTCAAGGTGCTGGAGAAGCAAAGCTTGTCGAAACATCACCATCAGTGGATCGTCAACGTCACTCACAAGAAGTCTTCGAGCGAGAAGCAGAACCTGAAGATGGACAACCGTCCAACCAATCCTTGGTAGACGAAGAAGAGCTACGACCAGCGCCTCAGCAGCACCGTCGGAAAAAACTAAAGCTGACCCGCCACGGCGAGATGGTACCGTCGTTGCCCTCAAGCCTGATTAGACGGGTAGCCACTGAAGCACAAGCCCGCCTCGGCAATCGCCGACCTAAGCTCGGAAAGGACCACATACAAGCCCTTGAACAGGCGACCGAATGGTATTTCGAGCAAATTGGCGAAGACCTGGAAGCTTACTCAACCCACGCGCGCCGGAAACGCATCGATCAGAGTGACGTCCTAATGTTGATGCATCGGCAGCGGTTACTCCAGAGCGATGGGGAGCTTCTGAAAGCTGCAAAAGAGTTGCTTCCCAAGGACGTTGCGGCTAGCTTGGATCTCGAGGAGTTGTCGGATCACTGATCATTGTTGGAAATGTTACCAGTTGGTGACATGACGGACGCGTCGAGCTCTGTCAATTGGCTTCTTCTTCAATAGCAACCACATCATGAATGTTGTGGCCGCGGATAATGAGTACCTGATGAATTAATGAGGAACGACATATTGGATACCAAACGCAGACACTCACCATGTAAAGATGTACTGTAAATGATTGTTTCTCAGATTGACTTCTGGTGCTCTCCCGATCGGTATCCCCCTCGCCTCTCGCGAGTAGCTTACCAATAAGTCTGGAGTCATGGTCTCTTCGATCCAGACAGGTTCAGCGCCAACGACTTCTGCCATCTCGTAAACGTCAGGGAAATAAAACTTCCCGTTCTCGGGCTGGTTTTTGGGCGTGAAGAAGTTCTTCTTCCAAGGTTCCCGGAGCAGTCCCGAAACCGTGATCTCGCCCTTGGGCAAGCTTTCTGGATCCCTGTCGACTTGGAATCTCTTCTCTTTGCTGATCCATCCCCTGTTCACCAAGATGGTACTCGCTCCTTCTCGTTCTAAAGGCGTCACCACCATAAACCCATCTTTCCCATCCAGCGTCCTTGGCCCGATGAGCATCTCTTTGTCATGTCTAAGCCTTCCTGTGGCATACACTCTTCTATAGTCAAATTCATGGATCGCTTCGGGATCAACCCTCGGTGGTAGCGGTAGCGGTGGCCGCACGAGACGGTCTTCGTATTTTGCGATGAGCTTGGTCTTCCAATCCAGCCGTTGGATTTGCCAGGTTCCAAGAGCGAAGGCAGTGACGGGTATGAGCGAAAGTACCGCAATACCGACTTTACTGTGCTTTTGACCGGTGCGCACAAGACGTGGAGGGGCATCAACTATTGAGACAAAGTCCTCATTGTTGTTCGGTGGTGTGGGAGGCTTCTCGGTTGCGAGACGACGGGATTGGGCCTTGCTGAAAGGGCGAGAAGGTCCACTAGAGCGCGATAGAAGTGACCGGAGGAGCTTTAAGTCATATCTGGCCATGTCGTCTCCTCAAACGATCGGGGTGTGTGAAGAAGAAAGCTGAGAGAGGAGTCGCAAATTAATTTCTCGGAGCTGCTGCGCGTCTCGAATGACGTCTCGGAGATCCTGGGTGCGGCGAAGGGACTCGCATCTCCGTGTGCATGGGAAATCCAGATTCAATCAACTCGTGCATTTTGCAAGGCCTGGCGTACTTATATTCACCCTGTGTTCACCATGTTCTATGATGGAGACTTGTCAAGTGCCATATCAACAGCCCTTCAGGAAAGAAAAGCTGTTCTCTGCTTCGTATATGGTATGCCGTCTACTGATGCCACCGACAAGTGTTGCTAACCGCGGGCAGACGACAGCACAGAAGCCAGCAAGGAATGGGAGACTATCCTAAGAGATCCTTCCGTAAGGTATCTCACTCATGTTCATGCTTCAATTACTGACGATTTAGAGTAGATATCCCCGGCGGTGTCCTCCCAAACCGTTGCCGTATTGCTCAACAAGGGCTCTGAAGAAGCCGGTTTCCTCGATTCGATCTGCCCCATCACCAGCACGCCTGCAATTATTGTGATCAAGTAGGAGATGTCTGAGAAGTAGCGGGACCGCATATTGACGAGGGCAGGGATGCGCGAGTACACGAAAACCTTCAGTCCGCAGACGTATCAACTGAGCGGTTGAAGTCTCGCTTGGCTTCAGCTTTTGGCATACAACAAGATGGAGGAGCGACGTCTTTCCAGGAACCCAGGTACGCATGCAAGGTGCCGCAGACACTGTTCGAGGCTGAACCTTCAATAGCCCGCAGCAATCTGAACGAGAAGACGAGTTCACTGACTCTACTCCGGCACATGCCACTCCCGTGGAGTCACATCAACCTATGCCATCAAGACCGCCGCAAAATCCACCGGTGCCTGTGCCCGCGGGAGAACAGGTCTATGCAACACAGAACCGTGCAATTCCGTCGCCTCCCCATTCATCTGCACCACGGAGACAAGCAGAACCTCCAGTCCCATCTCCAGTCCCATCTCCAGCTCCAGCCGACACCCTGCCGTCCACCGGCCAGAGTACGGAAATGAGTGAGAAACAAAAAGCCCAGAGGTCAGAGTACATCAAAATGCAACGAGAGCGCGAACAGAAACAACGCGACGAACGTGAAAGGATCAAAGCTCAGATAAAAGCAGATCGAGAGGAGAGGCGATTGTTGGATGAGATGAGGAAACAGGGTCAAACGCAAGAGACTCCAGCCTCTTCTTCAAGTACGTCCTCGTATGCTAGATCAAGGACATCAATAGCGAACGCTCGTGCGGAAGTCAGAGTCCAAGTCCGCACATTCGACGGTTCAACCTTGCGCAACACATTCCCTCCAACCTCCACCATCACCAAAGAAATTCGTCCCTGGATTGACTCCTCCAACTCCGCCTCCTCGCCCCCCAGGACAAGTGGCGTGCCCTACAATCTCAAACTCATCCTGACACCCCTTCCCAATCGCACAATCGAGGCTGGGGAAGAAGATACTGAACTCTCCGACCTAGGTATCGTGGGGAGCTGCACCTTCGTCATGGTCCCGGTAAAAGGATATGTTGACTCATACGCTTCCGGCGGCATGGGCCTGGGCGGTGGCTTGCTCGGAGGAGTCGTGACAGGAGGGTACAATCTCGTCAGCGGCACGGCAGGGATGGTCTTTGGCGGTGTACGCTCACTGCTTGGATATGGCTCGGGGGGAAATGCAGAACAGACAATGCCTACGAGCGGCGGCGGCGGAAGTGAAAACGCGAGCCGGCAGCCTCCTCCTGGCCCTGGCTCCGGACCTGGCGCTGGGGCTGCTGGGAACAACGTCCGGATCCGCACACTGGCTGATCAACGCGCCGAAGACGCTGCGAGGAGGGATCAGCAGTTTTACAACGGGAACCAGCTCAATTTTCAGCCGAACAATGACGAGGACCACAAGAGAGATTGAGACCCGAGGAACAGAAATATGAACCTGGGAAAGGTCCGTACGAGGTAACGGGTTGTAGTTCACCACAAATCGGCCAGCCATGTCCTCCTCCTGTTGGACAACAGACCACCTGTAGGAAGGACGGCGTGACTATGCTTTGTGTAAACTCGGAGGATATATATATTGTAATTGCTATCAGCCGTCGGCTGTAATGCGCCAGTCATCGATCTGACGCACACACCGACACTGACAAAATCCCACAATGACAATGAATACTATTTCTCCCTCAATTTACCCACCAATTTACCCACCTGGACGGTGGCGAACGCGAACTCGGCACCGTGATCAGCGTGCTCGGTCGCGGTCCATCAGGCCCATTGCTCACGGAGGTCTTGATCACCCGAGTCTGTATTTGATCCCGCTTGGACATAGCGTCAGCGGCGCTTTCGATCCCACTACCGTGCCACACCCGGGGCGTCGGTCTGGAACTCACGCTCGCGTGGACCGTGATGGCCGGGGTCAACGTGCAGTCTTGCGGGGTCGAAGTTCCGAAGATGAGGCTGCACTCTGCGGGCTTGCTGGGACGCGGGCGGATCGGCGTGGGAGCAGGAGCGTCGGCAGCAGATAGCGATACAGCGGGGGCTGTTGGGAGCGAAGTAGTCGAGTTCGACGGTGCTTGTGGCACCGCAGTATCATCTAGACTTGTAGACCCGAATACCGGCGTGACAGCTGGGCCAATTCCAGGTCCGCACTGGAGCATGCTGCTAGTAGCATTCCCCTGCGCATCGTAATATGTCACTGTTGCTGTTGGCACGCACGTCGTGGTTACGGGTCCCAAAGCGCTTACATAGTGGGTGATATTCGCCGAAACGTAGCCGGTGTAGGAGTAGACCACACCGTTGGTCTCTGTCGACAAGAACACTCCGCTAGGCAACGTAAGCGAGAGGGTTGGTTCAACGATTGCACTCGTTGTGAAGTTAACAGCGGGGAAAGAGGTGGTTGACGGAGTATAGATACTCAACACGGATATCGCGCTCGTGTCCTGACTGGGAGTTGTTGAACCTCGCGGCGTCACCTCGATGGAACTGGAGGAAAAGCTATTCAGCCCTCTCTCGGTCGATATGGCCATTGTTGTCTGGCTGTCTGTCCCCGTGGACGAGCCTGTCAGCGAAAGAGGTAGGGGAGACACCGTTTCTGTCACCACACGCACAGATTCTGAGTTCGAGGGGATTCTCGAGGCTGTGGAATTCGTCCATGCTGCCCAGGACTTGCTTGGACTGGGGCCACTGCTTGTCCAGTCGCTCGACATGGAATTCGCTAGTGCAGCAGACAAATGTGGCGCCGCGGCGGCATTCGTGACGTACAATGTCGTTTGACGCCGTGTTGTGGACGTTATAGTAATCGTACTGGATGGAAACGAGTCGGTAGTGAGCGGAGGAGCGCCCCAGGAAAGAGCTGGACTGACACCAGAACCCGTTGAGGAGAGCGAGCCCGATCCATAGGTGGCCGAGGTGGAGCTTGTAGCATTTGCCCACGGCGTTCCGTTGACTGTCACCGAAGGCTCTGAGCTTGAGGTTCGAGGGATCGGGGATAGCGTGAGAACAAAATCAGCGGTCTCGGTCTCATCGGCACTCCAGGGTGTCGAGTCTGAACTGTCCCAAGATGAGGACTGGTTGGGCTGCTCATCAGCAAGCGCAGGCGCTGAGCTAACTAGGACCACAAAAGAAGAGAGTGGGCGAGTAGAGACGGTATTCTGATCTGTCAATGTTGAAACTCCCGGACCGGTCAGGGCGGACGTAGGGACTACGGCCTGAGTGGCGTTCTGATTTGATTTTTCCACCTCAATGTTGAAGGATTGGGCAGCAGAGAGCAGTAAAGGCATCCCCACGGCGATGACTAGGGGGAACAGCCATAGAGCAGTCCGACAGCAGAATGACCAGGGCATTTTCACAAATACACCTGAGTTTGGTTGAGCGGGAGGGGAAGTCTTTGTCACAGAAGTTGGTATGCCGGGAAGATAGAAGAGGGCTGACTGTGCTTTGCTGAGCAAGATTCTGTAGAAAAGATCTGTGTATTTATTTTAAGAGAGTCCAGGCTGCAATGTATGGTATTGATCAGTCCTTCCTGAGTTTGTACCGACCGAATCAAGAGAGAAACCAAAAGGCAGAGCTCAAAGTAGGGAGCTTTATAGCTGCCTGATAGCCATCACCATCGGACAGGCAGCGCGTGCACAATGGCAAGTGACAAACAAACCGATTCTTGGGTCACGGGTGTTGGCTCATAACACCGTCAGGCCTCAAGTTTGTCGAGAAACATATCATGGTGATTGTGAAAGGGATCAATCTGATTGTCGAACGGTTGTTTTATTGAGCTTCCTGCTTGACTGAAGCCATGTTGCCGCCGTGCATCAGGTCGAAGACTTGGTCCAAACCCTCCAAGCTGCTATTGCAGAAAGGCTTCATATAAATAATAGAAGCACAAGACAAAGCGTCCCCAAAATTGCGGACCAACTAGTGAGGTCCATTTGGTTTCCACCACTTTGATAAACAACCACAGCCCCAGGGCTTCCACTGCCGCCGCCACCGGACTGTCCACAACCTGGTGGCCCTCCTTGATATGGGTCGCCGGGCGGTCCCCAGGTATAATAGTAACCTGTCCACGTTGCGCAATCCACCCGGAAACCTTGATCATTCCAACAGCATTGTCGCTTTTCGAGAGGATTTGCCGACAAAGGCGCAATGGTGATCAGAGCCGATAACTGGATTTGGGATCTGGTCGGGGTGATAGCTGACGTAGCTGTCCAAAATGTCGTAGGTACAACTGAAGTGACAGTCTCTGTCGGTGTTGTCGTCGGGACCAGCAGGCCTTCGGTTTGTCGTGGGAGGGGTGTGATTGCGAAGCTGAGCGCCGTTTGAACGAACAGAAGTAATGTAATCCATTCCATTATGAACGTTTGAGAGCGTTGCAAAGTGCAAAGCGACAGGGTGAAAGCTCGATCTTCAGGTTAAGAGCCAGAGGCAGGGAGCTCTGCCGGCCAAGTACTCGAGACTCGCAAAATTTAACCTGCATGGCCTGTGACATTGCAGTGAGCTGATTTGTGTGACCTAAGAAGTTCTTCGGGCATCAATTGAAAATCGGGCCATTCATTAGAGTTTCCTGTTCCTGGTACCTGATGCTGCGTGGCTGATGTCGGTGAGCGCATGGCGGCCCAGCGTGGCCAAGCCTGATTGGCTGCCTTGGAAGCATTCGAGTCCGCCCAAAGCTGCATCTAACAGACAATTGCTGGCTTCACATTGGTCGACATGAGGTGCCGAGAAGCTCGGGAAAGAGAAGAATGTGATATCTGCCGTTCAGAGTGCAGAAATCGAGAAGCTGCTCGAAGTCTTCTCACATCAGACTTGCCGGTCGTGTGGCTCTGGATGGGCGCTGGCCCCAGAACAAACACAAGCTGCTGCTGTGACGGAGCGGTCTGGTATGTGACCCGTAGACCCTTGGACTCACAGCTTGGGGTACCCTACCTCTCTGGATGGTGCTGCTCATGTGAAGAACATTCCACCGTCAACCGTTGCTCTGAGCTTGAGGCACGATTTCAGTAACCAGCGAATCACCCAGGATCTCCAAAGTCCTTTTGTATATCCTCGACAGCCCAAGAGATATGGACATGTTCTGCGGTTGATCATCGTCTTCCTCTGTGTCCTTGTCATCGTCCTCGGTCTCCGTCTCGGAAACGTCGTGTATTATGCGAGCATCGTGACCACTGCCGGAAGCTGCATTCACAGCGGCGACACGGGTCTCCTCAATTAGCGACTTGATGCGAACCTTTTCTGTCATCGAGACGTTGTATGACATGGTGGCCCCGTTCTCCGTGGGCTGTAACAGAGTCGCAAAACCCTGATCAATCTTGCTCGTGAGAGAAAACACCGAGGTCGAGAAACGAAAAGCTTGAAGATAGGAACACGCCAATCCGGCGAGAGACAGCAGGTACGGGATCTGGATGGTCGGTGTGCCACTGATCCAAACAACGTCCACGAGAGGATCTACGTCCGCCACAAACTCATCGTAGGTGGTGTAGCCCGGGGTATCATCTTTCTCCAGTCCTCCTTCATGACTGAACTTTTTGGCATATCTCCGCGTGATCTTCAAAATGCGATCATCCAAGTAGTTGATCAGGGCAATCTCCTTTTGTGACCCGGGCTGCAGACGGTGCGAACGCGGGGTTGGTAGAGCAGATATGCGTGTCGCTGCTGAGGCGGTGCTCAGTGCAGGAGAGGCTGCAGACGCAGGGGGAGTCGGTAGAGGATGGTTCTGTAAATGATCCATTCTCGTAGGAAACAGGGTCGTCATCACATTCAGACGGTGCCGGTGGTGCTGGTGGTGTTGGTTTCAAAGTTCTTTTTTTCTTCTAATTAACAGGATATGGGGAGCCATTGGCGACGTGAGATCACACTCTCCAAGGTCCAGAGAATCGACCGTGAGTTATATACTGTCCAGACTCAGGAAAACAGGGAAGCCATGGAATTGTGAAGCCGACACAACTGCAGACAGTCAGGCCACCGCAGTCTGAAGACCGAGACCTTGTCGTCTTTGCTCCTGGGCGCAGTTCAAATGACGCAAATTACGACCTGACACAGCAACACCACGGAGACTCTCTCCCCCGGTCTGCATTCAGACGGTGTTGCTCATCCATTCACCATTCAAGTTGTCCAGCAATGTCAAAATGTCGCAAGGATGCATCGACAGCAGATAGTCCTAGAGACTCTCCCGTCCAATGAGGTCAGATTTACCGGGTTCGACGCCGTCCCCATGGGTGGTCGCCTGGTAACAAGAAGCCTCTACAAACATTGACCCGAAATACCGAAATACCGAACGCCCACGATTTTATGGCCTCTATGGAAAGATGACCAGGGCTGGGCTTGTGTGCCCAGCGAGCCGTGTATAGGCTGAATGTTCTCTTTATAGGCCCTGTCGTTCCTCCCATGAACAAAATCTCCCCAACTCCCTAATCTCAACGCTTACAGTGTAGGTGATTAGCAGACAAGGCAGAGATTAGTCCCTATATTGAACCTGTGGACCCTCCAGAATGGCTTCTCAACAGGGCAGTGGCACGACGAAATCCATCGTAGACTCCCACATCCACCTCTACGCGGCATCCCACATACCGTCGTTGAACTGGACCGGGGATCTCGCAGAAGACCATCCACTGAACAGACAGAATTCCCTCGACGAGTATCGCGCCGCCACAGGGAACCGATCGCAAGAGCTCCGAGGCTTCGTGTTCCTCGAGACAGACCGCAAATCAGGGCTGCGAGATACTGAATGGCAGGATGCTCTGGAGGAAGTGGACTTCTTGGTCCGGATCGCCCGAGGCAGCCCACGAGAAGGCGAAGGTCACCGACCTGAAGACGCCAGGTTAGTCTTGGGGATCGTGCCGTGGGCACCAGTACCGGCTGGAGAGGAGGGCGTCGCAAGCTACGTTCGACAAGTCCAAGTGCGCGCAGGCGAAGATGCATGGCCTCTCATCAAAGGATTTCGCTATCTCGTCCAGGATAAGCCCGCCGGGACGATGATGCAGGCAAAGTTCATCCAAGGCCTGCAGTGGCTGGGAAGGCACGGTCTCACATTCGATCTGGGCGTCGACGCCCGGTCTGGCGGGATGCACCAGCTCCAGGAAGCATGTGCGATGATGGAGCGAGTCTATGCTGGCGGGAAAGACGGCCCGAGAATCATCATTAACCACTGCTGTAAGCCAAACCTGCGGCTATCTGCCCAAGAAGCCCTCGCGAGCAACGGCCACAGTGACTTTGCAGAGTGGAAGGACTGCATCGAGCAGATGGCCCAACACCAGTCGACCTACATGAAGCTCTCGGGCCTTTTCTCCGAACTGCCGGAACAAGACGAAACCCGTCCGACGGACGTCGCAGCCCTTGTCGAGTGGACGAGGCCCTGGGTCGACGTCGTTTTCCAAGCCTTCGGGCCTTCGAGGATCATGTTCGGCTCAGACTGGCCAGTGTGCAATGTCGGGGGGCCCGGTGTCGTCAAATCATGGAGTCACTGGCACGACCTAGTGGAAGCGATTCTCGCCTCGCAGAATTTGACAGCTGAAGAGCAAGCTCAGATCTGGTCTGGCACAGCCATCCAAGCATACGGTATCCAATTGCCCGGTTCATGAAATCAACCTGGCTCTTTTACCCTTTTTTTCTTCTTCTCTATGCAATGTGTATACCTTTGTCCTGCGCACATACACGTCCAAATCCATGTCCCACCATTCCATTACTGAAAATTCACAAACGCTCCTCCATCCACCAAAATCGCCGCTCCAGTCACATAGCCACTCAACTCTGGCTGGGCGAGGAAGAGCGCAGGCCCAGCCAGATCGTCGGGCATTCCCAGGCGGCCAAGGGGAATGCGTCCCTCCATGTACGCCTTCTTGTCACTCCCCTCGCGCAGGTCCTCGTCGTTGAGCTGCGTGCGGATCGTGCCGGGAAGCAGAGCGTTGCAGCGGATGTTATACTTGCCCAGCGCGGTGGCGGTGGACTGCATGAGGCTGAGGATTCCCGCCTTGGTGGGCGTGTAGTGGCACTGCTGGGCGCCACCCACCAGCGCCGAGATGGACGAGACGCCGATGATGCTTCCGCCCTGCGGGTCTCGCTGCCGCACCATCTGCTGCGCGGCGGCCTGGACGGCGTAAAACGCGCCGGACAGGTTCGTGTCGACATGCCGCCGGTACAGCTCTGGGGAGATATCCAAGAACTCGGCGAACTGGCAGATTCCGGCGTTGGAGACGAACGTGTCGAGCCGCCCGAACCGGGACACCGTCTGCGCGACGAAGTCTTGCCCCGTCTCCGCCAGCGAGATGTCGCCCGGCACCGTCAGCAGCGGGACGTCGTCGAGGTTGTGGACGGACCCAGAAGGAGATTGGGAGGAGCTCCGTGATTTGATGGCCTCAAACGCCTCCGTGCGCAGCGACGTCAGGAGATGCTCTTCATCCTTGTTGTGCGCCGGCAGGTAGTTGATTGCGACCTTGGCGCCGTGGGACAGGAAGAGGATGGCTATGGCCCGTCCAATCCCCGTTAATCCTCCGGTTATTGCGCAGACTTTCCCGACGAGAAGGGGCGGGAGCGTCATTGTCACCTCCTCGTTTTGTGATGTGTGCGTGTGTGTGTGGTATATACTTTTGCTAGACGTTGCATGCGGCGTCTGGACACGCTTGTTGTTGTGCCCTTCTGCGAGTTCCGGAATATATTGTATTTTCCTCAGACTCTGTAAAGACCCGTTTGTGAATAATTTAAGAGGTTCAAGCTTTCATTCAAATGTAACTCGATACCTGCTGGGGCACGAAAGCGATGTGGTCATGTACGGAACCACTCACGGTGCTTGGGTATATCTACCTCGTATGAAATGTATATATAAATTATGCCATTAGAGACCGAAGTCAACCACTAGTGTGTGAAGACCTTTTGTTTTCCGATGACCGCGCTGGCTCAGGCACCCACTGCAGGTCTCAGGGTTTCGTCAAGTATTTGTCCGGCACAAATACCTTTTTTTCATACTCGGTCGCCCTTCGTCGATCGAGAGACGAGGAGCACCCAAGGAGGGGGCATTTGTGAAAGAGGTGGCGCCCCTCGGGAGAAGATCCCACCGGCGACGCCGAGCTCGCCCTTTTTTGTGCCAACTCAATGTCTGCCCCTCATACCCACCCTAGTTCTTTTTATCCCCGCTGGCCATCCCGAATAATATGTCGCACATTACCACAAGCGTGTTGTCGTGAGTCGAGAGCGTTTGCTCCGGCGTGATGATTCGGACCGGCAAGGCGAGTCAGTCTGTACTTTCGAGGTGCCTGTCAAGGGTGGAGACAGAATCACCTGGTGCTTTGGACTTTCACCGTCCTTGTTCGGGCTGTTTGATGTTTTTGTTGTTAGGGCTGCCTCGAGTTCAGGAAGAGCAGATTTCCTTGACGCATACTGTTCGAGGATCCCTTGCTGATGCTTCCCATTTGGCTTTTACTCTATATTTTCTAACTGCCATGGCATTCACCTTTGACCGAGACTGCACACTGCAGCCCAGGATCGCGGCATCTCGATGGACAGACGATTTGTCTTCGCACCTGTCTCAAAGGATTTGCAGCTGCGATCACTGGTCACAGACCAGAGAATTGTCCGTTCCCCATACTCTCCCGTGTGTTCACCGCATGTGCATCCATAAGTCAACCTGTAGATCTTCACCTTCAGCAATGTTTGTGAGGAAGACTCGGTTTCCAGAAGCGATAGTCTCACGAGAGAGCCGAAGATGTGCTTTGAACCGAAGAAATAGACCGTATCTCACAAGTCGATGGCCTGAGCAAGAACCAGTGAAGGAAAAAGGTAATTCATGCAAATCCAATCAAACATCTCTTGCTTCGGCAGCTCCCTGAGAGGACCAGATACCAGGACGAAGAGTAGAATTGATCATGTCAAATTACCAAGCTCTTGCCAGTTCTGAACAACGTCGACAACATCGGGGTCCTCCCTTCCAATGTCCAACACATTTGGGCAGAATAAGTGGCAGCAAGTGAACCCTTCGAAAGGCCAGGGACAGAGGGCCAGATGCATTCAATGTTTGAGTTCTTCCGACGGCCCAAAGTTCTGCCTCTGGCTCGCCATCAGACTTGGCCTTGCGTAGGCAAGCCCGAGAAGAATCCCTTGTGTCTTGTCGGAACCGCGCAACAGAACTCGAGCTGACCGTTGATCTCACAAAGAGCGAACTCGGGTCTTGGTGCACGCTTTCCGCGAATCGCTGATGGCGGACAAAGCTTTCAACAGTAGAGTGCCGAACATGTTTGAGAAATTTTCCATCAGCCTCAGTACGCTTATGTTGAGTCGTTCGTCAGCAGACTAAGTTGCGACAAGTTGTCTCTAGACCCTCATTTCTCGTCCATTGGACTCTGGCCTCCACGTTTTCGGTCAAGCACCACCTGGACGAGGTGGCGGCAGTTCTTGTGAGAGTCCCTTTGAAGTGGTGTTTTGACGAGCGAGGCCAGAGGGAGAATGGCCGAGCATGCCGCCCCATTAAAGAACGGATCTGGAATAGACATGAGCCATACAACCGAGAAAGAAGGAGCACGTAGGTAGAAGGATTTGGCCTTGCCGCAGCCCTTGGGGCAGCCCTTGCGCACAGAGATGACAAACTCCCTAGGCCCTCCAAGATGGAGCAAGAAGCAGTGGCAGCAGCAGTAGCCGACCCCAGATCAGTGCATTTCCAGACTGAAAAGTCGCATGACTCGATCTTTTGCATCACGGCTTGCAGGAGTACGTACCTAGTCGAACGCTGCTGACTGTCCACGACTAAAGTCCATATAACCAGCATGACCGTGATGATATTTTCGCTTGACCGGCCAAAATCCTATCGCGCCCATGCTGGCTATTGTTCAGCCACAGCCACCTGGAAACATTGGAAGCAAGGAGGATCGGATACCTCTAAGAGCCGAGGGATCTATTTAGTCTGGAAACACGCCAGTACAAGCAAATGTACACCCGTACCTGGGTGTCGCGGCGCAAGGTACCTCCGAATCCTGCTTCCTTTAGCGAGCACGGGAACTCAGGATCCTTGCCCAGGCCCCATCACTGCGGCTGAGAAGAGGAGAGCCGTGGCTTTTTCGAGCACTATTTTCCGCCCCCATCTGGTGAATCTTGATTTGGGAAAGCTGCGAGAATTTGGATCGCAACTCTTGCACTCCGTCGTCGTAGACTTCGGATCTTACTCTCTGTCTGGAGTAGTACCGAGTACTATTTGCCCATTTATATGTAGCGCCGTCCGAGGCCTGCAGTAATATCCGGCGGAATGAAGGGACCATTGGGCATGTATTAGCAACGGGAGCCAAGCAGTGAGAGGCACGGACTTCGCCAAGTTGAGAGCTCTTTTATGCATCACTCCCGACTCGGCTAAGTAAGCTGTCGACTCGAGCTTTTGGACGACGACGGCCGTAATGTGCGTCATCTGCCGTCTTGCGTACGCCTATGCAGTGACACGGGTGACGAGGACGAGGAACCTGCTGTGTGGCCCGCTCCGAGCGTAATCGACGTGATCGATGCCTGTTTCGCGCCTTGTACCAGCCCTGTTGTGCTCTCGTCCTCGGCGCCTTTGCGGTGTGAAGGTCACATCCCTCCTAGGGCGGAATACCAGTCCAAAATTCCAAGCCCAGACACAGACAGACCCCGAGTCCCGGGAGCCCTTGCTGCTGCCTATCTCCGAGTCGGCATTGAGACAAGTATCTAAAAGTAACGTGCGCCGCGGCGGTGGATTCTGGTTGCCTGACGATTCTTCGCCTGTTTCGGGCATCCACGGCCAAAAGGGATGTTCCAGACATCTCTGATACTAACTAGCATTTCCGGTCCTCCGATTGACAGCACCCGCTGCAGACTAATACAAGCATCATATAAAGGACTCAACCCCAAAATACACCTATCCCAGTCGCTGTCGTAGACTTCATGCTCGTAGTAATCATTGTGGCTACGCCCATGCAATCTTCCCTAATGCTCTGCATAAGGAAGCCCAAACCGGGACCAAGATCAAAAGATCTCCAGGAAAGTACCCGGAAATAGCGCCCGTCGTTTCCATTTCGTCCAGTAAGATGCACATACTAGGAGACGCCTGCGCCTCATCCACCATATGCTCCGGCCCTGATGCCCCCGGGTCGCGGACCCGAACCTCGCGCCCTCGGAGGAAATGAGTAGAGTGTGACGTGTGTCGAGTGCTGGCATGGCGTAAGATCGTCGAGTGTATAGAGTTTGGATTCTCAAATAGTCATCTGAAGTGCGCCCTTTTCTCTCGTTCGAAAATGTATCGTTGTGCCGAGGGCTCCAGTATTTGTCATCCTTGCCGCTATTGGCTTTTTGCCACGAGCGTCCCAAGTGGTTGGATGTTTGAGACTCATAGTTGCGGTTTCAATCCCGCACAAGCAGAAAGCTCAACCACTTGTAGCTCTTGAACACACTGACATAAACCAAGCCCACAGTAAATGAAAGCAACAAATGATGGGTCATCTGCGTCGACCTGCGACGATATAAAAAGCCACCGACGCGGACGTCCAAGTCGATTGGATCTGCCAACTGCGTGGGTAGCGAATAAGGAATTCCCCTATAGAGAGGTCCGTCGAGAGAAGAGGACACTCGAATAGCTTTTGCAGTCGGCTGAGGAGAATGGACGCAATGTGGAAAAAGGTGTCGGGATTCACCGGCGGCCAGATGTTGAAGGATAGCCACTAGAGTACCCAGAGTCGTGCCATGGACGGCCACCCGAGGGTTTAGGATTCGATGGCGATGTTGATGATGATGATGATGACGACGCCGCTTGTCTCTTGGCCGAATGCGTTGGACAAGCAAATCCGACAAGCACTGTCTTCTCGGTAGTAGAATGACCTCTTTGGCCATATCGCTGGCATGGGTCAACCGAATGCTTGTGATATAGACAGCGGCATACCGCGTATCTTTCGACGATCTGATAGCACATATTTGCTCTGGTCTTGGGGTGAAATTCAGTAATACTTGTACAATTGACAGAGTTGCGGAAAGGACCAAAAACTATAGTGGGCAAAATCACTTGAGGTAGGAAAAGAGATGTTGAAATATGTGCAGGAACGATTGAATACACAAAGGTGAGGTGAAGTAGGCAACTGGTGCTTCCAGAGTCTTATATCATGGAAGTCATAACGGTAGCCTTAGGAAGCAACCAATCAGTAGACCGATGCAGTTAGGCGGGGAAAGTAGGGAAGCAGCGACCCATAAGAGTCATGTGTCGAGGGCCAAAATTGGTCCAATAGGACGACAAAAAGTCTTGCATCTTTTGAAGATGAGAAGTATTCTGCATAGCCGGCATGGAATAGAACAATACAGTGCATTTCTGGGTAGGAAGGGGAAAGACCCAACCAAGCCCCGGCTCGGCCACGTTTCCAGAATAGATCCAGTACCAATAGAAAGGTCGGGATGGACGATGTCGACCAAATAAGGATCCGGCCTGATCGTGAAGACTAAGCCCAGTGATGGCGGCCCAGCAGGTTGGCATCGAACCAGAAAGAAGGGGGGCAACGCTGAGCAGAGCGGGATGTTGATGCTTGCGAGGTTGGGACGGGGGCAGATTTGGGTCCAAAACGTGGTGGTTGATCGATCATCACGCACACGACATGGAACGTTTGTTTGATGCAGGAAACAGCAGCTATCCGCGTGCCGAGAAAGCGGGACTCACGTCGTCACCTACCATGTCATGAACCAAGCCGGAGCAGTGGTCCCATGAAAGTTGCGGGTTTTTTTCTCGATGCAGCATCCGGAGTGACATGCTGATTGGGATGGGTCTGAGGCTGAAAAAGGCTTGCACTGATTGGGAGTAGGGCAGGTGGTGCTGAGACGTGGTTCACGACACGATCCCAAGACCGAGGGTCTGCCTAGCAGTTAGCAGCCTGAAGCTCTCACCCGGCCTAAGGAAACTCGAGTGAACCCGAGAGAAGGACACTAGGAACCCGACCGATGGATGAGGGAGTCATTGTGTCAGTGGAACGGAACGGCGCAGGAAAGCCATTTGCGAATGGGTATTGGCAGGGCTGGAGGGGCGGAAGACTGGGGCGTGGGTTTAGGGGACCTTGGGCCAAGGTACTCGGAGCCTGCCAGCCTGCGTAGCCCTGCGCGAGTTCTTGGTGGAAGACATGGCTTGTTTGCTGAGGAAGCTGCATGGACATGGGACATTGGGGGGCCATCGATTCGCCACATTGGGGGGGAGAGATCGAAGGGAATAAGGTCAGCAATTCAGTCAGAACGATACAGAAAGAGGATAAGAATAAGAGATGGGCGATGATTGATGGATTGAGAAGAGGATGATGATGATGACGCGCGGGCGGAAAAGCGAGCGAAAAGCAGAGGCACCCAAGAGGCGAGAAAAGCCAAGACTGCGCAACCGGACGTAGTGGTCATGTGAGATCACCTGACCAGCACGGCAGGCCGGAGTCATGGCTATTACCTAGCACCTAGGCAGGTACCTAAAGTAATACCAAGTATTTGCACCAGTACGAGGTACCTCTGTACCTAGGTCGTTGGTACTCGTACGTCAGTAAGCTAGTAAAATTGTACTCGGTACCGTAGGTGGCAATGCTAACAGGTGCTAGTGCGCCCTAAAGCACTTGGCGGGGAATAATAGGGCTACTGTTTATCCGGAGTGCAAAGTACCTAGTACCACACAACCAACCCTTTCAAACGGCAACTGGAAGCGAACGGCAGCGTTAAAGAAAGGAACACAGTGTCACCAGGGTCATCCCTCTCATCCACGCTCATCCTCGCTCTTCCTCGCTCATCCTGCCATCTCACCCCCTCTCCCCTGGCGTCCCCTTCGACACAGAATCCTAGGGCTGAGCAATATTACACTGCAGTTTCCTCCTCACGTTTTGCACTCAAACCCCCGCCATCTCGTCTCGTTGGTCCGCTCGTAATCTGATGCTTTCGGGGAAGCTCCCCAAGTCTCGTCTTAGAGTCAGTCACACCTACGAGTAGCTCTGGCCGGATCGTCGCATTATATCGCAAGGCATGCTCTTTTGTTCATCATCACGAGTCCTAGCGTCTCGACCTATCCCCTTCTGAGGCCTCCCTGTGTTGCCTCATCGGGTATCGGGTAAGGCTGACTCGATTCTAAACCTCACCATGACAACGAGTACAAAAATACGGTGGGCAGTGTCACGTTCTTCCCCTTCCCCACCCCCGTCCATGCTGACACTATCGCACATTTGCCCAGTGCTGTTATTCCAGTCCACAGCGACCAAAGTCCCGTCTCGTTTCTCTCGGGAACCAGTCGTCCCGACCATGCTGGCCCTCGAACAGGTTGTTCAATTGGCCTTCCACCTGCCCTAAAAGCTTGGGACGAAATTTCAAATCCTGTAGACGAGGCAGTGAGAGCGTAATTGAATTGACTGACAAATCTTCAACTGGAAAAATGCCGTCTGGGCCGTCTCGGCTGTCGCAAACCCGGTCAGTTCGGTGCACGTCACGGCACACGCAAACCGTGCCTCTCCGCCAATTCATGGCATTAATTTGTATGGAAGAGCCAATCAGCTTCTGGGTTGGGGACTGCAAAGTTCGGGATCATCCCAGCGTTCATCGCCGCAAGATCCGGAGGCGCAGCTTGGCCCAAGCCCTGTGCATTACCGTTTTCCACCCCTTCTTGAGTCATGGGGACTCGGGGGAAGTTGAAAAGTTCAAAGACATCGAGATACTCGAGTTCATTCGGGGCCGGGGTGTTTGCGCGTGTCGGGTGGTATGATTTAACGGCCGCAGCATGTGGCTGGCGCGAGATGAGAAAGTCGAGATCGTAGGCGCATCTGTTTCACAGTACTTAGCCTGCTTCCAATCCCATTCCAGAAACAGCTTACCGGCGCATGTCGGCGAGGATTTTGACTGTTGACGGAGTCACCCTCTCCCCCGTCACTCCACTGGTTCGCTGCGACTGACGATACTCCCCTAGAACCCGGCTCAGGATTTCGCTGTACCGTTTGGCGACAAGCCAATTCTCCCCCATCTCAGCGAGGGTCGTCACGAAGAAGTCAATGTCTGGGTCCACTTCGTGATCCATGGTCGATCCATGCACCAACATGACCCGTGCCGCGACCCAAATGGCAAAGGCAAATGGGGGCCCAAGGCGATCCAGCAGGCCACTGAGCTTCACGAAACGGCAGAGCTGACGCAAGTTCTCAACAGCGGATAGACACCGTTGCATGGCGCTGTAGGATGAAGAGAAGATCGGCGAACTTTGGGCGGGATATGCCGCCGATGAGTTCAACCGAATGACCGTCAGACAATACGCTGCATGCAGCATGATCCAGCCACAATTTGTATTTTTAGCTGGCACGTTGGATTTTAGAAGCCGAGTGATGTTCGCGAACTCGTCAGGCAGACTGAAGTGCCACGCGTTTAGATCGCTGTCGAGGGCTCGGTACGAGCCTTGCCACTGTTCCACGTCGGTCAACGAGCCAATGTCCACGGGCCGTTTCAGAAACTGGTGGATGTGACCCAGAATAGCCATGAGCTCACAGTGATAGGAGAAATGTCCATGGGTCTCGGTCATCCCTGTGGCGTATCGAGGGCGCTCCGGTGGGCGGAACCATCTCGTCTCGACCGGCTTGTTCGCTGCAAAGAGATCATCTCTGCAAGGCAGACGCCGGTCAACTTCTTTCTCATCCAAGGCGAACTCGAATGCCGTGGCAATGGTAGCGTATCGATCGAGGAGGTAAACCGCCCAGAAGAGCCTGCGTCGCTCTTCATCCTCAATCCAAGATTTGGGCTCGGGCAGAACAGAGGCCCTAAGGGTTGCAATGGAAGGATACATGGGTGAGGCAAGGGCAGAGCCTGCCTCCACCGCAAGCCCCAGTTGTACCATGCTTCTGCTAATCAGTGCAAGGAGGTTCCATGCCGGCGGACCATTTGTCGACCCTGTCACATCTAAGGCGAGTATGACAAGTGCTTGCAGAGCTCGCACATTTGAGTTTTCCAGTCCGAACAACTGAACACGCTGCTTGGAAGTATCATGATAGTGCTGGCGGCCCTCGGGAGTCAATCGGGGGTCCTGCGAGAAGCGCAGCGTTGTTGCCACAATAGCATGAAGAAGCACTCTGTCGGCTTCGTCGAGAGTGGAAGCACCAAACAGCGTGTCTAGGGTGGTCTTTCTATCCAGCAAGGGCAGCCATATATTGATATGTTTGAAGTAGAGATCCACCAAGGCATAAAGGAGATCATACGGAGGAAGCATAGCCGAGTACTCACTGTACATTTGGCTGCCTTGATATCCTGTGGCGGAATGAGGCGAGGTAAGCGAATGCGACTGAGCAGACGGAGTGTAGTGGCTCTGTTGCACAATTTGCTGGTCTGGCGCCGATTGTTGGTACTGTAGAGAGCCATGACGAGAGGAGGAAGCATGCAAGTTGGGGTCAATGATCTGTTGCTGGAGCTCCCCCGCGACATTGATGCTTTGTGCATCGTACGAGGCCTGTGTGGGAGGGACGTCGGAACCTAAGCCTGGCACACTGCGCCTGTTGCTGGCAGAGCTGACTCCAGCGTCAATAGTGCATGATTCTGCAAGGTGGGCGGCCAGCTGGCGACCCTGTTCATTCAACAGAGCCTCAAGGCGGTCCAGTCTTCCCTCGAGCTCCCTACCATAACCGGCGCGCAGACCAGGTTTCTTGCGCTCTTTGTATTCACAAGGATGCTCATTGCGAGAGCACCACCCGCAAGCAGGCTGAGCACGGTCGCATTTCACTTTTCGCTGCTACACCACCAAGTCAGTACTGTGCGACTGCACATGCCCGGCGATGATTAGTACGGACCTTGCAAGCTTCACAACTGTCAACCTCGGGCATTAGTGAGGATACGCATGACCATGGAACGATACCCGATGCGTGAACAAGGGGAAGTCAATGGAGCAAGAGTGGAAATAGCCAGCACGTACGTGACATTCATGGGTCTCTTGCGCTTTTTGGAACCATCTCGGTCGTCATCTACGCCCGAGTCAGAGTCGGATGGCGTATTGGACGGTTCTCCCAGGGGGCCCAAGGAGCCCAGGGCGGCGGACGACACGTGGACGTGTCCATTGCTTCCCGAATGATGGTCGTAGAGCTCGAGCTTGGTCGCGTTCATCATGATCAGCCAGCAGTTGCTGTTTGTGTTTCACCTCGACCCGTCGAGCCCGTGTGGCACTGGCGGCATTGCCCCGTAAGCCGAGAGTCGGTTGAGAAGAGGCCGAGAATGGAGAAAAAGGTTGAAGCAAAACCAGAATGAAAAGCTGGGGAAACAAAGTCAGCAACGCTTGGCGGACAACTCCACCAAGACTCGTAAATAAAGTGTGTCAGGCAAAAGGAATGGAAGCTGGTTGTGCTGTTCTGCTGCCGAATGCCAGTGCCTCTGGGCATTGACAGACCAAATCAAATCATAACCCAACCCAACCCCGCTATGTCGTAAGAGGCGAGGAGGGTACCAGGCCATCTCCCCGTGCTTCCTCCATCTCTTCTTCCAAGTGCCTTCAGATGTGCTCCCAACACAACTCGGCTGGTGGGGTAAAATGCCATTAGAGAGATCCGCGATCTCGTCCTTTGGGTCCTCGGTACCTCAACCCATGGGCCATGGCTAAATCCCGGAAAGTCGCCCCTCCGTCCCTGCATGCAGTGGGTGTGCAGGCACTGTGCAACTGTCACAGTTACTCCGAGCCCGGGTGAAGCTGTACCGATCAGCGAAACCCAGCTCCCCGAGTGACTTCGACAGTGCCACCAGTGCTATTTTCTCTTATTTGTGCGTTTCAACCCCTCTAGGACAAACCATGGCGGATCGTCTGCTACCGTTACCTCTGACCTTGCTCTCTTCAAAATCTCGACTTTCCTCTCTGCATCATCGCCCTTTCTAATCTCACGTCCCGAACCGAACTCGAGAAAACAAACCCAAGAACTTGAGATTCCTCATGTCTGGGATCAAACCCTTTCCTACCATCAAAGCCGTGCGGACCTTCGTCATCGATGGCGTGGGTTCTGGCGGCGACTATCACAATGTCAAAGGCGGACACTGGCTGATTGACAACAAAATCGCAACGCCCATGTCCAAATGGGACCGATACCGAACCTCCCGAACCTCGTTTGGAATCAATGTGCTTGGCTCCTTCTGTGTCGAGATTGAAGCCACCGATGGCACCAAAGGCTTTGCCACAGGCTTTGGTGGACCGCCTGGCTGTTGGCTCGTCCAGCAACACTTTGAACGATTTCTTCTGGGACGAGATCCGCGCGACGTGAACGATCTGTACGAGCTCATGTACAAGGGCTCCTTGTTCTACGGGCGAAAAGGTCTCCCAGTGGCTGTCATCTCTGTGATTGATCTGGCTCTGTGGGATCTTCTGGGCAAGATTAGGAACGAGCCAGTTTACAAAATGATCGGTGGTGCCACAAGAGACAGGCTACATTTTTATTGCACTGGTCCCGAGCCCGCAGCTGCCCAGAAAATGGGCTTTATTGCAGGCAAGGTACCCCTGCCCTACAGCGCTGATGAACCAGATAGCATCAAAAAGAACATTGCATTTCTGAAGGCGCACAGGGAAGTGGTCGGCCCTGATTTCCCTTTGAGAGTCGACTGCTGGATGTCGTTGAATGTCCCCTACACTATTGAGCTTGTGTCGGAGGCCAAGAGACAAGACATCCGAATAGATTGGTGGGAGGAAGTCCTGTCGCCAGATGACTTTGACGGCTTCCAACTGTTGAAGAGGGCACACCCGGACACCAAGTTCACGACGGGAGTAAGTATTCTTTGCGCAAAGGCCCCTCGTACTTCCCAGACTGAATGACTCCCAGGAACATGAATACTCACGCTATGGATTTCGCAAACTGATTGAAGGCCGCAATGTTGACATCATTCAACCAGACGTGATGTGGCTTGGTGGCCTGACGGAACTTCTCAAGGTCTCTTCAATGGCTGCGGCTTACGACATCCCGGTCATCCCTCATGCGTCCGGTCCTTACTCCTACCACTTCGTTGTCAGCCAGCATAACTCTCCCTTCCAAGAGTATCTAGCAAACAGCCCCGATGGGAAGAGTGTTCTACCCGTCTTCGGCGACCTGTTCCTGAACGAGCCAATCCCCACACAGGGTTACTTGGATGTTAGCTCATTGGATAAGCCGGGATTCGGGCTGGAATTGAATCCGAATGCGCGCTTGATCGATGCCACAAATCTACTGGGCATGAAGCCGCAGAAGTCGCTGACAATGCAAGTCGACACGGAGCAGGTCAAGACCAACGGATTACATGCTAACGGCGACCACGTGCCCACGCAAGCCAGCGGATCAAATGGATCAATGGTCGGGGACCATGTTGCTTGAAAAGATGCTGGATTGGATGTGGGTGGCCCGCCACTGGTCGCAATGGACATTTCGGCCTCTGCACATCTCTTAAGGATTCCCCACGAATGCTGTCGTACATATATAAATCTGAAGCTGCCTTTCTGCCCTGACTATTACCCTGTGGACTTCTCCCTGCCACAGGAAGCACATGTCTTGACTATTTGCCGGCAGTGCATTCTGCTCAAGGCTAACGAGCTACGCTTACCCAAGATAAGCAGGCCGTTGTGTCCAGGGGGCTAGATCTCTTGACCCCACAAGTACTCATCCGGTCACCCCAGAATGTTCAATGCATTCCTCAAACTCCGGTAGTGGGGTCCTGAGGCCAGCTCCATACCATCCACCTCGCCACATAATGATCAGAATATAATGTCCGGCCCCCCAGGGCGGCATCACGGCAATATGATGTACGCCGTCCCAACTCGACATATAGAGTTTCAGTTAACTGGCAGTGAAATTGATCTAGCTCAGCCCCTGCCTACCTGGAGTTGGTGAGGTTGACTGGAGAAAGAGCCAACTATCTTCCTATGCTCGTTGAAGAAACTTAGGCTCCATTGGACGATACGCAAGACCTCAGAAACTCGAAGCCTCTGAAGTGGTTTTTGAAGCATAATCACCATTCCCAAGGCTGCAATGACTAACCCAGTCATGGAAGTCGATATCGCCCCATACGAGCCACGAAGCGTATTAGAAACACTCCCATGCAGTTTACCCCTGTCACATTTTGACACCGACATTGACTTTGGAGCTATTGCCAGTCCAATCGTACAATCACTGGGAGGCCTCACGGCAACAGATCTCTCGTCGACACCGGTATGGCGCGATGTCTTCGCCCTTACTGGCACTATACGGACATTCTACTCGGCCGACTCTATCGCCAAGGCCTGGACTGAAACGTGTGCGTCCAGACAGGCCTGTGATTTTGCATATATCAAGGATTCGGCAAAACCAACACGCTTGGACAAGGACATGGGATGGGTGAATATCTCCTTCACATTTCGCAATCAAGGAAGCCCCGCTTCCACCTGCAGAGGAATTTTGTCCCTAACTTTGGAAGACGACGGGCACTGGAGGATCTGGCTCATCAGGACTATCCTGGAGCAGTTAGAGGGATGTGAGGACGTGGATATTCTTCCAATTATCCAAGCAATGCCAAACGGAGTGAATGGGGATCACCTACAGATAAACGGCACGAACGGCAGCCATACTGCGGCGAATGGGGCGAATGGGACCAACTGCCCTCCCAGCGACTTCGATTGTGTCGTCGTAGGAGCCGGTCAAGCTGGCCTAGGCTCGGCAGGTCGGCTTCAATCCCTAGGCATCTCCTACGTGGTGCTCGACAAGAACGCTCAAATCGGCGACAACTGGATGACTCGGTATGATTCAGCGAGGCTACACACCGCTCGCGAGTACAACCACTTACCCTTCGACCGGACATTTCCACTTCCATATCAAGAATTCCTTACCAAATACGACCTGGCCAGAGGATACAAGGACTGGGTCGAGAAGTTCGGAGTCGACAAGCACATCTGGTTCAACACAACTCTTGAGTCAGGATCTTGGGACGAAGGACGCAGAACGTGGACATTGTGCATCCGTCGTGTAGACGGCTCATCTCAGAGCCTCACCTGTCGACACGTCATCATGGCCACTGGTGGAGGAGGACAGATTCCCATCATGCCACAGTACCCCGGCCGCGATGTCTTCCAAGGCACAGTTCTCCATTCCGCGGAGTTCAAATCCGCCGAACCCTGGCGCGGCAAGGCTGGTATTGTGATCGGGACTGCAAACACGGCTCACGATGTCGCCGAGGACATGGTGGAAGCAGGGCTGTCACAGATCACCATGGTGCAGCGTTCCCGCACCTACGTGCTGCCATACGAATACTTCAAAGTTATCTCGGACCGGTCGTACAACGCAGATGTCCCCACCGTCGATGCCGATAGAGAGCAGTATTCGGTACGCTCGTTTTCCCCGTTTGAAATGTTTTCATATTACCAGGAGCCAATGTCTCCCTCGTGACATCAAGCTGACCAACCATTTGCAGATGCCGTACGCGGTTTCGAGGCTGTTGAGTCGCAAAGCTTTGCATGGGATGGCGGCCAAAGAGCCTGAACGGTTTGACGCCCTGGAGCGGGCTGGGTTCAGAGTCGAAAGATATGGCGATATCATGTGGCATATCTGCGAGAAGCAAGGCGGTAGGTCGCTGCCCTCTTTGCTGGACTAGCGCTCGTGCTCAGCCCAGCTAGAGACGCCGCTCTACGCCAAAGGTACAGAGAGCTAACTCACATGCATAGGACATTACATGGACGTGGGTTGTTCGGACCTGATCGCGAAAGGAATGGTATATTTGTGCTTTCCCTTCCATCATTGCTCGATCTTCACCTTTCTCCACCGTCACACCGCTCGTCTCTCAGACTAACCTTTCCCGCCCCCTTCTTCTCCCAGATAAAAATGCAATCCAACGCCCTGCCCACACACTTCACACGCACAGGCCTGGCCTTCAGCGACGGCAGTGAAACCCCCGCGGACGTGGTCATCTTCTGCACGGGCTTCGTGGGGAACATGCGCACAGATGTGGCCCGCATATTTGGCAAGGATGTCGCGGCTCGGGCGGATGACTTCTGGGGGCTTGACGGCGAAGGCGAACTCAAGGGGGCGTTCAAGCGGAATAGCCATCCGAACCTGTATTACATGGGCGGCACGATCGGGCATGCAAGGTATTTCTCCCGCCATGTGGCGCTGCAGATCAAGGCCGAGTTGATGGGCACGCCTCTGCCCGTCTACGAAGGCGAGCGAAGGTAAATGGGGGTATGTATAAGTCAGGTATATCCGAGCTGCATGCTACGGTGAGGTACCAGCCAAATCATTTCCGAGGGGAAGCTTCGATTGAGAAAAGTTAGGACCGGACGCCCGTCCGCGTGCAACTAAACCGTCAGAGACACAAACCAATTACATATCAGTCTTCTTGAGCCGTCTGGCACAGTCATTGCATGCAGATCGTCCCTCCTTCATCGTCATCTTCATCCTGTCCTTTCATCCCCTCGGAAGGACATATATAACCCCACGCAGGTCCTAACGATGTGCTTGTGCCGGTCCTGGTGCGTTCCTCTTTTCCGTGGCCAGGCCCGCGCGGCTCACTCGAGAAATCCCCAGAGATTGTTGAGACTCTCGCTCAGACAGGGGTGGGCAAAGATGGCATTTTCCAACTCGTCGTAGGTCACTGTAGACATTAGATTCAAAAAAAGAGATGAAAAGAAATGAAATGAAAAGAACCATGGCTCAGTTTTCGCGGCAAAACGGGAGCCTTCCCGCACAGAAGTAAATTGGGGTGGGGGGTCGAAAAGGAAAATTGAACAAGAAATGAAAACGGTAAAAAAGGGGGACATAAAGAAGGATAACAAGGATGAAAAAAGAGCGTCAAACGGGGAGAGGAGGACTTACACCCGCCCAGCATGGCCAGCTGGACCATGCTCATGATCTCTCCGCCCTCGATGCCCAAGCAGGTAAAGCCGAGGATTTCCTTTGTGTCGGCGTCGACGACGGCCTTCATGAAGCCCTTTGTCTCGTCCATCTCGAGCGCGCGGGCGACGTAGGACATGGGCATTTTGGCGACCTTGATGTTGCGCGGCGGGTGGAGGGCGCGGGCTTCCTTCTCGGTCATACCGACGCGGCCGAGTTGCGGGTCGATGAAGACGGTGTAGGGCACGAGGCGGCCCTGGATGGATGCCCTTTCGCCGCTGGTCGCGTGGGTGACGAGGTTGTGGCGCAGGACGCGGAAGTCGTCGTAGCTGACGTGCGTTTGCTGGATGCCGCCCTTGATGTCGCCCAGGGCCCAGACATCCGGGGCCGTGGTCGCGAGGTGCTCGTCGACCTTGATGAAGCCGTGGGCGTCAACCTCGATGCCCGCGCTCGCCAGGCCCAAGTCCGGCGTGTTGGGCGTGCGGCCCGCGGCGACCAGCACGTGCGAGCACAGCAGCGACTTGGGCGTGCCGTTGTCCTGGGTCAGCGACAGCACGATCTGGCCCAGCGTCACGTTCGACACCTCCTTGACCGTCGCGCCCGTGTACACGTCGATGCCCGCCCCGGTGAAGATGCTGCGGATTTCGTCCGCCACGTCCGCGTCTTCCTTGGGCAGAAGCTGCTCCGCCCGCTGGATCAGGCTGACCCGCGCGCCGAACCGCTTCATTATCTGCGCGAACTCGCACCCGACCGCGCCCCCGCCGACCACTGCAAGGTGGCGGGGAACCTCGCTCAGCTCCATGATGGTCGTCGAATTGAGCAAGCCCTCGGTCTTGTCGGCGTTGCGGGCGTGCAAGGCCGCGGGCGAACACCCGGCGTTGATGAAGATCTGGTCGCCCGTGAGGGTGAGCGGGGTGGGGGCATCCTTGTTGTCATGCTCGACGACCTCGAGCGTCTTCGGCCCCGTAAACCGGGCCTTGCCCATGATGAGGTCGAGGTTCTCGGCGTTCTTGATGCGGCCCTCGCTGCCACTCCGGAAGCTATCCACAATATCGCGCTTGCGTTTGCGCACCGTCTCCATGTTCAGCACGAGCGACGACCGCTTGAACTGCACGCCGTAGCTCTGCGCCCGGCACGCCAGGTGCGCGATGCGCGCGCTGGCCACCATGGTCTTGGTCGGCGTGCAGCCCTCGTTGATGCACGTCCCGCCCACATGCGTCGATTCCACCAGTGCCGTCCGCCGGCCCGCTTTGGCAAACGCCAGCGCCAGCGGCCCTCCTCCCTGGCCCGAACCAACGATGATGGCCTCGTAATGGCTCGTCATGGTCGTCGTCGTCGTGATGCTCCGCCTGCTCTCAATACTCCCTGGATGCCGCACGCTCGGCACCGGCGGAGCAGGTGCAGTGTGGGGAAGGCTGTAGCCGATGGTGATAATGATCTTACGAGCTCGCCAGGCCGTCGTCACGAGCAATTTCATCAACACAGGAAACGCCTATGGTTTCTCTAGAACTCGTATCCGTCGATATCGGCGCGAAGGTGTTGTCTGACCATCTCGGACAATTGAAGATATCCCAAAGTTTCCCCCAAGCTTTTCATCGACAATGCAATATGCTTAGTCACCGCCATGCTTGTGTCATCGCATCCAGTGAGCCGCTGCCTGCATTCGGAAAGCTTCCTGGTTTCTGTCTGAAGAGAGAAAGATAGTGGGCATGGCTGGGGAGAGGCAAATTGCGGCCCAAAGGGTGCCTGGAGAGGCCACTCCTGCCATTCACTGCCCCTCTATCAAAAAGGATGAGAGAAATAAATATATGGGATGCATCGAGTCGACTATTATTTCTCGAAGCAACAACCATGAACATTCTGAGAATAGTTGAGGAAGAAAAGTATCGATTGCTTGATATGGAGCTACATAGAATGAGATTTCCAATTTGCGGCCAAGGGGAAGAAAGTATAGACGTAGCATCTCAACTCCCGCTTGCCAAACATATCATCCGTCCATCAACTGATTACACAGGACTTTTCCCTTCGCTTCTTGATTCAATTTGCCCATTACATACCTCTTCTCCTCCTGAGACCGCCCTGCGTGGCACCAATTCCTTTCAAGCCGTGTCCTCCATGATGTGATCCCCATTCAGCCCATTTGCTGCCGCCATGTCGCTGTTCATGATCTGCTCCTGGATACCCGGGACGCCAGTCTCGCCTGCGAGCTGGTCCGGTTGGTCCTTCCAGAGGCCGTCATGGTGGACTTTCATAGCTGTGGTTGTTTTCCATTAGCACGCTTTAACTCACGGAAAGACAACGGGGGGCAAGGAAGGACTAAAGGACTCACTCGTTGGAAAGGGGTACCAAGAACTCCAGTCCTCCAACATGAACACCTCGACGGTACCTGGGTTGGACTTGGGGTCGCTGCTGGTAGGATTGGGCGCCGGCACCGTCTTCTTGAGCTGGCCTTGTGGGCCGGGCGCCCGTCTGAGATTCTTCAACTTCGCAAATACCTTCAGTTGAGCTGCCATGGCCACCTCCACCATCGGACGTCCGAGGCATGCGTGTGGCCCGTATCCGTGGTGGATGTACAGATCTCGCTTACGCGTGGGATCAATCTTGTGAGGGTCGGGGAAGACGCTCTCGTCCAAGCCGGCCGCGATGAAGTCGACGTAGAGTTGGTCGCCAGCTTTGACGGGCACCTTCCGGCCGTTGTCAAGGATGACAGTGTCAACGTTGGCCTTGCGAAGCAGCCCAAACGCCGCCGGTGCCAGGCGATTCGCCTCAAGCGCATATCCCTTGAGTTTCTCAAAGTCAGCAGGATCCGTTGACCAAGCACATCGTTGGATCTCTGGCCAGTGCTCCTTGTATTCGTCCGATAAATAAACATCCAACATCTGAATGAAATGTTGAGCCTGGGTGGCAACAGCAGCGGCAGCGGTGGGGATAATGGTCGATACAACCTCCTCAACAGACTTGCCTCCTTCGAAGAGGCGCTTCAGAAGCATGGCCCCATAGTCTCCGAGCAGCTCCCCAGCAGTTCCCACAGAGAACAGGTCGCGGACATGGAGTATTCCACCAACTTTGACCGCCTCGCAAACGATCTTGACAAGCTTCGACAGTTGATCATTCGCCGTCTTTGCACTAGCGCGCAATTTGAAAGAGCTTGCGGTATCGAGATCCAGGAAGACGTAGGCAAACTCGATGGACAACGCGAGGTAGAGTTGATCGACCTCGACTCCGACCGGGTTCAAATCTCCCGGCTTCTTAAGCGGCAAATGAAACATGCGGGCGACGAATATAGCATGCGACGGATTGCCGATGTCGCGGCAGGCGTCGAGCTGGTACCATTCTCCTCGCAGTCGTTCAGAGCGGGCAACCACAAGCTGCGTGGTCAAGTCTTCGTAGAATTTCTGGACCTGTGCAAGACCGTTTACCGGGCAGTAGAGGGCTTCCTTCACTTCCTCACGCTGTGTAGCGTTGGCATCGCTATCCCCGCTCAGCATGTAATCTTGATGAGTGAGGTAGAAAGTGTGTGGGCCCCATGGGACGCCAAAAGAAGCCTTGTCCCCGAGAACGCCTGTGACAGCCTTCCATGATCGAATCGAAGTTGGTACCCCGACGTAAGTCGGTCGGTCGAAGTTGTAGTCCTTTTCCTTACCCAGCTTGGTCAAGATCTTGCGGTTCTCTTCAGGCACGGTCAACGGAAACATGGCATAGACTGAATTTCCACGGTAGTAAAGTGGTAGGGCTCGCATCAGCAAGGTGTAGAAGCAGCCGCCTTGTGCGACTGTGGGGTCCGACTTGACTTGAGACCAACCCCAGTTGGTCAGGTTCGCAGGTGTATAGTCGACGGTATAGAATCGATCTCCTCTGGTCAGGGCGACGGCGTCTGCCAGAATAGTCCGAGAGATGGTATATCCGGGACATAGACCGGATCCAGGCTCCAATGGATCCTTTGCGTCCTCGGCAACTATACCAGGGTAGAGCTCGACGTAGTCGGGGTGCTCATAGAGAGCCTTCAAGGAACGCGCGACTTCCGTATTCTTGGTGATGTCGTCAAAGGTCTTGTGAGGCTCCAGCTTGAAGAATTTCCGGAACTCGTTGAGCGTCGCCACGTTCCAGGCTCGCGCTTGCTGGATGCCCAAGACATCGATCAATTTCATCACGAGGGGTACGTTCCTAGGCCCGAACGCGCAAGCGACGTCTTCGGTGGCTTCGGTCAGGATCTTGATGAGATCTTCATCCCGGAAGGTTCCTCGCTGTGTGCGTTTGTACCTGCCCGAGTCCAGTTCCCACTGAGCAGGGTCAGGGCCGCGGTCGTCCAGCCACTTCTTGAGCTTCGGCAACAGCTCCCACTCAGTGACTGTGGCGACATCTCTGCCAGGAAACAGAGACTGATACAAGTCATTGGTCCATTTCTCATCTTTGATGCTAATGGCCGAGTGCCACCTGTATACCAAATTGAACTCCACGCTGACCTGATTCCCCACCCCTGAAGGGATGCCGGCGCTGTCAAATACATCGGAAAAGTTCTTTCGCGGATCCAGCGTCCAGGTCGAGTTTGAGCGATTGAGATTCAGAATCGTCCGGACGTAGTCGTTCAAGATTATGTTGACGTAGAGGCCGCACGTCACTAGTCTGGCCGTCTGAAACAGGTCGTTATCGAGCTTAGTAATGGCCGCTGTGTCTTGCTCGTTCTTGGGCAATTTGAAGCGACCTCCCTCGTTGATTTCCTTCAGCTGCATGGCAACGTAGTTGTGGAAGCGGTTGAAGCAAACAACAATGGCAGAAACGCCTGGCGGAAAGCCGAGAATGCGTTTCTCGCAGAAGCTATCTGGCTTCAAGAGACCATCCTTAAAGGTCCTGATTTGGTTCTGCTCTTCCTGGCTACTTCCATAAAGAGGCGCAAGGTCCAAATAGGAAGATGTCTTGACTGTGGAATAATCAGTTTCATCGGTGTGGAAACAGTCGTGGATGATTATAGTTGCAAGGTAGAACAGCATGCTAGAGATCTTGTTCGGGTGTTCTCTAGGCTCTTCACCCCGGGCGAATATAGCGTCGAAGATGACACCAGGATCGGGCAGCACCCCCGGCTTGAGTGTCTGAGGAGTGACAGTCCTCGCGTAAGATGACCCAGCCTTGCCAAGATGCGGGTACATGATGTTGTTGTTGGAGCCATCAGCTGTGCGATATTTGAACTCGTCCCCCTGGTATGACAGGGGAGGATGCTCCAAGTTCTCCCAGAGCAACTTGATGAATTGGTTAGTCAAGTCATCTAGAGACTTGGACCCGGGAGGCAGCGAAGCTGCCAATTGGAGAATCTTCTCCATCTGCGGATAGACCGGATTAGACATGATACAAGGCATTCATTCCTAGGACTGCTCACTTGATACTGACGATCATCGACAAGGCCGCCATCGAACAGCGTCGTATCGACCAAGGAACCAAGGAGTCCGAGGTTCTCGCCGATACGAGGTGCTTGAGACGCGACGTCGGCAAGCACTCTGGCCAGCAGAGGTCGTGACTGTACTGTGGCGCCATTGATAACGGAACTGGTGGAATCAGTACTCGAACCAGCAATGGTTTCAAAGAAACTTTTGATAGTCGTGCTGATTCTGTATCCTGCGTGATCGTCGCCGGAGCCGGGTGGAAGATCGCGCGAGCCGTCCATTGCGTCGAGAGAAGTTGAAGAAAGCTTTCTTTTGCGCGCCATCGTGACTGGAAGAGGCCTCAGCTATATAGGCGAGCCCCCGTAAGGCGTCGAAGGAGCACAGGCTGCAAAGACTGGAGTAATGTCCGGATACGGCAGAAGCGAGTGATGTGTCGCAGTGGAAGAGAAGGCAGCAAATTCAGTAGTACTCGTAAACGAAAGGCCCAGGAGTCTCGCAAAGCTCTCTTGGACGAATGGGACGGAGGGCTGAGCATCGAGCTGAGGCTCCCAGGCCCACAATACCAGCAGGGGCTCATGGGGGGCCGAGAGCTCGTGGTCTGCAATAGCGTTGCCCTTATTGGCGACGGCCTCTGGGTGGCCTCCTCAAACGATGATGGTTACCTTCAGCCCATGGACCCCCGGTTCGTCGACCAGCCTCGGCAACACGCAGTGGCGCCTTCTGGTATCTTTAGAGACATTCGAGTGGAGACCAGTCAGAAAGTAGCCACGAGAGGACGGGAGTTGGGACAGTAAGCAAAGGATAAGCCCGAAGGAAGAGTATATGAACCATCGCGGATAGGAGTCAGTTGTGTTTGGCATTACTCTCTCGCTGGCCTTGGTGGAGGAAATCATCCACGAAAGCTGCTCGAGCACCATCACCTCCAGCTCATGAAATGAACAAGCCTAATGACGAATACGCGTACTGGACATGGCCCATGCGAACAGCCCCGCTGCCAATTTGGTTAAAACCGCTGCAAGTCCAAGGGGCCATCCGGGGGGACTGATAGGAGCCGCTGTCTAACTAACCTTAAGCACACGCACGTCAACCGGGGGCGCTCGCAACACCAAAGATTCAAGGTTTCCCGTGGTTCTCTTTGGTTGAAGTTTCCAATGACGACCAGACGATGCACGGCATTGTTGTCTGCCTTACCTCGTGCAGCACAGATTATATGTATGACTCTGTATCTCCTCAGTTTTCGAAATAGAATCTTCCTCCGTTCCGCGTGTAACCCGCCACCCCCGGCTGTTTTGACGATAGAGAACACCGGGTTGCCGACTCGGGGCCACCCACACGAACAATAGGCGTCGTAACTAGGTGGCTGCGTCACACCACAATGGGTGATGTGGAGTTCATCTTCAGCCAGCCTCACCGTTGCTTATGTGACAAAGAAAATGTAGGTCTCGGAGTCCAGAACTGCACCGACCCAAATCCGCATAATCAAATGGAGAGCCATGGAGACAACGTGTGACACCTGAGAATACCCAAGGTCCACGTCTGGAATGTGCTTTAGACTGCTGCAAAACGACAAAAGCAGGAACCAGAAAGCGCCAATTGAGCGGAGCCAGCCTCGCCACGGAAATAATGCAGGAGAGATCCTTTGAGAATTTTCCAGGGATGGGGTCAGAGAGCAGGAGGACTCCTTCAAAACAAACCTTTGTATGGTAGCATCAACGAAGGTCTCGGCTTCTTGCTCCTCTTTGATAGCAATACAATAGCGTTATTAGAACCCAAGGACTCGAGAGCCACCTGCTGCAAAAGGCGTCGAGTTGCCCATGCAGTTTGAAGGCAGCATACATATCAGCTGCTGGCCTCAGCCCCGGGAGGACAATGCAAAGGCAGCTGCAGGTGCAGACCTGTGGCCGCACAGTATGCCGCCACGTGAAACAGAAGTGAAAGATGGTGTTCTACACCGGTTACAAGATCGACCATGTGAGTGCTGCTATGGTGTGAAAAGGACCTAAGGGCAAGTCGTGCAAGATTCGATGCAGTAGGAAACTGCTCTGCAGTAATGAGTTGAGGCAATGATGTGGCATGGTTCTGATCAGACCGACCCCCCTATGGAAGACACAAAGCAATATTCCAACCACCGAGCCACCAACCAACTAATAGAGAAAGAGCTAACATAACCTCGTACTCGATACAGATCAACAAACCATCAAGCACCCCAGCAGCCATCTGAAAAATCAGAGAAATAGGAAGGTGACTTGTCAGACACTGTCATTTGATTGCCGAAGCCAGGCTCATCAGCATCCAATAGAATCACGCCAAGATTTCTGCCTTGGCATTACTTCGCACACGAGTTTTTGATGGACCTTTTCAACATCATCGACCGCAGACTGCGTTGTAGTTCGTTTCCACGATATCTGAAGTAATCCCAGAAAATACAGTACCGCCAGGATGTCGAAGCGAGGGTATGTGGCTGAGAACCATCTATAGGCTCCTCTTTTGACGTTGAGGATGCTCAAATATATGGTTGATCTTTCGCTGTTGAAGAAGAATGTACTGACATGTTCAACACAGTCGCGGTGGTGCCTCTGGCAACAAGCTCAAGATGACTCTCGGTCTCCCTGTGTATGTGCATCCCGATTCCCGAATTTCAGACCTCGGATTACCCCTCCAATCTTCCCGCTTGAGAGATGACGGCGTCGCAGTCTACATAGACAAAATGTTGCGGTCTGCTTTTGAAATATCCACATATTTTCTCATCGACAACGTTTTTGTTCGAATTGGCTTGAGATTATTGAGAGGTTACTGATGGAAGACAACAGAGGAGCCGTCATGTCATGCGCAGATAACTCGGGTGCACGAAATCTCTACATCATCTCCGTTAAGGGAATTGGTGCTCGACTGAACAGATTACCCGCCGCCGGTGTGGGAGATATGGTCATGGCCACTGTGAAGAAGGGAAAGCCTGAGTTGAGGAAAAAAGGTATGTCGGATAGACCCTACGAGCCTGATCGACCCAAGGGCTAACGTTTCATTCAGTCATGCCCGCAGTCGTAGTCCGACAATCGAAACCCTGGAGACGGCCGGACGGTATCTACCTGTACTTCGAAGACAACGCTGGTGTCATTGTGAATCCCAAGGGCGAAATGAAGGGCAGTGCGATCACAGGACCGGTGGGCAAGGAGGCTGCTGAACTGTGGCCCAGAATTGCAAGCAACAGCGGTGTTGTGATGTGAAGAGACAGGGTGTCGAGCATACGAATAACTTTCCGCACTGTCGGGAGGGTTTAGACGACTTTTCTGGGGCACGATGATGAGTAGAAGAAGCCCTTCTACTGTCGGTGAAAATCGAGATGAGACTTCAAACTACTTGGGCCATTAGCGATGGACCACGAACGATGAAACCGCAAATCCAGACAGTTGCTGGTCGGGGGCCGAGAATCAGACAGTCTACTCCGTACCCTGCATAGAATTCTGTCACCCATGTGCTTGTCTGCGCATCAATGGCAACACAAATGATATCGCCAAATCCCAAAAAATTAAAGTTCTTCTGCCCTAAGGGCTGAGATAGGGCTGGTCAAACATGCGTTTGTAAACGCTCACACGTGGCTTCGACACTGCCCACCCCGTTAGATGAGGAGGCATTCGTGGCCGATCTAGTCATTAATTGCCTCAACTCGTATCTGCAGAGGGTGTCGCCCATTAATGTCGCGTGGCAGGTGAAATGAGGAGCCCTAATTCAAGGTACCGAGACTCGCAGATTCTCTTCGCACGTGGCGAGCAAATCATGTCGTCCTAGTCACTGTCGGGCCACCCTGGGGCTCGTATACGAGTATTGCTCATCTAGACAACAGGGACCAAATCCCTGTCTACCTAGGTAGGTTCGGGCCAGGCGCGTTGACTTTTGCACATGCATTCTCAAGAATGTATTTTCGTACCAAAAGTATGATTTTCGAACTGGATTGAAGACTGCTTGCTGCCTAGCTTCATTGATATTTTGCTCTCAGCAGAATCATGCCTTGAGCCAGCGTTCAAGTTGTTGATGAAGGCGGCAGCATCCATATGGATCAGCCCAGCTTTCACCAAAAAGGGCAGGAGCAGTTGCGGCTCGGCCTGATCATAAGGACCAACTCAACAATGCCCCATGTTTTCAGCGTGGCTGGCTTAGGCATCAAGGTTTGGAAGTCTCCGGTGGCTTGATGTGTGAAAGGCACCTCCTAGGTATCTTTCGGGGACCAGCTGCAGCTCTGAAACGAACTGGATGGTTCGACACAAAGCCAAAGAGATTGGTTGGTACGCCGGAGCCGCTCCCTTCTGCTCAGCTGCGTCTTGTCCGTCGGTTCGGCTTGACAGTTTGAGAGGGCTCAAAATTCGCAGGCGACGAGGGCTTGACTGGCGCACACTCATGAGAGCTTCGACTTGACCCCTCCTTCTCCCTCCAGCGATGCCTTTTGGTGGCTTGCTTTGAAGAGAGGCTAACTTGGACAGGTCTTTCCAACCCCACCGACTGGGCCAGCATCATTCTCGACTCGTCCCTCAGCCTGAAGCCGCTGATTGCAACAACGGGTGCCATTTCCAAGTCCCCTTTTCCAGTTCCTCAACCTTCCTATTGCGGCTAAGACGTCCTCCTCTACACACTATCAAAGACACAGTCAAAGAAACACCTACCTAAGCAGGTCAGACTTTGGCTGTTATCTCGAATCGAAGCCGATCACGAAGGAGGAATTTGCGATCGGCGAGGATCTGGAGGAGCTAAGCGAGAAGCAAAAATGGTCAACCTTTGAGCGCATTCGAAGCCCACACTAACGGGACGCGCAGTGGGGATAGAACCGTCCAGATTTCTGTCACAAGCGAGCAGCTCCAGCAGCTCATGGTGTCCACCCAGACCAGCGTCCCTCGTGGAATCCAGGAAAGTTTGACAAAGTTAGCTGCTTGCTGGGGCTTCAAGTCATGGATCTCGTTGGCCCCAACCCCGCGTCTGCAGAGCTGGTTGCAGTCTATCCCAACAGCAGCAAAACCCATGCGCCCGATATGGATGGGCAGACTGTAGGTGCAGCATGGTCGATGAGCCGATGCCATTAACCTGGTCCATGCTTGTGGTTTACAAACAGGGAACTGAAGTGCGCCAGGCATCTCGAGCCTCAGCCCATGCAATTTACCTTTCTTGCCTCCAGAAGGTCAGTCCACGGTCGAATGAGCGTCACCCTACGAACGACGCAGCTATTGGTGACAGCACTTTGACAAAATCCTTACCAAAAAGCACTGAGGGCGTAGGGACCTTCCAGGATAACGCCAGCATTCCACCCAGTCTGCTGAGTCGTCATAAACCCCGCCGTACAGCTTGTAGTTGTCCACTCCGAGGGGCTGGGTCTTGCCTTTAGCACACCGTCAGGCTCCGAATTTGGTATGCGCTGTTAGCCAATGGAGCTTTTCTACCCCAGAACACTCAATCTTGCTTTAGACAACCAAGCCAGAGGATGAAGGCGCAGTGTCAGCCGCAGTAGCATTGCAGCACAGTCCCAAATTTTGAACTGAGGTTTATTTACCTAGGTATTCCTCTGGCCATCCCCAAGATGACATCAACACGGGCAGCATCAGAAGCGATGGCCTGATATCGATCTTGAGGCTCACCGCCAAACACTGCGCCATTTGGCCTAACAGAGAAGAACGAGAGTAATCAGTGAGGGTCTGAGAGACTACTTGTCGAAGGGGCTCAAATCGGCTTCTGCAGGGACTACGAGGGAGACCCAAGGGCTTTCAAACTCAAGTGTTCTGGCTCAGTCCAATCACAACCATCACTACACTCGACGGATCGAACATGTCTTCAGCGGTTACCCCTTTTAGTCCCACCTGTGGGAATTTCGTCTGTCCGACATGCAGCCACGAGGCCTTCAGCTGGACTTGGCATGCGCTTCGCAACAAACTTCCCCGGCGGCTTTCTGTCTTGCCCTCGAGCTCCATGGTTATTGTGGCCTGCCACGCTTGACAGGGCTGCAGGTGGCCCATGCGCTCCGAAATCTATTCGTCTTTTGGAGAGTACCCACCATTGCAGCATCATGCATCATGCTGCATATCCAGTCATCTTTCTCTAGCGTCAGGCTGATGCTCTATGCGCTCATCTCATCCGGCCAGATTTTGATCCCATCAGACTGGTTCCCAAACACGAGAAATTACCTCCTTCTGGCATCCGGTGGGGGCCATCCATCCCCGGACCCAAAGAACTTTGAAAGTCAGCCTGGAGATCCCCTGCTTCGTCCCAACATTGTGACCGACCAAAGAAAGACCATGCGACCTTCTCTTCCGGACTTCAGAGTTTTGGCTCACAGCCTCTAAGATTTCCGACGATGGCACTTACTATGCTGTCGAAGCTCAATCTCGGCGGGCGAATTGTGCTCCGTCAGCCCGACGCCTTCCAAAGTGATTCGATTCTAACCTGATCTCATGTTCTAGTTTCCCACAAGTCATTTCTCAAGCAGGTGGGAGGGGTGAGAAAAAAACCCTTCCCAAGGTGCTCCTAGTCACATTAGGCCAAGCCCATGGAGTGGCATCTGCACGGCGACCCGCGGGTAGTCTCTTGATTCCCTCCACCTGTGAGCAGTGGCAGCCACTGAACAGTTTGGGTTTGTTTCTGGTCTGTGGTCTGCTGGCTCCCTGAGGCCGACAAGACCAATCGTTGTTGGTATGGCCACCTTCTGCTACCACTTCCGCAGGTGCTCGTCTTTTCCCAGCCGAACGGTTTCCCAAGTCCAATAGCCCAGACAAACATCCATGGGAAATGCCGCCAGCAATCGAGGCTGAGTCGCTGGTTTCCTATTGCCCGATTCTTTTCCTGAACTGCAGCTCCACGCGATGCAGTAGCTTTGGACACCGAAATGTATGCATGTTGCGACCAAGAGTCCCATTCCGAGCCTCGATTTCGTACTTACTGGCAATGACATCTCGTGGCCAACTCAAATTTCTCCTTTCCTCCCCTCCATCACGCCTTGGGTCCGGCACCGCGTCTATTATGTGACACCCCATATCTGTTGTCCCTGCTGACAATCGGGTCCGCGAATGACGGACCTTAAACAAAACCTTTGTCATACGAGCGACCACTTCATTCTTGTTGCCTTCCTATTCTTTGATACTATTTTCCCTGCTCCTTGGATTTGTCCAGAGCCACCGTCTTGTGGGGACGACTCTACTCTCTTCAGCCTTGCCCATTAATACGAGAACATTTCCCGTAGTCAGTCACAGACTTTTCGACTGCGCGTTTCGCGTATTGTTTGAACGGAGAGGTTATCACGCTGGATTCTGGCTCTGACTGTTACAGAACATCCAGAATACCTTCCCGATCAAGTTCACGCGTCTTTGCGTCCTTGACCGGTTAGGGCGAGGATTGTTTGGCGAGGGCAGAGACTCGGAAGCCTTACGAAAGCTGCAACATACTCACAGAATCTCTCAATCTGGCTCGAAGAATGGCTGGACCTGGAGGTGGTCCACCGCGTAAGAGCCACACAAAATCGAGAAAGGGCTGCAAAACCTGCAAAAGGCGCCACATTCGCTGTGATGAAACCTTTCCACAATGTCGAAATTGCACAAAACACAATTGTCGCTGCGACTATATGGACCTACACGCGGCAGGAGAAGAACCTGTCAAGGGGACCAAGCCTCCAGATCTCTTGATGTCACCTGAACTACAACGTCGTATCGATAACTGGCGATTGACCGGCGAGTCTCAATTGCCGGAGTTACAAGTCCCTGACAGGATATATTGGACCCGGTTTTCAACAATCGATCTGCGTCTTGTCCACCACATCACGACACTATCGACCGACATGTACAACCGGGGATACAGCCCATGCACGGCTTGGGGCTCCAGAATGCCTTCGTAAGGCAGATTGTATCCTTCGGGATGGCTTCTAGCTAATCCTCCGACAGGCTCATCTCGGCGGCTTTAGCACATGACTTCGTTATGAGTGCGTTGCTTGCACTGTCAGCATCGCATCTGGCGTGGCAGACGAAGAACGCAGACACGGAAAATTTAGCGTACCACCATAGAGGAGTCGCTCTCAAAGGTCTCCATCAAGCAATCGGAGCGTTCTCGAGGGAAAATTCCGAAGCTATCCTTGCTGCCTCGATTCTTCTCTCGTGGCAATCCACGGAATGGTAAAGTCGATGTTCCACACCCCAACAATAGCTGACAATTGGCAGGCGCGGCTGGGCATCACTACAAAAGGGAGTATCGACGGTACGTCAAATGGGGAAACGAGACCAGTGGAGCTACTGACATCTTGCAGGTCTTGGGTGCGATGAGGATGTGGATACATGAATCAGAGCTGGCAAGGTATCTGGAGAGCCAGAGGTCTATAGCAAGGGCAATAACACCTGCCACCCCCACAATGCCGCATGGCCCGGTGTCGATCCCTCATGAAGACCTTCGCAGGATAGAACAAATTACCACGGCTCTTCATAGTTTGAGACTGCGACTCTCGGCGAACGAAGAGCTTCAAGAACATACGGGGCACTTAATTGACTACCTGCAGGAACTACAACGAGACTTGCCAATCCAAGCGCCAGACCACGTATTCAGCCGATTACAGCCACTGCGGGACATGATCTTCTGGCTGCCGTCCTTGATCCTGCGCAGCACCGAGTCTGATCTGGGCCCATTAGCTTTGCTCTCGCATCTTTACGCCAGCGCAATTGCCGTTGAGCTATTGTTGCCGGATCTTGGTGGCGCCTATCTGGGAAGCATGTCCGTCGCACCACTGGAGAAGGTCCATGACATACTGGTGACACGGCGGGCGACCCAGCCCCAAGATACAAACATCCAAATGGCGTTGTCTCTAATGGATGTGCCAATACAAATCATGACTGCGTACGGACTGAGGCAGAGACATAGCAGCCAAGGAAGCCAGGGCGTCGAAGGCTATCACTATTCTCCTCACGGGAGCCCCTATCCGGGCCCTCGCATGCCCATTGCTACTTCCACCTCAGACACTCCCACGGCACCCATCTATCCCAACTCGCCCCTGCACGCGCCAGGCAGTCTGTCGATACCCGGATCGGCATATTTTCAAGCGGCTTTAGGGCCTGGAGAACCCCGGCGAGAATCGTCGATATCATCGGCATCTTCGCTAGGACGTGCTCACTCGATGAGTAGTGATCACCGGAGTCTCGCGTCAAGCAGTCCACACGCAATGGGTATGGTGTATGGATCTCCGGCCACGCAACACCCGCGAAGCAGTCACGAGCTACCAGGGTCGAGAATGGACTACTTTGGGCAGATTCAAGCACCGTACCATCAATACGGCAGCATGAACATGAATACTCGGTTCGTCGCTCCTTCACAACTCTGGACTTGACGGACATCTTTCGACTGAGTGTTCTTCTTCCCCACAGGACTCCTCCGGCCACAATGTCTCCGAATATGCAACAAGTGCAGCAAGAAAAGGGGAAAGAGCGGCAACAATGACAGCGGACCGAAGGGGGTTGTTGACGATGACGTGAGACTGGACATATTTAAGAATGGTGTAATCCACGATGACTAGCGAGGCGTTGGGTCAGGCCAGGCCGGGAACCAATGGAGGACGAGAAAGCCTACGAAGCGAAAGTGGATGAGTTTAACACTGGAAGTAATGGTTGGGAAAATACCTTCTATGGCGGGAAAAGTCTGAAACAGGGTTGGTGCTGGGTGGTCATCTGGGGCAGAGAGGAGAGGGAGGCTCTCTTTACCTTGACGCATATGGTGCATGTGGATCGTTCCATTATGGAAGATTGTTGCGCTCTTGAGGCGTTATCTGCAGGTCGGGGTATTCACGACGAGGTCTGATCATGCCTTGCTGGCCCGACGCTGCGAGGAATGGACTTGGTTTGCAGGGATGACTATCATCTATGCTGCACGGAGGCTCTTTCATTTCAGCTTTCCTTTGGTTGGATTTGTGTTGACAAGTATCTCTATCAGTGACGGCTTGCCAACTAAGCTGTCCCTTTGTGGTTCATTGGCGATTTCGACGTATACCCACCGGTACAATACATGCCAAGTTGAAGTCTGAGCAAATGTTCTTTTGCGTTCATTATAGGAAGCACCTGCTCGTACTCGTGTATATTTTGGGAACACCGGGCGCATCGGTCCATCCACCGCACGCTGCGAAATCGTATGACTCATGCAGACTGTGGAGATCCCCGAAATATATATTACATATGCTCGTTTAGGAAGCCAAGGGTGTGGAATCGAGGTCGTGCGGGAATAGATGTGGCACCCAGGTTATACTCGGTCTGTGGCGTGAACCTCCAGCACCTGGCGTCCGAGACAGGAAGTACGAGCTCGTCATGCGAGGAAGGAGCCTACACGCGTCGATATCGAGCTTTCATCGCTGTGTTGCATATCGACTAGCATCAGCCATCATGGTTTGGCGGTCTAAGTCCCACCCGAACTGCATCTCTCCGCCTGGAACACGAAGGCCCACGTGGCGATGGTAGAAGCTAGAATGATAGAGTGAAAGTCTACAGCGCCATAAGCAGAAAATATTAGGACCTGGCATACATACCTAGTACAACTAGGTCCAGAATGACCTTGCACAAGAAAGCTTCCCAGAATTACAAAGCATTGGCATCGCATTGAGTAGCCGACTCTGGATACGTTTTCCACCCGTTCTGCTGGACATGGGGCCACTTGTATACCGTCTGACTCACGGGGATGGACTGGAAGAGGACAAATCAAGGGCAGGATGGACATCGTGTTCAGAGCATGCAAGGCGCGGGTAGGAAAAAGAAGTAAGAGGATGGAGGCCCAACGTCCGCCGTGCATGATCAAGGCGACGGACGCTGTTATGTACGGAGGGGAGGTAGATACGACTTGCAAAGACCAATGAAAACGATCCCGTCGTTTGCTTCTAACTGTCTAGGCCGGTTACCTACTGGGTAGGCACGGTAGGTAAGCATCACTAGCAGCTGCCCTGGGTACCCGGGCATGATGGCCGATCACTTCAGTTAAACGAGGTGGCAACTTGCAAGTAAGACGCCCACTGGGACCGTGCCACGGCGAGGGAAACGGTTAGGAAACTGACTCCTCTTCTAGGGCAAAACGATGCAGGATACGAGGAGATACAAGGACTTCTGCAAGGGGCAGCATCGAAAAAGGTCCGTCACTGGCAGAGCCTCGTTGAGAAACCTATCACGGGGCGAATGGGAGCCACTCCAAACCCACCAGCCTAGTGAGTCTCATCAAACCGTTGCAAACCTATCCCACTTTCCCCGTACTTGGTACTTGTAGGTGCCCTAGTCCCAAAGGTGACCGACCTGCTGGAGCGCAGTTTGACCGTGCACACTCACCCCCACTTCGGATATTATTGACGTATACCGAGTAGACAAATTTCGTGCGCCTCCAGCTTCCGACTGATCCATCGAATCGACGGTGCAGGCCTGAAGCCCTACGAGCAGCACCCGGTCCTTGTGCTCGTCAGCAACTCCTATGGCTGAAGATGCAGCCAGTGGTGGTTGGAGCACCATCGAGTCCGACGAGGTAAGCCCAACACAACGTCCACACCCGTCTTGGACGCGGTGCTCAAACTTGTCCAGTCACTGTACTCAAAGTGGGATCGCTGACAAGCTGGCGTTGATTCAGGGCGTCTTCACCTCTCTGATCGAACAGCTGGGGGTCAAGGATGTGCAGGTTGAAGAACTATTCTCACTCAACGCAGATTGGATCCGAGCTTTGAGGTAACAAGGAAGATCGACCCAAGCCCTCCCTGTCCCTCCTCCTCTGCCTTTCGAACCTGTCGTCTTCGTTCGAAGTCAGCTCTGCTGACACCGGAACGCGGTTTGCGAACAGTCCTGTATACGGGGTCATCTTCCTCTTCAAATGGATCGGCCATGGATCGGAAAATAAAGGGGCGCCTCAAGATGGCTCGTACGATCGGGCCGCAGTCGAGGACGAGGGACTCTTCTTCGCCGCCCAGACGATACAGAACGCCTGTGGCACGCAGGCGGTCCTCTCGGTGGTTTTGAACAATGACCAGTCTGTTGATGCCTCTTCGTCAGGCGCAGATGCGTCGGGAGCAAGACTTGACATTGGGCCTGCGCTACAAGAGTTTAAAGACTTCACGACGGGCTTTGACGCAGCGCTACGGGGAGAGTCGCTCTCAAACTCGGAAATGATACGGACTGTCCACAACAGCTTCGCGAAATCTAGTCCCTTTGTTGACGAGACTCTGCACGACCCCCGCGCGGCGACGTCGGAGGACGTGTTTCACTTCATCGCTTACACATGCTATCATGGCAAATTGTACGAACTCGACGGGCTCCAGCCCTATCCTATCTCTCACGGTGACTGCACCCCCGACGAATTCCCGGACAAGATAATGACTGTATTGCAACGGAGGATTTCAAGATATCCCGAAGACGAGATCCGGTTCAACCTCATGGTCGTGTGTCAGGACCAGAGGATCAAGTGGCAGCAACTCCAGGACCCCGGCATGCTTGCAGAGGAGGAACGAAAGCGCGAAAAGTGGGACTTTGAAAATACGCTCCGGCGACACAACTTTGTTGGATTCACGGAAGAAGTGCTCAAGACGGTGGTCAAGATGAAGATTCAAGATGGCTCCTATGATGCCTGGATAGAGCAGGGCAAACAGGCGACTGAGAAGAGAGTGAGGGAGAAAATGGGCAAGGCTGGTGCCTGAACTCAGTGGCCGTCTACCATGCATCAGTCAATGGGTTCAAACAACAGTGATTCTTCACAATAGGCAGCCCTCGTCGACGGCCTGCTTGGCATGGAAATACTGGCTCAGCGACGGAGAGTGCGAGAGACAAAAAGCTAGATATGAATGTCAACTACAAAACATCAATGCCTCACGCCGTATTTCATCCGTTCCTGATCGCCGACTCACGTTGCCACGCATCTATGCACGTAGTGACTAGTGACACGCGAGCAGTACCCGGCAGGGGCTGCATGCTGCATACCTACAAAGGAGAGAAAATTCTGTGTCTTGGATGCCACCAAAAAAGAGCATTGGCTCTGATTGGCTGGGCAGGACTAGTGTCAAGCGCGTGCATTGATTGGCTCGCCCGTGAAATACTAAGTGCTCATCAGCCATCCTGGCCGCCTCCCACACGCCCCCCAATACAACAGCACCGCTGCCGGACCTCAAAACGCTTTCATTCCATTCAGATTGTTCTTGTTTTGAATAGTCGCTTCATTCATCTCGATCGCCGCGGCGACCTATTGTCTGAGTCACTTGTTCCCAGCCGCTATTTTCTGGTGACACTCTGCCTTTATTCCCCCTGCCATCCGCCCCGAACCATCCTTTTTCACCAATCCATCCGCCGTTCATTACACCAACGACTTCATTTCTCCCTCATCATCTAGATGGAAAGTGATTTTGCGCTTCTCTGTCGAGTCTGCTCCTGTTTTGCACCATGTCAGCCGCTGAAATCGACACTCTGTGGCGCTCCGCCTTTGGCGAATCAGCTATCCGACCTCTGCCCTACAGTTCGGAAGAGCTGGGCGACGATGGATGGCGACCACTGACAGATCCGCAAAACTTCATCATGAATCTGGCCAATCTCAATCATCAACAACTCTACGCAGCAAGTGCCAATAATCAGCTCGCCATGATCGATGCCCAGAATGAATACCTGGAGCTCGAGCGCCACATGGCCAACATCAAGGGCAAGGAAACCATCAAAAATCCGCAAGATTTCCCAGCCCCAGATGTCTTTGAGGAGCGGAAAGAAGCTGCGTTGTACGGCTACAAGTATGATGCTAATCGCCCAGCGCTTCTTCATGCCGGCATCCCTGGTCTCAGATCCGCCGATGATCTGACCGAGAGAGAGAAACATGACGTGCGCTTGTTTCAGGAGCCCTTCGAGCAAGGGGGCTTTGTGCCCAAGGAGAGAGAGTACAGAGCCAAAGTTGCCAAAGCCAAAGATCCGAAGAACGTCGACGGGTGGATCCCCATCGACAAAGACGGCAAGCGGCTCATCCCACGTCAACAGACTCATCATGAAGAATACAACATCACATATGTTAAGCGCAATGTGGATGAAAATGGTGAGATCATTCGACCTCAGTCTCCCGAAAGCAGCGAAGTCCCCGGAGAAACTCCAGACAAGGCTGTCAACAAACGTTTGACCAGAACACGGTTTGATGGCAAGAAGTTCCCACCCACACGAGACGTGTCGGAGGCTCCGTCGGCAGCTTCCACCCCCGGCAAAAAGCGCGCGAGCCCCCCAGGAGCCGACACTCGAGAAGATACGCCTAATTCTAAACGCCGCAAGATCCTTCTCACCGTAAATGGGGAACAGCCCAAGCCCAAGCACCCCAATCAATATACCAAAGCAAAGGAAAGAGAGATGGCAGCCACTCATACCACTCCCGCTCAGGCCAGTGCCAAACCTGTAACCTCGTCGTCATCATCATCGTCGAAGCCCACATGGCGGGAGCTGTCGCCAATGTCTAGACGCACGCACAAGTGGACAGATCCGGAGTTGATCGAGTCGATCAAAGAAGACCACACGTGGCTGCATGATGACCCCAAGAGGGCGGAAGAATGGAAACACAAGTTGCTGAACGGCATCAATCCCGTCCGAAGCCTCAGCATGTTACTGAAATGGAACTATTGGCAAGTGACCAACCAAGCGAAGAGACCGCGGGCGAAGAAGAACCCAGCCGAGCAAGACGATTCAGTCAAGGAAATTGAGGATTCCAGCGAGTCTCAAAAGCCGAGACGAAGGGTCGCCAAGCCGAAAAAGGCGGATGGAAGTGGGAGGTCGACACCAGCCACGACGCCGGCGCCAGACTTTGTCAACGGCGTGGCAGCACAGGCTCCGAAACCTGGGCTGAACACACGAGCAGCGAAGTCCTCCAGGAGACCGGCCGGTGCGGACGGTGCCGAATTCAGAGACAAGATTTTCGTGCAAGACAAGCGCAATGGGACAAGCGGTGCAAAGCAACCAGGCACAGAGACGGAACCACCATCGAGAGGAGACGACGAGGTAGCAATGGACAGAAATGGCAAAGATCTCAATGGCAAAGAACCATCGCACAGAAGGCCAAGCATGAAGAGAGAGGAGAGCGATTCGACGATTGTGATCAACAGCAAGAGTAGCGCACCGTCGACGAGGCGATCGCTACGGAGTGCAAGGAGATCCAGTGGTTAAGTCTGGCCCATCGCAGGACACATCCTTTGGTTTGGCAACGGCACGAAATGTATATATGCCACTGTAGGTAGGCAGTCACCAGATCAAGGCCGGTAATGCTCTCGGCAGATGCTCGACACAGAATTTATTGAGTAAAAATTGATGTGATAGTCTGCACACACCTGATAATGGGGACCTCGTGTTCTGTAAGACGGGGGGCATACTCGGTACTATACTGAGTATGAGGTAGGGAGCGATTTTCACTCGACAGGGCAAAAGAAGCCGCGAGGCTGAACTGCCGGCAAGGCTGGGCAGCCTGCCAATTTCAAGGCCAGCTCAGCTGCGCCCCCGTGAGTCTTGGCAGGAGCGACACTGCGCTTCGGACATTTCACTACTTCGCAGACCTACTTCTTCCTTTCTTTCACTTCCTGCAAGCAGTATCGACGAGTCATCGTGTGAACTTGGTCCCTTCATCTCTGCGTTTATTGATCTTCTGCGTATCACCAGAATTCTTATCGCTCATCTAGCGACCTCGAGACCCGTTCAAGCCAATACTTCCCTGGCTGCACCAACTCTGAATATACGCCCCAGTCTATCCTCCATCCGCCTCCGTCATGACCAAGAAGAAGCGCCATCATCCCGATGTCGAAGAGGTCCTTGCGCGGCCATGGTGCTACTACTGCGAGCGCGACTTCGATGATCTCAAGATTTTGATCAACCACCAGAAAGCGAAGCACTTCAAATGCGAAAGATGTGGCCGAAGATTGAACACCGCAGGGGGGCTCAGTGTCCACATGAGTCAAGTCCATAAGGAGAACCTCACGGCTGTCGACAATGCCCTTCCGAACCGAGCGGGTCTAGATATCGAAATATTTGGCATGGAAGGAATTCCCGAAGATATCATCCAACAACATAATCAGCGAGTCTTGACCAGCTTTCATCAAGCTCAAGCTGATCGACAGGCAGCTACTGGTAACAATGCTGCAAATGCTCAGCATCCCAATGCCCCAAAGAAACCCAAGATCGAGTCTGTCTCCGACATCAAGAAGCGCCTGGCGGAACACAAAGCTGCCAAACTGGCTGCTGAGCAAGGCGACGGAACAAGCAGTGGAGGTGCCACCCCTAACACCCCTGCAGCTACTGTGGTCCAAGCCCAGCCTCAGGTACACACGGTGAGTCGTCTGGATCATATAGCGTGCCACACTTGCTCATTCTCAATACAGGCAGCGTCTCCGACCTACCCCGGATATCAACAATCATATGCAGCGCCACCTACGAATGGTTCGTACAGTCAGTCCCCTTCTTTCGCTCAACCCCCAGCCACTTTATCTGCTCCATATCAGGCGTCGCCTATTTATCCTCCTGCCGGGTCTCCGCCTGCTGTCGAAGGCTACGGCCAGCATTCGGCAACTCCACAGCCTGGGCAACCAGGATACGGCCAGATCCCATATTCCCAACCACCATACGCTCAACCACCACAGCCGTCCTTTCAGCCGCCACAACCATCACCGGTGGGCTATCCTCCTCAGCCGAGTTTTTCGCCTCCACAGTATCAGTCACCTTATCCCGGTCAACCCTACCCTGCCCAGCCCGCTGGACCTCCGCGTCCATTTGCGTCGGGATCTCCAGTCCCAGGTTTTCCGCAACCACCCACAGCTCTTGCACAACGCTCTCATTCGCCTGCTACAAACGGTAATTTTCCGGCACCAGTGCGTACTGGCAGTGTAAGTCTACCTAGTGCTCCAGGATTGCCACAGAGGCCCGCTTTTGGTGCTCCACCAGTCAATGCTTTCCAATTTCAACAAATGCATCAAGGTCAGATCCCTGCTCCACAATCCCATAACATTGTGCCGCAGTTTGCTCCTGGACAAGCTCCAGGAAGCACAAATATGCAAGTTCCGCCACAGATTCCTGTCCCGAACCAAGCTTCTTTGGTTGAAGCTCAAGACGCCTCGTCCCTCGATGACCTGATCGCGAGTGCTTCTAAACAAGCTGACGCCGATGCCGCTGCGGCCGCAGAGGCTGCCGCCAAACCCGCCATCCCACCAGCAGTCACTTCTCTGGCCACCACTAAAGACGAAGCCGGCGAGGACAAAGGCGGACCAAAGAAAGACAAGGAGAAGGAGAAACCAAAAGCAACCAGGTTGGTCTACTCTGATAACGAGACAAGTCCTGAAGAGAAGATGGCCATGTTGCCAAAGTACGCATTTACTCCTGCACAGAAAACAGTTGTGGTCTGAACGGGACTGTTCGATTTATTTGCGCCAAGCATCTATGGGTAGCGGTCCGCCGTCCGGACTCCCTCGTCAAGGGTCATTTTGTCGATGCGAACGGGTTTCGGAGCAAGTCTTTCTAGCTAAGTCTTGCAGTTGGCGTCCAGCTTCATTCGCGTTGTCCTTTCATTATCCCTTGCCAAATCACTGGCGGCGAGCGCAAGACCAGATGGTACAAGCAGATTAGGCGTCTTTGGTGAGTGAAAACGGGACAAGTCAGAATCCAGCGATGGGTGAGGTGGAGGACCACTGACACGGACTTCCAACATATTTCTTTTGGTCTTGAACGAGGACAGCGGGTGGCTGGCTGTTCGCACACCATGACATGCGGCTTGATGCTTTTCCACCGACCGACCTGAAAAGAGACACGAAGGAGCGGCTGTTGTTTTGACAAAAGGCAGCATTTAGCATATTCTCGATACCAAGGCTGCTTGCTTGTAAGTGCAAGACAGGTTGGTGTCTCCCTCAGTCTATCTTTCAAATACCAGTCTTGTTGACCACAACCTGATCTCTTTTCCACCGGTTTCGGGTGGTTCTCTGCCCAAGTGCTATGCTACTACTACTATATAACCGCTGAAATCACGCCATGCTATGGAGGTGGAGGTGGAGGGGGAGGGGGCATGAGTGCCTCAGCTATCTACTCTAGACTATCTACGCTACACAAGGCAAGGAAAAGGGGCGAAGGAAATGATCACGCTCTCGAGTAAAAGAAAAAAAAGGGGCGGGGGGCAAGGTTTTCCCATCTGATTGCTGCTCGGTTTGGTGCGGTGCGCGTGGATGTCGTCCGTCTCAAGATAGCTCTCCCTCAACTCAGCCTCATCCGTCCTTCAGCCCCATGGCATGCGTGCAACGACCTCGTTTTATTTCCGGCACATTTGAAGCGGGCTTCAGACTCGCATCTCCTCTGCCTTGGTTCCCTTGCTCGATGGTCCAAATCAGGAACGTCTTGAGACAGTCCAGACTGCCCCCGATGCGTCGCCTTTCACTTCCAAAGCTCGACTAGCTCATCTTTCAATTCTCGCAACTTTGTAATGTCGTTTCATGTCATGTCATGTCATGTCATGTCATGTCATGGCCACCTTGCATCTTTGTTTTCTTTCTTTTTTCCTCCTCTCATTTTGGACACCCGCTCGTTCATTTGGCGACTGGCGGATTCCAAATTTTCCTAACTAGACTCCAGCTTGAAATTTTCATTGTTTTGGTTTCTCGCCCCTCCCCTTGGTAATTGACTCCATCGTTTCATGTCGGTCTCCGTCATCATGTCGACTTATTTTTCGCTCGTGCTAACCCCCCCGCCGTAATAGATTCAACTGGTGTTTGATCTGAATGGCGATTCAGCTCGGCCTCTCCCTCGTTCTCCATGGACAGCTCAACGTAAATTTGCTAAGCGAGACGGGGTTGGTAGTTGCCTCGTCTTCGTTCCCTTCTTCATCTTCATGCTGCCATCTTTTTTTTAGGGGTATTCGCGGGGAAGAATGGGTCGGATGGGTTCCCACAAAATCCGCCAGAAGATCCCGGGCCTGTCGCCATTCTCTTTCTTCATCCAGAACCAACACCGTAGCCATCCCTCAACTTGGCGCGGACCGGGACCGCCAACCCGGCAATGAAGCCCTCGAACCTCTCCTGACCGATCAAGCCCGCGAGGCCGTTGATAACTCTCGAAAAGCTGGCGCGCACGTCGGTGTATTCCTGTCCCTGCCTGCCTTTCAGGGGAAACTGTCCGATCGTTGAAAAGTACAGTGCCAGACTGGATTCCATGGCCTGAGGATTCTTTTCCAGAATGTTGTTGAACCCCATAAACGCCGAGGCCTTCTCGTGCGACGTGCTAATTTTGGACATGGACTGCAAGAAAGGTTCCGCAAACTCGGACAAGAAAGGCGCGAGATTGTCCGGACACGGCAGACCGAGTCTTCCCAAAGCGGTTGCGGCATTCTCACTTGCTGCATCAGGAACTTCTTCGTTCGTGATCAGTGACAGCAGGCCGCGATACAGTGGTTCGATCAGAGGCGAGATTGTGCTGGTCGGTGCTCTCGCCGCAATTTCGCCCATGCTCCAGCATACGTTCGCGAGGACGTTGAAGCCATTTTCGGAGTCTGTGTCCGGGATGGCGTCGAGGTCCAGTTGTCTGATCAGAATCGGAATGAGTTTGGGCAGGTAGGGATCCAAGCTGGGGTAGAGGGCGATCGCGCAGTCACCCAATACGGCGTACGCGGACTGACGCACATCCGTGGTGGCGTCTTCCATGCAGAAAGCCAATAGATCAAAGAACTGAGAGTGCGAGCTCTGTACGAGCGGCGCCGACTTTTCCGGAGAAATAGCTTGGATGATCGCACTAAGAAGATCCAATGCTGTCACAACGAAGTCCTTGTCTGGTTGATCGACGGTCTGACCGCTCATAAAGGCCATGTGCTGTTGGATGTTTGCGTAAATGAGTTTGATGCACCGGTCGAAGATAGGAGGTGCGAACTGTGCGAACATGTCGCCGTAGGCCATGGCAATATACCCTAAGCAGCCGAGCAAAGGGAACATTTCTCGGGAATCGTCTGAAATTTTGTTCCATCGCTCAATCAACACGGGCATGAGGAGGCTGACGAGTTCCGGTTCGGCTATCTGCGAGCCAACATTATCGGCGAGTGTTTGCAGGCAGTCGTATAGGATGTACATATTTTTATCCTTGTACCGTCTGAAGCACTCTGTGAATTGCCGTAAAATAGGTTCGACATACGGCTTCAACTTGTCCCCAGATTTCTCCTCAAGAGATGCGAAGGAACTAGCTCCAGCTTCTTGGACTTTCTTGTTCGGGTCGAGCATGCGCTGAAGGAGGCCCTCCATCATGGGTTCAAAGTAGCGCTGTTTGTCAGCCTGGGAATCCAGACGAGCAGCCCACTCGGAGTAACGTGCCAGGCACCAACAAGTAATTTGACGAACAACGGGTTCCTCGTCTGACAAGAGAGAGATGAGGAAGGGAACGAGCTCGGGCAGATGAGGAGAGACAACGTCCATGCATCCTTCGGCGATGGCGCCAAGAGCGAGGACTGCGGCTTCGCGTTTCGGCCAGAGAGTGTGTGAAAGGTTTTCCTTGAGGTACGGCAGAATGATGTTGAAGACGGCCGAGTGGTAGTTGACTGCGAACACATCCAGCGCTGCGGCAGAGCATTTTCGCAAACTCCACGCGTTCTCAGGGTCCTCATCATCCCATTCATCTTCGTCTTCGTCTTCCTCCTCGACTTCCCCGTCGCTCAGATCGTTCTTAGTTTGTGATGTCCCATTGGCTTGTGGCGTTCCAGGCTGACTCTCCTCCTTCTCGGCTGAAACAACGCCTCTTCCCGCCTTGGTCTGGGCAAATTGAGGTTTGATGTCTTCCGCACGATCCTCGACGTCGGCATTATCTTCTTCACCGCCGAGTCTGAAGGCGTCCTCTTCCCCGTATACCATTCCCGCAAGGAGCACAGGAATGATCTTTTCCAGATAAGGTCCCATTTGATCTCGCAATTGATCTTGTTCCCCAACGCTCAACCAGAACTCGGCCGCATCCAATGCAAGATCCGCATGATCCGCGGACTGTTGTTGGGTAAGAATATAATTGACCAGTCCCTCGAGATGAGGCGCCAGCATGTCTGGTCTCGAATCCACCAGTTGTACAAGTGACTGGCAAACTATGCGTCTGACTTGCACATCCGGATCCGAAGCGAGTTGGAAAATAGTCTGCAGATAGACGTCCAGGGCCGAGAAAAGCACCTGGGACTTTTGCGGAATGAACGATTTCAAAGTACTGAGCGCAAATACCCTGATTTTAGGGTTTGGGTGAACAGCGAATTCGAGCAGTTTCGGCACAATGACACTCATGGGTCGTTGACCTTGGAATTCCTTGTCGAGCAATTTTCGGTTATCCTCGCAAACCTTCGCCAGAGCGCCCATCGCACCTTCCTGCGTTTCTCCCGTGACATTTCCGCTGGTGTTACCCACGAGCGCCAGCAGCTCTTGCAGGATCTCCGGCCATTGCAGCAGACCGCCCTGTTGGACCGTCTCAGTGATTACAGTGCCAGCGAAGCTGCGCAACTGCGAATTCTGGTCGCGAAGAACGTTGAGTGTGGCGGCCTTGATGTATGCCAACTGATCCTTTGGAATTTGGCTATAGAACAGTTTTATGTGGTTCTTGAGGTTGACGGCTGCAGCATAGCGGATGAGGAAGAGACTGGGTGCGGCGAGATTCAGAGTTTGGCCCAGCTGCGGCGTGCTGAAGATGTAGGTAAGGTAATTGACATAATCCTTATTGTTGCGCGCATTCATGAGCATCTGTTTGTTTTGGACGATGTCCTGGTCAGCGACTTTGCTTTTCTGGAAACTTTTGAGAATTGTTCCTCCTGCAGACCCGCGCGGGGATTTTCTACCCCAGATTTCTTTTTATTTTTTGGTTTCGGGCAGAAGACAGGAGACAGGAAGTCAAGACGCACCACCTCAGCTTCTTTTTGTTTGCCTCTGTCATGACCACTCAAGGAATTCTTCAGGTATTCCGACAACTGTCTCAACCCATCCTCCTCCGGTTGCCACGTCATGACGGGCACCGTTGCCCGCAGGCTCTTCGATCTGGAGAAAAGTTGTCCAACGTCGTGGTTTGGGGGGAGGGTATAAAAGAAACAGGAAGAGGACAGGAAAGCTTTGACGTTTCTGCTTGTCTGAGGTGGAGTGTTAGGTGCAATGAGACCAGGGGCAAAAATGAGGTAGGTTGTTGATTGTTCGTGAGTTTAGCCGACTCGTTTCCTCAAACCTGCGAACAAAAGCAAGTCAGTTGAAACTTTCCCACCGACCTCGGCGCCGAGACTTCGTGATACGGTACCTACACATCAAACACGCCGAGACAGACCGCACACTTGACCACCAACAATGTTTTCACACAAGACGACAGGACGGTGGTGGAGGAGAATTTTGGACAAGTTGCGTGGAGAGCAGTTTTGGGGGGATGAAACTCTGCGGCATGGCGAGATCCTAGATCCCAGATCATCTTTAGCGCCCCCTCTTCCCCGCCAATCATATTCTATACGATGGCGTGACTAATCCGGAACGGATTTACAATAGGCCGATATAGAACCGTTCTTGGGCTGGATAAAGGCACATCAGGGACAAGGGGCCTAGGGATCGGGGGGGTAGAGTGGTGCCTTGTTGGACGGACAGGCCGTGTGTTACAGAACACTCATCGGACGTGTACGGTATACTTTCTGGGGCACAAGGCTGAACTTATGGTCGTGTTCTGTCTGCTGTCTCATGTCCACACCATCTTCTTAAGGGAGTGGCCTAGCTGCTCAAAATATCCAGTCCGTTTCTTCGCTTCCTCCAACGAGATGATGGCCGACTGCTCCATAAGGTCATTTCCTTGCTGTTCACCATGCTCTGTGCCTCCAGCGAGCGCCCGTCGAATCTCCCCTGCAACATTCTCAGCTATGGCGGATGGTGCCTCCGCTTGCGGTCCAGCAACTCCATCCGTGTCTGTCGTTGCTGCTGGGATCACCTTCATGGCCAGTTTTCTCGACGTTGCGGAACTGGGACTAAGCCACGATAGGATGCCCGTCCCTCCGTCGATGCGATTCTCCGACTCGTCTGTCTTGGGAGCGACATAGTTTTGCAAGGATCTCGTGTTCGTCCGGATGGTGCTTCCTTTTCCAGGCTGATATATTACCACAACCCCAGCATTGAGCTCTTCCTTCATCTGGCGTTCACTGAAAGTAGACGTGATATACGTTCCATACCGGATCTTCGAGACAGATCGCAGGTCAACTTTCTCAAAAGAGGCAAGTTTTTCAGTCGTCCAGTCAAACCTACAACAGTACAGAGCAGCATCTGTCAAGAGAACAACCGCCTCTTCGAACGGCATAGTCCGCAGGGTGTTCTCGTGTGCTGGCGTTAGCATTGTCCAGCCGTGGATGAGATCTTCATCCTTCTCCTGTATTACTTGTCTTGCACAACTCTCAATTGCAGTTTGCCGAATCTGATCAATTGATATCCCTGGGTCTTTGCTCATCATGCTGCTCTCGAAATCTTCAAACACTCTCCATGACACATTGCCGAGGAGGAGATCGATAACCGCCTGGGAGAAATAGTCATTGACCATGTTGTTGTAATATCGGGTCAAGGTCAGGCTGAAATCATTCAAGGCCCCACGGTAATTGCGCCGACGCGTTCGCGTGAAATCCCCCTTTAGCGCTGCTGTGGATGCATACAGCCGCGATATGGCGTCCCCATTATCAGCCCATAAGGTGTTGAACCAGGTGGTGGTCTCGTCATGCAGCAAGTCGATCTCAAATCCTTCCCTGGCCAGGTCTTTCTGCAACATGTACTGTCCAAAGGCACTTTGAGCGACGTTGGTGCGGTCTAAGCAATCCATACAATTCGTGCGAAGTATTCCTGATTGGGTTGTCTCGACGCCGTTTTTGGAGATCACAGTCTCGCCGTAATCCTTGATAGTATCTTCGAGCTTGTCAACAAGCCTCGAGACGTTCTCGAACTTCATGCCGCGGCACTCGGCGTGGAAATCGAACCATTCGTACCGGACGTCTTCAAGTTGACTAGATTCCTGCAGGGAGCGGACCTTTTCCTCGAAGGCCTTGCCGATAATATTTTCAGGACCATGCTTATCCACCAGGCAGACAACTTGGACACCGCCATATCGTCGCCTGAGATCCTGAAAATGTTTCGTCATGGCTGCATCATTTTTGGATGGCGACTGATGGAGCATCGGTGTCGGCTTTAACGAGTAAGGGGACTGCGAGAAGTAAAGGGGAATCGATGCACGTATCTGTACGAAAGATCGTATTCGTCGAGAACGAGACCAGTCTGGAGCAGACAGGATCTGTTCAGTCTCGACGGCATTGGCACAGTTGCCTTCATCATCGAGGCCACGCCGAAGATAGCGAAGGCCCGATCGCTTGACTGATCGTCGTGAAATCAGCGTGAGGAGGTACGACTGCATGTCAGTACTTATACTGGCAAGGCCCTGTTTAGCATGGTTTATGGCATGCTGCACCCCTGCTGATTGCTCGTCATGCTCAGCGTCCACTACACAAGCTGACTGTGGATTCTCCGATCCTTCTCTTGTGACTGTGAAAGTTCTTTGCCCTACAAAACCTTGTATTATGGGCATTATAAACGAATCTTGCCTGACGTCCATGAATGGACCTAGTAAACGTCGGTTCCAAAAATACTGTTTCATTTAGAATCCTGTTTGTTCTGCTGGATTCTCGGTTTGAACTTACCATAGGATCAGAAGTTCCGCGCGAAGGAGCAGCTGCATTTCCCTCCATGAGCGCGAGTCTTCGTGTCAGATCAAAGTCGTAGGAGAAGAAATAACTGCCCGAGGTCAATATCATCTTTGTCCTCCTGAGAATCTTTGGAGTTGCCTCTGTGATGGACGTGTCGTTCAGTAAGTGCTCGGCATCTTTGCTATGGCTTTGTTCTTGTGCTTCAATGTCGTTACCGGCTTCAGGTTGATTTGCTGACACAGCCGCGTCTGCTCCAGGACTCGGGCTTGTCCCCGGCTTCACGTTCTCGCTTCTGTCCGAAGGGCCAGACGTCGTACCCGAGTCCTTGCCTCCACCCCAGCCCTGCTTGGAAAACCATTGGGCCGCAAACCGTCCATACTGGCCTCGGTTGGCAATGACATCTCTGGCGATGCTGGTGGGGTTTGATATTTTCTGCTGAGGGACCTTGTGCTCTATGGGAGTCTGAGGCTCTTCCTGGTCCTGCGAATTCGTATTGGTGTCTTCTGTATCGGTCACATCGGTGTCTGTATCAGTCGTGGACGAGGCTGACGTTTGAGACTCAACGGCGGTTGTGATGGCGAGGGATGCTTCTTTCTGGGAAGACAGCGGGAGAATCGCCACATCCGTAACGACATAGATCGGTTTCCCAAATACCTGCGCAACCTGCTCCCGTTGAGTGATTGCGATAAGGAAAGAAGACGAGGCAATCGAGAGTAAACCTACGATTAGTCTAAGCGACCCAGGTTTTATCCGCGGAAGTCAGGGAGTACTTACCGACTATGCCGTGAGCTTCCAAAGCAGCTGGCTTCTTTGATGATGCATCTAGCTTCTGAAGCTCTTTGACCTGTCGGCTCTTGTAGTCGATGTAGAGCGTTTTTGGGTGCTCTGCAGGACCAGAAGGCTGAAGGACGACGCCATCAACGGCTGCCCATATCAGCAGTCTGCGGACAAGGCCCATTTTGGCTCCACGAGAGAGTGGGAGGTCCTGTGCAGCATAACAACCTCTTACCCGTGAGCAGATTCGCCCGAGGACAGGTTAGATCTGTGCCAGTGGTCTAAAGAAAGTGGTCGTTCTTGAGAGAGGGAATGTAAGCGATGAAGCGCCGTCTCACAAAATGTCCCAAACCACTGACATCATTGGCGTCATATCCAGTTCCGCCAAATAATTTGGTAGAAACAGGACAAGCCTTACCATTAATACCAGGTTTTGATGCGAGCGTGAATCAATCTACATTATCTCCGACAGAGGTGAGTATGAAAAAGACTTCTGGCAGGCAGTAGAACATAGGATATTCTTTTGTAGCTTTGAATTTGGCCGCTCTATTGGGAGTGATGCATTTTCATCGTTCATCGTTATCGTTCCGCTTTCTGCGGTCCCAATCTGGGTCCTCAACCGGTCCCATCCTGTGACGCTTCGGCAATCATGAAGCAAAATCTATACCCTCTACCCTTGCCGCCAACAAATCCCGTGAATCCACCTTCACTCCAACGTTTGCCTTGACATCAGGCGCCATGGCGTCCCCGCCCAGTGGCATAATCCCGTCAGGAGCGACCAGAGGGCTACCTGGGACTGCATCCAGCGGCGCTTCGTGTAGCGCGGGCTTCTTGTGCGACGCCAACTTGCCGGCCTTCTTCTTCTCCAATGCACTCTTTACCCAGTCTGCGACTTCCTTGTCCGCAGTGTCTGGGGTCGTATCATTTGAGAAGGCGGATTCGATGCCGGCCTCGGCTGCTTGCTCGCCTTCCTCGTCTTCAGAAATTGTGGGTGGCTTCAGAAGTGGTGCGAGCCAAGCATGTCGGAGCAGCATAGCGTAAGTTGGTCTGAGTCTGGGAATTTTGTTCAGGCAACCCCGTACAAAATCAATGGCCGCTTCGGAGAACTGATCAGCGGGAAGATCTGGTGGTTCCCCGTCCACAATGGCCTACGGAAAATGTTAGCAATTGCTTCCGATGAGACGTGCGCAAGGACTTACACTGAGCTGGCTGAATATGTTGTCGTAGGTTTCTGGGGGATAAGGGTATCGGCCGAGTGCGCATTCGATGATGGTGAGACCGAGAGACCAGATATCGGACTGAACGCTATAGGTGCCTCCGCCGGCGCCGACTTGAGCCATACCTCCTCCTGATATGCGTTCCGGCGCCATGTAGCTCTGGCACCCGATGTTTGTTTTAGCTATTGAAGCCACCAGATTGCCACTGACACCAAAATCGCAAATCTTGACTTGACCACGCGTGTTTACCAGTATATTCGTCGGTTTGACATCTCGATGGATGATATTGTGTTCGTCCTTCAGGCATTTGAGCCCCATAACCGTCGACAAGGTGATTTTCTTGAGGACTCCTTCCGGAACCCCATCACCGTATAACTTGTCCACAGAGCCGCCGTCCATGTATTCTATGCAGATATAAACCGAACCTTCTTGGAAAAATGCGCCGTAAAAATCGATAATGAAAGGTGATACACATCGGTGTAAAATGTCCAACTCCATGATGATGGCAGCAAACTTCGAGTCCTCGAGCTCGAGGCGGATTTCTTTCATGGCCATGACAAGCCCGCTTGTCCCTTTTGTGTCCGATTGTGTGTCTATCTCTTCATCAACTTTGGGGACCGAGGCTGATGATTGCCGAACCATATTGCCTCGCAAACCCAAACCCGGGCGCCTCATCTTTGGCCGAGCGTGCCTAACTTTGAAAACGGTCCCATAGTTGCCCTTGCCCAGCTCTGAAAGGGTGTCGACCTCGTCTAGAGAAATTGAAAAGGTACTGCTGTCGGCAAAATCAATCCCACTTCCGTGGATGACCGCTTTGTTGTGGAAATTCAGAGTGCCTTTTTTCGTATCGATGATGTTCGAGAACTTGTTGAACTGGGAGCCGGTGTCTGTCTTGTCCTCCTGCGTTCCAGCTGGGGCAGGCTTGTGCGCATCTGACAATTTCATACCACCTGGCTTCAAACCTCGTTTTGCAGCCAGCCCGCCAACAGGAGGCTTTGCGCCCATCATTCGAGGACTGCCGGTGATTGGCGAGGGTGAGGAACCGAAACTTGGTGCATTCGGTCGTTGCATGCCAGGGGGTAGTCGGAGGTTGGCAGCAGAAGAGTTGGGAGAAGATGGTGGAGCTCCTGTCAAAGCGCCGCCTGCGAAAGCACCAGGCTGTTGGCCTGTAAAACCCCCTGCTTGTGCTTTTGCGAGGGGTGCACCCTGCCGAGATAGGGAGAATGCCTTCATCTTGGCCTGGATATCAGAATTTAACCCGCTCGCACGCGAAGGCAGCGGGCCTGGTCTTCTGGCTGCGTTGACAGGACCCAGCGGGGCGGAGGAGGGGTTCATTGTGGGAGTCGTGCTGTTTCCTGGCGAGCCCAGCGACGGCGCCCTAGAGGGTGACTGCGGAGAAGAAGCTGTCGGCGAAGCCATGAAGGACGAGGTTGACTCTGAAGGTGGCTGTTCAGGAGATTTTGAGGTTTCCGGAGAGGACGGCTGCTGGGGTGATGAGTCCATGGTGACTAAGAAGGTGGTGGTTCCGTACTCGGTGGAGGGGGTGTGCAGGTAATATGTGGTCGTCGTGCGCAGTCGCGCATGGGATGTAGTGTTTCGTCAAGGCGGCATACGATTCGGAAACGGTACCGACAACTAGACGAGACGAGATGAGGCGAGAGCGTGGTTAGAGGTCTGGGCGGTGATTGACAGTCTATGCACCTGATTAGGGACGAGTGAGTAACGGAGTGGTAAGGACCGTCGGAGGGAGAGGCGAGCGAAGGCGAGGAGTGCGAGGTGGTGGTGGAGACCCGGGAGATGAGGCGCAAAGTCGCAATTAATTGATGGAAGCTGTCCCTTGTCTCCCAACTTCTTATTTGACCGGGAAGCAAGATCCTGGATCTGCTGAGCAACCACGGCGTTTTCGGGCTTGTTAGGGGGGGTGGGGGAGTGACAAAGCTCAAATCTTGAGGCAAAGGCCAGGCAGGGCAAACGGAGGAAGCAGCTGAAGACACAGACCAAAAGCGAACACTGCGCTGAGGTTGCAAACTCCTTTTACAGTCAGTGTAGGGTGGGGAGATACCCGAGTATTTGAAGGTCAAATAATCTGAAATAATGATGAGGTGTCTCCAGGCACACAGATCCTGGATGGGAAGCAAAAGATAGAAAAACGCAGACTACGCTCGTAGCGGATATCGAACGTGTCGATCAGCTTCCACGAAGCTCCATACAACACGAGTCTGGTGGATGAGTTGGAGTGGGTGCCGCGTACCGACTACGTGTGAATGATCAATACGTGAGGCTTAGCCAAATGGGTTGAGGCTTGTGCTGCATTAGTTCCGAGGATAAGTGATGCATCAGGTTTTCTTCGGTATCCAGTTACGAAGTATACTGCATGTAGATAGGAGGTGTACAGAGGGCATCTGCACTACGGATTATCCATCAGCTACAGAAGGGTTCAGGTGTGCAGTCAGGGAGCCTCCCGGGTCGTCAATGTGCAGAAGGGGCATGCTACCAGTACCGCTGGGTAGCTGCAGGTCAATTAACTTTCAGGCAGGTAAGCAGACAGCAAATAGGGCACCTCATCCCGACGGGGAGGGGTGGTAGGGTTGGTAGAGGGAGAGACGGGGGCTTGGGTATGGCATTTGATGAAACCTCATGTTCGGTATCCCGGGGTAGCACGGCTTTAACCAGGACGAGCTTAAGGGCGAGGGACCAGGGTTCGTGGCACCGAGAACGGAGGCGTGGTGGTAGCCCCTTGATCGCCCGCATATGGCCCCCTTAAGGGCCCCTCCAGGGCCCCCAACTCCCATATCCGACGTCATTCTACGTCGGCGGATACGTATGAGGCTTTCGCCGACGCCCAACTCTGAGAGATCATAACCTGATAAACGTTGACGCTGCGCCATACAAAATCATGGACAATTACTGGAACAAGCCACAGTGACATAGCCAGAAACCCCACAGTCAGGTGTTTCCTCCTTGACCTAGGTATTAGAGCATAGGATGAAGTCATTGCACATGAATGATATCTGATCGTCGTCTCTTTTTGTTGCCCTATCTGGAGTTTGTCTGTCCATTTCCCACCACCCGCCCGCTCAGGCCTGTATCGGTACAATGATCGGTTGACGGTGCTCGCAGCGCCATATGCTCCTGTCGAGCCACAAGCAACAGTTTCCAGAAACTCCATAAACAGTCAACCAATATCGACATATTAAGCTAATACAAGACACCTCCCAACTTCTATTGCCGAAACGGCGCATGTTCCAGGATTTCAATTCGTTGCCCACTCCACCGTCTCCAGAGCCAGGAGAACAAGTATCAGTGTGGATGGCAGGATCCACACCACGTAGCTCTGAAAGAGGATGTTTGACATGACCGTGGGATACACGTTGTTGGTCTGTGTGATGGCGCTCAGCTGGAGTGCTGACGGTGCCCCGGTAAGGAGAAAAGCGACCACGATGAAGATCTTGTCGTCGACAATGCTGACGGGGACGTATTTGGCGACCAATGCAAGAAAAGGCGCCATCACAATTGTTGGGAACACCATGCGCGCCAGCAGTGAAGCATACAGCAGTCTCCTCTCTTCCCTTGGGTCCGTGATATCTCCTGGTTGATTTTTGGGGACGGTGTTTCTGGCAAGGTTTCCTCCAAGCACCACCAGAATAAGTGGCACCGCGACGGCACCACTTTGTTGCACTGCTCGAGTAGCGGAATTTGCTAAGAACGTCCCCTTGTCGAAGAAGAGATGCTGTAGGTAGGGCACAGATGCCACGACAATGGCAACCAACATGGACCAGAGCGGTGGGTTCATAAACTCCCAAACGCCGGCCAGGAAAGCTCTAATTTTTGCGCCAGTGTACGACAGGGCTTTCTGCACCGGCTTGGGAAGAGAGTCAAAGACCCGCCTCGACCTCGTCCGAATGACATGCCCAATTCTCAAAATGTGATACCGTATCACGTTTCTTCCTCGGTTGATGTGTCCTCTCACGCCCCCGCAGTTTTCATCGTACTTTTTGTTGTCTGGGTATTTCAGCCAGGCAGGGTAGTCGGTATGGTGATGAGGGGCCACCATGCCGTTGGCTGGAGTGGGCATCAGATCCGGTGCCTCGTGGGCGGAGCCATTTAGTTGTCGATTGGGAGAATTCCTCGACGACCTGTTGTGTGGAGTACGGGGGGTTTTGAGACCATCCGACTTCGCGTTCGTGGGCGACTCGGTCCCTATCCGCGTCTGGTCATCATCCTCGTCCTCGTAGTCACCGTAATCCTCAAAGTCCTCGCTGGTATCTCGAATCCCATCATAGTTGGGGCTCAGGAGCCGACGGTGTCCTCGGTCATCATCTATATCCTCGCGGAACTCTCCTCGTCCTCGTTCAATACGATCTTCCTTCTTGGTCCCACCTTCTGCTTCCGTGTAGCTATCGGGTGGTGCGAGCAGGACATTGTAACCCCAGCTCCAGCGAAGTAGTTGACCCAATTGCTGGAATATAAGAAGGTAGAGGATTCCCCGGGCTCCAACCTCATCATCGTTGTCATTGGGGACCTTATCCCAATGTAGTCCCTTCAATGTTTTGGATAACGATAAGACCAATGAAATTGGCAGGGAATTGGAGTTGCCAAACACCCCCATAGCAATCAAGAAATTGGCCTGTCTCTTTTTGAACTTCATCACCTTCCCAATAATCCAAGCGCACAGGAAGGATACCAAGGTCTGAACGACAAAGATCACCGGGATGATGGCTAAATCCGCCAGCTTCTCCGCCGTGAGCTGTGACGCCAGCTTGGTGAAGATCAGGCACGGAGTAAACAGCATAACGTTCAGATTGGCCATCAGCTTCTGCCCCTCGGCATCGAAAATGCCCTGTCTTGCCACGATGTATCCCGGTAGACTGACGCAGACCACTTCCAGCACAGCTTCAAAGACGAGGAGGATGAGGTGCCCAAAGTCTGGGTGGCCAGAATGAGGGGCCTTCTTGAGAACCTGCAATGCATCATCGACGAAGGGTATCTGGTCTCGAGCGACCAGCTTGCCGAGAATCTGTCGGTTGTAGAGGGATGTAGGACTCGTAAAGTAGTCGGACAGAGGCATGTTGGTGCTCCCTCTGATCCTCGAGGACCCAGACAAGCAGATTCGGAACCCCAGTGACGCTGGATAAGTTGGAAGGGCTTGATAGAACGGAGGAGGTTCGAGAGGTATTTTTTGGAGATCGTGCAATGCCGAGTTAACCGGTCACCAGAGGCTGCGTCAACCTGATGCAATAGAGGGTGATAAGATAGAGGGTGCAGGCAGAAAACAATCGGGGTTTTGGTTGTGACGAGCTCGAAGGCGACGGGAGGCCGGAGTCGGGAGGAAGAAAAATGTCCCGCGGACCGCACCACAACCGTATGGGGGTATTGAAGACCGCAAAATACAAGGGAAAAGGAATAAACAAAAAGTAAAAGGACACCAGGTAGGAGGAGAAGGCGGTTGCGTGGTTCAAAGAAACAACCAAGGAAAGTTGAAGTTGCGCCATCAACACGACGAGACGAACGGTTGATACGGCGTCACCCAGTCGTGGACTCGTGGCCCATAGACACGATGACAGGTGATTGGGGGCTGATGCTTAATCTCAGCTTCCAAGCGCAACCCCCAGCCACTTTTTCTTGTCTTTTCTGGCCACCAGGGACGGCATCCCCCTTTCATTATTGGTTCAATTATGCCTAGGTATGTGCTACTCCATACGAGATCATAGATGCCATGGATAGAGTTCCTTCGTCGTCATAAAATCAATGCCTCCAACGGCCCACGGTTCGATCTCTGTTGAAATCTCCCTGCAGAGGACAGTGTTATACCCTACGCAGAACAACAGTTGAGAGTGTAGAAGACTCATTTTCCATCTTGGTTAGCAATACGCCTGCATTGTAGCTTCTAAAGGTCAACATATCTCAATTCATTGATAAAAAGGTATCAAAGCATATCCCGAGCTAGAGATGAGACAGTAGCCGCCAGACTCCAGCTGCTTGTCCTTTTGGTTCAGCTCACCCAAGTGTCATCCTGTTCCATGCCCGACGCCAGTAGTTTTCCCTTTAGCCTTGTCCCCATCGTGAACGCTCCCGCCCTTATGGAAGCGCAGATAATGCCTCGCACGCGCCTTGCTTCGGGACCTTCAGTCCTCCTATATCCCGGACAACCTTGATCAAGAAATCCCCAGACCTCCCCGTCGAAGCAGCTCGAAACTCCAAGAGCCCCCCTAAGACTCTTCAACAGAGTCGGTCCCTGTCTCCGCGGTGGTCTCCTGGACATTAGTATGCGACGCTGTATCTCCTTGTTGACCTTGATCTGCGACTGCCTCGGATGCCTCCGCCTTCGCGGCCGCTTCTGTGCGGGCTTCGCCTTCCGCGTTCGCCAACTCCCTTTCCATGCGCCCTTCTTCCTGCGCCTTCGCAACTTCATCATCACCGATGACTTCTTGCTTGATAGCTGCTTCCGAATCGGCGGCGCCAGCGGCAGCGGGTTCCACGGGAACCGCGAGAGCAGTCGCTTGAGTTACTGTGGTTGAATCTTCGGCGTCTGACGTCGCCATTTCTGGAACCGCAGCATTAGGAACATTGGGTGAGTGCTCTTCAGCGTCCGGTGTCGGTGGTGAATCTGGGGGAGTGCGTTGCTGTTGGACAGGTATCGTGGAGACTTCTTCAGTGATTGGGGCGGCTTCAACCTCCTCCGCAGGCGCAGTATTTCCATCTGTCATATCTGCATCCCCCATTTCAACGTCACCATCAGCATTTTCAGCTGATTCATGATGATCGGGCGACTGTAGACCAGAAGCGGCAGCAGAACCATTGACCTGCTGTTCACCATTTGAAGGACTCGGTGTCTGCTGGTCGACCTTATCGTCCAGTTCCTCATCCACATTCATCTCATCTGCTGCTTCGTCCGGTAGACTCGACGCCTGTTGCGGTGTTCCTGTCCCACTCCGTGTTTCCATACCCGAGTCATGGCCTCCCACGTCCATGATATGTCGGTAATTCTGCATGATACGCCGTTTCCGGCTGGCTGATGGGCGACCATTTACTTCCTCCATTTCTTCGTCCTCGCTGTCCGAAAGCTCACCGTTTTTCTGGACATAGCTGTCTGCCTTGCGTTGACTAATGCGTGTGTCAGGGTTCTGGTCTTCGTCTAGATCGTCAAGGGCAGCTTCGTCTTCGTCATTCATGCCTAGGGAATCTCTGGGTACGTCTGTCATTTGCACTGACGGCGCATGAGCGGTCCTCTTCATATTCTCCAGCACTTGACCGAGAATTTTTTCGAGGTATTCTCTCGAATTTGCATTTTCCATGTTCGACGGACGGACGTCCAGTTCGTAGTCAGGAGCGTAGTACTATGAAACGAGAGTTAGGCATGCTCGGCGACTAAAAAGGAAAAGGAAAAGGAAAAGCCTCACCTCATAATAGTCGTTGTACGGAAGATTTGGCTGCATGAACTCGCCCACCAGGCACCCAGTTTCGTAAGCCCACGTTCTTGCGACATTACGCATGGTGTAACCGCCGCCACCAAGGATGAGGGTAGGAAGGTTGAAGGATTTGACAAATCTAACACAATTTGCATGGCCCCTCATGCTGAGGTTGAAACAGCCCAGTCGATCGCCGGAGAGAGAATCGCCTCCACACTGCAGCACCACGGCGGAGGGTTGATAGTACTCCATGGTAGCTCGAATAACCGGCTCGAAAATGCCCTTGTAGGATGAATCATCAATCCCATCTCGAAGAGGGAAATTGACCGCGTAGTATTTGCCCGAGCCCACGCCAATGTCTCTGAGCTCGCCGGTCCCTGGAAAATATTCCCCGTATTTGTGGAAAGACACAGTCATGACCCTGTCGGTGGTATAGAACGCTTCTTCGACGCCGTCACCATGGTGGACATCGGTGTCGATGTAAAGGACTCGCTTATGGAATCTCAGAAGCTCGATGATGCCGAGAACAATGTCGTTGACATAACAAAATCCGCTGGCTTCCGACTTCTTAGCGTGATGCAGCCCGCCAGCCCAGTTGATAGCAATGTCTGCCTTTTGGCGGTTCAATCTAGCAGCGCCTTCCATGGAACCACCAGCGCTGATCCCGCAGAACTCAAAGAGGCCGTCAAAAACCGGACAATCATCACCAACATTATATTTTTGCTGCTCTTTTTGATACGAGTCCATGTTGTCGGGTGTGACTTTTGCGAGGAAGTCGATGTACTCGTCGGTGTGAAACTGGGTCATTTCATACTTGGAAGCAGGCTTTGCGCGGTAGATTTCCATCTTCTTGTACAGGCCATAATTCATCACCAGTGAGTGAGCCAGCCGTATTCTGTGAGGCTTCATGGGATGACCTGATACGTAGGCATAGTTGCCCACGTCGGAGTCGTAAAAATATGCGACCCTTTTCTTGTCCTCGCGCTTGTGCGGTGGATTATCGACGGGCGCGAATGCCATGGCGGGCGTGCGACTGTTGTGGCGTCAAGCAAGAAGGTGGAGGACGATGAATCGAGTAGCGAGGGCGAGGATGGATATGAATATGAATCCACAGACAAAATTGAGCGCTTTTTCAGGTACTCGCAGTCTCTTGCTCCACTCCCTCCGTGCCCTTCTCTCGATAGAGCTCGTCAGTCGGTGGGGGACGACCACAAAGGAGAGCGGGATAATCGTCTCGAGAAGTCAGAGAGGTTGGGACTGGGGAGGCGCAAGACTTCCTTGAACACGGACGCAGGGGCGCAATAGAAAACTTGGAAAAGAGAGAACTGAACAGGTGGGAAGCAGGTGGAAGCACGGTGAGAGGTGAATTATTCCATACTGCGCAAGGCAAAAGGGCCACCAGTGCAGCAGAGCCACCGCAGGCCCATGATTCCGTCTCCAACGATTTGCGGAGGCGCTACAGGTACGAACAGGCTAACCGCTTCAGGATCTGCATATTGAACGCGCAGTTGGTGCTTGCCTTGCAGCTTCACATTTTCACTCTTGAGACCGACAACCACACCATTCCACTTTCTTAGCCTCCCATTAGAGAGTGCTGCGGTATCCCTCCGACTCCAGAAACTCTGAAGGCCTCTAGTATCTTGAATCGGAACTCTTGACTACCTAATACTCAGGCTGTCACCGGTGTGCCGTTCCCCCACTGACTGACTTCCATCTCGATTATCAATCTCGAGTCTGCGACCACTCTCCTTCCTTCCTACCGTTCGCTTTCGACCGTCTTTGCCTTTACTCCTCTCGGCCTACCAGTCGTCATGGATCGATTCAACCGAATGCTCGCCGCAGCACATATGGGTGGCACCCAAGCTGGACAAGACACAAACTTAGTCGACAACTCAGAGACCGTCTACATTTCGTCTCTCGCGCTTCTAAAGATGCTTCGTCATGGCAGGGCGGGTGTTCCGATGGAAGTCATGGGACTCATGCTCGGCGAGTTTGTGGATGATTTCACGGTCAGGGTAGTCGACGTCTTCGCAATGCCGCAGTCAGGAACTTCCGTCAGCGTCGAGTCCGTCGACCCGGTCTTTCAAACAAGGATGATGGATATGTTACGCCAGACAGGTCGACCAGAGGTGGTGGTGGGATGGTACCACTCCCACCCGGGGTTCGGATGCTGGTTGTCCTCCGTCGACATCAACACGCAACAATCGTTCGAACAATTAACTCCCCGCGCCGTTGCTGTTGTCGTCGATCCCATCCAATCCGTCAAGGGCAAAGTCGTCATCGACGCATTCCGGCTTATTAACCCCCAAGCCATCATGATGGGCCAAGAGCCTCGCCAAACCACCTCGAATTTGGGCCATCTGAACAAACCTTCCATCCAAGCACTGATCCACGGTCTGAACCGACATTACTACAGCATCGGAATTCAATACCGCAAGACCGGCTTGGAAGAGAACATGCTCATGAACCTTCACAAGGAAGTCTGGACCGAAGGCCTCGAATTGCCCTCGAGTTTTAACTCGGAACGCAAAAGAAACGAAGAAGGTCTGAAACAACTCGTTCAACTCGCTGAGGGCTACGAGAAACGTGTACGAGAAGAGAACGAGTTGACCGCTGAACAACTCAAGACACGATACGTGGGAAAGGTTGATCCGAAGAAACACATCGAGGATGTTGGGCAGAGGTTGATTGAAGATAACATCGTCGCAGTGAGCAGGCAGATGATCGACAAAGAGGCAAGTGTGGCAAAGAAGCCGGTACAAGCGAACGGCAATGGCGCAAATGGTGCCCATCGAGACGGAACAGGGCAAAATGGAGAGATGGAAGTCGACGAGGAGCTGTGAGCGATGGGCATTGGTGGGGCTGGCGCGGCTTGTAACTTGTATCTATCCGTCAGGGCGTGCATGCACGGCGTTAGGCTACAGAAGAGCAAAGAGTTTACATGTGGTCTTTGAATGACTCTGGGTTTGGGTCTAGGGACAAGATACAAAATAGTACGTGAAGGATCCACAAGAACTGTTACGACGACGGAGTAAATTTATTAATGTTGGCCTCTCCTACCAAAATGCCAGCTTCACCCCTGCCGGGGTGGTGATGGCCTTGGTTGGTCCTAATGTACACGTCTTGCCCTTGGTCTCTGCTTCCTTGAGCAACCTTGACACCAGGGGCCCTGTAGTGTCGATGCCCGGATTCCCATTCATTTCAATGCGGCTCACGTGCGGCATGCACGCGAGGACGTCCCGCAAAAGGTCTCCGCAGAAATCGGTGTAGAAGTCCAGCGAGACCCGATATTTCTCAAACATGGGCAAACTCGGATCAAGCTCGACAAAAACTTTCAGAGTGGTGACTGCGGAGAGCTTGGACAGGCGCTTGGCCAGTAGTTTACCTACACGCCACGTCTTGGGCGGACTTGTCCAGCTTGAGCCGACCACCATTTCCAGTGAAGTCACCATGGCGCGATACATGGGCCGAAGCTCTTGTATGACTGGCGCCGGAGTGAAATCTTGAAGGGGAAAGATGCGAAAGCTCGAAGTGCTGTAAAGAACGTAGGCGGCCTCGCGGTGTGTGCGTTTGTTGGCAAGCATGATACCTATGCGCGAAAACCTCATCCGACCGTTAACGACTCGGTAGCCAGGCTTGCTGAACAAGACTAAGCGGTAGATCTTGTTACGGATCTCTCCTGGGAGGTCGAGGAACGGGAAAGGGTCTCCTTCCAAAGAGACAGTTTCCAGCGACTCCACAACAGACACCAGCTCCGTAGATATGGCCAGATCATGTTTGTCCTTCTTCTTCGAAGCATATCTCAGCTTCGTACGATCTTGAGGGATCGGAAAGGCATTGACGAGACCTTCTTTCCATGATGCCGGCATCGGAGGTCGGGTTCGTAGGGTCGTGAATAAGGATAGAGCGGAAGGTCGATACGCATGTAGTTCACCACTCTCGAGACGACGACTTTCATACACTCATCGTGATGGTCTTTTGGAAGGAGTAAAGGGATGTATCGTTCTTACGGGGCGACTGGAAGATCATCGGCTGGCCTCTCGTGCGCTCTTGAGGAGAACGACAGTTTGATGCAAACTTTTTCTGCCCAGCTAATACAACTCCTCGAACATATGATATGTCTGTGGACGGCGAGTCAAATAATTCTGGGGTGTAAATTCAACTTTCTTTGTGGAAGAAGAAGGAGAGAAGGGAAGAGAAAGAGGAGGAAGAGGAAGAAGAGGAGTAAATGTAGTTTGCGGAGTCGGTTTGCCGCGGTGGAGGCGACTGCAGCGACTGCGGCGACTGCGGTGACTGCGACCGAAAAACGCCAAGGACGAGAAGATGTCGAGGTCGGAGTCGAAAGAATTTCGCCGAGCGACTGCGAGTGCAAGACGCAACCATCATCAGATTTCCCCAATTCACCAACAATCGCCTTCCACCTACGACGGGAGCTGCAGGAATCCTCGAACTCATCGATATCACATGCCCGTTTCTCGCCCTGAGGACATGTCGATTGAGAGATGCTAAGACGTGCAGCCTTGCCTCTGTTGAGGCCCCGATCCGTCCGGCCTCTGATTCCTCAAGGACTGACCCAGATCCCATTGCGATACTACTCCAAAGGAGATCGACCGGCAAAGGACGCAGAGTACAAGATTCCGGGTACCTCAAAAGACTCACCGCAGCCAAAGGAACCCTTGCGAAAAGTCCCTTTTGTTCAACCCTCCCAGACACCAAAGCCTGAGCCTCGCTCAGACTCGGCGCCTACCACTCCATCCCCTCCATCCCCAAAACAGCAGAGTCCTTCTGAACATCCTACATTCGGCTCCGATGCGACTCGAGATCTTGATGATGTCTCAGCATCGGTGGCTCAAGCAAGTAAGAGATCTTTGAAGGATGGAGAGGGACAACAGCGAGACGTCGAGGACGAGCCAGTGGCACCCCGAACAGCAAACGTGGCTGCGGAACAAGAAAATCTCGAAGAACGTGACCAGACAACCCAGGGTCAATCTCAACAACCTCTACCTGATCTGACCAAAGGCATCCCGTCGACCTTGGACGCGGAACTTCGCCAGGCAAGGTCGAAACAGAGCTCCCACGCCCGGAGCCTCAACATCACCGAAGATCCCTCGGAAGAGCTGCCTAGCGGAGCACGTGGACGAGATCGTGGTGATATTCCTCGGGAAGAATATGTCTCTTCCAGTGATCGAAAGAAGAATGCGGCGTTCAGATACATGTACATTATCTTGGGGTTGGGCTCCGTCGGCTTCTCAGTATACCTGGGCCGCAACTGGGCAGACGAAGAGGAGGAGAAGAAACATCCTGATGCCCCCTCGGGATGGGGCTTCAAACCTTTCTACAACAGAGTCACTGCTCGTCTGTCCTCAACCCTGAGCTACTACCGAGATCCCGTCACGACGAAACTCCTGCCAGACGAGGACCCGGACCCCAATTTCCGATATCCCTTTGTCCTTGTCATAAGCTTGGAGGACATGCTCGTGCATTCTGAGTGGACACGTGAAAAGGGTTGGCGGATAGCCAAGCGACCAGGCGTGGACTACTTCATTCGCTACCTCTCGAGCTACTATGAACTTGTCCTCTTCACCAGTCAGCCTATGGCAGTGGTGGAACAGGTGCTTCGAAAGTTGGATCCTTACTCCATGATTCGATGGCCTCTGTTTCGCGAAGCGACAGTGTACAAGGACGGTGGTTATGTTAAGGTGAGTTGGCCAAATGTATTGGTTTAGGATAGGTCACTGACCCGAATAGGACCTCTCGTATCTCAACAGGGACCTGAAGAAAGTGCTCATCATGGACACTGACCCCCATCACGTGAAGCATCAGCCTGAGAATGCCATCATCCTGCCCAAGTGGAACGGCGATCCCAAAGACCAGACGCTGATTCAATTCATTCCCTTCCTGGAATATCTGGCAACAATGGGGTTTGAAGACGTCCGAGAGGTTTTAAAGTCGTTCGAAGGGACGTACATACCTGCCGAGTTCGCTCGAAGAGAGAAACTCTTGCGGGCCAAGTTTGAGGCCGAGGAAGCAGAAAAGCGCAAGAAGCGACCCAAGAAGAGCCTCGGAAAGCTTTCGTCAATGCTGGGAATGTCAGGCCACAGCGCTGATGGAACGCAGAGCTCTGAGGAGGGAGCGTCCGAGGGCAAGATGCTCTGGGATCAGATCAGGGAGCGTGGTCAGAGACAATATATGGACCTGGAGAAGAAAATCCAAGAGGAAGGTGCAAAGTTTCTAGCTGAACGAGAAGCAGAAGAAAAGAGGGCTCAAGAAGAGGCATACCAAAGCATGAAGCCCAGTAATTGGTTTGGAGGTCTGTCAGGCAGCAAAAAAGTCGAGGAAGCAGAGAAAAAGTGAGGATTGTTGATCGTTGACTTTCTCGAATGGGGAGAGAGTGCAATTTGCAAGCCGTTGGATTTCCTGGTGGTGGGTTTAGACTACTCTTGTACAAACAACTGTGGAAATATATGAGGCAGGGAGACAGCTCTGACCCTGGCGTCAGCGATATGAGACCGGGGGGATCAAGGGTGTAAATTCAAAACACATCAACTCTCACCGTGTACAACCTTTCGAGCTTGAGCTTCGGCGTGTGAAATAGATTCTTAGCGGTTAACGTGAACCGGATGGTGGGTATTGCCAGATGCGATGAGATGGTCGGGGGAAAAGCGATATCGATGAGCGTCAAGCTGAAACTGGCTAGAAGGCCCAAAGCAGTCAATCATCCGGGCAACGTTACCATGTCTAGACGAGAGAGGAGAACAGGAGGAAGGGAGAAAGGAGAAAGGAGGCAGCTGAGGTAAATGGTGTTTGATGTGCATGCAACATCCATGGAGGTTACTTGGTAAGGAGTACGAGGTACAGGAGTCACACTGTACACATGTACCTAGCAGGTAGGTACCTAGATTCCTGGGGCACGGCTTCTAAGAAAAGATGCCCGTAATGCATGGGCTGCCTGGGCTAAACTCCATGTGGAGGTTCTCCTTCCATGATTGTTAAGAGATGTTAGGCGGTCTGGCTACCTAGAGGGCAAGCCTAAGGCCTGACAGCACTCTGCGGTTGGCAAGTGGCCTCACTAATGGCCATCCTGGGGGCGATTCCGCGTCTAATAATCACCCAGATGCCTCCTGGAATATTAGGGGGATGTTTGGGGGAATTGAGGGCCGAGATGGCGCCCAGGAAACTCAATAACAATAAAGTGGCTTAGCTGGTTAACGGGCACCACGAGCATGTCGCTTACCTGGGCCCTACATGTGGTCGTTCGGCATGCCTTTCCCAATACTGGGCCTGCTAACTGCACGTAGCTTAGTTAAACCACCACTGGCCAGGCCGGCTGGTGAGGCTAAGATTCGACTTCCCACGCTGACCACCTTGCACATCTCGACCGAACCACCCAATTCGCTTTCTCATCTGCCATCTCTGATATTGACACTCATAGTCCTCACTCTTGCCACCATCCATCATATCAGATCTCAGCTGAATGCCATCACCAATGACTTCTTGACGACTCGGACGCCATATGCTATAATATCACGCAGTCAATCCCCCAGCATCGGCGGCCAAAAAGAAGGAAGCTTTTCCTTCTTCTCCGTCGCGACCCGACGCGTTGATGGAGGCATGCAATATTGAGGCCACCACCATCATGTCATCCTTCTCGTGCCTTTGTGTGTAGCATTGTCATCCACCCCTCTTCGACGGTCGTTTCGCAATGTCGGCGCAAATGATTGTGCATCCGCCGTCGAAAGATGGTTCAATGGTCTCGCACGAGGATGATATTCCGCCTCAGCCACTGGACCAGGACGAGCATGAGCCCGGCCACAAGGCAGGCCTAGGTATACCCCAGAACGGCGAACCAGCTGCTGTCGACGACTCGCCCCAATTTCCAGATACCATCGGGTCAAGGCACCAGGGAAAGGAAGCCTTTGCTTTTCACAAACTGCCCATCCAGGTCCTGGAGAGGTACGCCACCCATAAATAGAATAGGGCTTGTCCGATCTCCGACGTCGTGGCTAACTCGAACTAGAATCCTATGGATGGTGGATGCCAACAGCTTTGCTTCATTAGCTATTCTGAACAAGAACTGGTACAAGGCAGCACAAAATCGAGAACTATATGCCCATCATTTGTCTCGTTGTCCATCTTATGCCTTGTCCAACACTGTCATCACCGGTCCGTTTCGGAAATTTGACCTGTACCGGCTCAAGACGAAATTTGCAGCAGAGGTCCGGCGAAATCTGTTCGAGGCGTACTTGCGACCTCGCCAGACTCTCATCAACCTCATATCCGTCAACGCCAGTTCCTCCGCCGCATTGCCTGGGGCAGAAGCTTTCCGCTTCTCCTTCTCTCCAAATGGCCAGACGATTCTTGCGATCAGTTCCTCCCGAATATATGTCATTGACGCTGTCACAGACCCTATCAGTGTGCGCCATGAGCTCAAGACGATGAGACGGCCTCTAGCGGCTTCAGTCACTGATGATGGCACAATATTGGCCGTCCTGTCCTCGAAACATCAAGCCAATGTATACCACTTAACGCCAGATGGTGTCAAGCATGTACAGGTGCAGGTTATGGACAATCCACCTAGGACAATCGCGTTGGCGCCCGAAGGCACGGTTCTAGCTGCTGCGTACGAAGGCGGGGTCGAAGTCTTTTCCCTTGCACCAAATGCCCTTTCCACGGACCGAAGAGCGGTGCGAAGCGAGGGAGTTGATATCTTGAGCTTTTCAGGCGATGGATCGATGCTGGTCGGCAGCACCCAGAGTCTGGAAGAACCCTCGGCTGTTGTCATCACCGCGCCATTTTACACCGAAAATGATCTATCGCCAAAGGAGGTTCACAGCCGCATGTGGACAACTCAGATTCTCTTCCCACAGATTAGCAGTATTTGCAGCCACGCGGAATTGCTGCAAGGCCACACAGAGGGCGACGCTAACTGGCTTTTTGCTTACGATCACACCCTCATGTCATACCGGGCCGTCCGTACCGATGACACTCGGACCGGCGTTGCCTACTTCTTAAACCCAGCGACGAGCAGACGATTCAGCCTGCCGGCGCCATCAACTGCACCGACTGCGACTGTGTGCGGGACTCTCGTCGTGGCTGGCTTCGCTGGGAGTGGTCTGTGGATGTACGGCGTCCCAGAAAAGCTAGACGTCAGTCCCGACATGGGTTCGGTGGTCGAGCGGCACGAACAGCGTCTACAAGGAAGGATGCCGCTCACCTCTGCGACGGGCCATCTTGAACCTTTGATGGCATATTCACCCTCAATATCTGGAAGCAGCGAAGATATCGAGGACGACTCGCTGGCCGCAAAGGTCGAATGGCGAGAAAGCCTGTTCGTCAAATGTGAGCGGATCAAGACGCTTGATGGTGCCACAGCCGCCAAATGGGTAGAGAGGTGCGAAGACAGACCGTGCTCTTTCACTGGCAAGAGGTTGGTGGTCGTTGCCCCTGGTGGTGTCGATCAATTTATGGAAGAGCTCGGAGATGAAACTATGCCCATTGATGGCTCGCGTCTCTCGATACTCGACTTCGACTATTCGCCATCCAAAAGTGCAGACCGCGAACTGACTATTGAAGTGGGTGAAAAGGAGCCGGAGTTGCTCATCGAGCGGATGGGTGACATGGATATTGAGGTGGCAATGGAAAGGAGGCGGACGGTCAGAGAACGTGCAAGAGGAGGGATGAGAGGCGGTCTCGGTCGCTCCGTAACTACTGCTTCTGCGACACCGGGATCGCGCCTGAGAAGTGTCTCTCAGGCTTCCTCGCCGTTGGATGTTGACGCACAAATTGCTTTGGCAAACTCGACGCCAGCCCCAGTACAACAAGCCTCGCCGAATTTGCAGAGATCTGCCACAGCTGCTGGTTTTACTACGGCGCGGTATCCTCCCAGACCGCCTCTGGCGCAGCAACAAGACGCTGCCAACGCCGCTTATCACCAGCCACCTGGTCAATTGTCAGATGGTTGGGAGTCACCACCTCCGCCCTATAACTCCGGATCCCCTCATCTTCGACCTGGAATGACGTTGGGTTCACCTTTGATCCAGCCACGTCCAATGGGAGGGATGCCCATGCCAATGGTAGGGATTCCCGAGAATGGTCATGCTCCGGAAGTCCACCCTGGCTTTGGACATGGCAGTCCCATGAATCCACAAATTACACCTCAACAAGTCCATATGATGCCGGAGAATGCTGCTCCGAGGCATGTTGTCGGTCAGTATGGCACTCCCGTCACCATGAACGACCAATCATTTGCTCCCACACCCGAGACATATCAACGGACGAGTCCAATATCCCACATTGCTTCAGCAAACGCACCATTCGTACCCTCCGCGTCTGGAGATTCGTCAAGGCCGGTGTCGCATGAAGGTCGAGTATCACCCTACCAACAGACTCCAACCTCTCAGCGCCCAAATACCTCTGATCGCCCATCGCCTCTGAACCCCACACAACAAATGCCGAATTTTTCAGACATGGCTCCAATCCATAAACCCTCTTCATCAGGGTCTGTCACCTTGACCGGAGCAAATTTACAAGCTCGTCTCAATCACCCAGTCCCACCAACCCCGAGCCCTCTGGATCAAATGTATCTACCACAAACCAATGAAGCCGTACATGAATTGGTATCGCCACAATCCGCACAATCACCCGCCATCCAGGCCAATGGGTCCTACAGTGTTGTTCCTCCAACAGCTGACCAAATGGCCAACCTGAATCGTCGAGTCTCTCTGACTGCGCGCAAACCGGTTCCGCCAATCGCGACCCATGGGGCTATGCATCAAAATGGTCCAGCACGGGATTTGAGTGGCAGTCCCGGTGTGCCACCCTCACCACCTCGCGGTGCATGGGGCGCCGCCGGAGTTCCAGGTTCTCCATCTTTCAACAAGGCGATCAATCAGCCCAATGGACTCATGAGGAATAACTCCAAGGGAAGTGGCCGTTCAATTCCCATATCGGCATCGACGCCAAATCTCCACGCTGCGCCACCAGTTCAGACCCAACGACCGCGAATGGGCAGACTCGACACTATTGATAGTGTATCTAGCTCGTACGGACCGGGTGAACCGGGTTCGAGATCGCACAGTGTTGCGCAAGGAATGGTCGCTCCGATGCCGCAACCGCAGCAAAATCCGCATTTCATATCGCAAACCCAATCCGTACCGCAACAGGTGTATCAGCAAATGCCAACTCACCAAACGCGAGTCTGGGCGGGAAACGGGCCGAGTCCCGCTGAAAGTGGTAACAGACGGGCCTTGTCAGATCCTATGTCTGTGGAATCTGGCAAGAAGAAGAAAGGAAAGAGAAAGAAAGGCGAGGAGGTGCCCAGAAGTCAAACGCCTATGCCGACTAGTTCAAGAGGCGCCGAACAAGGAGGAGGTGTGAAGAAGAAGGGGGGGAGATGTGTGGTCATGTGAAGTCCGCACGCCTACTACAGGTGTCAAGACAAAGGAGAAGGATACACGCAAGAAATTGCAGCGGAAAGAGGCTGGAAATTTCGTGGGCCATCTCTGTCTGACGATGGCCATGATTTGAATAGTTCCACTTGAAAGGGACATGCGAAGGGAATGGCCGGCCAAAAAGAAAAGGGGATTCATTTGAGTGGGTTTCAACAGCCTCGCGTACGGTACAGGGCTGTCATTTGTGTTATACAGGGTTCCCCAGTCATATTTACTATGTTCTGATTGGTTTTTAGGGCGATTAAAGGCGGGATACGCATAGCGAACATATCTGATCTAGCGAGAAACTGGCTGGAATTTCTGGATACTGGTGGGCTGGATACTTGGAGTCGGTTGGGGACGAAGCTCATTTCTTTTTCTAATCCGGCGAAAAAGTCTTATGACTATCTACGGTCTATAGGCCGGGGTTTCTTGATGCCTCTCTGCGGAAATAGCGATGTGTGTACCGAATAGCCACACCAACTAAGGCTCCCACTATTACCCAACATTGGTGGCAGACAATTTACTAGCCCGGGTGCGAAAAAGAACTGGGCCTCGAACCTCCCGCGTAAAAGTCTCCCGATCTCCCCTTCTCCCCAGGTCGCATTGTCACTGGCTCGTCGGCAATTGAAAGGAGGAGGATGGTCGTCGAGTTGGAAAAGAGTCCGGGCGAACTCCGCACCTTTTTCGCGGCGAGAGGGCCGATGTCTGCCGATTTGACGACGAGAAACCGGCCGTCATCATCATTAGGTATTTAGACCATTTTCCCCCTCGATATCGAGATATCGTGCATTTCAGAAGAAGTGTTTCCTCATCCGAAAAAGATCCAATTGACGGAGGACGCTAGACGAGTTCTGAGTTTCCCGCCGCTTGCCTGTCCGGGGAGTTTCTGATTCACGGAGGAAAAGAGTAAGGAAGGGGGATTCATTTGATCTTGCAAGAGGTGAGCAAGATACAGAAGAGGGGGGGAGAGAGAGAGAGCAAGAGAACAGTCACGCAGACATCGACCACATCACACTACTAACACAAAAGCGCCCAAACCCCCTTCCAAAAAGGCCTCAAGAGCAGCCATTTCATCATTTTCCAGAAGATGAAGCTCCTCTACCCGACGTCGCTGCACCTGAACGTGCAAGACCTCGAGGGCTTCTCCGTGTCCCTGCACGCCTACGACGTCAAGAAGGAGATCCCGCAGGAGCACCTGGACGCCTCGGTGCTGGTGACATGGTGCAACACGGCGGACAACCTCCAACACGCGGCGCGGCACATGTCGTCGCTGAAATGGATCCAGTCTCTGGCGGCGGGGCCCAACGACGTGCTCGCGGCGGGCTTTGACCCGTCCAAGGTGACCATCACGACGGGGTCCGGCTTGCACGACCGCACCGTGGCCGAACACACGCTGGGCCTGCTGCTGGTCGCGGCGCGCAAGTTCCACGAGATGCGCGACTACCAGATGCGCAGCCCGCCCGAGTGGCCGCAGCACCTGGGCGGGCCGCAACCGGATCGGCCCCGGGGCGCGTTCACGACGCTGCGCGACGCCAACGTGCTTGTCTGGGGGTTCGGCAACATCGCAAAGACCCTGACGCCCATGCTGCGCCTGCTGGGCGCCAACGTGCGCGGCGTGGCCCGCAAGGCCGGCGTGCGCGACGGCGTCGAGGTGTATGCTGAAGAAAGCCTATCGACGCTACTACCCGAGACGGATGCGCTGGTGATGATCCTCCCGGGGAGCGCGAGCACGAAACACGCCCTCAACGCCGACCGCCTCTCCCAACTGCCCAACCACGCGTGGATCGTCAACGTCGGCCGCGGCACCTCGGTCGACGAGGACGCCCTGTTCCACGCGCTCTCCGACAAGACTATCGGCGGCGCCTGCCTCGATGTCTTCCAGACCGAACCCCTCCCTCAAGACAGTAAACTCTGGCACGCTCCCCATTGCGTCGTCAGCCCCCATGCCGCGGGCGGCAGGCCCCAGGACGCAGAGAAGTTGATCGCCGCCAATCTGAGGCGGTTTCTGGCCGGCCAGGAGTTGCAGAATGTCATCTAATCAATTTCCCTGGGGTTCTTTTTCCTTCTCCCCATTTCTTCTTTATCTGAGCATGGTCAGAAAGGGGAAAGGGGTTAAATTGCGGTACCCCCACAAGTCCAGAGAGATTGGGCAAGTTGGACCCGCGTTCACGAGACTCCCTCCGAGTAGAATGGCAGGCTTGGGTTGGAAAATGATGGCTTTCAACGAGTGACCAGGCACTCTGTGCACAGACCTGTGCGAGGAACTAGAATTTTACCCCTGGGAGTCACTGCGATGAAATTCAGTCCCTAAAAATCTACTGCTTCTCTAGAGATTTTTCTCCCCATTTTGCTCGAAAATATGTGCTGTGCTGCGCACGATAATATGTGTTTCTATCTCAAAGTTCCAACGCTTGCTCAAAGTACTGCCTACAGACTAACGCGAAACAAAGTAAATCAAAGGCGTCCGTTCAAACCGCACGACGGAATGTAATGTTCGTTCCGAGTCCCAGACTCGACAACAGATCACTCGTACCCAGACGAGATGAAATCCCTCCCCTGCCCTGCCAGGAGAGAGCGAAGATAGAGTGATCGCTGCAAGGCTCAAGCAATCTCTTCGATCCTTCGTTCTCGGTCCTCGGTGGGGACGCTTGGTCCTGGCGCGCCGAAGTCCACCGATCTAGGCCTGTTCAAGGCGTCTCTTGAAGTCATGGCAGACGTCTGCGCTCTCGAGAGCATTGCGCCTCCGGCATAAAAGCTCGACGTTCTCTTGTGAGCGTCCTCCTCCTCAGCCCAGGCAAGGCTCTCATCTGGAAGGAGCACAGCACGGTCGATGCTCACCGGAAGTCCCCGATGGCGTCCTCGAAGCATCACTGCGCAGAGGACTAGTTTGCTCGCAAGGTGCCACGCGCCAGAGAAGCTGTAGTCGTTCCAGGGCACGCCCACGCTGATGCCCACGCAACCGTACGCACTGACCACCTCGAAAATGATGTTGAATGTCGAGAAATTGACAGGATCACGCTCAAACTGGCCCGTCTCGATGGCAGTAATGGCGAAAATGGCGATGGCAATCCACCATAAGTCGTGGCCCAATTGCGAACGCAATTGCAGTCTGACGAAATCTTGCCGATCCCAGGCAGCGCCGTTGGCGGGTTGCCCACCATGTGTCAACGTGAGGGTTTTCCTGAGGCCACTCATGAACCCTGTCTTCTTGTCCTCTTGCGCAGCGCGCTCGTTTTCTTGGTATACGGGCAGTTCATCTGCAAAGATGCCCAGTGACCTTTCTTCGTAGACATTTGTGTTTCGGATTGTCATCGTCACCGGGAAGGCGCTCAAATACATCATCAGAACGTAGAGAACAAGCAAGCCGGATCGCAAGCCAGATATAGGGACCACATAGAAACCGCCGCTCCTCACCGCAAAGGCTTGGAACAATCCAGCAACAATCCGAAATCCTGTAGGCAGCGAATCGACCACTTGATTGCCAATATTGAGTAATTCGAACGCAACCCAGTCAACAGTATTCAGGACGACGACCGAGGCAAATAACCACCACGTTGCCGCGCTCGGGAACAAGTTCGTGTAAACTCTTCGCGGATGGTCAAGGCAGAATTGGACGGTGCGTCTCCGCCTTTGCCAGGCTTGCGACGAGGAATCTTCTGGGATCAGCTTTTTGAATGTCCACAAGATGAGTCGCAGAAAAGGTGGAAACAGAGTATTTCCTGCCAGGATGAGCAGACTAAGCGTCAGCAGGCAGTAATAACTCCGGTTCAAAGCGACTGCGTTGGCATCCAAAAGGGCCATGCCGCTGTTGTTGAAGGCGCTGATGGCGAAAAAGGCTCCGGTCCAGAAAGGATCGAGGCTATATCCAAATAGTCAGTCTGGCTGTCTGTTGGTGGGGTTTCAGATCGCTTACCCATTTTCCCGCGCCATATTTGGACGGTTGGCCGTGATCCAAGCGCCGACACCAATGGCACCAAACAGCTGGAAGAGCACAAAATAGGTCGGCACAAGCCAGGAAAGCAAACAGATCGCGTCGTACTCAATGCCTCCCAACTTTTTCCTCTCTTCTTCGCTAAGATGATAAAATTGTGAGTTCCTCCCGAGATATCCATGGAGAGTATCGAGATATTTGTTGAGTTTGTTTGCTAGTGGACTGGAAGGTGGATCGTCGTCGTCATCCTCAATGGCTGATTCTGGCACTGGAGGATGGATTCCAACCGGCTGGGAGTGACGTGGATGGTTATCGAGTCTCCGAGCGCCAACACCTCTGCCCTCGAAGAAGCTTGGATTGCGGCGGATATTCCGGGGCCGGGGCTCGGCGAGCTCACTAGGTGGGTGTTGGAGTTTGAATCTGATGTGGCTTGGAGGTTGACCATTGGAAGTGCTCCGGTCCCTTGCAGAGATGGCTCCATTTGCTGCTGAACTTCGACGTGAACCCGCCTGCGTTCCGGCGGCATCTTGACGTTCTCGCGACCTTGACGAAGTTTTCTGATCATCCTCCTTGGAAGACTCAGGGATGGGGCGTCCACGCACGGCGCCAGAGGCTACAGCGGCCTCTCGCTCGCTAGCAGGGACATTGTCTCGTCTTGAAAATGAGAAGGTCAATGTTCGGGCCTTGCGGAGGAGGCGTCTGCTGCGACGTTCTGCGAGTTCGACAAATTTCTTCTCAAAGGCTCGTTTCCTTATATGGAGAATGGACGATGAGACGAAAATGGCAGAGCCTATTATGATGAGAATGAACATCATGACTTGTTGCCAGGTGTTCAGCTGCGACAGATTGACCGTGTTCAAGCCAGCCTCTGTCATGGCTGAAACGCACAAGAACAGACTGTCGATGTAGGTCACGGACTTTGCTGGGGTGGACGAACCCCAGAAAATGAGACTGGACACTAGACATGTGAAGATGAAATAGAGGTAATGCCAGTTGATGAAGGAGAACTCGGTAAAGCGGTGGAGGACATGTTTCCGGAACAAGGCAGCGGCACGCTGCGCGATGCTGTGTCCCTCGTTGTCGTCGAGCATAGGCTCGCGAAATGTTGGGGCTTCTGGATAAAAAGAAAAAAAAAGGTCAGCGAGACCCAGAAAGGAGATAGCAGCAAGCAATTACTGACTTTCCATGGCTCTTTGGAAATGGGTGAGCTTTCCACCTATGGAATCAAGACACTCCCGAGTCGGGATCCCGGTAATTGTCGTAACGCATTTTCGATGAGAGAAATGGTTTGCAAATGGTGACGAGAGAACCGGCTTGTGCAGATGAACAGACGAGCTGAAGGAACAGGACGAAGGTCCAGAAGTTTCCTGGGCCAGTATGTACGGAGGAACGAAGGAACGAAGGAACAAAGAAGGAACAAGCCTGAGATGCTCCCTTGCCAAGACCATAAGCAAAGCCAAGTCCGGATTAGATTGCGGCCCGACCGGTAATCGAGGCCAAGCAGGACAATGATAGGGCGGCCACAGGGATAGGCGGGCTCGGCGGGGTACAACCTGTATCATGGCCCAATCTACCGAGTATGCTGGGGAAGATACCTACCTAGGTACCCAGGTAGCTTCTGGGTACCATCCACCCACATCCACACACTCAGGATACCGAAAGTTAGCTAGCAGCGCAAGTACCTAGGTATGCGTTGGTGCAACCCACGGAGCAAGTGACTATATACAATTATGTACCACGCCCTTGATCGAAGACGTCCTTCCTTACGACCTCTCATAGCCACCCCCCTCCCCTTCTCACGCACGTCCTCTCCTCTCCCTAGCATTCTACTCAGTGTGTGCCCCCTCCCTTCTTCTCCGTCTCCATCTTCCTCACCACTCTCTCAAACCTCGAAAGACATCCGCCTCCCTCAACAAGACAGTCGACCACCCAGCACCACCAGGCCACCGATCCCAATTCAACCCAGTGACGTCTCAACCTCCTCTGAGTGAACCACATTGCCTCGCCGCCATGGAAGACTACCAAGATACCGAGCACGGCAGGGGCTAGAGCATAACTCAGCTTGGCTAACCAAGGCGCCGTGCCACCAAGACTCCAGACTTTGGAGATCCACGACCCCGTTTCCAATCTCAAGGACTCGCGAAAAGGAAATGTCGTGAAAATCAACAGACAAAGTCCGGATAACGCCACCTGCCACGCCCGATCCGGTGGCACGTACCTATTCACCACAATATCAGACAAATCTAGTTGCTTTAGGCAGAATTCATGCATAGTGACAAGTCGCTCCCTAGCTTCCATGAGGCTCTTCATGGGCGGTTCAAACGGGACCACATGCCGCCCATAGCCGGACGATATAATCATGTGTTCTGTTGTGATGTCTAGCATCTGAGCCGAGGCGGTACCGGGCGAAGGGACGTGGCAGTAGTGTTGGAGGTAGAGGCGGAGTGAGAGTTGATGGTCTGCGTTCATGTGGCTAATGATGCGTGTCTTCATCGCCGAGGCGTCGGGAGGGCCGCGTGGCGTGCTAGACGCAGACATCGTGGCCAGTCTAATGTGGAAGGATTTCTGTAGTAGGCTGCCCGTTCAAGTGTTGCTTCTATTGCGATATCGAGGAAACACGCTGGATTCGTAAAAGACCAAGCTCTCCTTTAACTGGTGGCGAATATCAGTATGTTCGTGCAGAGGCTGCAGGTTTGCCTGCTCAAACTATATTGAGAAAGTTGGGATCTATTATCTGAGAAAGTCGAAGGTGTCGTCTCTGTATGTGCAGTATTAACGAGTGATGGATTGGATTGTCGAGCTTGTTGGAATATCGAAAACGCTTTCAAGCGACAACCTTGGAAGCTCGGTCCAACCATTTCGGGATCAGGGATCAGGCTGCTTTTGGCTCTATCTTGGCATCAACGCCCCGGAAGCATCTCTCGACCTCGACAAAACCATCACCGTCCAGAGGTATGAGAGCCTGTAGCTGCAAGCCAATGTGGACATCTCCCATCTCCCGGTTGATATCTCTTTGCACCTGCCTCACTGGGCATGTGTGATCGAAGGGCTTTTGCCTACCCGTGCCACGCCATCAACCCGATTGATGGCGTCATCAAAATCGTCAATATAAATTCCGTCTCGTCCACGCTCATGGTGAATATACCCTGCATCGCAACTTCAACATGGCGGCGGCAGCAGTAGCAAAGGCGCCGCAACCTGACATCCAATACACGCCTGAGCTGAAAAAATATGAAGCCCGAGTGAAGCGCAGGCTTGAAACCGAGGAGGTCCTTTTGACCAAGACCCTGCCCGCAGGCTTCCCGCGACAATTGAAGTCAGACTTTGTATGGGAAGGAGCTTCCATTGCGAGAGAATACGACTGGATCTTTGTATTGAAACCCGAGCATACTGAGGAACTGGAACAAGCCCTTGCACACTTCAAATGTTCGTCGACCGATTATCTAGAGCGACGGTACTGATGTTGTTATAGCTTTGGACAAGCCACTTGGATACATTGACCAAACGACTTTCCCTTTACCGAAACTACATTCCGAGCTTCGTGGTGTCTCACGGGAATTGCACTTTGGCCATGGGTTCAAAGTCGTCAGAGGCGTTCCCGTTACGCGATATTCCCGGGAGGACATTATCATTATTTATGCCGGCATTTCATCGCACATTGCTCCTCTTAGAGCACGTCAGGACAGTCGCTACAATGGTGAGCCGGCAGATGTAGTCCTAAGTCACATCAAAGACCTCAGCGCAAGCAAGGAAAAGGCTAGCATTGGCGCCCCGGCTTACACTGCTGACAAACAAGTCTTTCATACTGACACTGGCGACATTGTCTCGTTGTTCTGTCTAAGCCCGGCCGCCGAAGGTGGTAAGAGCAGGCTGGCAAGCACTTGGCGAGTCTACAATGAATTGGCAGCAACCAGGCCGGATCTCATTGAAACGCTTTCTCAAGACTGGATCGCCGACAACTTTGGGAATTCTGAGCAGCCATATGTATCCAAACCCCTCCTGTTTCATCAACCTGCAACGGCCGAGACTCCCGAGCGCGTAATCCTGCAATATGCTCGAAGATACTTCACAGGATTTGGAGCCCTGCCTCGTTCGACGGCTATACCTCCAATCACAGAAGCTCAAGCTGAAGCCCTCGACGCGATACATTTCCTCGGAGAGCGTTTCAATGTTGAACTGGATTTCCAACAGGGCGATATCCAGTACGTGAATAATCTGGCAGTTTTCCACGCTCGTGACGGTTTCACGGACACGGAGGAGCGGCAGTAAGACTCATTGGATTGATTTCTCGAGCACTTTGTACTAACTATTGCTGGCAGACGCCACCTCGTTCGCCTCTGGCTTCGCGACACAGAATACTGTTGGGAAACGCCGAATGCTTTGAAATCGAAGTGGGCGCAATTGTACCATGGTGTGGCTCCAGATAGGCAGGTCTTTCCATTGGAGCCATATGTGCGAAGCGCCAGTAATGGATATCTGAAGGCCCCTCGATAGGATATCCACTCAATAGAACATCGCTCATTGACATCCTTGCAACACATGCCAAATCGGCGATGCCACGACATGGGATGCTTTGGCAAGAGAACAAGATTTACAACTTCCATCGCCACTGTCGGCGACGATTGCCCCGTAACACCTGCCTCTTCTATACTCGATGCATTCTACTACTTGCAGTAGTGTAGATGGCTGTGCCCGGTTTCGGTTATTGGAGGGTATGAAGATCAATGTGGGCATATTGCACCATCTGCTACGCTGCGCACGTCGTTCCGGCGCACGTTATGAATGCCGATATTGACAACTGGTGCAGGGACGGGTTGGGATGTCTTAACGACGCCATACCCCTTGCAAAGCACGACAGTCGCGCATGATTTGCACCGTCGATGATACCTTCTGGTGGTGGCTTGCTCTCACCATATGGCCATGCAATTGCATGAGTGCAATTTTTCTTTGCCACGACGGGGGCAGGAGTCCCTCCATATAAAGCACCCTAGAAAGGGATTCCCCCTGCGGCGGGATACAGTCGTCTACGGCTCAGTTGCTGGGTAATTATACACGAGCTATTGAAACGATGGTTTCGTTGAAGTGGAGGAAGCGAGCAGACTCGCCGATCCCTGTTCGCGAGCAGAACGATCTCAACACCACAACCTTCCTCGCAGAGGGGAACCTCAAGTACGCCGTTGAAAAGGGCGAGAACAGCAATGAACCTTCTTACCAGGAGGTCTCCGGCGCACCAGTCGAGACCCGTTCGCCTCTGGGCTACCATGTCGGCCAGGTCACCATCTTGTTCCTCAACCTCTCGAAGATGGTCGGCACTGGAGTCTACTCGACACCGTCGACCATCCTCAAGGGGACAGGCAGCGTCGGCCTGGCCCTGATCTACTGGTTCATTGGTTTCGTCATTGCCGGAGCGTCTCTCTCGGTCTACCTGGAATTCGCCAGCTACTTTCCAAACCGCTCTGGTAGTGAGGTCGTCTACCTGGAGCAGGCCTACCCCCGCCCGCGGTACCTCTTCCCCGTCGCCTTCGCGATCCAGTCCGTGCTGCTGTCGTTTAGCTCCTCCAACGCGATCGTCCTCGCACAATACCTGTACCGAATCAACGGCGCCACTCCGACGGCCTGGGAACTGAAAGGCGTGGCCGTCGCTGGATACACCGTGGCGTTCCTCTTTGTCGCCTTTTCCACCCGTTGGTCCTACCGTCTCTCAAACGCCATCGGTCTCGTCAAACTGCTGACGTTGATCTTTGTCGCCATCACCGGCCTGGTCGTCCTCGGCGGCAACGTCTCTCGCGTGCCCGATCCCCACGCCAACTTCCGCAATGCCTTCTCCGGCTTCGAAGGCACCTCGGCCTCAGCATACGGCGTGACAAACGCCCTGGTGAAGATCATCTTCTCCTACGCCGGCTACGAGAATGCATTCAACGTCGTGAACGAGGTCAAGAACCCCGTTCGCTCCATTCGCAACTCGGGTGCCCTCTCGCTCTTCATCGTGGCGACACTCTACGTGCTCGCCAACGTCGCATACTTCTCCGCGGTCCCGAAAGAAGAGTTGATAAAGTCGTCGCAGGTTGCTGCGAGTCTGTTCTTCCAACATGTCTTTGGATCAAACGGGGCTGTCAGGGGTCTCAACTTTTTGATCGCCATGAGCGCATTTGGCAATTTGATTGCGGTATTGCTGGGTCAGTCCAGATTGATCAGAGAGTGTGGTCGGTATGTGTGCTCCTCGACAAGTCCCTGAAAACACCACTGGCCGTCCACTGACTTTATGGGGATAATAGTCAGGGAACTCTCCCATTCCCAGACTTCTGGGTCAGCACTCGACCCTTTGGCACTCCACTGGGGCCCTATTTCGTCAAATGGGCACTGACAATGCTGATGATCCTTGCACCTCCGGCAGGCGACGCCTTTGTAAGTCAAAAACCCCCAGTACATATCCCAACCCCCCATACCCAAGCTCCCCAAATTTGGTCCAGAATCAAAAACCATCCACTAACCCATATCTAAAACCTGTAAATAGAACTTCGTCGTCGACCTAGCCAACTACCCCTCCTCATTCTTCAACTTCCTCATGGCCGTGGGCATCTACTTCGTCCGGTACCAACGCAAGAGACTCAACGTGCCCCCACCGTCCAAAGGCCACCGTTTCCAAGCGTACCACGTCGCCGTCATCTTCACCATCGCCGTCAACCTATACATGCTGATCATGCCGTGGTACCCGCCCACGGGCGGCGCCACGGGCGGGGACGTCAGTTTCTGGTACGCCACGTACGTGGTCACGGGGATTGGGATCTTGTTGGCCAGCGCCGTGTACTATGGATTGTGGGTGCATCTGTTGCCCCGGTGGCGAGGCTACCGCGTCCGCCACGAAAAGGTGCTGCTGGACGCCGGCGAGGTCACGCACAAGCTCGTCAAGGTACCCCTCGACAAGTTGGAGCAGTGGGACAGGGAGCACGACGCCCAAGGCAGAAAATTCGGGTCCGAGGGCCGGAGCGACGACGACATCGTAGACGTGCAACATCGCTTTGACGAGGACAACAAGTTGTGAAAAGCCAAGGGCCATTCCTTTACATCGCAGGGTGCTTAGCATATAATGGCGATCAGAACCCTCGTCAAGTTACTGCATTGCGAGGGCGCTTCAGGTACATATCGGTACAGGTAGACCACATTGTTCCGGAAGCATTCAGCTTATATCCTCTGTGACCAACAAAGGAGATGATGATAATATATTGCCAATTTCTGACAACAGGCATCGATGGAGACATCGAGTAATCTCGATTCTATTCACAAGCGCCACCTCTTGTCCTCCACAGGCCTTCAATATCTGGATTCGCCAAAACATCGCCGTTCCTCTGTACTCCCTCTCATTTCCTTGTTTCTTAACCATATCCAACATCGTAACCCATCACATCATAGCTCGTCTCAATGTACTCTTGGCCTTGTTCCTGGGGAGGTAATTAGTCGGCCCAGCATGTCAATATCCTCGCTAGAGCATATAGATGCCTATATGAGAATGAGGCGCCGCTGCGTTATATTGACCTTGGTCGTTAGTGGTGAGCAGCAAGTGGAGACTCCTCGCCTTCAAAAAGCCTGCTTCTGGGTCGAAGACTTGAGCTGTCGGAATTTGCATGTTGCAGTTCTGTGCTCAATCTTCAACCATTCACTATAGACTCGCCATGAGCAGCATGTGCAAACAACAATAGCTCTGCGTTTTGCGGATTTGCCGAATTCACAACATGCGTCTCACGCCAATCTAACAAGGCTTCGTGAACCGCCTCGTCGCTGTCAATAAGAATGAAATCGCCATCCTCGTCGCGGTAGCGCAACCGAACAGATCCGGAAGCGATCGAATGATTCGTGAACCGTGCCAGCTTTGCATCGATACGATCGGCCAATGATCTGAACTGAATGTTGCTGGCGATGATCATCGAGACATAGTTCTCATCAAAGCAGACCTTAGCTTTGAGTTGGCTGGGAATATATGGATCACCATCGCTGGAAGGCGACGATACTGGAGGTGAAAAGGCTCGACCTTGTGATAGTGACGGGACATGACCAGGGCGCCTAGGATCATTGCTATAATGTGGATCAAAACTATAACCATGACCTGGCATGGCAGGCCGCGGCGCAGAGGGCAGCCCAAACTGTTGTTGATGTGGGGTGCCTCCTCGTGACGGAGGTGCGTTGCTAGGCGAATTGTTCAGACTCCTGTTTGGAGGAGCCATCTGTTTGGCCATATGAGCGGGAATAGGTGGCACGGTAGGGACATGTTCGGTGGAAGTGTACTTGCGACCTTGCTGAACCATCGGGTGCACATCAGGACTGCTGGCGGATCGCATACGAGGGGCTTGCATTCCTGGACCAGACGACTGTCCTCGACTTCGGCCGTTCGCCAGGTATGGATTCCCACTTTGACCATTGGGGTTTCGAGCCATAGCAGGGGCAGTATTTCGATGTGACTCTGTCGGGTGCATGCCGCCGCTGACTGGTGTAGTCCCTCGGTGATATCCCGCAAATGCAGATTGAGAGCTCGACCGAGCAGAGATTGTTGACCCTGGTGGCGTATCCCGGTCGATGGGAGAGAAATAGGAGCCACCGTTAAACTCTTGCGGAGACGCTGTAGGAAGTCCTCGAGTATTCAATGAAAGTGCGCCTATCTCCCCGGTAGGGACTCTCATGCGGTTAGCTGACATCTGTGGACCGCTGCCTCCACTGCCCCCCGTGGCAGAACGAGACCTCAGACTCGTACTTGAGGCATTTCTGCTCATGTTAAACTCGGAGTATCCGTTGGCATCAGTCCCACCATATGTTGTGCCGGAAAGTCTGTTATAATCCTCGTCCTCGTCCTGTGCGAGATATGGGTTTTCTAGGTTCGCTCCTTGCAGGGAAAGAAGATGGGTTTCGGAGATTCCTCTTGTCTTAGACTCCAGCATGCATGCCGACCGTTGAGTCTCGATCAAGTTGTGCCACTTCTGCAGGGTGTCGTCATTTTTGAATTTGATGTTGAACGTCTCGATCCCCGACTCGCCCTTCCACGAAATCTGTAAGGTGTAGTTTCCGGGGCTTGTCGAAGGGATAACTTGAGTGACATTGGCAAAATAGATCCGTCCTTTCAAGTTCATCTTAGGCTTGCCGCGTAGACTGAGCGCTGGTTTGTTGTTCGCCAGCCTGTTCTTCGGTTTGTTGGCATTGACGTCCTTGCACATAACCAAAATCCGGCTGAAGAGGTAGATATGATACTCTTTCTCGTCTGATCGAATGGCGCTCTCTTTCATGACATTGAACGTTCCCATCAGCAGAAGTTCACCGAGGGCGCCAATTTGCAACTGCTTCCAGTCGTCTATCCGCTCTTGCAAATCTTGAAGGGCGTCGTCTCGAGTTTCCTTGTCGATGGAAGCATCCGCCTGCATGAGCACATCTTGAATGATGGCAATCGCGCTACTCAAATCCGACTTCAATGTTGGGTCTTCTATTTGATTAAGCAGGTCCTGAGACGGTCAGCAACGATCTCTCAAGTCACTTAGATCCTACATACTTTCAGCAGGAGAGGATACTTCGTTAGCCTCTGGAATGGTTTGAGGAGAAATCCGTTGAGGATGGTCGGATTCGCAAGCATCTGTTGCGTCAAAGGGGACCTCGCGGTCGCAACCATCCTGTCCCACTCCTGTTGGCAAGTCGCTTCGCACCTCCTCTGGTTGGCAATGAATGGCTCGTATTGTCTGAAAGGATCCCTGTAGTGGACAAAGAGCCGACCCCAATTCTGTTGCTCTTCTGGCATTTCATTTTGTTGCTCGATGCGAATTAAAAATCGTTGCGCAAAGTCCAATAGATTGTTCAGGTTGAGGAAAATGTTGTGGATGGCATCACCCGTCAGGGCGCCGACTTCTTCCAGTTCCTTCTTCAACGCCTGCAAATTCTGCAAATGATGAACATACTGTCTTTCTGTCTCCACGAGTTCCCGCAAGATATACTGTCGGCGCGTCATTGTCTTTGGGGTCTGCTCTGGAGCATTGGATCCAGCGTCCACCCCATCACGTGAATCTTCGCTGTCCGTTGACGGGTGAAGTTTGCCGCTCAACTTCAACATATCCAGCACCCGGTTCACTAGTTTTGTGACTTTCACAAAGCCAGTGGTATTGTCGCTATATAGATCGGTCACAGTGAAGGTGTCAGCTGCCGGGATGTTCATCTGTTGCATGCATGATTTGATGAACAGAAATGCTGCTTCTTTGCCTACTCTGTCCGGCCGACTTGTATCGACAGTAAGGTCGCCTTCTTCTGGGTTGGAAGCATTGTAAATCGTGAGCAGCGGTAGGCCGCTTCGGAAACACTGCCACAAAGAAGACACTGGATCGGTCGAACCATCTGCCTCACGCTCTTCCATCTCCTCGAGATATGGGCGAAATCCAGGCACACCGGACAATCGCCGCCGAAGTTTGATACATATTTGGTAGAGCGATTCTCCATCTCTTACATTTATGATATTGTTTTTGTCCAACATTGGGCCATGGTCACCGTTCATGATCGGCGGAGATGCCAGCATATCCGCTGAGGCACCTCGTGTCGCTGAAAACAGGGTACGTTGTGCCTGATTCGAAGGCAAAGTTGTCAGCGCATTGATTGGGGCGAATTATCTGTTTATCGAGGACTCGAGCAGTTGATATGGCGAGAAAGAAAAAAAAGAGAACGTTTCAGGTCCGAGAGAAAGGCGAGGGAATGCCTGGAAGGCGCGTGTCGAAGTTGGGATTAGAGATTGTCAGCAAGTTCTAGGGAGCCTCGAGAGGTAAGAAGGAGCGGACCAGCGCCGAGGACGGTAACGAGGGATATCTAGGACACGATTGTCAGGTCTGTAAGACTCGCAAGGAGAAAAAGCAATGGCAGCAAGCAAGGAGGCAAATGAGAGGGATTGAACATACCACCAGCGCAGTACGAGTTGACAGATTCTTCCCCAGGTTCCACAGGTAGACAGGCGACAACGATAGGGCAGCGACAAAGCGAACGAAGGAGGCGGGATGGTACGAGGCTCGCGGTCCAGCGTTTGGTTGCTATTGTTGGCTGTTGATCAATTCAATCAATGGCGGCGGTAGCAAGGGAGAAGTGTGGTTGGTGGTTGCGGTGCAAAGAGAGCCAATCAATGGGGTGTGAGCAAGGGATGGAAGCGCGACAAGAGGGACAGCCCCCAGGGAGGATTTCCCAGATTCGATGCTGTATTACGGACAATCAAATCAATGAGATCCAAGAGACACAAACAGTCAAGTTGTGTCTCTGTGTGGTCTCTGTGTGGCGTACGTGTGATGTGCGTGTATGTGCAGACGTTGGACTGGGCTTTGGTTGTGGCGGAATTGGCTTGCTCCAGTGGGAGGGAAGGATTGAGGTGTGTGGAAGGAAACAGGAACGAGAAGCAAAGCAGAGCCCAAGCAGAACAAAAAAAAAGCTTTCGCCTTTCGAAGTAGCGAAGTAGCGAGTACCTAGTCCACAGACACCCTCACACCATTGCTGCAAGAGCATGTGGAGAAGTACTACTACTACTCGGTACTGAGTCGGTGGCAGATGCAGGTGCAGGTGCAGGTGGAAATGCAGACTTGCGGACTTGCAGACTCCAGAAGCAGGCAGACCAGATCGATACCAAACCGCAATGAGATGTGACAGACACCCACAGACATGACAGCCAGACCACCCTCTACCTAGGCAGTAGTACCTAGTACACACGAGCACAGACTTCCAGGTTCCAACGGGCTTCCAACCTCTTTTCTCTACAAGTACTACTATTGTCCTCAACGGTGTTGCCCATTCTCCTGGCTCGAGACTGCCCGTCTCCCTCCTCTCTCAGCCCCCATCACCCCCGTACTACCACTGACTCAGTAATACTTACCTAGGTATCGTACAGTAACTACTGGGAATTCCTTATCCCCAACCCCACTACTTCTCGTCTCCCTGAATACCCCTGTTCACCATTTTCCACCGGTGCTGTGCTCGAACGATTGGAAAACAATGGAACGCCCCCCAACACATCCTTGACCCGTTCCCGCGGGATGGCGCCGCCATGTTCACGTCGCCAAAACACGCCAGGCCTTGCCTAGCTAGGTACCAGATAGTGCCGCTCCTTGATCCAGTCGACAATGGCTCCGGAAAAACCGTAGTTACTAGGTAGTTGGCGCCCAGCGTTCCGGGATGCCACTCCAGCCGGGCTATCACGTTTCCATTCCCCGAGAGTGGCCATTCCCAACGACTTTACTGACATTGTGCTAGTTACTCGCGGCTAGAAATCTAGTGGCTTACCGTGCTGCAACGACTGTCGGGAACTCAGGGCCAAGCTCCTCCCTACGGAGTACCTCGTACTTGCCGCATCACCTTGCCTGACGATGCCGAACCGTTGAAAGGAGGCTGGGATTGCCGATCGAGCTGGCACGAGCGTAAATATATTACTCGTTCTCTGGACGAAGGATTCGAAGTTGGGAGCTGTGGGTTGTGGGAAACAGGCGATTGCTAACTGTTGAAGTCAAAGCCTGGTCCTGCGGTGTTTCAGTAGTCTGCGAAAGGGACAAGGTACAGAGTAGGGGGGAGTAGGTAGATGGACCTTCTGCCGTGGAAGCTGAGGCCTTGATAAGGTTACTAACTTAAGTACGAACTCTCCGTCCCAAGCGATATGGAAGAATCACGAACGTGAACTGTGTTTACTCCGTACTCGGAATCCAAGACCCCTGCCCCCAATCACGGCGCCATCTCCTCGCGCCCCCCCTACATTCGTGTTTCCGACGTGTTTCGAGCCATCCAAAAGCAGCCATGTACTAGGACAATGCTGCACCGAGTACCTCGTACGGGGTACATACTCGTGTTCCGACGAGGTACCTGCAGCCCGGACGACTGACTCGTTTTTATCCCCGCACCGAGATTCGAAGATGATCATGTATACTGCTGACAAGACTGGAAGGTGTTCAGCTCCCATGAATGGGGCATTGGTGGGATCATCCTTCGGCATCCAAAAGCCAATGGAATATTGGACTCCGATTCCCACCTCTTTGTCATCTGCATCCAAAACCCACCGATTCGGATCGGGATATAGCCGGGGCAGGGACAGGAAGACAACACCCCCGCATTGTCCCGTCACTCGTCTATTCGAGCAGTGCTTCAAGAACCTCAAATGAGGGACCAGCAAAGAACAGGACATATTAGTGCTCCATATGCGCGGACCGTCACAAAATGCCGAGGTCATGGAGGGGCGTGATCCACCGGTTATTACGACTCTGTCTTGCCCCGCGACTGAACGTGGCAGGAGGTCACCAAAGTCATAAAGTCCTTTGAGATGCATTGATAAGACCAGGCGTCCTGCCGAGAGTCCTATTCTTTAGAGTATACACTGACAAAAGAACTGCTGCTGTAACATCGTTGGCCATACAAAACATCCAACCGCGCCTTCAACCTCTCACAAGATACTCCTCACCTTTGTCCCAGGAACCAGCAAACGTCGACCGCTACCATCATGTCGTACACGGACAAGGAGTCTCTCCTCGCCCTAGGGCAGATAGACCCCGAACTGAAAGCGGTCTGTATATGAACAGAACCCTTCAATGCTTCCCTCTGACAGTGCGATACAGTTTCTCGAGAAAGCCAACCTGCCCCCGCCGGATTACAGCAATCTGGACGACTTCAAGGCCATGGTGGACAAACGGAACGCCGACGCTATGAAAATCTTGGGCTCGCCTCCGCCGGAAGTAAAGCAGACCGAGTTGGAATATCCCACGGCAGACGGTACCAAGTTGCGCGCAAAGCTTTATCAACCGACAAACCCGCCCAAGAACGGAAGCCCTCTGATCGTCATGTACCATGGTGGAGGATTCTGCATTGGCGCGCCAGAGGGTGAGGAGCAGACATGTCGCAACTTTGTCCAGGCCTTCGGTGCTGTCTGCATCTCAGCCTCGTACCGCCTTGCACCGCAGTTCAAATTTCCATACGCACCCAAAGACTCCTGGGACTGCTTAAAATGGGCGGCGGCCAACGCAAAGTCCTGGGGCGCCGATCCCTCGATCGGCTTTGTTATTGGTGGCACCTCGGCTGGAGGAAACATCACGGCGGTCCTGGCTCATGTGGCGCGAGATGAGAAACTGTCGCCTCCTTTGACCGGCCAATACCTCGCCATTCCCGCGGTGCTGCCTGCATCCAAGGTCCCAGAAAAGTATAAGGAGTATTTCCTGTCGTACGAGCAGAACCAGAATGCACCAGTCCTACCTGTTGCGGCGATAGATATGTTCATGCGCGGGTATGAACCAGATGAATCGGACGGGATCTGGTACGCTCCCTTCAACCACCCCAATGGTCACAAAGACCAGCCCCCTGCCCTGTTCCAGATTGACGGGATGGACCCGCTGAGAGATGAGGCCATCATCTACGAGCGTGTACTGCGGGAGGACTATGGGATCAAAACCAAGATGTTTGTCTACCCCGGTCAGCCGCACGGCCACTGGGGGTTCTTCCCGTTTTTGAAGGCAAGTCAACAGTTCCGTCGAGAGCAGGTCGAGGGCATGAGTTGGTTGCTGGGAAGAGAGGCCGATTTCAGCAAAGTCATCACCCAGGCTGTGGCCGCGGGTGTGTGAAGCAGAAGTGTCCCTGTGTCCGATGTTGCTTGACACAGGGGGGCACCCGTGGACTCTGTCCCAGAGTAGAACATATATCTGACCCTCATTAGACATGATCGTTCATTTCTATTCCTCGTTCTTGTGTCGTGATTTGTTCTCTTCATTTCTTTCTCTCTCTAACCTTGAATCTGATACCGTTCTTGTTGACTCCACCGACCGTCCTCGCCATCTTCGCCCGCTGTAACTCCAACTGGTCGGCCGCGGCAAAAATTTCCCGCTGCCGAGTTTTCAGGGCCTCGAGCTTTGCGCCACGCATATCCTGAAGGCGTTTCCTCCTTTTCCGCTCGGCACGCAAACGGCTCAGGGCGTCTTGTTCGGCTTGAAGGGCTTTCTTCGATTTAGGTTTCGGTGGATCGTCTTTATCGTCAGGGATCTGGGCCACTGTTGTCGCTCGAATCCCAGCATCTTGCATCGGTTGATCTGTTTCACCGCCCGAAGATTGGTCTTGTAGCACTTCCCCGTTCGATGTCCGCTTCTTCCCTCTGATGGTCCTGACACCTTCATCGTCCTCAAATGTTTTCTTCGTGGCGGGCTTCAACGTTCCGAGGGTGACGCTGTCCATACCCACCTCTTGGGTCAGTCTCTCAATCTCCCTCCTGCCTTTCGCGGCTACAGTCCTCAAATACCCAGCATCCTGTGTCTTCAACAACTTGACCGCGTCATGGCTTAACGGGACACCTTCTCTTGGTCTCTTGTTGTTCCCACCTTCATCATCCGCAGTCTGCTGCTTGGATTTGTGCTTTCCCAACCCCGCCCTCCCTTGACTGATCATGCCAAAGGCAAATTCATCTGGGTTTCTCTCCCTGGCCTTTTGTGATAGTTGGGAAAGCTTTTTCTTCTTGAGATTGTAGTCCTGCGCGCGGAGGGAGTAGTCCTTGTGTTTTTCGAGCAGGCCCCATTTTTCGCGAGAGGCGGGTTGAGCGCGTTCCTTGTGTGGACGCCGGGAGACGGCGTTGCGGAGGGAAGACATCTTCTCTTGCGGTCTCAAGAGTTCGAGATCACGAGAGAGGATGCGAGTGATTTCGAGAGTGCGGTCAGAAGTTAAAGAGCGACGATGGTGGTTTTGTCACACAAAATATTCGGAGGCGTTTGGGGAAATTTCGTGCACACTGCGAAGTCCGCATCCGTAGGTTTCTCCACACCTGCTTCTCGTGTTGGTACGGAGTAGAGCTCTCTAGATCAATTTATTTGCTCACCATCGATCATCTCATGCATATAAACCAGACTTGCCATGATCGATGAGTCGAATCCGTAAGGGCTTCGTACTCTAGTTCACATATCACATATCACACTCCAGAGCAATGGAGATGGCTTCGTCCATCATCCCTGAACCAGCACGACAGCCATCCAGCAGCAGACAGCAACCTCAAAACAACCTGCACAATCCTCTTCCTCTATCTGCCTCTCAAGAAGCCGAAGTCCGCAATCTCTATCACAAACGTGTCCGCACAAAATGCGCCGACGTGATCAAAGACTTTGCTGACTGCGCCCGCGGCCGCACCATCAGCGTCGCCTGGACCTGCAAAGAGCAGCATTTGGCCATGAACAGCTGTATGATCCAATATGCCACAAAGGCCGAGCAAGATGCCGCAAGAGAAGAGTGGTTCCAGGGCATTCTGGCCAGGAGGAGACAGAAGGAGGAGGAGCTTGCCGCCGTGGAAAGACGGAGGACGGAGGTGATTGAGTTGACGAGAAGACAAGAGGAAAAGGAGAGGGCGGAGGCAGAAAGGAAGAAGAAGGAGCTTGAAGAAAGCAAGAGAGACAAAGACGGAGACAAAAAGAAAGGAGCCTTCTGGTGGCGATGATCGATGCGCTGAGAGATCCTCGCACTGTCTAGCTCATGGAAGCGACTTCACGGCCTTCGCAGCTGCCTCGGAATGAGATATTGAGCTCGACTGACATCTGGCACATTGAGCCATGACCATAACAGACGTTTCAGCAACTCCTTCGCTATGAAATTGGACGTCAGCGAGACCAGCAGATGATGCCGTTCCACGTAACACATTTCGAAGAGAGCAGCCTACGGCACATCGTTGGAGTGCATATTGGATCTCTTTCAGTTCTTGGGTCTATATCGTCGACATCCTCCAGCAATTTCCTCACACCACAGACGGTGGAATCGATTCATTCCTCCCAGTTCCACCAGCTTGGAAGCAGAGCACAAGCTTTTCGGCTCGAGAGAATTCCCCCAGGATTGATCGATTGGTCTCTCAACGTTCAAGAAAACGAAGGGCATCCGCGAACAATCTCACCGCGACAATTTTTCGCCAGTGAGTAGCGCAACACTTTACCATCACCACAATCGTCCATAATCTCGTTCAAGTTCTTGCCGACCGGGTATCTCCATGACTTCCATTCGTTCCTCGAGCTCATCGCTGCTGTCGACCTCAGCCTCCCTCACGGCCACATCCACATCCTCATTATGCCAGTCTAATGCCTCATCTTCCCAATCCTCATCTCCATCGATCTCTGCCTGGATCTGTTTGCGCTTTGGGCGGCGGTTCTCTGCGGGGACCTGATCTTCCCATTGCTTCTCGGCCTCAATCTGGGCTTGTCTCTCTGCTTGGACGTGGGCACGATAGCGGGCCTCGAGGTCCCATCTTGCTTGGATGTGAAGGTATATCACATAAACCGTGAGAAGCCAGGTCAGAATATTGCCGATGGCAATTAAGATTTCGAAGGGCGTTGGCTCTACATTTGCCGATGCGGCTGCCTGAGATGAAGGTCGCCGGGGAGTTCCTAGCACTGTGCTCATGGTATCTTTCGGTCGGACACGTGGTGGCTCTGGCGGGGACGTCGGTGACAGTTGGATGGGAGCCGGTTCTGGAGGTTTTGATGGTGATATCAGCCAAGGTTCTAGTCGAGGGTATGGAGCCTTTCCAACCTATTTCAGAACTGCAAAGTTTGTGGTTCGCGAGTTATCGGGCAATGGGTGCGTGGATGCAAATATAAGATGTCTGAAGATGTGTGTTTGTGCACAGTCAAAATCAAGGAATTTATACAAACGCAAGCAAAGGTTCACGGTGACCCACGGAAATGCGCGGAACGGAGAGCAATCGACAGAATCACCCAGCGACGGTTCATTGTGACAATCAAGACACGCCGGGCGGTGCAACGCTCGAGCTTTAACCGCTGGTGCCGTTAGGTTTGGTTTTCTCACACAGTGAGACAAACAGACAGAGAGGCGAACCGGCAGACAGACAGGTTGCTTTTTCCCGTTTTGTCATGTTATCCTCGGAGCGGTAGCTTCTCAGCGAAGACAGTGACGATGGATGTCGCAGCGTGTGCAGGTCGTTTTGAAAAAGCGGAGCGCGGTGCTTCCTGTTTCCCTCCATTCATGAGCCCCAAACTGAGAGCTTGAGCAGTGATCCCTTCGCTGGTTTGTCCAGTGAAGGCGGCCGGGTCACCTGGATGGCGCCGGGCCACGAAGGTATATTGTCTTTGCAAAAACGAGGCATGTTGTTCAATTTTCGTCGGGTTCTGGAGTTCCAAACTGGAATTTTGCAAGGAGCATACCCTCCTGGAGTATGTGGTGATGTTAGTGGCCCCCTTAACGAGACGAAGTTGAGAGAATGACTCTCCTACCAAAACGAGGTGTGTTGTTTTGTTTTCGTCGATTAGCGGAATCACAAGTTGGGAAGTATTCAGGAGCCAGTCATCACTATTGAATGGTGGCGTGAAGGACGACGACCATTCTCGTACAAAAATTGAAGCATGTTGAGGTAGCTTCGTCGATTCACGATTCATGGGATACCTACCGATTTGGGATATTTGCATTTCACGGCGCGGTGACTACCTTCAAGACATGTGAGAGACAAGTCGTCCTCCGGACAAAAGCGAAGCGAGTTGTTCTGTGCCTTTGTCGATTCACGACACTGCCGATGTGGGAAGCTTCTAGACTGTTAGGTGGTCAAAGGGGATTTATGCAGAGGACGGCTTGTCCTCTCGCAGGAGAAACGAGGCGGGTTGATCTGGCTTCGTCGATTCGCGAAACCGCCGAATGGGGAAAGACTCAAGACTGATTGTCCTCACGCCAAAAAACGAGGCGGGTTGATTTGGCTTCGTCGGTTCACGACGTCCAAATCGAGGCGTCACAAGCGCGGCTCCCCTTGACTGTGAATGGACATCCGTCCACTGTCCGGCAAAAAAGAGAGGCGAGTTGAATTGACTTCGTCGGTTCACACGGTGAGAATTAGGAAGTTTCCAGGGCGGTCATCCAGGTGGTCCTGTCCAGGTCCGGGTCAGGCGTAAATCCCAGGAGCAAGTGCAGATGCCCTTTGACACAAGGCACATGCGAAGAAGACAAGTCCTCAGTGAAGGACTGACCTGGACTTGCTCCGGGGATATGATATGTCGTGGGAACAGTTATAAGCTAGGTTTTCGAGGACATGCGATGAGAAGAGCTTGAGAGATTCTTCTTCAGGAGTTTCTGAGGAATTGAATAAGATCACTTTGTCAAATAGCGGCATTTATCATCTTTATCCTCATCATATCATATATCTCCATAATACCCGTGCCATCTGCCGTACACGACGTACGTTATATGATATACACCGGCTCTCTACGACCCATCCCTCAGTCAATGCACCCATCCATCTCACCACTTCAACTCCTTGTCCCACACCTCGCAAAACCCTTCAACAGCCCTCACAAACATGGCCACATGTTCCTCCGTCAGCATAATGTTGAGAGCCACGAATCCTCTCGATGCGATGTAGATCCCCTGCGCCAGCATGTGGTGGTAGAAGAGGTCTTGCAAGGTGGTCGCCTCGGGGCCCGTGAATTGGATGGCCATGAGACTCCCCTTGCCCTTGATGAACATCTTGGGTGGCCGCTGGGGCATAGCGTCTGTGACGGGACTTGATGGAACGGTGGTTCCCTCCAGGATGCCGCGATTTGACAGCACGGTCTCGACTTGCGTCCTCATACGGTCGCCCAGCGCGTTCAGGTTGTTGATTGTCTCGGGATTGAGCAGGTTGCAGCCCGCGACCCCGGCGGCCATAGTGAAGCAATTGTTATTGTACGTCCCCGGATGCAGAAGCGTGCCGTCGCGCGGATCGTACAGCTTCATAATCTCCCTCCTTCCGCCAAACGCACCAAAACTCATCCCTCCCCCGACCCATTTTCCGAGCGTCATCAGGTCCGGCGTGAGGCCCGTTTGGCTGCCCAGGCCGTGGTAGTGCAGGCGCGAAGTCATGACCTCGTCAAAGATCAGTAGCGCGCCGTGCTCGGTCGCCAGCCGGCGGAGTGTGGACAGGAATTCTGGGGTTGCGGCGTAGCACCCGCCAGACCCGAGCATGGGTTCCAGCAAGATTGCAGCGAGGGAGTCCTTAGGGAGAGAATTGACCAGGGATTCAGTGCCCTGGACGTCGTTGTAGGTGGCCAAAACGAAGTCGTGAGGCAGGTTGATTGAGGTTTTGTCGGAGAGCTTGATTCCTGAAATTGTGGAACCGTGGTAGCCTGGAGTTTTGCATCAGTACAAGGCTCGCTTTCAATGACTTCGGTTCTACCTTTGTGGAAGAGGAGAATCTTTTTCTTTCCAGTGAAAGCCAGCGCCGTAGCAAGCGCCATCATGTTGGCTTCTGTCCCCGAATTGACAAACCTCACCAGCTCCATCGCTGGGAACCGCTCACAGATAATCTTTGCGAGTTCCGGCTCCAGCTTGTTGTGACCTCCATAGTTCCAGCCGCCGTGCAGTGCGGACTCCACCGCCTGTCTTATAACAGGATGGTTGTGCCCGTATATGCCTGCCGTATACTCGCCTAGGAAATCGACATAGGTGTGCCCGTCGACCGTTGTCAGATAACACTCCTTCCCGTGGTCGATGGTCAACGGGAAGGGATTTGTGTGCAGCACTGTCCGCGTGTTGCCGCCGGGCAAGTATTTGCAGGCTTCCTCATGGTATTTGAGCGATTGAGGGTTTTTGTGCTCGTATTCACCGTGAGCGTGAATAGTGGCGGCGCGGAGCGCGACCTCGCTGGGTTCTGATAAGGAACCCATGTCGATGAACAGTGAAGGGACCGGCAAAGAAATCAACGGTTCAGATTTACCTCTTGCTCACACCAGCAGTGATTTCCATCAAGGCGAAAAAGGTAGGAGAGAATACGGAGTATAGATGTGTCGAATGGTGGTCGTCCTTGACTAGGTATCAAAAAAATCTTCAATATCTTCGACCAACGCCCTGTGATCAAGTTAGATCAACCGATAAACATCGAGGTAATAGTTTCTCTGCTTTCGGTATTGGCTGATCTCCGTACCCACCCCATCTGGAGATCTCCCCAGTTCCATTGGGCGACAGACCAGCTGCTTAGGCGACAGTCAGCGATGGTAGCGAGCATTGCTAGAGGCGGGTAGAGCCAGATCCAGCCGAAAGGACAGGCGTTGGAACAGACTGTGGCGGCAAGGTAGGAGTGACGGAACTCTCCCCAGGTTGCCGTCAATTGAGGCTAGGTGACTGAAGGTTGAATGTTGTTCCTAAAGGAGGCATTAGTTGATGCGGATGACCTGAGCAGCATGAGTGCCGGTTCCATGCTGGTGACAGTTGGGCGGTGGCTTCCTGTAGCTGGTAGGTTCTTGGTGATTCAGTTAGAGAGGCACGTTCCGCCCGCAGGAAATGAGCCACGCAATCAAGGGCATTTGCATCCCAACCAGTAAACGGTGACACTGCACTGTCACTGACACGACGAGGCAAACGTTCTTTCTTTTTGTCACTGCTGGACGAATATTCCCTACACAGTCTTACCGCTCATTCATTGCCAATAAATACGGCCACAATCCTCAGCTTCTCAGCCTGAATCTCCGAGTGTATGTTTGCCGAGCTCTTACCAGGCCGTCGTTCAAGTGAGAACCTAACTCGATCTCCCCCTGCGTGCCCCGCCTCTGACCTCTCACCACCTTCTGATAGCCATCACCACAGAGCCAACCAAGTCCCAGCACCGCCGAGTCAACCATGAGCTTCTCAGCGAGACGGGTTTCGACCATGAGGTCGGCGCTGCATGCCAGCACAGATGGTCGCCGTTTCTCCGTCCATCCTGAAGATGAAAACATCTCTGCTCCACACCGAAGTCTCCGCGATCATCCGAGCCACAAACCGCATTCGGCGCTTGACACTTCAAGAGCTTCAACTGGTGTCATTTGGTGATTGAAACGCGCTCGTCTTTCCCCGCAATTTTATGTCTGACGGCGGAAAAGGACCACCGAACAAGCAGCGAAACATGGCTTTCTCGATGAGCCCGAGAAGTGGGCCAACCTCGGTCAAGGCGCCCCTGAAGTCGACGACGATATTGTGAGTGTGATCCAACGTCTCTTCGGCTTTCCTGATACGTTCCGTGGCTACATCAAGCCATGTCGTGGAGTTCTAGCATGCAGACTGCGATTGCCAGAATACTGATATCTTTATGACCACAGGAAGGCTGCTTTCCTCGCCCAACTTCAATCCCGCTGACTAACAATGGACGAGAATATGGGCCAACAGCCGGTATTAAGCCTCTTCGGGCGGCCGTGGCGAAGCTGTACAGTGCGTTATCTCTGTCAGATGTTTTCGGTTCAAGGTTTCTGTTACGGGCAGAAGTCTTCCCTCAAATCAGTCTTCTAGTGAAGCTAACCTGAAGATACTCAGACGACAACTACCGTGCGGGCAAGGAGAGCCAATACTCGTGGGAGAACGTCTGCATTGTACCAGGAGGAAGAGCTGGGTTGATCAGAATCGCTGCTGTGCTGGGCAATGCGTATCTCGGCTTCTTCATCCCTGATTATACCGCATACAACGAGGTAACGATGTCAAGCGGACGTTGATTCTATGCAGTATGGACTAACATGTTCTCACAGATGTTGTCCCTGTTTCGTAACTTTGTAGCCATACCCACCCCTCTCTCTGAAGCTGATGGATACCATATGTAAGTGTGCTGGGGAAAAGGTTGTCTCTATTACAAGAGCTATCTCAAAGTAACAACGGTTCAGCCATGTCGACAAGATCGCCGACGAGCTGGCGCGCGGTACCAGTGTCATCTTGACCTCGAATCCTCGCAACCCAACTGGTCACGCTCTGGATCCTGAAGAGCTTGCCCTGATCCAAGACATTTGTCGGGACAGAGCAACATTGATCTTTGATGAGTTCTACGCTGGTTACAGGTAATGTTTCTTGAATCTTGCACCCTGCATAGAAGACACCTCCCTCTGGTTTCTGTCTCCTCCAAGGTGTATTTCCATCACTGATGAATGGTAGATACGACACAAACTGCGACGGCAGTACCATTTCTGCTGCTTCCAACGTCGTAAGTGCTACTCTTGATCTACACTCGACAGTGATTTCGGGCAAATTGACTGAAGGCGATCGATAGATTGACGTTGATCGAGACGACGTGATCTTGATTGACGGTCTCACAAAACGCTTCAGACTCCCGTAAGTCTCCCGAGTGAACACGGCTTGAACACTGCAACGCTCTGTCTTGCCCGAGCCCGCTTTTCAGCGCTAACGTCAAAGCCAGAGGGTGGCGCGTCGCTTGGATTGTTGGTCCGAAGGAATTTATCAAGGCGCTCGGCTCATGTGGCAGCTATCTCGATGGTGGCTGCAACGTACCATTTCAGGAGGCTGCCGTTTCCATGCTCGACCCTCGTAAGTCTGCTTTCTGCCACGTCCCGAGACGAGAGAGTGTGACCCAAGGCTTTCGTCTTGGACTGAACCGACGACATTGCTAATATGTCTGGCACAAAAGCGAAAGTCAAGGCTGAAATGAAAGCTCTTCAAAGTCACTTCAAGATGAAGCGAGATTACGTCCTCAAGAGACTTCAAGAGATTGGATTCAGATGGGGTGAACAGAACGTGCCACAATCGACTTTTTACATATGGTTGGATTTGACGTCGCTGGAGCCTCCCTTGCCAAAGAACAGTCCCATTGACATCTCCAATGGACTTGCATTCTTTGACGCACTGGTACGATCCCTACATTTCGTGGACGTTGTTTCCATCCTGGCAAAGTTACTCCTGTGATGGTTGTCCTTGTCGGTACAGGCTAACGAATATCGGCAGCTCCAAGAGAAAACCATCGTTGTTCCGGGAATCTTCTTTGACCTCAATCCAGTAAAGAGACGCGACCTTTTCGATAGTCCTTGCCATCACTTTGTCCGCGTGAGCTATGGTCCCAAACTTGAGCAACTGAAGATGGGCATGGATGGTATCGAGAGGGTGGTCAAGCGTGCAAGGGGCGAGTTCGGATTCAGTGACACTGCGATCCAGGATGAGCCTGAGAGCAAGAGTCCTCGCAGCCCGATTCAGTTCTGGAAGGGACAAGGACAGGGCGAGCATCTGCCATCGCGATGATTCATTGGGTGAGACGAGAAAGGAAGTGGTTCTAGGGGGGTGGTACATTTAGAGGTACAGCTATGAGCCACAGAGATGCCATGGTTCTCTCTCCCAACGCCCTTTGTCCAGAACTAGCTTCTGCCATAACACATTTATGGATGGTTTGATTAACAGACATGAAAAATTGAAAAACTTGCTCAAACAGGACTTCATTATCTCCCTCCTTTTTCGTCCATTTCCCGTCATAATTTGGTAAGCCCGCCGGCGTCAGGCAACTCGGGCAGCTTGGGAAGCTTTGGTAATTTGGGGACTTTGGGTAACAATTTTGGTAGCTTCGGTGTGACTTTGGGCAGCTTGACTTTTGGGAGCGACAAATCAAGCCCTGAGGATCAATTCCTTTCGTTAGCCTTTAGCTGCAAAGTTTCCACAACATTAGAGATAGGGGGCTAGGTTACTCACAGGAGTGCTAATGTCAGATCGCCGTGGATGCTGGCCTTGAGTTCGATTTCAATGTCGAGGTTCAACTCCAGGCGGAGTTTCAAGCCACTGGTTTTCGAGTTCAACAGTCAGCAAAAACTCCGTAATATATTTTCACACATGGGTATGGGATTCGGGGAAGAGGAGAAAAACGTACTCTTGATCCATGGGATCTTTGCCGCTGCTATCCTTTGAGTCGATGGGTTGGGCGGTTTCCAGCGGTTGGGACGGCGGAGGGCCTCGCCAGGGGATTTCGCCCCGGATCATGCGCGCGTATGTCACGGGTCCTTGCATGGATTGCGAGGGCGGCTTGATCCTCTCGAATGGTTGGAACTCTGTCAGATCTCGCTGTGGCCGCTGTTGTTAGTATTTTTATGCTCTCTTGCTACACCGGATATGCCTGCCTTCTCAGCAAGCAAGGAGGGGAACTTACAGGGTCCGGGTTCTGTAGCCACTGCGGGTTCTGTTGCTGTTCACTCGGATGCTGCTCTGTCTGCTGAGCCCGTCTTGCGACTTGTTGTTGCTGCTGTTGCTGCTGTTGCTGTTGGGGTTCGGCACCCTCGTCGATCGACGCCATCGAACTCGCATTGGCGTTCCCAGCCTGGGCTCGGGCCTGAGCTTGCCTCTGTCGTTGGTTCTGTCGTCTCCGTCGTCGGGATTGAGATCTTGATCGCGACTCGTATCCCTGGTCGTCCGCGCTCTCCGTCTCGTCAGAGTTGCTGCGGTCTAGACCCGGCCGACTTGGCTTCTTGCCCCCAGGTGTTTGCTCCGGCGTGGGTGTTTGCTGTGGCTCCGACATGGTGGTGGTGGTGGCGGCCACAGGGTGATGATGGGAGAGTCAGAGGGAGGAGTTCAAGGAGGGAAAGAGAGAGAGAGAGAGAGAGACTTTGGAAGTATATGGGAGAGGGATAGGGACGGTGTGTATTCAAGAGGGGGGAAAGGAGTGGTAGAATAGATTAGAGCCCCCCAAAAAGAAACTTGGTACGCGTGAGCAAGGAGGTGGTTTCAAACGGAGAGGGGAGGGACCAGGTCGGGAAAAAAGGTATTCGGGGAAAAAGAAGTGCTTGCAACAACGACATCATCGGTGACCAGGGGGGTTGCCATCAGGGTCTGAATGTTCCCCAGACCCGGTTCTGCAGCGTCCAACCCTTCTTCCCCTTCATCTCTTTGGGCTGCTTGCGGGTTGCATGAAAAAAGCGGCGGGACTGCCTGCGCCATTGATCGACGATGCTGGGTGATCCGATCTTCTACGCTTGACCAAGATTTTGGGCAGAGAGGCTGGAGACATGGATCAAGACTTGCAAGGCTCAGAGTCTGCGAATGCGGAACTTGGAACAATCCTGGTCGGTGGATTCTGATGACATGTGGCGTCAGAGCCGCTATTGGCTTATGAGTTGCCAAGACGTAACGTGGAAGCGGGGGGCCGATTGTGGCGCTCAATGTGGCGTCCCCACCAACAACTTGAAGTCCAACGGGAATCCTGCAGGATGACGCAAGGCTTTCTTCTTGACTTTGACTTTGTGCGATCGTCCGTCTTCGATCACCATCGCTTTTTCCCATCTTCGGGGGTGTCTTGAGAAACGGAAATGGCAGAAAGGAACCTAGTTATGAAGTAGTCCTGCTACTCCGCAAAGTAAAGATTGACCGGGACTTGCTTCAGCACGGAACCACTCACGGGCTGAGGAGCAACACACACAAGCAATTGATGATCTGTGCATCTGCAACCAAGAGGGCTGCGCTGAGGTGCAAATACGATCTCCACACGCACTGCTGACCCCTAAATCGCCGATTGAAGAAAAGAGTCGGTGTCAATTGAGGTTGTTCCCTTTCCTACTTTTGATACCTAGCGACCTACCTAGATGGTTTCCTCTCTCTGTGATCCTGCCATGATCCCTGCTCCACAACAGCCACAATGCCCGGAAGAGGGATCCCTCTTTTGCGGCCATTGGCTTGCCAACGTGGTCGAAACCTGGTTTCAATGCCACAACCGACTCCCCTCTGTCGATCCTGTCGCCGATCTGTGGCGTTGCATGCCACCACCTCGCTCAAAAGCAGCAGCAATCGACGTCATGAGCTTGCGTGGAGAGGCACGAGCCATGTAAGTCACTACTCAAGTCGTCTGCCTCCTGACGTCTGTTGTGGGGTTTTTGGTACTACAATTGCAGCGACTTGTTGCCAACCTTGATTTCCCCATTCCAAACTGGAGCAATAAGCAACCTGGTCGTCATACGTCGGGAAGAGAGGCCCTCTTTTTTTTTGGTCCGTATACTCCTCCTTCTTCAATCCTCCCCCCTTGCACATCTCCCTTCTTCCTCAATCTCCTCAGCATGTCGTCCGAACAAGAGACGAAGAGCACCGAAGAAACCCAAATCGGCGGAAACCTCGACGCTGCTGGCTCTGCTTCAGGCGCGGCCAACCTCGGAGCAAACGCTTCCTCCAAGAAGTCGGAAGAGAGACGAAAGCCCAAGAAGCTCGGCCAGAAAGGTCAAGCAAACGGCGAAGGCGAAGCAGACGGTCAACCGGACGAATCTCCAACAACACCACAACCCAAGATGGACTCGCAGGCAGCGTCGTCAGCCCGCTCCGGGTCCCGACGAGGCAGTCGCGGTCGCGGTCGAGACTCGAGTGAGCCCCCCAGTGACGCCGACAGCGCATATCGAAGCGACGTCTCTCAGAAAGGCGGACGACGGAACCGAAACCGGAACAGAGGCAAGGCCCAGGCCCAGACACAGGCCCAGACCCAACAACAGCAGGGAGGAAAGGGCGGCGGCCTCCTCGGCGGCGGCGGCGGGCCGCTCGATGCGGTTGACGAGGTTGGCGACACCGTGAACGGCGTCGTCGACGGCGCCGGAAATCTCGTCAACGACACTGTCGGCAAGACCTTGAGCAAACCCCACGAGGCCCTCGGAGGTCTGCTCCACAGCAAAGGGGGCAAGGAAGGCGAAGAGGAAGGCGGAGACGAAGGTGAAAATGAGCAATTGAGATTACGACTCGACCTCAACCTCGACATCGAGGTCCAACTCAAGGCCAAGATCCATGGCGATTTGACTCTGGGCTTATTGTCAGTCATGTCACCAATCCGCTGCGCGAATGCTAACGTCTCACAGGAACTAGTGCATGAATCCCCGATTCGACACCGTCCTTTCACCACCCTCCATCCAATATACCTCTCACCCACACCTTTACAACCACAGCCAGTACAGATCAAACCAGCAGGCACAAGAGTTGTGGGGGCCGCTCGAGCAAGGGCCCATTGGTTCATTGCTTTGTTGTGTTTTTGCTCAATCGTGATTCCGAGATCAGTGTCATGGCGTCCAGTTGTTTTTTCCCAATCTACCATGGACGGCGAGATAGGGTGTTTCTGTGTATGTAATAAAAGAATGACGACCGTATCATGTAGAGAGAGTTCTGAATGTGTTTTACCTCACGTAAAGCCGAGATTTTGCATATATCTACTAGCCACCATACCCCATCCCCTCCCCTCCCTCAGGGGTGGTGGGGTGTGACAGAGAAAAAGGAACCTGTATGAGAGCTCGTTGCCGAGGCGAGGAGAATATTCTCGCGCCTTATAAGCAATCTTGCACGACTCAAAGGTCAATCAAGGCCCCAAGAGCACCCCCAAATGTCAAACTTCGCTCCCGTGCTGGGTTAACATGCCCTCCGTGTTGGAACTGCCATATGAGAAGCTTGACCCGAGCCTCTTTCAAAGGACCTTGCGGGATATTCCGCAACCATTTGTTGATTTCCGTCCGCCTTTGTAAAGTTGTAGGTCTATCTTCGCTCGGGTCGTATCGCCTCAAGAACGGGAGACTCGCGGCACGCTTCAATTTCTTGCGCGAAGCTCTGCTAAACCAATGATCACGTCTCACTCGCCCCAGCATATCCGGTGGCTTTTGCAACATGTCGAAGCTCCAACTTCGCTTGATACGATGACTGGTGGAGAAGATTGAGATCATGAAGAACCTGAGCCGCTGGAAGTTGTTGTAAGCGGTGCCGTCGGTGCTGCTAAGAACACGAGCAAGAACCTTGATGGTGGTGAGAATGCCGATAACGAAAGGTATAAGTTGCCCGGTCGACCCAATGTCGTACGATCCCTCGACAGAATTCCAGAAGATGGTCAACTCGATTCCGATGATGGAGAACACGTAGTAAACAGCCAAAACTACCAGATACGTGGCCCACTTTGCCGATATCCTGTTCTCTTGAGATCTGAAGGGCAGAGTGCCTGCCCTCCTTACTCCGGGTTCCGACATGGTGCCGCGTTGCCTGATCCTGGTCCATTTCCCAGCAAGCTTGTCCATGACTGGCATGTATCCAGAGATTGGCCGCAGAGCAGAGTACTCCATTAATCGCTTCAGGGCTCTCCAGTTCAAGACTGATCTGCGCATCTTGCGAGTGAACCGGAGCACCTTCTGGACCGGGTGAGGGTCTCGAAATATGTCATACACTGAGGCGATGATCGAATGAAGAATCCATCCCAAAGCTCCCGGAAGACAGATGGCGTAGACAACGACCACAAGACCAATACCTATGGCTAAGCCCAATGCCACGCTAGCAACGTAGAAAACAGCACAAGCCAACAGCCATGTTTGTGGCATTAGCATGATGGCGACAGATGTGAACTTGTAGAACCCCTGGAGGCGACCATTTGCTGTAAGTTTCGCAAAGAAGAATGCATACGTCGGGCAGGGATTATCTTGCTGGAAGTAGCCGACTCCTCGAAACCAGAACCAGGCATTGTAAGTTGAGACCAGACCAGCCACGAGAATTCTGAAACCCAAGGCTGAGGGCGTCGTTATGAGTGCAGCCAGCTTCTTGGCCTCCTTTGCTCGTTTGTACTCTTCTGTGAGATGAGCTAGCGAAAAGCCACAAACAATGATAAGCCAGATCATGCGAAGCATGATTACAACGTCCACCAACTCAATGGACCGAGATGGCGTGCTCTTCAATACCGCAACAAAAGTTGCCAGCAGTAGGATAGCATTGCTGTCGTGCGCATCATAAAGCGCATCTGAGGAATCCGGGTCGATCATGAACAACATGGTGGAAAAGATCTGCAGATAGATACCCAGACGGATTCCGAGCCCGTAGAAGTCAGCATTGCCAGGATGGTCGCATGATGTTGGTTGAAGAGACTTGATAGCCACTCCTGGAAACAGCCTCCCCTTTGGTATGGGCGCCGATGTCGTCAAGACCGAAATCGCGGTCAGTAAAGCCAGGTGTTTCTGCGTGAGCTTGGAGAATGCCATCTCTGGCATCACTTTGTCTCGTGTTGTGAAGCTCATGATGTACCTTCAGCGAGCACTTTGGCCTTAGAAATTGAAAGCGACGATTGAAGAAAGCGGACGGTCGCGTGTGCGGCTGAGAAGGCGGTGCGTGCCACCACACATTTTGAACTAATGATCTCCGATGGACGCCACGGCTACTTCAAACCACCAAGCCGGAATCTAGAATTGGCCACTGCCTTGGTCGCGAATAGGATGGCCTTGGCAGACGCCGGTGCATACTGCACAGCATCGCCCTGAGTGGCAGAGAGAGTTCTCGAAGGCCGTATGAATCACTTATTGGAATGAAAATATCATCATGAAATAGCTCTCCAGGAGCTGAAGTCGTCCAAAGCCGGCCTGAGTCCTTAGCGGAGGGACAGGACAGACGGCGGACATTCTGCGAACAATACAACAAGAAAGTGGAACAGACTGTTGGGTCCTTGTTGACACTATTGTGGTAGGGTGAAGTTAGAATCGGGGGAAACTACGAGTAGTAATAGATAACAGCCTTGATGCAAGAGCGGACCTCACTGCTTGGACTTCCCCTAGTATCTGCTCGCGGTCCACCCCGTGTCCGGCGTAGGGTGATGCCGCCCTGTGATCCCGGCGGCGTGAGCCGGCGTGAACGGTCACTCGTGTCTCGCCATTCGTGGGGGCCACCGTAGGCGCTATATCCATTGGCCGACTGGAAGTACTGGCCGGGCTACCCACATAGCTAATTAAGAGGGATACTCTATACTTAAAAGCGGGCATTGCTGATTACACCCATCATCTGATATATCGACGAGCAAGGCCTTTACTGTCTCGGTTATCCCAGCATGGCGAGTGAGGTATCTGGTCGTTTCGGTCTCGCTCGTAAGAGCGGTCCATGGACCATAGCACACCGGCTCTTAACGATGTCTAAGCGCGATCTGCGAAGCTTTTCGATATGCTTCCGGATACCTAGGTCTTGATGCACACCTTGAAGGAGACCACATACATACATACATACATACATACATACATGCATACATACATACATACATACATACATACATGCATACATACATGCATACATACATACATACATACATACATACATGCATACATACATACATACATACATAACAATTTGTTCAGTAGTTTATGTTGTCCTGTGGAGTCAGCGAGCAACAAAGATCTCCTCATTGAAACTACTTTTCGATACAAACTTAACACTTCAGGAAGAAAGTGGCGTGAATGTCGACCAGGCAAGAGCGAAATCCTGCTCCTGACCAGCCAGGATTTTCTGTGCATGCACTTTCACACGGAGGGTGCCTTTAGGCAAAGTACTGAGGATGATCTGCTCAACATTGTTCTCTGTGTCGGGATCATTGACCGATCCTTCATTGCCATATCTGGTCTCATTCGTGATAGCGTCGATGACGATGAGATTGAGATTGTTCTGGATCCTCAACCTCCCGATGTCATTGTAGACCATGGTGATCTTGAAGTGAGAATTGGGATCATTGGCATCAGCGAGTGACAGCACGAATTCGCATTCATCATCCTGCTTGAGATGGTCGCCGATGAGCGTGCCTCCTGATAGAGGCAAAGTTGTGTCCAATCGAATATCCTTGGCCGTTGCTGGTGGCGACTGTAGCATTGCAGCTGATGCGTGCAGATTAACTCGGCCATGTCCTTGCGCGTTAATGTCAACATCAGGGAGCTTGTCTGCTCCGTTCAGGATGACGGCTTTGAGAAGAGCAGCCGGTGCTTTCGTGCACCCCTTGCTGTGTAAGATCTCGCGCAGAACTGCCGCACATCCAGCCACCAGTGGTGCTGCCATGCTGGTACCCGAGTCCGGCCACCAGCTAACTTCCTTTGCGTCCGGGCAGGTCGCCAAAAACCGGCTTTGTTTCGAGGCTCTGGATTTTGCAGAGTATACGCTGAACCCAGGCGCGACCACATCGGGCTTCAGTCGTTTTTCTTTGGTTGGACCACGACTGCTCTTGGGCCAAATCGCACTTGGTATGGTATCAGGTACGTCCTTGTCCATAGAATGTCTCGTAGAGCCAGAAGCTCCAACTGTGATACAATTCTTGGCTGCGGCTTCGGGACCAATACTTGGGCCCCCTTCAGCTTCGACATTGTAATTGCCTGCCGAAAAGCAGACAAGCATCTCAGGGTTATTGCGGACAAAATCATCAATCGCTGTGGCTGTAGCGGCGTAGTCCAACTGCCCTCTTTTCTTGTCAAATGGTACCCCCCAGGAGTTGGAATGTATCCGAGAATTTGCAGAGTACGACTGTTTGAATAAATCGGAAGGAAGTATAGGCGGCTTGACCTTCCGCTTCGTGTCCAACAAGGACTGAACTATGAGGCTTGCCTCTTTAGCAACACCACCAATGATGCCTTTGTCAGTCTCGAAATCTTGTCCCAATACAATGCCGCAGACATGTGTGCCGTGTCCATCAGGATCATTGACCTTCTGCTGATCTGAAAGAGCTTCCTTGGACCGCCCGAAGGACACCAGCTGCATTACCTTCCCAGTAAATGCGGGATGGCAATCTTCTGTACTACCAATGTCGAAGCCAGAGTCCGCGACAGTGACAATCTGGCCCTTGCCACCAAATGCAAGCCCTTCCACCTGAACGTTATCAGCATGGACGACCTGCCTTGCTTCATCATCGTATAATACTGGTTGCAAGACTTCTTCAATGATGCGTACCCTGTCGTCCTTTGCAATGTCCACGAGTTGACTTAGTTTTGCTGTTAGTCGTATCTTACCAGGCACAATTTCCATCTCATCCCTTGAGATCTGCGTCTTGCTTACGATAGTGCTGGCTAAAGACTCGATATCTTGGTCGTTCACTTCTTCGTGCACTTGCACATCAATCTCAACCTCAGGCTCGGTACTATCTGTCAATTGTGTCGAGTCATCGGGAGATGAGAGCAAAAGATTTGGGTCTTCGACCACGGCTTCCAAGCTTGCAGGAATTTTGTACAAATTGCGATAGACGTCGACTTGCCGGACAAATTCCTTTTGACGTATCGGCAACAGATCATCAGGATCGTAATAGCAAAGGAAATTGTTGTCCCCAAGGTCTTCAACAATTACTACTCCGAGAGCCTGCAACTCGTCTTCTTCTGCAATGCTCAGGATGTGACGAACCGTGACAATGATATGCTTCGTGTTCCGAGCGTCACGCGCATAAAATTCCAGAGGATTGATTGTTCGACCGTTGACTTCGACAGGTGCGGCATCGGCAGGAGGTGTTATCGAAGACATGGTATCACAAGGTAAGTCTGTTCAGAGAGGCCCTGCTTGATGCGTTAGCTGGGTAGCTCACCATCTGAGGAGTTGATTTTCAAAGTGTCGAGTATATCGAGGATCACCGACTTTGTGATGCGGACCCATACAGCTCATGAAAGTTGCGGCTGGCACTGGGTTTGAGTTCATCAGCGTCGCCAAAGGCATGGGACGTAACTGCTCAGCTAGCCACAGATGATGTTTAAGTCCAATCGACAATCGAAGTCCGAGAGGAAAGGTCTGGGCCCAGAGGAGCATCATGCTGGGAACTCTCTGATATTCTGGCTCGCTGATTCAGAGGAGAATTGTCCACATGGGGAAAGATTTTGACGCTTTGTTGAGCGATATCAATGATATAGTGGGTCCGACTGAAGGTTATTCTCACGTATCGCATTGCATCTCGTCACATCACGAGGGAGGAAAACGCTTGTGGCACAGATCGATGAGTCCGACAACAAAAGCCATAATGAAGCGTACGTAAATGAGTACATGGAAACACAATGCTACAAACAAGAGACCATTTTCTCTCCTGCATCGCATCGCGACCTCGGCTCCAGTCTGCCATGCCCTGCATCGACCCCTCTCATCTGTATCTCAGCTACGCCACATTCTAAAAGGCCCAAAACCTTCCTCTCAGCTGAACTTCGGCTGCATCTCAATCTGCATCAATAACCCTCGCTCGACTACACTGTAGGCCAGACCGATCTCGAGCACTCCAGAACTGCCAGGCGCGCCACTATCAGCTGCGCCGTATGCTTTCGGTGAAAGTAAAAATCCGGGTTGGCAACGATCCTAGCCATGACTTTGAGAATTGATGACGAGCCGTCTTGTATAAAAAGGGAAAACAAGCGACAACGGTCTTTCTCAGCATGTAGGCGAAGGAATTGAGAATGGAAACCAGCTTGACAAGCTAACTAGCTGCTCTTATTTCAAAGAGTCCTGGTCTTGGCATGCCCCTTGTGCTTGTTGCCTGCCATTTAGACTTCGCCTCGTCCAACCCAGGCACTGACTTCGAATTTGACATTGCTGCACGAAAGACAAAGACGACACTTTCGCTTGCCGTTTTTTGGCCCACCGCTGGCGGTCCCGATCATCAATGTGATGTTCCCGGCGTCGACCTCCGCACACAATCTGAGACCCTGACGAGTCGCGCAGCCAAGGTTTATTGAAGAAAGAGCCATGAAGGCGGTTCTGCATATGCTAGAAGCATCTGATTGAATTTTGGCCAAGATTCGAATGCATCTAGACCTCTCTCCTCGGATCAACACGTTCTCCTAACAAAATGGTATATTGGACAAACAAAGTAAAGAGCTGGCTCCGGATCAGAAAGCTGCAGCAAGCGCAACCGGATTGGCTTGCTCCTGGTCTGCGTCCGAGCCGAAAGATGCATCAAAGATACTAGGTAGGAATCAGGATGCAAGTGACTTGCGGTGGAGTTGGAAGGAGGCGCGAGCTGGAGACGCCGCCGCTCATCTGCTTCTGGGCTGAAAGATTCATCAAAAGTATGTTTGGAGGGAGCGGTAGGCAGGAAGCGGGGATCCAGAGAGTGGGTTGAAAGCTCTGGTGCACAACGACGGGCTATATAACCAGTCAGAACTTCCCAGAAATTCACGGTGTTAGCAACAATTTTCAGAATCCTAGCTTTCCAAAGACTCGGATCCCTGACAGTCATCCATCTGTTCTGCAAAACATCCCAAAATAATCTGTTCACCATGTCCGCCCAGAAGGTTCAATCTTCTGTTCAGTTCGAGGTGACCGAAGTTGCAGAGGGTGAATACAAAGTGGTCCAGCTACCACCAGAGATCTCGGATACAGACCTGCAGGGTGGCAACAAGAAGGAAATCGACCTTGACATCAAGCTTGTGCGGGTAAGACCTTTCAATATCCGATGTGCAAAAGGATAAATGGTTGGCCCAATGCTCACATTCTTGCCGTTCAGTTCCACGGCTGGTACGACCCAGACACCAAAGAAATCGGAATCGACACCTATGTTGCAGGTATTCACGTCGGTGATGGGTATAGGGCATCGCTCGACAAAGGAATCCAGTGCCAGCTCGAACTTGTTGCGTACGGTGGACATTGGAATGTTCTGAAGAGTGGTAACAAACTGAGAATCGAGCTCCATCTGCACTCGAAGGTCTTCCCAGATATCAATGAAGGAGTTGACTTGTTCGACATCTGAGAGGCGCCCAAATACCCGTACGACCGCGAGTTGGATCACGGCGCAAAAACTCTGACCAAGAAGATGGCCACCGAGTTGCAATGTCGCTTGTCTGAAGATTTAAGCAAAGAGAGCAGACACGTACTTATGTAGTTGGTGGCTTCGGAACTTGTCGTTTGCTTTTTCAAATCACCAGTGCAGCATCTCATGTATGAGATATCATCTTTCTGCCCATTTTACGTCAAGAAAGTGTGGTTGAGTGGAGATAGATATCAGTAAGAGGCGAACTCGCAATACTTTGACTTAGTGTCCACCTGCGGCGATATAGGTTGTGACAAGCTTAATTCCGGGCGACTGACTTGTCGATAGCTTCCTAGTTCGAGGGAAGTATGAATCCAACATCGGACCTCGTGGAGCTGAAACTCCTTCCGCATAGCTTTGAACAGTGTGAGTGATGGAGGATCGTGCCATCATGATGGCGCTCGTGCAAGCCAATAAGAAAGCAAGTTAGGAAGAGTAGCTTAGCTAACCTATGGCATTCATAGACGAGGTACACCATCAGGTGTCTCCATGCGAGGAAGAATTTCAAGTCCGAGAAGCTCTCGAACGGCTGGCCGTCTAGGTATAAGTTGCACTCCGTTCTGTACTCCATAAGAACGAAACTAGACAGGAATTTCTATGGAAAGTGAGGGTGCCTTCAGCGGTAGGGAAAGAAGAGCAGAGTCTGGTTCCAAGGGACCTGGAAAGGGGCTACATCCATTGCCCGACGCGTAGACATGGCGGTAGCATGAATCAGGACCGTCACAGGTAAGGGCGACAGGAAGGGTGAGCCGACGGTGAATTCAGGGTGAGAAGAGGATGAGAAGAGGTTGAGTCGTGAGGTGACGGTTTTAAAAGCGGCACCGGGCTGATCCCCAAACGAGCAGCGAGCTGAGCTGCCAAGCTTTGTAGCAGTCCCGTTTCGCCCTCACCACTTGCCCACCACTGGTGACATCTTGTGTGATTTCCATTTCCAACACATACCTACTGACGAGCTGTTCGAATGCCATGTCGCATTGGCTTCTGGAGCTCGAGCAGAAACCATCTCCTTCTAAACGCCTTCGGAAAATGTCGTGCTCAACAACGTGGCTGGGGCGCCTTTCGCTTGAATGCGCCTCATACTCTCCTACGCTTCCAGTCGGCCTCGGCGACAGTCCCTGATCTGGAAGAATGGCACACAAGGGCAAGCCAGCACGCAATCTCTGACACAATATACGCACTATCTACTGCTCCCGGTCGAGCTGCTATAGCAGTTGTCCGTATCTCTGGCCCAGCATGCCTTCGCATTTACCAACGGCTCTGCCCGAATCGTGGACCGCCGAAACCTCGCACCGCGACGCTACGCCGGCTTTACGATCCCGACAACCCTCGATCCTCCGATCCCCGAGTCCTTGATACTGGCGCACTGGTACTATACTTCCCCGCTCCAAACACGGTGACCGGCGAGGATGTGCTCGAGCTGCACGTTCACGGCGGCCCCGCTATTGTTCGCTCGGTTTTGGACGCCATATCAAGATGCGGGCACTTCATGCACGAAAGAGGAGGAGCTGTGAGACAAGCAGAACCTGGCGAGTTCACAAAGTGGGCATTTTATAACGGGAGATTGGACCTCACACAGGCCGAAGCATTGGGGGAAACCCTCGCAGCCGAGACCGAACAACAGCGTCGTTTAGCTGTCAGCGGAGCAGATGGCGGGCTCTCTCAAAGATACGAAGAATGGCGTACCATGCTGCTATACGCGCGAGGAGAGCTAGAGGCTCTCATCGACTTCTCCGAAGATCAACATTTTGATGAGTCGCCGATTCAATTTGTGACGTCCATCTCACAACAAGTCCGCGCACTGAAGAGACAGATTGAGCTACACCTTCAAAATGCCTCCAAGGGGGAGCTGCTGCGTAATGGCATCAGCATAGCTTTCCTGGGTGCACCCAACGCCGGCAAGAGTTCCTTGCTCAACCAGATTGTCGGACGAGAAGCTGCAATTGTCAGTGCTGAGGAAGGGACCACTCGAGACATTGTCGACGTCTCGGTCGATCTCGACGGCTGGCTATGTAGACTTGGCGATATGGCCGGTCTCCGCGCCATCAAGGCTATCGGACAGCAGCAGCAACCTGTCGGCTTGGTGGAACAAGAAGGGATACGTCGAGCAAGAGAGCGAGCTCTGCAATCCGACGTGGTCTTGGTGCTGTTGTCGGTCGAGATGGATAAAGATGGAAATCCACAAGTCCGCGTCAATGGGCAGGTTCTTGAGGCAGTGCAGGAATGCGGTGCCGCCGGCAAGACTATTCTCGTCGTTCTAAATAAGATTGACCTGCTGGGCATAGATGATGGACCAAAACAAGAAGGCATGGGAGCTTTGCAGACACGAATCCGTCAGATATTTCCAGCGGTCCCTGAGCGACGCATATGCATGGTGTCCTGCAAAGGGGCAGCGAATAGCCTAGTCGGCTCTGACCCTGGCGGCATTCAGGCATTCCTCAGACGACTGACCAGCACGTTCATGGAATTAACGACAGCGTCAACCGGCGAAGACATTGCAGATGCCAAAATGACTGCAGCGGAAGCACAGTCCTACTGGGCCACCTCCCTCTCAGTCACGCATCGGCAGACCACGTACCTGTCGCAGTGCTTACATCATCTGGAGGATTTCCTCGCCCACACCCAGTCTCACCTGCATACAGCAGCAACGGAAATCTCCGATTCGTGCAGTTCCTCCACTGATTACATCGCTGATCGCCACAATGATTTGGTCGCTCCAAATATAGCACAGGTCGACGGAAATGGAGATCCAGATGGTGTCGACATTGTGACTGCAGCGGAACATCTCCGGTTCGCGGCTGGTTGCCTCGCCAAGATCACGGGTAAGGGAGGATCCGGCGACGTGGAGGACATTCTGGGAGTCGTCTTCGAAAAGTGAGTGAGCTTCTTCTTTTCTCAGTTACTTCCATTTGCACCTGTTGTCAATGTCCATGCACACGGAAATACTTTCTCCAAAGAGGAAATGGTCTTGCAGGTCGAAAACTGTGAAATTCATGGTCGCACGTTGATTCTGGGGTATCTATCTCGCAATATGTCTGCATCGATTCTGGGGCTTTTTCTGGCGTCGTATCTGTCCTGTTGATCCACACCCTGGGCTGGCTGTGCCCACCGAAACCCTTTGTTTCCTCCTCAAGTCTTCAACAAACTGGGGAATTATGTCCAAAACGAAAGACTGAAAACAAAAATACCGATGCCAAGACCTGCCCCCATTGCAATGCCCCTTCCTGGGTTCCATTAATATCCCATATGTACCCTGGAACTCCCGAAAACCGTCCAATGTTTTTTGCGTTCCTGCGCCTTGTTGTTGAATTATGCTTCCGGAGCAAAGTGGTGTGATTAGATGCCGAACCGAGAAAAGACAAAAACTCCTGTAAATGCCGCTAAGTGTCGATAAGAAATATGTGCAGATTGCTGAACTTTTGGTGCTGTATAGGTTCTGCGTGGGGAAATGAAGTAACTGAGAGTAACAGATGCTCATCAAGAGCTGGGTCAATGTCGAAAGAGCGGATGATGATCGAGGCCAGGATCACGCAAGTCATGTGTCACATGTTGAATGAATGGGCGATGGAACACGGTTCCGTTGATGGGGGTTGTCGTATCGGCGACGAGAGAAGCATAGGGGACGATTCAGTTGTATCCGCCACGACCTTGGGCAGCCTGCTGTCGGTTGTATCCACCACGGCCTTGGACGACGGGAGTTCTGTTGTAACCGCCACGACCTTGTCTGTTGTAACCGCCACGGCCCTTTTGGGGAGCAGCTGGGGTGTTGTATCCGCCTCGTCCCATGGCCATTGTGAGTGCGAGGGTGGTTGGAATGAAAAACACGAGGAAATAAATGGTCGGTATGTGCTTTGGGCTTGAAAAAGAGCTTGGTCGGCGCTGGGCTCTGCGAAAATGGATGGGTGTCGCAGACAAGTTGGGAAAGTGAAGAGACAGAGACAAAAGAAAATAAGGAAATAGATGAGATGGGACTGGGGCCTGGGCTGCTGCTTTTGTCGTTGAGAATGATGATGTTGCTGTACTGTAGAAGATAGGAAAAACAGAAATAAGGAAAGTATGGTCTATACCTCAAATCTGGGATTGGCTGTGTGCTGAACTGGAAACTCTGGCAATTCGCGAACAAAGGAAAGAGATTAAATAAGAATGAGATGTTTTGCTTTTGAAGGAGTGTGTTGATGTGGATGGAGTGAATGTTCGAAATCTTTTGGGGGTGAGGAAACAGATGATATATATCTTTGTGGACGTGGTATGGGTAGGTGGTATAGTAAGAAGAGGCGCGACCCACGCACATGGGCCCGACGAGGAAACCGGTTAGAATACGAGGGTTCCTAGGTACTAAGGTAGGCGATCGGTGAACCTAGACGGATCCGGGTTCCTGACCGCGATGAGGTAAATTTGGGGGCTGATGGGAAGTCCACACTCACCGTGCATACCCAAGGAGGCTGCGAGATTCGTCGGTGGATAGAGATCCATCAACGAATGACCGAGGGGAAGGGGAACCAGGCGACCAAAGGTCCCTGGAGCCTGGGTGCTGGGTCATGGTGTCGCCTAAACCCAGCCATGCTCGTAGGGCTGACGGGTTTGCCCAGCACCCCGAGAAAATGGACTTTTGAAAAAGTAATAACGAGCGCACGCTGTGGAGTCCGAAGCCTCAGGCAGCCTCTGATGGCCCATGGCCGTGTGGCCTTAGGGTGAGCCTGGCTTGCATTGCCCCCCTTGTCCCTGTCTGTCCATTGACCGTCCCCAATCCGCCTGCTCTGAGACCGCACACGAGGGAGCTAAGCCAGGGTATTGAGCCATTCACATTGCACAAAGGTGCGGGAGGCGTTATGTTACACTTGTCAGTGGGCAGTGAGGGCGCAAGCGACAAGCGAAAGAAAGTCGGTCGCAACATCTGGGAGGTGTGCTAAATCCAACGATTGAGTCGAGGCACCAGGCGGCGTGGCTTTAGGGCTGGCTAAGGCTGCAGAGATGTGCATTAGGGGGTATAGACAGCGCCTAAGATTGGCCAGCAGTGCCAGGCGGGTGGGACGTGTGCCGAGCTAGTGCTCACACTTTGGATCGAAGGAGAAGTTTCTTGGGGTCTTGACCTCTTCCTTCATAGCGTTCACTAGCCCATCCAATCATCCTGCATAGTGAAGATGCCCTTCGCACCATATTCCGCGCAAATCCATGCCCGCCCAGATTGTGAACCACACCCACCAAGGCGCAGTTTAAGGCAAGGAGGAAATTCTCCTTTTGGATGAGGAAAGTGTCCCCTCCGGTCTCCTGACCCAATCACCTTAGCCTTGTCACTTCGTTCATGCAGTAGTATCTAGATATCCCGTTGCACTTTGCTCGAGTGATTCGATCTCTCGTCGGCTTTCAAATCGCACTTGTTCGTTTCGGCGACCAGTCTCAGCCAAAGGGAAATGCAACGACGGGCGGGCATCTGAACCAGGATCAGTTGAATCTATGCAACAGTATGCTGCCGGGGGAAATGGGGTTGCAGGGCTACTATGCGATTCGCGAGGCAGGAGTCACAGACAATGCAGGCACGTATTTGCAAGAGCCCACGTTACGAGTGAGGTCACCTCACCTGCTCGCACTGCGTCCACCTAGGTCTAAGAAAAGGCCATATCTGACCCGCAGAGAGTGGATTACTATGCGTGCTCATGGGGACTCGCACGGGGAGTCTCCACCGGCACTGCAATAATACCTCGAATGACGATAGCTATGATTCCGCGATGGCAACATATCCACATGACGAATGGACCATGCATGTCTGGGCGAGCATTTGGCGACCGTGGTGATGACAATGACGAACGACCAGTTCCTCGAACCAGTGTTATTACCTACCTAGGGAGACATGTGATTGAGTGCCCATACCTATGCTCACCGATATTCCAACGTCCCAACGTTCCCACGGGGCTTGAACCCACTTGGGCGGGGCGCAGCGGTCCGGGACTGGATTAACCTTTGTTCCGACTGGCCAATTGTCTCCCTCAGCACGCTCACCCCGAATCAGGCGTATTTCACCCATACTCCGTACTTGCAGGACTGCGAGGCAGACTCTCATAACCTGTGTCCCTTTTGTCGCTCCACCGACTGTTGGATGTTCTAGGCCCCCTTTTGCCTGACACTCCACCGTCCACAGACACCGTTTTGAGATGCTAGGAAAGAAAATACGCAAACCTTTGCAACGTTGGTGATCCGTGGGGAATTCTCCGACACGTGGGAAAAAAAGCAAAAATAGAAACCTCTTTTCAGGCCCGCTAAACTAGATTTGGACAAGCACCCCTTTCGATCTGAGTTTCCAATTCAGGCTCTCGCCGCCGACGGATGCGGATCGATCGTGTCCTCAACTTCCCTCCTCTCTTTACTGACTGCTTTGCGACCTACATCCTCTGCATATCCTTGCTTTTTGCTAGGCGCTGCGTCGGGATGAATACCACCCCGTAAACCCAATCCTTGAGTCCAATCCGGTCGATCCGACTTTACAATGATGATGCTAGACGGCGTCTCATCTCATCAAGAACTGGGCGATGGATGACCAATGCCGTCCCTCCGCAATCGATATCGGCCCCAAAACCGTTTAGGTAAGTATTCGGAGCGGCCGATCGACAGCCGAGGCTGGCCAGGGACGACCTCCATACAAGTCTGCAAGGCTATCTATCCCATATCACTCATCGGGCTTTTGAACCCTGCACAGCTTGCGCCCCGTACTTTTGGCTTGAACGGTTGCTTGTTTGGGCTAGCTATTCTATATACCCGAGTCACAATGCCCCCTGTTCTGGTGAGGATCATATGTGACAGGGAGCTTCTGCTCCTGGTGGCATTGCACGACTGAGCACCCAAGTCAAAAACTTGTAATCTTTCCCTTGTTCATGCAACAACGGTACGGTGTGATGTCGACACGGATTGCACTCCCAAAATGAGGCAATTCCCCGTTGTTATCTATCTGCCCAAGACACTAGGGAGCCGGCCATCAACACCACTTACACTAAGGATGAATATGTGATGATTGGACCATCTCATATCTCGAAGTCGATACCGTCGAGACAGCATACTCAGCTCTAGAGACTAACAGTTCTGGAAAGCTACTTCGGCGCTTCGGGAATCGTCAGCTGTGACTCTACCTGGATCGCATATGTTGCTGCTGAGGATGGCCGTGCATATGACTCCCCCGACACGGTCTCCACCCGACGGCGCTTGGCCGTTCTTGCAGAGAACGACACGAACTCGATGACGGTCTCTGCTTGTGGGTGCGGTGTTGGAGTCAGCCTTCGCTTGCTTAACTTTCAGACTGCAGGCGCCAGAAAGCTTCATCGTGGTGTCCCTGGCATGATGCTTTGCCGACCCCGGCTGTGAGTACCGATTCTCAATCCACCTCCACGAACACCTCGGCCATGTTCAGCCTCAGCAAGTGCGGCTGCCTTAGCTCGACCCTCCAGTTACTACCGCCAATGCGATATGCAAACATAGCAGCGTATCTCCCAAGGAAGGCTGTTGGCTGAGCTTGCTGAAGTCTGTGGAGATGCCCCCAAATTCAAGAACCCGGCCGCTGATTGCTTAGCACTGCCTGTTACGGCCCCTGGTCCGATATCCAATTGATCCTTCTACATTACATTCGGCCCTCCTTGGCGCATTCGAGCTTGTTGATGTGAAGGAGCGACATCCACTAGTCGAGCCTATCACATGTTCGTGTCTAAAAACACCGGACACTGGAATGGCGACGATCTCAGCGGCCAGTTCGCCGGTGGGGCGTGGTCTGAAGGACGAGAAAAACACATCCTCAAGGCGCAGACACAATTGTGCAACTGTGCTTTGAGATTGTCTCATTGACTGCGGCCAAATTTCTTGAGCAATTTTAAGCCCCAAAACTAGCGACCTTTCACCAAATAGCGTGGGCCTGGACCAGGGGAAGCCTTGCGGTCGGTTGGTCTTCCAATCCTGTGGACACAACGAGGCCGAAATATCTTGTTGGTTGTTCGACCCCCCCTTCAAGGTAGGTCTTCTTGGACCTCCACGTGGCTGAGCCCTGTCCTGCTTTTTTTGGCATGAGACCACTTCGCTCGAGTGCAGGGGCGGAGAACTTAGAATGCATGCTCAAGGCAGAGCACACGTTCTCCGTTGCAAAACTTGGCATACAAGAGTGATCGATGAGGGTGGGAACTTCGACTAGTACAGTGTATCTGGCAATTCAGGACGTCTGGGAGTTTGCAGCTGGCTCGCAGTTCAGGTCAGACGGCACTGCAAACTTGAAAACGACCACTATAATGGTCCGTGCAGAGCAGATCAAAGGACAAGGTAGGGGAAGGCGAATTTCTCCTCCATGCTAAAGCACCTTCGTGCCATCGAGGCGTTGTTCACGACTTCCGTCCAACTTAGCACTCCAATATTGCTTGAAGTCTCTTGGGTTTAATGCTTACCGTCAAAGATGTGCCGAGGCAGCGTTTATCAAAGCCAAGGTGGCCATTCTAAGCTCGTCACTTTGGGCTACGTCGTCCACTTCGTCTGTGGTGTCATCGAAGTCATCGACCGTGGTCTTTCTTGGGTAAGGAAGAGTCTATTTTTTATCCACGGAAATTGTGAGCGTCATTGACAGAGACTTGCAGGTTATGGATTTCGACTGTCACATACGCGGCGAGCCTGGAAACCCCTGGCATTGTTGATTGCTCTGGAATGTGGGACTTTTCGCGCTCAAATACCCGACAATAACAAAACATGACCCTGCGCATCTGGACTTCATCCTTCTTGCATATTCCACCCGTTTACGACCTGACCGTAGTCACTCATTACCTGGCTTTTGCAGTTTAGTCGTTCATTCATCCAGAAAATGCGAGCATTTGCTCCCTTGTTTCTCGTTGCAGGCGCAACAGCGCAGAGTATCAGCTTCGTGTACACGGCGACTTTCACGGAGACGGCTTTTGACTTCGTCACGTTGACGACATGCCCCTGCCCAACGAGCACGACAGGGTTATCGACTCTCCAGACGACGACTGCTGTCGCGACAACAACCACCACTACCACAGCCAGTGGCCCACTTCTTCCGTCTGATACCATCACCCCGGCCTCGTCGACCATTACTTCCTCGCCCGTCTCCAGTACTCCAGGGAGCTCCATCTCTACCTTATCCACGACGACGTCTTCCGGAATCCCCATTGTGACCGACGAAGCATATATTGACGCGGTCATAAACCACCACAACATCCATCGAACCAACCACTCTGCCAACGCGCTGATTTGGTCGCCGAGCCTGGCCGATACAGCTCAAGTGATCGCCGAGACCTGCGTATACGGACATGTCACGTAAGGGCATCCTTCCTAGAACTCTCTTCTCGCCCATATCTTCTCCTCTTATTTTTGCTAATGTTTTCCTCTTTTTTGCTCCAGAGACGTCAATGGCGGTGGCTATGGGCAGAACATCGGGGCCGGGTACCCCGGCACAGCCTTGGGCATGGGCCAATTCATCACCGAGGGGCTCTACAACAGCGAAGTCAACAACTACGTCTACTACGGCGAGGAACCGGACTACAGCACGCTGGACGAGTGGGGCCATTTCACGCAGATCGTGTGGATGGCGACGACCAGCGTGGGATGCTACACGGCGGATTGCAGCAGCAGTGGGCTGACCAACGCGGGACCCCCGATCCAGCCGTATTTCACCGTCTGCAATTATGCGCCGGCCGGTAAGTTCTTGTCGCGAAACATCGTTCCGTCTGCGTGTGAAGATTTTGAGAAGACTATGTTGAAGAAGGCTAATCATCGTGTTCTTTGCATACAGGGAACCTCGTGGGGTCGTTTGCGCAGAATGTAGGCAGGTCGATAGGTCTGGCTACGGTGTATGGGAATTATTCCATTGATGAGAGCTAGAGGGAGGGAGGGAAGGAGGGAGAACTGAGCCTTGCAGAGGGTATTGATTGCTGATGCAAACCTTCAATATAACAGTCGTGTGGTCCTGAGATGGTCAAACCTCGCCATTCTCGACGAGCAGCAAATAGGAAAAGAGGGAGGCAATTCACAACAGCGAATATTACCTCCAGCGAGATCTGCCAAGTGTTTTATTTGCATACCGTCTGTCGTGTGCTGTGGTATCATCGATGTGATGATATGAAGCTTCTTGTCACCATTCATGCCCTGGCCCCTTTCTCGCAAGACCCTGGCGACTTCGGCGTCACATCAGGCTTGGGGGGTGCACTGCAATTTTAGCCTTGTCGAGCAGAAAAGGGTGGGGCGAGAGACTGCTTGTTGCAACACATTTACTCGGGTAAAAGTAGTTAAGTGCACTGCAATTTTAGTCTCGCTGAGCAGACGCCAAGGGCCCACTGGGACCCAGCGCCGAGGATTGCAGTTTGCGTACTAATTACCACGACATTCATGATTCCTGGAGAGATCTTTCCCATGCACTGCATTTTTAGCCTTGTCGAGCAGAGCGAGCGAAAGCGAGCGCCCCGAGAATGGCAAATTTGGCAAAGTCAGTGAGTGACTCGCCCCGGCGCGGCGACTTTGAACCTGCAGGTTGGTGCCTTTTCGTTTTCTACTGGACTACGATAGATTAATCTCGCGAATCTAAGCTACGTCGCCGCTACCTATATAGCTAACTATACTATATGAGTAGTCTTTAATAATCACCTTAGGAAGAGAGTGCGAAGGCGCGAAGGGACTACGGCGCGGCAGTGGCCAGCCGGTCGGGCTAGTCGTAGGAGTGTGTAGGAGTAGTGGTCGGTGGTGATGTGGTCAGGATACAGTACTACTTGCCCTAGGAGCACGCCGAATATGGACAAAAGGCTGACGAGTGGGTGGGTCGGCCATTGGACTGGACTAGGACGTTTTTTCAACGCCCAAGGCTGGCTATATAAAATGGACGACGGCGAGGTGGGTTGCCGAGCCTCAGATGGCAGAAACGAACGGGGATCAGCCAAATCTTGGAGAGGAGGAGACAGATTCTGTTCCTGCACTGCACTTTTAGTCTTGTCGAGCAGAAAGAGAGTGGGGAGGGGTGGGGATCACCAAGGATCGTAGCGAGTAGATTGCGTGCATATTTGTCCTGACTGCACTGCACTTTTAGTCTCGTCGAGCAAAAGGGAGGAGGGCCTGAGCGAGCGCCGAGGTTTGGAGTGCGTGCCACGATATTAACACGAAACCCAAAACCCCAAAACTAGCTGCTGAGTTGTTTTGCACTGCACTTTTAGCCTAGGTGAAGCAATGACACCTCGTATTTCCCTCGTACACTAATAATCATTATTATCCCCCGGATAGGTGTCTCCTAGCAACATACGAGGTACGAGCTACATAGCCTTATCCACAGACGCGAGGCTGCGGGTAACAGAGGGTCCATATCTCGCCGACAATCGGTCGAAATCTCGGGGTGCTCACTGCTATCGCGGTTCTGGGTACTGTATATCAGCCTTGTCGACCGATGTTGATCAATCTAATCAAGGGGCCCTTTCCTCATTCAAGAGTGACAACACCAAAGATGGGCGGTATACCTCGTACTGGACTGGTACTTGTACGACCAAAACGCCCAAAGGTCAGTGGCGAGCGAGTGAGGATGGATATCTCAATGGAGAGGCTTCTGTTGTATTCACAAAATTGAATTCGCTTATTTAGTACCCAGACTCATATGAGAACGACCTCGATAGCGTCACATCCTGCTCTTCCCGACTCGTAACTTCGTCAAGATCCTGGTCCTGGTCCTTGTCTTCATCACTCCGTACCTTGGACGTGTCCTTGAACGCCTCCTCATGGTCCTTCTCGGCCACTGCTGCCATCTCGACCATCCCTCCTTCGACAGGCGGCTTGTCGTTGTCTTCCGCAACACGTCCATTCTCGCCCGAGCTCTCCTGATTCAGCTTTTCCTCTTTCAGCTGTCTCGCCCTCGTCTCCCGCTGATTTCTCTCCGTTCGCCATTTCATGCCCCAGAAATACACCGCCCAAAGCATCGGCGACGTCGTAACCAGACCCAAAGTCAAAAATGTAAAGGTCCAGCCTCTCCCCCACGCGTCGATCATGGGGATCACGGCCGCAGTGGCGCCTGCCCCTAGGCCGCATCTGACGAGATTGTTCGCCGCCGTGGCCGTGGCAGGGGCTTTGGGATAGAAATCAACCAATAGCGTGCTCGTGACGTTGAACGCAATCGACATGCTGTAGCTGGTGAAGAAGAGGACGACGAGTAAGGCCGGGAGAGGGCCATTGGCATGCAAGATCCAGCCAAAGGCAAGGACAAACATGGAGGTGAGATAGGCGGCAGGAATGGCGATCTGCAACCTCACCTTTTCGATCGGGAAATTGCTGAGGTCCTGGTTTCTCCCCTTGCGGATCTTCACTCCAAGCTTCTTGCACCAACGGGCAAAGTTGCGGTCCAAGAGCTGTCCATTCGTCAGGGCAGCACATAGAGATCCACAGCCGAAAGGAATGAAGCACAGGCCGATCTGCAGTTCGTTGAATCCGAAAATCGCATGGAGTTGCGAAGGTAAGGTGGCTGTGACGTCGTAAAAAGCTGCAAACAGGAAAGCGTTATAGAAAAGAAGCAGGGCGTTCTCCTTGTCCATGATGATATGAAGAGACCGCAGTGGATTGGGGAAACGAAACTTCTTTTTTGGCCGGGTTTCGGTTTGCGGCCGATCGGTCTTTGACGACATCTGATCCTGAGGATGCAGCTTTCGAGCTTTGCGTACTGCCAGGTAATTCATCAAAGACATATTCCAGCCTTTCGGTGGGATGGAACCGTTGCCGACCTGAGTCCGAGCTATAAAGTTGTCAACGACCAGCTTTGCAGCCTTCTTCTATGAGCGTGCCTACCGGTCTCTGGGAAGAAAATGGCGAAGACAACCATGAAAGCGGAGCCCATGATCATCAGGAACCAGAATATGGCCCTCCACCCCAAGAATTGGGCGAGAACACCTCCCACGACGGGGCCTATAGCTGGACCAAGCAGAGATCCCGCGAGGGTAAAGCCCATATACCTGCCTCTTTCTGCCGCAGTGGCAACGTCGGAGACAACGGCGCTGCACATTGCTATAGTGGCGCTAGAACCCGAGCTCTGAAAACAGCGCAAGACAAATAACGCCGCATAACTGTTCTGAAGTGCAAGCCCAATATTGGCGAGGATGTATATAGTAAAACAAACTATTCGGCGAATTAGTGGAAGCGTTGAACCTTGAGACTAATGTGTCCTACCGGCATATGCGGGACGCCGACCAGCAGCATCAGCAAGATCTCCAACAAACGTAGGCGCAAGGCCTTGGAATATCTGTACAGTACGTCAAAATCAACTTCGGTAACGACGTGCCCTGCGAGGGAGAAGATCGCGTACCATGTAAGACGTCAAGGTCAAGTTAATCAATGAATTGGAAACATGCAAATCGCTCGCTAATGCATTCAGAGCAGGGAAATAGATCTGGCCGGATACAGGAGAAAAGAACCCAGCCCACGACGCCATAAACACTATGAAGAGTTTCTGATTCTTTGTGAAGACGGAATGGATTGGTCCACCACCAGCATCGGTCGCAGTCCGTTCGGCCTGGACGGTGTCTGGGAGCTCGTCTCGAGCAGTCGGTATCCTCTCGAGGGGGCCATGTTCGTTGGAGTGAGATGCCTCGCTCTGCGACGGTGAGTGTGGTGTCTCGGCGTACGAGACCACACTGTGTGTTTCTTTGTGTTTCTTAGACTCGAACGCAGAGCCGTCGCCACTTAATGATGCTTGGACTGTTGGGCCATGTTGATCCACGACAATGGAACCTCCCGACATCAAGTCTGGCCAGGGCGCTCGGTGAGAGAGACAGAGCCTCTTTGCCAAAGCTTGGGTCTCTTGGGTTTGGTGGGGTCGATCGGGGAATCTTGAACGCAATTTAGGCGGGCTTATCGCCTCTTAAGTGATCATGGACAAGCCTCTTGGCTATGGATCTATTGTACCTAGATACTTGTAGACCGGAAATCCCAAGACCGCCGTGGACAGAGGAAGAGAGAGGAATGGGAGAGGGAAAATAGAGGTCTAAAAAATCACCCATGCATCATAGTCGGCAGATAAAAGCCTCGCTCGACAGAGAAAATCGCAAAGGACAATAGCCGGTTACGGAGACCGCCAAATAAGTAACCGGGCATTGGCTTGCTGGCTGGCCAGTCAGTGGGCCGGGTTTCCATACCGCAGCCCTAGCGGGCCTGCAGAGAATTTTGAACTCCGTCCTTGAGGCGATGATAGATCGATGATGATGCAGGATGTTTTGGTGTGTTCAGGGTGGGAAAAGGCAGGCATGGGAGAGGGTGGTGGCTCGACGTATCTTGTGGCCGTCATTCTCCTCCCGTGACCGAGCATTTGTGCCTGTACAGCCTCGACAGGAGGCTTTGGGACTCGTCATTACAAAGTGGGTACTTGTGGTGGGGGATAAGTGGGGGTGTTGGGGGTTGCTTCAGGATTGCCGCTTGAGCCGAACAGCCGGGCAGACTCCGGCCTTGCAGTTGGGCCTCTGCCGCCAACTGACCACCACTAACCCCCCCTTAGTGGCCCCCCCAACATGCCCCTACCGCCTCCTGACCGCCCTACCGCCTGCCGCCCAGGGCCTCTTCTCCAATTCTTTGGGCCCCAGGCTGTCTGCCCTCCATTTCCTACCTAATTACTATCTCCACGTACGCGTTCTGCCACTCACCGCCTTCGCTGCGCATATCGGCGTGTCGACGCCGATACTCGCAATCGCCCAACACGTTCGCAACTTTCCCGGACCATCATGCACTATGTGCTGCCTCGCAAATGAATGCAGACACCTCATCCTCGTCCAGAGATACGGAAACATCATGTTGACGGGCACGCTGCTGCTCAAGGCCTGACCACAAAGCCGGTGGAAGAACGCGCTCATTTGACCTTCTATCCAGCCTACACGTTCAAAGCCTCTGCGACCTGGTCGAAATGGGTGAAACTGACCTGTCTGGACATCCACACCGTCTTGAACCGTCATGAGAAGTATTCGCAGGTCACTACCTCCCTCCTAGCCGTGGAAGGTAACAAGGACCCCCACGCATCATCACGACAGCGTGACCCGCCTTTACTGCTCTTCTACCTCAACCATCCCATCCAATTTGTTCAGGTGATCGGTGTGGTGGTCTCATTGGAGGACTACTTCGACAAGTTCTGGCTTTTCAAAATCGACGATAGCAGCGGCGCAGTCATTGATGTAACATGTCCCAAGCCAGAGAAGAAGAAGCAAGTCGAGCTGGTGGGCGCCGGACAAGACAACACGGAGGCTACTAGGCGGGTAACAGAGACTGCGAAACAATCGCGCCCAAATACAGAGCCAAAGCCGAAGAAGTCCCATTCCATCTTTGGAGAAGATGGAGGAGAAGCCACCGAAGATGAACAGCTCCAACACACTCTGTCCCTGCTCGATATTGGCACCACCGTCCAAGCCAAAGGTACACTCGCTACGTTCCGCTCAACACGCCAACTCTCCCTCCTGCGTCTGAACATCCTCCCCACCACAACCCACGAACTGGCACTGATCGCTTCGCGCACACAATTTCTCTCCTCGACCCTTTCCAGGCCCTGGATATTGACGCGGGAAGAACAGAGGAAATTGCGCGACGAGGCTCAGAACGAGAGGGACGACGACATTCAGCGGGCCAGGAAGAGGAAGACACGCGAGGTCAAGAGAAGGGAGAGAGAGGAAAGACATAGGCAAACCATTGACAAGGAGTATGAGAGGGAAGAGATGCAGAGAAAGAAAGAGGCAGAGGAGGCCCGAGAATGGGGAGAAGTGCTGAAAGGGGCTGGAAGGAAGAGGAAGCAATCTTCTTGATTGAGGTGAGGGAGCTCACACTATCGACGTCTGGATTTCCTTGCTGGACTGAGCATCGGTGTCTATCGAGTACAGTATATGCAAATAGGACTGCTACCGCAGCGCAAGACATCTCTGGCTTAGTCTTTGCCCTGTGATAATGCTGCCGGTATCACTAAAGCTACAGCGACGACCCACCAAGGTTCAGGTTTGAAATTGAAAAGTTTGGAATTTTCGTCAATGTACAGTACAAGAAGGCACCATCCATCAAACTCTCCTATCGGCCTTGGATGGCACTCGACGCTGAACAAACCCTCGAGGACGGCACCCAACCAATGCATCAGTTGCAACTCGGCAACTCGACGACTCGACCTTGACCCCATCAAGCTCGAAAACCATGCCCGCATCCTGATGGTCGGATGGTTGAGGTCCTTAGGGGGTGCCTTTTTGCCGTCCTTGTCCCTTCTCAACTCTGCCATCCTCTCCCGACGAACAGCTCTCCCTGGCACGTCTATTTGCGGTCATCCACCATTACTCCACCAAGCCGTAGTATGATTCCAACCAGCCAGTAGATGGAAGACCCTACCGTCACCGGATTCTCAAATCAACCCTATGCATAATGTATTCTTTTGAGTAGAAACACACTCTCTATCCCGCGTGTCCGCGTGCTCGAATCGAAGGCTCGAAGTGCGATTCTCAGATCCATGGTTGCCAAAATCCGCCGTGATCTTGCATGGTCGAGAATCAAGGGTAAAAACAAACGGTCCGCTTTTTCGTGGCGCTGTAAATGCTAAACAGGTGGCTTTGCTCTCGCCGGGGTATCAATGCACATCTTTCTTCTATCCATCCCCACAAGCGGCCGTCAGTCAGATATTAGTGTAATCGAATCGTATTATGTTGTACACATTTTGTGATCGGGACTAAGTGGCTTTCACTCGGCGCTTTTGTCCGGTGACCTCGATCGTTCTCGTTCGATGCTTGGCTGCGACTTTTGCACGGGGGGTGATGCGGGATTAGATGGTGGCGATCCAGGTCCGTCATTCTCGAGAGCGGCAAGAGCACTGAGGAGCTGTTAGCTTTTTGGGCGCTCCTACTCGGGGTGTCACGGGCTTACCTGAAAGCATTTGTGCTAGACTCATCCTTCTTCTCCTTGTCTTTCTGAGCCGGAGGTGTTCCTGTTCGGCTGCTTGTAGCACTGTCATCTCCTCGCCCCAAAAGACCACCCGGTCCGAGCCCACGACGCCCACTGTTGGTACGCCCGCCCATCAGGCTGGGTGGTCCCAATGGACCGGGACCAGACGTATGGCTGGGGTGGCGAGCGTTACGGTTACCAAGTTTTCGAAGGTCATCGGAACCCACTCGGTTTGACGTGTCAGGAGGCGGAACTTGTCCTCCGAAGCCGCTGAAACTTCGTGCATCGCCACGTCCCATTGGCATCCGACCTCCGCCTCCACGACCACCGGACTGGGTCGCAAGTCTCCGGAGCTCGTCCTCACGCGCCTGGCGTTCTGCCTCTTCACGAATCTCGGTGATGGTCTTAGGGCCTTTATTGTCTTCCTTGGACGCCCATCCCTTGGCCCGTAGATCAACGACATCCATAAGCATAAATCTGAGACGGCTGGGAAGATCCGGGATGTCTATCATGGACTTGATGCGCTCGAAATAAAGGTCCATTCGTCCTTGTGCCTTGCTCTCGGGGTTATCAAGCTGTTTGCCAACTGTCCGCAGCAAGCTGGTCAAGCTTTCAATTTCGGCTTCATCCGGGGTGCCTTCGTAATCCACGAGCTTCTTGACACACTCGTGCATGATTCGTTCGGTCAACATGGACAACTTGAACAATTCACCGATGAATTTGACCAGACCGAGACCGCGGCGCTTGGCAGCTGCTGCAATATAATACTCGTCCGATAGCATGACGGCCTCTTCGGATTCTCCCTCCGGTCGGGGAGGCAGATTGACCTTCCAGCCGCGTTCAAACTCTTCTTGACAACGGTTGAGGAGGTATTTCCGGAACAGATTACCACCTGTCACGACATTGCCGTTCTTGTCCTTGATCCCTTCGTCTCTGATGTCCGGACTCATGCTCTCCAGCATGCGTCGGCAGAACGAGGCGTACATGCCTGCCCAGTGAGCTTCATCAGTGGCCTTTTCAAAAGTGAGCTGGATAACTTGACGTAGTGTTCGACCGTCCTTTTCGTGTTTAGATTGAGCCGCGATCTCCAAGATCTGATCCGAGATTCTGTCGAATTTCTCGGGCGTCATCTTGTTCAACAGCGCCTTGGTCTTGCGTTGCACAGTCTCGGGGTCCATTAAGCCTTCACCACCGGGAGCAGGCCCGGAAACGATGGTCTGCACGAGGCTCCTTGGTTTCCATCCAGTCGCTGAGGTCTCGAGAGCTGTGATAGACATGCCAGCAGTAAGAGGCATGGATTTGTTTTCTTCTTGATGTTGCTTAGCATTCTGCTTTGCGCGCTTGCTCTCAGCACGCGAGCCCCCACGACTTGCACCACCAACGCGAGGAGAGCCAGGGATAGGTCCCAGAGGGTTGTTAGAGGGCGTTCGGCCACCCATGGAAGGCGGCATCTGACCTCCAGGCCGTCCGAATTGAGCAAAGGGATTCGTCGCCATGGCTCCACTCCTCATGGCGGCGTTCGATGCAGCGAAGCGTTGCTCTGAAGTCGTACCTGGTGGGAGGGTTGATCTATTAACTCCGCCACCAAACGTGCCCATGGGCCCAAAATTGCTCATAGGAGGAGGTCCGCGGGCTGAAGCACTGCGGTTACCCATGCCCGAAGGAGTCCTGGCCGATGCACTCGGTCTCGCCGAAGCGTCTCCATCGCCCAACGCATCCCGAATGCGAGCATCCCAGTCAAGAGTCGGCTTCTCTTTGAATACACTCTGAAACTGGAGTAGGAACTCTTTATTGTACTTGAAACCGCGATCGGCCGGGGCGTTTGCGTTCAGTGCAGGGTTGGGCGATGCGATATCTGACGGATAAACAACCTTGGAGATATCACCAAGCTTCTTGGCAGACTGCAGGGCTTTCAGCGTTGCACTTGGCTCGGGTGGCTCCACAGGCTTCTTGGTATCGAGAGTGAGCTCGGCAGCCTTGGTGCGACGACCAGGAGCCTTTGCAGGAGGAGGCATTGACACGTCCGAGACTGGCGTAGCTGTTCCGCTTTCGGCGGGCGTTGTCGGACCAGCGGGGCTGTCAACAGAAGCAGGCGTACCGAATGGATTGGGCTTGAGCTCAGCGAAGAGTTTCTTGCTGGATTCATCTCCTGATGCACCTTCAGCCTTTTCCTTTTCACGGGCTAGTTCTTCCTCTTCGGCCTTGCGCTCCAACTCCTTCATGTTGGCCTCGTAAGCCGCGGCCTCTTCTTCCTCCTTCTTTCGCTGGGCCTCGAGTCGAGCAGCTTTATTCTTTTTGTATTCTTCTTCACGCCTCAGTTCTTCTGCTTCCCTGGCAGCCTCCTCGGCCTCCATTTCAGCAGCAAGGGCATCCAAGTCGAGCTCGTCCTGCTGCGGATTGGTGGCCGCTACTGGAGCCTCTTCCGGCTTTGTCTCTTCAGCCTGCTTAGCAGCCTCAGCTTTCTCCGCAGCCTCTTTGGCCTCTTTGGCCTCTTTCTCCATCGCCTCCGCCTTGGCCTGAGCCTCGGCAGCCTCCCGCTCGGCCAGCGCTGCAGCTTCTTTCTCCATCTCTGCCTTTTCGGCCTTCTCCTTCTCCAGTTTCAACCTGGCCTCGTCTTCTGCGATCTTCTTGGCCACAGCTTCTTGCATTTGCTTCTTCACCTCTTCTGCAGACTTTGTGCTGACGCTTTCTGTCCGGCCGTGAGCATTGTCGGCGGCGCTGGCAGTCCGACTGGGAGGCGTGGACACAGGCTGTGGGGGAACTGTAGCCGAGACCGGAGTCGCGTTCGCAGGCGACGCAGGCGACTTGTTAAAAGAGACAACCTCGCCTGCAGTGTTCTTGATTGTGATGGCTGCACTCTTCTTTGGGGGAATTGTGTAGTTTGACTTCTGCGAAGACACACTCGGGGCTCGATTGGCTGGATGCGGGGGCCCGGTAGGGCCTGGAGTCGGCGGCTGTTGGCCAATGCTGGAACCAGGTCGGTCAGGAGCAGATATTTGGGATGACTGCCTCGACATCGAAGGCGGCGGTCCGCCCTGGTTGCTGTATGAAGGCTGCATGCTGGGTGCATACATGCCCTGGTTGAAGTGCGGGCGAGGGGATTGGGGCTGCATGCCGTATTGAGCATTGTATTGAGGCTGCATGCCGCCTGGGGCATACATTTGCTGCAGATACATTTGCTGAATACTAGGATCAGCCTGCGTCATGGGGAAGGCCTGTGCTCTCGCAGTCAGAAAGTGTTCTGAATAACGCTCAAAATTGCCAGACTCAGGGGATAGGTCAGGGTAGGGAAGTACACTGGGATTATTTGTGACAACTTGAATGGGGGTTTGCACAAGTTCGGGGACAACTTGAACAGATTGATGCGCGAGATCGGGGCGGTAGTAGTCCGAGGCTGGATCTTTGCTGTAAAAAGTTGATCCCTCCTCGTGTCCACCTCTACCAGGGCCTTTACCGCGACCAGCTCCACGACCGCCACGGTTCCGGCCTCTCGTAGGTTTGCCCCTCTCTCTCATGGGTTCTCTTGCGGGATCACGGGAAGAAGAAAACTGCGGGTGGTTCTTTACATGTTGGGGTCCCATATAATATCCATTGGGTTGAGGTTGCATCCCGGGCTGTACCATATGTATTTGACCTCCCATATTCGGCGTTCCTGGTTGGGCGTTGACAAGAGCAGGGCTACGGGTGCCCATGGCGGGAGATCCTTGGTAAGGGAGTGGCTGACCTCGACCTTGATATCCGGTTTGGAATGAGCGTCCGTTCGAGGTAGGTCGGAATTGTTGTTGGGGAGAGAAATGCATGGGCTGTTGCTGATATGGAGGATTGAAGCCTCTCCCGCGACCTGGACCACCTGGAAAGCCGCCACGGGTCGGGCCCGCTGGGATACCTGGGCCACCGACATCGCTGTGGATCGACTGCGAAGAGCCTCGTCTCATATGCTCTTGTTGAGGTCCAAATTGTAGTTGAGACATCGGCCTGGTCATGCCCTGCGGAAAATGGTTAGAACACGGTCTCAAATAGCATCATTTGGTCTTACACTTGGGTCATTTTGATCGCCTGAGAGCTGTCCGAATGTATATCCATTTTGTGGACCCTGAAAACCAGTAGGAGGGCGACCGCCACTGACGGAAGCAGGTTGAGGAATCGGTGAGGGAGAATTTGAAGGAGATGTTGCGCGAGGATTCAGTTGGCTCACACTGAGATTTGCCGAGTTTTGGTGCGCCAACGAAGGGGGTGTGCCCATCGCAGGGGAACCAGCAGGGTTTGCCACTCCCAACGAACCGAACTGAATATTTCCCGGCTTGTTTTGAGGACCTCCAGGAGCACCGCCGTTTGCCGCAAAGCCAGTGGTGCCAGCTGGTGTAACTGTCATTGACGGTTTGCGCGTATGATCAGGTAGTGAAACGCTCCCGTTGACAGAGGGGATGGCAGGGATGGTGGGATTTCTTCCGTTTACAGAATCGTTATGCCCATGGGCGGGAGGAGCGCCTCCAACTGCTGCAGACATGTTGGTGGGCTCCGATGCATTTGGTGTAGAGGAAGGAGGTTTGGAGGCGGAGGGAAACGAGGTTCGGCCTTGGTTAGCCAAATTCGATCCAGTCGCAAAATGGGAGGCTGTGGATTGTTGTGCGCCTACAGCAGCGGCGAAGGAAGGTTTTGGTCGGGTAGAAGAGGACTGCCGGGAATTCGATGTCATCAGAGGTGATGAAAAGACTTCAGGCAGCGATTCGGATATGCGAGGTTGACTGAAAGGCTGAAACCCAACGGATGACAAACGGAGCTCTGAGTGAAAGTTGGAAAAAAAAAGTTCCCGAGCCCGCAGGTGATTGTAGGGTAGCGAAGAAAGAATCGAGGGTGAATGGACCACTTTGCGGCGACTGTCTCGAGTGAACGGAAGCCGCTCTTGTGCTTGTGTGGAGGATGGCGAAGAAGGAGGAGTGTTTGTGACTCTTTTATTTCTTCAGAGAGGAGATTCACCACGCAGGCAGATTTCCTGGCCTGTTCAGGACAAGAAACTGCGGCGATGGATGGCAAAAGCGTACCCTGCTCAAGAGGGGCAGAAAGACACGACAAAGGATGTCGTTGACGATACCAGAGAAGCCTCACGCAGGGGTGAGGCGCAACTGGAATTTGTTGAAGGGGGGTGGTATGAAGTTTGAGCAAGTGAAAACCGCAGTTGGGAAAGAGGCGGTTCAAGGCGCTCTCTCCTTTCTACGAAATTTTTTGGTCAGTCCGCGGCTTGGCAACGACCTGTCACCCACTCCAGGCTGGGAGGACCGCGACCGGCCCAGCAAGCCGTCCAAACCGCTGTTTTTGCTGGCTGCTTGACGCCTCGTAGGCGCAACCCGCCCGCAATCTCACCTTCGGGCTGCCTATTACTTGCTATTTAAGCACCGACTCACCCAGTAGTGCCGGGGTGCCAGGTGTGCCCGGGGCTTGGGGCTTTGGGCTTCACCACAAGCAGGCTTCCTGGATTTGTTTGTATGATATCCCTGATCGTCACTCAGTTCTCTCCAATCACTTCACACCATGTTGCTTCCTTTTCCTACGTTGCCCCTTTTAATTCGGAGTACTCGTCCTCATCGTATCTTGCGATGTCCTCGTACGGAGTATTATCCACGCTGAACTCTCGACTGTCAGATGATGGGTCGGCCCTTGGTACATGGGCGCTGCATGGGCGTTCCACAAGCGAGTCCGACTACTCGGTCTATTGGCGACTTAATGACGATATTTGAGCCAGGGCTTCATCCGGCCCATTTGCTGGTGCTCCCTCACTCAACGCTTATCACGGGTTTTCCACCCATGGTTCCATCTATCCTCCCCGAAAAGTCTCAGAAAACTCCGCGAAGCCGAACACGCCTCATCCCTCACTTTCTCCTCATCTCTCCGACACGGCATCTGCGTCTCGCGTTACCTACGTGGAGTTGTTGGAGATAGTAATCCAGCAAAACGATTCGTGTCCAGGTCCCGCTATCTCCATTCGAATAGGTCGCTTCTTTCGGCGACAAGGCACTCTTCACACCCTTTATGTCCGGCCGGCTTCTTGGTGTCTTCGTAGGTTCTTCTAGTGGCTTTACTCAATTCTGCCACATGCCGACTGACCAGGACTCCCCCGGTTCGGCCATTGGGCGTTGGCATAGCCGGGAAAAACGACGCTCAAAATAATCCATTTGGATATTACTTGCATGGATGATGCGCACATGTTGATGCACCTGGTCAGCAATCAAGTACCGAGTACTACTCGCTCTTTTACGATGGACAATCCCCTGCCCTAACATGCCAGAAACGATCGCAATCGAGCAAGTGTTTACTTCCAGCAACGCGCTGGATTTGTTTCCCGGTTTAATGTGTATGCAGTAGAAGCGCCATTGACGAGCAAGGATGGCCAGAGTTGACCGCGATACCCAGAGTCGGGTCAAGTTCATCGTGCGATATTACTGCTGTAGATTCAGGCACAACCCGAGCGTCAGCAAAGACAGCTATTTTATTTTCCAAGAATTCCAGGGACACTTTTCCAAGATTTCTGCGCCCTACAAAATGAAAAAGCGCTGTCGTTCAGTCCGTGGCTTCGTGAGCAAAAGCAAGCAAGAGTTCCTCCCTGACCATACCAGCGCTATGCTCAAGAACCCGCCTCGCCCAAAAGCAATTGAGGCGCCCTGCCGAAACAGAAATGAGCAGAGCACGTCAAGCTTTGACGCCTTTCTTCCCTTTCTTTGCATTTTTCTGAAACAACTCCTCTGGCGGTTCATCCACGGCCTTGCGCTTGCCCTTCTTCGCGCCACCTCCGTACTTTGCCTCCAGATCGTCGAAGAAATTCTGAGCCCTGTTTTGCTGACGCTGTTGAATCAAAGCCTGAAGCGCATCATTGTCGTCCCCTCCCTTTTTGGACTTCTTTTTGCCAGAGTCTTTCTTGCCGAAGAGTTTTTCTGCGACTCCCAGCTCCTCGGCTAGTTGTCTCGCCTCCGCTTCTTCTTTCTTCGCGTTTGCCCTCCTCCTTTCCCGGCTTTTCTTGTTTTCCTTGGTGTAACGACTGTATGCCTCCACCTCACCTTGGGCGATAGCCTCATCAATGATCTTTCTGAACCGATCCTCGTCTGCCACAACTTCACTGCACATGACGCTCTCAAAGACTGCATCCATGTCGCCCTCGCCCTGTTCGTATGCAGCCAACACATCATCTTTCTCCTCTTCGCTACCCTGATATTCATTTTTTACTTGTTCGATCATATCAGCTCTCACCACGTTCTCGGTCTGTTCCCGAAAGAAATCTACCCAGTTGAAGTCATCGTCGTCAATGTTTGCGCTCTCAGCTGTGTTGCCCGTAGCATCGTAGCGTTTGCGTCGGCGTTCGTCGCTGAGGATGGCATAAGCAAATGCGATTTGCTGAAAGGCCTTATGTGCGGATTCGCGGTCTTCAGGCAGAGCTTTGTCTGGGTGGTGTTTGAGAGCGAGTTTGCGGTAAGCAGATTTGATTTCGTCAGCAGTAGCATTCTCGGAGAGGTGCAGAACGGCGTAGGGATCGATGTGGGGTGGGTCGCCGAGAGCAAGATCTTCTCCTCCCTCTGAATGATTTTCAGTGCCATCAGGCACAGAGTCCTGAACGGGTTGAGGCTTAGACTTGGCTTTCCGAGGCATGATGGGGAGAGGCGTGTCGGAGCGATGGGTACGTGAGGGTTTCAGAAGGTGAAAGATGACTCGAAGGACAGAGCAGAGAATATGAGGCAAGACGTGCGGTGTGAGAGAATATCTGCAAGAGAGGAAAAGGTCTAATGCTCCAGTGCAGCGAAGTCGAACTGAAGTTCGAGTGAGGCCATGGAAAGGTCACGCACCGATAAAGGTAAAGGGTCAATTCGCAGGACGCGCCGCGAAGACGGGAGCGCGTTTTTTCCGATTTCCGACAACCAACGTCATCGCCATTACCAACTGCACTGGAAGGCTAATTAGGCGCTAATAGATCCCTCGATCCCTAACAGGTGCGCTGTACGAGGTACTAATAGGCTCTATTAATTAATGCTAGCTAGGAAATCAGTAGGATTTCCCTCTACGGAATTTGCAATACTCCTCAATCGAGTACTGGTAGCTTGACAAATTGGTCAAAACTGTTCATCCCTGTTCCCCTTCTCTTGCTGTCTTCTTCTGCCTTTGCTGGATTGCCATGGCCCTAGAGAAAGACCAAGGGGAAAAGATCCCAGCAAGAGTGCCTCATTGCGCCCAAAACATGCACGTCTGCAACCCAACGCCTTCCTCAAGAGCGCACCATTCGTCCTTGCCTTCTCCCAGCTCAAACACATCTCCGCCGTCTTGGAGCATGGCCCAGGGGCGGACTACTTCCAATCGAGGATTTATAACCTGGAACTCGTATTCAATCAAGCTTGTGTGATCTTGGCCGCATTCCCTGAATGCTTTGGCCACGACAACTGTCCGCTGATCAGTCACTTTGAGACGCTTGCAGGCGCTGCGCTTCTTGGCCTCAAGCCGCTGACAAAAGTATGACCATTCTACGACTGGGCGCGGAACAGGCTCTCCATCGATGTGTGGCCCGATGGTGAGAGGATGGATTTGGTGAAACCCCTACTCTGATGCATCCGTTGCTTGGGCCAACAAATGATCTTCGACGGCTTGCGTTTACAAGGTGAAGTGTTTTCCGTATAAAAGATGTCCTACAGCTAAAGTTTTCTTCCCATCCACATGCTGCTGATCCTTTCAAGCCATACAGACCTGCTTCAGTATTACTAGCATCAGTGTCAGCACTTCCCACTGAGAAAGAGATCGGGTTGTGAGACACATTGAACTTTGCACAGAATGATTCAGTCAACTCCTGGGCCTTCAGCGTCCGAACAGCACCATGTACGACATCACAGCAACGTAACGTCGTTCAGACAGGCGAGGCTTTCTAAGACTCCGCAATCTGGAAAAGCCCAGCGCAAAGAGCATTACGGGAATCCGGGAGAGAGCAAAATGCCAAAGGAGCCAGCTCCCGACTTCATGTTCATCCCCATGTCGGCTGAGCCTGGGGCAAGAGCCAGAATTCAGCCTGAGTTTCGAGCTCCTGCCAAAGCACATGTGATGTATGACTACCAGCGAAAGACGGCCGAACACAGAAGCGCAAAGTGGAAAATGTCGACACCTACCACGTACGCCATCGCCCCTAAAGTGCCATTGCCAGGACTCCTGGTGCCGGAACAATCTGTGCAGCCTTCCTTGGTGTTGCGCGAGCGAAGAACGACGCGGAAGAAAGATAGGCGGCGGCCAAAGAGGAAAGCGCGAACTTCAATGACCGAACTACCATCTTCCGATGACTCTGGTCAATCCCCCCTGGGAGCGCTTTCTTTTACGCTGTTAGACGGCGCGGTCCATTCTCGTTTCATCCATTACGGTCCGCGGCCCGCAATTCCTAGACAACCAGGTGGAAGCAACCTCATGGACGTCTTCTCCGCTCTACCAATTCAAGTCAAACCCTGGGACGAAACGTTGATCACACGATGGCTCAATTACGACCGCATCCCCTGGTGTCCGGTCAACGGGCAGTCTCAATGGGTGCCCTTCGTCACGAATTCGCCGATGCTCCTGCACACAAACTTGTACTCATGGGGGATGCATTGGCACGGCAAATTGACCGGCACCGACCAAGAAGTCTTTCTATACCAGAATCCTCGGATCCTAGAACACAAGATTGCCGCTATCCAATTGATTAATGCGCACCTGGTATCGTCGACTGCTGTCACAGACGAGGCCCTCGCTGCAGTGTCTATGTTCATAAATGTGTCGCTGCAATTCCTGAATCGAGATGAAGCCGCAAGACATATGGCTGGCCTCGAGGCCTTGGTGAAGCTCCGAGGAGGCCTCGAGACGCTCTCCAGGATGGGAACGGTAGGCGTCCTTTTACAACGCATGATAAGCTGGAACGATCTCTTCTTTGTCGAACTCTTTGGTGGGAATCTACGCTTCTCCCTCCTACCGCGTTGGGAGGAGGCATGGAAATCGGTCTATGCCCCCATTGTGGACGATCCCGTCACACACCTCGAACCGCTACAGGCACGCTTTTCAGGTGATCTCGCGCTGGAGATGACCACGCTTCTGCGCGAGATCCAGATCGTGTGCGACGATGTTCAAGCGCGACCTCTAGCGACGCTGACGACGGCAGAAAAGACACTACGGCACGACAATCTGTTCCGCTTTGAACGTCGACTGTGTCTTGCAACACGGATCACGACGGTTCAGGAACATGTCTACATGAATCTACAGAGTGGTGGCAGTGGCAACGACGACCCGATGTGGCGGACGGTCGCTTACGCCGCATTGATGTATGTCCATCACCACATGCGCGGACACGCCTTGCACTGGTCACAGTTTCCCGCGCTGGTCGTGCAACTTCGCAACGAGTTGTCGTTTGTCCAAGCTGCCAGTTGGGAGGCGGTGCCGGCGCTGCAGTTGTGGGTCCTTGCGGTGGGTAGTTGGGTGAGTCAGTGCGAGCAATGGGTTGTGGCCTCGCTCGCCGACGCCTGCCGGGCGCAAGGCTATGCGAGCTGGGACGAATTCGACGGGATCCTGAAGCAGTGTGTGCACCTTGGGACAGAGGACGAGCGGAAGTTCAGAATCGTTTGGGAGCAGGTGAGCAGATTGCTTTGATTGGGGACGGGGAGTTAAGAGCTGCAGCACGACCGTATAGCACATGTAATAGGGGCACCAGGTTTGTTTTCAATGGTAGGCTCTTGAATAATTGTAAGCACATGTCTAGAACATCTGCATTCAACCTTGTCTTTTCATTTACATCAGCATGTCTCCGAAATCTGCACCAATTATCCGGGGCTGTAACGTGGCCATTCCCCGTCGTGGAAAGGACGGCTGGTCATTCCATTGTTGTCCTCTGGAGTCATGTGCCTTCTGTGGGGAAGGGGGCTGCCTCAATGATATCTGATCCCTTTCCGCCTCGATGTGTAGAGCAGATTCCAGGAAATCTCTCTGAAAGCATTATTGTTGTTCAGGTCCCGTCCTGCACACGCCCAAACAAGTCGGAAAATCAGCCCGCACGAGAGGAGATGTTTGTCTCTTCTCCTAGTGCAATCTCTTTTGCCATTCACACCATATATATGTATCTGATGTAACTGCGGTCCTGCTGGGTTGCTCTTGCAAAGACATCTGGACGTAGCCGTTCGTGACTCCAGGCTCTTTCGTGTCCACCCAGCCATGCGAAACCTCAATGTTAAGGCTTGTGTTCAGAGGATTCCCCCTGGACGATGACCTTGGGGGGTACCCATACCTCAGTGGTTCGTTGAGGATTCGGCTGGGTTCGCTGGTCCCCTGCCTCCATGCTGTGCATTGTGGACAGGGATACCAGCAGAGCTACTCCTGTTGGGAGCCGGGACGCTGGGTTCCACGGGGACGTCCGAGGCGATTCCCAATCGACAGGAACGCTGCTCCGTAGAGCGCCTTTGCGACAATGCCACGTCCTCCAGGGCGCCCCCTGGAATGGCCTTATGACTGGAGTTTCACATCCAGCAGTGGCATTGTCGAAACCAGATTTGGCCAACTGAATGTGGGCGAGAGCAGTGGATCGGAGGAAACTTGTCTCGAAGCCACTGCTAGCCAATAGTAGATTGTTTGAACTAGTTATGCACCGTTTCTCATCCGAGCAAGTTGCCCACGAGCGCAAACAAAGTAGCCACGAAGTGCAGGAACATCGAGGTAGGGCTCATCCTCGCAGCATCATTGGAACCAACCAAGACTCCAGACACGGTGGAAAATGCGCTGGCAGCACCAGAAGTAACCGTAGAGAATGCTCCGCCAATCACTGAAGTCACGGTCGAGTAGACGCCAACCACTCCAGAGGTCACAGTCGAGCATACACCACCGCCACAAGGGCTGCTATAGATGGTGGTTATGGTGCTGACGCTGTTCGGGTGGGTAGTAATGGTGACAGTAGAACCGATGTTGGGAACAGAAGTCACGGTAACAGTAGAACCGCCGTTGGGACTAGCAGTGATTATGATGACCCCTCCGCCCGTAACAACAGTGGTCGGTGGCGGAGGGGCAGGAGTCGGCGTTACCGTAATGGTAGATGGATGGATTGTAGTTGTTTGCAGGGTGGGCGTTGGCTGGAGGGTTGAGGTGTAATAAGGCGAGGAGCCATCACAGACTTGACCAGCTGGGCAGCAACCTGGATCACCATTACGGTTTTGCCAGTAACAAACGTCGGGATAAGGACAGCATAACTGTTCAAATGTGCTGTCGCCCGCGCAGTATGGATTTTGATCCGTACCACAGGAATTCTGAGCGACCGCGAAGGGCAGCTCCAACACAGAGATGAGTATCACAATGACCGCGAACACGTTGGATCGGGCCATCCTGGCGCTGTGGGAGATCTGGGGAGGGGAATGTCAGCCATGATCGGAAAATGGGAAGGCTGGGAATAATATATGTAGCATTTCTCGGAGACGCATGGAAGCTGAGAGCTGGTATGAAATCGGAGCTAGAACAGCAGGTCAGCAGCTGTCTCACGAGGACGGCACCTGAGACAGGGTTTGAGCTTCCTCAGGCTCCGGAAATATATTCAAGGCGCTTGTCGACATCTGCCTCGACGCCTTGGAGGAGCTTGATGCTTGTCCTCCGTTCCTAGGCGAAGTTGGCATCGAGGACGAAGAGGGGCCAATGATGGCGCTGAAGAGGGTTGCTGTGTGCAAGCTAAGGAGCTGGAGGTGCATGAAGACACAAGATTATGACGGAAGACTCGCCAAAGGAGGATTGGCACCTTGGACACAGGCTGCCTCGGTTGGTGGCATGCATGACATACGGAGTACTAAGGTACTGAAGGGACAGTTCGAGCACCTAGAGGATAGGGCAGCTTGGACTCACTAAGGCTGCCCAGCTCGCCAGTCACCAGCCACTGAAGCTTAGGCGACTCGGCGACTCTTATCGATAACCCAAGGCCCAGTAAGCCCCCAGCTGCATGTTGGTCCCTCCTAGCACAAGCCCCCAAGCCTGGCCGAGCCCCCACCAACTGCGTCCCTTCCCGTCGGACATGTACCCTTTCAACTCTTTACTGCCGCCGTCGTCGTCGTCGTGGTCAACGATGACTTTCTGACAAGATTTCAGATGTGCTCGGCCCATGCCTTGTATGGGGACGCGCCCATTCGCATACCAACTGGGACAACACCATCTCCCTGCTGATGCCCCATCTGCCTCGAACCTGCTCAATTTGACTCCTGGGCAGAGGCTGTGCCTCCTTGATCATTGGTCACCAGCCATTTGTCCCGCCTGCGGCCAAGAGTGTCAATCCCACTGGCAAGCGTGGATCGATTTGGTCGGCCGCAGAAACCACGAACCATCTTGCTGTCCATTGCTCCTAGCATTCGCTTCATGAGGTATACATATGGCATTTGTCCTGTCCTTGTTGTAAGTCAGTTGTATTGCTCTACCTTGTATTTCCACAGAGAGTTGCTTCCAGCGCCGTGACGCTATGGATCGACCGCCTTCGAGGTCGCGAGCTCCCATGAGCATGGAGGCCCTGCTTGATGAAGAGAACAGAGAAGTCCTAGCTGCCCTTGATCGAAAACGACCCTCCAGTCCCGTTCCCAGGTTCAAACCCCCCAGGACCGCCACCCCGCCGCCTGTCCGCAGCATGCTCGACGTGGATTCTCCGACTCCTCGACATGGCTCCATAGCGGGCATCGGGGTTGGGGTCACGAGCCCAGATCCATCCAGAAAGTCTGCCAAAGAATTGGATCCTTCTGATCCCAGTAGCTGGACCTCACCTCATTCCAGCAAACCGAGCTCCCCCGTTCTCACCAAGACCTCTCCAGTGACCACGAGACAACGGCACTCATCAGAGTCTGAGCGGCCGGTGGGGTTGCCAAAGATACAAGCGGACGGGAAGCGAGGATTTGAGCAAAACTATCAGTTCGATATCTCCTCAATACCTTCATCCTCATCTGCATCGCGATCCGCCCCAGATAATAAGAGGCCACGTGAGGGTTCGGGTTCCGCCATGGCTGCTGCATTGGCAGGGGATCTCGCTTCCCTTCATGTAGGCATCGCAGGAGGGGGACAGGGAAGACACAATTCCACCGTGGCCGCGGGTGCTAGTTCAAGATCTCCATCCTCGCGCATTCGAAAGCCTGAACCCCCAAAAGCAGGATTCCTCAGCCCCACCAGCCCACCAGGTGCCTTGACGACGAAATCCGGAACTGTTGTGGACGATCAGGCACACCTTCGGCTGTCGTCAGGTAGCTTCTCAACCGCGACCGAAGATTCAGAAGAAGGATTTGATCGTTTCACCAAGGACCGCCTTGCGGACGACGAGGATGCTGTGGATGACAGTGATGAGGATGTCATGTCTCCCAGTAGCGATGAAGACGAGACTAGGGGTCGGTCTGAACGACGAAAACTGTCAGCCACCGATGAAGTGGTCGACGCAAAGTCCCCTGGTACGAATGGTGCTTCGTCATCCCCAGATGTCAAGAGACCCTCTCACTCGCAGCAATTTGTCAGGTCGTTACTTGAACCATCCATTTCCATCACTAGTCCCGCTGGGGAAAACGTGACAGACCAGAAAGGCGGTACAAGCACACCTATTAGGCGTTCGTCTGTGACGTCGGCAGAGGATGAGGATGATGATGAAGCTGCTATCAGGAAGGCCAAAACTCTGGCGTTGAACATATCACCGCTCGACACCACAGTGGCCGACCGGCATGTGCGCATTATTCTGCGCGGAAACTGGGCCCATTTCTACCAAGAGTCGGAGGTCGGCAAAAGAACGGCAAGACTCTACCTACTTTGCACCGATCAAAGCGTCGAAGCAAGCTATGCTATGGAATGGGTTGTGGGCACCATGATGAGGGACGGGGATACTCTCCTTGCTATCTACGCGATAGAGGATGAAAGTTCAGGGAAGGCCACCGAAGCCGAGAGAGAAGTCCTGACAGCCGAAGGCAGCAAGGCTGGAAAGGACGCTTCACACGTCATGCAGGCTCTGACCCGCCAGACAACCCAGGGAGGTGGCACAAGTTTCGGACTAGGAAAGGAAGCACAGTATATTCCAGCGACCGAAGTCGAGAGTCTGACTGGTAGCGTCGACGCAAGAAAAGTCTCCAAGAAAGAAATGGAGCGTCTAAAGGCTGTTGAGGGCCTGACACAGGATTTTGTCAAGTTGGTCCGCAAAACGCCACTGCAAGTGAGGTGCATGGTCGAGGTCATACATTGCAAGAGTCCCAAACATTTGATTCTTGGAGCGGTATGTTCGTCTCATCAATGCGCATCATCATGTCTAACCTTCTCCTAGATTGACGAGCTTGACCCTACTCTCTGCGTTGTGGGCACACGTGGCCGCAGTTCTCTTAAAGGCGTCCTCCTTGGTTCCTTCTCCAACTATCTCGTCACCAAGTCCTCGGTGCCAGTCATGGTTGCACGTAAGAAAATGAAGAAAACACACTCAAACGTGCGCATCAGCAGCTCCAAAATCCGTCTATCCAACAATTTGATGGCCAGCCATCTGCCCCTCAAACGAAAAAGCTTGCAACAGGCGAGAATTGATTAGCGGTCAAAAGCGGATGCGCGACAGAAATACCTCATGGGGAAAATGTCATCCGAGTCACAAGCCAAACAGAAGCAAGCCATTGAAGCCAAAGTGGAGCAAGCCAGACAGCAGCGTAAGAGTCGCAAAATGGACTGGAAGGAGCAAGAAGCCAAGCTGGAGCAGCAGCAGGGGAGAATTGATTAGCAATCAGAAAAGGAGAACCAGAACCGGCATTGGGAAGCGAAATGGGCCCAGTGGGAAAGAGAGAGACAAAAACCTGGCGACCAAAAGGGAAAGACGACGGGAGCATTGGAAGATCCCAAAGGCACCAGCGGGCAGGCAAGGGAAACAGGGCGATTGGAACGCACGAATTCCGAAGATCCATTACTCCCTGAATCGTCTGTTGATGGCGAGCAAGAAGAGACGAGCACTTTGAGTCTGTTGGGTCGGAAACTATCCATCGCACACCTTTTCAGCCCGATGTTTCTGTCTCGACCTGACAACTAAACGCAAACGGGGCGGAATTCGAGAAACCAGCGGCAGTATTATCAGCTGACAGGTTCTTACTTGATTATAAATTGGAGCAAAAGAGATCCGCCAGTCGTCCATTTGCCATCAGAGTTAAGACGGGGCGAGGATATGGCAAACTTCCAGAGGCAGCGGCAGCGCAGCACGAGCATCAGCATGACGGCAAGGATCACGGTACGCCGAAGGCCGACGTTCGAGAATTGGAAATAATGATTGTGAATGAATGATATGATAGTCGATAGTCGCTATTGGCGGTCTGGACCGGTGCTGAAACGCTTCTTCACCACAGGAAGTCCAGCCGTGTCCAGCCCTGAAATGAAGCGCAAGAATTCAAAGTACAGCCCGTCAATCAATGGCGATTCACCTTCAGCGTCGTCGGATTCTCTACATTGAACGTTGTCTGTCTGTCAGAGAAATAGAATCTTGTCTCTGACTCCTCTTTCTCCTTGATTGTAACGCTGCGTGTGTGCCTTTCCTCTCGTCTGGAAAGCTTTTAGAGTCTGCAGTAGAGTGCACAGCACAGTCCAGAGGACGTGACTGGACATGGCACGTCGTCTCTGCCGGTGTCAAGGTGGTAAGTAGGAGGGCCGCCCCGACTGGTTACGCGCGTCAAAGAACACGGGGGATGCGTTTTATCCCTATTACCGGTAGTGCATGTTGACGTCCCCTAGGATAGTAGGTATAGTGCGTATCGTGGGAAGGTCTCTTGAGCCCACGACCTCGTTGTCGTCTCGCGTCATTTGGTTCGATCCTTTCCCCCTCTCTCCATTTCGGAAGTGATCGGTGGAAGAGAGAGGAGGCAGAAGGGCGAAGGGAGGGAGAATGCCCAGGACCTAGCTGGGTACAGATCCGACACCCCTCGTCACGGTCACGGTCACGGCGGCGGCGGCGGGACATCAACCTCCATCATCCTCTTCTTGGGGTTCCGCGGTAGTGCCTCCTGCCGCCGTCTCTCGTCCGGCGATATGTCGTCGACATTGGTGACCTTCCCTTCTTCCCCTCCTCCTTGCCCCTGGCCAAGATGACCCGCCTTGGCCACTTGTAGAATCTCCCCATCCATGCCCCCGACATACTCCCACTGCACGCCCGCGGCATCCAACATGCTCAAACTCGGCGAGTCCCGCACGAACGTGCCCGGCTCGCGGGCGCCGAAGACGACCTTCCTGATCCCCCCACCCCGGACCTTTTCACCTGTCGTCGTCGTCGTGGCGGCTCTCGTGGCGATGATGCGCTGCACGCACGGCGTGTTCCCGCTGAGTCGTTTCCCGCACGGTTCGAGGGTCGTGTACAAGTGCACGTTTCTTTCGGGAGTCAGGACGCGCTCGCCCAGGAGATTCAGTTGGTCTAGGTCCAGGTCCGATTGCGACTGCGACTGCGAGGAAGAAGGAAGAGAGGGAGAGGAGGAGGAGGAGGAAGTGAGACCGTGCTTGAGCGCGAGCTTCGTCAGAGCGTTCTGCTCCGCGTGCGTGTTCCCCTCGAGTTCCAGTGTGTACCCTGTCGAGAGAACCTCGCCTTCGACAACATCCTCGCCGTCGTCGACCTGGTCGTTCTCCCTTCCGCCTCCGCCTCCGCTCCCCTCGCTCTTGGACGTTGCTGTGCCAGATGATGTAGGGAACGACACGATGACGCATCCGACGCGGAAATTCGTGGGTTTGGGCTCCGACTGCCGTGCGAGGGACAGGGCCTGGCGCAGGTAGTGTCGGTGCGTGGACTGCGAGGGCTCTGGGGGGCGGGACATCTTGGGGTCCGAGTTTGAGGAGAACGGTGGTGTTGAGTTAGGGTATGGTTAATTAGAACTGGAGACTGAGTCCTTGAAGATCCTGACGGGAGGACGCGTCAAGTCACCCAGAGAAGTCGAGGTCAACATACATAGTCGCTCAAAAGTCGCTGTATTCTGTATGCATCCCAAGGTGAAATGATGCAAGACGGTGTCACGGCGGGTGCGGGGGAGGTAAACAAGGCTGGGAGGCTAATCAAGTATTACATACTCTAGGTAAGGCTGAGGTTTGGCACCCCGCATCGACGAGGCTGAGGCGCGTCCTGATGTCCAGCGAGCCAGATATCAGTTCAAACAAATTCCCTGCTCTTGCTCGCAAGGACGGCTGTCGATGGCAAGTAGGTCCCATTTTGTACAGTGCCCTTCCTCTTATTTACACGCAGTATGAAAATAGTGGTATCATCCCTCCTTTAAGTCCAAATGCCGCCTGTGGCTCGTTTCCCTTATTCCTGAACGCCTCCCCCGCCTTCCTGATAGCTCTGGCCCTTCCTTAGGTCCTGATCACATCTGGACTATTCTCTGTCCAGTCAAAGTAGAGAAAATAAAGGAACAAATGTCCATGCCAAATCCAGATCAACATACTGAAAAGCCCTGGTTCAGACATGTGAGGGAAATCCCGCCCTAACTCCTTCCCTTTTTGAGCTCCCCGCCCGAACAACACAAGCCCTGCTCTTTCCCTAGTAAATTTGTCAAATGGCCAAAGAAAAACAACCAACGAGTCTCATGCATTGGACACTGATATATCCTTGCTGTCCGTAGCTGCTGTCGGAGATCGACTTATGCTTGATCCCTCCAACAAGATGGCCAATTGATCAACCTCGCCCTCAGTTGCAGCCTTTGCATTGTCACTCGTGCTTACTGCCCTGGCGTCCTGCTGTTGTTCCGAGTGTGTTCTGTTCTTTCTCTCTCGAATATTCTTCAAGAGCCCAGATAGTTCGGATTCCAGATCATCAAGATCCACTACCTCTTTGCTGATGGTTAACTTTTTCTTATATATTTTTAGCATTCGCGTCGCTTGATCGGTTGCCATGGCCAAACTGCCAAAATCAGATGCTTGGCTCATACTCTGCCGGCGGCCTTGGGCTGCAGCTTGAGCCCGCAGATCAGAAGGAACCGAAGGTGGTCTTCGCAATCGGCCGTTGTTGGCCTTTTGCCGCTGTTTCGGTGTGCCGGGCATCGAGACTGCTGCTGCCGGTGGTGAGGGCGAGCGCTCTGCCAATGGTGTTCTTTTAGACTCGACATCCTTGCTAATGTCTGCCCGAGATCTTTGGTTTCTCAATTTCGATGGCCCACGTGGCGGCGGAGAGGGTGAACGTCGAATCTCTGCTTTCTCGCCACTTGGTGATTCGCCGCGTTCTGCAGGCAAACCAGGTTGCCTACTAGGTGTTTCTTCGAGGTCTTCGAGGGACGTCACAAGAGCAAGTCTTGACGTCTTGCGCTGCAACCGCACTGGCGATAGAGACCGAGGAGTAGAAGGCGACATTTGTCCATTGGCCCCTAGGAGTTCTGCTATGTCACTCTTCGTCAAAACCTTTCTCAGTGGCGGAAGTGACGAAGGCGTCGGTTTAACCACCTCAGTCTCATCGGCCACCAGACCGAAGCCTCCAGCTTGTCCTTGTGGGATATTTGGCGTAAGTAAGAAAGGGGCTGTCTTTGAGATGCTCCAGATCATGATGGTGCCATCCAATCCCGTGCTTACGACTGTACACCGAGACCCAGGGCTAGAACTATCGGGCTGTTCGAGGAGAGCGATATCACTTACTCCCTCCGTGTGTCCAGATTCTCGGGCTAGAAGGGTGAAATTCCTTTCATTGTAGACTCGGATAGATTTGTCCATGGAGCAGTATCCGATCAGCATCTTTTGGTCTGGGTTGTCTGGGATCGAGGAGCAGACCATCGAATTCAGAAAAACGGTATCGTCACTTTCGGCGTCTCCAACCTTGAATGAGTCAAGCATCGTGCCGGTCGAGATATCGACATTTGTAACACGCCGGTCCATGGTCGAAACGATCAAGGTGTTCTCCGCCGCCATCGCCATCGACAGCGGAGTGCCTTTGAGCGTCAAAAACTTGGTAGCGAGATAGGCCACGGCTTTTCCACCATCTGGCTGTCGCAGCATCCGCTCGCGAATGACCAGAGACCGATCTGTAGAACAAGAGAGTATTTTCTCACCCTTCTGGACGAACATCACTTGATTGACGGATCCAACGTGGTCATCCATCGTCTGTAGAAGCTCAAAGGAATCGCTGTTGATGTGAAATAATTGGATCATCCGGTCTCTGCTACATGTCGCAACGAGTGATCCAGACTCCAGAACGTCAATAGAGGTGATCTCTGCGCTGTGTGCCCTGATGGTATGTGCAATTTGCCAATCGCGGCCCTTGATCAATTTCAATAACCCAAATCGATCACCAGCAATGAAGATATTTTGCGGGAAGAGAAAGCGCATCTGGGTCAGCTCATTTTCAAAGTCGTCGTCCCTTGACTCGGCTGTATCAGGAAGTAGACTCTCTTGTTTCAGTAGTGCGCCATTGCAACTCCAGAACTTGATTTCTCCATTTTTCGAGTAGGTGAAAAAGTTGCCTTGGGCAGCGGACTCGGGAAGTGTCCGAACTCCCAGAATGACACTTTTGTGAGCTGCAAATGTTGGTTGCAGATTGTCCCCATCCTCCAAGCCGCGATGCTGGATTTGTAGACAACCATCGTTGTTCAACGTAATTGTGTGGTCTCTGAGGGTCCCAATCGCCACTAAACTTCTCTCTGCCTGGTCAAGCAGGCCGAGTGAGCGTCGAATGGACGACAAGCGAGGTTTCCGCGACAAGAGCTTGGAAGGCGACTTGTTTTCCTCTTTCCGCAAAACGTCAAACTGTTCGCTGTGCACACCATGAGGAGTGCCAATCAGCAGTTTTCTGTCTTCAGGGATGAAGGCGATGGAGGTGATGGAGAAGTCCAGTTTCTTCATAACCTTGAGTTCCAGCACGTTCTGAGCCACATCGACCAAACATATCTGCCCAGTTTCGGTACCAATTACGACGTTGACTTCGTCGACTGATACAGCACATGTAAATGTGCTGTCCACCATGGGACCCAGCAGAACATTACGGCTTTGTAATGGAACCGGCCCGGGGCTCGACGAGGGTGCTTCGGACGGGCGATATCTCAATCTCCTGGTGGGTGATTGCTTTGTTGCCCCTTGTATCTGCCAGAGTCGAACGCATCTCGTGCCAACCGTGATCACATTATTGCCGCACCACGTCATATCAAAAATGTTGGCAGTGCACTTGTTCGCCGAGTGTAGACTCAATTGACCGGTCTTGACATTACACGACCAGACGAACAGGAATCCGTCCTTATAGTCGCCCAGAGTCGCCAGATGTTTTGTGTCGGAGCTGAAAGCTATGCATCTCAGGCCATAGGTGTGGTCCATGACGATGGAAGTGGGTACATCGCAGGAAGCTTCTTCGGCTGTTGAAAACAATAGAACTCGAGGGTTGTATCCCGCCTCCCCAACTGCCAGCCAGTGGCCGTCACGACTCAGCGCCACGCAAGCTGCGGTCTTAATACGCTCTCTTGCCGTCCATGTCTGCCCAGCCGACTCGTCCAACCATTCGCGACCCGCAGAGCCACCGTTATATTCTTCCAATACCTTTCTGGGAGTGAACGTGCTAATCCTCCTCCTGGAAGGCGTGGTCGATGGTGAGCTTTCATAATGAGAAGTGGGTGGATTGAGTGAAGGCGCAGTCGGTCGAGCCTTGAAATATCGAAGTATAGGTGTGTCATCGGAAGCGAGCCTCGCCAGGACCGCTACCGCTCCGGCGCAATAGGCGTACGAGCTCGTCCTCGGACAGCATGCCAGCCCACTGGGACCGTTTGTTGTTGTCCCAATCACTCTCTGCAGCTGGAGCGCATAGTCTGTAGAGCGAGCCTTGCGAGCAACTCCGTTTCCGGCCTTAGGGATGGGCGAAGGAGTCGGGGTCGAGCGCAGGGAGGGGGCTTGAGTATTCAGCCTGCTTCGGAGATTGTAGGGCTGTGAGGACATGTTTCACATTGCTGGTCATCTGTCGTTTCAATGTGGGAAGGGGAGCATCGAGTATCGACGATCGACGGACAAAGTAGTAGAGGCAGGCAATGACCAGCCGCAATCGTCATGTAGTCACGATATTATTTGGCAGTGTGGTCTGGTAGGAGTCGGATCAGCGAGAAGCCGTGAATATCTCACCTCCCACTGACATGACATTCGTTCATCCACGGGGTCGAAGTGCAACCCAAGCGAGCGATGCGACTCGAGTAAACGAGTCGGAAATGGTTGTTGTGAAGACCATTGGTGGTGGTGGCCGAACGGACTTTGCGCCATCTCGTGTTTACATTCTTTCCCAATGCGGCAAAGGCCGACAACGCCACATTCCACAGCCTCACAGCCTCACAGCCTCGGATGTGGCGTAGCCAGTTTGTCGAAGCCTTTAAAATGTCCGGCTTCAACAAGCGATTGTGGTCTTCTGCGAAGACATTACATAAATATGTTCGTATGAGTAAATATACAGAGGCCATAGAACTCAAGTCTCCAACATCGCTCCCTTCATTCTCTTCCCATCGCGTTGACATGTGTAACGGTTTGTGCTACTCAAGAATTCTCAAAAAAGTCGCTGCCACAGGCATAAATCGCGGTCAATAGATCGACGACGTTCTCAGGGAACTCAACAATACTATCCAGCGTGAAGCTGAACGTCCCCGATATCGCCCAGGCGGCCTGCGATCCGCAGATCGTGGGCTCCGACCTCGTCACATCCGTGAGCCAATACACGAAGTTGTCGGCCTCAAACAGGAATATCGGTGTCAGGAGAAGGATGGTCTCGGGCTCGTTTCGCAGAATCCATCTGAACAGAACCGTAAATTCGTACCAGTTCAATTCTTGCTGGGTTGCGGGTGCGTCCGCCAACACGTCGGCCTTGTCGGCTTTTGACCACTCAGTAGCAGTGGCTTCCGCCTCACCCCAAGCGTAGTCGTGGTCCTGCATGAAAGGTCAGTGGTCGGGATCCTCCAGGCAAGGGCAATAGCGAGAGGGATGAGGCTCGAGAGACACAATGGTCAAAGGGCACATCCTTCGCTGGTGATCCGCTAAGCAAGCACACTCACCTGTCTTGTGGCGAATGTGCCATCTCGCATCGCAATGAAGAAGTCCCTCCACAATGTCGTGCCAGGATTCCCGCCAGTGTCTGTGCTGAGACCCAGGGCCATCGCACCACCGCGCTGGATTGCTTCAATTATGCCCGTGTCGACATAGCTGATCCAGCTATTCGGAGCTCCGAGATTCTTGCTAATGAAGAAGGTGATGACACCCTCAATGGCGCCGAATTGGTCGGCAGAGTTCAAAGGACCAAACCAGTTACTCTCCATATACTGCACGTACGTCAAGCGTTCTTGCATAGTGGAAGACTGGATCTGGTCGAAGGTGCAGCTGAGTGTCTGCTGACAAGCTGGCCATCCCGTCTGGCGCGTCTCGAGAGATGGTATTGCCGAGCCTGTGACCGTCACGAGCAGTGGCGTCACCGCAGCGAGTGCCTTTGAAAGACGCATTGTGGTTGGAGACTTTGTATCGACGTGCAAAGAGGAAGAGGATCAAGATGTGACAGTTGATTCAACCCACGAAGACCGCTGGTTCTTGGACAACAGCTGAGGGAACATGCTGGATATAACCTACAGGGTCTCCATTGACAATTGCTTCGACCATGTTGCGCCTCGAAACCAACAGAGGGGCTTTTTTGTATGCTGGCGGCATAAGCGAGAAGAGAGCAAGACAGAGGAGATTGCACCAACAGGGATTTTAGCGAAAGGTTCAAGTTCGTCTGGAAACCGATCTATGTCGAAGGGCTTAGCGGCACAGCTAGTCTAGCTGCCTCTGGGTCATGCAAAAGCATCTATTGACAAAAGGGAGAACAGGATGGGTGTCTTGAGAAGTCAAGGACAGAATGCTTCATTCGAAAGCATGTCTGCGATCAGGCGCACCAGGAACTGGCCGCTTCGATCACGTCGCACAAAAAAATGACGACTTCGCACGGTTCGGCCCCTCGGAACGGCACGGCTAAAAATGTGTGATAGGCGAGAACAGCTGCCCTGTGCGAGACCGACTCCAAGAAATGTGGCTGAAACACCCCAGCTTGGAGCTGCAGAGATCAGGGGAAAAGGGTACCAGCGGAAAGTTCCAGGACAATCTTCGTGGAGAGGCTCGCAGTATTGGTAGACTCGAAGAGCCACGAGCTGCGAGAAGAGGTTCTCGGGCGTCTCTCTGTAAAAAGAGAGTATCTACAGCTCGGTTGGTGAAATTGGAACATTACCTTAGGCTTTGCAATAGCAATAGCGTTGAAGTCGCACGGCGAGAGTGCCAATAGCTCTAGCCCTGAGAGCGCCTCGAGGCCACGAGCATGTACGTACATGGCATCTACCGCGAACAGTCTTGTCCTTGTCGTTCGCGTCGTTGTCAGGCCGGGCCATCTCTAGCGAAACCCTCAGTCTCCTGGCAACCACGTGGTGCAGAGATGACGGGTCTATTCGATGCTACCGAAACGCCAGAAGATTGGAGTTGCGAACAGCGGGCACCGCTTGTGATCGAGTTGGAGCCGTGAAGAGCCCAGCACAGAATAGTAGGTAGGGCTGCGAAGGCTTCAGCTCGACTCGAGGCCACTGTGCGTCTCACCTTCCATCTCATTACCATCGAGCATCCGTCGTCGTCGTCGTCGTCGTCGTCGTCGTCTTCAAGTCGTCATCTCACCAAAGTCCAGACCCCACCAAGACTATCGACGGATCTCGGTCTTGCTGTTCTGTGACGGCCCCAAAAAAAGAAAGGCAAAACCGTGCGAGACATGTATGTCAACCAGGCATGACGAAAGGCCGCACAAGGCTGGTTACACGCCCGACAACGAGGCCGACAGCGTCTCCAGTGACCAATGAAGATACTTGTCCAGTTACCATTCCTAATTGCCGTAGGCGAATTGCCAGTCCCGAAGCTCCCGACCCCGAGATGAATGATGATTGATGAATGATGAAATGATGATGATTTGTTTGCTGGGGAGGGAAAAAAGGATTGCCTGACTGTACCTGACTCCGCCATCCGCTTGGAGGTCATGCCACACAGAATCTCCTGACGTTGCGGGATACCAAGGACTTGGTACATACATTACACGGCGTCCTCCGAAGGACTCGTTGTACCTGATGGAAAATGCCGCTGAGCACCGCCACATCGGTGCCACAAATTGCTGGAACAAATGAGAACATCTTCCCTCCTCCCCCGCCACAGATTCCCCCATTCTCCCCCCTGTCGTTGTCACTCCACTTGTCAACTGACACTATCGTCACACCGTTTCCGGAAATGGGTGTGCAAGACAATATTGCTCCCACCATCGCCTGAGCATGACGATGAACCCTTATTGAACCCATTGTGCAACGTCCTTGCGCCATTTCATGTGGCCCAACCCGGGCCTTGGTGGTATGATGGCCCGTCATGGGTGGTGTGCGTGCCTACCCGCCAGGCTCTCGCGGGGGCTGAAAACATCCACCCGTCTGAAAGGAGGACGGAGTACATAAGGTCAGAATTCATGGCATGCTGGTCGATGCAGTGCCACATCTACTGGACCATCGACAACCTTCCACTGTACACACATATATACATACTCGAGAAGAGGAAGAAGAGGTGCAAAAACAAAGCCTCCAAACGCTCCGCCAGCGAAGAACCAAGAAACAAAAGAGAAAAAACTCCAGCCTCGAACAAAGTCACCAATATCATATCCCTCTCCAATATCTACACCCTGTACAATACGCCAAAATGACGACCCCTCTCGTCTGGAGAGCATCGCCCGTGTCCATGTCAAGACACAACATGCAGTACGCCGGCTTCTTCACCGCCTTTGTGATCCCATTGGGTTTGTTCATGTGGGGTGTTCGTGACCCTGCAAGTGTTGCTGAAGCAAGGAAGAGAGCGGAACGATGGCGGGCCTCGAGATCATAAAGCGGCCAAGGACGAAGTGCATTGGAGCGGAGTCAGCAAAGGGAGTACAGTCTTGTTTTAATACACCAATCATCAATCAAAGAAAGGGATGGAGTGATGGTAGCGGCGCCTGTTCTGTCCTATAGACCGCCGGCCAGGAATCGGGTCCAAGGTATCAACGGGAGAAACAACCGGGAGGAATGAGGCCAGGAAAGTCGGAAGCCGGAGCAGGACCGCTGCGCCAGACACTTGATAGCTGTGCAATATCATTTCAAATGTCACTTACCTGGGATCTTGATCAAGTAAGACTTGAGTAAGGAGAGAAAATCCACACCGACGACAACGGCTGGCACTCTTTATGTGTATCGAGTCGTGTCGACGCTCTGGTTCAGTAACCATAGCAAGATCTCCGAAGAGCTTCTAGAGTCTCGAATTAACTCTGGTCTTACGCCGTCACCAGCACATTCCATATGTGTACCGAAACCAGATCATTGGGAGGTGCCTCGAGACCGTGCTCGCTGCTTAGCTGACTTTGAGCCTGCTTTGAGGAAGAGCAGGTCAAAACCCCTTTGGCGATGATGTATGCTACAGCCACGGTCCGTTCATTTCACTCTGAGCAGTCGGCAGATTTCAAAGGGGCTCTTCTGGATATCGTACTGAGAAGGAACCGCGGGGGCAGAAGTCCAGAGGTTGAGCGTGGGCTGTGGAAGATGGTCTTCACGCGTGAGGTTGGACCGCCAATGGTAGCAGTATCGCTGGGTAGGTTCTGCGGAAACGACACCGACTTCCTGCATTAGAAGGCAACGGCTCTTATTGTTCCTTTCCTCTTTCCATTGCTGGTCTCTGAACAGCACCTATATGCTTGTCAGTCAGTCAGTCCTTCAGCGCGTCGAAGTGGTTTTGATCCGGATCCTCTTCGACATCTCTCTTGAGACTGCCAGAGGGTCACTGGAACCGCAACGTTGATCACCAGCTCGCGAATTCAGGTGCGGCTCGGTGCTTGTGCGCTCGATTCACCTCGTCCAGTGCCCGCCCAAGGATCAGGAAGCAGTTTATCCAAGGCCAGTATGATAACTTGGACTGAAAACTCGATCGTTGAACAGCTCCATGAAGCAGAAATCACCCACCTACTGCCCGATAAGCCCAAAGGTATCGTTCAAAATCGGCTGGTGTTCTTTCGGCGGCTGAAGGTCTATTACACATCCCTTACATAAAACCAACGGCTCCGACAGGGAGGAACCACCTCCCAAAGGGGTTCAGCCTCCACAAGGATCGGATCCAGGCCCTACCGGTAGAGGCCCGGGTGTGCTCAGGCTGGTTATTCGGAAAGTTCTTTTTTTACCATGATCGACGATCTGTAGTCGCACTACTGTGGAGGTACTCGTACACTGGTTTCCAGCGGATCGCCGAGTCACAAGGCTTTCCCTTGCGAATACCCCCATCTTTGGCCCCTCAAGGATTGATGATTGCGTCGCACGTAAAGATTTGGGCTCGAGATCAATGTATCCGAGTCGGCTCCGTGCGGAAGCTCCTCTCAGCGCTTGCTGTACCGAGTACTCGTGAATAGTATCCCCTCTGGACTAGTAGCATTCTTGGTCTCCAAATTTAAACAGCCACTGCAGGAGACTCACAATGTAGCCTGACACGCCGTGGCATGGACTTGGCGCTCACTGGCCTGGGCAACAAGTCAGACCTTGACGGCGTGATGTCATTGCCACGTTGCCTGAGGGTACTCGTATATTGTTTCAGAGCCAATGGATCTGACGCAGCCCGGGGAAGCTGAGAAGCTGAAAAGAGGGTGGGTGCTAGTTGGGATGCGACTATTACCCACTCCGGCATGTTCCAGATGTTAAGATGTCGTGACAGGTAAGTCAGCGCTTGCTTCGGCGGTTCATTTCCGAAGGAGAAACACAATCGAGGGCCAGCGGTCTGGTGTGTCACATCATTACATTGTGGAGCTGATGTCCAGCTGGGAAGAGATGTTTTATATTGTCACATCTTGTAACGACTATTCCTGTTCAGGGCTCAGTGCCGGGCCCACCAATTTGTTGCCTAGCGCTTGTATTGGCTTTTCAAACTTGGCCTTATCGAGCAAATGCTAGGTCCCGTGGGATGATTTCGAGGGGCAGAGCAGATGTCCATGCCGGAAAGGGACTGCGAAGCGAGTACGGCTGGTCGTGGCAGGAGAGATGCCGATCAATTGCTGCTTCTTCGCCTAGCTCGGCACGCCAGTCCAAGGTCAATACCACCTTGGGCAGAGCTATCAGGATATTAGTGATACAACCTCGTTGGACGAATCAAGACTCGGAGCACAACGTGAAGCGCAACGACCGCTGGCGGAAAGGGTTTGGGACAGGCCCTCTCGATACTTCAAGCCTACCCCTACCCGGATGCCCAGACTGGCGTATTACCCTGGCTTCTCGTAATTCTTTCGGCGGAGCAAATCAAGGTGAGGGGTTTGTGCGCACATCAGGTTGATAGGGCGGACTGGAATAGTGCGGATGCATGCTGACATGATCTCCTCAGGTCTTGGAAAGTCTTGGGGAACGTCCTTGCTGCTTGGTGAGCGGCATTGAGAGGGGGAGGGGTAGGGGTAGGGGCGGTTCTCATGTGGATGACCTGTGTGGTCCATGTCCCTTACCAGCAACTCGATGTTTGAGAAATTCAAGTCGAGATTCTCGAAATGTCGTCGCACAGTCCGACCCACGTGTGACACGCATTCCCCTTTGAGCTCACCTCGCTTGGAGAACACCGGGCGCTCCATCCGTATCGGGATATGCTCTGCTGCTCACTTTGTTGGAATGAACTGAAAGCTTCGGGTCTTTGCGAGTAGTCACTGCCCGTGTTCTAGGGGTGGAAAGGAAGTAAAAGAAGGCGCGGCAGAGAGTACGCCAGTTAGGCTTTTCGATATACTAGCCAGGGCACTGACTCGAGTTGCCGGCGGTGTCGATCCAAGCAATAGCGGTTCTCCGACACCCCAAGTAGCCTGTAGAGATGCCCCTTGGGCAGCCCTTCGTGATGGACATGCCCGCGACTCGCCCAAACAGGGCAACGAGCGGAGGCCGAGTAACCCCCCATTGACGAGCCGTTGGAGTCCGCGCTCGAGTAAACAATAGCTGTTGGGCCAGACAGGAATTCCAAAGTCTGGACGATCATTCTTCTGCCATACGGTCCGAATGGAAAGCTCAGCAAGGGTTGATGAGGCGGTAGCCGAAGGACAACAGGGATTCAAGTTCGAAATGTTCCCCGCGTACACCGTCCTCTACTAGAGGTCCCCGAACATGTCACTGTGAAGCGGTTGATGCTGTCTGGGAATTGCCTTCAGTTTGCATTGCGCCTGAATACCTCCTTTGGGATACCAGAGAAGCATCCAACTGCGAGTGTCGGGAACATTTCGTGTCAGGGGGGTCGGGATAGAGAGAAACTAGCTCACTTCAAAACTCTACTTGCGATTGCCGTGTTCAGGCAATGATCTTCTTAGCACTGCGGCAGGAAAGGCAAGCATGCTCGGGAAGGCATGCAAGGCAATTCTTGTCTCTTGTGTAAGTGACTCCGGTGTACTTTCATGGAGGTATCGCCTTGTAGTACATAAAGATTATTTGAGTGCTTCAAATCGGCACGAAGTGGCCGGCCGACCACCCCAGTTGATCCGTTGATCCTTTGAACCGCTGGTATCCCACATCCGCTGGGCTCCTGCGAAAGCCCGCGATTGATAACCCATGTAGAAGGCATGTTGAAGGTCTTTGCTCTCTCCCGATTCTCCTGCCCTGAGGGGCTTTTTATTCCCTTTGGGAGACCCTAACGTATCACATGTTCCATCAAAAAGTAGTCGTGCAGAATACCAAAAGTTATTCCGTCCATGCTTGTGCGGCGATGCGCGCGTTCGCTCAAGTGCAATCGACAAAACCAAGAAAGAAAAAACAGCCCTTGAAGGTAGGTATCTCAAACCCTCTGTAAAACGCCAGGTCGAAAGAAGGTGCATCCCCGGTTCGTCAATGACTATGCTACAAGGAATCCTCAAACGAATGTAATGCAAACTCGGAGTTGAGGTCGACTGCATTCTTGTCAAAGTAGCAGTCTGGCCCGTTGTACAGCATATTGTCGTGGGTGGAGAAGGCGTCGAACTTGTCGAACTTGTCTGGCATCAGCATCTCGCTGAAGGACTGGTCTTGACATGACCGGAGGGCGTTGAGCTCGGCTGTTAGTTCGGTGATCCTGCCGTTGAGCTTGGTGACCTCATCAGCTTGTCGAGTATACGACTGTAGCAGGTCTTGATGCTTCTCGTGAAGATCCTCTAGTTGGCGCTCGAGGCCCTTGACATGTTTCTCTTTCCTCTCGCGGAAGGCCCGTTGGGATGCTCGATTTTGGGCACGTCGTCGCTGCCATCGAGTCAGTCAACCTCGCCAACGGGACATGATGGGAGTGGACGAACCAGGTGCATGTTAGGGATGGTTTCCTTGTCCTTGGCTGCTGGGGCCGAAGTGCTGCCGGACCGTCGTCTTCTTCGATCGGTCTGATCAATGGCTGCGGCGTTGTTGTATTCTACGGGGATCTTGTTGGTCTGAGCCGGGGGGTAAAATGATGCCGGCGTTGCTCCATATTGGAACAGGTCATACTGCATAGGGGCGTTGTTGAACATCATTTGACTCATCTGCTTCGGTCAGGATTGAGGTCGTCAGAGGCGTCGACAGGCTGGACTTACATGGGGCGAGTTGGGACTTGATCCTTCAGAGGTGCTGTCGAAGTATTGTCCGGCCGGGAAAAGTGATTGACTTGGTGATTGACTCGGAGAGCTCACAAAACCAAAGTCCATGTTGCTATTGCGATCCCAGATCGACGTCATTCGAGGGACAAGGTGGTCTCAGAAGGTGCTCTTTATCTTTTCTGAAGTCTCGAAGCCGGATCTCGAACTTGAGTAAGCGTTGAGTATGTAAGACAGAAGCTCCCCGAAAAAAATATCTCGGACTGTGTTTGGTATTTCATCAGTGTCAGATGCGGCGGATGTCCATGGACTGTTAAAAGGGAATTGAGATATAATTCGCCTCTGGGGATCTGGCTGCGGCTATCCAGGGCCCAGCGACGCTAGAGCAGCATACGAGGATTAATTGTTCTGCCATACCCTCGAGATGCAGCATTGGCAGCACCCCGGCATCCTTAGCCCCGAGAATCACGAACTGATCGCTTGCAGGGGGGGACCTACCCAGAGGGCACCGGGGCGTAGCGGTTGGCAAGTGTCATTATTGGAGAGGTCACTTGGGAAAGAGGTATCGGTTGACCGACGGGAAAATGTACGGGCAGAAACAGATCCTGGCCACTTTGACCTTGCTAGGCTGCATCCCAACCAAAGGGACAACCTGTGCCGACTACCCAAAGAGGCATGGCGGCTACCGTCGAGCCATAGGAGAGCACCCAAGACTGTGGAAGCAGGTTAGAAGCTTCTCCCTGAGGTCAGCAATTCCGGAGTGGACCACGGGCAATGCTCCAGGAGTTATTACGCGGCATTGTGACTGGGTGGGAGGTCATGGACAGCCTAAAGGGCCCTAGGTAAGGCTACCAGGACTCCAGGAGTCCAGGACAAGCCTGCCCTTGTCAGCCAAAGGCGGGGGCCAAAAGTCTGTGATTGGAGAGACAGCAAAGTCATTCATCTCGAAACTGCATCAACCAAGGAAAGTTTCGTTGGATGAGCAATGTTCGGCATCAATATCCTTGTTCGTCGCGTGAAATGGTTTCCGGGTCCTTGTACGCTATGGCCTTATTCTGTGTGTTGATTGGACCACTGGCTTCGGGAGAAGCTTGGACCAAGTCCAATTGCCTATCTGGGAAGGCGCCCTTGACCTTTTTGAGTATAGACAGAAACGTCTGGCCGACTGCCTCTGTGAGCTAGCTCGCATCTCACCACCTGCCCCAATGGTCTCCACCCAGGGCCCTATCCAGCAGCAGCAAATCCATGTCTTTTGAAAGCTATCTCATGTATCGACGATCATATCATCCCAGGCGGGCCCAAAGCTTGTCTCGGTACCTAATCGCCCACAGACAGAGCCGTATTATTGAAGGCTTTAGCATGTATCAGAATCGCTCACGAATGTCGCTGTTTGATCGAGGGGTCTCTAAACTCCCTCCCGACCAGGAATACTTCCAAAGACGGAGGAGAAAGTCAGAGATATACCCGTCATGGCCGCTGGGGCCTCGGCAACAGACGACCTTGTTCGACAAGGTCGACAGGCCATCATCAGCATCGGTCACACCGATGTCCACGCCAACTGCCAGGCAAAACAGCAACGTGCCAACACAATGAGCACAATGCTGTGCAGAGAGTGTCATCTGCCCAACACGCAATAAATCACCCCGCGTGTCTTCCATGCAAACGCTCGCTCATGTAATACAATTTTTGCTGACCGATACTTTCTTGGCCTCCCTTGCTGCTTCGTAAATGGTTCCTTAGCTAGCCACGTCAAACACGATGCATGGCAAGTGTGGGCGGTCTACTCGAGATTGGGGGCGTCTGGACCTCGTTCGATGCATGGTTCACCCATGGAAGTTTGCAGCATGACTCCACTGGCTCATGGACTGACCCGCCAGAGGAGGCACATCTCGACGTCGACACGTACCAGATAGGCGGTTTTTGATTTAGCGTCGACGCCACAAACTGCTCGAAGGGGTAAGTGCTATGATATATTTCTTCAGTTCGTCATGCCGCATGGACTGCCGGGGAGCAATACGGGCCCTGCCCACCACTGCAACCCGTCCGTTGCATGGTGCGGATACCTCATCCCGAAGGACTCTAACCCAAGGGCGTAAAGGGTAGAAAATCGTTTGATTTGCTCTTCCCATTAGGCAGAAAATGAACCGATCGCGAATCTGGTGGATGAGCAGGCCATAGGGGTTTGGGGCTGTAGCAACCGTGACCCTGTGCCTGCTTTTCGACCCTTGCAAAGGGTTCCGAGAAGCCGTTGAGTCATGTGCATGGTGGTGTTAGGGAGGGCAGATCAAAAGCGGCGCGAGTCTTAGCAGGGCTGCGCTTTGCAGAGCTGGGCAAGTGCCAAGAGGGACACATTCCGGATGAGGCAACCGCACTCTTCAGGTTAATCGACTCTCTCCGGGGTTTCTATGGCGCTCAGCGCCCAGCGGCCTGGTCAAGCGCTGGGGCTGTCTTCAAGCGTACTTGCGGAAGAGAGCAAGGTTGAGCCGTAGCAATCGCCTGTTGTTCGGGAGGGCGACACTGCGATCCAAGACTCCCCATACCGATTTCGACATTCCATGAATCTTGCTCCCTAGTTGACTGGGACTCGTCGGGCCCCCAATTCTGTTGCCCTGCAGTCGAACCCCATCAGTCGATGTCGCTGACAAGATGCGCTGCCTTACAAGTATCAGTTTTGGGATATTCATCAATACCTAGTGGCTTGGTTGGGGCCGCTCGGACCGCAGTCTCGAGCTACCGCTGAAACCCACCTCTGGGGATGATCTGCTTGAAACCGCCGCGACCACATGGTATTATGTTGGTCATCTTCGCGGACCCCTTGATCGGCAATTTCATAGCCGTAATAGGCAACTTTTTAAAGCACCTACCCAAAGCGGAAGTGGAATCGAAACACCTCTTTGCACATTTTAAGTCCGGTACCTGTCTGCCTTGTATGCAGTGAGAATAAAGTCAAGGAATCGGTTCGGACTCAGCACGGTGTGAGAGAACACAGAATTAGAAGGAGTACCAGTATCATGCATAGATGATCAATCAGGAGGATCCCGACACGGCACTGCTGTTCAGGCAGGATACAGGCCACAAAGCTATGGATGGTCCTTGGACTGGGTGGAATGGCACGTCCCTAGCTCACATATGGCTCCCGACAGTTCGCCGTTGTAATGTGCCAGGTACCTAGGTACCTAGCTACTGTGGCCGGCGCAACTGTACTCGGTAGATAGGTCTGTGTCGAAGTGACAACGACAAGCCCCATAGCACAAGGCATGCTCGGTTTCCGGAACCGATGTTCCTCTCCTGCCCTTTTTTGAACCGCCAGATGAGACTGGACCATATTTGTCGCCAATAACCTGAAATTAGCCATTGGCACCTCTGAGGCTCAACATGGTAGGGTGGACCTTACCTTTCGCAGCCAAGTGTCTCGCGAAAGGAGATTCTTAGGTAAACAGTTACAAAGTACTCGGTACAGAGTACATCTGCAGGTACACAGCCATAGGACAGATTGAGTCCATGTTGGCGGGGGTGATCTGTCGTATAGTGTCACCAAGGCTCTTCTGACCCGCTGTAGATTCATTTAGGCCTTTCGAGTGTTGACTTAAAGCTTTTGCAGCAATTACGCAGATGCAGTTGCCGATTCCATGCCGCCTGGCAACGACCGGGTGAACGCGTCAAGATGCGTGTCTTTCCACCATACGGTAAGGCTTGTGCGTATATCAAAGCGTACTCTGCTCGTCGGTACTCCCTGCCGCGTATCCTAAGGTCTGACACGAGTCCCCCACCACCACTTGCTGATCGGAGAGACACGGGAGTAGCTGGTTCGTCTCGGCCCCAATCGGGGCGTGTCAGCTATAGACTCGCATTCAGATCGGCCCACTGCCACCAGAATAGATCTCCACAATACTAACAAATCTCCAAGGACAGAGTATTCTGTTCTGTCACTCGTAGGCTTTCGTCTGTCCCTTGACTCCGCGGGAGGTATAGCGCCATGCTTGAGGTGCTGGCAATATGCAGTACGCAGTAGAGCCCTTCCTAGACAACGATGTGGGCAATCTGAATGATGGGGACGTAGTTTTTTTTTCTTTCGAATCCTCATCCACCGCTCGTTATTAGCCGGCATTGTTCCAGAGATCAGCCGGGAGCGCCATAGTTGCCCTGAATGAGGAATATGCGCTGACTCGGGAGCTAATATGCCGGGTGAAATCTCTTGCATTGTTCCGATAGAAATCAGACCGAGGTAACAAGGCGGGCGGAGCTGATGTCGCACGGATACCGTAGATTCGTAGGTACCTGGGAGTAGGGTTGCTTCACTCGGAGAAGGGCGAGGTCTTTGTTCTGATACAAAATAATGCCAGGCTCTGTGAAACCCATATTTATGGTCCTGCCAAACATCTGGGAGTCCTTGAGGAAACAACCCTGGGGAACGATTTATTATTTTCATGATCAAGTGGAGGGGTCTCGTTGGGTGTCTAGTTGGCTGGGACCTTTTTCCACCTTGACTTTGACTTTCCCACGAGTTTTCTGCAACCTCGTGTCAGACGCTGTGGTAGAAAGAAGGTTGCACGACATCAGAGTCGTCCGCCAGGAGCGACAACAAGATGTGTGCATCAAGCCCAAGATAGATGAGTACCATGGATCCGGAATTCTGCACCGGTGAGAAATCTGGCAGTGAGCCTGAAGGCTGAAGACCTCTTCGCTTAGGTTGCTGGCACCTGCCGCCACGGACCGAAGGAAGCAGGTTGAATCCTTCTCGACCTGTTCGCAAATTCATGGTTGACTTTCCCGCGGGTTCATGCACAGGACTTCATCTGATCTGTACTACTACTAGAGGGAGCTTGAACCAGATGGTCTTCCAGTCTTGAAACCAAGAGCCGCATGCAAGTACACATATTATTACCCCGAGAGAAAGGTACGGAGTTCTGAGTGCCTGGTACATTCTTCCCCCCTCTCCCTCGGACCGCTGGTGGTTCAGACCAACGTTTCGACTGCAACTTCATGTCAAAGAATAGGGTGTGCCCGACAAGAAACAGGTCCCAAACCCACCTCTACGCTCTACGAGTAAATCGAACTGGCCTCCAGCAGTCACGGGTCGTGTTACATGCTTCACTGGGCACCCAACTATATGAGTTGGTGACACAAGGGACGGGAAGTGCGTGGCACAAGGGGATGGCAACATGAGAAGATTTACGATCGAAACACAGAAAAACGTGGCAAGTGCGTGGTACTGTTGAGCGGCCCCTGAGAAGATGCACATGGGGGGCCAATCCCTACCTAAACTCTTGTTTAAAGGGAGCTCCCAAGCTCTTTTACCATGGGGGCGACGTAAGGGGTGCCCTAAGCGCCCCCGAAAGGGCAGATCCTGCCCATATTCAATCTGCTGGGGCATGGTGGCCCCTGTTAGGCACATCGTTCTAAACCCCCTTCTAGACCACATTGGCCTCTGGCGTTCTTTTAGCGATGCCTGTCGAGGGCCTCTCCAATTCCCCCCTATGATCCACTGTGGCAGCTGTGGCAATTGTGGCAGCCGCCATCTTCGATCCGTGTGCCTCTGGAGACCCCTGGTGCTCTTGAACAGGCTTCTATAGGCTGCTCCTGGCCTCCAGGCCCCTCCGGAAGGGCTTCTTCCCTTGGCGCCGGCTCCCTCCAGGCTGGATGGAAATCACGCCCCGTGGCTCCCCGGCCACTCACAGCTCTAGCGATCAGGTCCTTCTAATTCTAATTGCTGGAGCTTGCAAAGCGTCCGCCCCACCACCCTCTGCCACCACGCTTCAGCGACACCTGCCGTACCAACAGCTCCTCCACCTCCACCTTGCACCTTGCACTTGGACGCATCCAACACCTCTACCATACTCCATCTGTCTATCACCCTCAGTTAGCACCCGCGACTGCTTGAGCGTCTGTACCTTTGCGAGCATACACAGGAGCATCATCGGACGCAACCGCGTCCAATCCTCCTTTCTCCAATATCTCACAGTGCTATTGTCCTCCATTTTGAGGTGAGTTGAACTGCTATTGGGGCTCTTCTTTGTCTGCCAGAGTTTTTCCTTCCGGCAAGGCTCATCAACCCCCTACGAGTTGCTAATCGTGGTCCTTTTGAACAGCAGGTATCTCATCTCCTTCGACTGCGGATACCTATCCTGAGCTCCTCCTGGTCCAATATTCTCCTCACGCCTTCGCTCTCTCCAGGTCGAGCATGATTTATCACGGCCAACTGAAATAAATAGCCTATAACAAGCTGCATTGCCCATATCAGGCCGACCGCGTTCACATCTGAGTACTGGGCAACCGTCGCGTCATCACGATGGGTTGCACAGGATCCAAAATAGATCCGCGGGAAAAGGAAGCCGCACAACAAAATGCGAAGATTGAACGTCAGTTACGCTTAGATAGAAGACTGGAGTCTCGGACTGTCAAGATCCTCCTGCTAGGTATGCGACCAGGGGTATAGGTTCGATGTTTCTACTGCGGCCCGCTAACATAAGTGTAGGTGCGGGTGAATCCGGAAAATCGACAATCATCAAGCAGATGCGCATTATCCATTCTAGTGGATTCCAGGATGACGAGCGTGTGCAGGTGAAGGCCGTCATATTTTCCAATGTCGTCGTCGCATTCCGTGTTTTGTACGAGATCATGCAAGATGAAGGTATTGAGTTTGCCGATGAGCAAAACGAAGCCTATGCCGAATACCTCGAGAGCATTAATGCCGACGTCGATGCGCATGAAGCATTCCGGGATAAGAGAGTGAAGGAGGCCATGGTTGCGCTGTGGAAGGACGCCGGCGTGCAGAAGGCCGTTGCTAAAGGCCACGAGTTTGCGCTTCATGACAATCTGACCTTTTACTTTGAAAACATCAATCGCATGTTCGAGCCCGATTGGCTGCCGGACGACCAAGATATGCTCCATGCCAGACTCCGAACCACCGGCATCACTGAAACCGTCTTCGAGCTCCAGCAGCTGACTTTCCGCATGATGGACGTCGGAGGACAAAGGTCGGAACGGAAGAAATGGATTCACTGCTTCGAAGGTGTCCAGTGTCTACTTTTCATGGCCGCCTTGTCCGGATACGACCAGTGCCTAGTGGAGGACGTGAACGCCAATCAGATGCACGAGGCTCTGATGCTGTTCGAATCGTTGGTCAACGGAGAGTGGTTCAAGGACAAGCCCATCATCTTGTTCCTCAATAAAATAGATCTCTTCCGAGAGAAGCTACCCATATCACCTCTTTCAGCACATTTTCCCGATTATACCGGCAAAGACGGCGACGAAGAAGCCGCCAAGCAATTCTTTGCCAACAAGTTCCGATCCATCAACCGCAATTCCAATCGAGAAATCTATATTCATTTCACCAATGCAACTGATACGAATCTTCTCAAGAAGACCATGGAAGACGTGCAGGATATCTTGATCCAGAAGAACCTTCAACGACTTGTTTTGTAATGAGGCGGGACCAAAATCTTTCTCGACGAGAACTCTCCGCCTGTCTTTCGATCTCGGTGGCACAGTACAACATGCAATCAAGCACGGTCTCTTGGTCGGATCAAGTCGGGGTATCTCACTGTCGGCTCGACATTTGTCGCATTTTCCACGGTGGTACGGTTTGCTAGACGCGGGCATATTCTTTCCATCAAAAAGGAATACTATCTTCCGTTTCATTATTGCAGCGTTGGCGTATAGGAAAAGCTTTTAGGTCCGCAACCTATCTGTTTCGGCCCACCAAAAAGCTTCGACACGATCGATTAGCGATTGTTTTGAGTAGGGCGAGGTTTGCACGACGACTCTTCACCTAAGAGCGAAGGAGACTTGGGCTCTGATCTGCCGGACAGACCAAGCATGCCATCTGGCGGCGCTGCAGATTATTCCTCTCCCTCCAGGCAACTGTGGGTGTGGGGAGGTATTGTTTGGAAGCAGAGTGGCCAGCTCGGTGCAAGTGTCCACAATGTTCGTCTGGCTGACGGATTGTGTATGAGGTGGATATGGAAACAGGAGATGTCTGGAAATGCATTCATGGATACCTTGTCAGGGAAGGCATTTGGAGCTTCATCAGGGCTTGCTGGTGCAGACAAGGCGCCACGCCCTTCTGCTATGGACATTCCCTTTCCTCGGGGTAAATTGCACTCCTTTGGTTTGGTCTCAGTGTTGATGTTACTGACGGTAGTGGCTGCCATATTGCGAGCTGAAAAGGCTATCTTCACTCTCATCGTGGTTGCCAACCCTTTCATGCACAAGTTCGAGGCTGCTCTGCACGACCGCTAGCTTTTTCACCTGGACTTCTTGTTCTTCAGCCTTCGACTCTTTGTCTCCCTTCGTAGTGTTTCCTAGGCTTTCCAAAACGAGAATCGCCCTACTCAGCCCGAGCAGACAGCGCGTGGCTTCTTCCTTCCCGAACCGGGCATCACCACCAGTGCCTTACAAAACAAGACGTTGACGTGAATTCTGGTGAACCGAGTCCCTCTTTCTGATATCCCAACTCAGCCATCAATCCATTGATAGACACATGTACTATGACCGCGGTTATCCATGTTTGCCTCTCAGGGTCCCCGTTTGAACATGCCCACTCAGTGAACAGCAAAGCGCCTGCTGGGAGAACGTTTTCTCAAGGTTTTGCAAGACGGTGGGTTCGATCACAGTCAGCATGCGTAGGCGATGGGTCGCATACGAAGGCAGAGCTCGTGGATGCAATCAAGGTACAGTATTCTTTGTGTTGGTATACAAGTGTAGGGAGTGGTCGGTGCCCCAGACAAACCGGACCCTGGTCAGTGGTGGACGGATATAAGATTTCCACTGAGCGCAGGGCAGAAGTATTACCCGAATCCAAGGCGGCCCCCCCCATCTCGACAGGTTCAACAAGCTGATTTGTACTCGATCTGCAAATGAGCCAAAGTAGCAGTTGTCTGCACCCATATGCGACATTCAGAAGGGGTTCGGACTCCTCTTCAAAGAAAGCCGTACCGGCAACGTGGTAACAATGATCGACTAATGCACTATTTAGGGGGCTGCAAGTGCAAAGAACAAAAGCAAATAACGTTCATCTACCAATCCCGAAAGCTCTTTCCCTATGGTTTGGACACTCCCATGCCGCAAAGGCAACTTCTAAACTGAGCGAGCCCTGTCAACAAGACGAGCACTTCTGCTCAGCAAGAAATTCCAAGATTGGGAGTACCGGCAGAAAGCGGAGGAGAGTACAACTATCAAAACTGGGTGGATATCGGGAGCTATAACGGCTAAATGATTGAACATCAATGGGCACAGCATAGGGAAAGGCAACAAACATTGCGTGAAACCGATACCAACAACCTCCAGCGCCTCAGCGACACTGAACAGCATCCGCACTCGACACCCTGACGGAGCATTTTGCGACCGATCATCTCTTCCCACCGGCTTCTCCTTCACTTGTGATCTCCCTTGATCTTGTGGTACAAATCACTAGCAAGAGAAGTACTTGGCCTGCGTTGCTCCGACATTCTCCGCCCACCTGTGGCCTCCAGTCCGAAGATACTGTCTTTTCGGGTGACGTCGCTGGCGACAGCTACGCTCCCCTTTCTGGAGTTCGCTGTTGCGGCCCCTCCTTCTGCGACCGTGACGCTTGCCCGGCGTTGTGCGCCATCGGCGGCGACGTTCTGGACTGCCTTGGCGGCGGCCGCGGCGTGGTCGTCAAGTGCTGCTTGCGAGGCTCGTCGGTCAGTCTCTAGGGCGTTGGAGGCAGCACTGTGACGTCGGTAAAACCCGCTGTGCTTGCGCAGGAACTCGTCGTACGTAGGATTGGCCTTGTAACCGGCCCCACCCGTGAGGGCATGTGGCATGGTGAAGGCGCCAGACATTTTCCGGTAAGGCAAAAAACCGAATTTTGATCGAGACCTGGCTTAGTTTGTTAACACGGTTGCACTGGGTCGGCTACAGGCCGGGGTAATGCTTACCTGGCACTAGATGTACTCGGTAGGTGTTCACTCAACGCAGCGTCCAACAACAAGGGTTGATCCTGCTACCGGCTCTGGTATCGTGGAAATGGAACTTCCCGTCTTTCTCGATCTGCGCTCTGACAACACTCGAAAAAGACTCGTAAACCTCGCTTCTCGAGAAGTCTCTGTGGGGAGCTCCGGAGAACCCTTGGTCTATCGACGAGGTGGTGTGGACCTGGAGCGATGCAAGTCAAACGAGGTTCGAGCAATGTAACCACACTGACCTCAAGAGTATGCGAGGTAATGCCAGTGCTATGGCACTACCGTCTGCTGCTGTACAGTGACGTTGCCTTAACAACCCTCTGCGGCAGCAAGATGTCCATAACGGTGAGCTTGCATTTGGGGGCGCTTCTGGGTACCGAGAAGGGAGAAACTTACCAGGGTGATGGTAGGCGCTGAAGCGGTCCAAACCTGGGCGAGTATGTAATCCGCGTCGAGAAAGCTGAGTCAGTTCGGGGACTAACAAACAATGCCTTTCAGCGCTCCAGACAATTTGGACGGCAGCGTCTGTCTCGCTTGGATAAAGCGGCAAAGTTCGGTACCGACAGTGTGTTGGAAATCAGAAAAGGGGCAGCAATTGATATCGTGATCAAAAGAGAAGAATCAAACAATTTCCTGATTGGAGTTGTATCCTCCTCCAACAGACTCTCTGAGAGAAGGAGTGAAGTGACAGAACGGAGGACCCAAGGGAAGTTATATGACGGTCGCTCACGAGAAACTCGTCGCCTCCGGATGCCATAGCTGCAAGAGCACCCTCACTCATCTCTAGGACCTTGTTATCAATTCTCAACTCTTGACCCCTACCAGACGTGCAATTAGAGGGTGTGCTTTGCTTGCTGCTTGGTCGACAGGTGTCCGACCCCGCACTTTTCAGCCTGGGTTATGCGAGTCGAACGAATCAGCGCATATCTGTCTCGGAGAAATAGTTGTTCCAATGCGGACCACAAGCGGTGGTGCGCTGGATTTCTCGGGGAATGATGCGCTGACTCTGCATGTCTGTTGGTGTGGTAGGGGATACGAGCTGCGGTGAGGCTGTTAAGGGGCGAGCGGGCATCACATGTTGTTGGCGATGCCAAGGCTGGGAGTCAATCGGGCCGATTCAAAAGCACGTGGTCATGCACGTGATTTAACATGTGATCTTTCGGGGCAAGGAATGTTCCGAAATCCTTGGCATCAAATACGCCACCATGACGAGGCCATTGACTTGTTGCACCTCGGATGTAGCAAACACTTTTCCTATTGCTTCAAAGTCGACACATCCCAAGCTTATGAGTGGATCGTTTTATGCTCGTTTCATGCAAGGCTCAGAACCCCCAGCCCATCTCCTGATCCCGCAGTACGCTGATTATTCCAAATACTTATCCTGCTTCCTGCTGACGTTGTTCCACTTTGCGTAAAGCCAGGGCAAATCGCGCGGCTTCTAGCGTATACCCTCCGTATCTATTCTCGTTTTCATGCGTCCGACCCCGATCTCATTCCAAATCCGCGTCGGCCTCAAAACTGTTCCTTTTCCTCTCGTTCGCGCAACAAGACTTGGTCTATCGAAGCAGCACAAGATCTCAAGGTTAAAAACTTGTGCGCAGTCCACCCGCAGCAACAGCGCAGGCGTTGTCGTCGATAATAATAAGCGGCACCAACGTTATCGTCCTTTTGCGAATAGCACCCTTCCTCCACGTCGGTCGTCCTCCTCGTCTCCGCTCGATCCCGCCGCTGCGCCCAAGCCGAAGCCCAATCCCAACACCACCATGTCTTCTGCAACGACCTTCTTCGACTTCACCCCGAAGGACAAACGCAGCCAAGACTACCCGCTGTCCCAACACAAGGGCAAAGTAGTGTTGGCTGTCAACACGGCCTCGAAATGCGGCTTCACGCCCCAATTCAAGGGCCTCGAAACCGTCTGGAAGGACATTTCTGAAAAGTACCCGGACCAGTTCGTCGTCATTGGCTTTCCCTGCAACCAGTTCGGCGGCCAGGATCCCGGCTCCAACGACCAGATCCAGGAATTCTGCCAGGTCAATTACGGCGTGAGTTTCCCCGTGCTGGGCAAGACGGACGTCAACGGCGACAAGGCGGAACCCGTCTGGGAGTGGATGAAAGGTGAAAAGCCGGGCATCATGGGCCTCAAGCGCGTCAAGTGGAATTTCGAAAAGTTTTTGATCGCGAGGGACGGGACGGTCGTGAAGAGGTGGGGGAGCATGACGAAACCGGAGAGCATCGAGAAGGAGATTATCGCGGAGATTGAGAAGGGGAACAAGTCCTAATTAGAAACCATGTTCATGGGTTGGCAGCAGTGCCGTATATGAGTGGAGGAAGTCAAAAGTGCAGGATATGATATGACCGGTGGTTGTGCTGATGCTGGTGCGGCGTCGGCTGGCCATGGAAGGACCAGGAAGGGAGAAAAAGACATGTCGATCGAGGAATTGATGATACCCAAACACGTCGAGTTTACAACAAGCGCTAAATGATGAGGATGGTGCTGACGATGGTCAACACTGCAATGCCATTCATTCATTGATTGTTCATTCGTTGTTTCGATGCTGGAAGGTCATGCTAAGCCAAAAAAAAAGAGCCACATTTGACAACGCCGTGTTCCCTTTTTCACACAAACCCAACAAATGAGCCTTTTCCTCTATTTCCTCCCCATTGGTAAGTAGGAGAGGAGAATGTCATCGTCCCACCGGCGACACATCTCGACTCTGCAGGTGGTGGCCTTGTTGTCTCTCGAGATCCCGCTCGAATTGGTGATGATCTGTTCTTTGGCCCTCGTCACCAGCCGTCTCCTGCGCCTCGAAATGTTTGTACGCCTGATCCCTCGGGTACGTGTTGACGACCAGTTCCACATCGCCGTTGTCGTCGTCGATCTCGCGGTTCTTCTCGGCTTCTTGGGCGTGCCGTTGGCGGCGCTTGCGGCGGACGATGATGAACAGGACGATGGCGAGGATGATAAAAAGGCTACAGAGTGTCAGTACCAGGGAAGGGTCCTTGAAAATACTGTTTTTCTTTTGGGAGAGGGAAAGACATCTGGTGATTATGCGTACCATAGACTTATGAGTAAAGGTACACCAGTGGTGAGAAAGACGCTGGTGTATTTCTCGCAGACATCGTCGTTGGGGTTGGGGTTGACGCATTTGGATCGTCTGAACAGCGGGTGTGGCTGCCACATCTTGTCTCTTTTTCTTCACCCTAGTCCTTAGGTATTTTTCTTCGAAGGGGTGTTTCTTTTCTTCGTCGTGCTTCCAAATCCCGTACGGAAGAAGTGGTGGTTTGTGGTGGTTTCTTTGTTTGTTTACTTTGGTCCCTGAGCGGTGCGGGAATACTTCGGCTGCGTATTGACTTTCTGTAGGGAGAAAGGGAGAGGGAAGGTAGGGCTTTGTTCAGGCGTGGTTCAGGTTCAGGTTCAGGTTCAGATTGTATTATTCTAAAGTGAAGAATCAACGAGAAGAAACCCTCGTTAGTTGTGACACCTCTGAGTCTATGACCAGAAGTTGAAAGAATTAGTGACACCAAAAACCCCCCCAAAAAAGGCATTGAATCGCATTCATACATACCTGCCAACCAGCCCTGCATGCGCCTGGCCTTCTTCCCACGGCGCACGCCCCCCTGGCCTCAACCTCTCACCTCCGCCAAACTCTGGAACGCGGAGGCGAAACTCAATCTTGAAACAACGGCAACAAAGGGGGTTCCCTATTCGTACCGAGTACAGCGGCTCTAACCGTTCACGCAGTCCCGTTTTCCTTTTTGTTCTCCCCCCTTCTTAATACCAGTGAGATTGGCAACAATTACAACGTGCGCCACGCTCGAGGGAAATAAATAAGGGGGCCGGGAAGACCCCTACCTAGCGAGCTACCAGGTAATGCTCGTAGGCGGCGTGTATCAGGATTCGCATCAGGAACAAGACCGCTGAGCCCCCTGGGTAATTTCCCGCATCTACGTTTGAGGTGCGTCAGGGACCGGGCGTCTCAGATTAGGTACAACTGCTACGAGGTATTATCCCAAAAACTTGACTTCCGACCGAGCGGTTCTCACCCTCGAGGTTTTGTAAATACCTAAGGTACTCTTCGTTCTTTCGTATCATGTCATCGTACGAGAAGTCACTTCTCTTCAGGCACTCACGAACTCTTCGACCGTTTACTACCACAAGCTCACCGAAGTCAGTAAGATTCATATATTTACAGTCCGCTATGATTCCAGTGGCATCACCTGACGTCTCCTTAAACCTCATGAGAGTCCCTCACGCCATGATATGCTTCTACTTGCTGAGTGTTGCGATCCCGTCCCTGCTGGCTTATGTTGTGCTCTGGTGTCTCCCGAAACAAACGTCAGCCAGAGGAGGAGTCGTTCATGAAGAATTGCCAGAATGTCCTGTTGCACCCTTGATAATGACACCAATCAGTCGCGGATACCCCGTTCAACAAATGAACCTTTCGCTTGCCAATAACCTTCAATTGAATCCATGCACGTTCTTCGCCAACGCTGAATGCACCCGTGTGCCATGCCAGTCTCTAGACTGTGTTTTGTCTCGCCGCCCGCCGCGGAATGTCTTCCAGATAATCACCTGTAAAGTCCTGGTCGTTTGGTCGACCTCTTGTGCCCATCCTTGTAGCCTCGAGCATCTCAGCTGCGTCGTCCATTTCGATCGATTCTCGGATCGACTCGCTCAGCGCAGAGTCGTCCATGCTCTCTCGCGAGATGAAGCTGTCACCCAGCCCATTGTCGGACGCGATCTCTGCTTCGTCTTCCTCGTCGTCTAGATCTTCGTCCTCTTCATCCTCCTCTTCTGAATCTGTCGGCGTGAAGTCTTCCAGGTCCTGCGGCGTATCCCGCCAGTATGTAAAGTCGGTATATTCCTCTCCTCCCTCCCTCACCAGCGTCGACACAGGCGGGAAGAAGTGGTCAACCAACTCACGCATCGACACATAGCTGCTGCGGTATTTGTTTAGCGTCAACAAATCGAGCGACACCTCTGCATTGGTGTTGATGGTGAAGATCCGCGTCGAAGGGATGTTGACGCTGCGGTAACTCAGCGCGTCCGTGAAACGATTGCCGAACCCGGCGTAGAATGGGTTTGTCTTGCCAGGAAACAAGTTGAGGATATCTCTCAGACAGGCCATTTTGAACACTTCCGGTTTCCGCAAGTAGATCTCTCGCCGCAATGCCGCAATCGTACGATCGGGGCTCATGATCACCGGCCCGCGAGGCAGTTTCCAGCCATCTTGTGTAATGCCGTTGAGATAGGTTCGGGTTGTGTCGGCTTGTCCAACAGAGCGACTTGTCAAGTAAAAGATGTTGTAGCCATTGGCATGGATGTCCGAGTACAATTTGGCCACACCGACATGCGTCCAGTCCCGCCCAACCATGTTGAGCAGATGGCCCAATGCATCCGATTTGGTGATTGTACCATCAATATCCGATATGACAATTGGGACGTCACAGGTCCAGTAAAACATGTAAGCTATACATGTCGCGCGGTTAACGGTGAATGACATTTGATTTTCGCCCCGTTTGAGGTCAAGTGACTTCAGTTGATCGCTCGTCAGCCGGAGCGTCTTTGCGAAATTTCGAGCTTGCTCTCCGGACGTGCGAGACGGTTGGATCTCTTCAGACTGTGCCCGTTGATGGCCAGACGTTTTCGCTGTAAGCTGCGGCGAGGCGCTACGGTCGCTGTCGCTGTGGTAGCCAGGATCAGAGATGTTGTCCGCTGAAAGCGCAGTACTCGACTCGGGGTTCTGAGACATCCATTTTCGAGCAGCCGCGTCTCGAGCTTCCTCGCTGCTATATATCCACAGGTTCCCGTGCTCGTCAGTCCCAATCAAAGACCCAATATCGTAGTTCCCCTCCAGTTCTTCCGAGAGGATTTTCCGGGCCACGGCTTCTGCTCGCAGAGCTTCGGGCTCACTTGTCTTATACCCCGTCATGTCAAGCATTAGGTCTCCAGACTCGGTAACTTGAGATCGGATATTGGAAGAAGAAAGTTTCTTGGAGAGGGTCATTGCTCGGTCATATGCTTGTTTCGGTTTCAGAGCAGGAGGACTTGCGGAACCGGAAGCTTTTGGAGTAGCAGCCCCATCCAGGCCAAACTTAGGGGGCGAAGGAGGGATGCCGCTGTTGCGAAAAGCTCCACTAACCAAATCCAATTGCTCTCGCGTAGCGATGGGCAGGATTTCTTCCGATGCTGCTCGCCCCAGTGAAGCAGGAGCGGTAATGGTCGTATCGGATAGAGGGGTTGCAGTTGGATCAGTGTATATCTGACCCAGGTCCATTTCTTCGCTCATGTTCGTCCCCTCCCGTCTTATTATAGGAACAGGAGCTGAACTTGAAATGGGAGGGGTATTGCGACCCTTTGCTGCCTCTGAAATATCCAGGTAGGTCGGTTCCGAAAGACCAGGGGAGGGAGGTCTGTCTTCAGCATTTATAGGTGGACTGCTGGCGGGAGAAATTAAAGGAGACGTCTGTAACCCTTCGGGGATATCACTCGATGTCTCGAAGACAAAGAAGGCTTCTCCTCCATCCCCGAGTTTCATGGCGTAAGGCTGAGTGACTCCATTGACTTTAAATTCGACCTTTTTGTCTGAAGGCCGCAGCAAAGAGAACTTGCCAAAGCGCACATGGAAAGGCGAACAGGCCAGAGATCCGTCAGGCTGCTCAATAACAATAACATCAATGGCCCCGGACAAGGTTGCCGGGTTGATGGAATTCCATGTCTTGGAGACACCGCTCCCTAGACTTCGGACGTACTGCATGGTGACCAGAGGTTGGCAACTTTGAGAGGTTGGTCGAGGTGTTGAGTGATCTGACGAAAATGTGAAGTCCCCGGAATCAGCACATGATTGCTGGGAGCCTGATGGGGGGGAAGCTCGGAACGGGAAATGGGGAATGCTCGAGAACGCCAGAGAGGCAAATGCTGTTATCACAAGGTGTAGACGACAAGCTCAACCGGGTATTATGCAGAAGGTTCCTAGGAAAACACCAAGGCAGAAAAAAGGAAAGGAAGTTACGGAAAGAGCGAGAAGAAGTCGGATGGGGGTGACATATGAAGGATGGGGAAGAGGATGAGGGAATGAGGGAATGAGGGAATCGGGTCATTCAGCATGATGCATGACAGCATTTTTGTCGGGACAGCCACTAGTCCGCTTTGGGAATATTGCTGAACACCTCTATTTTCCCCAGATTTCACTCGCGATCCATATCACTCTTCACCTGGCTGCATCTTGCTTGCGCATTCAGAACAACCGAAGACAACCAACACAGAGACAGCGTCGACTTTACACGCTTGATTGCTTTTTATCATGGTTCTATCATTTTAACCAACAGTCGCCTATAATTGCCCACCGTCCCCTGTCTTGTCCTGTCCTGTCCTCGTCCCCTGGCTCTACGCCCAACATGAGCTCGCCTGCAAACCCTCCTGGTCCTCTCACACCCCCTGCAGAACCCTCTTCACAGGCGCCTCAAACCACGCAAGCCTCCCAAGCAACAGCACAGCCGCAAGTTGAAGCACTCCTATCACAACCCTTGACCTCACTATCAGACGATGGAAGTTCGAATAGACCGCGAGATCATCGACTGATCCATCTGCTACTCGTGTCTCACGGTATCGCAGCATACCAGCAGCGTGTTCCCCTCCAACTCATGGACTTCGCCTACCGTTACACCAGTTCCGTGTTGAGCGACGCCTTACATATTCAAAATGAAGCCTACGACCAAGCTGACGGAGGTGGTCAGACTAAAGGCCGGGGAGCGAAGCAAAACCAGAACAAAGGCGAAGAAGGCGACATAAGCCTCGCTGCTCTGCGCATGTCAATAGGCTCGAGAATGGGATACCAGTTCCAAGGAAGCCTGCCGAAAGAATTTCTAAAGCAATTGGCGGACGAGAGGAATCGAATATCACTGCAGGCTCAAACGAGGGACAACGACAAGAGCGGGCCCATGATAGGAGGCGTCCGACTTCCACATGAAAAATACTGTCTAACTGGTGTGGGCTGGGGCCTGAAGGATGAATGGGACAGCGAAGGCGAGGAAAGTCTTGATCAGGCCGAGGAAGAAGAGCGACCTGAACCAGATGATCTTATGCAGATGGACGAAAGAGAAGGGGACGAGGACGAAGAGGGTTTGGGCACAATGGAGGATGTGTTTGGTCCGGACGATGGAGGGGGTGAAAAGGAAGCGGACGCAGACGGGGATGTGGATTTGTCGTAGGGCGACTTGGACTTTTGGGAAGATCCTGTTCTTAGCATTATCAACGGTGTAGTATGGCCTACGAAACGGTATTCTGGACTAATGTGATACCCTTGGTTGGTGAGGCTATAGTCGGTGGTGGGCTGGAAAAATCGAATTCTGTACCTGTGTGTGTGTATGTGTTTGTAAGACTCGTACCTCCCCTGAAGCCGGGCATGATCCTCCATACCCAAAAAGACGGGACTGATACCAATGAAACATAATACATCTTGACAGCCAAATTACCCATGATCTTTTCTCTTGATATTGGTGGTGAACCTATCATGGTTGTTTGCCATCTCTTTTGCCAAAGTGCCAAGGCTAAATCTAGCCCCCAGGGTTTGCGGGCTTTGAGTCCTACTGTGGCTCTCGCTGTGACTTTCGCCGACTTCTCCGCTCGTCCACTCACTTCACAAACCTAATACATGGCTTTCCGTGATTCATAGGACAAACTCTTGCCCATACATGTCGAGCGCATGCCTGCCATCCCGACCTTGTGGATGGACTCTTCTCGATGGCATCAAGAGCCATTAGACTGGGCTGCTCACGCCTACCAACTGCTTGCCCCTCAGATTAACGTCAAAGGTCGCATGGCTCTACTTTTGCTGCTCGCCGTCATCTGGGCTTTCTCATGGTAACTCCTCCCAATGCCTTTTGTCGCACTCGTCGCTGACTCTCTAGGCTCCTATGGCGCGCGTATCAGGTGCTTACGACTCCCAACGAGATTTTGGTAGAGAAACTCGGCCTTGACATCCCCCCCGCTCCGCTCCTTATCCTCGAAGAAATCTCCTCGACCGAGGTTTATGTGACTTGGAAACATGCGGAACCCTCTTCCTCCATTCAAGAGCACTACGTGGAGCTCAATGGTGTCATCGTTGGGACCACCAGGAAGAGCGAGATGGGCGCAGTCATATCTGGTCTTCGTCCTGGGACCAAATATGCCATCCGCGTCTTCTGCGTCAGTACTGGCACCTTTCAGACTCCTAGCGCTCCGTTCCACGTGCGCACTCCTCATCTTCCAGAGGGGAAGGAAGCTCCCGAATCGGTTCCTACGGTCAGAGGAGTCTCGGTGCGAACTGCGTCAATCTCCACCCCTTTGGCTGCGCCCTCGATGGCCCGAGATCTGAGCGGAGGACAGCCCATGGGAAGGAGGGGGACAACTGGCCGTAGACCTTCCCCGGGTGGTCATGGCACCGATGCACAGGGGCAAGACGCGGGATCAAGAGCCGAGGAGGAAGAAATGGACGATGATCTCGCGGAATTGTCTCAACGGTTCCAAAAAGTTCAACAAGACATTGAGGCTGTTGAGGCTCAGATACAAGAGGAAGACAGGGAGTTCGAGGTCGCTTTGAAAGAGCTGGAAGCGCGCCGCGATGAATTGAAACAGAGTCTCAAAGAGCGGGATGAAGCAAGCAATGACCTGCGCAAGCAAGTCCACAAGGCAGAGACGCTCAGTCGCACCGCTCATAACGAAAAGACCAAGAAAGAACGGTTATTGCAGCAGAAGGAAATCCAGCGGAGGAAGAGGAAGGATGACATTTCCAGGTATAATGAAGCTACGGCTGCCATGAAGGAGGAAATTGCTGGTATTGAGAAGCAGAAAGCTGCGATTGAGCGTCGAACGCAGTCTGAACTCCGAGAAATACGCAGGAAAATCGAAGAGGAACAGAAAGAAGTCGCCATGCTGGAGGAGGACAACAAGGAGAAAGCGCTGCAGATCAAAGCTTTGGAAGAGGAACGCAAACTGCAGAACGCTGACGAGGAGACGGATGAAACGAGAGAAGCTGATCGTCTTGATCGGGAGCGTGATATGAGATGGCGCGCGAGATACGAAGGCCTGCAGCAAACATACACTCGGCTGTGGAACGACCTTCAATTAGCCAATCAGCAAGTCAACTACACCAGAGAGCAGATCAATCAGCTCGAGGCAAGGCGAGCGAATTCGATGGCATTCGCGCCCATTGCACCGCTGGATATGGACGCCGTTCGTCGAGGAGTGAGACCTATGCGACGAGCGCGGCCAACGGGCTCCCTGGGAAGCAGTATCTCTTCGCCACGAGGCCCATTTGCTGGACCTGAGCCTTTCCCGTCGGCTTTGGCACAGTACGCCTCTGCTACCACTTCTTCCCCTACGGCAACTGTCCCTAGCTATTTCAATCCGCAGAACGGGATGACACTGGCAATGCCTGTGGAGATGACGGCCTCGACCCACGACGATCCTGACACCATATCTTCCATCCCGATGAGCCCTCGGGCAGACTCACTCTTACCAGCCGATCTACTTGGCGACGAGTCAGCCGATGACCTTCCCGAAGCAGAGATTCCGCAACAAAGAGACAAATCTGAGACGGGAACGACGCCTTTCCCCTCGATAGGTTCGCCCATACTGCATGCCGATAGCGGCCGGACCGAAACGCCTAGTGTTGGTTCCTCGTCCGGCAGGTCGTTCTCGAGCCCCATGCAGACCTCTGCACCTGCCGAAGGCGATGAGAAGTCGTCAAATTCCGGCAAGAAGTCAGATGACCCGCCTGAAGAAGATGAGGTGGTTCAGCAACCAAAAAAGCCCAAGTACACGTCTATGTCATCCATGTTCGGCCTCAACCGTCAGCGAGGAAAGACTCTTGCCGATCAACCACCATCTCTTGGATCTCTCAAGCCAAGTCAGAGTCAGTCCTTTCCCAGGAACGTAGAAGATTTTGACCCGCGACTAGAAACCAAAAGACGACTAAGCTATGGCGGAAATTGGGCATTCCCAGGATCGACTCTCTTAAACAGCAACGGCACCCAGGAAGAAAAAGAGCCATCGGTTTCCCGCTTTGCGGCGACTAGGCGCGCCTTTGGATTAGGAGGGTTTGGAAAGTCGGCTGCAGCTTCAGCGAACTACGACCCATTTGCCATGAGGTCAGCATCCTTCGATCCAGGACTTAGAGGGGAGACCTCCTCTCCGAGGCCGTCATCAACTTACTCTTTTGACAAAATGCCACGGCCGTCGATGGAAAGCCAGTTTAGGGCCTGGAACGACAAGTCGGCGCTGCGGAACAGTCCTTTGGCTCCAGACTGGGGTTCACTCCATTCATTCTCCCGTTCCCATTCACGGCGCCCTTCGATTGTATACGGATCGACGAGCAATCTCTCCCTGCCGCATGGGGACGAGGAAGTTGTCGAGCCAGATCGAAAACCAACACGTCCTCTACAAGCACCCATTGGCACACGACCAGCGTCTTCACAACAGTCGTCGACTCCGAAACTGAACCCGGCTGCTCCGTCATTCACGACACTGTTCAGCAGGCGGAGTGAGAAGTCCAAGGACAAGGACAAAAACAAGGCGAAAGAGTCGAAGGAGAAGGTGAATGACATGGAAACTGCCTCGCCCCCAGAGTCTCGCAAGTCAAAGGACACCAACTCCATCGCAGCGACCGTTTCCACCCTCGAATCTGATACGCTCGACCGAACACAGTCGGGGACCAGCGCCCAGTTGTCTGTTGAGAATACTCCAGCCAAGCCAACTTTTATCTCCAAAATCACGCGCAAGGCTAGCAGCAATAAATTTGGGAGCTGGAAGGACAAGGGCGGGTTATTCTCTAGAAAGGAAGCATCTGCTCCGACGGGAGAGAATGAAGAGGAACAGGGGTCCACCGAACACCTTGGGAGGAGTTTGGAAAGCACGTCGACGACGCCGAGCGCGGAAGATAAGAAGACGAGCAGAACGAGCCTGAGCAACTGGAATTTTATGCGCAAGAACAAAAAAGGACTGAAGGAGGACCTGACAGCCAGCGAGATCAGCGAGAGCAGCGAGAGGACAAGTGAGGCTGGGGAGGTCGGGGAGGAGAGAGAAGAGGACGAATAGTTTGAGAGAGGGCCATTGCATGGGTTATAGCAGAAGTTGGTCAAGCCAGCTCGTTCAGACAGTTAGTGACTCATTTTGCACGAGATCGTCTTTTAAACACGTCTCACTCACTCCACCATTTATTATGGATCGTACTTCTTCCTGCTTTGGGTTTCGTAAATTCTCCCTCCAAAATCCATTCTTGTATTGTAACCTTGACCAAGCCGGACGATGTTGGACTTTTGCTGAACCTGTGGCGCGTGTCATGTGTATTCGGCGATGGCCAATTCCAAGTGTGTCCCTGTCCCCCCAACTTGCCTATCCCTGATCGATGCACGTGTGGTTGCTTTGCTTGCTTGCCTGCTTGACTTGCTACGGAGATGTTTGTCTGCTGATACTGCCGTTCGTGCGCGACACCCCTGCAGGTATGAATATGTGCGCAGCTTCGAGCGCGACGAGGTGCTGTTGCCCAACACGTGGATCGTGGTGAGAGTCGACGGGCGGGGGTTTCATAAGTACGTTTTGTGCGCGTCTTGGCTTTTTTCCCTCTCGCGATGTTTCCGTTGTTTTGAGGGCCCTTTTATTTTTATTTTTTTGTCGGGATATGGGGCCAGGAGAAGAAGGAAAAAACAAAAAGAAGAGATGAAATGTCAAAGACTGGGAGGACGGGGGGAAGACTAGTAGGCTGGGGTGGTTCTATATCGCAACACGTCCTCCATCCTATTTGGTTTCGTTCTGTTCTTCTTTCATTCCTTTTTTTTTTCTCCGCGCGACCGAGGATATCAGTCTAATGAAAATTGTCTGTAGATTGTCGACGCACTACTCCTTCCGCAAACCCAACGACATCCGCGCGCTGCGCGTCATGAACTGCGCGGCGACGCACGTCGTCACGTCCATCCCGGACGTCGTGGTCGCGTACGGCTGCTCGGACGAGTTCAGCTTCGTGTTCCACCGCAGCACGGCCCTGTTCGAGCGCAGGCGGGACAAGCTCGTCTCGACTGTCGTCAGCGCGTTCACGGCTGCGTATGTGTTGGCGTGGGATCGGGTTTTTAGAAGTGATGATGGACATGATGGGGATGGGCGGGAGGGTGGCGGTGATGATGATGAAGGTCAGGGAGAGAAGAACGAGGGAAGGGAGCAGGAGGATGCTGCTCCGAAGCTGAGCTTGACCATGCTGCCGACCTTTGATGGCAGGGCCGTCTGCTACCCTTCCTGGGCCAATTTGCGCGACTACCTCAGCTGGAGGCAGGTGGACTGTAAGTACCTACGAGACCAACTTCCCCCCTTCCCGCCTTTTCACGTATCTGTCCCAGTTTCCGGGTGACTGGTTCCCCGGTCTGGAATTTTATCCTCCAATGATCTACAAGTATGCACCGAAAGGGTCGAGGGACTGAGTACGCATATATATATGCAGGCCATATCAACAACCTCTACAACACGACGTTCTGGGCGCTGGTGCAGAGAGGCGGTATGACACACACGGCCGCCGAGGAGTTTCTGAAAGGCACCGTGGCCAGCGACAAGAACGAGATCCTGTGGTCGCGCTTCGGCATCAACTACAACAACGAGCCGGAAATGTTCAGGAAGGGGAGTGTCGTGTTTAGGGAGTATATGTTGGAAGGAGGCTGGGGGAAGGGGAAGGGAGGGCAGCAAAAGCAGGAGAGCGAGGACGCGGTGGGAAACCGAGAAATCGAGGAGCAGCAAGGGCAGGACGATCACGAAGATGAAGACGAAGACGAAGACGAAGCACCTGCAATTACACGGCCCGTCGTGTCCAAGACACAAGTGGACAAAATGCGCAAGGCAAGGAGGAAAGCAAAAGTCGTCACGAAACATGTCGATATCATCCGTGATGACTTTTGGTCTCAGCGGCCATGGCTGCGTAGTGGGAAGCCTGGAAAACCGGTAGATGAAGAGAAGACGGGACTGTGAGATGCATAAAAGAGCTTTCTGGTTTCGTTGTCAAACGCTCGAGCTAACCCGGTCTGACACTTTCGTTCCTGCATGATGGTGCTTAGGAGGTGGATTCCGGAATATCCACATTGCATCTGTGTAACCTCACGATTTAGCCCGCGCCGAGATTTTGCACGTCGCCTTCCTATCCCAACCGATTTCCCCTGCAGACAGTCCTCCTGCCGACCGTTCTCCTGCAGACCGTTCCCATCAGACCGCATCCAGGGTGACTCACTGGACCCGGACCCTGGAGCGCCACTGCAATGGCCCGAGAAACAGTCGCAACGTAAGGGTGGATCGCAGCGCCCTCTGCGCTTGCTAAGAGACCGATATCCTCGGGGGCGCCTCACTTCGTAACTTTCTCTGTGCTGCAGTTCTGACAACGACTGTGCTGACATTTGGGACAGGCGCTTGTCTTGATTGAGATAGGATTGTGACCGCACCGATGCTATCAAAGCTCCGCCGTTAGATAGTAACCAAGATGCTGCGGGATGTTTCGGGAACACACGCAGGTCCACACAAAGACCGTCACTTTCTTCTTTCCTTTCGAGGGAGGGCATCTAGGACTGGGATTAGCAAGCCGCAGCTAATGCATGTAGACACATCTGGTTGTCACACACGATGGAATCTTGCTGTCAAAGGAAAAGGGAGTACAACGGGAAGGCCGGTAATGGAAGCAGGATCGGGGAGCTTTCCGACCAAGAATAAAGCTTCCAATCCTCAAGTCAATGGGGTATGGAGCTCCTCTGCGGTTCCGAGATCACAAATTCGAGGCTTGTCGTCTCACGAGGCGGTGTAGTGCAGAGGGTTGTTGACAGGTGATTTCGTCGTCGTTGTCGCTTATGCCGAGGAACAGCTTCCTTCCGGTGCTAATTGGCACGCCATTCTGGACTGCGAAAGCCGGTGGTATTTCGAGCACTTCATCAGACCGTAACGGACCGAAAACGACTGCGCATTGCCTTAAATAGAGCTGAGAAAATCGAGATAGCCCCCACCCTGAGTGACTTAGCTCTTTCAGCTCTGTCCGTCCAGAGTAAAAGTTGTACAAGCGATTCGATAGACAACGTCGTAAAGCGAACTTCGGCTGGAGAGATTTTCAAATTCGAGCCGAATACTTCCAAGGGCTCGATGCCAACTTCCCGGGAGTGGATTCCACCGGAGATGCCCCGGTCATCGGTATTTTCCCACCGTTCAGGTAACAGAAGCCACTGAAGTTCATCGTTGCTGTCGATGTCCACTGTGCTGTGTCGTCCGCTGGTATCTCCATGTGCTCCGTTATTTTTGCGGCTGGGAGAGGTGCGTAGAAGCTCAAATTGGTATTCCTTGCATGGTTGCGGACACTATTGCATGAACGAGGGAAGGAAGGAGAAGGGTGGTGTCTCGCAAACGAAGAAAATTGCCCACGTACAATCTCGGTGTAAAATACTCAGAAGACCAATCAGCGTGTTCGTCGAAGAACAGAGTCCCCTGACCATGGCGAAATCCTGGTGTTTGGGGCTTTTGGCCCAAGGGATTCACCATCGCACAACTCGCAACGTCACTGGGGCAAGGATGAGCTCGCGGGGAAAAGGGCTCTCAGCATACAGAAGGTGGCCTTTTCGGTCCAAAATCCAGATTGGGAGATGAATTGAAGCTTGTTGTTGATTCTCTGCTGAGATTGTGAACTGCGATAATTCGATCGCATATTTGTCGAAACAACAGTAAAAGAGGTGGCAGGGTGGCTGAAAAAGCCGTTACACGTACCATGAGCTCGCAAGAATGCGACCTGACCTACCCAAGCCATATCGACCAACAAACAGAGAAATACAAAGAATTTCGGGGTATGTATCGCTCTGTAATCTTGTGTACATGGGAAAGCGCTTGGATGGTGATCTGATAGTAGCGGAAAAGCTGCTGAATGCTAATGCACTGCTGAGGCTCACCGCTTCACGACGTACGTTCCCATTGTATGCGGAGGAGGTCTGTGTAGTCCGAGATCGGGAGAGGTGGCGTCTGTTGTAGACCGATCATAGGATGCAGGCAATCTGATGTATGACCTCCGGGTTGCAGCAGGTTGGACATTGGACGTTGGACACAGTGGAGGGCGGAAACGCCCCTTATATGCCCCTCCCATTCTTGACGCCAAGCGGCCCTCGAGGGGTATGAGAGACAGGGATGAAGCCGAAGTGTATCCAGGCTTACGAGAAAGGGCGGGTAGCAGCTTCCATCGGTGGCCATATCGGCAGATACAGAGGGAGGCGATCGCCTCGATAATAGGTTGTTTTATCATGAAGTCTGTCCAGCTGGTTGCTAGCTGCATGGTCAATGCAAATACCAGCATGACAATTCTTACCTAGTCCAACGGACGATATCTGTACGACCGCAATGGCTAGACTCTCATGGAGTAGGGAGATTGACGTAGGCTCGTCGTGAAGGTCAGCCGCGAGATGGCATACTATGGTGAATGCCGATCAGCTGGCTCTGTCTTCAAGCAGATTTGGTCATTAGATGCTTCTTTCCAAGATCAATTTGGTCGCTGCGACGTGCGCGCTCCTCCAGAGCAAGATGGACGCAGTGGGCAGACATGTTGGAAGCGTATTCCTCCCAACCTCAAACTTGTAAGATGGTATGACGGCCGAGTAGCGGTGTTGGCAAGGATACGTGAAAGGGTTTGACGAGGACTTGTCTTCTGTTTTTCAATGACATACAACGTCCACACTCCTTTCTTACCATTGTAGGTGCTGGGCAAAGCAAGAGTCCTTGGAAGAGACGAGGTCTTGGCCGCTCCACCTGTGTAGGCATAGAAATCAAAACTTATACAGGCTGCCCCGGCAGAGATGCGAGGAGAACAGGTAACTGCGTCCTCGGGAATGCGAGCTAGCACCTAGCCGGCACTGAAACCCACTGGAGGATAGAGGTATGTTCAGTGTTGAGTGTGGTCGTCGTTCTGATCAGGTCTTGTAGTTTGCTCGTGCATGGGTGGGGAAGAAGCCAAAGAGCGGTGCGATGAAGACGAAAGGACCTGCAACCAGTAAGATCAAACGATGCACCCAATCGGATGAGTGGAATAGGGGATATCTATAAAGATGAACAACTGTGTTGAACTAAGCAGAGAACAGAGCCTCATGGAGAAGGGAGTCATTCACGTAGGAAGTCGGCCGCTGTGGTCGGCGCCATGCATCAGGCTTCTCTATTGCAGTGCTGGAACAGAAGGTACGTATGATGTCCGCTCTTGCTAGTGTATATCCTGAGAAAAGCCTGCGGAGATTACTGGAATAAGTCATAAGTCACATTCAGGTTCTTCACGCGGGACGGGTCGTCCTGGATACCAGGCAACCCATCGGAATGGTGCGGCTATTCGCGGCTGGAGCAGAAGAACCTGGCTCATGGAGACTTGGACGCCAATGCTGCAAACAATCCTGCAAGTTGACCAGCGTGGTTCGCACCTCAGATGGTCATGTTCTGGGCAGAGATATCATGGGCGACTGCTCGATAAATACTACTTGGTGTGGAAGGAACGCGCCCACCCGCCTTTTAAGCCGCAACAGAGGAGAACGATGTCGGCCAAGTGCGGAAGTCACGGCGGAAGCAATCCCTCTCGCAGACTCTCTGTTACCTCAAGAGTCACTTGCTTCAGAGGCCACTCAATGGCCAATCATCTGTGGAAGCTGCATTGGTGCCCAAGCCGAGCAACTATTGAGGAAACTAGGAACAGGGGTGTACAAGGCTTCAGTATATTTTTGTCAGACTGAGTAAGTGACGGCTGGAATCTCCCAAGAAATAGCGGGAAATTTCAAATGACGGTAACTAAGCTGGATTTCAGTCTCAGGGCTAGTCAGCCTTGCTACCAATGTACCTGGGTATCCTTGCGTATGGTCATTCCAGTCCGTGAACCGTAGACTATGACGTACAATGGTTGACAGTGTTCCTCGGGGCCAGGAACGATGCTGCATCCTACACTGTAGTGTGAAGCCTCCGGATGAGCGTTGTCTCTCGGATGAATTGCAGTGGATATATATCACCGAACGTCCGTCGTTATTTCATCCTTATACGGAGCGGAATGGCGACTGCGGTCCCACAAGGACCACGATACCACGCACTCAGTCACAAAGACCTCGCTCGACCCCGCACATCGTCATGGCAGTTTGGTGGGGTGTCTCTCGAGCTTGTGCTCTTCGAGAATGGTCGTTATCCGGGAATCTCGGTCTTAGGATAGATCAACTATGATATCCCCGACAGCCTTGTTTGCTGGTGGGGACGGCAACTGATACTGCATTGTATTCTGTGTCGAAGTGCAACATATGGCAGTATATGTATTGCGAACCCTCCAGCTCAATGAGAAGATGGAAATGTCTTTCAATGATATAGGTAGTGGAGTGCTCCTTTGCAGTTAACCAGGTTTTGCCTGTTCAACATCCAAGTTACATTTCACAAGACATAAAGGGTCATCGGATAGTGTCGAACTTGAAGGCCAACATGCCAGTCACTCAAGAGCACAATGGTTTGGAAGTTGTTCCGTGCTGGGTCAATGGGAAACCTATCCCACTCGACGCCAATCGCCTGATCGAGGTCCACTCTTCCGCCCAGGGCAAGCTAGTCCACTACGCCCAGGCAGCCTCCATTGACAATGCCACAGCTGCGGTCGAGGCGGCCGCGGAATCATTCAAGACGTTCAAGCGAGTGCCGCACCAAGAACGCCGGGCCTTACTCTTGAAGGTTGCAGATATCCTCGAAAGCCGTGTGGACGAGCTTGCGCGCTACCAGATCGAAGAGACATCCTGCCCAGAGGCCTGGGCAAAGTTCAACGTCATTCTCGCCGCCAGGGCCATCAGAGAAATAGCCGCGAATATCACCATCGCATGTACGGGCGAGATGCCTCCACCTGAGACTGCAGAAACTTTCTGCCTCGTCTACAAGCAAGCCATAGGCCCTGTTCTGAGCATCGCCCCCTGGAACGGTAGCATCATTCTGTCTGCGAGGGCGCTCGCGGCTCCCCTTGCCGCTGGTTGCACCGTCGTCTTCAAAGCATCAGAGCTAAGCCCACGAGTTCACCACGGCGTAGTCGAAGCATTTCTGGCCGCCGGCCTCCCAGACGGCTGTATCAACCAAATCCAGGCCAACCGTGAGGACGCCAGCCGCATCACCGAGACCATCATTGCACACCCGGCCATACGCAAGGTCGAGTTCATTGGCAGCGCAGCTGTAGGACGAATTATTGGCCAGCTGGCGTCGAAATACCTCAAGCCGGTCTTGATGGAACTTGGCGGGAAGGCTCCCGCTATCGTTCTCAAGGATGCCGATCTGGAAAACGCCGCGGCCCTTTGCGCTCAAGGCGCAACTATGCATCACGGACAAATCTGTATGTCGACCGAACGAATCATTGTTGTTCAAGGTGTGGCAGACGAGTTCATCGGTCATCTGCGCGATGCGGTTGCACGCTTCCAAGGCAACGCCGGGTTTGCTGTGACGAAGGCAATGGCGCAAAAGGCCCACAAACTGCTGTCGGACGCCACAGACCAGGGAGCGACGTATTTGATCGGTGACAACAAGTGGCGAGGTGACAGTGGCGCTGCGCTCGAGCCCACGATCCTCACCGATGTTAAGCCTGGAAATCCCATCTATGATCTCGAAACCTTTGGCCCGTCAGCAACAGTCTTTATTGCCGCAGATGAAGACGACGCAATCAGAATAGCGAACGACAGTTCATATGGCCTCACGGGAGCCATCCACACGCGTGATGTCCTGAAAGGTCTTCGCTTAGCCAAAGAGTTGGAGGTCGGGCTGGTTACCCTGAACAACATGACGCTCTATGACGAGGCGTCGGTGCCTCTAGGCGGGACGAAAGGTAGTGGCTGGGGCAGAAACAACAGCAGGTTTGCAGTGGAGGAATTTCTGATCTCAAAGACGGTGGCGGTTGCAGCAAATGCTGGGAGTCCAGCTTTTGGAGCAAGGTAAGGGACTCTGGATTTGTCTCTTTGTCCAAGTCGGGTTGGCAGGTGGCTAGATATCCAGGGCGTGACTCATTGTGGCCTCAAGATCCATCAATACAATGAGATGCGGTTCCCTAGTCCAAAATCTGCTTCTGAATGAACTCTTTCTCGGCGACTTATGAGGATGTTTCCGTTTCCGTTGACCACATCAAGCTGCACTTGCTCGTGCACGACATTGGATGCGACTTCGAGGATGACGTCTCCCTGGTCGGATCCAGTTTCGAGCATGACGTCTCCCAATCTGGACCTGACCTCGAGGCGCCACTGTGCATTATCATTATGCAACCGTATTTCCATTGCATGCGTGGACTGCCTAGGGCTGCTGCGGACACCGCCCGGGCGTCGTGCAGATGTCTCGACCAAGCTCTCTCGTCTTAATGTTGTGGGCAGAAGACCCGAGTATATTTCCATTAAAGTCTGCTTTTCCTCTAAGATTTGAGGTGAAGCGTGTGTTACAAGCGCTTCTCGGACAGCATTCAGAAGCCCTTTTCTTGTTAGCCTGTCCAGGAGCATTTGGTCTGCATAGCATGTGGCACGAGAACTTACGAAGCATTTTCGATCCAATTTTCCAATACTTCGCGTAATGGGCGAGGATTAGCCCAGTCATCTCCAGGGCACGAGTGATGCACTCGCACTGCTGGATATCCATACTGGCCAGTGAAATGACGGAGCAGCACAGAATAGGATGACTCAATGGTATGTATTCTGACGGCCATACTTGGCCAACATCGACAAGATAAGATGCGATCCGCTTTGCGAAGTGCAATGTATCTTGAGTTGAGTCTGGACACTCGGCATCGTTCCACTCATTTGGAGGCCGTCTCGAGTCCCGCAGTAGAGATTCGCACCTGCATCATGTAAGTTCGATGCTGCAGACTCATGCCGCGGAGCTTACACTATAATGATCAAGTGCGTAGAGACGACCCAATTAGCCTCTTCATAATTCTGATTGCTGATGAATAGCGATCGTAATTGGAATTCTGCCGGTAGAGAGAGCTTAAAATTGCAAAGGGCTGTCTTGAGGCCGGATCTCGTGCTGGTAAGGGACCCAGGAAGTTGATGGCTGGAAAAAAATATGTACGACTTGAGGTAATTCGCCAGGAGGAACCAGGCTCGGGACGATTGATTGGAGGATCCTTGCAAGCTCGTCCACACACGCTCAGGGTGGTTGTTGATGAAAGCCGACCTCGTCGGAACACCACAGAACCAGGCTCGGTCTGGAGCAGGGAGAAGCACTTTTATCTGTTTTGCAATGTCATAAGGCTGACGCGAAAGGGTGGCACAATAGATATCGAGTTCCCACATTGACCACCACAGCCTCCGAAGCTCCTCTTTTCTGACCCAGGAAACCACACTCGCTTCAAAACGTGCATTGTTGAGGGTGCCGTCCTCGTTCATGAGCTCTCTATCGATTTCATCCAGTGATAGAGAGGAGACGTGGCTGACACAATGTTTGTTCAAGATAGAGCCCAGCCGTGTCTGTCCTGCAGTCAAACAATAAGCTGCAAGCACAACACAGCCTTGCAGGTACTCTATGCTAGGGTCCTGAAGTGTCTTGCGGATCGAATTCCAAATCATTTTAGCATGCCTAGCATACTTCTCGCCTCGGTCAACTGGAGGGACTTCCTCGAGATGAGATTTTGAGAATCTTGCCCCCAAGGCGAAAATCCCATATAACAGAAGGGCTTCGTCATCGGGGAGTATCGACCGATTTACCAATACGGCAGTTTCACCTGTGCGCCGTATATACCTTGCAGCAAATTTGGGCCGGTGGAGTATTGACAACCAGCTTTGAACATTGTCAAAGAAGAGCTCGACCCTTCAAATGTAAGATGAAACCCGACGAATAATCGAAGCAAACTTACAGTTGAGCACCTAAACCAGGATCAAGGTCCCAGCCACCGTTTTCAGGGCTGCCAGAAGGATTCTGAACGCTTGTGTTTGTCTTGGGAGAAGGCAATGCTCTTCCCTCGATCACGCTGTCCGAGGCAACTTCATGTAGCGTGTGAGAGGTGGGTTGCGTAGGGTTCCGCTCCAGGCGATCTTGACGGGACGAAGGATGCCTCTGGGTTTCAACATGCAGTGTGTTTGTCTCCTCCAACGATCGTCGACCTGAAGCATTAAGCAAACGCACAATCCAAACTTTGCGAAAGGGCCATGCACGCACCTATTGAATGATATTCGGTTGGTGCATGGGTGGTTTCGAGGTCAAAGCACTGAAGTCGTCGGGCAACAAGAACGTCAGGCTGCATTGACATGGCAGAAACGCAACAGCTCACCGTCTGAATGGCGCATTCTTGACGCCGGGTCCAGAGCTTTCCCTGTGCTTACCACCCTTCTGGAACTAGTCGGAGGCTTCGACGGCTTCTGTCGGATAGGAAAGGAGCATTGCGCGCCTACTCTTTGACAGAGTCCACATGCTGGTCGTTTCATGTCACCTTGTGGTCCGGAAGTCAACTTTGGGCCCAAGGACTTGGTTGAGACTGTTGATACAACTTACATTTCGTCTTTTTCCTGTGGTAGTAGTCAGTGGATGAATCAAGACAGCCATATAGACATCAGCCCACCTGTTGCAGCGCCGACATGCGCGGTTCACAGTCGGAAGCCATTCAGAGGCATGCGGGACAGAAGCCCCGTCGTTTTGGACCATTGTTTCTTTTCGCTGTAATAACAGCGATCGTTATATAAAGAGGATTTGACTTCGAGTTTGATGCGGCTGTCGCATGGATTAGCAGCTGCTGTCGGAAAATACGAGACGAAGGCACGAGCTGTAGAGTACTTCGTAGAGAAGGTGCAATTAGGAGGTGGCTTGGGCGCAAGCTAGATGCATGCCATGCCGAATTCGTGGGACGTTTAACGTCGTGGCTTGGGTTATTGTGGATGCAGGGGCTAGTGAGGCATACTATGTATGCCCGGTACCATTGCGTTTGGTACTTACTCTGCTTACCACCACAAGCCGACTCCTCGCCTTTCAATAATAATACGCTGCGGGCAGAATGAGAAGGAGGCTACCATGTGCCATACTGAGATTTGCGGGACGTATACTCCGTAGATGCACCCCAATCAGGGGTGATATGCACAGGTGGGTGACAGGCACTGCTCCCGTCTCGTAGTACGTTTGTCACCGATGAGGCGTTTTCGTCTTCCTGTGGGACTGCCCAGAATTTTGTTTCTGGGACACAAATACCGTATCCACTATCTACCGTGAGGTCAGATTGTGAGTGGGAATGGTGACAGTGAATCTCAGCCTCGCAGGAGGCACGTTCATGAATACCTTGTACGGGGTATATCTCAACCCAAGGGAGTAAAACGCCTGAGAATGGATGAAGTAGCCCCGTCTCACGGTCCCACGACTCCACGAGGAGGGATCCCGGCACAGACCAAAGTGCTTTAGCGGCTAATAATATCAATTTAGGCGTGATTAGAGATGGCAACCAGGGAGTTGGCTGGCATGATGCAGGCACTCGGGGCAGCACCAACCAACGGGCAGAAATTACATGACAACAGTTACAAGATTCGTCCCTGGTCGGGTTGCGCGTTCTCTCGCAAAGATGATGCTGGCGTCGACGAGTACTCGCAGTCTCGCCCACTCATCAGACTTGTTCCTTCAAGGGGCCGCGACTCTCCTTTCCATGCAAACACTGCAAATTCCTCGGGCGTATGCAGGCTCGCCAGGTACAAGCCTCGAATCACCAGAGTGAGAAACCTTTCACATACTGTATTAATTCCTCCTGGGCAATCCTTTGCCATATCTGGGCAATCTGGGCAATCTGGGCAACCTGGGGCGGTCAAGCCACCAATATCCAGCAATCATAGGCTCCCTCACACAGGGAAATGCGGATATTGGGCGCCTAAGGGCCTCAAACCACCTTAGCTCTTCAGTCTTGCCCCACAAGCCTCGGGTGCCTCTAACCAGTTGGCCTACTGGCCATCCTGAGCTGGAGAGTTGGAAGCTGGGGAGGCTTTGCCCTCGGGTATTGGGGCCCCCTCTTTCAACTCAAGCGAATAGCCGACTTCCTATGCAATCCCTCCTGACTCTTCAATATCAAGTCAGAAAATCCGCCATCTGATGGACCTATGTGCCTCTCTGTCCTACTGAGTAAGAAAGTCCGCTGTCATGAAGATGGAAGCGTCCACGCCCAAAGCGAGCAAGTCTCGGAGGCGAGACACGGACGACAGCCGGGCGGAGAGAAAGAGGATCCAGGATCGCTTGGCCCAACGGGCTACGCGGGAAAGGACCAAGAACCGTATCGCCTATCTCGAGCAACGTCTCAGTAGCCTCGAGGCTGGCGACAAGGACGGCGAGATCACCAACCTGACGCGTATTATCGACAGTCTGCGCAACGACAACAATCGCCTTCGGAATGCATTGGTTAAGATGCGCACCGTCATTGATCAGGCCGTGCTGGCGGCTGACTCCTCTAGCGAGGCTCAATCAACCACCAGGCCTTGTGGATGCAGCATGCAGTCCTCCTGCACCTGTGCTCAGACACCATTCCCAGCGGCAACCCCTACGACAGCATTTCAAGATCCAAATGCTGCCTTTCGTCATACTTCAGTCTCTTCGACCGACACTTCCGAGGTGACCGAGGTGATCAACGGCCACAGCCTAGGCCTCAACGTGGATGTGGCACAGCCTGAGCCAATGGGCTCCGTGACGGGCCTCGAGGACTTTTTTGACTTCAACCCGAACTCGCTGCTGGAGATGTTCGAAATGGGTAGTACCACAGGCTTCAGTGCTTGGCAGCCACAGACACCCTCTCCGTTCGACTATCGCTTTCCCTCGTCTGATGCAGTGGTAAAAGTGGCCCCGGACGTGGACAAATGGCATGTGTCCAACGGGGCCTTCATCAGTTGCTTAGACAGCGTCAAGAAACAGACGGCATCGACCGCCACCCTTGACATGCATGTGCCGTTCAAGGCGGCGATTTGGGGTTGGGACAACGTCGGACCGGAAGCTCAGCACCCGGTATGGAATGCACTGCGGCAGGTTGATCAGAGGGTTTTTGGCACATGGACGTCCAAAGCGCAAAGAATCGCCTTGATGTATGTCTGCCAGACACTGATCCAATACCGAGAAAATCCCACCAAAGAGAACCTGGAGCGGGTGCCAGTCTTTCTGCGGCCGAGGTATGCTTTCCCCAAGGACAAGGACCAAAGAGGGCTTTGCTAACGCTGCCGAGACCGTCACAAGAAAATGTCCAACATCCGGCAGTCATAGATTTTCTCGTATGGTAGGTTCTTGTCCCAGTTACCCCATCATGTTCAAAAAGGACAGCGCTGAGAAGTCTGTGGCAAAAACCAGGCCGGGACTTCGCGATCGACTCGTCTTCGAGCACAAGAAATACACCTCAACAGGCGACTTCTCGGCCGCCTTTGTCGAGAACTTCAACTTCTACTGGCCCTACTCGGACCGCGACATATTCGCGTACAACCCGGTCCAGAACCGGTACGAAGTATCCAAGATCTTCCTCGAGTACGCGTACAACTTCAAGAATTGGACCATGAAGCCGAGCTTCTTCAAGAAGTTTCCCGAGATGCAGCACGACATCGCCGCCTTTGAGGGGACCATGGACTTCCCGAAGGCGAGCTGGTCAGTATGAGAGAAAGATGTGCACCCTGATATTGTCGGGGTTCGCTCTTCTATCTCACTTTGACGTCCGAGGATGCGTCCATAATACCCCCTCGTGATCTGGTCCACGTCATCGGCATTGGGATTCACGACTTGTTTCCGTGACCGTCCCTCTGAGTCTCTGGTTGGTTGCAAGCGACTATCAATTGGAAGACCAAGGACACGTGGAAGTCGCGCCGCACGAACTACCCGCGATACCCTTCCCCTGAAAAAGGCGCAAGGCTCAATGCGGAGCTGGCAGCATGGTGATTCATCTACAACTAAAGGTTGTATGTAGGCAGACACACGCGGATCAATTGTCTCGAGCCGGGCGAGTAATATCCGTCCCTCCCTTGACTACTCTAAATCCCCCGGAGAGCTTAACGAGTGATGAGTACCTCATTCCGTCACATCGTATGGAGTCCTCAGAGTCTGCAATCGCAATCAGCACGCCAGAGAGGATGGCAGAACGATGGAGCCCTGAAATCGTGGGCTCCGAAGGTCGAGAAAGGTTGGGTGGATGGGTGGGCGAGACCAGATGACCCACGTCCTAGAAACAACCCGACCGGAAAGAGATGGGACGTCAGGGCTGCCTTCCTGCGAAAGGAAACGCGCACATTGCAGACAAGCTCGAGAATTACAAGCCAAATAAGCTGCCTTTCGTTTTGGCGAGTCTGAAAAAGAAAAGTGATGCATCAAGAACATGGCTTCATCTCCATACATAATTGAGATCCGTTTCTGTCTCTATCTCTGTCTAGTATGTATTCTCGTTGATCGTGAAGCCTCTAGAATGGCATCCGGGAGTCAGCAAACCGCATCAGGGGGAAAAAACACTCCTGCGTAAAGGAGAAAAAGAAATACCAGACCAAGATCAGAAGCTGGGTCTATACATACCCGTCAATGACCAGATTATGGCCCACGACCAGACTCATGCGCGGCGTGCTCAGGAGCACCACGACGTCGCCGATCTCGTCAAATGTGGCCTTACGACCCTGTCGCGCCTCGTACTCCCCCCACGATTTGGCCGCAAGCTCGCCGTTGCCTTGCTTCATGAAGGGGTCGAGGAGTTTGGTCAGGAGGAAGCCCGGCGAGACTGCGTTGATGCGAATGTCGTGCCGGCGGGCTTCGAGAGCGGCCTGTGATTGAACAAGAAGCGTTAACTGGTGCTGCTAATGATAGTGCTGACGGTGACAGTGGTGGTGATCATGGGGATAGCCGGGAAGAGAGTGAGGCCCTGGAGCTGCGAGCACCGAGGTACTTAGTTATGTACTTACAGCTTTTGTGATTCCCATTACAGCATGTTTTGACGCCGAATAACCCGTTGTACCAGCCCCGGCTTGGATAGAATTGACAGAGGCACAATTGACAATCGAGCCGCGTTGACGGGGCCGGCCTTCCTCGCTGTAGAACGCCTCAGCCTTGGCTCAAGCGGGATTGTTCTAGGAGAGAAGGGCAAACCTCCTTCCTCTTACACTTCAACCGAATCCTGCTTCATCATCTGCTTCAACTCATACTTGTTGCAAAGCCAGACCCCGACGGTGTTGACTTCAATCACTCGTCTCCATTGGTCCGTGTCAGTATCCCAAGTCTCAGTCAGGGGCCCGATAATGCCTGCGAAGTTGCTGGGTGGCTCTCTCAGTTGTGCTCTTTCAACTCAAATTCCACTATTGGGTTGGTAGGGTAAAGGGGGAATGTGTACTGACGCTGCATAGTCAATGCGTCCGAACTCTTTGACTGCTTCGTTGACTGCTCGCTCGACATCCTCCTCCTTGGTCACATCGGCGCGGATGCATAGCACCTATGACGTGAGTTAGGGCGATCAAAATCGATCTGGAATCGTCTTTGTCCTGTTTGGGAGCATGGTCGTTTCGCCTTTGTGGTAGACCCTACCTTAGCACCGTATTTCTCAACTGCCTTCTTGCCCTCCTCAAATGTCGCCTCGTCCTGGATGTCAACCAAGCACACGCCTTTGGCACCCTCCTTTGCAAACGATACACCAATGGCGTTTCCCAACCCACGCGCACCACCAGTGACAAATGCAATGCCAGGAGCAACGGGTCCTGAGCGAAAGGCCATTTTTGCCGAGGCTCAGACACGGAGCGGATATCGTGAAAGAATTGGCTGTCTTGCAGATCGTAACACCTCTCGAAGATGCAGAGGCTTTCGGAATATATGTCGTTGATGAACGGTGGTTGCACCAATTTCGTGAACGGGCTAGCGGCTCGTATCTCATTCAGCGTCCCTACCGGCACCAGACTCACCAGTCAATGGCTACGCACCACAACAGCACTGAGCACACCTTCGACGGCTCTTGTACCTAGGCTCGCCAGATTGGGCAGAGCCTTAAGGCTTCCCAGTCCTTGTCGACTCCCCGCTTTCTCCACACAGTCGAGAACGTCCCGCTTGCCTTTCCCCACAGATTGCTGCTCTATGCTTGCTAGCAGGAACTGGTTGGACCTCGGATGGTGCCCCAGCTGTCATAGGAAGTCATCCTCAGTCGCTGTCCCGCGGTTTCCACGTATCGGCCTCTCCAGCATTTGATTGAACAGCACGGCACACCGGCAAACTCACCCCAATGGCGTGAATCGGCAACCTGTCAGAAAATGCTGAATCACAACAACTTCTGAGCGATGCCGAGAAAGTCAAGCTGAAAGGTAGAGGGAGGTAGTGAATTCCTTGAAGGAGCATTTACCGAAGCCCATATAGAAGGGTGAGCGCGGGTTGCCGTTGAACCAATTTGAAGTGTAATCCTTCCTGTAGTCGTCGTGGCCCCTCGATCCCTCGATCCCACTTTCCTTTCTGTCCAACATGGTGAGCGAACTCGGTTACAAGGTGGAGCCGCAATGGCATTCGAAACCAAATTACATCCGGGTGATTTGTGTTGGTGCCGGTGCTGCAGGCCTCCTGGTGGGGTACAAGATGAAGAAAGATTTCAAGAATTACGAATTCATCTGCTATGAGAAGTTCGTGTCATCTTTCATCGTCCATTGGGAACGCCAGCTGACAGTTTCAAAGGAACTCCGGGATTGGTGGAACTTGGTTTGAGAATCGGTATCCAGGCTGCGCTTGTGATGTTCCCGCACATGCGTATACATATTCTTTTGAGCCGAACCCAGAGTGGTCGAGTTTCTACGCCTATGCCCCGGAGATCAAGCAGTATTTCGAGAAATTTGCGGACAAGTACGATCTGCACCCATCCATAAAGCTCAATTCGAGGGTCCTATCGGCAACTTGGGTGGAGGACAAAGGCATCTGTTGGTCCACACGAAGCGAGAATTGTGCCCCAGAAATTGACATTGGGTAGACGAGGTTCAGGTTGACGCTGAGGGTCGTACGATCGACGATTGGTGCCATGTCATCATCAACGGCACCGGTTTTCTCAATGACTGGAAGTGTGAGTCGGGGTTACTCCCCAATACCCGTGAGATATTGACCACTCGACAGGGCCGAAGATCGAAGGACTGCATGATTTCGGCGGAAAGCTTCTTCATAGCGCAAATTGGGACACATGTAGGCTTTCCATTTGCTCCCGACTCCTTTGATGACTGACGAGGTTGCCAGCCGTTGACTACACGGACAAGACGGTTGCGGTAATTGGGACGGGATCGTCCGCCATTCAAATTGTGCCCCAGGTTCAGAAGAAAGCGAAGCACCTTACCACCTTCATGAGATCTGTGACATGGATTTCTCCACCTGTCGGAGGTCAGGTTCTTGAGGAGGACAAGAGCCATTCATCAGACTCGAGTCAGACCCAGGCTCCTCAGGCACAATACTGGTACACAGAAGAGGACAAGAAGAAGTTTCGCGAGAATCCTCAAGCCTTGCTTGAATACCGACAGAAGCTCGAATCTAGTGTTAACAATCTATTCGATATGTTCATCGCCGGATCGGAGACATCCAACTGGGCCGAAAAGCTGATGCGAGAAGAAATGCACCGGCGGATCGGACCAGGACACGAGGAGCTTAAGGAGAAGTTGATTCCCAAATGGGCACCGGGGTGTATGTCGAGTTGCGACGCGTTTGAACGACTGTTGACAACTTGAATAGGCCGAAGAATAACTCCCGGTGACGGCTACCTCGAGGCTCTGGTTAAAGACAGTAAGTGTGCCAGACGTGCCGTCGACCTCGGCTAACGAAACTTCAGATGTCACGCCCATCCATAATGAGATCGTCAAGGTCGTGCCTGAAGGACTTATCGATGATGCTGGTCGTCTGCACAAAGTCGACATACTTGTTTGCGCGACGGGATTTAACCTCGCTTTTGCACCGCCATTCAAAGTCCTCGGAGTAAATGGTGTCAGCATGGCGGAGGAGTTCAATCCTGAACCACAAGTTTACCTTGCCCTGACAGTGCCCAAATTTCCAAATTATTTTGTTGTCAATGGTGTCCGAGGCAATTGGGCCGCCGGCACATCTCTTCCGTCGCATGAAGTCCAGGTCGAATACATCTTGCAATGCATGAAGAGGATGCAAGAGGAGAACATCCGAGCCCTCGAGGTTAAAATGGAGCCAGTGAAACAACTGTACGAGCATATTGATGAATGGCACAAAGGCTCTGTCTGGAACACCGAGTGCAAGAGGTAGGTTAGCAATCACCATTTGGTGTGACGCTTCAGCTAACGAGCCCAGTTGGTATAAAAACAACATCATTGGGGGTAAGCTGTGGATCTGGGGCGGTTCGGTAGGTGAAGGCGTCTCCGATGAGGACAAGGCTGACTTCAGTAGGCGCTCCATTACATGAAGACCATCAAGTTCGTCCGATGGGAGCATTATGATTTTCGATATAACAACAACAATATGTGGTCGTTCCTCGGCAATGGTCGCGTCGAGGCAGAAGTGATGAAAGATACTTCAAGATTAGCACCCTACATGAGGAACGAGGACGTACCTTGGACAATAGACTGACCAACCGCGTCGGGACATGTCCATATATGTGCAGGCTGAATGCCGGTAAAGCTGAAGATTTGTCATATAGAAAGACGAGGCTTAACGCACACTCCACTGAGTGTAATATCGGCAATCTCGATCCGGAATGACACTGTTTTTCAACCCTCGAAGTCAAAAGTGTCCTGCGGGGCCTACAGGCGTAGTAGTCTCACCAAACAACATTCGTCGTGACAAACTGGAAGGTTAGGAACGCCACCTGCTCAAGCAAGTGTGGGGAAGAATGCAACCCTGCACCTCGGTAGTTCCTGAATCAGTAGCATCTTCGTCAGGAATGAGATTCCGTTATTGCAGTGGTGCATATATCGGCTATTCAGAATGTACTCCGTACTATCTCACTATTTCCAAAAGGAAACCCGACTTTGGTTTTGCTTCGATCAATGACTAGCCTCGAAAGCTCCAGCGTACAACTGTCTTTGTAACATGAAAGCTGCAAGATATCACGGCCAGCGTGACTTGAGGGTTGAAGACGTGGATATTCCACAGATTGTGGACGGTCAAGTTCTGGTCCAAGTCGAATGGTGCGGGATATGTGGCTCTGATTTGCACGAATATCTGGTCGGTAAGTCGCAGTATCCGAAACTAATATTATTGTCTGAACGATTGCCAGGGCCAGCCGTCATCCCCAGGGAAGAGGCACCCCATCCACTGACAGGCGCAGTCTTGCCTATAACGATGGGCCATGAATTTTGCGGTAGGGTGAGCAAGGTTGGTCCAAATAGCGAATTACGAATCGGCCAGGCTGTCATGGTCGACCCGCGAGTTTTCTGTTCCAGCTGTCATTCCTGCAACATGGGCGATACGAATATTTGCAACAGCTGGGGCTTCTTGGGACTGCAGTCCAACGACGGGGGAGGCTATTCGGAATATGTCGCAGTCAAAGAGGACATGTGCCATGTCTTGCCTGATTCTGTATCCTTATCTGAAGCGGCCTTGATTGAGCCGTTGACAGTGGCCAGGCATGCAACAAAAAAGTCTGGATTCGACGACTATCAAGACAAAACGGTTCTCGTGCTTGGTGGTGGACCTGTTGGGCTAGCTTTAATCTTCGTGTTAAAAGCCTCCGGAGTCGGCAGACTCATCGTAAGCGAGCCAACGGCCAAGCGGCAAAAGCAGGCAGCTGAATTTGTCGACACGGTGTTGAATCCCAGGGAGGTCAATGTGCCAGAGAAATGCCGTGTGTTAACGGACGGCAGGGGAGTGGATATTGTATTCGACTGTGCAGGAATCATGCCGGGTCTGAAAGATGGCATGGATGCTCTTCGACGTGGCGGGACATACGTCAACGTCGCTGGTTGGGAAAGAGAGGTAAGATGCCCCCTTCTCATCGCAGACCTTCACATAGCTGATGAAGCTTTGCAGTGCATTGTGCCAATGGGATTTTTCATGTTGAAGGAGATCATCTTCAGGGCTTCAATGAGCTACACCGGAGAAGATTTCAAGCAGACTGTGGACGAATTCGTTGCAGGTAATAGATTACGCTCGGAATATCCAGAATTGTAACTGACTTGAAATAGGAAAATTCAAGGGGTTTGAGAAACTGGTTACCGCAAGAATAGCATTGGACGACGTCGTGGTTAAAGGGTTTGAGGAGCTTGTCAACAACAAGGACGATCACGTCAAGATCATGGTGACCCCGAGGAAGGAGCTGTTGGTGCAATAATCAAAGCGTGAAGGCCACGCAGGGATGCACACGCAGTTGAATACCTACTCGCTAGGTACCTAGTAAAATTGACGGCATGGAAAAGCCTCGAAAGACAGAACGATTGGCTCTATATATCACGTGGAAACTAGTTAGTCATCACCGCCCTGTTGCTACGGGAAGGGCCGAGGCGGTGGCCCACAAGGGACATTCTGTTTTTCCGCAGCCCAAATTTCTTGCCTTCGTTAGTTTGGCCTTTGGACGGACAACAAAAGGAATTGCTCAGCCGGTGATGTTTTGGGAGTCTATTTGACTGCGATACCACACTTCTAATACCAGCCTCCTTCCTCCCTCTATGGATGCCCATGCGCATCTGCTTTCCCTCGGCTGGGCGGGACCCGGCCACTCTCTCGACTCGAGACCATACAAACAAAAAGGGCACCGAGGCCTCGCTTATGACCCCGCAAAAGTCGGTAATAACGGCGTCGGCCTTGTAAAACCTCTCTCGATTTCGCAAAGAAAAGGGCGATTCGGTGTTGGGAAGAAAGCCCATGAACCACCAGCCGGAAACCAGTGGTGGCTGAAAGGGTTTGAGAATGCGTTGGGTAACATTGGCAAGAGCGAGAGCGAGAGAAGTAGTGGCACGGCTACGCCAATTACACATGACTCTGGTGGTACTGGAAAACACGGCGGGCTTTATACCTTCTTCGTCAAGGGACAAGAGATGGAAGGCACAATTGGAAAAGTCGGCGACGTAAAGCGAACTTCGAAGAAGCGGAAGAGCGGCGCCCTCGATGATCGAGAACAAGATGGCGCTATGGTATCTAAGAAGCAAGAAGCTGCGGCAGAATTCGAAGAGGCTGGTGCATATTTTGCGTTGCGGGACAAAGATGAGAAGCGTTACCAGCGTCTGCAAAAACAGAATCCGGTTGCAGAGTTCGAGCAAGTCGGCGAGTATCTCCAGGCAGGGTTGGGGAAGAAACCAAAGAAACGGAAATCGCAAGTCGAGCCGGAAGATACCGAGCTCGCCACCCTAGACGACCTTGATAACGACCGGCGGTCACCGCCGAGCCAAGGAGAAACGAAAGAAGAGAGACGCGAACGGCGGCGGCTGCGGAAAGAGAAGAAGGAGCGGCAGCGGAATGCGTTGGCGGACCTGGAAAATCGGCAGCAACTTGCCTTGCCGAACGACGCCGTTACAGAGGATATAGGCGAAAAAGCTGATGGAAGAGCGGAGCGGAAGCGAAGGAAAAGTGCTAAGTCTACCAAGTCTTTGAGAGGGGGCTGAGGACGAATTGCGAGACGCTTCCGTGCATGGCTCCGCTACGTTCATCATGGAGATCAGGATCGTTAACTAACAAGGCCAGTTGGATCCATTTTTTATCCTTTGATCCTTTTATAGCAGGTCTAAACAAAATCAAGCTGTGTAGCGAATGACTCGATAACTCTCAGCCATCCGATGCCGCCACGACGGCGTAGTCGCGCAAATGAACGTGATGGGAGACGATAAGCGAATGCGTCTCTGCAGCTGTGGGAGTTCATCCCGAGTCTCTCGTACAGGTTATTTTGTGGGACTTCCCCATAGAGATTGGCAACTAGTCTGGTCTGGGGAATCTGTTTGTGTCGATCTTGTCGTTTCTCTATCTGCACCGCCCATCGCCTCCAGAAGCAGAGACCATGCTTTCGCCCTGCCTTTTGACAGACTATGATTGACCTCATCTGTGCCGGCAACTGGAAAGCCTCACATTGGGCCGCCGGGGACTACTGAAATTCACTGTTCCCACCTTGCCGAAGTCATTCTGTTTCCCTTCCGTACCATCAGCTGGACAGCGAGGATACCATGAGCCAAAGAAGAGGTTGGAATCCCCCATAAGCAAAGGGACAAAAGGGCATAGGCTCATCTTGACGAGCGATTGATTCGGCCACGCCTGCGCCTGCACCTGCTCGTGGCCCGGCTCCAGACCCTCGACGCTTCTACCGAACGCCTTGTTAAAACGAACCTCCCACTAGCTGTCCGTTTGCGCCCAACTAAAGAGCAGTGTACTCGGCGCCTCTAAATTGATGTCCTAGACTACGTGGAGCTGTTATATTGGTCAAATGCGCTGGCGACTGTTCCGACGGTGTCGTTCTCAAGTCAAATGACCTTCACCACGAACACATATTCGTCCAAAAACCCTTCTGTACAACTACAATGAGGCATATCTACCATTATCAAGGCGGCAAATGGCCACCCGCGTTTCCTTATGGCGTCTTGCTTTCTCTCATCACCTTCAGCACTCTCCTTGGGAAATATAAAGACTGCGCCTCCCTGTGTTACACCACAAGCGAGGGAGTTACCAATGGCCGCTGGTACAGCACTGCTCGACTTACAAAATGCACAAGCGCCCTGCCTCTTTCCTATATTTAAAGCCCCAGAGACATCGAACGGTGTGGCATCGCTCTCAAGGATCCCGTGGCTTCTGCAGCGCTTTTCCAAGAAAATAAGATTTGGCTGGCATAATGTGGTGCGTAGACAACCTGTGTAGGATCAGGAGGAACCGTCTTATATGGCAGTTTTTGACCAGTGATCTGACGCTTGCTTCAGTTCCTGGCTCCCGGAGTTCAACGGCCCGCGGGTTGGCTTCGATTACGAGAATGAGAACATAACATACCTCACACGCCAGCGAAAGCTTGGTAACAAGGATGACTGGGTAGAGCTTTGCATGCTTGACCTAGATGACACCGATAGTGACCAGTCCAAAGTCGACGTGGTCCGAAACTTTTTGCAAGGCTCGACCGAGAGAACCATCCGACCTGACGATGCAAAAGATGGGAGTACTCCCTTTTATGTTGCCTGGCTAGACGAACGCGACTATGAATGCGGCCCAAGGACGTACTGCAACCCCCTCACCGCAGAAGGGCTCTCGCAGAAACTATCGAAACCGGTCAGTTGCTTAATACGATCCTTTCCGGCGTTGGCGAGCTTGATCTAATGGCTAGCCAGCGATTCCGATCTCGAACGCATGGCTCGAAAAACACATCAGGTGCATCTATACTTTCTTTCCTTCGGGGCGTTTCGCCCCAAATTGCTGCAGCTGCTATCCGAGAGAATGCAGCAACAATCAATATTGCCGAGACCATGAACCACAAGGACGAACCAGAGTGTATTGATATGGATACTTGCGTAAGAGGCTCTAGGAGGGTGTCTCTCACAGAGTGTTTACAGCAAGAGGGTGACAAACCGATAGGTGGGCGCCATTTTGCACCCACCTGGAGGGTAGGTCCGAGCTGGGCAGCCACACCATACCATGAACCGGATGCTGCAAGGCGTTTGGTGTTCATCACCGATTTGGATGCTAAAACCGCCGCTGTTCTTATGGAAACTGCGTCATACCACCAAGCCAGGCCTCTTCGTCACGCGCTCTACCACCACATTACAAATAATGCTCTCGTCAGCGTGAACATTTCAGTAAGTCTCCACAACCAGAGGAAAGATAATAGTGCTCTGCGACTAAACTTTCAACTCACAGCCAAAACTGCCGTCCAACTTCGAATTGGCATTCCACATGCCATTCTATGCGTGGAGGAATGCTTCGCGTGAGGACCATCGCAGGTTCGCAAGTGGTGAACCGTTGAGAGAGACGGAGGATGTCTCATTCCTCAACCAGCAGGCTAGAGAAGTAGTCCTCTGTCAAGCTCATTTCACATGTGTGATATTCGGATCAGATGACCGGCATTGGGTTGCCTACTGCTTCGCGGATACCTATTTTGATGGCCAAGATGATGGAAGAGAAACCGTCCTTGAATACCACCAGGACCGGGATAGTGAAGATGGCATGAATGCAGACCCTTTGACCTACGGCAACATCGACGCAGATGTCGATCCAATTTGGAATCCCCGAAAATACTTTCTCACCATATGCAGATATAGACTTCAACGAGTGGGACGTGAGTGGGCTCAGGTGGTGATGCATCTTGTGGGAAGTTTCGCAAGTTTCGACAAGGTACGCACCCTTCTACCTTATCACAGTTACTGGTCTGTGGCCATTGAGAATGACAACAAGTTCACTGGCGTCGACCAAGCTCACACGCTGGGCAACACTTGGTCAATGGCAAACTAATGGCCCGCCGGCTGCACCAGCATCCTGCTATTTCGTCTTTCTTGGTTAACTTGTTCGCTAGCGCCTCCACTGCTTCTTGTCGGCCCCAATAGCTGGTCATTCGCTGGGGGAGGACGCAGGCCACAGTGAAAGTCTTTGGCGTTATTATGATTGGGTGCAACAGACGACAAGGCTGTCAATCAAACTGGAAAGTACGTTGGCAGAGTCCGTGGATGCATACGAAGCCTGGCGCAGCGAATACGCCTCTTTCTTCGATGGAGTCCCGCAATCAGGAGATGAGCCGAATTTAGTCCCTGAAATTGAAAAAACATTTAAACAGCTGAAGCAGCTGAAGCAGCGACTTGGACGTCTCCGTGACCAGTGTAAAGACTTCTCTAAAAGAGTAAGGCGAGCTTGTTTTGCAGTCTCGGCCACCGATCGCAGCTGAAGTCGTTGCTAATCACTCGGGATCTCACAGCTTGAACTTCGTCTCAGAGTTGAGGCAGATTACACGGGTAAGAGGACGAACCAGCAGGGAAAAGACAATCACAACTTCTCATGGATCATGCTGGTCAGTCCCCATCAGTAACAATGAAACAGCAATGTGATTCTGACTGGTTACCAACTCCCGCAGCTTTATGTCACTCCAGTGTCATTCACAATCCAGACCTTTTCGATGCAAACGGTTGTGTTCCCCAATGTTGGCTCAATGCTCCCATGGTTCTTTCTAGCGCTGTTCGTCTGGTGTTTTGTGGGGATTGTGGTACTTACGACAATCTTCCCGCACTGGCGGCGGGTCCTCAATCGGATGGCCCTACTGTGCAGTGAGAAATACAACACTTTCCACCTGTGTGACTGGAGGAAGAAAAACTTGGCTGCTGATTTGGAACATGGTTCATCTTGTGCGACGGCAGTTGATCATTCATCTTGTCAGGGAAGCTGTACCCTATGGGCCACAAAGGCTTCCTCACCATGGGCAACGTCTAGCGGACTGGACATTTCGTATGCGCCGATACGCAAGAGAAGTCTTCCTGGTGTGGATGGTCAAGGCTAGAGTTTGTGAACGGGGCTTGAGGAAGAAGGACATTTTCCCAGTAATATGTAGTATTTGAAATTTTGCGCATTACTGTGGTCCCGGGTCACAGTAACCCATTACGGAGGCTCGGGAGGACCTCGGGAGCACCAGTTTTTTCCCTACTCGCCTACTAGGTACGATGCAGCTTGCCTTGCACTTTACCTCCAAGTCAGAAATGTTGTTTTTATCTGTCGTCGGCGTTTAGTGGACAGTGCTTCTTGGTGTACGGAGTATCTCACTCTTTCATATTGGGGGCGTTTTGCTTTGTTTTAGGCGGCTTCATTCTCGACACCTGGTTGGTCTCCATAGACTGCTGCTTCGTTCGCACTCAACGTGGCTATGCGACAGTTCCTGGCCTGAGGCATCTCTGCACAAGCTCAGCTCGAAAATGGTCAGTACACGCGGTTGGCGCGTCGATAACGGCAGCGTCAGTAGTGACGGTTGCTGCAAAGAACGCGAGTTGACTTGTTGCAAGTAGCCACCGTCGAAAACCAAGAAGAAGACCAACGTCGTGTTCGTCTACACCTGTTGCCGTTGCGGACAGACCCCTATCAACATCCAACACAAGCAGTGCACTCACTGTCACCACACTCGCTGCAGCAACTGTAAAACCGAAAAAGTTGTCCAGAGATGAACCCAACGACCTCGAAGGCAAGACTCTTCTCTGCCGCCCCTTCTTTTCTTCGCTCTCTGCCAGCTTAGCGGTTGGTGACGCCTACTCCACGCGACCTCCTACAATGCTTCCCCGGACAAGAAAGAGCAGACATTGGACAAGGCATGGCGAACCTCTGAGATCACTGGCGGAACTTACCAGCAAGAGAACAAATGGTCGTCAATGCTCGCAGGGCGGTTGCTCCTCTGATACCCTCTTGAGTCCAGAGCGGCCGTTCCTAGCTGGCAAAGCAGCATAGTCAACTGGAGTTGACCACCTTTGCGTGCTTCGTGTTTGCAGGTATACCCTCAGGCTGTCGCAGGCGTACAAGAGTTGGATTTCGGGTTCGTGTACAATAGCTCTCCATAACCGCGGTAGGAGGTCAAGACTCTGAGGCCAGCATTTAGTCGGATGATTTTCTTAGCAGTTTCCTCCAAGGAGCTGCGTGCTCTTTATCTTTCGTCATTGTTCTGACATATCATCTCATTCATCCGATTTTGCTCGGAGCTTCTTGCGAGGGCCGCGATGGTCAAAAGTCGCCGAGTCATATCACGGCATCGGATGCCGCAATCGATCTGCCTTGCAGTCTTTGCCTGCTTCTCCGATGAACAACTTGTACGATTCGCCCCTGCATAGGGGACTACGTAGACCTTTTGGCACGCCTTTGACGCCGAGCACCCGAATCGCTCCGCATTCTCGTATCCACAACCTGCGAGCCAGCTGCGCGTTCGAAGAAGGATACTGGGTAGATACCCTGACAGAGCAAGCATTCCAAGTTGTCAACAGTGGCCATTACCAACGTAGGATTAAGGGCGTGCGAAACCTCTGTGCAATCTCCTAGGAGCAAGCTCCCGGTGCCCAGGAACGTAGGTATGAAGTTGGCTTTCACAAAAGGCAACCAGATTTCAAGGATCCTTCGGGCGTAGAAAGTCGGCCAAGCCGGGCGTGTTGGACAAGGTTTGGTTGATTGCACGTCTCTAATTGCCCCAAAATGGCCCCAAATCGAGGTCACACGCATGTCTTTTTCTCAACTAAGATACCGGTCTAGGTATGATGAGGCTTGGACGACAATGATGCCCAAACAACTCGAGAGTCGAGACACACATCTCTTACAGCATTGAGGCTGATGGAGCCAGTCTACGTGCTGCTGCCGCGGGAACCCAATGAGTCACTGGATCAGGTTGCTGAGCATCTCGGAGTTGTGAATACCTAGGTACCTATCCACGGTACCAGAGAACGAGATGCCGTCGACTAAAGGGACTGCGGCCCAGAACACTACCTAGTAGGTGCATGATCAGATAGATCAGATGATTCTAGGGAGCCGGGATCGCTTCCCAGCTTTGGTGTTAGTGTCATGTATGATGTACGTCAGACGCAGAGCAGCAGTTGGCGCAGTCTATCTACACTTCCATGACTACCAAGTACTCGGTGCAGCTGCTACGCTGTCGCTCCCTCTGCGCCTCTCATTCAGCTCGTCACCTACTCTCTCCCCACCAGCGTGGCATGTCGTACAAAACTAGTCACCGAGCCTTTGGGCTCGATGGATTTATGTGTTTGAAGATTGTTTGACGCCTTGCAGATGTTCGCCTTGCCCCCATTGCTTGCTTTGCTGGTCCCAATCGTTCTCAGATTGAAGCATCCAATCCGTACAGCCAATGAAGGTGCACAGATGTGGCGCGCGCCCGCCAGGTTGTATTGTGGGATGTCCTCGTTGGCGATACTTGATAAAATGGCCCTCCAAGGCTCCCCACGATGGTGCTCTGCACACTGTGCAACATAACCATGATATTGATAATCCAGTGTTGCTGCCCGCATTTCCAGTGTGCGTGGCCCATATTAGCCATTTCCTCAGTTGCACCTGAATCTGCGTCGAAAGACTAGTCGCCCTCATGGGAAAGGGAAAGCGCAAGGGGAGGCGCAAAGCAAAACAGCGGAGAGTATCCGGTGGCAGAGATGAAGATCCAGCCCAACCTCTACATTATGCGCTGCCGACACCGCCCCTCGAGAACTTTCCCATCATATTCCAACAACGCCGAAACATCCAACTCGGGGTCGAAAACAAATCTCATGTCACGGGTCGAGCAGAGTCCGGTGAAGACGACATCGACGATGTGGTCCGAATCTTCATGCGCGAGCCTGAAGAATCAGAGGGCTGCCTGCCACGAGCCGACAAAGTTGAGGAATTCTGCTTTGGAATGAGCACCGATGCTCTCCGAAAAGCCCACTGCAACCCAGATGGAACGTTGCGAAGGATCGCTTGGCTGGATGATAGGAATTTGGATGGTCCGCTCATCCAGTCAAGAGCACGCTGCAAGCCTCTGACGGTGTATGAGCTCCTGAAAGAATTGGAAAAGCCTCGATTTCCCTCAGCATGCCCTGCCACTTCTCTAGCTACCACGACAGGCCGAGCGACTTTGACGGATGCGGACCGGCGTCTCATGTTCATCTCGGATCTGGATTGCTACAGCATCTATGCCATTGTGCGAACGGCTTCTACTCACCAAGCCTCTGCTCTCCGGGGCGCTTTGTATCATTATCTGGAGTTTGAACCATCCTTGGAGTTAGCTGCCATCACGGAAGGATTTCCAACGTTCAAACTCGCATTTCACTTACCATTCTTCGCCTTAAAGACTTCGAAGACTCCGCAGACGGATTATCGCCGGGACCGGACCGGAGACCCCTTACGACGCTCCCGAGACGTTTCGTTCCTCAATCGGCAGGACGATGCTTCTCCAATGTACCTCTATGATGTTCAAGCCTCCTGCGTGATTTCAGGATTTGACTGGTCGAGGTGGGATGCCAAGTTCTTCATGGACACCTACTATTTCGATTCAGAAGACCCTTCCAAGGAGGACATATGGGAATACCGCGAAGACGGACTTTCTGCGGGAGGCATGTGTGCAGATCCGCTCACATATGGGCTTGTTGATGCAGACATGCCAATCTGGGATCCTCAAGAATATTTTTTGAAGGTATTCCAACCCCGCTTTGCGCAAGCATTACGAGAATGGAGGATGGTGGTGATGACGTTGAAAAAAAGCTTCAAGCACCATCAATCGACGAATGAATATCGACTCCACTGTCCACTATCCGGTGATCCCTCAAAGGACAAGACTCACACCAAAGGCCTTCGCCGTTCTCTCGACTGGGTGCTGTTGTTTATGGACCTCGCAAAGGAGTTGAACGAGACCCTGTCCAAGACACTCAGAAGCTACGAACCCTTTTGTTCAAAGCGAGCTGCCAATTGTGTTGGTGGACTCAGTTTTCCACCTGCGAACAAGTCGCTTCCTTCGATCCAGAATACTTTCGATGAGTTGTGCCAACATAAAGAGACCCTGGACCATCTCCTGGATCGCTGCGATCAACGTACCAAACAGCTCCGATACCAACTCGACCTCGAAGTTCGGGAAATAGGCGATGAACACATAAGAATCGCCCTCGAAGCCAATAGGATAGCAGAGGTCAACACAGGGCTTGCATGGATCATGATAATTTTCGTGACGCCGGTGGCGCTGTCGTCGAGCGTATTCTCCATGCAGTCCAAAGTCATTTCTTTCATTCCTCCAACGTTTGGATCGTTTCTGGCCTTAAGCATCATGCTCTCTTTCCTGGGTTTTCTCATCCGCACGATGTGGTTTTGTTGGCCTCAAGCGAAGGCCATAGCCTGGCAATATTGTTGTGCTTTGTTTGGCTTGTTGCGGAGGCCCCGATTACTGAGGAATGGCCCGTTGGATGAAGAAGCCGGCAATCCAGCTACGGCAGCGAACTTATCCGTCTGAAATATTGACCAGGAAGTTTGCTCACTCATTGACTGGGCTCTGAAAGATGGGCCTCGAGCCACGAATAGGTTCAACTATTGAGCCACCCAATCTTCGACGCGCGTCTGCGACATTTGAAGATGGGAACTTGCAGGATGTACCACCTGGTTCGCTTTGGTGGCAGTAGCATTTAGCAGCCATTTGGAGCAATAGGATCGAACGAAGATCTGAGATACGATCGACGGCGATTTCGAGAAACCAAGGGTGAGGCTAGAGTAGTCAATCATAGCGCCAATCATCGAGTCTCCTCATTTTACTGCTTCCCTGACAAGCATGTGCCTGAGTGGCTTCCTGCACGGTCGCTGGCGCCTCATTCTCTCCAACAACCCTGACGGGTGTCACACTATGATTCGCCGAGTGGACTGGAAATAGGTCTATTATATCTTCCGACTAGATACATCACGTACCAATGTCCTTTTCATCGCATTGCTCTCTTCTACGACTGCGCTACATTCATACACCGAGCGAAGATGGCTACGACTTCGACTGAAGGTCTGTATGGCTTCCTTGAAGTCATGGGCATTGAAGATCCGAGCTTTGTGTCGGCGACAACAGAGCTTTATACTAACCCACTGGCCATCTACTTCTCGCATCTGGCGGAACTCATCGTGCAACTCACGGATTGTGAAAAGGATATCGCCTACAAGTCGATTGTGTGGGCAAATGACATGACCCATCTAGTGGTCGTGGCGCCTCGCCTTCGACTCAAGGGCGTCGATTCCGAAGACCTTGCAGCCGACTTGCAGCAGAGGGTCAGTTTCCGTTGTGGTTTTTTGAAACCGACATTCCTCTCCATGAGCTGTGTGACTGACTTTGAGACAGTTCCCGAGTTCCCCTCTCTTCGGACATCCTGTCAACGATGGGATCAACCTCCTGTTTTACTTTTCGAACACCAACCTCGCTCGTTTGCTTCTGTCCTATGTCATTGACCGTGGATCTTCATATGGTAACAACCTGCTTGCCGAAGCTCCTGTCGAAAACGGGACGGAGGCGAAGGGCCACAAGGTCGTCGTTGAGTTCTCGTCGCCAAACCTTGGGAAAGCATTTACTGGCCTACACCTGAGAAGTACGATTATCGGTACATTTGTCGCCTCTATTTACGAGAGTTCGGGGTGGGATGTGACCAGAATGACGTTTCTTGGTGACTGGGGCAAGCATGTCGGACTACTAGCAGCAGGCTGGTCGCGGTTCGGGTCTGACGAGCAATTCGAGGCTGATCCCTTACGACACCTGCTTGACGTGTATGACCAGATTGAGGACCTTTTCAAAAAAGAGCTGGAAGCTGCTAAGAAGATTCCTGACGGGCAAGACGTCACCGAAGTGAGCCACGAGATTGAAGCAGAGAGAGACGACTTCTTCAAGAAACTCGAGGACGGTGATGAGGATGCCCTTGCCTTGTGGAGAAGGTTCCGCGAGGTCTGTATTGCGCGGTATGCCGAGCTCTACGCACGCCTCGGCGTCAGTTTCGACGATTACTCGGGCGAGTCGGACGTCTCTCACGAGACTATTGAAGAGGTTGAAAATGCATTGAAAGAGAAGGGTGTCTACAGGGAGAGCGACGGTGCTTGGGTAATTGATATCAACAAGAACGACGAAAAGCACGGGTCGGCTATTGCACGGTTCCGCAATGGCACGACGACTTACTTGCTGAGGGATGTTGCTGCGGTCCTGGAACGGAGCAAGAAATATTCCTTTGACAAGATGATTTACGTCGTCTCAGTGCGGCAGACCACACATTTTCAACAAGTCTTTAAGGTCCTGGACTTGATGGACCGTTCCGATCTAGCACGGCGGCTCGATCACATCGGCTTTGGCGACGTACATGGTCTCTTGCCGAAGGAAGGAACAAGCGGCCTCCTCTTGGGTGACATTCTGGATCAATGTCGCGATGCAACCCAGCTGGCGCTGGACACAGATGAAGAGACAGCCCAGCTATTCTCAGGGGACGACCAGTCCAAAGTCTCTGATGCTCTAGGTGCCATCAATCTCATGGTGGACGATCTATCAACCAGACGCGGCGGCGTGTTCAACTTTGACCTCAACAAGCTAGCAAACCTAGGGGATTACACCGGCCTGAACCTCCAAAAGTGGTACACCAAGCTTGACTCGAGACTCCGCGGCGTCGACATCGACCGTGCAGAACTGCAAAGCACAGACTACGGCATGTTCGAAGGTGAAGACAATGCTTATGCCGATATTCTCAGACTTCTCGTCCAGTTCCCAGGAATTATGAAGACATCCTTCGAGAGACTGGAATCATCTCAAATTCTGACATTTCTATTCAACATCATCGACCTCTTGCCAAATGTCTGGGAGGACGAGGCTGAGGCCGAAGGGTCTACTCGAAGCCTCGCTAAATTGGCCTTCTACAAATGCTTCCACATCGTGTTGGAAAACGGAATGAGGACTCTGGGATTGGTGCCTCTGACGGCTTGATGCTCAAGAGCAACTTTCGACCTGCTAGCTCTGAGCCCAACCCACGGCAAGCTTGCGCTGATCGTCTCAAGGACTCTTCGACCATGTTTGATATGACTCTGTACAATCGTGCCAATTGACTGTAAGCTAGGTTGGCTGTTGGGCACTCTGTCAGTTCGCGACTCGATGATTCAGATCAATTTCGGCTACATGTTTACATTAACTTTTACTATATTAGCGAGTATCCACCCAAGGAGATCGTCAGGATTGTGAATTTGAGCCTCACTTCTGCAACGAAAGTCCTGTAGCGGAAGCCTCCATGGACTTCTGGAAGCGGAGCATTGTCCCACAGTCACATCTGTCGCGTCTCGATTGTATGGATACCCAAGTTCACGTGGCCCAACATCTTGGTCAATTTGCTGCAAGGTGTTCGGGCATCGGAACTGCGGCCAGCAGTCACCTTGCGACACGATTGCTTCCGTCTGTTGCCTTCCGTGAATGCGCCCTCATGCAGATGGCTGCGGACTGGGCTCAGCCTCTATCTGGACTTGGGCTTTCAGTTCTTTGTCCGGTGCATCCAGATCTCTTCTGTCGGGTCCCGTCAAATGACCATTGCTGAAGTCGGCCAGCGCATTGCAGGTTGCCACGCTACGATTGGGTCAACTAACCAAATGCCCAATCACATCCTGCAGGGTCAGTCAGCTTTCGTCTCTGTTGATGCCCGACAGTGCAGTGCACCCAATGGTTACGATCGATGTTATCCAAAGTCCAGTCGGCATTTCCTGACTCTACAGGGGCAGTTGCTCTGCCTGTAAAACGTGACGCACAGAGCCCGGTTGCCTCTTGGGCATGCATGCGGTGGTCTTTCCCAGCCATGAAATCCCCAAATTCGACATCGGCTCGCCGGTGTGCATTCACGAATGGAGCCACCGACAGCGACTGCCTCTACTTGGAGTTCTGAGGCAGCTCTCTCGCCACATCTGCAAGGAAACCCAATTGGTGCCCGAGACCTCAGGGGACCTCTGCTCCAAGCCAGCTGGAATTGCGATTCCTGCCCGACCTCCCAAAGCCCGAAGTCTATTGCGCACTGCCTGCTGGGAGGCAAATCCATCTGCAAATATGGACAGCTCAACACCGGTGTGGCAGTGCAGCTGTCGACTGGCAGTGCGAGCAGATATCATTCTGTAGCTGCTCTCTCTGCTGGACTGCCCCTCTTGCTAAATCCATCCCGTCTAGCAGTGCATGTATACCCAGCGTCATCGGGAAGGAACGTGCTCGAGCCTGCGAACAGGTGCAGCATTTTGCTCGGACTCGTGCCAGATGAAATCATGATTGGATGACGCAAGCTGTTATTGATCGGTGAGTCTACCAAGGTGAGGAGGGTCGATGCACCTCCAGGTTCAAGGTAATCCAGCTTCACTTTCATTCCACCACTCACACTTTTCCACGCGTCGCTTGCTGGGGTTTGCCATTGGCCGTTATCTGTCCCTTCCCCATACGATTCCGAGCTTGAGGCTCTACAGGGGGTTGTCGTGTGCTATGAAAGAACTCCAGTGAGTATACATTCCGCTGTTTTCTATCTTCACTCCATCTAGAATACATGATCACTTTATTACCTTGGGCTGAGAGAGGCCTTTCGTGCGCGATGGATCCGCGTCACCGTGGACTCTACGTCCGGTCAGTCGATACAGTTGCCCCATTTCAGCCGTCTCGCTAATCAGCTCTTAGATGGTGCCAGAGTCCTCGTGTCGTGCTGTTAGTCGGTGAAGATGTTGGCATCGTTGAGAGATTTCTCATACCTCAAGAATTTCTGCAACGTCGCTCGCGAACCCTCAGGGAACAAATCGCCGAGCTCCCGCGAGATCATCCCACGAGAGAGATTGCGCTGCCTGAGACTCCCCCTCAGACAATGGAAGAGTTCTTCATTTGGAACTTCGCCCCGAACCCTCAAATCGACGATCGGTTGAGTTTCAGCGAAGTTGTCCAACTTGGAGTGTTCGCCTGGAAGTATCAGGTCTCCGCCTTGAGCAACCAGGTGACTGACCTGATCCGCCAGAATCTCGCAAACAATGAATGGAAACTGGAAGCTGCTGTTGTGGATGCAATTTACCAAGCAGCACCCGATAAGAGTCCGCTCAGAGAGGTGATCAAGGCAGCGTTGGGGCAGCTATCAAGATCCAGTATCGATGGCGATGACTGGGAAAGAACCTGGAAGCGCAACCCAGACCTCAGCTGGGATCATCACAAGTCCTGTGACAAGGACTGGACAGCCAAGGACTACTTGACCGGGTCCTGCCGTTTCCATAACCATGACGAAATCAAACGTCGGCAGAGTCTGTGTGATGGATGTCCCTATGCCCAAGAAGACTGCTATCCCTTCTGGGAAGAGGACGCCAAACAAGAGCAGAACGCAGAAGACAAAGAAGCAGTCGAAGAAACGCTACCAGCAGAAGATCAGGTCACCGAGGAGAAGTTTCCCGACATCATTTCCGCGGAGCAAGCAGTTGAAGAAGTGAATGGACTCGAGGCCTCAGCAGTCTTCGAGGACGCGCCTGAACATGCGCCTGAAGAGACAACTGTCTTATATAGCGCTGTTGAGACAAACGGATTCGTCGACGATGGTGCTCTGGAGGAGGGGATTGAGGATGGTGACGGTATGCAAACCCCACAGCCAGAGACCAACGGAGTCAAGCACCCCTCCTCCCCTGACGAAGGCCCGTGTGAGTCCGTGTGTGGCAGCGACGAAGGGGCTGCGGCGCCGAATGGCTTCGTGTCCGTCAGGCTGGGAGAGAAAGGTCACGAAGAAGCCGTGCACGTGGAGGCAGCCAATGGGCACGAGGTCCCCGTGTTCAGCGAGAAGAAGAAGAGCAAGAAAAAGAAGAAGAAGGGCATGAGTATGAGCAACGGTAACGTCATCCCCAATGAGGCACAACTTGTCAACTGATTCTCTGACTTTGGAGATGTGGCTTTTGAGCATGGAAAAGCATGGATGGGATGGAGGGAGGGAGGGTATTTGCCAATGGGAGTCTGTCTCTCGGTCACTCAGAATGTATCTCCTGTTACTTGTTTACACGTACGAGGCGTTAGGCAGTATAACGAATGCGATTGATTAACGTTGCGCTCCATCTTCAGACCTGTCCCAAGTTCCTTGCACTGAAATGCCTGACTGCATTCTTCTCCCGATGGTTCCTCCCCAGCTCCGTACCCCGCAGCCTCGCGGCCTCGCGGCCTCGCAGCCTCGTGTGACCTGGCATGTCGTCATTTCAAACATCACGAACATTTCAAACCCCACTGAGTACTACTCAACGTACCTATCTCGTGGTTAAGATTCAATCAACCCTCCCCGGACAACCTTTTCCTCCTAACTCTTGGCCAGATCCAGGCCTGCTCCTTGATTCCCTCTCCTCACACACCCGCACATCCCAGCCAAGCCGTGCGTATGTGTCGGTGATTTCCTTTCTCTTGGGCGTTTTTCTCCTTGGTGCACGAGTGGTAGTGGATGCGTGATGTCGAAGTAAACACCATTAAGCTTTGAGTATCTCGGTGGAAAAGAAATCCAAATGGCGCCCTCCCCTCCAGCAGTCACAGACGGATCCAAGACATGGTCCCCGTCGCACCTTTTCTTCGACGACGACGCGGACGACGACAACACAGCATCTCCGGAGACGTGGGACAGAATCCACGCGCATCTGCGAGAAAACGAGTTCCGCGCCGCCATCACTACGGCCTTTGAACTGCCGGCTGGCGATAATTTTACGTACCATGCCACCGCGTCGGTGAACCTCGCGCAGGCGGAGGCGGCGGTCCGCGCGGGGAGGAAGAATGGGTTGCATGCCTGGTACGTCGAGGCTGCGGACACTAGTGGTGCTGGGTCTACCGATGCCGCCGGCCAGTCTGGTGATGGCGATGGCGATGGCGACGAGAGGACCATCCCAGGACAGCCATCGCTACGAATATCAGGCTACCCTCCCCCTTCGGACATCCAGGCATACATTTCGATATTCGACCCAACAAAGTCCGCGGCCAACAGCCTGAAATCCCTGGCCGCGAATGCGAAAAAGGGTTCGCTGCGCGCGGGCGTGGCCGAGTATCTACTCAAGAAACGACACCTGGATCCGTCCATCACGGTCCCGAAATTTAAACCCCTCCCCACTGCTGGTGGTGGTGGTGGTGGTGGCAATGCGGCCCAGCAGGATGGCTCTGATGGGAAGAAACAGCAGCAGCAGCACGAGAACCCGGCGCTGGAATTCTGGGCCTATTCCTGCATGGCGCTCGAGTTCGCGGGGCCCAATGTCCACACGGCGCAGGTCAAGATGTCGCACCACCTCCTGCCCGTGTACATGCACCACTTTGGCTGCGTGTGCCCGTCGTGGGAGGCGCTGCAGGTCATTGCGAAACTGGCCGCGTCTATAACAAAGACTGGTAACGGCGGTAGTGGTGGTAAAGGTGCCGTGCTCGACATGGGCTCCGGCAACGGGTACTGGACACACCTCCTCCGACGCCTGGGCACCGTGTCCGTCACGGCCGTCGACTCCGGGCAATCCCGCTGGCGCACGGTGTGGATCCCCGACACGCAGGTCTCCGACGGCGTCTCCTACCTGCGCAAACGCGCCGGCTGCCCCGACTCGCTCCTCCTGCTCGTCTACCCGATCGTCGGCGGCGAATTCACCCGCAAAGTGCTCGACGCGTACGCCGGCGACGTCGTCTGCGTGGCCGGCACGCAGAACGGCAACGGATACACGGGCTTCAAGGACGTCATGGTCGACGAGTACATGGCGAGGGAGAAGCCCCGGTGGGACAAGGTCGCGCAGGTCGCGCTGCCGAGCTTTGCGGGCAAGGATGATGCCTTGTTTGCGTTTCGGAGGCGGAGGTAGAAATACCCTAGGTACCAACGATGGTAATGGGTATACATAACATTAGTAGTAGGTAGGAGGAAACGACGACGTGGATGGGTTGAGTGTAGAAAAGAGCCTAGGGTGGGAGATACAACACAACCCAGCACAATACGGATTGGGCGCGCAAATGAAACACACACAGAGAGATTGTGTGTGTGGGTGTACACTCGCCTGAATCGGGAGGACATCTCACCTTGCTCCCTAGGGGGTGGGTGTTGTGATTCTCATTGATGATCATCACCATCACATCAGACCGACCATCAGAACACGCGTGGAAGATATAGTCTTTGGGCCGATCAGCGTGCCCAAGGAACCAACGACGCAAGAGAAGATAGAGTTCAACGGCGGTCACTTTCCCCCCCAAAGACCGGAAAACCGGAAAAGATCTGAAAAGCCAGTCGAGATTGTCTTGTCCCATTAAGCGAATTGTTGGTACATATCCACCGTCTATTCTAGCTAAAAATTCTTGCTTTTTTGAGTTTCCTCGAGAAGACCGGCGGAAACCCTCTGTCTCCCTCTAGCAAGCAGCCCAAGCAAACCCGCACACAGTGTCTATCACATGCAAGAATGTTTTGGCGCAGTCCTCAAGAAAGTTCGTCGAGGTCCAATGCAGGACCGTCTATTCGGAAATGCTCCGATCGTCTAAAGGCTTCTCGCAGCGTCGCTCAAGATGCTGTGCCTTGTGGTGCATGCTGAAGATCCGCCCACGCAACAAGGTATGAAAATGCTCCGAACCCGTTTAAAACCCGAGCTGAAATCATGCAAAATCCGTCGTTTTTCTGCGTCTATTTGGAGATTTCGACACCGCCCTGCAAAGGTCTGTCAGCTCATGTCCACTCGGAGCAGTTACTGCATCATGTAGGCAGCCAGTTCTCGAGGCGGGGAAACTTACAGTCGCGCCAATCATTCTGTAGGAAGGCATGTTAGCACATGTTGTCATTCATATGGTTTAGGGACATACCTCTTGATATCACCGTAGATGGCGAATTGACCGGCAGTCAAGGTACCAACCATGAACAGACGAGCGCCGATACCAGCATAGCTACCACGGAAACCAAGCTCCCTTCCAATCTTGAAAAGTCGGCTGGTTGTGCTCTCGCCTGGGAGACCCTTGGTCTTGTTGATCTTGGACAGCATGGTATCGGCGGGTTGGGAGACGAGGGCGGCAGCGAAACCAGCAATCAGACCGGAGCCGAGGTTGACAACGGTCTTGGTGCCATCGGAGGCGGTGTTCTTGTCCATTGTGCGCCAAACAGCCTCAGCAACCTTCTCGTAGACGACGAATTTGGCCATGGTGTAAGGGACCTGCTTGAACAAGATGGGACCGAAACCGCTATAGAAAGCGCCGACACCCTCATTTCTCAAGATCTTGCCAAAACCGCCAATCAGGCCCGAAGCGAAGGTGGGCTCGGAGACCAATCGGATACGGGTTGCCTCGAGAGGGCAGAGGGCAATATCGGCGAAGAACTCGGCGGCGGCAGAGGAGGCGAGGTAGACAGCAGTTCGGTTGTTGGAGGCAGTCTCGTAGCCGAGCAGGTTGATGGATTGTTGCTTGAAGAACTCGTAACCTCCGAACTTGAAGGCACCTTGCAGGAAGTAGCCTGCAAAGGTAGGGCCGACACCAGTCAAGAGGGCACCAGCACCCTCATTCTGGATGACTTTTCGGAAGCCACCGATCATGCCATTGTTGTATGTAGCAGGGTCAAGCTGGATTCTGGTCTTGACGCTTTGGGAGGTGTCAGCACTGGTCTGGTTGCGCAGCTGCAGGTGAGACTTACACATCGACGGGAGTGAGGGCACCGTGGGTGACGGAGCAGCAGACTGCACCAGCGAAGGCCTGAGAAGGGTCAGCGACAACAACAGATTGCCCGAAGAATGTCCACTCACGAATCTGCTGTAGAGATCGAGGCCAGAGAGCTGTTTGGGCGCGGGGGCCGTAGCTGGGAGAGCAGCACCGACCTGGGGAGTCGCGGTCGCCATTGGGAATGGAGTGGAGATGAGAGACAATTGAACTCGAAGGGGAATCTAACGAGGATGGAGCAAGGAGATCTAGAGACGAGCAGACCTGAACCGAAGCAAGAATTGAAAGAAGTACGAGGTACTAGTAGTGGGATTGTGATTTCTGGTTCCTTGGGGAAAATAAAAAAGGGACAAGATGGAAAGATGGAGGGATTGAAGCTGCGGCGAAAATGAATCGGACCTTGCGACTTTGCCGGCAACCAGAAAAAATGCCGCACTAACTAGATTGTCGACTGAGCGACTGCGACGAGAGCCGCCGACGCGCTAAAAGCCACAAGCAGCCGATCGCCCGGCGAGGCTTTGCCCACGGCAACCAATCACATTGTCACGTGTGAATCGGCTTCGGTCTTGGCGTCCCCAACCCCTTTTCGCCTGGTTTCCGCAGTTATAAAGGGGGGCGAAAGGCTGCACCACCAACACCACCACCAGCACCACCAGCACCGCACTTCTCCACGAGGGAGGCAAGGCTGCGGCGGAGATGGTGGTTGGGTGGATCAACTGACATCCAGCTCGTTGTCGGAGTCATCTTTCTTTGGAGCTGGCGATCCTGTTACAAGGGCGTAATCTTCTTCGGATCGGCCAGTTCCAACCGAACATTTGCGACCCCAGCACCTTGCTGAGGACTCAACAACTCAAAGTCGCTGCCGGAGGGGTTTTGGAAGGCCGTATATCGTCGTGACGGGTGCGGTGAGTAGGCGGCGTCTAACCCGCCGCTGTTGTAGGGAGTATCACGATAGGCATCCTCGTCGTGGGAAATGGTCGATTCTCCGCCACTTCGCACGTCACTGACGAGGCCATATTTCACCGGCCTGTGGCCGACCTGTTTGAGCAGCGTCTCTGCCGAGGCATTGGAGTCCGAGCTCCGCAGCAGAGGCGCGTTGAACGCCTTGGCCGTCTCAACAGGGCTCATCGACACTCGACGGCCAATTTCCCAGGAGCCATGGAAGGTGCAAAGGACGGAAAATATACCCAGCAGAGATGCAAGGGTGGCCAGCGCCATGAAGAGGTAGTCGGTCTGGTAGACCGTATGGTTCCCAAAAGCCTGCGCATTGACGTGTTGTGTGTTGGAACTGTTTGCCGCCGCCACTGCCGTGCGGAAAATGAGCTCTCGTGCCCCGGCGAGGAAATCGGCTAGCGGGTCGGTGAAATAGACATCGCAAGAAGGCTGCTGCTCGATCCCCCGAGCATAGGCGATCGAGGCTTCGCTTTGCGCGCCCTCGAATTGGTAGCCAATGGCGCCGCCGAAGCTAAATGAAAGGTCGGTGTTATATTGGTTCGCCAGCGCCAGGAAGATCCCCCCGTAGGTAGTCGTGCCCGTTAAATGGGTTTCCCCCGGGAGAGAATCTGGATTTCCCACAGCGACGTCGTCCCAAATGCTACTGCCTGTATCGAATGTGACGGTAGATGCAACGCCGTCGATGATGACGGGATAGAGCACCGTGCCTGCCCGGAGAGTGCAGTTCGTTATCGATAGTTCTCCGGCGCATCCCGGGTCAGGTTTGTATTGCACATTCAAACTCGCAGTGGTCGGGTTCTCGCCGACGTCGAAAAGGATGTTCGCGCCAAATACCACAGGGTTCGGGAAGATGATACTACCATCCGTTTCGAAGATCGGAGTCACATTGAACGGGACTCGATAGGACGAGCAGTTCGTGTGGAAGCCCGCTCCGAGTATGCTTGTCCGGCATGTCCCCGTGCAACCAGATTGCAGATTAATAGGTGCTCGGTTGTAGTATCCTCGTGCTATGGGAGAGAAGTTGGTGGTCAGCATATTCACCTCGTCCCCTCGACCAGACACAATGGCCGTGAAACCTCGAGGTACCAGATGATTGACTTGGAGATCAAGGTCTTGCTGCGCCGTCACAGTAGCGTTACTGAGTGTCGAGGCCCGCTGCAGCAGAGGGCCATTGATTGGAGTAAGCGCCACAAGGATACTTGCCAGTGCAATCAGATTGAAATGGCGACCGCTCCAGGCAGCCAAGAGAAAGCTGTTGCCAAATGCCCAGATGCGGTGCAAGTCTCCCACTGTGGTTCCTCCCTTCAAAGCTCTGTGCCACCAAGCAATAGTGACTCCTTCTAGAAGCGCGAAGGTTATAGTGACGTTGGTGAGGGTTGAAGCGATGGAAAGGTATACCGTTGGCTGGAATCTCCATCGTCTCACGTCGGCGCCGTTGGAAGCCAGCAAGATGGCAATCGAAACGACGACTCCCGCCAGCGCCAGAAGCAGCGCCCCAAGTCCTTTGAAGGGGAGGTGCTGCAATCCAGGCCGCCAGTGATATTGTGAGGGACCGATGGCAGTATAAGTAGTGGTGCTGCTGGCGCCGCCCTTTCCGAAACGCATGGTGCTGGATGGCTTGATGTTGGATATTTCCACTACAGACGTATCGATCAGGAATACATTGGCGACGTGCGAGTAGCGGCCTCGTCACCAATGTTCGACTACAAGGTGCATTTCGCCTTGCCTCAAGATCGCGGATAGCCGTCCAGTTCAGATGATAAAAGAGAGGATCAAATCGGTAGCCTAGAATAAGGAACGGTAGCAGGCTCAAAGGGAACAAATGGGTCGTACTTCTCAGTCAGGGCATTGCTAGGACAAGCCTCCCTGCCTAAAGCCTGGATCGATATTGTCGAGAAGCGGCACAGATAGCCCCCCAGAGTCTTCAGACTGCGCCACCGGTTTCATGCAGGCTTTGTCATTAGGTCATTAGGCCAGTGTCCGTTCAGCTATGCGCAAATTGAGACAGAAGTGCATCTACGGCCCAGAAACCCTGGTACTTTCCCAGTAGCGTGGTGTGACCACGGCTGGTTGAGAAGTAGGTATGCTGCTTAGGTTGGCCGAGAATGGGGTTTGTGACCGGTGAGGCCGTCGTTTGGGCCAAACCTCATCGATACTGGGGGTGGTTGCCTTTCAGCCGCCCCCTCATGCCCCTGTATAGCTCCAGTCAAGGCAGCTTAGGCTTTAAGTGCTGGGTCGAATCGAAGGACGTGCTCGTCGCTTAGCGAGGAAGAAATGAGTCTCATGAGCGGGCTAATCCAGAGTGGTGGGACGCCTGACGTGGGTATTCATTTCTGCCCCTCTCCATGCTCCCGTCAAAGGATGGCGGGATATTAAATATAATTATCACCTTGAGGCTAGTGAGGCTCTGTTGATGAGTGAACCTATCCGCCCACAGTGGAGTGCATGTGCTCTTGGTCGTATGTTCAAGATGCTGGCTGTCTAACAGCTTGACGGGCTGCCGAATACTCACCATGTTTGCAATCACGTTGATTGCCGCCAGCTTGACTGTTGTCAGCGCAGTACATTGGTCAAGTCTACGCGACGCTCAGCAACTGCCCAAACCAGCTGCCATCCTGACTGCGCCGCCCACAGCTACGGCCAGCTTGTCAGTCCTGCCAGACGGCATCACTGCAGACCCAGAGGAGCTACGGCGGCGAGATCAGACCCATACACTCGAAACCGTGTATACGTACGAAACGCTGGTTCAAGGTGGATATACCTGGCTCTCGACATTGGGTTCCCTGTGTGGTTTCGTAACCGGTGACATTCGTAAGAGGCTTCCTGGATCCTTTGTTGCTTTTCTTCATACACTGATTCCGAGCGAGAGTCTGTCAATTGCTGACCATGCACAGACTGGGCCCTATATTGTGACCAAGGACAGTATTGTTTCACCAATGGCGCTGTGTTGCAATGCTGCTCGACAACCGCCGAGAGCTACTGGACATCGACGGCGTACTACACCGCTACAGACACAGACAGGAATACGTTGACCACGACCTCCGTCTCCACAGGGTTGGAACCCGTGTCTGAGGCGTATGGTAGCAACTGCACTGCCATGGCCTCGACATGCTACAACTACAACGCCACCGCCAGCTGCACTGGCAGCTGTACCTCGACGGCGCTGGTGTGCAATGATCCTTATTTCCCCTACTGCGCGTCCATCTACAGCGGCGGTTACAGCCCCAGCGCCGTGGGGACGAGCACAGCCTACCTCCCCGAGCAATACGGCCTCAGCTATTTCTGCGACACCGCGGCATATGGCTTGGTATACGGCAATACTGGAGACTGGCCGTCAGTCACCAGCACCTATCTCTCCACGGTTAACTATGCCACCAGTACAGCCCCGACCTTCACCCCGAACGTGGTGCCCTACAGTCGAACCCAAGCATCACGCCCGGCGTCCCAAGCCATTCTTGGCCCGACCTCGACCACGTCGACTGCCACTTCTTCTCGCATCTTGGCCCCAGCCGCAGAAATGCTTGCTGTCGTATCTCTCCTAGCTCTTGGCTACCTGCTAGCATGACCTTGACGCGTCTGAACCCACATAGGGCGCCAAAGTGCACAACAAGCCCACGCATCTATGTCCGAGCACATAACATTCACTGCCGAAAGGAGCTAAAGTAGGGCGATAGCCAAGAAATGAAATTGGTTTTATCTCGGCATGGAAATCGCAGCACTAATCGTACATGTTCGATAGCTTCAAGACATTTTTAGCTGCTTGATGATCTGAACATCCCCTCATTCTACAAAATCCCAGGCTCTGAGAAGGAAGGGTGTCAAGAATCAGACTGCCCGTTGCGGACATTAGTCAAGTTGGCTGCTGTGGAGATGACGACCATTGTATTGTACGCCTCGTCGCACCTTTTCCAGGGCTATTGGCTCAGTGGCCGTGCCTATCGGGAATGGAGTCGTCGACGGAGTCTGCTCAAGTGTCACGGGTAGTACCGTGTCAGCCATTATCAATTCGGACGGAGATGCGGTCGTCAAGAGCGTCGTGGGGATAGCAGTGGATGGTACCTCCGTAGAGGTGGTGAAACCCTCTGGACTTATGCTTGTGGCGTCGGAGCTTGTCGGCGGTAGCTCAATCATGATGGACGAAGGGATAGATGTGCTGGTGGTAGTAAGAGGCAGCTCAGAAGAGGGACTGGCCGCCCCCGTAGATTCTGCCGCAGACATCGTTATCGACTCGCTCGCTGCGCCGCTCAAGCTCGTGGACGTCAGACCGGTCGCAGTGTTTAAGCTTGTTGGGAAGGATAACCCCGAATTTGTCGCCAACGGGCTGTTTGTGCTAAATGCCTCCTCCAAAGTGGTAGAAGGACTAGTCGTGATGGACGTCATCACAGAAGGCTCTGATGCGCTGCTTCCAGTGCTTGACACTGAGGAGGATGCCTCAATGCAGGTCGTGCTGACAAAACTCGAACTGGTGCCACTCGCTACCCCCAGCATAGAAGTTCCGCTCGTGGTGGTTAAATCGCTTGTAAACTTTGACGGTATTCCCTGAGACGAAGTACTGTTCATTGCTGCGATAGCAGGACTTGTAATATCGAGTGAGGATGTAGTTGCTGGTCCTGTGTTCTGGCTGGCGATCGTCAACGATTCAGTAGATGTCGTAGTCACACTAACTGGCAATATGCTATCGGAGGTATTCGTCGTTGCCAGTGCCGTGGGGATTGTGGTGGAAGAAATTCCAGGTTTCGAAGTGGTGCTTAAGCCGGAAGAGAGTGGAATCGATGCTCCAGTTTTCGTTCCGGAAACGGCTGTGCTTGTGGAGGAGTTGGATATTCCGAACCAGGTGGTAGTCGCTGATGGTACCGGGATTGGCAATGACCCAAATGTAGAGATGCTTGTTGATATAATCGCTGTCCCTGAGGTAGTTGTGGCTACTGGGGCGATACTGACCGTGCTACCACTGGATGATGAAGGAGCAGTGTCCAAGCTGGTACTGGACGACGCGACAGTACTAGCCATCACAGACAGCTCAACAACTGAAGAAGGCGAGGTAGTCGTTGACTCTGTCGATAGAATAGTTGATGAGGACGCAGCAGAGGTCGAGAATGACCCAACTTGCGAAGTGGTGGAGGGAAGCAAGGTTGTACTGCTGGTCGTGGAACCTGGGGATATGTGAGAACCTCTAGTGGTGGATCAAATCTTGATCACTCACCGGATATAATTGGGTTGGCTTCTAGGATTATAGTGAGGCAGACGAATGGTGTTGAACTTCCGAACAGAATGAACACAATGCCTCGTTCATTAGTGCAAAAATTAGATCCCTCTGCTTCGAGCATCAAAACGTCGTTGGCATCAATGAACCATTTGGAAAGATTGTCATTGACTGTTGTAACCAATGAGAAAGTAAGGTATGGCTGACTGAAATCTGCATCGACATAGAATGAGCCAACCCGCAAATAGCCTGCACTGTCCAAGGAGAATTGGGCTGCCGCTGCTGAGTCACTCAATAGAGTCCCACTACCATCAGAGAAACCCAAATACTGGAGGGCTCGCTTGCGGGTCTTGAGAGGCGAGTTTGTGCTGACAACGAAGAGATCCGTGGAAGGAGGAACAGGAACAATCTGGGTGCTCGACGTCGAGCTGGATGCTGATATGGTGCTACTGCCGCTTGTTGTCGCAGAAGGGATAGAGGTCGTTAAGGTGCTGATAGATGGAAGAGTGAAACCGGTAGAAAGGGTCGTGGCAGGAAGAGAGAAGGCTGCGGAGCTTGTGACTGATCCAATTGGCTCATCAACGGTTGAGGTTGAAGTAGAATTCGCGGACGTCGATAAAATACTAAACGAGCTGGAACTGGAGCTGGAGCTGGAGCTGGTGGAGGCTGAACTTGAAGCGCCAATCGGGCCGATATTCAAGCTAGAAGAGCTGCTTGTTTGATTCACTCCGGAAAGTACCGTGGTCGATGAACTTGAAGGAGAGGATATGGAGCCTGATGGGCTGGAACCCGGCACGATACCGGTGCTAGAGGAGCTGCTTGCCGGAAGTGATATTCCCGAATTGGTGCTGGAAGGGTTCGGACTAGCGATTGAGCTTATAGTCGAGGAAGTGGCTGTAGAGTTGGCAGCTATAGTACTGAGATTGGAAGTGCTGCTCGGCGAAGTTGTCATCCCAGATGTACTGTTCGACACGGTTGCACTAGTCATGGAGGCCGTGCTTGATAGACTAATCGTAGTTGACCCGGCCGTAGAGACATTGAGGCTGGAGCTGCTGGACGAGCTGATCTGGCTTGAAAGGATGGGGTGGTTGAGCTTGTGGTCGACCCAGGGATTGAACCAGCGCCGGAGCTGGAAGTAGTAGATGAAGGGACCAAAGCACTGATTGTCTGAGAGGCAGTACTAGAAGTGGAGCCAGGAATTGGTCCTCCAGAAAAACTTGCGTTGCTGGACAAGCTTGTGGCCGACGCACTAGAAGCGATAGTAGAGCTTGAGCTGGGAGACAGGGTCGATGCTGAGCCAGACGTCGATGCTGAGCCAGACGTCGATGCTGAGATGGAAATAGGACTAGTGGAGGAGCTAGAGCTCAAACTTAAAGTTGAGGTTGAGGCGGGAAGAGGTCCACCAGAAAAGCTTGATATATTGACCGTAGAAACGGACACGCCACTTGTCGACGATGGCCCCGAGATGACGCTGGATAGGATGCTAGTAGTCTCTCAAGTAGTCTCCGCAGCAGAAGTGTTGACAACAGAGGTGGCGGTCAGGGAGGATTGCGGGGAGCTGGGGTTAGGAGAACTGCTAGTCGCTCCAGTCCCCAACGAGATGTATGTGCTGGAGGTCGTTGTGTACGAATTGCTCGCAGACCCGCTGCTGGAGCCAAAGCTCGAACTCGGAGATACGCTAGGAGATTCGGTCTCAGTAATGGATTGCGAGTAAATGGAAGTCCAGTCGGCCCAATCCTGAGGAAGAGGAAGGCTAGGGTTGGTCACATCGTCGTTCCCCCAGTCAGCCCATCCATAAGCATTGCCAATTAGGTTATCGAGAGATACGTTCGGCCCTTTGACCGGTCGACGAAAGCCTGGAATTTCGTGGGACCCAGTGGGAATTGGAACAGCGCTTGAAGTCCATGGTGGCTGTATGCTGCAGGGTATGGTCCAGTATATTGTTTTGGTAACGACAACGGTAAAATCAACAACCTCTCGGGGCCGGTGGCATTCACGGATGACCTGGTGAAAGTAAGGGCTGGGGGCGATAGTGATGGCTTCGACTCCAGCAGTAATGGTATGGCTAGGAGCTGTCAAAGTGAATGTGAAAGTATAGATCCCGGCCGAAGGAGCCACGAATCTGGTTGCCAGAGGTGCCACTGTCGTCGAAGATGAGGCAGTTGCCGGCTCGGAGATCCACGTCTCTGCGTAACCCATGCAACAAGCCCCAACGGGACCTGCCCTGCACTCGATAACGTTGACGACCTGAGACCGACTTCCATCTTGCTGCACATCACATTCCTTGCAAAGACCACTTCCGCCATAGCCTGGAATCGCCAAAGGGCCAATTTCATTGTAGGCAACCATATAATCTTTGGCAATAGTGAGGTAGACAGGTCTTGGAGAAGCGTGAGAAGTGGTCCCGTTGTTGACGACAGCTGTGGCGGTGGCAGATTTGGTGATTGTCGAACGGAATCGAGACACTGTCACCGTTTGAGCGGTAGAAGTGACTGTGGTCGCATGGACCGAAGTACCATCCCATGCCGCTGGGATAACAGTGCTAACATACGCAAATGTGTCTAGAGAATATCTGGTGGTACAATCTCCCTTGAAGCATGCTGATATTCCGGAACAGGTTGACACAGTTTGGTGCTGCACGGTCACGATGATCGGAGTTGCCGATATGCTTGGGGCGTTTGGACAAGGTGTGATTGTCGTCAAAGGTCCAGCAAGAGCGACGACCGGCACTAAAGCGCCCACCGTAATCACGAGACGCATCAGGCAAGGACAAAATGAGTGACTTTGCGAAAGGGAGTGACCGGAGGAAAAGTCCTTCTAAACAACGAGAGAAAAGAATGAGCTGCCGTCAACAAAAAGGCGTTGAAAGGATCAGCAGAAGCTGCGAGAGACCGGAACGAATATATAACAATACAACCCGAGGCGCGTCGATGGGAACTAACGACACATAGGGGTATAACAAGAAATTCCATGTCGATGGAGGTTTGGGTAAAAGGTGCCGCAATGATCTTGACTGCAGGCATGCCACCTGGGCTGGGCCATAAGCATGACTCTGTCCATGAAACCGAAGCAAGCTCGAGGTGAACGCCATGAAGTTGTTCGTGGAGGCCAGAAGAGGCAATGTGGACGAGTCAGCGGAGGCTCCAACGAGGCTGACAGCTTTGGCAGAGCTTTCCAATCTCCCAAAGGTGTGAGACTGAATACAGGCTTTTGTCGAAAGTGAGAATACGCTGGTCAAAGAAAGGTCGACTGGTCATCAGATACTCAACGCCCAACGGTAATGTGGCGCGTGACTGATAGAGCAATGGGTCATCGGACAAGTCCAGCTCACTGTCATGTATAGCTCTCTGGAAGACGACCAGACGCGACGCAAAGCCGACCAAACAAAAATACATCTCCATAAGGGCATGGACATGGCAGCAAAAGAGCCAAGTCCGACTCATCTTCAGAGCCAGTCTCAGCTGGTTCGTTCTAGAGAAAGGTTGGCTGGAAAGACCAAGCACAATGAAGATCAAAATACTAGTAACGGAAAGGCACCTATTCTCGTTCTCCTTCCAATTGTGTTCTTCATCACGTGGACTGTGCATTGGAGTAAGATAGCACCTCAAAACTGTCAATGCTGCTGGCAACTTCGGAAGGAGGGCTGATCCGAACGTGGTGAAATGAGCTTGGACTTGCTTGGTGCCGTCGGTTGAAGTTGCAAGAATTGCATGTTGCAGGCGTGGCAAAGGGTGATAAGCGAGGACACATGCTCTCCTTGCTGCGTGAGGAAAAATTGCAAGGTGAGATCTACTCAGGTATTGGTAGAAGATTGATGGAGATTCATGGTCCCTACTCCCTTGGATGATCTGCCCATGGATCTTCAGAAATGAAGGCCAAAGAGATTTTGGAAGGTCAATTTCTAGTTTGGCGGTTGCGGCGGAAGGTGGATCCCGTGATGGGAGAGCTCTCTACCTAGTACTTACTAGTACCAGGTAGCAGTCTTACTAACCCAGTCCGGATCCGAAGAGAGCGGCTTGGCATCTCGGATTAATTGGCTCGGTATGAATTGTCATTCGATCTCCCCTCCTTGCCACCTGTCTCGCGGGTGTGCTCTAACCGATGGCTGCCTGCTCAATGGTTCGGAATCCGGTGCCGATAACACATGCTACTAGTACAGCCAGTGTCTCAATGGATGCGCGGTGGCGTCTCTCTCTCCTCACTCCGGGAGTCCCTTAGGCTCTTCGATATCCTGCATCCCCTGTTATCTTGGGTTTGTCGTGGGTACGGGACGCAAGGAACCCCTTTTTCTGCCGGCTTGCTTTGCCGGTACGGGATGCCTTTATACCCCTGTAAAATTCGAACTCTTGTGAAACCACCATGGCGTCTGATAGAATTGATTCAAAGGGCACATAATGAGAGCAAGCCCGCTCTGCTCTCTTAGACGAGCAGTTCAAACCTTGCTTGCTTACCTAGGTGTTTAGTGGCAAATAAGGCGCCTTTTGTTGCCCCTAACCCCGCCAGATCTGCGCCTAAGCGAGCTCCCCAACAGTGGCCCCGAGAGAAGGGGTGTGTTCTTTACCAGGTAGGTACCTGGGTAGGTATCTCTCGCTAGGTACCTGATCTCTGGGAAGCCCGCTGCTTGCTGGAGGACCAACTAATACCATAAATAATGATAATTGGCCCCGTCCACCTTTGATGCCACTACCCTTTTCAACTCTCGCCTTCTCTCGGTTTCCACGAGGTCCCTTCCCTCGTCTCCTCTTCTACCTCCGGTGGACGAGCAGAGGAAGAGGCAAGCAGCAGCGATGCCTTGTTGCTTTGTTTGCCATTCCGCTTCCCGCCGGTCACACGTCTCAATCTTAAATCTCTCACCCTGTGCCACTATCTCTGGCGTCCTTGTCACTTCCGTGATACCGGAGTGTGAGGATTATCTCTCTTCTTGGATGATCTCTCAGCCGCACCCCAACTGACTCCCACACCCTTACCGAGTCCTTGTTTCTTTCTCTGTCCGTCTGGCCAATCCTCGGCCATGGCGGACGCACCTGTGCAGCCTCCTGCTGCCCTCAAGTCGCTGGAGAGGGACTACAGGGTTAAGGCCACGGAGGTTGAAGCAGTTATTGAGGTGCTGTTGACTCGTACTTGTCCCCCTTTATCAGGACCATCACACTAACTTTCCCCAGAAACTACTTCAACTCGTGAGCGCCAAAGAAGCAGAATGTGAGAACCTCAAGTATGATCTGCAGGATCAGACAGAATCTCGAAGACACTGGCACAAGCGAGCCACTGAAGCCGAATCCCGATTGGTTTGTCTCCTTCTCTCCTGAACCCAGGTGCGTCGTGTACTGATCCATCGTGACAGTCAAGTGTTCAACATGTCATGATCCTTTTCGATGGAAATCACCACTTTTTCAACCCAAACCTTGTAAGAGCAGGAATACAAGGGGCAAAATCAGCCATAGACTCCCTCGTTGCTGAAGCCAGTGCTTTTGCTCGTGAGCAGCACAAGAACGACCTACCCGACCACCTTGCGGTTGTAGTGCACATTTTCATTGACGTTGGCAAGCTGGCCGACGATCTCTCAATCGCGGGCTTACTTCCCAACCCTGATCAGCTCTGGACCTTCATTCAAAATGTCAGTAGATTGGAGCCAGGTGTCACAATCTCTGACTGTGGTTCTGGTCACCATGCTGTCGAGGCAAAGATGAAGTGTAAGTCGAAGTGGATCCGGATTGGGGGCCGCTGCTGAACAAGATCTAGACTTTTACGAGCTCTATCTTGAAAACTGCCATTGCAGACATCTTTTCCTGGCTTTGAATCGCCAGTCGGAATACTTCAAGATTCTTGAGACCTACGTCGACGATGAGTACACAAAGTCAAAGACGTCTCTTGTCCGGCTGAGGGGAGGGATGGCCAATGGCTACAACCTCCCGTTCCATACAGTTGACTTCTCTGTCATTGAAGCCGTGCCTCAACAGGGCCTTTCATTCACTACCACCAATCCGCAGACCAACGGGACAGCGAGCGGCCTGTCCACAGCTCAACAACACGGGGACATCAGTACGCAGCCATTGCCAAACTACTCCAGCAACTCGAAGCCCTTCTTACAATCCGCTCCACCCTCCCGTCCCGTCCTCCCTCCTGCCAGCCCTGAAAACCCAAGTAGTCGGACCGTAGCCAACATGCAGAAGCTATCCGCTACCGCCTCACAGACGTCGACAAAGCCACATGTTGAGGTAAACGGCGAGGTTCATAAGTTGGATGACTCGAGCTCGGTCGGAGTTGTCAAGCTCGACAACTCTTCACACTCTTCTCGTCAATCGAAGGCCGCAGAACAGAGCTGGGAGAACGCGCCAACTAACAGTTACGCACCACCTGCCATCGCAGTTCCATGGGGAGAGGAGAAGACACAACCTGGGCAGGTTATGGATGAGGAGCCTGTTTTGTGGAGGAGACAGAACAACATTCAAAATCGGAAGCAGAAGTTAGGTTACCGGAAACAGGAACGTCCTTCCAACGCTCAAACGCCGAGACAGACTCCTCGGCATTTTGAAGGATCGTGGGACGACATGGTCCAAAGTCAGCAGCCCAAAGCATCGACCCAAGTGTCATCTCCGTCACCGGCGCCAGCAAGCGTGTCAGTTTCATCGGCCGCAGCCAAATCGAACGACTTCTCGCCGGCATTCACACGTCAAGCTTTGACAAAACCCGACCCGACCCCTCTGGCACGCCCTGTTTGGTCCCCTGTCGCTTTGAACCAGTTGGGGCAGCGCATCGACTTGAAACTTCCGCGCGAGACACCGTCTGAGCGTGAAGCTTTCGAAGTGCGTGTAGCCAATCGACAATTGTGCAATGAGCATCACATGCGAAACAATTGTACCGATACAAAATGTCCGTTCGACCACGAGGAGATCTCGGACGGCATTTATCTTGCGTTGCGAAACATAGCTCGCACTAAGCCGTGCAGTCAAGGCCCCGAATGTCGACGTCACGATTGCTATTCGGGGCATCATTGTCCGAACATCTCAAAGTTCTCCACCTGCGCCAGAATTGCGTGTGTCTTCGACAAAAGCGGGTTGCATTCCATTGTCGACCTCGAAATTGTCGAGATGATTCAACCACCGGAGAAGAGCCAAGAAGAGCAATCGCTGCTGTGAGAGAGGGTCAAATTTGAAGAAAAGACGAGCTTGGTGATGCGCGAGTGCCGTAATTCCGAAGCAGGGAGAGGCAAATTTGCAGCTGGAAAGGCTTTCTTGTTTCATTGCGCATCAATGTAGTTCTGCATTGATCACACCAGCATGTTGGGATAGGGAAACCGCCAAAAGCTTTTTCCATGCTGCCGTGTGTATTACATCATTTATCATAATGATAGGATTCGCAAGCGCCACAAGCTACCGTGTAGCAGGATAGTCCCCTGGTTTCGATATGGAATCTGATTTCATTCCTCACAGAATGTTTCCTGGACGATCCATTGATTGCGAGGAAACTGTCCAACTTAAAACACGCAGTTGAGGACTGAGTCAAGAACTATGTTCGTAATGAACTTGCAAACTGCGACATTATTAGCACGCAAGGTAAAGAAATCGAGTTCGGAAAGGATAGTCCAACCTGGAACAAGAGCATGTTATGATGCCGATCATCTATCGGCGGGAGTTCACGTTCTTCTCGTCGCGGCTGGAGGGCTTTTGCTTGATTGAGGAACATGGCGAGCCACATTTTTCACCTGTGCAAACTTGTCCGAGAGGGTGCAGTGGCCGAGGGCTGGTTCTCAGCGCGCTAATCGTTGAAGTCCCGAAGCTGCGTTTCTAGAGAAATGCCTTCTCTCAGCAGTAATAGTGCCCACTCCGGTGGTGGGAGGGGGGCACGACTGTAGCCAGCTCAAAAAGCCCACAGGCCAACTCCTCCCTGGTGTGGTTTTTTTTCTTCTCTCTCTTCAAACCCCCTCGCTACAGGTCGGACTTTGAACTTCAATCTCTGTCCATTTTGTCCCCCTCGTCCCGGTTGTCCCTCCGCCTGTCTCGGTCGCGACTCCGACTCCTGCTCTTGCTCTCTCTGCTGCGCGACTTGCTCCGGCTTCGACTCCTCCCGCCTCTGCCGCCGGCGCCACGGCCCTTGGTTGCGACGCCGCTGGCACGGCTGCTTCCTTTGTCCCTGGGGGGTGGGCGCACAAAGGCGTAGTCGACGGAGATGGTCTGGTCGAGGAGTTTTGCGCCGTCGAGGGCCTTGATGGCGGCTTGCGCTTCGACTTGGGTTGGGTATTCGATCAGGACGTAGCCCTTGACGCAAAAATTAGCACCGGAACCACCGAGTTAGCTGTTCGCTTCATTTTGTCTCTCTGTGCCCACTGAAAGCTCCAACATTCGTTGAAATATAGATAATGTATATAGCCGAATTGTGCGCTCTTTCTTTCTTTTTTTCTTTTCCTTTTCTTTTCCCTCCAACCTCTGGTCTTGATGCGCATGTGTATAGGGATCACGAGTTCCAAGAGTGTGTGCAGTGTCTTTGTGTGTTCCAAACATACCTTGACGTAGCCCGTCCTCCGATCCAGGTTCAAATGCAAATTCTTGATGTCCCCGTACTCGGCGAACAGATCGTGGATATCCTCCTCGGTGGCTTCCTCGTGGATGTTGGTCGCGATCACGATCCACCCCTCGATGCTGCGGACCGCGACGGCATTCTGAGCCGTGCGAGCCTCGGCGCCCGCGGTCGCGGACGACTTTTTCGTGGTCTCGGTGGGAGACGAGGTGCCGTTTTTGGGTGCTTCGGCTGCTGGGGGGGCGGTGTCCACGTCCATTGTTTCGGTCGACATGGTTGCGACGGGGTTTGTATAGACGAGACGGCGATGATGTAGCGAGGGGAACAGATCTAGCGGGGCACTGAGAGAAAGAGATCTGCTGGAAGGTAGTTTGGAGGTAAGAGTAAAACTCAAGAATGTTGGTCTGTATCCATCTGTTCTGTGGTCTGCTACGCCCGCAGCCGGGGTTTAACCAGCAAGGCTGCGGGAGTTCCAACTTTCGATTGGACTTTGGCATTTTTCATCTCTCTTCTCCATTTATCTTATTGCCTAGGTAGGTATACAGCGTTATGTACTTTTCACGAAGCCATGGGTCAAGCCAGGGTAATTGTGCCAGCGAACGGCTACCAACCTCATGCCGCCCTCGACTTCATCTACCGATCCAAGAATACCCTCCGCCGTTACTCGGTACATATAGGCCATTGCAGCGACGTTCTGGTCACCACCATCAACCACTTGCCTGGGGATAGCAGAACCTGACCCGAATACTGCCTCATGGAGGGCCTCTGATGCCGTTGGCTTCCAATTCACCAACAAAGGGTCTGCTTGTTTCTTTGAAAGGGTGTGAAATCCAAAGACTTCAAGCGGATGCTTTCGGTTACTGTGTGAAAATCCGCAAGCCCGAAGAGATGTAACTTCACATAATGCTTCAAGGACTGAGAGATCGTCGGCGCGATATTTAACCCCTCTTGGGGTGTTCGGAACCTTTTAAGAATCCCATGCTGGATGGAAAAGTCATGTGGTAGGTCAGGGTGATTTCGATGTTGACCGGCACTTATTACAGCAAATTCACCTACATTCCTAAGAATGGACGGATTTAATCTGGACTCTGCGGGATTCAGACCCAGGCGGTTTTACGACACAAATATCCAGCCCGGTATCCTAAAGGTTGAAAATGTCAAACCTCTCCAGTGAGTTGTCGGTTGAATGGGCCCAAGTCTTTCCCCGGTTGTGCTCTGGTTGGGGCGGTCGAGCACTGCATGGAGAGATCAGTTCAGTTTTCTGGTCCACGACTTCCAACGAGGGCCAGAGAAGTTCGGCAACGCATCATGACAACCCCCCTGAGCCGGTTTAATCACACTCATTGAACGAATGTGCTCCGTGTCCCGGTCCATCACAGGATCCATTTCGAAGTCACAGGGTAGTAAGCCCCTACAAAATGAGTCCAAACTCCGTTTTGATCGAAGAGAAATGTCCAAACTGTTAAAGCCTCTTTTCATGCGTCCAGGGGTTGTGTGTCGGAAAAGACTAGGGATCTGTAAGGAAAGCTTGCTGCTTCACTCAAGGATGCAAATGCTGCAACAGAAACAGTAGCTTGGAATGCACGTTCGGCCAGAGAAAAGCAGAGATGACATTTGTAGAATTGTACGCCATTTTGTTTCCGGTCTCTGGAACCTGAATGTCCACTTGCTCTTGCTTGTTCTAGGCTTACATTGGAAATTCCATACACGACTCAACACAGAATGCTCCTTGCTCCATTACTCGTCTCCGTGAGACACGTATTTTCGGCACATCGATACCCGATCTCCCTTGCGACCGTCTTAAAAGACTGTGGGAAGCAAATCACAGAGAACTTCCTCCATCCAGCACAATCCTTATATTGCGCGTAACTCGACACAATCCACCAGTGTCTACTACTCGTCTCATTTCGTCTCCGCGTGGCGCGGTTCGCTACCACGAAAGGGTATTTCTTGACTGTTTCAAACAATCCCACTATCCAAGCTAGATGGACTCCCTCTAGAAAAAGAGGTAGGCGATGAGGAAGCTGAGTAGGCATAGGGCGGCCACGATTTGCAACGGAACCCCCGATTCGTGGCTCTGCTGTACGACGGCCTGGACTTTCTCGTTCGCTTCCTGCGCCTTCCTCTGCCGGAATTGTGGATCTTGGATTTGGCTTGTCAATTTTTGGATCTGGGCCTTTGCTGCTGCTAATTGCTCCTTCATGTCTTCATTTGATGTGGGGACAGCGTTGGCAACGGTGGAAGCGGCAGCCGTGAGGCCAGTCGCTTCCGCAGCATTAGCCACAGACGTTTTCGCGGATTCCGCGGCTGACGCGTTGGTCGAGGATTGCTGAGCGGGCGAACCGAATTGGGGAGTTGGGGAAGAATAGGCCGGCGGTTGTTCTTCATGAGAAGATACGCCGTTGGGTGTGGCTGCTGTGGCAGGGAGGAAGTTGACACGGATTTTCCTTTCTTGGATGCTATTTTTCGCCGTCTTCTCCACTGTTTGCCAAAGGGTGGTGACATTGGGATCTTGATCGGCTGAAGTGAGGACCGACTGAACGAGGAACTTATCCCGACATTTGGCATCCAGTGGAGGTTCTTCTTTCATTGCTTGGAGGAGGACTATGGAGGTTAGCCACTGGGAGTGTATACCAGAGCGCCAAACCGCACCTTGAACGTCGACAGATTCATTGGGCGCGATAATGCCAGAATTGGGTCGCACACAGTATCTGATTCAGTATTAGAGAAGTGTACCGTATTTCCCTTCTTTTTCCGGCGCAAAACTCACTGCTTAGGGGCTGTAGTCTTGACCTGGTTGCTATCTATTAGCATGCGCGAGATCACTTGACAATTGGAGGGGTGTCGTACTTTGAAGGCCACAGGCTGGGTATTGCCATTTGTGAGTTTGAGGATCTCGGTAACTTCGCGATTGAAAGGGCCTGCTCAAGCGTGAGTGTATGTCGTGTTCGAGGAGTGAGGATACTGACGTCGGAAGCCCAATTCGGCTGGCTGGAGATCTACAGACATGGTAGATTTTCGTCGATGACAATGCACAGTCTTATGGGAAGAAGACCAACAGTTGAAGGCTTCAGAAGAGCAAGCTCGAAGGATGTTAGAGTAAAGGATTGCTGTGAACGTCTGAAATTGATAGAGATGCCGAGTGGATTGTTCAGCAAAGACCTAGTAGTTTAGCGAAGCGACAGAAAGGGAAGGCCTATGACGACCTACAAGTGATGCGCAGTCACTGTGACAAGAAGCAAGGACTGGGATTTGGAGAGGCTGGAAGCCGGTTAATGGTGAAGGAGGCCGCAAAGCCGCTCAGGGGACTTGGGTCAGTGGCACCTGCAGGCAGTTAGCGGGCAAAACACCGGGCGTAATGACGCTGGTACGTTAAAGCCCGCTAGCTGTTTGTACCCTTAGGCACCTGCCCACGCCCTAGGCACCTAAGACCTCGCCCGGGAGCCTCACTACTACCTACCTAGGTAGGTACCTAGGTAGCTTGTGAATCCACCAGCGAAAAGTGTCCCGCATCAACGACTCTCTTAACTCAGTCCTCCGGAAAATCACGTCAACTCCCCGCACTTTTGTTGTACCTGTCGAGTAGAGGCGTTGTTTGCGGCCTGTAGACACAATCTCCGTCAGTCTCTGCATCCTCTGACTACGGTGTCTTTACCTTCGCTGTCACCTTCACACTCTAACCGCTGTTTCCGCCACTACCTACATCCATTTAAATATCCTGCGCTTCCAGATTCCACCACCTCTCCCCTCAATCTTCTCCCCACGAGCCTGACCCGGGCCAAACAACCAACCAAGAAACCTAATAGACTACACTGGAAACAAATATGGCGACGTCTGATCTGGATCAACTGGTGATGATGGGCTTCGACAAGGAGCGCAGTGAAATGGCGCTGAAGAATACAGGGAGTCGTAAGTAGCGCAACCGCCTACTCCTTCGACCTATGCTGAACGATGTAACAGTGGCAGATGCGATCGACTGGCTCGATGCAAACTCGTCAAAGTCCCTAGAAGAACTGAAGGCCGAGAAGGACGCAGCAGCGGAGGCAAAGGCAGCAGAGGCAGCCGAGGAGGCGCGAAGCCTTGTGTGCAATGAGTGCGGGAAGAAGTTTAGAGGGACCACTCAGGCCGAATTCCACGCATCGAAGTCTGGCCATACCGACTTCTCAGAATCAACCGAAGAAATCGCCCCCTTGACCGAAGAAGAGAAACAGGCTAAACTTGCAGAATTGAGAGAGAAATTGGCCGCCAAACGAGCAGTCCAGTCCGAACAAGACAAGGTCGACAAGAAGCGGAATGAACAAATCAACCGAAAGAAGACCAAGGAAACAGAAGATCTCAAGGAGCAACTCAAGGCCAGGGAGCAGATCAAGGAGGCGGAAAAGAAGAGACGAGAGAAACAAGAGGACATCGACGCAAAGAAGCGGATTCAAGCCAAGATCGCCGCTGATAAAGAGGAACGAAGGTTGCGAGCAGAGCGGGAAAAGGCTGAGCGAGCTGGGGTGGCACCTCCAGTTGCAGCAGAACCCCCTCCGACAGCAGCTCCAGCACCCTCCAAGCCAGCGTCAGAGTATAAAGAGACGCGGTTAAGGCTGCAGACTTCGACGGGAAATATCATGAAAACCTTTCCTGTCGAGACAACCTTGTTCGAGGTCGCAGCGGCGGTGGGGGAGGAAACCGGCCTGGATGTGGAAAGCTTCACACAGAACTTCCCCAGAAAGGTCTTCAACCAGGAATACTTTGGGGAGAGCTTGAAGGATCTAAAGCTCGTGCCCAGTGCCAGCTTGATTGTGAAGTAGGTCTGGTTCCGTTTGCTTGCATGCTACTTTTGCTTTCTCATGGCGAAGGCGTCTGAGCTGGGCCGGCTTCTTACAAGGTTGTTTCTTTCTGGGCTGGGCTGACCGACAAACACAAGGGACTATCCATTGCCCTGGTAGCACTTGGGGCCTTAGAGCTTATGGGGCATATACGAGGTAGACTGCTCAAGATGCCTAGGTAGACTAGTAGCGAGGTCTCGTCGAAACTGCTGTTTCAGTGCGACTGAGGCTAGCCGTATGTGGTCTAGTTCGACCGTGGCCTCAACCTCGTGTACTACCTAGTAGTATCCCACTTGAATTGACTTTGACTCGTACCTGCTCCTTGGGATCTCGTCTTCAAACTCCTGTTGCTCGTCTACCAACATTTCGGGTCCGCCGAGCTCACGTTTGAGGAGCACTAGTATGTCCACCGCTACGGAGACGCAGTCCATCAGTAGGACTCGTCGCGCAAATTTGTCTCACACCACGAAAGTTGAGGATAGAGGTACATCGGAAGAGCTGGGCCACAAGCAACGATCCGCCGAGGACAAGTTCTTTTGGACATACACGGAGGAACCTCACCGCACTCGGCGGCAAGCTATCATAAAATCACACAAAGAAATCCTGCAACTGTGCGGTCCGGAACCGCTGACGAAATATGTCGTTCTCTTCGTCGTTCTGTTACAGGTTTTCTGCGCCTATCTCCTCAAGGACTCTCCTGTTTTCTCATGGCGCTTCTTCCTTACGGCATACGTGATCGGCGCCACTGCGAACCAGAATCTCTTTCTCGCTATCCACGAGATCAGTCATAATTTGGCCTTCCGGACGGCCATCTACAATAGGCTTCTCGCCATCTTCGCAAATCTTCCTATCGGGATACCATACTCGGCCGGATTCCGACAGTACCATTTGACACATCATAAGTCGTTGGGCGTGGATGGCGTTGATACAGATCTCCCTACAGCACTCGAAGCGATCTTCTTGGACTCGGTTTTCGGCAAAGCCTTCTTCTGCACCTTTCAGCTCTTGTTCTACGCCGTTCGCCCGATGATGGTGTACAAGATTCCCTTTGGACCTATCCACTATTGCAATATCGCCGCTCAAATCGTCTTCGATATCCTGATCGTCCGATATTTGGGCTGGAGAGCTCTGTCCTATCTGATCATGAGCTCATTCCTGGCTGGTTCTCTTCACCCGTGTGCGGCACACTTCATTTCGGAGCACTATGTCTTTGCCAAATCCACTCTGCAAGATGGAAAGGTTCCGAAAGATGTGCCAATTCCAGAGACATATTCTTATTACGGTCCACTCAACGTGCTCACTTACAATGTGGGGTACCATAACGAACACCATGACTTTCCAGCGATCCCTTGGACCCGATTGCCCAAAGTCTATGAGACCGCACGTGAATTTTATGAGCCTCTGCCGTACCACAGAAGCTGGCCTTTGGTGCTATGGCAGTTCATCACTGACAAAGAAGTCGGGATGTGGTGTCGAGTCAAGAGAGCAGAAGGTGGGCGCATCGTGGGAGGTTGGCAAGATGCGGAGGTGCAGAGTTGATTGATCAACCATTCTATATGTGCATATGACCAGATAGACACAGCAGCAAATGTACAGAGACGAGATTATGAATGCACACGACTGACTTCACTGAGGAGAAAGGTTGTTGGCTGCCAAGTTTCCATTTCAGGTTGAGAATGGAGCACCACAACTTTTGACCCTCATCACCTCACAATTTTCCCTTCTTTTAAAGTCTGTTCTTCCATGTCCAATTCGTGAATACATATAGGCTAACCGTTCCAGGGATGCCCTCATCAGCGCTCTTGTGCCCCTCGTCTTGTCGGGGGCGTGGTCGCAGTGGCGGAGCCAGAGGACGGTCACATGGAAGCGCATCTCGTCAGTCCCATCAACTGGGCACCCAATCCTCCCGCTATCAACGAAATAGAAGAACACCATCTAGCGCTCCGTCTCAAGTTGCCTCCAATGGCAATCCAACGCCTGTCCGTTCCACGCTCTCCCCTCGAAGCGAAGAAGTCTATGTAGCTGCGTCCGGAGATGACGACTTTCTCGAGCAGGTGATCATGGCCGTCGACATCAAGGGCAGAGGCGAAATAGGCTGTGCGTACTACATTGCAGGCGAGGAGAAACTCTTATGCATGGAAGAGGTCATTGGTGGTGCCACGGATGTCGTTGACAAATGTGTGAGCCATTGACTCTCCTGTTGACCACAATCTCAGTCCTTCCTGTAGTGAAACTGGACCTTCAGCCCACGAGAGTCATCCTCTCCCTCCGCTTAGATGTTACCTCAGAGTCTGATGATCCTCGATCACGCCAAAATGTATCTCTGGTGGACGGTGGTAAGGCAGGACCATCAATGTGATGAATTGTACGGCTGACCGAAGACAGATGACGATCGGCAGCCTCTGCCGTATCAAGTTGAGATACGCCCGACACCTGAATTCAACTACGAGGACGCTCTGAACAAGTTGATTGGACTGTCTTCCTTTGCTGAGGATACCTCGACTCAATTTCTCGTCCCAGGCGACTCCATGGGAAACGACGAAAGGTTGCAGCCAGAAGAGCTCGGCCTGACAAAGAGACGAGGCACGCTGATGCAGATAGCAACCTGGTTGGATCTCGACAACAGAGTCAGCATCGGCTGTGCCGGTGCCATCATATCCTGCTTGCAGCGAAGACGATCGGCGGCTTATCTGCCAGGAGATCCAGATGCCAACCACAACCAGACTACCTTCCGCATTTCCCGACTCGAAATGTTCAGCCTCCGTGGAACCATGCTCGTGAACAGTGACACCCTTGTCTCATTGCAAATCGTCCAGCCAGAGTCTCATCCGAACGCGTTCAACCAAGGGCCTGGTGGCTCGTCTAAAGGGGCGAAAGAATCGCTGTCCGTTTATGGACTGTTCCAGCACCATGCACTCACCCCACAGGGAAAAGCACGTCTCCGGCAAGCATTCTTGCGGCCGTCTCTGGATGTAGAGCTGATAAATGCCCGTCTCGACTTCATCTCCGTGTTCGTTCGGCCGGAGAACCAGTCCGTACGTGAACAGCTCACCAAGAGCCTCGGTCGGATCAAGAACATGCGCAACACCGTCACTCTCCTCCACAAGGGAATTGACGGCGGAAAGGCCAAGCAGAACGCGTTCAAAGGCAGCGTGTGGGAGTCCCTTTTGGGGTTCTGCTACCACGCCATCGACATTGCAGACACTCTCAGAGAGGCCCTGGGAGCAGAGCATCTCCCCTTGTGTGTCCGAGCCGCAGGGGTCCTCGACCGACCTAGCCTCAAGAGGATCGGCCGCTTCGTGAACGAGATTGTTGACCGCGAATCATCAATGGACCAGCATCGCACGGTAATCAACCGAGGCGTAAATGAAGACCTGGACCAGTTGAAAGACGTCTACGACGGAATGGAAGACATCCTAAACGAAAAGGCCTGCGATATCCAGCGGACGATCCCGCGAGAACTCAATATCGAATTGAACGTCACCTATCTGCCACATCTTGGCTTCCACCTTACCATCCCCCGGGATCCAGCGACGGGCCGGGCTGTGTATGATGGTGGTGGGCAAGGAGCATTGGCTCGGTGGCAGCTCATGTTCACCACGCCGGCCCAGTGTTACTACAAGGACGCCACGATGCACGAGATGGACCACGAATTGGGGGATCTGTACTCCGCCATCTGCGACATGGAGGTCGAAATCGCCTACGAACTGGCACAGAATGTGCTCCGGGACGAAGACCTTTTGACCGCGGCGTCGGATGTTTGTGGTGAGCTGGACTGCTCGCTGGCCTTTGCTCACGCCGCGCATCAGTATCATCTGACTCGGCCCACAATTACAGAGGACAACGTCATCGAGATCAAGGGAGGGAGACACCTGTTGCAAGAGATGACGGTGCCATCCTTTGTGGCAAATGACACTTTTCTCGTCGGAGGCAATGGAGAAGAAACTGATCCTGCGGAAGGACCAAGCATGATTTTGTTGACGGGCCCCAATTATTCGGGCAAATCTGTCTATCAGAAGCAGGTCGCCCTGGCAGTATACATGGCTCAGGTTGGTTCATTCCTCCCAGCCGACTCTGCAACCATCGGCATCACCGACAAGATTCTCACGCGCGTCACGGCCCGAGAGACCGTGTCCAAGGTCCAGTCGGCCTTCATGATCGAGATACAACAGATCGCCATCGCTTTAAATTCCTGTACCCGACGCAGCTTGGTGGTGATTGATGAATTCGGGAAAGGCACCGATACATTTGACGGGGCGGGTCTTGCTGCGGGAGTCTTTCATCACCTGCTCTCCCTGGGACCGGAAGCACCAAAGACGCTAGTCGCTACACACTTTCACGAAATCTTTGAGTTGGGACTCTTTCGCGGCGCAACGAATGTCGCTTTTGCGCACATGGAGGTTCAAGTCGATGAAAGAGAGAGCCCCTGTGCCGGCGAAGATAATAGTCAGGTTACCTATCTATTCAATCTTCGCCCGGGCCGCAGTAATTTGTCCTACGGCGTCCAGTGCGCGGCGATGAATGGCGTCCCAGCAGAGATTGTCGAGCGAGCCGTTGAAATCGCTCAATTGGCGCAACAAGGAGAGGATCTTGTGGCGATATGTTCGGCTTTGAAGGAGGATGAGATTGAAGAGTTGAGGAGCGCTGAGCGGGCGTCGAGGATGTTTCTCGGTGAAGATCTTGATCGTGATGACTGGACGGAGGAGGAACTTGTGTCTTCCCTAGATGCGATGCTGGAGATCAATACAGTTCCTCCTGAGCAGGAGTCGAGTATCTCGGAATGAATAGTTAGAGCGCGACAATCTTAGCTGGCATTTGTGGTGGCATTCATGCCCTTCTGTTTGCCCCAGCTTCTGCACTTTGAGACAAAATCAGGAGCCACGAAAATGATAATGATAGAGCCCAACCAGTTCCAGAAGACGTCCATCACGTTCATGCGCACACTTCCACTCATTCCACACCCACGCATCAAGTGGCCCAGGAACATTGTGCTGATCATGAAGTCGCCGGCGCCCAGACGTCTCAGCAGGATCTTGGCGATCTCATCCGGTTGCTGGGGCTTGTCGTCCTTTTCGAGCTGCAGCGTCAGGGACGGTTTGATCTTGTTCTCATTTTCCAGACCTGGAGAGATGATGCCCATGGGGAACAGGATGTGGACTTTCATGTCGGTGTCGGGAACGGGGCCCAAGGACGGATTGTTGCTCTGACGAGAGCCATTGTACACTTCGACCTCTTGATTCAAGCCGTCGGCCAGGGCACGCATGGCCGCTTTGCAGGGCGAATATGGACTGTAGCCCGCCACGGGAAAGAAAGCCAGTGTGGAGCATGTGAATATCAGGTGCCGGGTTGGTCTTGGATGAGACACAGACTTATTCTCATTGCTCGAGGGTGTTTTCCACATGTTGATGGCCGCGTGGGCCATCCACGCGGTGCTCCAGTAGACCGTATCCATCTGGTCCTTGAGTTGTTGGACCGGCGCATCCGCGAAGAAGGACGGGTAGCAGTGTCCCGCGCAGCAGAAGATCAAATCCGGCGCTTCCCCATTGTTCCACGTCTTGACTTCCTCCAAAATCTTGGGCGCAGATTCCGGCACGCGCAGGTCGAAGGACAGAGGAAGGAAGCGCTGTGACTGCGGCGTTTGGGCGCGGCTCTGCAGCGTCTTGACGGCGGTTTCGAGTTTGGGCACGTTTTGGGCCACGATGGCCACGTTGGCGCCCCGGGCGGAGAGTTCTTGTGCGATCGCCAGTCCGAGGCCTTGTGAGCCGCCGGTCACGATGGCAGTGAGACCCTCGACGGGGAAGCGGTTCTTGGACGAGATGAGCATTTTTCTGGCGACGACTAGGGAAGACAAGACGAGAATGAGGACGGTGACGACGATTGTCAAGCTTCCTTGGGACCACCAGTCCGAAGACATGAAGGTGAGTGTTCCCTAACAGGATGCCTGACAAGGAATATTCCCAAGCTCTCAAAATCACAGGTGCTGTTGTACGTGCATTATGAACTTGAATGTCGGAGTCCGCAGCTAAAGCTCTTGGGGGTCCCCATTCAATCCAATTGATCGCGTTCAGGGCCTCAGGGCACCGACGCTAAAAGATGACACGCGATGGGGGGCAATAGGTGCGGAAGGGCTCATGCCCAGTGAGCACCTGAGCAATTAGGGGCCCGGGCCCAGTGGCCGCCAGGGCCAACGAGCCTGGCAGGCCCACCTAAAGCGTATTTCGACTTCCACATTGAGAATTCTTGCTCGGTGAAGCGCTCGCCGACAGACGTTGCGTATGCCAAGCCTGCGTCTCAAAAAAAAAGTTCCGTCTTCAACTGTTTGGCTGTTTGTTTGACACGGCACCTGCGCTTGCTATATAGCAAGCTAGATCTGGCCACTGACCCTTTCAAGGGCTAACTTCCTGCTCTCAGTCCTTCGAAATGGCAAAAAAGAGGAAGGCTGTACGTGTGGTCGAAGCATCCGGCCAGCGTTCACAAAATGACCTCCATGATGCCGAAGAAACCTTTAACGACTCGGAAGATGAGTTTTTCGCAGGACGGGACAAGGTCCTACTGGATGAGGGCCCCGCTGCAAAACGAAGGAGGAAAATACAAGAACAAGAGCGAGAGTTGGAGCCATCCGACGAGGAGGTCTATCAGGATCTGGCGACCGAAGACGAGTCTGAAGATTATGATGACAACACCGGCCACCCTGAAGACGATCGGGAAGAGGAAGAAGATGACGGCCACTGGGGCACATCCAAGGCCGACTACTACAGCGCGGATGTGATCGAGACCGAGGCGGATGCGTTAGAAGAAGAACAAGAGGCTAGGAGACTGCAGCTGAAACAACTCAAGGCCATGACCGAGGCAGATTTTGGATTCGATGAGAGTGCATGGGTCGGCGACAACCAGCAATCTCAGGAGAAACGGTCGGTGGTAGAGAAACTGCCTGAACTGCAGATTTCTCAAGATGCGAGCATCGACGAACGAATAAAAATCCTGAAGTCGAGATACCCCGAGTTCGAACCGTTAACAAAAGACTTCCTGTCATTGCAAGACACCTACCAGTCGCTGAGGAAGGAAGCTGATGTGGAAGGGCACAATAATGGCGGTGTCACAGTGACAAAATTCCGAGCCTTGTCGGCGTACCTCGGGGCCGTGGCCATGTACCTGGCTCTTCTTACTTCCACCAAGACCGGCGTAGCGCTGGCCCCGGGAGAGCTTCGAGACCACCCCGTTATGTCAAACCTTTTCCGCTGTCGCCAGCTGTGGCAGGATGCCGAATCGCTTCGTCCAATTGATCCCATTGAAAAGCCAGAGACCAAGCCACCAACCATATTGCCACAGAGTTTGCCTCAGAAGACCGCACGACAACCCGTCAAAAAGAAGACAAAGACAAAGCCGGCGTCCCCAGAAACACCCTCTCCGGAAATTCCAATGGCGGGCACCAAGTCGAAGAAGGCAAAGAAACCAAAGAGAAATGAGTTGCAAGAACTCCTGACGTCCTCCCTCCGGAATCCAACGGAAGAAGAGTCCGACTTTGGAGACGAAGCTCCCCTGACTCACGAGGAAGCTGCAGAAAAGGCTCGACGGAAAAAGACTCTGAGGTTCTACACCTCACAGATTGCGCAGAAAGCCAACAAACGAGGCGCAGCATCACGACAGGCCGGCGGCGACGACGATCTGCCCTACAAAGAGCGCAACCGAGATAGGCAAGAGCGTCTGATGCGGGAGGCGGAGCAGAGAGGCAGAGCCACCGCCAACGAGAGAGAGGAACTCGATGACGATGATGACGACGATCCCGAAGCCGGCCGGAGGATCAACGACGAGGCCAACGAGTACTACGACATGCTCGTCACAAACGCGAAGCAGAAGAAAGCAGACAAGCGAGCCAAGGCAGAGGCGTACGCCGAAGCCGCCAGACAAGGCGCGCAGGTGTACGAGGAAGAACAGGTGGGTCCCGATGGGAAGAGGAAGATCACGTACGCCATCGAGAAGAACAAGGGTTTGACGCCCAAGAGGAAGAAGGAGGTGCGCAACCCGCGCGTCAAGAAGAGGAAGAAGTTTGACGAGAAGATGAAAAAGCTCGCGTCCATCAGGCCCGTGTACAAAGGCGGCGAGGGTCGTGGTGGATATGGTGGCGAGGCGACGGGGATCAAGACGAATCTGGTCAAGAGCATCAAATTGTAAGCCTGTCACTGCATGCCATGCCATGAGGAGCGTGTATGTAGTCGGTATGCATATGCGTATATGTATGTCCACGGGGTGCGCAGCTTGTCCTGTGTTCAGCAACTAGGTATTCGTCAATAAACGGCTTATGAATATATACATCCTTTCCTCGACTCGTGCGCAAGGATATATCGAAATGATCAGAACTGTTCGTATTCGAGGAGGAACGTTGCCCCGAAATCACCAGGCAGATATCCGAGGGGGCCTGTGGTCGAGGGTTCCGTGGGTCCCTTTTAACTGGAATATTGGGTGCCAAATGGGCAACCACGGGCCCTAGAAGTGACTATCCCCATCATGTGAGGTCGCCCGGTGCCCCTGGTTCCTGGGGGCTTGACTACCTCGTATTTCGTCTCAAGTGACCCAGGCTGAGAACGGGAGGTAGATCGCTCCACTGGCGCCACTCGCAACTTTTCCGGCTTCAAACATCCGTGACGTGTTGATATAATATGTAGAAGATATCTTCATCTCCGTCTCCCTCACGCCATAAGTGAGCAAAACACCTCGCACTCTTTTCGTACAATATCACAGCCATGGGGTCGATGGTGTGGGAAAGGCTCTGGTTACGCCTCAAGCCCGTCGTGTGGCCGCGCTGGACATGGAGATACATTCTTTGCTGCTCTGTCGCCACCTACGTTGCCTACTGCACTCTTTTCTCTGCCCCCGTCTTGTCGTCCCAGCTACCGCCATACACCGGCCCATACTCCGTGGGCGCAATTGACGTGGAAGTCCCCGTCGAGACGCGATCTATCCACAATGCAACGTTCAAAGACGGCGGCCATCCGGCTTTCCAGGTGAGCGAGATCGAGGGAGGCGTGCGACATGCAGAAGCTCTGACAGTGTACCAAAGTTGGAAACCGTCTTGTTCACTCTCTACTATCCCTCCGACAAGGACGCCGTCTCTTCTAAGCCGCAGCATTACTGGGTCCCGAAGCCGCTGAGGGTGACCGGCAAGGGATATGCTCGGGTCGCTCGCATCAGCAACTTTGTGACTAATGCATTGTTCACCCTTGGGCTGTGGGCATTGGTAGGGAGCACCAAAATCCCCGCGCAGGTGGACGTCCCTCTCCATCGTTCTCAAGTCGTGCTACAATTGCCGGACTTCCAAGACTACCCAATCACGCATGAGAACGGGTTTCCCGTCATGGTCTTCTCCCACGGCATGGCCAGCTCCCGGACCGACTATACTCAGTATGTTGGGGAGTTGGCAAGCCGCGGAATCGTTGTAGCTGCTATCGAGCATCGTGATGGTAGCGGACCGGGTACTCTGATCATGAAGCATGGCGCCAAATCTCGGATTTTACATCATTTCGATCTTCGCCACTTGAAGTAGGTCTCTCTGCTACCTATTCCTGACAATACCTGACTGGCAGCAGGAGTGACTCCCAACTGGACGGTGATACCTTTAAACAGGCCCAGCTCGATTTCCGGCAAGCTGAAGTCGAGGAAACTGTCCGAACGCTAGAGCACATCAACAGGGGTGGAGGCGATGAGGTTTTCGTGTCGAATTCACGATCCGAAGGCCAACATCTGCATCTCTGGGAAGGACAACTAGCTCTGAACAACACTACGATGGGGGGGCACTCATTTGGAGCCACTCTTGCAGTGAGTTGATCCAACACCACTGGAGCTATCCCTCTCTCTTACATGGCGCAGCTCCAGACGTTGAAGCAAGGTCCATCCAAACTTCTCCCATTCCAAGGTGCCATTGCCCTTGATCCGTAAGTCATCTGTGTCCGCTCTGGTTGCAATTTCTGACCATCGCCAGTGGGAAACAAAGCGGACGTCTCAACCACGATGTCCAAGTGCCCACTCTAATTCTCCATTCGAATTCATGGTCGAAAAGCCATTCTATCTTCTTCGGTAGACCCCATTTCGACGTCGTCAAGGAGGTTGTCCAGGGCGTTTTGAGGAGAGGAAAGGATGCATGGTTCCTTACGTCCTGTATGTGGATTGCCTCCCTGCCATGATGCATAATCTGGTTATCTAAGTCACTGACCGCTTCTGCAGTGGGCACATCTCATCCATCAGTCACAGACGCGCCTCTGATAGAGCCGGGGCTGCTTCGGTGGACAACGGGGTCCACGATCGATGCACATGAAGGCGTCAATCAATACGTCAAGGTCTCGGAGAGGTTCTTGAGGTACCAAAGCACAGGGACCATAAGAGGGATCTTGTCAGAATGCGTCACGCATCCAGAGTACGACATTGAAGACAAGAGCAGGACAGACTCCGGGCCTTTGCCAAAGGAGTTCCAAAAATACTGGCAGATCCACGTCGCGCCATGCGGTCCAGAGGAAGGAGAGATATGAAGAGAGCATCGGTTGGTCTTGAACGCTTCCAATCTAATCTGGAATATCTTGGCCTTGTATAAAGTTCGCGATTGGGCTATGTTACGAATGAATGAGTATGAGTATGACTGCGCCAGAAATAGAGTGATACAGGTGATGTGACTAATTTGCATGTCGGGATATAACTAAGGAGAATATACGTTGATTCTTCCATGTCACACTTCGAGATAATATTCGATTGGCTTTTTGGGCAGCTCTTTATCCCTTTATCTGGAAGCCCGAGTGGATGCTTCTCTAACTCCCTTTCTGCTCGTGATCTCCAGTGCCAGCCCAGAAGATGTCACACTCATGATCGGTCAAGAACGACGTAGAACGCAGTATCCAAATGGCTCTTCAAACCCTACAACTTGCCCAGCTCCTTCTGCTTCTTCACTGCCTGATCATACTCGGCGTCGATATCATCTGTCCACACCCAGCGCATTCGGTCAATCACGCGCTTGTGAATCTCTGGCACACATTGGTCAAACGGGAGATCCTTCATTATGTCCGCCTGAGCCTGGTATACCTCGACGGCATCTCTAGAAGTACGCTGCACTTTCTGAGCTCGCGGGAGGCGCACATCTTGATATACCCTCCCCCAGGCTTCGAGGCTGTCTTTTCCGGACGATGTATTTCGGAAGTAGTCCTGCAGTGCTCGACCGAGAATATATCCGTCTTCGATGGCCTGGCCTGCCCCAGCGCCTTCGCAGCTTGTCAGCACAGCAACCTTCACAGAAATCCACCAGAAAACTGACCTTGGTGAGGAGTCATGGCATGGGCAGCATCGCCCAATAGCACAGCCTTGCCTCCGAGATACACCCATTGATCGAGCGGTTTACGGTCATTGATCAGCCACTTGGACGGCTGCTCTGGCATCAACTGGATGACCTTCTGGACTCTTTCCTCGAACCCCTTAAAGGCCTCAAAGACGTCCTCTTTCTTGCCTACCGCCGTCCAGCTTTCCCTGAGGTCGCCTAGATTCTCTTCCTTTTCGGCCACGAACGCGACGATGTTGAGCGTCTTATTGCAGGAGATGGGGAAGCACAGAAAGTGCCGGTTCTTCCCCAGCCAGGTCACGGAATACGTCTCGAATCCCCACCAGTCCTCGATCTCGGATATGGGCACCAGCCCCCGGTATGCAATCCGCCCACTGTAATCGGGATTGTCGCTGGTGAACTGTGCCCTGACGGCAGAGTGGATGCCGTCGCAACCGACAACCAAATTGGCCGTGGCAGTCGTACCATCGTCGAACTCGATCAGTACCTCGTCTCCTTGCTCCTATGCGTCTGTCAGCTTCGTGTATCTCGTCTCTTTTCCAACAGGGGCAATACAGTAAGTTTCCGACATCGCTTGTTGGTATGCAGCCTGGCTGCATCCTTCTCTCTCACGATATCAACCAGCAGGTCCAGAAACTCGGCCCGATGCACAGGCAACTGCTTGACCTCGTCCGTGTCTACGGACGGCACTGTCACCACCTCCGAACCGTCATCGAACTTGCGAAACATAATCCATATGCCGGTCCGTTTTCCTGCAATCTTCCCCACGGTCTCTCCAATGCCTATCTTATGCAGCAGCTTTGCGGCATTGACGGCGATGCCGACACCAGCACCTATCTCTTTGTACTGCCGAGCTTGCTCGTAGACATCTATATCGACATCTGAGCGACAATGATGGTGGAGAGAGAGGGCCGTGCAAAGCCCGCCAATGCCACCACCTATTATGGCCACCCTTAGCGGCGGGCGGTTGATGGCTGCAGGCATTTTTGGTGAGGAGCCGGATCACGAAAACTGAAGCCGTTTGGACTATTATTGTCTGTGATTGGATGATTTGACCTTCGTTTGTTAGCAGGAGTTCTTGGGTTTCCTTGCAGGCGTGTGCCACGTTTTCGACGAGGCATGGGCGCATCTCCAAATATACCTAGTCCGCCACTTACCCTCGATCCCCATCCAGCATCAAGCAGGGTACGAGTCTGGTAAGTCCCCGTACTCCCCGACGCCAAATTCTGGGGTTTGAGCGGAGAAAAGAGCCTCCAATGAACAAGAGTTTCTCAAGCTTGTGGGGAAAAGCTTGTGCAGAATAGGGATCAGGCGTGCAGGAGATAGACAGCATATCTCCCCGGGAAAGTTATCAAGCTTCGGGACTTCATATCTGTTTCCCTCATGCCCAGCGTCCGCCCCATGCAGGCCAAGACGCCTGGGACCGACTACAATGTGCTGTCCTCTCCTCTCATGAGCCCCATGTGCCCATCTCAACGAGTCGAAGGAGGCAGCTTCAATGGCAAACAGGTCATAAGGTCTGGAATCAAACCCACTTCCCCACACGATTGTCCCATCTCAAACCCCAGCATCTGTAGGCATCCATGCAACTACCGAGCGCACGGATCACCCCTCTTTCTTGTCTAGGCAGGTGCAAGTCTTGCGTCGTGCTGTCGCTTCATATCTCCCCGTGGCTGGGGAGGAGACATAGTTCCCTTCGTGCTCGATAAGTCCTGCTCAGGTTGATCGCTGAAATTTCACAACTTGTTCTTTTTGTTTTTGGATCCATTTCTTGCCCAAGGCCCGTAAACGGCACGCCATGGGATCCCTCCAGAACAAGGCGGAGGTCATGCATATGGAGCAGGACAAATGGTCGTCTGAAGGAGCCGCAGTCGACATTGACGAGGCGAAACGAGGCGAAATCGATGAGAGAGAAGGAACGGCAGACCTCAAGCTGGACAAACATGGTCTTCCTCTCGTACCACAGCCAACAGATCGCAAGGATGATCCTCTTGTATGTGAAGCGCGCACGCGATACTTTGACGGTGCAAATCTGTGTCCGGACAGCACTGACTGAATATAGAACTGGTCACCATGGCTCAAGTTTTTCATCCTGTTGCAAGTCAGTTTCCTCGCTTTCCTGGGGCCTATGGCTGGCGCAATCGTCAACCCAGCCTTCGTGCCACTGAGCAAGCGATTCGACATTACTGTGGTCCAGGCTTCGTATGAACTTACGGTATATATCGTCGCGGCGGGCGTCGGACCCCTTTTCACAGTACCACTAGCCAACGTGTATGGCCGAAGACCTGTCTACCTTTTTGGCAATCTTCTAGCTGCAGTCACCAATATCGCTGCAGGGTACTGCAACACATGGACTGGGATAATGGTGACTCGTGTGTTCAACGGCATCGGTGCCGGCTCTCCGGGTGCCATAGGGGCAGCAACTGTGTGCGACCTGTATTTCCTGCACGAACGTGGGTTTTATATGGGTATCTTCACCTTTCTTCTGACCAACGGGCCTCACGCTGCATCGTTGTTCGGCGGCTTCATTGCCCAGACTCTGGGTTGGAGATGGTGCTTTTTGATTCCAGTGAGTCCGTCGAGACACTGCGGCTTGCGCAATTCCCTAATCGGCCTCTGGTCTAGGGTTATATCCAGCTTGGAGTGTTCGTCTTTACGCTTTTTTGCCTACCAGAAACCATCTTCTCTCGTCGGTCGACTAGTACCAGCAGTCGCGAACGATCTTTCATGGATCTACTGCTCTTTCGACATTCTGGCTTGCAGAACCGCAAACTCCGGTTCGTAGACTTCTTCAGGCCGTTCTACATGCTAAGGTACCTGTCGATTGTGATTCCGGGCTTTTACTACATGACGGCGTTTGGTTTCGGCTCAGTGCTGTTCGCCGCAACGGGATCGAGCCTGTTCCGATCATTATACCACTTCGACGTTGCGCAGACTGGGATGTTGCTCAGCATTCCGCTCCTCATCGGCTGTTTGCTGGGCGAGATGAGTGCCGGGTGGCTCACTGATTACATGGTCTATCGATACGCCAAACACCACGGAGGTAGACGAGAGCCAGAACCGCGTATCAATGCGGTAGCACTGGCTATTTTGTGTCCGATTGGAATCATCATCGATGGCATCTGTCTGACGCACTACAAGACTGTCCCCTGGGTGGGCGCAGCATTTGGAATGGGCATTGCGAACTTTGGCCTCCAGATCGCGACCACAGTCACATACAGCTATTGCACAGATGTACGTGACCCACTTCTGCCTCAAACTATTACGCGATACTAACGCTGACACGTAACAGTGTTACAAGCCCCAGAGTTCCGAAATATCCTCCATCCTCAACGTGTTCCGCAACGTCTTCTCCATGACCATCTCTTTCTACGCGTGAGAAAGCCAACCTTTCCCATTCCCCCCGTGATGTCCGAATGGCTTTTTTTTTTGAACTGACCTCGTCTCGCAAACAGGATCCCATTCGGCGAGAAGATCAAGTACGAGTACGCATGGTTGACTTTTGCCATGATCCACATCGTTTTCCTGGTCCCAATGGTCGTGCTCCGGTTCAAGGGTACTCAGTGGAGGAACAGTGCTTGGCAGAAGCCTCCCACTTTCCATAACGACATCTAGGTACTGGGTCGCTTCCCCTCTCGCTGCCGACGCCAAAGAGAGGATGGCGCTCTCAAACATCTCCGCTGGACTACAAGAAGCGGAAAGTAACAAGCACCTGTGCCACTGATAGGGGCTCGCAGGGATGTATCGTAGTATAGAGAGAGACAAGCAGAATAGCCAGTATGCAAATGAAAGCCAGAAGGATGGAGAAGAGCCTCGTCAGAACAGGCCAAACTTCTGGTGATATCACGGGGCAGTGCCCAAGGCTGGTCTTGGCGTCATGTGACGGTCCAACCCCTTTCTTCCCCCTTTCTGGGGACTCCTCTTCTTCCTGGAGCTCTGGATCGACCTGGGAACCCGTCGTCGCTCCGTTTGCTCTAGATCTCCAGGAGATTTCTTCATGTGCGAGAGTCCCCGAGCATTTGCGGCCTACTGCAGATGGGTATGCACGCGCATGAAGTCTGCTGATGGCGTCATCTTGAGTGCGGATAGGTGATTGTCTCTGCTGTTTCGCTCTGGGAATCTCTTATCATCAAGGTTTGTCGAACACCCTGTCTCCTTGGCATCTGGCTCCTGGCGAGGATCACATTTGACCAGGTCTGTGCTGTTCGAATGCCAGGGCATGCCGTCAGCACGCCGCGTCCGGTGCTCTCCCGAGTGACGGCGCCCACGATTGTTCCAGATCGCTGCCGCAGTCTTGCATCGCCCTTTCACGGGAGAAGCGAGACCTACCTGAGCAACATGCTAACTCCTACTGGGTACACACTTGGTATCAAGCCTGCATCACGAAATGGCCCTCGCAGATGTCGTGCTACTGGCGCTCGATCGGCAAGCATTGCAGTATGTACGATGGGAATGTCGTGATATGGCCAAGATCGGGTCTATCGTGCAGCTGTATGCAGACTCTGTCAAAAATTGGCAGACAGGTCTCGCTCCGATGCGCTTAAATACCTGTTGTCTCTCTCAAATAGTGAAAGAGACATCCATAGAGCAACTAACGAGTTCAGTTTTTGACGATGGCGACTGTTTTCACTCGACCTTTCCCGACGGAAAAGGGCCAAGAAATAGTGACAAGAGAGATTCTAGACAGTACCCCCTCAGATTCGAAGGAGAGCATCCCAACTAATACAGTTGTTGGACCCGAGCTTGGTGTGCCTGCAAATGAGAAGAAGTTCTGGTGGCAGAGAGGTCGAGGATATAACCCCGATGCTATTGCAACTCTTCCCTCCGTCTTTGATGACCCAGAAACCGCCAAACACTATCAACCTCGCGCCGATTGGGAGAATCTCCGACGGTTCGATCCTTTGGCGAGATGGACATGGCGCGAGGAGTACGCTGTACTGCGAAAGATCGACTTTCGAATCATGATCTTCGCTTGCATTATGTTCATGTCCTTGGAGCTGGACCGCTCGAACTTGACCCAAGCCGTTACAGACAATTTCCTCGGTGACCTTGGAATGAACACAAATGGTTCGTGATACTAAACTTCTAGAGCAATGACATACGTGCTGATTGCGTGCAGACTACAACTGGGGAAACACCGTCTTCAAACTCAGCTTCCTGTGTGCCGAACTCCCGTCCCAACTGGTTTCCAAGTGGATGGGCCCCGACCGGTGGATACCTACCCAAATGGTCCTTTGGTCCATCGTTGCCGGTTCACAATTTTGGCTTTCTGGTCGAGCCAGTTTTCTTGCTTGCAGGGCTCTGCTTGCGCTTTTGCAGGGTGGATTCATACCTGATGTATGTTGTGTCTTTGTTACTTGAACCTGAGCAAACTGACGCTCCTTCCAGATGATCCTCTACCTCTCATACTTCTACAAGCACGGCGAGCTTTCTTTGAGACTGGGCTTCTGGTGGACAGCCATGTCAATCGCCGACATCATTGCCAGTTTCCTAGGAGCTGGTTTGCTTGACCTTCGAGGGCACCTTGGCTACGCCGGTTGGAGATGGCTTTTCTTGATAGAGGTAAGCATCCAACTTGGATGTACGTACCGTACGTCTTGTGCTGACTGATTCTAAGGGACTTTTGACTTTCGGCCTCGGATTGATCGCGTTCGTCTTGATGCCGCCCGGCCCCTGCCAAACTGCCAACTGGGCACGAGGTAAGAAGGGATGGTTCACAGAACGGTAAGTATTTGAAAGGTACTGTCCATGAAGGCTTTGCTGAGATGACGGCAGTGAGGAAACCATCATGGTCAATAGGATCATCAGGGAAGATCCCAGCAAGAGTACAATGCACAACCGGCAGCCGATCACCCCGAAACTGCTTTGGCAGAGTTTGACAGATTACGATCTCTGGCCTTTGTATCTCATCGGGCTGAACTTCCAAACTCCAATGAGTAAGTTTCCTGCCTATTGGTTATGCAGAACCATACTGAGAGAAATCAGCGACCCCCACGCAATACTTGACCCTCTCCCTAAAACAGCTGGGATTCGGCACTATCAAGACAAACCTGCTGGTCGTCCCATCTACAGTCGGGCACATTATCACGATGCTGCTATTCACATACCTTGCAGAGATCCTGGGCCAGCTCTGGATTTTTGGGTTGCTCGCACAATTATGGGCCCTCCCCTTCCTGGCCTACATCTACGCGGTCGACATTAACTCGATCAACAAATGGACGGCTTTCGGCATCATGACTGTCCTTCTTGCGTACCCAAGTACCCATGCGATTCAGGTCGGGTGGAGTTCGAGGAATTCCAACTCGGTTCGAAGCCGTACGGTGAGTGCCGCCGTGTACAATATGGCATGCCAGGCTTCTGGTATTATTGCAAGCAACATCTATCGACAAGGTAAGTCTCAGAGATCCTGACGGAGCTAACCATCGGGATTGCTGACCGGTTCACTTTCAGATGATCGACCCCGCTATCGTCGCGGGAACAGGGTCCTTGTCTCGTTGTGCGCTTTGAACGTTGGGATCTACGCGTTTGCCAAAGTTTACTACGTCTTGCGCAATAGACATCGTGACCGGGTGTGGAACAGCATGACAGAAGAACAGCGCGCCGAGTACCTTGCCACAACGACCGACAAGGGGAACAAGCGTCTGGACTTTCGCTTTGCTAGCTGAACAAATCCTGATATGCAGGACGGCTGACTGGCATTGGGCGTGCAGAGGAATAGAAAGATGCAGGTGCTGATGGAACCTTGGGGCTGGGGTCGATAACCCCGAGGCGGAATGGTCGATGTGTTGGCTGGCGTGTTTTAGAATCACCACAAGTGCTTCTGTACCTAGAGAATATGTGTTAGGCGAGTTTAGGCGAGTGATAAGGAGAAGAGCCGGGTAAATTGTAATGATTGTGCTTGAATTGCGTGCGAGCAACAAGGAACGGGACAGTTGCACAGGTGGATAGACCACTCGCTGATCATTCAACCCCCTCCTGCTCCTTTTTCTGTGTGAGCATGACTGACTCTCCTACTCCTGTAACACCATCTTGCATAATATACAGCGAGGGGGAAAGAGGCCGTTAACAAAACTAAGAGCCGGCGGGCGCCAACCAATCTATTGCCAACTACAACCAAAGAACCGACCACCAACCACCAACCATTGAGCGTCAACGACCTTGCATGCATTGAACCTCTTCTCTCCGCCTCTCTTCCAACCACACACGCTCCTCCCAACACGATTCCTTTGCGGCGCGATCGTTAGTGATACTCATTGTTAACTTTGCACATGTCTTGTGTCTTCAAACTCAGCACGGCCGAAGCCCGCTCAAGAAAATCGCTTCCAGCTCCATCTCCATTGCGCCATCGTGAGCCGGTATTCGTATTCTGTCTTTATCACGCTTGTCACTTGTCAGTGGTGCAATACACGGCCCAGCTGACGAGACATCTGCAGCTGGCCAGCCAATACCCTGATTCCCCAGGATTTTGTCGTTCGTTTGACCACTTATCGCGCCATGGGTATCGAAAATGATGTGAACTTGTTCCCCTCTCGTTCGCGAGACACCGGATACCGGCTCGCCTGAAACCATTTTTCTCGTGCAAATGCTGCTACAATGCACCGAACAGAGCAAGAAGATTGGAGTAGAAGACCAACGTTCGACGCGATATGAGTTGTGGCATCATTCTCACAATGGACTTGGGCCCAATGGCTCCAGTTGGATGATACATTTCGGTTGATCTGCTGTGGACTCGGTTCGATAATATGCCATTTCCCAGTATAAAGAGTACATGGCATTACATTCACAATTACTCATCGCTATCACCCAATCACATCCCTTGTCTAGCAAGACCCCGATGAGACAAGGAATGAGAAGTGGGCGAGACGGCATATCGGCACACTGGAAAAGTGCACTCAATTCGAGTGAGAAATGGTGCAAACTCCTCAGGAGCTGCTCATCCAGATGGAGTGGACTCAAGTGTATTATATATGAGGGCGAGTTGTTTTCCCCTTCCAGGGTCCCTCTCGTGTTCTTCCATACTTTCTTGGCCCAGATTCTGTCCCTATCCCTGATCACCCACCCCTTCCTGACCGGGTTAGAAAAGTGGGAGAACCTGTAAGGAGATATATAGTATTCAGACTATACAGGACCTCTGAGACTCGTGGCAGCCATGGCACCCCCAGCAGCAGACGTCGACCTGTACTCGCACACGAGTTCTGGCCCGATCCCCATCACCAAAGTCAATGCCCAAAGCCGGCTCCAGGAGCCACTGAAGAACTCGGGATCGTTGGATCAATACAAATCATTCGACGTCACAAAGGTCATCGGCAGGGAGTTTCCCGACCTGCAGCTGAGCCAGATCCTGCACGACGATACAAAGATCCGGGACTTGGCCATCACAGGTTCGTTATCCCCCAAGGCTCCCACGTTTGGCTTGCTGGTTGAGAGGTCCTAATGAACCGCAGTGTCCCAGCGTGGTGTCGTCTTCTTCCGCAACCAGGACCTCAACATCGAAGACCAAAAGATCTTGGGCCAGAAACTCGGCGAACTCACGGGAAAGCCCGAGACTTCCAAGGTATGAATCTGACAGTGTCTTCTTTGCCGACCTGTCGCCGCTGTGACATCTTTCAGCTAATGTTCGATACCGCCCCTTCAACAGCTCCATCGTCATGCTTTGAGCAACAGCAAGCGAGGCATCGCAGTGGACGAGAACGGCAGACTGGACGACGAAGTCTCTGTCATTTCTTCCGAAGTGTGTATCCATCTCTTCCAGCGCATGGTTGACAGCAACGAGACCCAACGTTGATTGACATGTGTAAAACAGCAAAACCGCAAGTTCTACAAGGACCGTTTCTCAGCGCAGTCCAAAGTGCTGGCCAGCCAGGGATGGCACGCCGAGTAAGCCACCACCCGCTTGCTTTTCACACATGGCGTGAGAATTTCCCAATCTCTGACCTGTTCTCTCAGCATCACCTTTGAGCGCATCCCCTCCGACTACGCCATCCTCAAGATCATCAAGAAGCCCGAAGACGCCGGCGGCGACACCCTGTGGGCGTCGGGCTACGAGCTGTACGACCGACTATCGCCGGACTTCCAGAAGCTGGCCGAGGGGTTGACGGCCACGCACCACCAGCCCAACTTTGTCAAGGTCGCCAAACAGTTCGGCGAGGACCTCATCGAGCAGGACCGCGGGGCGCCCGAGAACACGGGCATCGACTTTACCGCGTCGCAGTAAGTCCATCACCACTGAGGACAGAGTTCACATATATACAAAATTAACCTCCCACGTCCTTCTTTTCATTAGTCCCGTGGTGCGAACCAACCCCGTGACGGGCTGGAAATCCCTCTTCGGGGCCGGCCACCAGATCGAGCACGGGTGGATCGACAACGTCACGCCGCGCGAGAGCGAAATCCTCAAGGCCTACTTCCTGCAGCTCATCACCGACAACCACGACCTGCAGGTGCGCTTCCGCTGGAACGAGAACGACCTGGCCATCTGGGACAACCGCTCCGTCTTCCACACCGCCACCAACGACTACGACGGCAAGCGCCAGGGGAATCGTGTCGTGTCGCTGGGTGAGAGGCCGTACTTTGATCCGCGATCCGTCTCGAGAAGGAGTGCGTTGGGTGTTGGGAACTAAGAGGGACGGGGAGGATAGACCAGAGAACAAAGAGAGAGATCGTATACATGTCCCCATGTTCCCATCCATTGGTAGGTTATCTAGCGGATAGGGCAGGATGGGGACAGAGTATGCCCCTGCAGGGTCTTTCGATGAGAAGGGGTAGAGAAAGAAAGTCAATCGGGTTAATCTATCCAGGTGAAGGACCTAGAGCCTCTAAGGTCGACAGGTACATAAGGGAAGTAGACAAGTAGATTGAAAAAGTCCAACCAGACCGATAGACCAGCAGCAATAGACCTCATCACTCCCCATCCCGTCAGCCAAGGGACCTCGGTACATCCCTTCAGCCATCAATGACAGGTTGACACGAAAAAGTCCAACCCTGACTGGACGCCCCTAGATTAAAAATTGCACACACACACGTGTTCCACCGCTCAAAAAGACCTTCACTCCTTGCGACCCCTTCTACTCCTTCTCCGAGGCGATGACGCTGAGATTCTGGCCCGCAGGAGCGGCGAGCCACAGCTCGTGCATGTCCATACTCTCATCCGAGACGGGACCGGCGAAGCGGAGATCAAACCTGTGGAACAAGGCGGCGAGAATCACGCGCAGTTCCATGTAGGCCAGGTGGATGCCGATGCATTTGCGCGGGCCGTCGGCGCCGAAGGGGACGTAGAGGTGTCGCATTTCCGGCGTCTCGTCCAGCCACCGCTCGGGCCAGAATCGGTCCGGGTCCGGGAACACGTCGGGTTGTCGGTGGGTCGTGTATGCTTGGATCGAGACGATGGTGCCCCCGGGGAGCTTGTAGTCGCCGAGTAGCACCGCGCCTTCCGGGGGCACGTATCGAGGCGTCGAGCCTGGCACCGACGTGTCGATCCGGAGCCCTTCCTTGATGATGCAGTTGAGATAGCTGAGGTTGTCGAGCTTGGAGTGTGGTGGAACCGCGTGGCGGTCTTTGGTCCCTAGAGCGTCGTCGAGTTCTTGGTTCAGCTTCTGGTGGATCTCCGGGTTCGCAAGGATGCGCCAGACGATCCAGGTCAGCGAGGACGACGTCGTGTGGGAGCCCGCGAGGATGAAGCTCGTGGATTGGATGTTGAGGTCGTCTTCCGGCAGGGGTTGGTCGTTCTCGTCTCGCGCGTTGATCATCTTCTGCAGCAGATCTTTGCGTTGGCCTTTGTCCTCTTTCCTCTTGTATTCTTGCACAATCTTGGTGCCCCTCTCGAACCCACGGACGCTACAGGCCTCGGCGTCCCGGACAAATTTGAAGGGTGCCCAGCTTGCGTACCGATTCAGCCACCCAAAGTGCCACCGGATGGGCTCGATGGTCAGCGAGCCGTACATGTCCTGGATATAGGGGTTGACTGCTCCCTTGTGAAGCATGTCGAACCCCAATCCGAAGGAGAGCTCGCAGATGATGTCCATGGACAGATAGTGCCACCAATCATAAAGATTGCTGGCCCTGCCGGCCTTGCCTTCTGCGGCAATGAGGTTCATGCATTCGAGGACATTCCCTGCGATGATATCCTCGTATTCGGTGATTGTGGACATGGAAAACAGGTGCGCCAGCTCGCGGCGTCGCTTCGCGTGCGCCTTTCGGTCGGACATGGTGAAAAGCTCCGGTATGCCTCGCAGCTGGTACGTGTAGAAGGCCGTCTTGGTGAACTCGGAGTTGACGCCATAGATGGGTGCTATCGCCTTGCTGTCCGATGTCGATATCTCGTCCGGGGCGACACGCACCCAGGGCCCGTACTTGAGATGAAGGTCGTGGATGGTCTTTGCACGGACACCTCGCCACGTCTTATAGACCAGCCACCATTTTGTATACACGGCATACCAAGGGCCTGGGATTTTGCGCAAGGGCGAAAAGTACCATGGATAGAGGAGCCAATAGATGACAAGGACTGGCAAGAGCACCACCGTGAGCCGGAGCGCGGCTTCGGAGCTGAGTAGGCCCATGTTGGATGATGAGGATGACGATCGACAATATGTCCGCTTACATTTGACGGTGTCTTTTCCCTTGTGTGCAGAGAATATATGTTTTAAGGATCTCGAGAGAGAGCACTTCCTGATCACAGCGAAGCGGTGAAGTGCCTGGTACATGTGACGGGTGACAGTCCTTGGTATATTACTTCCCCTCGTGACAGACCTCCTACTACCTCGTTCAACCTTGGCCGGTGTCCTACCGCCAGCCGGCATCCCCCCGCTGCAGCCAGACTCGATCTAAAGATTCGTTTTCAGCAAGCCGCGAGTTGCGGAAGTCGGGACATCCCGTTCGTCCAATGGAGAAATGGAGAACAGGCAGAGCCATCAATACTCCGCCTATGTCCGCGCCACACCCGCCTTCTATACTTGCACGAGCGTATGCCATTGGACAGTGGGCGAGAAATGTCGACATAAGAAAGGCGGGGGCGCCCCAGTGTCATCCGGGGAACTGTTCCTGCGGAGAAGTGATTGAGGTAGTCGTCTTTTGCTGTCCGAGTGTCTGCTGCTGCCGAAGTCCGCACAGCTCTCGTCAGGAAGAGAAGTGGGTTCCAGCTTATAAACCATCCTCAAGCAGGCTGCCATGTCAGATGCATTGCAGCCATCCCATATAGACTCCCTGATGATGTCGTTCTTCCGGTACTTTTCGCTTGTATAGAGCAGATTTCCAGTCATCAAGTGACATGAATAAATGTATCGATGACGGCATGGCAAGCGCGAGATATAGACGGTCGACCTAAACTTCCCGCAGTCCGCTTTTCTGCGCGACCCTGGATTGAGTTTTCATCATTTCAACTCTATAGAACCCGGGCTAAAGCATATAATTTTATGCCCAAGAGCCCCCAGACTGTCACACTCTCGACAATATACTTATGCCGCTGCATATCGGGCCCGCTCCACGTTCGAGAGTCTTAATGATACCAAGGTCCAATCAAGAAGACAGGCACCGTATGGAAAAATGGCCCCGGAAAAATCTTGTCCGTGAGCTTATCATGGATTCATTCCATTTCTCCGCAAAATAGTTGAGGGTCTAATGGTCTTGAACTCTCAGTATTGGCGACGGAGCTTCTTGAGGGTCCAAAGAGTAAAGACATGCCGACGTCATGGACGCGATGATACGGGGGCTCAGCCAGAACATGGTGTTGCCCCGTGGAGTTCCATCCTTCAAGTCGAACGGAGAAGCAATTTGGCACTTGGTACAAATGGTCGCTGACGGCAGCACCATTCGCTCAGAGCTCACAAGAAGAACTTCTCGATTGCCGTCACAACTTCGTCAGGAGCTTGCTCCGGGATGTAATGGCCCGAGTCAATGCTGTGTCCTTCGACAGGCACATCTGCTACTGTGACCTTTTTCCACTCAGACACTGCGTCAAAGCATTTTTCAATGACCCCGTGACGACCCCAAAGGACCATCAATGGGCATTGGATGAGCCGTTGGTTTTGGAGGTCTTCTCTTGCCTCATCCATGTCCAAAGAAGCGCTTGCTCGGTAATCCTGGCACATCGCATGTACTATCGCGGGATCTCCAAGATTGCGGACATACCGATCGAAACACTCGGGCTTGAAGATGTCCAGGCCGCTGGCTTGTCTTCCACCCATGAACATCTCAGCAAACCGTCTAGGATTTTGTGATATTGTCGTTTCTGGAAGCGGTTCTTTCTGAATCAAGAAGAACCAATGAAAGTAAGCCTTTGCGAATTCGAAGTTCGTCGATGTATACATCGCCAGCGTGGGACAAATATCCAGGAAAATCGCCTTTTTCACTCGAAGCGGATAGTCAACGCACAATTTGTGCGCGACTCTCGCCCCTCTATCATGTGCACAGACGAAGAAAGAATCGAAACCGAGCTTTTCCATGACTTTGACACAATCTTTTGCCATTGCGCTTTTGGCGTAACTTGACAGGTCTGAGGGAGCAGAGGACTCTCCATATCCGCGAAGATCAAGGGCAACTATGTCGAACTGCATTTGCAGCCGACTCGCAACAGCGTCCCAGATATGGTGAGTCTGTGGGAAGCCATGGAGAAGAAGCAGAGGCGGGAGGTTGCGCCCACCGTCTTTGCTCTTGACACCGTGAATTTTTACCTCGGGCGATGTCCGTGTGGTGATATCGAACGTCTCGAAGCCTTCAAACATGATTGAGCGATCTGCTGCTGTCCAGAAACAGTTTGGCGACAAGACTTTGCTGCGTTCTTCTATCCTCCGTGGCATATAAAATATCAGCAATCCATCTGGCTTCTGTCCCTGCCCCTGGATCGGGCGACGCATAAAAGATTGTCCGATCGGATAATCTTCTTCCCGCAACTCAATCGGCCCTTGACTAATTCGCACTCGCCAATCTTGGGATGTTCGAACCTCACCAGAAGAAACAATTTTATGCCGACGCCGACCGCCCAAAGCCAGCAGGCCTGCTAGATGCAAACCCACACCAGACAAGACCGCTTGCAGGCCTGTCCTATTGCGCTAGCCCATGCCTCAGCCTAAACCCTCGTCCGAAAGTGCTTCGGGCTCCAGAAGTCGGTCGGCTTGCTATGCCTGTAGGGCAAGGAAACAGAAGGTCAGTCGTCGGCTTTCGTGATGTGTTGATTGCCCTTCCAAGGTTGAGTGCTTGGATCGATATTGACAGAGCTTCCTAGTGCGATGGTAACAGGTCCGCTGCCGCCATGAATTCTCGCTGTCCGCTTTCCAAGAGTTGTGGTACTAACGACGTCAAGACCCATCTGCAGCCGCTGCAGAAGTCTCGCCCAGACCTGCTCATGGCCGAGAAGTCAAAAGAGGTCAGTGGCTCCGTCATAGTTGTGATGGCTGGAACGCCCGGCGGACAGTGGCCCTGCTGACTTCCCACGGCCAACAGAGGTCCCGCAAAAGGCTATATCGAAGCCCTTGAGATACGACTGAAAGAGACCGAACGAATGCTTTGGCGAATCCTGTCGGCTTGCCAACAAGAAAGCTTGACAGCGGCCTTCTCCCCTGGCGTGCAAGATCGAATACCGCAAATCCTCTCAGTCGGAACTTTGAGCACCACTGAGGAGAAGAAGTCGGCTATCGCCTTCTGGGAGCAGTTTCCTTTGCATACCATCGAAGACGTCCTTGTATGGAAGGACCAAGTTGAGAATCCATCTTCAATGGAGATCACAGGCTTTGGAGAGAACCAAGACCAGCAATCGCAACCGACAGACACTCCGAGCGAAGTCCAAGATCAAGATATACCATCCGCGATGGATGAAGACACTGCCCAGACATCCATAGCGATGGCGCCAGATTCTCAAGACCTTGCTGACACGTCGTCGCGTACGGTTCAGATGGCTGATGCACGCAATCGACGGTCTTCTGCCTCCGTGGCCAATCCGGGCACTGCAGGTGGCAAATTTTCCTTCTCGAAAGAGTTCCAGGACACTTTTCTTTGGTGAGAAGTTGTGGCGAAGCAGGATGTCAGAGCCGGAAGTCGTCAGACATGCAAAGAGCTCTCTTTCGCTCAAGGCCTCGGCGTGCCCCAAGTGGCCCAGCTCTGCATGTTGCCAGACCCGTTAGCCAGTGCCTCCCATCCGATGTTACCAAAGGCTCCAGGGTTGTTTGGGTACAGATCGTCTGAAACTGGCAGACCGAGGAACTCAAAGTCGTCCATTGTTGGATTTTGTACATTGCTGAAACCAAAATCTGGTCCTGTGTATTCAAGGATAGGGAACATTGGCCCGCTGTTGAGGCTGGGCAGTTGGTATGAGTCGGCGTCGAAGTCTTGATTGATTGTCTGAGATTGGTTGGAGTCGCCATTCATCGTGTCAGGGAACTCGCTTTGTCGTGGGTTCCGTTCTTGTTGCCCTCGACTGGTCCTCTTCCTTTTCCTGGAAGGTTCATTTGTTTCAGTCGAGGAGAGCTGCGTAGCAATTGGTTCAGCTGGCCCTCCGACCGTTGCTGGTCTTGAAGTCCCTGTGGCAGTCACATAGGAGGACAATGGAGAGACAACAGAATTTTGCCCCTTGTTATATTGTGTTGTCAGGGTTTCCAACAAGGACTGGAGGGCCTCTGCACAGTGTTTTGCATTGTTCCAGCTCTTTGCCATCACCGAGAGACTGCGAATGGAATCCTCGATTTCTCTGCGTTGCGTCAGCGCGCGTATTCAAAAGTGCGAAGACTCCGCTCACCTTTGCGCCTTGCTGAACGGATATCGTTTCAGTGTGCAAGCAAAAGCCAAAACCAACCCGGCCATCCACGTAGCTGATAGCATTCCGGGCCAAGATACAATCAAGCCGCTGTCGTGTTGACGCCTTGATGTCGTGATAATTTGTCGGCTTGCTGCAATGCATGTCTGCAGACTCGACCTGAATTCTATGGACTTTGGCGAAAGAGATAAAAATGGGCGGTTACTGAGAAGCAAAAGATGATTATAAAGTATTGAAAAGAAGAATGTGAAGGTCGAGGCCAGTTTCCCTCCGCCTCCAGTATACTCGTCCTGTAGTTCTTGAGGCAGGCCATTCCACCACGCGTGGACGTTTGATTGAAGCTCCATCATTCGTTCTGCATTTATCGTCCGGTTTTGGAGCGAGATATGGAATGTCTGAACTGCCTGACCTGTGAGCCGGCAGTAGAGCACATAATGGCCCAAGATCTGGGAGCTTTGGCATGAGTGTGAGAAGGTGATATCTTTGGGAGGATCCAAACTAGGGAATTCTGGATCAGAGCCTGTCGCTGGGCCGCCAGCCTGTTCTGAGGCCATAGGATCATCTGGGCGCGAGTCACGCCTGTGATGGCCTCGGGGCAGATGAGCGAGGACTCCCTCGGTGGCCTCGCGACTTGTAGAGGGTACCTGCTGGCTGGTTTTGACCGGCTTGTGCAGTTCATCCATGCCCGGAATGCAAACATCCAGGTCAGAATCATGAATACCCAGAGGATGACCGAGTGCTTGACTTAAATAGCGATCCAGCACGTAGGCACTCCAAAAGATCCTCTTCCGCAATTCGCATTCACGGGGTGACAATTGAGGGTACCGGAAAGCGCAGCGGTGGAAACCTGCGTGATACATCACCCGTGTAAGGGTACCTCCTATCGTCGACGCCGCTCGGAGAGACATTGTCGCCACGAGATAGAGCTGAGCGGCGAGCAGAGCCTGTAACGAGAGGTTGTCATGGTTACTCGCAACGTATCCCAAGAGCGAGAGTAATTTTGCAGGGGAATCCAGTCGCGATTCAGTGGCGAGCACTCCGTCGGGCTGGTCAAGGGCTGCAATGTTGAAAACGCATTGGCAGATAATAGCCTGGCATAAACGGCTCCTTAGCGAAAGCTTCCTCTGCCCACTGGTCTCATAAAGACCTCGTATTGTTTCGAAAAGGGTCGGCCCATGCAGAAATGGGAAGAGGGGATGCCAACTTTTGAGGTAAAGCATCAGAAGCTCCCTTGCTGGCTCTTGTTCCGGCGCAACTCCCAGTCCATGCCCTTTGACGCCATAAGAGTTTGGGCCTGTTTCGTTCTCGATAAAGATCCTCATTCCGGCGCCCTCGTGGTCCAGTTGCATGGGCGTCTCTGGATCGACAAGCCGACTGTCGACTGACCCAGGGTCATTGCGTGTTGGCTGATCATTGGTAGCCAGTGTCTTGGAATTGTAAGCTGATCGAGCAAAGGCGCGGAAGACGGTGTTGACGAAGAAGACTCCGCTGGCGCTGCCAATGAATTCTGTCTTTTCGGGCGATGAGGCGGTGAACGACCCTATCTCAATCGGGGCGATCGTTTTGGACGACATGATGCGCCGTCAAGGGATTACATGTCATCTGATGCAAGACTGGATTCAAATAAAAGAGCAAAGATGGAGTTGAGACCGAGATGAAGTTTTGGGTTGTATGAGGTTGTGAGTAAAAAGCCTGTTGGCGGTAGATTTTCGGCTCTACAACTGACGCCTACAGCCACCACCAGCCATGTACCCGCCATTCCTTGAGCATGAAGCCAGTCCTATGTATACTTCTCTTACGACCTTGGGAGCATTTATTGCAATATGCCTGTAATTATAGCTTAACGTCCCATTTACTTCTACATTGACGATTGAACAAAAGTCATATATTGGGTTCCATATAATGTTGCTGACTGCAGCGGCGCCGGCGCCACCTGCACTGGCGAAGTTGACAAAGAATATGCCTTCCCAGTACCAAGTTTCGCCGACCATCGGACAACATCAGGTTCAGTAAGCGTATGCAAGTCCACCATCTCGAGAGCTGGCTTTCAATTTCTTGTTTTCCGCCATCAACCAGACCTTCAGTACCCATGCACAAATGACGGTTCCCGTTGCGAAGCCTGCATTGGCGCCCATAGCTGGCAGATAGCGCGGACCGTCAGAACTTGGGTATAGATATGGGGTGTAGATGTAGGATGCATTGGCCACGATGTTGACGAACCCCAAGGAAATCGCTTTCTTTTCTGTTGTTTGTCCGAGTGTCGCTGAGACCCATCCGAGGATGCAGGAGTTGACGGAATACACTCCAGCTGAGAACAGAAAACAGGCTACATAGCGAGCAGCCGTGTTGAGGGTCGCGGCCGCGATGACAAAGCCTGCTACTCCCATGGCCATTCCAGCGGTGATGTGCCACGTACGCTCGTTAAATCTCCCAGAGCTGAGCGCAAGGAGGGGCCCAAAAATTGCTGCAAATATGAACGGCGGACACGTCAGGGCAAGTGTAACCGTGCGGTCGAATCCGAGTGTACCGACCACCGTGGGAAAGAAGTTGTTGAATCCGGCGGCGGACAGATGGAGATTTTGCATCAAGGCCAGAAGATAGAGGCGGGGGTCGGAAAATGCGATTTTCAAGCTCTGGAGAGCACTTTGAGATTGCGTTTTCTCCACCGTATCCCTGGCAATTCTCTCCTGGGCTATCGCCATCTCGCCTTCGGAAAGCCAGCGTGTTGACGAAGGATGGTCCGGCAGTGCCCACATAGACAGTAGCGCGATGCCGAATGTGACGGACCCCTCAATGATGAACAGCCTCGTCCGCGTGTTAGTGAGTGCCAGAAAGAATGTGTCAAGTCTCTCACCATCTCCAGCCTTCAATTCCGTGAGCTCCGTCAATTGTAGAAAATATGGCAGCAGCAATCAGTCCAGAGAATGCTGTGGAAAGGATATTCGCCGAATACAGAATCGCAATACGCGTAGCAATCTCTTTTCTTGTGTAGAAGATGGATAGGAGGAATAGAGCACCCGGGTAGACTGTAGAGGTTAGCAACGCTCCATCCTATACCCGGTGAGCACTCACAAGGCGCTTCGGCGACTCCCAGAAAGAAGCGAGCGATCAAGAGCCCGTGATAATTCTGAACTAAAGCAGTACATGCTGAGCATACGGCCCACAGTGCCATGCAGCAGCCCATGTAGATTGAGGGCCGAATCCTCTTGGATGCCATGAGCATGTTGGATGGCAGCTGCATCAACAGGTATCTGTGGTTCGATTAGCAGATATTGGCCGCCAAAGCTTGAATAACTGCTTCTTACCCAACGAAGAGAATTGAAATGCAGGTATTGTATTCAGAACCCGTGAGGCCGATATCGTCTTCCAACTTATTGAGACGTGCTGAGGCGATCGCTTGTTTGTCGAGCTTCCCGCATCATTAGCTGAGCGTGTATTGCACTGGAATTCGACTCACATAGTTCATGAAATACATCGCCCAGATCATAGGCATGATTCGGCAGTCGAGCTTCCTGACGAGGGCAATTTCCGCAGGATCAGTCTTGCTTGTTGCTCCGGAGTAATCGTACGTCTGTGAGGCCGAGAGCTTTTCAAGGTTGACCTCGACCTCGATCAGCTCATCATGAGCCTTTTCCACAGCCACGGACGTTTCAATGGCTTTAGAATGCATGGTGAATGCAATTACTGTGCAGTCTCTCCTTTCAGATACGGATTTGCCAGGAGCGAGAATAGAAGAAGTGAAGATACTTGGACGGAGGTGTATGAATGGATCTTATATCTCAGAGGTGAGAACAGTGAACGAGAACCCCAGCCTCCGTCCCCATGGGGTTGTTAGGTCAATTCGAATACCCGCTTGGAAAGTGTCAGTCGGCGCAAGGAGGAATGTGTTTTCGGTGTAGAATTTATGCGGACAGGACCTCTGCACGCTCCCTGCGGGTATGATAAGGCTCGGCGGATTGCTCTTCTAAGCAGGCATTTTACCAGGAGATATCTCCAACCTGGCACTTGCCGACGGCCGTTTACAACTCTGCGAAAAGTATATTTAGTGATGGTGCAAGATCAATCGGTTAAAGGAAGCGGGGACGAGATCGTATAGTGATCCATCGAGCAGCATGCTTCAATCGTGATTTGACTCGGTCCTGACTCTTCGACAGAGTCCGTATTGAACATAGCCTTCCGGTTCAATGCTCCAGGGAATGTGTTTGGTACAAGTCTGGAACCTCTGTTTCGCAGTCAAGTGTTCCCGAACGGCCAAGGAACGTCGGGCTGCCTTCGGGTAATTTTCTGGCCGCACTCTCGTCGCCTGATGTCTTCAACCGGGAACCTGACAAAAAAAATCGAGGTGAATGTTAACATCTCGCTCGATATGCTGCTTTGCTGCAGTCGCACTGGAGGATGTGTTTCGGTGGCAGGCGTTGAATGAAGGAGTGTGGTGACATCCAAACCACAGTTCCGACGCCTTCTCGGGTACAGAATCTGCCTGCTTCAAAACATGTTCTTGTCAGGCGCGCGGCCATCGAGCGATTCGGCCCGCACGTCAAGCGATTTGTTGATGTTGGTTCAACAAGCTGTGGAATCTCGTCGTTTCGGTGTCAGAGAATAGGTACGTTCGAAGGATTTAGTGCGCAAACGTACAACGGTGCGTCATAATAGGCATGAAGTGCAACCTGCAATTTGCGGAGAAGCGCAGCGTGGGCAACCACCAAATCTGTCGTTTCAACTTGTCTGTCGTCCACATTGCCGATATCCGACTTGAGCCACCCAGCGAGCCGCCTGCTCCAGCTGCCCGTTCCCTGTGTCCGGTTTCCTGTTCTGGAGCGGAGTCTTCTGGCCCGCTTCCTCTTCGGAATAGTGCTTGTTGAGTGCCATAGACGTACTCTCTCCAGAACCTCAATTTGACATCGCAAGCGATGGAGTGACGTACCCTCACAGCTCGAGCTTCAAACATGGATGCGTCTTTGACTCCCACCGGCGTTGATTCAAGCCGTTTCTGGCATCAACATGATGGTGCAGGTGATTGTGGGCCGTGTCAACAGGGGCCGCCGGTATCCGAGCTCACGATCCAGCGTCGCCTCGGAGGTACATTTAGGGAGTGATCACAAGGAGCAAGAGATGAGGACGATCACCGAGAGGGGATTGCATTGCAGTGATTTAAATCGAACGTAACCCTGTGGGAATTGCGTTCACCTTCAATTGATCGCTCGACCTTGGATAAGGTCTGTGACGCTGTCACGACGACTTCACCATGGCCAGCTTCATCTCTTTATTCTTACTCGCTTTGAGCTCTTTGTTCGCTTTCTCTAATTCTCAGCCGAGCCCATCGAATGGTAGCTACGACATGTTCTGGGGAACTTCAAGTTATTATGCCCACGGTCAGTAAGATGTACGAAAGGCAGGCTATCTCTCATTTGATTCAGGACTCGATGAAGTTACTCGGACCGCGTGGCTCGATGGCCTGCAGCGGGACGGGGCACGTATCATTAGGATCTGGGTCAATGGCATTTCACCAGGAACTTATAAAGGCACGAACGTAACGGTGACCATTCCCGATCTCGAAGAAACTGTGGGCATCTTCAACGACACCGTTCTAGATGCCATTGACGGTCTCCTCATGGAAGGGCATCGTCGTGGAATCAAGTTCATCATTTCAATCCATGATGGGAACGCGTTCGGGCAGAATTCTTGCGACGCCTATTGTACCGAGTTTGGGGGTTTCGGCCCTGCCACTGGAACACCGATTACGCTGGGGAACTCGTTCTACACAAATCCTACAGCAGTGGCCGCTTTTGACAACAGAATTGCCCACATAATGAACTATCAGTCGCCAAATTTTGGCAAGCCGTGGGGTCAGCTAACGGAAGCAATAGCTGCATTCGACATTGAAAACGAACCGATGATCCAGGCTATCACCCAGCTCGACAGTGTTGGCCCAACCTGGTTCTGCGATCGCGCAAAGCAGTTTAAAAAGTATATCGGCTCCGCTACCATCGCCGTCTCGACCGGTGGTGCTGGCGGTAGTGGAAATATCTACCAGAACTGGAACTGGAGACCGTGGCTTTTTACCTGTCCAGATATCGATTGGATCGCTTTACATGGTTATGACGGCGACTGGACTCAATGGGTGCCAAATGCTACCGCCCTCGCTGCTCAATACAACAAAAAGTTGTTTGTGGAAGAATGGGGAGTTGTTGCATCTGCACGAGCAAACAACCTTGCTTGGAATTTTGAGAAATTTGTCGAACTCGGTCTCAGCTGGGTTTATTGGGAGCTCGTTCCAGGGCCGATAAAAAGCTGCTACTGTGGTTCAGACCGCAGCAACGCTGTGTTTGAAGTTAGCGCAACACCAAAAAGATATAATCCAGGTTGGCTGACTCTTAGCAGGTGCAGCTTGATGGCCCAGACTATCCAGGCTTTCAGAATATTGCAAATCGCACATTGACGGCAAAGTCTGCATATGACTTCTCAGCCTATCTGGCTCTGTGACAGGCGAGGAGGAAAACAGGTTCTAGGTCGCAGCAAACATGTAAGCACCCGTATGGCCGTATGGCTGAATGTGCATGACTAGAAGGCCAAAAATTGCAACTTTAGGCTTCTAAAGTGAGAGCTCTAGCCGCTAGGTTCGATTAGGGTATGCAGATAGCAGAACGACCTTGTCGTTTCAGTTCAGAATGGGCGCCAGAGAGTTTCACGCCACGGCCGATTTCAGCTCGTCCTATGTCCTCGGTCGTAGCGTCAATAATCTTCTATTCCACGGAACTGACGGTCCCCCACCGTCGTGTACGACCAACCGTTCCCGTTTATTTCGCATCCCTGCAACGACCGAAGTGCATCAAGGCCATTCACTTTCGACAAATGAAGGGGAGGGCCACAGGCATACCATATCCACTACTCATGCAACCTCACACCCTCGTCACTCCAGGGAGGGTTAAGCGAACGTCATCCCAGTCGCATGCAACCAAAGATCAACACCTGCCCATGGGGTAAGGTGTCTTTCCCCTCACAAAATCGCTGGGGATCAGGCTACGCTTTTCCTGATATGAAGCGGAGGAGCAAAGAGTCCGTGCCCAATGTGGTAGTTGATCTCCACTCATTGTATGAGCGTGGTTGTCGATAGTCCGGGTCTTCATTCAGGGAGCATATAAATTGGCAGGTCGTCCTGCTTGCAGAGGTGCGTCTTAGACTATCACATCTCTCCTGCTCATCTTTTCACCATGGCAGCACTCAGTGTAAATATGTTCCTCTTCAAATTTGTTCGTAAGAAATTGACGATGTGATAGGAAAAAGAGACTCTTCAGCAGCTGGAAGACTCAAAGGTTACTGCCACCGACGAGGAAATCAGTGCCGTCAATGCAGATTTTGCTGCTGCCCTCGGTCAGAATGCCCCCAGTCCATGGGGGCGTGGACATATCGCCCTGTACGGCTGCTGTCTCGTTGTGTATCTCTGTTCCACCATGAACGGTACGTATCACTGTAAGTGCATAATGTGGAGATTACTGACGAAAGAAAGGCTACGATGGCTCTCTCATGGGCAGCATCAATGCTCTCCCCAATTATCTCCACTACTATAACGTGTCGGAGAATGAACAAGCCGGTACTGGGATTGTCTTCGCAATCTTCCAGGTCGGACAAATGACAGGGGCCCTGTTTGTTTGGTTGGCAGACTGGAAAGGACGCAAGGTGCCAATATTTCTCGGTTGTGCCGGCGTGATAGTTGGCACGATCATCACTGCAACTGCGAAGAAAAGTAAGTGGACTCGTCTCATGATATGCTGGCTGGCGCTGACATTCTCAGTGGCTACATTCATTGGTGGTCGCTTCTTGCTATCGTTCTTCTGCACATGGGCTACAACTGCAGCACCCATGTATGTCGTCGAGATTGCGCCTCCTTTGGTAAGGGTGACTTCCTTCACGCAGGACAGGGGATTAACATTAGGAACTAGTATCGTGGTACCGTGTCTGGACTCTATAACACTCTCTGGTATATGGGTTCGATCATCGCCACCTTCGGTAAGCTGTTCTCCACGACCGCTGACCAGTCTCTCTGACATTCTTTCAGCCGTCTACGGGACGCATCTTCATTTCACATCAAACCTAGACTGGCGGCTGCCACTATGGCTTCAACTACTCTGCCCAGGCATCGTCTGTCTCACAGTCTGGTTTCTTCCAGAATCTCCTCGTTTCTTGGTCGCCACCGATCGCCTTGATGAAGCTCGAGATTTCATTGTGAGATACCATGCAAATGGAGATGCGTCACATCCCATCGTCAACCTCGAACTGAATGAAATCCAACACAATTTGCGTGATATTCCGTTGACCTCGTGGAGTAACTTCTTTGATCTCCGAATTCTCGTCAAGTCTCGCTCAAGGCGATATCGAAGCATGCTGAATCTTGCGTGGAGTTGGTTTGGCCAGTTCTCTGGAAACAAGTGGGTGTCAATTCCAAAATTTGCGACCACCTGCTGACCGAGTTAGCGTGATATCTTACTATCTGCCCCTGCTCCTTACCAATGTTGGCGTTACAGATACCAATACCGTGCTCTTACTCAACGCGGTGTATGCTCTGACTGGTTGGATTGCTGCCGCTGCTGGAGCCCGCTTCCACGACGTCTTCGGTCGGCGAAAGATGATGCTGGGATCCACCTTTGGCATGATCATCTGTCTATCCATCACCGCCGGAACCGCAGCAGGATACGTCAATACCGGATCGAAAAGCTCGTCGGATGCGAGCATCGCGTTTATCTACATCTTTGGTGTCGTTTTCGCATTCGCCTACACAAGCATGCAACCCATATACCCCGCCGAGGTCATGTCGAATGAAATGCGAGCTAAAGGGATGTGGCTCTTCCAGTTTACGGCTGGTCTCGCTTCATTTGTCAACACCTTTGCTGCGCCTGTGGCCTTGAAGAACATCAAGTACTGGTTTTATGTTTTCTTCGTGTTCTGGGATTGCTTCGAGTTCCTCTTCATCTACTTCTTCTTTGTTGAAACCAAAGGCAGGACTCTCGAAGAATTGGATGAAGTATTTGAAGCGAAGAATCCGAGGAAGGCAAGTACGAGGAAGGTCGTGGTGAGAAGACGAGAAGTCGTGGACAAGGAAGGTGTCCACAGTGTCCACGTCTCGGAAGTGGATCAGCTCGCTTGAGTCCTTTCCCGGGTCGGTATGTGACTGGGTTCAAACAGTCTGAACGCAGATTGCTCAAGAGTAAGCATGGATTGACATGCGAGACTGGAATATTGACAATGTGGCGGTAGTCATCAAGGGTCAGATCAAAAAGAGGGACAGCAGCTAAGAGCCCGGCACACAGAAGGAACAGTAGTACACTGGCATCTGAATACGACATTGACATTTTTTATACCTAAAGTAGTGTGGCATTACCCACTCCCTGACCATTTCATTCCTTGCGCTTTTGCATGACAGGAGAGAGGTGTCAACTATGTAGGTGCATATACGATAGTACGAAATCCATTGATCGATGTTGTTCGCACTTCGCCTCCTTTTTCCTTCTTCAAGGTCAGACCTTGTGATTTTGATCGCCAATCTCTGTCCTGATGTCCCCAGAAAGTGTCCCCGTCGGTCGAGTTGTTGTTATAGTTCACTCTGTATTCCGTGTTGGGCTCTCCCCGAGCGGACTGCAGCCAAACGCCCAGAAATAGGCTGGTCAAGAAGATGCCCATGCGACTGTGCCACTGGATGCGGTGTCCTGGTCTCCAAGCCGTTTTCCGATGGCTCGTTGAATACTGGATGTTATGCTAGCCCTAGGCAAGCCGCGGACTGGGTCTACATCACGGCTCTTTTCCCCTCCCCTGATAGGGCTACAGCCGGTGAATGTGTAAAGAACTCGAGACTGCGGTACCTCGTAGTCTATCAGCTGCACAGTCGTCATCACATTATCTCCGTCCGCTCACGCGTAGCTGGGCACCTCGACATTCTTCACGACGACCTTGTTATCCTTGTTGTTTGCATAGTTGGCGTCGATGCTGGCGAACCGTATCTTGACCCATTCCTCCGCGGTGACTCCCTTTGGAGGCATGGCCCTATTATTGTTGCCTTTGACCTTCTCTCTTTCTAGGAGTGGACTCCTGACCGGTTCGAGGAGGGTGTCGTCGTCCGGGTTGGCGAAGTAAATCACGCCGTAGCGGGGGACATGTCTCTGGTCCTCGGGCGGCAGCACGACCCTGTGGATCGAGCTTTCGAGGTATCCACCGGTCAGGAACGAGAGGGTGTCAGCGACATTGACGGTAATGCTGCCCCGGAGCGGTTTCACCCATTTCCACTCTGTTTCGCCGTACGGTCGGACCTGCAGGGCCGCAACGGGCTGGCGCATTAGCAACGTCAACGACCCAAAGTCCGTGTGGCCGTAGACGTTGTGCTGGACGTTGTGCTTCTCCATAATGTCCAGCTCGTCGCTGGTCCGCGGGTGGTAGAGCATGTACCGCAGGTGGCATTGCGATCGGGCGTCGTAGTTGTGCAGTTTCCACAACGCCTCCTCGTCCTCCAGCTCCATGATGATGGCGCACAGGATCAAGAGCCGTCGGAGCACGTAGGTCGCCATGTGTCTTTGGAACCGTTCCGCCCTCGCGGCCGCGTGGACCAGCGGCGCCGGGCGTGGCAGGCCCTTGTAGGCCTCGCACCATTTCGGGTCGTCGTAGAGTTCCAGGTTATCGACCAGCCCGTGCTGTTGCTTCCTGCTACCCCGGGGCTTCCAGCCAAAGAACCCCAGTCCGTCTTTCCCCACGCGGCACTTTTGCTTTTCTTCGTCCGGGAGGTCGAAGATGGCCTTGGCGAGCGCGAATTGCTCATTAACTTCTTCCTCCGAGAGGCCGAAGTTGGTCACGTAGAAGAATCCCACCGTGGAGATGGCGTGCTTGAGTTGCGCCGCGAGCGCCTGTTTTCCGCCCGGCTCGTCGTACCGTGACAGGTCGATGGTGATGAGGTCTGCCCAGTCTAGCTCCGCTTGGGTTTCGGGAATGTCCTGATAGCGTGTGTAATCGACGCCCAGGGAGCCCATTTTTCTAGTGTTCGTTTTGACGAGGAGAGAGTTGGGATTTGAAGCTCAAGTCTACAAGATTTTGAAATACAACTCTGATGATGAACGCATTGGATTAGTTTCCACCACCAGTAAAAGCCAGCATACCAAAACTTTTAAGAATGCTTCCGAAGGGTCCAAGTATGTAATGCGGAGAGACCGAGGATATCCGGCTATCCCAAAGGATGCACAAACGAGTGTGGCATGGAGCAAGAGAGTTTCGAACTATATCTCAACCGTGTAAAACTTATTGGTTGATGTCAACCAGGCTGTTTACTCGTATAGTAGGCCCCATAGTTCAACCCAATGACCAGACTAAAGGTGGCTTATTTTCTCCGCCTCACAAAGACTTCCAGCCCACTCTGGACCACGAAGAAGGTCGAGTGGGACTTTAGAGGCCGTCCGGCGTAGACAAGCTCAAAGTCGAAGTTCATGAGTAGTTGAGGCAGGATCTTGTTCATCTCAAACTGCGCGAGGTTCCGTCCAATGCAAAGATGTCCGCCGCCTCCAAACTATATCGCCGGTGGTGTTAGTTGGCTTTTAGGTCCTGGGAGGCTGTGATGCCGCAGTTGATGGCTTACCTGGTACATATGCTTCTTCATGTCCCTAACATCGCCAGAAAGCCAGCGCTCAGGTCGGAAGTCGTCGACATTGTCGCCGAAAAGAGTATCGCGATGGACCGCCCAGCCATTGACGGATGCCACGATCCCTCCCGGGTAATGACGACCGTCAATTGTTGCGCCTTGTTTCGGAACGTATCGAGGAATGCTCAGTCCGACTGCAGGCCGCAATCGCATTGCATCCAATAGACATGCCTGGAAATACGGCAAATCCTGTGCTTCTGCCCAGGTCACATTGGGCGATAGATGGGCTTGCCGGATCTCTTCGCAAAGTTTCCGATATACTTCCGGGTTGGTCAGTACGAAATGGAAGAATGATTGCATCGTAGAAGCAGTTGAATCAGCACCGGCGCCTCTGTCGGAACAGTTAGAGCGAAAGTGTGCAAGGCTGGACCTGTGGAACATTACTCACATTGCGCCATGAGCGACCGAGAAGATATCCATCTCGGAGAACTTGCTCGGATCTTTGGCGCTGCCCTCCATCAGTTGGCCCAGCAGATCTCGCCGGTCGGGCTCGAGGAAGAAGCCATCAGTCTTGCTCTGTTTCCTTTTGGCTATTTCGCCTAAGGCCATTCGTGTGACTTGTGGGGGACTCAACAGCGTTAAGAGGTACTGGAACACGGGGCTTTCCCGCAGTACGTGTCGTAGCTCGGGAACTTGACCAACAATGCCGTCGTACCACTGTACGTCGTCAATCAGCTTAATGGTACCTCCGACGTCTTTCTCCTGTGCGACGAATCCATAGCGCTGTGAGAATGCAAACTCTCCAACAACCTAGAGGATAGTCAGCTACGCCTTGGGAGAACATGAGGATCGTTCCTACATCAAAGGCAAAGTAATGGAGCAAGTCGCCAAGATCACACACCCTCCCGGAATCGGCATACTCGCCAATTTTGGCTATGAGGACCTTTTGCACGTCCTCGATCCAGGGGCTCATCTTCTGCACACTGGCAAGACTATAGGGAACTACAGCCACCCGCTTCATGGCGGCATGTTTCCACTCCCTTGTCTCCGTGAAGATGTCCGGTGCATGTTTCGGTGGGAATACATTGTAGAATTCGGTTTTGGTGAAGCCATTTCCGGGGGCCAGGATGTCGTGCGCAGCAACGGGCGAGGCGAAGGAGAGCTCGTTGGGCGCAACGCGCACGACACTCCCGTATTTTCGGTGCAAGTCGATGAAATCAAGTTCCGTGTGGCCCTTGTACACGCTCCATACCTTCCACAGGCGAGTGCAGGAACAGATCCACGGGCCCGGGTATTTTGCAAGGGGGTGGAAGTACCGGCGATAGATGCAGCGCAGGACAATAAAGAGCACAAACAACAAAGCGAGGTTGCTTTTGATAGACAACAGAATGTCAGTGACGAGAGCTGATGGCGCTGCCGCCGTCTCCTTGGCCATTTTGATCTTGCTTGGTTTTCGCTTCGACAAAGGTCTAACTTTTCATACGCCGATAGTTATAGCCAAGAGAGGTCGGAACCGAAGCTTGAGCAACAGATCTTTGAGGTAGCGCCCGCTAACAGATGAGGATTTCATGGGTGACACAAACGGTAAGCACTTAATCTAACATTGAGCCGACTGCAAGGGCCCCGCCGAATGATTTACTCGTATGGGGCGGACTCGGTGAAGACGGCGAACAACATTTCGCCGTGACCCCTGTATACGAGCCATTTCGAGCTTGGAACATTGAGGGGCCAAAATGCATCGCATTTCGCATTTTTTGGGACCTGATTCTAGACCGCCATCCTGGAACGCGTGTTGCAAGAAGCCAAAGGTTTAAGTTATTATAAGCTCCAGCGGCGACCAGTCTTCCGCATCCATCCTTGTGATACGAAGTATGAAGACCGCGCTTCTCCACATATCTCCCTTTCGGGTTATCCGAGGAGACTACTAGGGTCTGGGCCCTTAAATGAAGGTGAGAGTCTAACAGACACTATCGTGCCTCATAATACCAAACACATCCTCGACCGAATCATGGGCGACGCGAATGGAACATCGTCTCGTGAAGAATTGTACAAGGCGGCGCGAGAGCATCTGCGCGAAGAGGGTTGGGCCGTCATTCCCAATGTTCTGAGCAAGGAAGAAACGAGGAATGCCCTTGACAGACTATGGAAAGCCAAGGAGGCGGGTGAAAGTCGAGGCGATGCGACTTACATTCCTCGCCTGGATCCCAACGACGCCAACGTTCGGGTCTTCTACCTTCTCGAACTGGACCAGATCTTTCGAGACCTCATCGTCCACCCGGTGGCACTCGACATGGTGAAATCTGTCCTAGGGGACAACTTCTTGATCTCCAACTTCACGGCGAATATTGCCCGACCGGGCAGTCAGTCTATGGCACTCCATAGCGATCAGAGTATCGTGGTGCCGGAACCCTGGAAGGAAGTGTGGGCGTTGAACGTCATCTGGTGCCTAACCGATGTGTACGGCGACAACGGCGCAACCCTGTATATCCCTGGATCGAACAAGTACGAGTCGAGGAAGGACATCCCATCAAATGCCGACAAGTTGCTCCGACCCTTTGAAGCCAAAGCAGGCAGTGTCATTCTGATGGATGGCCGTGTTTGGCACACGTCCGGTGCTAACATCACCAAGGATCAAGACCGGGCTTTGATGTTTGGATATTACACCAAGTCTTTCCTTCGACAGCAAGTCAACTGGACGGCGAAGTTACCTCTCGAACTACAAGAGACTCTGAGTGACGAAATGAAGGAGTGGTTGGGCTTGGGTTATAATGCCAATATTGCTAGGACGGGGAATACTTCGTACAATTATCTCAGTAGGCAGTTTCCCAAAGCAGAAGCCCAAGTTTAAACGGCGCGGAGTACAAGGAGGCCTTGTACAGCATTCCGAGCTTGTTTTGATATCTTGCCACCGTCTCAGTTTCTGTCTGCTACAGAATGAATTACTAGCAGCAGCATCGCTCACGTTGGCGCAGTCGGTCTCCTGTCTCTCGAGATGCTCGTCCTCGGTTCCTGATTAGTTACAGTGCGGAGATCAGATTCAGAAGACAGACTATGGCCCAATGAAGATAGAGATCCAGACCACCACACTCCCGAGGCTTACTTGAAGAGGATTTGATTGCAGTGGGGGGTTTTCGGACCAAAACAATGGAAGAAAGGCTGAATGAGCCTTGTGAGAAGATCTGACTCTCCCCTGCATCCGCTCTATCAGATAAAAGAGGATCTTACTCCCATATCCTCGGGCCTGGGCCCCTTCATTCGTTCACATATCCATATCCCACCATGGCGACCCAGACAGCCACGCAGACGCAGCCTGTCTCGGTAGTAAAGATCAAAGGGAAAGCGGCGGACATTGACAAGCATGTCAACCTGGCCAAGTTCTCCAAGGACGTGCCAAAGGCCGACTACGATCGGGCAGTGGATCTGATCAAGTCTAGGCTGGATAACATGTCTCTCGTTGCAGCCAAGCTCTCACTTACTCTCGGGCCCAACCACCCTCCGTTGTTAATCGATGCACGGGCCAGCCCCGCGACGCTCGATTTCATTGCCGACGAGATGCCCGAAGATTTGGATGCCCAGGTCTACATCACGGCTGTCATGATCAAGAGATTCGTTGACGGCCTCATGGACGCCCGCTATGCTCTCAACTGGGGCCATATCTTCATGCTCACTGGTCCCACCCGAGTCGGAGTCAAACTCGTCGACGCTCTGACACCATTCAACGCCGTCCATCCTAAGCTGGACCGACTGGATCTCAAGGACTTGCCGAAGCCCACCGAGGATATTGCGCAAGTCCAGCGAGATCTCGACGTCTGGGGGTATGGGTTTGTCAAGAACGCTCTTACTCCAGAAGAAGTCCGCGTATTGAGGAAGCGGCTTATGGACCAAGCCAAGGGCGAAGCAGACGCCGGCATTGGATTCTTCGACGGCGGGGAGAAGAAGCCTAATCAGCGCGTCTGGTGCCTGCCCAACAAGGGTCAAGAGTTTATCGATTTGCTAGAGAACAACAAGACCATCCAAGACGTGGTGCCGGACTTCCTAGGCGACGACGCAATCTTGTTCTCGTATACGGCGAACATTGCTCGGCCGGGCAACACCCCGATGCACATGCACACTGACCAAATCACCATCCAACCACCGATCAGATCCGTCGCGGTTGGTATGAATCTGATGTATTTCCTCGAGGACGTCACCCCAGAAAACGGTGGGACTTTGGTCATGCCAGGGAGCCACAAGGGCAACTGGGCGCCGGACGATCCATACGACCCGGTCGATACTGTGGCTGCAGCTGGTCCTGCTGGAACCTGTATGGTATTTGAAAGCAGACTATGGCATGCGACAGGTGCGAATAAGATGCCCGCAGACAGTGGCAGTGAGCGGCCCGTCATTCTGGTGTTCTTCACGCGGCCGTGGATGAGACAGCAAGAGAACTACTCGCTGTCCGTCAAGGAGGACGTGCTTGCCATGTGCTCCGACAAGGTCAAGGGCTACATGGGATTCAGGACCACTGGAAGCATTGGTGGGGTCCAGACTAGGAAGAAGGATGGAGAGATTGTGAGACGACCAAAGGAAGACGAGTATATTGGCGTCATGGGCGTGGGCAGTTCTAAGTACTAGAGTAGTCTACATAGCCGTCGAGTCCCACCCGCGCAAACCGGGCGTCAACAGATCCTGTGCTACAATGGTCTCACGCTTTGCCAGCAGCTCTTCAACATCCCAGTTCACGTACAACAGTCGATTCTGAAGAAACGCCGCCTCAGGAGCGTTTAGCCAGACGCAGAAGTCGGCAGCGAGTTCGGCTGGACAAGTCAGTCAAGCCGAGGATGCTTGGTAGATTTCTTTCTCGTACCGGTGTCATCACAGACGGAATTCCCTTCCTTGGCCATTGCTGTAGCCACGACCCCTGGGTGGACATGAAACACCTTGAGGCCACGCTGGGCCTGTTCGTGGTAGAGGTAGCTGAACATCTTCAACGCGGCCATTTTGCTGGCGGCGTAGCCGGACAGGCCGGCGACGAAATCAATCACGGCGGCCCCAGACGAGATGTTCAGGACGGTTGGGTGATCCGACGCATGTTCCAGGAATGCGGTAGCCAGGGCCAGTGGACCCTTGACGTTGACCTCGAAATGTCTCCAGTACCTCTCAAAGTCCCAGTTGCCACCGTCCGGAGACGGTGTCGTAGGCATTGACGCGATATACCCGGCGTTGTTCACGAGAATGTCGAGCGGACGGCCAGCGATCTTGCACGCCTCTGCGAAGACCTGCCGAGCCTTGTCGAGCCCCTCGCTGACATCGAAGACAAACTTGCCCACAATGGCACGGGGACATTCCTGCGATATTCGTTGTTGTGTCTCCTCGAGAGTCGACGGCGTCCGACCACAGAGAAAGACAGCCGTGGCCCCGGCTCTTGCGAAAGACAGTGCCGTCGCCGCTCCAATGCCTGTGCCAGATCCGGTAATGAAGGCGACCTTGTTCACCAAGTCTGCGTTCTTCAGTCGTTCTTGCAGCACTGGATATGTGTCATGGTGGAAATTGGAGGTAAAGTTCTCTCGTGTGATAATGGACATGTTGGACCGGAGTTGCACTGCCCTTCAGATGGCAGTATGCTGCACAAGATTCCTGGGCTGAAAGCCCCCTGGCAAGGGACCATCACCGCCTTTGCTCAAGGCTACCCTCTCCATGATGAGAGCCATACGCCGAACAATACAGCCTCGGCGACGATGAAAAGAGGAAATCTCCAGTCCCACTACCCTAACCTGCTTTCCGATAACCGAGGAGCCGAGATTGCGGGGTTGTTGGCCCAGCACGAGAAGCTCCACTTCGACCCCAACATTGCGGGGAGAAGCTTGTTCTCGATCGGCGATGGCAGGGGGCAGACCCTGCAGGAAGGCATTGTGTCTGCGGATGGAGGTGGTACACCAGGTGCACCGCTGTTTGAGCTTGTTCAGCCTGCGATTCATGACCTTCCCACCCTCGAATTGTTCGCGACTCGGATCGTGCGACCGTTCCCACGGAGCACGACTCTTTTGGGAGCAAAGCCATTGATCGTTCAGCAGCAGCAGTCCCAGTTGCCCGACCTACCTTCCCACATCAAACATGAGCACGCTACAGCCAGACTCTGAGACCTTCTCCGGGTCCAAATACAGGTTCATCCGAAACAAGCCCCCAAAGAAGCGTTCCTCACAAGCATGCCTCGAGTGCCGTCGGCGCAAGGTTCGTTGCGATATCGTGGCTCAGAAGCCAGGCTCGTGCACGAACTGCCGACTCGACGGAGTGACGTGTGAGCTGGGACGAAGAAAGAGGCGGCCACCGTATGTTTCGATGCAGGTGCTCTCAGGCTGGTCTTGCTGATGGGAAAACGCAGAAGACATGAAACCATCCAACCCTCGCCTCCAACGCCCGACTCGTCCATCTCGTCCCATCGACATTTCGCGGCGAATCCAGAGGTCGATGCGCCGACTGCTCAGAATGATGACCGTGGTGCCTTTGATATCCTTTCCAGCCCGGCGTTCACATTTCACGACGATACCCCTCGGCAGCAGCACCTGAATCCCGAGATCACTGCTCCAGCACTCTCGGCGCTCGCCAAGCTAGCTACAGACATCGACCTGCCGCCTTTCATCAAACCGTTTCCCGAAACCCTCCAGGCTGAGGACTGGCAGTACCTTTGCGCGAAAAAATGTTTCGACTTTCCTCACCCGGATTTTGAAAGAATCATCTTTCAGCGCTTCGCCGAGTTCGTCCACCCACTTCTCCCCGTTGTTGATATTCCCGACGTCATTTCCGCCATCACCGGGGAATCTCCGAACAAGATATCGCTTCTACTGTACCATACACTGGTTGGAGCTGGCCTCGCTGCCGTGGAACTTGATGAGATCAAGAGGTATGGATACGAGAGTAAAGCGGCCGCGAGAAATAGCTTCTATTCCAAGGCAAAGGTGGGGTCCATTATGAGGAATGTAAGGAAGCACGCTAACACAATACCAGGCACTCCTCGACATGGAAGTGGAGCCTGACCGTATGACAATGTGTCAAGCGGCCCTGTTGTTCATCAGCTGGTCGAGCAACAATGATCCGAAAGACGGGCTGCATTGGACGGGGATCGCTCTGACCCAGGCATACTCGATAGCTCTCCAGAAAACAGCCAACAACGCCGATTCACCCTTGAAAAGACGTCTTTGGTGGACGTTGGTGATGAAGGAATCCGATGTGTGTCTCTCCATGGGCAAGCCACCGCGCATAATGGCCCTGGACCAACTCATGCTGGATCATGCAGACTTCGGCAGCAGTGGGCGCGAAACATCCTCCTGGCAGCATATGCTCGAAGCAGCCTGCATTGAGAAGGCCAAACTCTGTCTTGTCATTCACAGAATCCTGCGCTTGTTGCATACCGTCGATCGACGGAGTGTTTCTCCGGGGGCTCAAGATTCCCGAGTCTGGCAAATGGATTCGGAACTGCAAGACTGGAAGCATCAAGCACCTTTCGATCTGTGGCGGTTTTCGGACGACTTTGACTCGAAACGCGCCCTCTTGACCGTTTCCATGGTCAAGTTGACTTTCCTCATGGCGGCGATAATGCTGCATAAGCCGGAAGTTCCCATCAAGAAATGGACCAAGTGCATGGAAGAGACGCCTGACCTGTACCTGGACGAGGAGCTCTGCAGGTATCAAGCTCACGCCAGGGCGATGAGGAGAGCCGCAGATGACATGACTCGCATCCACAAAGACTTGCACGATGCCGGTCTGACGAGTGTGATTCCCGCTCTTGGAGTTGCGACTATTTGTGCGGCTGTCAGCGTCCATTTACTGGATGCCCGGTCGACCAGCGAGGCGATACGGGCGAGGAGTCTGCAGCAACTAGATGGTTGCTTGGTTGTCTTGCGGGAAGTCAGGAATCTCCACTACACTGCCGGCGAAGTCGCTAAGATCGTCGAAGGTGCCATCAGAGCAGTGCGCGAGAATAGGGCGCTGGAAATCATGAAGCCCTCCGGAACGGCTCAGACGATATGCAATACGCTGCCCCAGGCGGAAGATATATCAGACCAGAACGGACAGGACAATTCAGCCGCGAATATCTGGATCGATCCGTCACTCGATGTCGAGTACCTTTTCAACTTTGACCTGGAAAGGGACCTCTTTTTTGAATAGGGGTCTCATCGGAAACAAGCACTATGGGCATTCGACTGGCTACTGGCATTGTTTACAACGTAGCGACCAAGACAAGGTTCGGAAGCAATTTTACTGCATCAACATTCACCTGCGTTCTTGCGAAACTTCTCACAGTCCCACACAAGTTTGTGATTTGCAGAATATAACGTACATCCAGTGGTGGAGAATTTCGGGCCATCAGTCATGATGATATGGCATCTTTTGAAAGTTGGTCTCCGTAGAGACGTAGTTACTCCGTACTTCCTTCTCCGACCAAGCGAAAGGCCACAGGGGAGTCATTGCAAATCAGGCAGGTGATGACATAGCTAGGCTATAGGTCAATAAAGACAATGCCGAGCGACCGAGGAAGAGATCTTCTGATTTGAGTGTTGACTTTATTCCATCTTCGCAGCTCGGTCCTGGGTGAGCAGCCGTATGGCAACCTCGAAGGTCATATTTTTTGTCTGACGAAAGAAAAACAGCTTCGGCCTAGTTGACATCTTCGGATAGTGCCTGAGTAGCGAGCAGAAAAGGCACGTTAGGCGCACCCCGAGTACCACTTCGTCTGATAACAGCCCTGGAGTGTCTAGATAACGGAGCCTCCCGATCGCCCATCCTTCAAGTTCTTCGATCCTCAGGCGCCTGTGAGCCTACATCTTCATCCAATGTCACGTCTCTCTCAAGTTTCGATTTCTGGGACGGCTTGTTTGATCTGCCCCGCGGCCATAAATCATGTCTACAAACGCAAACGAACAGCCTACGTTCACAATCCCGACGGTTGACCTGACAGCCTACCTCAATGAACCTGAATCTTCCGAGGCCGAGAATATCGTGACACAAATTCGCACTGCTTGCACAACAATTGGCTTCTTCCAAATCACTGGACACGGTGTCCCGGAATCACTTCAGAAGCGGGTGTTTGCTGCAGCGAAGGCGTTGTTTGGTCTACCTGACGACGAGAAGCAAAAGCTCAGAGGGAAACCCGGGCGTGGCTTCGAGCTCATTGGGGCCCAGACGCTGGAGGATGGCAAGAAGCCCGACTTGAAAGAGGTACAGTGGTTCTCAGCTGACCTCGTAGAATGACAAGTTGCAAGTTAACACTTTATGAGGGATGGTATGTTGGTCGCGAGATGCCCGGCAACAAGCCGCCATTCAGACCTTTCCAAGAAGCAAATATCTGGCCACATCAACTATTGGACTCGGAATTCAAACAGCCTCTGCTTGAATACCATCGGGCCCTGTCTGAGCTGTCATTTCTGCTCATGCGGATCTTGGCCAGAGGGTTGAAAAATTTTGACACAACAGTGTTCGAAGACTTTTGTCGAGATCCAATTGCCGCAATCCGGCTGCTTCATTACCCTCCACATCCCAAATCCGATGATTCAGCCTTGGTTGGCGCCGGTGCACATACAGACTTTGGGGCCATCACCCTTTTACTCCAAGATGGACATTCCGGTCTGCAGGTCCTGAACCAATTTACCGGGGAATGGATCAATGTGCCACCTCAAGAACATGCGTATGTGGTCAATGTCGGAGATATGCTAGAGGCCTGGACGAGTGGCGCATACAAAAGCAACGTACACCGAGTCATCAACACTTCTGGCACAGACAGATATTCAATCCCTTTCTTCCTGGACGGCAATGCAGACTGTATCATCAAGCCCCTGGATGGCTCCGAGGGCAAGGCATTTACGGTTGAAGAGCACATGCTGTCCAGATACGCTGCCAGCTACAAGTCCTAGCGGGAAAGACAATCAACCCGATCTCGACACTTCAAAAATGCTGGTTACTCGAAACTCCTTTCATCGATCTCCTTGCTGTCTCGCTACTTGCATTTCTTTCGATCTACCGGTCTTCTGTCTATCACAATCACGTCTTCACCGATTGTGACAGATAATGCAACGGTAATTGTTATATTCCTCGAAGGAATATTCTGTCACGCTTAAATTTCACGTCCCCGGAAGCAGCTCCTTTGACCAGGCTGTAGCTGTCAAAAACAAAGCACTCCGTATGTGGCTAACCAGCTTTGATGTCGTCCTGGATTTCTCTCTCGCAAGGCCGCCGGCCAACGCGCGGCCTTACGGATGTTCTTCGGCCGGCAATGGAGGCTTCCACCCCTGATGGATCTACCAGTCATACACAGTCGGCTATACGACTGGCGTGTAACTTATCTTCAGCCGCACTGCACGATGACGTATTCTCAGCCTGATCTCCAAAGTTCCTGAAACCTCGAAGCAGGCACTCCGATCGAAAATTTCCACTGCACAGGCGAACAAAATGGTTGGACACACAAGCCTGCAGGAAATCAGCCCGTCCAGGGTCACCGCAGTGTGCTGTCCTTCGCCCTTTTCGCAAGTTGCAACGAGAATGTTTTCCATCAGGCTGAGGTTAATCATGCATGTGGCTTGCATCCAGACCTAGTACAATTGGGCGAGTCCGCCACGCCGTTCGTCAGATAGCCTCTTGTCGCAGGATGGGTGGTAGGGACCCCCCTTGTCGAGAGAGCTACCCCCTGCACTAGGACTGTGCCCTCGGCATTGGGCTTTTCCTTCTCATGAGGAAGTCCTCCCACAGCCTTAAGATCCCCTCGCTCGCTCTTCGCCTCAATAATTCATGCTCCTAGCATTTTTCTACCTGTTTGAAGACTTTGAGACGACGTCTCTTGAACTGTCATCCCGGACAAAATGGATGGTTCCCGGCAACGACTTTCCAGACCGGAGCTTCAGCCTGGTCCAGACTCCTATGCCTCGGCGTCCTCGCGCAACCCTTCCCCTTATTCGAATCTCGGCAGCCGTTCGCATGTGAACCTTTTGAACAACAGTCCCGACTTAGAAGCCGACCCACGAATTATCTTTCTCTCTCGAAATAATGACTTGGTCGAGGACCATCCCAGCTTGCCGGAGCATCCTCCAGGTGGTCTATCCACAGTCGCGTGCGTCTTTAGGACTCTTGGCTAACTCTCGGCTGCGGACAGTCACCTTCACTGCCGTCTCAGACATCAGTAGGAGACGGTTGGCGCCGTTGGATTTCTGGCCCCCGATTTTGAAATGGTATTCAACAATATTCCTGACGGTCCTATATCTTGGCACAGCCGGTGCAATTTTGGCGCTGTGGCTCGTAGCTGGAACCAATGGTCAATACCACTTGTCGAGCGAAAATGTGCGCATGATATCCCGCTACTTTCCTTCCGCTCTAGGTACCCTTAACGTGATTCTATTTCGCCAACTTGTCCGGGAGTACATCAGAATGAAACCTTTCGTGGCGATGGCAGACCAAGGTGAAACGGAGAGCTTTGGACAGGAGCCCAGCAAAAGTGTCAGTGGGGCTTTCTTTCCGTGGCAGGATATCTCGATTACTCGAGGACCGACTTCGATCATCTCCCTGATCTGTCAACTGTGGGTTGGATTCATAGTCAGCTTGAAGGTCGCACTGTTAGCCAGCGGTCCGGCCACCCTCGAACACACCGGCGAGCAAGCGACAGCGACTTGGACTCTGACACTCCGAGTGTGGCCAGCCTTCTTTCTCATCATCGGACATGTCATAATGGCCGCTTATGTGCTCTGGGTTGCCTATCTCAACTCCGGAAAGTCGACTGGCCTCAGATGGGATCCTGTTACCATCGCCGACTATTGTGCTCTGTTTGCACACTGCAACGTTGCAAAGTACTTCTCAGCCCTCGAGTTACTTCACAACCGCAAAGCAAAGCATGTCCTGTCGACAAAACATCGTTTTCGACTGGGCTACTGGGAAAAGCATATTCCTGGGTCGCCTGATCGAAGCCCTTTGGTATATGGCATCGGCGCTACTTGGACTGCAGCAGGTATGTGAAGATCTAGTTTAATGGACAGGTGCTCACCGACTCACAGATCATACGTCAACTCCGCTTAAAGCCAGCTGGTTCGATCGATTGATTGGAAATGAGAAGGGCCCTGCTCCAGTGGACGATTGCAGTAAATACACAGGTGACGATGAACGTTCACTGGCACCTTGCAACCAAGGAATATGGCCAGATTGCGAGCACTATCCCTACCGCCATAGCCCTGGTTGCGGAAAGGGCTGGGTCGTTCTGTCAGAAGCTATGGTCTTGGCAGGACTTGCTGCTGCCATCTATGGGCTGATCGATGGCATTGTTTTCCACGGATTTCATCTTCCAAAGGACTGGAGCATCCCACCAGATATGTCGATTTCTGCTGGTAGCCACACACTCAGATTGCCGCCTATCGACCCGACCGATCCACAATCAAAGCTCATTGTGTACGCCTTGTTGTTCCGCTCCGTGCCTGTCTACGTGGCGGGCGTGTTCACGGCCACGATTATTGAGTGGGTGGACCTGAACATGCGATTCATGCAACCGTTTATCAACATGTTTGGCAAAGCAGGGGACGCCGAAGATACTGTTCTACTCGCCTACATCACCACATCTCCACTCCAGGTACCTATCACGGCGATCGCGAAGGGCCATTACAAAGTCGCGGTATTCTCAATCTTGAATACCCTCTCACCGCTGTTCCCAATCTTCATTGGTGGCCTTCTCCAGCTTGAGGACGAAGGCAAAAGAGTCATGTTCACTTTCTCACTGTCAGCCTATATTGGTATCATGGTCTTTCTAATTGGCTGGACCGTTGCAATGCCATTCGCATTCCCTGTCCAGAAAAGGCTCCTCCCTCGCCAATTCTATAGCATGGCGGATTTGATGGCAATGTGCCACAAATCCTTCTTCCTGCAAAGGCCTTATCTCGACTTTGCGGACAATACGCGCACCCCATCAAAGGAAATCATGGAGGCTCGCATCCTTATGTCAGGAGACAGATTCTTGTTCGGTCATTACACAGACGACGAGGATAGAAGGCATATTGGGTTCGACATTCACAGTACTGTGGACTATGACACCGGCGAAGTGAAGGACACCCAACTTGTGGTCGCCATCACGCCTCGGGGTGAGATAGACAAGCTCATAAGCCAGACCTGGAGAACTATGACGAGCATGATTCCTAATGCAGGCAGGGTCCAGAACAGCGGCAAGGGTTTCGTCGCATGGGTACGGCGAACTCTGCGAAGGCAACCAAAAGGCCCGGAGGGGGCGGAAATGGACTTCCTAGCTCCCAGGGGATCTGCCACTGGTTCACACCTAGAGGGGCAACAAGAGGCGCGGCAGCGACCCGTTGTGGCGTTCGCAGCGGAACTGAATTGACCAGACGATGGCCTGATAGCCTCGTGAACGGAATGGCTTGTTGGAAGCATTCTGGTCGGAGGAACGCCTGCTTGCGGTACGAGAAGGACCCGGTACCGCGTTTTACTCTGGATCCTCGCCAGGCCTAATAATGCTTGTCCATTATGTTACTACTCCAAGTTCCTCGCCTCCGGCACCCCGTTCTCGAACGCCGGGGCTTGGTTATGCTCTTGTCCAGCCCACTGTCGGAGGAATTGATATTCTAAGGCCAGTTAGCAGGTCGACACCAACAACTTCCGAATAATCCAAGCTTGAGAGTTTTCGACTACTGCTACTAAAGCTGTTGCTTATCAGGTATGTAATGCATGAGGGGGAAAAGGTCTCTGGATATATATAGATCAACAAACTATGTGGTATCCTAACGCCTGTGTCTCGATTCAGCAAGGGCTACGGCTCCTTGTGCGGAGGAACATATGGTGTGTTGTCACTTTTCAGCATAAGGCACGTCCTTACAGCCTTTTAAACCACTGCCCAATGGTTACTAATCTCTGATCATGATACAGTCGGGCTGCCGGTCACTTTTGCGGCAGGCTGGGGACTTTATATCGACAGTACCTTCGTTGACTTCAAGCCTTTGAGGCGTCCACCAGCGGAGATGCTGTTCTTCTCCCTCACTCTCTGCTGGCTCCATCATCAAGCCCAGAAATCAGCACAAGATTGGTTCATATATCTGAATTATTTACTCATCTCTCTTCGCATAACCTGACCCTTGCTACTGGGTTCTCGGGCCGAGGTACCTGCGCCGAGTTTCGAGGCAGACCAGTGCAATGCTTCGCTGGCCATTCCGCCAATGAGCGGTGCACAGAACTCAGCATACACTGGAGTGCGGGGTTCGAGAGTAAGCGAGTGAGCATACCTCGGTCTTCAGTATATGGGAGGTTGATATATTAAAGTTATTATCGTACAGGACAGTCCCTTCACAGAACCGGCCATCATCTTTGTCAAATTCGACACACACCCGGTCTAATCTACACTCTACCACCAACACCACGATCTATCACGCTTGCACACCATGGCGGGAAACGCTTACGTCCTGGGGGTTGGCATGAGTGCCTTCCTCAAACCGCGGAAGGTGCGTGCATACACTGAGCTCGCCTTTGAAGCCGGCGTCAAGGCCATGCTAGACGCCCATGTGACCTACGACGACGTCGAGGCCGGCGTCGCCTGCTTCTGCACATTGCCGAGCTGCAGTGGACAACGGTCATTCTATCAGTTCGGCATGTCGGATATCCCCATCTACAACACGAACAACGCATGTGCTACTGGCTCGACTGGACTACATATGGCGCGGAACTTTGTGAGGGGCGGTGTCTACGACTGTGTTCTCGTCATAGGCTTCGAGCAGATGAAGCCTGGTGCTCTTGGTGGCGGCCCTGTAGATGGTCCAACGCCACAAGATCTCAGTCTGAAGTTGATGAACAAGACTAGAGGAGAAGCCAATTCACCGAAAAACCCGCAGATGTTCGGAAACGCTGGTCGAGAGTATATGGAGAAGTGAGTGACCATCCATGATATCTCAGTGGCTGGACTACATTTGTACTGTGCATATGCTGACTTGTCATCCTCACTCAGGTATGGCGCCTCTGCAGAAGACTTTGGAGAGATTGCCCGGATCTCGCACGAACACTCGTCGCGCAACCCCTACGCACAATTCCGAGACGTCTACACCCTCAAACAGATTATGGACTCCCCCATGATCCATTATCCGATAACCAAGCTCCAATGCTCGCCAACGTCAGACGGGGCGGCCGCCGCCGTAGTTGTGTCACAGCGATTCCTCGACCTCCGACCCGAGCTCAAATCACACGCTATCCTCATCGCGGGACAAGCCCTCAGAACCGACACGCCCAATCTGTACTCTGGTAGCGCGATGGAGCTGGTCGGCTTTAGCACTACAGGACGCGCCGTTAAGGCAGCGTATGCCGAAGCTGGCATTGGCCCCAAGGACGTCAAAGTGTGCGAGTTGCACGACTGCTTCTCCGCCAACGAGCTGATCACGCTGGAAGGACTAGGCTTCTGCGACGAAGGAAAGGCGCACCTGATGGTCCGGAACGGCGACATAACCTACGGGGGCAAGGGCCCGATTATCAATCCTTCCGGGGGACTGATCTCAAAGGGCCACCCTCTGGGCGCCACGGGGCTGGCACAGTGCGCTGAACTGACCTGGCAACTTCGCGGATGGGCCAACAACGGCCGCCTGGTCAAAAACACCAAGTACGCCCTGCAACACAACCTGGGCCTCGGAGGCGCCTGCGTCGTTACCGTGTACACTCGAGCAGACGGCAAAGTCAACACCGACCGTGCCGTACCGGACGAGGAGGCTGCCCGGCTCAGCGGCCTCGGCTACAACCCTGCTGTCGAGGCCAAGTGGGTAACGCCAGCGCAGGCGAAGAAGGTCCGAAGCAAGAAAGCGGATTGTGACTATGCGCTGGGCGAGACCGTGAGCAAGCTCGAGAGTGTCAGGTTGTAGGCAGGAACTTGAACTTTTTGGTACCCCTGTGTACATACTATCTTGTCGGCCTATAAAGCTGGAAAAACTTGAAATCAAGCGAAATTTATCCCGCATGATAGTGTCATACAGAATGTTCACTTCCCATCTGATGACGTCCAAGGCGTCTTCCAAGTCGCGATAGCAGGACGGTACGTACTATGTAAGGAAGGGACACTCCTGATGAATTCGTCTCTCCGCGGAGGTTCAATCCGTCAAGCTCTTCGCCTTCGGAGTCGTCGATCAAGTACGCCGCGACCACGATAGAGATCACTCCTCTGGGGCCGTACATAGTACTATACTATTACTATATAGCACTACTACTATGTAGTATGTAGTATGTAGTAAGTTAAAGTTCGAGGGAGATACATTCTGAAAGGCCGTTGGTGCCGGCCTTGGCTATACGGACTTAGGCTTGTGCGAATCGAGCCCACTGGTAATGCGGCCTCTAGTCAGGCTTGGTAAGTCTGAGAAAGCGAAGAATTATGTATATAGGTACTTAGTACTATGTACATACCGTAGTACTATATCTGAGAGGCTAAAATAGGACTAGTTGAGTATCACGTGATGTTTCAAAATCTCCGAATTCAGAAGAATTTGTGACGTGTTCAACTATAGCTACAAGTACCAAGCATAGTACTATAGTTTTTAGCCTCTACTACCATTCTATATTAGATAATTCTAGGCTAAAGATACTGCTAAAGTACTAAATACATTGTAATACATATATATATACTATACTAGTGCCTTTATATATTTATACTTTTTGTTATTGTTTTTTCATATATAAATTTCTAGTCTTATACTAAGCGGCCCCCCTCTAGGGTGCTGGACCGATCTAGAAGTAATCTAGTCTACTTTTAGAAAAAGTAAGGAGTTCGAATCTCACTCTTATTGTCGACTTTTTTTTTATTTTCGTTAATTTCTTATCTATATATAGAGATATAGTATATTTTATTTTTTGATACTAATTTTATTTAAATTTCTAGCTTTATATTATATGTATATATAAAGTATTTATTATAGTACTATGTATTAATAACTTAGTAATATTTACTAGAGCGCTTCGAAGTGCTTTAAGGTAATCTAGACCGATCTTAGACCGGACTGGATCAGTCTCAGATCGGTCTAAGCGTCTATGAGCACCCTAGAGGGGGGCACCTACGTACTATATATATACATACTATAGTAGTATAAAAGGCCTAAACTTCTCTATTTATAAGTAGTACATAGTATACTGTATTTATTCTTGACGAGGCTAGGCGACTAAGGACTATAAGCCCGGGGTCGTGTAATTCTGAATCCTAGATCTCGGGCTCTCGTCGTTAGAGTTTCCATTGATATAGTAGTTTAAAAGTTTATATATATACTATGTACTAAGTATATATAACCTACTATGTACTTAGTACATTGTACATATGTATATATATAGTGCTATGTAAGGATGTAAATTGTAACCAGAGCTGATGACATCATCGGACAAGTTGCTCAAAGGCTAGGAAAAGGCATTCCCGACGACTCCGCCTTCCTCAATCCCCAAGCCGTTTTTGCCAATGCTGCTTCCTGCTTCGACTAGACTGTGACCTTCCCTGGCCCCTTCCAAAGTCAATGGCAACCTGTTCTGTAAGTGCGACTTGATGGTGCCCGTGTCAACGAGTGACGCGAGTTCTTTCAAAATATTTCCGTGGCTGTTGACGTCTACACCGTAATACGGTTTGGTGCCCAGCAACTCCCAGATGAAGCTGAGGCTCTTAGCCATGAACTCGGTCCCGTACATCTTGTTCATTTCTTCCGTCTGGACGATACTGCAGACCTTTCCGAACGGGGCGCATAGTATCTTGCCGCAGTCCTTGAAATACTGCTCAGTCCTGGATGTAATGAAGATGTACTTGATGGGATATTCCAGGTGAAGGTCTGTGATCTGTGGCGCCAGAGGCTGCCGATGGTTGACGACATGTGTTGCGCCCATGGTCTTGGTGAACTGCACCGTTTCATCTCGACTCGCGGTTGTCACCACGACTGGTAACTCGAGAACTCGTCTCGCAACCTGGGATGCAACTGAACCTACCCCTCCTGCACCGTTGATGATGAGAATCCCCGACTTCTCACCTTTACGAATCTCCATTCTTTCAACCAATGCCTCGTATGCCGTAATATACGTCAACGGAAGCGCGGCTGCTTGGACGTAATCGAGCGACTCCGGCTTCCGCCAATCGACCTCGAATCCACCAGCTGGTATTCGGCATTACTTCCGTGTCGAATTGGGCTTCCGGAATAGAAAACATTGTCCCCGGCCTTGAAGCCCTTGACGCTCGAACCAACAGCCTCGACCGTCCCCGCCCCGTCGAAGCCGATGATTTGAAAAGGGGTAGGAACTTTTGAAAAGTAGTCGGGATAATCGTCGTAAGTGCCTTTTCGGACCTTGGTGTCGACCGGATTGACCGAGCAGGCTTTCACTCTGGTAGTCGTCAACAGGGAAGCCGGATTCATGGATGTGTTAACACTGACTTTACAAGCACATCGTAACCGTCTGGAGGTCCAGGGTTAGGGACCTCCTTCGCCACAAGTTGTTCGATCCCACCATATTCCTCGACGACAATTGCTTTCATTCTGTATTAGTCAGCCGACTAGGCTGGTCTCTGAAAGTAAGACATAGTAAGTACATCGTATTGATGAAGAACCCAGAAATGCCAGTGACGTGTTAATGACATACAGACATAACTTGAAATTTGGTCAGCCGGTCTCCATGAGCAGGAACATTGTTCCGTGACCCCCCTCTTCTGACCCTCGAACACGACGTCTTGTGGTTCCCGGTGTACATGCATGCCTCTAGAGCACGATTTTACAATGTAGACCGACAATGTGTGCCCAACTACCAGGAGAACTCACTCCAGGTTAGGATACTATGTACTGTCAAGCTTCCGACACCCCTGTTAACCCGACATCACTACTATATATGTACGTGGCGATCGACGTTTATTCGAAACATCCGTCATCCGCCACCCAATGACAGGTTCTGAATCAAGTCCTGATGACTGAAGAAGCTTTACGCGATTGGCATGAATTTCGGATCAAATATGCGATGCACTGTCCGTTACTCATATGGATTTCCGCCGTGACGTTTACATACTCTTACACTTGCCACTATGTTTATACATACATAGTATTTAATTTGGTCGATATATAAATTGAGCGATGGCTGACGAAGGGGACCTCGCGACCGAAGAGCCGTGGCGCAGTATCCAGAGTTTGCACAAGACAGATTATTACCGAACCCAACAAGAATGGCGCAAAAGATTCTTCAGGCAGGCCTCTCGTCAGGGATGTCGGCCGTCTCAGGCATTCATTCATCGAAACCTGAACCGGTGCCAGCGGAGTATGATGGGCTGAAACACCTGATTCCAGATAATGTCACTCCCCAACTTGATACTCGATATACTTTGCGCGGCAAGAACGGCAATGATGTCCAGATCCCCGTCATCATCTGGGGAGCATGGTCTTGGGGAGACACCAGCACCTTCCACTGGTCGGACGATGAACTTCCTGCAGTCCAGAAGGCATGGCAAGAGTGCCTCAAGAGAGGTCTCACCTTCGTGGACACCGCCCAGGTATACGGGAGCGGCAAAAGTGAGAAGATCCTTGGAGACTTGATCAACAACCACAGCCATGGCGTCGACCGCTCACAGATCATCGTGCAAACAAAATGGCTGCCCATTGTCACTGACGCGGCCACAAACTTGATTCACCCCGTTGATGCACCATACAAGGAGCTTCATAATACCCTCGAACGCATGAACCTCAAGTACATCGACTGTTATTTGGTACACGGCCATGTCCATGCCAGCTCGATCAGCCAAGTCGCCAAGGGCCTGGCGAAATGTGTGGAGGAGGGCCTCACCAAGACCGTGGGAGTGGCAAACTACTCGCCAAAAGACATGTTGGAGATGAAGGACGCGCTCGCCGAGTATGGCATTCCGCTTGCCACCAATCAGTGCGAGTATTCGATTTTGCGCCGCATGCCGGAGACTGAAGGCATGCTCGAAGCGTGCAAGCAGCACAGCATCGTTTTCCAGTCATACTCGTCGCTTGCTCAGGGTCGCCTCACGGGGAAGTACACCAAGGCCAACCCACCGCCAAAGGAGTACCGCTTCAGCTCATACCCCATGGAGTACATCGAACCAGTCCTGGAAGTTCAGCGCCGCCTTGCACAGAAGTACAACGTCAGCATCCCTGCGATAGCGCTGAATTGGAATATTGTCAAGGGGGCAGTGCCTGTGGTCGGAATGAGGAAGGAGAGCCAGGCTCTCGAGGACATGCAAGCATTGGGGTGGAGATTGACGCGAGAGGAGGTGGCCGAGTTGGACAAGCATGGATTCCAGGGCAAGTTGACGAAGCTTTGGCAGCAGGGATGACTTTTGTTCCACACGGCGATGTGCATCATAAGTAATTTGAACATCGCAGACAACACTCTTGTGCGAGCTTTTCCCCATACAGTGCATACTTAGTAAGTACTATGTACTACTAGTACTAAGTATCGTTGAAGCTACATGGCAGTTGCAGCAGACGCAGCCGACCCCGTAGCCAGCGTAAACCACTGCATGACACGGAAAAAATGTTTCCACTGGATAAGCACCGGACCTCTGGACTCAGACCACTGCACCTATGTATGTAGCTCGGTGTTGAGAGGTAGAGCGGGCCCCAAAAGAAGCCCCAAGAGGTAAGTACTATGTAACTTCCAGTCGCTTAGGAGTGGATTGGAGTGGTTAGGTGGATCCAATATGGGCCTCTGCAATGGCTCAGCACTCACCGGCTGTCCTTGGCGCGTTTTGCTCGGCGTCGGATAAGTCCTCTTACTAGGTAAAGTACTATGTATTTATTCTCCGAATACTAAGGTACATTGTACTACTAGTATAGTATGTATGTATGTATTAAGATGACCGCTGCACAGTGGTGGTCCTGTCGATGCGGATGAAGAACTTGAAAGCTTCAGACCAAGTATGTACTGAGTATGTACATAGCACTATATACATAGTACTATATAGTATGTATGGCAATTACATACATACTTCTATGTATCAATACTAGTAGGTACATAGTTTTAAGTGTGTTGAACAGCCTCATGAATGTATATCAAAAGCAGCATGTCGATGCTCAGGGAAGTTTTATACCTACGGAACCATCTCCAGCCTGACGGTTGACATGATCGAGCCATTCATTAGGAACTTGAATGACAAGTATCGTTCTCGGCAGTACGAGGTTCATGAACGATGGATACTATATATCCATTCCATCAGCAGTGTCTGTACATAGTAGGTTGCCGCTCACGCCTCGTCGAGCGGGCTCTGACACTGACGCCATTCTCCTCCACCCCTCTTATCTAGACCTGCTGCTGCGTTTTAAGGTCGACGACTTCGATCTGTTCCAGCACCATACCCTCAGTCTTCTCTACCAAGCCCCGGCCGTCCAGCGTTAGGTGCAGCACGACGTCGTCACCAAACAACGCGCCCATCTCTTCGACGGGCCGTCCACGGGTCTCGGGAATGAAGAGGTAGACGACGACTTCGCAGACGATGCACAAGGCCATGAAGATCAGGTAGAATCGCCAGGTACTGCGCAGCGAGTCCCCGCCGGGGGCTTTGGGTCAGCGAAATCCAGTAGATGCAGTGTCCAAATGGGTTCGAAGGGCGCGGAAGGGAGTAATTGGGCAGGACCGGTGCCTTCCTTGGGGAAAGGGGGGTTCTTCACTACTATACTTACATGTTCCGAAAAGCCAGTGGGCCTGGCGTAGAAAAGGTGATGAAGCCGACAAAATACGAAAACATGCTCAGCCCGATGCCCTTTGCTCGAATCGTGGTGGGGAAGATCTCGGAGCACCACACAAACGATGGCGCATCGATGAACTGGAACAGGATAATGAAGAGGAAAATACAGGCCACCGCGACACCGTTGCCTGTTTGGTTGGTCGATCCTAGGTATTGTCGCTGAAGAAGAGCTTCGATGAGAAGATCGACAGCCAGGGCTGGGAAGCCGATCACTAGAGTTGGGACACAAATTAGAATATCAAATTTGCCCTGGCGGAGGAACCAGAAACACATAGTACACGAGTTGGGCAACAGAGTGAAGGCCTGGAACTCACGGAAAAGTTTCCTCCGTCCGAACTTGTCCATGGTGAAACAGGCCACGAAGGCGGCTGTAGTACCAACAATGGTATAGACGGCTAGTTGCCCTTTGTCAGACTTGGCCAAATGGATCGTCCAGGCCACTCACCATAAATGAGCAATGGCATGACACCTTTGAGACCCAACGTCCCGAATATGCGGACCAAATAGTTTACAATGCCGTTGACCTGGGCACGCAAGATCAGCTCAACATAAACGACGCTGGGCACGACGCTGGGCAACGTACCCCGGTTGCTTGGGACCCGAACCTAACACGCGTGTCAGTCTTTGCTACCCAAATCCCCCGGCTCCAGAATCTACATGACAGGACTGAACAACTTACATGAGGAAGAGCACGAGAAGTGAGCGTTTCCGCCAGCTCGGCTTCGTGAACATGCGGACATACCCCGATTTCTGCTCTTTGTCCTTTTCGACCTGGGCCCGAATCTGGATGAATTCGGCCTGGGCACTAGAATCCTCCGGGTCTGAGGGATCGCGATGAAGACGTTGGATGACCTGAAGCGCCTCTTCGTGACGGCCTATCCAGCACAGGTAGCGAGGAGATTCTTATCTCATGTTGTCAGTCATGCCAGGGCGAAAATAGGGCAGCAATACTGACCTGGCACGAAATATATACCAAGGAGGAGGCCTAGGGGCCCGACGCAGGCCAGGGCAAGAGGCAGACGCCATTGCAAAGTCTCATTCTTTGCGAAGTAGGTTGCCACCGAAACCCAGGCGACCCTAGAACGTGTCAACAGACCGTGAGATACACAGGAGGGAAAGCGTACGCGACATAGCCGAGCCCAAATCCCATAACTGTCATGCCGGACATGATTCCACGGCAGTGTGGTGGGGATATTTCTGTGAGATATAATGGGACCAGACATATCAACATGCCGAGACCAAATCCATGCAGGATCCTGGTTGTAATGAGCATTGCCAGGTATGGAGATCCAGCAGTCCAGGCAGCTCCGATTAATGAGAACAATGCCGACGCTGCGAGAGATTTTTTGCGTCCAATCCAGTCAGTCAACGAGGCTTGGAAGAGGGAGCCAAAGGCAGCTCCGGCCGCGAAGAGGGCATTGACGGCGCCCAAGACACTGGAGGATAGGTCGGTCAGGAAGTCTTCTTGCGTGGAGGTCAGTCATGCTCACTTTGCAGTATACTTGCTCGTCGCTATCGTGTCTGTCAGCGTCATCGTAACTTCAAAGTTCGCTCTCTGGTACTCACGATCAAGGTTGAAGTCCTTGTAGAAGCCGGGTTGGCCGATGCTGGTGACGAATACTCCAAACCCGAATCCATACCCGAAAGTGCCAGTGGCAACAATCATGCCAATGATGATGTTGTACCGAGTAAGTCTCGCCATTTCGTACCGCAACAAGCCTGGTTAGAAGACAAGAGCTCAATAAGTAACCCTGATTCTCTCCGTGATATGACTTTGGTCGGTTCTTATAAACAATTCCATGTGATTGAAGTAGGCGTACAATAACCGGACGCCGAGGCAAGCTTCCACTTCTTCAGCTGTTGTGGTGTTAAGACCTTGACCTTCTATGACAGCCGGTAAGTAGCTGGTGTCCTAGACTGCCCCGTGGGGAACCTAGAGCATCGTTTCGAGGCGAAAGCTGGGGTCGAGGAGGCTAAGTGGAGAAATGGGCTGTCGAATTGGAGTCCTTACCGTTCCACCGGATGCCGATAACGGGAAGCAGTCACCGTATCGTTACATGCCCGAGCGTCCAATGTCAATAAAGCAGTCAGAAGCATCCAAATTCTGACAAAATCCAGGCGGTGCGGCTCAAGGGCGTTAGCGTTCCATAAGCAAAGGTATACTTTTCCCCAATGTAGCACGATGCTCTCAGCCAATCTGCCTCCACCTTGGCCCCGCATGGTATGCTCGTGTTCTTCAGAACCAGGGCCAGGCCGGCTATCAGCTACCGTTTTTATTCGTTAGAGACAACCGGTTTCCCAACCTCTGACGAAAATGGTGTCAGACTCTTTTAGGGGTCGTCGCCCCAGGCCCATGGTAAGAATTGAGGTGTCGGGTGGAGAAGGACTCGCATATGCTGCCCGGAGTCGAGGTTTTGCCGGCCGCATGATGAAGTGACCAAGAATTGTGCCACAATCGTATACTGAAGGATTTGGGTGAGTTTACCAAGGCACACCTTCACAGTTTCAACAGTACCCATTGACTTGCGGTGGTCGTGGCACAGGCAACGCCCTTATATAACCTGCTGCAATGGATGTACCAGTCCCTCCAGCTGAAATGGACGATACTAGGTGCTGTTCGTCACATATTCAAAAGCCTCCAGTTTGGCAAAGAGGTTAGAAAGAACCGTGGTGGTCTTGGAGACAATCAGCATGCTATGAGCATGTTCATGAAAATCCGAAAACATCGTTTTGCGAGAGGAGTGTCGTGTATTCCACAGATCTGTCGTTGTCTTGCTGGCGATCGGCTATCGTACCTGATCGACTGGTTTCTCCGAGAGGAAATCACACGCTTCATCCCAGAAAGTATGACATAGGTCCCCCAGGGCATACTCCAAGGGCAAAAACTTTAGTGACATGCTTTTCACATCCGCCCACGAATCTTTTTCTGTGGCCATGGATGAGTCTCGCAACCTGGTAGCAAAATCTGGAACCCGAGAACCCTGACGTGCAGCAAGTCCGCCGATGACTGTCGCCCATAAGAGGAATTCAGGCTGTGTCTGCCAGTGTTGACAGCGGGCACACTCATCCAAGGCTCGGAGGAGGAGTTTAGTGACCTTCTCGTGGAATCCACCAATAACCGGTAATGTCCAGGCGAGTTCCGCTATCTTCCATCCCGGCAAGTTAGCATTGCGCTCAAAAATGAGTCTCGACGCAAGACCAGGCACGGGAGCATATGCAGCAACAAGGACAACGCCATGGACTGACGGAGAGAGGCTTACGAATACAATGAAAGCAAGACGGGCGGCTTCGAACAAGCAATCTCCTTCTGATGGAACCTGCAAGGCATTGTGCTGGAGAACGCGACGAGTGTGCACCATGAGCATAAGATCCGGGCTTCTGCGGGGATCGCGTAGCCCAAGAGAGAACGTCTCGAGAAGAACCCGAAGTTGACAGATGATTTGGCGTAACCGTGGACCACTACGGAAAGCTTCCAAGAACACGAAACCATCTTGCCAGCTTGCAAATCGAGACCATGCGGCGTCATCCCATGTCACTTGTAACGAATCCACTAGGTTTGATGCCGAATAAAGAGGTGGAAAGACCGGTTCGGTAACAGTCATCAAAGAATGAAATGTATCGACCCTGAAGCAGTAAGCGTTGTCTAAGGGTGCATTGTGCAACTTACCTACATTGAGACCATGTTGCTAAGGCCGTGTATTTTCAAGGTCTCCAGACCTCCTTTCTGGGCGACGAGACTCCTCAAGGCACGCAGATGAGTTCCTTGGAATTCCACACTGGAATAGTATTCGTTGTCTCTATACACGGGAGTGGTGAACCGGGGATGCTTCATGGTACGGACCGAACCATGAATTGCCAGAAGGGTTATCGTCCAGAGCACGTCATCCGACGCAACACCTTTATGGTCCTGCAGGGCTCTTCGGAGATGGCTCAGCGCCTCTTGCTTCAGCTGAAGTTGGAGCATTTCATTGTGAGGTGGTTCGCCACTGAAATAGGATCTGTAACACTCGCCTGCATATATGGTGGCAAAGAGACAATGCGGCGCTAACATTGAGGTGCGAATGGCGGCTCCTCGAATCTCTGTGATTGCAGCTTCGTGCGTAGCCAGAGCAAACGCCGGCCACTGATGTATCAATGCTTCAACACTGTCTCAGTCACAACTCCTCTGGGCGCAGACCTCATCCTACCGTTATCGAAGATACTCTGGAATTCATTCGAGAGTCCCGGTTCGCCGAAAAGGTTGAGCGGACCCCAGCGGCTTGTGTCAAGCATGGTTCTTGGTGAAATCGGTAGGGCAAAGCCAGTTGCAAAGGGATCGCGAGCCAGACAAGAAGCGTTCCTCGTCATATTACATGAGGTAGAGCTTCGAGATGATGGCGAACGCTGCCTGGAGGAGCCTGAAGAGCTGCTTATCGAATCAGCTTTGCCTACACTGCACAGTCTCTTTCGTTGTAAGCTGCGGAGTTCGCGGTTCTTCCTGTGTGCTGCTAACGCGGTGTGCTGGTGTCGACGGGAAGACTGAAGCCGCCTGGCGGACTCATTGGTCTTACCGTCTTCGACCCAAGGCAAAAACGTCAATTCCATTGATGGTCGAGACTTTTGCGGTGATGTTGAACTGATTGAGTGTTGAACTGATGTTCCGAAGGGAATTTTGCAGGCGCCAAAATGGCGGACAAAAAAGGCAAAATTGGCGGGTTTGTCTGCTTTGCACCTGGACTGGACATACACAAACATTACGCCAGTCGACAGTCTCTACAAGTGCATCACAAGTGGAAGTTCCAGGTGATCAAGTCTAGAACAATGCTACCTGATTTTGTGTACTCTTGCTACTGATCAGCAGGTGGTGGTCTCCGTCGCGGCGAACCAGTCAGCACACCGTATCAAACATCCTGTTGACTTCCTTACAAGATCCCGATGCAGATATCTCCCTTGACTTTGGCAATGACCCGGATGTCCACTTCAAGCGCCAGTCGCACGTGCACTTTCAAGCTTCCTCCCATATTCTCAATGTCCTTCTTCGAAAATCCCTTGGGGATATAGTCCGGAGTGCTGTCTCCAACCTCACCCTCGGCGGGCTTTGCCAGCTCACCAGCATTGCGCCCTCCAGGAGCACTGTCGAAGGTGTCATTCCTGGGTTGGGTATGATTAGGACCAAAGACATCCTAAGGGAGAAGAAGAGATCATGTACTTACAAATCCTTGGTTTCGCCCGACATTTTTCGGATCTGTTTTTCTTGGCCTTGGTGATTCCTCGCTACGAACTGCTCTGGATGATGCGACTCGTCTGCAGGCAGTCGAGCTATCAGCGCGGCGTGTCGGTGGGTTTCTTCGCGCACTCAGCTGTTCGGCTGCTGCTCACTCTGGTGGGCAGGCGAAACAATGCTTCCTGAGACTGCAAACCTGGGTTGCAACTTGCTTTTGGGCGATGAAGAAATATTGTGATTCTTTTCTCGACGTGGCCGATGGAATTATTATTAGGAGCTGCAGTCACCCGTACACCCGTTAGCGCTACCGTACTCGAAATGATTGTAAAGCGCCGCTTCCGGTTCTCGATCCTTCTAAAATCAGCAAGATTGTACCCTTCACGAGATATGGGAAGGTTCAAAGATGAATACGGTGAAATCGAGGATTGAATGGAGCTTGCTAAAGGTTGGCGGTCTGCATGCGAGAGGCTGGACGTTGGGTGATCGGGTGGGAGGATGCTATCGTCATCAAAGATGTCTGGGTCTTGCGGAGCAGTATCGACGGTCGGAGATACTGGGTTGTCGGGGTTCATGTCGTTCCTGGCCCCAGCATCGAGTGTCTGGACATGCTAGCAGGGCTGTGATCTGTCGGCTGGCAGGACCGGTGGGATAAAGCTGCTCTTTCCAACGCCAGGAAGGAAGCTATCGTCGATGCGATGCGTTAGTCCTTGTTGCTTGGTCGGTAGCAACGCCGACCAGGTGCCTGATTGGCCATCTCATGCAGGAACGAAGCTTCAAGCCTCCACGTAACGACGGGCGGACTCCACCAGCGAGATGTCGAGACCGTGCATGAATCGCAGGGATGAGCAAGAAAGAAACAAGGAAAAACACCAGAAGTGGACTTCGTAATGGGCATTCGCAGCTGATCCACATACAGTATTACGTCAGGGCAATGTGAGTTCCGACCGGGATTGTAAGGCACGAGGGGGTTATGAAGCACGTATACAAGGCACTAACACCTTCTCCACAACAAGGCTGCCCGTCAAAGGCTATATTTCTCCGTCCTTGTAGGTACCTAGAGTACTTTCATACGGCCCGCCATCTTGACAGGATCGACGGTCAAATTCTCCGCTTCCCGGGCGCCAGTACAACACATCTGCCGATCAATCACCCGCCTCCTGGTTAACCGTCCCTGAGCTACTTAGTATCTCCATCTCATTTCGACTTTGGCATGCATATTATACAATTGGAGAAATGCAAGAGCATCTGTGACAATACCTTCTGGTTACCCACCCTTCTGCAGTGAGCAACAATGGTGCTCTCGTTGATTACCCTGGCGGCCACAGTACCTCTGATCGCCACATCGACCATCCAGCTTCAGGAGACCAGTCAGCGGAAACAGGAAGAGAGCGAGCTCGAGCTCAAGACGGAGAAATGCCACCTCAACGGGCGAGCGACAAAACGAATGAGCGCCCAGCGTCGAGAACAGTTTCAGGATATGAGGGTCGTCCTGGATGGTGGAAACGTTTTCCTAGAGCCACAAGCTGTTTCGCGAAAGCATCCCTTCACTGGCTACCTTCTACCATACCCAGACAAATCCTACGACGGCATCGTCAGCACCGTCAATGCCGAAAACATGCTCAATTGGATTTTCATCGACAAGGCCACCTACCGACTGAAGTATGGCATCCGTGCAGAGGCCCAGCCACAGTGGACTGGCCCTATGACTTTGATATCCGGACAAGCATTGAACGAGTGGAGGATAGCATTTGATGGCTGGGAAGGATTCGTAGCGGTCCAGGAGGACGAAGAAAGGTGGGCCATTTATTTCGACAAAAATGACAATGGGTTAGCGGGGAAGGTCGAGGGAAAGCCCGTGGTCGAAATCGAATTGGTCCGTACACCGCTGGAAGAAGAAACGAGGAGTGGTGAAGAGCCGGACTGAATGACTTCCCACGGTGGAGATATGTACAGGCGAGTCTTGCAGAGAAGTGGCAGCCAAAATGAGACTCTGCCACCCTGATTTGGAATTCGCTTCTCTTGCTGGCTCAACTTTTGCCGAAACGTAGCAGGCGTTTGGCGAGCCCGGGTGTCTTAGGCGAATTGGCTTGCAGATCCGGACGATCTCCGCTTCGGAGTGGACATCATGTCGGGGCTTTTGACGTTGACAAGCCCGCCTGCGAGCCGAAGCTAGATCAGAGTTTCAGAAGACTGAATCATAGGTCTGGAGTGTCCAGACCTTTTCGCACACCGACAGCCGTATCTTTGAATTCTGTGGGACTAGGGGCTCTGCCATTTGGCATGTGAGGGGCTGTATCAGACAGCAATACGTGGCCAGCCCGAGATAGCTGTCAATAAAGTCGGGGCTGGGTGAAGGCAAAGCGTCCGTCGCATGTGCATCGTTCTCCAAGTCAGAAATAAGGCAGTTGACCACCATGACGTCTTCCCAACTGCACGCATAGATCCCACATACGTGTGGCCATGTCCTGACACCACTTGACGCATACCTACGCGGTAATCCGCAGCTGGTTCGGTGCTGTCACTAGGCTTGCCAACCAGTTTCCTGCCCTCTGCTGACCAATTCGCCGCTGCGGTGAAGCTGTCCTGTGTTGGCCTCGCCACTGGATACGCCGTCCTCGAACAATGTCATCCTGTCGTCGGAGCGCATTTGCGGAGGGGTCATGCTGAGAGGAAAATGTCCTATTCCTCTGCTGGAACATCACATGAAAGAACCGAAAAGCACTATAACTATGGGATAGAAGTCGAAATGGGCCAGTCCACATCGCGACCGAAACAGCGTCCAGCGGCACCCCGGCAGGAGGAAGAAGGATGGGGGCTCTTCCACCATGGCCAAGATATATCTGCGCCTGAAGGGTCGGACTCACAGCAGGCGCATGAAGAGAATTTAGCTCCCAGCAATGCCACTCCAGAGACCACGGAGGACGCCCCTGCAGGAGACGAGATCCCGCAGTCTTCTGCGTCTGAAGCCGAGGATACAGACCACGAAGATGAGGATCAGATGGACCCCACCACGTCGCATGAGTCCCCCTCAGCGCAGGATGAGCAGGACAATAGAAGTGACAACCCTGATGAGGAACCCGGTCGATACCCTGAGACGAGTACGCCAGGGCAGGGTTCAGATTTTCCTCCTGACGTCTCTGGAGAAGAGACCGGAAAAGCTCAGATATCAGAGCCACCCAAAGTGACCGAGCGAGAGACTGGTAGCCCGGGGGCAGATTGCACGCAAGGAGACCCCAGAGTACCGGAGAATCCACATGAGCCTGTTGCGAGCCACTCCGCTGACCGCACACCATATACCTGGTTTGACATGGTCATTGACCTAGATGATCCCAAACCCCTCGGGCCTGCAGGATACTTTCCCGGACCCTTGACAATGCCTGAACCGCCGCCTCTAGGACCTTGAACCAGTCTTGAAGTGTTATAGTCCACTGACGACAGGGCGCACCATGGTCATAATATATCGGCATAGTTTCAAGTGACCCCAGACCAATGTTGTCATTGTCGGAGGAAGTGGTTTTGCGCAAACTTGGTATCTGGGTGCGAGACCGTGATTGAAGAGTGTAAATTTTCAAACACGCTATTGCAAGCTCGATCGCCATAGCATCATCGCAGTCATAAGCGATTTTATTACCCAACTTTCGGACGCGCATCAATTCTAAAGGATGGTGGAAGCTCCAGACTTTCCGCGTCGCTGGATTCGAGGATTTGACCCTCGTCTGGTCGTATGGTTGTCCTATATTCCCCGTCCGCTCCCCACGAATCGACTGGTTGCTGGAATTTATTCCACCAACCCATCCTAAACATCTCGCTCTGCCAGATGCCCCTTTTTTCCCATTCGGCATCCGACCAGTACTCGGAACCCGGGGGCACCATTCCAGATCTCGGGTCCACAATACGGGACCCTGCCAGCAAGCTTGCCACGGCAGCGATGCTCCCAACCGGCTTGGGCAGGACATTGCGCATGTCAATAGTAATGAAGACCACGAGCGCACAGATTAGCAATGCACCGACAACACCCACCAGCAAATGAGTGGACAGAGGCGACTGAACGAGGCGGAAATGGCGAGGATTGACGTAGGTTGCCTGCAAAGGGTTAACCACCGTTTCGGTCGCATTGTTGGACAGAGTAGAGAAATCTGCGCGGAGGAAGCTGTTGACCACTTGAGCCATGTACTGGCGATACAAGTGCGTATACGATGCGATCAATGTGCTCTCATCTAACAGCTCAGTCGTCGGGGTTCCATCCTTGCCATAAACTATGGCATTAAACGTGTCGTCAAGCTTGTCGGCTGTTGATGTGACATTCAAGACTTGCAGCGTTGGAAATGCAGTATAGAAGTTGGAAAACTTGATTGCCGAGCCTGGGTGCACCACCGGCTCGGTGGAGATTGAAAAGTCGGGGAGATTGAAGCTCACGTTTGCCTGTACTCGCTCGAGATATTGGGTGCATAAGATTGGAATAAAGTGGTCGATTTGATTGTCTGTGACATGGCCGTAGTATAAGGCCAAGGTAGGACAAGTGTTAAGAAATCCTAACGGCAAAGTCGAACCAAAGTATCCGGACTTGTGTACTGGGACTTGAATTTCAGAGGAGAGCCAAATATTTCCTTCATTGATAAAGCCGGTATTTCCACAGCCATCCGGTGTGCTGATATTGGAAGAGATGATATCACCACTGATGGTGGTATTCAGGATTCGGTCCTTAGGAACAACATTGCACGTAACTGCTCCTCGAATCGTGGGGGTACCAACAAATATGGTTCCACCTTGGCGAAGCAGCTGGTTTGCGTCGTCGTCCACGAGGCTAAGTCTGGGGACCGCTACTTCGGAGTAGGTCCACTGGGGATATGACATGTTGCCTTCAATGACGAGGAGTGGGACATTCGTGGTAGTGTCGGCTAACGTGGTGGTATTAAACCAGTCCAAAGCATTCACCTGGACAGAAATGCCCTGAGTGGTCGCCTTGGTAGTGAATAGGCCTGACACAATAATGGTGAGCAGGGGAGCAAGAACTGCCGAGACAGATGCTGCAGTCAAAGCAAACCGACTATGCCGGAGGCCGCTATAAGTGGCATGTAAAGACACGTGCCTCAAGGGATACCAGAGCATTGAAGAAGTGGCGTCGCAATCGGCTTTTGCCATTGCGTGGAAAGACTCTGTGAACTCGATCTCGAAGTCCATAACGTTGAAGAGGGTCGCCAGCAAGAGGAAAACCAAGACTGGCGCGTACAACCAGGAATATCTGGTTGCGCTGTCTTCATCGACGCTTCCAAGACCGTCGTGTGCTTGCGATCGTGACAGTAGGACCTCCAGGGCGATGATGGCGGCAATAGACGCCAGGATGGTGGATGACATGCCAATTCTGCGCAGAATGAAAGGTCGAGTCCATTTGATGTTCTGAAAAACGGTATCGCCGCGGTCCGATGACCCGTGCAGTACTGCTTCGGCCCTAGGGATCATTTGAATCGAGAAGGTACGGGCGCCATCTTCATAACCAGTAGCGGTCATGAATTTGTGTGGATCCAGAATATCTCGCAGCTCACCCAAGCTTCGGTGGCCAGAACCTCGGAGACGGGCCTCTAATGCTGGGCTGCGAGCAAGAATTGCGGCAACCGCAGCAATAGAGTCGATGCTCCTTGGCACCACACCTCTTGGACGAACGAATAGGATGATAACAATGAGCAGGACCATCAACGCGGCGACGCCTTGCATGACCCTGATTGGAATCTGTCTCGCGATGAGGCGGTTCTCATCTTTGGAGATTGTGCCTTCTATTACCGGCCCAGCATTCTCAGCTGTATCAGAGAGTAAATAAAGATTTGCGAGTTGTGCTGTGATTTTGCCGTATATTCTGCTGGCTGTGGTATTGAGATAAGTCGAATCAAGGAGATCTTCGGCCTTGAAGTTGACCGAGTCTTGCTGCATCATCGTTGTAAAGACATCCAAGATTACGTTGCTCGACGTCGAAGCGGAAATTGTAGAGGCTTGTTGCGTCGTTGCCAGAACTCCATCAGCGATGTCAACGGCGCTGAGACCATTGAGACCACGAGCTTCTCCAGTCACATTGACGGATTGGACGTTTCCCTGAGTATCGAGGGTGACCGTCGCCGCCTGGAGTGAGTAGGATGGAACGCAGACGATGTTGGACGAGTTCAGCAAGGTGTTGTTGTTTTGGCTGAAACCCTCTGAATATGCTGCCGCGATCATGAATCGCGACCTCGTAGGATCATCGAGTGGGAGGTTTGAGCATGTCACATTCTGCAATGAAGCTCGATAACCAAATCGATGGGTAGTGTCGTTTTGCTCATAGAACCAATCCGGGGCATCAAGATATGCATTGTATATCTGGCAGTCCGGCAGTGTCGCCGATGAGTTGTAGTATGTTGATATCGGCGCATTGCTTTCGTCGTCAATAGACGTGGTGTGCTTGAGGATCCCAGACTCGCAGCTGAGGCTGGCGCTGAAAACATCAACCGCGGCAGAATATGCTAGACTGCCGTTCACGAGTCCATCACTCGGGGCAAAACTTTGAACAGCATATTGGTCGGTCGTACCGACGGGAAGGCTGATATTATAGGCCCTGTGGCCGTACGCGACATACGCAGCCCTCGAGTCGACCGATTCAGCGTGACGAAAGCGTGTACCGTCAAAGGTATTGTTGAGGGTCATTGGGGTCGGCACTCCATTCTTTTGGACTGATTGGAGGCTGAACATACCAGTGCTCAAGACAGTTATCACTTTGATCAGGAGGAAGACAACAATACTAGACGAGACGGCGAAATGGCCACGTCGCAAAGATTTCCAGAGCGACAAGATCTGGAGCGGCGTGACATAATCCAAGAGAAGGCTGTTTTCTGCTCGTTGAGGGCCTTTTGCCATTTCCGCCCAGGGCTGGATTGATTTTGCGGCATAGTCGACTTGACGCCAAAGAACAGTGACAACCACAAAGACGGCCGTTGGACCATAAGTCCACAAATAATGATCACTGTCACTGCTCGTAGCAATTCCGTGATTATTCTGCGAAACAGTGTACACCACTTGCAGGGCAGCGATGACAGCGACAAAAAAGAGAGCAAAGGCGATCAGCACCCAGTACCTTAGGAAAAATGGATTCCAGCGTGTATTCAGCCGATGACCTGTTTCTTCAGGATTTGACATGTTCGTGGAGACGAGCAAGGCGGCACCTGGAGAAGGTTCATGTTGTGTCGCCTTTGGGGCAATTCGAAGGCTTTCTAACTCAATGTCAGGAACAATGCCGTGTGGAGGATTTGCACTGGTAAACCCGAGGCGTGAATAGCCTCTGGATCGAAAATTATCCATCGTCATGGGGGTTAGGGGAGCGACGAAAAGTAGAAGAGTTGGAGCCAGAGACCGCCGCCCTTGCTGCTACCTTATATGCGACGGCGCCATGACCTGTTCCTGAAAGCAAAGGATTGCAGCGATTGAGACGATAACGAAGGACCTTTGGAGGGTACGCGGGTGTGAGAGCGCGAGATGGGAGGCTCAACCACAGATAGCTGGCAGAGGGAGACATGACTGCGCACGTAGGTCGATTGTGGTTAATTCCCCGTATAAGTACTCCGTACTCCATATCTGGCTAGCTAAAGCCTCTGCGAGAGTGAAGTGGCATTGTAAAGGTTGATTAGGTTTATTTTTGGCCCTTGAAACAAAGCTCGGGCGCCGTCGCTGTCATATGGGGATCAGGTTTTCGAAGCGTCCTCGGCGTAAACCTTAGCGACTGAAGGAGGTGAGATGAGAAGAGGCCCAAATCGCCTTGTCTGACAGCCCTGCGCCGTCTTTCGCTCGGTTCCCGTTGCAGCCACCCAGCCACCTCGCCACCTCGCCACCACGCCATGCGGTCCGTCACAGAATCCATAATTCAGTCGTCTGACGCCACTTTCTCGCCTTGGCCTTCCTTGGCCTTCCTTGGCCTCTCACCTTCATCCCAGTCTTAACCCGAGGTGCTAGTGGTGCCTAATTAAATACCTACCAACCTAGGCACCTACTAGGTAACCATAGGAGGTAACTGATCATTGTGCCGTTCTTCTCAGACTCTCTCCATTTCGAATGGCCGTGATTTGTTGAATGACCTACTCCTCTACAGAAGTGTGGTCGGCGCACAAGCGCATTTCCATGATCTCGGTTTCCTGCAGCCCCCATTGCCATCTGGTTATCTCGTTTCCTTGGGCTGCAATGCGGATACCTCTATGCGTCTTCTAGGAAATACTTTGCTGACATGTAATAGGGCACGAGTGAACCATGCCGAGATTGTCGCCAAGACTCCTGTGCCCCTGATCTCCTTCCGCTATCTCCTTCCCCAAGGCCAGCATAGCTAATCCCTCCCAGACCAACACATGATGCTGTATACGCAGCTGCAAGAGCAAAGGGGTCATAATATATGTGAGTGGTACCAATGACCACCCGCCCGAGTTTCGATTTCCCGCCCTGAGACCTTTCGCCGGTGCTGCTGCGGCTCCATTACCGACTCGCTGGCCACATCGAGGACAGGCTTATGCCTTACAGCACATCGTGCATGCGCTATCGAGGAGTGTTGAGCTCCGACGAGCGGGAAAGGAATAAAGAGCATCCTTTTCTCCTTTGCTGCTGTCTCTCGAATTCTTTTTTCGGAATTCTGGAAGAATACAGGGCCCGCCCTCGCCGCACACTTTCCACCGTGCTTTTGCCGCAATCGGATTGATTTCATTGGCGGAATGACTTTCAGTGTACGATATCCCTCCGGATTAGTCTATATGGAAAAGCAGCTAATTACAAGTTGCCAGTATCTACCCAGTTGCCATGTCAAGTGTAAATTGGGGGAACCATTTTGAGGTCGGCCATCTCGGTGAATACCTGCTTGATGGCTTCCTCGGTGCTCACGAAGCCGTGCCACCCTAATTTGCGATTCCGGTCCATGCTGATGACTCGACCCCATCCGCTGAGAATCTCCCCGTCAAGGAGTCCAAAAGTGTCCATGGACTTGTCGTCGAACGGGCTATACTTGAGCCCATGTTTCACCTTCAGTTCATCCCACGCCTTCAGTACCTCGGGCTTCTTGCTCCACTCAAGGAAGCTAAATGACGCTTTCACAATCCCTGGTCCGCCAAAACCACGAGGTGAATCCGGATAGGGCATGGTGATGGTTGCGTAGGCGTCTGCACTGGTTGCTGGTCGACCTGCAGACGTCTGGTACCAGTCGGCGAGCGTTGGCCAGAACTTTCCCCAAGCAAAGGCACTATCATCGGCCTGGTTGAGCGCCTGATTACCGGCCTCGGGCGTCAAAAGTGCCCATTCAGCATGGTACCCAAGCAAGGTGGACATCGACTGATGCTTGACGGCTTCCCATGCCGTCACATCCCCTGGAAACTCTAGAGGAAGTCCCAGATGGGCCTGGACACTGGCGTAAATTGACAAGGGCCACAATACATTCATGGCTGCGCTTTCGACGGCGCCAAGAATCCAGCATGGCCGGGTAACCACCCAGCTGGAGTTGTTTTTCTTGCAGAAATCCTCCAAGAGATCTTCTTGTGGGAAGTAAAAGTTTTCCTCGATTCCATGCCGAGCATCGTCCTCTTCCATCGGGGTCGCCGTTGGTCCAAGGTGCAAGCCATAATACTTCGCACCCGTCTGAAGCAAGATACGCTTGGGAAATATGTTTGCCAATGGTAGGGCGCCGAGGAAGTTGGACAACAAGGCCATGTTCTGCCTGGTTGTTTCTTCAACATCGCTCCACAGGCTCTTGCCTTGGAGGGGAGGCGGTTGAATGTATGACGCGAAGTATACATAATCCCTGCCCTGTCAGCGAGATCAGTTGGGAGAGGGAAGCCCTTACGCTTCAACATGCTTGTCCTTCAGAGTCTGTGCAATCTGTTCTGGAGTGCTTCCGAGAAAATCTACCGCAATATGCTCGACACCAGGTGCAGTCTTGCCCGACGGAGGGCGACGTGACAGGGCGTAAATCTTCTCCCATCTCTCGGGAGCCTCACTCAGCACCTTGGTCATTGCCGATCCAGAGATGCCATTTGCCCCTGTCACAATTATGCGCAATTTCTTTCCTTCGTACTGCGGATAGGTCGGAAGACCATGAAAGATTCCTTTGGAGACAACTGTTTGCGACATATTCACTGTCCGGAAATGTACTCTGGTGAAGGATGAAGAGTGATGGGAAGAGGAGGTGTCGAGACTGGGGACCGGTTTTTATATGCAAAAGTGCCTCTCGAAGATGATCCATCTTCTGGAAGCCCAGCAATACAGGTATTTCCACGCAATTTCATAAGCAGAGTCCTAGTCAGCGTCACAATAGTTGAGGTTCAGTGTTGACGCCATGTGCTGCCAACGGCACGATGCAAAGTGTCTCAAAGCACTCTGCTCACAAGCACCTACGAGCTGCATACCGAGGCATTCGAGGATACCACCGACCTCTGAAAGAGGAAATAACCACCCCGGTCACGTGGATGGCTGTCAACACCCTTCCGTTCATGTTACTTCCGACCTCCTTGATGACTACTACGGACGGTAGGGGTATTGAAAAGCTTGAAAATGCTTGGTCGTTTAATTGGAAATCAGCCGCCATTATTCAGCACGTTCCTGACAGTACCAGCAGTGGTTTCAAAATAACTTGGTGATGCTACACCACACCTTTTATTAATTGGGAGCAGCAACAGCCTGATCAAGTAGCCGTGCCGATTGCACGTGCCGAATACGGTCTGTCATTGCATTGACACGATTGGCCAGCATTTTCGCAGATACACATTGGCCGCAGGAGCTCTCAATAGGCCAGAAAGAGGCTCATACTAATTCTCATTCGGACCTCCAGGTCAAACTCTCCTAGGACAAAGCGTGGCCAATCGACAGAGTCCCATTTATTAGTGTTGTACAGTGATGCTCAGCACACAACACAAGTTCTGCTTGACGGTTCAAACAGAACGCAATGACCCTTTGCTTCCGCGCTAACCTAGTGATGGGCTCGACTGCTCTATGTGACAACCCTAACGAACTATTTCACTAATCAGCAAACAACGGGTTCAGCAACAACAGTGGCTACGTCGCAGGCAAATGGCACTACCGCCTGCTGATGATGTCTCTCGGTGACAGAAAAGCCTTCCGACCCCACTTGAAAGGAGTGAAAGGAGGAGGACTGAGGAGTCGATCCCCAAGCCCTCCGTTGATATTCGTCTCCGCGACCAGCAGGCTCACCCAGCAGCGAAAGGAATATATCAGGCTGTACCAAGTCACACTGAAATAGTCCAGACGCGAAATCAAAAGCTGATCTAACCTCGACATTCCACGTGGAGATTGATTTCCGAAGATCTCATCCAAGAACCGCCTAAGTTTTACTAACCCTTCCTATTCGTGCGTGCCGATCATTAAGAACCAAAGACTATGAAGTGTCTATCAGAAATCGTCCTTCGAGGACGTGGAAGGTTTTGCGAACTCAGCATTTCCTTTGCTTCACCATTAGTCCGAGATAACGGCTCTGAAAAGCACATGTCGGAGTTGTCCTCAAGTGGGGCGTTGCCGTCTACAGCATGCATATCAGCTACGCGGAGCTTCGTCCGCTTGACTTGAAGGGCGTGGGACATTTTAGGCCTCAAATATTGTTGGAGCCTCATAGGTATCTAAGCCATCAGAAACGTATAGAGACCCTCCTTGTGCAATCCGGTCGAACTGGACACGGCTCTGTTACAAGAATCGCAAACACCAGCTCTTGTTAGCAACCGCGGAGACCACACAATCATGGCGAATCGCGGACGGACGCTGGATCCCGAAGTTTTCTCGATCAGAGATCTGAAAGAGAAGGCTTCCAAAAAACTCCCCAAGACGTATCGAGGTTAGGCAAGCCACGTTTCCATTTGGGTTCAAGACCAAATAACATGTCCAGAGTACTTTAACGAAGGCGCTATGGACATGATAACGTGAGTCTGCTGGTCTGAGGTAACGTGGAAGAAAGAATGGGTCAACATAGCCAACACTACCCCTCTTGGTAGTCTTCGGGACAACGAAGCGGCCTTCGACAGATATCGGATACGGCCTCGCATTCTGCGCAACGTTTCCACCGTCGACACAAGTACCACTATATGGGGAAGCAAGGTGCTATTTCCGTTCGGGTTTTCTCCAGCGGCCATGCACCGACTTGCTCATCCGGAGGGCGAAGTGGGTACTTCAAGAGCTTGCGCAGCTCTGAATGTGGCAATGGGACTCAGCGCCTACTCGAATGACTCGCTAGAAGACGTCATCAAGCAAGGAGAAGGAAAGACAAACCCTTATGCCATGCAGGTCAGTCTCTTGAGGAGTCGAGAGCTGACTGTACAGCTGTTGGAGAGGGCCGAGAGTATGTGACTTTCCCCTTTGAGTGGTTGCAGCAGATATTACTCTTTTCCAGTTCTCGGCTGCATTCCAGAGTCCTAGGCGTGACTGACCGCTTCCACAGAGGCGGGCTACAGAGCTATCCTTTTGACGGTCGATGCACCAATGCTAGGACGACGATTGAATGAATTCCGCAACTCCTTCTCTATGCCCAAGGGCACCACATATCCCAACATTGCTCCAGGTCTGGACATGAGCAACTTGGAGGGAGGAGATAATGAACTGGCGTATGGTGCGTCTCTATCCTGCGCCATCCCCGAGCCCTGGTTAGCGACGTTTCAAGCGGTACTAATGACTCTGTAAAGAGAACGGGGTGGACTGGGACGAAGCCATCTCATTCGTCAAGGGCCACACAAACCTCGAGCTGTGGATCAAAGGACGCAAGTCAAAAACTCCCCCAGACAATGGTTGCTGGCGAGGCTGACCCTGTTCATTCTAGTCTACACCGCGGAAGATGTCGTCACTGCCATCCAGTACGGCTTGGACGGCGTCGTCATCTCCAACCACGGCGGGCGACAACTGGACAGCGTCCCCGCGACACTGGACGCTCTCCGAGAATGCGCCCCCGTGGCGAAAGGCAAGATCAAGATTGCCATTGACGGCGGCATTCGAAGAGGCACAGACATCTTCAAAGCCCTGGCTTTGGGCGCCGATTTCTGCTTTGCCGGGAGGATCCCGATCTGGGGGTTGGCCGTGAGTTACTCCACCGAGAGAGGGCTTTGGTTTTGTTCCGCAATCTCTAATCCCCCGAACTGAACTGAACTGAACTGATTGTGATCACAATGCACACATATAGTACAATGGCCACAAAGGGGTAGAGCTGGCCATCCAGCTTCTGCATGATGAATTCAAACTCACAATGGGTTTAGCTGGGTAAGTCGATTTCCATCGTTCAGAATGAGGCTCCCCCCGACGGGACGTGGCTGAGAGACTTTTTGGGTTGTTGGTACAGGTGCAAGACCATCTCCGAGATCAATCGCGGACATCTCTCAATCTTGGAGACGAATGGTGTCCTGTCAAAGCTGTGATGGTCTTGAGGAACCGGGGACCTCCTTTGGTAAACAGATGCAGCCTGCCATTACGAACTGCAGGGTAGAGGAAAGAAAAACAAGGACTTTGTCGGGTGACATGCCGAGAAAACAACAAGTTAGTTGGTGGTACTGCATACACACAGGTTATCAGCTTCTGCGGAGATCAGCGGGTGGTGGGTTCTAGTAACAGCCGCTCTGAGGCCACCCGTACACATGAATGGCCAAGTAGTAAAGGAACATCCTGAACTCATACTTCATATATGGGGTGTCACTGCAAAGGAACCAGCGCCATAAGATGGCTATGAAGTCCCGTGGGAAGATGTCTCTCCGCTGGACTTGTAATTCTCAGCCATTGAGTTGTCCTTCGCCAGAAATCGAGTGTTCACACCATCTTCCAAGGAAACGCGAGAATTGTATGCTGCAACCGGTCTGTCTGTTTGATTTCTCGAGATGCAGCATCAACGACTTCAGCCTAGTCAGCCATACGGCCATCCAAACCGTACTAACACATGCCAGATGAGTTTCATTTCTTGCAAGACCTCGGCATACGTGCCCCTGCTTGACCATGATTCGGGATGTCTAGCCAGCTCTCTCACTGCCCTGCCGATCGTCTCTGCATCGAGCTGGTGGCCGTTTCTTGCGATTGCCGCTGCCAGGGAGGGCATAGAGGGGCCTCGAAAGTCAATGGGCACATCTTGCACTCTCATGGAAAACCCATGATGACAGTGCAAGGGAAACCGGTATTTTGTAGCCATGCCCTTGATATATTGCCAGATCTCACTGCCTCGGAACGAAGGGTCGACAATCAGAGCTTCAACGTCTCGGTCAAGGTGGACGTCGCCGTGGACCTGGGCCTCGATGAAGTGGTCAAGATTATGGCACTGAACGCCATTCGAAACGTTCGCAGGGAGCGGTTCGTGAAGATCTAGAATGCGTGCCATCAGCTGCGGTGGTCGGATGCCACTGACGCCCAATGCAAAGTCCCGCGTGAAGCATTCCTCGAACAACGCTGACAGGACAGCGTCAAACTCATCCACTATACCACGGTACCTTGGGTCTGCCTGTGACCCACCAAACGTGAATGTCGATCGCGCCGAGACTTCGGGCTTGAGCACCAAATAGCAGGATCCAAAGCGAGGAGCTGGACCTTCCGGGTTGCGCATGAGATTGAGAGCGCCGTACCTGGGCCTGTGACAAGGCGAGACATCGTCGGCGTGGTACGCACCCTGGAACAGAGAGCGTTCCCAAAGGTCTCGAAATCCACCTGCATGAGCAGAGACGCTTCCGTTCGATATGCCTGTTTCGAACTGGCTTCGATAAGTCCCGTCTTCAAGGAGGCCCTGAGCGACGACACGATTGCCGACCGGGCGATCGGGGTGGAAGTGCAACGCTACCCGGGCGTGTTGTCTGATGGCGCTGCGCACAAGGTCGAGTGATGATATGGGTATGTTCGACATGGAGAAAATCTCTGAGAGAACGTCGACGGCAGCCAGCCGAAGAGAGATGGCTTGGGCTTTGATGTGGGCGATAGCCCGTCGTTGACTGGCATGTAGAGCTATCCCATGGTCTTGTGCGAGAGACATGGTCGCTGTCGTTGTGTGCCGGTCTTTACTCCCCTAAGGATGGAGGAGGTGAAGAGTGGGGGACGGCATCTCGACTGATGCACCTGGGAGGAGGAGTGCCTATGACTCATCGAGAAGGAGGAGGGGATCCTGTTTGATAGAATTTGAGACTTCTGAATGGGTCGACATACCCTTGACATACCCTTGACATCTCCCTGGAGCTGCCGAAAGACCTCGCTTTTCTCATGGATGGAAGGAGGGAAAATGTGTTCAAATACCACCCAGAGATGTACGTCTGGAGGCTCGTGAAAGGTCTCTTCTGGCAGATATCGCATCGAAGGTGTCCGCTTTCGATGAGGAAGGTTTTCTACGCTTGACATCTTTTGCAAGATTTCAGACGCCAGATATCACTCATCTGGCGTAGATGGTTCACCCACAAACTGCCCGTGGTGATCTCGAGGATATGTAGTTGGTGAACTGGGATGTTGCTGCGGTTGCGATTCATGGATGGTGAGAGTTGTGGTTCGGATGTATATTCTTCCGAGCCCCGAAAAGGCTTCGGTTCAACCTCAGATTCCATGCATCCAGCATCGACGTCCCATTTGATCAGTCTCGTCTTCAGAAAGTTCCCAGCATTGAGCAAGAGTCTTTTGTTCAATATTCAATAGCAATATGCGGTGTCTTCCCTCTTCCTTTCACACAGGTCTTTCTGACCACGGCTAGCGCAGCGCTGCATGCGGTTTCCCACCTCCTCTCGTTAATCTGCGCTTGCCCCGGGGATCAACCCGCATCGAATAGCATCGAGTGTGGCGGAAGGGCTCTCACAGAAGACTATGCAATAGCAACGTGTAGCAGCTTCGTCCTTGAGAGCCTGGCTTTCCCAATCACATGTCGCCCGCCCGTGGAGACTTCCTCAATGGCCGTGGCACGCACAGAGTCCGCCACTGTCTGCTTCTTGGACGCACTTTCCCAGTTCTCTGGAAACAGCTTGTGCTTCGCAATCGATATGGAGCTGCAGCAGCCTCGCGGCTTCCAAGTGCGCCTGGGTAAAGAGTCAGCAAGAGACCATCTCTCTGCTGTCTTTCCTTCCATCTCTTTACCTCTCTTCATCCCTGCTGCGCGAGTGGGACTTCTAGGTCGTTGATGTGCAACACTTGGATTGAATTGGTATACCTTGGTCGACTTTGCGGATAACCATCCACTCATAATCTGGTCCTCGTTTTGAGCTTCGTTTTGAGCTTCGTTTTGAGCTTCGTTTTGAGCTTCGTTTTGAGCTGTCAAATCCTTCTTTGATCTCGTGGACGAATCCTGCTGGGTGCACAATAGACCTCCACGCTCTTCACGCCTCCTCTTCAAACTGCGAGGGGGCTTTTCTGTGTGCGCTCCTGGTTATCATCGTGCGAGATGTCTTGGAAGTTGGCCGAATTGAGATGGCGTCAAGACGTCGGTCTCAATGAGAGCTGCTGGGAACGAAATGTCTCATCAGGTCCAGATGACCACCCTGACAGTACAAAGAGCAAAGAGCTCGAGTGCACAAAGCGTGGTCGTTCTTATACCGCACCGTGGTGCCATGCCATGTTGGGGAAGAGTCTAGCGGAGGACTCTGTCGATAACAGAATTGGGCCGGACCCGATACCACTCGCGTTGTCAATTTCAGACCCCTCAACAACTCCCCTTCTTCCAAGCAACCAGGACAAAACAGATACCCTGCCAGGGCATCATCATCCTTTCTTGGTTGTTGAAAGAGACACGCCGCAGACGAATCTACCTCTCAATCACTTCCAGAGTCCTTCTCGACCCAACTCATTTCCACGCCGAGCCATCCGTTGTCCAGAGCTTCACCAAACTGAAAAGGCTTGCTTCCAAGTGGACGGTGCAGTTTTCTCTTGAGATGTCGACAAAGAAGTTGCTGACGATCTGTAGGCAATCAACATCCGCCAGTGTGTACATCGTCGCCTTTACAGCCCGACGACAGCAGCACACGCCTTCAGATCAGACAACAACTGAAAAGTCTGTCGCAGTCATTGCCTCCTGTGAGTACCTCTCTCGTCCCCTTCTCAAGGATCAGCATCTCATAATAGCTGACAGGATACCAAAACGGACCTGGGTTCCTCGAAACGACTTGACTCCGAGTTGATTCGTCCTCCAAGTTTTGGGCTCCAGTTCTATGAGACAGACCAAATAGTTGGCGACAGACCTGAAGAGCAAGGCCTGGAGTTTGGACATTGCAGTGCCTGGAGGCGGAGCCATTCCTTTTCACCAAGCATTCGACGCGCCTCTTTTGAGTCAACGCATCATTCAGATTCGGCTCTTCTGCAAAATATCAGCATGGACATTCCAACAAGTCATTCAAGTCCCGAGCCGCGTACAACGCGTCCACTGTATCCAGACCTGCCTTCTGCATATGCACAGATTCAAGGCCGCAGAGCTGCAAGTCTCCAGCCAACCTCGTCCAACAGAAGTGCAACCCGGTTCCCTCTTAGCGCGTCGAGCTCGTCTTCCGAAGAAGACGGCTTTCAAGCTCTGCCGCTTGATAGTGATGCCATACCACTGAAGAACCTACCGTGCCGCAAAGTCCATTCCGCCCAGGGCATTCTGCATGAGGCTAATTATCACCAAGAGTCTAGCGCAGTGTTTGAGACCTCAGAGGACAACAGCGACCCCAAATTGGACCGGAAAAGAGCCTCGACCACATTGGACGACATCCTGTCTCAATATGCAGATGTCAACCTCACACGCTCTCGTTCACACAATGAAAATATTGGCAATGCAGGATATGTTGAGGCCGAGCACTTGAATCCTGTCATAGATCGCGGATTCGCAGGTGATGCCGCCTGCTTTGGAACACTAACGAGACGACCGGGCCATGTTGACTTGAGGCATCACCTCCATGGATCTTACCAGCACGGTGCAGAGGACCAAATTCCTCAGAACCCTGAAAGCTTCGGGGCCAATGATGATGATGACGAAGATTGGTTGACGATGCCAGAGAGTAGTCGCAGCGGTTTCTTGACTCCTTCGAAACTGCGATTTCGCCTGGCAAAAAGAGGAACTGCAGACACGTCTAATTCCAGCCTGACCGGCAGAAGAAGCCCTGCGTCACCCTGGGATCCGCTACAATTCAAGCCGCGTTCTCAACAACGGTACAAAGGCCCTTTGAACACAGATCAGCATCAACGTTCTCCCAGCCCAAAAGCGTATGAAGATAAAACCTCAGGATGCGGACAATGGTTACACAAGGGATCAAAGTCTGTGACGACGACTGGACAAATTGCAGAAGCTGATGAACGAGACTGTCGTCTGGATTCTGCCCGCGCCTCTACTGTCAAGGCACAACACCATTCACAACTCAGACCGCGCCCTCTCAAACCAATTCCTTCAGCACATCTCACATCTCAGTCTCCTTCCACACGGTCTCCCACATTATCATCATCTCGTCGGATCAAGAGCGCTCTTCCATCGAGTTCATTACTTCCAAGAATCCCAGATCACGCTCATACATCAAAGACTCTCTCTTCTAGAGCCATGGCCACCCTGAATCGGACACCAGGAGGACCACAAACAGATCAAACTCTCACGCTACCTTCTATCTATGATGACTCTGCCAACACCAGCACTGCCACGACAGCAGATTCTCATCTCGGAGCTCTTCCTCTTCACAGTCGCATTGCCACTGCCAACAACGCAGCTTTTATTGGTGAACATGTCGAGACAGCTGGATCCGCCGGTACTCTCGACCCTTTTGTCTCACCGTCTATCCATGGTCTCGTCCCACGTCACAACATTAGAAAAACATACGTTTCCAGCCAAGAGGCGGAGGGTTTGGCAGCTCGACAGTACAACGAAGGTGGTTACAAATTCAACGACGCTGAAATCTCTCGATTCCTCCGAGATAGTCGTCTTCTCCGCCAAAGATTTGATCATAGACACGAACATGGACACAACAATGTTTTACTCGGACGGCAAGGAATTCTAGCCACAGGAAGCAGCCTTGCTGATTTATCATCCGACTCAACCGCGTTGAGCCGTCTCCGACACGCCCGAACTCCATCTTCCGGCAGTAACTACGATACCAGTGACGACCGTGTTGGAATTACCAATCAAGTGACACGCAAATTCAAGCAATTCCTCAGCGGCACTGGCCCAGGAGCTACCGACGGCGCAAGCTCAGAGTATTCAAGCCTCGGACGCGTTCACACCTCAACCAACGGCACCTCTCACTCTCTGACGCTTGAAGAGCCTGAAGAGAGCGTCGACACGTCCGACCCGGCCATTTGTTGTGACCGCTACCCTTCCTTCCCCATTGCCCCTGAGATGCTCGGAGTCGTGCGTCTCGAGAACTTGGCCCGCGTCCCGTTTGAGCGATTACAGCTCTGGGACGACGGCGAATGGCTGGAGAAGGGCTGGTGTTTCGTGCACGAGCGCATGGAATACAGCCATGCTGTGCTGGTTGGCAACGAGGCAGGCATCAGCGAAGACCTTCGGGGCTCTGTCCAGCGTAAAGCTGGCAGAATCCTGTTGGTCTTCGGGGCGGCGACGTTCTTGCTGGGTGGGTGGACCCTGATCCACTCGATCGGGGAGGGGGGCCCTCTGGCCACTTCGGCCATGGCTGACGTGACAAGGTTGTTGGCGGGTGGAGAGGAGGTGGGTGTTGTTTGCTGTGTGCATCCGGTGGATGCGGCAATGGCGCAAGCCATTGAAAAGGCGGCGGTGTGGGTGGTGGTGTTGGCGGTTGTCGGTGTGTTGGCGGTGCTGTGCTGGGGGGCGGCCACCTTTTAGGTGGTGCGCAGAGGTTTAAGCAGGCGGGCGAAAGGCCTTGAATTAGTCAATACGAAATGCAAATGTCACCAGCTGCGCCTTTCTGTGTCGTATCGTTGTAAAGTGTGTCTGCCCGTACTATCGAAACTTGCTCGGTTGAACAGTGGTGCAGAATCCGCCATCAAGTAAACGAGTATGCAGCTATGGGATCGACGTCCTGTGACGGGTAAAACACAGGTTCAAGGATCATATTTGTGATTGACGTCCAGGAGGGTGTAAAAGCTAGTATTTGCATGATATGATGAAATTGGCGGCATGTAATTGAGGTTTGACGCTATCGTTACATATACACTGCTGAAGCCATTGAGATAAGACGGAATTAATTACTCCTCCTCAACGACGTATCCCAGGGCCTGGCCCATCTTGACCTTCTGGCCCTTCTCGACGGCCCATCTGAAGCCAGGCTTGGTCTCGGTGCCGGCTGGGGCCTCGAAGACCAGCACGACACTGCTCCCCAGTCTGAACCCGCCCATCTCCTCGCCTCGGCGCAGGGCGTGTCCGCCGAGCACCCTGCTCGCGCGCTCGTACGTGGCTTCGCTGAAGCCCGAGTACGGCTCGCCTCGTTCCGCGGCGGCGGCAGCTTGTCTGTCGGCCTCTGTGTCCGTGGTGAGCGAGTTTGTGCGCAGTTCCTTGTCGAAGTTGATCACAATAGACCCCACATTGGTGGCGCCCACAGCGACGTACGAGCAAAAGCCGTACTTCCATCTCCCGAGCAGCACGACTCGTTCGTTCAGGGTGAATAAGCCCGGCAACGTGCGTTGGACGTAAGGGCTGACGGAATATAACTCGCCCGCGAAGTGACGGCGGGTTGTGCACACCCAACTCACAGGTGAATGGAAGCGGTGGTAGTCCCCGGGGGCGAGGTAGACGACGGCGTAGTACAGGTTCGAGGATCGAGTCGGTTGCGAGAAGATGGACCACCAGGGCTGCGTGCTTGCCAGGTCGGCGGACACGGCGGCTTCGGATGATGGAGCAGAGGTCATGGATGCATCTTGAGCTTTAGGTTTGGCGGGATTTTTGTTGGAAGACTGTGAGCCTGAGAAGAGATTGGGAAGCGTGTACGAGATGCCGTTGACGTTGGCGAATTCTTCGTCGGCTGAAACGGATTTTGCGTCGGCGCTATCTGGAGAAGTTTGATCCTTTGGTTGTGTGGATATTTGCTTGTTGGGGGAAGAAGAAGCCGGCGGCGCAATTCTCCCCAGCAAGGAGTCGACAGAATATGTCATTCCCTTGACTTGTTCGACTTCGCCGTTCTCGATGGTGCCAAACTGGAGGACTCTGGCATCGGCAGGTGAGAGGACGGCATTGGGGTTCGGATCAAGGGGCCGGATCCCGGGCTTGATTTCGCGGTAGAAGAAAGCTGACAAGTTCGGGTAGACGTGCAGGTCGGGTTCAGCGATCTCGTCGAAATTGACACCGAAGATCCAGCCGTAGAGCTTGAAGCCTGGGACACGCAGGTAGTAGGGGATGGTGAGCTCATTGAAGCGGCCCCAGACTCTTGAGATAGCCTTCAAGGGGAGGGTGGACATGATCTGCACCTGCCATCCGCCTCCCGAGGGATATATTCTCTTTCTCTTTGGAGGCGCGGCTTCCGTGCCCTGTGCACCGCCTTCTCTTTGGCGAATGCGGTAAAATTGAAACAGTCCTAGAAATGCAATACCCAAGCCGATGGGGATAGGCTTCCATTGTATAGGGGTTGACCGCCATGCTTTCCCCAGCCGAGAGGTAAAGCTCTCATTGTCTCTTTTCTTCTTCTCTTCCTCCCATAGCCTCCTGCTGTTCGAAAAGGACCGCCGTTGTTGTAATGGGAGGCGGGCGTGGAGGGGTCTGAACGGTAGAGGCCGAGAAGGGAGCGGCTCAGACAAGAGAAGTTGTCTGCATTGAGGAGACAATGTCGACCGGCGATAGAGACAGGATCTGCCCACTTGCGCAGCAGCGGCAGCCATAGTAGGTACCTAGGTACTAGGTAGTTAAGTGAGATGTGTTTTGCGAGCTGGAGGAGAGAAAGATAGCATCGACAATGACAATGACCGCATAAATGAGTTTCTCTGCTGCTGCACAATGACGCAGCCCTCGAGCCTCAAGGATCATGCCTTTGATTGGCTCATTCCCGACGCGTTCTTCTGAGACTCTGGCTTCTTCTCACTTGATGCTCCCTGCGCAGTCCCTCGTACATATTAATCACAAGTTCGACATGACCCAACACCGCTCATTCTCTCCCACTCTGTCATTACTGTCTCTCTTCACTCTCTCCAGTATGTCTCTATAATCTCCCTCCACTCTCCAACCTCACCATGGCTTCCTCGTCTCCTCCACCATCGCAGCCACCCGATCAACCTCCACCGGACCACGACCATGTCCACCTGCGAATTACCTACCTTGTTACGGGCAATCCACGACCACCGCATTACCTTGCAAGCCTCAATCTGAACACTACCATATCTGCGCTCAAGGAGAAAATCCAGTCGGAGCTGCCTGAGCATCCGTCTCCCTCCGAACAACGCCTCATCTACCAGGGTCGTCCTCTGCTACGAAATGATGCCAACTTGCGAGACATTCTCAGAATAGAAGTATGTCCACCTAGGATACTTTCTGCAGATATACTTCTTCTAACTGTGCCTCTCTTGTTTAGCCTGGCGCTGTACCTGATACACTTCCCTATACAATCCATATTGTGATCCAGTCCCAGCAGAATACTTCCCAAACCCAGGCGTCGTCCAACCCCATCCTCAACCCTCCTCCGCCGCCGCCTCTACACCTCTTTCACCAGCATGCAGACTTGGCTGGCCCTTTTCGTGCTGCCGAAACTTCAGCCAACAGACTTCAGGAGTCGCTCGTCCGTATACAGCAGCAGATTGAGGCCAACAGAGCTGATCTGAGGTCGGTTCAGCAAAGAATAGCCTTACAACATACCAATCTGGGTGCTCCTCCAAATCTGGTGAATGGTCAAATCAATGCCAATGGCCAGCTGCTGCCTGCTCCTCACCCGCAGACCTTTCCCATGAACCCCCCATTTGATCTTCCTTTTGACCAGCATGCGCAGGCTCATGCACAGGCCCATGCACAGGCCCATGCGCAGGCCCATGCGCAGGCTCAACGCCCTCCAGGACGAGTACATGTACAAGCCCGCCACCTGCCACCTTCCACATCACCTCTTCCTCCACAGCAGCCGGGAACCGCACCGCTGGGTCAGCCTCGACAAAATGTTCAGGAATTTCACGGTCCGAATGGAGAACACATGACGGTTGTGGCAGAACATATGAGTTTTGTCCTACCCATCCAAGGGCCACCCCAAGGCCCAGCATCTGGACAGCAACCTGCAGCACAGTCTCAACCGCAGGCAAATACTTCCAGACAAGCACCACAAAACAGCAGCACTCTGCCCGTGCCACCCACTTTTGCCCCTGCCTTCTATCCTTCCATGTCCGGCATGATGCCGCCCATCCACCTACCAGTTTCGTTCGCACAAAATCGCACCGGTCTCCCGCAGTTGTCCAATACGACAGTGTGGCTACTATCGTCGTCAACAGGGCCTCAAGGAATCCTGTTTGCTCCTGGCCATGGCTACTTCGATTCTTCGCCTCTGAGGCGACAGCAGCAAGCTGGCAGCATTCCAGATCCTCAACCTCAGGCGAATGACGCAAACGGAACAGGTGCAACCCAGCAGGCACAACCAAATAATCAGGGTCAGCCAGATGCAAACCGTGCAATAGTCCGAGCTAATCAGCCTCAACCTGACCAGCCTCAACCTGTTCCGGCTCTGGCGCAAGCGCAGCAAAATGGAGAAGACAATGACCTCTTCGCATTCATCATACATCGAGGCTGGCTGTTCTTGCGTCTCTACCTCTTCATGTTCGTGTTCTCCGAACCGGGGACCTGGAAGCGGTGGCTCATGATTGTTGTGGCCGCAGTCATTTGTCTGCAACCTCGAGATGGTCCCCTAACTCGCCTGTTGGCAGCCGCTCGCCGTCATCTTGATAATCTTATTGGCCCACCTCCACCGCTGCCTCCTCCAGAAGTTGCTGCTCCCGCCGCGAATGAGCCCGGTGCCAATCAGGGCCAAACTGCGGCCACTGCACAAAGACCTGCTAACGTTCGTGGTGCCACAACAATGACTCCGCAAGAAGCGAGAGCTCGGCTTGAAGGGCAGCACACCCACGAACCACGGCCTTTGCGAGACGCTTTATATCGTGTCGAGCAGAGTATCGCTCTGTTTTTAGCGAGTTTGATTCCTGGTGTGGGCGAGCGTCATGTCCGAGCAAGGGAGGAAGCGAGAAGGGAGGAACAGCGTCGCGTGGAAGAAAGAGAGCGTGTGGAGAACGAGCCTGCGACGCAGAGACAAAATGGAGACGAGGCAGATGCCCCTGCTGGTGAAACGCATGGTGCATCTGCAGAAGCGACAAAACCCGAAGTCAGCGTGGAAGGGCCTGGAGAGCAGAGTACTTCGACCTCTGTTCAGATCACCGACGGCGAGGCTTCATCCGGCGAACTACGAAATAGAACTTGATTCGGCCCGCTGAGCAGCGAAGGTCTCCCTGAAGGGATTAGTTGTACCGCGTGATATGTGCTGTTTGAAAGCCAAGGCCAAGGTAAAAAGCTGAAATCAACTCCAAGATTGGGTGACTATATTGGTGCCACCTGCAGCAGGCAATGTATTGAATAGCATGACGGATACCCAAAATGAAGCAAATCGTTTTTCGTGCCCACCTCCCCAGCCAGATAAGAGCCTAAACCGTGGGATTCTTGGAATGAAGTATCGCAGGAATCCTGGGTTCTCAAAAGGTGAAATAGGAAAAAAAAGTATTAGAATCGATTGCCTAGGGGAAGTCCTCCTCTTCCCTTTACCATTTCTACGCCCCAGAACACCCAGGACACCCAAACGAACCAGAACACCGAGCTATGCTATGAGAATTACAATAGGGGGGGGAAGGGAGCAGGTAAGCGAATCCTCCCCGTCTGTGATATATATATATATATCTGCCCACGGGAATAAGGGCCACTTTTCACACTTTTCGATTACCGGGGACGGAAATGCCAACAAGCACCACGGGTTGTTGGAAGCAATGATGAAGAAAAAGACTTGTCGTTCGCTACACCTTGGCCTTGCCTTGAGGAACGCCAGCGAGCAAGCGGAATGAGCATCCTCGATGCATTCCCCACCTGCGATGGACATCGAAGCGTATTCTCCAAGGGGTTTGTTACGTCGTCGTCGTCGGAGTTGTCGTCTGCTTTGTCTCTTTCTCTTCGCCCTTGTCTCCCTTCTTCTTTTTCTGTTCAGCATCTTGCTGCTTGGGGCTGGGTTTCCAGCCACACGCACCCAAGATCTCTCTCTTCAAAAGCTCCCTCACCTCCACGTTGGCGAAATGCAGCGTCGCCAGGGCGTCCTGCAGACTCGGCGCGCCGCTGGGATAGATGATGTGCAGTCCCGAATCCAATGCGGGATCTGGGCGGAATTTGTCGTGGTATGCTTTTTTCCCGCCGATGGGTAGGTGGCGGAAGGCGCGACGGTAGCAGGATTTTGTGAGTGCGGTCGTTGGGCGAGAGAGGCCGGTGACCTCGTCGAGTTGGGTGGCCGGTTCGAAGCCGAAGGAGAGGTAGCCGATTCCGGCTTGTTGGAGGAGGGACATGGCGGAGAAGACTAGCAGGTCGGTTATTCCCTTTGGTGCGGCAGGGGTTGAGCAGTAAGGGTCAATATGGTAGCCTTTGTTTGCACCGATTTTTCTCAATGCGGCGAAGCCGTTGCATTGACCCTGGCGGTCTGTGGTATACAGGTATGTCATGAGCATGGGGATGGCGAATGGGTCGAAGACCGTCATATAGGCCTGTGGCTGGCCGGATTGGTTGCGAGACTCGCGCCACAGGTCGTACACCTGTCGCAATTCCCGTTCTAGGTTCTCGTCACGCCCTTGGGCTGGAGCATATGCGTGGACCGAAATGCCGCCCTTTTCCGGGTCGAGGAGCTGTTTGTTTTGCGTAATCATCCTCTTCTGCTCCTTCTCCTGGAGGACCGGGTTGTTGAGCGGGTTGAGGACTCGCTCGGTGCCGAAGCGCATCGTCACCCATTTCTGCTTGCTCGCGTACGACGCGAATTCGTCGGTCGCGCCCAGAAAGACCATCCCCCAGCGGCGTCGTTTACGTAGACGACGAAACTCCTCCAGGAGACGATCGTATTCGGCGGGTTCACACAGCGGGTCGCCTCCGACGACCGCAACATTGTTCCTGACCTTGTAATACAGTGCAGCTTGGCGGTCTTTGGTCATGAAGAACCGGTAACTGGGATCTAGAATCCCCATGTGGGAGACTTTGCCGAAGCGCTCGACAAGTGATCCCAAAGCCGAAATGGCCGTAAAATCATCGAGGGTGAAAGTGTGGATGTCGTTGTTCTTTCTTTTGGGATATGCAGGGATATGATTGAGGCTCATACTCGAGGCATTGAAGCTCACGGTCATGGAGGTCGAGATGCATTGCTGATGATGTTCACAGACATTGTGGTGGGCCGGCGAAAGTATGTCTCGGGAGGAGATCGAAGTCGTGACGACGGTCGTGCTGCTTTGGTTGAAGTCGATGAATCTTGGTCCCAATAGGGCATCACCTTTCAGAAACTGCAGACGCTGTATGATGTTCATCGAGTCAATGTCCGTGGCCTGGGTCATGAGTATTTGCGCCAATCCTCCGCCTAGGTCTTCAGAAAGGAGAGATTTGGCCTGAGGCATCTTAGCTGCCGGCTTCTTGCGCGGTGCTTTTGGCTTGGCCGTGTTGTTAAAGGTTTGTGATTTTGTAGGTGTCTGTGTATGTGCGTGTAGAGTGTCTGTATTTGGCGTTGGTTCGTCTGGAAAGGAAGCCATATTGCGTCGAGCACGTTTTCCTCGTCAGTGCTGAATTCGAAGTGTGATCCTCAGGCAGTAAAGTTAATGAAATGTTAGATTGACGGAGGGCAAAAGAAACTCAAGGATTTGCATTGTCAAGCTGGTGCCTATTTGAATAATGTCAATGTCAAGCATACTACTCCACTCAGCTGACTTTCGAACCCTTACTCTGCGACATATGCAGGGTGATTCGGTTCTAGAGATATTGGTGTCGTGTGCACAGTAGCCCGGTGTGATGGGCGACACCAGCATTGACAAGTCAACAACGGCCGAGTACGGAGACATCCAAATTTGGAGCCAGATAGGCCTCAGGCTGCCATTTCCTCGCCGTTGTCTGCATGTCGCACCTACCATCTCGCCATATCCAGATTGATTCATTGGCTTTGCCGCGCAATCTGGAGGCTGAGGCGTTGACGGGAGTCTCGAAAGACCGAAGAAAGCCACGCAAGCTCGTATGGACACCAGGTCAGGCAGACGCGATTTGATTGGATGCGCGCGTAGGCCGAGCAGAGGAAGAAAAAGGTGCTGAACCCGTTGCATAATGGTCTGTTGCTTGATCTGACATCGCTCGTATTCACTTACTATAAGCAGACGGACTTTCTGCGGGTGGACGCCGGAATGATCAGGCTGCCGTTCGCATGCAATAACTGTGTACATCTCCCGTTCTCCAAAAGCAATCAGGGGTATAGCTTAGCGGTATTTTCGGGTGGCCCTGGATGGCGAAACTTCGGCGCTTCAGCCTTGCAAAGCACTGCTTAGGCGACCTGTCTCTTGCCAGCGCATGTGCACGTATTTCGGTGTTGGGTGCTCGTATTCTTTTCCCCTTGTGTTCGAAGGAGCCGCAGAGTCAGATGAAACTCGAGGATCCGAGGAAATTCTCTGGTCAGCAGTGGTCAGTCAATGTTATCTTGTTCTAGTAGCGACGCTCAGGGGAGTGACCACGAATAAGATCAGATCAATCGTCAATGGTGGTGTTCGGGTCTTACGCCCTCTTTCTTTTCCATTCGTTAGGGTTCAAGATCTATCCGGGAGATCCACGCCTGGAGCATCACATCCGAAAACCCAAAGGCTTTTTTTGTCTCCCAATAGTCTTTATTCGAGGTGATCCGGGAATGCAGGATCCCACTGCTTGATCGCGAGATTGAGAAGTCAGCGAGCACTGGAGCCGTGTCGAATCACATTTGACTTGTCTTAACCCAAGTAAAACAGCAGGCTGGCCTGATCAGGCGAAGAGATAGGGGCTTGATCCCGGCTGAGCTCCGAGCATTTGGGGCCAGCTACAGATACAACAAGAATGAATGGTGATGTTCGTGGCGGTGGCGGTGGTGGTGTTCGTGGGTTGTATTGAGTACCTAGGTAGGTGGACAATGCAGCTCGCCTGGTCGAGACCCGGGGGCTCTTGGCCCCTCGTAAAAGCGGCAATTTCCCTCCCACCTGCAGATCCGGGTCACTGATGTCATTGACTTTCAGCCCACTGGCACCCAACTGGCCCTTGACGGGCCCCCAGAAAACCCCGAGACCCCTAGAGCCCCTCGGCCCCAAGCCCCCCAACGCCTAGACATAGCCCTGGCACCCTGGACATAGCCTCGTGGTGAGGTATTTGCGCGCGTCGCCCGTACCACCGCCCGTTATCCGTATCTTCAATCCTTCTATCCGACCCAACGGGCGTAGTTGTCTATGCAGATACGTCTCTATCACAATGTCTCTGGCTGACTCATGTTGTACTTGTGCTACGCTCCTCTCGGACGCAAAGGTGCCCTACGACCCCGAGTCAGAGAAGTCGCTGCTGCACCACCGACAACTTGATTGCTGCTCGCGATTCATATGCGCGACATGTCAGTATAAGAATCCCCGGTTTCAGGCCTACTGCCCATTCTGTCAGATATCGTCCGGCCCATCTGCACTACCTAGAGATGGGCTCCGACTCCCACCCTCGTACACCAGAGCAGCTTCCAGAAGTTCGAGAAGGGGGGAATCGCCACCGCCTTCATATGATGATTCGATAGCCCCCAGGCGGCTGCCAGAGCAAAGCACGGGGCCGCCTGCGGACACTGACGATACCATCCATTTCGTGGGATCTGAAGACTCGTTACAATCACTATCGCTCGCCTACAAGGTGCCCATAGCTGTCCTGCGACGTCACAACAACCTCTACTCTGACCAGCTCCTCGCCGCTCGCAAGTGGATACTCATTCCTAAATCCCATTACACCGGTCCTCCTTTATCGACGCCACCAGATGCAGAAGAGGAAGAGCGCAAGACAAAACTGCGGAGGTGGATGATCGCTACAAAATGTGCGGACTATAATGTCGCCCAGCTGTACCTCAAGGGCAGTGATTTTAACCTAGAGCTTGCTGTGGAGGCGTTCAAATCGGACGAGGAATGGGAGAAGAACAATCCATTGAAGGGGAAGGGGAAAGATGCTGGGAGGCATAGACGACCTTATGGGACGGGTGGGAGCATTTCTGGGCAGCTGTCGTGACATGATTGATTTGATGCCTTCCGACGACAGACGACCGTTGACGAGACAATCTTTGCAGTATAACGAGATATATCTACTCGTCTTCTCATCCACGCCAGCTCCTACTTGTTGAAACGCGTGGACGCGTGGACGTATTCTTGTTTGAAGAGGTCTCCATTGGCGTTGTGATCACAGATGGCCTTGAGGTGACGGGCTCTGAATGCATGTCCATGCACATCATGATACCCTGAGACTTTTGGTCCATTCAATGATTCCTGGAGCTCGCCGACGAGACAAGTCAATGACGGAGGGATGAGGGCGATGACTCGCAGGCATTCCGGACGTTTGGATTATTGTCGCTCCAAACTTTGGCCGAGATTCTCAATCCCGCAACTTGGCATTGCTATTCGAACAAGCGTGGCCTTGACTTTGTCGCCCGGCCTCATCCACCATCTCGCCCTTGTATAGTAGCGACCAAAATATGCTGTCCTCGGCTTCGGAGGAAACTTCGGTCGGGACATGAGACTAGGATCTCATGTGGACGCCGCACGAAGCGCGGCCTTGTTCAGGCGCCCCATATGAACGCGTATCCGGCCCCAACGCCCATTGTGAGAGCGTATTCATACACTTGTACCTACTGTAACAAGCTAGTTCTACTCCTCCCGTTGTCTTATATGTAGTCACAGCTGCATCCAGGCCACGAAGCCTGGGTTCCGGAGTCAACCCCACCGGCTGGCATTTCAATGATTATATCTACCTAGGTAGGTAAGTCGTTCCCTTCTTTTCCAAACTCTCTACTCAGGACAACATTGTTGGCCCTCGTAGTTGGGCATCGTGCCAGCCAGCCAGCCAGTCAGCCAGCACAGCTCCAGTTCTTTTCGCCATGGACAAGTACATCTACAACGTGTGCGCCGTGATCGGGGCGTCAACCATCGGCTACATTGGCCTACAGTTGGCTTCGGCACTGCGCTTCCACCTTCACACGTCCAAGCTCCAGCGGTACCACCACGGCACCGAACCGTGGGTACTGATCACGGGCGCCAGCGACGGGATCGGGCTGGCGTTCGTGCACGCGTTCGCCTCGCGCGGGTTCAACGTGATTCTGCACGGCCGCAACGAGGCCAAGCTGAACAAGATCATTTCCGAGCAAATGAAGACGCAGCACCAGACCACAAAGTTCCGCACACTGGTGCTCGACGCGGGGACGCCGGCGGACGCCGAATTCGACGAGACGGTGCTCGCGGCCGTCAAGGACCTCAATTTGACCGTCGTGGTGCACAATGTCGCCGGGAGCGGCGCGCCGCAGGTGGACATGAAGCTGTTCAGTGAGATGTCGCGGGAGGTCTGCGACGGGTGGATCGACGTCAATGTGCGCTTCACCACGCACCTTACACGCTTGCTTCTGCCGGTGCTGGCACGACATCAACCATCCCTCATGCTGTTCATGTCCAGCGCCGTCACCGAGATCACCGCCCCGTCCGTGTCTCTGTACACGGGCGCGAAGAACTACATCGAAGGGTTTGCAAAGTGTCTCAAGATGGAAGTCGCGCAGCTCGCCGGGAACGACATCGAGATCATGTCCTTTACCACGGGCACGGTCGCGACCGCGTCGAGCGGCCGGTCCGAGAAGGACATCTCCTTCACCATGCCCAGCACGACGACCTTTGTGAAAGCAGCACTCGACAAGGTCGGCGTTGGGGCCCCGAGCACAAAGGTCACCCCGTACTTCCCGCACTGGCTGCAGTTTGGGTTCATGAAGATGTTGCCCGCCTGGGCGAGGGATCAGATGCTGTTGAGGATGCTGAAGCAGGTCCAGGACGCCGTGGCGAAGAGGGAGTGAAGATGAAATCATCATCATTCGAGCGCATGAAATGGCCGGATCAAGGGCCCCGGAGCATGGAGGCACAGAGCCGTGAAAGGCAAAAAAAGGGAGAGAGTCTCTCTGCTTCGTCGAATTGCTTGATATGGATGCTTTATGTCCGGATCGTCTGTGGCTTGCTGCGTGCGGATTGAGCAATTGCCAGCCTGAAGACCACCGGCACAACCCTCGTAAAGACCAGAAATGGACGAGTCTCAAGGCCATGGAAGGATGAAATGCAAATGAATTGAAAGATGAATTATTAAACTTAGCAGCTATCTTAAAAACGTTATGCTGCCCAGTTGCTAGATATCATACAGGGAACGCTCTTTGCAAGGTCTTGGGACCTGATATTGTATCTTCTAAACATGTTGTTTCGTCTTGATCTCATAAGGCCTCATATCTGAGGCACGCCAGCCCTTCCCGTAGAAAAACCCAGCTTGCCGCCCATCGTGCAATGACAGGCCTCAATTCAACTCATACACTAACAAGAAAAGAAAGAAGCCACCAGCAAAACACTGCTGTTCAGAGGGCGTTGAGTCCGAAGAGATAGCCCAATTCCCGCACACCAAGTCTCGACACCGCACGGCCAGCTGATTCGTCCAGGGCGGTTTCAACGAGCTCTCGTTTCCGCTCTTGAAGCTGCAAAATACGATCCTCAACTGTGGAGCCTGCAGAGCCAAAAGGCTTTTCTGAGTCTCCTTCACCAATCAGGACTCGGTGGATAGTCACGTCTTTGGTTTGGCCGATCCGATAACATCGGTCTGCAGCTTGATATTCGACAAACGGATTCCAGAATGGATCAAGCATGATAACATGATTTGCCGCCGTCAAGTTCAAGCCTGCATTGCCTGCCCTCAAGCTCACCAGGATCACCTTACAGTGCGGGTTGTCGGTGAATTCGAGCACAGCGTCGTTGCGGTCCTTCGCACTCATAGAGCCGTCGTAACGGACGTACTTGGAGAAATCTTTGTGTCTCCACAGAGGCAGCTCCACTAAATCGAGAAATGATGTAAAGTTGGAGAAGATGATGGTCTTGTCGTTCTCTCCTTTAGTTTTGATTTCCTCCAGCAGCTCAATGGTGCGCGTGATTTTGACGGAAGGATGGAAATTCTTCTGGAGACGTTTCAAATACTTTCGCTTCGCAGCTTTGTTGCGCAACCCTTCTTTCCGAAGCTGAGCGAGACTCTTCAATGGTTCTCTGACTCTTGGCCTGGACTTGGACCTGGACCTCTCTTTTCCTTTCTTGGATTTGGCTTTCGATGATGGTCTATCCGACTGTTTGTTCGATTCATCCCCAGAGTCGTCCTCAACATCATCGTACACAATAAAACCACCGAGGTCGTCACCCTCGTCGGAGCTACCACTGCTATAGTCGTCGGAATCGGAGTTGGAGTCGGCATCATCATCCTTCTGTTCTTGCGCCTCCACTCGATCTGGGCAGTGGACGCGAAGGAAACTGGTGTAGTCCGTGACGTTGTTAACATCAATCCTTGCCCTACACTGAGGGCAAACCGGTGGTGCACCGTTATTGTCGTTGGTCGCTTGCTCGACGAGCTGATTGAGACAGTCTCCACATATAGCATGTCCACAAAAGAACACCGCTGGGTTTTCTGCAACATCGAAACAAATCGGACATTCATAGGCGCCCAGCTGCTTCAGTCGTTCGACAACCTTCGCATCGAGTTGCTCTGCATTGCGAATTAGCGCCTCCGTATCCAGCTCCCCGCCAGGAAGTTGGATGAAGTCTCTGCTTGCAACAACAAGGGCCGGGTGACAACAGGCCTGACGAAGTCGAAGGAGCAGCACCAAAGCTTCAGAGTAATTTCGGCCGAGCGTTCCTTTCTGGAGATATTTGTTCACCTGAATTTGAGCACTTGTCTCCAAAGCTGTGTAGAACTCAAGCTGGTCCTCATCGAACGGGACTCGATCCTCTCTCGTCTCTTTAGGAGGGAGTTGGAGAATTGGTCGACCATGTATCTTTGACTGCTTCGTTCGCCTCAGGAGGATAGCACGCAGGAGCGCTTGAAGTGTTTTCATGGCGGTTTCCCTTGCAGAAGCATTCCTGTTCTTCTTGTGGAGTGGACCTCCAATAGCCCTCCTGAAGTTCTCCCAGTTGTTATAGGGTGCAATCCGGGTAAATCTAATGAGGCTGAAGATTTCTTCCGTGGAGTTTTGCATTGGTGTCCCAGTAAGAGCCCAACGATACTCTGCTTGAATGCGACAGGCCGCAAGGGAGGCCTTCGCATCTCTGTTCTTGATATTTTGCGCTTCGTCGAGAATCACACGGTGGAATCGTGACCTGTCCCCGAGGATGGGGCAGTCCTCATAAACCGACGGGTGCCAATCCTTCAAATTCTTGACTTTTTCATCCAATGTCTTTTTCCGTTTCAGCTCCGATGTGAGCAGTCCGTACGTAGTCAGAATTACGTCGTAGGCCTTGAGAGCGGCCCACGTAGCTTTGCGACTGTCTCCGTGGAGGATGAAGACATTCATGCGAAACCTCGGTCGAACCATCTTTTCGATTTCTCGCTTCCATTGGTGCATCAATGCCACAGGTGCCACGATAAGGGTAGGACAGTGTTTGTCGGGGGCAGGCGGGCGCTCGAGCATTAACGCAATACTCTGTAGGGTCTTCCCGAGTCCCATGTCGTCGGCTAGAATACCACCTTTGTTGGTACCTTCTTCCATTCGCTTCATCCACGCGACGCCACTGAGCTGATGAGGCATAAGGATCGCCTTCAGGCCTGGTGGCTGCTGTGGTATCTGATCCGCGGTGAGCTCTTCATCAGGCCTAATCTGCCGCAAAAGCTCCATCAGTTGTTCCTGAGTTTGAGCCTCATCTTGATATCCATATGACGAATACGCAGATGGAGTCGGGAAAGAAGAACTTGGCAGAGGCATATCCGGTCGGCCTGGTAAGGAGGAAGGACGTGAATCATCATCGCTGGAATCAGAAATTGTCAAATAATTGTGGGGCGTGGACGGCATGAAGTTGTACACCTGTCTCCCACCAACGCTGCTGTAAGATGGGCCGGGCGGAAAAGCCCCAGGCATTGCTAGCGGAAAGGTAAAGCCAGGATCGGCTTTGATGGCTCTCGGGTCTGAAACCTCTGACTTGACCGAGAGCAACGATTGAGTGTTATTAGTGGAGGGTTCTGGCTTGACAGGTTGAAGTTGTCGGTGACTGTCAGCGGAGAATGAAGGCTGATAGGCAGGAGCCGTGTATGAAGGCCGATAAGCAGGAGAGCGATTGATACTACCATCCGTTTTGACAGGTTGAAATTGTCGAGTACTGCTACCGGAGTATGAAGGCTGATATGCAGGAGAGCGATTGATACTGCCATCTGTCTGGATAGGCTGGAGTTGTCGAGTGCTGTCACCGATGTATGAATGCTGAGAGGTAGGAAATCGATTGATGCTGCCGTCCGTCTTGAAGAAGGATTGAGTATAGTCGGATGGGCGTGCGCCAACGGCTTGTGTTGTATCTGAGCCCGCGTCCTGAGCCCACTCCTGTGAGAGCCGCTCGGCAAGTCTGGCATCGCTTTCCTCCTGTTCCACCTGGTGCTCCCGTCTCTTCCAGAAGTCCTGATTCAGCTCAATCTCCTCCCTAGAGAAGCCTCCAAAGAGAGGGTCAGCAAACGGATCATCTAGACTGCCTAGACTAGCAGAGGAGGCGGCTGGCGACGGGGCCGCAGTGTTGGCAGAGCCAGGACTCGGACTTGTTCGTCGAGATTTGGAGGTTTCTGGTCCGCCGTTATCAAGGCTGTCTTGTCTGAGGCGCTTGCGATTCGGTAATTCGTGATTAGGTGGAGGCATGAGATGGCTTGAAAGATTAGAATCGTGCTGTTGGGCATTGTCTGAGTGGCGACTGGCAGGACGCTCGTTGGTCACGGCCTCAGAAGTTTGACCCGACTTCCTGAGAGGCAGACCGTCGTGGTGTTCCTGTTTCGGGGGTGGCAGAAGCGCCCGAAGGTGTTTCTGCAATCTTCTGAGCTCCTTCTGTGTCGTATGTCTGAGTTCCTCATCCTCGCTATTGTCACAGGCATTCTCCTCCAAGCTCTCGAGGATGGTCTCTTTAAGAGCGATCTCGTCGCGAAGGTCTTCAATCTCGACGCGAAGAGCAGGGTCGGTTATGTTGTCCATGGCGCTTTGAGGTGGCGGAACCGTTAGGCTGAGTGGGTGTTGAGGATTTCTTTAAGATAAATTGATCAGCGAATGTGGCGCAGGAAAGGCAACCACTCAACCAAGGCAACTCGTTGGTTGGGCGCCAACAAGGGCTGCCTTCTCATGAGCACAAAGAAAGTGTACAGTTGAAAGGCAGAAGCGAGAATAGGTTGATAGAAATAGCAGTCGAGGTCAGAGTCAAGAAAGACTATCCGACGACCCTTTTGTTTGATTCCCTCGACAATTCACTTGTTGTCCTTTGTTAACGAGCGAAGCACAGACATGACTTGACTTGAGCATGGCGCAGTCCTTGGCGAAGAGAAGAGTCTTCATTCCGCTGACACGATTCCGGTTTGACATTCACATAATTTCAATTGCAAGAGAAGCACTTGGCGGGCCGCATGTGGTGTGCGCGAGGGAATGTCATGCTGAGTTGGAGGACGGCCATCAGCAAATGTGACGCGCCACTTCACCTTCGAGACGCGTGTCACGTGTAAAGTAGTAGCTGCCACTCACGGTGCGCCCTTGATTGCCAAGACATGTAATGACTGTGGTGGAAGAACGTCGGGCCGAGTTTCCTCCGCCGAGTTTCTTCCTGGCGAGGCTGCATTCATTTCAATTCTTCCTTGACCCCTCCCTCCACCTTCCATGTGCCCTCCATGTATCTTGTCCCCGTTTAGGACGATATCCGAAGGCTTACTACTGTGTCTTAGCACTGGCGCTATAAAATACAAATCCGCTTATGGGCCTCATGGATTGACTTCTCGGCGTTTGGATCTCAAGGGAGTATCACAAAAACGGCATCGGAGTCTGTGTTGAAATGGTGCTCTGACTATATTTCGGGTATCTCGTTGTCTCTATGGGCTCTAAAGGTCTGTCTATCACGCCACTGTCTACTAATGATATCCATTACACGGGATCTGTCCATTTCGACCTCCTGCGCCAGGGATTTGCATCTTATAGCGGACTCTCCCACAATCCTGCGATTCAACCCGTTCCATCGTGGCTCCACTGGCCGACTCAATGTACCGCTCATCTCCACATGGCAAGATGAAAACCACCTCCTTCCATGGTGGGACGAAGACGTTGTCTGCGCTGGCGCCGAGTTCAACTATCACCTTTTCTTCAGTGGAGATGTACGACACGGTGAAGGAGGAAATGTCCGGGTGGAGAGCGAGGCCGTCGTCTTCGTACCAGGTTGAGGTGAAGCTTCTCCCGTGCGAGCTGCCTTTGGGTGGGAATATTTCAACGCCTCGGTAGTCATCCTCAGGAAGAGCTTTGCATTCTGCCTTGGTATCGCCAGGCACTCGTGTCTGCACGCTCCTTCCAACGGGGATTGCTCCACCAATTCTTGCGAAGATCGGGATGCTTTCCCTCCATGGCGATGAAACGGATACCCACTGGCCGGCGGCATGGTAGTCATAGGGCGCATTGAGATTGACATAACCATAGTCGAATCCTTCTTCCGCGCGCCGTGGCAGGTACATTCTGGCGGTATTAACACCAGGCTGATACACGCCACCGACCAACAACGTGTCTCCAAACCAATACTGTTCGTCGCCAGACTTGAGCGGTTTAGTCCACACCTCTGGATCAGACTCATAGCCCCAGCCAATCCATCTCTGCGGGGGACTTGCTGTCAGGTGGCTTTCCAGGCCAAGCGAGTAGATGTATGGCATGATCTCGTATCTTCTCTTGATCGCCTTTCTTATCATGGGCGTGATTTCCGGATACATCCAGGGCTCAATCACTTCGCCAGCTTGGTTGTCTTGAGGAGATGTCTTGAAGCAGTTGATGGCAAAGCGGATCTGGTGGCAACCAAGCTGAACCCAGCGAAGCAACAATTCAGGAGAAGGCTGAGGCCCTTCAAATCCACCAATGTCGTGGCCATAGCAGTGCATCAGGCTGACACCTGCATTCAGAGATATCGCATTCGCTGCCTTCATGCTCTCCCAGCTGGTCATGTTGTCACCGCTCCACGAACTGCACGCATACCTCAGAGTTCCAATACTTGCGCTTCGCGTCAAGACAAAGGGTCGAACGCCGGGTTCTGCTCGGATCAGACCCTCATATGAAGCTTTGGCCATCAGCTCAGTATGCATGGCACGGCCCCAGAGCCCGACTTTGTCTGATCCCAGTTTGTTGCCGGTAGGAACGGTCTCTAGAGCCATCTTCCATTCGTCATTCGGTAAGGTGTACTCGTTGTTGTCGTTCCACATTGCATCAATGCCTTGTTCTTTCAATCTCTCGACTCCGCGGGCCCACCATTCATATGCCGCTGCCGAAGAAAAATCAAGGTGGCTTCCGGTGCCGCTTTCGCCGCCGCCAGCACTCCACAGACGCATTTCAGCAGTCTTTCCATTTCTGTGGTCCGTGAACAGGCCTCGGTTCTTGGCCAGATACTGGTAGTCCGGATGCGATGCAAGGACAAATGGCTTGATGTTGGTCAGCAGCCTAATCCCCATGGTGTGGTATTGGGCGATCCATTTTTCTGGCTCGGGAAATCGGTGCTTGTTCCACGTGAATACGTTCCTCACCCTGGGTTCGGTTTCGGCGATGGAGTAACCCGAACTCATCTGATGCGCCGAGCAGGGAATATCATGCTCCTTCAGCTTTTCAGCAAATTCGAGCAACGCCTGGTAAGCCGGAGGATCGTCCATCATCGTATATCGATAACCCCCGCTCAAGTATCCATATGCCCAGCGAGGCGCGAGTAGTGGAAATCCGCTCAGTTCTGCATAGCTCCGAACCACGTCCTTCAAGGTCCGTCCTACAATCAGATACTCCTCGAGCCCTCCATAGTCTTGTCGAAAGACTTTGAAGTGTCCCCAGAGGCCATCGATCTCTGAGCCAACTGACCACGATCCTCGACTATGGCTCGTGGAGACCATGGCTATGCAGCCATTGGGAGTCGCCTTGATCAGCAACGGCATATGCTTGTACATGGGATCTGTAGCATATGCCTCATACCCGAAGCAATCTGTGGCAGAAACTTGGAAGTACCGGGCAGTGAGATCCATTGGCGCAGATTTCTCTCCCAGTCCCACATGAAGGGCTTTGCGGTCATGCTGGACATAGTGGGCGATGCCCTGGCCATCGACGACATAGGAACGAAACGCCAGGTCAGAATGCAGAATCTCTTTGGAACCCAGCCATCCCAGTGATACAACGGGCGCGTGATTCCAGTCAACTGATGCTCTGATGTCGCCGAGCTCAAAGGAACAACTTGCCTCGCTGATCTGGTTGGAGTTGATGTTGATGTTGTCGAGCTTCCTCTCTGGCCGGGGTATTGACGGGTATGGAGGGAGTGGATGCGAGTCCGAAGTAAATGTCGTCCTGAATATATTGGGTCTGATGGCCTCGAACGTAAAACTAAACGGGGTTTCCAGGTCTTCCGATTGAAGCTGAATCGCTGCTGGTCTCTTCGACTTCGAGTCGACGGGCTTGTACGTCTTCGAAATGCTTTCTAGTTGCGGCATTTTGATCAACCAAGAGAGGATATAGGGTAAGGAAAGAGGGGGTCAAGATTGTTGATAATAGTACCGTGACGACGAGAGCACTGCGTTGAGATGACCTGTTGAAAAGTGATACTTAACCTGCAGGTTTGGCGACTTCCAGAAGTCAGCTCCTCGTGTTTCTCTTGTTGAGCTGCGTGCCGGTCTCTCCACAGTTCGGCGCGAGCAAGCGAGGGTTGGATAGAGGCGAGGGCCGGCTTCGAAACCGCTGTAGGGATCGGACTTCGGCTGCCAAATGCGATCCCTGCAATCGGCTATTCAAATAAACCAATAAATGTGGCCTGTTCTTGTCACTAGCCTCGCTCCTGGCGCACCGACGCCGACGGTCTTTGCCCTGCTTTTGGTCTCTTCCCCGCTTTGGTGGCGTCGCAGATCATCCATCATGCTTGGAGGAGCAAGAACATGTCGCGTGGGAAATTGTCTGGAGGATTTCTGGGATGGACATGGGGCTCCCATACGGAGTTTGTTCGCTTCCCCGGACACTTGGGGCACGGATCGAATACAAAGGATGCGTCCTCACTGTCGGCTGATGGGCCCGAATGCCTTTGACAATGCAACGTTTCGTCTGATGAGTATTTATCCTGGCCATACCTCCGCTTGGGCGATCACTGGAGAGCTGTATGCAATAGCTCTCTTTTCGATCCGTACCAAGATCCCTTTCTTCGTTTGACCACGTTGGCGTTGCCCGAGGCCAAGGTGCCCCTTCAGAAACCATGGAAGATATCGGTGTCAAAACACCCACCGACCATGTCGAAGGCAAAGTCGACATGGGCGACTTGAAGAACGACAAAGCCAACCAAATCCTCAGCGAAGCAGCAGGACAACGCATCGTCCTTACACCAGAGAACAACTCGAGAGTTCTGAAAAAGATTGACTTGTATATACTCCCAGTGGTGCTTGGGATCTATTTCCTGCAGGCCTTGGACAAAGCTACATTGGCATACGCTTCAGTGTTTGGTCTTGTGGACGATACCAATCTCGTCGGACATGAATATTCCTGGCTGGGCGCCGTCGTCTACCTTGCGCAGCTGGTGGCGCAGCCTTTGATTGCCTATGCACTGGTCAAACTACCTCTGGGAAAATTCCTCGCTGTGATAGTCTTGCTCTGGGGTGTTTCCCTGTCAGCCATGCCAGCAGCGCACAATTTTGCAGGCTTGTTGGTGTGTCGGCTATTCCTTGGCTTCTTCGAGGCTGGTGTTGGTATGCGCTGGCTGCGTTCGTGTCAAATCCCTTGCTTACTGGTTCGGCAGCTCCTGCTTTCATCGCTCTCACTCAGATGTGGTGGCGCCGGCGAGAGCAACCCGTCAGGCTCGGAGCCTGGTATGCGATGAATGGCATCACCAACATTGTTGGGTCTCTGTTGACTTATGGAATTGGCCACATTCACTCTAGTTCACTTAAACCCTACCAGGTATGTGCACGCGCTTTGAAGGTCGAATAGAGGCTTGGTGTCTGACAAGATCGGCAGATTATCTTTCTGTTCTTTGGCTTGATCACTGTGGTTTTCTCCGTGGTGGTTTGGTTCTTCCTCCCAGATTCCCCCATCACGGCGCATTTCCTCAAAGGCGAAGACAAGTTGGTTGCTATCGAGAGGTGAGATAAACTACAACATGGTATTCTAAGCTATCTCTGGCTAACCTTGGCCAGACTGAGGGCAAATAACCAGGGCGTTGAAGGTACCGAGTGGAAATGGGCTCACGTCAAGGAAGCAGCCCTCGACATCAAGACATGGCTTTGGGCAGCCATGATGTTTGCCATTTCTGTGCCGAGCGGTGGCATTTCAACCTTTGGCCCGCTCATTGTGAAAAATTTTGGCTTTGACCAGTTTGAAACCATCCTTCTGAACATGCCTTTTGGTGCGGTCCAGTTGATCGCCACAATGGGCGGTGCATGGGCAGCAACGGCGCTGAAGCTGAAGTCGCCGGTTTTGGCATTCCTCAGTCTCCCGCCTATTGCGGGCTGTGTCATGCTTTTGCATCTTCCACGAGATGCATCGGCTAAAGCACCGTTGCTGGTGGCATATTACCTGGTGAGCCGTTTCATTTCGTTTGCTCTGGCTTCTGTTAACAGAGATACAGATATCCGTCTATCCCGGCATCAGTAAGAGATCCTGTCATTTCCGTCTGTGTTGGGCTCACTAACAAACTCAGCACCATTGATCTATTCCTGGTCTGCAGGAAACACCGCTGGAGAGACGAAGAAGAAGGTATTTGCCTGCGCAACACGCCGTTTCAGGGATTGAATCTAACCCCAAGGACAGGTAACAACAGGCGCACTCTTTATAGCCCAATGTGCAGGTAACGTTCTTGGACCAAACCTATACACGACTGGAGAAGCACCGCTCTACCATAGAGGATTGTTGTCAAAGTACGTAAAGAAAATGCATGTTACGTGGGATCATGGACTTTCAGTGCTAACCTCTGCCAACAACAGTCTCGCCCTCTTTGTTGTGCTCATTGGCCTCTACGCCGCCCAGGTTTGTTTCTTGATGGTCCTCAACAAACGGCATGGGAAGACCAGAGAGCGAATGGGTAAGCGAGCAGTCTTGGTTGACAAGTCGATGAATCGGGTGCAGGCAGCTACAACGGATAGTGCTTCTGAAGATCAGGACGAGGACTTGACCGGACACCATGCATTTCATGACAAGACCGACTGGGAGAATGAGGATTTCATTTTCGTTTACTAGTTAGCAGGCTTGTTTGGGGGTTCCTTGCTCGGGGAACGAGTAATTGCTCAGGACTCTTATAGTCCCAGAATGGCCAAAGTCGTCCGTATTTTCCTTCGCAGTAAGTAACGAGCATCCTCGAGTGTGACTATAGGTAACTCAATCCGTCGTAAGATAAGTAGAGTGCAATAGCTTAGGCGACTAGTTGTACAGGTGTCGACTTTTATTGAAATCCCAAGGCTCACGGCATATCCCCACTTCTAGGCTCTTCGGTGCCAATTTACCGAGGAGCAGATTCTGGACTTGAATCCAAAAATCCTTCGCTTCATATACCGGGACCACTGACGATTTCCAGCTCAGAAGAATGTTTCAACAGCCCCTGCGCCGAGGACTATGGAGGACGCAGCGGTTGCGTCTGTAGCTACCGGCAAGAAGAGAATCCCAGTAGGTACCTTATTTTGACTTCTTCCCCTTACTTTCGAAGGATAGAATATGTTAGATGTTGACTGTCTTCTCAGAAAGCTTGCGGATCGTGCAGATCAAGCAAGGTGAAATGTGACGGACAGAGACCTTGTTCCAGGTAAGAACTAGGGACCGCAAACCCTGATATTTGATGTCTCTTTGTTTACGTGCCAAAAGATGCGAGAATCTGAAGAAGGTCTGCGTGTATATCGAGAGACCCCCGGACCCTCATGAACAGTGAGTATACCTGGCCTTTAAATTCTCCGAGCGTCTTTCGCTGGTCCTGATCCATCTCTCTACAGGAAGATCGAGGCCCTCGAGATCGAGGTGCAAATGCTCAAGCAGAGGTTGGATTCCCAGCAGAACGACCCCTACGCATCACTCAGCGCTGTGGACGCGACTACCTCAACCGCATCTGCCTTTGGCTCGCCAGAACAAGGGGCAAGTCTGGCCAGAATGGGCTCCGACATGCAATCGAATCCAAGTGATCTGCGCCGCAAGCGCACAAGATCTCAGTATGAAGTCGAGGTCGCCTCGGTGCCCAACTTCGCCGCTAAAGGTCTAATCACGTTGGACCAGGCCGAGTTATTTTTCAACGCCTTCTTCCAGGGCTGCGATCGTTACGTTCCCATCTTTGATCCCCAACACGACACATTCGAGTCGATCAATTACCGGAATGCGCTGCTCTTCGATGCAATCATCACCATCGGCTGCGGCGTGCTCAGCGATGCTGATTCCCAGATCTGTCATCTGCTCAACTTCCACCTGAAGAAGACGCTAAACCTTGTCATTGTCAATCCCGAGCATGGATCTCTGGAGACTGTTCAAGCTCTTCTAGTCACGGCTTGCTATACCTCAGAGCGATCTTTGCTGTTGGCGTTTGCTACGAGGATGGCTCTCGATCTAGGCCTCCCGGGCGCGTACGAGGACTTGACCAAGAAGATTGTTAGTAGAGGGACGCTGTCACAGGATCGAGGCTCCCAGAAATACGACGAGGCTGACGCTGTGTTGATGAGACGCGCTCGAGCATGGTTTCAGCTGATGGTTCTTGAGCAGATTCTTCGCGTTGACGCAGGTAATTTGCGAAGTTTCCACTCGCGCGGCGACCCACGGCGATGCCGAATTCTTCTGGGCAAGCCGTTCACCACAGTTCTGGACCTTCGTCTGCTGTCACAGGTTGAGCTGAACTCGCTTAGAGGGAGGACCCATGACTCAATAGCGGGGACCGAGCAATTTGATGAAGAAGCAGTCATGGACATTCTCCGCGATGTCCAGGTTGACATCGATGTCTGGTACAACGACTGGAAGAACATTATGCAGGGCTCGTCGAGTGCTGAGACGCCAGTGCTCCTGCTCAATCTCGAAGTGCAAAAGTATTGGTCGCAGACTGTCGCACTGTGCAGGGCGCTGCGTGCTCTAGGCAATGAAAACATTGCCGCCATGTCCTCGACACAGAGGGATATCCTCCACATGGCCAAGGATGCCTTAAAGGGCCATCTTCGGATCATCCTGGACCAGCCTCAACATTACCTGTCCAAATTCTGCTATGCGATGGACTTCGTCTGGGCCAAGTGCGCCTTTTGCTTCTTATTGCTCCTGAAGCTGACCCGATTGCTACCCGAAGAAGACGACAACTCGAAGCGACAGCTGCTCGATGACGGGTATTTGCTTCTGAACGAACTGAATAAGGCCGGAGGTGGGTGGACAAGCGGAGGCCGCAGCAACACCAGCCGGATGTATCTGCAAGTGCTTCAGCAGAGTATTCAAAAGTATGGCCGTGCACTTCAGAACGACGGCACGGCTCCTGGCCAGAGCGACATCGACCAAATCAACATCGGGCAAGATCATAGCTCACCACTCAATTTCTTTTGGACCACAGGAGGCACCGCTGCAGCGAATGAAATTGAGACCTTTGTTCCAGAGCAATTCGTTTTCGAATGGGATTTTCCGGGCCTGACACTGTTCTCTTCCCCAGCAATGGGAGATAGCTTTTTCGACGAGTTTCTGACTGGCAACGGGGCTAATGATCCATTGTTCTTTGGAATGCTGGGCTAGCTCCCGGAGAAGGGAGAGCACTTCCTATATCTCCAAAGAGCGTTCAGGACTATGTAACTGCTAGCGAGCCTCTTCGCACTGAGCATTGTCAACTACAGACCTCGTCCACACGAAACTCGACCCCCGGGAAGTCGTTTTCCTGCCGTCGGAAGAACAACTGGCATTCCCCAGCATGAAGCAGCAATCAGGTACTCCTGCTGTGCAGCATACATGCACCAGCGTTCTTCCCCACACCACCGAGGCCTCCTCTGGGGCTCTATCGTTGCGCCTCGGCTTGGCTTCGGGGTATGTACATGCTCTCCAAACCCCGCTTCCATTCCGTTGTCATTGCGTGGATGTCGCACGCGAACCTTGCATACTATACTGTGAGAGCTTGTGGACTGTTCGTAAAGAACCCAAGCTTCCGAAATTGCAGGATATTGAGTTCAAACTTGGCTTTGCAATCGGATACGCAACAACGCAAGAAAACACCTATCATATGGCACAACCCAAGTAGAATACAAAGTACCGGAATTCGCCTACCCACGCTGGTATTCGAGTCTCGAGATGGGTAGGGCGGTTGAACAACAATTTAGTGAGCACGTCAAAGTCTAACATGGGTGGTAGCAGCAGGAGCAACAGCAGCAGCAGTCGGACTCGCCAGCGCCGCAGCACTTTCAGCCTATCTCAACGCCAAGTTCCACCTGGGGAAAGACTTGAAGCATATCTATTACCAACACCGCGGTGAACGCTACCAGGCACAGCTAAAGGCCCAGGACAAGATCAACATCTGGGCCACGTTTTGCGAGAACTGTGACAAGTTCGCGGACAAGGACTGCATCTGGTATGCCGACCCCTCGACAAATCCGCCCACGGTGCATACCTACACCTGGCGAGAAGCACGCGAATATGCCTGTCAATACGCACAATGGTTCCTGGAAGCCAATGTTCGACCTGGAGACTGCGTTGGGTTCTACTTGCAAAACAGTCCCGATTTTGTGCTCGGATGGCTCGGCCTGCTTGCGATCGGTTGCTACCCTGCCATGATCAACTACAACCTCGTTGGCGGAGCACTGGTGCATTGTGTGAAAATCGCAGAATGCAAGGTCCTTCTTGTTGATGAAGACTTCAGAGACCGCGTATTGGAGAATAAAGAGCTACAACAGCTGGGAATCAGCATTCATGTCGTTGATCGGGATTTTAGGGCTCGGCTGTCGAGAATGCCTGGGAGGATGCCGAGCGCAGAGTATACGAAGGATATTGGCGAGAAGACAAAACTAGCATTACGCTACACGAGGTATGTCAACAACTGTCACCTGTCTACCGAGTACATCTGAGCTGACCCCAAAGTGGCACGACGGGGTACCCGAAAGGTGTAATGGCGACCATCGGCCGATACTACGCACGACTCGCCAGCCAGTTCACCGAGATGGGCATTCAACCTCTTCAAGCAGATGGTTCAGGGGATCGCTGGTACATCTGCATGCCCATGTGTCACTCCACCGCAGGCTCGGCGGTCATCATTTGCATGATCATGCCGACAACATTGTGCATAGGGTCAGTGACGAGGCATTGGTGATCTTCTGCAATGAGCTAACAGACAACAGCAAGAAATTCTCAGCCTCACGGTTCTGGGACGAGGTCCGAACGTCTCGCTCGACGATGGCTACCTATGTGGGCGAGATAGCCCGCTATCTGCTTGCTCTTCCCCCCTCACCACTGGACCGCCAGCATTCCCTCCGAATGGTGTACGGCAACGGCATGAGACCTGACGTGTGGGGTCGGTTCCAGGAAAGATTCGGCATACCCAAGGTGTGCGAGTTCTACGGCTCCACCGAGGGCGGTCTGTCGCACCTCAACATCCAGGAGGGCGACTTTCTCCGCGACGCCGTCGGTCATGATGGTCTAATCCGCCGATGGCAGCTGCACTCGCAGATGGCGCCGGTGCTGGTCGACGCCGAGACCAACGAGATCGTGCGCGACCACGAGACCGGTTTCGCGATCCGCATGCCGTACGAGATCGGCGGCGAGATCCTGTTCCGGCTGGACTCGGAGGCGAGCTTCGTCGGGTACTGGAGGAACAGCGACGCGACCAACAAGAAGTTTGCGCGCGACGTCTTTCGCAAGGGCGATCTGTGGTACCGTACGGGCGACTCGCTCAAGCGGGACAGGGACGGCAAGTGGTCGTTTTTGGATAGGCTGGGAGACACGTTCCGGTGGAAAGGCGAGAACGTGTCTACGGCAGAGGTGTCCGAGTGCTTGGGCAGATACCCCGGCGTCATCGACGCCAATGTCTACGGCGTGCAGGTGCCGAACCATGACGGCCGAGCGGGCTGCGCGGCGCTGATGCTCAGCCCGGACGTTGCGCAGAGCTTTGATCTTGATGGGCTGCTGAGGTAGGTTTTCTTTTTCCCCTACCCTTTCCTTCTTTTCCCCTCCTATCCCCCTTTTCTTCTCGTCTCCTTTCCCGTCCAGTCTTCAAACTCAACCACTGACACACCAACCTCCTCAGACACGCGCGCAGGGATCTTCCGGGCTATGCGGTGCCGCTGTTCCTGCGTATCGTGACCACAGGCTCGCTGAACTCGATGGGCCTGAAGCAGGAGAAAGTCCAGCCGCGGGCCGAGGGCGTCGACCCGGACCGAGTGCGCGGCGACCGACTGTATGTCCTGAGAGGGGACCGATACGTGGTCTTTGCGCGGAAGGACTGGGACGACTTGGTCGCTGCGAGGGCACGGTTATAATATGGCGAGAATAGAAGCGCTTGCCGATGGATGGCGTGCGTTCGTACCCCTACCCCACCATGCCCTGCCCTGCCCTACCGTACGGACTCCAGCTCTGCTGGAGTCATTCAGGGGAACCACGATCGAAGTGCGTATGAAGGGAGCTGGCGGTCGTCCTTGGGCTACATGGGACCGGACCATACTACCTTCCGCATATATAGACTACCTAGGTAGGTATATGTACGGAGACAGATCCTTCCTTTCACTTCAAGGAACCATCCCCACGAGGACACATACCGAAATCCACCCGTACCTTTCGACGCAAATCGCGCACGAGATACAGAGTGCCTTATATATCTATTTAATACCAACTATCCTACATGGGGAATCGTACTCCGTTAGGTACCTTGTAGCGCGGCGCTATTTTCCTGGCGAGGCTGAAACAAGGCAGACGAGGAGGCGGACCGGCAGGCTGAATCGCTTGCGACGAATAATTCCTCCAGCCCAATCATCTGTGGTCCATTTTCCAACCCATACCTCAAAATGGGAAGAGAGTCAATCACCCCTTCATATATCGCTCCGTGCAAAATGTGGCCCATCACAAGTCACGTCTCGTGCCACGTGGATTGGGGTTGCATAACTAAGTTTGTATAGCGACGGCTCGAAGCCGCTATGGGAATTTACGAGCAGTCCGGGGGTGGGAAGCGTCCATCGCTTTGGGCAGGGGGGTTTCCTCCTTGTATATGGAGAGAATTTAATGCCCCAGAGCTGGATGGGCTCTAGCGATTGTCCATATACATAAATCTATGTCCTCCGAGTGCAGGGCATATCTCCACACACAGAGAGACATCTTCTCCTCGTTCGCATCCCCTGTGTATCTGGAAATTTCGCCCCAGAGACAGACCGCGATTCGTCAATCGAGCCACACAGATACCATACCTGTAGCATGTCCAGCTTCACTGGTTCGGTGCTGGTGACTGGCGGCACGACGGGTCTGGGATTCCATGCGGCGGCCGAGATCGCGCGGCAACGCCCTGACCACTGCATCGTGATCGCAGCTCGCACGGACGCAGGGGGGAGTGCCGAGTCGATCAATCGGCGGGTGCTCGGTAGTGAGGACCATGATCATCATCGCCGTAGAGTGCAATTCATGGTTTTGGATCTGGGAGACTTGAAGAGCGTCAGGGCCTTCGTCGCGAGATGGGCCGAGCAAAACCTCCCGCCGATCTCAATCCTCTTGCTCAACGCAGGTCGTCAATTCCCCTTTGGAGACATTCAATACACTGCGGACGGATTCGAGGCGACCTTTGGCATTAACCACATGGGACACGCGCTGCTGTTCTATCTCCTGCAGCCGCACCTGGCCAACGAAGCGCGCATCGTCGTCACCGCCAGCGGCACGCACGACCCGTTGCAGAAGACGGGCATGCCGCCCCCAATGTACACGAGTGCTGAGGATCTGGCACACCCTGCCTCGCCCGCGGCGCTCAAGGCGCCAGGCCGCCAACGCTACACGAGCAGCAAGCTGTGCAACGTGCTCTGGACATACGCGCTGGACCGACGCTTGGGACGCCCACCTTCACGCCAAAAATGGACCGTCGTCGCATTCGACCCTGGGCTAATGCCCGGCACCGGCCTGGCCAGAGGGTACCCGGCCGTCGCGCGGTTCATGTGGAAGCGAGTGCTCCCGTCATTGATACCGCTGCTGCGACTCGTTCTGTCGTCGCCCAACATCCACACGCCAGAGGAGTCCGGAGCCGCACTTGCATGGCTGGCTCTCGACGCGGAGGTTAGGATGCAAAGCGGCGTGTACTTTGAGGGGAGGAGGCAGATCAAGTCGAGCGTGGACAGTTACGACGAGACCAAGCAGGAGGAGTTGTGGGCGTGGACGGTCAAAACGCTGGCCAGGGATGAGCAGGAGAGGCGCCGGTTTGAACTCGTCGAGACGTAGACTACCTACCTAGGTATTGTCGGTGTTTGGGGAGTGTGTCAGACGAGACGTCTACCTAAGTTCTTACCTAGGTGATGTCGGACTTGCAGGGCAGTCAACAGGTCGTTGATCAGTACCTCGTAAACCCCATCTGCATGTGCTAATTGAGATCTACAAAAACACCGAGGTCAAAGGAACTCAGACAAAAGTCCTTTGTAGAGAGAAAACGAGAATGACCTCACCCTGCATACGAGGTACAACACTACCCACTGTACCCAATGCTCCAGCTCCTAGCACTGCCCCCTCCAAGTGGTTGAACATTGACAACGAACTAAAGCAATGGTGGCGCTGCAGCCCACAACGCCTATCAAACCCCTTTATCGCCCACTAATCCGCCTGCTTGCATCAAACCAGTACCCGCAAACCCGCCGAGCACAAACCCAGCCATGGGCGATGGTGGCGTCGATCATAGCGGCACAAGTCGCGGATCCTTGTGCATTGGGCATATTCAACGAGAGAGGCCCCAATCATGGGGAGGGGTATCTGCACTCTCTGGGGGCCTGAAGGAACAAAAGGCTTCGCTTCTTTGTCTAGGTAGATACTTAATTGGAGGCTTGGGGCAACGAGATAGGTACTGCACAGGGGGTCACCAATGCAAGGACGAGCATTTGCGCGCGGGCTCCCCGTGGTGTGAGGTGTGAGGTGTGAGCCGAGAGTAGCACTAGGCATTGGATGAGAAGAGCGGAGGCTGCGCAGCTGTGCTTTTCGAGTCAGCGAGTTTACGAGTAGCTATGGGTGGCTACCTGGGTACCTAGGTAGCAACCTACCGGTAGGTAGGGTAGATCCCGAATGCAAGGCCCCTCGGGACTACTTACTAAGTACCTAAGAGCCAGATCCACACAGGATAGGACAGGACAGGGACAAGCGAGATGATGGAAAAGCGTCTCCGTCCAGGTGGTCCTTGTCCCCATACATTCGTACGTCCTGCACCAATCGAAAATAGGGCCGAATTGGGAAATGGTGGCACAGCGCCCCGACAGCCCTTTCACACGCAGATCCAGATAGAGACCGAAAAACAAGACAGTGTCAAAGGCTCCTCTGTTACATATATATAAAGAAGGAGGGGATGATACAGGGTCTACAAAGGTTGTGATTTGTATTCGACATAAACGCAGAACATACTCACACAGTATTCATCTACCATTGTTATATACATACCTTGGTATCTATACCAGGGTTCGAACAACTAAAGCGGATACCGACCAAGCACGCAGTACATATATTTCCCCCATACAAACGGACAAACGAACAGCCAGACCACCCAGCGACCAAGCATGTGTGGTAACAAAAGATCTTCCAGGGGAAGAGATTCCAAGGCTCAAATGCAGGCATACTACGACGCCAACAACAACAACAGCAACGGCTATGGTTTTACCGCATCGAGAGAACAACGCTATGGACCATACACAAACACCTACAACGACGACGGCTATGTAATGTCGAAACAACAACTACAACAGCAGCAAGAACGACGCTATGAACCATACACACACACGTACAGCGAGGCCGCGCGACTGAGCCCGATCCCAGCCCAACAGCCAGCGGCGCCGCCACCAACATATGCCGAAGCCATCGACGAGTCCGTTCGCTACGATGATACAAAGACGACCGAGAAGCCCTACACCTATGGCAATCCCTACCGGTATCCCTCACCACTGCCCCCATCACCAGTGTCACCCTCCGCCGGGCCCTCGTCTCTGTCTCCGTCCCAGTCATCAGCGTATGCCGCCTATCGCTATCCCGGTCCGCAACCGCTCCCATCGCCCGTCTCCCCAGGGGAGTTAGGGTCAAAGGCCTCCTCCTTCCTATCCCCCTCCCGCTCCCAGTCATCACGGGGCCTGCCGAAACCGATCGCCATCCCCGCGACACTCGCAAAGTACGGCTCCCCCTTTCTGCGCGCCTACCCGCCTTGCCTCGCACAATACCACATCTCGTCCACACTATTCCTCTCGTTTCTCGACACGCTGAACCGCGTGGCCGTCAAATCGCCTCCGCTGCAGGTTCTGAGTCTGGCGGGGAATATCGCGGGCATGGTACCTCTGCAGACGGCGCAGATTGTCGGCGGCGCCGTGAACCTGGCGTCCGAGGTGTCGGCGGGCGTCATCCAGCATGGACGCACCGAGATCGAGCTGCGGCGCGCCAACACGGACATCTTCGGCCCCCGGGGTCTGAAGGTGGAGATTGCAAAGACAGAGGCATTGGCGCAATTGGCCGGGATGGACGGCGTGTTGGACAACGACGGCAAACTCAACAAGAAAGCCGCCCTGCTGTTGCCCCTTGAGGGTTTCGACGCCGGTGACGCACAAGGCGACGTCAGCGGCCAACAGCGGCGGCTGGACGCCATGAAACCCTGGATCGCCGAGCTGGACATCACGCCCTTGCCGGAAATCGACGTGCCCACCAACGCCATGTCGCGGCTCAACGTGAAAATCAACGAGCGCGACCGACGCAACGGCGAGAAGAAGCTCGTCGAAAAGCGCCAAAAGGTCCAGCGCGAGTACGAAAAGGAAGCCGGCAAGGCGCAGCGCGAGTTCGACAAGGAGATGAACAAGATCAACAAGGACCTCGACAAGCATCTCCGCGAGGTCGACGACAAGTTGGCCGAGGCCACCCGCAAGGGGAAGTCGAGGGATATCTCCAAATTGGAAAGAGAGAGGGAGAAGATACTGGAAAAGTATGACAGAGAAAGAAGCAAGCAAGAGCACGACCTCCAAAAAGAGATGAGAGGAGTCGAAAAGGAAAGGCTGAAGGATGACAAGGAGGAGAAGAACATGCGCAAGCTCAACTGGCTGGTCATAAGAGAGGTCAACGCCTGGAGTGGTGACGGTCCAAACCCATATCTTCCAACACCTTAGTTTAGCGTATTTTGCTTGTACAGCTGTCATGGAGTTTCCTGGTGCGATTCAGCATCCTCTGTAATATACCCTGGACGTTCCAACTCTCCCTTTTGCTGGGTGTCTTTTCCATCCCCAACGACAAAGACTTGATTTAACTCGTCCTGAATCTCCTTTCTCCTCCTCTCCCATGTATCCACCATAGCCAGCTTCTCCTTCAACTCGGCGATCTCTTTTTCCAGGCCCAACTTCTCCTCCTCAGTGCCTATTCTCACCAGCTCCCAATCAAAACCTTCCTCACCAAGGCCTAGGAGCAGGTTGAATGTGTGGTACCTGCGAAGACTGGCGCGCGTCGACAGGGTTATCACCGTGATTCCCTTCTCTTTACACCGCTCATACAGCAAGCCCTCAACATCCGAGGATACTGCAGAGGTTCCCTCGTCGAGGAACGCGTATCTGGGTTCATGGTAGAACAAGCGAGCAATCGCCATGCGCTGTTTCTCGCCCCCCGAGAGCACGTCTTTCCACTCCTTGCGTGTATCCCAACCTCCTTCTCGCGACAGCAAGTGACCAAGTTTGGCGTCCTCTAGAATCCGTTCGAGTTCGCTGTCCCGTCGATCGTTCTCCCGCATATCCATCTCCGTGTGCGGGTAGATGACTTGATCTCTGAGCGTGCCAATGCTGAGGTACGGTCGTTGAGGCAGAAACATGATTCCGTCCATGCCGTTGTTTCTGGGCCTCGAGACCAAACCGCGGTACACGGGCCAAAGCCCACCAACAATGCGCGAGATGGCGGATTTGCCGACGCCATTCGACCCTGATATCAGTAGATGTTCGCCACTGTGAACGATAAAGGAGAGAGACTCGATCAGCTCGTCGCCACCATAAGGCCACAGGCCTGGTGCCACGACAGGGACGTCCTCAAGGCGCACGCCATCGAAGCCGTGTTGGATCGTGCCTTGCACGTCCGCAAGGGAGTAGAGCTCAATTCTTTGCGAGGCTCGGCGGTTGACGGGCGCATAGGCGTTGGCGTGCACGCGGTGGAGTGTTGAGATGAGTTGGTACACTCGCGAGGTGTAACCAGCCAGTTCAGAGAGGTCTTTGATGCTGTACATCATTCGACCGCCGGCATCGGCGAGTGAGAGCATGAGTCTCTTGTTGGTAGTGAATTCTTTCATGTGGGATCCCGATCGAGAGGAATCCGTGACCTCTCTACCAGAACTCGAAGTGGCTTCGAGGATCGCGTTCAATCCAGCCCATGCAGGAAGGTAAACCGGAATGGAAGTAATGATATAGCCAAACGCCGACCACGAGTACTTCAGAATAAAGTCTTCCAGCATATTATACCGGACTTTGACGTTGTAAATACCCTCCATCCAACTGCGGAGTTCTTTGAATGATCTATCCAGATAGACCTTCTCGACGTCAGCACCACCGTAGAACGCCACTTCTTCTGCATTGGCAATCAATCTGGCATGGAGCCCACGGAAATCTCCCTCTTTCTTACCCTCAACGGCCTTTAGTTTCCCGAATGGTGGAGAGAGCCTCCGAAGCATGGTGGCGGTGCCGAAATAATTGACCAGAAGCCCGGTCAGGGCCAAGGGTCCAAGGGAGCGGTAGAGTTGGTAGTTAAAGACAAATATATCCACCAGGGGTTTTCCGAGAGAAGAATACAATGATGCGGCTGCCGTGCAGAATAGTGTAAGATCTTGTGTGATGAATTGGTCTGCGCCTTCGACTCCGCCATCTAGATTCGTGAGTTTGTAGTACGTAAGGTTGGAGTTCAGGTACAGGTCGTGGATGTATCTCGTCAGCCGGGTGCGGAAGGCGATCGATATCTTGGACTGGAGGAACTTGATCATTGCGTTGGTGTACGAGGCCAGTGTGCCTATGGAAAGCCATCTCACAAGCCCCAGCAGAAATTGCTTTCCGTGACCGCCGACCAAGTCCCGGACGATTGCGCCGTCGAGCCTCGCAACCAGAAGAGACAAGTATGTTCTCAAGATCAAGAAGACAGCGTGGCTCAGCAGTAACGCCGTCTCCTTGCTCCGGAATCTTGGAATCATGATGTTCGCGAGACTGAGGAATTGATGGAGGAAAGCCAGGTTGAGGCCGGGCTTTGTCTGCGCTGGAGGAGGGCCATATGCCGGAGTCGAGGTACCACTGGTCAGACGAGTGACTCGTGGAGGCGTCAGAAACAATCTGCGATGAGCATCAAACGTGGTGGAGCGTATAGGATGGATGATGACTTTGGAGGTAGTATCGCCCTTGGGGACGTAGATGATGCGTTCTCCTCCTTTCCCTCTTAAACCACTGTTCTTGCGGACCAGAGTCCGTCCCTGGGCCTTCTCTTTCGAACGAGCCTGCCACCACTTGAAACCGCCATAGCTAGAGGAGAGGATGGACAGGACGAGAGCGGCGGTAGCGGCAAGTTTGACAGATCGAGGTGTGCGCCGGACATGGGAGCGAAAGAGGTTGAGGTAATGGTTGTAGAGGACCATTAAAGGGTCCTCTTTCGACTGCACGGGCATCTTGGCTGAGGGTGGTGAGAGAGCGCGGAAGGTGATGTGTTCACCTGGAGGGAGGACGAGGATGAAGCGTCATGGTCTGCTACCACATAACATCGAGCGAGAAGGTGGAATGAAGCGCAGGACCATCTATTTGGATCATTCTTCGGCGTACGGCGAACAATCGAGGCACAGGCTGGTGCAGCGGACCGAGACATGTGCTCGCAACTGACGCAAGGCGGATCGCCGAGAGAAGCGGCAGCCCGCAGTTGCAGTAGTAATTCCCAGGTATGGACCGAGGACGAGGCATTGGTAAATCTGCTGGTCGCTCACGTGATGACTCACGTGCACAAGGCTACGGAGAGCGACATCAACCATAAAGCACAATGCACTCGCTTGCCGCTCTCCTATCCTCCTCTTCAAAGCTCGAGATTGCACACATGGCGAATCCGACAGTTCGATTGAAAGCGCAGGTGAAAGGAAGTCGAGGTCTGACAGCCTCACCAGCAACCTAGTAGTGAGCCGCAGCTGGAACACCAACACGACTGAAGCATACCTAACTAGGTACCCGAGGTAGGTAATGTATCCAGGTTTGTTGCCCAAGTCTACCCGAGTAGCGTCTAGCATCTAATCTATCCTTACCCGTAAATATCATCATAAATGGCCGTTGAGCTTTTCCTTCTGCTCTGCAATAGGTGTCAACAGAGACCCTTTGTCCACCGCATTCTCCAGATTGTGCAACACCAATAACTCCATCTCCCGCTGTGTCTCGTAGGTATTGGTGCCAATGTGCGGCACAATAAAGACGTTCTCGTTCTTCAACAACCCTTCTTCCACCTTGGGCTCCTCCTCGAACACATCCAGCCCTGCCGAAGACACTTTGCCGCTCTCCAGCGCTGCCACCAGATCTTTTTCATTGATCAGCGCCCCTCGAGCCGTATTGACGATCACCACTCCGTCCTTCATTTTCGCAAATTCTGGTGCAGATATAATATGCCGCGTTTTGGCATTGAGAGAGAGATTCAGGCTGAGCACGTCGGACTGCGCGAGTAACTGGTCGAAACTCAGGTACGTCGCGTCACCCTCGAGCTCTTTTGGTAGCCGCGTTCGGTTGTGGTAGGCGATCTTCATCCCAAATGCTCGCGCTCGATGAGCCATCGCCTGTCCGCAGTCAGTATGTGGTTGCCGCAGGTAATGTTCTTGCGCTTACTCTGCCGATTCCCCCCATTCCCAAGATACCCAGCACTTTGCCCTTCGGATCATGTCCGAGTTGGGCCTTCCCTCGCCATTGGCCTTCGCGGATCGCAACTAAAGGTACCCATGCCAGCCGCAGAGCACCCAGCAGAAGGAATATGCCGACATCAGCGGTGGCGTCATCAACCGCAATGGGCGTGCTGGATATCTTGAGTCCTCTTCGAGTGCAGGCGTCCACGTCAATATTGTCGTACCCCGCTCCGTTGTGGCAGATATATCGCAAAGACCGTGGCAGAACCGAAACCAGCTCTTGATCGAAGGGGCCAGTTTCTGACACGGATTGGTTCGAGCGATACAAAGCCACTATGTCGTCGTACTTGCCGGTCTTGCAGTTGGAGAGGAACTGCTCGCGTGTGCCTTCTCGGAACTCTTTCAAATTATATTTTGAACCTAACCCTTCCCACTCTTTATTTATGTGTGCCAATGGTCCGATGAGGAGAACGGTGGGTTTCGACATGGTGGTAAGGGACTTGTGTTGGGTCGGTCTGTGGGAGCATACACGAGCGAGGGCAATACTGGTTGGCAACGCCTTTTGTCGAAAGCAAGAGGACAAAGCAAGCATAACCATATATTGAAATCTACACCAGTTGTTTGCCGCTGGTATCCAGATAGCCAGATAGCGGGATATATTTCCCCAGCTTCACGCAGTGACGCGAAAGTGACGGCGGGCATTCCGTCGGCATTTGAAAGTGCTAATATCGCAATGTATCGCAGTCTCACCCCGCACCGTCAATTGCCGTCTTTCATTCTTCAACCCCCACATCCTCTGACTTCTCTCCATGACTGGACCACACAGCGGCTGGGGAGTCGCCTTCAGGGTCGGAGTCTCCCTCACACATTCGCCGAAGATTACTCAAAGAGACTTGCTGCAGCGTCGGAGAAAATCCCGCTGCCCGACATCTGAGTACAGGCATCCTGTGCCCGTTTAATGGATGCCATAGTGTCGCTGTGAAATGACTCTTAAGATGTTAGGGCCGTCTCCCGGATTCATTTGACCAGTACAGTTACCTCCACCTCCTCTCCAAGTGTTTATTTTGTCGATGTGGTCGAAGCAGACATTGTATACTCATATAAGAGGTTCGAATATCTTGCACACAAACAAACACTTCTCCGAGAAGAGCAGCAAAAGGCAAACGTTGACTCGGGGACCTTGGTGACGAGGTCAGACGACATGGCTTCTATAAGGACTGTACAAGCTCTGGTGCTACACGGTAAGAACGACCTGAGACTGGTAAGAAATGGGCTACTCCTCCAAGCAAGTGCAAAACTGATAGAATTGTGCTTTGATCAGGAGCCGAGACAACCACCTGTTCTGCAACCTGGCGAAGTCCAAATAGCAATCAAGGCAACAGGTATTTGCGGCTCGGACTTACACTATTATAAGCTCGGACAGAATGGAAACTTTGTGGTTCGGGCGCCACTTGTCCTCGGTCATGAAGCATCGGGTGTTGTCACTGCTGTCGCTGAAGTCTCAAACGGCGTCACGAATGGCGATGTGACTTCTTCGAGTCTCAAAGTCGGCGACAGAGTAGCCCTGGAAGTTGGTTTCCCCTGCCGCTCGTGCGTCCTGTGTACCACAGGTCGGTACAATCTCTGTTCCAAGCTATCTTTCAGATCTTCTGCAAAGACGTTCCCACACATCGACGGGACGCTGCAAACCTTGGTCTCACAGCCAGCTGCCATGTGCCACAAACTCCCAGAGAACGTCACCTTCGAACAAGGGGCACTGGTCGAGCCATTGGCTGTCTCGCTACACGCCTTGAACCGCAGTCAGTCTGCAGGATCGGGAGTGGGAGTGCCACTGGTTGGGTCAAGCGCCTTGGTTCTGGGAGCGGGCGCTGTGGGAATGTTGACCGCTGCTTCTTTGTCTGTTGCTGGAGTATCAAAGATTGTCATCGCAGATATCGACGGTCCCAGACTGAAGATCGCCGCAACGCTAGGCGGTGGCAGGTTTAAGCTGAAGACATTCCTCATTCCTCGAAAATCTCCTGCCCAAACAATCGAAGAGAAATTATCCGAAGCACAGGAACAAGCGGCGGAGATCTGCAAGTCAGAGGGACTAGAAGCCGGATTCGATCGAGTTTTTGAGTGCTCGGGTGCTCCACCATGCGTCCAGATGGGCGTGTATGCAACCGCAGCAGGCGGGAAGCTGGTCCTGGTTGGAATGGGCGCACCAGTTCAAACCTTGCCGTTGGGGGCGGCTGCTCTCAGGGAGGTGGACATCATCGGCGTATTCAGATATGCGAACTGCTATCCTGCGGCCATTGCACTCTTTGCCAGCGGTCAGTTGGATGGCGTCACGGAGGATCTGGTCACGCATCGAGTGGCACTTGCAGATGGAGAGAAGGCCTTCAGAGTGGCTTCTAATACCGGGCGGGAGGGAGAGGACGAGGGGAGGGTACCGGTCAAGGTGGTGATCACTTCGTAATGCACCAGAATTGTGTTTGCAATGTTGTGAAAAGCTCTGCATGTACGTGTACATTGTGTCAATGGAAAGTGGGCGAGCAATGCTACCTAGCTCCAGGTATTGGTATTATTATCCTCCCTATATAATACCTAGGTAACTACCCCTGATATGGGAGACATGGCGAGATGGGGATGCGCTTTGGGCATTCCATCCTCGGCACGTCGCGTTCCGATGCGCGAACCACTTGAGCCAGGAATTGCATGACACTGCAGAGAACCTCTTTGAATGATTCTCGAGATCCACGATGCAGCGGTACCCTCTTCCTATTCGCAGGACGAAGAAGAGAGCATGATATCAGGTGCATGATTGTTGCCATCCTTCGCCGAATATGGTGTCGCCGGAGATTCAGCAGATTGCGGTTGGGGCTGACGTCAATATTAATACTCGGCCTGCGCATATAGGCAAAGAAACGCTCATCCTCCGTCGGTCTTCAACCGGCATCTAACACTATATCTCATTCCTTTTCATCAGCCGCAAGTGATTGAAGAGTGTCAGATCAAACCTGATCGCAACAGCAGATATGACGACACGGAAGATCCTCGTTACAGGTGCTACAGGCAAGCAAGGCGGCGCTCTCGTCAAAGCGCTGCTTGCGAACCCTCCTCCGTTTGACTACGAAATCCTCGCCCTCACCCGCAAGACCACCTCCAACGCGGCCAAAGCTCTGGCCTCTAAGCCTCAAGTCACCCTCATCGAAGGCGATCTGGATGATTGCACAAGCATCTTCACAAAAGCTGGAGGCATTGGCGCCGTATGGGGCGTCTTTTGCGTCACAATGCCCAATCTCAAGCAGAAGGTTGAGGGCAAGGAGGTACAACAGGGAATTGATATGGTAGATGCGGCTGTTGCCCACAAAGTCAAACACTTCGTCTACACATCTGTCGATCGTGGTGGCCCCGACAAATCTGAAGTAGACGCCACCTACGTTGCTCACTTTGTTTCCAAGGTATGTCGGAGCTCTGCGAGCTGCGGGTGCATGAGACAATACTGACCCAATTCCAGTACAATGTGGAGAAGCATCTGAAAGAAAAGACCCGAGGCACAGAAATGACCTATACCATCCTGCGGCCGACGGCATTCATGGACAACCTGAAACCAAACCTCTTCGGCCGCCTCTTTGCCGCGAATTGGCATTCCATGGGTGACAAGCCACTCCAACTGGTGGCAGTAAGGGACATTGGGATCTTTGCAGCCAAGGCGTTTGGCGCCGCGGAGACAGAAGACTACAAAAACACAGCAATCAGTTTGGCCGGCTGTGATCTCACCCAAGCCGAAGCCAACGAGATCTTTTGGAAAGTACTTGGACGACCCATGCCTCGCGCATACGATTTCGTCAGCAGTTTTTTCATGTATATGGTGCCGGAATTGGGCAACATGATTCGATGGTTCAAGGAGCAAGGGTATGGTGCAGATTTGGCACAATGTCGACGACTGAACCCACAGATGATGGATTTTGAGGTATACCTCCGAGAGGAGAGCGGCTTCAAACGGTAAGGTGGAGGGACAATCAAACCATACGGCATTGATCATCGACACCGTTGGCGGGTGGAGGAGCCATCTCATCTCAAGTCGGCGTCAGCATGGAGTCTGGAGTTCATTGCGCGAGGGCTAGACTCTCCATTCAGTTTCCTCAGAGTGAAGATCGTGGGAGCCTTGGCTGTCTTCCTTCAATCTGCCTCTGTATCACCAGCATTTCCTGCTCCATATCTACGTCATTGTTGCGCCAGGGCCGCCGATACAATCGGAACGGCGCGAGTCAGTTGGATAATATGAGAACCATAGTGTTGGGAGCTTAAGCTTTTGTCCTTGGGATATACAGTGTCACACCAGCCTGATGGCCCAACCCAATTTCTTGGGAGATGGATCTGTAGTATTTCTGGAAGTCTGGCAATCTTGGCGGCCTTCTCCCTTTTGTGATTTAATAGTATCGCTCGTGTAATGGCCATGCAGAGAAGGTCGTGGTTCCATGTGGAAAGAGTGGTCGAGAACAACCGGTCAAGCTTCACGACCGGCAAACGACTTGTTCATGCAGCCTTCAGGGCCGAGCTGCAGGAACAAGGAGCCTTGAGGCAATTGATTGGCTAGTGGCTCCATCTGGCGAGTGGTTAGTGAGGCTAGAGTTGCACCTGAAACGCAGGCTAATGTTTGGAATGCCAACGTTATCAATCTCTCCGTCTTTTCCGAATCCCTATCCGCCGCCTATCGTTTGCCTCGTCGTCCTCGACCATGACCGTCATCGTGAAATGAAAGGGGTCACAAGGGATCTTTCTTTTCTTGGTTCTGTGCCATCAGTGAGTGAGTGAGTGTCCAGTCAACTGCGTGATGTCCTTGCGTTTGGAGGTTCATTGTTTCACTCACTTCACTTTCATCGTGTTATACCGCTGCCTCACCGTGACAAGACTCGGCCACTATCCACGAGGACAATACTATCATTCTACCGAAGTTACGAGCGAATCAGTCTCCTGTTCTCTCTGCCGGACCTGACAAGCTCTCCCTCCCACGCCTCCGCAAAGCTTCGACCCGATGCCTATCCGCAAAGATCGGACTAAAGAAAAATCCCGCACCAACCACATCTGGCCCCTGCGGTGCCACGCGAACAGCTTAAGGTCAAGCTTCAAGCTCCTGAAACGCCATCTCCTTCAGATCTAGACCCTTTTCCCTGCGTGGAGGCTGGCTACCCGCTCCTTTTGTGGCTGGCTTGGGCCTATCGATAGCGGACCGCCATGTCTATCTCAGCCTTGACCCCAGAAAGGGGAGGCATCGACATGGATCCAAAGCTGCCTCCATCCGCCCCCTTGCGCTTAGCTGCCGATCGAAATATTCCCATATCCATGCTCCACTCGCTCATCTGCTGGTTCGCAAGCTCTTGTTTCTTGTCTCTTGTCTCTTGTCTTCTGCCTGACCCTCTGGTCGTCCGCTGTCCCCAAGTGAAGTCGCTCGCTTATCGACCTGCCGTTCCTTACCATTGTTCTCACGACCGACACAAACAATGCTTGCGAAGGCATTGTAGTACCGCTTTGTTCCAGAGATCAATGTGATCCATTGTCACTCCTTTCATCCTCACTCCCTTTGTTGTTTGTTCTTGTCGCTCCTTTGTCAACGGCCTTGACGGTCCGTCTACTTTTCTACCACCCTTTGAGCTTCGACCAGTTTCGAGCAACCAATCCTTTCAGACAAAACATACTCAGCGAGTATTACACTGTCTCTTCAAAGAACTCAGATCTACATTAAGATTTACACTCTTTGTGGAAAAGCCCCGTACCTTTGACGACTCTTCTTGCTGGTCATCAGCAGCATCCACCTTTTACCGAATCTGCAACCTTGCGCATCATGCCTATCAAGTCAGTCCTTAGCAGCGCCCTCATTGGGCTGCTTGCTACAGCACCTCTCACATCCGCGCACTCATGGATCGAACAATTGATGGTCATTGCTCCCAATGGGACTCTGGTAGGACAACCCGGGTTTGCCCGTGGAAATGTCTTGCGCGGAACACCTGGATTCAGTGATCCCACCATGGTCAATCTCATTCCACCCGATGGGCGTCCAATCAACCAAATTGAATCTTCCGACCTCATGTGCAAATCCACTCAAACTTCGCAAACCCAGACCGACGGTTCTCCGAGGCTGCAGGCAGCTGCTGGAGCAGGTGTTGCCCTGCGCTTCCAAGAAAACGGCCATGTCACTTTGCCAGACAACCAACCCGGCAAGCCACCCAATCGAGGCACAGTCTATGTCTACGGAACCACTCAACCCAGTCCCGACGACTCTTTCCTCGCCATTCACCGTGTTTGGACGGCTGATGGCTCGGGCGGTGATGGTCGCGGTCGACTCTTGTCCACTCGCAACTTCGACGATGGCCAGTGCTATCAAGTGAACGGTGGTCAGATCTCTCAACAACGCCAACAGCAGTTCTCGCATCCAGCCGATACTTTGATGGGTTCGGATCTCTGGTGCCAACAGGATATCCAGATTCCAGATGATGCACCTTCGGGTCAGCCTTACACCCTTTATTGGGTTTGGGACTGGCCTACCTTGCCTGGCACTGCAGGTTTCCCTGATGGCAAGCAAGAGATCTACACCACATGTATGGATGTTGATATCGTCGACAATTCCGGAGAGGATACAGTGTCCGAGGCACAAGTTGACTACGCACAAGGTCAACCTCTTGACAATGCTGCTGTTTCTGCTCAAATGACCGATCTCGCCAATCCTACAGCTGTCACAGGTCAGACCATCCCTTTCACCAATTCTCCCACCACTTTTCTTACGCAAACCGTATCGCCGACGCCTACAACTCCCGTACTGACGTCTTCTTACACAGGTTCCACCATTGCCTTCTCTGCCTCAGCCACAGGCCCTGTCTCTGGTGGTGCAAGCGAGGCTAGTGTTTCCGCTGCCACAGCATCTGAGACTGGTGTACCTGCCTTCCTGAGCGTCCACGTGGGTTCAACAGCCGGACCAGGCATCGAGACCCAAACCTTCACTGTCTCTCCTATCGGCGTATTCACTACCACCACTTCTGATGGCACCCAGGCGCAACAAACTGGCGGGTCAGGTGGTGGACGTGGCGGTGACAACATCAACAATCGTATGTTACCACTCCCCTGGATATTCGCCGTACTTGCCAGATGGCTGAAGAGCCTCGCCACTGACTCTGACTCCTCACCAGAACCCCAAGTGACCGCAGCTCCAAATGTTGCCGGTAACGTTGTCGTGGCGACTTTCACCGAGTACGAATCTGTTACCGAAACCGTCTTTCAGACAGTGTATCAGACGCAGTACACCAAGCGAAATGCAGGTGAGTCCTTCTATCCGACTGGCCGCGGGCCTGTGGACGACGATTATGTTTCCCCCTCCACCTCTGAATTCCCTCCTATCCGCACTCCTCCTTACCCTTCCCACTGCTTCTGGTGCCCAAGTGGCTCGGCAGCTCCGAGGTTCACTGATCCTAGTGGCCCACCGCCCTGGCTCAGTGGCGCTTGGACTTCTAGGACGTGGAGGCCGTATCCTCGTCCTACAGGCTGGGTTGGACACAGAAACAGCAGCACCGAGCATGGTGGCAGACACGGCTCTTATGACGATGGCTTCAGCAATTCCACAACAACTACGACAGCTGAAAGCACGATCACGGTCGCAAGCACAGTGACTTTGACGACATACCTGCCATGTGCCTCTGCCTCTGCCTCTGCTGCTGGTGTTGCCGACGGTGTTGTGAGCTCCTCAACCATTCCGGCAGCGCCAATGTCCAGCTACAGCCCCCAGGCCTTCCCTCCTCTTCCCCTTTCTGCTTCCACAGACACAGCCGGCACCTCTGCCGTGTCTGCTCAACCCATTGCCGTTATCCCTATCTCCTTCTCCTCCACGCCCACAGACACAGTCACCGTCACAATCTTTCCATCCAGCCCATCCTCTATCTCTGCCTCTTACCCCACTTCATCGCTACCCTCAACAAATACTCAAGGAGACCAATCACTAACGTTCACTGTTTCGCCCATTCCAGATCCCGCGCCGACCCCGACAGTTTCAACAGAACACTCGGTCTTTCGACTCCGGGCCCGGAACCCATTCGTCATGCTAGGCTGGTCCTCCCCGCAAAAGGCAGAGGTGACCCAGAGTCCTTCCTCTTCCTCCTCATGATGACGTGAACGCATGATCTTTTTTACTGCAAGCCGGACTTTCAACATCACCACCTGTACAGTCTGTACATTAGCGCATCGCATCAAAATATGGGACAAGCGAAAGACCCAGAGCCAGGCTCGCTCCTGCTTTGCTTGATCGGCTTTAACGAAAAGAGATAAAAAAGAAAAGGGTCATCCACGGCACCCAATGAAGACGACACCTCAAAACTCTAGCCTAGACTCCATACGGCAGTGTTTACTCAGAGCACAGAGAGAGTAACAACGAAACCCGCTGGGCCGGGGGCGTTTGGGAATGAGAACGTTACGATGATACTTGCAGGTGGTTATCTACAAACCTCCATCATGATCTTGCACGAAAGTTGGGGGATGGATGCGTGCGTGCGTGGGGCCTGTTATTGTACAGAAAAACAGAGGTGGAGACGAACATCTTTTTCCCAATTTCATGCATGCCCCATGTCCTTTATGTAGATAGGATATGATATGATACATATGAGACAGAATCACATATCACATGCTACCTTCACCGCGACTCTCACTTTCTTAAACTTGAAGAAACCAGTTCGTTCGTGCAATCATTAATATTAATTACGGGTTTTGCTGTACAATTCCTATCCAAGCCCAAGCCCCAGATGCCACCCTGCAGTGATATGTAAATTGATGGGAGAGCTGCTCTGTCCTGTTCCTTTCCCAACCCTGTCTTATTATATGCCTTGTGAACGCCGAGGAGGTAGGTCTATGACAATTTCAATCAGGAGAGCCGGAACCGCCAGCTCCAAAGTCTAGACACTGCCTTGCTGTCATGTCATCCGTGCTGTTTGACTTTCTATTCGTGCCCGAGAATGTATTGTATTGTACAAGTAAAGGCTGCCAATGGGTCCGTGAGGTTGTCGCGGAAACACTCAGGATGACTTGATTGGTTTCGTGTATTTGAGCTCGGTGCCCCAGACGTAGTCCCAGAATTTGGACGTCACGCCGAATCTGAGTCAATGTTAGCTATACCTGTGCTTCATACGGACGGACGACAAGAAGTTGCTTGTTTTGCGTCACTTACCCAAGCTCGAAGTTCTGATAGTGGTGCGCCAGATGATATTTCTTCAAATCCCTCACGTAGGCGGGAAGTTGGTGGTGATGCAGCCAGTAATGCGTGCAGTCGTAGCAGATGTAGCCGAAGATGCCCCCGCTGAAGACCGTGATGGCGGCGTACCAATTGTACCAGAAGACGAAATGTGCGAGTTTGTAGAACGGCGTGGCCAGAATGAGGAACATTGCCGGCGGCATGACAAGCCGATATTTGTCCATGGGCAGGTAATGATGGATCCCGTGCAGGACGAAATGGAGAGTCAGGAAGAGCGGGTGATCGGGGAGATAGCTGTCAATGTGGAACAGAAAGCGATGTAGGAGGTATTCGACCAGCGTCCACAAAAAAAGACCCAGGCTCCAATATGCGATGCCCACGGGTCCGAGGGTGATGATTCCTAGGACCGAGCCATAGAGGACGGGAGGCAGCCATAGAATTGGAATCATGTACCACGCGGTCTTACTGAGCGGTTCAAGCACGTTGCCGAACAATGGAGCGGAGTCGCCGCCCTTGTAGTGTCGAGGCCGGTGGACTTGTTCGAGGTAGAACTCCTTTGAAAACTTGCTGAAGAGCATCTGCGGGAAAAGCGGTCGGTTCAAGTCGAGGAATTTGTGTGTCTTCCAATCTTGATCCAGGTCCGTCTCTTTGGAGAGATCGTCTTCTGAGGACATGCCCGTCGATTCGTAGAGGGGTCGGTTCGGGAGGTCGGCTTGCACCCCATGGGCTTTTAGTTGTTCGTTGCCTTCGGCTGTCGCAGGCAGTGGGACGACTTGGTCAGGATGCGAAGAGTCCACTGCAGTCTTGAGAACAGCATCGGTGGGTACGAATCCAACCAGGCTTTCTTCCAGGATCTCATATGCGGTCTCGGTGTGGAAATGGGAGTCCTCATCTTCCAAGATTTGCTTGACGTCCTTGCCCGCGAATTCGAGAATCAACTCGCCGCCGCCCGGATGATCGTCGATGAAGTCCGTCACATCAAAGACACGTTCGCCGATTGTCACATAGCACGACTTTCGACTATTGTGCTGTTCCACCTCGGCGCGGGTGATTGTAGGGAGCGTCTTGCCGGGCATGTTGGCGGGCGGAAAGGGAGGATTAGGGAGAGACTGATGGTCAGGTGGTAGGAGAGCGAAGAATGGCTAGACGCAGGATCAGAACGAGGACGTGGAATTCACTGATATGAAGGGCAGAGATGCTGACAAGGAGCAAACCGTGAGGATTAGGGAAATTTATGAATGTTTGCTGGTTGCGGTTTGCGGTTTTTGCCTCCTGTCAATCTCGGGTTGTAGGGGCTCCTGGGGGCCTTCGGCGTGCTCCCAACGCCCAATGGCGGGCCTGGATGGAGATGCAGAATCCCGCCGCCTTCCGCTGCCGCATCTTAAGGCGGTCACTCCACCATTGACACCATTGAACGCGATGACGCCAAGTGGATTACATAACCCACTTAACGCGTGCTCTACGGCGGGTCTTATGCGTCTGAAGCGCAATGAGATTTTTGTCGATGAGGCCTAGATTGGAGGAAGCAAGAGCAATGTCTGCCTGATTTCGACTACCATAAAATCATCAAAGGAAGACTCATTTCATCTCAATGAACTTGCCTTGTTATATTCTGTTGTACCGTTCACATAATGAAAAGGATGTTCTCCGCCGAGGAGCAATCTACTTCCTCCCAGGCTCCCATTGATGCGGAAGCCGATAGCGCATCCTCGCCAGAGGATGAGACGGTCGACCCCGATGATCTCTGTCCCATCTGCCATTCACTCATCTACAAGCCGGTCCGAACCAGATGTAATCATACTCTTTGCCAGTCTTGTATGGCTCTGTGGGCGGATGTGTCAGTCACATCCCAATTGACCGCCGTTGGACTCGACGATGAGGTCGCTGTCATGCTGCCTCACGAGATCGAGACCCGTTGCCCCATGTGTCGAACCTTTACCATTTCGACCCTAGACCCGACCAGAGAACGAGCCCTTCAGCGATTATATCCTGCCTCCTACCAGGCACGTGAGGCCGAGTCCCAAACGGCCGAGGAAGATGGTTCTGCCTCTACTATTGAGACGCTAACCGTATACATCGGAAACGAGCATTCAGAGGTCAGAGCCGAGCAGGGGTCTAATAACAAGCACCATTGGAAGTTCTTCATCCGACCTTCAAGAACTGACCTAATTGAAGAGGTTCAAGTGTTCCTGGTAAGTCCCATTCTATACTGCGACCTGGATTCGCCAACCTGTGACGTCAGCATCCTACATTCAGAAATCCTATAGTCGTTCTTGAATGGCCACCATACGAGATCAGACGACTCGGATGGGGGTTCTTCACCATCTACGCCAATATCATCTTGAAACCCGGCTACAGCTGGCTGAGTCCAGAGGCCGAAGGTACCCGAGACGGCGCGCCCAAAGGCAAGTTACCGCTGGAATGGACATTGGACTTTAATGGCCGTGGAGCACAAGCGCGGATCAGACTCAAGGTCAGAAAGGAGAAGGAGGGCGACGAAGCCGCACTAGACATTCAAAGAGAACGCGTACGCAGGTCCTACGCCCGACAGCGAGAAACAGATCCTGATTGGGAAGATACGTGATTGGTCAGAGCGAGAGGGCGCTGGAAAAGAACAGGGCCATGCTCCGATCCGTTATGTCCTTTGTCAGGATGATGCATAATCAACCTTGTGCGATTCATCTGGACAAAGGGGGTAGTCCTTTGTCTCCAACGGCTTTCTTTAAATGCCTTTTTTCTTTGCTCTTGTCTCTTTATCCAACATTGTTCACATTTGTCTGTAGCATTCTCTTTTTGTACCATATCCACGACCGTCCGTAATATACTAAAGCTAACGTCCGCGCGCAGAACTGCCTCCAACCAGATCGTCACTTCCTTTCTTCTTGTCTTAGCAGTCTTGCATCTTTAGCGAGTTGAAAATCTGCTCTCCCAGTCATTGCAGTCCGGTATATCGACGTCCAAATCCAGGTTCAGACTGTCCGACGACAAACCCCTTCACATATCTGTCAAGACTGTCAACCTCTCTGTAGAGATGGCGGTGCAGCGCGCCGGCACACTCCCAGAAGGTGTGATTCCGCTTCGGATATCATCGTTGTCGAAAAGCACCACTATGCGAATTCCTCTACGACCCATCAACACCGACTTTGTTACGTGGCCGGCCCCAGATGGATGGTACGCTCCTCCACAGGCTTCATTGAACGAAGAGGAGGAGCCCTTCCCAGATTTTCAAGACCCATCAAAATCTCTCATCATCGAAAGGACTCTACTTCTGGACGCCCTGTCTTCTCGTCTGACCATGCTTCCACGTCAAGCCAGAGAACAGGAGCGCTCAACGTTCGAAGCTCTCTTGTCTCGCATTGCCCCACAGTCTGGTCACATCAAACATGACCATGACCTGTCGCGAAACAGGCCTTCCATCCAAGACGTTCTCGCCTCTGGTGAGAGCAACCGTGCACGAAGAGCACTTGGCAACAAAGGCAAGTTACCTGCGAGCAGCGGACTAAAGACTAATTACATTTCGAACAGCTATGTATCGCAGCCGAAAGATGCCTTGAAGGAGAAAATGAAAGAACGCTACACAAGAGGGGTCAAGCAGGCCTTGGCCTACGAAAAGGAATTCGGCATGGAATTTCTCAAGCAGCCGGTGGATGAACGTGAGCAAGAGCAAGGCCGAACTATGAAGCGGACCCATCCTGGCGCATTCAATCGAGCGAAGGTGATCACTGCACTTACGATGCTCCGTCAGACTTTCCCAGATCATTACCAGGCTACTCCTCTCGAACAATCGAAGATCAAGGAGACATCAGAGAAGAAGAAGTCGAAGAAAATTCCCGCCGTGGAAGAGGTAAGTCAACGAGAGCTTTCTCACAGTAAGCGAGTGACCTCAAGTGGCATTGATACTGAGGAATACTCTGGATCTTCCAAATACACAGATTCCTTTGCATCGGTCAAGAGGATGGCTTCGTCTCTCTTTCGAGGTCTGGTGGGCAAAGTTCACTTTGGACGATCCACAAATGAGAAAAGCACTTCCCCAGGTCGTTCACCTCTCAATTTAGACAGCACCAAGGTGGACACAGTCGGCGGTTGCGTGGTTGACATCGACAGTTTGCCATTTTGGTTGGAGATGAACGATATGGTTGGAAGGCAGGGCGAACAGGCTGAATCTGTTGCTCCAGGATCTGCTGTGTCCACAAGAAGGAGTAACCCTACAATGAAGGAGTTCGTGATTGACGCAGGAATCGTCCTTCCGGAGGAAAGTGACGTCTCAACTACAGGAGTCCCTGACGACGACACAGCTGGTGCGATCCCCACCCGATTGCAGCGACCCGCCCTCCGCCCACGTATAATTCAACTCAAGGTGAGGAGCAGCATGTCTAAGCACATGCGACGACAGAAGTCTGCGACTTCCCGCCGTCGGCATGTCAGGATGGAGGCTCAACACCATCAAACTCTCCACGAAAGCAAGGGCAAACTACTTAGTATGATGAATAGGCTGGATCGACAAATATTTGGTGAGTATGAAGTTCGATGAGCTGGGCTTTCGGGATCTCCGTGTGGAGGTGAATGATGGGGTCAATGGCTGGTGGCAGCACCGGGAGTGCCAGTAGTGTGAGTCGTGGCATGATACGACGCTGTAGGTCACAAGGTTCAGGTATTGGCCATGGCAACAGGTAACAAGGTAAGTTAGCACAAATTTCGTTTCAGAACACGCCCAGATTCCTCCAATCTACTGGTTTTGAATTAAAGATCGTTGTGGATGGTGGCATGCTTCACTTACCTGCAGATGGGCTTTGGGAATTTAGGAAGCAGACCCGCAACTGAATAGCCTTGTCGACGACTACGGAGGCTGCAAGGTTAGTCCCGCCGCCCGAGTCCTTGGGCCTTTGTTATTTACAGCAGGAGTCACTGGATCGTTCACGATTTAGCTAATTCGCCGGCTTCATTGCAGCCATACGACCAAGAAATCAAAATTTTAATCTCATCAGGCTAGCATGAGGCACTTCATCTATACTATTCACAGATTTGAGATTCTGTAGTCTCAAATCCCTTCATGAGGTTGGTCGACTTCCCTGCTGGCAACCTTGACAAGCCACCAGTGTCAACGCCCACAAGATCCGAGAGCCTTGTCCGATTCAAGACTCAATTTGCTCCCTATTTCCTTGAGGGCTGCAGCTGTTAAAGGAGCTGCTCGCGGCCGACCTGAACCGTGGAATAGCGCGCAGATTGCTTCATTCGCGTCAGCAGGGTTTGCCTGCCTAATTTGCTGAGGAGCGAGCTCGATCGGAATCTTGGCTTCCTGATTGCTACGTCTGCCTCGCCACCAAGTCTGAACTCCCTCTTCAAGGATATTGATGCGCCAACGCTGCTTCCGCCGCCCTACAGTAAATGCTCTGCCAGGCAAAGTCCCCCTATCCACGACGCGGTTCCATTCGTGGACACGCCCGAAGACGTGTTCACCAAACCCCAAGCCGGTCATCAGGAGAGATGCTTCAAATTGGGGAAAGGTGTCCTGATCTGATTCCTTTGCAATTCCCAGATTCGATTCGTTGTATTTGTCCTCGCCACTGACTCTGCCGTGCATGAAGCAGTGGAAACAACATAGAGTAGTGTACCTGACAAGCAACAATGCAGATCCTCCCAGACAAGATGAAATCGCTCGGTTGAGAAATGCTTCTGCGGCATGGTTTCCCTCCGTGGTACGGAGCAGACGGTTGGCATACAATATCCTCGTGATGATAGCTGCACCGTCGAGGATGCACAGATAACGTCGTCCTTCCTCGCAGAAACCCGGTCCGAGAAGACTGGTGGCGTATTCCGCGAATCGATTCAGTCCATCGTGGACTTGTACCATGTACTCAACCGCTCCAGCGTCAAGACATGATCTGGGAAAGAGCAAGAACAGCAGTGGAGCCTGTTGCTTCGCAATGGCTGCGAGTGACTCTGCGGCTACATCTCTCAGCCGACGAGATGCCAGGTTGATGCTGAGCCAGTTCTTTTTCGAACACGGGACAAAGGAAATGATGTTCGTCAAAATCTCCTCCGGAAGTGCTTCTAGCCTTGAGCGGGAGGATGTCACAGAGCCAAAAACGACTGCCGTCATCAGCCCAGAAGAAAAATCATGCAGAACCACTGCCCTGTTTATACCTGGGTCATGAATGGTCGGAAATCAGTGAGAATTTTTGTCAAGGAGATGGAGTTGTAAACCCCATGTTTGCAAGGCTCTGGCTGATGGCAGTAGACAGACACAGCATCCATGTGGGGCATGGAGTTGCTTGCCAGGCCCGGCAATGCTGCAACTTGAGCCTCGGAGTATAATTATACGTACCCGAAGAGGAAATGCCTCTTCTCTATAACTATACACTTCGGTCGTGAACAGTGCCTCCCCATTAAGGGGTTTAAGCCTTGAAAGTCTCTTGATTCTAACACAAATACCTCAGCGACTTCTCTCCGAAGTGGATACTATCTCAAACGAAACCATGCTTCGCTCGAGGGTAGCGGTACTAGCGGACAGATGTGCAGGATCGAGTGACAGTGGTGGGGCATCGAACTCGGTCTCAAATCAAGCCTACTAAGGGCCGTCCGCATTGCACCATTTTGCCGTACCTCGAGATCTCGGTATCGCCATGTATTATTCATAGAGCCTGTCCTGTCAAGCGGCCCTTAGCCTGCCCCTTCTCTTGTTCTTTTCTCTCTTTCCCCCACTCCCCCATTCAATCTTATCTTGTTTCTTTTACGGAAGAAACCTCGAAAACACCGCAATGCCACGACTAAAACTCTCAACCTCCAGACTCTTGTCAGTCTTGACCCTGGGGGCCGCGGGCACCATCGGGGCTTTCCAATGGTGGACACAGGACTGCCAATTCGTGCCCTACGAAGTGTCCCGCGACGTTTCTCTGTCGGGGAGCGCGTTCTACCGACGATTCAACCCGAACCAGAACCCTGCGTTTCAAGATCTCTGTGTTCGGCGGATCCCCCTGAGCAGGCTGGATCCGAAGCTTTTGAGGGACTATGAAGAAGGAGGCACGAAGCTGATAGAGGCGTACTGTGCCGGTATCTGGGCTAGCCGTGGTGAGTAGTTCTTCGGGTCAATAGATACAAAAAGAATATGCTCTCCAACTTTTGTCCATGGAAGTACACTTACTAATTACTAAAACCCAATATCATCGTCCGTAAATCCAGCATACACGATCCAACGCAGATATCTGCAACAGCGCTACAGCTCGCCGACCACGGCTCACCAGCTCTGGCGACGCTCCGAGCTCCTCCACTCGCCCTACGACGTCGGCACGGAAATCACCAACCACTTCGTCGTGCTGTCAAAGACCCCCGCGTCGATTCTTCTCAGGTGTGGTGACTCTCCCCTGAACACGCCGCACGGGCCCCGCGACGTTGACGGCCTCTTCGAGATGAGCATCGCGACATACAAGGACGAGGGAGTCGCCGAGTTCCGCATGAAAAGCCTCTTTTACCATGGCGTCGGTAAGGTGTCGGTGAGCCCGATCAGACAGTTCTCCCTGGAAGGGTGGGCGCATAAGCGATATGTTAAGTTGTTGCTGGAGGAGGCGGTCCAGGGGTGCTGTGCGCGCCAATCTTGGAGGAGTGATCGTTATGCGTCGATTGCAAGCCAGGAGGAAAGGAGCAGGGCGGAAGGGACTAGGATTTAGGGTCTGGCGTACAAAAATTTACAGCCAAGATGATTTGAGCGCATCAATGTGGTAGAATTGATGGTCAATTAGGTACCTGGTACATGGATTACATACCAAGACTCGATCTAACCCATGTCGGAGCAAATGGCCAACCCACACCCCACATAATAATACTTATTATATGTTAGAGGTAGCCTACTTGGGAGATGGAGAGGGACACACACGCATGCACGTATTACGTGAGTATATTTCTCCCGTGTTTCAAGCTTCACGCCCTCGACTCGGACTTGAAAAAGTCTCCAATGGCCTTGAGTGCCTCACAATAGTCGGACCCCTCCCATTTTGCAACTTCATCAAGTAAATGAGCATAGTTCAAGATGACCTTCCTTGCCGCCAGTTCTCCGACGACTTCCACGCCAGCAAAGGAGATGGGACCACCACTTCTGATGAAGCGTTTCGCCGCCGAGCATTGTCCAACCTGCGAAGTCGCCCCGCCAAAGCCTTCCATCCCGACCTCGGCCCAATCAATCTTCTGCAACAATTCTAGTTTCGTCCCGGAAGAAGAGACGACGGCCTGGTCCAATGGCGTTGGAGTCGCTTTGAAGACATAAAAGGCCAGAACAAGGGCAGCCGTGAATATCATGTGCTCGTGTAGAAGCAATGTAGGTTCAGAGACACGGGCCTGTGAGAGAATCCAGAAAATTTGCGAGGCGTGTAGTGCAGCCCTTCGCGCCTCAGGGGATCTTGCCCAGGTGGTGATGTTTAACAGAGCATTCTGTGCAGATATTGCGCCCTCGTGGCCCAGGGCAAGTTCGAATTGGTCCATGTCAACCGTGGTGGACATACATAGGCTGTTCCAGAGGAGCAGAGCATGCTGGTGTTCTTGATTGAAGTTGTCCCTGTGGCTGCTGGGGATGGTGGCCAAGAGAGGAGCGATGTTCTTTGCATGATCATCCAGCGCATATCTTTGAACAGGTGCAGAGGCCCGTGTCTCACTGCTGTCGAGCTGGCTTGGATACAGTCTATGACGGGCTACAGAATGTTGGATGGAGATGGTAGCTAACAATGCTTGAAGTCCTATGCTCCCGAGCATGGCCGACGACATCATCGACATTCGCTGCAGCGTCATGCGAGGCATGACGATCTGGGCGTTGGTTTCCACCTCCTGTGCGAATGTCACCGCATCAGGAGCTTCAAACAATGCTGATTTGCAAGGGGAAATTATTTCGAGCTTGTCCGGTTCAAGGACTCCTGCCGTCCCCCAAAGGCTGGCGTAGGTGGCGTCAATGATGAGAAGACATGTGACCATCCTGGGCTCAGGTTAGCTGTGTCAGTGGCGCTTTCTCAAAGACCAACCTCTTGACGGATTCTGCTCGCGCCCAAGGCTTCCACAGACGTTGCAGGTCCGAGGCCGGACCCATCAGATTGAGGTCGAGTTCTTTGCCGTCACAAGCCGCAAACAATCCATGCTTTTCTGCAACCTGAGCAAGTTAGATGCGAATAAGCCGAAGAGAACTCTCCTACACACGTGTAAGGTCTGAATGCAGAGCATATGAGCTTCATTCTCATCGAGTCGTCGCTTCAGGCTCATTAGAAAGAATGTATCATAAGTTTCTAGAATAGGAGGTGCTTACCGAGATGCAAAGTGCAAGATTGAGCACAAGCAATGAGGCAGCTACGGCTGTAATGAGCTCCCAAGGTGGCCGCTTCCCAAGGGCTTGGGAGGTAAGCTCCAGTCGGCAGGAATGTACCAGTTTCTCGAGATCATGATTAGCAGAGCCCGCATGAGATTTGCAAGTGCCCTGTACTTACCATCCATTCGTTGCGGACAAAGTCCCTGGAACCTCTGGGATCTAGTGACGAGAGTCCAATGAGACACATCGGGAAGAGCACCGCGCTTGGTGTTGTCCTTGCATCGAAGGTCGCCTGGTGTATAAAAGGCATGGATGGATGGAAGCGCTGGAAATAGAGGTCCAGACTCATATCCAACGTCTCAACCGAGGGAAAATTGGTTTCGTATGTCGTCGACGTCGAGCTCTGGGGAGTGTCGCTCTGAGCCACGGGTATGGCATAAAGGGATCCCTCTTTGCCAAAGATTTTATGGCTGTCTTGCAAGAGCCTCTCCCTGCAGCTGGCATCAATGTTCCACCTTGAACCTGTTAGGTTGCTCTGGTGAGGGTTCTGGCTTCGAGGTTCTGTGCCATCATGACTCAAGACGTTGTCAGCTGGATGTTGGAGAGCGGTCTGCCAAAGTCTCCGTATTAGCCGAATGGGACGAACCAATTTTGTTGGCCATGCCCTCTGCACGCGACTAAGCCTGTCTGTAGATAGGCTTGGGTTAGGCAGTGGACCCTGACACGACATATGTTCTTCAATTGGAGTTGGAAGGTCTGTGACCAAGCCATTCAAATTCGGTAGGTCGATAATGGTAGACTCTAGCCAGAGCAAGTCAGGAGCATTGGAGTTCTGCGTGAAATCAATATCTTCGGTATCAAAGCCCGTCAATTCCGCTCCCATCATGCCATTTAAGTCCATCTCCTCCAGGTAAGGCGAGGCAGGTATCGTTAAACCCTGCTGGGCGATCGCAGGATTTAGATTGTTGGCTTGTGGGTGGATGAAATTGTGCTCACGTGGCGCATGTTCTGCCTGCGAGGTTCCATTGTGCTGCACTTGTTTCCCTTGGTGGTTGTCTGATAAGTGGGACGGTTCAATTATATCATGGTTCAGTGCCAGTGCTCCCGCAGTACACGTGAAGTGATGATTTTCTTCGAGCTGAACGTGGGACCTGTCACGGTCCACGCTGACGGCTGGTTCCTGGCTTTCTTGACCATCTGGTCGAAGAACAGGGCCTAGGATCGGAGATTTCCAGGTCAGGCAGATATCACCTTGTCTGTTCTCGAGCCTTGAGGCGTTGGGGCGCGTCAGAGGTGTTTGAGGGACGATTGCTGGCTGTGTACTACCATCTGTCGCTGGGACGATGCGGACGCATTCGACCCTGGTTGTTGGCTGCTCTGTTGGCCCTCCTAACATGAAGTTCATCTCACTGACATCTGAAGGCCGACGCGGAGTTTGAGCTGCATTATGGGCCCGATCAGGCAGCTCTGAAGCTTGAGGGTGTTCGCGAGGTTTTGAACGAGGGACCATGGGCTCGGTCAACATGTCCTCTGGACCATTGTCGTCACTGGGATGATGATTCCGGATGTGTCTGGCCAGCACATCGCTGTCATGTAACAATCAGCATTTGCTCATCTATGTCAGGGCAGCGCAACGCATACCTTCGAGCATACCTACGCCCGCAAAACGCGCACTTGAAGGGCTTTTCTCCGGTATCTATATGGGAGTGGTCAGCTCGGAAGCCGCTCGATGATATACCTGGGGCATCTAAGCTTACGCCATCTTTGGTGACGCCGCAAGTGCTCCAGCTTGGAGAAGGTTCGTTCACAATAAGCGCATTTCTTCCATATGGTTTGTAAGGAGTCTGTCATTTTTGGTGATCGTGTCTAGCGAGCAGGCGACAACGACTCCTTTGGCTGGTTGACAGCATTGAATGAGTATCCTGCTTACTGCGCGCAGATCAACTGGAGCCATCTTTTTGCTCAGTGAGTTGTACATCGGCAGAAGCCCTTCAAGCGGGCAAACCTAACCAATCACCGGAAGCTGAGCCCTAAGACAAAAGGGGCACCTGAAGGGACGCCCAAAGGGGCAGCCGACCGGCCGACCACCGATCGGCTCCACGCCTGGGACGCCCGGAGCTGTGGGGGTTTCCGGGGGCTGCGGGGTTCCAACACCCCGTGAAAATTTTTCCACTATCGTCTTCCTTCACTCTGCAACCATGTTGAGAATTTCCAACACTTGATCCTTTTCCGTGATTGGAAAGGCATTTGTCTTGATCCACAGATCATGCAAGCTGTTTACTGCGAGCAGATCGAATTTGTCTCTGCCAATGTTGACGGCACGTAGGGATCGCGGCATGTCAAGTTCTCGAATCACAATGTCAAGGATGTCACCCAGATCCAAGTCTGTCGCAACCCGATCCCTCGCTTTGATCGCGTCCTGGACAGGTGCTAATCTCAACAACAGCTCCCGAACCATCGCTTGCCTGTCATTGTTGGCTCCTTTTGCGGCGTTGAACTTGCACACCGCAGGTAGTAGAATACAGCTTGTCTCGCCGTGTCCAACTCCCAGAGGTCCCAATTGGTGTCCGATTGCATGGCTTGCACCCAATGGCGTCCCTGTAGAAACTGCTTGCATGGCCTGAATCACTCCAAGCTGGCAGAGATACCGGCCCTCCGTGTCATCCGGATTCGCTTTGGATCTTAGAAGTCCAGGAACCAGCATTCCCAGTCCGCGGCTGGCTGCTGCATCTCCTTCTGGTGTGCTCTGCAGGCTACATACTGTCTCAACGCAGTGGTCAATTGATCTAACTCCAGTGCTCAGCCACACCCATTGGGGAGTGGTTTTGGCCAGTTCGGGGTCAAGAATGACCAGTTCTGGATCGACGCCCGGCTCAAATGTCCTTTTCGCTCGTGTGGTCAAGGTCTCCGTTGCGCCTGCAATGGCTTGGTATTCTCCCCCAGAAAGAGAAGTCGGTATGCAAATCATTGGGATTTTTGGTTTGATGATGTGTTCACGACGGGTGGGGTTGTACGAGTGACCACCCCATAAGGTGCTTATTGCCTTCTCATCCCAAGCCGAGTTGGCAATCGAAAACCGGAGCAATTTGGCAGCGTCGGTAATACTGCCTGCCCCAAGGGTGACGAGGCAGTCGATATTAAGATCTCTAACCTCGTCGATGACCTCAACAACTTCGGAGATTGGTGTATGCGGGCTTATACCGATACGGCAGCCGGCCACACGGGCGTCCAAAGCACCTTTCAGCCTTTCCAGCGAGTCGGTCTGCTTCGATAAAGATCTTGAAGCCAAGATAAAGACCCGCGTAGCCTTGAAAGTGTGTTCGACATGTTTAGCGCATGCTTCTTCGAAAGGCAGCCCCGAACTGATCTTCGGAGTAGGCTTATTGTCAAAGGCAGGTCGGTACTGCTCTTGTCCGGGGGTGAAGCTCATTTTGCTTTTTCGAATGTCCAACTCAAGGATGAAACGACGATGAATTGGCGGTGTTTTTGAAATGGTGGCGAGGCTTTTCTTCCTCCATCGAAAGACAAAAGAAAGCAACTGACCCTAGCGGCGTTCTGTCTTTTTGGCCGGTAAGATGAATGCCGGAAATGTGGAACAATGGGGCAACGTCGGGATAATAATACTTGGATAGCCCACTTAGCTTCCTGAAACGGCAAGGGACTCTCGCCGCCAGCAATACGCATCTCAACTTCGATACTTCCCCACATCTGATTGCTGTTGATCTCTCTACAGGTTATACCTGGAGTGGTCCTGATGAGATCGTCTTCTGAGCGCAGCCTTGTCAAGTTCTCATCAGGCTCTATAGAATGGCGTCGCCTGCAAGACTCCTCGGAAGGCTTGCGACCAAATCACCGAGCGATATTGTGCTGCTTTCTGCTGTACGAAGTCCAATTACAAGATCCTTCAAAGGTGGATTCAAGGATGCTTGGCCAGAAGATATACTCATGCCGGTACGACCGTCTCACTGCTTTGCTACGAAACCTAACGCAGAGATAGGTGATGAGAGCAGCAGTGACACGTGCCGGCATTGAACCTGGCGATGTTCAAGACGTGCTCATCGGCAATGTCCTGGCGGAGCTGGGATTTGCGAAAACAGGCCGCATGGCTTTGAATCACGCCGGTTTCCCTGTTACCACCACATTTCACACCGTCAACAGACAATGCTCGAGCAGCTTGCAGGCCATTACCCATATATCGCACGCTATCCTGGTCGGACAGATCGACGTGGGGCTTGCAGGAGGCGTTGAAAGTATGACGCGAAACTATGGAAGTCGAGGTGTTCCCATTGATGTGTCACCGACACTCAAGAGTTCGAATGTCAAAAGCGCGGTCGACTGCCTTATGCCCATGGGAATTACCTCCGAAAACGTGGCTAGCAGATGCAATGTATCCCGAAATGATCAGGATGAATTCGCCCTCTTGAGCCATACACGAGCTCTAGAAGCCCAGCAGTCGGGCAAATTCTCTTCGGAGGTAATCCCCGTTGAATGGACAAGAACCGACGATGTTACAGGCGCACAGACAACATTGAGGGTGGACAAAGATGACACCATTAGACCTGGTGTGACTCTGGAGAAACTTGCGAAACTCAAACCCGCATTCTCTGATGAGGGCAGAAGCACAGCTGGAAACTCGTGGGTCCTTCGATTGGCAATCTGCTTCAAACCACCTTCCGCTTACGCAACGTAGGTCACAAATATCGGATGGAGCCTCATCGTGTATTCTGGCACGTCGATCTTGGGCAGAAGACCGTGGTATCAAATCCATAGGGCGCTTCCTCGGCACAACGGTATCCGGCTGCGAACCCGATGAGATGGGCCTGGGCCCCATCTATGCAATTCCTGCGCTCTACAAATTTACCGGGATCTCCCAGAAAGACGTCGATATTTTTGAGATCAACGAGGCTTTTGCCAGCCAGACTATTGCTTGCCTTCGTGCGCTGGGCATTGAGGTCGAAAAAGTAAACCCCAGAGGCGGCGCGATTGCGTTGGGCCATCCAACCGGGGCCACTGGAGCACGGCAGACTGCCACTCTATTTGCTCAGCTGGAGCAAGAGGACAAGGAGTTTGGCATTGTGAGCATGTGTGCCAGGTAAGAAGACTCTCTGCCCAGAACACGATGAATTTCTTCGATGCTGACTATGCTCAAGCACTGGTCATGGAGTTGCAGCACTATTTCAAAGGGAATAGAATGGCGGTATCTTCGCTCAGTCGATGGCAACTGTCATCAGTTTGGTCAGACAGGAATAGACAAGTCGAAAACGCTAGGCATTTGAGAGGTGCTCCTGTCAATTACGCAGTCCAGCTTCTAGAGATACCTTAGAGCGGTTGCGATGAACGTGGCTCCGTGTGTTTCCATTCTTCAATGACATTATCTACGAGCCCAGTACAAGCACTCTCTCTTCCGCCGACACGAAACTTTTGTTTGGGTTTGGAGGAGCCGTAGGCGTACCAAACACCAACTGACCTTTCAACCTCCACTCAGCAGGGACTTTCCACATCTCGACAATCTTCTGATCAATGTAAGGATTAAAGTGCTGGAGATTGCAACCCAGACCCTCGAGTTCCAGCGCCGTCCACAAGTTCAAAGTATTCATTGCGTTCGTATGCTCTGACCACTGAGGGAAGTAGCTGCTGTATCGTGCAAAATTCTGCTGCAGCTGATGTGTGACACGCTGGTCTTCGTACAGAAGAACCTTTCACACCGACCCAACGTCAGCATTCAGTTTTCCGAAGGGCCATACGGGCAGTTTTTACCGTCCCATACGCATCTCGGCGTTGATCCAGCTTCTTCTCATCTGTGGGCCAGTCACTGCAGGCGTCGACTGCCTTGACGCAATCTTTGGCGATATCCCAGAGCTTTCTATGCTCGTCCCCGAACAAGATGACAAAACGCGTCGACTGGGAATTGAGGGAGCTCGGCGTGTGGAGGATAACTTCTTTGGCGATCTTGACGATTTCGAGGTCAGGAATTGGGGACTTCGCTTTGAGGGCGTAGTAAGTTCGACGCGACTTGATGGCGGCGAGGAAGTGGTCGGCCATTGTTGAGATAGTTATGGTGTCCGTCACAGACCCTTTCTCAGTCTCCACGACCAGTATCTTTAATCATTCCCCGAGCCTACATATTCAGTAATAAAAGGGCCTTCGAAAACCCCCACATGGAGAATCCGTTTACGGCAACTCTGCTCTTCCGAGTAACCAGTCTGGGAAATGGATCAGTGAAGAATGGACAATGCATTCCTCATGGCCCTGAAATGTTACCTCGGAGCTGGTCGATTTCCGTGTCGATTGGCCGACCTTTCCTTGGAAATTAATGCGAAATCGGACCGACATGAACGGCCGTTGGCCGCATGAGGCTGTCTTTAGAGGGTACAAGCAGAACCAGCATGCTACCAACTCTGGTCTAGGTATATGCTCAAGGTGCATGAATTTTTGCTGGGAGACCAGATCAAAAAGATCCAAAATCGCATTCAATACAGCCCTCCCCAGCTTTAAAGCTCGAAAATGGATACATTATAGGTGGGTTTTCAAGTCCCGGTGTCCTTGGACCTCGGCCAAGATGAAATCATGCTCAAGTAACCAAAACCCCTCGGTCTCGCGTCCGTCAACCACACGGATAAATGTCTTTGTATTATACATTTTGGCTTCTTCGACATCCTCGACCCACCGAATGTCCTTGACTAAGCTGCTTTTCGTTCCAAAGACAGGGTCTCGGAATATTCTAGGGCTCGTACGGTCGTACAAGGCAGTGTTGAGCCTTTCATGCGAAGGATGGTTGATCAAAAAGTGCTGTTTTTAGTTCGTTAGTGGTGTGGGGAGAGGAGATAGATGAGACTCACTACATGAGCTGGTCTATAGGCCTGTCGATTCAAGAGATCGAGAACAATGCCAACCGGACCATCGAAAGGCACCGGATAGTCGACCGGCCGGACGCCATTGATGTAAAATCGTCCCTGAGCATCAGTGTAGAATTTCCCTCGACAATCTGGTCCGCCGGTCTCGGGGTCCTGCATGTCGTACTTGCCATTGCCGTTAGTTTCCCAGATGTCCAGTAATGCTCTGTCGATAGGTTCTCCTTTCCGGTTCTTGACTGTTCCTCGGATGAGCATAGATTGGCCGGCACCGACTGACGAGATGCTGTCTCCGTGACTGAACTCGTGCGACTCGTTGTGGAACGGCCCAAGAACGGACGACTCGGTACAGCCGGGTAGTTGCCGACTGTTGATTTGATCCACCAACGCAGATATGCCGAGCACGTCGGACAGGAGGATAAATTCCTGTCTCTCGGGATGGCATGCTTGTCCGACCTGGGGAGGCATTGTCAACCCTATAACGAACAGCATAACCAGTCCGCTGCACCTGCCTTTGTCAAGAACTCCCACGCCGCTTCCCATTCATGGCGCTGAATATCTGTCTCGCGGATGAAGTCGTGCGAATGCTGGATTAGTCTGCTGAAGATGAATTTGACTCTTTCGTTATCGATGTTTGACGAGACTTTGATGACGTGGGCAGTGAGATCGTCCACGTCAAGCATCCCAAAGCTTCCGTTACTCGGCCCTGTACCATTCACACCGGGGGACATGCTTGTAGTTCAAAGAGAGATATGATGCTTCCGATGGCGATGAGAAGACTGCGAATCAATCAAGCAAATACTTCGAGATATCATTGGCCCCACATAATGTCAAGCTGCAAGAAATGGCTTCGTCGCATCCGGATTGTCATAGCGTGTCTCGAAAATGCGTAAAGACATCACGAGAAGGATTATGAAGGGCAGGCATTTCGCCCCGACTCTACCACAGACCATCTAGAGGATGATCACCAGATAGAAAGGATGTTTATTCTGTGCCAGAGTCGTTACTGTGGTGTACGCAATTATAGCATGATTCCAGGAGCTGGATTGATTGTAATGACTCCAGGTGGAAGGAAATCCTTCGAAAGAAACCCAGGCGTGTTTGCCAGCAAAGAGTCCGTGACCACGCTTGCCACGCTAACCTGGTTCAAGGCAAACAGTTACCTGATCAGGACTGTGGGAACCCCACAACCTCGGCGCTCCTCCCCATCGTCTACGCCTCGGCCCCCAGGTGAGTGTTTGATGATCCTTCAAACCAGTCAATTCTACACAGAGACTCTTTCAGCCAAATCGGCAGCTGAAGCCTAATAGTTGAGCAGTACCCGTAGGTCCTTGGCACAAACCACAATTCGTCAAATCCGTCACAAGTACTACGTATTGGTGTACCTCTTACCCTGCCCCAGATTACCATAATGCTGTTCCCAAAATTTTTGCGGTCTCCGCACGAATTTGGAGAAGTACCATAACAACAAATCGTGAGCCAGTCCAGCATGGATCTTTCTCTTTCTTCTAGCCTTGGTGAGGCAACAAAAAATTTCCCGTTGTGTAAAAATTGCTTACCTGCTTGAGAGATGCCCCACACATCTCATAGGGCCCAGTTGTCATATGATGGCGATGAGTACTCATACGCTCTTGCTCGAGCGTGATCAGTTGGTGTGTTGAAACACGAGAACCATCTGTTGTCATCATTCGCATTTTGTCGACTACCAGGGCAGCAGTTGTTTCGAAACGAGCGCAGATTCTCTAGAACTGCGTCGAAAGCCGTCCATTCGCTCACATCATCATGCCAAAATTGATTCTTGTCACTGGTGCCACAGGAAATCAAGGCGAGAATTGGTGTCTATGTAAGAGAACGAATCCTAACAGGTCACAGGTGGTTCTGTTGCGAAGCTGCTTCTGCAGTATCCCGAACAATATACAGTGAGATGCCTCACTCGTAACACCGAGTCCAAAGCTGCGCGCGAGCTAGGAGACTCAGGTGCCGAGCTCGTACGAGGCAACCTGACAGACCTATCAACTCTTCCTGCGGCTGTTATAGGATGCTGGGGGGTCTTTGCAGTCACCAACTTCTATGATGCAGTATGGCTTCTCTTGGCTGTTGCCATTTGGGAGGGCTTCACAGCTCACTCTTGAAACAGGCCATCATCGATGATCCAATGAGCGAGGAGCAGCAGGGCCGCAATCTCGCAAAGGCTGCTCATGATGCCGGGACGGTAGAGTGTTTCATCTGGAGTACCATGCCGAGCTCCCATGCGTTATCCGGCGGCAAGTTTTTCACCCGACTTTATGAAGGTAATGCGGAAGTCAGACTGGCTCCAGTACAGCTTTTTACTGATTCCGGTTCTTCAGGCAAGCATCTCGTTGATGGCTACATTCGCGAACTTGGTCTTCACGGGACCTTTCTCTACACGGGTAACTTCTACGAAAACATGGTGCTGCGAAAACATATGTCATACGACAAAGAGACCGACACAATAATCTTCAAGCAGCCTATTATCGCGCCGGACGCCGAGCGTAGGCCATCCAAGCATCAACCATCCTGGGACAAGGTACTGACCTGGACAAACAGTTACGATGCTTTATGTCGAGAAAGATCTCTCCGCCATAGTCAAGGCAATCTTCGACCAATGGGAGGAAAAGAAAGCCGAGTTGGATGGCGCCTACCTGCAGGCCAGCAATGCAAGAGTCAGGCCAAAGGACATTGTCGCAGCGGCAAAAAAGGGTATATTCTTAAATCCATCTCTCCAGAAAATCATCATCCGATGGCTAATTTTGAAAAATACCAGTGTCCGGGAAGAACGTTGAATATGTCGTGCTGCCGACTACAGGCGTGCCGGAAAGGGATACCATGTTCCAGTTCTACAATGACGTTGGTATGCATCCGGGCGTTTCGCTACCAGATCCGCAAGTGGTGAAGCTGGGCGTTCAGCTGCACGACGCCGAAGATTACATACGGGAGAAGCTCTTGCCGCATCTTGGACTGGTGCCGGTCAATTAGCAACATATATCCTGTCATCGAATCAAGGACCAGACATGGACAGTCTGGCTAATCTCAATTTTCAGATATGCGAGGTGGAGGTGTCGCTGCCATTCGGTGGTATTCTCCTCAGCGTGTATGGTGCTCTCAAGTCTCGGTCTTATGTGCCTCCGTACCGCATGTAGGACTCAAAATGGATGAAGTAAATATAAAGGACTCTATGCGGAAATCTATGAGTTGGGATGCACCAGAGCCTGTGATCAGTCAAACAAAGATCCCAATGTTCACATACACTGTACACACCTCCCCAGCTTTCTGCTATTTCATGTGATCGTCCGATCTCGTTTGCATAATAAATGTGTCGGAGCAATGTTTTTCTTGCTCGGCGTAAGACTCACCCGGAGGCTCTGGCCTTGTCCCACATCTTAGTGGTCCCCCACTTGCGTCAAGCCTAGCCCAATCTGGCGATTGCTCGTTGTGGCAGGACCCTTGAACGCGAAAAGCCTTGCCAACTGTTGCTTACCAGACGCGATCTGGCTCTTTTGGAGTTTATGTACGTCCGTTCAACGACATCATAAATCAAAATCGACCGCAATGATTGTATTCAGATTGCACGTCAGGCTCAATACTTGCAAGGTGCGGCAGGTGCTGCCCCAACCCCGCAGACAGATATCGGGAGTGAGTGCCATCGACTCTCGGGTCTTTCGAAATCTTTTTGGGACAGAGCAGATCCGAAAGGTAAGGTGACATAAGAAGCACAAGTCGACAACGTTGTTTCCTGTCATGAAAAAGAGATCTTGGTCTAACTTGGGAGTCCGTGCTTGACAGGTATTCAGCGACACAGCCTATCTCGAAAGATGCGTCGAGGTGGAAGTCGCGCTGGCGAAAGCTCAAGCGAGAGCAAATGTGATTCCGCAAGATGCAGCCGACCAGATAGCGAGCAAGGCGCTCGCCTCGTCTCTCGACCTGTCCCGTCTCAGCGACGAGACCGAGATTGTCGGATACCCGATTCTTCCGCTGGTTCGACAACTTGCTACCATGTGCGGGGATTACGCCGGGAAATACCTCCATTGGGGCGCCACAACTCAAGACATCATGGACACGGCATCGATATTGCAAATCCGATCGGGCTTGTCAATCGTCGAAAGCGAACTCGATCAGGTGATTCAAGCCACAGAGAGTCTTGCCGAGAGGTACAAGGCGACGCCCATGGCAGGCCGAACCCACTTGCAGCACGCGCTTCCGGTCACGTTCGGCTACAAATGCGCGGTTTGGCTCTCCAGCCTGTATCGACACCGTGAGAGACTCAGACAGCTGCGAGCCCGCGCCTTGATGGTGCAATATGGTGGTGCAGCTGGGACTCTAGCTTCACTTGGAGCAGGGGATGCAGGATTGGTGGTGAGAAAGGAACTAGCCAAGGAGATTGGTCTGGTAGACCCTCCCATTTCGTGGCATGTCGCGAGGGATGGCATCGCAGAGACACTCAATCTACTTGCTTTGATTGGTGGAAGCATTGGCAAAATTGCACTGGATCTCATGATAATGTGCTCGAACGAATTTGGCGAGGTAGCAGAACCATTCGTTCCTCATCGTGGTGCCTCATCGACCATGCCACAGAAGCGAAATCCTATCTCTAGCGAGTTGATGCTGGCGGCTTCTAAGGTATTGAGGTCAAACGCGAGCTTGGGACTGGACGCCATGATATCGGACTTTGAGCGAGCTTCCGGACCCTGGCATCTGGAATGGGTAGCCGTACCCGAAAGCTTCACCGTGGCTGTGGGAGCTTTGCATCAGGCGGCATTCGCTCTCTCTGGTCTCGTGGTCGATGAGAAGCAAATGCTGGCAAACTTGAACTCCACCGCAGGCCTCATCGTGGGGGAGGCTGTCATGATGGGTCTTGCGCCGCATATTGGCAGACAAAAGGCGCATGACGCTGTGTACCAAGCGTGCCAGGAAGCAGTTCAGAACAGGGTTTCTTTGCTTGAAGCTTTGAGCCATAGAAAGGATATTGTGGATGCAATGGGCATGGATGAGCTGAAGAAACTGTGTGATCCAGTCAATTACCTAGGGTCTTCGACTCCCATGGTCGATGATGTCCTTGCGCTGAGGTAAACATGATATCACCCCGTAATTCCACGGTTTCCTGCATCTCCCCTTGTCGTAGGTCATAAGACAGCGATATAAATGTCTGGGCGGTTGATGGTAGTCAAATCACCATCTGGATCAGGTCCGAAGTACACCAAACTTATGTACAAGAGGTGCGTCAGGTAATCTCTCCGAACCCTTATGTCCAACCTGTTCATGCTGCTGATGACAGTTAAAATGTTTTCAGGTCATCGGAAACGGCAAATGCAGCGGCTGTCTTGCTTTTGATCTCGTCTATGGTGGTTCCCTCGGCCAGCTCTATCAACACTAGACCGTCTGGTGTGACATCGAAGACAGCCAGATCAGTGATGATTCTGGACACACATCGTTTTCCGGTCAGGGGGAACGTGCAGACTACGCCACGGTCAATATCCGCTACATATAGCATGTTCTTGAGAAAGGGGACCGATACTCACGGGGAAGGATCTTGGGATTTCCTTTCTTGTCCACATGGTCCTAAAGGATGGATCTCAGCCCTCAAGACCCGCCACTTGTTAAGAAGTCACTTACCATGAGAACCACAACCTTGGTCTCCTGAGGGTTCGCCACCAAATCCATCGCGCCTCCGATGCCTTTCACCTTTCCCGGAAGCATGAAGTTTGCTAGATCTGTACAGATTTAGTTGTCCGTTGTGATTTCACCCTGGTCTAAGCTTACCTCCGTTGGCGGCGACTTGCAGTGCTCCGAGCATCGTCAGGTTGATTTTGCCTGCTCTGATCATGCCAAAACTTTCATGGCTCCCAAAGACGGCCGCTCCCCGGTTCAGCGTGACGGTTTCCTTGCCTGGGTTGATCAGATCAGGGTCCTCCTGCCCGGGCTCTGGGTATCTGCCCATCCCCAACATGCCGTTTTCCGCTTGAAGCACGATTTCGACATCCTCGGGAACAAAGTTGGGTGCGAGCAGGGGCATCCCTATGCCGAGATTGACATACATTCCATCTTTGAGCTCTTTCGCAGCTCGTTTCACAATGCGCTCTCTTCGGGTCGATGCAGCATCCACTGAATTCGTCAGTACAATAGTCCAATAGTCCCCACAACTGACTCACTTTGTCGCAACTGCTCCTCCGGGCTTTTTGCGAACGTGAACTTCTCTATTTGTTTGGGCACTGTTGCTTTTATGACCCTGTCGACATAGATACCCTGCAGATGGATGTCCTCTGGAGCAATTTCTCCAGCCTCGACGAGATGGTCCGCCTCCACAATTGTCAGCTTTGCATTTTTCCCCATGACCTCGTTGAAATTGTTCTGCGCCTTTCGAAATCTACAATTACCCAGCCGATCAGCCTTGTCGACTCTGATCAACGCGACATCTCCAAAGATCGATTCTTCCAACAGATATTGCTTGCCCCTGAAACTTCGTGTCTCGCGAGGTTTAGACATGAGATCAACCGAGCCATCTCGCTTGTATCTCACGGGAAGCTCTCCTGTCTGCACTGTACCAAAGCAATGGGTAAGCACCTTTCCTATCTGTGAAACAGATGCCTGTCAGATTTCTTACCTATACTCCCATATGCGGCTGGTGTATAGAAGGCAGGGACTCCGGCGGCTCCGGCTGCACATCTCTCCGCCATCGTCCCCTGTGGTGTGAGCTCCAGGGAGAGCTCGCCGGATAAATACATGGACTCAAATTTCTTGTTCTCTCCGATATACGATGCTATCATCTTGCCGATTTGCTTCGTGTCCAGTAGTTGACCTGTATGAATCAGTGCTGTCCAACTTCGAATCCCTTACGAATCTGCTGACCGAGTCCTATGCCCGGCATTCCAGCATTATTGGACACCACTGTGAGATCCTTGATTTCCGGGCGGTCGCGAAGGGCGTTTATCAGCGTCATTGGCACTCCGGATAGTCCAAACCCGCCGACGAGGACCGTGTCACCAGTCCGAATGTCAGCAATGGCTTCGGAGGGCGAGGCGGAGAACTTGTTGATTCGACGTCGGGCATGGCTGCTGGAGAATGATCGATTTTGAGCAACAAGGAATGATAACGGCTTCCTCATGCCTCGATGGCAATGGAGAAATATCTGCGATCGTGACATCGTCGGCTCAACAGAGAAATTCAGCATTTAATCAGAGGTTCGACGACTCTTCCGTGAGAAAATTGGTTCAAGGCACGGTGGAATGCTTCGCCGCTGGTCCCAACTGCAGGGACACGAGCTCCCACAGGGAAATTAGGCTCGCTAGGCACTCAGTTAGGTGGCTTTGGGGACCGCGGCCCCACCTAAAATCCTCCCTAGGCACCTCGGGCACCTGGAAAACGAGATGCAGGCCGCCCACTGAATGACAAGTTGGTTAATTGCCAGATTTTGACGTTGAACCCACATAATAGGAGACACTCCGTGCTGTTGTCAAAAAGAACATATTGCACAGTCTGTTCGCACATGGCAAAGATGCTTGCACAGCAACAGGCACAGCAACAGGAAGAGAGTGCCTCTAGATGCACTGCGAGAACATCCTCTTCCAACTATTCAACCCCACCTTGGGTCGCCTAGCATTTGTGGTTTCTGAGAGACAATCTTCGGCATGATTCCCGTCAGGGTCGGTGGAAGACACCTTTCAAGACTGACCTCTAGAACGAGGTTTGCTCCTTCTAGAAGGCTGGGGACTTTGTCGTCCGAGAAGAGTCTCCCGTTACAGGGGATCAAGGTCGTAGATCTCTCTAGGGTTCTAGCTGGAGTGAGTCTGGTGTCGTCATTTGTTGTCCCTTTGCTGACATGTTCCCAGCCATATTGCACGCAAATTCTTGGAGACCTTGGGTGAGTGCAAGCGGCACCCCCATCTTCTGCTCATGTACTGATAGCCCCAACGTGCCGAGATCACCAAAATCGAACACCCTGTCCGCGGCGACGACACACGACAATGGGGTCCTCCTTACGCCCCTTATCTTGACGATAGAAGTGGCCCTGGCGAAAGCGCATATTACCTCTCTGTAGGGGTGGCTCTGGTGCTGGATTTGAGAATTGAGCTGATATCGCATTCAAGGTCAATCGCAACAAGAAGTCCGTGGGTGTGTCATTTCAGCATCCAGAAGGGGCCGAGATCATCCGAGCGCTTGCACGAAACGCCGATGTGTTTGTGGAGAACTATTTGCCCGGGACGCTGAAGAAATACGGGCTGGATTTTGAGACTTTGCAAAAGACGAATCCACGGCTTATATACGCGAGCATAACCGGCTACGGTCAGTATGGGCCATACCATGACCGGGCTGGGTATGATGTGATGGTTGAAGCGTGAGGTTTGAACTTGGTCTTCACGCGGCAGAGGCTAATTTATATCGACAGAGAGATGGGATTGATGCACATCACCGGTACGAGAGATGGACCGCCGGTCAAGGTCGGTTGTGCAGTCACCGATTTGACCACGGGCATGTACGCATGTAACAGCATAATGGCGGCTCTCCTCGAGCGACACAACTCGGAACGAGGTCAACATCTGGATGTGTGTCTGAGCGATTGTCAGGTTGCCACATTATCGAACATGGCCGAATCTGTCTTGATTTCGAAAAAGAGGGACAGTGGCAGATGGGGCACAGCACATCGTAAGATGACTATTCAACTGCCCCTTTCTGTTCTTCAGCTAACTCGCTTTTAGCTTCCGTAGTCCCTTATCGAGCTTTTCAAACATCCGACGGAGATGTTCTCTTCGGCGGTGGCAACGATCGACTGTTCGGAATCCTATGCTCAGGGCTAGGGAAGCAGGAATGGGCCAAAGACGAGCGTTTCGCTACGAATGCTGCAAGAGTTGCAAATCGAGGCATCCTGGAACCGGCGATCGAGGAGATTACAAGGCAGAAAACGACGCAAGAGTGGCTCGACACTTTTGAAGGCACAGGTCTTCCGTATGCCAAAGTCAATGATTTGATGGACACACTCAATCACAAGCATGGTAAGGTATTCCAAAGGCCCAGCAAAAATTTCAAAGCTTACCGTTCGAATGACAGTCCGAGCTCGAGATATGGTTGTCACGATTGACCATCCGAGCTGCGGAGTGATAGACCTGGTTAATACCCCAATCAAATGGTCACGATCCCAGCCTTCGATACGATCACCACCACCACTACTTGGACAGCACACGGATGAGATTCTCAGTGCGACACTAGGCTTTGACGCTCAGAAGATCCATGATTTAAGGGCCAATGGTGTAGTTGGCTGATGAGGAGGCGTGGAAAAGGCTTTGCACATGGAAACCTATGCGGTTCCTGATGGGCGCTCAATCTTACTGCATGGAATGGCGCCTCATATCATACCATCTTCTGCGTAAATTTACAACGTGGGCCCAGGCCAGACTGGTCTCGACACATGATAGATGCTGAGGCTGATGCGGCACTCGATGATATAACTTTTTGGTGCCATAGGGGAGTCGTCTCCAGGGGACTCGCACAATTCTTCGTGTAATCCTGGAAAAGTACAGAACAGGTTAACTAGGTTGGTTTAATGGTCGATGTTGATGACAAGTGGGGGGCATATCTGCCATTTGCGGAGGTGGAGTTGAATTGTTTACAGAGCAGCCGCAGACCCACAATGCATTCCTTGTGGTTTTGCCGGACGTAACACCCCACATTCGGCTGGTACTCGTTCGAGCAACCAACCCAAGAGACTCCTGTACTCGAGCTACAGTGGGATATTCTTGTAGCGGAGGAACTCAAATGCAGACAGTTAATATGCAAGTACCAATACTCGGTACAGGAGGAATAATGACATTCCAGCCCAGCCCAATTGTGTTTCCCTCTTTTTGAGCGCCCCGTTTCTAGATTCCTCGAAGAGCCAGTCATGGCCCAAAAGAGAAACGTGACTTTTGCCCAGGAGTTTGCTGCTGGTAAGTGAGAGGAGGCCTCGAAGATGGCGATGAATCTGCACTAAAAGCGTACTGGATTTTAGGGGCCGGAGCAGGTGTTTCTGAGGTATGCTGCCACGGTCTTTGGTTGCACGGCAGGGAATTTGCTGACTTGAAACGTTCAGATTTTGATCATGTTTGAATCATCATAGCGCTTGTGAGTATCGGTAGAAAAACTGACGTTCATGTGTCAACGTAGGTATCCGTTGGATGTCGTAAAGACAAGGCTGTACGTATCAGAGAGTCTCAACTCAATGTATGCACATTCAAGTATCTGACTCTCGGAAAGACAGCTCCAGCAATCGAAGGGTCCTCTGACAGAGTCCTATCGAGGGGTGGTGGATTGCTTTGCAAAGATCATCAGACATGAAGGGTATTTTCTCCCGTTTCACTCTCAATGAATGCCCTAGCGCAATAATAACCGACAAATTTGCAGGTTCGGACGCTTGTATCGTGGCATTACCGTGCCAATCCTCATGGAAACTCCAAAAAGGTTCTCATGCTCCATGCATGCACCCAACGCATTGGTGATGAATGCAAAGGACGCTGACCATGCACTGCCATTCTCACAGAGCGGTCAAATTCTCGTCCAACGACGTCTTCACTCGGCAGTACCTGAGACTTCTTGGGGCGCAAAAGGTAGATCAGACCGTGGCGACCCTTGCCGGCTCCAGTGCCGGCGCTGTGGAAGCGGTGGTCGTCACACCGTTCGAGCTCGTCAAGGTCCGATTGCAAGATCCTTCAGTGGCAAGCCGGTATCAGTCCGTGAGCCAGTGCGTAACTCAGATCATCAACCGCGAGGGCCTGTTCGTGCTCTATCAAGGCTTTGAGGTCACATTGTGGCGTCATGTGGTCTGGAACGCTGGGTATTTTGGCAGTATCTTCAAAGTCAAGGCGGCGCTCCCGACGCCGACAAACGACTTCGAGCAGACGCTGACGAGTTTTGTCGCCGGTTCCATCGGTGGGAGTCTGGGGACTGTCCTAAACACACCGCTGGACGTGGTCAAGACGCGAATCCAAGCGGCAACGAGAGCAAAAGGTGCGGCAACTACGTCCAAGTACAACTGGGCCTTTCCGGCTTTGGTCACGGTGGCGCGAGAGGAAGGCATCCGGGGTCTGTACAAAGGCCTCACTGCAAAACTTCTCCGATTCTGCCCCGGAGGTGGAATCTTGCTGGTCGCTCACAGCCAAATTCTGAAGTTGTTTGAGGCAGCTAATAGTGGAAAGCCCCTGGAGCAGGATTTGTAGCTTCTTAGACAAAAAAAATTCCTGCGGGAGCGGAGTGTTCTTCTGGTTTTTGGAACAGGGATGACCTTTGGTACCAAGTTCTGAACTTATTCATACAGTCGATTGAAAAGCTACCACTTCGCTGTGTCAAACCCCAAGACCTCAGAGAGTCTTCGTCAGATATCACTGAGGAATGGAAGGATTTGTTGTCTAATCTGCCAAGATATTGCCGCGCCGACACTATGGCAGAAAACCCTCTCCTCTAGAGGCTCACGAGGATCCCGCGATGAATTTAACCTGAGAGTTTGGTTCATACGTGGCCGCCTTTGGCACGCATTCGACCGCCATAGATATGGAGAATGACAATAATGCCCACTGACAATCCGACAATTGCAGCCTGTGTCCCGAAAGATCCGTCGTACCCGACCTTGGTACCCCATTGCACTTGGAAATACCCGACAGAGAACCCACTGATCGCTCTGGAGAAGTTGAGGAGAGCGTTGACTTCTCCTGCTGCGACGGGGTACGCATCCAGGAGATAGGCCGTCAGCGAGACTGACGCGGCCAATGTGCCGGCTGTATATGCACCCCAGCCGATGATGACTGCACCGATGGAAAGTGTATGCTGCAGCGCCTCTCCGAGGATGACAAGGCCCGGGACCATGATGACGGCTGCGACATAGTTGGTGACAAGACGAGCTTCCGGAACAAAAACACCTTCGTGTTTTTTGATGTAGCGGTTGGCCAGCCAGTCGTTGAAGAAATGGCCCCAGATTTCCGCCAAGATGGTGCCGACTGCTGGTGTCAGACAGATTGCTCCAAGAGCGTTTGGGCCGAAACCATATCCACCGGCTTCTTTGGGCACGGTAAATAGAATCGACGTCTCAATGTTGATCCCGACCGCCCACATGATATTGATGCCGCTAGGTGCATAGTTAGCTTTGTGTATATAGATTCTGAAGGTATGTTCTCACAAATAGATCATGCTCGGAATAATGATGGGCTTGACGAAAACTCGGAGAAGTCGGTAGAACGACTCTGGGATGGACAGGAAGTATCCCTTTTGGACTCTAAGTTGCCAAATACCAACCACGCGAAATAGTCGTTGACCGCGAGCTGGTTGGTCCTCCACTGGAACCTCGCGTCTGTACCATGTCTCGTCCAAGAAGAGGATGATGAGGGCCAGATTGGCGCAGCAACAAGCAAAGCCCAACCACAGACAGCCGATATATTTACCAGTGCCGGCAATGATGAAATTGCCAAACGGCGGGCCAAGATAGGGAGATGTGAGAAAGATGGCCGCCCAGATGCCGATCTTACGAGCATGTTCGTGGAAGAAGAACATGTCCTTGATAAAGTTCAAGCCAATTCCCTGCACTGACGACAGACAGAAGCCCTGCAGAGCCCGAAGGGCATAATAGGTGTTGAAATCGTCCGTAAGGATAGTGCCCAGTGAAAAGAGCGTGCCAGCTAGAGTCGTCCAAAATAAGACCGGAGCACGTCCCCAGAAATACACAAACGGAACCCAAAAGAGGCCGCCGATGGCACTGAAACCAATGTCTTAGACTTCATCTCTCAGGGCAGTGGAACTACTTACAGCATAAGGACATTAAGATTGTTGTTGTAGTTGACAACCGTGGGAGATATATTCCACTTGACGGCCTGCAAGATGATGGGCGGGATGCCCAGGGTTGATGTAAAATCACCCAGGCCAGCCGCGATGCCCAGGATTACAAGGATCATATGCTTTTTGAAGGATGACCAGTTCAGAGGGTCGTTTGGATCCTCTGACGGCTGCGGAATCAGGACCGTCTGGCGGGGGAAATATGTCAACTCTGTTGCATTTGTAGAGAACGGAAGAAATGAGTGTTGGCTCTTACATGTCCGTCTTTGGCCAGTTTCAAGTCACCAAAGAGAGCACCATCGATGTGGCCGGCAGTGACATCGAGCAAGACAGCCTCATTTCCAAGGTTAATAGTTGGCCGCTCGAGGTGGCTTGTCTCGGGCTCGAGGTTGCTTGAGATCTTCTCGACGTCAACCTGATCGTTCGTCTTGGTTGTCATGGCTGCGAGTATTTCAGTCAAACTTGATAAACCGGACGCGAAAGCTCAACGATCAGCTTACGCTCCCAGGGTATGGCATGCCATATTTGTATACCCTTGCTCAGATTGGGCTGTGCGTCTTTCCCCAAGCAAGGACGACACCCAGAAATGTGTTCTAGCGCCCCCACCTCGTATTGAACGTTGATATCAAGGCTCTGCCCAAGGCAGCACCTCCGCAGCCCTCCGAGAAGCGAGTCCGGGGTCGTGGTAACCTCGTCGAACTGTTCATGCCGAAGTATTGGAAAAGAAAACAAACTAGCCGTTTTTGGTGAAAAAGGAGTTGGTCTGTGGGGTTGACGCAGCGAGGCTGCATCAATAAGCATCCGTGGCGTCCTTACGCCTCGAGCATTCTTTTTGGTCAGAACAATCCAATAGTGAAGTGTCGCCGACAACGAGAAGAAGACCCGCCCCCACCAAACCCCCGGTCGGATCGGAGGGGGTGGGGGAAGACCTGCTTCTTAGAGGCATGGCACGTGATCTGCCACAGACACCACCAAGATGAGAGCAGACACGCTACCTAGGTAACCTAACTCAAGGTAGGATTGTAAGACGCGGACAGCCATTGGTTTTCTGGTGACTCGGCAGACTTGGGCAGACACTAATAGCTCCTTGATCTCTTCAAATGTCGGCCAGTCGCTTCCGGACCCCGCTTCTCCAAGCTCCTGCCTCCGGGGTAAAAGGGTGAGACGTTCTGACCCCGGCAAGGCGATAGGACTGCCCTTTGAGCAGATGGCCTCTCAGGGTATTCAAAATTCATCTGAACATACCCATAGGTGCATGAATATCAGGAACGAACGTCCCACAGGCTGTCTTTGGCTGCAAACACGCTACTGTCGCGTATTGGGACTTCACCTTTCCACTAAACAACATGGAGAAGGAGGCGAAGAAGAGGACCCGCTCCGAAGAAAACGAGAAGGTTCACATGAAGCAGACGGGGTCGACTAGCAAGCCATGCAGGTGCACCACCAATGGCCTTCAAGGTTTGACCCTTCTCGCCTTGTACACAGGCTGCACCTGGACTGCGTCCCAAACGAACAGCCTTATGAAACCCCGCTTCTGCATCCCTCGGCGCGACCAACTTGGCAGGATTAAATGATCCGACTCCTAGACACCAATCGTTATCTCAAGCGGTACTGCCACTTCCCATGTCAAGAAGTACTCGTACCTCTACCCTTTACCTACCACTTTGATGCAGTATTACGGGGCTCCAGCCTTTTGCTTCCCTGTTCCGCACTTCTGATGCTTTGCTCCGTGGTCATCAGCGGCCACCTGATATACTCGCTTTGGCAGTGGGTCGAAATCACTTCTTCAAATGTCGGCAAAAGACCGGGCCAAGCACCGGTGTAACCAATGTTTGAAAGAATTCTCGCGAAGTGAACATCTTCAACGGCATCAGCAAATCCGTAAGCGCTACATGCAATCTCAACCACCAACCCAAGCACTGAACTTTGCACCTCAGATAACCCACTTCGTTCATACTCTTGCGGACTTTGTTCGCAAAAATTCGCACGAAAGTAGGTCGCTTCAGTTCGATTCTGCCGACGCCGTGGTTAAGTAGTTTGCAAACAGAGATGCGCTGAAGCGTCATGAAAAGAGCCACGGCATTTTGCCGCCAGTCCGCGCACAAATGGGTCCAAATAATGGTCTCGAGTCGGTCGCCGCCACCAGGACAATCGCTGCCTGTGACCGATGCGCAAGAATGAAAGTACGATGTGACGGAAAATCTCCTTGCGGCCGATGCAAGAAGCAGAGCTCAGCTTGCACTTTGGAAAGAGATCATGTCGCATTCAAAAGGCTATGTGTCGATCCATCCTTGCGTGAGCGAAGGCTTTCTGGAGTCCGTGAAAGAACCCGAGGAGGTACAGAGAACGATGCTTTGAGACCACAATCCAGCGTACGTACCCCTTCGCACTTCTGCTGTAGAGTCAGCTCCAGCTTACGCAACTTCAAAGAATGGTCCTTCAACGGCCACAGAAACCTGCACTGCCGATGACACACTTCTTTCCACAGTGTCTGATACAGCGGAGGAGTTCCGTTTCCCGCAGGCCCAGTACACTCTTGCTAGTGAAGGTCAATCTTCGCCGAAAGAGGCACCAAATTCAGACTCGGGATGGCAAGGGAATGAGCCTTCAGTGGCTGGCACCTTTAGCCCTCCCTGGGATGACTTCTCGCTCTTTTTCGACGAACAGGGTGGACCAGGCCTTTTCCTTGACAGCTCTTGTTCAGCTGACCTCTTGCATCCAGCTCAAATCAATGCGACATGTGAAAGCCCCGAGGACCGTACGCAGAATTCAGATATGTCAATCGACGATCGCGAGAGATACGAAAATTATCCTCAGCTATACAAGCCCGACCCGACGGGGAATCCACTCAGAACGTCCGTCATCTGCGACTTTCTTCAAAGCAGGCAGGCTTGGGCAAAGGTGGATGATTTTGGCCAATCCCAGAAAAACAAGACCAGCATCGCCATTCCAGAAGAAGTAAGAGACTCAATCATGGCGACTATTCATATTGTCCTCGCCAAAGTGCTCGACAAAGATCAGATGGGAAAGATCCCGACAACATTCCCGCCTTTGAGGACGGTCCAAGTCATTTTTGACACATATCTCTCCAGGCTGGCTTTATTCTATCCCATCACGCATCCTGGCACGTTCAAACACAACCATACAATGCATTACAATGGACCTGGAATGCAACTGCAGCTTCTGAGTACATTCGTGTCTGGAGCGCTGATGATTCCTGTGACGGAGGTTCAGACCTTCGCAACCGACCTGGCAAGCATTATTTTACAGGTCCTTTACGAGATCTTCCTGAGGGATGCCAGTCAGACGAAGGATATGTATCTCACCAGCACCGCGATTTTGATAACTGCGTTTGGCATATGGTCAGGCAACAAGCGGCAGATGGAACTTGCAGAAGCGCTGAGAAGCTCATACACAACGGTAAGCTCATTTCTCCTGGATCTTGCATAGCTAATCATGATAATAGATGATGTCTCGGCGAGGATTGCACGAAAGAGCACAGCAAAGGATACTCGAGATCAACCCCTCGGATATTGACCTTGAATGGAGAGATTGGCTTATGAAAGAGACACGCAGACGGTACGCAGCATGCTTTACAGAATGCGAATCATGTTGCTGACCTACCCATTCCAGATTGGCGTATGTGTGGTATGTCGTGGAGCAAGAGATCAGCCTTTTCAATGGCGTACCCACGACTCTGTCTTTCACTGAAATGCGCTGTCCGATGCCCTGCAGTGAGGCAGTCTTTGCTACTTCCTGCGGCCAAGCATGGAAGGATTTGCTCCAGGCGACCCAATCCGAGCTATCCATGCCGACATCGTCAACAGTGGCGACATTAAAGTGCCCGCACTCGCTGGCCGCCTTTCATCGGCGTTTCCTCTCTGGGAACATCTTCCAATTTCAGGATGCTGTGACCCCGTTTGAGGTCCGGTTGCTTCTGTGCAGTATTCAGACGCTTGTGTCGCAGTACAGCCAAACGAAGAGGTTTGTTCCCGAAGAGGAAGAATTTTCCTCTGAAGCATGTATGATATCGGCTTCCACCGAATACGGCCAGCTTCGACGTGAAGAGTTACATTACCTCCTGGTCAAATGGCACCTCTTGTATCGACGTGCCATGCCATGTGTCACACCCATACGCTGCGGAACCGACTTATCATGCATTCTAATGGCACACTTGATCGCCATGGAGCTGTATGTTTCATTTGATGATGTACAACTCTTTGCAGGGAAGGAAGGCTTCGTGGAGGGCAGAATGCTGATGCCCTCATTCAGAAGGTGGGCAAACACTTCGGGTGCAGCACGAGCGCTGCTCCATGCTGGGCAAATCATGCATACCCTCAGAGCTGTTGCAGAAGGCACCGCGAGACCGTTGTGGTGGCCATTAGCAGTAGCGCGAGCGGCCTTGCTCCTCTGGGCCTACGGCATGGCGGCTCAAACCAACGCAGGCAACATGGATGACCACGACAGTACCTCCGAACCGTCTCTTTTTGACTCTGAGCTGCGCTCAACCAAGCAGTATCATGGTCTGCATGCTATTGATGGGCCACTTGAAGACTCGGCCTTGTTTTCTGGCTCTCTAGTCGGATACTGGGACAAAGAAAAGGTGCCGTGCTTGACAGAACCGGACGGAGGCTTTGTACCTCTTCTGCAGATCTCAGAGACCCTCGAACTAAGCATATCACTCCTGCGCGATGGAGAGAGTGTTAGCACGCCTCTTTGCAGATCTGTTCGGACATTCTTACAAGACATCCAAGGGCTAGGAGTTGCCTATCCTGGGTTGCCTAAGGGTGGCATGACCATACAACAACAGCAGACTGATGTCAGCACAGACTCTTGAGACTTGTCTTAGTCATATAATCTCGATTCCGAGGCTGCGAAATGCATTTCTCACAAGCAAACTGCTAGGGATAATTCCAAGATACACATATGAGCACCAATTAGCCTGGATCTGAAATAAGTCGATGTCTTTGTCGAACGCGAAACTTCATAGCCTCGCCACTTTTCTCGAAGAGTTCCCCTTCTTGCACGTTTGAGCCGACAACGGACGTGGCCTTGAGGACCACATGGCACCCAGATCATGTCAGCAGCATACACCGTAACGAATTTTGGTATCACACCATTGGCAAGATCCCGGTCTGCGTGAGCAGGCTAGACTGTGCATTCCTCCCAATTTTCCGACTCTGCAAGCACGGCCCGAAATAAACCCCCTCTCCTTCCGACACCCATCTAGGCATAGGCTGGGATCCCGCCATCCGCTAGTTCCATTATTAGATCAGACAACACACGACCACAGAGGCGTTGGCTTACTTTAAGTGGACGGACGCAGAATATGCGTGCAAGGCTTCTGTTTGCTCCATACACCTCTTTTCCTGTCACCTACAGCCTTGAGACCGACATGGTTGCAGATATTACCGATATACATTTTGCTACTGCCAATGGCGACACTGGTTGTAGGGTCATTGACACGGATGCGCTTGTTGTTGGCACAGGCCCAGCCGGCGCATCTTTGGCATGTTTTCTAGGTTCACATGGTAGGAATTTCGTCAACCATTCCCTATATGCTCGCAACTCACGAGAGATCACAGGAGTACAAGGCATAGTCATTGCCAGTGCCTCGACGACCGCCGACACGCCAAGAGCTCATATCACCAATATGGCTGCCATGGGTAGATATTGCCCTCCCACTTCCGCAGGAATGTTCAAACTGAGTCGTAATGGAATGCTTGAGGGATATCGACCTCGAGAGAGACTGCGTCCAAGTCGCAACGGCCAATGAAAGCATGCAGCACGTCAGATGGGCATACTCCTTTGCAGGGCTGGAGTTTGGCAGGATGTACTCATGGGGCAATGACCCGGAGCAGAAGGTGATTACAATATCTGGAAACTGTTTGCCCCTTCTTGCTAATCTTGTTCACTCATGGAGGGCGACTACGAGAAAGCTAGCCCTTGCGAGCCGGTGGACTTGCCTCAAACGCGCCTCGAGCCCATTTTGGTCCGTTATGCAACACTCCATGGATTCAAATGCCGCTTTGATACCGAATTTGTTTCATACACCCAGGATAAAGAGACCGGTCGTATCCTGGTGTCACTAAATGACAAGCTCAACGGAGTCGACTTTCAGGTCCGCTGCCGCTATCTGTTTGGTGCTGATGGGGCTCGAAGCCGTGTCGCTGCTCAAGTAGGCTTACCGTTGTCACAAAAGCCTGACAAGGGTATCGCGTACAATGTAGTGGTCAAAGCGGACATGGCTCATCTGATGGATGCTCGGATGGGTAATCTGCACTGGATCATGCAACCAGACAAAGAACACCCTGATTGGGCCTGGATTTGTGTTGTGCGGATGGTGAAGCCGTGGTACGAATGGATGTTTGTCGTCTTCCCTGATCGGAAGGCAGCATGGGAAGACCACAAACCTACCAACGAACAGTGGCTTGCCCGTGTGAAGGAGTTCATTGGGGATGACTCCATTCCAGTCGAAATCTTGGGTGTATCAAAATGGCGGATTAACGACACTGTTGCCGGTGAATATTCGAAAGGGAATGTGTGAGTCATCACAGCAATTCCGAAAAGTCTGGCGTTGAGCTTACAACTTGTCAGGTTCTGCTTAGGAGATGCTGTTCACCGACACCCGCCAATGAATGGTCTCGGGTCCAATACATGCATTCAAGACGCCTTCAATCTCGGGTGGAAAGTCGCATATGTTCTCAAAGGCCTTGCTGGCCCAGGGCTGCTAGATTCATACAGTGCTGAACGTCAGCCGGTGGGCAAAGGCGTGGTCGCGAGGTATGCTAGGCTTTCAACTGCTCCCAAGCTCATCGTGCTAATTGGATTTCAGGGCAAATCAAGGTTTCAATGACTACGGGCCGCTATGGGACAATCTTGGAATCTTGGAGGACGACGTTGAGAAACGAAGAGAAATCTGGCGCCAGTTATCAGAGAATTCGTCGCAAGGCCGAAGACGTCGTCAAACTTTTCAGAAGACGCTGCACGCTACCAAAGGCGAGATTCAAGGACTGGGTATCGAGATGAATCAGCGATACACCGCAGATCAAGCGGCAGTCTACAGAGACGATGAGGAGTTCAAGTCTCCGCCCGCTTTTATCAGAGATCCCATTCGCTACTACGAGCCATCCACATACCCTGGATGTCGCGTTCCTCATGTCTGGCTTACGACACTGGTGCCTGGAAAGAAGATCTCGACAATCGATCTAAGTGGCAAAGGCCGATTTACATTATTCACTGGCATCGGTGGACGAGAAGCCTGGCAGAGGGCTGCAGATCGAGTCAAGCAAGAGTTGAAAACACCCATCGAGGTTTTCTCAATTGGCCATAGACAGGATTACGAGGACGTCTACATGGACTGGGCGCGGCTGAGAGAAGTGGATGAGGACGGTGCGATCTTGGTCAGACCTGATCGATTTGTCGCCTGGAGGAGCCAAAATATTCCAGAAGACTGCGAGGGCAAGTTGGTCAAGGTGTTGCGCCACATACTGTGTCTTTGACTGATCAGAGGCGATCTGCTCAAGTTTGCAGACGTGCATAAAAGACATATAGACGATCAAGGCGAATAGCCAGCTTCTCGGAAGTCCTGTAAACAGTCTCCTGGCTCTCTCTGTCTAGCATACTAGACGCGCCTTACGTTCAACCTTGGTACTTCCGAATCGTGTTGACGGTCATCATTACACCCTGCACCCCCGTCCAGCTTCTCCAGGAAATGCGTCTTGACCCAGAGTGGAAGAGCCCCGACCGACTACCGTGTGGGGTCCCTACTTGTCCGTTACCTATGTCCTTCATATCCGTGTGTGCATGTGATCTGTGTGTGGTATGTGTCTAATATCGCGGCTGTGTATCGCTGGTGTGGGGAGAGGTCCACTTTAGTTATCACTGAATCCGGTAATGCAATGGAGCTGATCAAGTGGGTTCTTTTCCCCAGGTCAAAGCAACAACTGGCCGAAACGAGCCTCTCTCCACGCCACGCCCGGGACATGTGTGGGGGGACCGGGGTATGTACCCCGACAATTGCATAGTCGGGCCGGGGGAGGTGATACAGTACTACACAAGGTAGTCTTGCTTGTTTTTCCTGTAAGGAAGCTCAGCTCTCTGAAAGGGGCTTTTACCCGCATGTTTAATAGGTTAACGCTGCGAGAACAAAAAGGATACCTGAGGTCGTGCGTGGGCTTGCTTTAGGTACCTACCTACCTACCTACCTACGAACCAGCTAGCTACCTACCTTGAGTTCCAGAAACGCCACACATACAGACTCGCAAAGTGGCAAGACTAGATCGAAGGTGACAATATGTTGGTCAACACGATTGCCCACGCGCTGGCGCATTCTTTGCATCCAGTGGTGGCCGTTCTTGCGGTGCCTTTGCTCCTGGTCGCCCTGGAAGTGCTATGGATCGTCTACGCCAGGACTTTGCATCCCCTGGCAGATGTGCCCGGACCATGGCTCGCCTCTGTGAGCCGGCTGTGGGTTATGCGCCGGCTCAAAGTCGGCGACATGGACAAAGTGCAGCGCAACCTGCATCGCAAGTACGGGCCGCTGATTCGGATCGCGCCCAACGAGATCGCCTGTGCCGACCCGGAGGCCATCAAGCTGCTTTACAGGACTGCCGCGCCATTGACGAAGACCGATTTCTATCCTGTCTGGGGCAACCCCCGTATGTCGAAATATCGAGACAACTTCTCCCAAGTTGACGAGAGGATGCACTCGGAGCGACGCAGGATTGTCAATCATGTGTACAGCTTGTCCAACGTGCTCCAGTCCGAAGCGTCCATTGACAGCGTCACGACGGTCATGGTCGACAAGCTCACTCAGATGGCCCAGACTGGCCGTGACTGTGACCTGGGGACCTGGATCCAATGGTAAAGTTCCCTCAGACAGGCCGAAAATTCCCATGGGGGGTCTGCAGGCTTCAGCTAATCTCTGAACAAAGGTATACTTTTGATGTCATCGGAGAACTGTTCTTTGGTCGTATGTTCGGATTCCTCGAGCAAGGCGCAGACTATAAGTCGTGGATCTCTTCACTGGATGCTCTCATGCCAGGATTCTGTCAAGTCGCCGTGGCACCCACTTATCTGCGGCCTTTTATTCTCTTGTCTTCGCTTTTCGACCAGAAAATGAAGGCCGCCATCAAATGCACCGAGACGATGGAGGTTGCAGCCCGGGAAGGTGTCGCGCGGAGGCAGGCAGAGCTGGACCAGGGTTCCTCGACCTCTGCTAGCCGGGACTTGCTGCAGCAACTGTTCAACATCCAGCGAGAGAAGGGCGAAAAGCTGGATTTCTCCAGGAGAGAAGTCGAGCAGGAAGCATACATTGCACTGTGAGTATTCATACTTTTTGCTTGATGTTCATACTGAATTCCGGCCCACTGACTTTCGTTATTTTCTCCCCTCAAGGCTGGCTGGCTCCGATACCACGGCGATTGCCATTCGTTCCATCTTTTACCACATTGTCAAAGATCGGAAAGTATATCAACGGCTCCGCGCCGAGATTGACGAGGCCAATGCCGCGGGAGAGCTTTCTTTCCCTGTCAAGCATGCGCAAGCGCTGAAATTGCCCTACTTGTGCGCTTGCATCAAAGAAGGCATGCGCATGCATCCGAGTGTCGGCTTAACCTTGCCACGATTGATGCCCGTGGGTGGTTTACAGATCAGCGACAAATATGTTCCTGAAGGGTATAGAGTTGGTGTCAATGCTGCAGTGGTCCATTTCGACAGAAACATCTTCGGTGAGGACGCCCACCTGTTCCGACCGGAGCGTTGGCTTGATCCTGCTGCCGCCGCCAATATGGATAGATACATGTTCCAGTTTGGTTATGGCACCAGAACATGTATCGGGAAGAATGTGAGAATCGCCCCCTGTACACGGCGTGATGATGAAGAGCTAACTTTGCCGGCATTAGATCTCTTTGGCAGAGATGCACAAGCTTGTACCTTCCGTTCTTACCAAACTGGATATCGAATGGAGGGATGAGGGGAGGTCCTGGTCCACCAAAAACCATTGGTTCGTCAAACAGACCGGTATCAATGTCCGACTGAAGATGCGGTCTTGAAGTGAGCCAAAAAGGTTGACGAGCATTCTGTAGAATGCGTGCTGCTGAACTCTCTGCGGACCTTAGGTGATCTAGGGGGTTTTACAGGGACTTGCAGCAATTCTCTTCGTACCATATGCATTAGGTAGAGGCGAAAGAGAAAAAATACTTGTAAAAGATTCCCGAGGGTCCCGCACTAGGGGAACACTACCCTCGCCTATCGTACATGGGTGCTTCGATTAGGCGTGCTGGCTTACATGGAGGCGAGCAACAGCGGAATCCGTACTCTGCAAAAGTCATTTGCCCGGAAGTATGCCACCAGTGCAGGCGGCGGGCTCTCCTCCCGCTTTGGGTATGTTCCGTGGGCTGAACACGACGCCGCCGTTGAGGACGTTTGGGGAATCTTCTCTCATGTGTTCTAGAGACCATCTAGATACCTGGGTAGGTAGTCGCAATAGGTTGTCATGTCTTCAGACAATGACACTCGCACAACGTTGCCGGGATTCGGATCCTGCTGCTGTTTTGGATGGTGGTTAGTGGCTCTGCATCCCTCACTATATCGTTCTCAGGCTCTTGCTAGTCTATGTAAGACACCTACTTGGGCAGGCGCCTTAGGCTGTGCTAGCTCCTGATAGGCGCTGGTGTTCCGAGGTTCCTATCTCCAGGGTTAGTGGTTTAGGTACCTAGGTACCTAGTAAGCTACCTAGCTAAGTTCGCGCAGCTCTCGGCGTGGCTCTCCGCCCTTAGCAAACTCCGGCGCACCGTGGGTGCATCGCTACCCTCCATCATGTCCGGGGTCTCGGCGGATCATCGCCAGGTACTGTACCAACTGGCTGGGGCCTGAAGCTCCCTAGACTCAACACAACTGGTGACCTAGTACCCGTCCGGGTTCATCTTCCCCAGCTTTTGCGCGAACGAGGCCTCTTCTCTTTCTGACTTCGCATCAAATGAGACGAGCGAATCTCTTAGAATGATGCTGTTGGTCTATAGTCGCCCAACAGATATTCGCCTTGGCCGCGAGGGCTGAGTGCATTGCATTGCCGGTTTGCGAATCCTTGACTCCACGCCCGACCCGCGATGGCCGACGATCAACACCAAAGCCCTCCGGCATCCATGAAGCGCGTGTCGAGAGCATGTATTTTCTGCCGAGCGCGCAAATCCAGGTGTGAATTGTAAGCGATCCGTTTGCTCCCTTCGACGTATCTGCGCATCGTTTCCATCGCCGTGTCGCCAGCAAGAAGAGAAGGGCAGGTGGGACCCTCCATCTGCGTCTTCTGTCGGCGTGTGCGCCATGCATTCGCCTGGCCCCGGCTATCCAGAAACCTCTCACAAGCTGCAATAGCCGCCTCTCGGCAACCGCTCTCAGAGAATCATCTGTCTGGTATCGACTTCTATCCTCGCCGTTCATTGACCCTGATTGATTGTGTAGGGAAGCTTCAGGCGGCCAACCTCCATGCGCAAGATGCAAGAAAGAAAACCGCGAGTGTGTGCTGGGGACGTCGAACCGCGGCGGAAGCCGAGTGAGGAAAAAGCTGCTTTCCACCACCACCTTGTCCAACTTGTCCAACCCTCCACCATTGACACCCCTTCTTGAGACCGATCCCAATGCCGAGACCAACGTCAAATCCCACCTCCGTCCTCCTGGGTTTCTACAACCCTCCCCTCTCCAAGATCGCCCTTCGACAATCGCAGGTCTGGCAGGTGGTGTGGGAGGAACTTCCACCAGTGCGAACGCAGTTGACGATGATGACTCGGCATCCACGGCCGACAGCACAATTGGAAACACCATACCTAGGAATCCATCAGATGCATGGCAGTTGTTGAAAGATGTGGCGAACCGAGAGGCGGACCAGCTACAAGCCAGAGGAGCAATGAGCCAGCCGGGTGATCTATCAAACCAAGACATGCAGAATGGAGCAAGACCAGAGCCTAGGGGGTCCATCAATGGCATCCACGCCGGGATCTCGACTTATCGACTGGTGCGTGAAGGCTACCTCACGCCCGAAATCATCCAGATGCTGGTTAGACGCTACGCCGAGCACTATCACCCGTACCTTCCCTTGGTCCCGCGTAAATATTTTGACCCTGCTCAACTGGACGTCTTCGCAGTCAATGATAAACACCTCTTGACGGCGGTCATCACCATCTCGTCCAAGGACCTTATTGAACAGCCAACGATCCATACCTGCTGCTCTCGATACATGCATGATCTGATCTCTGGGATCGCCGCTGGTCATGATTGTGAAGTCGAGGCCGTGGAGGCATTGCTGTTACTCGCCGAATGGGAGCCGCAAGGCCTGCGGAACCGGATTGAAGCTGTGGGCAGAGGCGAGGAGGATCGGTCGGCATGGATGCATGTTGGGATGGCCCTTCGCACAGGTTATTTCCTGGGCCTGGACCGAACTGCATTTCGGCAAGAATCTGCCGAAGAAGCGAGGATTGACGGGCGGAAACGCCTAGCCTGGGCCAACTGCTACGTCTCGGACCGACTGATCTCAGTGAGGATTGGAAAGGCATTCTGGTCGAGAGGACCTGGGCCCATGACTGGCCTCTCCTCCCAAGACTTTCCCTCGTTACAACCCCTCAGTCCTGACGACGAAGATTATGCCAAAATCATGCAAGCTACCTTGGATCTCACCCAGCTGTACTCCAATGTGCACGATGTTCTCTACTCGGGCATGCGTACTAGTGGACAAATGATGCTCATGGGAGACTATGTCAAGTATGTCGACGATTTCCGTGCCGCCATTGCTCGCTGGAACACGACCTGGGGGAAACTGGAGTGCTCCCCTTATATCAAGGTCACACTGCAGATGGCGTACGAATATCTTTGTCTGTATACCAACGCCTTTGCCTTCCAAGCGGCAATCGCTCAAGCAATTGCCAGCAAACCCAAGAGTGACGCCCATTCCCTGAGAGACCATCTTCGAAGTGTGTTCTGCAACGTCGGTGCTATGCCAGATGCACGCTTCATTTGGGCCAGTGTGGCTGCCGCGAAAGCGTATCTGACGCTTCTCAGCACGCAAGTGGACCCAAGCAAGTACCTACGATACATGCCGCTGAGATATTACCTCTACTGCATTTATTCTGCCGTCTTCTTGTACAAGGCGCGCTCGTTTGGGGTGATGACAGACATGGAAGAACGCCAAGTTCGACAACTCGTCTTCCAGACCATGGAAGTTCTCAAACGAGCGTCGGTCTCTGCTCAAGACCCGGGATCACGCTATGCAAGGCTTTTGGAGTTGTTGTGGATCAAGCCGCAGAAGGCACCGTCGCAACTACCCCCTCCAATTCAATCTCCAGCAGCATCAGACGGTCCCCTGTCGTCAAGTGGCAGTGTCCACGTCGACGCTCAAGGTTATATGCAATTCAGTCCGGCTAACGACTTCTCGTGGCTAGACCTCGAGGCAGTCGGCGATTACGTCTCTGGTGACCAAATGACAGGCAATGGGATAAATATGCTGGCTCCGATGGTGGGTTTCGAATCGACGTCGACTTTCATGCCTCAAGCGCAGGGTCAAGGAATGCAGTGGCAGCAGACCAACAATGCGATAAACTGGCCGGTGGACTGGAATGGCAACTTGTTCTTCTGAGTGCTTCTCCCACACAAGGTTTCTCCAATGAACCACGGCGCAGTTCTATCCGTTTCAGGCTAATGTCGGCGACTGGGAGCAGAAGCCGATGTGTGGGCAGCCCTTGGATTCCCCCGCACCACCCAGCATCCACACCACGACCTGCCCCTTCAAATCGGCGCAGTCACCGCGGCTGCACCGTTTGGTCTTGCTGTGGAGAGGCTGCTCAGTGCTCGCGAGCACAGCATCATATTTGAAGCATGAGCACAAAACAGCGACTGTCCCAACTCACTTCACACACCAGCAGTTCGCAGACATTAGAATCACGCCAACCTTCGCCCAGCATGTCCGTCGACAACGAAATCAAAGGCAGACTCGCCCTGATCACGGGTGCATCTGGAGGGTGTGTTTCCTGCCAATCCAACGTTCCGCGTTTGACTTTGACTGACAAGAACAGAATCGGAGCCGGTTGCGCACGAGACCTGTACAAGAATGGCTGTCACCTCGCCCTAACATATTCCAAAAACAAGGCCAACGTCGATACCCTGATCGCCGAGCTGCAAGGCGACTCGACGTCCTCCGAGCTGAAAATCTCCTCACACCAAGTAGACATGGCATCGACAGAAGATATGGAAAGATTATACAAAGAGATTGAGGCACAGCATGGTCACGGTCCAGACATCCTGGTGGCCAATGCAGGATATGGCAAGCGGGTACCTCAAATAGTGGACATCACATACGAGGAATTCGACTATACAATCCTGATCAACTTACGCGCACCTTTTGTCCTGGCGAAACTGGCCGTTCCACACATGGCGCAGCAGAAATGGGGACGTATCATCATGATGTCCAGCATAGCTGGCTATGGGGGTGGAATCAACGGCTGCCACTATGCCGCCTCCAAAGCGGGCCTGACGGGCATGATGAGGAATCTCGCCATCAAGCTCGCCAAGGATGGAATAACAGTCAATGATGTGGCACCAGCCATGATCGGCGAGACCGGCATGATCCCCAACGCAAAGTTCCTCGAGGGCACCCCCGGCGATGTCAGGAATATTCCCGTGGGCAGGCTGGGGACGCCGCAGGAATGTGCGAATGTGGTTACCATGTTGTGCAGGACGGGGTATTTGACTGGGCAGAGCATCTTGTTAACTGGCGGGTTGAAATGAAGTCTTCTCAGGTGGATATGTAGCAAAAAGAAGATGGATTTCATCTTTAATGAATGAACAAATCTAACGATGCTATGTTGGGTTATGGCGCCTTGACAATACCTACCAAATGCCACTTTCCCTCGCCCCATTGAACTCCGATATCCATGCCGATACACCCACTTCGAATCTCTCGGTTCGCAATCGAGCTTGTCTTTAGCCCATGCCCTTAATCGAGGATGTGTGCCTCATCTACCCATGGATTCCACCGCTTCTCATCTGCGTTATTTAATCCTGACTACCTCGACCGAGGACTCAAAATCGGGCCCTTGCCTCCGCCAGGCATGGCGTCCTTCCTAGTATCCGTACCGGCGAACACCTTCTTACGCTGCTGCCCCGGCGGCTGCTGCTGCGATGCATCAGTCGTGGCGGTCGTCGTGGTTGTGCTCGTCGACTTGCTCTTCTGCGTCGTGGTGCCCACGTACGTCTTGCTCTGAGACGGCACGCGGCCGTCCGCACCACGCACCATCGACGCGCCCTCGAGCTCCGACGTCGTCGAGCTGATCTTCACATTCGCGGGACTGACCTCGAGCGGGTTGAACGGCGCGTTCTGTGCCGGCGTGGGCGCCGCGTTCGACGTCCCCGTCCTGTCGCGCGACAGGTTCTGGATCTGCTCCGCCGCCTGCGCGATCGCTTCCGACGGGTCCGAGGTCGATCCGCTGTCCGGGGAGAAGGACACCGCCTGGGCCGCCACCGCGTCGTCCGTCCCGGATTTGCTGTACTCGGTCGGTTGGCGGTCGATGCGTGTGCGGTCTTGCTGTGCGGACCGGTTGGATTGGATGTCCTGCTGGCATTGCGACGACGAGGTTGATGAGGTGCTGGATTGATGCCGAATCGCCTGCTGTTGCTGGCTACTAGCACTCGGCAGTATACCTGCGAAGCGGGGCAGGGGAGTGCTGCTGGCACCTCGTGCTGGGATCGTGGTGCTCCTCAGACTCGAGACTCCGAGGCGTAAGGGCTTCATATTGCCGTTTTGTTTTCCTGTGTCGTATTGTAGCTCGTATCCTGGGGTAGTGATTTAGGTGTTGAACGATGTGTGTGTGTGTTGAATTACGTCAACTTGGTTTTACTCTTTTCGGGCTCAGAATCAATAAGCAGGATGAGACTCAAGTACTAGGTACGTAGTTTTAAGAGGAACGGGATCCGGCACGTATATATGGAAACCAATTGAACCAACCACTCTTGCCATCCCGCCACACAGGGGGATCAGCGCTGGTATGGCCCTCTCTGGGCATTTCTGATATCATCCTGACGTGGGTGGGTGGGTGGTCGGCCCACCTTGCTTCCCCGGATTTCTTTCCCCTCGATTCCTTCAAGAATTGCCTAGCTAGGTTATGATTGGGCATATAGCCAGGTTTAGAGGGGAGGAAGGATGGTGATTGATCCAAGGATAAAGAGGCGGATTGATATTCACCCCTGCATTTCCCTACGGAGCTGCTCGGACTTGGATTCCGGGATCTCGCATAGGTCGTATATTCGATCTCCTAGGATGGCCATAATGGGTTATTCGAATAGATTCACATGATTGCACCGTGAGTGTCAGCTGTGAAGCTCGCCAATCGGCATCTCGCGAATTGTTTCCTTTGTACCCACGCATGGAGCCAGCCTTGTAGGGTGAACAATGACCCGCTCCATCATCAGACAATCGATTCTGCTTAAGCTGGTATGTAGGAATTGTGTGCTAAATACTATACTACCTGGGTAGTGTATAGATACCGTAAGCAGTTAACATCACCAAGAACCCCGACCGGATATCGATTCCATGCGTGTTTGAGGGCAGCCGAATCTCCCACCCGCCAGAAGAACTGTGGTAGAATATCCCTCTCGATCCTGTCCCAGTCGTCCCACTCTGGGAAGTTCAATTTGAATTCTCCGAGACATGAGATTCCTCCCGCAGACGACGAGAAACCCAACCTCTCGACACGGTGTGTATCTATCAAGACTATCCAGATCCACACCAAACATTCGACTGTATCGTCAGTTTTGGGGACCCGGTGCAAAGCCTGGCTGAGCTGAGTCCTCGATATGTTGTGACACAGAATGCCGGCCGAAAGATTCGGGGCGCTCGCCCATCTCATGTGGGCATAGCAGAATATTGCCAGCACGAGACACTTTTCAAAACTCGGTTCTGCCGCGGTCAAGTAAGGGGTAGCTACCGCGAAGTCGGGGAATGCCATCTCGGGCTGGGGCACAGCGTCTACCCCATACTCACAGCCGTACGCGAATCGAGCAAGTAGCCGCTGCGTATCTTTTGAGATTAAGCCCTTGGTCACCAATTTTCGAAACCCTTCGGGCAGGTCAATGTCGACATCGTAGTTCTTTTGGTTGAGGTAGGAACGATCGAAATCAGATGATAATACCGCGTGATCTTGGCCGTCTTCTGGGAAGATTCCCAGTACGTTTGGCTGGCCTTCGAGGACGTTCATCCAACAGAAAAACCTAGCACGATTTATTTTAGTGTTTTTCGTTTGAGGGGTTGGCACCTCAACATGTCGTCGCCAAGTTCTCACTCACTGTAGTAGCAGCGGTCCAAAATTCTTGTCAAACTGAGCACGGTCCTGTTTGACAGAAGATCTAAGGAGGGTTCTCAAGGCTTTGCGGTGTAGGATGCTTTCTTGCATATCACCCCGAAAGTGCTAGTTCCGGCAAATTCAGTGATTTTTCTTGCCGCACTAAACCACTCAACTGGGGGAACATTCAAAGGGCGCCCACTCACTGCAAGGAAACTCAAGAGAAAAATGGTATTCACCAGGGAAGCGCGGTTGATTTTAGATTCCGCCGAGGCATGGACCTCTTTCTTGAGCAGAGCGATCGCTGTTCCGTTGTGCTTGAGTTGCTCCTGCTTGTAGTCACACTCCCAGATATTGCTCTCCTGCCGATGGTATTCAAGGCAGCAATATCCAAGGGCAGCGAGGCTGTGCTGTGCGGCCTCACTTTGACAGCCTGGGCTGGAAAAGTACTATTTGAGTGCAAGCGTCAGTGGTCTGAACAGACTCGTTGGGGATTGGGGTAATGTACAGTGGAGAATACGCTCGTATCAACGTTGAATATACGGAAGGCTGGTGCAGCGTTTGGCATGACCCATTGGAACCCTGGTAGGTCTCGTTGTCAGCATCATATAAGGGAAGAAAAGGGCAATCATCCTAACAAATATCCATTCCTTGATAAAAAGAGGCCACTCTAGGATGAGGCACATTGACCAGGGAGTTCAAGTAGCGGACCTTGGGAAGTGTAACGGTTTTGACGGACTCTGAGGAGGATTCGTCCGTGCTCGAAGAGTCTGAATCCGAGCTTGAACTCGATCTCCTGACTCTAGGTATGGTCAGCTCGAGAACAAATAAAGAGACTCATGAGAAGACTCGGCAAGCGCCCACTTTGATGGAGAGTTTTTGAGCAGTCGGCGACGTTGATGGGAGACTCTTGCACTATGTGACAAAGCTGTAGTTTTGTTAACCTCATAGTCTCGCTGCGATTTGTGAACGCTCCTGTCGTAGACAAACGTTACTCGAATGGGCAAGTCCTTGACCATCGTGGCCACGTGAGGAAATCGTAGATTCCAGCTTTGAGCTATACTTTGAAAAATACCGTCAGTTCGTCAAGGCGATGCCCAAGATCCACAATGTGGAAAAATGGTGGTTCAACAATCTGGGCTGACTCCTGCAGGATATAAGTACTATGTTTTCCTCGCAAGTTGACTCAACCTCTCAACCTCTAGCCTTCCGCATCGACACCCCGAATAAAACCTAGAATGTGTCTTCAATGCAGGGACCAAACGGCCATTGGTCCGGACGCGCGACTTCTTGGAACGTCGAAAATAGGTTCAGACCCTGACAAGATTCATTGGTCCTTGCGTGAAGCGGCATCGGCGCCCCGGCACAAGAAGCCTCGAACATATCTGATTCTTCGAGCCATACATTCTAAAACCGACGTGGAGTGAACAATGGTAACAAGATGCCAGAAAGGGAAATCGACTTTGGCTCGACCAGGTATAGCGTCTTGATCTTTCCGATGAATGCAGCTTGCCGTTTTCAGACCGTAAGCCGACCAGCCAAATGCTTAGGTGAAGGATAAAACGGCTCGGGAGATGGTGTTTAGACCCAGTAGTCCGGGCCAACGACGTTACCGACGCTCTATTCAAAATTATCCCGCCCTCGGATCTTACTTTCCTGCAAGGGTCTCAGGCAGGAGCCCCAATCAAGAAAGGCCTGTAGGGAAGGTCAGCATACCGTAGTGTCCTGCAGGGACTTCGACCCCACAACCGGCGAGTCGACGGTGATCGTTCACCCGGGCCTCGCGAGCCGGGGGTGAGCAAGGGCACAATGACCCTACTTTCCGATCTGGCAGTAGTCGCGAGCACATTTACCACGCCTTGGTGCCTGCAGCCACGTGCCACGCGGGAAAGGAGGGTTGGTCGCACTAAGGACAGGAAGCTGGGCCAAACTCGAAAAAGCGTGAAAGAGGGAATTGAGTTTGAATCCTCGCTGGCGTTGTACACGATGGAGCAGGGTCAGGATGAAGAGTTAATGGAGTGTGAGCGTGCGCAAGGCGTAAAAGTGAGGGTGAGCGCTTTGAAAAGTGGCACGGCGGGGCAGGTTTAGTAGGTACCTAGATACTCATCATTAGGTGCCACGGTGACCTTGGAATAAAAGGTACCTCGAGCTCACTCCGGAATGGCATGAGGTTGATGCCTTCGCCAAGCTGAGGTTGAATTACATGCGCATGTCTTATTACCTGAGGTACTTACCTATGCAGGTACCTATCTCTGCTTCCGTCCATTTGGCATCTTCCTTCTTGGCATTCGAGTCCGGGGTTCCTTTTAACTAAAGCTATCACTAAATCTACTTGAAGCTTTAGCCAAGCTCTTAACTAGACTTTACCTTGGCATACTTCCCTGGCGCCAAGAGAAAAGGCGCAAAACGGGACGGTGTTGGGCCGTCGATAACAGCGACGAACCTGGACACCCACGACAGCTTATATCCACCACTGTCTGACACCATTACCTTTAACTACCACTGCTCTCTCTATACATCATCATACACGATAATTCACAGTCTGTCTACGACGGAAGGGGAGATAGCACTGGCGTGCCACCCGTGTGCGGGGTCTCATTCGGGCACGGACTGATATTAGCATCCAGTCTCGTGGTTAGTGTCCAGCAAATAGAAGTTGGCCATGTGTCGACTCCGCCCCGCGAGGCGCCTTGCAGCAGAAGGATCAGGCACGACACGAGAAATTCAGCCTCACTAGGCAGACTGACCTCTTCTCATCATCATCCTCTTCCATTTCGTGTGCTCTATTTGATATTGTTGAGCCCTTCGACGGACGAGGACTGAGCTCCATCAAGTTCGCATCCTTTCTGGCGGACGTCGAACTTGAAGGTCATTTCTAGCCATGTCTGAGCCCCTCTCAACTGCAAGTAGTGTGTTCGGCGTGGTCTCGTTGGGCTTGACCGTCTGTCAAGGCTTAGTATCCTACCTTTCAGACTTCAAGGGTCAGGCCCAATATGTGGATAGCCTTACCCAAAAAGTTGAAAACCTCCAAAATTGCCTCACATTGTTGGAACAAGGGCTACCGTTATGGAAGGTGCGGTTTCCCTACACGGCGCCTCAAATCCAACAGCACATCATAGCCTGTGATCCTAGCCTCAAGGTTTTGAAAACAAAGCTTTCTGGCTTCAAACAGAAGCAAGGGCCTTCATTGCGCAGAGACAAGCTGCACGATTTCGCACAGAAGGCAGCCTTTCCATTCAGAAAGCCCGCTATCGCTGAATTATCTGGCATCATTGATGGGCTGCAGCAGAACCTAAACACCGTCCTCTTGATCGTCGGTTTGTATGTCGAAAATATCCGCATCTGGCCCATGCCTGAAGCTGACGGCGACAAAGGGAACGATCCTCAACCCATGTGACGTCTCAGAATGTGACAAACACAAAGATTGACGCCATCTTGTCAGCTTCAGGTATCATGACTGCCTGGACCCAAGACGCTAGTCACGACCTTTCAGTTTTGCGGGCTGAAATTTCCGCATTCCGGAACGATCTCGAGGCATTGAAAGCCGTTCCTGGCCCAAGCGGGCATACAGTCATCCAGCAGTTAGACGGCCCAACTCCGCCTCCGAGACTCCAGACGCTACAGCCCCAGGGGCAGGTCCAATTTCAGCACCTTCCAGACCCGAATTCTCTTCCCGAAACTTCCCATCAAGTCTTGCAAAGACGTCCGACTCCTTCAACCGTGAGCACATTGAAATGGTCCTGGTTTTCAATCTGCCTATGCCCAAAACCAAATCCGCGCCGGCCGCCGAGGACAAACACACTGGTCCTTTCCTATCTCCAAACCAAGGAGCATGAAGAGGATTGTCCCTACTACCTGCCAATGACCAAGAAAAGGAGTCTAGCCATATGGATATCCTATCGTTCTGTGCTGATCTCTCGTGGTATCCGATGCATGGCGTCCTTGGTCACTGGGTCAGCGGGAAACTCAATCAGTGCAACTATTGACTGGAGTCCAATTGTTTCCTCTAAGATTTCTAGCGCAATCCAACTACTAATTAAGTTGAAAGACATACATGGCCACCGGGGAAACTGGGAGGATCTTCTGGATAAAGCCCGTACTGAACTGACGGGCCTCTTCGCACAGAGAAAAGCACATCCGAGAGAGGTCGATGAAGATGGACGTAGTCTCCTCTACGTGAGTGTATTCATGGCCAAGGTGATCAATCTTTGCTAATCTTTAGCACAGTATGCAAGTAGGCTAGCCTCGCCAAGTCTCTGGTCTCAAGGAGGTATGAACACTCTTCCTTAGTATTTCCACTGCCTCTCTGCCGCGCAAGAGAGCCCCAGTCCACAGAGAGGACTGCAGGAGTGTAGTCAGATGACTTGTTTTGAGGGAACCCCGCATTGGGAATCGAGAGTCCCAATCATTCGCATCGGAACTGATCGTTTGCGCGACAGATGGTGTCAGCAAATCCTTTTCCCGCCTCTTATATATGCTTGCCTCCTTGGGTGCCAAAGCAGATCTTCGAGACTTCTCGCTGTAAGCCAGTGGATCACCTCACTTTGTCTCACCAACCTTGCCTAACAAAAGGGCCAGAAATGTGACAGGGTGGTGGTATATGGGATCAATTGCAGAGGTTGGTGCCCTTACACAGGATTTGACCAAAAGAGGGGCTATCGTTCTTGACTCGGACGAAATTGGATTCAGTTGGTGGACTCCCTTGACTATGTGTCTAGAATGGCACCATGGTATGCTATTATAGGCAAGCGTATCGAGAACATGATGAAATGCTAACCTTTCAGTGTTCGAAACTGGACCACTGAGCCGGGCGATCCTGCGACGAGATCCAGCAGAGACCGTCCGCCTACTTCAGCACAGACCCTCTCTTGTTGAGGAGTTGAATGACTGGGGCCACTCAGTTTTGCACCTCAGCTGCAATTGGCCACTAGGTACAGTCATCCTTCTCAAGTATGGAGCCTCTTTATTAGTTAATCGTCGAGATAATTCTGGCATCCTTCCGCTCAATAACGCGGCGAGCTGGCCCACAGCATTTCTAGAGGTCGAATGCATGATATTGATAGCAGCGGGAGCTCCCTTAGGCGGCCGTTCATTGACCTATGTCATAGAAGCTCATTTGTGGCAAGTAATTGATGTTGCCGTTGAGGGACTTGTGTTCAGAAGAAAGCAGCTCCAGCGCCTAGCTATGTCGCACTTGCCCCAATTTGAGCACACACTGGTCAGGGATACCGTCAAAGTTTTGGATGAACAAGCCCTTGGGGTTTCTCTGGCTCTTAAAAAGTCCGGGATCAGAGTCCGACCAGCTCTTTCCATTCCCGAACTGCAGACAACTGTATACCATGATGAAGCCATCAATGTCCGGGCCGCGCAGATCCTGTTTGACGCTGGATTTTGGGACGTTGATGGGCGCGACTTCCTTGGCTATACACCTCTCATGGGAAATGATGGGTGGCCTACGGGAAATGACCCGCTCGCATACGCTCGATGGCTTTGTGACCATGGCGCCAACTTGCTTTCCCACTTTCCTGCATGCACTGACAGCAACTGCAAAAACCAAGATGACCATCAGAGGCCAACAGAGCTCAGAGCAATCCACTCAACCGCATTCAGCCTTAGGCGCACAATCTTTTCCGAGCTTTGGGATGTGCTGGAAATTTCAAAGGCTACTCACGCGACAGATCCTATTGACATTCTTTCGACCATCGCATCCTCTGAAATTTCGGACGGCTGCTCTTGTGCTTGTTCTACCTCAGGGTGTATCCCGGTTCTGAATCTTCTGGACAACCCCGATCTGATCAATAAGACGAGAGGATATCAGCTCTTGCGGTACCTAAGCCGGCATCTTCCATACACCTTCCCTGGAATATTCTTGAACGTACTCAGGCTCCGCACTTTTGAAGTTCTCGGCCTGACACACACATGTTGCCGCCACGGCTGCCGTCGTGACCAGGATGGATCTCTGAATCCCTGGCGCAAACCCTGCCCACTCTCGGTACCTGCCGACGATGAGATACATGAGATTCAGGACGAAGAGAGGTACCTCATATCTCTTCTCGACTTACTTATGGCTGAGTTCACTGAACAATGGCTATCGCCAGCCTCAGAATGGACAGTTTATCAGTTCATTTCCAAGGTCTGGCGGCCTACATTGAGACGGATTCAGAGAGAAAGAGCACAGATGTCGGTGGAGGAGCAAGCTCATCTACGGCTCCTGGGTGTTAAGGTGCACTTCGCCGATGAGGACTCTTGGATTGATAGTGAAGGGGATAGTGAAGGGGATAGTGAAGGGGATAGTGAAGGGGATAGTGAAGGGGATAGTGAAGGGGATAGTGAAGGGGATGATGAGGACGATTCTGATGGCGAACTCAAAGAAACACAACTTCGAGAGATCAGAGCTTTCTTCACCGATGTCGAAGTCGCGGAGATCCTCAAGAAAGCTGCAAGTGAGAACGGCCTCGAAGACTACGACATCTGGTTCAGGATCATCGGAAAGCCCGATCCGCGACAACATTGAGAGATCGAGAAGAATCAATCCCAATGTTTATCGGCTCTCTGACATTTCTCAAAGCATTTCTGACGCTGCAGACCATGGAAGTGTCACTGTCCGAACCGGCTGGGAGACCGGAGACTGCCTAGGCAGGCCGCTGGGCAAGGGTGGGTTATTCAGAGCTCGGGGTGGATGAATTAACGGAGATATTCTGCTTCCCGGTCTTCTGCAATGAAGGATAGGTCTTCTTCTTCTTCTTCTTCGGGATCTGATTTTGGTGTTTGATGCGTATCGATAATCAATGATCTAGGATATGCAGGCGTTATATGTGTGCGGCCACTACTTGATAGAGAGGATCTTTTGAAACTCTCGAGATTGAGGATTTATCCATGTACAAGTCATGTTCCGTCATGTAAGGGCGCCGGCATTAAGCCAGCCCATTCCCTAGTAAAGGATGCTGCGCCCGAAAAGCAGTAAATACCTACCTAGGTAATGCTGGCGTGGGAACCATACCAGTGGTCTAATACTAGGTAGGATATCGTCGCCTTTTTCTTTTCCCAGGCTCTTCCAGCTCCTCCAAGGACAAGCCTGACCTTTTCAGCACGGCGCTATCTATGCTGCTGGGGCTCTGCTCTTGAGGATACACAGTAGAGAGCCGACTCTGATGCGCACGACGGACCTGAAGTCCAAGTAGGTGGACACGACCAGATCTCTATCCTCGAACCAGTATTGGCGCGCAATGTACCGCTCAGCGTTATGTAACTGACTCCCTTCTCCGCTCCTCTACTTACACACAAAGTAACTCTCCTGCAGCGCGTCATGAAGACGGCCAAAAACCCCACCATGCCAGGTCTTGAAGTCCTTCCACTCGTCCTGCGACATGGTGGCCGAGAGCAAGTTGAGCCAACCCCCAACGATCAGGTCGGCATAGTTTGCCTGGTTACCCTCGAGGTACGGCCCCGTATTGTGGACGGCGAAAAGCTGGGCCAGCGACGTGAGGCCGGCCTTGAACGCGGCTGTCAGTTGAGTTCTTGCTTCGCCTTGGATGAGAATGTCGTCCCATGAAGAGAGATGCGCGCGCTTGGCGAACAAAGCCCTTGTGGCTTCGGCGGTGGATGGGTTGAAGGGCATGGAGTGTGCGACCAACACCACGTACGCGGAGAAGGTGGCGTCGACGTGCGTGTTGAAGCGTGCGTAGGCCGCATGCTTCGCATCCTTGTGAGTTGTCAGCGGCGCCGGGAAGGATGCGTCAATGTGCGGGCTCGTGTAGTCGAGGCCCGTGCCGGTCGAGTCCTGAGGAAACAGTCTGCCGGCGCCGGAGTCTGGGAACGTGTCCTCGAGATAAGTGGCGATGTCGAACGAGTCGCCCACCACAGTGCCCGAGGAAGGGTCCTGCAGCATCGGGAGCGTGTAAAAGTCGGAGCCGTCGTCCAGCTTGCGGACTGCTGCGCACCCGAGACCCTTGCGCACGGTCTCGATATCGAGGATGTCGACCCAGTGCGTCGTGAACGGCACTCGCTTGAAGCTGAGCGCCAGTCGGGCTTTTGAAGGATTCGGCGCGTAGGACCGCGGTTGGAGCGGGGAGGAGATGTCGTAGAGCACGAGGGGGTGAGTGTCTGTCATTTTCACCTTTCGAATGAATTGAGACAGAGGTAGTAAGGTGCTGGTGTGGATTCGACAGGACGGTGTGGGTGTAGGAATAGAGCAGCAGTAAATTGTGTTTTTTATATTCTCATTCTTTACTGAGAACTTACCTACATTCTCTCCGCCAAGTGGCCTATCGTCCGCCCTTCCCCAGACTTTGTACAACAGTCACATACCCTATTTGCAGCAATGACATGACTGTCACATGCTTGTCCACCACCACATAGGCATGGCTGTCTTACCTTCCCCCCTGTCTTTCCCCATCTTTCCAATCAGACCGGCCCGGATGGTTTTTGTTTTCGAGCGCGGAATAATGTCCGTCGCATCCCGGCGACTTGGTACAATGGATTCTAGCGCGCCGTGCATCGTTTCCTTGAAACAGGGTAAAGTCTTGAAGACGGAAGTGAGATCTGAATAAGGTTCTGAGACCGAAGTGATTTCAACCCTCATATATTGGCGGCTGTCTACTGATCTTCCAAGACGCCAGTGGCTTTGGTGTGACGCGCTTGTAGCGTAGGCGCAGTTGACGCCATAGTCACGCCATAGCCAGGCGACCAAGGCCGCTAGCTGGAGGTTTTGGTTCACGATAGAGACTCGTTCAGCGATGCAAGATCTTCTTGACCAGTCCTTGAGTTCAGGGCAGGCACTCTTAGCTGAATACCTAGCCGTCTTTCTGTGTGGCTTGAAGTCTACGTGCCGATACGGTTGAATACATCTCCCGCTGGACCGGCCTTGTAGATGCTCAATGACTTCCGTTACCAGCAACAACAGCAATCCCACCCAGAGGAATGGCGCAAGAAGGGAGAACTTCGGCAAGAAGCGCATCGATACCTGCAAGTCAGACAGCAGAAGGGACTTGAATCCATCATTGCCAATGTGCATTTGTCGGCAGAGGACCCGTCCATGACCTGCCTCTCCCCTGTATATACAACATGCTGTACAGCACGTCGAACAAACATTCGCTCTCTTCCCACAGACCGTATCTACACCGTCACCATTTTGTTAAAGCTAGCGCCCCCAAAGCCTTATCGCCAATGCCATGAGACTTTTTTTCCGTTGACGCCCAATTGCAGAAAGACGGATCTCAATCATTGTGTCTTGAACAACAGTATGGCAACATGTCCCAGGTAGAAGTAGATGAAGTGTTTCGTCTCTGCCAGCCTTCGATCAGTCACACAACCCGTGGTGGTGGCGCAGCGACGATCGACGTACCGTGGGTGACAAAACTTCCGAAATTTCGGCCGACTATGCAATGCCATGTAGCGCCTTTTTTGGAATCGAACTGCAAGAAAGGTGTTAGGGATCGTGTCGATGCGCCGTCACCAGGCTGCGGGAGGGGGTTCCGGTACCTCTCGCTTAATGTGTTGAGCAATGTCCTGCGGTCCCAGTGAGCATGTTCCCTCCGGTCAAGAGTTGTTGTCCCGCAGTTTACCTTCTCGACGCTGAATTTCTCCATTGCCTCTTGTGCTGAACACCACGTCAACATCTCACTTTCCACCTCTTTGTCACGGGAGCATCTCCATACCAACTTCAATGGCCTCTTGTTGCATGTCCTCGCTCTTTAGATTCCATCAATAATCGTCCAATCAATCCGGCACGGCCGCGTCTTACCATATCGACAGATTTGATCTGGGCTTCACAATACATCAGCCGGTGGTCGGGGAGTGGGCATCTCTCGAACTCACGCTCCAATTTCACCTTCTTCTCCGGGATACCTTCGGGAGTAGCCATGGTGTTGGCGTAAATGAAATTATGCGCGAAAGACAAACAATCACTAGGAGGAAGACTGTACAGCGGAGAAAGGAGTTGATGGACAGCCTGGAGGGATGGGCGAACGTTGTGGTATGAATAGTGGGAGCCTTCTGCGGAAGACGCGCATGTGCCAGTGGTGCAAATCATCACAAACCAGGGTCATGAGGGTCGACCGACTAATCGCGCAGCTTGGCATAATTCGCGCTGCTTTTAGATAAATACCAGAATCAAGGCCGTCGACATCGTTGTCACTCCTGCCGCTAATATCGCCAACATCGTATCTTGTCATCTCCAGGAGAGAAAATTTTTAATTATGGCGGGTATCTAGCACCCGCGGCGTTCTATACAGGATCAAGCACGGGTGATAAGGACGACAAGTAGTGTGGACAGCGGCTTGAGTAGCAGTAAGCATCACTCCGCTTTGCCCTTCCCATTTGGCTTCGTCACGTTGTTTCTCTTCTGCCTCTCGCTTTCTTTCGTATTCTTAGTTCCGAAAGTACCAGTCCTGCTCCTCCAAGTCGTCACCCGATCAGGCTTCTGTTCAATGTGGAAGCTGAAGTCAACTTCGCCCACAAGACTCTTAACCATTCCTATCAGTCGCTCCAGCTCCTCGCTTACCAGACTGCTGGCAACTTGGCAAACGGCAAAGGCGGCATAGCAAGGCTCAGCAACATGTTCGATGCGTAGAACATCAGGGTCGATGATATGTAGGTCTGGGCCGAGACTGTATGGATGCGGCACTCTTAGAAAGGGTGGTAGAGGCTGAGCGTTGGTGACACTTGCAGAAAGCAGACTGAGCACGGATGTGATATCGTGTGTTGTTATGTTGAGGCTGCGCATGAAAAGGCGAAAGTTATTGATCCATGGTTTCTCGACGTCTGGATGTGTTTGAGATTCGCCCGAGAGAATGCGAGCAAGATGATGAGTTGATGGATGTGTAGACGCGGAGAACAGTGGTGACGAGGGAGAAAAGGTTCGCGTTGAATAGGATATGAGCGTCATGTAGTTGAAGATGGTTTCCATGGATGCGATGATATCGTGGTACGTTTCTTTCGGGAAGCGGCCGCCGATGGTGGGCTCCCATTCACGAGCGAGGACCTTTAGTTTCGAGATCTGAATGCCAGTCTTTGCAAACGCCTTGTTTCGTGCCTTCTCGACTCGGTAGGCCGGGCTTTTCTTGATCCGAGGATCCAAGACATCATCACGAAGGCGCATATCCACGGTACTGTGTACTGTGGCATAGTAGGTGGCCAGAAGGTAAAGCCCTGCTCCCAGGTCCCGTCGCAGTTTACCATGAGTAGTCATTGGAAACGGAAAATATGACCAAATAAATGCGACAAACGTTCCGACCAGGACAGTGGCAAGTCTGTAGGGTGCCAGAAGATAAATCGGATAATATGGCTGCCCATTCGAGGCCAGCGTTTCTTTCCCAAGGGCGGTAACTTCTAGTTCATATCCCACAATCAGTAGATTAGTGACATTGAACAGGATGGCACCGACAGAAAACTGTGGATACTTGAAGATTGCGTAGAATCCGAGGAATTCAACGATAAAGAGCACTGGAATTACTCCGCCGGCCTTGCCGTCTGCGATATACCACAAGGCAATCGAGCTGCAACCTGCTGCTATTGTTCCGACGACCCGACCCAGGAATCCGATCACTGAAGCACCTGTAGTCGGAGCCAGTGAAATGGCAACAAGGATGAGAGCCCACAGGCCACGTTGCTGAAGAAACCATGTTTGAGTGTCGTGGAGAAAGGCGATGATTGCCACAGTCATGACGGCGCAGACAGCTCTGAATCCAAATGCGGATTCCTCAGAGGCGAAGAAGTGTGACGTGCTGCGTATTCGATCGCCGATGATTTCCAGGTAGCTGGCAGCTGGCAAATGTTCAGGGTCTTTTCGCTTTTTATAGGCTTCTCCAAGATGAACTATGGTTCGAGTACCTTCACGACCCGTGATCGTGGGATCTGCTATCGAGTCCGTTGAAGTCCACATAGTTCGAATCCATTTTTTCATCCGCCTCTTTCCGGGAAGAATCAACCTTGACCCTCTTTTTGTGGCTTCCTGGGATTTTACATCCGCAAACACCACCAAGTCCAGAACACCTTTCGCGATGGACCAGGTCAGGAACTCGATGTACAAGACAAGATACATTCGCTGTTGGTTCTTTCGGCGATGTCTTAGCCCGGTGGCAGGGCTGGTGAGGGTCGGCTGCGGATCTCTTGAAAGATCTGTCATGAAAGTAACCGGTAGATCAACATTGGCTGCTTGACCCCAACCTTGTAAGGTAGTGGCGCGGGACGAGTCGAACTCGGCAATCTTCTGACTCAAAAAAGCTGCAAAATCGCCATCACCTGATCGTGGCGTTCCATTTTCTGCGTCTTCTGCCCGTTTTCTCCTCCGACCAAACCGCAATTGAATGTATACATGATCCAGCGCATTTTCCAAAGTCTCTGATAGAGAGTCGAAGGAACTTACGAGCGAATCCATCACATTCGCCCATGCAATACGCTCTGCTTGCAGGTCGTCAAAAGACAGACCCTCCGGATCATCGTCATCTTCCGCGCCAACTGCTCTGACAGCCACTTCTTTCAATATGTTAACCAACGTGGACATTCCATTCATGGGTAGCAGAATAGATTGGAGCAATTCGCGAATCTTTTTGATGTCGTACACGTCGAGGTGACCAACAGCAAACTCTGTCTTTGCATATTCCAGTTCAGTGTGCATGCGCCCGAAGGTTGCCGAGAGACCTGCGGTGCTGAGCTTCAACCGTTGCGCTTCCGGCGAGTTTGTGGTTCTGATTTCTTTCGGACTCATCCTCGCCGTAGAGACATTAGTCTCTTGCACACACGTAAAAACCAAATTTTTGCGTCGCATCCGTCGCATATATGCCCCCTGAGCTTTCAGGGAATCCTTGAGCTTGCTGACAAAGTCGTCCGTCAGCTTAAAGCATAGCTTCCGATGACTTCGGGGGAATATGAAAAACGAAACACCGACTGCGACAGCAAACCCCATAAGGAAGGCCCCAATCAAGTGTTTGATCAAGATCTCGCCCTGGGACATATTCACTATTTGCTGCGTTCTGTCAGCTCAAGCCTTTGGCTGAAATCCTGGCGTATCCTACCGTGGCGTTGATCGAAGCTACAATTACAAAAAAGCTCAAAATAGTGCCAGTAACCGAATATTGTGGACGCAACGCTCGTCCCACGTTGATGAGGTAGATGGACACGCAGAGCCAGACTGCAATTATGGCGCTAGCCGAGCCACTGTAATTGGCTTTGACTTTAGTGTTCGGCGCATTATGTTGTGCCGTGCTCTCTGAATGTTCCCTGGATTTGACTGCACAGTAGATAGACAGTAGCATGACAGCTGCAGAAAGGCAGACCCCTAAAACATTCAAGGTCATAGTCTGGACGAAGCGTGCTCTGGGTTGGGTTGCGAAAGAGAAGAAGGCCATAATGGAGACCAGATATCCGAGGCTTGTATAGATATGTGCGATCGACTTTGACTGATTCCTATTGTTTGTTCAGAGCCGTGGTCTTTGTAAGGTTACCATACTCACATTGCCGCGGCAATCACCGGTGGCAGGGCACCCCTGCTCCATGTTATTTTCGAGCCAGCAACAAGTACGACTACACCTTACTTTGCCATCATTTTCACGGTTTCTAAATCGAGACCTAGCCATTGCCATACACGCTTCCAAATTGGGGTCGACGGCTTTGGCTCTTCAGTCGAGTTGGAGTCGTCGTCGGTATCCGACCCCGACGTCGATCGAGACGAGGGATCCTCTTCATCGTCTTTAACTTGCATTGTGCTGTCACGAGGATATTAGGGGGAAAGGAAACAGGTCATTGAAACCTGTTTTCACGCTTCATGACTGAATGTTCACCTCTTCGCCGCGGTCCGAACGGTTCCGTCTGACGGGCAACCTAGTTCACCAGCTCCTGGAAGTAACGCAAGGACTGATGTCACCGCGCCGTCAGATTCTCGATAGGGCATGTCCGCCACAGATTGGCATCTGCTCATGTGCTGAAATCGAGTAGAGATTCAATGGGAAATTGTGGTAAAAATGTCTGAATTTGCTGTCAAAGATTTATGGTTTCGGAATCCCGAAGTTGCGGCGTGTCGACATCATGGGGATCACGTGCTCCTCTGTACTCGGTATCATCACCAAAGCGGTTAGGGTGACATTGCTTGGAAAAGCACAGGGCGGCGTCATCATTGGCCTAAAGTGGGTGGCTCTAATTTACCTCGCCTTAGCCTTGTTTCAGCTGCATTGACACCTACCTGCGTTGAAAGAAACATGTGGAGGGTGGTTCCGGGCTGTAGACAGGCTTGATTCGATCTTATTCTGTGGAGTACATTACACTTTACCGTATCACACCTATCTTTTGAGTGCTACGATATCCGCAAATGCTGTACTTTATTTGAGTCGTCGCAGCTGGCTGCATAGACCGAGCAAGCGATGGCTGGATCCCCATATCACTTCTGGCCTGCTTCACCATCACTGCATTGACCTACACAGGCACCGGGCATCCGAAGCTGACGGCGACAGTCCCATCAGGGCCGAACACAGCAATCAAACCCTCAATAGCGGCCCAGGTACCCATGCCGCAGCAAGCAAGGCCCAGGAGAACGTAGATCAGTGCGATGGTGCTTCTGAACCACGTCTTCTTGTAGCCTCTGATCCATCGCTTCAAGCCGTCATCGTGCCTGATGGTCTCGCGCGTGGCCGGGTTGAAGCCCTCGCCAGGGAGTTCAGCGGCCTTGTGGATGATGCTGCTCATGTACATCATGCCTGGAAAGGTGTATGTGAAATTCATCATGAAGACGGCGCCGACAAAGCTGGTGATGCCGTTGAGGTTGGGCACCGCGCCCGCAACGACAAATGCGAGGATCCAGTAGCACGGTCCCAGAAGGTACCAGAGGATCTTGCCCTTCTTCTCGACAATCGAGGGGAACTTGAAGATTGCCTGGAAAACTTCCAGATACACTGTCTTCATGCCGATGTTGAAGTACATGATGATAGCAATCCAACCGGAGAGAAGTCGGAGGACATTCCCGGCAGTCTGAAGGCCGTATGGGTTGACCACGTTCACAATATTGCTAGCCGAGTATTGGCCGTAGAAGGAGTAGACGAAGACACCGAAGAACATGTACACAAGACAAATGAAAGCCTGGGCAAGAAACATGCCTTTCCAGAAGTCGAGCGGATGTCTCATCTCCGAGAGGAAGGCGACGAAGAGGAGAGCGCCAGCGTATGCGTAGACCATGGTGTTGACAGCGTTGAACGTGGCCGCAAAACCCGGAGATTGCTGTTGGTACTGATCTGGTGGAATGCCGGCAAAGACCTTGATGGGCTCGATCGTCTGGATGAGCGTAGACTTCGTGATTGCAGGGTAGTACGGTGCGAAGTGTGAAGCAGCAACCATACTGTTGTAACGCTGGTCAGCAAGCTATGTCAACAGACGGCCGAGGAAGATGACTAACCAGATGATGAAGTTCACAATATTGAACCACACGGCAGCATTCGAAATCCATCCAATCTTCCTCAAGCTTCGGATGAATCCTCCAAGCATCCCGACAACCATGATAACCACCATCATTGCCACGAAGCAAACGCTCGAGTGAGCGATCTGCTCAATGTTTAAAGCCTTGCTGAAGATCAAGATGGCCACGGTGAAGAATTGCTGGAGCGACTGGGCAATGTTGATGAAATGTCGCATCCTCACGCCGAAGAGGCGCAAAAAGGGATCACCAAAGCTCTGCATTGGATAGCGAGATGAGTCGAGATCGAGGAAAGTTTTCCAGATTACCCAGCCGCCCCAGGCGGCGAAAATGCCGAAGATGAGGTAGAGAGCTACACCCGTGCCGTAGCCAACGCTGGCAAAGACAAACCTATATTGCGTCGTCAAGTTACGATCTGTATTCATTGAAGTCTTGAGGAGTACTCACGGTGCCCCTGACCAACCCAGAATATCAGTGGTGATGAGGAAGAACATCTGGCCCCAGCTGGCAGTTCGGAGCGCACGAGCAGCATTACGCCATTCCGCGTCTGTCACCCTTAGCGGAGAGTCAGCAGACCCGGCATTGTCAACATCAGTGACAACATCCGCCGGCTGCTTCTCGTTGAGATGAGTTAAGGTCTGAAGTCTGGTCTCCTTGTCTGCTTTGGCCTTCTTTCGGCCAGTCTTTGAAAAGACATTCTTGATCGAGTCGCGGAGGGGGGAGCCATGCTCAGCCTGGAACACTTTGTTCTCATCGATCTCCATCTCACGCTCAATCTTGGCCCAATAGACGTATTCTTCGTACGTCACGGTGCTGTCCACGCGAGCGGCGAAACCCCATGTACGCTCCATGACCTGTGGCTTCTCACTGGGCGCGACCGATGACTTACGCATCTGCTGCTCGGTCACCACATCCAGCTCTGGGGCTGGATGTGTTACGGGGGCGATATACTCCATGGTTGAAAGACAGTGGAGGGAGTGAATGAGAGGAGCGCGAAAATGAAGTAGTACGGTGTAAGGAAAGCAGGGTTGTTGAGAACCAAGGGGCTACTAATAAGTGAACACAGAACGGAGTCATCTGGTCGCATCCCTGTGTCGCTCCTCACGATGTAACATGGAATGAACACATGAGCAGACAGGCAGTTGCTATCTAGCCATTGGCAGGCGCTAGAAATTGTGCCCGCAGTGTTAGCGATATCTCATGCTCGTCTTGATAAGATGGCATCGTGCTTGGGTTGCACAAGCACGACAATAAGCTCTGCTGCGATTCGCCGGGTGTTCGATGAGGGTCCATAGGATGGGCGGCCGAGGCTTTTGCCGCTGCGATTGCGAGCAAACAAACAATATAGGCGGGGAATTGCAGCGTTTCATCGCCGGTCACCGTCCCAGCACGACACGGCTCGCGCTCAGATAGCAAGAACAGGATCTGCACTATAGACTGAATTCACCCGGACACGCCAAGCACAAATCAAGCCCGAGCGGGAAGGTGACAAGCTTTCGGAGGCGCCAAGCTTCCTTCGATTCGGCCTCCAGGTGTGTCGGAAAACTTGGCAAACCTTGGCAATGGCAAACTGATCTTAAACTCGGGGTGGGATGGCAGGAGGGTGGGAGAATGGTGTGGCCGTTGAAATGGAAGTAAGCCAGATTCCAATGGAATGCCAATCTGTTAGCCTGCTTTATCCCCCACCCACGCACGAAGGTGACACTCAGCAGCAAGAGCTACTAAATCGATACCTCCACATCCCTGCTTCAGCCTCAAGGGATCGGGAGATGCGAGAAGCTGCGATGTAACACTTCTCTGGCTGCCTTTGAGCCATCAATGCCCCAACCGGTCCAGTCTTGCATGTGAGCGTCAGTTATCCGGTATGTAGTCCTGATAGCCGTTGCCGGAGATCCCTGTTCAACGCCACTATCATAAGATAAAGAAAAGGTGGAAGCAGCGCAGTGGCTGAAGATTGGCTGGAAAGGATCGATGGCTACCTGTAGCTATCTGTTGTTGCGGTGGGCTGTCGCTGGTAGTGGAGTGAAAACGAGTTAGGAGTTAATAGAGAAGGCAACTCATTTGTATGTAAGTAGCTGTGCCAGGCCAAGCCGGCGCACCTTCCTGTCCTGCAGTGGCTACCGATGTGACGCTCCTGGAGTCTTTTGAATTATCCTTTCCGGGGCTCGATTATTGGGATCGTTCCCCTTTCTGTTTTTAGACGTGGAGACGAACTGCGACTTTTGCCCGGATGAAATACTCTGTACATACACCTGCCAACAAAAGGACAGCCTGTGCACGGTGTTGTGCGAGAAGAGCTTCTACGAAAGTGAACCTCATCTGCTCCCAAGATCCATTCTACTCGAATAGGTTTGCTGTTCTACCAAGCAATACTTACCTGACCTCCCTGGGTACGATACAAGCGCACCAGAGATTCAGGTACACACAGGGTGGCTAGATCGAGTCCGCAAGCCTATTGCTTGAAAGAGGTTGCACTTTAAGCTGTTTCTCATAAGGGGCTTTCATTTAGACATGATGCCAAAAAGCTGACGAGAACTTTGCACCCAGCCAGCAGTGTCTTGATCACAGCACCATATAAAACACACATATTTCATGTCCTGATATGGCTAGACAACTTCAGAAGCTACTCTGGGCATCACTAATACGCTGTGAGGTAGGTTCTGGTGAAGCCTGCTTCCATAATTCATGCTTTTCATGGTGTGGCTCGGGAGGTCTGCCCAAAAGAGTGCGACCTCGACCGTGTTGTAATGGCAAGCAACCTTCGATCAGGCTCAAGCACCGTGCATCAAGGTACCTATAAAGCCTGAAGGGTCTGCTCCTACCCATCTGAATCTACCATGTCCTTCGATCGAGTCACAGTGACCGCGGACTTGGTACACACCATGATTAACAATGTTTGGGTGTCGGCCATGCATGCATGAAAGAATGCGCCTTACGCGATCGAGTCCAATGTGATAATAACCAACGCGGAACGAAGGCATATCATCGGTGTCAACCTGAAAAACAAGTGGCCAACTCCGAACAGCTATTTCTCAACAGGGACAGAAAATCTAGAGCATTGCGCTGAAGAGGGAACCGCCCTTTGCGAATCGATGTTTTCGTGCCAATTCTGGGTATGTCAACCAAAGCCAGGAGCGTACGAGGAACGCAGCTTCTTAAAAGGAAGATATAAGATACACAGCGGAGATAGCTGTCGTGGAGAACGTCCATGAAGCTATTTCCGAGACGCCTTTTCGGGTTCGGGACTCGTCCCCCGAAGTCCCGGAGTTCTCGACCTCCACCTCCGAATGCGGGCCCACAGCATCGACTGCTGATCTGTCAGCTAGACACCACCCCCGTCGATAACCGCAGTTGAGCTCCAGTCCCACGGGGAGGCTTGTGACAGACCGAGGGCTGCAGCTAGTGCAAAGCTGGGGTAATGAAGGTGGTCCCGGATGTCAGGGACAGATAATGAGACTCCCACAACATGGGAGGGCAAAGCGTATACAAGCCCCAGCTATCTCAACACGGCTCAAAAATAATTCTGCTCAAGACTGCCTGTACTGCTGAAGAAAATGTCACAGCACTGCAGGCCGTTACTGCGTGTAGCTGCGTCGACGACGACACGCTCGGCCATCCGATCATATGCATCCCAGGCGGCACAGCCGGCGACGCGAAAATTGAATGTGCCCATTGATTTCGGCAAGACTCCTCTTCTGCATCATTCCCCCAAGACGTTTACACACACGTCTGGTCTACCGCAGGGCGGCTCTTCGACGAGATTGAATCTCTGCCAGGCGGTTAACGAGGGGCTGAGAACCGCTCTGAGGGAAGACAACAAGGTGCTCTGCTTCGGCGAGGATGTCGCATTCGGCGGCGTTTTTCGCTGCACACTGAACCTACAGTCAGAGTTTGGGCCAGACCGCGTCTTCAACACCCCCATCACCGAGCAAGGAATTGTGGGCGCTGCGATTGGCATGGCCGCCGAGGGCGCAAAACCGGTGGTGGAGATCCAGTTTGCCGACTATGTCTTTCCAGCCTTTGATCAGATTGTGAATGAGGCTTCCAAATTTCGCTACCGGGAGGGCTCGACCGGTGCGAACCTAGCTGGGATGGTCATCAGGATGCCCTGTGGCGGAGTGGGACATGGTGCCTTGTGAGTTTGAACCCTTGCCAATAACAGGACAAATTTTGACTTTTTGTCTTCGACGTGAGTGCTAACCCCTTCTTCCCACTTTTAGATATCATACTCAATCCCCGGAATCGTTGTTCTGCCATGTGCCCGGTTTCAAAGTCGTCGTCCCGCGATCTCCCAGTCAAGCGAAAGGGCTCCTTCTCGCATCGATTCTCGAGTCCAAAGACCCCGTGATCTTCATGGAACCTAAGATCCTGTACCGCGCCGCCGTCGAAGAAGTCCCCGATGAACTCTACACGCTTCCACTCTCGAAAGCCGAAGTAGTCAAGCCCGGTGCCGACCTGACCATCATCTCCTACGGTCGGCCTCTGTATAACTGTCTTGCGGCTATTGAGGCCGCGGAGAAGGCCTCGCCGGGCATCAGCGTTGAGCTAATCGATCTACGCACGATATACCCGTGGGACAGGAAGACGGTTCTGGAGAGCGTGGCGAAGACGGGCCGCGCCATCGTCGTCCACGAGAGTATGGTCAACTATGGCGTGGGATCGGAAATCGCGGCAACTATTCAGGAACAGGTTCTCCTGTCTCTTGAGGCGCCGGTAAAGCGACTCGGAGGTTGGACCACGCATACAGGGTTGGCCTGGGAGAAGTTTATTTTCCCTGATGTCACGAGTGAGTATCTAGGTCTATCCTTTCGTGTCTGGGTCTTGGGTCACTGACTTCAATAGGGATATATGATGCTATCCTGGAGGTTTTGGAGTACTGAATTGGTGCGGAAGACATTTTATATTTCTGGCAGACAGGGAACACCTGGAACAATCAAAAAGACTTGAATATCTGGCATAGCATGAGGTCGGAGGGCTCCTGGCGTTTTGGATCCGGGTTTAGTCTCACATGTCTATATTAGCTACAACTACCTTATTCGATGAGAATTACAGTGCTTTGATTCCGCCCTCATAGTCCTCTGCGTCGTACTCCTCTGGGTATTTCTCCATCAGCCGCTTGAGTTCCATTCTCTGAGCTTCTTGCTCCTCCGAATACTCTGCATACACGTCGTCAAAGACGGAACTCAAGCGGGGTTTCTTCTCCCTCTCAGCAGCCTTCAATTCAGTCAGAATGTCCTTTCGTATTTGATCTCTGGTCTCCTTGTCCATGTCGTCATTCCAAAGACCCTTGTTCTCGAGCCACTTCTTGAGTCGGACGATCGGATTATCCCGGGTCTTCCACGGGTTTACTTCATCGTGTGTTCGATAGGCAAAGCTGTCGTCGCTGGTGCTGTGGTGGGAAATGCGATAACTCATCATCTCCAGGAGGATGGGACGTCCACCGTTCTGAAGAGCGCGGCGTCGTGCTTCTTTCGTCGCTTCATAGACCGCAAAGATATCTGTACCATCTACTCGTAACGTTTCAATGCCGTAGCCGATCCCACGGCTTGCGATGCCGTCGCCACGATACTGCTCCGTTGTCGGCGTCGAGATTGCGAATCCATTGTTACGGCAAATGAAAATGACCGGGCAGTCTCGAACGGCAGCTAGATTCAGAGCCCCGTGGAAATCCCCTTCGCTTGCTGCGCCGTCTCCGAAATATGCAACCGCGACTCTTGGTGACTTGTTGCCGGTCTCTCGATCTGCAAGTTTCAAGGCATATGCAGCTCCGGTGGCGTGGGGGATTTGAGTCCCTAGAGTCGATGCAACAGCATGCTGCCCAGATCAATATCGATCAGCGACATCAACTCCACTTCCTCCATAAGCGCTCACTTGTATTAACGCACCGAGAACTTACCACTCCTGTTTTCAATCTCCCACTGTAGTGGCAGGGCATATTTCGGCCTTTCCCAGGATCGTTCTTGTTATGCACCAATTGGCTCAAGAAGTCCTTAAGCGTGTAGCCACGCTGCTTGAACACCCCCGTTTCTCGGTACTGGCACGTAATCACATCGTCCGGACCTAGTGCTGCTGCTGATCCTACCATGATTCCCTCTTCGCCCGCCGAGACCTGCAAGGGTGGTGTATGAGCAGCCTGTTTTTCTTGGGAGCAGTCCTTCCGCGACATACCATGTAAAAGCTCAGTCGTCCCTGTCTTTGGGCTTCAGACATGATAGTATCCAAGATATTGACTATATCCTCGGACGAGTTCTCAGCATGCTGTCATCAGATCCTGATTGACCAGGGACAAAGGTACCAGTCAACATGTTCCTGTACCACTCAAGGACCTGCTCGTCTGTCACGTCTGGAGGCGCACGAGTGTCGTCCTGGACTCTTCCTTCCTGGTTCATGACTCGGTAGGTGGCGATAGGTGGTAAGGATTTCGGCACCAAAAAGTCCATTTTGGTACTGAGGGGACTGCCGGTCGCACCTGGGAAGCGAGGACTGTAGCCAGCTGCTTGTCAAAACCGTCCAGACGACATATTTGAGCACTTTTGGGTGCGAGTACTAACGAGGTAGAGATCTCCCCAAGCGTCACTGTTGAATTCCATCTTGCAAAGACTCTGGCCGAGGCACGTCGACTGGTGGACGATATGTTCACGCTCCCTGCAGTTCGAAGCCACATGTTTGGCAGTGGCCCTCTCATCTAGAACTAATGCTCAGAGTTCCATTGAAGTCGGGATGAATATCAGCTCTGATACTTAGCAAGTTTACCATCCGGCGCACAGGCACCCGCTGAGGGTGGGGCGGTTATCATCGGCAACAACCTGCATCGGCCGCCCCTGGCTATTCGATAGCTCCCGCTCTAGTCGTTATCCCCCGCTCTTAGTCTTTATCCCCCGCCGGCTCGAAGCATAATCAGACGATGAGTGAAGCTCCGAATTTGGCGAAGGAGTCGTATTGGCCCGGGGAGAGAAACATGACTCCGGAGGACCATCTCTAACTTCCCTCCTTCATACAGAGCTCAGTCAGCCCGGCCTCAGTTTTCCGGTCGGTTTAGTCTCCTAACACCGATCTCGGTGACCAAGACTTGAATTTAATTGTCGGAAATTGACTAGGACAACCGAAATGCGAAGTCCCAATGTCGCCGCAAGGAACCGCAGACAGCCGCACGCGCGGCGCCTTCTCACTGAGGTCCATGGCAGAGCAGCCGAGGAGGCACAAGTCATATTACAATTGCTGTTGTGGCCGCCAACGCCAACTGATCTGAGGACCTTTCAGGGTTGAAGCTGCACAAATATGAACCGGGTGCTGGTCAGAGACTTGCTGCGTCGAACTCACCAGTTTTCAGTGGCAGCACACTATTCAAATCGACAAGCCTTCCACAGTTCGCCATCATGGTGTGTCGTCAGGCCATATCTCCTCGCAGACATTGGAGAAGGTAGAATCACGACGATATTCCAAGCGGCTTCAAACAGCCGGATAACGAAAACACAGGAATCACAGAGTGCCAAATCGTCAGTTGGTCGGTAAAACCGGGAGACCACGTCGCACAATTCGACCCCATATGCGAAGTCCAGTCAGATAAAGCTACTGTAGAGGTGCCTAATGTCCTCCCTCCTCATTCCTCAGCAAAATTCTCACAGGTCGGGGCGAACAGATAACCTCGAGATTCGATGGCGTGGTCAAAGCCCTCCATTATGAGCAGGATGAAGTTGCCATCGTCGGAAAGGTGCGTTGCGATGTCCTGAGAACCAGTTTGTTGCCTAACCTGATGTGAAGCCACTGTTGGATATGGATATTGCAGACGAGACAACTGGGGATCCGGTCCTTGCGAACGTCCCTGCAGAGCAGGGCCCTTCCGAGAGTGGACCTGAGTCAGTCAAGGGAATCTTTGGAGGACAAATTGAACAATCGCCGTCACCACTTGAACGGCATTCTGAGACACAGGCTTCGTCGTCGATCGTGTCCACGCCCCAAATGAAAGAAAATCTTCCTGCCAAATCTTCCGCACTCCTCACCCCTGCTGTGCGACATCTGCTCAAACAAGCAGGAATCGATGTGAACGATGTCCAGGGGACTGGTAAAGATGGACGCATTACAAAAGACGACGTCCAACGATATATCCAGACAAAATCGAATACTGGCGAATCCCAACCACCGCCTGCCGCTCACTCCAATGATGCGTTGACACAACATGTGAAAGAAGACCAGGTCATGCCATTGAACCCCACCGAGAAACACATGTTCAAAGTCATGACCCATTCTCTTACGATCCCTCACTTCCTCTATACGCACAGCGTGGACGTCACATCAATCAACCTTCTCCGGCGAAAGTTCAACACGAGCCCGAGTCTCTCAGCTACGCTCTCCACAGGAGGCACGCCTGTGTCGAAGCTGACGATCCTCCCATTCATCATGAAGGCACTGTCGCAAGCCTTTTCACAATTTCCGAAACTCAACGCCCATCTCGACATCGCCAGTCATCCGGCACACCCGCAACTGATTCTGAAATCCTCTTGCAATTTCGGCATTGCGATAGATACCCCACAGGGACTGCTAGTCCCTGTGGTCAAGGACGTACAGAAACACTCCATCATCTCCCTCGCCACTGAAATCAAGCGGTTGAGCGATCTCGCACAGGCGGGACGTCTTGCGCCAGAAGACTTCAAGGGTGCCACTTTCACCATCAGCAATATTGGGAGTATCGGTGGGAGCGCTGTGTCTCCAGTGATTGTGGCTCCGATGGTTGGGATCCTGGGGGTGGGTAGAGCTCAAGATGTCCCGGTTTTCACAACTGACAAGCACGGCGGTGAACATATTGTCAAGCAAGAGCAGGTGGTGCTGAGCTGGAGTGCGGATCATAGGGTCCTTGACGGCGCAACTGTCGCCAAAGCCGCTGAGGTTGTGGGCACCCTGATACAAAATGCCGAGAGTCTGGGACTGGCGTTGCGATGAAGATAATTTAATTTACCAAGGAGATATCTGATATAGAACAACCAAGCACGATGTCAGGAATAGAGACCCTACTTGTCAGACTCCGGGTCATCCTATGGGAGATGCCAACATTCCGCAAAGAAAGGTAAACGACTTTGACTCTATTGTGGTAGCGTATTGGCTTGAGCTCTGCAGGATCTTGGTCTTCTGATACGAAAGAATTACCACTTCTCCCACGGCAGTTTCTCCCAGCGGACTACCGCCGGCAACTCACCACTTGGTCAGATTCTGAATAGAGCCAATGTATCCGTGAATCCGGAGATGGTACTCATAGTTTTCATAACCAAGGCCTTCCCGTCCCGGACAATCAAATTTTGCGTGCCCACGGTGTTCAAGTTATACACACCGATGTTCGAGAGGCTCCCTTCGAGCGAGAAGATGGCCGGCTGGCACGAACTGGTAATCAAACAAGCCTGGCCGTAGTCGCTGAAAAAGCTATACAGCCCCGCCCCATAGGTGAGGATCGAGCTCGAGTTGAGGATACGCAAAGCATACGCGGAGCAGTTGCTCGAGGGAAAGGTGGTTGAATTGCAAATCGCGGCGTAATTCGGATCTCTGAGTGCAGGATTCACGGGGAAGGGCAAATAGGCGGGCGGATTGGGCTGATAGTACGCCGTCTCGGTCTGTATTAAGCCCCTGCCTCAGAGTTAGCCTCGATGCCTGCATTGGGATGGAAAAATGGTAGTATAAGGGACCTCTAGCCAACACAAGCCTAGACCTTGAGGGAGACTTACATAAAAACATTCTGCGTATTGGCAAATTGGTATTGATACAGCGTGTGGTGCTCGGACGCTGTGCCCACGAGCCAAAAATTTCCTAACGAGCTTTCGTCGTAGAGTCCTCGACCTGCGTAAATTGTGATTTGCCTCTGTCCTGGGTCATCTAGGTCGTGGTCGGCCACCCACAGCCACACATTCTCCAGATACAATCCAGATGAGGACTTTGTCAAGTGCATCGTCATGTATGCCGCGATGCAATTGGTGTTGATGGGTGTAGGGGGTGTGCGATTCTGCGGCGTCTTCGGGCACTGCTTGAGGCTTAGATCTGAGCCGGCAAAGCCTCCGATCCGTGCGTGGACATCCCACATTCCCGAGGGCGAATTGGACGGGGAAGCGAGATTGTATTCCATGAGAATGGCCCCAGGCGCAGATGCCTGTGTGCTGACAACTAGGTCCGACAGCTCGACAGATCCCTTCTCGCCAGGCTGGCCGATTCGCAAGACGGGGAATGGTTGGTTCATGTTTGCGAACCAACCCCCGCTTCCCATGATGACAGAATAGGACTCGCCAACTATTCTAGCACCCGCAGGGATGTAGACAGTCGCCGACACCTTATACGTACCGTGGTCGATAAAGAGGATCTTGCGGGAAAATGCCGAGGCAAGGATGGCAGCTTGTAGAGCTGCCGTGTCATCTGTCACACCGTCACCTCGACATCCGATAGATCTTGCACTGACGAATTGAGACAAGGGAAAAGTCTCGTATTGGGGCTTGGATCGCACGTAGTACTTGTCGCCGCTCATCAGAGAAGCTGGCCTGGTGTTCGGACTGACGGGTCCTTGGAGCTTCTTGACCCCCGTGGACGTATATGTATTACCCTCTCGCCAGCCAGCAATGGCCAGGGTAGTGGAGCCTTTTGTACCAGAAAGAATTGGTCCGCTTAATCCCTGGACAGCAACGTCAACCTTCTTGAGTTTGATGTTCTCTAAAACCAAGCTCCCTTCTGCGGGTTTTTGAGGATGGGTGTTGTAAGAGGTACGTATGCCTACACGCGTGTCCGTAATGCTGGAATCGAGGAGGGTTACTGAACCGACGCCTTGATCTATTTTTCGCGGACCTCCCCAAGACATGTCGATACCTATTGAACAATTGATGATGTTTATATCCTGATATGTCCAGCTCCAGTCCCAAGTATTATTGATGGCAGTCCCTGCATTATAAAATGTGAGATTTCTCATGGTGAACTGCTGATTGCCGATCGCAGCAGCTTGACGACCTCCATGGAACACTAGGTCGCCGAGAAAGCCACCCGATCCCTCGGGGATGTACAAGCCTGTTTGTCGAGTACCATGCGCATCGCTCATTAAAAATCTCAGGTTTTGAAGGCTTGTGGATTGGGAAGCGGTCCATTTAAGGCCTGTCACTTCCTTAGCTGGGGCAATCAGGGTCATGTCAATGTTTAGATTGCGAATCTGGCGCCAGAAAACGTTGGTGGCATTGTACCTGTTATTGAAGTTTGTGTCGATCAGAGTACTGTCGGTAAAATTTCGACTTGCGCGCAGAGTAGGCATGCAGTTAGGGTTGCCGATGAGCTGAGTGTAGTAATAATCACTGATCGAGGACGATATCATGTACGTGCCCGCGGGGAAGTAGACGACAGCCGGTGTGGTCGTAGAAGATTTGCAACTTTCTGGATCACATCTGTCCCCGCTCTTTATCGCCAGGTTAATGGATGCGGTCTCATCGGTCACGCCGTCGCCCTTGGCGCCATAGTCTTTGACATTCCGAAAGACATGATAGCTGCTCGAATGCGGATTGAACGCTGCGATACCTTGGTGAGGGATGTCCTCAAGCCAGTAAGGGCAGGCGTTAGTCGGATTTGAGCTGGGTGAGACTATATCTTCAATGCTGATCGGATTCAAGGGGCTCTGTGCATATTGGTCCTGGGAGGCAGAGGACACCGAGATGTAAAGTGAGCATAGCACTAGAATGAGGTAAGAGGCCATCTTTAGAGGCGACAACAGAAGTGCTTGCTTGAGGCGATGTATGTGGTCATAAAGAAACGACAATGGCCTTGCGGGCCCTTTTCTGTAATAGGGTTTCTATACTTCTCTCCCGCCCTGGGGTCTGGGGATCAGCCGCACGCGGGGAAGTGCAATAGTGCTACCATCTCCAGCTTTTAGCGACATGCCAATAAAACTTACACGGCTAGTGCTAGTATCAATCCCTGTTGGGAGTAAACGCTCTAGCTGTGCGGACCAGTGAGGAGAAGAACGGGATTGCCTTGATGGACATGGGGCCTAGACTGGAATCGTCAACAGATTGGGAAGACACAGCCTAGTGGCCGGCAGTGTCGAGGCTGAAGACGAGCTGAGCACAGTCAGCCAGCCTTCTTCCGTGGCGCTCACCTAGAACAAGGTCTTTTTCTGCTTCTGGTCATCCGATCAGCACGCTCGAAATTCACTTGGGCACTGAAACCAGTTGACTTGTGGTCGAGAAGACGTTCCGGCCCTCGGCGCTGGGAGGCAGTGTGATAGTATAGAGCCAGGAACTCCATTCATCACCGATCGATATCCTTCCACTACCCTCGTTGGGTGATCTTAGGTACATGTTACAGAACCGAATAAGTGCCACGGCCGTCAACCGAGAAGGAGTAATGAGAGCAATCTGGGCCAGGTGAGAAGCACTTCCACGAAAGGATCAGCGAGTCAGTACGGCGGACTATGAAGACATTCGTGTAGCTTTCCTTCCATTTCATTTGGTGAACAACAGAAAAGGAAGACCGATTTTGCTTCCTTTCGCATCCTGAAATCCCATGCTGCCATGTGTCCTCTCAGCTCTGTTTGTCATTCAAGTTGGTGCTCGTGGCGCCGACTAGCTAGCACCTGTCCACCTCTGTAGCAGGATGAGCGTTGATCTGCCCAAGCTAAGTCTAAAGCGTTACGCCACTGGGGCCTCGAACAGTCTGAGTGTTGGCGGCTAGCTGGACAGGTGCGCACCGAAGCATTGTCCGCTAGTGGCCCAGATACATTCCGGGAGCACGACGTGGTGACGCAAATAGTTATTGACCGTGCTCACAGCCCTATTTTTCACAATTCACGAGCAGACCAGGTTCTGCGCCACGCATTTAACCCCATTTCCGAGCTCACCATGTACGTCCAACCGGAACCGATGCGGGCCAAGTGGAGCATCAATCCCTGACATTCAGCCTGGCTGACAGCCACCGTCCTCCTCCGGCTTCTGTTTAAGACTCGACTATAGCCGGCTCCAGATGTGCTATCCCTCGACTCCTTGTTCGTCAAGGAGCCATTGAGACTGAGGGCCACATTTTAAAAGAGACCTCGAGCGATAGCTCCAATTCTCTCATCCGAATGGAGCCCTTTGGACTGCAAGACGGCGCGCGTTCCATCTCAGAATGAAAAATTTGATCCCACCCTGGACCAGAAGATGAATTGTGACGAACTTCAAGCCTAAAATGGCAAGATCCTCAAGTTCACTACGGAGAAACTTGGTGACTAGCCGCTCCTAGAGCATGCTGAAGATATTCGAAGCACACCGCCAGCAATTTCCATTCCATATCTGACCAGTCCTAAGGTGGAGGGAGCTTCGCTATGCTTATGAGACAGAGCTCTATCCATATCGCATCTTACCGAACAAAGCGCATGATGTAGTGGTGCGAAAGGCTCACCCCTCCTTCGTTGGCCCTGACCGGTCAGCAACACCCGATTTTGGTTGGTAGATATATTTGCTAGGACGAGTTGCAGCAGCTTAGAGAAGTTCGCACGTGCACGTTTCAAACCGCTCAGGCTCTCGGGTACCATTCAAACTGCCTCGTTCAACCTGTTCTCTTCTTCGTCTGCTTCAGTGGAAGCTTGGGCCCGAGACGTACTCGACAGAGGCTATCAGCAGCAGTTAACAAAGCGAGGCGGCGAATTGATCTGACTTTACCAGCTTGGAGATAGCAGCGTGCTACATGGCATCATGAGTCATACTAACAGCAATGTTTTTGCATCTCTTCCACTGGGCGAGCACGATATTCGCCTGTTAAATATCATTTCGGATTACGACTCAGAGCTGATTCACTGTGAGCTTCACAACGAGTGTCTTGATTTAAAGGCACCGAAGAGCAGATTACCACACTACAATGCCTTATCCTACATGTGGGGCAGCGCTGAATGTGAGAAAACCACTTACATTAACGGATTACGGCTCAAGATTCGTATGAATCTTTGGGAATTTCTACGCCGTTACCAATATGACAATATCAGCACACCCATCTGGATCGATGCGCTCTGCATCGACCAGGGCTCCATCGAGGAGCGTAATCATCAAGTCCAGAGGATGGGCATCATATACAAGCATGCCAGAAGGGTCCTGGTATGGCTTGGTGCAGAGAAGCTCTGTAATCCTCTGGCTCTGGAAGTGCCGTCCGAACTTAAAAACAGGAGGAAACCCAGCCCTAAACGAGCGAGGCGCAGGCGTAGCACATGGATTCCCGCCTGGCGAATGCCGATGGACATCCCTGAGTTGCAGGAGATTCGCATTTCTCCACTAAGTGTGGAAGCAAACGACAGCGACTGGGAACCTTATCGGCAAACGATCCGTCGCGTGGCGCACTGTAATACTGGTCTCGATCACGGATCATTCAAGAGATTCTCCTCGGGCATGAGGTTGTGATTCTGTGGGAAAGAGCTCGGACGACCTGGGAAACACTCAAGAAGCTCGTCGAAACCTGTCGCCGCTATAATCAGTTACTCAGTGGATTCGAGGCGGGTCACATGGCACGTCTCTTGAAAGGCCACATGCCTTCCGCAACCCTTGAGGATCTCCTCTTCGTCTACGACAACTCAGCTTGTTCTGATTTTCATGACCGAATTTGTTCTCTCTTAGCACTTGCTTCAGAATAAGCCAGCGTGACAGCGTTGGCAGTGGATTACAGCATAGATCGCCCAGCTTTTTTTCTCCGAGTGCTTGACTATTGCAACTCTCACACCGGGTTCAACCTTGGTTTTCAATTGATGCGCATGCTCAATCTAGGCGTGCATCATTTCGCAGGTCTATGCCCTGTGGTCGCGGCGAGACTTCCATTCAGGAGGAGCTACTTACAAGAAGTCTATGGCATTCACTGGCTGTACTTGGGTGACGAGTTCTCTCCCCCGAGGGACTTGATATCGTTTCTACATGGAAAAAGAAATTACCACGTGTTTGAACTTCCCGAGTTGTACAATCGCAGACACTACTGGCGAAGTGCCTTCATGCTTCTGCGGCCCATACTTGGCAGGCGCGAGGAGCTCGAGGTTGCTGGATTAGCTATGTACGCAAGGATTCCGGCCACCCATTTGTCTTCTCCTTTCTTGGAATACAGGTTCTCGTACACTCTGACAATCCAACCCGCTGGATCAGAATCATCTCAAGCTACCGTGGGGGTCGTTAATCTATGCGACGATGAGGTTTTTCTTGTGGCGAACGCTTATTTATACGCCGTTCTTATCTGGGAGCTTGGGAATCCATCCAAGTCAAGAGCCTCAGAAGACCGAGATCAGAACGTGGATATAGGCGACATGGTCCCTGAATGAGATCAAAATGGGGCGCGATCCAAGCTGAGTGCTAGTGGGATACGAGCAGTAACAGAATGTCAAACTCAGGCTCACGGGCATCACCGATGCGCACCTCGATATGGGTTGGGGCATGGTGGACGAAGAGAAAGCCCTGCGCAGATGATTCCAGGCTTACGCCACTCTATGACAACTGATCTCTTCTGCAACTTGAGTTCGATACCACCTTCATCCTATCTTTCTTTTGTTCATAGAAGGCATCTCCCACATGGACGTGGGACACATACAATTCGTCTCACAATCGAGAGCTCTTGCACGGACGCCCGTCTTCCTTCGTGCCTCTCCCTCCGTCCTCTCAGGCTGAGCGTCAAGCCCTTGTTGACTATAACTATTGAAACACAGATAAGAGATATTGTTATTATTGTAACTAATTGCTCGTGTCCTATTCTTCTTGGATCTTACCACATCGGTAGCCTTACAGATATTGGTGTTAGCAATTTGTAGAAGGAGGGCCTGGTCAAGGCGGAGGAATTTGAGAGTCAATAATCATTTGACTCGCAGATGTACGGAACCTGTCTCGAAGTTAAACTTAGTTTCAAAGACGCAAGTTCATCCGGCAGATTCTGTTATCCTTCCTCGGTACATATCTCGGCCGCCGATACCGAGCATCCATCATTAGCACCAGAACTCTCAGCTTGCCGTCGAGGTGCCGTTAATTGCTGGGGGACCAAGGTACCACGGTCCACCGGTACCATCTCTGTTGTATTGTTGAATATCGTCACCGATCACCTGGAAGAGCACGATCAATAAAACGCCTTTGCTCTCGGTCTGGACGGCCGTATTGCAGAGATGAGTGGAGGAGATTGCGGACACGTTCTGCTGAGTGTCTGAGTCGAAGACGACGAAGTGGTCTGTCGAACTGGTGATTGTGTCCTCTGGTGCTGTTCCATTTGGACCTGCAAAAAGGATGTTGGAGCCTTGCACAGTCCCATCAACTGATTGGTATACCAGATAATTCGTATAACTGAGAGTAGAAGATGGATGGACGTCGGTGATACTGACCCCAGGCGCCAGTGTCCACTTGCCGACTGGGTGTTCAGCCGTAGGTATGTTACTGGCACTGAAGTTGTTGTCTTTCCACCACATGTTGATGGTATGATTTTGATTGACGAAGAAAACATATTCAGCTAAAACAAAGACACAAGGTTAGCCTTTGGAGACTTGCGAACTACGTCGAACGGTAGGAGCGGTCGACCTACTCGTCCCTGATTCCCACGTCTGACACCCAATTCCAGCATGGCCGTCGAGGTTGTCCCATGCGTGATCTGTAACTTCGCTCCATTGCGAAGACTGATTGGTCCAGTCAAACTGCCTGAAGCTCGAATTCGTGTCCGCGAACCATCTGCGTCTGGTTAAAAACACGTTATAGGGATGGCATGACAATATACCTACAAATGCAGCCCTGTCTGTGGAGCGTCGGCAGGGTTTGTCCCATTCAGACCGTCCGTGTAAGTATCAGTCGCATCACCATAAAAATTACCCCAATAGCACACCTGCATTCCGATGGTATCGGCATGGTTGACTTCTAGGCCGAGCTCATCAAGAGGTCCTGATGTCCAACTGAGAATATAGCCTGAAGTATTCGTCGCTATTCGTTGACGCATAATATAGTTCTCATCCACGTAGAACAGGTGCCACGTAGCAACTGTATCATTGACGTATGCAGCCGTCGCCAATGGCGTCCCATTTAACGCCCGTGGAGCGTCTTCATTGACTGGATAGAGGGTTGTCCAGCTACCTTCGCCGCTTGCTGGATCGCTCTTCTCGAATTGGATAGTACCGGTGAAGTCTTGATAAAACACAAAGATACTCGCGTCTACGCCGGGATTGGCCGCGGCAATTGCAATGCCAGTACCATTGAATGCTCCGTCCTTGGACGCGTAAATGGGGCTCAACTCGGGGCCGATGGCGTAGTTCGGGTCACCAGTAGGCTGTGGAATACTGCTTGTAGTAGAGGCCGTACTAGAGGTGTGATTGGATGGAGGTAGCGGGAAAGGTGAGGTCGCAGGTGCCGGACTTGAATGTTTTTTGGTGCCATATACAACACCGCAAGGGACGGCAATAGCTATGGCAACAATGAGGATCAGAGCCACTATGATCCACGGCCACTTTTTGTAGATTGGCTTGTCCTTGGACGCTCGGTCGAAGTGAGCTGGGTTGGAGTTCGCCGGCGGAATGGTAGAATGACCCTGGGAATAGGGCGGATAGTATGCAACGGGCTCAATATATCTTTCTTTCTCGACTGGTGAGTGAGCTCGTTCAGGAGCTGGAGAGACAACTTCCGAATATCGGTTTGCGGTGGACGGCGACTGTGGTTGCGAACTGAGGGATTGGAGTCCGAGGGTGGCCGACGTGCGGTCTGAGGCAAGTTGAGTGTCGGAAGGTTGTGGTGATGCCGAGAGATCATTCTGGTCAAGGCCCGGGCCGTATGGCTGATAGTGCTCGAGATCCGCAGTTCCAAGAGTGTGGAAGTCTGCCTGATGAGGCATCACATGTTGAAATTCGGGGTTCGAAGGTGGATTGGACATGGTGAGGTGACAAGTTCAGCGTTCCAGAGAACCGTCAAGGACTCAAGGCCACAGATATCAATCGCGACCCTGGAGGATGAGTGCCTGCGGAGGACTGAGGCTGTGCGAACAGCCAGATCAGGGCCAGTCTCGAGTTTCATGGTCGATTCCCTCACCACGTGGTTTGTCGGTCTGCAGGACCTCGCCAGGGAGTTGCCAGAACAGGGGCGAGCGAAGTTCAACCCGCAGGCGAGGCCGATTACTGCGAATGAGGTGAAATCTCGCTAAAAGGTCAGCCTCATATGCAGGGTGGCCTGGAATGAGGAGAAAGATATTTGCAAGGTGCCGGAATCGCGAAGCGAGTGGAATAGAACTCCAGAAAGTAGCATTGCGGGTCCATCAGCCGTAGGTAGTCGCTCGCACTGTCTTTCCGCTGGAAGCTCTTGCCGCTCCCGTACCGCCCTCGCATCATTGCTTTTTCCAGCCTTACCACTGCAACGAGTAGGTCGGGATGTCGTGAGGCTGGACTTGGTGCTGTTCTACCGGACCGGTCTTCATGTGAGCAATGTATGGAGTTTGTTCCCAGAACATCGACCTGGTACGATGTGCTCGAGCATTCCAGCAGCCCTCTATGAGGTGTCAGGGTTGAAGGACCCCTACCCTTGTGGGAATGGACGTTGGGTGGTTGCATGGGTATGAGGCTGAGGTGGAGTGGCCTCGACTGCGACTTGCCCCGGGCTAAATCTTTTTGGTGGAAATGAGGGGATAGTTGCGCACCAAGCACAGTGGATCGGCGGAGCAGTGGCGCTGTAGTCACATATCGTCGCAAGACGAGTTGGGGGCTGTCTTGCTTAGTACTGTAGCAATAGCTAGGTCTACCTGGTACGAGGAACAGAGTGAGGAGGATAGGGTCGCATGATCTAAACCGGAAGTAGGCTAGCGTGGTTTCGCAGCGCTTTTCGAATTCCCGCCATGCACGTGCCATGCCACGTTAATTTTTTCGACCCTGGCACGCCTGGCGTTGCCCGTCTCCAACTATTTCTTTCCGTGCAAAAACATCTGCTGCCCCCAAGATCCCTGCGTTACCGTTGGTGACGATGACTACGACTGTCACAATGACAGGCTCCGAGCCTGAAGACTCCTCGATCACTCGAGTCTATGTCTCGGGTTTGCCGCCGTCTATGAGCAAGGAGCAACTGTGGTCACATTTCGCAGGAAAGTATACGGTCACAGATGCTCATGTTATCCCAGACCGCCGCATAGGCTTCGTGGGATTTGCGAGTCATGAGCAGGCTAAAAGTGCAGTCCAGTACTTCAACAGGACTTTCGTTCGCATGTCAAAGATCTCCGTAACCCTTGCCAAACCTGTACAGGTCAAGCGCAATGAAAAAGGCCAGGCCGTTCCTGTCTCCGACCGTGCTTCGAGAAAAAGAAAGCGTGACCCCCGAGACGATGGCGAAGCATCTCAGCACCCCTCAGTAGGACAATCTCGGAGACCTGCCAGCGGTGTTCCACCAGACATGAAAACTACCACGGAAGCAGTTTCTAAAGAGAAGGACGGTTCCTCGGATGAGACTGCTCCGGAGCAGGAGCAAGAAGAAGCCATCGCAGAAGAAGCTCCCAGATCTGATGCTGACTGGCTTCGTGGAAAAACAAGCAGAACATTGGGTTTGCTCGAGGAAGATGAAGATGCGAAAGCCCGCCTGGGCCCTGCAGGCAATGACGGGCTAAGATCGAATGCATCAGAACCAGTGGAAGATGTCAAGGCCAGCCAGGATACAGCAGAGGCAGGAGATGCTGAAGATGCAGACAATCGGACGCAGCCGTTAGTGCCAAACGCTCGACTGTTCATCAGGAATCTTCCGTTCGACACCCACGAAGACGATCTCCGGAAAGTCTTTTCGCCATATGGCAGAATTTCAGAAGTAAGCTGATACCATTCTCCTACTTCCGTTCACTATGCCTTTGTGATGATTTCCTGATAGGGACAGCTTATGCCTTGCATATGATTCGAACCGGGAAAGAGTATTTTAGTAGATGCTTCTCACTTCTGATTCCATCCCTTTCCAATTCTGCTCTTTTAGCCGGTTAGTGCCTCCGCTGACGCTTGGACAGATTCATTTAGTGACCGACACCAGGAAATCCACCGGGAAAGGTCTTGGGTATGTTCAGTTTGTGGAGCCGGAGCATGCAGAGCAGGCTCTTCTTGAACTCGATGGAAAGGACTTCAAGGGCAGACTGATGCACATTCTCCCGTCTTCGGACAAGAAGATACAAAAGCTCACTGAATTTGAAATCTCGCAGCTGCCTCTAAAGCAGCAAAGAGCGCTGAAACGGAAAAATGATGCCTCCAGTTCGACTTTCAGCTGGAACTCACTCTATATGAACCCAGCTGCTGTCCTGGCGTCGGTGGCCGACCGCCTAAAAGTCTCCAAGTCGGACTTGCTTGATCCTGCTTCAACCGACGCAGCCGTAAAGCAAGCTCATGCAGAGACAAGCGTGATCAAGGAGACAAAGGACTACTTGAAGTCTAATGGATTGAATCTTGATGCTTTCAAAAATAAAGCCCGCGATAGCCAAACGCTTTTGCTGAAGAACTTTTCTTTCGGGACCACTGCAGAAGAACTCTCGCAAATGCTTGGTCAGTACGGTACAATAGAGTCCCTGCTCTTTCCTCCAACTGGCACCATGGCTGTCGTTCGGTACCGGGAAAGCAGCCAAGCAGCTTTAGCACTTAAGCAATTGGCGTATCGGAATTTGAGGGGTTCTATACTGTTTCTTGAGAAAGCGCCGGCAGGTCTCTGGGACGGTACAGAGCCTAAAACAAGCACCGACTCATCGAATCTTGCTGGGGATGATGCGAACAGTGGCGCTCTGGGTACCACATTCACGGTATTTGTGCGCAACCTGAATTTCTCAACAACGAGCGTCAGATTGGCTGAAGCATTTAAACCGCTTTCGGGCTTTCTCTCTGCGAAGGTGAAAACAAGGACTGATCCCAGCCGGCCGGGCGAGGTGCTCAGCATGGGCTTTGGTTTTGTCGAGTTCCGCACCAAGGTCCAAGCAGAAGCTGCCATCGCCACAATGAATGGCAAGCGACTGGACGGGTACGAGCTCCTGGTGCAGACGTCGCAAAAGTCCACTGATCTGGGAGAGGAGAGACGGAAGGAGGATACGGCAAAAAAGGTCGACTCCACAAGGACGAAGATCGTCATCAAAAACCTCCCCTTCGAAGCCACCAAGAAGGATGTTCGTGCTCTGTTTGGTGCATACGGTCAGCTGCGCACTGTCCGGATGCCCAAGAAATTCAACAATACAGCCAGAGGTTTTGCCTTTGCTGAATTTCTTACGGCCAAAGAAGCAGAAAATGCCATTGAGGCTCTGTCTAATACCCACTTGCTTGGTCGGAGGCTTGTTCTGGACTTTGCAGAAGGCGAAATCCTCGACCCAGAAGCCGAGATTCAAGCAATGGAGAAGAAGATCCAGGGCCACCAAGATACGTTGACTCACCACAGGATGACAGGTTCAGCCCGGAAGAAGTTCAACGTTGGTGCAAGAGAAGATTTCGATCCTCTTTGATTGATCGGCCTTCAAGGGATCAGCGTCTGCCCCTTGCAGAGGACTCTCCCTCACCCTTTTAACCCTCGAAGTCATCCATATATTCAGCTTCAATCAACCCAAATTTGAATGCCAAACCCTTTGTTTTTTCTCAATAATAGTCTCAGACACTGCTCACCACCATAATGACCAGAAAGCGAATTCCGTCGAAGGGACACCGGCTGTTTTGCAGACCGGTGCCGCATAATATCATTCCAAAGGTAGATTGGCCACCATCTCAACCAATCTCTAATTCGTCTGGCCAACATCCGTGCGCAGTCTTCCCTTTCCATGATCGCCTTGAATTCGCCTCCTGGCCATTGACTTTGACCATCGAAGCGTCGAGATCGAGGTTGTTTTCCCCCTGTTGGCTTACCTCATTAGGAAGTTGCCTGCCCCTTGCTTTGATCTTTTCGCACCTGAGCCTGTGCAGCAAGGACGGCAAAGGGAAGTTTACGTTGGTGAAATTACCTGTCTTGCTTAGCCTCGACTCTTTGGACCAGTGGAGCATCGAATATCCGCGGGGGTTCGACGTCTATCTGTTCGACCGATCATTCGAAGGGTTGTGGCTGGCAGGTCTGGCTAAAGACATGGGAGGAGAAGTTAGATTGCACGAGCACTTCTCGTGGCACAGCGATTGCTATATGTTAAGCCAGCTGTTTCCTTCGCAGCATTCCCTTCTCTCATTCCAAGAGTCTTTTGTCCTCATCGAACATTGTCTACCGCATTTTTCATTCTTGTTCTCGAGCATATTTTGGGTAAGCATTGGGCGCTTCACGCTCTCGATGGAGCGCCTACATTCCGGTGTGTTAGCACCTGTACACCTTGGGGACGTAAGGTCAGCGACTGGGCGTCTTGCTGTCTCCTCGGGGAATGCTCAGCTGCTTCCAGTCACCCACGGAGATGGTATTGAGAATCAATACCCTCTCCCAGGAGTGGACGCATTGGGAGGGCATATACCCCATTTTCCGATCCCAACACTGAAGCTCGGCTCCAACGATGGATCGAATGGTGCATTTGCTCCAAAAAGAAAACGACACACGCTCAAGCCACATCGATCCAAGCAGCTGGGAAACCCGGACCGTCCATATCTTCATCATCCAAAGTACCTTGAATACAGGTCTCGACCGAGGCAGGAGATCGGGGATGATGGCAAAGCAATTTGGCCCGATAATATTGAGGCTGCCTTTCAGGATGGTGTGTTCAAACTTGGACTGGTGCTGATTAGATCAAGACTGACAAGCAAATAGCCCTTGTGCACATCAAGCCAATGGGTCGCAAGAAGTGTTCGCAACGAGGAAAGCCTTACGGACGAAACATGCTCATAGCTGAGTGGATATACCGAGCGACTGGTCAGGAACGGAAACGTAAACAAGTCTCCAGTCACATCCAGGTCCTCGATAAACATCTAAAAGGCATTCCAGAATGTACGTCCACACTGTCTCTTGTCAAAAGGTGTTCAAGCTAAATCTTTATCTCAGGGGACAGGCTGCTCAAGCCTGGTGATGACGATGATGACACTAGTCCATCAGAAGGCCACAAGTTTTATCACAATTCTATCGAGCACATGGTCAACGAACAAAAGGCAAGAAGCAAACCTAGGCAGCTCAACGATGGCGTGTGGGACGATGAACTTGAGGGCCACGCAGAGTCATTCGCCGCTGAAACCCTGGCAGGCGACTTGGCTCTCGTGCCGCGGGTTGAACGGCTGAATTTCGAGATGTGGGTGAGCTCACCTGTTGACCATGAGACTGCCTTGCACTACTACACCGGACTGAAACCCACGAAACTCATGCCTTTTCCCCTGGAAGAGCTTACTGGGTGGCGATTGTCATTTCCACACCTCAAGTCCCTGGTAGATCACGGAAAGCGCCTCGACAACTGCGACCTCATCCTCCTCAATGCAAGTTTCAAATTGATGGACGATTTCCCGCCCCGACACTCCAAGCTGGGCATTTGCTTCGAACTCAAGTATCCGGATCCCCTTTGGCAAGATTCGCAGCAGCAGGATGCTAAGCCCAACAAGTGGTCCTGCGTCACCTACATGTACCGTGAAGGCGTGCTCATCACCGAGCCCACCCGCGAGGAGTGTCAAACTCAGGATCAGTGGAGTATTCGACCGTTCTTCCAGTCGAAATGGTGGGCATCGACCTTCACCTCCCTCACGGAGGCAAAAAAAGTCGCCGAAGATTCCAAAAATCCCGAAGCTATCGAGCTCGCCAACGAGCAGTCCCGCACCTTTTTTCGCGGTCTCTCGATCATGCAAGAAATATACATTGTCCGCTCCTCCTCCTCCTCCTCCAACGGCGACAGCGGCTTTGGCGAGAGGGACATGAAACAACGCGAGTCTCGAAAGAGGACGGCAATCCTGCTCTGGCAATTCTCCGAAGCGCCCACGGACAGTGTCGGAGTCACGACGTGGCAGAATCTCATCCCCCCACCGGACCGTCTGGCGACTAACAGTCCATTCCCGCACGGCGTGGAGATGAGCCTGCCGCCGCTCTCGATGGATTCCATCGTCGACTGCTCACCCGGCGACGTCAGCTCATTCGAGAGCAATAATGCCAGTCAGCAGCATTTCCAACCCGAGCATGAGCACGGCCACGGCATGTCTTACGACTTGTACGACCCGGATGCGATGGACGAAGAACTGTGTCAGGATGGATTCATGGCGTTGAAGCAGCACGAGCAGCCACCACTCCCGGACTTTGGGCATCATCTGCAGTCCCCGTTCGACGTGGTGGGCTCGAATCACGAGTTCACGGGTCTTGACCCGTCCATCCACGATACGTTCGCCCTCCCGCCGCACGCTAGCCTACCGCCGTGGTCACCACAGGTTGACGAGCAGGACGAGGCCCTGCGCAACGCCTTGCTGGCTGCATCGGGCATGGACCTCGACGCCACAGCGGCCCCACAACACCCCTCGCCCACGCCGCGGCCGCAGCACGAATACAGTCCTTCCGGTGAACACCAGAGGCACACTGACACCGAGATTAGTGCACTGTAGCAAAGCTCTCTCTTTCCGCAACTGCTGCTGCATCTCCATGCTACGGTGACATGAATTTACACCCCTGCCATCGTGTACCGTTGTATCGTTGTGCGTCCCTGGACAGGCGAAGGGGCGAAGCCAGAACTTCACCAACCGGGCAGACCATGCCAAAAAATCTGTCCCGGGTAAGGAATCCGACGCAATTAGTTATTGGTGATATATCCGCCCTTCACCACCGGCGATGGTTCCGTTGCCATAGGTGCAAGGAGGAATGGTCCAGACAGGGAGGGAGGGAGGGTTATGGATGGATGGTTGGCTACTAGCATTCCCATCAGAGTATTTTTCCCAGTACGTAGGTTAGTTTTGGGTAACACGAGTGAACAAGTCCTTCATTCAAACTTGTGAACAAGCGAACTCGGCAGGGTCCGACTTAACGCGCTCATCCCTATCTCCCTATCTACCTACCGACCTACCTACCTGGAGACAGACTACAGGAAATACATTTCACTATGTTTGACGCTTCCGGTTGAAGCCAAGGGCTACTCATTGAATTCGAAGCCTGCCGAAGAGGTTCGCAATGGACGAGCCCCAGGTCTTTTCGTCCTCTGCTAGGGTCAATTTGCTTGTTGCCGCAGCCAGTCCGGTATCATCGACCCCCGTCACTGGCATGCGGTTCCCCTTGTCCTCCGTAACCGATATTTGCACATCTTCTTTATTTTTGTTTTTATCGCCGTTCACCTTTTTGCCATCCTTCTGGCTCCTGTCTTCCTGCCCCTCTTGGCTTCTGGGTCCAGCAGAAGGTTCGGTCTTCGAAGCCATGCCTGAGCGGCGCCTGCTGTTTTTTGGTGGCTTTGAGGGCGTTTCCGGATGGGATGAATTTTCATCCCAATCTGAAGACGCCTTCGGTGGTGCTGATTCTGCGCGGCTCGGCATTGTCAGTCCTGATCGGTCCGTTTGGCGTACTTTACGGGCCGCGGAAGAAGTCTGGGCGACCGCAGGACTGCTCTTGGTTGATCCTACTGGTCCAGGTTTTGCCTTCCTCCCAAAGTGCAAGGTGCCGGTGGAGAGAAGTTGTACCGGCGTGGAAGTCAAATACCCCGGACAATTCAAGGCTGGAGGACGCCTTTGCCAGGCGACTTGCGTCTCGAGGTCAACCAGGAAAAACTCAAACCATTCCATGGGTTCTTCAGACCTTTGACTCTCCTTGAAAGCGTCCAAGGCATCTCTCCACTCGTCTTTCAGTGAGCCTTGCTGGCCTTCGATCAAATAAGGCTCCTTGAGAAACCACGTGGTGACGAGATCGATTGCTGATATGGCGAATCCAAGTCCACAGCTAAAGTATTCCTCGTGCTTTGTGACTGTGGTCGAGCATTCCACAGTCTCATTCCATTGAGAAAGTAGGTTGTGGACTAGTTTCTCAGCCTTGAAAGCACCGTAGAAATTTGTTGTTTGGAATACTTTTCCAGGTTTGAATTTACAACACGCTATACTCGTTGTAGGTCGCGCCTCCTCGTCGACCCCAGAGGTTCCCACTTTCACAAGTCCATTCCCTCGGATCTGGACTGCATAGAGATAACCCTTTTTAGTCGCTGTCTGACATAGATCCTTCCTCATGGAAGAGATCATTTTCGAGGTTTTTTGATCTTGCTTGCGCTTTTGCTGCCGTGCCGCGTTGGATACTGTCGAACCATCCGGCGTCTGAGGTTGGCCAGCATCTGACAGGTTGTGATTGGCGACAGGCTGTCGAAAAGGTGCTGGTAGCATTTGGACTATGCTTGATCAAAGTGTCAGGTGCCGTGGGACGTATATATCCAGTCTCCAAGCGGTTTCAAATGGAAACTCGGTAAAGAGAGAGCATACACAGTTTTCCAGTTCTCAAGCGTTCTGGGAGAGTCTGTGTCAATCCTTGTCCTAGCGATGACAGAGACGGCGAAAGAAACACAGAATTGACTTCAAAGCCGGGAACAATCTGACGAGGAATTGTAGTCTGTATGACTATGCAGAAAAGTGTTGACCAGCGAGTCGAAATGGCCAAGGTAGAGGGTGATAGTCCGTACTGGACTTGGCATGTGTATTATATGGCCCATATCACTTGCCATGGGGGCGGAAGAGGGTGATTTCGCCATGTCGGCGGCACAGGGTACTAAGCTGGATGAAATTCGAAGGGCTGGTATCAGTAAGTACTTCATGGGGGTGTCGACCTTCGAACGTAGACGGCCCCCAGACATGGGCGCTTCTTTCTGAGACAGAGGCTAGATCCTAGTCTTATCTGCGTTCCATACGATCCAGAGAAGCCAAACCATGCTATCGGTAACGAACTGCACCGGATGCACCGGGTCCCCTGGGCGTGCTGGGAGATGAGGATGGCCGCAGTACCCAAGGGGTTCTTGCAGATTGGATCCTCATGGGGACCGACGTCTGTGCATGCACTCTCAAAGACGGAATTGGTGAACTCCTCATCGAGCTAGACAGATGCCCGCAGATCCCAGAAAGGTGCATCGTTAGTCGCCTCGAAATCTGCAGCCACATGTAACCTGGCGTAATTTAGCGTCAAGAAATGGCAACCGGCATCAATATCGCAAGCATGCTGTCCCAGCCACGCTCCTTCTCTCCTGCTCGACTTAAGTGCATCGTTAGCTGTCATAGGCGCGTAGCTGGTTCCCTGTGGCTGTGGGACGTGGTACGTGGGTTGTATGTGCTCTTGACCTGGAGTTAGACTCTTCGCAGTTAGATCTAAGCGCCAGCTTGACAAGGCATACTTGATACCAACCCCCACAACACAATCTCGGCAAGATCTTAGCCTTGTTCAAGGAGCAGATCAACGGGGAGTAGAAATTCCGCGGCCATTGTCCTTTTGGCGAAAACCTACTGTCAGTATTGGCTGGGGAGCTAGAAGAAGCTACCCTCGTCCATTCAGAAAGCAAACGAGCGACTGGAATAGGGGTGTCTGCTCGTAGTGGTAGAAGAAAATGACCAGCTCTCCCGTTTGTTCTCTCTTGACGCGAACCTCTGAATCAATGGTGGACCTAGAAGTGGAAGGTTTTCGAGATCATTGTCCTTCCCAATGACTTCTCCATCCAAAAAGGTGCAAGGCGGAGGCAAGCGCCTTGGCAACCCCCCCGGCACGAGTAGCTTGAACGTTAGCGAGACGCCCATAGGGTTCACCTCTTGATTCAAGGAAAGGTCAAGCACCCGCACGATAAAGAGTTGGGTGCACTTTCTCTGCAGCCTGTTCTTTTTGATAGAGACTTATACCGACGGAGCCTAGTCTATCTGCCATGTCGCACCTTCGGGGCTATGTGTGCCCTCAGCGAACCAGGCTGCGCCTTGCACCGCCTCAATGAATCGACTCCGGCACAGCACAGTGCTGCCTAGCATCAGCCTCAGTGGTTGATCGAGGATGGCACTCAAGACAACGCCCATTTCCACCCCAACATGATGGGCCAACTTCATGAATTCCCAAGATTGTTTTCGAGGACCGACAACAGCTCAATTACCCGATACAGCTTCCATCGAGCAATAAAGGTGTACAAGGATACTCTTATCGCAGACCTGGACCCGGTGATATGGACCCGAAATGTCTACCAGCTTTCAAGCACAGTCCCTTGGACCTTACCTGCAACAGCATGCGGCTCCTAAGTGTTCTACCAAGGCGCCCAGGAGCCGCAATCCGTGGCCAACTGAGTCACTTTTGCATTCCCGAAAACAGAACTGACCTGAAATATGTTGCTCTCTCGTATGAATGGGGCCGCAGAGATGGCCCTCGGCGTCTTATTGAAATCAACGGGAGGAAGTTTGAAATTCAGGAAAATCTGTTCCACTTTCTGGAATCTCACGGAGAAGCTGGGATACCGAATCTATGGGTAGATGCCATCTGTATCGACCAGGATGACGTTCGAGAGAAGAACCACCAAGTTCAGCTCATGAAAGACATTTACGGCAGATCCTCACAGGTGATCATTTGGCTTGGCCCAGGGGACCGCCAGAGTGATGACCTCTTCGACTATTTGAATAAGCTCACCGAACCGAGCCTAACGTTCCTGGAGGCAGGATTCTTTCTCGATGCCGACGCCAAATATGCACAGGCGGCTTTCCAATTGTGCCAGAGAACGTATTGGACAAGAGCATGGATCGTTCAGGAAGCCCTACTTGCCTGTAGCATTGAGCTTACCTGTGGTGAGAAGAGAATGGACTGGACGAGGTGGGCTCGATACATCGACATGAAAGCAAACATATCAGAAAACGCAATGGATCCATCGTATTGGCCTCATAGGCCGTCCGCGTTGGGTATCAGGTATTCTATGGCTTTCACACTTTGCCAGCAGCGAATAGCCAGGACTAACACCATTGCTACATACGATCTAGCTTCAACTGTGCTGGCTTTTGCTGAATCAGACTGCTGGGACATACATGACAAAGTCTACGCGTTCCTTGGGTTGGCTTCTAACGCGGAAGAAATCGCCGTTGATTACCAAAGGCCAATGGAAGAGCTTTTCATGGCAGTTCTTGCAGCCACTGATGCCAGGCTTTCAGACGACGATATTTCTATCCTGCGCACAAAACTTGGAGTTGCATCGTCCTTTATGGCCGAAGCTATCAAGACACAAACTCAGCCACCGTTGACGGTTTATCGAACGAGAGAAAAAAGGATCCTCTCCAAAAAGCGTGAGGAATCAAAGATCCTCATCATAGAGCCTAATGAGATTGAAGTAATATTGAATCCAAATTGGATGGCCAAGCTGACGACTGAGGAGTTCCATTTTTCAATCTTTCCAACAAGGTCTCTGCAATATGTAGGAGGGAAAAACACTGCGCATGTTTGTGGATGCCCACTGTGCAAGTCTTTCAAAACCAATTTTCATCAGCAACTGAAGGAATTGCACAAAACAGGGGCATTGCGTATCTACGCCCTCACCATGCAACAGCATGCCAAACACCAGACACACCTGTTCTTGAGTGCGGGTGGTCAATATATCGCCACAGGGACTTTGAAAATCATGGGAGGGCCGTCCAACAGCTTCTGGTCCGACATGATCATCTTATGCGATCCACCCCTCCGCGTTTCCGATAATTCAACGGAGGTTGTGCTATCGCTGCAACAGAGGCTCAATGTAATAGAGCATCAGGAAATGAGGTCATACCCAAGCTACAGGAGTCTGCCTAGATTGGTTTGAGAACAGCAATGGGGCAAAAGTTTTCTCAGCTTGCATGCTCCGAGTTACTGCACAGTATGAAATATGACTATCCGGGGATTGAGGATGATAAAGGATTCAAGTCGATTGAGCAGGTCCGATGCCGAGCAGGTCAGGATGTCAAAAGAATAGCATTGATGAGCTATGTGAATCTCGAATCACCACATGCATCCAACAGCCACCACCGAGCGACCCTTGACTCCACGACCTGCCAGGACACGGGCTATTGGCAGCCCAATCCAACCTCTGAGCTCGCGAACAGCATGAACAGGTAAGAAATATTTGGTCGTACATGGACGGAAGTATATCAAGGAAATCGACAATCTTCGTTGCAAGCCGAAAAGAGCGGTCGAAGTTGCTCCAAGGCGTCAAGGGTGCGCGCTTGGGGGCATCGCGTCTTCATGCTTCGGCTCTTGGTACCTTGGTTCTTGGTATTTCGGTTCTTGATACTTCGATTCTCGATAATTCAGTTCTTGGTACTCTGGGTCTCGGTAATTCGGTTCTTGGTACTTTGGTTCTCGAGGCTTCACGTCTTGGGCCTTAACGTTCCGGGGCTTAATGAGGTCTGTCAAGTGTCAGGACAACTGGTCTTTTCCAAGCGGCTCTGGTTGGAGAAGTTAGAGACTTTTTCCGCAGGAAGTGCATTTGCAGCTAGAGCCGCACTTGCAGGTATTGGGGCAACCCATTGGTCGGAATGGTCGAACTTCGTTGGATGTCGAGAGACTTGATTTGGTGGTTTGGGGATTGGACTGTTTGGGGATCAGCCGAGGATTTGATGCAGACGGAGCAAGATTCAGCAAGATTCAGCGAGTCGATGAGAAATGGAGAAATCTGCACCATCGGACAACGACCGAGGGGACTGCCAGTACTTATAACCATGAGTGGAAGCAAAGTCGGCCAACACAGCGCCTTGCGTGCCTTTGGCTTTACGATTACCTCAGGCCCAAATAGGTGAATCCAATGTTGCCCTTCTGCGTGGTCTGGACGAACCATATCGGGCCGTATCGAAGGGGCGGAAGGGGCGAAAGGGGCGGGGGAAAGGCGACCAACCAGCGCAAAGTGAACGTCCTGGGAAACCCGGCTCTTGGCTTTGAATAGATGAGGGAGGAAGAAGCGGCGTGGGGCCTGGGCCTGGGTTGTGGTGAGCCATCTTTGCGCATTCTAGATACAGCCTGAGTGATCCTGTCAGCAGTCGTGGTGCTTTGTCTGATGGTGGAGTTTGCAGGATTAGCGCAGCTGCGCCTTCATTGGTCAGAGATCAGGGTTTCAGGGGGCGGAAGGTTTAGGCACAATGGACTCAAGCGCTCAGCATCAGCGCACAAAGGGCTCAAGGTCCACGAAAGGAAGTGGGTGACAATTTGAATCCACGCTGCTCGATGATCTGGAACATCGACGGGCCATGAGTATCATTCTGCACTCTATCGACAAGGAGCTGGAATAATCAACCGCCATGAACGATGAAGCCCGGTCGCTAACCATAAGAGAGCTACCACCCCTCCGACGCTGGAGGAGGAGCAGGCGCAACAAAACCCATCTCAGCTGCTCCTGGACTTTTGTTCGTCTAAGTGTATTGATACATCTTTTCCAGCTCAGAACGCCCATATTCCTCTGCGCGCCAGCTAATGGGACAGTCGTGATCTGCGCTTACAACAAGAATGGAACAGCAAGACCGGCGGCAGCGATGAGACCTTGCACCAATTGAGGCCCGTTCGTCGGAGCAGCCAGGCCAGCTGAGCTGGAGGAGGCGGCACTTCCCGAGGTGGTGGCCGAGGCTGTCGGGGAGGAAGACGCTGAGGTTGACGATGACGAACTGGTGTTAAAGTTATTCTGGTTGGTGAGGGTTGCTGTCAAGCCGGTCACGTTTGTGCAGCTGGAGCTGACTGTCGAGTTGACGCCGGTAACGAAGTTGACTGCCGCACACTGCAAGGTTCAATCCGTCAACAAACTTTGCCCTGGGCGAAACAACACGAGGCTCTTTCTTTTTTTGAGTTTCAACTTACCTGGTACAAGATACCGTCGGGACCATCCTGGATGACTTGAATAACGCCCTTGTTGCCAGCAAAATCCGCTGGGGCGACGAGGTGTGGGAGACAGAATTGACCCAGGCCAGTTTCTGAGACGACGGGGAGCAGATTGGTCCAGTTGAAGGGCGCCTTCTGGTCGAGCGTGACGCGGAAGAGCCAGTCGGCGGCGGGATGGGTGCTCAGCATGGAGACTGGGAAGCCACCGACGGGGATGGAGTCGTCGGTGGTGTTGAAGACGACGTCGAAGCCGCCACAGGGCGCTGTCGCTTCAATATCATCGTCGAAGCCGAGGGATTGGGGGTATTGGAGAATGAAGTGGGCGGAGGTGCAGAGGGTCCAGAGGGACAGGAGGGCGAGATGAGGGAGGAACTGCATTGTTCTGGCACTGGGTTGAGTGGGAGGAATCGAGGGACGAGTTTGTTGATGAATGAGGTGAATGCGTGAATGCGTGAGTGAGTGAGTGAGTGAAGGCCAAGACTTGAGGCTCTATCTCTCTGTGTCTGTCTGTCGATTTGTCTCTGTTTATTTGGGAGCTTTTCGAAGTATGTTCTCGACCTGCTCACTCCCCCCTCTCTATATGAATTTTTGGAATACCAAGTGGTTATTGTTCTCCCTGCTTGTCCTCCCCTTCACCTCACCTTTCCTTGACGGCCTCGTTCCCTTGTTGCATGCGCTAGTCGCCGTGAGCAAGTTTCGTCAGTGGGGCCCTCACCGCACGAGCAGATTTTCTAACCAATCACGTGGGCCAGTCTGCAGTGAGCAACCACTGCCACCAGCAGCTTCAACCCAAGCACGACAAGCTCGCAAACTCAACTCACGCCAGCAGCTTCATCCCCTTTATTAGTTGTGCTCCATCTCACCCACTGCATCCCACCGCCATGCCGCCGCCGACCTGCTCTTATCCTTCCGATTCGGTCACCAGTGCCAAAGCTGATTGCGTCGGAGGATCGCCGCCCTTTTATCTTGCTCACCAACTCTCCGTCTCGTCAACCGCTCTGTACCGGACGAGCACGTTTCCCATGTTTCGGATACCCTCGCGCCTCTGACCGTGCTCACTGTGCCTATTCTTATTCTTACTCCATGCGCCTGGAACCGTGGTGACACAGATGGACTAAAAAGGACTCCGTAACCTTCTTTGTACCAACTGTGCCACCGTCCTTCGATACATCACTTCTCACTTGGCATCTGTGGTCTATCATTTTTGCACCTTTTCCATTGGAGAAGGGTTTTCCTGCACAACGACAACGACCTGCCAACAACCACAATAACACCTCCCTATATTCTCCCGCAATCATGGACATGTCAGGAATGTCCGGAATGGGCGGGATGGACATGTCCAGTGCGGGCATGTTCACGCCCACGAATAAAAAGGTGGCGCATTTGTATTGGTATTTGGTCAGTGCGGTGGTCGGTGTACTTGTCTTTCGGAGAGTGGTAGATCGATCCAGAGTTCTCTTGAGGTAAGTCAAACCCATCTCGAGCATCTCCTGTGTATTGAGAGTGACTGACGAGGTCCAAAAGTAAACGAAAATCCCAGCGCCGACCGGGCCAGATTCCAGGGCGACCGCAAAATGCCCTCGAGCAACTCTACGACACCACCATAGCCGTCTGCAGGGAGTTGGCGTATCCTCAACTGTGGACATGCACTGGCAAATTTAGCAAATATTTCACTCCCCCGTCCTTGGGGAGATGTCTCCTTCTTCTCACCTACTGGGCCGTCATTCTGACAATGCTGTGGTCGAATGTTCTCCTGACTCCCTCCTCGCCCAACTACGCCTACAAGTGGGAGATTGTGGGCTTCCGTGCTGCCTGGGTCTCAGTTACCCAGCTACCCTTGATCTACATTTTGTCTGGAAAAGCCAACATCATCACCATCTTGACCGGTATCTCATACGAGAGGCTCAACTGGCTGCACCGTTGGGTCGCCCGCACTATTTTCCTGACCGTCATCGTCCATTGGTCTTACTTCTTCACCGAGTGGTCTATCGCCGACTTTGTCAGCTTGGAATTGAAATGGATGCCCATGGTCAAATATGGATTTGGTGCCTGGGCAACAATCGGTTGGATGGTGATTACCGGATTTGGCTTTTTCCGGAATCTCTCGTATGAGCTCTGGTTTCTGCAGCATCTCGCGGCAGCCCTGGTCCTGTTGTGGCTGGTCCATACCCACGTCCCTTCTTATGCGGAATACAATGTGTGGTTTGCGATCGGCGTTGTTGTCTTTGACAGGCTCGTCAGGACAGTCATGTCTTTGGTGATCAATCTACATCTCATTCCCAGCAAAAGAGACGGCGTTCCATCTGGTCGACGCATCGGATATCAAGCCGAGGTCAAGGCTCTTTCAGGCGAATTTTTGCAGGTCAGAGTGCGCAATGTCGCCATGTCGTGGCGGCCAGGTCAGCACGTGTACCTGTCCATTCCTCGGGCCGGCATCATCGAAGCACATCCCTTTACCATTGCCAGCATCCCAAAATCGATAACCGGAGAAAATGGGCCGAACAATGTTGACCTATACGTGCGAGTGCACAACGGATTCACCAAAAGGCTATACCGTCAATGTCAAAACCAGCTGACATCACGAACCTTCCTGTCGTTCATAAGCGGACCATGGGGGAACCCTCCCTCTGTCGAACGATTTGAATCAATGGTCTTTGCGGCTACGGGCAATGGCGTGTCCTTTACGCTGCCTCTTTTTCAACAAGCTGTTCTCACGAATAATAATATTAGACAGATTTCCTTCATTTGGATCTTTCGACAAGCAGAGCAGCTCGACTGGTTCAAGGAGGAGTTACTCTCAGCCTGGATGGCAGCCCGACGGCGAAATATCAGAATAAACATATACGCTTTCATCACGGGAAGTGGACAGTCTCGAAGCGTGTCGCTATCAGAGAGCAATGCACTGCTCGAGCAGACATTGGATCCAGACCATTCAAACACAGAAAAGATGGCCAATGGCGTGCCGTCCATGGACAAAATACCAAGAACCATCAAGCTGTCCATGGAGAAAAGGGAAGTAGGGAGTGTGAGCGAGAACTCAGTCTCGTCGTCCTCTTCACTGAACGAGCAGCCCCTCATACAGCTCGGCTACGGTCGCCCACACTTTGACTCTCTCATCCATCCCATGGTGGAAGCGGCATGGGGCGAGACGGGAATCCTCGCCTGCGGTGGCAGCCACTTTTCCGGGCAAATAAGGAACTATGTTGCCAAGCTGTCTGACGAGAGAGCCGTCCATAAAGGAACGGGCGCTCAAGGTATATATCTTTTCTGTGAGACTTACGGATGGTGAAAGCATAGCGACGGTTGTTAAGACTATATATGATGTATTTAGATATGAGCCATGACCCCAGGCTGTTACAGTGCACTTGAATCAACATGCCGTGACCCGATTGTTCTCGATACAGTTTTCGACCTCTGTTCTCGGCTCGAACCTTCTCTTCCCCAGCCTAAGGTCCCCCCTTTCTCTGGTCTTTTGTCGCTGAATATGCGAATCCCTATCTCACGCCATTCCATATGTGTTTCCCCCGCTCGCGACAATGCACGCCTTCGGCTCCCGTCCTCAGCAGATGCATGCCACGGTTCCACTTGCGCTCAGCGCCAGCTACAGCGGCAGGCACAGTCTACTCACGGAGCATTGCCAAGCCCAGTCTTCGGAGCACTGCCAAGCAATACCAAGGACCGAGAGGAATACACCGTCCTGATGAGCAAGTTTTATCATTATGTCTGTTCTGGCGCCCTCGCCAATTGAGAACGCACGTCTTCCGCCAAGGCGGCCAACCGTGGAGAGTGGGTGCTGCTGGAACCAGCTTCTTTCGAGCCCAGGCGGTCTCGCTAGCTCCAGGTCCAAAAAATTCATGTTGTGTTGGTGAGAGGATAGGAAAATGCTTGTGCAAGGCGAGGGGAGGGAAGGGAAAGGTACAAAAGGTCGAGAGGCCGCGAAGGGGGGTTGAAGTCTCGAGTTCTTCAGCCCCGGGATCGTCTTCGACCTCTTCGGTGTCGCACCTGATCCGAATATATTCTCCTATACACTCGAGTCTATACTGCTCTCCTACGTGGTATCAGTATGGAACTCTTCATCTTTGCTCTCCTGGTCGCGGCCAAGGTGGTGTCCGCCCACTTCGAGCTTCAATACCCATACTGGCGAGGCGACTCCTTCCTGCCACCAGCATCTCAGTATATCTTCCCGTGTAAGTGACAAGTCGAGTCCAACCACACCCCTTCGCTCCCCCTGCCCATCAATACCAACAAGCCTCAACCTCTTTCTGCATTGAAACTAAGACTGTGTTCTGGGCGACAGGCGCAAACGTCAACACAACCACCGAATCCAACGCCAACCGCACCCTCTGGCCCCTCGACGGCGGATCCCTGGTGATCGACTTCCACCACCCGTGGACCTACGTCTCGTTCAACCTGGGCTTCGGCTCCGACATCGCCACCTTCAACATGTCCCTGAACCCGATGCTGCTCAACGAGACCGGGAACGGAACCATTTGCATCCCCAAGTGGACACTGCCCGCAGATCTGGGGATCGTCGACGGCATGGACGCTTCGCTGCAGGTCATCACCGTCGGAGACAGTGGGACTGCTCTGTACAACGTACGTGTCGCTTATTTACTTACTTTACCCAAGATCTGCTTCATTGACGAGGCGAATACACCTTGTCCCACAAGCTGACTGAATGCCTGACTGACTGACTGAATGTACTTATCGGGTATCTTAGTGCGCCGACATCAGATTCAGCGCCAACGCAACGACCTTGTCCGGCGATCAATGCCAGAACTCGACCGGCGTCAACATATACCCGCTCGTGCAGCAGCAGGCAAACGGATCCATTGCGGGGGCTCAGGCGACGACTACGGTCACGGTGACCGCGAGTGCAGCTGGAGCTACCTCCTCGACTAATGCCGGAGGCAAGTTGAGCGTGCAACACACGGCAGGTCTTTCCTGGGGCATTATTTTCGCCCTCGTCGTGACATTTGGACTTGGCTTCTAGGAGGGGTAACCTTGAGGCAGTTGGTGCGTGAAATCAAGGAGCAGTACAGAAGACCAGAGGCCGCAAGAATTAGAAAGATCCTTAGTTGGATTTAATGACAAGTTAAACCTCGTCAGCTAGGCAAGTTGAATTGCCTCTGACTGAAAAGGCGTAATAGACTTTTTCTGTAGTAGAGTAAAACTGCTTCTCTGGGATTCCTTGTGCCCGGTTGGGAACTTTTTTAGACCTAACTAAAACGACCAATCTCACGCGGCGATATTGTCCAAGCCTTCGAAACTCCGTCCGATCTAAGCTTTCGTCTGACTGGTGAGATTCCCCACAACCGTCCCTTGTGCATCCTCGAACCTCGCCCACGCGCTGTTCAATCCATACACCAGCACACTCACCTCGACGCCGGCGTTAAGATCGCCCGCGCTGATCTGCAGGGTATCGAGCTCCTGCTCCGAGAAAAAGGTCACAGTGGCGGAGGACTCGCCGCCGTTGATAAAGACCTCGAGGATGCTCCGGTCGATGACGCCCTCGACGCTCCAAGTCAGAGACGACGCGGAAGAATTGTAGGGACAGCTGGTCGAGAACTTGTCGGTGAAGAAAGGGTTGTCGAATCCGCGAATGTTGCCGCGGTCGATGAAGAAGGCGCTGTCGGGCGTGAGGAAGTAGCCTGCCTTGAGCGACTCGCCGGATTGGGAGGATGAGAATGTGAAGTTGGTGGTGCCCGTGATAGAGGCGGTGGTGGGGGGGATGTTGGTGATGTTGATTTGGAAGTACAGCGAGCCCGAAGCTACGGAGGAGTAGTCAAGGCTGACACTGCTGTTGCCCATGGTCTTGCGGACCAGGGCTGTGGTGTTGATCACAGGAGACAAATTGTACGGCGCAGACACCAAATCATATCCAACCCGGCTGATGTTCTTCAGGTAGTTGACGCGCGGAAGCGACATGGAGGAACGCCAGCCCTCCGAGGCTCCCGTAGGGACTACTTGCGAGTACTGCCAGTTGCTGGTCCAGGCGATGGATATTTGGTCCTGGTCACTGGGGATGCCGGAGAAGAACTGGCCAGCATAGTTGTCTTTGCCGAAATCGCCAATCCTCGCCGCACCGTCGACGGGCGTGAAAACAGTGCCGTTGAACGAGCCCGGGAAGTATTGGGTTATCGAGCCGCCGAGGGGCGCGCCGGGGTTGATGCTGACGGCTAGCAAGTACATTGGTTCCTGTTGGCCTTGCATGGGGATCTGCACCAGGTTGGGACATTCATATTGGTCGCCTAGCAGGCCATGGTGGGAGAAGTTGGAGACGTGTTCCCAGTGCGTGAGGTTGGAGGACGTGAAGAAGCCGACGGTCAGGTCCTGCGCATAGGCGACCACCATCACCCACCGCTGGGTGGGCGCGTGCCAGATGACCTTGGGGTCACGGAACTGGCTGGAGTTGTCGCTCAGGACCGGGTTGCCAGAGTAGAGCTCGAAGGTGTACCCGCCATCGAAGGAAAACGAGAGCGCCTGCGTCTGTGACGTGGGCGTGTTGATGGTGTACACGGCTACCACGCCATTGTCTTGGTGTGGAAAGAATCCCGACGTATTGTTCACGTCCACGACCGCCGACCCGGAGAAGATGTTGGAGTGTGCGTCAGGAGGGAAAATTGCGATTTGTTGATTTATCCAGTGGTACAGATCTTTGGAGGTCGCATGGCCCCAATGCTGGTTTCCTGCCACGACACCCGTCGGATTGTCTTCGTCACAATGAGTAAGGGGCCTTTTCAAGAGCAGAGGCGTATACTTACATTGGTAGTACAAGTGATACGTGCCGTTTGCATCGACAAACATGCCATTGGGATCATTCATAAAGTCCTTGGGAGGAGAGAAATGGACCTGTGGGCGGAGAGCACCGCTATAGTTTCCCGGAATTGGAGTTCCTGTAGGGACCGAAGGCTCTACATATTGGCTCTGGGCGCAGGAAGGTGCAATCAAAGCAGCAGCACATAATATGGAGAACAACGAAGTCATGACTGCTGGTTGCCAAGGGGGCGTCAGGCATCTGATGGCGAGATGTTCTGTTCCTCTCCCCATTCATAGCAATGAACATGGGTTTAAATATAATGGACCAGGAAAGCATATTGAGGTCTTCCTCTGGCAGCACGATGTCGACGTCATACACCCCGAAAATCCAGAGCAAATCATACCAAATTGCGCGTGCGAAGTATTCCACAGCCACCAAGTCATACGGCGCCAGCACCGTCCTCTTCAGTGAGCGTCCTGGGTCTGCATGTAACGGCCCATATAAAATGCCTGCTTAGCATCAACATTGAGTGATATGTATGGAGCATCACGGACAACACCGTTTAGGAGCACTCTTTTCTTTTTCTAATCGGTCCGACTCTCCTCGCAGGTTATGGACCCAGATGGCGGCGCGAATCAGGAGATGGTGCATTAATGCAGCTCAAAAGGTATTGGTCTCCTGTTCTTCACCTTGAGCCAAATGCACGGTCATGCAGAAGCTGGAGCAAGGTTTCGCGCGAGGCTGCATTTCGGCCTTTGGGTGAAGGTGGTGGGAAGCCTTCTCATCCTCTCAGATCGCCCTGATTGGATGCGAGTGGCCGCCAGTCAGCATGTCGGCTACCAAAGTTTCAAAGGCCGGAATTGCGGGGTAGAAGTGCCTCGTGTGTGCAGCTCTGAGTGGCTAGTTCGGTGAAATAAGGAGAAACAATAATCCGCCCCGCTAACCGCTCTCCATTGGCACCCCAGCCTCTACCCCATGGTCGTCTTTATCTACCACAGGCTGACGGGCGCCAAACAAGCATTTCTCTTTCATCTGGGGCTCCGCCCCTCGACATCCCTACCCATGAACTCACCATGCAACCCCCCGGTCGAAGCTTCCACCACGATTTCTACCAACGAGGACACAAGATCGGCTACGCTCGCCGCTGATGTTACCCAAGTCTTTGAACCCTGGGTCAGCACATTTCACAGCTGCAAAGCTAGGTCATGAATGGACAACGATTTGTGGTCTGTAGACGGGCCAAGGATCCAACTCCATGCGCAATTGGGAATATTTCGCCGACGCTCGGCGTAATCGCACTCGACCACAGTTGTCAACCTCAACCTTGAATACGTTTGGAGCTTGACAAAGCCCCATGAGCACAGGAAGAATGTGTATTTATACCCGAGGAATTGTCCCTTCATGGCCACTCTCGTCATGCACGCTGCGAATCCTGAGCCTTCTCGACTTCACCTCTATAATTGATTCAATTGTGCCCATATCCTCCTAGCCACGACATCATGGCTATCCTCTTCTCCAAGCCTGCGGACACCCCAGGCTCGGCCCTGCCTGCAGTCCTCATAGGATGTTTCGTTGCGTTTGGTGGTGTCCTGTGTAAGTCCACCGAGTCACCCCGATGCCGAAATGCTGCCGCCTGGCTCTGAAGCTATTTCCACAAACTCATGCTGATGTCCATTATTTGATTTGCAATAGTTGGCTATGATACAGGGACAATAGGAGGCATATTGGCCATGAAGTACTGGAGAAACCTCTTCTCGACCGGATACATCAACCCAAAAGATCATTATCCAGACGTGACGGCGAGTCAGACATCTGAAATTGTCTCCATCTTGTCAGCGGGCACTTTCTTTGGCGCCCTATTCAGTGCTCCCATCGCAGATTTCCTGGGTCGTCGGCTAGCCAGTAAGTTCGCTATCTTCGCTATCCATTCCAGTATGGTTTCACATTGGGCATATTTGTTGTGCGAGGGCCTATGGTTTGCGGTGTAATGCAGCATTCCTAGAGAATTCATCAATTGGCTGTCCTTTCCTTGACTCACTTTTACCTTCGTCTGGAGACTCTCTGAACCTGAGGCTGATCCATCACCCAAGTGATCTTCAACACTGGAGTGTTTACCTTTGGCGTTATTCTTCAGACGGCTGCCACTGCGATCCCAATGTTTGTCGCAGGGCGGTTCTTTGCCGGCCTGGGAGTTGGTCTCCTGAGCGCCACCATTCCTCTGTATCAGTCGGAGACAGCACCAAAATGGATCAGAGGAGCCATTGTCGGCTGTTATCAGTGGGCCAGTAAGTTCCTTGAGTCTTGAGGGCAAATCAGGTTATCCCATATACGTTCATAATATACTGACGCGACGTTTTAGTTACTATTGGTCTCTTCCTTGCTGCGATTGTTCTTAACTCTACCAAAAACCGCAACGATACTGGATCTTACCGGATTCCCGTGGCTGTCCAATTTGCGTGGGCCATCATCTTGGTGTCTGGCATGTTGATCCTCCCTGAGACTCCACGCTTCTTGATCAAGAGAGGGAATGGTGAAAAGGCCGCAAAGTCTCTCGCCCGTCTCCGCAGGCTCCCTGTGGACCACCCTGCTATCGTTGAGGAGCTGACCGAAATCATCGCGAACCATGAGTACGAGATGACTATTGGCACGGCGTCCTACCTTGCCTGCTTCAAGGCCCCCATCAGGAAGCGACTGTTTACTGGCATGGCTCTCCAGGCTCTTCAACAGCTCACCGGCGTCAACTTCATCTTTTACTACGGCACGACATACTTCACCAGCGCGGGAATACACAACCCGTTCATCATTTCTGTCATCACCGACGTCGTCAATGTCTGCAGCACCGTCCCTGGTCTGTGGATGGTCGAGCGTTGGGGGAGACGACCGCTGCTTCTCTTCGGTGCTATTGGCATGTCCGTTTGCCAGCTTATCGTCGCGAGCGTAGGTACCGCCAGACCCGGTGAGCCGGCCGCCAGCAATGCCTTGATCGCTTTCGTCTGCATCTACATCTTCTTCTTCGCCTGCTCGTGGGGCCCTTGCGCTTGGGTTGTTACCGGTATGTTGCTCTCGCGGATGGAATATTGGGATTCTGCTGACTCTCGGCCTAGGCGAAATCTTCCCATTGAAAGCCCGAGCAAAGGGTTTGTCCATGACCACAGCTTCAAACTGGTTGCTCAATTGGGCTATCGCCTATTCTACGCCGTACATGGTGAATCCAGGCCCCGGAAATGCGTGAGTACCGTCGAGCGAGTTTGCCAAACGTGCTTGACTGACTTCTGTATAGGAACCTTGGATCCAAAGTCTTCTTCGTCTGGGGTGGATTCTGCTGCGTCTGCTGTGCATTCGTGTACTTCTTTATCTACGAGACAAAAGGCTTGACCCTTGAGCAGGTCGACGAGCTCTACGCCAAGGTCAGCTCGGCTAGAAATTCGCCTGGCTTTGTCCCGACTGTTCGCTTCACCGAGGTCAAGGAGATGGGAGCAATGGAGGCCCGTCGGAGCACCTTGGCAGATCTTGAGCAGGCTGCCGTTCGTAGGAAGAGCTCAGCTGGCGTTCATGAGGAATACGTCAAGTCCTGAGCCTTATCAGCTCACACTCACCGTATGAGGTATCAATATGGGGCCGTGCAGACAATTGCTCGGAATACTTGGATGGCTGTCGTTGGGACTATCATGAGGAGGACTCGGGACGCGAATTGTTTTCCGTGGGCCAGTCCTTGAGCAGGTGAATAAGTGTCTGGCAGTGTGATTTTTGGCTAGGAGCGGCTGTGGCCGGCTGTATTGATCAAAGGAATCTATCTTCGATGAATGGACTACATTTCAATGGGTATAAAGGATCATGCGTTCTTGAGACTGAGTATTCGCCACGTGGACTATGGGCGTTGAAGTTCGCCAGAAAGGGGGTTGACTAGTACGAGTAGGCTGTGGCTGCTTCGCCCCTTTGCAGATGGGACTACCAGATGCTCGTAAACTCACCAGGAAAATACGAGCAAAGATTGCCACTCTCGCATCGCTATGCATGCCAAATCCCACCTTGCGTCACAAAACGGGGTTGCACAATTCCATAATCTGCCGTCCAGCCGCAAAAGTTGCAGCAAGACGAGCGAGATGCGCGAATAATGAAATAGCTCGGCCAGGCTTAGAGAAAGCTTGAACAACCTAAACTTAGGCAAGGCAGATCTCGCCTCCTGGAAGGGCAAATGCTTATCTTCTCCCCCTAGAAGTCGAGCGGGTCGAATCCCCGGACCCGTCATCTGCACTAAACCGACGCGAGATTGTCGGCTGATCGATGTCATTGGGGAGGGCCACAGGTGGTTGACGCATCCCACCGTTGCACAGCCTCCGTCGGTCTTACATACATAAACGCAGAGAAATATTCATTGTTATTATCACGACCTTGGATTCGCCAAACAGTATGGATTTGAAAACAGGGAGCAACGGTTTTGCACAGGAGAAAGCCGCCGGTAACGGTGTTGATCTGGCGTTTGACGCCTCTCAACAGGCTGCCGCGGACCAATACTCGTGCGAACGTTGCGACGAAACAATGGACCCCGCCTTGAAAGACGAACACGAGGATTGGCATTTCGCGCGCGACCTACAGGCGCAAGAAGATGGGAGTACCGCAGCTGCACCAAGCACGACCCAGGCCACTGCGAAACCTCCACCACCGGACCTCAAGCAAGCGGGCGACGGGAGGAATGATCAGCCTCCAGATTATGCACCGCCGTCGTATCCGCCACCCAGCACAGCTCCGAGTCGAGCCACGACCGGCCATCGCCATACCAACAAGGTCATCGAAGCCGGCAAAGTTCGTGCTAGAGATGAGGTAGGCTTTTCGATTTCCAATTCTCAGACGCGACCATGGCCCAAAAAAGGCACATCAGTCTAACGTGTCCGAACAGCAACAAATGCAAAACGCCCTGCAAAGGCTGCAGTTCCAGTATAACATCTACAACAGCGAAATCGAGCCCGAACACGAGACAGACTTTTATTGTAGCTGTCCCATCCACCAGTATCAGAGGATGAAATGGAGCCGATATGGAGTGCAGGACATGTGGTCGCGGGCGGTCATGTATCCTGGTTAGCATTATTGCCGTTCTGGCGCTCTTTTCGATGCCCCTGCGTGAAATTGGCTGACAAGTTCCTTTTTTTGCTGCTGGCGACAGGTGAGAAGGCATATACCGACAATCCTCAGGCGCCGACCATTTTCAGTGGGAATCCTTACAGACTCCGCGTCATTTCGCCGTACGGCTACACTCAGTCTTCCTGGGGTGTGCAAGTGCCTCGGCCAAAATATCACGCCCAGTCAATCCACCAGACCATTGCCCTCAACAACCGTCTGAATGCTGAGGCGCAAGCCAAGATCGATGAGCTGGAACCAAAGGTCGATATCTGGAATGATGCTGCCCTCGAAGCAGCCATGTCTCAGCTAAGTATCATGGCGTCCATTGATAAGAAGGCATCCATCAAGGCAGGCGATGAGAAAGCCATCGATAAAAAGGCACCCATCAAGACAGGCGACGAGAAAGCCATTGATAAGAAGGCTCCAATCAAGGGGGGCAACGAGAAAAATCTAGGAGGAGTTCCAGAAAAGGGATCTTCCTCTGCAAGTGGAAACTCGGAGAAGCCGGCCAAATCATCGAAGCTTTCAAGTTTCAGGCAGTCCATCGGCATCAAATCTTCAAAAGAAAGGGCAGTCGGGAAGGCAGAAAAGATGGTGTTTCAAGGCCGTGAGCTGCGCGACGCGATTCTGGCAGAGGAGGCGGGCAGGTGGCCTGACGAACAGTGGCGGCATATTGTGGCGGTATATCAAGAGAAGGTTGGTATGTCGGGGAAGATTGCTTACCTTCGAGCTCGCCAACCCATCCAATACCTCCACCTCCTCAGGGCGGGCTACTTTGAGCCTATTCCTGTGGCTTGGGCCACTCAAGCCTCCAATCCACTAAAGTTCAGCATCGAAGCGGCATCCGGATGGAGGGGAATCACGCCTGCCTGGCGAGGATACGAAGATACCGCCGAGGAGCGGCTCTACTGGGTCTTGAACCACCGTGAAGGCAGCGTTGGAATGAGGATGAAGCCAGATTTTATTTCAGAGATGGATATGGCTCGGGCCAGAATGGCTACAGCAGTCGAGCCGCCACCCGAGTACTACTCAGCCACCGACACCTGTCATATCCAACATACTTCTGAAGGCTACTCCAGGCAAGTCATGCCCAGACCCTTTGTGGCTTACGATCGACCCGAAATGCCGACAGACGACACAATGATTCTCCTGGATGTCTCGGGGTCCATGGATTTTGACCCGTTGCGACCAATTTACGACCAGTATCTGATCACTGGCTATAAAAAATCCACCCAGCCCAAGAACAAAGGTAATGCCCCGAAAATGACGGTTGCGTTTCATTCGTCGCCAATACTGACTGTGCCATCGCAGATGTCGCCAAAGCGGTGATCCGACGCTTCACCGACGCCATGGCAAACCACGACCACCAGTTCCAGGGCTACGATATGGTCACTTTCTCCAGCTCGGCCGAATACATCGGCACCATCAACCACCAGAACCTCAACCAAATGTGGAACAGGATCCACATCGGAGGCGGCACCCGCGTCATGACAGGCTGGCAAAAGGTCAAGGAACTACATTTCCAGAAGCACTCCGAGTCTGCCACGCACCATCCCGTGTACGGGTGGCAAGCCGGGCCCGAGACACCCATGCTGCGCTTGCTTCTCCTCCTCGACGGCGAGGCCACGGACATGGACGAGTTCGAGCTGGATCTCTTGGGATTGTCGTGGGCTCACGTCACCATCTTCCTCATCGGCGTCGACGGGTGCCCGCACCACCATCGCCACGCCAACGAACTGCAGCGCATCAGCGACGTCAACCACCACGTCTCCTTTGTCGATGCGCAGGGCAACACGCCCGAGAGGTTTGTGACGCATGAGCTGCTCAAGAGGCATTTGGGCTACGAGATCTCCATGACTGAATTTGAGGGCATGGAGGAATTGCCGGAATATACGGCGTGATTTTTTCCTGACGCAGATAATGACAGCATTGATATATTCCACTATTCATTACCAAAAGTCCATTTTCGACCGGTCATAATTGAGCTGTTTTGGACTGCGGTTGTAAAACCCTGGCCACAACTTGCTAGGCCTTATATAACCACTTCAAAATGCCCTCTCATTAACGTTAGAACGAAGGTCATCCCTCTCTACTCGCTACCTAATCGGCCTTCCATGTTTCAGCATAACAGCCACCATGGCCGCTGTGCGGCTGATTGTGCATTGGCCCCTCGGCAATGTTGCCCGAAGTTTTGGGGAACCTGCAGTTGGACTGTACGACTATGTTCCAAGACCATCCAAGACCATCTTTCTGCCTGTTTGCTGGCCCTGAGGCTGAGCCTCACGAGCTCTTTCCAACTCGGTCTGATTGCGCCTGAGCATTTTCCAATTCCAGACAAAAACACATCTGCGACTTCTCCCTGGAGACTTTTAAGACTCATCACAATGGCTGAAATTGTTGCCGCCGTCGGCATCGTCGCCAATTTTACAGGAGTCATTGGCGCCGGGCTGGCCCTGTCGCGAAGCCTGTACGATTTCGCCAGTGTTCTCGGATCAGCAGCCGACGACGTGAAGTCCCTCGCAACCGACGTCAGTCTGTTCTGCGCTGTGCTGAAACAAGTCCAGTCTACGCTGGGTCGGGCCAAGGCATATCGACTCTCGTTGTCCGCGTTGGCTACGGCCCAGGATGTCATTGACCGATGCAAGATCATCTTTGACGAGCTGGATAATGCTGTCACCAAACTACAGGGCGGCAAGTCCAAGCCCGACTTCTTGACCCGCGTGAAATGGTACTTCAAGGAGAAAAGAGTCTCGCTTGTCCATGAACAACTCAAAACCTGTGGAGCCACCCTGCATCTAATGCTCACTACACTGGTGCTCGCGCAAAAGATTGCTAGCAGGCGGTAAGGAATGAATCCTCTACGTCGATGGCCGAAATTGCGTTAACCATCTCAACAGTCACTCCGCGATCGGGGAGGATGATCAAGACACCCAGGACCGATTGATGACGCATTCCTTGTTCACGGCTCAACAAGCAGCTACGGAACGCCTGGCCACCGTCGAACGCCAGTTATTGGCCGAAGAAGGGTCAGAAGATCTGTTGTTGACAGCATCGCCGGCTGAGGCCCAGCAAAGCGAACAAGCCTGGCTGGGTCAAAGACCACCCGAAGAAGCCATGAATAGCTTCATGCACGGCATAGATGTACCTCGTTCTGGACAAGTTCGGCCTGTCTCAACCATCATAGGAGGACACGTCAACCGTCTTAGTCTCATTCGAGACAAGCGATACTCTCATCTAGCAGGACTGGATGAGCACCGTTACTCCATTTTGCAGACGGATGAACTGCTTCGACACTGGACCGATCAGAGCGATCCGCTTGCTGCAGAATTTGGATCGAGGCAGGAGCCCGAGGATTCTGGCGAGCCGTATCGCAAGACTCACGGTAGTCTAGTACCACCCAGGCAGGATGCTGGGCTTTCGACGAAAGTTGAAATGAGGCAAGATCAAGAAGACGAAGACGAGCAAGAAGAAGAGGAGGAGGAAGAGGAGGAGGAAGAGGAAGGGAAAGAGGAAGGGAAAGAGGAGGAGAAGGAGGAGGAGGGAGAGGAAGGGATAGAAGAAGATGAAACGGCCCTCCCAGGTTCCCAGTCCGGCCGAAACGGTAATGTCTTCTTTTCCGACGACCTAACTGAAAGCAAAAAGGACAACGGTAGCGGAGGCGATGCGCCCTCTGTGGATATCTTCGGATCTTTCCGTGTCGGACTAGAAGATCCATGTTATAAAATTCTCCCCGCCTGCCTCAGAAAGTACAACATTCAGGCCGATTGGCGTCGATATTCGTTGTATATCGTGTATGGCGACCAGGAGAGGCATGTGGATTTGCATGAGAAACCCCTCGCTCTATTCAAGGAGTTGGACAAAGAGGGGAGGAAGCCGATGTTTATGTTGAGGAAGTTACCTACTATAGTAACCGCCACCATCAATGAAGGGTATTTCTAAATGGTTGGAGACACGCCCGCCGGCTCGACAGAATTGCCATGAACAGTCCAGACCCCAAGCACCAGCCTACTTCCTCTTGCTATCTATGTCCAGACCTTTGTACATGACCGCCGAACGATTCCAGTCCCAGAAAGCCACATTTGGAGACGAGTCTATGAATCACCCGTACAAATTGCCAATCCCGGGTTTTACCAACAGATTGCAACTCGGAAGAAGCCAAGGCACAAGGTGGAGTCTTTACATTGACGAGGTAAGTCTACGGTGTTACTTCCATGGCTGTTCTGGGATGTGTTATCTGAGGGAATACTTGCTCATCACACGAGGTGTGATTACGAGCTTCATATCACTCGAGCATTCTGACCAGAACTTTTCCCTCAGAAACGAACTGCGGCAACTATTCGATGAGCAACTCAAAAAGATATTCCAGCTGATAGACGACCAAATGCACAAAGCGCTTGCCGTTACACCTGATTTGCAGGTCGTAAGATCGCCTTAGATGGGCATCTCTGTCTCTTTGGGAGGCGGCTTACAAGCTTCTAGGCTCATGTAGTTCTTGCCGGTGGACTTGGAAGTTCTCCATATGTTATCGAGCGGTTCAACCAGTACCTGCGTCTCAGATCACATCCATTCATCACGCCAGCAACGAGACTTCTTTGCTCTTCCAAGCCCGTGAGTGATCTATACTGCCCCCTGAAAACCTCTCGTTAGAACATCCCTTTCCCTGTTTCTTCTCTAAATGGAGGTACGAATATCATAACCCATGGCCATGCCTCCATCCGTCCATCCCTCTATCGTGTACATACCGATACACATAGTCACCACCACCGTCTTCATCATCTCTGCATCGCCTCGGCCCAACACTCCAACAACTTCCGCGCGACTTGGGGCTCGACGGGGGTGACGTTCCGCGCGACGTGCAACGGCTTGTCGGCGTTCCAGGGGTTGGTCAGGTTGCGGACTGCGGCGAAGGGGAGGCTCTGCGCGCACAGCCACTTGATGGCGCAGGGGCTGCTGAAGCGGTCGAACTCGAGCGTGGCGTGGGACGGTGAGTAATGTTGGTGTGGGTCGAGTTGTGGATATAGATATGGATTGTCGGGGTCGGGGTCGGGGACGAGGGCGGAGATAGGGACAGTTGGGGGGTGGATTGGGAATGTGCATTTGCATGTTAACTTGGTGGAATGGGATGTGGTTATGGGAGACGACGGGGATGCGGCGAGGGATGGGAAATGGGTCAGAGATGTCGGGGATGCCTCCCATATGATCCTCCGTCGTTCGGGTTGGTAGATTATAGAGCCGGACGCGACTGAGGATATCGACGATGACGACGACGACGATGCGGTCGAGTCAGACGAGGCCAGCGATTCCGTCCTCGACCTCGTCAATGACTGTGGCTGCGCGTCACCATCCATTCCCGGCTCGCTCGATCCGTAGTCATCCTCCGTATCCAAGTCGTGGTGGGAAATTACATGCACTTGGTCGTTGAAAGGGACCAAGTCTTGTTCGTCGACGTGGATTTCGGAGCGCATGGTCGCGTAGCCGAAGAAACAGCCCGAGCCGTTGACGGAGAAGATCAAGATGACTTTGCTGGCTGTCTGCGAGAGATGACCAAGAAATCCATAACTGTCAGCTGACGAGGAACACCCTTTTCCAAAACGAGAACGAAATGAAATAAATGCTTCCATGCCATTGATATTACATGCATGGATCGATCCGGGGGGGGTTCAACGTACCTGAAAGGCATGGTTCAATCGCTCAACATGCCGCTTCGGCACATGCCACCGACCAGTCTCAAGGCTCTGGTAGAGGGCGTCGAGGGAGAAGCTCTTGAGGATGAAATACTTCTCCGTACCCCAAGACGACCTGTCTGCCTCTGGAAAATGGGCGAATTCCTCGACTTTGCTGCGTAGGGATTTTGCTCTATCACAGCACATGGAACTCGCTCCGCCGAGGGGGCCTCTATTGGCAATGGTGTTGAGTCCGTAGTTGACCTTGGTCGACCTGCCCCGAGACTCGTGCCGGATGCGGCAGTCCAGACGCCTGCCCTCAAAGAGTCGAGAAGCCGCGTGCCGGATGGCCGCAAGCCGCGCGGCGTCGGAGCTGAAGTTGACAAACGCGTATCGCGCGTCTGGGTTGTAAGAGACACTCAACAAGTCCCATGCTGCCGGTTCGGAGAAGTAGTCGCGCAGATTCATGATGGTGGTGCTGGGGGGAATGTTGCCCACCCATAAGGCGAAATCGACCTGATGTCTCGAGACAGCCAAGCTTGGACGTCGAGGGGGGTTTGAATCGACTGCTTGGGTATCATTGTTAGTGATCTCGTATTCGATGTTGTGTTGCGGGTTGAGGCGACGGGGTGTAGGTGGTTCCTACCTTGTCGACACGCACCACAAACACCCATGCTTGGGATTAGCGGATGAGATTTCTCAGCGTTCATTAAAGACCTGGACACTTTGAACAGCGATATTGCTTCTCTCGAGCGTGGTGAACGGTACGTTGTCCAGAGTCAGACGGGTTGATAGCACCAACACTCGTAAGTATGCCGTCTTCGATCCATGTCACAATGGACAAACGGCGGGGATATCATAACTGAATGATATAAAGAGCAACCCGACATCTCTGAGCAGGTATTCGACTGGGAATCCAATTGCGCAAGTTTGTTGGTCCGTTGTTTGCGGGAAAGGGGGGCCAAGAACTTGCGCCGACAAAAATATGCTCAACCACCCTTTTCCCTGAAGGAAATTTGCTCATCTGCTCACTTCCGTCAACCCACGTGTAATGACCATGCTTAGGTCAATCCGGCCACTCTCCTGCGTTGTTGCTGGTGCTGGGACTGGTGCCGCTTGCTCTGCGCGCCATAGCTTACATGCGGTGTGCTTGATAGATCTGATGGCGGAAGACTATTACTCAGATATGCCAGAGTTATGCGCGTGAGCAGATATGAACCCGAATTTCAAGGTGCTCAAGGGTTCGAGGAAGCTTGTTGCCGGGCTGGATCAGATACCTTGCTAGGTAGCTCGGCACCCTGAATCCCCTTGACCCTCTAACGGCGTAGGTCAGTTGAGTGCTCCGCCCAAGCCATACAAGCACGTGACGGGTAGAGAAAGTACGTCGGTCCACAAGATGGCTGTGCGCAGCAGGCTGATTGGTGAAGAAGTTTCCACTGTCGACCCAGGACTTACCTTAGGTACCAAGGTACCTAGGGATGTTGATACCGCTGATTCACCGAGCAATTGGAGATCTTCCGGCAGAGAACCAATGTCTTTCCGCAATTCGACCCCCGGGAACGAGGCCCTCACAAGCAGTGGGCTCGGCGACGCGTACAGACACATTCTACGTCTGGGCGGCGGCTGGGGGAATGTGAGGTGAGCACGCAACGACCTTGAACACCAAAGAGATTTCCTCATTCTAACCATGATCTCCTCGGCGCAGTGGCCCGGGCATGTTGTAGGTGATATCCTCCCTGATAGCATGACAACACCCCTCCTTGTTCATCTGTTACTGCGCCAAGTTCTTACCTGCGTGGGGTTATCAGCATGGCGCGCGTCATCGTCTCCGGGACGTTGGGTTCAATTTTCATGGGCATGAGCGGCGCCTCCATCGGCGCCATCATCTTCGACACCGCCACAATCCCCTTTGTGGTGTCGGCCTGTGTGGGCTTCACTCTCGGTGCCGTTGGCTTCTACCGTGACGCCTTGCGAAAGGCCCAACGGGCCCTAGATCGGTTTCCGCAGTTGCTTCAGCTGCATTTGGATTCTAACTTCTCTCACACTGGCTTTGACACCTGGGACGCAGGGCGGTTTCGGAGCGGGGTGTTTGGGAAAAGCTGGGTGTTGCAGAGCATGCTTGTCGCCAGCTGGATGACGGCGACACGAGCAATCGAGGTGCGTATACCACTGCATGCACAATCTCATCGTCTCTTGGGCTTGGAGATTAGAGACGTGGGCTTTCATGAGGAGATATGGCTGACTGCATCTTGTGGAACCAGCGCATCTATGAAGCTGAAGAAGAACGAATTCTCCTTCCCTTTACAGTCGCGGCACAGGATGTTGATGGTGATGGAGGAGAGTGAGTCTTGAGGATAAACTGGTTCCTGCAGCTCGGGCCGTCACGAATGTCGGCGACCTGGTGCTCTTGGCGATCCTGCAACTCCCTCGCAGGTAGGCATGGTCGCGCTTTGGCAAGTCCGTGCCTCCAGATAGATGAGAGCTTGTGCGCCATTGCATCTCCACAAATAGAGGTCCAGACTTAGGGATACAAGGGTTGGGAAGAGGTAAAAGCCAGAGTGAGAGACTTGATCTACCTACGCTGAGGCAGTTGAAAGCTGTGGCATCTGGCCATGCATATCACAATTTCGTGTCTACAAGAGGAAACTTCTTTACTCGTGGTGTATTCAACGAAAGGATACCTATCGACATATGGAAAGATGTACCTACCTAGGTAGGCAGAATTGGCCCAAGTCCACCGCCCCCACGCCACACCCACACGTCATTGTCCAGATAAGCATTGCACCGGCGTCCATTGGTGGCAGGTGCCAATTATTACCCCAGACGAAGCCAGTGCAAAGCGGGGGAGGGACTGGCTACTGGCTAATTACTGGGCTTCTGGCTTCTTATTTCCGCCCTGTCCGCTCTTGAATGGCTCTCACCTCACATGTGAATGCATCCCAATCCCAAGGGAGGAGCTAGGTGGGGAGGGCCAGCACCTTCAGCTCTTGGTAATCCCTCATCACCAACCTCTGGCCTTTGTACTCTTCTCCTTGCTATCTCTACCTATCACTTACCTCCATTCTCCCAAACACAGGGTAAACCAACAAGCACCTCACAACTCCAGGCTCTTCCCCTTGGCTATCCTCATTACATCACTCCATCACCCATTTCCCAATTTAGGCAATCAGACTACCAGTGACGCGTCGTTCACCCACCATGTCCTCGCCCCCGTCCTCATCCTGGCAGGACCGCCGCTTCATGTGGCCCGCGGGCCGCGAAGTCCACGAAGGCAGCGTCCGTCGTATGTCTGGCTCCTCCGGCAGCGACAAGACCGCCGAGTCCCCCGTCCTGAACAATGCTACCCCTGCCACCGACGCCGGACCACCAGCTCTCCCCGACTACCCGCTCGTGGAGAAGAAGGTGCTCTCCAACCCGGACGCCTGGGGCGGCGACAGACGATTCATAGGCAGAATCGGAAGAGAGGTGCACGAGCCCGCCAGGAGGCTGAGCGGGTCGAGTGCAAGCAAGCCGGCCGATGTGCCCAAGGCCAGCTCGCCCCCTGCCACGAGCTCCGGCGGAGGCATTGCGGCTGCGATTGCCGGACGGAGACGGGTATGTATCCCTCCTCATAACAGTCATGGTCCCTCGGTCTCATCCCTAGCCATATCTCAAAACAATCAATCGATCCGTTCTTGTCGTGTGTAAACTGAGGCTGACACCAATCCTCTGACTGAACGCTAGTCCTCTGCCTCCAACCAAGGTGGCATCTTCTCCGGCCTCATGGCAAACCGAGACGCCCACTCCGAGCGTCGACAGGGCTGGGAGGACATGAAGAAGCCCGAAGGCTTCAGCGCATTCATGTCCGGGCTGGTCAACACGAAGCCCGCCGAAGAGAAGAAGTGATACAAATCTCCAAAAGACAGGGGGATATTCTTGCGAGCGGGAGAAAAGAGAGGCAGAATGACAAATAGCAGATGTGACCAGGGTATTTCCCATGTGATGGAGGGAGGGTCAGAGGGTGAACGATACACCCTAGAGGTGGTGGGTTGTGGCTGTGTGATTGCGATGCAGGTGAGAATGAGAATGACAGTCCTGCAAGGTAACTTGTGAGACAATTGAGTGGGTGGTTCTTGCACGGAAAATGAAGACGACCAGGACAATTTGATCCGCGCCGGCATGAAAAGGACCAAGTTACGAAAGGGAGAGAGAACAGAAGCTGTATTACCATGGCGACAGAATGAGAACACAACTTGAATAAGTGAGCGAGTTTGCTTTGACTGGTTCAGTCTAGGAAGAGTCTCATCTGGAGACTGTTTCACCTCCAGAGACCTCTGTAGGTTGTCTTCACTGTTCCTCTCATGGCCTCCTACACATGACGTGCTGGTCCAGCCTCACTTCGCCGGGGTATCTTCGCAGCAGAATGAATAAAAAAGAGTGACCTTTCCATCTTCGCGCTCCTCAATTAGTCAGTCAGTCCGTCACTGTCTCCACGCCTCCCTCAGCAGGTAGGTGGACATTTTGAATCCATCGTCTGGTTCGATTTGTAGGTTGTTTACTCGCCCTTCATGACCACCTTCTCATCACCGTCCGGAGTCTGTTGTCCACTCGACTCGTCGGCCGTGACCTCGGCGGGGCGACCGTGGATCGCAGGCCCCCTCTTGCCCGAGACGTCCAGAATGATGGATTTGACCGTGTGAACCATGGTCTTGCGGCCCTGCCAGAGCGGGAACAGCCCCACGCAGAAGGTGCTGCAGAAGAGCCAGAGGATGCCGACCACGACCCAGCCTGTTCATGCGAGAAAGAATGACCGTTAGCACAGTGAGACAGAAAAAAAAATGAAAGGGATTTCATTTTCTTGAGACGGAGGGAAAAAAAGTAGGGCTTACCGGTAAAGAATTTCTTGGAAAAGATGTAGCCCGACCCGTACATCGGCATGGGCCACAGCACCAACAGGGCAATGGTCATGAAGGCGGTCAGGCTCCTTGAGATGATGGCCGCCTTGTTCAGCTTGGTCTGCTCGGCGGCTTCCTGTTCGGCCGTCCTCGCTGCGATCTCGCGTTGGATCTCCGTGTCCACGCTGGCACGGCGGATGATCTCAGAGTCGTCGCCCCTGCGGATCGCCTTCATCGACTCCCAGTCGTAGTTCTGCTTCCCGAAGGCGAACGTGAGGATTGGGACGAAGAGGAGCGGGCTGAGCAAGGCCGTGACGTTGCCCGCCAACATGGGATTGTTGGAGCCCGTGCAGTCGACGTTAAAGACGCCGCACTCCTTCTTGGCTGTGACGAGCCAGGCGATCAAGGCACACGCGAAACCTAGCACGGGGGCGCCGGCAGCGGCTTGCCAGTTTTGGTCCTTCCACATCAGCGCCAGAGTTGCCGGGATGACCGCACTGCTGATGATACAACCCTGAAAGCATATGCAGTTAGTAATATATCACAAATGCCGATTCATGGCAGGCTTACCATGAGAAGGTAGAGGTAGCCCATGCTCACACCAGCATAGAACAATCCAGTCGAAAAAGAGGCCAGGCAAATGGCGTAGACAATACAGGCAGCGTGGGACATTCGGATCAAGAACTTGCCCGAAGCCTTGGGGTTGATGTATGTCTGGTAGATGTCGTAGGTCCAGATGGATGAAACCGCAATCAGCTCTGCAGACGAGGCTGAGGTCACGGCCATGAAGACCAGGAGGAGAGTGGCGGCCGCTCCACCTTTTCCCAGAAGAGCGACGGCGGCATAAGGGAGGACTAACCCTGCACTGACATCGGCGTGGGACATGCGGTTCGGGTAGGTTGGGAAGACTGGGTTGTTTTCCAGGGCAAGGGCAGAGAGACCCATGGTTGTAGCACAAAGCCAAGGGATTGCAAACCACGAGAGACCGCCCATCACGTAACCCGGCAGCGCGTCGACTGGAGAGGCGGCGATAGCTTTGTTATAGTAGCCATTGTCCAAGAACACAGTCCCTGAATGGATCAGCAGAATTTCACAAGATAGGGAATAACCATCGTACCAAAATTGCCGACAATGTTGATCACGAAAAAGATAGCTCCCTCTTGACTTCGCATCGTCAGATAGCTACCGTCTTTGTTGCCTGACACGGGATGTCTTTTGGCCGCATCAACCAGAAGTTGCCAGACCTTGCCTGGTGAGCCCGCAACGTCATTCGTGGCATAAGCGCTAAATGCAAAGACGAAGATGATGACCAAGATGATAACCGTGTGGATATAGTCGGTCAAGAAAGTCGCTTTGATACCGCCGAACATGGTGTATAGAACGACACCCACTGGGAGGAGGAAGCATGCTGCTGCCGTGGGGACTCCACAAAGAGAGCTGGCCACAGCACTACCTCCAGTCAAAAGCATAGCTGTTACGAGGATGTTCGTCATGAGACCGAAAACCAGGAACACAATGTGAGTCACAACACCGTATCTGGCTTTGATCACTTCAAGAAACGTGTGCGCGTTGGGTGCACGTCTTTTTAATCTTGCATGAGGGTTAGCAAGTTGTGTGCCTTTAGTCTGCAGCACTTACTCGATGGCAATAGTTGCAAACAGTAAGATCTGAACAGTGGCTCCTGAGGCGTACCAGAATGGGCCGGAAACACCATACGAATAAGCCACACCGGAAGATTGAAGCAAGGTCGCAGCCCATGTCCAGCTGGACACGACAGCGGCCGCCACGAGACCAGACTTCACAGTTCTACCTGCTGTCGAGAATTCCTCAGAAGTTTGAACCTGAAAGGATGTCAGCTACAGCACAGTGCGAGATTGGGCAATACTGACTTCTCCATGATATCGTTTCAGTGCCCATGTCGTCCCAATCATGCCCAAGGCAAAGGCAAACCCAAGGCCCAGGATGATGCCATATCCAAACCCCTTTGAGAGCGGGACAATAGCTGCTCCTGCGGTATCAGACATCTTGAATCTAAGACGCCTGCCTTACGACACTAGTTGCTGTATTTCGAGGCAGGCTTGGCGACCAAGACGAAGGCTGGTTATTGTGGCCTGAAAGTGGGTGTTCTCACCTTATATATTCCTGGGCTTGCTGTTTGGTAAAACGAAGAAGCAGGCGGCTCCCAGTAAAAGAAAGTCTGGGGTCGTGGAGAGGACCTCATCTCCCTTCACCCTGCAAGAGCACGCGATGGCTGGCGCTGAAAATTTTTCCCTGCCTTGCTGGCCCGATAACGGCACAAGGGACGAGGGGCATGATATCTTCGATCCTCTCTGTGACCAAGCGAGAAAGCTGGGGGACCAGTTGGCGTGGAGTGCTGGTAGAGTTGACCTGCATGTTGACGCCAATTACGGACCTGGACACCAAGCCCGTTTGGCTAAGTCGAAACCCTGATAAGCACGACATGGATTGGAGGAAGATATGCAGTGGAGTGGGAGGCAGATCACCCGCTGGCAAGTGACAAGTGTGTTGAAAGGCTTGTTGGGAGCCCTGAGTGACAAGCCGATTGAAAAATAGAAAACCCATCTTATCAAGAAAACCAGCCTCGCTGATTGGCCAAGCCCGACTGTCATCGGCTATCTCCTCCTACACCTTCCTTCCCTGCCACCTCTATTGAGCAGGCGCAATCTGCTTGTAGCATGCCATTAGCTTGTGTCAACGCCCAAGACCATAGGTATACTTACTACGGGGATCCCATAAGACCTCCGAGCCCCTCATGGATCAAGATAATTGGTGATGCCTGGAGAAAGGATCTGCAGGTTAATCATCCACGGGTGGCCCTCACGTTCTTTTGACACCATGAAACACTGCTGTGTGCTTTTGAGAGATCCGTTCGTCGGATCAAAGATGCCGTGCGCAGCATGTCAAAGCTCCTGAGGAGATGTTGTAGCCCTAGAATGACTGGTCATTGGTTCCTCAGGCTTTGAGTCGCTGCGACCCTAGCAGCAAAAAGCCGCTTCTCTTCCCTGGGCCTTCGAGGCAGCTGACCTTGCTTTCTCCTGGGATGCCTCTTTTTCAGTCTGCAGGGCGATAGCAGACTCAGCGCGATTGGCGAATCTTGATGTTGACTTGAACAGCAGCTCGTTCTGGTCGCAGTAGCGTGCTCTAGCCACGGGCTCGTCCTTGGCCCCGAGGCTGAATTGATAAGCCCGAATATTCAGATGCAGGCCTCTGTCGTTCGAGAACTCCATTGAGGCACGGTGCCCATCGCCTGTTCTAGATGAGACTTGCCCCAGCGAGTCTCGCTTTCGTGATAAGATCTGTGAGCCAAACTTCCAGACCATGCAAATGCAGGGATGTATACCATGTGTTCGAAGCTCTTGAATCCAATGATAAATTAGACCAGTCAAGGTTCACAATCTCTGCTTGAGGTCTATCAGGCAGGTTCTGGCGGGACAGGGTTCGGTGGTCCAGGGCTTATGGCCAATGATTCGGTCCTGTTTGATGACAGCAAAGCTTCTCGTAGTGCCCCTGCAGAGAATAGCCGCATGAGATACATGGAAGCGTAGGAGACTGGCAGGCCTTCACAGCTAATCAGAGGCGAGTCGAACTTTTCGAGCGAGCTGGAGAAGAAAAATCTGCCGTCTCGGCTGGAGATGTGGGTGGCAGGCTTCACTGGAGCAGATTCACCATCTCGTGAAGTGAAGTCGACGCATTTTCAGAGTCCTTAGTGCGTTCTCCAGCCGTGATTGCAGAAGAGATCTCCCTCCCGCTTCGCTTCCAGCGCAGGAAACGGCCTGCCACGATAAGAAACTCCTGTTCGATGTGTCTCAGCAGTTTCCCAGGACCTTAGGGGCTCCCATTGTGACAAAAGCGACGTGACCAGTCTACCGGTGAGTGTGCGGGCTAGAGGCGCTCGAGAACGAGGCGCAGTACCTTGTGTACTTGTCGTTTCAGTATCCCGTCTCATCGCATCGTTGACTTATCCTGCTATTGCAAGATTTCACGAGACCGGGCATCGGCGACGACGACGGCAGTCGAGCTCGGTTTCAGGTAGCATTTCGCCCTCCTCTCTCCAGGACATCTGTGCTCAGGCAGACGCTTCAGGTTCAGAATATTTGCAGCAATGGGTCGAGTCAAAATACCTTCTGGATTTCCGTAAGGTTCGGCAATTGCGCAATGATTAAGCATGAGAAAGCAATGCATCTCCTTTGGACGATTTTGGCCATTGCAGCCGAACAACAAAATGGCTGCACGGATCGTCCCGAGGTGGCATGAGGAGGCGTTATATTGCAGCAGACCAAACTGAGACAACACTTAACGAATTTTCACTTGAAAGAGTGCTCAAACGGTCAGGGTGGAAAGAAGGAAAGAGGAAATGCAGGCAGGATAAAGGTGGAGAGCAATCGCCTGGAGTCAAGTTAATGGCTTGCGCTTTGCTTGGACGTGCACGATCCCAGAATTACACTGAAGATATTTGGGGACCAGACAGGCGCCTTGTTGCTGGCATGGCAGTAGGATCTGTCAGATATATCGGTGCATAGCGAGTCTGTCAAGCAGTGAGCATCTCATTGGCAAAACAAGCCTCTTGCTAGTCGCTGGCTGTGCGACTGAGTTAGACACCACAAAACAAGCCAAGCACAGTAAAGACCCGAAGATATGTATTGACCTGTCTTTTCGTGCGACAAACTCCTAAGATTACAAGGCGCAGCCATCAAACAACGTTTGGCAGTCGATCCTTTTTGGGGGCTTCTCTTAATGTTCATGATGTGGCTCGCCGTGGTATCCAACTATCTTCATTCTTCCGATCATTTCACCGACGGTGAAGAAACCCAATACCTGGGCGAAGACGATGCCGAAGGTGGTCAGCTGGCTACTGTTTGCGTTGCGAATGGTGCCCAGCACGGAGTCCGGGTTGACGGCTTTGACTGCAGAGCTCGCGCTCGACGTGATGGACGCCGGATTCCGGAAGACATTAATCACAGGTTGGAAATAGGATTGAAACTGGGCCACAGAGCTGGGAGGAGTCAGTTCGAATGTGTAGACAACGTTTGTTTTCATATCCGACTTACGGAGGAGCCATCTGTTGACCCTTGAACATGATCCGTGCGAGCTCCCATCCAACGCGAGAGTAGTAGACCGTAGGCGGTATTAATGCTGCAGTCAAGTTAACCGGTGCTCTGACATCTGCCACGGTGTATTTTGCAGCATACATTCGACAAAAGAAATGACTCTTCCCGTTCTTCCCCCAACTCTGCTTAGGGCGCTGTACGCGGAGGAGCCGACTCTGGAAATTGCGGAGCCGGCGGAGCTCGAAACACGGCTCAAGCCTTCTGAAGCCTTTGACACAGCCTGCTTGGAGCTTTCTTGCGCCTTTGAGGCGGCTTCTGAGGTTGTGGAAGCTTGTCTGAAATTGGTTCGGCGCAGGAGCAATTTGGACTGCCGGAGAAGGGCGCGAGAGGTGGGAGCTGCCGACATGGCTGCTGGAGCTCCGGACGGAGCTTCAAGAGTGAGGAGAGAAGGGTGGTGAGAACGGCGGCACACCTCCTCAAGCAGTGGTGGTGGTTGTGTTGCGTTGCGGTGGTCAAACGGGACTGAGTGAAAAAAGAGCCAAAGCTGTTCGGAGGCCAAAAGTCCAATTCAATGGACCGGAAAATTTCGGGCCGTGCGAGCTGTTGATTGGTCAGACATCAGCCTGGTACCTGGCCGGAAAAACTCTCATCTATCAATTTGTTCTTCCACTTCAAGTTGACAAAGGATAATGCGAAAAGATCAATGTCGGCCAGACTCAATCTGCTTCAATTTGTGCATGTGCTTTCAATTGTTGTCTGCCTGATTATGGTTTGTTCTTTCGAAACCGTCATAGAGGTTCTGCGTCACACTTCGATCTCGTTGGACCCAATCCCTCCTCCCCCAACAAACCTCTCTCCATGGTCACAAGATTGGAAATTTCCAGCAAGAACTGTGCCCATTGTCCCGTGTCGATTACCCAACCTCTTGTTCGATGCATGTGCCATCGTCTCATCCCCACGGGTCTCACCTCCCTTTGCAAACCAGTACCGATATATTGGATCTGGTACTAAACCTGAAACAAGCTGTTTAGGCCCTAAGACCCCCAGCCGAGTTCCCCGGGAACCAACATCCCTTGAGCCCCCCGAGCCCCTGCAGCAGATCTCGAACGTTCGTCCATCGTGAACTTGTAACGTGCCATTCTTCCTCTTCGTAGACCTCTTCTCCAAGCTATGCTCACCATGTAGAGGACGACGGTCACGAAAGACATTCTCCATTTGCGACATTATCTGAAGAGGTTTGTTGGTTGGCGTTCTGGTTCCATGCCTGGGTGGTGGCTTCTTTGTCCTTTTTCGCCAGCCGCTTCTCAGCATGCGAGCTGTTGTCGAATTGTGAACGGGTAACTGCTTGTCTTTGGGTGTGCTAAGTCACAGCTGCTGAACCTGGCGGTCCTGTTGCTATCGGAATCTCTCACATTCACCTCAAATCTCTCTTGCTGCAATCTCCAAGTCAACTCAGTTCACAATCCGCAAAAACAGTAACTCCGAAACTCCGGATAGAAGCCAGGCTCATCAGATCAACGACAACATCATGGCTGCCAAACATCGACAACCTTCGTCTCAACCTCCTCAACCTCCTCAATCGCATCCTCCACGTCGGTCGCTCAGGCAAGGCCTCAAAGATGTGTTTCTCCGAACTCTACGAAGATCATCTCAGCCCCAGGCTGGCACAACCTCCCTCGGTTCTGGCATATTGCGTCGAGCAGAATCCTCGGGGTCCTTCTTCATGTCAACGACCACGTTCTCCTCCTTTGTCGAATTGCCAGAGAGTCGATCTAGTCTTGAAGGGTATACCATCTCGCGAGCAATCCCCAATCGATTTCAGTCCACCACCCACGTATCGTCACGCAAACCGCCTGGACAACAGTCACTCCTTCCTGCTACCAGCCTCAGTCAGTTCAACCTCCATCAATCTTACCTTCACCCCTCTATCGGTCCCCAACGAGCAGTTCACGATGCCATGTCGCCTTCGTTGTTGTCTGTTGCCAGTCGGCAAGCGAGTATGGCCAGTTTCTCGACCTTGTCGACCATTTCCAGCGCTTCCACTCTGAGGATCCAGGAGTCTCGTGAGGCACTTGCCTCTTCAAAGGCGAGAGCAGGGTCATACAAGAACCCCCAAGCACCAGCGGCCAAGGGTCGAACCAAACATGTCTCGTGGCTGCACTCACCCTCTGCAAGTTCTGTCTCGGTGGCCGACTCCGGGAAGCAGTCTGACGATCCATCTGGCCTCAGATTGGTGGAGCATTTTAAGTCGTTTTGTATTCTCGACACCGCCGTGGCTGGACTCCCTGTCGTCGCTACGTCCAAAGAACTTCGCTACATTTTCGACGTCGGCGAACCCTTCTTCCTGAACAACTGTGAATGCGAAGGTGCTTCGATGGACATTGTGACCGGTCAAGATGCTGCAGGTGACCCAGTCACTCACCTCGTGTTATTCACACCTCTTATCATTCCCAGCAGCGGCCGCAGCCGATTCATGCTAGCTTGCCTGATCGACGTTACTCAGTTCATCAATGACACGGCGTCACTTCCAGAACTGGAACACGAGCTCGACACGTCCACCATAGAAAGTGGAGTGCAAACCCCGTTGCAGGATCGGAAAGACCTCAGTTGGAGTGGTCGCAGCTACAAGCTCTCTGCCGACGATCTCCTTGGTGGCTGCATGTTACCCGGCGACCGAGAAACGGCGACAAAGCCACCCAAGAATGATGAGACGTCAGAGGATATTTGGCTGAATTTGGCGGAAGAAGAAAGGAGCAGACGATCATCAACCAGGACCACGGTCAGCTCGACACCGAAGATTAGCCAGGTCGCAAGATCGAACGCCTCTCACACGTCGACGACTAGCAGTACCGTGGATGAGGTGTTGGACGAGTTTATGAGCGACCTGCAGGAGCTCTATTCGGATTTTTTCCTTTTAGGCAAATCTCCGCTTGATGACACCTGCTTTGAGATTTGCAACGTTTCACCCCTACTCTATTCGACCAGAGAATATATCAACGGACACCTTTCTCGTACGGGAGCGCAGCAAATGGCTGAGTTGAGCGCATCTCTGGCCCAGGAGACGCCATTCAACATGCACGTAAAATGGGGCCCGCAGGGACTGGACAAAAGGATGTATTGTAGTCCAATGTACACGGCGAATTCCATCACGTGGATTTGTTTTCTCGTGGATTATCAGATGCCATTGATGTGGTAACAGCAGCTCGCAGCAGTGGAAATCCTTCCTGCTGTGGTCATGCCCGAAACGACGCCGAGTTTCTGAATGGGGGTTTACAGCAAGATAAGCATACGCATGTCCTTGGAATGGTATTACACAGTTGCAACAAGGTGGCAATTTACGATAAACAATAATAGCTCCAACGCCTTTGTTGCCACCGATGATCTCTCCGCAGCAAGGGACGTTCTCCGCTATAATGCTGGGTCTGCTTCTGATCGTTTTCGAGCTCTGATCTCTCCAAACAAGCGGGTATCGACAGCCAACAGGAAAATAAGTGAAACAAAGGAAATGATTGTCACTACTAGAAGGGCCGAGAATTGAACGATGACGGCACAACGTCGCAACTGGCAGGGTGGAAAGATCTTCGCGGGCGGAGTCCTAGGCAAAATCTCCCCTTTGTGGCATTCGGACGCCTAGCTGGGTCTTTGCTGGGTCTCTGCGGTCCGTCTGGGCGTTTCTAGCGGGCATTCGGCACAGCAGAATCGACAGGGGTCTGGCGGCAGGGCTACCTAAGCAAGGCAACAGAGAAAGCAGCCCTGGCCTGACTCGCCTCCTCCTCCTGTCATGGGGCGGGCCCCTCTGGACCACGCCAACGTCTAACAGTTGCCGCACACGGAAACGCGCCATCCGATCGCCCCTTCGATTAAGCGGAAGAGGCACCGAAGAGGCACGCAACGTTGGGTCGAATCTTCGCTCCTTCTTTCGCTCAACAAGACGATGGCACCCACGAGTTTTAGCGAACGAATCCACTCCAGGGGAGCCCTCGGATTTTCTCTGCCCTCATCCACCACCTTATCCACCCTGTGGTTACCCCAGTTCACAGCGCGTATCCGATTTGCAACGCCTTGTCCCCTCCGTCCGGTATCGCGGCGGCGGGTGATACTTCAGTCTCACTCAGTGGCATTGCGCTAAAGGCCTCTGATGAAAATGGCAAGGTTTAGAGTGCTCATGCTCGACATTTAAGACTACCCCACGGTTCGCTTTCGAGGTGTTGGATCCCGCTGCGGCTTCTGGAACAGAGTTCATTAGGACGAAGACATCCAAAGCCGCCGACCGGCGAAATCCACCCCAATTCCCTGGTGAACCTCTCGACAGTACTACATACACCCAACACCACCTTCGTCCGGCTTCAATCACTACCCCTCCGCGATCGTCGTGTCTCGAGCATCTTCCCATTCCTTTGGCCTCTGATCATTCCACTGCAGTGAAAGATCTCCCACCTACGTCGTCGGCCAGGATGTTCAACGAGAACTTCTCCTTCGGATCGTCCCCGCACCCGAGCTCCCTCGCCTTCAATATTGAAGAAAGTACTTCGGCAGAGATCTCTCCCTTTACCTCACGATGCTCATCACCACATTCTTCACACGCACCTGCATCTCGTCGAGACTCTCGCTTCGACGCATACAGATCTGTGCCTCGACATCCCTCAATCACTGCGTTGACAGCACAGCTGCAGTCTCAAGCCTTGAGCGATACGGAGATGCGTTCCCCCTCACCATCCCCCAGTGACATGGCTTCCCCTTCCGACTCAACGACGCTTGACGATGAAGGATACTGCGAAGGGCCAGATACACCCGCTACGACTGCATCCGACTTGTCCTTCGATTCTCCTGATATTGATCCGACGCTGTGGGAGCTCTCGATGTCGGACACAATGGTGGCTACATCATCACCTCGGCCCTCATTGTCTCTCGAAGCACAAGCATTATCATCATACACCATGCGTCGACGGCAGCGACAGGCTCTGGTGCGACTACAATGCTTAGCAACCCGAACACCAGACCTGGCTATGCTCATCGAGGAGTGCCATCCGTCTTCGTTGCCGTTGGAGACGGCGATCCTGAAGGCCTACAGTTCTTCCAAGGGAAGGAGTGACTCCTCATGCGGCGTTTCTGGAGGAGGGTCGTGTGCGAATACGATGAGCTCGGGGCGGATAGAAAAGGAACGGAGCGGCTCTGTGGTTGCTGTGAGGAAGGCACCGAGGATGAGGAAAAGGACTAGCTGAGGCTACGACGATAATCTGGATTGTTGTTTACGATGATATGGCGTGATACCAATACCAAAAGCGAAACAGGAGTTTTAATGAAACATGATTTCAAGCACATGCTGGCTGTTATCCTATTTCGATATCTGGTTCCCATTGGTTCCCTCTCTTGGTTGGGGGCGAATGACCTGTGACGACAGCCACCGGAGAAGAATCTTGAGGAAAAGCAAGTGCAAGTCGACGACGAGAATCTAATGTGGCCAGCGCACGGCCTGACGGAACCTCGTGAGTCCAGCCAGGGGTCATGCGCCACAGCCACTGGTCACTGTGGAACGAAGCCCGAAAATACGAGGCCTGATCCGAAAGGCATATGATCAGGCAGTCATCAGTGGATAGGACAAGAATGGTTCAACTCCAAGGGAAAAAGCAACGTGGGGTCATGCGAATCACAGACATTCCTCGCAAGCCTCTTCCTCAGCAGTCCAGGCCTGGAGGGGTTGGACTTGGATCCGGGCAGCGTCGCCATCTTCCAAGAGACCAATAACGCACAATCGAGGCAAACAGATGGACTTTTCCCACCCGGAAAACACGATTGATCTCACATGTGTACTCGTATTGTGATGGAATTCGTTTCCGCCAACACACAACCACAAGGAGGATGCGGACCCGCTGCTATGCTCCGAATGAGAAAAAAGATTTGGGACGAAACTCCGTGGCGTGATGGATTGGGCCGCGCACCCTTTGGGGAGGCGAGGCTTTTGTTCCACGGCGGCGATTTCCGGTCCTGATTGTGTGGCGGGTGGATGAAATGCGCTTTTGACGATTTCTAGGACAGTTACAAGGAACTGTCGAATACCCGCCAGCAGCGAGATGGCCTCATGGAAAATTGGCAAGGGGATGCATCGAGTCCAAAGGCGCGGTGTCTTGCTACATATAGTTTGTTACCCAGAGCCTTGAGGCGGGCAAGCCCAGAAAGGTTGTCCATACTGCTGTATATATATATATATATAATAAAGCGGCTGATTACTATTTAATACTCGACTCTGGCTGACTTTCGTCTCTTGAGTATACATTTGCACAGTCGCATAATATTTCTTTGTCCCGCTTTGGCCGATGAATGCGTGCCAAATAAGAGCAGGTATCTGGCCGCCGGCTGTAGGTATGGTCATGGCCATGACTTTGGTTATGGTAACGGTCATGGCTGCGATGGCATGTCATGTTCATTCCTGCAACTTCCATCGAGGGCGCTCGCAAAGATCTTGATCCGGTAACATAGCGAAACAAGCTGGTAGATTCTGCGGGTGCTCGGGTCAGGGGCCTCGTAGTAGCTATGTTTGTACCATGCATAGTCCAAAGCAGCTCAATCATGCACATCTACACACCCCTAAGAGTATGTGTGTGCATGATCGAACGGAGGACACTCGCGTACTACGTATCTAATACTCGATATACCCACTCCTTGTACCCTAGGGGTAGGTGGATAGCTAGCTACCTACCTAGGTAGCTACAGAGTTTTGCAGCGGGTGGATGGATGCCCGGCCACGATGGGAAAAGAAAAAGGAAAAAGAAAAGACCATGTCAGAAAAAGAAAAGACAAAAGAGAAAAAAAAATTCTTCCTAATGCCAAATGCTGATACCAGTCCCAAAAATCAAAGAGACGTCGCAAGCCGCCGGACGAGAGGCGGACGATTGAAGAAAAAAAGTTGCTTTTTATTATTCGTCTACCGACCTGAGAAAGCTATGCCGCCCTTAATTGGTTATGAGTAACTGGGTATGTCTGGGGTAGGCATACGTGGCTTACCAGCTGTCTAGCTGGGGAGTGTCGCTTACTCGTAGGTGCTACGCTGATCGGATGCCGACGAAGTGGGCAGTTACTAGGTGGGTTTCCCCTATTTCGTTGGGTAGCTAGGCGGCTCGTAGAGTTACTCCGCGTCCCTAGGTAGCTCAGTAGGTACGTGGTATGCAGAGGTTCATCAATTTTCCTCGTAGCTGGGCTGGGCTAGCACTCGTTTCGCAGCCCTAGCAGATTTTTCTTTCTTTTCGGCCTTGTGCTTCGACTACTAAACTTTTTCTTGCTTCCTTTCCTCACACTAAGACCACTAATACTAACCCCGCGAGAATTTTGCTTGTGTGCTAAAAGGCCCCATGCACTCGGTACACCTTGAAAGAACCTGCCGCTGTGGAGTGTGGGGAATCGGACGTACATGGCGAGCAGGTAGCCAAATGCCGATATCGCTCGACAGGCCAAAGGAGACGGGGGGAGGAAAAGAAACAAGGAAGACAACCACACCTTGGATGGGTCCGGGGTCTAAGTGCACAGTCGATTCCGCGTCGGTCTTGAACGGCATGACACACCGTTGTGTCCATTCGAACCTCGAGCAACATCCAATGACCAAAGAAGTTGGCCTGACTTGGGCTCGATGAGATCCAAATATGTCCCTTGGGTGGAGTCCAGGTTCGCTTCTGAGTCACTGTGTAACAGATCTCTTCTGTGAGGGAGCTGTGTATGTATGTCTCTTACCTTCTCTGACTCATGGGAATGCTGGAAGGCATGTCCAATAAGACTGTGCAGTGTTTTCATCATGAGGTCTTTGTGAAGCGACCATCGCAACTTTCCGCATTCATCGAGCAGTGGACCGCTTCAGCCATGCCAGAATGGTAGCTACCTCTCTTAGGTACGCCTGTTCGCCAACGAACAAACGTCAAGCCACAACAGGTGTAAAGCCGCGCCATGACAGCATCATGCTTGACCAGTCCGATTGCCTTCAATGCTAGCGCGCTCATTTACATCTTCAAATCTTCCTCATCGTGCCGAAGCGAGATCGTCTATGCACGACATTGAGACGTGCAGCCGGAGATCATGAACTGCCGTCTAGTCAGGTTCGCTCAGGCAGATCTCCCGTGGCTTGACTGCGGTACGTATCTTCCACAACTCCAACGCTGTCGTCAAGCGACGGAAGAGAGTGCGGTCAACAGAGAGAGATCGTTAGACTTCGACTTGAAAACAAACGGAGTCATACTTCGCGTAGACTCCGCGAGCAGCTCCATTTCTTCTCCGCGAGCAGCTCCATTTCTTCTTCGCGAGCAGCTCAATGAACAGATGCGTCATGGGAAATGCTGAAAGGACTTAGGCGGAGAACCTGAAGGTCTGGAGAGTCGAACCATGGACTCAACGTTCTCCGTGCGAACACCGACATCTTCGGTACCGTGTCGACTCAAGCAGTCTCATCTGACCGCATGGATTTGGATTCATTGCACCAACTCCTTCAAATCCGGCGAGGAGTCCACAGGCAACCCGATGTTGGACCGTCGAGACGACATCTCAACCCCGAATATCCCCCCGTCCTGTAAACGATATCTGACATGGACAGAACACGACCTCGGGGCTCTGTGCGAGGAGCGGCCATGGATCCTGATTCCTACCTTCTCCGAACAGATCACAACACAGCGCAACCCTCCGTATCCTCCGTACTTCGCTCGAAGCTCGATAAATCATCGGAGCAGTGCATTCGTTTCTTCTCTTGCACACATGTTTCGGAATGGTTTGGGCGATAAAGAATGCGTTTGTAAGCGGATGCTGATGCTGGGCCTGACAAAGTGGCCCGATCTGAATCTAGATTCAGCGATTGGGGGCCCCATCGCGGAAAGCTCTTCCAGCAAGCTCGTATTGCAGGTAGCTAGGTAGGACGCCTTCAAGTCTCCTCTCGTGAAGTCTCCGACTGCTGCTGTGGCCTGCTTGTCCTCTATGCAGTTGGTGTGCCGGTGCCAGGTCGTAGCGCAAATGAATAAGTAGATGGACCACGGCCCAGAGCGGGACATGGCCGTCACTAAAAGATCCAGATCCGCTCTGTAGCTGCAAGCAATATCATCACCACATCACCTGTTGCCCAAACATTCGAAGAGGCCGTCGCATGTTCCCAGGTTGCACCTCGGAAAAAGGGTAAGTCAAAGCATGACTCGCAACGCACGTAATGGACGCGACAACGTTTTGCAGAACCGAGTCGTGACTCGCCAATCGTGGAATCTGCGCTCTTGGTTCTGTCTGTTTATTCCGTAGGCAGTTGTCTTTGTCGCTTCCTGCATGCCATCGCCCGAGCAATGTTCAAGTCCAGAACTCGAGAAGTTCTCGATTCCACGCGCTCGCTTTTTCTGTTCTTGTTTTCATCCCCTAGTTTCTCCGTGTTTGCTCCGTAGGACAAAAGAAACAGAACAGTCATTTCGAAGTTGGCAGCGGCCAATTGCGTTGCTCCGTTGCTCGGACACTGTCATAAGTGATGGACACGATACGAGGTGGCATGGCATCCTATGGGTGGCATGTATAAGTCACTCCACCGCTAAGGGAACAGAGGCATGAGGAGGGCACGACCGGCTTCAGGTTCCGGAATCCACTCTGCCAGCCAGCTCCTTCTTCCTCAGAGTGGGAGCGGAATCGAACGCCGCGAACGGAAGAAGGGGCTCGCTCGTCAGGACAGAATGTGTTATTCACACACTCCGATGACTCCATGCGTGAGAGCTCGACTGCTGGCATAGTGATCTGGCTACATACGTACCTCTGCTGTATCATTTTGTGTGCGTGGATGGACACCTTGGCATGCAAACAGGGAGAGGAAGGCTTCAAGGATTCAAGGCACTTCATGCGGTCGAGGTGATTCCTCAAGAAGGAACAACCGTGACGAAGTTATACCTATACGTAATGTGCCCGTGGTCTCAATCACTGAGATTTTCTATGAACGAGGGGGTGTGCACAGGAACAGAGGTTGGAAAGAATATCCGGACATCCCAATTCCTTTCCCCCTTCCCCTCTTTCCTTTACACAAACAACGCAAAGTGGCTGGAGAGTGTAGTACATTCCCTTTGGTGATCTAGATAAGCGCCAACGACGTATTGCAGATCTCGCGGGCATGCTGCCAGTCTCCAGAAGAACAGGCAGCGAGGGGACATGAGCAGACACAATACTCCGATACCAATCTGAGGTTCTCTGGCTGAAAGCTGGTCTCCCATCTCGGCTGTCGATCGCTCGACGGACGACAAAAGTGAATGTCATCACGGAGATCTAACGGATCCAAGAAATCAAGTTTCGTACTCCAGCCTCTCGGGCACACCTGTCTTGGGGTTTCGCAAACATCACCGAGCAGACCCGGAGCAGAGGAGAACAGCTCGAAAGTTCTCGGACAACTTTTGCTAATATGTTCTAAAGTCGTCTTGTCTCCGTGATATCATGATCAAATTGAAAGTTTAGCGGAGGACGAGGAGCGGCAGCGATACTGTTCTGATGGCTCTGATGAACATCGATGTGAGATCTCCGATGCGTCGTCTTCGGAATTAAATCGGAGGACTGAGCTGTTCGTCTGTCAGGAAAAGGAGCGAAAGTGTCCAACGTTGGCTCAAGGAGCCATCAGCTGCTGAGCAGTGGCTCGTTAGCCGGAGAGATCAACCGTGAGAAACCCCGACGATGTCCATTGGAGGCTGAGGAGCACCGCCGCCAACACCAGCATCCGTGCCTCAGTGACACAAGCCTAACGCAATTCCCGTGTTCTGCGGACTGTAGCCCGAGTCCAGAGACCAGCTCAATGCCGGGTTCCAGCTCATGGCGGATGTTTCCCCGACAAAAATTTCTTTGGCGTTTGCGACATCCCAGGCAGTTTTTGCAGAGCACATGCATGAAGATCTGGTGGGATCATAAGCGAGGGAATCGCGGAGCGACCCGCTCGGAGCGTTGCATTGGGCTCCGGCACGGCTCCTCACGTAAGGGAAAATGACTCGAATAGTGCCATGTGTCTGGGTACGGCTTTCTGGAAGGACAGGTGGTGTTCCACTGCGACTCGGATGTTCGATGCCGTATGGGAGAACGATTTGGCGTTTGCTTCTGTCTCCAAGCTTGCCACCAGATACGGGTAGCGTTGTCGGCTTTTGATCTCGGCCAAAATTCGCCGGGTCCAGAAGTATTTCGTACTCCTGTCGTACCGAGTATTCGTCCCTGTAAGCCACAAGTCGCACAGCCACAGGAAGCTACCACCTAAGAGAGTATAGCTGGCTGGCTGAGTCTCGACCACCGCTAGAGCGTTCTAGACCCCTTGAACAGACGACAGTCAACGAGACACGCCGCGTGATTCGTATTGCGAGCCCTGGGAACGACCTCAAATGTCAATTTGCGTTTCTAGCATTCCACAAGATCACCTCGTCACGTCAATGTCGGCTTTGTCGCCGTGTCTCCGACAGAGTGATTGACACCGGTGCTCAACCGGGGGCTTGCACATGGGTCCCCTGAGAAAGCGACAAGACCCGACCTGGCGCGACTCGACTTCCATCGACCGTCCATCGGGCGAATCTCGATAATCGAGAATGAGCCCACTGGATGTCTTATGCTGCACAAACAACCTTGTGTACTCGGGATACCGGAACGTGCCATCTCTTCGGTGTGGTCTCGAGTCAGTTCTTCCTATTCCTCGAAGTGGTGGGGGTCTCTGAATGAAACCTCGGAATTGTAAGGCCTGACGTGCCAGCGCTTTCCCTTGAAGGCAATTTCACTCAAAGCCTTCCCACTCCGCATTTTCTTGTTGTTGTTGCGCCTTCCGTTTTGCTCGTAGACTCCCTTCGAGAGCGCCGCGCTTGCGGTTCGTTTCCCTTCTCTCGTAACCACTCTGCGTCCCAATCCTTGCCTTCCGCTTCATCCGTTTGGTTTCCTCGTCATCGTCGGCATGTATAGCTCGACGAGCCTTCACACCATGTAATTTGAGGTCCTTCCTTGCTGATTTGGAGACACTAGGAAGAGCGTGGAGTAACCACGGCTGGATCTCAGACGTAACGGATGAACCTAATTCATTGCTTTCCGTGACACGAGAGTCTTTGGTGGAACCGTCCGGGTTTCTTTGCGTCTTTTGACTGGCAGCGATCACGTTCGCTATGCCTTTGACATATTGAATATCCTCTTTGGTGTAGAAGCTGACACAGACACCACCTTCTCTCCCTCCTCTCCCAGTCCTTCCCGCGCGATGGACATAGCCAGCAACAGTGGTCGGTATATCATAGTTCACAACCACATTTACTCCTCGGAAATCGACGCCACGCGACAGAAGGTCCGTCGTGATCAGGACCCATATTTTTCCCTGTCGGAAATCCTGCATGATAGATGACCGCGCACGCTGCGATAGGGAAGCATGAAGAACCGCCACTCGGGATGAGCCACCAGCTTGGGCGGGAATGTCGTACTGGAGTTCGTTGTACAATGCTTGGGCACGGTCTACCGTCTGTGTGAAGACAAGAAATGGCGGCCGGAGTGGCGCCACGTCATTTTCCTGACGTTTGGACATGGACATTGACCGCGACGGGTGAAGTAACTGCCGCATACCGAGAAGCTTTCCGGACTCTGCTGCAGTGTACACCAGTCTATGCGAGATTGTCGGTAAGCTCGTGTCTTTCAAACCAATAATGGTCCGGATGAGTAATGGGCCTTGACTCCGAGAGATTTTGAGTTTTCTTTCGCGGTCTGAAATGGTCTGCACCGCAAGCTCCTCGATATTTGATCCGATAGTCGCTGACCACATGCTCGCTCTCAAGGAAGGCGACGTGCAGGCGGACCAAACAGCAAGCGTCTGAGATCGGAAGAGCGGATCAAGGAGGACATCTGCCTCGTCAAATATCAGGCTTTCAACGTCGGGTAACGGTCGCAGAGCCGGGTCTTCGTCTTCTTCCCAAGACGGACAAAGGAGATGCACCAGGCTGAGCGGCGTCGAGACCAAAATGTCAGCTTTGACAAGAGCGGAACTTTTAGAAGACACGTCTTCGCCGCCATTTCCATCCTCTTCTGCGTCTTCTTCAGATTCCTCCTCATCCGACGGTGCTAGTCCTTCGAAAAGTCTCATTCCTTTCTTTACCGCTGTGATAGTCACGCCCGTTCTCGCTCTCAGCTTCCTTCCCTCGTTGACTATCTGGAAGACCAGCTCTTTTGTGGGAGCTAGAATGATGGCGCGAACGTGTCTGTCAACAGTGGGTCCAGAGTGTCGATGCGCCCTCGAAATCTTTTCGATCAGTGGAATAAGGAAAGCGAGAGTTTTGCCGCTACCTGTCGGTGCGATGGTCAAGAGATTGGGCTCGAGCTGTTGCTTTTCATCCAAGTCCTTCAGTAGCAATGGCAAGGTTGCGATTTGAACTTCGGTCGGCTCAAAATATGCCTGATCAGATATATTCCGTGCCAGAATAGCGTTGATTTCGTAGTGCGCACGCAATTGAACGAAGGATGTGAGCGGCTGAGGAAATAGGCGCGATTGTTCCTTCTGCGTCTTTCTCGACCCTGACGACTTTCCCAGGGATCGAAACCGGTTCAAGTCCACAATCTTGATCTTGTGCTTCTTGTGAAGTTGACGGATTTCCTGCTCGGACAGCTGGCCAGACCTAGTCGCTTGAGCACCGTCACGGTCTGGTTCATCCAGCTCTCTCTTTCGTTTTCGACTCGTGTTAGATTCTGATACATCTTGACTGGGCGTTTGGCCTGATGCAGAAGGGATATTTTGTGGCGACGGTCTTGAAATTTTTGATTTCAGGCCGGTCGAGCGGGATAGCAGTTTAAGAGCATCCATGGCACACCTCAATGCTTACCGAGCACCCTCTTGAGTGGTATAGGATCAAAGTGTCGCGATGCACCGAGAAGGCATGCAGACGGCGTTTGTGGCGGTTTCTCAAAGTTGTTGCACTCCTTCAAAGTATCAAAACCTTCCAGGTTTGAAACTTGAAGCATGCCGACAATTAGAGTTTGATGCCAAGGTCTCGGATCATTATTATTCCGAATTGACCAAGGCATCCGCCAGTCGGCATTTTGAATCTACCAGGACTGCAAATACTCCGTAAAAGGTTACAGATGTTGATTGTACGGTGCGAGACATTGACTAAGGCAGTTTCCAGCTATATATCCCTACTTGAGACAAACAAGGGTACGTACAGAGATGCTCCGTTCGAGCCGGTAACTAGTCAAGAACCGACCATTTGACCAGCCTGCATGCATCCGTTATATTGGACAGCATGGTGGTATCAAGGACAATTGAGAAAGAAGAGGAAGCCTGCTGAGCTCAGAATCAAATGACCAAGCTGTCGGGACTCAGAAACTCGACCTTCCCCAAGGTGGGAGTATCGCTTCGACGGGCTGATCGGCTCGGTTATACTCACACTGGAAACGATGCCGTCCGGAACCCACCCAGCAATCATTAACTTCCAAACCTTGAGCTCTTCGATCTCGCACGTTCGGCAAAATGATACGTGCGTGGGTGTTTGGGGGTACCGCCACGTCGACGATCAATGAATCACCATTTAACTTCCACCGACATTCGATGCGCCCATAAACAGAGTCATATATCACTTCTGCGTGCGACAGCATTCTGTTGACACACGGCTCGATCACGACAGTGCTCCAGCCAGGATCGGCAGCTTTGATCCCGCCAACACATTCGTGCAGCCACTTTGTGACCGCACCTAAGGCATGATGATTGAAACTTGTCATACTGGCCTTGTTGATGTGTCCGTCAGGCTTCAGACTGTCCCAACGCTCCCAGATCGTTGTCGCGCCCATGCGTACCGGGTAAAGAATCGAGGGTTTGGACCGCGATAGAAGCATCTGGTACGCAAGGGTGTCCTGATGGATCTTCGTGAGGCTGGAGAGCAGAAATGCAGTGCCGACAAAGCCGGTGGAGATGCGAAAGTCGTCAAATCGTAGAGCACGGGAGAGGCGGGCGGCTGTTGCATGCTCCCCTGAAGCAGAATGAGAGTTTTCAAAGGATGGGAGGAGATCAAAGGCGATGGCGAGAGCAAGAGCCGTGGGTGTGTCAGGAGCGAGAAGTCCCGCAGGCGTCACATATTTCGTTCGAAAAGCCGCCAACAGTTGCGATTGAACGGTGCTGAAGTGAGCAAAGTCGTCTGATTTTTGGAGTCGTTTGGCGATGAAGGCCATTCTCTTTGTCGACTCAATGAGGAAACAGTCTGCGACAAAAGTACCATCTGTCCGACCTCTTCCTGAATTATTGGGAGGTGCGGAGGGGTCTAACCAGTCACCGAATTGCCATTGGTAGCGATCCCAAAAGCCATCTTCGCCGCGTCGGACACCGTTCTCAAGGTACTGCATCATGCTATCATATTGGCGTATCAGAATATCGATGTCGTTTGTCATCATGTAGAGCTGAAACGGTACCATGACTGCGGCATCCCCCCAAACGCCGTTCGGCATGTGATGCCATCCATTGTCTTCAGGACCAAGCCCCGTCAGACAATTTGGTACATAGAGCGGCACCATGCCTTTCTCCCAGTCCTTATGCTCGTCCATTTGGTCGGCGTATAAATCTTGCAACCAGTCTCCCAGCATACCGCCAGTATCGTAGAGAAACGTTGCCACAGGTGCAAAAAGGTTCAAGTCACCCGTCCAGCCAAGTCTCTCATCCCTGGACGGACATTCAGTCGGTACGCTGAGAAAGTTGCCTCTCATACTCCACACAGTGTTCTCGTGAAGTTGGTTTACCTCCTCGTTAGAACAGGAGAACCAGCCAGTCCTTCGCATATCAGAGTGCATCACTTCTGCAACGAGGCTGTCCTTGGTTAAGGGCATCTCAATGTCCTGCTCGGACCACCCCGTCACTTCGGCGTATCGAAAACCATGAAAAGTGAAATTGGGGTGCCAATCCGTCAGAAGTGTTCCTGCGCATATGATGGTGTCTTTGGCATCGGCTGTTCGTAGCGGCCCTGTTCCCAGCTCGCCATTTTCCATCACTTCCGCATGACGGAATGTGACTTTGTGTCCTGTCGGTTTGAGGAGATGCCTGATACACAGCCGACCAGCGATATTTTGTCCAAAATCTATGATGGTCTTACCAGACGTCGATTTCAAGAATGATTTCGGCGGAAGACGTTCCGTTACGCGGACTGATGGCCCGTTTGGTGAGATCAGAGGTGCGACAGCAATACTTGAAACTCTGGTCTCAACCCATACGGTTTGAGACAGCTCTGCATTTTCCCTGGTGATTTCGATGGCTCGTTGCTGATCAAAGACCTCTCCGTTGTAGATCTCACTGCTCAAAATGGCTGAGTTTGTGGCTGACCAGGAAGAGTCTGTACAGACAATGAAAGGCTCATCAGTGCCTTCAAACTCCACTTCTAGTTGCGCCAGGACACCAAGCTCAGTGCCATAGACAAACCTCCGGCAAACCCATGACAAAGCAGACGCGAACCACCCAGGTCCCACGTTGACCAGAAGGACGTTGTCTACGCCAGGGAGAAGGAGGGTTTCGACATCATGTATTTGATAGTGGAGACGCTTCTTGTAGCTTTGCCAGCCTGGTGCCATGCATTCGTCTGCTGTCGGCTTGCTGTTGACGCTCGCGTAATAGACCCCGTGGCTGGTGATGTATAATCGAGCCTTCTTGATCTTCCGGTCGGAGGGTAAGAAGAATCGCTTTCGAAAGGTCAAAGGTCGAGCCGATCCGTCTTCGTTGCGCAAGATTGGATCCTTGAGCGTTATCATGCTGGCAAACCAGTCATGATTGTCAAGTAGAGCGGCCTCGACCAAGCTCCAGTCGGACCAGTAAGAGACTTCGGCTAACTCTTGCGATGTGGTCCCTTCATATCGACGACAAGTACCATAGCACCGGACTCGAACTTCTCTTTGCTCCCTGGACTTCAAGCTGCCACATAGGTTAGGCCAGGGGACTAACACCGAGTGTGCACTGTCTACATGGTATAACCCAGCCTCACCGCCGTCGATCGAACGGACTTCAAGGTCATAGGCCGTCTGGACCCAGTCGTAGACATGATCATTGGTGGTAGAAAACCGCCATGAGATTCTGGGCCTCGAAAATTGGACACCGAAGCCAGAATGATGCTGCTCAAAAGTGGGAGCCGCAACCTCAACTGAGGAGATGGGAAGCTTCTCTGCTAAGTGATGGCTTAGAGGTGAATCAGTCATGCTGCGCCTGAGCGTTGCAAAGCGACACAGAGAATGATAACCCCACAACAACCCTGCGGTTTATCGGGCATCTCCCCTGTCCTAGACCAGTCAGCGATGCTATCAGTGTGCTTACCGTTCCATTTCAGTCAGGAGGGATGGACTCGCCCATCCATGAAGACATCCTAGCAGTAGGTGAGGACCAAAAACATATCAAACTGACCGACGCGTGTCGATAACGGAAGTTGGAACCGGAACACGAAGCGAAGGTCGCGGCGCTCGAGGGCATGGAGGTGGCGCGGCATGTTTGACGCATTTGCACATGCCCCTCCATGCTACCACTCTAACAACTGTTCCGCCTCATTCTTCTGCGTCATCAAGATTGAAAACAAAGATAGAAATGCTCCTCCAACATTTGCCAGATGACCCAGAGACTCGCAGAAGCCTCTCATTGCCCGTCTGAAGTCGCGTCACTCCCCCGAAAATGGTCATCGGCCTTCTCATCCTCACCTCCATTCCTACCGTGACAGGTGTCGCACAAGCCATTCATGGGCAAAAGAAGCACAAGGAGCGCGAGAAAGATGCAAGGCGCATGCAAAAATTCTACATCGATGTCTACTGTGAAGCCCAGAGCTCACGGACACGTGAAATCCACGACAAAAGGCTTGTTTTGAGAGATGACCGCGTGTGGATAGGGCCGCATGAAGCGTTGAATCCGTGTAAGGAAGGATATGTCGCGGAAGCGTTTTATATCGAGTATCCCGACAACGAAGTAAGCGAGCCTCAACCCAAAATCGAGCCTTTCCATGTAGGTATTGGACTGACGCCTTCGTTCCAGAGAGTTCCCGTCCCCATCGGCCTCGTTAGCCAAGTTCGAGATGATCCTCCGCTGTTGAACTGGATATATGTGGACAAGGACACAATGGAAATAAAATATGGCAACAAATCAGCAAGCATAGAGCATCACGTCGGCCCGTGGGATTGGACAGAAGATGAAGAGGGTATAACTTTTGATGAAACCGAGGCCTTTGTAGCAGTCGAGGATCCTTCAACACGACAATGGCAACTGTACTATGACATGGACAATGATGGACTCAGTCGTTTCGTCCCAAAAGGGAGGCGGAAATTTCAGATCAGCCTGGAGCGGACTTTGATACCTGGGGCAGAGGGAGGGAAATAATGAAACTCATGTACTTGTAACTTGTAACTTCTAAACATCTGTAAATCAAACTGGCGTGGATAGGTATATTGTTACTTCAACCAGAGAACACCCTTTGCTTTTGCTTCAGACTACTTTGAAAGCCTACTTCTACTTCTCATAATGTAGAGGTGCTCATAAATCCGGAGTGAGACAAGCCTGGCGCGCAAAATAGAGTCACTCTTCACTGTTTATTTTTCTTCCCCGAAACATTACTTTTTCAAGGCACCGCCTCAACCTCCTCCAGCTTTCATCGATGACTGTCACCTGCCTGCCCCCTTTCTCTCCTTACATTCTTGAATGTCCAGGGCCCCCATGTCTGGAAAATACGCGGCTCACCCCGACCCTCAGTGGGAGATAATCGGTAGAAGAGGGCACTGGCAGGTCCTCCCAATCAAGCCCTACAGTGATGGAGATCAACGAACCTGGCCTCCCAAACCCTATCGGCCCAGTTCTGAAGAACGGCACTTGGTCAATCTGGCAAAAGTATGGTCAGAGAAGATGGGTATTCAACGACTAGGTGAGAAATATTGTCACACATAGCGTCCATCCTCGCAATGTCGCTCCGTCAGACGATTCGGTTGGGCCTGGCCTCGTAGCATTTAACGAGATGGACATTCGAAGCGTACTGACTTTGGACATAGGTTTTGAGTACTATCTCGACAAACTTCCTCTTGGCTACGCCGTGTTCGAGATCGATCAACACGGCAAAACAGGCGTAGCCTATAAGCGACTCTTTGGCCACCGGTCTGGCAAGTACTACGACTCGATTCTTCGGTTTCAACCACATTTCCTTTGGTTGATGTCGGGAATGCAGGGCATTTGTGAATGCATACTCTGCGGCAATCACAAAGCAGAACCGATTAAGCGTCGAATTCGCCACCCTGCGGAAAGCATTCTAGTTACGAGGGAACAGCGAGCGACGCTTGATCCTTTCAAAAGTGAACCATCGTCGAGGTCAGATTCCGTTGCTAGTCGCGCGACCGGGGCAATTTCAGCGCGTCCGCAACGCCATATCAAAGCTGTGGGAGCCCCCTATGCCCTGGACGCAGAAGGTACGGAAGATGTGTTCAAAGACCAGTTGAAGAGGCTGGAGGCCAACAAGGGAGGCAAAACGGGAATCGAGGACGACATCAGGGAACCCAATTCTATCGATTGGAGAGCTGAGCACTCCTGGACCACTCAAAGTGTTCATGATTGGCCCGGTGTCGACCACGTTCAGCGGAGTTTGACTTTGATCGAACATCAACACGCCTTTGTGCCTAGAGTTGGGGAATTGGTGTTATTCTGTCCAATATTTCTTCACGAACACTACCTCATGCTCGACGAGAAGACACAGGAATACAAGTTCTACTCCTTTGAGCAGAAATGCTTTCATGGCTCGCCAGTCTGGAGAGGAGGAGTCATTGCGGCTGTGCCGTCTGCTATTGCAACTGATGGGCCCGTCGACTTCCCTGATATCCAAGACCTTCCCTCGAAGCAGACCAATCTGAACACTGGAGGCTTCCGAGTGGAAACATTTCCAGATCCCAATGATGAGGAAGATAAATCAATGTCTAAACAATACCGGTATCTTCCTTTGCGGAATATCCGACCCTTGAGTCACTGGCAGATGTTGCTCCGTGGTATTCCCAGAACAGAATGGCACCCATCAATTGAATACGCTCTGACTTGTATGACCAGTATCTCGCTTCTGGAGAAATGGTATTTCAAGGGGGACTGGCCTTACGCCACCATTCGATGCAAAGGCATCTACATAGGGCCCGAGCTCATCACGGTTGGCGACGCCGTCAGGATCGCACCACGGCAAAAGGCCAAAGGATGCAGTGATGTGCTGGTTGTTGAATCGATCAGACTCCATCTTGACGATATCAAACCGGAGCACGTGTCTCCGGACTCGCCATTGCTGTCGACGAGGTCATACATAACGCTCGTTGGCAGAGGCTACACAACTGACAGAAGCCGTCATTACCAGCTCCAAGCCGCCGATGCCAACTCACAACCAAGTGGTGCCCAGGCGGTGCCTCAAGACGAGGTCAAGACAGTATTTCGCCCCGTTGGCTCGGCAATCTATGGTCACTGGTACCCCTTACACGCACCTCATCATCGGTATGAGATATCGCACGACCAAATCCTCGGAAGACTGTACGAAGCAGCAGCTGTGCAGCTGTGGACGGGTTTGCTGCAGCGCAAACGTGCCAACGGCGACAAAGATGACATCAAACCATCGCTTGATTACGACTTGAAAGGCATCCAAGAAGGTCGCGTCTACGCTACACAAGCGGATGAAAGATTGGCCGAGGCAAAAGAGGGCTCAGTGCTGTGGTACTGGGCCGACACTCGAGCCGAAGCATTAGATCTGCAAACAGTGAACGGACTCGAAGTCGGCAAATACGACAAGACCCGAGACAAGGACACGTTGGAGCTTTGGAGGACGCATCTGAAAATCCTCAACGGCCAGCAATTTTCGCTTGACACGATTGCCTCGCAATACACCTCCAACTTCCCCGATTCCGAGCAGTCTGGAAATAGACGAGGAAGGCCAACAGGCTCAAAAGTCATTGAGGGCAAGCTATATAAGCCTGGGGATCCTGGATATGACGATATTATTGGCGGAGCTGTTTTGGAGCTCCAGTCAACTCCAAGCAAGCATAAAGGCAGCCAATTGGCAGGCGCAGCGCTTGTGTCCACAGACGAAGAAGATGATGATGAAGAAGTCTCGGGGGATGGTGGCGAGGATTGGTATGATACAGTAGAAGCCTCGGCAGAGAGTCAGACGATCGAAGAAGGAAGGTCTGTGCCAAATCAGAAGAAGCCGAAGACAAAGGCGGAGATCATGGCCAGCGCGGTTGAGGACGAAGATATCTCCGAGGACGAAGACTGGTACAACGACCACATTCCGCTAGTTCGAGGAGGAACAGAAGAGACAGAAGGCGGCGATTACGATCCTAGAGCCGAGATGGATGATTAGCAGAAGTAAAGACAGCCGGAGGGTGGCATCAGGGAAAAAAGAGTGATGTTAGCTTAAGCTGCATGATTGCTCCACAAGAGTGGCTGGAGTTGGGTAGCGACTGTGCTGTCGGTTGAACGGACAAGGAGATACCATATCAGTGTTAACGATCGGGGACGAAGGCATCGAGGATTGTGGGTTCGTGAATGAACATGGATGATCGAGAATACTCTGTGCTTGTAACGAAAACCTGAAAACAGCTTAGCGTTATGAACTGCCAAGACAAGTCACATGTAAACCACTGGCATCGGAATAGTTTCCCTGCATAGAATCGTGGGCGAGGGCAGAGTCGCAGTCTTGGCATTTCCCACAACCAAAATTTCCCCGTAAGTTGCGGCCATCATTTTCGAGATCGAATTGACAACAACGATTAGGACCATCTCATTGCTCCCACACCCCTCAAGATGGTATGTGCCTTTCGCCCTTTGAATGAATTCTCTTGAATTTTAAATCTACGCCGATAACTGACTTCTGTTCACCAGGTCCGCTACGCCCCCGCCGACCGCATTCCCAGCGCCCGCTCGGCTCGAAGCCGTGGCAGTTACCTGCGAGTCAGTTTCAAAAACACCCGCGAGACTGCTCAAGCCATCAACGGATGGAAACTCGAGCGCGCCCTCCAATACCTCGAAAATGTCAAGCAGCTCAAGGAGGCTGTGCCGATGAGAAGATATGCGGGTAGCACTGGACGGAGCGCACAAGGTACGAAAACTCTTAGATTTCTCAGAAGGAGGGAACAGGTCGATCAACTCTGGGCGCACTGTATAGAGAGCTTGGAGCGGTAAATTTTTCTACCAGAGGATCAAGACCACTGAGAGACGGAATGCTGGTTTATTGTCGAGCGGGGCTCTACACGGCAATATCAACGGCAGGTTGCTAACGTGTCCTCCCCTCCACAGGCAAACAATTCGGAGTCTCAAAAGCGCGCTGGCCCGTCAAGTCGGCCGAATTCCTGTTGGGACTGCTCAAGAACGCCGAAGCCAATGCCGACACTAAGGGTCTCGACACTTCGAAACTCATCGTCAAACACATCCAGGTCAACCAAGCGCCGAAGCAGCGACGTCGCACATACCGTGCCCACGGTCGTATCAACCCCTACATGTCCAACCCGTGCCACATTGAACTGATCTTGACGGAAGCCGAGGAGCCCGTGACCAAGGCCGAGGAGTTGGGTGTCGCCAGGGGAACGAGATTGTCCACCAGACAGCGAGCTGCTAGGAGACAGAAAGCCATCACGGCGGCATAAAGGGGTTTGATGAAGATTACTCATTGTGTTCCTTTTTTACTCCTCCCAGATGTTGATTGATGGGGGTGGGGGACGGTGTGAGCAGATACGAAGGGGGGCTTTTCTACGCTTGCAATGGGGAGTCCATGGAAAAGAAGTGATAGTTGGGGGCTTCGGAATGATCCTAGATGAGCTCGTTCGTTGCCCCGGACATGGTCGGATGGCTTTGCTCAAAGCGACTGAATGAGAAAAGCACCTCAGCATATCCGTGGCTGGTGCTTTCGACAATACAAAAACAATGAATCACAGTGCATCTCCTATGCATTTTCCCGTGATCCTTGCCATACATAGAGCCGCCAACCCCATGTGTCATTGGCCTGTTTACCTTCCCCTTCATCTTGCTTGCTGCATGTCAATCATATCCAGGTTTCAGATACTTCCCAACTCGTACCGTCCTCGATCGCAATCAGTGTGACGATCAACACCCCTGTCCAGCAGGAAGGCAGTCGGGAATAGGGCGACTTTTCTTAGAATATCACAGATAGATACAGGTTGAAATTCACAGCCAAGAAAGCAGGGAATCTCTCGATTCCACCTCCCGTTTGTCCTCCCCAACCCATCACGGCGGCAGCCCTGAGTTTTCAAGGGGACGAGCCTGACGTCTCCCGACCAGCATCCGTTTCCCCCCTGCACTCATCCGAGGTATGTCATTGCGGGCTGGGAAGAAATATGTGAACGAGTAACTGCCCCCACCGTAAGTAACCTATTAAGTCAACCACTTACTAGATAGGAAAACGCACAGGGTCAGGACCGACGGTCTCCCCACCTACCAATCCGACTCAAATGATGTAATCGCTTTTGGCTCGCTGAGTACCGTCTCTGCAACTATTGTATATTGCACATCGGTGCCGTACCCGGTACATATATGTACATAATAATATGTACCTCGTACCCCACATCTACTCAGTGGGCCCCCACCAGGCTGACCCTGAATAGGGGAGGTTTGAAAAGTGGGTAGAAAGGAACTGCGCACTTCTTCAACTCATTGAAACTACTCATCTCCTCGTTGACTTGACTCATACGTGCACTGTTTTGTCCAGACAAAATGAGAAGGAGGAGGGGGGAAGAGAAACGGGTGAGAAAAAGGGGGGGAAATCGTAAAACGCAGGCAGTTCCTCCAGGAGTCTAAAATTATTCAATGGTACATTACATAGAAAAAACAATCTTGTTTGCGGGCCACACCTCTTGGGCCAAATCATACCTTAGCCTCGTATCTTCAGTAGAGCTTTTGCCAGTTGTATTGCGATCCTTTCTTTTTTTGGGCGCTGTTCTGTGCACGGTCTACATTTGTACCTCCACCGGCACTGCATGGCCCCCAAAAGCGACGGGCGTCAACGTCGAGAGGGGGCCGTGTTCCCACAACCGCCTAGGGCCAGACACTTTCTCTTTCCGTTTCCCTGCTCGCAGCGGCCGCACGTTTACGAGAAAAGGTATGCCACAGCGGGAGCCAACAGGGTACCCACAAGCGACCACTCCAAGGCCACGACACCAAAGCTCGAAGAAGCGGCGTTGCTGGTCGACTGTGCCGAGGCGCCGGTGTTGGTCGTGCTGCCAGACGCAGTGGTTGTGGTGGCAGTGGTGGCAGTGGAGGATCCAGAGGTGGTGGAGCTAGAATTCGACGCAGCGCTGGACGCCGAGCTCGAGGCCGAGCTGGAAGAGCTGCTACTGCTGCTGCTGCTGGCGTTGGCGCCGGCATTGTCCACGTTGGCGACGATGACACCGCCGAACACGCTGGACGGGATTTGGCCCGATTGGCCGCTGGAGGCTTTTTGGTAGGCGGCAAGAGTGTTGCCGTTCGATCTGTAACAGTAGTAGTCAGCAAGCAGCGTCAAGAAGAAGGAAAAGCACAGGATTCGCTTTCTTACGGTGGGTTAATGACCAGGGACATCCCCGCGGCACAATGCCCAACTTGGCCACAGTAGATCCAGATGGGATCGGTGGAGTTCACTCTCATCGAGAACATCTGACTCGCCTGGCCCGAGTTCGAGTTGATGACGCCCGAGTTGATGGCATTTCCCGAGATGGGTTTGCATGGGCTGTCGAAGGATGACTGAGTCACAGTGTGTTCGCCAGGGTAGAAGTGGAAGTTGACAGTGTCGCCCATCCCAGCCGTGACCGTGTCGGGAGAGTATGTGAAGCCGTTCTGGCCCACGTTGACATCAAATACTGCTGCCGATGCCAGGGCACCCAGGGAAAGGAGGGCGTAGCTGCGCATGATGTTGGATCTAGTGTCGAATGGAGTTGTTGGCGTTTCACGGTAGGGCACGAGGGTGTTGATCGTGGAGACGGGTTGAGCTCAGGGGAAAAGCGAGGCTTCGAGATGTCGGGATATATAGCCTGCCTGGCCAGACGAACGACAGGGCACCCAACGGGCAACTTGCGGGTGGCTTTTTCAGAATGCACAGTGGTATCCTCCCTTCGCAGACACAGAGGAGATCTCCCTACCTGCAACATGCTATTTTTGTGCCCATTTCTGAAGAGTTACGTCGTCTCTTGGACGTGAAATAATGGCTCGGCAGCCCATCAATGACGACGCACACACACTCGAATACGACAATCTTCGTACAAGAGGCGATGGTTATAGATCCAGGGCAGAATGCGGTCAGCGCACGACACCCATACAACGGGGATTCCCCGGGTTTTCAGCCTCTTTGTGACGACGGGGGCCACCGGATACTATTTTCAGCCTTGGCTGTCATTGTGGCTGATGGGAGCTGACTCTCCAACTGGAAGGGGTGGGGATGATGTGCACAGGGAGGGTGCCATGCCACATCATTGGGGGGGCTTGTTGGTTACACCTGAAGAGGGTGCCATCACAGAAGGGATGCTGACAAACAAAATGAAGATGAGGAACTCCTGGGAGAGAACAAGGGGACAGTTGGTAAAAACACTCATTGTTCAGAGTTGGGGCAGAGTCCATCTCTGCGCCATGCCTTTTCTATGCTAGCTCCATACATTTGCCATGTTCTTGGCATGTTTGTTTCCCCACTTGGAAAATCGATTTCTATTGGTCACCCCTGCCACCCCATTCCCACCACCATTTCACTTGTCTGCCTTGATCAACACAAATGCCTTCAGAATGGTGCACGACTTCACAAGTCCTCCTGGTGTGCTGGTTCGCACACTGATGCACGGTGAAAACCCAAGCCTGACAGTGGCTCCCATTGCTTCCAACTGCTCCGGCGTGTGCACATTCTTGAATGGATCCCGCAGCTCCATCCAATCCTTGCTGAACAGCTGTCCCATCGTTGGAAAGTCGAACTTGTATTCTTCCGAGCCAGAGAACATCATCTGCGCCAGTTGGTGCGCGTTGATCATCAGTTCGTACAAGTCATCCCAGTCCCGTGATGTCTTGGAGTGCATCATCGGCTTGAGGACCCTCCAGATTTCGTTGCCGCGGGTACGTGCAATGTTGTTGACAAAGGTCTGAAAGTTGAGATTGGTCTTGAGCCTCTGGATCTGATCCGCCATGGTGGTGAGCAGCTGGTACTTGACCTGGGCTGGCGTAGCTGAAGGTTCATGTCAGTAGGGCTTGGGGTTCCAGATGAAAAGGCAACCAGGTACTCACTCTGATACATTTGGTTCTTGCAGTGTTCGATGACACGGTCAGCCTCTATGTCGAATCCGGCGAAGCAGTCATGCTTGAGGATGGTCTTGATCATGAACTGGACAATGATCTTGTAGACGAGCAGATACCGCGTGTATGGAGTCTGCATGAACTGGAACGCCGAAGTCGTGGATGCAGCTCTCATCAGTCTGTCCTTTACCTCCTGTGGCATGCCGTTGTCCTTCTGCGTGCTTGGCGTGTTGACGTGAGAGTACGCGTATTGTTGTGCCATGTGAAGCACATGGGCAAACTTGTGACTGACCGCCTCTGGAACCACGAGATCTATGCCTGGGCCCATTGAGATGGGCTGAAAAGCTGGCATTTGTGGTTGCTGCATGATAGTGCTGGGCATCCCTCGTGTGTGCATCCTGCCTGCCGAAGCCAAAGCTGGCGTTCCACTGTTGCCTCTGCTGGGGCCCATGGGAGTGGATGTGATGGCCAGATTGGTATTGTATGGTCTTATTGGCTCAGGAGAACCGAACTCGTTGACGTGACCAGACTGTCGGAATGGTGTCGGCTGTGGGTGCTGCATCTGTGGACCTTGAGGTTGGTTGACAGAGAGAGCCGAGAACTGCTGGGCCATGGAGTCATCGAAAGGCGAAGGAGTGCTTCCGGGCTGCTGGTGGAGAGGTCCAGTGATGGCAGGACGAGGCTGTGTGTAGGGGACGGCATTTCCTGTGGCGAAGATCGGTGGAGGAGGTGGAGGAGGTGGCTGAATGTTCGGGTGTGCCCCATACGGTTGGTTGCCTCCGAAACGGCCAGGCGTTGGCGTGGCATAGTGTTGCTTGGGATTGGAGATGGCCTCACTCTGGGTCTTTATGGTCTTTTGCTGTCTCTCGATTGTGTCCCGCAAGCCTTTCATCTCCGCCTCCTGGTCACTCAATTTCCGCTGCAATATTGCGATCTCCTGGTCTTTGGCGTTGAGCTGCATCGCCGACATTGGTGTTGTTGCTCGAATGCGCATGGCATTTTCGAGGTCTTGCTGGGTCCTGGAGTAGTTGCGCTCAGACTGGCTCAGTCTGGTCTGCGCTTGCTCGATGATTGGAGATGTGACAGAGGCCGCAAGCGGCGTGCCACGGCCATAGTAAGAGGCCATGTCGATCTGTTCAAAGAAGGAATGAGTGAGCGGATGTTGGATTGGAGAAGGTGAGGCAGGAAGGCGTGGCGTGAGTTGGAAAATTTGAAAAGGTCGACGGTTCGAGGAGCAGGATGAGCCAGAAGATCCAGGAAGGAGAGATTTCTTGCAATAATGTGCAGTGAAAACTCTCGGGTCTGTACACCAAGGATGCCAGGTTCTTGCTGCTGCCTCAGAACAAGACTGCTCAAGGAGCGCGGTCTTGTCGACGACGGCAGTGAGATGGCGGTGATGAGATGCCCTAGGTGATGACTGGAGAGACCCAAGCCAACAGCAACGAAGAAGAAGAGAGTGCCTAACCTGAAGGATCAGAAGAGCAACTTTTGTCAGGACGAAGGAAAGAGACTGAAGGTGGAAAAAAGTCAGTGGCCGCTTTTTATAACTCCTGATGCCAAGACGACTTGGACGACGTGGAAAGCTTCCAAATTGCCAAACTGCCGCACAGATAATGACTTTTGCTGAGCCAGAGAAATGCTTTTGGTCAAATGATGCCCTGTGAAGTGTCTTTTGTGTTGGACAAGAGTCTCAGAAGGGCGATGAACAAGATCAAAGGAAGAACAAAAACCAGATGCTGAGTGGATGAGAGAACAGAACAATCCAGAGGAGCACAGAGGGTTTATATACCCGCGACCTCTCCAGAAGAATTGCACATGCTCAGGCAGCCGGGCATTGGTGACAACGACTTGTCACTTCACTGCGAGCCGAGCAGTCACTGAAGGATTCCTTCACCCTTTTAGGTGACTTCTGAAGACACGACTGGTGTGTGAGAGGCGGTGACAGGGACATGCGTGAAGCTCAAAATCCTGGAAGCGCAACCTTTGGAGTGACAGCATTGGCGAATGTCACTCTAGGGGACTTTGGAGAGCTTTGTGGGCGATCTGGCCTCCTTCTGCATGGCGAGGCACGGAGAGGCACTCCAGTTTGCTTGCACTGCTGTCCAACATGCAGAGCGAGGTGACTCGGTCCCGGGATTTGCAGAATCCAGAGTGTATGACATGCTTGCTGTGAAGCTGATGCCACTCTCAGACATTGGCATCGTGTCATGTCTGTGCATTCAGAAGGCGCGATATGGTCTTTCCTCCTCTTTCCACGTCGTCCAGGATGATGTGCAAACAAGGCTAAGGGGACAAAGGGAGCAACATGCGAGGGACTCACCAGACTCAGCATCCCTTTATTTATATACTCTGTGCATGGTCAGTCAAGGCTTGCATCTCAGGAGTAAGTTCTGGAGACATTACACTTTGTTGTTGAGCATACGCTGCTCTGTCGACGCTTGGGTAAGTCGATGGAGAGGGCTGACAAACACACAACGTTGAGACAGAGATGCAGGACAAGCTGCAAGACCAGTATGGTCTCTCTGTCTCAACGTTGTGTGCTTGCCAGCCCCCTGAAGAAGAAAAGAGACAGAGAACGCAAGTGTTTGAAGATGTTAACGTCTGCGGTGACTGGTGGTGGAAGAAGTGGTTGATGAAAGGAAGAAAGAAGAAGTTCGCCAGTTGGCAATTCGGTTTTTATATTTGACCTGACAGGGTTTCCGTGGGCTATACCGATTCTGGGCGTGATTGACGCTCACCAGCCGCGTCAACACGATAGAGGAATGCTTGGAGGGAGCAATCGCGGCTCGGGCATGCGGCTGAGGCAATCGGGGTGGCCAGCAACGAGGAGGAAAAGGAGAAGCAAGCCGCACGCGGCTGATGGAGTTCACCTTGACTGGCACTGCGCAACCACAAGTCACAATCATGGCCACTTCGATCCCCCCTGTTGGTCCTTGCTGTCTTTTCTGGCTCCTTTCATGATTAAGGCACGACGCATAACTCCTTAGTGAGCGTGCCAGAAAGCAACGTCTACCTCTGTTTTCGCTTCCTGACCTGGAGCCAAAGCACTCAGCTCAAAGGGAGGACTACTTCCCCATCAGATGCGTGGGTTGTCTCCTCATTCTGACTGCCATTCTAGAGATTGAACTTGCCGTATCGTTACTCCTATCCTTCCTCAAGAGCTATCACTATCATGAAAGGGAAACTGATCCTTCCATAAGTATGTGAATCACAACCAGCTGCCACCTCCGCACCAACACACCCTGCTTCCCTCCTGGCCTGTTCGACCTCCTTTCGATGCTTCAAACACAAAATATCTTCTGCCTAGGAGGCAGGATTGAAGTCTCGGCCCAGACTCCCTGCTTTTGCGTGGCCTGCGGGTTTGTGTCAGAAGAAATCATGCTAGGTACGTTTAGACAATGGAGCAGAAAGAAGCCAGGGCTCATAAGGCAGTACTTCTTGATGTTGCCCTTCCGGACCAAAGTGGATCAGAAGTCGAAGCTTTGTACACAAAAGACGAATACTTAAAGTTTGCTGGCTGTCATGGGTTTACAGGAACACAATGCTACATTGCAGCAATCATCTTGCTCAAAAAGCAGGCAATCTCTCAGGGACCATCAGCTCAGTGCAAGCCATTAGACCCACTCGTCAAACACTCATTTAAAAACAGCCGGTTCCGCGAGAGAAATATCTACACCATCGCATCGCAAACACCAAATCTACGACCACAGGATGATTAGGCAAGGAGCGGTGTGGGGAAGTGGATTTTCTGGTCATATGCTCTCGCAGCATCGGCGTCCATCAGGCTGTAAGGTATTGGGCAAGAGGCAATCAGTGCAAGCAAAATGAACAAGCATACTCCGAATTCGGAGCAGTGGAGGAAAAGTAGACATTGGCTCCGGCCGCGAACACGGAGATTTTCAGCCTACGGTTGTCCGAATCTGCAAATGCTTTACAGCACCTTCTTCAGCCAATCCCATATTGCATGAGACATGGTCGCATGCTCCAAACCCGACTGGGCATCAAGTATACAGTCAATATGCACCTGCTGGGGGCATTCGACGGTCTCCACATTCAGCCCAGCCTCCTTGAGCTTCTGACAGAATGCTCTGATGTCGTCATAAAACAACTCGTGCATGCCGGCCAACGCAAGGATAGAACTAACCGGGGCTCCAGCCCACCATTTCGAGTCGGCACGGGCGGGATCCGAAAATTCGTTGCGCTCGTCGTCGGAAGCGAGATTCTTGACTAGTTCGGGGATAATGGCCGTGGAAACGATGTCCCTGTCCTTGTTTTCGATCCAGGATTTGCTGGAACCGACGGAGAGGTCGATCCAAGGCGATATTAGGAGAGCGCCTTTCAGGGGAGTGTCGAGTTTTAAGGTGGGGATTCCAGCATGCGAATGTATTGCTGCCGAGAGGATCCCGACAGCTAAGTTGCCACCGGCAGAGTCGCCGCCAATGATGACCTGTTGATCTTGTTAACAAGGGAGTTCGCAATCACTCCTTTTAGGAGGAGGAGTGACAGGAATCTCTCACATCTGATGGCTTGCGACCAGATTGCAGAACAGTTACCAGGGCCTGCACAGCCTGTCGATACTGCGTTGGGAATCGATGTTGGGGCGATAGGCCTACGGGGTAGCAGGTCAATCTTCAATGCGTCCTGCTCATGGAATTGACATTTGATTCTCACCATACTCAACGAAAGCAATGGAGAACGTTTTGCCTTCCTTTGCCAATCTCTGCTGAGTATCCACCAAGAAAGCAATATGCCCTGGCATAGCGGGAATGCCGAGCCCTCCGCCTGATCATAATTTCAAACGTCAACTGTGCCCAGGAGTGTCATCGGAAGAAAGAAAAAATCAGGCAGTAACCAATTCAGGGCTGTTCAGATACCGTGAAAATATAGAATCACGCTTGGAGCAGAACTGTCCCCTATCCAATGAACTTTTGCTCCCTCACTGTCTGGGACATCTTCCGTCCTCACTGTCTGACCTAGCTTCGTGCTTTCAGACGCAACTGTATCCTTGGTAGGCACAGAAACACTCATAGCAGCTTCCAGGGAGCTCAAGCCGCCCCGGAGCGCCTGGTTGCGTTCGTCATGGGCTTGGGATCGAGACATGGTGAGTTGGACTGGATATGTTAGCCTTAGTCGTTCTTCGAGGGTTGAAAGGTTGGCCCTATTTCCTGCACAACATGCCTGGAGATTTATCTCATCAGCTGAATTCCCAATACTCGGCAAGGACAAATAACTACGACACCATCCACTTATTGACATCCCGGAGCAAAGGCCAAGGATTGAGAAAGGTGGAGATGGATACTCTTTCCCGAGGTTCATTGTGGACCCCGTCTTTTTGCATTCATGTCCAAGAAAACCTAATCCAGTCTCCCATGTGTCCAGCCCGACAGAGTTCCCGGAGCAACTTCATAGCCTCGTCTTACCATAGCAGGAGCTTAGAATCCATACAGGGTCTGCAAGGGCAAGCTGGTTTGCGGTCGCAAGGCTGGTGACAAGGCTGCCTCACGCGGGAAGGTCGAGCGAAGGCAGCCTCGTTAGCGGCCCGGGTGGATCACGTGACTGTGTCTCATTTCCCACGTGGCCCTCGCAGCCTCTGTCCGCCAAGCCCAGATTCGTCCCGTGCTGCCTTGACCTTGAGAAACTTCTGATTCCACACAGTCACGACAGTATCCAACAGACAACCATTCCTCCCGCCCTTGTCGTTCGATCTCAGTCATTCCTACTAGTAGCGAGCGTCGTGACACTCGTCTGCTCGGGTACAAGATCTCCACATACTGAACTCGACTCTGTAGTTGAGCACTTCAGGACATTGCACATTGCAAGGGTTTGCCCGCGCACTCCCTGCTTCCGATTCCGACTCTGACCACATCCAAGTGAACTACTCTATCCTGCATCAATCAACTCTATTTGTCAAACAGTCCACCAACTGCTCCTCAAAATGTCAGGGCTCGATGTCGAGGCGTTGCTCGATTCCACTGCCACGAACGATGTCAAAGGCAAAGACTCTCCCCGCGATAGCGATGACCGTCATCGTAGCGACCGCTCCGATCGTCGTGACAGGGAAAAACACCGTGATGGCTCCCGTGATCGTGACAAGGACCGCAAGAGACGAGATCGAAGCCGAGACCGAGACCACCGTCGAGAGCGTGATGATGAGATGAAGAGTCCCAGGAGCGAGCATGGCAGTGCTAACGGCAGTCACAGAAGCAGCAGGAGGAGAAGCCGCAGCCGTGACCGGGAAGACGATAGAAGACGTTCCAAACGTGACGACGACTATCATCGCAGACGCTCTCGATCCCCAGAGTACGATCGCTATTACCGACCGGGTGGACGATCAAAGCGTGAAGATGACGACTACCGACGCGATCGCGACAGGGACCGCCGTCGCTCGGGAAGTCCCAGAAAGCGCGTCAAGAGCAAGACTCCTGAGCCACAACTTACTGAGGATGAGCGTGACAGGAGAACCGTATTTGTTCAGCAACTTGCCGCTCGTCTGCGCACCAAGGAATTGATCCAGTTTTTTGAGAAAGTGGGCCCTGTTACAGAGGCCCAGATCGTCAAGGATCGAGTCAGTGGTCGTTCTAAAGGGTAAACACGCAACCCCCCTTTTCCATATGGCTCGTTCTCATACTAATACATTTACAGTGTCGGATATGTCGAGTTCAAGAACGAAGAGTCTGTCCCACTAGCCATTCAAATGACCGGACAGAAACTCCTCGGCATTCCCATAATTGCACAACTCACTGAAGCAGAAAAGAATCGACAAGCTCGCAACCCAGAGGCTACTACCAGCAATCACAACACCATCCCTTTCCACCGTCTCTATGTGGGCAACATACACTTCAGCATTACTGAACAAGATCTACAGAATGTGTTTGAGCCATTTGGTGAGCTTGAGTTTGTGCAACTACAGAAGGACGAGGGTGGTCGTAGTCGTGGCTATGGCTTTGTACAGTAAGTGCCGTCCCAGGGTCTTCCTCTCCGTTGTGCTAATTTTGGCTAGGTTCCGTGACCCGAATCAAGCACGTGAGGCCCTTGAAAAGATGAATGGTTTTGACCTCGCAGGCCGCCCAATCCGAGTTGGACTCGGGAACGACAAATTTACTCCCGAGTCGACTGCCAATCTCCTGCAACGCTTTCAAGGCCAAAATCCTCCGCCTGGATTTCAGGGCTCGGCATTCTCAGGCTCTGGTGGCCGTGGCTCTCACGCCGGAGGATCTGGAGGCACCTTTGATCGTGCCGGTGGCCGCGACAACGAAAAGGGAACCGGTGGAGCAAGTGCATTGGATGACACAGATGTCGCTGGTGTGAATTTCAACAACTATAGCCGAGATGCATTGATGCGGAAACTCGCTAGGACAGATGACACATCTGCAGAAACCGATACGAAGCGCGTCGCTGTGCCCACTAAAAAGGAAAGCAAACCGCTTCCCGTCAATGTCAGCCAGGCAAGCAGATGTGTTTTGCTTCGTAATATGTTTGATCCTGCTGAGTAAGTTCATCTCCGTTGTCGACGGCCCTTGAACTTTATTGCTAACACTATATCAACAGGGAAGAAGGTGAAGCCTGGATCAAAGAACTGGAAGACGACGTCCGCGCAGAATGCGAGGAGAAATACGGCCACGTTGTGCACATCGCCCTCGACCCCAACACCCAAGGCGACATCTACCTAAAGTTTGAACGCGTCTCGGGAGGAGAAAATGCCATCAAAGGGTTAAACGGACGCTATTTTGGCGGTAGGCAGATCAGCGCGCAACCCGTCGTTGACGCCGTGTACAGCAGTTTGTTCTCTAGGACGAAAGCTCTATGAGCCGCTCTACGACACACGTTTCAGCCCTGCAACGTCATGTCGATCCCGCTGCACACTGCATTGGAAAGGCCGAAGGGACACCGGAGTTTCTAGCAGAACAACTTGCCTCCAAACGGTAACTTCTGCCTCCAAAAACCCATGCAATGAACATGACTACTCGTCAGTGGCCGAACCCACCCAGTGGGGAGAGGGTCTAACCATCAGCATCGAACTTTCTGGAGGACGCTGAAGTTGGAGCTTGTGGGTTAGGGTCTATCTTTTATTGACGTCTGCCTCAGGAAACGGGTAAATGTGCTTCACCAACTCAAAACTGCCGAAGACTGTGGAAGGTTTGACTGCGCTGGAATTTTGCTTGCGGTTGGGACAGAAATCCTATTGACTTCCTCATTAGTTACAGCATCTGTGCGTCTCTGGCCGCCAGCTCGGAAGCAGGACATCTTGCGTGCTTTGCTCGAATTGAGTGGAAAGGCTGTAATGTTGCTCGGTAGGTCGGCCTTGTGATTGACTTTCCTCTTGATGAATCTTAAAAAGACCATAGGATGAGACCGCAAGGCCAAGAAAGATCGAATCAAAGGCGCAGGAGCAACTTTTCTTCATCAATGGATTAATTCTACTATAACTTGTCTGTTTCAATATACGATAACAATCCCCAAGTTGCCTAGTATAACTGAATAGCCTTGTCTCGCTCTCCCATCGGACATTTCAGAATAACTCGGGAATAGCAGGACTTCTCTTCACGCTAGGACGTCTGAGATGCACAAGACGCATCAAGTAGAGTCGGCTACTTCGAGATCTAGACCTCGAACGGCTCGCTGACAACTTCCAGCAAAGGCCCCTCGAAATTGCTAATGGGCAAAAGATGCAATTTGAACAATTTGATGGAAAAGCTGTCGCTCAGTGCTGAGGCAGAACAGCCGAGCTGAGGATCTTTCGGTGCTGGCCTTCACTAACACTCGGAGGCAATGACAATTCACCACAGCGGAAGCCGCGAGACAATAGCAACTACCTTGTCATCTCATTTGTGTCTTGGACACGCAATCAGTCCCTTGCCTTCCTTGCCTTCCGTCTGTGGGCATACAATGACAGACCGTGCGTCATTTGGATTCCATGTCTTCGTTCTTCCAATCACCATAATCCAACCATGGCCGATAGTTACAGCACTGTTATCCAACAACGAACATCTCCCCTGCCCTCAGGAGACACCCTCTCGTTCGAACGGTATCGCTGACAGTGCCGATTCAACCCTTCGCCTCAGGAGAAACATGATTGACTGCAACGAACCCATGCGCAGACTGAACAGTGTCGCTTTCAACTTCGCTGTCCTCCTCCTTTTCGTCTTCACTGGCCGTAATCGTGGAATCTCCATCATCAGTTCCCACATCGGATATATTCAAGACATTGTCCATAGCAGAGGTGCGTTTTCCCACCACTCCGTTTCCGCAGACTTGCTCGGTGTGACCTGTGGAGTCACTCATGCAGTAGTCGCACCAAAAGTCCTCAGTATCTAGCGGCAACTGGTTGAGACCTGAACACCGAAAATGGATCGGCCCAAACATGCACGATGCGGACCTACAGCACAGCATGGGCCCTTGATCTGCTGGCTCCCTGCAATAACAGACCGGCATTTCCACCATCTCAAGAGCTGGAGTGGAAGTGTGATTGTTGGTGGCTGCTGGTCTGTCTTCGTCACGCCTGGTTTGTCTGGATTCGGATCCTTCAAGCCGGTCAACCCACTCGAGACCCTGCTTCTTGTATCGCTCCCTGTATGGCTGCGATTCCAAAGGAGGCAATATCCTGAGGCCAGATGGATCAGGCTTGGTCTCTCTTTTTCGGTGGAGGTGAGTGAACCGTTGCTCTCTCAACTCTTGCGTGATGCGGTGGGTCTCGAGTTGTTTTTGGCGACGGAAACGAATCACTTTCTTCGAGTTCGAGGCTTCTCCTGGCTTAATATCAGACGCTTCGTCATCGGGGACCCGCACAAAAAAGAAGTCCTTCTCTTGCAGCACCGGGTACATCTCCAGGGCTTTGTGAAGAATCGGATTCCTGCCCGGCTGTGCGCCATCGCCATCGACAAGCTGCGGGTGCGGAACCATCAATTTCTGCCCTTGTACCAGATGCTCTTCACGGTCCACAACTTCGTCGAGACAGTCGAGACAATAATATGCGGTTCGGTTGTACTCGGTAAGTTGATCATCCTTCTCTTCACCCAGCCCTTGATCGCGTATGATGCCGAAGTAGTTGCCGACTGGGATCACGTTGCGAGGGTTGGGACAGGTTGGGGAGGAGCAGCAATACACAGTGCCTGGTTCGCAGTGCTGATAGAAGCTAAAGTGGTATCTGCCTGCTCCTGACATGTCAGTCCCTCCCTCGCACTTTTTGGAAAGAATCTGGCGTACCGATAACTATTGGTTCCGTCGCAGGGGTCGGTGGCGGGCTGGAAGTGTATGTGAGGTCGGTCTCACTTGGGCAATCAGCACCGGAGGAGCCAGCTGTGTGGTTGTCGAGTCTGATGTCTGTTTCACAGGACAGAGAGGCCGGCTCTATCTCGATCGCTTCTGGTGTCAGACCGTCCGCGTCGCCAGACTTGTCGCCCGTTTCTCCATGATGATCGTCATCATCACAAGGTAAGTGTGAGCTGGCGATTCGGACGCCGTTCAGTTTCTCGTACAGACTAGTATTTGAATGTCTGATGAACTCGGCGATTTCTTGCTCGGTCATCGACGAGTTCTCTTCCTCATACACGCACCCGGAGTAGCTCGTGTGCCATGAATTCTCACAAAAGTACACGCCGTTGGCGTCTTGGTCTTTCATGCGGACCGTTGTTGTGAGAAGAGACGCTGACATCGCGGCGGACGCTGAGCGAGAACTTGAACAAAGACGCCGTGACGCCGTGACGCCGTGACTTGAGAAGTGAGTGTGTTTGCTCGCGAGAAACACATCATGTGAATTTGTTGTGAGAATTCCACACGCACTTCATTCACTACCAGGTGAGGCAGCTGGTTGCCAGGATTTCTGAAGCCTTATATTGATTTCATATCTTCACTTTCCATTTAAAGCTCTTTGCGGTCCAATTTGAGCACCAACTGCTCCAAGTTGTCCGCTCACATTTGGGGTGCACAGATTTGCATCTTGTCCTTCCCCTTGAGCCAGATTCTCCAGCATAACTGAGCTGGGCCGATTTTGGTTTCGAGTGCTCTGAACCAAGTCCCGCCCTAGCTTCCCCTGCTTATATCTCCAGGAATATCCTTCAAACAGCTTCGAACGATCGTCCGAAGCAGTCAGCACAGCTCGATCTTTACAGACGGAGGCGTTCTCGATTTCTCGAATAGCTAACTCGATGTCTTCGCTTCCGTGAAGAGTCGAAGCGGCACCTAGAAGTCCAACGGGCTCTTCATCCAATATCGAGTCCTGCTCCCCAAGGCGGAAGTGAACCACATTCAGACCCGCAACGAGAACCAAGAAGCAATCTATGAGATTACGCTCTTGATTAAATGCTCCGTCGTGTAGACCAGTGCATACCTAAGATACGGAGAAGTATAGTCCATATAAAGCAGCGGCACCTAAAAGCCTCCTGCCTGCCCCTAATGTAAGTTTTAGCCTGGATGGCAGAACATATATCCTCTACGATCGCATAGTCACCGACCTCGATATGGACTCCATGCAACACATATCCGGGCCATGGATGATGGTAGGAATAGTTTGACCAGCCCGGCGAGAGGGAGCGGAGAGCAGCATGAGGAACTTGAATTGAATACATTGCGAAGGAAACCAACTCAGGCCGATTCGTCATCCGATGCGATTCCTCAAAATACAGCGTCGAGAGAAACGCACAAGTCTCCCTGGCGAACTTGGACGAAGTCCTTGTCCCCATTGTTCACTCACCACGTCCCTCTCCGCGCCGCCAGAGACCATCTTGCCAATGAACGCGTCTTCCTTGGGTACATCCGAACGTCTTCGGCCCTCGCCAACTTTGCCATCACAATCCTCCAGCTGTACAGGTTGAAGCACGATCCAGTTCCTCGGGGAATACTGAGCGACTATGATCTGGGAATCCCATTTGCGGTGGTGACGCTAGTCATAGGGGTCGCCATCACGCTCGCCGGAGCATGGAGGTTTTTTGCTTGTCAGAGCGCTATGGCTCAGAGAAAGCAGATCGCCACTAGTGGGTGGGTGGTGCTCGTCTTTATGCCGGCTGTGGCTTTCGTAAGTTTCGCTACCACCCTTTCTGTGAAATAAAAGGCTGTTTCCTGAACGAGTTGATCAGTTGCTCCTTGCGCTTATGATCCTCACCATCATTGTCAATCCTAATCTGTGATTTCAACCGCTAACACAACGCTCAAATGTGTCGACCAAGAGACCGTTATGGCGCAACGGCCAGTTTCTACAGCCACATGCAAGAAAGCACCCGAGTCCGACAAGCGGGAGACCCTGCTCGGAAATTCCTCATCACGAAGAACTCCGTTTGATGCGTCGGTCCCCTTGATCGGTATCGCTCGCAAAGAAGTCGCATCTAGTGCATGTTCCTGGTGATGTCCTTCCCCAGTTTCACTTATAGACATGCTCGATTCCTACTATAGGATTTAGATACCTTACAAGTTAATTCCACTTCAATGCCCGTCGCACATTGAACAATCCTACTTCTTCAAACATAAAGTGTCCAAATCTCGAAACTCCTGGATAGCACATCACCTGTTGGCACATTAATGAGACAAGGCTGTGCTCGAGCCTCGTTCCACTAAACTTCCCAATTGGGGTTGGCGCACGTAATTCTTGGCGTGGTGCACAACCGAAATTCAATCGATCTGCAATGGGCGCAGTCAGAATTTCTCTGCACCTCTAACAACGACAACTTCACACCGTCAACAGCTTTCTCTACCTCGAGGTATGTAAACAATGCGGCCCTTCTTCAGCTAGCCTAGGATGAGCAATCCGACTGCAAATCCTGGATTGTAGCATTTTCAGGTTCACTGCAGTTTAGGATACGCTCTATCCTTCGCGACACGAGCTGAAGAACCCTTCACTGGGCACTCTTCCGGCTCGAAGGCTTCTGAAGACTAACAAGCTTTTTCGCTCTGCAGATACCTCAAGTTCCTCGATCGCCAAACGAACTTGAGAATCTCACGCGCTCTCAAACACCGCCAAAATGGTCAAGACATCTGTTCTCAACGACGCTCTCAAGAGCATCAACAATGCCGAAAAGGCCGGCAAGCGCCAATGCATGATCCGACCCAGCTCCAAGGTCATCATCAAATTCCTGTCTGTCATGCAGAAACACGGTACGTTAACGCCCTACGCTCCCTGACGGCTTGCAAAGAGGAGGATCCTGGCATAATACACACTTTCCAAGATTTGTCGGGTTGATAACTAGGCGGCGGTTTCAAAGCATTGCACCCCACGACCTTTGCCCTTTAAGTGCCCGAAAGATTGACTCTCCTCTGCGACTGAGTCTTACACATTTGCTTTCTCTTTCATCCATGTTTGTTTAATGTTTATTCGGTCGCAACATTTCAAGCTGCATCTCTAACATCGACTGACGGCTTTATTTTGTCAACAGGCTATATCGGCGAATTCGAAGAGGTTGACGACCACCGCAGCGGCAAAGTTGTTATCCAACTCAACGGCCGTCTCAACAAGACCGGCGTCATCTCCCCACGCTACAATGTCCAGCTCCGTGACCTCGAGAAGTGGGTTGTCAAGCTGCTGCCATCCCGTCAGTTTGGCTACATTGTTCTCACTACTAGCGCGGGAATCATGGATCACGAGGAGGCCAGACGGAAGCATGTTTCTGGAAAAATCATCGGCTTCTTCTACTAGAGGGCATATCAAAATGTTTTTCTGCGTGTGGTACACATGAGCGAGGGAATTGAGATACCCAGAAAAGTCTTGAATTCAGCTCCAGACACTGATTTCGTGGAGAAGTCAGATGATTCCAGCTAGATCTAGGGGATTATGCCCCTGAATGAATTAGAATCCGATCAGACCATGACTTTGTACTTCGTAGGCCTTGTTCAAGCATAAATTGTCAAGTCACTGGGGGCAGGGTTGTTGGCTTTCGACAATGCCAAGACCTTTGCCCTAGTGGCCGCACATGGGCCCTGCGGGGGCGTAACAAGTCTCTCCATCACTCAAAGACAGGAACTTCCACTCCTCATTCATTCCTTCTATCAACCATCAAACACCGCAAAAATGGTATGCGCATCCATTCCAGTCCGCGATCAATCAATTTGAGACGCACATTGCTGACCTACTCAGGCGCCCGCAGCATCCTCCGGCGGCAAGAAGCAAAAGAAGAAGTGGTCCAAGGGAAAGGGTACGTTTTCCACCGACAAATTTCTCACCATTCCTCCGCCTTTTCCCCTTGTTAGGCTGTTATATCTCAGCGCAATCTCCCTTGTTGACCTGCTTTGCTGACAATTTGCTTTGCTTTTGTTTTCGGCCTATAGTCAAGGATAAGGCCAACCACGCAGTTGTCCTCGACAAAGCCACCTCCGACAAACTCAACAAGGACGTCCAATCGTACCGCCTCATCACCGTCGCCGTGCTGGTCGACCGATTGAAGATCAATGGGTCGCTCGCGAGAAAGGCGCTCGCAGATCTCGAGGAGAGGGGCGTGATCAGGAAAGTTGTGGCACACAGCAAGGGCAGCATCTACACGAGAGCGGCTGCTGGTGGTGATTAGATGCCTGGACGGCGAGAGGGGCGCGGGTGATTGAGCAGAAAAAACGAAGGCGAGAGCTACAGCAAGGACCACCTCCAGGGAACGCTCTTCGGCGTGGAATGATGTTGATGATATTGCATGGGACAGGGATGGGAAACGTCAGGTCAATAGACCGGGCTGAGGATTCACCTTGCAAAAAGGATATCGCACCTGTTCAGCAAAAGCTGGATTAGGAGGAATACCATTTTCACCATCAATCATTGGCGCTTGCGAAATCCTGGGTTGAGTGGTCTCTTCGGGTGAATCTTGCTGACTAGGAGCTTGCAACAGCAGTTCCAGCAAACGGCAGATAAACACAAGGAATCGAAGACTCCAATGCCACTAATATCTCGTCAATGCCATCATGTAGTCCATTCTTGCCGTGCCTATCGTGACCGTTATATTGCTCTCTATTGTACAGGTTTTCCAGGTGCATCCTTTTTCTTTTCCTTTTTGGCATTCATATTCTTCCTCTTTGGCCTTCCCTTCTCTGCTGGCTCGCACAGCGTCGGTGGGTCGTCCGTATATTCTGGAACGCCGACCAATTTTCCGACTTCGAAGTATTTCTTATGGTTCTTGTAGAACTCTTCCCATCTTCGCACTTCATCCAAGACTTTCTTCTTGGCTTCTCGTCTTTCTTTCTCTGCGCGCAGTTTCCTTGCACCACTCGATATGTCTTCATCTGGATCGTCTTCGATGGGGATATAAATCAGCTCCGCCCCTCGTAAGTCCCCAGTCCGATCGTCAAGAAAGCATCCAGTCACGAAGGCTCTGGTGGCGTCCCTTCCTGCAAACACTTCGTAACTCCCACCAGGTCCGTAAGTGTGTTTTCCAGCGGAAACATCAAAGATGGTCCCATTGATTGCCAAATAAATAGGCTTCGCAGGGTCACTGCCATCGTAGAGTACCAGCTGCTCCGGTGTGAGAAATGTTGGCCCGATCCACCAGTGAGCCAGCTTAGATGGGTTTAGGAACCACGGTTCATATTTGAAGAGCAGGGATGTTCCGGAAGTGAGGTAGTATGAGAGCAGGCAGGAGGCGAATATCAACGTGAGTATGACTCTTAGGATATCGAGGGGAGAGATGACTCGGGATGTTGTGTCCTCAGGCTCATCGGGCGACGTTGTTGGCGAGGTGGTAGCAGACTTGGACGCCTCGGGCTGAGATCGAGGTTGACGCCGACGGGTCGACGAGGCGTTAGCCATTATACTATATCATGGAAAGGCTCTGAGAAACAATGCGTGAATTGAATTCGCATGCTCTTGGGGAATTCTCCTTCTTTGGTCGAGAAGCGCAGGGCGTCATACTGCCGTGTGGGGAAAGTGCAGGCTGGGGACGAGATGCAACTTCCAGCCACGCGGATTGATTGAATCGAGGTGCTCAGCTCACCACCTTGACACCTTGCCTTCCTTCTTTCTACCTCCACCTTTGTTATTTTCTTTCTCTTGCCTTCATGAGAATCACGAACACGATCATTGTGGTGCAATATCTTGCGCTCCCTTGAAATCGCCCTTGAGTCGCCGCGTTACCGTGTGAGCGGGCCTCGGCTGAAGAAAAGTAAACAAAAGGACGATCCAGCATTTCTCCCAACACCGACCATTTCCAACTCGACGCTGACTCGGCCCTTCACTCGAGCTCAAAGCGCTCACCTTACAAACGTTTGCGAACCGTTCGCTTCAAGTAACCTTCCGACGCAGCCATGTCCTACTCATATACGGTGACGGAGCGCAAACGAAAAACAACCACCTCTGGCGGGTATGGATACTCAGGCAGCAGGTCGACATTTGGGTATTGGGTGCCCCTTGTTCTCACTGTTACGGCAGCAACGATTGGTGTTGCTGCATGGGTCTGGGGTGAGAGGAAAGATGATGAGGAATCAAGTGAAGACGAACAATACCAGGGAGGTCCTCCTCCTCCAGGCTATGCATCGATGAGTGGCGCTCTACCTCCTGGACCGCCAATGGCGGCTGGCTTCCAAGGAGGACCACCTCCTCCAGGTGGTGCTCCCATGCCTATGACACCTGGACCACAACAGCCAGGGGGGTTCGGCCCACCTCCTCCACCCGGTGGTTTCCAAGGGCCTCCACCACCGGGCGGTTTTCAGGGTCCTCCTCCTCCCGGAGGGTTTCAAGGCGGCCCTCCTCCTCCAGGATGGCGTGGAACAGAAGAGGAGTACCAAACCCGCTCAACTATGGTAGAAGAGCAACAAGAGACTGGTATAGTCGCTCGCATGTCCAGCGCACTGGGTTTCGGTCGATCAACTACTCCCTCAGGCGACCGATCGCGCAGCCAGGCTCCCGCGCAACCGTATGACTGGGCCAACAAGCCATTTGCTTCGGCAACGGCAGCGGCGGGTGCGATGGTGGGTGCTGCCATAAGCACCCTCAGTGGCGGAGGTGGCGAAGGATATGAAGACCATGAACGATGGAGTGAGGAGGCAGAACAGCGAGACAATGACCGCCAGGTCACACAAGGCATCAAGAGGCGCGGCACAGCTGACGAGTTCTTCTCCGGGAGCATAGAGCTGCCCAGGTCGGCCTCTATTGCCCACCAGAAAAGAAAGACGGTTGCTGTGGTAGTATCAGCCGTTGGAGTGGACCCGGACACCGAGTCAGATATCGGACAACATGCGGTAAGTTGGTATCCTACTTCCAAGCCTGTAAATTGAAATGCTAATAGGCTCTTAGTCGATCCTTTCGCATCTTCCGGAATACATCGAACCGGGGACAACACGAGTCTTTGTCCTGATCTACGCACCGGAGCTCAAAACGCATCCACTCAGCCTTGCAACAAATCGACCCTCACAGTCTATGGCATCTTCATTCTCCAACATTAGTCATGCAGATGCACAAACTCCTGCCCAGACGCCCGGGGACTTCCCCAACGATGGCATACTTACACAAGTAGACCCGAATCCGATCGACGAGCCAACTTCCCTCTTCAAGACTCTGTACAATCAAGCCGTGGGCATTGTGGACAAAGATACTATGGTGCTGCCCTACACCTCACCTAATGGCCACAAGCATATCCTTCGCAGCCTCTCGCCAGAGGTCGTGTATATCCAAGAGTCCCTTTGCGGTCGTGATGGCGAGATTGTCTCAGATCTTTCTGGCTGGGTAAAGCAGACTGTCATTGTGATTGGTGATGAAGGTGGCCATGGTGGATTGATCGATACAGACGACGAATCCGTGACTCACAGGACGACCGAAAAGTGGTGGCAGAAAGAAGAGAGGACAGGACTGGGGAAGAGAGTAGCAGTCGTGGAGAGTTTGAAGATTGGGGAGGACTGGGACAGACGGATCAACGAAAAAGATTGAGGCTGACTGGGAGTGAAAAGCATGATGATTGACGGCACCGGTAATGTTGTGATGAAGCCTCTTTTTTCTCATTGTGGATATGTAATCGTGTACCTGTCTGATCATGGTAGCGCCGGTCGGGGGTATTGAATGCTTTATACATCTCTCAATGATCCTTGCCTTCTCCACCTTCGAAAACTTCCTGCATCCTGTTCTCCAACGGCCTCGTGTCGATATACGTTTCCATACGGTAGCAAGCCAATCCTCCCTTCTCCCCTCCGTCATCGTCACCCAAGACTCGATCATCCTCTCCCCTCTCCCTGACTTAAAACGTCGCAAAGCCCATGATCTCTACATCGTCCTTCCCACCGGCATCATCGCCTTTGACACAATACCTGATCCTTACCGCAAAGTTCTCGAGAGTTTCCACAGGCGTCTGCTGGATGGAGGACTAGCCTGAAGGAAGGAAGCTGGCCAAAAGAAACTTAGAGTAGGTAGGTAGTTTATTGAGTTCTATACACCACACACAAACTACCACCGCCAGACGGGCCCTGACCTTCCGCACCTCCGCTGACGTAGATCTCGCAATCGCCGACCAGTCCGGCGAGCAGGCCACCAACCGCGGCCCTCGCGTGGCGGGTGCTGTGGATGTCGCTGTCGGTGTTCATGGTATGGCGCCACAATGAGCGCACACGGCCGCGCGGGTCGGCCTCGGCCTTTGCAAACACCTGGACGACCGTGCCGCCGTCCCTTTTCACCTTGTCGAGGAGGTCGAGGACAGCCGCGGCATCGATGGCGTCCGCCATGGGCCGCGACACCGCGTGCAGCTGCCCACGGTGTTGTCCCCCCGCAGCAGCAGCAGCAGGGGCTGGGTCCGTCGCCAGCACGAGGATATGGCAGTCCTCCAGCTCCGCGCCGCTGCTGCAGCTCGCCCTCGCGCTCCACGTGTCCTGCGATGCCAGGGTGCCCTCGAGCTGCACGTCCGGCAGCGACAGCTCGTCGAGCGCCAGCGCAATGCCCACCGCGCTCGCATACCGGGACTTCGCCATGGACTCGTACGTGTCTGTGGTGACGGGCACGCGCGACTGTGCGCGGATGGCCTCGATCTTCGCCGAGGTCAGCAGCGGGCACTTGACAAGGACGAGATGGACCTGTCGCGCCGTGATACCGGCGCGCTGCATCATCTGGCGCACCGTCCCCGCCACCTGACGCGCCTGCTCTGGCGCTCCGACCTCGTGCGGTTCCAGATTGCGCGTGCGTCCGATCGACGTGACCAGTCCCGTGGACCGACCGTTGTGTGCCCGGACAAAGAACGTGACATGCGGGCTGAGCACGCCCTCAGTCCCGCCCGAGAAGATGGTCACGGCGTCCTTGGGGATGCGCGATTCCCACACGGCCGAAGCCAGCGTGCGGGAAAAGTCGTTGACACAGCCATTCCCTGGGAAAAGAATTTCATGTCAGGACTTGTATTCTTGCGCCCCTTTCGTGGAGGGAGGGATAGAGAGAGGGGAAAACACGCCTTCCGTCTTGCCTACCACAGCCAGGATCTGGGATGCATCGTATCCAGCGTCCTTCAGCCTGTCCAGCGGCGTCGTATCAGCCGGGGAGGATATGGGGAATTTGAAAATCTCGACCGCCGCCATGCCTCGAGGCCAGGACAGGACTGTGTTACACGACAAGGCAACGGGTTGAACTCGACATGGGACTGTTCTGGTGCTGTACTAAGGAGCGAGTGATCGTTTTATTCGTTCGAAGTTGTTATGCGAAAAGGGCATATATTTCCAAATCTAGGTATTTTCATCGCGCATCTCCAAAGGCTCCACTGGCTCCAGTTCATAGTCAACTGAAGCACGAGGGCACGGGTTTGTTATTGGTGGCCGTCCCCTTATCTGCATTCCTCTACCTAGTAATATGGCGCCGGCGGAAGGGCGGCGGCCAAATTGCCGACGGCGCCCTCCTGCCCCTTTAATTATTGAATTTATCTTTGGCTCCGAATTGATAAGTCGATGGAAAAGGGGACGGAGTGCAGCACTCGGCTGTTAATCGATTTGAACTTGTATCCATTCCCGAAACTCTATCTGGGGACTCTTAATACTTCTTATTCTCCTCGCTTCATCCGTCCGTCTACGTAGCTTTTATATATTTGCTTTTCTTTCGCAAGACTTCCAGCTTCATGGACTGGTGTCAGCGCACCCGGACCGGCTCTATATGCATATACTACGTACAACGGCAAACTGCGGACCTGCGCTTTGCGACGTCATCAGTGCCTCACCTGGTGCCCGGAAGCGTGACCCGCTTTGTCCGCAAGCCTCTAGGCAGAAATCGTGGCTTTTCTTCTACTAACGAAAATTTTTCAATATGCTCTCGTTGCATTCGTCACCTATCACTAATCAGACTGCTCCCTTCAATCCAACTGAGACGAATGTTGTTGCAAACAAGTGGTTTGATGGATTACCAGATGGTTTGTTTGAGTTTGATTGAACAATTAGGAGCGTTGTCTAGTCTTGTGCGAATCAGGTCGTTAGGAACGTAATGCAGAGTTGGATCAATATGGATGCACACGACTCATAACTATCGATGAAGCAAAGAAAGGCTTCAGATACAACGACAGCTTTAATTGTCAGTGCAACAACGAAGCGGTAGATTGAGTTCCCGGATTCCACGCTTCTTGCACCTCAAGACTTGACAAGTTGTTCTCAATTCCAGGCCGAGTCTGTCCAGACCTTGGATCGCCTTCTACACATGAATGCATTCAGATGTCAAGACTGAACCTGCAAAGACACTCTGCCTCGAAACCTGTCGATCATGTTCACTCCTTTCCCCCTGTCTCAGAGCCTTCCCACACTTTCTTGACTGCCGGGCGGGAAGCAATCTTGCGATACCACTCATCCACCAACGGGAACTTGCTCTGGTCGAACTCCTCCTTGTCGAAGACTTTGAGGGCTGTGTACTGCCAGGGGCTAAAGGCAATGTCGGCATAAGACAGCTTGTTGCCAACAAGCCATGGTCCATCCCCGTTGCCAACAGCGTTGTTTTCCTTCTGTTGAGCCAGGTGCATTTCCAAGACACCCGTCACTCTCGCCATCTCTTCCAGATAACGATCAAGTGCACTCGGCACTTTTTCCGGGTGGAACAGTTTGAACCAACCCGCCTGACCGTAGTACGGACCCTGTCCCGATGTCTGGAAATACAGCCACTGCTTGGCGAGCCAGAACTCGGTTGTTCCCGGGGCAAAGCTCAATTTATGCTCCTGATCGTAGTTGTCGACGAGATATTCGATGATTGCGCCAGATTCCCAAAGCGTGAGACCGGTGTTGGGGTCATGAATCGACGGTAGACGCCCGTTGGGGTTGATGGCGAGATACTCGGGTTTCTTGACATCAGAGAACGGAACTGGAACCACTTCGTATGGAATTTTCAGTTCTTCTAGAAAGATGGCCACTTTTGCCGGGTTCGAAGATCGAGGTTCACCCCAGACTTTGATCGGTTTCAGTTCTGAAGACATTCTGGGCCTCTTTTGCGTACCGGAGAATATCAGGACAAATTCAGCGTTGGGATCGGAATCAGTAGTTGGATCACCAGTCAAAGAAGAGACAACGGCGGCTCAGTCGGGTTATATCCACGGAAACCATGTCTCTCTTATATCCTGATGATGGTAGTGGCATGTTTGTCCATCTGCCAGCGGCCGCTTCTCGCACGATAAACCTCAGTACATTTGTAAGAGATGAGAAATGCAAGAGCTGTCGGTCGTAAAGATTCTCCAGCAAGGGACTAGGTCGGATATTGGGAGTATTCACTTTCCTACAAGAACTCTTCTGATGCAATACATTGCAACCCACAAGCGATCCACGCTTCCCGCCCTGCCAGTTCTTCGCCAATAGTACCAGGAGCTGGGAAGGGTATGCTAGGCCCACCGAGGAAGACTGTCGTTTCATCGGAATAGTACCAAGCCCGGAAGATGTGGGGCAGTGGGGAAGCGGTACCGAACTAGGCTTTATCAGGAGAAACTTTTCGAGGACGACAAACACAACCTGAACCTCCCTGCCTCCTCCTTGGCGCAGAAACAACCAACGGCCGTGATCATGGCGCTCTCAACGGCGCCGCCGACGTGCAACTGCTCTATCTAACACTCGCTGCGTAGCCCTCGATTAGAGAGGGTTCTAACTAATGCCATTCTCCAGCAGAGCTTGCCAAACATGCAAGATCCGCAGGGTCAAGGTAAGTAAGCAGCCACCCAATTGTCGTTCCTCTGCTCCAATCGAGCGACTAACCCACAGCTGCAGTGCGACGAAACCAAGCCAAACTGTCTGAGATGCACAAAGACCGGCCAAATCTGCCTCGCCACCAGCGTGGTCGAGCAGCCCGGGTTTGTGATCAACGTCGAGAACGCATTTGCAAGCGGCAAGGTCAAACGGCCGAGAGGGCCGCGATCAAGTCTGACCTTGCTGCGCCCGCAGTTCGACCTGGAAGCGCGTGCCGTCGCGTACTTCTGGCAGGAGCATGTGCTTGTGTCGGACGACGTTCCCAACGTTGCAAAGAGCTTGTGCGCGTGCATCGCGGCGTGGAAAGCCTCCTCCCGGAGAGAATCCGCCATGGTGGACCTGGCTCTGTCGTGTACGGCGATGAACGTCTTTTCGCGCGTCAAGCGGCACCCGGAAGCCGGGATGGAGGCGTCGAGGAAATACGCGGTCCTTCTGCGCATGGTCAAGCAGCGCATCTCCGACTTCGACTCGCCGGCATGTGTCCGCCCATCTGCTGCTGAGGTCGACGCCTGCTTGATGGCTGTCTTCCTCATGGGCCGCTACGAGGCGACAAGACCTACAGTCAGTTCAACTGCGTCGCTGCAGAGGTCTTTCCACCTTGAGGGAGCTCTCGCAATATTGAAGGTTTGGATCCAGAATGCGGATCCGATGTCTCACGCCACACCCATCATCAGGTTCGGCCGCAGAGGGTTGATCACATCTTCTCTCCGGCACAACCTACAGCTACCGGACTGGATACTGGACGGCGAGCGCTTCGGCGAACACGGTCTCGAGCTGGCTTTCGACCGTATCTTCGTCGGCGCCGTCAATCTCCATCATGCATGTGAGCAACTCCTGCTGCAGGAGGATCATGATGGATTATCTGCCTCGGTGCTAGAGCTGGTGAGTCAGGGGCGTGAGCTTGATGGTTCATTGCGAGACTGGGCAGATTCGTTTCCCCCCGCATGGGCCCACCAGAGACACACCCTTTCGGAGCCAGGTCCTTGGCCCAAGAGACACACTTACTGTCCAACGGTCTACAGCTTTCAGTCAGTCGGTTACGCCAGTGTCTCAAGCCAATACTCTGCGACAAGGATGCTAATCAACAGCACGCGGCTGAAGTTGCTTGAGATCTGTCGGCAGCCGTCCTGTCTCGGATCCCAATATGGACAACGAGAATGGCTTGAGTCGTCGATTCTTCTCAATTGCATGGCGGACCGCTTGGCCTTCACCATCCCTTTTGCGCTGGGGAAGCTCAAGATTTCACAAGAATCCGGAATGGGGAGCAGCAGCCTGATCATGGTAAATCCAGACAGTGACATGAAGCCTTGTTCCGCGGCCTTGGTGTGTTGGCAATTGGCCCTCGCTTCGAGTCTGAGGCGGCTAGATCCAAAGCAGCGACAGTGGTTTCGGTCTGAGACTGCACAGGTTGGGAGCAGGATAGGGGACCCATTCCTCGAATCTGCAGAGACAGATGAATGGCCCGTGCTCTGACCAAATGAGGTTGCAATATCACAAGTAACAGCGAAGCAACAAAGTATAATGCAAGGAATTACAGTTCAAGGACATGGCATTTGAAATAGTGGCCGGCGTCCGGTCTCCTTTTCCACTTTGTCCAAGCTGTCGTCCAAGGACCAGCTCCACATACAGTGATCTTCAAAAGACGGCATTGCTGTCTTTGTCCCAATACACTATGCAGCAACTGAATCTGGCTCCTCAACCTGATATCTAGGCATTTTCTCGCCAGCCGCCCATTTGTACTTGGAGCCGGGGTGGTCATCCGGCAGCCTTCTCGTCCCCAGAAAGACCTCCCTCGCGGTGGCGCCTTCCTTGTCCACACCCGATCTAAAGAGCCCGCGGCGCCGTAACTCTGGCAGCAAGTATTCGATGATATCCTCAAAGGTCCCCGGGTTGGCGATGTGAGCGAGATTGAATCCGTCCACGCCAGAGACCTCGACCCAGCGTTCCAGTTCGTCGGCCACGGTGGTTGGGCTTCCTATGACCTTGGCCCCAAGTCCACCGACACTGAGGTATTCCACGATCCTTCGTTTCGTCCAGGGTAAGTTGTCGGTGCCTGGGACAGTAGCCGACCATCGGCGTACAATGGAACGGACCCGTGGAGAGTCAGACATGTTGAAGTCCTCGTCATCCGAATAGCCTGAGAGGTCGACGCCAGTCCACCCTCCGAACAGAGCCAGGGCGCCTTCGTGATCAGCGTATCTCAAATAGTCTTCCCTCTTTTTGTGCGCTTCCTCGTCAGTAGGTGCCACTATGACATTAATGCCGACAATGACCTTGATGTGGTTAGGATCGCGTCCCTCGCTCTGGGCAACTTTCCTAATATTTTCGACGGTGGCGCGGGTCACTTCTGGCGTCTGGCCGCCTATGAAGATTGCTTCTCCGTGCTTACCTCCAAAACCATTCCCGGCCTCGGACACGCCAGCCTGAAACAAGAAGGGTGTGCGCTGGGGCGAGGGCTCGCAGAAATGCGGACCGGGCACCTCGAAGTATTTGCCCTTGTGATTGATTTGTCGGACGCCGTCCGCTGCGATGTAGACGCCAGCATCTCTGTCCGCTAGGACGGCGTCGTCGCGGAAACTGCCCTCCCAGAGCTTATACACGACCTCCATGTACTCATGTGCGATGGCGTACCGTTCGTCATGGGGGATCTGTTCCTTCAACCCGTGGTTCCGGGCGGCGCTGTCCAGGTACGACGTGACGATATTCCACGCCAGGCGACCTTCGCTGAGGTGGTCGACGGTCGACAGCCGCCTGGCCAGGGCGTACGGCTTCTCGTAAGTCACGCTGGCCGTCGCCCCAAATACCAAGTTCTTGGTCACAGCAGCCATGGCCGGGACCAGGTACAAGGGGTCGTTGACAGGGAACTGGGCGCCCGAGGACAGCGCGGGCACCACGTTTGCAGGGCCCTTGTAGACGTCGTAAGGCCCGAGCGTGTCCGCGATGAACATGGCGTGAAAATGGGCCCGGTCGAGCAATTGCGCCAGATCCGTCCAGAAGGACAGCTTCTTGTACTGGTCTGTCTTGTTGCGAGGATGGCGCCACAACCCAGGTGCGAGATGACCTGGTGTGTTCATCACAAAGGCATTGAGGATCATCTGTTTCTTCTCCTTCATCTTCTCCGAGGTATCGCCAGTGGAAGTCACGCCATTCGATACCACAGCGTATGGTATTTCCGCCATCGTGTGCCAGAAGACCTCTCCAAATATTGCACTTCTCAAAGTTGTGAACTGGCAAGGTAATTTTGGCACAAGTGATTTTTTGATCTCGATGACCTTCCCCCTTGCGATCTGTCCATTTCCTCAACTCTGGCACGGCTGCCACTTGCATCCTGAAGGCCGGATGCAATTCGCGGGGTGTTTCGGACATTGTCGACAATCGCAATAACCGGTTCATGGCACGCCATCGTCGACGATCCACTTGTCTGAACACGAGGCCCCACGTCGTGTCCAGTATTGCCGTTTGCGTGAGTACCAATGACTTTGGTTGGCTCTTTTGGACTCATAGCTGACTGTGAGAACCTACGCTCAAGACGCGTGAAATGAAGAAACGCTTCCTTGCGGACAAAGCCTTTACCATGCCTGTTCGGGGTCTCTCTATCGCTCCTGTCCGCGGAGCATTCCACCTTCAAGGAGATGTGGATCACATGAATAGCATGTGTTCTCCCGTCAGCAAAAGTCGTTCCCTCTCCAAACGCATTTCATGAGTTTACTACCATTATCTCTTAAACGTCAACGATGGTGAAGGGCTACGACCGACGGACTATTTCGTACCATCGTCGCCCTCCAACGAAATCTAGAGAGGGTAGATGAAATACTTGTTCTCCAGATCCGTCAAGTCCAGCAGAGAAATGTCCACCTCGACTTCAGTCCTATTTCCCTCGGCGTCAATCTGCTCGATGACACCCGTCCTGGTCTTCCCGGCAGCTTGTTGCTCTGCGATCCACGCGCGGCGCTCCTTGTTCCGACGCGAGAGGATCCAGTCGATCACCAAGAGTATGGCCGGGGTGCCCACCCAGCTGATGACGATCTGGACGATCCACGCCGAGTAATAGCGGGGAGCGGCTGATGGGACCCAGATCTGGGGAGAGATCAAGTTGGCAATGCCATAGCCAGCCATGAAGAAAACATTGCGGGCGAGTTTCTTCGTGTATCCGGCGGCGGTCGACGTGGTCCACCCCAAGGCAATGATGTAGGTGATGCCATAGGTATTGCCGGCGAGGATCAAGCACGCCAGCAGGGAGATTGTCTTGCCCCATTGAATCGCCACCATGCCGATGCCGCCTGCAATTGCGGGAAGGCACCAGATGGTTCCCCAGTAGGCCTTGCGCCATGGGACGTAGTGCAGCAGGATTGTGGCGACTATGCAACAGGCGACGGCGAAGCCACCGCCTGCGGTGCTGACAAGGGTGGAGCCGAGGTCGGAGACACCGATCTGGACGAAGAGGAGGTTCTGCTGGTATGCAATATTGTTGGAGATCATCAGCGTAAAGGCCTGGAATCCGAAGAGCCACGAGATGGGATCTCGAATGGCCTCGCACAGCTGGCTCTTTTTCACTTTCTTGTACTCGATGGAACTGGTTGTCGCGTCGTGAATCTCCTTGACCAGGTACAGTCTCTCCTGCAGGTTTAGGAACGTTGCTTCACCCGGGTTGTTGGGATAGATGAAGAAGACCAGGATCGAAAGAAAGAATGTCAGACCTCCCGTGACGACCATGAAGAGTTTCCAGGGTAGCACGGAGCTGTGGCTGAACAAGAGGCCATAAGCAATGAAACCAGCTGGGATGGGTGCGCCCATGCACGAGATCCAGAACAGCGGTTGAAGGAGGCCCTGGACGTGCGGGACGAAAAACATGCCCATGGTGATTTCAATCGCGGGAACCACCACTGACTCGACAAAGCCCAAGAAGAACCTCAGGGCGATCAAGGCGCCGTAGCTTCCTGCCGTGCAGTGGAGGAAGACGATGGCGGACCAGAGGAAGATGGTCACCCCCATGAAGCGGCCGAGAGGCACTCGTTGAATAAGGTAATGGCCCGGCACCTGGCCGATGATATAGCCTTTATGGAACAAGAGTCAGCATTGGCTCGCTGCTTCAAAGCTGTTGGGGTCTGCGTGTACCAGCGTAGAAGAGCGTGTTGAGGTTGTTATACTGTCCATTGCCAATGCCAGTCTCCTGGAACAGACCCAAGATCGAAGCATAAGCCAAGGTCGCCTTATCGATCTATCATGTGTGTGTTAGTTTTTCATTCGTTCCTTGACATCCCCTTTTTGGGTGGGAAACTTACGAAAAGCATCAAATTGATCACCAACAAGAGCGGTACAAGGCCGTAGTACAGCTTGCGCTTAAGTCTGCGTACACCACCTTGATCTAGGGTGAGACCAGCCGACTCTCCATACTCCTTCACAAGATGGAAAGTCACGTCTGCATCCTTCTCGGAGATGTGTGGCTCGGGCTTCTCTGTCACCGCAGGCTGCGCGAGCTTCTCGGCCATTGCAACTGAAGACCGCGAGAGAAGGTATCAATACCAACAAAAGTGGATGTGGCAGTGAGTAAAGATTCCGACGTTGATACTCAGAGAAAAGCAAGCAGATGTGGCAGACCAGGTTCGAGAGGACTGCAATGCTTTATGAGCGGACTCGCAAGATAGCCCGTTCGTGATATGGGCCATTGTTCGCGTCATTCGTCGTGCCCTCGTCTTTGCATGCAGAAGCCGGTCTGGGTTCAAGAAATCTAGTCCTGATATGGTAGTGGACTGTACGACGCGTGATGGCGATAGCCGTTGGGCACTTGAATGGCTAGTGACTTACTAGTTCGAGAAACCCACCAGGGTTCCTGAGGCGTGCACATGGCACGAGATAAAGCTTGGAATGCTTGATTTTCTTTTCCTGAAGGCAACAGCAGCCAATGACTTGTGGCATGATAGGTCGCTTTTGGCGAGCATTTCGCTTCGCTCACCACTCAGGCCTCCCCGGCTTATAGCTTTGCTTCGTGTGTTCGAATGGCCAGAGCATGTGGCGGACTACTCTCCGTTATTCCGCATTGTCGGCGGGTTTTCTCATACGGAGTATCCCGGACTTTGTTCCACGAGGTGCGAATTGGCTTTGTGCGGTTCTCTTGAAAGATGGCTCCGGAGAAAACTTCTGTACAGGCGGAAACGCTTTTCCCAATGAGGGGGCCGTGCTCTGTATCTAGTTGCAACCTCTAGAAAGCCGCTTTCCACGAGAGCGCCGAGACGCGGGATTGCACGTCATAACTAATGGACGCTTTTCGTGGTCTTATTTCTGTCGCCCCTTGTTGTTCGATATGTTGTAGACTTCACGTGGACGAAGTGACCTGATGCTGTCCTTTCCCTGCGCAGAGGCTCCATCAGTCCCAAAGAAACCCTACTATCTGTCGCCATCGTGGTGTTTTAGTTTCTGGCTCTATATCTTCGGCTGCCCGTGAAAGAGCCTCTTCAAGAGGAATCTCTGAGAGTTTCACAACCTTAGTCCGCTTATTTATCTTCCACACAAGATATGCCGTGATCACAAGAGGTATATCCCTTTGGTAGCATTGTCAGCAGGCTGGTTAAAAGAGTTTCAGGATTGATATACTTACAAATATGACGAGATGAATCCACTGGCCGACCAATTCCCTCTGGTAAAGACGGGAAATCCAGCAGTGAGAAGAATCACAACGCACAAGAACAGTGCCGCAGGTGTCGAAACCTCTGAGAAAACGTGTCATCAGCATAAAGAAAGCAAAGAGAGAGTATGTTACTACGTACCAGTCCATCTTGAGTGCCAGGGGAGCATCTTCAACTCCAACCCTTGTGCCTTCATAGCCTGTAGCAGCCGGAAATGGTTCAACAGCACCGTGATCCACGATATTAGCACACCGCATGCCGTTAAGTCAACGAGCCACCAGAATACAGTCAGCGCACTGTCCGATAGGCTCATGAAAGCAAGGAACATGAAAGCCCCGAAGAACAGCACGCAAACGTATGGGACACCCCAGGGTGTAGTGCGCAGAAACACTTTAGGCGCCTGGGTTTTCAGCGCAAGGCCGTACAAGACACGGGTACCAGAAAGCAAGGCTTGATTGGAGCTGGACCACGCCGAGGTGATCACGATGGCGTTCACTAGTGATGGAACGCCTTTGAGGCCCGCTGCGCTGGCTGCGATGACAAATGGGCTCTGCGCAGCAGTGCCGGACTCATCATCAAGTCTCGGATCGTTGCTCGGCACAAGCATGCCTACAATGAGTACAGCCAGGATGTAAAACGTTGCAACACGGATGAAGACTCGCTTACATGCCTTCGGAATTGCCACACGTGGATTCCGGGTCTCGGCTGCCGCCATAGCAATACTCTCAGTTCCCGCGAAGCTGAAGACTGCGTTGCTCATGACGGCCCAATAGCCGAGGAAGTTGCCCCAAGAGCCGGTGGCTATGTACTCGACGAATGGGCCGGGATGCTTCCAGTATCTGAAGCCGATACGAGGCGTGCCTGAAACTCCACCGAGGTCGATGACCAAACCGAGCAGAATCAGGAAGACGATGAACAGGATCTTGAGCAGAGCGAACCAGAACTCGACCTCGCCATAAATACCGATAAAAGACAAGCCGACGATAAGGGTAAGCGCAATGAATATAACAATCCAGACCGAAGGATTGACATCTGTCCAGTACTGGAAGAGAACGCAGATCGCCGTGATTTCCGTCGGAATGGAGAGGCAATTGCCGTACACCAGGTTATAGCTGTGGTCGTCGTGTTAGGAAGTGCTAGTGCTTGGGAGGTAGGGGACAACACACCCGATTGCAAAGCCAAAGGCAGGATCGATCAAAAGTTCGGCATGTCGAACGAACGAGCCGGTAACGGGCAAAAGAGCAGTCACCTCGCCCAGGGCAAATTGCACCGCGCAAACAACTGCACCAATAGTCGCATAGCCCAGCAGCGCTCCTAGGGGACCAGCAGTCTGGATGGAGCCCCCGAGTCCCAGGAAGAGGCCCGTTCCCTTGGAATATAAATCAGCCCTGGGACGCAGATATAAAAAAAAACAGCGGTGAACCCACGATAGCTCCAGCGATAGCGATCAGAGACACGTGCCGTTGATGAAGGCCTCGTCTAAGCTCACGATCCTCTGTGACCGTCACAAAGTCACTTTCGTCGAGGGTCGAAGGGCCTTCCGTGATGCGTGGCTGGGACAGGACCGCTGGCTCTACATTGCTCTGAACCTGCTTGCTAACACCCTGTGTTGTTTCCGCCATGGATATACTCAAGCACGGGATGATGACTGACGCCCTGCTGTAGAAAGTGCTGCAGCGAGCATCAAAGCGCCAGCACGGATAGAAGGTTGAAGTTCTGAAATCCCGGTGTGACAACAAAATTTCGCTGCTAAATGGCGTGCTCGATCTGAATGGGTCAGCACGAGATGCTGCCGAAGTCCCACCCAACGATGAGAGACTAGACTTTAGTCTGTCATGGCTTCAGTGTCCAACATTGAAACTTCATTGTGGCAGGTCTTCAGGGACATGACTTGAAGCAGCGAGGACGTTGGTAAAAGCAGGAGGTTGGAAAAAGCGCTCCAGAAATACGTCTCTGCTTCAGTGCAGAGGTGGGCAAAGACAGATTGATTGTGGGGATCTCGCGGTGGCGGCCGATTTGATAATAGGGAGCGGATACAGATTCGGAGAGGCACAATGCTTAACCAACATAAGCGTAGCTTTAAAGGGGTTCGGCTTCAGCTTCCTATCTAAGAAGGCCAGTAGAGATGGACCCAAGGTCCTACCAACGCATGCCTCTTGCTGCCGGTATACTAAACCCGCACCCTATATGCTCTTTCTGTAATGCATACAGCCATTTCTTCTTCAACACTGTGGAGTGAGCGCCTCTCTTTGAGCCCGCATGGTTGAGGATTTCTCCTTTGACAACTTTCATGTCGCAAGCATCTATCCTCCATTGGATATGCAGTCTTGTGCTGCGCGATTGCTCTGCAACTATGAACCAAGCGATATGCCCTCACGGTAAGATATTATAACTATACCATCACTACCATCCTTGAAGGATAACTTGACAAATCGACCCCGTTCCTTGAGGACTTTGCACTCCACAACGACCGTGTCTATTTCTTGCACACCGGCGTGTCTGACTGTCTAGGGTATTTGCCATTGATCACGGTGATATCCGCCGTCAAACCTTCCAGTAGGCTTCCTTATTTCCTAATAGCACTTGCGCGAACTTCGAGAATCGTTGCCAGATTGAAGGCAAGGTTCGTCGTAGGCTCGATATATTCAGGGAAACTTCTATTGGCCAGTATTCGAGCGTTGCGATGAGAACTTGTTCTCCAAAACCAAAGTGCAATGCATGAAGGAAGGTCGGGAGCTTTTGGGAGGGCCAATAACCCGCCTCATTAGTGTCAAAGACAAAGACTGAAGATGTACCGTTGGAAACCACAATCAGCGCCTATAGAGCCTCGACCCTGTTTCTGAACCTTAAAATCTCGCCATGAGCCACTTGAGACTCAACAACCAAGTCGCAGTGACGAATATCTGCGATCTTCGCAATCTTTCGAGCTCTCCTCGGCCGAGGCAATGGCATAGGACAGATCGGACAGAATCATCTGCCGAGGCCGCTCTATGCATAAATGCCATAACTTTCGATGCTCGCTGCGGAACATGATATCTTCAATTGCAAGTGCATCTGGACAAAAAACACGAGACTCGAGGCATCTTCCTTTCGACGGGAATACCTGGTCACATTGTTGACCCAAGTGAGCCATCTGAGGAAGGTCTCGCTGGTCATGCTGACTTTGACCTTTCAGCGCAGCAGGTCCTGCACCTGCGATATATTCCTCTGGATTCAAAACGGGCGTTATAAAGACAAGAGAGAAGAAAAGTCTTCGATCTTTCATCGGAAATAGAATAGAAGAACGACGTTGGAACTTGGAAGTTCCACGTTGTCTCGGCTTGGGCTGGGAGCTGGGAGCTGGGAGCTTTAAAGCGGCACCAGGCGTTGTTCAAGGGTGACCAGGCACGTGAGCAGGTGAATGCCAAGAATAGCGCATTCTGACCTTATTGCGACTTCGACCATGATGGCACTGGTATCGCAAGCAACCCCCATACCCACGATTCCATCTATTCGGACCCCATATACCATATTTCTTGGGCTCTGCGATTCTTTCAACGCCCGAATCGCAGAGAGTGAGCCATTCTACTCCCGGAACCCCTTCAAGTAATTCCCGACCGACCTCTGCCCCTCATGATGCGCGTTTGCCCAACTGCGTCGCATCACGGCCGAGGAGATTTTGAGGAGGTTTCATCTCCTTCGGAGTAACGACCTCAGCGCGTGGGAGACTGTGAAACCTCGATCGCGCTCGGTGGAGCGCCATCATGGCTGCGGTTATGGCGAAGCCTGCGGGGACGGCGACCAAGATGAAGAAACCCCCTCCGCCTCTTGTTCAGACCAATTTGAACGGTATCAAGCCCACGGCGCCGTCCTCTTCGCCTTCCAGTGCGCGGAAGACTCTTCCTGGACAGAACCCGACGCCAACGTCTACGACCAGTAACACCGCCATCGCAAATACCGCCGCCCGACCGAATCGACGAGTACAGCGCTTGACGACAAGAAATAGCACGGCTGATGGTGGACCTCTGGATAAGCGGGCTTCTAAGAAATATCCGGAGCCTCATGGTACGCTCTTATAAATTCAAGCTGTCGAGGAAGCGAAGCTGACATATTGCGCTCCTTAGTCCCCAAAGAATCCCACATTCTCCGCAAATACAAAGGGTGCGCGCCCTCTCTAATCGTACACCTTCATCCTACGCATTTCCGGTTCGATCAGCAGGATGGTAGCTTCAGTTACCACTCCGAGATGCGTGTCTTCATTGAACATCTGGCCAGAGGCACGATTCCACATGATATGGTAGAAGAGTTTCGGAAGTCGGAGGTAAAATACTACGACGGTTGGCTCATTGTGCGGGTGGTCGACCACAAGTCAGTCGCAAAGGATGCTGCCGCTTCTGGTGCCGCTGCAGACGACGAAAAACCATTTTCCATCCACAACTATAACCAGTACATAACTCCTTCGCCCTACGCACCATACCCTACGAAGGAACAGTCTGTTGCAAAGTCCCCTCCCCTAAAACAAGAACAGACCTCGAACGACAGCAGGGCCCATCCCAGTTCCGACGATACCATCGATGTCGCGCCCAAATCATCAAAACCGCAGCCGAAGGTCTATCACGTCGCCCTGCGACCCACCATTCTCTCCCGACACATGGATCTCGTCATTGATGCCATGACTCCAGACCCGAAGTCACTGAATCGGAAGCAGTCACAAGCAAACGTAAATAGCCGTGCACCCGGAACTGGTGCTCCGCAGACTCCGATATCAGCCATTCCACCGACTCCATCGACTGAAAAAGGGCCGCCCTTCAAGAAGATAAAGTTGAAGATTGATCCCAAGGATATGCTTGAGTATGAAGGGAGGGTGGTAAATGCGACGGCCCCTCCTTTGTATCTAGAGCCTGTTGAGAGCCTGGAGGAAGCGGAAACCCTCATGACCCAGCTGAGAGATCCACTTCACGACCAACGACCACCATCACCTAAGAGCCGAAAAAGGACAGTTGCTGAATTGGCGGCAGATGACGCGCATGCCAAGGGACAAGAACGATTTATGCTTATCATGGATGAGCGTACTGCGGGTACTAATGGTGCTGCAAATGCTGCTGGAGTGGACGGTCAAGCGGCCGCCGCTCTCTTCCAGCCCCGTTTCGAGAAGTTCAATGCTCTTGATAACATCAAGCGAGAAATTGCCGAGCGCAAGCAGCGTGAGAAAGATCGGCAGCTTCAAGAAGACGAAAATAGAAGAGGCCAGCAAGAACGGCTCCAGGAAGAGGAGAAAAAGCGAATCATGATGCAACGTGCGCAGGAAGCACGAATGCTGCGAGCTCGTCAGCAAGAAATGGCGGCGGCGGCAATGCAGGCCCAGCAGGCCCAGCAGCAGCAACAACAATTACAACAGCAACTACAGCAGCAGCAGCAACAACAACAACAGCAGGCCGCTCAAGTTGCTCAAAGGCCCCCCTCTCAGCAAGTCAACGGCATACCCCCGAACATGCAGACCCAAATCATGGCCGGTCAACAGCGGGGATCGCCTATTATCCGTCAAGGCACCCCACTCGCGGCGTCCTCACCTCTTGTTGCAAATGCTGCTCAAGGCGGCGTGCCCATGGCGATGTCTGGTTCTCAGCAGGGGCACGGATCTCCGCCAAGACCAAGCTCGGCCGTACAGCACGGCCACCCCAGTGCACCTATGACCCGGGCGCCCAGTACTCAGGGCCCAAGTCGAAATGGCACTCCACAGATACCTCACGGTACACCTGCTCAAAGGAATGCCACCCCGATCATGCGACAGAATACTCCTGCGCAGCCCGTTACTCATGGTAGCCCTCACGGAGCTACTCCACAAATGGTAGCTGCTGGGATGATTCCCGGGATGCAAGCGCAGATGCCAAACGGTGTGCCCAGACAGATGAATCCTCAACAACTAGTTGAGATGCAACGACGCCATGCTATGCAACAACAGGCTGCCGCGCAGGCCCAGCAAGCAGCGATGCAGCAGCAAATGGTCAATGGAACTCCGCAAATGTCGCCTGCTCAAGTGGCGCATATACAGGCACAACATCACGCACAGGTGGATCGGCAAGCTGCAATAGCTCGCCAAGCTGCTCAACAACAGCAGCAGCAGCAGCAGCAACAGCAGCAACAGCAGCAACAGCAGCAACAGCAGCAACAGGCAATGCAACAACAGCAGCAACAACAACAGCAGCAACAACAACAGCAGCAACAACAACAGCAGCAACAGCAGCAAGGGACTCCGCAAAGCGCACACATGTCACCCAATCCTGCCCAAAGTCAGAAAGCCTACAACCAATCTGTTGCCGAGCATGTCAAGGCTCAAATGCAGAGCCTGCAGCAAGCGCAAAATCACGGATCTCCAGCGCCAAATCACATGACTCCTCAGCAGCAAGCAGCTCAGCTAGCTCACGCACAACAACAGCAACGAATGATGCAAGCAGTCCAAGCCCAAGCCCAAGCCCAGGGACAGATGATGGGACAAGGAGTACCCCATCCCCAACAACGGCCGCAGGTGGATCCTCAACTCAAACAACTATTTCAGCAGACTCTGCAAAGCTATACACAACGCTTCGCACAACAAGCTGCGCAAAAGTATGGTGGAAACGTGCAAATGCTGCAACCGCAGGAAATGCAACATGTACAAATGCAAGCTCAGAGGTTCGCACAGGCGGCAATCCAGAAGCGTCAGGCGGCAATGAATCAAATGGCGCAGATGCAACAAGCTCAGGTGCGACAACAGATGGCACAACAAGGCGGTGGAATGCAGAATGGTATGATGAATATGCAGAATATGCAGGGAGTCAATCCAAACATGGCGGCGGTGTTGCAGCAGCAGCAGGCGCAACATATGCAGCAGATGCAGATGCAACATGCTCAGCAGATGATGGCGGCTCAACAACAACAACAACACCAACAGCAGCAGCAGCAGCAACAACAACACCAACAGCAAAACATGCAGTTCCAGCAGAGATAATTGGGTCTCCACCTTGGCCGAGGTTGAGGGTTGGGAGGGATGAGCTGTGGAGCTTTTCCCTTACATTGTTCTTTGTTGCTTTATTCACCGGCTTCTAGTTCAGGGTTCTCACGACTGGGTGGACGTTCTGGATTTTCACTTACCCTGCAGGCGGAGTCTTGGATCATGGCAGGCGATGCTTGATTCTCTGATTTTCTTCAACCCCCTGGCGAGTTGGGTTCAACAAAGGATTGGACGAACGGGAGATTCGCATTAGGCTATGCACCAAAATGGGAGAACTGGTGTTCGTGCATGGGGTTACGTTTGCTGCTTGCCCGCGGGGGCTTTTGGGTCCATCTATGATGTCCATGAAAAGAATGAATGCAATTCTGGCTGTGGTGTGACGAAGGGGGTCGAGTGACGCGCAGATGTGTCTCGATTGCATAATGCTATGCGATATGGTGGGTTATAGGGGTCGAACTGATACCGAGATAATCTTCCAGGTCAAGGTTATTTGCCTGGTTGTGTATATTGCTAAACTAGTCGTTTGACATACTGGCATCCTTAGCGGGCTCTTACACCAGTTTCACACCCTTGAGGACTTCCTCGTCTTGTCGTGGTCAGCTTGGTGGCTTGTAGGAATCTCGTTCTGCTGCCCGTCTGACTAGAACTCCACCCCGACTTCACGGTTCGAACTATGCCCATCTTCGAAGGTGGTCTAACCGCAAAGTCTGTTAGAGTGCTGCTAGGTCGTGTCATCCTATCCCGACACATTCCAAAGATCGCCTTCACCATGCCGCACAACCTGGAGAAAGTCAAGATCGGCCCTGAAATGTACCTTGCATGGTCTCGGATAGTTCTCCATTGGGTTTTGTGTAAATACAACATTACCACCAGCGTTTGAGGCCGACTGCTGACCGGCGTCTTCTAAGAATGGGAGCTATTGTGCTATTCCACCCGTTAAATCTTCCTCGTCAGACACGACGTTTTGTTTTATTTCTGGTCATCTGATTGAAATCTTGCTGCCCAGCTGAAAACCTCTCAACCATTGACCGAAAACAGGCAGTGTACATCTCGATATCCTAATGCCCGAATACGCACTGGCAAGTCAATTACAAGCATTGGGAACTTGACTGAGCAGGGAGCGAGGAGCGCCACCAATGAGTCCATCCAACCACATGTCCCAAGTCCGGACCGGTCGCAACTGCCACCGAGAGCCATGTGAGTGTTTCTTTCTGTCGTGCCATTTTCTATTCCAATCGACGAATAAGGCGAACTGGCAGTACCCCTGGACGGTGGACGATGCGGGACAACTAATCGCGTCTGATCTGTTTCCTTAGTCCATTGCTTCGTGACTAACCCCGGATTCCTCAACAGGACATCGCCTAGGCCATCCACTTTCATCATTGGGTATCCCAAGACGAAAAGCGAGAAGACCCAGTCTCGTAGCGCGGTTAGGGCAAATGCATCAAGGCTGCGTTGGCGAAAAGGCGCCACATCAACCGCCGCTGGTGCTGCGCAAAGCGCTGGCCGCCCTACATCACGAATACATCCGCCAACCACAGACCACCATGTCTTTCCAGAAACGGAAGGGCACTATATAGCCCAGTCTCGGATCACTAATCCCGGGGCAGGATTTATACCTGTCTACCCACCCCTGTTGTGGGACGAGCAGGAGCAGCAACAGCAGGGACAGGGGCACACGACTCAAATGCTTCTCGGCTTGTCCTCTCGCACCTCCCTCGATATACTTAGCCTGCCCCTGCCTGTGCCATTCCCCCAGCTGGCCTCATTCTCAGACTACGAGATCAGGCTTCTGCTCAACCAACTCTACGAGACCTTCAGCCAAGCACTACCCGCCAACACTTCCAGGGAGAATGATGACCTTGCTGCAACATGGGTCCGGAAGATCATGTCCGACTCGGGCCTTCTCTATGCATACATGTTCTCGCAGCTCATGAGGAACAAGCAGAAGCAACACTTAGGTCGGAAGGCCGAACGCCAGCTCATTCACGCCTATTCCGAGACCATTACTTATGTCAACAGGGCCCTGACTAACCACTCGACAGCGTGCAGTGACAGCACTCTTCTTGCTGTCTTCACTCTTGCCTATCATTCCATGACGCTCGACTCCCGGCCTCAGCCAAACCGGCCACGGGGCCCGACTCAAGGCCCTCTGAACTCTCTGCGCCTACTCAATCTGTACGGCGGGCCTCTCGAAGCTGCCTCAATGCATCGGGAAGGGCTTTTGAAGATCATTGAGCTCCGTGGTGGGATCGAAAAGTATACACTACCTGGACTTGGGGGACTTCTCTGCTAGTAAGTTTGGAGAGCCTCTGGCAGGCACCAGGAAGGGGATGCTGACTCTAATATTTTACAACTTTCAGTGCAGACCTCATCTTTGCCAGCCGCACGGTCCAGCGGCCGCGGCTGCCTTTCACACCTTGTCTCGACGTGAACTTTGAGAGCGCCCTGGCGCGCGTGTGGAGAGCCGACCATCCACTCCACAGACTCGGTCGAGGGTTTTCGACGCTGGACCAATTCGACTCGTCGCTGACATCGTTGGATCTCGAGATCGCTCTGCGGGGCTTGAGTCAATATACTCGGGCGGTGGACGACTACCTTGCCGCACGACCCGAGGCGCCGAGCATCGCGGTGTTGGAAGAGCTTCGATGTTTCGTGATGCACGGGATCCTGTCGCTGACGCCGGACCTAGACGAGCCATGCCCCGCGGGCGCGGAGGTGCTTCACACCTGCCAGCTGGCCGCCCTCACGTTCGGCATGCTGTGCGTCTTCCCACTGCCCGCGGCTCCGTTTGAGCTGCTGGCCCGCAGCATCAAGCGGTGCCTGTCGCGCTGCGACTTTGCCCGCGCGTGGTCCGCAGCGCCGCATCTCACGCTATGGATCACCTTCATCGGCGGCGTGGCCTCTCTGGGCAGTGTGGACAGCAACAGCGGCGACAATGGCACCCGGGCCTGGTTCGTGTGCATCATCGACCGCTGCCTGCGGAAGCTGAAGATTGATTCCTGGACCGCCCTCCGCGACGACGTCTTGCTCGAGTTCCTGTGGCTTCCTGCCACCAACGACAACGACGGGATCGATCTGTGGGACGAGATCGAGGCCTCGAGTCCCTTTGCCGTTGTGACAGCTGTGTGAGATGCAATGTTCCAGCAAACCGGCAAAAAGGATGGCGCCGTTTTCGAACCACTTCCCACACTCCAGCGGTGGTGGTGCAATTGCGCATCCAAGTCATTTATCACACACATCCCGCCACAAATACAGACTATTTGCTGATGCACCAGCGATTTCCGAGGCAAGTGGAGAAAGCGTCGTCCGGAAACGAATGGACCTCGGGCTCCGCTACGAAAAGACAGTTACATACTTCTCCGCCTTTGTCAACAAGCACGAGTCTAATCGAGTCGAGTGTACCCGCCTCTACAACGCCAGTCACAGATGAGACGCGTAAAGGTCTTGAATCAAGATCCGACACACACGTACACACCAAAGAACTCTTCTTCTATAGGTATGTATCTATCCATACGTGTGGTATACACGTCCAACTGACCAGGAATAGAACAGATTGTCGATCAAGGGTATTTTCCAGCCAGGGCCCAAGGTGTCAGCGGCCCCATCTATGTGAGATTTGGTGAGGGTGTGAGGCACCCCGCGGAGAGCAGGCAGGACCGACCAACACCGATTGATTTACTGAATAACATGATGTAAATCAGTATCCGACTCTGCGCGCCACATGGGGTCTTTGGTGTTGGCCTCGAGCGTGGATTACCGTGCCCTTGAGATCTGGACGCGCAGAGCTGGGAAATCAAAAAGGGATACGCGCGGTTGTTAGTAGGAGAATTGGTCATGCTCCTCGACTACATCGCTCTAAAGAAAACATGTGTTCAACAACACGCGCGTCGATGAGCCGAATGATATCTCGTCATTAATCGTGTCCAAACAAGGATGCCTCCCAAGGCTCCTGAACCGCTGTCTAGGTTGGAGCCATTTAAATTACCCACCAAAAATACACACAAAAAGTGCCGCACATGTACACAGCCGCCGATCTGGGCGAGGCTTCACCGTTCTATAACTCCTTTTTCAAGAAATGCTCTGGCCGATGCTCAAACTCGTAGTCGACATGAACATACGCCCTCTCCACGTTGGGCAGACTCTCCAGCTTCATCTGCAGATCCTCGGCGATGTCGTGGCTCACCCGCAGGGACTCCTCGGGGTCCATAACGACGTCCACTTCCACCACCAACCTCGGCCCACTATGCCAGGCTCTCACGGTGTCGATGTGCTTGATGTGCTCCGAATGTGTCATGGAGACGTAGGTGATGAGTTGTTGTGTCTCGGTGTCGGCGGATATGCCGATGAGGAGCTGGAATTCCGAGTACGCGGTATGGAGCCACAGGACGGAAATCAAGACCGAGAGAACAATCGCACCGGCGGGATCTATCCACCATCGCAGCTTGCTTCCGCCCACGGACGTCAACACACCAAAGCCGTTGATGAACAGATCGTTGCGGTGGTCTTCCCAGAGGATGCGGACTTGGGAGTATTGATTCCTGAGTGCCCAGCAATATAGGAATAGGCCGAGTTTTGTGCAAAATGCAATACCCACCGCAATAACGGACGGTAGATGGAAAGTCTTGGTATCTTCCGTCGAGCCTCTCGCCAGTTCCTGGACAGAGAAAGCGATCAGGATGAGAGAGACGGCGGTCATGAGGAAACAGAACACAATGTTTCCGGCCGTTTCTATGCGTGCTCTGCCGGCGGGGAATTTGCGCGCATCGACTTTGTTGACGGCTTTGTTGGATAATATGAGTGTAACATTGGACAAGGGATCGAATATGGCGTCCGCCATGGTTGTAAACAGGGACAGTGAACCTGAACTAACGGCACCATACACCTGCAGCACTGCAAGGATGATGTTCGCCAAGAACGAGCCGTAGACGGCGATCTGGAAACGCAGCTGGGTGGATGTTTGTGAGTCTCTTGCTTCTCTGACATGCTCATCCACGGGCTTCAGTAGGCGCTCGATCTGTTCATTCTGCGACTCGTAGAAGTTGGCGATCTTGGCCTGCTGGGACTGCCCCGCCAAATGGAGCGGGTTGCAGGCATTCCGTTTGCGGGCTGTGTTGGCTGTGATACGGTCGAGCTCCGACCGGGATTTGAGACGGCGAGTGAGGTCTAGAGGATCAGAGGGGGAGGCTTGGGTGGGAGATTGGCTCTCGGTGTCAAAGGTTGAGGCGGTCCGGTGGCGCGAGACCATAACGTCGTCGCTCTGCAGGACTGCGGTAGCGGAAGCGGCGGAGCTCTTAGCCTCGCCGTGCAGAAGGTGAGGGTTGGGCATGGGCTGGTAGAGGTCGTGACCGAGCGGGCGGTGATGATGCTGGGGATTTTGGGTAAGCTCCATGAAGGGCTGTGATCTCGAAGCAGGATTGATGGCCATGGTGACTCTTGATGGGCTTGGACACAGTCTGCGGTGAATTCAACAAAGCAGAAAGTGACAGGATGAGAAGGGAAGGGCGGTGGTTGTTGGTCACAGTGAGGGCATTTGGCCTCACCGTCCAAATGGCGGTGGGATGCGCAGCCACAGACAATGCGTGGATTGCATACGAATACTCGGTACAAATACCTATGAATGTTGGGTTTCTCGACGAGCTCCAAAAAGTACAGTACCTGGGGAACTGGTCAATAGTCGTGGCCGAGACAAAGAGCCAAGTCGCGCAAGCTCCGTTGTGTTGCGCGTCAAGTGTCTTGTGTGTCTTGTCATGCGCCCTGCTTCGCCTGCGTCGCCTCTTCAATCACCAGAGCACAAAACCACCCTCTACAGCCGCTCTCATCCGCAAGCTTTATCATTCCTCTTCCCCTACACTGCTATCGTTAAATATTGCTTCCGTATCGCGTCTCCCAATCACTGACCAACAACCATGGCCTTCTTCTTCGTCGTCGGCACCAAAGGTGAGCTGGCTTCGACCTGCGGACTCTGGTTTACGAACTGCGCTCGCTAACCGTCATGCCCCCTGTCCAGATTTCACAAGCCCTTTGAAAGGCTACGAGGGCGTCACTGCTCAGTGTCACAACTGTGGAAACTGGTCGGCGCATCCAATTCAATCCTGGGACTGGTTCACCTTCTGCTTCGTCCCCGTCATCCCGCTGGGAGGGAGACACCAAGAGGTCCGTTTAAAGACTCCATTCAGCCTTCAATACTCTGCCTGCTCACCGTGATTCTAGGTTGCCTGCTCTATCTGCCGATTTCGTCAAGACATGAGGTACGACGACACTAAACGTGCGCCTTGAGACATGCGGGATGCTAACCTGCTATCCAGGAATCGACCTGATGTCGGCTCGATGCAGGGTCAGGGACCTACAATGCCTCCACAAGGACCTCCGCAGGGATGGGGTGGGCCTCCCCCGGGACAAGGACCGAATTACAAGTGAGACAACGCGGCATATCGCAACGAAAAGAAGCACAAGCTGAGTTGTGGAGTCGATATGCGTGATACCGGAAAAGGCGCGCTCATTTTATCACTATTTTACTTCCTTCCGGAACGTCGTCCTTCTCTCCGGCGCAGTTACCATTGTTGGGATTGATGAGCCTTGGTGCTATGGCGTTCGCGCCCTCAAACGGGTCGCATTGAATCGAGTTGATGCCGAGTCTACCATGTCGCGCATTGAGTTCGTTCGATGGGCGACTCAAAGGTTTCCAGAGCCATATCCTTTACGGCTTTTCGTCCTGGGTCTTGTTCTCAAGCTGGAAGGCACTCACCACGTCGCATGCGAATTGGGGAGTCGGGCACTCATATCAGAATGGTGGTGTGATGACCGCGTCCTTCTCACGTACCGCGGATCGCAACCACCAACACCACCATTTCGGCCTCAGTCCCGGCCTCCAGCCTACTTCGGGCACTTGAAGAAGTGTGCACAGGGTTCCATCAGCCACCAAGCTCCATGTCAATGCCCGCGCCGGCTACACGACCACGTTCCGGGTTGACACTTGCATGGGTTTGGACGTACGGATGACTGTTGTGGAAACCACTAGATTCCTGAGCTGAGATGGTTGGTCAGTCTATGGGCTCTGCTGCCGACTCGCCGATAACGATGGGTTCTGGAGGGTTTACACCTATGCACCCTCAGGTGTAATCGGATACATTTGCTTGCCTTGTTTGCATATCGTGGTTGCGTGCAATGGGAAAGTCCATGGGATTCACAGCGGCATGTAATAATATAGGCTATCTCGCCAATAACAAATTCGGTGTTTGGCTCTATATCCAATCTAATAGACGCTATATCCTACCTAGGTATATACATGATGGCAAACAACCGTGGCGACCTTAACTCGGCCGCGGTCACGTGTCGCCGCAGGTGTGTAGGCGTAAGCGGTGAGACGCGGCAGAACAATTGTGAGTCTGAATTTAGTTTTTATCAACACAACGCACCAAAGTTGTTTCTTCTCCTTCTGCGCGCCGCTCTCCATCCGCTGCGTTCTCTGCCACAAACAAACGACTTGCTCCCGTTTTCCCAACAGTCGAGCATTCGTCTTCTTCCTTGCAGATGAGAAATTCGGAGTAATCTTCAACCTTTGCACCTCTGCCTTCGAAGCACTCTGTGATTTCGGGGGCACTTGGTACTGCCCGCGAGGGCCCGGCACGGTTTTTCGCGTGCTCGCAATCTGGCATCAGAAATGTACAGGGCCTCAAGACCGGCATCCCACGCGGGTGTTTGTGTCTCGAGGGATTTCCCTTTGGAAGAGCCGTTGCGAAGATTGTCTGGAGGTCACCTTAGGTGTCCCTTCCTTACTTTAGTGCAATCGCAGCGGAAACCTATCGATCTCCTCCTGGGGGATGATAGGGTTTCAATTCGATTCCGATTACTCTGGAGAGCGGCGCCATCCCTTTTTCTTTTCCACGTAAGTTGTTGACTCTTGCCCTCCAAAGATATAGGGTACTACTAACATTGTGACAAATTCCATATCACCACCTTTTCGCAGTTTCCGGGTCTCTCAGTGCCCGTTCACGCCATTGACACCATTCACACCGTTCGTCTGCGGTTCGGCCGCAAATTGCCTAAACGTATCCAAGTCCACCTGTCTCAGGGCACTGTCCTCGGTTGCTTCCAACACTACTCTCGGCACTGCATTCCTACCGATCCTCCCATCTCTGTACGCTTGGAACGCCTCCAGCCATCTCGCCGTGCAGAGACACCACTTGCAGCCCCCTGTCAGACCTGCTGTCCGCAGATCATTTCCTTGCGAAGCACTAAAGTCCAGGAACTCTTCGGTCACGACACCAGCGACGGCGTGGTTGCCAAAGTCTGCAGCTCCTGTCCTACAATAGCCATCTCGATAGAATCCAGTCATAGGACGGTTGGAGAAGAAGGCAAGAGGTTGCCTGAAAACTGCGCTGGATTAGTAGGGTTGGCGCTGATATAGCTGACCGAGACTGCACAGTCAGAGTGCGGCTCAACTCGGTATCCAAAGCTCACCATTCAAATGAGAGGTCATGCTTTCCTCCCTGGCCACCGGCGCTGGCGGTGATGGGTGAGATTTCCCTGGAGTGCCAAACAGGGGAATTTGGAGAACTCGCGCTCTTAGACTTGACCAGAGGCTGAAGCTGCGGACTAGGCGCGCTGATGTAAGAGTCGGCCGCATCAAATCATCCACTGCTTTTCGCCGTATCGTCTGGCGCTGGTGCTGGACGAGGCTCTGTATCCCCGACCGTCAAAGCGACCGTTAAACGGGACTGCTTTGACGAGACTTGAATGTATGCTGGAAGATCAAAAAGTGGTGACGTCAAACTGGCTCGAAGTACGAAGTGCAAGCAAGCATCTGCCAAGGCCGTCCAAGTGCGAATGACTAGGAGGCGACCTTGAAATCTCCAATTTGGGGTTCTCGAAATTGGCTCCTCGCTCTGTCTCTCAAAAGTGGCTGATGTGGCTCCATTCTCGTTTCAATACCATCAAATCCTCCTTTTCTCACGCGTCGGGGACTCGGGAACTGATGTCGGTAGTTCGTTGCAGCCGTACGATGTTATATACTGCGAGCACACCGAGCTGGATTCACGTACCGGACTCGGAGCTTACCCGGGCCAGCATCGAGATTCTCGTCTAAGGTCGAGATTGAAACGCTGCCATTGGTCCTCTCGCAACGTGCTGTGGGCGATCGCCTCACCTCTTCCCCATGTCCTTCAATCCGAAAAAGCTCCCTGCTGATGCGGAGAGCTTGTTCGTGACGGAGATGGGGACATAGCCCCATATCATCATGCTGGCGCTCGAAACCCTCTCGACAATTATGTACGAGTAGATATGCTTATGATTTTCACCCTTGCACGTCTTTAGTGCGTCCTCTTCTGCTCGAACCTGTCACTGCTTGCGAGCTTCTACTCAATTAGGAGACTGGATTGAGAGAGGAGACGATTCCACTGTCCTGGTGCATTGTATTCTTTTTATCCGTCTGACATCAATTTTCCAACACATCCATTCGCCTTCCCCAGTCGTCTCGCAAATTATCAGGAAAAAGGCAACCACCAATACAAGCTTCTTGCAAAAGACGAAACATGCCCGAGTTGAATGTTGGCATCTGTGGTGCCGGCATCGGCGGACTGGCGGCAGCCATTGCCATCAGGAAAGCCGGTGCGAAGGTGACGGTCCTGGAAGCCGCCCCAGAGCTCGGCGAGATTGGAGCTGGCATCCAAATGACGCCCAACGTGGCCAGACTACTGATGAAATGGGGCGTGGACAAAGTCATCGGTGACGATCTCGTGGAATTCGAGGAGCTGAACATGCGGAGGAAAGACGGCACCCTGATCGGGTATACGAAGACGATACCCAACGTCCGCAAGTAAGGCTTGATTGATGCTCACCACCAGAGCCCGTGAATCAATAGTTGTATATACACTAACATCTGTGAGCTATCTGAACGGTATACCATGGTGGTTAGGTCAGCCAGGCCCCGGCCCATCCCCCCCTTTTTGAAAGCGTTTTGTGCATTCCAGTGCTGACGAAGAGAGAGAGAACAGTTCATCGAATGCACCTCCACGCCGGGCTAGCGGAAGTGGCTCGTCGCGAGGGCGCCGAACTCGTCATCGACGCTCGCGTGGTGACCATCGACTGGACCTCGTCGCCATCCAACAAAGTCACCGTGACCACGGCCAAGAACCGATCGTGGACGTTCGACCTGCTCATCGGCGCCGACGGGGTGCGTTCCACGGTGCGCAGAACCATCATGCCGCACGTCAAACCGGCGCCTCCGACGGGGAACTGCGCGTACCGCGCCATCGTCCCTTACGACGAGATCCGGCGCGACCCCATCGCGAAGGAACTGATCGAGAAAAAACTCACCATGGAGGTCTGGATGGCCGACAAGTCGTACATCATCTCGTACCCGATCTCGGCGGGGAAGCAGTTCAACATGGTCCTGAGCCACCACGTGGACCACCTGGTGGACGACGTCCAGGATATCGACATGGAGAAGGACTTTCGGCAGACCTACAAGGACTATGATCCGAGGATCAAGAGGATCGTCGACATGGTCACCTCGGCCAAGAGGTGGCCGTTGTTGGTCACGGGGCCGTTGGAGAGCTGGTCGACCAAGGAGAAGAATATCGTGTTGATGGGGTATGGAACACCCTAATCCCCTTCCCAGTTGTGGTGAAACTTTTCCTGAGAAGGTCAACCCGTGGCTGATTCTCGAGTTTGTTCATTATTTAGTGATGCCGCGCACTCCATGGTCAACCACATGGCGCAAGGGGCCGCGACTTCGATGGAGGACGGCGCCTTCCTGGCCCGCGCTCTGGCGAAGGTTGTCGAGGACAAAATCACCATTGCCCAAGCGATCGAGATTTACGAGAAGAGGCGAATGCCCTTGGCGTACTACAAGCAGCAGGTGTCATTTATCAATGGGGCCATCTGGCAGGTACCGGATGGGCCGATTCAAGAGGTAAATAAACTCTCTCCCGGGCCTCAATTGCCGCACTCTACAGGTGGGCTTGATTGCTGATTCGAGAGAATCTACTGTATAGGCGCGAGACAAAGCCATGGCTCCCGAATTGAAGGGCGAGCAATTCATGCGTTCGCCAAACTTGTACGGCGATCCAGTGACTACATTGAGGTCAGTCTCAGCGCAGCCCCTTCAAGCCCTCCCTCATTCACGCTTCAAACAAGTAAGCTCATTTCAGCACGGGCACTGGCTGACATCAACCCATCTGGCAGTGTGTACAACTACGACGCAGAAGAAGACGCAGAAATCGCCATCAGGGCATTTCTCGGAGGCTGCGAGCCGTACGATGTGAAGACCGGCGTGACGGACCGTGAGTTGGAAAGGTTCGTGGGTTGGTGGTGGCCCAAGCACAAGGTCCCGCTGAGTGCCTCGAAACTGTGACGGAGTTCTGCGACAGTGACAGTCAGGGTGAGGGTGAGGTATGGTGAACAGTGTGTGGTGTGGATAGTATTTCGGACGATTTCCTCTATTCTGCTGCTCCATTTGAAGTCAATCTGCGAATATAGAACTGGATATGGAGTGTGGGATGGGTAACAAAGAGGGTATCTTGCTTTGTGCCTTGGACAGACGTCCAGGTCTTGAATACGGCTGAAATGTTGCAACAAAGGAGAGATCGATATTTACGAATAGACAGGCGCCGAGACTGATTGTCACCTTTGTTCTGGCACATGCTTCACCGGTGTGAATGTTTGGGTGATTGTCGTCGTGTGAAGTGAAGCGTGAATGTGACTTTTTGTCACCAGTCCTCACCTCCTTACCTTGAAGTTTCTCCGACCTTTATATTTCTTTCACTCACAGTCACGTGCGCGAGCGGTGGTAGAAACTCGGCACACTTTCCAGAATGGCCACCTCCTACATTCCAGACGATGGCGACAGCGACCTCGACCTCGACAACGACAACGAAGACAATGGTGGCGTCCTGGTGCAGAGCTCAAATCAACAATCCTGTCTGAATGAACCCGAACAGGATGTGAACGAGTCTGAGCACTCGTCTGCTCCGCAAGGTGACGACAGTGTCATCTACCTCTTCAGCACAGAGGCACAGCATCCACCATCCGCGGACGATGAGGCGTTGGGGCCCATCGATGACGAAGAAGAAGTAGACAATGAGCCGGCCAGTTGGGTGCCTCCTCCAATCGACGACGACGACGACGAAAATGACGACGGCCTCGAAATCAACACTGAAGACCATGAAGCCTCACCTCCTGAACCCGAATCCCAAAACGAGGCATCCCCCCCACCTGATCTGTTCAACGTCGTCCCCATCGAGGACCACTTGCCTGGCGAAAACGATACGATGAGCGCTGCTGTCTCTCCCCTGGACGAAGGCCGAATCAGCACCAACATGGCCGAAGACGACGACATCGTCTGCAGCGAAGGACAACTGCGCCGTCGAATGCCATACAAGGTCGTCCGAAGGCCCGAGCTCTTCGAGCTAGGCCTGCCGTTCACGGACCAGAAGTGCCTGAAAAGCTTGCCGGGTGGTTTCCTGACCACGATCCGCGGCCTCGATCGCGCGGTGGAGGAATTTTACGGCTGCGGCCCCAAGGCGTTTGCGAACGAGGAGGAAAGCGACTTTGCATTGTTGGGCATGATTATCAAAAGAGGTGGGCGCACCGCCACAGAGTTTCAAAGAGTCGTGTATCCGGAGGACATTATCCCGTTGGTCCAGCTCGACGGTTCTCCGCAGGAGGTGCGGGATGAGGAGTACTGGCAGGAGTTGAGGGATCAAGGGCGCATCTGGGACGAGGTTTGGATGCCTTGGGAGGACGATTCCGAATACGAAGGATCGGAATAAAGCGTCATCTTGTTCTAGTGAACATGAACATGGGCTTGGTCTCTCCCAGCAGTTGGGCTTTGATGGCAAAGATTAGAGAAGAGACAGGGCCACTTGGATATCCAGAGCTGATATCTGAATACTCAAATCATTCCACCAATAGTGTCTAGCCTTGGCGGGTCATCCGCAGTCTAGCCGCTTCGGGGCAACTGCTCCAAAATTTCCTTGAGCGAAGCAGAAAAAGATGGCTTGCGCATCTCCAAATCAAAAAAAGTGCACCATTCTAATCGTTCTCTTATCGCCAATTCATTTACCGCGCATAACGTATTGATCGATCATTCCTACTCAGACGATCAGCTTCGACCCTGCGAGCAGACATTTCCAACCCAGAAAAGCACCCTTGAGCACCCAGAAACACTAGAGACAATGGCGTTTGGCGGTGCGCCGCGAGGTGGTCGTGGCGGTGGTGGACGAGGAGGTCCTCCTAGAGGTGGCGCAAGAGGCGGACGAGGCGGTGGGAGAGGTGAGAGACAAAAGCCCCCGTCCGCAAAGTTGATTACGATGCTCGGACAGGTTGATTAACGGATCTTTCTTTACAATCTACAGGCGGCGGTGGTTTCGGCGCACGAGGTGGCAGAGGGGCCGGTGGCCGAGGTGGGCCAGCCAGAGGAGGAAGAGGTGGCGGGAGAGGAGGTGGTGCAAAGCCCGGCATCAAGGGCGGAGCGAAAGTCATCATCGTACGTCCTCCCCACCGATCAGGTTGAACAAGAGATGGAAAAGCATGAGAGAAAAACCCATAACTGACCGTGACACCCTTGTTTTTTTTTTTATCGCAAATAGGAGCCTCACCGTCATCCCGGCGTCTTCGTCGCACGCGGCGGTAAAGAAGACCTACTCGTCACCAAGAACCTCACACCGGGCGAAAGCGTCTACGGCGAAAAGCGCATCAGCGTCGACTCACCCTCGCCAAACCCGGCCGACGGAGATGCCCCGGTCACGAAGACAGAGTACAGAGTGTGGAACCCCTTCCGCTCGAAGTTGGCCGCCGGTATCCTGGGAGGCTTGGATGACATTTACATCCGGCCCGGCGCCTCGGTGCTGTACCTGGGTGCAGCCTCGGGGACTTCCGTCTCGCACGTCGCAGACATCGTCGGCCCAACTGGTCGTGTCTACGCGGTCGAATTCTCCCACCGATCCGGAAGAGATCTGATCACGATGGCGACGCACCGCACCAACGTGATCCCCATCATCGAAGACGCGCGCCACCCGCTCCGCTACCGCATGCTCGTGGGCATGGTGGATGTGATTTTCGCGGACGTGGCGCAGCCCGATCAAGCGCGTATCGTGGGCCTCAATGCGCATTTGTTCCTGAAAGTCGGCGGAGGCGTGTTGGTCAGTATCAAGGCCAACTGCATCGACTCGACGGCCAAGCCCGAGGTGGTGTTTGCCAATGAAGTCAAGAAGATGAGGGAGGAGCGGATCAAGCCCAAGGAGCAATTGACGCTGGGTACGTATTTGCATCTTTTCATTGTTTGCAGCTTTCGCTTGTCCTCAAACGAAATCCCCCTCTCCCATGCATTGTTACGGTTCCCGAGTTCCCTTTACTCCTCTCAAAATGGAGCCTGCACGACTCGCACCGCTCAATCTTGCCTATTATTTCTGAGGCAAGTTAAAATACACGTACTAATATTTCTGCCCCCTGCCTGCAGAGCCTTTCGAGCGAGACCACTGCATCGTTGCAGGCATCTACCATCACAGCGCGCAATGATCGAATCGCCTGGCGTGTGTGCTACGGGTCGGCGCAATGGTTGGATGAATGAACGGACGGTATCATGTAAAATGGAACACGGCGCATAGGTCTTTAGTGTCCCCAAGAATCGAGAAGAAAAAAAAACCAAATGTTATGAGTTCGTTCCTTGTCTTTTGTTTTCCAGTTTCGTTGACTGCCCGTGGAAAAACGAACCATGAATTAAGTCAGTCAGCGGCGATGTTGGCCGCATCGACCAACCACCTTCCCTGAAGGGGAAAAGAACTAATCAAAACAACGAGGGGAAATCCGGAGAGCGATAGAAAGGGTTGAACGGAAAGGAGAGCGGTGGTCTTGTCAGGTTTGATCATGGCGGACAGTGTCTCCCGCGCTTAGCTCTCTAAACTGTCTTTTGACTCTTTCGCTCTCACTCTTTGGACAAGCCACAATGATAGCAACCGAGCCATGTATCTATCTGTCTCCACAGAACCGTGACTGGCGGAGGGGTTACTTTCGACAGATCCGCAAGCTCGGTTGCGTGCTACACTCTCTTTTCTGTTCTTCCCATCGCTGGGCCGCTTTCTCCGCGTATCACTGTTCCACTCCGCGACCCGATGCAGTTCTTTCGTGGATTTGGTCAACTCACTCAGACCCGAGCTCTTTCGCCATTGCCGGTTGTGTTTGCGTGTTATACATGCATGTTTGATGTACAGTGCAAGACGGTCAATGTCTCCATTCTCCATACTGTCTCCTCAGGCGCACGATGCCCTCTTCCGTCGTTCAGGATACTGTCTCGCTTGGTACTGAGTTGTCCAACCCACGCATCCCATGCAGAATGGGCACGTCCATCCTCGATAAGCAGATACTCAAGTGGAAGACATCTGACATAATGCTTTTCGTTCTTCAGCACAAACAGGAGTGCTGGGTATATGCAGCGCTAGAGAAAGACGAATATGTATACACCTTATGAGAACCCCGCGGTTATGATGAAGTGCACTGACAACAGCCTTCAACAAAACAATGCAGGCTTTCGCGCGCAGTTTGGCAGTCTCTTCGTTTAGGAGTGGGCGACTTTGAACGTTCCATTCATAGCGGCAGTGCACTTGCGAACCGACGTCTCAACTTCTGCATCAGCACGGTCCGAAGTTCAGACTTTGACGTAAGCTACAAAGCGCGGAGTTAGCAAACTTGCATTGATTTATAACAAATACAAGGCTTAAACAAGGAAGAACACGAAAGACACAAGGAAAGGGACCATGACTTACTAGCGTCTATCTGCTTTACTTGCGGCAAAGCTAGCCTCACTTTGTTCCTGTATACCGCCGGCCCCTGCAACTGCAAGGGGTTCATTTCGAAGTATACCGTCTCCAAACTCTCCTTGTCCCGCAGCTCGTTCTCAACCTCTCGGAAGTCGCTCAGCTGGTTCGAACTCGCCCACAATTCTTCCAATTCTGTCAGGTGAGAAATGTTTTCGAGGTGCGAGATTTGGTTATTGGAGATGTCCAGGACACGGAGCTTTTTGTTGTTGGATAGGGCATCTGCAGGGATGGAAGAAATGGCGTTGTGAGAGACGTAGAGTTCCTCTAGGTTCGTCAGGTCGGAGAGTCCGCTTATTGATGTGAGACGGTTAGATTTTAAGTCCAATAGCCTGAGGTTACTGAGAGGGGAGAGATTCCTGATCTCGGTGATCTTGTTCTTGCCCAGCCAAAGTTCCTGTAACTGGGTCAAGGTGTCCAGGTTTTCGATCTCACGCAGGCGATTCGCAGCCAGCTCGATCATGGTCAAGTTCGAGAGACCCTCCAGGTTTTCGATCTTGGAAATGCGGTTCTGGACAAAGTATAACTCGGTGAGGGTGTGAAGGTGGTTGACATGTTTAATGTGCTTGATCTTATTGAAAGACAAGTCCAGTGACTTGAGACATTTCAGGTCTTCGAGCCCTTTGAGGTGCGAGATGAGGTTGTCGTACAGATCCAACTCTTCAAGTGTCTCTCCCAGGTTTTCGGGCAGAAGGATATTTGTAATCGCATTCTGGCGGAGGCACAGCCTTTTCAACTGCGTGAAGCGCTCGAGTTTGAGGGCAGGGAGGGAAGATATGCGGCAATGGACCAGGTCAACGTCCTCGGAGTCGAGCGGGTAATCATCCAACAGGTCCTCGTCGGCCTCAATTTGCTCGACAGGAGGGGCATCCGGGTCTGAGTAGTCGGGATCGGAGAGGATTTCGGGATTGCTCAAGACAGCGTTGCGAGGGGGCATACGCAGTTTTCCATCCCAGCCATTGCTGTTGACGAGAGGCGCTGAAGAGGAAGACTGTTGCTTTGTAGACTCGGGGGCCGGAAGTTCGATGTGGGCATGTTTGTCTTCTTCGCTGCCGTCCACTTCAGGTTGCGGGTTGCTTGGAGGGGCTGAATTCTGATTCTGGTCTCGTTCTGTCATGGCGGCATGCAAATGCTTTTCATCTGCAGGAGGGTGAATTTAATTGAGCTCGATGGTGCACTTCAGGGTTGAGAGAGAGCTATGACGGCAAGTAATGCAGGCAGCCAAGGTAAATCGTGCATGGCGTTGTCGAGTTGTGGTCAGGCCCAAAGTGAAGGTCGGCCACGCGCTTCAAAATCGGAGATCGTCATACCATGTGCACACAATGAGCGAACGTTGCATCTGGGTCGCTTAGAATACCTATTCTCCGAACACGCTTGTCAACTCCTGCACAAGGGATCCTGCATTGAGTTACTTCATTTTACATTCAGGATATATAGACCAGTGAGTCCTGTCGAGAACGTCGCAAGATTCTTTTCAAAGACAATCAAGGCTGGTGGACAGGGCGACGTGTAGCAGCCAAGGCAGAAAGGTCATTGTCCAGCTTCTTCCCAGACTGATACCCGCCGGAGCAGGACACATGATACTTTCTATCTCACACAAAGCAAGTCCTGGTGTTGAACGAATCTCTGCCTTCTTCATGCCCGAATGGGATATTATACATAGAAGATGCCTGTGACCCAATGCTTTTTGTCTCTCCATCTGAACACCGTCATGAACCACTGCTCTAATACATTCATGAGAATCGCTTGGTGACCTTTGCAATGACTGTAGACGCAATTAGCACTGGTTTCTCTACCAGGTCTGCTGCAGCGACTTACGGTGCAATGCCACAACGCTGAAAATAAAGCCCAAGCTCAAGAACATGACCACCATTGGATCCACCTTCAACCCGGGGCTCTCGTCGGTGTATAATCTCAGCATTGTCCCTGAGGAACCACCCGCACCTGCGGCACGTGTCGAGGTCGGTCTGGCATTCTTGACTGATTCCTTATGATCGGCGGCTGCACGACGACGGATGGCCGATCGAGGACCGCCCGGAGGCGAGCCGGCGCGTGCGATAGAAGAGGATCCGCTGGCTTTCTGCGCAGAAGGGGTTGACTCGGGACCAGACTCTGGGCCGGAGGTCATGGGAGATGCTGGTCTTGCTGAGGCCTGCAGACATGGTCAGCCATTTCTGTGCGACTGACTGGATGCATTAAGGAGAAGAAGCGGAAGTTCATACCATGATTGTGAATGTAGGTTACGACTAAGGGGTTGGGAGGGAGAAGGTGAGTGTGGTGCGTGTCGCCCTGGCCCGTCACAGGCGCGACAAGAAGAGCAATTGCGAGACAGAAGAGTGTTGAAGTGGACAGAGAGATTCAATCAAAGTCGTGTGAGTCGCGAGGGAGAGAAACCGACTTGGTAACGAATTAGTTGTGGACACTTTTGCGAAACCGACGCCGCAGAAATTCTGGGGAAATTCGAGGCTCGAGAAGCGCAGCTCAGCTTCCAAGTTCCTCCCCTGACGCTTGGCAATATTTACTCCGGATTATTTCCAGCTCTCGATCACTGGCAATGTCTACTCAGCACAACGCAGGCAATTCTCTACTCATCTTCCTCAATCATGCTTTTCTGCAACATATTCAAATGCCCATGCCCGAGGAAGACAGGTACCTGATGGAATCAAACAGCCTCATCGCCGCAGCACCTCCGCAGGTAGGAAACAAGATCGAGTCAAGTTACATCCTTGTCTGCTCGCTACTCTTCCTACAGCATCGTTCTAGCAATGCCTCGTCAAACGGAGATCAGGCCTAGGGTTGAATCCCACTCCCCGCTCAGCTTACTATTTGCTAACCGGGGAACTGAACTGCTGACAGCGGACTGTACCAAGTACAGGTCGATCGAGTCAAGTATCTTGTATTTATTGTGTTTGTTTGTTCACCGCAATTGCCTTGTGAAGAAGGCTTGCTTGTCACTCACAGTTTGAGCCTCTCTCCTATGACCTTCGGCCGCCATGTTTCCTGCCAACTTCCTCCAGACTGTCCTCCACGGCTTGATCTTCTCTAATACACAACCGTCTGACCCGCAAGCTGGCAAGATGCTTGCGACGCCTTCTCTCCAAGTCGCTGCCTCTCTCGGCGCTATCCTGAGCTCTGTGGCTCCGACTGCAACGTCCACACCCATATCTCGTGGCTTATTGGTGGACGCGGCTCCTGAAACGCCTCAACCGTATGTGTTGCCGAATCTGCAGGGCCACGCCGTGGATTTCGGGGGCTTGATCATCCGAACCCTTGTCCCAAACACCACGTCGTCAGGTTCCTTTTCACTCGTTGGTGTCAACTCAGGCCCAGCTCCTCTGAACCTCATCCACTACCACAAAGAAATCGAGGCCTTCTACAACCTCAAAGGCAGTGTGCAGGTCTTCCACAACGCTGACACCGGTCGCGAGCTGCGTGCCAATGACTTTGTATTCCTGGCTCCAGGCAACAACCACACCTATCGTCCCAATGATCTCGACTTCCAGCTCACCCTAGGAATGGCTCCAGGGGGAATCGACCAGTTCTTTGCCGCTGCTGGTCTACCTTACAGTTCAACCGCCCCGTTTGACCCGCAGGATGCCTCGCAGCTCAACGTGACCAAAGTTTTGGGGCTGATGCCTCAGTACAACATTGTACCCGAACCATTCAATACCATCAACCTAGATTGGACAAATGGAACTACAGCAGAGGGCTTGGGCACTTGGCATGTCGCCGAGCAATATTTGCCCGATGATGCCACAAAACCCTACTTCGTCTCCAGCAACCGCGGGCCCAAATACTTGCACCGCAGCTCGGGCCAGGTCATCGCTCAACTCGCTTCAGGCAAACAGACCAGCGACAAGCTCAGCATCGCCAGCATCGCCATCAAGCCGAACAACAAACAGTCCCAGCTGCAATTCGACGTCGATCAGGCAGTTCAAGTCACAGAAGGTCAGCTGCATCTCGAAATCGGCAGTGAAAGGGCACAATTGATCTTTGGCGACCTTGCTTTCATACCCAAGGGAACATGTTTCAGCTACTGGTCGACCGTGGGCTTCACTAAAGTGGTCAACTGGGCGGCGGGCTCAGGGCTTGCCGACAGTTTGATCTCAGAGGCTGAGCCGTGGAAGTATGGAATTTGGCCTGCCTGAGCAGTGGTCAGTTCTACGGGGCTGATTTGTATGTGGTCAATCTTGCGAACGTGATAGACGGGCGTTACACGAGGCCGATTCGCACTTGGGCCAAATGTATGCATTATTTGAAACAACGAGTTCTGAGACTAAACTATTGGGAACAAACGGTAGGAACATGACTGTTGTTGGTAATCACATAATTGTTTGCTCTCTGAACGCAAGAACACAATCTTACACGTTCAATGCTCTGTCTAATTAATTGAAGGAAATTGCCTAGGTACGCTTGTCTATCGTCCAAAGTACTTCAACTCCAAATACCTCGCGGGGGTATACACCACGGCCGTAACCACAAAGGCGAATTCATTAGCCACATCACCACCATAGTCACCGATCAATTTGCCTAGAGGGCCCGTATACCATGTCTCAACCATTCCCATGCACCAGGCGACAACTCCCAACCCAAAGGCGGCAGAAGCCGCAATGCCATGCGGGAGGCGGGAGGGGTCGTTCCAGGCGTCGAGGTCGTAGTTTGCGAAATTGCGACGGCGGAAGAAGACGTGCTCGGAGAAGAGAATCACGAAGTACGAGGTGCACCAGTATCCCAACAAGGAAAGGAAGTCGACCAGGTAAGTGTTGAGCTTCTCGCGGCCGCCGAGCGCAAGTCCCAGGATCGCGGCGAAGCACAAAAACGTCCAGATGAAGCGGGGGATGCGGGCAAAGGGGCGGGCGAACTGCTGGCACGAGATGGCGGCCGAGTAGATGGAGATGACGTTGGTGTTGATGCCAGACAGCACCAGCAGGACCAACAAGAACTTTGCAAAGCCGCGGGGGTGCAACATGTCCTGGATCAAGAAGCCCAGGCCTTGATTCTCATACGCGTCCTGCCAGGTGGGTTTGTTGTTGAGCGCCGAAGCCACCACGGCGCCCGCGACCATGCCGATTGATGTGGGGATGCTGATGCCGAAAGTCGTCATCAGAAACACCTTGACCCGCGACACCGTGGCCGGGTAGTGGACGTAGTAGTCGGACGCCATGGTGCACCACGAGGCCGAGGAGCCGTAGACGATGGCAACCAGCGAGAGGGCAGTGCCCGAGAGGGTGGCGCCGTGCAGAGACGACGGGGTGGTATTGTCAGCGTACTGGCCCGTCTCGCCGAAGATGATCATGAAGATGACGAAGAAGATGAGCCAGGCGTATCGCTCGTAGACCAGAATGGCGTTGAGGCCGACAAAGGAGATGGCAAGCGCCACAATGGCCAGAATCACGATTCCCACGGCGAGGGAGACATGCCCGTCGGCCACGGCGTTCAGGGCCAATCCACCCGTGATGCACGACACGGCGGCCCAGCCGATCTGTTGGACGGTGTTCAGGGCGGCGATGAGCTTGTTGGGGTACCATCCGAAGCTGTATCGCGAGACCGAGATCTGTCGTAAGCCCGTGGCGGCGCCGAATGTCGCGCAGTAGCCCGTCACGGCCCCTCCTAGGATAGAGGCAAAGATGTAGATGGGGATGGACTGCTTGAGACTCAGTCCGAACTCCCAGCCCAAGAACCCGGTGGCGAAGCACGAGGTGTTCATGGTCCCACTGGCCCACAGAAGAGCCATGGTGAGCTGCTCATGCCAGGGCACGGGTTTCTTGTCCTCAGCCCGCTTGCGGTCGATGGCCTCGCTCTCGACGCCCAGTTTCTCGTCTAGACGAGCTTCGAATCGGCGCAGCTTAGAGAGGACGCCATTGCCGTCATGGACGGGAGTGTTGTTGTAGAGCCGAGGCGACTCCTCTGACGCCGGCGTGGATGTGGTGTCGAAGCCCTTTTCGCCGTCAAAGGCCTTGCTGGTCATCGTGGCCGTTGTGGGCGGGAACGCTTTCTCTTCATCGATAGCCATTTCGCACGGGGGCTCGTATGGTCTCTTGGGAGAGGGCGACGAGGGAAAGAAGAGGAAGACCACGGCGGGAGGTGTCGCGTGAGATTGGGGTTGCGGGGGTGAGAGAGAGGCCCATGGCTGTGGCGCGCTGCAGTAGTATTTATCTTGTCATGAAGAAGCATCGCATGCGGCGGCCCATGCCACGTTCAGGGCTTTCCAGACGTGAGGAGGGGTGTTTGTGGCCGCATCCACCTGCCCAAACTTGCTAATCCCTCGGTATATCACTTCGAGAACCTCTTCGATTCGCCCTGTGGAAAACTCTGTAGATAAGCATCCACTCCTGCCATTGGAGGGCAAGCTATCTTGACGATCCTTCCGGGCTGACAGCCTCCATGGGGCAAGGTGACATTCGGCAGTGGACTCGTGGGTTTCGTGGGAGTGCGGTTAGGGCGTGAGATGGTGTGGACGGCTCCAGCCTAGAAGCTTGAGGGTGAAGGGCGGGTCTCTGTGGCATGTTTAAGCATTCTGCTTGTGTGGGCCTCCGAAAGCTTGGTGTGAGATTCTGTTTTCTCCCTGGGAATGAGATCTCGTGGTCTGGCTGAGGCGCCTGCACCTGGTCTTGCAATCGGTGGCAATTGAGAGCCGCTCAGGACACCACGTAGCCGACCCTCGCTCGTGGTCGATATTGTAATGGCGACTGACCTTGGTGTGGGTGGTGGTTGCGCCCTCAGCGTGGCAGCTGCTGTGCCCCGCACACAGACAGAGGTGCGGAAAGGCCGGCCTTTCCCAAAAAATGCAATATTCCTTTCCATGTACCTTGCACCTGTAGTAGATCTTTGTTTTGTCACCGCAGGTAAGCGGCCAGAGTCCCTCTCTTTCACTTCGTGATACCCGTTTTGATGGACGCCAAGTGCCTTCGCCCCTCCCTGCAGATCTGCTCGATTCCCTTTATTCCATTCTGGAAATGCCGTTGCGAATCAGTCTGACGGCGATTCCATCACGGGATTGTGCGGCTGAACAGGGACAAAATAGCCCTGTGCCGTTGCTTAATCTTGTTGGCCACGGAGAAATTGGTGACCACGGACGCTGTAAAATCCGTGCCCAGCAGGAAATCGGCTTGGTCCAACGCTGTGTCTGGGACGACGAAAAATTTGGAGTGAAATATAAATCCGGGGGCGTCAGGGTCAAGAAGTGGTAACACGGTGCTACCAAGAACTTCAACTCGTCTAGAGTCACCGAGACCCCTAAGGCTGCTAGCGTATTCCTGCTGCCTTGAGGGAAGGTTCTCAATGGGTATGTATCTTTGGTCTACTGCTTCGACCACCGACGCTCTTACCAGAGAGACGCCTCGGGCACCAGTATCGACCAGTCCCATAAATCCTTGGGTTCCCCTTTGGCAGGTGTTGTTCGCTGGTATGTGCAGCTCGATTTGAACTCCAGCGCGTGGATTCATATCCTGGAGTGCCTGGGGAGCAGGACTGAGTTTCGACAGGATCGTCTTCAATGCCTTGCGGTCTCTTTTGTCGGGATTGAAGTATTCGACGTAATAAGCCGTTGTCTCTATTGTGCGGAAATAGTTCAAAATTTTGTCTTTGCTCTTGTTCCGAAAGTTCTTCAGCCGTGCAAGGACGGATCTGTGCCGCTCGGGGCCAGGAGGGTCCCCTTCATCGGTTGTTGTCGAATTAGTACTGGAACTGCTCTGACCGTCGGAATGTCTGGGGGAAAGCTTTCGGCCAGTCAGTGTCGTCCAAGCCAGGGAATCCCTCCAAAGACGCAAGACGGCCACTCACATCGGTTCTTTTTACAATCCTGTCGCGGCCCTCTTCTTGTGCAATGTTGGCCGCCGGTGCACCCTCTGTGGCGCGATCTTCGTTGGTAACACTAGCCATCATCTGTGAGATCTGATGGTGGCTTGTCATACAGTAAAGTCAATCATCCATCACTGGAGACCTCAACAAGGAAACATCAACACATAGAATTTGGTTTTCAGTGATTCGGCACTCTTAAAGCAATATTTTGAGATTCTGCTCGACAAACCACAAAACCCAGCGTTCATATTGCATAGCCACACTCCCGACACGCCAACTCGACTTTTCCCTTTAGCGGGATGATCTAGGTACGATTCATACGACTTGGAGCGATGTGTACATAATGTTACCAGTTGCAAGGCTTCCCTCCAGGCAGTTGTTGGGCAGGTAGCCACTAAGGGTGGCGGCGGGTGCGGACTTTCGTCAGAAGGTTGATGGTCAATGGCCGTCATTTCTCTCGTCTGGGTCGCGGACCGAACCATGTCCCCACCGGCGAGGCGACTATGGTTGAAGTTGGGCGGCATGTCATGTTCCTCTCACATATGCTGTTCGATGGTGTACAGCAGTGACCACTTTCCGTCATCCAGCCAGATCCCTTGAAGGCAGTGCCATTAGAATCCCCAGTGCCTCGTTCTTAGCTGCTTACACCCTCCTTCTTGACCGGGCATACATGTGCCACTGCTAAGGAATGGTGTACTTTAGTGCAGAGGCTAGTCTGCCTTACCGGCGGTGACACCGCGGTGTTTCGAACCCGAGAACTGTGCCACCACATCCACTGAGTCAGGGATACGGCTCCGACGAGTGGAGCTGTTTACGACAAAGCGTGTGGATACTCCGCTTGCCTTCTGGAGAGAAGTGATTTCATATTCAAGACAACTTATCGAGCCACCTCGAAGCCGAAATTGTTATCATCTACAAAAGAAGGCCAGCTTCCACGTGCTTTCCTAGCACACGGCATCACCAGCTCTTGCGAAATGCCAACCGGATACGATGAGCTCTCTACCCTTATGGGCACTTTTCCTGAACTGATGGCGTTTCGGCAATTTAGATCCTTAGTTGCCAAAGTTCTTCTCCGCATGCAAGCAGAGCTTCTTGAGGTTGAGGATGATTTGGACGTGATTAAAGAAATCGAGCGGGAAGATCCGACAAAACACGAGCTTCTCTCGTCCTGGAAAAAGGCTAATACAGCCACGTCAGAGAATGGGGCTGATCAGCGAAGGCTGAATTTGCAAGTGGCACAATCTAAGCTGGAAAAATACTGTAAGCAGTCCCATCTCGAATCTTCACAAGACCGGACCGGATAGATGAGTGACTACGGTGGCAAGATTCATTTACCCTTCAGGTCAATCAAGTGTTCAAACTCAGCAGGCCTAGCCGTCACAACTTCAGATCACTCAAAAATTGGCTGAGCAGTGTGGAAGGAGGAAATCATTTCCTCGCCAGAGCTGGAATCGAGGCGACAGCCTGGGATGAAAAGAACTTCGAAGATTTGCTTGCTATCAAGCCGCAGGACGACCTGCTGGCGCAATGGCTTCTCGACAAGATCCTTCCCACATACCACCGACATATTGGGCATCGATATCACAAGAAAATTGACGGTGATGATTTTGGAGATCTCTGGCACTACAAATACGGTACATTCGTCTTTCTGGGCAATTTTCTTTGTGTTCTGCTTTCGTCGTTGTTACCGTCGGGCTGCATCTTCGCTCTGTTCTACGCTCATAGGATGCTCATACGGCTCATCCTGACAACCTGCTTCACTGTCACCTTCTCTATCGTGATGACGTTTGTGGTCCAAGCTCGTCGACAAGACGTCTTCGCCGCGGCTCTGGCTCTTGCGGCGGTCCAAGTGGTTTTCGTTGGGAGCGTTAGCAGCATAGGTGAGCAGACGTTTAATTGAAACAAGTGGCTGAGAAAGAGACGAACACATCGCACGGAAGCACATGTGGTTAATATTCTGTCTGTGTCTGTGGGCTTTCGCGACTGATCTGCCACAGACCCACTGTCCAGTGAACCATGCACCCCACAGAAGCACACTAGTCGCACATACAACACTTCGAATACAGATCCATATAAGACATCTTCCAGACTAGGAAATGGATTTCAGTTCCCTGAGCAAGATGATTGTTAGTGGCCAGTCGTGAGTTGTGAGTTCGTTATCCCGCAATCGAGGCCCCTCGTGTCTCATTGGCAGCTTTTTTCAAAGCCTCCTTCTTTTTTGCTCGATTCTCTGAGACTGTGACCTGGGTTGTCCTCTTGGCTTCCTCATCACGTTTGGCATCTTCTCTCTTCTCTTCTGTACTGGAAGGTGAGTTCAAAGAGGCGTAGGCTGGGAGGGAAGAGCCGTACCCGATGTCCTGGGCCTACTCTCAATTGGCGCTAGAGTGCTGCCGCTGGTCCGAAGCCTCTGGTTTTTGGGGAAGAACACTACGTCTTTGATGCCCTCAGTAACGTATAGAGTCACCCCAGCTGTGATTGCGTTCTCTTTGTCCCACCATCGAGCTTCAAATTTGGCCACGCACTGGTACGTCTTGCCATCGCTCAAAGACACGCTTTCCGGTTCGATACTTTCCGGCTCGCCGTCCTCTAGCAACTTCCTTGCGATCTCCTTCGAAACCAAGTGTCGGTCCACTAGATTCGAATCCTCACGCATCACAATATCTCTGTATCTTGTATTTCGACCATTTCTCATCTTGTTTGCCATGATCTGGATGACCGTGCTGTCTCTTGGCTAGTTGGAGATCAGCTATCTGCAGGTATCCGGATGACTTCCATGCACAGCACCCACCATTTCCACTACAGAGGATCGCCTCCCGAAGAGCCTCGAGAAAGAAAGAGGCTTTTGAGGTGTGTGGTGTGGCAGAGGCACAACAGCGCAACGGACGTAATTGATCTCCAAAGCCTCGACGACAATGAAGCGGCGTGTTCGTTTCAGGCCCATAGTGCCTGCGATCTGTTGAGTCGCACACTTGGAGTTTCTATGCCCAGGGTATTTTAATACCAGAAAATGAGGCTGAGAGTCGCATCTGGCGCCGCTCAATATTAGCTCATGCATATTGAGACCTGATCAATAGAGAACCTTTCGATCAATGAACAGAACTCTAGAAGCGCCAACTTCCTGCCTACGAGTAGGCAATATGCAGGGCGCGAAGGGAAGCATACCACTCACAAACTGTTCTGACCCTTCATCGTCCTCTGCTAGTTACATGCAGTGTAAGTCAACTCGAGAGACGGAGTAGTCTCTGAAGCTCTCGTTATCAATGACATTGCCTCTCCTCAGGCTGAATCGGTGCAAAGACTAGCGTGCGTGGCTGGCTCAACAGAAGTTCTCGACCAAGACAGCTTTCATCCATTGGTTGTGTCACTCGGTCTAGTGACAAGATTTGGTGCTTTACGATGAACGCATTCCTTAGGTATGCAGGCTTACTCGCATGGTCTGATCCGGTTCAATCGTATCCACTAGCAGCACACCTCTTGGGCACTGACCCCAACTGACCCCAGCAGGCTCAGTTGCATGTGCGAAGTGACACGGACTTCGAGGCTTCGAGCTGCTCAGTGGTTGCCATAGAAATATCAGGCGGTGCCCCTTTATAGCAAAAAAGAAGGCTGTGCCTGACCACAATAGCAAATGATACAGGAAAGTTGGCTAACAGCCCAGGCAGCTCCCCAGGCAGACTTTTGGACTTGGGGAAAACCAGCCTCGTGAATTTGCGCGTCAAGACCAAGGGACCCGAACAGGGGGACAGGATGCACAGTCTGCCAGATGACCTTGTGATCATGAATCATGATACCAAAGCTCCAAGACACGAGCGACCTGCACTTTGGCCCAACTCGGGATCGATATCTCCCAATGGGATTCTTGGAGATGTCTCACCGGTTATTTGGGCAATCTGCATGTGGCTGACGTTGTTTGGCGAACAACCCATGAACACGGATGTGCGGCAGCTTTACGGACGCCCAGTGAGCCGGGCTGAGGAGGCTCATTTGGCGATTATTGCATGTGATAGTGTTTCAAAACCCTGAACACTTGGAAAAAGGTCTCACGGAGTCTCAAGATCAACACCCCTCGCTGGTCGTGAAAGTAAAAGTGACGGGAGCCTCAGCCTTGCAAGCAGGGCGTGCACTGCCTATTCTTTGAGACAATGCCTACTTTTTGGATCAATGATCCTATTCCCAGTCAAGACACTTATCTCATCATTCCACATTACCTAGGTAGGCACTGTTGAACGACGGAAATTACCCGGTCAACCGGTATACGAGGAACTAAACACCTTGAAAATTATTGTCTCCCTAAACCCCGCATATGAAACACCGCAGTCTCTGTCGATGCCCCAACTGATAGCAGCCCCGCCTTCGCCTTCAGCCTCATCCTTATCCCCTGTTCCGCGTCCCTAGCACTATTGTCCTGCTCAGCAGTCGATGTGTATAAGAACCTCACCAGAAAGTCGAAATTTCGCGAAGGTCATGATGGAGTACGGAAGATAAAGTACATGGCTCGGCCCTCTGTTACACGGTCCTACCCCGGCAGTACTACTGCTTGCGGTCTATCCGCATAGCCAGTCCTGCGTCTACATATCTCTGGGTTAACTACCCCGCCACGTGAAAATATGGAGCGTTCCGCTCTGGCGGTCAAGGCCATGTGCAAATTCGAGCCATTGACATGGTGAAGAGATCTTCCAGAATAGACACAAGCTTTTAGGAGAGGTTAGCCTGGCAGGCGTCAGGACCTCCTCGCATCGGCGACAGTCCTGTTGGGTTTTGGGGCCTGCATTTCTGACAGAGCCGCCCTTTCATAATAAGTGCAAAACTAAGAAGCAGTGCCAGTGAAGGAACCGAAACTGAGCAGGCGGGACTCCGGGAAGATGGGAAGGCAGAAGGCGGGGAGGCTCCAAAGATGGGCCGCTCCAACTCCTGGAACAGCAGATTAGGTATCTACTCGTAGCCTGTACTTGATGAGGCACAGAGCACTGGCGGTCTGGAACCCCTGAAGGCTCCTGTTGGGCGCTAGCTATACTAACCAAAATTGGTGGGCTAATGTCCATGTCCATATCAGTCAATAAATTTCCTTTAATACCTCTCGCTTACTAGGATCCTCCGAGATGAGCCTCTTGCGCTCCGAGTCCTTGCAAAGCGGGGTCGAAATACGAGCGTCAATCCACAGAGCTGCCAATTTCTGGCGACATAATAAGATCGTCAGGCTAAGCCGTTGAAGCTTGTGAAAAGCTTAAGGTGCCTGCTCTCGTTAGCAAACAATGTCGGTCACAGGTCACACATTATTCGAGTTCACCGGCCCCAAATCCAGACAGCACAATGGGCCAAGGCTTTGGCGGCATTCGTCGGTAGCTTGTTGGATGCTCAATACGAGGAATGCAAGCTAATTCTCCCGGGACTGAGCTGGCGACGAGACACGACTCGGTAGTCTACAAGACCGCGGCGAATAAACTTTGGAAGGCTTGAGGCTGGAACTCGACAGACCTTGGCTCACACTCATGTTGCCCAGCATATTAGAGAGATGCTTGTGCCTCGCGCAGAAAGCTTGTCTCCTTCATTGTTGCCCTTCTTCCGTTCTTATGCCTCCAACGGGCTGCGCAGGGCATCTTTCCCTGAGCCTCTGCGATTATGGGCACAAGAAATGACTACTCCAAGGTACCTCACCTGGACCAGGTCGACAGCCTCTCTACCACTCCTTCAACGGAACACTACAAGTCAAACACCCCAGAATTTGTCGATTCAAATGAGGCAACAGTTGTCGACCAGAGCGGCAAATGGTCACGATGGAGAAATGATTACTGGTGGGACGAAGTTGCGAGCCTGATCCTCGGCATCATCGCCCTCGGCGCCATCTGTGCTGTACTTGCGGCTTACGATGGCCAGCCTGTGCCTCGCCTGCCTCATGGCATTACGGTAGGCTCTTCCCAACGCACACGTTCCACTCTGTCGAGTGCTCATTCATCGGCATCAGCTCAATGCGATCGTGTCTTTTCTCGCTACCATCGCAAAAGCATGCTTGGTTCTCCCACTGGCTTCGGTCATCGGCCAAGGGAAATGGTTATGGTTCCTGAACGGTCACAAGCTCAGAGATATACAAACACTTGATGCGGCAAGCCGTGGCCCCATGGGTGCCCTACAAATGCTCGCTACTAGGCGTGGGGGGTGAGTACTCTATCAGACCGTCGTGTTACTCAAGCTCATTCATATTGCTGCAGCTTCCTCGTCTGCTTATCAGCAGCGGCCGTGGTGCTCTCCATCGGCTTTGATCCTTTCGTTCAACAACTGATCACTTACCCTCTGCGACAAACCTCACAAGAGTCGAATCTCGCTCGGGTTCGAACCATGGTAAATCGTGAGTCTCCCTCGTGGGATTGCAAGAACCGCGGCCGTGTATCAGAAACCACCACGAGCTCACCACTTTGCGTTTTCAGAATCCACCTCGGCGATCAATTTTCTCGATCTACCCTTCTGGTCCGCAGTCCAAAGCGGGATATACGATGGCCAGTCGAGCCCGCGTTCGGTTCCCTCATGCCCACATGGAAGCTGTGAATGGCCCGTCTACCACTCCCTTGCCTTCTGTAGCAAATGTGTCAATATGACAGATCATGTCACCATGACCACCCAGCTGGGGTCCCAAGTACCAATGAACGCCACTCGTCTGATTGAAACGTACGTGCCGTACATTTCTGCCTACACTTTGGCGGATGAAGGCAATTATCCGATTGTCGTGCTCCGCAACCAATCGATTTACTTCCCAAATGGCGTGCCAGGCCAGGGCATCTTCCAAGTCGAGGTCGACAACCCCTCCATTTACGATGAAAACGGCACGGCAGCGATCCCGAACACAGTCGAGTTGGACATGAACTATACCACCGGCTTGATTTGGCCGCTCAACATTCCCGACGTGTCGGAGCTGGACTTGTTCGAACTCGGACCCAGCACCTGGCTGAGCGGCACCTACGCCGGCATCAAAGACCCTCTGCTGGCCCTCGGCAGCGTCACCATGCAGTGGAGCACAGACGGCACAAAAGTCGAGTTGAAATCGGCCTCTGAATGTGCATTGACCCTCTGTGTAAACGAATACCAAGTGAGTAACCCACAAAGCTTAGAAGAACCGAAGTTTTGTCCTTGTGTGCTAAGTAAGAAGTTAGACCAAAGTGAACGGAACGACAGTCACATCCTCGATCTTGTCGACCACGTATGGTGAAGTTCAGACCAACTCGGGCCTCGGCTACGCCACTTGGTCCGCCGTGGTCAACGATACGACCTACTTCCTCAGCGACGGCATCAATTTCGCGCCCAACAGTCCCGACGGTGCGGGAGAGAACGGCGAGCAGCTAACGGGCATTATCCAAACGATGCTCGACGTCACGGTTGGAAATAAGTATTATGTGGGACATATCATCTGCACCGTCGACCAAGACAACTCCACAAATAGAACGGTCGTGACCAAGTGCTATACGGAGACCGAGTTTGACGGAACAGGCTATTCATCGACCGAGATGCAGATCATCGATTCCACCCCTCGAGGTCTCGAAGCGTTGCTGGAGAACATTGCCGCCGCCACGACCGATCTGTTCCAGCGGTACGGCAACGTCGAGGTGACGGGGTTTGCGCTGACGGCGGAGAATTTCGTTCAGACTCGGTGGTGGTGGATCTCTTTGCCAGCGGCGGTGGTTTTGATGGCCATGGTCTCGTTGGCGGCCACCATGTATACGACAAAGCGGCGAAATATCGGGATCTGGAAGACGGCCCTTTTGCCGGTGATTTTCAGGGGGCCATTTGTTGAACATAGTATGCGAGGGGGAGGGGAGGGGGAGCGTATCAGCGAAATGAAGAAGGTTGCTAAAGGGATAACGGTGAAATTAGTGAGGGATGGAGATAGGGGATTGCGGTTGAGATCGAGGAATGGGAATTAAAGAAAGCTTGTTAGGGGCAGCTTGTGCTGATTAAACCGTTCTCATGTAACCTCACTGTTTTCTCTTGTGAGTATAGACCCTCACTGATCACGAGTCGATCAGACGAAGGTGAAAATACTCTATTACATTTCTCCCAGAGTTCCCGAGTCGGACTCCGATGTTATGATATTTTTCAAGCCCTTGAGTGATAATGCTCCTCATCAGCTTTCAACAGCGCTCGCTCGCTTTGAACGAGTATTTACGCATTCATTCGCATAAAACCGTACTGATAGACCGGGTTTGCACGAGATTATACTATCTACCCGCCCGTACTGCGTTATGTATTTGTCACGGTGGAAAAGGGATCTAGCCGTTATCCAAAATCACTCTTGAAAATGATAGTAGATACCACTTGAAGGCCTCCAGGGGCTCCAGACCTCCAAAACAGGAAACCGTTGAAATCTCTGTACGAGAGGTATGTAGGCCCAGCTGAGCTTTTGGACCTAGGGGGGCGTTTTCCATATCCGAAGCGGCGCGTGCGGCTGAGTCTGATCTGGACCCCCGGCATGCGAAAATGGTGGGCATTTGAAAAGGGGGGCACGCGACACATTTCCCACCTATGACAGTTTTGTAGTGGTCCAATCATGTTCGAACGCGGATGTGAGGCACGGCGTGAGGCACGCGACACCTGTTACACGGCATGCAAAAGAATGGCGTGGTTTCTAGCAGGGAGGGAGGGGGGTGATACTGCATGGCCCTGGAACATGTCAGCTTCGGACATCAGCCCTCGTATTGCGCCAGCCAGCCACCCAGCAAGGCCAGGCCACAGCCACGCGTGCAGCGTGTGACCGCCTGCAGCCAAATAGTAATGCTGATGCTGATGCTATCCACGGGGATCAGACTGTCCTTGTTGTTGGAACAGCTATATAGTATAAATTGTGCTGTCGCGTGCTCACCTTCCCCAAGAAAGGACCACGGAAGTTCTAACTTCACGACAGTAGCATTATACCAAAATCTAAAAGCCCGCCGTCATATTTCACGAAATGGTGACAAACCCCCAGCCCGTCGTCGCTGTGTCAGTGCACAACCTCTCATGCTCACTCCCGTGTTTGCCAGCCTCACGCTCACGATACCCCGATCCTCTACCTGATCCGGCACGGCGAGAAGCCTCCCAAGGAGGCCGATGGAGAGGACAGCCCCGGTCTTTCGGCGCAAGGAATCTCCCGCGCCCAAGGGCTCGTTCAAGTCTTCGGCCACGACAGCCCGTATGATATCGGCTATATCATCGCGCAGAAACCCAAGACAGGTACGTAGTACCTCATAGACCAGGCATTGACCCCCTGGCGGAGCACCTTCTCCCATCGCAGGTCAAGGGGGTGAGACACTTGAGGATGGCGGGAAGAGATTAACTCTTGAAATTCCACGACACAGATGGCAAAGAAACCCGTCCGTTTTTGACTGTCCAACCCTTGGCAGAGTCTCTGAAGCAATACAACGTCCCCTTCAATTCTCACATTGAGCGTGACCACGTCGACAAGGTCGCGGACGCGGTCCACAAGTACATCAAGGGCGAGGGCGACTATGTCGGCAAAGGGAATGTCCTGATCTGCTGGGAACACCAAACGTTGGAGAAGATTGCAAAGGCCATCGGCGTGGAGGATGCGCCGGAGTATCCGGGCGACAGGTAAGTTTCCCCAACAATCCCCCTTTTCGGAAAAGGGACTTTTCAGGTTTTCTTCTTTTCACTGACAGATGTGAACAATCCAAGATTCGATCTCATCTGGACAATAAAGGCGCCGTATAATAAGATCGATAGCATCACATCGGAAAATGTGCCTGGGCTGGATGATCACTCGGGAACTCCAACATGAGCGGATCAAAATGACGTCGATGGCTGTCTCCAAGGGCGTGTTGAGAGGGTTGAATTGTCTGAGATAGCAGACAAGTGTGATGAAAAATCCTTCCTTTTAGTTTGAACCGCGCAAAGATAGTTTTGAGTCCCCCAAACACGCTGAGAAAAAGGGGGCGCCAGGGGGGGGTTCCGCAGAAAGGCACGTGAGTCGCAGCCTTGTCCGGGGGAGGTAGCTTCACGGTCGAACAGTAGTGCCAAAAAGTGAAAGACGACCAGTCGTATACATACATTTTGTCATTTCGAGTATCCCATCAAGAACTCAACCACATTCATGTGGCGGCGTTGGAAGGCCAAGTCAAGGGCGGTAAGCCCTTGCTGATCGCAGGGGGCCTCAAGGTCAATCCCATGGCTGTCCAACGTCTTCAGAACATCAAGGCAACCGGTCTTCGCAGCCCATGACAACAGCGTTCGACCAGAGGGAAGGGTTCGACTACAGTCTACCCCTTCTTGAATCAACATTGACACCATGGCTGGATCGCTGTTGTCGGTTGCCAATCCCAGGAGCCTGGAGCTGAATTTAGGATCGGAACGAGCAGCGAACATGTGTTGCAACAGGAGCCGAGCCGCCTCGACATGGCCGTTATCCACAGCTTTCAATAATGCCGATTCGTCCAATTCGGCCAACACTTCCATCTCGGTCCTTCTCTCGAGCAAGGTTTTCAGAATGGCGGTTCTGCCATAGGCCGCCGCCCACCACAAGGCGGTACGGCCATCCTGATCCTGAGCGTCGATATCGACCCGGTACTCCAGCAAGATCCTCACGAGACTTTCATACCCATACTCGCAAGCGAAGGACAATGGAGTCCTCCCTCGATTATCTCGGCAATTGGCGTCAACTCCATGTTCCAACAGACACTTTGCAACTGTTTCATTCCCATTGGTCACGGCTGATGACAAAAGTGGCGTCCGCCGATTGTGGTCGCCACGATTCAGTTGCGAGACTTCGCAAAGGACTGCGACGGCAATCACCAGATTTTTCTTGACCGCAAGTAGTAATGGAGTATAGCCGTCGAAACCCTCTTCGTCAGGATTTGCTTGGTAGCGAAGCAGCAGTCGTATCATCTCAATGCTGCCATTCGTCGTTGCCACAAGAAGCGCCGTTTGCTGCTTGTGGCCCTTTGCATTGGCATCCGCGCCGTGCTCGAGGAGAAGCTGGGCGCCAGCAAGATAACCAATAGACACTGTACATAAGAGGAGACTGCTGCCATCCCTATCGGTTGGGTTGGCGTTGGCGCCGGAGACAAGTAGGCATCTTGCAGCATCGATCTGGTGATGCATTATAGCCCACCAGAGGGCAGTTTGACCCAGTGAATTCCGGTGCTCCTTGTCCACACCACCCAGTGACTTCATCACAGCACTCTTCCCACCTCTCGCCGCCCAAAATAGTACCGAACATTCCAAAGAATCTTGAGCTTCTAGATTTGCGCCCTTTTGGACGAGTAGATCGACCACATGAGCATGCCCATGCTCAGCTGCCCACATCAGCGGTGTTTTCCCCTTTTTGTCGCTCAAATTTAGGTCAGCATGCGTTTCAATGAGTAGGCGAGCAGCATCTAAATATCCGCCCTCTGCAGCAAATGACAAAGCGGTTCGGGTTTCAAAGTCGGCGAGATCCACTTCGGCACCCAGAGTGATAAGAGACTTCATCATGACAACAAGTCCCCGTTGTGCAGTAGCAATGAGAGGAGTAATTCCTCTGGACCCGCGACCGTTGGGGTCACAGTTCTTTTTCTCAAGTAATACTTCGGCAATCGCTTGGCAATTCATCCCAAGGACGTAGGCGATGGGTGTCTCGCCACTGAAGTCTGTGAACCTTTGGGCATTGATCCCAGCATTGGCAAACTTGAAGGCGGCCGAGAGATTCCGTGTATGCAAGGCCTGCAAAAAGGCCAGCGCTCTTCGGCTAGCATCGTGGGCAAATTGGTCAACTTTCAAGATGAGATCGATAATGTCATGCATGTTGAGACGCAGAGCCCATTGCAGCAGGACCTCACCCTCGGATGACTCCTTGCTTGGTTGTGCGCCCTTCTCAAGCAGTTTCCGTGCAATCGCGTGAGATCTTCTTAGCATTTCCCCCCTACTCTGCCAATAAGCGTGAGAAGCATGGAGCGGTGACCTTCCTTGACTGTTCTTTATGTTGGGATTTGCGTTTCTGGATAGCAAGAAATCGACCGACGCTTCGTCCTGATTATATGATGCCCAGAATAACGCTGTGCGGCCCGCTTCGTCTTGTAAATTAACATCTGCTCCCTGTTGGACTAAGATTTCCGCTACCTCCAAATGACCGCGATTTAAAGCCCACCACAAGGACGAATGTCGTTGCGCATCAAAAGAGTTGACGTCTGCCCCGCGGCGGACGAAGCACTTCGTCGCCTCGGCATGTCCATTCTTTGCCGCCCAGATAAGAGGGGTACATCCATTGGCATCTCTAGCATCAACCTCGTCGTATGGGTTGTTGTCAAAAACGGCATCTATGACATGACAGAGGTTATAATAACCAGCAAGATGCAGTAAGTGTGCTCCTGGTGGGAGAACACAAGCACGAGAATCCAGGCAGCATAGTGATAGCCATTGGTCCAGGCGAGTCCGAGAGGGCCATTCGAAGTATGTCAAAAGTTCTCTCTGTAGTCTACCATCGAGGTCGGCTTTTTTCAGATGCGTGGGCCACCTAGACACAGCATACTGAATGAGGGGATACTGATCCTTTGGAACCTCCTCCTCTTTGACGGGAAGCCGGAGAATTTCGTCCGTGAGGATATAATGCATGCAGCATTTGAAGATGAGCTCATGAGCTTGTGATAGGATAGAGCCAAGACCGGAACTCGATGGTTCTTGGCTGATAGAGCTCTCGAGATCCTCCAAGCCTTGCTGCAGGAGATAGTCCTTGACAGACTGATGAATGCACTGAATGATGCCGCCTCCTTCGACAATCTCGACGAGGCCACCAGATATCGCTTTTATCAGCGTTTCTGTTTGTCCGTCGGTCTCATAAAATGTTTCTGAATCCTCCCATGCTGCAATAGTCCTCACCGGAGCAAGCGGGTCAAAGGCCATTGCATAGCGCATCTGGACTGGGGAAAGCGGCTCCTCGGCAAGGCATACCCACTCGAAGAGATGCATTGCATCCATCCTGTCCTCAGGTGGTATTTTTGTCAACGCGTCTTTGTATATCTGGCTAAGCTCCGGGGAGCTGTTTTGAATTTCTTTGCGAATCTTTCCCAAACTATAGCCGTGACGTCCTTTACGGGTTGTTTGTTCGAGGATAAGGGCCGTCCATAGGAAATTTCCGGCAGCTTTGCGCAGTATTTCGGTCTCCACATCTCCTCGCGAGTCTTTGTTCTTAAAGACCAACGCGAGACGGCCCTGCACAAATCTAGCAATGTCGCCAGAATTTTGAGTTTCGACGCAGATCTCAGGTGCACCATATAGATCCATGACTGGATAGTGACGGCAGGTGATACACACGCTGATTGCCGATTGGGACCCCGAAGTCGGGGTCGTCAGGCTCCAGAGTTCTGCTGAAAGCTTCCTTGCAGTTTCTTCGCCACATTCGTCCAAGGCATCGATGAAGATCTTGATAGAGTGTCTAGCATATCGCTTCACTCGATCATGGAGGAAGTCGAACAAACCCTTTTCGTGCCACGCCCAAGCGTGTCCATATTCACCCTGATTTTGCTGATTCAACACGAAAGTGCTTGTTAGCTCTGTTAGTAAGATCTCGGCCTTTGTCAGAATCTGATGCAGAATAGACCGATATAGTCCAACAGGGGATTTTTGTATCTGGGTGCCCCGGCCATGGATGAAAAATGAAGCTACAATAACCTTCTTGTCCCTGAGGCTATCGACCCTGCTTACCAGCGTGTCAAGAAGGACACTCTTGCCACTACCCGGGTTTCCTGTTATCCAGAGGAAGCCATGATTCTGTGAAGCCCATCGCTGATAGTCCGGGTGTTCTGCCAGCCAGGAGCAGGTTCCCTCGGCCGCACGATCAATGTTGTCTCGGCGACCACCCATCTCCCTAAACCAAAGCGACCGGAGACATGCTTTCCCAAAAGTCTCAGCATCTTACAGCACTGGAGATAGAACGCTTACCTGATTCGTCGGCAGCCGAGTGGAATCTAGTTGCCGTCGGAAACCTGGCATCAAAACCAGACGCATGTCCTTCTTGAAACGAGTCCTCTTGGATGTACTGAGCACTGATGCCCCCTCTGTCACCAGAAGTCCTATCAGGCATGATTTGTTGGAAGGAGGCTGGTGGGTGTATCATCCACAAAAGCTCTTTCGCGTAAGCGGCGGCTGTGGCGGCTGCATACTCCTGCCATCGCTTGTTTTTGTGTGAATCCGAGTAGTCGCAAATGCCTCGAATAACTAAGCAGTCAAAATAGTTCATCAATCCAGCAGCTTCCATCTCAAAGCAGAGAACATCTAGTTCTGCACTGAGACGCTCCCTCATAATCGAATCTCGGATAACTTGGCTGCCTGATGCAATCAAGCCATAGTGTATGGCGGGATGAGTTCCGTGGCGACGTGGCCGATTGACAAGCCTACCGCGGTCACAAGCTTTGCAGAGGGCGCTCTCCGAGATTTGGTGGGCGTAAGATGACTCAAACAATTCGTCTTTGTCGGCATTTGGATACCTGCAAGCCTTGCCTCGCCGTGGGTTCCTCCGGACGACATCTTCTAGGATGGCACTGATTTGAGACCCTCCTTGGCTGAGATGTTGAGCTTCTAAACTTGAGACAGCATTCAACAATAGGTCAGGGGGACGATTGAGTGAGCCGGTTCGAACAAAGTGTCCTTGATGGAGGGTCTTTCCAAAGTCGTATTGAACCACGCCACCGAATTGTCCGGTTGGGCGGCTCACAACGACATCTCCTAGTCGAATGTCATGCTGTGCTGTGGGGACACCACCACCAATTCCCACAAGCAGGATGAATTTAAGAGAGGGAAAGGTGGCGCGCATGGGGATGGCTACAGAAGCTGCCGATACGGGACCGATAACTCCTTGAGGTAAACATGCGATGACTACATTGTGTGGACCAATTCGGCCCAAAATGTAATTATTGGTGTCATGGGTCGCCTGTTGAATGTTGCCGTGCCTTTCGTCGAGCATGTCCAGAGCCGCGGCCTCTTCTAGCGGTAGTGCAGAGATCCACCCGACATGATAATCGGCTGCTAACATGGTGCAAAGAATGGTCAAATAGTTGTGATCATTCCCCAGTGATAGCTGGTCAAGCACCGGGAGTTAGGCTTCTCAGCCGGATACGATGTCGCTGGGTTGGTCCTTCTGTCTGCTGAGGCGCCGAATTTGGACCATTATTCAGGTGTATACAGCTGACTGTTGGGAGCTCGAAGCCATAGAGACATGAGGAAGCAACGCAATCACGCTCCTGATGGCATTTCGACATTGCGGCGAAGTCGAGGATGGTAAATGGTGAGAACGGTGAGGCTGGCGGTTGCAATGGACGACGAAGCTTCTTGGTTGGCTGTGCAAACGCTGGAAAGATACCAAGCCTCATCACGTGGAAGATTTGTCACGTGATAATCGCAAAGTCACGTGACACTAAATTCTCTGCCACCGGCTGAGACGACGAAGACGGGACTTTACGATGTATCACTCCGCTCCATTTGTCAACAATGGCTAGCAATCTACCTCGTACCGATTCTGCAACCTCGCAATCCGTCCTCGCTGTCCTCTGGGCAGAGTGACCGGATAATCGTCCTCTCGGCCCAACATGGCCCGAAGCCGCCGGATAGCCACCACCACCGCCACGACGATAGTGGAGGAGAAGCCCAAAGAGGAAATCTCGCGGCGGTCACGCCCCGGAAGTCAACGTCAGTGGGGTTGAGGAAACCGGCAAAATAACCAAAGTGGACTCCGAATGGTGCTTGGAGAGCGACTCTACCAATTCTTTGTGCACGCGGATGTGTTATGCCTGTTTGACAGCAGAGTCCAGAGTACATAACTTGTGAAATCGCACCTCGGGCGTGTCTTTCTTAGGGAAAGCAACCCTTCGAAGCACTCCAGCTGTTCTCTACCAGACACTCTTTGCCCTACCCCGCACTGGCTTTTTGCTTTGGTGGAAATACAAAGTCGCCATGCCCGCGATGTCGACCTCTAACGGTCATATGGATGCGACCGCCGCCGTGACAAATGGCGCCTCTAACCCGAGCAAAGGCTCCTCGGACCTCCAGCCCACAAAGTCCAACATTGGCGTCTTCACCAATCCCAAACATGACCTTTGGGTGGCTGAAACGTCTCCAACCCTTGCAGAAGTCCAAGGGGGAAAAGACTTAAGAGAAGGAGAAGTCTACATCGGCATCAAAAGCACAGGAATATGCGGCTCAGACGTACACTTCTGGCACGCAGGCTGTATAGGTCCTATGATCGTCACGGACGACCATATCCTAGGCCACGAATCTGCGGGCATCATATTATCTGCCCACCCCAGTGTGACGAATTTGAAGCCGGGCGACAGAGTGGCCATTGAACCGAACATCCCGTGTTTCAAGTGCGAGCCATGCTTGACTGGCAGATATAATGGTTGTGAGAGCGTCGAGTTTCTCTCCACGCCACCCGTTGATGGCTTATTGAGGAGATATGTTAAACACCCGGCTGTGTGGTGTCACAAGATCGGGGATATGAGCTACGAGGACGGAAGTATGCTAGAGCCACTCTCTGTAGCTTTGGCAGGGATGGAACGTGCCGGTGTGAGGCTTGGAGATCCCGTGTTGGTATGTGGTGCTGGACCGATCGGCTTGGTTACACTGTTGTGCTGCGCAGCTGCGGGCGCATGTCCTCTCTTGATCACCGATATCGATGAAGGACGGTTAAAATTTGCAAAGTCCCTTGTCCCGCGAGTCACCACATTTCAGGTCCCCAAGGGAGTGTCTGCAGAGGAGTGTGCCGAGCAGGTCGTCTCCGCAATGGGCGGTATCCGGCCTCGCGTTGCGATGGAATGCACCGGCGTCGAATCGAGCGTCAATACGGCAATCTGGTCGGTCAAGTTCGGCGGCAAGGTGTTCGTGATTGGCGTCGGCAAGAATGAGATGACGATCCCTTTCATGAGGCTGTCCACGCAAGAGGTCGACCTTCAGTACCAATACCGATACTGCAATACGTGGCCGAAGGCTATCAGACTAGTAGAGAGCGGAGTCATTTCGCTGGAGAAGTTGGTCACGCATCGGTTCAATATGAGTGATGCGGTCACTGCTTTCAAGACGGCGAGTGATCCGAAGAGCGGAGCCATCAAGGTTCAGATTAAGAACGACGACAGTTTATGATTGTGGCAGGCAGGCCAGTAAGGAGGACGAATTGGTGATTGCACATATCGACCACATTGAGAATAAAGGTAGATGGTCGGACGCTACGATTAGCGCACGTTCTCCGCAATATATGTACCATGTCGCAAGAGCTTTGATTCGTATCTCACAGGGCGCCAGTGTACTGCTCTATGCGATGCCTAGTCCCAGAAACCCGCTCTCTCCCTCTCTCTCTTCACCTCGTCCTCCACCCACCCATCCACTGACTCCCTCACTTACCCACTACTGCATAATACCCTTGACTTCATCCCCCTTGATCCAGCTCGCTATGGCCCGACTCTGCTGCTCGTACCAGCTATGCATAGTCTCCTCCTCGACGTATCCCATGTGTGGACTAAGCAAGACACGACTCCTGCCGTTTTGGCCCCAGTAGTTGTGTTTCCGCCAGGGAGTGTCCTTGGGGATCGGTTCCGTGTCGAAGACATCGAGGGCGACGCCGCGGATTTTGCCGGCCTCGAGGGCGTTGACAAGGGCGGTTTCGTCGACAAGGGGTCCGCGGGACGTATTGACCAGAAACGCGGATTTTTTCATGGACGCGAGCTCGGCGGCTCCCACGATGCCGCGACTGCGGTCCGAGAGCACGTAGTGCACGCTCAGGATGTCGGCTTTCTCAAACAGATCCTGCTTGGACGCGGCGACCTGGAAGGTGCCCGGGGGTAAGCCGCGCGACTGCGCCGCCTCGTCGGCCTTTTCTTGCGTCAGCGAGGAAGACCACGCCAGCACCTTCATCCCGAACCCCAATACGCCCGTCACGCCGCACTGCGTGCCCAGCTTGCCCAAGCCCAGCAGGCCGAGCGTCTTGCCCGCCAGCCCCATGGCCAGGTGCGTCTGCCAGCCTCCGAACTCGGCATTCGGGTCCGCTGCGGACGTCGAAGGCGATTTAATCACCGCATCCCCATGAACAATATCCTTCGCGAACCCCAGAATCAACGCCCAGGTGATCTCGTTAGTCGCATCATACCCCTTGACAGCGTTCGGTTTCGGCGTCGTCCCCACCACCGTGATGCCCAAATCCTTGCACGCCGCCATGTCGATGGCCGCGTTCCTCATGGCTGTAGTCACCAATAGCTTCAGATTGGGGAGTTTCTCGAGCACAGAGCGCGGGAACAATGTGCGCTCGCGCATCGACGAGATGATCGTGTATGGTTTCAGTCGCTCCACGAGTTTGTCGTGCTCGGATGGGATCCGCGCGTTGAGCGTCGTCGGGAATGTGTCAATCTGCACTTGATCCCCAAGGGACTGCTGGAAGTAAGGCAGCGAGATGGAGGCATAGTCGTCCAGGATGGCGAGTTTGAGCGGCGTCGAAGGAGACATGGTTGTTAAATGCTGTGATTTTATACCAGATGCCAACCAACTAGTATTCGAATGAGACTGTGCGAAGATGTTGGCCGTGGATGTCAGTCTGCAAACCGCCCTGCTCATGGACCTGAAACTCATATAGCTTTTTCCAGAAATATATAACTTAACCCCACGCGTTTCTTAGGACCGCAAAGTCAGTGAGTCTGGCAAGATGCGGTTCTATTATGCGACCCCCGCGGTTTGCGCCAACGTGGGTTCAATGCGTTCGGCCATTCTCCGCTGAGGAGATGGCGTGCAAAGTGCCGATGTCGCTCGCGAAACAGAAACTTGGGGAAAAGGGCTCGTGCCATCCGGTAGCCTTGCGTTTGATTACAAATGGGTGAGCAGGATTGGAGAAAAGCCTCATCTGTACTTCATTGGCTACCTAGGTAGGGAGAAAGGGGAAGGGGTTGTTGAAGGATGGGAAACACGACGCGTAGAGATCCTAGAAGCGATATACACAGCATGTCATGATAGAGAGAGCCTGGCTCTAGATACATTTTTGGCTGCGTGACCATGGCTCGAGCTCTCGCCTGGTTCGAGGAAGCGCGAGCAGCACTCCAGCTGGGTACATGCTCAATATGATCCATCCTCCATACATTCATCCATCCATGATCCAGCTCATCCAGCTCGTCTAGCATCAGATAGAGTCCATGATCAGTGGTCACCTCTTGCCCAGATAAGTCAGCGCCGCCACAACCAACGCGTCCACCCCAACCGTCAAAGTCGGCTGCACAACCGGCGCGAAGAACGGACTATGATTGACTGGAATCTTGTGCTCGTCCCCCTTCTTGACCATCTCCGCATACATGTTCGGGTCATGCCCGCCAAAGAACCAGAAACAATACGGCTTCCCAATACTAGAACCCAGGATGCCGAAATCCTCACTGCCCAGCACGTTCTTGAGGCTTGGGTCGTGGTTTTCTTCGCCAAAGTACGCGGTGAAGGAATTGTTGATTTCGCCTGCGACCCGGTCGTCGTTGATGGTCAGGGGGAATGAAGAGGTCGGTTCGATTAGCGGATCTTTAGGGCAATCACCCGCGAGACACTCGGCTTTGATGATTCGTTTCACTGAAGCTAAAATCTTTTCGCGCCATTCGACGCTGACGCTGCGGATGTTGATCTTCAGCACGGCTTCGTCGGAGATGACGTTCTCGGTGCTCCCCGCCTGCAATGCGCCCACTGTGACTACGGCAGTCTCGTCCGGAGGCACTTCGCGAGAGCGGATTGTTTGTAAGCGCACGACAATATGTGAGGCGATGACAACAGGGTCGATTGTGCGATGGGGCATACTGCCATGCCCGCCGCTACCGTAGATGGTGACCTTGAAACTGTCCGCCGCGGACATGACTGGTCCCGCCCGCGTGGCCGTCTTGCCCGCCTGGAGAGGAAACACGTGTTGACCCAGCACGACATCCGGGATCGGGCAGGCGTGTTTGTCGGCAGAATAGAGTCCATCGTCCACCATGGTCTGAGCGCCGCACCCTCTCTCTTCGGCGGGCTGAAAGAGAAACACGATGGTGCCGGACCACGTCTCGCGGGCGGCAATGAGCGTCTCCGCAGCTGCTAGTAGAGAAGTGATGTGGAAATCGTGGCCGCAGGCGTGCATCACCGGCTTGACCAGTCCGTCCGTGTCGCGCATGGTTTTCGTGCTGGCGTAAGGTAAACCCGTCTTCTCCTGCACGGGAAGAGCGTCGATGTCGGCCCTCAGCAGAATCGTCTTTCCCGGTCCATTCTTCAGGATGGCGATCTGACCGTGGCCGCCTATCCCTGTTCGTATGTCCAGGTCGTCCGAGAGTTTCTTCAGATGCGCCGTGATCAGTGACGCTGTTTCTTTCTCCTGCGTCGAGAGTTCGCCGTTGGCATGGCAGTGCTTGTAGAGATCTTCATACGGGGCCAGATCAGGACGATATTTCTCGATGACAGATCCAAAGGAGGACGACGATTTCGCAGTAATCGATTCACCCATGATTGGTCCTGCTTGAGAGTGGTAGGAAGGTTTACTGAGACTCGTGGGGGTTTATGAAGACAATAAACTGATTATATCGTGTCACAACAGAGAATACATCACCTCCCGCTTCGAGGCACGCGCTTCAGGGTTGGTTCACGGCATCACTTTCTCCGCATCACTAACTCTATCGACGATCAAGGAGAAGTCCGCTGTCCACAAAACAGACCAGCCTTGGGTATCCGCAACCACTGACGACCTCATACTCTCTATGAGATGTGGCCTATCCGTCCGACTGTATAATACGATCCGCTGTCATGGCCCTTCCATCTCCACACAAGCTCATCATATAACATACCAGCGTCAAAGCTTCCCTCGTCACCAGTTGTCGTATTTATGAAGCCCCCGCTTCAGCCTCAAGCGCTCGAATAGATTTGGTCCTCGCTCTCTGAGTGCCTCGAACACTTCTCACAACCCGACTCTTGATGCTAGATGCTTTCTGTTTCAAGCTTGATGATCGGCTGATGGGCGCCGTGGTGGTCCTTTTCGGGCTTGCCTTCACAATCAAAGCGGTCGAAGACGACGTCGACACAACTCTTTGTTTGACTGCCTTGCTCTTAGCACTCGCAACAAGAGTCTTGAGTTTTGAGGGGCGTCTGGAGAGACCTCCCACAACTGTCGCGCTTGTCTTTCGCGTCACTGCCTTCTTGATGAGCTTCATCTTTCGCACCTTGACTGGGCTACCGGATTGCGAACGACCTGAGGCCTTCCGTTTCGGTGCAGCAGCCACCTTGGTCTTCTTCGTGATCAGGCTGGTGCTCTCCCCTATGAGCTGCGCAATCTTCTGTTTCGGTGCAGCAGCCAACTTGGCCTTTTTCGCGATCCGGCTGGTGCTCTCCTCGAGAACCTCGGCGATCTTTCGTTTCGCGCCTGCCAGTTTGCTGCGGCTCTTGTTCGTCTCCTTCTCGGGACTCTTTGGTTTGCGCTCCTCCTTGGATCTTGGTCCTAGGACTCCACGGCACTTTTGGGACCCACAGCGACATTCTTGGACGTTCTTCTGTGAATACGGATCGAAGTTGTAGTCGTAGGTGAGTTCTTCTCCCGTCATAATACCTCGATCGCCTGCGAAGAGTGCCATTCGAGGTTTGCCGTTAACCGTCCACTTTTCCATCCTGCAATTGGGTTCGCAGGAATGATTGACGAATCGTGCAATGGATCCTCGAGTAGCGTCAATGATCATGTTCTGATCAAAGAGCATCAGATAATAGCACTGCTCTGCGTTAGTGTGAACTGACAGTGTCCCTCTCACGATCGCCTTACCTCGTTATTTTTATACATTGTCTTCATGCGGCGCTCGCATTCCTCCTGAGTAATGATCTCTCCCGTATACTCCACGATGATCTGATTTGGATCAAACGTACGATTGCTTCGTACGCCGTATCCCCTGTCCTCCGTCTTAATCACCTCCACGCCAATGTTGTACTTGCCTCCTTTCTTGACTCGTTGCTGGAGGCTCTCAAATGCACGGTTCCCACACTCTTCTGCCTTCAAGTTACAGTTTCGGCCATCACATTCGTAGTACATATATCGATTCATGCAATTCTGATCGCAACCCGTCTCAGGCTTGCACAGACAGCTCGAATGCTCCTCATACTTTGACACCCGCCATGCTTGGGCAGCATCGCCAACAAAGACATTTTTGTTAACTTTTCTCCACTCGTCGGGCTTCGGCTGACCGGCCGGAACGGGAGAAAAGATGTCGAAAGGCAGCTTGAAATCGCGGCCGTGGTCCAGGAGACGCTCGCCGGCGAACATTGGCAGAGGCAAGACAGAGTTTTCCTTGACAGGTTCAGAAGGAGCCACGCTCTTGCGTCTACCCTTGCTTCCAGTCGGTCGCATATCCAAAACCCTAGGCTGGCCAGCGTAGAGTCCCGATGCAAGCCATTTCTTTTCCCGCCGTCGGGCGGGAACTTTCGGTTGGATAGGTTCCACCACGGTGGCATCACCCTCGCTGACGCGTCTCTTCTTCTGAATGGGTTCTGGAGTAGCTAGCTCCGCGCCTCCCAAGCTTTTTGATCGCGTTCCGCTGCGCGAATCTGACGCTCTATCCTTCCTCTTTCCAAGCACGCTGTTAGCAATACTGGAAACGACCTCTCCCGCCTTCTCTAGGACTGGCATTCTCGACGACCTTCTTGTTGCTAGCTTCTCTGCAGCCTTGCGACGTTCCTCCCATATTTTGTTGTTCTCGGCCATTTTCACCTTCTTCGCAGCCGCCTTTTCTGCTCGTAGACGCTGTTCCTCTGGATCCTCTGCAGTCTCGGTCGACTCTCTCGAACCGTCCGCTGCGCTGCTCTTCTCACCGAGCAAATCTTCCTTGCCCTGCTTTGTAAAGACCTCGTTCACGCTCCACGGCAAGTCCAATGCGGCAATGCCTTCTTTGACCAGTGTTGACTGACTTGTATTTTCCAAGTTCACCAAGGTCTCTCCGCTGATAGTCCTTCCTTTGACGTCCCCTTCTTTCATGTCCTCGATAAGACCATTGCGGCTTTGCGTCTTCGTCATTCTGGCACTGACGCGTCGAGCCCTGCCTTTTGGCACTTGTTTCATGGTTGCGACCTGGGCATCTTGAAGGGACATGTCAAAGGAGCTCTCGGAGGGCGTGGGGAGTTGTTGTGGTGGCGGTCTGGCGGCCCGTGAGGTAATAACGATGGTGTCTGGGTCATTGTCTGAGGATGTAGAGCTTGCAGAGCGAAATATTGGCGGGCGAGAGCCTGACGACTCGATGGCTCCGGAGTTCACATTCTCAACTCGTGCACGGTAGAAGTTGAGGAGAGTCTGACGGAAATGCATCTTGTAATCACGGGCTGAGCCCGGCGTGTGGGCGTAGTAGTGTTGGACGCGTCGATCTCGTTCAAGTGAGCGATGGAAATGATCGTAGGAAGAGACAGTCTTGCGAGAAAAGAAATACAGGCTGAGATACGCGTGCACGGAGTGAGATGTGGGAGGGTTGCAACAAACAAGAGGCTGGACACTGGACAAGCCTTAAGAGCCTTAAGAGAGGGATGGCGAGATTAGGAAGTCAATCTACCATATCAATGGCCCAGGGGAGGAGACATCGACTCCTGAGCCAATCGCAGGTCCTCGGCCAGCAGAGCGACCCAAACCACAACAACAACATTCCACAACCTGCACCAAACTAGGTGCTTTGCATTTACCACTAGGCAACTGAGATACATTGCCCGTGGATCTGATCCGATCTCTTTTGTCATATCCAGCTTGTCTTGGGGCTCGCTTGCAAAACATTGCTCTGATTCCATTTTCCCAGCCTGATATACATTCTCCGCCACCAAGGGGTCCAATTACACTAGTATATACACCTTCATTTGGTCTCTTTCTTTGGCAGATTCCTCCCTGCAGGACCCTCAAAGGTCTTTTGTGACCCCTGCACCGGTTTCATCTCCATTTCGCCGTTCTGCATCCGATTGCCCACCTTCGCTTGCCGGTCTCCTCTCCGCATCCCAAACCGCTGGTCGCCTTCTTCATACCGCTTCTTGAAATGCAGATAAGTAGGGGGCTTAGGTCGTGCCAGCACCGAAATCCAATTTTTGATGAAATTTCCTTGTGTGAAAGGGCGATGCCTCTCTGCCTTGGGAAACCTTCGAGACGCGAGATACTCTCGAGTAGTTTCGCCTTTGCCGACAAGGAGCAAGTGGTACATCCACAACGCAAAAGGATATGCAAACCCCAACAATCCATAAATAAACATGGCGAACGGTACGCGGTTTCGGTTTATGGCCGTCCCGAAAGAGACGTGTCTTTGGTCTCGGTAGGCAATCACATGGCCCAAAGACGCAAACGCCAAATACAGCCCCAAGAAGGTTGCTGTGCTGACGAAGGTGAAGAAGTACCGATAGTTGCGTCGGCCCACGCAATTATTGAGCCAGACGCAGTGGTGGTCCAAGGTTTCGACACAATTATCGCAGACTCGGCAATGATAACACCGTGGCGGTCGCCAAATGTTGCAGGTCTTGCAATACTTGACCGGCACGTCCATCGCCGCGGTTTGCGAGGTAGCCAGTCGTACCATGACCCAGTCATTAGTAGGAGGTCCCAAAGCCAAAGGGTCGTGGTTATCCTCCGGCGGAAACGGATGGATATTTCGAGGGAAAACCTAGTCGGTGTAAGCAGGTAAGCCTGATTGAAAAGGTGTGGTTAAGCCTTACCCCTGGATCAACAAGAGAAGCATGAAGAAAAGAAGATAAACAAATGAAAAACAGATAAGCAAATATTATGGGGACGGCGGGTGAGACGTGATGCCATAACCACGAGGCCCTGCATCGGTCAGCTCTGTCACAATCACGGCTGAAATAAAGTCGACTCACGAATAAACAAAGAATAAGACCGCCGGCAGAACTAAGAATACGCCAGTGGCGATGTTTATGGGACGGTCTCGAGCATTTTGAATACGGCCTCCAAGCCAGAAGATTGTGTTGCCCTCGAAATACTCATAATTCTTGCCTAGAGCACTCTTCACGGCAACCTCGGTATTTGAATCGGGTGGATACGCGGGAGAGGTCGCATTCGAAGACAAAGGCAGATGTCCAGATTCCAAGCGATGCTTGCTGGCTAGGCTCAAGCCAGACCGAAAAGAGAGAGGCGACTTCTGAGGCGGCTCGCCAGCCTTGAGAGTGGTAGCGATATTAAGCCGAGATGGCCGATGCGGTTTCTGGGGATTGACTCCATTGACAAGCTGCGTGTCGCCGTCGTGTTGAGAGACGAAATCGGGAGATGCGGCATCAACAGTGTCTGGCGCATCCGATTGAGTATATTCCGTCGTGATCGATGGGGCGGGACGATGGCTCCTGGGCATCGCATGGAAGGGCCCTTGTCTGCTGGACGCAACACTGCGGGCATCTTCATCCACATCCCCATCTGGAATTGGCGCTGGCGGCTGCATTGTTCTGGCGCCAAGAGGTCTCCTCAATCTTTGTGCTTGTAAACGTTGCGAACTCATTGGCTTGAAGAAGCCTTGTGCTGTTAAAGAGGGAACATGGGTGCGGCTGCCCTGAGAAACAGGGCTCTGCGGCCGACTCGAGCCAGCAGTACTCGACGGGGCGGCAGGAGCGGCAGGAGAAGGATTGCTCCTTATCGAGCGGTTTGTAGGTTGTGTGATCCCTCTAAGGTGAGCGTACCCATGTTGTGAGGGTGGAGGGTTGGGCAGCGCAGGAAGAGGGACACCCGACTGGGGTCTAGATCCATACCCATCTTCAGAGATGGCAGAGGAGATTTCGCTTCGAGCGGTCGAGGGTCTGACGGCCATGGTCTCCTAGAGCAACAGAAAACTCGCGTCACGAGCGCAATGCCGGGCGCATATCGAGAGTGTATGTCAGGTACGAAGAAAGGCACGGGGGTGACGTTGCTGAATCGTGGGGATACGTGAGGGCTTGTTCACAGCATCCAGGTCGCAGTAAGTCGCACAAGAGAAGGGTCTGCTTTGATCTATCGTCGCTTATATGCGGAACGTGAGGGTTTGTCGAATGAGCGGATCGTCCATAGCGGTGCTGGTGAAAGTGAAGGTGAAGCGTTACAAGGTCGGGCGACTGAAAGTGAGGCTGATTGCTGCCAGGCACGAAGAACGAGAACAAGAACTCGGATGCGCATTTCCGAAATTCGAATTCGGGGTTTCAGGGGGAAGATGAGATGGTGAGATGAATGACACAATCTTGGGCGCAGTCACGTGAATATCACATGAGCGACTAGTCCCAATGAAGCTCAGTCAATCAGACTGCGGAACTTGAACTTCACGTTGACCTCCAGCTCACACCACCGACAAGCTCCGGGTCTTCAACAACCAGCTACATCCACCACTCCTCTGTCAACTACCTTTTAAAATGGCTTTCGCGGCAACTTTGGCTCGTCGAGCAGCTGCAAAAGCTGGTGAAGCTGGAAAAGATACTGTGCTGCAGAAGGGCGCCCGCCGAGATCCTGAGCTTTATGTACGCTCTCCGCACACTCCGATACTCTGCTTCGAGCTGCTCTTAACCATGACTAGATCCTCCTAGGTATCATGTCCGGTGCCTTTGGTCTCGCAGGATTTTATTTCGGTCGCAAGCCTACCTCCGCCACCTCAGAAGCCGAAGTGTCGGTCGCTCAGAGCTCCATGCCGTGGCAGGTGGACCATGACCACGAGGACCATTCCAAGCACTTCAAATATCAATATCATCCCAAGGGTGACAAGAACCAGACCCCCCGGAACGCTCCCAGCGCTCTGAATACGGTCGTTGTGCCCAATGTGACTCTGCCTAAGGTGCGCCGAGCTCTGCCCATATGCGAAACTCTCTAATATGTTGGCTCAGGCTGTCCACGATGCTTTCAACAAATGGGGGAAAGAAAACTATTGAGGAGCAGTCTGTGGCTTACCGCCTAGTGAGGTGTCTTTTAAGGTTGCGAAATAGAAAAAACAACGGGTGACAGGTCATCCCCAGGATGCCACCCAAAGTGTACATACTTTCCAGGAATGAAGCAGATCGTCCATCATCATTGTTCAGGATATTCCAACATGGCGCACAGTCGCCAAAAGCCGTTATCAGAGCCTCTAAAGGTCCTACATTCCTCCACACGCTACTCCCTCAGGTCGATTCTCCAGCATCTTACTTCATGTGCAACATCTGGAGTGCAGTCCTCTCCAACACGATGACTGTCTAAGCGGCTCATGTACGGTCTCACTCCACTTTCTCATTCATTGGAATGGCCATACCTCCTTATCACGAAGGTTGTAGCAGGCAAGTTCTTTGGATACTATTGGAGCTCGGGAGTCCTTTTGTATTTGACGGTTATCGACTCTGGTCAAGCAGCATGGTGATCGTTGCCCAGACTCCCCGATGCTGCCTTTCAGTCGGTTCACCCTATACCAGCTCATACCTGAGACCTGTCTCTTCAAAAGGGCATCCTGTGCACCCCAGCAGTCTGAAACCTACAAATGCACGCTGGTGTTGAACTTGCAATGATCAGTCCCGCCATAAACTGGTTGCTAACATCTAGGGCCTGTTCCTGCATCTTGAGATGGGAAGAACTAACCAGTACGCAGCGACGAATCTACCTACTTTAGTTAGCAGAGCGTGGTATTCCTTTGCCTTCAAGTAAAAGCTCCCCCTTGTCCAAATTTGAGTGTCTCTCTTGACTGACTTATAGAGATTTGATTTCGTGAGAATCTCACTCACTCTTCATAGGCTTTGGTGTGCCAGCCCCCTTACCTACCAATGTCACTATCCATCTCACTCAAGTCACAGTCTCTTACTACGGACCTCACGCTGGACTGCAGGTCGTGCGCCAAGAAGACACCCAGTAACTTCACTCTCAATTCTTTTCTGCCTCACCCATCGGCAGCTGCCCTCTTTGTTCGTCTCACTGCGTCAAATATCGCTGCCTTCAATTTTTGAAGGATATCTTTCCTCTCGTTAATATCACGCTCGCAGAATCCTGCTTCTCTGCATAACATCAAATTGAAACCTCAACCCTCTACACCATGACGCGCAGTATGAATAACTTCCCTGCAGAGCTGATCAGGCTGGTTCTGTCAAGGGTCAAACTGGATTCGCGCGGGAATCGAGACCGATCCTTCTTCAATACGCTTACTGTCTGTCGTCTCTGGCACGACATTGGTGAAGATCTACTCTGGACCGACATCACCCTCACCCGTTGTCAATTGAAAAAGTTCTGCCAGTCAACATGCCGGGCTTCACTGGCCACGAAATCGCTTTCTCTGGAGATCAGAAAGTATTCCTATCCCTACTACGATAACCCAGGCTGTGAATTGTCGCAGCAACTTCAGCGCCTATCACTGAAAGTCCGAGAAATGCAACAGCTCGAGAGCTTCAGCTTGTTCATCACTGGCGGCGCCTCCAGAACACTCTACGTCCCAATTCGTGGACTTCGGCTCGTCTTAGATGCATTGCCGAATTCAGTCTGCAATCTGGAGATCGATGACGAAGTTTTTGCTTTTCACTCAGACCTCAACGACACCAAAGCCGATCACTTGTGCGTGTCTCTACAAAAGATAATGCCCCAGCTTCGTAATCTTCGCCTCAGACTTGCAGAAGTCTGCGAGAATGTCTTTCCAGACTCGTCCTGCAAAGGTAAGGAGAGCGAGGAATGTGCCACAACCCCCAACGCCGAAAACACGCTCATAATCCAGCTGGTCGGAGACCACCCAGATCATGAAACCCAGCACTGCCCTCTTCAGAAGATGCACGGTCACCATTCCTATCCTGCACACGGAGCTTGGCCATATCGCTCAGCTCACGATTGTGTGGTTGCCGCGGCTAGGCTAGCGATGGAAAGCCACGCCCTGGACAATTTCCATCGCACTTCGATTTTCGATACCACTGCTCCATCAACGACTGAGCAGGGGTTTCCAGTAGTACGTGAACGATTTTTGGGCCATGAAGGGAAACTTCGGCTGTACCCTTACTTCGACCTCCGGGGTGTCGCTCAAGTCTTCGCTCTCCGCTGTCTTGGGAAGGACAGACAGACGATGGAGGTCATCGGAAGGATGGGAGATCTAACTTCACATATCGAAGGCTGTGCGTGGGTCAAGACAGTGGAAGGTTGCCGCTTATCATCAGGCTATATCGCACACAATTCGCGGTTTGAAGGCACCAAATTGGAAAATCTAGAGTTTTACACTCGAGGAACTGTGACCAGACCCATCTTGCTCGGTTTCACTTCCCCATCACCAGTGCTATGGGAGTTGGAGGATCAAGAAGGCTGCAAACTCTTAGAACCGGTGGTCCTTGATGAGAATGACGAGACTCGCTGGCTCCCCAGAAAGCGTACCCAGAAAGAAATTCGTCGCGAAGAGAGAAGGAAAGCCATTGAACGAGGGGAAGAGGTTGACCCTGAATCCGACTGTGAGCCCCCCGATCTCAACCAAGCGATATTCGCATTCAGGATGTCTCAACATTTTTCCCTCTTTCTCGATGAAGACGAAGACGAGGATGAAGATGAAGACGAAGACGAAGACGAAGTTGAAGGTGCGGGTGAAGCCGAAGTCGAAGATAGATACGAGGTCGAGGACGAGGACCACTACGAATACGACTCCTACATCGAGGACGAGTATGAGGACTCTGATGACGACTGGGAATGGTGACCAAGAAGCCATCCGTGTGCAGCCATCAAGAAAACACCCACATCTTGCACGCCTGGCACTGGCTAGACCAAAGTCCTCCGTCGCAAACCGTGCACCTTTTCTCGACAGATGCCCTATCAATCCAAACTCGTTTTCGAGTTCAACCACACCAAAAAGCATGTACGATTACACTGCAGGGAAGCAAGGAAAGCTTCAACGTCCAAGGTACTCCAAATATTCCGTCGAGGCGAGGGCTGCTTTGGACACGAGACCAGCATCCAAGCTATCCTTGGGGCTCAATGTACCAAAGCCTCGCCTCTGACTCAGCATCGGCTTCAATATTTTATTGTCAACAAATGACCAGGGGAGAAAAGAGAGAAAATGCAACGCCGAGAGGCCACCAAAAAGGAAGGGGGAGAAAAGAAGGGGAAAAAAGGCCAAAAAAAGAGGAATGACCTGGTTACATGCAAGAGAGCGCGAAGAGTGTAAACAAGGACGACCACAACTACACATAGAATGTGGCGCTGGGTCAAGCACTTGACATTTGCAGGATGTAATTATCTCCCAGTTATCGATGCTTTCGACTGCGCCAGCCATGAGACTACGCGCTGTGAAATCGGGATATTCTCGTCGCGAGTCGAGAAATACCAGGTAGCTGGCAACCACCTGCAGGAGAGAGCTCAGGCCAACGATCCAGGACATCTCCAGGAGGAGTGATTTCGTGGGAAAGCCTGCACCTGCAATGTATCTTTTCGCTTCCAGCTCGTTTGAGGAGACTCAGAGGCCGGAGTCGGATGGTCGAGCTGGCACAATTGTCTGAATGTTCAACATGGCACAGGAGTAGTGGACATGTCCTTTCACAGGGTGAGAATTCAAGTAGAAAAGCAGAGAATGAAAGGAGTCAAATGGGTACGAATTGTCCTGTGTCCCTTTTCCCTTATGATACATTCGCAATAATTTTCTTCGTTTTCTAGTGTCACACAGTATGATACTGTGTCATGCTATGCTCGGATAATACACGCGAAGCCGGTGGCACACAGGGCCTTTGTCTCAAGATTGCCTGTTCAAAGAAAGCCATTGGCCATGATCCCTGTGTTACTCGTACATTTTCCGCCTCTGCTTGGTTGGCCAACCAGTGCACACTCTCCATTTCAATTGGGACATAGAACTCCTCGAATCTTGGTATGGCTTCCTATCTTACAAGGACTTGAGATCCTGGCATTCAAGATCGACTGTTCGTCAACTCGCTCTGAGCGGTAGCCGTAGGTCCACCAGCAATTGGGCGTGGGTTCCCGGTGATCTTCTTCTCCCCCTCTGTAATGTCATGCAAGGTGTCGTGATTGATAGGCTCATTGGCATGCTTCTGGGCTTGTGCAGTGGGACCGTCTCGTACCGGGTTGGTGGAACCAGTGATGCCCTTTTCAGCAGCAGTAATCTTGGAGATGGTGTTGCTGTCGAGTGTCCCGGATGGGTTTTGCTCGTTGGCGGAGGTGTCAGAGGTTCCATTGCGTTCCTGGGCGAGGATACTTTGGGCGGTAGCTGTGGGGCCACCCTTGATGCGTTCACCACTAGTGATTTTCTTTTCACCCTCTGTGATGTCGTGCAGGGTTTGGGAGTTGATGGTCTCACCAGCATGAGACTGGGCTTGGGCTGTAGGACCACCCTTGACGACCTTGTCAGAGCCAGTGATCTCCTTCTCAGCCGCTGTGATGCGGGAGATGTTATCTGAATTGAGGACTGGATCAGACATTTTGAGTGACGAGGGACTGTAGAAGCGGATCTTGGGAGATGTGAGTTGCCGACGGGACTGGGGGAGATGTGGCGAGCAGCACAGAAGACGAATATTGTACAGAGGCTCTGCTGGTGAGTGTTTGGAATGAGAGAGGAAATGCCGCCGTAGAAGTGTTAATGAGGACATGATCTAATATTTCTTGAGTGGCAATTCACTGGTGAAGCAGGCAATCACTTCATACAGGTGCAAGGAGAAGGTGCAACTCAGCATTGCTCATTTTGACGCTCAACTTCAGTTTCTTCAGAGATTTGCCTGAACCATGTCTTGGTACCTTACCGACTGCGTGCCCCCATTGCTGATTCGTCGAGTGCGTCATCTACTCTGCAAGCTTGAGCAAACAGGCCCAGAGAAAATATCCATAATGGCTGTGAGAGGCTGAAATGTTGAGATGCATGAGCCGTAATGATGAATCAACAACATCGACAACACCCTTTGGAAGGTCCAGCCAATGAGGAATCATGCATGACCTCTCGAGATCAAGTGGTTCCACCGATGATCAGCCGAGACCCAAGTTCGAATTGTCCCTGCGCTCAATGCTCAAAAGTCTCTACAGAAAGCCCAAGAGCCCTCCACTGGTCCAAAGGGCAAGATGAAGCTTCTGAGATCAACCAGACACCGTGATCTCGCTCTGCTGTCTTCCATACTCCACATCTCACATCCCGTCTGCGCCAGTTGTGCTCGTCTCCCACGCCAGTACGACAGCCATGCTTCTTCCAGCGCATCCTCACCACGTCCATTCTCAGTGCTCAACCGGCCTCCCCCTAACTACCCCGGTCACGTCCCCCTCACTGCCGTGGAGCGCGTTGGCCTAGCAGTTGGTAGCGCAGTCACCTCGCTCATCGATCCCTACAGGCATGATATGGTCGCCGCACTAGGCGAGGCAACCGCCCAACCTTTCTTCATTTCATGGCTGCGGAAGCGCATGTTGTCGGATCCGACTGGGAGAAGAATACTACGAGACCGGCCCCGCATTACTTCCAAGACCATGTCTCTCGAGAAATTACGACAGCTGCCTGACAACAGCGTGGGAAGAACATACGCCGCGTGGCTCGACAGGGAAGGCGTCACCCCAGACACAAGAGATGCGGTACGGTACATTGACGACGAAGAGGAGGCCTATGTCATGCAGCGATACCGGGAATGTCACGATTTCTACCATGCTGTGACCGGTCTGCCGGTATGGGTAGAGGGAGAGCTTGGCTTGAAGGCATTTGAGTTTGCAAACACCGGATTGCCCATGACGGGACTCAGTTTGGCTGCAATGGTTCGGCTGAAGCCACTCGAGAGGCAGAGGATGTTTCAGATCTTCCTGCCATGGGCGTTCTCGAACGGATGGAAGAGCAAAGACCTCATCAATGTGTACTGGGAGGAGGAACTTGAGACGGATGTTGGCGAGCTGCGCCAGAGGCTAGGCATCGAGCAACCGCCGGATCTGCGGGCGATTCGCAAGAAGCTGAGAGAGGAACGCAAAGCTGCTAAGGCTGTTAGGTCAGCCACAGAGGTCGCAACGACGTCTGCTCCTTTTCCTCGACCAGAGTCGCAGTCATGAATGTGGAAAGCAATGTTCATCGCGGGGTATCATGCAAATGCGTCAGGACTTTTGCCCTCCTTCTCTCGATTATACCTCCTTCAAGAGGTCGTCCAGGTCATCATCGTCCCATCCACCTCTGCGGACGACTTTCACACTCTCCACACTGTGCCCCGTCTGCTTCTCGTGCTCGGAAAGACTGGCCAGCATCTCTTTCAGTTGATCTTCGGTAACCTTTTGTCGTAGTTGACCTGAGCGTGCGAGCATGATCAGCCTGTTCTCGACGTCCGTGGCGCGTGACTCTTTCACCATGCGTATTCTCCCCAGCCGATCCGCAGCTTCGGGTTCGAGGATTTGAGACAGCATGAGGGATCGTGCTTCTGACTCTTGTTTTCTGCATCTCTATCAATATTCCGTCCGGCGAACGTGATAGTTCTTCCAAACCTTCTTTGCTCTTCATCGTCGCCGTTGTCGCCTGACCCTGCTCTCCCCTGCTGTTGCTTGAGTTGGGCAAGGCGGGCTGCCCTGATCTGTGCGAATGAATGAGTCACTTGAATTGGATAACCTTCTCGAGGAGCATACCTGTGCTAAATCATCGTCCGCCATCTTTGCAATTCCTGCAATCCTACTGCAAGAAGAAAGAGACTTTCAGCAGAAATCCGCAGAATGGCAAGCGGGGCAGTATCTCCAGACGGCGAGACGGGTGCCAGCTCTGGGCTCACTAGGCCTGGTCGTTAGCTAACGAGCCCATGTGGCGCGTGGGTGCCACAAACAACCAAAACGCCCCAACCGCCCAACCGCCCAAATCCCTCCGCTTATGACGCGGCACACCTAACTGTGCCATCTGGTGCCATACATTTCCTTCACCGGCCATTAACCGAGAGAAAGCGAGAAGACCAGACTCGCCCATCTCATCATTTGACTGGCTGCAAACCCTCAAGGACCTTCCGGGTAATACAATAATTCGCTCCTATATCGTCCACAGGCCATCCCCAGGTCCCCTCAAGATCACCTCATTCTGTTCTGATCTCGACGTTGCTTTCATACACCTCCCCGTACCTATTTCTCAGGGTGTTGTGACCTATCCACGAGTGGGATCACCGTCCACTCCTCGCGTCGGCTAGCCTGCGCCCTACTTTTGTCTGCAGCTTGCTCAAAGCGACCAGCGGCAGCCAGCATGCCTTGCACAACAGTTGCATGAAACAAATCGCTCTCACTTCTCTTCCATCAAGGGATCATGAATGCTTGGGTACATCATGGCGCCTTCTTAGGAGCTGGCGCACCCACTCATTCGCGCTCAATATCTTTGGGGCCACCCATGAGCACGCCGCGAAATCACCTGTCCAAAGCGCAGTCCGCTTCCAATCTGCGAACAATGGCGACCGTAGACTCCTCTCCTCCCGAGCCCCCGAAACACCAAGGGACCTCCCCAGAAAACTCCTTCCGGACCATTGCAGATCCGAGGAACGCAAATGCGTCCAATCTCTCTAGATCCAATTCGACGCCCTCCAAACATCCCGAGGTCAACGCTGAAGTTGCCGCTCTGAGCGACAAACTCATAAGTGCAATCAACCACCAAACTACCTTGGATGATACTCTTGCCCAGACGAGACAGGAGTTGGAAGCATCAAAAGCCCGTATTGCAAAACTGGAGGCAGAAGCTAAAGCATATGAAGAAAGGATCTCGCGAGGAGACTTACTTCCAAAGGAAAAAGTTGATGAGCAAAAAGACAAGCTTACAGCGGAGCTGTTTGAGGAGAAGAAACAAAGGGCACAAGTCCTCCAGGAAAAGCGTGGAATAGAGTCGGAGCTGGAAACTCTGACAGCCTCTTTATTTGACGAGGCAAACAAGATGGTGGCTTCGGCCAACCGAGACCGGGACGCTGTCGAAAAGAAGAATCAACAGCTTCGCGACCAGATCAAGGACGGCGAGGCTTTGATAGCTTCTCAAACCGAGCAATTGACGGAGTTGAAAACCCTGATGCAGCAAATTGGTCCAGCTCCGGACTACCGAAGGGAACTTGACTCCCCACGAGTGTCGCTGGCACCGTCAAGCCCCGGCGTGACAAGAGAAGGGAGCGATCTTGCTCGTCTGCTCGAAGCGATGAACCTGTCCCCCGTCACGCCTGAGCATGGTGAACTTGCGCCGAGCCCTTCTACCGCTCTGACACACCTCGTCAAACCACTCTGCCGGACAGATATTCCCGCGTATGAGGATTTCAGGAATTTGGTACAAACCTCCCATTTTCGGTCGCATAATCCTTCTCATGCCCCATCCAGAGCAGGCTCTGGCTCCTATGGCGGGTTAAATGTGATGGGTCTCGGCTCACTGAGTAATCATTCACAACCAAATCTATCACAGATCTCTCAGCCAGCGACGTCGAAGCTCGCCAATTCTCCAAATATTCCGGGGTCGTTTAGCCCCAATCCAGACGCCAAGGGACCTGTCCCGCTGAGAGAAACGCGATTTTTTAAGCGTATTCTGGTCGAAGATATTGAGCCGACTCTTCGTCTTGACCTATCACCAACCCTGTCCTGGTTGAATCGACGCAGCATTCTTGCCGCCATGGGCGATTCTACTCTCATCGTCGAACCAATTCCCGAGGCATCCATCAAGCTGTACGGGAGATACACGCCTTGCGCTCTGTGCGGAGAGAACAGGAAACAAGGAGAAAATCCTCGGACACATGCCATGCGTGTTCGCGAAGGAGAAGGTGCTACTAGATGGTGTGTCTGCACACTCTGCTTGGAAAAGGTGCGTGGCGTGGGTGATCTGGTCGCCTATATACGTATGGTTCGAGAGGGAGTGGTCAAGGTCGGTGATCAGAAGGATGAGGAGGACGCATGGGAAGAACTGGTACGGTTGAGGGAGCGCTTATTCTGGGCTAGAATGGCGGGTGGAGTAGTGCCTGCGTTCATCCCCACCCCGAAGCAAACTCCGGTGGACGATGCAAAGATGAGCGCGGAGCTGGATGGTCAGAGGCACGATGGAAAAGAGAACGATACATCTGGTGAGGCAACCAGTACCCCACCGCAAGATTCGACGACTATGGCAGAGGACATGTCTCAGCGCTCAACACCTGGCACCGATGATGCTCAACCCGAATCTGCCGACGAAACAGCCGCCCGCCTCCAACTCCAGCAGGGACTAGACGAAAGTCTTACTACATTCGATAATATCCGAGAAAATAAGAGCATAGGTATCGGCGGTCGACAGAACTCAACCACGCCGCCATCAACGCCCTCACCACCCAAGGGTCTTCCGAAGAGGGAGTCCAGTACTGGCGGAGGGATCTCTTTCCCAAAGATCAATATTCCCAGACTGCCACAGGGCTTTTGGGAAGCTCAAGTTAACACTCTTCGTTGAGTGCACGGCGAGACAACCCAGTCGGTCGAGGGGTGGTTCGATTGGGAGGCAGGGACAATGTATATTATAATCTGATACACAGCAAGAATTCTAGCGGGCAGTTCATTTCTTGGGAAGGTCGAGGAAGAAGAGCCTGACGACCACAGCAACGTGGGAATGCAGGTTCTTGGGACATGGGGCCTGGCCGAAAAGCCTCTGTACATTAGCCATGTTGATATCTATTGAGCTGGACAGGTGCATACGTGGGATTTTTGCAAGACTTACAGCAAGACACGAAGCGGCACAGGGCGTAGAGAGGCCTTAACCAGAGGTCGGGTTTGGGCTTTGACCATTGAAAATAGTAATCATCCGAATGAGAGCGATGAAGTTGAGTCGTGCCTCATGTTCATGGGTATATCCGATGCCTATGGGGAGGATTAGTCTCTATGTGAAAAGGCACGCCAGTAATTGACTTGCATCGAATGTAGAGTTCTCTAGTGGCCCATATTGCCGGCGGTAAGAAGAGCATTGCCAACAGTTGTAGCAAGGAGAGGATGTCCCCTCTGGTCCATGGATTTGGTGAACTAGCTCCGAAGGTATCGGTCGGGGTTTGTGTGCCAATGCCGGTGGAAGCGATATTGTGGAATGGGCAGGGAGAAGACATTGGTCAGTCCACTTGTTTTTTGGATGACGTGTTTCCTTCTTTTTGACTTGTCATCCTTTTCACTGGGTCTTACTATCCTCTGGAACAAGAATCTTCAACCTCATATACAATTCTGTCGATTGTTCCGAAGTCCCAATCGAGTTAGAAGGACAGAATTGGAGCTATTCCTCATCGGGTCTTCGGAACAAGGACTGCCCCCACGACGAGTCCAACGCTAACTGCTTGTAGCAATTCGGAATTAAATGATCTAACCAAGTTAAGACTAGAAACAGTCTGCTGCACCTCTGTCCAATCAATGGCCGCCTGGCACCTCGTTGGCGAAAACACATTGCAACCGCCCTCACACGTATATAGGGCGGCTCCCATTTCGCGAGTCCTGCCTCTCCTCTTACATTGCCAACCGGCGCCAGAAGCTATATCTGTTCTCTCTCACATCAATAATATCTTTGTTTGGCGCGACGCCGTCGTGAACAATGGAGCTCGATTCTGACTCCGGGAATATTGACCCCAGCAAGTTTGACTTGCCAGCCTTATCCCCCAACGAAGAATGGGACCTGATGCAGACCTTCGATCCATTCCTCGGAGAAGACTTGTCTTTAATGCAGCCCATCCTGGCCGATTCATCTCAATTAGCTACTACCAATACTCAGCATCCCGGCTCCAGCGACTTCCGGCTTAATGGACTCGAGCCTGTCTCGTCTCCCGATCAGTCCATGCAATTCGCAGCCCCTGAGACATACTCAGACTTTCAAACCGCCATTTTGGATATGGACGTATGGAATCCTCTGCCAATGTCAACAGAAAATGTAGCCTCAGCGCTCCCGATCACAGTCGCACGTTCAGCTCTCACTTATTGCCCCCTCGAAGTCACCAGAGTTGCTCAGATTGCTCCCAATCAGGCCTTGGCCTATGTGCCGCCTCAAAATCTTGCACCAGTTAGCAATTACCTGTCAATGACAATGCTATCGGACGACACCACTCAAAGTTTCGATCTGGCCGGTTGTGTAGTCTCTCAAAATCAGCAAAATTCTCTCCGCGATCCGGCTTACGTTTCCAATGCCGCTTTTCGCCGACGAGGAATCGGTAACGAAGTGACCAATGTGGTGGAACCATTAAAGGCCACTGCGAAGTCGTCAGGCAAGCGGAAAAGATCATTCACACAACAAACAAAAGAAGGAGTCCCTGTCTCGTCACTCTCGTGCTTTACACTTCCTTGGGCACAGGAGACCAACAAAAGAGGGAAATGGACTGAAGACAGAAAGAAAAACAAAAAGAAGGTCAGCGCTGCGGGGGGTGCGTGCTTTCGGTGTCGATTGATGAAGAAGCCAGTAAGTAGGTCCTCAATGTGCTGAATCCGACGTTGACACAGAATGTAGTGCTCAGGCAACCGCCCCTGCAAGAATTGTCTACAAGCCTTGGAACGATCCAAAATCCCGACGAGGAGCTTCGGCTGGCTGTGCACCGTTCGATTCAGGCTGTCCGATGTTCTCGAGCCACGTTCATGGAATTCGCAGCTCCCAATGTACGAGCACAAGCACAAGAGTTTAGACGATCTATTTCAATATCTCGTGTCTGCTACAAGTCCCCGCTTGATAGAACTTTTCGAAATCGTCGCACTGGAAAGAGGTGGTGCATCGTCAAATGAGGATGGCTTGTACGCCATTGCTATCAGAGAGCCGGCTCGCCTCACAGATCAAATCGACCGTTTTTTCTATATTTCTATTATGACGGCTTCGAGGTTATACAGCCTAGAGTCTTCCCTCGTCGAGATATCTGCGAGAAGTCTCATTCAAGACCTTGTTGCCGGGACTTTGATGCTATATGAAGTGTTTGACGAACTTCTTGACCGGGCCTTGGATCTCAAAGAGGCGGAATGTTCTCACTTGCGGAAGATCTACTTTGAGCTGATAATGCGGCTTCAAGTTCACCTAAAGTTATTAATTGGTGTCTTACGGAGAGGACGCATGTTAAGCGACCTATCAGCAAAGATGAGTCATGCCAGCGATGCAATTGCAGCATATTTAGAGCTCACTCCCAATTATCATCAGCGCAAATCTCCATTTCGAGACTTGATCGACACTCTCTCGGGAATGGAATCTGACAGTCTTCTGACAATGCGGCCTGGAGCTGCTCACTTCTCAGTCGAAGGAATTGATGCGAAAGTCGCAGAGAGTGACGTCAGATTCGTCTTGTCAGGGTTGAGGTGTGACTCGAATGGAATCTACGAACTGAGCACATCGTCCGGAACCCTTCGAATGGATAAGGCTGCAATGGAGTCCATCTTTTTGGCTCACTATCTATCGTTTGCATTCAGCTTTGATGAGGTTCTGCTTGGTAGGTTTGGTATCTCCAGACGACTCTCTATCCACGAGCTTCAACCCCAGGGTCAGGTCAACTTGGGTCCTTTTGGCATATCACTGACATGCAACTATTCTTTGCTCCATACTAAAGCTTTGTTTCAGCCCATTTACTCGACAAGCTTCTCAGACGCAGTGACATGCCTTTTCAACATAATAGCTCGCCGATTGTTCCAAGAGTGGGAAGGGAAAATGATTCTTTCTCTCAAACTACACCGAATGCTTATTTTTAACATCTCCTATACTCTGAGTCTTGAGGGCATGCTCTGTGACCAATATACCAGAGAAAAAGGACGGTTCACTAATGACGTTATTGATCTCTTAGACGTTGCAGTGGTCGAATTGGGAAGGGTGTATCATTGTTTGACCGTGCTCGGTGACGCGCAAAGTGTGGCCCGTTGCAACGATCTTGTCTGGGACCAGAGAATCTTGTTGCATTACAGACTTGGGCCACAGCATGAAGACGACAGCATTACCGAAATGGTACTTGTGGTCAAGGACGACTACGGATCTGAGTCGAGCATGACGCTGTTCCGGGGTCCTCGCCACCTCCATCCAGATGATCGACCATGTGGTTCTCCGGACGAATGCTGCATTTGTCATCTCAAATACCAACGGGATCTAGAATTGAGCACACAGGTTTCCGACCATGAGCCATAGCCTCACGCCGGCACAGCACGATTCACAGACTTAGACCGCGCATAATTTTTCAGGTTGGATCCCATGGATGGATGATCCGAAGGCTGAACTTGCGGCATTTGTTGCACTTTTAAGGAGTCAAGGAGTCGGGTGCAGAGGTGGCGGGTCGGCGCAAGCAAGAGCGAGTCCAAGAGATGGCTAACGGGACGGCTTGACGAGGGTTTCACAGTTATGCGCCGGCGCCCTCACGGTGGTGTCCATGTGTTGCGGATCCCCGAGCCACCTTTGATTATATCAAGATACTATTTCCTATCCAAGACTATAGACTGGATTGATCACCTCGACCACTTCCTAGATGCCATTTTTACCGTAATGGTCCTTTCTGAGCACAAAGTCTTCCCATGCCTCTTCGAAGCCCACGCTCCTCGCCCACCTCTCGCCATTCTCGGGCTGCACGCTATCCAGCACCATCATGGCCAGCCGCAGCCACATGTCTCCCTTGATCTTCCATCTGTCGTCGTCGTGTTCGTTTTCTCCATCACCTCTGGAGGCGTCACCGTTCGTATGGTGCCCATTGACCTGCCCATTAGTCTCCGGGGACGACAGCGTGTGGATGACGCTGCCATTCTCAAACGGCTTGCACACCCTCTCACCATTCGCCAGCGCGCGGATGAATTTCGCCGTGTGTCCGTCATCCATGAATCGGCTTGCCGTGCGATACATTTCGTCCCAGCCAAGTACACTCCCACCAGTGGGAGGATAGTTCGCGATCTCCTCGAGCAGGAGCTTTGGACATCTCCGCGACGCGTACAGCGCCAGATCCAGCCTACCTTTCCACTCAACCAGTTTTGCCTTCATGGGCAGGGAGATCCAGTCCTGTGCAAGGAACGCGCTGAGGAAAATGCTGGAGTTGACGGCGTGCATGTAGAAGAAATCCATCTTGACTACCCTGGGCGGGTTCTGTGCCGCGCCGGTGAAATATGCGGCCGCGTTGATGACTTCCGCCGCGGCTTCTTCCACGCCCTGCTGGGTATATGGGGGAGATAATTTCCACTGTGCGGCGTAGCTGACCATTTCGTCCCTGGCGCGAGCGAGTACCCCGTCGCGGACTTTTTGGCCGTCGGTCCAGTGGACCGCTGTGGAGACTTTGGTGTCTTCCCGGATCTTGCGAAGTAGATTCACCATCGTGTCTGGCGTTGTGGTCTTTTCGGCGGCGGAGGCGGTGAGGTCGAAAAAGGCGTCCAGGTACGTGGAATGTACGCACGCCTGGGCCAGCGCCTCGGCCACGATGGCCGGCTGCTGGAATTCCACCCCATACCCGAGGTGGATCAGCGGGTGGTAGTATCCCGCGAAGAAGCGGTTGAAGATTGTACGCGCAAGCTCGGTGTCGGAGAAGACGTATTCGTTCAGTACGTCGGGGATTGATCCCGACGAGAGTTTGTTGGTGAAATAGGTCAGGAAGGAAGAGTAGTTCTCTGGTTTGGCCATGCTGTCTAAAAACGTCTTGGGATCATCGTCCAGGGCGTTGATGATGTTCTCGTCCGCCGGCGGAGGCGCTCGCTGGTAACGTGCATTCTGGTCATATTGCTTCTGCAGTATTGCTGCGTCGGCTCCCAAGGCGAACGAGGCGAGCGTGTGGTGCACGATGTGGTTGTGGCGGCCGACGTCGTCGAAGATGATGTCGTGTGTGGTGTGGTTGTGGTTCAAGAGTTTGTTAGTCGTGTCGGTGGCGTCGCGATCCAAGGCCTTGACGCGGACGATGGCCGGCACATCGGTGGATAGATGGATTTTGGATGCTGTTGCCATTTCGTGGACGTTGATTTACTAGTATAGTTCGACCCCAGGTTTAGGTCTGAGAGACCGCAGGCGAAACGCGGGGGAGACGATGGATGCTTTATGGCTGGGCCGGATGACAAACACGCAACTGCCTAAGGGTCGGTTGCGTAAATCTGTCTCTCGGACTGGCCAACCAGCTGGTCTGGTCAGCGAGCATAGAGGTGGAATAGACGGATAGCTGCTTGAGGGTGCCATGAGCATGTGCAACCCTCTACCATCCAGTAGCAGAAGCGATTGCGACATTTGTGGTCGACGTGAGGGGGGTTAAGGCGAGCTTCTCCTCATTCTGATCTCTGCCTTCTGACGTGAGCCAATATGGTCGGGTATTTGCCGGCCTTAGAGGATGATCCCTGTGCCCTTGGGAGGGAGGGACAAGAGACGGTCCAGGTCAATTGTAAGCCCAAGTTCTTACGAAGACATGTAGAATTCGTTGTGAAGACAGTTTAGAGGACTGAAATTGGCCGGCTTTGGGATGCCACTACCTCGTTTTTGCCCACCTTGCTATGTCTTACGGCACAAGATTTGTCCGTTAGGAATGCCTAAGAAGGCATCCTGCTCCATACCCCATCTCTTCCAACCTTCAGAGAGGCTCTTGATCTCTTCTTCTGTCGCGAACCCTTCCCTGACTGCCGTCCCCGTGAATCCAGGTTGGAGGATTCTCCCTGCCCAGCTTTGAGAGAACTGAGTCACTCTTTGCCCGGCGTATCTCCAGCAGTCCCACGTGGCCGTGATTTCATCAGGCGAGAAGCCAGCTTGTCTGGCCCACACGTGACAGTATCGGCCTGCGTTGGGTTCGCCTCCATTCGTCTTTGCGACTTTCTGATAGAGTTCAGCCCACCGCGCGATCTCGGGAGTCTCTGGGTACCAAGCGAACGATTTGTAGTCTGCTTCTCGCGCGGCCACGATACCACCAGGCTTGGCGACCCTCCGCATCTCCTTCAATATGGCGACGGGGTCTTTGACGTGTTGCAGGACTTGATGACAAAAGACAATGTCAAAGGTGTTGTCCGCAAACGGTAAGGCATTGGCGTCGATCTTTTGAAATGTGAGGTTCGTCAGGCCCCTTGACGAGGCGTACTGGGACGCCTGTTCGAGGACAGACTCGACGGCATCTCCGCCGATGACCTTGCCCTCAGGTACGAAGGTCGCGAGATCTGCAGTGATGGTACCGGGACCGCAACCCACGTCTAGAATGCTGTGGTTGGGTTTGATATGGGGAAGAAGAAACGCTGCCGAGTCTTGGGCCGTTCGACGGGCATGGTCTTCGACCACCGATTTGTGGTGGCCGTGAGAATAGACGGCTTGCTCTTTTGCCATGGCGTGCCAAATAGTTTCTTGAAGAATACCTCGCCGAGGTTATGTCAGCTCTCAGAAGCACTATACTTTGTAAACACTGCCAGACATATGAAATGAGAACGAGGCCCCGTTAATATATCTTCATGACAATCTTGGAGAATCGATCAGCGAAGCCGATATCGGCAGCTCCCCTTCCACTGAATGGCCTCCGTCTGCGAGCTTAGTTGATCTTCATTGCTTGTTGGTCGCAGATGCGGTTGGAGACGGGTTGGACTCGGATGGCAAGGAGAGCATTAAGATGGCACTTCTGAGGAAACGGATGGTTTGTCTTGAAGATAGAAAAGCGAAGACTGATCAGTTCAGGGGAGTGGTGTTAGCGCCGCTTTAGCTCGATACTGCCAAGGCGCTAATCTGAAGAACGCTGCCAGTGCCGGGCGCAAAAGCAGCGTGACCGAGTGTCTCCGGTGTTTCCTTCCGTAGAGCTCGGTCTCGGTTCTCATCTCGCCGACCTGTTGTCGTCTGACCTTTCTCCTTCCTCAATCATTTCATATTATCTGTTAAAACACTCACCTGGTGGTGCGGGAGAGTACGGAGCTCCATGGCAGCTCGCAATTGCTGTGAAATGCTGTGAACTGCAAGAATGGACGGCCCTTCTAGCATCTTCAGCACCTTATGGAGCATCCTTCGGCACCTGTTTCTCTTAGTCTGGGTTGAGCCCTGGGCCAAGCCTCACATCAACGGCGACACGGCGCCCGCCACCTATGAAGATTGGTACACCGGACAATTCGAATACGATGCCATCCATGGAATCGATGAATGGGTCAAGGTGGACCGTCACCGAAGCTACGACTGGCAGATCCTCCGAACGTTGAAGCGAGACCTTGAACGAAGCCGGCGGATGGGGGATGAGAGAGGCTTGTGCAGTCAACTGAGAGCTCAAAGCTCCCGTAACATGTGCCGCATTCTATCCCCCGCCTTGTACCGAAAGTCAAAGATACAAACCAAACGACTTATTCATGACTATGTGATGGAGGTGCGCCACTGTATCACCTACATTGCGGATCGGAACGCGGTCACCAACGGAGCTGGGGCTGGTCCCATCGTCCCAGCCCAGGAGAAGCGGCAAGCAATCATTGACATGCGGACTGCTCTTGGCCGCACGAGTCTGGTGCTTCAGGGGGGTGCCATGATCAGTATGAGTCATCTTGGAGTGGTTAAAGCACTTTATCTGCAGCGGCTGCTGCCTCGGATAATCACAGGCACATCATCAGGAGCTCTGATTGCAGCGCATGTATGCGTGACGAAAGACGAAGACCTTATCGGCGTGTTGGAGGCCACCAAAATCAACCTTGACGCCTTCCTTCGCTCCCGAGAAAGACGCGCTACAGGTGGGCTCAAGTCTTGGTTCAACTCTTCCTTCTTTGCAACAATCAAACGACGGTACCAACGCTATCGTAAATCCCACCACGTGTTCGATATTGACGTGCTCCACGAGTGCACTCGAGACAACCTGGGAGATATAACGTTTGAAGAGGCATATGCAAAGACGGGAAGAATCCTAAACATAACCATCGCCATGTCTGAAGTGGTCGGAACACCACAACTGCTCAACTACTTGACGGCCCCTCACGTCCTTGTCCGATCTGCGGTCGTGGCGTCCATAGCGACTTCCAAGGCCATGTATGCTCCTGTTCACCTGCTGTGCAAGAGTGCTTCGGGCGATATTACCTTGTATTTTGCTGCCGATTTCTCAGAGAAGGGCTGCAATCTGCACCGAATAGCGACCGTCCACCCCGAAGCACCGCTGACACGGATAGGCGAACTGTTCAACGTCAATCACTTCATTGTGTCTCAGTCCAGACCATATGTAGCTCCTTTCATTCAGCTGCAGAGTTTTGCCGACCGTCACCAACCTCTTGGGATCTTGGTTCGCTTCGTCCTGGACGAGATGCTGCATTGGCTGCAAGTTATGAATCACTTTGGTATGCTTCCCACAATCCTCCAGCGGGTCTTGATGGACGAAGTCGTACCGACTCTCGCATCCTGGTCAAAAGTATCCATTACACCGCAACTCGGGCTGTGGGATTTCCTGAGCATTTTCGACACTCCTACACCGGCTAAATTGCAGAAATGGAGTGCTCGAGGAGAGAAGTGTACGTGGCCGTACATCTGTGAGCTAAAAGTCAGATGTGACATCGAGCTGGAACTCGATGTGGCTTACACGAATCTCCGCCGAAGAGGAGGGATGGGATCGGTTATCAGACATAGGGCAGACCCATAGCATTTGCGTCAACGGCGGCCGATTACCGAAGGCAATTGGTTGTTCGCCTGCCACTAGCGAGCCGTTTCTCCTCCTCTCGCCTGTCCCACGCCTTGTGGCTGTGCAAGAATCGTGGCGTTTCTCAATCAATACGCCGATCATGGCTTGTTATATGACATCATTGTGCCCGATCAACTGGGCTGGCGTGCCCATACCAAGGAGGGACCAGAACCCTGAAATACTACCTCCATAAGGTGCTGAGCTAGACCTTCTCCTCCTTTACGTTGTCTTCCACCGCAGCCTCTACCGTCATCAATATTTCATGCACACAAAACCCTCTTATTTTGCACGAAGATGTCCCAATCAGCCTTTGCCAACCCGACCGCACCTGCCTATGAAAAGGAGAAGAAACCCAGCAAGTTAAGCCGTCTACTCGGGAAGCGAGAGAAGACTCCAGAGCCGCAGCCAGACGTCGGACCCGATTCAGCGTATGCGTCGAGTGGAGCCAACAGCGCGGATGGTGCTCACGGAGGCATTACTCCCGAAGGAGAAATAAACCAGAACGAGATAATATCTGCGGAGAAGAATAGCGAGATAGCCAACATCGACCAAGACAGGAATCTCGCATTGAAACCCTCGACTGGGGAGGTTTTCGATGAAGATACAGGAGAAGTGGTCACTGTAGTGACAACGACGGTATGTCCCCGCAGTAGTCTATACCATTCTGGACACTTGCGTCGTAACTACACTGTCTATTTTATTTTCGAATATTAACAATATGCCAGACCACGACCACGACGACCACTACTACAAGAGGCGGAAAGAAGCAGCAAGATGTCCAAAAGGATGTCAAGCGCGAAGTACAACCCGGTCCGGGTCAGCAACCTCAACTGCTAGAAATGCCCGCAGGCTCGACAACCCCGGAGCATCCTCATCCACCTACTGTGGCATCTACTAGCACGGCGCAGAAAGGAAGGCCACCTGTGGTGGCCAGTGGAGGATTGCTTGCAGCTGACTCTCCCCCAATACCCGCTAAAAGTGCCATGAGGAGATCCGGAGACTTCACACGGGACGCCTACCATGCAGACAATGGTCCTGTCAGCCCCGTCGACCCTCCTTTTGCAAGACGCAACAGCGGAACACCCCCTGCCAGTCCCTCGAGGCACAACTTCAGCTACCCCAGCCGTTCGTCCTTAAAAACAGCTGATCAGCCGATGCGACACAATCAAAGTACGATCAACGATCTGCGTGCAGCGGCTAAGGGACTTCACGTTAGTTCTTGTCTTTGACTCTTTCACATTCTTTGATACATTTTACTGACCCATATACTCACAGGGTGTTGGAGAAACTCTTCGAGGCACATTTAGCTCGACGATCGACAAACGCTTTCCATCCAAAAATCCGGAAAAGGCTGCTCGAATCAACGCCCATAACGAAGAAATTCTAGAAAGGGGTCGCGCTGAAATGGAAGGTGTCCCTGGAGGTTGGCCGGCACATGAAGCTGACGAGTATCAAACCGAATATGCCCACCATGAGCCCATCCCAGCAACCGAACCAGAGGTAGCACCGCCAGTGACGGGCCGAGGTTCCCCAGACAAATCTGGAAGTCTGAGAAAGCTATTCAAGCGGAAACCGGTCGCCGAACAAGGTATGGCAAGATAATAAGAGAACCGAGTGATGTGTGAAGGGTGTTTTTGACCTTTCCTTCTCCGGCCAAACTGGTCTCCCTAACTCTCCTGTTCTTCGATCTACTCCAGTCAGCGTCCGAATCGTTTGGTGGTGGATATTTCTGACATGTCAGCCTCTTCCTTCCAGAAGCAATCGTAAATGACACACCAACAAACCGAGACTCACGTCGATATTTCTAATCGGACTTCGACCAAAGACCTGAATTCCATGCAGAATTGTTATCACAGTTTTGACGGACTTTACGAATGGGGTTGGACATAAGGCGTGGGTTTGGGCAAACATAATGATTGTGGCTTAGCGAGTGTTTGTGTATTCAAAGGCGACCTTTATCTTGTACCAACTTGTACACAGTCAAGCATGTCCATTTGCTCGTCATCCCGGTCTCGTGGCCACGGTGACCCAATACCTTGTCTCCTCCTCAATGGTATCTTTGGACCCAGCAATCTCTGCGAACTTCCGGACAAACAAGTCTTTGGCTTTCTCACAAATGTCGGCGCGGCCAAAGTCCTTGAACATGGCCTTGCTGACAGCCTTGTCGAAGAGTTCCGGCGCAGTGTCTAGATGATACTGTGCCTTTGCGTAGGCCTCTGTCTCAAAGACCTTGTCGACATGAAACCCCGCGTCAACCATCAAAGTCGCCAGCGCTTGCTGTGACTGCCACAGATGCGAGTGCCAGGGCACGGTCTCGCCGACCTGCGGAGCGATAGCCGAAAAGATATTCATGACCACGTTTGCGTCCTTGGTCTGCACGTCGGTGATCAGGCGGCCACCGGGTCTGAGCACCGATTTCCAATTCTTGACGGCCTGAAGCGGGTCGGGCAGGAGGATCAGCGCCGCAGCGCAGGTTATCACGTCGAAGAATTCATCCGTGTAGTCCTCCTTCGGCACAATGTGGAGACCAGCGAGGTCGCAAACGTCGTGGTTGAGAAACGCGATGTCGAGTCCCGCAGCTTGGGCCTTGCGGCGCGCGACCTTGAGCATCCCCTCGCTGATGTCGACGCCGACGACGCGCCCTGACGGGCCTACGACACTCTTGGCACCGATGGCAACGAGACCCGTTCCGCAGGCCAGGTCGAGGAGGTTCTCGCCCTCCTTCAGATCTGCCCAGGTGATGTAGTCCTGCGCTTGTCTCACGTGGACATCATTCTCGTCGTACTGTTCGCTGCGCTCGTCGTACATGGATTTCACCACGTCAAGCTGTGATTGAGACATGGCTGGATGGCCGGTTCGTCAGGGTCAACAACGAGGTGGCTAGAATTGTCAATCCGTATGAAGATAGAGCAGGCGTATCTATGTTATATATATGGCCAGGATCATGCACAACGAGAAATGAAAGGTTAGTGCAGTGAATAAAATGACGTAAACACGTGCCGTTCGATACATCGGACCGGCCCTGCACCGGCACGCCAGGCGCCAGCTTGTCATTACTACAACCCATCCATGTTTTGGAGCTGCTTCTATATGTTGTTACAAAGGCGCCTTGCAACACAAAGACCACAGTCTGATGGAATGCACCAAGTAAGCATCACTCATCTTTAGTTAGGCTCGAGCCCGCCGCGGGGCTTGAGCCTCGGAAGTCGGGAATCCAGATTTAGCTGCCAACGGGCGGGCATATCTCACGACTTAGTATTATTCAATTCCAGAATCCAGACTGGGAAGGTGATTCGCTTTCGTGTCGAACAAGAGCTGTTTATTGTGTGATTTGAGATGATTGCAGCTGCGCACCCACATCAGCCCAGCCCATTGAGCCTCGCCCAAGTCTAAGTCTAGGCAAGGAACTTCAAGTTACGGGCACTCTAGCCAAGGCTCTAAGTCAACCTACGCGATAGGTGACGGATTCTTCAAGCGGCAAGCGTCGAACCGGAGCTCTGATCTCCGTCACCAATTTCGACGCCACTAGGCTGCGGGGTGACAAAAGTACCAAAAAGTTACCTAGGCATCGATGCCGCAAGTTACCCGGCCACCAGGGACATATAATGTTTTCGTGACCATGGCCCGCAAGGTACGGAGCACGGTTCTTTTATTCAGGCGCACTGCAAAATGTTGCGTTTCGACAACAAGGTTATCTTCATCACTGGGATTGGCTCCACGGGCAGCGGTATTGGCAATGGGCGAGCAAGCGCCATATTATTTGCGCGACAAGGGGGGAAAATATACGGCGTGGACTTGAATCTCTCCGCCGCCGAGGAAACACGATCCTACATTCTCTCCGAAAACCCCTCGATTGCAGACCACATCACCGTCTCGCAGTGCGACGTCACCTCGGCAGCGGATGTGAACAGGGAGGTGGGGAAGTGCGTTGAGAAGTATGGACGGATAGATGTGCTGGTCAACAATGTCGGCCTCTCCGCACCGGGGACGGCGGAGAGCATGCCGGAGGAAGTCTGGGACAGGCAGATGGCCGTCAACATCAAGAGCGTCTTCCTGTGTTGCAAGGCCGTGATTAGGGTGATGTTGAAGCAGCAATCCCCGGGTGGCGCCATCGTGAATCTCTCGTCCATCGCGGGCATGAGACATTTGGGCGCCGAACACATAGCCTATGCCTCCTCAAAGGCCGCGATCGTTCAGTTCAGCAAACACACGGCCATCGCCTACGCAGACAAAAATATCAGAGTCAACACGGTGGTGCCGGGGTTGATGAACACGCCGCTTGTGCAGAGCAGACTGTTGAAACACCTGCCGGAGGGTGTGACGGAAGAGCAGTTGGCAAGAAGTCGGGCGGAAAAGGTACCTTTGGGGAGAATGGGAGATGCGTGGGATGTGGCCCATGCGGTCCTCTTCCTGGCAAGTTCGGAAGCAAAGTATGTGACAGGTAGCGAGCTGGTTGTGGACGGAGGAGTCTCTTCTTGGGCGTCACAGGCGGCGAGGCTGTAGGTGTAAAGAAGTATGCTTGGGTGAAGACGAAGTAAAGACAAGCCCTGCCAAGGGTCTTGGACATTAGTTGATAGACCAATATCGAGAACGCGAATTTTACGACACAAGAAGATAATATGGAGTCGATCCGAGCATGAACCTTGGTAAATCTGTTGTAGCTTAAAGAGCTTTCCCCTCCTCGCCAAATGCTTCTAGGCACAGACCCTTCTGAGAGGCCCACCTACCTCCCCCCAACACTTTGATCCCCCATTTTTCTGTAGGGTACCCAGGTAGTGCACTAGCCGGCCTAGCATAACGCCTCTTTCAGACGGTAAAGATCAAAGAGAGGTCCGCAATTTCAGCATTAGCTGTGGACGGGGTGTACTCCGCTCATATCCCTCGGAAGAAGATCACTTCCTTTTCGAGCTTAAGGTATGTAAAGGCATCCAACTCCCCTCATACAAAAGTAAGGGTCAGATTGCTTTTTCGGCTTTCCTACTTCCGCGCCTTCTGCGCTCTTCCTGTTTTCCAAGAGAATGGTGCTTCGGGCGCCACCATATACCAACGACCAAATGTAAATTGGAAAGAACCATAGCACCAGTTGGTCGACAGATTGACAGCATGCGGGCGCCAGAGGTTGCTTCAACACCTGGGATGGTGCCTCGAAGAGCTGTTCGGAAGGCGTGTCAAGCATGTCGGATGCGTAAGGTCCGTCCTTACTCCTGATTATCGCAAATGTTACTTCCGTCTGGTCCCCACAAAGTCGAGTACCAATGTCCTCTGGAGTCTGATAGCTTTGTCTCGGATGGCTGATCCATGGCTGTTCACGTCGATAATTCCACATTCCTCTCAGAACAAATATGACTCGGCATGGTTTGCGAATTCTGTATCAAGCCGGCTGACTGGTCTTTCAGGCGAAATGTAACGGCAAGCGGCCTCAATGCGGCTTCTGCGCACAGTACAACCAGCCTTGCCACTACCTGGAAGACAGGAGGCAGTTCAGCCGGCCGACAAAGGCGCAGATTCAGGGGAAAGACGAAGAGATCAACTCTCTGAGGCTGCTGGTTAGGAGACTGAAGGAGACCGAAAGTCTTGAGGAGGTTAGGAATCTCCTGAGCCAGCACCGGCGGACGGTAAACAATGACCGCAGCGATGACATTACGATTACAGACAACAATGAGGCTGGCGAGAACTTCGTTAATGACCATATCTCAAGGAATGAGGACCTGGCTGCGTTGGAACATTCGCATGCAGGAAACGGGGTGACGATAGTTGCGAGCGAGGCAATGCGCCCCATAGCAACGGAAAGAGCCATGTCATTCCCACTACATCCTCCATCACGCGAACCGAGTAGAGTAGCTAGCACTCTCTCAGCTTCCGATGCTCTCCTTCCAGCAATAGCAGACCTCCAACCTCATGACGAAAGTCACGCAGCGACACACCGCTACAGATCTCTTGAAGTTGAATGGAATCACCGCGCCCCGCCAACCATTCCCGAAACCCGAGATCAAGACTCCCATCAAGAAGATCATGGAGCCGAAGACAGCCCTATATTCCATGGACCCTCCTCCGCCATGCATGAACTATCTAACCGCGGCGATGGCACTCTCCCCGAGCACTCAAACTTCATCGGTTTCGGCCCTTATTATCGGCATTCCGTCCCTCCCCAGGATGACACCTCCGCATCCCAGTTGGCCGGCGCCACCAGCGACACTGTCCTTGCACCTAGAGACTCTGATGACGATACACTGCCTCCTGGACTTCAATCAATCGTTTCTCAGCTCGTTGCTCATGCCGCCCTGCAGCGGCATCGTGAGGTGGCTCATCTGTACGAACGGCGCTTCGACTTCGACGGCCTCGACCCGGAGATGGCAATGCACTTCTTCGACCTGCACTGGAACCGCCCTCATCTCTCCTACCTTATCACTTACCGTCCGGCGGTCATGGACAGCCTTGCCAACAATGGCCCGTACGTCAATAAACTCCTTCTCAATGCCATATATTTTGCCTCTGCTACATACAGCGAACGGAGTATCTCACTACGGAGGGACAAAGATGATCCACAGACGGTTGCTGCCCAATTTCTTGACAGATTTAGAGAGTGTCTGCAAGAGGAAGGAATCGAGACACCCAGTGTACCTTCCATATGTGGCCTGATCCTCATGGGTACGGCTCTAGTATCTATCGGAAAGACCTCGCCTGGGTGGGTATACTGTGGCATCGCATATCGGATGGTCATCGACCTTGGCTGCCACTTGGAAAAGTCGTCACGCAGCAGCAACAGTAACTGTGGTCAGTTAACGGCTTTGGATGTCGAGATACGCAAGCGTGCGTTCTGGACCGCATACGTCAACGATAAAGTCCAGAGCCTCTATTTGGGAAGACCGTGCTGCTTGCAGGTCTCCGAGAGCGAAGTCAGCAAGAGACTCCTCGACACTTACGAAGAAACCGAGCCCTGGAAACCGTACATCGACCCACTCTATTCCTCGAGCGCGACATCAAAGCTCCTTGCAGCCTACGTGCCACGACCCACATTTGCGGTGAGCACGTTCAGGGCACTCATCGATCTGGCGGAGATAGCGGAAATGCTCATCAGTACAATATATGCGGTCTCGTCGTTGAAGACGCCTGAAGACGAGAGGGTGAGGGCGTTACAACGCATCGCCGAAGCATTGGAGAGATGGGAAAGGAAGCTGCCGGTACACCTTAGAGTGGAAGATGATCATCCAGCGCCACCACATTTGCTCACTCTACATACCACCTACTTCGCACTGCGAATCCTGCTCCTGCGTCCGTTCTTTCCTGGCGGCCACCTATACCCTACTACAATCACAAACGTCCCTTCTTCCAGCGGCATGTCTGTCTTTTCCAGGCCCGCTTCAACAAGAGCCTCGCAACAGCCAGTTCAGACCCCTGCGGACTTCCTCACAGCTGCTCGACTGGACTGCTACTCGGCGGCCCTGTCCATCCACGCTCTCGTCGCCTCCTATCGTCGCTCCTTCACCTTAGGTCGGGCTCCCATACGCTTGTCATATTGTATACTTAACGCAGTCATGGTGTTCATGCAGGACGCCCAAGGGAGTAATGATCCAAGTAGAAATATGGAGGAGATAAGGGATTGCTACGAGGCGCTAAAAGAAACGACTCCGGCAAATTTAGGTCTCCGAAAGCCCTTGAGGATCATGAGGGGCTTGGTACAATACTTGGGGCTCGAAAGAGAAACTGCCCCAGAGCAAATGCGGGAGGTGAGTCGTGGAAGAGGGCGTGAGTGCTTGGTGGGAGATACAAGGAATGGGCAGGCAAACGCGAGTGGGAGACATAGCCCGCGCATCACAGGCATGCTCTCCGCCTCCCTTCTTGCGCCTGGCAACGATCCCACTTGCTCTCATTCGTCCCACCTGGATACTCGCCCCCTGGTTAGTCCAAACAACAGCGGCACAGATGGAGGAAACAGATATCTACAGGGCAATTCTCTTTCAATACCACAACCAATGGACTTTTCTAAAAGAGTCCACGGGACCGACGCAATCCCCCACGGAATAGAGGACAATGATGACTGGTACATGGATTGGAGCTGGAACACGGGCCTCGATGGGTTTGGGTTGTACGACGATGATCTGTTTGGGATGTTTCAGCCGGGCGTGAGTCAAGGAGCTGAAGGCCCTGTGGGATGAGGATCGTCTGTGATCCGTCACCCGTGCTTAGAAGTTGAGCGTGTCCGTGCCGCGGACTGAACAAGGGATGCCGGAGATAGCTAGATATTCCTATGGATGCAAAGAATGATTTGGCTTCATATTGGCACCAAGAAGTCATCTCCTAAAAGCCCCTGCGGCCACAAAGGCAGGTGAAGGCTATCTATTCGATCTTATAATAGATGGGCCGCGTTACAGGATCATCGATTGACCCGTCATACGACCTAACATCTGTAATTGCCGGCACTCCAGTAGGCTGTCGAATATATCCCGTTGAAGAATGACAGTATTCAGCAAGACATCTCGCGGTATGTGGCATTTCAAGTCGACCATGACTGTCAGCTTTCACGTCCGTTACAGCATGGGCGGATCAATAAAACTTATCTACTATATCTCCAACATGATACCTTTCTGCAACATATCTAGAAGAGAGAGAAGGAGGAACGAGTCTAGGCGACGATTCATGCGGCTGACATTGCATTGGTTTCTGGGGATATACTCGTAGAATTGTCGTCACAACAGATCTCCCTTCTTCTCAACCAGTCGGCCATCCGACCGGGCCAGAGAGTTACGCATCATGCGAGAATCCTACCGCAATCTACACGCGGATGATAGGTCCTAAAGGCACAGGCGCTAAGAGCATCGATATGCGACTGCGCCCACTCCCAGAGAGCTTCGTTGTCCTCTTCTAGCATCTGCAATGAGGATGAGGAGCTTCCCCCTTTGGCCTTCCGGCACAGCAGCGCATTCTCTTCCCGACATCTCTCAGCAAATGCAAAATCGCCATAGGCAATGACGTCGAGGCTGGCGATGCCATCAGGGCCAAATGCCCACTCGGCGAAAGTGTAACGCATCTTCCTTGGAGACGTAGAATCCGCCCCTTGTCCGCCCCAGCTCCGTCCTCGGATGCTCTAAGGCGGAGCATCCTACAGGAGATGCGGGAAGAGATGTCACCCAGGCACTCTTGCTGGGGAGCCAGTCAGTATTCACATCGTTAGCTCTGAGAGGCGAGACTCACCATGAACAAAGGAGGATTCGCGATTCCCATCATCTCGCATTGCGCTGATGCGAAGAGGAGGGATAGTTGATCATTCCACTCCAGATATCGATCTGCACTCTCTTGAAACCACTCGAACTCTTGATCTGCCCGGAACCCACGTCCGTGGAGGACCAAGCGTTTTCAAACATTGGAGATGATTTGTGACGGCGTCGAGGATGGGGGTCCAGTCCCAGACATATAGCGAAAGGCGTAGATCCCTCAGTCGGGGGGTAGTCTGTAGCAATCGGCTGACCTCTCTCTCCAGTGTCATTGGATTATCGACATGCCGAATGTCAACCACAAGTTCCAACGGTATCAACTTGAGTGTTGGTTTTGAATCGTTGAGGCATCTTAGTAGCTCCTCCGTCCCGGAGCAATTCCACAGCCTAAGCTTGCGCAATTCGCTGAAGTTGAGTGCAGAAGAGAGCTCTCTTTCCGCTGCTTTGAATAAGACGCCCGACAGGCTGAGATGTTCCAGCTGAGGAAAGTGTTGGCCCAACCTATCTTGCTCGAGACCGATGACAACCGTGGCGAAAGTGTTGGAGGAAATAGGATTTCCTTCGTCCCCTCTCGTCCAGAGAGAGCGGTGCCAACGCAGGTCGCTCCCAATCTATGAGATCGAGTCTCAGTGTCCGGAGGTGTGCCGCGTTATGCACCAGGCATACTGCAAGGGCATCAAAGTCTGCGTACATGCGGAGCCCCATCCACGAAAGTGCATGTAGGTTTGTGAATGTTGACAAAGCGACTTCGGGTAACCATTGCGGATCACATGAGAAACTGGTAGATATGCGAAAGAGACTTCAGCGACTTCTGGCACTCCGGAGATAACCTGCTGGACCTAGAATGTTCTGGGGGATGCAGGTGGCCAGGTTCCAACTGCAATGAGTAAGAATCAGAGCCGGGAACGTGGGTGATATTTCCGTACCTGAAGGATGTCAACGTATTATCTCGGAGTTGTTTGCACAAGTCGAAAAATCGGCCCTCGTCGTATTCATGTTCCCAATTGATGTCAAAATCTTCTTCCTCTTCCTCTGATGAATCCACAGTCCAAGCATGATGATAACAAGACACTCCCAACAGGTCGCGCGATCTCGGATCTACCGTCAATTCTCTGACAGATGCGAGCCCAAAGCTACATTTCCAATTCGCCCGAATTCCTCGAAAACTTTTCACAGTCCGTGGTTCTTGGGTTGCACCCCTTTTTGCAACGGATGACAACTTTCTGGTACAGCTGTGGAGTTGCTACCTCGTGTAATCACCTGGACACCTCGCAGAGAGACTTTAGATCTTTCGGGACAAGCTGGATCGGGGTGAGTTTTGAACTTCTTCAACAGCAGCTTCCAAGCTTACTTTTTGGACGATCAGTGTCAAAATCTCCGAGGATAGATCATTCAGCCCAATGCGGTCTTTTGTACCCATGGTTATTTTTTGAGGTATGGAATGATTGGCCCGAGAAACAACTGGGCAAGAGGGAAGTGTCGAAGTGGAACTCCTAAGGCAACGGTCAAGACTGGTCTTGTCGCATGATTGTGCGGGTGCGTCCTCGGTGTCGGAGCAATGAAGGCCACATTTTTGGTTGTTCGCGGGGAAGTGGAGCGGGAAGAAGCGCGGGCCACTCCTTACTGTACCACTGGAAGCAGAGGCGGAGGGAAATTGAACAAACTTCCAAGGCTTCCAGCTTTGCCGCCTTTGGGAAAGACCGGGGAAAGACCGATATCCACTGTCAGCGTCTTGCATGATGCTATGACAGACGCTCCAGCCCATTCAAGCTTGACAACATTTCGATTTCCTTATTTTTAGACAGGTTTGCGCCATTGCGGACGCGTTGTGTTACGCTGTGCTGTATGTCGTTGTCCCCTTTGACCCGTTGATGATTGGTCGGATAACAACGTCGTCGATTTCTAGTTCCGGCCACCGATCCGTATAGCCCATCTCGGCCTCGGTGCTCAGCATCGGTGTCTAGTCGTACAGAATTTCGTACAGTGAACTAGCCCTCATGGATCAAACGGATACAGGCATCAGGTACATCTGGCATCCGTGTCTTCCCCGCGGAGTACTGTCGGCTGTGTCGGGGAGTAAGTCAAGTTTCAATGGTTGTCAACAGCAGAGGTGGAAGGTGAGTGATGAGCATTTTAGCGGTTTGGCGAGGCTTCAAAATTCCATTCTGAAGATTGGCTACCTCTCCACAGTATGCAAATTCTTGAGTGACGGGGTTTCTTCCTGCAAAGAAAGGCCAATTCTATGCGGGTTTCACACCGAAAAAGGGTAATATGACGAGGTCCAAAGCAATCTATACACTTTATCATAACCATGGCTCAATCTGCTCAAGAATGGTCCGCTATACTTTTGCTCTAAGGGGTCCTCCTAAGAATGAATCGTCCGATATTGTGCTTGAGGAGAAAAGCATAGACATTTACAATGAAGAGCAACTGTCTGAACACTTTCTGTGCGAAATCAACCCATATGGACAGGTAAGTTTCCCCCCTGCTCCCCTCTCTCTCAGATCTGCTTGGGTGGATCGATTCTGAAGGCTACAAAGGTACCTGTGCTCGCCTCTCCTGTGCTGGAGAAGACGATCCCCGACAGTCTACAGATAACACATCACATTGCCAGCCTATATCCATCGTTAGTTCCAGACTCGCATGAGGAGCAAATATCGAGTCTCTTGTCTGACTTGCATTCTCTCAACTACTTCTCACTCTCCTTCTCCGGCAAGGAGCACGTCGCTCACGGTTTCAAAACCGCTGTCCAACAACGACTCAATGGCAACATCAACGACCGATACCGAACGGCGTTGAACTTCAAATTAGACGTGTAAGGAAAACAGATTCTGTCATTTAAACAGTTGTGCGCATCTAACATAGGGGAAAAGGATCGAACGGCAGAAAATTGCAGGTCTCGACCCCAGAACGGTTGAGGAGATGAATCAGCGTGCAAAAGCTCTCATGCAACAGTTCGACTCCCTTCTCGCAGAATCGACTCCAAAAGAAAGAGACAACCTTTCCCACCATGTCACATGGCTATTTGGGCTGCCCAGACCCACGGCTTTGGACGCACATCTAATCGTATTCATCGATAGGATGCTTAAAGTTGGGAGAGAGGAGGTGGTTCCTGAAAGGCTGAAGAGCTATGCACAGCGAGCAATGGGTCAGAACGAATGGAAAACCCTTGGACCCTGACGAATTCTAGCTTATACCACCGTAATCTTAGTCTTCACACGAGCCCTCCAATGTCTGTTCATCCAGGCTCAGTTCATTCATTGTCTGTTAATCTTATTAGAAAAGAAAGCATCCCACTTTCTGCAGAGCGGCAGCCAAAGCTCAAATCCATCTTTAAATGCCGTTGCCTCTTTGATAAGTCCAGCCCGCCATCCTGCGGTATCCTTGTCAACTGTTCACAGCAGTGAAAAGTCGCTTCCTGTGACGACTTAACACATTTTTCTAAAAGTCTCAAGGGCGGACGTAGTTGAAAGGTTGAATGCACGGCCAATGTTCCTTTTTCCCGAAAACCCTAATGCATAAGTGCCTTGCTAGACCCTCTGGGCCCACCAGGGAAAGCAAGGCCCGAAGAGTCGAGCGAAGGATAGAATGAGGCAGAAACCTCTGTAGAGGCATGGAGCGGCACAATACCTGCATCATATTGTGGGTGCGTTTGAAATTATCATCTATCATTTCTGTATGGATGAGGCAATTCTTTACCCGGTCAGGAGGAACTATTCGATATAAAGGGGCACCGTGCTCCCCGAGGGCACCACAGCCCTCCAGGCGTCTCCCTCTCTAAAGTCCATGAGATACTTGAGGAGCCTCGGCGAGATGAGATGAGTCCTGCCCTTGTCATAGAGCCGGGAGAGGAAGCAAAGAACGTGTGCATCGAGGGCGGTTGGTTCTTCGCCGTAGATGTACTTGTTGTCTTTCCCATCTGCGTGCTTGGCCATCAACGCCTCTATTTGGGCGTTGAATGTGCGTGAACGCTCCTCGTTCGCAGCGACCTGCTCTGGAAGAATATTCAGCTCCATCGCCTGGCGTCTGTTTCGGGTGCAGATCAATGTCAGCAAAGTCCCCAGGCAAAAGGATGTAAGTAAAGTTGCTCACTGGTCCAGTTTGTACTCCAAGGCTCGTCTATATCGATCAGAAATCCCTGGCTGGGCAAGCTTAGCGCGAAGGGATTTCTGGAGAACTTCGCCCCGGTGGGGCAAGCCGCCAAAGGTCAGGGCGTAGAAATTGATCTGGTGGAGAGCGTCGAGGAGACTCTCGATCTCTTCAGCATACTCATCGGGCCAAAGCCGTGGGTAGTGTTCAGCAAAGTAGCGCGTGATGTCGACACTCTCCGGCATTGGCTTTGGAAGCAGCTGGGGATGTGCGAGAACAGGCACCTAGGGACCCAGCTCAGTCTTGATGGCGACTGTATATCCATCCACAAGTGATACATACGTAGCCTTCAGGATTGATGTCGCAGAGGAACTCCTCCTCGATCTGCTCGGCCCTGTCCCCGATATCCACCTCCTGCTCTTTCATCTGCATACCCTTGCCGTCTTTGGGCGGCCCACGCAAGGCGAAAGTGACACGTACCATGATCGAGCATATAGAATGACTCGCATAGTACAGAGTGTAAGGTACTTCGCCCATTTCTGCAGTATGTACTTGGCGGAACTTGAGAGCTATTCACACAGATCTCGGTGTTCGCAGCTCAGGAGGCTCAGCTCATCCACCTGAGATCAAATGTGTCCTCTTTACCGAAATCGTCTTATTGCTTTGTTTGATGCTGACGGCGGCATTTTGAACGACTTATGAGGGAGTGCTAGCCGACGTTCCCCCTGCGACTCGCACAGGGGTGCGATCGTTCGTACGGCCTCAGAGATTTGAGGTCGCGAGACTAGACACCGGCGCTCGCTTGCGGGGTCTCCGCGCCTCCGCCCTCTCCGCCTCCGTGACAGAAACGCGGAAATCTCGGCAGAATGCCTGTCATTTTCTAGTTCCCATACTCCGTATCTCGTAGCAAACTGATCCAATGGGCCCCAGGAGGAATTAAAAACGCCAGCTATTTCAATCTCACTGACAGCACCCATGTATCACTCCGGCAATCTTGTCTTGTATGACAGCTCACTTCCAGAAAACCGCTGGCAGCTTCCAAACGAGCCACCATGACGATGCTTCCAGATGGCTCTCCATGGGGCCTATTCTGGCTTCTACCTCTTGTGTGCGCGACATCAGTGCTTGTATTTGTGAGAAATCCCCGGTGCCTATGTATAAACGGCGTGCTGACGTCAACCAGGCTTTGGGATTGGTGATATATCGACTATTTTTCCATGCCCTCTCGAAATACCCCGGACCTTTTCTTGCAAAGATCACTGGGCTTCACCCTGCATATCATGCACTGATTGGCGACCGACACCTGTATGTCTACAAGCAGCATCAGAAATACGGTAAAGACACCAAACTTGGGTCTCATCACCCCTAGCCCATTGACTGACCACTGGTTGCTCAAGGAGATGTCGTCCGGGTAGCTCCAAATATTGTGTCCATCAACAAAGCGGAGGCACTCAGAGGTAAGGGTCGTCTTCGCACTATGAGAGTAATGCAGGGAGAAGCTCACAAGTGAAAGATATCTACGGAGTCAATCGAAATGTCCAGAAGGGGTTTGTCTATGATGTTGTCACCCATCACGCCGGATTTCCGAGCACGTTCTCTTCCACGGATAGGGCGATGCACGCTCGAAAGCGTCGAGCCCTAGCGCCAGGATTCACTGATGCGGCGCTTCGAGACATGGAAGACTTTGTCCTCAATCACGTCCGCGCCTTCATCCAGAAGATAGGCCCCTCAGACGGAGAGTCTGCACGGGTGGTGGACATGGGTCTGTGGTGCAACTATCTGACGTTCGACGTAATGGCGGACGTTGCCTTTGGAAAGGACTTTGGCATGCTCGAGCGCAAGGAGCTTCGCGACATTCCACATTTGGTGAATGCGGCAGGCCACCGATCATTGATCGTCAGTGACGTCTACCCCCAAATTCTTCACTCAATGTCTCAATCAACAGGCTAATTTATGAATCAATCAGAGTGGCTCCAGTCAATTGATCTTTCGCTTAGGGCTGGATAAATATATGGCGAGGGATATTGTGAAGAACGCCCCCAAGCTCATCAGATTCGTCCGACAGACTTTGACAGAGAGGATTGCCAGCAAATCCGAGCGCAAGGATTTTGTCCATTATATGCTCAAGGCTCAAGAGTCTGGCAAAGGGTATGAGACTAAAGAACTCATGGCCGATTGTCGTTCCATGGTGATTGCTGGTGAGTGAACAAAAGGCAACACTGTTGTCCACGCCTTACACAATGATTTCTGAGACAGGCTCCGACACTACGGCGACCCAGATGGCGGCCAATTTCTACCACCTCACGCGAAACCCTGAGACCATGAAGAGACTCACGGCAGAGATTCGTTCCACGTTCTCCAAGGTGGAAGAGATCCAACTTGGAAAGGCTTTGGAAAACTGTGAATATCTCAAAGCCGTCGTTGAAGAGACGTTGCGAATGAACCCAAGCTTGCCGGGCTATTTGCCGCGTCAAGTCCTCCCAGGAGGAATCGATATTGACGGCGAATACTATCCCCCAGGAGTAGAGGTGGCGGTCACCACTTGGGCTCTGCACCATGACCCCCGATACTTCGACCAGCCACATCAACACAATCCTAGTCGATGGCTCGCCGCCGAAAGCGGGGAGGACAACGTTAAGCGAGCCATGAGTGCTTTCGCTCCTTTTTCGTATGGGTCTCGGATCTGCATAGGTCGGAGATTGGCTTATATTGAGATCTGGGTCACTCTTGCCCGGACCGTGTTCTTGTATGACTTCAAGTACATCAGTGGAGGAAGGGAGGACTCCCTTGGGTCCGAATGCGACGAATACAGGATGTTGGACAATTTTTCCGCTGCTCGTGACGGACCACTCATCGAAGTCAGACGGAGACAGGATTGTGATCTTGTGATCTAGGCTGACTATCTTGGGCAAAAGACGAGAGTGGCAAGCGGAGCGTTGATCGAGTTCGGGCGTGCTGGAACTGGGACTGGCCAAGACGGGGTTTTGCTGATGGCCTCAATATGCGCTGAATCCTTGCACAGCACGAAAGACACTGCAAGATGGCATCACTCGCGGATGTAGACTACAAGGGACGATCATTGTATCGCCAGAATAAACGCGGAAACGAGAAGAGCAGGAAGTCCAGAAGCCTTGCCTGACTGGGATCAGCTGGTAGCGGACATCAAACAACCAAGCGAGCGCTTGACAGATGGTGATCCGTCCTGAGACCCATTATTTCAACTGGTGATTGACTGAAGACTCTCTGCGGGGAAGATCCTCTTCTACCACCTCCCGGGCTCCTTATCACCGGCTAAGGTGCCGGCTAATTCCGGCTGCATCGGCTGTGAGATGGGACTATGGGCCTTCTCCATCATATCAAGTCATGCTCCCGCTGCTCCCCTTTGGTTGATCACATTTCGGATTTGTGACCTCCGTCTAGGCGAGCCACTGAGCTGGTGCAGTATTTCTATACCTGCAGCTTCTCCAGCTTCTCCAGACGTAGACCCGGAGAAGCAAGATGTGGGGGAGGGAAGAGACTATGGCCAAGTTGCAGAGGATATAACAACCGCCATTGCTGTCTTGATCTCATGGCTGATGTCTCAACCTCAGGTTCTAGACTGCACAGTTCTCCCCTTTCCCCTGGCCCAGCTCTGCTTGCCGAGTACAGAGTATTCCTGCTCCTTCTTACATCTCTCAGCCAAGCACCTTTGCTTGGACACTTGCCTCAAACAACCTGTCTTTGATACAACTTGTTCAGCACCATGGCGGACAAGGCACCCTACCTTGGCCTGCGAGGCAAGCGCCTGACAACAGCCCTGATTGCAATGGTCGTCTGCCCCGCTTATATTCTAATCGGGTACAACAATGCAGCCGCCGGTGGTTTGTTGACGCTACCGTCCTTTGTTGAGACCTTCCCGAGGATCGATACTGTCAATACGACTGGCAAACAGCAAGCAGATAATGCAAGGATTCAAGGTAGACTTCTGCCCTTTCTGTTCTCTATTGATATCCCGTCAACGTCGTTTCCACCAGCGCTACCAACACCGCCAGTTCTTTCTTGCAGAGTAACATACAGGAGGCTAATAGGTTACGACGTTTTTAGGTACCGTCGTGGCATTGTACACTGTCGGTTGCATGTTCGGCTCTCTTCTATGTCTGAAGCTCGGCGATAAGCTGGGCCGCCTGCGCACTATCATGATAGGCGCCGTCATCGAGGTCGTTGGCGCCACCATCATGTGTTCCTCTTTCACTCTGGGCCAACTCATTGTCAGCCGTGTCATCCTTGGCTTCGGTTTTGGCGCCATCAGCGCCACGGTTCCCGTTTGGCAGTCAGAGTGCTCTCCCGCCGAACACCGTGGAGCGCTGGTCGTGCTTGAGGGGATGTTTGCGAGCTGTGGCCTGGCGCTCAGTCAATGGGTCGAATTGGGATTCTTTTTCGCGCCGGGAAGCGTGAGCTGGCGGTTCCCCTGGGCATTTCCTATTGTGCTCGCCGTTTGGATTCTCACGGCTTGTATGTTCCTACCTGACTCCCCGCGATGGCTGGTCAAGAAGGGCCGCATTGCCGAAGCGACAGTCATCCTCGCCATCCTCGAGGACCTGCCGGAGGACTCACCTGAGATTCAGATCTCTATCCAGGAGATGCAGAAGTCACTCTCGGAAATGGACAAAGGCAGCCTTCTAGGTCTTTTCCGCAACAAGGGCGACCGGCTGCTCAATCGCACCTTCTTAGCATGTTTCAGCACCTTTTCTCAACAGATAAACGGCGCCGGCGTGATCGGGTTTTATACGACCACCATTTTTGAACAATATGTCGGTCTCTCAGCACTTACCTCCCGCATTCTATCGGGCTCTGTGTACACGTGGCAAATCCTCTGCTCTTTCTTGACCATCTACACCGTCGATCGCTTCGGCCGCCGCCCACTCATGCTTCTCGGTGCCGCAGGCATGGGTGCTACGTTCATCATCCTTGTCGGAACTGTCGGACACGCCGCAGATTCACAAGCATGCGCTATCGTGTCAGCCATGTGTGTCTTTTTGTTTGGATTCTTCTTCACTGTTGGGGCGCTGGGGGTGAATTATCTCTACGGCACAGAGGTCGCTCCCTTGGCATACCGCGTGCCAATTTACAGTCTGACCTCGACAACGCTGTGGAGTATCAACTTTCTCGTGGTGGAGATTACGCCCATTGGGTTTACGAACTTGGGGAACAGGTTCTTCATTATCTTTGCCGTTACTAACCTGTGCCTCATTCTCCCTGGTAAGTGCCCCCTCTTCCCTTCCGGTGTCCAGTCCAACGAGGTCAAAGGCGCTTACGACTGACTTGAATCGTGTACTTAGTGGTGTACTTCTTCTTCCCTGAAACTCGCAGGCATTCACTCGAGGCCATCGACGCCGTTTTCAAGGGCGCCAGCAACCCCTTCGATGTTGTCCGCCGTGCTAAGAACCTCCCCTCTGATGTCGTGCGACGTGATGATGCAATCCATATGGTTGAAGCTGGAAAATCGGATCAGGTGAATGCGTCGTCGGAGGGGCAGGAGTCACAAAATGAGAAGACTGTTTATCAAATGGTCGAGAAAGTGGCATAAACCTCTGCTTGGACACTAAACAGCAACTGGGGGTCTACAAGTGAGGGGAGGAAATTCAGCTGGCGTTGTGAGCACATTTCATGGCAATGTGAGGCTTGTAGGAGGCATCTATTGAGACCATGATATATATTCCGAGCTGGTGTGAGTGCGCAATGATAGTTTTCAGCATCACGGTCACCTGCGTGTTGCATATTGGTTTCATACAACTGACCCTTCTTCCCGAGTCTACCCCCAGCTAGTCATATAAGTATATAGAAGTACCTGCAGCGGTCAAGCCTTGTCGACCCAACTTGACCATTCCTTAGCGTTGCATATCTATGTCCAACTCCCTAGCGCCAGAAAGACCTACAACTATGTCCAAGACCACGTCTAAGGAGTCATCGCGCAGAAGGAGGATTGAACATTTAGCAGCGGCAAGTGGCCGAGAACGATGTACTGACGAAACATCAAATCTGATGTGTTGGAGAAAGCGGCCGGCAATGCTGTGTCACAAGGCAGTTCGCAACTGAGACCTCCGTGCCTCAGGCAGTGATCGTCCGTTTAGCGCCACAAGATGGCAACGTTGGTCGGAGGTGTACAACTCCGTCTTCGCATCTTCCGACCACCATCCCCATCTCCCCAACGTCCCACGTCCCATACACTTTGGACCGCGGGTGCTAGCGGACATTTAAGATGCGGGCTAGACGGGGAAATTTCGAAACCGAGGGGGTGATGGGGCAAGAGCATGTCCCTCTTCCGCCTGACGAGGGAGATGGAGTTAAGCATGCATACGTCCTCGAGACAGTGCGACTGAATATGGAAGTATCTGCGGACATCCAATGCTTATAACTACTTCTATCGCCAAGAGGAGATTCCCGGGATATTTCAGTTTCAGAACGTCTTACTTAGCCAGAGTACTCTCTCGCGCCCATTATTGAGCATTGCCAGGTTTGCAGAGTCTAGAAGGAAGCGGACAGGCAGGCAAACAGACAGCAGCATCCGACCAAGCACAACAATGGCTCCTCTAATGGATATCGAATCCGACACGACTTTCTCCAGCGGACTTGTGGACATAAAGCAAGCTGTGGCCGCTATCAATGAAGTGCAAGTAGCCAACGGCTTTTCCGACCAGGTTGACGGGCACGCAAACGGAAATCCTGAACCCATCCCCCCGCTCTCCACCAAGATGATGGAAACTCCGTACGTTGTGAGGGAGGTGCCCATGGGCACGAGAAAGCCCATCCGCGTCGTGTGCCTTGGGGCAGGCTACTCGGGCGTAATGATGAGTATTGTCTATGCGCAGCGGATGACACAGATGGACGTGGAATTCTGCATGTATGAGAAGAATGCCGATATAGGCGGGACATGGTTGGAGAACAGGTATGTCTGTCCTCCCTCCTTCAGCCTACCTTGGCCTCACGATGCTACTATCCTCTTCGCTCTTGTTGGACTGGCGTGTAGTGAGATTGCAGATTTTTAACGTTGTGCATATAGGTACCCGGGCTGCCAATGCGACATTCCCGCACATAACTACTCCTATTCTTTCGAACCCAACCCCAACTGGCCAGGCTACTACGCCACCTCACGGCAGATTCACGACTACATGAAGCATGTCATCGAGAAGTACGACGTCGCTAAATACATCCACACCGCGCATGAGATCCTCAGCGCTGTCTGGAACTCGCATCAAGGCCGCTGGGATCTCAGGGTGAGAAAACCCAGTGGAGAGGAATTCGACGATCACTGCGAGATATTCATCAACGCTGGGGGTCTGCTCAAGTAGGTTTTCGGAATCTCACCTCTCCGAACGAAGGGGCGAGATGGCATTGTCCCGGTCCTGATATGCCTATGACTGACACGCCGACACAGCAATTGGAAGTGGCCGAACATCCCCGGGATTGGCGACTTTGAAGGGAAACTGATGCACTCGGCTGGCTGGGACGAGTCGTACGATCTTACAGGCAAGCGCGTTGCAGTCATTGGCATCGGATCATCGGGGATACAAATTGTGCCTCAGATCGTAAAAGGTACGGTAACCAACTGTCATGGGCCCTAATATGATTACAACCCCAGAACATGGCGTGAGTACTGATGGCAAACTAACGGTGTATATCTACAGTTGTGGACAAGATGACCCTCTTCATCCGCTCCAAGACATGGATCTCGCCCGGCCCGGGCATCAACGAGCCTGTCGCCGACGACCCTAAAATGGACGAACACTATCACTACACGGCCGATGAGATCGAACGCTTCAACCACGACCCGGCATATCTCCAACAGCACCGACGCAACCTGGCGGACCGACGAGCCCAAATCTTCGACCGCGCCATCAAGACCAGCGACCTGCAAGCCAAAGCGCAAGTGGTGTTCGCGGCCGCGATGAAGGCGCGGCTCGGCGAGACCGAGAAAGGGCGCCGCATCGCTGAGATGCTGATCCCGGATTTCCCCATCGGCTGCCGGCGACAGACCCCCGGGATTGGCTTCCTCGAGAGTCTCGTGCGGCCCAACGTCGATGTCATCCAGGACGGTATTGTCAGGGTCACCAAGCAGGGCATCTTGTGCAGGGACGGCGAGGAGAGGAAATTCGACGCCATCATCTGCGCCACGGGGTTTGACACGTCCTTCAAACCTCGCATCCCGATCGTCGGCCAGGACGGGATCGATCTGCGGCAGAAGTGGGAGCAGGAGGAGCCCGAGGCGTACTTTGGCATTGCGGTGCCTGGGTTCCCGAACTATTTCTGTAAGACATTTCTTCCCTTTCTTTCCCTTCCCCAACCTGACTAACTTCCCACAAAAAAGCCTTCCTCGGCCCCAACAGCCCCATCTCCAACGGCACGCTCGTCGGCGGCCTGCAAACCACCGCGGCGTACATCTACAAGGCCATCAACAAGCTCCAGACACAGGGCATCAAATCCCTGACGATCAAGCCGGACGTCGTGCGCGAGTTCAACGTCCACTCACAGACCTGGCTGCAGCGCAGCGTCTGGACCGCCCCCTGCGCCAGCTGGTACAAGCGCGGGACGCGCGACGGGCGCGTCGTCGCCATCTACGCGGGGACAAGCTACCACTTTATGGAGGCGCTGCGGGACCCGCGCTGGGAGGACTACGAGTACGAATACGATTGCGATGCCGGTGGGCAGGGAGGGCGGAACAGGTTCGCGTATCTCGGCAATGGGCATACCGTGGGCGAGGAGCGCGGGGAGAACATGGCTAGGATCCAGACGTTGGATTTTGACGAGTTTTGGGACATGGTGGCGTAGTTTCGCGCGAGAGGGATAGAAGAGGGTCGAAAAAGGGATCCGTAAAGGGGAGGCAAGGGACACATCTGGAGTTTTATGTGCAGTGTGTCTTTGGAATTTAAGAGCGGTTTTTCTTCATCTCAGTTCGTCTCGATTGATGACTTGCACACCTGCTCGAAGTCATCCATCTCCATTCCTCTCCTTTTGTGTGTATATGTCTGTTTGTGTGTCCCATCACTCAGCGACGGTCGCAGCCCATGGGACGCCGTCGTCGCCCCCGTTCTCGAACGTGATCGTCGGACCCTGGTAATGCTTCCTCGCATGGGCGAACCAGTTCGCAATGCCGAGCAGCAGGGCAATACCCAGGATGACACATGTGTAGTCTGATTTCCCCGAAAGGAGAAAGAAAGAAATAGAGTCGTCAGTGAAGTTCTCAATCATCGTGCTTCAAAAGAGACAAAAAGAAAAGGGAACCTGGGCAGCAGGAGGGGAGGAACGATCGCAGATATGAATATATGTTGCTGATGTCTAATCTCGGGTCTCAGGAATGCGAGGTACTCACTCATACTCGCGGCCGAAGTAGGCAGAAAGGCCGGGAAATTGAAGAAGACGGTCGTGACGACGGTGAAGGCGACCACGATGACGTTCGCGATCCACCCCACCACCGACGGCGGCGCGAAGGAGCGTGTCCGAGGCAGGTATTTTGGCCCTCGTCGTCGGTGGAGGAGGAGCGCGACGGGGATGAGGAAGGAGATCTCTTGAAGCACGATCGAGGAGCCGATCAATGCGTTGAAGGCTGCGATAGCGATACGGGATCGAATTGCCCTACGTTGTTAGCCACAGGTGGAGAGGGTAACGAGGGGGATGACATCTAGAATAACAAGGAATGGGAATCTGCTCGGAAAAGGTCAGTACGCACCCGTGGTCGAGGCGACGAACACGCAGCCGCACACGACGAGTATCCCGTAGGTCAGGAACAGGGCGTATACCGGTACCTGCAGAGTCGGGTGGATGCTGGACAGCCGGGAGGAAAACACCAGGCCGTTGTCGCGGGCAAAGGACCAGGCGAGACGCGACGACGTCTCCTGAATGGCGTTGAGGATGAAGACCGACATGACGATGGCGACGATGATAAATGCCGCGGCAATGGCAGTGGAGCGAAACCCTTGTCTTAGCACCACCCACGGGACGTATCTGTTTTTTCCCGGGTTGTTAGTGATAAAAAATTTGTCCTCATTGATCAACCGGGGCTGGTTCTCACTCCGTAGTGGTCATGATGGCCTCAATATCGGTCAAAGCATAGAGTTGGGCCACAGTATATGCGAAAGCCGTGGTGAATCCGATGAGCACCGCGGTGATCATGGCCAAGGGAACTGTTCGACTGGGTTCCTTGCACTCCTCGGCAATGTGCATCGAGGCGTCCAGGCCGATGTACATGAAACAGGAGGTGGACAGGCCGGTGATGAAGCAAACCCCGTCGGACCAGCCCGTGTAGTTGATGAAGGTGGCCCAGACAAAGCTTGACGGCGCCTTTGGCGACGCCCGCACCAGCAGGGCGACGAAGCCGGCCAGAAACAAGCTCAGTGTGAGAGCGACTTGTGTTTGCAAAATTTAGCCTCAGGACACCGCGACGAGGCGAACAAAACATGGATGTGATGTGTGACACACTTACATCCAATATTGTGAGTCCACGGGGCCTTTTTCAGCAGGAACAGATTGTTGAAGAGGACAAAAAGAGCCATGGCCTGGTAGATGAGAAAGACGTGCCACTGTTTGGTCTCAAATCCAGGGTTCAGAGCAGCCACCAGTGCCATGATCTGCTGGGCTGGGATGATGGTCACAGCCGCACCGATAGCGATCCAGGAGAAGATGGACAGCAAGCCGCAAGCGTAAGAGACGCCCTGTTTGATCTTCTTGGGAGCCAGGATCGACGCGAAATGGTACTGTCCACCCGCGGTTGGATAGACGCTCGCCAATTCCGCCATCGAGATGGCAATGCTGATGTAGGCGATCGAGGAGACGATGATGCTATAGATGAGGGTGGCGGGTCCGCCTTGTAACAGTGCCAGCTGGATGCTGCCTGCAACGCCAGCCCAGCTGTTACAGATCACAAAGGCAAAAGCGACAATGTTCCATTTCGTAAAGTGTGTCTTTGCCGCTGCCGCTGCCGGGGGCTGGCTTCCGATCGTGAGGCTTTGGATGCTTCCATCTCCCACGCTGACGAAACGTTGCAGGTGTTGCTCTATTTGTTGCTGGATCGTTAGTGGATTGAAAAGGTATCCATAATGTTTGAATAGAGCACTGACCACTTGCTAGTACCTTGGGGGTTTTGCTGTCCATGATGTGATGTGAAGAAAGTTGTGCCACAATCCAAGCAGAAGGGCGTGTCGCCTGACATTCGAGGAGCACGTCTGGGAGGGGGTGGGAACGATATAAGAATGATCCACGATAGTTCCAGGGCCTAAACAGCTTCTCACGAGCAGTTGTGTCTACTCATAAAGTGAGCGTCCAACCGCGCTTCGATGTAGGTTTCGTTGTCGGATTCGACCGGCATCAGTGATAGCTGCCCGATACCTGCAGAGTCTGTCGAGTTCGATACCTAGGTGCATATCTGTCGTTCTGTAGCCGGGATTCCCCAATCGTTGCAATCCTCAACCCCGCCTAGTGACTTCATTCGGTCTTGTCCGTTTTCTGGCGCTATCATTGTCAGTATGTCATGCCCTTATCAGCCCAGTCCAACTCCAAGTCCCGACCTTGGGGCTGGACTAGTGTCGATTCGGCACGCCAATGGTCTGTCCATCTTCCTTATATCGCCAATATGCTTCTGTTCCTGCTCAGAAGTCACTAGTCAAAGAAAGGTATTTGCAAAATCGAAGACCGCAGCACTGCATATACGTCGTCCGAGATGTGGAGGTGGAGCTGGGGAACAAACCCGCCGAAGTGCAACTAGAAACACACCGCGCCTAAAAATGATCATCAAGACTCCTAAACGAGATTAGTGCAATGCGGGGTATATAAGCTTCTAGGTCATTGCCCGGATACGAAGTACGGAGTACGAAGTATTACGAGCATTCCCCGATAGACTGATATCGAGTCACACTTCACAGGTTCGCCGATACCTTTCTGACAAGACCCTCCTCCTTTGCCCAAGCAATGACCTCGTCAGCTGCACGGGAACCCGCCCTGAGCGCTCCCTCAAGATACCCTTTCCACTCGAACGCCGTCTCGCCGCCTGCGAAATGGATGTGCTGGAACGGCTGTCGCAGCGCAGCGCCGTACCTCGAGAGCAATCCAGGTCCCATTGCAGACGTGGGCGCACCACCCAGGTAGTCTTCCTCCGACCAGTTGACGTAATTGACCTCGAGCACATCGTCCCTTGCCAGGTGCCCGTGCTCGGCACCCAGCAGCTCAGCAAGATGACCAACTACGGCTTCAATGCGTTGGAGCTCATTCAGCGTCGCCCACTTGGCCGCGACTTCGCCCGCGAGAAACATAGCCAGAGAGTACTGCTTGCGCGTGTCGTCTGAAATGTCCCAAGAGAAACAGATCGGTCCCTTGAAGCTCGAGAACTTGCCCACCAAACCGAGTTCTTTCCACCACGGGCGGCGGTACGTGAGAATCATCTTTGCGTACACCCCAGGCTTGGTGCGCGAGACAAGCGCCCTCTTATCATGGGGCAAGGGAGGCGAGAAGTTGATCAACCCGTAGGTATTGGTCGGAACAGCAATGACCACTTTGCGGCAAAAAATCTTGTCCCCAGTCGCTGTGTGGACAAGCGCACCTGCGGCGGTTTGGTGGATGTTGTCGACCGGGCTGTTGACAAAGATGGATCCAGACTTCATCTCGTCTGCAAGCCCAGTCGCAATAGCCGATGTACCTGCCAGACAAGTAAGCCGAGGAGTCTCTCACGCTGACCCTTGGTCTTTACCTTGTTTGATCTTGAGCGACTGGGCGCCGTCTTCGCCCTCAGTCGCGAGGCTGATAAATCCTCCTCCTGACTTGACGTAATCTAGGAAATAATGCATCCCGATCTCGGCAGGGTCGCGACCAACAAGAGCGCTGGTAAAGAACTTCATCGCAGCCTTACCCACATCATCGCTGAGTCCCTGGCTTTCCGACCACGTGTCCATCGAGACGTCAAGGTTCGTGGGGAACTCATTGATCTTGCGGATGTCAATGTTCTGGATTCCCCCTTCGAGTACCTCGTACAACGCCATGTTGAACTGATTGACCTGTTCGGCTTCGGACTAGATCACGAATCGATCAGCAAATACGCGCTTCCCCAACATCGATCGGACCATGACTTACAGAACCAGGGCTGGCTCTCACAACTGTACCGTCCTGGAACTGCCAGACTTCGTCTCCCTCGGTATATTGATCCACAATGTCCAGACCAAGCCGTTTGGCCGTGGCGTACACTTTCGGCTGTGTCTTTTTGTTGATCCAGGTCGCGCCGAGCTCGACGATGCCCGGTCCGCTTTGAAGCTGCTGCGACCGGCTTCGACCACCAATGCGATGCTTCGCTTCCAGGAGCACGCAGCTCAATCCAGCCTTTTGGATATCCCAAGCTGCCTGTACACCGCTGAAGCCGCCTCCAACAACTACCACATCGACCTTTGACGGAGCTACTGGCCGATCAAAGGAGCGACTGGAGGGTCCTGCGTATCGCGAGGCATGTCCTCCAGCCGCCGCCGCCACCACCTCGATCTCCAGTTTGGCTCCTGGGATGGCCAGTTTCGTGACAGGAATTAGAGTCGTGAGAGGACGACGGGTCGTGCCGTCTTCGTCTGTCATGAAGTCGAGAAACAATTTGATGAACGTCTCGCCTTGCTCGAGGGACCAGTCGACAACGTAGAAGGTGACTTTGATCACATCTCGAGCAGACGCGCCGGAGTTTTCCAGTGCCTGCTGGAGGTTCGTGTATACCAGTTTGGCCTGCTCCTCCAACGAGTCCGGAAAGCTGCCATCTGGTCGCTGGGCAATGATTCCGGACGTGAAGACCAAGCGGTTGGACTGTGACAGACTGACAGCGTGGGAGTAGAAGCCCGGGTCAGGCATTCCGGGGCCGTCACAGAACCTGACCTCGGGTCTATCGTCACGAGGCGCCATCTTCTGAGCTTGCTTTGAATTATCCCCAATATGTCCCAAATGGACGGAAGGCTCGACAAATGTAGTTTTGATAAATTTGTCGGTTGAAATGAGATCGAGAATCCGTTCCACAGTAGAGGCTGGAGATGTCGAAGCAAAATCACCATATTTATATCCCCCATTTGCAGGACGGAACAAGCTTATAGGGTTCCAGACAGCGACACCTTGAGAAAGTCGACGAAGAGGAACACGAGATACGGCCCAAACGTAGAAGTCTGAGCTGGGATACTGGAGCCTTGTTCAATTATCCTCTTGCTTCTGTGGGCCAAAATGTTGGCCACAGGGTAGATAGTCACAATGCTTGCGGTCGTGCGTAAGGAAGCCCAGACAAGTGGACATGAATGGTTACAGTCTGATCAAGATATTAGGCGGCCTCGGGTTGGTGTGCACCGCGGCTAAAAGAACAAGTTGTGCTGTGGATACATAAGCTTCCAACCCTATCTTTGCGCGGCACGCCATGGCCAACATTAAATAAGACGAACCGCGATCCGCGCTCTTTCAAAATCCTTGGATCTCTTCCGACCTCACACCGCGCTTGATTCTTACAAATGAGTCTAAGATTGCGAAGACCGTCGTGGGGAAGAAGAACCGAGTCGCTCACGCATCGCTAGGGCGACTAGGCACACTTATCGATCTCAGGCGGGCCAAAAAATGGGTTCCTCGCAAAGACGCGACACGTCGGCCTACATTCGCACCAAGACGGGGTGTCTGACCTGCCGGGTCCGAAAGAAGAAGTGTGACGAGATCCGACCAATCTGCGCTGGCTGCGCTCGCAACTTCATCGACTGCCAATGGCCAGTCCCACCGGACCCGGACAAGGGCTCTAAGAGGGCAAAGTCGAAATCGGGGCTCGTGAGGTGCAAGGGGAGGCAAGCTGCGCAAACGAGCACGAGGACCAGTGCAGGGACACAAGATGTTGCGAGTCAAGCAGGGGAAATCACGTTTGTCTTTGATAGACATCCACCAAAGTCGCCAGCACACAAGCCTTCGCCTTGTGCAACTGTCGTCGTTGACGTCGAACGGCAGGACGATTACGGGGACGAGAGGCCCGACTCCATCATCTGCTGGCAACCGGTGACAGCGTCCTTTCTCAGCTCCAAGCGAGCTCTTCTGCTCAACCCCAGCTCCCTTCTGTTGCTCCAACACTATCTGGAAGCCACATCTACTTTCCTGGTGGCAAAGCCCCTCTCGAACAATCCCTTCATCACAGTCGTCCTGCCATTGGCATATTCGGATGATCTTCTCATGCATGCTGTGTTGGTCTTGAGCGGTACCCATCTCAGTTACAAGAGGCGCGACGACTTGAAGATCCAACTGGCGACTCATCAGCATTATTCGTTGGTTCTGCGAAACCTGCGGTCCTTGTTTGCAGACGAATCTTCTCATGACGACGTTCGCAGAGCACTACGCCTGCTACTGGTATTGGTTGTGCTATGTCATGTTGAGGTATGTGGTCGTTCATATTAGACAGACAACAAGTGCAAGGACTGACGTTGATCTTCAGGCCATCTCTGGTGAACCACATGGTGGTATCTTCCCACACCTGCGAGCAAGCCGTGAACTTGTCCTCAAGCTCCTGCAAGAGCCCCAACGAACACTGCACGACGACACCAAGTTGGTCAAAGGATTTGCACTGGAGGTATACTTTTACCTGGTCTTGGTAAACAGCATCACGCCCTACGGGCGCGACAAAGCCCGTGTGCTCCCGGTCGACACGTTATGCTCTTCGCTGGACTTTCTCAAGGAGTACGAGACCTATGGAGTGTTCTTCAGCTGTGGACACGGTCTCTTCGAGTTGATCTCTCAAGTCTCGATTCTGGCGACGGAGAGACTGACAGACGAAGAATCAGGCGTGAACAGCCCAGACACCCAAGTTGAGAAGGACCGCCTGGTCGACACAATCACCCGATGGGAGTCACCTCCGGTGGCGCCCGAGATGGCGGAGTGGCAAGCGGAACATGTGTGGACTGGAGAGATCTACCGGCACGCGCTCTTGATCTTCATCGAGGCATCCATGTGTGGTTCGGTCGTCAGCAACCCCAAGGTCATTGTTTCGATCCAGCGGCACATTGACAAGGCACTCCCTCTGATTGTGCCCGTGGCAAAGTCTCCGTTCAACACCATATTGCTCTGGCCGACCATGATCATCGGGTCTTGCCTGATCTGCCAAGGTCAGCGCAGAGACTACATCCGCTTGCTGCGGACGAAACCCACGATCGACATCTCGCAGGTGAATGAGGCAGCAAACCTCCTGGAGTATCTGTGGGAGGACGAAGATGAGCGGGCTTATGGACCTTTCGGTCTGCACTTTGTGATGGAAAAGCGTCGCATCAATTTCAGCATGGCATGACTCAAAGTCGGCAAGATGCACGTCCCGCCCCGTCTTTCTGCGAGTTTGAGGCAAAGTGAGGCGCTCAAGGCAACCATGACCTCACTCTTGTAGGAAGTCGGAGGCCGCCGAGCCAGGCAGTCATTATCCCCAAGGATGATCCCCTTAGTTGGTCCGCAACAGCACGGCCGAAAAGATAAGGACCTTGCAACAAGTGCCGGATGAGTCGGACGCCCAGCCTTATGGCACTGTAGTGTTTAGAAAGCTACCAGCAGCCAGAGCAGCAGGCACAGGCGAACGGCGGTTAGCACCGTGGGGGTCACATGGGACTCGGCTCATGCAGAGCAACTCGTACCCATGCACTTGATAGACATAAACTGGGCGTTAGATGCCAATGCAGCAGCAATACGAGCTTCCCGGATGACTCACTCGTATTCCAGGTGCCCTTGGGCGGAACTTCTTTCTACTGACCTCATCTGTAAGGAGTACTCGATCCTCCGCACGCACATGGGCAAAGGGCTCCCCCACGCTAGAAGGCAACCACATCCTTCCAAAGTCCTTCTGCCTCGGTAAACCGAGATCCATTGAGGCTCTGGCCTGGATTGTTTCTTTTCAAACCAGGCAACCACTCGTATTTTTCGTCTTGGCGGGTGGACGGGGTGGTTCGCTTTGAACTTCGAGACTCCCAACTTCTTGCTTGATACACGGCCAAGGTTGATGCCTGAAGACCACGAGATGTGATTTGTCAAACGCTGCTTCGGCGCTGGCCGATAAGGCTGCCTTGCCCTGCCGTCCGCTGCCCTGCCCGCTATCCTGCCAGATGATGTCGATGGTGCATACTGCACAGTATCAACTGCGAGGTTACACATATAAATCTCCCTCTCTATTTCCTATTGTTCCTCCCGGACCTCTCTTTCTACGATAGATGCCCAGCGAGAGACTGACCATCTATACAAGGACTGTGAATTGCAGCCAAGGCGACTATCAATAGTCTCCTGGCCAGCGAAATACTCTTTCACACCGCTTCAACACCAAGGAAGCTCCAGCCTTCAAATCATATGCCCGCCGATAGCCTAGACAGCCTTATCATATCTTACCACGACTTCCAGCGATACAATGGCCACCACGCCTTGCACACTCTCGAACTCCCTCGGCCCTCTAATGACAACTCGGCCCTCCTTATCGATCCCAAGGCTACTCCTCACGATATCACGCAATGGCTCCGGCAACCAGGCACAAACCCAAACTCGAGCAATGCCACCATGAAGATTTTGCTTATCCAAACCCATAATCAGTCCACTGCCAAACGGCCACCAAGCCTTTTGGCTAATCCGATCCCCCTGTCTCAACAATCGCCCGTATTCCAGACTTCCCAACACCAGAAGCAAGCAGAGTTCGTTATTGACATACTTACCAATCTCGACCTTCCACTGGCGGCATTCGGCGCATATCTGAAAGCCCACCTGACCTTTGTCTGCGTTCCCCCTTTTTCATCACATTCTCCGTCCGATAATGGACCCAGAAACACGTCGACGGCCTATTACTGTTCCGGGACTAGTTGGACGGTCACGTGGTCGCATAACTTGACCACCAATCACACCGCAGCTGTCATGTGGTATCGTGAAGGCGATGGTGACCAACGAAAGAACGAGGTCCTCACAGACCTTCTTCGTCTGCAAACTCACCTGTCTCATCCCATGCTCCTTGGCTATATCAAGACTAAGGTCTCCTTGAGTTTCACTTTCGACATGTTGGACGACATGAATCGAGAAACCCTCGCTCTCGAACAAGAAATTGGATTCCCGACCTGGAACTGGGTACTTGATCGCGTGGAGCCAGGACGAGGTGTGGGTGAAACGCAAGATCAAGCTGTCGAAGGATTCAATATCCTTTCCGGCAAGCTCACAAATATCCGCTTCCGACTGAAGACATTTCAGCAGCAGATCAAGTTCATTTCGAGGTGTAACAACCAATATCGAAAGTCTCTCGACCGATCTGCGCCGAACTTTCAATCAGCCTGGCGCGAGTGCCAAGAACTCGACCATTTCATGAATGTCATGTGGGATTATACCTTTATCCACCTGTTTGACGCCGATTCACTTGGCGAACGACTTCATAATGCCATGGCCGCTGTCTTTCAGTTGACAACTCAGCGTGATTCCCGTGCCAGTCTTGCAGTTGCTGACATCAATAATGAGCTCGCGTGGCAAGGGAAGAATACCAACAAGGCAATGAGGACTATTGCCTTCGTCTCATTGCTCTTCCTTCCGGGCACATTTGTCGCTTCGTTCTTTGATACTCCGATCTTCAACTTCGCCATGCCACCGAATCACAACCAGATTATCGTACCACTACCTTTCGCGATATACTGGACAGTGAGTATTGTGTTGACCTTGGGTTTAGTAATGGCGTGGATTAGCTATCTTCGACGGAGCAAGGAGATGGATCTGCTTGAACGGGAGATTGAAAGAAAGCAATTCCACGAAAGGATTAGGAGACGGCAACCTGGCGGTCCTGCGGCAATGTTGTTAGAGGGAAGAAACGTCAGCGAGACCAACAAGGCCTTTGAAAGACGATCCACCTGGGAATTCTTGGTGAGGAATAGGCCTCGCGATGGCCACAATGCAAGAGATGGCGCCAGAGGTCAGAGAGTCCAAGAGACCTTGTATGGGATCCCGCTGGGGCATCCACATGCAAATCCAGTGGTGGGCATTGAGTCGATGAAACCGGCCTATCTCAACCCCCGAGGACGTGAGGAACGCGGCTGGCCGTCAGCAGTGTAGCTTGAGCCGTTGATTGAGGATGGGTGAGGAGTTTTCGCTCGGGCAAGGTTTTGGGAATGGCGTTGATTGTGTGTGGTCCTATCTCTTAGAGCATCTGCTGTCCAGGGTACACGATGATATGATAGTATGGATGACGATAGGCAATGATGATGATGATGATGACCATGATACTAGGTAGTCGATGAGGAAAGGCTTTGAAGCAATTTGGGGTTATTCCTGACGTCGTTGAACTGTCTCCGCCAAGCCTTTGCCAAGCCCCTGGCTCTATGAGGAAGTGACGAGGCTGAACGGCTTCATCTACCCCCGTTTTCCTCCACTCCTCCACTCCTCCACCCCCTCCACCTGCCTTCCCCTTCCGCCTCCCGTGTCATTGGTTTTCAGTCCTGGCGTCATGACTTTTCAGCTTCCACCTTTCCCATCCACAAAATGCAGGCACCGCAAGAGTCCTCTCACGCACGGGCCAGCAACCGAAATCCCTATCTTGCCGATCTCATGTTTCCCCTGAAATAGCGAAGCGGGTCATTTTTCGGTATATCCCACGAAGCGAATCACAGTCCACCGTCGTTTAGTCTCAGGCAACCTCAGCTACTCATCCCCCGACCCAGGTAATCTCAATGCCCACGGTAAAGCTCAATCCATTCCTTCCCGAGAGCCAGCTGCCTCTGCGACCCTCGCCATACATCGTCGAGCTAATGTACGCGTCGGCGGCGGTGGCGGCGCGGCCTGCTTCAAGCTTGTGTGTGTCCCGAAATTACGATACATGGTGATGCATGCTCTGGTAATACTTGCTGCATAAAGCCTTGTTACATTTGAATCAACAGGGGCGCATGACAGTGAAATGTTTGCTCCCAGGGAGTTCCACCCAGGCTTTGACCGCTTCCCAGATGGTACCTTGTGTTCTTTGGCTCACACGACCCCCTGCAGCTTCTGCACTTTTCCTGGGACCTGATTGAAACGGCTTCCAGTTCCACAGCATGGGTCCACCTTATCATGACGTTCTGTTGTCCTTTGACATGTTTCGATCCAAAGAAGCGGGGGAGTGCCTTGTTCCCCGGTTAAGCCCCCATGTTCCAATGCACCCAGTCTCTGATCGATCGCCGGGCTCCAAGGCCAGATCGCACTAACATCTCAGATCTGGAGGCTTTCGCCTCACGCGGCGAGGCAATTCCGTCGTCACTACCTGAGAGTTCTTTACTTACACAGTGATCGGTGAACTAACAGCCCGTTCCTGAAGAAACAAGCATTGGCCTAATGGCTGACAATTGAACTCACCGCTTTGTTTCAGATCGAAGATCGATCTGCATGTGGCCAGGCACCAGCAAGGATGAGCCAAGTCAGCACAGACCGACTCTAGAAACAAGGAGAACGATGATTCATCAAGACACGATTTCAGACAACTTCTGCTTTGAGTGAGCTGAAGTCATGACGAGATCGAAGTTGCCAACAGGCACTGTTCATACAGAAGGGCGAAAGAAGGAAGAACAACGAACGAGAAAATCACCGACGTCACCGTAGATGGTGCATTGGGCATGATTCCAGGCCGCAGACCATCGTCAGATCCTCGATTGAGCTGAGAGAGTACGACAGATTGAGGAGACATTTGTCTATATAAACAGTTCTTTCTCCCGGGTCTGAAGCACATTTCTCATCACCCTCAATCATCACCATCGACATCTCCATCAGGAAAACAAAAAGCAATCACAAACCAAACATCCCAATCGAACCCAATTACCATCAAAATGTCTGACTACAAGCCAACCGGTATGATTAGACTCCTATCTGCTACCCACCAATGGAGGAATAGCCCCTCTCTATCTGGGGCCGACCCTATATTTTCTTCCCTTCTCCTTGTCACACCCTCTCTTATCTTCCCCCAATTCATGCACCTACATTATCGTTCCCCTCGACCCTCATATCATCTCGACTTTTAAAAAAAAGAATCATCCAGAGCTAACCCATTCTACTAGAGCACGACGGTCTCCGCAAGGACGGCCAACCCGACCAGCGCGTCCACCAGGAAGGCTTCGCGCACGGCAAAGTCGACCCCGTTGAGGCTGGCAAGAAGGGCGGACAATCCTCGGGCGGCGACTCGTCCAGCAGCTCGGGCGGCAGCGAGAATCCCCAGGGCGCGGCCCACGTCGGCGGCGAGGGTTTGAGGAAGGACGGACAGCCAGACCAGCGTCTGAAGATGAACCAGGACTCCTAAGTGGGAGACCGGATTAAAGGTCGAATGAAAGAGATCATGGATGCAACGAGCAAAACGACGGATCGGGCAGAATCATCTACGTGACCTGACTTTATCAGACCAATTGATCATCCGTCACAAGTGTATACCTGAACTATCAGCCAAGCAAATATAGGTAGACTTGAAAGTTGTATTCAAAAAAATATTTCCTGTTCGAGGTAGCAGTGAATATGGTCTCTTCCCACCCAATAAGAGGTATCAAGTTCCAGTATGGCCTTCTCCGTGCCAGCTGTTTCAACTCACAATATACCATCAACAATAGGCTCGGTCAAGGAGTATTGACGTGGAGAGGAAGATACTTGAATCCGTACCTATTCAAAATAAAACATGTCCAATGAGTGGTGACTGATAAAAGAAGATGTTTGATTGTGATAATAAATTACAAAGTGAATATTTAGTCCTGTCCATTTCGGCCATCTCAAGTCGTATTCCCGAGGCGATTCTCATGTTCGTTCCCCGTAGGTGTCTCATAGTATTATACCTGTACTTCCATCAAGTCTTTCCATAAACATATTCCTTGTAGTCTTTGTCGGCCATTCAGCGCCATTGCTAAAGCTCTCAATTCTATCTTTCATGCATTTTCATCCATCCCGAATATAACGATTGAAACGTTGCCTCCCACGCAACATGCCGGCAGGAAAGGTAGGAATACGCTCAAAGCAATGAAATCAAAATTCAAACACGGATACCGACACAATAGAAATGGAGTCATACATCTAGGTACCGGTGTAGTCCTGAGGAGCTGTGTTCGCAAATACGTAATTTTTGGGCTTTTGTTGAGCAAGTTGTTGAGCAACATGTGCATGTTCCTCTTTTTGGTTTGGGAATTCTTGAATGTAGAACTCCATTTTCTTCTGATCGACATGAGATGCATAGTCCACTTCAGACTTGTTGTCCGAAGGGAGTACAAATTGTTGAAATTGGCCGTTGAGGCCATCACACTGATGCGGAAACCCGAGGGAAGCAATGTGGGTCGCAGGGAATGACGGCATTTCCGGCGACGTCAAGGGGGCGTCCGACCAGCTGCTGTTGGTAAGTGGCCCAGCCGAATAAGGAGGCGTGTAGTCGGTGAATGCCGCGAATTGTGGGGGAGCAGATGCAGGAGGAATGAGAGATTGTTGCGACTGGGCTCTGCTCATGAACGCCGCCATCATCGGTGTCACCGGAGGGGATGCTGTCGCGAGCGAAAGGTTTTGTGGCGGTCGCATGGAATATTGGTTGGACACGTCAATGGGTTGGGCAAAGAACGGGTTCTTTTCCGGATCCATCACATAACCGCTAGAGACGTGGTCAGGCGACAACAACTGTTCTGACAATTCTCCGAGGGGTGTTGTTGCAATTGCTTGCTGGGCCATCAATTGGTTGAAAGCTTCTGCTTCAGCAAAAGTCGAGGCGCACATGGGCGACCTTTGAGCCGAACTGGCTTTCCGTATACCTGCATATCGTGAGTGAAGGCTTTGACCGGCCGATTTGACGTGTCGAACGCCGTGAGGTGCTTGAGGGCTCATGATGCCTTGGCGAAATGTCGGAGAAGCCGATGTCATCGCTCCGTAAGAACGGCTTCGAAGTGAGGCCGACGTCAAAGCTGCGGGTCGAGGTCGCTTTCGGCGCGCGGCGATATCGAGAGGGCCACTTTGCGGAGGACTTATCCCCTCTGAAATCCGTTGGTCTGCCACTAAGTTGGGCGCATCGCTGGCGAGGGCAAAGTGACTGAAATTGGTCGAGAGATCCTCTGTGGCTGATGGACGCCGCGAACCAGGATATGAAGGCATAGTGATACCTGGGGATGGCAGTGCCGTTATGGGACTCTGATGACTGTGCATGCCTTTTGGCGTAGGAAGAGACTCCCGGAAATCCTCAGGTGTTACTACAAAAGAGTCCTGCCCATAGTCCGCTACAGGATCAAGGGTGGTTGGGTCTTGACTGGAATCTTGTTCCGCAACCTCATCGTCGAAGCCAAAATCAAAGGAGGTGTCCTGAAGCATGATCGGAGATGGATATGGCACGGCTGCAGGATGCCGATTTGGCCATGTTGGCAGGCTAGATGTCAACGAAGTCATGTGTGGGTCGTTTAACCGAAGGGGAAGTTGCATAGATATCGGTTGCGTAGGAACTTCTAGAGATGACACAGCAGCAGCTTGTGGCTGAGTCACCTGCTGCACTTGTGCTGCTTTGGCTTGTCCCAGAGCACGTTGTAAAGAGTTCCAACTCGCTTCTTTGGGGTTGTCGACAACCTTGATGGGCGAAGGTGATGTTTGTGCGGTAGAAACTGATGCTGCGGCTGAATTCGTGCTTGATTCCTTCGTGGGCGAAGCGACAGACGATCTGGGAGAGACGGCTTCCCGTGTTGAGACTTCGGCCAAAACGGAGTTTCTCTGCTCTTTCGAGCCAGGCTTGACTGCTGTATGCTGGGCTTCGTATTCTTCTTGTCTCTTCTGCTGCTTGGCTTTTGCACGACGATTCTGAAACCAATTCTACATGACGATTAGCTGACAATCCATGCACATGCAATATAATTCACACATACCCCGACCCGAGTCAGCTTCAAGTTTGTCTGTATAGCCAATTCCCTCTTCAACTGGGAACTGGGCTTATGATTTGCTTGAAAATGGGCTTCCAGGATCTCAGCTTGTTCCTTGGTCAGTCTTGGGCGTGTCGAGATCTCCTGAGCCTCTCCAAACTCATCATGCATCATGCCCGCGTCCGCGAAATCCGCATACTCCACTCCGCTGTAAGGCATGTAGAAATCGTCAACGGGCTGCTGGGCATGGGTCATGAAGGTTTGATACTGGACTTGTGGGTAGATAAACTGTGACTGAGGTTGTGAGGCGAAGGCGAAGGCGTTTTGTTGCATGTAGTCCATTTTGGCTGCTGGGGAGGATTGATAAATTAAGACCTGGTTTCTTGAAGCAGGTTCTCCAGCAGAGAGCCGAAATATGGTCTCCTCGGATTGCAGGGCCGCTGCCTCTTTCCCTCAAATAGCGTTCTTTGCGAACAAAGCAGATCAAGCTAGTGGATGCGTTGTCGTGGGATCAGAATGGTGAGGCAATTAAATTGAGCAGGCATACGGCATATCAATCGGCGAGGAAAGGATCAAATGGCTGGGGTCGAGATATTGATCAGACCTCGAGATCAGGAGCGACGTTGGAGTGGCTGAGAGGGTAAGGAGCGACTGAAGGTGAGAGAGACCGTGAGGTGAGGTTGTCCCACAATATGTTGAAGGGAAGGAACGGATAGGTAGAAGATATGTGCAGGAAGCAACGGGGACGACGTCGTAATCGGTCGTTGGGGTTGAAGCCTGCTGTCAGCGAGAGCGACGCAGTGAGAGTCGAGGTGGTCCAGCAGTGGTACAAGACAGGACGATGGAGCAGTTGATAGATAGGCTCGATAGAAGTAGACCAAGAGGAGCAAGACAAGTGGGCGGACTCGGGGGATTTTTAGATTTAGAGGCGGCGGTCGCGAGGGATCAGGCGAAAGGTACGGACGAGGGTACGTCGCACCCTTTAACGAGGATCCAAGACCGGGGCAGATGGGAAATTTTGAGTCAAGGCGCCGAAGGGGCGTTTTGAAGTTCAATGAGGTGGTGACGGGAGAGTGACACGGAGAAATCGCTGGAGCAATGGAAGAGGATGTCTTGATCGCCCTTGGCCCAGCACACAACAAAGCAAAATGTCTGTGACCATCGAAGAGCGCGCTCCGGATCTTTTGATCAATCGCGATGTGTGGGAGAGGAGAGACTCACTTTCTCGCAGAGCAACAAGAGACAAGCAAGCCAGGTCCCCACTGCAGGGAATCGCAGTGGAGGAGCCAGCAGCACCAGCAGCAGTCAAGCTCTCGTGTAGACGACAGGGGCGTCAGGGGATCCATGAGGCGGAGACGAGCCAGTCAGCCACGGCGGAACCCATGGTGAGTGGAGTTGAAGGCTAGCCTCGACCATCACGGTTGCTGATTGCCCCTACCAGCGTCAAGGTTAAACATCCGGAGAGTTTTGTAGGTGGGAGACTAGAAGTTTTGATGGGAGAGAATAGGCGCTGGGAAGGGGACCAAGAGGTGAACAGAACAGACTTGTGCGCGTAGACAGTAGTCGAGTGCCCTAGGCTGCCCTAAGCTGTAGGTACCTCATACCCTTAGTACCTGACCTCGTAGGCTGCAAAACTGGCCTACGGAACGAAGCGCCCTCGGGAAAAGGGACCAGTCACAACTCACTGAATCGACCACTGAAACCACGTCAGACAAGCAAGCGACTGCACTTTCCCCCTCCCCAATTGCCACCCCTCCTTCGGCTGTTGTTCCTAGCAATTACCTCCTCGCACCTACGAGTATTCTCCGGAGCGCAGTCCACATCCCCAAAACTTACCTTCACACCAAACAGATTGATTCTCGTCACTCCGCGCTTCTGTCTTTGTACCCGTGTTCTTTGCTTTGATTTGCTTTTTCCACTGAGTTCTCGACCTGCGTTGACTTTCGATAGTTGCCGCCTCGTTCCGGGGAATGGGAACGTTGACAGAGATCCCTGGTCTGTCCTGGTCGGCGCCAATGCAGGAACAGTATCGTCAACAAGGGATCCCCATGCTCAGAGTCAGCCAGTGTGCAGCAGCAATTTGAGCCCAAGCTAAGTAATCAGGCTCCACCCGGTCCATTCAGGCGCAGCTCGCTCCTCAAACACCCTGGCCTTTTTCCCGGCCAACTTTTTCACCTGGTCTAACTTGTTCTGCAAAGGTCTCAGCCCCGAGAGCCTCCTGTGCCACAACGAGACACCAAACGAGGAAGGCCGTGGAGGTGCCCTACCACTGACAGAGGGCATACCCGAAACCCTTGCTGAAGAGGCGCCTCGAAGGGAGATGAGCCGAGATGAGATGTGGCCATGCGCAGAATTAAAATCACTGCCGAAAGACAAAAAAGACTCGAGGCACAGTCCTCCCAAGGGTCATTGGATTTCGTCAGACTTCGCCATGATGATTTCGCCTGGACCCGAAAGTTGAACGCGTCCAGAGTCGAGATCTGTCACATGGATGACGTGCCAGTCGCCTGTTGTTAGGGCGTTCGGAACTCTGGCGAAGAGAAGAGGGGAATAACAACAGCCTGGGCGGTCTGGGCGCTCCGAGTCCACAGACTCGATTGACTCTGGATTCTCCGTTGTCTTCTCACGAAGCGAGCCATAACGTGCTGCGAGGCGATATCGATTGCACGCAATCTGGGCGCCTCGTCATGGCCTCACAGCCGTCGAGGACCTTCTCAGACGAAATCCGCAGGCCCTGAAGGCGAGTCGATATTTCTCCAACGCGCCGGACGGAGAGCACCTCTGTTCATCAGCCTCCCCGCAACCGCGAGAGCAACCGCAAGAGCAACCGCGAGAGTAGACATGCAAATCTGCAAATCTTTGGCGATCATCCTTCTCCAAATGGATTGTGATCCTCACCCAAAGATACACAAGCTCCCGTTCCCGAGCCCTTGGATCTTGGCCCATCTTGACTCAAATCGCGTCCCTTGTGCTCCTTTCCCCGTATACCTAGGCCGACATGCATAACACAATCTGTACCTGCAGCTGTGGCGGAGGATCCTGCAGCGACCAAGGCAGCTGAACCCCCAATCCACCTCCTGCACAGGTAAGCCGAAGCCCACTTCCGTCGCCCAGTCAGTGGTCGCCATGTCAAAATCACCCTATCACGCATGTACATCACGAACCACCACCGCTGCACCACTCACACTTGGCCGTTACACGCTCAGGCAGCGAGGTGCACAAATTTTGTCCTTTTACACGTTGTTTTCGAGACGCGCGACAAAAGACAGCTCTCTCTCGCTCTCCCTCTCAAAACGTGAGATGAGATGGAACTTATGCAGGGGGTTTCTTTACTGCATCATCGTCTCAGCTCCTGATTGTAACTGCGCGTATGATACGTGCCATGCGGCACAGTCTTATCCCGGTGCTTTCCAGCCCTTACACAATCAGCCGTAGTGGCCCTTGAAGACGTGCTGACATATGCAAGGAACCTGGAACTTGGAATTCGACCACCGCGTGGCACAAAATCAAAGACAGCAATTTCGCATCACGCCAACTTCTAGCTAGTGCTGCCTTCAGCCTTCGGTCAGGGCACAAGAAGGAATCTGTCAGCCTTAGAGCACTTCTACTACTTCATTCCGACGCCCTTTTTCGCTTTGCAACCTCGCCTGTCGTCTGCGAGACTCCTTTTGATCTCGGTAGCGCAAGCTCCTTCCCTTCTCCGTCTGGACGTTCCTGGACAATGTTGTTTCTTAAGGCTAAGATAGGCAACCCATATCTGTTTTTCTCCGCCGCACTTCAAGAAATTTTCCGGTCTCCTCGCTTGAGGGCGCCGTTCTGTGCATCTTGGGCCTTGCTCTTCCGGCATCCACTGACAAGCCTGCTTGCCACTACTCGGGCTTTAGCCCACTAGCCGAGCCTCGCTCCCCATGGCCCTCTCTTACCTTCAGGCTTTTCCGGCCCTAAGGAGCCTCGCCTCGACTCTGTTTAATTTTCCTCTCGCCATCGCCAGAGCCAATCCGCTTTCCACGTTGTACTTCAACGCTTTCCCAGGGCGTACCTCGCCCCAAATAGAGATCCTTGTCTTGCCCCTCTGTGCCGTCGACGACGACCTTCTTCGTCTTCAACTCTCGTTCTTGATGCTGATTGCTTCACTACTCAAGACATTGGTACAAAAATAGTTATCCTGGGCTCCCCAGTATCGCGACATCGTATTGCGCTGGACACTGACGAGAACCTTCCGCGGCCATGGAAACCTTCTGAGATTATCGGTTCCGGCACTTTCAGCTGTGTAACAATGATGCTGCTACTCTTCCTAGACAATTTTCCATTGCACGCCGAGTCAGCTGCACGACGGTACCGAGGCCTCGATGCACAAAGACCCAGTCTCTGGTAGGACAAGATAAGGAGCAGCTTGACTCTAAATCCCAGGCTCCCGGACGGTAGTAGCCATAGCCCGGGCGTTTCCTCCTCTTCAGGCATCTAGGGTCACATATCCGGCCATGTGGATTTGCTTTGATGTGTTGCAACCCTCCCCCAAAATGTGTCTGGCTGTCAGCTGTCGCCAAATAGAACAATGAAGATCATGTGAAGGGATTTTTCTCGCTGCCTCCCCGGGAGAGGTAGTACTTTGGTGGCCCGCGAACCGAGCAAGATGACCACTGATTACATCTAGCGATGTCGAGATGTAGACTCCATCAAGTTTATCCTGTTCTGTCCATAGACCATTATCGCCATATCTGGTGGTGCAGTTGAAATGGCACGTGTTAAGTATACTTCTACTAGGCTCCTGCAGAAGTTCACAACTTCGAGAGGGTTACGAGCGAAGTGACAGCAGTACCAGACGGCCGTTGACCACGGAATAGCATTGACCACCACAAAATTGTATCTTACCACAGAGCATTTCGTTCAGAGGGCAAGAGTAGCCAATAATATTAATCAAGGGGACACGCGGAGAGAGGTAGGCCACTAATCCAAAAGAGCCGTTCAAGTCTCGAAGCAGGGTTGGTGTATGTTATGGGAGCGTTGACTGCGCTGTAATACCTAGGTAGCTGCAGCGGTACAGGCTGGGCACAGGCAGTAGGTGCTGGATCCTATTATCCGGAAAGTGCAGTTCAGTACTGGTTGATCTACTCGAACTGTCGTGAAGATGCGTCAGGGCTGGGCGACGGGAATGTGCATGTCTGGCACAAGCTTTAGTGGATGGTATGACCGGCCTGTCTATTGTCTATTGACGGATTTATTCTAGAGCCCTCTGAAAAGTCAGCTCCAGAAACCCAGACTCCAAGCGCCACGCTGAAAAGAATGCTCCTTCGCTCGACAAACCCTCCAGCAATGGGACTACAGTTGACTCGTTAAGAGGCACCGACCAGTCCATTGATGATCTCAACCTGCACCACGCCATCTTTGAAGTCCTTCACTTTGACACTTCTCAGATCTTCCACGATCCAATCCGCTCCGGCTTCTTTCAACTGACCAACTGTATGGGTGGTGGCCAATCCTATGACCTTGAACCCGGCCGTTTTTCCTGCGCGAACTCCCGCCGGAGCATCTTCGAAGACAATCATTTCAGCAGTTTCAGGTAGTCTCAAGCGTTGCCGACCAAGTAAATAGCAAGTCGGATCGGGTTTGCCGTTTTCGACATCCTCTGCCACAACCATTGTGCGTGGATGGGCAAGTTTCAGCACCTCGATCCAGCCTTTCACCAGGCCCCTCGTTCCCGACGTGACGACTGCCCAGGGAATGTTCACCTCGTCCAGACTTGCCAAAAGTTTGCGAGCACCAGGGATCTCGACGGCATCTTGACCGAACTCCTCGGGGATGAGGCTCTCTTGATGGATTATGTCTGCAAGTCATTCGTCAGTGCGCGATCAACTCTTTTGGAGGTATATTATGAAGCCCTCAGAGACGACTCTTACATTCCCAATTTGCTTTGGAAGGGTCGTACATCTTGAAGACATCGATGCTTCTCCTTCCGTGCGAGCTGGCAAGGATAATGTTGGGATCAACACCCATTATTTCACCTTGCTTGTGCCAGTGCTTGATGATGGCTGCTGTGCTGTCGATGATTGTTCCTGGCAAGTGGTTTAGCTGCATTCCCTTGCAAGCCTGGCGAACCGTACATACCATCAAAATCCAACAGGAGTCCTCTAGCTGAGGCGACCTCCGGTGGCGCGGAAAAATCAGGTTGTTCGACTGAGCCCATTGCAAGTGTCGACTCGATGTAGAAAACAGGACATACGAGGGGAAAACGAACAGAGGAAACCTGCAAATCTGGATAATGGGAAGTCTATATGTCTACGATGTATTGCTCTCTCTCACCATATGCTCGGAATGTTGAGTGTCGGGATATATATATTGGTTCCGGACCGTCCTTCTGTGGCGGCAGTATTACTATATTCGGGATCATTCCGACCACCATAATTAATGGGCGAGGGGAACCATCGCGCCATTCGCCTTCGGGTTGAACATACGCCGGGGCAAATCTTGGCGTGGGCTGCGGTCTGTAACTTTTTTCCACGCCGGGATTTTGGCCCAAAGTCCCCTGCTCTGCCAGTCATAACAGTTTTGCTTTGAATATTACCTAGGCATTTCCAGCAATGGTCAAGTCATGTAAGTCTACTGCTGTCTTCTGAATGCCCACAGCTGACCTGTTTAGTTTCCAAATCTAAGCGTACGCCTGTGCGGCTGCGGCATAAAATTGAGAAGGCCAGTGCGGCGAAACAGAGGAAACTAAGAAAAGAAGCAAAGAAGGTCCGCTGGTGCTTCCCATTCAACTCCTGCTCTTTCTAATGCCCGTCCAACAGAATCCCCAATGGAAATCACGCTTAAAGAAAGATCCCGGAATTCCCAACCTTTTCCCTTTTAAAGAAAAGCTTCTCGAGGAACTTGAAGAGAAGAAACGGCTAAAGGCCGAACAAGGGCAGAGGTTACGAGATGCCGCCAAAGAGAAGAAGAGGAGCGGAAAAAATGCGCAAATCGCAGAAGCCGCCGAGGCTGGGGACGAGGACGATCTGATGGAAGAGGAGGACGAGCTTCTGGATGAGGATATGGGCGACGAGGACGACGACGCCGATGACAGTGCAAACCCTCTTGCGGCCCTAGTGGCTTCAGCACAAGCGAGGGCTGCTGAGTACGATGGCGGAGCACTAGCAGGAGACATCGAAACGACTGCAGATGGCGAAGCGGTCGCGGAGGGAGTTCAAATCTCGGAGACGATAGCCTCAGACCACCGAAACCCGGACTCATCACGAAAAGCATTCGACAAAATCTTCAAACAAGTCCTCGACGCAGCAGACGTCATATTATACGTCCTGGATGCTAGAGATCCCGAGGGCACCAGGTCCAGAGAGGTCGAACGGCAGGTCATGGCCGCGGAGGGTGGTTCGAAACGACTGATTCTTGTGTTGAACAAGATTGACCTGATCCCTCCGTCTGTTTTGAAAGGCTGGTTAACCCATCTGCGTCGATATTTCCCCACAATACCACTCAGAGCGTCGACTCCGGCATCCAACGCTCAGACCTTCGACCACAAGCAACTTACCCTGAAAGCCACCTCTGAAACGCTCCTGCGTTCGTTGAAATCCTACGCTGCGTCCAAACAACTCAAACGATCCATCTCGGTCGGAGTCATTGGATATCCCAACGTGGGAAAATCCTCCGTCATCAACGCCTTGACCTCGCGTCTAAACAAGGGCGCGCAAAGCTTCGCGTGCCCTGTCGGCTCTGAAGCCGGCGTCACCACCAGCTTGAGAGAAGTCAAGATCGACAGCAAACTGAAAATCCTTGATTCGCCAGGAATCGTATTCCCCTCGACGGTGGACGGGGAAGGCAAGGAAGACAAGCAACGACGAAAAGCAGAGCATGAGGCACGGTTAATCCTCCTGAATGCACTGCCGCCGAGCCAGATCTCGGATCCTATTCCGGCTGTGAATCTCTTGCTCGAGAGACTTTCCGCCTCGGAGACGCTGTACGAGAAACTCTTGAAATCTTATGGCATTGTGGCGCTAGGGCCATTCGCGAGGGGAGACGAAACAACAGATTTCTTGGTTCAGGTCGCAAGAAAACGAGGCAGGCTGGGTAAAGGCGGTGTGCCCAATCTGACTTCGGCAGCCATGACGGTGGTCACAGATTGGAGGGACGGGAGGATACAAGGCTGGGTGGACCCGCCGGTGTTGAAGGTCGCGGACGACGAGGAGATGGTTGAGGGCCAGAACATGGACAATAGCAGGGAGCTGCCTACTGGCGTGGACCGAAAGCAGATTGTGAAGGAATGGGCAGCCGAGTTCAAGTTAGAGGGCCTGTGGGGGGATGGCCCTGAGAACGGGAAGGGGGCTGCTGGGGGAAGTGATGCTATGCAGATAGAGTCGTGAGTCTAATGTGCATCATGAGAATGTTTAGGCGTTTACATAGGACGCTATGATATCCCGTGGGAGGACGAATGCAATTTACAAGTTCAACACAGAGGGACTCCCTGTCGTCCTTGAAGAACTCATGCGAAACATCCTCTTTTTATTTCCCGGCGGTGTCTCACAAGGCTGGCAAACTTGGGGGTTTTTAACAGCGTGCTCGGAGATGCCCTCCCACAATAATTAATTAATTGACCCGGCGATATTCGCGGTCGCGTTTGGGGGCGATTGGACCGCGTCTCAACTCCCTCTCTGCGCAGTGATTGTTCCCTTTTTCTCAGTCCTCGCCTTGTATGGGTAATTTAACATTGGACCCTTCGACTCCAACGTCCTCTCTGCCTCTGTACGGGTAGTGTGGCACACGCGTCATTCTCAGAGAGACAACAATTGACAGGTTGAAGGGAGCGCGATCGCTGCGCTTCGCCGAACCAAGACTCGTTCTTGCCCCTACGGAAACCTGCCCCCCCTCGTCTGCGGTACCCTGGATACCCCGGTGCTGGGCTCGTTGGGCGGGATTTCAAGAGCACGAAACCCCGGTCCGACAAACAATCTCTCTCCTGGGAACGAGAACTGTTTCAAGGAAAAGGCCACACTGAACAGACACTAGGCCAGGACTTGCGTCAGGACCAACGAAGCAAATCCGACACGGAGCACAGCGACGGGCATTGAGCGCCACGGCCGGCACGATCAACACATCTCACACATTCCTTGTCGTCTTAGGAAGCGATTCACACAACAGTATCTTCAGAACCGTACTCTTGCCGATCCCCGTGGCGACAGTTGATATATCGCCCCCCTGAGATCCTACTGCCCACCCGGACATCTCTACCTGACTACCTGCAGCTATGCCGCCACGGAAAAGCGGCGCCTCGACGGTGTCTGCGGCAGAGGCAAATGGCGACGTCTCCACGTTGTCCAATGCCACCGCGAACGCTACGCCTTCGTCTTCTACGCAGCATGCGCATCCGAAACCATCAAGGCAATCGGGAGGCGGATCGGGGAGGCAGGATGATGGTGTGGGAATAGATGTACGTTTTCGTCTCTGACCTTCCAGCATTCCCGGACCGACAGCGAAAGTTGCCTGGGATCGTGGAAACACACCCGCAACTTCTCCGGATTGCGCACCGAAAAACAGCAGCATTGTCATACTGACGGGTTATTGTCTACTGACCGACAGGACCTCCTGCTCCCCCGCTCCCTCATATCCCGTCTCTCCCGCGGTGTCCTCCCTCCCAACACCTCCCTCCAGAAGGATGCCCTTCTCGCTCTAACCCGCTCCGCCACCGTCTTCATCTCCTACCTCGCCCACCACGCGAACGAACAATCACAACTCCGGCATAAGAAAACACTCGGCGTGCAGGATGTCATGGTCGCGTTGAAGGAGATTGAGTTTGGAAACGTGATGGAACTCGGTGCGGTCGGGGAGGACGGGAGGACTGGTGGGAGGCTGGAACGGGAGGTGGAGGTGTATGAGGAGATTATAGGGAGGAAAAGAAGGGGGTATAGAGAGAAGGTCAAGGCCAGGGAGTCTGGTGGTGGTGGCGGCGCAGAGGGAGACGCCGAAATTGAAGACAGGGGAGAGCCGAGTAACAAGAAGATCAGGCGCATGAGCGCTGAGGAAGAGGAGGATGAAGAGGAGAGGATGCTGGAGCAGCAGCTCAACGGGACATCGGGTCAAGAAGTTCCATCATCTGCCGAGAAAGGGAAAGCCAAGAGGAAAAGTCAGGATCATGGAGGGATTTCGGTGGTTGTGCGGAACGGCAAGGGCAAAGGGACCTCGAAGCCTGATTCGACTGCTCGAGAGGAAGTTGGACACGAAGATGTCGAGGACCTCGAAGCAGACGACGGCGCCGATGACGAGGAGCAGGATGAAGATGAAGAAGAGGACGAGCAAGAAGAAGATGACCAAGACGAAGACGACGATGATGAACAGGACGATGAGGGCGGTGGTGACGACGACGACGAGGATGATGACGGGACCGACGTCGATGACTCCAGACAAGCAAACGGCCGTGGGACGGGAAGGGTTGGACTGCTACCGGACGGAAATGTCGAGATTGGAAGCGAGGACGAGAGTGATTGACCGACCGAGAACGCCAACTTCGCGTCCGCTATAATCTGTCTGTCTGTCTCTATTGTTATCCTCCATATCATGACAAACTGGTTGCAAAGATTCAATGGCTAGTGAAATGTGCATTGACCAACTTCCCGATGGACAACCGTCTTTCTGCTTCTCGTTTCGTCGCGCTCTGCTACCCTAGACCATCTGACCCGTCTATCTACCTGAGGTGCATTACAGGAGTCGCAGGATTTATCAATTTAGACAACCCCAGCCGGGCCAGTGAGGCCGAGAATGCTCCTCCGGCCTTGCCTTATCACACTCAGCGGCGCGAGGACGCTGTAGTTGTACTTGGACCTGTCGCTTCCTGTGTTTGGAGCAGGCGCCGCAGCAGGCGTACACGGCACGTTCCCATCCAGCTCAGACCCGTGTCCAAGACCATGTTGCTGCGCAGGTTCCGCGCGCTCTAGATCCCGAACAACACGGACGCCAGCGCTCTCGAGAGTGGGAGAAGAGGACAACGCATCGTCCCAGATCCAGCGCTCCTCGCCTCTCGGTCCATCCTCGGCCCGTTCGCAGGGCACGTCGTTCTCGAGAATCCTCGTCATGAAGCGCTGGATCGCGAGAATGGCGCGCTCCGCGTCGACGGAGAGCGTTGTGTGTGCGGCGCAGAGGCGGACTCGGGGGGCATGTTTGATTGCGCGGCCGTGGCCGTGAGTTTGGACTGAGATTTGGGGCTGGGGAGAGAGGCGCTGGGCAGTGGGGAGGGGATTTCTGTCCTTCTTCCGCGAGGAGGAGGAGGAGGTCGGTAGAGATGTTGTGTGAACACGGCGCGCCTGCGCTGTTATGACAGGATCGAGACGGAGGGGATTGCGCTGAGGACGCGGTCGAGTAACCGGGTCCACGACCATCATCCACACGTCCTCGTCGTCAGTCTTGTCGGGATCCGCATCTGCCCGGAGGCGGCCGCGGGCGCCCCTGGGAGTAGTTGAGAGGATCGGTAACGCAATGACGCCGCGTTTGCTGGGTGAAGGGATGTCGAAGCCAGTTTGCTGCGTCGTCTGTGCTCGTGGTGGCCTTTCTTGGTTCCCTGCGGTAATGATTCTCTTTGGCCCTGACACTTCCACAGGAGGAGATTGCATGGTGGTGGTTTGGGATTTCTCTTTGGAATCCATTTCCACTTCTGTCTTTGATGACGCAGACAACACCTCTTCAGCGTTGATGTGTACGAAGCTATCGTCATCATCTTCAGCATCAGCGTCAGCCTCGTCATCTCCCTTCCTTGTCGCTCTCAACCGCTCGTCCCCAATACCCTCCTCCTTATCGCTCTCAGCATTCCTCTCCCTCACAAAGTCCAGGACCTTCTTCAGACTCCCCCACCACTGTCCCAGATCACTCTCCAGGTCGAAAATGACCGGCATGGGCGGCTCCGGCCCCCACTTTGCATTCTGGGTCGACGGCGTCTCTTTGACGTAGAAGCTGTCCCCGACACACAAGAGGCGGAGGTCCGAGTCGTACCATGAAAGAGAATCTAGGGTGTGGCCCGGCGTGTGGAGGATTGTCAGCGGTGTCGTGATGCTGGGAGGAGAGGAAGCTGTCGAAGACGAGGACGAGGACGAGATGGTCGGGTGCGTAAAGACAACGCGGGATTTGTCGTCCGCCCACATTCCGACGTCGTATCGTGGGGCCTGGAGGCCGAGTGTGTTGCACAGGCTGTGGTTCTGCAGGTTGGAGTAGGGTGTAATGAACGGTTTGCCGTAGGAGGAAGATAAGACTGTCGTCGGGGGGCGCGCGGACCACCTATCGTTAGACACCAGATCGCGCGGTGCCAGGTCTCTGATATTCTCGAGGTCTATTGCGGTTGAGGTAGGAGGTAATTTCCCGATGCCCATGATATGGTCGTAGTGACAATGGGTGGTCATGACAAGGTAGGGTACCCTTCCTCCCGGGTTGATCGTGTATTCGAGAAACGTGCGTATATTCCAGACCTCAGGTTCAGCACGCTCATTGTTGCACTGGTTCTGCTCGCCATTCTCCTTGCCCACAGAGGATGGATGGGAACTTGTTGAACTCGGCACTTCAGTCCCGCAACCGGTGTCGCTGAGGACAATGACCTTATACCCCTCTGACTCATTCTGGGTAGCAGCTCCCGGTGCCCAACAGACCTTGCTGTGCTTAAGATCGGGATTACTTCTCAGTGTAGCAGACGAGGGGGTACCGCATATCTTTGCGTAGATGTGCGGGAATTCGCCGTACCGATCATGCTCTCGGATCAGGTACGACTTCGAGTTTGTCAGCCCGCTGGTTTCGATCACCTCAATGGTAAAAGGACAAGAAGGCGGTACATGGAAACCCGCCGAAGTTTCTTGGCTCATCGCTTAACAAAGTGAGGTTTTTCTAAATGCTATCAGTTGGACAAGTTGTGAAGTAGTGTGGATGGAGTTGTATATTGGGGGATGTTGAAGCTAATCACGGAAGCCTTTGGTCCGATTGGTGACGGACGAGATCAAGGCGAACCCTATGATGGGTCGAATCGGACAAGATCCCATTGAGCCTCAAAGTCTAGTTGGATAGAGACGAACTCTGGCAGGACTCGCACGGTGTGAGGGAGATCCCTAGACGTTTAGTCTTGATCCATCCTGTCGCCTGCCACATCCTCATCTCCCCTCGCCATTTTGTCTTCGACGTCCTTCTTGATTCCCGCCAGGAAAGCCTCCATGGCCTCCCCTCCACCCATAGGCACCCCGCCATGCCTGAGATACCCACCGTTTCGAACCGGAATTTTGAAAGTCTCACTAACTATAGGCAGGCCACCTTCTCTCAGTGCAATCGTCAGACTGGCCAGGCTTTGTGCAAACTGCGGCGAGTGCAACACTTTGCGCAACATGGTCTTTTTAGCTTTGGTCAATGCCTGCTTTGCCGCATCTTGTTCCTCAGGAGTTGAATTGGGATTTTGCAAGGCGGACGTGTCAACCGAAGCCTGCACCATGTCCGCCAGTTGAGGAGGTAGTCGTTCAAATAACCGATCCAGTAGCTTGTCATCGGCTGATTCGAGTATTGGTAACGTTGACGACGGGGTCAGCAGGTCTCCGAGGCTTGCGAACAGTTTGTCCTCGGGAGCTTGTCGTTGATTGCGTTGTTCCATGGCTTGAAGAAAATTCCGAACCAAGGCGCTAGCATCTGGCCTACCAGCCGCCCTGGATGTGGCGAGTCAGACAGATGACTTCGCAGCAGAAGGACAAACCGCACGACATGGGGCGCAAGTACCTACGCTCGTCCGCCGTCCGCCCCGCCCTCGCGTGACTCTTCGCCTTCCTCCCGAAAGTCGCCGCCCGTGGCATCCGGACCAGCTCCGGGACCGCCTTGTGAAGGGCGACGGTCGGGGTTGTGATCTGTCCCTTCTACATCCTCCATCGGCTCCGGCCCGTCGTCGTCTGGGGAGTTTTCATCCGGAGGCAGACTAGCCATTTGTTCTTGGACATCGACCTCTTCGCCCTGAAGGAGATTGTTCACGATCTGGCCCAGCTTCAGATCTCGAGCGGAGAACCATGACGGGTCGCCTTGGGGATGCTGGCTGCGGGATTGGAGCCAGAAGAGGTGTCTCTGAGAGCTGGAGGTGAATTTGAGGACGTAGATTCTCCCGTTCGTGGGCGTCTTTTGGGGTGAAGGATTCTCCGCGCTGGTAGGCTGGTAGGGTGTGAACGATCCGTCCATTGGCACCATAAGCAAGTCCAACTGCGCTTCGTCCAACGACGCACTCCTCGGTCGCCAGCATAAGTGGAGGATTTCATCTGCGTCTGCGTAGAGGTAGAGGTATCCCGGGGTTGGAAGAGGTTTCGCTCGTGGAGGCGAGGTGCTCGTCTGATGGGATAACCTTTAGCAGATCGGAGAAGAAAGGCATGAGAGACCTCGACACTTACATCAAGCTCACAGAGCCCTGCCTTGAACGTTAAGATGGGTGAAACCGACATGGTAGGGAATAATGAAAGGCAAGCAAAAACGGCGATAGCTCAATTCGGGAAAAGAGAGCAGTAGGGAGGTGAAGGTGATGTTTTGAAACTCAGAAATGCTTTTAAACGCCAAGGTCCAGATGTTGGAGAGGTGTTTGCAAGGGTATGGCAATTTGGATAGAGGACGACAGCATTTGAAGCCTGGCGGGCCTGGCAAGCGTGGTCATACTACTACGAGGTACTAGGGTGAGCCTAATGTACCGACTCCACGCAACGAGCGCAGGTACCGTATAGGGTGAAGCATTCGCCTCCGAAAAGCACAGAGCTCTTGGCAAGGTCTGCCACGACTGAGTCACCCAGTCACGTGGCCTGCACCAAAACCCCCCCAATTGCGAATTTCCATGGCGCACCCCCAAGATCGGGAACGTGCGACCCACGCCAAGAAATGAAAGCGCACACTTTCCCGATTCTGCGCTTGATATCGCACTCTCCCACCACACAATCCGGCGAACAACAACAACCACGACGAAACATTCATTCTCGCATCTCCAGCCCGCGTGGTCAAGGTTGAAGGTCAGAAGGTCAAAATGTCTTCTACGGAGGCCAACCCAGCCGTCGTCAAGAAGTTCGGTTCGGGCGAGCGATCTGTGCCCCATCACTCGCAGAAGGCCAGAAAGTGGTATCCCGCCTACGACGAGCCTCAACGCAGGAAGGTAAGTCATTCCAAAAATTTGAGAACTCTCCCTCAGAGTACTGTCCCTTCACTTTCCTTTCAATCCAAGATCCGGGCAACTTCTAGGAGCTGGCAGGCTTGTGTTGGTTACGACTCTTTGTACCGTTGACTGACACTGGAATGAACGAAACCAGGCCCGCAAGACGCTTCACCCAGCCAAACCTCGAGCAGCGCTCCAGCCCGGCGCGGTCCTGATCCTCCTCGCAGGCCGATTCCGCGGCAAGCGAGTCATTCTCCTCAAGACCCTCAAGGAAGGCGCCCTCCTCGTCACGGGTCCCTTCAAGATCAACGGCGTGCCTCTCCGACGAGTCAACTCCAGATACGTCATTGCCACATCCACAAAGGTCGACATCAGCGGACTGGACCAGTCGACGCTGGACAAGATCGCCAGCCCCGAGTACTTTGCGCGGGAGAAGAAGAGCAGGAAGCAGAAGGGTGAGGAGGCTTTTTTGAAACAAGGCGAGAAGCCCGAGGTAAGGAAACCGCGCCCGGTCACTTGTGTCTATTACTGGAAGGCTGACAATCGTCCGCTCTATGCAGAAGAAGGCCCCCGCATCCCAACGCGCAGCCGACCAAAAGACCATCGACAAGCCCATACTTTCCGCCATCAAGAACGAAGAGTTCCTCGCGAGCTACCTCAAGTCCAGCTTCAGCCTGAGACACGGCCAGAAGCCCCATGAGATGGCCTTCTAATCTGACCGCAAACCGAGTTCCATTCCGACTTGGGAGCGGGAGCGGGTGCAGGACCAGGAGCCGAAAAGTGGTGTTTACAGTTGAGGGGGGAGGTTGCTTGCTTCGCTCGGGCTTGCAGCCGAGAAAACCCAACAGAATGGCAGTGGCAGTGGATTCTGGCGGGGCAACTGAACTGAGATAGAAATACCGAGCGAGATTCGGGGGGCGTTATGATGATGTGTGTATGCCTTGCTTGCACCACCCACCACTACCGACTCCAAGGCGGGGGATATTTTCATGCATGCAGCTAGGTCATTACTTCTTTCCCACACGAGAAGGAAGAAAAGGACCTCCAAAAAAAAGAATTACCAAAGCTGTGATAAGTGGGATAAGGCGATTTTGATCCACGATGTTGCGATCCACCAGGCAAAAAAGAAAACCAACAACAACAATGATGCAAATCATGGCCGATAATGGACATTTCTCATTGTCGCGACCCCCAAAGAGCCCAAATGCAGAGACATATTGTCCAAGCATCCCATTGTATCCTGCAGCTCGAAAAGCTAGATTTCCGCATCCGTCTAATTCACATAAATCGAACGCAGCAGTAGAATCATGACCCATGACTGCTCCATTGAAAGCGCTTGCTAATGGAGTAATTCCTCCCCCCCCCCCCCCCCCCCCCCAAATCGAGCGAAACAGAACAGAAGTCCCCAAAAGTGTAAGGTATATCGTTCCCTCTAAGATCATCACCCAGAACTTCGACTTCAATCCTCGCTTCGGTTCCTTGTCCTTCTGCGCACACCTCCCTTCGCTTCACCTATCTTCCCGTTAACCCTCTTCTTAGCCCTATCCTTCATCTTCTCCATCCTTTCCGGCACGTCATGCTTGTCTGCTTCGGCGACGACATCGTCAATGACGTCGGCCCCGACAGACGTACCCATAATCCAATCGCACAGTCCCCAGGGACCGAAGTTGCCCTCCCCACCGCACAATAAGTGGTGGTCGGTCCGACGGGCCATTCCCCCAAGAATGAAGTTTGTGGGCATGGTGGAGTATCCACTGTATGCGAATGTCTCCTCGAGCGAAATGAGGGTGAGGTAGAATATATAGGTCAGGAGGTGGAACCGGAAGAGCACCGCAGGGATATAAGTCGGCAAGAAAGAGCGGACGAGATAGGCGGCTGGATGGTCGTAAGTGGCGCTGAGCGGGAAAGGCGTGGATATACCGGCCAGGGCATGGTACCAATCTCCATGCGCCCGGCTCAGGGAGTTGTTCTGGTGCCATTCGTGCAGCATATATCTGTGCAAGACGTATGCAATGGTCTCACGGAGGAGATAACCCTTTGCGAGATCCTTGAGGATCCCCCAAGGCAAGGGCAGCGCGGTTGTCACGCGCAGAGCAGAGCGCCATACAAGGACGCGTGTGAAGAGGAGTTCCACCAGGGCTTGAATCACGACGCCCATGAGAATGTTGAATATTGACCAGCCCACCATGCGCAACAAAGCCAGTGTCCTTTTTCGATTGGCGTTCTTGAATGGCAGCGCGGAGTCGCCCAGTGCTTTGAGGTTCTCGGCCGCAGAAGGAACGAGCACGTCAAAGCCCAAGAAGAATAGTGAAGGGGCGATGTAGAACAGGACGCGCACCGCCAGGGTCGCGACGATCTCAACCCGAAGCGGAGGGTGTGAGAGGACCAGAGTCGACCAGGTCAGGTAAAAGAATAGGAGATTGAGGGATGTGGACCACGAGGACATGGTCGGTATAAGCAGGAAAGAAAGCATGGGCAGTCCGATGACCGCGTCCATCATGGTGCGCAGGGTGGTGTATGTCGACGAGAAGGGAGAGATTGCATAGTTGTAGAGAGTCTGGGAGTATGTAGGCGGCGGAGGGCAGGAGATCGCATTGGGGAGGTACGAGGCCCATGATTGAGGCAGGTAGCAGGCTGGGTTATAGGTTGAGGACACCATTGAGGGCGAGGTCGGTTGAGGTTGGAAAACTTTACGCGTTATCGAGTTTGTGTCATCGAGTAGAACCACATAGGCAGAGTTGACGGCTGTCCAGAGTGCTGAAGATGGAATTGCAGCGCAGCGCAGCGCAATGGCTGGCAGGGAAACAACAAAGGATAGCGAAAAGCGTGCTGGTGTGTGCAGGGAACAATTCTGACGTCATAGAGAGCTAGCACGCACGTGACTCTGGGGTATCCCACTTGCCCAGCCACACAACAGACAGCCACACCAGCCTCTCTCTCTCTCTCTCTTCGGCGCTACCAATACCATAGGCATCCTTAATCATTCCCGCCTTTCACATGCGCTACCATATTACCATATCTGACCTCCATCCGCCGGATCTACGAGGCAGCCCCCCAAGCTTTGTCATGACTCATGAGAGAGTCGCGCCGTTGGTGAGCGGCCACCCCTGGCACATGGGGTAAAATCAATCAACCCCACGTCCACTTCAGCGTCCCAAAGTGCTTGCATATGTCAATTTGTATTATCTGGCACCAATCTCCTTGCACATGTCTCATCCTTCCTCGTTCTTTCTCGACGTGAGATCGGGCCTTCAAGTCGCCGAAAGAAGAGCCTTTGGATCTGTCACCTAGAACTTCTGTCGTGCCCAATCCGGCAGGAGGATCCAGCCACAACCTGTTTCAAGATGTCTTGCTGCTTAGCTTTATATTGACAGCGTTCTGATTCTGGGGTTTCTCCTCGGTCAGCGCCCTCACTGGCCGGATCAAGTCTGTCACAGCCCTTGCAAAGCAATAGTCGAGCTTTGACAGAAACCTTATACTCGACCCCTGAGTCAAGTTAGCTCGACCGATGACAGGTGTCACAAAGCACCCTGGTAACCCCCCGGGGTGCTGTGCAATTCAAGAGGGGCTCTGGTGATGATCCAGATGCGGGGTCCCATAGTGCAGAGTGACCAGAGCGGAGCAAGCAAATAGGGAATCAGGGGCTCTGAGAGAGGCGAGCATCCAACGGCACACCAGCTCTTCTGTTCCGACGGCTCTCGCTATGGAAAGACAGTTGATGCTACCCTTGCTGTTCAATGACGCCACCCCCTCATATGCGGAATTGCCTCCCAAAGTGTTGTGTAACTTGATGGCGTCGCTGTTCGCTGACAATTAGGCCCGTCCACTTGTGGGAGCAAAAGTAGTTTCTGGCTATCAGTACAAGGCAAAGGCCCTCTCTGTCGCATAAAAGGCCAATTGTCCCAACAAGAGCAGTAGTGTCCCTTACGACAACGTGCCAGTTTTTGTATCTATCTGCACAATGGCCGACACCAGCATCCCCAAGACACAGACAGCTGCAATAGTCCAGAAGCAGGGCGGGCCGGTCGAGTTCGATGACAGCTATCCAGTCACGTTACCGGGGAAAGACGAGATCCTGGTCAAGGTCTTGTATACTGGGGTCTGCCAAAGTGGTTGGTCACACGAATCCTCTCTCGGCCCTGACGAGCTTAAAGCTTATTGTTATTGCACAGATCTCCATACTAAAGCTGGGACTGCTACTGGAGCCGACGGCCTTCCTATCACGAACATAAAGCTGCCTCACGTGGGTGGACATGAAGGAGTCGGACGTGTGGTCGCATTTGGTCCGAATTTGTCTCCGAACGACAGACTCCAGCTGGGGACATTGGTGGGCATCCGCTTTGCTTCTCGTGTGTGCCACGAGTGTGAGTACTGTGTCTCTGGCCGAGATCAGCATTGCACCAACGCAACGAATCATCTGCACCATGAAGACGGCAGTTTCCAGCAATACTGTGTGCTCGATACAAAGTATTTGACCGAGTTGCCCCAGGACATTGATCCAAAGGTCGTTGGACCTGCTCTTTGTGCTGGGGTAACTGCATACAAGGTGAATTCTGTCCGTTTCCCACAACACGCAGAAATGCTGATTGTATGAGGCTGTCAAAAATGCAAATCTGAAACAAGGGGAATGGCTCACGGTCATTGGAGCGGGTGGCGGGTTAGGCCACTTTGCAGGTACGACCGTCTCTGCTCCTCGCGCACATAGAGAGCCAGCTGACAGCCGGCAACAGTGCAGTATGGCCTTGCACTAGGCGCAAAAGTACTCGGAGTCGATGCAGGGACTGAGAAGCAGCAATTTGTGGAGTCGCTCGGGGCACACTATGTCGACTTCTCCAAGAGCAAGGACCTTCCAAAGGACATCGCGAACATCACTGGAGGGGGCTCACATGCGGTTGTCGTCACAAGTGGCCACCCTCTAGCCTTCAGAGGGCTGGCTGATATGATCAGGATTGGTGGATCTTTATGCATGGTGGGCATACCTCCTGGCGACGTGCGCCTGGACACGCCGGTGGCTACCATCGTCATCCGAGGACTCAAAATCCAGGGCAATCTGGTAGGTTCGTTGAAAGAAACACTCGAGGCTGTGGAATTTGTTCGAAGTGGAAAAGTCAACCCGCATGTCAAAGTGCGACCTTTCCGCGACCTGCCCGAAGTGTATCAGCTATTGGAAAAAGGAGATGTACCTGGCCGGATCGTGCTGGAGCTCTAGAGCCGAGCAGTACACCACCATCAAAGCAGGTCATGAAAGGGCTGGAAACATTGTGGAGCCCGTTTGTCGAGGTCAAAGGCAACTCGTTGTAAAGGGTGGGTGGAGACACAGCTTGACAGCGATGCCTCTCTGTTCGCAGGCAGTTCGCATAGAGATCTCCTGCCAATCCATAATCTGCAAGCCGGAATGCAATATACAGGTCGTGACCCAGAAAGTCGAACACATCTTCATTCCAGCATCAATTGTGGGTGCAAGCGATGCCAGCCACCAGTACTCGGTACACCGAGAGACAGCTCAAGGAATATCCCAGGACATGGTGATGTCAAGGATGCACGACATCAAGTCTCTAGTAGATGTCAACTTCGTGTCTGAGGAACTCCGTCCAATAAATGATAACGCCGCCACATACCAATCTCAATGCTGGAGGTGGGGACGTCAAGTCTTTGACCAGCATTGGTTGTGGCTGGCTGGGTTCCTGCAGCATGGTCAGTGCGCCTACATTGCCTGCACTTGGCATTCATTCCACAGTCGGCCATCTTGACCTGGTTTGGCTGTTGTGGCAGTTGAGCACATACCAAAACTTGGGAGAAATTGAACATGCCGCAGACCTGAAACGCCAACACCCCCTTCCACAACCCCGGGTTGGTATCGATGTTGGCTGGAACAAAATGAAGCCAGAAAGCCCTCTCCAACTCATCCAAAATCCCTCCTGAAATCGAACATGTCAAAATGCAGGCTGGAGCACGTATTTTTGCCATCGCTATGTGCAGCAGCCTTCAACTTGGAAAAAAGAACTCCTAATGGCAAGGTCTCCAGAACTTCGACGCTCACTGACAGGTTTGCATTTGACGTGAACCCCGCTCTGGTATGCAGCATCTGTCAGTTGAAACAAGGATGTCCTGGTACTCGACTGGCGCCCATTTCTCCACGGTGGATTCAGTTTGACGGCTTGACAGGCTGCAAGGCGGCTCATGGGACGCAAGCACTTTAAGTGATAGTACAATCGATAACAATGCGGTTTTGCATTATCTTACTGTCGAGCATCATGCAAGGCTGGCGTAAACAATATGTGCATGGGCATAACCAGCCTGCTGAATCTTAACCTCCGGGGAAATAGAGGCGCACGAATCGGAAAGCTCTGGTATCATCTGTGTTGCTCGCATAGATCTGTGGTCTGGAGCCAGTCAATCCCCTTCGCGCGTAGGAAACCTTCGTTTCTAGACTTCCCGTATTTGGCGCCCGTTGCGCGTGTGAAGGTGGCTAGGCTTGCTAGATTGGTTCAACCTCCATTCAAGCACAAGAATCTGGCAAGACCGATCGTGTACCCCTGTGCCGATCATAGGAGGTTGTCACCGTCTGTTTGATCTGTGCTCCAAGCTCAGAGATCGGTCGAACAAGGGCCCCTTGCCGCTCTGCGAACCTTAGAGCCCGATCGTATAGAGGCCTTCCAAGTTAGGATCTCTGGTGTCTCAATGGTCCCTCTTTCAGGAATTTGGAGCGACAAATCTGGCCTCGACTAAGTGAAACTCCCACACCCCCGGTGGCCTAAGCTCGTCAATCCATGCAGGCTGGAGTGGAGTCGCCACACTTCGCAAACCATTCGGTGGGAAACACATACTTTCGCCTTGCATTCTGTTCGAGACATACGCGCACTGTGTGTCGACGTCAAGCAGGACGCTGATGCCCATTTATTCCCTCGCTCCTCCAGCATTTTCGCATCCCTTCTCAACATCACTTCCGTTGTGTTGAGCGCCGATGAGATTCCGCAAACAATTGCCGACAATGTCCCTTGATTGCCGAGAAGAAATCGGTTCGTAACACCTTGAGATCCTCATACCGTGAAAGAACAGCATGCTAACTCTCGTGTCCAGTCTATCAGCCGCATTTGAAGGTTGAAGAAAGCCGTTTCGAAATGTTGCCCCAGCTGGATCATCCAGAATTTGACGAAGATACCTCGCTGGAACTTGTGGGAGAATGTCCCTCGCTCTCATCCAGTTTCTTTTCTTCCGATGCAGCCAGCATAGGCTCTGGTGGCTTACGTCGGCCGTCGCTCGCATCTTCTTCCACTTACTCGGCCTCCCCCGAGGCATTCTGGACTCCATCGGCAGCAACGGCAAGCCCCATCACCCCGATGATGGTCGAGCCCAGCACACACTTGACTTCGAAACAATACGTAAAACCCACGGCTTACCTTAACGGAAGTCACCATATCTTCCACCATGCGCAAGATGAAGAGCGCAGTCCTCACAGATCTCTGTGGGAGACAACGGGCTATTCTGGTCTGTCAATGCTCGGTGGTACTCATGAGTTGCTCCTGGCGGAGGCTGGCCGTCCACTGTACCGTCCAGACATACAAGGCCTGAGCCACGGAAACACAAATCCAGCGTTGACGAAAGCGATGTTTGCTGGACCCTCGGGAACCGGTGCAGGGGCAATGATGACAGCAACGGACGACGATCTGCTTCCATGGAGCTCTGCAGCCGTCCATCCTCCTGCAGAGACGATAGAACCAAGCATTGCCTTTCACGCAAACTTGGCAAGTTCTCCAAATTACAAGGTTGAACCATCGACGCCGTTGAAGCTGCACATACCTCCATCCGCAATCTTGAGCAGTAGTCCTTTATCGGTAATATCCCCACAAATGCTGCCATCGCAGCATGACTTGGAGGAGTTACCATATGGGTCACTGCAGCATGCGGTCAGTCCAGCAAAAAAACAACGGAAAAACACTGACCGGCTTCATCGGCGCCCTTATGAGCGAAAGCGTCCTGTTGGTTCATCATCTAAACCCAAAATAACACCAGTTAAGTCGGGTATGAACTGCGATCTGCTCATCCCACAAAATGAATTTGCCTGCACCTACCCCGGGTGTATCGACAAACACACCGGAAAACAGAAGCGATTCAAGAGGCAGGAGCACAAGAAGCGTCATGAGAAGACTGTACATGAAGAGTCTTTGCACCCAAAATATAAATGTTGGGTCCCGCAATGCCACAAAGCATTCTCGAGAACAGACAACCTGAAAAGTCATCTGAGAAACACTCACTCCAAAAGACCTGGAGTTCGAGGAAATCGATATGTTGCCACACTGGACAAGAACAGCGAGTTCTATGATCCAGATTGGGTGGGCGAGCTCGATAAAAACGGATATCCGATCCATTGACCTCGCTCTTGGCTGCTAGACTCATGTCTGTCAGGCACTTCGATGTGCCGCAGGAGGGTGACGGCACTTTGGAAAAGGACAAACCGGACTGATGCAGTTGTGCAGACCATTCCGTTCCTGTTTGTGGTTTAGTATTCAGTGATGTGTGATTGAAAATATGCTCTTGAATGTGACAATAGGTGAGAAGCTTGCGTTGCCATGGAAAAGTTGGGATATCATAGTTCTCGAAGTCGGCATTGCGGGTGGGCACTTGTACGAGTACTGGAAAGGAAAAAGGCATTGCATGGTAGGCTGTTTGACTTGAACGCGGCATTCGGGCTTAGCAGAAGGCAGCTGTCTCTGCCCGAGAACAACCTGTAAAATAGCAGACATCGATCCAAGAAAGCAATCAGAATCAATGACAGAGGATGCAAAGGAATCCTGGCCCAAGAAATGCGCATTGACAAAGTTTTGGCAAGAAATGTTGAAGCTGAAAGTGAGACGAAGAACGCGAGGTTCGTGGGTTCCAATTGCAAGACTTTCGAAATGGAAGTTGACTGTGAGGCGCGCCAAGCCTTTTTCGTGTCTCAGTCGCGTTTGCTGCCACTGCAGGGGCACCAAGACCCAAAGGGAAGAAGAGTGAGAGGTGCTTGTATCAGCGAACCAAGATGTGCGTACCTAGGTAGACATCGCCATTGCATGCAGCGAGGTTGGGTACACAAGACTACAATCTCGGCTATCGACAGAGTGAAAAGTGCACAAAGCACATACCAAGTACACTTTCGGTAAATGGATTTCATCACGCGTCATCACCTTGACCTCCTCTTGCTCGTGCCTGAAGAGAATACACTGTGTTGGCCCACCTCAGATACTCTGTACAGCGCTGCGCTCAGCTACCAATATGAGCTCCAACCCCTCTTGTTACATGTCATTTGGCAAAACCGGCTCCTTGTGTACTCGCATGTACTACAGACAGTGCCGCTTGTACCCCTTTTGCCAACGTCGGGTAGTGGTCTCAGACCAAGCACTAGAGAAGACTCTGGAGAGTTTCTCGCAACCGCCCATGGGTGGACGCGTCTCAGAGTCGCTGTCTTGTTCTTGAACCATAGCTTCTCTTTCAAGATGTGACCGGATGGAAGTTTGACCTTGCAGCGATGCGAATGAGACGTCTGAAATGGTTGGATTCGAGTTCTTTAGCTCAGAACGAAGGAAAAACCTCTGTTTGTACTCAGCTGCCTCGTCGAGTGATGAGATTCCAGCAAATTCTGTCGGTTCAATCCTCTTGGGGACAAAGAGCGGCACCTTGTTGTAACCGGGCAACTCCCCCAGACCGATTTCGACCTCCGGAGACAGGCTCAAAGATAAACTCGCACGACCATCTTGGCTGCTGCGAACGGAGGCCCCTTTGGACACAGGCCGCACTGTAGAGGACGCTGAGGGGCGCTTCTTCGTATCATGGCCACTCCAAATGAATTCAGAACACGAGCTGGGCACGTCCATGTACACAACAGGTCTCCGTGGAGGGACTATGGTGGCGCTTACTGATGATATTGATCCTGCATGAGTGACAGGCCGAGAGGTCGATTGCGATGTCCGGCCGATACTGGGAGCAGAGTTGTGCCTGGCCGATCCACCAGACAAGCTCGGTCGACTGACTCTTCGGTTTCCAAAGGCGTGACTGCGCATCTCTTCCACGCTCCCAACGGAGGAGGCCCTCGTGACAGCTTGACGAGAGAATGCCTTCAATGAGCGTGGACCATGCAGCAAGAGGTCTTCGGCATTATGAATCGAGTTGACCGTCGAGGTGGAGGCAGCGTAAACATAGGTGGGAGGCTGCGTGAAGTGACGAGGTAGACGCTACATCAGTCAGTGAAAGCGACTTGCAAGAGGGTGGGCAGATGGAACCTCGGGGTTTCCAGAACACGAAGACGGTAGAGTACGGTCTTTAATTGTAGCTTCATGAAGATCTTTGCGGATAAGAGAGGATATCTCGAAACGTGGTTAGGTGAAACCTTTGGCTCTGACGATCATAGTCGTACCTTTGCCATCTCTTCCTGACGTGACTCTGACTCCTTGGGATTGCAATCGTAATCCATCTACTCCGCAAAAGTCAGCAAAAGCCGGCGTTTTGATTTTGTTGGCGTGGTGGCATACCAAGGCTGCGTTGGACCCGCCCTCGTCACAGCCTTCCACGTTTGACAATGTGCAGGTGGTCTGGACACAAAGTTCTGTTGGGAGGTCTAATTGTGGTAGCGAAGGCCCTGGAACGGGTTGTGCATGACTTGTTGGATGTGCCAATGTCTCAAGCGATCCTCGCTCTTTGCGTGCAAACAGACCAGTTGGAATTTTCCTCAGCCTCTTTGTCATTTTCTTGAGTCGGTCATTATTTTCTCCCCACATGCCACCAAATCCCATCTTCATGGCAAGCTTGCGAGATCGTGCCTCTTTTCGACTACTCTCTCTGGGCATATTTGTCAAGATGGCCTGGTCATCGAGGGACAGCCTTGTGGAGGTAATTTCGTCAATCGAAAGCTCGGGGTTGCTGGTCTCGGTGGCAGTAGTAGTGCGAAGGACTCGTGGCCACAATTTCTCGGGTATTTCATCGAGAGGAGTGCTAGGGATGCTGCTTGTCCTGGAAGTGGTCGAGGCTCTGGTAGACAAGACTGGCCGGACCAGAGGAGGCGAACAGGTGTTTGTTGCCATCGTCCTCAAAGGCGACGCAGACGCCATTCTTTTCGTCGGAGGACCTTTGCCCTTGCCTACATTTCCACTCGGTGATATACAGCGGGTTCCCACGAAGGACGAAGGAGGAATTCGTGGACTTCGTTCGTGCATCCTGGGACCAGAAAAAGCGGAGTGGCTCTCCATGAGGAGAATTGCTGAATCACCGGGTAGGCAGGCTCAGTAAATGCAGGTAGTGGACAGTGCTGGAGGATGGTTCGTGCAAACCGTCGGTGAGGGGTGAGACAATCCGGCAACAGTGGTCACCTGTTTGTGGTGAAGATTGATTTCCGTGAAAATGTCAGGGTGCACCGAGGTTCAAAAAGGCGAGGCTCATATATCCATGGCCACAAGTAGCAGCGCCGCAAAGGAAGAGGAAGCAGGATCGAAGGAGGGGTGCAACGCGTACAGTGATCCGTGTCTGAGAAGAGGGATCTACTCCAAGCTGAGGCTCATGGATACCTGACCTAGGCAGGTGCAGCGGAAGCCCTCTAACGGCCCTTGACTCTTGCCACCCTCGCTTCGGCTTCCTGACGCTCTGCAACTTGTTGTAGGAAGTCCATTCTTGTCAAATAGCCCTCCTTTGCCTTGGCATGTGTGTCCAACTCCTCCTGAAGGCCCTCAGTATCAACATGTTCGGCCCAGTCCATCTTACTTTTCTCAACAACGTTGAGTTTCGGACCTTTGAACTGGGCTTCTTGTGCTGTTCTGGACGTCCAAGCACCCTTGAAGGCGTCTGAATTGTGGAAATTAGGATCGAAGCGGGAGATCTTGCGAAGAGGTCGATTCATGACCTTGCCATCACCTGCCGGGCTCCCAGCCTTTGAGGAATCCTGCTGAGACAGCCACAATCGGGCCTCTGCCGATGATTTGAGGACTCTCTTTTCCTCAACGTGAACCTCACCTGCGAACTTGTAAGTGCGCTTAATCATGATGGTCTCTTCACCATCGACCACAGGCACATTCTCCTTGTCAGTATCCTTACTCTCCGAAGCAGCATCTGAAGGCATTGCTGTTCTGTTCGGCTGGACCGTCTGATCAACAGCGCTACCTTCCACACGGGGAGGAGGGAGTGGACCCGGCCGATTCATCTCTTCCCATATTCTGTTTACATCGATAGTGCTCCCCTTGCTTGAGGCCAGTTTGTTCCTCCTTCTTTCTTCCTTTTCCCTCGTTCGCATACCGCGGGTGCGGGCCCGCCATCCTTCAGAGTCATCTCCACTCTGCTCTGGCACTTCATGCTCATCTTTCTTGCCTTTCCTTCGCGCCTTCTTTTGTTCGCGGACGGTGGCTTCATCTCCCGAGTCGAGTTCTGTGATAAAGTCTCCTTGCGCCTGCGGGTTGTCGCTTTTCTGCCGTTTTCGGGGTCGACGTGGCGCATCATCGGCATCTCGCTCATCGTCCTCATCAGAAGAGGTCAAGCCTTCAGGACCGGAGCCATCGACTTCAAAGTCACTGTCAGCCTCTTCATCATAGCCGTCCTCCATGTTCATGTCATGTTCTTGCGGATCTGCCATGGCGCGAGTCTAGGTGCTTGAGTCGGTGAAGCGTCGGGTCATCGCCGCCCGAACTGGACGCGGCGAGTCAAAACAAGGCGGTTAGTAGGGCGACGAAGGATGGAAAGCGTGTCGGATGGTCAGACCAATCACTTGGATTGTCTCAGTTATCACACCGATCGGCTCAGTTGCAGTTTGCGGAATTGGATCTGGCTGCACGGCCTCGCCAATAAGCGAGCATTTTCCTTGGCGGCCGCAGTGACCACCCAGTGACGACTTCTACGCAGCAACATTGCCGACTCTTTGGGACTCATCAATGTCAAACGCAAGGAGCCAGACCTTATGACGACCCCGAGTGCCTGAACACAGGCAAGCGTGAACCTTACGTTACGAATCTCGCTTCAATAATGCGGACCGGTAGGCCCTGGTGGCTGAATGAAGCTCTTGATTATGCACTGGAAGCAAGCGGTCTTTTGTCCTCCCAGGCGACATGCGATCGTCTTCAGGACGCACATCCCTTCCCACAAAAGCTGTTGCGAGTGTTCAATCCCTTGACTAGGACATTGATCCATCGTCTTTGAGGTTTCTGCATACGGATTGATCGCTGGGAGGGAGAAGCACTGCTGGACGTGAAGACTAGAAGACTTGTGTTGTTACTGCGCTTGCTGACCTGGGTCGACCTCATCCTGTTTCCCTTTCTCCACTACATCGCATTCGCATTTCACCCATCCGGGATTCAAGACAAGTATTATCGATTCCTCCGTGCGCAGGTGGTTCCATTCTACACATCTCGCAGAAGGGCAACTCATTTGGTAAGGCTGCCATCACTCTCGGCCGTAAGCATTCCCGCAAGGCTGTCATAACTGCAGCATCGCGCTTCATACCCGTTTCGGTCGCTGGCAGATCTTGCAAGTCTTTGCTAACAGGTCTACCAACATCGATACTCTTACGTCCTTAACAGGCACGAAGCGGAGAGACTCAAAGCAGCACGCCATGGCTGCCACATTTGGCCAAGTTCTATAAAGCAAAGACGTGAAAGCCATCCAAAGCAGGGTATGTCGGAAATTTATCATGAGTATCGGCAAGAAAGGCAGCTCATTCAACCAGATTTTCTCGAGGCCTGGCCACTATAATAATCAGAGACAGCCACCCAAGTTCTTTTCCGATCTTAGGCTTTCAGATACGAAAATGGGAACTCCCGGTGCGAAGATGGATACTATTGTGCACTATCGTGATTGGCCAAATACAATGGGGGTGAGCATATCTGTCTGCGTTATGGACGCTCCTAACGAGTACCGTCTACAGTTCGATGCAAATTATGAAGAGAAGACCCCGGTTGAGTTAAGAGTGCAAGGTATCATTCCGCCTTACACAGCGGGCACTCTGTTTCGTACGGGTCTCGGGCCAAGGTCACTCCATACATCGAAGGACACTGAGTTCAAAATCAATCACTGGTTCGACAACTTCTCTCAAGTCCACCGTTTCCAAATCCACGCACCTCAGCCAGATTCGAAAGTGCGGGTCACTTACAATTCTCGCTTGGTCAGTGATGGACTGATTGAAAAGATCAAGAAGACCGGAAGGCTAGATGATTTCACATTCGCCGCAAAGTACGATCCCTGCAAATCCCTGTTTCAGAAAGTACAGGCTGTCTTTCAGCCATCAGCCCCTCCACTAAAGCCGAACGAGGTCAGCGCTGCAGTAACCATTTCTCTGAACTTTCCCGGTTTTGCCAGAGATGGTCAAAAATCAGAGGGTCCGCGGGATCCTGGCCAAGCTATGACTCTGTGCAATAAAACAGATGCCAATATCTTCCAATTTCTTGATCCGGAAACTCTGGAGCCCGTGGGCATTGCTCGCCAGGCCGTTCTTCACCCTGATCTCAAGGGCGTGGGCAGTGGCGCACATGCAAAAACAGACCCCGAAACAGGGGACGTCTTCAACTACAATCTCGACTTTGGTCGCACCGGGACCTATCGTCTGTGGCGCACTTCCGCGTCCACGGGAAAGACTTCCATCTTGGCGACATTTCACCATGCTCCGGCGTACCTTCATTCTCTCTTTCTGACAAAGAATTATGTGATTTTGTGCGTGTGGAACTCGTTTTATAAAGCGGGAGGGGCGTCTATCCTATGGAACCGAAATCTTCTGGATGCTATGGCGTGGGATGGCACGCGGCCAACCACCTGGTTTGTGGTTGATAAGCGATCGCCGGAAGAGGGCGGTAAGGGTGTTGTCGCCAAGTATATTTCCGAAGCGTTCTATTCCTTCCACACCATCAACGCGTACGAGGAGCCATCGAGATCCCAGCCAGGTGCAGTCGACATCGTGTGCGACCTCGCCGCATATGACAACATGGATGTTCTCCACCACTTCTATCTGGACAACCTGATGAGTGATCATCCCCAGGCACACGGCTACGCAGATTCATTGAGTTCTAGTTCACGCCCGAGCTATCGACGGTATCGCCTGCCGGTCATACCCACGACGCCAAAGCCTGGGCATTTCCATGCCAGTCTGGAGCACGAGAGCGCGAAGGTCGACGCATTCGAGCTTCCCGTTGTTAACCCCAAAATGGTGACAAGGAAGCATCGGTACATGTACGGCATTACTGACACTGGAAAGTCTACCTTTGTCGACGGTCTTGTCAAGTACGACGCCGAGACACACGCGACCACTCGATGGAGTGTACAGGGCCAAAGCCCAGGGGAGCCAATTTTCGTGGGAGACCCCCAATCTGAGGACGAAGACGGAGGAGTGCTCTTGTCGGTGGTCCTCGATGGGCCAGGAGGAAAGAGCTATCTCCTTGTGCTTGATGCGAAGACGATGACAGAGGTCGGGCGTGCGCATGTCGATGGTGTGATTGGATTCGGATTTCATGGCCTGCATGTTAGTTCCCGGGAGCCTGTCGGCAGGTTCAACGGAATGCATTTGTAAAAGATGATCTTTGGTTTGAGGGATGATCTGTGTACATTACCTACCTAGGGAGTTAGTAGGAACGCAGACACAATAATGAATGGACATGGTATAATTGGATGCTGTCTGAGTGGTGTTTGGCGTTGCGGATGTATTTCCCGAGCGCCGGGCTCGGCCTCAGTGCTAGCCCCCCGCATAAGGCAGAAACCTCGGATGATGCAATGCCTGTGGGCTAGTAGTATGGGCGAGGGTTGTGGGCGCTACCGGTTACTAGGTACCTAGGGCAAGTGAGTAGGTGGGTAGTCATAGCTTGGTGACAGCTGATGGCGGTTGGCGGGCATGACGTTGGTGTGCAGTGGCTGGACACAAAGAGCTTTGCATTGCTGTCAGGCACACAACCCAGCTTTCAAGTTCTTTCACTGCAAACGCACACACCTCATCTTCACCGTGATAGGTTTGCGAGTCACTTGTCGCGCTCCTTGTTCCTTTCCATTATGCATCTTCTCTAGCTACTTTCTTACTGCCTCCCTCTCCCTTCGCGCCTGCGCTCTTTGCTGTCTCACCTGGTCTCTGCGTAACCTGCTCCTCACGCGACTCTACTTCTGTCGTCGGCCAGCCGACCATCATGTCGGTTTCAGACCTCATTGACTGGCTTAGTCTGAGCAAGACTTCGCCGCAAGTCAAGGTCACTACCCTCCCCATCACCTACTTCAAATTCCCTCCCTCACCAGAACCAACGACCGTACCTCCGCCAGTCAACAACCCGACCTTCGCGCACCCATTCTCAATCCCGGCGGACCTGTACAATGTCCTCCTCTCTGCACATGTTCCCATCACGGTCGCGCTGGTGTACATGTCACTGGTATCTTTCCTGAACTCGGTCAATGCGAATCGCAAGTACAAGCCATGGGCATTCAGTAGGACATACGTCTTCAAACTTTTTGTCATTGTCCACAATATCTTCCTTGCTGTCTACTCAGCATGGACATGTGTTGGTATGGTTAATGCGTTGCACTTGTCGCTGCCGGAATGGGATCAAGAGTGGAAAGTCGCTGGAACCGTGGACGCACTTTGCAAAATGCACGGACCGAGAGGAGCTGGAAGTGCGGCGACTTACAATGCAACTACCAGCGCATGGCAAATGACGAATCGCATAATGCACCTAGCTGCGGATGGCCTTGGTCCTGAGAGTACAGATGTGGGCCGGATTTGGAATGAAGGGCTGGCGTTCTATGGATGGCTGTTCTACCTTTCCAAGTTCTATGAAGTCGTGGACACACTCATCATCTTGGCCAAGGGCAAGAGAAGCAGCCTCTTGCAAACCTATCACCACGCCGGAGCGATGCTGTGCATGTGGGCTGGAATTAGGTATATGTCTCCGCCAATCTGGATGTTTGTGCTGGTCAATTCCGGCATCCACTCAGTCATGGTAAGTCTACCCATAGATGCAAATGGATAATTCCGCTGACATGAGTACAGTACACATTCTACCTCTGCTCAGCAGTTGGAATCAAGGTTCCCAAATGGTTCAAACAGACCCTGACGACTCTCCAAATCACCCAGTTCGTTGTGGGCGCGACGTATGCCTTCTTACACCTCTTTGTCGCTTACCAGATACCGGTTAGCATTCCTTACATCTATCATGTGGGAGGAGCTGCCTCGAAGATCGTGTCAGAAGCTCCAACAGAGATCACCTCAACTGTGTCCACGGCAATCGCAACAGCCTCCGCCAGTATGGGAGCTTGGCTAAAGAAAGCACTCCTACGAGGTGCAGGTTATGAAGGCCTTGCCGAAAACGTGCTGAACCAAGAAGGCCAGCCATTCGGAGTCGATGCTGCCCACATCGTTGAAGATGTCATCAAGAGAGAGGAGACGAGATATAGAGATGAGCTCCAATGGGTCCATTGTCTCGACACGAGTGGTCAAGTCTTTGCCATCCTTCTGAATTGCATGTACCTCTTGCCTTTGACGTGGTTGTTCTTACAATTCTTTATCACGTCTTACCTGAAGCAAGTCGAGAGAAGACGAAGCCGATCAGCCAGCGAAACTGCGATGGTCGCGCGAAAGAGCTTTCAAGATGCATCCAAAGGTGTGGCGCGACGGCTTAGCGAAGCTGTTGAAGAAATGCATCGCGTCTCGGATGATATTGGAGATGATACTGTACTTGTGGACGGTGACGAGGTCAGAAGAGAGTTGAAAGAAGCCGCAGAACATGCCAAGATCACGATCAAGGAACATTCGGCGAAGGTCAAGCAGACAGCCAGCGCTAACTCGGAAAAGGTACAACAGGAGTTTCAGCGTGATATGGAAAAAGCGAGGAAAAACCTACACGATACTGCTGAAAAGGTCAAGAATGCTGCTGCACAGGCCGGGAGCGACGAGACCAGGGAGAAGATTTCGGCAAAAGCACAAGCTGTGATGGACTCGACCGCTGAAACTGTCGGGAAGACCATGGAGAGCGTCAAATCTACGGCCCAAAATGTTAAAGAGCAGACTCAGCCAGCTGTCAATTATGTCACGGAGAAGGCGAGCGACTTAAAAGCCCAGGCCCAACCAGCTGTCGACTACGCCACGGGCCAGGCGGGAGACTTGAAAGAACAAGCTGGGTCAGCTGCTGATTATGCTGCTGAGAAGGCGACGGAATTAAAAGAACGCGCAGTTGAGGCGTCACAAACAACAACCTCCCAGTCTCAAGAAGGTGCCCAAGAAGCCACAGAGTCAGGACAGTTAGCAGATGACCAGGAGCGAGACAGTGCAGAAGTAGACCCGGAAACAGCCAAAGACAAGGCTGAAATAATCAAACAAGAAATCGACGAGAATCTGGAGTCAGCAAAAGGCACGGCAACAGAAGAGGCGCAATCGCAGTCATCGGTAGAGAAATACACATCCCAGTCAAAGTCCCCAAACGGAAATGGCACCGCCGCCGAAGAGGAGACTGGTCCGAGCGCGAATCCGAACCAAAGCAAGTCTGGGGAGACGGCAGGAGCAGAGACGGGCGAGAGTGAAGAAGCCAAGAGTGAGAAAAAGGAAGAGGACAAGATCATCGATGAAAGCCAGGTGGTAAGGGATGAGGATGTGGCCGCCGATGGTGACAACAAAGCTGAAGAGGAAGGAGTGAATGGAGAAGGACAAAGCTGGGCAGATATTGCGAAAAAGAAACCCAGTGGGGAGGAAGAAGAGACGAAAGAAGGCGAACCTGACAAAGACAAAGAAGGCTGGGGAATCTGAATCGATGACCGAGCACGATACGAGCAGCAGCGAGTCGGCGAAGATGGAATCAGTACTCGACGAGAGGCATGTCGCAACGAAGTGACAGGGGAGAATCCAAAGGGACAGGGAGCCCATTCATCCGAACCCTAAGGTCCTCGACCTCATACTGTTTCTGTATGCTGCGAATCCATTCAATCGAGTGGTTTCCAAATCAAGCACACCCTCGAGGCTGGCATGCTCCCTTGCAAACACCTCGTTGGACTGCAGGACAGAAGTTTTGAAGGATCCCGACTTCGAGATAGAGCCAGGTAATAATAGTTCAAGACCTCCAACTATGTGCCTATGTAGGTAATTAATGAATAATTCGAGACAAGGAGGACCTCTAGAGTACCTACCTAGGCATCGGTCTATGTATTTACGTAGCTACAGTATGTAGGTAGCAGCTACATAGGTGCCAGATGGCTGGAGCGACTGGCCGAGCTCAGATTTTCCATTGCTATCAATCACATTTGTTGCCTTCCCTGCCTTCCATCGCAGGGGCTTTCCCTTTCCTCTATAGAACGCGTGTGTATTTATGCAAGGATCTCCAAGAACGCCCGACGACGCGTCCGCGTATCCGACAGACTGGGGTTTCGACCCAACTCAGCAGTCATATCCCGCGGTTGAACTCCACCAGACCCCCTTCGCCGCCCCTATCCCAGAACTCTTCCTCCAAGGTCCTGGCGCTGACGGCCTGCCGTTGCGGGAACGCCGCCAACGCCAAGGGCAGGGCAAAGATACTGGTCGTCAAGATCAAGCCCAAGTTCACGGGTAGGACCATCCTCGGCCGAGACTTGAGCCACTCTGTCTTCTGGAGTCGGACCAGTATGAGCGGAGGAAGGACCATGATGGGGGTCGCGTTGAGGACGCGGGAAATGGCTGTTTCACCCACGGCTAGGACGGCGGCTTTGCGAGATTTACCTAACGACTCGACTTCCTTGCCGGTCTTCTCACGTTCGGCTTTTTCCTGCTCGGATTGCACGGGGAAAATATCGATGCCGCGGCGAATCTCCTCGGAGCGCATCAGGAAGACGTTTAGTGCGCCTGCGCTCGCCACGGCTGCGAAGGGGACGAGGCGGCCGAGGACCAGTCTGGTGTTTGGCGAGAGTCGTTTCAACCGCGGGACAAGCGAGTTCAATCCCACAGCGACAGAGCAAGAGGCAGAGACTGCCATCAGGTAGGATTTCACCAACGTGGATGTGCTAAGCGGTGAGGATTTATTTGCATTGGCCGAGTTGATGGCCACATTGAGCGACTGGTTGATAATTTGCCAAGCTACGGTGCCGGTGGTGCTCAGGTTTGGTGTGAGCATACCAGCGGTGACGACCAGATTGGAGATCACGAAACAGGACATGCGGAATGGGAGGAAGACTGGCTGGCCGGTATCTGTTCAGTGTTAGACAGGATACTCTCTGTGTTGCGGCACGAGATATCATCTAACCTGGATGTAGTGTTGAATCCACGATCTTTTTGGCTTGCCATATTTCCGGGGTCATGACCTTTGCTTCCCCGGTCTTGTAGGAGGTCACGAGTCGCTTTGCATTTTCAAGGCCAGAGGAGGAAACGAATAGTGTTCTGGGGATCAAGCAACGGTCAGCACCAAGGCTTTAATCAAAGACGGCGGTGTATCTGCTGCGGTCTGTTGCGCTGTACCTTCAGCAGCATTTGATGGCACAAACTGGCCGCCAACCCAAAAGCTTCAGATCAACACTTCATAGTGACACGCTTGCTCTGTCCTCACCTCGGATCTGCTATCTGTGCCGACTGCATGACACGGCCCCAGTATGTTGACAGGTCATACTGAGATGCTGGGAGGTCTCTGTTCCCGGGAAGTGAGGCGGACATCGTGGCGCCAGCGCCTCAATGCGACCGCGTGGGTGTGTGAGAGGACCGGGGCAGATTAAAGAACCTGAATTAGTGGTGCTATGAGCTGCGAAAGGAAATGAACGAATGTCGGCTCGTGCGCAGTCTATGATCCTCTCATTGCGATCTCTGAGGGGCGGTCGTTGCGGTCTACGAGGTACAACTTGGAGGAGCTGAACTCGACGTACTCACAAGGAAAGTGTGACGAGGTTTCAGCCTTGCACTTCCGAGGTTCAGCCTCGTTCACGGCACATCGGAAGAACAGCCTTGCAGCTTCAACAACAGTTGCTTCCTATCACTATCTCAAACCTATGGCCTCGTAGCACTTGGCTGCCAAATTTCACATTGCTCGGTTTCCAACAAGCTCGGCAGTGCGGACACCACTGACGTCTTTTGCTCTCATATCCATTCGGAACGGCGTGTACCGGTGCGAGTCTCTGAAAGGCCCAAACGGGTTGGCGAGCTTCTTGACAAACTGTCCTTCTCGAATCTCGCCCTCGATGCCACCAAATGCCCCATCTGCACACCATCCCAACATCTTGCGAACACGGTCCGACATGCTGGCCTCGACCTCGGGTCGGATTGATAGGAAGTTGTTTTCCTGTTGCCGGATGAAGGATCGCATGAAGAACATGAGAATCACCGGCCGTTCCCCACTCGTCATTTTGTTTGGACCCGTGGCGTGCCAAAGTCGACTTTCGAAGACGAGCGCTGTCCCTGCTGGCCCTTCCGCCGCCACTGTCCCGTCTATATTGAAAGGATCTGGAGCACGACCGAAGTTAGTGGCGTCATTCGAGATCACGATTCCTCGGCAACCAGGGTAGCCAACGCCCGTTCGGTTGGAATCCAATACAGAAGTAAGGAGAAAGATCGACTCACCATCAGGGGCAATGGCACCGAGGTGACTGCCCGGAAACACCCTCGTTCCACCATTTTCCGCCGTGATATCAGTCAGAAACCACATGATGTTGATGCCAAAGTACAAGTTCCGAACTGGCGGTTGAATCCCGACCTGGTCTGTATGCAACATCATCGCGTCATTGCCTGGCCGGGCAATGTTCGCGCTATAGCTGTGGACCAGAAAGTTATCACCCAAGTTTTCTGGGATGACCTCATCAATTAGGGGATGCTCTAGCAGATCAAGGAACTCCTGTCCTTTATTGATCAACGTCCAGATCCTTTGGTTTGGCGTGTTCGGGCCCCCATCTCTCGCGGCAACACCAGCTTCCATCTCCCCACGTCCTTGTTGACGAACGGCTTCCGCCAAAACTTCGACTTGATCTCGGGTCAAAGCATTTTTCACCAAGCCATAGCCAAACTCTTTCAGATCGCGTCTAACCTGATCGATATCTTCTGTGGGAGTTGGTAACCTGCTGCCAGGCTTGGGCGACACAGGGTTGACCGGATCCACAGGGCAGAGGGCGTCACCGAACTTGACCGCAACCTTAATATCCCCCTTTGGCAGCGTCGATTTGTCGAAGAAGCCGTCCTTGAACAGAGCAAATCGCGGCTCCAGCTGACCCTGAGCGAACGCAATGATATAGCGAGGCTTGATTTTCACATGGCAGTCAGGTTCCCCGTCAAATGTCTGCAGGATGCGAGGCTCCTCCCGCGTATCAATGTAGATTGGCCCACTGTCTAGACCAATATCCAATCCGAGAACAGCCTTGACTCTGGTCATCTTGGGCAACCCATTTCGAATCACTTCCAGCGCTTCCTCACGATCGTCCTTCTTCTGCGAATGAGGCTTCCAGTTGGAGAACATGCCATATCTCAAGCCTGGCTTGGGAATACTTGTCGTTCCATTGGCAACACCGTTAGTGGCCACGGTGCTCGAGCCGTTCGTCACACCATTTGGGTGGTTACCAGGTTCTGATGGGCGCGAGAAATTCATCCTCACCAAAGTCCTTTTGTCTTGGATGGTGTAAATGGCTGTACATCTTCATGTTCGGAACGAACCTCGATGATATTCTGCTACCCCTAGGACCAGCTGCCACTCCACTGGTAGGCAGTAGCATGTGAGTAATGGTTTGCGCAGTCATGGAGACGGCAGCAAGAACCTTCGGCTTCATGGCCTACCCAGTCCAGCCAACAGAAGGACGGTACGATGGCTTGTGGACCGAGAACCAGTCCTTCGTTCAACCCCGCATTGTTTGATAGCTTGTCGGCAGGCGCCTGGTTCTGACCAGGATGCTCCAGGTTAGCATCCGCATTGAATTCGAGTCGTCTGAGAAGGGCAAAATTCTAAAAGGTGAGAGATCCTGTCGTAGGTTGAGACGAGTCAGAGAGATTTGATTCAGGCCACCGCTGGAGCGAAGAAAAGCTACCCTCGGTTGTATCGACTTCCTGCTTGACCAGGGCTGCGATCTAGACCTTTCTGGATATCCGCGGCTCTTCAATGCGCCCATTGGGAATCCAGCGACCTTTTCCCCAGACACGCTATTTTCCCATATCTACCTCGTATTTGGTACCCTATCGAGCAAATACCTGAGTGAAGCTCATCCGATTTGCCCCAGTGGCGGGGTCAAACAAATCTGGGGTCGTCAGGCCAATGTATTCCGGGACATTGGTCCTTCGAAACCTCCTCTCACGCAACAAGGTTTTGCTTCTCTGCCATGGGGAACTTCCTAGGACCCTTTCTGCTGGTCGTATTTATGCTCTCCTTAGCAGCCAGCCCCGCAATTTCGCCGCGTAAGAGGCCCTTCAGGAGCGACAGCCATGAATCTCCCTTCATCCTAGCCCTGCTTTCTCATTTTACTCTTACTCAGATTTCCCTATGTCATCACCAGCTTGACCAAACATCGATTGTCATTCCAGCGGCATGAAGGATGATTGTGACCAGTCCAAGGGCGGTCGCGGGGGTCGTTCAAGCCGAATGAGCAATGAGGACAGGAAACTTCGGAATCGCCTGTCGCAGAAAGCCTTCCGCGCTCGGCAGGCTATGCGAATCAAGGAGTTGGAGGACAGGCTGGAATCAAGGCCATCGTCCGAAACCGAACGAATCGCAGAGCTCGAAGAGCGAAATGCTTTTCTCGCCAGCAGGCTCTTCGAGTGCCATAAGAAACTGGAGAGCCTTCAGGTTACTATCAAAACTCTGTCAGAGGCTACTGCTGAGGCACTTGACATGGTAGTAAGTATTGCGATTAGCTCGACTTCTTTTCGGACCTCGCACAGGACTGATTCTTTCTGCGAAAGATCAACAAGGACAAAAAGAAGGACTCAGATGCCAATGAAGAGGTGGAAGATGATGTTCCTCGTCCAACCTCAGTGCCTTCGTCGACCTCAGACGTCTCTTCGCCGAATTTGAAAGACATCTCCGTCTCTTTACTAGAGACGGAATCTAATGGCGAAGGGGACATCGTTATTCCCGATCTGACTTTGGATGCCACTCATCAGAGCCCAGAAATCCCGGCGAATGCAGCGAACTGGCCCGATGTGGATACAGGTTACGACGAGATACCCAACGACTTCAAGGACGCCCTTCAAGCGGCGATAAGCAACGATCCCAGTATATTCGCCTCCTTGGATTTGCTCGAGTCTTCCAGTCCGAATAATGACGCGGTCTTCATAGACAAGAGCAGTCCCCTCATGTGGGAAAATATGATGGCCGAACCAATCATTCAACAAAGACGATCCTTCACTTTCCCGCAGATGGGTCCAAATGCATATGCTTCTGGAAATTATGGTCCGGTCTTGGTGCGAGGTCCCCATGGGCAGCTATACCGGACAAACTCCCCGTGGTCAGACCATATCACCACTCTCGAATACTTCTTACGCCAGAAGTGGAAACCGGTGGTCCTTCGAAGGAATGGAAAAGACATGCCAGTTGATGGGTACGTGAGCACTTGTGCTTTGATCCATGAAGTTTGACTGATTGGGCCTACAGTCTTCCGAGCTCGGTTTGCTTCATGCTGTCCTCATTCATATGTCTATCGTGGCCGACAATGGCCGCCTGGCACACCTACACCCGAGCTCATCTTCCCGTCGGCAGCCTTATGGCGTGGCGCCTAAACCCGACTCCGGAGATGTATGCGGCCATTGATCCTGCTCTCAGTCCGACGAAACTTCAGATGACAACGCACCACCCAGCAATTATCGATTGGATTCCCTATCCTACTCTACGTGACAAGCTAATCATCTACCATTCCGCCAATCCCCATCTAGATGATTTGATCTGCGAGATCGGCAATTCATATGTCATGGAAGTTGATCTTGCGCGTTTAATCGCAGGGATACCTCCTACTCGAGGCTATGTTGGGGTATGGGATCTTGTCCGATCGATCGCGCCGGAAGCGACATCAAGTTCAGATACGACCAATCTTTTCCAGCCGGATTTTGAGAATTCTCCGGAGACTATCGATGATTTCGATGAGGAGGAAGAGTTGACCAGCGGTGCCAGCTGTTTACCTGCGCCTAACGCAAGTGTGCTTTTCGGCTCGAAAGTGCTCGCCCTGAAAGCATTCAAGTTGATAGGCATGCACAAGGGTGTTGGGAACTTTTTGCTCGATCCGCATTTCTTCGACAGGCATCCAGAGCTTTTCGACCCTGCGGGAAACATTGTCGCCCATGGCGTCCCGCTCCGCCCTGGGAACCGGAAGTTCATTTCCGCGCCTCAGCCCTTGGACTCCAGCGTGCTGGGCAGGTACAAGGAGTTGTCTTCGTGGTCACTTTCCATGTCCTCGGCCATGATAACGGCGATATGAAGGAAATGCCAGAGCGGCAGGATCGTGGGGGATGAACGAGGAGGTTATCTTGGCCTGGAGCAGAGACATTCGTTGCGACTTCTACCAGTCGACTTGCGGCTACTCTTGAGAGGCCAGCTGAAAAGGCTTGCCATATGGAAAGCCTCTGGGTGACTGGATGGCTACGAGGAGGGAAGATATGGGTCATTCAGATCCTCTTGTCAAGATTAATACATTGGATTGATCAGTTGGACCCTACCCTGGAAGGTGTAAAAGGTATACGAGAATGACGCGTTTCTGGTCGAAGATCCAGCTCCATATTTTATGCGGAATGGAGGGGGATTTCCTGGACGTACTTCTCTAACCGACAAACTGCGGTTTGAGCCAGCCGTCGTGCCTCTTTGTAGTTGCCGGCCGTGACGAGCGCATCTACCAGCAGCCACATTTCCCGCACGACGTGAGGATCTGTCTCGGCGTGGGCATATTCGAGGAGAGCGACAATGGAACGAATCTGATCGACGACCTCGGCAGGCGTCAAGAGGCCATCACCCCCTCCTTGCTCAGATTTGATGTCCATTATCGTCCTCATCGCACACGCCACCTTTGCAGCGTGGACACGTGGTACCCTCGCCGTCGTCGGCACGACTCCAATTGTATTGACTGGTGGGCCTAGGATAACAGGCTGGTCATCAAGAACATGAGTTGTGACTAGAACCGCCAGGATGCGGAGCAAGATGGTGCTATCGCCAGTGAAAGACCCTTCTTGGGTGAACATGGAATCCCGATGTTCCAGGAGCGCCCCGATGCTGCGCGCGCTGAGCATCTCATAGTCCGGAGGAGGCGACGCGTCCATGCGTGGCGCGAGCAGATGCTGGAGCAATCTGTCCGTCGTCGCGTCAGGGGTGGGATTTGAACGAGCTTCCGTCCGCTGGGCTTCCGCCGCGAGGCAGGAGCTCTGCTGCGCGTCGGGGTCGCTGAACCAGTCGTTTGCTGCGCTGACCAAGGCGGCTGGGAGGGTGATCGAGCATGAGTTCCAGTGGATACGGCAATAAAGCGAGAATAGACTGGGGTCAAAGTGCTGGAAGAGGAGCTCGGCGTTCAGGGTCCATCCCCGTTCTAACAGAGATGAAAGGATGTGTGATGAAGACCGAGTCCTTGTGTCGTTATCTGCGGTATATGAAGACGGTGATGAGGATGACGAGGGCGAGGACGAAGGTGTCGGTACACAGCTCCCGGAGATGAGGGTATCATCTGTTATACCAGCGACGAGTCCCCCCAACCCGCGGAACATGGCAGAGATGGGATGAGGCTTCGGCGTCCTGGTGTTCACCAGTGCAGTGAGATGGGCCAGTAGCATTTGGAAGAGCTGCGGCTGACGCAGTGCGACCATGTAGTGCATGATCTCGAGCAAGTTCCACAGCAGCGCAGGTGCTTCGAGCCGCAACATGTCTTCGACCATCAGGAATGCCTTGCGGGCCAATCTACCAGCCATGTTCCCGTGGCCTCGGTCCAACAGGTCCACCACCAGCTTGAAGGTGACGCTCATATTGTCTGTCTGCTCGGCATATGGTTGGGTTTCCCAGGTCTGCTGCCGCTGACACGCGCGGGACCCAGTATGAGACTGCAACGGCTCGAAAAATGCCAGGCTGCATACCCGCACCCCAGTCAGGAAGGTGAGTATCAGAGCCTCATCGTGACCGAGTCCAGGGCATGCGCGCATCGAGCCCACAGCGCTTACCGGGCTAGGCCTTCTGCTCACGTCCTTCCTGCATTCATACTTTAATGGCGTCGGCGCAGCAGTAGCAGAGCGTCTGGCATTCTTCTGGAAACCCCACTTGGCGAATCGCTTCTTGTACATCTGCGCCCTAACATGCATAAAACAACGCCAAAAAGTCAGTCCCTCATTGTTGTAAGACCAAGACCTTTCGCTGCGCAGCCCAGAGCCACAAGAGACTCAAGATGGGGAGTGGTGAGAGGGTGATCCTTACGTCGCCTTGAAGCCATGCTCCCTCTCCATGTATTGCATGATGAACCGCAGTTTCCGACGCTTGTAAACATACAGTCGCTCGATCTCCGAGTATAGAGCCGCCCACTCCCGGTGTGTTGGAACGGACTGTGGCCCGGGAACGACAGGCGCCGCCATTGGCCTCCTTGGCCGAGGGATCAATGGTGGAAATGCCATGGCCATGGGACACGACGGTGAGTATGAAACGACTGCAAGGAACTTTTTGGTTGGACCTGATATGATGAGATGAAAAAGAACGGCACTGGAAGACCGACAATAATAAGGCAAAGTAAAGCAGATTCGACTGAATACGGAGTCGGGCCAGGAAGCGGGGCCCTGTCAGCCCTCAGCCAATGGAAACGGAGGAAAAGGTTCCCTACAGGACTAGCGCCGATCATCTGGAGTGACCGGCGGGTCCCAGCACGGCGGGTCCTATTGGGTACGGAGGATATACGAGGGCGCGCACCAAAAGTGCTGAGTTAGCGCATTTCTTAGCGTTTCAACCAATGCCTAATCTAGCTCAATGTAGGACTAGCTTTTCGTCCCCCGGCCAATCTACCTAGTAAATAGAAACCTGTAAATACACAATCCTATACCATTATTAATTGCTGCCTAACGTGAATAATCAGGTCGATATCGCTATCTAACCTACCCTATTAACAGCGATGTCTACGCTGTCAATAATAGATATAAAAGATGGTCGTAATTGCCAGGAAGATTTATTCTTCAATTTCTACGGTTATTCCATTGCGTTTAAGTATACCTTTGACTGATTTATATATAGAATAAGCCCGTGGCCGCGAAGCCTCGCGGCCGAGAATACCTCATAACCCGCGAGCTTAAAGACCTTTATCTTAGGAATAAGCCTCTAGCTATACTAGTGTTCGATATTCGCTCGCTTAACGCGTTTAGATATTGACCTTACTATCGCTTAGTTAGACGCCGCGGTAAGTTAAATAGGCTATTCGCGTACCTAGTTAATAGGCTAGGAGGATTCTTGAGAAGACGTAGGAGCGAGGGTTTAACCCTTAGGAGGATTTCTAGATCCTTAAGTACTACGTCGAGGACGGCGTGAGGATAGGAAGACCTAGAGAGATCTTAGAGAGTGATAAATAGCGTGTCCTATCCGTCGTTACTAAGGATCGATCTAGTAGAGAGAAATTAAGCGATATTATTACCTATAAATCTAGCGTTAGTTTATTATTTATTCTACGCGTTCTAAAGAAGTATAGCTTTACTAACGTTAAACTAACGAGAAAACCTAGCCTAAATAAGGCCTAGCGAACCGTTCTATTAGCGTTCTATTAGCGATATTAATACTAGACCTTAGAGGATTAGAAGAACGTTATCTAGTCCGATAAGACCTCTATCGTCCTAAGTAGACGAGGCCGTTAAAGAGTCTGGCGGCGCTTAGATAAAGCTCACATTCTATCGGTTATTCGTAATCGCTAGAAAGGTTATTCTAAGTTTATATTCTAGGGCTGTTTTACTTACGATTCAAAAGGGTCTTATTTTATCTAGACGCCTAAAACTGCTATAGAACGTAGAGAGGTAAATAAGTACATTAAGAGACTTAATTAAGAGATCGAAGAGGTTAAGAGAGAGAAATAGGAGCTGAAAATAGATACTAGGCGACTAGGTCTAAGGAATAAAGGTAGTAAAAAGCTAGCCTAGCGATTCATAGAACGAACTAGTAAGTTAATAAGGCGTAGTTAAGGAGGAATCGATTAGTATCGATATATTAAGGTAAGCGATCTCGGGACGATCGATAGCCTATCGGGCTATTTTCTATAGAATCTACTAACAAACTTACTCTTAAGTTCATCGTCTAACCGCTTATTATCCCGTTTATATAGGAGTGCTAGAAATCGCGGCCTAAGACGATCGTCTAGGAGGATAATGCGCCATCGTATACGCACTAGTATACGTAATAAATCTATCAATTTAATCAAATTCCTCGCCTTCCACACCCTCCTAATTCACCTGATTTAAACGCCTCAGAAAAGGCCTAGTCGTGGCTCAAAAAGGTAACGATATTCCGCGGTCCTCCTCCTTCTATTAGCGAGTTAAAAAAGGCCTAGAAAAGGGCGTGGAAAGCGCTTCCGCAAAGGTAGATTCAATAGTAGATTGAAGGTATTCCGCGGAATATTCAAGAGATTATACGCCTTAAGGGTGGCAACGAGTATAAGGAAGGGCGCGAGACTAAGCGTAGCTATAGAGGCTATCGCAAGGTTGGCCACCTAGGCAAGCACATCTATCTACTGGACAGCGAGGTAGGCGACGGCGAGGTCGATCTAGAGACTAGCCTATCTACCGCGGACGTTATGGAATGGCCAACCCACGGAAAGCCTAGCGATCGCAACAGTGAACAGGACAGTAAATAGGACGATAAACAGGACGATAAACAGGACAGCGATTAGGTCAGATCATGACTTGACCAGCTAGCCATTCATACAAATCAGGTGAGCGATTGCTCTCTCTACTATTCCATGGCCAACTAACAGCCTAGCAATTACAACAGTGCACAGGCCGATAAACTGGCAGGTTAACAGGCCACTTAACAGGCCAGTTAACAGGCCAATTAACAGGCCATTTAACAAGCCAATTGACAGGATGATGAACTGGTAGGTTGATAGGACGATGAACTAGTAGGTTGATAGGCTAATTAACAGGCCAATTAACAGGCCAATTAACAGGCCAGTTAACAAGCCAATTGATAGGATGATGAACAGGATGATGAACGGGACGTTTAGATAGACAGCGATCAGGCTAAGTCATGACTTGACTAGCTAGTTACTCATATAAAATAGGTGACAGATTGTTTCCTCTACCATGCCAAGGCCCTAAAGATAATTGGCGTAAACGCTAAGAAATGCGCTAACTCAGCACTTTTGGTGCGCGCCTCGGTACCTAGTACGAGGTTCTCATGGGTCCTGCAGGCTCGTTGAGTTCTCGCTGGGGTTCAGGTGCCTTGCAAAGTAAGAAAAGGAAAGAAACAGAAGGTGCCTACCGGTTTGGACATGTTCTAACTCCGCCGAAGATGGACGGGCCTCCCTGATCGCGTTCGGGCGCCGGACCATCTCAAGCCTTATACGCCCTTTTCAGAAGGATTCGCGACTCAACGCCTGAGATTGATACCGGGAAGGTTATGTCACTCAGCAGAGTCTATGGAGTAGCAGCTCAGACTTGACCTGACACCGGATAACACTTTACGCCGCCTCCGTGTCTGCAATGAGTCTTGAAGGTGAATAAATGGAGCCTGCTTTCCTCGATTCGAATCGGCGTCTGTCTTGGCCCTACCAGCACATAAGAGAAACTGCTTTGCCCATTCCCAGGGCCTAGCACCCCCATCGAATCTCCTTTAACGATAGCTCTACCTCTACCTCTATCCTGCCTTGTAGACGATGGCTGTTTCGAACGACAAAGTTGTGATGACGATTGGAGGGACAGATCCACCCAAACATTCAATCTTGAACACCGCCGATGTGAAGGATGCTAGTGACAGTCTCAGCACACCCCAGGAAAAGTCCGTTCAGAGCATGACTGACGACCAATATCCGCATGGTTTGAAAATGGCACTCATCGCAGGGGCGTCGGTGGTCGCTGTATTTCTCATTGCACTGGACCAGGTGAGCACTGCTGAGCACTGCTTCTGACATCGTACACAAGGCTTACTCTGACACCAACCGCATCTAGACCATCGTCGGCACCGCAATTCCCAAAATCACCGACGAGTTCCACAGCCTCAATGACGTATCTTGGTACGCTGCGGCGTACTTTATGACTTTTGGCGCTGCCCAGACCTCGGCGGGCAAAGTGTACAAATACAACAACCTCAAATGGAGTTTTCTGATCTCCATGTTCATCTTCGAGGTTGGCAGTCTGGTCTGTGGAGTTGCGCCCAACTCCAATGCGTTGATCGTCGGCCGGGCCATCGCTGGACTGGGCGGCGCCGGTCTCTCGGTCGGTGGCACAAGTATCGTATCCTTTACTGTCGAGCCAGCCAAACGACCGATGATGATGGGTGTCATTGGTATGACATATGCCATTGCCGCCGTCCTTGGACCGCTAGTTGGTGGCGCATTTTCCGATCATACCACCTGGAGATGGTGCTTCTACACCAACCTGCCGATTGGGGGAGTCGCGGCGGTAATTCTCTTCTTCTTTTTCCATCTTCCAAACGCTGCAGCGCCTCCTAAGATCTCTTGGGTAAAGAAGTTGTTGCATATGGATCTGGTAGGGGTTGCTTTAGCTATGGGAGCTATCACCTGTTTCATCCTCGCTCTTCAGTATGGAGGCATTACTCAACCCTGGGACAGCGGCGTCGTCATCGGTCTCTTGGTTGGCTTTGGGCTTATTGTGATTGCCCTGGTGGGATGGGAGATCTGGCTTGGTGATTATGCCATGATGCTGCCGAGACTCTACCGACAACGTTCACTCTCGACCACGGCCCCTTACCAGTTCTTCTTCATGGGCAGCTACATTGTTCTCCTATACTACCTCCCCATATACTTCCAGAGCATTCTCGGAGCGAGCCCTATCAAGTCCGGCGTCAACAACCTACCTCTCGTGCTCGCAGCGGCCGTGTTCGCGCTCGCTGGCGGAGCTGTCGTTATGAAGACGGGCCGTGCGCAACAGGTTATGTTTGTTGGGTCGATGCTTGCCACCGTGGCCGTTGGCCTGACCTACACACTCGATATTGACACCTCGACTGGAAAGTGGGTGGGTTACCAATTCTTCATAGGAGCCACCATGGCTTTCGCCATCATGCACGGTTTGACTATTGCTCAAGCCAACGTGGGTCCCGAGGATCTCGCAGCTGTCACGGCCAACCTTTTGTGTAAGTCTTCACATCTCCTCACCTCTTGAAACAGTTGAAGGGAAGCTGACCAACTTGTTGCATAGTCTTCCAGACGCTGGGGGGTGCGTTTAGCACTTCGGCGGGACAGTCAGCCTTCGTCAACAGACTGTTTGCGACTCTGCCCGAGACGGCCCCAGGAGTGAATCCAGGACTGGTGCTTGCGACCGGCGCCTCAGAGCTGCGTAAGGTATTCTTGCCAGACGTGGTTCCCGGAGTCCTCAAGGCATATATGGTTGGTCTCAAGGCAGCATTCGCAGTCGCAGTGGGCTTCTCTGGCGCCGCATTTTTGTGCTCGTTGGCAATTCCCATGGAGAAGCTTCCGAGTCATACCGAAGGACAAGCTCCCATGGCAATGGCGTAGATCATATCCATTGCGTGTGCCAGACAGCTCTTGGTTAGTACACTCGCATATCTTGTCACTCCTCTTGGTCTGTCGTGGCGAGCTTCGCGGTCGTGTTCTCGGAAGGGTGTTGTTCATATGGGTTGTTTTTACGGAGTATATGCACCATAGGTGTCCTACCCAAATAGAGGCACCATCGGCAATTGCCAACTGGAGCAGGAAACCTACGTCGTTGTAGAATAGCCTTGGGTCTTCCTTAGCCGCCGCTCCGAAGCTAGACCATATCATAATGTCAATACGTGAAGGGATGGCGGAAATGGAGAGAAAATTCGAAGAACCTAAGGCAATCACGTCACGTTTTCAGGATCGCGGTTGTTTTTCACCTGTCGGTCATACTCTTCTCGCATGGTCTTGATGCGCCACCTTAACATGGTGTGTCAGAATTGTCTTGTAGCCCAGGAAGAGATAGAGAGGCGCTAGGGAGGACGAAGAACCGTCCCGGGCTTCTTACTGGAGATACCGATGTAATGTTCGGTCGTGGTCTTCCTTCGTCTTAGAAACGTATTTCTCTGTATCACGCCCTTGTATGTCTCGCTATGTGTCCTTTCATGTAGCCGTTAGCTTCAGCTCGAGTCCATAGCTCGTCTATCGTGGCGTTCTGCCTGCCCATGGTGTCGGCGTAGAAGCTCGAGGGGTTCGGCCTACGTCGGTCGTGAAGCAACAGTGACGGAGCTGGGGGAAATAGCCGTTGTAGGCCACAGATTTCGACCGGGAAGATTGGGGCCAGTAGGCTTAGAGGCGAGAGGGACGCCATTATGTATATAGGGTCGGCGAGTCGACGAGAGAGGAGTCCCCCCAGTTGTCGCCGATAATGGAACTCATCTTGGGACGGGGCGTACCAGGGGGACTGCAGCAGAAATCAGACCGCTGCTGGCGAGGGTACGTGAGAGTGAGAGCGTACGTCGCAGGGTGCGAAGGTGAGAAGAGAGTGAGTCGCAGGTTGTCTTAAAAGCGGCACCGTCTCCGGGAGCGTGCCGTGTGCCGCCAAGGTATCGGATTAATGTTTCGTCGAGCCGAAATCAATCGACGATTTAATCACACGAGTCTTTACCACGACGGTGTGCAGCGGTGGTTTCTACACAACGTGGCCGCAGCAGAAGTGTGATTGCAAAAGTCGAGACCCTCCTCATCATGGTACAAAAAGAAGAACTATCAGGCGACGAGTCTGACGACTCTCAATTTGAATGGGAAATGGAACAGGGCATCCCTCAAGTCGATGATCCGTTCATCCAAAAGTACATGGCGGGGCGCCAGGCTCTGATAGAACAGGAGAAAAAGCAACGCCATGACCGGGCTTTCAAACAGAACATGTCTCCCATGGCTAAACAGGCGGCTAAGATCATGGCGTCGATTCGCCGGCGAGAGCTGCAGTCAGTGTGGACTTCCGAGTTTGAGGATAGCCTCGCTGATAAGAACGGTGGCAACCTGTATCCAGGAATGATGTTCACCCTGGCTCGCGATCGCATGGAGACGACTGAGTTGTGGAAGATCGTCGAGAAGATGCCGAAGGGTGCACTGCTGCATGCTCATCTGGACGCGATGATTGACATTGATTGGCTCGTTGACCAGGCTCTGGCGGAGAAGGGATTCTGCATGATTGCACCTGAAGGGCTGAGTGACAAGGGCAAGCGGACTTCGGGTGCATTACAGTTCAGATACTATCCCGACGAGGTGGTCAAGAAACAGAAGAGTACAGGAAGTATTTGGACAGGGACATACACGCCGAATACGCCGGTTACGATCAGAGAAGCACAGAGGACATTCCCGGATGATGATCAAACCTTTAAGAAATGGCTAATCAGCAGATGCACCATTACCAGCGAGGAGTCCTTGTGCCACCACCATGGCCTGGATGCTATCTGGAAGAAGTTTCAGAGTACGTTTCTGGTCATTACTTGGATGTTCACCTACGAACCAATCTTCCGCCGCGCCATTCAGCGCCTTCTCGGCCAGTTGGCAAAGGACGGCATTGTCTACGTCGACTTTAGAATCGCATTCAAGTTCGAGTTCCGAAGGCAAGGAAAGACTACGGGTCAAGTGGGCAAATTTGACGACTTTTTCACGATTTTGGGTGAGGAGATCGAGAAGTTCAAACGGTCGCCTGCCGGCAAGACCTTCAAAGGCGCACGCATGATATGGACGGTCATTCGTAAATCGGACAATCGAACACTTGTCGATTCGATGAAGGAGTGCATCCGCATGAAGAAGAAGTTCCCCCACATGATTTGCGGCTTTGACTTCGTGGCTCAAGAAGACCAGGGAAGGACGCTGAAAGATCTCACTCCACTCATTTTCTGGTTCAAGAAGAAGTGCGCGGAAGCAGGTGTGGATTTGCCCTTCTTTTTCCACGCGGGCGAGTGCCTTGGTGACGGCGACAGTACGGATAACAACTTATTCGATGCACTTTTGCTGGGGACTCGACGCATTGGACATGGGTACTCTCTGTACAAGCACCCCTTGCTGATTGACATGGTCAAGGAGAAGAAGATATTGGTCGAGAGCTGCCCGATCTCCAATGAGATTTTGCGACTCTCCAGCTCTATTCTTTCGCACTCTCTTCCGGCTCTCCTTTCACGAGGGGTGGCCGTGTCATTGAACAACGACGACCCTGCAATCTTGGGCCACGGGAAAAACGGCTTGAGTCATGATTTTTGGCAAGCCTATATGGCATTTGAGAACCTCGGATTGGAAGGCCTGGCAACAATGGCCGAGAACTCGCTGAAATGGTCCGCCATAGAAGATCAAAAACCAGGTGAGTGGACTAAGGATATCACCGACGGGTATTTGGGGAAAGGAGTCAAGGCAAAGTTACTGAGAGAGTGGAGGAGCGAGTTTGAGAAGTGGTGTCAATGGATATTGATGGAGTATCCGTTAGAAGCCGAGGATGAAGATGGCGAGGATGAAGACGAAGAGGAGTCCGAAGAGGATGAGGAGGATGAAGAAGAAGAAGATGAGGACGACGAAGACGATGAAGAGTAGCACGGGCATTTTGCTGGTGTTGGTCGTGGTCGTAGTTGTGGTGCTGCTGTGGTGATGGTTAGAGGCAACAAATCAACCTTGCTGTCATTCACCTGATGGCTTGTGTTTTGTTGCTCAGGGATGCGGAGACATTTAGATGGTCTTCAACGACAACAATGACAAGCTTCTGAGCGGGATATGCTCACTTTGACCGATAAGGGGCGCTAATCACTCAGGTATCATTTTGTCTCCCGTTCCATGATCTGACTGTTTCAAAGGATAATGGGAACGGGGTGAGGCTGAGCAGTAAGGCTCATCAGGCTGTGACGCTCGGAGTTTTCACATATGCCCGGCCCGACCCCTGCACCGTTTGCTATCGGCCGTGTTGGGGGTGGTTCGTGCCCGTTCGTTTTCGTTTGGACATTGTCATGGGGTGTTTGAGCACTGAAAAGCGCCTCGTGTGACCACTGCGGTGAACGCCCCCACTGCGCCTCTGAAGGCCAAACTCCACTGGCTCAGGGTAGGTAGGGACCCAACGCTAGGTACCTAAGCACTGGGGGGTGCCCCTCGTTGGCTGCTAGCTGCATCATCCCGCCGGCACTTATCATGGGTGGAGCAAGGGAAGCCCTGGATGTTGTCAGTGGGAGGTGGCTTCGAGATCTGCCTGTTTTCTCCGACTCTCATACCTCGTTCCAACCGTGCCTGCGTTTGACCGAGACCACGACACGTTTCTTCCACTACCTCCATGGAGGACAGCTGATATGTTTCTCCTGACTTGGACGACGCAAAAGACGTCTATTTCCGTCTGATTGGAGCAGACAGACGCGGGTCCCCGCCGAGAAAACAGAGGCGAACCGCACTGTTCGCTTTCTCAACCTCACTCTCTTTGTGCTGATCGCTGATCTTCCCTGTCCCTTATGTTGACGTCCATGTCCTTGTCAAACACCTGGACTTCATTTCTTTGCTGCTGGACGTTGGTACCGTTTATCGTCCTTCCTGATCCAACCACGATGAAAACGTTGGCCTCTTAGCCATCTTACTTAGGAGCCGGGAAGTGCTCATCCTACCCCCGAGACCATGTCGTACTTCCTTCCTTCCTACTTTCAGAAGCGGCTGCTTCGATACGCCCTCCTCCGTCTTGACTTTATCGACTCGGACGAATTCGATCTCGACAACCTGGGCTTGAAATGGGGCCAGCGGACCGTGGTCGAACTCAAGAATGTCGGAATCAAAGTCAAGAGAATCATCGACATCCTCCAACTTCCTGCCGCCTTCGCCCTGACCCATGCCTCCGCCAAACTTTTGCGCCTTACCCTCCCGGCGGATCTTCACATTAGCGGCATCCAAATCGAAGTGGAAGGGGTTGAGATAATCGTGGCGATTCGACCAGACAATACCACAGCAGTGACGGTGGCGGGCAAATCTCGCTCAAGAGCAGGATTTCCTCCCAGCAGAACAGACCGTGCAAACCTACCTCGGTCAACTTCTCCACCAGTCCATGACCCTGGTGGAAGACATGGAGAAGCAGGTGGACTACTGGAGTTGTCTCAAGTCATTCCCACATCAGAAGATCTGGCCGCGTCGTTCCTGGAGGCTGAGTCGCCGGGAGAAAGAGACGAACTACAAGCTGCACTTGAGTCACAGTCTCAGATTCACATGCAAGAGTCGGTGACGTCCTCCGCTTCGAGCGAGGATGTTGGCCTCGGCATGCCTGGAGGGCTCTCGTTACCCACCTTCGTCGCCAACTTTCTGAAAGGTGTGGCAGACCGGTTGTCAGTCAACATCAAGGACGTTAATGTCGTCTTGGAAGCGGATCTTTCGTCTGGGAGTGCAGGCCCAGCAGAGAACACAAAGTTTATGCTCTCAGTCGGGAACATTGCCGTGGATGCCATCGACAAGCCAGAAAGCCCAGAGGTCGAGCCAGATACGAGACGATCAATATCCATCGATGAAGTCCAGCTGTTCGTTCTGTCCGAGTCTGAGAATTTCTCAGAATTTTCTGGCTTCAGTTCGCCGAAGCTAGCCAAGTTACGTCCACCGCTGTCACACCCTGCTAGTGCACGGAGTGACAACAGTGATCTCGTTCGATCAAGCACAACCAGTCTCAGTCAGCATTCTGATTATCCAAGGCTCTCCCCAACCTCATTGAGTAACTCTGGACTGGGTATTGGACTCGAAGATGCAGCACTATCAGACTCTACCATCTTCGGACGGCGATCCAGAACCATCCCAGTCCTACCTGATTCGACGGGTGATTCTGAGCCTATCGACAATCGAACTCATGCCGAAGAAGTGCAACAGTCCGTCCGTCGAGATAGCGACGAAGTGTATGGGATTCTGGACAATCAGTCTGAGGACTTAGCAGAATCTAGGACGTTCACGCATGACGAGGCCGAGAGCATGTACATGAGCGCAATGAGTGGGCCACTCAATATGCCGGGTGGGTTCGCTTGGTCACAACCTGTGCCTGAGGCTGGCCCGGAGCAGCTCAAGGACCCCGGACAAAATGAAGTTGCATCAACACCTCTGGCCGACCAAGTAGAACCACTGGGTGATATATCTAGGGCCTCCCTCAGTGGACCATCACGGTCTATCAACGAAACCGAAGGATCGAGTGGCGAAAGCGTCCTGGATAATAGCCTGGCCTCATGCTTTCGGTCTCGAATTCTCCGCGTGAATACTCTGAACCTGAAGGTCCCCCAACCCCATCATGAAGAAGCCTTGTCAGAAGCTGAGCAATCCATCCCTCCACAGCGCTTGAGCCATGCTTCCCAGATTCGACAGATGCATGTGGGTGGGAGAAGTTCCCCAAGTACCTTCCTCAACGAATCTCGACTCCAGTCTCTGCGCAATCTGGGTCAAAGTCGGACTGTAGACCGACCAAAAGACAAACTCAGCATCGACATTGGAGAGATTTCAGTGGATCTCGATATTGTGCTCTGCAGGGTTCTCGTGAGAGCCTCGCAAACCATCACTGACGCAATTCCAACGAAGCCTCCGCAGAAGTCGAAAGTGCCCGCACCATCCTCTCGAGAGTCTGTCATTCCTGATGTCAACATCAAGAGCGTAAACCTCAACTTTTGCGAATCCGTCCCGAGGAAACCGCCTAGCAAAATTGGAGTCCAAACGATCGAATCAATTCTCTCCAGCCAGGAAGCTCTACTGAAAGTGTCAGTCACTTCGATAAGTTACATGGCAAACTCCACGCCAGAGAAGAGCCAGCGACTATCGATCTCTAAGATTGTTGTGAACCATGGTGCCAGGGAGGTCTTGACATTTGTTGACTCTATTAATGTTCGAGACTCAATCGCAACCAGCTCTATGCTGAGGCCTCATGATGTCGTGGTCAACGTGTCGGCAAATCGATATGAGGTCCAAATTAAACCCGTCTACGTTGTCTTAGATTTGTTGGTCATTGACGATGTGCTAAGCAGAAGCGGTGGCTTGAGCTCTTTGCTAGATTTGGGAAACTCCATTATGTCCACACACACCGTGAAAGGCCCAACTCCTGCATCGGCTCCAGAACCTTCCAAACTACGCACCGTGAGGTTTAGTGATCCTCAAAGAAGACCTAGGGCAGACAGTGATCCCTCATCGACTCCGCCGAAAGTCGATATTCGTGTCTCAGGAGCAGTTTTCGATTTGATTGGGTCTGAGTCTTCCATGCAGATCAAATCTTCAGCTATCAAAACTGTCTATCGGGACAACAATGTCAAGGTGGTGATAGATGGCGCCGCGGTCGAGGGTCCGTTGCTTGCTGCTTCTCGGGCTCGCGGAGACATCTACGCCAAAATTCGCAATATCGAGGTGCACTACTCGAATTCCCCGGATGATGACGACCTAGACAGACTTTTGTCTCTTATCACACCTTCCAGTGACAAATATGAGGAAGACGACGATATCATGGTTGATACGTTGTTGAGACAGCGTCGTAAAGGCGGCGTCTTGCGTCTGACCATTGGAGATCTTCAAGCAGGTGCTGCTGGCCTGCGGTGGATGCCCCATCTCACAAAACTGACTGATGAGATCTCGAAACTTTCGTCCGTTACAAAATATCTGCCTGAAGATGATCGACCGGGCATCCTCACCTTCGGGCTTTTGAAAAAGCTAGATTTCCGCTTCGACGTCGATGAGAAGTTTGGGCCCATCAGACTTCAGGCTGACCTCTTGGAGGGAGCTCACATCAATGTACCAGCACTCGCCGCCGCCCAGATTGCAGCCTGGTCAATGTCAAGAACCGAGGAGGATGTTTTGGTTGGCGATGTACTGTCTCAGAGCAAGACCGTCATGGGCCCGCCTATGTTCATGTGCCGATTTATAGCAGACGAGATGGAACCGACGGTCCGAATGAAGCTCTCAAACACTTGCATTGAATACAAGGTGCCAACAGTTGTTGCCCTCACCTCGCTTTTCGAACGTCTCAAGCTCGATTACGCGACCGCCCACAGTCAGAGTCCTTCTTCACAGCCCTCGAGCCCATCATTGTCGAATGCCGGAGATGCAGGCAGTTTAGCGCGCAAGATCAGACTGTCCATAACCTTCAGAGATTCGGCCATAGCACTTAATCCTGACAAGAGCCCAGCCAAGGGTCTTTTCGTGCTGACAGACGCCGTCATCCGTCATGAGAACCAGAAGAGGGGGTCGACGGACAACTTGGACATTAAGAAAGCTTCCCTCCTCATTATCAACGATGCTTCGACTGTTGGGCTGGAGTCAGGAAATGTGGACCACAAGCTCTATTTCGAAGAAAATGACCAAGTCCAACAACTCACCAAGGCCGGATTCGTCCCTGTAGGGTCGATCTCTTCTGCGTCTGCCATTATCAAAGTGATCGAAGATAAAGTCACGTCAGAAACGCGGCTGGACGTGGAATTCCGCAACAACCTTCTCTTTATCGAAACTTGCGCCGATTCCACCCAGACCATGATACAGATTTTGAGTGGTCTTGCGCCGCCGTCACCGCCTTCTAAGGTCGCGCAATACCGGACGGAGGTTGTCCCAATCCAGGATATGTTGGCGTCATTTACTGGCAACGCTTTTGTCTCAGAGCCTGGTCCGTTGCTCGGCCTTCAAGCTTCGGGCAGTACGTCCGCTGTCGAAATTCCGTCGCAGGGCAAGACTGAATATGACCAAGAGGAGGAGGAAGACGAAAACGAGTTTATGACTGGCATGTATGGGGACGCCGACGATGCTGACGATGAGCTGACCGCGAGCCACGTGGAGTCCGATCTGGGACGCTCAGTCATGTCCGAAAGTGTGCACATAGCCCCGGTTGATGCCACTGGCTCCGACTACGGCGATGCCATCGAAAGTGTGATGATGCACAGCCTGCTAGATTTCCGAGCAGACCATTTCATTCCGAAGTCATCGGTGGGTGGCACAGCCCACCGCTGGAATTCGGTCCACAACACCTATGGTCTAGCAAGCGATGCGATATTTGAACGATCCCCATTGAAGCTTCGCGTGAGGGATGTCCACGTCATTTGGAATCTATTTGATGGGTACGATTGGCAAGCGACGAGGGATACCATATCGCATGCGGTGAAGGAGATTGAGAACAAAGCTCTGGCAAGACGCCCACGGAGCAGCACCCGGGCGCCTGGCGCGGATGATGAGGATGAGTCTGTGATTGGGGACTTTTTGTTCAATTCCATCTACATCGGCATTCCGGCGAACAAGGACCCTCGAGATTTGGCGAATGCTATCAATCATGATATCGACGACTTGGTGAGTGAGACCGGTAGCTACGCAACTGGGACGACGGTCACTGCAACTACGTCGCGACGCACATCAGGCACAGTGCCTAGGCAAAAGAAGCTCAGGCTCAATCGCAGCAAGCATCACAAGATGACATTTGAACTGGAAGGTGTCTCGGCTGATTTCCTGGCATTCCCTCCAGGAAGCGGCGAGGTTCAAAGTTCAATCGATGTCCGCATCAAAAAGATCGAGGTCTTTGACCATGTGCCTACGTCGACGTGGAAGAAGTTCGCCACTTATATGCAAGATGCCGGTGAACGCGAGCACGGGGCCAGCATGGTGCATATCGAAGTTCTCAACGTGAAACCAGTCGCCGAATTATCGGCCTCGGAAATAGTGCTTAAAGTCAGCGTTCTTCCACTGAGACTCCATGTTGACCAGGATGCATTGGATTTCTTGACTCGGTTCTTCGAGTTCCGAGATGACAGTGCCCCGGCGTCAAGCGGATCCTCCAGTCCACCATTCTTGCAGCGTGTGGAAGTGAACGCTGTGCAGCTCAAACTCGACTACAAGCCCAAGAAAGTGGATTACGCGGGGCTCCGATCAGGACGGACGACCGAGTTCATGAACTTCTTTGTCCTCGACCGCGCAGATATGGTCCTCCGCCGAGTTATTCTGTACGGAGTGTCTGGGTTTGACCGACTTGGTATCACGCTGAACAATATCTGGACACCGGACGTTAGGCGGAATCAACTTCCTGGAGTTCTGGCCGGTTTGGCACCTGTCCGACCTCTGGTTGATGTCACGAGTGGGGTGAGAGACCTCATCGCAGTCCCCATCCGCGAATACCGCAAGGACGGGAGACTTGTCCGAAGCATTCAGAAAGGAGCATTGGCGTTTGCAAAAACGACAGCAACTGAGTTGGTCAACCTTGGAGCCAAAATGGCGATCGGCACGCAGCAGATCCTTCAAAATACGGAAGAATTATTTGTTCCTCGTGAAGCACAGGGCGAGACCGAGGAGGACGAAGAGACTCGGAAGCAAATATCTCTGTATGCCGATCAGCCCATTGGCATCAGGCAAGGGCTGAGAACGGCATATGCAAGCCTAGAACGAGATTTATTGATTGCCCGAGACGCCATCGTGGCAGTCCCTGGAGAGGTCATGGCCAGTTCTACGGCCAAGGGCGCGGCCAGGGCGATTCTCAAACAGAGCCCGACCATTATTTTGCGGCCGGCGATTGGAGCCACGAAAGCGGTTGGGCAGACACTGATGGGTGCTGGCAATATGCTGGACAAACAGAATTTGAGGAGGATTGATGAGGTAAGTTTTCCCTCCCAGTCATATTTTGTGTGCGGATCAGTACTCATGACGAGCCTAGAAATACAAGCGGCATTGATCGCGTTCCTCGACGAGATTTGTTTGCAGATTACCCAGCTCCTTGGTGCCATACATGCGAGGCGGGCGTTGGGTGACAAATGTGTTTGCTATGGGCGCATTCTAGCATATCACAGGGCGTTTGAATGTTTGCATAGGCGGAGCATGAGAGAGGCTTTGCTATTGTTTGCCTGAGTGTTTTTCCTTGCATTATGGTCCGCGAACGACTGACCGCAGTGACCGGTGAATGAAACGGCGCCACGATTGAAACGAGAGACACATACCCATCAGGGCAATGATTTGAACATAAATTGGAACGATCAGCTGAATGTGCATGCCACGAATGATACAGTACTTTGCATGGCGTTGGTGGCTTGGATGTCATGATGGATTGAATGGGTGTTCACATAGGCCAGGCGCAAGGACTAGCCTTGAATACCTAGCTATGTAGTCCACAGAGCTGCATCTACGCATAGAACCGTATTGTCTATGGTTTTTCATGCGCACATGCTGGAAATGTCAGACGGATGCTGTGGACACGTGCACTTGCTGGGCAATACAGCCACATCTGACCACCCTTCCCTTGGACATCCCGCATTTCTCTGTGTCAGGTCTCGCGTGATGATGAAACGATAGGAACTCGATGAGTCTGCCTTGTAGAGCGGGACAAGGATATAGAGCTCGCCAGCGGAATATACTCGGTCCATACTGCCTCCCCGGGCTCGCCGGTCTCCTCATTCGATGCATTCCTCGGCCATATTCAAACGGGGAGAGGAGACCTCGTCCTGCCGTGCCGTGAATGGCTGACGAGGCTGGGTCATCCCCATGTTTGCCATGCGCTTAACGTCATCAGGGCGGGTAGCCATTGTACTGCGGTCCAAACTACCCACCTCTTTCTTGTGTATTTTCAAGCTCTGGTGAGGATCACGCCATGCATGTCGTGCATGTCTGGTGTTCTGAAGGGCACATTTCTTTGTGGAGTTGTATCCAATGGCAGTGGTTGCCTTTCAGGCTAGGCTCTGCGGGCACATCCTGAATGAGTATTCTTCTAGAAGCCTTTGTCGCGATCTTCGAAAGGGGCGAAAACCGAGCGCGGAATTTGGTGAAATTGAAAAGGTGCCGAGGTGGCAGGGGGCAGTGCTTTAGGTATGGCTGTATTGGCTGTATGGGGGTTGAGGTGGGAGTGGGCGCCTGGGGTTGATTGCCTTTGCTCAGCCACAAAGCGAATTGGTCCATGAATGAATGCCCTTGCAAGCGCCGTAGCCAAGTTCGCGTAGGAAAGGGTCTCGCCCCACGTGGTCTTGGTGGTCTTGGTGTCTGTCAAATATCCCAATCTCCAGAAGCAAGTCTCAGCCCCGGCTATGCAATGTAAGGAGTTCTCACATGCTCGTACAGAGGCTGATCAGATCGGCTGTGCAATATGAAGGTCATGCACATGAAACCGTAAGTACAATCAAACTCTTGTATGAGCAGGCGCTTCCCCACCATAGCCCCCGCTGGGTTTGCCAGGGCAGAATTCGGTCAGGAGAAAGGATTGGCAAGGGATCAAGTGTCTGAGGTATAAATCATCAAGAACGCACAAGAAGCATGATGATGAAGAAGAAGAAGAAGAAGAAGGGAAAAAGTAATAGACAAAGGGACAAGGAGAACGAACCATCGGTTTGCTACCTTGATCAAATTGCTCCTCACTCATTAGATCCACGTGGCACGCGCTCCTGCTTGCTTCACTTTTGAGTCACCAACAGACAAAGAAAAAGGCAGACACAGTATCATGGAGCTTCTCTCACATCACAACTCTTTCCACCGCCATCACAGTCATGTCCCCAAGATGGACAATCTCTTCCGACGCCTGACCAGGAAGTCCTCCAAGGGCAGTGATTCAGCTGCTGTTTCTCCCCGACCATCAGGGCCAACGCCCTCGACGGCCTCTGCCCAAAGAGAAATTCAATCAATTCAATCAATTCAATCTCCCATCGCCTGGGCCCGAAACAACAACAGAGACGCCAGCAACCCCCATGCCAGCACCACTCCCACGCGTCGTCCAGCAGCAGCAGAACCACCGCCCCCTTACTCCCCTCGCTCAGCTTCGAATACCAACACCACGGCCAATGTGCCCTATTCGCCCGCCGACCTGTCCAATTCCATGCAGGTCGCAGATGACTCGCCTTACGCATTCCTGCGCACCTTTGACACCATCTTCCTGATCGACGACTCCGGGTCCATGGCAGGCCGCTCCTGGCGAGAAACATCTGCTGCACTCGCGGCCATCGCCCCGATCTGCACGGCCCACGACCCGGACGGCATCGACGTCTACTTCCTGAACCACCGCAACCCGCACACCACACCTAACGGACAAGGCGGGTATACCAACATCACCACCACCTCCGGGGTGCAGAGCCTGTTCCAGAACGTGCGACCACTAGGGGGCACACCCACGGGGACACGCCTCAACCAGATCCTCAAACCCTACCTCTCGGAACTGGCCGATTCGCTCAATCGCCAGGCCCGCAGCGGTGACGACTCGGCCCCCACGGTGAAGCCGCTCAACATCATCGTCATCACCGACGGCGTGCCCTCGGACGACGTCGAGAGCGTCATCGTCAACGCCGCCCGCAAACTCGACGCCCTGAACGCCGAGCCCTGGCAGGTGGGTATCCAGTTTTTCCAAGTCGGCCGCGAACCCGAGGCCCGCGACATGCTCCGCGAACTCGACGACGCCCTGAGCGCCGAGTACCACATCCGCGACATGGTCGACACGGTGCCCTGGAACGGCGAGGACGACGACGAGCAAGAAGGCCTCACCGCCCAGGGCCTGTTGAAGGTGTGCTTGGGCAGCGTGGTCCGACGGTGGGATCGGCGGACTGTTTGAAACAAAAAAGTGATTTTTCGGGAGTTCTGCGATCAATAAGATGGTCTCACGCGCTTATAGTCAGGGAGTGGTTTCAAGAGCACTCGGGTGGCACCTTGTGTATTCACTTGATACCCTGTATTTCATAAGGAGTCAATGACTTTCCGCAAAAAAACCGTGAACTTTTAGCAAGTCCTGGGTCAATGGATGGTCCGTCATGCTTGTGCTCAGGGAGGTTCTTTCAAAGGCACTGTATTAGTAGTACTAGACTAGGCTCTATTATTCCATACCGATCTATGCCGACAAGGCCGAGTCGCTTACCCACCCCTGATGATAGATGCACTGCTAGAGCCTGTTTGCGCATTCCCTATACATATTTGAATGGATGAATGGCAACCGGGGACTAGACAAGTAATTGCAGGTGGACTCGGACGGCCCCGGCCCCCATGCAGTATTAATGTCATATGCATTTGCATTGCGTACATACAGTACAGGTGTCTAACGCCTGCTTCAAGACCTCGCTCGCCATTTGCGATTCCCATCAAGTGCTCTCCATCCAGCTCAAACCCATGCATGCCTGGTCCCGCAGCGGTAATAGCATCCATCCACACGCCCCTTCCTTTGTGCTGCCATCGCGTTCTCGACAGAAAAGAAAATAAACAATATTAATGCTTCTCGTATTCGTCATCTTGATGACGGCAGCTCGAGAGGGTTGATTCGAATATGGCGTATTCAGTCGAGCAATAACCCCGAATCTTGGGCATATCGTCCACCCACAGCCAAGCTCGACTGTTCTAGCAAATACTCTGCAAAAGGGACAGTGTCCTTACCACGGTTGCCGGGCCTTTCCACCGAATTCCTCGCCGCAGAAGATGTTGGAGCCATTTTACACCATCCCGTCTTCAATACTCCACCATCATCACCGCCCCTCTCAGTAAGTCACCAAACTGACGTGCCCGTCGCCCAATGCTGCACATGCCAGCAACATGCGGTGCGGATGGTATGCCGCCGCCACTATTGGAGCCTGATGGCTCCTGCCTGCAAGACTGCCGCCGACAACATGCGCCATCCGGCTGCTTGACGGTTCAAAGACACCCAAAGTATCCCCGTTTGTATTGAACGATTTCACTTCATGTTTGTCCGTGCCGACAGCAAAGACAGGAGCATGTTCGTGGACGGACAGGCTGCGTAGTAGGGTCGTCGAGCTTCCCGCCAGCGATGCCGCCGAGCTGGTACTCCCATAAGTACTTGAACCATCTCTGCCATGTTCGAGCTTCGAGGGCGAAGGAGTCGATGAGGTTGCGTTCAACGTCAGAACGGCTTTATCGTTCCGCAGATCCCACAGTTTCACCTCACCATTCCTGCTTCCTGAAATCAGTTCTCGCACGCCGCCACGCTGCATGTGAATATTCGTTATCCACTGTCTATGCTCGCGCCAGAGCTTGACCATCGCAGTACGAGGGTTGAGCCGCTGGTCGAATACACGGATCACGCCATCCCCAAAACCCGCAATGAAGATCTGCCCTGCCACCTGATCACTAGTCAGGCTGGTCACGCAGCTAGAACTGCGTGCCGGAATGTCCCCCACGCAAAGTTCCGTCGCGGCATTCCACACTTTGATAACCTTAACGTCCCCTGCCACGAGCGCTTTGCCTTGCCCTTGTTGCCAGTCAAAAACCAATCCGGCATTCTTGTTGGAAGGGATTAGCTCTGTCAAGGCCCTGAATGCGGTGATCACCTTGACGTCCGTAGAACTGTGATAGTTCCGATACACCTTGAGGACCCCGTCAGAACTGCCCACCATCAAAAGAGGCTGGTCATCCTCATTCAAGAACTTGGCATCGTTGATCCTGCTTCCCGTAGGATTTCCATTGCTGAATCGACTCAGTTGTTCGTTATTCTGAAAGTCCCAGATAGTGACGGTATCTTTGTCATCAGTGACGGCAAGGTGGTTGTCAAACTGATGGAATGTCAGCTTCATTGGCTGACTCTGGTTGTTAAGAAACCCTTCGTAGCGGGTCCATTTCGAGCTTCCCGCCACGGCTTTCAGGGGCTGATTGTCAGCAATGATCTTTTCGTTGCGGTTGCGCCGCCAAAGTCTCGAATTGTAGTCGGCCGATCCGGGCTCGTCCGGGTCATTGGGTCTCATCTGTGGTTCGCGGAAGTATTCGGTTGACCAATCTAGCAAAGCGCTCTGGAGTGGAAAGGCAGGTCGCTTTTTTGGATCCAGAGAAACGAAGCCCGCCGAAGTAGGCAAACCGGCAGATTGATACGATCCCGGGGTGCTTCTCGCATCGGATGTTTCTGGTGGACGGCTCCACTCAGGTGGGAGACGACTTCGAGGAGTATTGACAGGTTGAACAAGCTCCCTCGTTTTGGTGGGAGATGTTTGAGGACTGTTTTCCTTGGAGGAGGCTGAAGGAGAAGAACCCGCACCAAAGGCGAGGTTGCGAAGTGAGCTGCCTGCCCTCTTCAGACTGAGCGACAGATAGCTCTGCTGCTTTATCAATGTGGGAGGAGGAGTGCCGGGCTGTTTTTCGACCGCCCTGAGCGAGTCCCGAGACGGGACTTTCTTAACCTGGGACTCTTCCCGCTTTGAGAACCGCAATAGGTCGTCAATAACGGCCAAGGCCATATGACTCATGGGTGAGTTAATCAATGTATCGTGCACATGGTCGACAATGATTGAAGCATTCCGAGCAATTTCTGGGTGTGGATCGACCGACAACATCAAGATTTGAACCCAAATCGAACCATAAATCGTGTTTGCAGAGATTGACACCCACTTGAGAGAATCATCAGCTTCAAAGCCGCTTGGCTGGGACTGCTTGTACGGGTGTCTGTCTCTTTCCTCCACGAGCTGCTCGTAAGCAACCACGATAAACTTGTTCTCGTACCGCTTCACGAAATGCGACAGGAAGACGACCAGCTCCTTTCTCACTAATGTGCTGCCATCGGACGTCATAAAAAGCACAGAAGAGGCGATTCCCTCCTCAATCTGAGACACTTGATCAGTTAGATCTGGGATGCCGAGGAAGTGGGTAAGAGCATGCAGCATGGCCGCGCGAACTTCTGGAACGGGATCAAGGGACAATTCACAAAGTCTGGCGTGAGCCATACAACGAATACCCATCCATTTCGCGTCAGCATAGTCGCACCACAGCATGCTGAGACACAAGCAAGACCATTGTCGAAGCAAGGGATTTTCAGGCTCTGCCATATTAAGCAAACAGGCATTGAAAAGTTCAGGCAACAGGCAGACTGTCTGGCCTGGAGGATATCTCTTGCAGAAAGTGGCCACGATGAAGGCACACATGGCTCGATGCTCGCTGGCATTGCCGACGGGAATGTCTGAACGCGGGTTCATGATGGAAATGAAATAGTGGATGCCGTTGTCCTTGAGCAAATCATTCTGTACCGTGTAGTCGACTGCCATGATTCGAGCCCAGATAAAGACCATCACCGGCTTGAGCTCTAGCGATGCTGCTTGGAGAAGCTTCACTACATAAGGGAAGATTCCAATGCTCAAAGCCAGGTGAACAGCCCACGGTCCGAGGTCCAGGAATTTGCTAAGCAGAATCAAAGCACGCAGCCGATGCACTTGGCTAAGGAGGACTTGCAGAACGATCGGCAGCTGGTCAGGCGCACGGTCTTTGGTGGGACCGGAGCTAAGATACACCTCAAAGGCTGTGAGCTGCTCCGAAAAGAATGTCGAGTGTTGGTATTCATAGACGCGTTTCCCTTCTTCGGCTTCACGAAGCATAGGGAGCTGCGCCAACACCATCTCCATGGCCAGGTCCCAACTTTGCCAGAGGGGGTGTCGATGTGTTTCTGGCAGTGCTGGCGAAGAGATAGGATGACAATGGTTTGCCCTCATGATGCGTTCGCTCAACAAGAAATTGCGGAACAGTGCCGCAACCATTAGATCTTGACGGAAAAGCTTCTTGAACAAATGTCGCGGCAGGATGTTCCAGGCAATCGTGTCAGTGATGGCTGTAAAGATCCAGTTGAGTTCCCCCAGAGGACTCCGTCTATCCTGTAGACGGCCGGGGACTGGTATTTTGCCATCTTCGACAACAGGGCCGTTGGGAAGCGGATTTTGCAACACAAAGTATCTCAAGGCTATATCTATCGGCGTCGTCAAGCAACACGTGAAAAGATCAGCAGGCAGTTCTGGGTTTGTGGGCAACATCTCAGTTCTCCCACAGGCCGCCAACTGGATGCAATCTCCATAGTTCTGAATAGGTGCGTTCGGATCTCGTTTCTTGAGCTCCTCGTTTTCCTTTTCATGCTTGGCCAAGAACGTGTCGAAGTTGTGCACAATGTTTCCAGCATGAGAGACATCATAGACAAACAGACTGGGACCTCCTAGCCACGCCTGCAAGTCGTAAAGTCCCACCGGTATATACTGAGTGTAGTTCTTGTTGAAGACCCAAATCTCCCCCGAAGGAGTAGGCAGTGGCACGCCATGGCCGTTGTAGTGAAAAAGCACCCTCTCGTCCTTCGCATTACGACGCAATGAGATGCAAAATCGTTTCGTTTCGTCAATGGAGGGATCCAGGTACTGCTTGTATCTCGTCCGCAGACTCAGCGACTCGTATTGCTCCTGCAGGCGTTTACCGATTTGTTCCATTGTCTTGGTCGTACCACCACTGCTTCCCGTCGGGTCAACCCATGCTTCGAGCTTTGCAGTGGGGTTCGTCTTGATCACATCAGGAGGGTCCACACCGATATTGAGACAGATGGCTAATGCTGCGGAAACAGTCTTCATCCGATCTTTCATGCGCCAGTCCACACTGGGGAACTGCTTGGATTCCTCCGACAACGAGCCGTTGCTTTCATGCCGCTTTTCAGTGTAGTACATGTAAAATGTCGAGTGTAACAGTGACAGGTATTCATTCGACGTGTACTCGTCATCCCAGCCATGCCGAATATGGGCCAGTTTGTCTTCTGCTGCCGTGACCTTTGGAAGCGCCTCTTTGCGACGGGGCCCAAGATCGCTCTTGGTACGCTGCAACAAGGCAATCGGTCTCGCTGTCAAGTAGTCTTCCGCCTCTTGAGGTATGATTCTTGGGGTAGAAAGCCCATTTTGTTGCGCTCGACCCGGGCCGCTGAGCAGGGACGGCTGTTTGAGGACGGAGCTTGATGGGAAGCGGCCCTCATCTTCGAGCATGTCATGAGGTGCAGACTGATCCCCCTCTTGAGTTGCAGGTCTGCGGCGGTTCACGTCAAGGAGCCCCAACCCGCCGGACACTGGACCAGTGTGAGAAGCCATGGTCTCCGCAACGGGTGTAGCTAGATCCGGTTCGCGCATGTCCAACGAACCATTGCACTTGGAGCCGTCATGTCACAGTGAAAGACTTCCCGTGGAGTAGGAACATCGGCAGGATCGACTGGTTGACGGGAAACGGCGGTGACTTGAGAGGGAGGTGAGCTCACGGGAGCGAACAGACTGACCGCTCAAGGTCGGCCCTTGAGACTTCGCAGCCTAATAGTACTTGCAGAAGTTCGTACTATGATACGGATGGTATCTCTGCTTGGGTATGTGAATTTGGAGCGTCCAGATAGAAGAGCAGGCTTAGTGACACAATCCCTTCACAATGGAACACCTCGACGCCTGACCAAAAAACCTGCCTGCTGCAGAATGCGGGGAGGCGCAAGAGCCAGCCTTGCAGAACGCGCAAGTCAGGGTCACGTGGATATGTCGCAGCCTTGCCGGTCGTTCGCTGCCCGCCAGCTCCCTCAATTTATCACTGAAGCTCTCATCTCTAAACTCGTTCGAGATTGATGCGCCTGCTGATGCTGGTCGCATGGGGTTATTCGACATCCATTCATCGAATTTGAGACACTTCCTGCCAAACCAAACCAACCACGTTCCGGTTCTGACCCAGTATGTAACAATTCTGCGCTCAGCGATCTGGCAATTAAAACTACACTGAGCTCCTAGCCAGTAGACAGCTCCATGAAACTTGTTTCATCACTGTCATCCGCATATTGAGCTCCCAAAAGACACAAAAACTCCAATAAGAATTGAAAAATGGAGGTCGAGGTAGTTTACACACATTCCCAAACCCTTTCGTTAATGTCACATTGAACATGAAACGGGGTCTCATCAAGCAACGGCTGATGTTTCTCTCGTTCCATTTTCTTCCTCTTCGAGTCGCCGCCTCCAGTTGGCGAGATTATCACTCAGCTCTGTCCCATGGGTCTCTGTTGTAGGTGTCCTCTCTGAGTCGAAAGTCGTGCTGAGCCGATAGTTGTTCCTGCTCGTACTCTCCCATTGTGATCGGAGCGTCTCTAGTTCGGAAGCCAAGTTGTCCAAAGCAATAGACCCTCGTTCGTCCCGGGACAAAGCGTCATCATTGACCGAGACATCTGTCAGCGTCGAGGTGCTTTCCTCTCGGTTGTGCCCAACCCCGGTGGCACCAGGAGCCAGTGGCTGTAATTGTGACTGCCGTCGGTAGTTTCCTACAGACTGACCCACTTGATCAAGGAGCATTGTTACCCGGCTTTGCGCCTCTTCAGCCTGCTTTTCGAGCATGGAATTTTCCGATTTCAGCTGCTCCAGTTCTGTGCCCAGTCTCTGCGCGGTTTGTGTGAGCTCGTCATAGCTAGCCTTCTGCTGATCCCTTTCTGCCCGGATAGATGCAAGATCTGACTTCAACGATGTAATGTTCGACTCCAGTTGAGCAATTTGATTGTTCGTCTGAGCCTTCATCTCTTCAATTGAAGATTGGAGTTGCTTCCGTTCGTCGTCCCAGCCCGAGGTGTCCGCGGCGGTTCCAGAAGCCGCACTCGTGCTTCGAGCAGTCTCCAACTCGCCCGTCAGCTGGGCGTTCTGAGACTTGTATTTGGTAAGCTCCTCCTTCATTTTCTTCAACATCTTCTCAGTGCCCTTGACGTAGTGTACAGCAGATTGATAATCGTTTTCAAGTTGCTCCAACTTCTCCTTGTAGGTACTGTCAGCTTCTTGCATACGAGCCTCGAATTGACTCTTAGTCTCTTCGTGGGCTTTGATACTTGCTTGTAACTGCTGATCGAGTTCTCGGAGACGAGCTTGCTCCGGAGTGCCGAACCGAGAGCTAGGAGAGTGATCAAATATCGGCGACCGCCTCACATCGGAGACATTCATGCCGCGTTCACCCAATAGATCTTTGAGCGCACTGTGTTGAACTGCGAGTGCACTGGCATCGCGTTGATGCATTTCGAGGTTCGATCGTAATTCACGAATCTCGGCCTGATAGTTTTGCGCATCCCGCAAAGCCGTCTGTAATTGTCGCCGGATTTGGAGGGCCTCGCGACTGGACTGTTCTTGATATGCCTCCAGCCCCGCAATTCGTTCTTCTGCATTGCGAAGCTTCTGTGCTGCGTTATCCGCAGCTTCCTGATTGCGCCTGGCCAGACTCGAGGCTTGCTCGGCTGACTCACGAAGAGCTGCCATTTTCTGCTCGGCCACGGCGTCTTGTTTAGAGCCTGAATCGGAAGATGACAGCTTGGCCAGGCCGGCGAGCAGAGCCTCGCGATGAGTCGAGGCTTCTCTGGCATGAGTCTCGGCCAGTTCTTCGGCATCATGCAGGCGTTTCGTGACGGTTTCTAGTTCCGTGGTTCTGTCTTCATGCTCGGCTCTTAGCTGGGATAGCTTTCTCTCAGCGACTTCTCTTTGCCCGCGCTCTTCCTCAATCTGCCGTTCGTATAGGCTTGCTTTGCTCGTTGATGCAGCGACGGCGGCTTCCAAAGCAGCCAACGAAGAAGTATGGCTCGCCAGCCGAGAGGACGTGTCCTCGTGCGTCTTCGCCAAGCTGTCGTGATCAACCCGCAGCGTCCGCAACTCTTCTTCAACTTCAGCTCTGCGGCCTGCCTCGGCCCGAGCCAAGCTCTGAGCTTCGTGCAGTTCCGCGCGGAGACCTTCGAGTTCAGCCGGGTTTCGATTCTTGCTCAGCTCATCATAACGGCGCTGCAGAGCGTCCATAGACTCCTCTGCTAATTCTCGAGCTTTTCTTTCGGAAGCAAGATCGTTGTTCAAAGAATCAAGCTTGGCTTTGTGCTCGGACTGTGCAGCGAGAGCCAATGCAAGACGGCGTGTAAGATCAGTGAAACGTTCCTGCTCATCGGGTTCGCGCATCGCATCAGGCTGAGGCGTGCTGCGCTGGCTACCGCCATGAGCTGCAAGCTTAGCTCTTGCGTATGCAGCTTCTGTAATGGCGGCATCACGCTGATGTTCAACCTCAGCAATCCGCCTTGCCATTGATGAGGCTTGTGTCTCCATTGCTTCTTGCATCTTGATAATCTCTGCCCTCATCGTCATAAAGGCTTCCATTAGCGGCCGATCGTCATCTGCAACTTGGCTGACAGTGCGATCGTCGAAAGTAGGACTGGAGGAAGTGCCGGTGTGATAACCTTGCTTTCGAGCAAGAGCCAGTTCTGAGGCATACCAGGCGTTTGTCCTTTTCGCAGTTTCGAGCTCTTTTAGCAGAGCCTCTTGATGAGCATTCATCCTGGGAGATTTGGGCTCATCACCTGGCATGCTACGTAAGCTGCGATTATCACCTTGTGGTTCCGCATGATGTCTGCCGGATGACGAGCGTCCCAGAACTCCGTCCTCGGTGCTATCGATGGAACTCTGGGCTCTTTGGGATCGTAGTGATCGTTGTCTAGCAACCCCGCTGCCCATGAGAGGAGCCGCTTCACCTGCTTCCATAGCTTTTGCCTTCGACTCTGTCCGTTGAGTTGGAGTCCTACGGCCATACGTGCTTGGGCTGCCTTCGCGGCTAGGTCTGATATTCTCTTTCTGAACATCTCTCACTGCCGGCGGTTGTATTACCCCGTCTGGAGGCGCAGTTCGGACTCCATTCGGACTGGCGACTGCACCTCTGGTGTCGAGTGGAGGACCATTGTATCTGGCTTTTGGCTCGTTAGGCGCATTGGGAGGGGAATGGACACCATTCGTACGTGGCGTTGGCGCTTGTCCCTGGGGCGGAGGTCCAGCAGGCGCCTGTCCTATGGATGCTCGCGGTAGTCGCGACTGTGAACCATTTTGTGTGGCAGGGTCTGGCCGTTGGACCGGACCGCCGGAGAACTGTTCGCGAGCTGCATTCTGGCTCCTTGCCCCTTCTCGAGATGTTGAGCGGATGGGCATTGCAGACCTGGCCTCTGTGCTTGGTCGTCGGGTTGGACTGCTGGGCTGCGCCGATCCTGCAGGTTGGCCGGTGGCTGGTGCATCATTTGGATATCTAATCTTTGCGGTGTCTAGTACGTAAACCATACTGAGCTCTGCAGGATCCCGAGGCGCGGAACTGGGCTCCCCAGCAAGAACGATGATTTTGTCGCGGTACGCCGTCATACTGTGACCAGACCTCGGTGACGGCGACGGGCCCATGTTTTGGAAAGTGTACCAACGCTTTGATGAGATGCGGAAGGCCGCTAGATCACCAAGATCTGTACCTTCTTCAGTCCTGCCGCCAAAGATGTACATGACGTCGTTGACCAAGGCCGCGGAATGGCCTTCACGGGGAGCAGGAATATATCCTATGCAGTCTTGCTGTGTCCAAACGTTGGTGACAGGACTGTATGTCCAGACATCATTGAACCACTGCGTGCCATTGGTGCCTCCAAATCTATAGATGCCCTGATTAGACAATCTGCCGCTTGCTATCGGGGTTCACTTACAGGAATAGCTGGTCATTATAGCTGATAATCGTGTGGTTCGTTCTTGCAGCAGGCACTTTCGCATTCGGGCCAACAACGTCGTCGCCCGTGTTCTGCAACAGAAACTCCCACTGATTTTGCGGGTTTTGTAAGGCGTTCAGGTCGAAAGCTATTAAATCGTTGAAGAAATAACCCTCGACCTGGCCCCCAAAAATGTATATCTTGGAGCCCAGGATATTGAGGGTATGGCCATACCGTCCAGATGGTCGTGGACCCGGAGGCGATGCCCGGGACCATTGTCGAGAAGCTGGAGAATGATGAGCAAACCTCGCTCGGTGGAAAGCACAGGACCAGTCCACTTACAGGTATTAAGCAGGTACAAAGTGTCATCAAGCACGTCGTTATCATCCATCTTCGTATCACCGCCAAATACAATGAAAGCATTGCCAACAAGCAAACTTGCGTGACCAACGCGGGGGCCGGGTCCTTCGGACACTGTTGCGATGGGGTAACAGGAGAGATTACCACCGCCTGACTCGACCATCCACAAGTCGCCCCGGACCATGGAACCGTTGATGAGGCCACCCATAATATAAATATCCCCATCTTTTGAGGCAATTGCATTCACAGCCGCGCCATAGCGAGGAAAAGGATTGGATTGTGGAGTAGGGAAATTCAACCGCCGCTGCGACCAGGGATAAAGGGCGGCGTTGGGGACTTGAGTCGGCTGTGACGAAGCCGTCGATGGTCGTGCCTGCAGAGAATCATAGTCAGCCTTGCCATTCAGTATCCAAGCCATATAAAGAGTCGACGCACTCCAGATTCTGATTCTGATCTTTCCCGGCGCGGATAGGCGGGTCCCGCGGCCAAGGTCGAGTTCATGGAACTCATGGAGCCGTTGGGATTGGAAGTGGGATTAGCATTAGGAGGCGGCGACTGTGTCGATCTCTCGCCTGTGCTGTCTATGGAACCGCCGTTGGGCGCTGAAGAAGCAGAAGTGGGAGTGCCGTCGGAGGTATGGATGTTTCGACTGGCAGGGGGTAAGCCGCCTGCGGCGGGCGGCGCGTTCTTCCTGCTTTTGAAGAGGAAGGCCATTGTTCGTGATTTCGCAACGTTTGAGACTCGGGAGGAGGTAAGGCCAGGAGAGACACGGTATATGGGATGCGCAGAACCGGCGCGGAGCGAACCATACACCTCACTCAAGCACAATCCATCGTCCCGGTATACACCGAGGCTGCGGCCAGAAAGGAACAGGAACCGTTATTACAAGACCGTGGCCGCGATAAGTGTCGAAGGGTATTGCAAGGTGGTCGATGCTCTCTCTCCCAGCTCAGTTCTTTGGCTGCCAAGGGAAGGCTTATGCAGGCACCGGAATCCCCCCCAATTAATTCCAACGCGATCCAGGCGGCGGACGCGCTCGTGCAGAAGTCGTCGGTGCGGCAAAAATCGCCAATCCGAGGCAAGGGCCTAGTACAACGCGAACAAAGGACAAGTAGAAACAGAAACGACAGGAACAAGATTGAGACTGATGCGGCGATGATGATGGCGACGACGATGAAGAATCTGGGCTCAGGAGAATTAATTTTGTCGAACAAGAAAGGTGTCGCCCACTTCCTACCTAGGTACCTAGTAGGTGCGCAGCCTGGCTCGACCTACGAGGGACCACGGAATACTGGGCACTGGGCAGTTTGGCACCCTGAGTTTGGCACCCTGGAAGGATTGAGGGCCCCAGTATGCTCCAACTTCCCAGTCCCGGGCACCAAGCCAATGTTTCAGGTGGCTGGTTCGAGTCTAGCCTCCCTAACCCCCGAGATGTTCACCGCTAACCGTCTCCTCTCCCATGCGTCTCTGGCGCCCATGAGGCCCTAAACGAGCAGCCTACAAGGAAAAAAAAATATATTCCCCCCTTATTATGCGTTTGATCTTCTGCACGCTCTCCATTCTTTGGCTGCAGCCTCAACGTTGACGCCCTGGTGGCCCTGGCTGGGAAAGACAAACGCCACACTCCGATCCTCCGTGGTGTTCGCCGCCACTCCTGATGATGCCATCTGGCCATCTCCAGCCGCATCCTGCGGCTCTCTATCTTCTCTGCCTTGGTTTGAGGAAACTTCTTTTCCGGTAAGCTTTCCGGGGCTGACGATTGCCGCACGTGATTGTCGATCGGCCTTATCCAAGATGATTGGAGCACTCGTTTACCACCTTGACGACATCCTGGACATCCTGGACATCCATCGAAACGATATATGTCTGACCATAGACAAATCACGAAGACGAACCAGTGCTTGCCAACCCCGAACTAGCCAACATTTCTGTGCATCCTTCACGAAACTTACTTGACTCACCAAACTTGCTGGTGGTCACCTGGGCCCTTATCAGTCGGGGCCGAGTCCATTGACTATTCCCCTGTTCCACCAGCGTTGTCTCAGGTCAAACTGAAGCCGGATACGACGTTGCCAAACTTGCAACCCCTCTTGATGATCTGAGCAGGTCTTTGAAATACGAAGGCCACTAAACTCTGATATCCCGCCGGAGGTCCGAGGTTCCACAAAGAGGAGAGAAGAGGTGGACCGAGTGCAGCCTTGTCGGCCCGTCCCCAGCCTCGCGATACCTACATAACGAGTCGGAATTGGAACCACGGAAACAAGGGGTTTTCTCAGACGAACCAGAATACCAACACAGCCAGAATGGCATCAGACGCCCCGACCCAACATCAATCGTCCGAGGAGGTTGACCTCAAGACCTTTATCGCGCGAATGCCCAAGGCGGAGCTGCACGTCCACCTCGAAGGGTGCCTCACACCCGATCTCGCCCGCGCCCTCGCAGCGCGGAACAACCTGCCCCCGCCACCGTCCCTTGCCCACTTGGAAGAACCGTCTTCTCCAGAAGCAGGCACAGGCTATGCCTTCCACGACCTCACTTCGTTCCTGCAGGTCTACTACCCAAACATGGCCGTCCTGGTCACGGCCGAGGACTTCTCCGACCTGGCCCTGGCTTACCTCCGCAAGGCACACAGCCAGAACGTCAAGCACGTCGAACTCTTCTTCGACCCACAAGCGCACACGTCGCGGGGGGTGCCCTTCCCGACTGTGATCCGGGGTTACCGACACGGGATCGTCACGGCACAGCGCACGCTGGGCATCTCGGCGAGCCTGATCATGTGTTTCCTCCGCGACCACAGCGCCGAATACGCCATGTCGACTCTCATGGAGTCGCTCCCTTACAAGGACAGCATCATCGGCGTGGGGCTGGACAGCGACGAACGAGACAACCCGCCCAGCAAATTCGCGTCCGTCTTCCAGCGCGCCTCCCGCGAGGGCTATCTGCTCACCATGCACTGCGACATTGACCAGCCCAACACCCTGACCCATATCGGCCAAGCGATCGAGGACATCCAGGTGGAAAGGATAGACCATGGCACCAACATTATCGATTCTCCGCGGCTGGTCGAGATCATCAAGGAGCGCAGGATCGGACTGACCTGCTGTCCAATTTCAAACTCCGTCGTCACCTCGGATTTCAAGGGTCGAGAAATTCTCAGCCTCCTGCGACAGGGCGTCAAAGTTACCATCAACAGTGACGACCCAGCCTATTTCCGCGGCTATGTGAATGAAAATATGTTAAAGATGGCCGAGGGGACTGATGTGACAAAGAGAGAGTTGATCCAATTGGAAAGAAATGCATTTTCAATCAGTTGGATCTCAAGTTGGCGGAGGAACCATTTCTTGCAGATGTTGGACGAGTATGAGAAAACCATGCTAGGCAATGTAGAAGGGGAAACTCTCGTAAACGGGATTTGACGATTGGTGACCTACTCTCTGAAAGCCCAAAAGCAGCCTGCAGCGTTGCGGAAGGGTATCTTTACACTAATAAATATAGAAGTCAACATAAGCATTTTCGCAGGATCCTGCTCTGATCTTTTTCACAACCACTAATCCGAGAGTTTCGTGGTAAACTCGACCTCGCCAAAGAATGTCGCCCGCAGCTGCACGATTGCTGCAATCTCGAGAATAAACTCCTGAAGAATGATGGCGTTGGTCAGTAAATGGCTGAGACTGACGTGGTTCCTTGGGCCCGATGACCAGTCCTCTGGACCGCTTGGAGTCGCTGTTCCAGAATCGCCACTTGCATCCAACAACACAGGACGTTTGTCGCCAGCAGGGCTTGAAGTCTGCTTGCGACCTGCATGTACGGGTAGGGATTCAGAAGCCTCTTCCGGTGCCTTGAAATTAAATAGCGCGACTTGTGTTTTCAGAAGCGGCATTGATGGCGGTGGTACCAAAGATGCTGGCTGCTGTGCTGATTCCTCGCTTTCCTCAGATTGTGGTGCTACTGATTGCCGAAGGGGCGAATGACCGAGAGTGCGCTCAGTCAGGACGCTCGCGTGCGTTCCAGACTTGGATAAAGCACTGTCGATGGACCCAAAGTCCCTCGTCGTTATCTTCCGTCCTCTTGGAGTTCTCGGTGGTGACTGAGACTTCCCGGCGGAAGGCGAGATGCTTCTGGGATTTGAATCGGTCTCCTTCGTCTGCCATGAAACAGTCCTTGCATATTGAGGACTGGTAAGCGAGTCGTCCTCCGACAGTTCTAGTCTTCTTCGAAAGATAAGCTCGTCCCATTCGGGGAATTGAGAGCGCCATTGACGAACTTGCTCAATAAGTTCGCCAATCACGAAGGTAACGTTAATTGCAGAGCAGTCTTCACTATTGGTCTCCTTCCCTGGGCGCAGGAGCCATCCCTGCAGATTCATATGTTCACAGGCAGCCAAGGCCAAGACAGCCTCAGTCAGATACAGATTCGTGACAGTGTCATTCGCGAAAAAGCTTCGGAGCAGTGTGAGTAGAGCTTCGAAGAGCTTGCACTCTTGGGCAATGGACATGTCTCGTTCGTCCGTTCCGTCCACGTCCGCTCGGCTCATGCGGAGGCAACTGTGCTGCTCCAGTAAAATCTGCTCGTCCAACAAGGCTGCCTGATATGACTCGTCCATTTCGGGATTTTTGCCTGTCGCGGCAGCATAGTCAAACAGTTTGAGCAAGGAGCTGTTCAGCCGCTCTACTCCGCGTTGGCCCGGAGACGTAGACGCTGGTTCAAGCTTAAAAAGACTTGTGAGCACATGGCAGTGATGATTCTCAATAACGACCGATAAGAGCTTGAGACAAGCATTAACGGTTTCAGAGTGACGAGATCTGAGGCTCATTACCATCAAGTCGAGGAGATTGAAAAGATTTGGAGAAGGACTATCGGCGACTTCTGCAAGGGCTGTCAAGTGATCAATAGACTTCCGTCTGCTAACAGACATCCTTTGTCTTCGATGGCTTCTTTCTGTCGACCCGCGGGGCATGCTCGGTGACGCCAAAAGATAACGTAAGATGCGGTCCACAAGCTGGTCGTGATCAAGAGCAAGGAGGATCCGGGACAGGTGGGTTATAACGGCGGCAGTAGAGCCACCCTCGACATCCGATGACTCCAAGAGCGAAGGATAGAGGAGTTGTTGGACGAAAAGGACCTGGAAGTGGTCGAGCAAAGTATCACTGACCTCCGACGATTTGCAATGGTTCAAGGTGTCCTGCCAGAACGCCAGATAAGTGAAGAATGCTTTTATGTCTTGCTGGAAGACTTGCGGTACCGCAGTGAGCGAAGCAAACGTTTCTGAGCAATCCGAGAGGGAGACAATTGGAGGTGCAGCGACTTGGCCACTAAGGGGAGTTGACTGTCTGCTGAGCCTGCTGTATAGGGCACCAAGACCACTAGCCATCTGAGGCGCCAGGTCACTCTCGATCATCCATGTCTCCAATGGCTTAAATTTGGAGGCAGTTTCCGTCAGGTATAACAACGCCGTGCGAGCAAAGTCACCCACCGGGCCATCGTGGTGGACGTACTGCACCAGCACATGGAACAAAGGGAATTGACTTCTTCTAGAGTCGTCTGCAGCGTTGCGCCCAGGTGTTGCTTCTCGATCTGGATAGAACCAAGCTGGAAGGATGTCTGGATCGAGCCGGATCTTGGTAGCAATCTCGAATAGCAATTCCACCAGGTCTGTTTCAAGACGTTCTTCGACGATGATCCTTCCTCCTATTGTAGCAAAGCATACCAGATCCAACAAAGACCTTGTGAACAGTTTGCTGTCAAGCAACCCTTCGGCCTCGCCATTAATGAGGATGTGAAAGAGCTGTGCGGAGGATTTGATGATGTCGGCGTTGGCAGAGGAAACGGCAAGCTTAGTTATGATGATGTATGTCTGGCTCGAGGCAACATAACGGAGGCAGGAGTGCGGCGCGGCTCTGCGCGACTCATCGTGGAGAATGCTTTCAAGGCGTTGGAGGAGTTTGACAGTGTAGCTCAGGGCGGCTTCATCATCGCGTTCAACGCTACCGCTGCGCCAGGTGTGCTTTGCAGTGTCAATAAGACCAATCTCACAGAAGAACGGGGGGCAGGGCGTCCTCACAGTCAAGGCATTGCAAATGCTCTTGCAAGACCCAAGGCGCTCAGCTGGTGTATTTGTCCTTTGTTTTGTCTGGTACGAGCCAGTACCGGCAATCAGGCGAGTGAGCTAGCCAGCCATCTTGACGTTAGACCGCTCAATCCTCGCACCGCATGTATCTTGGGTAAGCAACTCACGATATCCATGGCCTTTGCCTCATTTTGGAACGGTCATGGGGATGGCAAGTGATAACAGGTATAGTTTGATGGTTATGTCGAAGGAAGAATCCAGATGAAGAAACGGACGTGAATCAGTAATTGTCGGCGTCGTAGCTGAGGCTGGTGAGGGTGCTGAGGCTAACTACTAGTAGCCCAATATTTTGGTCAATGAGTCGCGACTTCCTGCGTGAGACAAGCAGCTGCTTCTCTGCCTGATCCTTCAATGGATAAAGGGACTGCACTCCCCTGCGATCCTTGTTCCTCCTCCTCTGCTACAGCGTTGTTGACTTAACCAGACCGTACCTTTTGCCATTGTTGAGTCAGACTGGCGTGAACCCAGAGCATTTGACTTTGAACGGTATTTGAACTTTTGTGACATTTCTATATTTCCCATGGAGGGGCCTTTAAGTGTGAGTGTACCAGGCGTGACCTTCAAGTCCTCTACAACAGCCGGAGCTCGAGCACATGTGCAGGAAGCCGGCAAAGAGGAGGGAATGGATGATGCATACACCCAACCAGGGCCGTCCGACTCCCACAGTCTCATCAAATCGACCAAAACGCATACAGGATTCTATTCTGAGCATGGCCATTCCCTCTCTCACATCCGGCCCATCACCAAACATCCTGGTTCATCAGTCACAGCATTCTTTAGCGGTGTATTCACCACCATCATCGGCATATCGACCCTCGGCGCCAGTATCACCTTCTCCTACGTCTTGTCCAACAACACCTCCACTCCTCGAGCAGTCTTCGATGTGGAGCAGATACAAGAATTCCTAGCAATTAGCTGGCTCTTGTTCCTTCTTGCTCTGGCAATTGCCTCCCTTGGTTCGACTATCCTGAATTTCTTCAAAGACCACTGGACTGCAGACTGGGATGGCTTGAATGGGAAAACCTCGCAACGGAGTGTTCAGTGGTACGCTGTCGTTGCTGCTGGACTGATGGGCGGTCTGATCATCGGGGCTTTCGTGCTGCTGTGCCTGGTGGTGGTTGCACATACCACTATCGTGGGCTGGATTGCCTTGGGATTTACCAGCCTTTTTGGAGCTATCATCTTTGTGGCGCTGATGCATCAAGCCCCCTGGCCGTGGCGGAATAACACGCCGTCCCCGAGCCCAAGGCATCGCACTGCGGGAGGCCATGATGGACGTGATAGAGATGGAGGACCTTGATGGCCCGTCAAGCAAGATGTGTTGTGCGATCGACGTGGGGGGATCTCATTCGATAGGTCCATACGTGATCGATATTTTGGCTGACGGGTTTCCCTGTCTTACTGCAGCAGTCATTCTTTTTCACAGCTGCAGCTTCGGTATGATAACCAGCACGTTAAGGTCGTCTTCATAATCATACAAAACTCTTCATAGCTCATCGAGCGAGTGGTTTCACATCAGTCACTTTCATCGTCAGTCTCCACTTTCCTCTTCTTGCCCCCCTTCCCCTTGCCTTTGGGCTTGATATCTTCTTCGCTGTCTTCACTCTTGGCCTCCGACTTGGCCCTGCCTTTCTTCGAGCCTTCGTCGGGAATGGCCTGACAGATATCGTTCAAAAAGTCAAACTGGCCGTCTTTCATCAGTGCGGCCTTGAGATGCTGTGCTGTGACTCGTTTCGAATTATTTGCTCTTGCTTCGGCCGCGCCCTTGGAGACTAAGGTAATCATAAAAAGCTCCAGCGCTTTGGCTATGCAAGGGTTAGAAGAATGGACGGGGCCTGCGGATAATATTCCAGAACTCACAAACTGCTGTGGGCGTTGCTTGGGCAACTTTGCCTACATCTTCGTCTGCTTGCATGATGCGCTTGATGCGGGCTACCGGAAACTTGGTCTTCACATCGATCCCGAAGGAAGGATCTGCCGTGGCAATGGGCATGAGCGGCTGCACAGGTTGGACTTGTTCTAGCTTGGGTTGGACGACGTTTCTCGTTGCTGCATTTAGGCTGTAGTCTTGTTCCAGTGCCTCGGCGGCTTTTTGTTGCCGCGTTCGAGGAGGCATGTCTCCGTAAGGAAAGATGGGAACGGACGACTGTGGCTGCTGACCCTGGTTTATGCTCAGACGAGGCCCAAACCCAGCTTGAGAGTGGTGGGATGGTGGCGAACTACTATATGGCTGACCCGAAGGTTGAAATTGACTCGGTGGACAATATTGAGTCGGAGTCTGGCCTGGCAAGCTCGGAGTGCGAAAAGTTTGAGAAGAAAAGTTGGCCTGAGCGCTTTGTGCGGGAGGACGTGAGCCAAAGTACGACGTCGAAGGGGTGATGGAAGCAGGTGTGGCTGTTGAAGGGGAGAAAAAGGGCGAGGCGTCGTAGCTCCCTCTAGGAGTGTATGAATAACCCGCAGGTGAAGGGAAATTGGGGTCTGGTGCGTGGTAGCTCGGAATTCGGGCTAGCCTGGGCAGTGGGGCATTTGCAAAAGTGAAGCCTGATAAATCTGGACTGGAAGGACGGTAGGATGACTCGGAGTTGGTCTTGTCGTGTTCTTCATTCATTTGGTCGGCGAATGAAGGGTGCAGCTGGATGGTGGTGCAGAAATCCCGGGGTAATATTTGGTCAGTACCGAGTATTAGTATGTGTGACTGACGGTGAAGTGGAAGTGGAGCGTGTGCGGTAGGCAACAAGTCATTTTGAATGGACGACAGTGGCCCGTCGCGATTCAGACCGTGCCGACCTTCATGGCTGCCGCTGAGAATGCTGGGGAGAAATATGTGAAGGAAGAACCAGTCAAGCCGTCACGTCGATGAAGGCAGGTCGATAGAGGATGAGGTGGTACAGTGCTCGATGCAGTGGTGGTATTAGGCGGTGCACGCGTTGGTAACAGTGATTATCCGATACGACAATGACGACAAAACGTAGGTAGTTTCAAAGGCAAATCAGGGTCACGTGTCCGGAAGAGTGAACAACATAAATCCGGAGAGAGTGGGATTTGTTGTATTGTGAGCAGACGAGTCATGCGATTTCAGAGACGTGCAGCTGAGGGGTCGGAGGGGCCTTATAAAAGCTGCGATCAGGGCCTTGCGGGCATCCAGCATCCGATGATCAGATCAACAGCGCCCGGAAACACGCTAAATCGGGGGCCCAATCAATTCAGCCACTCGCAATAATCATGGCGCCCTGTCCATTTTTTTGCGAATCCACAATCCCACCGCACCTGCGCTTTTGCAAAACTTTGCTGTGTCTTGCTCTTCCATCTTCATCATTGGAGACCCCATTTGGCCCCCTGCATCCCATGATAATTGAACTTTTCTGGATGTCCCATTGAATGTCGCGTTATAGAAAATATTCGCCGGATCGCTGCAATGGCGATGCGAAGGCCAAGCCGAAGCTGAACGACAATCCACCTTTTGGCCCATTACTTTTGGAACTACGGTACGGAGTAATTAACCATCAAACGCGCGTACATAACACGCGCGCTTTTGCTACAGCGACACCAATGGGAAAAGAACGACCTAGGAAGTACTCTCTCGGTGCCTGCAACGTTGTGGATCGTCGATTGCCAAATGATGACAGAGCGTTCTGGAGATGGCGGGTTGGAGACAGGTTGCGAAGCGACAACCCAGCCAATGCGGCTGTGGTTGTCGTTTTGCTCGTCCAACTGTCATCGATGAAAGACCTTTCCAAACTTGATCTAATCTGATGGCTTGATGGTTTCTATCGACATGGGCGGCAGGCCAATGGCACCCAATGTCACTGTAAACTCGACGCGAGGCTGGAGGACAGAATGAAATCAGTCATAATGTCCAGTCCCTGCAGGCGTTCGTCTCGAGTTGCCCCGAGGAACAAATTCACCACGGGCCAGGCGTGAATGCCTGCTTCTTGCTCGTGGAGCTTGAGCATCGCGCCGTTTTTCTTCATGTGGTCTGCCATCGATTGGATCCCGGGGGCAAAGACCTCTTCAGCCCCGTATATGATCCGAAACCCGTTCAGCGGCGAGGCCTGTTTCCAACGCCCAGTGCAAAGTCCCGGCGAAATGACACTGTCAACCATTGTTGCCTCTCCTGCATATTGTTTTGCGTACAGATGCAGGCTGTTTCGGTCCAAGTAGTCACTGGGTGTATTCTGGTTCAAATCCGATACCAGATGGGTCCAAGGCGAAAGCAGTATGGCTAAACCTGGTCGATGCAGTGACTGGAATTGAGGATCTTGTTCGAGATGACCCGGCTGGAGAAGCATGCTCAGGATAAGTGTTGCGCCTGCCGAGTCACCGCTCACACAGATCTTCGCTGCTGAACCATCACCAAACGCGTCTCGAAGAAAACTGTACCCAGCACGGGTCTCGTTGAATTGGACCGGCCATTGCGCATCCGGAACGAGGGTGTACTCCAAAGCGAACACCGCGGGGTTTTTGAAGCCACTTTCTTTCAGTCGAGTTGCCCATGCCATGAGAAACTCGATGTAGAAATATGCGGAACCCATGGAGAACCCGCCGCCTGAGACGAAACATCAGCTGGGTTGTGACTAGGCAAAAGACGTCCGATAACTGACCATGAGCATAGTAAATGATGATGTCGGGGTCGCAGTCTGGATCATCAACGATCCAAAGACCTCTGGCGCCGTGTCTGATGACCTCCCGGTAAAACATGGGGCAATGCAGAAACCCATGTCGCAACATGCGGAATCGAAAGAACGGGTATGCGACCCATTTGGAAAAGAAGACCCTCCCTACGCTGGCAGGGATTTTTGCAAAGGCATATCGAACGCAGCGAACGACCACGTCCTGGAAGAGCGTGGCATGTTGTGTAAAGGGTGATTGAAGGTGTCTTTTGGTGAAGTATCGTTCACGTACAAGCTGGTATGGGAGGTTGAAAACTGTCACAAGTGATCAGTATACTGTTGCGACTTGTGGGGAGCCCATGCAGTTTCCTTACTCAAGAATGGTATTACTCTGAGTATCACACCAAGTAGCTCATTAATATCTACTTGATACAGCAGTTGTGGAATTAAGAAAATGACAAAAGCCACGCAATCGACTCCGTTGATTGGTCCCAGGATCATCTTGGTCTATTTGTATATTATAATCTGAGGTTGGGGTCCTGAGAGACTGGTCGACCTTCATATGTATCCCGTCCCAGTCGATCCAGGCTGTCAAAAACAAGACAAAATACAAAATAGAATGAGACTTGTGGACGAGACACAAATTGTTGGCTGGAATGTCTATTCTAACTAAACACAAGGAGAAAGTGTAAGCGTCAGAGAATCTAGCCTCTGATACTCGGTAATACATGTGAAGCCAAGTATTAATATCGGAGTTGGGATCTCACCCATTATTGCCTTTTTGGTGGGCGACTCAGCCGAGAGATTTGGGGTTCAGGAGCGCTAGCTGGATCTGTGCTAGCGTAAGCTGGAGAGGGCTTGGAGGGCTCCTGCAGCCGCCTAGCCGCCTCGCCGCGACTGTCCTTTTTTTTGCCTTTCGGAGGCACCCAGGGAGGCTTCGTCTAGGCTCTGGTGGCTCTCAGCCTGGCTCCCCCGGCTGCGCAAAAACATCACTGAAAACTTCCTCTCCGTCACCACCATCCATCCTTGACATATCCTACACGTTTGCACCGATATGCCTGTGAATCTGTTGTCATTTAGAGACTAGCGATTGTGTCACAAGAGACTGGCGACGCCCCTGCCCATTGTCATCTAATGGCGTTTGATCTTTCCATTCCTTTGTCGAAATCGCAGCCCTGGTCTACTCCCTTACCATCAACGACCGCCAGATTGTCTCTTTAGCCCTTTCCAACATGGCTGCTGTTGCATTAGACGCATCTTTGTCCAATGTTCTCAAGTATGTTTGGAGACTTTATGTGTTTGGCCTTTTGTCACTGACTTTCCTAGTTCCCTGGATCTGGATAAAGTGCCCGAAAAGTTGAAGTGCACGCGCTGCCACAACTTCAACCTAAATCCATATAAAACCTCTTGTTGCGATGTTGGCATCTGCGAATCATGTTAGTGGCACCGTGAGCGCTTCCTCTTGGCATTTGACTCACACCAGACAGGCTTCAGCACGACTCGCGGCTCCAGTTGTCCCAAATGCGAACACAGACCCTTCACTGACGACATCTGCAAGCCGAGTAAAGCCATGCAAAAGACCATCAAGGTGTATCTCAAGACACAGGAGAAGTCAAAAGGAGATGAGCGGGCCAAATCCGACGGGCAAGATGAGGCAGTTCACCCATCAGATGCAGCCAAACCCTGCGTGAATGGCGGCAGCCAAACAGATGGGGTTGCTGCAGGAGTGACAGAGGAGCAGCAACCACTGGAAGTGGCAGAAAGTGAAGAGACTCCTGCTGTAGATGTCCAGCCATCAATCGAGGTACTTGCCCAACCCGCCGTCCCTCGGTGACAACATTTTCTGATCTTCACTTTAGGAACCTGACCCTGACCCAGCCGATAACGACGATGATATTGAGATCCAGGTGGAAGCAGAAGATGAGACTCTGCAACCGCTTCCCACCCGAGTGAAGAGTACAGAAGACACTTCACAGTCCCAATCCGCCATCTCATTCGAGAACCAAGCGAATTCACAAGAGGTGACCAAAAGCAATACAGAGGGTTTCAATGGCATGGACTTTTCAAACATGATGAATGGGTTCGGCAATATGGATTACAACCAGATGATGCAAATGATGACGGCGAATGGGATGGGCTTCAATCCAATGATGGGTGAGTTCAACCACTGTCCCAACGCGCCACAACATTTTCTGACCGCGCTTCAACAGGAATGCCTATGGGTATGAATCCAATGTCAGCTGGCATGTTTGGCGGATTTGGCGGTCCAAACGGAGGCATGAACATGAATGGGATGAATGGCATGAACATGGCTATGAACTACAATGCCAACCAAGGAATGTATGGCTGGGATGGCCAGAACAACAATATGTGGCAGAATAATAATGCAAATGCATTCCCGAATGGCATGGGCAATGACTTCGGTTCCAACTATGGTTTCAATATGGGCCCGTCTGGCAACTTTCAACAGCCCTATGCCTCTGGTGATTTTCAAAACGGCTACTACGGTCGCGGCTATGGCAGAGGCCGTGGCCGTGGTCGTGGCGGCTTTGCGAGAGGCCGTGGTAACTTCAGTCAATACTCGCAATTCCAACAACAAGGATATCAGAACTGGTCTGGGCAGAAGCAATTCGAGAACCGCAATGTGCAGTCTCACATGATGCAAGCAAGCCCATCTGAAGCCGCCGCCGATGAGGAACACATCGACAACAACCACGACCCCGTCGATGAGAGTCATGAAGATGATGAATTCGCTCCTGGTGGTCAGGAAGAGGTTCAAGAGGCCCTTGGAGAAGACTACCAGAAGCCCATCGCAGTGGAGAAGACTACAAGTACTACCGCTACTCCTGAAGCTTCTGTTGTTGCAGATGGAGAGTTTGTGAAAGAGGCGGAACACGCGCCGAAGGATGAGTCTTTGGATGTTGATAAAGTGAATGTGACTGCGAGGCAGGACGACCCGGACAATGTCCCACCACCGGTTCCTGAGCCTGTGAAAATGGCTTCATCAGAAAAGCCAATACCGGAAGCATACAGTGAGGATCTACAAGGCCCGATGCCACCACCGTCGGCGCCTCTTGGCCCTTCGGCTCAATATGGTGATCATGGCTTCCGCTCTCGAGGACATGGTAGATTCGCCTCTCGCGGCCGTGGCTCGATTTCGATGCCAAATGGTCATATTACTCCACCAGTAAAGCCGTTCCCCAAAACTGCTTCACCTATGGAACCAAAGGGAGTGGGTGTTGTCGGTGCGCCAACGGGTCCTAGAGCGATGCGTGAACCGGCTGGGCCTGTGAGGCCAGCTTCGCGACCTGCAACATCCGGGTTTCAAATCATGGGGAGAGCATCCATGGCGGCCTCTCAGCGTTCGGAATCTCGAGATGTCGAGAGAAGTCGTAGTAGGACCCCTGACAAAGACAAGGACAGTTCTAGACGACAATCCGTGCAGGACAAGTACGCCAACTCGAGGTATGAAGGGGAGGAGCAAGACGAGTTGGATTACCGGGACTCTGACAAGGCGTCCAGGAAATCGTCAAGACGAGACACCTATGATGATTATGATCGGAACGAGCGGGAAGTTTCCTACGCTGAATCGGATTCTGGAGATTACAAGTCATCTTCGCGACGCAGTCGAGGCATTAAGGAGAGAGCATCAAAGCAGCACTCATCGCGCTCCTCACGGCGACATCAAGACGAAGACGTCAATGGGGACTACGAAATGGACGACTATGATGATTCCACACGGTCAAATCGAGACGATTACGAGGCCGAAAGTAGGAGCAGACACCGGAGTAGCAAGTCTTCTCGATACGACGATAGGGATAGGGATCGGGATCGGGATCGTGACCGTGACAAAGAGCGCGACCGAGACCGGGATCGAGACCGTGACCGAGATAGGGATCGGGACAGAGATCGTGACAAGACACGAACCAAAGACCGGGATCGAGAGTATCGAGAAGATAAACACAAAGATCAGGACCGCGATCGCAAACGCTCTCGACATGACCGCCACCGTGAAGACACCGACAAGCATCAAGACTACGACTATGACTACGACCAACAGCAGGATGAGGCCGCCGCTGGAGAACCCGAGTCGCGACATCGCTCGCGGCGTCACAAGAAAGATCACCGGCGCGAAGTCGAGGATACCAGCGGCATGGATAGCTCAATGATGGTCAATGGACGCTCACAATCTCACCGCTCCAGTGGCACGGCAACACCAGCACCAGGGCAGTCAATGTCGGCAGCCGAAGAGAAAGACCCACACACCCTTGAGCGCGAGGCCAGGAACCGTGAACGCATGCTCAAGGAACAACAGCGACGGGAGAAAGCGGCCAAACAAGCTTCTTCATCCTCTGGCGGGGGCGGTGGTGGTGGTGGTGGTGGTGGTGGTGGTGGAGCTACAGGTGGTGGGAGAAGAGTCACGTACAAATACGAGGAGGATCTCGAAAGAGGGCTGGTCGAGGGCGAGAGGGAAAGCCATGGGAGACGGTGGAGGTAGTAGAACCGCCGCTGCCACGATGTCGACTGTGCCTGGGGAAGGGTTGGAGCATCGTATCCTCATCGACTGCAGAAAGGATCCCGATGTTGTTGCTGACGATCCTTTCTTTTTTCTTCCCACCTTTTTCCCTCATGTTTTCCAGTATTGCTACTTTGCTCTCCTTACGCTTGCGTTTTCGGCCTGGAAACATACCTAGATGATGAGTTGGACCGATCCATGTGTCTGTCCTGACGGATGGACGGCACACATGAAATTTAATTGTTTCATGCGTCTATCTTCCAACACGGCACATCACCTCAGCATCGGCATCGGGCATTGCTACGAAATCGCGCTGTCCAGAGGACCTATGAAGTCTCGAATCTTGTAATGGGGAAAAAAGAAGAAAAAAAGAACAATTTTTCAGAAAAAAAAAGAGAAGAAAAGGACAAAAAAGGGGCGGTGGGAGGAAAAAGGATTGCTTTTGAGCCTTTTGTGCAGATCAATAATATCGGTTATTCATCACGGCTGGGGAATGGAGAAAAAAATGGCATGGAGGACGCGACACCACGGGGGGTTATCAAGAGATTCGCTGTAGGTAGGCTAAGGGATGGCTTGCGCGTTCAAGGGGATCTATCTACCTTAGGTAGGTACCTTAGGTAGGTACCTAGGAGATCAGGGAACCTAGGAACCTGGGGACACGGATTTTTCTCATTCTCTCGTTCTTGACTGGCACGGACATGACGGGGTTCCTAAGGGCTATGGATGGTCAAACAACAAGGGGCCCTTGTACGCGAGGAACGGGATGGGATGTACTCAGTACTCAGTACTCAGTACTCTGCTGGGAGGATTGAATCTTTTTAAACAAATATTCGGTTCAAAGCCAATTCAAGTCAACTGAAACCAATATCCAGGTCCAAGAGTGTGGTCTCGTGAGCTTGTAGTTTCGGTCTTCGTCCCTCTTTGTCTCTGACTTTGATTACTTCGTCTCGATATATGGGGCTATTAAATGTCTACTCACCCACTCACCATACAGCCTCGTGGATTTTGTTCGGCGCGCTCTTGTATATATATATAGCCTTGCACGAGGCGGATTCAAGCCTGTTGCGGTGCGGACCGGGTCTCATTTTACATGGAGACCGCGTCCCGCTTCATCTCGCCTGTTCATTCGCCGTGCTGGCCTCTGCTGCAGGAGCAGGCTGATGTGTCGCCTCGTATGCCGCCTCGAACTTGGCCTTGATCTTCTCGTAACGCCCGAGGAGGCGGCCCACTACTGGATTCGACTTCCGGCGCTGGACATCGCCTTTGACCACTGGTGGGGACAACATTGGAGAGGACGGCTGAGAGGAGTCGGCGGACGGCAGATTGCTTTCCGAGACGGTCTGCTTGATCCGCCCTGTTTTGGGCCATGGACGCTGCTGCGGCTGCGGGAGCTTGTACGTCTGGATCGTGTAGCTCATGGTGTGCAGCGGTGCCGACCGCGGGTGGTGCAGATGGTGGTCTTTCTCTCCGCGTTTGCGCCGGCTCTTGCTCTGGATCTCCTCGATCTGGCTCCCCAGTTCCTCGGCCTCGTCGTAGCGGTTCTGCCATCTCAGACTGTCCGCGAGACTCTCCATCGCGAGGATGCTCGCCGGGTGCTCTTTGCCGAGGGTCTTCTGGCGCACCTGGACGACCTCTCTCTCGAGCGCTTCTGCCTGGGCGGCGTTGTGCTCGGGGTCCTGCAGTTTGTATAATTCGGCAAGATCGAACATGCTGATGAGCGTCTCGAGGTTTTCCTCGCCCAGAACGTCCTTGCGGGTCTCCAGCACTTCCTCAAACAGAGCCTTGGCTTCGTCGTATCGGCCCAGGTGGCCGAGAGTGACGGCCAGGTCGCGTGTAGCCCGCAGCGTGTCCGCGTGCTCTTTACCCGGATTGATTTGGCTCTTCTCTGTCACGGCGAGCAGCATGTTATATGCGTCCTCGAAGTTTCCTTGAATGCCATCCAAGGCCGCTAGATGGCGCCGGGCCCGTAGCATGGCAGGATGAGTCTCCTCCACCCCGGGCTCAGCAGCCTTCAGACCCTCCACCTGCACGTCCCTTGCGACGCCAATCTGCCCTTGCTCGAGAAGGATTCGAGATAGACTGGTATAGCTGGCCAAAGTTGAAGCATTATCTGGCCCAAGGGCTTCCTTCCAGTTGGCGATTGATTGACGAGCCATTTCTTCAGCTCGAGCATGATAGCCCTTGACTCGGAAGTAGGATGAGGAGTGGTATTGCAGCTCAGCCTTGGTTCTGATCCCTGCCTTTGACTTGAGATGCACGTCCAAGACTACTCGAACGTGAGGCAGGTAGACTTCGCACTTTTCCCAATCTTCGTGCTCTCCAGGCGGAAATACCGTGGCAACCGCAAACAGGGCTTTTTCTGCCCATTCTTCGGCAGTGCCCTGGCTTGCCAGCCAATGCCGTGTAACCAACTGAACTATATGTTGCATGCTGTAAGCTTGATGCTCTTCATTGGCGATTTTCACATCTGTCTCTTGAACTAAAGAGAATGCTTTCAGGAGCCCACATGCATCTTCAAAATCTGTGTCAAACATATTCTTGTGCTGACTTGCAATGAGTGTATCGGGGACATAATTTCGATCCAAGAAGGCCATGAGGGATAAAACGTCGGCAGCAAGGCTATTCTGTTCTCGAATTTGCGTGAATGACATCTGCCATGTAGCTGTCACTGGTCTGTCTACGCCCTTGACGTCCCGAGTAAGGATATCAAGCGCGTTTGCTTGCTTCTCAAATAGCCGCAAAAAGGCAGCGATCCTCATAGAGTTCTTCGAGATATAGGCGGCCGCTTGACTCATTGCGAGTGGTAGCCTTTCGAGACAATTTGCCAGTTTTGCCAGATCATCCCGTGTATACTGGTCCCCAGTGAGGATCTGTGCTAGCATATCGACCGATTCAGACAAGTCCATCGCCAGTATTTGGTGGTTGATCGCTCCCAGAGCTTCGCCGACATTCTTGTCTCGCGCGGTGATCAGGAGCGCACCGTGTTGGCAATTGGGAATATAGTCTGCCACTTTCGCCGCGAAAGTCTCCTGTTCCTGGTCTGCTCGGCGGTCCTCAAACATGCTCACGTCGTCAGCATTTTGTAGGATCATCAACCATTGACCGCAAAACCTCTCCCGACTTAGCCAGTCGCTCACCAGAGCCAGGGTATCGACTTGGTGGGAATCGGCATCAGGTATGTCGAGTTCCTTAGCTAACTGCAGGTACGACTGATGAAATCTTTCGCGGCTATTGGCATGGACCCAGAATACGGAGATTTTCTCAAAGTTCTTCCGCATCCAGTAAGCATATTTGAGCGCGATCTGTGTCTTCCTGTGCCAGTTAGTGATGCCTCCTTTTCGTCCCACTGACCCCAAACGAGGAAACTAACCCAACGCCGCCGAGTCCATATAAGGCCACTCTCTGTTGTAACCCTAGTTGAGGTTCTAAATCCTCATCCAACTTCCTCAAAGCCTCCTCGCGACCTGAGAATCGTAGATTAGCGCCATATGGAACAAGCCCTACGCATCTTGTCAGTAACTGAGACATTGATGTTTCTGGAAAGCTCAAGTTAGCTCACATTTCCCTCTCGCAGCTGCAGAACCATCTTGCGGGTTTCGAAACATCTCCTCTCTAAACTTCTTCACGGCCTGATGGGCAAATTTGACAAGGTTGTCCGCCACAAGCTTATATGCTGGATTTTCTGGGCTCTCAAACTTGCAAATGCTTCGGTGATCAGCTTCAACAGCAATGACAGTCTCGATAGCCGGGCCGAGCTCAAGGGTAGCTGACTTTCGGTCCACTATCTATCTCAAGTTAAATTTCAGAACACAAACACAGTGTCAAGTACGAACCAGTGTAATTCCTTCTGTCTTCAATGTTTCAAAGAAGCTCAAAATCTTGTACTTTCCAATCAGGCTCTTGAAGTTTTCGCCAAGCTGCTCCGATAAGATGGAGTTTTTCTGGAGATGATCCAAAAATGTATTCCTCGTATTGCCCGTCGCCAACTTTGCGATATCAGCTACAACGCTGCCAATTCTGGCATGCTCGCCCCCTCGATGCGGAGTAGCAAAAAAAGCAAGTCCGAAAGTGGCTTCGCAGATGTTGGTGTAGGCCTCATTGAGCCTCGCGTGCACAAGTGCCTGGTTCGAGACTGAAGTCAGCGTGAGAAGGACCAGTAAATTATCCGAGTCATTGGACTACTCGGGACAGAGAATTGAGAATATGTCCATTTGTGATGGTATATCCCTATGGGTCATAATTCCAGAAATTGACACCGGGTAATGTGGAGGAGATTCGTGGTCCTGAGGCCTTGAAAAGATGCTTGTTCGACTTACACTCTTCACAACAATTCCCCCCAAGCTGTGGGCAAGAAAGATAATTGGTCTGTGAGGCGGATCTATCTTCGCTCTCTCTGCGCTCAACCGACTCAGCAGGTTCGCAGCCTGTTCTCGGACTCCAGCTGCGGAAGTTTGAAAGACCACGTTGGAATTGTAACCAAATACCAGCACCCTCGCTCTAATACCTCTTTCTTCTAATGCCTTGGGTAAGAAGTCTTTGAGCCAGAACGTTCCATTTGGTGCCGTCCACGTCTTGGAGGCGTGGTCCTCGACGTTGATCGGGTTCAGGCCGTGTACAGCGACGATGCTTAATATAGTCAGCACTACAATCAGTCAGTGTCGCTGAGAGAAGCTTCGACTCACTCCAGATTTGGTCTCTTCGGTTCATGGATTGGATCAAGGAAATCCTGGTTCTTCGGCGCCTGTCACGACTTAGTCTGTCTTGCCAGACAATGAGCACAGTCGAGTGATCAGACCAAGTGAATCTAGAGCCATACTTACCATCTTCGGGAAGAGACACTGGGGGCCTGTAGGCTTCCACTCCAATCCTGCAAGGCTGTGCGAGGTCTCAGCAGTGAGACTCGGCTGTCGTCGATAGTCAACAGGAGGGCGTCAAGGCCTCGACACAGGACGGATGTGTTGATGACGCTTTCTTCGCACAGCCATGGACCGGAGAACGTCAAAGTCGGGTGCTTCAGAGGAGATGCGCTTCTCAGCCTCAACACAGAGAACAGGGAGTCGAGGTTTGCTGCGCATTTGGAAGGCAGCCAACGGCCGCTGCCCCGCACCCTGGTGGTGTCAGTGAGGTTCATCGAGCTCCATTGATGGGTGCAGAAGGGCACGGCACTCGGCCGTCGTCCGCAATTGTAAGACGCTATCTTCTCGTCTTGCAGCGGCAGCCGGTTGTAAGGGGAAAGAGGTCCATGAAGTCGGGACTGGAAGAAGCTTAGTTGATGGGGGCGAGAAATCGCTTCTGGAGACTCAGGTTCCTCAACCATTATTACTAAGTGCATTGTCCCCCCCGGTTCGCACTGACTCGCCGCAAACAACTGGCTTGGCCCCTTTCCCGGGGACACTATGAGTAATGCTGCAGCGTGATGGCTTTAGCTGCTCAGATGTCTGGCTGGTGATTCAATATAACTAATAGCTCCCTGGAGAAGTAAGGGGTGCGAGGCGAGCATTCTCGTCACTTGCGTCCTTGGTTGCTCCTTTTATTAGCACATGCCGGGCCACCATCCAGTTCCCAATTGACCTCTTTCCACGCGTATTCTGAAATTGTGAATCGTCGGTTGTCCCTGCACAGAAAGAGAGACGGGTGCAAGCAGCGCCACTCAAAGACCGGCAATCTCCTCTTTAACCGAGTCCTCTTCAATCAAGGGCAATGACCGACTGACAGATTCTGACAGATTCTGCAGTAACCGCTTGTTGCCCCAATCTCTTTGGTCACGTCCGAAGACCATGTCTAACAGCCGAGCTACCCATTCAACATGCACGACATTGGCCGGGGCTGGTCTGAATTTCTGGGCGAGAAGCAGTTGCGAATGCGATGCTTGCGAATGAAGTTCGCCTGCCATGTCATCGATATGGCAATAGACGACCGCTGCCTATTCCGGAGACAACTGCCCTCGAATAGGATGAGCTATGGGCTCCCTGGCGCCGGACCTTGGGTAGACATGGTCCCAGTAACAGTTCTCTGCCACTTGGAAGATCCAGGATCTGAAGCCTCCTTGGTCAAGGCGGAAAGTCGGCCCTTTCGATGGCACTGCATTCATCGCCGCGCCGAAGATCCGGGTTTCCATGCCCAGGAGACAGCTGAATCCGGAACAGCTTTCTGATCGAGTTTGGCGGGATTCTTGGATTGAACATCTGCCGATATATGATGAGAGAAGGTGGATTATTCCAATGCCCCAGCAGCACCCACGGATAGACCTCTAAGACTGTTGTTAGCCAAAGTGACTGCAAACTCAGGAAGCCTTTCGATTCTGACCTTTTCGGGATTCTTTCGAGAGAACAATGAGGCTGCGTTTCTATCAAGTTATTTGCCAAGATATAAACCCATATATTGGTAGAAGGGTAAAGCGAGGTCAGAGAGACAACCATTGTCCTCAGATGCTTCTGACTGTTTCCTAAGAAGAGTCGAGGGCAGAGGCAGGGTAGAGAATTCCATCCGAGCAGACAGTCGGTCTTGGATAGGGACTGATCTTGATACCTTTTTGTGAAACTCCCCGCTGCTGGTGGGCAACTCATCCAGGCGACTCATTCATCTTGCCCTGTCATCGCTTTCGAGACCTCGTCCACATGGCGATAAATTCCACTTTCTCCTTGACTCCTAATCCCACTCTCTTGACACGTCCCAATCTCGCCAGTGCCTCGGCAACCTTGTCCAAGAACGCTCTTTCCTCCTTAGTAATGGAAATTTCTTGGTCTTCGGGGCCGCTTCCAACAAGCGTATCTGCATCGCTGCTGGCTCCACCATCTGACGAGATCAAGGTGTCGAAATAGTTAGCAGTGTAAGAAGATGAAACCTTTGCTGCGACGGGAAAATCCGAGTCTGTCGACCTTTTGCTATTATATACAGCCTCGGCAATGCGGATTCGGAGACAATGGGACGGTTTGCTGCAGAGATTCCAGAGGAAGGTCAGGTAAGCATGCGGGATGGGTGTCGTGACGTCTGCAGGGCTGTACCGGAGGGAGACAGGGAACACTTTTGTTCGAGTAGGGGTTGCCAGAAGGCTTGGACTGATGGGCAGAATGCCTCTCCCATTAGTTGTGGTGCATTCTGGAAAGACCACCAGGACGCGGCCCGGGTTTTGTTTGAGCATTGTCTCAATGTTGATTAATTTTGCGCCAGGTGATGGTGTCAGCTTTGGGTGACAGAAAGTGCGACGGATGGCTGTAAACAAAGATATAGGTTCCACCAGCCTTGAGTAAGGATAGGAAGCTGCGAACACCGGGTCGAAGATGGCGGCTAGATACAACGGATCAATGGGTGAAGCGCTGGATGAAGCAATCACAGATCCTTCTTGAGGAATTCTCGTCTTGTTCTGGGCAAGGGACCTGCGCGATATCAGCACGTGCTTCAGCGAAACCCATGGAGCCATACCCTTTCTTCACCCCGTCGATCTGGAGATCGATCCACCATATTCCGGGTATGCCCAGTATGCACCAAAGAGAAGCTTTTCTGCCCAGGATGCCGATAGGCATCCATTGTAGTATGAGGAAGTATGAGAGCGCAAAGACCAGAAGTAGAGGCACACGACAGATGAAGAGGAATATGTGCAAGGGTAAAGCGAACCCAGCAGGCTCGGTCGGGATGGGAAGGAATGGAGCGATGCCGGAGCCTGTGGATGAAATCAGATCAGCACATGGATCCATCTGTTTCTTTGTTCAACAAAAGACAATACCTTTGTCACGAAACTGCGAGAACTTTTCCATTTTTCTTTGAGTTTAGACAAGTTGTACAGGGTCCTTGAAGTGATCGCAAAAGCGCCGCAAGAGTGTCAGATGCTAGAAACGCGAGAAGAGCACAAGTGCAACATAGCAATGAAGAGCTGGAGTGAGAAATAATTGGAAGGTCATCAGATCATCTGGTCATCTGGTCATATTGTGTGTGGCCGAACCGACACCAAGGCGACTCAGGTGAGGCAGCGGTACCTTCGCGGTCAAGGTTTGATAAACGACAGGTGGACCAGAGGGCAAGGCTTCCTAGACTGCGGCTGCGGATGGCACTGTGTGGATACTGGAATTCATTCAGAGCGAGAATGTTTGGGTGATGCGATCATTGAGGTGGGTGGAGTGGGTGAATGGGTATGGAGATGAAAAAACGCAGCACATGCCATTGATGATTGCAGCCCAAATCATGACATGCGAACTTTGAAGGGTGCAGTGGGTGGCAGTGATCGGGGCAGTGGATCGGTGCCGTGGTCACTGGTCAAGCCGCTCGCCGCTTGGCGTCCATGGCCTCTTGGTCGTCTTTGACTTCCCCATACTGAGTAACTCATACCTGGTAATGACGATTGGACATGGTCCGGACTGGTCGGTCAAGGCAGCGTACTTTCTGCGCACATACCCTGTCCTTATCTGTTCGTGTCTTTGCGCGCCTCATCCTTTTCTGGTGGCAAGGCAGATATAAAGGACCTTGTAGGTAGGGAAAGAGGCCATGTGAGTGAGATTGCCTGCATGCATGCATGTGAAGCCGTCCCAACATATTCGGTCCGTTCGGCTTGCCACCCCATCGCATCAACCTCCTACTCGGGTCCCCTTCCGGGCGCAGTCTTCACCATGGCATGTGGCATGACTGACATGACGGACATGACGGACATGATATCCAGGCTTTCCCTTCGATCCACCGGTGGCTTTGCATGGGCGAGCCTTGCATAATGGAGGGCGAGCCTGATCCAGATGTCGCCATTCCATCCGAGAGGGGGAAACTTGGCTGTGATGTTCCTTACCGGCATTTGTGTCTAGAATTCTAACGATAGACCTGCGCCTTCCTCGAGGCCGTGAACTGAAGAATCAAGTGTTTTTCAATGCCGGAAGGTTCTATTCATGACCGCTGGGGTCACAATGCATTGCCCGATGCGGAAACTGTCATGGACACCGCGACATGTCCTAGTAGCGCACAGAAGCGCTCTATTTGTTGCTGCATTCACTCGACGGAACCAATTTGGCACTGCCCGCGCCTTGTCTACGCTGCCTAAACAAAAGCCCAACAGACGTTGCTCATCTAGAAACCTTGAGATCGTGCAAGCATCACGAAGAGAAAGCATGCTCCAAGATACCTGATCAGCCACCGATAAGCAACCACTCCGGACGAAAGCTCAGTCTTGCAACCATGTCTGATCTCACAGAGACCAAAAGTCCTGTCCCCGGGAAATCCAGCGAGCCCGAGGCAACCGAGCCAGACACCACTCACAAACCGCCGCAAAGCGCCCCAGATGGCACCGAAAACGACATTCCACCCCGGCCTGAGATTCTCCGGTCGCTTTCCAACAAAGAATTCACAGCATGGCGCGAGTATCTAGGGGACAGGGAGAAGCCGAAGGATTACATCAATTGGAAGTTGAAAATGATCGGCGAATCTCAGCAAGCCACAACAAATCAGAGTGCCGGGATTCAGCATCAACATGCAGCTGGGGAACCAGGAATCGGAGAGCCGTCTTCCTCTGGTTCTAGCAGCAGGTTGCAAGAGGAGATGCCCAAGAGAACTGAGAAGCACGATGAGACACTGGAGACTAAGGCGAAGCAAGATGTCTTGGAGGGAAAGGAGGATGAATGACTCGAGGCTGTGCGGAACGAGAAACGGCAGTTGTCAAACCGATACGGATATGATTTGCATCAAAGGGCACAAGTACACATATTTCGACCTGGGCATCTTCAACTTGACAGTTTGCATCCTCATTCCATTCATGTACCTAGGTATCTTCTCGTCGCGGCCTTTCGACACCACGGACGATCGCTCAATCGCCTACCGACTTCTCGCCACGTTGCCGGAGGATAGTGGGACATTACACTGAGAAAGAGGATCCAGAGCTCCTGAGGTCAAAGCCCACCTGTGGCCAAGCACCTGTGTTGCTAAGCATATCGCGATGGACTCAAGCTAGCTACCTAGAGAATGCGTCAATACGATTACCAGCACACCTGTTGATGTGTAGATCTGGCCCAAAGCCTCCCGGTGCTGCGGTCTGGATGGCTTTCAAGTTGATTCCCTGATACCTACAGATACGGCCATTGTCAAACCTTGATAATTTTACGGAAATACCTTGCGGTAGGCGTCTCCATCTTCGGGACAAGAGAGGAAAGATGGAAACGTGGTTGACTTTCTCTCCACTGCCTCCATACGCGGAGTTGAGCGACCTTCCTCTTCAGGTACAGCAAAGGCTAACGCTTCCTACTCCACACATCCCACCTCCATGACCCTCATAGCCAGCGCAGACTTTTTCCACGGTAAGTTCCAAGGTTGCTCGTATTCGGTTCTTCTTGTTAGTACTTGGTAGCGAATACAAACGACAAGAATAATACTCCGTCGTCCAGATCAAAAAACACCCGCTGCTGCCACATCCACCGACCCCATCATGGCAGCATCCCTCGATGTAGCGGCCATCAGAGGCCAATTCCCGGCCCTCGCCCAGGAGCAGGTTTTCATGGACAATGCCGGTGGCGCCCAGGTGTTGGGGACTGTCATCACGTCCATCTCCGATTACCTGTCGAGGAACAATGTGCAGTTGGGCGCATCGTACCCGGTGTCGCAGATATCCACGCAAAAATTCGACGAGGGCCACATTGCGGGCGCAAAGTATGTCAATGCGTCGCCCAAGGAAGTGGTGTTTGGGCCGTCCACAACGCAGCTCTTCCGCAATTTGTCAGTCGCCTTGAAGGTCGAGCCGGGCGCGGAGTTTGTGCTGTCGAGTCTGGACCATGAGGCCAACCTGGCGCCCTGGGTGCAGTTGGCCGAGTGGAAAGGGTTGACGGTGAAATGGTGGATTCCGACAAAGAACACGGATTCAAATCCCAAGCTGGAAGCCGAGGATTTGAAGAAGTTGCTCACGGACAAGACCAGGTTGGTCTGCTGTACGCACACGTCGAATATCTTGGGCACTGTGACCGACGTGGCCGCGCTGTCGAGGGTCATCCACGAAGCGAACCCCAACGCTTTGTTCTGTGTCGACGCCGTGGCGTATGCCCCCCACGCGCCCATCGACGTCAAGGCGTTCGGCGTCGACTTCTACTCCTTCTCATGGTACAAAGTGTACGGCCCGCACGTCTCTATGCTGTACGTCAGCGAGAAGGCACAAAAACAGATCCAGAGTCTGGGCCACTACTTCAAGCCCGGCGATACGTTGGAGGAAATGCTGGGTCTGGCGGCGGGCAATTACGAATGTATCCAGGCCATCCCGCTCATAACCAAATATATCGAAACGGTGGGCTGGGGCGCCATCGCCGCACAGGAAGAAAAGATCCAGGAGATCTTGCTGTCATACCTGCGGTCAAAACCGGACCAGATCAAGATCTACGGGGAGCCTTCGTCGGACAGAAAGCTGCGAGTGCCGGTCATCAGCTGGAGGGTCAAGGGCCAGAGTTCATTGGGTATCATTGATGCCATTGAGGCGAGGTCCAACTTCGGTTGCCGCAGCGGTCATTTTTATAGTAAACGGCTCTGCGACAATGTCCTCCGCATCCCGGACAGTGATGACGGCGTGGTCAGATGCTCGTTGCTGCACTATAACACGGTCGAGGAAGTCGAGGGTCTGGTCAAAGTCCTGGACGAGGTTATCAAGGAGGGAGCAGGAAAGCATGTCGAGGACCCAGAGAGGAAGAATATTGCAAATTGGTGAACGCCACACTTTGCGCAAAAAATAGACCTTGCAAAGACTTTTGGTGTTGTACCTTTTGGCGGTGAGAATAAGCCTGGTCCATGCTAGATCTCGCCCAGCATTCATATGTGTTCACCGTCTGGAAGGTCAAGATTTGATCCGAAGAACCGTGCAAGTCGTAAGCAACTAGTCTGTGTATATACGGGTTGGTGCATTATAAGTCACACCGCTTGGACCTTGAACTTTGTCTTACTTTGTGACTTGCTTCAAGACGTCGTAAACTCCGGTGGCTCACAAGACCATCTCTTTCCAATCATCCCGTGAACACATCTCACCCAAGGGGAGCCTCTTTCGTCCAAAAGGTGAACTGTATTACAGCCTTCGGACCCCTGGCATACGGCATGCCTTGGGCCAATCCAAAGCTTCCAAGTTGTACGAGTGCGGACATGGCGATAGAGGCAAGACTTGCATGCCTGGTTGTGGTGATAACCTAATTAGCAGCACATGTAACAACCAGAGAGAAAGATCGGTCCTGTGCAGCAGGCCGCAGCAGCGCCTAGATCTTTCGCAGTGATCTGCCACCGGAGAAGACGGCTACCAGGGCACCATGCATATCTAAGGTCCGTGTATGCAGGAAAGGTGGCGACCCATAAGCCATCTAGCCGCTTTGATGTCATTGAGTGTCTGATATAAATCTGTTCGGGGAGCAATCACACGATTGGGGCGGTTTCATTACCTTTAACAGCAAACTGCGGGCCGAGTGTCCGGCAACAGTCCACCTATCAGCAACCTCCTCTTTAGAAACCCGTTCAATACTTCGAAGACTTTTGGTGATGAGCTAATTTAAACGCTTTCATAAGGCCGTAGTGGGATTAGCATAACGGATTCGGGGCTCGAACCTGGTCGTCGCTGATGGACAGAAAGACTGTGGCAGTGACTTCGGCGCTCGAGATTGGAAGACGGCAACAACTCGTTTTGGAAATGACGGACACGGGGAATCGGGCGCCACCCGATTGGGAGATCTTGATTGTGCCAGATTCATCCCTAGATGAGCGGCGAGGTCGCAGGTTTCGGCTCCGACATCTGGTGATCCATTGTCCTCGTACGTATAGACTGCAAGGATCAATTGACCGCTCGGGTCGGTCTAGATCTTTGCGGTATATGCGAGGTTTATAAAATAGATGCGGATACCTTGAAGCCTGAGAGGGTATAAAGAGGCTTGATTGTCTGCACGTTGAACAGGTTGCTCTCCAGAAAGCCATCCGCCAACGTTCGAGTCAAATCTTCTCCGTGTCATTAGTATCAAGTTCATTTCCAAATCTGCAGCACAAGCGCCCTTACCAAATTCTTCGAGTCTTCACCATGCAGTATTCCCTTACCACCAGCAAGCTAGTCGCCCTCCTTGGTGTTGTGGGTGTTCTACCCCTAGTGGCATGCCATGGTCTCAGTCGCCGTCAGACAGAGGACGTGGGCGGCGCGCAGAATGCATGGGAGCAGGACACGGGCATTGTGTCGACCTTCTTGTCCAATGCGGCCACGTTCTCGGGGGCCACTCTCGTTGCTCAAGCTCAACAGGCTCTCAATGCCGAGAACGACGAGCTCACTCACAAGGCCGTCCTCGATGCCGTTTTCCTCAACGTCGCCGACCCCAATCCTCTTGTCGTCCAGGCCAATGAGGTCCTTGTCGGGGAACAAACCTTCAACAACGTCGTGATCAACCTGCAGACGTTTGTGGATGAAGGCGCAAGTTTCAGTACGCAAGACATCATCAACCTCGTGGGTGTGATCAATGGCGTCCGATGCACTGAGGTTCTACCAGCCATCGACCTATATTTCCAGGCTGCCGCGGAAGTTGTCCAGGACGGTATCCAGCTGACTGCTGTTCGGCCCACCAATTGCCCCTCTGGTTCCAAGCAGAAGCGCGAACTTTGAATCGGTCTCACCTGAATTGAACTTGAAATTGGAGAAGGGTGTAGCAAAGGTCGGATGTGAGGGTCTTTTTAAGCCATGCATTGGTGGAGAGAGGGAGGGGGGAGGGGGCTGGAGGGTGGCTTGGTACTAGGTAGTGGTCCTTAGAATTTGGGAACGCGTTCAACACGTCGCTGCGATTGCCTGGTTTATTACCACCCCGTACGGTGAACCTTTGGTAGAGACGAAAACTTTGAACCTGACCATGATCAGAAAATCTCTCAGCGGGCCCCTTGGCGCTGAGAGATTGATCTCTTTCCCTCCCTCTGTCTATAAGTATACCTCGTACAGCTCATTCCCTCTTCAAAGTGCATTGAACTCAGCTCTGGTTGCAGCTCTGGTTGCCCTTCGTGTGAAGAACTTCGCTGCCTTTGCTGGAAGGTTACCCGACGCCAAGTCTTGCCTCTCACGTGCATATTGCACTAAACCCAAAACAAACAATTGTTTACAATGGCTCCATCCGAGTCCTTCAACTCCTCCTGCTCTCCAAATGCATGTCATTTGGCCGAGACTCGACAACAACCGGTCCTTTGGGGAACTTGGTCATGGTTTTCCATCTTGAATACTAGGAACTAGTGGTTCATTGGCGTCCAACACGACGTCCTCTTCAAGATGTCCGACACCGAGAACGTATGACTTTACGCTTCCATTTCAGAGTATATTGCATTAACCAGCAACCGCAGTTCGTCTCTCAACTTCGCCAGCCCACCCGCTTTGGGATTCCTTCGCCTCAAAAACCTCTGGCAGATGTCACAGCGTTGGCAACCAACTCCCGCACTGCCATGCCGCCTCCAATATTCACCGGCCACAAGCGACAAGGCTCGAATCGTATGTATGGCTTGTCATAAGAGATGGAAGATGTTAACATGGGACAACAGTACCGGAGCCGAGTGCAAAAAGAAAGACACTTGCTGAGCGCGCAGGCGAACCTGTCAGACCAATAGGCGCGGCTCCAAAGACCAGCACTACCGCGAGCGTTGGACTAGTATCAGCCTTTCAGTCCAGAAATCCTTCAGCGTTCTCTCAATCCTATCGGAGCAACTCCAGAAATACCTCAAGCTCTTCGACGGCGTCTAATTTCTCGGCCAGTGTGGGCACTGGCATTCGACCGCCTACAATTCACCAAACATCAAGCATCGCCCGCCCAAAATCATCACTCGCCAAAGATAGAGGAACTCGATTGGCCGACTCGAGGCCTGCTACAGCACTAGGAACCCGTGGAAGGAATCAGGATGGTCCCAATAACAAATGTATGGTTTCCCTTTCTTCCCAACCCAGACCAAACGCGCGTGCTCCCGCTCGTGCACCCGTGAGGCTCGGACCCGTGAATGTACCCAAGAGAGATGCTCGAAATATTTCACCACTGAAGGGATTGGCGCCGTCTGCAATGCCGCTCAACCGGAATGTCTCGACAACGTCAATCACCCAGCAGATGTTGGGTCTTTCCTTGGCCCCTCAGACACCGACCCCCAAGGCACGTCGGCCAGAGCCCTCTTCAAGGCTTCCCCGTCCTTCGCCTCGATTGTCAACACCTCCTGTGAAGGAGCCTTTTACCCCAGCCCCCTTCCCTAAAGATCTTTTTACCACTCCTCACAAAACTCAAGTAAGACCATTTCTAACAAAAGATTCTAATCTAGTGGCGTGGGACCCCGAAGAACAGTATGGCAACATCGAGAGAATGTATGAAGATGTTTGCAAACATTACAAGGAAGCCATGGAAGACAACATGGAAGCAAAAGAGATCAACAACACTTACAAGTCCACCATCGCGAATCTTGAGCAAGATCGGAGAGACGCCACCGAAGTCATGATCGCTCTCAGGTGTGAGCTGGAAACCACAAAATATCGTCTGGAATCTGCCGACCGAGCAACCCAGGAGCTCAAACGAGACCAAGAAATCGAAATCGAAACCATCAAAAATCAACATAAAACAGAACTCGAAGGACTTCGCCAATCCCACCGAGACGATGTGGAGCGTTTGAAGTCGGACCACAGAGAGGATCTTCGTGAATTGAAGAAACGATTGGAAGACGAACTTGAACACGAACGTACGCAACGGATCCAGGCATTGAGCCAGGTGTCCACTCAGGGAGCCCTTGAGAGACAACGACATCAGATGGATCTCGAATCAAAGGAGCATGAGATGCGGAGTTTCAAGCTGGAGATTGATCGACTCAAGGCAGATCTTGAGCGAGAAAAACTCCTCAATGATGATCTCCGCCGCAACTTGTCCACCGCAGGCGACAACGCAATGAGCATGGAAAGTGCGCGCCAGGCGCTCCAGGCGAAGATTGAGTATCTGGAATCAGACAGCAAATCTCAGTCAGAAGCGTATGCTGCGATGGAAAGAAGAATGAATGAAGCTTTGGAGAAAGCGACAGAGTGCGAGGAGAAGCTAAGGAAGGAAGAAATCCTTCGCCGCAAACTGCACAACCAAGTGCAAGAATTGAAAGGCAACATTCGAGTCTTCTGCCGTGTCCGACCCACCAACGAAAGTCAAGCAGCCGAAGAGACGGCAAAGATCACATTTCCCGAATCGGACGAAGAAGTCAGAGACATTGAAATCAAAGGACCTGAGGAAACCAACAGCCTCGGGAAAGTGACAACAAAGACACACCAGTTCACATTCGATCGAGTCTTTGACCCGTGCAGCAGCAATGCGGACATCTTTGAGGAAATCAGCCAACTCATACAGTCCGCACTGGACGGTTACAACGTCTGCATATTCGCCTACGGGCAAACCGGCTCTGGAAAGACGTTCACCATGTCTTCTGAAGACGGCATGATTCCACGAGCCTTGCGACAGATATACGCTACTAGCAAAGAGCTAGAATCTCGAGGTTGGAGGTACACCATGGAAGGCAGCTTTGTTGAAGTATACAATGAAGAGCTGCGAGATCTTCTGGGAAAAGACTCCGACAACAACAACAAAAAACATCAAATTCTTCACGACAGCACCACATGTGAAACTACAATTACCGACGTGACCACCGTCAACCTGGATAGCCAAGATAAAGTCGAAGGCATCCTTGCGCAAGCTATGTCCCGTCGCTCGGTGGCCGCCACAAAAGCCAACGAACGCAGTTCTCGAAGCCACTCTGTCTTCATCCTCAAACTTGCAGGTTACAACACAGTGACGGGTCAGAAGAGCAAAGGCACGCTAAATTTGGTCGATCTCGCCGGTTCAGAAAGACTGTCTCATTCCAAGGCCGAAGGTGCACGGCTAAGAGAGACACAAAACATCAACAAGTCGCTCTCGTGCTTAGGCGACGTTATTGGTGCCCTTGGCCAGCAGCAAGCCAGTGGTTCAATCAACTCTAGAGAGAGTGGCAACAGTGTCGGATCCAACTCCTCATCATCCGCGAGCGGAGTAGGCGGAACACACATACCCTACAGAAACAGCAAACTCACCTACCTGTTGCAGTACAGCTTGGGTGGAAACAGCAAGACCCTGATGTTCGTCATGGTCGCGCCAGAGAAGAAGTGTCTCTCGGAGACGCTCACGAGCCTGAAGTTTGCAGAGAAAGTGTCGAAGACGAAGATTGGAGTGGCGAAGAAGATGGCAGGTGGGAAGTGAGCACGAGATTGTTTGGTTTTTGAGTCTTTATCATGTGTTGTGTCGGTTTTTAAGCAAGCGGTTCTGACCACTGATGGAATATCGACCTGATGACCCACTACATTTCATGTCATGAGCGGAAAATGTGCGGCGTTTGGCTTCTATGATTAGAAGATATTCGGAGGTTCACTCGTTTATCACTGGATTGATGGAGAGGCGTTGTGCAATCTTTACAATGGTGCTTTGAGATCGAATTGCGGGCGAGGTTTGAGTTGGGGTTGGGTTGGATAAGACCACAGCATGATTGGGGATTGTGTTTGTCTTTGTATACAGAAATCACAGCCTTGAATGGAACAATCTTTCAATAAGACGCTGGTGGTTCGAAACAACTTGCCCCCCTGCTGGTCATCGCTGGCTGCATTGCCACACTTGGAGCCTCTAAGAGCCCTTGACCAACCTGATGGCGTCGATGCTCGTCGCCGATGTTCTCTACACTTTAAACAACGATAAGGAGCCTCCATTTTACTATATCCTGGTGGTATATGTAACTACGATCGATCGATCTATCCCATCTAACCCTTTGTTAGATTTTCTCTTCTAACTACTGCATTACCTTACGCTTTAGCGTCTTTCAACTCTCTAACGATCCCCCTGGCGATCCACTCGGCAATGCCCATAGTGCTGATCATGGGGTTCACGCCGCTCGCCGAGGGAAACACACTCGCGTCGGCGACATAGAGTCCCTGGGTGCCAAAGACCTTGCCCTTTGCGTCGACCACGCCGGTCTTTGGTGAGGACGCCATGCGGCACGTCCCCATCTGGTGCGCCGAGCCGACGGTGCACGGGCCCGGGTCCGCGAGCCACAGCCTGCGGGCCTCGGCCAGGAAGATGTTGAAGGAGGAAAGGTCGTCGTCGATGGCAGCAGGCGTGGATTTCGGGTCTAGGGAGGAGGAGGAGGGCCGCACCCAGCGCTCGACGGACGGATGGGCCGAGTCGATCTCCACGGCGCCCATGACGAAGGCGGCACGCATGCCGCCCTCCATGCCCGCGAAGATGTGGGCTCTGTCGCGCGCCGAGGGCGTGTAGGCGACCCGCGCTCGTTTCCGGGTCGGGTCCTTGGGGTCGATGTACACCTTGCCTGTGTCGGCGTCGCGGGTGATGCAGACGAAGCCGGTGGAAAAGGCGTGTTTGGCGGCGTTGAGCCGGTACTCGATGGCCGCGGACAGGGCACTCTTCTTGTTGTCGGTGAGGGCGTGCTGCGGGCGGAAGGGCACGGTGAGCAGGCCGAATCCCGGAGTCGAGCAGATGACCTCGACTTTGGGGCCGTGGTGTTTGCCGTCTTGGTCTTCGAGACCGGTCATGGCGACGGTCAGGATCGCGCCTTCCCATGGGTTGGTCCGGTGCGGCCACGTCGCCCGGACTGTGTTGGTCGGGTGCAGGTGCAGATGTGCTCCGATGTGAGGGTTCTTGAGTCCGCTGCGCTGGAGGACCAGCGGCGATTGCAGCGTGCCGGCAGACACGATGACGCGTTTGGCCGAGATGGTGAGTTCTCGAGTCGTGCTTCGGTCGCGGGACGTCCATATTGCCTTGACGCCCGTGGCCGTCTTGATTCCCTTGTGCTCGGAAAACACAATCTCTTCGACCCAGCAGCCTTCGACGAACTCGGCGCCGTGGGCCGCGGCGTCGGGGAACCAGCAGTTCGCGGGCCCTTGCTTGGTGGCGCTGGCACAGCCGTAGGTGCAGTAGCCACAGAAGTGGCGCTTGGAAACGCCCGTGTTCTGGGGCACAATCTGCACGGCGATGCCGAGGCGGCGGGACCCTTCGAGCAGGGTCCTGTTGGCGAAGTTGAGCTCGATCTTTCCGAGCGCCTCGGGATCGGTGGCCCTCGCGACGCCCATGCGCTCGCAGACCGTGTCGAGACAGTCCTGGTACTCTGCGCTCAGGAAGTGAGGGAGATTGTCGGCCGCCCATTCCTCGCGCACCGGTCGTGGAGGCTGCAACGAGGCTGACCAGTTGACTGTGCCGCCACCGCCGAACGTGCTCCCGGCCAAGATGCCAACGGAGGCATCGTCCGAGACCATCAAGCCGCCATTCTCCATCAAATGCTCCCCCGCGCTGGGGGCGGACATGGGAAAATGCGTAGACGGGAAGTGATAGGACTTCTCGAGGACCAGGCACTTCAGACCAGCACGGGATAGATGTGAGGCGACCACGCCGGCGCCGCATCCAGATCCGATAATCACAACATCGGCCGAGAGTGTCGTGGACACGGATGGGGAGGCGAAGTCATGAAATTTGAAGTCGTAGCTTGGATTGCGCTCGATGTGCTTGGGGATCTCGGGGAAGTCGAGAATGCGGTGCAGATTGGGAGAAGTACCAAGCCAAATCTGTCTCGCTAAGCCGCTGAGGGACTTGTGGACTGCTCTCAGGAGAGGTAACCTGGCTGAGGACCACTGGCAGACTATTCTGCAACGGGTCTCGAGGTCCTGTTTGTGGATTGGCGTGGTGTATCCTGTCAAGATATAGGAGCCCGCGGTGGTATTGAATAATGAGAGAACAAAACCCAATCCTTGTGCGTTTGAAGGAGGGACAAAGAGCTTGAATTTTCGTTCCACGGCTTGTCTGTACTTGGGATCTGAGACAGCGTCCTCAAGCAGGTATGCTCGTGCCACATCCTCAGGGAGACCCTCTGGCTGATACAGCTTCAGTCTGGAAAGCGCCTCATCGAACTCTGTGGACTGGCCGCCATCTGCTCTCGAAGAGGCCGGGATAGACGGTACGAAGACTTCGAGGATCGAGAACAAGGTGTCCCATTGATCCTTGGTGAAGACCTCGCCCTCAGGAGCTGGAGGCAGAGGCGCGGGAAGAGACGAGAGATTGGCCAGGTTCTCGATCAGAGACATCGTTGGTCTCTGGAGCTTCGAATCCTTGGGGGAAAACAAGGGCAGCTTTGTGTTGGTTTTGTTTGGTGTTGTGTCTAGTCAAGCAGCGCAATATGTAATATTGATCTTGGGGCGGAGGCCGAAAACACAGTATTTGTTGATCGGCTACCGTGTGGGTGCCGTACTTCGTGTACCACTAGGCTTGGGGTCAGCTTATGGTGCACATGGTGGATAGGCGTCCTGTTGTTCGAGAGAATGACCACCGAGCAGCCACTTTCAGATTGCGGCCTGGTATTCTCGTAGATCGCTAGACGATAGTGATGAGATTCGCGGAGGATGCTAACGAGCTGACTACCTCGGCAGGTACCTAGGCAATAGGTAGTGTTCTAGGCCCCGTCACCACCCACCCCAGCTCTTTGTCCCCAAGCTCCATACAAATAATATGGGGAGGAAAAGATAGACCAGGCGAAGGGGATTATCACACGACGATACGACAGACACGAGTAGGTTAACGGCGATTGGGGGCCATTTGCGCACGTCAGCACTTACTGACTTGGGTAAAATTATTCTCTACGCCAGCCTTGCATACCAAGGACAACCAAGCGGGCTGCGGAAGAGGCTCGCACGGCTAACCGGTCGCTGCTCATTGCAATACATAAGTCATCCATTTGGCATGAGCCTGAATCTTGTGATGGGCTGAAAGCAGGTGCTTGCGCACATAGAGTGGCCGCGTAGTCCAAGCGCCTTCACAGACATGTCTGGCTCCTGTCTCAAGAGCCACTCCGAGTACAGCATGCGGCCCACATACGGAATCACATGGCATACACGCATCGACAGTGTCGTTCGGCTTCCTTGTGACTCTGGTAGGCTCGATCGTCGCCGTTCTCACGCCTGATTTGTCCAATTCCATACCCCTTCATAGACACTCAATGCAGTCAGCCCTCCGCTTGGATCTCGTAGCTGTTGGATTTGTGTTTCGGCTCGAATCGAAAGTCAGGATGCGCAGGCCCCAAGAACATTTCGCTTTGATCTTCGTTAGTGGTTCCGTCTTGAGGAAAGAGATCGGGGAAAGCGCTCACCTGATCTTGATCCAGTCCTTGTAGTTATCACTGGCCATCAAAGTCTCAAGCTCATCCCGTCCGCGGTATCGAGGAGGTCGATCCTGGATGTTGGGAGGCAGATACTCCAACAACCCGACCGGCACGTACCGGCAAGCAAAGCTGAGCCATTCGAGCAAGAACCGTCGCGTCTGCCCAACGCCGATCTCGTCACTGCCCCATGCTTCCAGTCCGTACCGACAGAAACGCTCAACCATCTGCAGCCGTTCTGAGGATGACTTGTCCAAATACTGCCCTGCCGCGATTTCTTCGAAGAGCCATGGCTTGATAAGCGCCCCTCGACCCGCCATGACTCCGTCAACTCCAGCGTGCTGAAAATGATCATAGTAATGCTCATGTGAGAAGACGTCGCCATTGCCGATGAAGAAGACTTTACCGTTCCTGGATCCTTTGTGGCCGTTTGGTTGATCGCGCTCGTCCGGTTCATGGATAGTGTCAGCTTGAGCGTCTGCCTCCTCGTTTAGCTCCTGTATCAGAGACGCGGTCTCCTTAATGTAATCCCAGTCTGCAGAACGGGTATATCTTTGCTGTCTTGATCGACCATGTAGAGTTATAGCCGCGACACCACAGGCGTCTCCACGCGCACGCCCACTGCCTAGCACGAGGCGATTGACCAGTTTCTGTGCGGTCGGTTGCTTGTCCCGAGTCCCTGTTCGAATCTTCACTGTGACTGGTATCTCGCCCGAGACCATGTTCATCCCCCTCAGCATCTTCTCTAGTTTATGTGGCGAATCCATTAGAGCCGAACCCGCACCTTCTTTGTAGACCAGGTCAATCGGGCAACCCACGTTGAGATCTACCACCCGAAGACCTCGAGGCAATAACGTGGTGAGGATCTCGGTTGCTTTGACTGCTAGCCAAGGCTTGTTGGCGGCGATTTGCGCACCAAACCGAAGGTCTTGTTTCTGATCATACTCGAACACTATGTTGTTGCTGCCTTTGATCGAGAAGGTCGGGGGTTGTATTTCCGATTCGTGGGCTTTAAGCAGAGCCCATTCAGACTTCTGGCCTTGCAACAACGGTAAAGACATGGCCATTTCTGAGTAGGTAAACGTCGCGCCGAGAGAGGTACACAAACGCCGAAAGGGCAGGTTCCCCTGTGTGGTCAAGGGTGCTAGAATCGGCGTCTCAGGACCAAAGTACAAACGACGTTTCTCTGATGGCCTCAGAGGAGGATCCTGAAAAGCTGCCCTCGATTCTTGCGTGCTCTCCCCACCCGGCCCGTTTCGACTGGACTCGGGCTCCGGAGACGAGGAGTTGCGAAAGGATTTGTTTCCACCTCGACCCTGATGGGCTGGGTTTTGAGTCTGTTTCTCGAGCCAATGCAGATATTGATCTGACTTTGGGGTTGTGACTTTCTTCTTGGTCAGCTGAATTCTTTGCTGAGAAGTAAGGGCATTTGCCACGCCGGCCTCCTCGTCTTCAGATGTAGTCTCGGCATGTTTTGCCATCCGTTCGGCATCCTCGATCAAGACCAGTTCCAGTCGGCCGTCACCGTGGTCTACTTCTTTAGAATGAGATCCAACAAAACGGCATTTCCATCCAGCGGGACATTTTCCCTTCACTTCCCATACAGGACACAGGCCGTTGAATGTGGAGAGGTCTTTTCTTTTGTAGTCGCTGAGGTATTTCCGGATGTCGTGCTCGAAACGACACCTGTCTCCGTAGGCACATGAATCTGGTGAGAACTCAGGTCTGTAGACTCGACTGGAACACAACCCTACTTCGTCCCGCGAACTACCGAATTCGCGGGCTTTGTTCTGACCTTTCTTCTTCTCGCGGTGGCGGTTACCTTTGCTGTTATGGCTCGCTGGTTGCCTATCTTTGTGGTGAAAGGCCTCGGCAGCATCATCATCGGCCCCATCACGGGCATCTTCCAGTCCGACCACATCGTCAGCTTGCAGCAGGAATTCTTCCTTGATGGGCACTGTTCCCTTCCTTCGTTTGTGATCCTGGGGCTCTGTCGATGCATCCATTTCACCAGCCTTGCGCTTAACTATGGCCGGAGCCTCATCTGGTGGTTGGCCAGAGATGTTATGCGGAGAAACATCATTAGATGTCCCATTAATTGAGGTATCAAGTTGAGGCTGATCCACAGAATTTTCCATCAGTGATTAAGCACTCCTCGGTTTCCAAGGTGAGCTTCAGCCTACTTCGCTGAGACGCCGGCTGTATGTTTCACACCTTCAAATAGAAAGATCAGGCAGGCCGCGAGTTGGTAGGCAATATAAAATCGAGAGCAAATCTGCAAGAGTTTTATGAACGTTTTCGGTCATAATCGTGAGAAATTGTGCCAAGGCTTCGGAAAATCTTCCCGGAGGTTTATCCGACCATGCGAGGCATGGTTGTTTTGCTTGCCTCTCGACCTCCAACGCTGGCGAGACTTCGATTATTGCTTACGACTTCTCCAGAAGCCCAGTGCCCGGCATTTCAAAAGCCGTGGCACAACAAGAGGTCGCAAAAGCGCTATCCCGGCAGCCCACATTTCCTCTCCTGAGCCGCCGGCGTGGAGGATGATGATCATTCGCAGAACCGCTGGCCCCCAGTGCGATTCGTCTCCTAGGATTAAGTGTCGCGCCTGCCTCAGGAGGACAATTGGACGATTCCCTGTGCATGTGCAAAGAATCTGCCAGATTGAGGGAAACGTCAGGATGATATCGAGGAACATCCTCTTCGCGGAGTACAGTGCACTTGCTCGATATATTGATGTTGACTTGGAGAATAACTGAAGCCTGAGAGGTCCCTCAACTACTACTACAGACCCTTCCCCCGGCCGTTTCTGCACGGTTGATAACTCGACATCATTACTGGACAACTAGAATGGTTTGTTGTCTCGAAGGATTTGGTTCTCCTACATACGGTAAAGGCTACTGCTTAGTATACCAATACCTTCGAGGTCTCCACCCCCTCCCCAGGCAACCGCGTTTCAACCATACACAGCCTCACTCACCCCTCGATGCATTGACTACTCCCATGAATCAATGCACCAGGGGGATTATATATCGTGCGTGCCCCCATTAAAAGCACTTGGATTCTCAGGTAGGAAGACTCTTACCTTTCTCCATCAATACCATTATCGCTTCCTCACTGCTCTGATTGTATTTTGTTGGCTTCAAAGCCAGCAGCATCAACATGGTTTCTTTCAGCAAACCCCTACCGTCACTCGACTTTGAGTCGACCGTTCGTCTCATGCTCATCCTCAACAATTCCATCGCCCTGAGCCTCAGCTTCGCCGTGATGTTTCCGATTTTCATCGTCTTGGGGGCAGTGTTGGCTATATCCTTGCTTTACAATCTGTTTGTCATCCTGCTCAGAATCCGTCAAAAACGTCCAAGATGGAGTGACAACAACCGCGACGGCGACGAGGATATCCGGTGCCCATCTATCTTTCAATTGGCGATCGATACGCTTGGCGTCCTTGCGTTCCTGGTCCTATACGTCTGCAGCACCATTGAGACCGCCACCATGGGGAGCTGGAGATGGCCTCCAACGATGTTGATGGCATACTCGTCCATTGGAGCCCTAGTTGCCTTGTAAGTCAAAACCTATCCTCAGAGCACAAACACACTGCCATATCGAAGCGTTTGACGTATAATCTCTGACTATTGATATCAGTTTCATGCATTCCGGGGTGGCTATCACCAACCTCAATCGATACATTCGGTATCGACAGAGCCTAGGCCCACGGTGTCCACACTGCCATCAAGCTATTGGCAGTATGGTTGGGCCGCAAATTGCCCTACCTCCCTCGCCTGTTGAAGGGTGTCAGGGACCGGCGGTCCCAAGACAAAGCTTCTCCGCGAATTCGGTGGGCGAAAATGAAGCAGACACGCTGATTATGAAGACTTGAATCAAAGAGCTGGAGGCAGAACTTGCGTGCAGCAACGACTACAATACCAGGTTCCATCACGATGGACATGTCTCACTGAGCGCAGGACTGCTATTGAGGCACTGGGTGTCACGTTGATCGTGTCTCAAAATTGGTTGGTACAGCGGTGGATATGTAGCAGGCCGGTCTGTGTGGGTGAGGTGATGAACAGTTTCGGAATGGTCTCCTGTCGTTCATTTGGCTTTGGAGACATTGCTACTTCCCAAGATGCTGCGGGGTGATCGCAAGAGGCCAGTCGCTCATTTAGTGGTCTGTGCAGAGAGGTCGATCACAGTACCATGTGTGATAGTGTTATTTGCAGGAGCGGCTGTGATGTCTGGGATGCTCATGGGAGATTAGAGTGCCGGCGGTAGTAATCACAATGCGCCCTCAAGGCAGAAAAGCAATCATGCAACCATGATAGATGGCCACGTTGAGAAGCTGACGATGGGGTTGTCAGCTTGAACAGGTCACGTGGACGGAGCGACTTTCTCTAGGGAATTCTCGGGGACTGTGTCACCGAGGAACAGAACATCCGCAAGTTGCCACCTTCGCATTCGACATGACTGGCAGGATGTTTGTCTCAGTCCTGGTGGCGAGCCTGTCACTGCCCCTTGTCTGCGAAGTTCAGCCTGAAGCACCACCACCACCCACCCATCACTGTTCTGTCCCAAGTCTCGCACGGTCCCACCACCCCGGCACCATCGGCTTCCACGCCTTCCAGAAGCCTTTGCAGCTGCAAGGGGAACAACTGGAACCCTGCGTGGCTGAGTGGCCACTGTCCTTGGGGCAAACCCTCCGAAGATGCCACTCAGATGCAGACCTCGACAGATGAGTTTCGGTAATCAATGACAGCATTGACGCACACTCCTGCCAAAGCTTGCAAATGCAGCTTCTTTACCGATCTTCAGTCAACAATCTGCCCACAACTCACCGTGGAAAGCTGTCAGAGTGGTCCCCAATGAGGAAGAGATCTAGCGCCTCCGCTCTCCAAAATTCAGCCCGCCAGACCACAAGGTCAAATTTACCTTCTCAGCTCAAGGATCCAGAAGAACCTACCTATCCCTAGAAGAGCAGAGAATATGGAGAAGACACAAGGTCACACGAGCAACTGTCTGAAAGAGGCATGCAGGGGCCTTCCAAGGATTAACAGTGGCCAGGGTTTCATGTTGATGATCGAACTATCTCCGAAGGGCGAAATGTTCGCAAGGCTCCGAAACATTTTTCAAAACCTCATGCCTCATTCCAGTGTACCCCGGTTCGCCCGTACCTTGCAGAGAAGTTGCTGTTGGCATGAATGGCACATGGCAGATCCGTCAAGGGGCGTCGTACACGCATCACATGGCTCCACCCATGCTCCGCAAGGCTGTCTGCAAATGCCGCATCTTCTGTTGGCCGTCCAGATCCCACCAACCTCGGCAGGGCTTTGACGTTTGACATTTAGCAAGGGTGTGGAAGGCGACACAGTTTCTGACCCAGCCTTATTACTTACAAGATGGGTTTATCCCACTTTGGGTGCCGACTGGAGATGAAAGGTAAATGTGAGTGAATAATATTGATCAGAATTCGGGGAGCCCGCGAAGACAGCCACCCACCTAGCCACTCGTGCAACCCAAACTCCATTCTGTGGCCATGATTATTGCCCCTACAAGGCCCTTTGGAAGGAGGCAAGTCTGATCTACAGTTGTCATTTGTTGTACTTCCATTCTAAACATTACTGATCCAGAATTGGGTCATAGCGCCCAGGCGATACACAGACATTGGGCGGACTGCGGTGATCAAGCGATGAACTTGAGCGTATCCAATATCTGCCTGCAGAGATCATTAACAACCCCTACTTAAGCCAGCTAATGCAAAATGATTGAACCCCTACCTAGGTACAGAGTATGGTGGTCTCTAGTCATGGTCGAACTGACCCAACTGATTCGGAGAGACAGACTCGGCAAATTTTCTCCAAGGCACGCACGCCCACATCTTGCGAACAAGCATCAATACAATAACGTAACTGAGCACGAAAGGGGAATTTGATCGTCTGGCGATTGCTCGGCCTCCAAGGCGCGCAATCTGGCTGGATAGCCTAGCGAGGCTTTGGGGTTCAACCTGCTGACGGGTGTTTTACCCATACGAGTACACACGCCAACGAGAGCCGTCTGTTGGAAGTCATCGCCATTGCATCAGTGGACGAACCATCTGCAAAGTAACCCCCCAGATGAAGCTATCTCTCGCTTTTATCTGTGCTGCGATCAGCGATACAAAGCTCGCTATTTCGAACTCTGCTAAAGCTATGCTCATGATTGCATCACCATGCGGATAAGCAGCGAGGGCAGGCGGGCGATGCTTCGTTGCTAACGGGATGTTTCGTGCAGCAACCAAATTCCCGAAAGGAGGGAAAAGCCCTCCATCCCATGTCCCATACCCGAAGTAAGAGATGACAAAATTATTGGTCCGTGGAGACTGCTTGATTATCCGTCGTTGTCAGACGCTGGAGATGATTTTGCAGGCTGCCACGGTTGGCTTTGAGGAAAGCCACATGGATGCCCATACGACGCCACAAAATCTCGCATTCCTAGACCACCGTTCTGGGCTATTAGTGCCAGTTATTACGTTCAATGACAAAAGCGTGCATAGACAATTAATAACCTCCAGACCTGATTCTGGCAGAGATGCTCTTCGGGCAAATGGCTGACAGCACACGAGGCCAGTTGAGCCGGATGTAGCACGCCTTTTGACCCCCTCCAGAGACGTGGGATGGGCGCTTGAAAAATCGTCAGAAGGGCCGACAACCGGTGGACCCTAGGCTACGAACCCTGCATCTCCAGGGCACTGGCAATAAAGGAAACTACCCAGTTTACTGAGAGGCCGCCAGGCTCAACCCGCCATACTTGAAGGGGTTGGTGGGTGCTCCGACCGACCCACACAACAGCAGTTACGGTCAAGGAATGATGGGATGGGAACTCCTTTTGCGGCAAGACCCCGAAAAGTTACATTTTCTGGTACCGTGGAATCGGTGCAGGCCGGGTTCTCTCAAGAGAAAGATCCGCATTCGCCATGGATGAAGAATGACACGACCTCAATCCTCGTTAGGCCAACGGCTTGGCTTGTGACACTTGGGCGTCAAGAGTGGGCGCCCAGGAGAGGGGAGTCTATACGAGTACCTCCGAAGCAAACACAGAGCTGGATATCGGAAAGGTGCAAATGGCACCGGTTGGAGAGAGAATCTAGGCTTGAACCGGGCCTCAGCCTGCTTGTTCCTTTGCCTGTACCTCGTACCTAGGTAGTATGTTATGAAACAGTTCTAGCCGAAGATTCGCTTTGGTGATGCCGTGGCCGTTCCGGTCGTTCCTTCAAAGTCTTCGTTCAGGTTCCAAGGTGCCCATCCAACAGGTGTCATACTGGGAATGAGGCCTCCTGAGCACATCAAACCACAAAGAGTTCGGGTATGCTGAGGAGGATTGAGTACTCGGCAGGCAGCGAGGGTGTTGAATGACGCAGAAATCACATCTTCGAGTGCCGTCCGCAGAGCTAGAGCTAGCTCTATAATGTGATGGATAGGAGGAGGAATGGTCGATCGCCACGGAAGTTCTCAGTAGTTGAGCAATTCGTTCATCTCGAATACGCTGGGATGAGGTAACTCGCCTTCTTGCTACGTCTTTGGTCAGGGCTTCCAGAATGGCGAAGGGGCGACTCCCTCGTTCTCGAGTGTGGGCACCCGGTGGGCACCCACCACTACCGAGGGTCCGGACGACGAGTAGAGTTGCAATTGTGGATGCAGGCTGTAAGTTTGACGTGTTGGCTAAGATGATGGCTCACTAGGCCTAGCGGCGGTGGGCGATGGGCGATGGGCGGTGGGCGGTGGGAGGAGCCTGACACTGGGCACAGTGGGCAGGCTGGCCGGCGCAGGGATCTGGGAGCCGAGAGTGCCCATCCAGTTCCCATCCAGTGCCCGTGAAGCCCGTCGTGCCCGTACACAGAACCAACAACCACTGCTCGTAACGACTCGACTCGCATGGAACTAAACCCGTACAGACAACGTCCCAGCCTGTATCAACTACCACGTACAAACCTACTACTCATCATCCTCATCGCCGACTCACACTTCTATCCTCTTGCATTCCAGCCTTTCCATGCAATAGACTTATCAACGACGCCTGTGGTGTAGACTCTACCTACACGCACTGAACTCCCCAACGCAGCTTCCCCACCTTATCGTCGCTCATTTTGCCCCATCTCCAACCTCACTTCCGTCGCCGCGCTTTCACCACCACCATCTCCCGGGCGACCTCATCACGTCACCGCCCTCGCCGACTCTCTCCTCGACCTTGTACCACCGGCGACGACAACCGCGTTCGATAGCATCCTCTCAATATCCTCTCCGACCGTATCTTCCGCAGGTCTATGTTAGAATACGAAGAAAGTCCTCCGCCACTCAATCACTCGCCTTCTCCGAGTGATCGGTCGCATTTCACCTCTCGAGATACGACCCCAGTAACACCCGTCGGCAACGGGCCGTTCTTTGGCAGGAAGACAGAGAAGGACACGCTCCCGTGGTTCAGGAAACCCATCGACGTAGGACGCACCACCACGAGACTTTGTTTAGACACCGACTCTTCCCTCCTCGCTCCGGACTTCGACGACAACTCTTTCCCAACCTTTGGCGCCTCGCCACCACATAGGGGCATGGCGAGCGTAGCCAACCCTCTCGATATCTCCTTGAGGCAGACCTCGACTTCGCCACGTGGAAACCAACCGTCAAACTTGACCTCTGCGCTGCAGCGGAGTGACAGTGAAGAGAAGCGCATGATGGCCAACCCAACACCAGACACCGCGCTCAACCGCCCCTTACCGCAGATGCCTTCCAGTTCCTCCAATGACTTCGCCAATTTTGAGCATGGTGCAAGGCCGATCTCGGTGAAGGGCATGGCGAATGACAGGGCCCGACGCGAGAGTCTGGCCCAGAGCCTCAACGCAGGCATGAGCTGGGGAGGAATCTCGGTCGGGAGCTGGATACGAGACGAGTAAGCCCGTTATTGATGCTTTTTGAAACGTCTAGGATGCTAATTTGTGTAAAGTATGGTCATGTCCGGAACCTCGCCCTTCACCTTCAATTCGCCCTCGTTCCATTCCTCCTCTTACCTACCCAAACTCGAGGCCAACTTCATGAAAGACTTCTCTTGCTGCGGCCTCACCCTGCCTACCTTACACGATCTCCTACAGCACTACGAAGAAGCCCACGCGCAGAAGGATCCGCAGCAGTCCAGTACAAGTCAGCAAGTCGTTCCGGATAGCCGAGCTGCAATTGCTGCCACTACGGCGGCTCAGGTCCAGCAAGAGGCCCAACAGCGCAATCAACAGCAGCAACAGTCACACAATGGTCCTGGTCGGCCGTTCGGGGCGCAGCAGAACGCGGCCCAGAATGTCCACCGACCGTCGGGATTTTCCAGCACGTTGCAGACAATCCCGGACATGGACACAGTTGAGGACATGGAGATGGATGATATTGATGGAGCTGATGAGACGACACCACCACCGAATCTGTACACTCAAAATCAATCCCAAACTTCGCCCCAGACCTCCTTCGCGGCACCCTCGCAACAGCCTCAAATACCGCAACTCAACACTACCATGATGCAAGGGCATCAAGCCTACCGGCAGTCCACTCCCAACACGCCCGTGGCGCCAGGGCGCAATGCGGCACGCTTCCAGGGTAACACTTCATCCACGTTGATGCCAAACCCCATGCAGCAGTTTCAAGACCTGCAGACCGGGTATCGGGGTACCCCAGACTCGTCCGCTCCCGGCACGCCCGGCGAAATGGGTGACGGCATGATGGACGGCATCGACGACATGTCCATGCAGAACCTTGCCTTGTACAATGGTCTTCCTAACGGGATTGGTGGCTATAATTTCGGCATGAATAACGACATGATCGATCTTTGCATAGACGAGCCATCGAAACGTCTCTTTTCGACCGGTAACCAGGGCGTTAACCAAGGGCAAGCCGGGCAACAAGTGCCGCAGAATCGACTTGGGACTGGCCAGTACGGAGCAAATAGCGAAATTGCAAGGACAATACGCGAACGGCAAGCCGCTGCCGGACTACCCGACACAACGACAAACATTCTTCCGCACGAAGAACCTAAACCGTTCCGATGCCCCGTAATTGGCTGCGAGAAGGCTTACAAGAACCAGAACGGGTTGAAATATCACAAAGCGGTAAGTGATCACGAACTCGTTGTGTGACGGTTAACTAACGTTGAGCTAGCATGGTCACAATAACCAGCGACTTCATGAGAATGGGGATGGCACGTTCTCCATCGTCGATCCCGATACCCAGGCACCCTATCCTGGCACCATGGGAATGGAAAAGGAGAAACCTTACAAGTGCGATGTTTGTCAGAAACGGTACAAAAACTTGAACGGGCTCAAGTACCACAAGACACACTCACCGCCTTGCAACCCCGAACTTCAGCTGAACGCGAACAAGAGCCCATCACTCGGTATGCCCAACATGATTGCTGGTCAACCAACAGGCAATATGGGAGCTGGTCTCTCGGGAGATCTGTCCATGATGTGAAGAAAGATACCCAGCATGTAACGATCAAAGAGACTATTATTATCCGACGCACACAAGCAGCTTGGCCACTGCTTCGATCGGGATCCCTTTTCGTTTCCATATTATTAATTGACGAGAGACGGCCGAACAACCATGATAGGAAGAGCAACCTTCACGACAGAAAGAGTTGGTCAGGCTCAATGCCCTACATGATGATAAGCAAAAGCGGTCATCAGAGGTCTTTGCCCCCTTTGGAAAGAGATCAGGAACGATCTCACCAGGGCGGCCCGTCTCGGACTGAATGCTTTGAATTTGTGCAATACAGCCATAGACAGGTGTGGTTGGGTTATGTTCAAAAGTTTACTGTGCTTCGAAATTTCTCGGATGGGGGTGTCAAGATCCGGCACCACGGAGCACGACTGGTGGCAAACTGCTCGATTCAACCTTTTCTCGACTCGACTACAACGGCGTTTGATACAGGACAGCTTGATAGACGGCTTCGGTGGCAGCTCCTGACAGCCTACGTCTTCCCAGCGGATGATTGGTTGAAGGATGGTGTTTGTTTGTACATGAGTACGCAGAGAGTGGAGTTTGTGGTGTTTAGCCCGACTCAAAGCCATGGGATTTAGAGATCTTTCTACGTTGTGTTAGGCCTGAGGCTTTGCGGGAGGTGCTGTATGTGTGGATGACCCGACGAACAGGAGAATCTGTCTCCCGTCTGGAGGGGTGTGGAGTAGGTGAAGAGATCCGTTAAGCTTGTGTTGGATGAGTACCTGGCAGATATGCAAGAGCATGAGTTATCATTGAGCAAGAACTGTTGCACCATAGAGGATCGCACAGCAGCAAGTTGGATACAGTGAATAATCACAGTCGTTAGGGCAAAGCACTGAATACATGGTACTGCGTATGCCTGGTCGGTCAGCGCTTTTCTATTTCGGTAGAAGCCCGTGACAAAGCAGGAACCCCAGTCAGTGCCAGTCCACCTGACTTGACCGGTCTCGCGCTTGATGCAGCCTTTTCATCCGTCTATTTCATTTGGAAGGGATCGTCCGATAAGCAGCAGAGGAGTCCTTGTACGAGTAGGGCTGCAGAACATTATTTCCCCATTGGGAGACAAGTGCATATTAGGATTCACTCCGGACGGTTGAAGTCTTACCATCGACGGAGCGAAAACGACCTGGAGAATCGGGGCAGCAGCAGGTCGTCAGTAGGTACGGAGAACTGTAAATCAGCCACGTAGAGAGCAAGATGGCAACAGAGTTTTCAATGGTTGCGGAAAGAAAGGAGCGGCGGGAGGAATCGAGGCTTTTTGAGGCTGTGGGCTGGGTCTGTGGGATGCTATTGCGCCAAAAGCAGGGGCCATGCGACGGGGTGAAGTACTCGGTACGAAATACCCTGCTCGTACTGGGCACAGGGGACTCGGACTTCGTCTTTGAACGGACAACTGAATCACCAACGTGGTGTGGGAGGAATTGAATAGTAGTAGGTGTTGGGACGTAGGACTTGTACGAAGAAGTAGACATGGGACCGAGTGGTGTAAAGAATACGGGAGACAGAGTTCAGAAAGAACCCTATCCCCCGCTTGTCGACAGCTGGCTCGAGGCAGGTCTTGGTGCCAAGGTACCTAGGTACCTCGTGGAAGGAAACCGTCAGGCTTGCGGCCACTTTGAGCTGCCGAAGGGGGATGGAGAGAGGCGCGCCACAAAGCCCAAGGCGCGGCTTGTGTTGGATTGAGGAGAACAACGAGGCGCAGCTCAAAAAGCCAGAATACCTAATAAAAATAATAAGGGATGAGTAGTAGTAGAAGGAGTCAGAAGATGGAGACCACAAATGACCACAATGGCCAGGGACAGAGTCTTCTCAGCTGGTTCTCAACGTTGATGGTGGATTCGTGGATTCGTGGATTCATCGACGCGTCGCCTCGGTCCACAGTCCCCAGACACCCACCAGTGGCCACCACTGCCACCAGAGGCCAGGGCCATATTATTATATGCTCTGTTTCAGGGCGCTCAGCAAAAGCCCTCCGAGACATGGGCTGTTGAGCAGTGAGCACTCGTACCTAGCTGGGCATGGGAGCAACCTTTTTGATCTTCTGACTACCGCTTTACTGAACCACTCACCACCACCATCACTACTACCTACTACTACCACTTCCCACCAAAGTGACTACGCCCGCCCGCCCTTCCGTGGAACCACCACCGCCTCCAGCCGCGTTTTCTGCCCCTGGCGCAACCTGGCATCTTGCTTGATCTGCGACAATCTTAACCATTACATGTCATTTTTTCCCCTACGCATAATACGCACCCTTTCTGACCACTCTTTCCCCCATTATTTCCCAGAAGGCCGAAAGAACACCCTCGTCGCATCTCTCTTCTTTTCCCTATAAGCCGTCCGACGCCGCCGCCGCCGCCGCCCCTCTTCCTCCACTTCGTCCGTCCTGCGCCATTCCCTTGGTTGAAAGTAATATCGACTTTCCCTTCCTTTCCTCCCCTCGACAAAAATCACCCGGTCTCTCGTTTAGTGTCTTCTCTTCCAGCCAAACCTCGACGATCCTTTCGAAACGGCCGCAACTCTCCCCTCCTCGTTCATTCCTTGCCTTGAGTTCTCGGAGTCCGGCTAGCCGTGTTCTGTTTACGAAGCTTGCGACTTTAAGAACCTACGCGAGAGAGAGAGACTGTTAGATGCACGCAATTACAGCGACGGCGCAGTAAATGTCACTCCTTTCTGGTTGATTGGAAATATAAAAAGGAAATACACCGCTCTCCCCGTTTCGAACACCGGCGTTTTCATTGGGGGAAACGGGAACCCCTCGTGTCACGGATTCGAATTGACGAGATTGAAAAGACCCGAGACGGAGAGTGAGAAGGGTAAAGAGCCAAAATGGAGGCAGCCGCTGATGGCAACAATGCCCCGCACATGGTGTTCAACATGCTCGAAGACAAATACATCGGTCTCGCCCTAGCCATCGTGTCCACGCTCGCAATCGGAACCAGCTTCGTCATCACCAAGAAGGGACTCAACGACGCCGCAGACAAGCACGGCTTCGAAGGAGAAGGGTTCGCGTACATGAAAACGCCGCTGTGGTGGGCAGGGATAGGGTCGTTGGTGGTTGGCGAAGTCGCCAATTTTGCTGCCTACGCCTTTGCGCCCGCCATTCTCGTCACTCCGCTGGGCGCGCTCAGTGTGCTTATTGGAGCCGTGCTCGGTGCCTATTTCCTCGGCGAGGAGTTGGGAGTTTTGGGGAAGCTGGGATGTGCAATCTGTCTGCTTGGAAGTGTGATTATCGTGCTTCACGCGCCGCCGGACCAGGAGATTGAGACGGTGGATCAGATTCTGGCGTATGCGATCAAACCAGGTATGGGATTTTACGCGACTCGGTCTGTGGGAGTAGGCCTAGCTAATCGGCCTCACAGCGTTCATCATTTACTGTCTAGCAGCGATTGTCTTCTCAACTGTCATGATCTACAAAGTTGCACCGGTGTACGGCAAGAAGAACCCCCTGATTTACATCTCGATTTGCTCGACTGTCGGATCGGTGTCGGTCATGTCGGTCAAGGCCTTTGGAATTGCCGTCAAGTTGACTTTTGCGGGCAACAACCAATTTACACACCCCTCGACGTACGTCTTTATGGTTGTTACCATTGTCTGCATTCTCACGCAGATGAATTACTTCAACAAGGCACTCAGCCAGTTTTCGACCTCGATCGTCAATCCCTTGTATTATGTCACGTTTACCACGGCCACGTTGTGCGCCTCGTTTATTCTGTTCCAGGGGTTCAACACGACCGATGCTGTTAATACCATTTCTCTCCTCTGCGGGTTTTTAGTGATATTCTCGGGGGTATACCTGCTCAATCTGTCGCGGGGTGATCCCGATGGCCATCGACTGCTCAATGGGAAAATTGCAGACGAAGACGGGATCCCGACGGACCCCTTGGCAGGCTTGCAAACACGAAGAAGCATGCAAGCGAGAAGGAGTCTGGATCCGCACCGACGGAGCAGCAGCCTCACATTCAGTCCCGGAGGGTTATTGTCAGGCGGAAGTCGACACGCGAGCGCGGAGAGTGCAGGGCTGATGCAGAACTATGACGTCGAGCACGGTGCTTTTGGATTGTCGGATCTCGTGGAAGATCCAGAGGAGTTGGGGGCGACCTCGAATCGAAGCGGAAGTCCCAGAGTGAGAGGGGAGCAAGTGACGAGGATAAACGAGAGGCCCCATCAAAAGAGTCTGAATCGGTGACATTGAGCGAACCTGAACCCTTGGGGAGTGTTATTCATGTCGATTAGACTTGGATCAGAGAGTTTTGATTGTAACGATATCCATGCATAGGTAACGGTTCATTAGCGACGACAGGTCCAGCATTTGCCAGGATAAAGAGTATGACCAAAGGAAGGAAAGGGTTGGGAAATGGAAGGGATGGATGGATGGATGGATGGATTCAGGCACTAGCTGAGGGTCATGCCAAAGGGGAGGTTTAACTGTATATTGCCAGCAGGATGCAACAAAGAATTCGAAGCAGAATGTTGTATTTTTTTCCCTCCCTTGTGGGTGCCTTGTTTTTCAGTCTTTTCTTATGCTTGGTTGGACTAGATAAAACTGGGGTGTGGCGAGCACGTGCCAGTAAAGATGCAGCCTGTTGCTTTGCTTCTGATTCCCTCTGAGGTCACTTTTCACCTTTTTGACTTTGGACTTTGCACCTGGTTGGCACCCAAGGCACCTAGCTGGGCCGCTGGACATTCTATATTGCCAGTGACTGCTGTTCCTCCTTCTTCCTATACATATCGCTTCCCATATCCATGGCCAGACCAAGCTAACACTCTTCCCAAACACCATCAGCTCCCACAGGGCGAGCCATCCCGCTTCACCATGGCACCCTCATATCCATCTCCAAGTCTTAAAGCAATGACCTCGCCACGCACAGGGCCACAAAAAGGTACGACCACGCCTCCAAACCATCACCACTACCACCACCCCCAACTCTCCCTGCATATGCCCATGACAAACAAAAACCCATGCATCCGATATGCCCATCGTTTGCATCTCCTAAGAAGCCGCGCAAAACACCTGGTCGAAGGCGTGCCTTTGCGTTTGCCATTGTGCCCACACTCTTCGTTTCTTTTGCTGCATGATTTCGTGTTCGTGCCACCGCTCACCCATGCTTCTCACTGGAGCGACCACCGCCCTGATAGGAGGAGGAGCCATGCACGTGCACTATTGCCTGTTTCCTTTCGCTCAAGGCACATCGAGGGTCATCTGTCACGCGACACTGGGGCACACGACAGTGGGATGCTGTGGGAATAAACAGCCTCTATTGAACAATCGAGCTCCTGGGATTACGCGGATGTACCAGCCATTGTTGTTTGCTTTTTTCTTTGATTCTGTTTGGTACCTGGCGACAAGATAAACCCCAAAGTCAGACCCTCTAACGCATCATCATTAGGTGTGACCATCTTCGACGAGCCCGAACATATCCCCGAGCCCAGTATCAAAGTCCTTGCGGATGACCAGGATCACGGTTACGGGACCTCCCCCACGCTCGTCGCCTCGCATAGCCCCAAGCTTCACCGCGCCAGTATTTCAGGCAAGAAGATGACCGGACGACCGGCCCTGCCTCCTGGTTCAAACTCTTATTCTTCCCATCTCTCTCCTGCTTCCGGTGCTCCTCTCAACAAGCCCATGTCATACTTCAGCCTCGACGATAATAACCCCCCGGACTCATGGTCAGGGGGTCCAGGTTCCACCACTCCGGGAACGACGGCAGAGAGCAAAACGCCTGATGTACGCGCTATCCTGGCCCAGGTGGCCGACTGGCTTGAGGATGAGAAGGCAAAGCGACGGAAGCGAAAACATTATCGCCATCACCATCATCACAGCAAGCAGTCCAAGACACCCGGCGAGCAGAGCGATGACCCCAGGTCCAATGACGCCATGCTCGACGATGAACAAGATGGGTCGCTGGAAAGACTCGAGAGCATTCTTCAAAACTTCTCGTTCGGCAATTCTTCGAATCTCCTCCGCAAGTCTTCGAGCTCTGGCCTGCGAAGAGGATCCTTAGCCAAGAAATACAAGCAGCCTCGCTCCGTTCCGGCATCTTCAGACACGGAGTTCTTTGGCGACGACATACTTGTGCCGAATGTCGAGGCAAAGCTGGACAACTCCAAGACGATGGCTTTCACCGGCGGTTCGGCAGATGCGGATACTAACGATGGTGCGAGGAGGCAGGACTATGAGCACTGGGTGACCTTCAAAAAGGACATTGTCCGCTTGACGCACACTCTCAAGCTGAAGGGCTGGCGCCGCATCCCTATCGATCGAGCTGCCGATATTGATGTTGCGCGTCTAAGCGGTGCCCTTACCAACGCCGTCTACGTTGTCCACCCCCCAAAAGATATGTCCAGATACGATGCCCACAATCCTTCTGATCCTTCTGCTCCGCCTGTCCCCATCTCCCGCCGTCGCCCTACCTCGCTTCTCCTTCGTATCTACGGTCCACAGGTTGAACACTTGATCGACCGAGAGGCTGAACTTGGCATCCTGCGCCGTCTAGCCAGGAAAAACATCGGCCCTCGCCTTTTGGGATCCTTCGAGAACGGCCGTTTTGAAGAATTTCTCCACGCCAAAACCCTCACGGCCGATGATCTGCGGGCGCCTGAAACTTCCAAACAGATCGCGAAGCGGATGCGCGAGCTTCATGAAGGCATCGACCTGCTCGAATCTGAGCTCGCCGCTGGTCCAGCGGTTTTCGTGAATTGGGACAAGTGGGTCGACCGGTGTGAGAAAGTGATCACTTGGCTCGACGGACAGGTTCATCAGGCGGAGAAGGAGCTCGCAGACGGGACAACAAGGCGAAAGTCAAGAATACCTGCGCGCTACGTCCGGCGCGGGTTGGTCTGTGGTGTCGAATGGCCTGTGTTCCGCAGGGCCTACGATGCATATCGCCAGCAGCTCATCGAAAAATGTGGTGGCGCCGAGGGAGTCCGCAAGCTGCTGGTCTTTGCGCACAATGACACTCAATATGGAAACCTGATGCGCCTACAACCCTCTGGCACCTCACCTCTCCTTCGACCATCGAATCACCACAAACAACTCGTCGTCATCGACTTTGAGTACGCAGCACAAAATCCTGTAGGGTTAGAGTTCGCAAACCATTTCACCGAATGGTGCTACAACTATCACGGTCCTCCGGACAAGAACTTTCAGTGTGAGACGCGACGGTATCCGGATGAGCAGGAACAACACCGATTCGTGAGGAGCTATGTCATGCACCGACCACAATTCAACCCCGCCGCAAGTGCGACGCCCAAGATGGAGGGGCGGGAGAAGACCAACATTAGTGATTTCATGCTTGATGCTCGTACTCCTGGAGGCGGAACAGCAAATGCCTGGTTAGGGAGTAGCGGATTTGAGGAGGCACCTGAATTCGATTACGATAAAGAGGAGTCAGAAAGAGAAAAGGCCCAGGAAGCAGAAATTCAAAGGTTGTTGCAGCAAACGAGGCTGTGGCGGGTTGCAAATTCAGCACAATGGGTGGCCTGGGGAATTGTGCAGGCAAAGGTGCCGGAGCTGGATGCGTTGGAGGAAAAGGAAAAGGAGGAGAAGACCTTGAGCAAACGCATCAAGGAGAGGAGGAAGAGCGTGACAGAGATGGTATCTGCGGGAGAGCAGAAGATTGTCGAGAAGATGAAGAACTTGCTGGGCAAGGATGGCGGCGGGAGACATCATCAAGTGGAACACGCGAATCCAATGTCCGACCCCCTGACCGAAGAGGAGAAACGGCTGCAGGCGGAGAGTCACTGGGACCGACCGGAAGGACGAGCACAAGAGGAAGCACACCACGAAGGCAATGGAGATGTTGTGATGAAGCACCAGAATTCCACTGGTGGTAACGCCATCGACGAGCATGCCGCAAAGAACACCGATCTTGAACAAGCGGTCACAATCAATGGTGAAGAGAAGACACGTCCCAATGGCCACGCAGAGACAACACAAGAAGACGACGCATTGGTGTCCCGCCCGAGCTCTCCCTCGGACGCCGGTGACGAAGAGCCCGAGGACGAATTCGACTACCTCGCCTACGCCCAGGAACGCGCCATGTTCTTCTGGGGCGACTGCCTCCGGCTGGGTCTGGTCAAGGAGGCAGAGTTGCCCAAGGATCTCGTCCAAAGGCTCAAACTTGTGCCGTATTGAGAAATGCCGGTTTGGTCGTTCTTCAACTTTGGACCACATGGAGCAAGAGTCGAAAGAAGGGACTGTGGGTGCCGCGGAAGCGCGCGACATGCCATATGTGCCATGAACGGCGTGATTGATCCCAGTTGTATTTTGGGCTTTGCTTGCTTTGGAGCAATTTTGCACGATTGGGGTTTAGTGTCAGGATATCGAGCTGTCAATGTCTTTGGTAGGCATGAGCAAATGTTTACTTGATGAAATAGAAACACTTGGATCGGGATCGGGAAGCTGGGATCTGGATGAGGGAGTCACAGAGCCTCCAGAAGGGATCGATGGGATTGACGGAAAGGACTCACAACACAGGTGTTGATGATGATGACGACGACCACTGATGGTGGATAACTAGAATACCTAGGTAGATCGAGGGATACCCTATCATTTTATTTTATTCTATTCTGAGTGTGACTCTGGTCTGGTCTGGGTGTGGTTCTCAACATCAACGCTATGAGTAGGTGTGAATAACACAAAAAGAAAAAGAGAACAGAAAATCATTGCATTGAACCTTTTCCCTCCGAGGCTGTGGAATTTCCATTCTAATCTTGTATAGTACATATATAGACCCGGTCCGTTCGCTGGCTGTACCCGCCCTGACCTACGTACCTATCTAGGTAGCTAGCTAGCTAGACATCTTGGGTCCTTACATGTGGCGCAATATGGGGAACACACATTGCGCCTCATAGGCTCATATCATAGTTTGATCTTGACACCACTCTTACTCAACCCCAGCGCCGTCGCCGTGACCAGCACGGCGTACCCCACCAACAGACCCATAGCCTGTAGCGGCGGCATGTCCAGCGTATTAAGACTCAGATTCACGAGACCCGTCAAGAGGTTGGCGACCAGGAAAACGACGAGGCCGTTGTTGTTGTACACGCCTAGGATGCGGCTGGTTGCCATAGACGCCGGTTTGGAGTGCGGGTGGGCTTCGGGTTCGGTGGAATAGGAGAAGGGCGGGCCGGAGGCTTCGACGACCCCGAAGAGGAAGAGTTGGGCGTTGTTGAAGGCCACGACCCAGAGGACGTACGGCAGGTTGGCGAGGCGGCGCGAGACGGTGAGGTTGAATGTGTAGAGGCTCGTGGAGAGCCAGTAGAGAGAGGTGTAGATTAGCGATTGGATCAACAGGGCCCGCAGGACGACTTGTCGCTCTCGCGCCGTGACTTCCCTCGAGGAGGGGGACTGCTTGGAGAGCTTTGGGACGGGCTCGTTGAAGCGCACCACCCCCAACCCGGCTCCGCGCCCGGCGAGGAAGATGGCCAGATAGCCGGTGAAGGAGAAGACGCCTTCGCGGTTTTTGGAGAGGAGCGATGGTCCCCGCGGGGAGATCAGGATGTATGAGAGGAGGGAGGTGTTGTTGAGGACTAGTTCGTAGATGACAGCCAAGGTAAGAGCCAAGGTCTCGTAGGACTTGAATGCCCTGCGCGTGAGGCTGTCAGAGATCTCTACAAAGGGTGGCAGTAGGGCCAGCGTGAAGAAGAAGTTCCAGTGCACGCCGTATTCGGTGACGTGTTCGGCGTAGTCGAGCCCCTTGACGCTGTACAGGCGGATCAAGCCCAAAACGAGCAAGGGGATGGAATGGCGAACGGCTTGAATGAATCGATTGGCAAAGTTGTTGGTGGTGGCGGATGGTGATGAGAGATTGCTGGGACCAGCTCTCACGACGGCTCGAGCAGAGACCACACCTGCCGAAAAGACGAAGGAGCCAACCCCCAGGTCCATCAGCGAGGTGCCCCATGTCTCGACTTTGGCGTACCGGCGCGGGAAGATGGGGAAGTCAACCGCCAAAATGGCCAGACAGGTCACGACGAGCATGGACCCCCGGTAGTGAGTGAGGAATGGTCGCACGGGGAGGGCCGGAGGAGGAGCATCGGACGGGGTGCCATTGACAGCGACAGCAGGGTTGACCTTTGCTGGTTTTTTCGCCGTTCTTGCTGCCGATGATAGGTTTGTTGCTGGTCCATCCGACGAAGAAGAGGTCGTCGTCGTCGTCGACTGTCCTTGTCCGGTCTGGAGAAATACAAGGACAACCGCCGGGGTGATGAGAAAGATGTTCAAGGCTAAGGGAGCTGATGAGTACAGAGTGATGGCGAACAAAATGGCGCAAACATTCAGCAAGAAGTCGGCGAGAATAGCGAGGGGAGAGTACGGCGTGAAGAAGGAGTATTTCCTCTGCAGAGCAGTCCAGAGAAATACTGCGGCCTGTGAATGTACCACATTAGTGATGGTCCTTGGGTACAAGGCTAGCAGATTCAAGATCAGTAGAGGAATCGTACTGCGGCAACCAGCGTGACCAGGTTGATCTCGGTCAAGGAACTTCCGTAGAGGTTGGACACGAATGCCTCCTTGCGAGCCTTGTAGGAAGCTGAAGCTGCTGCGGCTGTGGCCATGGTGAGAGAGCTGGGGATTAGATCATTTTGCACAAAGAGAGACCGTCTGCCTTGTAGAAGCAGGATAATTGGGGAAATGGTGGTGACAGGTGGCAGCAAATCTGATGGAATGACACGACGCAACCTCTACAATTCCTTTCAAATGACACCATTTTTGACACAGCAAAAGGGGCATCCACATCACAGTGGTTGAACCTGTATTGATGAGTGTCTTCTTGCGCAAGTTCTGGTAATCCAGTTCCTCTATTTTCATTCGTAGTCAAGCGTCTATCTTCTATTCGGTCCTTTTGACTGGAGCTTCTACGCTCCTTGTTTGTAACCAAAGGGAACAAAATCATACAGAACGACATCATGTCTTCACCAAAGGCAGCCATGGTAAACACCTTCACGGTAAGACCAGTTATGTGTGCGCGCTATATCGAAACAGCCTGAGTGACTTTTGGAGCGTTCCTTGGTGGAAAAAGATGTTCTTTGGGCATGTTAACTTCCTCCCCATCGTCGTAGTATACAAGATCAAAATCCTCATATATTTGCAACCTGATGATGCTCTGGCCGTCAGATAAGTAGTGAATCGGCATAGAGATTCTCTTTGCTCATGTCGAGCAGACCCAGATACTGCTGCCCAGCCGCCCACCGGGAAGCCATCGTTTCCAACACCTTCCTAAGAATGTGGTATGCCTCTCCCATTTCCCTTAGTCCCGTCTCGTGCGCAAGCCATGCGTAGATGGTTGCCGCAAAATATAGACAGTCCCCAATCAAAGGACTGACCCCCGCAGGATTCGATGTCATGTCCACGTGCCAAAGCTGGCTGAAACGGAGTACATCTCCGGCAACCGACTTCAACCCTGCAATCGCAATCGTCTGCATCTCAGTCTCTTCCACAGTACGGTAGCCGCGGTTGGATTCGGTACAAGCAAACGGGTCGCAGAGGTGCATGAGGCTGCTGTAACAGAGGGCCAGTGGTGTTCCATACCGCTCGGGTGAGTGATGGACGTCGTTGGGAAGTAGATTTGCTAATGCCTGGAGCGTCCGATGTAGCTGGATTGCTTCTGAAAATCGCATGGGTGCATCAAGTAGTCTGTCATTGAGAAGCCGGACAAGTCTACCCAGCAGGTGAGTCGCTTGGCACGTTCTTGTAAATGCCCCGGCTTTTACGTTTGTGGGCGAGGACACGTAGAGTGGCTCACTCGTCGTAATCTGGCCTTCATCCCAGAGCTCATCGTCCGCCGGCAGCGTATCGTTGAGGACCGGGTCGTCGGTAGCCAAAGGGTGACCTGAAGAACCGAGATTGACATATCTCGACAAAAAGTGAGAGTCTGATCTGCACGGGGGTATAATTGTCATACCTATCCAAAAGCATTGTTGCCCACCACGTTCGCTTGAACTCTTCCAGCTCCGCCCAGGCCCCGGTTCTCTTCTTCAACATTTGAGGAGCATGTTGTCTGTCGTTGAGACCCAGCGCATGTCCTAACCTTGCGCAATGTCCAGTACTCAGATATGCGGCTGGGTAGATGGCATGGCCAATCTCATACGTGGCGATCAGGATGTTCGCTTGCAGCAATTGTAGGGACATCAGTCCGCTCGATTCAACCATGATGGCGTAGCTCTTTGTGAGATTGTATAGTGGCGACCGAATACTTTGGGAGCCCCCCTGAGGAACCTGGATGACAAGCTTCATCGACAGGAGCAGGAGTGCGAGGTCCAGAGTGAGCTCCATGGCGGGATTGGATAGGGCCAATTGCATGCGCTTTTTGGAGATGAAAGGAAGCCAGGTATGAACGTTTGCAAAGTACCGGTCGACAATGTCCTGAATGTCGAGAATCGAGACTCCCACCGTCGCCGCAACCTCTGCGGGGACAGCGATGTTGGGTCGAGGAATGGTCATCTGCGCTTGGGCGAAGACTTCGGCGTCGAGGAAAAACGCAGCCGGGAAGGTGACATTGCTGTCGGTTGCAAAGGCCGCCTCGGTCCCAGTGCCAGGGCTCCTGCTGAAAGAGCGCATCGGTCCATGCCAACCTTCAGAGCGTCGTCCCTCGAGGCGGGCTTCCAGGTCAGCTATCTTCTGTCGCATCAAAGCAAAGTCTTCCGAGGTGGGATTCGGGGCGGATTCCGAGTAATCGCAGGGCCGGGACATGCGGGTGCATAACGAGCAGCTGGGCAACAGCTTGTCGCATTTTCTCTTCTGTCTTTTGCAGCTCAAACATGCGAGGGGGGCTCTGTCAAGCTGGTCTGTCGTGTCGACCTCCATTGTGGCGCATGGGGTTTTTGAACAAATCCGTTGAACCCAGCACAACGCAAGGAAATGTGGGTGGTGACAGTGGTGAGGGAGTTGGCGGTCATGCGGCCGCATGCAATGGGTCCAGTCGTGTCGTCGTTTATAGACTGCCTGCCCAGGTGAGCAGCCCGCGATATCCCCTGTGGCGTATATTTCGATTTTAGCGGAAATAGTCGTACATTAAGGGCCTAAGGATGCAACCCAGATGCGGCACTCGAGGGTCTCTGAATAATTAATTTGTAAGAGCCAAGACCGGCCCATTAGGAAGTCATTCCCCAAATCGCCAATTCCATTGTCCGAGCCTTACGTCCGTCGAGTGGCGTTTTTTCTGTTTTAGATAAGTCGCCAAACTCAAGATCAACGTGAGAATATTCCACCTTGCTCAGGTACCTCGTACAGCGTCGATGTTCCCGATATACACACGAGCGTCACAAAACCCCTCATGACGTGTACTTCTTTTGCAGTGCCTTCGCTATCGTGGTGAGCTGGATGTTGCTCGTGCCCTCATAGATGGCTCCAATCTTGCTATCCCTGAACATCTTCTCAGCGATGCCCTCGCGGACGAAACCCATGCCGCCCATCCACTCAACTGCTAATCCGCTGACTCTCCCGGCAACTTGACTGGCATACAGCTTGGCCATGGCGGCATCGGTGACGAAGTCCTCGCCTGCCTCCTTCTTCCGAGCGGCGTTGTAGACCAGAGCGCGGGCCGCGCAGATTTCCGTGTAGGCTTGGGCAAGTTGATGTTGCATGCCTTGGAACTCACCGACCAGCTTGCCGAACTGTTTTCGATCGTTCCATACGTATTTGGCGGCATTTTCCCATGCTCCGAGAGCCAATCCCGTCATCTGAGCGCCAATACCGATACGTCCTTCGTTCAGAAGACCAATGGCATACTTGTAGCCCTGACCTTCCTGGCCTAGGAGATTCTCCTTGGGGATTTCGACGTCGTCAAAATTGATGACGCACGTGCTTGAGGCCCGGATCCCGAGCTTCTTCTCCTTCTTGGCTATGCTGAAGCCTTTCATGTCTTTGGTAACAACGAACGCCGAGATGCCCTTGTATCCGGCGTCGGGGTTAAGATTGGCGAAAACGAGGAAGAATTCGGCTTCCATCGAGTTAGTAATCCACATCTTAGAGCCGTTGATCTAGTCCATGTTAGTGAATGGAACGATGGGAATGTCCCTACGACCAGCGGCACCGGATGGGTAGACATGCCTTGTAGCCATTTGATGTCTTTTCTGCTTTGGTCTTCAATGCAAAGGCATCGGAGCCTGAGGCGGGCTCAGACAAGCAGAACGATCCGACAGTGTTGGTAGCCAGCTTCGGAAGCCACTCCTTCTTGAACGCTTCGCTGCCATATTTGAGGATTGCAGTCACCACCAATGTGTTGTGTACATCGCACAGAACCGAAACTGAAGGGTCTACCCTGGCAATCTCTTCAATTCCCACAATTGCTGATGTGAAGTTCATCCCAGCGCCACCATACTCCTCAGGGATCTCGAACGCCATGAGCCCTTGCTCGAACATCTGCTCGACGATGGCTGGGTCCATCTGTTCTTTCTCATCCATGTCTCTCACCTTTGGTGCGAGCTCTTCAGTCGCCCATCTAGAGACAGACTCTGCAAGCATTCTCTCGGTCTCCGAGAAGTGAGTGATGGGCGTCGGCGATAGGGAGGTGGTGTCGATGTCGTCGGGCATGTAAGGTTCAGCATAGCGCTGCCTTGAGGTGGTAGTGAACGTTCGTTTACTAATGTCAGTTTAGCAAAAGTCGAGCTTTAGAAAAGGGAAGGGCATACGGTAGAAAATTCCTTCGAGGAAGTGACCTGGTCACCGGTGAAAGCGGCACGATGCATGTGGTAGCTTTTGCGAGGGGTCGCAATGTTCTCGGTATGGCAGCCATGTTGATTTCTGGAGGAAGGTGAGGACGAAGACTAGGAAATTCGTGTTCAGGTCCAGGAAAGATCTGTATATAAGATGATTCAAAACCACCGGGGGGAAAGTTTCGGTCAACAAAATGCAAAACAATGCTTTACTGTCCTGCGCATTACTAGTAGGGTTTGGATGCGATTCCTCGGTGCTCGGCTCACCTTTAGCTCCCCAGCCAGGCAGGCCACACGCGGATATTCAAGGATCGGCGACTTTTCGGATCCTAACAATACTTGACGAGCCAAAAGTAGAGGGACCAGTGTCTGCTGGGTGCCTGGAGTCCTGAGATAATACGAGAATGCTTTTACTGATAAAAGTCAATGCTACGTACGGGTACTTGTTTGCATGAACTTTCTTCTCACCTAGCTACACCTCACGCAACCAGCCTCATTGGAATCGCTTGTATGATCTGCATCCCTCCCAAGCCTCCTCGGGGTGACCAACAAGTCCAGAACACCCAGCGACTTGACAAGCTTGACACTACCTGTGGCTGATGCATTCTGTGGCTTGAAAACTCATGTGGCGCAGCAGGACTCTGACGTCGCTCACTGCAGGATTCAATCAGCTGGGAACTTGCGACCCTTTGGCGCCCACTTTTCACCCAGTCATCCATTCAACTGGCGACAACCGATGATGCCCAGCATTCGAGTCCAAGGCATGGATATATTAAGAATCTGCGATAGCCGCCCAGCATCGTGACCTTGAGGTTTGTTCCTTTTATCTTGTCTTCCAGTTTTCCCTCGCCGTGCGCAAAAAGACTTACTGCCCCTCTTCCTTCTTGCCCAGTGAGCGCTTCCGAGTAGGTATCTTTTTGCATTGGCAATCATGTCTGCTGGTCATTCTGAGCCGCAGGTGCTCTATAGCGTTAACAACATCGCTGCATTCTCCGTCCAGAATGGAGAGGAACATCTGATCACAACATCAGGCCCTCAGACTTTGTCGCTGCTGATGGTGCCGACTGCATCACCATTTGCCGACTTGTCAACCACCGAACCAACCAGCGCGGCGCCCGAAGAAGACTTCTACCTCCACCTCCACCTGCCCCCTGAACTAGACCTCCCTCTGCCTGCCACCACCCAGATCTATCACAAACCTCCCAGCAGTTACCTGATACCTCGCTGGGATCTGGGACCCGATGCAGGCGCCTTCATCCGGCTGCAATTCCCTTCCATAGGGAGTGGGCCGGGCAAAGTGACCCAAGACGACATAGACACATTTGAGACCATTCTTGCCCAATGTACCGCCTTCCTCGAGCGAGTACACAGCACACCTCCGGGATTTGAGCGCTACGATCCGAGCAATTATCGACCAGGCGAGGGTTATGTCGGAACTGCGAAGCCAGAAAAGGACCGTTCTCAGCAACATGGGCAAATTGTGCTTATTGACGAGGAGAATGGAAGCGTAATCGGCGAGCTGCAAGATAACTATACTCTGGTAGAGGAGGCAGCGGTCAGGCCGGGATCAAAAAGTACGTGCAAAGCCTCCTTCTCTTGTCTTCGGCCGATACTGACTGGTTGACGCAGCTCCTGTTCAGATACAGCTGCCCGTCGAAGGGCAAGGCAACCAGATCCGAGTCGACAACGTTTCCGAAGATTATCTCGCCATATCGAAACATCCTGCTTACGCAAAGTCGCGAGTCGTGCAAGGCTCTGCGACCGCCTCGAGGCTCATTGTGACGAGTTCCACTTACTTGGCTAATAAGATGTCATCAGGGGCAGATTCATTCCAAAAGGGCACCCAGCCCAATCCCAAGCCTATTACATTCTCACCTGCCACCCACGCGCGCATTCGTCAAATCCACTCCTTTACCCAGGGTGCCGTTGGCCTCAGCGCGAAGACGGTCGGTCAACTGGGTAGATATGCCCAGAACTTCGGGGCTTCGCTCGCTCGAAAAGGGGAGAAGTCCAAAAAAGAGCCGGGGAAGGATTACAAACCTGGCATCCTCAACAAGTCCATGATTGCTTTCTCTACCATTGCTGATGGCATCGATCAGGCTGGCCGCAACCTCTTAGCCTCTAGCTCGGCAGCGGCGACCAATGTAGTCAGCCACAAGTACGGCAAGGAGGCCGGCACCATCGCCCAAGGTCTGGCTGGTGGTGTCAAGAACGTGGGTCTTGTCTACATCGATGCGATGGGAGTATCCCGCCGAGCAGTAATCAAGTCCGTGGCCAAAGGCATGGTGGTCGGCCGGATGCCAAACGGGCAGCAACTCGTGGTCGGCTCAGGTGATGGGGGAGTTGTGCCAGCTGAAGCGTATATACCCGACGAAAAGCGGAACGATTATTATGAATCCTCCTACCCAGGAGCGGCGCAAAGCGGCGCAAGCCAGCCGGGGTATGGAGTCGAAAGTTATGGCAATGCAGCCAATGCGCCGCCTTCTTATCCTTCGGGTATTGGTGAACCTTTGGGTTCAACACTGCAGGGACAGCATGTGCGGGAGAAGTGATAAACGGAACACATACCTGTATTTTGACGTTTCATGAGGCGATTGGCGGTAGATATTGGGGGTCACTTTTGACATTCTTGAAGATGAGTGCAAGAATGTTTCAAGCTGGATGAAACAGGCTCGTGCCCATTATTGCCCAACTTGCAGACAAATGAGATCACGCCAACTATCTGCGCGGGTCGCAGTCTGCCATGTGCCTAGCTCGCTAGGTACCTACGGTTCGCTTTTTCTCCTTCTTGGACTGGGTTCAGCATGGATCGCAGATTGCATGCACGACATCTGCCGGGCGAAAGTGGCTGAAACGGAGACACTGCGCCTTTCGACTCGACCCGACAACTTGACCGCCATTTCGTCACTTTGGGTTGCCGCTGCTGCCGGTAAACTTCAGCCGTGCTTCAAGCATTGCCTGGGAGTTGGACATTGTTGTTGACATGCCATGATGCCAGTCGTGTCCGAGTCTTTGAGTCCACCGTCCAACAACGTCGAAATTGTCTTCGCTGCATGAACTAGACTTGCATTATGCACAGAAGCAACGGCGCTGATGCGCTGCAATGTTCACATGCGTCGATCTCGAGGCTCAATGGGGGTGGAACCTGCCGGGAAACTTTGGGGGATTGGAGCTTCGGGGCTTATAGGCGTGGCGTAACTGTATTGGCTCCGACGGGGAACGCCCCAGAAGGAGTTTGTTCTGGCCAGCGTCACTAAAGCCCACAGAGAGAGCAACCAGCGCCGGTAACAGACTAACAGTCGTGGCCGACGCGTGGTTGGCTGAGCCTGCCTAACTGAGCCACTCTAGGTGGCTCCAAGGCTCCGTGGTTCGCCCACACACCCCAGGCAAATCACGAGTCACACCTCTGGGCACATGGGCTTTGTGCCGCCCATTGACGCGCAGCAGAGACTCGCGTTTGGAGATCCTCGCGCAAATGAATTTCGCTAGAGGAAATCAAGTTAACTGGGAGGACCCGAAAACCCAACACCATGATCCCGCCCATTTCTGCAATGCTGTGCCTGAAATAACTCCTGTTAGGGAAAAGCCTCATCAATAATTACACAGGAAGAAGGGGACGACCATGAGGTGGTTCGACGCCGTTGACGCGATGATCAGTTGTGTTCACGTGTACCGGATAGGATTTGGTGATTGTTGATTTGAGATTGAGTGGATCTGGCTGGGGGCCCCTATTCTCGGCGTCAATGTCAAGTGCCATTTCATAACTGGGGAAGGCTGCGGGTTTGAGAAAGAGTTCCTTATGCCAAACAGTTTATCTGGTTGGAATTGAGAAGAGAAAGCTAGCTATCCAGAGTCACTTTGCCCAGCAAGCGCAGGCACAGGTATGGTCAGAGACACGGAGATGCACAATGCTCTCATTCACATGAGGCTGGTCCGTGTGGTTCATTCATGCTTAATGTGGGTGGATTCTTGAGACCGTAAGGCATCATCCCTACGACTAGGAAATGCACTGTGTTCTCCTACAGCGCCTGAAATTATGGAGGAAGCAGACATAGTTGGAGCATGAACAAGTACATATCAGGCAGGAGAATAGCAGCTTAATACGAGGTTTTAAGTCCAGAGTACCAAGTAGATGTTCGGTACAGGGCAACAGCCCTAGCAAGCCAGGTCGTGATTCACAAGAAATCGCTTGCTGGCTAGCGTTGCCAATTTTCCGGCCACCCTTTTGGGGGGTTTTGGGTGGACAAGCGAGGTGCGCTGCGTGGCTGCTGGACCAGCACTGGTACTGGGATGCTGCGTTGTCCGTCTTCTCACCGGTCAACCACAACAACTCACAATCTGTTCTGCCGCACTTCTCCCACCAAACAACAGCACCGTGCTTTTCAGTCGATCCCTAGAACCAAAAAATTAACAACAACATACGACTCTCCTTGTCTGCCTCACCGCCTGTCCTTTCTGCTGGCCAGTCACAATAACCCACCTCCTTGAGCGCCTACCTAGATTCTACCCTACCCTACCCTCACCTCACCTCACGTCGCCGATTTCGATAGACCTGCTACACCCGCGATAATGACTGCGGTCCTGCTTGTGCCTTGCCTAACTTCGTTCCCTCTCTGTTGACATTCGGTCGACTGGCCTTCCTTCTCCTTGTTGCAGACGTCGCAGGCTCGGCGTTCGTCCTTAACACTTCGCCTAGAGTTTGTTGTCCTTTTTGGACACTCGAACGCTAGCTCCCTACTTCACTGGTGCCAACAGTGAACCTCCAATCTCAGAACAAGTCTTTGTCGTTACGTCCTCCACACTGCGCTGTCCTCCTAATAATTCGCGCTTCTGAATGAGTTGGATCGGTGCCTCGGTGAGCAGGCTGAGTCTGCAGCTCAGGGAAAGGTGCTAACCTTCTTATTCAATTTAGTGTACAATCCTCCATTACAACACGTTCCTGCATCCTCCAGACAACCTCCGCTCGAACTTTGCATCTGAAGTATCCTGAACCTGGCTATTTAGGGTGTGGGTGCGTGGTTGAGGCCACGACTCTGGGTGGTTGAAGGATGTCTATGGACATGGCCGCAGGTCAATACCGGCAACATATGTCAAGCGCTGCGTATTCACAACCTGAAAGTCTTCACTACGAACACCAACATGGCGCAGATTCTCGGCGTTATTACACTAATCAACCTGTAAGTCCAGTGCGCCCGATCCCGATGTCGACAGAGGTACCCTGGGATGATGCTAACTCTCGTCCTCCATAGTATTATCCCTCGCAAGACGACGATGGTCTGAACTACACTTCTCATGAAGATCACACTCCTATCACCACTGCCTCCTACGATATCCCAGCCACGACGTTTCCTTATCACATTCGCAATCAATCTACTGCCCATGATCAATATGACGGCGCGCCAATTCCTCCTCCTAGGACGTCTTCTCAGCAGCAGGGTTCTCCACGCGCCCCTGTAGCTCCCTCAACTGCCCCATTGGAAGCAAGAGTAGCTGCAACACGGCAGGTGAGACACAACGCAACAGATTCGCAGTCTGGTCGGGTTCAGAATCGGGTCGGAGATTACAATGAAGAAACACGAGATAGGTCACGGGATGATACAGCAACGGCCGCTGCGTCTGCTGCACGTAGCCGACGAAAGGGTCCTGCCAGTCCCGACGGCCCACACCGTGCCGCAAGCACACGAGAACGAGGTGCACACATTGCGCCCACCCAAAGCCGATCCGAAGCAACCATGCACCCTAACACCGCCGCTTCGCTGGCACGCGAGTATAGCGATGTCATCAACAGAGTGGTCGTGTCTGATCCACAGGAAGATATCGAAAGAGCACAAGAAAGAGTTGCCGAAGCTCAACCCATGAATCCAGATGCTCGAAACGTCCCTGAACTTGACGATGATATTCTCCCTCCACCAGGACCGGCTCGTCGGCAAGACTACTCCAAGTCATCTCGCCGCAAGGACGTCCAATTCGGGGACTACGTACTTGGCCAGACGCTTGGTGAAGGTGAATTTGGCAAGGTCAAATTGGGCTGGAAAAAAGACGGTAGCACTCAAGTGGCGATCAAGCTCATTAGGAGAGAGACAGTGGCTTCGAACCCGACACGACTTCCCAAAATCTATCGCGAAATTTCCATCTTGCGGGATCTGGCGCATCCCAACATCGTCCGCCTCCATGAAATGGTCGAGACAGAACGACACATTGGCATCATTTTGGAATATGCTTCAGGGGGCGAGCTTTTCGACTACATCTTGAATAACCGGTATCTCAAAGATCCCGCAGCCAGGAGGCTGTTCGCGCAGCTTGTTTCTGGAGTCGGCTACCTTCACAAAAAAGGCATTGTCCACCGTGACCTGAAGTTGGAAAATCTCCTTCTTGACCAGAATCGTAACATCATCATCACCGACTTTGGATTCGCAAACACCTTCGACCCAAAGGACGAGCTGTCTGACGAGATTGTGTACAACCTGGGTAACAAGGAGTTTATCAGGAAGTTCAAACTCGATCGACTGGACGCCCGCGGAATGAGAAGAGGCGACTTGATGCAGACCAGCTGTGGCAGCCCTTGCTATGCAGCCCCTGAATTGGTAGTTAGTGACTCCCTCTACACCGGCAGGAAGGTTGATGTCTGGAGTTGCGGGGTCATTTTGGTGAGTACTTGAAACCGTGAAGTCCGTTTAGTCTGCGATGCTGACTCCTTTTCAAGTACGCTATGCTGGCTGGGTACTTACCCTTCGACGACGATCCTGCAAATCCTGAAGGTGACAACATCAATCTCCTCTACAAGTACATAACCACCACTCCATTAACGTTCCCGGAATATGTCACTCCCCATGCGCGAGATCTTCTTCGCCGCATTCTAGTACCCGATCCTCGAAAGCGGGCCGACTTATTCGAGGTCGCCCGACACAGCTGGCTCAGTGAGTACCAACACGTGGTGTCTGATATGACTAGCAGCACCACCAATGTCGCCGATATTCCTCACGATAGTGTCCGAGCTGGTAAGTTATTCTTTATGTTGTTGATTTGTTACATGAATAACCCTGTGCAGAAGACGAGGAACGGCCCGCCGTCAACAGAAGCGCGTCGGTACGTGAAGTGCCAGCGAAACATCCCCGAGCTTCTCCTGGCGCGATCGCGCGCTCGCCAGAAGGACTATTGCACGAAGGCGACGAGGACTCCACTGGTTCGCGGCGAACCCGTCATACCCTGCAGCCGGAATATGTCCCTCCTCAGACCCATACGGTTCGTGGACAAACTGCTGCAGCAACAGGACCAGCAGTCAATCCCACTCGAGAAGCAACTCAATTTGTTGCGCCCATGCAGCCAATATCGTTGTCGAAACCGCTACCTCAGGATCCGCCCACCGAGACTGCTCGAGAAAGAGTGCCAATCGCTTCGCAACAGAAGATGCCGCCTCCACGTCCTGTTCGAGAGATTCCGAGATCGGTATCGGACTCAACCAGTGCTTTTGGCACAGCTCCAGTACCGACGAACCAATACGTGACTAGGCCTAGCACCCAAGGATCAATTACGTCCGCAAGTGGGCCAGTTAACACCAGATCCGACCTTCGTCTTCCCTCGCGGGGATCTTATGGTCAGCCGGTGGCTCCGACAGTTGCTGCAACGAACGTCCAGGGTCGTGTGACGCAACCAACCAAGAGCAGTCGAGGCTACAACATTTCTGGTCCTCTGCCACAGTCTGGTGCCCAGAACTCCATTGGACAACCGATGACGACGCCCATGCCACCGCCTAGCTCGCAACAACCACAAAAATCCGCCCATCACCGGCGATCGAGTACGTTGAGTGGGCTCGGAGAGCGACTCTTTGGCAGATCGAATTCAGTAGCGAAAAAGGACGCCGACCGACAAAAGAATGGACGGAAGTACCCGCCTACCAGCATGAAAGAGTACTCCTCCGATGCACAACCTCGCATGTCTACAGAGTCGAAGCGATCTTTCTCATTTGGATTGGGCAAGAAGAGGAGCACGGACATGGAGAATCAGGCGCAAACGGAGAAGCCGGTACGACGTTTTTCACTTATTCCTAGTTCGATGTCGTTCAAAGGTCTGATGGGGGGTGCAAAGGACGAATATTCATCCAAACCGGGCACCCCGCAAACCGAACGGTTTGGTCCACCGGCTTCTGGTCGACCCGCTACCAGCCAGGAACAGATCAATCAACAGATTGCGAACACAGATGGACAGTATGACGGGTCCAGGCCGGCCAAGTACAACAACTTCTCACGACCACCGCAATCCCAATATCAGGCACCGCGAGTCGCCCCAACACAGGCCATGAATGATGTCTATGGCGGAACTGCCGTCTATGCTCCGCAGGGCCAGAACGTACATCAACGTCAACAGAGTGAGCCTATGGCACAAATGATGGCATATCCCGAAGTTGTGCAACCAAGTGGGCGGCCGTCAATGCAACAAGGGCGCCAAGGTCGGGGAGTCCTGGTCAAAAACAACCGCAAGTTCACAGAAGCATACGACCAGGAGCAGGGGCCGACGCATCATAGCGGAAGGTCCGGAGCCGTTAAGAAAGTCCAAGATTTCTTCCGTCGACGTCGAGCTCCGACGGACGGCGACTATCGATGAATGAGCCAGTTGCGCTTTAGACATGTCGATTTCCTGTTCCGCAGAAGAGGGCAACAAGATTCGACCCGAGGTTTGGAGGATTGGGTTCAAAGGGGTGGATATCGACTTTTCTTGTAATCAATTAATCATTGGCGGACATTGTTTCCCAACCCGTGTCAACCTGGGTGCGAATTTGGCGGAGGCCTTTGCATTCAACCACCACCGTTTTGTCTTCCTTCCACAACACCTTCAGGCGAGGGCGGGAATTGAAATTTGGGCCTGCAATAACATTGGACTTGGAAGGTCATTCTATGTGTCGAGAGTACAAAGTAAGTAAGATTCATATTGTTAGCTGGCGGCGTTGGTCTTTCGCTGGGGAGGGACCAGGACTCAAAGAGAGCTAACTGTTGAGCCTGTGCTGGAGCTTTCGAGGGCTTGGGTCTTGACATGGGAGCTTTTGATTGTTTGCTGGCACGGAGGGTTGAAGAGACTCGCGGGATCGGAAAGATGGATACCCCTATGTAGCATTGTATGATTGTGTTTTCAACAGGGAGGATGAACCAAGCACAAGCACAAGCAGACACAAATCGCAAATCAGAACTCAACAGGTAGCCCCCAAAAGAGAAACCATGGCTCCAGAGGTTGCTTTCGGAATATTGCTCGGTGTAATGTGTGGTGTCGGTGTGATGCTCTTTTGTCATCTTGTCCGTCCGCTCACATTCCGCAAGGCGCAGGCTCGAGCAGGAGCCAGTCGGGCCAAGCTTTGTGGAGTTCGTGTGGAGAAGCTTGTTCCTGGCGTCGCTAGATCTTCTTGACTCGTCACCTTGTCGCCGCTGAAAACCGTCACCATTGCCTCTTTCTTCACTACAAGCTCCCTTCATCTCCGCAACATGCAAAGTCTCCATTCGACCATCACGTCACCTGAGCCTACCCGCCCTCGGGACCTGGAAATGGTACCCCATGGAGAAGACATGGGTCGCTTTGTACACACCCACCAGCTGCCCTAGAGCTTCCCAAAACAGGGTCTGAGTGCCCCGCGGGGAAATATCCAACTGGCTCTTTGCCTTTGTAGAGGTTACATGGCGAGGATAGAAGGCTGCTTGCTGGTGGTAAGGGCGCGGTGCACGAGGACGCCACTGACGACGGGAGGGTTGTCAAATTCATCAATCTACCTGGTAATTGTCCTGGTGCCGTAGCCACCGCAGTCCATCCTACTGGTGCCCTCTCTGTAAGTTTCCCACTGCCATCAGCATAGGCCGCGTTGCTTCATGATAAAACCCTGTGCTCCTCCCCATCCCGTGGACATGCTTTAGCCACTGTCAATTTCGTCTTCACAGCCTCGGATCGTGTCTTCAGCAGTCACTGCCTGTCGAGGAAGACTGCAAGATGAGGTCGACACCTGTGTTTCCAATCCTGCTTCTTGCTCCTTGCCTTGCCGCAGCTCAGTCTTCCACAGCGACCAGCGTCAAGGCTGAGTTCACTGTCCCAGCGAGTGCTGACTATGGCGTCACTCTTCTCGCTAACATCGACGACCCTACTGCGGCCGATGCCCAGGTGAAATGTCCTGGTTACACGGCCGCGGGAGTGAGCACGTCTTCAACGGGATTAACGGCTCATTTGACTCTTGCTGGCACTGCCTGCAATGTCTACGGGACTGACATCCATGACTTGGACTTGACGGTCGAGTATCAGACCTCGTCCCGGCTCCACGTCAACATTCGGCCTTCCCATGTAACCTCCCAGAACCAGAGCTGGTATCTTCTCTCGACCGACTATGTTCCTGCGGGGAGCCCGAGTGGTGGAGCAGTGACCACAAGCGACTTGACATTCTCCTGGGCCAACTCAAACACCACGGGATTTTGGTTTAACGTAACTCGCAACAGCACTGGAGACGTGCTGTTTTCGACGACAGGGACAAAACTGGTCTTTGAGAACCAATTCATCGAGCTTGTCACTCACCAGCAACAGAATTACAATCTCTACGGCCTTGGGGAGGTTATTCATGGTTTGAGACTGGGCAACAACCTCACCCGCACAATTTATGCCGCCGATATTGGTGATTCGATCGACCAAAACTTGTATGGGAGTCACCCATTCTATCTCCAAACCAAGTATTTCGAGGTCGGTAGCGACAACAGTACAACCCTGGTGACTGAGCAGCTCGACACGACCAACGCTACAAGCAACTATACTTCCTACACCCACGGTGTATATCTTCGCAATGCTCACGGAATGGAAGTCCTCTTGGGAGCCAACAACGTGACATGGAGAACTTTGGGAGGCAGCATCGACTTGTACTTCTTCTCTGGGCCGACGCAGCCGGACGTGACACATCAATATCTCAGTGTCATTGGCATGCCAATGCTGCAAAACTACTGGGGATTTGGTTTCCACCAGTGCCGCTGGGGCTATCAAAACTGGTCCGTCACGGAAGCGGTTGTCGACAACTACGCACGCTTTGGTATTCCGCTTGAAACAATCTGGAACGACATTGACTACATGTTTCAATACCGAGATTTCGACAACGACCCGATCCGCTTCAACTACTCGGACGGGACGGCCTTTCTCCAACGTCTCCACAACAAAGGCCAGCATTATGTCCCCATCATTGATTCTGCCATCTATGTTCCCGACCCTACCAATGCAAGTGATGCATACCAGCCATTCAACGACGGCAATGCCACCAATTCTTTCCTCCTGAACCCAGATGGGTCACTCTACATTGGCGAGGTCTGGCCCGGCTATACCGTCTTTCCAGACTGGCTCCAACCAGCCGCCCGAGCGTGGTGGAAGAATCAGATTGTCACTTGGCATCAAAAACTTCCCGTCGACGGTGCTTGGATCGACATGAGCGAAGTATCCTCTTTTTGCGTTGGAAGCTGCGGTACCGGCAACCTCACGCTGAACCCAGTGCATCCAGGCTTTGGGCTTCCTGGTGAACCCGGCAACGTCATCTACGAATATCCAGAAGGCTTCAATCTGACCAATGCCACGGAAGCTGCGTCGGCTTCTTCAGCCTCTCAAGCTCAAGCCACCCCAACAACGACGTCAGGCTCAAGCTCAAGTTCGTCCTCATCGACAACAACCAGCTACCTGCGCTCAACACCAACAGCCGGACAACGCAATGTCAACTATCCGCCCTACGTGATCAATAACGCCCAAGGAAACCACGATCTCGCGGTGCACGCCGTGTCTCCCAACGCCACGCACCACAACGGCATCCAAGAATACGACGTCCACAACCTCTTCGGCCACCAAATCCTCCAAGCCACGTATGCCGCCCTTTTAGCAGCGATCCCCAACAAGCGACCCTTTGTCATCGGCCGGTCGACATTTCCGGGGTCTGGGACTGTGGCAGGCCACTGGGGCGGTGACAACACTTCCAAGTTTCTGTACATGTACTTTTCCATCCCGCAGGCCCTGTCGTTCGCTCTCTTCGGCATCCCCATGTTCGGCGTCGACACTTGCGGCTTCAATGGCAATTCGGATGAAGAGCTGTGCAATCGGTGGATGCAGCTGTCCGCGTTCTTCCCCTTCTATCGCAACCACAACACCCTCTCCGCAAATTCCCAGGAGGCATACGTGTGGAGTTCTGTGATTGACGCGACCAAGACGGCCATGAACGTGCGCTTCCAACTCCTTCCGTACATATACACACTATTCTACTACGCGCACACACGGGGCGACACCGTCATGCGCGCACTGCCGTGGGAGTTTCCCAACGACCCCAGCCTCGCCAACGCAGACCGGCAGTTCTTCCTGGGTCCCTCGATCCTGGTGACTCCGGTGCTCACGCAGGGCGCGACCACCGTCGACGGCGTATTCCCGGGCCTCGTCGAGGGAACCGACACCTACTACGACTGGTACAACAAATCCCCCATCGCTGTGCCCACAAGCAAGAACACAACCATCGCCGCCCCCCTGGGCCACATCCCCGTCTTCATCCGCGGCGGCTCCATCCTGGCCACGCAACAAATGGCCCTGACGACCCGCGACGCGCGCAACACCTCGTGGAGCATCATCGTCGCGCCCGGCGTGGACGGCACCGCCAGCGGATCTCTGTACCTGGACGACGGGGAGAGTTTGACCCCCAACGCCACCAAGACGGTCACTCTGACCGGTTCGCGGAACGGGAACGGGAGATGGAGTCTCAACGTGACCGTCTCGGGCTCCTACACCGGCCTAGACCTCCCGCTCGCAAACGTCACTTTCTTGGGCGTGCAGACCGCTCCCGCAAACACTTCTGTGACTGTCAACGGCCACAACATCGCCAACGCGACGTATAATGCCGCGAGCAAGATTCTGAGCGTCACGGGCTTGGACCACATCAACGCCTTGGGCGGGAAGGTCTGGGGCGGCAATTGGACGCTCACGGCGTGATCGGTAAGCACACCAGCTATAGGAGAAGAAGCCAGGTAGGCCCGCAGGGATGATGGCAGGAATGACTCGGTGGGGAAGAGGAGACGATGCAAAATTGGGGGATCTTCGGGCAAAAAGAACAGAACAGTGTCTGTCGGATTCGAGAAAAAAAAAACGTTTCTGTGCAAGAGGGGGAGAAGATATTAGTGGGCGTGGGATAATGATGCTGGGTCACGAAACGGAGTAACTCGCCTTCGAGGAAGGAGACGACAAAATAATATGTGAAAATGATGACCCGTATGAAAACGAGATTGATACCATAGTATATCTATCCGGTTGAGAATGATGCTTTATGAACAATATCCGACGCTAGCTAGCTGGGAACTGTATTTGTACGTCTTGCCTCCCTCTCACACCCAGTGTTCTGTGTCTATATCTATCGTGTAATCCCTTGCCTGGCCACCACCACCACCACCTCGTCCTCCTCCTCCTGCTGCTGCTGCTGCTGCTCCTTTTGCTACTGCTGTGCGGGGTGGTGATCTGCTGTTCTGTTGGATGATTTTGCGACAAGAATCGAATTGGGCGTATAAGAAACGCTCCAAACCTCTACCCATACCGACCTCAGGGCTCCTTCCTCGCAGGCTAGGGGGATTCTGTTCAGACCATTGGGCTCCAGGAAAGGGGGTAAAATCCATTCTGATTCTGCGAGCCGATTCACTGTTTCTTCTCCACAGCTGTATTTTTTGGTCCACGGCCTGATGTCGTCCGCTCATGGTTTTGTCTCTCGGTTTTGCTTTTCTTCTGGGGGCCTTGTTGGATGACAGCCCACGCAAACGGAGATGACAGGTCGAGAGCCGATCAACGACCCTTGGAAGAGGCGATGAATAAATCTGCTGCTTTGGCGAGAGTCTCCGGTACTTGATCTGTCGCTCGCGCGTGGTAAAGACAACCGTAGCTTTGCTCCGACTCAACCCAAGAGTAAACGTGCTGCCAGTAGTCTTCATCATAAGCAAAGCTGCACTCAGATGGCAAGATACCTGAATAAGAGGTAAGCCTAAAAAGTGGCGAGAATGTGGATATTCCATCTGCCCAAGCACCCTCCTCTTCGCCAGCTGCTTCGCCATTTGAAGCGAATTCACACCGAGTGCAACGGTTTATGCGTGTTGGTAAGGTATTCGCGGCATCCCGATAAACCCGATCGACTGCGGCGTCTAACAGATATCCTTCTTCCCACTCCTCTTCAGTTTCCCAGCCCGACGTTGATCCATCGGAATATTCAGTCTCCCATTCATCCTCATCAAGATTGTTGACCTTTTGGCTGCCGTCGGCTGAAACAAAATCTGTACTTCCGGTACCATAATTAGCAGGACGGGTGTCTGAATATGTGTCTTGGGCATTGCCGCACGTGTTCTCCAATGCCATCCTCCAAATGTGCATCGTCCGCATGTTATGCTGTTGGGCGTGTATAGATATTGGGTCGAGCTCGCCCCTTGTTGCAAGATAAGGACGCCAATATTCCAAGAGAAGCCCTATTGCCGTGATCATGAAGGTACGAGCCAGTCCCAATTTTCGCAACCGATGCAGGCATGGCGGATCACTGCCACCATCATCATGCTCGGACAGTAAAGCAATCACCAATCCTCCGTAGTGAATCAACTCTGAAATAGCGTGCTGCCCAAGACGTGGGAATTCCTGCGGGGGAAAGGCGTTAGATGCTAAGAAAGATCGAATGATGCCTAACTGAGCCTGAAGAGAAGCTTCAATGCTGGAAGCGTCAAGCATAGCCCAGGGCATTACAAATGACCTGGCTGGCCCAGGCACCCGGCCAAACCGTAATAACATTAGTAAGTGGGTAGGGTGCCACGAAATTGGCCATTCCGTCTGATGGAGCAGGACTTCTACCGCAGTTGGGTTACACGAGTATGTGTCCAAGACGATCATAGTCATGGATGCGTCGTGCGTGAAAGGATCCGTTTTCGCTCCGAGCAGCAACTTGCTAAAGAGAAAGCTGTATTTATCGTCAAGCTGTTCGGAGGCTAACCAGACCAAACTCAGGAGTTCGAGCGAGCTTCTGTGACTGCTGGTTAATTGTGCGATCAGAATTTTAGCCATCAACTTACAGTCCGCCGACCTCATGTCCACCAGCGTCGACCCCCAAGCTTATCAGTAGGTTGACCATTTGAATTATCTCAATTAGGTCTGTTCTTTGGATTCGGTTTATACGTACCTGTGATCCTGATATTTAGCGCAGCAACATGAGAAAGTTTCAGATACTTACGAAGGCCCCGAGAGCGACCCAGCCAAGAAGATTTAGGCCATCCGGGCTCATATCAGAAGGCGAAGCCTGACTGTTGTCGAATAAAGTTCGCATACTTGCTAAATCAGAGATGAGGCAAGCACGGAAGATTTCAGAACCCAATGGGACAATGTTGACTGTCTTCAAGCTGTAAACTGGATTTTGCCAAGGCCCAACTTCGATGCGTTTCCAGGTATCGTATGCCAGGACAGCACCTTTCGACATGAGCCAAGTCGCGGGCAGAAAAGTGACTGTCGTCCTACGCTCCTGTTTCTCATCTCGACCAGAACGATCAGTTTTTTGCCGGATATACGACTTCACCGTGGTAGTGATCGTCAAGGTCCCCACAAAAGAATTCGAAAAGGGGCGCCTCCTGGTTGTTGTCGACGACTTTAAGCGCCAGTGATCTGCCGGATGATCTGGAACTTGTTCAATGGAACTCGATAGTTGTCCACCACAGACACTCTCGTCTTCTGTTCTAGTTTTGATTCTGGCCACGCCACAGTCCCTTGGATTAATCATGTGGTTGCCGCTGCCGTTCTGGTTGACCTGTTCTCTGACCATCCTTTCGAGCTGCCGACAGACGCTTTTTGACATCATCCTGGGGACTTCCTTGGTAAAGGCATGCAACAGTTCAGGTGCGATATTCTGAGGCTTTGCAAGCAGCTCTCGCGAAGCAGCTTCGATCCTTTCGGTTACGTCTCGCACATGTAAAGTGTCGTCGGTCAATCTATTCACCAGTGTGCGGGTTTCGGAGGTGATCTGCTTGATCTGCACACTGGATTCGCCTATATTTGACGTGTCTGCTCTGATTTCTCCGACAGTCTTCTGCGTGTCAAGGATAGTCCTTCCGGTGCCGACAATACTGTTTCGGGCATCGACAACAGCCCTGTGTGTTTCAGTAATTGTGCTCTTGTTGCTATTTGTCGTCTCCTGAGTGTCTAGAACGATATTGTAAGTATCAACGGCGACGCCTGCCTGGGCAGATTGGCTCTTTCTGTATGTCACAGCTGTCAGAGCACGAAAACCATGGTGCGTTCTCTGGCTCTTGCAAAGTCCTCTCAAAGTATTCACTCACCTTATGGCGTTTGTGCAGCATTGCAAAAGTGCGGATTTGGACCTTTCAAGTGCGCGAAGATGCTTTGCCGATTCTGAGCGGTTTAGAACCGCCCTAACCTGTTGGCGGATTTTCTTCCATTCCGGTAGATCGTCAGCCAGCCCAATGGTCTTAACTTTTGTCGATAGACCATTGATAACTTGTTCACTATGGCGTAGAACCTGCTCTAGATCGGCATCTTGAATGTCGTACGAGTGATGGATGGTAGTAAGGGTCGAGGAGATGATCTGGAGCTCACTGGACAGGGATTTGATGTCGGCTGGTGCATCTCTGATGTCTCTAAGAAAGCCATGGAGAAATATTGAGCCTTGTGCGAGTTGTCCAGCGAGCCCAACAACAGAGAGAGCGCTAGCTGCCAAACCAAAAGCCTCTGCCGCCATAATTCACAGGAAAATTGCCCAGAATTTGGAGGATTAGAAGCTGACTGAAGACAACAAGCAACTCCACGAGAAGGAAAGAGGACATATCGCCGAACGAGAAATGATCAGGAAATGTAGCTGCAGCCTGAAACATGACCTTCTTGCTCTCAGTGATCTCGCTGAAGGCATTGAAATCGGGCGTCAAGGCTGACTGCTGGGCTACTCGTCTAGCGGAGAGATAGACCAATAGTTGTATGACAGCACTACCACCGTGTTGCTCCCCCTGGTCATTCGAGTGAGCCCATCATATCCCTTCCAATGGTATCCGAAGTGGCTTTTCCCGCTAATGCTGATGCAGCTAGTATGCACACATTCGAGGGATGGACAACTGGGAGACTTTGAACACGAGGAGGTCGTTTCGCCCTGGCTGCAGGGAGTCGAAAGCTTTGGGCCGGTAGCCTTAACACCGTCAGGATTGTAACACAAGAGAGGCCAGGGAGCCATGGTTGTCGGCCAAGTCACAGGGTGTGCACCGCCAGACATGAGGTGCATGAGGCAAGCAGAGGTGGATTTGTGTGGAGGCTGAGGTGGCGGTTCAGCCAAGGCGAGCCCCAAGCCCCGAGGCGCGAGGCGCTTTCCATGCTCCGCAGCTGCCAGGCACATCCACCTGCGAGTACAACACGCGAGTGGTATTTACGTCTCTACTTCCCCATGTTTTGACGGACAGCTTGTTGACGCAGAGGCTGCTTTCTCTTCGGTGGATGCCAATTTTTCAGACAAGAAAGAAGGTGACATCGTATTTCAACCGTCTATAGCCATCAGCCCCTCGGAACATGTGGGTTTCAAATCCTTCTGGTTCACATTGTAAAGCATCGTGTCTCAAATACCACGGAGACAGAGCTGTCAACTACTTGTTGCCTTACAGAACTCGTGCCGGCATCAGCACAAATCCTTGCGTCCTCTGTCAAGCCTTCTCCTGCTGCAGCCTGTTTGTTGGTCCAACATTCCGCACATAACCCACTCAACCGTACTTTCATCGCATGCGTTCATATTCTCTGGCAGCTCGAGTGCTCAATTACTAGTAGCCGAGTGGCACCTTGGAATAGAGACTGTGCTTCAGGCCAAGGTAATTCCAATCCCTACTGAGTTGCGCATCTGTCAAGAGGTTTCTGCTGTGGCGAAGAATTATTTGCTTTCTTCCCGCCAGCTGACTTCTGCACATTGTCCTCCTCACTGCTGCTGTCGTCAGAGGAAGAAGAAGAGGTGTCGTCAATCACCTCGACCTCCTTCTCCGAACCATGTCCTGCTGACACCTGAGCGGCACTGGATTTGGTCTTTCCCTCCAGCTCGGCAAGCCTCTCATTTTGTTCTTTCAGTACTCTCAACAACTCATCCTGAATAGTCTTTTGTGCTCTCTCGGTTTGCAGGACCTGCTGCCTCGCAAGGTCGATGATCGTCTCCCTAGCCGTGATGAGCAGCACAGCCATCTCGGTCGGCTTCATGCCTTCCTCCCGTTCAAGTCTGCGGAACACGCGATTGAGGCGGACGCTTGGAAGACTTTCGCGAAGTCTCTTGACCGCATTAGCTTCGACTTCGACGCGGCGTTTGAAGGCCTCCGCCTCTTCATTGTCGCGTTTACGCTTCCGAGACTCGGCTGTGGCAGCTGTGGCAACTGGAGAAGAAGTTAGTTACCTCGTGTTTCCATTAGGGCAGGAAATCAAGGGATTTGCCCTCGTACCTGCTTGTACCTCCGTGGGTCCTGACAGTGGTTTCTTTTTCTTCTCATCCTTGCGTTTCTTCTTGTCCTCTCGTTGTCTAGCCTCTTCCCCGTCACGCTGACTTTTGCCAGTGTCCGCCGGCCTCTTGTCATTTCCCCTGTCTTGCAGCTTATCCTTCTTATTCCCCTCGCTAGACTTCCTCTTTTTCTTGGACTTGTCTTTATCCCTAACCTCCTTGTGGCCTGGAGTGGGAGTTCCGTCACGTTCGCTGGCGTCACTCCTGCCTGAAGCTTCACCATCATCTGGGCTTAGTGCTCCGAAGAAGGTAGGTCGAGTGTTTGCACGGTTTTTCGTCAACGCCAACTGTTGAAAGATGTAGCTGGGGTTCGACTTCGGATCTTGCGGGACATCGATCGTGGTCGTTAGACGCGATGCCGCTCCACCATCGACGGTCTTTCTCCCGGAGAACGCTGGTGATAGTGGAGTCAACTTGGACTTGGAAGCTGAGCCAGGTGCGGTAGGCGCGATAGATCGTGCTCGTCGGGCCTGGTGAGCCCATGGATCGGTTTTGGTGAGATCAACAACGTCTTGCGTGAGGCTGTGGGATTTTTGCGGAGTAACACTTGAATGACGCCTGCCATTCATGTGTTTTCGTGATTTGTCTCTGGCCATTTTGAGTGTAGAGGAGCAGAGGTAGCGGACAAGGCAGCGAGTCTTGCTCAGGCAAAAGTGAGCAGAGATTGAGAGCTGATGTCAAGAGGCTCTGGATGCAGTCGTGTTTTCAGTCATCAACCACGCCAAGGCCACGAGAGGAAGCGCGAGAGGAGTGAAGTCGACGCCTACTATATGCTCGATCTGAGATTGTCATCCGAGCTAGAGGGTCAGAAGAAGGAGTGACTGTTGATCGATCCTTACCAAGCAGGGACCGGGTGAAAGGGATCAGTCGAGGCAGTTGGGAAGGAACTTTTAGTCTTTTTGAAACATCTTGAGAGAGCGACTCGGCTGTTGTCAGTCAAGTTGTGATAAGTTTCTACCAGACCTTCCTGACGAGGACCAAATATGAATTGAATCTGAGCAGGGAGTGAAGGTTCCTGGTTTATCATCGGCGAAAGCGTCTGGCAAACGGACAAACACCATTCTCATAAAGGTAGCAAATCTCATTTCTTAGGATCAGGCTTATCTGGGTCTGAAATCGTTGTAGAATCATAAAAGGCCGTCTGTACTCACAAATTTAGGTTCCATGAACTCCTTGTCTCCCTTGCAGATGTTTAGATCCGGTTTCCGATATCCTTGGTATCATAAAGCACTTTTCTTATGCAACCGCAAGCATCGCTCTCACAGCCTCGTTAGGGTCAGCCGCGTCGACCTTCTCAACTTTACCCCAATTCGCCCAAATCTCGGCCTTCATCTCCTTCAACCGCTTGTGCATCTTCCACAGGTCACCCATGTCCTTCTCGTCACGCTCCTTTGCGTCCATTTGTGATATCTTGTCATATAGGTCTTTGTATCGTTTATAATACTTCTGAAACCGTCTCGCCTCCTCAATGACATCGTCCCTGTTGGGTCCTGGTTTCTCGGGGCTAGATGACCGTTCAGAATCTGTTCGGATCGGACCAGCAGGGCGCTTCAGGGCAGGGTGGTCGGTTACACCATTCGACAAAGGGGTTGAATGATTGGGAGTCGACGTCTGGTCCTGGTGCTGCCGCTTTGCAGAACGTTCGTCCTCTGTGGGAGCAGCCTTGCGCTTCACAGGGTTCGGGCCAGGGCTTCTGCCCCTTGAAACGTTCCTACTTTTGTCCGAGATGACTGGAGAGTATTTGTTGCCTTGTTTCGTTTGAGGCATGTCGGTGCTGGAGGGTGGAGATGACGGAGCCGAAGAATGATTTGATGCCTTGCTGGAGCTGGAGTTGTCTAAATCAGTCGAAGTGGTGGGAGGTGACGAGCCAAGTGGTGATGGCTTCTGGGGTGAACTGTCGTGGCGTGGCCGTGGAGATATGCGAGAAGCCGAACTTTCCAGCCTCTGGTGGTTCTGAGGCTTCAACGACTTGGAAGATCCTGTGACCGCAGACCGAGGCTTATCACTTGCGCTGTTACTACCACTGGATGTCGATGAGCTTGAAAGCGTCGATTTGTGAGCATTCTTCTTGGGAGAGGAAGTGGTCAGAGGCGACTTGGCTGATTTGAGAGGATCATGTTCTGCTTTTCTCTTTACTGTGGAAGTTGACTTGGTTGTTCCTGAAACGGGCTTCTTTGGCTTGGCGACGACATCCGCTGCTTCGGCCTCTTCATCGGAGTCCTCGATGCGTTCAGAGGACTTGAATTTGGTATCTGTTTTGGCAGGTTTCGAGTGTGAGGAATCCTTGTCTTTGACTTTGACCGCACCACTGGGATCGCCCTTCACTGCACCCTTGGCCGAGGCCTTGTCTTTGCGTGCCTTTTCTACACCCCCCACCTCTCTATCCTTCTTTGCTCGCGCCTTACCATGATCTCGGTCTGACGCCTCATTCTTACTCTCGTTGCCTTCCTCATTTGGACGCTCAGGCTTAGGGGTGGCGTGACTGGATACTGGTTTGTCAAAGTTCAGCTTCGACAAGATCTTGCCCTTCCCCCGCTCCTCTACAGGAAGTAAGAGCTGCCAGAGAGGGTCTTTCTTCTCCACTCTCATCCTGTCATATGCTTGAATGGCATGGTCAATGGCTGCTTGCCTGTCCTCCTGTGACCGGTACTGGAATTTCCAGACATCCAATTCACGGTAACTTTTTTCTTTCAGCTCTCTTTTTCCATCCTCTACTTTCGATTCCCAGGACACTTTATCGAGTAGTTTGTCGATGTCATCCTTGGTTGCACGCAACTGATCACAGATCGCTTTCGGTGTCATTGGCCGGACAGCGAGAAGATGTACGAGTGGTACGCGGATAGCATCGAGTCGTATTCGATCCTTCGTCGACATTCCAGAGGACAAAGGGGCCGAGGTAGGCCCCTGTCGGGGAGAATACGAGGCACTTAGAAAAGGGCTTCCTGGCGTAGACCTACTCAAGGGCCCCAACAAATGATCTTTCCTCAAAGCAGAACCCTGGCCCAATAATGGCGATGGCTTCACATCTTTCCGTAGTCCCTGCTTCTGGTCCTCTTTCAAGCTTGTCTCATTCGACGCTCGTTCCTCTTGTATAGATTTGAGGGTGCTTTCAAGTGTAGCCAAGGCCTCGTCCGCTTTTGCAGTATCCTTTTCAGCTTTCTTGACCTCGAGTCTATGGCTTGACTTGCCACTGAAGTATAGAGGCGCTGTATCATCGTCGGATTTGGAGTATATCTCGGTTGGAAATGGGTCGATGCTGCTTTCTAGGGTCACCGTTTTCTTGCCGAATTGCACCACTGGTCTTTTTCCACATCGGAGCCGAACTTGTTCGTTGTTTTTCAGAGATCGAAGGATGTCCTTGGTCACGGACTCAACCAAGTCCAACCGGATCACTTGGGTGGGCTCTTTGGTCTGTTTACTGTGTGTGTTGTGTTTGGGTTCCCGTCTTAGGACAAGCCCTTCGGGGGGAATATTGAACGGATCCATGTCGCAGAGGAGAGGGAATGCGTCAAGGTGGGGAGATTGTGATAGGGTTTGTAAGGGTCATTCCTGGTGTTTCGAGGATTCAGTAGGCGGCGTCAAGGCAAGATAGGCGTGAAGGACAGTCGGCTCGCTGCACAGCAGTGACAGCAGCTGGCAGACGGCGTCATGACACAGAATTAGAACAAAAGAAGTGAATGCCAATGAAGCTGAACAATAAGAGCTAGTGAAGGAACAAAGCCACGATGCGTTGCAACAGAGGCAAGGTCAAAGGTCAAGAGCGAGAATGAGAAGCAGGACAAAGGCATGCTGACGATTATTGGAGGGATCAGCTTGTGGAGAGGGGACGAGGATGAAGCGACCTTGGAAGCACGCGGTCGGAGAGTGGGACAAGCCGTGTATGGCGATTTGCTTTGAGGGAGGGGGGGATGTGGCCCAGTGTGGGCGAAAAGGTTCAGAGCGCGGGAGCGGTTGCCCTTGGATCAACAGCCGATTTGGCTATGGCCGCCTGAGAACCAGTGTGAACGAGCGAGGACAACGGAGAAAGTTCGAGGAAGCCAAAGAGCGCACCTAGGGACGCCCCAGGGCAAGCTTGATGGGCCATGGGTGCCAGGGTCAGAAGCCATCGAGACCATCGAGGCCCGTCTTCGGTAACTCTGGCAGAGATGACTGGCTCGCCCATGATAGGCGTGAGCCACATTCTTCGAGTCTACGCCCGCCCTGGCTAGCCTGCCGCCTTCCCGGGGCTTTCTGGCGTTGTGTCAGCGCTGGAAAAGCAGCTGGAGGCGTTTCTTTCCGTCACACGCAAGCATCAGCCCGAGGCTCGAGCCAGTGAGCCAGCCATTTGGAGAGTTTGATCAACTCCCGCAATCTTTTCTCCCGTTCTTGGCCTGTATGAGGGCACGGTAAACCCTCGAAAATTGATCGGAAAGTCAACCGCTGCTCCGAAAGGATCCAAAGGGAGGCGTGTTTCAGGGAGCCGGAGGAAGGCTGGATCAGATTGATATGTTTTAGAACCCCCGACCCTGACGGAGACTGAATCGAGCAAAGGCGTCTAAAACGGGCACAGTCAAAGGGATTGGATAGAATCGAAGGGGCCGGGGACCGGGCACCAGTTGCCAGCAGGTTTTTCGCCACTGACGACAACCCTCAATTCTCAACCTCAACCGACGATTGTGCACCAAAAGGTTGGGTCGGCTCGGGCTCGCTCGCTCCCCTTGCTTCCTTCGAGGTCAACCTGATGTCAAGGTTTCGCAGCCACATATTACCTAGTATCGAGGACCCGGCCACACATGTCCTCTACCACAACTGGTACGGGTGTCTAGTCCTGCCGCTCGACAGGTCGCGGGCTTGAAAAATGTGGTGTGAGAGCATTTGAGCTGATACGCAGAGATACAACACCCAGGCACTGCTTGTGTGGATAGCAAGCAAGTGGTCCGTTTCCCTCCAAAAATTCAGCGATGCTGCTTCCGAGGGGCTTCAGTCTACGGGTAGGATCGTACAAACAGAAGGAAAGGCCATGCATTATGCTGCAATATCCCGAACACAAAACTGTGCCTTCGTAAGATCTTACTCTGGAGACGCTGACGGGACATTTCCCCTTCTGCACGTAACCCGTTGTCGAGTTGACCTTCCAGTTCAGGTACAGCGCTCCAGAAGCAAGACACAACTGTCCTGCTTGTACTCGGTACCTAGTAAGTACTTACCTACATAGGTATGTAGGCATGCAGAGAAAATCGCGGCTGGAACACATTGTGCCTGACAAATATGACCTAAATAATAAGCAGGCGGCATCCTGGCCGGCACTTTTTTCGGCCCTGATGACTGATCTTCCGTGTCGACAAAGTACAATGACGGGCAGACACACAAATCCGAGGAATCTTTCCTTCTTGGAGCGCTGGTGCTTGCTCGTGCTGCTCTTGTGCAGCAGGTCAGAATATTAATAACGGCGTTGCATTGGGTTTTCATCACCTTGCAGCCAACACGACGAAGGGGCGCTAGAGCGAGTATAGGTGTGCCTAAACAAGAAACTTACATATTTCCGAAACCCAGGTGGGGACCAAGGGGCGACCGAGGAGGACGGGGGCGGCAAGGGGTTTGGGGGTTGATGGGTTGATGAGTTGATGAGAAACAAAACTGAAGGTGACCCCGGCGGGTGCCCGGACACCTCCCGAGGTCCCCATAAGGGCCCATACGAGGAGGGCACGCACCTCCCGCAGGCGCTTAGCTGCGCCAAAGTCTCGTGCTCCGCGCCTCTTTAGCCCATTTACTTCGCCCACCTGGAGAAACACCCGCCTTTTGCGCAGATTTGATCATATTTGCTAGCAGCCTCGTCAGGCGCTTATCCTCTCGATACATCCTTTCAGATCCTTGAATGTTGAGCTTTGAATATGTCTCTAGGTATGTCCGCGCTCTCGCTCGTGTTGGCATCCCCGGACGCCACACATTCATTTCAATCCGCGAGATTTTCCTTCAGAAACGCTGATTTGTGCCACCAGCCTTGGATGAGCAGACCCTCCAACATGTGGCCAGCAATGGCGAGATGGACTTGTATGCTCCCTCTGACGCTCAACTTTGGTGATATTTTGAGACTTACTTCGCGCCAGTGAGAAATGGCCAGCCATGATCGAACCACTGCTTCAGCGACTCAACGAGGTAATTCGTTCCATGAATATTGGTCTTCAAGAGGTTGACACCCAATGTCTAGATCGTATATACGGAATTTCCTATGCCACGGCCATATCCCACCATCAATCGACCGGCTCCCTCCTCACCCACTCAACCACAGCCTACGCAGATCGGTGATGCCAATCCCAATCCGCAGGCACCTTCGACGCCCGTGCGGACTCTTCCACCCGTTCCGCCTTTCCCAACCTCGTCAGCAACTTCTACGAGCCATGTGCCCGATTCACTTCCTCAGTCCCAAGACGCTGAGGTCACCGCGCTCCATGAACTTCCCACCCTCCTGCTGCAAATCCTCAATAGCGTAACTCATACGCTTCGATCATCATTTTCAGAAAGACCACCCCATACAATACAACGGTTGGCAGAACTCATCCTATACCCTACCAAACATTACAAAACTCTTCCTGCATGGCTGCGGGCCATGGATCGAGTCGTCAGCGTTAGCAGCGCTGCAGATATCTTCCCGCTTTCCGAAACTCCGCCTGTGGTGAATGGTGTCAATGGAGATGGTGGAGGAATTCTTTGGAATAATGGAGACGTGCGCCACGGTTACGACAGCAACTCACTGGGCAGTGATGAAAGTCTCGGTGGCGCGCTCCTGACTCCAATACCGTGGCTGCGGAATGGGATCAATGGTAGCGAGGATTCTGGTGAAGATTCAGGCCCGCTAGATTCAAACACCAGCACCAGCACAGATGGCTTAGATGACTCGCTCATCTTGCCAATAGCACAGGGCGATGGAGACTCGTTAGTCCCTGAAAGGCCAGATGGCGCAGTTACCCAAGGCGAGTTGATCCGTATGGAACAAGAGGCTGGCGTGGTACCTGTGACTCGAAACCCTCCGGATGCGCACGTGAGCGGGACGATGGAAGAGAATTCTCTCAGTGACGAAGGAGACGTGGTGCCTCACGCCCGCGGACCTGACCTCGTGGGCTCTGTGGATATGGGCAGAGTCGATGGTCAAGACGTGGAAATTCACATTGGAAGCCCTCCAAGCGAAGAGGGACAAGAAAGGGCCATAGATGCGAACGATGCACAAACAGTCCTCCCTGGAGAGACTCATACTTTGGGCTCTACAGCTACAAGTGCAATGTCGGTAAGTGGACCTGGATCAGCGGCCGATTCAGATGATTTTGAAATTGTGCTCAAGGACGCTGTGGATGGCAGCGATGTGGATGCTATGCAAGTCGACGAGAGCAGAAGAGGGGGTGAGAAGCAGCAGAAGTCACAGTCGCCAACCGAAGACGGCGACATTGTTCTTGTGGATGCGGACGGCAAGACCGAAGGCGAGACCGAGTCAAAGGCCGAAAACTCGGGCGAGAACGTCGGACCGGATGCTGTGGATGCCAGTACTGTGACTTGAGGAGATGTCTCTCTGAACCAGATCTGGGAACGCCTTCAAGAATTGAAACAACGGTACTTATCCAAGTCTGATCACAGAGCTTGAGAACGCTGGATCCACGGTTGGGAACACGACCTCGCCACGGTCGCACGTATTCTACGTCAATCTCAACCACTGAGAGGTACCCTTCAGACGACCTTGCATTGGCGCGACGTTCGGCGCCGGTTGGTCGCTTGCAGAAGCCATTCGAGACTCGCATTGGCATCAGAGTCTGAAAGGAAACAGAAGCAGAGAATTCTCTGGTCACTCCTATGCGGGCCCAAAAGAAAACGGTCAGCTCGATATGAGGGTCTAGGTCGATCATGGGTCTTCTGGGGAAGAATCTAGACCTCGATATCTTGCTGATATATTTCTTGTACAAGGAAGAGCGAGGCACGGGAGAAGTCCCAGACATGGAAAAGAGAACGACTTAAGACGGTTGCCACTTCTATTGCAAGCAAGTCGTCGGATTATATACCCACGCGGTCGCGATTCGTGTTCGTTTGCGTGTGCAAATGCAATCACTGTCTCCATCTCTTCTCTATGTTCTTCTTTCATTCAGTCGTTACTATTGTACATTGAACTGCGCCGGATTAGAGGGTACCCAAGGGGGTTCGTTCCCACGTATGTTTGTACTTATCGGGCTGATGCGGAAATGCCAGCCGCCAAGCCTCGAGGAATGGTAGTCCGACTTATATAGATGCTCCTCGGACTGGGCTAGCTGAGACAGACGCTCCGAAGGGTTGAGCTTTGAGCAGCTGATTGTGGCAGATCGTTTCAGCCTTTGTACAGCTGCCCCCCACGCCGTCAGAACCGCTTTAGTTCGTCCGACAGACCCTATCGTATGGGGTCAGTCTCAACGGGATCGAGAGCACCGCGTTTCGAGGGTTGTCTTTTGCGTCGACTTCCATTCAACTACCCGTGGATTCCTGCTTAACAAGGGGAGCAGGTAAAGGACCGTCCACACGAGCTGTGTCGGTGGCGGTGGCGGCTGCGTGGTCATTTTTGGCCGCATTCGACAAAGATACCTGTGTGGGTGTTGTTTCGTTGTTGATAGCCGTCGACGGGGTTACAGTAGAACCACCATTTTCTGTCACAGTCGATCTGGCGCCTTCGGCCCCTCCTCCCATTCCGTCAGTCTTAGCAGTGGACTTGGACATGGATACCGCAGGACTGCGATTTCCCACCTCCTCCGTGGATGCTCCTCCGGCAACTCCTGTCTCGGTGGTCTTGCCCGCGAGCAGCATTGGACTGTCATTCCCTACCGCCGCCATAGACGAGGTTGCGTCGGCAGTGTCTACCTCGCCAGTCTTGGCGGTAGATGCCGCGGGGCTGGCATACCCGGCCGCAACCGACGACAGGGCATCTGTTGCGGCGTGCCTCTTCTTCTCCTTCTTCGCCCATCTCAGCCCGCAAGCATTGCATAGCGTCTTTGGACCGTTGGGGCCTTTCCTCCACTCGGGACTGTCGAGCGTTCCACAGTCTGTGCAAACGTATTCCTCTGCGCTTTTCACTTTCTTGTGCTTCTTGTCGGCGTATGAATATCGTGCGTCAGCTTTGTCGATGGGAATGTGAATGCCTGCGTCGCCGCGAATCAGTGCCGGCGAAGTACCACCAGTTGATATGCCGTGGGATCTCTCGCCCTCGCGGTAGCGGAGCCCGGTCAACATCTCAATGGAGTCAACGTGCGAGGAGCCTTCGTAGCGGGCCATTTTGTCCCGTATAGAGTCTGGGCGAGCAAAAGCATTGGCCTCATCTAGTGCTTCGCGGGTGAGGGCAATGTTTGATACTGTTGGTTTGGCGGGCGGTGGCATGCCACCATAGTCGGGAAACTCTGGCCTGGCGCTCGTGGATGGAGATGTAGGCGGAAGGTCGGCTGAATTTGATGAAGCCCGGGAGCCTGCGACTCCGCCAGCCTGCTTGTGATAATGCTCTTGTTGCGCGTCCGCGTCCTCGGCTTCCTCGCGCTTCAATACTGCGATTCTGGCTTGGAGCCTGAAATTCTCAATCTTGTGCTCCAGGAATGAATCCAGGAGTTCGGAGGTTCGAGTTGGGTACGGCCGGGCCATCATGAAGAAGCCCCGGCAAAACCCTGTGTGACTCAAAGATGGTCCTGCGAGTTCGAGTTGAGTGATTTCGGTTGTGAGATGCGGATGGCCGTGGCACTCAAAGATCCGGTATTTGCCTTCAGCGTCGCGGAACCTGTGGAAAAAGCGAACAGAGTTCCCCGTAGCAATGCTCTCGTTGAATTCGCGAATGAAAAGGGAAGAGTCGTCGGGGTGGATGAAATCCGATATTGATTTGCCGATCAAGTCCTTTGGGTCGTGTCCGGTCAATTGCTTGGCAGAGGGTGAAACGTAGAGAAGTCGACCATCAGGAGTGAGAATATATACCAAGTCTTTGAGCTCCTCTAGTAAGCGCTGAGTCCAATTCTTTCTCCTCGTAAATTCGGTCAGGGTACTCGAGCTGTGAATATTTTGGAAGTTAAAGTCGGTAGGTAAAGGGCCAGCACCGATGCCATTAGAAGGCATTGAGCTGTCAGGGGTGTCAGGTTTACTCGAGCCATCCTGCATCAAGCTTGACTGCACGGAATCCATTGGATCATAAGGTGCAGGTTGCATAGAAGCCATCTCGAGGGACAAAGCGTCAGAGTAGACACTCATATCTGTGCCGGCAACCAGAGACGCATCTAGCATGGCTGGTTGGAGACTGAAGGAGTCCATCATAGGAGTTGGCTCGGGGTGGAACGTCCCCATTATGCACAAACGAAGCAGTGGTGGGTCTTATCCTCGACACCCGACTTCTCGGTGTACTCGGGACCAAGTTTTTTGTTTTCTTTTTCTCCCTGATTTTTGGGGGAGCTGTTGGTACCTGATCAGTGATCCCAGGGGCTCGCTGGAGCAAACAGGTCTCACCCACCAACTAGAAGCGCGGGGGAGGCTTGGTGAAGCGAAGCCAGCAATGGAGGGCTCGGGCGCATACGGAGCACACTCATGAACGGAAAATACAGCCGAGGAGGGGCCCCTGAGGGAAATGATCCAAGGCTCGAGATGATAGCGACGAGTTTGTGGTCTGATGGAACTCGATCAAACGATGAAACGATGAAACGCCGACAAGAATCAAGATCGCAAGGTGGCTGACACGATCAGATCTTGATTCTTCCCACTCACGTGCCTCGGCCAGGGCCACGGCCGACCACTTCCTGCCAAGACCACGTGACCAGGCGCGTGTGGGGGTTTCGGTTGAAACTCAAGGCAGCCGCGCTAGCTGCCGTGGGAGCCTTTCACGAATCACCATATGCCCGTCGCGTTTCTTCACCATGGATTCATGGCTCTTCTATGTGCGTAAATAGGCCCAAGGGCACTACCTTTGCCAGTCACATCTAGGCTTTGTCTTGCCCAATTGAGACCGCTTTGTACGTCCTTCATAAGTTGCAAAGTTCCTCTCCCTGATGACCGCCGCTTGACCTCTTGTTACCCTTGCCACGAGCTGCTTCTCATCAGATTGTCAAACTGGCTGTCCACACGCCTTAGCAAATATGTCTCGGCTTCACGTGTTGAAGATCTGTGGCATTCGGTCTTTCGACAACAACCAGGAACAGCATATCAAGTTTGAAACCCCGCTCACCCTCATTGTGGGCCAAAATGGTTCGGGAAAGACTACCATCATCGAGTGTCTCAAGTTCGCCTTCACCGGAATGCAACCCCCCAACACGAAAGTTGGCGGTGCCTTCGTCCATGACCCCAAACTGAACGGTGACAGCCAAGTCAAGGCGTCGGTTCAAGTCTCCTTCAAATCCGCCACGGGAGCGGCCGTGACTGTTTCTCGACGGCTGGAACTGAATGTCAAAAAGGCCACGCGCTCCTTGAAGACGCTGGAATGCTCGTTGGTCGTGAGCAGGCGGGGCGAGAGAACCGTCATGTCATCCCGGGTTGCCGAATTAGATTTGATCCTTCCAAAATACCTCGGCGTCTCCACCGCCATCATTGACAATGTCATCTTCTGTCACCAAGATGAAAGCTTCTGGCCTCTGAGTGATCCGACCACCCTAAAAAAGAAATTCGATGAGATATTTGAGGCACAGAAATATACAAAAGCGATCGAAAACATCAAGCAGATCCGGAAGAAGCACAATGAGGAACTGGGCAAGTATAAGATCCTGGAGGGGCATGCGAAATTAGACAAGGATCGAGCCCTGCAAGCCCAAAGAAGAAAGGAGGCCCTTGCAGATGAAATTGAGCAACTCCGGAAGAAGAGTGAGGAATTGGAGAAGAAAATCTCCGATGCTCGTCGGATGGCGGACGAGACTTGGAGAAAGGGCGAGGAATATTCCAAGGTCCTCGGAGCATTGGAGGGAAAGCGGATCGAGGCCCAAGGCAGACAGTCCACCATCGACGATCTCAAGCTGCACTTGGTGGAAGTTGCCGAGACGGACGAGTGGCTTCAGACAGCCTTGTCACAATTCCAAACCCGACAAGAGGAGTTGAAGGACGAGCTGAGTCAGAAGCAAGAGGTATACATCGAGCAACAAGACCAAATGAAATTGCTGGGTAAACAGCGGGAGGAAAAGGTGAAGTTGAAGGGTAAGTACGAACAGGAGAAGGAGGCGCACGAGCGTCATCTTGAAAGACGGAAAGAGATGGTGAGAGAAGCTGCTGCGAAACATCAAATCCGTGAGTACGAGTACTTGGACGATGACAGTCACGTCGAGGACTTTCTGGTCAAAATCAAGAAGATCTCCAAACATCAAAAAGAAAACCTTGATCGGGTACAGGTCGAACACACCGCGCAGCGACGAGATGCGCAGACCCTGATCAACAAACTGACCGAGCGAAAGTCGGCTCTCCGTGAGCAAAGAGCCACTGCGAGAAAGCAAATGGACTTGAATGACCGCGAAGCCGGAGAGTTTCAACGAAGAGTCGATCAGATCACGGTTGATGAGGGCAGCAAAGCAGTAGCCGAGTCGCGCATTGACGACCTTCAAAAAAAGTTGCAAAAGACACGTGAGGCTGCCGAAGCCGCCGACTGGGACAAGAAGATTCAGAATGCAAATGCAGAGCTCCGAGGCTTTGAGGAGATTAGCTCTAAACTGAGGGATGAAATGGTTCAGTCCTCAAACAAAGCGCAGGAGCTCGCCAAATTATCATATGCGAGGCAAGCTTTGAAGGACCAACAAAAGCGGCTTGACACCTTGTTGAATGCTCACAAGGACCGGATCACAGTCATTCTTGGGAACGGAACATGGTCCGCTGATACGATCGACAAAGCCCACCAGGATGTCCTCAGAAGCGCAGCGAATGAGGCTTTGACGGCTGAACGAGAAAGAGATGCGGTAAATCGAGAATTGGAGCAGCTACAGTTTAAGCAGAAAACCGTCCGCAAAGACCTCTCGCGCAAGGAGAACGAGGTGAAGAAATGTGAACAACAACTTCGCGCTGTTGTTGAGGATGGGCCCCAAGGCTATGAAGAAGCGCTGAAACAAGCGGAAGAAAACGTTAAGGAAGCCAGAGAGAACAGCTCCGGCTTCAGCGGTCTTCACGATTACTACCAGCAAGTTCTAGAAGCCTGTTCAGGAGACAAGCCAGCATGTCGCACTTGTATGCGGGGCTTCACGCTCGGCAGTAAAACATTGGCAGATTTTCAAGAGCGCATCAACAAGTTGATCGCGAAGACGAAGGCGCACGCAGAACAATCCGATCCCGAAGCGGCGGAAGCAGAATATAAGCGCGTGCTGGATCTCGGCGTTGTTCATCAAAGCTGGAAGAAGCTCGTTGACTCTGAAATTCCAGCTGCTACACAGGAGACGGCTGATCTGGATGCTCAGCGACAGTCGCTGCTGGCAAAGTTAGAGAATCATGACAAGAACGTGGTCCAAAAGCAGCAGGTCAAGCGTGATATCGAGTCTATCGGTCAAATAGTCTCGTCAATCAGCAAATGCGACAGCGAAATTAAATCGCTGAACACCCAGGTGGAGGAATTGGCTGCCAAACAGAGTCAACACAGCAGTACGCGGACATTGGAAGAGATTCAGGAGGAGTTGAGTTCAACTGACCAAAAAGCTCGAGGCATACAAAATATCATCAACCGACTGAGAACGGAGCAGGAGCAATCTCGTGCAGGCATCTCCACCATGGAGCTTGAACTACGCGACCTCAAAGGCAACTTGAATGATATAAATTTCCAGCTTGACAAGAAAGCCGCTCTCGCAGCCCGGGTGGATGAGTTCCGAGCGAACAACCAAAAGCAGCAAGAGGTCATGGAGAGTCTCACCCAGGAAATTGAGAAGCTCGACCCTCAGATCGCAACCGCCCAGGCCAAATATGACGATGTTGATCAGCGTGCAACCGCCAAAGAACGCGAAATGTCAGCAGAACTGTCCAGCTTGAGCGATACCGTCAACAATCTTGATATTCTAAACGACCAGATTCAGGCCTACGTGGACCGTGACGGGCCGGACCAACTTGGACGTATCAACCAGGAGCTCAAGAATCTGGAGCAGGAGCTGGACAATCTCCAGGGTGAGCAGAGCCGACTCACGCGCGAAATCAACAAGACGAACGAACGCATCAGGGATGGGGATTCGACACGAAGACGGTACTCTGACAATCTCCGATATAGACAAGAGAGCCGGGCCCTGGCACGCCTGCACGAAGAAATTGAGGAGCTTGAAGGCCACAATGCGGAAGTTGATCGCGACCGGTTCCAACAGGAATCGCAAAAGTACAGCACGGAATACAACAGACTATCCACGCTGCAGGGCGGACTCATGGGTGAAGTAAAGTCCAAGGATAATCAGCTGTCAGAAATCCTGGCGGACTACCAGACGAATTTTAAGGACGCGCCGCAGCGGTATAAGGAAGCCCACATCAAGGTGGAAGCAACCAAAGCAGCTGTAGAAGATCTGGGACGATATGGGGGTGCGTTGGACAAGGCCATCATGAAATACCACAGCCTCAAGATGGAGGAGATCAACACCATCATCGAGGAGCTGTGGCGCAAGACGTATCGTGGCACCGATGTCGACACGATTATGATTCGAGCAGAGAATGAATCAGGGCGAGGCAATCGATCTTACAACTATCGCGTGGTCATGGTCAAGAGAGGTGCAGAAATGGACATGCGAGGCCGCTGCAGTGCTGGTCAGAAAGTCCTTGCAAGCATCATCATCCGTCTAGCCCTAGCGGAGGTGTTCAGCACCCATTGTGGACTGATTGCACTGGACGAGCCGACAACGAACCTCGACCGCGACAACATCGAAAGTCTTGCCCAATCGCTGAAGGAGATCATCGAGTACCGACAGCAACAGTCCAACTTCCAGCTTGTGGTAATCACCCACGACGAAGACTTCTTACGACAAATGGAATGCTCAAAATTTACGGGGACCTATTACCGAGTGTCGCGAGACTCGGCCCAAAACTCGATCATTGAGCGACAAAGCATCGCAGATGTTTTGTGAGCTTCATCCAGGCAATCACTCGTTGCAATGAAAAATCGGGGGTTGCCATGTGCATCGTTATCATTCGCTGGGTAGGTCGGGTACCTGGCAGGAGATTTTCATTCGGCGGGCTGGCGAAATATTATTTTCCCGAGACCGTGTCACGGTACGTGAAACAAGTGACGTGGCTTTGGGGCGTGTTCGAAGGGGATTGTCAACAAACCAAAAGGCCCAGGTGCAGCTGGGTACGTGAGTTTGTTGAGCCGATCGAGAGTGAGACAGTGTTTTCTGAACCGAGGAAGGGGATGGGCATATGCATTGCTTTTGGCAGAGGCTCGACACGTGAGAATAGAGTGCCAGAGCTGGATTTGTGGAAGGCTTAGTGCCAGGCACCCGCCAGGAGACAAAGAGTGGACCATGGGTGCCAGTGGCTGGCGCTGCAAGGGACCACGAACAGGAAGGCGAGGGGGGCCAACAATACGAGGACCCAAGACAAACCCGACCGTAAGCGAGACACAAGCGCCTTGCCTTCCGGGGAGCTGCGAGACGCACAAAAGCAATGCGAACTTCGGAATACGTGGCTCATTTTCTAGCAGAACAGCTCGAATAGGCGACAGACAATGGCTCAGATGCCATCACACATTTTCCGGCTCGCCGGGAAGGGCGGTGAACTGTCTACACATATGCACCCGAATTGTTTGCTGGTCACCAGACTGCCTGCCCCTTGACGCGAAAGACAGTGGTTGGTCGTCTGAAGTCATGGCCTCGGGGATCGACAGCAAACCAACCAGCTCAGCAGCGCGCTCCATCAGGCTTTCCCCCCAGCATTCTCCATCCTGGTCAACATGGACAATTCTGCTGTTTTGCCACACGCGCTCGGGCCTTTGGGCTTCCAACGTCTCGATTCGGCTTCTGCCTTTGGTCTCGCTTGCGCTGACTCTCAAAGCCTCATCTCATGGCTATTTGCCCCGAACCAAATTCAGTCACTTCGACCCTTTGCGTTTAGACTTCCCCACTTCCGAGAGTCTTGTTCGCCAGGGCCTTCAGAGCGGATACCGAAAGAGGAGACAGCAAGAGGGTCCTTTAGCTTCTCTCGAGCTCCCTCTCTGCTACCTCGCCTCCTCCTTTCCCCTCCGGCATGCCTTGCTACGTGCATCTTGATGGTACCTCTGCGACGTTGACTCTGCCATCAGCATCGACCTCCAATCATGTCACCTACATGTGGCCGAGGCGCCAGCCAATACCTGGATTTGGATTCGACTCGTTTTCTGTCCACCGCTCGCTCCAGCAGACAACCACTTATCCCAACCATTCAGCCCACGGGTCGCGAGCTCCAGAATATCCTATACCCACATTCACCAAGTCTTGTCCAAGCATACAGGATGTCTACTTTCAAAGCTCCGTTACGTGACAAAAATTCCACTACAATCGTGATCTAGTCCCTGTCGAGGCTCTTCTCCGTCATCTTGTGTGCCCACTCCTCCACTTTCGTCGAATACTCCTCAACGATCACCACCATCGGCACGTTCTTCTCCCAGCCACGTCTGCAATCCGCCCTTCAGTCCATGTCTTTCCTATACCACATGATATGCGATCGTGACCTCTTCCAACGTCTTTCCCCTCTTTTTCCTTCCAGCACTTTACTTTGAGCCAATCAGGTTACTGACATAGTCGTCATTGCTTGCTTGCGGGCCTGCCTCACTGCATATTATCCCGGGGTCCTGTACGATAAAGGGCCTACGGTTGCACAAGGTTGCTTGACCTCAGTTCTGTTTCCTTTGTGCCAGCCTAGGGCAGCAAGCGATACTTGGGCCGGACTTCAGCCAGTTGTCAACTTCAGTCATTGTTCTCAACACCTTGAAACTGAATCATGGGCGCTGGGCGTGCTTTCCTCGCAGCTCTCCTGGCTGCTGCTGCTGCTACCGCGTAAGTCTTGCAAGGTCTGTTGTTGTTTCTCACCCGTATTGATGGCTCTCTTCAGCTCCCCTTTGAACAAACGGCAATTCACGTATGGTTCAACTCCAGTTCGCGGCGTCAACATTGGTGGCTGGCTAGTCCTCGAACCCTGGATAACGCCATCGATATTCCAACAATTCGGAGGCAGTGTGGTCGATGAGTATACTCTATGTCAACAAGCACCAAATGCTGGCGACATTCTTCGCAGCCACTGGGACAGTTGGGTCTCTTTGAGCGACTTTCAGAAGATCGCAGCAAATGGTTTCAACACAGTTCGGATCCCGATAGGGTACTGGGCGTTCCAGAAGTACGAAGGGGATCCGTACATCCAAGGGGCGGCAGACTACCTCGAGACTGCCATTGGCTGGGCTCGTCAGACCGGCCTGAAGGTTTGGATCGACCTACACGGTGAGTTTGCCGAAAGACTTGTAGGACGTCCAACTCATTCACTCCCTAGGTGCGCCTCTTTCGCAAAATGGGCAAGATAATTCAGGTCAACGTACCTCGACGCCCGGCTGGACAACAGGCGATTCGATTAGTGCAACGCTCAGCGTCATCAGCCAAATATCCCAGCAATATGCAAGCTCGGCATATGCCGACGTGATATCAGGCATTGAACTTGTAAACGAACCGTTAATGAGCGCCCTGCCCGGCGGACGGGGCGCCACACAGAGCTATTACGAGTCCGGATTCGGAGTTGTTCGCCAAACGGGCCAGACGGCCGTGATCATCCACGACGGATTCACCAACCCATCTTCCTGGAACGGAGTCCTGACGGGCCAGGGCAGCGGCGGGGCCATCGTCGACCACCACGAGTACCAAGTCTTCACCGACGCCGAGGTCGCCCTGACGCCCGAGCAGCACGTCTCGTACGTCTACACCTCGGCCAGCTCGTGGGCGCAGGGCCAGGACAAGTTTGTCATCTGCGGCGAGTGGACGGCCGCCATGACCGACTGCGCCCCGGCCATCAACGGCTACGGCATCGGCGCCCGCTACGACGGCACCTACCCCAGCTCCGCCTACGTCGGCTCCTGCGCCAACATCAACTTCATCGACCAGTGGTCCGACTACAACAAGTCGTCCACCACAGACTACATCCGCGCCCAGCTCGACGTCTACGAGAACCAGATCCAGGGCTGGTTCTTCTGGAACTTCAAGACCGAGGCCGCCGCCGAGTGGGACCTGTTTCGGCTCATCGATGCTGGCGTCTGGCCTGCCCTCAGCTGAGCGGGGGGGGGGAGGAGAGTTGGATCCACCATGACCATTGACCACCGCACCCTTACCCTGATCGCGGTGGGAAAATGACCTCGGACTTTGATCTGACTTTGCAGCTGTACCGCGAAATATGCCACCGTAGGTATGCACGTTATGTACCCGGCCTACGCAGTCACCCTTCTTAATAAATGAATGAATGCATGAATGAATGAATGAACGGATGAAACAGAAACAACAAACGCGGTTAGTTGATTGGTTGGTTGGCTGGAAAGGCAAATGAGTTTGATGTTTTCGTTCCGTCGTCGAAAAGCGATGTGTTACACCGCCCGACCGGCCGGCCAGCAGCAGCGGAGATGTATCAGATGTTGCATCGGATCATATTCCATCACATCACATCACATCACCTTATATCAGATTCCATCCCATCTCAATCACGATTCGGGATGAATGAGGAGCAAGAAGGATCTTCTAGAAGTTTCGCACCAAAGAGTTTCTGGGGATTTTCATCTAACATCATGGCGTGATGACCTGCATTTTTCCTGCGCCAAAACGACATTCCTTCTGTGTCGTCGTGCACATTTTCCTCTGCGCGTAACCCACAATCGCTTAGCGAGATATCAAAATGCACAGGTCCCCGAGCGAACTTTAGCATTCAACCAAGGCCCCGTCTTCATGGCTGCATTCATTCAATGGCAAATCCCTCACTCCGTGCCTTAATCACCTTTTCAAAGCTCACCTCCTCATCCAACCCTCCCTCTAACAGCCTCACCCCCGTCACATCCACGTCCACAAACGTCCTGCTCATCTCGAAAGACACAGCCATGGGGAAGAACTCTGCATCATCATCAGCCTGGGCCTCGAACTCGAAACTGCCCGAGCTATTCTCTGCGTCGATGACGCCAATGGTCCATTCTAATGAGTCGCCTGTGACTTGATATACCGCATCGAAAGACGAGACACTGGGTTCTGATGAAGAGTAGGGGATGGTGAGGGTGACATCACGGAGTGTTGTTGAGTCAGGATTGGTGAGCTCGTACTCTATTGTGATAGTATAGGTGCCGTCGGACGAGGACTTGTTCACCCACGCTGTCAACGTTAAAGGAAGAATGTCGGTGCTGTGGTCGGCGGGGGCGGTCGCGCGCCACCTTAAAACACCGATGCTGTTGTTAGGAGGGAACCGCTTGGAAGTGTCTTTCAACTGGATGACTTTTTGGCTGGTGAAGAGATTCTTGTCCACGTTGGGGTGTGTGCGGAATTGGGCTCTCAGAGGCCCTTCGACAGCTTGGACGGAGAGGGCGAGTTTGGTCAGCGCTGAATCGGTAATCTTCAATTGCAAATCCCCTTTGACCTCAAAAGACTTCAGGGCGCCTTCCCGCGAAAGTTTGGCCGATAGCGTCTCCGTGATGGAGATCATAATAGGCGTAGTAGGAGAGGACAGTGTTGTGTCGTGTGTGCTCGCGGTAGGTAGCCCCCGGACAGGCAGTTCCGCCGAAGGTTCGGCTGCGGCCACCTCTTCTGTGCCTATCTCCTGCTGAACTTGCGCAAAGGCATTTGAAGTCTTGGATTTCTTGCCCAGTTGCATACCCTTTGTGGAGCGTGCAGTGAATTTGTTGGAGATCTTGTTCTTCTCGGCTTCGTAGGTGTCGTACGTGGTTTCTGGCCGGGTCGGGGGCGTGTAGACAGGTTGCTGAGGCATTTTGGGAGCGATGCCGCGTCCGTACGCAGCAGAGCGCGCAGCCTCTTTCCGCTGAAGTTCGAGTTGTTTGGCCTTGCGCTTCCGCTCCTCTGACGCTTCCAGCTCTTTATTGCGGGCGATGATTTCTTGAATTCTCTCTTCGTGGGACTCCATCTCGAGGAAGGTCTTGATTTGGCTCAGGGAGAGGTTTTCCCTGTAGCCCATTGTAACGAGCTCGTCGAAGGCGGAGAGAAGTTCAAATGCATTGCGCAGGATTTCTCGCTCCTCGGGTTTCTTGCAGATGGATGTGACGACCTGGCCGAATAGGTGCAGACTGTCAATGTCTTGGAGGATATTGGACTGTTTGTTTGTGATGAGGACAAGGTACAATTCGTCAAGAGGCTGGTAGACAAATCGCACATTCTCCTGCTCGACCGTTGTGTGTTGGGTGGAGGAGTCGGCGAGCTTGGGGAACGAGGCGAGGAGGGCTTCGATGCGAGATTTGGGAATCTCCCTGAATGAGCGAGAGAGCAAGGGCTTGCCGCCTCGCGTACATATCGAAGCAGCAAGAACAACCATGATGGAGGTGGCAGGGATTGTGTTCGTTGGTGGATGGTGACGGGAGAACTTTGGGAGAAGTGAGGCCAGATGTGTATATCGCAGACGCCAAGCCTCGGATTGAGGAAACGACGTGGCCTGAATTCAGTCTTGAGCTGCGCGCATAAACAACGGGTACAAGGTTACGAGACGTGAAGTCATTGCCTAGTGCTATTCCTGTCGTCTTTCTAGGGCTTGAGGTGGCGAGGAGCACCCCTCTGGTTACAATTTGATGTGTCGGTCCCCATCATCGACATACACTGTTTGGGTGAAATGATGCACGCACGTCGATGGCAATGACAAACGCAGCACAACACCGAGGGAACAATCTGACAGCAGAGCCACAGCACGCAAGATCGCAAAGGCACCTATGTTGAATCAATATCTAAGGCACGCGAAAGGGACGAACTCCGAACATGGTACGCAGATACGCCAACGACTCCCGACCGACGCCGCTTCAAAGACGACCTGCAGCTACTGGAACAGCGCATGTCTCTGATCTTTTCCCTTTGTCCGACTTGTTATTCTTCTGAGACACCACTGCATCTTCCCCGGTCTCTAATGTTGTGGATTGACACACTCCAGGGATATCTCGTGTCGGGTCATGTCATCTTGTGGACGCTCTTTGCTCGTACCCAGCAATGCGCATGGACGGAGCCTCCACTATGCCTCGAAAAGCCTATTCGTACCGAGGCGGCGGCGCATTGTTGTAGGAGCTAGCTATGCTCTCGGGTCGCTGGACCGCCTCGAAGTCATTGTCCCAACGCGTGACCGGAGCCCTTTCGTCATTGCCGAGCAGAGTCTGGTTCTGATCTGGGGTCGCCTCGTACCCGTTGCTGTTGTAATATGGGTGTTCTTTCTTCGTCGGCGGATTGAGGCCTGAAGGGTCAGAATTGGCGGCATCTTCTTCCGAGGGGACTTCCCCATCGACATTTGCCGCTTCTTTGGCGCGCTGCCTCCGTGCCATGATACGGAGTACGATTGCAAGGAGGCCGAAGAAAATACTGATGCTGCTGAGAACGATGGTGACTATCAACCACGGTTTACTCTTCTTGGGGTCTTTGGCGTTGTCCACGACCACGATGTGAGAGATCCTTCTTATCTCGAGAAACATTTTGTGTAAGTTGGATTTTGACGTGAGTTGGGCAACAGCGCCGGCTCGAGCGCAACAGCTGGAGAGCTATTCCCCGCGCAGATGATTGATGGTTTGGTCGTCGTCAACCTCGATTTGTTATGACTGCAAAAATGCAAGCTCTTCAATTGGACACAGTCTGGAACTTGAAATGCCTATCGGCTATTGAGATAAGAAAGGATCACAGAGACGTCTGCTGGGAGCAAAGAGAAGAATGGAAATTGTAGACAACCAACTCAGCAGTGAATGGACGAGGGAAAAAGAGACGGTGCTGCGCCATGCCGGAGCTGACAAGCCACCCGCGGCTACAAAAACATAATGGGATCTAGAGGACCTGTCTTCGCAATCATACGACATTGTCGAGCTGAACCAAAGGGGAAGATAGGGGCCCGTTGTCGACAGCAGCGTTGGGCAGATCCAGAGTCCGCAGGAATTGCCCTCCCTGAGGTGAGTTGGGGGCTAGCGCAGCGCCTGGTACGAGTAGGGCTTTGGCCGAGCGGACTTCATCTCAACACAGCTCTGGCGAACCATTAAAAGAGGGTCTCGTCCTACCCCGACATTAGGGTAATAGAACTAATCTTGGCTGACAGACGGTAGGGTTTGTGTCCTTTACGCTGGTGGACGTGTACGAGTCCGCAGAATGAGCACCAATACTCGTAGTCATACGGGGCTAGCCTATCGAATTCGGAATATGGAGGGTGGACAAGTATTCCAATCCCGACCAATCAGAATAAGGAGTCGGCTTCGTCATCCAGGAATCGCTTCCACAGCAAATCCTCTAGATCCTAGACCCCAATCCTAATGATCCTGCTCTCCTAGTAATTTCGCCTGGAGACCGGACCTCCTCGTACCATAAAGGATTCTGGAGGTACGGCTGAAAGGACGAAAAGGAATTTGTCGGTCACCTCTGCGATGCTCCATGGCCATGTGCCCTATCGAAGGGCGGAGCCAAGAGGGCCGAGAAATCGAGAAGTTCTTGATCCACGACTTAGAGGAGTTCAGAAGCTTGGCAAGTTCTTGTGTTCCAAAAGACAAAGACCAAGCAGTTCTTGCTCTCACGATATATGAGGCCCTGGCGACCTTGGCAGGCAATGGCGGGTGGTGGTCGATGCTTGCAGCCGAAAGACGCCGTCCATTGCGTTGACCGACGGCACAAATGAGCCGGCACACATCCAACCTCAAGCAGAATCGTAATGGTATTCGGGGCTGAGTCTAGAGCTGGAAGGCTCTGGTCCGCCATTGAATTCTACTACTTCATAACCGAGGAAGGATGGAGGGAGCCGGCAGCGTCCAATGAGAAATGGCAATTTGAAGACAAGAAAAGGCGAAGAAGACCTTGTGATCAGCCGCAGTAGCCGAAGCACACACTGGGAGTTTCGTTGCAGAGTGTCCAGCTGAGTGAGTGCAGACCAAACGGTACCGATGGAGTACGAGGTACACAGTATGAGATAGAGGGGCCAATGGCTACCAGCAAAGTGGTTTCGCAAAACCCCGCAACTGATTGCTTATGGGCTTCTGGTAAGGTCGTTCTGGATCTGGATAATCGTCCCTGGCAGTTGACTTGAGCTGCTCAGAAAGACGCGTGAGGCGAGAGCGAATAGACCCAAGTTGTATTCCGATCCGCGATTCTGCCGTCCTCACATCTCCAAGAGGCAAACTCAAGACACGAGCTTCCCCAAATTTCAACGTCTTCAACTTCGCATTTCGATCTGAGGCTTCAGTGGGACGCTATAGGTTTCGAGCCATTTCGCAATGGGCCGGAGGCGGTACCGCTGGTAGCCAGACGTAACAGCTACAGAGAGGATGATGCTCTCGACAAGACAGATGCCTATGATGCCGCCGCCAATGCCAGTCGAGACGACCACCGCGTTACAATCCATCATCGTGTAAGTCGCCATAGTTACGGCCATGGAAGCCGAGTACCTACTATACTAGGTAGTGAACTCAGCGGGCAACTTGAGATCTGTGACGATGGGAAGTGCTTTCCTCCCAGGCGTCCTCCTCGGCGACATGCTGTTGAATCTCACCCTCGCAATTTTGAATTGACAGACACGTGTCGCAACGCGTATCGCGTATCGCGTGGCGCCTCTCAGTTCCCACAATAGACGCACCGATCACACCGCAGCTTCGCTTCTGAGCACACCGCCCACCTATCTTGCTTTGTGAAACTGTGAAGTCAAATTGTCATTTACTTTCATCTCTCATAGTGGCTTCTGCGAGCCATGTGCTTATGAATATGACCTCCATACCAGCAGCAGAACAGGGTTCGGATGGCCCTCAGAAACGGAAATGCAAGGCCCTGGGACTTGCAGACAATAAACCCTGTCAATCTGATGTGACATCCGTCGATGGCCACTTTTGTCATTTCCATTCCAGGCAATGCTATGGTATGTAAGCGTGCCTCGATGGATCTTGCACTGTGCGTCTGTTCTGACGTCTGTGATTGACTCCAGGCTTGTACAAGGGTTATAAACGCCGCAATGCTCAACTTGATGCCCTTTCAGCGGCTCCTCCTGCCTACCTGGCAGATCGTGGGACAAAATTGGCAAATGAGGATTTTGCGGCACTTGAAGATGAAGCCATCCTCGAAGAGGTTCATCATCATCTCTTCAAGAGGCACGCTTTCCTGGATCGCGTTATCAAGGCTCGGAAACTTCACCACAGTCATTTCTATGCCCAGACCATGGATTATGGTCATGAAAAGTATCTCAATACACTCATCACGCAGAAATTGACAGTCCAGAAAGCTCTGGAACGTTTAACGCAGCGCCTGGTTGAGGTCCTCTACCAGAAACGGAAATGGTACAAATGGGCGCGAGAGTGCCAGGAAGAGGAAGAGAAACAGCGAGAGAACGAACAGAAGAAGATCAAACGTGAAGCGGCCCTTTTCCGTCGGCAAGCCAAGAGACTTGAAGCTCGCATGCGAGACCTTCGGGCAAAGGAGGACGAGAGAAGACAAGAAGAGTACCTACAGTCCGCCTACAAAGAGAGCCTTGCCAATCAATCAGCCGAGTCAGATGACGAAGCTTGGGACCCCATTGAAGACATCATGGAAAATGAGCACGATACCTATGTCGAGCTAATCAAGCACTTCCTATGGCTGGAGCTCCGGCCCATGCCAGACCCGCCTTCAGAAAGCAGTATCTGTTCAAAAGATGCGGTAGAGGAAGAATGCGAGCAATTAGCGAGTATCAAGGACATTAAGGAAACCCAGAACTCTGCAAACGAATCACCAGCGTCACAGAACGTAAAACCCAAAAAGAAGGCCAGGAGCAAAAAACCCAAAGACCACATTACCACGGATGGCCTAGCGGAGACTGAGCGTATCGATGCTGTTCCTTCGAGAGGAGTAAACCACATCCGACCAATACTGGTCCCCACCCAAGGTGAAAGAAAGGGGCAAGAAAACGAACCAGACATGGCGAAGATCGAAAGCCGGGAGGACATCCGGACGAGACTCCTCGAAGGCACAAAGCCCATCAGCGGTAGTCTGATGTACCTGGATGCTTCTGGACGGAGGCAAGATTATGAGCGAACAGAGCCAATAGCCGCCCTAGAGGTAGACCGACTGCTGGACGAGATCGCCGAGGTAAAGAATTATCTGTTTTGCCGTCTTCTACTTGGAAATGCCGTTCTACTCCCTCTCGCTATGAAAGCAGACACCGTCTGCGACTTTCTCGCAGATCCGGAAGTCAGAACTTGTGATTTACGAGATTTATGTCTGAGGCTAGAAAAGCCCCAGCTACAGGAGATCAGGGACGCCTGTGCAGATTTTTGTCGCAAACACGACGACCAAGACGCCGTCGCACGTGCGGACGATGAGTCAAACCAAGATGAAGACAGCGAAAAGGAAGATGGCATGTGGGATTTTAAGTTGCGCGAGAAAAGGCACAAACATCACCTACCAAAGATCTGGCAGTCGAATCGAGAGAAAGCTATTCGGACCGCACAACCGCAAACCTCAGCTGCGTTAGAGGAGATGCTAGACCAAGCCGAAAATCTCGATGCAGACCACGGCACCCGCATTGATTTCGGCACAATCGATGCAGAAGGGAAATTGCATAGAGGCAACTTGCGAGTCAAGATCTGTGGGCACTACATTTACAACTACCCTTATCAAGGTGCAATGAAACGAGGCGGTTGGCTGCATTTCTGCATCATGGCAAGGGAATGCAGTCTTTTCAAAGCCGTCGAGCTGTGCAAGTCATGGGACGAATTCTTCGAGTTGAGTGTCTTGACGCTCTACCACTACTTTCCGTCCCCTGAGTGGCTCCTTTGGGCAGGAGACATGGTGAAACAGCAATATCTCCAAGTTGTAAGTGTTTCTCCTCGACTCTACACGTTGCTGAATAACGAGAACTGGACGGTAGACCGAGCACCATTTATCAGTTGATAGCTACTGACAAGCTGTAGGGCTTCTTCCCGTATTTCATCTTCAACGAGGCAGTTGAGCGCACCGCCAGTCAACGTGGACGTAACCAGGTAGGTCGTCGCACTCATGCTTCGTCTGAGATGAGAAATTTCATCTGTGCGCATATGAAACGCAATGATCCAGTCACCCGTCGATTCATCCAGTACACCTCAATGCAAACCACAAGAATGTTGATCTTGGTGAGGGACGGAAAGACTGGGCGTATTATTGTGACGCCACCGAAGGACGAACTATGGCTTATCCGAACTAAGCATGGATATGGCAGGGAGGCGAGAACTGAATGGGACACTAAACGATATGTTGGACCATTATTCTTTGAGGAAATGGAGAGATTTCGGAGTTTCAGCCTTGGTTTCGACGACTACTATGATATCTATGTTTGGTCCACAGAACCGGGCACGGACTGGCAGATGCTTCATGCCTGTGTCATTGAGGTAAGGGCCGTTGGCCTTTTTTGAACGCGACAGCTAATGCCGGCCAGATGCTGTACAAGGCAAACCGGGTTGTACATGCTGAGGACCTATTGGCCTCAATGGCACCAATTTTGAAGACTCTGACTCGAGATAAAGACGCACAACGCGCGCGAGACATTCAAGAAGATGAAACGGCTCAATCAATCTGGGATGAAATACGCAGCGCCTCCAGGTTCGAGTGGCGGACACCGGATGCTAATAAATCTACCGAGATGCCAAAACATTTGGCATACGGCGAAGCGGATGCTCTCGAAGACGACATCCTCTTCCCAGATGACGTTTCAAGCTCCTCCAGCAGGAAACTCTTCAAACCCATCGAGAACAGCATAACCAAGTTTGAGGCAGGTCAGATGAAGGACTATGTCATGAAACAGTTTCTTCAATGCGGCGACTTCAGCGACAATGAGTCCGATGTTATGGACACGGACTATATCAAGGAGGATGACGCTGCTGAGATGTCTGATTGCGGGAGTGATGGGTGAGTGTTCCACTGAAGTCATTATTTCATTCATCAGCTACTTCGTGGGAATTAACATGATATTCTCGACTCTAACAATGTCCAGATCCTCACAATCTCTATCTGATGTCCTTCCGCACCACAACGCGGTCCTGAAGATAATGCAATCATTCGGATCTGCGCCCACAATGGAAGACTTGGATGTGGAAGAGGCATTCCTGATGTACATTGATATGTATAAATCCAAAGGTAAGGTCCACAATAAGACGTTGTGACTACCCGTTAGATATACGATCTACAGGCTCTGACTCGCCATCAACTCCACCATATCAGGGGCTTGAAGGAGTTGCTAACTGCTCATAGTCTTCAAAGAAGCATGGCACAGATGCGATCTGGAACCAGGCTCTCGGGACAGCTGGCGTGACTACATTTCGACTCGTCATGACGCTCTAAGCGATCTAACGCTCTTCAATGAAGCGTACCTGTTCTCCGCACAGACACTCAGGTACCTGGAATACCATCCAGAAATTCACCCTCGCGTGATGACGGATATGCACCGAGCTTGCACTGTGGTCATGCTTTTCAGCTCCAAAGCCTCTTCGTTCCTTGCAAGCAAACTCGGTGACAAGCATAGAGACTCCAAACTCCTCGATCAAAAGGGACGCTCAGAGCAGGTCCCCAACCGTCGAAGTTGCTACAGCTGCAAATATCGAGACGCCTCTTTCTACAAAGCATTCGACGAAGCAGTTCAGGCATGCCGCGCCAAGGTCTCGGAGTATCGATACGATGAGGTTCCTGCCGAATGGGACATTTGTATCCGCCCTAAACTCGCACAATGTATGTACCGCTGGGATCCTTCTCTGCTGATGCACCTGTACTGACAAAACTTCCCAGTATTCAAGCATGGTGTGATTGGTGTTTCATATACTCCAGAGGAGGATATTATGGGCGCTGCCTTTGCAGCTAGAGAAGGCGGACGGCCTTTGGATCTTTTCGTGGACTACCGACCCTCCGTGTCTGGATACAAATTGCCAAAGCACATGGTCAGTCCCTATGCTATCAGCATCGACTCATTGCGCGAGGAGGCTCGACAATTTTCTGCTTCACATTCGGCGGCCAGATTTGCATTGCTCCGCCTGTGGTCGACACCTTATTTCTACCCATTCATGATCGCTTGGGAGAATCGCCCATGGCACGCCTTTATCGACTCCATTGGTCGGGCCTGGGAGTGGAAGTTCATGCCCACGGATATGCCTTACTCGGAACACAGCGTCCACTTCAACATGACTGAAAGATTCAGACCTTTCATGGCCAAATTTGGAAATGGGAACAAGCTCAAGGTCCGGAAGGATGTCGTTCTTGTGATGGGAGAAGACGAAGAGGAGCTCTTGAAACTCGCATCTGCGGCCACCTTCATTGTGCAGACGCGGCCTTGGCGGCTGGAGATCGATTTCTGCAAAAGCTTTGTCAATATCGATGTCGAGTTCTTGAGTGGTCTGGACGATGCTTGGTGGACTTGAGAGCAGCAATACCTCAACCACAGCGTGGTGTGATCATGGGCTTCAACGTGTCTCTTATCGAGATTTCCGTTCTGCATCTCTTTCTTCACCAAGATGGCGTAAAGTCATGTGGGCTATTCCATATCAGAATCTTACATCCGATAGGCGTCGACCAAAGAATCAGGCATACCGCACTTCATTTCTCCACGTAGCTGAGACACTGCAAGATGGTCCCGGGAAGCCACTCAACACGTCCTTCCTGGGCACTCGAGCACGCCACGACAAGCATGTAGTCCTAATAGTCTCGATATGGCACCAGAGCGTGTAGAAGCTTATGATCTTGACTTTCAACCTCCATTTATGATGCTGACGCGAGACCAGTTCATTGCGACTCATCTCCTTGTGCGTGAGCCCAGAGGCTGCGGCGGCGAGTTTGTTGAAAGAGGAGCGCAAACAGTGCAAACAGTGCAAACAGGTTCAAATCTTGGATGACACTAATCCCCTTATGGACTGATGCTTGGCAGGCAGGATCCAACTGCAGTGACCTCGACTTGGGAGTCCTCACATCCTGATGCCTTCGCGTCTTGTTTTTGCTCCTTGACTCATCTACGAACACTGGGAATTTTTAAAAAGATCGGCAATCATAACTTCTGAGATCATGCTCTCAACTTGTGACCTCGCCTGATTTCCCTCCCTCGCTCCGAACCTAAATGAACTTCGCTGCCGCGCTCCCTTCGACTTATCACCCTGGATCAGTCTGCCAGCGCAACCAACCGCCACAACCCTCAGCTCAATAACAGACAGAATTTTCAGCCGCGCAGAGAGTAAAAGAATACGGAAAACTTTGGTTCGCTGCGTAGCACTGCGGTGTTCCTGCTACTCTTCGCGATGGCTGCGATTCCTTCATTTGCCTTCCCAGACATGGACGCGTCGCAGCTTGATGACAAAATGGACGTAGCCTCCTCACCTTTTCGACAGCCCGACGATATTGATATCGACCTCGACTCTGTCCGTGATCCTTCCGTAATTGGCTCCCCCCACGACGACATGGTTGATGACCCTGTGGAACCTCTGAATACCGAGCCCGACGTTATGGAAGACCAACTCGATGAGACACTGCCGGATGATGATATGAATGATGAACAAAACGTATCGATGTTAACTGAGCAACCTGACCCGGACTACAACATGGATGCCTCTATCGAAGGAGCTCAAGGTGATGAAGATGAGGATATCTTGTATGAAGACGAGGAAGATATCGGTGCGGTCGTACAAGATATTGAAGTAGGTGCCGAGCACAGCGCATATGAAGATCAGCCGCAAGACTACGAAGAGGTGGAAGCAGACGTCGTTTTAGAAGAACCTGGAGACCAACCTGGACAACAAGACCAGACCGATATAGATACTAATCAAGACAAGACTCTCACCGACGACACAAGCCCTGTTGTCACAGCAGATGACGCCGCCCGAGGTCAAGATGAAACCCAGGCTTCGAACGCTGAGATACCGGATACGTCCCGAGAAGATGGGGCTGGCCAAGGCGAAACGGACCAAGCTCCTGAACAAGCGCAAGGTGAGCAGCGTGACCCTGCTGCCGACGACCTAGAACCACATCCAGAGGCTGAAGCCGGTAATCATGCTTTCTCCCCTGATGAAGATGGTCGTCCTGCGGCTGAAAACCAGCCAACTACCGAAGCAAATGAAGCCGAGCCCCAAGACCAGCATGAGGAGACGGCCAAGAACGAAGAGGACAAGGCAACTCCAACCGTTCACTCTGTAACCCTTGTTTACCTGGAAGAGGAAATGTCGCTTTTCCCGCCCATGCTCGGCGATGCTTCGAGCGTGTATTTCCTGCCTGATGCTTCCTTGGCCTTCGAGCCTCTGGACAAATTGCTCGGAGCATGCCGTGAGATTTTGACCGGGACGCTGGATCATCATGATGAGCTTGTGCTTGACGTGCCTGGGTTAGGTCTGCACATTTGCGAGGATTCCAAATATGCTGCTCAAATTACGCTTGCCCAGATCCTGGACGTCTATCTGCAGCTCTGCAATAACAACGCAGGCCAAGCGGTCCAACCTCTGTACTGTCACCTGAGCAGCCGAGTGAGCCTAGCATCGCAATATGCCTACCTCTGCTCTGCGGGAGCTGAAGGCAAGACCTATGCTGAGATAGCTGCCGATCATGCGGAATCTCCGGAGCTGGAAGGAGATGATGCAGGAGAAGCCAGTCACTATGAAGAACCTCAAAATGAAGGCGATCTCTTACCTGCCACAGAGGAAACAGAGGCTGTTGCAGCAAGCACACACGACCAGCCGTCCACAGCCCATGTCGATGACACAGATACCCTTGGTCAGGAAGACCATGGGGGGGAGGAGCTCCTTTTCGACCGTGCCACCCGGGCCACTGTGCCCGCAGCTAGCGATGTGGATCGGCCCGAAATCCTTGCACTCCCAGAAGCGCCTGAGACAGCTGAACAGCTAGAATTGCATGCTAAAGCTGATCAAGATGGTGAGCCTGAGTACCTGTATGACGAAACTCAAGAGCCCACAGATAATGCAACTGGGCAGGAGCTGCGTCCTGAGGCTCAGGATCAACCGCACGAGGATCAAGAGCATGCATCTAACAGCTCACATACTGTGGAAGCCGATGCGGGTGACACGGACTTTCAGGATATCAAAGCAGCTGATGTCGAGGCAGAAGGTCTTGGGCAATCCAATGAAGAAGCAGAGGATCTTTTTCAACATGACGAGGATGGACCCGAGCCGGAATCCAACTACGAACCTTTTGGTGATGAAGAGCTCCTGGCCGCTCAGGATGAACTTGGTGAAAATATTCCGGAAGATCTGTCCGCAACTATCCAAGATGAGGACCCGATTCCGACCTTCCAAGGTACAAACGAAACAGACGTGTCTGAGACGCAGCCTTTGCCTTACAGCAATGCTAATTCCCTTGACGGAGACTCCTCGCATCTCGCTTCGACTGTTGACGCGCAATATCCTGGCAATCTCAGTCCTCCCATGACTCCTGTCGCAGGCAAGCAGGCCAAGCGGAAAGCCGAGGAAGATGATGAGCTCATCCTTGATCTTGACACGCCAGATCCAAAGCGTCGGAGACCTTCATGATCAGTCACGTCGATCATTCCGACTTTGGGCCATCTTTACTCGGCAGATACTGGCAACAGCAGATGGCTCGACGACATTCGATACCCCTGCAACACCATCTCAGGACGCTGGCCAAATGACCTTCACTCTTACTAACCAAAGCAGAATCTAACCCTTTTAGGTCCCCACGTAGGATCCCTTCTATTTCCTCCTCGCACTATGGCGATCGCTCATGTATTCGGAGCCACCCATACCTATTGTTCTGCACCAAATTTCCCCTTTATTCCCCTGTACCACTAACCATAGTTTTTCGCATTCACGCTCGGCATTCTGCGTCGAGATTTATCGAAGTTTACTCGACGTCCAACCCTGATCTCTTGTGCAAGGTGTCTTCGGAACTTGAAAACATAAGGTCGATTGGGAGGAACATGTACAATGATTCGATCGAAACTTACCGTGACTGCAATGGCTGGGTGGGTGGGTTTGCAGTTCACCGTAAGTTACCGGAGACGGAGAGGATGAGAGCGGCGGTCGTGCTTGGGGGCGGTACCGGGGAGGAAAAGTCATGTTTCCGTTTTGCTGCTGTGTTGTTATTGTAGCACTTCGCTGGAAGGACGGCAGCCAAGCGTTGGCTTCCAGCTCCACGCAGAAGAGAAGACCTGGACGGCGGATCAAGAAGAAAACAGGGCAAGCGGTATTCTGTGCTGGGCGACAAGGAGACGTGTTTTGAACTGGTTGATCTGCCTGGTTTCGCAGATATGCTCCGTGGCTTCCAAGTCACGGAGCCTCTATTGCAAAGATTCTCAAAGCAATAGCTCTGTTTGTACACCTCCAACTTGCTCACGCTGTCGCATTTTCCCATTTCAATGATCCTGTGTTTCGTTGTCCTGTCAAGAACCTCGACACTATTAGACACAGAAAATGGAGTGTGGGCGGAGTGTGAAGAAAGGCGTGCTGAGGCACTGGCATGTGAGTAGGAGGCCGCTCGAACAACAACCAGCCAATCATGGATTGGCTATTTCGCAGCAACAAACATACCTACCTCTTGGGTGCCTCTGTATCTTTGCGTGTATAACCCCTTTGACGAAACTTCAAGATGAAGAGTTTTCTGAACGCCATCATGTATAGATCTAAAGAGGGTGCCCCCGCATCAACACGGGGTGTGCCCTTTCCTGGTTCCCCTGCAAGCGCTCTCAGGCATGGCTTGCGGCCCCTTTTGGCTCTACTTCTATGACCACCATTTCCTCGACCCGGCCAAAGCCGCTGGACTCGCCATCACTCGATCTCTCTTCGGTGACTGCGACATCCGCAGCCTTGGGTTTCATAAATGGGTAGTGCCCTCTGGTCTCCTTGAACCTCAACAGGACGAAGCCCGCGATGACCATGATCCAGAAAACGTTGTATCCGATGACGCTGCCGTAGGTGGCGCTGTTTTGCCAGCCCAAGATGGCATTGAAGATGCCCCAGCCGCCGCCGCCGTTCAGCACCGGATTGCAGCAGTTCACGTGCCAGACGATGGACCGGATGTCGTATGAGCCTGGGCCAGAGCCGTTCTCGGCGGCATCGCCCCCGGTGGCCCTGTTGAAGGCGTTGTTCTCAAAGTACCAGATGCTCCGAGAAAAGAGACCGGCCGCGACGAGATAGAGGAAGCAGGTGCTGGCAATGAGGAAGAACTGCAAGGGGGCCATATTGCCGCCCTTGTAGATGATGAAGCCCACCGCGCATCCAGCCGCGACACCGCAGACTGCGGGTAACGGAATCGAGCTAGCCTGGACACCGAGACTGACGCCCCCGATAAAGACTATGGCTTCGATCCCCTCGCGCAGGATGGTGATGAAGGGGAGGAGGAACATGGCATACTTCTCGGCCCAGCCCTTGATGCGACGGCCGAGTCTGCCGTGTGTGTTATCCTTGGCTTCCAGGGCCTTTGCAAGCTTGACCCTCCATTTAGCCTGCATTTTGGAGACGCGCAGGAGAGCGGCCCCCATGACTGCAATGATGATGGAGGCAACGAGCGCAAAGACGCCCTCCCAGAGGTTCTCGGTGGAGCCCCAGGTGTTGGTGCCAATGCCATAGAAGGCGCCGATCATTCCGCAGCCCACGATCAGACATATTACGAATCCTACTAGGGTGCCGTACCAGATCTGCCAACATATCCGAAAGTAAGGACAACGCGATCGCTCAATCCGCCGGTGGAAGGTTTCAACGTACCTGGTTCCGCAGTTTCTTATAAACATTCTTGTCTCGATCGGGCCCCAGCTGCTGCTTGAGAAAGGATAGCAGGACCGAGACGACAATGGTGGTTTCCAGCGTCTCTCTGAAGACGATGAAGAAGACAGGGACGGCGAAGACTTCGGGCATGGCTGGAGCTGGTGTGCGTGTTTCAACCCAGGTAAGTTATAGTCCTCCTCTCTGCCCTCCTGGTAGTGCTGGTTCTGGCCCCCTCGTTGCTCGATGAAGTTGGGAAGACTTGCATCTGATAAGATTATGTGCTCTCAGGGGAGATACTCTTGGGTTTTATCTGATATACCGGGGAAAAAAGCAAGCGAGTTGTTGAGTGGTGCAAGTTGCAAGGGGCATGGTGCGAACCGAGGCTTGGGAGCAGGGATCGGACTTCTTGGTTACGAGAATGTCACTCGATGCAATGGATTCGTCCAGCCTGCTCTACTCCATACCTATTCTGCACTATTCGACCCTCCACACGTTACAGCGAGCCATTGGGAAAGCCCGCTCAACCGGCGGGAATCTTACGACCGCCGCCCGTTCCGCTGCCCCGCGAGAAAGAGTCGGTCGGTTGGCCAGCCTCACTAGTCTGTATATATACACAGCTTATGAGAACGCCCCCGTCGACGTATACCCTGGTTTGATCTGGGACAAGATCGAAATTTACCAATAAGGGAAATTCTTGCCCTGAGTGTCACTGTGCATGGACCGGATTCACACTAACAGCTGTCCACTCTAGTCCTTCGTGTTTATTTCTCTCTGCTGACGCCGCCCTCCAAGATCAATAACACTCTTTTCGACCACAGCTGCCGGTACTCAGCGGACGGTGGGTTGCATAGCCAGAAGACAACGGCGTGCGTTATAAGTTTGGCTGTTCTCATCAGATAAAGAAAACTGACCGGAGCTCGAGCTGGACACGAATCCACCAGACTAGATCCCAGCTCTTGACACCACTATTCAATTTTATCTGGCCTGCTTACCTCCATCCTCTATATCCTTGCCATCGCTTTCTTCAACAGTCCGCCGAGGCAGTCCTGCTCTACCCGCTTATCCTTTCTCCTTCCGCCCCTGCGAGCTCGCACCTTTTTTCGGATAGTCCCACCAGTACTCCAACGCTTTGATACCAAGAGGGAGGGTTGGGGCTCGCTCGCACACCGAGATTTCTGGTGCTTCTTCTTACGTGGGTGGGAGCGCCGAGCGGTGATCTTGTCGGCGCGGGCGGGAAAAGTCACGCGGATTTTGGCCCAGAGGAGGCCAAGTGACCTACAGTACCGAGTTAGATAGATCGTACGTATCTAGTGAGACTTTGGGCTGTGCACAGAACAAGTGTACAGAATGGTAACGAATCAGCTTGACTTATATTCTCCTAACCGTGAAATTATCTAAACGCTTTGTGCACCGGGGTGTCCTTCGATACCCGGCCTGACGCTCCTGTATGTTCATAGTCGTGACACCTTAATCTCTGCCCGAGACATGCCACAATTATTCTCTAAGAACTCTTCTGACTCAAGGTAACCTGATCAGTCACCAACATACCGGCAATACTTGCACTAGTCAACGTAGAGAGCACGCCGGAGAACAAGGCCGACAGCGCGACACGAGAAACATCGCCGGAGCGAGAAGGTGCGATCTGGCTGAGCACGCCGATTTGTGTGCCGAGGGAGCCGAAGTTGCCAAACCCTGCAACGGAAAATTAGCATCAAATCCAAAGACAGATGTGATCAATGACACGAGTGCCTAATGGCGGATTGGCGTTTCGAGAGTTGGGGACCTACCGCACAAGGCGTACGTCGCAATCAGCTTTGACCGTGGGCTCATGTTGATATACTGTGCCTCGCTGGTGAGAGAGTTATACGCCACGAACTCGTTGGCGACGACCTTGATCCCAATGAGTTGCCCCACTTTGAGGAGATCATTGCGAGGCACACCCAAAAGGAAGGCCACTGGGTAGCAGATGTACCCCAGGATTAGTTGGAGCGTCAGATAGGGTCCGCCATCCTGGGTGATGTTGATGTACCTATTGCGTAGAGACGCGTCAGTGAGTCGCATTCCCGGAATGTGATAGACCTTTGGTGTCGACATGAAATGACAACTTACCTTCCCCACCACCCTAGAAGAGCGTTGATCAAGCCAATCAATGCAATAATACAAAGCAAAGTAGCCACAATCATGCCCGCGATCTTGATGCCGAGCCAGGCGCCATTGGCAAACGCGTGCAAGGCATTCGTTGCGCGATGTTCATCGTCGTCCGGAATGACCACTCGACCTGAGGTAATGGTCTCCTCCGTTTCCGGATATCGCATCTTCGACACCGCCAACGACGCCGGGATCGACATGATACAAGAAGAAACCAGAGCCTGCGGATTTAATCCCAACCCAATGTAAGCCACGAGCACGGACCCGGCAATGGTGGCAAAGCCAGAGCACATGACTTGGTGGATTTCAGCCAGGGTCAAATGAGGCACGAACGGGCGCACCAGCATAGCCGATTCTCCTTGACCGATAAAGGGAGAAGCTGCGGCCACGACAGCCTCGGCACCTGAGACACGCAAGCTCCAGAAGAAAAACACGGCGAATTTGCCGATGAACCATTGCAGGATGCCCAAGTAATACAGAACCTGCACGAAAGCGACAAAGAAGATAATCGGTGGGACAACCCCAGTCAAGAACCAGTGCAGGTCGACGACACTTTCCGCCGTCAAGAACGAAGTACCCTGGTCTGCGAAACCCAGTAGCTGGCGAGCGAGGAAAGAGATGAAGTTGAAAATGTCGTAACCGGCTTTTGTTCGGAGCACGAACACCGCAATGACGAATTGCGTCAACATGCCGCCAATGACTGTGTGCCAGCGAATCTTGCGGCGGTCACGCGAAGTAGCGTAGAGAACGGCTATCATGACAGCAAGCCCCAGAAGGGAGATGGCACGGTTTCCTCGAGTGTTATCGGCAGATTCCTCGGAGACAAATGACCCAACCAGGATAACAGCAAGAGCCACCAGCGCAGCAAGCCAGGTGCGGAGCTTCTCCGGGATAGCCTGGTAGACCTTGACGCCTGTATTGTTCCAAACGAAATGCATTGGTCGAGTGACGATAGTAATGGGCACCCAGAAAAAGATCAGGCGCAAGGTGATGGCGAGATAGAGGAGGAAAGGAATCAGCCAGCCCAAGTCGTGGCGGTGCAGGACCAAACCAGCGATCCACCATCTGCGACAATAAATGAGGGGGTGGTTTTCAGCACGAAATGGCCGATGAGACTCACCCGGTGAACAGCAACCAAATGAAGAGGTGGACAAAGATCTTGTATTTTCCGTATGTCCTTGAAAAGCGATGCTTCCTTCCATCATCTTCTGACGTGTTCGTCAGAACCCGCGTGGGATCGACGTCTCCTTTCTCAGCGTCGCCCATAGTGATGAAGTCCTTCTCGTTGACTGGTCCCGAGGGTTGTCGAAGCTGGTGTTTCACATAGTCTTGAGGATTTTTGCTGCCAATATGTTGATCGATGGTGGTACCATCAGCGTAAAGGACCTCGTCATGGCGATCGGCCAACGAAGGGCGGCCATGGTGTAGGTGTTTGTGTTGATGCTCGTGGGAATAGTGCAGGGCCAAGTCTGGGTTCTCGTCGACGTCCTTCTGCATGGAAGGGTTGTGGCCATGAGCGGGAATGTCGTGGTGCGTCCGTCGGCGCTCTCCACCCTCGGCAGGCGCATCAGCAAGGTGCATAAGGTCGTCGTCGTCGATGACCTTGACCTCCTTCGGGTCAATGGAGTCTGGATTTGAGCTCATCCTGCAGGGCGTCTCCGCTCGTGCTTGTCGTCAAGGTACTTGGAGAGTACAGTGGATCGCAGAAAGGAAAGAGCAACCAAGAGGACGGGGACGAAAGCGACAAAGGTGATTAACAACGGAGACATGGTGGAGCTGGGGTGTTAATTATGTTATTTTTTTTTCCTCCTCCAAGCAGTGACTTAGTGGGTGGTGAGGGTCAATGCTACAAGGGTTTGGTTCTTTGAGAAATCGAGAATTCCGTAAGAGGATTGCAGCTCCGATGAGGTTGCAGGGGGCACACGGGGCTGAATTGTGCGAATCTCAATGCAAGGTGGATCACAGAGGTACGGATAGTGGTGATCTGCTTGCCGAGGACAATCATGTAGAGGAGGAGTCGAGAAGATGAGTGGTGGGAGACAAGCGGAGGACGGTAGATGGGCAGATGAACGCCACTTGATGGTCCATCCGTTGCAACGCTACCAGTCTTGGCATTTGTTGTTTCTTCACTGGCATCTCGTCGCCAGCGCCGACGCCGAGGCTCTCGCCTTCTGCATACCTATCTAAGTCCTCCCATCTCAGCCTTGAATTGACCTGCTCAACGAGGCAGTCCGACCTCGACTATCAGGCCAAGCCATGTCGTGGGACCTTGCCAAGTGATAAGAGAAGAGATTCCACGGTTGAATTGCGCTCCCTACAAGATCGATCGCTTCCAGTAGCAGGTCCAATGCAACCTGGCATTCTTGGGCTGACGGTTCTTCTGGCCATTCCGTCGAATCAAAGGACTCCCCGTCTTTTATATCCCATGGTCATGGCTTTGTGCCAATCCACACTTCGGTCGCCTCCGCTACTGGGCAAGCCCAAGGATTCTTGGGGCCCCATTTCGCGTAAAAAGGCGGACAATGAGGGCACCAACGAGAGATAGACCAGCGCTGCCATACGCTGTTTAACACTTGACAATCGCCACAATCTATGGAGTCCGTGCTTGCAGCCTCGGCCCCTCCCACATGCCTTGTCGCCCGCTACAGAACGATCTTCCAGAAACCACAATTTCCTAGCCGAGATACCTGGTAGCAGAGTGCCGACCGCTGCGGAAAGCCCCTTGCTTATTGTTTTAGCAGAAGTAGACGTTTTGCTGGGTGACTTTTCGTCCCAGGAATCAAAGGTATTTCTTTTGCCACGAACCCTTGCACTACCAGCTCCTCGCTATCAACAAAGTCAGTTCAAAGTAGACTATATATAACATGCAGGAAGCATATTTGAACCATGAGATATTCCACGGAGGGCTTATGAAGACTCAAAGCTCGCTGCCAAGCAATGACCCCTGCAATGCCCGAGGACTCTTGTCCTCGCCTCGCGTGCTCAGAATCCCAAATCGTAGGAACACTTCCGAGCATGTGACCAGGATGGAGATCACGATCAGAACTATGATAATCCAGTTGATCCGCGACATCTTATCGTCGGAAATGTAGTCTGACAAGACCTCGGTCAGGTCAAGGAACACTCGACAACGTTCGTTGAGGATCTGGATCCGCGGTTTGATTTCAAGATACTCGCGGACTGCGTTGTACAGCGGATGTAGGGTCGGCTCGCTATCCCAAATCAGGTTGGGTACGTCGAGGACATTGGATGCTAGATAGTTACAAGGGTCAGCGCTTCCATCTCTGTCAGATAAGTCGAAAGGTAGCCTTACACAAATTGACTTCCACCCGACTCTTGTATAGGCCTCCGAGCAGCTTGATGACTTCTTCCCGTTTCAGTCCCAGTTCTCCCGTTTTAGCCAACTTGCCAGGAACGTCTTTCGCTGCCTCCATCTGCGCAGCCATGGTTTCTTCAAAGAAGCTTAGCTTAGTGCTCTGAGCAATGGCATGGCTGATGGCGAGCTTGATCATGTGGTCGCCGCTGCGGAGTGTAATCATGTCGTTGTATACTCGTGGCCGCGAAATCTCATTGTTGTACTCGAAGTGGAAGTCTTCCGTCTCGAAATCTTCCTCATCCAAGGCATTTGTTGTCAGGGTGATTGGCGACACGATATTGGTCTTCGGATCAACAATCGAGGCAAAGGCAAAGTCGGCCAGCACATCTTTCTCCTGCTTCTCACTAAAATTCCAAAATACCACCACTCCATAGGTGAAGACAAACATTTCCGCAAACCGGTATGCATCGGCAGGAAGATTGGCGCCTGGACTGTTCGATCTTTGTGAGTGGTCACTCTCTCTCCGCTGTCCATTAATTCGCGGCCGTTCCAGGTCGGCTGGGTCATTGGGATTTGACTCCACAGGTTGCTCGTCCGGCGTGTAGTTACCTCTCACAGAATGTTGCTCCTCTTCCTCTGCATAATACGGTTCTCGATAGTCTCTTTGTTCACTGCGGGCAATTTCTTCATCTAGGACCGTTCCGCCTTTGGCGCTCTTGACTGGTGGGCTGCTTCGGATGCGGTAACCTTCGTTTCCTGGTAGCAGTGGCAGATGATAGGCACAGTACAGGCAGTCATCATAGAGCTTCGCTCTGGCACCATGACGCTGCCTGACAAAGGTCGCCGTAGACTGCAGCTTATATGCTTGAGCTGTACAATAGGCCGTAACTCTGGGGAGCTCCTTTTCCGTACGCCTCGCCTTGGGCAACCTCTCTGCATAGCTTTTAACACCTTCCTTGCCAGGTTTGCGATAATCCTCATCATCCCTGGGCGGACCTTTGTCGGCGTCGGGCCCAAAGTCCCCTTTCTCTTCTTCTTCCTCGACAGCCTCGGGCAACAGAACTAGCTTTTCGGACGTCTTTGTGGACCGAGATGGCATGTGCGATCCAACATAGCGACCAGTGAGTCTGGGATCGACGGGCCTGCCGGAGGGCGTTCGAGAAGGTCGCGGCCGTTGAGGCACTCTGTTGTGGGCGGAAGGGACATCGGAGGCATATTGGAGGACACTGTCTACGGTGATGAAACGCGCAGGTTGTTGTCTGCGGGCCTGAGGGAAGGGCCTGCTTTCACGAGGATCAGAGACCTGCCTCAGCTCAATGTTAGTTATCGTAGCAGCCAACATGCTGGGTTGGATATGAGACCGTTTTGGGGGAGACGAACCAAAACACTAGGACCTCTTCTGGCGGTTGAGCTTGGGGGAGCCATGTCGCTGTTAGTCGCAACTACCACTCGATAGCTGTGAAGGTCTTGAGGGAAGAGGGAAGAGGGAAGAAGGAAGCAGTGCTCGTCGGACTGACTGCAGGACTGGTGGAGAGTAGCGCCAGGACCGAAGATGTCAGTTGTCAGTTGTTAGTACCTAGGTAGGTAGCGAGGTAGGTAGTTCGTCATGCCGAGCATCCTTCAAGTTAGTTACTATTTAGTACGACTAAGTAGCACGCAACCGGACCACGCCAAGATCTTGGTTCGCCCAACGAATTCAAGACTTCAAGTTGAGGTTTGTCCATGGTTCCCCCTATGAGCTATTGAAAGGAGCCTCAGCTCTTGTTCAACACATTCAGTTTACTTCCCAGTTGTGCCTTTGTGTATAGAGTCCGCCGAATACAAATCCAGCGGACACAATTTGAAACGGGTCAGCCTGCCCTATGTCTTCTGCATTCAGCAACCCCCAAGAGTGCCAACCTCAAGAGCTCCACCTGGTATCGACTATTTCACGCGCAGACCGATGGTGGGTGTTCTCTATCTATTTCTCTTCGACTGCCGGCGCACAGTGATCCATTCAGCAACCAAACTCAATTCTCACAACGAGTTTGTTCATCGAGTCGTTGGTAAAATAGCGTGGAACGAGACATCAATCATCTTCTCGTTACCTCCACAATGATCCATGGAGAATTCGCGGGCATGTATTGCGTCGGTAGGCACTGCGCTAGACACCACTTGACGATGATCGTTTGGTCTCCGAGCAACTTAGTCAAGTGGGACTTTACACCCCAGATCACGCCTGTCATTGAAACCCATTTAACTCGCAAACCTTCCTCCAGCCGTTTTCTTTTGCAGGTCTCGTGTGCATATGTTCCAGTCTGTTCTACAGGTGGAAATCATATCATCGGCAGCAAATAGGGGTTCATGTCCGGTGGTTGGGACCCGCGGAAACCATTTCTCCATATGCATGTCCAGCCGACAAACGCCGCAGAAGCCACAGGCGTGACGTGACCCAGCTGTCAGCTGCTCTTCTTGAAATTCGATCGAATGATTGATTGATAAAGAGGTCCTCCTTAGGGAGATCCTCTGAGTGCGCTGTGGTAGTCTACTACTGCGCGGCCAGGTACAGGTTCCCAGAGAAATATAAGACTCGTCTCGCCACGTCTTCACTGCCGGAAAGGCAAACACCCGCAGCACATATACACGATGAGCATGAGTTATGTCACTCCCCATTCCCCCCTCGCCCCCTAGACCCCCTGCGAATGACCACAGAGAGTGAGCTGTGGTCTGACAAATACATGAGTTGTGATTGGGCCACATTTCTCCTCAGTCAGTCAAGGAACGTGATCATGCATGGCGCGACCACTGCTGTTGAAAGAGTGACAATATAGGTTGAAACTGGAGAGCATCTGAGCAGCAGCATATAAGCAATGGATGCCACTGACGGTATGAATTTTGTGGACTATCCTGCTCGAACATGGCCGAGACTTCCTTGATTTTATCACACACGGGCAATGAAAAGCATCGGGCGAATGGCACGGTGCTGCGAGATCTAATCATTGGCTTCGCAGATGGGCTTACGGTGCCGTTTGCTCTTACCGCAGGACTATCATCGTACGTGGGATGGAGAGCTCTGGACCATGGGGGAACCAACGCTCGACTCTTTCCCGGTTGAACTGACATCGCAAAACAGTCTTGGATCCTCCAAACTTGTCATTACGGGTGGCCTTGCCGAACTCTTCAGTGGAGCGATCTCCATGGGCCTAGGAGCCTATCTGGCCTCCGTCACCGACATGCAACACTATAACACGGAAAGACTGCGAGAGGAAAGGGAAGTGCAGGAGTCGCCCGGAGAGGAGATGGAGGAGATATACCGCATTCTCTGTGCATACGGTCCTCAGAGAGCAGATGTCGCTCCCTTCGTCAATGCCATGAGATCCTACCCAGACCAATGGGTTCAAGTATGTTTCTCACTGTCGCCAGAGTGGCCGAGTTGAGTTCGACCTTTACTTACCCCACGGTACCAGTTCATGATGGATTTCGAGTTGAAATTGGAACAACCGGCTCGTCGTTCGGCATACGTCTCAGCAATTGTTATGGGAATCTCATACTTCATCGGTAATCTTACCCCTTCCGCCTATTTCTGTAGGCCTATTCGGCCTTCGCCTTCCTTCTTCAACCTACTGCTGACCAGGAGATTCTGCATCATCCAAGGAGGCCTTCTACCCATGATTCCATATTTCGCCATCCATCATGCCACCAGAGCTCTTTTCGTCTCGATCGGCATGACCGCCGTTATCCTGATTATCTTCGGATATTTCAAGTGCGTCTTCGCCGGGTGTGATCGGCGACAGTCCATCTGGGGCGCTGTACAGACGTTGTGTGTTGGCGCTGCCGCGGCCGGGGCGAGCTACGGGATCGTCAGAGCGGTGGATTCGAGCAACATCCGTTAATGTCAAATACTCAAAACACAAGTGGTGGAGGAGACTTGTTCGAAAGGGCAATAAGAGAGGTTTGATGGCGAGAGTGGAACGCTGGACATTCATTTCTCCACGCTTTCTGTTTTGTAATGCATTTCGTGGGCGACAACGGATCCAGAGGTCTTTTCTTCCTGGCTCTGGCTCCGCAAGCAAGTGGCAGACCGGTCCATGTTCTCTCTTTGATGCTTTGTCCTCAGTTGTCCAGCTCCTGGCGAGGGCTCTTGGTGGCAGGAAGGGACTTGGTGACCTCCGTCTTCTAGAAGAAGGCGTCCATCCAAGATGGGCTGCCTCAATCAACTCCATCCAAGACGTCAGCAACCGAAGCCGACGGGGCATCTTCATACAACTTCTGGCGTGCTTGATCAGCCAGCGTGCCTTGGGGCCCAGTCTTCTCCTCGCGTCGATTGAGGAATGACAAATATGTCTGCCATATCACGGCAAAGAAGCCGGAGAAGGCAAATCGGAGATGGGCGGGCACAAGCGTGAAATTCAGTGCCGTGACGGCAGGCCAGAACTTGGCCGAGCTCACCACGCTTTCTGGCACGGCCGAAACGATGCGGTGGGCAACCACCGAGGGAGCTTCGCCTGACAAGAGGGCCTGCATGCCGAAAAAATATGTGTTGAAGATGGGCGCAAAGAAAAACTGTTGAATGAGGACTTTGACCGTAATCGTCGTCCATTTTGAGGCATAGTTGAAGTGCGTGCCCAGGAATAGGAACCTTTTCGACCAAAACAGTGTTAACGATTCTGCTCTATTTCTGAAGTCCGGTTATTTGTCAGTTGGCCTACCATTTATAACCCGGTATAGACGCCAGGCTGCCAACCGCGATCATCCTCAACGTCCGCAGCCCATCGTACGGTTCCCCGCCGACCTCTTGCGCGAGCAGGTCTCCACAGAGATACGTTGTCAAAGACGTCGCCAGGGCGATGCCCAGCGGCCTCCGTCTCTGCATCCGACTGAACCAGGAGAAAAAATCCTTGACAGGTCCCAAACGGTGGTACCAGAGCGGACCGGGGACGTCGATGATCGAAGCCTCGGCCGAGTGTGGCACTTCTGTGACTATCTGGTTCGGGGTATGGGGAGTCTTCTGCAGTTCGGCCGTCTTGATTTGATCCCTTGTAAAGACATTCCTGCTGAAGTTTCGGTTTCGAGGAAGGGGATGGCGCCGGCACGCGCGCGCTACATGCTGGATTATCATGATTTCAGAGGAACTTGGGGAAGTGGACTGTAGCCTTTGATGCGAAAAGGACCGTCACATGGTAGATTTCGTGATGTGGTAAATGGTAAGTCGTGAGGCGAGGCTAGACCTGTGGAAACCAAGGGCCTTGCAACCCGGAAATGCCATGTGTTACAAAGTCAAGCGAGAAGCTCTCCATGGCCTTTTGCATGGGGATCGTCTCATGTTGGGCGCCTGTGACGTTTGGTCGAGCGAGAATGAGTGACGTCATCTAACACACGCACGAGGCTACAAGGAATCATTATGCAGATGGAGATGGAGACACATGCACAAAGGGATTTTTTTTAATATGATAACTATAGAATCACAGTAATGGTATATCTGTGCTTTACAACGGAGGTGATCCTCGGATCCTCATACAAGGGTATCCTACTCGTTTTGGGGGCATAGTCCCAAGGACGACTGGTCCGACCATTCTTTTCCAATCTTGTAAATGAGCTGTTCTGGAGAAGATGTGTCACTTTTCAACTTGATCCGCCAATCTCTCCTCTTGCGGTCTCTCTCGAAAGTCGGGTGCTTGACCGAGCGCGCTCTGGTCCGGACCCTGCGAGTCGCTGTTAGTGCTCGACAAAAAGATGGGAAGGGAAAGGCAACTCACGATGCCCGCCATCGCTGTTCCACGCATTTGTGCATCCGAGATATCACCTGAAGGCTTGCCATATTTTGCCTCGTATCGCTCCAATTCCTCCTGGCGAATTTCATCTGCATCGTATCCAATCCTGGGGTCCACCTTGTTGAGTGCTTCAGATTTGTGCCTTGGGATTGCGCTGGTTCGACCAAAGGACGGCCCTCCGAAAGTATTGGGCGCTCGGTCTAGCTCCTGGCCCTCGCCACTGCCCACTTCGTCATGAGCATCTGGCCCTGGCCCGTCCCCATCCTGGGGGTGGAAATACTGGGGATCTTCCGCTTCGAGTTTATCTCTCAATGCGCCTTGATCTGCCCCAATGCCAGACATGCCTTCGCTTTTGGACACCTTCAACTTATCGAAGAGTGCAGGCATAATGATGGGATCAGACTGGATATGTGTTTTGGGGGTTGATGTTGTTTACTTGATGTCAATTAAGGTCTCTGTGTACTGTGAGGACGTCCAATGCTACCTCCCTACCTTTGCCATTGCATATTCTGGCGCGACACAACGCGGGATATTTAAAGAGGTGTGTTTGTCTGCAAACCCTGAAGACGTCATAAGGGTAAGGTGCATATTGTTGCTGAAGATGATCTGACCTTCGTGGCTGTTGATATCGATTTCTTGGCTTCCAATGGGAACGCAGCATATCGTCCTACAAGGGGCTTGGATTGGTTGTTCCTGGCTCCGTTGATAAGCTCCGCTGCTCCTGATGACAAGGCTGACTAGGGGGTTTCTGCACCGGTGGAGATGGAAAAGAGAAATGCTATGTAGATCATGCTCGTTGGTAAGGAACGTGTCCCTGAAGGATCCACAATAGTTGAAGGGTGGTGATGGAGCAATTGCAGTGGGCGTTCTTGATACCGGTAAGTCGTTATTTCCATATTAATCACTCGAGCGCCAAGCCGGATGCGGATTTTTTATTTCCCCGATGGGGCTGTCTGACTCCCCAAGCTCCCCTATCTACCTCCCGAGTCGCAACTGCGTACTCGGTACTCCATACAATCAACCCGTAACTAACTTGTGGGGTTCTCGCTTTCATTCTTCCAGAGCCTTCCTTTCCCCTTGTATCACTCGCAGCCTTGGGTTTGTCCTCCATCGATATCTGCTAAGTATCTAGGAATGTATTGTTGATTATACTGTCACTCACTCCTTCTTCTGGCCATGGTAGCCTCGGTCGACCACCAGCAACCTGCTCTCCCATCAGCACAAGTATATTTCGTGTCCCGCGTCGCCCTGGAGTCTCCAACCGAGTGTACCCGACTTCAGCCCTGTCAGCCCTGCCAGCCCTGACTGCTACACAACCTCCTAACAGCAAGCATGCATTCCCAAGGCGCCGTAGCTATGGATAAGCTACCGGAAGAGATCCTGATTGAGATACTCGACTATCTCGAACCCCAGGAGCTCGTCTCCATCCAGCTCACATGTTCCACCTTGTCCAAATTGGCACGTGCCAACCCGCTGTGGAGGCAGAAATGCTTCGAAAAGTCCCCCAGTGCCTCCATGAGGGCTACCAACAGTATCTTGAATACCCTCACCAGTGCTTTGCAAGGTCTGACTCTATCAGAGCGCCCTCGTCAGTCACGCGGACCTCCTTCAAACGGTCATGTCCCGGAAAGGTTAGGAGAAAGCGCCCGCGCTAGGGCCGTTAATCAGTGGGATCTCTCAAGCCAAGGGGAAAGGGTGGACTGGTACTCGGAGTACAAGGCGAGATACGCTCCTTTGAGTGTCGAATGGCTCGTCAACGACACCACGAGACACCTCGAGATCAGAGGGATTGCTTCTCTCGGCGCAACTGACAAAACCCTTGGCTATTTGGAGGACGGAAGCATCTGTATCTGGGATCTCAGTCGAGGTGCCTCGGGAAGGAGGAAATTTCGAGAGTTGGGACGCAGCAAAGCATCCATACTATTTGCTGACGCCAATCAGCCCGGTGAGACTCTTGTGGTGGATTGTGCGAGCACCTTCCCGTCACAGCAAAAGGCCTTCGTCGCCGTCGGTAATGTGTTGAACGAGATCGACCTCAACACTCTGTCTGTGGTGTCGCACGCAAAATATCCTTTCCAGATAACTGCTCTCTCGCAGTCAGCCTATCCTGACTTGCCATTAACGGTCGGCACTCAGTGGAGCCTCCACATCGTCGACCCACGCATCCCCGTCATTCCGACTTCTCCGTCTTCCCATGAACACGTTGACGAAGTGTCGTGCACACCAGGGAGCTCGACGGCAATCCTGCCCGATATGTCTGGAGATTCGTCAATGCTACCTGCCATATTCGGCACGTCGCCCTCACCGTCGTCCAAAGCCGGCCCCTCGACACGTTCTTCCGGATCACCCAGTTGGCGCCCTTCCCATCGCCTGCAGAATCCTCAATGGATGGGTTATGCCCGAGTCGAGCCTGGACCGCTTTCGATCCTGCACCACGCCGAGAACGAAATCCTCATCTGTGGAAGATTTCCCAGCATCCTATCCTACGACCGTCGATATTTCCCCCGTCTCCAATATGTCATCCATTCCAGCGCCAGCCTCTCATCTCTGACATCGATACCCTACCCACCGGCTGGGGCATCGGCCAACGTAGCGGGCGACGCCACTCTCGTCGCGTGCGGCGAGTACAGGGGCCGTGGATCTCTGGAGCTTTACTCCCTTCCACACATCAAGCCCGGACAACGGCAATCCAACCCTGACATCTCCACCAGTTCCAGCCCGTCCGAGGACGACGAGCTGGATATTACCAGGAACCGCAACCTGACCTCTGAAGACGGGTTGTATAGCTACAAAAACCGCCAAGACGCGGCGAAATCGAAGCTTTTGTCTGTTGCGTCGCACGGCACCAAGATCGTCTTCTCCGACTCTGAGGGCGGACTGAAATGGGTCGAGCGGGACGGCCACAGCCTCGTGCGCCGGTGGAACATCAACGCCTTCTCGATGGGCAGTCCTAACAACAACGCCGCCATCGCGACCTCAGCGTCCGTGAGTGGCGACGCGGTCGCACGGAAAATCATCCCGCTCAACACCCTGGATTCCTCGGAGCGCGGCCATCGCGGCGACGCAGATTTGTTGGTCTGGACCGGCGAGAAGATCGGCGTCGTCACCTCGGACCCGCAGTTTCTGGACCACGAGGAAATGGTCCGCGAGATCGAGGCCGCCGACACTGAAGAGAAGCAGGCCAAGGAGGAACAGGTGAAAAAGGAGGAAGAGTACTCCAAGACCATGCGCCGCGCTCTCGAGAGGCAGGCCGACGAGAGAAGATGGATGAGCCAGTTTAGACTTAAGAGGAGAGATTATTTCTGACCTCCCTGCTGTTCTCTGCACCTTTTGGCGCGCTCGACGCGTGTACGCGATAGACGTAGGAGACGAAAACCCTGGTACAGCGCGGCGCGGGGCTGGGAGGCCAGTTCTACAATAAACCAAATTTGTGTTGACTGGGACGGTTTAAAAGACTGAGATACTGTAGATATCCATTCCTCGTACAGCCCCAGCCCTTGGTTTTCCTCTCTCCCTTTTTCCTCTCTCCCTCTCTCACGCACAACTTTCTCTCTCTCTCTCTCTCTCTCCAGTCTAATTCACCTACGCGCCTCCAGCACCCTTCCCGTCGCATGTACCACGTACCACGTCCCACGTCCCATGAAAATGCCTCGCCGCATGAGACGGGGAACGAAATACAAAAGCCAAAAACGGTATACATCAAGGTACACCCCCTTCCAAGCGACCTTATCAATAATGGAGGGAGATGACTTAGACAACTTAGGGTGTGCGTGTATGGATAATACCTATATTATTGCACAAGCTAATTTAACTAGGTACCCGGGCCTGCTTGCTTGGGCGCTTTGTATCACGGCACCACGATGGCTCGCCGCGACCCTGATCCCTGAAGAGTCCGATTCCAAATCCATGTGGCAGGGTGCAGTGCCAGCCACGGATGGTCCTCCAATCTCATTCATTGGCAAATTTCTCACACTTTCACCCGCGCTTGTGTGTACAGGCCTATATGCCTACATGCATGAATGCATGCGTGCATGCGTGCAGCTCCCGCTCCCTTGAGTGGTGGAACCTTGTAGGCAGAAAAGAAAGACGCAACGAAAAAAAAAGAAGGACGAAAGAAGGAATGAAGGAAAGAACTTCAAAAGGCAAGGAGGAGGGAAGGAACAGGCTCAATGAACTTGTCGGCCCATAAAATTCTCAGGCTTGATGGTAGTAAAGCGGAATTACACAGTCAACTAGACACTTCTTCACCCATTACCAAATCCCTATTTTCCACCTTGTGCTGCGAACACCATACATCTTGGGTGCGTGCCATGATCATGAAACGACGGTATCGTATTGATAGCAGAACGGTCCCGCGGTGGTGCTGATCAACTCCCTCACCGTGATCGGATCCAGTTGGAAGTAGCCCCAGTCCGGCTCGATCGAATCCAGGGTGACTACCGGCGATGGCGGCGTGTTCAGCGCAGTCCCCGTGGACCCGTCCAACTGATCCGCCATCTCGGGATAAGTGGTCTGCCAGCTCCAGTATACTCTGTCGATCATGGTGTGCAGAGGATACCAGACAGGATCCTGGGCAGAGACGTGGATACTGTCCATCTGGCCTCCGACGGAGAAATGGGCGCCAGAGTGGATGCCCAGGGACGCAGACCCGATGACACCGTTGAGGAGCAACTCGAAGTTCGAGGCGTTGGTCGCGTGTGCTGCAGCAACGAGTTCGGTGGTGTTGGTGTACGTTTGAGAGACGTAGGCGTTTAGATCGCGCATCAGGCAGATTTCATTGTAGGAGAATGCGTCGGCGGGTAGCGTACCGGTGGTAAGTTGCGTCGGATCGATGAACTTCAGCGGCGCCGTCATGTTCGCAAAGGGCCCGGTCGTGACGCACCCACCACCAGTACCATGAGGGATGGTCAATTGTGCGCCAAGGGTGATTGGGCCCGTGTCATTGTAGATGCCATCGCCCGACATGGAGTAGTCGGAGCCGTCGAAGATGGGGAACGCGTGAGGATCGGAAGCCGTGGCGGCGAAGTCCCAGTATGGGAATGCTCCGCTATAGCCACAGGTCTCTTGAAGGTCTGTCTCATAAAGCCAGAGGAAGTACCGATGCCAGGTCAAGAAGAAGGCATCAAGGTGGACATATTGTGTGCGGTTCACGTGAATGACAGCATAGTCCATGTATCTGCTGATGGCTGCGGGATATTGAACTGGGTCGAGTTGAGACGGCTGGACCATTAGACACTTCACGGCGTCCGTGTACGCTTTGCGGTCAGCGGCAGCCATGCCGTTGAAGTCCACCCGAGTTCTGATGTTATCGGGTGTACATGAAGAATCTCCTCTTCCGACATGTCTCGATGGTGCAGCGGAGCCGAACGAACTGAACAAAAAGGCAGCAGCAGTAAAGAAGGTCAAGAGCGAGTGTGGCATGATGAGCAACGTAAGCGAGCGTTCGATGTGCCCGTGGATGAGCGGTAAGAGACTGTAGACACACCAGCGAGACGGGGATGTACTCATCAAGAAGGAGAAAGAACATGTCCTCACCCATGGCAGGGGACTCGGATCTAAATATCAGGAGGGCCAGGCCATGGCGAGTAGGCAGTACGCGTCGAGCACCCTCGCCAACATAGGTGATGAATCTCCAGCATCTAGCCGTGTGTAAGCAGCAATGGTAGGCGAGTTGCATGAATGGTCGGCGTATGGGGAAGCTCGTGGTAGGTGAGAAGAAGTGGAGGGTCTGTGATGGAGGTGCGGTTTGCATTCTCGAGAGTCTCGATGCGTAACCGACAGGGTTAATTGCGGAGGCTGGAGGCCTTGACGGCCACTCAAACTTCAAATTCACTACAGCTGAGAGTAGATCCAAGCCATTGTTGGTTAGGCGCTCGGATCTGGCAATGAGCTTAACGGGGCTTCAAGTGCACCCTCAGAGTTCGCAGAAAGACCGGGATTCCTTGGCCAAGGCAGTTCATCGATGCTGGTCAAGGTCGTGTTGTCAATGCGGGGGACGTGTCTGGCTGGACCGGAATGCTCAGCCTTCCATTGAGTCCCACCCACTCTTCACCTCCACTCCGCTCCGTAGCACTCCGCGTGGTGCGGGAGGGGAGGAAAAGACTTTCGTCTACTTTCCCATTGCTCGTTGTGAAAGATGCCTTTCGTCCTCTAATATACTTGCGACTCAGTCTCCTCAAGCTTGGCATGAATTGCCGGTCGTGACATGGACACCCTCTCAACCACGAGCGGGACTCTATTGACCGCCGCAAGCCGCTCTCGCTGCAGTAGCACGGTGGCACTGACACTTGGCAAACGTAGGATTGGGTTTGGCCTGCACTTACTTTCCTTGGTGCGCCGACCTGTGTATGTCGGTCATGGTTGATGTATCTGGCTGCGGAGGGCAAGAAGGGATCAGGCGGGCTCGATCCATGTGGTTTGAACGTGTCGCCATGAAGATTCACATGCGCAAATATGCGCCAGTGGATGAATCCTAGCCACAAAGTTGCACAGATGGCGCGGCTCGATGGGTGGGCTCGAACTCTACCCTATTCATTAATCATAAAATCATTGCCCACGCAAAGCGCGGGAACTTTCTTCGTAGTAGATGTGGATCTCTGTGACATGGGTGGTTAGCTGGTCCTGAAATGCGCGGGTGATATTGGCTTGGATGAGACATCAATTTGTGCTCTCGGACGCAGGTATCCTCCACGCCCTGTTTTCGGTCCTCTGCTGGGTAACGGGTTCCTTCACACGAGAAATCACAACTATTCTCGTTGGTAACTCCTCGGTGCAGTGCATATCGGAGAAATATGCCAACCAGCTGTCGGTGCCACAGCCTTTTGATGCCTTTCATCAAGGTGGCCTGTTTGTCAGTTTTCATGGCCGCGAGGTAGGTCAGCGTCGCGGCCACTCTGAACGTTCTCGAGCGCGTTCGAAAGACCATGCAAACCCAAATAGCTTTAACTTGCCTGAACTTCGCATGAGCTGGCATGCGGTGTGTCAGCTTGGGTGCAATGCAAGGCTGCGCGGACCAAAAGAGGTGTACCAGTCAGTTATGCCACGAGCACGAGCCAGACACGCTTGGAATACTTGCGCCACATGTGCTATTTCAAATTGCTCAGAAACACCAGGATACTAGTTGGCAATTGGAAGTGAAATGAGACTTTGTCGTCGTCAGGGGTTCGTTCGCATGGCCACAGAGGGTCTTAAGATGGTGTTTCTGATTGCAAAGTCACTCTAAAGAGCAAGAGAGAGTCGATAGTCCTGAAGGCAGCTCAAGCTGCGGTGCATGAAGCCACATCGTTGTCTTATCCTCGGGCCATCGGCTCTGGCACTGTGACTGCACTGGCACTTCATTCTTGGTCTCTCTCAGGACGGCGAACTCTGATCTACTGAAGTGAGATGATGTTCCAGATCTTGAGACGGTAGGTATAGCACAGCAAGCAGACAAGTAGTCATGGGGTCTGGCAAGTTCAGGTTTTGCGTTGTCGTTGAAATGAGATCCTAATTTCAAAGCCTGGTGAGATGGACGGCGAGGTGGGCACATTGGGCAAGACAGTTTCATAACTGGTCTGCCTGTAAGCAGAAACATAGACACTGCTTCTCAGAGTCTGAAGCAGGTAGAAAGCTGATGGTATATCTTGAAGCTGTCACTGTCTGGGAGGCAGGAGAGTGAAGAGAAGTGGACAGGATCCAACATTTCGGCCCCCACGATAGTCGCAGTCACGTGGCCGCAGCTGGGACTCGAGAGGAGCACAGAAGGACAAGGCGCAGGCAGTTCGCAGTCTGGCAGTTTGCAGCCAAATGGGCAAAAGACCCGAGATCGCGGAATCTGAATCTGGCACTGGCTTGACTGGGCAGCAGAATCTTGAACAACTGCAAAGCGCAATATTTCTTCATCAACGGCGCAGGCACTGATCGAGCCCTTGACACTTCGAAGCGCAATCCCATCACAATCCGTCGTCAACGCGTCCGTCTCGATGGTACAACCTCTCTCGATCTCCATCTCTTCGTCCTCGTCCTCGCCCTCGCCCTCGCCCTCCTCTCCTCGACCTTCTCCAACCAACCAGTGACATGCCGAAACGTGTCGCAGACGAATATATAACCAAGGAACACGGCTCTATAGCGAACAACCCCACCGAAGACGGGAAGCCCAAAATGTCAACAGCAGCTCAAAACGCACGGCGAAAGTGAGTTGTTCTGTTCTGCATACCTTTGAATCCATCCCTTTGTCGCGCTTATGTTGTTGTCGCCCTCCTGAATTCAATACCCCAAAATTCATTCACTCTCCTCTGCCTCGGGCACCCTGCTCCAGTGGGTTGGCTGCAGTTACCCGTAGGCTCTGCACCCGCCGCCTTTCTTTGGCCCTGACCTCTTTCCTCTTCACTGAAAGCGCCCATCAACATCATTTACTGACTGCCTCTCAGGATAGCCACGCCGCGAGGTCGCCTAGGCGGAAACCGCTCGTCCCATTCTACCTCCTCCTTCGGCGGCACCTCGAATCCTTTTGCCCAAAGCACAACCCAACAACAGCCGTTTTCTACTATGAATGGCGCTGTCACCTTTGGCGCTAGTCAATCTTTTCCTCCGGGGTCTGCTGGCACAAGCACTTCTTTCAACTTTCAGCCTCCACAGGCGAGCTCCTTTACGTTTGGTGCGCCTACCGGTACACCCAATCCCTTCGCGAATCTGAATGGAACTGCGGACGCGCAGGATGTCTCAATGGAGTCACCCCAGAAGAAGCCTGCGTTTGGGAGTGCTTTCGGATCAAACAGTTTTACATTTGGCCAAACGGCAGGACAACAATCCAATGCCCCAGTCAGTTTTGGTGGAACTCAGACTGCAAATACAAATGGCACCGGTTTATTTGGGCAGTCCTCGAAGCCCACAGAGCCTTCTGCTCCAACGAACCCGTTTGCTCAGCCTTCCCAGTCACAGCCGTTGTTTGGCGGGTTCGGTCAGTCGTCGTCGACGGCGGTGTCTCAGACACCAGCATTCAGCTTCGGCCAAAGCACATCTGTTCCACAAAGCCCCCTTCCCGCTTTCGGCACCAAACAGGGTCCTGATTCGCAAATTTCAGCCTCAAAATTCACCTTTGGGCAAACCAGTGCTACGCCTCAGAATCAAGGCACTGGGCTTTTTGGCTCTAATACATCGGCACCCCAAAGCGGTGTCGGCAGTATGTTTGGATCTACCCCAAATCAGACATCTAATGGATTCGCTTTCGGACAAAATTCTGCCCAAAGCGCCCCGACAGGCAATCCCTTTGCCAACTCGAGCGCCACGAAAGCGGAAGAGCCCAAACCTGCCACTCCGTTATTTGGCGCCCAGGACACTTCCCAGCACGCTGCTGAGGCGCAGCAACAATCTTCATCTCCAGAGAAGCCCGCTGCTTCGGAATCCAGTGCGCCGCCTGCTAACCCTTTCGCTGGTCTTTTTGCCGGTGGCAGCGGTCCAACCCCAGCCCTTTCCGCCTCCAAACCCATATTCAACCTTGGTACGACAAGTCAGACGGCCGCGCCCGCGGCTGAGGAGCAAGAAACGACCACAAGTAAGTCGCCATTCAGCTTTGGTACCACGGCACAACCTAAACCAGCCGCGGACGCATCAGAACCGAAACCGTCAAGTGCGGCGTTCAAATTCGGCTCTACGACGCCAGCAACGGGATCGACAACTTCAGGCCTCTTTGGGGGATCAGGAAGTTCTGGTCCGCCTACATTTCAACTGGAGGCTTCTAAAGCTGGCTCTGCGGTGGAAACTGCGCAAGGAGATGCTGGGCAACCCAGGGATGCCGCGCCGAAACCATTGTTCGGCTCCACCACCCCATCGAAACCTGTCTCTGGTGGAGGATTATTTTCATCTGCGAAAGGTCCCGAAGAGGGCAAGGGCGCAAGTGCAAGCCTCTTCAGCAAGCTAAGCAGCGCTGTTGAGAGTTCACCCCAACCTTTATTCAATGCACAACCCAAGGCCACGCAAGAGAGCAGTCTGCCCCAAGCATTGACCACGAATCAGTTCTCCAGTGCGCCAAAATCCGGCGTCGATAGAAGTACGAGCTCTGCAGAGTCAACCTTTCCCCAGCCGTCCCCGGCTCCTACACCGTTCAGTGGTCTGTCCCGGCCAGAATTTCAACAATCTCAAGCCACGCAAAAGTCTTCACCCACCCCCAGTGTCTTCTCCATCACCACTCCGCAAGGCGGTGAGCCTCCAGATGCAGAGCCAAACCTTTCTGCACGGACCTCGAGTGGCCTGGCACAAAAGCCTTCAGCAAATGTTGAGGATTCTGCCACGGATTTGGAACCGGTGAAGAGACCAGTATACACTAAGGCCCCATCACGTGTTCCTGGCCACACAACTCCCGAACAGTTTCAAGAGTTTGATCGGGATTACCGTCTTCATTCTCTGAACTACGGCTTCCAGAAGAAGATAGCCACCCTGGACCCGCGCTCGCAAGACTTTGAACATATCATCCGGCATTATGTAGCTGCGCGTGACAGCATCGGCGCATCATTGGGGTTGTTTGTGCGCAACGTTGCAGGAACAAAACGAAAAGGCGATCAGGTTGATGATCGCGAAGAAGAAATCGAGCAGAACAAGAGACCCCGAGAAACAAGTTCACAGAAACCGTTCACGTTTGGTTTGCAAACCACTCCTGCAACTTCTGATTCAACCGTGCCGGCGGCAAACAATACTACTAATGGTAGTCGGGGATTTTCAACGGCGGCTAGCACCATTAAGGACAACGTCTCCGGATTTGGTTCGAATAACATTTCTGGGGCTTCGCCAGCCACAACGGGGTTCAAACCAAATGCAGTCCCCTTTTCAGGGTTTGACTCGGCCCCAGTTGCGAGTGCTAATCCTTTTTCCAATGCAAATCAGACAACAAACAAGCCTTCATCCATGCCATCGACAACACCAACGAAACCACCCCCGAAACCAGCGACTTTTGAAGTTCCTAAGTTTGGGAGTAGCAACACAAACTTCCTTGCTGCATTCGGTCAGAAAGCAAAGGCAAATGCCGATAAGTTCGAGAGAGATCTTATTGAAAAACGCAAGGCGGAGGAGTTCGATTCGGATGAGGACGACGAGGAGACGTTCAACAAGCGCATCGAAGAGGAGAACCGAGCGAAGAAGGCAAAAATTGATGCTGTGGCAAAGGCTGGGTTCAAACCAACGTTCGGTGCTAGTGCTGTCGTACAGCCCTCGGAGAAGGAGGCTACCAATGCATCATTTGCAGGGTTCACCCCTTCAGCGTCTTCTAACCCTTTTGCTTCACTCACGTCACAAGACGAAAACGCAGCACAGTCAGCAGCCGCAGACGAAGATGAGAATGAGAATAGCGGATCAAGCCATGATCAGCCCGCAGAGAGTACCGAAGAAGAAACCGGTGACGATAGCCAAGAGGAAGTCGAGCCCGAAGATGACCTTCCGGAAGATGAGGTTACCGAAGACAACGGAGAGGAAGAGGACGAAGATGATAATGACCTGCAGGCAGCCATGGATAGGGCAAGAAGCAACCCAAATGCCGGTAAGAGTTTATTCGATCGCATTGAGCCGAATCCGAATAAAGAGAAAGCGACACCAACGAACGGAGAGAAAAATGAGCCTGGAGCGGGATCGTCTTCTGGCATGCAGCCAGGGAAGAACTCCTCGTTTGGTTCGTCGACCTGGGGATCTCAAGTTGGCAAATCGACACCTGAACAACCGTCGATTTCTCCCTTCAATTCCTCCACTGGTGCATCAACTCTCAAGCCAGCAAGCGGATTCCACTTTACTCCGACCCCCGCAAATACTCCACCTACGACGGCTCCTGGTTCTTCAATCTTTTCCGGTGGAGCTATCAGACAGGGTCCAGTCCCGGGAGAGGGTTTATTTGGCTCTCGACCGAGTACGCCGAGCAACGCAGACCAGAACGCCAGCCTCGCCAAATCGGTTCTCACTTCTCCAGCGGGGACCGACAACACGTGGAAGCAAGGTGCACCTATCTCTTTCGCAAATGGAGAGAAGCATACGAGTGCTCCTATTTTCAAACTTACCGCGGCCTCCCCAGGCGAGAACGAGAAGGACTCGGCCCCCTTCAAGCCGCTCAGCACTCTCTTTGGCACAACTGCCCCGGGCTCGAGAGGCTCCGACACACCGAGTTTAGGCTTTCAATTTGGTGCCCCTACGCCGTCACCAGCGCCTGGCTATCTGGGTGCCATTTCTCATCTAGGAGGTGGGTCTGCGGCTAGTTCTGCTGTCTCGTCTCGTGCCACCTCGCCTGGGCTGACAGATAACGAATCTGTTGCTACAAACGAGACCGAGGAAAGCGTCGACGATCCGCAAACTTCGCTGATGGACTCACGAGCAGGGGAAGAAAATGAGAATTGCCTTTGGGAAGGCCGCTCCAAAGCCCTTATGTTTGTCACAGCTGAAACAGCAAAGGGTACCAAACACACTCCCAACGACTGGAACTCGATGGGCGTGGGCCAGATCCGAGTCCTCAAGAACAAAGAGACCAACAAAACCCGCGTGGTGTTCCGCGTGGACCCGAGCGCTAATATTCTTTTCAACTCTCATCTTGTGGAGAGCACGACCTACGAGAGTGTCCCGAGTAATAAGAGTGGCGCAGTCAGAGGCGCACTGATGTATAAGGGGAAGATCACGCGGTTAGTGTTCAAATTGAAGACGCCAGAGATGGCGAGTGAGTTAGCCAAGATTCTGGAGGAGAACAAAAGTGCTTGAAAAATTCTCGCGAGGGCGTTTCGTGCTATGTGATGGATGGATGGACGGTCGAGCAAGAAAACGGAGCATCACATGTACCAGACGCAGAGATTTGCACAGCGGTGGAGTTTTCGAGGGGTTTGAACTATCAATGTACAGCAACAAGATACGTGTGTGATATGATGCCCACCACATCCAAAGTTTCGCACACGAGACGATATTGTGTATGTCTGTCCATCCAGGTTGAGCTCGGTTTCAAGAGAGATTATCGCCTTTGTCGCCTCTGGTTGCCATTGGGTACACACAGACTGAGCTTGTCTCTTGGAACACTGATTGCTCCCTGGGCGTCCGACAGACCAATGTGGGAAGCGCTGGAGCGATGTAGGTGAGGCTTGGGACTGGATTGGAAAAGAAACCTGCAGCAGGCCTAATACATAGAACTCTTGGCATAAAAAAAGGAAACTGCATGCTCGGAAATTTTAGGTGTCATTCTCTAATCTGAGATGGACGGTGCTTTTCTCAACCACCTTCTTGCCCGTAGCGAAACAGAAACATGCAATTAGTGTGCACGTGGAGCCCTTTTGTGGTCACCGGTCATGGTATCTCATCTCGTCACGGCTGGCTGGCTTCCCCTTCTTCACAACGGATCTATGCAGTGCATCTCGCGAGGACCCGGCTTCCTGAATTTGACCGCAGAACCGCCCATCCATCAGTGCAGTCAGTCGAGGTCCCCAACAACCCCAGTCTTCTTTCACGTTATTGTGGACCGCAGGTTCTTTGGAGTCTACGAGTCCTCAACAACAACAGTCTGCAAACCCTTTGCCTCCCTCTCCTTGACGTTGACGGCCTGGACGTACGAGTACAACTTTTCCACGGCTCCTTCTTCGTCGTTTCTCTTACGCGAGATCCGGACGCGCAGGCGGAAGGGCACGCCCTTGATTCCCGACTCCCACACTTTCTTGTTCAGTTGCGGGTCCAGGCGGACGTCGTTTGTACCCTATAACATAAGAGAAGAGGGGAAGAGTGAGTTGAAATGGACCATAGTAAGAGAACAAGGAAGGGAGAAGGGAGGGGGATGGGTGATGTGCGTTTCAGAGAGTCAAACGTACCATAGCCTGTGTCGCGAATCTTCGAATCTCCTTGATCGCTCGGGGCGCTCGCTTCTTGAAGCTGACGCCGTGAACCTTTTTGTGAGAGAGAGTGATAAATCAGTCTTCCGTCCATAATGCTTGCATAGGTGGAAAATTCGAGAAATTATAAGAGAAAAAAAAAGAAGTGAGGTGAGGTGGGCGAGCAAGCCGTTCGGGTGGACTTCATAAAACTGATTCCCTCATGGTGTGATACATCCCTCCTCTTCTTATCCTTTCTTTCTCTCTTTTCTCGTGCATTGCGGAAAGGGGACGCATTCCGGGTCTTTTCGAGAGGATTCACGGGACATGTGGCAGACATACTCGCTTGTGCAGATGGATGGTGTACTCGCGCGCGACGACGTCTCCGATGGCGGATCGAGACTTCTTGGGCGCCGCCGTCTTCTTCGGCTGGGTCTTGGGGTTGTCTTTCACCATTTTGGAAGGTATTCTAAGACCAGAGGTTTGGTTAGTTGCAGAGATTCCTTCTGGGGCGCCTTTCTTGCGGTTTTTGTGGTGATCTTGAGAAAAGACCAACACGGAAGAGGGAAATAGGTGTAGGCAGAAGGATCGCTTTTTACATACAGTCTGGATTGGCGAAGGACTGAAGACACTGGCGGGATGCTGAACTGGCGGGTGGAAGAAGAACGCCTTGGATTGAAATTTGGATGTGCGCAGTCTGCCCGAAAAGGGATAGGTGGTGCCAAGATTTCAGTCACGTGCAGAACCATTTCCATCGAAGCAGCCCGCGCGACACTCGGGGCAATTTATTATCAGAAGTCGATCCGGAAGGCGGAGTAGATACGTACAATTACATACGAGGTTATTTCGAAACCGACCTTTCTTTGTTCAATTGTTGAAAGATCAGGTCTGTTGCAGTATCTATCCTCGTCTCTCTTGCTGCGAATGCTCCAGTAACAACTCGTCTATCTTTCATTCGTCGTATCGCACCTTTCCGGCACTCACGTCGGGATAGACATCAAACCTTCTCTGGGTGTAAATCGGGATGCCTTTTCTCGTCTCTTCAATCTTTGCGCCGTCGATTTCAGCATAGACAATATCCTCGTGTTCTTGAGCCTCAGCCAAGACTTCTGCATTGGGGTTTACTATCATGGAGTGCCCATAAGCATGATACGTTGCCTCCGTATCTCTCGCGGGACTGCACATGGCCACGTAAATCTGGTTGTCCATTGCCCTTGCACGGGCCTGTAATGTCCAGTGCATTGGCCCCGTCGTCGTATTGAAGGCGCCAGGATAAACGAACATGAAAGCATCCTTCCTTGCGGCTATCATGGCGAGTTCGGGGAAGCGAACATCATAACATATGGCCAGTCCAATCTTACCATACTCCGGTATGTCGATAATAGTCACCTTGTTTCCTGGAGACAAGACGTCACTCTCTTTAAACTTGATCTTTCCCGGTATATCGATGTCAAACAAGTGTGTCTTTCGATGCGTTGCCAGAAGCTTCCCTGAGGGCGAGAAGACCAGAGAAGTGTTGAAGTATTCTTTCGTCTCCGGGACGAATTCTGGTATACTTCCGCCGATCAGATACGTCTTGGTCTCTGCTGCAACTTTGGACAACATATGCCACGAGGGTGACTTGTCTTCAGAGGGAGGCGAAGGTAGGACCGTCTCAGCATATTTGGGGAAATATTGGCAGCCATATGGAGAGTTGAAGCATTCGGGGAGGACGATCATGGAGGCGCCAGCCTTTGCGGCCTCGATCACTTTTGAGCGGGCATGTGCGAGATTCGCTGCCTTGTCACCGCCTGTCCATGTATCAGAATGATTTCTCTGTGTCCAGATTTGAAATAGGGTACTCACCACTTACCTGATGCGAGCTGCACGAGCGCAAGCTTGAAGGGCTTTTTCAGTAAACTTGCCATTGGTGTGAGTTCAAGTCAAGTCGCAGGGCACGCCTGGTAAATTGAGCGACACGCGGAATGTGATGCCTTGAAAATGACTTGCTGATTTGCAACAAGCCACATGGAAACTGCTATGCAAGACGATTAGTACAAGTGGACCTGGACAACGGAGAGAGAGACATCCCTCACCATCATTTAGCAGAATGTTTCGTTGCGGGGAGCCTTAGCTAGAGGGAAGGTGAACCGAGTATCAACTTGGCGTCAGCGTTCAATTGACACACTTGTCTTGTCCTCAGAGGTTTTTCTTGTGATGACTGCCTGACAGCGACTCTTAATACAACAATGAGACTTTGTAGTCTTTGAGATAAATTACGGGCAACCATCAGCTGGTCTGCTGACGATGGATCAGACAGAGATGCGCAGGATTGTTCTGAACCGCGTCGCTGAGCTTTCCCGGAGTGAAGATGGGAAGCGACCTCTGAGGGGAGAATGAAGATGTACAATGCGTGCTAATGCGTTCTAAAGCGGGCTTCCCTGAGGACCAAAACACACCGTGCTACGCATTCATTCTTCACTCATCTGTCCCAGCTCTGCCCGACCTGGATCTCTCTTGCACTTTCCCTTCTTGCCTGTTCCTGCGCATTGGACGGGTAGGTACTTTCCTTTGTCTTCCGTTGCCCTTCACCCGCAGTCCGAAAGTGAAGCCAGTTCCGTCTTCACTTTTACCACTTCAGTGACACTTCTCTGCTTCTTTCTCATCTTCTCCTCTCCTTCCCTCAATCAAATTGCTGAAACAGCCTGCACTTTACTACTTGATCCTTGACTGCCTCGCCAACACTGTCTCTATCATAGAGAAGTCAAGGTCAGTATCACACTCCTCTGTCATGTCCATCTCACTCATTGCTTTGACAAACAGTCTGTGACGTGTCGAGTGGACCCTTGACCATGGCCGATCACGCCACCAACGACAAAGCTGAGCCTGCCCAGGCTGCCGCAGGTGGCATCAAGCAGAATGAGGCCAGCACAGAATCCGCCAAACTTCAGACTGGGGGTGCAACTCATCAGTTTGCCACGCCTAAGGAAGACGAGGGTAGCTCGAACAAGCGAGCAGGAAGTGCCAAGAAGCAAAATCGCACCCCAGCGACATTCAGTGTTGCCACGGAGGACAGTGTGAGGGAGATGATGAACAACGCTCGTAGAGTGCTCCAAGAAAATGGAAACTCGGCTCAGTCAGGAGACGACTTGAAGGACATGGCATTGCTTGCCACGAATCTTGTGCAGCTCATGAATGCCTCTTTCATTGTGAGTGCTTTTCGCCATCCGCTGGAGTTTCGACTGACTGACTTAACTTGCACAGGCCACTGACACCATCGTTCGCGCCATTGCCTACATGAGGGGAGACAGTCAACTTACTGCTCGGAGTGCCATCTCCCAAGCCAGACGGGACCGTCGTGCGCAGAAGAATGCTGAGCAACCACTCGAAGACGTGAAGAACAGTCCCTTGAGCACTGCTGCTCCGGGTGGTGAGAAAGCTGGGAACAAATCTGCCGCATCAAATGTGAACACAACCTTTGACATTACCAAAGTCAGTGCTAATGTCGCTCCAAAGCAGGAAAATACTGCACTCGTCAATGGGGATCAGCAACAGAAAGCACATTCGCTTCAGCCAAAAGCCAATAAGAAAAAGAGCCGGCGGAATTGGAGGGATCGACGATCCATGCGGAAGCAAAAGGATGGCGTTGACCCGGAAGTGCAAGCAAACCAGGCAAATGTGACAAACAGCGAAGTCAATGGCGTGAGCGAGTCAAAGGAAAGTGTGGACAAGAAGGCAACAGCGGGCGAACACAAGCCTGAGACATCTGGAGAAGAGACTGCGGCTGAGGGTGAAGGTGCGGTCGTTGCTGTCAAGGCTTGAGACTCTGACCGTGGAGAAGACTGTCGTGCCAGTGGTAATGAAAGAGTGGGCAAGGTAGAAAAAATGGAGAGTCGCAGCTATCGGACAAGTAACGGATGGGTTTATGGAGCATCTTACTAGCTGTATACAGCATTGATGATGGGACAAACGCAGACCTGGTGCGGAAGAAGTCGAATGCACATGGTTAGCTGCCTCACAAGGAACTATTTGCTAGCTTTAATACCCATTGAGTCCATGAACCCACCTCCCTCCGTTGCACACTGCGCTCAATCTTAGTCGACCGCCAGCAAACCCCCACGTCGTTATGAATCGTCAAGCCTTCCGTTCGATAGCTTCGACAGAGACCTAAGTCAACTGCTTGAAAGGAAGCCACACTATCCTGGACACCGTTGGGTAGGGAAGCTCTCCCCTGGGTAGACCTGAAGGCCGAGGATAGTCAACAAAAAGGCCCGAGTGTTGCTCAGTAATTAAATCTAGGGTTCTATCCAGACAAGCAACTCCGCTAAAGTGAATGGAGAGAGCATCCGATCCATTTCAAAGTTCTGTGGTAAGAACAGGTGGGGGCCGCGACATGCCTATGATACAGACTCCCTTTTCACTTTGCTGGCCAGTGGTTTAGAGTTGTTTCCGTGACATTGCGGTGCAGAGCTTCTCTCGGCGCATGCTTTCCAGGGTTCGCGTATTCCAGTATACGGGCATTCTGCAGACCTTTGGCAACCGTGAAGCCTTCGCGGCTATCTTGGTTGGTGTGATTTCCCTCCGCATCGGCTGGTATGTCGAGTGAGTTCTCTTTCCACCCCTCAGGTGCAGGAGGCCGCGTCTCAGGAGCCAAGGTCCGCCGATCCATTTGCCATTTACGGTATGTCTGCAGGATATTCCAAGGAAATGCCAGGAGCTCCTGGCAGCTGTGGGCCTCGCCGCAGGTCTCGCACGCAATCGTGGCAATCGGCTCGAAATGTCGTGTCAAGGCATCCAAGGAGTGCAAACGAATAGTGACGAACCCGGCGGTGTCTAGTTCCGGGTACAGCATCGATACCACCACCAATGCGCTGTACAGGTGGGCCAAGAAGACGAGGATCAAGGGCTTCGAGCCACTGATGTCGCTAAAGGAGATGGCCTCTCGGCTGGTCATCCCACAAAACGGGTGAACGAGCCAGAACGGATCGTACTTTTGGCCGTTCGAGTGTTTTGCTTGGGCCATCCGCAGCATGTCTGCCAGGCCCCGCACCGTCGTGCAAAGCTCTTTCTTGTTTCTGAAGCACGTTACCAACCGGTTCATTGCGGTCAACCCTTGTTCCAGTAGAAATTCGACAGCTGCCTTGGCCGACTGTACCGTGACCAGAGGAGCAGATATTGTTGGCTTTGGGCAATAAGAAGAGCCTTGTTGCTCCAGGGTGGGGGATTGGGAGTCTTGTGTGTCAGGATCGATGCGTTCGTACAGCAGTCGCACTCCAGATGATGCGGCCCATGGTCGCATGGCCTCGACCACCGCTTGTGTGCCCTGCATGACTCTCCGCAGATCGGCTGGTGTCTGTTGGTTGAACATCAAGCTAATGGACGCTGCCAGTACCCCATCGGCATTCTCCCTCGAGAAACATGCAAGGGCCTGTTGCAAGCCTTTCAATGCCAATGACCTGTACCACACTGCGTCCTCCATGACGCTGGCCATCTTGGTCAGTTTTCCGATACGGCTAGCCGCCGCCACTATCTGAGCGTACGCAACGAAGTCATACTTCGCTGTGGCTTGGATGCCCCTGTGTTGGTGTTAGTGGAACTTGGCTTCTGAGGGTCGGCTCCGGGACAGGGCATACACTTCGTAGGTATCGTACCAGAGGGCAAATTGCTGGGAGTTGTTCTGGTCCAAAATGTTTCCGAGAGACGCAATGTAGTAGAGGTACCGGAGACCTCGCGGATCCAGACCGTGCCAATCAAGAGAGGATAGAACTTTCAGCATTGGGAACGGAGTATCCCCGCTTTCCCTCCAGGTCTGACACGCGAATTCAAGCGACTCTACCCAGGCGATGGACCTCGCGTGGTCTAAAGCGGTGCCTGTCGATGACTTTAGGTAGACGCATGCTCGCGAACCTCGAGCACAGTTTTGGCTCGTATCCCCGTTAGTGTCGGAGTTGCTGGATGCCAGTGGCCTTGGGAATAGCACTATACTCACCACGTCGGTCTGGCCTGATCGCATCTCACGCGCCGGGACAGGCAAGTTTTACATCCGTCCTTGGATTTACCATGACTCCTTCGAAGGATAGCGGGATGGGGAGCCATGAGCTCGCACTTGACCACCTGAGTACACACAGTACTATGTAGCTGTTCCTTGGTGAAGTAAGGAGACTGTTCAGCTTGAGAACATGAAGTTCCCCCGTTAAAATCGACGTGTTCCTTCCTCTTAATGGATTTCACGGTCCCCACTTTGCCATCAACGAAGGAAGGCTGATATCAATCCATCGCCCTACATTTCTGGACACGAGCACTTCTGGCCCGCCCACCGTCAACCGCGCCATAGATCGCCACAAAGGAGCCGCTTGACGTGATTGAGCGTGCCATAGAAGGGAATCGTTACCGTTTCCCAGATTTGTGACGGACGGGAGTATAGGTGATTGAACAGGCAGGAACTTTGAAGAGACTTCGACGCTGAATGGGGACGGGAGGCGTCTGAGGCGCCTTGAATTGAAGACGAAACGCATAGCATTTGCGATTAGGGCATGTAACGGTGCCTGCTTGGGGTGGTTAAGCCTCGAGAAGACTGCAAGCTTTCCACTGATGGCGAAATTCTGGCGTGGCTTTCGCATCGTGTAATGTTTAGCAGGTCGGCGGTGCAGGATCCCCATTGACGGCGGCTCAAAACAGCAAAACGTAGAGCGGTTGAAATAGGCAAGAGGTACCCGGCTCTCATTGGCCGATAGTGGCGAGATCAGGAACAGCTTCGCTTAGTCAGAGTATGCCAAGACCTTGGCACCAGCTTGGCATTATGTAACTCGTCAAAGTTCAAAAACTTGTGCAAAGTCAGCCACATTGATTCCTGCTTGTCTATGTCGTGATGCTGATGTCTGATTCCACAACGAACCGATACTCCAGAGCCGCAGCTTTGTCATCGCAAGTTTATGGTCCCCGTGGGCACAGCCCTGCCGGAGCTCCACGAAAGGCAATCATAACCTGGGTGACCAGGGGTTTCATAACCCCAATCTGGCGAGATGATCAATCAATTTGCCGACTCCTGGGGCGTCATTTTGCGTTTCATCCAGCCCTGGCAGACTGCGTGAGATCATTGGTTACTGCGCAACATCAAGCCTCTTTTACTTCTCGCTTGCATGTGTCAACACTAAACTGGGCACAGCATGGAGAATCCACCCTGACGAGGGAGACCGGATCTCTTGCAGAGGTTGGGTTACTGCTGTGGTCCAACGACGGGGACATCGCGACATTCCGATCCTTAATGTTTCTCCCAGGTGATGCTACTACTATGTACACGACCTCACCTTACCGATCAGCCTTCGACTTGAAGCTCTGAAATGGCCAACCACTGCCCAGAATGCTTTCTGTACCACAACCAACTAGAACACAAGGTCGGAGACAAGCAGACTATTAAGAGGTGGGCTACATATGTCTTGTTCGTCCCAACTACAGCAGAAGTCGCTGTGCTGCTCCACTGGCACGCAGAGACCTGCGTTCGTTCGAGTTGTTAACAGTCCCCACTACGATCCCAAGCAGCAAAGAGATGTGAATTTCAAGTTGTGCCCTTTGTCAGGCCATGGCAACTGCGACCCAGCGCCTGAAGCTGTTGTTCAACCTCTGAAACCACTGTCTGACAACTTGAAAATTAGCTTTGCCTACCGCCTACAAGTACAGCATTATTATGTACATCGTATATACTACATAAGTACTATGTACTGTATACATACAACGACACCTTTCAATCAGTTCACACCGTGGAGAACACCTGGCGTTGGAAACTCCACTTTCGGGGAACACTCTCAAACTTGAACCTCAAACGCTCCTTCGAGTCAAAGTACATATTGCTCTCATATAATACTATGTAGCAATACTAAGTATGTATTGTACGGCAAGGGGCACATGGCAAGTTTTAAGCCATCTTCAGGACTTCCCGCCATCGTTTCCCGACCTTCTGCAAAGCTCAATTAGCGCGAAAAGCGATCCGTGTGAGGCCAAGATCGTACATATTACATAGTAGTGCTACATAGTACTAGTAACTTGAACTATCCATCGCTCACGCTCTAGTTACATAGTAGTAATGGTACTACTAAGTATGTACATACTAAGTAGTATGTAGTACTATGTATGTACTATGCTACTAAGTATATATAGTACTATGTATATATATATATATATATCTACATATATGTACTACATAGTATGTACTATGGACATAGTATGTAGTAGTCATATAAAAATACTATATACTATGTATGTATATATGTATACTATATGGTATACATATGTACTATATACATACTAGTACTGTGTAGTGTTGACCCTATACTATGTAGGTGTGCGCAGCTTCCTCTTTTGACGGGCGGTGTTACTACATACATAGTAGTACTACATATACATAGTACTTCTAATAAACCTACATAGTACATATAGACGCTTGGCACTTTCTTCCAAGCCTACTATGTACATAGTACATAGTACATATGGCCGTAGGGCGTCCGCCTCCTGGAACCACAAATTCAGTAACGGAGATAAGGTTACAGCTAAACCTAATTCAATAATTTACGTGATATCTTTTCGACCCCTACCTACATAGGCTTTCCATCCCGGAGTCGACCCAGTTCCAGCCCGGGTCAAACCACTTGAAATCAGTCTGACTCACTTGGAACCGGTCTGACTCGGTTCTGACTCGGTTTGAAACCAGTCTGGATCCGAGCTGACTCGGGCTGGGCTCGGGCTGGAACCGGTTCAATACTATGTACCTATAGGGAGGGGCAGGGTACTTAGTACATACTATGTATGTACATACATACTAGTACATACTAGTAGTATATACAAACTATATACTACATACCTACATAGGTAGTAATATATGTAGTACTATATAGTATGTATTACTACATATACTATGTACTATATATCAATACTATACCTCCGATGTCTTTATCTCCCTAATACATAGTAGTATATACAGTGTGGACTTAGTAGTATGACCTTCACTTAGTCCATAATACCGCCCCACCACCTACTCCATGCCTCCTCAGCGGATTCTCCCTCCCTTTGTCGTCCTCAACCTTACTCACGTACCCAATAAGGTCTCCGAAGCCGCACTTTTGGTAGAATGCTTCTTTGCCGTCCGCGGACATGACGCACGCAGGAACATCGCCTATTGGATCCGACCGCGCCATCTCCAGCCCGTGCTCCACCAGCTCCCTCCCGAACCCGCGCCCCTGGAAATCTGGATGCACGCCCAGAATATCAAGCGACCAGTGCGTCTGCCGGTGCGGGGCGTTCATGAACTGTATGCTAAATGGTTTGAGCGCCGGACCCATCGTCCAGTACGTAAGCGGTCGAGGATTCTCCAGAGTGGGACGGACGGCGGCTTTGTTGCGGAATATAAGCCGTCGGAGGCGATAGAATATGGACAGGAGGGGCTTCAGTAAACGACCTAAGGTACATAGTAGAACTTGTATCAGTCGACACATCCATAATCGCTCTTTCGAAAATAGATTAGATTGGCGGACTTACGCGGGTCCCACCATCCCCAGAGTCCACAGACGTGGAATGATCCCTCACCGGCTCGCTCCCATTCAGCGATGCCGGTGATGGTCTCGCCGTCCGTCTGGATAGACGGCTCGGAGTTGGCTGTCGACGATGATCCTAGTATCAGAGCTTGTCGCTCCCCACCATCCGAGGGTGCCTCGATACGCGTCACCTCATCGGTGTTGGGCTTATACGAGACCATCAACACCTTCCGATAGTCGTACCACGACAGCCACAGGCTTTCACGCAGCGCCCGTTCAAAATCCGCCGGGTGCTGCTGTTTGAAAGGAAATAAGACCTGGAACATACGATCTGGCCCGAAAGCTGCTGCGAGAACCGTGGCCATGACGGGGATGTCGGCCGATGCGGCCCGCCGGACTGGCATGCTTGGTTCCGTTCCGAGGAATGACTGGCTCTTGTTGTTTTGGAGCTAAGGATCAGTAATAGTAGTATAGTAGTACCTCGTAATGGCAAGCTTCTGATCAGTTCGAAGGAGCCCGGAGATTGTGAAAATATCGTGTTGGGATATCTCGTACCAAAGCTGCCACTGCGCTTTAAATGAAGGCCAATCGTACTCGTATCTATCTGCAAAAAGGGTGGGGTCTAGTCCACTCACCAGGCCTTAACCAGGCCTTTGAATTTAGCTCATTTCGCCGACAGTCGGGCGCGAATTACTCACTAGTTGCCGATGATAAGGACGGAGTACTTTGCATCGCTCTATCCGCTCGCCAACTCTGGCCCCGAGACCGATACATCGTCTCCCGGATGCTACTAATAGCAGTGTTCCTCAAAAGCTGAAGCAACCTTAATGTGAAGTCGACTTTCTCAATCGCGGTTGCTTGTTTTGTTGTCTCTTCCTCGTTGTCCGCGGTGAAGTGTACTCCACATATTTGCAAATGCTGAATTCTTCACTTCTGTATCTTCCAGGTGGTCAGACCCTTCTTCATGCGAGACATTCGATCCGCCGTCGTTCTTGAGTCCCTCATTGTATGCTCCTTAGACGCTGGCGTGATACCGTGTACGACCTGGAGGACAGAAATTGATGGTTGTGCTCTTCCCTAAGAGCTCGTCGAAGTTGTCATTTTCTATCCGAGCATAATTTCTCGTGTCATTTACTCTTCTTGGTCCCATGAGCACCCAGAGAATCCGTCTGGTAGGATTGTCCATCAGATCCATATCGGCCGACATTGTATCCAAACACAGCGGCCTGTGTTGTGTCAAATTTGCGTGGGTATGTACTGATTCAGGGTCGGGATAGCGGTGGAGAGGAGGGAGTAGACAGCCTCAGCCTGGCAAAGGAGAACAGGTCCAGTGAGTGCGATGCCTGCATTGGATATTGAGCTGAATTCAGAGAAATATTTGATTTGTAGGCATTCCAGCACGTGGATTTGACTCACCAATCCTGAGCACTTCTCGGGATCCGGCTGGATGGCTTCATTATATGTAGATATACACCCGGCTGTGGCTGCAATAACTGAACCTAAGCTTCAGAGTCCACAGATAGCAACGGTTCTTCCGCAGTAAAGGTCTTCCTCATGCTGGCCGACAGCAACAAACGCCTTCCCAACCAGAGGGCGGAGCGCTTGCCGCCGAAGAGGGTTCAACCGACAGGAAAGGAACGTCTCCAGCCCCTAGCGACTTCCAATACCGTCAGCCTGAACATGAACCTGCATCAAGAGTTCCGTCAGGTACACCTTGGAAGCTGTTTTTGCATCACTCGGAGACCACAGCGTATATGTGAAGAGCCGAATCCGCCGTCGACGGTTGCAACCATGAGAGAAATGAATTGTGGGACCGCAACAATCTGTCGATCATGAGCTTCCTATCCAGAAGTATAATGGCGAGCTCTTCAAACAGACCGTCTCGGCAACAGAGATCCAGTCTTCGATGCCCATGTTCCTGTTCTTAATCACGAGACGCATTCCCAGCACCACGAGGGAGTAGACCATGAATAGGGTGCCCATTGTCAAAAACGATCCCTGGGTGATGATTCTATTTGTAGTGACAAGGGCGCAGGCCCAAGGCAGGCACCTCGTCTGAAGAAGTACTCTTGTTGAAGGTTGAGGTTCAATATCATCGAATGGGGCTCTCCGACAACATTAAGACACTATATGTGAACATTGTCAAGAGTGTCAACTCCCAGCGGTGTGCAAGCGAGTTACTGTCTTCGGCACACGGTTCTGACTCCCTATCATTTGAGAAGCTGCATGTTGGACGCAGGACTAGTGCAGGAGATCTTTTCCTTTGCCATATCGGTACCTTGCGCCATATCGGTGGCTGGCTCTGACAGTGTCTTGGACGCCATGATACCAGGTCGAGAAAGCAGAATGTTGGCCAGGATCCGAAACCGCAAACCTTGTCCTTGACAACGTCAATCCTTGCACGATTTGCATCTACTCAGCTGATGATTCAAGGGAGAACGCGCCACTGGGGTATACTATGGCGAGTTAGGCTCCCGTGAGAGACGCCATAGATTTGCAGATGGAGTTCTCGTACATACTTTGGGAGTGGAGTTCAGCGCACAGACCATGCGTCGCCCTCTGTCAGGAACCCACTTGCCATTGCCCCGGCATATCTTTCTTTTACCCAGTGAGCCCCGTGATTGTGACGAGCATGTTGATCATGCCGGCAGTCCACCTATAGGCAACGAAGACCCGTCATTCGCCCCTAGATCATTAGAGTCGGAGGGGACCATTCATACCGCCGCACCACCCGTGGGTTAGATCGACCGCGAACGAAGTTTTAGGGAGTTGCATCTTCCTGTTCGTGCGCTTGCGAGAGGGTCCTTTCGACATTTGGGAATGCATTTCCGCAGTGCCTGGGCGTGATAGACAACAGAAGAGAGCAGGTCGCCTTCTGCTGCAATTTTTCAATCTCGCATTAGTCCAGGATTTTCGCTAGAGGAAGACTTGTGCACTCCCTGTATCTCCTGTTCTTCGGTCGATGCTCTCAGGATGGTTACTGTTCAAAGTGGAACTAAGCGGACAGACCCTGCAACATATGGCCGGGATGCCAAAATCCCAGTATGTTGCAGAGGTCGTTTTCTTGGCGGTCAACAGGCGGGGGTGGATGGTGGTTAGACTGTGCCATGATCACAGGGATCCCAGTGGTGGACCAACTTAGTACGAGCAGCTCATGCAGCTGTGCTGGCACAGTAGTCTGGGATGCTGATATCGCGACTTTCGACCAATCAGCTGGCCTTTTGCTTCAATTAGGGAAGCCGATTGACCAGTTTCCAGGAAGTTCCATCTCGCCGCGTGGAATCAGGTCTTGCTGTCTGTGAAATAGTCAGAAGTAGAACCCTTCGCTTGAAAGATCGGTCCTACTTCCAGCCACGCGTTCCAAGTCATGGAGAGGTTGGACGGATTCCCACGATACGAGTAGATAAACCACTGAGCCTCGTGCCGAGCCATATGTGGGTACTAGAGGACTCCTCAGCCGGGACGAGTTCTCCCTGCAGAAGAATTCTTCGAGGCGACTTGACCCATTCCACCTCTTGCCTCCAGGCCTCTTCTCCTCTCCTCTCCTCCGTCTCCCTTTTCACAGGCATTTCGTAGTCCTTCGTCGAAAATGGACAAGTCCATCACATACAGCATTGATCCCACCGAGGATGTCAACGATGATGGTGTCGTCCTCGATGAGAAAACGGGAACGGTTGCGGACAGGAATGCCATGGCGCGTTTGGGCAAGGAACAGCTCTTCAAGGCCAGTTACCACCACTGTTTGGTCCCAGACGCGAGATATTGACCAGATGAACAGCGTAACTTTGGTTTCGTGTCTATTTTCGGCTTTGCCCTCATCATCATGAGCACCTGGGAGACGATATTATCGACTCTGGCCTTTGGACTAGGCAATGGCGGGCCTGGGGGCCTCATCTGGACCTTCGTTGCGGCGTATATCGGCTTCACCCTCGTCAGTGTTTCAATGGCTGAAATGGCCTCCATGGCTCCTACCTCTGGTATGATTCATCTGAGCGATTCTGGAGAGGGCCAACGCTAACACAACTGCGTGGAAAGGCGGACAATATCATTGGGTTTCTGAATTTGCTCCTCCAAATGCCCAGAAATTGCTGTCATACTTCATCGGCTGGTTCGGCATCCTTGGTTATCAGATCGGAACAACCATTGGTGCATTTGTTGCTGGCACCATGATTCAAGGTGTCATCATCTTGAACAATCCCGACACATACAATCCTCAACGATGGCATGGAACCTTGATCGCAATGGCTATCACCATTTGTGTGGCCCTCTTCAACATTTTCCTTGCGAACCACCTCCCACTGGTCGAAGGAATCATCTTGGTGCTTCACGTTGCCGGATTTGTGGCTATCTTGGTGCCCCTCTGGATTATGGCTCCGCGTACTCCGAGCTCCGAAGTGTGGACCTCCTTCACGGATGGCAACGGCTGGGGGAGCAGTGAGTTTCTCCCAAGAGCTTGACTGAAGCAAGTTCAACTGACGGCTCGCAGTCGGAGTTGCCTGTCTCGTCGGCATGATCACCAATGCTGGTGCATTAGTCGGGGGTGACGCCGCGGCGCACATGGCCGAGGAGTTGAAGAGTGCCTCGAAGATCCTGCCCAGGGCCATGATCTGGACCATAGCCGTCAATGGTCTTCTGGGATTTGTCATGCTTGTGTGAGTGGGGTTGCTCTTGACTCAGAGGCTGTGTTGCTGATACAGGCCCAGCACATTCCTCTATACGTTGGGGAACTTGGATGAGGACCTCGCGTCGCCGACGGGCTACCCTGTCATTCAGGTGTTCGCCACGGCCACTGAGTCCAACGGTGGTGCGATCGGGCTAACCACAATCCTCATCATCTTGAATGTTTGTGCCAACCTAACCACTATGGCCGGCTCTTCCCGTCAACTGTTCTCCTTCGCTCGGGACAAGGGGGTTCCTTTCCACCGCTGGGTATCTAGAGTTCCCCCTGGGTACGACGTTCCGGTCAACTCTATTATCGTCTCGGCCCTTTGCTCATGCGTTTTCCACTGCATCAACATTGGCTCGTCAATTGCCTTCAACATCATCATGTCCATCGGCACAGTCGCGCTGATCACGAGTTACATGACCTCGATCGGCAGCATTACCTGGAGACGGATTCGTGGCTTGCCTCTTCTTCCATCCAAGTTTTCTCTCGGCAAGTTCGGCCTCGGGATCAACATGGCCGCACTTTGTTTCTGCGCCGTGGTCTATGTCTTCTCATTTTTCCCTCCAATGCCAAATCCACCAGCGGCGTCAATGAATTGGGCCTGTGCCGTATACGGAGGAGTTGTATTGCTGGCTTTCACCTACTATGCCATCCGTGCACGACATGTATATGTCGGACCTGTGGCTTATGTCAATAAGAGCGCTTGACGATCAGGTCAAAATGAGCCACGACCGAACCACTGTCGCAGGAACGAGGGGTTGAAAAGGGCATGGTTGAAATGATCGCGATGGTCTGACGGACTGTTGCTTCACCTGCCGGATTGTCATTTAACCAAAATTAAACGGACTCTGTCTCGTTCAGATGGGAGAAGATTTCTTGCTCGTTCCTCTTCCATCGGTTGAAATAGCAAGGACGCGGTACGCGGTACCTGTCAGTAAAGAGGAAGGTCTGCCGAGAGCCAAGCCAACGCCGGCTTCTTGGCGGGCTGCTAACTCCGAGTCTCACATGAGCCTCCGGGTTTCTTTATCTCAAAGGTTGCAGCTCACGGGCACAAGATATTCCCGGTATGGAGTCAAGAGAAAGACCTCTACTCCAATCGCTTGCCACACTGTTGCTCGGCTCAGTGAGGACTTCAAACAGGTATAAGTGGTCACTTTGCGTGATTAAGCGAGACAGCAATGCATCCCCAGGGAAGTCCTCCTCACCGCTCCGATGAATCTGGTGAACCTCGCTCCCCATCACAATCAAAAATATTCGGGAGGTTAGTTCCAGGAATCATATCTGCCCAGGACAACTATTCCGCTCCTCTCTCCATGCCGGGGCAATCGTCACGAGCTAGTATCGTTATTGCCCCCTCGTTTTTCGCTTTGCCTGATGGAGCAGAGCTCCGAGATGAGTTCTTCACAAACCCAGGCACGTCAGCCAGACGTTGTCATTGAGGCCGAAGAGGTTGACTCTGCACTTGGAGACGACTTGTCGACTTACACCCTCTCTCTCAGATCGAGCCTATTGCAAGGCGTACAGGAAAATGGTAGGGTCTACCACAAGTACAAAGACGGCTCCTACATCCTCCCCGAAGACAGCTTGGAGCGGGAACGGCTGGATATACAGCACGAGATATTTTTGGCTACATTCGGTCGAAAGCTTTTTCTTGCTCCTGTTCAACGGCCGATGCAGGAGGTCATTGACCTGGGCACGGGGACCGGCATCTGGGCAATCGAATTTGCCGACCAGCATCCTGAATCCAATGTTCTGGGCATCGATCTCAGCCCAATTCAGCCCCGTGCTATCCCACCAAATTGCAAATTTGACGTGGATGATTTTGATACTCGGTGGACCTTCAACAGAAGGTTTGATTTTATCCACGGAAGAATGCTCCTCGCTTCCTGCTCTGATTTCCCGAGGCTCTTTCGCCGCGCCTTGGATGCTCTGCAACCTGGTGGGTGGCTTGAGATGCAGGACCTTTATATGCCTATCTTATGTGACGATGGCACACTCAATGGAACGGCCTACGGGGAGTGGAATGACAGATATATAGAAGCTTGTGTAGGGCTTGGAAGGGATCCCTCTTGGACTGCCAAGTACAAGGACTGGATGGTCGAGGCCGGATTTACAGGGGTTAGACAAAAGATTTTCAGGTGGCCTGTCAACCCGTGGCCGAAGGACAAAACTCTGAAGGAGATAGGCATTTGGAATATGATCAACATGCAGGACGGGCTGGATGGTTTCACAATTCGACTCTGGACAACAGCGTTCGGTATGACGGCGGAGGAGATCCGAATATTTCTCGTGCAGGTACGGAAAGACCTGCGCGACACAAGGATTCACTCGTACTGGCCTATGTGAGTATGAAAATCCTGGCCTGGGAAGCTGCGGCTGACCTCAGTGTTTGAGATACGTTGTGTACGGCCAGAAACCAGAGGACTGAAAGTCAAGACAAAGTGGATTGTGCCTCCGAGCTCTTGTCATTATCTCCATCTCCTAGAAATCGGTCTAGATATGATTTTGTACCTGTGCAGCATCTTGGTAACCGTGCCTTCAAGACGGTCGGCGGGCGCTCCGCAGACGAGGACTGGGCACGTGCGGTGGCATATAAACAGGTTCCATTTCTTCATACACCCCGGATTGGTTCACTTCTTCAAGTCTACGCTGCTGCCACGGGTCGTCATCAATGTTTCATTTCACCTGCAGCCAAAAGGCCCGGCGTCGTGACCTGTCAACCGCCCCCGCAATATCCAGGTTTAGCCGACACTCCGCGTGGGGAAACATCGTATCCATGCGAGGGATGATCCCTCTCTCCACTTCCGGCAAGGCCATTCATTATCTCTTGTTTTTGAGTTTTTCCCATGGCACTGCAACCAGGTATGGATGGCATCGAAGGCTATGACACGGTTTTGAGTCCCCGTGTCAATGCCGGCATAACCGTCGCCCATTGAATGTTCACATTCTGCCTATATCTCTGTTTTGCCGTCGAAGCAACACCCGTGCACCAACCTATCGGAGTGTCGCCGGTCCATGATGCACGGAGAACCCGTACAACGCCGTTGATAATGCCCAAAAACTCGCTACGAAGTTGAAGCGGCAGATCAGGCCGCGGGGGTGTTCCCTCGACCGCAGATCTCTCCCATCTGTGTTGATGCTGCTTGACCTGCCCGTGATGTGCCTTGATACACTTGTTGGCTTCATTCATTTAGCCTATATGCATACGCTGGCGGCGGGTGCGATGTTGCGAAGGGCTGAGACTATAAAGCACACCTGAGTGCCGAGTGTAAGCTGGGTTTCACCTAGGAGTGCTCCTCCCCCTAGACAGAGACCTATACTGATATGGATACCAAGACATACGACATCACCCACTCCGAGGACGTCGCTGGTGGAGGGCAGCAGCAGCGCGAATATGGCGACGTTCAAGGTACGGCGCGTATCCACGCCTCGCGCATGGAGGAGGCTCTCCTGAAAGAGAAGCCTAGACCACTGCGCAGGAGCTTCTTGAGACTGTATGGCTGTATCTTCATTGCATATCTTTGCTCGGCGACCAATGGCTTTGACGCAAACACTTTTGGTACGTACTCAGGTCTAACGCCCCTCGACTCCATGCAAAGGAGGTAAAAAGGCCCCAATGCTCAGTGTGAATCCTAGGTGGCCTGTCCGCGATGCCACCTTTTATCGACTTCTTCGGCATCAACTCCAACAACCAGGGCTTGATCGCGGCGCTCTATGTCATCGGAAACGTGGCCGGCTCCTTTTTCGCCGGCCCTTGCTCGGACAAGTACGGCCGGCGGGTGGGTATGGCCATCGGTTCTACGGTCTGCATTGTCGGCACCATTCTCCAGGCAGCTGCTCAGAATCTCGCCACCCTTGAGGGCGGGAGGTTCATCTTGGGCATGGGCGCCGTGCTCGTGCAGACCGCGGGACCGAGCTACGTCGTGGAGATGGCGTACCCGAAGTACCGTGGACAACTGACGGGAGGGTTTCAAGCCTGTTTCTTCCTGGGCACCATCGTCTCCACTTGGCTTGAATACGGGCTGTACTACATCAACACCCAGTCTTCGTACATTTGGCGACTCCCGCTAGCGGTGCAGGGTCTCCCGTCCATAATCATACTGTGCTTTGTTGGGTTCATCCCTGAGACGCCTCGATGGTAAGTGTTGATATAGCAAGACCTACCTAGCAAAACGCGGGAAAAGTGACTAATAGTTATGGGTTCCCCATTTCAGGCTGCTCGCCCACGATCGAATCGAAGAGGCGAAAGCCGTCTTGGTCAAGTACCACGGCGACGGCGACCCAGACTCGGTCGTCGTGCGGGTCGAGCTCGAAGAGATGATGGAGGTCATCCGCATGGACGGCGCAGACAAGCGCTTCTGGGACTTCCGCGAGCTCTTCAACACCAGGGCCGCGCGATATCGCACCTTTTTGGTCACATGCATCGCCTGGTTCGGCCAGCTCGATCTCCCGCCCACGAGCTACTATTTCCCCCTCATGGCCAAGACGGCCGGCATCACCAGCGTGCATACCCAGCTGTTGCTGAACGCGCTTCAGACCCCGATCATGATGGTCGCCGCTCTCTGTGGTCTTCGTTTCGTCGAGAAGCTGGGCCGTCGCAAGGTCCTGATGGTTTCGAGCGCTGGCATGTCCGCGTCGGTGGCCGTCATCACGGCGTGCACTGCCAATCAGGCAGGAAAGCCTGCAGTTGGGGCCACGGGAGTTGCTTTTCTCTACGTCTTTCTCGTCGTCTTTGCCTTTGCGTGGGTAAGCAGTGACCACACTATCCTCCGCTGTTGAAAAGGGGAACTCCTTACGCTAACGGACCTTTTGCACAGACGCCTATGCAGTCCCTCTACCCAGCAGAAGTGCTGACATTCACCGCGAGAGCCAAAGGCAAGTCTTATCCCCAAGTGTTCACTCCTCCTCCCCCTCCCTCACCACTCTCCACGCGCCATCGAGGTTTTTGCACAAGACACTAACCGACTGAGGATAATCCAGGCATGGCATACCTGAACTTCATGGTCAACTGCGTCAACGTGCTCAACACGTACGTGCCGCCCGTGGCCATCGCCAACTCCGGATGGCGCTTCTACATCTTGTACGTGGTCTGGGACGCCTTTGGTGTTGTTATTATCTATTTCTTCTTCGTCGAGACTCGGGGCCGCAGCCTGGAGGAGCTCGACGAGCTGTTCGAGAGCGAGAACCCCAAGAAGGCCAGCTTGGCGTACAAGCATGTCGTCATCAAGAGTGATGGCACCATCAAGGACGCACTGGAGTGATTATCTTGAAAACACCAGCCTCATCCCCCGCGGTGATGTCCGAACAGGAGAAGAAGATGTATGGTGATGCGGAGCTAGGATAGGGTACCTGGCGGTCAGGAGGGCACCGCAATGTTGGTTTTGGCAAAGAGGGTGACGGGCTGGTTCGAAGAAACCCTGCATTTTGCTTGTTCGCTCAGGGACAGAGATGGCTCCATAAGTTATGCACTGCCATGGAAGAACGCCAATCTGGAAGAAGCATTCCGAGTCGGGAGTTGTAACGCACAATTTGTTTCCCGCTGTGTAGCAGGAGCCCGACGCCACGACGAAGGGAACACGATAGAGAAGACTGAGCATATTGCGATAGGCCTTGCGAAGGCGCAAACCACGTGTTGCAAGGATCTTCCGAACCTATGAAGCTGTCAAGACTGTCTAGCCTGGAGAATATGGTGTAATACTGAAAACGAGCCATTTGAGTATTTATTTATCTGTTCCACGCGAATTGTGGCCTCGACGCCATGAGGACTCGCTGGGACGGCTGACTCATTGGCACCAACATCGACCTGGTAGCGGTAGCAAGGAGTTTCTGGTTATCCCAAAACCTGGATAGAAGGTCCGCCACGTCACTTTAGTTCTTCGGCAATCCGAGCGCTTCTCTCCTTCCGGTAGAAGCGGGATCAAGATATGGCTTCTCACCAACACCCGAGGCACGTACACCGACTCTGTTCCCCTCGACCAAATGAGTATCGGGCTAGAAAGTGCAGTTTTGTCAGCGCCGCTCTCCTGCTGTGTGGGGTTTGCGGGTTGTAGTGAAAGACTTTGGAAGCTGGGCAAGGCTAAGACTAAAAGGGGGCGGCCAAGCTGGAGCGCCTGTCCGTGCAAGAGGCGCGGACTGGGATCCAAGGCGTCCTTTGGTGAACGAGAGTGATGATAACATACCGTTGCGGCATGCAAAGTGCATGCATTGCTCCAGATCGCACAGGCTTGCTTCGTCCAATGCATCCTGGCCACACAGTCGTGATTGCGCGTGATAAGCCTGAGGACATAGTCGCGAATGATCTGGTCCTCGTAGTTATAGACATCATTGATCCGAGTGACATGTAATCCGACGCCGGCGAAAAGCGACTTCCATCCTGTGACTGGGTGGGTGCGGATAACGGGGTGCACAGGGGAGAACTTGTTGCCGACATTCAAGGGCGAGCCGCGGGGTGATGTCACTTCATAGCCGCCTGCTTCGGATGCAGATTTGAAGACTGGCTGAGCACAGGTGGCGGTCAGGGTCTCGAGGAAAGCGGCGAATGGGGGGGAAAGGCGGTCATAGCTGGGGAAAAAACCGATGTTAATAGGGTGTGTAAGGAACAGAAGGAGGGCCAACCATACAGTTCATAGCCAGACACCCAAAGTGTATCTCCACCAGATGGTGGTGTATCTTGCATGCGCAAGAAGCTGAAATCCGCCGGACATTCCTCGAAGAGACCTTTGATAAGTCATGGTCAGCGCAATGTAGACGTGACTGATTATGATGGCAAACGAACAGTCACTGTGCCATTCCCGGCTTAAATCTTTCGGCTCGCCCGTGCTGTTTGGTCGATTTTTCATCGTCGCATATAATTTCTTCGCGGCTTCCGAATTGATAACATAGCTTCTCCTCGTCAGCACTCCACGACCTCGTCAAAAAAGGACACTCACATGTTCTCATCCGTTGTCCCGTCTGCCATGGGAATGTTGTTGGGATCATTGTAAAGAGGATGGACATGCAAGCCATGGTCTTCGGGTCTGCCAGTCAACTTGCCCAGGAGGTACGTTATCTTTTTCTGCTCCTCAACGGTCAAATCGTCTTGGGGCGCGCGAAAGAAAACAACACCGCGTTCACAGATAGTGATGGCAAGATCTCGAAGCTGATCGTCCGAGTTGGGGGCATTCAGCATGTCCTTGAGTCTAGCCGTGGTGTATTCACGCCCGATGATGGGTGTCACATCGACATATTCGAGGTGGTCGATGGACCCGGAATTCTTCAGCGGGGCCCGCCGCAACTTCATATGTGATATGGAACCCATTTTTCTCCTGGCAATAAGTGTGAATGTGTGTTCTGCTGTACCTAAAGTTGGTTTCCTTGATCCCAAAGTTTTCGACTGAGGGCTGTTTGGGGCCACGATGAGAAATGAGCTCTCCAAATATGGTCCTTACCCTCAATATCAATCAACGATCAGCATCGTGGGGCTCGACAAGCAGTGTCTCTGGCATGAACTGTATGCGGAGTCTTCCCACCAACATTGATGTGGGGAAGGGCGTTTACTGTCAGATTGGAGTAGGAGTCTTCCCCATGGGGCTTGTTCACGGTGATCCATCTGCCGAAATTTTGATGTACGCAGGGGATATGTTGGGCTGAACTCCGGTTGTGCACATGTTTGCAGAAATCCGCCTAGCCATGTTCAGCTTGCTCGATGAGAGACGGAGAACACATGACGGTGGCCATGGCTGGTAGGGGATTGAGCAGTTTGCCAGGAGGTCGAGAGGAACCGCAGTTCGAAGATTCCTGGACATGTCGGCCACTTTCCGATAAAGGCCTGGCAGCAAAATACAACTGCCGAGATGGCTGTGACTGGCTGCTCACTCATATTACCACTTGGCTTGCAGCTGATCCTCATGCTGGCCTGACGGGGACAGCACGGAAGGAGGGGGAGCCACCAAATCATGCGGGATGAAGCCGACATTGCGAGAACATAGCGTGGGTGGCGTGTCATGTGACACCGCGTTATGCGTCGCGCATGGCACGTCCAACTGCTTCCGCTGCTGCCGCCACCTTCGCAGTTGCGTCCCACCCTTGTTCACTGACAACGCTCATCCGCTGCTTCCATCATCCGATGGACTCCCAACGCCATTCTTGAGCGCCTCGGCCTTTCATGCGCGACTGAACCCGTAGACACTTCCAAGCATGGTCTTCACTGACAGCGAAGACGACGATTTGGATGCCCCGCGCATCAAGCGAAAAGGTACACATTGTACCGAAACCATTGCAGACAAGGTAAATAAAAGTTTGAATGAGAGGTTTGAGCCTAGGGCAGCCACAGCCAGCGAGGCAGAGATCTCAGACTACATAACAGGGCACGACGATCGAAAACTGCAAAAGCGCCCTCGCTCTGAGCACGCTGTCGCCACTCATGATCCTAGTCCTTACGATTCCGCCGACGAAGAGCTTGACCGGCTTGAGCAGGAATGGAAGGAAGCTGGAGAAGAGAAGGCCAAGAGCAGAACATCTAGGACCAAAAAGAGCAGGGGGATGACTGCTAAACTCGTCGAAGCTGTCGACAATGACATCGCTCCGCGCTCAAGGCCTAGGAAAGCGACAGGGACAACTGGGGTCGGAAGAAAAGGGCCTACAAAGAAACGCCGGAGACTAAGAGAATATGGCGATTCCGACTCGGACGAGGATCTCATGGAATGGACCATGCCAGACTACGTTAGAAACCGAAGGGCAAAATTCGACGAACGTGCAAAGCAATTGCGAGAAGGCGGCCTGGCTCTGCCACCCACATACGACGATGTGGATTTCTCGGATAACGAGAGACTGAAGGAACTGAGGGAGCGGCCGGACTTTCCCGTATCAACTGCATCCAGGGAATACCAGGATATCGAATTGCGTTATTCGCTTGGTCTCATCCCGGCCCCCATTGCACAGTTCTTGCGAGAATACCAGGTTAAGGGCGTGTCATTCATGCATGAACTTTTCGTGTATCAAAAAGGTGGAATCCTTGGTGATGATATGGGTTTGGGCAAGACCGTACAAGTGATTGCGTTCTTGACCGTGGCTTATGGCAAGACTGGGGACGAACGCGATCAGAAGAGGATGAGGAAGATGCGCAGAGCGAAGCAGTGGTACCCAAGAACTCTCATCATCTGCCCCGGTACACTGATGGAGAATTGGAAAGATGAATTCCGCCGTTGGGGCTGGTGGCATGTTGATCTCTACCACGGGGGTGCTGCACAGAGACATGATGTACTCTTGCAAGCCCAAGCGGGTATGTTGGAAGTCATGATCACGACATACCACACCTATCGAGCCAACAAGGGGGAAATCAACATGATCCAGTGGGATTGTGTTGTTGCTGATGAATGTCATATCATCAAAGAAAGAAGATCAGACACCACCAAAGCCATGACTGAAATCAATGCACTCTGCCGCATCGGTCTGACAGGAACAGCAATTCAGAACAAGTACGAAGAACTATGGACCCTTCTCAACTGGACTAATCCTGGCAAACTTGGGCCGGTCTCGACGTGGAAGAAATCTGTTTGTGAACCGCTCAAGTTGGGTCAAAGCCACGACGCTTCACAATATCAATTGGCAAGAGCTAGGAAGACAGCAAAGATGCTCGTCCAAAATCTTCTTCCACAGTTCTTCCTTCGACGCACAAAAGCCCTCATCAAAGACCAACTGCCGAAGAAATCAGATCGCGCGGTATTCTGCCCTCTCACAGCGACCCAAGCCAAGGCATATGAAAACTTTCTTGACAGTGACATTGTTCAATATATCAAGACAAGCAGTGATCCATGCACGTGCGGGAGGCAGAAGAAGGCGGGATGGTGCTGCCAGGTGAAGCTCGACGACGGCAGCACATGGCAGAGTTGGGTATTCCCTGCAATCGCAAACCTTCGAAATCTATCGAATCATCTAGCTATCCTCATCCCACAAGGGTCGGATCCAGCGGACAAACAGGCCAAGGACCTCGAGATGCTCCAGATTGCAATGCCCGACAAGTGGAGGGAGATATACAAAACACGGGACAGTATACTGCACACTGGCAACCCCGAGTATTGCGGCAAATGGCGAGTGTTGAAGAAGCTTCTCACTTTCTGGCATGAACAAGGTGGCAATAAAGTACTCATCTTCTCGCACAGCGTGCGTCTGCTCAGAATGCTGCAGAATCTGTTCATCAGCACAAAATTCAACGTCAGCTATCTTGACGGAAGCATGCAATATGAGGATCGGTACGCAGCTGTCAAGGAATTCAACACTGATCCGACACAATTTGTTTTCCTCATCAGTACTCGAGCAGGCGGTGTTGGCCTCAATATCACATCCGCAAATAAAGTCGTCATCGTAGACCCGAATTGGAATCCTAGCTACGACTTACAAGCGCAAGATAGAGCCTACAGAATTGGTCAGACAAGGGACGTGGAAGTATTCCGCCTGATCAGTCAAGGGACCCTAGAAGAGATCGTCTACGCCCGCCAGATCTACAAGCAGCAACAAGCGAATATTGGATACAACGCCACATCTGAACGACGTTACTTCCAGGGGGTCCAGGACCGCAAGGACCAGAAAGGGGAGATCTTTGGACTGCAGAATCTTTTCGCCTATCAGAACGAGAATCAGGTGCTGCGCGACATTGTGAACAAGACCAACATTGCAGAGTCAAAAGCTGATGTCCGGGTCGCAACGCTGGAGCTTGAAGAGCAGGGCCTCGACATCGATGGTGAAGAAGACGGAATCAAGGATGAAGATAATGTTGCACCTCGGATAGCACCTCGGATAAAAACTGATCCAGATACGGAAGACGCTGCAATATCCCAACTCGCAGCTGAAATCATCGGAGAGGAAGGTCGATCATCTCGCTCCCGCTCAAGAACGCCTTTTGGCCCCGCGAAAATGGGCTTCAAGAAACATGATCCGGTCCAAGCCATCCTCTCCTCCGTCGGCGTGTCATATACGCACGAGAACAGTGAAGTAATTGGATCCTCGAAAGTTGAAGCGCTCTTGTCCAAACGAGCCGAAGAAGCCGCATCCAAAAATATCAATTGGGATACTCAGGAGCAACAAGCGAAAGTATTCTTGGACGACGCGCAATCCGTACGCAGCGATGGGCATGAAGATGTCTACGACTTTGCTCACGACGATAAATATCACGAAGATCGCCACGATGGAATTCTCACGCCGGACGGTAGCAATGTGCGGTACAAATATCGCCCGCCCCAAGCTGTCCGGAAACGACAGTTCTGCAGCATGGCTAGGTGGGCTGGCTTTGGGGATGATGTGGTGTCGTTTGCGCTGGTGGTGGAGAATTGGACCCAAGCGCAGCGAAGAGAGTGCCTTGACCGGTTTTATCACTACAGGAGAGATGTGATTCGTGGACTTGTAAAGTCCGAGAGCTCTGGCGAGGGCGTCAAGAAGGAAGACGTCAAGAAAGAAGAAGACGACGGGGAGGTCAAGGTCAAGAAAGAGGAATTCCGGATGGGAGATGCAAGTGCTAAAGCCGAACATGGCACCACCAAGGAAGAGGAGTCGAAAGTCAAGATGGGCACACTACCGAAGAAGAACGAACACGATACAGCAGAGATGGTGGACATTGAAACGGCCAGCGAGGATGAAGACGATGAGCTTTGATTTTTGCTTTTAGGGTGGGAGAAGGGTACATGGTACCTTATCCATGAAGATTGGGAGTACTATCATGTGATGATTGATGATGATGTTGATGACCCTTGTGATACCCTGGATTATAGATTTTGATGAATGGGCCCTAATAGAAGTGCCCTGGAAATTCCCAGGGAGTGGTGAATAGCGACCATCTAATCACTCGGTTGCTCAAATCTTGTGCTTGGACGTAGGAAGGTACCTAGGTATGATTCGCGTCCACCAATGTCTCTACGAGTAAAGGATCTTGGCTCTTTGCCCATGTTATAATATGTGCCCTTGGGCCATGACCATGGTCCACTCCTGCCCGACCACCCGCCCAGCTTAGCTACTTCAGCCAATTCAATCCAACTCTCCACCCTTGCATGTCTTTTCGTACATTCACACAACATCTTGCGCCGGTAACTCTTCCGTGGTCCCTCTTTTCAAGACCTCTCGCCCGCGATCGGGACTTGCTGGGCACCCTGGATCGGTTCGTCCCAGACCCAGCGGTCCTTTGTGTAGATTTCGGCGGCCGGTCTGGGCGGCGACGTGGCGAACTCGTCGAACAGGGCGGTCCGGACCACTGCATCGCGAAGCCCAAACGAGAGAGCCAGCAACGTTAGTCATCTGCAGGTTGTTGTTCACTATTGCTGATAATTCGGGGGGTTGAAAATCATTTCAGTGGGGGGATAGCGATATTTATATGACAAAACTGTTTCACTTCGTTCGACAGGATCACTCACAAGCTAAACCGGGGAGAGACTCCTTTGCTAGCCCGTATATGGGACTGCCGCAGACTGCGCAGAAATGACGGTTCACGATGTGTCCGCTGTCGGTGTTCTTGTCGGCGTAGTGTGTGATCGGGCCCGCGAAGGTGACGTTTGGGAATGGCACAAACATGACAACACAGCCTCCTGCATAGACCCAGGGTCAGTCCTCTTTTCTGAAGTCCCGTATCTTCTGGTACGGCTGCTCCAATTGTGCTTGAGCGCTAGGGATCGATAACATACCTGCACCGCTGGACTTTTTGCAGTTCCGACAGTGGCAGGCGAATCCGGTGGGTTTGCCGTCATTCACTATCTCGGCCTCGACGGTAACGGCGCCACAGTTGCAGGATCCGTGCATTTTGAAAAGAACCACAGTAAGAAATGGCTTTCGCGAGGGGTTTCCGTTCTTCGGCCATCGTGGTTCACTGGGGGTTCCTGTGGCTTATGTACGTATGCGCGCAGCATGGAAGGATTGGAAGTGATCCTGTGGGGTTCGAGAAGGGATATACGCGCGTAAACGACCAGCCTGACAGCATGTTTGGGGTCCAGGAGGTGGATTTGGCATATCGAACTTCTCACATAAGTCCCCTCTTGATGGTATCCAGGGTGACGTTGATGCTTCGCGTCCAATGGAAAACGTTCTGCCTGTATTATATCCAGACCCACAGGAGGAGGTGATACGCACGTAGGCGAATAAAATTGGGCCGGATCACAGCCCACGGTACGTGACTTACCTCTACTGCTACGTCTGAAGAAAACCACCGCAAAAAAGGGGCTGCCTTTATTTCACGACGTTGGTACCTTCTTAAAGTGGTGCTCTAGCTGCAAAAGTTGAACTCCTCAACAACAACCCCTAAAAAACGGCAGCGCCACCTTCTCCGAGTCAGCGTCAATACTGTATCGATACATCAAAAGATTCGACGGAATACATGGTAGTGTATAGCCGCATCCCGCCCACCCGTGCCCGTACGCGGCTGTACCATGATCAAGCTCGCTCGTCGTCCTTGATATGCCTCCGGAAACCCACTAGCTGCAGCATCTCGGTCCAGAAACCAATTGGTGGGCTGATAATAGAAGCCTCATAAGCATCGATCAGCGGTCGTTCCCAGATCAGATCAGCCTCGGTTGATTTCACGATCTTGGTGCGCTTGATGAACTTCCATCCAAAATAGAGAATAGGAGAAAGTCCAACCATGGTGTAATAGGAGAAGAAGTCAGAGAGGTTAAACCATCCAGGGAGAAAAGTGGCGTATCCGTAAAAGATCAAGATCAGGGTCTCCAGGACCAGTGCGATCCATGTCGACCATGGCTGAAATCTTGCAAAATATGGGAGAGTTTTGCGGTCGATCCCTTGCTTTTTGCAGGCTCGATACCAGCATAGATAAGTAGTTGTCATGACCATGCAGTTGATGATTCCGGCGCCGGTGATGATATTGACAAGCCAAGATAAGACTTGGGCTGTCCCAGCTGATAGTTGGAGTAAAGAGAGACAGGCGAGGACGAGGACGAAGGCCAAGCAGTATATTGGCACTCCAGACTTGGTACATCGCTTCAACACCGCTGGTGCTCGTCCCTCCAGCGCCAGGCCGTATAAAATTCGTGAAGCAACGTAGATATAGGTATTACCAGCTGAGAAGATACTGGTAATCAAAAGGGCGTTGACAAGGTGGGGCAGGCCTTCGACACCTAGATTCTGCATGGCGATGACATATGGTGAAGCGTTGGCTGTTCCTTTGCCTGACCGGACTCCCTGGAGAATGGCGACCAGTGTAGGGTCGTTGTATGCTATACAGATGCCGACACAGATTGGTCCTCCGATAAAGATGAAAGCAAATCGCCAATAGATTGTTTTGAAGGCGCGTTTCAGATAAACTCTTGGATGCTTTGTTTCCCCGGCGACCATGGAGAGATATTCTGGCCCGGTGATCAAAAGAGGGCCCAGAAAGAAGCAGTATAGGAATCCTTCGAATTGACCGAGAGTTCCAGTATGAGCATATTCCGCAAAGGCACCAGGATTGTTCCAGTACCGAAAGCCGAAGGCGTCGTGACGGGGATTGCCACCGACCATGGCAATAAAGGTGAAAGAATAGAGGATCAAGATCAAGAACACTTTTCCGCTCGACAGCCAGAACTCGGCTTCTCCATAGACGTGAACGGCAACCAGATTGATGGCACTGTATAAAAAGTCAATCTTCTTTCGGTTCAAATAAAATCGTAGTACTCACGCGTAGAGCACAATGCATGCAACACAAACCGCTGCTATCGGAATATCGTCTCGCCAGTAGGATAATACCAAGCTGATGGCTGTAATCTCGAAGGGAATTCCAAGGCCAATATAAGCGAGGAAGTTCCAGCCAGCCATGAAACCCAAGGCATCGTCCACCCATTTACCAGCTTGTCGGAGATATCCGCCGCTGACGGGCATATAGGTTGTCATCTCTGCCATACCATTGTTGATTATACCTTCAATGCAACAGTAGAAGAACCAGCCCAGGAACAAGCCCGCCGGGCCACCTTTATTGAGGGCGCCACCGATGCTGACAAAGAGTCCAGTACCGATAGCACCTCCAATAGTCAAGAGTTGGATCTGACGGTTACCAAGTTTGCGCCGGAGCTGGTCGCTATTATCAGCAACGATGATGCCGACATCTTCGCTGACTTCTCGATCGAGAACGGTGTTTTCTTTTGTATCCATCATTTTGAATGTCCGACGAACCAGTCGAGTGGGATCGGAGGCACAGATGGGTGGTGGAACAGTCAAAGTGAATCATAGACGAAGGCACTGAAGGTGTTGCAATTAGGATTGCCCACGGCCATCGCAACATTATAAGTTCAAAGACGAATCCATCGAGAGCAGAAGAGAGCTCGTCTAGAACACGGGTCGCTGGGGTTCGGCATACGGCACATTCTCTTATCGTGGCAAAAGCGGGTACTGGAGTCACTCACGACGCGAGTTGTTGTTGAGAAGCCCATGAGGGACATGCATCCTGAGAGCTGGACAGCATCGAACAATCGGGATATTGGTCCAAATGGGAAGGCTTCAGCCTTTTCCACGAGATAGAGTGCAGTCAAACTGAACCGTAGCCGTGAGAGCCACCAGCCAGACCAGTCGAAAAGGAATCTTATCAGAGACGACTTCAACACTGGTAATGCCTCCAATTCGAAGTCCAAGCAAGCGGCTGCTCGGCTGAATTCCCGATTTCAGCCCAGTTGCGAAAACTGTAATCTGACTTTTCGAGCCGCACCATCTTGTTTCGTTGGAAAGGCCTGATATCCTGGCGCATCTGAAGGTTCCTATCAATGGATCCAATGCAGGAGCTTGGGAGTACCTAGGTACGTATTCTAGACACTAAGAAAGTCTTATGTAAGGTACCGCAGGAAAGCGGACGTCTGGGGCAGGAGTTTCTTCTTGGCTCCAAGCGGAGGCGTCCAGATTTCGGAAGCAGATCAGAAAAGGAAAGCCGGGTGGGTAGGGGAGGGGAGCTATCTACTGGCTACCGACCGTTGGTCAGTCTCCTATGTCCTATCTACAAGTAGTATAGGTTTTTAGCCTGGCACCTGAGCATTTATTATGGGCGTAGGTGGACCGTAGTGCAGAATCAAGAGGTTTGAAGATAAGCGATCTGCCAATGAAACGGCTTCTTAACTTAGTTTCAAAATTCGAGTTTTGTCTCGTCGTCGACCATTCCAATAGTCGGATTAGTACTATCTAGAGTAAATATCTCAAGTTGTTCCTCAAATGCCATCGGCAATCTTTCCCCCTCCATAGCACCTCGTGATATATCCAATGCCCCTCTGATGGTTTCCTGATCCCATACCTTCAGATATCAGGTAGGACTCTCAGATCTTTTTCATTTTACGGTAAATCAAAAGGGGTACTGCCACGCCCTTTTCGCTCCCAGACCAAACAGGCCACCACCAAACCTACCTCGGATTTCGGGCACCGCCCCTTCCTTCATCACTACAAACTGTACTGTAGTACCGAAATAGAACGAATACCGCGCCATCATGGCTCCATCCGCCCTTTCCGACCTCCTTCCTCCAGGTTCGTTGACAACGAAAACCGCCGTAGTGCACAAGGAAGAACGTACCACTGATCAGTCACCTCTCGCCGCGATCTCTCATGGCGATGTGGCACTGCCCGGAATCCCCAAGTTTGACGACATGGCTGCTAAACGACAATGGCAGCTCGAACATATGGCCGCAGCATTCCGATTTTGGGCTCGTCAAGGTTTCGTCGAGGGTATCGCTGGACACATCAGTGTCAGAGACCCTGAGAGCCACGATATCTTCTGGACAAATCGTATGTCATCGCGATACCGTGAGAACATGTTATTCTCGTGCTGAATCTGACGTGAAATAGCTCTCGGAGTACACTACGGTCTGCTTAAAGCCAGCGATATGATTGCTGTTGATATGCAAGGCAGAGTCGTCGGCGGCAACCGTACTCGCCCAGCTAATGCCGCTGGCTTCCTGATCCACAGCGAAGTCCATAAAGCCCGCCCTGATGTCGTCGCTGTTTGTCACGCCCACACTGTCTACGGCAAAGCTTGGTCGGTGTTCGGCAGACCTATCGAGATGCTTACGCAAGATTCCCTGAAGTTCTACAACGCTCATAGCGTATATAACTCTTATGGTGGCGTCGTGCTGGCTGCAGAGGAAGGCGCCATGATTGCGAAAGCTCTCGGACCTACCAACAGAGCATGCATCCTGCGAAACCACGGTTTATTAACGGCAGGCACGACTGTTGACGAAGCTGCATTTCTGCTTATGAGCCTTGAGCACGCTTGCCAGGGCCAACTACTTGTCGAAGCCGCCAGCCAGGGCGGCAGCATACCCAAAACCCTCATTTCAGACGAGGAAGCCGAGTATAGCAGCAAGATTGAGGGCGATCACGAAACGTCCTATATTGAATTCCAGGCTTACTATGACTGGGAGGACTACCTCTGCAAGGGTGATTTCAAGAACTGAACGTTGGAAGAAGGCTGGCCCATAGTAGTACTATGTAGTCCTGTCACTATAATGGCCCTCTGTCGACTGCACCTGGTGAAAGCTCCTATATAAACCTTTTCAAGTCTGAAGCGAGTCATGACGCGCCGACCGTACGTTCGACGACGGAATCCGAATTGCCTTGGGATGAATAAGTTGCATTAGGGCGGAAGTTCAAGTACCTCAGCATGGGGACATCGACGTGCGGAGAATTGATACTTACAATATGTTGGTTGGTCCCTGTCGGCCTCGGATAGAGTCTGGCCCAGCGGCGCCCCCGTTGGACTTTGGGACACTGGAAGGACCGAGGAAGAGACCTGTCACCAACTAGGAGGAGGATGCAGTGATATTGAAGAGGTGCTATGCTGCCAAACATTAGGTGACTGTAGTGACCAACCAGAAGTGATGGTCTCCTGATTGCGCATTTTCTCTGGGCTCAGCGTGTTGATGTTCGGTCTGCGGATCACCTGCAAGGGATTTCGTCCCTTCTGCCTGAATGGCTCCGATGCTAGTTGCCGGTCATTTGTCAAGGGACAACCAAAGGTCTCGACACAAAGTCAGTGGCAAGTTGAAGCTCAGCTGCGCAGTCACAAGATGTTTAGGGGGCAAGCACGGTTGGTATTCTGTTCTTGCACGCTTGCGCCACCATTCGTCTGCTCTCTCGCATTAGGACCGAGTACCAGGCAAGGGATTAGTGCCTTTCCTTTTCTTGTTTTCGGTGTGATCTGTTCTCCTGATTCTTTAATCTCACAAAAAGGACAGCATTGCCATTCGAAATAATAGCCCAAACCAAGACACGCTAGTATGGCACTTGACGGTGGATTTTAGAGCCGACACTTTGACCCGCATTACGAAAACTTTGTTGTAATGGCAGCCGGAGAACGTGTTGTCCTTGTGTCAGGGCCGTCCTTCACGATAACTTAATTGCCTATCTAGGATGCGTCCCGATAAGATGGCCTTCGGCAATGTTCGAGACTTGACAGCCGCTGCTCCATCTCAAACTGAATCTCAAAGAAGAGAGTTGGTCTACGCCTTGAGGACCTTCACGAAGCCTTGGTCAAGGGAATTCCAACAATCGAATCAGATACAATTATGTGGCGTGGCATGTTTAGTAGCATTGGTCAACTCACTCACACTCTCAAAAGCCCAAGAGTCACAGTACAACCATGGCTGTCAAAGACCAAACTCCCAAGCCGCTATCGCTGTTACCTCCAATCGACGCAAATTACAAACCCAAAGTATCGGTGACGACCCTCCCTTCCACGGCACCGATCAGCGACGTCCTGTCGGTGTTGAAACGCGACGGGGGAGTGATCTTGAAGGATCTCGTATCAGCCCAGGAGCTCAAATCCATCGAGACCGAAATTGAACCCTGGAAAGAGCTGAAGCGGAGAGATCCTGCATCCGGTCCTGATGCATTTAACACTATCCCTTCATCGACGGTGTTAATACCTGGGTTAGTGGGGAAGTCGCCGACCATGGCGTCCATCTGTGAGAACGAGACGCTCGAGCAACTCCGCGAGACCATTCTGAAGGACGATTTTGTCAACAAACGAGAGGAGCACGACGAGCGCAATGTAATCTCGCCTCTCTTGAGTCTGAGCATTGCGATGAATATCGGTTTTGGCGCCCCACGCCAGCGCCTGCACCGCGACGACGGGATCCACGCGATTCGTCATGGCAAAGGTGAGTTTCGCCTCGACAGGGCCAGTCAATTCGGGTGCTTGATCGCCGGATGCGAAGTCACCCGAGAGAACGGGGCGACCATGTTTGTGCCGGGCAGTCATAAATGGGACGATGATCATGCTTGCGCCACGCCAAATGAAGTTTGTTTTGCCGGTACGTACTTGATACCGAGAAAGCAGTCGGGGGAGCGCCAGCTGAATACTGACCGTCTTTGGATTAGAAATGTCACCTGGTTCGGCGTTGATCTTCCTGGCGTCTTGTTACCATGGAGGCGGGCACAACAGTGTGCCCGATTCACAGCGGACCATGTATTGTCTATTTTTCATCCGAGGCACCCTTCGAACCGAGGAAAACCAATTCCTCGCCATTCCTCGGAGCAAGGCATTGAAGATGAGTCCCAAAATGCTGGAATTGCTCGGGTACGCTAAACCGCCCACGACGGCGTTGGGGGTTGTTGACAACATTGATCCGGTGACTGATATTGAAGGTGTATTGGAGCGAGCAATGGCGTGAAGAGCAACCATCCTGCATCGAGCCTGAAAGCTGCCGTGCTTATTGCTTCTGCTGGGCTGACGGGAAGGTCATCATTTCATAGTACAGCATCGCTTGGGCCAGAGGCTGAAGTGATAAAAGGAACCTTCTTCCTATGGAATTTTCGCTCTGTTCGACTCGGCTTCGTTCAAGAACGTCTCCACGTCTCGACCACACGCCCTCGGACCTCCCGGTCTACCCGCCTGAGACTCGGGAATCGAGTTGGCGTTGGTAAATCCCATGATCCTAAGATATGCCAGACTGAGCAGATCTGGATCTGTTTCGTGTCTGATCGTATCCAAGATCGATGCCAAAGACACTGTCCTCACAGTCCACGACGGGTCTCGCTTCTTAATCAAATTAAAAAGGTCGAGATACGTCAGTGTCTGTGATGAGAACATGGAGCATTCCTCCCAATCATGGTCTTCGTCATGCACGATTTCCAACACCGCGCGAGCGGTGTCCCGAACGGACGTCAAGCTGACCCTCTGCAGCGCATCTCCGTACAACTCGAAGACTTTCGCCTCGTTGTCAGTCACCCACCCATTGCTCAAGTCCTTCAAGTACCTCTGGTTCAACGGCAGGAGGTAGTCCATGAACCAGCCATTGCACACGATTGTCCACTTGACCGTACTCTGAGCCCGTAATGCTTCCCGGACTATATTTCGAGATCGCAGGATATATACCGGTTGATCTGGGAAATCTCGCACGTTCACGGTATACTCGGAAGGAATGAAGCGTTTACACTTCGGAGACCGTACGCAGGTTTCCAAGATGGCCAGGTGTGCGGAGATGTATGCGTCGTCCGGACCGCCCAATGTCGAGACAACAGCATCGCAGTCCTCGAGATGTTTGGAGAGCTCCTCCACCGTGTATTGAGTGACTCTTTGCTCCACTTGAAAGTCCTCAGGAAGGGTTTGTTTTCGACGACTTAGCAGTACCACCTCGTCCGTTGGTGACCGATAAAACTCTTCCAAAAAGTATCGCCCGACATCCCCGAAGCCGACGAGAGCGATTTTCATTGTCGCGTTGATCAACTTTGAATGGGTTTCGAGAACCTGCTATGCCCAAGATGTAGAGTACTGAGTCACTGAGAGTTCAACCACCAGGAGAAAATTGAGGCAAGGGCCAATACGAGAATGGATTGGGTAAATTGAGTGCCTGGAGAGGAAGCGGCTGTTATCTCTGTTCCTGGCATTCCAGCATTTATCCGGCGCCTCGCGAATCTAGATCTTTCGGGATTGATCATAAGTATCCCTAAATAATATGCTCTTGGCAATTCACTCATCAAGCTTGTCACCTCACTTTCCCTTTCTGATCGCCTCCCGAACTAGATAAGCAGCCTCCTAGTTCGCGCAAAGAGGGGAGGAGAGAGTGTGCACCGACCCGACCAAAGACACACCGGTTAATCCACGAAGATCCTCCCCAAATCATTCTCGGTGCAAGCTCTATGCATTACCCCCTTCCCTACTCAGACATTCCAAAGCAGCCTTAACCTCTGATATCTCATCTGGACATCGTTCTATCTTTGTGAGGGAAATATGCCTCCTTCAACACCAAACTTAACAGGCAGCAGCGACCCCGCAGCGACTCCGTATGGCAATCACACCTCTTTTGCCTGGGAGGCGATGCCTGACTGGGGTGGTGCGAAATCGATCATCTACCGCTCAGCGGATGGAAAGGTGGTGGCCGCAGCGGCAAAGGAGTCAGGCACCGGCACCCTCACTTACCCCTGCGACGAGTTCTTCTACGTGACGGCCGGCTGGATCAAGCTCAACATCCATGGTGGAGAAACGTTCACTCTTAAGACGGGCGACTTTGTCTATTTGAAGAAAGGCACGACGGTGGATTTCGAGTTCGGAGACGACTTCACCAATGCGGCAGTGTTTATCAACGACGAGAGGATCACTTTGATGTAGGAAATCGAACCCTGTGTATCTGGGTAACAGGTCTATACTCTATGTTCCTTAGGGTTGCGGATCATTCTATTTTGTGGAATTTCACCTCCAACCGGTGGCCTTTGGGTCCTGACATATACTCATCGATCGCTTCCATATCTCCATGATCGTGGATGGTGGTTCGATAATTGGTGTAAACGCCCGCAATTAAGTACTTCATGGCTGTGAGATATAAAATGGATTAGTGGTCATGCCCCCAAAAAACAGATCTCCAGAGCATGGAGTGTGAACTCACAGTAAAAAGCAAAGTGACTTCCGATGCACATTCTTCCGCCACTCCCAAAGGCCCAGAACCAATGCTTCATCGTGGCGAGGTGTGCGGGGGACGCGTCCAGCCATCGCTGAGGGTTCCATCGATGTGGATCGGGGAAAACCTCAGGTGTCCTATGCAGGGAATATGCAGAGCATTGTACGATGGTCCCGGCGGGAATGTTGGGGACTCCTCCCAGCGTGCAAGCCTTTGGCACTTTTCGTGGTTGTCCGCCTGGTACTGGAGCCCAGAGTCGGAGGGTCTCCATGATAATGGCGTGGAGGATGGGTAAGGAGTCGACGTCTTGGGGTTGTGCAATGTCCTCAGTCTCGAATTTCCGCGTAGGATCGAATCTCAATGGTGGGTTCAGGGTTAGCAACTCTTCTCGTAGTTTCTCCTGCCACTCGGGGTTCCGGCACATTTCGTAGAAGAGATAGGTCTCGACGTTGCCGCTGGTTTCGAATGCTGCCGAGTTGTGTGCAAACATGTCGCTGGCAATCTGGAGACGTTGCGGATACGCTCGAGGTTTGGAGTCGATCTTGCTCATCGTCTTCAAGGCCTGTTCGAACACGACCGGTTGGTCTTCTGGAGACAGAGAGGTGCCGGTCGCCAGCAGCTGCTGCGCCTTGTCACATTTGACCAAATTCCAGTCCTCGACTGCACGATATGCCGCGTCAACCCATGCAGGTATCAAGAAGATGCCCAGTCTGCGAAGGAATCCGGTCAGCTGCGGAAACTCGTACCGCCAGAAGGTGTAATGAGCGGGTGCGAAGAATCCATCCAGATAGAGCCCCCGTTCACTGGAGTCTCGGAGGAAGTGACTGCGCAGCGATTTACCAAATTGCCATTGAACGAAGGTGTCCATCGAGTACGAATAGTTCAACTCGAGCACTTCGACTGGTGTACCATGGACTGCCGCTTTTTCCAAAATCGCCAAACAATCGCCAAACAAGACATCTCTTATCGCCGCTCGTGCCGTCTGCGATGACATGATGAACGATTTCGAAAAGGTGTTGGAAATTAATCGCTTCCGGGCCGTATGACTTGCATTGTCCTCAAACGTAAAGATGTTTTCCGTCCTGTGAGATTCAACAACAGTCATTATTATTACTTCGAAGTGCCAGGAAATGAATGGATTATCAGACATACTCATAGTTGGCAAATCCGTGAAAATAAAAAGGCACCTTGGGGAAGCCGCCCTGGTAGACCGCTCGCAGACCATCCTCGAAGCAATTCAAACTGACGAGTTTTGGTGCAAGTCTAACGGCAGGACCCTTTCTCATATGCTGCTCGTATACCGTTCGATTTTCCTTTTGCGACCATCTTACCCACAGGAGCCAAAGAGAACTGAACCTGCAAGACCAATGCGCAGGAGGCACAGCAGCTAATGGCGACCAGAACGCTGGATAGAGGATAAACCGGTACAGAATAGCAATGAACGCAATCAAGATAGGAAGGTAGGATATATGGAAGTCCATGGCGGCACGATACGTGAGCAGGAATGCGACCTTCGATCTTGTCTACCTCGATCAGAGAGAAGAAGTTCCCCGGGGGATTCTTGTACGGTGACAATTGTCGCTGAATGCCGTATAGATTGAGACCGAGTCCACCGAGGATCAACGGTGTTCACCCTTCTAGAAACTTTTGCGGAGTTTCAATGGTTGTCAGGTCCGAATTGGCAGCGTTCGCGTTGAGATCGAAAACGGTAAGACCCACATTTTCCAGGTGGAAGGCCATTACCTGAGTCTAGAAGTAGATGGCTGATAACCAAGTCCCTGGTGGGTTTCTGTGACGCTTTCCTCTTCAGACACCTGTCCCGATTATCAGATTAGTCGGCTTGTATGGAAAAGCTGTGTCTTGTTCCAGACGTGGAGTTTGACTTGCTGGCATCGCTCCACAGCCTCGTCAAGGCAGAACATCCAAAATCCGGTCATGTTTTCAGATCCGCTTCCCGCCTTTCATCACCATTACTACGGCGTGTAGTGTATCTGTAATTCTTGATACATAAATTAGGAGCTATGACTTTGACAGACATAGTGGCACGGGGAGAAGACCTGACGAACTCAAGTCTGGACTTCGCTTGTAGTTGAACGGCACCTCGGCAAGATATCGCGCGCTACCGGAACTCTAATGTTGAGCCCACTACTCTGTCTCCCTTACCATATTCGACAGGATCCCGAACGGACGGGGCGCCCACCTTGCTTGATCCATCAAACCAAGTCCCCCAGTGGGCAGGATCCCCAGATAAGGTACTTGGCAGCCACCAATACCGCCACATACGGGCTGAGCAGGAGACAGCATGACAGAGGATGGCATCAAGTGAGTGCATGAAATTATGTAACATTGTGGACTTGACAAGTGTCCACCACAAATTGATACCTGCAGTCGCTTTACAAGAGGAGAAGATTCCAATTCTTCCGCAGAGCCAAAGAAAGCCAGGAACATTTCGAGCCGGTGGCGCAGAGATCCCAAAGCTCCTCCAACATCTCGAGGGCCCACAAATTGGCGGGGATGCGATTCATGGAGAACAAAGCTCGAAACCGTCGGCGGACTTCTTCTCGAAGATCAGCGTCGTCTTCTCCGAGCTCAGAAGCTGCGGTGAGAAGAGGGAGAGCCAGGACGATGTGATAAGAGCAGTCTTCGGGAATTGCCATGATATCGTCCAGGATCTCTCGAGCGTATTGACGGATGACTTCTTCTCTTTCCAAATCCAGATTATCGGGGTGGGCGGCAGTCGTGGTGGCTGTGGTTCGGTAAAGCATGACGAGGCCGTGTTTTCTGAAGGCACTGCTCACGAGATAGAGATTGTGGTCTTCTTCGGGCGAATCCCAGTCCAGCAATTCCTCCTCGAGCGTTTCTTCGAGCGCATAGTCTCGAGCGCTGCTGTCGTCAATCACTGAGCGACAATAGCGGCCCAAGGTACTCAGCAAGTAGTAGATTTCGGTCGAATAGCCCGCCACGGGGTGGAAGACTCTGCGCATGGCAGGGATACAATGGTAGATCTCCGGGGTGTTGAGGGGCGTCTGCTCCTGTGGCATCACGAAAAAGGAAGACGCCTGGTCCCAGTAGATGTAGCAGCCAAGGGCCAATTGCACAAATGGGTCCTCCATGCAGTTGGCGTCGGTGATCATGATGTCGAGGAGGGCCCTCGCCCCGTCAAGATGTGGTTGTCCGATGTCCCTTCTGTTCTCCTGGTCCGTCCACGCCGCGGACATGCCGAGGATATACATGGTGAGGAAGGAGGCTTCAGAGGGCAGTCGGTCTCTCTCGTGCTGTCGGAGCTCCTCCCGGAACAACGTCAACGCCTGTGCCCTCTCCTCCAGGCAGGAGGTAAGAGCGGCGGGACTGAAAAACCTCTCATGAGCAAGACTGACGCTCTGGAGGCTGTGGAGGAGAGAGGGTGAGCATTCAAGGTATTTCAAAATCGGAAACGACAGCGGGTTGATTTCCGGATTGATGACCATGATCTGGCTCGCTCGCTCCAACCAGTACTGGAGTGATCGTAGATTGACTCGTGAGGAAACGGTCGAGAGATTGCGCCCGGGAGTGAGCCAGGGCACCTCGATTACCCATTGTGCACGACGAGGCACCGACCGACACACTGATCCTCTGTGTTGACAACGGAGACAGACCGGGAGAGTCTCATCACATTTCACTCGGCGACGCTTGCATTCGTGACATCCAGACCGACTATGTCTTCTCTGGTTCGGCCGGTCAATTTGATGAGAGCTATGCGCTGGTGTCGTGGCTTTGGTCGTTGGGCAGTTCGTCGCCGCCGCAAAGCGTACCCGGTACCTCGAACTCATATTGTGGATGAGATGTAGGGTTCCCGGAGATGAGGAAGTGGATCGCGAGGTCGTGGACGCAGAAAATGAATTCCAGTCACAATCGTGACCGAGGTGTTGTCGCTGTCGGCGGTGGTTGTAGTAGTAGTGGTAGTGGTAGTAGTTGTGGTTGTGGTTGAGGTGTCTTTGGTGATCAGAAGAGAGTGGCATTTCAAGACGTTCTTCCCTGGAGGAGAGCTCTTCGGCCTCGCCCTCGGCTCGACCATCAAGCAATTCTTATCTCAAGCCAATCGATCAGCACGGTTCTGTGGATCTACAGAGTTCTGAAAACTGCATCGAGAGTTTCAACGGCGCTGGAGACCGCGTGACGAATCCTGTAAGTTTCGTGCTCGGAGGTGCTGTTTTTGGATGAAATGACCTGAAAGGGTGGAGCTGGGGACCCACACTTGGTACAAGGCAGTGGGGAAATCAACCCATCCAGGTGCCCTGGATGTTCTTGTGCACGCCTCTTATTGATACACAAGTCACCCTCTAGTATTCTCGGTGGCCATGCAGCCTCATTATATTGTAGCTTAATATGGTAGGTACGAGTGCTTAGTACCGGTCGATATCTATGTCCCTCTTCCACTCTCATTCACACACCTCCTTGAGTGACTCCCCAGCAGCTTCCTTTGGCTCTTCCTCAAAAAGGTATCTACAGAGCCGACAATGACAATGGCAACACCTTCTTCTCCTGTGAGAGAGGTTGCAGTGGTCGGTGGCACAGGTGAGTACTTTCCTCGAACCGGGCTTCTTCGCTTTCCCCAGCGCCAACCGTGGCTCATTTTCCTAGGCACCTTGGGCAGTTCAGTCGCGATATCATTGGCGAAAAATCCTGCTTTTGGCGTTCGAGCGCTCTCCAGAGACGCGCAGGGACCGAAGGCACAGTCTCTCTGGGATTGCGGCATCACCGTCGAAACCGCCAACAACTGGGACTCACAAGCCCTCGAAGCCGCTTTCCACGGCTGTTGGGCTGTCTTCATCAACATCGACTCCGACAATCCCGTATGTCTATGGTCGTTTCCAGTCCAAGCCTGTACCTAGTGCGCTCCCTCGGTCTGACTCAGCTTGTGCAAGGACTATCAATGGAAAACTGGCGCAAAGCCCACGGAGTTCGACATGACCAAGAATGTCATGGACAGTGCGATTCGAGCGGGAGTAAAGCACATTATCTTTGCTTCACTCCCTCCTGCTTCCAATCTGACCCAGGGAAAGATGCCCATGGTGTCATTTGACGGTACGCGGCTTAATTATGCTTGCGTCTTACCTTTGGATTGCTGATGTTGCTACACCACACAGACAAAGCCAGAGCAGCCGACTACATGATGGAATGTGCCAAAATGGGGCAGCTTGAAACCGCCACGGTGGTCAATCCAGGGTGGTTCCTGGAGAACGCCTACGACGACAAATACGTCGCTGCGTTTGGAGGGTTTGCGAAGTTAGTTGACGGCGACGGATACCTGACTTTCAAAACACCGCGAATGGGCAACGATCCAGAGTCGGTCCCTTGGCTTGCTGTGGCGGACGACTATGGCGACATTGTTCACGGAATACTGCTCGAATGCGAGCGGTGGAACGGCGAATACATCGATGCGGTCTCTGAGTCCACCAGTTTCGCGGATATGGCAGCGGCGCATCAGAAAGGTGAGTTTTCTGCCCGGCCAAGAATGCAGAGCCAAGATGCAAGAGGACTGACTCTAGTGCTTGTTCCTTGCCCTTAGCTACCGGAAGACTTTCACGCTTTATCGCTATCGAAAAAGGGGCCTTGGAGGCTGAAGACGCCTCCAAAACGGAAGAGGTGAATGGCCTATACGACCTCATGCATGAGTTGAAAGGGAATTTCTTCAATGGTAGACCGACAGAGCATGAGAATGCCAAGGCATTGAAGGCCAAAGCGTGTGAAGCCACCGGACGAGGGGATCAGGCATGCTTGATGACGGTGGAGGGATTCTTCCGGAAGTACGGGGAGCCTTTGGACAGTTGACAGTAGAACCGACATCCTGACAATGCTGCTACCAAGTCTTCTTCATGTTTACGTCTTGGCCGTGACTGTGTTCCCTCGGATTATAGTAAAGATGCGCCCTATGGAGACTCGGCATCAATATTTTTCTGTCAGTACGTGGTGCTTAGGCAGGTGAAAATATCTCATGTAATGCGATAATTCCTTGTCTGACATTGATAGTGCCGGCACAACGACAACGACCCACACTGAGGACAAAGCTCGAACTCATTATTGGATACGAGAGACCCGCTTCATCCGTGGTGGGGATTGTTGCGGGGACGGCCATATTAGACGACTTTCCGCATAGAGTTCGATTCCGGATGAGGTAGATCTGATGGGAACCGGAGATATAAGGATCGTCAATGCCCGGTTGACGACCATTACCGTCCAAAAGGTCCAGAACAATCGGTACAAACTACAGGGACCAAGAGGACCAGGATTAAAATTCGAATTCCAGTCGTTGAAGTATCGACAATATGACCAAAATCACAATCCTCGGAGCCGGGTAGGTGCCATGAAACCAATCACTCTCAAACCTCTTACGCGAGGACGAGGATAGAAAATTCCATCATTTTCTAACTCGTCGGACATTAGGATCGTTGGAATGGCCATCGCCAGCCAGCTCCCGCTCGACTACGATGTTACCATTGTTGGCGAGCACCTCCCGGGTGACCCGATGAACCATGAATATACCAGTCAATGGGCGGGGGCTATCTGGCTTGGAGTTCACGACAACAGTCTCCGAGAGAGAAAACTGCAACTGGACGGGTTGGCCGCGCTGTGGAAGCTGTCCGGGAGATACCCCGAGTCCAGCGCGCGCAAGATCATGATGAGAGAAGTCCAGGACTACGGATCCGTCGACGACGTCTGGTACAAGGACACCGTGCCTCAGTTCCGTGTCATGTCCGGCGACGAACTTCCTCAGGGCGCGAAGTGGGGCGTGGAATATCAGACGATCGTCATCACACCCCCGACCTTCATTGCGTGGTTGCGAGGACGACTTGAAAGCCGCGGGGTGGTGTTCAAGCGGCTGATCGTGAGATCCCTGGCCGATCTGAAGGACATGGGACACGATGTCCTGATCAATGCCACCGCCTATGGCTCAGTCGCCCTTGAAGACGTGCGAGAAACGAGAATGGTGACGGTGAAGCAACAAAACATCCGGATCCGCATGCCCGGATACAATAGACTGTACATTCGACGCGGCCAGCAGGGCGAATACTACTCGACGGCGTTTGGTCGCGGTGATGGAACCATTTATATTGGTGGCATCAGGAAGCTCGGTGTAAAGAACTACACCGTGAACGAGGAGGATCGGAAGTTGGTAAGTCGTCGCAAATATATGCCCATGCCAGTCCCACGATGAACAATCTCCTGATGGAGATCCCTCCCAGATTCTACGACGTCAGCACGAAAATCAGCCAGACGTTTTCAAGTCCCCCAACCTCGAGGACTATGACTTTATCTGTGACCATGTCGGTGTCTATCCCTTTATTCAACAAGAAAATGGCGGTGTCCGAATCGAGAAAGAGATTGTGTCGGGTCAAAAGGTTGTCCATGCGTACGGCACTGAGGCGGGAGGGTTTGTTTACAGCTTCGGCCTGGGTCGGGAAGTGGCCAGATTGGTATCTGAGTACGTTTTTGAGCCGCCCAAGGCATCTTTGTAATGAACAGACCCAGCATTAGTCTCCACACTTCTCAGATGTGGCTAGTTTTGCGCCTGGTCTCTGCAGATGGACAAGTGTACACAAAATATCTCTCATTAATCCAGGAAGAGCTTCGTTGACAACTGCCACGTGGAATCCTTCCCAAATGATTAACGAAGCATGTGGACCCTCGTTTGGCGACCTGAGCTCCACTTCGACATGGTGAACCGGTGGATCCCAATTAATCGCTTCCCTGTGAGAGAGTGGGCCAGACCGGACAAGGGGCCTTCGCGATCAGCCCCAATATGGTACGTGGAGCTCTGCTAAATACGGGGTGCTTCTAGACGCAGGTCCTTGACCCTTCATGTGTACTAAGTGAGCAGGTAGATAAGGAATGCCATGTGATCTTACTAAAATCCTCGTAAATAGTATCCGGACGAGTTTTGGTACCGGTGGCTTCATCAACAGGCCAGCCCTATACCCGAGCGAAGGGAGGGCCTTGACTATCCCCTGTCTTTCTTATCTTGGTCATCCATTCCTCCTGAGCAATCCGGTGTGATTCAGATAAGACATACATTCGACATGAAGTATACTCAGCTGCTGAAAGACCCCAACCTCCCAGTACCCAAGCCGACCAAGTCATTCTGGCAGAATCCCGGCCATGAAAAACTGCTGGGAATCAAATCGAAAAAGCTCCCATCCCAGCGAGACATTGTGATTATCGGATCGGGCATGACAGCATGTAGTGTTTCGAAGGAACTCTTGTCAACCGACCTCAGTGGCACAATTACGGTCCTCGAAGCAAGAGAGGTATGTTCAGGTGCCACAGGCCGCAATGGAGGTCGAATTACCTGCATTGCGGTGCGCGATTACGACAAATACCGACGCCTCTTTGGAGACGAAGCCGCCAAAGCGATTGTGCGATTTGAGCTCGGTCATCACGATGAAATTGAGGCAGCCGCTCTGGAACTCGGGCCGGAACTCTTCAAGAAGACTGAAGTGAGACGAGATGAGACGATCGCCACCGTCTTTAGCGAGCATAAACTCCAGGAGTTCAGGGATATGCATGCCAACTTCGAGGCTGCGTTTCCGGATCTGGTCGGAAAGGTGAAAATGCTGGGACACGAAATTCAAGATGTACGACCCTACTTCTCCTTTCCCTGCGCTATTCCCGTACCTCGTTGCTTCTCCACCGATTGACCTTGTTCTGGGTAGATTTATGGGTTGAAAGGCGCAAAGGGTGGCTTCCTGAGCGCAACCGGAGGTGTCTGGGCGTATCGTCTGGTCACCAGCATCTTTGCCAAACTTCTCAACGAGCATGGGGCTCGATTCGCCATCGAGACTGGCACACCAGTGCTCCAGATTACTCGAGACCCATCTTCCGCCAAAGCTATCCATCCTTACGTGGTCACCACACCCAGAGGATCGATCAGGGCCAAGCACATCGTCCACTGTACCGAAGGTCATACCGCCCACCTTGTCCCAAACCTGCGAGGAATCCTGGTGCCGCGACGCGGACAGATGAGTGTTCAGAATCCCGGAAAAGCTTTCAAAGACCGGCAGGGGAGACGGTCGTACAGCTTCAACTACGAGCACGGGTTCGACTATCTCAGTCAGAATCCACATACGGGTCAGATCTTTATCGGGGGAGGCGACCTGCGAGGCTTTGACGCCGGCTTGGATATCCATGGCGTGGCTTCGGATGCAGAAGAATCCATACCAGCCAAGAGCCACCTGACCGGGATCTTGCCGGTCATCTTTGGTAGGGAAGGTTGGGGAGAGGAAGAGCCCGGTAAGCCGCGTCTTGAAGCGTCCTGGACGGGGATCCTGTGCAGCTCCCTTGACGGCGTACCCATGGTCGGCATGCTGCCACAGGAAGCCCTTGGTTCTCGTCGAGCTGGGAACTTGCAAGCTGGCGCAGAATGGATCTCTGCCGGTTACGGGGGCTATGGTATGGTGAACGCTTGGAGATGTGGGAAAGCCGTGGCGAAGCAGGTACTGGGAAATGAATGCCCTGAACTCCCTCAGCCGTATCAAATTACAACCTCGAGGATGGTCGGATTGTCAACAAGACTGACGGAGCTTGCGGGCACGGAGAAACATTTGAGAGCATTGCTATAGATAAATTTTCCTATTCAACCAAGAAGGAGGGAAATCCACTGGCCCTCTCGGCTGCGGTGAAGTCTAGATATCCTTTCAGTCCACTGAAGTAGAACTTCACCACTCCCTTTCGACCTGGTATGTTTTCACCAAATATCCAACTTGCAGCAGTCTTGAGCAGACTTCCTTCCGCGGCCCGGTTGCAGATGTCACTCCATGCTTCCTCGGCTTCCGCTTTCACTTCCATCTTCGGCGCTCGTTTGTCCGTGCTGTTTCCACTGTTGCATTCCGCGTGTTTGATGCACTCGGTCACAAAGTCCACTTCACACTCAATGGCACAGGGGATATTGGCAAAGGGTCCCTGTGGTCCCGAGATGAGAAACATGTTGGGAAACCCGGACACGCTGACTGCACCAAAGGCTGTGGGCCCTGCCCTCCAGTGTTCCTTCAGCGTGTGTCCGTTGCGTCCCTGGATCTTCACTCTCAAGTAGCTGCCGTCAATTGCGTCGAAGCCGGTTGCAAAGATCAGAACATCGAGCTCATGGATCTTGCCGTCGTCGGTCTGAATGCCCTTAGGAACAATGGACGCGATCGGAGTCTCTTGGAGGCTGATAACTTGGACGTTGCTCTGGTTGAAGATCTGATAATAGCCCGTGTCGCAAACAGGACGCCGGGCGTAGAGGTCCTTGGGCTTCAAGACACGGGCCTTTTCCGGATCTTTGACGATTTGTTCGATTTTGGAGTGGATAAACTTACAGGTCTCTCTGTTTGCATCTTCATTTGTAGTGATGTCTCCGAAGCCACTGGACGAGAAGAGGAACGCGTTGCCCTGATCCCACAAGGCCTCGAAGATGCGCTGCCGTTCCTCTGGCGCTACCGACATCATAGGCGTAGTCACCTCTGGAACTCCGAAACCGCTCCTAGACTTCCAAACGCCTTCGTAAATTGCATCGTAGGTGTCATTGATATGCTGTCGATACTCCTTCGTCACGATCTTTTGGCCGGCCGGGACAGAGTATTGTGGATGTCGTTGGAAAGAAATCAACTGCTTCACCAGGGGAGCAATTGCTGTCATCACTTGGATGCCCGTCGAACCGTTCCCGATGACTCCCACTCGCTTGCCCGTCAGATCTAGATCTCCCGGCCACGCAGCAGTATGCACGACAAGACCACCGAAGTCATTAAGCCCCTTTACTAAAGGGATGTTTGGTGTTGAGAGCAGGCCGAGCGCATTGATCAAGTATCTCGCGACGAACGTGGTACCTCCGGCGCAGACCACCTTCCAGGAACGATGATCGTCATCCCACTCGGCAGTTATCATCTCGGTCTTCAGTTGGATATGGTCTCGCAGGTGGTGTCTGTCCACGACATGGTTGAGATAGCGGAGAATCTCTGGCTGGTAGATATATCTCGTGGTCCAGGGATAAGTGAGGAGGTCTTCTTTGTCCCATGAAAACCGGTACAGGTACGCTTCGGTGTCGCTCATTGCACCTGGATAGCGATTCCAATACCAAGTTCCTCCCACCCCAGCGCCCTTTTCGATACATCGCACGTTGAGGCCAAGTTTGTTCAACCGGTACGTCTGATATATTCCTCCAAAGCCTGCGCCCACAACGAGCGCATCGACTTGTGTTACAGCCATATTTCCATGAACATAGGGATAAGCACTCCAAAATGCGCACCTTTTTCGAGGTTTGTGTCGAAGAAGGCCTCCATAAACTTCATGATGGTCTTATCGGCAAACCCGACTCATTGGTGCACCGGAGAGGTTTCCTATCCTGGGAGATTGACGAGATAGATACGTTCAAAGGCTGGCGTATTGAAGGACAGGCTGTCTCGGAGTAGTCGTATGATTCTCAAGGAGACTCAGACAAAGTCTAAAGGATGAGTGGAGCATCGATCTCGAACCGTCGCAATTCGTCCCGAAAAGGCAACCACGGCGGGCGTTGAGATGGATCCACTTTGCTCCATTCCACTGGCACCATATCACAGCACAGACTTCTCGAGCTTTGTTATTCACTAATGTTCTGACAGGCTCTCTTCGCTCGACCAAAAGTTCCTGAAGCTTTCATAGCCAATCCAGGACCCTCATCGGAACCATGCTGCAATAGGTAAGTAATTCGATCTTCGGGCTCATGCTCCGCATTGTACAGATTTTTTTTCCCACGAAACTTGCGAAACAATAAGGCGCAAATCCAAGCAGGCCGACCATGGCAGGGGAGGGAAGCCGCACCCGATTGAAGGCAAACAATGTGCACCTTTTTGTCGTCAACTGTCAAATTCTTCCTTTCGCCCCTGTATGTCGATTCTCGGCCGTCGACATCTCTGAAATCCAACGTTCCCTGATAATATTTTGGACCTTGTCGGACTGTCGTTAAGAGGCAAGAGTCTGAATTTCCTTGCGTCGAAAATGCCAGCTCCGGGCGTCACGATCAAAGCACCGAACAGTCGCGAATTCTTCCAACCGACTGGACTGTTCATCAACAACGAATGGGTCGAGACAACCACCAGCCAGAAGCTAGCCAGTATCAATCCGGCGTAAGTCCAGTATTTATTTGCACAGCCCCGGATAATATGTCCTCGAGGGCCGCAGCGGTATTAGGTCGGCCGAACGGTTATCCTTTTCCTTTCCTTTTTTGTCCTTTGCTTGAGTCCTGACACACGAGGTATCCATATAGCACAGAGGAGGAAATCTGCTCCGTCTCGACGGCCACAGCCGAGGATGTCGATAAAGCGGTTGCGGCGGCTCGCGCGGCCTTCGAGGGTCCCTGGAAAGCGACGGCAGGAACAGCTCGCGGACAATTACTTCTGAAGCTCGCGGACTTGGTCGAGGCAGAGCAGGAAACGTTGGCGACCATTGAAGCGATGGACAGTGGCAAGCCATACACGAAGGCGCTGGGCGACATTGAAGAGACTTTCTCTGTGTTCAGATACTACGGTGGTTGGGCAGACAAGAACTACGGCCAGACAATCGAGACTGAACGGCATAAGTTCACCTACACCGTGCGCGAACCAGTCGGTGTGTGCGGGCAGATCATCCCGTAAGTACCAGAAGCCGCCCACCCTCTCTCTCCCCGTCGCAGTTGAATCACGTTTGACTGCTCAGAGCCTATTGAGTTCCCTGAGCTAAATACATCGTACTACTGTTAGGTGGAATTATCCTCTGGCGATGGCGGCGTGGAAACTCGGCCCCTGCCTGGCCTGTGGCAACACAACGATCCTGAAGCCAGCGGAACAAACGCCTCTTTCGGCTCTGTATCTCGCGAATCTGATCGTTAAAGCCGGATTTCCGCCAGGAGTGGTCAATATTTTGAACGGGTTGGGCCGAGAGACGGGCTCAGCGATTGTGGAACACGCCGGAATCGACAAGATCGCATTCACGGGAAGCACGCTGACAGGAAAAGCGATCATGAAGTCAGCGGCCGCGACCATGAAGAACATCACACTGGAGACTGGGGGCAAATCGCCCTTGATCATCTTCGACGACGCCGATCTGAAGAACGCGGTCAAGTGGACGCATTTCGGGATCATGGCGAACATGGGACAGATCTGCACCGCGACGTCGAGGGTCTTTGTGCACGAAAAGATCCACGACAAGTTCCTCAAGCTGTTCGCCGCATACACGGACAAGATCTCGATCGTCGGTGACCCCTTTGACCAAAAGACCTGGCACGGCCCACAGGTGTCCAAGGCCCAATACGACAAGATCCTGTCCTACGTGCAGAGTGCAAAGGACGAAGGGGCGGTGATAGTCAAAGGTGGACAGACGGCTTCCAACCGGCCCAACGGCAAGGGATTCTACATCGAACCCACCGTCGTGAGCGGCGTCAGTCCGTCCATGCGAGTTTACAAGGAGGAGATCTTTGGGCCCTTTGTCACGTTCACCACTTTTACCGACGAAAAGGAAGTCCTCAACCTCGCGAATGACACGACCTACGGTCTCGGCAGTGCGGTCTTCACCAACGATGTCACCAGGGCCATTCGTGTTGCCGGAGAGCTCCAGGCGGGTATGGTGTGGATCAATTCGAGCAACAATTCGGACTTGCGAGTCCCCTTTGGCGGCGTGAAGCAATCAGGAATTGGCCGGGAGCTCGGTCAGGCAGGGTTGGAAGCATATTCGGTGCTGAAGGCTGTCCATCTCAATTTAGTGTTCGCAAATCCGGACATATAAGTCATTAGATGGCTACCTGCCAGACAAATATGGAGGGCCATTGACTCTTGCTCCAGCCATTCGCTCACGCAGAGCGGCAGACCACGTTTCAGAGATTCGAAGTTACTTGCTGCTGCTCAGAAAGGTGCTGGCGTGCCTGTTGGAAAAGAGCTTATCTTCTTGGTTAGAAGCCATCCAAGACCGAGCGTGTGAGTGGGTGAACTTACCTTCAGCATTGTCTAGGAACTCCTTCTCAGGATCATGGTCCCATAAGTACCTCTGCATTTCTGCATGGCCCAAGAGGTCTGGATTCTCGCCTCCTTCCGCCACTAATCCAAATTTCCTGTCTCTCTCTTGTTGTTCGGGTCCGTCAGGAAGATGTAAGACACCTCGGTTGACGTCAGCGATACTCATGATGTGCTCCGCCCTCGGTTTACGCGCGAGCTCGTAGGCTTTCAAGGCCACTGATAAGCCATCTGTTGCGGTGATTCTGTTTATTGCAAGATGGAGCACTGCGACGTCCTCAATGGCTTGCGCCCCTCCTTGCCCGACGTATGGTAACATTGGGTGACACGCATCGCCGAGCAAGACCACTTTACCCATCACCCACGTAGGCAGAGGGTCGTGTACGCATAGATGCCAAATCAAGACGTTTTCTTCCGGTATGAGATCCACGAGCTTCCTAAGTCGGTGAGGGTCCCAAGAACCAAATTGGTCCAGTAGGTCCTGCTTGGATGCTTTTGTCGTCCATGATTCCTCGGTGAAGCCCGGGTCGGGGTGACACATCACCTTTCCAACCCGATCAGTACATCTTGGCTTCAACAACAGTGGGAAAGACCGTACGAACCAGATTGTAGAGATTTGCATGTCGAATGGGATAGCCCTGCACATGTCTGCCATCGCCCAACCACCTCGTCGCAACAAGCTGCGTCACGAAGGCACGCAATTCAGGATCTGTCACTTTCTCCACCGGTAGACAAGCTCTAAAGGCAGCATCTCCCGTCGGCGTGGCTTTATCCACGAGCCCAAGTTTCTCGTACATGAGCCTTCGGCAGGTAGACTTCATCCCTGGAAAAATGTTAGCACGGCTTCACGGGGAAAAAGAATGCTCTCTTCAACCGACCATCTGCCCCTATTATCAAGTCTGCTTCAAGCACCCTGCCATCGTGCAGCGTTATTGAAGGCTTCTGAAAGTCGACTGACACCACCATGCTGTTGACATGGATTTCAGCGACAGTCTGGGCATCCTCCAACAGTGCACCATGAAGTTCCGCTCGATGGATCATATACTGCGGAGCACCGTGTCTTTTCTCTACCTGGGGCATAAGAGGCGATACACCAAGGATCTGGCCATCCTCCCATCGCCTCAAATTGATATTTGTCATCGCGTCGGTGTGCTTTCGTATGCGGCCATCAAGTCCCCATCTGCTGAGTAGACGTGTCTGATTCGGAGAGCAGTTTATCCCTGCGCCCACCTCTGCGATCTTCGGTGCTCCTTCTACGACCACAACATGGTGACCCGAGTGTCCCAGGAGTCCAGCCAATGCTAGGCCTGCGATACCTGCTCCTACAATGATAACTTTCAGATGTTGCCGTGGTTCATGATGACCATTAACTTGGTGCGCGTTGCTGGAAGCCATATCGCTTCAGAAGATGTTTCCGGGAAATTCTGGACAGCCACGACTGCAGGTTCTCACGCTATCCCGAGGTCCGGGGACGCAATATTGAAGAAGAATGGAACTGTTGTACGTAGTCGTACGACAGTTCTGACATTGTCGGCTTATTGTGGTGCCGACCATTGAAGCCATAAGGCCCCCTTTTTTGAGAATGTGGACTTACTCACCACGAGTGTTCCTCCTGACCTCAACCTACGTTGGACCGGAGGGTAATTCCTTCCTGGCCGACGGATGCTGGGCTGGCATTCCGGGGCACGACGTGGATGGCGCTCCGTGTTATGTAAGCAGCTTCGGGAAGAAGACATCGAAGTACGAAAAGCTGTGAGGTGCATGCGGAGGACGATTGTTCTCGCGAAGCTCGAGGCCTGCGAATGTCCGCACCCGCTTGCTTGACGTCCTCGGTTAACTCCCAGATATCCATGGGATCCCAGGCTCGGTGATGTTTCGGCGAGCGTTGCTGTCGTGGCTTTCCGTACAGAATATCAGGTACAGTAGGGTGCAAAAAGTCACCGACCACCGGCTATTTTACACCAAAAGTAGCACTTTTTAACTTAGTATAACTTTTTAAATTAGTATAGCGACTATACCTTTTTAAGTTAGTAAGTTAAAGTTAATACTAGAATTTACTAAATATTAAAGTTATAGATCTAAATAAGCTCTAAGTAGTGAGAAATATCTAGTTAAAATAAAAAAGGTGTAAAATTCGACGATTTTATATATAAATTAGAACCTTTTAATCTTCTATACTAGATAACTTAACGAATACTTGATATTTTTATAAACTTTATATTAAGATCTTAATATCTAGTTAAATATCTATATTATATTAAAAGTTAAGAGTATATTACTATATAAAGTTAGCGCGAAAACTTAGGTCGAAAAGTGCCACTTTTGGTGTAAAATAGCCGGTGGTCGGTGACTTTTTGCACCCTACTGTACTGCGCACAAGGGAGCCCCCAAGCTCAACCTGGGCGTGCCCTGGGCAGAATTCTAGGCATCTCTATTCCGTCATTCGTCGGTTGGGCTCCCCGCAAAGTCCCTTGCGCTTCACCCCAGCATTTAGTCGGATAAGTAAAGTCACCGGTGTCGAGGTTCGTTACACACCACTTTCATCCTTTCGCAAACCAGCGGCTTACAAAGATCACGCCCGCCCTGTTTTTCTCATTGCTTAATGTAAGAAGAAGTCAATCTTGCTTCTGACTTCAGCCTGATTTGAAGGAGAGAGCGAGGCTTAAAAGCGCACACTTTGGATCCGACTTCTTTAATGCCAATTCGAGGCCGAGACCGCGCACAGATCGTGTGCGAAGCATGCCACAGCAGAAAGGTCAGTAGACTTGGTCAAAAGAATCATCGCCAACTGACTTGTCGGGCTACTCTAGGTGCGTTGTAATCTACAAGATAGTCCAGATGGAATCTGCAGACACTGCCGTCGCCACAGTCGGAGATGTGTCGTTCGTACTGGCATTCGAAGTGCGCGACCTCCCGACACGAACGTTGCATCTCAACCTGCCCGTACTTCCATCAATCCTGAAGGTCCCAGATACCAGGGTCCCGATGCCACGATCCTATCACCGGCAAGGGCGGATAATGCCTCGCAAGACGAAGCTTCCGTGGGAGGACTCTCCTACGAAGCGACCGGCCAACCCGGCTATGTTGGTGACCACACTCTGCTTTCAAATGATACACTATCGCCATCAACCGTGTCAAATGGCATCTTGCCTCATTTCAAGCCAAGCAACGAGTCCATCCTTAAGTTCACGGAAGCGACGGTTTTGCCCAAGGCGCCCCTGCTGACCGCGCTGACTGATTCATACTTCGACCACGTTTATCACCGCTACCCAGTGGCAGAAAGGGTAGACCTCGCCGATTCAAGATCATCAACCCTATTGAGGCAGGCCATATGTATGGTTGGAAGTCTGATGCGCCATTCATCCAAGGCTGATAGCCTGGATTTGACATACTCATGGTATGAAAAGACCAAGATCATGCTGCTCCTGAACTATGAATCCAACCCTTTAGCTGTTTTGAGTGCAATGTGTCTTATGATCTGCTGGAGTGCGAATCCCGTTGATTCACTGAGCCTGGATTGCCCCTGGCACTGGACAGGATCTGCCATTAGATTAGCACTGCAAATGGGCTTGCATAAAGAGATCACCTACAGAGATCACCGTCAAGCTGGTCAAATGCGCCGCTTATGGTGGATATTGGTGGTAGGTTATTGTCCGCCATCATCGAGTTTGCCATTTGCTGAGCATGCTGAGTCTAGAATGCGGATAGGCTTCAGGCCGCGTGCTTTGGTCGTCCGCTGGCTGTCAGATTATCTGATTGCGATACTCGACTACCAACCACATCTGACTTTACAGAGGACAATATTGCCAACCACGTTTTCATCCATTATGCGCCATTGACCACTATCCTGAGCGACGTTGCTGATTTAAGTATTGGCGGCAAATCTGCCACTGAGGCCGACGTCAATCGCCTCGCCGGAGCGCTTTGCCAGTGGATCAGCAACTTACCAGAGGAAATCCGCCTGCACAACACAGCGGGAGCACGACTCCCCTATCTCGAATCTGTGTCTGAACTGCATATGTTATACTTCACTACGATTATAGTGCTAGAAGCACTACGCATGAGGTTCGAAGAACACTGGTCAACATCCCTCCCTTCGATCATTGCAGCGTCATGCATTACGAGATTGATTGAGGAAGTGGAATGCCGAGAAGACCTGAGCTCTATGTCTTCAGTAACCACTTGGTATATAATGGCTGCCAGTCTTCCTCTGCTTCACCACCAAGGAAGATCTGAACAAAAGGAAAAGATTCGCCGTGAAGAGTTGGAGATTCTGTGTGCCACGACCGAGCAATTGTCTCCGAAGTTTGGCGGCGCCGGTGTAGTGCGGCGCAACATTGAAAGGATCCGAAAAGGAATTGAAGGTTATAAGTCTCAATCAGGACAGGGTCAAGTGGCTGCAAATCCTTTGCCGAGTTTTGTTCAGCCACCTTCGAAGCTTGAAGAGATGTTTCCGTTCCCCAAGACTCTGTGTCCGAACATGGAACTTTTGGAGACCGCGGCCCACGAACAAGCTGAATCTGCAATGACCTTTCTACCTGTTGGTGGTGACTTATTACCGTGGTTTTTTAACGAGCCTCAGTCATACCTCGACTTTTTCGGATTCAACGGCTATGCGGACAGCCTAGACCCAGTGGATCCTCTCGGAGCCGTGGTTCCTGATCTCACTTAACGGACAGTCGCCTCAATGACTTCGTGGTACTGCTTGGCTCACAACTTATGTACTATTCTCTATCTGTGGCGCTCAGGCCCGCTAACAGCCAAGTTTCCAGGTTTGTCAGGCAGAATTGGCATGTGATTGGACTTGTGCTTACGAAGCAGGGGCTTTCGGCACACGACCTCGGCCGGCCAAATGGACCGAAGGAAGGCTTTGTGTTTGGCCGCGCCCACAGAAGATGGCTATAGGTTCAAGAATGTTTCTTGTGCTGATACGATTACGCACCAAGTCGAAAGGCTCTGCAAGGCCGGCCTGACAACGAGCTTAATACAACAGCAGGTCCAGTTTTCCGCTGCACGACAGTGTCCAAACCGCCGAAAAAGAGCGAGAGATATTCGACTACATCAATGATGACCTCAAGGATGGATTCGATTACAGAGGCAATAATACCATCCGTTATGAAAGCGATTGTGTTACGCGAAACTGGAGGCTGCGACAAGCTTGAATACACCGAGTCGTATCCTGTCCCAATTCCTGGTCCAGGGGAAGTTCTCATCAAGAATGATATCGCCGGAATCAATTTCGCAGACATCTATTTTCGCACAGGCCTTTATCCTTCAGCTACTGGTTATCCCCTGGTCCTGGGCCTCGAGGCTATCGGTACAGTTGTAGGAATTCAACATCCAAATTCTTTCGGCTTTCACACTGGCGACCGTGTGCTTTATTCCAATGTCCCAGGCGCCTATGCCGAGTACACTGCTGTCCCTGGAGCAAAAGTGGTCAAAGCTCGCTCCGACATTGCCAGCGATGATGCGGTGGGAGGCTATACGATAGGATTAACCGCCCTCAGTCTGATCGAGCAGGGATATTCTGCAACACAGGGCGATACAGTTCTGGTTCATGCGGCTTCAGGGGGTGTGGGATTAACACTCTGTCAACTTTTGAGCGACCGTGGCGTAACTGTGTTGGGAACTGCGAGTGACGAGAGCAAATTCGCTATCGCCACGACGAACGGAACCAGTCATATGCTCAACTACACCTCCTCTGCAGGTCCCGACTGGACTGAACAAGTGATGCAGCTGACGGGAGGCCGGGGTGTTGACGCGGTAAGTGGAGGTGGAGTTTCATTTTCTCTGGACCCTGCTTACCTGGCCAACGATGTAGGTTTTTGACAGTGTAGGTAAGGACACCTGGGAGGGGAGCTTTGCTGTAACCAAACTCAGAGGCAAAGTTATATTCATTGGAGCAGCCAGTAAGTGTTCTATCTCCTTACTGTCAGTGGGCCTTGTGGTTGATATCTTCGTAGGCGGGAAAGTTCCTCCTATCGATCTTTCCAGCTATAGCCGCCCACGCAATATCTCCGTCTTGTATTCAGCTCTAGTAAACTCGATTTCTACACGAGAGGACCTCGAATTATACGCATCAAGGGTGCAGGAAATGATCGTCCAGGGCACGATGAAGGTCAACAAGTACAAAACATACCGACTTCGGGACGCCGCTCAAGCAATGGAAGATCTCGAGAGCAGAAAGACCACCGGCAAATTATTGATGAAGATTTAATGGGTTTCAAGATACTGGTATGGCATGAAATTTGATATTCAATTTTCAACACAGTTCGTCCCAGTTATGGTACAATATGGCGTCTTTTGTCAAGACAAAATCCTTTTCACTGAGGCCCAGGTCTTTGACCCTCAGGAGTTCTTCACCATTCGGTACCCATGGGTTCCCGCCAGCATGCATCCACCACAGGTACATCAATGCCATCTCAGTACCGAAGCGAGGCCAAAGCTTCTCATAGTCATCCAAGCTGATTTGCACAAATGCTGACTCTTTGTTGGTGGCTTTGCTCCATACCTCCAGCATGCCTTCTGCTGTCATGGTCTCGACATCTCCTAAGACATACTTGCCTCCCAGCTGGCGCGGACCACGTGCAATGATGGCTTTGGCGAGAACGCCAGTGTTGTCTTTATGCGAGCCGATGAGTGTGATAGGCGTGTCTGGGTTCCAAGGAACCAGGTGCGCATATTTCCCGGTGGATTTCTGCAGGATTTGAGAAGATGGAATTAGCCTCTCCTACACGACTTGTCCAACCTCAGCACTTTTCAGTACACTCACAATCAGATGAGGCGTCACCACAGGATACTGGAAATTGTCGCCATACAAAGGGATTAGCAACAAAGTTGTTTTTCTGTAGAGCGACGGCAGTTCCTTCTTGATGTAGGCATCCACTCTGCCTTTTCCACAAAAATGAGGAATGAACCAGTCTTTACCCGAAATTGCCTCTGAGTTTGGCAGTGTGCTCCAAATATAGTGCTCCAGCGTGGACACCTTAGCTGCCGCTTTCGCCATGTTGATGGCCTGATTCATTTCGACTTCCATGCACTGTTCGGAGGTATTGGCCGGGAAGGTTTCCAGAAAGTTCGTGACTGCAAAGATGGCGGCCGCTCCATCAAAAGCTGCTTCAACGGACTTTTCGTCACTGAGATTCGCAGCAACCATTTCAACCCCTTGAGCAGCCAGAGCTCTCGCTCGCTCACTTTTCGGATTGCGCGTCAAGCCACGCAACTTCCATTCAGGATTTCCTAAGAAGGACTTGATAACTGATCCTCCTTGACCACCAGTAGCTCCTACCACAACAAAAAGCTTTGCCATATCAAAGAGTAAGCGGCGAAATCAGTGTGATGATGAGGTTTGAGGCGGAACAGATCTTGTGACTCGGAGTTGAGTGTATGCGCTCTTAATTGCCTTTTATCAAGCCATGTCTTCACAGGTCGAAGTGCAAACCCATGCGATGGCGGAACGAGGCTTCAGCACATGCCGAAACTCGTCCATTGCTTGCTTGTCTGTGGCAGAACTGGCTATGCCATTCTGAATTCACTTCCCCCAGACTTTCAACTAGTTGGACCGAGTGCCGGTCGGTCAGATGGTCATCGGCCCGAAAGCTAAACAAGATCCCAGGACCCTCCCTAAGTGGGAACCACGAGACATACAGTTTGAACTCGGCTTGGAGAAATCTCAAAACATAATGGAGAGCCGAGACCTCTAACAATATGTCCTGTGGGACATCCGGGGTTCATGCACCCCGCCACGTCTTGCCATCTGCCCACAAAATGAAGGGGAATTTAGAGATTAAAAACATTGACAGTCCTTGGCCGACACTTCTCGTAGCTGTACCAGGACTTATCGTGTAGAAAGAGTCCCCCAGCGAGACTCTCAGAACACCAACGAAGAAGACAACCATCGTGGCATCGTATCAACAATCACAGCTAAGATGATTGTGTCCCAGAATGATCTCCTGGTGGCCCCAAAGGCCGTGCCACCACTTGATATTCCTCCTTCGACGAACACAGTCACTGTGCGCATCATTGACAGGTAAGTTCTGGATAGAATATCCATATAGGCCTTATGGATATCAACTCACGCATCTGACGTTATGCAGTACCTCTCAATTGACTGCTCATATGTCAATGATCGTAGAACCACATATTCCAGGACACGACTTGTTGCGGTGCCCTGCCTACTCTTTCTTGGTCGAGCACCCATCTGGCCGCAAACTGCTTTACGACCTTGGCACCAGGAAGGACTGGCAGAATTTTTCACCCGTTGTAAATCAGCTCCTGAAAGACCATGATCTCACAGTCGAGGTGAAGAAAGATGTCGCAGAGATACTCGAGGATCATGGGGTACCAGCCGGTGAGGGTGCCATTGAGGCCATCATCTGGAGTCACTGGCACTATGACCATATTGGCGACCCAAGCACCTTTCCCGCGAGCACAAAATTGATTGTTGGCCCTGGATTCAAGAAAGCATTCCTTCCGGGATATCCTGCTGGACCTGACTCCGTCATCCTTGAATCCGACTATAAAGGGCGGGACTTGGTAGAGCTGGAGTTCTCTTCGTCACAAAAGCGAATTGGCGGCCTACAATATATCGATTACTTCGGCGATGGGAGTTTCTATGTGCTCGATGCACCTGGCCATGCTCTCGGCCATGTCTCTGCGCTTGCTCGAGTGACTTGCGGCCATGGAGACGAAGACGATACGTTCATCTTCATGGGCGGGGACGCATGCCACCACGGCGGTGAGTTCAGACCGACAGAGTACTTACCGCTGCCGCGAGCTATTGTGCCTTCACCATTCCCGCGACATACTCATGGTGTTTGTCCGGGTGCATGGCTCCAGGCGCTTCATCACGAACAACGGGCGGACCGGCCTTTTTATCGGCTGAAACCCGGGTTTGCCCACGACCAGGAAGCAGTTGAGGAAACCATTCACAAGCTAGAAGCATTCGACGCAGCGGACAATGTCTTCGTCATCATCGCACACGACCCTTCTTTGCTGGACGAGGGGTTTCCCATGTTTCCTGCTGTGGCGAATGATTGGGCGCGGCACAACTTTGCGGAAAAGGTTCGTTGGTGCTTTGTGAAGGATTTTGAAGCTGCATTGAAGGAAGTGCAGGAGAATTGAAATAGGTCTATTTAGGTGCATCAAATCAAGGGACAGTAAACTACAACTGCATGAGTAATGCGTGACAATATCTTCCAGATCTGTCTTCCTGCGTGTTCGACCAAGTAGACACCCTCGTACTCAAGTGAGAGGCCATTGTTTTGATGGCATGACCCGTCGCCATCTACATCCAAAAATATTTCAACGACGGAGCTGAATAACGGCAAGCCCATCCTCTTCCATTTAAGTACCGACCTCGGGGATACAACCGTTAGGAAGCCTTAGGAAAAAAGGCCACCTATGAATTCTATTAGTTAGGTGAATATTGTGGCAGAATATGCTACTCAGTGTTGACTTGCCTCCATCAACCAGAATGCTCTGGCCCGTGATATTCCTGGAACCTGGACTGGCGAGAAAACTGACCAGCGCTGCGATGTCGTCCGGAGTCTGTTCCCCGTCCATCCCATGTCAGATATGTTCATGAGATTGTTGATTTGATTCCTGCCTACCGTTGGGCGCTTCAACGCGCTTCTCGCCTGAATGGTCTTCTCGTAGCTGGTTCCTAGCTCGAGGCCTGTTTCTTTGGATATTTGTTCGTCAATTTCGGCCCACATCTAATGCACATCAGTAACGGGTGCTAGCATAGATCCTTTGTGTGATCTCGCATACATCTGTGTTGATGGGCCCTGGACAATATGCTACAGGGAAGACAGAAATCGGTTAGGAACTGTTGTCTATAGGGGGACCACAACCAATGTGTCACTGACCATTGACCTGAAGCGATGTGAGTGTTAGGCGCGAAGAGATTTGATATTGGAGAGGCATACATTGATATCGTACTGAGCCAGCTCCAGGGCCGTCACTTGAGTGAGGCCTCGAACTGCCCATTTACTGGCCGAATATGCCACCCCAAGCGTAGACTGCAGAGCAAGTTCCAGTCAGAAGTGATAAGGCAATGGGGAAGGTGCGTTGTCCTCGATACAGACCGGCCGATAACCAGCGGTAGAACATGCTCCAATGATCTTTCCGCCTCTCTTCTGCGCGACCATTTGCTTGCCTGACTTTGTTAGGATCAGGTCAAAATTAGAACGAGAAGTGGACATACCAGCTTCCCGGTAGCAAAGAAAGACTCCCCTTGCGTTGACCTGTCGATCGAGAGGACTAATTAGCTGGACGTCACAGACCACATCTGGGCAGACGCTCACGGCCATAACCTTGTCCCAGTCGTCGACCGTAGCGTCGAACAACTTCCTGGCTACTGCGATACCGGCGTTGGCAACCATTACCAGCAGAGCAAGTCAGCTTTCTAACTCTAGGTAGGGCCTGTATGGCTACTCACATCCAATCCACCCAACTTCTCAACAGTCGCTGCTACGATCCTTATGACATCCTCCTCCAAGCTCACATCACCGTGAATGCAGATTGCACGCCGTCCTAACAGATTTTTGAGTTGCACAACCATTTGAAACGGTAACAACGCAGAACTAACCCTTCTGCTCAATCTGCGTCTTTACGCTTTCGAGCTCAGCAGCCTGTGCACTGATATCGTTGACCTGCAGATTTTGATATCAGCGTAGGTCTTAGAAAGCTGAAGGCCTGCAGAGGCGTTGAGTGGGTCGCACTGCAACATCAAAGCCATCGTCAGCAAGACGGAGGGCAATGGCCTTGCCAATGCCTCGACTTGACCCTGTCACGACTGCAACGGGCATGTTGAAGTTTTTTGTTCTGATCAGAAGATAGGAAGGCCCTGGCACTTGGCTGGCAATGATGCTAGTAGGCCAAGTTTCAATTGATGCTTGAGGTACAATTCAAGGCTCTACCAGGATGCTTTGCTCCTAATCTCCTCCGCTTACATATTCTCAAATCTTTCCAAAGCACGAAGCAAATTCGCCGGGACGACCACATCACCGGCCAATTCAGGAGCGCGATACACGCGTGGCTAGTTTAACCCTATCGGAGCAGGGTCTGCTTCAATCGACGGCCGAAGGTGCTCTCTGAAACTTGCACTCCGCCACTTCGACGCAGGGACTCAACCGAGCTCGTAAAGGCGCGGGGAAAGGTAGCTTCTTTACCGCACAGGGTCGACTTGAACCGAGTGAAGTCGGGACCCACCCAGAACCAAAGCCTTGTCTGCTCGGCGTAAGTGGGGGCTCGGTATATCGGTATGGACCCACTCTGGACCGAAATTCGGCAGGAAGGTACCTGGACCGAAGGAGAGCTTCAGAAGGAGACAAACGTCTTTGTAGATCTCGGAGGCACGAACTGGCATCATTCAAGAAGAGAAAGCTAACGAAATCTGTCTTCGTCATCCCAGTGCACCAGTGGCTCTATTGAACGCGATAGGCTATCCTTTTGACCTGGCCCACGACAGAATGCTTCGGTAACGGACGGCGGAGGTGCAAGAGACCTACCTGATGGGCCATTATTGCGATTCTCTCCGGATTTGAATGACGGCTGATTCGTTCTCTTGAGCTGAAAGATTCGAAATTCTCTCAGGGCGGGGATCTCTGTCAGCGGAAGGCAACGTGAAAGAAGGCATTCGCTTAGTCGTCCTACGATATATGACCTTGTGCGCAACTCTCGTGGCTATCGCTCGAGCAAGACAGGTATATCTGACATATCAACAAATATTCAACTTTCACTATCCTCAACGTCAAAATGTCTGTGAAATTCGAGGACCGGCTCTTCATCAATGGCGAATTCGTACCTAGTCGAAGTGGCAAAAAGTTCGAGCTGGTGAACCCAACAACGACCACACCCATAGGCACGGTATATGAGGCCCAAGTGGAAGATGTCGACGTTGCAACCAAAGCTGCCAGTGGCGCTTTTGATTCTTGGTCCGAGCTCCCGGCACTTGTGCGCTCCCAATGGCTCAGCCGCCTGGCAGACAAGCTGGAACAGAACCTCGAAGAGATCGCCCACTTGGAAGCAATCACGATGGGAAAACCTGCCATTAACGACTTTGTAAGAATCTAATTCTGTAAATACGAAAAGTCCGGGTATGTTGACTGACTGATTTCTTGCAGTCTGTTGCCATGGGACTTCAGATCATCCAATACTTTGCGGGAAAGACTGGTGATGTTCAAGGAGAAACATCTCTCAATGACCCAAGTATGCTTGGAATGACGTTTCGCCAGCCATATGGCGTGACAGCCGCCATCATACCATGGAACACGCCTTTTCTTATGCTCAGCATGAAGATTGGGCCCGCACTGGCCGCCGGAAATACAATGGTCCTCAAGAGCTCGGAGAAGAGCCCACTATCTTGCCTCGTAGTTGCACGATGCATGCAAGAAATTGGATTCCCTCCCGGCGTGTTGAACATTCTTAGTGGATTTGGCAGACCTTGTGGAGAGGCCATTGCGAAGCATATGGACATTCGCAAGCTGGCTTTCACAGGCTCGACCGTCACAGGAAAAGCTATCAAGAAGGCAGCCGCGGAGAGCAACCTTAAAAACGTGACTCTGGAACTAGGCGGGAAATCGCCCTTGATCATATTTGAAGACGCAGATCTGAAAAAGGCGGCTGCCGCTGCGGCTTTCAGTATTCTCGTGATTTCCGGTCAGGCCTGCATGGCAAGCTCGAGAATATATGTGGAAGAAAACGTCGCAAACGAGTTTGTGGAGTTGGTAGGCTCACCCTCTCGCTGCTTTTTGTATGTCTCAGCTCACAATCTGTTCGCCATATAGGTCAAGGCAGAAATAGGCAGAATCGGGTTTGGCGGTGATCCGTTGGAGGCAGGCACTTTGCGTGGGCCTCAAGCCGATAAAATCCAGTTCGACAGGGTCCTGAGTTATCTGGATCTGGCGCAGAAGGAGAACCTCAACGTCGTGCTGGGAGGAAAGCGAGAAGACAAGACTGGCTATTACATCCAGCCAACTATCATTTACGGTGCACCGGACGACAGCAAGCTTCTGAAGGAGGAGATTTTCGGCCCGGTGCTCTGCATCAATACTTTCACTGATGAGGCAGATGCGGTCACGAGAGCCAATGATACTGACTACGGTCTGTATGGTAGTGTTTTCACCAAGGATGTGAGTAGAGCGGTGAGACTGGCGAAGAAACTCCAAGCAGGCACCGTCGGTGTGAACGTGACCAGTCCGACTGTGGCTTTGGACCTACCATTTGGCGGCTGGAAGGAAAGTGGAGAGGGCAGAGAATTGGGTAAACACTCGTTGGATAGCTGGACAGAGCTCAAGACCGTGCTTGTAGGTCTGTAGAGAGCAAAAAGGAAAAAGAAGAGAAAGCATCGCGAACTGCTGGGGCGTGGGCATTTATGCTTCAGAGACAGGGATCCGTTTGTGGATCCCAGCAAATGTATGGTCGGGCACTTGACAAGGAGCAGAAAGCTCCGTCGCCATTGTCGATGGTTGTGAGTTACTTTAGGTACAGGCGCATCATTCCTGGCGACAAACTCTCCGGCAATCAACCTTTAAACAATATCTGCATTTGACGTCAAGGTCTATGAGCGAAGGCTTCTTGCTATCGACAGTGATGGTTTGGAGAAGTATGCTAGTCCTCACAACAGTACCAATTTCTGCGTTGACGTGTCCAAACGCCAGTGAATGCAAAATATTCCCGCGTTAACTAAATCTCTATTCATAATGTAATTGATCTGGATAGTCCCAATAATATGTTGGATCATTTCCGTTCAACTCTCTTGTGGAAGACCCGTTCCCGAGGTACTGGAACCGATTCTTTGTCCACAGCGTCAGATCGAAATCCTCTCCTCGAAACTCGTCCAGCGTATGGAAAAAGTGAATGCGGCTTCCTGGATGTAAAACAGTGACCGAACCCGATGACCTGCCGTTCTTGAACCACGACCGACAATTGCCTGCCCATGCCGTCCGCGGCATAAAAGCATCGACGTGCTCGACGTACTCCTTGACCACCTCTTCTTTGGGAGCCAGGGCCTTTATATTTTGGGTCTGGCATTTGCGCAGGATCTTGACCATGAGCTTCGCGATGTGCTCGGTGATATTCAGAATACTACCATGTCCCGCTGGTGCATTTGGACCCAGGAACACTGCAAGCAATCAGCATCTGGCTCTGAAGCAGGTATGGTGCAACCCTTACTCCAGTAGTTGGGCATGCCTGGAACGGCAAACGAGAAGTACGCATGAGCGTCTTGTTTTGCCCATCGCTCACGCAGGTCGTCATATCTCCCGATCACTGGGTACTTGGGGCGGAAGGAGGTATCAAAACCTGTTGCACAGACAATGATATCTACCGGAATCATTTCGCCGCTGGTCGTGATAAGACCTTCAGGAACAATCTTGGCTATCCCTTCAGTGATGACCTTGACGTTCTCCTTGTGTAATGCCTCGAGATACCCCAAAGAAGGCACCAATCTCCTGCATCCCACTGGAAAGTCTGGTATGAGGACATCACTCAGGTGTTCATCACCTTCAAGCAGCTCAGCCATAAAGATTTTCAATTTCTGCTTCATCTCAGAGGCTTCCTTGCTGCTGCTGATCAACTATGCGAGCGTCAGAGTTCGAGTCAGACCACATTATTTCGGTCACAGAGAGCCGGCACTTACCACTTTGTATTTGTCATTGAATACTCGATCTGCCGCTTTGATCAACCTCAGGTACAGCTCAGGGTTCTCCTTGAATAAGTGGATCTGCTCTGGAGTAAAATCATTTTGCTTGATAGCTAACTTTTCTAACAAGTCTTCGTCCTGTATTTGTGCTAATATTGTCTCTCGCATTGATGGGACCACCCAGTTCGCAGACCTGAGCGAGTGCACCAACTGTTTGACAACTGGAACATACAATGTTAGGCTTACGACAAGAAAAATGTTGGCACCAGTCGGTAGATTCACTTACCTGGCTGTATCTCGGTCACAATCTGAACACCAGAGGAGCCATTACCGATAACTGCCACCCTCTTGTTGGCATAATTGAGCTCCTCCGGCCAGTTGGCTGAGTGCACAAGACCGCCTTTGAACGTGTGTAGACCTTCAATATCGGGCCACTTCCATTTACTGTGGCTCTGATTAGTCAAAGCTCTGAGTTTCTCAAGGGCAAGGATAATAAGTTGGCTCACTTTAAGACACCGCTTGCGTCGAGCAGGAAGTGGCACTTATCCTCGAAAATCTCCTCCGTCTGCAGGTTCTTCACATTCACGCACCACATCCCCTCATCTTCGTTCCACTCGGCTCTGACAACCTGATGCGACAGTCGAATACTATCCCACATCTTCTCCTCGTCGGCCAGCTTTCGAAAATACTGCTGAATCTCCGGAGCTCCGACATAGAATCCCGACCATTCGGGGTTGTGGCGCCAGGTGAATTGATAATTGTGAGAAGGAACGTCGCATTTGCAACCAGGGTATCGGTTCTCGTACCAAGTCCCGCCAACGTCCGGGTTCTTTTCATACACAACGTGTTCGTAATTGTCAAGGTGTTTCCGCAAAGCCCGGATCATGTTGAGCCCGCTTGCACCCGCTCCAATGGTGATAATTCGAATGTGACGCGTCGTGCCTAGGGGATTTTCAAGAAGATACTGAGAATCTGGCACGAAATTTGGAGCATCTGGCTCGACTGTTGTGTTCGTTTGGGTATCGGTCATAGCGGTGCTTGGTGTGGATGATTCTGACGAATCCAAAAACTCTGTGGAAACGGTAGGCTCTATCAAGAACTTGCTGAGCGTTATTCCCTCTGGGATAATGGACTCCGCCAACTCCGCCATTTTTATTGCAGGAGATCTCTTTTCAACCGTAGGATACTTCTCGAGATTCGAGAATGACTTTGATTTTATTATGCCACCTAAGTGAGTGGTGTGTGTAAAGTAAACGGTTCGAGTCTAGCCGGTCTTTTCACAATTTCGTGTATAGTCCAAGAGGTCTTGCATTCCCTCAGACCCGGCAGGCAGTCGGCCCAGAGTCAGAGCCGATTGCACCGAGCCTCGTGCTGCCGAAACCAACAGTGTCATCTCATTTATAGGTGGCGGCCCGGCGGGCAAGCCTTGACGAGAATTGCTACGATAGGAGTCCGGACTTAGACCGCGTCAGACTAAGGGGTCTGGATCACAGTAGCCCTATGGCATGGCCGTTTGCCAAAGATGCATTCATCACTGGTAATAACCGCCAGTTGGCACATTTCATGATACAACACATGTGATAGCTACCGCGAACCTATCCTCACTTTGGATACTCGCCCGATTCTCGGAGTTGAGCAAATACATCGCTCGCAATTCCCATCGCATCCCGTCCGGCCGGGACCCCGCAGTATATCATGGCGTGCCGACACGCCTCACAGATCTGCTCCTCGGTCAATCCGTTGTGTACCGCTGCTCGAATATGGATCCGTAGCTCAGGCGCCCGATTCAAGGCGATGAGCATTGCAATGTTCATCAGGGATCGTTCCCGGAACTCTAGACCAGGCCGCGCATAGCTGGAAAAGCAGGTCTCCCAGATGTATTCCATGCTGGTCTTGGAAAAGATGTCGTCTTTCTGTAGAAGTCCCCGATACAGCAACTCAGCCCTGCATTTTACTAAAACAGGCGGAAAGGAGCAGCCAACGCACCATGCTGGACAAAATCTTCTGATAAAACTCCTCCCCTAGGAATTTGCCAGTCATCTTCTTGCCGAGGGCGATTTTGTCCATCTCTGGGGACTCAGGGTTTGCGTTTGCCGCCATTATGCGTCTGGGTTGTGTTTCGGAGATTATTCGTAGGTAGTTTCTCAATTGATGGTATCCAGGAAAGATGTTGAACTCTACCTTTTGAATTGAGACTTTGTAGACTAAGAGAGCCTTGGATCACATATGGCGTTGCACCACGTTTGGCAAGCATTCCCTGCGGCAAGTCCCATCCACGTAGCCGACTTGTACCGAAAGATCGGCGAAGTTATGAAGAAGCATTCGGCCTGGAGGTTCTTCGCTTTCCTCAGCCGCTTTTCGACTGTCGGGTTAGGGGTCTATGGTTGCATATCCCCAGATATGGAGTCAACTGCCCGGAAGCCCGAGCACCACTCAAGACTTGTTGATTGAGAAGAGGTGTCAGTGCTTGAATTAGAAGGGGAATCATTTTGCTGCATATCGGCACTCTCAGCTAACTCCACCGACCACGGTTCGGGGCTCCAGAGAAAATGCACAACAAGAACTGCCACACAAAATAGAATAGTTTCAGCCCCAGAGAATACGGCGGTTGTCCCAACACTACAAGGAATGAACTCTTCTGGGTTCAGGAAGAGTTCCAAAAAACATTTCACCTAAACAAAACCGACGATACTGAAATAAGATGATGCTGGAAAATTATCCTAGCAGTATGACTGCTGTCCAGATCACAGGTGAGGCATGAGGTCTATAAATTCAGCGAAACTATGGAGAATTGACCTCATCTCCCCTTTACAGAATTCCACAAACCATACGAGATCCGGCATATCGAGACGCCGCGAATCCTGAGGCCTTACGATTTGTTCATTAAAACCGTGGCGGCTTCATTGGTAAGTTGATACCTTTTTGAGATGTATAAATCTTCGCCTAGTCCGCATTAATGGCGCCAATCAGTGTCACACCGATGTTATGGTCATTGAGGGCAATTTCCCCACCGAATTGCCATGTACTGCGTCCCATGAAGGGACAGGCATTGTGTTGGAGACTGGCTGCTCCGTTGAGGGCTTTAAGAAGGGTGATCGAGTATTGAGTGGTTTACCTCGCAACCCTTGTACGGAGTGTGAAGATTGTCGCGGTCCTGACGACTATCGCCAATACTGCACGCATGTGGAGGGGCAGATTGGTACCATCGTTGATGGGGCTTTTGCTGAATACCATATCGCGGACAGCAGGACAAGTTGTCTCATACCCGACGGCATCAGCTTTGCGGAGGCAGCGCCTTTAGCTTGCGCTGGACGGACTGTCTATCGGTCTATCATCGCGAGTGGGATCCAAACGGGGGAATGGCTCGCCATTGTTGGTGCTGGTGGTGGGTTAGGCCATCTGGGCGTTCAATTCGCGCTCGCAAAAGGAATAAACGTGATTGCGATAGATGCCAGAGATGAGGGCCTGAAACTATGCACAAAGGTCGGGGCAAAGCACATTATTGACGCACGAAACGGCCTGGATAGCGTCGTTGCAGAGCTTCGTGATCTCACCGGAGGACGAGGTGCGGATGCGACTATCAACGTGAGCGCGCATCGGACTTCTGCTAGACTCGCTTGTGCTGTCACAAAAATGCACGGGGTCGTGGTCCAAACAGCCGGTCCGGAAGACCTGTCTATATCAGCGTTTGACCTGATCTTTCGCGACATCAGAATCAAAGGTTCACTCCTGGCTGGTCGCGAAGGCACTTTGGAGATGCTTTCCCAGTATGAGAAACGCAGATTGAAGGTCGAGATTAATCTATTCTACGGGCTAGATCAAGTACCAGTCATGCTCGAGGCGTTACATTCTGGCAAGATGATGGGAAAAGCGGTCTGTATCGTGGATAGGGAGGCATTCGAAGTAGACGGTAGCATGCAAGGGTCGGAAATAGTCCGTCTGGCCTAGAATTGGATCGACCTTGATTGCCTTGATTTCCGCAGTGTCAGAACACACGCCTCAAGAGCTTAGGACACAATTCTAGGTTGCTCAAGGGTCTCAGCTGTGGGCGACATTCAACGTATGTCCCCCATCTCGGTTCCCACGCAACACTTACATGCCTCTTCCGGCTCAGCTTAGCATCTGCTTGTTCTCATACCAGTTCTAGCCTTTCAAACCTTAGCCCATCGGTCGAAACTCGGGGCATGTCCTCGAAATACATCCATGATCCCGAACACGAGCTGATTGGCCGATGTGAGCTTCGGCATAGCGACAGCCTTGTCTCGGTGTAAGCCGACTATACCGAACAATGTGAAGTGGCTTGAGACTGTGGGGAAGAACCTGGGGTACCAAGTTCGCCTATGTTAGCGGCGTTCGAGGCTCGAATGAAACAGGAAGTACACGCCTGGATGTCTATAAAAGTCCTTCGAAGACGGTTTTGTGGCATTGTTTTGGCCGGTCAACTGGGATACTCAGTCTCTTCTCCGTTGATATCCATACAGCAGGTTGGTCAACGCAGTCTTTTCCTTCTCAATTACCACCATGCATTCTCGAATGTCAGACGGTGTCGCGCAGGTGGAGCACTACCATGGCCGCCAGTTCCGAACTTACAACATCTTGATGCTCGTCATTATGGCTGTTGGATCGTGAGTCTCTCTTGTTTCCGGGATAGTCCTTCATGGATGGATTCAAGCTCTCCAGACAGTCTAACGTACTGACATCCATGTGACATTAGATTTGGATTCGGCTATACCAATGCCTGCATGTCCACTGTCCTGGTGCAGCCTTCGTTCATTCAAACATTCAATCTTGATACCCGAAGCAACGCCAACGATCTCATCGGCATGACAAACTCGCTATACTTTGCCGGTGGGTTCTTTGGGTCTCTGAGCTCATGCTTCTGCTCCGATAAATGGGGTCGAAGATGGGGCATTGCAGTCCCATGCCTCATCTCCACAGCTGCCGCTGCTCTCCTCGCCGGGAGTGTGGACATTTCCATGTTCATCGTTTTCCGGTTCGTGCAGGGCGTGGCAGCGTTTACACTACTTGCGGCCATTCCCGTGTGGATGAGCGAGGTTGCTCCTCCAAGCATTCGAGGTGCACTGGTCAACATTCATAATTTTGCTTTGTTGATTGGGTACTCAGTCAGTGGATTCGTTGGTAAGTGATCTTGCTTCCTGGTGCTTGTGCATACTGACGCTCACATCTCGACAGGGTATGGATTTTTTCACATCCACAACAGCAGGAATATTCAGTGGAGAGGAATATTTGCGCTGCTCTGCATACCGAATGTGCTCCTGCTCGCTGTCATGTACTGGATTCCAGAGAGCCCCAGATGGCTTCTGCTGCATGAACGAGTTGAAGAAGCCGAGAAAACACTGCACAGACTTCATTCGGCCGAAGAAGCACGAATTGAGCTCATTCAGATTCAATGTCAACTCCAAATCGACAGACATCTCCAGAGCACGTACTTATCAATGTTCACAAAGCCCTCGTACCGCAAACGCACCATCATGGCCTTCTGCCTGACGTGTGCGATACAAATCTGCGGACCACTCGTCATTGCGGCATACAGTCCTACCATATATGGGCTACTGGGCTTCGACGCGAACAAGCAGATCCTATACACCGCAGGGTTCTTCACAGTATCCATCGGCGGTAGTCTCATGTCCCTCTTCATCGTCCAGGTCGCACCGCGCCCTCTCAACTTCGCCGTTGGCATCATCTTATCCCTGGCTTGTTTGAGCGTCGAGGCGGCATTGGTCGCCAATTATGCAACCACTCCAGAGTCACTCGCACATCCGAATCACGCGGCCCTGAAGGCAGCTGCTGCGATGTTTTTCGTCTTTATTGTGTTCCTGGAGGCCACTCTGGGTGGGACACAATACGTGTATATCGGAGAACTATTTCCAACTCACATCCGAAGCAAAGGCATGGCTATCGGTACATCGGGATTGAGTTTCATGAACACAATTTGGCTGCAAGCTGCTCCCACGGCCTTCCGGACCATTGGATGGAAATTCTACCTCTGCTTCATATGTCCTGGGACGGTCGCGGCAATTTTGATCTTACTCCTCTATCCCGACACTAGAGGTCTTCCTTTGGAGAGCGTGGCCGCCTTATTTGGCGACGAAGTCGGAGACAACATCGTTCAGGCCCATGAGATAAAGATCAATACTGATGACCTTTCTCAGAGCGATCAAAAGGGGGTGATTGGAGAGAAGGAACAGCCGAGAGCAGCTGTATCACTTGAGCATATCGAGAAGACTGCATAAAGAAGCAACCCTGCGCAAAGAAGCATCACGAGGGGAGGGCGAAGTAGATAGTCTCTAGAGAAACACTTGGGGCTATCTTGAGACCGGCAGTGTGTGGCGGTGGAACTGAGAACTGGTGAGAGTTGTAGGACACACTTTGGAAGTTAGAACCCTCCATCTTGGGAGTCGCAGATTCCTCCGCGAAGCCTACTATTTGGGCATTCTGCAGGAATCCAAATACCAGACGCCCCGCTTGTGGTCGGTGGAGGCATGGTTAGCGTGGATGAATCAAACAAATGCTTTTCCCTCGAACCCCTTTTGTACCAGCACAAGTAAGATGGTGGCCAGAAGATCATCCGGACTCAAACCGTCCACAGGCAGCGTGCTCAGAAATCGTCCCCCTGTTCAAAGGCATTGTGAAGCGCCCCAAAGCTCAATCAAAACATACCTCAACTAAGCGGTCGCGATAGGATGCTAAGGAACATCCATACCATCTTGGGGTTAGATTGTAAGCTATATTGCCGAAGGTGATAGATCAAGCCTAGGATCTTGGGCAACGCGTTTGTTGGTGACACAGAAAACGAGACGTACCAAAGGGGATGCTTGTGTCACCTCCTCGACATGATGGGGCACATTGATTGCAGATGTCCATCTGTTGAACCAGTTCGACAGGCGTCTATGATACCAAACGGAGCAAAGAGTCAGACCTCGACTCTTCTAAATCCTTGGTATTTCCATCTGTTGAAGAACAGACCAGCAAGCAGGTACGTCTGTGATCAGCAAGAGACTTTCGTGCGATGGAAGAGCCCCATAAGTTCACCAAAGCCGTGAAATGATGCATTTGGCTGACACTTGCCAACAGACTGCCGAGATTGAGGGACGGGCAACAACGAGGAGAGCGTTTAGAGACAACCACATGTCGAGAAAGCGTGTAGCGCTTCCCCAAACCGGTCAAGGCGTCGAAAGGGTGTTAAATTCTCCATTCCACAACAAGCGCTTGGCTTAGATACCAATAATATTCCGACGGAAGAAGAAGACCCAGTATCGGAATTCGTGGGCGGAGATTCCTCCAAAGCGCTTGGAAGCTGGTGTCTGTCTTGAAACGGTTAGTTCTCTCGTTGAGACCTCTACCGACGAAAATGGGACTGCAGGTATCTGACGAGAGTATGTTGGGCAGTTAGGACAAGTTCGTCAATAATTGCTCCTGCAGGTAAACGTGATCTAATTGCTGATGCATTCCAGCAGCCAGGCTTGACACGTGCAGAGACAAAGTCGAATACATGTCTCTGGTTTGGGTGGTTTCCATGGTCGTTTGACAAATGCAAACAGAGCGGCTGCTTGGTTCAACACGTTTGCACCATATAAAGGGGAAGTGTTGGTGTGTAGGTTGCATGTAGCGGGCAGTCTTTGTTTCGTGAGCGTCTTCCTCACCAGTGCTTCGACGAAAGGAACATCAACGTCCTGCTCCGCACAGTCACCAGAGCAATATCTTACGCCAGGGGTACAAACAACACTCGTGTATAGCCAACGAAGGTCCAGCCAGCAACATGGGCGACAGTGACAGCACGAAAATTTGGGTACCGATAACGGTTGTCGGTTGCATTCTCGTCTTTCTCCTTATAGTCTGCTGCGCACCGTGCCAGGGCGACGACTATATCGACCGACAACCGCCGAGAGGGAGAACGCCATCGCGTCATTTGCCGACAGGATTACCTTGGACAGAGGTCACCACCTTCAGCTCGTTTCCCACTCGCCCTCGACCGGTATTTCTGGGGCCACGCAGCGGAGGACGTGGATTGAGTCCACCGTGGGTCGACAGACCGCCACCGTACTATCCTGGAGTCAACATCGTCGAAAGAGAGCCTATATTCGCACGCAGATGATCAATGGGATGGAGGCTGGGAAATACTTGCGGAAAGGGTCGATTTGGTGGTGCAGGGTGCGCCTGAACATCTTCACCCGCGTCGAGAAGTATGTTTTGCCACGGTTCAAAGTAGGCGTGAGGGTTGCAGTTAGAAGCAGGGAATATGGAGTTTTGGGATCTGTTCACGATGATATTGTGCTCGTAGGGGTGTGGATGGGAAAAGATGGACGTCTCATCAAGAGGATGGTCGTGAAAGGGTGACGGTTGGAGATGTTGTTGATCCGTGATGTTGGAAGGTTGAGGAAATGCCGCTGCGCTAATAAATTGAATTGCTCTTTGCTGTTGATCTTCATCCGCCACCAACCTACAGACTTGCTTTCTTTCTGCTTTCCACCCAAGCTTGTCTCCATTGTCCGCTGCTCCTATGCTCCTGAGGTGGAGGTTGCTGTCCAATTGACAATACATGACCACTGCTAAACAGTGCCTGCTGAAGATTTACCGACCCATTTTCCTACTGCCAGCGCCGAGCAGATCATCAAGGGTTGTTCGAAAGCCATCGCTGAATCTTTCCACCACCGCCTCCGACACTTCCACCACATCGGAGTCATCAACTACCGGGCAACTTCGGCAATGACAGCTGATGTGCTGTTGATCCCGACGCCTTAAATGGTGGGAGCTCTGTAAGAAGTCCAGCAATCAAGGAACTGGGCGGAGTTGGCCATCTGGCCCGGACTTTCCGAGGGATTCTGACCAGACAGAAGTCTACCATCCAGACCTCCAGAAAAGTACTCCGGTTTGTCGGCTAACCTGAACTATATGGAGCACCGTCCCGCATCTTCTTGACCGGTTGTGTGCGAATAGCCCTCGATGTGCGGCGCGAGACTGTCAGCCTAACCAAGCCTTGCTTACAAACCCGGGTGGACACACCAGGTCCTTTATCAGTCCCGACAAGCCAAAATGATCACATTGCCTGGTAGTCGCCGCTAATTGTTCGGTGGAGAGAGAAGATTGCTTCTAGGACTTGCTCGCCAGCCAGCCAAATTCTTGAGATGCTTGACAACGAGGCAACAGCTAGGCTGCAAAAGGGAACCAATCGATTCTTGCATCCAAGTTTACTGGTCGCCTAATGCCAACAGGTCGTGTCGGTCTCCTAGCTGCCTCGCGTGGCTGCGCCTTGTCAACGAGGAGGAGAGAAAACACACAAGCAAGGCGCGTCCAGGACCCCATTATGGCATGGGGTAATGTTTCGGACTTGAGACTGTTCCTCGTCGGGCGAACTTTAATGGGCAAAAATCGCCCAGCGGCATTCTCTGAAGGAGAAATGTCCTCACAGCCTTGACAGCCTTGGCCAGGTAAACCCGCAAGGTAGCACAGGCGCTCTTTGCACAAGTGTGCCTGTCACTGCACAGCCTCAGAACTGCGCTCAGAATTTTACTTCTCTCGCCTTTGTTTACTTGTGCTAAACTGTTGCTATCTTACACAGTATAGGCAGATATCCTTTCATGCCGCAAGGCGACGATGGTGGCTCTAAAGTGGCAGTGCCTTGGTTCGCCCTCGACAGTACGGTACAAGTTGTAGCTGTCCACAACTTCTTGAGCGCCTTCCAAAACCCACCGGGTCCCAATTATAGCGTATGATTGTCCCAAGGCCAACGTTCAGTCCTACGAGAATCGAATGTGAAGATCTATCTCTCTGGGGATAGGAATGGACAAGGAAGCGGAAACCAAATTGGTTTACAGTGCACTTACTTTGACGAGCCACTATATTGAAGATCAATACAACGATACCGCCTCGAAGTTACCACAAAATGGAAAGGCTGTTTCCAACATAGAAGACAATGACGACAACGAGCAAAAAGTTTTGCCTCGGGTCAAAGCGATCGATACTCGGATGGAATCTTGCGGGCAGAAGAGGCAATCAGCTAACACCTTGTCTCTGAGCAGCAATCTTCCTCCTGCCTCTCATTTGGGCGACGATGAGCCTTATATCAAGCCCATCGCAGGTCACCGGTTAACACCGGGTTGCCCTCATAAGCTAGGATCGTCGTGCCGTATACACGATACACCTTCTGCTTTGAATGGAAGCCAGGCTTTCGGAGTCGAAGACACGTATGGACGTTTAGACGGCCTTCCAGAGTATCCCAGATCTCCCTTCCTAATAGAACCGACTAAACATCACAATCTCAACAGATCACCGCCCTCACTTAAAACGGAATTTCCAGACAATAGGAGAACAACCAAGAGCATGTCGTTTGGCTCAACTGGCGCTGGACCTCCCCTGCATTACACTCCTTCAACGGAGAATCGCTGGCAAGGATCCCCGGATGGGAAGGGCATTGAGCGTTCTTTGCAAAAGGTGGAGGAGGCATCGGGACCAAGAGGATGGAATAGGCCCTCGAACAACCGTAATGTTGTCTCAAAGGTTGAACATGATACAGAGGCGAGGGTGATGACTGAGGCGCAGCCGGCTGAAGACAAGATCGACAGGCAAGACCAGGAAGAAATAGAGGCCTTGATCGAACCTATCCGCATGCTGCAAGGCAAATGGAACTGGGAAGAGGACCTGAGCGTCCGCCAAGAGCAGGAGATGGCACGACCAAGTGCAGCGCATCAAAGAAGAAAAGAAAAGGAGAAGACGCGGGAAGATATGAGACGTGTGCATGCCCAATTGCAGGCCAAGGACAACCCCCAGCTCGAGGAGGATTTGAGCCTTCCTTGCGCTCTATTTTCCGAGACTGGGGACGAGGCCAGAGGATTACCAGAATGGCAAGTTCACCAACCTCCAGCACGGGCGGAAGAGTCTTTTCATCCGGAGATCCCATCGCCTTTGACACGCCTGGAGGCACACGAAAGCCCGGCCTTGCCACGACGCCAAAGCAGGCGACGGGGTTCGTTCCGATGGTTCAAGAGCGCATTGCGACTTGCGGTAAACCAATTACCGACATCAGTTTCGGCTGCTATCCCAGGCAAAAGAGCAGGCGCACTGGGAGGCTCTGATAGTACGCGATATGTGCGTGAGAATCTGGAGAAGCGAAGCCCACCGGCTGAGGACCGAGACACTATTTCAGCCACTTTGAATGTGGCAAGCAATGCTCATGAAGAAGCCGGTCGCAAGGCACGACGCGCACGTCGAGGGATGGAACACCGCCGCCGTGAGGAAACACAGCATCGCCAGGCAGTGCAAAGTGGACAGGAGGACCAAAGGAGGACGCGCTCGGCCAGCACGGCCGAGTGCAGCGCCTGCGTCGAGCCTGTGCCCCGGAACCAAATGTGCCGGTTGGAGTGCAAGCACTACTACTGTCGACCCTGTCTGGAGACAGCCATCCGCACAGCAGTAAAGGACAAAAAGACCTTCCGATGCTGCAGCCGGCCGATCTCTCCAGATCTTGTGTCCCAGTGGCTTCCCGCCCGAGTCCTTGCCGCGTACGCCGCCGTGGTCGAGGAGCTCGCGACTCCCAACCCAACGTACTGCCACAGCTGGCGCTGTTCGGCCTTCATCCCGCCAGCCTTCTACGTCGGGGACGACGTGGCTCGGTGCCCGCGGTGCTCGAGCACCACCTGCCGCCTGTGCAAGCAAAAGGCCCACCACGCGGGAGTCGTCTGCGCGCAAGACGCCGCGGGCCAGGCGCTGCTGGGCCTGAGCCTCTGGCGAAAGTGGATGCGCTGCCCGCACTGCAGGACCATGGTCGAGCGGTGCGCGGGCTGTCTGCACATGACTTGCACGTGCGGGACCCAGTTCTGCTACAACTGCGGGAAGCCGAGCTGGCGGTGTCGGAACGGGAAATGCACGAGGAGGTGAGGGTCGAACGGAACGAGGTGGGAAAACGTGTCTTGAAGCAACCCGCTCGAGCTAGGTGCATGGATCGGTACTGTGGTTGGTAGAGGGTGCTGTAGCGCCGTAGTACGAGAGAGGTATATACATATCAATATCCAGGACATGAGAACCATGTATCTATCTATATACTTAGACTATCTCGAGGAAACATGTGAACCATTTGCAGTCAAGTACAGCCGTGCTTCCGCTCGAGGACAGTAAGTAAGTATGTGTTTGGTGGATTGGTGCTTGCGTACAAGTAACGTTATTTACATGTGTCGATAGCCACTTTACGTACGTCCATACCTAGGTATATTCATATGCGTACGGAGTATACACCTATATAGGTACACACACACAGATGCTTCCACTGCCCTGCTCAACATTAAGGTTGATTGTCAATGCCGGGAAAGGACATTGCCATTGATATTCTTGTCGCGTTCCTTAGGTTAGCTTTTTCCTTTGCTCTGGCAATGGTTGCCTCAAACCAAGTTCTTCTCCCTCAGGGAGAGAAGAGGCAACTATCCCACTTGCTTCGATACTTTTTGTTCCCGGGAAGTCGTCCTGCCCGTCAATCAACCACCGAGCTCCTCACTCTGTATATCCATCCCCTTCTTCCCTGCCCCAGTCCTTCACTATCTCTTCTTGCTCTTCTTATCTGATAGGGTATCGCGTATCTTACGAGGTCCTCGCATCTCATCCTCGTCCTCCTAACACCGTCCTACCGTCCAGCCCACCCCTCAGGAATCAAGATCGCGCCCACTTCTTCAACCCCCCTCTCCATAACCAATAAATTATACGCGGCCGCCGCGTTGGGCGTGTCCATGACGTCCACCTTAATACCCAGCTCTTCAGAGATGTAAGCGCGGGTTTCGCGTGAGAGCATCCACAGTCTGTGGCCTGTGCCGACTAACAAAAGGTCGGGTTTCGGGTAGAGGAGAGACAATAAACCGAGGGTCTGGGGTGGGAAGGTCAACAGGCCGCGCGGGGAGAGGAAGGGCGTAAACGTTGCATTCCCACGGGAGGAGTCGCCAGCAGCAGCAGCAGCAGCAGCAGTGCTTGTATACATCCACGGCGTCCACACAAACGCTTCTCCACCAAGTAACATCACACCTTTCCCTCCCGACGTGTGCACACCGTTATTCAAATGGAACCCGTCGCTCGTGCACGCGTCGATGGAAGTAGCGGGTTCTTCAACGCCCGCGGCGGCCAAGATGTCCATCTTGGAGAAATCCGTCTGCGTGTCTTCTTTCGAGGCGGGCCCGCGGTCGTGGGTCTTTGGTGCGCGTGGATTTATCGGCGGTCTGGAGGGCGCGGTGGAGGGAGTGCCAGGTTGAGAGGAGGACGGGGCCTGGCGATTCTGGGCCGCCGCTGTTGTGGTTGTGGAAAGTGCTCGCACGCGTCTCGCCAGAGAGAGTTGAGAAGAGTGGTGGTATTTTTGACGTCGAGTGATGGGCATAGCTAGCGGGCTTTGCGCTCGAGATAGGTTCGTATGTCGAAGAGCCAGAGGCGATCCCGGTGCTGCTCCTGCTGCAGTTGCGCGACGCAGCGCACGGAGGAGGTCTGCGGACGGAGCTCGCATTTTTCCTTCTTCCTTCTTATTTCTTTCGTTCACTGCAGGAAAACAGCAAAGCTCGAGCAACGGGACTCGGTGAAGAAAGAGAGAGAGCCTCGCTCTTGCAGCGCTATTTCCAACACCGCGGCAACGTTCGACCTCGAGGTTCCTCAGACCGAACCCTGCGGCACGGGGATGAGGATGTGTGCAGAACAGACCGGATACCTAATGTGAGGGACGGGTTGGTGGATCTCAGGACGAGGACCTCCAGGCGTCAACCGTCCATCGAAATCACAGACTTGCTTGCTGTCGTTGGGTAAGGGCCATTGGAGGTTGGGGGGAGAAAAATAGTCCATGACAGTCAATAATCCAAACCATGACTTCATCGTCTGCTGGCCGAGAGCGCAGCTACTGTATCGAGTACGAGCTCGCGAGGTACACCTACAGCCAATCAAGGGGCCATCATTTCCATCTGCTTCACGAGGTACTCTCAAGCTTATTTGTACATGGTCGATCCTTCACATGTATTATGATGATAGATTTCCCCCTATTTGTCCACCCTCACATAGACTCCCTTGCTGGTATGCGCGGGAAGCCATCAGACTCGAAATCTCTCAAATACATATGTATGTCAATGCACCACCTACATGCCTTGTCAATTGCAATGCACCGCCATGCGCAAACCGAACAAGCTTTAAATCTGACATGCCCACCCTGCCTTCACATGCTTCGTCGTTTTAAATTATCAAATATTCAGAGGAAATCCGCAAATTACATGATGCACAATCCAACAACTGCAACAACCACGGCAAACAGACTTCCCTTGAGCACCGTTTCACTCTTGCCGCCAATCTGGCCCGCCCCGTTGGAAGAGTCGCCTCCGTCGCCTTGCACGAACCCTGTCGACGCAGCTCCTGTGGCGCTGGCACTGCTACTTCCCGAGCCGGAATTGTCACCGCTTCCGCTATCACTGCTGCCCGTGGTGTTGTCGCCACGCCCACCGTTGCTGCCAGTGCCGCCACCAGAAAGACCGGGAACAGTGGCCGGTTGAGTCGTCTTGGACGAGCCACTTGAGCTGGCCGTGTTGCTGCCAGCCGACTCGTTGGTGCCGGTACCAAGGAACGATTTAAGTACGGTGTTGTCGTTGGTGATTTCGACGGTGTTGTTGGTCATGGCCGGGTCGGTGAAGATGTAGGACTTGCTGCCGTTGACGTTTGCGCCTGCAGGCGGATCGTAGCACTGTACCGTAACCTCGTCGAACTGGGCGTAGTAGTAGCCGTTGGTCATGTATGGTGAGTCCCATTGCACAAGACCTCCAGCCCATTCGATGGTGCCTTCGCCGTTGGACGCGAGACCGCCCGGCCACAGTGACAGCTGCACTTGGCACGGCGTTTGAGGATAGTAATATCGGTTTGCCGTCTCATTCCAGGTGTCTTCACGGTTCAGGGTACGGACTGCGTTGCCATCAATCGACCAAGTAATGCTGTCAGGTTGCCAATCAATTTCATATTCGTGGAAGTTTGCGTGCACGTCCGAGAGGCCAGTAGTATTACCGCCGTTGGTGTCTGGATTCCCAATCAGTATATTCTTTCGGATCCCCCAATACATAGAATTTCACTTACAGACTGGTACACCCTGGGAGTAGAAGTTTGTTTGAGCACTGGTCAACTGCGTGCCCACGAACTCGAAATCGATTTCGTCCTTGGAATTACCGAGCAGAATGAACGCAGTGACGACACCAGCACCGGCAGACGTGGCGAATCTCGCGCTGATTTTGCCATACCACACGGAGCGTGTGCTAGCCAGCAGTGTCCCCACTGTTCCTTCGGCCATGGTCAGGAGCACCGAGTTGTTGTATTCCAAGGGGCTGCCGGAAGAGACCCAATCGGCGGTAGTGGGATCTCCCAGATACTTGGTATTGGGCATGATCCCGTCGAGATTACTAAAGTCATAGGTTTGAGATTGACAGACAGGCGCGGGAACGCAGGAATCGAGGCTGAACGAGTTGACGGGATCACATCCCCCTAGACAGTAGGCGCCAACACCACACTGACCATATTCTGCCAGTCCATTGATTGTCAGTATCTTGGTCTTTTCCGCCACAAGGTTTCTGGCGGGTCAATAAACATACGCGAACAGCAGGGGGTATCTGAAGGACACTGAACACCACCGCCGCAGGTTGTCTGAGCAAAGACCGTAGGTGCCAACGCGGCGGCAACGAAGATGAGCGAATGCCAGACTCCGCCCGTCATTTTGTTTTATTTTCCTCGGGGTTAGGGTCGGTCGGATGCGTATGCAGTCGTCAATGAAAGGGCGACGGCACCATGCACAGATATACGGAAGCAAGGCCTCGAGCGCAGTACAAAGAGATTCGACCGTGTAAATAGAGTATCACAACAGGCAGGGGGCTGCTCTGGTCGTACAAAGAACGAGATCAAGAAGATTCGTCAGATGTTGCTGAGCGAGAGGATGGAATCCGCAGTCGGGAATTGGGGGTTGTATTCGAACAAAGAAGGGCCAACAACGAGCGGCACCCACCACCAGATGACCTGTTGGACGCGTGGATGCAGAAAGGCAACGAACGAAGTTAGCGAGAGTAAAAAGGGTTGCTTTAGATAAAGAAGAGTGCAAAGAAGGGAGGTATTACAACGACGGAATGATGATGTGGGAAGAGAAGGACCAGGATGCAAAAAGAGAGAGATGGAAGGGAGAGCGAGGCGTGCTACGGAGATGCGCAGGCAAAACAGGCTGTGGCATTGGCGCAGGCAAGGCCAAAAAAATCCAGTTAGCAACCCAAAGCAAATGGTACTGGCACCCACTGGGTGGTGTTACTATGCTTGGATTGACGCAGGTGGTTCCCCCCCTGCGGTGCCTGTTGGGTGCCTGTGAGTGGCTCTGGATGAATACCAGCCCTGGAGAGGCTCCCTAGGCCCCGAGATCCAGGCCCATGGGAGCCCTGAGTGGTTCGAGGGGGCACCAGGGGGTCCCATTGCGTGACGCGGCGCGTGAAACATGGCGAGGGAGAGAGCTAGGCGGGTCCATCTATTACCCGTTAACCCTAGATCGGTTAAGAGATGGTGGCTGCGGCCTAAGTGATTGGCGGGGTTTGTGGCGGCGACTCTGCAGAGGTTCGATGGTCGTAATATGTCTCGGCAGGGTGATTGACTGAGGCCAAAATGAAGCGTCGCATCTCTTCCTCAAGGAATACATACCATCTTGTCCCAGTCTGTCCCTTTAATGGCATGGTATGTAGTTGGTTGCTTGGTCGGCGCCACCCGCAACAAAGGGGCTCAAAACCTGTGGGGAGGCACGAGGAGAAACTCGAAGGCTCGCCTGCTCCCGCTGCTCACGTGTCAACCTCCCATCGCTTGCACAGCCACTCAATTCCTCAAAGCAGTAGTGGGCTCACTGCGAGTCATCAAGATCAGACTCAAGGGAAAGACGAGATGGTCATCACTTTCTTCTGACAGTCGGACCGATGTGTGTCGGTCCGTCAGAATAACCATCTGACCAGAAGGGCCAGACGGACACACCCTCAGAATCATCGGCTCCATGACGGAAATCAACCGAGCACGCCTGATGCCTCGAGGTTGAGGCATGCAGGCCCAGGAATACGAGCCCCTCTGTTCTAGAAACTGACCTCCAACTGCCGAACACCAAGAGATCTGATTATTCGATCTTTCTCCTTTTCATCCTGAGGCTCGTATACACATCTCCCGCGTTCGCAGACCGAAGTTACAAGAACAGTAAGCCCGGAATGTTCCGCCTCACCATCTGTCCATATTCGAACGTCTTGTCAGCTCCGCGTACTGCATAAGCAAACACCTCTTCGTTATAAATATTTAGTTAGGGTAAAGGTCACCGAGACGTCTCATCGACCACTGCATCGAACTGCAAGGCTAGGCGACCAGGTTACTGACAATGGGGTCAATTGAACCAAAGCGACCATTCGAAAAGGTAAGACTGACTCGCAGCAGTCGTTGCTCGACATCGATTGTCCACTTGAGTGCAGCATGTTTGTTCAATCATACCAGAAACTCACCGGGAACAAAACACAGATTGTAATCGTGGGAGCCGGTCCAGCCGGATTGCTCCTCGCTCTACTGCTCTCGCGACATAATATCCCTTCCATCGTGCTGGAATCATGGGACCGACTGGACGAGCGACTGCGGGCAACCCAATATGGAGTGCCCGCGACCAAGATATTCCGTCATGCAGGCATTCTCGACGACATTCGGGAACAAAGCATCACGAGCTTTCCCAGCATCTGCTGGCGTCGAGTTAGCGATCACCAAAAGCTGACGGGGATTGACCTCTCCGTCGTCAAAGACCATCCCGACCGCATGACGATCCTGCCCCTCAACCAGATCATCCAAATCATGTACCGACACTGTATGGAAAAGGCCAACGGGCTGGTCGAGGTCAAGTTCAATCACAAGGTCGTGGGTACAGGTCAGGACGACAGGTCTGCCTGGGTTGATGTCGAGGTTGGAGCAGAGGGCGAAACCAAGGAGAAGAAGAGATTCACTGCCGATTATGTTATTGGGTGTGACGGAGGGAGCAGCGCAGTGAGGAAATCTCTTTTTGGCAGAGAATGGCCCGGCCAGACGTTTGATTTCCGCTTGCTGGTCCAAAATGTCCGTTCATCCACAGCCCTCTCTTTTGCGTTATAAAATCGGGTGCCAAAGACTGATCGGAGCACACAGGTGTGGTACGACGGCTTCGAGAAACATGGTTGGGACGGAGGCAATTATATGGTCGACCCGGAATTCTGGGGTCTGATCGCAAAACGAGGCAAAGGGGGTCTCTGGCGTGTCACTTACGGTGACAGCACTGTCGGTCTGTCCGATGAAGAGTACCTGGAACGGCGGAACACGGCCTTCAAAAAGTTACTGCCAGGCCATCCCGATCCCGGCGAGTACAAAATCACCCAGACGGACCAGTTTCGGATCCACAACCGTTGCGTCGAGAAGATGAGGGTGGGACGAATCATCCTCGCCGCCGACGCCGCTCACGTGTGTAACCCATTCGGTGGCTATGGTTGTATGACGGCAGTTCTGGATGTTGGTGCCCTAGCCGACTGCCTGATCGGCCTGTATGAGGGCAAGGCGGACGAGAGCATCCTGGACCTGTACGCCGACATCCGCCGCGAGAAGTTCCTGAAATATGTGGACGCAAGGTCGATGAAGAATCTGAACAGGATCATGCACAGCGATCCCGACACGGTCCTGGAGACCGACAAGTTTTTGCAATTGCTCAAAGGGTTGGAAGGCGACGAGGAGGCGACAAGGGCATTCCTGCTGGTAAGTTTGTTTTATTTCTCGCCTTGTTCGAAGATAGGGCCGCTCACCGGAATCCTTTAGAAATATTCCAGCATCGAACACGACTTCACCCAGTACTACAAGGAAACGTAGGGGGAATGGCAAAGGAGAAACTCTTGCGAGCTTGGATCACTTTGACTGGCACCCAACTGGGGATGTGCATCTTGGCTCTCGGGAGCAGTTCTCGACCCTGAGAAAAGGGGTCGTAGATAGTCGTGCTCACATGAAGCGTGGCAAATAGACTAGCAATGCATCGCGATCCACGGAGGACTGAGAAGGGCGTAGTGGAAATACCTTGCCGAAGTGCAAGAGGGAATAGGAACTCACCTCGCTTGACGAGTTTCTGGACCAGAGCCTCCCCACTACGAGAAAAGAACCCGAGTACGTCGTAGAAAGCACAACCCTCCCCTTTCAGCGACTTGTAATCTGGAGCAAGGTCAATGTTCCCCCTCCGGGATCGTAAGTATATCCTGAAATGCTTTTGTCTGCAGTGCTCTGGTTGAGAAATGACGGTTGTCCAGCATGCCTTGTCGAAAAGCAGCATCTTTGACTCACTCCTGCAAGCCCGTTTCAGGGATCGGACTCCATCACCGGATTCGAGCAGTGTCCAACGGGTCTTGGCCTTTTTGAATCTAGGTATGCTCAGTATTCGCAAGTAAGCTCCTTTTCTCCTTTATGAGCCAGGAATAGAGTCAACCACCCACTGCCATGCTCGTCGGAACTTGCGCTGGTCTAGGCGCTCGTGGTCTCGTTTGTTGGCGCTTGTTTCTTCAATCACCACGCTGTGGACTGTGGCGGTAGAAAGTTCAGAGATACGAGAGTGCTTCTCGGGCATTCTGCGTGCTGTGCTTTGATATCTAATACATATCAACTCGCATGCGAGCCAGACAAATGCAGTAAGCATGTAGTGCCATTTCTGCATAGCGTCGTTTCTTGGGTGCAATCTCCGACATCCGACAGCCGAGTTGCCATAATGTAACACTCTGCCAGCGAGATAGAGGAAGCAAGGTAGAGACAAGTCGGCTCCAGAAAAGACACACTACGGACAACTCTTAGGCAAGAGCATGTCCGTAGAGCTCCGGAGGTGGATCGTGAACTTAGCAGAGCGTGGAAAAAGTTTGATAGAGCTGTTGCCTACCTATTCCAGCGACGATCTGTCCGGGCCGCAAAGCTAAGAAGGGCCAATTGATAGCCTCGTCCACGTCATATTTCAGGGAAGTACAGGTTCGCACCGAGGATTCATGGGTTCCTCGCACCGTGCTCTCTACGTAGCTATCTCAGCGGCAATAAAATTGATGGATTGCAAGGCGCCAAGATTGGTGTGACAGTTTTGTGCAGCCACCTACCTAGGTAGGTAAAGAGCCTCACCGTCCACAATCACCTGCATGACTTCAGATTGTGCCAAGCGAAGAGGCTGATAGCAGTGGTGGCACCTGTGGTGGTGTTGCATCTTAACCCGCAGCAGCTGATGGCTGGTGTTAGTCGCCTTCCAATCGTAGATCGGTACCCAAGGCAAATCGGTGGCTGGGCAAAGGTCGGTTGTCGGCAGTCCAAAGATTAGATCGCAAGCCCTACCAAATTCCATAGGTATACTCACTTGTACTCGTTGAAGGATACGGAGTACCTACATGTTGTAATGTCTCCAAAATGTACGGATATCTACTCCATCTGCTTTGAGGGGACGGACTACACTGTGAGCCGCCGCTGGATATTCCGTGACATTCATCCCGGTAGCCCACTGTCGACATGGATGATCAGCCGATGTCCGGTCGTCTGGTAATATCCTCTGCATTGAGCCATTTCCGTAACCTCGTCGTCTGCAGCTGATGGTGCATGTCAAGCAAGGTCTCCCAAGCCACATGGCATGAGCAGCCGTTTCCAAGCATTGGCCAAGGCTCCGGGCTGAGGTCTTGGACTTTCTGGAGCTGGTGACAATTTCCTGGAGAAATCCTGTTTTGCTCGACGTGCGGAGCGGTATGTTCCATCCAGGAGAGCCGGTCATCAGGTGGCACAAGTCAGTTGGCCTGTAGAGCAAAGCACTTTTGTGTACTCGGTGAGCACTGAGCAAAACCCGGACGTGGCTGAACAGATACGTGGGCATTAGACGCGCCCGACCGCTCTGAGTAGAATTGCACGACAATATCAGGAACCAATGTTTCGGTTCTGGGTTTCGCCAGGATAAGCACTACCCAGATAGGTTATTCACTGAGTCTGGACTGGATCATACCTAGGTAGGCCACCTGGCACCTGCATGGGAGACAAGGAGACAGGTATGGCTTCTTTCACCCAAGAATCTGCCGTGTGATCCTCCTGAAATTAGCATCGTTCAGCTCGACGTGGTCATTGAGCCAGTCATGGCGTAGGACAACGCGCGCAGACCAGATAACCCCCAACGCCGTGTCTTGTGTTCCGCCTTGGCCAAAGAGTGAGGACCCTAGGTAGATATGTCGAGGAAGGGCTTTGGTCTCCGCCAATATGCAGGCCAAGCCCAGCGAAGGTTAGAAAGTGGAAGTAGTAACCTGCCTAGGTACCTAGTAGCCAGGAACCAGTCCGAGCTCCGGAATGGAGAATGCCGATCGTGATGTAACTTGGGGTGTTTGTGGCTTGTAGACGTGCTGGACCGCGACTCGGCAGCGCGACGAGATTAACGATGCTGTCTGGACTCTGGACACCGACATCCGCACTCTGCGCCTCGTCTCTTGTTCGCTGGGTTGCTTTGTGATTACTCTAGTATGGGGCTAGTATACTGATAATGAGCACCAGGGGTCGTCCGGGGGGCCTAGGGAGAGGCTCACAGGGTCGCTCGAAGGATACGGGGTATTTGGTCACCCACAGGTTGCAAGATGAATTTGCGCACCGCCCGTTGTTAGGCCCGACGCCAAGCAACAGCCAGCAGCAGCCAGCAGCAGCCAACCGTCGACCAAAACTCCACCGCCAAAAGACTTCGCTAGTAAGTGGTTGATTATCTCCAGCCGGACTGTGATTAGCATCATATTGTATCGCTCTCAACCTTGACGCCCCCCTTTTCCCGCACAGGTTGCTTTCGGATGTCGGTGGAGTATACCCTTGTCGCTTCTGATCATCGGCTTCTCATTTGTCCTCAAATCAATGTAATCGCTGGGTGTCTCCAACCACCGCAGCCTGTTCCTAAATGGACCTCCACTCCTGCGAGCTGTTCGCCACCGTCATTCGTTCCTGTTTCATCGCTGCAGTCCATGCGCCCAGAAATCATAAGAAGGATTTTGGCAATCAGAGAGAAGGGGGCAATATGTTTTGTCCTGGTACACCGTATGTGGCTGGGCAGCTGCTCAGTGCAAAGAAAGAAGCCAAGAGACTCGTAAAGAGATACACAAGAAGCACAGGCGTCTACCGTAGACAGAGGGTACGAGCCCGAGGCTGAGCTGGTCGCGGTGCGCGTTTCCGTTTCTGCAAGGTAAAATGATCTGATCGTCGCACCAGAGATTGATTAAACTTTATCCCTCGTGTTGGTGCTCTTTGCGGTGTTCCGGACGCACTGCTCAGTAGTTCCTCACTGAGTTTCTCTCGTCAGCATCGACGTCTCAAAATTGAGGGATCCTCTCAGGCAGCGGTTAGCGACCCCAGTTCCTCAGTTGGTCCTGGTCGAGCGATTGAAAGACGGTCTAACACAGTATAGTCGCCTTGCTTGGGGCCGAGCACGTTCAAAAGTGGATCTGCGCGACACAAGGAAATCTCGTAGTTTCTCCTTAGGGTCGTAGGTAGGCAAACTCCCATCGCGACCCTTGTTCAGCGAGCTGGTCCTCCTTGGACATGGCCGTGGTGGGTGGTTGATGGAGCCATCGTTCTCCGTGAGTTCGCGCGTCGATAAAAAAGATAAGTCTTGCTTGGTCCCCTCGTGAATCGACTTCATCCATCCCATTCTTGCTCTCCTTCTCTTGCGCGTCTGCCCGCTTCGTTGTGTTTGGGACTGCTTCAACCTGTCAAACTCATCAGTGACCCAGCCCTCGGTTGCATCGTCTTGCGTCAGGCTCCCTCCATCCAACTGCTTCGACCTTGCCCACCTGAACACTCTCGACATACGAAATGGGTCAGACAGCATCTCAACCCGAGGGCGGCAAGACCCTCAAGGTCATCGGCGCCGGTCTCTCCAGAACGGGAACCACATCATTCGGAGCAGCCTGTTCCTACCTCCTCGATGGCCCTTGTTACCACGGCGGCACCCAGATGCTCAACTCCCCCGAGTCTCACATCAAGCGATGGATTGAGATCATCAAACATACGCCCGTGAAGGATGAAGCCGACCGAAAAGCCTTGACTGAGGGCGTCAAGGAGATGCTGGATGGATACGTCGCCTGTACCGATCTGCCCTCCAACGCCTTCGTCGAGGAGCTCATGGAGATCTACCCCGACGCCAAAGTCATCTGCACAGTGCGTGATCCCGAAAAATGGTGGAACAGCTTGGCTCCGATCGTGGAGAAGGGCAACTTGACGGTTCTGTCCTGGCTTTTGGCTCCCCTTCCGACCCTGCGGTGGTTCCGAACATACCACGACGCCCTCGATGACGGCCGTGTCGGCGAATTGTACTTCCGCCCTGGCGAGCCTAAGCGACCGACCAGAGCCATGTGGGATCGACACATCGAGCACCTCAAGAAAGTCGTCCCGAAGGAGAAGCTGTTCTTCTATGACGTCCGCGATGGATGGGAGCCTCTATGCGCCATCCTGGGGGTTCCAGTGCCCAAGGATGTTCCGTTCCCCAAGCTGAACGATGCTCAAGCCATGGAGGGTTTCATGAAGAAGAGCGCCCAAAGGGGCATGATGGTGTGGGCTGGTCTCTTTGTATCTGCCGGTGCCGCCGCCTTCGCAGCTGCGAGATACGCCAAAGTATTTTGAGAGTTGAACTTTATTGTTGGAGGCTTCATGTATTCATATGGGACGATATGACTATCATCACCTTGCCAGGGCGAAGACAAGTCCGGGCAGTCGAATGAAAGGGTGCACGGATGGTTCAGTACTTTTCGAGATGAGTTGGCGCTTGGGGTTCGTGTTACTGGGCGTCATGAGGAAGGAACAAAACGGGAGTGATGGGCGTGCTTTGACAATGATTGTCAACGACTATTCTTGGTTGCTGTGGATGACGGAACATCCCAGATTGATGGCAAATAGAAGGGACCTTGTGGTTCAATGCTGAGACCGAAATGCTTCTTTGTGAACTGGTCTGGAGCTGGTACGGTTATCTCTTGTAATGCCAAATATTGAAAACCACGCATCTTCAAAAAAGACCACAGGACGAGTAGATGAGCGGGACGAATGTCGGCCATCGTCCACCTTCATATGCTCAGCCTGATTGCCATCTCCGTAAGGCTGCGAAGCGTCGGTCCTGCAAATGCCGACAAGCGTGGCGATCTTCAAGGCACAGAACCGGGAATATTCTCAAGGTCATGTTTCGAAAGTAGAAAGAGATCTTGCAAGAGAACCTGAAGAGCCACGGGCGGAACGCAATATATTTAAAGGGAGCCCTTGTCCGCGCTGGCTTGAATCCGTCAATTACGTGGGCATCCCTTTCTATGGCGCAATAGCCGCCAAGGGAGGATCAGGCTGTCAATAGTAAGGAACGAGGGAAGAATCCCGACGCCGCTTGCCAATATATCAGAATTGCACTATTACATGCTGGTACGATCCTCATTAATATGCCTGTTCTTATCAATCCTTCCGTCAAGAGCCATGTAATAGGGGAGACCCTCCAGCCATGTCTTACTGTGGCTGTTTTCCGAATTCATGTGCTGTTGCCATGATAGGATAACAGCCTCTTAGAAATGTCATGGCGCTCGTATCATCAAGCTGGCTACCTCCACAACCGTTTCAGCCGCACCAGGCTGTACTGTCACCCGTCAGGTTGAGGTCTGGCCGTTGGTCTGGACCTTCAAGGGATCTGGATGCGTGTCATGATGGAGCAGCAACCAAGCTTCATCAGAGAGTCGATGACCGCTTCGATGTACATTGCGTATCTTGTAATTTCTGGAACACAGTCAGCCAGCCACTAGTGGGAGGCGTTCCATGGCATTCGAAATTTGCCATGTTGCCAGCGCGAACTGCTTCTTATCGGACGAGGTACCGTTCTTTTCGAAGTCAGACGTACTCGCACTCGCGCAACCATACGGAGTACAAAACATAGAAATACACGATAAGTCTGCGCACCAAATCTGGCGCACAATCTATCGTTCTGTTGGCCCCAGGGAGAATGGATGTAGAGCACGAGGTACCGAGTAGATGACAGAGGATTGAATGGGCAAAGTTCGAAAAGCGCAGCTAATGGCCTGGCACCCCTGGGATGCCCAGTGCCTGGCCGAAGGTGCATGTGATACGCACTAAACCGCAATTGGCGTCTACCCGTTGCGCCTCCAAATCGCCTTGCGATGCTTGCCGCATGACCATCAAGTCTTGTCATCCGCCCAAAGGGACCAACTGATTAATGTTGGTTGTTATATGGCTTCATCAGACTTGACTGCGCAGCCTTGAGTCTGCATACAAGATCAACACCGTTCCGTCGCCATGACGCGAGAGGAACCCCTGCTCGCCCGCCCTGCCTCCCCCAACTCGTCTACCCACGATATCGAAGAGGAAGACGCACTCCTCACGGGTCAACCCACCGATCGGTCCCATGATAAAAAATATCGAAAATGGAGGGAAATCGGCCTCTTCGTCTGGGCTCTCCTTGCAACTGTCGCCGTCATCATTCTAGGCGTTGTATATCAGCATGAATCCGCAGTCGCACGGGCGCGGCCTAGAACGGGAGGATGGGGCCCGGATGGAAGACCAACTGGCAAGAGAAATATGATTTTTATGGTTTCAGACGGCATGGGACCAACTTCGTTGTCAATGACACGGAGCTTCAGACAATTCACAACCGGGTTGCCCATAGATGATGTTCTGATTCTCGACAGACATCACATTGGCTCCTCCAGGACTCGAAGCACCAGCAGTCTGGTGACCGACTCGGCGGCTGGCGCCACTGCCTTTTCATGTGGATTCAAGAGTTATAATGGTGCCATTGCGGTCCTACCGGATCACACTCCCTGCGGAACAGTCCTGGAGGCTGCTAAAAGAGCCGGTTACATGACCGGACTAGTCGTGACTACGAGGATCACTGATGCCACCCCTGCCTGCTTTGCTGCCCATGCAAATCGAAGAGAATATGAAGATCTCATCGCAGAACAAATGATAGGTCACTATCCTCTCGGTCGCGTCGTGGATCTGATGATTGGTGGCGGAAGATGTCACTTCCTGCCCAACACAACTGAGGGTTCGTGCCGAGCTGACGATAAGGACGTCGTGGCCATGGCCAAGGACAAATATGGCTTTACCTACGTTGACAACAGGAAAGATTTTGACAATTTGAAGGCTGGTGATGTGAAATTACCGTTGCTTGCCTTGATTGCAGACACGGACGTCCCATATGAAATCGACAGGGTGCACGTCGACGACATCTATCCAAGCCAAGCCGAAATGGCCAAACTCGCGCTTAAAGCCTTGTCAGCAGCCACGAAGGACTCTGATCAGGGGTTTTTCCTTATGATCGAAGGCTCTAGGATCGATCACGCGGGACATTTCAATGATCCGGGCGCCCAAGTGCGCGAGGTCATGGCCCACGACGAATCCTTCGGTGCGGTGCTAGACTTCCTCGAAGACGACAAGACGGAGGGTATTCTTGTGTCTACATCGGACCATGAGACGGGTGGCCTCGCTGCAGCTCGCCAATTACATGAAGCATATCCGGCATACCTGTGGTTCCCCGAAGTTCTCGCCAATGCAACACACTCCACCGAATACCTTGCGCGCACGTGGAACGAGTACACCTCTTCCAATGCTGATACTCCACGCAAGGACAAAGGGTCCAAACTCCGCGAGCTGGTTACGTCCAATTTGGGCTTTTCGGACCTCTCAGAGGAAGAGATCGACGCTGTCATAGACGCCAAGCCGATTTGGCCTCCCTTGTACCACTTCTCGGACATGATCTCCCGCCGCGCACAGATTGGATGGTCTACGCATGGTCATTCGGCGGCGGACGTGAATATCTACGCCTCTCACCCGAGTCACGCACCAGGATTAGTGGGGAATCATGAGAATATAGAAGTGGGGGAGTTTATTGCAAAGTATCTGGACCTCGATCTTGGAGTCATTACAGCAGAGTTGAAAGACAAGAAGGTCAAGACTTCCTCTCTGGGTGAAGATACGGAGGAGGATTGGGGAGAGTGGATGGGTCCTCCCGGCCTGCCAGTCAACGAGGACGGAAGCCTCGTAGTACTGGACGCGTATCACGGGGATTTCAAGCATAGGAAACGCGAGGCCGAGGGAATTGCAGATTGCGGATGCGGCATGAAGCACTAGAAATGAGCACAGGGGAGACAGCGTTTTCATTTGGATTGTCATTCGGCGTTGACGGAGAATACAAAGCGAGGGACAAGCGAACATAATCTACCATACAGAAGGTCATACGAGACGTCTGACTAGAGGATGTGTCGACCATTGACCAGGTTTCTTCTTGTTGCAGCGGGCGTTTCATCGGATACAATCGAAGAGTATGAGCTAGCTAGAGTGATATACCAGAATCGATTCAATCAAGAGCCCCTACCCGAGGCTACGGAAACGTGTTGATGCTATATATTGTGACTCCGCTGCGGACCTTTGGTATTCCATTGGCCTTTGTGCCTGCGTCTGCACCGAGTCCTGCGTACCTAGGTAGCCAGCCTCGTCTTCCACGCACATATACGGACGACAAGAAAAGCCTCGCCAGTTACATTTCCCTAGTCCCTCCTCGTCCTCGCCGGCGGTTGGAAGAGGGGGGTGGGCTTTCGGACGCCACATCGCGGTTCGTGGCAGGGGTAGCCTCTGCCTGGAGGCGTGCTTCTTGCGCTTCATGGCTCGCTCTCATGGATCGTGCCTCGTGGCGTACCGAGATCGAGATGGCTGCAGCGGCCACCCAGGGGTAAGAGGGAGGGACGTGATGTGTGAGTGGCTTTTCATCATGGGTGTACGAGGTACTGAGTACCGTGGACCAGGGTACAGGGTGTATACATTACAGTGTCTCGTGTGTGTGTCGTCCCTATCTCCAGCCTCTCCCCACATCTACCTACCTATAAACCCTGGTCATGGTCGTGGTGGTGGTACGAAAGAGGTGGTAGGTACCTAAGGTGGCGGGGAACAAAAAACAAAAAACGCTAAATAACTTCTTGGCTGGGTTCATATCCCAACCCACTGCAGCGCCTCGACAGGGTCTTGGGATGACCAGCCACCACCATCTTTAACTGGACCTCGAGCCTCCAAAGTCCCAGAAATGCGAAATGGACCCAGAAAGAGAGGTCATGTAGCGGTACATACGAGGTACATATATGGCGCAGAGGAGACTGGAGGGGCGGAGCGATGAGGGAACACGCGACACGCGACGCCGTCCTCGGTAGCTCGTGCGCTCACGCTCGTATACATCTAACTCGTAAGAGTACCTAGGTAGGTAGGTAGGTAATACTTATGTATGTACCTCATATCCACATACTCGTATACATCTAACTCGGAAGAGTATTCATTCCCGACACCCTCCCTTCCTCACCCACTCTTCCAGCAAGAGGGAGGGAGGGTCAGAAGCGCGGAGTTGGCCTGGAACTTGTTCCGTCCCGTCGACCATCAAATCTAATCAGATCGTATTCCCAGATATCATCGTCATCCATCACTCGTCGTCGTCGTCATCAATGCTTCCATGGCTCCATTAATGTCTCCAGAAAACACAAATGACCCAGGGTTCAGGAACCACAGTGATTGATTGCGGGGGATCCGAAGAGCCGGGGGCAGGCCTTTTTGTCTGGGGGGAGATGAGTTTATTTCTTCGTCCTACGTTCGGGAGTGAGGCGGGTATATATACACCACACATATATACATACCTAGGTATACACACCCCCCACCCCGACACAAGCACACACACATATGTGACACTCATATATATGGACCACCATAGTAAGTGACTTCCGAACCAGAGACAAAGCACAAACAGACACATACACAGGGGCAACACTGATTGATAAGTGATCAATTCATTATATTCATTGTGGGGATCTCCATACCCATGTTCTATTGTGAAAAACCCACACGCTAAAACTGCTGGCAAGATGGTATGTGCGGATGAAAAGACAAAAGGCCTCGTGGGCTGATTCCATTACCTATTTTCTCCAATATAAAACAATAACCAAGAGCTCCCGGGCTGCTAATGCGACATGATGCTTGCTTTTTGGGCATTGGATGCATTCCTCGTTCCTGTCGTTCGCGTCTCTATATCTCCATCTTCTCCCCCTTCATCACGACCATTTAGTTTCTCAACAGACGAGCAGTGCCAGAGGGAGGAGGGCAAGTGCCGCCAATGTCGACAATCCAGGCAGCGGAGTTGAACTCGGTGTGGATCTCGGCGAGTTGCCAGCCAGTGGGACCGACGGTGGCATCAGAGCCCTTTTGCACAGCCTTCAAGATGGTGATACCTTGAGCAGGGTAGATCTGTTCACCAACGGAACCAACCCATCGGAGAACAATGTACCCGTCACAGGTCACAACGTCGGTGCCAAGGATGGTGAAGCCGATGGGTGGCTGAGCACCTTGGCCGGCAATATATGCCTGGGCGCTGGGGAAGGTAGGGCCACCCAGAGGGATGCCAGCAATGTAGTTGATCGAGTCCGAGGTGTCAACCAGCTCGGGGGCGAGCAGGTTCGTGGCGACCGAGGCATCAAAGTTGGTGAGGGTGGAGATCCATTGGGTTTCGATTTCAATGGCGATGGAGTAGGGAATGCATGAGCCTCCGTCACCACGGGCAGTGAGGGCTGGTGCGGCCGAGGCCAGAGCGGCCAAGCTGACTGGAGCGATGATGCTGGAGAAACGCATGGTGGCTGTTTGGATTGTGTGGGTTTGGGAAAGAAAGACTTGTGTAGGTTGTTGGATTAACGTGGGTTGGTGTGGCTCTGAGCGAGAGTATTATGTAGCTTTAGGACAACGAGTGGCCTTTTGGTAAAATGAGGGTGATTCTTCTTGAGAGCTGAACTGATGATCTGAGTGAGAGAGAATTCACCTCTCAGAGCGGGAGGGCGTGTTCCTTTAATGCAAGAGAGCTGCAGGGAAGCAGTTGCTCCGTTCAGTAGGCTGGATTGCCTTGCCTGCCTTCTTTTTTTTGGGGCTTCGATCATGTGGGATTGGGAGTGGGATAGGAATAGCAGTGGCCGGTGCGCTAAAGCTCTGTCGCTCCGCCCACTTGACTGGCTGGATTCCTTCGTCCCTGGCGGCCCTGCTGGCAGCTTGGAAAAGTTTGCTTCGTTCAGGGCACAGTTTAGCTTTGTCCAGGCTCTTGCCCTGTCTTCATCCTTGTCGGTCATCCTGCGCCTGGTGGGTTTCAGCAACGAGTGTCCGGCGACTCGGGAACCGCCTTAGGCTAGATGCAGGCACGACAGGAACAGTCTGTCGCATCGGTCTGACATGAGCATCCAATTGGGCATCGCAAAACTGTCAGCTTGAGCGAGCGTCATACCGGATGAGGAGAAGTTTCAAAGGACCTGGAGGAATTCCCCGATTCTCCTTGGTAAAATAGGCGAAGAGGCTGCTGATGGCGGAGGCGCAGAGACTTTTGAGAGGAGATCCCTAAGCCCATTCGAGCCGCAGCGCAGCCAGCCCCAGCCCTGGTGGCCCGCGGCTCAGCACCTTGTTACTATCCTCGGATACTAGGGCAATGGTGTTGATGGTGTCATTGGCCAACCCCGCCTCTTTTTCTGCTCGCCGTGACCCGTATTCCACCCTGTCAACAAGCCCACGGCGCCCTCGGTGCCCAGTGCCCACCACCCAGGCAGGCCACCCATCTGGCATCGACCGACTCTTGCACCTTGGCTTCGTGTGCTGTAAAAAGCTTAGGTATACCTGTCGCCGAGCGAATGATGGAGACGCCGGCCTCGTGTCAGGACGCACGTCAGCCCCGATAGCAGCTCGGCTCCAGGGAGGAAGGTACAGTGATTGGGTGTGTAGTGAAAAAAAGAGCTGTGGCGGATGTGGAGGGGTTGGATGGCTTTCCTGGGTCAACGTGGTTGGCGGACTTGGAGGCTGGCTGGCTTGTTGGCTTGTTGGCTTGTGGGCGGTGGAGGGGTGGTGCAGCGGAGTCGACGCTGTCCTGCGGCTCCCAGCTCGCCAGGTTTTCCACTCTGTGTCAGGTACCGGCGAGCCTTGATACTCGGTACATGATCCAGAGTCATCTTTTCCCCTCCCTACAGCTCGAAAGCATCGAGGATGGAGAAGATGATGTCGATGGCAATCTCCCCTGGAAAGGTGGAGGTGGGACTGAGACACGTACGTAGGACTCCAAACTCATGGGGAAGATTGTCAGGCACCCGTAGGACAAAGATCTACAGCGCCGGGAGCACAAGATCGAGTAAAAGATTGGCAGATGGGCAGAGCTTGTCGAGCTTGAGAGCTGCACAGTTTGTCACACGGCCCTCACAGGGTGACAAGGTGACGGGGTGACACGGAGAGCCTCACGCAGCGGACTTTGACATAAGGAAGTTGCCCGACTCTCCACACAAACCTGCATACAGTCACACCCAACACCCTGACACCCTCACTAGGTGAACATCACGAACTCCTCATCCCACCACTACTGACAAACTCGGTGTAGTCAGAGTTTGAATCAACAACCACAGACATCATCCTCACGTCCGACCCAGAGCTCGACCTCCGCAACTATTCCTAGTGCCTTCTCTCTACAAACCCAGCTCTTTTCCCGGTTAACCAAGAAAGATTGTCGCTTCCACGTCCTCTCCGTCTGTAGCAGTCGATCATGGAGTTGGATACTTTCAATAGTTGGACTACTTGGTGCCTCCTTCGTCATCATATCGCCGCTCATTGAGAATCCCTCTCTCTTTGTGGCCACGGTCCTTACCGGTACTGTACACCATAAGCCGGAAGTCCCAGAGGGAAAAAAAAGGCTGCCCCAAAAAGCTCACGGAGCTCACTTTTCAGGCTAATGCAGGCCACCTCGTGGTTCCTCCTCTTCAGCTGAAAGACATTCCGCAACTTCCGTCCACCGATACCTTCCCATTTCAGACCACCTGATGAGCCTAATGCTCCGCTGAGAAGACCACGCTTTTTATGTACTTCTAGACCAACTTTGAATTGCCTTGATCTAGCCGTCGTCGGCCGCTGCTGCTGCCACTAGGTACAGACACCTACCAACCATACGTCCGCTCGGCTGACAGCTTGGGATAGATCAAAGTCTAGCGGAAAAGGTCGGTAGAGCTGGATGGCAAAGACTCTCAACGCATCGCGCGTTCGCCTTGGTCGAGATCTCTTTTCGTGAGGAGCTCCGAGCTCTAGTGACCCGTGACCAGCATCGCTACCGATTTGGAGTGCGTGAGGATGATCGTCCGCTTTCTTCTCCTGGTGTGATCAGTCGAACGCTCTTCTTTGAATTGCTGAATCCTGATGTCCGCCCACGGCTACTGCCTCTTCTGCCAGGCAGAGTTCGTTCGTCACCACTTTGAGTTGCTCGCTCCCCAGTGAGACTGTTGCGGAGTGCCACTCGAGCCTTGTCGACCGCAGGGCTGGGTGTCGCTCTCAAGAGATCTCGCTTGGTCGAGCCGCCCGTACCGTTCGCAGGATTCGGCCCCCGAATCAGTTTGGCTTCATCCTCTCGTCTGACTTGCTGCTGCATGCGCTGTTCTCGTGTCAGCCCTGGACCACAATCGCAACCGCAGCCTGACGTCGGACATCTCCCGTCACTGAAAGGCTGACTGAACCACTCCATTAGACAGTGGACGTGCCCTGAATGACCACATGCCTGGCAGAACATCCACATATTTGGATTAGAACCCCAATGCTGCGTGTGTGCTCCCAGATCTAGACCTGCATGCTTCTCCACCACATCTTTGAGCGACTGGCAGATCGGGCAAACTGATCGAACTTGCCGACACCGTTCACACGTGCCCCTTTCTCCCATCATAGGTCCTTGGCAGTTGCTACACACCATAGATAGAGTCGCTGGATCGCCGTTGCCAAGACTGCCACCAGCCTGCTTACTGTCCGACGGTGACCGATAGACACTTGGGTATTCAAACTCGACACACATTTTTCTCAGCAGTGCTGCGGACTCAAACAGGCCCATCTGCCTCAGAAATGAAACGTGGTTCTCGAAGATCCCCTCGATGATCCGGTGTCCTAGCCGCGGCGTCATCAATCGCTCGGCTAGGGTGTCAGCATATTCGTCTTCTCCTCGTCTCAATCTGCGAAAGCTTGCATGGAAAAAGTATGGGTGAATATGCATCAGAAGATGCGCCGCAAACTGCGCCTGACCGATCCCGCTCTCCAGGTCGAAGGATATGCATTGGCATATCAGTGGAAGCGATGACCATGCAAATGGCAGTTTTGGCTCATATATGGATAGATCGATGGGCCGAAAATCTTGGTACAAGTACGTCTCATGGTCTAACTCTTCCATAGACAGACGGCTTAGCGATCCATTCCCATGGGATCGACTGTCGTCATCAGTGCCTTGATTTGTCGCCTCAACTCGGATAGGATTCGACGTATGTATTCGTGGCTTGGTCATCGAGGCTAGCTCCTCAAAATGAAAGATATCGGGCGACGAGGACGCAGCCGTGTCCAAGTGCGAGGGGGCAACAGACTCATGTTGCGGAATTGAAAGCCACGCGCCTTTGTCTTTCGGAGATGACTCAAAGTGCGGCCCTTGTCCATCCAGCCCAAAGCTCATTTCCAGCGGTGTCTGGACAGCAGAGACACCAGTTTCATGCTCGTCGGGCGTGGTGGTCCTTCCTCGTCTGGGACTGGGCCTTCGGCCGTCACGGTCGTCCGAATACGACAGTTCATAATCATCATCCAGGCTAGAGACAGGTTCCTTTGCCGAGTGTGTTGCAGATGCCCTCACCCCTTGACGAGTGGAGTCAAAGGATTGTCCAAGTGACCTGGACCGATGCGAACTATCCGTTGATACCGAAAACATTGGGAAACTCTCATCCGAGTCGTGCCTGCTTTGGGTGGCCACGTTTTGCGTCGAGTCAGCCAAGGAGAATATAGGTCGAGCTTGGATGCGATAATCGCGTAATGCTGCCCTGCGATCTTCTTGGCTCCGGGTCTGGCTATGCATCTGCTTCTGCTCCACTAAGAGCTCGGGTCGTGGTCTCTTCATTGGTGAAACCGGCGAGCCAGTCTGTGGTGAGAGTTTCTTCGATACTTCAGCAGGTCTGTGCAACTCAGAAGAAAAAGTGTCTGAACCCGTGGCTTGGCCAGAAAAACCGATCAAAGCTCGAGCGGCTGCGGCTGCCGTTGAGTGTGAGCTCAGGACCGAGGGAGGTAAAGGTGCAATATGATCTAGCCCTTCCTCAGTGATTGCTAGAGGTTGTCTCTTTACACTCGGCGGAGGTGAATTCGGGAGTGGTTTGGCTAAAGGCGTCGTCATGTTCGACGTGCTATCCATCTCAGAGACCAGTTGCGGGCGGTCTCCTGCAGCGACACCCTTGAACAGGCTGCTCATGAGTTTCTGACCTTTGATATCCGATTTCGGGTTGAAGCCTCGGTTTGGAAGTCCAGGTAATGGAGAAAGACCAGGCCGGTGGCCTCCTGCTCGAAAGCTCTCTAGATTCTCACGTCGCCTCGCGGCGTCGGCTCGACGACTGGCACGGTTCGCGTCTGCCCAATCCTTGAGTTCTGGGACAATCACCGCTCCTAGAATCCGCCAAGACTGAGCCATACGATGCATGGACACCGCATCGCACGCAGCCGCGTTCTGGTGGAAAGCGTTCTGCAAACGGCTGAGAATTGTGTCTGGAGACGACTTGTTGTCATCGGCTGTCGCAGGAATTGCGTAGTGTGAAGCCAAGTATTCAATTACCTGTGGCTCTGCTGCCACACCTGGAATGAAGCCATTCGCACCCACCTGGTTGTTGTTAAAGAGATCTTGACGGTTGAGGACGGAGGCATCTAATGGGAGGACTGGCGGTCTATCCTCCATTGACGATGGACTGTTTGCGTGAGATTTAGTAGGCCTCGAGGGCACGTTTACACCCTCCCGTCGACGGAAACTTGTCCCCACCGTGGATTCGAGTCCTCCTTCATCATCTGTAAGACTTCGGCTCGCTGCACCGTCGTCACCGCTGCTGAGTTTATCTGGCGGTACATTCAAGAAGCCCGCCGCTGCATTTTCCAGAAAGGACATTCGCTGGACATCTCTCTCCTCGGAAAATGTATAGTATTCTCCATTGGGGAGGAATGTCGAGGTACACGGAGCGATCTGGTTGTAGAAGGGTACCGTGTGCTTGATGTCCCACTGGGTGAAGATGCCCTCATCACCAACCGTCCAGAGCAAATCCTTGTCCGCCCACAAGAGATCGTTAGGAGGCATGCTGTACCTATCGAGTTCTCGAAACGGTAGAAGCGGCCGCCGGAGGTCCCAGATGTGCAATCGAGGATCGTCATGATAGTATGAGACGGCGACCTGAGTGCTTTGCCAAAAGGTCGACTCTCCGGATTCCGGTACATTGCAAGCCGGCCTCCACCTGATGTTTCTAATAGCGTGAGGCGCTTTGAGCTGAAAGACAGGCTTCTGGCGTTTTCTGTCGCTTGCAAAATCCCAAACTCTGATGTACTTATCGAACCCACCTGACACAACATGACGCCCATCAGGGTGGTAGTCTAGAGAATAACAGGCTTTCTCATGTGCGTTAATACTCAGCTTGGGCGCGACCGGGTTGCGAGCGTCCCATTTCTGAACAACGCCGCCGTCCGCGCAGACGGCGAAATCTAAAGGGTCTACTGGAGACCACCGGACGTCTCGGACTCCACTGCGCACCTCGAACCTGATGCGAGACTTGTCACGCTGAGGTTGTCGCAAGTCCCACAGTCGGACCGACTTGTCTTGGCTGGCGGACAGCAACAGATAGCCAGCATGGGGATCAAAGTCTAGCTTGTTGATCTGCCCTGTATGCTCGTGGAGCCATGCCAACTCGGTCTTTGCGCTTGGCGCATTGAGGTCGTACAGTGCAATGCGACCATTCGTAGCTGCCGTCGCGATAATGTGGTCCCAATGACCTATCGACCATTTGACGTCTCTTGCCGGAAGGTATTCCCTCCGCTTCTCAGCGCTGTCCAACTGCGAAGAAGAGTGGGCGGAAGCGTATGAGCTGATAGATGCCCGAATGTTCAGGTCTTCTATAACCTTGCCATCGTGGACACGCACTGTTTTCAGGATCTCTTTCCCAGCCAAGACGGCATGAGTCTTCTGCCTGTTGATATCGAGAGCGGCAATGGGGATACCCGTTCGATGGGTGGCCGTCCGGGAGGAATGCGAGCTGCTAATCGGAGTCAGTCAATGCGTCGCCAACAATATCATCATCACTATCAAGTGAGCAGCCATTCATACCTGTACGTGTGTATGCCGGTGATTCGACGCAGACCACCGTCACGGTCGCCCTGCGCTGTGCCCCCATGCGACTTAGAACCAGTATGCTTGCCCCAGGTTGGAATGATTCGCTGCAATTGGCTCAGACGGCCTGGCGGTAATGGAGGAGCTGGTGGAGGGGGAAGAAGATTTTGCGACTCAGAGGAAACAGGATCAGACATGCTCTTCTGTCGACTCAGCGATATCCGCAGCTGTCCCGAATATCGATGACGCGAGGGCTGCTGACGACAAAGGAAGGGCCAGGCTCATGGCTGTCGGGGGCAGCCATCATTGGAGCGGGTAACGAGCGCAAAAGTCTATGGTCCTGCAATGTGGCTGCAGACCGGATATGCAGGATGAGAAAGCGACGGTAGAAAGAGACGCAGATGCAATGCAGAAAAGACCAAAGCGAGGGCAACCAAGAGGCATTGAGAGAATTGTAAGAACTGGGCTCGCTAGTAACATGGGAAGCGGGAGCGAGTGGTTGCAAGGCTGGAAGTGGAGCGAGCCATGGCAGAGCCTCAATTGGCTGGGCGGAAAGGCTCCCTTTGCGCAAGCCTGGCCGAGCGGCGGGCGGTTGGGGTGTTCGGGGGAACAAGCCTGTAGGCAGTGTTGGCGCAGGCTACTAGCCTCTCTTGCATGGTGTGGCTTGCATATGTCCAGCGAGCTAGGTAGAGGCCTAAGTGTCGGCCCCGGGCAGCTGCTGTAGCTGTCTGGGTACCTGCCTGGGTATGCACCTGCAAGCAGAGAGGTGCTCTTGTTCCTGAGAATAGTTGGGTGGTGGTACCAATACAGGGCTGTGTTACCTACAGTCGTGTTTACCTACAGTGCCCACCTAGGTAGTAACTAAACAGGTCTCTGGGCCCCGGAGTTTCTCCTTATTCTCCATTGGGGTATCGCCTAGGTGTAATAGTGATTAGCTGCCCTACCTTGGGAAGCCGCTGAGCAGCCCCCCTCCAATACGGTTAAGACAAGTGCTTCCCCATTTCCTATAACCGTTCTGTTGGTATACAAGCTTAAACGCTAAAGCAACTCGTACACGGGCATTTCCAGCAGGATCATGGACCAGGGGGGTTGCTCAAACGGAACCTACTGCGTACCTACCTGCCTATTACCTACCTGCCTAGGCCCGGATTTCTGAGGGCTAGGCATCCGGACGAGTCGCCTGGACTTGGGCACGAAGATCCCGACACTTGACACTCTCCATTCGCACAGCTGGAGTTGCTAATGTGCCAGTTGGCAGCGACTACTGTACCTACTAGACATTCGACTTCGGATGCAGATTCTTGCGACGTTCTGGCTGGCGGTGAGTGACCTTTTGTTCGCATTTCTTCCTCATTGCCCATTATTTCCATCCCCATCCACATCCATATCCACCATTCCTCGCCCGCGCGACGCACATTTCCACCCTCCGGATGTTCCAGCAAGAAAGACTGACTGCTGTCTGATTCAATCTCGTCCCCAAATCCAAATCAGCTTTTCCTTTCATCCTGCGGTACCTACCAGGTAGTCAATCAAACTACTCGTAACTAGCGAGAGCATGTACCTCGTCCTCACCTCTCTCAGTTCCCCGTATCACCACCCATGGAATTGTATATTTGCCTCATCACCGTCCTTCGGGACCGCAGTCCCTCCTTCTCTTCTCCCTCTGCCAGACATCCATCACCATTTGTCAAAACAACCAGTTGCAAACTGCCACTCTGTGTCTTCCCGTCGCTGCAAATCCGGGCTGCGCTCACATCCACCTCTGGTTCTTTCACTTCTGCTTTGTCGTCGACTTCGTTCAAGTTGACCTCTATTTGCTTCCCCGTCTCACCAGACTGAACATTCTTCCTCGTTCTCTTGTCAACATCACACATGTGAAATCTGACATCTGACATTTTGCAAATCTTTCTGTGTCCTTGGGAGACGTACTCCGTACATCGACACGCTAGGCCGCCAGCACGTCCTGCGCAGGTCCAGTGACATATTTTAGCTGCCACCCACTACTTCCCTCTTCCGCCTTCCCCTCGAGCTCCTCCACCAACGACAGCGCCGCCAGACTGCCGTCCCTAGAGCCTCCTTGGCTGCAAGACAAGTCCCCAAGTCCCCACCATCACCGCACCCACCGCTACTACTGACTCCAACGCCTGTCCACCTGCCACCTGAGCCGTTTGTCTCGGCCCATCTTCAGCAGAAAAGGCACTCCAGGCTTTCAGACTCAGCTCACGGGCCATTACCGGACTACCGCGTCGGTCCAATCACCACTGCTGTTGTCACGCGACAGGCGCAACACGCAAAGAAAGAGGTGAACCTTGATGCGCCAGATCTAGTACGAGCTGGGTTGAAAACCTTCTAGGTCCTTGTAAGCGGCCACCGAAGGGAAAAAGGGAAAGAGGACGACGCGCTAGTCACCTACCTGCACACCTGCACACCACACCAGTGCCGCTATTGCACCAGACCACCAGACCACCAGACCACACTCCCCCGCCCCAGCTTTGTCGCCTCCCAGATCGCTCCCCCCGGCTCGATCGCCACCAGCAGGCCAACTCTCGAACTTACGTCGTCATTTTTCACACGTTCCCTCTACACCTGCAAGCATCACTTGTCAAACGACGACAATCGCTCAATTTCCCTCCTCAACGTCCTTTTCTTTCGTTGTTGTAATTGTTCCTTTCGTCCTTCGCTCACGCCTTTTGACATACGTTTATTTCTTTCCAGAAAAAGAATCCGCCGTCTCTAGAACTATCTTCTGGTTTTCAGAAGCGTTCTTCGATCAACCGAGGCAGCAGAGACAAGCGGTTTCCTCCGGCACTTTTTGGTGGACGCGACGGCGAGGCCTTCACGAGCCCAGCAAAACTTGTACCTGCTCACCTGATAGAGGGCGAACCCTAATATTCCTATTCCTTAATCCTGGGAGGCTTTCTCGATTTACTCTGTTTCACGCTCATCTTCGTTGCTGGTGAGGGATTGGGAGAACATGCCCACGGAGCCAGATTTGGGTGCAATTCAAGCCTCTCTGCGGGTGTTGAATGTGACGAAAACGGCCTACCCTGCCATTCTCCTCATCGTCTTTGTCGTCGCATTCGTCTACCATGGCATCAAGACTGCTCCTGATGATGCCGGCAAGGTCAAAATCCACCCCATGAAAGGTCCTGGCGGACGACCTCTCCCCATTCGAAGGAGGTCCGCCAATCAAGTCAAGGCTGCTGCGGCGGTCCAAGATCTGTCCCCTGCAGTCAAGACCGTTTTCAAGATCGGTCAGGTCATTATCATCTTGACCTTTTTGGGCAATGCGGCGATCCTGCTTTTCGAGACCTTGCTCAATCGAAAAGATGAATGGTGGCCTGGGAAGAATGCAGTGGTATGTTCGCGCACACTCAATATTATCTCACTGCATAACTCACGACGTTAGATTTATGTTATAGCGTCAACGTTCCTCTGGCTTGTTGTCTTCATCTCTATCCTGGACACGAAGCCCTCCCCAAACTCTGCCCACTTTGTCACGTGGCTCTGCGCGGTGCCTCTGGAATTCATTATCGCCGCGGCGAGTCTACGAATATACACCGCACCTCATTATGAGCCCCGGGTGGGCAATCAGCAAGGAGGCAAGTATAGAGAGAAAATTACAGGATGGGAGACGCTCGAAGTCATTGTCAATCTTGGCCGACTCTTCATCCTCCTCGGCTTGTCAATACTCTTTCTTGTCCTTAAGTCCAAATGGGGTAGACCCAAGGAGTCGGCCACAGACACCGAGGATGAGAGGAGACCATTACTGGGCGGAGACCCTGAAGCAGGGGGGCGTCCGAATGGCCATGCTCGTCACGGAGACCAGCGGAATACCCCATCATCAGAACCTAAGGAGCAAGTTGACGCTTGGGCTAAGCCAACCGAAGTTCCAAACATTACCTGGTTTGCATATCTGAGAGGTTTCGTCTTGCTGATACCTTATCTCTGGCCTAAAAAATCCTTGAAACTACAACTACTTGCAGGTACCTGCTTTCTCATCATGACCAGCCAGCGAGTCATCAATGTCTTTGTGCCTGTCATGGTGGGCAAAATCACAGATGCTCTCTCCGGCGACGACGGCCGTGGGGTTCGCGCCCCTTGGCTGGATATTGCTTTGTACATCTTGTTTAGATGGCTGCAAGGCTCGCAGGGGATCCTCAGTGCAGCCAGGTCGATTCTCTGGATCCCGGTTGAGCAGTACTCGTACCGCGCGATCTCAACGGCCGCCTTCGAGCATGTGCATGGTCTGAGCGCGGAATTTCACACGGGAAAACGCACTGGCGAGTTGATATCGGCTTTAAACAAGGGAAGTTCGATCAACTCGTTCCTGGAAATGGTGACTTTTCAAGTCGGTCCAATGGTTTTTGATCTTGTGGTGGCGGTCGTGTATCTCACCATCAAGTTTGACGCGTACTTGGGCCTGGTTGTCGCCATTGTGACATTTCTATACATATATGTCACCATCCGTCTTGCGTCGTGGCGAGTTACCTTGCGCCGAAACTACGTCAACGCTCAAAGGGAGATGGAAGCGGTGAAAAACGATTCTCTGCATTCTTGGGATACGGTAAAATACTTCAACGCGGAAGACTACGAGTTTAATCGTTACAGATCCTCGATCAAGCTCATGCAGAACTTCGAATACTGGGTGGACGTAACCCTGGCCTACATGAACACGGTGCAGGGCGCACTCTTCATGGTTGCCCTACTGATTGCGAGCTTCATTGAAGCCTTTGAAGTTGCCCAAGGTGATCAGACCGTGGGTAACTTTGTGCTTCTGATAACCTACATGGCTCAGTTGCAGGGCCCTTTGAATTTCTTTGGGACATTCTACAGGTCGATCCAGTCAAATCTGATCAACGCGGAGAGGATGCTGGAACTTTTCAAAGAACAACCGCATGTTCTTGACCGAGAAGGTGCCGAAAAGCTAAAAGAATGTCGTGGTGATATCATATTCGACAATGTGAGCTTCAGTTACGACAAGCGACGACCTGCCCTTGACCGACTGACTTTTCGCTGCCGGCCTGGTACGACCACAGCTCTTGTTGGTGAATCTGGTGGTGGTAAAAGTACTGTGATGAGGCTGATTTTCCGCTACTACAACCCAGACTCTGGTCAAATCAAGGTTGATGATAGAGATGTCCAAGACATCACCATCGACTCACTGCGAAAATTCATCGGCGTTGTACCTCAAGATTGCAATATGTTCAATGAGTCGATCATGTACAATCTTCGATACGCCAACCAAAACGCCACGGACGAAGAGATATTCGATGCTTGCAAAGCAGCCTCGATCCATGACCGAATCATGGAATTTCCCAACGGCTACGACACAAAAGTTGGCGAACGAGGCGTGCGTCTTTCTGGAGGAGAACGTCAACGAGTTGCCATAGCCCGAACGATCCTCAAAAACCCTCGTATCACCATGCTTGACGAAGCCACGGCAGCTTTAGACACGGAGACCGAGGAAAAAATTCAAGAGTCCTTCAATACCCTCGCCGAAGGACGGACGATGATCATCATCGCCCATCGACTCAGCACTATTGTGAATGCTCACCAGATCCTGGTACTTTCTCATGGGACTGTGGTCGAAAGCGGTACGCACGAAGAACTTATCGCTCTTGGAGGCAAATATGCAAGCATGTGGCGGAAGCAGTCAAGAGCGCAGAAGGCCGCCGCAGAGGCTGCCGAGCTAAGAACTCGGGCGAAGAAGGCGTTGGAAGAGGCAGAAGCTGACAGTGCCAGTGTCAGTGAAGAAGAGATCGAGCAATCCAAAAAGCGCGACAAGGGTCCGTGGTCCAAAGGCCATAAGAGGGTCAATTTTAGTGAAAGCAGCCATCTGCGGGCCAACTGGACAGTCGATGAGCACGACCGAGACGGAGACGATCGATCAGACACCTCTCAACCGGGACCTGGGGATAGTGGGCACGGTCATTCAGGAAAGCCCCCGGGACACCCTTGAGAGATCTTGTACTTGAGTTATCACTCAGCTGCTGCAAGCTGTATCCGGTCAGCTCGATACGTGCCCTACCATGTGCAGCCTTATATCTTTTTTGGGTCTTTGAAAGGATGGTTATCTGTCGATTCCTTTTATGTTTTGACGCCAGCCACGCGAGGGTTTCACGACGGACTCAGGGTTGGAGAGTGCGCCCTGATACGGTACAAAAGTCTTTTGCTCATTTCTTCTCTCTCTCTCTCTTTTCGGGTACAGTGTCTTTGGTTTGTTCAAGATCTTCATCTTATCTTGCTCGCGCAAGCACATATGAAAAGAATGCCCGAGCCACGCGGTCTTGGGGTGGAATGGCAGGGTGGGACATAAAGGCCATCTGTGGGAGAGAGAGAGCGGGAGGGGTGATTGTGTGTGTGTTTTTTGCATGTGTGCGCGCGTGCTTGTGCTTGTGGGCGTTACGTTTGCGCGTCTCTCCACCTCTTGCGATCGAGTCAGAAACAGAAATAACGTACACTACGCAGATTGGACACATGAATGCAATATAATAGATCAGAGTCCATAACAGACAACTCGTGTTCTAATCGGTCGTCCGTCCGTCCGTCCGCCATCATGCCCCAGCACTGCTGTTGTCTGCCGGTGAACGAGGTACGCGGTCCATATATACCAACTTCCCACACGCGGTGAGAGGCTGGCTGGCTGGCTGGCCAAGCTGACTGACTTACTGACTTTCTTGCTGGCCGTCTGAGCTGCTGGCTCAGTTGCTGGGTAGCTGACTGAATGAGTTGGCTGCTTGGTTGATCGGTTAGCCTCTGCATACGAAAGATCCGATTCCGCCTTTTCAGACCTTCCCGGTCTTCAGAACCGGCGCTTCTTCCTCCCGCCGTCCTTGGCCTCGATCGTGCGCTTGAGTTCCATCCTTCGTCGACTCGCGGCCTCTTCGGCCGTCTCTTCCTTCTTCCTTTGCGGCTGCTCCCCGACTGGCTTTGTGCGCGTCGAAGGCGGTGGCGGTGGTGGTGGCGGTGAGTGGTGCTGGCGCCGCCGTTGTTCAGCGTCTGCGGCTTTGCGGCGCGAGGATGATCGAGATGCGGAAGCGGAGCGGAGGGAGGGAGTATTCGTTCCAGCCGAGTCGTCTCCGTCCTCCTTCTCGTCCTCCTCCATAGGACTGGGGTGTTTGTCCTGCGCTATGTTGGGAGACGTTGTTGTTTCTCGTTCCTTCTTCCGCAGCCCGGCCCCAAGTCGACCTAGTCTCCTTTTCGTCGGGGTTTGTGTCTCGGGGATCTTCTCGTCGCGCTTGCCATTGGACGTCTTCTCCCGTGGTGAGGGCGAGGTGGTGGTGCTCCTTGATGGCGTGGCTTGTTTCTTGCCTCCGAGCCGGCCTAGGCGGCGTTTTTCATGAGCGGGGGTTGAAGACTTCGCTGATGCTGGAGGTGGAGATGGAGATGGCGATGGGGTCGGGGTTGATGATGTGCCGTTTAGATCGTCGTTTTCTTCTCCTTCCTCTTCTTCTTCCGCTTCGGGAGTCTTCGAAACACGAGCGGCGACACGTAAATTTCGGGAAGGCGGGCCTTTATTGGAGACTCTCTCTGCGGAAGAGGTGGATGACCTTGATTGCGGTGGTGGTGGTGGAGACAGGGAAGGTGATGAAGAAACTTTTCTTGATCGCAATGCGGCGAGTTTGGATTTTTGCGCCGGGTGGTGGTCGCTCTTGTTCTGTGGTGCGACCGAGGGCGGTTGGGGCGCTTCGTCAGCAACGTCCTCGTCCTCTGAAGCTGTCTCTGTTGACGCCGTGGAAGTCCGACGACGCGAGAGAGACTGGCTGTTAGCTACAGAGGCTGGATCTGGTGAGCGCCTCGAGGCGCCAAAAGCTTTCGTAGCTTTCCGTCGACCAATCCCGCCGATAGTGGAGGGTCCTGCTCGCTTGGGGATGGGCTCGTCCTCCCCGGTCTCCTCGTCCCTTGTCGTTTCATGACTCGTCTTCTCAGTATCTTTGGATTTCAGATGTGGCGGAGTCGCTTGACGCTGTGGACGTGTCAGTGATGGGAGGGGTAGACATGTATTGTGTCGTTTGACTTACCTCGAATTCGTCATCTGTTGAATCGCGATCTATGTCTGGTTTCTTCTGCACGGCTTTTGTTGACGGTGACCCGATCCGCTGCTTGCTGGCCTCATTCTGATCCAATTTCTCCGTCGAAGGCAGATCTTTCACCCAGCTTTCATGCTCAGCTCTACTGTGCGCGAAGCATTTCTCACAGCCGCGAACGAGGTTACTCAGCCCCGTCCGATCTGCCCCCTCGTAGCCATCATCATCATTGGCGAACTGCCTCGTCCACGACTTTTCGTCAAAACTCGCCATCCCGGGAACATGCTTCTTTGCGTCTGCGACCGAGACATTGCCGCCGCCGCCTTTGCGTGAAATAAAGCCCGTGATACCGGGAAATACCAAGCTCAAATCGACGGCCGAGTTGCCGACTCTGTCGAGCAGGCGCGAGATGATGTGGTCTTTCTCCCTGATGATTCCGAGTAGAGAGGTGATCTTCTTCTGAGAGACAAAGACTTCGTGCAAGCTGGGGCGGAGGATGCGTTCTGCCAACTCCGACGCTCTCTGCGGGTCGAGGGTGAACGTCCACTCTAGCGGTCGGAGAGGGCGGGGCAGATCTATCCTTGTCCGTAGCAGCAGTTGCGCCTGCGAGCTCCCACCATGGCCACCATCACGGACGATGTGGTTCTCGCCGTCTCGCAGACTTTTGCGGATCTTGGAGAGCAAGACCTCGAACTGGTCCGACGAGACGGACGGGTCGATGCTCGTCTGTTGCCGGGCCGCTGCGGCGAGAATGTCATACCTGTCCAGCGAGGATTCCCAGATCGAGATCAGGTCGGTCAGCAGCAGCGTGAGCGACTGTTCTTTGGTTGTGGACAAGGAGTAGAATAGCTTGGGGCACGAGCGGCGCGGGGCCGTCTGCAGTTCTTGCCACCCTTCACTGGCCGAATCAGGCATGTCGGGAAACTTGAAGCAGCTCACATGCTGTTGCTGAGAGGGACTACGGGCGTAAAGACCACCAGCCTTGTTTTATCTCGCAATGCGTTTGGTTGTGAGCTGATAGAAGGCCAGAGCCATGTGTCTCCGCGAAGTGAAGGAGCCTTGAGACACGAGGCTTGGCACTCAGCCTGGTGGCCCGAAACATTCTTCTATCAATATTCCTTCCTACTTACTTTTCACCTGGACGGATCTACTTCGTTCTACGACTATATTTACATTTACACACCATCTTCATTACCGCAAGTCAATCAACGGGCAGGGTAGCCAGAAGACGCGCTTTGGATGTTTCCTCAGTAGTGAGAATCTAGCCCCATTAGGCAAGCCGCAGAGAAGCAAGGCTTCTCGGTTCTTCTCGCCTTCTTCTCCTACCGTTTGCAATGTACAACCACATACACGCTCGCCACGCTTGAAGGCCTTTCTGTCCCCGATTTCTGCGGCCCTGCGGCCATCACTTCAGATGCCAAGGTTGCTTACCGCCAACCATGGCTGATCAGACTGGGTCGTTTCAAGCCTGCAGAGGCCGGCGGCTATGTCGCTTCCACGTTTCATGTGTCCCATGGGACAGTTTACATTCCCCAAAACAACCGCCACAGGATGTTACTGGTCAGGACCCTGGCCTCCTGCACCCAATTCCATGTAGGTTCTACCATGTGACAAAAAGAGCGATGTTGGAACGTCTAGCCCCCAATCGAGACCAGCTGCGTCCTGCTCCCATTCCCGGTACGCCAGGTCAGCTATATCATATTTGTCGTTGCCATTTCTGATGGTCCAAAGTCATATCTGGGCTGTTGTATTGCCATGATCACTCTCTCTAGGTCTCAATACCTTTTGACCGATTGACGGCACCGCAAGTTTCTCTTCTCAGACACCACAGCGAATTGAATTGCAGCGACTACTAGGTACTCACCAACAATGGCGGAAAAGCATTCCGAGAACGTCGTTGCCAGCGAAATAAACGACCTTCAAAGATTCCGCCATATTCACTGGCGTGCGCCAACCGTCATGGGCGCCGGTTTCCTCTGCGGCGTGATTCTCATGGCTTCCCACCACGCGCTCTACCAGAACCTGAGCGGGGAACCGGCAAACAGCGCTCTGTTGCAGCTGTGGGCGATTCGTGCCGGCACAGCGCTGGCTTTCCTGTCCAAGCTCTGTCTGGCTGTCGGGACGGGAGTCGCGTACGATCAGTGGATGTGGGTCAATTTGCACGCGAAGCCGCACGAGATCGGCTCGTTGGATTCCATGTTTGCGATATTGGGCAATGCCTTCGAGTTTCTGGCTGTTCGCATCTGGTGCTCGAGACCTGTCCTCACCTTTTTGGCAGCTATAACTTGGTAAGAGAACAGTTCCTCCTTGCTTTCATCACCCGCAAACTCGAATGCTAATCCTCCCTGGTGCAGGCTTCTCCCCATTTCTGCCATCATCACTCCAGGTACCCTCTCCGTCCAGCCTGTCCTGGTCTCTGAGACCGGCGCTTTAATCGTCCCCCAGCGTTCCTTCATGACGGACAGCAACATCTTCTGCGGTGTGATCACCGACGGCAACACAACACAGTACGCCTCCATGTCCACGGGCCTATCGAACCCGACGTTCGCCACGGTTCTCTCCAACAGTGTCCTCCCCGTAGAGTCCTCCAGCACAAATCTAAGCTACAGTCTCCAATTCTTCGGCCCCGCTGTCAGTTGCGACATGTCGAGTGACGAAGAATTTTCATGGGCGAAACAGGCTATGCTCGAGTACGAGAATATGACCGACACCCGAGTGTTTTACTTTGGCTGGGCACCTCAGCCTGGTTGGGGACCGGGAGTGAATGGCTCATTCTTCGCATCCACGGATGTGCAGATCGGGAACAATCGATTGGACTTTGTCTCCAAGGACGCGGCTCGGGTGTTTGTATATCTCAACACCACGGGTGTCGATGCTACAGGCAGCCGCATCCCCGACTTCGTCGGCAAAGCAGAGGCGCAGATGATAACCTGTGCACTTTACAACGCGTCGTACGACGCTCATTTCGAGGTGAAGAGCACGGGCGCACAACTCATCACCGCCACTCCAACGTTCGAGAATTGGATGCCGGCCCTCAGCTCGATGGAGGGCACGCTCCAGGATCCACGTGTCCGACAACAGATGAACATGCAAGCCGTCATGGAATCCTTCGTCATGATGATCGATGGGCCCATCACCTACTCCAACGACGTCTCTTTCCCGACGACCAACTCGGTCTATGCTCCCGGGATGAACCAGGCCTTGTTCCCTGCACAGCCGGGCATGAACCAAACGGCCCTGACGCTTCGCCAGGCCAAGCAGAACGAGATGCTGTTTCAGAATATTACGTTGAGCATGCGGTACGGCGTCGTCTCTGGGTATGTTTTCCACAGCACACATTATCCGCCCTTTTTTTTGTTCTCTCTCTTTCCGCAAATTCCTGCCACGACACCCCGAGTTAGAACTAACTGACTGATGCAAAATTAGATCTGTTGGTGAAGACCAGACAACAGCCACCGCAGTGCGCCAAAGATTCGAATCACAATTCGTCTATGACCCGCGCACACTCCTCGTCGCATACGGCCTCAGCGCCTTCTTCGCGCTGATCTGCGTTTTGTTGGGAGTCCACGCCCTGCTCCACAACGGCGCTTCATACACGAATTCCTTCTCCACCATCGTCAGAGTCACGCGAGATCCGGCTCTTTCGAGACTGATTGCGGACGAAGGTGATCTTCAGGGCGCCGAGCCCGTCCCGAAACATATCCGTAGGGCCGAGGTGCGGTTGGGGAGGAGCGCGAAGTCGTCGGTCTCCCCGAGTTATGCTGCAAGCTGGATTTGACGGATTCTCACTAGAACGGTCTGACAGCACGAATTGTAAAAAGAAAAAAGACAGCGTGTAAATATATTTTGTTGTATACCCCAACCTCCTTCCTTGCTAGATCGTCATTTCCGGTGGCGGGATGTAGAAATCCCCCAGTTCGTTGAATAGCGAGTCCCAATCGATCAAATCGCCTCCCGAGTACTCGAAAGATAGATTATCTGGGTACGGTGGCGCGCCAAACGCGCCGGAAGGCTGCTGCGTACGATTACTCGCGGCAGCGAGACGTTCACTTAGAGATTGCGCGGGCTTCTCGAGCCCGAATTGCTCCTTCAGCCGCCGTATGGTGTCCCACATGATGCTGGACGCCATCCTTGACTTCGTCCTTAATGCGAAGCCGTTTCCCTCTCGCTTCAAGGGATGTTGGCTGAGGTAGGAGATGGTGGTGCACGTTCTCGTCAGGTAGTCATGCTCGGTGACGGTACATGCGTGGAGAGTATTCCAGGCCTGGCCAATTGCCTTCCTAGTAGCGGCGAGGTCGACCAGTGGGTGCTCGCTATCTCTGAGCATCAAAAGGAAAAACGTTGCTGCGATGAGGGATTCCTTGGTGTGCACGCTCCAGGAGATGATTTCCTCTTCGGCATTATTGGCTATATTAATGAGCTTCAACCCTGTCGCGAGAGCTGGCCCTATAAACTCGTCGACATTCGAGTGTCGGCCGTTTTCACTGGTGGGGTTCGAGGAGGTGATTGCGTAGATATAAAGGTTCAGCTTAGATCCCAGGAAAAGAACTTCCTCGTGCGGCGACCATAGCAGGCCAGATGTCGATTCCATTAGAGAGAATTCTTTCTCAAACATGTGGATGGCCGAGATTGAGCTTTGAAGGACGCCAGCCGGACTGAGATCGGAGTTGCCTAGGGTAGTGTTTGTTCGGTACGACAAATACGCGATCTGGAGTTGTTGTTTGAGTCGAGATGGGATGGCGGGAGAGGGCGACGACAACGCTTCAAGGATGGTATGGTCGATAGGGGTGGTGCATGGAACACCAATTCTGCGGCTTGCCCTGGACACAAATATTAGTGGGCAATCGGACACCACGCGAAGTCATACATCTCATTCACTATGAAGCAGGCAATCCATGCCTTTCTCCTAGGCACAATAGCATCTTCATCAAATTTTGAGCCGTAAATGAAATCGTTGCTGTATTCCGGTCGATGTAAGCCTATTTGGAGAGCAGCGTGTGTGGCAATCCCGCTGTAGGTCCACGACAGGTCGGTCCAGCTTCTATCGTCTCCTCCTGCCCAGGTACACAGAAGCAAGAGAGCCTGGATCATTTCAACAGATCGGTTTGCAAGGTATTCGGGACTTAGGACAAGCCTCTTGAGCGGCTGGCTAAGTTTGGAGTATAAGCTGGCGTGTTGACGGCATTTTGCTGATACCAAGATAATGCTCCAGAACAGAGGAGGCCATTTCTTGGACGACCTCAGTGTGATTGAGGGTGCAGACAAGATGGGAAATCGTGGATGGTGATGGAGGTAGTAGCTTTGTGACGAGGTCAGAGGGCGATGTTCAACAACCTCACAACGAAACCCACCGCTCAAACAGCTCCACAATGGAATGAGGATTGATTGTGATGTCTTCCAGAGTCGCCGGTTCAATTTCGCCGGTAAAAGATGCGAAAGGGAAAGAAGTGAAGTCCTCCTCGCCTCCAGGTGGACGAGCTTGGGGTTCTGCTGAGACTCGGTCAGAAGCAGACGGTGCATGTTCCAGTTTCTGTTTCGCCTGGAGCAGCTCCTCTTCCAATCTTTCAATGCGCCTAGAATCAAGTCAGGAATGCCACACAGGGAAAGCGACAGACTTACTCCTGGCGCTTCTCTCGCCGAAAAGAAGAATCGATCAGGCATCGAGCTCCAGTCCTGGCACACCTACTGCAGGGAGCAGGGAATGTTTGGCTGGAGTCACATTTCAACTGCAGCAGCGTCAATAAATCAGTTACATATAGAACCTGGGAAGAAGCCGCACTGGGCACCATCGCGTTTCGTGCTCAGCCTACCTTCAACTGGCGGCATTGAGTGCAAGCCGGGCCCTTATTTCGAGACTTCTGGATTTTGTCCACGGTCTGCATGATGAGAACTCAACCATGTGACAGGAGAGCGGCGAAGGCATTTCGATAAGCTAGATGCAGATGGTCCAACAGAAACATCCCAAACCATGGATGTTCCTGTATCGAGAAATCGTGCTGTGAGCTTGGAGGTTGGCACATCCCCAAACCTCTAGGGTCGAGTTCCGAGGTTTAGCCAAGTTGCGCCTCGCCCGCCTTTTTTTCATTCAACAGGCAGAAAACTTGACCTGACGAAAGACCATACCTTGCAGTGACGACTCCTTTCCGTGCAGTTGCGGACTCTTTCATTTGCGATCGACACTGAACACGCGAACATGACCGACTTTCAACAAGCCCACAAAAGAAAGCGATCCCAATCCCCTCCACCTTGGCGACGGCGTGACGACAACAGACAATATCGAGAACGGGATGCTGGAGGCAGGCGAGACCATGGCCAGCCTCAACGATGGTCCCATAAGGACCAAATGAGAATCAACCAGATGCAGGAAGACGAGCGCATGAGAGAGTGGGTTGCGCAAGAGGATGATTTCGTTCTCAAGCAGGCTAAGAAGAAGGCAGACATCCGAGTCAAGGAAGGGCGAGCGAAACCCATCGACTGGTTGGCAGTAACCCTCCGTGTTGTCGACCCTACCCGAAATCCCTTGGATGACGAGGTCGATGAGAAAGATTTGGATTTTGTCGACCCAGACAGCGTGTTTGATGGGCTCTCGGAAAGCCAGCTTTTCGACCTGCGCAAGGATATTGAGACCTACATGAACCTGGAGAAGAACAGGAAAAACAGGGACTATTGGCAGACCATGCAAATCATTTGCAAGGATAGGCAGAAAAAGCTACGCGCATCAGGTCCCGAAGGAAGGGCAATGAGCTCTGTGGCATCGGACATTGACAAGCTCTTGAGCCCCAAGTCCTACGAGCAGCTGGATGTGTTGGAAGGACAAATAAGAACTAAGCTGGATTCGGACGAACCTATCGACACGGACTACTGGCAGCAGTTGCTGGATAGCTTGCTGGTTTGGAAGGCAAAAGCGAAGCTCAAGAAGGTCACTCAGGATGTTCTCGAATCGCGGCTGAAGAACCTGAGACAGGAAAATGAGCAGAAAGCACTCTTCGCACAGCAACAGCTTCGGAATGCCGGAGTGGAGCACGCAGCTACCGTCCCATACTCAAAGAAATCGGATCCAGACCCGTTACTGGAGATTCCGACTAAAGACAAAGGCCTGGAGGTGGTGGATGAGAGCGCATTTCTACAAAGTGTTGCAGCAAGCAGACGGAAAGTCCTACACATGGGTTACGTCCCAGCACCGAAAGCGGGTGCCGCTCCGACTCCCACGGTCTCGACTTCAATTCAGTCGCGTCCATCAGCGCAGCAATCCAAAGCCATCGATCCCACCAGCCGATTTGACCGCTCGACAGAGGATATCTCCTCGACAACAAAAGCCCTCTTCGACCGAGAAGTTGCCAAAGGCTTCAGTGAAAACGAAGAAATCTTTGCTGGCGAGGATGAGACCTCGTCCGAGTCCCAGCCGCTCTGGATGCAGCAATATGGAGGCAAATACCGTCCGCGTAAACCGAAATACTTCAACCGCGTCCAGATGGGTTACGAATGGAACAAGTACAACCAGACTCACTACGACCACGACAACCCTCCACCAAAAGTTGTCCAGGGTTACAAGTTTCACATCTTCTATCCTGATCTCATCGATCCCACAAGGGCACCCACGTATAAGATCATCCGTGAAGGAGGCAGAAAGAAGGGTCAAACGATGGCTCCAGCGGGCGAAGAAGATACCTGCATCATCAGATTCATGAGCGGACCGCCATACGAGGACATAGCGTTTAGGATCGTGGACCGGGATTGGGATTATAGTGCCAAGCACGACAGGGGGTTCAAGAGCACATTCGAGAAAGGGGTGTTGACATTGCATTTCACGTTTAAGAGGGTGGTATATCGGAAGTGATGAACATATGAATCTTGCGTCAGCAGGGACACGCACAGACTGCCAGCGCCTTGTGTGGGATTGAGGTGATGAGGCTGAAGACTACCGGGATGCCTTATGTGAGGGCCGAAAGAGCTGAGCTGATAACAGCTCCCAACAAAATGAAGGGCTGTTGTCTCGCTTTCTTGTCTCCTCTGCCCCCGACCGACTAGATTACGAAAACAGGTGTTGAAGAACTTATCAAACAACCGAAGAGTTCACCTTCTATCGTCCACCGCTAGTTTTCCTTCAGGTATCCCCTTCTCACCCCTCCTATCCTCCTCAGGCTGTCCTTTGGGAAACGATTAGGGTGAGAGGCGCGAGAAGCGGCATCCCACGGACTGCGGCGCTTATGTATTTGGTCGATGGCGAATCTCGTCGCTTTGTCAACCTGGTGCGTACTCGGTACATAAGCACTTTATGGGACAACGACCGACCTGGTGCGATGCCCTTGGCTGTTGTGAGCATGAGTCGCCTACATAGATGATTTGCAAACAAAAAGACCTCAAGTACTACGACCATACACGATCTGGTCCCCAGACAACTCTCGCTTCGCCCGTTTGAAAAAAAGGTCCTAACGAATACCACCTCCATCGTGACCTTTTCTCATTCACGTGCAATGCATGGAAATAACATGTTTTTTTCTCCACTCCTTCAACAAAGCCATGATGATGGAGTGGCTTTGGTCATGATATGGTGAGCAACGCTTTGGAGTGGGAAAATACAGCAGCCTGTAACCAAAAGTTCTGTTCACGCGAGCCAGAAACTTTTGGTGCGGCGCCTTGATGCACACGGTGCCTACCTAGGTTACTCGGTAATACTTCCCCCTCGTCCCCTCATTCCCACTACGTTGTGTACTGCAGTGTAGATCCGCCGATCTGCCTTGGCCCTCGCAACGCCAGTGACGTCGATTGAACTCTCGAAAGTTCTACTAAACTACCTACGTACCTAGGAATGTACATGTATGGACTCAGAAAGCGGGGTAGAAAGGGTAGCTGGCGAAACCTGTATGTACACGGAGAGGTACCTGGTAGTTAGTTATGCAATGACGCCAGCGAGGAACGGGCCAAAAAGAAGAGAGAGAACGGACTCTCCCCTTGGTTCCCCAGCAAAGAATTTAGGACGCTCGCAGATTGTAGACCCGAAAGAGCAAAGGCCCGCCTGCCCGGGTCGGTGCGGTATGTCTTGTTCTTGAGCTGACAAAGCGTGCACACTTACCCTACCTAGGTACCTAGGTAAGTACCTAGCGACGGTTTGTGTGTAGATGATTTCGCGCCTGCGCCTTCCGGCATGCTTCGGGCAGGGAATAATTGCGGTGAGTGAGCGTCAATCTCTGTCAGGGCCGCCGTGTGTCAGACTCCTGCTCCCTTTCCCTTTTGTGAGATCTGGTGGATGAAGTGTATGAAGGTGCAAAGGTCAGCAGGATAGGAATTGCGAATGCGTGGCACGCGACACAAAGGATCAGCGGTCAACCTCGAGAAACGAAAGGGTTCGATATCATTGTGTGTACCGCCTCCGCGCATTCTAACATCAACTCTTGGCCGCAAACTCCCGCTCTTAGTTTCAGGTCTCAGATGCCCCAGGGGATATCCAATGCAGCAACGCTTGAACGAGTAAAAATTCATCCACGAATAAGGGCTTTTAAAACACATGTCCACCGCTTCAGGCCAGACTCGTCCGACCACATGCGCTCACCATTCCATTAAATGTAGTCAACAGAAATAGTAGTACAGATGAATCTGAAGACCAACTCATGGCTCTGGATCCGGTGCCGGCTCCTTTGCTGTCTCGCGGTCAGAATCGGTTGGCTCAAGTTTCTTTTCCTCGGCATGCTTTTCGCCAGGTTCGATCCCACAGTCTTCCTCCCATGTCACGGTTTCTTTGTGCATGTCTCGTCGAACCCAGGGGATGGTGATGGCGACCCAGATGCCGACCCAGACGAAGGGGACGCCCCAGCCTAACGCGTACATTAGTTGCGCCCTTCCTTGAGGATGTTCTTCGGACAGAACTTACCAATACCATAAGCCACGTCCTTGGGTACAGGATGGATGCATACAACCACCGTGCAGGCAATGGCGACCAGAAGCCCCGGAATGGACCAGAACAGTGACTGAACCATGAGCATCCTCCGGAACCGTGGGCTTGCTCTATACCGCGCAGCCAAGGCTTCACGGAAAGGTCTGCCGGCGTTGGCATTAACGGCGACGACATCCTCCATTAGGTAGTACGCTCCAGGGTAGACCACGCCGCCCTTTTCGGTAGAGCTGATTCGGAAAGGGGCCTTCCAGCCGGCAAGACTCCACACGGTGAGTAAGAATACGCTGCCTGCGATGCAAAATAGAAGCGCTGGGGCCGGCATGGAAAGAACGCGCAGCCACACAATGTGAGGGGCGCTGCCGACAACGAGTAGTGCGGTGACGGCCGTGATGGTCAGGACGGAGATCCAGTGGGTGATGTCGAAAGCCCATCGGTTGGAGGTGCCGAGTGGCCGGAAGAAGTTCTCATTCTTGAACAACCGCCAGCTTCTGACTGCGAACTCGACGTATGTAGGTCCGCCCCAGATGGACGCCACGATTGCAAAAACTGTCATAAATGTGTTAGCCAGGGCTTTGCGGAAGGTTCTGGGGATATTAAAAGCTTACTGATCCAGCCCTGGACGTGTCCTGCAAATTTCATGGCGTAGAATAAGACAATGGGAATGATACAGGCGTCCACAACAATTATGAATATCGTAAAGAACAATTTCCATCTGCGCCATCCGTGTCTCCAGGTAAAGGGCAGTTGTGGCAGAAGCGTGGGATTCTGAGAATAGTATTCTTGCAGTGTGCTCGCCCGCCTCCGGAATTCCCTCTTGGTCGCAGCACGACTGTCATAATATGCGTCCCTTTCGGGCTCTGCTTTCCGCTCTCTTCTGGCTTGTTCTCTGCTCTTTCTGCGCTCAGAGGCAGATAGGGTACTGAGTCCGGTATCGACGGATCTGAGGCCCTGTGTCGGGGTCTCCTCTCGACCGAGTCCAGGGCTTTCTGGGCCAAAGTGAACGCCGCGTGCTTCTCGCACGGGAGTCGAGGGAGCCGCTCCGTCATGCGACGCATTTAAACTGCGGTCAATCTGAAAACTGGCACGACTGCCTCGAACGACCTCCGGCATGGCGATTTATTATACTCTGGATGGAGAGAGAGGTCCAGAACGGATTGAGAGAAGAGAAGGCGATTCACAAGCAATGCCTGCCGGAAGGAAGGTAATAGTCTATGGGTGTGTGAGAGCCTCCTTCCCAGTGAAAGGGAACAGTTGAAGCCCTAGGAAGGTCGCGGCACCAGCGGAAAGGGATTCAACGCATCCGTCATTCAGCGCGAAATGAGTGGAGAGGCGATATGTAAGGATGCTGCCACTGATGGGTTAGTCTTGAGACCAGGAAGCGCAGAAGAGTGATTGAGGAAATGTGGTTCATTTAATTGGCATTTCCCTGAATTGGACCTCATTCCGGGGCATTACGGGCTATCATAGAGTACAGTAAGCAAAGTAAGCTCGCACTGACTGACGTCGGCCCCTCTTGGGTGATGATGTCGATTGGTTGGTGGCCGCAATCAGCTGGGTGACCCGGGAAGAGAGGCTCCCGGGCGTTCGCGGCATCAAGCAACGGTTGGGGGCAACGGGGGCCACCGGGCCAAACATAAAAGTTGCACTGAGCGTTGACGTGCGTGGTTTTGGACGGTAGGGCCCTCGGGCCCTAGGCGTCTTGAGTGCAGTGTCTGACCCTAAGCCAAGATCGCTAGAGGTCGAGTACTTCGCAGTACCTTCTACGGTGGACCTTATAGTCCCTACCTATATACAAAACAAATACCTATCTTCTCCATTCTCATTTAGATTACACAGTGCCTGGACAACAGTCTTCTCCTCCAACTTGAAGGCAATATCTGGGGCCTCGGCAGGCTCTGCTAGGCATCAGCACGCATACAGAAGTGGCGGCAGCAAGCACCCGGCTGGCATTTGAATACCATGCCCTAGGGGACCGTCTTTTGAAAGTATTTTCTGTCAGACAGACCACCACCCTTTTCTCTTCACACTCGCTTTGCATACCAGATGATTGTCACGACACAAGCTTTGACCATACTCACCGCTGCTCATGTACCTTGGCTTTGGCTATACCGCTCATGCCGCCTCTCAGCCAGACCAGTGCCAATTGGCGTCCTGTTACAGGCCGTGCCTGCTTTTACCAGTCTTCCTTCTATATCGGATGCTGACAAGCGGAGCCCCTTGAACTAGAGCAAAATCACAGAGACTGAGTCTTCTGCTGAATGATTGACGGCAGACCTCTGGTTCAAATCTTTCTAATAGGTATGCTGATTTACCTGGGACCTCCAAAACAGAGGACACCATTTACATCCCCGACTACGCGAAACCGACGACTTCAGGAATCGTCTATTGACATACCGAATCGGGTCATGGAACTGATAAGTCTCAAAATCTTGTGGAATACTGCAGAATGCGACCGACAAATCGGTATCGATGAGATACTAGCTATCTCAGCGAAATGTTCACTTCGTCTACGGCATTCTTGTTCTGTTGAGTATAGAGCTCACCGGTACTACTGTCCGGCAGCCTTGCCCCAGGACTGATGATGGTGTTGACTCTTGCTTGTCGACCAATCGGAAGAGCCTAGCTCTCGCCCTCCTCCAATGCGCGGCATGGGCATGGCTTGTCTAATCGTCAACCCTTGTACCATCACAGGAGCAAAGGGGAAAATACACAAAGTCAAATTTTGCTGGTGCAGGATGTGAGGGTGGATCAATGCAGGTTGGCATTTGAGGCCCAACCAGATGCACTCTTCCGAACATGACAGCCCGTTGAGCCACAATCAGTTGCACAAAAGCTCCGCAAGCCATCTCAGATCTGATTGGATAGGAGATTCTTCAGCATCCCGGATTCCCTCTGGAAAGATGTGATACAGTACTTTACTGTACTAGCATGCAGCTGGTGCATCCAGACGTCTTCTCTTGCAGCAGAAAAGGATATGAAGGTCAGTCTAGGAACCCTTTTGTTTGCGTTCCGGCGCCCGTTCCTTCCACCCTCTCCCACCCCTGCCTGTTTGCATGGTTTACCCCCCTTCAGTCATGTACTATCCTATGCACGTCTGAATCAGTTGCCTGTTCTAAATAATAGCATTCCACCCTTTGACTTTTCTTTGTTCTGGCCGTTGAGCTTTAAGGACGGGGCTTTCCAACTGTTTGTCGCGGTTGACAGTCAATCATCCAAGATCTCATTGTCCTATCATCCATTCCCCCTTGGGTAGGACAGTATTCACGTCAGGTCCGTCCCTCATTACCGTTCAATAAGTCTGCGCGAAGACCTGTCTGCCCTTTTATTACTTATTCCATATCTCTCACTCAATCAATGGGAAGAATGGTCAAAATGGAAGCTGAATTGGCAACACATCACTGTGAGGTATACAATAATGTCGGAGATTATGAGCATCCAAACATCATGACCTCCAGAGCATTTGACGAGCCAGATCTGCAATCCTCCTCTTCAGCAACCTCCTGCTTGCCGATGTTCCACGCTCAGAACCACGCAGAAGTGCATCCCCTGCTCAAGGTTGACACTCTGGACGACATCCCTTACGAGAACCTGCATGTACACCATGAGGACATCTTCCCTGCCGGCACCCAACTACAACTTTCCGATCTCGAACTTGAACCGACCTGGGCTCCTCATCAATTGTATCCGCACTTCATCAGCAACAAGGTCGTACAAACCAACGATTTCAGTGGACTTCCACTGCTGCCATACACATCAGATCCAATGGCACTCACTCCATCAACATATCCCTACTATGAAGAGCAGAGTGTCTGGCCCTCGTCTCCGGAATACGGCCAATGCAGATCTTTCACCACGACGGATGAAGATGAGGACGCAGTAGACGACAAACCGTACGCCAGACTCATCTACGAAGCTCTGATGCAGGCGCCTGGCCACAGGATGATGCTCCGAGAAATTTACGAATGGTTTCGCCACAATACCACCAAACCTCAAGAATCTGGGTCGAATGGTTGGCAGAATAGCATTCGGCACAACCTGTCCATGAATAAGGTTAGCGGATTCCGTCTCATGATCATACACATCACGAACTAACACCACCACATAGGCTTTCGAAAACGACAGGGAATGCGCAAAGGGGAACTCAAGGAAGGCGACTAGCGTCTGGATACTGACCGATGAGGCGATCAAGAACGGGGTCCAATCCACCACAAGATATCGCAAGACCGGAGCGGGCAAGAAAACGATGGCAGGGCGCATACCAGCCATTCAACGCCAAAGAGCCGGAGCAAAAGGGGGGCGAGCCGCGCGACATGCTGCCAAAAGGAAGTATCAAGAGCACTGTGCTTTCACTGACTCGACGGCGACACCAAGTCCCTCAGCGGCATCGTATTCCGATTGCACCGACTACCAAAGCTTGGACTCCCACGATCCACGCCCCACTGCGAGGAGTTGGCCAATGACCCCTGTGGAGCCAAATCTGGCAGCCGAAGAAGCGAATTTGCTCCGATGTCTGTCCCCACAGAGCACACTGGGTTTCCGGACACAACCTTTGGAACACATGGGTTACGGAGAAGAGAACGTGCACTTGCAGAATACTTTCTTGCAGTCGATGCGAGATCAGCAGTTGGAGGAACTGGTCAGATTCCATGTGGACTGAGCGTGCAGCTCAAGGCCCTCTTCTGTCCCGGGGTCGTACTTACATGATTGGGTACCACTAAATGACTTGCATTGAACAAACTTCAGCACATTCTCCAGGTGTCTGATCCAGGGCGATTGGGCAGAGCCCCGGCCCGGACACTTGTTTTATCAGCTGTGGTCAAGGGAATCGGTGATTCCGTCGTGTCCCTCAAGGACTACAAGGTCGACCCAAGAAGGACAGACCTAGGACATGGGCAGAGCCCTGTGAGCTTTTGTGGGACTTTGCATAGGAGAATTGTTGCCACTTGGACTAACGCACCAGATTACGATTGTACTATACCCCTTTGGAGGCATTTGGAAAAGAGGATACAAATGTATTGGATAACAGCGAGAAGCGAGCTGCAAGAAGCGAGCAGATGGCCGGGGTTGGGGGTGGATTTCTTGGCTGAAAGCGGGCGGCACCAGCGGGTCTAGACACTGCCAACCTGCTCCATCCTGCGCCATCCTGCGCCATCCTGCTCCATCCTGCTCCATCCTGCATTTCAGCTCAGATTCTCAGATTCTTCTGCGTCTCCTCCTGCTTGTTCGAGCTTCGGATCGGCGTCATCCAAACCTTCTCTGCCCTATGAGAGACCTGATCCATGCGTGATTGTCCTTGCTAGGCTGCTAGCACACGGTGCCACTGTTCTCATCTCCCCGGAAGTGCCTTTCGACCCGAGCCCACCCTCCCTTCCGTGCGATGGCCAAAGTTCTTAGGGCCCCCCAAAATCTTGATCTCTGCGACGACTTCGCCAGTTCAATCCGATCGACGATTGCAGGTCACTTGCGGGAGCATGGGACATCAAAGCAACGTAGACTTGAGCAAGCGATGACAATCCGACTGCGAAGAGGGGGTGTCAGTTGACGTCGACTTTTGACAACCCGGGGATGGCACCTGGGACGTGTCAAACAGATTTCAAAGCCCGAGCCCCCAATGCCTCCTCACACTAATGCAGCAGACTTCTCAGCGGACTAAAATTCCACTCCCCCTTATGAAGGTATGATCGATCTCTCGACTTCCTGGCTGCTCATCCCCCGGTGGCGTCACGATACAGACTAGCCTAGAACAACAGGAGTTAGTCCATCTGCTCGGAACAAAGGACAAGCCAAAGCCACCTCGTTGTCAACTCGCGTGTGAACCTGCACGACTTTCTCCCTGTCCCTACATTGGCCCATTCTACCGTCCACCCCGGCACTACCTGAGCAAAATCTTGAAAGCTTTCCATCTGGACTCTGGAGCACGGAGCCGATCGAGTCGCCTAGAGATCGTGCTGTGAAGATTGCCCTTGTTGCCACCCTTTCTCGTCTCCGTACGGGGGTTCCAATCGTCTTGAGACGGTTACCCCCGATCTCAACTCCACAAAGGGAGCATTGCTGGCCTCCCTTGAATCGGGCCTGGCCTCATTGACTAGTAAGACACAAGTCCACATGGTGCAGAATGTGCCTCGAAATCTCGATTTGAGTTTGTGGAGGCGGAAGTATCCAATCCGCTTGGCTGGGATACGTTGCTGGACGGCACCAAGTTGGTGTGATCGAGCTGGCGTATCTGTGATGGCCTACGATGGCTTACGATCGATCCAGCCACAAATTCCCTTGCCATGCCGCCTAGGCTGCAAAGATAACACGACGTAACAGATTTCTCAATATGGGCAAGACTCATGGGCACCAGATTGGAAAGACCAGCAGGTGTACATGATAGCGAGAGCTTCAGTGCCGTGAGTGCTTATTCCTGTGCCAAGCTGGGGGCTGAAAGACATGTCGACGAGCTATCAGGGGTTGTGACCCAGTCTCTGGCCGGGTAGGGGCCCTGGTCGACGCACTCGTGCGAGGCGAACAAGGCCAATCCCTGATTAAAACTTTTGCATCTACCAAAGAAGGACACTGAACGGACAGAAGCAGAACACAACCCCTGGCAGGATTGCATCCTGATCCAGATGCTCGCTGAATCCTCAACAACCTCCAACAATTGCTACGGTTGAAGTTTCCGGATGTTGAATCTTTGACTTTCTCCAGCGAAGAATCATGCAGTGCAGCCCACGCCATTTCCAACTCAAGTTGGTCACATTGTGAGGTCGATAGTCTCGTGTGGCAGACATCGTCCTGGTCGAATCTTGAATCGTTGTCTACTCTTGCCCACCATGCCCGATATCATACCATAAATTACTAACTAAATCTCAATTCAATCCGATCGATTCTCCGATACAGTACAGTCCGTTTCCGCCAACCCGTCATGCATGGTTCCGACCTATCCCTACCCCAGTCAATTCTTCAGAACGTGCTTGACATATGCCGGGCAACGTATGACAATACAACCTGGGATTGACCAGATCAAGACCGACCTGAGGAGTATCCAGGGCGAGTCCTCGAGACTCGTTTTGCACTGTGCTACAACGTCAAACGCCAACCTCGCACTGTCAATGCGTACCATAGTCTCCGCAAGGCTCCTTCAACCTATGGGCTTTTGATGCATGTCCCTCAACACTCTCCGTGCTTCAGCCGTTAGGTCTCCAGCATTTTCGCTGCACTTAATTTGCCGAGCATATGTTCTGGTTCTCAAAGACAATGGTTGTTTCCTTGCTGTGACTAGTGCCCGTTGGACCTTGCGGCAACTGGTGTAACTGGCCCTGGTACCAGCGGAAACTCGTCTCACAGGTTATCGCTGCGCATTGCAGCTGGCTAGGGGATGTCACAACAACGCTTCTGGGCACGAGCGTGCCCAAAAAAACCATGGTAGGCGTTGTTTTTGGAAGAGGGCGCTGGACCGTTTCACATAGGGTTTCCCCCTTTCATGGACTTTGACGACGATATCGATCACAAGGTGAGATGTATGCCACCCGCAAGAGATCGAGCCTCAATATCATCACCCTCACTGCTAGATTCGTGAGAGTCGCAGAATGTTCTGCCGCTCTTGCGCCGGTTGCAGCCACCAGAATCTGTGACTGAAAAGTCTTTCTGTTGTACGGATGCGTCTGTGTCACCATGGCCCTCGCCCCCACCAACCCCGAGCCTCTCTTCTTGACTGTTTCTTTTCATATTCTACGGAGATTGAAACTGCAATCTTCTGGGGATGGTATTCGGCCCCCGTACAGGCCGTACCTGGCCTTGAACGCTACTCTCCGAGCCGTCATGGGCTCTTTTCCAACATTTTCATGCCCCTTGCCAGTCCGCAAGTGTTGTGACTGCGGTACCCGGCAGCTACCTAAGAAGAGGGTTGTGCAAATGCGGGCCCATCGCCAGTCCAAAATCTTTGGTGGGGTCCTCGAATGGCTTGCCAGCCTGGCAGCCGGCAGATATGACAGATTTGACAGCGGCATTGTATCACCTCCCTACTCAAGAGTGCGATCTGATACCGATCCTTCTTTGATCTTCCGGGGAATTGTCGAGTCTCGCCAATCGAGCAACTCTTACTAACAGCATTTTCCCCTGAGGCATAATTGACCGCTCTAGCCATGAATTACCTGTTGGACAACTGCTTTGCGACGAGCTGAAGCTGCGGAAACACGAGCGAAAGTGACTAGGGAAATTTTGCCTTGATTCTGTCCCGGTGAAGCGTTGTAAGCCGTTGCGCAGTGCGACTACGAACTTCAACCAACGAAACGTCCTCGCAAGTGAAGAATGATGCGTGCCGACTAATTGGTCTTTCCCTCATCGCACTGCTTAAGAAGCAGGTTGTGACCAGTATCACTGCTCGGGCCCTGAGGTCGTTGGACGAGTCTGCAGACACGGTTGCGGTACTCTGAGGTGAGCATGCGACGACAAGGCAGAACCTCCTATACTCACAAATTGCTGGAAGACGGACTTGTCAGACGCGAGCAGACCATGTGATATGGACCTTTTGCCGGAGTTTTTCCTGCTTTGTGCGTCGCTGGTTGTAAGGATGGCCCGCTTGGGAGGCATCCAGCTCGATTCCCTGTCTCAGAGAAATGCCGTTGGCCAGCAACCTCTGCGAAGGCAATATGCTTTTGGCGGAGCAACCTTGTCCCATCGTCCAGGGAACTTTGATGACACCGAGACGTCAATCTCCTTGACTTGTAGGACTCGGCAGCATTAGCGACCACTCGGATCGATCATCGGCGGCTTGAGTAGAAGGGTAGTACAGCAACACTGAGAACAAATCGGGCGCATGATACAAGAAAAGCGTAGTGGAAAACAGTACACACAAGCCATAGTCCATTGCAATGATACCTAGACTGTCCGGGCTCTTCAAGTGAACAGCTAATGCCATCAGGTGTACTGGCATTTCGCTAAAGGGTTTTCCTGGTGTAGAGGGCACCTCATAGTGACTTTTGACCGCTCAACACGTAGATATTGTTGTCTTTTCAAGGGACTTCCCTGTCTCGGCCACACAAACCTGGGTGAAACTAGGGGGCCACCCTCATCATACACATGTCAAGATTCTGCCTCTGCCATATGCTCTCCAACCGTCATCGCCGTGGACGCAAAGAAGCTCCGGTCACAAGCGTGACCCCATGTCTTATCGAAAACAAGTGGTGGTCTTCCAGCGCTCTTCTACCACCTCTCTATTTCTTCCCCGTCTTCTTCTCCTGCGTCTCCTTCAGCACCTTCTTCACAATCTTCTGCTCCTCGATCAAGAAAGCGCGAACAATTCGATCCCGTACGCAGTTGGCGCATCTTGAGCCGCCATATGCGCGCTGTACAGTCTTTTGTGGTCTGCTAGTGGTGGCATACTCTCGTGGTCGTAGAGCGGGAACCTATAAAGCCGACAATGGCTTGTCAGAAACAGATCTTGAACCGAGTAGCTCAAAATAAAACTTGTGCAGATGTTGCCTTGTGTGCTTCAGCGGCCGCCACTTACACCTGGTAGTTTGATGCCGCAGTCACCGCATTTAGGGGCTGTGCCGCGCTTCTTGATGTGCAAAAGACGAAGTTTTCCGCCGGGGGTCTTGATGACTCGGACGTTGTTGGAGGAGGTGTTGTATCTGTAAGATGTTACGGCTCGCTGTCAGTCATTGAATCTTGTTCCACTCCCACATGATGTTGCGACGTCTTTGAACTGTAGGTGTCTTGACAGGAGTACGTACGGGTTTCGGCGACGGTACTGGAGTCTGACGCCTGCCATTGCGACGGTATTGAATTGGCAATGGAACGGGTTGAAGGCGAGGAAATCGTTGCGTGTCTTTGAAACTGCGGTTGACTTACAGATCGTCTTCAGCGAAAATCCGTGTGCGAAGTTTCTCTGCCGATGATCTCCCGTCTTGGCGCCAAGGTTTCCTGCCTCTCAAGTTCCAAGTCACGTGTGCGGGCAAAATCGACTTGATATCTCAACTTTTCCTGCGGACTTGAAGGCGACAAACCCGGCTTTCAAGTCAACCATTATTTCACGCAGTCCATCCATCAAGACCTCTGGCTGGCGGATGGTAGGACTGAGACTCTACGAGTGAAAAGGATCGGCCCCGGGGTCGAAGCAGAGGACAGACCGCGTGTCGTAAATGGTAAGCGACTTTCAAAGACATCTCCAAGATCGAGCGCCGAGTTCATCTTTTCTGTCACAACAGTCAACATCAGCCATTCAGCAATAGGATGGCTTCCATACCACCCCCTCCTCCGCCGGGATGGGGTGCTGGAGCGCCGCCTCCTCCGCCTGGCATGGCCCCCCCACCTCCAGGTTATCGTCCCCCAGTCGACCCTCGAGTCGCAAAGTTTGCACAGAAGAAGAAAGAGTGGCTCCGTACGCAGCGCAATCGGTACGGCGAAAAGAGGAAGGGCGGCTTTGTGGAAACGCAGAAGGCCGATATGCCGCCGGAGCATCTGAGGAAGATTGTCAAAGACATTGGAGACGTCAGTCAGAAGAAATTCAGCAGCGACAAAAGAAGTTACCTAGGCGCCTTGAAATACATGCCGCACGCAGTCTTCAAGCTGCTGGAAAACATGCCCATGCCCTGGGAGAGTGCGAGGGAAGTCAAAGTATTGTACCATGTCAATGGGTGCCTGACACTCGTCAATGAAACCCCACGAGTCATCGAGCCGGTCTTTCACGCACAGTGGGCAACTATGTGGGTTTCAATGAGACGAGAGAAGAGCGACAGAAGGCACTTCAAGCGGATGCGCTTCCCTCCTTTCGACGACGAAGAACCACCGCTGTCTTGGTCAGAGAATATCGAAGACGTGGAGCCCTTGGAGCCTATTCAGATGGAACTGGATGAGAATGAGGATGGTCCCGTGTATGAATGGTTCTATGATCACCGGCCTCTTCTGGACACGCCGCACGTCAATGGTCCGAGTTACAAAACGTGGAACTTGACGCTGCCGCAAATGGCTACCCTGTACCGACTTTCTCATCAGCTGTTGAGCGACGTGGTGGATAAGAATTATTTCCACATGTTCGATCGTGAAAGCTTTTTCACCGCGAAGGCTCTCAACGTTGCCATCCCCGGTGGACCCAGATTCGAGCCCTTATACAAAGATATTGACCCCAATGACGAGGATTTCGGCGAGTTCAACGCAATCGACCGAATCATCTTCCGTGCGCCGATCCGGACCGAATACAGGGTCGCGTTTCCCTACTTATACAACTCGCTACCACGGAGCGTCAAACTTTCGTGGTATTCCCACCCTCAAGTTGTCTACGTAAGATCAGAGGATCCCAACCTGCCAGCCTTCTATTTTGATCCCGTCATCAATCCCATCTCTTCGAGGTCAGTGGCGCCAAAAAATATTACCATCAGCCACGAGGATGAAGTCTTTGGCGAAGGCAATAATGAGGATGATGAATTCGAGCTCCCAGGCAATGTTGAGCCATTCCTCGCAGACGAGGAACTGTACACCAGCGAGACAGCTTCTGCTATCGCATTGTGGTGGGCGCCTTTCCCATTTGATCGGAGATCTGGAAGAATGGTTCGTGCCCAGGATGTGCCTCTGGTCAAGCAGTGGTATCTGGAGCACTGCCCGCCCGGCCAGCCGGTCAAAGTCCGAGTTTCTTACCAGAAACTACTGAAGACCTATGTTCTGAATGAGCTACACAGGAAGAAGCCCAAGGCGCAAAACAAACAAGATCTTCTCAAGACGCTGAAATCCACCAAGTTCTTCCAGCAAACGACCATCGACTGGGTAGAGGCCGGTCTACAAGTTTGCCGACAAGGGTTCAATATGCTGAACCTCCTCATCCATCGGAAGAACTTGACGTATCTGCATCTGGACTACAACTTCAACCTTAAACCTGTCAAGACCCTGACGACAAAAGAACGCAAGAAATCGAGATTTGGTAATGCATTCCATTTGATGAGAGAGATTCTGAGACTCACTAAGCTCATTGTCGATGCTCAAGTCCAATACAGACTTGGCAACATCGATGCGTTTCAGCTGGCTGACGGCATTCTCTATGCTTTCAACCATGTCGGACAGTTGACGGGAATGTACCGGTACAAATACAAGCTCATGCACCAGATCAGATCGTGCAAAGACCTGAAGCACTTGATCTATTATCGCTTCAACTCTGGACCTGTCGGAAAAGGTCCGGGTTGTGGCTTCTGGGCGCCAGCTTGGAGAGTGTGGCTCTTTTTCATGCGGGGCATTATTCCTCTTCTTGAAAGATGGCTTGGGAATTTGTTGTCCAGACAATTTGAAGGCCGCCACAGCAAAGGTGTTGCAAAGACCGTTACAAAGCAACGTGTGGAATCCCATTTCGACCTTGAACTCCGAGCGTCGGTCATGGCAGACTTGATGGATATGATGCCTGAAGGTATTAGACAGAACAAAGTCAATACCGTACTTCAGCATCTTTCCGAAGCGTGGCGGTGCTGGAAGAGCAATATTCCTTGGAAAGTCCCAGGCTTACCAGCCCCTATTGAGAACATTATCTTGCGATACGTCAAAAGCAAGGCTGATTGGTGGATCTCTGTGGCTCACTATAACCGAGAGCGCATCAGGAGAGGCGCAACTGTCGACAAGACAGTAGCCAAGAAGAACCTTGGTCGCCTGACGCGATTGTGGCTGAAAGCTGAACAAGAGAGACAGCATAATTACATGAAAGACGGTCCATATGTTTCCTCGGAGGAAGCTGTCGCCATCTACACGACCACCGTCCACTGGCTTGAGTCGCGGAAGTTCTCACCGATTCCCTTTCCCAGTGTCTCTTATAAACATGACACGAAGATTCTGATCCTGGCCCTGGAGAGACTGAGAGAGGCCTATTCTGTTAAGGGCAGGTTGAATCAGAGTCAGAGAGAAGAGCTTGCCCTGATCGAACAGGCGTACGATTCGCCCGGGACTACCCTAGCCAGAATCAAGCGTTTCTTGTTGACTCAACGGGCGTTCAAAGAAGTTGGAATCGACATGAACGACAATTACAGCTCAATCAATCCCGTATATGATGTCGAGCCAATCGAGAAGATCACGGATGCATATCTCGACCAATATCTTTGGTATCAGGCTGACACCCGACATCTCTTCCCATCGTGGGTCAAGCCTTCAGATTCAGAGGTCCCACCGCTTTTGGTCTACAAGTGGGCCCAGGGTATTAACAACTTGACAAATGTTTGGGAGACTGCAGATGGAGAATGTAACGTCATGATCGAAACACAGCTTTCCAAGGTCTATGAGAAGATTGATTTGACTTTGCTCAATCGTCTGCTTCGACTAATCATGGATCACAATCTGGCCGATTATATCACTTCGAAAAACAATGTCCAGCTGAACTACAAAGATATGAACCACACGAATAGCTACGGCATGATCAGAGGTCTTCAGTTCTCAGGCTTCGTTTTCCAGTACTACGGACTGGTCATCGACCTGCTTCTCCTCGGCCTTCAACGAGCGAGCGAGCTCGCCGGGCCGCCTCAGAGCCCGAATGACTTCTTGCAATTCCGAGACAGGGAAACAGAGACCAGACACCCTATTCGCCTGTACACACGATATATTGACAAAATCTGGGTCTTCTTCAGATTCACCGCAGAGGAGTCGAAGGATTTGATCCAGCGCTTCTTGACCGAACAGCCGGATCCGAACTTTGAAAATGTTATTGGGTATCGGAACAAAAAATGCTGGCCTCGAGATTCTAGGATGAGGTTGATGAGACACGACGTCAACCTTGGCCGTGCCGTATTCTGGGATTTGAAGAACAGGTTACCTCGTTCAATTACCACAATCGAATGGGATGACACGTTCGCGAGTGTCTACTCCCGGGACAACCCCAATCTGTTATTCTCAATGTGCGGTTTCGAGGTCAGGATCTTACCCAAGATCCGTAATCAGAACGACGAATTCCCCATCAAAGATAGTGTCTGGGCTCTGGCCAACAATGAGACCAAGGAGCGAACCGCCTACGCATTCTTGCAGGTCACAGAAGAAGACATCCAGAAGTTCAACAACCGCATCAGGCAAATATTGATGTCCTCCGGCTCTACGACATTTACCAAGATCGCAAACAAGTGGAACACGACGTTGATTGCTCTGTTTACCTACTACCGAGAGGCTGCTGTGTCCACAGTCAACCTGTTGGACACCATTGTCAAGTGCGAGACCAAAATCCAGACCCGTGTGAAGATTGGCCTGAACTCCAAGATGCCTTCTCGTTTCCCCCCGGCTGTGTTCTATACGCCCAAGGAGCTGGGTGGCCTAGGCATGATCTCAGGGTCTCACATTTTGATTCCGACTAGTGACAAGCGATGGTCGAAGCAAACTGATACTGGTGTTACTCATTATCGAGCTGGCATGTCTCACGACGAGGAAACCCTGATTCCCAATATCTTCCGATACATCATCCCCTGGGAAGCCGAATTCATCGATTCTCAGCGAGTCTGGACCGAATATTCTCAGAAGCGGATGGAAGCCAATCAGCAGAATCGGAGACTTACTCTCGAAGATTTGGAGGACAGCTGGGATAGAGGTCTTCCGCGCATCAACACTCTGTTCCAGAAAGACCGGAGCACCTTGAGCTTCGACAAAGGCTTCAGGGCTCGTACAGAGTTCAAGCAATATCAACTGATGAAGAGCAACCCTTTCTGGTGGACGAGTCAGAGACACGACGGGAAACTCTGGAATCTGAACGCTTATCGAACCGACGTCATTCAAGCCTTGGGCGGTGTCGAGACAATTTTGGAACATACCTTGTTCAAGGCAACAGCTTTCCCGTCGTGGGAGGGTCTGTTCTGGGAGAGAGCATGTCTTGCCAACGGGACTATGCTGCTACGGTATGATGGATCCAAGGTCGCCGTCGAAGACGTCCAGGAAGGGGATCTACTTCTGGGCCCGGACGGTGGCCCTCGAAGGGCGTTCAATAAAGTGACCGGGTCGGATCGACTGTATCGCATCAAATTCGGCAAGAGGGAAGACCTAGTCGTCACGCCGAACCATATCTTGGTCCTCCATCGCAGCCTCCGCAAAGACCTTCCCAAGGTGACCGCAGCAGATCAGTGGGAGACTGAGACAATGACTGCCCGCGATTTCGCATCACTGGAGCCATCGGAGAGGGGCAAATACAGGCTCTTCAGATGCGCTGGGTTTGAGTACCCCGAACAAGATGTGCCGATCAACCCCTATTTGGTCGGGCTCTGGCTAGGCGACGTGAGTTGTCGCCACTTATCCATGTACAATGGGGTGCGTCAGAGGCGCAATGGAAAATGCCCGGAGATGGATGCGAAGCACATCCCCGAGGTCTACATGAAAAATTCTCGAGCTGTGCGCCTGGCTGTACTCGCTGGCATCATCGATTCTGACGGTTCGTATCATATCTCCGGAAGGTCTGGCACGCTGAGGTTTGCCCAAAGTGAGAAATGGCATGCGACTCTTTTCTGGGATGTTGTTACGTTGGCGAGGTCACTGGGTTTCTCAGTGAGAACATCCAGGGCAACAAAGGCGGAACGATTGTTGGGTTCACAAACGCTGCCGGTATCAGGAATGCTTACGGCCTCCATCAGCGGAGATCTTCATGAATTACCATGTCTGCTCGCCCGCAAGAAGCCGCTGGAAAGATCGCGCGCTCCCTGTTTCAACTACGCCATCCGAAGCATCGACCTTGAGGCCAAGTCTACAAAGTGGTCAGGCTTCCGAGTTGATAAAGATCAGCTGTATCTACGACATGATTACGTCGTCCTGCACAACAGCGGCTTCGAAGAGTCAATGAAGTTCAAGAAGCTTACCAATGCGCAGCGCTCCGGTCTCAATCAGATCCCCAACCGTCGCTTTACCCTGTGGTGGTCACCGACGATCAATCGTGAGTTCTTCCCTCCTCCGAAACGTATTTTTGTCTGTATGTGCTAATGGACATTTATAGGCGCCAATGTGTACGTTGGTTTCCAGGTCCAGCTTGACCTGACTGGCATTTTCTTGCATGGCAAAATTCCGACACTGAAGATTTCTTTGATCCAGATCTTCAGAGCTCACTTGTGGCAGAAGATCCACGAAAGCGTTGTCATGGACCTGTGCCAGGTCTTCGACCAAGAACTTGAACAGTTGGGCATCGAAACTGTTCAGAAAGAGACTATCCACCCGAGAAAATCGTACAAGATGAACAGTTCTTGTGCAGATATCCTGTTGTTTGCGAGTCACAAGTGGAATGTCACCCGACCGTCCCTCCTCTTTGATACGAAGGATCAGATCGAAGCCACGACAACAAACAAGTTCTATGTCGACGTCCAACTTCGATACGGCGACTACGACTCTCACGATATTGAACGCTACGTCCGGGCCAAGTACCTCGACTACACTACTGACAGCATGAGCATCTACCCCTCAGCGACTGGTTTGATGGTAGCTATTGACCTCGCGTACAATCTGTATTCTGCATACGGGCAATACTTCCCTGGCCTGAAGGCGTTGGTCCAACAAGCAATGGCCAAGATAATGAAAGCGAATCCGGCGCTCTACGTGCTCCGCGAGCGTATCAGGAAAGGTCTCCAACTGTACGCGTCCGAAAGCACTCAAGAGTTCTTGAATTCTCAGAACTATTCGGAACTGTTCAGCAACCAGACTCAATTGTTCATTGATGACACCAATGTCTATCGGGTAACTATCCATAAGACATTTGAGGGCAATTTGACGACAAAACCTATCAACGGCGCCGTTTTCGTGTTCAACCCAAAGACCGGACAGTTGTTCTTGAAGATTATCCACACCAGTGTGTGGGCTGGTCAAAAGCGTCTGGGACAGTTGGCTAAATGGAAGACTGCCGAAGAAGTCGCCGCACTGATCAGGTCTTTGCCCGTGGAAGAACAGCCCAAACAGCTGATCGTTACGCGGAAAGGCCTCCTTGATCCGCTCGAAGTGCACCTTCTGGATTTCCCGAATGTTTCGATCCGAGCTTCGGAGCTCCAGTTGCCATTCCAGGCTGCGATGAAGGTGGAAAAGCTGGCCGACATGATTCTACAAGCCAAGGAGCCACAAATGGTTCTGTTCAATCTATACGACGACTGGTTGAAGTCAATATCGTCGTACACCGCGTTTTCCAGACTGATACTCATTCTCCGCGCATTGCATGTGAACACTGACAAGACGAAGCTGCTTCTCCGACCTGACAAAACTGTCATTACTCAAGCACATCACATATGGCCTACTCTTTCGGACGAAGACTGGATCAAGGTCGAAGTTCAACTGAGAGATCTTATCTTGAACGATTATGGCAAGAAGAACAATGTCAACGTCCAGTCTCTGACGAGTAGCGAGGTAAGACAAACCCCACCACACCCTCAGAAAAGTCCATGAAAAGTATATACTGATAAGTTGTAACAGGTCCGCGATATCATTCTCGGAATGGAGATTAGTGCGCCGTCGATGCAACGCCAGCAAGCGGCGGAGATTGAGAAGCAGCAACAAGAGCAGCAACAATTGACTGCGGTGACCACCAAGACGCAAAATGTTCGAGGCGAGGAGATCATTGTGACGACGACGTCGCAATACGAGCAACAGTCCTTTGCCTCCAAGACGGAATGGCGGACACGGGCGATTGCGACATCGAACCTGAGGACTCGGGCGAACAACATCTACATCTCCAGCGACGACATTCACGAAGCGGACGACGCGTACACGTATGTCCTGCCTAAGAACATACTCAAAAAATTCATCACAATTGCGGATCTGCGGGTCCAGGTGGCCGGATATCTGTACGGCTCTTCACCGCCGGACAACGATCAGGTCAAGGAAATCCGCACCATCGTGATGGTTCCGCAGGTCGGGTCGACGCGAGAGGTGCAACTACCACACCAGCTTCCGCAACACGAGTATCTCAAGACGATGGAACCGCTTGGAATCATCCACACGGTGAGCGGCAACGAGACACCCTACATGACCGCAGCGGATGTGACGATGCATTCGCGACTGATGGCGCAACATCCCAGCTGGGACAAAAAGACCATCACCTTGACCGTGTCGTTCACCCCGGGTTCCGTCTCCCTCAGTTCCTGGACCCTCACTCCACAGGGATACACGTGGGGCGCCTCGAACAAGGACACCCAGTCCGACAGCCCCGCGGGCTTTTCGACCTCGTTCGGGATCAAAACCCAACTTCTCCTGTCCGACAAGATCCGGGGCTATTTCCTCGTCCCGGAGACCGAAGTGTGGAATTACAGTTTCATGGGCGCGCAGTTTTCGACCGTCGAGAAGCGGCCCGTGTACGTCAAGATCGACACGCCCCGCCGGTTCTACGACGATCTGCACCGGCCCGTGCATTTCAGCAGCTTTAATGAGTTGGAAGACATTTGGGCCGACCGGGAGGATGCATTTGCTTGAGCAGCCGTCATTTTGCGGGATATTCAACTTGCAAGCGTGGTTGGTCTGTCTGTGTGTGCCCGTTTAAGCAAGGTGTGTCTTCGGGCGGTTGATTTGCACAATAAGGGAAAACAAAGTTCCCAACAGGGAGGAGGAAAGTAGGGGTCATTCATGGATGCGTGGGGTTTTATGTAAGATATGGATCGGACCTGCAGGTAGCAAAAAGGGCAATGAAGATAAGACAACCACTTTGTCTCCGATAGCCATCTGTCGTATTGTCCAACGCAAGTCGAGCAAAGGGGTGATATCAATCCCGAGGGCTGGCCACAACAGTCCAGACCGTTTGTTAATCACATTTTAAGACAAAAACTCGAATCGGATGTTTTGACGCAGCTCGTAATATCGAATTGGCATTGACATTAATCCATCCATCCATCCATACCTAGGTACATTCCTTCAGCTCCCCATCGTCTCTGTCCAGCCGGGACGTTTCAATATCTGCTTCCAATGCTCCTCCTTCTGGACGAAGACACCATGGATCACGTCCCTTCCTCTTCTAATGTATGTACTTTATGCGCAGCTCCTCCCCGGTCTGCTCCTATACGGTCGAATGCCGACTCTGACTCTGCATTGCCAAGCTCAACCTCCCGGCGGCGCTCTGTTTCGGACTACAAGTTTGATTCAATCCAATAAAAGAAAAGTCTACTCTGGGGTGTTGGCGTGATATCCGATCAGCGGACTGCCTCGCAAAGGCTCGCCATCTGATACCCTGGACTACTTTGTCCCGGGTTATGGCGTCGCTCAGCATGCAGAGGTGAGTGAAGCCGAATCTGGAGAAGATGACCGTACTGGCGCCGTTGCTGTATTGTCTGCATACCTTCTCGCCTATGAAGGACCGTGACGGCCGTATACAACGGGAGCCGAACGAAGTTGACGACTGGTGCCGCGAGACGAGCGAGACCAAAAGCCCTTGACGGCGCCCATTTTTAGTCCAAATTTCGTTTCTCCATTCGATAGCGAAGAAAATGTGGCGCAGGAGAGCAATGGTCGGCAAACGGAGATGGCGACGGACGAGCTCGAAAAGATTGAGAGGGACGAAGTCGTCCTCCCTCTGGATCTGGTTCAATCTCGTCGATTCGTGGCGCGCCGCAAACGATACCTTAGTCCCTCAGGGCCTGCAAATCATGCACGACTTGAGACGCAGGTTCCCAGAAAGGACTGCGACGCGGAAGGGCTGCGAGAGCGTCGTACCGGCTTCTTTTGAAACGACAGGTTCATACAGCGGTGTTGCGCGTTTTGGATCGTCAGCGACCAAATAGAGAATGGATGATCCTCATATCTGTTGCTTGACGGATGTGTCTGAAGTGACTTCGCCATTTATGCCGTACCTATTCCAGAGTATATACACCGGCGCGCACGAGGCTCCCTAATGGGGATTTCCAACTTCGGCATCCGGTCCAGGTCGTCTCGGGCCCAGCCACCATTTGCCTTCTCGGTGTTGTCAGGCACCAAGTACATGTGAAGGAAATCCTAACACTCTCCACTTCGAGACCGTCCGTCCTCGCACCGATGCTAAGCATTCACCGTCCCCGCTCAAAAGATCAGGTTCGGATAGCCCTCGATCAACTCAGAATGATATGCAGATGCAAAGTCCGCGTCACTAATCCCACCGTATGAGAAAGCATCCAGTGCCATTATCGGGTTGAAGTCTGCTGGGTTGTATGAATGGGGATTCAAAGTCGACCCATGATGGTGAGACTGCTGGCGATGGTGTTCCTGGTGGGCCTGCTGCTGAGGTGTCTGAACGACGTGCGAGTGCAGGTTCTCGACAGGGATAAATTGGCTGCCCGCCGGAGGTGGCTTGACTTCTTCCTCTTCCTCCTCGATAACGTAGCCCCTCTGGGTCTGGGTTTGTCTTGGTGACGGAGACGGTGGAAGCAATCTCGCCTTCTTTGCGGGGGGCTGCACCTGTGCAGGCATCAGGCTGCCTGTGGACGAACATGGTGACTGGGGAATGTTGTTGAACGCCGGCATGTCGCTATACAACTCGGGAAACCTGTTAAAGATATCCGGCCCCATGGTCCAACTCTTGATGTCCCTCAGTCGCTGATCAAACATTGGGGAGAACTTGTACAGCCCGGTCTCGATTTCCCGAGTATAGCAATCCCGAAACTCGTATGGCCACAGGATCCGGAGGGATTTGCAGAACAGATGCCAAAACTCGTTGCCGCAATAGTCGTGCTCGTTGAAGATGAAACGTTCCCGCACGCCGGGCCACGCGAAGTAGTCGATGGCGTAGGAATGAGCGATCTTCTGGGACGGGCGACGCATGTACCATGGCGGGAGCCGTGCGTAGCGATCAAAGGTCGAGGACGTGTGGAATTGCAACAGCGTGTGCATTGCTCGCATGATGGCGAGACGTTCGGTGTTGGGACACATGGCGAACAGGGTCTCGTCGATGCGGCGCAGGATTTTCCACGACGGGTGCAAGGGAGCTCGCTTTGCTACGGCATCCCACCCTTCGATCAGCGCACGAATTGGGACATCGTCGCACAGGTCGTCCGATTCCGGGGCCACTTCATCGTTCCAATCGAAGCGTTCGCTTAGCACCTCGTTTGCGTAAGCCCAGTAGTTCCCCCGCCAGACGGAACGACGGCCGGGTTTACGATCGTGACAGCTGTGGCATGAGCAGGAATGTCGCGGGACAGCCCAGTTGTCGTTCCAGCTGCTCGGCATCGGGTTGGGCTCCTGCTCTTTCACACCCTTGGCTTGCACCATGACCTGGGAGGGAGAATGGGTTCCATCGGACTGCAAGGGGACCACTTCCGGCGCAAAGAGAAGATCTTGACACTGCAATGGTAAGCTTGGTGTGGGCGAGAAAGTGGCCAGCTCGAAATTCCTCGCCGGGCTGGTTCCTGACTGTTGTATTTCCACAGCTTCGGGCTGCTGGAAGGCTAGAGGAGCATCGTCTCGGAGAGGTGTAACACTCGACCTCCTCTCGACACTTGCCTCGTCGTAGGCCATTCTCGCCATAAGCACTGAGCTCTTGTCATCCACCTCTTCCTCGACCATCGGCTTGTTGAGTGGCTTATGTGTCTGCATCGCCTTTTGTATGTCCTTCAACGTCTTGGCCATGAGGTCTCTCTCCGACTCCACCTCTTTCAACTGCTTCAACAGCGTGGCCACCTGGCCGCTGGAGTCCTGGCGTCGGAACTCCTCCACGAGACCCTCGAGGTAGGCGATGCGGGACTTTGTGCGTTCGCGAGCTTGACGCTGACATCGTCGGTCGATTTCCCGCTTCTTCAAACGGCGTGACGAGACACCGCCTTGGGTTTCGTGTGTGTTGTCGGGAGGTCCTGCAGCAGCAGCGGCGGCGGCACCGGCTCCCTGACTGAGCGTGGGCGTATGCGTGGCCATGGTTAAGGGTAGGTTGGATTTGTTGTTAGGGAGACTGGCGCATGGCGACTGAAGAGGATTTGTTGAGGTGGGATCAGGATGGTGGGAGGATGCCGGCAGCGACGACACTGAACAAGGATAGGGCTTCTTTGCACAAAGTTAATTCCTGATGCATGTTCCAAAGATGAACATCTCACGCGGAACCGCACCTTAGGAGCTGGGTGTGTCTTGTCACTGGCTCGCTGTCTAAAGGGGCCCGGGTTCGGGGTTGCGGGGTACCAGTCACCCACAGTGAGAGTTGGAAGGAAATAGGCGCCCCGGGTGTCGTGGACCAGCCCCTTTGACTCTAGTTAAAACTTAGGGGGCACCAGCAGCTCCGTCATGCCTAGGCATTTGCCACGTTTCCCCCGGGGCCAAGGTGAATCTTCGGGGGCACTTGTGACCTAGGCTTCCCCCAGACAGTCTCATCTTATTGCCCCAGAGAAGAGGATACGGGATACGAGATCCCAGACATTCCTTCTGCCACCAAGCCAGCCACTCAGCATCGAACAGATGCCCCTTAGTGCCTTGATTTCCCGGACTTCTTTGAAGCTAGAAAACCACCATCTCGCCCTCATTGGCCTTCGGTCCTATGGGATTCTTGTTCCAGCAATGGGTCGGACAATTATAAAGCTTTGGCTTCGGGGATCACGACATTGTTATGTGACTGACCCATTTAAAAGTGCCTTGTAAAGCTGAAACCCCATGCGTGCTTCTGTCTCCCATCCATTGAAACCCCCCACGCGCGCCCATCCGAAGTGCTTGTTCCGAAGTAGGTACTTGATTGCCGTACTCGTACTAGTAGAGTTACCCGTAAGCTCCTCGTCCCGCCAGTCCGCTACCCAGTAGAAGGTAGTTCTGATCGAGCGGGGAAGCGACAGGGCTTTCCGTTCCTGTGATTGAGGGATCTGAAGAACGAGCGGCGGTGGCGGCCGCTTTCAGCTTACTTCTCCTCTGATCGACCGGGACGGCTGCGAGGGTACGGAGAGAGAAAGGAAAAGCAAAGGGCCAATGGTCCAGCAACTGTCCGAGAGGTCTAGTAGCTTCTGGCCTCAAATTTGATCCCAAGCCTCGATGTTTGGACGACATCAACTCCAAGCTCTGTCGACGCGAATGGTTCTTGTGAGAATACGTGCCCCTGCTCAACCGCACCTTCCGCAGCGTCAGGTTCCCCTAGCCTTCTTGATGCGCACGTTGGCATCTCTCTTGCTGTGATTCACCTAGTTCTCGATCATGCACCGCACCTCATTATATCATGCCTCCTTCACGTCAAGAACAAAGCCTTCGCCTTCGAGAACAGGCCATTAAACAGAATCGATGGCGTGGTGCAGCGGTCTAGCACATCCCTGGCCTATTAGCTATTCTGGTTGCATGATAGAGTCATTATCCGGAAGACCTCGTTTCGGATCGCAAGGGCCATCATATCTGTATATCCATGGATATCATGTGTGTGGTTTTAGCAGAGAATGGGTTCAGCGAAAAAAAAACCACCTGCATAGATACTCGGCTGGGTCTCTGTTTCAGGCAGGTGGGTGGCCGCGTGTATATAAGGCTGGGCTTCGCGCCTCCTCATTGGTTCCTTGCGCCTGGTGGACTTCCTATTCTGTGTGTTCGGCTTATCGGCATTAATAATGCTAGGCTAAAACACCACGCACCCATAGCACGGACTTACCCCTCGGGTCCTGTCCCCTCTTCTAGTTCCGAGAACGTTCTCTCTATATCTATCCTGTTGTCGTTCCTTTCAAGTTTTGTCCGCCGTCTCAATCGCTTCAAATCCCACCCATCTAACTAGGGACCCTTTTTCAGTATAAAATTTCCTTGAGCAATATCACCCTCTCAACACAATCCCCCCATAATGGCCAGCTGCTGCGTCACCGGCTTCCGGTGGGACGGTACTCCCAAAGGCCACGAAGCCACGCTTGCAAACAACAAGGCCTATGTCACGGGCACGAACAAGGAATCCGCGGTTCTTATCGTCCACGATATTTTCGGCTGGACCTTGAACAATGCTCGACTACTGGCAGACCACTATGCCGAGGAGGCAGACGTTACAGTCTATTTACCTGATTTGTGAGTACCCTAAAGAAAACCGGAAGTTAGCCGGTGCACGAGCACGAGCACGAGCACAAACGTTGCCCCAGTATCCGATATCCAAGCATTTATCCCCTTTCACGCATGGTCCAAGAATTATTTGGCTGGTAACTCCGTATTTATTCTTCTAACACTCGAGTCTCCGCTCCAGCTTCGGCGGCGACATCGTCACTCCCGACCGCTTGATGGGCACCGGCGAGCACGCAAACAGCGAGCCATTCGACGTGATGGGATTCCTGGGCAAGAACAACAAGGAAGTCAGACAGCCCGAGATCTTTGCCTGTGCCACGGCCCTGAAAAAGGATCTGGGCTATAAAAAAGTCGGCGCCATTGGGTTTTGCTATGGCGGTTGGGCCGTCTTTCGATTAGCTGCCAAAGGTCAGTTTTAGGAAACCCCTCTCTGTCGGTGTACTTGACTTTGGGAGTGGACGTGGACGTCGCCGTCAAAAATCGTTTGGAAATTGTCTTTGGACCTGTGACTGATAAAACTTGGAAAACAGGAAACAACCTCATCGATTGCGTTTCCACGGCCCACCCATCCCTGCTCGACAAAGCAGAGATCGACGCCCTCGGCGTCCCGACCCAGATCCTCGCCCCGGAAGAAGATCCCCTCTACACCCCCGAACTCAAGGAGTACTCTCTGAAGACGCTGCCCACGTTGAACATCGAGTACGACTACCAATATTTCCCCGGTTTAGCCCATGGATTCGCGACGCGAGGCGACACCAAGGACCCCAAGCAGAAAAAGGGCCTGGAACGAGCCAAGAATGCCGCTGCGGCTTGGTTCCGGGAATATCTGCATTGATTGCCGTCGCCCAAGTTATAGGCCTCCCCCTGTTTTTTAAATAGCCTTTTTCAAATTCGCTGTGGAGAGTTCTCTTGCTGCTGCCACGTCCACTCTTTTGGCATTTTACGCAAGATCCAGAATCCCCACTGTACGGCATTGCCCACGGGGCATTGATGAGGAGCAAGGCTCTGGGGGTTGGAAGATATCAAAGTGATCATGGGGAGAAAGCTGCTTTGTTCATGTAGCTGAAATTTTGTCGTCCTAGACAGCCCCTAGTCAGGCGGATATAGCTAGCAATTGAAGAATTCGAAAAAAGGGGGGAAAAACTAACAAAAACACTCCTTAGACTCTGTCGTCCGCTTGCAGTATTTGTGCAGAGAAGAGCACTGTCTCTACATTGTCCGTGTTCGAGACCACCCTAGCCCGTCATTCGAATTTGGAGCATTGAGACCTGCCAATTCCATGTTCTGAGCCGTTTGTGCTTGATCTCCCCAGACCTGCCCTCTAGGGCCAGCGATGCCGGGAATATAGCGAATAGGGACGGATGGAGATACATGTGGGGCGGAAGGCGCCCGGAAGAACCAGTGTTCGCATGGTAAGGCCGACGGGACAAGATACAACATTGCTGGCGTCCAATCTCAACTTGAATACCAAGGGCGATTTCAGCATTTTAGATGGAAGTCGTGGACAAAGATAGGCGGTGCAGAGGAAGAGGAGAAAACGCGAAAGGATCAAGAGAAGGAAAAGTAACAACTTTCTGGCCCCTTCTGGGTTTATGACACTGCCAAATATGGAGGCATACACGTAGGAGAGAGGGAAAGCAACCATACACCATTCCGTCGAACGTTCTGTCGTCCATTCTAGCACTCGACCCAGCTGTCCTGTATGTATCAATGTGCTGATATCCCCATGTCCAGATGTCCCGTTGAGCAAATGCCCTGTCTGTGCACCATGTCACCTTCGTTTCGCTATGCTTCACCGCTGAAATGACCTGCAGTATACCCTTGAGAGCAATGCATTGGGCTGTCCGTATGCCTGCGATATTCCATGCTCATGACAGTCTTGTGCAAAAAGAAATAGTTTAAGAAAGGAGTGAGTATCCGAGGAGACAAATGAAAAGCCACCTCTTCAGCGTTTGCGTTGGACAGTCTGCCAACCATCAGAGTCGGTCCCCTTCCGGGCACGGACACCAACGCCTGGGATAAATTTTGCGGCATTCGGGTTGTATGAACGGCAACTTGATCCAGACTTTCCACTGTTGCTGCGATCTCGGGGGCCTGCTCCGGGATAAGGTATTTGGGTAATCAAGTTCATGGGACGTTCGCAGGGGTCGTGAGAAAACCCAACCTGGACCTCTTGGTAGGGCCCAGGCCGCCTCGAACGACGAAGAAACTCGTCTCGGACAATACGGGCAATGACAGTAGATGAAAAGACTGCAGTAGCTGAGGGAGAGAAGTCAGGCCAGCAAGAATGGGCAGGGATTGGCGCCGACTTACCATTGCCAGTGTTAAACAGCCATACCAACTCGACATTATGTCGTCCGACAAGCTCGGTAAGGTCCCTCTTGAATCTCTCCTCAGTCAAACCATTAGTGAATAGCTGTTGACGAGCAAAGGTCAGGCGACGGCGCTCGTTGGTCGGGGGCTGCATTCGAACAAGGTCATCGTTCTCTGGATATGGCTCGCCATACTTGACGGCATGGCCCTGTCCGAACAAGCCACAGCCATAGTCATGAACGGCTTCAGCTTCTTCGTTCATGAACACCATGGCTGCGCCGGAATATTGGAAGATGACACAGACGGCCTCATATTGCTCCACGTATGCCATGGAAAAGATGGCACCGGTGCTGATTCGTTCCGTCACCATGCTCAAGGGCTTATCTTTGGACCAGCCGTAGATCCAGATGCAACGGAAGTCCTCCTCCCGCGGCTGACCCTTGTTCAAGGCTTGCTCGGTGATGTGTCGCTTTAATCCATCGGATGGTCCAAACTTGACCAAACGATTGTTGCTTGGGATGTCGGTTGCAGCCACGGCTGCCCAAGTGGAGGAAGTATTGGATCTTGTAGCAGGACGAGCTGCGCTGCCATTTTGGGGGAGCAGTTGAGCTTTGGTGGCAGGGATAGAGTTCATGTGGAATTTCTCAATGGACCAAGGAGCCGTAGTCTGATTGAACGTGTCAAGCATGGAGTGGACGTCTCGTGCGATACCATTCGCTGCTTCATTTTCACCTTCGCCTCGCAGCTTGTTCCATGATTAGTCCAGCGTGCTGCAGCAGGGGAAGAGCCGTTCCTTACATGCTCCACCACTCTGTTCAAGTGGCTCAGGGCATCCGCCATAACATCGCTGACATGGAGAGGGTCGTTTCCGATTGCCATCATGTCCTGTGTTGATGCCTGATTAGTACGGGTTCGCCTTCGCCTTGCGCGGGATCAGGAGGGAACGAGGATGGGTAGGAGAGGGAAGAGGGTGTCAACGAACTTCAGAGTCTTCACTACTGGCGTCACTGTAGATGAGAGAAGGAGAATAGATTGGGTGGTTGGAGGGGTGACCGAGGCTGCGCCAGGTTGGGCTGGAGGTGGTGGAGGAGCAGGAATATCTGGAGAGCATCATGGTAGAAGGAGGGGAGGAGGGAGAGTGGGAGATGTGTCTCAACAACTCTGACGAGGGTCCGGTACAAAGACAGGGTGCGTGCGAAGGGGTTCAATAGAGCTTCTTCTCCTGAAGTCCAAGGCAGTAAACAAAATGTGTTCGTGTCGCCACTTCACTTTTGGATGCCTGGAACCTGGCAACTGGAAAACAAAGAAGTCAAGGAAGGCTCCCGCTACAGATCAGAAACAGCAGCGTAGATTTGCAGGTTTCGCATCAAGCAGCAGCTACCCGATTGATTTTCTCTTTCAGATGTCAAGATTTCGATGGACTGGGTTCCTGTAAATTTCTTAGAACTGAGAGACTGAAGGTGTGGGAGTTTGTTTGCTCCTCCAGTCCCGGTGGGAATCTCCTCTCATTTGTATGTCTGGCCACCACCTTCTTTTGGTCCTTTGCTCCATTGCTCCATTGCTCCACCAGCCCCCATGGCCCATGGTTCGTGGTCCGTGGCCCATGGACATCTGGATTCCAGCACTTTGATAACACCATACCTGCAGATAAGAGCCAAAGAAAATAAAAATCATCTCAGACCAGCTGCTCGTAAAGCCGTGGGAACCTCCACATGTGCCAATGTAGCATGATCCATATTTTCTGTTTCAACCTTCCAATCGTGGTGTCTTGTGCCTCTCAGCGCCAAAACGCCATTCTGATGCCCAACTCGCGACCCAATGCCCGTCGTGCTTCGATTGTCCGGGTCATGGCATCTCGATTTTCGTGGGCGCGACGAAGGAGATATTTCATACATTCTCCCATCTTGCCCCAAACCAAATATTTATATGCCTTTGGAACCTCCACGCTGTGGTTGCTGTCGTGCGACGCTAAACGGGTCCTGGCCAGCCGTACCACCTCGTAGCTGACATTGTCCGCCATCCCCATCAATTGGCCGTATGCCAAATCGATCCGGGGTTCGCCAGTGCGTGCTTGCTCATCTCGAAGTTCGCTGGCTAGTCTCACCGATTCAGCGTTGTGGGTGGCGAGCACGAGAGCGACCCGGGGGAACTCCGTTGATCCTCCCTCCACAGGCTGCAGGATGCCCTGGTATCGCCGTTGCAGGATGCTCCTCGCGATGCCGTTGTAGCATTTGTGCGTCTCCTCGATGGTGGCCCAAAACAGCTCACGGGGATCGCTGCCCATATAGGCCCCTCGCACCAGTTTCACGCCGAGGACGAAGCCCTCTCGCCGAGCTAGATCAAGGTGGTTTGCCAGATTTTGTGGGGTTCTCTTAGCATAGGCCTGGTAGGTGCCGTATACCAAAGCCTGTTCGCGGTTGTACCTTTTTGCGAAGTACATTGTCCAGTTGTCGATGCCTTGTTGCAGCGATGCCTGCTCGGCATCAAACAGAAGCTTAACTCCTTTCTCCTGGGCTCGCTTGCAGATGTCGTGCACAGCTTCCTCGAACTCTGTCGAACACGCAATTGTCTCCTTGAGATGTCGGAGCGCTTGACGTCCAGCTCCAGTGAATTTCAGCGCCACAAAGTCGCCCTGCTGGGCAAGGTCCACCGTGTCAATGGTGTTTTGTCTCCATGTGGCAATTTCCTCAGCATCGACTTGAGCTTGTTCTGCCACGTTCTGGGGCACATTCAAGCCATCGACCTCTTCTTCGCTCAGGACCACCTCTCTCGCGTGACCCAGAATGACCCCTTTGAAGCCGGTCTCTTTCAAGTTTGCAATTGTCCTTCGAACCTCTGACGGAGTCTCGCCAGCACAGAACTGGGCATAAAAGGTGCGCTTGAGGAGTGAGTGAAGGATGGGGTTGCGATCAGGGTTGAATAGAGGCGACTTTGTATGAGCGAGAAAGGTCATGGCTGTTAACGAAGGACGAAGCAGAAAGGGAACGGACGAGATCGAGGTGATGATATATGACCGCACGAGGGAATTTAACGGGACGCATGCCAATGGCCTGGGCGAGCGCCTATCTGAGGCCTCCGCGTCGGTTTCTGCGGTATCGTAAGCTGTGGATGTGATGTTGCGCCGTGTATGCGCTGTGCGATGTTGATGTATCGGTCGGAGACTTTCGTTCCCGAAACCACCTTCTCGACATCGCAGGCGCGTCTCGTTCGGCGTACATAGGGAAAGAGCAGGGAAGGACTGCGCGTGGAGGATGTGCCTGGATGGTGTTCGTGACGCCAATCTGCCATACAAGTAGAGGTCCATCCTGGAGATCAAGAAGGAGAAAGAGGGAGTGTATGACAGGAAATAGGAGACAAAGAATAAGGAAGTTAGGGACGAATGTGCAAACCCATCTCAATATTCCATGCAGCGATAGTTACAGTGGGCTAATTGACAAGATAGAGGGCACACGAGGGGATTCTGAATAGGTAGTCCCTTGCAGTGTCGATACGTCAGCGCCCATCTCCACCCCCCGCGAGATAAAGAGGAACCGGTGGGTCTTATCGGCTGATATTGAGCCGTGAATAGCCGTCAGGCCGCAGGTAGAAGTGACAGAAGCTTTTGTATCACAGCCACCACTGGACCATGCGGAAGCCGAACTGAGCGGTGCAGGTAGCTGCCAGCGTCGACGTCTCGTGACCAGGAGAAAGGTACACTGACCTTATGATCATTTACCAGGTATCTGCTGTAACTTTGAACTGTCGACCGAGACGGAGGACTTTGGGCGAATAACAGGCAGGCAGCTGGGAAGTCGATCCCACCAAGGGAGTCACTGCCAGAATCATAGCGACACACATATCACAAGAACATGCTTTGCCTATCAGACTGTGGTTCCTTCGCAGCAGCTATCTTCTTTCAGCTAGAGAGAAGTGAAGGATGGAACAAAACACGGCAATATTGGCAATAGAAAGTTGGGCAGCGGAATAGCACGTGATTGCACGTGACTCCGTGACAAAGTGGTTGCTTGGACAACCAGAAGCGCCAAGACGACTAAATCGGATTGGGCCAAGGTCGCAACATTGACCTCAATGCGGACTCCGTGCACTCGACATCAACGCTCTCCACACACACCTTCAACAAGCCACGGCCCCGACCTCGACCGCTGCATCTGACCTGATTTCTGATCTTCACGAGGACCTCATCATTCATACTGTTTCTGGTATCTTCCCTTACTTCTCAGACTCCCTTGAACGTCTCCTTATGAACTCCGACTGGGCGTGATCCTCTCTGCCACTATGGCCTCCGACGGCGCCTCTTCGATTTCAGTCACCGTTCGAGTCAGACCGTTCACTATCCGAGAAGCTGCTCAACTAACAAAATGCGACGACACAACAATCTTCCTCGGGGACGGCTCGCTGGCTGCTGCCCCAACTCCAAAGCTCTCCCAAAAAGGCATCCGGTCCGTCATCAAAGTCGTCGATGAAAAGTGTTTGTACGTGCATGCCAACCCTCACTTGGAGGAACCCTCCCACAGACTGACATCTTCTTGACAGAATATTCGATCCTCCCGAAGACAATCCTGTGCAGAAATTCTCCCGATCAGTCGTACCCTCCGGTAAAAGAGTTAAAGACCAGACATTTGGTTTCGATCGAATCTTTGACGAAAATGCCTCTCAGGGCGAAGTCTACGAAGCCACTACAAGGCCACTGCTGGATAGCGTCCTGGATGGATATAATGCAACGGTCTTCGCCTATGGTGCAACGGGTTGCGGAAAGACTCATACGATCACGGGCACCGCTCAAGAACCGGGCATCATCTTCTCGGCTATGAAAGAGCTGTTCGAGAGGGTCCAAGAGCAGTCGGGCGAAAAAATTACCGAGATATCGTTATCATACTTGGAAATTTACAACGAAACCATCCGCGATCTGCTCGTCCCCAGCAGCGTCAGAGGCGGGTTGATGTTGAGAGAGGATTCGAACCAAGCCGTCTCGGTTGCAGGCCTCTCGAGCCACCATCCACAAAGTGTCGAAGAGGTCATGGAGATGATTGTGAAAGGGAACGAAATGCGGACAATGTCTCCCACAGAAGCCAACGCAACCTCTTCTCGTTCACATGCTGTGTTGCAGATCAATGTTGCCCAGAAAGACAGAAATGCGGGCGTTGAAGAGCCCCACACAATGGCCACTTTGAGCATAATCGATCTTGCAGGCAGCGAGCGTGCAAGTGCCACCAAAAATCGAGGCGAACGACTGCTTGAAGGCGCCAACATCAACAAGTCCCTTCTGGCGCTGGGCAGTTGTATCAATGCCCTCTGCGACCCACGCAAACGCAATCATGTTCCCTACAGAAACTCGAAACTCACGCGTCTGCTCAAATTTTCTCTGGGTGGGAACTGCAAGACTGTGATGATCGTCTGCGTTAGTCCTTCAAGTGCACATTTCGACGAAACGCAAAACACTCTCCGATACGCCAACCGAGCGAAGAATATTCAGACAAAAGTCACCAGAAATGTGTACAATGTTAACCGCCATGTCAAAGACTACCTGGTCAAGATCGATGAACAGATGGCACAGATCAACGAACTAAAAGCTCAACTAAAGGACGCCGAGACCTTTGCTTTCGCCAAATTCAAAAAGCAAAATGAGAAGAAGGAAACCATTGCGCGGGAAGGAGTCCAAAGGATCAAAGCGGCATACGAAAATTCTGCGGTAGACAGACAAGAACGAACCAACAACATGATCAAGCTAAAGCAAATAGGCCGAAGGATTGCAATGTTGTCTTCATGGATTTCTGCCTTCGATGCAGTCTGTGACAACCTAGAAGAAGAAGACCTTATGAAGAATATGCAGGCTGTGAAGAAGACAGCTCAGGGCATCATGATGGAATTGGAGAGCGGACGACATCACTGCCAACAGAAAGTTCTGAAGAGCAGCTGGGATCGGCCCATGAACACGGCGTTGGAGCATAGCTTGAAACAGCTGAAGGAAGTGGATACAGGCGACATGATTGACTCGGAGATGCTTCGACGCGAAGTGGAAATGCTCAAGCTAAATGCTGAGCGGGAATCTTTTGCGGCTTTGGCCGAGCAAGACAAAAATGGAGACGCACCCACAATCCAAGTTCTCCTGCGAGCCCACTTTGAGACCATCTCCGCCATCGAAAGCTTGAATCGGATGAGCGTGGAGGAGGCGGTTGACGCTGCCACTCAGATCCTGGGTAGGATGATCGGTTCCGCGTCTGGCGCAGCATCCTATGTCGTCAAACCAGATGGAAGTCTTGCTCCCGTCGAGGCATTTGCGCCGACCAAAGCAGGTACCCCCAAACGGCGCAAACAAAGTGTCAACAACTCGCTTCTGGAAGGAAGCCCTGTGAGAGCCAAGCCTGCAACGGTCATGGCTACTCATCTCACGGTGTCTCCAGCCAGACCATCGCCTAGACGTCGGGGTCTGTTGGGAAGCGCAAAGAAGGGTATCCAGATATCCTTTACCCCGAAGAAGAGAAAAGCACCTCTCAAGGGTGTCAAACGAGCTGTCAGATGGAAAGACGATATTGAGGATGGCGCACTTGCGGAGTTTGAGAAGACGCCGCAGAAATTTCCATCGTCGGACGAATCGACGACTGAAATCAGCATGCCCCCAGTCTCAGACCTGACCTCGTCCTTCTCGAAACTGCAAACAAGTTCTCCCAATTCCTCGCCCATTCCTCCTCCGCCAGAAACTACTCTAAACATCCATCCGAAGGGCAGTCGCTTTCAAGCCGGGTTCCTTTCCAAGAAATATGACGGCTCGCCACTCGCCGCAAGCATGATGCCACCGAAGATGACACCACTGTCGTCCTCGGACAGCGAGTCCTCACCACTAAGAGAAATCGATCCAAGCAAGGCCTCAAACCGCCGCTCCTTCGTCGCCATGCAGCAAAGCAAAGATGCAGCAGAAACGTGCGGTGACGCCGGTAATAACTCCCAGGCATCGAACTCAGACAGTGAAAATCACAGTAGCACCGCTTCCGACAAGGAAGACGTGCTCAGGATTCGCGAAGCAGTGAAACGCTCCTCGTCCTTTCGCCGATCAGGCATTCATGGTTCTCGCACTCAACGCCGCCGCTCGCCGACTGCCGCAACCGCGGGAGCCGCTGGTTCCCCCACCAACGAGTCGATGTTTGGCGCCGGCCATGTTAGGAGAATGGTGCATGGCACAAAGAACGACCTTTTGAAGGAGAACGACGCAGGCTCTTGGAAGGTTGGCGTGCTTAGTCCCCGCGTTCAAGGAATCGTTAGTCATGGGAAGAGTTCTTTAGGGGCACAGTCGAATCCTATGCGACGGACGACCATGAGTGGGATGGATGTGCGAGGCAATGGGGTGCCCAACGGTGCTAGTGGTGGTCCTGACCGGGCGGGAGGAGTCAGGCTCTCTTCTGTTACGTCTGGCGCAAGTGGGCACGGACATTCCGCCAGTAGAGGGAGTTTGATGCCTACTGGGAAAGCGGTATGGCGTTAATGCAAAAACTATGTCTCCGTGACTGTTGGGGAGAAGAAAAGTCATTCTTGATGGGTTGTATGCCTTTTTAACTGATCGTTTGCAAATTTCGGAAGACTTGTGATTGGGATTGATTGCGACCGGAAGCAGAGGCTGAGCACAGGATACCGGAGTACAGGCCTAGGACACGGACTGGATGGGGGACGGACGTCATGGCTGGCCGGGACGACTGTAAGATGAGGATTATCATGAACGAGGAGTCTTTTTAGTCTGAGGATGTGTTATTGACTTGAGCTCATTCACCGAGGTGGAGAGAGCTCGTGGGCATTGATCCCGGGCTTCCTCGGTCTTTTCGACCAGAGGGCGAGGTCCGTGGATGGTTCAGGGATGCTGTTCCCTTCTGTTTGTAAATCAACTGGGCAGAACGGGCACGCAAGAGCCAGTATCTCCAGATTTCCGTCACAGCGCAGTTAATGAAGCAAGCCATCGGCCGGCGCTTTGAATGATCGAATACGTCACACAGTGTAAGTGAAGACTTCAAAGCGCCCGATCCGGAATTCATTGTCGCAGTTACTATTGTCGAAGAGGACGTGTACCGACGATGGAATTGAGTTCTCGTTGCGGAGCGCCGACTTAGAGTAGACGCGTGATTGGAACAAAAGCCCTCGGCCGAGTCCCTACGATTAACCACAGACGGTGAATGAATTTGCCTCATCTTCGTCACAAAAAGCTTGATGACAACCACCAGACACTATTACAACAGCTATTCAATGACTCGCGCCCACAAAGCTGCGTTATTTCGTGCAAGCAAAGCGGTACCTAGGTATCTTCGAAAAGGCTTTCGCTCGTTGTAATGACTGACGTACCTAGGTACCTAGGTAGGTACCTAGGTATGCATTGCTGTTCGTCTGCAAGTTCTCCAAAAGTGCGCGCCCAAACCGAAATGGTCGTCCCAGGTATGGATGGGGGAGCCTTTATCAGTTGTGTGGGAAGAAGACATCGAATTACATGGATGAATTTCTTATCCAAAAACCTGACCGAAAAACTTGTCCATGTCCGCCTGGTCCTTGAATTCACTTGTCCACCAGTCAGACGAGTTGTTCAGAGCATCCAAGTCTTTGCACAACTTTTCGAGGCGAGCCGGATAGCCTTCAATGGCATGCCATTCGGCCTTGCCATATGGCTTTTTCAGATCCTTCAACCACTTTTTTTTCCAGGTATTTTTCCGAGTTTGTCCTCGACGGCGGTTGCATCCTTGAGTTGGATCGTTCGCCACCAGACTTTTCGTTCAAGAAGAAGACACGTTAACATAAAATCCTGGGGGCGATCAAAAAAAAAAAGGAAAAAGAAAAACTGAATTTAACTCACAGCTAGGATTGTACGTGCGATAATCATCAACCCTTTGTTGCGTCCCTTCCTCATCGCCGAATTTGATGAAGTGCAGCTCCTTTGAGCCTATTGGGACGAGATCCGCGGGCTCGGCCTTGCTGCTCCCTGTTTTGGCATAGGCTTTGCCGAAAATCCCTAGCCTGAGGTTTGAACTAGGATCGGGAGTGATGCATCAAGTAGCAGTGCTTTGCGGATGGCATGATTTTTGTTTAAAAAGTGAAATGGGGAAATGTGTTGACTGAATGGCTACAATTTTCAGGACTCGATCACCATCTTTAAAAGGCTAGCCCTTTTTTAAAACAAGATTTTTCAATCAGAAGATATTACCAAGACTATTTATCTACGCCATGAGGCGCAGCTGAAAGATGGTCTAGACTTTAGTGGGCTTTGTGATAAGGACTGAACCCCCCATGCAAAGAATTCTGCGATGAAAGTCCACATTGAGCAAGAGGAGGCGTAGCTGGAAAGAGATCGAGACTCTTTCGGCTCGGCAAATTGGTTCAAAATGGTTGCTCGCCTTGCGTACGGGAGCGATTCGAGGTCAAAGTGATCATGGGCGCAGCTGATAGCACCTTGACTCATCGATCGACCTCGGCCACTGTCTTGCATCCGTTAATAACATTACGCAAAATCCAAAGGGATGCATGGAGGAGTGCACGGACGACGTACCAACGTCACGCAGCTGGGAGCTGACCAAACTAAGTCGGCTTGGACACCGCTGTGACGATCTTGCCCATCACACAGACAATAAAGGGAAGGGAGAGGAGCTCTTCTCTTCTTGCACAGGTGACAGCGTCCTCTGGCTCTTGCTCCCACGACAGAGTGGAGGTTCATCGCCTTCCGGGCATCTGCGTTTCGAGCCCGTTGGCAGCTGCTGGTCATCACTCGTTCGCTGAAGCCCGTCTGAAAGTGACAGATCCTGTTTCCCCCTGTGTGGCTGGTAGTCAACCCGCCGTGCTGGCACCGCATCCAGAATCGCGCTGCCGCGCCGTAACACTTCTTGTTCAGCTTGTCTCAACCGCTCCAAGTCAACCGCAGGGTGCGTTAGTCGCCTCAGCCTATCCCAGGCAAACAAATACTCTGTTATCAGATAGGAGCCACCTTCCACCTCTTGTGTGGCCTCATCACTGCGAAGGTCTTGCAATTTGTCGACAAAATCCTGAAATTTTTGATGAGATACACCGCGCATACGAAAAGCCCGTCTGATATCTTTGACGCAGAGCAGAGGAGAGCTGCAATTGTTGATGAGAAGATAAAATATGTCGACGGAGCAAGGGGTCAGACTTTTTGAGAGGATAGCCATATAGGCTATCAGATGGCCGAGGACACTTGATCCTTGATAGTGTTGATGCGGATCAGCACCAAGAGATAGGATGTGTTCGACAACAGAAACGTCTGGGTCCCACGGAAAGCAAGTTTCAAAGCTTGGTCGGAGGGCATAGTCCAACATCGGACGGCGCATCTTAGTACGGATGATTTCTTTGGTGAGATTTGGCTTTACAAGCCAGCCCAGACCGAATTGGATCGCCAACGTCAAAATAGTACTCTGATGCCATTGCCATTGACACAGCACTTGCAGAAGCGTCTTCTGGATACCACCATGGTCGAGATATGGGACATCACGCGTTTGAAGTTCTTGCCATTGCCGGTCGGCTGGATCTAATTGGGATACCATCATTTCTAGCATTCGCCAAGCCTCAGTCTCTCCAAAATGCGCACTATGGAGCTGAACAAGAAGATGTGTAGCAAGGGACAATCTCTCGCTGTAAGTTCTGGGAAGCTGTCTTAGGCTTGCGATATCGGAGAGCAGCGTGTTACACTGAAAGGTGTAGGAATCATAAGGCCCATCACTATAGCGATGGAGGATCCGTTGAGCCTGTGGAGTCGAAAGAAAGTCTTTGCTGAGCGGTGGAAGAAAGTGATATATGAAGACTTCAAGAACGAGCCCTTGGGCAGGGGTTTTGTCGATGTCGATGAAACGACTTCTAGTAGCTCCATACTGCGACTAGTGAGTCTGCGGTCCAAAACCTTCAATTCGTAGTCTACTTCTTTCGCATCTCTCAAGTCCAGAGGTTTGAAGTCATCGGATAAAGCAAAGTCAGGCGGAGATTCCTCGTCCAGATAGTGAAGATGGAGGAGAAGAGGCTGTGGGAGCCAGAAAGGTTGGAGTAGAGCGGGCTCATCCGAGTCCACAAGGCTCTCTTTGATTGCGACGGAGTCGGAATGAGGAAGTGTTGAAGGAGTTGTAACTTTCAGCAAGCTGCAGAGGGCGAATTGAATGATCATCGATGAGTCCTTGCGATATCGGGGATCGATAGAATCCAGCATTCGGGTAAAATAAGCATTTAGTTCGGAAGGCATTTCTCTCAATGTCCTCCGAACTAGGGAAGCACTTCCCCCGTCTCTAACGACCTGCAAGAGATCTCTGACGACGAGACGCACCCAAAGAAACACTCCTTTGGCTTTGTGCACAATCTCTTTACTGAGCTCATCCTGTAAGAGTGGTCTTCGATCCAGCATCTCTCGGATAAGCTTGTCGGAAAAGAGACGATCATGAACGAACAGCTCTATGTCGTTTTTGGTCAGGCTTTCCAAACGCAAAGAAGGATACTGCTGAAGGCGTTGGACGTATACCACCCAAGGTCGGCTCGAAAGACAGACCTTGACATGCGGACTTTCCGTGATCTCAGCGAATAGATCAATCATGCGTTGGCGTTCTTCGTCCGAACCTTCATACTCGTCAAGCCCATCGACTAAAAGCAATACTCGAGAAGGTGCTTCAGATTGCTCTGAAGTGAGTTGGATGAATCTTGTTAGCGTGCCTCGCAGCTCTTGGATGGTCCAGTCGTTCATCTGCGAACCCATCCCCAAGGCGGAGTTCCAGCGGCTTGCCCAAATCACGTCAGGAAGGATGCCTGGTAGCAGCTCGAAAGCCTGGTACAGTAAAGACCTCAGGAGTCCAGCAACCGATCGCTGAATGGGGCTGCCAGCGTGCCAGAAGTATGTGCCCACTTGGATAAGGGGAAAGTCTTCCGCCCAGCCTTTGAAGAGATTGCACTTTATTTGACCGTCTAGAGCGCGCAACAGAGTCGACTTTCCAGAACCGGCCTTCCCTCGAATCCAATAAATCCTTTGGTTGTCGTACGTTTCCAACCACCCTGCAAACTCATGCCATGCGAGTTGTGCATCTCCACGTTGGAAAATCCATTTCAAAGTTTGAGGATGTGCCTCAGCAATTTGATCGCGTCGGGTGTGCATTTGAGAAAAGAAGAGACTATCCATGACCTTGGCTTGTGCCTTTGTTGTCGTAATGTCCAATTCATGGATTTTCTGACGAATCCTCTTCGACTCGAGGTTTTCAGTACGCAGAGATACTTCTAGCTTGGACTGCTTGGCTTCTTTGGTGAGGGAACAATCAGACTGACGGAAGGCAGTGAGCTGATTTTGGAAGTTCAGCTCCATAGCAGAAAAGCTTTCGATCAGATCGCGAACATCTCCTCGCAGGTTGTCGCTGACTTCTTGCATCTGGTGTAGGACTTCAGATCTTGACGTTCCAATACCATCGAGAATGCTGTTTTTCATGGTCCTAATCTCAGTGGTCGAAAATGCAAGGAGGTTCATTAACAAATTTGAACGTGCATGATTGATATTCTTGTCCAGCCGAGCAATCTTGTTTTGCTTCCGGAGATTTGTAAAGGCAGATTTGAAGGCGGCCGAGATTTTGTGGTCTTCTGACTTGGGGGCCGCTTGCTCAAGAAGCTGTAGAAACTCTGTCGAGATCTTGAGACAGAAGTTGTTCGCTTCAAGCAAGTTATGAGCGGAGGATTTGTGCTCGGGAGGCAGCATTAGGGCAAACTGTTCCAACACTGTGTTACAGTTGCGAACATTCTCTGCAATTATCCCCAAATCTCGGTATTCGTCGTCCAATCCATCGGTAGACTTGTATACTTCGCAGGCTTTCAGAAGAAGCTTCGTTCCTAACTCGGCAAATTGAAGTACATTTCCGGCCACTGCGATTGCGGTCAAGGGTTCGATCATTATGTCGCCACCCCCCAAGCTCTCCAAGCTGTCTTTGAGGTATCAAGCCGTTGGAACGACTGAGAGAGGTCACACTAGGGGAGGTCTTTACCGGCCCGTGAATCTTCAGATGATGCCAATGTCATTGAAATGCACTGGGTGACAGCGGCTGTAGAAGAGAACAGCCAGGCGGCACGAAAGAGGCTGAACGAATTTCAGCCTCACGAGATCTCCAGCAGCACCAGCTTCAGAAAGGGTTCGGCGCTCGACTTATTGTTGTGGCTGTGTGTGGTATGCTCAAAGCCCCGAAACTGGGCGTTCAAGCCGTTCAAGCCAAGGCCATGGTTACACAGCCACGGCACAAACGGCCCAAAAATCCTTGGTCACCGCACGGGGTAACACAGTCACCCAACGGTACCTGCTACTGGAAAGCCTGGTGAATGAAATGAAGTTTGAAGAGGTCCAGATTGGGGAAAGATCCCTGAAATCTCTTCCCGCTTCGAGGCAGCTCCTCAAGATACTGCCAGCCTCAAGCGCCTGGTCCAGACGGACGAATATGCTCAAGCAGACATCGCTACTGATGGCGGCAGTTTCCAGTGCCCCTACTGTCGTCTCAACTTCGCGCCCACGAGGCTGAAATAGCCTGCCGGAGGTTTGTTGCGGCCCGGCGTCAGAAGATACATCAACCACTAACTGGATGCGTAACAGCCAAGGTGTCATGCAGGATTTCGATCCATGCTTCTGTTCCTTTGAAGACTGAGACCCGGCCGAAGAAGGATCTCCCGACTCTTGGCCCAAGATTTCTGAAATTCCACCCCATAAGTCGATTCAAGCGTCTCCGCCGATTGTTTCCCTTAACGAGTGGCGTCTGAGATCGTCCATTGCGCGATTGAGCCCGACAGTGCCTTCTGGTAAGTGAACCTCGAGTCTCAGGATAAGGATACCTTGACGCGACAATTGCAGACCATTCAGTACAGGGGCGACGAGGTAAGGTCTAGGCTTGATAGTTGACAAAATCAAGCAAGCTTCAACAACCAAGTCCTCGGTGGTAGTGCATTTTCTTGGTATAATCAGTGATATAGTTGAGATGGACCTAGAAAATTGGTGTATGCGTATTTTTGTCCGGTCTTTGCGGCAGATATGCCTCTTCTTTGCTGTGTTGCGTATTTGTCACGGCCGCTGAGCTTTGATAACGGAATCATGCATGAAAGAAGTTTGTCCGGGGAAGAAGTTGCGGGCGATGATAGGCCTGAACAGATGGGCGGCGAGGGCGGGTACCTAGCAATGAAGAGGGGACTCACCTGGACCACTAACTGTTAAGCACCACCTGGGTGCCACCCACCGAAAGGGACCCAAGCACTGCCCCCAAGAAACTGTCAGCACCTACTGCGTACCCACCTGGGCACTTGATCGCAGTCCCTTGGTGGTTCACCCTCCTCCAATGACGTGATTGATATCGAGTTGTCGCCGCTGCACCTCATCCCGAGAAACTTCGACAACCACGCGGAGAGGGGTTTGAGTCGTTGACATCTTTAAATTGAATTGTCTGATTCAGAAACTCACATATATACCACCATCCCGCTCGTCACTCAGGTCTCTCAACATTTGAACTCCCAAATAATCGCCAAACTGCAGCTCAACATCAAAGACCTCTCTCCCCTCACTATCCTCGCACTCGTCCTCTTGCTGACCATGGCTTTCCAAATGCCTTCGTTCCTATCACGCTTCCTGCGCCCCTTGAGCTCTGCGGCCTCAGTGTCGCTCCAACCAGACTCCCTGGCGGCTATGCAATTCCCTCCCAACTCACAGAGAGCCATCTTTGCCGGCGGATGCTTTTGGGGCCTGGAAGAGTTATACCGCAAGACATTCGGCGACGGCAAGGGTCTTTTGGACTGCAGAGTTGGCTACACCGGTGGCCAGACCAAGGCCCCGTCATACCAAGACGTCTGCTCCGGACGAACTGGCCACGCCGAGTCCCTACTGATCGTCTTCGACCCGGAGCGTCTCTCGTACAAGCAACTCTGCGAATTCTTCTTCAGGATCCACGATCCGACCACCCTCAACCGACAGGGCGCCGACACCGGCACGCAGTACCGCTCTGCCATTTTTGCCGAGAACGACGACCAACTCAACATTGCCGAGGAGATCAAGAAGAAAGTGGGCGAACAGTGGTACAAGGGCAAGACCATCACCACCGAGGTTCGAAGAGCGACACAGTGGTATGATGCAGAGGCGTATCATCAGAAATATTTGATCCCGGAGCCTGGCAAGGACACAGAGAGCTTGTATCATTGCCCCGCGCACTACCGTCGACCATTCCCAGACCTGAACTAACTCAACTATGAAGACGGAGGAACTGGAATATTTCTCTAGCGCAACTTTTGTCAATAAAAATGTATTGGATATGTTTATGATATTTCCCGAACATGGATCTTGATCGCAGATGACTCGCAACTGCCTCCATCTGATTTTCACCAGTGTCCCTTGTGCTCCTCTAGCGACATCGGTTCGGTATCTGCCCCCACACATTGAACTCCGCCTCAGAATTAGAAACTTGACGGGCAGGCTACCACGCTACTTGCTACTAGGCTTTGCAACTGCACTGCCCTGTTGCTCTGCTAACGCCCAATTAATTAGAAGAACAACCGGCGACACGGCACGACACGGATTCAAGGTGGGAAAGTATATGGAACGAGGAATGGAGTACGGCCCAAGCCAGGTCTCGCATCGCCCCGTTTGCGCATTGATATTGGAACCTCTCCGTTCTATCCGCTCATAGGCATACTCGTTGCTCATACGGTACAATGTTTGGGATTTCTACAACCATACTATACAACCCTACTACACCTAGGTATTGTTATACTATTCCGCTTCGCTCTGACTCGACTCTGCGCGGACGTATTATTTGAGCCTATCCTCGGCGTTTTGAGAAGGATCCATCTTGACCAACTGTCAACCGTCAGCCCATCTACTTATACATCTCCCTCTGTTTTCCTCAAGCCGTTCTTCCAAACAATCTAACCATCCATTGGTCAGTCAGTCAATCGTTCGGATCGGTCTTGATGGCGACCTTCCTCTCCGTCGGCAACGGCGTGGTCGCCAAAGACGGCGTGGCCGAGGGCGAAGCCGCGCAGTACGCCGCCCTCAAACGCACGGTTCTCGAGGAACAGGAGCGCAAGAAGCAAGAGGAACGTGAGAGGCGGGTCAGTCTGGGATTGCCGCCCGAGATGACGCGGAAGGAGAAGAAGGAGGTCAGGAGGAAGGAGAAGGAGAGGAGGAAATCAGAGGCCGTCACACAGAGGGACAGGGAAGGCGGAGGAAGTGGGAGGAGGGTGCTGGGGATGCTGTGTTTTGGTCCTTAAGGGATGGATGTATGCAGTTCCTCTAAGGTTTTCTTATTATTTTCTGTTAAGCGCGCTTTCTGCAGACGTTTACAGCCGGCTAGGCATCCTCACAGCGCCGTCGAGTCGAATGACAAACCCATTCAGCATGGGATTCTCCACAATCTCTTTGACAAGACGGGCGAATTCATGGCCTTGACCCATGCGCATTGGGTATTGGATCATCTCGGTATTCATTCCTGCACGCGATCCTGTGCTGCCTTTTGATTTCTCGGCCCCCTCTTTCTTTGCTGGTTCTGATTTCTGTCCTTGTTTCGGCTGAGGCTTCTTCGGCTGCATGGTCATGCCAGTCTGGAATACACCAGGTGCAATCCCCATGACTCGAATTCCCGCCTTTTGGCCCAGCTCGCGCGCCAGGGGGAGGACGATGCTGCGGACTGCACCTTTACTTGCACTGTAAGCTAGCTGACCGATTTGGCCTTCATATGCCGCGACAGACGAGACGACGACCACTATCCCTCGCTCACCGTCAGGACCCCATGGTTTGTTAAGAGCCATGTGCGGTAGGGCCAGGCGGATCAGATCAACCGTGCCCCGAAGGTTGATAGCCAAGGTGCGATCAAAGCCAGACATGTCCATGTATTTGACACTTTCATGGGTCGCCGAGGGGTCCTGTTTTGGAAGAGCCAATGCTGCCGTGCCGATACCTGCGGAACAGATGACACCGGACAGCGGTTTTGTGGTCTCCTGAATCCATCTTAGAGTATTTTGCAAGGCTGATTGTAGCGACTCGGTAGATCCAACGTTTGTCTTTGTGAAGAGGATTCGGGATGGGTCAAGGGAGGCTTCTGAGGGCGGAGGGTTAAGATCGAGAATGGAGACGTTGGCGCCGTGTTGGAGGAAGATGACGGTGGTTGCGAGACCCAGGCCAGAAGAGCCTCCGCTCACGATGAAGGTGCGGTCCTTGATCTGCATGATTGCTCTAGACTTGGAGGAATATGAAGTCCAAAGTTGAGGATGGAAGGACAGAGGAGGGAGGAATTTAAAACGCCGAAGGGACCTACCTCGGTTCGGGCGTTGAAGTTCATGTGCTTGTTGCGGTCATACCCTCACTGCGCCGACACAATGTCAAACCCGTACTGATCCTGTGGGAGAGAATCCTCTGCCTGTTCTCTTGAACAGGACTTCGGGGTAATTGCTTGTAGTGTGGCAGGAAGGGTCGCTGGAGCTTCAGTGGTGATCCCCCCTTTGCCGAACAGAGCACCGTGTCGAACAGTTGTGTAACCAGCGACAAATCTAAATAAAGGTGCCAGCACGTGATTGTACAGTTCGGGTGCCGGTGATGGTCATGGCGCCGCCACAGTTGGTAACAGCGCCCCTTAAGCTTTACCCGCACCAGTCACCCACCACTAGTCGCCGCCGGGCGGTCTGAGCGTGTGAGCAACTGCCCGCTGCCCGCAGCCCACAGCCTGCCGTCTTGGATCTGCACACTTGTGGGCGCGGAGGCTGACCCTGAAACATTCCTGATTGTCCCAAGGATGCCGTCAATCAATCCTCACCTCTGACTTGGGATGACAACTTGGAAGTCGACGGGACACTCTGTTACTCTGGGAGCCAAAGTGCAGAACGTTGACACACACAGTCAGAACAGCTTGAGCGCATGATCAATACCTAGATACTCCGTACTGATCTGACCTGTCACGTCACTGTGGTCCCGTTGACTGCACACAAGTTCACACGCCAAATTTCCCCCGCCCCCAAGCCTCAAGCACAATCAATCTCCAAGTGAACCAGGCTGATCTGCTCCGACCACCTACTCCTGTCTGCAAACCCCCTCAAATTCAGCCTTGAGCAGGATACCGAGTACATTATTTCACCTTCCTCTGCTTCTTGCGTGCGGCCCTTCAGAAGACATCAAATTCATGACCATTACGCCATATGTCCCTTTCTTCCAGCCACTCGAAACCGCTGCCCACCCGGAGCGTCCACAGTCTCAGAAATGGAGGAAGAACCTCTAGAGACTCCTCCAGGGTCCGCCGGAAATCTATCACCGCGAACGATGCCTACCTCTACGCTCTACGAGTGGCCTACCTGTCGTACTTGCTCCAGCCCCGTAAAACCAGGAAGAAACATGTCGAGACCCGGCCTGCGGTCAATCGCACAAGCACTTCCCATTCCTTCAATGACCTGATGAAAGATTTTACCATGGTTCGAGATGCGAAGAGCGCAAGGTTCCCCCATGACTTCATTAAAGAGCTGGAAAAGAGGCTGCAGGGCATCCTGATGGGCAAGGAGAAGCGGCAGGAATACCACGAGCCTGTGGTCAAGAGAGTCTTTGCCATATTCCTCAATACTCTGTCCGATCCTGCTTTCAAAAAGCGCATGGAGGCGGATCGGAGGGCTGAAGATCTGGTACTAATCTTCTTCTCCACCGCCACCAAGGAGTTACAGAAGGGCCATCCTGCGGGAGACGATGCTGTCAAGCGTCTGGTTGATCGCCACGTCGCCCTCTTCGTTCGACTTCTTTCACTGATTCTCAAGGATCGTGACTGGGCCAAGGACAAACCTGACTTGGCCGTTCGTTTGCAAACTCTCGAGTCCAAGTTGCTGAAGGGGGACGAGAATCTAGCCACATCGCAAGCAAATGGGGAATGGACCACCATCGAGGAGGTGGTTCCTCTCACCTATGAGGTCAAAGACATGCCTCTGGTTCAGGTAGTGGGGCGCATCTTTGGCTTGACCAATACTATGGTGCAGTCCGACATTACAAAGAACAAGCCGGTATGGACAGAAAAGGCAGCCCTTCAGGACCTAAAGACGTACCAGCAGCACCTCACCCTGGGGACGAAGTTGACCTTGAATTCCCACGACTTCGACACCCAAGAAGCATACGAGAGCTGGAAAAGGAGTGAAGGGCCAGACCTTTCCCAATTGATGCTGGCCATCATCCAGTCGAATCCCGAGTTGGCCAAAAGCACTCCGGGCGGCGCTTTGCCCCAGTTCAACCCCAACAATGAGCCTTCTAGTCCCTCAGATTCTCATTATGCCGAACTCTCGAGAGCCATCTCGCAGTCGGGGGATTCTTCTTCCTACGTATTGGATCTGCCGGCAGATCTAAGCTCTCTTAATCTCCATGCGGGCGACTCCTCTCAGCTTGACGACAATGCCGCTCAAATCTATACTTTTATACCTCCCGACCCGAGAGCCATGTTTCGATATGTTATGCTTCAAGCCCTTAATCATGACCTGAACGATACGGTGAATGGCAGTGCTAGCGGTCCAGAAGGCGGCCGCTTGTTCTCCAAGGAGACTACAGAGCTGTTGAATGAAGTTGCTTTGAGATGGCGAATACCCAAATTCACTCGTATTGTCCTCTTTCTGGATGTCGTCCGTGAGAAATTTGTGGAGAACCAGCTCAGTCTGGAAATGCTCGATGCTGCCTTCAACTATGTCAAGGAGCCTTTGCAGGATGACAACAAGAACAAAAGGAGTTCTTTGATAATGAGTTCGACCCTATACGATCGAAATAATTGGACTGTCGCCGATTTCGCCATGATGGGCCGGCTCCTCAACGCTATCTATGAGACACTACTGCGAGATCTGTACGAAGTTATCATGACGTCCTATGCCGACAAGGCCCAGCTGCCAAGGTTGGGGGTCATTATGGCAGTCATAGACGAGCATATTCGCAGCGACCCGAATTTCAATCAGAGCCCCGAAGACTTCGAGAACTTCAAGAATGCTGCCATTGACGGGTTAGCAACGGAGGCGCGGAAGATGTACGACGCACTTCTAGACCGCGAACTTCCCCAAGAAAATGAAAAGTGGGAATTTTATCACATCCAACAATTGGCAAAAGCTGTGTTGAAGCTTGCAGAAAAGGTGCAGAAGAGGTTCAGAAAGAACCCAGAAATCCTTGGTATCAATCCGTTGATGATACTGGTCAACTGTACTCTTCCGGCGTTTGCAGAGGACTCAAAAGCAATGGTGGAGCAAATTCTGAGCGTCGCCCAGAGAGACGGATTTGAGGTCGCCATCCAGGATGGGTTTGATTTGTACAAAGAGTTGAGCGAGTTCCGCCGCGTCCACGCTGATGCCTTACCGCACGTCCCTTTTCCCTACAAAATCGAAGATCTACTGGCTGATTTCGTCTGGCGCTGGATTAAGACCACGGAGACACAAGTTATCGGGTGGGTCGAGAATGCCGTCAAACAAGATGAGTTCAAGGTCAGGACGCAAGTGCCGAACCAGACGCCCACTGAGGACGAGCGCCACTCAACTTCTGTTCTCGATATCTTCAGTTCTTTCAACCAAGTCATCAACCAAGTCAGCGAACTCAACTGGGACGACGATCTGAGCTACGCAAAATTTATGACGGCGCTTTCGAAGGCTATTGGCCAGGGTGTTTCGAGGTATTGCGAATTGCTCGACCAGATGTTCAATAAAGAGATGGACAGATTGACTCCTGAACAAGAAGCTGCTGCAAATATGACGAGACAGGAGAAATGGGTTCAACTAGCCAAAGACACCTGGAACCAGAAAGAGAGGGTTGAGCCTTTTAACTTCTACCCGGAATCCTTCGTCAAACTCAACGACATCCTGTTCGCCATTCAACAGTGGGACAAACTGGAGACCGAGGTCAACGTTGATGCTTGTGCCGAAGTTATCAAAAAGTATGCTCCGCCACTAGCGCAACGGCCCAAAAAGACATCAAATTATGTTTTCACCATCAAAATCGTGGAAGCTGAAGATCTCAAAGCCTGTGATGTGAACGGACTCAGCGATCCCTATGTCGTCCTGACAGATGAATATCAGAAGCGGCTGTTCAAGAGCAGGATCGTCTATCGGAACTTGAATCCACGATGGGACGAATCCGTGGACATCACTACGCAAGGGCCCCTCAATCTCATTGCAACAGTCTGGGATTGGGACGCCATGGGCGATCACGACTACGTTGGGAGAACTTCGCTCAAGTTAGATCCTGCACATTTTAGCGACTTCTTGCCTCGAGAATACTGGCTAGACCTTGATACCCAAGGACGAGTCATGGTCCGCGTCAGCATGGAGGGCGAGCGGGACGACATTCAGTTCTACTTTGGCAAGGCATTCAGAAGTCTTCAGCGGGCCCAGCGGGACATGACCCGAAAGATTACTGACAAACTTTCGGCGTATATCAATCATTGTCTCTCCCGACGTGCACTCAGATCTTTACTCAACCGGGGCATCTCTATGGCCAACGTGTCTGCCAACGTCTCGTCGTTCTTCGCGCGAAACCGAGCATCGGTAGTCCCGACTACAACCATGCCAACTGAGGCTGAGATCGTAAATGCCCTGAAACCGCTCTTCGACTATTTCGACGACAACTTTGCCATCATGCAACAAACATTGACGTCGGAAGCGATGATTGCAGTCATGACACGTATCTGGAAAGAAGTTCTCGTCACCGTCGAAGCTCTCCTTGTCCCGCCATTGTCAGACAAACCCTCCCAACAAAAAGCCCTCACGCAACAAGAACTTGATATCGTCTTCAAATGGCTACAATCTCTTCTTGAATTCTTCAACGCCGTCGATGAAGAGACCGGAGAAGCAAATGGCGTGCCTCTCAACGTACTGAAGAGTCCGAAGTATCACGAACTGCAAATGCTCAATTTCTTTTATTTTGAGCCGACGGAATCTCTCATCCGTGAATCTGAACGGATGGCCAGCGCAACAGCTGCAAATCAACAAATGCATCGCTCAAGATTTTCTGCCCCTGCCAATCTGAGCAATCACCTTGGCGCGGGCGGTCTCCTAGACCCTGGCAATCTCGCGGGAGCGCGCCGAGCTAAGAGCATTTTGCTCTCCCGTAACCTGGGCACGAAACGCAAAGCCAAAGAAGAAAAATGGAAGGCCGCTCAAGCGGAACCGAATGACGACATGATATTGAGGATCTTGAGAATGAGACCCGAGGCCAGCGGGTACTTGAGGGATCGGAGCAGGCAGAAGGAGAGGCTTGCAGCGGCGGCGGCCGCTGAGATGATCGTGAGACAGAGTCTTCTGAGTGGAGGTGGCAGGATGACAGGACCATCAGTGATAAGAAGGTAGCCAACAAAAAGGGGGGCTCAAATCATTCGTGCTTAGGAAGGGCGGAAATGGACGAAGAATGAGTAATGAGGCTGAATTAAGATTGTTTTTGCGTCACGACAGGCATGTGGCTGGGTCACGATGGATTTGTTTCTCGATTTTGTCCTCGTTCGGCGCGCAGTCGCATACTTCTGGGTCAGGGAAACGGTGTATAGGTGCATTGGCAGAAATCCATGGGGACCATGGCGGAGTTCTAGGAGGCATCCGGTAATGGTCACGGCGCGACGGAATCCACGAAGTCAAGATAATTATATGTACCCTGGTCCCAGCTCGCAAAGTCGAGCGGGCATCGACTGGGGATCCGATTCCTTGCAGAACATGTTCAAGATACTGTATCTGTTTTTCTCGCGATTTCTGGATTCGGCCATGTTTAGACTGCCCCGATATGAAATAATAATAATATATGCAGCGTCTTTTGTCCTTTTTCTGGGTTTTGATTTGACCGTCGCCTATTGGGGGAGCCGTGCATGGACTGTTTGAGTCTAGATGGGGCGGAATCATATATACAGTTCAATGAGAGGTTCCTCTTTTAAAATTTTAAAAAAAAAATATACTATGTAATCTTCAATCGAACTTGTATAACGCTCCTAGAATCGAGATGTGTTCATCAGACACTAGAGGAAAGACAGATACCTAATTTACCACTACGCGAAGAGATATCGCATGCTTTTCTTCATACAGAGCAGGGAAATTTCAGTCCCCGGGAAGCTCAACACCGCAGAAAATCAATCTAACGCCACCCCAAGGCTATTCTTCTCCTGGTGAAAACGATATTCATCCGGAAACAGCCTTGACCATCTCCAACGACTCCCCTATGCGGCCGTATTTGGAGAAGATGAGATCGGCGAGGTAGTACGTGCGGGCCTTCCATGGCCCGCGGTCGCCCGTCTTGGGGAGGTCTTTTTCTGCCCTGTTGAGGTACGTGGAGTTGAGGTCGAGGAACTTCCGAGGCTGAATGGTGGTGTCGGGCTGCTTGCGCGGGATGACTGCGTCGATGGTCTTGCGGCGCATCATGCGCAGGAGGCGCGTGAGGAACAAAGACGAGGCGTCGGCGCCGAGTGTCCAGGAGGCGTTGGTGTAGCCCAGGAGAAAAGCGGCGTTGGGGAGGTCTTGCATCAGCACCATGTGCCACATGAGCTTGCCCGCCAGGTCGAAGGGGGTGCCGTCGACGGTGACGCGGATGCCGCCGCCCAGGCGTAGCTTGAGGCCCGTGGCCGTGACGATGATGTCGGCGGGGAGTGTCTCGCCTGATTGGAGATGGATGCCGTCGGCTTGCACGGTGTCGATCAGGTCTGTTTTCACCTCGGCCTTGCCGCTGCGCAGCGCTTTGAAGAAGTCCCCGTCCGGACACAGACACAGGCGTTGGTCCCAGGGATTGTATCGCGGCGAGAAGTGCGGGTCCACCTTCACGGTGTCCGGGATCTGTTGTTGCACGCCGTGCAGGAGCCGCCGCCGCGTGAAGTTGGGGAAGTTGCGGCAGAACAGGTAGAAGAGCCGCGTTTTGACGATCAGCTGGAACCGCGTGAGCAGCGACACGATCCTTGCGGGAAGAATCGCGGCCAATAAACCCGACTTGGTCTTGGAGCGGTTGGGCATCGAGACGATGTACGAGGGGCTGCGTTGCAGCATTGTCACTTTTGCCGCGGTCCGGGCCATCGACGGCAGCAGCGTGATGGCCGTCGCGCCACTCCCGATGATCACGACTTTCTTGTCCGAGTAGTCGAGCTCCTGGGGCCAGAATTGCGGGTGCACCACGGGGCCCTGGAACCGGTCGATGCCCGGGATTTCTGTCTGCAGCGGCGTGTCGTAGTCGTAGTATCCCGTGCCGAAGATCAGGAACCGCGTCACAAACGCCGTCACCGCGCCCTTGTATTCCACGGCCAGAGTCCACAGCTTGTCCGCGGATGAGTACGAGGCGGAGCGCACCTTGTGGTGATACAGAATGTGTCGATCGATGCCGTACAGACGCGCCGAGTCGTTCATGTAGCTCCTGATGGCCGACGCCTCGGCGATGGGGTTGGGCTGGTTCCACGGGTGCCACGAGAAGCCAAACGTGAACAGGTCCGAGTCAGACCGGATGCCTGGGTAGCGGAACAGGTCCCATGTGCCCCCCATTTCGCCCCGACCTTCGAGGATGACATAGTTGTGATCTGGCAGCTGCGTCTGGAGCCGATACGCTGCATTTATACCAGATATCCCGGCGCCGATGATAAGGACGTCGACAAAGTTCTCCTTTCCGCTTGCCGTGGTGGGATCGTGCATTGTGGGATGAGAGACAAAAGGTTGTGGGACGAGATCGCTGGAGGTGAAAACAAGAAAACGAAAAGGTTAGTTACTTACTCAAGGGGTTTTTTTTTTTTTTTTTGCGACAAGCCTGGGTATGTTCATGATATGTCTTTTCTTTATCTTTATCTTCCTGAATCTGGAGCGCCCCCCGGAGCCTGATGGTCTCTGGGCCGAGGCATATCAGGGCAATATGGGTCCAATGAGAGGCATGGACGGAAGTTTGGTCAATGGCGAACTGGCTCCTTGAGGGCGAATTGGGTCGGAAGAAGCCGCTGACAAAGGGAAAACAGTATGAATGGACTCTTAGTGCGGGATTGTGGGTGATATTCTGCACAAAGCTACCCGTATCTTGACCTCGACCGGAAACCGGGGATTCTTTCAGAGTTACCGGTAATTGGCGAGCTGATGAGGGCGGGCTAGTGGCTGTGAGCCTGCGTATCAAGTTGGTCCGAGCAAGGTCAAAAGGCGGACGACGCATTTACAAGACCAAGATAAAGGAGAAGACACCGCGGGTTGAAAAGGGGAAACAACGATAGTGTTACATACGAGTACTCGGTAGAAGTTCCAGGGACTCGGTCCTGCGTATTTCGTATTTGTCTACTAGGTACTTCCGAGAGGCAACCACCGAGACTATTCCCAATCAAACCTATGACCGAGACGTTTCTTTGTGCTTGAGCCTAGGCAGTTTCCCATGGTCCTCGAGGATCGCCGAAGGGGTCAATCTTGTCTTCTCCCTTCAGTGTCCCGCATTCGTCATACCAAATAAGGCGCTGACTCTACTCAGCCAGGCACCAAGGGTTCGCATCTGCCGAATTCCTTCGACGGGTGGTGTCGTCAAATGACATTGGGAAAGGTACATGAGACCAGTGTAGAGTATTGAGTAGAGAAAGGTCAACACTAGAGGACAACTACTCCTGCCTATGCTTGTCGCAGGGAATACTGCATATGTCCTAGTCAATGCATTCCTCCCCCATTCGGTTTCTCTGAACAAGGCCACGAATGAAAAGTTGACCTCGACCGGTTCGATATGAAGCCGGTTCGGACTAGCTTTTTCGGGGGTAAATGGAATGGATTTCCGAAGCTCAACCGTACGCAGGATACGAGGAGCCCCTCTGCTCGTACCCCTGATTCTGGCCTCGGTTCATCCTCGTGAAAGGCGACCAATGTGGCGGCCTGAAATAGGCTTGATCTGACGAGAGCGCTGTCATGTTGATTGCGACAGCCTCGTCGCGATACAGGACTGTTTAAATCTCTGGGGAAAGGACCCCGCGAGCACCTAAAAGCTCCTTTTCTGGGGGAATCAAATGCTCAGCGCACAGGGAGCTTTCCAAGTCTCATACAATGGTGTCTATTTTCAAAGCAACGGCTCTCGAGCCACTGGTCACCGGGACGTTGTTGTATTCGTTGCCTAGGCTTCCTCCATCACTTCTTGAGCGGCTCCCTCAAAGCCTTCACAGTGTTGTTCAGTCGCCACGAACAGCCACCGCGCTTACTTTTCTCTTCATCCTCGGAATCCTGAGGAAGGCCAACAATTTCCTATCACGACGGGCGATCAACAACTGGACGCGGACCGACCGCTGGGATGCAAGTAAAGAGCTCGTCCTAGTCACCGGAGGCGCCAGCGGTATAGGCGAGAAAGTCACTGCGGGCCTGGCGGCACGGGGTGTCAAGGTGGTTATCCTCGACGTCAATGCGCCAAAGACACCACTGCGTTAGTTACACCGGAGCTTTTCTAACCTGCTTGTATATTGCCACGGCTGACCGGCAGTTTGCAGCGCCAAACGTCGCCTTCTTCCAAGTCAACATCACATCCTCGGACGCTGTGAGAGATGTGGCGAACGAAATCCGCAAGACGTATGGACACCCGACTGTCCTCGTCAACAACGCAGGCGTCGGCGAGGGAGGCACGATCCTGAGCGGGTCGGAAGCAAGTATCCGACGCACGTTCGACGTCAACACCATCTGCCATTTCGTCCTTGTGAAGGAATTCCTCCCCGAGATGGTCCGTAACAACCACGGCCATGTGGTCACCGTGGCGAGCATGGCCAGCTTCGCAACGGCCGGGAACATGATCGCCTATGCTTGTTCCAAGGCTAGCGCGCTCGCTTTCCACGAAGGGCTCGGCCAGGAGCTGAGATACTGGTACAACGCTCCCAAAGTCCGCACTAGGTACGTCAATCTTGAGCTCATGAACCCATATTCCTCCCCCCTCGATGCTCGCAGGGCGCAGCGATTATATGTGGAGGGAGCATATTTACTGATCGAAAACCTCCAAACAGCATTGTCCATCCTAGCTGGGTCGCTACGCCAATGACACAGCCCTTACAAGATGCCGACGAAGGCTTTCGACGGTCGGCCATGCGAGTCGAAACAGTCGCGGACGCCATCGTCAAGCAAATCATCTCGGGCAGCAGTGGTCAGATTATCCTCCCGGCTTCCCTGTCCAATGCGGCACTCATCAGAGCGCTGCCCTTCTGGATCCAGGAGGCTGTGCGAGGCGATGTCACCAAGATGCTAAAGCGCACAGGAGCTTAGGCGCTGGGGGGTTTTGTGCTTATTCTGTTGATTTGGGGACGGAGATCGTAGGGGAAACGACTGGCACGGCCTCGAGAGCGCAGCTGTTTATGTAGAAACCGGAGATGACAAACCGACGAGATAATAACTACTCGGTGCCATAGACATCCTGTTTGTCTTCCTGACTCGCTTCCCCGCTGGATTTGGTATCATCGACCTCGCATGAAAGTGCTGGACATTGTTTATCAAACATCCGACTCGGCCGAGGCGGGTGGCCAGGCCACGCATGAATCTGACAGTGGTCGTAAGCGACAACTATTCAACTCTGCTCCTTTACGCGCACCTGGCTTTGTGGGAACGATCTTGACGCCCCTGCAGATAAATGATAGAAAACCCCGTCAGACACGAACATGAGCATCCCAGGGATCTAGGCATCTAAGCATCTACAGATCCCACAGTGTCGAAAAAGAATGCGGGGCATCGGCCTAAATTTGCCCCGTCAAAACCCATGTTTGGTGTCTTTGGGGGGTCGTTGGTGCCGCGGCTCTATTTCGACCTCTTGGATTCAAGCGACGGCTCGGACGACCCAGGCTTGCTGACTACGTGTACAGATTCCGCTTTGAGCATTCCTCACCTTTGCGTAGGAGTTTGTCGTATGTCGTATGTCGTAGAATCGAACGTGACATTGATGGCAGTGACGTGAAGCCTTAGGAGACTCTGTATAGACTTGGGACATCTCTGTTTATATCAACGACGGCTCTTTTTTTCCCACTCTTTCTGTCTTCTAGTCGCGCACCATGGCTTTCAACATTCCCACGCCGTTACTGCTGGTGTTCTCTGCAGCGCTGCAGGCGGCGGTGTTGCTTGCAGTGGCTCCCCAGTATTCCCCTGTCGATGGCTTCAACCTGGCCTTTCTCTGCTTCGCGCTGATCAACTTTGCATCGTGGTTCTTCTATCTTCTGTTCATCTACCCGAACTTCCTCAGCCCGCTTCGAGATCTTCCAAATGCCCCAGTAAGTCCTGGATATCCCCGCCGGTCCAGGGCGGCAGGGTTAATCTTTTTATATTTAGGGCGCTTATCCCATCATCGGGCATGCTTTGTCGCAATTCAAGCCCCCGCGAGGCGCCGACTATCAGAGATGGACTCGCGAAATCCCCAATGACGGGCTCATTCGCCTCAGAGGCTTCATGGAAGGCGACACGGTGCTGGTGACCGGCCCCAAGGCCCTGGCCGAGATCCTGGTCACCCGGTCGTACGAGTTCCCCAAGGCGGACAGGGACCGGGTCTTTCTCCGTCGCTTGATCGGTGACGGCCTGGTCGCGGCCGAGGGCGACCAACACAAGCACCAGCGCAAGCACAGCATGCCCAGCTTTGCGTTTCGCCAGATCAAGCTCCTGTACACTCTGTTCTGGGAGAAGTCTGTCAAGATGACCCAGGTCATAGATGCCGAAGCCTTCGGGCCGGAGAGTGGGCACGGAGGTGCCGAAAGCCTGCCGCCTGGGGCGGTGGACATTGAGTACTACGCCCCGAAAACAACGTTGGACATTATCGGTGTGGCGGGCTTGGGCCGAGACTTCAACACGCTAGGCAACTCGGACGACGAGATGGTCAAAATATATGAAGAGCTGGTGCACCCTTCTGTGGGCCGACAGATCCACGCAGCCGTGTCCCTGCTTGGAAGCAGTGAGCTTGCTTCGTTGCTCTGCCGCCCCGTCGCCCGCGAATATGATATGCTCAATGCCCAGCTGAGACTCATATGCAGGCAGTTTGTGCGAGAAAAGCGAGAAAGAATGAAGGATTCTCAAGACCAAGCCATCGACACCCTGGCCTCGTTGATCAAGTCAGACGTATTCTCGGATGAAGAGCTTGTAGACCAACTTTTGACCATCATAGCGGCTGGGTGAGTGCGAATTCTCTTCTCCACTAGCTTGTGGGCAAACTTCAGGACAACTGAGATCACTAACATCTCCAATCAGCCATGAAACGACCTCCTCGAGCTTCACATGGGTGACGTATCTTCTTGCGCTGCATCCCGACATTCAGTCCCGCCTTCGCGCAGAAATCCAAGCTGCAATCCCGAACGGATTCTCGCCTACCAACTCCGAGGACACGAGCATAGCTTCGGTGCTGGAATCACTGCCTCTACTCAACGGCGTCTGCAGTGAGAGCCTCCGTGTGCTGCCCGCCGTGCCGGTCACAATGAGGACAACAAAGCGAGATACTACCGTGATAGGACACCTAGTTGCCGCAGGCACCAGGTTTATCATGTCTCCTTGGGCCGTCAACAATGATCCCGAGTTATGGGGTCCCGACGCCCACGAGTTCAAGCCGGAAAGATGGATCGATCTCGAGACCGGAAAGCCAAATCAGACGGGCGGCGCGTCGACCAATTATGCAACCCTGACATTCCTCCACGGCCAGCGGAGTTGTATCGGGCAGAATTTCGCACGAGCCGAGCTGAGGGCAATGGTGGCTGCGTTTGCCGGGGCTTTCGAATGGGCCCTTCTCAATCCAAATGAAAAAGTCGTACCGGCTGGAGTCATCACATCGAAACCAAGAGACGGCTTGAAGGTGACGCTGAAGAGAGTAAAGTCGTGGTAGAGAGAGAGCATCTTTGGAAATCTCCGTTGAGTGTTTGTGTTAGTTAAACACATTTCTGTATGTAAGCTTCTTTGCAGCAACGCCAGCAGCTTTATGGCTCCATACCTAGGTACCTACCTGGTAGGTAGGTGAAAAGTCAATGGAGTAGACTCCAGCTCATGTTCACCGCTGAGCCGCTCCTGCCTGTGGACTTCCTCGTACACAAGAGCAGGGAAGGACCATCGGATTAGACTTCAGAGCAAGAACCTCTGGATCGGCAGCGCCTTGGCTTCCCAGTTACTTGAAGTCCAACTCTGGGTCTGGCTAGGGGCCCCCTTGAGCCCCGTAAGCCCGCACGTACCCCCCCGCGCCTCCTACTAGCCCCAGCAAGCCCCGTGAGCTCCCCACCGTGAGCCTACTAGCCCCTTAAATCTGGTTCTCCAGGTAAACGATCATACCCACGTACGTACGTACTTACCTGTAGAAACGCGGGGATACCTACCTAAGTACCTACGCGCTCTTGATATCTGATCCAAGAACTGACCACTCCGCAATACACATGTCGACAGACAATTTCCTGCGAACATGTGAAAACTGCCGTGTCAGGAAGGTTCGCTGCAGTAAGCTCCTACCAGTGCTTCACGACACCTCCGTTTATGAATGTGTCGGGCGCTCTTTGTTGACCGTCTGCAGGACGTCCCCCCGGAGATGCAGCCTGCTTGAACTGCCAGGTAAAATTCCTTTCAACTTCACATAGAGCCGGTCCTCTTCCTGACTTTTGATTGGCAATGTACAGAGAAGGCGAGAGAACTGTCACGTTTCTCGCGACATGAGGCGACAACGAGAGCGACGAAATGGTACGAATGGAAAAGGACCCGACAGCTGAGAGAAGATACTGAGCCGAGGCTGTGATTGCAGGTGAAGGACGACAGCCAAGTCCCTCACGGTATCAAGAGGTCCATGTCTGGGACATCTGCCCTCAAGCAGAACAGCATGCCACAGATCCTGTACCACCAAATCCGGATGTTGAATCCACACAGCAACCTTCGCCAGCGTTGAGCGAAAACAACCTTTTTATTGATCAATTGCTTCACCATGACCGCGGAGTGGTCGGTAAAAGAACAAACCAGAAGAGACTGTTTGAGGTGAGCTTGGCTATATCCGAATTCTCTACGATAGGCGAACAAGCTGAACGGCACCTTAGGCCGATGAAAACTATGGTACTCAATGGCCCCTTCCCAAGTTGAAACATCATTGTCTGACAAGGTATGAAGCGACCTGTTCGAGCTACTGTGTCTTTAGCGAATCGAGGTTGGAGTCGTTGGCCCGAGTCCTCGGTCATGGCAGGGTCGGGCAAATGATCGATGAAGTGCGCTCGGACGTGACTGAGCGTCTCGAAAATGCCACCAAGACTTTCTGGAGTCCAGGTGCGACGGTATTGCGGAGAGACGCTGCCCTATCTCAAGACTTGAGAGAAGAGTATATCCAAGGTGAACTCCGTTCTGTCCTTGTACCGCGGACTTGCTCACATAGGCGTGCTTTCAGCATATTTCCGTTACGTACATCCCGTGTATCCATTCCTTGACCGGCCATCGTTTCTTCAAGAAGTCTCCGGACTTCAGTTCGGCCAGGTTCTGTCGAATGCCTCGGAATGGTCCGCCCTATATAATACTGTACTTGCCCTTGGCTGCCAATACCACGGCAGAGGGGCCTTCTTTCCAGGCAAGGGTCTGGCATGGCACTTTTTTATGAAGGCGCGGGAGTGTTTCCCGAAACTTTTGGGACCAAGGCCAACGCTGCTGCGTGTACAAGTGAGTCAGGTTCTTTTGAGATATAATTCCATTGCTAACAAGTAAAGACTATCACCGCAATGGTAGGGCTATATTGGTGGCTTCACTACAGCAGAGGGAAAGCTGATAAAAATTTCAGGCAATCTTCTCGCAAAACATGAGTTCTTTCCAGTTTAAAGAGGACTTTATTTCAGAAGCTGCTAGGCTGGCGATGTGTCTTCGGCTGCACAAGTCAGATCGGGTCGATGAATCCAGAACTTTTTGGGTGATATACCAACTCGAGAAGTCTTGGTGTTTCCAAAATTCGAGGACCTCTGTACGCCACCAATGCCATTTGCATGATTACTGGAGCTTACTCTCTAGCTAGCTCATCGCCGATTTTGACATTGACTGTCTACCACCAATAACGCCGGAGTCTATACGCAGTGACCATGACTGGGTTTTAAGCAGCGCACGACTGGCCAGGTTGTTATCGGTCTGTTACGAGGAACTTTTCTCCGTCCAAGCAACGATGTATACTGTGGACCAGAAGCGGAGCAAGATTGAGTCTGTCTATAAGGCACTTTGCGCCTGGAAGGGGAGCCTTCCTGCGTACTGTAGGCCCGAAGATATTACTTGCATGCCAGACGGACAAAGCCCACAGTCCCGAGCCGTTTTGATTCATCTCAAATTTACTTACTATAGCGTCGTTATTGCACTTGCAAGGCTGGCAATCCACTGTGGAACCAAAGATCTGCCAATGTTTGGCACTGGCGAGGTCATGCTTGGGCACGCTGCAAGGGCAATCTTGGGATTTACGAATTTCATCGATCTCAAGACATATACTTCGCTTTGGTAAGCTGTACTACATAGGTCTTGGGAAACGCTAATCGTGGCAGGACATTAGCCACTATGCCTCTCGCCGCCATGTTAATTGTGTTTGACCTTGTCATTCAAGACCCTACCAGTCAAGACGCCAAAACCAACCTTCTCTTTCTGGACATGGCATCTGGCTACTTTAGTCGCCTCGAGCATGTGACCGACGCTGCCATGCAAACCTCTCGGCTTTCCGAGTTTACCCAGATTGCGAGAGAGTACCATCGGAGCGAAGTCCTGAAACTGCAAACAGATCAGAGCGATCCATCTGAATTCCCAGGTCAACAGACGGGGTCATTATTGCTCGGCCAATCGACGATAAGCAGGGCAGGCCTCATGGATTCGGAAACGAATGGCGGTCTGCCACCGCGCCACGATGCTGCTGAAATCCAATCACCACAAGGTGTGCAAGCTCGCGAGGTAGGAATGTCAGGGATAGGCGAAGTTCCTATACCGACTGCGGTGCTCGGCGGTCCCATGTCCCATCTGCAAATGGCTGGCGGACAATTCAGCTTTGAGGACTTGTTTAACGCAGCCATCTTGCCATTTGAGCATCAACAAGCATGGTGATAGCTTCAAAGAAACACCTGAATGGGACAGATAGTCCTCCAACTCAGCCGACGAAGCCATTGAACATGACGGTTCTCGTCAAATAGTGCCAGCTAGCGGGTTCCCTGACGACCTTTCCACCCGCGGTGGGGGAGAACAGTTGGGGCTTAGCATACGAGGATGGAAATACACTTGAACATGACATAATAATTTCAGAAGGCCGGCTGATATCACGTCTCTTCTCTCGGCATAAGTATATTATTGCCAAAGTCACAGGAGGCATGGACGTATCTAGAGTACGGTGCCTACCTAGGTAGGTAGGAATGTAGTGAATGTTTTGCAAAGCGTCGACGGGACGGACGTCGAGGACTTTTCACAAACTTCGCTTTATACCTTTTACTCCCAAGTACAATTACGGCGCATCTCTTCCGAGGCCAAGTGCAGATATCTTGGCAGATCGGCCTCGCAGTCTCCGACCCACTGGCAACGCACATTTGACGATTATTTTCCCCGCGGGCGCCTTTATCGAACGAGTAACTGAAACCACGAATTCTTCCTACCCTCGCCATCACCTAGAGACACACACCACACTTTTCCAGCATTGTTACGAGAGAAAGATAATAGCCGCATCCTAGCATCGATCAAAGTCACCATGGAGAACGAGAAGGGCGAAATCGTCGATCTGTAAGCGTTTTCCCATGTCCCTCACATCCCTACTTCTGAGAAAGTTTCTCTGCCATCACACACACAATGGCACACAAAACGGGACTTTTGTGTGCGCGGAGAGAGGACCCCCATCCGTCACCTCTGTTCCTCTCTTCATTTTATTTCCGTGCCTTTGTGTGTCTCTTTTCTATCCCAAATTCCAGGTGCGCTGACCATCTTACCTATTTAAACAGCTACGTGCCCCGCAAATGCAGCGCGACCAACCGCATCATCAAGGCCAAGGACCACGCATCCGTGCAGATCTCGGTGGGCAAGGTGGACGAGAACGGCCGGTACACGGGCGAGAACCAGGTGTACGCGCTGTGCGGGTTCGTGCGGTCCCGGGCCGAGAGCGACGACAGCTTGAACCGGTTGGCGCAGAAGGACGGGTTCTTGAAGAGTGTCTGGAGCGCGCAGGCGACGAGATAAAAGATTTACCACTCTTTTGACAAATGGGATGGTTGAGAGAGGGTGGGAGGGAAGGAGTATGAGGGGAACACAATCATCATGAAAGGGGCGGAGCCAGAGAGTGAAAAATACAGAGGCGAGGCGAGGCTCCCATTGAAGTCTTATGCAGCCCCGTCAGAGCCTCTCTTAGGCAAAGCGATACGCGCAGCACGTTCAACGACACAAGGCCTTTTGTTGTGGTTGTCTGTGGGACAGGTGATGAAAACGCAAATCAATTCCGCAAGGCGAAGCGATGAAAACTCTCGCGTGCTTGCTTGGTTGGACCGGGCAGACATCATGGTTCAATTCTGTGCATGACCACCTGCAGCATGAATAGAAATGCAAGAACTGGGACAGCCCAGAAGAAAACAATACAGAAACAATTCACCACCTTTGTTCCACACCCGCGCCCGCGCGCGCGTGGCTATTCTTCTTCCCTCTAACCCAAGGACTAGAGATCCATACCTATGAAACTACAAAATGTGCCACCCGTATCTGTGCTCTGACTCTCGATCTCGGAAAATAAAATCACAGCTCTTCAGAAGGCGGCGTTGAGGGCTCAATGTTCGGCTGATTGTATGTACGATTTATGATCTCTACTTCCACAGTCATGGTAGAGGGAGTCTGCGGAAGCCTTGATGTGCCGGTTAAGGGGAATTGACCGCTTTCAACGGAAGCAAAAGGAGGAAAAGGATAAACAGGGAGCCATAAGGAAAAGATGAAGAGGCAATTGGGTATCATTTCTAGCCTTCTCTTCTTGGGAATCTAGAACCTTTTTTGAGGCGATGCTCCTTTCAAGTTGCAACACACATATCTTGAGCGCGTAGGATCCACGTGTCTTCGTACATGCTAATTTGTCGCTCGTGGGAAAATGTTTCTAATCTTTGTGTAAGCGGACAGCGGGATTCTGTTCAATGAAGTTGAGGTCGACTTTGTGTCCCAGGAGTTCCCGAATGTTGTTGACGCCATACCTGTTTCACAAACATTAGCATATCGACAGCTCGAAAGATCGAAAACTCACTTGATCATGGTCGGTCGCTCCAAACTCAAGCCCCAACCATATATCCGCATATCCTTTGGTAAGCCCATGGGCTCCAGCATTTCCGGCCTGAACATGCCGCTGTTTCCGATTTCGACCCATTTCTTCAATCCCTCGTGGTAGCTGAAGATTTCCATGCTCGGCTCTGTGTAAGGGTTGTATGCGGGCTTGAACCTCAGGTTTTTGATCCCCATCTTGCCGAAGAAGACTTCCATGAAACCGATCAATCCGCCCAAAGTCAGGCCCCAGTCAGCAATCACACCTTCCACCTGGTGGAATTCCGCAAGATGGGTTTGGTCGACTGTCTCATTTCGGAAGACCCGGTCGATGGAAAAGTACCGCGCTGGCCGAGGGTTCAGGGCGAGTTTGTGGAGCATGTATGTAGAAATTGCTGTGGTGTGAGTCCGCAAAACAAGTCGCAAAGACTCATCTTCAGACCATGGGTATCTGTAACCTATTGACCCGAATTTCCCATTCTCATGAACGGCACGGACATCATCCCAATATTTCTTGAAGTCCAAGGCTTTTTCTTTCGACTTTGTTCTCTTATGTGAGGGTGAAGGTGTGGGTTTCTCCCCAGGGGCTGGAGGTTCTGGATCTTCCCGAGGAGGATCGGCTCTTGCAGGATCCGAGATATAGAACGTGTCTTGAAGATCGCGAGCAGGGTGTTGTTGAGGAACATAGAGAGCATCAAAATTCCAGAATCCGGTCTCCACATATCGATTTGTCGGCATCTCCTCGAATCCCATCTCAAAGAAGATCTCTCTGAACTCTTGACGCACTTTGTTGAGAGGGTGAAGAGCTCCGGATGGCGTGGGTGCTCCTTTTGCTTTGAAGTTGTATGGTTTCAATTGCACGGTCTTCCAAGCCCCAGACGCCAGCATTTCTGCAGTCAGATCTGCTTCTTCCTTGACAAATTCTGTCGAGAATTTAGGGCCCTTGGAGATTTTGAAGTCGACGGTTTTCTGCTCTGCCACATACTTCCTTTTCTTGAAGTCTGCCACAATTTTGGGGTTGTCTAGGGCTTTCCTGGACTGGATCTCCCGTAGTTGTTCTTGCACCTCGTCTTGGATCTTGTCCGTAATTGCTTTGAGGGTGTCCCCATCCTTCTTGATCCACTTTAATTTGAAAGCATCTCCCGAACCGAACTTGGCCACATTTGCGTCGCCTACAGCGGTGGGTAAATCTTTGATCTTCAGTCCTTCTAATGCTGCCCGGACTGCCTCGAAGACCCTGGCGCCATTGCTTCCATTTTCTGCGATGTCATGTCCTTCTTTTGTGAGAACAAGTTCTAACCGATCAATTTGCTCCGCTTGAATGAATTCTCTCGACCGTAATTTGTCGACCGCGGACTTGACACTGACAAAGGTGGCATTGGGAAAGATGTCCGATGTGACAACGGGACCGTCTGTGGAGTTCAGGACGTCGAGGACTTTCGTGGTTAAATCCTCTGCCATGATTGCGTCCGCCGAGGGGACCTGATAGGACGACAGCAAGGACAAGAAGAGAAGGCGGTTGCGAGAAGAATTATGGTCGAGTTCACCCAATTCTGACTCCAAGTTCTGGAGAGAAATGACTCCAAAATGCGGCGAGCGGGCGAGTCCTGATTGGTTTAGAGGTCAATGCCGCTTTAGCTGCTCAGCCTTGTAACCACAGCCTTCTGTCAAGGACAGGCAGGTCGCCAGTAGAGAAGACAAACTAAATCTATTCCATATATTGTACATAAAAAGATGCTGTACTAGGTGGTAGATGTAACGTGGCAAAGTATCCGACCTAAGTGACAACAGCTATGGCTCTATCGCCTCAAGTACTCCAGTCCCGGTGGATTCTTGATGTGCCTGTGATCTCACTACATTTTGTAAATCATATACCTGGCAAGTGCAGGAGCCACTGTTGTCTAGACACGCCTCTGGTCTTCCATCTCAGCCGGTGTATTCTGCTCAAGTTTCGGCTTCCAGGCTTTGCCAAACATGATTTGGAACAGGACAAGGCCTCCCAGTATCAGCAAGACACCAGTCAATAACGTAAAAGTCCATCCAACATGAATACTGTTGACCAGAGGCCCAATTACAGCAGTTCCACCCGCTCCCAACAAACAGCGGACCAGGTTTAGAGAAGCTGTCGCGGAAGCACTCTGGGTATGATGGATGTCGACAAGGTAGGTCGAGATGACACTTTGGAGTGAAATGGCGGCCCACCCGAGGACAAAAAAGCAGATAATGGGCACAGAGATGTGGACACGTTGGTCGACGGTCCACCCAAAAACCAGCACGGAGACACATTCGAGTGCACTCCAGATCCAGACAGTCCTCAGCCGGGCCTTTTCAATCGGAACGCGCTGTTCATCGCCATCATATTTGCGTAGAATCCTCTTATAGTCATAGTCGAGGAATCTGCCGACCAGAATGGTTCCGATAATGGATCCTGCGCCATTGGCGAGGAAGATTAGACCAACTTGGATTTCTGATGTGTTGTAGTTGTGTTGGACGAGCGTGGAAACAGCGGTGAGAACCATTTGCCACACTGTATAGTGGAGAGCGACGTAGAATATCGCGCAAAAGGTTTTTATATGCAATAGGATCTTTGCTGGACCCAAAAAGTCAATTCGTTTCGGCGCTGGTTTCTCATCTTCTGCCCTGGCAATGTTTTGCCTGAAATGCTTCCTTCTCTGATAGAGTGCCAGAGGGGACAGTGCATATCTCTTTGGTTCTTCCGATCCGTTTCCCACCATCGACCTCAGTGTCTCAGGCAGGATCAGCACAATGACGAGGACACAGACTCCGCCGTATATCGTCAGAAACCAGAATACTGATCTCCAACCCATTTTGTCCGCCAAAACACCACCAATCACCGGGCCGATAGCGACAGGCATCAAAAGTCCACCTTGGAAGATACCCATATATCCACCTCTCTCTTCTCTTTTCGTAATGTCCCCAATGACTCCTGCACCCAATGCAATAGTGCTTGCACTCCCGGTGCTTTGGACACAACGAAGGACCAACAGTTGCGCGTAGCTTCGCGTCTCTGCAAGCCCTATACACGCTCCAAGAAATATGACGAGAGTGCACATGTAGGTAATGCGGCGGCCTTTAGTATCGGACAAGGAGCCCCAGAGAGTGGGCGACAGGCCTTGAAATATCAAATAGCATGTCACAGTGAGGTTTACGAGGCTGGTAGTGACTGAGAGGTCGTTGGCGACCTGAGGAAGAGCGGGAAAGTAGATGTTCGATGCGAAGCCGGAAAGCGTGGCCGCGAACGAGACAATCGTGACAATGAGAGCTTTTTGTGGGATTGTAAAGATTGTGTAAGGCTCCGAGGAGCTAATCTGTGTTATGGGGTCGGTTTGAGACATTTTGAATTCGATGTTGAAAGGAAACAGCATATTGCTAAGTGGCTGCACGTCCATATATGCCCACGAAATGACTCGAGCAACGCCATTTTCAGAGTGAACAGGGATGATCGGAGTTCCGAAAGCTGGGACAAAGGAAAACTGCAGAAGCCATGTACAGCCTCATTCGGGGGATCCCGAAGCAGTATCTGACGCAAGTTATGCAGAACTTACCACGGAGACTTTCATTGTCATCAAGTGTCAGAATATTCTCTATACCTCATGAGAGTTTCGACGAGTGGAGGCGAAGTGATGGACCTGGATTCCAAATTTGGTCATCGGGAGTCGCGTCTTCTGACACTCTGTCTCATGATCTGGATGGTGGGACGTGGTCCAGATTGCGGGGAAACTCGAGACAGCCAGCAAATCATTGAACCTATACCGAGAGATTCATACCTAGCTAGGAGGTGGTAGCAAGAACAACTGTGATGTTTGAATTGATCCAACGGGCAAGTGGCTCGCTAGCACTATTGAAAGCGACGAGGAGAGGTCTAAGGATCACCGAGGAAGGCAACTCACCCGAGAAGTGGGGTTATTCCCAAACAGGAAAAGCGTAGCCCCAGTGGCGACTCACTCCATCATCGGATCTCCGAAGTCATCTCGCCTCTCTGCCTCGCTGCTCCGCGTCTACAAGCCCAGTCGAGGTTGTTCGCCTGTGTGCATTGTGTCATGAGTCCGAAGGAATCCATACCCAGGAAGAAATCTTGCAATCATTGCTACAAATCAAAAGTGCGGTGCGACCTCAAAAGACCGTCTTGCACAAGATGTAGCAATCGAAACCTTGATTGCACCTATGTCGATGCGAAGCTCGCCGAAGAAGTCGCTGCAAGTCAGTCTTCTCCAGCTACCGTCGATGGGACATGGCTCTCGGACTCGCTTGCTCCAGAAACCATTAACAACGAGTTGCTGGATTTCGGCAACATCCACCTAGTATGCACCGTGGACGAACACAGAATCCGCGGCCGCTGGCTCGAGAGCCTGCTTCCTTCCGTGGATCAGCGACCGAAGCCGTTTCAGGCGTCGACGATGGCATTTGTCACGCGTGTGTTCAAGTCCTATCCTAGAATGTTTCTGACCGAGAATCATCCTCCATTCATCCACTGGTCTCAAATTGCAGACCGGGTTGCTGAGCCGTTGGCAAATTGCATGAACATAACACGCATGTGGGTGGCCCAGACCCCTGAGAGCGCTGCCATGGTCCGAGAGGTCATCGGACAGGAAATGTCGCGACTATTTCAAAAGGCAGGTACACTCATCTTCAAGACTGGTTTCAGGGCTGAGATGGGGCGAGCAGCGTGCATTTTCCGGCCACTTGGAACTCCTGGCCATATTACAGTGCTATCTTCTCTACACGATAATGCTCTTCTGCTCGGCAAATGCTGCTAGCTTGGTTGAACAAGATATCATGATCAAGCTCCAAGATTTAGCCGGCGATCTTGCAAGCAGAGGGACGCTTTGTCCTGCCGAGACGACTGGTAGCCGACCCGACTGGGAATCGTGGATTGTCGCTTCTACAAAAAGGAGAACACTCTTTGCTACCTATTTACTTGACAACCTGGTCAACTTCACTGTGGGCTCTCCATCGTTTGTTGCCGTAGAGCTCACAGGCCTCCCGGCCCCAGCGAGCAAGCCTCTTTGGAATGCGCGGGATCGCCGATCTTGGAATGCGGCCTACAATCAACAATTAGGCCTCTCGAGCGACGGAGAGCTACTCATTAATGATCTCTGGCCACAGTCTGACCCCAATCCAGCGCCGGTGCGACAGAAAAAGATCGATGATTGGCTGTCATCCGTGGATGAATTTGGTATGATGTTGTATGCGGTGACCTCTCACACCTACAATGAAGCTTGAAGATCGCTCTGCCATAGTCTATGAGAACAGCAAGGTCTTCATCGCTCTGTTTTGGGGTATAGTGCCTGTGTCAACTGGTGGTCGTCGCCTCGCCGCGGTACTGCTCCGATTACTCATACACGCCCCTGCACCAACAGCACTTGCAATAGAAAGAAACCCCGGTGCCGTTCATAAGGTATCTACCTTGTATCATGCTGGCACTTCAACCATGCGAAGCTTGTCCAAGTGGACCATTTAGTCCAGGTTATCGACTCACAGGACCAGCTGTCAATCTATTCAAGCCTGCTCGGCCGGCCGACTTAATTTAAGTACGTCTGCCACCTTGCATGTCACAATTTTGCCACATTTTCGATTGAGTGACGGAAGTTGGCAGCATGCGTGGGAGGCCACTAAAAGCCGATCAAAATGCTACTTTGGATGAAACTGTATGTACTCTGCGACATCTCAACCCACAGGCGCTAATATTCTTAATGCAGTTACGAAGAGCCCGGGGAAGGGCTGCACAGCGCCGCTATCGGCATAGGCAAGAACAAACAATGGCTGAGAATGATGCCAGAATCCAAAAGCTGGAATCCGTTGTTCAAGGAATGATCGATGCCTTTCTGGGTTTTGGAGACCACGTCACGCGATCAATGGCTGTTCCAACTATCAGTGATTCTAGAGGTTTAGGAACAGCTTATCATGAAGCCGTGGAGAAGTTCCGGAATCTGGCGGCCGAAATCGATGAAGATGTCTGCTGTTCTCAAGATCAGTCCCCCAACTCAACTTCTGGCGACTGTCAACAGGCTGTCTCTCAAAGTATCCTCCAGACGTCCAGCCGACCACAGTCGAAGCTGCTGTGGACCTCCCAGCATCCCCCGGTTTTTAAGACCAGTGTCAAGGCGGCTGACAACCCGACTCCAGAAAGCTCTTACAACATGCACAGATTCCTGTCTTCGGCAATCATATTGATGCCTAATGGGAACCCGGTACTCTCTGGGGACTATTCGGACATCAAAGAGCTCTCTTTTCCCGGGTCTTCAGTGCAGCAGAGACTCTTCCGTCATGGAATGTGGCGCAATTATCAAGCTTTGCATTGCGACGAGTTTCAGGATAAGCGATACTCCTGGTGTGACAGAGTGCATGGCTTCAGCTTTCGTCACTCAAGCAGGTCGGACCTTCTGTTTCTGACTAGACTTGGGCTCGACAAAATGATCGAAGAGAGCCATCGGAAAACGCATGGGAGACTAAATGGCCAAGCTTCTCCGCCAGAGCATGCTCCTGGCAACAGAATCTTCGACGACGAAAAGCACCACCAGCTCGCCGCTGCTATCCAAAATGACCTTGAACTTGAAGGTATCCTGTCCGATATTGTTCGGGCTGAAGAGATCGACCACCATCTGGCCAAAAAGGGGAGGACAATTCTGGACGGCAACAGACTCGAACTGCGGTTATTCCCTATAGAGGGATGCTGGTCTCATACTTCCAAAGGTCCTTCGCCCAACGAAGATATCCAGACCGTCGTTATTGATACTGAGAGATTCGTTCGAAAGCTCTGTGATGAGGCGATTTGCCTAGGTAATGGTATGGGCTTCTCGAAACACATCATCAATGACGCTATTGTCTACTCGGCACTGCATGTGAGTCAGCTCCGCAAACCATCACTTCCAAGACTGTCAAGAGGACACACCAGGGAATAGCAGGCTCTCTGGCTGGCACCTTGTCATCTTAAAACTTGAGCGCTGAACTTGACTTTGCTGCGACGTTGGAGGCATGTGTAGACCACCGTGGAAAGAAGGCTGCACGAGGATCTCATTATGCGCTATATTTGGTGATCGGAAGTGCAGGGGCGACTGCAATTTCTCGGCATAGGGTCAACAAGGCTGCAATGTTGGATATGATGGATGATAACTGTGGACAGTCATACGATCATGGTGCTGCCTGACGGGGGCTAGGCTGATCTCCAAGACTGCAATGTCAGCCAAATCTAGCCTGGACGGCTTATTCAAATCAACAAGCCCTCAGCTGGCGGCAGGGTTTGTCGTCTAGGCCACAGGCAAAGGCGTCTTTTCTGGCGAATCGGCTGGCTTGGGCATGCTGGGCATGTATGTAAGCTGATTTCTAGGAAGCAGGATAGTAAGGGAAAATAAACCTAGGTATGCTAAGGAGTGCCTTGTCTTCATACAGAATTGCAAGTCAGTCGGGCTTTGTGTGTATCACTTGGAAGACGACTTTCACATGTCTTTCAATTTATTCATCCCTGTTCCCTTCCATAAAGTGGTCTGATGCGACGAAGGGCCAGTGATGCAGATAATTCTGTTTGCTGACATGTGAACGTCGATAAACATATGCATCTAAGGGCGCGCGAGCCACGCGGTCGAGGATGAGGAATGTAAATGGATGTTGGCGGTGGAGTTGGTTGGTAGAGAGGCTTTCGCATTGGAGAAAATGGGCCGGGATTCTCGGATGACCTTCCCCTCCTGTCTTATCGTTATCGGCGCTATCGATATGGCGATATGGGTCGAGGGGCTGCAGGATCCACCGAGCCACCTGCGCATGCACAGCCTCTGCAAATAATAATTGTTGAGCTTCCGATTCCGCAGTCACTTTTTCATTCCCTGCGACTTTCCTCCCTCACTCCACGCCTTGCATTCTGCATCTCCGACAATCAGACCCTACAACTTGCTTGTAGAGATGGGTACAGGGCTCTTGGTCTCGGTCGATCCAGAGGACATACTCAAGGAAGACGTCCCTGGTCTCACTCTGGATCAGGTAGCCTACCTTGGGCATTGTCTGATCGAAGTCACTCCAGAGACATACCAATCCAATCTCGAGTTCCTTCGTCAGAATTTCTCCAAACTCGATGTATACCTCGATGTTAGGAAGCTGAAGAGTTGGGACAATGTCATTGACGTTCTCAACAACGGGGCATCCAAAATATTCGTCACCTTCGAGCAGCTGAAGGCTCTGTCGCAAGAGCCTACCATTTCTGCGGATCGCCTTGTCTTGACTATCTCCCTTGTCAATCCGAAAACCGATATTGGAAAACTCAAGACCTTTCTCGATGACAATCCACGGTGGAAGACTGCTGAATGGGCATTCGATGGCGACAAAGGCAATGAGTACGTCGATGCGGTATTGAAAGAGCTGGATAATTATCCTCCAAGTCATGATCAGACAATATTCGTCTCGGTCGCGAGCGAGATTGAAGGAAGGAACCTGCTGCACGAATATCCCGGAAATGCTCTGATTGTCTCCTCAAAGAAGTTGACCTTCGACCCTTCCAAGGAGGAAAACAAGGCTCTGATACCTGCTGTGGAATTGATCGTCTCTGGGGCCACCGCTGATCGAAAGACGGGCCTTTACGCGACTACGGTAGTTGATGAGCGCGGCGTTGCGTTGGGCTTGGTGTGGAGCAGCAAAGAAAGTATCGCCGAAGCGCTGAAGACCGGAACAGGCGTTTACCAAAGTCGAAAAAGAGGACTTTGGCACAAGGGTGCATCGAGCGGGGATATTCAGGAACTGATCAGTATCGGCTTCGATTGCGACAAGGACTGCTTGATTTTCAGGGTTCATCAGAAAGGGCAGGGTTTCTGCCATCTGAGAACAATGTCATGCTGGGGCAAGGTTTCTGGGCTGTCTAGACTACAACGAACATTGCAGCAACGCAAGGTCGAAGCCCCCGAGGGCTCTTATACTGCTCGGCTTTTCAACGACCCGAAGCTTGTCAATGCAAAAATCAAAGAAGAGGCCGATGAACTTTGCGCAGCAACCTCGAAAGAAGACATTGCCTCTGAGGCAGCTGATCTGCTCTACTTTGCTCTTGCCAGGTGCATTGCCGCGGACGTCACTCTGGAAGACATTGAGAAGAACCTTGACTTGAAGAGTCTGAAAGTGAAGAGACGGAAAGGCGATGCCAAACCTCAATACGTTGAGGAGACCCCTGTTGTTGAGAAGTCAACTTCCGAAACCAACGGTGTTGATGGCCACCAGGATGAAGATGTCAAGGAGGCAGCATCTGTTCCAAAAGGCCCCTTAGATCCTGCTGGCAGGGCAGAATCGGGCCGGATACAGCTGAAAAGATTTTCTACGTCGCAAACTTTCTCGGACGACATTTTGAAAGCTGCCCTACAACGACCTTCGCAAAAGTCCAACGAGAAAATCATGTCACTTGTCCATCCTATTATTGCCGATGTTCGTGCCAACGGCGACTCTGCTGTCCTGAAATATACCCACAAATTTGAGAAAGCTACCGGTCTGAAATCTCCTGTACTAAAAGCACCTTTTCCTAAGTCGCTGATGCAACTTCCCGAAGAGACCATCAAAGCGATAAACACCTCGTACGATAATATCCTCAAATTCCATGCTGCGCAGAAACCGTCAGCACCATTGATCGTGGAGACAATGCCTGGTGTGACCTGCTCTCGGTTTTCGAGACCGATTGAGAAAGTCGGTTTATACATTCCTGGCGGCACTGCAGTATTGCCCTCAACGGCGCTTATGCTCGGTGTCCCGGCCATGGCCGCAGGATGCAAGAACATCGTCCTTGCATCGCCCCCGAGGTCTGATGGTACTGTCACGCCGGAAATCGTGTACATCGCGCACAAAGTCGGAGCAGAAGCCATAGTTTTGGCGGGCGGTGCTCAGGCTGTCGCCGCCATGGCCTATGGAACAGAATCTGTCACCAAGGTCGATAAAATCCTGGGTCCAGGAAATCAATTTGTCACGGCCGCGAAGATGATTGTCAGCAACGATACCTCCGCCGCAGTATCAATTGATATGCCAGCTGGCCCGTCTGAAGTGCTAGTTGTTGCGGACAGAACAGCCGATCCGGCGTTTGTTGCCAGTGACCTGCTCAGTCAAGCCGAGCATGGCACAGATAGCCAAGTTGTGCTTATCGCTGTTGATCTGACCGAGGAGCAGCTCCAAGCGATTGAGGATGAAGTGCACAAGCAGGCGCACGAACTTCCGCGAGTGGATATTGTTCGAGGGGCAATCGAGCACAGTGTTACCATCTCAGTGACCACTCTCAAAGAAGCACTGAAGTGGTCGAATTACTATGCACCTGAACATCTCATTCTGCAAATCGCTGACCCTCGCGCCGTACTACCTGATGTTCAAAATGCAGGTTCCGTATTCCTGGGAGGTTGGACGCCTGAGTCTGTTGGCGATTATTCCGCAGGTGTGAACCACAGCTTGCCGACATACGGCTACGCGAAGCAATACAGCGGTGTCAACCTCGGCAGTTTTATGAAGAATATCACCAGCAGCGAGGTCACAGAGCAAGGTGTTGGGGAAGTAGGTTACGCAGTTATGGAGCTTGCAAGGTGTGAAGGTCTTGACGCTCATCGACGAGCCATGGAGATCCGCTTGGAGAAGCTTGGACTTGTCAAGAAGAACGGCGTGCAGACTGACAGCAGTCCCGTGGAGATTGAGAAGGCTGAGCCAGAAGCTGTAATCCACAACGGATCACCAGAAGTGAGTCCCAAGTCAGCTGCTCTCAATGAGACGGGTGATGAGGATGGGGCGGCAACAAGCCAAAATGCTGACGAGCAGCCAAAGATCAAAGCCTGAGCTTGCCGAGGCGCTGTTTTATTATGTCGATCCAACTGTCAAGATGATTGTTCTATAGACCTGGATACCATGGAAAGACCTGGGCTGCGCGACGAGGTCCCTCAAAATCAATAGAAAGTTTGCCGCCGAAGAGCCGGCAAAGGTTGTATTGGAGTCGCGGAATAATATTCCTCCGAAGGCAGCAACCCAAGCGTTGCCTGATAAATTGAAACACTGGTTGCGACAGCTTTTCTCCTCCCTCCTCCCTCCTCACCCCTGATACTTTCTTTACTGGTGGGAATCGTTCATCTTATTCAGAGGATCTGGTACGTCTGAACGATGAATCCCTCCGATGATCCTGAAATCCACAGCGACGACAGCGAAGAGAGCGAAGATGCCGCTGCCCCCAAGGCGAGAACCATCAGATCTAGTCGTGCATGTATTACATGTCGTCGCATGAAGACGCGATGCGAGATCGACGAAGCCCTAGGAAACGCGTGTAAGCTGTGCATAAGAGCCCGTCGGCAATGCATTATGCAAGATGTACCACGACGAAGGAAAAGAAAGACTACCGAACGGGTTGCAGACCTCGAGCAGAAAATCAATGCCTTGACAGCACTATTGACCGCCAACGAGACGAGCAGCCCTTCAGATCGCAAGAAACTTAGCAGTATTCATGATGATTCGACAGGAAATTCGGGCTCCAAGGTGGAAGCATCAGCCAAAACCGAAACCACGCTCATTGCAGAAGCCATGTCTGCCGGCTTGCTCGACTGGGAAACTGCCTGCAAGGCTTTCGACCGGTACAAGAACGAAATGTCTCGCTACTTCCCCTTTGTGGTCTTCGCGTCTGATACAGATGCTCTTGCCGTCAAGCAGCAGCAATCGCTCCTGTTCTTCGCTGTCATTACGGTTGGCCTTGCTTCAATGCAAACAACCGTCGATGCTGAACTATGCGACATGCTCATCAAAGATCTAGCCTTACGTGTCGTATACAGGGGAGAACGATCTCTTGAACTCGTGCAAACGTTGATCATTCACGTCTTGTTCTACGGCAGGACCAAAAATTTGCGAGATCTTAATTTCAACCAGATGCTGCATATTGCCTGCACAATGGCGCTTGACATCGGCTTAGGCAGACGGCCTCATAAATCTTCGGCAACCCAAAGAAGTGATCCCCATCAATTGGAATCACTCGCGGGACGGCGGGCATGGTTAGGATGCTATTATATGGGGACGAGGTTCGAACCTCTACCAAACATCTTTGTGCGGTAGCTGACAGATCTACTCAGTGTTTCAATGTCACTTCGCCACCCTGCCTTCGTCCGCTGGTCTGTGTATACTGAGGAATGTTTGGATGTCCTCTCAGCGGAGAAGCCTACCTTAGCAAGCGATACATGGCTGTGCGACTTGATACGTATCCAACGTATTGCAGAAGATGCCTCGGTCACATTTTCTATGGATGACCCTGGTGCAATTGTCACACTCCGAGATGTTAAGGTACAGTATCAGATTCGGGGCTTTCGTCAGCAATTGGACTATTGGCGTCGCCATGCCAAAACAGATCTGAGCCTGCGTAAGTGACGAGGAACATAGATCTCTTGCGCAAGCTGACCCTAGCGACTTAAAGCCTACGTTCGCCACGTTGTGGCATGCATCGATCTGTTTATCCACGAAATAGCCCTGCATCCGGAACATGACATCGACGACCTCCGTTCACCGCTTCGTCCTGTTCATGCGCCCCAAGTTGAAGCAGTCGAGAGTATGACATCAAAGTTCAAAGACTTACATTTCATTCCCGCAAGAGTCGAGGCATTGGCCAACTGCCTCGCTGCGATACACGAATGCTTTGACGGATTTCTCTCCACAGACTTGGCCTCCATTTGCACTTTGCCAAACATTTTCTTTGTACGCACCGGCTATGCAGCTCGAGCACTCCGCAAACTACTCAATATATGCGATAGCCAGGCTGAGTTTGAAGGGAGATCCCACATCGACGTTCAAGATCTGAAATTCGAAGAGTATCTGACGGCAATCATTGATGTGCTCAGGAGGGTGCATGCTCAAACTAACTCTATTGTGGCCAGAGCATTCTGCTTGGTTCTCTCGCAGATTAAGACACAAGGACTAAATTCATCCAGATTGCTTTCTGTGCTGAAGCAAGCGGACAATGCTGCAGCTATCAGATCAGCAGTCGGTCCGACACCCGTCCCTTCTATGCCCTCAATTGAACGCTTCGACTGCCTCCATAGCGATGAGAGCCAACAGTCACACGAAACAGAACCCCTCGCTTATGGTTTTGGTGGCCTCACTAGCGTGCCTCCGACTCGAGCCCAGCTGCCCCAAGAACAGACTCTATTGGATGCACAGACTCAAGCCAAAAGTGCACAGTGGTTGGAGAATGATACGGACGATGCTTTCATGAGCGGTATTGATGTTTTGCAGTGGTTTGAACAGGACTTGGCCTTTGATGATCCTGCGGCGTACGACTATGACCGTCAACTCCCTCTCCAGCATTTGCAACAATAATACTTTTGACGGACTTGGCTCATTCACCTCCACTTTAACCAAAAAGATCATGGTTATGACTATAGACGGACAGATTTCTTAGTCACCTCAACCGTGGAACCCCTTGCCGTGTTCGGGAAGCGGGTCAAGGACTGAACAAGCAATCTGTTATATCGGCGTTGCTCCTCGTGGCCTGCTTTGACATCGGCTCACTCCCGTTGAGACGAGATATGCAGCTCATGAGGATCTGATTGCTCCAATGGATTATCATTGAGCGCCTGATGGAAACCTCCTCTACTCAACTTCTGATTCCCCTTTCCGGCAACCCCCAACAGACGCAGATCTTAAGCATAAATGGTACGGTCCAGAGGCCCCGAACAACAAACTATCCAGTGATGGGTATCCGTGTATCATGGTCGATCCCTGCCACTGACTGGCATTCGTTCGTCCTCCGAACACTGAGAAGACTCACAATGAGTCGTCCAATCTACCGTGACCTGGTCGCCCGATGCCCAAGGAATCACAATCCAAAGCTCCATGATGCAAAGGAGAGTTACTTTGATGTTTCGAGCTTCCTTGTCTTCTTATCTCCGACAACTGTGTCTCGAGATCCTCATACATGAGCCTGAAAAAGTCTCGCTGGGCTCTTGTCTGTTTCAGCTCCTCCTTCAAAGCATCAATACTGCGAAGCGTTTCGTGGAGAAATCGATTGCGCTTGTTTCGATGTCGAACTTGCGCTGCACGATTCTGCTGCCTTCGACGCTGACGGGTCACTTGGTCAGACAGACAAGGGCATTCATATTTTCTGGAGACAAATACCTCTTTCCTGGTCGGTACCGCGGACTTCGACGCTCCTTGGTCCTGTGGCTCAAGTCGGGTGACGCGCTGTCCACAATCTGGGGGACTTCCGTCGATATGTTGCGCGGGCGATTGTTCGAGGTAGTTGAGATCGTGATGAAATGTCAAAGAACCAGGGGAACAGCCGCAGTACGAGCCGAGAGGTTCGCCGCAGATGCAGCTAGCCATACTTTCTTCACTCCAGAATGTTATATGCGAGTAAAAGTCAAAGCCCGCGTCTGGAGTAGCTCTTTCCCATCCAACCTCTGAGGACAACGCAAAAGTCATGTCATTCATGTTGTCCAATGCTTCTTTGGTCGCATGCAGCGATTCTTGAGGAGTAGCGTTCATGCTGCACCAGCATCGGCGTCCAAATTCTTGAGCGAGTGTTGGGAGTCTTGTGGACCGTTCTATACGGATCCAATTAAATGTCAACTTCATACTATGAAGGCAAAGATATGACCGTGGCCGGCCATTTGTTAAGGTCCACTCACATCATTGAATGTCGCTCTGCTGCTCAGAATCCAGGTTCGCAGACCACAGGTTATGCTTTATACACCATTTCTTGAGATAGCTCAAACCACCCCAACCACGAATTGGCGTCCAGACTGCGGCACTCGAATTTAGAGAGAATCAGACGGGACTTTCGAGTCTCCACAACGAGCTCAGTCTGTGTCATTCAAGATTTGGCCCCCATTCGTCCCGTGCCTTATGCAGGGCAAAACGCCCCTGCAGCACAACTTTGACGGCTCAAAGGCTGCCAGATATTAGGCACTCTCCGGCTCCAATCTGAAATTGTGGCTTGCGCCGCTTTTCGGACTATTCCCACTTCCACAAGATATGCGGAATGCAGATTGGTCTTCAAAATCCTGGAAAGGCCGACCCGTCTTCCTAGGTCGGTCATTCGCTCCTGAACCCGAACCCGAAGTGGCTTGAATAAAGAGTTGGAAATGATACAGGGGTGCGAAGTCCTGTGGCAAATCGGCTATGCAAGCAGTTTGGCCAGGTCCGCGGCTGCTATATTGATTGGCTGCATCGTCTAAACGTATATTGCTGGAAGCATATACCTCAAAAGGCTAGACACTGGACCATCGAGAGGGTCTCGTATAGCCCCAAGGGTTCGAAGGCTGCTTGTCGCCACGTGGGGTCACTGACAAATTCCTCGATTTGTTGTTGCACAAACGATGGCGCCGGGTGCCTGAGAACGTCGGGCAGCGTCTGCCCACCTGAGACCGTCGATAAGCAAAGGACGAACTCGACAACACTTTCCTCATAAACTGATGCTATCCGCATCGGTCGTGCTTCCGACGCTGACTCGGCAGTTGCGGCTCTACCCACACCAATACATCCACGAAATCAGGATGGATTCCGTTCGCCTGCAAGACCACCAGAACCTGACTCACCATGAACAGTGGTCGGCTTTCCCGGTACTTTCACACACCAGAAGGTACGTGATAGACCATCTCCGAAGAGTGAAGGGTTCCACTCTCTCTGAGTTGGACCGCCTCATCCCACAGCTCTTTGTGTTGTCTGTCATCCTGATACTCATGCCATATGACCTGCTTGAGACTAGCCTTCATGCTGTCCCAGGAATGAATCTCTAAGTCTGCGGCCGTGTCTGCAAGCTGGCTTACGAACCACTTGTGTTGAGCTGGGCCGAATGGACAGGTGCCACCGACGGAAAGGAGCCATAGGAGTAGTTTTGTACCTACTCCTCGTTGTTCGGTCAAGGGGCGGAGCGTGGCAAGTAGCTCGTGCTGGGCAGTGCTCACCAAGAGAGAGGGATCCGGCTGGTGACCACACCACTGGGCGAATACGTGAATGATCAGAGCATGTCGACATGCTGCTGTAATCGTACTTTCATAGCTGCCCAGCAGCAGGTCTGGGACCGGCAAGGTAAGCAGCCGCTGCAAGGTGGCGCACAGAAATGTCAATACCTCCTGGTATTCTCTGGCTGAGTTGCAGTCCTGGGCTGTCTGATAGGTCATGGCGAGCATGCGGATATTCAGCATGAGCTCCGAATACTCTGGCAGGACACCGTGGGCCTGAAAATCGATTGGACTCGGGTTCGGGAGCTCTACGCCAGTGCCGACGAGAGCCCCGTCGAGTCGGAGGCTCTGGTAGAACCATGGAGGGCGCTGGACGACTGTTTGTGCGTCACAGGATGGGAATTCGACATCGGCTGTGGCGACAAACATGCTGGATATGACTGGTCAGTGTCGAAATGGTACCGGGTTGGACTGCCGGTGTACTCACCAAAACAGCACGTTCGCAACAGTAGGGTTTGACATGCGAACTGCCTCTAGACCACCTCGGACTTCAAGCATCTGCTTCAGCCCCGTCACATGGATACGGGAAAGACGCAGACTGCCCTTTTCATGCTGCCAACTCTGTCAGCTTCGCTTTCGGCAGGCAGGTTCTTACGTGGGACTGGACCTACCTCAATGACTGCAACTCCTGCAACGGCGGCCAGCGTCCCATCAGAGACACAGTCGGGAAAGGGTTCGTTTATCCTGTTCTGTATCAGGTCCATGCAGATCTTGGAGAGCCGTATGCACCTCACTCGTTCTTTCGGCGGTAAGTGCTGTTCCAACCGAAAGGCACTGACAAGGAGGGTGACATGGAACAGAGCCGTATCCTTTGTTATCAGTGGGGCGAAGAATTCCAGCACAGGATTCAGAGTTGGTGTGGGGTAGTATGGGAAGACGTTGAAGATATGGGAGGAGAAGTCTTGCCGGGTGGAGTTAGCTGCTGTTTGTGATACGGGTCTCTTTGGACTTACACGTCCCCATTAGCAGGTCTATGTCTGGTTCCACAGACGGTGGATGCTGTGTGAAAGGATCGAATGTTGACGATCCAGCGCCAACCGGGACCAAAGAGCCGGGACTTTTGTGATTTGGGCGAGGCCTAGGCAGGATAGGGACCGTCCTCAACGAGCTCCTCAGCTTCTCTGCGGCGGATCTTGTCGTCGCCGTCGTTGATTCGCCTGCCGTAGGACTCTGGTCCCCATAGTCACATTGTTGAATGTTGGCATAGTGGACAGCGCATTTGTCGCAGACGGGGCGCCTTTCGTCACACTGTGTGAAGCTTGTTAGAATCAGTGTTGAGAAGAAAGGATGAAGATAATGCTTTGATAACTTACTTTGACCTTTCTCTGTTTGCAGTTCTTGCATCCAGTTCGCGACTTTTGATGTGCCCTTCGCGGGATAGGATACGGCGGCTGAGATTCTCGCGACATTGATGGGATAGTTTGGCTAGATGGGCAGGTAGCTGGAGTCGATGTCGGGTTCGGGACTCATGGGCATAGGTCGACGGCGGGGGAAGTCAAGCTTCATATACCTCGAGCTAGCGCCATTTACAGGACGTCTCTCTAACAGCCTCCGTTGTCCCATCCCACGAGGCTGTGATGTCAAGAAGTCGAGCGACCAATCCACATTTGGTAGCGGAGCCGGACGAGGCTGTCGTGACTTGGAAGGCGAAAAACGCTAAGTCAGCAGAATTGCTGACTGTTCAATCGTTCACGGCCCCCAAGCCGGAGGATTTGTTCCGAAGAAATCTGGGACCTTGGGAGGAAGCCTGTGGAGGCCTGTGGGTGCCTGGCCGCTAAATCCCAGGGCGGGTCGGACCAGAAAACTTCCGGATCTTTTTGAAAAGGTCAAAGAGATTCCGCGACTTGGAACTGGCATTTGTCAACTTTTATTTATCATCTCGCAAAGAGGTCATCGTCTATGTATGAGAGATGATGCATCTAGCTTAATGGGAAGGTGATGCTCGTTCTTCCTTGCTTTCTCCTTCCATCCCTCGCTGGTATTCGATGGTATGGGAAGGAGGTCAATCAACCGTCCTAATGCTGCAGCGACAGAATCAGTGACCGTTCCGAGAGAACCCAACCCTCCGCACCTCGAAAAGCCTCAGCTGAACATGTATGCTCCACGATGTTATGGGACAGCTGTTGCATCTGCTGCCACAATGCCAAGAAGGTGGGCTGTGGCTGTCTCCTGGCAAACAACTGCGGCAGCGACGATGCGTATCTGGCTACTAGCAATTGACCACCAAAGAGAGAAGTAGATGTCGGCCCTGCCACTTCAGAACTTGGCACGCAGTGCTTTCCGTGGGCATGTGGCAGGTAGGTACTGCCCAGATGACTGTAGGATGTCAGGATCAGGTATTTCCGAACGCTGCAAGGTGAATCCAGGCTTGATGGAAATTTCAGCCCTCCCGCAGACTTGCCTCGCCCTGCCAATCTACTTCTCCCGTTCAGCAGTGAAGTGAACTGCGCCTGGGCGGCATGTTCACCCTTTTTGATCCTCATGTCAACACCCGAGGACCTTTTTTGCAACACCTCTCGCCTTCCTTTCACACAGAATCTTGACTTTGCGAACACTAAGTCGACTGTCCCAACAACAGATCACCCTTGTGCCTGAACCCTCTCCTCTTCTCTTGACTTCTGCTCACGCTTATGTGGGACAACCTTCACGCATTATTGTCTCCCTTCTTCAAGCCGTCTCAGTTCCACATCTGTTTGCTTCTAAACCTGAAATCTGTGCTCCGACACGGCTCACTACATCAAGTCCAGTCCTTTGAAGGACCCTACCATGAAGCTCGAGGACGATGACTACGAAGGCCACGGGTCAGATGCCGAATTCAGAGATAACGACGACGAGGAGGTCCTAAAGAAGTCCACCCACCCCCTTGGGCTGGCCAAGGATTACGCTCCACAGTGGCTGCCAAGGGATGCCTTCAGGGAATTGTACCAAAACTGGTAGGAGGGATTCACCATGTTTGTGGTTTCCACCTTCTGTCTAACTGACACGGTATAGGAAGGATGGCATTGTTGAGTCCTTCGGAGTTCTTCCTCATTATATCAGACCGACCTTTGTCAGGAATGATGATAAGGAGATTCACATCATCGTAACCTCATCTGCGGTTGGTCTACTTGGCTACATCCGCTTCCAAAGCAAACAGGGCATTCTAGAATTGACAAATCTCAAAGCCAAGCTTGACCGAAAACACCTGGACCTCGGCGAGACCAGCAAGCGGGACAACAACGCACTCGCAGGCGGCCACGGTGAAGGTTTCAAGCTGGCTGCGCTAGTGATGAGACGAAATGGATATTCTGTACGGTTTGAGACGAACTCATTCTGCTGGAACTTTAGCTTTCAAGGGACTCGCCCACGGCTCTATTGTCTTCTGAACAAACCTGGAGCCAAACTGTTGCGCGAGCAGCGAAGTTCATACAGAAGAGGGCAGGCGGCAGGTGATGTTCAGCGAGGGCTCACTTCTTACATCTGGGAAGACATGACAGTTAAAATAGGGAAGTCCAGAGACCGGGAAGGTGCTCAAAAAGTCTCCGAGGAAGATTTCCGTGCGTGGATGAAGGTCTCCATTGATCTGGACCCTCCCGAATCAAGTCAGATTGTTCGCACATGGAGGGGAGACCTCATATTTGATCCTCGGTTTCGAGATCGAATTTACCTCCATGGCCTCCTCGTCTCTGAGTCTGCTGGATACTCGCAAGGTGGGAGAGCCTACCGTTTTGGCTACAATTTCCACCAAGGCAAATTCAACCGCGATAGACAGCGGATGACAGACGAACATGAAGAAGCTAAAGCCTTGGCCAACATCTGGGAGCAGGCTATTGTGCTAAAGGGAGATTCTGTCATCGATGCCTACATCAAGCTATTCGCCGAAGACGAAGAAGCAGCCGATATTGTGCAAGCCTACCAATACACAACGCCACTGACAGCACAGAATCTCTGTACGCGCCTGAAGGAGTCCCATCCCGAAGCTTTCTTTTACTCGGAAAGATGTGCGTGGGAACAGAACGCCAGCACAGATGTGAGTAATATTAATCGTTCTCACAATCTCGAAATCTGATCTCTTCTAAAGGAGGACATCATCTCGAAAGAACTCAAGAGGCAGCCCGCGAAGCTCGGGAAGAAAATCTGGTGGGTCCTTAGAAGACATGAGCCGCCTCTGATGCGCACGCCTCTTGAGGAGAGAAACCACTTGTTTGAGACATCAGAACTGGTACAGCCAGGCAAGGACATGTTTAGCCTCAATATAATCCACGCTCTGAAAGGCTCATTCGCACTGAATGCAGAACTGAGCAGAGTGAAAATCGAGTTTTTGGACGGAGCTGATACAGCTATTGATCTCCTCTACTCGGCGGACCGAAATCTGCTTCAGATACACGCAAAATGGCTCGACGTTGCGCAGGTGCACCAGGTATCTAGTTGCGAATTTTTCAAAGTTGCTGGAGAACAGATGGAGAGCGACAGTCCATTCTTCTGTGACCACGTCATCCAGGACCTGCTCGAGGCCGCTTTTGAAGAAGTCCGCGTTCCGCTCAATCTGGCCCCAGCGACCGCTGCTTGTCTTCGAAGAAACGCCGTCGAATACCTCCGGAAAATGCCACGGGCTATCAAAATGACAGTTCTGGATGCTGGCAAGAAGTTGAAGGTGAAATGGGCCGGCAACGAGAGTGGAGTCTTCACTGCAAGATATGGGCCATACATTCACTATTGGGTTACTCTCCATGAAGAGAGTTCATGTGGACAAAGAAAGACAGAAGTGTTAAATGCCGCCGTTAAGTCCAGTACTCTTTCTGTACTGATAACCCCATGACTACTTCTAACGCTAAGATATCAAATACCCATCGGCGTTCCACAGACACAGATCAAGCAATAGACCTTTGCAGTTGTCCGACTCGAACAGTCTCTCAAACCCGATCGGAAGTTATCTTTGATGGGCTAGATCCCGATGAAGTTTATTTCCCAATGGTATCGCGGGCCGAAAGACCGTCTTTTTCTGGACTACCAACCCCCTCATCCGACCAGCTTCTGAGCCCACTGAGCCCGAGGAGCCCAGCGTTGAGCTCGCTCTATGGCCCAGCGCTGAGCCCAGGGTTTTACCCAAGGTTGAACCCAGACTCGGACCTAGAGATGGACCTAGAGTTGGGCCTTGAGTCCAATTCGAATCATGACAAGCCGGGAGAGGACAGTGACTCTGATGAGAATTTTCAGATCAAAGCGCGAGGTTCAAAAGCTTCTGCTCGTTCGAAGGTTGTTGCATTGGAGAGAACGAGATGGCAAAAGGACGAGCAGGACTGGCTGGAGTGGTATCAGCAACATCGTCCAGATGCACAGTCTCGAGCTGTTCCTTCGCCCCAGCAGACTTTGCGAGTATGTTCTCACCTATAACCTATTGGCTAATCTTTTTCGAGGGTACAGACTGATGCCTTCAGGTGGACGACGATGCTATTCCTCCACTTCGCTCTTTGGACCGAAACCTCAGTCTTGAGATACACCACTATTACCGTGTCCTGTTGGAGGGAGAAGAACGTGAGCAGGTCATTTTTGTTCACAGGGTCATCCCAAACAGCATTGGAGCTGAATTCAGCTACTCTTTGCTCGTCACCAGGTACTCCATGCTCAGTTCCGTCTTCCCACCTCAGAAGCCTCAGACGACTGGAACCTCAGGATCCGACGATCAAGAGTTGATTCTGCACTTCTGTGACTTTGACAAGATGCGCACGGCGCTGGATGCAGAGACCATACCCCTTAACGACATTCTATCTGCATGCCGGGTCGGGACTAGTAGAAACTGCGTCAGCCATGGATTCCGACACCGTCCAGGTTTGTTTCGCTGCCCAATTTTCAAATCCTGCTGATATAGGACTAGACATTGACACTGAGAGGCTATTCTGTCGTTTTGGCATTTCCAAAGCAGGAGCGGATGGGCGTGTTACCACTATAACACCTCTGGCGTCTCATCACTTCCTGCATGACGACTATGATTGGGAGCCACGCAGCTTCCGCGGTGAGGTGTCGCCTGTGGCATTTGATCTGACGCCTTCTGTGTTAGGTGTTTCGGAGGGATTTGCATCGAGGGGATTCACGGTTCAGGCAGCCTTTGGGCTAGATGAAGCAAGACATAATACGTGGATGGTATGAGTCTGCCAAAGGCACGGAAGCTCATGTGCGGGATGCTGACTGTTTTAGAATCGACACCTTGTGGCTCAATACTTTGATGGTCCGATTCTCGACGTGTTCAAGGACTTCGACTCGGGAAACCTCCTACCTATCCAGCTCCCGGCTCCAGCGGCCCCCAAAGTACTCCTCTTCGCGAGCGAACATGCATGCTTCCGACTAAACGTTCACAACTCTCAGATGCCGACGTTGCGACAATTTCTGAAACCCCTGGATGCCGTTGACAAGGCTGTCGAAGTGTTGAAACCTGATTTCGTCGTCATGTTACTGCCTCCCGCTTTTCAACATCCATCAGCAATGCCGAGGCACTCTAGCACGCTTTTCAGACTTGTTGAAATGGGGTTTTCAGTTCATTCAACGCTGATCGCACTGACAGAGTACGGAGTTCCGCAAGAAAGGAGTATTCTTGCAGTCATCGCATCACCCTTCGGAGTACCTTTGTCCTGGAAGTTCGATCAATATGCCGCTGGATCCCCTCTTCCTGCCACGATTGGGAACCTGATCGGAGACTTGAATTTCAAGAACCCTCGAATTGGAAACGCGTCGAACACGGGTTTTGTGTGCAAGCCTCCTCCTATTTCTGGGTCGGATGCAGGGACCTCTACGCTCGATCATGTCTACAATCACTACACGGGGATTTGTGCTGCACCTGGCGCCCAAACCATATCGATGGACAGTCAAACTCTTTCCACCTTCAACGGTCCAAAGCAATGGATCCATCCAGGTATAGTTCCCTTGCGATGTCTGCTTGATTTTCGTACTTGATAACTGACTTGCCCCTCCAGTTCGAAATGACAGACTTACTGTGCGCGAATATGCACGGATACAAGGCATTCCAGACGAGTTGCGCTTCTTCGGGACGAAAGAAGAACAATACGAGACCGTTTGCAAGGCCGTCCCTCCTATTGTCGCCAAAATGATTGCGCATACAGTTCGTGAGGCGATCAACCAGTCCCGAGTTGTCGCCATCAGTGCCGGTGAAGGAAATACCAGAAGAAAGAGAGTAAGATTTGAGGTAGAGGAGTAGGGGAGGAGATGAAGTGCGTGATTGTGAGCGGGCTTTTGAGAAGTGCGACATTGGAGGCAGATGGAGACCTCGATCTATGCTGGTTGTCGGGTCGATTCTACTGAAATTGACAAAGATTCTAATCTCAACCTCGTCATGGTACACAAAGGTACTGGGTGCTTTGCAAAGCGTGTGATGCACAAACCCTCCGAAAGCTGAACATAGTTGGCTTGCTGGATCACCGTCTTGGGAGAGGGCGAAAGCATTGGATGTGATGTGTGTTGGAGATGCCTGGAAGCAAACAGTTCTTGCACGAAGAGACAAGCTGCAGGCTGGCAACAGACTGGGACAGACAACAGAAGAGTTTGCATAGGCAGCAGTTGAGAGCTGGCGGTCACAGAACCACATTGCATCTGTCAATTTTGCACAGAGATAGAACAAATAGGTCGACCGCTGGTTATGCTAGTCTTCGCGTTCTCTCTCGTGCCAATCCACCGATCCGTCACCTGCCTCAACACAGAATTCACCTTGGATGAATCATTCCATGGAGGTAGGGAGTGGATCTGACAGCGCGAAGATGAAACAGGTAGCAAACACATCGCGAAGCCTCATTGACTCTTCTCTCCCCACGTTGATGACTCCGTGACGCCGCGACCCGCGACAGAGCATGCCACACTGCGCAGAAAACTATTTAAACCTCCTCCCCAGTCTCTACTGCTGACTTTCCTTCTCCATCTCCAGACTGCCTTCTTGGCTCGAATAGCACCTCTCTGCCTCGGTCCCTGCTCACAGGAGAGGAAGACATACTGCAGCATACCTTTTTATTCTCTGCCTCCATGAAACAATCTTGTCGCCAATGGCGAGGGCCTTGAGCTCCCTGCAGCCCACATCCAAAAACCCGCGTCAACCCTGAAAAGCCGGGATGCACAGAAGCACAGCAGCATAGTCGACGACCTGATGGCTGCAACGACAGACATGTCGACATCAGAGACACCCTCAAAGCCTGGCCCACCATGCTGCTGATGATGGACTGCCACACCAGCCAGCCTCACCAGCACAGACCGACTCAGCTCCCAAACCCTCAGAGAGCGAGTGGTGGGACCTTCGGCCTGGATGAATAAACGTCGTCAAGTCATTGTCAGGCTCTTGGACGCAATGATGGTATGAACCCTGTCCTGTGACGAGGGAATTCTCGACATCACCATCACCGTCCGACACTCTACGATATATATATACACATACAACCCTTGGGTACGCTTCCGCCGTTGGGGTGAGCTGCACCCCAACAGAGACGAGCCGTCCGGCGGGCTGCTCGCTCGGTCTCTGCAATGCCTCCGGCAATGTGAGGCTCCTGTGTTCCTGTCTGAAGGGTCACCCACGGTCTCGCGGCTCATCGAGCGCGGCCGCAATGAAAGAGGAAGGGGAGAACAATATCCCCCACAGGGACGACCCCCTCCCAGCGGGTCTAACGCTGTCCGAAGTCATTGCATTGTACCCCAGGCATGCCTGGGGTACAATGCTCCGAGTATTCATGTCTGAAGGGTTGTCCGCAGACCATATCTGGCGGCTTACGCCGCAAGATATGAGAAACACCAGAAGTATAACGCGGCCGTGGAACTATATTCAAGCCGTCGTGGGCGCGAGAGGTGGACAGAATGCAATTCGAGGAGACAGGCAACCCGTCAAGGACAATGGACACGCAGAATAATACGCCGTACCCAATGTCGACTGCGCCGGGTCAAAACTCCCGGAGGTTTCCACCATACCTCTACAGTCTGACGCCACCAATGATCCCATTTTCACTTGGACCGACTTGCTTGACACGAAGGAGCAGATGGTATCTGAGTTTGTCGCCAACCCGATATGTAAGCTGGAATTACAGAAACGTTTGCGGGACTGGCTCGATCGAGTTTCGGCGCCCACCGCAGGTTCGACTCCCGAGGAATCGCAAGACTCGCGCAGATCAGAAGTCGCGAAGTCCAGGAAACCATTATAAACCATGGTGGTCAACGGCGTTGCTCTCTAGAGAGGGCAGCACCCTCCTCGGCAATCACCCAAACCACGCATGTCAAAACTTTTCCGACGCCCTCCGCAACTCAAGCCGAAATGTGCTCCAAATACACAAGTGCGACCATGCCTGCAAGAAGGCGAATGACGCATTTCAGCCGAGACTACCTCCAGAACCAGGAGGATCGCAAGATGGTACATGCAGCGTAAGCGTGGAGGAGATGGAGGCAACAGCGAAAGACTCACCACTCCATGCTCGTGTGCAGTGCCCTCGCGGAGTTACGGGAATGACTGGGAAGATAGATCAGTGACGCATACACCGCTGCGATGTTGCAATGTTTGCAAACGACTTTCGAGATTTCTGTCACCAAGAGACGGCAGCACAAATTGTCGTCGGAACAGCTGACGAGTTCAGCAAACCACGAACTTTCGCAAGCTTTTCCCAAAATTACAAAAAACGAAGCTAACCACGCGATGGTCAGCACGGGCGACCATGCCTACACCCTTCTCTGGAAAATCAGACAGAGCAAGCCCAAGGTTAAATATGTCTCAAAAGCCAAGCATTGATGTGCCAGCCCGGTACAACTGTCTGCGCACCCGAATGGTCGTGGACACAAGCGGCGCAGCACGAGCTCAAGCGCAAATGGGGGCAAGGACAACTAACGAATAAGAACACCGAGTTCTGCTTCACAGCACAATCGCACCACCCACTCCGACACGTTCTAGACGAAGCGAAGCAGGAGATTTGTCTGGTCAGAGACGGAAGGAGAGAATGAAGAAGTGATTGACGAGATGTCAAAAGTGATTGCGCTCATGTCAACGAGCGACGAATTTTCTCTTCTCTCACGCTAAAGGCTGGGAATGGCCCTGTCTGAATCGTTTCTCGGGAAGGTTGATCGGCTCGATCAGCTGCTAACCCTATCCCTAAACGGGGGAGATGGTGTCAACTGTCAACTATGGACGAGCAGTGGTTGAGAGTGTGTGGAAGACGGGCTCTCAAACCGGGGTTGATCGCTCGGACATCCCAGGTTTCACGACGAAAACCCCTGTCTCGACCTTCGTCGATCGTTGCCTCGGTGGCCTCCAAGTCCCCATTCAGGTATCTTTCATTCCTTCATTCATCGAGTCCTGCTGGAGCCCTTGACGCAGACCCTCCCAACCTGTCATGGCTCGCGTGCTAAAGTCAAAAAGCTCGCACGGCATGGACGGGACGGAGGACTCAGGATGGACTATATGGATGGACCGATGGATCGGGACCAGATGCAGCCGAAGTCACAGCGGCGAAAGGACTTGGTGGACCACACCTGCCGGCTCAATGAGAGAAAGGGACTGAGAGCTGATTGATCATGGCGTGTTGATTGGGATAAATCGAAGCCCTGGCTCTTGGGAAGGAGCAAGGGAAGCAAGCACTGGAGCGGTTCCATCATCTCCTCACCGCCGGAGAAGAATAGAAAGTACGAAGCAACCATCCTTATCTGGCTCTCAGCCTCGATATCCGAGGGACGATGTGAACGCGAAGGCGCAGCTTGTGTGAAGCAATCATGAAGTTCCGTGGTAGTGAGGTAGAGAACGAAGCCGCAGTTCGTCACAAGAGTCTATAGCTGAAGCCAGAATCCAAAAACACAAGACCAAGAAGAGCCATTCTATCCATCCATGCATGGAAACCAAGGGCAAAAGAGAGTGACCGTTCCTTTCCTTTCCCCTACCTTTCCGTTTCCTCAATTAGTGTCCAAGCCAGGATATCCCCCTCTTCCAATCTTGAAAAGATGAAAGAAAAATAGCAAATCATGAAACAAACCCAAGGACCAATCGAGAAGCCGGATCAAAGAACCTCCTGCATCGCCAATTTCTCAACCGCCATCGTGCATACTCCCGTATATGGTGCCTCCTCACAGTTCCTTCTTGGGCGGTGGGTTGACGCTCGCATTTGTCCCTCCCACAGTGACGGTGAACAGTATTGGATCGCCGGCGTGCACCTCGCCGCTCTGATCGGCACCGCCGCTGGGCTGCACATCGTCGTAGGGAAACGCGTAGCCCTTGCCGTCCAGGTTGGCCGAGTGCACGATCCGGGAGTAGTGATTGGTGGTGGGATCCTTGTAATACGAGCTTTGAGGAGCCGGGAACGAGTTCGCCGTGAGCAGGGTCGAGCGATTGAACGCCGCGGCCAGTCGAGGGATGATGGCGTTTGTCTCGGCGTTGGAGCCCGTGGCGAACGGTCCTGTGGAGCAGCTGAAGATGTCTCGGGTGGACGGTTTCGTAAAGCTCGAACCTCCGAAATTCAGAGCGCCGTTGCTGCTGACCTTTGCGGAGGCGACCCCGAAAGAGGCCTGTGTGTCAATGGACATGGATTGAGAGGTGAATTTCTGCCAGACTTGGTTCACGTAGGCGTCAAAGTAGTTCGCAAACAACGAAGGGTTGGTCACCATCCCTTGATTAGGCGAGAGGGCTCGAAGGTTTTGTCCATTGTGGGTGACGATCAATTGGTCCCAGCCTTTGCCGTCGGCGGCTTGTTGAGCACGCAGACCATTGCAGACTGTGTCCAGTCCATTGGCAGGCATCCCGGAGACATGCTGGGTTGCACCACTTTGGGTCGTGAGGGTCAATGCGATGGGTGGGCCGACGAAATCGACATAGCTGATGTTGGCGTACAGTTGGTCGCTGTTGAACGTGAACTCGGCAAAGCCCCAGTTGGTGTTGGCGTTGGGGTCGGATGGATTGGTGACGGACGGCTCAACCAGCGCCGGTCCTGGGTTCAGCAGGAATGTCAGAGGTGCGTCAATCGAGAACCAGATGCGACCTCCAGCGACATGGGGTATTGTCACAGTCACGGTGTTACCCGGGGCTCCGAGAGCAATGGCACAGTTTTGTGGTATGGGCGAGCCGATCGCACCGGGAGAGGTGGGATAGAATGGAGTTTGCCCGTCCGCAGAGAGAAGAAATAGTGCATTGCCGCGGTCAATCGCTTGACCTGTGATGTAGGCATAGACAGTGCTAGAGGTTGTCTGGTTCTGCAATGCAATTTGCAGACTCGGTCCAGAAGCTTGAGCCGACTCCGCAATCGCAACCTGCGCTTGAGGGCCCGCAGAAGAGCCTCCGGAGCTGACGCGTCGAAAGAATCGGTGAAGGCGCTGCATTGTTACAGATGGGCAAGGGCCGAAGAGTTGAGTTGTGATGATGAAGTATTGAAGATTGATCGATGTCGAGATATGCCCGAGAATTTATGGCTTTTTCCCTGGCAAGATGGCGACGTCATTTGCCGGCCAAATGCTCGATATGGCTTTCAGCATGGATTCCTCTCAACCCGCCGACACAGAAGGCAGCCATCATGCCCCATTGTCGTCTGATGTTCATTTGCTAATGAAAAACAAAAGTTCGAGCTTCTCCTTTCGCTTCAGAGACCCCTATCCATGCGATAACAGCCCTGTCGAGGAACGTGGCACGAACCGCGGCAGCTGTATCAGATCTTGACAGGGGTCCACCGCTTTGCTATTGGTTGTGTACCTGACCAGCCAAAGCGCGGATGACCAAGATTGTCATCGCCTGATTCCTGGTTGCACCGTCGGCAGCCATCCAAGACCGGAAGAAGCAACCCGTGACGTGGCCACCATGAGGCTAATTCTCCTGGAATGCGACCGGTCTGGGGGTAAGACCCTATCGTGCTGGTCAAGGGCCGATTCCCAGTTTTGATGGCAGACTCCCTGAACATTGAGAAGCCCGTTTCAAGTGCGGTCGATCACTCAAAAGTCGTCGATGAATCACCCCTGAAAGACGACCCTACTGGCCGCAGCTCGCCGACAGGCTTGTTGTGGCATCAAACCAAGAAGGTCCAATAACTGGGAAAGACGAATTCTTCCTCGAAGATCTTCCTGACCTCCTCAAGGACGAACTTTTCCACCTTTCCCACGTTTTTGAGTACTTGTTTGCCGTCCTCCTGTCGTCCTATCTCGCTCTCCACGTGGATTTCTTGCAGCGGCCCAGGCAGACCGGTCCCAGAACCTGTTGTGCTACCTGCTTTCTTCCGTCGATCATTTGCCACGCTTTCTCCGACGAGTGCAGCAGCGTCCTCAGAATCGAGAAAGCAAAAATGCATCTTCTTTTTGACCCAAGCCACAATAGCGACACCGTCAAATGTCAAACCGGTGATGGCTAATTTGAGAGGAATTCCAACGAAGCTCGGCATTGGATAGTCAAGTAGTATTTCGGCCGTTAGAGTCATGCGCACGTCGCCGGCATACTTGACCCTTGTCACTACTTGCAGATCTGACACCTGCCGACTCTGAAGCCTAGATGCGGACAAAGGCGTCAGTGCATCGAGTGCAGTATCGCCCTGGCCGCTCTCACCGGCGGGCTGTGCTCTATGAGGCAGCTGAGGGGATGAAGGCGTGGACTCTGAGCCACGTGGAGACGAGATGCTGTTTGCGGTGGAAGGTCTAGTAGATGGATCGTCGTGACCGGTCGTGTCTTGGCCCGATGGCTTGATATGCGTTGGTCCATGAATAGGCGTCTGATGCGTCAAGCTGAAATTATGAGATGGGTCGTGCGACCAGGGCCGAGGACTGAAAGGCGTTCCGCTTGCAACTGCCGCTAATGGAGTCTGAGTCCCAGAAAGACCGCCTCCAGGGAAATGGAAGTAGCTGAGATTGGATGTCCCGCCTGGGATGCCTGGAGTCGTACTTCGTGGGAAAGGCCCCGCAAAAGCCTCGTCGCCTGCGCTGAGTCCTTCCTTGATAGAGGCCAAGGCATTGAAGTGACCGTTCCCTGAGCCCGTGATGATGTTGGACAGTTGTGGCACCGAACGTGGTTGATGAGAAGAAGAGGCAGACTCCTGAGGCACGTATTGGTTCATGGTCTCAGCCCCGTCGTTCTGTGCAGACCCAATGGCAGATGTGTCCACGTCTCCTTCGGCGCCTTCCTCGTCATCCTCGTCATCCTCTTCATCCTCATAGAAGTCAGGAAGCGGGTCGCAGATATCTTTGATCTCGATTTCGGGACAGACTGACCCAAGCTCGAATGAGTGGACATGGACGGCATTGATGAAACGGGGGAGGGGGATCTGCTGAAACTTGTCATGGACGAAAGCCCGAATTTTCTCGGCAAGGGCAGCGCCATCAGGGCCCGAGGTAATCTTCTCCCATCCAATATCCACCGACATTTTGCAGCATCTTCGGGTTTTCGAGGGAAAAGAGAGGAAGTGAAGGTGTAATGACAGCGACGAGGCTCTACAGCGTGGCGAGGCTTGGCGCTATGACGCTTCTGCCAGGATGGAAAAGCGACCTTCAGCCTTGCCCCTGATCATACAGCCTACAGACTACCTCGTAGAAGGGCAGATATTGGAGCTCAACAGTCAATTGGTGTTTTTGATTACTGCTGTCGACCGTTTACGACTTCAAACAATTCCATCCTTGGCCCACAAAGGATATGCTGCTACAGATGCGATGCTGGAAACAAACACCTGCAAAGCAGATCAGAACCAGCCCAACAGTCCAGTAAACAATCTACACCAGAAGTACATGTCAAGAATGCCACCTGTCTCCAAAGCAGAGGCCATTCAAGAGCCAACCCATCAGCTACCAGGTACTTTCCTAAGTAGTTAAAGACGTCTCGACTTCTCACGTGGTAAGCCAGTGGGTAAGTAGGCAGCAGCCAAGATCGGATCAACATCACATCCTCTGATAATGTTCGAGGCCTCAACCGAGCAGCATTCTCATGAAAACATATTGGGCAGGGCAAGGAGACAATTCTGATGTGACTTCGCCGGCTCAGGTGGATCTTCCAACAGGGTCCATGGTGCTCCGAGTGAATTCTAAAGCTTCCAAGTATTGATTCACCGCCATTAAAGAATTCCTGCGGCCTTGATAAACCTGGTGAGTGATGGAAACCCCCACTCCATGAGACATGCCCACATCACACGGGTGAGGGTGGAGGTGTCGGTGGCCAGAACAGCAGACATCTGACATTTCCGCTCAAAGCAGTCGTGGATAACTTTCCGATCCTCTTGCTGTTCTGCCTGATCTGTCAAGGTGTGCGGCTCCCACTCGTCCATTCCAGCACGTGAAGCGACGGCCAGGTTCTTGGACTGGCCTTCTGTACCTTGCAAAATGGGAACAGACTAGCGTGGGGAGATTCTCACCGTGCTGGAGCAATCCGCATCTGGGTACCTAGGTATTTCGCTGTTGCCATTCGTACATGACCTGTGGCCAGATCTGCGAGCAGGGTAGCTTTCCCAAACCGGTATATTAGACGCGTGTGGACGCCTGCATGAAGACCCTTCAAAGGTTGAGGCACTGCACCTCTAGATAGTTCTCTTCTAGAAACGTGTGCAGATTTTTCAGATCTTTCGCCTCCCAGCCATCTCATGCATACCCAGTCCGACCATCAACTCTTGTCCTGACCGCTCTTCTTCGGAGTCAGAGTGCGGCAGCGGCGCAAAGACATCGCGTCGATGGGGCTCGCAACAGGGAGGCTTTGCAAAGCTGGCATGGCGCAGGATATTTGATCGTAACCGTGCCGTATGCATTCGTAGAGATTGAAAACTGCTCAGGGCGTGGTGTGGTCAGTGGTCGCGGATCATCGCCCGCGTGAATTGTAGAAGCACGGAAAAGCCACGGAGCGCAGGAAGCCATGCCAAGCCCCACAGACTGCGGGCTTTTTCCTGGCACCATTTCACCTCACCGCCTTCTACATCTCCTTCGCTTCTTTCTTCCTTCCTTCGATCATTCATCGTCCTGTCAAGAGATCAGGAAACACATGTCTTTGTATGCTCTAGATGAATCTGAAACGCCGCCGCACAGGCCAAGGTAAGCCCACATCATCGTCGGAAGCCTATCTCCGGGACCGGATCTCCCTTCGGACTGAAGGAAGCAGAGTGTCACATTTGCCCATTCTGGCTCTGGACAGTGCCAACACGAATGTGCTGAGGCAATCAGCCCCTGCAATCAAGCTTCTGAGAGGCCTGGTCGCCTTTCCGTTACTTTCCGTGGGACCTCCCCAAGTTCTTCCCACGGCGTGTCTCGTACGACATTCAGGTAGGTAGTGTGGGAGTTCAATCCATCCTTCAGGTCGCCACCCACCACGTGCGGCCACGGCTCGAGTGAGCTCATGCCGCCTGGGTGCCGCCTAAGACCCAGCGAAAGCGCCATTACAAATGGCTTTGACAGGAGCGAAGGGTTACACCAACAATGCCAACTCTTTCCTGCAGGTAGGGGCCTTTCCAAGTCGAAGCCACCCCTCTGAAGGCAGCTGTTGATGCAGCAGAATTCGGGCAATTGCCTCTAGCAATTCTCCGTCATCAGCATGCGTTACACAGGCAAGTGACAGGCCACCACAGGCGTTGTTCAGGGCCTGATTATCACTCCACACTAACCGAGGTTAACCACGGTCAATCCCGGGCTTACATTAGCTTGGATGGGGATCCACCACTGACGATGTCCATGTCCAAGTTCGAAGCCTCGACCATGATGCCCATCGAAACACGTTCACCATGCTACCGGTTTTATCCGCGATCTACAGGCATTCAATTCGCCCTCGACTTCGCCCACGACGAGAATGCTAAGTCCACCCCCTGGACAATACCAAGTTGACTCGTGTCTTTCTGACCTAATCTCGGGATCGTATGAGGACCTGTGGGAGAGGGGAAGTCTATAAGAAAGGCACCAAGCCCAAGACGCTCCCACATTCCTCTTCCTCCTTCGATCAGGAAGTCCCCATTTGACAAACCCACTTCTTGCCATCCTGCAAAACTGACGGATCACGGGCACATTTTGATTTGCAATCCATTGACGCCACAAGAGCATCAATCAGCCTCAGTCGACATAGTCTAAGCGTTAAGTCCGCACGTGTGCCTCCCGCAGTCCCGAGGCAACTTTCAACAACCACCGTCGTCGTTGCGTCATTGGAAACAAAGCACTCACATAAAGAACATCACAACACTCTTTATTTGCATCATTCGACCTCGAATTCCTTCCTTGAACCTTTCCACCACAGCTCCTGACATCGACACCTGCACTTTCCATTCCACCGGAACATTACAAAGTCGCTTACACATACAAAATGTCCAGCCCAACCAACAACTTCCTCACCCTGATCCCCGCCGCTCACCGCGTCCATGTCTCCTCTCCCTTGTCTTCTCCCGTCGACAGCGACGAATCACTAGTTCCTGCGCTCCAGAAGACTCGGCGATCTAGCTCCAGTGCCTCCGCCGAATCCAACTCTGCGGCCGAAGAGCCTGCTCTGCCATCCGACATTGTTGAATCTCCTGTCGAGGCCGCCAAGCACCAGTTTCTGAAGTTGGGTAACTAGGTCCTTGCGCCGCGCTTTGCATCTATTCACTTCAGTCATTTTGCGTCGTTGATCTACTGGGCCTGATGCGATCTCTTAGTCTGATGATGACCTTCACCACGATGTATGTGCTCAGCATGTTTTAACACCAGGGTATCCTATCGCGGAGTTGTTGAAATGCTTTCCTTTGTTATCAGCATGCACAGTATGCTACGTTCAGGGAATGACTTTTAGTTTTGGTGTTATTGTACGAATTACATGATGCTCTCAATGGGCAGAGAACCTGGAAAGAGCAGGGTGAGAAGGGGTTTCCTTACTGCCAACGACCTGGCAAATGATAGTCTTGAGGGAGTCAAACGATGAGAAACAAAAAAGGGAATTCATTACCGCAAGAATGCCAGTTTCATATATCTCGGGACTCTTCAGTTAATACACTGACAATGGAAAATCATGCTTCCAAGACCTTGCTGCCTCGTTGCCCATTGCATTGATCTCAACCATGCATCGTTATCTCCGATACTATTTCCTCCTCGCAGCAGTAGATCCTCGTCTACTCGTCTACACACGCCCACACACCCTTTCCACGACCCACCCTACCCCGATTTTTTCTTTGGCCTTGGACCATGCAAACGAATGATTCGCAGGCCGAATCTCCACGGTTAGTAGAGATGGGAACGCTTGTAAGCGTGCGTTTTGTCTTGATCCAACTCAGCACCTCTCCCCACGACAGACCGACACACACAGATTAGACAACGTCAGATCTTAGGACCTTGACTCCCGTCTGCGGTCCCCTCGGCGGGACATATTCCTGAACACCCCCTCTCGACAAGGCCCGCCCTTGATTGTTTGGCAATCATCTCGGGATCTGCGAGTTCGCAGGCTAACCACCAGCCCAGATAACCTCGGTGCTAAAGGGTACTCCATTAATGAAAAAGACCCGGGAAGCATTGGCAATCAAGCTGGGCCCCACTGGATATCGTTTTCCGAAAGGGGGAGACCACTCCCATCCACTAGAAGGCCCAGGATTGGAAATGCGGGGATGGTGTCCCGATTTCGCGTCGTCAAGCGCAGTCGGCGACGGTGGGTTCGGGACTGGGGTTGGGTGGGGAGAAAGGATGGTGATCGAAGATGGTTCTGATGCAACGGGAGCAGGGGGACGGTTTCTCGATGGGAAGGTTGGGAGGACAAGTGGTGGTGTTTGATAGGCTTTCCGTTCAAGAAAAGAAGCAAGCTAGTAATGCCAGCCCAACAAGAGAATGTCCAATGTCCGCTCAGACAGCATTTCCCCTCTATCCAGATTGTTTCTCCCGGCTCTAAACAAGAAGTCCAAACTCCCATTCGGAGTACGGTCAACGAAGAAGAGTGATGGGCCCCCTTTTCCCATTCCCCTTCCCCGTGTTCCCGAAAAGAGCACCATACTCCCTCTAATCACAGAACCGTGTGAAACCCCGGCAGCCTCTCCATTCTAGGCAAGCCGACGATGCTCTCAGAAAAGCCCCAGAGTCTGATTGATCGTGAAAATATCGTTGTCAAGGTTAACCAGGTAAACGCCCACGCCATCGATCAAGATTCCAGCGTCGATCGTCAGCGTATTGGTGAGGCCCCCGAGGAGGCCTCCAAGGAGGCCACCTTGTCTTTCGACGAGGCCACTCAGCGCTAGCCACAATTGGTCAGATATGCTTCTTGTATCTCCAGAACATCCGGGGAACCCTGTAGCGGGCGATAGACAGACCTTCAGATGCCATTGGCGAGGGATTCGCGACAGGAGTAGCGCTTGCCATGCTGGCAATAAAGGGTATAATTGCGAAGAGGACGTGAGTCTTCATCTTGTGATCGGGGAGGATACAGAGGTTGGTAGCTGGTCAAATTGATGGTATATCGGAAAAGGTTCGATGTTGATGTTTGAGGTGTGTTTCTTCGAGAAGTTGACTGGAAGGATATGACCATGAATTTATACCTTTGTCTTGCCATATACCTGCGAGTCTCGCCTCCTACTCAGCAAGCAATACTCTTCACATCTTTATCAGAAGAGGTGTCACAAATGCTCGAGTAGCATCAGTTCCATGAGTGTGTGGTCCAATTTCTTCCAATGATTCTCAAGCGCAGTGCATCCGAAACAAAGCTGTCGCACAGCAACCGCATTCTCGGGCCACTGTAGCGCAACAGCGCAGGATGTGAGAGGCCAGGGTACTTTTCTGGATTGACAGGTCTAGGGTTTTGTCGATTGCAGCCGTCAGGATGATGAAGTTCCAGAGCCAAATCATGCAGGATTCAAGATTTCCTTGCAAAATCTCGATCTGTCCCTGTAAATGCCACTCCCAAATAGTTATTCGAGAGAGCAAAGGCCTTTTGACTGACAGGTTGCGGCCGTATACTGTAACGCCTCCATCAGAAGCTCCAGACGCACCAGTTTCGTTTTGTCTTGATGCTGCTGCTGAGGAGGGGAGAACAGCATCTTCACCGTCGTGGTGGCGTTCCGTCGCCGAACAAGCGAGCTCACCACTCGGCCATGATGTGACAGTCCAGACATGCTTCAGATGGTATTGAGAGTTGGCTGGCTCAAGGGCTAAAGCCGAACCCACGCGAAAGGATCTCATCACGTACAGGATAAAAGGTTCTGCTTTTCTTTCGTACCTTGCCAGACGGGATGAAAATAATGGGGTGGGACCAAATTCCTATGAGAAGCGGTTGTAGTAAGGAGCCTGGCACGTTAGCAACTCCCTTTCCCTCCCTGTAATTCAACATGGCAAAGTCCACAAGACAGCAGGCACACTGAATCGCCTGAATCATTGAGCTTAAGGCGGTCCATAGAGTAAGTGAGCAATAAAGATTTGTCAAATCATAGCGGCTCACCTGTCAGTACGGCTGCTCCATTACCTTGTTGTACAGGTGTCTCTAGGTGATGGCAGATCATGTAGACCGCACCAGAGCTACCTGATCCTGTGAATGACGAATAGCTCTGTTCGTTCCTCGTCGTTATGCAGCTTTGGCTAACCCATGAGAAGAAACGGGAAGGTCTCGAGGCTGAGATGAGAAGGAGCCTCGTGATCGGCTGAGTTTCCTCTGGACTTCTTCGGCCAACTAACCCCAGAAGGCAAGTAACTGTTACTCTCCACAACGCAGCCTCTTCCCCGCAACTGCTGCTCGAATGTCTTCCACGGTCGCACTACTCCGTCCAAGCTGCTATTCTACGAGGTACACATTTTCTATGCTGGACGTATTGTAATCCTCTGTGATACAATGAGCTGACAGCGACAGCCGTGTGATTCTCAACTTCAGCTCTCTTCTTCCCCAACCTTGTCTAAAGTTCACCCTCTCAACAAAATGCCTCAGCTACTGAAAATCGGTGTGTCCCAATCGCACACACTCTCGTCCCTGCAAGAAACCCTGTCCGCCCTTCGTGAGACGACCCAGTTAGCTGCGCAGAAAGACCTGTCCATCCTTCTTTTCCCGGAAGCCTACCTAGGTGGGTACCCAAGAACATGTGCCTTCGGCGCGGCCGTCGGAGCACGCACAGACGCTGGCCGTGATCAGTTTCTCGCCTACACTAAGTCCGCAGTGGATTTAGGGGATACACCGCAAGGGGCTGGAGATGACTGGATCGAGCGGAAGCTGCCAGTGAACAAAGAGACGGGTCGAAGAGGGGACGGGACCAGGGAGTTTCTCGAAGATGTTGCACGAGAGACAGGCGTGTTTGTCGTGACTGGACTCATCGAAAAGGCAGGCGGAAGTCTCTACTGTGCGGCAGTATATGTCGACCCTAAGAGAGGCATCATAGGCAAGAGAAGGAAAATCATGCCCACAGGCTCGGAGCGGCTGGTGTGGGCCCAAGGTCAGCCGTCCACTCTAAAAGCGGTAGCCACAACCATCAGGGGAGTCAGAGTGGTCATGGGATGTGCTATATGCTGGGAGAATTTCATGCCTCTGTTACGGTACAGTCTTTACAGCCAAGGCGTGAATTTATGGTTAGCACCTACCGCGGACCCGAGGGATACGTGGGAACCGCTGATGAAGACTGTTGCTGGGGAAGGCCGCTGTTTCGTCCTCTCAACCAACCAATGTATGAAGAAGAAGGACTTGCCTACTTGGATCACGGGCAACCCAAGCGAGTGGTTGTCTAAACGGCCCAAGCCCGATTCGGAGACGTTGATGAATGGCACTACTTCTCCAAACCACCATCCCGCGACCGGTGGCCGACGGCTCTCCATGACCCGCACGGAAGAGAACCACGAGATAGCATGGCGCTGCAAAGACGCTCCGATCGACGAAAGCAAACCTCTCGAATCATCCACACCGCTCAGTGACGGGGAAGAATTCGTCTCCCGAGGCGGCGCCTGCATTGTCAACCCACTAGGCCGAACCATTGCAGGGCCGATATGGGAGAAAGAAAACGAACTCTTGTGGGCAGAGGTCGACTTCGACGATTGTGAGAGGGGACACTTAGATTTCGACGCCACGGGCCATTATGCGCGCCCGGACGCGTTCAAGTTGACGGTGGAAGGGTTGGAGTTGATCCCGCCTCCTTGACCCAGGAATATATGACCAACCTCTCTAAATAACAAACGTTGAAAATAAAAAGCGAATTAACCCATACGACCAGATTGGGAACCGAATATGAAATCCTCAAGAACATGCAGCCTCTGCCATTCGAAGATGAAGATGAAGATGAAGAATGCAGACCACGTTGTCAGAGAAAAAGACAACGTTCGGCCGGGGGGCAAGTATATCTCTTCTCGTCCCTGTCATCCCCGTCCCATCCCTTCCTATCCTCCCCACATTGTGGATTATTGTGGTAATTTGCGTCAACTGTCCTGCCGTATAAATTACAATGCCCACCACAAACCCCCTCGAGGGGGGACGATGGAATCGTACTCAAAGATCGGCAGTGGGTAAACTTGTTCTTGTCTCATGCGTGCCGCCGCCGCAGGAGAGCAGCGGCAGACAGGCATCCAGCTCAAGATCAAGCAATAGAGGCCAAAAGCATGCAGATCGAGCGAGGTAAGAGACGTCACGTAGCGCGTAGCACGCCTCTCGGGGAGAGGACCTCGAAACGAAGGGAAGGAAAGAAAAGAGAATGAGTCGTCAGATGAGCGAACAGGGCGAGAGATTCTGAGCGAGCCAGTCGTTGGAGTCGCCTGGTCAGAAGACAAATTCCGCTGCTTGAGGCAGTATCCGTTCGACAGATTATAGCTTGACTCACACTGATTCGCATGCCACTTGTTTGACCGGTGAGGGTATCATCAATCGAGGCCGGCTTCCACCCAGATTCAAACACCCCCGTACATAGCAAAAGCATTCATACCCCGGCGCCATTCGTCTCCGGCGTGTGACTGGCATCGTATCGCAGAATCAATAAGCCACTCGTGTCCTCATATCCGAAATCTTCCTCTCAATCTCCCGAACACTTCGGTCCAATTCTCCCGCAATCATTTGTTTCTTGTCGTTCGAGAGCAAGAAAAAGGTTTCACAAAGATCGCCATCAATCGCGCCTTTTGATGGCGCATAGTACGACCGGTAGATTAGATGATCTCTGCCCAAGATTGGGGGGTTGCCATTGCTCGAAGCAAGATGTGTCTCCAGAGATTGGAAGAAATCAACGTCTTCGCGACTCACAAATGGCACGAGCATGCCAATGGTGCCCTGGAACCCTGTCCAGAATACCACGTCTCGACCGCCGGCCACGAGACTCGTCTTCTGGATGCTGGTGGGAATGTCGCCGGGGAAGTAGTGGACCGTGAGACTCAACCGGTTGGGCGCACCGTTGAGGTACGCCCGTTCATGGATCAGATGCGCACCTGAACCGTCCTCGTCCGCCTCTTCAGAAGCCTTGGTTGGGCAGCGCAATAACCAGAGATTCCCGAACTTGTCTCCGCCTGCCACGGTTTCATAATCCACCATTGTGCAACAAGTCGTCCAGCGAGCAATGACATCATCGGCAAAAGGTATGAGCTTGTTCTCTTGAAATTTGTACACACAATATGACACACTCTCTTGGATGTCGCTGACGATAATTCTGCTTCCCTGGGTCTGTAGGCCGACGATGATGTTCGGTGTTGCTTGGACTTGGCATTTGCGCAACATTTGTTTCATGCCGAGATCATATATCCGCAGATCTGCTCCAATGCCTGCTAAGAGCCGGCCTTGGAAAGCAAGCAGGGCGGTTGGAGGTTGCTCCACTTTCGTTTTGTGGATGAACTCGAGTTCTCTGCCGTCTTCGTGGAAGCGATAAACGTGTAAGAAACCTGCCGAGAACGAACGAGGGTTGACCACCAGATCCTTAGCCGTCCCGACAATCAGGAAGGTCTCATCGTCTTGACCTGCGAAGGGGGCCGCCGTAATGCTGGTGGCACACTCATTATCCTCCAGCTCAAGTGTAAAGACGACAGATTTAGTCGTGACTGGGTCGACAATTTGGATACATGACGCCCAGTGACCAGTCCCACGAGGATATCCAAACTCTTCGGGAGGGAGTTGAACGGCGTCGCCATTGACTGCTGTAGATTCTGTGAGCAACTTTGTCCTTGTGGCGGGCGCGAGCACGTTGTTGTCTGCTTCAATGACATAGAATAAGGGTTGTTCAGGATGTTTGACGAATTTCCTGGGGGTATATGGGAGTGGAATGTTCTCTTGGAGCAGATTCCGAGACAGATCTTCGATTGTGAATATCCTGCGGCAGACAGTTAGAAAATGCTGGAGAAAAGTATTTTCGAACAGATTGCGGTTTGAAGAACATCAGAAGGAACAATTGGTTGAGTTTTGGAGTCCGCACGAGTCATCGACTCTCGGAAAGAGCATAGTTATGGTTTCATCACGTAAAGACTTCGAGTTGGGGAGATAGAACTCACCTTAGGTTCTGCCCTTGAATGCCCACCATTCCTTCAGGGCATTGTTCGCTCGTGAAATTCCAGACGTATTGTAAGCCGACGTAGTCAAGTGGAGTCAGCATGAAGCCGTTTGTCTGCCTGTCGGTGTACCCAAGCCATGAGCGTGAACTTAGTGCCATTACGGCGTTTTGCCCCTTCACCGAAACGCGGAAAAGCTTCGCCGGCTTGAGACCTAAGAAGCGCGTCCGCGTATCCGAGAGTTCACCAGTGATCTCATCCAGGACCGTCCGCAGGTAAACACCAGAGTAAAGGCCAATATGGAGATACAACGTACTCCCGCCAGAGGTGGAGTCTGCCATGGCCATTATGGATAGCGCTGAAGGTGCCGAGGTCAATGCTTGCACTGATTTGTTTTCGAGCGTCGAATCAGGGTCCAGACTCAAGATCCTGACAGTCGAATCGTCGCACCCAACAGCGAGGAACGAGCTTCGAACCCGACCCTCAGGCACCTCGCCAAGCGATAGACAAGTCACGGTCCCAGTCATTTCTCTCCGCTCATCGTATTCTGCCAAGGATCCATCGGTATCCATCTCGAAGTAGACAATCTCGCCCGAACTTAGGGCTACAGCAACTTGTCGCTCGTTTGTAGTAGCAGCGACAATAGAGCGATGCTGAGGTGCCGGCCATTCATTCACCCGCTTGTCTGCTCGAATATGTCGAATACCCTTGGGATGTACTTGAAGCAAGGCGTCTTCGCCCAGCTGTTGGACGGCGAGGGTCGGAGCCGTTGAAAGAAACCCCGTGTCTGTAACTTCTTCCACTGTTTCTCCAATGCTTAGCACCAGGGTTCCAGTGCGGAAAGACAGTACGATATAAGCGTCGTACTCATCTTCCCTGGTTAATTTGGTGGTCCACACAGCCTCCGGCTTGTCTGGAAGCTCCGACTCCACAATCTCCGAAACTGACAGGCCGTGCTTCAAGGTCTTGAAACTGCTTCTAGCACCCGATCCACATATCGAGTATATCTGTGGAGCATCTTCATCGAGAAGGTTGGCGACCTTGCAGTCCAGCAGGGGATTTGCAGCATCAATGCTTTGTACAAGGTTGAGATTTGAAAGGGGTCGTACGTGGAAGTACGCTGGAGTGTAGGGTTCTGTTGGATCTGAAGGGAAATCGTCACTCGTGAACTCCGTCTCGTCGTCGTCGTCTCCAAGCTTTTCGAACTGGTAGAAATGGTGATTACCGCTCTCGCTGCTCACGAACAAGAATCCACTCTTTAAGATAAGCAGACTGTTCGCCACAGGAACTGTGTCAAAGTACTTCAGTTTCAGTGCCTTCACCTCACCCGTCGGCTGGCCATTGTCGTCCTCCACCATTTCTATGGTGACTTTGAAGAGATCACCATCCTCGGTTTGTAGAAGCAGGAAAAACTGGCCTTTCATCTTGTGCATGACTCCTGCCACAATGTGACGCTTGCGCTCGGGATTTTCAAGCACACCTCGTCTCCTTGGGATTGGTACTCGGAAAGCCTCTTGATTTGAGTGTCTGTACGTGATATTATCTTCCCCACAGACGAGAACGCCGCTCGGACCGTCAGATCCACCAGGGACCTGAAATAGTTTGGTGGCACTCCTTGCTACAGGCTCGGCCCATTTGCGAACGACGTGATTGAGGCCGAGGTCAAGCTCGTAGTAGACTAGGAGCTTTTCCACCTCTTCCAGGGCCTGCCCACTCGGATCCTGATCCACCTCGGTGTAGTCGACTTCGAGTGCTGCAAATATGGGGTTTTCGTAACCAACGTCGAGGGCTATGCATTCAAAGACAAGAGTTTGAGGTTTATGGGCTTCGAGCGGGGAAGAAATGGTAAGCTCGGCCTGAGCATTTCGGTTCAAGACATAAACCAGCTTGTTCTTCTCGACGGATGCAATCAGACACGCTCGTCCTTTCGGATCGACAGCGAGATACTGCCCAGGAATGACTCTTCGAATGCCCGATTTCCCGTAGGTCTCGAGATGTACGCGATTGAAACGATTCTGCTCGCGGAGATATTCGAGGATGGTGATGCGCCCTGAGTCTGAGCCGACAATCAGATAATCTACCAGCCGTATTAGTGTGTGCGTCCGCCGGCGAAAAGACACCACTGACCTTTACTACTCCCAGCCAGTCGGAAGGCGGCCAGAGACCTAATGATGCCGAAGCAATCCTGGGTGAAGAGAGGGGAGACTTTTCCCTGGGTAGGATCGGGTCTGTGGATGGTGAGCTTAGAGCCCGATGCTGTGATGATCTGTTGCTCTTTTGTACCGGCAAACTGACCCAAGACTGCTTGAGTGATGGCTGAAGGCGGTTGTATAGTCAAGCTATACATAAACATAGAGCTCGTCGTCGCCATGGTGGGCAGTGGTCTCAGTAGGGTTTGGACTGCGTTTTAGGATGCGCTGTTACTCTAGGAAACATCCAGTGACATGGCTGCTTGCATTGTCGAAGGATCTCAAGCCCAGGGTATCCTCATGAAGTGCTCTGTTTGTCTTCAATCGTAAACCGGGTGCTCAAAATCCGCTCTCTCGCCGCATCGCATTTCAGCAAGTTGAGCGGCACAAAAAAGTTCAAGCTTGCCAAGAGCAAGTTCTGGCTGGGGCCTGATGAGGTAACTGCGCCGAGAGCCAACCGCCCGAGCGCCCACAGGCCACTAATAATTTGACCCTCCCCTCGGTGGTCCTGGTGGCGCGGACAGCCCCTCCCAATGCTCCCATAGAGGGCATCGGTCATACGGCCAACACCGCTGGTACCGCTGGTACCGCAAGCTGCGCACCTGCAGCCAGGAACCCAGCGCAGGCGCAGGCCAGGCGCAACTGGCTGCGTCAAGCCGATCGACTTCGTCACTCTTGCCATCGATCCATCGGCCAGGTGGTCAATCTTTGTTCATCTTGCTCTTGTTGAGAAATCTTGACATGCTCATCTACGTACGCACTTAGTCCTACCTTACCAATTCTTCCATCTGCCTTAGAGGTCATCCTCACCTCACCTTCATCTCTTGCTGCGTATCTCTGGCAGATCCGTTATCAAGCAAGCTGCCCTGGTGTGGGCTCCCGTGTTCGATCCAAGCATCGCCTCCCTCACCCGTTACAATTACAAATCCATCGAGCGGAATCTCATTGCCTGCGCGGCTTCTTCACAATGGCCGACGCTGCTGGCGCTGAAGATGCCACCGTCACCTTCCATGTCAAATCCTCGGGTAGCCAGAAATGGACACTGACTTTGCCTCTGTCAACGACGACACTCGATTTGAAAAATAAACTTGCCTCTGAAGAATACGCCAATGTTCCAGCGTCGGCTCAGCGGCTGATTTACAGCGGGAAGGTGCTGAAAGACCACGAAACCCTCGCCTCTCACAATGTGAAAGAAGGCAACACGATGCATCTGGTCAAGAGTGCCGCTAGCAATCAAAGACAGAACCCGGCTACACAATCCTCCTCGACCTCGACCCCTGCCGCGGGAGCTACACCGCAGGCCGTTCCGGGCGTACCTCAAAATCTGGCATCAGGCACTGGGAACGATCCTCTGGCTGGTTTGACAGGCGCCCGATATGCGGGATTCTCCCAGTTGCCAAATCCCAGCATGTTTCAAGAAAATCTCACACCAGACGACTTCCTTCGCCAGTTGGATAACCCCCACTTCCAGCAGATGATGCGTGAAGCCATGGGCAACCCCCAAGTCCAAGACATGATCATCAACCAGAATCCACATCTTAGAGCGATGGGGCCCCAGGCGAGGCAGATGCTCAATTCTGACTACTTCAGATCCATGATGACGAATCCCCAAATGCTTCGGAACATGATGCAGATGCAGCAACAGATGGGCATGGGTCCTTTCGGCGGTGCGGCTGGAGGGGAGGCCTTTCCAGCGCCCGGCGTCACCAACACAACGGAACAGGGCACTAATGGCGGTACTCCTCAAAACGCGCCCAGCGACCCGCCGGGGATGCCACCGAGCTGGGGTCGCGCAACACAGCCTGGCGAACAGTTACTCTCCCTTTTACAACAAATGAGAGACACAACGCAAGCCCTTGCCGACGCCTATGGAGATCCCAACACCAATGCGACCGGGGCCCGAAGTGGAGAAGCTGGATCCAATAACCAAGCCGGTGGCCAACAACCACAAACCGCTGACAATATGACAAACCAGACCCAGCAGCGTATGAACCCTTTCATGGCACTGTTCCCACCGCAAGGGAGGGGTCCCAACACCACTTCACCTCCTCCACTCAATCCTTTCAACCCACAGCAAAACCCATTCCTCCAGAACCCTGAGGCCATGCAACAATTCCTACAGGAAATGAATGCTGGCCAAGGTGGTCAAGGTGGCGAGGGTATGGATTATGGCGGACTATTCAATATGCTCGGTGCCGGCCGGCCAACGTCACCACCGGACAACCGACCGCCTGAGGAGCGATATGCGCAGCAGCTACAGCAGTTGAACGAGATGGGATTTTATGATTTCGACCGGAATGTCCAGGCACTGCGAAGAACGGGGGGAAATGTGAACGGCGCAATAGAATACCTGCTAAGTCATCCTGCAGACTAGTGATGCGAGGATGTGTTTTTACTTCCGGGATATGTTACCACAGCCATGGCGAAGGACCTGCAATATGGGCCCACGATGTCTTTTAATGAGCAGCCTAGCTCGACATGTACAATGTAAGCACTCCTCAAACAAGTGCTTCCTCACCTCGTCATGTGGTTCTAGCTATCGTTTCTTGCCTTGCCTGTTCAGACTCGTGGTCAGGCCCCAATTCCTATTCGAGCTATCAAGCTCTTTGTTCTCGCCTTGGAAGTCGAAGATCCGTGGTTGTCCAAACCGAATTCTTGCCTGGGTTCTCAGCACAGTTTGGGCTTCAGACAGAGAATCGTATGCCAATCACCATCTCTCCACTTGTCCTAGCATTCATCACAGCCGATTGAGGAGCAACTTTACGGAGTGCGTGGGATTATCCGGTGTTAGATTGGGTATGTGCCCCAGCAGATAGATCGACATCCTCAAATATTCAGCATCAACCCAGTATCAGGTCCACGCATAGCTTCCTTTTCCCCATATCGTCGGCTTCCATCTCTCGTGCTGCGGTCGCATCTAATATTCTTCCGACGCCCTGACACTTCAATGCACTCTGGACGAAGGGTCCACAAGACGCCTCTGCTCTGTGCAACAGTTGTTGGCCTCGCTGGCCTTTCAGGGCGTCTGGCGTGGAACCGCCAACGTACAAACCCACTCTCACATGCTCGATCCATTTGCGATGCTGAGGCTGGATGCCCAAGAACAAACGCTCCAGGCAGAGTCCATTGCATACAATGAATCGCTTGGGCGAACTGAGCAGCGGACGAACTTCGTCGTGAATCTGGCGGCATACCCTCAGGAGGCGATTGTCGAACTGTTTGTACACGTTGAAGCCTTCACAGCATCTGCCAGGATGATTGGACATGCAGGTACCGGGGCTTGAGTCGCATTTGCAAGGTTCGACTGCAGTAGGACCGAGAACAATGCTCCATATCTGCAGGCGCAGCTCGTACGGGAGGGTGAGAAGGGGAGGGATCATGATGTGATTGAGATCAGAGCCGCAGAACGAGCAGAGTGTCTTTCAGTGGTTCTGGTTCCTTAAGGGCTCAGCCTGGTCTGGTAAAAGATGCTATCAAACGAGTTTTGTACGCTCTGCCTCTTTCTTTTTTTTTCCTTTCCCTGGGAGGAAACCAAGAGGAAATGACTCGCCACCCATCACCTGGCCACTGTTGGGATATGTACTCGGTAGTATTTTCCCATGACCCCATAATGTGCGTGTATACCAATTCCAGCGCAACCGGGTCCTTCGCCCAGCGCGAATTGCGACCGCTTAATCAGCTTCGGCAGCGCAGATTCGCCGAAGCCCCAAAAAAGATTAAAATATTCAGCCGCAGCAGTCGCAACTCGGTATACTAATGGTGTCTAGATACCTATGTAGGCTATCTGCAGGTGGATCAGCCTCGTTGACGTAGGCTGACAGATTACTCATATGAGAGAGGGAGAGAGAGAGACAGAGAGAAGAAAGAAGTCAAACCTCGGTCTAGAAATGAGCAGCCATTTCTGTATTCGCCTGTAACCTTCCTCAGCCTGGCGTCTCCATATATATAATCCGCATAGTGGCACGAACTATTAAGTGGATGGTGCTCACTTGCCCACTTAATAAACACTGTATTGCTGCTCACTTAGGTATCTATCTATGTATGCCCTTCGCTCCCCGCCACAAAGCATGCCCTTCTTCACTCGTCCTCGTACAGTCTATATCTGTGCTTTCGAAGCTCTTTTTCTTTTTTGGTGGCTGGATCTGTACTTGCATCCTTTATAACCTTTTCCAATACATTACCACCCCGTGCAAGGTATGGTTTGATGCCAGAAAGGTTCCAACATTCATAAAAACCCTCCTCATCTACGGCTTTTAACATGTACGCCGGTGGTTTTATCTTCGGGTGTGCAAAAAGTTCGAACGGGAATGGGTGAGAAACCTCAGCAAGGGGAACAACAGTGAATGTGGGCTCGGGCTGGCGAAGAGCATGCATGGGTCTCGGGGATAAAAAAACAGTTCTTTTGCAGGAAATGGAAAGACGGATACCTGTACGTAGGTCCTTGGATGAGCGCGGAACGGTACAGTGGCACTCGATATGGGGCTCATTTGTCGAGTTGTCATATCATGAAGGGGCGATTCAGGCTGCTCAATGTCCTTCCCTTGTTGAATGGTTGAGTGATGCATTGAAGCAGAGGACCCCTGAAGCGTGCTATGATCCGTCTACGAGCTGAGAGCCGGCGGTCATACGGGTCAGAAAGGGCAAAGGAAGGCTCCTCGATGAGCAGGATGCGGGCAAAAGGGGCAGGCTGTAGCGAGATTTTCGGTTCTCGCGGTTCTACTGGAAGGGAAGGTGAGGCTCGCTCTCCTTTTTCTGGAAGACTTCCGGCGGTATTTTATGGGTTCTGGCAAGGATATATCATGGCAGGTTGATTGTAGGGAACGATGCCAATTTGCGTGTGAGGAGAATGACAACCTTGGAAGTTCAACGTGTCGAGAATATTTGGATTCATCCAAGGAGCCGAGTGAAAGCATGTCAGGCTCAAATCCCCCGTTGATGATTGAGGCTCAAGGGATCGGATTTATATCCTATCGCGATTGACGGGTTCATCCCCTCCTCAAGCACACTTCGCTTCGAGCAGCCGTTCACAACCGACTCTTTCCCGCCCTAAATCCCAATCATTGTCAGCAAACACTCCACTCAGTAGACGGGGGGAGAGAGCCTTTGAAAGTTCGTGTAATGTACCTCTATTCGTTTGGGAGGGATTCCTGTCCTCCATGATGGCCAGCACTCACGAAGTACCAACAATATCACCCGCAATGAAGATGGGGGACTTGTTGCTGAAATTGGGCACGTCGCCGAAAACCGTCGCCGCCTCCTCGCCGGCCAGGGCGTTCTTGAGCCCGTCGGCACTCTCCCAGGTCAACAACGCGCCAATGTTGTACGGCTTGGAGCCATCGGGCGCCGTCTGGTATTGGATCACTTGCCACGACTTGAGGCCGTATTTGCTCCAGTTCTTGCTGACCAAGGGCATGTGGGTTTTCAGGTAGTAGTCCAGGTCGAAGGTGGCGTCCGCCTCGGTGGGGTAGAGGACTGTTGCGTTGACGGTCATTTTGGTTGGTGGTGATGCTGGTCCCTTCTTTAAATTGTGTACACACACAGAGAGAGTGTGTGTGTGCTGAAAGGGGGATGAAGGACGGCAAGAGACTGAACAGTGACACTCAAGTGATGAGGAAGTCGAGCAAGTAAAGTTTATATACTGCACGCCAAGTAGGGTTCTTATCGCTCTGATGAAAAAGAAGAGGAGTGTCATATTACCTGCCCAGTAGGTAGCTATTTATTACCACCCACCGAGCCATCCATCCATCGCAGAAACCCCGTCCGTGGCCTCCCTCCCCCTCCTCGAAGATTCGGCCTCACGGGACGAGGATCAGTTTTGCCCAGAATGGCGAAAGGTGAGGGGCTGACGTTGTGTTTACACCTTAGTCGGTACTTCGCACTCGTCTGTCTCCTCTCGAACCTCATGCTCGCCATGCTTCGACGCAAACTCCGTCAAACTCCGTCCCTTTCCCCCGCACTAGTCGAATCCGACAACGGCGGCCGCTCCTTCTCCGCTCCTCGTCCTACTCTTCCTTCCTTCGTCCGCGCGGCTTGCGCCTCCTATGCACGCACCAGCTGGCAAATTGGCCTTTTGTGCGTGGTTTTTCCCAGAGATTGAAAGAAACGCAGAAAGGGAAAAGAAAAAAAGATACCGAGGCCACACGGTCTCGCTCTGTCCTCCAAATGGTCTGAACGCGTCGACAGGTTCATTAATCGGTTGGACTGCTTACTACCCAGTGCTACGCTCGTGAATCAGCTCGCCCCAGCTAAATATCTCAAGTGAACCACGTTTGAAATTGGTAGTAGTTGTTGGCAAACGGATCCTCCCTCTCCCCACTCTTTCACACCCCTATCGAGACCGCAGCCCAAGTTCAGAATGACCTTGAGGGACGCCATTCGAAGACACTCCAAGGCAACTCCAAGGGCGCGAAAGGGGAATCATGGGCACAGGAAGCATTACGAACCTGGAATATTGCTGGAGTAGATGCAGGGCAGGATCAGGAAAGTCAGGACTGAGTGTCCGTCACAGACAAGTTGCTAGGTAACACAGACAGATGGAAGTTGTATACCACAAAGGACTCGCGGAGACTCCATCTCGTTCTCAATTCTGAACGCATCTACCCAGTATGAGAATACTTCGTCTTCACTCCACAGGACACATCTATCCTTCCATACAACAGACCATCTGCAGGTATGCCCGTCGTATGCGTATAGAAATACTTTCCGACATCTTGTCTATCTTGCGATGTGACACTCGCAGGTCCGATCTATTCAAACTCCACATCATCTCCCCGGGCCAATACCCCAACAACTTTTTGAAACAGCTCTGTCGGCGTGGGCACTTGTGCCGATGAAGGAAACCTCAGCACTCCATCAAGCCCTGCTCCGGCACCAACCTGTTCGTTCATCATAGTATTGGCGACCGGATTTGGCAGTTCCTCTCGCACTGCAGTGGTAGCTGGGGCCACAAGCCCTTTTCGACCGAAAATACTGTCCAGACTCTTAGTGACTTGCTCTATCTCCCCGGCGGCCCGGTTTGTCCTTGCGAATGCTCCTGTCGTTGGTCTAAGATACCGGTATTGATTCCTCTCGTCGATAACCAGGTACCCAGGCCCGGTGGTCAGTGGAAGCAGTCCCTTGACCGTTCCCGTAAATGAAGTCTGATACACAACCTGCGCCTGCACGCCTGGGTCGCCTTCACTGCCTGCAATGGCATCACCTGAGCGGTCATTGGACAAACTCAACAGCACCAATTTGCTAACTCTCGGCCATTCCGAACGCGAAAGACATATTGCAATTGTTCCGTCGAATTTATTCTTTGCAAGGAAGAACGGGCTCCCGCTCTTTGGTGGGACATATTGTTGGTCGAGCTGGACTGGCGATGAGACCAATCGATTTGTGATTGTGTCCAGGATTGTGAGAGTCTGTGAGAGGCATATGAGATAACGGGATTGGAAGAGAAGTCTGGCTGCGCTGCTAGTACTCGGGAGAAGGGAGGCCTCGGAGAAAACGATTTTTCCTGTGGTAGGGTCGATGAGATGTACAAAGTGAGTTCGAGGCCGTTTGGAAGTGGCAGTAGGGGATTCCGACGAGAACTTGGACCGGTTTTCAGGCCAGAACCATGCGGCAGCGACAACCGAGCCATCGTCCGAATAGGCCAAGGCGGCAGATATTGCATTTGTCTCGATGCGTCCACGCTCAAGAGGAGCGTCATGATCGCATCGAATCGTCCTTGAGCAGCTCCAGTTGTAAAGCTGCTCATTGGCCTTATTTCTGACCGAAACACCGTTCCGGTGGCGCGCTTTGGGCGACCATACGCAAACACTTGCATCATTGCCAATTGTAGCCAATTCCAGTTTCGCAGGGTGAAACGATACACCGAGCACAGAGTTTGGACCTGCTGTGTGAGGTTCGTCAACTCTGGTCACTTGCTCAAAGTTGCTATTCTCTTCATTCCACAACCACAGTCTCAGACTCGTTTCCGTTGATCGGCTGCGAAGATCCGCACCGTCGGAACTGATGTACGTACTGTCTGTATCTTGCTCGTTGGGCTGCCATTCATCTACTGTCGCTAACCATCTGCCGTCGTGGCTGATAGCAATATGCTTGACAGTGGGTTCTCTGACTGGCTGTCCAGTGGGAGCAACATTCGACGCGGTAACCATGTTTCGTGTTAAAGCTTGACGGCCAACTTGGATCTTTGATTCAATATCATAGACTTGTAAGAATGTCGAACGTCTGCCGTGAAACGGGCCTGTTGCGGCGGCATCGGAAGGTACAGCAGCCAGTAGTCGGTTTGGGACGTTTGGGTGAGCAAGAATGAGACTCGAATTCTTTCCCATAGCCAAGCCGCAGACACTCGTTGAGGGAAGCAGATCAGCGGTCGACAGAATCATTACAGAGTTGTCACCCAAGCGTAGGGCATAGGAAGATCCAGCAGTTGACACACTAAGATTCAGGATTGGCGTTGAAAGATGAGGCAGATACTGCCTCTGATTCGAGTCCAACTGCCAGATGACAAGAACCGTCTCGTTACCGCCAGACACAACATAGTTCCGATCTCGAGACCATTTTACCGTGTTGACGGCCGTTCGATGCCAATGGAGCTTGCGGCCAACAATGTCCTCTGTCGAAGCTTTGTTCTTTTTCTCCTTTCCAATGAGTTTGAAGAGAATGTCCTCATAGTGCATAATGACCCCGTCATTCAGACCAATCACAACGTCGAGAAATGGGACTTTTCGTAAGGTCTTGGATTTGCCTGAGTTGACTTGGGCGTCAAAGCTCGTTATAAACCCCGGCAGTGTAATTTCCCTCCATATGTAGATCAAGTCCAATTCGCCCTCTGCTGTGACTTGACACTGGCCAACTAATAGTTGATCTTCCACGCATGTCAACAGCACGGCTCCTCGTGCGTAAGATCTGATGCAGGGTGATAGGTTGGTCCTCTGCAACACTGTGTTGGACTCGGTGAAGGCGCCTAGAAGTAGATTGACAGAATAAGCATCAAGACGCTTCCCGCCTTGCCCATCGTCTTGTAGAACCAGAACCATCTCCTTGTCGTCTTGCTGACACAAAGGAACGATTTGTTGTGAGCCACGTCCCGTGCTGTGTCTACCTATCACAGCAGCAGTTGTCCAATCCCATAGAGACACCAGTCCTTTCGAGCTAGAGACGTACAGCCTTTTCGGGTCAGCCTTCGACAAAGAGCAGCTGGTAATGTCGGATCGAGAGTCGATACGAAAGCTTCTGACTAGCAAGGAGGTCTTGGTTGAATAGACTTGGATTTCAGAGTGTGTCGGCAGGATCAGATATTGGTCATCAGCGGTTAAAATTGGATCTTGATCGATAAAGGTTCCACCGTTGCCGGGTGATAAACTGAATCCGCTCCCGTCCGAGATTGAATTTTGCATCTGCGTTTGCGTGACGACTTTGGACCTTTGCTTATTGCTTTTCGCCAACTGCTTTTTCTGTTCTTGATGGGCGAACTGGTCTAGTCTGTTGCCCCCAGCCAGTTGATCCACTTTTTGACGCTCGATGCTCGTTCCATTCTCTTTGACTGGGTTGGCATTGCGTTTTCTCACTCTCTTAGAGTTAGATAGCTGTACTGCTTGCATTTCTGGCGTCAATTCGTTGACCAACACCTTCGATTCCAAATTGGAATCTTCGGAATTTCCCCCGTTGGTGCCAGTGGTTTGTGACCGTATGTGGCCTGGTTCTGACTTCAACGCTGTAAGCTTCTTCCTTTTTCGCTTATTTGTTTCGGCTTGATTTTGTGGCTTCTCAGTTCCTCCAGTATCCAATACAGAATTGCCATTTTTTGGCTTTGGTGAGTCTTCTGGTTTTTGTTTGGGAGCTAGTCCCTGGGTCGGAGTCTTCGTAGGTGTCTGCTTCTTCGGCTTGGCGTCACTGGAAGTCGGTGCATTTGGCTTGACTGTGTCCTTGACCTTGGGAGTGGAATTGGGAGAGTCATTCGTGGTTCTCGTTTTCAGGGTAGCAGGCGACGCCGTCGCTTTTGACAACGACGGGGTATTCTCAACCTCAACTTTCCCGCTTGTTCTTCGTCTCTGGCGCTTTTGCTTGTGCGAGTCGCCGCCATGGCTGCCTTCAAAGGCAGTGTCGGCGTCTCGCTTTGTAGGCTGCAACATCCTGAGACGAGCAGACTTTGCAGACGAGCAACGGGTCGCATGCTCCCAATTGCCTCGCAGCATCGCATGTGTAGCGAAATCAGAAACTTTTTTCTCCGCACCAACTGCGTGGAAGGTCTGCCGAATGAGTCACGTGCCGATAAGTTGCGGAGAAGAATTTCTGCGACTTTTTGACGATCAACTGGCGCCATCCTTTTTACCAACACGACGGACATATCGAGCCTGTCGATACCGAATATCACCGAGGTGTTTTGCTCCTGCTGAACTGCCCAAGATCAAAATGATTATCCCGATACGATGCTTCTCCTGCGGGAAGGTATGGCGCATATGCACTACAGTTACGGCGTCGAGGGCGGCAACTAACTCCTGGCGTTAGGTCATCGCTGACATCTGGGAACGATATATGAAGTTGCTCGAGGGTGGCATGCCTGATGGGTCAGTCCTTGAGTACCCTTTACTTTCTCTCGAACAGATCCTAACTGTTTCTCCGGGCCATAGTGAAGCGATGGATCAAGTCGGCGCGAAACGATATTGCTGCCGGCGCATGCTGATGACACATGTCGATCTGATTGAAAAGTTGCTACAGTAGGTTGATCTGGCAGGACAGCGTATTAAAAAAGGGGGGTACATCAGTGAGATAGGACTGACAGAGTTTTGAACAGATATGATCCTTCCGAACGACGAATCAAGACCCAATCATGAGCTAACGAGGCAAAATTCATACCAAACCGTGGAAAATATCGGCGTACCTTGGGAGGGCTAGATATTAGCATGCGCAAGCGTTTTAGCAGCACTTTGGAAATGTCCCCTACAATCTCGATCGTGGCGCCACAAGGGTTGAAGGGGGTGAAAAAGTCATTGATCGTCCAACCTTAGACCAGTTGACAAGAGCCTCGCACGCCAGGGTTCATCATATGTGCAATTGGATTGGAGCCAAGAGGGGGTTGACGGGAGTACGGTGCAGGGAGAAAACAGCCGCAGAGCGGCAGAGAGATATGTTGGCATTTCTAATGGAAAAGGAGCCAGATTGTCGAGAGCAAGGAGCATGATGCCTTTGAGCAACTCCGGTCAGACTCCAACAATGGGTCTCCATATACTCCACCAACATGTGACCTCCGACGGGCTACCATCTCGCTGGTACCAATCGTCGAAACCGACCTCTGTACCCTCAACAATCAACTCGAACATCTGCTGTTGCAGTGTATTTCGTAGGTTTTGTCTCTCCTTGTCATAGCGATCACGTAACGGAAGTTCAACGATGAACCTAGCCTCTGATGAGCTGCAGATCCAGCGGCTGACAGCATCCACAAGCATCTTGGGGTGTTCAGCTGAATAAATAGGATCCGCCGCAACGATAACCATGAATTTGTCCTCGTCGCGTTGCGGCGAGTCCATCTCATCAGCCCAGTCAAGTGCGCGTGACTCGTAGCTTCCACAACTCCTTGTGATCAATTCCTGATTCTGCTCGAGGTTTCGCTGAAGATTTGGAAGGATTTCTGGTAGATCAGTCAGAAGCACGTGTGTTTTCCATATGCAAGCAGCTGCAATGCCCACCAAACCAGTACCTGCACCTAGCTCCAGTACTCGAGTGGCTTCACCTGGAATGTATCTCCGACAATCCTGGAGTCGGCGTGATAGTAAGACCGACGAGGTCCATGTCTTCAGCCCGAGATTGTCTTCTGTCAAGGTAGGCTCGTGTAAGTTGACTGTGAGACCATCATTGATCTCAAATGACCGCGTCATTGCAGGCATTGCATTCCTTCCCGAGCGTTCACTGAGTCGGGCACTTGCAGCGCCCCATATCGCATCCCTTTGGTCTTCATCCACAATCCAACTCAGCCCGGACGAGACAATTGATGTGAGATATCTCGGAACTCCCTCCTCGCTTATTTTTGGGCGACTGACATTCCCTGGAGACGAAAAGCTAGGCGGTTCTGACACGAGAAGATCCAGAACATGAAGGAGCGCCGATGCTGACGGTCTCTGATAGAGCTGCGGCAAATCATGCACTGCATCATTCAAGGTTGGAAATGAAACATGGAAGGCATACGGTGATTGTGACGGGACATCAATATTTGACCTACCATGGAGCATCATGGGTTCCTCAAGGGCCCCAGCGGCTGCCTCATCGTTAATCTGCACGTGGGTGACGTTAGAGGTAGAAGTCTCCGGTGTCTGTCGGCAGATACGTGACCCGGGAGGATTAACCCTCATCACAGAGACAACAGGACTAAAATGACGTGATTGGAGAACTGATCACTTTTCGGAGTGCGGCTGCCGCCGTTGTTGAGAAGGGTTCGACCACGCCGTGCTTTAAAAAAAGAATTGTCTTTGCTCCCTCCCTCTCGCAAGAATGGTGGGATTGTGGTGGAAATTGGCACGGCACAAAAATGTTGCCTGTGGAGTTGAGAAGGGAGAAGCGGTGTAGATTCATTGGCTGGGAGACATGCTTGGCATGGAGTCTTGGCACTTTAGCCGCTGCTTGGTGGCGGACGCTAAACCTAAAACCCAACATCTCCTTTCTCCTCCTCCATCGACCAGGAAATTCAAACCTTCCACCCTCGAAGCTGACTGAGGATTCACCTATCAAATTATCCCCGAGCAACGTGAATGCAAAGTCTGCCATGACAATTTCAGGATCTTGGATTCTGCATGGCAAATTTGTTGCAGAAGAAGTTGCTTTGAAACAAACGAGTTTTGGGTGGGCAAAGTCCTCACTTTCAAACCTTTCCGGGTGCCACACCAAACGCACTGCAACCCCCTGTTTGGAACCCCTCACTCTACCGACACCAATTTCCCCCACCCCTGACCGCGATGGAAGCTGCCTTGGTTCGACTGTCTGTTTCCCCGGTTATGCTCAGTCGCTGCGTGTTGAAAATGGAAATTCATGACAAACACAATCCTGCCAGGAAACACGGTGATCACACTGAAGGATCCCCGACAAGGTGAGCACTCGGCATGCAAGTTGAGCTGGTGAGACAGATATCATGCATGCAACGAGGCTGTGTCGAGTTACACATGAGAACGTGGATGTGCTGGTGCTGTCGATCCAACCGGTTGGCAGGCTGAAATCCAGAATAGTCTACACGTTGCAGGAACGTGCCCGTTGTGCCACAATCGTAATCAACAGCGGACGCGTCTGGCCTGAAAACAAACGCCCGAGGATCGCCTGCATTGTGGTGGCAGCGCCGCAGCACGATGAAGCCATGGGGCCAGAACAGACCAGAGGTGTCGACGGCTCTCAGCCGCAGAACCGCCAAGATCGACCGCGGATTGGCCTTTTCATTTCCTGTTTGAGCCTGGCGCTATTATTGTTTGAGCCTGCCGAACCGACGGTCCACTCGCCAGGTGCGCCTCGATTCTACCTCCCCTGAAATACCTCCACCATCGAAGGTGGTGCCCCTAGTCTGGGAATGGGGATTCCAGCACAGAAGGAACTCCTGCAAATGGCACTCTAACGTACCGTCGCATTCAAGACTCGGCCAGCGAATTCAGATCAAATTGGCCATTGGCATCCTCCTTCCTGCAGGATGACCACGAGTTGGGAAAGTAAAACTTTCCACATTGTCGTGGCTGACAATGTGCCTCGATGTCGCTAGGTTTTTTCCTTGCAAACGGGTCAACCTCAACCGCAATTTACCCATCACAAGCTGCCATTGGATCTCGGTTTGTCACGTCCACAAAAGTTCTAAAGCCCAGCTACCCTTGGGATTCTGGATCTGTCGGCTTCTTTGCCCGGGACTAGTGTTTTCCTGGAGGTGCCTCCTTTTTCAGAATATCTCACTGATTTAGAGCTTCGCTTGTGAAATTAGCTTACGGATTTCACGCTACGGATCAAGTCTCAGGCCGCCCTCGTGGCTGGCTGGGGCCATGCAGCACCGAAGTGCCATAGTGCACATCTCCACCATGGCGCCAGTCGAGATGGCATGGCTCGCATAAGTACTTCTGATGATCCCCCTTTCGCACACCGTTTCTACTCTCTCTTTCCCAGCTCGTTATCACACCTCACGACATTGATTGACTTTTCAATCATCCACTCTTTTTAGAGCTCGTTGTTGTTTTCCTTAGGGTCGTTGACCTGTTCCACTCGTTTTTGACATTTACAACCACCAGCTTTAGTATGCAATATTTGTCCGTCGCCCTGCCGCTGGCTGCCTTGGCCAGCGGCGTCCTCGCCAATCCTGTGCATGGACCTGCTTGCGTTAACGACGCTTGCTTGGCTGCTGTGACCGGCAGGGGTGCCTTGGGAGATGCTGCGCTCAGAGCTTCTCACTGCTCCAGCTTTCTGGCAACGACTGTCACTCCGATCGTCACCGCCACCGTGACCGTTACTGGCGACGCCCACGACAACTGGAAGCGCGCGACCGTTGCGCTTTGCCCCAATGAGGTTCCCAACTATGCCAGCGCTTGCAACGAAGCGGCCTATACCAGCGCATGCTCGTGCTTTGGCTACACTGACGTGAAGACCACCACAGTGGCACCAACCACGACCACCAAGACTATCTGGGTCAAGCCCACCGGCGGTTCTGGCTCCAGCTGCACCGTCGCCACCTCGACCTTGACCAGCACTGTTACCGGCACAACCACCGTTGTGAGCGGCAGCACTTGCCCGGCGGCCACTGCTACGACCGTCACCTCCACCAAGGTTGTCCCAACTTATAGCTCATGCCCTGCTGCCGCCACTGCCACCACCGTCACAGTTGTTGGAGGAAGCACTTGCCCTGCAGGAACTACCACCACCGTGACCACAGCTGGTCCCGCTACGGCCACGACCGTCACTGTCGCTGGCCCTGCCACGGCTACCACCGTTACCGTTACCACCGGTGGACCGGCCACAGCCACGACTGTCACTGTCACGGCATCTGGTCCTTCCGACACTCCTTCGTCTTGCGTTGTCACTGATGCTTTGGCCACCACCCTGGTCAACAACTTCATGATCTTGCTCGAGTACACCTCGTACAACGGTACCCAGGGACCCCCTGGCCGTGGCTACCAGCAGAACGTTTCCGACGCCACTTTGGCATCCGACTTCAGCGACGTCTCGGACTCGATCAACTTCATGGCCGGCTTCCCTGTAAGTCAAATATCCATCATGATTTTTGCTTTCGCTAACAGTTTATTTAGCTTGGCTCCGTCACTTTCCCCACCAAGGAAGCTTTCGATATCGGCCAGGGGACTCAACAACCTGAGGTCGCTGTCACTGCTCTTAACATCTGGCACGACTGCAACTCCATTACCTGGAGATGGAGAATCACTTCGACCGCATACCCCGTCAACGGTATGAACTACATGATCATTGACAGCGACGGCAAGATCCAGAAGAACTACGCCGAGTTTGACAACGGTGCTTGGCTCCAGTCTTTCGGCCGGCAGTGCGCCATCAACCCGGTCAGTGTGAACCCCACGGTTGCCCTCAGGGCCCGTGCGCTTGGCGTAGGCATGTAAAAGGTGTAGGGAGGTAAGGAGACGGAGAGGGTAATGTGCAGAGAATACGGAGAGACAGATGTTTGATTCCCAATGGTAGCAGCTGTATGCACATGTAGGATTTCAGGCAAAGGAGGGTTATTGCACAAGCTTGGAGGGGTGTTCGTTTCCCTTGTACCCATGGTTCCCTACATCTTCAGGGCGCGATTTGAAATGATCGATGAAAGCTTCGGTTTGTTTTTTTTGGCATCTTGACGGACTAATGAAATGCATGGCATGATCTGGCTCAAGCATGTTCTGGAGTGTACAATTGTGGTTTCGGTTGTCAAAGTCCAAACTCAAACGATACATTCCGCCATCCGTCAAATGCTGTTCTGGAGATGTAGGACGATGGGTACATGACTGGTATATCCTGAGTTTCTTGCCCATGTAGGCGACTTTGACGTTGAATCGTGGATGGTAAAACGCAGGCCTGCTTCAGCGATTCCAGTGCCAATCATGAGTGTCTGGTGAACTGCGAACCAACAGAATCTCTTCTTGGAGCGTCGCTTCTCGGCAAGTTCCGCAAGCAAAATGCACTTGTGAAGCTCAGAGACATTTTCCTCCCCCCGGATTCTTTCGTATTACATCGGTAATACTCAAGCGAGGTCAACTAGGTTGTGGGAACTTTCCCACCGTATTATTGGTACGAGGGTTGCTCTGCAAAACAAGCAGGGCTTTGCCAACGAGATCCCCCCCATCGAAGATTAATCGCCCGTGTCCGACACAGCCTCTTCGTGAACCAAGGCAGAATACGAGGTGCCAAATTTCCCCCCTCACCATGAACTCAAAGCAACAGCCCCTATCGCAATCTTCAACGTCAACGTCGACCACTTACACCCAAGGCCACAGCGCGGCCGTCGTGGCTTCGCACGCGTCCCGCACGGTGGAAAACTCTGCCGCGTTTCTGTTGCCGCATCTGCAGCCGCATTTTACAGTCGTGGACCTGGGCTGTGGGCCGGGCACCATCACTAGGGGTTTTTGTTCCTATGTGCCCCGGGGCCAGGTGATTGGGATTGACGCCGCGGAGGAGGTGATTGAAGTTGCGCGCTCGAGCTCCCCGGAGAATGAATACCCTAATCTGAGTTTCCGCGTGGGCGACATCACCGCCCGCCTGCCTTGGGACGATAATTCCGTGGATGTCGTGTATACCAGCCAGGTGCTGTACCACATCCCTCACCCCGTGCGGGTTATTAGGGAAGCTCTCCGCATCCTGAAGCCCGGTGGGTTGCTGGCCATGCGCGAGACAGATTCCCTGATCTTCCACCCCGCCAATCCCGGCACAGAGCTCTTCAGGCAAACCATGGCCAAAGCAGTCTCCCCCGGCGCCCAGGGCATTGGGTCCGGTCGCCGCATCCACCTCTGGGCCCAGGAGGCCGGGTTCGATCGGTCCAAGATGCAGGTCCGCGCGGGCGCCACGTGCCACCCTGCGCCCGACGAGTCGAAATGGTGGGCGAATATCCACGTTGAGAGGCTGAAAGGTGAGATTGGGCGGAAGTGGTTGCATGAGCTCAAGCTCGTGAAGAGTCAGGATGAGATCGATGACATGATCAAGGGTTTGGAGGAATGGGGGGATAGTCCTGAGGCGTGGTACGTCGCGCTCCAGGGGGAGGTCATCTGTTGGAAATGAGTTCATCGGGCTGGTCGCTTGACTGGCCGGGATGGCTCGTTTCTCGGTACGCTCTCGCTGGCATGGTAAGGAAACAGCAACGATAGGGGGCTTTGGCAACGAAATTCAGCACAGATTAATCAAGCATTTATGACTGGAAAGTTCAGCATGTCCGATTCATCGTCCTTGACGAGAGCCTTATCAACAGTTTTGATGATTCACAGCTTCAACACACCGCAAATCCCACCACCCTTCCCATCCTGCACAATCACCACCTTCCCTGGCCCCAGGCTGGCGCGCCTCTCATTACTTTGCCACTGGACTTGAAAGCGCTGCTTTGTCCCACGCTCAAGGGAGCCAATCTTTCGCACGTCCTTGACCACGTTGAGATGTGGGAGCGTGCGCCCGGCATTCTCGCCCCTGGGGATATGCACGTCTTGTGAGCTGGGTGTGTACGTTATTTCCCACACCTCGAGATTTTGGGCCAGAGATGCCGAGTATGGCGGTGGAAGGCTTGTTGCGTCGATTTCGACCCCCAGCTCTCCGTCCTTTTGCTCTGCTAGAATTCTCTTGATGCCCACCTTTTCTGTCTCGCCCGCGGGCTTTCGACCTGCCCGTACAATCCGCTCCAGATCCTCCTTGGTGTTGCCCACGCCGACGCCTCGCCCGTTGACCACCACCATTGGTGTGTACGCCCCACGCATGCCCATCCTCCTTACATATTCTCGTTGGCGGATGTCGTTGATGGGTAAGCTGAAAGTGTCTTCCCAGCCAAGATAATTCCAATAGGTTACTTGGTATGTGAGCAACAAGTATTCTGGCTCTGGAGACGAATTTGGGAGGGCGGTTGGGGAAGAGGATGGAGATCGGCTGGCGTAAAAGCGAGGTGGCGAGGCATCTTGGTTCGAAGACTGGTGGGATTGCACAAAGGAGATGAGATTGTCGTTAGTGGGAGGACAGGAGTTGCAGCCTTGGCTTTGGAAAAGTTCGATCAGGATAGGTTGCTCGAAGGAAGTTGTCGACAAAGTTGGTGATGGAGCAGCAGAGGAAGTCCCTGAGGTGTTGCCCGTGATTTCGGCATGTTTCAAGACGGCATCAGGGCGATGGCTACCCTCGGGAGGAGCAGAACGGAAAGATTTGAACAGCGATTTTACTTCTCTAGAAAGCGTGGATGTCATAATGAAGGCTGCCAATTGCTCGAAGCACTTCACTGCTCTTTTATTGAAGGCGCAGACGCTCACAGCCAGGCGGTCTGAAGCGATGTGGAGAGCTGATTGATTGAGGCCGTACGGGTTTATATACGTGATTGCGAAGCGGGTGTGCATTGGATGGGGTGGTGGTGGTCATCATCATCAGCTTCACAGACTTACCGGTGAGATTGCGAATCGGCTCGTTCCCACCAACAACCAGCAGGGGCTATTGTGGAGGATTCCACTTCGATTGTGAAGCCATAATACAGGCGAGGACCTTGTTGCGCATCAAGCCATTGAGGTTTTGAGTTGTTGTCGCGTACCTGCGTCGTGTCCATCATCCGTATGCAACGAGGCGCAGTTGGTGATGAGCTAATCGGACCAAGTACGGTGGGCACATTGGCGTTTTTGAATTCCTGCTGATTCCATCATCCGGCGACGACATCATCAACGTTTGTTACATATGTGTGGCCTGTGTCGAATCTCATATTCGGGAATCCTTCACAGTTTCACTTGATTTTTTCGCTTTGGTGGGATGGAAACTCGGAACGCAGTCACGTGTTGCAGTTGAAGGACGCCTCGTTCCCCGAACGATCGAGGCCGCTTTCTCTAACGACTTCAACTTCTCCCTCATCACGACCTGCTTCTTGTATCTTTCTCGCATCTCCCAATCTCTGTCCGACGCGGTCCTATCCCATCCTATCCTACCATGGAATCCTGTGGAGCAGTCTGGCTGTGGGCATCTATCCTCCACTCAGCCTCAGAGCCAGGGCGAACAGTTTCGCACCCCCTGATTCGTCTTCACGAACAATGAGGCGCAACGTGGGCATGACCTCTTGCAGCGACCCTGGTCGACCCAGCCCAGTAGCTGCTTGCTGCCAGCCGTTTAGCTCGCTTTCTGCATCATCCCACGGCCCAACATTATTGGCGATGCGGTCCCTCGCTATGGAGCTTTTTCCTAGGCATCTGCCTGCTCGGCTTGCTGCCTGGTCAAGTTTACTTCAGCCTCAGACCGCACTCTTTCGTCTACCATTGACATCAAGACATCCTTTTCATCTCCTCCCAGAGAACACATTGTCGCGAAAGGCTTCTGTGTAGCGCGTCGGAATGTCTCAGATATTTGGAAAAGTGACGAATGCTGTGCTGTCCGGCACTAACGAAAACTCCTTTTCCCTCGCCAACCTGAACCTGGGATTTTCCCTCGTTACACTCGAGGCACCTGCCGAGTTTCATCCCCTTGGCTCTGCCCTATCGCATCATCGACGGCAAACGGCTGAGGAGGGATCCCACCATCAGACCGCTCGTATGCTAGGAGCTTTGTTCTCCCAAGTCGCACCCAACGCTCCAAAGCTTCTCCGAGCTTTCGGTGAAAGAGTCTCGGAAATCATCAAGTCCCCTGGTGCTAATCCCACGGGTACAATCAAAGATGGGCCGTTCAAAGACTCTGTCGGCGCGGATGCCACTTCTATCTGGGCAGCTGCAACATCTGGCTCTGCGTCCCTTGCGGTCCTGCTGTTAGCGTGCTTGTTGGCAAGAAAGTTCGACGATCCGAAATTGAGCGTCGCCATCTGGGCAGAAATAGTGGCAATCCGTCAGAAGGAGGTGATAGCGACTGCGCAATCGGATGGGTTCGCCATGAACGAGGCAGTCATTGCAGCTCACCAGAAGATCCTACGCGAAGACTTGGCCACTTTTGATGCAAGCGTCCGTGCTTGGCTGATCACGGCTGACCAGGTAAAGGTCAAACAATTGAAGCAGCTCACGCTGATCTTGGACAACCTTACCACTCTGCCCGTTAGCACTGGCAAAGATACATACGCCAAGATCATCAATGCCTGGGAGACCGCAATCAATGGCTTCGAAGCTCTACTGGACGGAAAGCCACAGAATGCTACCGACAGTTCCGTCTTGCTGGCTTTATCAGCCTGGCACCTGTATCCGGATCTCATCGTACTCTCCTCAGAGACGAAAAAGGTGGTCTTCCAGGATCCATTATTTCCACCCTCTGTTGCGATCACCGTGGGCTTGTCGCTCAGAAACAACGACCAAGTATCTCCAGGTTTCCAATGGTCACTGGCTCTTTCTCATCTCAGATACTACGGGCAACCGGTCCGCGTTGAGACGGATCATGACAACTATCGAATCACAATGGATGAGCTTTGCCTCATCGCATTTGGGTCCTTACTTTCGCACTGGCGTTTGCCAATGCGCATCATGAATGACGTTGCCTCTTGGTTCTGTTCGCTGGACAATCTACTCCAAGAACATTATCACAATCGTCTACGTAACGAGGATGGTGGATTCCTGCTCTGGTTACAACCCCTGACCAAGGCCTCAAAACTGCTGGTCAATCTTTCTGAGGATGATTCTGCGAACTTTGAGAAACTTGTTCGGTACGGTGGTAGACGCGGAAAACATCTCCTTGGATATCCTTCGAGGCTGAGCAACGGTCCGTTCTTCGGGTTATGCAATCTACATGTTGTACATGGTATGTCAATTCCTTCTACTTCAGAAGAATACCTTCGGTATGTGCGGTCAGTGGCAGAAACTACGGATATCTTGACATTTGCTGTTATCCAGTACTGGGAGACGGTTGCAGACACGGACGTGTGTGTTTTAGCTACCGCCACTCCGTACACCCGGTCGCCGCATCAGGATTCTACAGCTGAAGGATGGCAACAGCAGAAATTTCACGCACGATGGGTTTTCACGGGCTCTTCGAGCCATTTGACAGAAGTTAAACGAAAACTGGCCCATGATCAAGCACCGTCTTCGGAGCTTGTTGAAGCCATTGACCCCCACAAGTACACCATGCTCGGTACCATCGCTCGAGAAGGTCTACTAAACGTTCCACAAACCTCATTCTATTGGTCAGATCCTCCTCCTTTCGAGTCAGCTGGCTTTTCAGAAAAGCAATGCTGGTGGAACGGTGTTGGGTGCCAGGATCAGCAAAATGGAGACAAGGCCCATGCGACTGCCGAAGAAAATGATCCTTTGGGACGAGGCCAGGAATATCCGGATCCCTACAATCCGAGTCACATCCGGGGTTCTGAGACACGGCAATCGGTAGTCTCCTTGTTTTGTCCGGTATGGGCCGCTTGTGACGAAAAACGAGAAATTGGCCTCTTTGCTGTTTATGAGGGTGCTCGGCTTTTTGAGCGTCAATTGGCAAAGTTCTGCCTCCTCCAAAGTTCGAACATGGCCGCTCTGAACTCGGAAGAGACGCTGCAACGCGCGCATCTAGAGAACTTTGTCGGGGAGAGGGTTGCCCGTCATTTCGGGAATATGGATTTCCTGCCTTCTCGAGGTGAATGCAAAACCCATGACAATGTGTGGTTATAGAACTGACTTTCTCAGACGAGCAATCTCCTGGAATTATAAAATCGAGCCACGCGCTCCAGTCACAAGTGCTACCTTCATTCACCAGCCTCAGACACCTCCATGGCTTAGCATTGATGTCACAACTCTATGGACAGTTGCCCCATGCGACATTTCCCATCAAAATCGCGGAAACTCCATTCTATGTATTTGAATACTATCTCGGGGGAGATCCTAAGCATAGGCCTCGTTCCCTGAGCGGGGTCTCAAGGGTACAAGCACTAGCAGGAATTTGCACGATGGAAGCAGGGGGCATCCCAGTTGACCTCTCCCTGTTTGATCGCGCCTTTGCAATAGCGGCCGGCAACTCCATCTTCGTTCCAGAATCGCTCCTTTCAGACCCATCACATTGCACGCCACCGTATGCAATCCGGAGGATTGTCGGCAATCTTGGCCGCCCTGGGGTGTCCCTTCTAGTCAGCCCCGAAACTGTGATGGTAAAAGAAAAGACAACAGACTTTCGAGCAATAGAACATGCTCCTTACGATCACAAACGGGAAGATAACTTCGGCGCCACTTCGCTGCACCTGTTACTAACGGGATGGCAAGTTCCCGTTGCTCTCCCCTGCAAGGTGATTGGCAATATCGACCAGGATGTTTTTCAGGTCGAAGCAGTGGTGTCAGTACACGACAGAGGCCACTGGTACGCACACATCGATATACTCGCAACTCTTCAACAGCTAAGACTTCATTATGTGAATTACCGATGCTCGTGCGGGAGTAGACAGGATCAGTCTCAGCGGGAATATACCAGCATCGACAACTTTGAGGAACTCTTGGATCCTCCAGATGGTGTAGGGATATTCCGAGCACACAATAATTGGTCGGCTAGATTGGCTGCGACTTGCATAGCAAGACAGACAATGGGATTGCGGAAGGTATTCATATTGAACAACGACGAAGTGTGCTGGGCTTGCCTTGAGTCGGCGATTGAACAGAAAACTGCTCGAATAGATTTGTCATATAATGAGTCGGACCCCGAAAACGAAGAAGAAAATGGCGAGTTTCTGGAAAGTGAGTCTGACACTGAAGATCAAAGAGCGGTTGACGCGGAAGAGGAAGGCGAGTTTGACGCTGAGGAAGATGGCTGCACCCTCATCATAATCGACTAAGTGTGTGAACGTGAGGATTGAATTGGAGCCCTGAGCAAGAGCTGGGACAGAGAAAGTGGACGTCAAGGTCAGCCAGGCTGAGGATTCCTTGTTTGTCAGTCACCAGTGCGTACTACCTATTCATGCACGATCCAACGGCCGCTCGCTCTGCCCATCTCGCATCCTCCTCCTCCTTCCTAACAGAATCCCTGTATAACTATCTACCACCTAGTACATATAGATACCTACCCACTACTCACAGGCGGTATAACACCGACCTCATCCCCCTCGTTGATCACCATATCCAACCCACCTCCTCCCCCTCCTTGCCCGTCTCCCCGGCTCGCCTCAGACTCCGCCTCGAGATCGAAGTCAACGTACTCGAGATTCACCGTCACGGCCGCGCTGCGGAGGACCTTGTCGCGCATACCCGGGAAACGGGACTCGAGTGTCGCCATGATCCCGCGGAGGGTTGTTGGCGCGGGTAAATGGAGGGTTTCGAGCCCGGAGGCGTAGGTGGACGCGGAGGCGAAGAGGAGGAGCGTGAATGTCCCTTTTCCCGTCCCTGTGCTGGTGGCTGTGGTTGCGCTGGTTGTGGAAGACATGGCTTGGCTTTTTTAGGTGGTATATGTGTACGTGCCTGTGCGTACTTGGGCTTTATTTGCCCCCGTGTCCGCTGGTTTTTCGCAGACACAGCCGTGAAACGTCGTAGTGTCGAATTGAGTGGAACCGGTCTCGGTTTCGGTTTCAATGCTTTCTTCGTATTAATATTGCAACACCCACCCCTATCCTCCGTGAGTCTCTTTAGTCCTTCCCTGCTTTTTCTCTCCTCCTCAACCCTCTCTTGTCGTTGTCGTTTGTCAAATCCACTTCCCTTTCCCCTCCCCCCAGAGAATCTTTCGGAAATTCCTGCCTTCCTTTCCCTTTCCTAACCCTTCAAAATTGCCCCCCTTCTTCTCTTCCTTTCCTTTCCCTTCCTCTGCTCTGCCCTACTCTTGCTCTGCTCTGGCTTTACCACCCCCTCAGGAAGATGTGTAAGCAAGTTTGATATTAAGACCCGCTGCAGATAGGCTGGGAAGGGATGTCACAGACTTTCACAATGCCTCCACGGAAGAACTTGTCGGACTACTCGTTCGTCGAGTATCCAGCCTTGAGAATACCAAGTCCCGCCTCATCCCGGAGAAAAGCAAGACGGCGGAATAACTACCGAGTAGATCGGAGCAGTTGATCCGGGGGCTTAATCATTGACTACTAGTAGTACTGCCAGTGGTACGGGGAAGGATCCTCCGAAAGGGAAGGTTGGCCGCAGCCTAGCCAGCGCTCAATGATGTCACACTGTTTACTCTCACATGTGCCTTGGCCTTTGTGATGGTTTGCCGACTCTTTCTTATGAAACCCCTGCTACAAAGAACAGTCTCTTCCCATGCATCGTTGCCATGCTGACTTCTTCCGCGAATGCGCGAACGGTAAAGTCACCCGCCAATCCACTGCTCTTTCTGCTTTCCACGAAGTTTTCTGTCTTGCCGTCTTAGGAAGTAGGAGGATGATATCATCTCTCGTCTAAGCTACGCCCCACCATTCCAACCCCACAGTTTGTATGTCACCACACATACCGTCGAAGCATGGCAGTGAACCATTGACACATCTGCACAGTAGATAATGCACGCCAACACAGACTCAACCTAGTGCTCAAGCAGTCTCAAGGATCCCTGAACCACCACGTTCTCCAGGATCGATCCGGGGGGAATGTCGATGGTGCTGTTCTCAGTAGCCACAATGATGACGGTACCTGTAGTCACATCAGTTAGTTGCGAACAAGAACGTAGTAGTACAACCAAACTCACCCTTTAGGACAATTCCACGGCCAAAGTTAACGTCACCAGTCACAGTCAGATGATCCAACTCGACAATGTTGGGAATGCTGCCGATTCTCTTTTGGAACTGCGCGACCTTCTTGAAGTCGCTGCCCAATTTGATCAAGGGTGCAGGCCCGAATCGGTTGGGGTCAATGACCAATTGACCATGTGACAAGGTATACAGGTTCGACTTGACCAACATGAGATCAGAGCAGGTCTTGACAGGCAAGAATCGTCGACGGGGAACATTGACTCCGTGTGAGTTTTTGAAATGCTTGATGGCAGCACCCACAGCGGTCTCGAGCTGGATGATCGAAATATCCGCCTCGCCCTTCTTATCCGCCGGGATCGACTTCTCGTTGGGAATGATCTCCATCTCCAACTCGTTGTTCTCCACCACCCGCTTGATAGCTCGCAGATTCATCCAGATATTGTTGGTATTGAAGTACTTGAACTTCTTAATCGACTTGAATTCGTTGACATACTGCTTGGGGACCTGGGCAATTTCCAGCAGTCGTGCGCGGCCCTCGTAGTCGATAATGGTACCACCCTTGACGTCGGCCTTGGTCTTGTCGGTCAACTCCATGATATACTCGGCTTTGGTCTCGACCATGTGCTGCAGGATGCGTAGGTCCACCACGGCACCAAGATTGTCGGCGTTGGACAAGAAAATGATCTCAATGCCACGATCCAAGAGCTGGTCAAGGATACCGCTGTTGTAGAGAGACTCGAAAACGTCACCGTGGCCGGGAGGGTACCAGTCGGAGAGCTGGGAGTCGTACGACTTGGGCGCAGGAAGCAGGGAGTCCTTGAGGACACGAGGATAACGGGATTGGTTGAATGTCAGGATGTCAATGTTGTGACCTTCGTATTTCTTGATGATGGATGCGGTATCTTCATCGGTGTTGAAGCTGTTCATCAAAACAAACGGGACGTTGACATCGTAGGTGCGGTTGAGGTACTCGATCTGGCGGACGGACAGATCGAGGAAGGACATTCCATCCCTGACCTCAATGACCGACTTGGGGCCAACGCAACCCATGGAAGTCCCCAGACCACCATTGAGCTTGACAACTGCGAGCTTGTTCAGGAACTCGACCGCGTCGCTGTTGGGCAAGTCATCGTAGGCGACGACCTGATCAGGATTGGGAGGGTTTATTTTTGCCCAGTCAATGGTATTGCCCTTGGCTCGGTCATTGAGGTATCGTCTGAACAGGGAGAAAAAGTTGTCCATCTCCGCCTCGAATCTCTTCTTTTCCGCGGGGTCTTTGACCGTGTCTGCAAGGTTGTTGAGGGCATTGCGCATTTGGCTGGCAGCCACATTGGTAGAGGTGTTCTCAAAGGCCTGCATTGTGGGGGATTTGATTAGCAGAGGTTCTGATGAGTGTTGGTTGGGAGACAGAGAAGAAGTGCGCATCTCGATTGGTGGAGGGGATTCTAGTAGCGGCATTTTGAACAAGGGAAGGCGTACAGGCCAAAAAGAGAAAAAGGGCAAGAGCAAAGAACTGATCGAGGCAGCTCTTAAACAGCAGTCAATTCAGGGGACGGTGCGCGCAGGTATGAGATGACGAGTACAAAACAGTGTTTGACGCCTCATTCTAAGATGGACCGACCGTGATCTCGCAGGATTTATTTCCAGACGAGGCGGCAGGTATCCAGAATGGACTCTGGGGTATGCGGAAGATGGGCCCGTGCGTCATGGGAAAGAAGGAAGGGAGTTCCCGTCGTGTCATGCAATTTGCATGTCGGACGGTGGGTGGAAGTGATGTGATACGAAGGGCAGCAGGAATCAGGGAAGTGTCGTTTGCTTACCACATGAGACTGTGTCTTGCCGTGGTGTCTCTTCTCAGCTGGCGCTGCACCGTTGGAACCGTTGGCCGCGCCATGACGGAGATGGGACGGAATTGCTTTCGAGGCCATGACTGTGGCTGCAGGTATGATCTTTGCTGCGCTGTGCACGAGGGGTGGAAACCGAAGTGGCGGAGGGAGATTGGATCTGGAGACGGTCTCAGATCACGGTGAAAAGTGTAGATGCTAAGGTCTAGGAACGAGTTAGTGACCAGCTGTGTCTCGAAACTCGACCAGATGGTCTTGTAAGAATTTGGTGGAGTGATGGATGTGAGGGCGATGTGAAGAGAAGGTGAAAGTTGAGTCGGCCAAAAAAGTCGGAGCGGTGATGCAAAAGCTTCGAGGGGACGAGGAAAAGTCAAAACAGCAAGCTTTAGCGAGAGCTTCTGGTACTGCAAAAGATGGTCTCAGGGCAGGTTAAAGGGCGACCCAAAGATTTCATCACCTGCATGTGCCGTGGGCATTGGGTGGGCAAGGACCTGGTGTGGACGGTTGTGGTGTTATGACAAGGGGTGATGTAGTTGTGCAGCTTCTGCAGCTTCTGCGGCTTCTGATGGTCCACAACCAGCGTGCGGGAAGCTCCAAAAAGTGGGAACATTGGGCTCCATCGCTGGCAGCAGGAACAGCAATTGGGAAGATGCAGCGAGCCAGCTTCATCTGGCGGTCAGGATATGGACTTACCCTCTCGTGATTGATTAATTGTCTGATTGGGAGAACAAGTGGTCGACGACGTGGAGGTTGCTGGACCGTCGATGGTTGTGTCTCTGTCTCATCCAAATATATCCTCTTTCTATCTACCCAAGTACTGGGTGAGTACCTTCTCCCATTTTGTTGGGCAGCCTGTGTCTGCCATCAAGGTAGTATCGGTCGATCCAGAAGCGTTATTTTCCTCGAGGCTCCATGTTCGGCGACGATCTGGACAACGACAATCCCCCTCTGGGTGCCCCTCCTCCTCCTCCTCATCTTCCTCCTCTCACTCATCCCACCACTTTGACCGCCCACGCCCATAGCCCACAGCCCACAGCCCACAGCCCACGTCCGCCCCTCTTAGCATCCCAAGTCCGCCACAGCTAAGGGCTCCCCCGTCCGACGCCACATCTCCCATATCTTTTTCCATTTCAGTCTAGAGGGACCGCCAAAATTTGCGTGTTTCACCGGTCATGTATCATTCGCCTGCCCACCCCTCCAGCCTTGACACCCATATACATCCCCAACTTCCAGATCTATCCGAGGGAACAGAACGGAAAAATTTTTGTCTCAATAAAGATCAGGCTAGCGTCTTGCCTTTCCCACCCAGACGTCTTTGCCCCCTGACTGATTCTTGTTTGCGTTTCGCGCTCTTTCACATATTCTTATGCTTGGATATCCTCGCTAGCGATAGGGTTCTGGTAAGGATCTGATCTGACCAACTGACGCAGGGGATTCAGTTTACGTGGTAATCAGGGACTTGGCCGATAAATTTGCCTCAAACATAGATCATCCGCCAATCGTGCCAATCCCTGCTACTTTAGAAGTCCCATGCGGAATGCCCCTTCTCCAGACAGTCTGCCGCAGGGTGATTTCGTGTCCAGGGATCTGACAAGTACATCGTCTGGGAACGTGTCGGGTATAGGCCGAGATCCTCTCTTCGCTTGCGCTGAAGAGACCATGGACATCGTCCGGTGGATTACAAAAGCAATGACATGAATTCCCTCGAAACACTAATCCTATTCTCTGAAATTCCTCCCTTTGGTGCGCCGTTTTTCTCGGGCATTTGATCAGTGTCCCGCCCAGGTCCTCGCAGGCTGTACGCTGCGCAATTAAAAACAATATCTGGTATCTCTGAATCAAGTAAAAGCAAGAATCTAACGAGAGGACAAGGCACTCGAGGGCTCGCCGGCAAGGCAGTCCTCAAGGACCTTCTTTGCTGAGCCGTCCTGCATCATTCCTCCCAAACGCTCCCTCGCTCAATCCATGATAATTCACAAGCCGCGCCCACTCATTACCCTGATCTGTTCAAGATCCCTCGTGTTTGCCGCTAACATCCCTCCTCGCAAAGAAACTTCGTCGTCCCTCGCGCTTCGAGTCCGGGCTGTCCCGTCCGCTGGTGACTGGTCTGAGACTATCTGAGGCAACCCCGTTGCTGGCGGCGAAGCTGCTGCGGATGGTGACCGATCCCGATCCAGCCTTGACAACTTGATCGGATCCCCCGCCCTGATCAGATACAAAGAACATGCCCTCGCCGAGGTCTTTGGATCGGAGCATGTCGTGATCTCTGACTTGCAACTGGAACTGCGTGTCTGCCGAGCACGACACCTTGAAGTTTTCGTGGTTCGCATCGAACTCCACTGTGCCCGACGTGGATTTGATTGCCTTGGTCTTGTGCACTTCTTTGGCTCCTTTGGATCCGACCATCTTAATGAGAACCTGAACGTCGGCTTTTGGAGGGTATCCGGTGGCAGAGACAACAATGAAACTTGCTGTTCCCGTCTCACTACCTTTAGGAGCTGTTATGGTGGAGTGGTTGCTCTTAGTGCGGGAGTGCATCATGGGCGAGGGTGTGACTGGGGTAACCGGAGTCGCGCTTCCGTCAACCATGGGAGGGGCTTTGGCTGGGGTTGCGACTGGCGCCATGGCGGCATCTGCAGTCTCCAACGTTCCGTTGGTGGTTGGTGATGCGTCTTCCTTACTGCCTCGCCCTCTGGTCAAGCCGTGTTTGATGAATGAAGCTCCCTTGACCACACCGCCACCCACCTTTCCGACACCTTTTACGGGTGCACCAATCACCTTTCCAGCCGGCGCGAAGGTTCCTGAAAAGGTTGATGTCCCCTGCCGCGCTCGAGTGATGTAGTCGGGCTTGAACAACATCCTAAGTCGAAGAACCCCCGACTTTCCGTCCAAGGTGTATTTGACCTCTTGTGGCTGGAACGGCTCCAGAACTTGCAGGTTCAGTATTGCAGAGCCCAGATGGTCGGCTTTGTCGCCAAAATCCCAATCCATAACGTCGACCTTGAAGTCAGCTGCCGTGCGGGACGGAATCTGCACCTCGAAAAATTCGTTCCAGGCAGGATGGAGTGTCTTCTTCTGGATCTTGGTCTTGTACACTTCTTTGCCATTCAACCTGAATTTGCAGTATGGATCACTGTAGCCATTGCGATCTGCAGACGGAAGATCGGCCGCATCCATCACGTCGACGCGGAGAGTGCCCATGTTGTTGATGCTCTCGCTGGGATCAAGCTGCATCTTCACGGGTAGATATTTGAGACTGACCACCACTTTGTTGATAGCTCCGTTATTGCTCCTCATTGTGAGTTCTGTGGGCTTGTACAAGCACTGCTGTAGTGTGTGAAGAGTAGAGCCAGTCAGCTTAGCAACGATGTCATTGTCGTCTCCCTTGCCCGTCCGGTCAACCTTTTCGGCCAACCGGAGTGTGATTCGAGACATTTCAATCTCACGAACCATGGCATCACCAGTCTCGCCGAATTGGTGATCCCTATCTCGAATCCTGGAGGACGTGTAAGCTGGAAAGGCATGATCGTCCATCACTACCTCAAGCTTTATGTCTGTTTGCGCAAAGTGGCCTTCGATAATGCTGAAGACAATGAGACCGGATTCTGGTTGCAATTAGCGGTACCCACCTCGGAGTATAAGGGGACATACCGTATTTGGGGAGATCCTCCGGCGTGATCTTGATCTTGGGCGACTGTTTTACGGCGGAAGTGACAGAGCCGCTGATAGATGCAGCCCCATTTGCCAGAGCACCAAGTCGGCCCGCCTTTTCCAGACTCTTCCGCCCATCCACACTTGGTCTTGTCATCTCTGCTGAAGTCTTGACCTCAACAGATGATTTCTTGCTGTGCGATGGCGTTCCTGCTGGAGTTTCATGCGTTTCGAGTGCTGCTTGGGCTTTCCGCTCTTCCTCTTCCTCTTCTGGATCCATCACGTTGAGAGTTGGGAAAAATGAAACGCTATAGTTGATTGTGCCCTTCGCTTCACCGGCACCTCCCATTCGCAATCCTTCAGACAGCATGGTCTTGGTGTCATGAACTTCATACCCACCTTCTTCGGCTTCTTTCATGTAGTCTGAAGCGGGAATCTGGACCAGGCCCAGAGATCGATCTTTGCCGAGCTTTTCTTCGTCCATCACCTCGAGGATCAGTCGCTCAGAAGGGGTATGCACCGGCACATATATGACTTCATCCCAAGTGGGATTGAGGTCGTTCTGGAATGTTACCGTCCGGCCCTTGGGGATGCTTGACAGCAGAACTCTGGCATAAGGGTCCGATTTGCCCATTGTCTCGTAATTTCGCAGGCTCTTTGCACTGTGGACGTGAATGCGCAACACACCGACGGGGGTGATGTAGCCGCCAGATCCTGTGACACCCTTCAGCGCCACCGGTTTCCAGTCCAGCATCAACTTAGCCTTCCCTGTCGTCGTCCCGTGTAGATTGAACCACTCCTGACCTTTATCCACAAGTTTAAGCATATCGTCCAACTTGATTTGAAAGGTGCCTAAGATAGGATCGGTGGCAAGGTCGCGATTGTCTTTGATGGCCAACCCGATCCTCGCTTTCTTACGATCCGTGATGAGGACTGACTTGGTGTTGTCCGAGAATACAGGGTTGTTGGTGTGCTTGAGCTTGTTGGTGATATGGATCTCCTTGCCATTGAGAAGAAGCACCGCATACGGGTCCAAAGCGCCGACCAGACTTCTGCTTCCGTCCAGATCTTTGGCTTGTTCGATGGTGATTCTTGCGATGCCCGTGTTTGACTCCGGGGGTGGTAAGATCTCACCCGTAGAGAGCTTCTCCGGTTCCAAGACAGGAAAGAACCGAACATCGCAGTTGACCACTCCACGGTGCTTCCCATTGGCAAGTACATCAAGCGTCAAATTTTCATGCTCAGCGGCGCCCTCCAATCTATCCAGTGCGAAGGTAGCGGTCCCAAGGTGCTTGTCCTTGCGCACATCGTTGTAATCGTAGAGCTGCAACGTAAGGGAATCCGTTAGATTCGTAATGATGATGTACAAGGTCTCGTTCCAGCGAGGGCTGTTGTCTTCGTGAATTGTTTTGGTACGTGCCAACTCTTTGGCGCTGTTCAGCGAGACAATAACATAGGGATCTGGTGTACCGGAGAATTTATCGGGGTTCTTCAATCCATTGGCATTGTGGATCGTAACGGCAACAACGCCAATGGCTAGATCGATGGGGTTGCCTGATAGCAGTTTGGCCACCTCGATGGGGAAGACATTGGGCTCGTACATGATCGGAGCAAGATTGCCGTGGATCTGTTCTTTAATAAAGTTCTCCAGTCCAGGGATAAAATTGATGTCGAAGCCAAAAGTTTCTCCACCTAGAGGCTTGCAGACATAGTCAATTGTAGGTCGACCGAGGAAACAAATGTCCACGCGCTCGATATGCGGGTAGGGAATTTGCAGTTTCATCTTGACCCGCATCAAGCCCGAGAACTCGAAGTCTTCGACAATGACCTTCATTGCCTTACTGACAACACCTTTGCCGATCCGGATTTCCAGGACGACTTTAGGGTTAATCTTTGTCTTGAGCTGGCGGGCAGTCATGTCCATGGTGTCGGTGGGAGTAAAGCTGAATTTCCAATCCATCAGGACAATGTCGTCCTCGGCCCTTGGATAGGTCTTGACATGCTCAATGCGGGGTGGTTTGGTGCCCAGAATAAAGGTTTCAAGTCTCATGCTGTCAAGAAACGCCGGCGTGGAGGTGCTCAGAACTTGGTCCACGGACATGATAACGGCTTTGGCAAGCTGCGGGGCGTAGATGGGCCAGAACTTGACCAAAAAGCTGTTCATCCATTCGAGGCTTTCGGTGTCGGTCTCCAGACGTGCTTTGGCCAGTTCCCGTGTGATATCGTCTCTGAAGTTTCGTCTCACCCGTCTAATGGAGGTCCTGTAGTATGTGCCGCAGGTGGCCATGATGATCAAGACCCATGCTAGACCACCGCCGAGGGTAGCAACGAGCCATGATGCTATACAGGCAAAGACGATCACGGCCGTGTTGTGATACCAATCTGGAATTCTTAGAGACACGGCCATGTATCTTGGAAGCAAAGGTATACGCACCACCGAAGAACTTCTCATCCAACCTCCCCTCAAGGGCCGTTTGATGGTCTAATAGGTTACCTTCCTCTTCGTCCGTCCCACCAGATCCGAAGCGCGGAGCCCACCCGACCTTGTTCCATTCTTGTTCTTCTTCTGGTGGAACTCCATTTGCCGCGCCAGCCTGGGCCGGGGGTTCTGCCTTCGCAGCAACGGAAATGTCTTCAGGTGGAGGTAAGTAGGACTGAGCGGGCTTTCCATCGTCCTGTCATATTTGTCAGTCAGAGGTGAAGAGAGAGGCTTGAGAGTAATATCACTCACCAGATCCGTGACCACTCCGACCCCCTTGGGTGGGCGACGAGTATCGTTCTGCCGCTTTGATGGAGGTCAGTGATATGGTTTTGCCGCGAGTTGGAGAAAAGGAATCTTACCGCTCTGGCTTGCGCGGCCTTTTCTGCTGGCGAGGCATTGGGATCGAAATGCAGGGCCGTAGAACCAGCCTTTTTGCTCTCGTCTAGAATGACCCGTTGAGCATCATCGCCGGTGACAGAGCTGTTTGGGTCGCGAGCCGCCTCGACGGCGCCTTGGGATTTGAGCTCGTTCTTTTCTCTCTCGGAGCTCATGGTGATTGGGCGAGGACGATCAACCGACCTTGGTCCGAGCTGCTCTAGATTTCGGAGAGCATGTGGAGAGAAGGGAGAAAGGGGATCGAAGACGGGAGACTAAGTAGGTAGGCAGGACGAATGTCAGGTCACCTGTGCAACTCGGCCTCTGCCACAGAAAAGTCGAGAAGTGAAATGAGGAGCGGACGTGGTGAGCCTGCGAGAAAAGGTGCTGCGGCCGAGTGCTCTTTGTGAGGTCGCTTTGCTCGACACGGCGGTCGGCTGGTGACGAGTGATGGAGCAGATGCGGAGAGCTCCAGCTTAAACTTTAAGTGGCTTTCAGCTTGCACTGCTTGCAGGGAAGCGCGAGGCCACGCAGGCGTGCGCAGGAGTGCCCGAGGCGCCCAGGGTGCCCAGGGTGCGCACCTCTGCCTATGCTTTTGAGCTATTTGGCTTTCGTCTAGTGCCTAGTGACCCCCACTAGCTTCACCTCCAGCCCACCCACCGTTCCCCAACGTGCCCTCAGTGCCCTGTTTCGCGTACCCAGCCGAGTGTTGACGGGCATCAAGCAAGCTGGAAATCGCAGTCATCGCCACAGATGATCCTGCCACTTGACGCCTTCCATTCGCCAACCTCCACGATCGCACCCCCCCTTCCGCTTTTCCCCTGTACGAGACAATGCATCTCTCTGTCGTCGCTCACTTTAGCCCGCTTTCGAGTGGCCCAGCAACTTGTCTTTGGCCTTTCCAGTCCCACGTGTGGGAAAAATTGAAAGAAAAAGGAAGTTGCGCTTCGGTTGACGGCATCACCTCTAGCTTCTTCTCAGCAGGACCAGGGTTGGGGACGGTTGACAATATCGGGAGATGTTCTTCTGCGTAAACAGCAGAGTGACCCTCTCCGTCTTACTCAATGTCAAATGGGTGACCAGTACGACAAAGTGCTCATCCGTAGGTTCCCCAATGCCACTAATTGCGCAATACGTTCTTGCGATCTTTCGGTTGCACGGCCATAAGCAAGGCTCCTTGTGCAACCAATCGCATACTGTGCTTGGGAGACGAACGCTGGGTCCCAAGTCAGGCCGTAAGATCTGATCGCCATCTACCTAGGTATGTAATGGCAAGACCGTACGGAGCACAACGGATGGGCTTTTGAAGGGAGCGCCAAAGGGTGTAGAGCATGTGGAAAATATCATAAGATTATCTCTGACATCCAAACTGTTGGGACGCCTGCTTTCAGAGAAGCGTATCTTTTCAAGGCAGTCCAGGTTGCACCTATTTCCTGCCAGTTTTCTTCTTCATCTTGACCCTTTCAATTATCTCTGGCTTCTCCCTGCATGTCGGACAGTACCAATCTTCGTCCTCATCTGGGACTTTCTTCATGTTCAAGCATCCCGTGTGGAACCACTGGTAGGGGCAGTCATCATTCTCACAAGCCACCATTTCCCCATAACTGCGCTGGTTGCAAAAGCAGTAGCGTTTGTCGTCTTCTCCCTCTTCATCTTCCATTTCTTCGTCCTCGCCCGCATCAGCTTCGGGTTCCTCTGACGCAGCTTGCTGTTGCTTCTTAATGCCTCGCCTTCCTCTCGATTGGGAGGCATCGGTTTCGGAGGCATCAGCGGATGACAACACAGAGTCTGCATCTTCCGAGGCTGCCGTCCCGCCACGTCCACCTCGTACTGAGGGTGATTGACCCTTTTTGCGCCCAACGGATAGTCTTCCCTTGGTCGAGCCTTTTTGCTTGAGCTTATTGACCTGTTGATGGGAGATGACCTTCTTAGAGAGGCCTGACTTCTTGGGAGGCGCCACTGATTGCTGTGCTCCTGTAGATCGAGGTATGCTGCCAGCACGGCTTGTACCTGTACCTGTAGGAGTGCCTGCTTTGGGAGTGCCTGGGCCAAGTGAGGATTGCCGGAGACCTGACGGCTGGGCCGGTAGGGTTGTACCTGGCACTGGACCTCCTAACTTCCGCCGCTTGTTCTCAGCACCCAGGGAATGTTCTCGCTCTCGTTGACGTTGTTGCTGAACGGCCGAAGCAGGTGTCGCTGGTGCGGAGCTCCGTTGAACAGGTGTGCTTCCCGTTGTAATCGGTGGCACCTGTCTAGCTTGGGCCTGTTGCATGGTCGCAGAGATATGCGTGTTGATCCTGTGTGCGTTTGCATTGAGAGCACTGATAGACGCGTTCTGTAGAGGTAGACTGGTGGGCAAGTCAATGAAGGGCTTCTGCGTCTCAGCCTTGCGGTTGAAAACACTTGGCAAGGGCGGACCGTCGAGGAGTTGTCCATCGCTCTGTAGTTCCCTAATTTTCATGTCTAGTTTCTTGACCTGCCGCTCCAAGAGATTGCAGGCCTTTTCACTCAAGGCGACTTTTTGGTCCTGAAGTCCATGGCATAGCTCGTAGTTCTTCTTGACTAGCTCGACATACTCGCCCTCCTTCGGATGTGGAGCGAGTACTCCGTTGGCTCTGAGATGCTTTTGTATGTTGGCGTCTTTCTGGTTGATAATGGACAAGTGTTTCTGCAGGTCTTTGTCCTTGGCTTGGATCTCCTCCATCATGTGAGTGATCTCGGCTGGTAAATTGGCAGCATCGTGAATGAACTGCTCTAGCACCGACGCACAGTCCTCATTTGTGGCCATCTCTGAAGACTGTGACTCTCTTGGTAGATCGTAAACAGTTTAGGGAGGGAATGTCTGGTTCTCTTGTACGAGTTTTGATTTCGCGCCTTTCTCGCCCGAAAAGACCGGTGGTCAAGCCACAACGACGACTGAACCTCAGCTTTACTGCATCTCAGTCACGATCGACTTTAGTACTGTGTATACAACACTGCTTTTGATGATATCCGATGTGGGTGTGACACGAGTGATGAACCAAAACCAGAGGGGTGTGGCAACAACAGAAGGACAGCGAGGCAGCGTGGCAGCCAAGTTTGAAATTCACATCAAAGCAGCATACGAAGCTAAACTATTTAAGGTTAGTGGAAAGTGGCGCTACTTTGACGCCACATCAAGCTCCCGAGATTCTGGCCTTCGACTCGCTTCCTCGATTCTCCTCTCAGCCTTGCCTCGCTACCGAACCCTTGAGAACTCTTCCAACAACTTTTATCGTCTCCAAAACTCCTTGAGAACTCACGCGCTTATATGCCGACGTGCGTCAGAGAGGTTCCCAGTCATATTCCACGTTCGAAGACCATGCGCTGGTCATTTTGCTAGGACCAAGTTTGACGTCGAGCTGAAGGCCGGATCCCATCGCCAGAGAGATCCCATTTTTCGCTGGATCGCGTCATGAACCTGGGCAGAATCAAGCCTTCTTCACTTCTCTTCCACAGCATCTCTCTCTGACACCACCCACATCATGGCCATCGTGCAGGAATACCAGGATCCGTTGTCCGCCAACTCAAACCCCACCTTCACTCTCTCGGCCAAAATCCAACGCGAGGTAGAAGCCAACGGCATCGCCCGCCCAAAAGGTTACAAAGTCTCATGGCATTATAACCCAGCTGTGGAGGACCATCACTTTGGCCAAACGCATCCCATGAAGCCCTGGCGTCTGACCTTAACCAAGTCCCTCATCCTATCTTACGGCATGCACATGGCCATGGACTGTTACACATCCCGTCCAGCCACCAGAGATGAAATCGCCGCATTCCATAAGGAGGAATATCTTCACTTTCTCAGTATTGCCACTCCTCAAAATCTCTACGATCTGTACCCTGAACTCGCAACGGGTCCTCAAGGCTACTCATCCCACGTTTTCGGTGTCGGAGACGACTGCCCTATTTTCGATGGCCTCTTCTCATTCTGCTCGACCTACACTGGCGCGTCCATCGACGCAGCCCGGAAACTCTGCAACAAACAATCCGACATCGCCATAAACTGGTCTGGCGGCTTGCACCACGCCAAAAAGGCCGAAGCCAGCGGATTCTGTTACGTCAATGACATCGTACTCGCCATTCTGCAACTGCTCACGTGCCATCCGCGTGTCCTGTACATCGACATTGACGTACACCACGGGGATGGTGTGGAACAAGCATTCTGGTCCACTGACCGGGTCATGTGTGTCTCCTTCCACAAATACGATAAGGACGCGTTTTTCCCCGGGACCGGTCCGCTGGAGTCCACGGGGCCGATCCACCAAGACAATCCAGGAAAAAACTATACCATCAACGTCCCCCTCAACGACGGCATTGACGACGAAAACTATGAGTACCTCTTCCGCAGCGTCGTGGAACCCACCATCAAGACCTACCGCCCCTCGGTCATTGTGCTCCAATGCGGCGCCGATTCGCTCGGGCATGATCGCCTGGGGTGCTTCAACCTCAACGTCCGCGGCCACGGCAGTTGCGTTTCCTTTGTCAAATCCTTCAAAATCCCCTTGCTGCTCGTGGGCGGTGGTGGCTACACACCACGCAATGTCGCACGGGCGTGGGTCCACGAGACATCAATCAGCATCGGCGCAGACCGCTCGCTCAACCCGCAAATCCCGGAGTTCGCGCCGCACCGCGAAGCGTTTCGGAAAGAAGGCTTCACTCTCTTCCCCAATCTCGGGAACTGGAAAAAGGACCTCAACTCCAAACAGGACATTGAAAAGATCATACGGCACGTGAGGGAACAACTGACGCAAATCCGCGGCGCTCCCAGCGTCCAGATGAAGTACATCCCGCCGGACATCCAGGGCTGGAGGGACGAGGTCGAGGAGGAACTCAAGGCCAAGCGTTTAGAAAAGGAGGAGAAGGCCGAGGAAAGGGACGGCGCGGGAAGCCTGTTGGCCAAGGCGAGCAGGAGAAGGGAGCTGGAAAGAATGTCGGGTGGCAGCTCCGCCATGGCCAGTGGTGCCGCGAGCGTGAGACTCGGCGAGGGTCCGAGCGGATGAGAAAGAGAGATAAATCTGAAGGTGATGGACATGATAAGTTTTTTTGATTTACTCCTTATATCCAAAAGGCGAGCCTGAGCCGCACCCCATTCGGCAGAGGTGGCTCTATTCGTGTATTCACCCCATGTCATTCATGTTAGTGGTGTTTTCTGGAATGGACAAAAAACGGATACCAGTACGAACTACTGTCAAGTCAGAGGGGATATCTTGGCCTCTGGATTCCTAGGTTGTTGAGAGGATCTATATTTGCCGCGTTCTCGGTACATAGGTCGGGGACAATGCATGTTGGATATATACCATCTCTCCTACCAAAGTCATGTGAGAAAGCTTTATATGTTCAGATTAATTTACTAGGATGAAGCGCTCTCTTGAAAAGAAATATTAATACGCTGTTCATATTCATAGCTCCTCTTTAATGCCAGCGTAGAAGCAAAGGTGAGAAATCGGGCCTCGACAGCCAGACTGGAGCTTTTGTGCTATGAAGGCTCCAGCTCCAGCTCAATGTCGACAAAGGGCCCTCGATCACCATTGACAACAGTTACACCACGCTCTTTATCTTTGCCCTTGCCCTTGTCCTTGTCTCGGTCTTTGGTCTTCTCTTTCACCTTTTCCCTGTCCTTGTCCGTTTTCCACTTGTCCGCTTCTTCAATCCTATCGTACCACTCGTCAAAATACTTGCAAGTAACCACATTCACCGGGCCGCCGTCACCACAGATGTCAAACGAAGGACACCTCAAACAAGGCACTTCACTTGACCCTCCGCGACCCAACTTCTCCAACTCCTCCTGCCGATACGCGGCTTTTCTGACGTCGTCGTGGTGGCTCACTTTGCGCTTGTCAAGTTGAAGCCGTTCGGTTATGTCCTGCGGGGTTTTGAAGCAGCGATACATGGTGACGGTGTTGTTGATGTGGTCATCGGGAAGCTCGTTGCCGTGGGGCGGACGGTGGAGTTTGAACAGACGATCGTCATAGACCATCACCTGGAGGAGTTGTGCAATGGCGTTTTGAGGCAGCATCGAGCCCGTAACTTTGATATTGAGGATATGCCTGGTTATGTCTTCCAGGGTGGGATAGGACTTGTGGCCCGGGCCGAAGGGTCTGTAGGATCTCTGGGAGGAAGCTTGGTGCTTTGAAGACTTGGCTTTATTGTTCTGTCCTTCGCCAGTCTTGGTCATTTTGCCCCTGTCGTCACCATGCTCTTCGAACCCACCACTGGGCCGCTTGCGTTTTTGACCTGGGCTTTCTTCCATGTCATCAGGCTTGATTTCTTGCCAGCTTTGAGTAGAAACATAGTGCTCGATAACAGTGGAGATGGTATCAATCAGTCCAATATCAAGTCGTCCCTCAGAGAACCAGGAGCCACCCGTAGCATCTTCAGAGGGAGTCAAGCCAGCCAGAATGTACATCTTCCGTTGGGGATGGCTGACACTTTTCATCTGCTTGATAAGTCCCCTACCCTCTAAGACCTTGTAGACCTTCTCCAGGATGTTTCCATGGAGGGCGGTTTTTGATTGGAGCTGTTTCGTCCACATTCCCGAGGTCTTCGCGCCGTCGATGACCTGCAAGACGATTTGCTCATTGCGACTGAGGTTGACATAGCTGTAGAATAGGACAGTCAGGACTTAAGCAGACACTGCAACTTCGGTGTGGTGTAGTATTACTCTTTTGCTACATCTGGGTCTACCAATTCCCAGCCAATGCCACCGCCCGCTCTGTCGTGGACTCTGAAGAGCGAATTCTTGACAAGGTATTCGACGGAGGAGAGAAGGATGTGGAGATCTTGGTTTGGGATGACACCGGCACTCAACAGCTCGGCCTGGGAGAAGACGTAGCCAAATTCATAGTTCTTGGAGCACCAAGCATGAAGAGCCTCAGCAGTGCGATCTCGAAATGGGGCGGCCGTCGAAGGCTCGGAATCCGGGACGGTGGTATTCTTGGGAGGCGCCATTTTGAAGTAATGGCTTGGAGGGATATGTGCTACCGATGGGGGTAGAGATCTGTGTACATGATGGGTCAAGCAGAGAGGCTGCTGACCAAGTGAGCAAGAATAGGGCTGTTGGATGTCACCGCGACATACTAGGAGAAATTTTGTAGTTGCGTGAAATGGGAGTGTGTGAAAAGTGGAACTGGGGGATGGAGTTGTGTGAATAAAGAATTCTGGAAATTTTGGCGCAGGAGGATGCGAGATAGTGGGGTTTGCGGTAGAGGCTCAGAGGCGCAGAAGGTTCAGTCAGGCTGCGGATGGGTTGGGCAATGGGCCACGAGGCTGCCGCTAAAACTTCTTGGTGCCGGTGCGGGCGGTGCAGCTGTTGGCGTTTTAGGCGTCTAGGCACCTAGCCTTCTGAAAACCTCACCTGAGGACCCTGTGCGAGGTCCTGCTAGTGCCTGTGGTGCTTCTTGGTGGTGGCCCGTGCACCGAATTTTCTAGCAATTCTGTTCGCTGCCCGCATTTGAAGGAACTAAAAGAATACATCAGGCTGTCGATTTCTCCAACTCATTCTCAGGCTCTGTCGATCTTGTGTACAACCGCAAAAGCTCTTCTCTGCAACAACTGTATCCTATCTTGCTACCTTACTTCATTCGGGTTCCCTTTCAAAGCCGCCTCAGTTTGACCTTTGAATTCTGTCCTAGCCATGGCCGATGCTCTGAAGGCCGAGGGCAACAAGGCCTTCGCGGCCAAAGACTTCAAGACTGCTGTGTGAGTGCTCAGCCCACACCGTACTCCCCGATCGCTCGGCTGACGGCTGTTACCAGTGACAAGTTCTCCCAAGCTATTGAACTAGATCCCACGAACCATGTCCTTTACTCCAACCGCTCCGGTGCATATGCTTCCCTCAAAGAGTACCAGAAAGCCCTTGACGATGCGACCAAGACCACAGAACTCAAGCCCGACTGGGCAAAAGGCTGGGGTCGGAAAGGAGCTGCCCAACATGGTCTTGGTGATCTTGTCGGTGCAAAGGATGCTTTCGAAGAAGCCTTGAAGCTCGAACCGTCAAACACCCAGGCCCGGCAAGGCCTTGATGCTGTCAACAGAGCCATTGAAGCAGAAGCACGTGCGGACGGTGCTGATCTGGGTGGTCTAGGAAACATGTTCAATGACCCTCAGCTCATCCAGAAGCTCGCAAGCAACCCAAAGACGTCGAAATACCTTGCAGATCCTCAGTTCATGGCTAAGTTGCAGCGACTAGCCAAGAACCCTCAAGAGATGGGCCAGGAACTCGCCGATCCAAGATTTCTCGAGGTCATGGGTGTGCTGCTGGGTGTCGATATGCAGATGGGAATGCCGCCGGAAGGTGGCCCCTCTGGTGCGCAGAGAGCCACAGAAGAAGAGGAAGATGTCCCCATGCCAGATGCTCGACCGCAATCTAATCCCCCGCCGTACGCCGAGAAAAAGGCACCCGAACCTGAGCCTGAACCTGAGCCCGAGCCGGAAGACGAAGAGGCCATCGCGGCAAAGAAGGCCAAGGAAGAAGCCGAGAACGAAAAGAAACTTGGGACAGAAAATTACAAGAAGCGAAAATTCGACGAAGCCATCGAACACTACTCCAAAGCCTGGGACCTTCACAAGGATATCACGTACCTGACCAACCTCGGCGCCGCCAAATTCGAAAAGGGCGACTATCAAGGGTGCATTGAGGCTTGTGAGAAGGCCGTTGAGGAAGGCCGCGCCATGCTCGCTGACTTCAAGATCATCGCCAAAGCCTTCGGGCGCATCGGGTCTGCTTATGAGAAGATGGGAGACTTACCGAAGGCCCTGGTCAATTATCAGAAGTCTCTCACCGAACACCGCACGCCGGACATCTTGGCCAAATTCAAGGCCGCCGAGAAAGCTCAGATCAAAGCCGAAAAGGACGCATATATCGACCCAGAAAAGGCGGAGGAAGCCCGCCTGTTGGGAGCCGAAAAGTTCAAAAACGGGGACTGGCCAGGCGCCGTCGAAGCCTACACCGAACTCACCAAGCGAGCGCCCGACGACCCGCGAGGCTACTCCAACCGGGCGGCCGCACTGATCAAGCTCCTTGCCTTCCCGACCGCCATCCAAGACTGCGAGGAGGCCTTGAAGCGCGACCCCAAATTCATAAAAGCATATCTCCGCAAAGCACAAGCATTGTTCGGCATGAAGGAGTACAACAAATGCCTGGACGTGTGTACGGAGGCCATGGAGCATGATGAAGGTGGTAAGAACGCCAGAGAAATCGAGCAGCAGCAGGCCAAGGCCCTGGAAGCAATGTACGCTGCTCGCCAGGGGGAGACGGAAGAAGAGACGAGTGCACGCATCCAGAAAGATCCCGAAATAAGTAAGTGATCCCCCCCCTTCCTTCCCAACCAGCTGCTCGTCGCAGGTTCCCCCCAACCACTTTACCATTCACCGCATCGCCATACCAGAACCGGTGACTAACCTATTTTGCTTGTGTACAGTGCAAATCCTCTCCGACCCAGTCATGCAATCCATCTTGCAACAAGCCAAGTCCGACCCGGCGGCACTAAACGAACACATGAAGAACCCTGGGATCCGGTCCAAGATCCAAAAATTGATTGCCGCGGGTGTTATCCGCGTGGGACGATAGAGGGCGTGGAAGAGAAAGCTTGCTAAGCGCGCGATGCAGTCGGTCTCTCTAGTTGGGATTTGAAAATACCTATGCGTCAAATCAAATGCCCGGGCGGGGAAGGGGGAAGGTCAGGGGAAGATAGGTGGAAAGAAGCATTTCGAGGAAAAATCGGCGGGGAAAGATGGCTATTACTGGCATTGTGATGTGTGTTTGAGTATGTCGTTCGTCGGAAATCAGCATCATCTATGGCTCATGACCGTTACGAGAGATTTTTTTCCCTCAGCGCATTTCCCCATCTAATCGAAAACCAACTTCTCCGATCAAAGGACCTTGGGGGTTTTCCCCCTCCGCTGTCTATATACCGGCAGGTTTGGCCTTCATTCTCATAAGTATATTTTACGTCATGTCATGTCTCATCATCCCATTGCCATATCAAGTCATTTTGAATCCACAATCACAGCCTTGCACCTTTTACATAAAGCACCATAAACACCCCCCTTTTTCCATTGATCCCTGAATCCTGTTTGAGCACTTTTACTCTTCCGAATATATGGGTGTCTTGGTCCCAGTATATATCCAGCCTGAAATCCAAGACGTCAATGCTGTGTAACTCATAAATCCCGCGGATCCCGGTCCATGCGTTGTTGACTGATATAACCAAACCGTGCGTTGAGCACTCAGGAAATGTCTCCAAGAACAGAGAAGAACGCCATGACTCGTCCTGGCAGACGAGAACAGGAGGACAAAGGTGCCTAGTCGTCATCGCTCAAGGCGCTCATCTTCTTGGCCAACGCCAATCCTTTCAGACCTTTTGCGTCCATCGCATCCGGCGGTGCTCCGAATCCTCCAAACGCGTCAGAAATTTCCGACGCATTCTCTTTCCGGGCCTGGACGACGAGTAGTCCTGTCTGCAATTGCCTCTCTCGGACGACTTTCACGAGCTGTGTGGCCAGCGGTCCCAGCGCGTGATTGTCCTCGCGCACAGAACTCGGTCCAGCGTAACTAGTGATAGCCATCAAACTAGACATTGACGACTCTCCTGTAGCGGTACCCAAGACAGTGTAGGTCGCTTTGGGATGAAAAGTGCTTCGACCGATTATGACAAGCGTTTCCGCAGGGTTAGGTTCGGAAATCGCTGCCAGCACTGCCTCCAGACCCAACGAATGCACGTCCACGACTGTCACTCTTTTGTCGAAGCCACAATCCGCGATGCTTGACCGGAGGGCGTCGAACTCAAAATCTGTAGGCGTGCGAAGAGTATGGACTTTTGATAGGCCGGCCATCTTGTTATCATGGTCGGTGTCTTCGACGCGTTGATCAGCGTCCACGTTGTCGGGGTCAACTCTTGCATTCAGAATCTTTAGATCGACCATCTGATTCTTAGCCAGCTGTAGACCGAGGCGCACAGCAAAAAGGTCATCTTCGCTGTCGCCTTGATAGAGAACGAAGAGCCGAGTCCGTCTGCTTTCGGCCAACTTGAAGTGGACAGTCGAGTTCATCTGATCCACAAGACTAACTCCGGTAAGGGTCCTGTTTAGTTGTCGTGTTGATCGTTCAAGTACTGGAGAGTCGATATTTGAAGCTCCAAATGGCGCACAAAGGACTGTCTTGTCAAGAATCACACCTACAGGGCAAGTCGTTCTTGCTTTCTCCAAAATCTCTGCCGCAAGTGTCGCAAATTGTTTGTTCGCCAGCGGATCACCCGGCTTTGCCTCGAACAAACTAGGGTATTCGGACAATGTTCCAGTCTCAGACCAAGGAACCAACACAAGATCACTCTTGAGGTCCGTCGCGCGAGACAACAATGTGCCCGAGAAGCTGTGATCGGGCACCACAGCAATTTGTCCAGCCACTGCCATATCACACGATTGTCCAAAAGTGCCGAATGCCTTAATGACTGGGTCTCGTCCAGCAAATTCCTCAATCTCCGAGACGCGCATTACGCTGGACTCTCGTTCCGTGAGCTCCATGAGGCGCAGACCGTGGACTTGAAGAGGGCGGCGAAGCCTGACTACTGAGCTGAGGGCTTGTGCGTTTAAGATCATCGGCTCGTCGTTTTTGGTATGATCCTGAGGCTCGACAGCTTCCTCCTCAGATTTATGGGCAAGTAAGGAAACCATGGTGAACAGACCGGGAAGACCATCGAGACGAAGATAGACCAACACCTTCTTTGCAACGTTGGTCTTGCGAAGAATGTCCGCCTCGCTACTTGGTTCCGTGTCAGTTTCTGGGTGAAGCGGATTACCGTCCCAGTCGATCTTGCCCTGCTTCCAAAGCTCCAATTTCCGCTGGTACCAAGGCGGGTATAGCCACGTAGTCAATGGCGTCGTTGCGAAGGTGGTGATGAGAGCCATAACAACGAAAATGGTGAATGTCCGGGTGCTGAGAATTTTGGCCTGTAGGCCGATGTTGAGGACGATCAATTCGACCAAGCCTTTGCACGACATCAGAACGCCAATTGTGAAGGATTCCCGCCAGACAAGACCATTGAATCGGGCGGCCAGGGTCCCACCGGCTATCTTCCCTACAAAGGCGATTACGCACACGCCAACCACATAGCCCCAGGTCAGGCCGTTGTTGAGAAGCCCGAGGTTAGTGCCTAACCCCGACAGTGCGAAATAAAGAGGTAGAAAGAGAACGCCAACAAGGTCTTCAATCTTTTCTGTAAGCTTGATGGCGAATCCTCCTTCGTGAGGCAGCATTAACCCGATGATGAAGGCACCAAAAATGGGATGGATGCCAATGATGCCAGTGAAGAATGCCGATGCTAGGACGAGTAGGATTGTCAGTGCGACTACCGTTTGCGTCGGACCGTTGGCGAGACTTCCCGTCTTTCGAAGAAACCACATGACGACCGGTCGGACGGCAAAGACCAGAAACAGTGTGTAACCGATGGCGACGAGCAGGATCCATAGAGCGGTGAGACCAGCGCCAGAGTTAACAAGAGCAACACACAGAGCGAGCAATATCCACCCAACGACATCATTGCCGACCCCGGCGGATAGCACGATAACCCCAACGGGAGTGCTGAGTAGTTTTAGAGTAGTCAAGATTCGGCAAAGGACGGGAAACGCCTGGGCTCGGTGAGTGGTCAAATACTAGTCATCAGAAGGAAGAGAACCTACGGTGATTGCCATGGCCACACCGATGAAAAGCATGTACACGCCAAAGCTGATGGGAGCCAGACCAGACTCAGTCCGGAAATCACGGTAGAGGCCCCATGCAATACCACACCCGAGCCCGAAAGGGATAGCCATTCCAAGAGCACTCACGCTCAGCGCGATGCGCCAATTGCTGGCGAGAAAGCGCAAGTCGACTTCCAGCCCAACAAGAAACAAGAACAACACCAATCCAAGATTGGCAGCCAGTGTAAAAGCTGGCATAGAACTGGCGGGAAAGATGGCGTCTGTAAATCCGGGGATCCTCCCCATGACCGAAGGACCCAGTATGATGCCAGTGATGACCTCGGCGATCACTCGAGGCTGGCGGAGGTAGGCCAGAGGCACATGGATGATACGTGTGAGGATAATGACTATAGCGGCCTGGATGATGAAGAGAGTAATGGGGTTTTTGGGGTCATAATGGGTGGGATTGAGGCCTTCAAAGACACCGCCTTGGGGAGTTGCTCGAGAGCTGGAGGTGCTTGTCGCTGCTGTGGCATTCACCGTCCTTGTGATGAACTCGGTGACGGTAGGAGTTGCCATGTCGGTCTATGTGTTAGACAGCTCATTCGAGGCTCGACGAGAAGCCGGGTATTTGGACGTCAAAATGAGCAGGAGGTGAGAACCAAGTTGCAAGAAGGCAGATGGTGTGCTTATGGCAAACAGCAAATGGCATGTGGGATGCTAGCTTCGATGCGGTCAGCTGCATCAAAGGCAGCAGTGGATATGCTAGATGAGGGCGGATGACTCGGGGTCCTTCTTGGTGTCTCTGAGGACCAATCCAGGCGAAGTTGAAGGCGCCAGGTGCCACTTTTCCATGGTCCCGTCTTGCCGTGTGGAGCCTCGAGGTCGACAGAGAGGTAGAGAGGTCAGGATACCCTGTCACTCCTATACAATTCTTGCAACGACGGAGGATGATAGTCAGTGGACGGAGCTTGTATTTGTCCTGATCTCGAGATCCCGTGGAGTGAGAAGAGTGGTCGGCGGTGGTGGAGCGAGAGAAGCAGCAATAGAGGAAGGACTTGAAGACACTGGAGGGCTTAAAGACGGAGGGGGCGAACCAGAGAGTCAAAACACATGTTGGCGCATCATTGCAGTGGCGTCTTCACGTTGTCCGCGAAGATCATGGTTCGTTGCTCTTTCCACGTGCACTGCGACGAATGAATCGAGTTGAACTCCCAACAAGAACTGGAGTCTGGCTGGACCGCTCAGTCAGCAAAGCCAACAGGTGCCTTAATAGGGACCTCCATGTAAGGGTCTAGAAACACCCGCATAGCGGTCTTTTTTCCAACACAGACAATCAATCATCTCCCATGAACGAGGTATATCACCTCGTGACGTGTCGAAGAAAGAGATGAAGTAGTACCACGACTAGGAGGTCTATCAAAGTTGTGCTACACTCTCGAGATATCGGGCCATTTATCATCTGGTCGTGTGGTAACTTTACGGCCTTACTCTTTAATATTTTGTCCCGTTCGCCCTCACAATCTGCCAACCCACGGCTTTCGCCCATGCCAGACTATTGAACTCAACCATGGCCATACTGATCTGCTCCTTGTCATCTGTAACGTACAATAGATCGACGCCCCTAACGTCCTCGACTCCCGACCCGACTCCACTGGCTGCCCAGTAAAAGGCAATTCGACTGCAGTCGTGGAAGACGTCCAGGGTGGTCAAGAGCGGAATGGCTGCGTTGTTTAGAACGGCGGCGACGAAGTTGTCCTTGCCAGAAAAGGTGGCGTTTCCCAACTGCTTTCGTGTTAGTGATTGATCAATCAAAACTTGACAAGAAGTGGCTCGGAAACGAGGAGAGAAACATATGTTGTGATGGCCGACACATACCGAATTTCCGGCTAGGGAGTTGATCGAGTCACTGTTTTCCAGGTACTCGTCCGCAATCAATGTTTGAGCTGTGGCGCCCTCACTCGTTCGATCTGGTGAGGTAAGGATAGTCTTCCATGCACTGACTATGTTTGTCGCTTGGGCGTCACTCAGGCATCCAGTAGCCGTCAAAGCAGACGGCGTGGCCAAAGGAAGGCTTGGAGTCACAGTGACAGTGATGGGTGGAACGATAACACTCAAGGTCGACGTCGCGGTAATGCTATCAACCACCGCAGGACAAAGTTTGGTCGCTCGTACAAGCAGGTCAAGGAAAGCAGCAGAAGAGCCCGATGCTAGAAGAAGCACTGCAATGGCGCTGGTCCACATGGTTGCGGTGAAAGAAGGGAATGGATCAACATTCAATGACCACAAGGCAAAGCTTCAAGACTATGGCGCTGCAGGTTTTATAGCAGAATGTACCTAGGTAGTACTCCCCTTTCATGCAATCACCATGCCTCGAGGTATGTGAGACATGGCAGTCCAGACGAACTTGTCGTGTCACCTGGGCCCCGACATTCTTTCAACCACCACGCAGCTGCTTTGCAAAACAAGCCAGGAGATTTTTGTTCAACATGTTCAACATAAATATAAATCCTCCGTCCTAGCATCCGATTCGTAATTCTGTTCCTATTAAAATTGGTGTTTCATATGTGCGGCCATAAAAGCACAAAATCAGTCATGGCCAGGGGTATATAAGTTCACAAGCTCCGCTCCTTGCTTCGGGACGCTATATATAGACTTCTTCAATACAAAGATTAGTCCAATGTAAAGGTGTCGCTCAGGAACGTGCAACAAGGCCTAACTTCAAATCGACAATATAGTCCAAGGTTCCGAATGTGATCGGTATATCCATCAGCATAAACATCACCGGTGACGCTTAGCCTTGTGTGCCAGCGGGCTTGCGGTCGATGGGAGAGTCACCGGCCGCAGTGAGCTATGGCCAGGGCGCACTGGGGCCTGTGTGCAGAAACCACAGATATATGGCTCGGGCCTCCTCCGAGGGTCGATACCCACACAGATGGTGTGTAGCCACTTTGAGCACGAATCGCTGCAACATGCCATATTAGTGAATGTAACAGAGTAGATGAAACGGCCGATAGCTCATTTTCACCATCGAATGATTGCATGACTTACCACTGAATCATGGGCACCGACCCGTCCAGCATGGGAGATTTGCACAAGCAACGCATGCTCACGTTGCTTGCGAGACTCTCCCTGTCGGTGCTCGGCGTAGCTAAATCCGGATCCGTGATTGTTGTTGGCGAGGCGTTATAAAAAGCATATTGAGCTTGCTGCAAGGGAGGAGAGGAATGCAATTGCATTGGGTTATTGCTGTCCCCTGCCGATGTGGACCGAGAGCGATCTTGGATTATGGCTCGCAATGCATGCTGGGCATCGCCCCTAGGCTCTTCCTCCATTAGTGTGTCGTCTTCAATCGTAGAGCCAAGAATGGGCCGCGGCCTCCGACCATGGTATCCATCGGTCCCTCGGGTTTTCGATGCACTGGAGGCAGAGCTTTGATATGATGACTGTCTCGCAGAGCTAATCGAGGCCATGGTAGAACGGGAACTAGTCTTTGAATGACCGGAGAACCTGTCCGAAGGAGCTTGATCCTCATATCCCCCGAAAGCAAAGGAGTTGCTCTGGCTGTGGAGGATGTGAAAGTCTGTGTCGTCAAAGGACTCGGCATCGCTGTCTGACGGTTGATCCAGGTCCATATCTCCAGCATCTTGAGTCATGACCGTCTTGGCCACGCCGTTTTCGTCAATTGCAAGCGACAGAGATGCTCGTTTAGCATTGCGGCTACTGGTGAGAGCCCGGGAGATGGGGTCTGCGTTCGGCTTGAGAGGAGATGAGCGCCCTGAGCGGAGTCGATTGTGTTCAAGGAGGACGGGAGAGTTGCGTCCTTCGCGGATCCCCTGAGTCTGAACTTTCAGGCTGCGATCGTTCCGCACTCCAGTGTGCGTCAAACTCCGCTTGAGACCCGGTCTGCCGTCCTTCTTGGGCGTGATAGGTCGTCTTAAGGCTTCCATTACCGATCGTGTAATGGATGGTTTCTTCATATCCGCTCGCCGCATTCGCTTCATTTCCTCCTCCCGCCTGGATTCCTCAATCTGATGCGCATAAGCCGGGCGCTCGGGCGCAGCGTTCTGCGCGAAGCGGCTCGAAAATTGGTCGGAGGTACCAAATCGCCTTGCCGGTGAGCTTAGAAACATGCTTGGGTTCTCCATTTGTGGTTGAAACACACGCGGTGAGGTTGTGAATGGGGCAGGAAAGGCAGAGCTGTCAACATTGGAGTAACTGGCGGAACGGGGTAGGCTAGGCAAGTCATAAGGCTGTTCTTCCGACAGTGCATCTTGGGCAACAAAGCTGGGTACCACTGTGGATGAAGAGGCAAACGAGCTGCTTAGTACCACTGGACTGTAGTGAAATGAACCTTGATATTGCTGGGATATGGACGGATCATTGTAGGAGGGGTCCCAGAACAGGCTCTGGCTCGTGTATATTGGAGCCGTAGCTGGCCCTACGGAGAACTGGTGTGCATACATGTCTGGGGAGAGCTGCAATGTTGGAAAAAGGCCCGGAGACTGTTGCTGCATATATCTGCTCGGTGTTTCTGGGGGCCCCATCGAGGGTCTCTGATTATTTGAAGACATGGTGAAGGACGCCCGCCTTTTAGCGTGTATATCACCGCAATCGTGTGCTTTCTGCAACCGAAAGCGAGAACCCCTTTCAAACTTAAAGTCTTTTGAGGCTTCAGCGATGTAGGTGCGGTCAAGAAACTTCGATATAAAGGACCGGGGCGTGGTGCTTGCTCTGGGGACGGGTCCCAGCCTCGAGGCTCAGGATGCCCTATCACAATGTCCAGACCGATTGCTTTTGCCCGTGTCTGGTGAGTGATAACCTCCTCTTGTCCAACCTCAGAACAAACTCCTGCGACGACAGGCTCGGGATATTCGTCTTCGGTGTGGGACCCGGATACGGTCCGCCGATCATGGAAGTCTGCGAACTGACAAGATGATATCTAAATCAACGGTTAGCTGGATCCGAACGATGGGCAGAACAGCAATCTTCTTCCACAACCCCTTCTTACTAATTGACTAAAGATCCGCTGAGATCATCCTCCTCAATAGGGAGAGTTGCAGTGACGGCAAGTATCACCTGCGCTCTGTACAATGCTCCTCTCAGCTCTCGGATTTCGCAGAGGGCCTACAACCGAAATCAATTTTAAGTTGGTCTCCTGCGCCGCATGTGCCTCGCAAGGTAAAGTTAGGTGGGAGGGCCACGGAGGACCACAGGAATTTGGAGAGGTCCGTCCGTCAGTGAGGAATGCAGCACAGTAATGTGGTCCAGGAAGGGTCGACAATGCATTCAATCAGGGTTGCATGCTCGAAGAAGGTCTTTTCAGACTGAGTAGTTCTATCCCTTTGAGGCAATGGGAGTCATCTGTAAGGCCTGAAGTGTCGAGGTCATGATTGGGCCGGCAGAGACGCAGGCGGGAAGTCGAGCAAAAGTAGCCAAGGTTAAGCAAAAAATGGAATCGAACCTGAAGTGGGATGGGTGGATTGTGGATAGGAAAATTCTGACAGGGACCAGGCTTGGGGAGAAGGCCAAAGACAGGCTTCCAGATGACAGAGGAGGTGAATTGACACATGGGTAGAGACATGGCATTGGACAAGAGGTGGTGGAGGTTCGCTTGTCGCCATTGTTCGCTATACGAGGCAGAAGCGGGCTCTCTGAGCCGACAGGATGGGTTCTTTTTGGCGTCGAACCCTTTGGGTTGAGGGAGCCTACGAGCAGCAGGTAATATGATTTGTGGTGTGCCAGAAGGGCGGGAAAATGGTGGTCATTGGCACGCGAGCCCGGGTGCGAGATAAATGGGCCACGGAGGAGACAGATAGCGTCGGCATGGTAGTTCATAAGTACCATCCTCGCATCACCAGCCATGGATGGTTCATGGAGCCCAAGACCGGGTCCCTGGCTCGCTGGGTCCTTGTGGATGAAGCTGTAGGGCCAGGCGTCATCATCGTCAGGCACTCAGGCACTCTCAGGCACTTTCAGGCAGCCTAACGCCTACCTAAGGTAGGCACCCTACCACCTCGTAGTCGGGGTCTTAGGCGTTCAGGAACAAGAACTTCGCCTACCAGCTAGCGGTGCATTGGGTGCGTTGGGGCAGTGGGTTCCCCCTGCTGCCCTGGCTAAAACATGCAACCTTCTCTTCCCACCCGCCCTTTGTGCCCTGCTCACCATCGCTAAATTCTCCCCAACTTTTCCATTCCTCCGCTATGTGGCTTCATTCCAATTTCCACGCACGCACGCTGGCGACATGGTGGGGTTCCTCGTTGCCGATCTCCTGCTGTCTATCGATATGCCCTGGTATCAGTGGCGGTGACATGGCTATCAGGCGTGATTTCTGGAAATATCATGCGCCTGCTTCTTGTGGTGTCATACTCCGTACCTGCTTTGTGATATCGGACTGAACGACGGTTAGGACAGAAAACTGACGAAACAGTGGTATGCTCAGCCTACCTAAGTACTAGGTAGATGCTGATTCATTAGAGCATCGTAACCAGGACTGGTCTGTCATCAATCGCCCAACCCAATGGTAAGTTCGCAGCGCATGTGAAAGATGTTCAAGCCACTTCAACACCTGCCTCTTCGCTAACCTTACGTGCAGTATGCATATCCGAAGGGGGTCCGCGACCGCTACTTTCGCTTCACCACAACCCCTGACGATTAAGCTGGCCACTTCCTTCACTTTGATAGCTACCTGACCTGATGCCTTCTTGTTTCGGTTAACGTTCTTCTTCAGCTCTCCCCCAGTGCCTCTCAACATTCGACAATGCCCCTCCACATCCTTGTCTTCAGTCAGGTCTGTCCCTGACCCGCCAAATTTGAAAGTGCTCAAGCTTCACTAGAGTGGACTTATCCTTGCTCACCACGCTGCGTGGCGTTGCGAGCTTGTGGCTAATTCCCCAGACTCCGCGAGAAAGGGGCAATCGGCCCCTCATCCACCTGAGAGCATTCTGTGCGAGAAAATTCAATGCCACCCTTGAGACCCGGCAAAAGCGGCATCCTCTCTGAGTGAGCGAAGGTAGTTATGCCTGGACAACTTTGGAGAAGAAGCAACCTAGGAACAATCACCTTCGCGGCTCATCGTCCCGCGGAGGAGCACTTGAAACAGTTCTCTCATCATTGAGCCGTCACCAGCCGTGGTGGGGTTCAACATATGCAATATCCACGATGTACCTCGTACGTATTGCCTAGACACTTGCAGGCAGAAAACTGGGGCCGGTCGAATTGTCGCTGGCCCCTCGCTAGCGATCACCGCTGTCTTTTGCTCCGACATTGATGCGATGTCTTGATCGACGCTCCCATTCTCAGTGCTTACTCTAGCTGTCGAAAGATCAAAGTTTGTGAGTGCATGCGATAAAGGTACAATCAAGGTGTCGAGAGTCAAGGCTAGAAGCCCTCCGCTCCATAGCGGTTGTCATATCGGTGGGTTCTCATCTCGGGGAATGCCATAATCCTATACTATTTGGCCCGGAGCAGGGGGCCTACTACTTACTTGGACGCTGACAGGTTTCATCGAGCCTTTTCTCAAGGCTATCCAGCGGACTTCAAGAAGCGTGGTCACTCCCACGGACATCTGCCACGGCTTCTTACCGATTTTCGCCCTCAACAGCACCTTTTGCGAAAGTCCCTGCTCGTTCGCTCTAAACTCGGCTCTTGTGCTCAAGTTACTGATGCTGTTCTCAAAGGCCAAAAGGTTAGAGGGGTATAGGTCTTCTGAGACAAAGCATCCATACTGACGGCTTTTTCCGAGCCACTTTGTCATGCTTAAAACATGCACCCTGACGATCAGTGAAGATACTCACGGGCCGTTCCAGGACTCCAGGTGAGCAGACAGTGCAGGAACATCCTGGACTGCTATGCGGCTCCGACATCTGCCAGTCAGCCATCAATCAATTGTCCAGCAACGTTTACAGGGAAGGGGGAAAAAGTCCGCTTGTCATCCGCCTTTCGCAGGCCGCATAACGCATGTGCATGTGGCACCTGACCGCAGGTTTTTGGATGCTGTACCTTGTACTGTCCATGTTTCTTAATGGAAGGCCAACAGCGACATTGGTATTCCGGCCTCTTGGGGTTGCAACTAGGTATCATTTCCGCCCAATTCATCATTCTATAAACTTTTTTGATGTCTTGAGTCAGAGCCCAGGAGCGCTGTAGCTTGAAACCTTCGTCTCCAGATCCAAGGTTTGAAGAAGCTGGATGGGAAGTATTCAGGATTCCATATACCACTAAGGATAGTCAGAAATCATGGATAAGGGTTCGGTCGAAGATCAGCAGGATTGGCACTCAGCACGTGGAATTCGACCCCTGCAATCACGGACATAGAATCCGATATGATCTACAGCCCCTTTCACACCGACTGACTCGCCCCCCAAGTGAGGAATCGAGTTGTAAAGAGCATGCATTCGAGGAGGCTACGGACCACTGCAAACGATGTCTGTCTGTCTGTTGGACTCGGTACCAACGACTTCACGGAGAGCTCGCTACTGCAGAGCACTGGCGCTGCTGGGCACTAGTGACGCGCAGCGCAATTCAGCGCAGTCACGTCTCACGTCTCACCCTCTCACCACCATCGCATTCCCATCCCATCGCTTGAGTCTTCAGCAAAAGTCAGCTGGTTAATCCAGACCCATAACTGACTACCTAGGCAGTATGGCCGCAGCTCTCAAGACCGCCCCGGTCTACGTTCTGGCGTCCGTCGTCCTCCTCGGCGCCTTTTCCCGTTTCACCCACGGCGCATACACCCCGACATGGTACGCGTTCCAGGAATACCACCTGCCGGACGACAACTCCACAGTCGCCAGGTTAACGCCCGTCATTGATATGCTTGTCGGGTTGACGCTGCTGTTCGGGAGGACCCGCACTCCAAAGCTCCTCGCCGCGTCGCTCAGCCTATTCTTCTTCACGGCTGGACTGGCCATGCAGGTTCAGAAGGGGAAACAGTATACAGGCGATGTGGCGCTGGTTGTGGTCGCCGTGGCGGCTGTTGCGAGGTTGCTTGCGAGATGAGATGATCTGGGAGGAAAAGGGAAGGAAGGGGTTTAGGGCGCAAAAAGTTGTGTGACTGTGACCATTGCAAAGGCGCAGAACGAGATCACCTGCTAGGTGTATACGACGTATTTATGCTCGCGGCATCGGGAAGGCCCTGAGAGTCTTTGGCGGCGTAATAAAAAGTCCCTGGATGGGAAACAACCACGTAGATCTGAAGTGTCCTTGCCGGGAAAGGAATCAAGAGACAAACCAGCTTTAGCTTGTGATTTTCTGCAGAAGGTTTATATAAGATCTAGGACTAGACTGCTCCTTGCGTGCCTGTCTCTACTGCGACAGCTTAGAAAGATGCCCATCAGTGAATGGGCCGTCGGGGACTGCAATATCGAGGGGGCACGTGAGTTGCTCAGTCCTCGACCACCTTCTGGGAGACACAGCCAGACTTTCCCATCCCTGTTGTGCAGATGAATAGGTATGATATCCCAAGCAAGTTACACACTCCGTCCACCATCACAACTACTCCTCCTGCATCAACGAGACGCAGTAAGTGCCACGATGAAATTCGACGATAACAGTGAAAACATCACGCCCTACGAATACCATTAAATGTCCCTTCCAAATGCTTCATCCATATCACGCTTCTTTCAACGCTGACAGTGGGTTGTCTGCCCCCTTCCACAAAAGCTTCTAGTGCCTAGCCAGATCTATTTTGCAATGAATTCCAACAACAGCAACACGCTGGGCGCATGGTATTCATCAATCTTGGTCCTCATTTCCGTCTTCCTCGTCGTCGTCCTCCTCCTCGTCAATGGGTTCCACAATCAAATTGGCGCCCTTGCCCACCCTCGTGCCTATCGACCCTCCCTTTCCTAACTCAAACACTGCTCTGGGCATAGGCGAGACGAGTCGAAACTTGTATTCGTGCTCATACCCCTGTGGCTCCTCCACATCCTCTTCCTCGCCCTCGTTTTGCTTTTCCGAGTCTCGGGATCTGATTACTTCGTAACACTCCACAAAGGCATAGAGCTCTTCCATGTCGGCATCTGCTCGGAATCTTCGTATGACCCGTTCCCCAGAAGGCATGCGGACACTCACCCGGATGGCATCCTTGAGCTCCGTATCCGGTTCCCCCGGAAGCGACTGAGCACGCCATCGTTTCCACTGCCCTAGATCGCGCTGCCTCTTCTCCGCCAATCTTGCCTGTTCTTGGGCCTCCATTTCTGCTCTTCTTGCCGCTTCCTCCTCCTCCCGTCTTCGTCGGGCCCTCTCACGATCCTGCGCCAATGACCTCTCATAAGCCGAGTCCTGCTCCCTTCGTAGATTCTGGGTCGCCGTGCGTTCTGCCTGCTGAGCTCTCGCTGCGGTAAGCTGCGTCTGATGCGCGGTCATCGCCGTGGCTATCTTCGCAATCAGATCCGCAGCCGACGTGGGTCCTACAGCGCGCATGATAACTGTCATTGCTCCTGACGGAGAACCTGATCCTGGTTCTGAGCCTTGACATATGAGTGCCGCAAAGGGGAATTTGGTACATTGTAGACTGGCCGATACCTGGTAGGCTTCTGAATCTCGTACATCTCCACCCCAAAGTATCAGATCAGAACGATGCGAATCGAGGAATGATTTGAACTGGGGGGAGAGCAAGGTTTCTCGAACCCAGGTATTATTGTCATCGTGGCTGGGTGAGAGGAGGACCACAAGCATGAATTTGAGGTCCTTTTTTGCGGTGTCGAGGGTCAGATTGAACCCGGACTCTGTAAAGGGGAGGAGAGGTGCAGATGATTCTCCATCGTGACCCTCGGCGCCATACTCTTCACTGAATTCTCGTATAAACCTCCTGGCATTCTCAGCAGGCGGTAGAGCTCGCCTCTGAGTGCGTGACTGCGACTGGGACTGGTAGAGCAGCCGGCGAAAGAGGCGTGAGAGGAAGGTGGGAACAAGGAATCCAAATGGTGACAGCACAGTTGTAAATACTCTGTACAGGATGTTCACGGGTGTAAATATGATGGAGAACAACGTCGAAGGACGATAGACTGGTTCATTGACTGTACCACTCGTGTCAACTCGTGTGACTATATCCTCGGGGCTCACTCGGGATGTCCTGGGAGACGACTGCGTTGCGGCTAGAAGAGACTCATATTGTAAATTGGTAGTTTGACGAGCGGAGGCAGGAGGCACTTGCGATTGTGCTTCGACAAGAGGATCGGTTGCAGGTTCACCGTCAAAGAAGCGGGCTGCGGCGATCTGGACGTTCCACTCGCATCGTTGCAGGAGCGGGATTGCGGCAATGGGATCTTGGTCGGTGACGGAGGTGTAGGTTTGTAGAGCTTCTTGCTGCGAGGCGGTCAGCTGGGAGATGTCGGGGGTCGACATCTTTTGAATCGAGATCGAGAGGTAGGGATACAGTCGGGGGTTATCGCTTCGGTCGAACAATCATGTCGAGGATTATGCTTCTTCCTTTCTCTTCAAGCCTTAGCTGCGCTTTTGGATCCCCTGTGTAAAGCAAGTTGTGGCGTCACTGTTGCGGTCAGCCCACACCAGATGTATAGGTAGTGCGTAGGTGAGGCTGGATTGTACTGGCCAAAGGCTGAGAACTTTTGTGCTGGAGTCTGACCTATGCTGTATGGAACAGGGTGCGCGAAGCGCGGAGTGGAAAAAGGTTCATGTACCTAGTATGCATGTATGGGATGTATGTAATCCGCTGGTTGGAGTCGGATTGGACCCTGTGTTGCCTCGACAATCCCGCCGACCACGTCCCTCCATCTCCCGCTCTTGTATCACTTACCTGCTCTCTGCGAGACTCGACTCGACAAACCGCATTCGGGACAGAGCGCGGCTGCGCCCAAAGATTCTTTGATCTCCTGTCTCCCATTTCACTTCATTTGCTGGCTGCCGACTGCGCCATTATCTTCGCTTGTCTACTGTTTGTTAATTTTGGATATCTCGTCGTCATGTACATTCCCCTCGCTCGCACCCCAGCAGTCACAGGAACAGCCCCGGACATCTAGCTGCCAACCGACTCGAGTCGAAGCCGTGCTCCTCTTCAAGCTCATCATTCGTAAACCTGGGAAATGCCTCGATCCTGAGTGGAACTCGAAGACACCCTGCTTAAGGCTGATGGAGCAGCATGCTCAGCCGCAGTCACTAAACGATTATGGCCGCAGTGATCAAGAACAATGCAGAAGATCCAAAGCAGGCAGCTTTGTCCCCTAGACTCAAGGGCCGGGGTATGTCGGAAGTCATTTTTGAGACTCGTTGAAGGGAAGATATGGTGTGCTGATCCGGACCTGGACAGAAAATGCAAAGGATACTCTATGTCGCAACGTCACAATATACGGGAAATGTCGCTATGAAGACAAAGGTATTCTGGACACAGGCTTGTGGCACATACGGCTAACTCGCTGCTTTAGGGTGTGCTTTCAATCACACGGTAGAGAAGCCTGCCTCTGATGGAGGACAAAATGATAGGTACGATTGAATGGTCACTCCCATCCTGAGTCTAAAGAACCGTTTGTTGAGCCTCGAGGAATTAGCCAGTCGAAAAAGGCACTCAGTGTCGATTCACCGAGCTTCACTCCCTCTTTCCTGTCTCCCAACGGTGCCGCAGCAGCAGCCACCACCACCATCAAGAAACCAACGACTGGCATATCCCCAAAGGCAGCAAGTGCTGCCCCGTTCATGCCAAAGGCCATCATCTCCAGTGAGCGCATGTCTAGTCTCTCGGAATCAGAGGACGCCGGTGGCTTACAACCTATGCCAGGATCGTCCAATACTACTCCTCTCCGACAAGATGCTAAAACTCCGGATTGGGCTCTGCCCGACGTCCAAGAGTTTGTGCCCCGAAGAGCTCAAGAACCGTCACTGGTGAGTTGCCAGAGCAGAAATGTCTACGTCCGGTTCTGACGGGTCTTCTCTAGACAAGCGAAAGCGAGATTTCCGTCCCTCACGCCTTTGAGACATTCCAACCTAGCCATGCCCCGAACCCATATCTCGATCATGGCATTAATGGTGCCGCTTTCTATCAAAACACCCCCGGTTTTCAGCAGCCAGTGAGCAGCTTTCAACAAAGGCTACGGTAGTGATGCTGATGCATGCCAGGTCCAATACCATCAGTACGCTCCTATTGGGCACTATAACGCGGCTCTCACTCCATATCAACGCACAGTGCACGACCTATTTATCCCCAATGATCTTCGAGAGGAAATTCAGAAGAAATCCGCAGCAGCTCTTCAAACACTACCCAGTACGCATCGTCCATGTACGATATAGGGGCTGAACTGATTTCGCTCTTCAGATTCGCAGCTCCCGAGTCACATTGAAAGTTATCACTCCCTTGTCCCTCTCGATACAGCCCACAAAAGCTCAACCATCTTCGGAGGTTATACTTCCTGGGTATATAAAGCCCAATCAAGCGCCAACGGCCACTTCTTTGCCCTGCGAAGAATTGAAGGTATGACCTGGAGCTTCACCACTCCTTCCAAATTGTCCTCGGTCAGGAACTGACGCTTACTCTTGAAGGCTTTCGTCTTACAAATGAGCATGCAATTCGCGCCGGACAAGCTTGGAAAAATATTATAAGCGCTAACATTGTCCGGATCGTCGACGTCTTCACTAATCGCGGGTTCGGCGATTCATCCCTCTTCATTGCCTCCGAATATCATCCTCTCTCCAAAACCCTTTTGGAACACCACCACCTTGGACACGCATACAATCCTCGACCCGCTCGCTCTTCCAACAAAGACCAAGTCAATGAACCTGCACTATGGAGTTATGTCGTGCAAATAGCTTCTGCTCTGAAAACCATCCACAACTCCGGCCTTGCCGCTCGTGTCCTCGACCCAAGTAAAATCCTCGTCACTGGAAAGAACCGCATTCGCTTGAACGGTTGTGGCATCCTCGATGTAGTGCAATACGACGCCAACACTCACACACCTCTAGCTCAGGCCCAACGGCAAGACCTCGTCAATTTCGCCCTAGTCATCCTTTCGGTTGGCTCGGGGTCACTCGATGTGGGCCAAAACTTCGCCCGCAGCATGGACGCGTTCAAACGCTATTTCAAGCCCGATCTCCAAAACGCCGTGGTGTGGTTATACTCTGCACTGCAAAACTCGGAGAAAACCATTGATGGATTTGTTACTCTTATCTCAAACCAAATGATCACAGCTTTTAACGCCGCCCTTCACACCGATGACGCTCTATTCTCTGAACTGTCTCGCGAGGTCGAGAACGCGCGCCTGGTACGCCTCATGGCCAAAATCAACTTCATCACTGAACGACCTGAATATAATCATGACCAGTCATGGAGCGAGAATGGGGAACGCTATTTCCTCAAGCTGTTCCGTGATTATGTCTTTCACCAGGTCGATTCACAGAATCGGCCCGTCGTGGACTTGGGCCACGTGTTGACGTGTCTCAACAAATTAGACGCGGGTACTGAGGAGAAGGTCATGTTGGTGAGTCGGGACGAACAGAGCGTGTTCGTGGTGAGCTATCGCGAGTTGAAAAAGGGGGTGGAGAGTGCATTCCAGGAATTGGTGGGAAAGAGAGGAGGTCCTTTGAGGTAGGCGGTGAAGAGGAAAACCTGGAAAGGGGAATTGATGGTATCTGACCTCTCGAAGGGATAATAAGGGGAACTGGGACTGCAACGAGTGATATTGAGACCTTCGCTTGGACAACTACGGATCTGCCAAGGTGGACAGAAAGGGGATCTGTTGCAGGAAAAGAGATGTGATGGAACTTTGATATGGGAGAGTACGATGATGATCTTGGAAGACAACGACCGAGAATTAGGAGGGTAGCAGCGAGACATACAAAACCCAAAAAAATCGTAAACCTCCGTTTGTCAGTCGGCTGTCAAGCTCGATGGATATCTTCCACCGCTTTCGACCAAACCTGGTCATGAACGTAGTCAGGGGACGCGGTCGACGCCCCAATTCTCCACGATCTTTGAGCTCATACAATGCGTTCGAGTCTGCTCTATCGGAAATGTGTCGCGCATGGCGTTTCCTTGTCGAGCAGTGAACATAACTGATGTCCCGGCGACCTCAGGCTGGAGCGCCAAATTTCCAATGAGAAAATATGGCAGCATTCATGATGCGCGATTCTCCCGGAGTGCGACGTTTGCGGGGGATCAAGATTTCTGATATTGTTTGTTCTTTCCAATCAATCACTCTTCCGGCGGTTGTTGAAAGGGGTTCTCGATCTCTTCACTCCCATCGAGCGGAGATATCAGGACGAGTAACGTGCCGCGGGCGACGACGAGCCCCAGTGGTCGCGTTGTCTCGTTGCCTTCGTCATCTACCAAACCATCGTCAGCGAACATCTGATTGTCTTCGCCATCGCGGTACACTGTAGGCCAGGAGAGCGGACTCACCTCTCATGGTTTCCTTGACGTCATCCAGTACCAGGTTCATCAATTGGTCGTATCCTTTGAGCGTGCCGACAACTGGTGCAAATAGCAGACCGAATTAGTAACGGGAAAAAATTTCTTTGCCTTCTTTCTTTTGCGTCCTCCCAAAGGATTCGGAATACACAGAGGACACATACTTTCTCTTCCACCATTGAACTTCACAGTGATTTGCTTCTCGACGTATTTGCCCAAGTCCAGGATGTTCTCCTTCTTGGGCTTTTCATGTGGTTGATTGGACTGTTGCGAAGAGGCTCCCCCGGCACCACCACCTCGACCGCCGCCTCCGCCCCTACCTCCTCTTCCGCCGCCTCCACGGCCACCTCCACGAAAGTGAGCTCGCTCAGACATCTCTTTCTGAGACTGAGCGGTGTTTTTATTGGTGGAACTAGGAAAATATGTGTCTTTCGCAAGAGGTGACGCTTTGAAGTAAAGCGGGAAGAAGACACTCGCCGTAAAGGGTCTAGTGCGCAAATAGTCTGTTGAAAGTGAGAAGGGGATTTTTTTGGGTAGGGAACCAGTGAGAGAGTAGCAGGCCAAGCTGGGTTGTGTGCCGAACGGGTGGTCTGAAAAAATGGTTAGTCGGTGATTTGGAATGTCACAAAGCCGAAGGTTGGCCCTGATAGCCCAGGAAAATGGTGGAGTGATCACTGATGCGTGGAAGCTGGCAGCTCAGGGTCAGCAACGGCCAAAGGAGACGGCACCGACTGGGGGCATGTTGGGGAAAGTGAAAGTGAAGCAGGTGGTGGTGTTGGTGGCAGCAAAGGGCGCAATGTGAATGGTGCGCCACGATTTCCGCCGAAGCCTCCGGGAGGATGCGGAATGGTTATTGGGCGGAGCGCCGCCCTTGCGCTCGCACGGATCTTGCCTCCACCTTAAGTTACCCAGTACTCCCCTCCATTCGTCACAAGTCCATAATAGGTGGTGCAAGGACGCAAGGGAGAGAGGTGGTGATTTCAAGAGGAGAGACCAACGGAGGGCGGAAAGCAGGACAGGGGAAAAGAACAAAATGGCGTTTTGAGGGCAGAGGCGTGAGAGGGAAAAGAGTGCAGTCCCCCACCAGTTAAAAGGCGGACGGCTGCCCTCTGCGCCTGCGCCCTTGCCAGCGCTCACCCAGGGTTCTTCCCGCCCACTAAGCTTTGGGGGATGCCAGTGCTTGAACCCCGCGCACCCATACCTGCCCAGGTGATGTTGGTGGAGGCAGCACCTAGCTCTCCCTTCTACCCTTAAGAGATGGGCGAGGCAAGTCCAGGTACTGAGCGGGTGGTCATCATCCCTACCTACCTACCTACCTAGGTATTCAACGTCCGCGCGTCTCTCCCCTCTCCCAGCAGCCACCGCCATGTAGGGGTCCGTTGGTGGCAGAACTCTCTCCATGGAGGTTCTCCCTATCCAGGTACCTTGGTCCCTACCTAGGTGGCTTCCCCAGGCTCTCAGGCCTCGAGCCGCTTGAAGAGGGGAAGTGATAAGCCCCGCGTGCGCCCATCGACTCATTTGCCTAGGCAGCTTTTGACGGCTGATGGGCCGGAAGGGCCTCTTGGAAACTGGTTGGTCGCCGTACCTGTGCTCCGTACCTCCCCATACCAATGAACCCGCTCCTTCGCCGCTCTCGGCCGCTCTCTTCGCCGTTTCCACCTTGGATCAGGTAGGGGCTGTTATTCCTCTCCTCTCCATCTACTTCCCTCCCTCTCCCACACAACCTCTTTTTTCCCCTTGCTCTTCCTCGTTATTTTGTTAATTATTTAGCCCCGTCGGTCGTAACCTTTCCGTGTTCCGCCCGAACGGTTTCTTTGGGCTCCCACTTCCCACTACAAACCCTCCAGACCAGGCCCAAACCACGTGCCGCAGCTCTCCCTCCCTCACTTCCTTCCACCCTTTTCTCCTCCCACCTGCTCTCCCTCTCCTCCCGCACCTTCTTCTCACTACCGTCTTTGAACCACGACCCGAGTCTCTCTTCCGCTCACGGCGCTGCAGCTTCAAGAATAGCTTTGCCCGTCTTGGGCCAACTATTCGAGGCTGATCCCGCAACCCCTCCACGAATCTCCGCCCGCGCCCTTCTCGATTAGAACTTCCGAGAGCTACTTAGCTAAGCACGCGCAGCCCGAGCGCACCAAAAGCGACTCGGGCGCCCTTCATCCTCTATGCCCAAGCAATGGAGCGTCATTCGCCCGCTACCATGACTCCCGAGCAGTCTTCGTCACTGAAGCGACCTCGCTCCCCGACTGAGCCCCATCCCCTCCCAGCAGCAAAGATCCCCCGGACCGCTACGAACCACCTGCAGATCAACTATCTTGTCCGGCAACACAAGGATACTATACCCCTCGTCACGGTCAATGACAAGCTCCCCGAAATAGCTCGCTTGCTGGGCGAATACGATGGGGTTCTACAACGCCATGAGAGCATGGCAGGTAACCTGGGAGCTTGTCCTGTCGGCCCAATCCTCGTTAAGCGTTTCGAGAAAATGTTTGACGGCCCACCCAAGATCCTTAAATCCCATGCAAAAGATGCTCATGTTACCTGGTTAGACGTGGTCGAATTTGCCCAGAACAACCCCAAGCAATTCAACCTGGAAAGAACTCGCAATGGAGTGCGGGTCTGCCAGTTCTACACCAAGCAGTGTCGGGTCGAGATCTCGGAGGAGGATTTTGTCCTCATTGCCAGTGGTATGCCTCAGAAACTCATCCCACCGCAGCCCATCCTCGAAGACGAAGAGAAGGAACTGGGCGTTATGGATCTCTTGGACCGCAATCTCGGCCAGGTCATCCAGCTTGCAGATCAAGGTACGTCGCTGAGGCAGGGTGATCCATATCTACTGAAGCTAACCCCCACAAGTGTCTGGCCGAGCGCGACAACTGATTCACAAGATGAAGGGTCGGCGTACAGCAATATTGAGCAGACGCGAGCAGGAAGCCGAGGCAAAAAGACACGCCACAAGAACCGAAGCTGCGCCTATTTCGCCCGTAGATACGAACGGGGTCAGCAGCGCCCGCCCAATGAGGAGTATCGAGGTCTCTCAATCTCCTCCGGTCGGATTTACCGCGGTCAATCTGAGACAATCCGCGGCGGCGGAATCGGATCTGCGACGTCCGTCTTCCACCAGCGACGTCCTAAGGAGTACTACCGACGACGCTTATGGCTCGTCAAGTGCGGGAAACGTCACCATTATCAACGGCAAGTCGATCAAAGATGCTTCTCCCTCCCAGCGAGCCGAAATGATGAAGAATTTCTTAACGCCAAGCGAGCGGGAAGCCGGTCTGACTGAAGATACCGTTCGTCGGTCTTCTCTGGGAGCCGGTACTACTCGAACACAGGCGATGCAAGCGTCCTCTGCAGACAAACCGCGTTCCCGTTCGATCGAACTGGCTGCTGGGAGTGTGTCGACAGTGGCGATACCGAATACTCCGGCATCTTTGATGCCTCATATGAAGCCAGTCACATTGGATAGGGATGACGGCGGGCCTTTCAAGGCGGAGATGGTACGACGAATGGATAATATGTGGAAAGGCGATCGGGTGATTCCTCCCTGCGATCGATGTCGAAGATTGCACATGGACTGTCTGAAGAACCTCACAGCGTGCATGGGGTGTACCAAAAAGCACGCTAAATGCTCGTGGAAGGAGGTCAAGGCGGAGGAATTGCAGCTGACAGGACCCGAGTCCACTTCGCCCGACCGGGAAACAGCACGGGAGGATTTGGGCAGGGAGAGTGCACCCCCTCTCAGTGCGGGATCCACTCTCGAGTCCAATCGCCACGCAGATGAAATGCAGAGGTCCGCGAGCATTGCTCGAGCCTCTCTAGATCTAGCAGGTGAAAAGTCACTCACTGCAAAGGATGGTGGGTTACGGGAGACGCAAGCAGAGTCGACTGCAAAGGTTGAGAGGATTCCCGCGAGCGCTTCGACGGGACGGTTTGACGTCCGGCCACCGCCGTTGGTCCAGCAATTGCAGGATGCTGCAGATGACCGATCACCCAGTGGGCCAAGTTCTTACCGTCCAACCTTCTCACCAAGAGAGAGGGACTACATGGAGGACCATGACGACGACGACGAAGGCGATCGATTGCAGGCACTTGCGGCACGAGTATACCGAAGCGCGTCTCAAACTGGCCATCGCTAGGTCACATCTGCGGGGAGAAGCAAAGGGCTGGGGCCCCGGGAATTTGAAGCATCATGAATGGTGTCTGGTTATTATTAGGAGGCGAATGGTGCTTGTGGAGAAGGCTTGAGCAAATTGGCAGTATTGTTGGGACGACTGACATGGGATCTGTCTGTCTGGAGCATAGGTATCATGTGGCAGATTGTACAGTTCGATTCAGCCTCGAGCGTTGGTTGTATTATTTCGATAGAAAGGAAATGCGAACGGAATAGATTCCACAGCATGTACGACGGGATTTTGTCAGCCTCTGGCACTGGCAGCCATCGACATGTGGGCCAAACCCATTTTGTACAAAGCACACAGTGTCACACACATCTTCCCCCCTCGATGGTGGGGACGGTGCCCTTTGCCGATGTATTCCATGTTGTTGCTGTGTGTCGGATACAAACTGCTCCACCATCACCTGTTCTTTTCTTCCTCCCCGAGTCCCTGACCGATGGGCTGCCACTGCTCTCTGACCAATTGCCGCATAAGCAATATGGCTTTCTTCTCGCACAGAGCGGAGGGTCCTTTCGGCAGCCTGTACCTTGTAAATGCTTACTTTTGCCTCTTTGATTTCTGGATTTTGGTAACCAAGTCTTTCGGATAGGCCCCCCCCTCCAGCAACTACCCCACGATACCGGGGGTGGAAAGGAACAAAAAGTATTATATCACTTGTCCGGTGTTCCACTGCATTGCATTGTGTATTCTCTTTTTCCCAATACGTATCCTATTGTTTCCCCCTTTGAACTCTTTCTCTCTCTCTACTCTCTGCCTGCCTTTATTCCTTTTCGAGAGTAGCACTACCAATTCAGGACCCGCCGCCGCCGTCTCCCCAAAGACATTGCACTCTCCCGGCAATCGCGAATCCCGCACGAAAATATAAATATACGACGACGACAGACCAAACGGGGTAGCGACACGACACAACACGCACAATGGATCCGTCCCAGGTCAAGATCCCGCCGTTGATGGACCTGACCATCGAAAACATCACAGAGAACGTCAACCTGATCAACTCGGCCAACCCGGATCCGCGGTTCAAGTACATTCTGGAGAGGCTGGTGGTGCACCTGCATGACTTTGCAAGGGAGACGAGATTGAGCACACAGGAGTGGATGGCGGGGATCCAGTTTTTGACAAAGACGGGACATATTTGCACGGATGTGAGGCAGGTATGTTCTCCAGATCTCACGGTTCTTGCAGGGGAATCGGGTGTGGCTGATGTGGGACATAGGAATTCATCCTCCTCTCCGACATCCTCGGCCTCTCCCTGCTCGTCGACAGCATCGACCACCCCAAACCCAAGAATTCCACCGAGGGCACCGTGCTGGGCCCCTTCCACACGCACGAAGCCGAGCACCTGGAACACGGCAGCGCCATGTCCCACGACGCCAACGGCGAACCTCTACTCGTGCTGTGCACCGTCAAGGACGTGTCGGGCCACCCCATCGAGGGCGTCAAGATTGACATCTGGGAGACGGACTCGTCGGGGAAATACGACGTGCAACATCCCGATCGAGACGGGCCTGATGGCCGGTGTATCATGAAGAGCGACGCCCAGGGCGTATTTTGGTTCAATGCCATTGTGCCCGTGCCCTACCCGATCCCGCATGACGGTCCCGTGGGACAGCTGTTGAAGAAGTTGGGCAGACATCCCATGAGGCCGGCGCACATGCATTTCATGTTCGAGAAGGAGGGCTTTGATCACTTGATAACGTGAGTTGCACAAAAATACCCCTCCCACTTCCTCCCACTTTGATGGTCCCATATACGAAGTATCCCGGTCACTTACAATGATATACATATGAGTATATAGGGCGCTATACCTGAAAAACGACCCCTACGAGACATCCGATGCCGTCTTTGGCGTGAAAAACTCCCTGATCGTCGACCTCGGCAAATGCGATTCCGAAATCGCACAAAAGTACGGCGTCAAGGAGGGCACCAAGCTCCTGACCTACGACTTTGTGCTGGTCACGGACAAGGAGAGCGCCGAGTTGAGGGCCGAGAACTCGAGAAAGGCGCTCGAAAGGTTGGGCAGACGCGTCAAGATTGTAAAGGGGTTGCCGGTGCCGGATGTTGATTAGATTGGTGGACTGTTATTCATGGCCCGTACAATGCTATAGGGGTATTAGAGAAGGAGGGGAAGGGTGGGGAAGGGAAGATTTGAAGGCGTAGGCGCGTTGGAGGACCGCGTGCCGGGACGAGGTAGGGGGCGAGAAGGGAGAGTGGTCGACCAAGAAACTGACGAGGCAAACCAAAAAAACAGAGGTTGGACCCAACCAAGACATGCAAAGTGAACCGAACCACAGACTGGCAAGGTCATCTATACGTGGAGAGACCACGTACGTCGCGCATGTTTGAACCAGTTATGTAAATATGAATATCAACTCAAACATGAATATGAACATAATGAACATGCATCCCGGGACCTACTATGTAGAGACAACACGCCAGGTTGATTCCTAGCTAGTGTGTGTCCGAAATGTACATAACCCACATAGGTATGTACTGTTCCTACTGTATGCGGCCAAAAATATCAAGAAATTATCAAGCATGTCCTTGTCTATCTGTCTGTCCATGAGGCGTGGCGTGGCACATCGGGAGAGTAGAAAATAAATACCTACCTAGGTACATATACATGTACCCTTATAATAGATATATACCTTAGGTAGGCGTGCGTTACATGGATGACTCGTATCTCCGCAGCTGGTTTCGCACGTCGTTGAAAAAGAAAGCAAGACAAAACAAAAAAGTGCTTTTCAGGAGCTGGGTAGCCGTGCGGCGAGGCTGAGTTAAAAAGGAATCGGAAAGGCAGAGACAGAGAATCGGACGAAGTGGGTGTAACTCATGAATATTTCATATCCTATATCTTGCCTGTAAAAATAAAAGGGGGGCATTGTCGTTTTGAAATTATGTGACGCGTCAGAGCTTTTACTTTGGAATCCTCGTCCTCGTGCTCATCCTCTACGAAGGAGGCACCTCGGGGAAGCTGGCGTCGGCGGTCTGAGGAAGCCAGGAAGCCCGATCCTTGCCGTAGATCTCTGCGGCGGGCTTGCCCCATTTCTCGGATCCCTTCAACAGACCCGTTCGGATGACGATGGTATTCTCGCCTGTCTTGCGTGTCAGAAAACCGCTGAGAACACTGGGGAAGCGGAGATAGGGTTCATGTGGAAAATAGAGCCGACATCAGAAAAGACGACAGGGCGAATGACTTACCCATGACATGCTGGTGGTGGTAAGGCGAGGCCGCGCAGTTGGGGCACATGAAACAATCAACCGAGTTGCCTATTCACTCGCACAAGCGTCGGTCAGCAGCAGTCCAGAAGGATGGGATATTGTCTGCTCTGTTTTCGCCTCTCTCGCAGACGCGGTGTAGGCTTGAGACCACCCGGGGAAGAAAAACACGTACCCGAATCGCCCTTGTAGGAATAGACTTTCAGGTCTCCCTTGGTCAGGTGGAAGTTGGACTTGGGGATGATTTGGTTCAAGGTGAATTCACCGCCGCCCATCAACTTGCAGGCGCCGCAGTGGCAGAGAATGTGCTTCTCCTCGGGGATTTCGACGGTCCATTCGGTGGCACCGCAGTGGCAGACTCCCTTGTATTCAGGCATGGTGGAGGATGTCTCGGTGATGATGGATGAGCTGGGAAGGTGGTATTCGAGAGTTAGGAGTTGTAGACTGAAGCTTGGATTCAGGTGCTGGTTGTTGTTGGGTGATGAGGGAGTTGAGTTTTTAGTTTCCGACGTCGAGGGACCCCTTATATATCTTAACAGCTCCCAAGCCTAGAGATGAGGTCAAGATAGGGTGCTTTTGGGATAGGTATTTGGAATGCTCCAGGCGAAGGTCGCAGAAAGTTTGCCATTGGAGGGGATCCACACGCTGCTTCATCCGCCGCTGCATTTGGCTATCGTGCTTGACCCGCCTATTGATCCTTTCCCCCAGTGGCCCCGACAGTGCCGTTTCGTCATGGTCGTTCACGTCAGAAATAGAGGGGCTCGGGAGACGGTGACAGATACCACCTGCATACAAGCCGCAACAGGGACATGGTGATCATATTATTGCCCCGCGATTGCCGATAGAGATGGCCTGTTGTTTTTGGGAAGAAAGAAACTCCTCCAATATGCGGTCCGTTCTTCGCGGGCGGCTGGGTCAGGCAGCTTGGTAGCATCTGGCGTACGTCGACCAGCAGGTTGTATCGTCAAGACTTCAATAGACAAATGTCGACCTTGGCGGGCTCCTTGCAGCAAAATTCAACTTCCTCTTGCAGATTGAGTAAATGGTCACTATGGGCTACTAAGCCAGCCCAGTATCATGGCCATTGTTAATCTGTTCCCACGCTTTCCGCGCTCCTGCTTACCATGCATAAACTGTAGTGTCCCTGCTAAGATCGTTCTCCTCGGATATCACTTCTCCTTCCAGTGGTTGAATGTGATTAAGCTTGTCTGACTCGAGCATGTCAACTGGGAACATGGGCGGAGGTGGGGCGATTCCCGTGAGGAGCCAGCTGTAGGTGGACGTCATTCGTGACAGATTCTGTTTGCCAGGATCAGTCTAGGCCTTCTAGAAGGGCCTTCCTAGCGGGTTGGGGGATGCCAGCGAAATGATTTGGAATGCGGAATAAGTCGCGGATTTGCTTCGGGAGAGGTAAAGCGCTTATGGGGAACAACGAAAGGGCGCATTAAGCCTTCCAGGTTGGGATGATGGGGATCTTGACTCTTGAGTGGCTGCTGCCTTCTTTCTGCTCATGTTGATAAGTTCTTTATTCTCTAGCGGCGGGCGTATTCATCCATTGCTGGCCTTTCTCAGCTGGTTCGGGAAAATGGTGAGCGGTGAGATGGGAACATATTGTACCGAGTAGATGTGTCTGACGGCCAGAGAAATCACCGCAATCTCTCTGGCGTCTTCCGTTGTTTCGCTTCCTGTCATTTCAGTCCCAAAGACTATCCCATTGAAGCTGGCGCACAAGCAATGATCTCAAATAATAATAACACTGACCCCCTTTCGCCCGGCCTGTCGGCATTTATGGATCCGCCCGACCCAGGGTAATTCGAACAGCCGGCCGTTGCACCCGATCTTCTCGGGCTTTTTGGTATGGAAGAAAATTGTCATGGTCACCGTGGTGTAGGGAGAATTAAAAGCAGCAGATGAATCATGTTGTGGATGCAGGGGCGAAGCTCGGGACGCCATTCAAGTCCAGGAGGAATCCACCATGGGTTTATATATGTCGCAAGAAGCTCACCCCAGTCTTGTCCCTGCTCTTTGATTAGTATGTCTTTGTGAGGACAAGTTATTGACTTGGCCGATTCTGGGAGTAGTCCTTAGCCATTCAGAAGCGACCATGGGAGATTTTGGTAGAGGGAGGACGAATTAAAATTGCAAACACCGTTTAAGCTGGTGAGTAGGTTCGATGATCGTTTACATCCGTGTCCAGGAGATAGGAGAGGTTTCCAATACTTGGGGCATATCATTGTGAACCCCCTGCAGCCCATCAATCACCACCCGTTTTGCGCCCCACGAAGACCGCCATCAGGTAAATAAAGCATTTCCCGCTGGCCACTTCGGCCGACATCTTCGCCTGAGCCTCTTCCAGCTCCCGCATCACCTCTGGCGCATGTTCGTTGCGCCGTCGCAAAGTCCCCATGACTTCGTGGTTTGACATCAAGATCAGATCCGTCTCGTGCTTGAGCAGATGAGGGACGACCTTCGACACTCTCTTCTCCACGTCCACCAGCCCCTTATCCTTAAACACTTTGTCCAGGTCGTCGAATTGGCGCGCCGAGCTTAATCCGCCGGTGTATCTGTCGAGCACCTCGAAATAGTCGGTCAGTTCTGACGAGTGGTTTAAAGACGAGTGCTCGTCCAAAACTCCGATCATGTTCGAACAGCATTCGTGCCATTGGAGGTATCCTCCGGGCTCTAGACAACAAAAGGGGCGCCCATGATTAGAAACGTTCCCCCAACGTTGGACACAGGGAGAAAGGGAGTGTCAACGAGATCGCAGCTCACTCAACATCTTGATCAGCTTTTCAAGAATCTCAGCTTTGTCCCTGCCGAACAGCGAGGAGCAAACTGCTCGGATGTGAACGACATCGAATCTCTCCCAGAACTGTTCGGGAACTGGGTCGAGGAAGTTCCACGAGCCGAACTCAATATTTGCTGGGCGGGTCCAGGCGTGTGGATATTGCTCGTCCGAGATATCGAGGGCGACGACCTTGCTGTTGGGATGGTCGTGGGCAAGAGTGAGAGCCACGATCCTGGTTTTGTCTCCTCATCAATGACCATGGTCGTCGAGAGCTTCTTCTCCGGCGTTGGCAAACATACCCATTGCCCGTTGCAACATCCACAACTTCTGGTGTGGCCACTTGAGAAAGCCTCTGTTCCACCGCTGGGTGCAGCAGGAACCCGTTCTTGGGAATCCAGAGGAAGTGCTGCGCCGTGAGTCTCGATGGTTGTCAGAGAGAATGTTGTCTCCTGTGGCTGTGCACTCTGAACATACCGCGCGGAAGACAGAAAATTTCGAGAGAAAAAGTAGCCGTCATCTTGCTCGCTTTTGGTGCCCGCCATATCAACTGAACTGTTGTTGAATGGGTTGCAAATTGACTCCTCAGTGCCGGGCGATGTCCTTTATACCACGGCAACCCCCAGTGGTCATGTAACCTGTGTGGCCGCTTACCGTAAGCCATTATTGAGTGTTGACCTGGCCGAAGAGTCGCTTCTTCTTGCGCGCTGGATAGCCGTGTGGTGGTGACGACGTTCACTGTCCGTACCTCAACGAACCATATCACTGGGCATCTGTATAGTGTCGCGTCCTCGGCCCCCAGGCTGACTATGGGCCACCCCCCAAGCCAGAAGCCTGGAGTAATCGTGGCCAGTGAACGATGGGGATGAACTCCGGGGGTTGTGGGCTCTCTTAACGGCCGTCGTCCTCGGGGTTCACCCGCCCGCCCCGGAGGACATGCCCTCAGTCCTGAGATAGGAAAAGGGTGGTTTTGGTAACTTCTTCAAGCAAGTGTCTTTGATGGAGATTGGCTAAATGTTCTCCATCTTCATAAGGAAACAAACAACGACCACGCGTGCATTCGCGCCCGCAGAAAAGTGAGACAAGATGCGCCTTCAATTAGTTGACTTGTCGACCTGGGGCTAAACTGAATCCCCTGCAGAACAAGTCGACAAGAGTGACAATTACATGTGTGGACTAGGCCTAGTTACCAGCCCTTTGTTTGGGCATGAGAGCCACATGCCCGCCCAGGACGGGGACTAAATGCCACTTTGCTAGGTACCACGATGCTTCGGAGTCGTGCAGTGACATGCTTGAAGGCAAACAGTCAGAGTATATTAAAATGAACTGTTGAAAAAGGTGTTGCAAAATCGGGCAGACGTTGGAATACGCTTTACAACTCATTGTTTTGTCCAAAATCCATGTGTATTGGTGGTATCTAGGTTCTTTGCCGTTGTGTCATGAATCATAAAACCTATCAGGGCCTGAGCCACATGCAAGATGTTCAACCAAGAAGCTCGAACAAAATCTTTTGCAGGAATCTCTGAAATGCCGATTTCTTTTTGTCGTAACGTCGTGACCACAACCCTCGATTCTTTATTCCATTCTCAAATGATATACACAATCAAAGGAGGTATTGTGCTCGTAAATGAAGGGAGGTGTGAGTAGTGCCGTGGACTCTTTTGTCGACAAGTGTACCCGCCTCTTTGTCTCCAGGGCATGAACGATAGGGTCAGGTATCGTCATATCACAACTAGTCTTCTTGTATTCATGCTCCGTGCTCTTGTCCTGGGAACTGATCGCCAGGCCAGGCCTACGACGATAGTCGGATTATCTGGGCGTGGGATGAAAAGGGTAGCGACGTAGTCCCACTCTGAGCCTGTCAAAATAAGGAGGAACAAGAGAAAGGTGAGGCTTTAAGGCTTTCGACCGATCACAATGATTCTAAAAGTAGTTGTAAGCAGGAAGCTATATCTGTCGAGACGGGGAAGCAAGGACTTACAGCGTGAAATACATGTGCTGTTGGCGGGAGTTGATCTCTTGGAACGCTTTGACGCATGCCTCGTTCACCTGTTCCAATGTCCACTAGCCCAGCTATGTTAGCCTCTGGATTTATGCATTACAGGAGAGCTCTGTTGTCCTCACCCCAAAGACTCGGGTGCAAATTTGTAGGAGCCAACCCTGCAGACCCGTTTTGTAGAATCGTTCGAAGAACCTCCCGATATCTTTGAATTTCGGATCAGAAGCCCAAGGGCCTAGTGGAAGCTTGACCCTTTGCTCCTGAACGTCGACGAAACCAGCTGCCTCGATCGCAGTCTTCATCTTAGAGGAGGCACGAAAATCTCTGCCAGTGGCGGCTGTCATGTCGTCAACGAACCTGCAGAGCTTCATGATCTGACTGTCCGGCAGTTCAGATTGATCGTCAGTATGCGCGTCGATTTCCAACTCGAGCTGTTCGATCCATGCACCAGAGTTCATTTTCCTAGTCCCCGTCAGAAGAGATACAACGACGGGAGGAGGCCAAGGAGAAAAGGGCGCTCTGATGGATATGTGGGAGGAGGGGACTCACTCAAAACACTGAGCGTATAATGCATCCCAATCTCTTACTCCCACAAACAAGTTTCTGATATGGACCAGGTCGAACTTCATCGAGGGATCATCTAGGACCCATTCGTCGGTTGCGTCCTGGAGAATGAAGGAAAAATTGGGCTGGAGCGAGCGTTCGTGCTGAATGGTGTCGATGCCCACAACATGGGCGTCCGGATACCTTTCAGCAACCCCTTCAGCCCACAGACCCTTTCCAGTGCCCACGTCCACGATACAATGTAAGGCGGATTCGTCGATGGGAGAAACAAAGAACTTGTTGTCGAAGAGGACCAGAATCATCTCATGCAAAACTTGTTCATTCTCCTCCGAGACTTGGTCGTAGGGAAAGGGATGTCCGTCTTTGTAGTCGTGATATCGGCGACCATTTTCGACCCTGAAATTGTAGACCGACGAGGCCACTGAGTATGCGGAACTGGCTTCCTCATCTTCTAGGAACTCGAATTCTCCATAGTCCTCATCAACGGGGATGCTGCTCGACAAATTGAGATCCTCCATTGTTGTCCAAACCTAAAAGTCGCCTCTAATACATGGTCCTCCGGGACTTGGTCGTATCGGCATGAACCGTGAGTCTCACTGGAGGTAGAAGTCGCCAAAAAGAGAAAGGAAGAAATGTGCTTGAATTTGATTTTCTCGAACAGAAAGAGATGGGGAGCGTATTAGGCAGCTCCCGAAGGGGGGCACAAGAGATAGTCTGGCATCTTGAGCAAGCCGGTTCGAAAGCCACTACTAGGTTAGCCCAACAGAACTCTCGTAAGAGTAATCCCAGAGGGAGACATTTCGGTTGCACAGGGTGGGGTTGAAATGGATCACTAAGTGAGGCAGAAGACAGATCCGCATGGATTAGGGTCATAACTTTCAAGTAGGTCGAGGGTTTAGCGGTTGGGTTATCATACGGCCGGGGAGAGAGTGAGGGTGAATGGATCTGTTTAAATTTCCAACTGTCCACTTGGCTGCTACCGGAAATGGGGAACCGGGAACCGAGAATAACATCTCGATGACGACCGGTCGAGGTGGGGACTGGACGAAAGTATAAAGAGCCTGGGTTGTGCATGCGAGTACCGAGTAGTGATGTCGTACAAACGAAGGGGATCCAGCCGGTCGGTACTCTGACCCAGGAATTGGGGGAACGGGGAGTGTGCAGGGGTTGTGTGCGGAAGAGGTCCAGGAAAGGAGCGAGGGGCGCAACGGCCAGGCGGCTGAATGGTTGAAAGTCAGAATGCAACAAGAGTCAGATAGTGCAATTAAGCGAAGAGGAGGGTGGATGATTTGATGCGGGTCAACAGAATTAGCAGGTGACCGTCGTGGTTGAGTTGCAATGAGCATGAAAAGTGCGGGCACTAGCTGGGTCTGGATGAGTGCAGGTATGAGGTATTAGATGAGGGTTGGATGGACGAGAAGATCAGGATGAGTAATAAGTGCCCAGGTAGGAGTATGGATGAGCTGGGGGTTGAATGATGCACCTTCAGGAGCAGTAATAATACGCAGTCATTAAGCAAGAAGAGGCGGAAGCAACGCCAAACTCGTCGGACTCGTATCTCTCGTCGAATTACAGCCCCGAGCCGCATTGCCGGTGTTGGCCAATTCCTCTGGCTGTGGAAGCTGTAGCCGGCGATCGGTGGTCAAGAGTCAAAGAAGAAGTCTTCAGGCATCGCCAGTCTCTCGAGGGGGAGCCCTATTGCGTTAGTTCACTAGAGGATGTGCCCTCTGACAGCACCTAACGCGGGCATGCATGACAAGGGTTTGACGGGCTGTGTGTAACTGGGTTCCCAGCAGCTTGGATCCCGCATCTAGGAGCCACCCAGGAGCCCAGCTGCCTGCAAGCTGCCTGCAAGCACACCTAATCGGCCAACCCCGGGAACGATTCACTAGGCCCGAGTTGCTGGTTGCTCCCGTGAACTGTGGTCAATGGTCATGAATGTACGAGGTACTACCTAGCACTCTGTCCCCTACCTGCCACCCACCTGCGGCTTGATCCCTAGCTGCCTCCATTGATTGACTCTGCACGCACATCCTAAGCGGGCGGCCCTGAAGTGCCCTGGGAGCTCTAGGTGCTTTCGGTGCTCTTACCATTCCCAGCTTACTGACCGACACATGCACATGATACCTAGGTCACCCATAGGTATCTCCTCGCTAATGAGTGCCAGGTTGCACACGCACCCCCTCCTGTACTACTCTCGCCTGTACCGAGAAATGTGGTGACCATGTGATTCGCCTTAGGTACAAAAGCCACAAACCGACCCAGCAATCTGGTCGCAGTCTAGCGGGATGACGGACCGCCCATGCACCCGGCCACCCGACACAACTGTCTTCTCACTACGCTTCTCACCCTCCCTTGCTCCTCACTGCCACCATTTGTCCCTAGTCCGTACTCCATACCTCGTACTGCTATGCAGCTTCGTGCTTTCAGATCAAGTCCCTGCTCCTCCTTCGAAAATCCTCGCTTCGACAAGAGACCGCCGCTCATCTCACCCCTGGACCCTGGCAACCCTGCGCCATCCTTCCCATCCAAAGCTAAGTGACAAGCGAGAGTTCTAGTGAAAGTGAGAGAAGAAAAAACACTCAATCAACACCATGCAGATCGTTCAAGTGACTCTTTTTGACTCGGAGTTCCGCCGCGCTGCGGCCTGCACGGCTTCTTTTGAACCTCATCAAGCGGACCAAGTCTGAGATTGTCGTCCTCGCAGCAGCCGAGTCTGCAACAAAAGACAACGCATACACCTTTGCCAGAAACAGGTTGCGTGCAGAAGGGTTTAGCTTGGAATCTTCCATCGGCAGATCAGTCCGAAATGAAGGATCACTTGGTCAATCTCTAACAAATGAATTTCTACACTCTTTCCGCCAAACTAACACATGGCCTGGACATGACCATGATGCCGCAAGCCATGGTAATTGTTTGCGGCTCCCCAAACGACCATCATCTCCCGACTACATTGCACCCCTTCTAGTCACCGGTATAGAACATGATCACCCACAATTTCAATTCCAACTGACCCAGTCTCCTGTCTGTGACCCCTACTCGCTAGTTGTACCGCTGCCTAGCTTGCTTCAGGTGCGTCGCCCATGCAGAGCACACCAAGACACCGTCGCGTTGATCCTTTAGCACTGTGCAAACACTGAAACCTTAGCACTAGCATCTGGATCAGTGGCCTATCACTACCTGACACATATTAGCTTACTGGGAACGACAAAAGTATCCACCAGCTCTGAGATGTCAATCATTATCCATCCGCCCAGCGGGACGAGTCATCCTCGTTACAGGAAAACCTAGAGTTCTAATCCGAATTTTGTGAGCTTTTTTGTGCAAGCCCCGAGCCGGCGTAGGCTCAGACTAAATACTAGGTATGATTCCGAGACAAGCCGGTTAAAGCTCTCACAGAGAGCCAAACCAACTGCCGGGCAGACTGGTTTTCTGGGACAAATGTCCTGCACCTCACGCCCCCTTCCCCCAAAAAACATAATTCCCAAACCGAAATGTCAAGGCTGATTGCCCCAATTTCAAGCTTCGCTCTTGTCGGCGACAGGGCTCTTGGTTCTCTTCCAAAGACAGATGGTGCTCACCGCCGAGAAAGTGAATAGGATACTGAGATCGAAAGTGTCAGATTTTGCGAGCTTACGGGGACTTTTGATCGAAACTCACCAGAGTGCAATGCTCAGGCCCCAAATGGACTTCATTTCCAAGCACGTTGCCTTGGAAGTACCAATCCATTGGGAGTAATTGACTTTACCACCCTTGTTGAGACTGTTGCCGAGTGCCGAAGTAAAGTCGTATGCACTTGAAGTGGCATTAGATATTTCGTCCAAAATCACACAGTTAAGGTATGACAGTGGCTTTCCCACGACAACTGAAACGACAATCAGGGCAATCAGAAAAAGAGAGTCGACGCCAGTGCTGATCAGGAAAGGAAGGATGTTGTCGAAGTAAAGAATGACGGTGATGGCACAGTACAGCACGGCGATGCAGACCTGGAGCGCATGATTAGCACAGTTCCGCTGCATGTGCACAGACAGCGCACATACAATGCTCAGAATGGCGACGAGGACAGATGGTGGTGTTGCACCAGCATTGACCATCTCAGAAATGAAATTGGCCGTAATTCCAATGACTGCGATCATCGATGCCATCTGAAGAGCTCGAGTGGCTTTGAATGTCGCACCAAGGACGCCGTGGTCGGGACCCATGTTGAGATATGATAAAAGAAGAGTTGGATGATGGTTCAAGCAAGGAAATGTTGCTGCGAGATGATGCAGCTAGCGAATGTGGTGGATGGCGTCGAGCCGATGGGCCTACAGACTGACAGTAAGGAAAGTATTGGAGTGCAAAGGCTGGAAGGAGAATCTAATGAATGCTTCTTGAATGGAAACAGATGCTTTGGCTCGAAGGAAGTGTGTTGCAGCTGATTCAGAGAATGAAGAGCTGGACCTGAAATCTGGATGGCGGCCATGGCTTAAGTATTTGAGACTGTGTCGCCCAGGTTACTGTGGTAGAGCAGTATCGATAAACCTTCAAACACCGTGGCCGTGATGTTTACCCAAGCCATGAGGCCCATCGATGTCTCTGGCCAGTCTCAAACCCAGTGGATGGAGCCTGCAACGGATGGTGGTTGTCTGCTCTGGACAAAGACGAGGCTGTTTCGGCCAGGGCGCCAAGAGCCTATTTCTGGCCAGCTTCCCACCCGCCCTTCGGCGGCTATTCTCCTCTCCCAACTTCCAGACTGCTTTGCCGCCAGCCTCAGGGCCAGTCAGTCTCAGCGCTGCAATTTGTTGAGAACGCGTCTGATCGAACGAGGCGGTGCACACGTGCTTCGATTGGTGTTTCAGCACCAAAGAAACATCCATGGATGTTATTTGGAGAGATTCTGGGAGCAGGAGTTGGGGATAAAGTAAGCGGTGACACGTTCTGGCGTGTCTTTTGTCTCCCAAGAACCCCGTCATCTAGTGTCCCTAGAAGGCAGGTAGTGTCGTGCTCTATACTCGGTACGAGGTACAGTGACTTAGTCCTGTGTCCTTCGGTCTGCGTACTTGCTAAAGGCAACAATCGGAGGCTGCCACCGGATTAATCGTGATCGGCGTCCTCCAGCTCCAAGCTCCGGGCTCTAGCCACTGGCGAGTTGGCACCGAAGGCCGCCAATTGATGGCTTTCGCCTGCTGGCCAATCGATGAGCTGCCCGCCAACTGAGAACAAGACATCCTCCAGCCTATTGGCCCCACCAAATCTTAATCCACCACTGCGAAAACTTCGTCCTTATCGTTATCAAGACTGTCTGGGAAGCTCTAAGCTGGCTGGAGTGGCCCTTGGTGGTGGCTTGAAGAGCGCACAATTTTTTCTATCTTATCACAGCAGCAAAATGCTCTAGATGTGTCGATTCCTATACCACTTATATTTCTTGTACACCCTCCCCGAACCCTGATCTCATCTCGACTTTCGTGAGACTTGCTCCTCACGTCACTCCTCGTCATCGAAACTTGCCCTCGCCTGCGCCTCTCCGTCACTGGCGACTCCGCATTTTGCTGCACGACATTTCCCCATCTCCACTCCCGAGCCGGCCACGATTCACTCTGCTCGGCTCCGGCCAAGGACCAGGCCATGTCACTCACGCGAGTCGCTTCCGTCGATGGCTTCGAACGTGAGAGGAGAGGCTCCAGCGTCTCTTCGCACAGGAGGATGAGTTTCAACCCTGTCAGTGAATGGATGCCGCCCCAAGACAGAAAACCCAGTGTGGTCTCGATAGCTCTGCAGTTTGAAGAAGTTTCCAAACGAAAGCGCATAAGTATGTGGTTGGGCCAGGTTATGGTGGCACAAGACCCCCGCTGACAGATCTGTACTACAACAGTCCAGGTTGCTATCGCCATAATATATTGTCTCTTCGCCGCCGGAATAGTATTCGGCTACGCAGCCATCAAACCTGTCCTGATCGATGAAGGCGTCTTCAAAGACCTGTGTACCCCAGAAGAGGTGGAGAACCACGTTTCGCCATGTTACAAGCAGGAGATTCGGTTGAACTTGATGTTCACCGTGGCAGCCGTCTCGACCAACGTTGCAGCCCTCCCCATCGGCACCATCCTTGACAAGTACGGTCCCAAAGCCTGTGGCCTCATCGGCAGCATCTTTCTTGCCACCGGTGCGCTGCTCTTTTCCTTCGCCACCGAAGTCAGCGGCGACCTCTTCACACCGGGCTACTTCTTCCTTGCTCTTGGTGGTCCTTTCGTCTTCATCTCCTCCTTTCAACTGTCCAACACCTTCCCCCAAAACTCAGGCCTTATCCTGGCGCTCCTGACGGGTGCATTCGATTCCTCTTCAGCTCTCTTCCTCGTCTTCCGCCTCATCTACGAAGCTACTGGAGGCAAATTGAACACACACCGCCTTTTCCTCATCTACCTCGTCGTCCCCGTCTTCGTCTTTATCGTCCAGGTCTTTATTATGCCAAAGGAGTCTTACAAGACTGTAAGTGAAGTGGTCAAGGATGCCGAAGAGGAGATCAACGCCCCAACACCGCCCGAAGCGTCCGAGGAAGAACGCCGCACCTTCCACGACCGAAGAGAAAGTACCATCCAAGAGATATCATTACTGCTGGACAAGTCGACAAACACGAAGCGCCAGAAGCGGGAAGAGCACAAGAACGCGAAATCCGGAGTGTGGGGAGCCATGCATGGTTATACCGCGCTTCAGCAGATCAAGTCGCCCTGGTTTTGGCTCATCACGCTTTTCACCGTCGTGCAGATGACCCGGATCAACTACTTTGTGGCCACGATCCGCCCGCAAGAACGTTACCTTCTAGGGTCTCCCCAAAGAGCGAAAATGGTGAATGACTTTTTCGACGTAGCACTTCCCCTGGGCGGTGTGTTGAGTATCCCTTTTATTGGCTTGTTGTTGGACAACACATCTACGCCCTTCGCCTTGGGATTCCTTGTGGTCGTAGCCACCATCATTGGCGTATTGGGCTGTCTCCCTTACATGTGGGCAGCCATTGCCAACGTTTGCCTCTTTGTGGTATATCGGCCCTTCTATTACACCACTGTCTCGGACTATGCCGCCAAGGTATTTGGGTTTCAAACATTCGGCAAAGTGTACGGCCTCATCATTTGCCTCGCGGGGCTTTTCAACTTCTTGCAGAGTCCTCTGGATGCAGTCACGCACGTGGTGTTTAACAACAACCCAATTCCGGTGAATGTGATCCTTTTGAGCGTGGCGGTTATCGTGGGAGCTGCGCTGGTGACTTTCACAGCAATCAGAGCGAGGACGATGAAGAGAGACTTCTTGGAGGACGAAGCGGAAGGCGCAACAGAATCACTGATGCCCAATGCCGAGGTGAATGGGCATGGCTACGGGACATGAGAAAAAATAAGCATAATCGGAGAAGACTGTCACCATCTCACATAGTAAAGGGCGGTGTCCCTTTCTGGGCATTGAATGTCATAGCATCTGTGGAGAAGGGTTCTTCCACGAGCTCGATATGTTGATATTTGACACCAGCACAACACGAAAAGCTGCCAGGCCAGAACCTAGTTGGAGAGGCAAATTGTCGACTTTATTACAATGTTGACAAAATATGTCCTGGCGTATAGGCGTCCTTGGGTTGAAAAGAAGAAAAAAACTGGATCTATGGATGAAGGACTTAATTAATTCCGGAGATGACTGGCAGAAGAGAACCGGGGTGTCTGTGGCATAGTGGAGAGTATCATTCCTCCGCTCACACAATATATCCCAAGTACCTAGGTACAGATCAGTGCAACAGCAGATGCGCATGTATATACCATGATCAAAGACTCTTTAGGCTTCTGACTCAACCGTCAGAGTTTCTCGGTCGACTGATACGTGCACATTCCCGCACAGTCTGAGAGGGAGGTCGATTGAGCTGTCTACAGGTCCCGGCTGACGAAGAAAGAAAAGGGGAAAAGGGAAGCTTCTATTGTATCAGATTCGTGCTCCTCGATGGAAGATTAAGGGGACGGTATGGTCAAAAGACCTATCAAGGCACCCGCCCGAATGTCTTGCATGACCTTGGTTTTCTTTCCACGAGGTCGGTAGGATTGTCCGAAGAGTCAGCGCAATGTGAACCTCGCCTCCTAGTCTTTTGAGCAGATTGTGATTGTGATTGTGGTCGACATGATGATGATGAGTAGTTCCGCGGATTGAAGCCATTGTAGCGATGCTGTCTGCTTAACCTCGCGCGACTGTACAGATTCGAATTGTCGAAGCTCAATTTGCACCACGAGCCGAGGCGGAGTTGCCCAGTCCATCAAACACATCAAGCCGCCTCATCATGGACCACCACCGCGCCACACTCATTCCCAAGCTCCTGATTTTGTACATCATTCCCTATTATACATGCGATGTTGGCACACAGCTGAACCCTCACCGAAAGGTTGGGGGGTGGTATTCGTCGTTGGCGGTTTGTATCAGAGTAGCGAGGTGTTTGTTTGACCAAGATGGAGAGCGGACGCTTAGAATCCCGGGAGGAGCATCTCGCTCCATTCCGAGTTGAAAAATGCAACGGCAGCCTGTGGGAGGAAGAGGTTAGTCGATGTTGCCAAAGTTGATGACTTAGATTGGAGAAGCAGATTCCCGCAGAGGTGTGTTTTGGTCCAGACGGGCGCGAGAGCAGATGAGTCCATCCGCGCAAGGAGACAACTTACTCCGAACATAGCCACGCTTATGACAACACTGGCGTTTTCTTCAGACGTCAATGTATGATACATCTGACCGAACCATCCTTTAGGTTGAGACCGACGGGCGGGCTGGACTGTGATGCGCTTGGGAGGCATTTTCTAGAGCGAGCAGACGGGTCGAAGGTCGGGTAGTGGGTTTGTTTTTGACTGTCCGACTTTGGATACAGCCTGGTTTCACGGTCGCAGAGTTTGCAAGGAGAAGTATGTGCACTTGTGAAGGGGCAGTTGATAGACGCTTTGAACAGTTGTCGGATTGATTCGCGATGATGCAGATACATAACCCTGAACATAATTGCAGCTACGAAATTTCGGAGCGGAACCTGATACGGCGGAACAAGGGCTCTATACAATGCACTACCTAGTGCAGATCATAAAGCTCTGCTATGCTGTCGTGGGCAACTTTTCAACTCCAATCCTTTCTTGCTTCGCCTGCTTCTCCTGCTCTTTCGCACTCATCAACAACTTCATCCTTGCTTCTCGGCCAAGCTTGGCAAGGTGCCATTCGGGCGTGTGACCCTGCATTTTGTCGTCAATTCCAAGCCGAGCAGCATCCTTATTCACCCATTGGACAAGATCCTTGACATATTCTTCTTCAGCCCCTAGCGCCTTCAAACTGTGAAAGTCTCTCCCTAAGCCACTGGTTCGTACCCGCTCATTGTACTCATCGCGCATCTGTTGCTTGGATGGTAACTCGGCCTTGCCGCTCAATACCCTTGCAACTGCCTGGCCCTGGAATTCGAAAAGCGAGAATGTGGCAATGTGATATGGAGCCCCGATAAATACGAGCGAGGGGTCCTCAATGTAAAACATGTCCTTGTGCAGGTTGTGCGCCATGTCCCCTTCCGCGGTAACAAGCACAAATTCATCTGCTTCGCTCGCCGGAATGTCGTCCCGGTGCAGATGGCGCAAGAACGGATATGAGGTTATGTACCCCGTGCAAAGGATGACCGAATGAATGTCGGTCAAGACCTCGCCGCTTTCGAGTACCACCTTCCCGGGAATTGGTCCTGAATCTGGAGTACTCACGCCGTGGTCCTCATTCAATTTAAAGGATTTGATGGCTCCTATCCTTGTGGCACCTTCTGGCAAGAAGCTGGCAGGAAGGTCGTAAGTTCCGTCCCGAGAACTCTGGTAAATGTGATTGGCATAACCCGCCGATTCTTTGGCGATGTCATTCGCTGATACTCCGGCTCCAATGAGAATGATGTTCTGATCTTTGAATATTCGGGGATTGCGATATCTTTTCGAGTGCCAGACTCGGTCGGGCCAGCCATGCTTCCACTCCTTGAGACCAGGAAAGTCAGGCACTCGCGGCATGTTGTAATGTCCTGACGCCACAACCACGGCATCGAAAGTCCAGCGCCGCTCCACGAACCGCGATCCGGATGGCCCTTTCTGCAGCGTTGTTGTCCGCACGAGCCATTCGCCAGAATGTTTTCGTACATCCTCGACGCGCGTGTGATATTGTGTGATTGCGGAGACGCCATGCTTAATTGCAATGTTCTGGATGTATTCCTCCAATACCTTTTGATTGACAAAATCCTCTGTTCCCTCGGGCCATGAGAGCAAACTTGTCCTCATCTCCCTCGTTGAGACATTGTTCTTCAATCCAGCATAACATGGCCCAGGAGGCGCATGTGCAATCTCCAGTTTGTCGTTATCCGCGTCCTCTGGTGGAGGAGTGCTGAATGCCAGCTCCGGTCTTGTCTCATAGTCCCCCTTTGATGGAAGCTCATTCGGAAACGAAGGGTCTGAGGCTGAGCGCTCGTCGAAGTGCCACACTCCGCCAGCAATTCCTGACCTCTCGAACACAACTACTTCGAGGCCGTGTCTCAACAGGTGTGCAGCTGCACAGACTCCGCTGATACCAGCACCTATGACGGCGACCGTTTTTGTCTTGTTTTGTGCCATGGTCTGCGAAGAGGCCGCCCGCTCCAATTCTTCAGGGTCAATACTTAAATGTCAATGCTTACTGCAGACCGGCCCTCATGTCTCGTTCGGACTACCTTTTTGAGAACTACGAGGTCCCGCGGTGGTGGTGTCTGGATCTTGGAGCTACCAATCAGAGTCGGTCTGATACGCCCGCTTCGTATGAGAGGATACATATCAACAAATACCCTCTACTAAGCACGCAATCTTGGCTGGAACATGTGATTTTCGCAAGCTATACCGTGACCGACAGCTCGCTTGAATATGCCTTGTGCCGATAAGACTGAGCATGGGATGACAAATGCACACAATCGAGGCTGTGCCGTTGGCGACTGAGTCGGTACGTGTGCACTTCATTGATGCCAGAAGCTCGTCCTCGGTTCTGCATACTATCCGCAGCTCGCTCTTGCTCCCTGCACACCTGTCTCGGTAAAGTCCTCTGAGACTTCTAGCTTCCAAACACCATATTTGGCCCCCGGATTTTACGATTTCGTCACCCGACTGGGCCGAGTTTCCTCTTTCTCGCCAGCTCCCACTTCCACAACACCCTAATCACCAACGCGGACACAATCATTGCCGCGGCCAAACACGCTGACGTGACAAACCCTTGATGATACCTGGGGGCATCAACTTGTTGCCATACAACCAGTGGCAGCCAGCTTGAAAGATATATGCCAACTCGTTCATGGTGCCCACCACAATTGCCCTTTCTTCGTTGTCGTCCGTGCAAATCTCGTGCGCCCACGCCATGCAAAGTCCACTGAGACCGCCACCACACCCAGCAAGGATGTAGGAAGCCCAATGCCAGCCAACCGGGATGTCCCACACTGCAAGGCTTGCATAGCACACTATTGAAACCAGGCCTCCAAAGACGATCGGTGGCTACCGGGCGCCACGAAAGATACTATCCGACGTCCAAGCATAGATGAGCGTACTGACGACCTGCACCGCATATGTGGTGGTCGGATATGTATTGATCTGTGAGATCGTGTACTTGGGATGCGTCGAGTCCTTGAGGTACTGTGCAAAGGTAGGCTGACCGACTCCTGATCCCGCGTTGTTGAAGGTCATGTACAAGGTTGCCAGCATATATATCTTCCAAGACGAGAAGATCTTCTTGAACTTGGCCTTAGTGTACGGGGCCCGAGGGGCGCGTCCCTCCAGTTTCATTCGCTTCACCGCGAACTCGCGCTCCTCTTGGTTGAAATACCATGCAGTGGTGATCTCTCGAACGTCAGGAAGGAGAAAGAATCCGGAAAGGGCGATGGGCAGCGAGATTATCCCATCAACCACGAATAGCCACTGCCAGCCCTTCAACCCTCCTTTGCCATTGAGATGGTAAACGGCAGCCATGAGGTATAGTTGGTTTGCTGCCTCCACATATTCCCCTTGTTTCCTTTCTGATGTTTGTATGTTTGTTACTTGCTGTACCCTTTTAGGTATTTAGATAGATCCTCTACTCTCAGAGAGTTGAGAATGATCATCTCACCTTTCCACCAGTTGTAGTTCCAAGTGGTATCCGGAAAACATGCTGCCAATGGCGGGTGACGTGTGAAAAATGCAAGATCGCTTGGCCAATTCGTCTCTCCGATACCACGATCCGATCACGTATTGCATGCCTTGGGTAGAATGTGGATTCTGCAAGGCCGAGGAGGAATCGTAGGGCATATATCGAGCTCGCGGAGTTGCATTTTGCGAGGCAGAAGGTCAACACTGCCCATATGACTTCCATCAATGGGATCCAGATCCGCGGACGGACGCGGGTGAGGATCATGTTCGCCGGAAACGAAACTGTCAGTCACGTTTCGAGAGAGTCAGTCCGAAGAAGAAGCGGATCATTGCTCACACGGCACTTCGCCAATAACTTATCCCACAGTCCAACATGTCTGCATATAGTTCAACTGGTTCTTATAAAATCCCAAGTCCTCCTTCATGCCAGACACGAATGCGTTGTTGATGTTGATTTGATCGAGATACTTGATAGAGTAACCCAGAGTCGCGAAGGTCAATACAGCAGCGTCGAGCTTGAACAGGAACCGTCGCTCTTCAGGAGACTTGTCCAGAGTGTCCCAGACATAGGACTGCCATGTACGCTTTGGCTTCGGCTGCATCGTGTCGGAGGTCTCGCCATCTGAACTGAGGCTCTCTTCCACCACAAGCGTCGTGGAGAGATCAGTTTCGGCCCCCTTGATAGTGACCTCTTTGCTTTGCTCGTAGAACGACATCTCGATGTCCTCTGGGCACCAAGGCTGTTCCCGCTGCCCGTGCTATGTGGCGCGAGAATGGTCTGTGAAGTCGTCCTTTAAACTCCGAGCTTCCCCTTGTTTTGGCTCCTCGGCAGACAGCCATCAAGCCCACCCCATTTACCTGTTTTCTTCTAAATCATCGCATCTTTCAATCGAATATTGCGTGCTCCTTGTGGCCGGCTTTCTGGACCCTCACGGGCGCACATGCTTGGGCGCGATGTGCGCAACGCGTCGACCGAATAGCTGGTGATTTTCGTCCGTACCATGAGGGCGTCTGCTTGACTATCCAATGCGACGATATCATCTTTTGGGAAGTATGCATAAACCCACCTAGGTGTTACCATGTCGCCCGCATCGCAACGCAAGGATCTCTGTCGACGGATGAGCAGCAAATAAAGGAGTTGAAGCACGCCATTCCTTCACGTGACTGGGATACGTTCTTATGGTTCCGCGTACCCTTGGTCCTTTCGAGGAGATCAGCTGAGACCTCATCCATGGTGTGCGTACTGATTGGATCGATAAGAGACCTGGCGAAGCGGGGTTGATGTGTGTATATCAACAATGTAGGGTGTCTCGGTGTGTCCTGCCCCTGCAGGGTGGTTGCAGTCTGCAGGGTTATTTCATCTTTTTCATGCAGCTAGCTGAAGCCCACTTCCCAACTATTTCCCAATTGGAAAGTGCGTTCAATAGCCGTCAGCGGCACGCAATACAGGACTGCAATATCGCCATCTTCATACCCCCTGAGAGACGCATCGAGACCGTATCCGGTCCCGTAAGCAAGTCGACCTGTGGAGTAATCCTCGGAGCTGGATGGTGAGCTCCGGATGCTGATTGAAAAAGAGAGCAGTTGATTCATAGTAGGACCTAGCTTCGCTATTGTCATTCTTCACAGTATTCTTTTGTACCTGTAGCAGCAAGATTCAATCGATCAACCATGGCGCCAGCTCCCATCGATCCCAGCATCACGGAATTTGTCGTCCCGAAAAAGGACACATTGGGACTGCCAGAGCCGGCGTACAAAAGGCTTGTGAAGGCGGGCATCAATCTTTCGGACGGATACCCGTACCGCCCAAATCGGCCGTTGTACCTCCAGGACGTGTACAACATCCGAGACAAAGAGCGCAAGCATGTCGACGCAGGTGCTCGAGCCGACAAGTCGAAGAGCGCCCTACTTTCCGCCGCGACCAGGGTCACCGACCTGACGGCTTATATTGGTACTGAGATCGAGGGGCTTCAGCTCAAAGACCTCACCGACCAGCAAAAGGATGAATTGGCACTGTTGATTGCCGAGCGCAGCGTCGTTTTCTTCCGAGATCAAGACATCTCGCCTCAGCAGCAGAAGTCGCTTGGAGAATACTATGGCGAGGTTGAGATCCATGTAAATCAGACCCTTCTTGACATAGTTGAAAGTGGTTCTCTGTGCTAAGTTCGGAATTTCTTCCCCAAACACAGCCTCAAGTCCCTCAAGTCCCCGGCGTGCCTGGTGTCACGGTGATCTGGCCAGCTCTGCAAGCCCAAGAGCACCCGGCCAGCTTCCGCCGCCCCGGAGGTGCTTCACGATGGCATACCGACTTGGTCCATGAACGTCAGCCTGCGGGCATCACCCACCTCCACAACGACACGGTGCCACCCGTCGGAGGAGACACGCTCTGGGCTAGCGGCTACGCGTCGTACGAGAAGCTGTCGCCGGACTTTCGAAAATTGATCGATGGCAAATACGCAGTGTACCGGTCTGCGCATCCTTATCTGGATCGCGAAAACCCAACCGCCGGGCCCAAATATATCGAAAGAACTCACCCGTTGGTCCGCGTGCACCCGGCGACCGGCTGGAAGGCTCTTTGGGTCAACAGAGCAATGACTGATCGCATTGTCGGGCTCGATAAGGCAGAGAGTGACCTCATTCTGGGGTATCTGTATGACGTGTATGAAAAGAATGTCGATATCCAGGTTCGATTCAAGTGGACTCCAGGCACAAGCGGTAGGTCTCCAACCCCGGAGCTAGGGAACATAATGTGGATTGTTGTGTTAACTGAAACCTCTCCTCGATTCGCACAGCTCTCTGGGATAACAGAATCACGGTAAGCTTACTTCATCACCAGTGATGGCTAATCTGCTCTCATCGGCTGACGTCGTGACTGCCCCAAGATCCACAACGCCTCCTGGGACTATGCTGGCAATTATCCACGACACGGCACACGCGTCACTTCCCTGGCAGAAAAGCCCTTCTTTGACCCCAGTGCGCCCACGAGACGAGAGGCTTTGGGACTGTTGGGACCGGATGAGAAGCAGGTTGATGGCTTTCTGGTAGAGGCATAGGCAGGCGAAATCTTGCATCAAAGGGTTCAGAACGATAGCATGACAACTACGGAGTAGGTGGTAGAGAGACGTGGGAGCAGTAAACTTGATCGGCAAATTCCCGGTGGACTCTTGGCACATCCTTTGTACCCTTTTTTCCATCCACATCAGAACAGCCTCGTAGCTGTGACGAAGATATCTAAGCAGTGTCAATAAAGACGGAGTCAATCGGCTCTACCATCTATTTAGAGGCGATAGGTAGACACACTCTGGTCTTTGCCAAGACCCCGAGTCGAGGAACTCCCAAGGAAAGGAGCGACTGCGTCACGTGCTCGTAAGGCTCTGGTCTCCTTTCAAGGAGCTATTTATGGAACTCCGTTTCTTGGCATCAGGCTTGGCTCAAGCGCAAATCCCTTCCATCCTCCTTGACAAGAACAACTTCTACAGCATCTGAGTCTGGTTGAAGGTGGGCACTGGCCGGCCACTGTCCACAACACTTGTCACCATGGACGACGAGCTAGGTCCAGGCCTTCCTCGCCTTGGCAGTCCATCAAACCCTCCGTGTCTACTAACTTCAGAGTTCCCGACTCGGCCTGCCCTTAGGCCCATGAGGACCTGCGTATTCCACTACTAGAACGAGCTTGTCCGGGGTCACAACCGCCGATCTAAAGATCTAAGTTCTGCTGTCCGATGGAAAGGTGAGGCACTATGTCCTTTGTATGCTTCTGGTCTACCATGAACAGCGAGATGGCTAGCTCTAGTTCTGATCAGCGGAAAAATCGACGGCAAGCTCTTGTACCATACCTGTGATCGTTCTGGTTCACGTATCATGGGCGCAGGACTCACACAACAGGCCGGCTTGGCCTCCTATTAGCCCAGTCCGGATGGCTCAGCCTTGTTGGGCCCGTTGCCAACCCATGGGTCTTGGATTCTTCTCTTGAAGACAAACGGAGAACACGCTCGCGAACGACTGGACACCGAGACAGCGATGGACGGCGCTGAGGAGGACCCGGAGGTTGAAAATCTTTAGCACTACGCACTTTGATGAACTCCTAGATGGAAGTCTTTTCATTCGCAAGTAAACTCAAATTCGCGCTCCGCAGCCAGATCCTCGAATGTATATATTAGGAATCTGTCCAAGGGCTTTCGCACCTGCGTCTTCAAACCTCGAGGCCCCTCTGGACCGGAATCACATTGAATTCACATCCTTCGAGGAGTTTATCAACAACCCCTTCAACTTGACCCCGTCGTTCTTCAACTCAGCCAATCTTGGAAGCAGACGGTACGGCCATGTCAGGTGTTGGTGGGCCCTCAAAGACGCCGCATGATGTTGTAATTGGGGTGAATGATGAGGTATGTACTTGCAACTGTCCGTCTGAAGGGGTCGTTTTGACCTGGACAGGATTCAAACACTTCAGAACACCTGAAGTGGACTCAATCCCTGAAGACACTCCCTTCCAACGCATCCAGCAGAGCCACCCACCACAGTACGACATGTACATCCTCGCAGCCACACGAGATACGCAGGCGGTTGTCCCACGTCGCGAGACGAGCTTCTGTTGCCATAGCCGATGTTGCGCATAAGGTTGACCCACTTGCAGTAACGGAAGGCAACCCCTTGGGTCTTGCCATCAATGAGATTCGAGGCGTGTCGTCCACCGGTTACTCTGCACCAGGCCAGTTCGATGCTCGTCGATATTCTTGCGGAGACCCCAATCCTCCAGCTGTAGCGTTCCCCGAGCCTGCACGGATTTCCCAAGCATCCGACCCATCTTCCGACGATTCTACTGTTCGACCAGGAATGAGTGAGAAGGTAGATGACTACTTGATTCAGAGACTTGCGAAGCATGACGACATCGAACGGCTCTCAAGGCTCAAACGCTTAGTTTACAGGCTCCGCCCAATCTTGATCATCTTTTCAGCCGCAGCCAACTGGTTGTATTTCGCTTTCCGCGTCAAATTCACCCTAGATGCAGAGCATGTTGCGCACCGGACGTTTTGGATGGCATGGGCTTTCATTATTATTGAGTGCTGTTTGTCACTTCCGATCGTGATGGACAGTCTCTGGGGCTTCCATATCACTGGAAGGAGAAAGAGGCCAAAACTTCGCTTGGTTGGAGACAACGTCCCCTCGGTCGATGTGGTCATAACTTGCTGCCGCGAAGAGGATGATCTGATCCTGGATACTGCCAAAGCAGCCTGCAACATCGACTATCCCCGCGAACGGTTTCGAGTCCTTGTCTGTGACGACGGAAAATCCGAATCATTGCGGAACTCAGTTGAGAAGCTCGCCTTGACCCAGTTCCCAAACCTCTATTACCGATCCAGACCGAAGTTCCCTGGCGTACCGCACCACTTTAAGGCCGGCAATTTGAACGATGCTCTTGAAGCAACCAAAAAGTTACCAAATGGTGCGGCCAATTTTTTCGCGGCTCTTGATGCTGACATGATTCCCATGAGAGACTGGCTCCGGGCGCTCCTGCCTCATATGCTTCAAGATCCAAAATGTTCGATGGCCTGCCCGCCGCAGGTACGTTCTCCTCAACCGCATGCTGTAGTAGCTGGAGCTGACTGATGACTGCGTAGTTGTTCTACAATGTGCCCAAGGACGACCCACTCTGCCAGAGCCTGGACACGTTTGTGCATAATGCGGAACCGATAAAGGACTCCCTTGGTGTAGCTTGGTGCACTGGATCCGGTTACGTGTTCAGACGCTCGGCCCTTACCTCAATCGGTGGTTTCCCCACCGGGTCTCTTGCTGAAGATGTCTGCTGTTCAAGCATGCTTCTCGGCTCAGGCTGGAATACCGCCTTCGTCCACGAGCCACTGCAATTTGGAACCGTTCCCGATTCTCTGCAAAGCCACCTGAAACAACGTACAAGATGGGTAAGTTATTCTTGGATTGTGTCGTTGTCAAATACTAAATTGCCACAGACCATCGGCACCATCCAGACCGCCGTGAAACTGCGATTCAGTTTATTTGGTCCGCGGGTGAAACACATGACGACGGCGCAGCGACTGTGCGGGTTTGTTTACACGATGTCTTCGCTATTCACGGTGTTCCTGGTGGCGTCATTATTCACTGCACCTGTTGTGCTCATTTCAAGCGGCACGCTTGTCCCCTATGCAGACAAGAACCAGCTGCGATGGCTCGTACGCGCGGCATGGCTCACCGTGGCCGTTAATCGTGTGAACGAGATGATCTCGTTCTTGCCTTCTGGCTATCGCACTGGCCAGAGAGATAACAGGGCCCGGTTGTGGATGTCATTCTGTGAGTGTTCTCAACCCCCAGCAACATGCTCGGATCTACTGACGACATGACGTAGTCCACGCGATCGCGGTTGTTCGTACCTTTCTCCTACCTAAGTGGCTGGGAGGCAAAGTCGCCGTCTTTACATCGTCCGGGTCGCAAAAGGACCAACTCAACGAACGGAATCCCCAACTCCGAGCTCCATTGTTCCGTCGTCTCAAAGTCGTTATTTGGGATTGTCAATGCTATCTTCACGTCCTGTACATCACGTTCATCTTGGCAGCAGTTATCCTCAGTCTCCAATACAACCTCACGAACCCGGTCAACACCACCACAAAGAAGTTTCTGATTGACATACTGACACATTCGGGTTGGCCTCCTCTAATCTGGATGACGTGCGGTCTGTCTTGCTGGGCCCCGATCAGCTATGCCATCTTCCCGCCGTCTATGCCGGACAGGGAGGATCTGTTGAACAGAGATCCCGTGACCGGGGTGGCTTACCCTAAGGAGGAGGCGAAGAAGACCCAGACTTCATGGATTGCGTGGTTCCACGAGTCTCACTACACTTTCATCACTATCTATACGACCGTGGTCATGGTTCTGTCTTTCTGGATCGAGTGATGGTTTGGTCGGTGGTTTGTGCTTTGGGGATGCCGCCTTTTAGTGCAGGAACACGTAACGACGGGCTTCGGAAAGAAGGTAATGTGGGGACAAAAGTGAAAGGGCGTGGGATAAAAGCTTATAATGGTTGTAATCAGGGCAAGGGATTCCTTCGTTGCTTGTCGCTAGATACCCTTAGGTACCTAGGTATGTAGGTAGAGAAACTCAAATGAGAAAAAAACGAAAAGAAAAAAGAAAAAGAAAATGGGCCTCAGCATATGAAGCTCTCTTGCTAGTCAACATGGAGAACCCTTGCCGGTCAATATGACGACCTGACTTGAAATTTCACAAGGGCGAAGAATGATAAAAGGCAGCCGTTTGAGATGCAATCTGAGGCCAGCAGCTCAGTCAGCTCTTATGTAACTAACATTGAGCTAGTTGACATCTGGTAAGACCGGCCTCTTGGCACGACCTTATCTCCAGGCAGGCGCAAGTCCGCAAATCTCTTCCTCCGATTGATTCCATCACTCATACTGCCACCTGGACTCGGCCTGGCCTTGCAGCACGCCATGCTTTTACCTGCATAAAGGCACGTCAGCCTCATCGACCTCAAACTGCTGTGGAACACTCATTCCAGGGCTTTGAAACTCTTGGCTTGGCAGACTTTCCGCGGTTGTTGTAGGTACACCTCTAAGGAAGATGGGATTGATCCTTCAAAACCTCGGGTGGATGCTCCGTCACTCCGACATGTCCACGAATGTAAAAGGGAGAACCGGTGCGGAATTCTAGGCGAGCACGGTCACTTCAAAGCTACCATGGTAGAAACGACAAGACAGATGGCCCTACACTCTCGACCATGACAAAGATTCAGGCAGGCTCAGAATTCTTGGAGTGTTGATCTTCCACAGGCATCGCACCTGTACGCTTGCCAAGGCTGGAATACTGCAGGTTCCATCCTACAGTCCGTGGGCTTATGCAACTGAGGGAGAAAAGGGACTGCTATTTTACCTAAACCGTGGAAGTTGGACTTTGTACAGCTGCAACTACCCAAAGCATGCGCTGTGAAGTCTGACATACGATTGCGAAGGCCAATTCCGGCTGATCTCTGCCAACTCATCAATCAGCCCAAGTCCGCCACGGCCCGAACCAAGGTATTGCACTTTACCAAAGGTCCAAAATGTTTGAGGATTTTCGAGACACAAACCCGCATACCTTCACAAACTACAAAACCAGAACTGGCTGGATAGTGGAAAGCGAGCCAGGCTACACGACAGAAGAAAATTCCAAACCCTGGCCAGTCCTCGGTGGAGAGTGGTTAAGTGTGAGTTTTACGGTCTTGGATCTATCGTTTCCAGCACGTGCGATTTTTTTCTTTCGTTTATTCCGACCATTGTATGCTGCCACCTGGCAGTCTCCCAATTTTCAAATCATTTGCCGTGATAACACTGATTGACACGAACAGCTCCTCACTTGGATGCTATCTACATATAGGAGAGTCATTCATCTCGTGAAGGGAGGCAGGAATCAAGACACCTTCTCGCAGAACGGGGACATGAAGTTACGATAAGAACTCTCCTTGTCTCAGGACTTGATTGTGAGCCAGTGACCAGTCCAAGTGCGCCCGAATGATCATTCAACTTACCTTTGATGGTCTCGAACATGGAAAAAGGAGAATTGCAAGAAGAGACCAGCCGCCTTGTGGGGCATCGCCGACTGAATCCACTTAAAACATCCACCCGAGTCGCTTCTGGCGTATACTCAACTTGTCGATCCTCCAGAAGATGTGACTTCCTGTCGCCGGCGAGTCTAGATTTCCGGCAGCAGGTGTAACCCTCACGCGATCTAAGCATACTGGTTCTCCGCTGGTACCTCCTCGGGGATCGAGAGGTCGGCTAGGGGCGACCGAAGTCATCGCAGTCTCATCCATCATCAATGGGGACTGCTCAAGCTGCACGCGCGGCCTCAGCGCGGAAAGTGCTGGAAATGTCCCACAGACGACCACATCCACAGATACAAAGGGGAATTTCTGAGGATTGTCCATAATCGGCAACTAGCCAACAGTCCAGATCGAGTTTTGCTGCTTATATTGGGCATTACACCATGTGCCTATGCAAGGAGCCCGAAGACACAGAGGGATCATCGGCAAAGTCTAACCACGGCCTCGAGAACAACCTGAGCCCTAGACGCGCCCCATTCAAGGGTGAGGCATTGCAAAGATAATGGGAATTGTATGTGGACACTGCAGAAACGATGCTCTTTCACTTCCATGTTATGTACTTGCAATGATCAGGCATTCCTCATTGGGAGCCCCAGAATGGCCCAATTAGAATTATGATTATTTCTACAACAGCTGGAATGGTGTCCGCTACCATTGACGCGAGGAACATTACAGGCCATCTCTACCAAGCCTTCCGCAGAAAGGTCAACGGACTTCCGAATTTTAATCACCTTCCCCAGGCGTCAGTCCTGCGACGACTGAGCTACCTGGTGATTCAAAATCAAGCGCCATTGGCCACCCTTCACGCAAGCAAATGCTTGCCAAAAACCGTGGCAATCTCAAAGCCGAACATGGGTCCTTAGCTAAATACGAGGTACTTATTTCTACGACCCAAACCAGAATACGCGGACCCAGGCTGGGGTATTCGTTCTTGTGGGTTCCTTTCCTGTCTTGCACGTTGCATGTCTTGCATGCTGTTTCTCAGCCCTTAATGATCCCCAGAGCGTGGAAAGGCGGCATCTGGGGTTGCCGTTTTCGGCAAATGAATTGCGCACCCGTCCAGTCCAAGCCAACAGAATGGCGGCCTCCACCATCTTGGTGACTTGTTCGACCTGGGATAGACACGTCTTGATTTGATTCGCTTAGAGACAAAGCAGCTTCATCCACCAACGGACTAATCCCCGCACGTCGGCTTCAAACAAATGCCCGAATCCCCAACCATCTGGAGCTTCCTCCTTTCTGCGGAGAACTCGATCCGTCGACGACTGCGCACAGGGGAGACCAGTCCCTAGATCTGTGCAGATCAGAGTAGAAAACGTGGAGATGGCTCGAGATGGTTGAATGTTTGCAAATGAACGGGGGCTCCGCCACAGACTGCATTTACCCAGACCAGGGTTGCGGAAGTGCGTTCCTAGCCGCACCCCGACGCTGGAATGTTGGATGCGAGCCTGCGAAAATCACCCTGCTCTCTGGAGAGATCTACGAGCTACTCTGACTAAGTTGGCCATAGTTATCTGCGAATCTTCTAATCGCTAGGGATCGAATATCCTCTATACAATACAGACATCGCCCTAGACGATGGATGGGAATCCGGGTCAACCTTCGTTCCAGCAGATGTTTCTCGAAGCACAAGTCCCGACACGAGAGTCTTAACCAGTACAGAAGTGTCTGCGATGAGGCAATGGATTGACATTGGCTCAACGACCGGCCAGCTATTTACTGAACGAGGCTGGGTGGCTGGGCTCTGGGAGCTTTCACCGACTTTGATTGCCTTCCGGAGCCAGGGTCCATCTAGGAAGTTGTCGCCCGCATACTCTTCATCTGTCTGTGGGTCATTGCCGGCTTTCGGTCTAGTTTGCTCCAGCATTTTCCCCGGACATCCCCCATGACGCCCAAGAAATGGTTAAACTGGCTAAACTTCCTACCTATCACAATCTAGCATACGAATATCATTTGCCTCTACGTGGGGCTCTGTCTTCTCCTCGTCGACGACGGCGAGCCTATCCCAGAATCGTCAAGGTGCTCCAGACCTTTCATTCCCAACTGCCTTAAAAGGGTGTTGCCCTGTGATGGATCCCTCAGATATATCAACTGACTCTCCGGAGGAGTTTCGATACTCTCTCAACCTCACCTGATCATTGCCTTGGACTCCTACTGGCAATTAGAAACTAACCACCACAATGGCGACCTCAAGGCCTGATACCCTTAGGGCTCACTGGAAATGCATCGCCGCATGTACCTTGGTTAGCATGTGTCCATTTCAATATGGAGTCGATTTTGGTATCATCGGTGGTCTGCAGGCTATGCCTGGCTTCTTGAATGTATGTTTCTCAGGTCGAGATTTGTTTGCGTTCATCAGCTCTGACAATGAATAGATCTTTGGAGAAAAGGATCCGACCTCGCCTATCGGATACAACATCTCCCATACACGGCAGCAGCTGATTTCGTCTCTCATGATCCTTGGTGCCTTTATCAGCTCCTCCTTTGCCGGTCCCGTTGCGAAGTTCATCGGGCGGAAGATGTCCATCTGGATTGCGGCTCTGCTCTGCGTGGTTGCAAATGTTATTATGATGACCACTACGAGCATTGGAGCTCTATATTTCGCTCGTTTCTTGATCGGCATTGCGAACGGCATGCTGATGACATTCTCGCAGCTCTATCTCCAGGAGTGTGCCCCCGCGAAATATCGAGGCCTTGTCATTGGGCTTTTCCAGTCCTGGACATCGATTGGTACTTTGGTTGGAACCATTATCGACAACTTCACCGTGAAGCTTTCCGGCAAACACCAATACATTGTTCCCCTTGGCATCATCTACATTGTGCCAGGCATTTTGTCGGTTGGAATGCTCTTTATCCCCGAAAGCCCGCGGTGGTTCCTTCTCCAAGACCAGACCGAGAAAGCTCGCAAGGCCCTCAATTGGCTCCGACCATATCCCGAGACCGTTGAGGACGAGATCAAGGAGATCCAAGACGCCATCTCCGCCGAGCGAAGCTTGGCCAGTAGCGCTGACGTCCTGGATATGTTCCGTAACCCTGTTGACCGAAGACGCACACTTCTCGCCGTTGGAGCTGTATCCCTCCAGGCGGCTTCTGGTGCCATGTATATGATTTGTAAGTTTCTCCGTCCAAGATTTATCCGACAAATACCTGACAGTCTACAGCCTACGGCACTTATTTCTTCGAAATGGCTCAAGTCGGTTCGGCATTTGAAAACTCGTGCATCCTTGTTGCAGTTGGCGTGGCCGCCATCTTGATCAACAGCGCCGTCATTACCAGATGGGGCCGGAGACGAGTGTTCCTCACGACCGGCATGATCCTTTGTGGCATCACCCAACTCATCATCGCCGTCGTGTACGACAAACAGGGCCCAAGCACTTCAACCGGACGAGTGAGTTTTCTTGGACAGATCTTGACGAGTTTGGTTGATCCATTCTGCTAACGCAATCCGTGCAGGTTATTGTCGGCGTCTCGGTTGTCTATATTGTCGGCTACAATGGCATGGTAGCAACCTACGCGTGGCTTTGTGGTGGCGAGTTCCCGTCGCAGCGTCTCCGAAGCTACACCTTTGGTCTGGCGGCGTCGATTGGCTTTTTGGGAGCCTGGCTCGCCACCTTCACGGCTCCATACTTCATCAACCCCGATTCCCTGAACTGGGGTCCAAAGTACGGATATATCTGGACACCATCTTGCTTGATTGGTGCGCTGTGGACGTATTTCTACCTTCCTGAGGTGAAGAACAGGACTTTTGAGGAGATCGACGAAATGGTGAGTTCGAGCAAGGATCCAAGCCTCTTCTGCAGAAGGTTACATGTTGCTGACACTGTGCTTGTTCTATAGTTCGAGGCACGCCTCCCCGCCCGGAAATTCCGCACCTACAAATGTGTGGGATCAGTTGCCGCCGTGGCCATGGCTGCTAAGGATGATGAAGGCAGTGCCAGCGAGAAGGATCATGCTGAAGTCACACACAAGGAGGTCATTTTCGGCAATGAGAAGGTTGCTACTGAGGCTGCGGTTGCCATCGGTTGAACGCGTACCTCTGGATGCACTGTTTGCGAAGCGTCAGGCGTGTCGAGAGCATCATCAGGGTCCAATAGGCTCACGAGCTGCTTGGGATGAGGTATTCTAGTAACCAGAACAGCAGGTGGTGTTTCCCACGAGAACAAAGGATGCGAGGTCATCGAGAAGCGAACCAACTATCACGTTCTGCTGCCATAAAACATCTGCACTCCCTTCGTGATTGATTCGACATACGAATCCTCTCGTCTCAGTATCAGTGAGATTCGCTTAGCCGTATTCCTACGGCAGCGGTGAGCCTTGCACAAGATCGAGAAATGGATGATCTGGGGCAAGAGTGTGCTATGCTGCTTGACAACCTCGTGTAAGAAAGTGTCGGGTTTCGAAAGAGCCGATCCGTGGTAGTCCATACATCCTTGGTCTTGGGATACTTCTGGAAGCAGTAATTTCTGCCAGGATTTGTCCTTCTTGACCACGCAGCCAGATAGTCGACAAGCCCCCGTACTCGCAGCCAGTGCGCCCAGAATCTTTTGACTTCTTAAGTAAGCTCAGGCAACTCCACATGCCAGGGGCCAAGCGGTGAGTGGTGAGTGGTGGTCGTAAGATTCTTGTTCGCCTGGTGGAGAGTGCGGCTGAGGCCTCTAGGTCGCCTACACCTGAGAACATGAAGAAAACCCCCACCATCTCAGTGCTTACTGGGCCACTGCTCAACCACCTACGATCCAGCCCAGCAAGAACGCAGCCGATAAGAAAGTCAATCCCGAAGCCCCGGTATCGCATAGGTCGGCAACCGACAAAGTCGGCCCCTCGTGGTGGCCCAACCACATGGTCGGATAAAAAGGCGAGAGTGAAATGCCGACACACCAAATACCAAAGGCCCAACTGCACGTGGAGCGCAACCAGCACCGCCATCAGCTTACGGATCTGGAGCTGACTCAGGGCAATCCCAAGCGCGTCTGGGCTCTTCTCTCAAGCGTCACGGCCAAAAGTGAAGTGATAAGTCAGTCCTCACGGTCCGAGCTGATTGGGAAGCAGTTCGGTGGGAAGATCGTGTCACCAGTCTTTCACCTTAAAACCCCGAGTTCGACGTGAATCGCCCCTCTCCAAAGGAAAATGGCTCTCACGCCCTTTGTTCGTGCTTTCGCCTCTGCCCACTCGGCTGAGGTCTGTAATACGCCGACCGACGCGACACTTGGACACTGGAATCAGACATGTCAATAGATGCCATGTACGACTATCTCATTGTCGGAGCGGGCAAGTCGAACCCTTCAGGCCTTAACCATCACGCTCTTCCGATCACTAACAGTTTATACAGGCCCATCGGGGCTGTGCGCCGCAAAGACGATACGTGAATGTGAGCCTGAGGCTAGGGTGAAAATTCTGGACTCGGTAGGTCATCGCTAGAGCCGGGCAACTGGTCTCAACAAATGTACTGATTCGATCTTGGTTAGAACAAAACCGTTGGTGGTGTATGGTCCAAAGAGAACATCTACCCGGGCCTAAAGACGAACAATATCCGCGGCGGCATCGACTTCTCGGACTTTCCCATGCACGATGGCTTCGGCGTACCTGAGGGCCAGCATGTCTCCGGGGAAGCGATGCATGAGTACATCAAGGCATACGCCGAACACTTTGATGTCTTACGGTTAATCGATTTCGAATCGACCGTCGCCGAAATCTGGAAGCTCAAGGGAATTCAAGGCTGGAATGTCAAACTGGGCTCAGGGGCCGATTTGCAGGCGCACAAACTGATCATCGCGACGGGTGTCACAAATGTGCCACACCGACCAGAATTGAGTGGCTTTCAAGACTTTGGAGGTCCAATCATGCACTCGGCCGAACTGGGAATGAAGGGCAGTGCTCTCACTGACGAACCCAATGTTGAGACGATAGCGGTGCTCGGCGGGGGAAAGTCTGCCTACGATGCCGTCCATCTCGCCGGCAAGGCTGGTAAGAGAGTCGAATGGATCATCAGGAAATCCGGCAAGGGACCTGAATGGGTCTTCCCCGCCCATACCATGGGACCCCTCCAAGCGGTGCGAGAAAAGCTCCCGGCAAGGAGATTCGTCTCCTTCTTCAGTCCGTGTCTGTGGAATGACGGCTTCGGCTGGATCAGAAACTTCCTCCACTTCACCAAGCTCGGCAAGATCATCTCACAAGGCTTCTGGACCAATCTGCACAAGGCGACTCTGGACGACTGCGGCATGATGAAGGATGAGAGAACCAAGGTCTTGGAGCCGGAGCAGAGGTACGTTTTCTTTTTTTTTTATTGGTGTGTGCAAATCGGGAATTCTGCAGCACTGCTGACATGCCATAATACAGCCCCTTTTGGTACGGCACCGCGTCCGGAATCTACAGCTACGAAAAGGACATCTACGAGATGCTCAAGACCGGTCAAGTACGTGTTCACCGCGAAGACGTCCTCCGCCTGTCCAAAGGCGCCATCAATTTTGTCAGTGGCTTCTACATCAAAGCCGACGCTCTGGTCACCGCGACCGGCTTCTCCGCCAAGTCGACCCTCAAATTCATCCCAGACGCCATGCATGCCGACCTCGGCATCCCGTCGACCAGCTACAGCCAGGCGCAGCATAGCTTCTGGCAGGACCTGATCGACAAGGCCGACGCGACCCTCGCCTCCAAGTTCCCCCGTTTGGTCGCCGGACCGTTCAAATCACCCACTTCGAGCGTGATCCAGCCGTTCAATCCAGGCATGGATCGCGAGGCCAACTACACGCCCTTCCGGCTCTACCGGGCCATCGCGCCGCCGGGCCCCACTCGCGACGGCGACAACTCGCTCGCCTTCATCAGCATGTTCTCGAACCTGGCCAACACGCCGCGGTGCGAGCTACAATGTCTCTGGGCGTACGCGTACCTCAACCACAAGCTCGACATCGACCCGACCACGGTCTTCGACGAGACGGCCCTGATGGCGCAGTACGCAAAACACCGCGCGCCCTACGGCCACGGCCGATTCTTTCCCGACCTGGTCTTTGACCAGGTGCCGTACATGGACTTGCTCCTCCAGGACCTCAAGCTCAAGTACTGGCGAAAGGGAAACTTCTTCACGGAACTGTTCAGCCCCTATATGGCTAAGGACTACAAGGGGATCGTACAGGAATGGGTCCGCAAGAATTCGAGTTCGAAGAAGGACGAATCGTCAAAAGATTCAAGGACGAAAACCGAGGACGCTAGGGATCTAGAGCGAGAGCCGCTTCTGAACGGCAAGGCGGCGTGAGGATGCAGATCCGCCCAGCACTTCGGCGCCCGCGCGCTCTCTTCTCGGATTCGAATTACTACCTGAAATATCAACTCCCAATGGACCGGGCTGCCTTCGCTGTGCTCACTGCAATCTTACGCGACAAGGTCGCTGCAAGAGTATTCTAACCTTGCCTTTACCAATCTCAACACGACGGCATGAGAGAACGAATGGATATGCACGAGCACAAAAGGCGTAAGGCGCTGGGGCAATTGGGTTGTTTTTCTACTTCACTTTCTCCCGCCCTGCATCAGCCCTTCTCTCAACCGGACTTTCCACGCGTGGGCCAAATCATGTCATTTCAAGAGCTGTTATTTTCGATTCATGAGCGGGGATTGTTCCTCGAATTGGCAGGTGTTTTAGATTGTTTCAAGCAGGATCCTTGCAACTTTCGCTCTGGAGTCTTCAGGCTAGACTTTTTTCTACCCATTGCATTATGCGCACGAGACGCGCCGAGCGACTTGGGGCAGGAGACACAACGGGGGATGTACAGAAGCATGACAGTGAACGGAGGAGGGCTGGACGGTCTGCAGGTGGTGTGTGTGATCTTGCTTTAGATGATGGTCGCGATGGGCGCGCAAGCGGTAACGACATCAACGATGACAAATGAGCCAATGACCTGAATTGAATTGATCGAGAGATGCCCTTTTTTTCTCTCTCTCTCTTCTCCCAAGAACCAAGAGAGAGACAATAGTCCCATTTCCCAACCAGGCGATATTTAGATTTTGCGAAACCCCGGGGGGGGGGGGGGGGATTGACTCTTCATCATTCTGAGTTTGTCCGACCATGTCCATCAGCCACACGCCTTAGGACATTACACTATAACCCATGATTTCATCCCACCGGAACAAAACACTTTCAACGTACGAGTACGTACGGAGTAGATCAGAGGTTAGATTCTTCGTCCATATCAGAGAGAGAGAGACAAAGTAAGAGGCGAGCCAAGGGAGCCAAGGATGAGTAAGAAAACAATTAGACCAAGTCAGAGTAGCAGCAGCAAGTAAGTCAGAAAGGTAAGCTTTTTCTTTGATCAAACGGAGACAAGCCGGACGAGACAAACGTCGAGAATGAGTGAAGATCTCGGGACAGGAAGCACGGGTGAGGCAAGCGACGAGTTTGACGAGAGGGTGCAAAGGGTGAGAAAGTCCCGAAAGAGCAGGGCGAAGGATACATAATTATATTGAAATAAGGCCAGGAAGGCCCAGGGTGGGGAAAAGGGAAAACAAGCCGAACAGGGGAAGGGACTACTAACGAACGAGGGTGGAGGAAGGACAAAAGAACCAATCTCAAGGATTTAACAGGTAGAATGAATACCTAGTACTGATAATTTGTCTCCGTACTTCTGTATGCGTACATATTCGTAAGCAGCAGCGCTTGTTCCCGGGCCACCACAACTCTTAGGTCTCTCAACAAAATACATCCGATAGAGGATACACCCCAGTGCCGGATACAGTAAAAAACAAAGACAACGAAGTATAACAACATGACGATAACAGAACAGACAGACCTCCACGACACAGATACTGACGCGTGTAAACTCCTTGATTACCGTAGCAAAACAAGCCCACACCACACCTGCATATTACCACAAGGGTCAAACGAATCGAGAAGGAAAAAGGAAAGGCCGCTCACTCCCCCATCTTGCCGCATTGATGTCTTGTATCATACACCATCAGCATTCCAAGGTTTGAAGCTTGGCGTTCTCCCGAACCTCCTGTCCTAAGAAGCCTGTCGGCCCTGGTGCCAAGCGTATCTCATGTTCTTGTTGTCTGCGTGCACGGCATCAGAGCCGCCGACCAGGGTGGTGGAGGATTCTCTCGACGGCGAGTACGCGTATGTGGACCCAAAATCGTGGCCCTTGGCGTCCTTTGCGTAGCGGAGCTTGAAGTCGAAGGGTACGTCAGATTCGGAAGTCGAGTACGTCGACGAGGAGGAGCTGGAGCTGGCGGCACCGGTGCAGTACGGGTAGGTCAGGTTGAAGTCGTACCCCTTGCCGTCCTTCGCATAGCGGGCGTAGACGGTGTCGTGGCTGCCCTTGGGGATGGAAGGTTGTGTCGAGGACGAGGATTGAATGGAGGCACTGCTCGAGGACAGGCGGGAGAAGATGGATGGGCGCTTGGTGGTCGACATGTTTGGATTTGATGTGATAGGACAAAGGGGAAAACTAATGCTTTGCTTCTGTCTATATGGGCTTTGCAATTGAGTATTGGTCTCGTCTCCTGTGTTTGTTGTAGAATCTCATCCTCGACCAGAGGACGAAGAGGTATACTTATACCTTGAAGCCAGATACTTCATCTGAGATACACAGTAAGCCCCTCGTTTGGCTTTGCCGGCCTCACCGTCTTGGGCGCATCCATGATTTCCAATGATCTTCCACCACACTGTCTAGCCCGTGTCATGGTGTCTATGACATTCGGTGAGCCATACGAAGTACCGCGTGGCTGTGAGTAGCCACAGGTGCCAGGGCTGAGTCGGAACTGGAAAAACATCCAATCCGAACAGCCATCAGCAGGAAGCCATCTCACGGCGCCAACCACTATGACCGAAAGAGCAACCGTCTCCCGGGGACTGGATGGAGGGGCACATGTCGAATGATTGATTGAAGGCCAGGTCGAAAGGGTAAAGCGCTAATTGGGCCTCAGCCAGCCCCAAGGCAAGGTTAGCTGTACCCAGTGGTCTGGCACGGAATCGGGCACCCAGGGGTCTGGCTGAAAAGGATACATTGGACGCGATGGCGTTCCAGATTGTGCCCGTAACGAATCAACAGCAGGATCTTCCTGCATCTGTGACGCTCATGACTATTGCGGTAACCGTTAAGGTTCGGTTGCAGAAGGTTTGAGGGGCTGAGTGCAGCTGGAGTCTCCGATAAATACGAGATGGGAAAGTGGCTATTAGTGGCATGGCATGGCAGCACCACCAAACACCATCCCCAAAATGCCACAAGACGGCACGGCCAGCCTTTCCACTTTCGACGGTCCTCCAGCATCCGGTGGACATGCACCTACAAATCGGGCTCCTAGCTATTGGCTGCACCTGGCACAAGTTGGCTGTAATAATGGTAATAGGCCGTGCAATCTGTGATCCCGTCTTTGTGTACGTCGTCCTTGGAGACTGTGCTGGCGGTGTGTCAGGTAGCCACATGGAAGACCAAAAGTCCCTGGTCGCCGAGCGGATAGATGCAGCCAGACTCATGCTATTTGAAGTGTACTTCTGTATGTATCGTCGTAAAGATGGCATGATAGGACTCCAGGAGTCGACCAGTCTGTTAACCGCACTCAGGTACCGAAATCAGTATCGAGGGGCTTGCTTGAAGATTGGCACTGTCGTGAAATCCTTCTGGTTCCACAGGATCTCATTCTTCGGGCCAAGTTCAGCACCTTCGTCAGTGCTAGGCAACCCCGCCTTTTCATTCTCATCAACCTCGCGTTTCGATAGCCCCTTCCTATCTCTCGGAAGCCAGACTTTCGGAGTTTTCGAGGTCATCGCCGGTAGAAGATATGCATTTTGGACCTGCTCGTCGCTGTACGAGTTTAGCTCTTCTGATTCACCCTCGGGGTCCTGCAGCCATGGTCGAAGCGCCTCCTGTGAAGCGAAAATGCGAGGCTCGAGTAGACTGGCTAGTGGATCGAGTAAGATGGCCGGAACTTTTCCTGAGCCGAGCTTGTAGACCAATGATTGATCGGCCTGGTTATCTCTGAGGAGCGCCCTCTCCTCATCCTGGTCCTCGTTCGACAATATGTCGACTGGCATGTACTTTTCCAGAGGTGAAAGGTATTGGTTGACCGTCAGGTGGTAGATAGCCGTGACAACTAACAATACGGTTATAAGAGTTGAGGGGCCAGCCACCTTCTTGATCCCAAACAAACCGATCAAGCACAGTTCTGCCAGGTAGACACCAGTCATCAGGTGCTGCAGGCTCCTTGTGTAGCTTTCTCCTCGTGTCTCTGTTTTGACTTGAATCACGTAAAGGAGATTGTAGCGGTAGCCCAAATAGAATAGGAACAAGCCAATCGCGGCGAATCCCAACACTAGCGGTGCAATACACGAATAGGCGATGGCAATGACCGCCAAGTTTGTGAATTTGGGATAGACATTGAACCAGCTGATTCCCTTCATCTGCGAATAGGTGTTGAATTTCTGTCTCGGAGTCTTGTTCATGACGTAGTAGAAGAATAAGAACGAGAGGAGATCACTATAGTTCAAAACATTCTTTGACGCAGTGCCGAGCCCTTGGATGATGAAATAGGTCAGATAAAAGTTCGATGCCTTTGGGAGGTTCTTTGCGAGCAATTTTGGAACGGTCGTTGGCTCGTTGGCGACCTTGGTAGCCAAAGCGGCAGCCCCTGACGAAAACGTCGTGATTATGAAGACTTGAATCACTTGGAATGCGAAATACCACGTTTGAGCCCACTCGACTGCTGATTTGCTCGTTGGTTGGCCAGACAGTGTCGCCACATATTGGAAGAGGTACGGTACATAGGACACCACGGTGCTGAGTAGCAGGGGTGGCACTAGTCCTGTGAGCAGTCCGAGGATAGGATCCGGGAGATTATTGATGAATCGCAAGAAGCGGAATTTGTCCGTCAGGTAATTGATGTTGGAGATTGTACCAATAATACCGACTGGTATAGACCAGAAGATGATCGTTGCAACAGCAAGCGCTATAGCAATATAAGAATACGTAATGCGAAGTGATGGATCGAGGTTGAGGTTTTGCCAGATGACCTCTTTCGGCAAGATACCGATGTACTTTGGCTGTAATGTCAAAGGTGACGGGTGTCGCACTTGCTGAAACGCTTGATGCGCACTGACTTGGTCCTTGAATTCGACAAATATTGCTCCGGTTCTCTTACCAGGGGCGCTGGAGTCGGCCTGTCGAACTCTGTCCACATCCGAAATGAGAGCGGTGATGTCTTCTCTCAAACGGGAGATGCTGTCAATCTCTTCTCCAAGAAGGTACTTCGACTTATGCTTCGGTCGATGCACCCCATTAGCCGGCTTTGGTTGCTGGTTAGAGCTTGCATCGTCATCGCCTTGCGCATCATCTTTGCTACGGTTGGCATTCTTCAAGAGTTTCAGTTCCAACCCTTCCAGCTCATCAATCTTTTTGTCCCTCTTCGAAACCAGCTTTTCCAAGTTGCTCATGTTTGAGACAACCCAAGATCTCACAGCATTCTCACCAAAGTATCGACGAAGGTTTTCATCTTGAAGAGCCTCAGGGGGTACGCTCAAGTACAAAACCACTCGAGAAGACAGCCTGCTTGCGTTTACAGGAATTGTCTGGTAAGCTTGACGAAGGCCTATGACAAAGAGCCTTTCTCTGGTGATGAGAAGTAAAATAATTCCTGAAGTCAAATGTTAGGGTAGTTGAATGAGCGGAAGAAACATAACCCACCAAAGAAGACCCAAGCGACAACGGCATGCGCGTACAGCCGCCTCCCATCAGCGACGTTGCTGAAGGAAATCCTGTCCAACTGCGTCGCACCACCACCTCCTGTGGCGTTGACGGCAAAGAGAATTGGCCAAGTCAAGCAGCAGCCCACCACGCAAATGACGACAGTCAACCGCAGAAACCGCAGGAAGAGATACGCTTCCAACGAGGAGTGGCGTAAAACAAACTTATCGTCGAGAGCGCGGAAGTCATGCCACCAGGAGACCGACGAGTGACTCGATGAAGGAGTGCGATCCCTGGAGCTTGTTAGTGTCTCCCGCTCGAAACTTCCCCGAGGACTTACTTGTGGTTAATAGTCCGGAAATACGTCCTTGGTGCATAGATGTTCCGATACCTCGAGCGCACAGCCAGAAATGTCAATAAGAAAATGGCAGCTGTTATCGCTGTCGGGATAAGCGCAGCACCGATAGCAGCAAATGAGGAGGAGCCTTGGTTGCGATGTCCGCCAGAACCTGGTTCCTTGAGAGTGTGTTAGCTGTGTGGGCTTTGTAGAGCACGAATGCTCCCGGGAGCAAGAACAGTAGGCAGCCCTTCGTAATATCAGAAATTGCTCGAGCCAGGCGCTCCACCTTACTCAAACCTTCCAGCCACAAAAATAGGATACAAGGTAGTTGCAACATAGGTCGACGGAGGAATGATGAAAAACGACATTCTCAATAAAATCCATGTGGTTGGGCTTCGATGGACACCACTAACCTTCTCTTTCACGACGTCCATAATGGCTGTTCGAAGTCCTCCCTCCAGGCCAAAAGAAAAGAGCCTTAATGGATACCACGCATCTGGAGTGTATGCCTTTACGAGCAAAAGGCAACAACCTGCAAATGAAGGCTGTGAAGTTGAAGCTTGTCTTTGGATTGGGGTGACGAGTGCAGGTGGTGAAGAAGCAATGCAGGAACAATACGCAGGCTGAAATTTCACAGTGTATTCTGACGTCATGCCATCTTCCACACCACAGTTCAGCCACCATATCATCCTCTACACCTGCTGTACGCAACATATACTACTACCTAGGTAGGTAGTCTTTAAAACACTACAACGTGCGTCCGGTGCTGAGTACTAGACTCGCCGTATACTTCGCTACTCATACACTAGTCACAGAAAGGCGATACGAAGCTGCAAGGTCACAGAGAACGGTTGTATAATGTATACGAATATTAGTTCCTTGATGTCCATCCGGTGTTGCTCGAGTCCAACTCCACGCTCTTCATTATGGCGTACCAATGTGACCACGGTGTAAATGTTCAGAAGTTGCTTTTTATTCCTTCCGACCACTGAAACTCCTCTTCCAGCTAGACATCCGGCTTGAACTTTCTCCTGAAGGTGAGCTCGGAGACCCAGGTTCTTCGTCCTCGGCCATCGTCAAGCCTTGCATCGCACTTCCCATTGAAGTTGTCCTAGTAGGACTAACCGGTTCACCACCGGAAAATAGTCGCTCGCTGATCCGTCGGCTGAGACCGCTACCTTTTGCGTCGGGGTTGAAGGCAGGCCGCTGACCTTGGGGTTCAGGTGGCACGTGGTACTCCCGTCGAGGGCCGTCGACAGGTGCAATATCCTCAGCCATAGCGTCTTCATAGCTGGGTGGAGCGTCGTCAGGAAGATCTGATTGCTCATGCGGATTGTATGAGCCCACTGGAGCCGGATACGAGCTAATCTCAGACAAAGGCGTTGTCGGAGTCTCTAATGGGGTGACAGGTTGTGAAGACATCCCATTCAGCTCGGGTGGCCTCGGTGGGGACAGGTGTAAAGGAGCAGGCTGAGGACGAGGATTGTTGGCCATGGCCTGCAGCAGCTTCGGAGGAGGAGCTATGCCAGAGTACACCAAAACAGGTAGACGCAAAGGAAGGACCATAAGTTCTGGTCGTACACCACTCGCCATAGCATGTGCCAACCCCACTGTGACCTCTAGTTCATACCTCCGAGAGATGTTGCAGGTATCGAATGAAGGGCAGACAGTATTGGGGAGGGGGTAATCATCCCACAATCGAGAAGGAAGTTTCCACTCTTTTCGGCCTTTTTCGGTAGGGTTTCCAAGAGGCATGTTCATGTTCGCCTGTGACATCAATGGCCACTTTGTGGTCTCGGTTCTTTCCAGATCAAGAGCTCTGACATGGGTGTACCCTGTAAGTTCAATCTGCAGCATCTTGAGGAAGGCGGTGGCTGAGCTGTCATTGAGCTTCTCAACCAATATTCGCAGCGGCAGAGGTTCATTGCAGGTGATGATGGCGGGACTGGGAAGCCGGGCATCGACTTGAAAGGCGGGAGGCTCCTCCTCAGCGGATGTAGGAGTCGAAGACTTCCTACCGAAAAGGCCACCCATCTTTTTCTGCGACTCGGCCGGGTATCTTTGGAATTGTCTCTTTCGTCTTGCAAACGTCTCCTCATGACGGTTGAGAGGCCGAGGGGGCTCGATAGGCAGGAAATTGATATCGGCGATCTTTTTCACACATTAGACGTCCAATCAGCCAAGAAATACTGATGGCAGCATACCGCTCTGATATTCTCTTGGAAGAACTTGGGTCGGACGATTGTCGCCTTCACATAGTATTTGATTTCCGCTTCACCCGGGAAGCCACTCAATGAGGGCGGCAGTGTCTTCTTCACATGTCTTGCGGTGTCCGGTGCAAATTGAACATTCACATGACCAAGTCTGATATCTTTCAGGGCACTCGGGTTCCTTTGGCAGTCATTGTTGAATGGCAGCTGTCCACGATGGTTAGCCGCAGTTTCCGGTAGAACCCACCGGCAGTTTCTTGAGCGGTGCTAACCTTGAACTTGAACGGGTAGAGATATTGCCCGGCGAGGAGGGTGTACGCAGTGCCGCTACTTCTTTCTTGGACCTCGGGTGTTGGAAAGACGGTGATGACTTTATACAAAAGCTGGAGCCTGACGTGTGAGCCGAAGCTGCGGTGGACGGCAGCGATGCCTCTCACCAACCTTGTGCATTTCTAGCTCCGATCTCTTCTTATCCGAACGCTCGTTGTTCGGGAACTTGGGCACGGCGAGCCGAGTGCGACTCTCGCCCTCAAGCTTGACCGTGACTGCAGAGATGGTGGCATCGTTGGGGAGGATGAGGATAACGTTGCCCGAAACGAAATCGAGATTCGTGTAGCACCTCTGTTCGGGCTGATCAAACTGGATACGGACCGACATCGATCCCGCGTAGATCAGGCATCAGGGCGTTGAGGTATTCAATGGAGGAACAAGAAGCTGTGCGGGGTGGTAAGATGGGATATGACCATGATGTGTTGCGTGAGGAGCGGAGATGCGAACACGCCTTGCGAGGCTGAGCGGCGAGCGGCCAGAGGCGCAGGCGGAGGCACGAGACGGAGGCCCGGGATGGACGCAAGCAGCTAGTTCCGCGAGCAGGGCCCCGTCCAATCACAGTGACTGGCGGTGGCTGAGGCGGGCTGAGGCGGGGCAAGCGGAGAAACAGGATTTTCCCGGCCTAGACTTCTCTCTCTGCCAGTGACTCTCTGCCACTGGCATGTGCGTCCATCTTCATCCAGTACCGGAGGTAGATTTGCTGACAGCGTCCGGGAACAAGGTGCAAAAACACGGTGGATGCTTCGAACAAACCTTTTAATGTAATTGAACCATCCCTCTTCCTGGTCCTCGGTTGTCATGCGCCGAGACCACAACATGTACCATCTCGGATGAAACCAGCCCACACAGCGCGCAAAGCAGCCAAGGCTCGCGAAGCCATCAAGCACACCAAGACATTCTCCGGCTGCTGGACCTGTCGCGACCGCCATGTGAAATGTGACGAGGCAAGGCCCCATTGTGCCCGATGTACCAAAGGCGGATTCCAATGCCTGGGGTACGGCATCAAGCTCGTCTGGGTCGACCCGGACAGTCAAGAACGCGAGCAGAACATCAGGCGCGTCATTGGCGCACCCACCGTCTATGACGATGGATCGAATTTTATGAGTGTCGACGTCCACGAGGCATTGGAGGAAATAGAAAGTCTCGCGCCAGGAGCTGGATGCCTGTCGTCAGGCCCATTTTCCGTCTTTCCACTGCAAAGATTTGAAATGGGACACGTCAACCTATCTCGTGGACCAGAACCACCGGAGCTTCCAAATCGTGAAAGACGAGAGTCGGTCTCGTTACCAGATCGGACGGAGGAGATCTTAGAGGACAATGGAGATGAGCTGATAGAAGCCGTCATTTCTCCATCCACAGTCCATCCCCGAACTCCATCGTATGCCCCGGACACATCTACACAGTGGCCATCAAGCCCTGCTCTACCGCTAACCATACGCCACCTCGACCTTCTACCCCGGCCCGCCGAGCAACGAGACCTCATCCACCATTGGACAAACTTCGTCTGCTGGCACCTCGTTCCCGTGGACCGGCCAGACAACCCATTCCGCAGCGTCTTCACGCCCATGGCTCTTGCGGGCCTCGCATCGCCGTCGAACCAGTCCAACGGACAGATTGCGCTTTTCCACGCGCTGTGCGCCACCTCGGCGTTCAGCCGCGGGCAACTCCTCAACGGAGACAGCAAGAACCTCACACTGGCGATGAAGCATTACAATCTGGCAATCATGCACCTGCGCCATAGCCTAGTGAATCTCAAGGATGAGGATCACGACCTCGGTCAGGTCCATCTTCAACGGGGTTCCATTCTCGCAACCATCACCATGTTCTCGGCAATGGACATGATCACCGGCCGCTCAAGCGAATGGCGTACGCATCTGCAAGGCGGAGCCTCCTGGCTGTCCACTATAGAAAAGAGCGAGTGGGACCGCGACAAATCTTCCTCGATGGTCTACCAAGGTTACCTTGCGATTGCGGCACTGTGTAATATCAATCTGCCCTCCACCATCGATGTCGAATCCGAAAATTTTCTGGGCGACGAGAGAAACTATGTGCTCGATCGGTTCTTCGGTCTTACCCGTCCGATACTGAAGCATATCGTCATGATGAATAGCCTCATTAAGCGCATCTCTACCACAGCTTCCGAGCCCCCAACTGCCACAATGTTGGATGATCTGGAGACTCAAATATACGCCCAGACACCGTCGAATCTTGACCTCTCAGGCCTTCCACCTGTTGCTCAATCCCTAACCCTGCACCACGCCTACGTCTTCTACTATGCCTCTATAATATACTTCCTCCGCGCCGTGCGGCGCCTTCCCCCACAAATCCCCTGCATCCAGAATATGGTTTCGAAAGCCCTCACGCACCTCGAAGATATAGAAAGCCTTGGGGGCGACAGCATAGGCTGTACATTAGTGTGGCCGCCGTTCATTGTGGCGTGTGAATGCTTGAGTGAGGAGATGCAGGAGAGGATGCTTAAGTGGTATAGGGTGAAAAGAAGGCATGGATTCATGAACCTGGAGATATCCAAGGACATTGCGCGAGAATTGTGGCGGAGACGGCAGCTGGCGAGTGAGGGAGCTGCAGCGAACGTTGATGTGCAGTGGCAGGATGTCTTAAGCGAGATGAAGATGGATATTGTCCTTGCCTGATTGAGCACATCAAGCCGTCCAGCTGGAGAGAATGGGGGCGATAAAGCAAGGATCGGGATTTCGTCTCGTCAAGCGAGAGGGTTGTTGGGATTGATGTCAGGGTTCGAATTGAACGGGAGTGAAGAGTCGGACGAAAGGGGATGTCTGAACCGCGAGTCGAGCCGCTGAAGCAGCACGTTTATCGACTCCGCGAGTACCCTCTCGACGAACTCTTGCTCCCAAGGCGTGGTGGTCACAACGCCGAACATCCTTTGGTTGATCTCTGACGCTAGAACTTCTCGCCCTTCGCGCTCAAAGAAGGCGATGAAGTCTTGCACTGTGTCCGCATGCGTGCTGTCAACGTACGGATCCAGGGGCAATGGCGAGTTCGGGAACAGGACTTTATATATGCCGAACCACGCGTCCGAGCGATTCCGACCCATTTCACGCCTTTTAATTGCTGTCAGTTGATCTTGAGTCATCTTTTCTTTGAAGGGCGAGATCCGTGGTTGACAAGATCTCTCCACAATGTGGGCATCCAAGACCTCTTTTGAATCAAAGACTGCGAAGCAGGTGGGGCAGTGGTGTTCGGGCTGACGATGTACACGATACAAATGCTGCTTCAGGCGAGCAATGTCTCTCAAAAAACAACTTGAACATCCTCGATAATTCTGTTCAAGCGCATTGCGTTCAGAATATCGAGAAAGGTCAAATTTCGAGTATGGGCAAGCCAGGAGCTTCGTGTCGGTACAGGTCGGCGATCCACCGCGCGCCCTGGGAACTTTGCTGCGTCTCGACCCTTCTCCTTCCTCATCCGGATACAGTCTCTTCCGCTGAGCGTTCTGACTTGATGTGGACGTGGTGGAAAAAAGTGCGGTTCCATTCGATTGACTAGACATGCTCGGGGTAGAGCTTGTCTGGGACGACTGTTCGGCACCATCTCTAGGCGCATCCGTCCGTTCAAGATAAAGGGCAACAAGAAGTGCAGCGAGCACAGCTAGCTGTGCTGCCGAGGTGGGTGAATGCATAGAAGTCGCCAAAACAACATAATTGTCACCGGCAACAAAGGATGCTTCTCCGTCTGATTCGAACCAAGGTGAATTCGACGAGCTCGAAAAGGACAGAGGGAGAGACGAAGGCTGTGCGGTTGGGACGAAAATATTATCCTGCTGTGAATTGGCTGCTGCCCACCGTCCTAGATATGAAGCGACCGCATGTTCATCATTGTTCTGGACCTTGCCGAGGGCGAGCCACCTGTCGACGCTTTTGGCCACATGGTTCGTTAGCTGGTCGCCCGTCGAAATGTTCACACCGAGCTTCACTTACGGCGCCTTCGCTAAGTGGTCTTCGGCAGTAGATCTTTCATCGCCTAATGCGCTCCGTTCAGGCGGCTCTTGCCCAGGCTCGGGACTGGTAGATTGTGGAAAGGATGGATCCGCGTCGACTTGAAATGTACAATCGGCATGTACTAACTTCATGTGTCTGTCGTACTGTGCCTTGAGAAAGTACTTACATGAACAGCCTGGCACAGGACAACAGTATATATAGTTGGCTCTGGATTTTCGAGTCTCCGATTTTGTTGCCTTGATCGAACGAGGCTGAGATGGATGAGGAGTCGCTTGGAGCTCGTCCAATGATACTTCCAAGCCTTCTTCGTGGAGCTGTTCTTCACCCTGGATTTCAACGGAGGCATCAGTTCTGTGATATGCCGAATCAATGCTCGGACCATCAGAATACGACCGAAGTTCTCCACCCTGCACAAGGTTTTCCCTGCCCGGAGGTGTAATAACAGGAAGTAGAACAAGGTCGTCTGGCCCTGCCAAAAAATGGTCGGGTCCGGTCCAGTCTTCGCCAGGAAAAGTAATAAGGTCGTCTGGCTCTGTCAAACAAGGATTTAGTCCGGTGAAGTGCCAGCCAAATTCCGACAAAGAGAATTCTTCTAAATCCGAAAATTCGTCTGGACCTGCCACGGAAGAGTTCTCTTTGGTACGTTCCATCCCATCGAGGTCTTCAACACTCCTCAACACTCCTCAACACAGACTCAATATACCTGTTGACGGACTAGCCTCTTGCTTTGTACATATCTGGCAAGATGAGCTGATCAAGGAGACATCGAGGGGAAGCTCACGACTGGGACGAGCTTTTAATGATATTCGCATGAGGGCTGCCCTTGATTCTCAGCGTCCGCTTCTGGACGAGCTAAGTTCACACCGTTGTGCATACTGACTGCGCCGCCCATCCCAAGGTGTGCATGTGGGATATGCCGACAGCCAATCGCGCAGCGGCGAAAAAAAGGACAGCAGCCAGAGAGGACCATTCCGGCCAGAGGATGGGATCACCAGCGTGAGATGAAGAATCAAGCGAAGACTCCAACATTGCTGTCCAAGCGGTGAGGAAAGGGTGTCGATTGGCTCGACAGAGAAAGGGAAGGGCGTCGAGTCGTCGACAAGTCCACGTCATAGAAATGATGTGTCTGACTATCCAGCACAGCACAAGTTGATGTGACAAGTTCTGGTCAGACGAAAGAATACTTTGGGCAGCGACCCTTCATCTGTTTAACCGTCAGTAAATATTGCACGAGCCCAAAGAAAGCGAAGCGCCGGGCTTACTTCCTCATTGTCAATATTTCCGTCTGTCGAGTGTCTTCGAGAGAGCTTCCTCTTCTTGTCGTCGCGTGGGAGAAGGTGCACCTTGAAAAGCACGAAACGTTGCAATAATGATACACGTGTCAGAATTGCCCGACGGGCCATAAGATTTCATTCTGCTGTTACTTCGATTGCGCCCTCAATAGAGCCGTATCTTTTCCTTTCGTGTTTTGCGCAACATGTATCACCTTGTCCGCTCTCTGTACCTCTACGCAACTAGCAAGCCAGGTAAGCTCTGCCAGACCGCAGGCTACATCTTATCAACAAGGCTGACCCTGACCCGCCTGGTATTTAGAGTACTCCATCATCCTCCTAGGCCTCGACAATGCCGGCAAAACAACCCTTCTCTCACAGATAAAAGCGCTTTTCAACACCACCGCCGACCCGGTCGCCGGCCAGACGGGCGATGCGCCTGCCTCGGACACCGCAGGCAACACCGTGCCCACAGTCGGTCAAAATGTTGCAACCATTGACCTGCCGGAGATGTACTTGAAGATCTGGGATGTGGGTGGACAAATGAGTCTAAGGAAGCTATGGACGAGCTACTACAGAAGTGCGCATGCGGTCGTGTTTGTGGTGGACAGCACTGACCTCGGGAATGGAGAGATTGACGAGGCCCCAAGGACGCCCGGGTGGCATGGGCGCAAGAAGAGCTATATCGGGAAGGGTGGTGATGAAGACGAGCCACAGACACCATGGACTCCGATGACGCCCATGACACCAGGGTATTTCTCGTCAGGGTTGGCTCAAGGTCGACTAGACGAATGTCGCGCTGTTCTAGAAAGCGTGCTCGAAAACGACGACACTGCTGGGATCCCGATCTTGATTCTGGCCAACAAACAGGATAGAGAAGACTGCCTCGAGGTCGTCAGGATCAAAGAAGGCTTCGTGAAGAAAGTGTTCGAAGGTGAGAAGGGAGGAATGGTTCGAGATAGCCGCGTCCTGCCAGTGAGCGCTCTGAAAGGGACAGGAGTCAAAGAGGCTGTCGAATGGGTCAAAAGTCGGGTTGTGTGGAACAAAGAAAGCCGGCCACCGATCATGAGGTGAACATTGCTATCTGTGGTCCATGACCAGCGCCATCTGCTGCGAAAGTCTCCCAGCTACCAACGATGATGCTGGTCCGGGAAGACCCAGAACGGTATACACTCTTCCGTCAAAGATGCATCAAGCCACTCAGGCACCCAGGGCCTCGACCTTCAGCAAGGCAGCGGCAGTGTCCCTGACAGTCACTTCCAAGGCTGTCCACTGGAACTGGAACACTTCATCTGCATCCTTCGTATCGAGCCTCGGAAGCGTCAAAGCTGAAGCATCATCATTATCCTCGCCAATCCGATCTGAGATATTCAACACGGACTCCTTCCGCAGTACATCGGCAATCTGATTGAAGATGATAGGGTGTCCGACCACAAACCGCTTGTTCGCTGCCCCGGGGGTCGTGAGTGCGAGAATTTGGACTTTCGCAAGATCGCGAACATCAATCTACACCCAAGCCCTATATCAGCATTGTTGCTCCAGAAGAGCCGCGTGAATAGCAGCCGTGCAAAAGGAGGATTGTACTTACACACCCGGGGGACGCCGTCGCCGGCACCTTGCCGCTCTCACTCTTCTTGCTGTTCATGATGGCATAAATCAAGCCATTGCTGAAATTGATCTTCTCTACTCCAGCCACTTTCTGCAACATTGGCCCAAAAATCAAGGGCGGCATGAAGTTGGTCACTGTGAAGGAAGGATTCTCTTCTTCTACGAACTTCCACAAGGCTTGTTCGGCGAGCTTTTTACCAACGCAGTACGAGACCTGGAGCAATGAAAGTGGTGGTTTTAGCGAGTTTACTGGAAACCGGGCCATTCACCGACTCTTGAAGACCACTCCACTGAGTCTGACGAGACCCTTTGACCGCGTGGAACGAACATTCAGAGAGAACGCGGAGAAATAATTACTCACATAATTACTCTGCGCCTTGACAGCATCCTCCCGGCCTAAGGGCAGCCACTCTTTGCTAGAGAAGACTCTCCTCTTGATATCCTCCTGGTCGCCGAGCGTGATCGAATTGAGACTCCCCGTGACACTCACGGCTTTCACATTCTTCCCGTACGTCTTTGCGCTGCGGAGCAAACCCAGATTTCCCAACACGTTGGGCTTCTCGAAGCACTCTTCGAAGCTGGTCCCGGGTGGCAGATCGACCATGGGCGCCGCGACGTGGACAATGTATTCTATGTCAGGATGTGTCTGGAAGACAGAGTCGAAGGCCCCCGGGACGGTGAAGTCGGGGATTGTGTGGCTGGTGATCCTCGACGCGGGCCAGGATGGGTTACTCGCGAGCAGCGACGCGGCCGACGAAGGGGAGCGCACGGCCAGAATGACATTGTGGTTCTGGGCCAGGAGCTCATCCAGGACTGTGGCTCCGACGAAGCCTGTTCCCCCAGTTAAGAGCGTGGTGCTGGCGTGCATGGCCGATGGTAATTGGGGCTATGCGAATTCAGGTGGACTGAAACCTCAAGCTTGAGGCTGGGATAGTTATGAAAAATGAAGGAAAGGCGCACAGAGGAAGATATCGAACATGCTTCTGTTCAACTCGAACATCTAACACCTACTTATACTGCTGATTTGATTCAGTCATCCTCTGGACATGCTTTACCATTGTGGACTTCCCTGCCGTGGACCCGCCCTAGCATTTCTCAGCACGGAATACCTATCAAAACTCATATCAACCATCTTGAAAATGGGGCGCGGCCAAGACAAAGCACAGCACTATCGATTTGCTGGCCCCAAGCAGTGGTACATGCGGGCGTTTCGAGAACCTGGCTCAGGGTGCAAAGGCAAGCCAATGCCATGCGGATGTGCTTTGTCAGCCTGTTGGGTGGCTCTTATTGGTCCATTTCTCGATTAGGCAGGACGAGGTTGCCGTATGAGGATGGGAATAATGAGGGATGCCCAAGTCTTGCAAATCATCGTTGTTCTGGAATCGCAGGATTTCTTCACAGCAGGCTTGCATTTCCCGATAATTGAACTTCCTGCAGAAGCTCCAGTCATACCCAGCGTTCCTGGTGCTTATCAAAGCCGATGCATTGCAAATCGATGTTCATTTGATTGAGCATCATCTCCATCGTGAAGCACTGTTAATCGATGCAAAATTAGTGCGCACAAGAGGAGAGGGTACCCGACCTTTTGACTTACGCTCTCTTCGGGCTCGGCCTCGCTCTCACAATCCGCAACTTCTGCCTGGTCGATTTCCTTCGCCTCTCCTTGACAATCGTCGTCCTCGTCGGTGCCCGCACTCATGCGTGCGAATGCCTCTCTATCATCATCGTCCCTCCACAGCCGTGACTCCTCCTTAAGCTGTCGCTGCCATTGGGCAACACCTCCCATCCGGTCAATCCTCTCTTTGGCATCAGCAAAAAGCTCTTCTGCAGCATCTTGAGCGACCGTACGCCATCGGGAAATCAGAGGCGGCAGTTCCGCATTTTGCTTTGACCCTTCAATCTGAAGTGCTTCCTCTGCCGTTTGAAGAGAGTGGCGTAGTTGAGTTAGCCGAATGGACAATGCAGTGTGCTGCTTCTGGAGATCTCGCAATGCGGAGTCGGCCGGCGCGAGTTGGGAAGAAAATCGCGGGATGGATGCGATTTGAGGAGATGATCGGATGTATGAGCTTTTGTCTGTCGATGAAGGTTGAAGGTTGGAAGGAACCTCAGCAGCTGGAGCCTGAATGTGAGCTTGTTCAGCAGATGGCTGAGGCTGAGGCTGAGGGTTAGTTGAGCGAAGCGGTGAGCGAAAAGGTTTATTCAAAAACCCGCCAGGTTGATGCAGCTTTCTTCTCTTCGCGGGATGCATTTCGATTCCCAACATGGAGACTACAAAGTACCCTTTTTCATTATCGTTCTTAAAGTGCCATCACCACCGCCTTGACCATGACGAATTTTTGTGGACGGAAGACCCGGAGACAGGCAGAGGAGTGGGCGTTTGATGACCCAACAGGCAACTGCTCGGCGATGATGTGGGAAACATTAGTCGATTACAAGGCGACTTGATGGTGGCCAGGCTCAAGAGATACGGCGACCAAGATTTTCGGTGGATTGCCTCTTACGTCGGATTGACCAAGGTGACCCGAGAGTGAATGTGGGTGACTGGCGAAGGAGAGAGCATCGCGAGAGGGAGGCAAAAAGCTAAAGTGGCCGCAGGTTGCAGGAGTGGCACGAGTGGATTGACTGCCACTTTGACTGCCACTTTGACTGCCACTTTGACTGCGCAAGTGATAGAAGCCGCGCTACCGTATGCGGCTAGCGCGTCCAGGCGTTTTTGCTCCTGACTAAAAAAAGCAAGCGGCCAGGCGGGGCGCTGCACGGATGGGCCACCTGAATCACGGTTCTGTCTGACAGCGCCAATTGCAGCCTCCAGGGTATTAAATGCTGCGCCGAGACTTCAAATGACCCCATGATGTCGCCCAATGCGGGTTCTCGCAACACCCAAAGCGAGAAACCCTGGTCGCTTCATCCTTCTCTTCTCTCAGAGCATCCTCCGAGTCGCGCGCCGTGAGCAGGCTCAGTAGGGCGGTTTGCTGCTCGCCGCCTCCCGTTTCTGCCGTCACACGCGCCTCTCAAACCCTTCAGCCCTCTCACCTTTCTCTTGCGCTCCCCAGATCTGATCTGAGCCAACCCAAACCCAAACCCATACCCAGCACCATGCAAAAATCCCAAGCCATGCCATCCAGAATGATCCGGCCACTTACACACAAAATCACACGCCAGGTCCAGCTCCAGCACCGTCTTTGTCTCATCCCCTTCAACTCTCATGCCCACCTCATCTTCACTTTTTCTAATCACCCTTTCTACCCATCAACCTGCACTCAACCACCATGACCACTCGTCACCAGCCTAATCCACCCTTACCAACACCACACTACTAAGTTGACCACAATAATAATACCCTCGCACCTCAGCTTCACGCACAGGCAAATTATCTCAGCCACCTGCCACCTGCCGCCTACCGCCAGCACAAGCCTTACCAAAGCTGAACCCGCTGACTGTGCACACCTCAACAATCCCGCCTCCCTACCGAAGACCTCGCAATCGTTTTCACTTCAACTCCCTGGATAATACCCGTCAATGACCATGTCTTCCACAAGTACAACGGGTCGCTCACCCTCGGCCACGGCCAAAGCGGACAAGAATAAAAAGAAAGAGAAGATAGTAACACTCAAGCTGTCACCAAAAATCCTGCATCGCTTCGAGGAGCCTTCGGCCAAATCAGAAGAGCAGTCCACGGCCTCAGCAGCGTCGTCTCCCCCGGCTGCAGTCGAGGAAACTTCAACCCTGAAAGTCCCCGAGGTAAATGACAATGCATCCGAGGCCACCTCCACCCCAGCTCCCACGCCGGCCGATGCAGCCGATACCTCTAATGGCGATGGCTCGAAGAAACGCAAAGGAGGCCCGCTGGCAGGCACCAAGAGAAATCTAGGACAAATGTCTGAAGTGAACGGGCTACCAAGGCCCCGAGGCAAGCCTGGCCCCAAAAAGAAACCCAGACTGTAAGTATACACGACCTCCGTTGCAGAACTCTTACGCCGTCTTCTCGTACACATTACTGACTCTCCGCCTCTAGTGATGACGGCACCATCGATCATGGCGGCATGAAAGGCTCGACCCCGGTTGGCATCAATGCTGGACACAAGCTGGGCCCCAAGGCCAATCAAGGTGCCATCAACGCGGGCCTTCGTGCCCTCGACCGTTCTGGCGCACCCTGTCGCAAATGGAGCAAAAAGCCATTCACTCTCAAGAGTTTCACTGGGGTGGTATGGGAGCTTGCTTCATGGCGAGGCCAGGAGAGACCACAGGCGCCCAATGGTGAAGAGTCCAGCGATAACAACCAGGTCTCCCAACAGGGGTCCAGCGACGTTAAACCAAACGAGAGTGATGTCGCCATGGATAGCAATGCCGGCGACCAAGCAGATACCATGCTCATGTCGACGCCCGCCGCCAGTTCTCCGGCGCCGATGCCACCTCCATCAGCAGCCATTGCTGCCCAAGGTTGATTATTCGTATCATACACGGCCGCTGATTGTCAGAAGCCAAAAGTCTTACCGCTTAACCGCTTCTGACGCGGCAAAATTTGTCGGCGAAGTGGAATACATCTTGTCACATTCCAAAAAGTTGGGAGCATTTTGGGTCCCTTCATTGCCATAATGCTAGAGCCGGTAGAGCTCAGATTGGCACTGATTACATATGTGGTTCCCCATACAGCATGGCGTTTCCGGATCATGGGTCTATTTCAGTGCTGGTCATCTGCCTGCAGAAAGGAGCATTTACGAATTGCAGGAGGCTTGTACTACAACAAACAGGGCGTTATGTCCTCGGTCACGGTTCTTTCTGGTGGCAGGTCTCGAGGAAATGAAAAGGGTTTCAGGTTGATCCATTGGTACATTTCTCTTGCTGCGGTCTGTATGAATAGACGAGAATGAAGAACAATACAGTGATCCAGTCCTAAATATTTGTCTCCAATGGTGGAATAGTGCTGTGGTGCCAGTTATAATCGTGGCTGGCGTGTGCTTGATCTGGTGCTGTTGTGGTCGAGGCGGCCCCCGCAACTGCTTTAACTAGCAGAAGCCAGTTGCCACCCAACTACTACTAACAGCCGCCCCATATTAGCACCAGCATTGCATCAGTGACCTCCCGCGGAACCCATATCAGCACGATAACGGCGTCCGCAATGTTTTTTGACCTCTTCTCACAGGATACCGGGAGATTCAGTCCGTGAAAACGCCATTGCTTTGAGTGCGAACGGAAGGAGATGGGCATGCCTTGAGCGGATTCGTGTGCGCGCTTTCTCACGTCTGACTTGCAGACTAGAAGACCTTCAGCAAACTCACCGACCGCACCGCACCACACCCACCGCGTGACCCCTTCACCGAATCCCTCCTCTCGGTCTCTACGAAGGCGGCGATTTACCATCCCCGTCTATTGCACCCTTCGCTCTGGACCACGATGACCGACGGCACTGGGTCGGGCAGTAACAGCCGGTCGAATCAGTTTGGGGGTGGTAATGTGCCTCGACGATTGTCGTATGCTTCTGTTGCCTCAGGCGCAACTGCTCAAACGCTTCACCACCCGAGTCGATCGGGTGCGTTTTCACATCTCGTTTCCTCGACACCCAGCAGCTCGTACCCTCCTCAGTATCAACCAGAGCAACAATATCAAAGACGACATTCGGAGCAAGACCAAGAGAGTCTCGGAGTCAACCACTGGCGGAAGCCAACACCCCTACCTTCATATTCACGAAAGTTTGCCAATCTACCCAATCTCGGCACGAATGCGATGTCTCCCAATCCGTTCTTCATCCCCTCTTATCTACGACATTCTCGATACATGGCAAAGTTGGAGGCAGCCCACAAGGCCAAGGTGAAGAAAGAGCGTGAACAGCCATCTGGAGGACCGTCCGCCCTCACCTCATTCTCCACAAGTGTTGGAAATACAAGACTAGCGCCTTCGCATCGTGGCATGACCTACGATATCATCGAAAGCAATCCCCCTAAAGAAGAAGAGGTGTTACCTCCGCTGCCTTCCAGATGGAGCGAGCATGACAAATACCCAGGTTTGGATATAATCGATGGTCAAGACCTGAAATACAGCGGATCTGCAAGCAAGGCCGAGCTTGAAGCAGCGTCTGTTAGAACAGATCATGCAATGCCCCTTGCGTGTGGGATATACTATTTTGAGGTGGAAATCAAACAGAAGAGCAAGGACACAGCGATCGCCGTTGGGTTTTCCACAAGTGAAGCCTCACTTGAGCGGTTACCGGGCTGGGAGACACAATCCTGGGGATATCATGGGGATGATGGAAAGATGTTTTTTGGGGAGCATTCAGGCCGTAGCTACGGCCCAACCTTTGGCACAGGCGATGTCATTGGGTGTGGAATCAACTTCAACACTTGTCAGGCCTTCTTCACCAAGAATGGACAGGACCTCGGTGTATGTTTCCGGGAACTCAAAAAGGACGTGAAACTGTACCCCACGATTGGCATGAAAAAGCACTCTGGCGCATTATTGGCAGGCAACTTCGGTCAGCGGCCTTTTGTCTTTGACATCGATGATAAGATGCTGTCTGAAAAGGCGAACGTGTCAAGAGAGATTGCAAAGGCCAAAATCACGTCGTTACGGCCGCAACGGGACGAGAACACCCTCATTCAGGACTTGGTGGCGCATTTCCTAGCCCACGACGGCTATGTTGAAACAGCCAAGGCGTTTACAGAGGAAATGAGAAGAGAGAAGCAATCATTGAATAATGCTCTTCCTTCAAATACGTCGACACCGCGCGAACGGGACGACACCGACGCGGTACACCGACAACGTGAGTTCAGTTGTATCCTTCTACTGACCCTGATGCTGACCAATATAGGGATACGACGTGCAATCCTTTCTGGAGACATCGACCAAGCTCTTGAAATCACTCATGCACAATTTCCTACTGTCCTAGCAGAGAACCCCGACATTGTTTTCCGACTAAAATGTCGCAAATGGATCGAACTTATTGGCAAGTCGACCGAACTCGATACATCGAAACCCTTGACTGCACATGAACGGAAGCCTAGTACCAGACTGGAAAACGCTTCTGGAGTGGATGATGATTTCGTTCAAGACATGGAACTTGATGAGCAGCCGAACGGTGACAGTCGGGCCAATGGCGTGGGCAAGTCGCGGGCTAATGACGGTGCTTTGCAACACGATCAGCTGCTCAATGAGGCGATGTTGTACGGCCAAGAACTGCATAGAGAATTCCGGGACGAAGATGGGGACTACGCGAAAGCATTGCGGGATATTTTCAGCCTGGTGGCATACGACGACCCTAGAGGCAGTGTGAATGGACATCTCTTGGATCCCGCCGGCAGAGTCACGGTTGCAGAGGAGCTGAATTCTGCCATTCTAGGTATGTGCTCTTCCTCAGCTATGTCTGTACTCACTGACACCTGGCAGTCTCACTTGGGCGTTCACCTTCTGCTGCCTTGGAGACAGCGTGGAAGCAGACAGAAGCCTTGATCGATATCCTCAGTGAAGAAGGGGGCCCTGCTGCTTTTGTGAATCTCAAAGCCACGTTCTCGTCTTGACCGACGATGACGACGAAGGTGATTTCCTGTCATTGAACCATCTGATGGGAGGCTCATGTGGTCATGCGGCTCTACTGGATCATCTCGCCAGCGGCTGGAGAGGGTTGAGCGGAATGTCTCCATGCTCTATGCTTCGTCATTCAATGGAGTTTTGTTGGCGAGCAACGGTCAGTTCATGGCAATAGGGCGCTGACGGCTTGGGGGACACTGGAATAGTTTCTACCGCTTCACAGTGGAACAACGAATCCCATGGCGCTGGGGCAGGGAATATACACACCACCTGTATGCAATGTGTAGCTAGAGAAGAGGGAGGTCCTTGCAGCCTCGAATGACTGCCATTCTGAGTAAAACTTGAAGACTGTGTCTTTGCTTGTCGTGTCTGAACCTTGCTTTACACCTCGTACTTGATACAAGGCAGACCGACCGAGCGTCTTTTGTTGTTTTTGTGGCAGTGTTGCAACGGTTTGAACTACAGGGAGGGTGGTACTACCTTATCACCCTCAACTCCCAAACACAAACTTGGCGGCAGAGAACACCCATCGACATAGCCCAGCCATGGATTGCGCGAGAGGTATTAGAGTACAAAGTACAAGGACGCGTGGTACCTCGTCATAAGTTGAGGCTTATCCAACAAGCAACCTCTTACACCCCAGCGGCCGCGGTTCTAAGTTCCGCGACTTTACCCTCGAGCACGCATCCCAAAGCTCTCTCCAACGCAAGCACAAAGGCAACTTGGACCCGTGCCTCTTTTTGGTCTGTGACGAGCTCTGCCGGTGCCTCGTCCAGTCTGCTCTGTTGGAGGCCCATGTGCCCCCGGATCTGATCCCAATCCAGCTCGTTGACGAGGAGGTTGCGCAATGCCTCTGCGTCGTCGACGGGGACTCCGATTCTTCTGACCGCATCCATGGCCTTTGAATCCGCAAACGGCCAAAGCGCGTGCCCCCACCCGTCCACACATTGGACTCTTCGACAGAAGATCTCTCCGCCCGTCACGGCCAGGCCGGGGACGGTCGATTTGATGTGCTCGATCACACCGTGGAAACCGTCGTCGTTGGCCTCCTCGGCCAGTTTGAACATTGTCTCGGATTTAGCGTACAGTTCAGCGGTGCGGAAGATGTAGGACGCGGTCTTTTGGCGGTGCTGGGTCCGCGCGGCTTCGAGGGCTTCCCACACCCGCTTCTGCCCAGCGGAGACTATCCTCTCGGGGGTGGTCAGGTTGAAAGGGGGATTGAGTAAAGTGCGAATGCTTCTCATGCCGAGAGTGTGCGAGAGGGGCTTGGAGAGCATATGCGTGCAGAGCAAATGCTCGAAGGGCGTAAAATCGGACGGAGATGTTAGTGAGTATGACTTGTACTCCTTCTCCTTGGACTTTTTGGCGACGTCTTCAAGTTCGTCCTCAGGGAAGCAATACGGCATCGCTGAGGGAGAGAGCAGGAATTTGAGAAGTTGCTCTGCGGAGGCAGGGTTATTCTCTGTGTTGTTGCGAGGTGAAGTGCGTGTTCCCTGTCGTCGTGGTGCCTTAGTGTCTGCTGCTTCGGATTTGGAGGTATTGGTTGGCGGATCTTTGCGCTTCTGGCCGGCATGGGCAGAGTCTCCTTCTGGCTCAGGCTTTTGCTCTGTCTCTGTCTCATTCTCATTTTCTTTCTTTCCTCCAGAGTCGCCATCGGCATCGGCATCGACGTCAGAATATGGTTCTGGTTCTTCGAGCGCAGTGGCGTTGTTCTCCTGTTCGGCCTCTTCCTCAGCCTGCTTCTCCTTACGTGCCATTTCCTGTGAAGTCGAATAAGTCTATACTGTAGGTCACGTCAATGGGTGGTTAACGCGTAGGGAGGAGAAAGCACAGAGTGGCCACGTAGACGGATGCAAATGCAGAGGCGATAACGAGTGCCCTCTCTTCTTCCCGCAGGAGGTCTATTCGCTTCTGAGAAGCTAGCATCTTGTATCTCACTTCCAGCATTTCGTTGTCAGGAGTGGCCAGGACAACGATCGGAAAAGTCATGACGTATAGGAGAAGAGATCTGGGGGAAGTTTCCTCGTTCATTCTTAAAAGGCTGAGCGGAGCGCCAATTGAATCATCGAGTTCGAGACGCCAGAGAGAGCCTCTTCTGAGGATTGTGCAGGTGGGTTATGCATTCTTGCTCCTAGTATGCATCTTCTGCTCTGGCATGCACAAAGAGGGTATTCGGCACCAGCCCTTCCCTTTGGGTATTCCACATTGCTTTTGGGGGATGTGGGCGTGCTCATTGCGCGATGCTGGGCGGCGGAGGCGTGCGCTCGTCTACCTACTTGCGAATGACTAGGCCTCGCTAGCCCATGGCCCCCGAGCTACTTGGGTGGACACGAGCAGCGGGTTCCCTAGGGTTACTTTCCCCTTGCTTCTGGCGTATTGTGCCCGGCATTCGGGAGAGGGAGCAAGAAGCGAATCTGAATCGGGAACTAGCAAGTCTTGATAGGCTCTGAAGCAGAGAAGGATGCCTGAATAGATGTTTGACGCGCGAAGACGATGGTCAAAGAAAGATGAAGCAATAATTCAGCAAGATCGGCGGCCCTCAACTGCAGTTTGGTGTGCTTGGTGGCAACCCATTCACGAGCAAGTGACCAGAGCCAGCAGAATCTGACTCGTTAGTGATGGAGGACGGGCAGGGGCGAGCTACGGCAAGACCAGATGACCGCGACTACATACGCCATGTTGACTCGATCGGGGCCGAGTCTTAACTAGCGCTTCAGGCTCACAGTGGCCAGGGGCCCCAGTAGCCCCCCAGTAGGCCCCCAACAAGCCCAGTTGCTCACTCGTAGTTGGGCAGGTCAGTAGTGTCAATCCCCCGGACATTCTTAATCCCGACGCATTTCTGAAATTCTGGGGGTCTCCGAGGGTCAATCCTGCCCAAGGGTCCCGGGCTCCCCAAGCCCATCTGAAGAGTGCCTACCCACCTACCTAGGTAGGTAGGATACTCGGCACAGCAGGTGCTTAGCAGCTCGCCCTCCAGGTGCTCTCCCCCGTATCCCCCACGAACGAGCCTCCCCGCTTGCCAAGGTCGGGGCAAGTCCCCAGCAAATGCTCAGAGGTCCTTTCTCGCCCTGTGTCCTAGAACCTTTTGCTTCCCAATACTCTTCAACCGCTTCCCTTTTTCCTACTCGTCTTGTCCTTGATTTTGTCTTAGGAACGACTGTCATCACCACGTTCAATAACATGGAGTCACAAGGAGGCGACATGTCTCCCCCTGCTCAACCGAGCACTGGCACCTCGAGGGCCAGTAGGATGTCGCCTGCCCGGCTTGCGAGGAAAAGAAAGGCGGATAGAGAGTCGCAAAAGGCCTCGCGCTTGAAACAGAAGAACTACATCGCCCATTTGGAGGCCTTGGTCAAGTCCTTGGATGCTACGGCGGGCTCCGACCCGGTCGAGCTGCTGAAACAGCAGGGGGCAGAGAATGTCGAGATCAAAAAGGCCCTCACAACCATTTGCAAAATCGCCCAGACGGCTCTGGGTGTGGGCGCGGGCGACGGCCGATATCTGGGTACCTCTTCTTCACCCGATCCGATGACCGATCAAGCAGACGTCAAAGACATGAAGCCTGATCCCCCCAAACTCAGGAAAATCCAGCCTTCTCAGACGGCCAAATTGGATTACGCCACCGATCCTGTTAAATGCATGGGTGAATCAGACACGACGATTTTATCCGCCGCTGATGCCCATCCACATGGCGCCGGGTTTCCCTCAATGTTCACAGAAGATGACGAGAATTTGGGAGAGTTCATCCACCATGATCTCCTGGACTTCCCGCTCCGAGAGCAGGGCGCTCAACAGACTTTCGACACACCAGAACTTCTCTGTGGCAGAGATGCCATGTCCACGGCCCAACCGGCCCCTGGCCCCTGGGCATTTGCATCGCTATCGGAATCTCTATTACCTTTACGCACCCACCACCCTGATCCTGGAGGCCGGGACTGGGTATCCACGGTAAACCTGCTAAGCGGACCTGTTGTGTTTCCGCTTGAATCTCCTGATGATGTACTCGATGGAGACATTCCAATCTCAGCCGTGTTGCGTGGCTGGGATGCAGTCGAGGCCCGGCGGCCGCTGGATCCAGGGTGGAAGGTCCTTCGAGAAATTGACCAAAATATTTTTATCGGATGCGGCATTGCTGAAAGATTGGCCGTCTTGCGAATCATGAGGTTGATGTGCCACGTATGTTCTTGCTACATAAACACCCGTACCTCCACATCAATCCTGGGTTGGCTGACTGACTCATGGCAGTATATGACGACAGCAGAACGGCGGCCAGAGCTGCCTCCTTTCATGCTTAAACGGTTTGTTACAGTCTATATGACTCTACATTCACTGTGTGGCTGCTGATTGTCGCTGTGAACCAGGCCATGTCAAGAGCACATCAAACATCATCCAATGGTTGACTATCTCGTCTGGTAAGAATTTATATAAATATCCCCACCTAGATACAACAACCCGGCGCTCGCCAGGTTGAAGTCGATTGATCCTCCCATCTGACATTTGCAACAGGCCGGGACTTCGTGAAAGATTAATCTTCTCGCAACAAAAGTTCGCGGCCAACGCAGATCGATATACCGAGCTCTTCCGCACCAACTTCCGTTTCCTGTGGCCTTTCGAGCCTGAGGACATCTACTATCGGGACCCAGACACAGGCCGATATGCATTCTCCGAACAGTTTATCGGACGAACGGAGGATTTATCCTGCTGGACGATGCACAATGACTATTTCATTGTCCTGCCAGAACTACGTGGAGATGTGCCTGCCTTCCCTCAAACTTCTATCTACACCTTGAGTCAACAGCCTTCGGTGTCACAACAGGCCATTCAGCGAAAGCCCTTGACTAGGTCAGGAGACGACCAAGAGTCCTCGCAAAACGAGAAGTCTTCGGTCAACATTGATTTTCCTCATACCATGTGGGGGAGGATGTCACAAATGTCTTGAAAGGTTCCGGATGTCGGAGACGCGAAACAGAATACATGATACCCTTTATGAAGTCCACAATTCCTAATGTTGCAGAATCAGTGTGGTTTATCAGCGGCAATTGCCCTGGTCTTATCGAGCTCTAGTATCTTCTAAATAACGACTATTTCAGACTGCAGCGCCAGCTTTCGGCCAACAATTAGAAGACAATTCTCAGCCAACCAGCACTCGCCCCCACGGTTCTTGCCAATCTTCCCGTGAGAATCTCCCGACAAGACTGATCAGACTATCATTGCCCCAGTCTTCCATCGGATCTCCACAAGTCCACAAGCCTTCATTTCGAGGCTTCCATCCAGGTCTTCCATGTTCCGGGAGTGCTGCCCAGCAGACCTGACTTTATTTCCCTCCTACTGAGCAGGTTGCACCGCCAGCAGCTCATGGCTTATATCCCTCCCCCACGCCTTTCTAGTTAAATTTAAAAGGACAACCAATCATTGTGGCACCTCCCTCAGCTGCATATGCCCTCAAGGCCTCTGCTTCTTTTAGGACCGGATCACGCGAGACCTTCTCGAACTTTGCAGGGCCGAGCTCCTCGGGCAGGTAGCCTTCGCTCTTGAACTTTGGACCAGGAACGTATTGAGAGCCTCCTGACAGTAGGGCCGAGAGTTTATTCCACGCCGTGTCCTTGACGTACCAAGGCTCAAGACTTTGTTGTTTCGTCGGGTGAAGCCGCCCAGATTTCTTGTCCGCTTTGGCGAGGGGATCAATCGGTCGCATGCGGGGGAGGAAGAAGTTGCGGACCACAAAGGCACGCAGGCGGAAGAACCGATAGACAAGGACTTCCATGGTGTGTGAGGCTGCTGGATATCCCAACGCATTCCGCGTTCTCTCTTCAAGCAAAGCCATCATGACCTTTCGGAAGAAGCCCCGCATGCCAGGAGAAACATGTTTGAGAAAAAATTCAACTGCAGTATCAGCGCAGAGTCGGTTACTGTCGGAATAGACCATGGCCGTCTTCTCATACTCCTCGCTCCATTCTGCCATCTTTTCGATGGTGGGCGGGATGTCCTTGATTCCCATGCGGTTGCCGACTTCCTTCCAGTAGACGAACATGGCCACTTGTTCCAAGTACGTCAACTCACGCCACTCGTAGGTGTTGACCCAGCGGATGGCCTCCAAGACGTTGACTCCCAAGGTGTGGAGCATTTCCGGCTGGGTGATCTTGTCTCCATACTGCCGGTGCATCCAGTTCATCTTTGCAAGTGCCCGCGATCCACGCTCGCTGTCCATGGAGCCAACGACAAACTCGGTCGTGATGAGAGCGGTGTCATTGATGCGGCGGCCAACGTTCGGGCAACTGCTGAGTTGACGTGTCTTTGCGAGCAGCTCGGTACCTGAGGCGATGGCAAACGTCTTGAGGAGTGAGAATTGCCCACTGAAGGCGAATATGAAGGGGAAGTCATAGAGCATGGACAGGTGCATGATCTTGTGTGCTGCCTTGTAGTCCATGACATAAGGGTCTTTGAGGAGATGGGCATATTCGCGTTCCAGCTTGTGCAGGGCACGGAAACGCAAGGCTCGAACAAGGGCGAGATATCCGAGAAGGCCAATGGCTATTGCCCATGCGTACGGGAAGTCATGCAGGGTCAACTTGGGGAGTCTCAAGGACAGAAAATCCACAGCGTCTGGTTGGACTCCCATGGTGGCAGGATGGATGTTTCTAGTGATTGTTCGAAAGGGGACCTGATCAACCACAAAAGAAGGAATTCCTTATTGAGGATTTATTCGAAGATAGCCTTTTGGCGAAGGCTTGCTTCTTGGTCGTGAAGCCTCAGTCTCCTTGTATACATAGTCGGTCATGGTCTCGCGGACAGAGTCTCATTGACACGCTAGGTCTTGGCGGTTCCGAAGCCGAGGGTCGTTTCATGTCAATACAAATCCTCCGGCACTGTCGGTACATGTTGAGGATATCGACCAGGGGACGACGAAATCTAGACTGTTAAGGTCCGAGTCAAGCAGTCGACGTCAAGGCTGATTAGCGTCCAGCAAGGACCATGTCAGAGGCACGGAGTCAATCGTACCCCACGCGGGCCCCACCGAGTGGATCCGGGACTGACATACCGACTATGCCATTGGCTTCTCCTTTCTGCCTCTAAGAAGTTACTTGGTACTTAGTATTTGTACTCCGGACTATGGAGTCTCACTTCGAGTGCATGTCCTTGTACGCACCTAGAAGCTTGAGCTTGCGTCGGCACCTTAGCGGGGACCCTGGTGCTGTTCAAGATCTGTCCGCGTGCTTCCCAGCCAAATTTACAAACTTGATCATGGGCGACACTCACCCTGTCAAGGACCGACACCAATGTCAATATCACACTCTGGGTTTCTGACCGATGTGCACTGTTCCAAGAGGTTTGTGGATACGAAAAGGGCATACAATGTGCCCAAATCACAGTGACCATCGCACACTTCGTTGACCAATATTCTTTTCAACCCGACCTTGCTGTCGCCGCACCACATCCAAGATGCCTTACGACACTAAGGAGGAGATTCTGGCTCTGGGGGTCATGGATCCCGAACTGAAAGCTGTAAGTTGTCCATTCGCACCGTCTCCTGTTTGCTTCTGGCGTTGCGAACTCAATACTAATTGATACCGGAATCAGCTGCTCGAAGCCAATCCTCCACCACCCATGACGTTCACGACGATGCAGGCTCTGAGGGAAGACGTCAAAAATCGTACCCTGCAAGCCATTGCTGCGCTTGGTCCACCACCTCCTTCAGTCAAACAAACCGACATCAGCTATAAAACCACAGATGGAGCTGAGCTGCGCGCCCGACTCTACCAACCCACATCACCGCCCGACGACGGCAGTCCATTGATTGTGATGTTTTATGGTGGTGGCTTCTGCCTGGGCATTCCCGAGTCTGAAGAAAAGGCCTGTCGAGAATTTGTACAAGCGTACAACGCCGTGTGCGTCTCCCCTGCCTACCGGCTTGCCCCGGAATTCCCTTTCCCCCAAGGTCCCAAGGATGCGTGGGACGCTCTCAAATGGGCCGCGGAAAGCGCTTCCTCATGGGGCGCCGATCTATCCAAGGGTTTCATCGTTGGGGGCACATCAGCTGGCGGCAACCTCGCCTGTGTTGTGACACACCTGGCGCGCGACGAAAGGCTGAATCCGCCGCTGACGGGGCACTACCTGTGCATTGCCGGGTTGGTCCCTCCCTCGCGAATGCCAGATAAGTACAAGAAATGGGCGTACAGTTACGAGCAAAACAAAAATGACCCGATCAATGGCCAAGCCGTGATCGATATCTTTACGGCCGCGTACAAGCCTGATCTTGACGATGGCATCTACAATGGTCCTCTGATCCACCCCAACGGTCACGCAGGCCTGCCACCGGTATATTTGCAAGTCGATGGCGCAGATACATTACGTGACGACTCACTGATCTATGAAAGGATATTGCGAGAAGAGCATGGGATCAAGACAAAACTGGTCGTCTATCCGGGTCTGCCTCACGCACATTGGGCTTTCTTCCCTTCCTTGAAAGCCAGTGCCCAGTTTTGGCAGGACCAGCTGGAAGGGATGGGATGGCTATTAGGGAGGGCCCCTGCCACGGCAACAAACTAGACTATCTCGTCTGAGAAAGGCGCAATAAAAATTCTACTCGTATGTCTACCGGAAATCTTTCGAGACGAGACTAAGAATACAAGCTCATGGGATGGGCCTAGATTTCGCGAATGCATGTAGACCCCAGGCCTCCGGATTGCTTGCTACGATACTCCGCCTACCTAGATCTTACTTTTCCAAGCCTTATTCTAACTCGTCTGACACGTATGAAACGGCAACCAATCCGGGGTATACATGTCTTTTCCAAGCGGGATAACGCGGGGTATACGAGGGAGTAGCGGGATGTATGGATTCATCTGGGCCCCCACACTGAATAGTGGATCGGCGACGCGGCATCCAGCCTCTCCAAAACCCCCCTTATCTGCGCCTTTTTTATTTGCCCCCCTACCCTGCTCAGCTACTAATCTATTGACTCGCCTGTATGACTCGCCCCAGGCGACTCTCCGGGGCGAGTCAGACTTGCACGCGGCTCAGGGCGGGCTATCTGTCTTGTCTACCGAGTACTCGCAGGGCGACATGCACCCCATGGGCCTTTTTAGTTTTCTTTGCTAAATTGTCCCTTTGAGCTAAACCCCAGATAATTCCCCCAGGCCGTTTGTTCCATACAGGGTCCCTTTTTGCCTCGACCTCGTCAAATCCAGGTTTTTATATCCCCCTCCCACCCACCCATATATTTCCTTCCTTTCTCAGAAGACCATAAAAGCAAGAAAAGAGGAATTTGGAAGGTGTCAATCTCACAGTTCCTTTTTTCTGGGTTCTGCTTCCTTCAAGATACGAGGTACATTTTTGAGAATCCGAGAGAAGCTTGCTAGCTATCTGTGTCAGCAAAAAGGATCACCTTGTTTCCCAAAAGAAAGGAAAATAAAATGGACTCCAAATCAGCCTCGCTCGTCAACGAATCCCCTCCCAGCTCGGACGCTGCCGTGCATCTCGAACGTCTCGCCGCCGACGAGGAGAAGCATGTCGGGCATGTCGGAAGTCTGCCGGTCGAAGGGTACGCCGACTCACTTGAAAAGAGCCAGGGCGTGTATGTGGACGTGACGAATCGAGATGCCGTCAAGGGCGACGAGTCGGACGGCAAGGTCGATTGGACTTGGCTCCAGATCACGGCCACCGTCTGCCTTTCGGGCTTATACGTCGGTACGTTTTGGGCTCCGATTTCCATGGAAAGCTGGCCTTCCGAACTTCATGACTGACCCTGGCATGATCGCTCTCTCTCTAGGCTCCCAAATCCCACTCTACTTCCTGGGTGGTACCCTGACCTATATCTCCGCCGACCTTGGAGGCACGAAGGCGTCCGCGTGGCTTCCCGTAGCCTATTCTCTGGCTCTTGGTGCCGTGACGCCCTTTTGTGGCTATCTGCAAGACTTGCTCGGTAGACGCTATGTGACTCTCACGGGAGGCACGATTCTCCTGATCGGTTGCATCGTCATGGCCACGGCCCAGAACTTCCGATCCGGCGTGGTCGCCATGTGCTTTGCCGGAGCTGGTGCATCCATCGGCGAGCTGACTGCTGTGGCTGGGTATGTGGTTTTGGACTCTTATCTTTGTGGACACTCGTCTCTGTCTTAGACTCCGACGATGCGAGGGGATTTTCACGTGTTCTTATGCTGACTTACTACCTGCAGAACCGCTGAGCTGGTCCCTATCAAGAAACGAGGCATTTACCTGTCGATAGTGACAGCATCCATCCTCCCCTTCGCTCCTTACCTGCTTTATGCTCAACTGCTGGCCAAACACGCCACATGGAGATGGGGCATGTGGCTCTGTGTGTAAGTATTACAGATCTTTTGCTCAGTCTCAGCCGTACCATATAACGGTTCGGACTAACCTTTGCACCAGGATCTGGAACGCTGTGTGGTTCACGGGTATCGCCATCACGTACTTCCCCAAGTCGCAGACTCGAGCACGAGGCGTGTCTCGAAGAGCTGCCCTCAAGAGGATCGACTATATCGGAGGCCTGCTATCCATCATCGGCTTAGTTCTCTTGTATGTCTTCTATTCCCCACCGTCTCACATCGGACCGATACATATAACGCAATCGATTACGGCTGCTAACCTTGCTTGCCTCCAGCCTCATCGCGCTACAGGCGGGCGGATCCTCCCACCCCTGGAAAAGCGCCTACGTGCTGGTCAACCTCTTCATTGGTTTCTCCTTGCTTGTCGCCTTCTTCATCTGGGAGTGGAAGTTCGCCAGATATCCCATGATTCCCAAGGAGTTGTTCCAGGGTCAGAATATTGTTGCCAGTTGCTTCGTCGTGGCGTTTGTGTCAGGTAAGTTGAGCCACCTTCTTCCCACGATCTTTCATGCCAGAGCGGAGAGTTTTCACGACACAAATGGATTTCTGATAGACTGACCTCTTCGCGTGGGGTGGTTCAGGAATGAACTTCTCCGCTCTGCTCAACTTCTTCCCCTTGGAATTCACGACCGTTTTCGTCCCTGATCCAATCCAAATCGGCTTGAAGGATCTCCCAGCCGCGCTTCTGTTGATCGGGGGCTCCGTCGCCACCAATGCATTGCTGTCATACCTGAGGGGTCACGGGCGCGAGTTGATGCTTGTCGGTTGCCTCATCATGAGTAAGTCTGCCCTACTGCACCTCTACTTCTCTCTTTCTTTCCCCTTGCAGGTCCTATCCTATATTCTACGCCCACCGAACCCTTCTCGCTGGGTCTAGATGAACTAATTTCATCTCTTCTTGCAGCTTCCTTCTCTGGCGCCCTTGCATCCATCACCCCGAACGGGACCGCCGCAGTGATCGGAATCGGTTCCATGGCCGCGCTGGGCGTCGGTATGGTGACATCCCCAGCGTCGACCATCGCCATCACAGTAGCACCAGACTCGACCATCGCGACATGCGTGGCTTTGATCATGTGCATCCGCGCCACGGGCGGCTCCATCGGCTACGCCATCTACTACAACGTCTTTATCGAGAAGCTGACCCCGGCCCTGCCAAAATACGTGGCCGAGTACGCCGTGGCAGCCGGCCTGCCCATCGGCGAGGCCGAGCCTTTCACCGCGCTCTTCCTCACCGCCCCGCAGAACGTCACCGAGGTGCCCGGCGTCAATGCCGCGATCGTCGAGGCCGCCACGATCGGCAGCCGCTGGGCCTACGCCCACGCCCTCAAGTACGTCTGGTACATCAGCCTGGTGTTTGGCATTTGCTCCATCGTCGCATGCTGCTTCGTCAACAATATGCAAAAGTACATGACAAACCGGATTGCCGCAAAGGTTGGCAACTAAAAAAAAAAAACACCACCGGTTTTGTTTGTATTTGTGTCAAATGAGTGCACTCTCGTTCTCGACTTGGTATATATACAGAATTGCCGGAACAGACCAGACCGGGAAAAAGGGGGAAAGCAGAAGGGGAAATGGAAAAAAAGGCCCCCTGATACAGAGGGGACAAGATACAAGACGCCAAAGGGAATAACAGGGACCGCTATAGCAGCCAGTCGATCAATCAATCGCTCGTCGAATAATATACCTACACTTGGGCAGTAATCCTCTGTCCTTATACAGCTTTTTTGTAACTGATACAACTTATTCTCGTCACAAGCGCGTCCTCAGATAAGAGACCCAGCAGGTTCTCAAATTGACCATGTCCTCCCCCTCCTGAAGCAGGATCCAACGCACCTTCCTCTTTCCGTCGTTGTTTTGGGAAACCCAGAGATTGACTGACTGCGCCCGTTTGTGGCCTTTTCCTCCCCCACATGCAAGCTCATGAGTCATGACATGGTTTTCTCCAGCTCTGAAAATAGATTCCTTGGGTGCGGTGCATTATACAGAAGATTGAGCAGAGTGGGGAAAAACCCCCAGCTTTTGTACCGCGTGCGCTCCGGGGTTGTTGGTTTCATATGTAACTGAAATGAATAACGAGGAGACAACTCCCGATGGAAAATTTCCACTATGTACAAAATAATAAGGATGATGGGCCCCAAAGAAGAGAAAAAAAAAGGCCCGAAAATAGAAACATAGGAGAATAAGACAACAGAGAACAGGGGTAAATATAAAAAAGCGAAAACAGTCTCCCCAAGCGCCTCCACAACAGCAGAATCAATCCCCGGGGCCTTCGTTCTCGTGTCTGCAAAGCCCCCCTGGCCCTCGTGATTGGGATTAGCAATTATAAAACGAGTTTGAACTGCTCCCACAAGGCGGAACCCGAACCGCACGATTCGACCCCGTTGATGGTTGCTGAAATGTCCCCGAACCAGCGCGAGTAGGTTGAGGAGTCGACCTGTTTGTTGTACCCCGTAACAGTGGCGTTGAGGATGTCGCCATTATTGAGCTGCATGACGATAGTGAACTGGTTCGGGTCCGGCGTGAGGATCGTTGGCGGATACGGGGTCCCTACGGGGCGGACCTGGAGACCAGCCGTCCCGAGCGCGCAGGTCGAGCCGACGACCTTGCCGTCTTTCAAGACGTACCCGCTGACGGTTTCGCTACCGGTGGTATCGAGTGCGTCGTACCAAACCATGTGATATTCCCCGAAGGCGCCGTGGCCCCAGTACCAGCTGTTGACGGCACTAGTGAAGGGGATGTCACCCCAATTCTGATGGGAGAATATCAGTATGTGTCAGGAGGAGACTGAGAGTAGGCTACATACCTTATCGTGATACCCATTGCCTTGGAAGACCATGGGTGTACCTCCAAAGTTCATATGGACGGAGGCATCCGCCGCGGGGAGGACGTTTGCCCAGCCAACATGAGGCATGATCTGCTCGTTCGCACCAGCAACGAGAGGGCTACATGGGTAGTGTCCAGGACCGCGCTTTGTGATCTCGGTTAGCACGTCTCGCACTGTAAATGTTCAGAAGGCCGGGAAGGCCAACTTACAGAGATAAAATCGACCGTTCCAGAAATGCCCAGTGTCGCGTTATCGATCGTGATTGCGTACTGGCTCAGATCAGGTGTACCTGTAAAGCTGCACCCACTCCCAGTCCAGTTGCCCGAAGCTCCGTTTCCGACAGTGTTGACAGTCACTGAAGTTGCTAGAGCTGTCGAGCTCACTTGTGTGCCGTTTGGAAAGGTTGCCGCAATCGCCACATTCAGAATGTCTTCGAGAGCGGGCGTGTTTGGAAATCCGAGGAAGGAAGACGTAAAGAATATGATTGTGAGGGCCTGTGTTCCATCGTCGGACACAGTATCAAAGTACCACCAATCATACGAGGTAAGATCGATAGGGAAGACCCGGGGGCCGTCTGCTGCTCCTTCACAGGACGTGAATTGGACCGTACTCGTCAGTGATTGGGTCGAGGAGTAGGTTAACGTATCGGGAAAGCATTGAGACAAGGCGCCAGGCGCTAGGGCCAATAAGGCTGAGAGGAGGACGGGTGTTTTGAGGCTCTTCATGTTGCGGCTGACTTGAGAAGTGATCTCGGGAGACACAGACAATATCTGGGAGGCGACCGTAACCTTGACTTCTGTGGTTCGGGGAGTTCTTCTCCAGGCGGGGAAAGAGCAGGTCTTTGTACTCTTCTATCGCCAATAGACCTGGGGAAATTTCCGACGATCGTCCATGCCTCTGACTCCGTCTGCACAACATCACAACCGTGACAAACTGCTTCGCACCTACCTTAGTGCTCGATGGAGGATTCAAGGAAAACTCTACGTCCAAACTTTTGTTTCATAGAAGCACAACCGGAAATTAGCAATTTCTCGAGAAAAGGACAAAGTGCACAGGAAAGTGTGCACGAAGTGATCCGGTGTAGTGGTGCTGAAGTGTGTTCGGACATATGTAACATCGTGTGGCTTGAGAAACAGGGGCTAGCGGCTTTTGCCATCTGGAGTAGATTGACGAGCCACTTGGACCGGCCCGCACGTGGAGGTATCATTGTGGGGAGTACGAAGTATGCTCTGCGCTAATCCAGACCCCAGAGTCGGAAGAACACATTGCCGGCGTACATTGGTGATGCAGACCGAGTCAACCAGGTTGACACGAAAGGTTGACAGCTCCGGATGATGTTCTCTCTATGCACATGACCCAGGCTGCGAATATGCCTCTCCACAGGAGATATGCCCGCTAACCCACAATGGATATTGTGCTAAATTAGGATGTTCTCTTTTAGCCTTAGAAGAGGTTGACTGACCACCGGTCTGGTTCAAAGCCAAACATCCATTGACCAGGTTCAGGCGGGGGATTCGCTTACTGACTCTCGGCCCCTTGACTGCTTCAGCCACTTCTCAGGAAATAGCCAAGAGAAAGAGGGACAAGTCAACAAGGCTGCATGTTTTTTGTACGCCGGCAGCATCCAGGAGCTTCGGTAATTTCTCGAGAGTTTCTTCAGTTCCAAATCGTGAGCGAAGAGGCGGCCATATCAAGATGAGCATGCGAGTAGAAGGAGAATTAGGGACCTCTTCCATCGAGTATGTGGCTTGGCGATTCGAGTTCCCTCCGACTTCTTCAATAGCATCATCACCTCTTGCAAACGCTTCTTCCAGGAGTTTTCCCCTTATAGCGAGATCGTTCCCACTCTACCGAAAGGTATTCGCCGGGTTCGAAAATGTAGATTTCCGAACTTAATATCTGGTCTCTTGCTATCCAGAAGTTTCATTTCCACGGCTGCAATGGAGGCGGGGCTATTGCTTGCCCAGGACTTCGCTAGATGGTTTACCTCGTACTCAAGAGGATGCCGATCGACTGTCGGATGGGCCCCTTCCCCTGAGTGTCCGATCACCCTGGTTAACCATGACGTTAGAGAAATGTTCAGGCATCTGGCTTGCAGTAACCCTGAATCAGGCAGCTGACTCTTTCGACATAAGAGCGATGGCCCTGACAGTAATGAGCCAACTTAACCACTTTTGCTCCATGTCGGTCATCCTTGACAAAGTCTCTTGATGCTTGACTTCGTAGGTGTGTCTCAAACAGTTCCGGGTGGAAAACCGAGGCATCGGCATTGCAGGGCAAGGTGTACAACTCCTCGGTTCGTCATATTGCCCTTAGCGATGGCGTAAGTGAGGGAAGACATTTGACCATAGCATTTTCGGAGCAGGTGTAATCACATGACGAGCCGCTCTGAAGAGCGGTTGGAGCAACGTCGAAGGCGATTTCAACTCCTTCTGAAAGCAAGCACACCTGATCCTTGATGGAGTTCGACTGTTCAATGATGAAATGATCAAGTCAGACATAGGGCAAATGAGACTGTGACGCTGACATGAATACCTCCCCAACAAAGTGAAAACATGCACGATTTCTTACTTTCAGACCCGGACCCCTCTTTGCGACACCTCTATTAGTTCATTAAAGCTCATTTTCGACACCATCAATAAATCCGTAGCATGAATTTTGATATGGAAGCTTCCCGTTTCTCTGTACCTTCGGCCATGGGGCGGTTTTGAAAGCAAATGCTTAAGTTTTGCTCCAAGGTTCTCTGCAAAGCGTAGAGAGCCACCATTGACGACTGCCATGTCGCCCGTCCGGTTAGCTCACGGCACTTTCGTCACGTATCCTTTCAGTTTGACACATCGCTGGTCACGGGAAGAGACAGTCCTTGGCTCGGACGTTGGTCTGCTCTTTCTGAACGACTCGAACGCTCAACCACCACGGGTATATTTCCCGAATGAATCGCGGGAAGAGGGATACAACTGAGGGCAGTACCACAAGGTGAAGAATATCTCAACGAGTGCCAAATATAGTCAGCAGTTTCAGGCAGCGTTCGAAGTTGCTGTCTGTCAGCAAAGGGGTGAGAGGAGGAAACACAGACTCTGAGTCTCTTCAAAATCGACTCTTAGTCACGTGATGCTTGGCGCGCGAAGTGCCGACCGTTGCGGTGCCCGCGCTGCAGAGACTTTATTCTGTCCACCACTCTGTGCACTGTGCACACTCTTTGACCAGCAGCCGGAGCCTTGCGCTGTCCATGGCTCCACGGAAATGAGTATCGAGTACAATTGCAATCATCCATTTCCCTCGAGCGAAGGCTGGAAATTGTCGACATTCAGCTAATTGGTCATCTCTCCAAGCGGCAGATACTTCCATCACGCTCGAAGCTCGAGGGAGCTCTCCACCACTCACAGGGCACCCTTCGTCGTATCAATGACGATCAGCCTGCATGGCATTTGCGAAAGGCCTCTAGCACAGCAAACCAGAATGCAAGAATCGTCGAGGGAGGCCTCTTCCCGCATTTGCAGCGCATCCCGCACTCCAATCTCTACTCCAATGGGCACCGATCTATCCCGCTGCGGAGAACAGCTACCGGCATGAGTGGGCTGCCCGTCTGAGTAACTGATCGATGCTTGCAGCTTGCATTTATTAATCCTCTGCAGAATATCCTGCACTGAGCGCTGCAGGTCTGCCTGCGGCGCCCAGCATGTCAAACTGAGAAGCTTGTCGCATCTTCCGTCCTCCTGTCTCTGTGTCATCACTTTGTTCCCCTTCTGCAGCCTTCTTAACTGTTGCAGCAAGAGAGCTGTGACTCTGGTGGTACGCCGCAAAGCACATATACCGCTGTGTTCTGATAACTTGGATTTTGCTATCGTGTTATCGCCCATTGCCAGACAAAATGCCTGCCACAATGTCCGCATTCTTCCAGTGGCTCAACCGCGAGACGGGCCTACAATCCATCTACACCTACGGCAACACTGACATATACCTAATCCTGCTAACCCGATTTCTCCGCATGTTTGCCTATGGTGGCGCCGCCCTCGTTCTGGCAATCTTCTTGTACACTCAAGCGGGGGTCGATTGGAAGAAGACAGGCACATTCATGACTTTGACGTTACTTGGCGATGCTGCGATCAGTTACGGGCTGACAATCGTGGCTGACAAAATTGGCAGACGACGTGTGCTACTAATAGGTTCTTTGCTCATGAGCTTCGCTGGGACAGTGTTCGCCTTGAGCAAGAATTACTATCTGCTTCTATTCGCTGCCATTGTGGGTGTGATATCCCCGGGAGCACATGAAGTTGGACCGTTTCGAGCTGTTGAAGTACGTATGAGATCCAGTGTCCTGGTTTGATTCCATACACGGCGCGCACCCAGAGAGCTCCATTCATTTCTCTAACCTGTTTGACTCTCACAGGAAGGAATCCTTGCACAACTTTCCCCTATCGAGGCTCGTACCGATATCTACGCCTGGTTTGCCGTCTCGTCCACCCTTGCCATGGCATGCGGCCTATTCGTCACCGGGTGGATAACCTATGCTCAACGGACATACATGGGGCGTGACTGGAAAGAAACGTATCCTCCTGTTTTTGGTCTCTATGCTATGATTGGGCTGGTCAAGCTTTCTATCACGTTCCTTCTCAGTAAGAACTGCGAAGCCAGCGCGGCGGCGCAGTATTCTTGGGCTCCAACCACCACAGCAAGTGCGATAGACGGAGGGCCGAGTCCCTCGTCGGAGCAGACAAGGCCTCTCCTGGATGGCCTGCCTCGTCGGTCGTCGATCCCAAAGCAAGCCAATGTGAGAACGACAGCTCGTACGACTCAACAGTCTCAGCCCGACTCGTTCTTCCGCCGTCTCCGCCGCTCACTCAGCTCACCCTGGAAGGTGTCCCGCTCCTCGTGGCCCATCCTGTTACGCCTCTGTTTCCTGTTTGGTCTGAACGCATTCGCATCAGGCATGCTCCCCGTCACGGTGATGAGTTGGTACATGTCGTGGCGCAGCCGATGGTTCTTAACTCATCGGATCGGCTATGCTCTAAGCGTCGTCTGGCTCGCAGCGAGTCTCTCCAATTTGTTCAGCGCCGCCGTCGCCCGGCGGCTAGGACTCGTCAAAGCGATGGTTTGCACACACCTGCCCAGCGCCTTGTTCCTGGCACTTGTTCCGCTGGGGCTAGTGGCTTCGGGTTGGCAACTCTTACTGGTCCTCTTGCTTGCTGACGCGGTACTGGGCTCCATGGATCAGGCTCCTCGCGAAGCATTCGTCGCGGCGGCTTTTCTGCCCCGTGAAAGAACACAAGTCATGGGAACGCTAAACTTTGTAAGGACCTTGGCTGCGAGCTTAGGCCCGGTGGTTACGGGACTCGTGTGGAGTAAGCAGAGATGGTGGGTGCCGTTTGAGATTGCAGCATTCTTGAAGATTTGCTATGACGTGGGCCTGTTGATTATGCTGTTGAAGACGCCTCTGCCGGAGGAACACAGGAGGGTGACTGGCATCTCGAGCGATGGCGAGAGTCAACAGATGAGAATGACTGCTGCCGACATGGATGTCAATGTTCTGTTGGATGAGCTGGCCACTAACAGCGGTGGATTGGTACCGCCGAGCGAGTTTGAAGTGAGTGACGACGAGGGGGAGGACGATAGAATGGAGGTTACGGAGGTGCGTGAGGATATTTCTGGCCTCCCAAAGTACGATGAATAGCGACTTGTGTCTTTGCTGGGAGGGTATCATTTCCAAAATGCCCCGGAAAATGTGGCCAGGTTTGCACACATCGCTGGCAGGACATAATTATGGCTCTATCCTTTTCTCTGCTCAGGCTAAGAGTTGGGGCGCTGGGTTCATGTTAGCGGTGTCTACGTAGGATCAAGGAATTGCATCAACGACTTTCTCGTACTCAACCCTCTTCCATAAAGGTGAGCAACGTGAGTGTTAAAGATGAGAATGAAGGCGTAGTCGCACGTGAGCCTTTTGACTTCCTCCTCAGATGCCAAGACCATTGTCGGCGAAACGCAGCCCCGTTCCGTCCGTGCCAAATAAATTTTGGTAACTGCGCAAAACGCATCCGCAGAAAAGCTGGGTACGCGGCTAAGAGCTTAAACTCTGGAAAGAGCCAGCCATGTCGGTCCAGGCAAAGCACAAACATACTACGAGCTCGAAATCCGTCAAGGATGCTCAATCATTAAGCCCACCTAAAAAGCGAAAACGCGACACCGAAGGCATTGACACCTCCAAGAAGAAGAAAAAGCCGCGGACAGAGGATGTCGCAGAAACCCCAGCAGCCATAGCGGAGTCCCCTGTAGAGCGGAAGGAGAAGAAAAAGAAGAAGAAGAAGAAACAAAAGCTTGAAGAAGAGGGAGATGCTGTTGTGCGGAGGGTAGAAGAGGAAGAAGAGGCACCGGTGTCGCAGGACGCGGAGCAAAGAGACGAAGATGCCACCGATGAAGACATGAAGTCGACTGAAGAGACAGACGCAGCTGTCCTGGATGGCTCAGTGGCAGTGGACGAGGAAGAAGTGGAAGAAACAGAATTCAAGCTGCTGGAATCCGAAGATCCTAGCTCTTTCTACTCGACCCGCCTCTCACTCTATCTCTCGATACCTGCGATCTCTCTTGAAGCTGCCAAATCGTCAGTCCTTGCAGTGCATCTTGCACCGTTACTTCTGACATATTTTCCTCCTGCGCGAGGGATTGTTCTGGGGTTCTCAGACCCTGTTTTGTCCGCCCAACCCAATTCCAGCATCAATCTCCCCCTCTTACCTCCCCGAAACGGCGAGATCGAGGCACAAGCAGAAGTGCTGGCAGACACAGCTGACGAATTTGGGGTATGTTGGGTCTGGCTCACCGCTACCTTTCTCGTATTTCGACCCGAAAGAGGTGACGAACTGTGTGGATGGACGAATGTTACATCGGAAGGCTTCGTGGGCCTGGTGAGCTACAATTACTTCCAGACAGCCATTGGCAAGAGTCGGATTCCGGCTGAGTGGAAATGGAACGGGCCGAGCAGGGAACAGCTGCCAAAAACCAAGAAGGGCAGAAAGGGTCGACTACGCGACGAGAACGGCTTGGACGAGGAGGAGGAAGCCGGCACACAAGAGACTGCAACAACACTGGCGGAGGCGCCATCCTCACAAACCCTACTGGCCGATGATGGCGGATATTTTGCAGACGCGAGCGGGACCAAGATCAAGTCGACGCTGAAATTCCGCGTGGCGGATACAGAAATAGTTCCGGCGCATGACAGGAACAAGTGGTCCTTACAGATCGACGGCACTCTCCTGGACGATGAGGCTGAGCGGAACGTGCTGGAAGAAGAACGCGCGAAGTTTGAGCGCGTACAGGAAACCAGTCGATCCAGGTCGCTGGGAGGAGAAGACGCCGCGGTGATGAGTGGAGCGTTGAGCAGATCGCTGAGCCGGGAAGGAAGTGTTGGTTCGAGGATTTCCGGACACACGCCGGGGCGGCATCGAGTGACTTATTAGGAGCCCGCTGTGGACCGAGTACCGAGTAGAGTACTGGTATCTTGCCTGTACAAGGGCGGTGGGGTGCCCACGCCAATGATCTGACGACTTGATCCTGTTGATATCTATATGCAAGTCCGTGCTATATTTGTTTCGTAGTGGGTTTTAAAAATCGCCCCATGATGATTGGTTGAGGATATTATATGCGGCGATGGTGGAGCACAATGAGTGACGCAATGTTTGGTGCAGTCAATGGAATGTCCCCGCGAGCACGCAAAAGACACTGCGCTGCGCTGCCGTCCCTTACCAATTCGACACATGGCCGCATCATCATCATCCACGTGTAGAGTCGAGAGAGTCTCATGAGTCTTGGTCCTCACTGATCCTTCCAACCCTCCCCCCTTGCTAGCCATTGTTGACCTCTGACCACCAACGAACGACCCATTCTCCCTCCTCTCTCGCAATTGATGTTTAGCCGATCCACTGCCCGCTGCCTCGCCGTCTCTTCTACTTCGTTCAGACCTCTTTTATCACTCACAGTTTTCTCCTCCTACGCTGGGACTCTCCGTCCAGCCATATCCCTCTCCCCTCCTACCAGAACATCCCCGTCATCCGAAGCCTTTTGCACCAGTGCCTTCAGAATGGCGCAGGAGTTCAAGCTCAAGGGCATCGATAAGCTTGACTTGCAAGATCTCGAGAAAAGAGAAGTGGAGGTCGAAGGCATTGACGGTGGGAAAGTCCTCCTGTGCAAAGTCGGCGGCCAGGTGACTGCACTGAATGCCAACTGTACACATTATGGAGCGCCGTTGAAGTTGGGTGTCCTGACGCCGGAGGGAAGATTGACGTGTCCCTGGCATGGAGGTATGCAATACTACTTACTACCCTCTCGTCCCTATTGGAGTATGATATTAATTTGATGGATAGCTTGCTTCAACGCACGCACCGGAGACGTCGAGGACTCCCCCGCTCCGCTCTCCCTGAACGCATTCGACGTTATCGAGAAGGACGGCGGAGTATACGTCAAGGGTAAAGAGGCAGACATCAAGGGCGGAAAGAGAACAGTCAATATCAAGACTACTCCTTCTTCTCAGGAAAAACTTGTCATCGTGGGAGGGTATGTTCCTTGTCAACACTGAGAAAGGAGCAGGTCACTGACTTCTGGCACAGTGGATCAGGCACATTCGGCGCCCTCCTCAAACTGCGTGAACTCGGCTACAAAGGTCATATCACAGTGATTACCAACGAAGGCTACCCGATCGACCGGACAAAACTATCCAAAGCCCTAATCACCGATCCTACGAAGCTTTATCTGCAGCCTGAAGACTGGTACTCGGGAGGCTCGATAGAATTCGTGTCTGACACGGTCACCTCGGTTGACTTCGATGCCAAAACTGTCCAAACCAAGATTGGGAAGTCTCTTCCATACACGAAACTCATCCTCGCCACAGGTGGCACACCACGTCAACTGCCTCTCCCAGGCTTCAAGGACAACCAGCTAAGTAACATCTTCCTTCTCCGGCAGGTCAACGATGTGCAAAACATCATGAACGCCGTGGGCGACAAGGGTAAGAAGATTGTCATTGTCGGCTCAAGCTTTATTGGTATGGAAGTTGGAAACGCCCTGGCCAAAGAAAACTCGGTAAGCATCGTGGGCATGGAATCCACGCCGCTCGAGCGCGTCATGGGCAGCGAGGTGGGCAAGATATTCCAGCGCAGCCTCGAAAAGAATGGCGCAAAATTCTACATGAACGCCGGAGTCGATTCCGCCTTGCCGGCATCCAAGCTCGCTGATACCGTCGGCTTAAGCTCTGTGGGTGCCGTGAAGCTGAAAGATGGCACCGAACTCGAAGCCGATCTTGTGATTTTAGGGATCGGCGTGTACCCTGAAACGACATACCTCCGCAACAATCCAAAAGTACAACTCGAAAAGGACGGCAGTATTGCTGTCGACGAAAACTTTGCCGTCAAGGGTCTGCAGGACGTCTGGGCCCTCGGCGACATCGCAACATACCCTTACCACGGGCCTGGAGGAAATGGCACCCCCGTCCGCATTGAACACTGGAACGTTGCACAGAACATGGGCCGCACCGTGGGCCAGTTGATCGCTCAACCAGGCAGCAAGCCGAAGCCGTTCATCCCCATCTTCTGGTCCGCCCTCGGCGGCCAGTTGAGGTACTGCGGCGCCACGCCCAACGGGTGGGATGAGCTGGTGTTGAAGGGCGAGCCTGAGAACAGCAAATTCGCGGCATTCTACTGCAAGGGCGACACGGTGGTGGCCATGGCTAGCATGATGATGGACCCCATCATGGTCAAATCGGCCGAGTTGATGAGGCATGGCAAGATGCTGAGCAAAAGCGACATTCAAGGTGGCAAGGATGTCCTAGAAGCGGCTTTGGAATGATATGAATGTGCTATGATATGACCTGACCCGGGGATGGATATTGGGGTATGGTAAATTAGGATCACTACTGTAAAGCACCTTTGTTTTCCCATGTCTCCCTGCCTCCGCACCAGTCTCGCGCTGATATTCTCAGTGCCAGAAGGAAGACAAATAGGAAAGAATCAAGCAGAAAACAGTGATACGAGGTGTGTGTCTTTGTAGGAGTCCGTAGTGTGCATTCGATCTTACCCGCGATAGAAGACATTGCGGAGCTCCCCCTCGATCCTCGCGAGGTTATATTTGCTGCGTGTGTTTCACGACGCCGTCTTTTCCAATGCTCTTCAAGTTTGATATGGAGCTTCCCTCCTTTGGCTGGCCACCCCCCTTCCTTTGTTTTAGCTTGCAAGAGTCGGTATCTTGGGGCTCGATGGGCTCTCTCTCTCTCTCTCTCCCTCTCTCTGCAGGTATGGATTTGTGAAATGTATCTATGTGTGTGTGTCTTTATGCTTGCAAAGGGGAAGAAAAATGAGAGGAGAAAAGAGGATCGGTGGGAAGGAGGAACCATGTCATGGTCATGGACCAAGGCATATGAGGGCACGTCGATGGGACATGGGCCATGGGCCATGGGGCATGGGGCATGGAAATGGATATGGGAACGTGAGGACCGTCGACGTGGGTGTGGTTGACTGACTGATTGTGACGGACGAATAGTCTGTCTCCGCGTCCGTTGTCGTCATCGTCGTCGCTCAGCGGAGAGGAAGAGAGAGAAGAAAAAAAGGACCGAGGACGGTCTTGTCTCTGCTCCATGGCTAGGTTCCTGTGTTCCCGTGCCTTCTTCCTCCGTAATCCGGGCGGGTTCTATACCTACCTATTGGCAGTTGGCTGCTCGCTTGTAAGTAAGCAGCCACCATATCCCTGGAACGTTGTCCGCGGTCCGTAGTCCAAAAGCACACAGTCCACAGGACATGGTACCAGTACAGGACAGGACAGAGCAATACCTACCTAGGTACAGTACGCCGTTCAAACCGTTGGGCATCGGTCGACTCGAAGGCAGCAAGCGACACGGCGCTTATGCAGGGGGAAATCCAAGGAGGGTAAATGTCAGCTAGTGGTCGGTATTAGCAGTCTGTAGTCTCCCTTCCGGAACGCTCTGGGACTTCTGGACATATCGTTTTTCACTGGCATGATGCAGTCGTCGGTCTTTTGGCGCATGCCGATGTGCCCGATGTACTCGTGGTATCGATGCAATGGGAACCCTCACTTCCTAACTCGGGCATTCTCTGATGCGTGTCTTTGAGCTCATTGAAGCTGTTGTGGCGTTCTTGAGATGCAGGTAGCCGAAAGCGCTTTCTGTCCAGCAGGATATTGGTACCATCGTGGATGATCTTGACAGAGTAGTGGGACTGAATGTAAAGATAGCGTATAGAAAGACTGACCCCAACTTTCACCAGGGATGCATCGCTGCACGCGGACCTGGAAGGCAAGAATGACATCCAAAGGCCCTTCCCCCAGCGCAGCCCAGTCAGTCCCCCGTTAGAACAGCGTGATCCAGGAGGGCATCACTGTAGAAGCAGGGAGAGGTCCAGGTACCTACGGGGTAAATGTGACCCGAGCGCCCCTACATCTTGACGACAACGTACTCGGTAGTCGGGACAGAAACAGTTGCTGGCCCCTCGGTGACATCTGGGGCTCTGCACATTGAGGCAGCGATAGAAGAAGGGGAGGAGATCAAGAGTGCCAGAGACCCACTTCAATAGTTGCCTGATCAAGAAATAATCGAAATGCCCCTCGAAGGGTGGACAATTGACCAAAATCCAGTCCTGAGATGGTCATTTGACCCGCCCCCTCTTTTCCCTCGTACTTTGTTTGTCCTTAAGCGAAATTTGGCTGTGATCTTGTTTCCCTTGAAATCTGCTTGCACTAGTCGAGGCCAGCTTGGGTCCGAGTGACTATTGGCTATCTGGACTACGTGTCTAGTGTACCTAAAGTTCCTTGAGTAGCTCGCAGCTTCCAACGGTCGACGTTATGTTCGAGAAACCTCGGCTGTTTGGGGTACTCGTAGGGTGAATGGAGATCCTTGTACATGGACAATTGAAGGAAACGACCCCTGGTCCGGATGAGAGGTGGTGATGAAAGACTCGAGATTTTTGCGAGAATGCTCGTCTGAGCCTAGGTGGCCTGGCAGAATGTGGGCAACGCTCAAAGAACGTGAAGGGTTCCTCTGATGTGCTCCATCTTCTGAGCAGGAACTGTCCCTGACCCGTTGAACGCACATGGTACAAGGTACTCTCGTGGAAGCGATACCTAGTGATGATCTTCAATGATCGCCTAGGCCAGAAGGGCCGAGCCAGATGTTGCAAATCGCGGCAAATGAATCCTACGAGACCGCAAATCATTTACCCCGTAGACGATCTTGACAATGGGTAAATTCCGAACCGGGTCTCTTGTGCTTCAAAATGCCTGCGAGGTGACCGGGATTGACTCGTTCAACTGACTTGCTATCCAACTAGTCCTCGTGTTGCACCAAGCCATGCAATAGGTATCCACTTACCGGTGCACCGGCGCTTTACCTTCTAAGATCAAGGTCCATGTACTAGGCAGGTAGCACAACGACCATCGGTTTGCAGTTCACAAGGATCAGGGTTTGAGTCGTAAAACGGGAGAGGCTCTTGCGTGCGAAGCTGGTAACTCGTTTTTGATCCTTCCCGTTGGAATCGTCGTGCGGCATCCGTTGGTAGGTACCTTCCAATTAGAAATCATGTGCAAAGAATGGTAAACGAATAAGAGAGCCATCTGCAGTCCAGAGGTCAGCAGTGTCTCCTGCCCCACCGGAGATGTACACACCGTACTTAGTAAAACAACGAACGCTGAACTGTATTTTTCCTTTTTTTTTTATATATGGAGTTGTCGGGTCGAGAAGCCTCTAGGTGCAACGGAGCTTTACTAAATCGCCTTCTGTCCACAGGAACTCCGCGGAAGGAGGGACGGGCAAAGATTCAACCTGAGACTATTGCTGGCGTCAAGGTTGCTCAAGTCTAAGGTGACTAACTCGTACCTGATGTGGAGAAGTGCCTGCTCGGCGTCAGAACTGTCCTTGGCCTAATAGGTGCGAATACGGCAACGGTGATGATAATTACTTACGAGAGAGATCCCTATCTTGAAAGTTGTTGTGTTTTGGGCTGTTGTGGAAGCCAGGGGTGACTCTAGAGAGGATGTCAAAAGGAGTTCAATTCCCTAATCTTGCCCAGTCTCTCGAATCTAGGAACTTCCCGAGCACCGTTTCAAGCCCCCATAAGCCGCAGTGAAAATGGGGGATTTGCGTACCGAGAAAAGCCCCGGGGAGTAGAGTAGCTGTGATGACAAGCTTTCGCTACCAGCCACCGAAGCTTGATCGGCAACGACAGACTCCGCGCTTCCTGCTCACATGCTTTGTTGCCCGACCACCAACCTACACCTGCAATATCAGCAGTCACCGGTGCGTAGAAAAGGTCGAGAGCAGCGCCACCGTCTTGGAATGGGAAACTTGGGCAATGTACAATATATATACATATTGATACTGAAAGATATCGTACAATATATACGAAGACGAGGTAATACTGCTGCTACGCTCGTCACTAAGTCCCTTGGACGTGGTCTGGAGTCAATTGCTCGAAGAGCCTCCGGGTGTAATCATGACCGTTCAACTCGTGGTCCCGTTGCCCTATTTTATTCCTTTTGCCGGACAGATAATCTTGCACGGAGCTCTTTCGGCTCGTCCAACACATGCATTGCTCGTCTGGGTGCGTGATGTGGATCGTGATGGAGCCCGTTCCTCCAGCTAATATCTCGAGATCTCTACAGTTGTGGTTTTCGTGATTGCTCCATGGATGGGTTTCGTCCATTGAGTGTCGGTGGTGACAGCATGAACATCCTGTTCCAACATGATCTTGTCGCTGTCGTCGTCGCCTGCGGTTACCGTGCTGGTTACCATTGGCCCTTTTTGGCTAGCACCTCTTTGCAATTCTCCCAGCTCTGTCGATTGTCGTGAGTCGAATTGGTAGTACTGGCTGGCGGGTTTGCGAGAAGAACGTTTGTCGTTTTTGCTTTTGCCATAGGCGAGTCCATCGGCGTCGTATCCATAATTTGCCCGATTGCGACTGTTGCTCGACGTCAATTTTTGGGTGACACCGAGTACCTTGGCGAACAGAGGACGCAACGAAGGTAGAGAAGCAGCCAAAATACCGATGTTGAACTCGATATTGTTCCACATGAAGAAGGCATCGTGATAGGTCCAGTCAGGGTCTGCCAGAGCATGAGCCTGTTTGACTGTTTTGATGATACTGGAGACGCAAGCGAAAAGCCCCAAGCTTAGTACGAAACACAAGGTCAGCTTCGTCCGCAGATTTGCTTGCAGTCTCCACACCACTGGTATTGGAAGCAGCGCAAAAAGCACGTCCGTTGCGATGTTGATGCTACTGTTGAAGATCCCGATGTTCGTAAAGGTGTTATTGCTGAAACATTTGGCTTGACCGGTCGTCCGTAGAGCGAAATTCCAATTCGCATCGACGCGTGTGCCGCAGTTGAAAATGAGGGTACCAGCGCAAGAAATCGTAAAGGCAACGAGAAAGACAATGCATCCCAGAAGAAAACGCTGGTAGTATTTGCTTGGCACGAATCTGCGCAGGAAGAATGCAATCGAGATCTTGACAAGGCTAATGCCAACCATGATGATGATTGAATGGAAGAAACGCCAGTGTGAGAAGAGAGTTGCATCGGGTAGGCTGACAAGCGCTGGATGTCGCCCGAGTTCTCCAGCATTGCTTTCGCCCACGAAACAGACAATGACGCCAATCTCACAAATCTAACAGGAAAACAGGAGTCAGAGATATGCCTGGCGTGAAAGGAGTGTTATATGGATCACTAACCGCAGCAGCAGCCATAATATAATCGTCAATCCCGAGGCTTTTGAGTAGGAAAATTCTCACGTAGAGCCGAAGGAGAACCGCGAGGATGGCAACGCCTCCAAAGGTGCCGTGTATTGCGAGGAGGGCACCTGCGTTGGATTCATCCTTGTATTGGGGCGGAGGGGGAGTAGCAGACTGGCGCTCAAAAAGTTGGAAAAGGCCCGAAATGACCATGGCGTCGACGAGAGTGTATCAAGTATCAAACGATCCAGGCGAGACAGTAGGAGATGAGCCGTGACATTTGGATAACGCGAGATTGACGGGCCAAGCTGGATTTAAAGATCTTTGCAGTTTCACGCTGGAAAGGGTACCTCACATTGAGCTCGCTTGTCTCTGGATGTAGACATGGAGCCTCTCCTGTCAACCTCCTTCCTTTCTGCGGTTTCAAGGCACGGAGGAGTTTTGGGCGGGGGCAGGCCATTTTGGCCGACATTTGAAGCCTTAGCGTTGAGCGTCTTCGTAGCTATACCATTTCGAAGATTCATCGGAGTCACCTTTGGGCTAGTGTGTCATCGCATTTTGTTACTCGTGGAATGGTTGTTGTGCCTTGTGTGGGATCTAGTTGAGCACCAAGGTAGAGCTACTTACCGAGAACGTGGATGTTGGACACCGGTGCATTCTTGGGTTGGACAGACACCTCTAGCGCTCCGTACTGTACTCTGCCAGAGAAGGTGAATCGTGGACCTAAAGGCTCCTCCTACCGTAAACACTTGTAGTCGATTTGTGACTTCAGCATAATAGAAGTGATCCAAGGCCTTATCCAGGAAAGATCGCCGTGTGGCTGTAGGAGTTCTTGCCCGCTGTGGTATAAAGGTGGCGCCGGGGAGGGCGGAGACATTTGGCTGAGGCGTTCTCCTTTGCATTGACGTTGTGCAACACCGAGTACTAACTGGGCCTTTGAGCCAAGAGTGGTACAAAGGATTGGTGGCTGGCAGGGTTTTGCATGGATTATGCTTCAATTTTCTTTGGACGTTCGTTTACAGGGTTGCACTGTAGCACGATAGCCCCTAGGCCAGGAGAGACAGAAAAATGCAACCGAGCTAGGGATTTATCGGCGTGTCGGCGCACAAAAAAGCGAAGGATACTTTTTCAGAGCCATAGTTCGGCCATGGCTTCTTTTCGCGTGGAGAACCACTGGGAGAAGGAGAAGAAGGAGATATCAGGTCTGAAACCATGAAGCTTTCTTCCATTTCCAACAAGCAGTTTTGCATTTTGCGGCATAACGATAGAAACAAGAAGGTGTCCCTTGATCAGGGCGAAGAGGGCGGAGGGAAAATCTCGTGGGAATCCACGTTGGCAGGGGTTAGAATTAGCCTTTTACGCCAATGCAAACCATTCCTTCTCTGCACTAGCGGCCGTAATCTTACCCCAGGACGTGTCTTTAGCGTCCCTCCACTTGACAGGCTCCCACTAGCCAACATGGTCATTCTGTCCTCCAACCGATGGGCCCCATCCACCGGACAATCCCCCTCTTCCTCTGAGCTTCAATGGATCGCGGATCTGCCGTCAAAATCCAAGAATCCCCAAGGCATATGTACAGCCTCATCACCTGTGGAAATAGGGTAGAAGAGCCAAAAGGTTTCGCCCTCAACCAGGGCCCTGGAACCCTAGAACCCTGAAAACAGCACCGACTCTGAAGCTTTCTTCGGACGGTCGGTGTGGCGAGTGATGGCTCCAGTATGAGGGCTTTACACCTGCAATCTTCCAGGCCCTCGCCAACACATTGCATTGCATTGTGATCCAATTGCCGAAATCAATTCATTGCAACCACTTCCGTAAAGGACAGGGATCGGCACAAAGCTCCATCAAGCTACAGACCACTCACACATCCTATCCACTTGGCCCATTGAGGCCCAGAGCTTTTCCCCTCTTGTGCTTGTACACCTTGCTTCGGTCGTCTATCTAACTGGAACTCTTCGACAATATTGCGCTAGACCTTCGCTCCGGCTTCTGACGAGTGTTCGATAGTTCTTAAATACCCGAGATGTTTTACGCGCGGCCTTGGACGGACTATCGATTGCACAGCTTCAAGGCCCTCTGTCTTGTTTCCCCTGTCTAGCATCTCGCGTGGCCGTCTAACAGCCTCGTGGCAGTGATAGGGGTCTAAAAGGGACTGTTTATAAACCGAGGGGAGCCGCCAGGATCCAGGTTTTTCTCTCTTCTCCAGGGAATTCTGCCTCCGCGACAAGCGTACCACTTGGATCGATTCCTGATTTCAGGTATCGGCCGTCCACTCCCTTGACTTTCTCGACTTTCCTTGAACCACTTTTTCCTTTTTATTGATTTGTGCCCGAGAGCTTTTTACACCATGCATCTTCAATTTCTTCTTCCGGCATTGTTAGCCGTCGGGGGTACCCGGGCGGCACCATGGATGGCACCGGAGCCTGTGGAACACAGCTTGTCTAAGCGCCAAACCGATACGTCTGCCGCATCGGTCTTCATACCGGCCTCAACCCTCGAGACAGATATTCTGGCGGCCAAAGGTCTTGTCAACCTGGCATTCTACGAGCTGACGAATCCCTCTGGGGGAAGCTGCAATTTGCTCAATGCGGCGGTGCGAAGAGAATGGTCCACGCTATCAAAGGAAGAAAGGCTTGAGTACATCAATGCTGAGTTGTGCTTGATGTCGAAGCCGTCGCAGGATCCTAGTTTCGCGGCAGGGGCGAAATCGCGCTACGACGACTTTGTTGCCGTGCATATCAACCAAACACTATCCATCCACGGAACCGCAAACTTCCTGGCGTGGCATCGTACCTTCACCTGGAACTTCGAGCAAGCGCTGCGGAATGAGTGTGGCTACACAGGGTATCAACCGTACTGGAACTGGGGAAAGTACGCCTTTGACCCTCTCAACTCTCCACTATTCGACGGCAGCGACTACAGCATGTCAGGCAACGGTGCTTACGCGCCACACGGCTGCACTGAAGCCCTGCCCACGGATCTGAACTGCATTCCTCCTGGCTCTGGAGGCGGTTGCGTGACCACGGGGCCGTTCAAGGATTATGTCGTCAACTTGGGTCCCGTTGCGCCGACCCTGGATGTCCCGGGGATCATCAACTACTCCAACCCCAACCCTCTCGCCTACAACCCCCGGTGTCTCCGTCGCGACATCTCATCCTGGGTGTCTTCCAACTGGACCAAGGACTCGGACTCTTACGACCTCCTCACCAACTACAACGACATCCTGTCGTTCCAGAACCGCATGCAAGGGGATTTCAGCGTCGGGTTCTACGGCGTCCACACAGCCGGCCACTTCACCACCGGCGGCGACCCGGGCGGCGACATCTTCTCCTCGCCCGCTGAGCCGACGTTCTTCCTGCACCACGCGCAAATCGACCGCACTTGGTGGATCTGGCAGAACCAGGACCCCCAGGACAGGAGGAGCGCCTTTGCCGGTGGTACCTCGACGCTGGACCCCGTCAACAGCCCGCCCGGAAAGCTGACAGACCCGATCATCATGGGAAGTTTGGGACAGACAATCGAGAACCAGGACGCGTTGTGGACCACCGCGGGGCCTTTCTGCTACATTTACGTCTGAAGGAAGAAAACGGGGAGGAGAAGGAGGAGGGGTGGCGTTTGTTTTGGGCATCACGACCATTCTCAAATCCGAGTACGCAATAGAATTCACAGGATTTCACAGCAAGCAATCGAGCATACACGGCGAGACTTGTTGAGCATAGTACATAATGTTTATTCCCTAGTCCGGTCTCCAGTCTGGACGACTCTGCGATGATTCCGCCTGTCCTTTCCACACCCCCGAGTCGTATTGCATGTTGTCTGGCGCTGATCTACTTACTATGTGGTGATCTGCAGCCCCTGGCTAAGCTGACAACTTGTTCCCACCGCATCGCATCGCATCACATCAGGACGATGCTGACTGCCCTGTCACCTACTACCCGTCAGAGATCCAACCCATGCTGGCACGAACGGCGGATTGTGCTCGAGCGTACGAGATGGCCTGACAGTTAACTAGCTCCCTTGCTCAAGTTCACTGTCCGCGTCGCGAGTGAGGGTAGGAAGATACCGGTCAAACGATCTCGGAATGGAAGATGGCGGTAGGCTCGCGTATCTTTCTTATTATTGTATGCACCTCGATTGGTCGTGCCAAGGAGGACTTTATCCGGGCAGCTGAAACCCGCAAGGCTGACGTGGGAATGGAGCCCCATTTTGTCACTCCCCCACAAGGCTGCACGAGGTGAGGCAAGGCAAGGGTAGTCTTCACTTCACTCCACACAACGCAGACACAGGCGCACGCCGGTAGGGCCCATTCAACAATGACTCGAACAGCAAATCCCTGAAACTTGACTCTCTCCCCTACCTGACCTATTGAAACGAAAATATTGGAGAAATCCATTCTGTATTCACAAACACAGCCACCCCCTGCCCTGATAGTTAGTAAGTACACTAAGACTTCAACATTTCCTCTCACAAGCCAGTCAGTAGGTACGTTTGTGCATTCTCTTCTGCGAGCTCTTCTAACATCTTCCTATCTATTCACCTCAGACCGCACACTTTCACCCAGGATTCTTTCGTGCCATGAACCCATCATCACATTGAGTACTGAATCACCAGCCGCTGGAATCCCGCAGGACACGCAGAGAAGGGATAAAGGGATGTTCGACCTCGTGAATTGGTTGATGCTGATGTGCTGCTGGTGTTGCGACGGCAAGGACAAGGACGAGGATGAATATGACATTGCGGAACGCAAACTCAAACGCCAGCACGAGCGAGAGAGTCGGGGCGGGGGGGACGGCGGTGTACAGAGCCAGGGAGAGGGTTAGGGGAAAGGACAAGGACAAGCGCCGAAGAAGAAGAAGACGCCGCGACTAGCGCATGCGCCGCAGCTGGAGACCGAGACATGATCGGAAGGGAAACAAACAGAGCGCGATCTGACACCTTCACGCTGTGGATCTCACGATAGAGACAACGAAGGGTCGAACGTTCGCGCCTTGGAAAGGACAAGGCAGCGCAACGCAGGGTCTGCTTCGACTCATACTCATTCTTCGCTAACGCCCCTCGCACGCCGCCGCAACAGTCAGCCCCGACCACTCACCCACTCAATCACTCACCTACCTACCTACTCAATCGTCCCCCCATTCACTCCTCTTGAAAACTCCCTCCAGGCGGCTCCTCCTCGTACTGCACAGCTTCCGGCGGGACATCCACGACGGCGGACCTCGTCCAAATATGCACGGCATCCCTCATCATCTCCTTGGTCAGCCCGTCCAAACACCCGGCCTTGACGCTCAACATGGGCGCAGTCTTGCCCTCGCGCGACACATGCACGTGGACGAGCCGGCTGCCGCACCCGGTGCAGAAATACCCTTCCGTGGAGCCCTGCGAGTTGGGGCGCGCGTACACGGCGATGGCGCCCGGATGGGGCGCGAACTGCCGAATGTCGAAATAGGGGAAGATGGCCGTCATGCCGTATGTCGACGACGACTGGTGCCGGCACTCCGTGCAGTGGCAGATGTACAGCTCCAAGGGTCGAGGGAGCGGTGTCGTGAAACGGATCTGGCCGCATTGGCAGCGTCCTTCCATTTTTGCTTCCCCCAATAAATTGGCCGGCTGGCGGGTGTGTGTCCCTAGGCGCACTTCAGATTCAACAAGGAAAAAGCCTGGCAAAACTTGTTGTCCTAGCAGCGAGCGGGCTTGAATGATATGCTGAAGAATCTCTCTAGCTTTTGTTTCTTGGGGTTTGAACCTGTTGAGGGGAAGTAAAAGCATTGGCTTTGCGCGCCCTTTGACCCCTCACGTGAAACTCGTATACCTAGGTACCTACCAGGTGTTTACGTACCTAGGCACTCGACACCTTCGGCGAGCTTAAGCATCCAGCACTGTACCATCCTAAGAGCGCCCGAGTTTCCCTACAGGCATGCCTACCGAGGGCACTGGTGCCATACGCACATACACATAAATAAATACGTCTCTGCCCGCTTTTTCTTTGCATATCGTCAATCCTGTGGATCAACGTTTCAATCAAGGCATTGCAAGCCTCATCTGCTTTCTTGCACTCCAGGTATTGTTTTCGGCGTGAATCCATCGTTGTCAAGGTGGAGAGTAGCCCTTACAGCTTGGTTTTGATCCGACTGTCATGAGAACCCCACTTCGGTAGAGCGGGGTTGCAGGAGTTCTGACGCCTGACTCCAGAAGGACGGTTAAGAGCCTCTCAGGCGCTTTGGCGTTGGCGGCCTTGGCCTGGCTATCAAGTCAAAAGCGCTGTGCGATTGCTGAGGCCCTCACCTCAGCTCAAGCTTCCTCGATAGTGAAAAGGCTTGCCCCTGGACTTTTGGCTCTTGCGCAATACGGCGCTGCGATGAGACGGGACAAACCGGTAAAAAGGTCGGCTAGAGGGGTTCAAGTCAGCATAGGTACCTAGGTCGCTCGGTAGGTAGGTAGAGGGATGGACCGCCAAGGCCATCAGGGGCGCTTCTCTACCTAAGCGAGGCCCCCGGCTCTTTAGTCAACGATCGTCATGCCTCAATCTCCAGATTGGGGTGACTTCGGGCTTCAAAATGTCGGGATCCTCTCAGTCCGGGCTAGCAACGTGCGCGCATTTGGCCAAGTCCCAGACACGGAACGTTTAGAAAGCCAAACGAGTGGCTGGTATCGCTCGTCGACCGAAACGTCTCGAAGCTACGACAAATCCAAGCGGGGTACCACCGTCAGGCGTCGTGGCCTGACCCAAGTCGGCCGTTTCGTTGGGCCGTTTCGGACACGGGCAAGCGAGCGCCCACCTTGGTTGATTGGGTTCATAGGAAGACGCGCACACCGTTTGTCCTGCCCAACCTCTGAAACATTCTTCGACTCCTTCCCACTTCGTGGTCGCTGCGGTTGTCAATCCCAAAGGGACCTGTATCAAGCCGAAACAGGGCAATGTAAGAGCTCTGAATGAAGTCCGCTTGGCTTGCAGCTATGTCTGAATCGAGCTTGTATGGTACGGACACCCCGCGAACGGATTCCGAGACAGATGACTTCGATACCTCCGAAGATGAACTGGCCTATGCTGCCGTAGATACCAAGGCGCAAAAGGCTCGAAATACGACCTCGCCCAGGACCAGCACTACCAGATCTCGGCAGCTCATCAATAGCCCGAAACCGCCCGTACCTAAAGCCATATCAGCATGCCTCGTCGACCCTTTTGAAACGCTGCCTATTGCGGTCGATGGAGTCACAAACCAGCTACTTCATTTCTACGGCCAGGACAGCTACTGGCAAACTGCCTATGCTCTGTCTCCCAAGATCAAACCATCCATCAAGGGATCATGGGAGTATCAGGCGGGCGCATGCCTGACTCATTTCCACATATTGATGGCTCGTTCAGCGCTGCATCAGCTACGCATGAATCCCAAACACATCACGCCGGCCACAAAAAAAGCCTTGGAATATGCGGCATTGCAGCATCAGACTAAAGCGATCAGTATTCTTCGGGAGAATGTGGAACGTGGCTCCAGCGCTGATCTCAAGCTGATATTGACTTCCATCATCAGCCTTGCAACATTTGAGCAACGGTACGGGGAACGCGAGAAAGCGGTGCTGCATTTTAGAACCGGTAGGGATATCATCCGCCAAATTGGCCTGCAGGACGGTCTGCATGATCGTCTGAGAGAGGAACAGGCTCTGTGGTTCGAGGGAATCTATCGAGACGCCGAAGCGAGCTGGATGTGGGGCCAGGAGGATGCTAATATGCGACTTGGATGGCTCAAGTCTCTCCTGAGGGATGTCGATCGGATGTGGAGAGATGTGCAGTTGTTGCACTTGAAGGACAAAGGGCCGTATGTTGGCGACGACCTGAGGCTGCGTGAGTTCCTGTTCCGCGAGACAACAGGTAGGAATGTGAGTGTGTACAGCGACATTGATGAATTTGTCGCGCAGCAGCGTTGCGTCTTAATTCTTGTATCGATCATGTGTGGAGTGCACGGAGTCTTGGAAGCGCAGGGTCACCTAAAAGTGGTGTCCAAGATGATGGCACTGAAAGTCGCAATACAAGCATATATCGGTATGATCGAGGATTTGTTGGTTGAGCATGATCTGGGCGAACAACAAGCAGAGGCCGACTTGCTTTGGATGATGTGCCAGAACTATCGCGATGCAAAGCCGCGCCTGGTGAACGCCGGCACGATGATGGTGCGAGATGCCCTGCAAAAACTGGACCTGCGGGACTGTCATTGGCGTGCCAGCGGGATTGCCAATGTGGTCAAATATCTTCCTCAAAGCCGGCAGCTGACATTGAGGAACATGCTTCTCGACTTCATCAGCGGTAAACCTTATTCAGGAAAGGTCAAGGTTAACGAGTTCGAGTTCAGTTATGCCGGCGTGTGACTATCGACAACCTCTGAAAGAGCCGAGGGGAGGAAGGCAGCTCTTTTGGCAACCCTTCTCACACTTCCATGCGCAGCTTGCGTCCAATGGGGTCTCAAAATAAGGCAGAGACAGCCCTGGCCAAGGAGCAGTCTGCAAGCCCGGACTGGTTCCAAATTTGGCCGTTTGTACAGGAAGGGGAGAGGGTGTGAGAAAATCATCATGTGCTGTGGCGTCTGGGATCTGGCTAAATGCCCAAAGCCAGGATAATTACGGGCATCAGCGGAAATGGCCCGGAAGTCACGAGCAATGGGCTGGAGCAGAAAGCTCAGCGCATGCGTTCTAGCAGTCAGACCACAACGGGGATGAGGCCTTCCAGGTTTTCCTATGATCAATCCGGCATCGCTCATGACCAGGCTGAAAAGCCGTGCATGGATTCCATTAGCGTATATCGCGGATGTTGATCAGCAGCCGGAGAATCGACGTGACGCTGAAAATGATGGTAAGCGTAGGGAGGAGCAAGTGCTGCTGTCCAGCTGCTGGACCCTTGTTCCTCTGTGAAGATGTACCGGTTCCCCTCTCCAGGTCTAGGGACGGGGCGAGGTGGGAGACCCTCGATGCGAGGCATGGGACCTGAGCAAACGGCACCGCCTCCAATGGGCAATGTTCCGGGGAATTGTCCTTAGGTAAATTGGGCTGCAGTGGCTGACCGCGGATGCAAAGTCAAGGTTCCGAAGTGCCCACCCCCACGAGCTAATCGGCGTCGCCTATCGGATTCGTCTTCACATCCAGAAGAAATGTCCAGAAGCATTAATCTTTGGCGCAGGGGAGCTCTCCCCATGAAGAAGGATTCACATCACACTGTCGTAACACCGTGGCAGACAGCCCCTCAAAGAATGGTGTCCGGAATTGTGATCATCCTGGGTAGTTCCTGGGAAGTGGCCTGCATGGAGTACTTAAAGGCCGGCAGTGCAAGTTGTATCGACAGAGTGAACCTGTTTTTCGGTATGCCCTTGTGACGAGGGACGACGAGAGAGGATCTTGCTTCAACATCTGTTTGACAGCTCCACAGTCTTCTTCTGGGCCTTCTTAACTATTCGGAAATGGATCGACTGCCTGATTGGATGACTCCTCTGCACAATCCACCTTCTCTTCCTGCGCAACCCCTTTGTGCAACTTGGCTTCCGCAGTTCGGGGCACAATTTGACAACCATTTTGTGCATCCTATTAAATGCTCGCTCCGTCACCACACAGCCGTGGCTCAAAACTTTGAATACACTCATCGTGGAAGGGATGGACGAGAAACAAACTCTCCCTCGAGGGTTTGGTCAGATGGCTCTGAGCCGGCTTCTCTGATGACGCCAGGAAGCACGTTCTTGGGCTTGTTGGGGCGTCGAAGCGACCTTGAAGACTTGCAGCAGGATAGTGTTCTTGGGCAATTGGCAGAAGCAAAGGCGTCCCTCGTCCAAGATGTCGCACGCATCCTGCGAAGCTTTATGGGCTTGGAGCCCTCGTCGTACCCCCTGGTTGATATTGCCGGGTATGACGTGCATGAACAGGCACCTGAGCGCCAGCCATGTCATACTCAGACCCTATTGACGCCGTCCCTCCTTTCAGGCTTTCTGTCCAATCAGGTTCCGGATCATTTAGAACGCTGGTTCGCACAGTCCGATTCGGCATATCTATTCACCCTCGATGATGATAGAACCTTGTGGAGATGGAAAGAGAAGTCGGAGTCAATGTTTCCACTTGATGGGAAGGAGGATACAGGCTCGTTGGATACGTCGGGCGTGGAGAAGGAAGTTTGGAGTGACGACAATAGATCGCAGCAGACAGGCATCACTTCCGCCGTTTCCGCCATATGAGTGTGAGTACGGGGAGCGCAGCTGCTTCGAGAGGTATTTGTGCCAGTTAGTATGGAACTGGTAACATGATGCGAACCATAGTCCATCGGGTTGGTGTTGAGGTGGTTTTGCGACGATTTTTTGGGTGACATATCATGCTTTACCCTTTGTTGGTGCGCCTTTTGAATGGTGCAAAGGCGAGGGAGCACCCTAAGCCCCTGGCCAGTTGGAGATGATAGCATGCCCTGCCAGTGCTGGATCTTTGTAAGTAGGGAATGGTGACATTATGACAGAAGATGGTAATTGAAGAGCGAAGCTGAACGTGATGCAAATTGGAGACGGCTTTGCAGCCCGGCGTGCGGATTTACTTTCCTGCGAGATCATGCCAACCCGGAATGGGGGCCCTCAGCCTTGGCCTGCAAAACCTCGAGTTCAACACCCAAATGGCATCAACAAACTACTGTTCTTTGTTCATTGGAATATCATATTCCTGTGTATACTCGTACTTATCTCATGCCTCAATGCCCCCGCGCCGTCGCTTGTTCAACTGTGAGAGCCAGTGCGCCATTGCCTTCGAGTCCCCGCAAGACGGAACAGAAACGGTTCACCTGCGAGTTCTAACTTTGACAGAATCAGGGTGTGAATACCAATGGTACATAGTAAGGTGCCAGTGACGATTCCGAAAGCGCTCAATACCCACAAAACATGGACGCTAGGGACAACAATCTCGAGAGGGGGCTCGAAATGAAGCAGCCACCTTAGTTGACCGACATTTTCCAGCATATGCATGCCGATTCCCGCGAACTGCGGTGAGTGGGAAGTTGTCGCTCCTTTTGCGCGAACCATGCGAACCACGCCCCCTGTCAGCCACCAGGCAACAAGAAAGGCTTCACTCCAACAGCCTGTCTAGGTATATCCTCTGGGAATCTCTTGCAGCTCTAGCATAGCCCTCAGCCTGATTGGAGGAGAAGGACTGGACCGTGGTGGAGACGATCCCTGAAGGCAACAACGGGCCGATGCGAAAGGCAACCAGCGGCTCTTTGTGTGAGGACTTTTGGCCTCCCGCTTTCAACGACCAAACAATTGTGGATCGGGCACCCCCACGCATTATTCCTTGCCGTTCTCCCTTTTGCCCTGGACATGGAAGGTTCGGCAGTTCCTGCTGGTATATTCTGGCTGCCACAAAGACGGAAGGGGTTCATTATCGGCCTGATCTTACTAGTGCCATGTCGGCTTCATGTGCCAAAGCGAGGATGCTCTCGATTCCGTCGCAGATGCCGGACTTGCCACGGGAGCAACATGATGGCCTGAGGCTAGAGACTTGCCTGCGTAAGGCAGGGCCATTTACTCAGACGAGTTGTCAGTCGCCGATCGTACTAAAATCTCGACCGGCAGTACTGCACCTTAGCAGGCAAAGTACACTTGAAGCAAAGGAAGGTAATGCTAACGTCGAAGTGTCAAATCACCGTACATAGAAGCTACGTGTTACAACTTACCTGTGAGGTGCGCCCCAGCCTGGTCATAATGAAAATCGCCTATCGACTTCCAATCCGTCTAAGTTCGCTTCCATGATTGAATACACCGTCGTCCTTCCAGCTCTGGAAGCTCCTGGTTCAGGAAGACACTGTTACGAGCGTCACATCTTCATGCTCCTCTGGCTAGTTCATTTCTTCTAGGGCAGTATGTAGACTATTGTGTGCATATTGAGTCAAATTTTCGTAACGACTCTGTCTCTCTTTAATCACTATCATCGCCTGCTATCGAGGGATACCCAGAAATTGCTAATCATTGTATACCAGCCGCACAGATGGTCCGCATTTCATCACATAGTTCTCCACACTGCTCACGTGTGACCACCGTCTGAAGCCTTCTGAAAAGTATTTGAGTATTGGCACCGTCCTTCAGTGTCAATAACCACTCCCCAGCCGCGAAGGATCTGCGCTACTCTCTCGTGACAGCTCGAGATGCCACTATGTTCGCTAGCAGTGGAAACAAAAAGAGACTTGAGGTCTCAGCCTTGGCAGGCTGAAATTGCGCCTGTGGATGAGGTCACACGAAGTATGAGAAGTCTGAGCATGACCCCTTGGAGGCTACTCGTGCCGAAGAGGATGGCTGTCCTCAAGTTCTTTCGCTGTGAGAGAGGGGAGAAATATCAGTGCTCGGACTCTCAAAACAAGGAGGTGAACCACGTACTTGTCAAGATTCCACGAGTCTTGACGGCCATCTTGACGGTCGGATCCTGGAATACCACGAGCGGCTCCATAGCAACTCGAAGATCGGTCTGGTCTTTGCCCAAAGGAGCGTCGTAGTCGACGGAGAAGACGGAGAGAGAAGCGTAGCAGCCTTGGTCGACGACGTTGGTCTCGCCAGGCAGGGCGCAGTTGCCGTTGATACAGCGATTCACACCGGAGCCAAGGTAGTTACCGTAATGGAATGTGCCCGTCGTGGCGTTGTACAGAGCCGAATCAGTGAAGCCGCCTCCGGAGAAGCGAGTCTGGATGAATGGTGGGGCGACGCACGAGGCGTTGGTAAAAGAGGTGATGAACGGGGTGTTGACACTTTTTGTTTGAGGTTGCAAATTAGTTGTTGCTCTCTCTTTCAACTCACTCACATAAAACCTACTTCAACCCATAGCCAACGGGCATTAGCCTCTTGCCCGACTTCGTCCCATTCACCAGCTGTCTGACAACATCGGCAGCCAGGCGGCCCTGGATGGTCGCTGGGTCAGGGTGACCGGAGGCTGTCGTGGCATTGATCCAGGTATATGACCGCTGCTCGCTGTTGGCTCCGGAGAAGGCGATACCAGGGATACCTCGCCCAACGGCGGCGTATGTGCCGCCCATTGTGCCACTCAGAGTGTACAGAAAACTTCCCACGTTGGTCCCGTAGTTGGGCCCGCCCACATACAGGTCGATCGTCTTGTTGTCGTAGTACAGTGGGAGCACATAATCCAAGGCCACAAAGGTGCATGCGGCGGGTGTGCCGTTATAGTACCAAATGTTCGGATCTAATGGGTCGCGGCCCAGCGCTGGAGCTCCCGCAGGAATCAGGTCGAACTCAGAAGCGGTTGTCAGGTTCGCAGAGGAGGAGTACACGGCTCGACCACCTTGACCACTCTCGTTATCGACCGGGGCGACGATCACGACATCGTGTCCGTCGGCCTTGAGGAAGCGGTAGAACTCACGAAGCTGTGCGCTTCCGAACCCGTCGTCGTTGCCCATGAGGATCGAAATGGCCGCAGAACCGCCGGACAGGGCGGACACCACTGCCAAGGAAGAGAGGAGTGGGAGCTTCATCTTGACAAGAATTCGTTCCACGGATCTGATAACCGCGGTTGGCTAGAACTTGCAAATCTTGACTCTTGAAGCTCCAAGCTTTGAGGGAAGCTTGAGAGGAAGAAGTAGAGCTCCCCTGGCCTGCACGGATCGCTCAAATGCCATTTTAAATGAACCAGACTCTCTCATTCAAGGCCGCCATTAAGCTTTACAACAGGTTGATCAGTTCGGCACAAACGGTAGAACGGTTGATTGTAACGTCCCATCGAGCACACGACCACATTCCTTGACTGGGATAGTGTGAAGGCACCAGGAACCTGGAAGGATGAGGGTTCGCCGAGTTGATTGGCTGACGATAAGGCTTCGGCGAGCTCCATGGGATCGCATCAAGCATTACGTAGGTCGATCAATACTTTCTTTCATCCGGAACCTCACTAGCCTGCAGAGATCATCTTTGAGAGTTGCGCCAAACGTGAGCCTTTGTCTGGTGTTGATAGGAAGCGAGCTCGGAGATCTTTTGTGCTGATTGAGACCTGCGTTCCTCCGTTGTCCGTGGGTGAATCTGCTCTTCGTTCTCATCCATCACAACACGCTCATAATTAAGGTTTCGCCAGCCGCTCTCGTAAGTTTCAAGCGCTAGATTCTCTAGACCTCACCGGCGATTAAAGTAACTGGTGATAGCAGTTTGTTGACTTTGGCAGTTAGCTAGCCAGGGCTAGTCGAATACGATAATAATCCAAATTGACTATTTAACCGTGTTCACCAGCGGCGAGCTTTCGGGCAGCATTCAAGAAATCTATAAAGAACTTGGACAGGTGTAAGGACATGTGTCAGCCATCGTTTATTTTCTGGTGGTTGTTCTCAGAGTTATAAGTCGAAGCATGAAAGACATTTGGGTTTCTTTGCGACACCAGAGGAGGGCACGCGAAAACATTTGGCCACATCGATTTGGTGAAGGAGTCGCGTCTATTTAAACCCCAGATTACATCGCCCCTGTAATTCCGCCGCTTACTGAGATAAATTGTGCAGTGATCCACCGGCTCTTCTCTGACACCAGCAGTAGCGTAGCATCAGCCAGGTCCTCCACCGAGCCAAGGCGATCCGCAGCTCGCGTCTGCGCATACATAGCTTGCTGAAGCGCGGTGGGAGACCCATCAGGGTTCACCAGATACTCTTTGGACATGTCTGTTGGAACTGGACCCGGGGCGAGTGTATTGACGGTGATTCCGTGGCTCTTGCCAAGCTGTCGAGACGTTTCATTAGATGGTTGTTGAGCGGTAGAGAGTGGAAGAACCCCAAAGGAAAGCTTACCTCGCCAGCCCATAGCGTTGTCAGGGCATCCATTGCAGCTTTTGTCGTACTATAGACAGCGGGCGGGACCAAAACCTTGGAGGCGATGGACCCGATGTTGATGATGCGGCCTCCTTGCGGCATTCGACCCACGCCAACAACAGCCTGTGTCATATAGATCATGCCAAAGACGTTGACGGCGAACTCATGTTCGAGCTGGTCTTGTTTCACATCCATGAGAGGTGTGTTGCGTGCAATTGCTGCATTGTTGACTGAAAACAGAATGAATTCAATCAGCTTTTGTCCCAACGAGTCCGGAAAGAAAGCATCACGCCAGCCAGCCATTGACATACCGAGAATATCGATGTGATCGACAGCAAATGCTTTCAGGATCTGCTCAACAATGTTCTTCGCAGTGTCGTAGCTTTCCACCCCTCCGTGTACGACGGTGGTTTTGGTGCCAAACTCTTTGCTGATGTCGCTCGCTACCTTCTCAGCTCGCGCCTTGGAGTCCTCCGACACGTAATGAATCGCTACCGACGCGCCGTTCCTGGCCAAGGCTCTGGCAATAGCGGCACCGATGCCAGTCTCTCTGCCAGACCCTGTCACCAAAGCAGTCTTCCCTGCAAGCGAGAGTGTGTCGGCCGACATATCCAGTAAATTAGCAGTAGGCTGTTGAAGTAAAGGGTCACACAGGACGTCGAATTCAGATTGACAAGAACCTACGTCTTATATATATCAGAGAGTTGACTATACGGAATTGCTACTAAGAATTTTGTCTATGTTGATGTCGTAGCTGGTGCCATAGCTGGTGCGGTTTTGTGCGGTTGGTGCTCGGCTTATGCTGATGCGATGGCTGGTGCGATCTCGTGCGATTGGTGTCATTCGGTGCTCAGCTGGTCCTTGCAGTCTGATGCTGCTTTGTGTTTTGGCTTATACTGAAAACCGGTGCGGTTTCGTGCGACTTGGTGCGACTTGTTGCTCGACCTATACTGATGCGATGGCCGGTGCGATTTCGTGCGATTTCGTGCGGTTCGCCGTTCTGCCCCCGCGTAAATTCAATCTAGATTACAAATGCTGCCGGAGCTATTGTCACCCTCTCGAATCTTACTTAAATAACTCTCAGAGGCCTGGATAGCCGTAATAAACATCTTTGTCGATCTATATACTACCGGACGAAAGGCTTGGCGCTTGAACCCGAATACTCTAATTTCTCCCTCCACTCGGCACCATGCCCGGCACATCCCCAGTCATCCTGATCCTGGGAGCAGGACCAAATATCGGCCAGGCAGTGGCTCGGACCTTTGCATCAAGGGGCTACAAGGTTGCGCTCGCTGCGCGATCACTGGACGAGGCAGCTAGCACGGACAATCAGTTGAACATCACGAGTGACTTCGCCAACTCCGACGATGTGGTCAAGGCATTCAAAAGGGTCCATACAGTGTTTGGGATCCCAAGTGTTGTCGTTTATAATGGTAAACCCTGAAGCCCCTGAGAAATGCTTTTGAAATTCCTGCTGAAAATCAAACCCGCAGTCTCCGCCTCCACGCTCACACCACCTCAGGACGCATTCGCACTTCCGCTAGCCGCTTTCAATCGAGATTTGGCAATCAATGTCACGAGCGCCTTTGTCGCCGCGCAACAAGCTGCTCTGGGCTTTGCACAACTCCCTGATTCTACTTCAAAGACGTTCATCTACACTGGAAACATCCTGAATGTTGCCATCATCCCGTCATTTCTCGACCAAGGCGTCGGAAAGTCCGCCGGCGCCCATATGATGTGGGCTGCTTCAGCTGCGTACAAAGACCGTGGATTCAAGTAAGCCTTCTATGCTCCTACGATGACTCGCTTGTGGAGGGAAATTAAGAATTGTAGGTTTTATTATTGCGACGAACGCAAAGCGGACGGGACGGCCAAATATAAGGTTGATGGTGAGGCGCATGCACAACTCTACTGGAAGCTCACGGAGGACAAGACACAGGGGCCATGGATGCAGACATTCGTCAAGGGCGTTGGATATACCAAGTTTGAGAACCAATATGGGTCTTCCAGCTAAGACTTGCTTGAGTGTCTAGGGTCTTGCGCCTAGTATGCGGATTCAACCAGGGCAGCTTGATAAGTGAGGCAGCTTTGCCTAGCTACAAGAGTACGAGCGACCCATTGAGAGTGCCATGTGACCGTGTCAAAGCTCAAGTCACCGATACGATTTGTAACATATTCCCTTCAACGCGTCGTATTTAACAAAGACAACCCGTTAGCACTGTCGGCAAGCTGGTAGGAGCGCAGTCCAGCAAATGGTAAAAGTACAAATATTAAAGGTTCATAAATAATATTTGGGTGGTCGCATTAAGACTTCCTGTTATTGGTGATTTATATAGACCTATTCGAACCTAGGCCACACCAACTGGTCCCATAGTGAGCACCCACAAATTTGATGAGGACATTTCATATGTGGAAAAAGGACAGAGAACAACCGAAAGGAGATGTCGAGCTAATTGAAAGCGAGGACTGCGAGGACTGCGAAGACTGCGAGAGCGGTGAAGATAGTTCTGAATGTGACTGCAGTTCGAGAGCAGCATTGATGTGGGCAAGCTATTGTTGACTTGCGTATACCCTTGGTTGTATCCCAATACCCACCTCTTCAGAAGCAGCGCCGACAAGGCCCACATATCTCGTAGACGCTTGTGCTTGACGACACAATCCGACCGGTTGGAGGACAATCCGTCTGATCGCCGCACCACGGGCACTTTGTCTTTTGCTGTCCGCTTTCTTCCACTGGGGCGCACCAGAATCCCCTATGACTGAGAAGTGTTTTTGGGACTACTGGACAACGGCTGGCGGGACGACTCTCGTCGTGTTTCTCATTTGGTTGTCCTTGCTTCAGCAAGAATGTTGGTCCTCGGCGAAAAAGGACCAAGGAGCGCAGATCTCGGCAACTGCGCTGAACACTGTCAACTTTCAAAAATAGTCATCCTTCCGACTAATTATGGAGTCTGTTATGAGCTGCTGATCGCTATGGACTGCAACTCGCTGCACTTACCACGAGTAGTCTAGTCGGAGCAAGTTGAGCCGCCTGGAACCGGCAGCCAATGTTCGGAATCATCCAGCTTTGTTACCTTCAAAAGTCCTCCTGCAGCGACGTAAAAAGCTGTATCAGCTACGTACTCGTCCAAAAGTATGGGGCAATAACACAGCTGGTTGACGTGCGTCATCTCGCAGTCTTCTTCGGACGGTGGGCGGGGCCTTTCGCGTTCGATTACCGGGTCTTGACACGAGTTCCTGGTATTACGCAATCCTCGCTCCTAACCAAATCTTGTTGAGCAGATCTCATGCTTCATGTGGCAATGAGAACAAGAAGAAGCAGCTTACAGAAGCTCTCAGCTCGGGGGCCTTGCTTCAACAATTGACAGGTAGGTGCGAGGGTATGTCGATCATCCGCAGCTAAGGCGACGTGGCACTCTGGGTCCTAACAGAAGCAAATACAGCACTAGCAAAACGGCTTATCATCTGCTCGCTGGAGATGTTTCTGCCAACAGGGCTTGAAGCCGCTTGCGCATGCTGCTGGGCTTTGGCCCAGAAGAAAAGAATGATAGAAGAGACGATACACCGCATGGGAAAGATCTTGCACTACGTGTCCTCGGGTACCTTTTGTTTTCTCCAATGTCACAGCCCTCGTCCTGTGTCAGAAGCACCGCAACCAGAGCATCGCTCCGCGATCAGCATGACGTTGCCGCGATCACGGTGCCATGATGCTAATGGGTCCACATCAGACTCGACGACGATGGCGCCTTGTAATCGAGGACGAACATGGAGAGCGAGTTGATACCGGAAGTCTTCAAAAGGACGGATACTGGCCAAGAGGAGGGTCGGACAAAGCAGGAATCCGGGTCCTTATTAACGGTGAAGCCGATAAGTAAGCTGGCATTACCGCTACCTCGGAGTGGTGGTGTGGGTCTTTAGCCAAACACAATTTACTGTGCTGTGCTACAGCTTGCGTGGTCGTGGGATCAGTCTGCGGCTCCGAGATAAGCAGACCAAAAGAGTAGAGTGTCATACGAGCAGTGGTGAATACCAAGTTTGCCACGAACTTAGTTATTCCTGCGAGATGTTCCTCGTAGTCTCGACTGCACGACCTAGGGCACCAATAGGCGGGATACTTTCTTTTGGGAGGATGTCTATACTTGCCAGAACGGGCTAGATCACCTACCTAATCGTAACAAGCTTACGAGGTACCTCTTACCGGTACACGTCTCGGCAGATGAAGGATCCCTCGCCGAGGCACATCTGGAAACGAGTCTTACGCAGTAATTATATAAGCGAATCAGGAATTCAACCTGGCAATGCTGGGTTGATCTTGGGGGCCATTTGTTTCGTTTCCCATTTCTTACCGCTATCGCTCCCAGGGGCGAGATGATTGTGTGGACAAAGCTTAGGTTCTACTTTAATTGGACTACTCGTACTCGGTATACACAGTAATGTCTGAGCCGTCGGCTCCGTGGCACACGCCTGGTGGGTACCTGTCACTGAACGGCTCTTGTCCGTGCGGCATGAGTCGCAGCACGATCCAGCCCACATCGAGGATGTAACCGTCTCGTACGGGACGGACCCCTTTTCCACCATGACGGCCGCAAAAGCCGCTTGGCCCCCACGAGTATAGTTCGCACCACCTGCCTTCCTGGTCTTCGACAATTAGTTGTACCACGATCCATTTGGAGGGCTCGAGGGGTTGTGGATAATGCGTCGTGGTTTGTCACCAGTTCCGGCTAGAACTCGGGGAATTGGGGGAAAACAAAACACCAAAAAAGGCCCCAGGAGCCGATTCTCCACGTTACTTCGGCCTAAGCCTTATCGGAGGGCGGCCCGTCTCGTACCTGTACGAGTTACTCTCTATTCCAATGCATCGTGTGGGACAAAAGCCAATGCCAAACAAGCATGAACTTAGCTTAACTGTCCAATGTCGTGCGAAGATGCCCGTTACCAATGTCTTCCTACTAGTAGCTAACGATCGAATACGGACGTAAGAGATACACGGCATAAACGTCAGCTTACTTCGAGCCAAGGCTACAAGTTTTGTCCTCCACCTGGGATACACCTATAGTACATGATTGGCCCCGAGATGTCAATCTCAAGCAGGAGCACTCGTCACAACTGACTTGCAACAGTCGCCCTGGGGCTGGAACCAGAGACTTGAGGCGCTGATCGAGGACTTAGGAATCCGTTTTCTGGCCCCTTCGAAAGACGATCTCGCTTGGCAGAAGGCTCAGATGCACCCGAATCCCACCACTCTGCCTGAAACCGCCCACTGGGCCTTACCTAGCCCGTCTGGGTAAACCATACACTCGTTTAAGAGTATGGTCCCCTGATCTGCTTGTCAGGGTCTGACTAAGGATCTGGACATGGTGAAAGCTAGCCCTTTCTGCCTTACCGCTTGTTGATCATATGCCCACCACTCAGATTTTAGAAACTAATATGGCTCTGTAGTGGTACCTGGCCAGGTATTAATACATCACGCGACTAGCTGCACCAGCTCCGGAGTAGGAGTCAAGCCAATAATACACTATATATCTGCGGGAAGGCAGTGTTGCAGCAGTGTAACAGAACACGGCATTCTTCCTTCTTGCATACTCCACATCAGTAATATTCGTAGGATTAACTTGTAAAAGTTATATCAGTTCCCACCACCGGACTGCACAGCCATTCACAGGTGTTTGACACGTCGCACAGCCGCAGATGCGATCCTTGCTGAAGGCGCGCTGCTTACCGCAATTAGGGGATTTCCATGCTGTTGTTTACCACGGCAAGAGGGGTTTGTCCAGGCTGCTTGCTGATCACAGTAAAAAGGGGGATTGCTGGCCGCGCTGCCCATCACGCCTAAAGGGGATTGGTCGAGCGGCTGCTGGGAAGGATCACGATCCCAAATTTCGCTGTCACAATGTTCGCTCATACTGGCCTAGCTTAGGAGCACCTGTTCATGTATAGAAGCTATTCGAAACGACTTTTCTCCGCGCGAAGGTATCGTTTATTTACTCATCCATAAGCCCTGCCATCTTCAGTACCTCCAGAAGAGAGCCCCCCACTCATCCCCCGTTTTCATTATCAATCCTTCACAGATTTGAATACCTGGCCTGCGGATCATTACTAGGCGATTTGATTGTTGATCATTAATCGCACGCATTCCAGTACAAGCGGTGCAGTAATGGAGAGAGCTCAGTCCAGAGCAAGAGACAATGGTCCCGGGGAAAGGCGAAAGCAGCAGAACAGAATAGCCCAACGAAGGTATCGTGAGTCCAACTGTCCTGACTCTATCTGTTGCCGTTCCGGAATGACTGACCAGCTCGGACCAGGAGACAAGATAGCCAACAGAACAAAAATGCTCGAGACTTTTGCACAACAAGCTCGTCAATTGCTCAGTGATGCGGTGGATCTCGAATTGGGGGAGCCACGATGTCCCGAGTGCAGCCACTGTCGAGGTCTTGAAAACAATCATGATGTCGAAGCATCTCAGGTTGTAGATGCACCCACTCCAACATCTCAGGATTGTCATCAGAACATTGTGATGGACTCCTTGAATTTCTCCGACAGCAGCCACGGTACTTCTCAAGAAAACCCACCCACCATTCCGGCCGGTATCTCAAAGGAAGGGACCCGGAGCCTTCGCCCTTTCGAGCTACGAAACCTGAGAAGCACCAGTCTTCCTTCTCTAAAAGACGACCTGAGTGAAGGGCGTGCGACGACTACAGGAGTGACCACGACGACGCCCAACCAAAACCTTCCCCTCAAACTCAGAGACGACCCTGCCAATTTCAACGCTGTACAAACACCCTTGTCCGACCAGACCTTTGTGGACTACATGGATCTTTCCAGCTTCGAATTCTTGAACAATCACAGTAGTACGGCCACAATGACGCCCTCAGAGGAGTCCGTACCGGTAACGGTACCGTCGCTACCGTGCCAGGATACCGTGCAGGGGAGTGCAGCACTGCACCTGGCGGCAAGAGAAGGCCGAGCGCGAATTCTCTCAATCCTCCTCCGTACTGGCCTGCGCGTCGATTCGCGGGATGAGCGAGGGCGGACGCCGCTGCATCATTGTGCGTCCCACGGCCATTCCGAGGCGGCCGAGGTCCTTCTCGCAGCTGGGGCCAATATCAATGCCGTGGATGTGGACGGAGTCAGCGTCATCATAGCTGCAGTCAAATCAGGAAGCGAGAAAATGGTAGAACTGTTGCTGAATTGCCAGAGATAGCTCTGATAGATGTGGAGAAGAAGACATGAAGGTCACCAGTTTTCGGCGATCATTCAAAGCTAGTCTTTGCACAATATCACCCTGTTGACAAATCTGACATTCATTGTGGTATCTTCACGTTAACTGCACATGCCGTAATCATGGGATAGAAGTAGAATGATGTTCACAATTGTTCTGATCTGAGTGTGTATGCTCGCAAAGCGTAAAGTCACGATGGCCGTTTGTGTAGACACACTTCTGCACGCAGGGCAAGAGGAGGAAGGCGGCCTGACCATCGAAGTGGCAACATTACAGTCCTAGTGTTGTGCGTGCTGGAGCGGGCAACCTCGATGAAACCTTGAATCAGACTCACTGATCTTGTGGAGGGATGTTTTCGAAGGGAGTCTCCCAACGGGAAATTATTATTTCGTATAGAGCCTAATAAACCGCCAACAGCTGGCCCAATATCCCCGTCTTCCTACTAAGAGTTATGGGTTATCGGAGTTAAATGGTTTTGACTACGGGCAATACTGGTCGAACGACACCGTCCCTGCCAACGTGTTCAATTCGTGCCATTCCGGCAACTTCCTCAGCAACCCAGTAAGCATGTTGGCGCAATGCTCGTGGTGCCTGTACTCCACCATCTTATCGTAGTACGGTGTGCCGTCACGAATCACCTGAGACAGACTCAGGAAAAGATATACACAATGTGTCGCATGCTCTCTCAGCTCGGCGAATATTTTTCGATCCCCGTCGAGCACCTCCTCCCACACGTCGTCATCGACCGGCTTTGTCTGGTCGAGGTCTTCCCAATACACCCATTTTTCCGCTTGCACGAATTGGTCGTTGGCGTACATGGGGCAGTTTGGGGGCAGCCAGGCCCATGTCAGTTGGTTGAACCGGCAGCCCAGCGCCCGCGCTTCAGCAGATGAGTTGCCGCAGGGATGCGGGCGGTCGTTGAACTTTGAAACGCCCGTGACATGCGTTTCTGGGGGAGGTAGATCCCATTTCCTTTTGCTAACGATGCCGTTGAAGGGCACGACAGAAGCGAAGACGATGGCTGTGCAAGCGATTAAGGCGAGCATGCCGGCGAATAACAACAGCCTTCGAAAAGCAGGTGAGCTACGTAAGCTGGCCTTTGTGTCCTCTATGTCCTCTATAGAGTCTGATTTCATGAGAGATGTCTGTTCCAGGTCGCTCATCATGTCCTTGTCATCTTCCGGCGGATGCTCTTGAAGGGTGCGATACCCCTGTGAGGGCACGAGGAGTTCCTATGTTCTCAGTCAGTGAAGCCGTCCTCTTCCAAGAGAAAGGTCTGTAACTCTTACACGCATGATGGAGAATGGCAAACTTGCGACCTGGTTGACGGTGGCAGAGAGCTTCACCCCTAAAGCGCTTGACCACGAGGCTGAAGGCGCCGCATCAGGCGTCCCAGTGGAGCCTCACTAGCCCAATGCTCACATCTCCGCACGCTTACAACAACCCCCTGATCTCAGCAGCTGCACTAAGCCTCAAACTGATGAAAAGAGCTTGCTCACATCATCAACAGCAGCACGATATTTCTCCATAGAGCCATGTTGAGCATAGTGTCATCAGCATGTCGATGTCTTGCACACATGCCTGTAACAGACCTCAAACTAAGACCGATCGATGTGCGGTCGCTGGAGATAGTACGTCGTGCGCCGTGATAGCATCAATCTTCCACTGCAGGCTATTCCACAGATCCACGACGAGCATGGAGGATACTTCTGAATCAATCGCGTCGAGAGCAAGCTCTGACACCGTCCGCGACCTCTCAGACGTTGAGGAGCCACTCAAATACACACGCCCAAAGAAACGAAGGTGTGCGCAACTGCAGCAAGCATTTCCTTGGTTACTTTCTGGATTTTTGTTATTCACGTTGGTTTTGCAACACTGGCGCTATCGGGCGAAAACATGCGTCCCAGTAGGTTATTGGGGATCATCGGATCTTGGTCAGTGAAATGTCCCCCAGACTCTGCCAAACTTTTGTGGGGGTTTTTTTGGTTATCAAGTTTACCAACGGAGAGAGAGGTTAGAGATCGCACAACGGGAAGTCCCTGCAAGAACAACACAGGTCAAGTTCTCGGGAGGTTTAAAGTGGGACGAAACAAGCCACCTCATCCGCCAAATCGACCCGACAATCCCAGACTACGGTGGCATTCCCAGTCCTGAAATCGATGCCGCCTGGCAAGCGCTCATTTCTAGTGAGTTGCCCAAAGCTTCGCCAGTTTAGTAATACGAATCAAGTGACTGATGTTGTTCAAGCAACGGATATCTTCTTGACAAGAGAGGAGGTCGACGAAATCATCGGGAATGACGGGGCCTTTGCAGAGGTGCCACCGGATGCTCACCTGTATACTGATCCGTACACGGGGCTTTATCAGGCTGTGTAAGCTTTGTCTCAGGATACATCAGAGCCCATTGCCCAGGAAAGCTGACCTGAATTCGCAGCCCTGCCGTCTTCCATAATCTGCACTGTTTGGTACGTTCTCGCCTGCGGCCCTTGCCAGGTTATTCGTGACTGACCACCAAAAGGACATTATTCGCCGCGGAGTATACATCCAGTACTACCCGGAAGAACTCACACCAAGCTTCAAGCCGCATATCCGTACGGACAGCCGCCTCTCCTCTCCAGGGCCTCAGGCTCAGACAAAGCTGACCATGTATAACAGAACACTGCATCGATTCCATCCGGCAGAGTCTAATGTGCGAGGCCGACATGACGCCCGTCCCAGAAATCCATACCACCCACCGGCCGAATGGAGAACTCGAACCGGTCTTCCAAGTCACGCACACGTGTCGAGATTTCAAGGCCATGCAGAAATGGGCCAAGTCGCGCGATGCCCTGGATGAGGCGCTGTGGAGGGACAATGCCGAGAGGCTGAAGCCCGGTGTGTTTGCGAACCCTTAGTGTACAAAGTAGGTCCTGCAGGCTAAGGCGCTGTGTGTCTGTGTAGCGCCACTATGTAGGAACTTGACTTGTTGGTTTCAATGCATGCGCACAATTGGATTCCCTTAAATTTCAAAGTTGATGTCTCTTACCCTCGAAAAGATGTAGATAAGTGTAGGCGTAGCTGTGGTGTATAGGTGATCACAATATAGGCTCGCCTCAATTTGGAGTAGCTCTGAGTTGGTGGCATCTTCTCTTTTGTACGCATGTGGATGAGCGTTGAATTGTTTGAAACAAAGGGCCTAAGCATGCAGCCAACATTGCAGGCGTTGCAGAACTTTACACGCACGACCCAGCAGCTGTGGTTTAAACTAAGTAGGAAGGATCTAGTAGGAAGGATCTATCTCGAGTTTCTTCATGACTATGTCAAAGAATGAGAGCCATCTGCGGACAAGGTTCCATAACTTCCGTTATCCGCGAGGCAAGTACGGAATAAATGTTAATCTGCATGACTAGCAATATAAATCTAATACGCAACCACTTCCATCTTCCGCACTATTCCTCCAGCGTATTGAGGGCGTCCTGATTTTGCTTCATCGCCCATCGATGAATCGTGTCAAAGCTCCGACAGGTATGCAACTGCTCAAAGTCCGGAACCTCCATACCAGCACCCACCGAGTAGACCAGCGGGATTGGCGTCAGATCTGACGTGCACTGGACCAGCTGCCTGAGGAAGTCGAGACAGTGCTCGACGTGCAGTACGTTATTCCTGCGCTCGTCCACCTTCTCGGGAATGTCGTATAAATACCCGTCGATGGTCTGTCGGAGCTTGTCGACGCAGTGTAGCGAGTGGAACACGTCGGGACCCGCGCGGTACAGGCCGTCGGCGCTGCCCTTGTCGATCCGCACAGAGAACGAGTCCTTTTGATCCTCGGTGAACGCAAGGTATCGTGTGCCGATCAGCTGCTCCCACGCATCGTCCATCTCGGGCGTCGGGGGCCCGACGTACGCTGGACCCGGTCCATTGTCGCGATACATGGTGCCGTTGTCGTAGAACTTAATTCCACCTGTGAATTTCACTTGGGATACTTGGATTGCTGGTCTGGCCAGGACTGGAGGTCGGAAATTGGTCAGTATACCAATCTCTCAAGGCAGATAGAAAGGACCACCAGTTTACTTGGTTGGAATACTTACTCATATCATTATGGTAGCCAGTCTCGAAATTTCCTCGTCCTCCGCGCCGCAGATCTTGAAAAAGAAGCAGGCCCGACAGTCCCGCAAAAATGAATGTGAGAACAATCCACGGTAACTGTGGCCTGTTCCTCCTCCGAGAATCCAGAGGGTTTTGAAAAGGCTCGGTCTTGTCTAGAAGCTTTTCATCCGCTGGCGAGTGATCATCTTGACCGCCAAGTGGGGAGTACTCCTTCCTGTTGGGCCAGAAGAATTTGAAGTCGACCATCATTTCGTCCAAGTCTAAAAAACTTGCTGGAGAATAGGAGGTCAATGTTGGCATGTAGAACTCAGCTTGGTAGGGATAGAGTCGTGTCCAAGACTACGGGAACAAAATGGATCTCTCCTAGATGGCTTCGACGCCAGGCGGTCGAGCTGTAAACCTGGTGTACCATCATAAGCAATGTGTTGCGCAGGACACCGCGAGTGAATGATGAGAATCGTGACGATGGCTTGACTGCTTATGTGAAACAAATATGTGGTGATCTGATGCATTTTGGTGTCGTGAGCCGGAGAGGCTGAGGATCCACATCTTAACAAAGTGGATCACATAATTCTTGGGCCCTGAATACTGCATAGCTGACATCACCAATCAGGGGAGACTGCACTTTAGTCATCATCGTTATTGTCAAGACCTTCGTTATACGAATGCAACATTGCCTGCTGGACGTCTAGGGGCGAGAAGATCAGACTCGATCACTCCAAGGTCTCAGGGCTGGCCGAATGCCCCGCGCCTGCCTCAAGATCATGGGAGGGTGAAGAAACTTACATATCGCTCGCCAAGAAGCAGCGTGCTCGCGCCTTTTCAAGCGCTTTTAGTGATAGTGCTTTTGGTCTTAGTTCAGGAATTCGATTAGACTCCAAGTGATTGAGGTCTAGAGCACAAAAAATGTTCATATATTGACAAAGTGAACGACAGCATACTAGATTCAGGGACAAGGCTGGGCACCAAGAAACTTGCCCCTATGTATATTGACTCAGATAGCTAAAAGAGACCTCTACATATCCAATCATAATCATTCTACCTCATACTTCAAGCACGGTACCAGCCTCAGTCTCGTTTCTAGGGTTGTTGAAGATGGTCATACAATGGTAGATATGGCCGTCGGAGTCGGACCGCGGATCGAAGACCTTGTCCGGCCGCGTCTTGAAGCGATGTTCCTTGAGCCAGGAGTACAGACAGTGCTGGCGATGCCACTCGATACTCATGTGGAACAAGTGGCTGGTGCCGAGGTCGGCGTACATTGAGATGTCGTGGACACTGAGCGGCTTGGTATGCTCCTTGTCTGCCCAGTACAGCCACGTGCCGTTGGGACCGTCGCCCTTGGTTGCAAATTCCGCCGCAAGTTCCTCATCTCGGCATCGCGGTGGAAGCCAGGCGGTGGACAACTCGTCAAAGACGCATCCTTTGGATATGGCTTCTGCCACGCTCTCTCCGCAGTAGCAAGGGTGGTTGGAGTATTCGGCGGCGTGCTTGGGGTTGTCGTATGATGGCACGAATCGTTCGACCCGCATGTTTACGAGTGAGTTGACCGTGTTCATGATTCCGACGAATGCCATGAGTCCGACGAAGAAGCGGAGCATATAGAGGAATAGTTTTATCTGCCATGATCTCTTCTTGCTGAAGGCCGGTCGCACGAATTCATCGAACTCCTTGGACGCACTTGGATTTGAGTCTTGGCCATTGAGTAGTCCAACGGAGGACTCGACATCGAGTGAGCTGTGTCGGATTCGTTAGCTTTTTCCTGCAAGCCTGCTGGGAAGCTCTTCAAACCTTGTGGAATGCTCTCTTTCCATTGCCGCTGGGTCTGAAGGCAAGGCACTATACTGGGTGGTGGGATTTGAGCCTCTGCGGAAAATCCCCAATACCCGAGTTGGAGAGTGTCGAGCAAGGTTCACGACAACACGAAAGCCTGAAGCCATTTGCAATGGGGGTTTGAGTTCTCTCCGTCATGGGTCCAGAGCGCTCGACATGTATACTGCCGTAAGAAAACTGGGGCTTCATTGCTGAGGTGAGCAATGCACGCCAATCAGAATAGACGTCCTCTTCATCAGGACCACATTTCCATCTGAAAATCTGCCGTGCTGTGACTGCACTTTGAGCACCAGTTCTGAGTCTGTAATGAGCCCCCGGGACCAACGCCTCGACACGTGAGCCTTTGAAGCTTCGCAAACATGATTGTGCCCGACTTCTTCACAACGGACCCCGACTGGGCAGCATACGCAGTCAAGCACGGCTTCCCACTTCTCCCAGATAAAGATGTCGACAGACCTTCTCTGCCGCCACTCGATGCACGCTCCTGGGACTTCAAAGCCATCAGAAACGCAAATGCCGCGAGTGAAGCAAGCTGGTCTCGCGACCATCCACTTTCCACCGTCGGGTACGAGACATTTCTGACCGACATCCAAGTCCGCGACGGCAGCCTATGCAGCGTAAAGGTTTCCTGGCCCGCAAAACCACGACTTCACAGGCAATGTGGCAGCGCCACGGCACCGGCCTCGTCATCACCACTACCAGTACTGTTCGTGACGCATGGCGGAGGCTTCGTTCAGGGCACGCACCAGACTGAAGAGGCATGGCTGCTTTGGCCCATTTACGAGAGATTTGATCTCGTCATTGTCAGTGTCGAGTATCGTCTGGCTCCCGAGCACAAATTCCCAACATGGATCGAAGACTCGTGGGACGTGCTGCTACAGCTCTTGCAGGACGCGACACAGTTTCTGCCGGCGAATTGCGCTATTCAAGTCAATCCAAAAACTCTCTACCTGGCGGGTTCTTCATCTGGCGGTGGAATCAGCGCTGTCTTATCACATCTATGCCGCGACCACGGCATTCCCGTCTCCGGTGCCATTCTGAATGTCCCTGTTCTTTGTGACTACCGCGAGATACCCCCTACAACGCCACACACGAAGAAGGGGGAGGCGTCGTACGAGCAGTGTATCGGTACCTTTTCGGATTCTCGCGGGTTGATGGCTGTGTGGGACATGATACGACCTTCACCGGAAGCTCAGCCGGACCCCTTTGCTTCGCCACTCCTGGGCAATCTTTCCAATTTGCCTCCACACATTATATGTGTAGCGGGTCAGGATCCGCTGAGGGATGAGGGTCTGCAGTACGCGAAGAAGTTGCAGCAACAAGACACCCCCGTGCGGTTGCACGTGTACCCGGGAGTGCCGCACAACTTTGCTCAGTTTTGGGAACTGAAAGCTTGTCGACGGTTTTGGGATGACTTACAGAGAGGGATGGAGTGGTTACTGGCGAAAACCGAAGAATGCCAGAAGTTTGAATGTACAATCAATCGAAGATAGCAAAACCTAAGGAATACCAAGGAATATGATATGCCAGAGCCGGTCTCCGCACATCTGATCTCATTTCATCCAACTCAACACTGTGATAACTAGACTAAGCCGGTATACCAATGGGAGACTATTCATAATCAAGCTAAAACATGACAACCCACATGACCCACCTGCACCTTAATAGCCGTCGTCCGATATTCGTTCGGGATCTTATCCGTCCAATCCACCAGGTACTTTGAGCAATGCATGGTATGGACCGGGTCGACGAGCACGTCGTCGAGATATCGCCAACCCTCAGACCATGCACGAAACTGCCTCCGCCACAGCGCGGCACAGTGCACAATATGGTCCCGCAGCGACGTGTAGTAGAAATCCAGGTCCCCCAACTCCTCTTTTTGGAGGGGCTGCGTCCGGTTCCGGTCGGCGAACGGGTACCACGACCCATCGAGCTCGTACTCCATGATGGAGAAGTCGTCGCGGCATTGGCCCGGGATCCAGGCGTTGCTGAGAGTGTCGTAAATGCAGCCCCGAGTGCGGGCCTCCTCACGCGTTTTGCCGCATGTCAGATAGTCGATCTCGTTGGAGAGCAGCTTTCCGACGTGGTTGGTGTGCGCCGCGGGCGCCGGCGGTGAGCTTTCCACGACCGTGTTCGACGGCGATGTCTCGAGCCGGTGTCGCTGCAGTACTGCTGGAGAGAAATGCGCAGTGAGGAGGAGAATGCCTCCCCACAAAAGCGTTGTCGCAATAAAGACCGCCAGATGAGACACGATTGACGACTTGAGGATTCTGTCCGTCGCGCGGCGTCGTGGTAAAAGCCAGTTTAGAGAGCGATAACCGTCGTCAGATGATTCGATCTTTGCGGGCAAGAAGGGCTCAGAGTCGTCCATGGCATCGACTTGGTGTAGCAATGTCGGTGTGTCGGAATTCAATTCTGAAATGATACCCCAAGCAGAGAAGTTCGGAGGCTTGCTTGCTGTTGTGTCTGATGGCCGCGCCTTCAATCTCTGTCCGAGAGTAAACAGCCGATGATACGTTTGCAAACCGTGGACGTCGCTGAGCCTCGGTAGAGAGTGGCAGCTCACATGAGCAAGGGTTGCTTATGCCATCAATGCTTATGGCTGTTTCAGCTATGGAGGCGGGGTTCGCGGGTATAGAATGATCATATAAGCAATGAGGCTGAAGCCCCTTTTTGGAGTGCGACTGCTCATGCAGCTTAACACATCACACTCCCATCAACATTCAACGTCAGGTAGATTTCTATCAAGAGCGCTTACAAGGGCGAGAATCTTGTAGACTAGAAGCGAGATGCTTGAGTGATCGGATGTTTCAGTCAGAACCACATCACGTACCTATCATAGCTCGGGAGTGCTCCAGGGCATGCGTTGCCATTACAGTCTCCCTTGAGTCACTGCTGTCATAAGCAAGCATCCCAAGAGGTTCGTTCAGTCGATAGTGATGCGAGTATTCTGCTGTCATCGAATCTCACACCACAAGCTTAGTCAATTTCATGGTGGCAGCTGTCTTCACCTCCAAGACAGAATCCTTCTCATGCTTCACGAACACGTACGGGATCAGCTTAAAGCTAAGTCCCTGGGCGAGCGTTGCATCTACACTCCGCACGATTAGTCTCCTGATAAGTCTCCTGATCAGTTTCCTTTCAGCACGGGTCCAAGCGACACCAGCATTCTCATAAGTCACCTTCGCAGTCAAATCATTCACTCAGCACAGGCTTAATTCAATATGAAGTTTTCACTCGTTCTCATTGCTGCAGTTGCTGGCTTCACAGCAGCCAGCCCTATCGCTTCCAAGGGCGCCGAGCCTCCCAGCATCTACCGACGCGAGGAGGACACTCAACGGGGTGGCATCCCCTGGAAGCGCGAGGAGGACACCCAGCGTGGCGGAATTCCCTGGAAGCGTGAGGAGGATACCGAACGGGGCGGTATCCCGTGGAAGCGCGAGGAGGATACCGAGCGCGGCGGCATCCCGTGGAAGCGCGAGGAGGATACCGAGCGCGGCGGCATCCCATGGAAGCGCGAGGAGGATACCGAACGGGGCGGCATCCCGTGGAAGCGTGAGGAGGATACTGAGCGCGGCGGCATCCCATGGAAGCGCGAGGAGGATACTGAGCGCGGCGGCATCCCATGGAAGCGTGAGGAGGATACCGAACGGGGCGGCATCCCATGGAAGCGCGAGGAAGATACTGAGCGCGGCGGCATCCCCTGGAAGCGCTCTCGAGGAGCTTATTAGAATCCCACTCGGATAAACAGGATGCAAACGAGTTCGACCTGGAAGGGGAATGAGGAAATATCAGAGGTGTCTGTGCAAGTCAATGAGACCTGGTCTGGAGATCTTGTCAATGAACTATCATAAACCCTACTCTGCATTTGCTTGGTAGAAGGGCCGTTGTGAAGCGCTGGGGGTACGAGCTTGCTTTTGAGGTGGAAATTGAGACTGCTATTGCTGAGGAGATTATTCCCGATGAGAAGATTCAATCCCGGCCATTCCTAGGAGTCCTGCATTGCTTTTCGTAGGCATGATAAGAAGTTCCGCTTCTATTGTTCATTCGATCTTAAGTGGGTGAAAGGGTGACTGCGAAAGTGAGAGGATGAAGTGGGCGGTTTAGATAGAAGCACAGGGGGTCTTCTCGGTAGGGTGCGCCGCATGTAAGGGATGCGCAGTTTTCACTCACCCTCGATCAGTACCAGTGGGTGCCCGTCGATTCTTCACCGAGTCTGAGATTCTCTCCTTGTCTCACGCAGCCACATCCGCTCGACCTGAAGAGACATGGGCAGTTGTTCCTCTGCACACATGTAGCTCACCCAGAGGCTTTCTCCTTCCTTGGAAATGTCATGACGCCTGAGGGAGCCCTCCTTTTCGACTCCTTCCACCGATCGAAATGGCTGACGGCGTGGTGACACAAGCCTTCTCTCTGGTGGGATGGGCATTTCTCCCTGCCGTACGTTGCTCAACGACTTTGGAGGTATCTTACTGATCCGATCCCAGTACGCTACGGCCTTTCTCCAGTCAATATACTACCGTCTGACCATCCGGGCTGGACAGCCGCATCCGCAGCCTGGGGAACCCATCTTTGCCTACCATAACCGCCGCATCCGTGTCTTGGTATTATCGCTCTACCTTGTATACACCCTCGCCCAGGCCCTCTACGACATTAGACTCGCTGGGGATTTCTATACCCTGCTTGGGGTCACGCCGTGGTCGACAGAGCGGGAAGTAAAGAGTCGTTTCAGGAAGCTGGCTGCGAAATATCACCCGGACAAGCTACACGAGAATGGCCAGCCTTTTCCAGGTGCTGATGGAGTGTTTGTCCGCTTCAAATTGGCGCACGACACGATTTTGGATCCTGCGAAACGGTTCGCCTATGATCGGTTCGGACCTGTCATCGTCCAGGTTCAGCACCCTGGGCTCAAGACCATTCGAGACTACGTCTATGCCGGTCTTCGCACGAAAGCTCCTGAATATTTGTCCAATGCTGGACTGCTTGTTTTGTTAAACTCCATCTGGCTGCCGAAATGGGGACAATTTTGGCGCTATTTTGCTGTTGCCTGCATGGCGTTCTTAGAGCTGTACTTCCTTACTCACATCTGGCAGCCTCCAAAACTGGTGGTATTGTGGGTGTCGACGGCTCAGAGGCTCTTACCAGATCTCCTACCACCGCATCTTCTTCCTTTCCAAATTCTCGGTCTAGCGAGACGAATGTCCATGTCTGTGAACATCTTCATCTCCCAGCTCGCACCTCCTAAAGCAAGGGATACGGCCATGAGAGACCTGCAGACTCAGCAGCAGATTGCACATTTGGCGCAAGCGGCAGGCAGGTTAGATGCAGAGTCTGGTGGATTGCTCCAGTTAGGACTGAGTCCATTCAAAGGAGATGCAGAGAAGTCAGATCATCTGAGGTCGGGGATGAAGGAGTCGTTGGTCACAAGCGCCTTGAGAAGGAACCCGGAAGTGAGGGCAGCTGTACAGAAGGCTCTTGACAGGAGGAGACGAGGGCCGATCATGCAAGAGCCTGACTGAGGGTCGTCCTTGCAGTTAGCTCACAACACCTCAGTTAGACTTTGGGCTATTCAATGTTGAATTCTATCTCATGTTCCGCCTCATTGATATTTTTAGTTCTGTATTCAGTCCGTGGATGCATGTGGGTGGACACCGGAAGACTCGTGGCATACGAGGTGCTCCTTTGGGTTGTTTACCTCGTAGTGTTTGATGGATGACTGACACTGATGACGATGATAGGGTGTCAGTGACCATCTTGGAGACCTTTTGGAGAAACAGCTGAAGAACGAGGCTGGACCAATCGAGCTGCGATGGCAGTGGCGGCGACCGAGTGCCACCCACTGCCACCTTGGAAAACGACCTTGTCCCCTTCTCCACCATCCACACGCGACTTGGTACCAGGATCCCGGTTATCGCGAGGGCCTCAACCTCAACCTCGACCACTTCCCACTTGACTCTCCTCCTCTGGTTACCTGCGGTCCTACTTCTCGACCTTTCAACATCTTGCACCATGCTGACCACACTATGTCGTCGCCTCTCAATAACACCTCGCTCCGCTTCCGAACCTTCTGCGCCACAAACGACGATCTCCTCACCCGACCGAGCATGGACGCGCGCCCAGACCACATTCCGGACAACGTTGACCCTACCGTTGTAACCCTATCCAATGATTCCCGACCATCCAGTAGCGATGGGAAATTGCAGTGTTGTTGTGGGAGGCCAGAATGTGCCTATCTTGAGAACAACAACACTATCCTGGGCGGCATCGAGAGAGACCTCGAGACCGCCGCAAGATTGGGTCAGGTATGTGCACCACAACATTTCGGAACATCGGGTAATGCTGTTGTTATGGCCCACCCACTGTTGGCTGCTTCTGTGTGTACATCACACTTGGTGTAGACAGTGACTGCGGGGAAGGCGCAAACGGGAGGGTCATAATGTACCCTTTCACTCCAACATTGCTTGCAAATGCTCCGTTTGTCTCTGTTCAGCGCACCCGATGGCTCTACCCTATGCTGTCGATTTCCTATTTCCCACAGCATCTGGCTGCAAAGCCGCCGTCGAGGAAATGCAGACGAGCAGCGGGCTAACATTCGCTCTTCAGGCACTTCTCAGTCGACATGAATCCTACGTTTCCGAATCGCAGCACGAGCATCGGCGCCTAACGGCTTACATCACCGAGTTGGAAAACGAAAGGGCGGCTCTGCAGACCACAAACGACAAGATAGTGGAGGAAAATCGCCAACTCTTGACGCAACTCGAAACCGCCAACACATCCCTCAAGGAGAGTGATAACCATGTCAAGAGCCTTGAAGCACTGCTTCGTGACTGCGAACTCGAGGTTCGGAGATTGAACGTTCTGAGCCGGCGCACAGAAGAATTGGAGCTCAAAATCCTCGACATGGAGAAGGAACGAATGGCCATGACCCAACAAGCCGATGAAGCGAGGGGCGAATTCCGAAGCACGGTCAAGCGGTGGAGAGAGAGCGAGATCAAAGTCCGCCAGCTTGAGCGTGACGTTCAAAGAATCGAATGGGACGCGAAGGAGGACAGAGAACGCTACGAAGAGATCATTGCCAGGCTGGAACGTGAACGTGTCTTGGAGAGAGAACTAGGTGGTGCGGAAGGCCGTCTGAAATCCGCTGCTGCCTTCAGAGGCCTAAACGCAAATGAAAAGAACACAAACGTGGTCGGCCATTTTGTTAGGGACATCCTGCAAGACAATGCAACTCTACAGGCTGGGATCGTCGAGCTAAAGGAGCTGCTTCAAGCGTCGAACGAAGAAGTACAGAACCTGAGAGAGCAGATCCTGGAGCATCAGCCTGTGGATGACGACAACTCCGGCGCCATCCCAGGGTCAGTCCCATTGAGCGATCAACTTGGGTGGCAACAGCCTTCTCCGAAAGTGCAACAATCAGTTCATGTCCACCACCATTACCACGCCAAACTTGCGAAGCGGGACAGGGCGCCAACGGTTCGAAGGTCATCCCGTAAGAGGGCAGCGGTGGGCTTGGGTTTTCTGCCGTCGACCCCAGAGTCTTCGGCACCTACAACGCCAATTGCGGGTCCTCATCGATTTGTCTCCAGCCCGGTGTTGCCTATTGCTCTCCATCAGCCACAGGCAATGAAGAAACGTTGGTCTGTGCAATCCGCCGCAACAAACTCGTCTATGATCTCCAGTTTTCCAAGCTCTCCGCGGTCATATTTGGAGCAATCCAGCTCCATCTTCGATCGGCTGGAAGCTGGGGAAGATTCGTCCAGGCCCACGAGTCCCGAGTCTGCTGGCTCCTTCGCATCTCCTTCGTTGAACAAATACGATAAGAGGACCCAAAACCTGCTTGCAGAGGAGGAAGTCGAAGATAGCGCCACAGGAGTGTTTGCGAAGGACATATATGCAGACTTGGAAGATGGCGCGATTGTCCATGGAGAAGAGGCCAAAGAATCAGCGTCGCATGACCTCACTCCCAAGCCTTCACAGATTCTTGTTGCTGGTGAAAGGATAAATCACACAATACAACCAGACCCACTGGAACCTGATCCGACCGATCAGCTGTGTGACGGCCGGGAACCAGAACCACCTGATATAGTCATCGAAGGGGAACTTGTGCCCAATTTACCAAACGAGTCATCAGCAGAAACGCAGAATAACGGTATGTGTCCCTCGACAACTTCCTATGATCTGGATGTTACCTCCGACGTTGCCAATCCATCGAGTCTTCGACGGACGTCGTCGCACGACTCTCTAGTGTCAATCTCTGGCATGGATATACATATTGCCAAGCGACCGACTTCTTCGGCATCTCAGTCTTCGAGCACATTGAGGGGTAACAAGGCATACTTCGCTCTTTCCCCATCTGCGACTCGAAGGATCGCTTCTGCGCAACCATTGGCCACGGTGACAGAGTACACCGCGCTGAGCTCGATGGCATCGTTGAGCTCAGACTCAGCAAGCAATGTGTCAGCTGGACATCAACTGCCGCAAAGGAGTGTAAGCTCGAGTGTAATAGCATTGAGCGGTCTTGTGGACCTTCCACCCCCACACTCTGAAGACCAGCCACCTGCATCTTCCGGGTTGGGGCGTCTGCTGGGGGGTTTGGTGCGAGGCAGATGGGGCATTGCCCCAATCAAGTCAAGTGCCGACTTGACATCCTCGGCCGCTTCGATCACGACCTCGTCATCGAGCGAAACCCAGCCACAAGCTTCGTCTCCTTTCTCCTTCATGGTTGGAAGGCCTCCTGGGATCAATCAGAAGGGACCTATACCCGGTTTCAAGCCAGCGCCCAAAGTCACCGGTGTACAAGTGACCATGGTTAATGAGGAGGGGCTGAAGGAGAGTTTGGCAGAAGGTTGATGGACTCGAAACCTTTTGGGCGACGAACCACGATGTTTTGCTTGGGCAACGGGATTGGGTGTAAATATTGAGGTTGGGATAGTGAGCATTTTCTGCAAGCATTGTCTGAATGGCACGATGATACCCCTGAATTGCTAGCCTGGTCGTTCCTTAGAGGACGAGGTGGAGTGGGCATATAGTGAACCAAGTCATATCATGATATAAGCAAGTTCAGCGCCGAAATGATTGAACATTGATGTCAACCCTCGTGATTAGTAACAGCTTTACCGAGTACTCTGTAAGTTGTGCTGGACTAATTAACTACCTAGGCGGTGACTATGAACAAAGCCACCAACTGGGATTTCTATGTGTATATTTAAGTCTCAGCTCCGTGGCCCGGACAAAGTATGCTGGATTCCAGATCCGTTTCGTCTCGTCTCGTCTCGTCTCGTCTCGCTCCTCCTCAAAGCATTATGACGTTAAGGGCATATATATATCCCCTCTGAATCCCGTAAGCGAGGATTGGATGGAATTGACGCGCGCAGTTCTCCCCAACCCTCCCTCCTTTCATATATACACATAGAAAATGTCAACCCCCTTGAAACGATTCTACCACGTCTGCTCCCCGGTCGCCAGCTCGGTCTCTTCCCACGAGAGGATGGAATCCAAGCGATGCGCCGACAGAGATAGAGTCAGCTTCAGCTTGGCGACGTAAAACTTGCCGATCCGGCCCTTTGAGCTCTCGAGGCGTTTGCGGTCGATCTTGGCCAGGTCGTACTCGAGGACGTGCGAGACTTCGAGGTCTGAAATGAAATATATTCAGTATTATGATAGAGCCCTAGATATTGAAAGGGGGGAAACAGAATATCAAAACCGGGGTGGTTCCCAACTTACCATCTAGCGAATTCTTGATCCTGCTGGGCCGGTCTTCGTCGTCCGAGTACGAGTAGACAGTCAGCTTCTGGGCGGTCTTGTCGGCCTCGCGGAATGACAAGCTAATCATCTGGGAGACGGCGGTCGGGCTGTCTGACAAGACCAAATCGCCCTTGTTGAGCATCCACAGCAGCTGGCCTTCGACGATCTGGGCTTTGGTGATAGGGTTGATGGTCACGTGCCTCTCCTCGTGGTGAATGCGCGAGAACTGCTCGCTCAGGCTGATGCCAAAGTGCCGGGGGCACTTCGTCGCCAGGCAAAGGTTCGAGATGGTGTCCTTCTCGATCCCGTGCAGCACCGCCCCGCGCACCACAGCCGTCCACGACGTGTCCGGTCGCCGCAGCTTGATCCGCCGAAGACTCAGCGAGAACTCAATCTCCTCCTGCAGATATGGCGATTCGCCGAAGCCCCCAACCAGGAAGATGTTCTGTGTGGGGGGGAAAAGTAACGAAGTTAGTATTTCTTCCCCTTACAAGCCCTTGGTACAACCTGTGTGACTATTGCGCTCCTGGTGCGCGTGGGAGATAACTCACTCTGCATTGCTTATTCACATTTTCAATCTGCCGAATATGTCCTTGCAGCAGGTTCATGATTGTCTCTACACAGGCGTTGAAGAATCCCGTCATTGTGGCGCTAGTGAGCAACGAAAAAGAGGTGTTGTTATCAGTAAGAGAATCTCCAATCCTGCGGACACAGACGCACAATCGGTTTCGTATGGCTTCATGATGTTACTTACCTCGTAATCTTGATCTCGCCACAATCCACTCGGTTGTCCAGGGTCAAATTGTGCAGCGGCGGAGGAAGATCCAACGCCATATCCCGATTGTTCTTGTGGAAACCTTTCTTCAGCACATCGAAAGACTTCATCAGCTGGCGCATGGCCTTGCTCTCGCACGTGTGAGAGCTGATTCTCTGGAGATCATGGTTTTGGTCGAGCTTCTCGTAGTATTTGTTACCCAGCATTTGTCGCAACCACTCTTTGAATGCTATATCAATGTAAATAGCTCCGCATTTGTCTCCTGTATAGCGCACAATTTCTTTTAGCACAAGACGTTCTCGATCCGGTTTTTTTTTTGGGCGGCACGAGCTGGGAGGAGGCTCTGCATGTGTCCAAATATAACAGAAAGACAAGACACCTACCTGTGGGAACTCCGATTCTCTCCAGAACTAGTGACGGTTCCACTTGTTTGACTTTGTATGATACGACATCCTACCAACAAGAGGGAAAACGGTAAGACCCCCACAAAGGGTTGAGACATGGAATTGTGCAGAGACTTACGACTGTACCACCACCAGCGTCGCAAAGGATGAAACAAGAATTGGGCTGTTGCAGGACATATCGTCAGTTCCGTGGGCGAGATGCACACCCTTCGATAGATAGGTTACCTTGAGGAATATTTGCTGAATCTCGTCCTTTAGGTACCTCGCCGTGTATGTCGCTGCTGCTTCGGGCTCCGTGATAAATATGACACTGGCCAGCCGGGGGAAATATTCTTCGTTGAAACCAGCGTTGGTCAGTGCCCGGAAGGTGGAGTTTTTCGCTCTGTAAGACCATTCCTGCAACTTTTTGTCGGAGAGAAAGGAGAGAAGTAATTGAGAAACTCCCAAGCAGATAAGGGTGGAAGCTATTCGTACCGTCGGCACAGTGACTACAATATCAACCGGAACCCGGACTCTGAATGACGTGGAGAAATTGGCAATCGCTGACTCCAGGTGCTCGAACACCCTCGACAGATATTCGGTCACCACCTGCTCGGCCGACTTGTCGCTGAAGGCGTGCAGCGCGCCGGCGCCCTTGATGTGGTCGAAGCTGAAGTTGTCCATGCCGTCCAGAGCCTGGATCATCAGGTCGAGCTCGCCGTCGACATCTTGGAGGTCCAACTCCAGCTTGGTGTGGATGATGGAAATTGCGTTCTCGCTGAGGTCGCTTCCCCACTGCTGCTCCATGGCATCGGTCGAAGGGGAAAAGGATATCACGCTGGGGATCTTTTTGTGATTGCCCATGTTCGGCCCCCAGTCCTCGATGAGGTCGATCTCGTCCAGAGGGAGGTGGTTGGAATTGGGAGTCGCGAAAGCAACCCCTTTTGCCCCAATTAGAATAGTCAGCACGCTCTCTCCTCGTAATCTGAATATGTTTCGATGAGAAACACAGGAAGTATTTACCCGTGTATGTCGTGCCATAGTCCAAGCCTATCACGAACCGCTGCTGTCGGAGCGGTGCAGCGCCTTCGTCGTCTGACATTTCTGTGAATGTTATCCTGCAGCTCTGCTTGTAAACCAACACCCGTGCAAAAAGGTTAGAGACGTAAGTCGGCCGACGTTAGCTGAGAGTGGAGAGGAACTAAGAATAGAAGGAAACATCAGAGACTGGTCGTGTAAAGCAGAAGAAGGAAACCGCAAGTCTGGAGGAGAAGAAGAAGAGGAAGGGCCCAGGGACTGTGCTAAGGCTGAGCCGCATGAAACACAGAACAGGGAGCCCGTCAAGGCAACATACCAAGCCGTGGTCAGGCTGAGTCCAGGTGCAGCGTTGGCCTAGATGATTTCTTTCGGCGCCTCACGAATGTGATACAAGTGCCGACATATCCAATGAGGCTGCCTGCTTGTTGCATGGTGCTTCGCTTCGACCGAGGCGTAGAATGCATGCATCCGAACATGGCCAGAATGCCGCCGTATGCTCCTCTTCGGTCTAGAAAGTCGAACCCACAGATGCGCTACTGCACGGGGCGAACTTACTTGTACCAGGCAGAAATATGTGTCTGTGATGTGGATACCGAGTACATGAGTAGCGAAACTTAACTCAGCCCGTCCTGCCTAGTGCCGCTGTGGTAGCGGTCCTCAGCCTCATAAATGTCCTACTGTTTTTTTGCCTGCAACCTGGGCATCCGTACATGCGACTGAGAAATGGGCCGTTGCTAAGGCTCGAGGACAATACTTTTACACGGGAAGATCATACATGGGAGCAACAGGGCCTTTCGTTCCCGCATCCTACGTTGTCGACCCCATTCTACAATTCGCACCTTCACATTCTCGCTTGAAACACACGCATACACCAGCATGAGTGCGTTGAGGCAGAAGGCAAAAGTCTTTTTGGGGGGTATCTCCAGTTCCAGTGCTCCAGCAGCTGGGCGTTCAAAAACCGGGAGAGAAGTCAACGACAAGGCCCAGGCGAACGAGGGGAAAGCAGCCATTATGGCCACTCCGTCTGCTATTGCAGCCACCCAGGCAGCGAATGTTGCTTTCTTCCCTACCCAAAGAACTGCCCCTGTGACCAGTAGTGCGTTGGAAAAGCAGAGTGTCCGCGTCACAACAGCACCACAAATAGTACCCGACCATGATCCCTCTGCCAGTCAAGCTTCGGAATCTAGAGGATCTGCCATGCCTATCGCAGCGGAAGCAGATCGCTTTGGAGACGGTGACTCAGTCTCACAGATTGGTACAGACATACATGAGCTCGACACTGAGCCTTCGAGCACAAAAATGCCTGAACGCCGGGTTGGCCTGCTCAGATCGCGATTCTCCAGCAAGCATGCACGGTCTGCCGCTGCTGCTCCCACAGAGTTGCCAGCCGAACCACTAAAGGCGAGTCAAAGGCAGACAGGCATGCCGGAATTGGACGCTACTGGCGGTGTAATACACAGTCAAGCGGACGGTCAGACCGGCACAGTGGCATCTCGCTCGAATAAAGCCGTTGACGATGAGCTCTACCGCGTCGATAAAGAGATCCGGAAAGCAGCAAAAGGCATGGTAGATGAAAGTGAGCTCGACGCCGCATTCAAGAAGCGAGGTACCAGCGGTGCTTTCACGCGCCTCATCGAAGCGTATGAGCCAGTATTGGAGGCGGAGAAGGAGCTGAATAACCTCGAAGACAAGGTCCGAGAAGCCACGAAGGGACACGTACAGACCATGGAGGTCAATGCAGAGATCAGAGAGCGCGGCCCCGCGGGTGGCCTGCAGCTTCTGCTTGACCATTGTCAGTCGGCGCTCAAAGCCGAGCAAGCCTTGAGACGCGTCGAGGACAAGATACGATCTGCGAATCACGACGTCCGGTCAGCCGATCTGGTCCATGCCCAGAAGACCGGCGGTGCCGAGGCCATGCTTGCACTGGTAGTCGAGGATTACCAGGTGAAAAAGTCTGCATCCCTCATCTTGGAGCGCGTAGCCAAGCAAATTAAAAATGCGTCGCCCCAGACTGCCCGCAAGGAGGTCGACGCTGCGTTGAGATCGAGGGGAGCCGGCGTGGAGAGTGCGCTTGCTCTTCTCGTGGCTGCCTACCAACCCTATGCCGATGCACACAAAGAATTGACCGCTATCGAAGGCGAACTCAAAAGAGTGGCCCGCGAAATGGCGTGGACCCTTGATGTGGATCTCATATTGAAGAGATCGGGTCCCGAGGGCGCTTTGAGGGTCCTCATCGAGCACCTCCAGGCAAAGACAGAGAGCCTGCGAAAGCTGGAGGCACGGTACAGCGGCCTCGAGCAAAGTTGGAAGAAGTTGACGGGTGAAAATCATGCACTCAAACAGGAGCAATCGCAGCATCAGGCGAATATCGACGACTTGAACGCCAATCATCGGTTCCGAATGGCCAATCTCGACGAAACATGGAAAGACAGCCTGGAAAAGCAGCAGAAGGACGTAGCCAGTCAAGCACAGATAGCGGACCAGCGGCATCGCAGTGAAATGGAGAGTCGAGAGGCCAGTCACCGAAATGAAATCGCCACGTGGAGGGCCGCCATGCAGTCTGTCAAGGAAAAGCACGAGATTGAATATAAAGAGCTGAAGACTGCCAAGGAAAACCTGGCGCAAGAATATAACGCTAAAGTGAATCGTATTCGGGAGGAGTTTGAGGCAAGAGAAAAGGAGGCTCGCAAACGCGAAATGGAGAGGATTGAGCAACTCCGCCTCGAAGCCGAGGACTTGAAAGGCGAGCTGGTCAGGCGAGACCATTTCAAGGGCTTGTCGGACCCAGAAATATGCAACCGGTTCACAAAGCTGGCCCAGGAAGTGAGCAGCTTCTCGAGAGTCCAGTGGGAGAAGAAGAAAGAGACTCGCTGGCCCATGCAGGAGAATGCGCTGCGGCGCACCGAGAATCCCAGGAAGCTGAAACAGCAGATCGTCCAGAGCACCATCTGGATGATCCTGAAGGAGAGGATCTTCCACTCCCCCTTTGCACTTCTTGGGGACGAAGGCCAAAGAATACACCGCGAATGGACGAGCGAGTATGGCGAAGGTGAGCACCATTGTTCCCGTTACTCACCGCTTTGTCTCTTTTCTCGCTGTATCTGTCACTCTTTTGCTGTTTGCTGATAAACACTTCCTAGACCCAAGCTCCGAGCTGCCTCGTTGGCCTGAAGCTACCGAGGACTCCGAGTCATGGCGATTCGACCGCATCAAAGAGTACTGGGACGCCTCCTCGAAGAAGACCGACTCGGGTGCATCGCGCAGGTTGAAGCCCCCGTACGATCAAAGCATCGCCGCGGCCGTGGACGACATCCGCAACACAGTAGAGACCATCTCGACACTGTCGCCCCATGACCTCCAACTGATCCGCGATTTTGTCGAGCTCGCCGCCACCTTCTGGTTGGACGTATCGTCACTAAAATGCCGCGTCTATCTGGTCTTTCCTGCCCAGGGCGTCAAGGCCCTGGTCCATCGCAAGCCGGCGACCGCCACGGCCGACCTGGTCATTCAGCCCGAGGTCCGAAGGAGAGGCAATGCCCAGGGCCAGCGGTTCGTCAAGGAACAGGTCGTGACGGGCTGTGAAGGCGAGAGGACGAGGTTCTAGACCCCAACAAACATTTGTCAGGCTGGGAAAGGTTCTCGTAGCGAAATGTGTGATCGAGGCTGCCGTAGTCGAGGGTACGCGGACACTACTGATGCACAGCCATGCAACCAGGTTTCAGCTCCTGCAAGCCACTGTATGTACTAGCCTGACCGGCGTATTCGTCCGGAAAACAACAGGGTCGCGGGCGTCGCTGGAGTCACAGAGCTCGTGATTGGCCGAGTTGAGCCTCATTTGTCCGGATTGGGCGCCTTTTCTGCCTCGTCGGGGAGGTACCGAGTACACAGCTCGTTGTGCTTTGCTGCGTGCTCGGCCGCCAGGCTTTCAGCCTGATCCCCTCGCCCTTCCTTTCCCCTTCGCTGTCCTCTCGACTTCGTCTTTTGGACTTCCTCTTTTAAATGAGATCCTGACCTGCATTCCTCATACCCCCTGCAGAATTTGACTGGCTCAATCTGCCAGGTGAAGGTCGCAGCGGCACTGAACGAATATACGAGAAAAAGTCGGTCACTGGTCCCAATACACCCGATCTCATCCTCGGGGAATCCTAGCCTCACACGACCGTGGGAGGTTTTCCGTAGTAGGTTTGTTCAGCTTTGAAGGGGCGTATATGTTTGATGCCGATGCTGATACTGATACCGACTCATCCACACAGAGCTTCGATCCCAGAGCCTTCTCTCTCAGAGCCAACGAACAATCTCACCATCGGCTTACCCCAAGCCATGCGCTTCCCTTTCAGAACAGAGTGCGTAGCCTTCGTACCCCTCCCCATTCTCTCCTCATCAAGTCGCCTTCAATATTGAAACACCCTTCTGAATTTTGCATCCCGGCAATGTAGCAAAAACCTCAAACTCATCTCCAAGGCGGACCGGCCCCAACGCCTCCCCAAGGGAGCAAAAATCAAGCCGGAGGAGCTCCGCCGCCTGCGCGAGATGATGCGCCAGCGATATGCGCTGGACCTTGAAATCTGGAGCCTGCGCAAGGTGGGCAACCACAACAAGACCGTCGTCGAGGACAAGATGCGGAGGGCCGACGCGCTGCTGGCCTGCATCCGCGCCACCGTCTGCGCCATGGACGACAGGGAGTACTTCAACCACGAGGACGAGTATCAGAAGATCAAGGAAATCAAGGCCCGCGTCATGGCCGGCGGGAAGAAGGAGTGGGTGCAGAATCCTCCCTGGAATGAAGACTGACTTGACTTGACTTGACTGGTTTTGATGGTGGTGTGTGATTGGATGTTGTGATGTGTGAACTGGCGGGTGGATATGTACATACGAGCCAGGCCGGGAGGTCTAGCGAGCCCAGGCCGCTCTGAGATCTATGCCATCAGATAATTGGCATCGTTTAGAGGCGGATGGCAAGGGATCGTTCACGTCTCCACGGCAACTGCGTCTTGGGAGAATCAAACAGTTCAAGTTGTCCATTGGGGACTCTTTTGCTTGACACAGTGTTTGTCATTGACGACAAAGGTGGCAATGATGTCGCACATTGGTGTTGTCAACGTTCAAGAGAGACGATTTTGATTTCCGTAGCCACCGAGTGGAAGAATCCGCAGTACCTCAGCCCATGAGGAATCTTACATGATACTTCGCGAACTCTAAACTTAAGATCATCCCGACATATAGCAGTGAACTGAGAAAATGTGTCGCTTCGAATAGCAGCCGAAATGAGGATGACGACGTCCGGAAAGTGGTTCTTTAGGATGTTGAGGAGCTCCGCCAGTGGCCGCAGGATGTCGGGGTGGTAAGTAATGTCGGCGCCAATGACAAGGTTGTAGCGCACGCCTGACTTCTCTGCTTCGCTCAATAACTCATCAATTGCTGGTCGATCCGTCCAGTCCAATTGGCAAACTTTCGGTGACTGACAATTCTCAAGAAGGTCGTTCTCCTCATTTAACCGGACATTTTCATCTAAACCTTCGCAAACGAGTCCTAAACCATCAGTTGCCACCACAGAAGAGGCCTTGAGATGAGCTGCGCATAGCACAGAAAGAAGTCCAGTTCCAGCACCCAGTTCAAGGACATGCTTGTTCTTTACAATGTCTGCCTGCTGGGTGAAGAGATACCACGCTAGATGCAATGCAGCCTCCCACGTACGAAGGCCAACATTGTTGCCTCTCGAGAGCAGATTTCTCGCTTCATGGATAAGGACTGGTCGAACTCCAGGCTCGTCAAGGGGGAGTGGAGGGTAGTACGAGTGGACATGCTTCTGCTGTGCTTCTTCTATCTGGTCCTGTTGGGGGAGGCTAGAAAGGTAGCCCATATGCTCCATGAGATGATCGGAGACTTGCTGCAGCATAATTAGACGTTAGTGGTTCAACATTGGGAAGGGGTCGGATGATAAGGACGTGGCAAGGGGATGGTCATTGTCAACGGCTCTGGCTTTGTCGGATTCAGCCTACATCTTCTTCAGGGTCCTTGCAAGAGTTTTCAATCTCTTCAATCAGACGTCTCAGTATCCTGGTCTGATACCGTGGAGGAGGCAAGTATTTGTTCTGGATAGAATCGAAGAAATACCGGTACAGGCAGTCTTGGACGTCCGGATTTACCAGGAGCACGCCTGGCGGATAAGTCACATCATTGATCTGCTGCATGTACTGCCGATAGAACTTGATCACAATCGGCTCTACTCCAGCTCGAGCAATGTCCATCCTGACCGGAAGCAGATTTAACAGTACAGGAGCTCAAATGTCAAAGATCCGAAAGAGTAAGAGCATGACCCAACGGTGCGGTTTTCTCTTGCATTGAAAAGCGTTGATAGCCTCCACTTTGCGTGTCAAGAGAAGGCAAGAAGAAATCCTAAGGCATTTTGCGTGGTGAAATATGGTGGACAAGGCCACTAGCCGTATACGGGATAGCGCCTCAGGTGCCAAGATTTCGAAATGCCAAGCCCACAATTTTCGGGAAGGAGCGAATCTTTGCTCGACATCGCGGCCTTTCCACAACTGCAGTCAATTTGAGTGTCGAACAAATTCATCTCGACCACAGCTCGACAGTTCCATCCTTCACTGTCCCGATTGCGATCCGTCGACAGTCAACTGCAAAAGAATCGCAATCATGGCCGACTCACCGGTCACCATCCGAACTCGCAAGTTCATCACCAACCGACTTCTGTCGCGAAAGCAGATGGTCCTGTAAGGGCGCAGCTCCCCCAGATCAATTTTCGCACTGGCATCAATTTTGAGAATCCCGAGACTGACAATTGTGTGTTTTCTCTGCTGCAGTGACGTCCTCCACCCCAACCGCCCCAATGTGTCCAAAGACGATCTCCGCGCCAAACTCGCTGAAGTCTACAAATCCAACAAGGATCAGATCAACGTGTTCGGCATGCGGACGCAATACGGTGGCGGCAAATCCACCGGCTTCGCTCTCATCTACGACTCCGTCGAGGCCATGAAGAAATTCGAACCTCACTACAGACTGGTCCGAGTGGGTCACGCTACCAAGATCGAGAAGGCCAGCAGACAGCAGCGCAAGCAGCGCAAGAATCGGTCGAAGGAGTTCAGAGGCACGGCCAAGACAAAGGGTGCGAAGAAGGGCAAGGACAAATAAACGTTGGGCCTGCTGCTTCGGGGTGTGGTGGTTATGCGGGGTGGTGGATGTGGACTGTTGACCCGGGACCGAGGGAGGCAATGGTCGCTTGTGCTTGTGCATGTACTAGAAAGAAATGGCACAAAAGCCTGGCGTACAATTGCCCCCAAAAGGAGATTTATGGTGGTGTGCGAGCATGGTCAAGTACGCCCTTTTTTCCAGATGGAACACAGAGCCGCCCATTGCGTGCAAATCTTGAAAGGGGGAAGCCATTTTCTGCATTGAAAGTTTGCGGAGTGGGCAATGGCGCAACGAGATCAACACTGCATTGAAATGATATCAAAAACCTGTGAAATGCCAAACACTCAGTCCCTTTGCGACACACTCCCAATGAACGCTCTGCGTGATTTCTGCTCGCATATTGTACTGCTACAGCACTCACACGAGTCTTAAACCCCGTCCCAAGAGGGAACCTAAATATGTAGACTGTCTGATACCCTGCCGATTGGGAGCCATGAGGATGAGAAGCCAATAATGTGACCTTTACTTTTGGCTGATTCTATGGAAAAGTCAACGCCTAGAGCAAGGACACAAAATTGATTGAAGGTAAGGCTCTCGTCTACCATGGCGTCGCCGTCTGGCTTCCATTGAGCCAGGGAGAAGGTATCCAGGTAAGCAGGGAAACAGGTGGATAGGCAAGTAGGCACAGGAGTAGGTAGATGGTAATGGTACACGGCTCGTGCTCCTTCATCGTTCTGTCTGCCTGTATCGGTGTCTTTCTGTTGCCCGAACAACTAAATGGACTCTGTTCCCTGCACTGCTCAGTTCCTCCTCCTGCGCATAGCAGAACAAGCACAGAAAACCCGCCCGTGGCATAACGTACACATCTGGAGAACACCCATGCAGCAAATCCCTTTTCGTGAGACGCATACCTAGAACTTTTCTTCCTTGGACCATGCCTTCAGTGCCCGGGACGAGTCCGCCAGCTTGAACATTGCAACCCAACCTGAATTAATCACTTTGACCTCCTTTCCCTAAGCTTTTTTTCCCTTTCCTCCTCTAACCTTCTTTTCATGATCATGCAGTCGAACAATAAAGCAAAGAAGACACGAAGGCGATATTAATCCCTGCCGTCATGATAGCCCGAAATGTTGTGTCAAATCTCCTCGCTGTGCTGCAGTCCCGTGCTGCTGTGGCATGGAAAAATGTCATGTTGCGTATTAGATTTATGTGGTTCGTACAACTTCGGAGTATACAAAGATAGATTTCAACGTAGACAGGTCGGCCGAGCAGCAAATTTCTGAAATAGTACAGAGACATTAGAGAGATGTTGACGCTTGCCAGGAAAAGAAAATCTTGTATCACCGCATCAGGTCGCGTTTCAATATGTCGACGAGGTGTTGCTGATCGATGTGACAGACGTGCGAGTCGACTCAGTGGTCTGACACCCGGAACAGTCTGGACTGCAGTCATCTGAGCCAGGTTCTTGCTGTGGAACTATGGCTCGCCCGTAGAATGACCCAGTGAAGGATTGACTTGAAGCTCTTATTGGTTGCGAGTTGTGCCCATTTACGGAGCCTTTGTACCCATATGTTGCAGCATGGTCCTCAATGGTGGATTTCAGGCTTTGGTGAGAGACCGCACCCAGTGATGAGTGCTGTGAGAGACTGTCTTCCGTTGGACCCGTGGTGGTCGCTGCAGATTGAGCTTCGTTGACAACAAGCTGCTCGCCAGATACTACTGACGAAGCAGAGAGCACTTCACCTAAACTCATCTGGCCGTATGCCATGTCCTGAACTCTGTAGGAGACATTCTCTCTGGCGTTGTGTTGTTCTTGAGCTCCATTTGATTCTACCTGGGTCGAGATCTGCTGAACAGAGGAGGCAGTATCACCATTCCAGTAGCCTTGACTGCGTTGGCTTACAGCAGAAATTGGGAGATCCACCGAACTGGCTGGTGTTGGGATATAGCTGCGTGCATTGATTGGCTGTGGCAAGATACGGTCTGATGGGAGGTTTCCCCCAGCCCCGATTGTATGGTATGATTGAGACGTCTCATTGGGCATTGAATAGGAAGCGCCACTTGCCTGGGAATTGGGCTGAGGTACATATTGCTGAGTCTCTGGCCAAAGGGAACCAGGATGGGGCCGGACGCCATGACCATGGATATAGTAGGCGTTGTTGGTAGACATCGGATCCGTGTTCGGGAGAATGTAGGGAGGCGGTTGTGTGGTGTAGGGACTCGTTTCTTCGTCATCAGGGTATGGCGAGTACGGTCCGACATATTGTGTTCTCCCCCAATCCACACTTGTGCTCTGGTTAGTGTATCCACCATAGTCAATGCCGGTTGGGAAATGGTGATATTGCAAACTGCTTGGCGGACTGCACCTTGACTGCACAGGCACATAGTTGAGACGGTGATGTGTTGGGATGGAGTATGGTGAGTATCGTGGAGGTCCCTGCCACCCTCGAAAACTATACTGACTGGGATCTACTGAAGAAACCTGGATCCTGTTAGACGGTGATGCATGTATGGATCGAAGACGAGCGCTCACCCGCAGAAAGCGACATGAGTCCTCCAGGCCCGAGTTTTTACAATTTGCACATGCTTGACTGTCACCTTCGTTGCCACTGCATTTGATTTTGCGTTTCCGGCATCTTTCACACTGCGATATCTGAGTAAGTGGTTCTCAAGGGCTTTTCAATACATACAGCAACTGGTACACGCTTTCTCGAGCCGCTCGTTGCTCTGCTATCTGGTTCAGATGTAGGTGTTGTACGGCTACTGAGGTGGCCGCCAGTCTCATATTGGTCATGAATGTGAGAACTCTGGCTCAAGGCCATATGGGGACCTCTCTCATTGCGTCTGAAGAACTCGAAGTCCGGGTATAGTGATCGTGTTGAGATCTATGGCTTCAGTCAACAGGAAGAAACGCAAGAACGCGTGGGGGTCTCCTTACCATGATGCGCATCCGAAACCAAAGCGGGCAGAAGCAACAAAGGGACCTCGAACATTAAAATTTGCGTTATCGAAAACAGTGACTTCAACCACGACCAGTCTTGAAGCAAGCTCTTTCACGATGGTCCCAGACCTTCGAGAAGTCCAGAGCTGGCTCTGAGCAATGAGATCCTGCTGAGGAACAGAAAGAAGCCAGGATCAGGTTGATAGGAACATTTTCAAGGGCATACTCCAATAGGAAAAGAGAGGAGCAAGCTTCAACAGTTGTAGGAGCTAGATCGAGAAGGTATGTCATATCATGATCGACGTCGAGGTGAAAAGCTTTGTTGCTCCCACAACTTACGCCTAGATCAAGTCACGCTTTTTCGGAGTTGGCCTTTGAAACCTGATCTAAGATTCTCTTGTAACGGCCATGCTGCAGGCGTCCGACTGTGTGACCATAATTCTTGGTCCACTGCGACAACCTGAATCAACGGGCATCAGATGGCCTGACCAGTCATCGACCAACTGATGGAGCGCCTGCCATATCAGCTGTGAAACAAATCGGACGCACAGGGCCAATCAAAACATGACGATGCTTCAGAGACCAACCTGCACACTGTGCTTGAGGAATGAGTGTAGGTAGCATTGGTTCTGGATCTAGCGTCGACAGGTTCCATGTGGGGAAACAAAACAAGCCTGCAGCATCTTCGAGCCACACCTGGAAGGATATGGGTTACGCACCTTCCAACGGACAAGCTCTGTAAGGGTGGGATGTAAATCACCCATAGCTGTTGGTGCTGGCCTCAACGAGAGGCAAATGATGGATGGATTCTGTTTGCTTCCAAGATGTCTCCGCCATGATTGGCCACAGGGCCCTGCAGAGAACGTGGCATATGCATCATCCACAGTTGAGCAAACTCGCAGCTGATAACACCAGTTTGAGAATTGGGCTATAGTTAGGGGGACGGGGACCGAGCCTGTGGGCAAATTTTCCAAATTCTGATATCGAGGAAGATTGGCTTTCGACCGCACAGCCTTGCCACCCGACGACTGGCCATGCGTTTGATTGTAGGCTGCCCACGTAGAACAAAAAGGTGTTCCCATATAGCCACCGGAGTCAGTGGAGATCCCCTGACTGGAGAAAAGTCCGGGATTTACGGGAATTTTCTCACGCAATAAGCTTGCAACAAGGTTGATGCACATGACAGAGGGTAGCAGTGGTGCATGTCACTAGGAAGAGGCCTCCTGAGTCGGATTGAGCCTGTGTCCAATGTCAACCCCTGGAAAAGAGCTGCAAAAAGCCTGCGGAACATCACAGGGTGGCTTGGTCGCACAAGATGTCGAAAGATTGACCTCATTGCTCAGAAGCCCAACGTGCGAGGCGAATTGACAAATCAGAGCCTGAGTTTCAGGTGCCGCTCGGTGACACAGAGGCGCATCAATACCAGGATGGAGCCCCAAAAAGGCCAGACCTGCCACCACACTTTTGTAAGATGCTACCAGGAATATCCCTCCATAGGGTGTGGGCACGACAGGAAGCAGTGCTGAAGGCAACCCCCGAATGCTACCATCCTCAATGTGGCCAATGTGGTGGAGAAGCATCAACTACCGTTGTCATAGGACATTATTATGCAGGGGATGCAAAGAGCATCGTCAACCCCGTCGGTCGGGCGTTGAAGACCACTATCACTTGAGAGTTATTGGGTCGTTGGTAGATGCGGGAAAGAATAGTCTCCATCAGCTGACATTTGCGAACGAGCAAGGTGAGATCGCAGCCTCATCTGTACATGCTCATGTGGTGCAGAGCAATGCTGGTTGCAGGGAAAAGGAGGGTTGATACCCTGCCCAGGGCACGCTGGCTGGACCTGTCATCGAAGCGGGTGGAAGCCGAGAAGGAAGACGGTTCGTGACAGAATCGGGGGATTTCTGTAAGACTGTGCAAAGGAGAATAGAGGGAAGGGTAGTTGCATAACCAGATGTCGTGTACAGAGTACTTTCTCGTCAATAAAATTCCTGCATTGACTTACTATGAGCAAAAGAGAGTGGTCGAACAAGCTTGACCTCAGCAGTCACGCTGGGGAATGAGAATACTCAGTCGGACAGGTGGCCTGTTGGGTCTTCAAGGAGGACATTGTACACCAGGATTAGAGGTCTAGCCAGCTCCCCAGAATCATGGTGGGAGTATTTGCGCAAGAGAGCGGAAGCGTAGGTACCCGTAGCCTCAATGCCTCACTTCAACCCCATCTAAGCCGAATGGTTCTCCCAGGCGCCGAAAATGCCTGTTGGATGCCTGTGGAATGAGCGAAACATCGAGACCACGGCTTCAACAGGAAGAACCAGCCGTCAATGGACGAGATTTAGATGGAGCAGGAGATGGTCAGGATGGTTACAAAGGTTGGAAAGTCCAAAATGGGCTGCAGGTGAGGTGCAGGAAGCCGCCGGGCGCCTTGGCAGCGTGTTTCAAATGACGTCGTCGCGGTCATTTCAAGTTTGCTCGATACAGAGCAACCACCAGTGCAGCGACTGCTTCATTCCCATTCTCTGAGCAGCCGCCTCGCCTCGTCAATCAGTCCACGGCTCCATCGCGTATCAGATCATTACAGCTCTCATCTCTCGGCCCTCACCACCACTAACCCAGTGATCACATGCGTGCCCCATCGGAGTGAAATTCTTCGGTCGCACCTGGAAATATCATCTCTGCAGCCTTCACCATGAGTGTGATACTCGAGACGTCTCTGGGCGAGATTGTCATCGATCTCCTGGTCGACAACGCACCGAAATGCTGCGAGAAGTACAGATTCTGTTATGCTCTGTCGATTCTGTCAACGCACTAACCGGTGATGCAGCTTTTTGAAACTCTGCAAAATCAAGTATTACAACTTCTCTCCGTTTCACAGCGTCCAGAAAGGCTTTAGCTGTCAGACCGGAGATCCGCTCGGTCCAGATTCACCCGAAAGCGATGGCGGCAGTTCTATCTGGGGCTTGTTATTTGGCCCCTCGAAGAAGAGCTTCAGAGCCGACGTCGACCCAAAGCTGAAACATTCCCAGCGGGGGACAGTCAGTATGGCCACGGTGCCCTCGCCTCACGACCCCGACGAGCGACTTGCCGGCAGCCAGTTCATTATCACCCTTGGAGACAACATTGACTACTTGGATGGAAAAGCCGCCCCTTTTGGCATGGTAGTCGAAGGCTTCGATACTCTGGACAAGATCAACAATGCCTTCACCAATGCCAACGGTAGACCTCTCAAGGACATCCGGATTCGGCACACAATCATATTGGAAGATCCCTACGACGACCCGCCGGGGCTAGTCGTCCCGGATTCAAGTCCTGCACCGACCAAAGCACAGCTGGCCACTGTTATGATCGCAGATGATGAAGAATTGGACGAGGAAGTGGATGAGGCGGCTATGGAGAAGCTGCGAAGAGAACGAGAGGCAAGAGCACAGGCCCTGACTCTCGAAATGGTTGGTGACCTCCCTTTTGCCGAGGTGAAGCCTCCTGAAAATGTTCTTTTTGTTTGCAAACTGAACCCAGTCACGAACGATGAAGATCTCGAGTTGATATTCAGCCGCTTTGGCAAAATTCTCTCCTGCGAGGTCATCAGGGATAAACGCACTGGCGACAGCTTGCAATATGCCTTCATCGAATTCGAGAATCAAAAGGACTGTGAGCAGGCCTATTTCAAGATGCAAGGTGTGCTCATTGACGACCATCGTATCCACGTCGACTTCTCGCAGAGCGTCTCCAAGTTGTCCGATACCTGGAGAGACGCTACAAATTCAAAGAGGGCAAGGCAATCTGGAGGCTTCGGCGGGATTGCCAGCCTCGAGAAGAGACGGCACTACCGCGAGGATGATGGCCGTGGACACAACGGCGGCAACTATAGAATGGTGTTTGATAAAGATGACATCCGCCGAAACAAAGAGTCTCGACGCGAGGAGGGATCCCGAAGATCTCGAAGCAGGAGCCCACGATATGACAGCAAGGAATCCAGACGGGAAGATTATCGACCTAGAGATCGGGACAGGCACGACCCTAGGGATCGTAGGGAAAGAAATCAAGACCGTGACAGAGATCGGGAAAGAGACCGAGCACGGCGGGGACAGTCGTATCGCGCAGGTTCCTGGAGGGATAGAGACCGCTAAGCTGAGAAGCAGTAGAACTCTTTTATGCTGTACAACGACTACTTGCTGGCCCCTTCAAGATTGCAAACGTCTCTCATGCGTAGAATTGTATCAGGTCGCCGTATCTGGCTGGTGATTGGGTTGTCTTGTGGCCATGCATAGCATATCTCGTCGATTGAAACCTTGTCATACGTCACCACGAGGCTGAGATGATTTGGAGAGCCTGAGAGCAAAGGTCGAAGGATGCGGAGATGTTTTGGAAACCCTGTCCAACGTTGTTGTCTCACCGCGCTAAACATCCCTCCTTCCCTCCCCTTCCCTTCCCAGAATCCACCAGCCACTGCAGCTGAGGAAGCTGAACCAGCTGAACCAAAAGCTGATCTTGTGGCCCCAATCCGGAAGCTGTCTCTTTCTAAAGGGTGAGCATCGGTCTTTGTCCGCTAAACTTGAAGGTGACACCTTTCTTCTCTCCCGCGTTACCTCCCGCTACTTCCTCTGCACCACCAGGTTCATTGCAATCGCCAACCACCGCTCACGATGGCTGCGAACATGGTAAATACGCTCCTCGAAAAGCTACACCTGACGTCCAAGGATCAGGGTGCTCCTGCTCAGGAGCCCGACGAAGAGCAGTTGAAAGCCTTGCGTCAGAAATATGAGAAGGCGAATCAAGAACATGTCTTTGCTTTCTACGACGAACTTGACAATGAAGGGAAGGCTGCCCTCTTTGAGCAGCTGTCCAATTTCGACCCAGACCGTATCAATATCCTCGCAGACAAGGCCCTGCACCCCCCGAAAGACTCAGACGAGCAGCAACCTTCCATCAATCCCCTGCCCGAGTCCGCCACTGCCTCCCTCCTTGATGCCTCAGATGATCAGAAAGAAGAGTGGTACAAGGCTGGGCTTTCACTTATTGCACAGAACAAGGTGGCGGTGGTGCTCATGGCGGGTGGACAAGGGACGAGATTGGGCAGCTCTGATCCCAAAGGATGCTTTGACATTGGCTTGCCAAGTAAGAAGTCATTGTTTCAGATGCAGGCAGAGCGAATCTGGAAGGTACAACAATTGGCCCAACAGCACGCCGGCTCTTCGGCTGTTCCAGTTGTCCCCTGGTATGTCATGACCAGCGGCCCTACTCGAGCACCTACGGAGAAATTCTTTGAAAAGCATAACTACTTTGGTCTGGCGAAGGAGAACGTCATCATCTTCGAGCAGGGGGTGCTTCCATGCATTTCCAACGAGGGGAAGATTCTTATGGAGAGCAAATCGAAGGTCGCTGTCGCCCCGGACGGTAACGGCGGCATCTATCAAGCTCTGGTGTTGTCCGGAGCTCGTTCCGACCAGCGGAAACGTGGCATCGAACACGTACATGCGTACTGTGTTGATAACTGTCTGGTCAAAGTTGCCGATCCAGTCTTCATCGGCTTCTCAGCGTCCAAAGACGTTGACATTGCCACCAAAGTTGTGCGGAAACGAGCTGCTAACGAGCCGGTCGGTCTGATCGTGGAGAAGAACGGAAAGCCGGACGTGGTCGAGTACTCTGAGATTGACAAGGAGATGGCCGAAGCCACAGACAGCGCCGACCGTCTCAAGTTCCGAGCGGCCAATATCGTCAACCACTACTACTCGTTCAGATTTTTCGAAGCTATCGAGGAATGGGGCCACAAGTTACCCCATCACGTTGCCAAGAAGAAGATCCCCTACATGGACACCGAGACAGGTGAGACCATCAAGCCAGAGAAACCCAACGGCATCAAGTTGGAGCAATTTGTGTTTGATGTCTTTCCATTTGTCCCAATGGAAAAGTTCGCGTGCTTCGAAGTTGATCGAAAAGAGGAGTTCTCGCCATTGAAGAATGCGCGCGGTTCAGCCGAAGACAACCCAGACACCAGCAAAGCAGACATCATGGAACAAGGAGCCCGATGGCTAGCGGCTGCAGGGGCTACCGTCATATCCGAAGGCGACGACAAAGGCGTCGAAGTGTCTCCACTCATCAGCTATGTATGTTGCCGTCCCTTCTTTTCGGCGATGCCTAGATTTCCGCTAACACTTGCGTCAGGGAGGTGAGGGCCTGAGCTATCTGAAGGGAAGAGAGATCAAGGCTCCGGCTGTGATCGAGAGAAGCCCGCCGGAGTAGACCAGTACCATGTGGACCGAGACAAAGGCTGCATGATCACAACTTTGATGGGATAGAATGGCAGTAAGGTTTCACATTCGGGTACTGCGGAGGGAGTTATCAAGCAAGTCGGGATGATAAAAGAGGTATGATATGATTAGAGACTGTCCTGGAGCACACGCTCGGGGAGGATCTAGCAGTCATTGTTTTCACTGCGTAGGTACTAGGTATAGTTCCACATTACCATTTTATCTGTACCTCGTAGGAGGTCACTGTGGGTTACTGGAGTAAGAAAGCCAATATCCCTCGTCATGGTCCGGCCTTTTCGCGCTCCATAATAACGAATCGGTCTCCACAGACCTAAAACGGCGCTAATCCTTTTTTAGACAAGCGGTCTTGGCATTGGTGGATTCTGGGATTTGCGACTGTGGACAGTTTCCTCGACGCCTTCATTTTTTTCTCTTCCACCCGTTGGTGTTGATCGGTCGTCGTACGGTTCTACGGAGGCTGGAAGTCGTTGGAAAGGTCGTGTGGGAAGTTGCGCCACCTGTAAGTGACCGCCTTGTCAACTATCTCTCGTTTCAAGCTGGCTTGTTCACTTGTGCCCCTCCTCAAACCCAATTCCCAAGTTCGAGGAGGTCCCCCCTTCTGCACCTATCCGCGATCTTGCATCTTCCAGAAGCTAACGTCAGATTACAGGTTGCGGGACTTGGGATACTCGAACGCGGTTTCAATTGAGCAGGTATGCTCCCCTCTTCCCGATTTTTCCATGCACCACGCCTGTTCCTTATCGGAGGTCGAAATGGTCGAGCCTGTGCATGCGCCTGGGGCAATCAATGTCGCGCATACCACAATTACAAGAGAAGGAATCTAACGCTGTCGCCGCAGGGACTGAGGAAAAGAATCAGAAAAAAGTAGTCAAGATGTCGTCTCTTTCCCGACGCGCCTGCTACAAGTGTGGCAATGTTGGCCATTATGCCGAAGTCTGCACTTCCTCCGAGAGGCTGTGCTACAACTGCAAGCAACCAGGCCACGAATCAAACCAGTGCCCTATGCCTCGTACAACGGAGAGTGAGTGCCGATCTTCGTTTCTCTCAGGTTTCGCGCGCTGATGGCGGGACTTTTTGCAGCCAAACAATGCTACCATTGCCAAGGGCTAGGGCATGTGCAAGCCGACTGCCCGACCCTCCGCATCAATGGCGGCCCTGCTGGTGGTCGCTGCTACTCATGTGGCCAGATTGGTCACTTGGCTCGAAACTGCCCTACCCCAAACATGGGAGCAGGACCACCTACCCGCGGCGGCCGTGGGGGCTACGGTGGCTTCCGCCCGGGTTACGGTGTCACCACCAACCGGGCTGCTATGTGCTACAAGTGTGGTGGACCCAACCACTATGCTCGAGACTGTCAAGCTCAAGCTATGAAATGTTATGCCTGTGGCAAACTCGTAAGTCTTGTAGATTCTTCTTTTTAATGCGTGCTGCTGACAGTGTATTATCCAGGGCCACATCTCTCGCGACTGCACTGCTCCAAACGGTGGGCCGCTGAACGCTGCCGGCAAGACCTGCTATAAGTGCGGACAGCCGGGTCATATCAGCAAAGACTGCACTTCTGCCACTGAAACCAATGGTTCGGCGGTCGCTGTGACGAATGGAACTCCTGCTGATGCTCCTGCAGCTGCTCCTGCGGCGGATGCCACCGAGGTCTCTACCACTGCTGCCCCTGCCGCTGCAGTTGCGTAGAGCACTCAACCTCACTCCATCCTGCACCACAGCAAAGCAGCTCGAATTTCTTTGTTTTGTTCCTCGTCCTTCGCATGTTAGTTTCTGACCTCCGCGTCGAAGCAACATCGACACACAGACAGTCCTTTCCGAAACCCATGTTCCCTCAGCATCCTGTTGTTTTCTGTTTCTGCTCCCCTTTTCAGCAAATCAAACTTTCCGCCTCGTTAACGATACCACGGAGGCTGCTATGCCTTTGATTCCTTTTTTGGCAACATGCATCGAATCACCGACGCCCCTTTTGGGCGTTCACGACCCTTCACACGACGAACAACCACTGCAAGACATTTCACGATTAAGGACCGGCAAGGCAGAAGCATGGGATCATCGACCACGAGAGAGAGTAAATCGAACCATGGACCAGTCTTGAACCTGCGGCAAAATTGAACGAACATGACTCCAGGATTTCACACGGATCACCCCCCCCCCCCCCCTTTTGACGGTTTTCATCTCCGGCGTTTTTCTGACGAGGACCATCGAATCTTGCTTTTCCAATGCGCTACACAACGAAACGACTTTCCTTGGCTTATCTCTACGATCGGAAGACAGCCACCATTTGCAAAATAAGGATCTGATGGAGAGGAAGTTTAGACCACCGCTTTCTGACGTAAACCCAAAACCGACTAGCTGGACGGATAAGATAGCACATGGAGCGAATCGGGGCAGAGGACGACAATGGGAAGATGCGAAAGCGAGATGCTGGATGAAGCGAGAGAGACACGGAAGTTGTGAGAGTGGAGAAGAACGGGAAGGGAGCCTGGGCGAGTTTGGAGGCAATAGACCGGGGTTGGGAGGCAACGAGTGACCGAGCGGTCGATGAGTATCGACGGGTTGCTTGGAGCCACACGAACGAAAGAAGCACTTGACCCAAAAAAAGGAGAATCAAGGGTTGGCATCCATCTGCAGATTGTGGGCCCATCTTCCTTCAGCATCATCATCATTATCATCATCACCGCCATCATATCACATCATATCATATCCCCCTTTTATGAGACTTTTTTTTTGCAAACTTAATGAGAAGAGCATCCCCAAGCATAGTAGTACCGACTTGCCACTGAGCTTTGCTGGACTTGACCAGGTTCTCTGTCTGTCTACCTGTCGAGCTTGTGTAGAAGTGACAGGATCCTCGTCGCCAGGACAAAGTGGACCGGCGGGGGGCTTGGGGCTGGCGGTGGCCACTCCCCGCTATGTTCCCTCTCGATCGAATTTTCCCAGCGAGTTCACAGGGGATGGGACGGGGAACACTACTATTAGCTCGAGTCACTGAGCGCACCAGGTTATGGTATTTTCGCACGTTTGCGCAGGTACAGCGTCAGCGTCATCAGACACGAGTTTCTCGACGAGAAAAAAGATCATTATTTGAGGATCGAAGGGGTATGTATAAGTACGACGGCGCACGACTCCGGCTGTCGTTCCATCCCCTGCTTCTGCCTTTCGGTGAGCAGCCAGGGTATCACGACACCTCGAGGGTCCTTGGAACGCGCTTCACACGCCATCATCCAAGACCGGCCTTCATCTCCACCTGGTGGTCTAAAGCATCTGTCCAAAAGAACTGCCTCAAGACAAGATCCAAACGCCCCCGGTCACAGTACTCGGGAAACCTAGCTCGAAACGCGCTTTGCAGGGAAGCTGCGTTTCCCGAGTGTGGACCGTCCGTGGCCGTCCAGCTGCTGAGCGTGACAAGCCACATCCAGACTAGACATTCCTTTTCCGTGACGTTGTTGTCGCCGGCCTCTTCGGTGTGGCTAGTTTCGTCTCGCAATGCTACATCATGCTCTTCCTCCTCCACCACCACACGAAAGGTCGGCAGGTCTTGTGTGAGGAGCAACCTTGGCGTCCTGAACGCGGTGTGGCTTGCGGACAGATAATGCCTGTCTGGCGCGAAGGCGACGCTGGCGTAGCAAATGAGCGCGAACACGAGGTACTTTTCAAAGTTGGGCGCCGGGTCGAGCAGGCAGGTGCAGGCGTCGCTGAAGTCGGCGTGCCGTCTGCGCGCGGGTAACGAGGCCACCGCCTCCATCTGCCGCGCGACACCCCCAGGGCTAGTCTGAATGGCGTCTTGGTAAGCAGCGATGCTGGACAGCACGGTCACGACGTCCATGGCGAGCTGGCCACGGGTCGCTAGACGACGGAATCCCGGCGGGAGGCGCGAAAGCAGACGTAGTGTTTCTGCCGAGTATGGTGGGGAGAGGTAGACTGGGCTGTAGGCGGGTTTGGAAGATGCAAACACAGAGGTGTCGCGGTATATATGGGTCCACCACGACTCGAACCTGAATAGCCCCCCGCGCCCAGGGGTGGATGTTGTCAGTGCGTGGTGGGCATCAAAAACTTGCAAGCAGTTCATCTGAACGATATTGTGGGTATGAGAATGAGAGGAGGACGACTTACTGCAAGACCGAGCATTTCAACATGCCATCCAGCCCAAGCACGTCCAGTCCGCCCCGAGACTCTATCATGGTCTTGATCCCTCGTCGATGCATTTGGAAAGCCTCCAGATCGCCGAAACCACTCTGGGTTTAATTTTGTTTTTCGTTAATCATCTACCAACATGCGAGATGCTCCAGGTTTGCCGCGCCTGATGAGGGAAAGGGGAATCTAGAGGGAAAGCACTTACAGCAATATGTCCCAAGAACAACGCCGCGATGATCGCTCCATCATCGTTGACGGCTCGCTGTCGTCGATGTCGACCATCACCACCACCTCCGGGATCCTCGTCTTGTACAACCATGTGCTCGCGCAACTTGGAGATGGCGACCTGGATCAGGCGGAGCACCTGCGCCGAGGGACCCGTCTTGTTGTTGGGGAAGTTCGACCGAACAAAAACGTCGCGCACCATGTTGGCCACTGCCACGCCGGCGTGCAGGGCCACCTCATGCGTCATGAGGTCGTAGTAGCTCTGTGCGCGGGATCAGGGGTCAGCTGGATAATTCGGGGTTACCAACCATGTGTGTAGACCTTGCCTGCAGACTTCCACGTATTGTATACGGCACTGCTTGAGCCAACTCTCTTTCCCTTCCCAGCTCACCCTCCTTTCTTCCGTAAGAGCGGTCCCGACCGCACTCCACGGGGCACGAGATGACCCAAAGCAGTGGATAGAGATAGATATCTTGCGAACCGCTCTGATTTGACTGACTGACTGACCTTGGCAAAAGTGTTGCTCACATCAAAGATGTGAAACACAGGTGCGTGCACCAAATCTGGCTTGACGGTGCTATCTGGGAAGGGTACAGGCGCAAAAGCCAAGTTCGTCAGCAACGGGGCCGCAATGCATCCAACCGACAGGACTTAGGAATGGGAAGGGGAAAGCAGGGAGGCCTTTTTCCTTCTTCCACCGTAACTCAACTCACAGAATTCAGCCGCGGCAGAAAAGCCAGCAGAATCGCGGTGTGGGACTCCAGGAAGGATATCGACGGGATGGCTTAGTGGCGACAAATGTCTCTCGAACTGTTGTTGAGATTTTAGGGGAAAATCGCGAATCGAGACCGCTCCTTTTCTGCTAACAGCAGGGGGAGCAGCAGTAATAATGGAATTGTCCTCGTAATCTTCCTGGTTTCTCCTTCTGCTCCTTGTGGTCTCGCGGGGCTTCGACATGAGTATAGCACGGCGTGCCAGACCCGTCGTCGACTTTGTGGACTTGACCTGGAGCGCTGCATGTCTCTTCCGGTGAAAGGCCATGGCAGCGTGCGAGCGCGCCTGAGAGGTGATACTCGGCCGCTGAGGAGTGCTGTTTCCTTGATAGTACATGCCTGGCGTGTTGACCAGGAAGAGAAAGTTGAAGTCCGTCATGATGGGCTAGGTAATATGGCCTCCTCTTCGACTGGTGTTAAGAGTCCCGAGTATGGGTGTGAAAACGATGGGGGCTTCTCAGTGCGCGTGCCGACCTAAGTTCCCGCAGCCCAAAGCCGTTGTTCCCTCGATGTGATGAGGCAAGAATGGTTTTCGATGTCAAATGCTGGACAGCGTTTTCCTGCCGTCGTTGTCGTCGCGTAGACCAGTCGATTGCACGGATCCTCAACCCATCCCACCTCGATGTCAGCCCACTTTTTAAGTCGCAGAATCACAGATATCGACTTCACCGCGACCCGATCCATCGCGACCCGAGGTGCTCTTGGAGCGGAAAGGGACCCCTCTCGTGATTCGTTCAAACATTCCTAGAGGGTCTTTGAAGCTGCTCGACAGGGTTCTAGACGTCCGGCTCTTCGGTTAGTCGATCAGCCCTTCTTGATCTCATTGGGCTCCCGCATCCTGGGTGACACCCAAAGAGGCAGAGGTTAGTCAGCTGGCGACGCGGTGTTGACTGACTGAGGAATAGGTGTAATATGTGGTATGCAGACGGTGGGTGGTACTTATCTAGGCTCGCTAGTAGGAGGTAAATGTAAAGGTGTCACAGAAATGTTTTATCAGTAGGTGGGCCGCAGTTGCCCATGGCCTAATGACAGCGATCCAACATCTAGATCGACCGTGCTTGGGGCCTGCTGGAAGAGCTCAATTACCTAACTCATACCGTGGTATTCTTCTAACCCGGACGGCATGCAAGCATTTAGGAAGTACCTAAGTACCTGGGTAGTTAAGAAAGTGGAAGAGCAAATAAACATCAGGAAGCCATGGTCATCTATATCCATGATGCTTGGATGGCATTTCACTTAGTATTATCATTTGTCTTTTCTTTTGAGACATCGTCTGCCTAAATCCCCCAAGGCAATCTAATATGGATGTCCTGGAGCACACGGTTTGATATTGGAAGAAAGCAGTATAGTAGATCCTGTGAGCCTGAACGCCGATGCTCGTCATGAACGGACAAAAGAAGTCGACAGTCGCGAACGTATATCCCTGCTTGTAAGCAAGGGAGACATCGCAGATATATGGAACAAAAGCCAGTGCTTTTGGTATGGCCGGTTTCGTCTCGTTCACTGACTCCCTGGCCTCCGCCCGTGAGCAAGTCCATTGCCATTCCCATTTCCTCCACCTTTGGATGCTCCGTTATTACTTGCTGCAGACGTTGCTCCATTCCCAACCCCGGACGCTGAGGAGTTGTTCATGACAGCAGCGGCAAGACTTGCTGCCGGTCCGCTTTGTCGATTTGCCCTGCGAGCTGCGCTAGCATGGGAGCCGCCTCCTTTGAGTGCCTCCTCGATATAATACCCAAACACGAAGCGGTACAAATCTCGGAGCCACCCAAAGCCATACACGCAGCTGGTCATCCCTCGAATGGCTCGGGCGAGTTCAACGGCATTGATTCGGCCCTGTTCAGCAATGGTCCCGGCGACGCCCAGATTTCGAAACGTGCTGTCATTTGCGATGGTCTTACGATAATTATCCAAGAGCGATACTTGCCACGCTAAGGTGCCAAAGGCGGTGTCGGGCAAGTTCCGGGCGAAGTTTGGCAGGGAGTTCAAATTAGGGTCTGCCGACGCCCGCGTGTAGCCTCGGCCAGTGGCCTGGGCAGCCTTCACAAACAACGTCTTGAGAAGGATGAGAGTCGGATCCTCAGCTGGTGTACGTACAGTCGACACGGTGGTTGCGGACATGGGATTTGGTCCCCCTTCCGAAGTGGCCGATGCAGGAAGAGAAAAAACGGACGAGGTTGTCGACCATCTGTGATTAGTTGCTGAAGTCGCTCCAGGGTTTGCAGAATGCGGATTACGCTGAGTCGGTGGGTTAGGTGACAGTTGTCTGCTTTGATTAGGCGCGGGAGTGGAGGAAGTTGAAGAGGCCGAAGACATTCTGGATGCTTCTTCGGCCCCAAGGACGAGAATATTGGGAACTGGAGCTTCGTCCGGTGAGATGGTGGTAACCGTGTCCTCGAAAATCGTAGTCGGCGTCTCAGGGAGTGCTCTTGGGTTGCCGTTCTCGTCTAACGGAGCGAACCCAGACCGTTTGGCCTGATTGAACGCTTGGGTGAAGGTCGTTTGACTGGGACGTGGGGTTCCTCGTTCAGGACGAATCTGCGTCCAGCCTTCTCGGAACAGGTCGCACAGTTCCCAGCATGCTTGGATCGCTGAGCCAAGGAGCTCTCTATCGGGCCTCTTCCCTTCTCGCCTGTTTTGCCTGAGACTAAACAGCATCTCCGCCAAAGACCAACAAGCACGAAGAAGGGAATCCGTCTCGTCAGCCATCTTGGACTTCTGCTTCATCAGTCGGTGGCAAAGGGTAATGTAGAAATCTAACGTTCTCTCCCGGAATGCCTCGGGCAGACTGCGATCATGGGTATTGAACAGATGATTGTTCAATTCAAAGCTGACACGGAGGACCGAGTCGGCTGTTTCGTTATCCCGCACGCGGACCTCAAACAGCGCCTGGCAGAAGTCGCGACAGAGATCGAGCGTTGGTCGAGACGAGTTGTGAGAGAAACTTTGCGACGAATGATTGTCTCTGGTGTCGTACAGATTCTGACACAGCTTCCAGCAGGATTTCCACGCTTGCTCCTGCATATCGCCACGGCCAGAAAAGTTGAAGATTCTCTCCCGGTGAATGTGGCTCAGGCTGGCTAATGTGTTGCACAACGTCCAACACTCGGACAAGGCATTGCGGAGGGCACTGATTTCAGCTTCGGCGTCACGTAATATCCGCTGGCCGAATTGACTTTCATCTCCGGTCTCATCGGTGCTGGGGTGGTCAGTGTCATCGCCCTCGAGAATGCCTGTAAAGTGTCAGTAACCAGAGACATGCAAGGAACAGTGGCCTCACTGGCAAGACTAGAGCCAGGACGGCTGAGGGAGCTGAGGTCCTGTCTTGTCTGTGCTCTGGGGGTGCGCGACCAGTCGTGTAGAGGGAGCGAAGGAAGAGAGGTTTGTAGCGGCGTTGGAGGCATCGGAGCTTCATGGGTCTGGAGAAATTGGGTCAGTACTCTAGACACAGCAGAGCACGCTTGCTGCTCACCTTGGTACCTGCTCTAGTGACCGGCGGTTTTGTGACGGTAGATCCTGAAGCCTTGGAATCCGTTGAATCTGCTCTCGATCTTTCGGCGTCCTTGGTCTCTTCTGCCAGAGACTCTTCAGCAATGGTTTCTTGTGGCTCGACCTGATTCTTCTCGGGGTACGACTGAGAGCCCTCCTGGCTCGGCTGCAACGGGTGTCAGTCAACGCCGGCAGCATCTGCAAGCACTTCTCCCAGATATTGGACATACAAATTTGCCAAAGCCTGTTGGTATATGGATAACAGATTGAGGCTCCTTCTCTTCTTCCAGTCTCGCGCGGAACTGTTCGTCCAGAGTAGGACCTGTTTCGACCTATATCTATCGTCAACCCACGGCCATCCCTAGGACTCCTGTTCATCGAGCATACCCGCAGTGGAGTTGTAATATTTTGGAGAGCCTCCCTCAATGGAGATGCGACAGGTGGTCTCTGCGCGTCATTGAATGCTGTAGGACCTGCGATCACCGAACCTCGTTCTGTGCCCTCCTCTTCCACTTCTTCATCCACGTCCTCAAAGTTGGTCACGTCCGAGGCAACCGGCGAAGGTGCCACGGGATCTTGGGGCGAAGTAATATAGTTGGCCGGTGGAGGTTTAAGCTGATTTTCAGTTGTGGTGTTGCTCTTCTCGGTAGCAGAAGCAGCAGGAGACCTGGTCAAGTCAGATGCATTTCGTCCACACTTTGGAAATTGGACAACCCTACATGGGGAGACCAGAGTTCGCCGCTGCCCGAGGTCGAGGCGAATCCGGATGGTCTGTAAAGGGCGAAAATGGGGAGAACAACGGGTTCGTCGAAGGACTAAACCCCAGAGGAGCTCTCACAGCCATCATCTTTGTCTGCTAACCTCGACGGCCTGCGGCACAGTCGGCCACGATTGCGAGGTCGTTCTGCACCAGCAGGGAAAAGGGAAGATGCGTGGTGGCGGAGTAGGATGTGCAAAAGGAGGGCAAAGAAGACGGATGAGGCAGACTACTGTCAAGCGCTGCTAGAGTCGCCCGATGTTTGGTAGATGCCGCAAACCGTCGCACGGCTACTGTTGCGGCCGCCTAAACGGTCGCGTGTGCCGCAGCGCACGTTGGCACAGGGATATTCAGGATTGAAGAAGACGGTGGTATAGAGGCGTATGGTAGGAGGAGACACAATGCGCCCAGTCATCGGGAAGCAAACACGGCACAGCACAGGGTCAAAATCAATGAGCTATGATACCACTTGCTCCGGAACGTGTTGGACAGTAATTGGGAGACATCCAAGAGTCCAAACAATATCGATGAAGAAAGAGGGTCCCAAGCAATGGAGGGGGGAGAAAAAGTTGAGAGGGCGGAAATGGTACCTGGTCTGCTTGTTGGTGGAGGCCTGATGTTAAGTGTTGGCGTATGGCATATGAGAATACCGCGAGTGCAGCATCTGATTCGATCCAGCATGCATTGTCAGGCCCGCGATGGTGGCTATACCTCTGTTGGCCTAGCAGACACCACAATGTGGGAAGCAGAGAGAAGGGAAGCAGGTGTGGATGTGTGTGTTGTGTCTGCGTGTCAGAGACAGAGAGCGATGCTGGAGTCAAGACTCGCGCCGCGCCTAGCTTGTGAGCTGGGCCAGGGGTACGGAGAATGTGATGCTAGAGTCCACGATAGAGAGGCCGGCGGTTTCAGGAGGAGCAGCGCGTCGAGCACGAACTGTGAGTGGTGGGAAGAGCTGAAGATGGACGGAGTGGAACAAGTTCAAGTGCAATGCGAGATTCTGCAAACAGCCAGACGGTCCACCTTTCCAGCTCTTGTCCAATGTCCATGCACCTTTTCCGGATGAGATACCAGGTCGCCGGAGAATTTGTGAACCAGCAGGTTGGAGCGCAGAAGAGGAGCTACTCGTAGAGGCCAGCATGAAGGGGCCAGATGGAGGAAACGAGAACTTTGGATAACCAGTGACAGACAGACAGGGCCCCCACCTGCCACGCGACAGAGCTAGCAGGGCAGAGAAGCAGAGGCTGAAGGCTTTGGAGTGTGATGAAATGTAATTGAGGTGCATGGAACTCGCAGAAGCGTGGAAAATGATCACCGGCCGGGGACAGCAGCGCAGTCGATGATTCGATCAAGAGGGTTTTGAGAGGGTCGCAGAGGTCCAAGGTTCGTAGCCAAGTGGATCGCAGGCAGATGGTTAAGCGCCGACACAAGGGAAAGGAGGGTGCGGGAGGCAGGGAGGCACAGGGACCCGGCGAAATCGGGGTTGACAGGAAGACAAGGTGAGAAGAAGTGGGAAAAAGAGAGACGATAGCGGATGAGGAACAGGTGTAAGAGTGGAGTGGATGGAGAAGAAAGAGAGAGAAGACAGCCCCAGATACCAATCACATGTCACACAAAGGACTTGCTAGTGATGTCCAGCTGCAAGTAAGCGCCCGGGCTCTAGGGGACCGGGGCTTTAACTGGTGGGAGCTGGGGAAGTGCAGAAGTGCATGAGTGGGTGGACCAGTACAGCTTGGTGGGTGTTGGACGATGGGGGGTTGAATTGGGGTTTAGAGATACGAATGTCTGCATTCACTGCTGCCTCAGATACCTAGCTAGGTTATGAGGTACCTACCCAGGCAGGCATGGACCACTGAATGGGGAGCTCTGGGTTCTCGTAGGAGCATCCAAGGGAGCTAGGCCAGTGAGGGTGTCCAGGCACTGGACAGGCACTGTGCGGAGTACTCGGTGCCCATCTCAGAGCTAGCCTAGAGCTGGCCATCTGTACCAGGTACATACCTACCTAGGTATCTAGGTAACTTCAGGCCAAAGAGAATCATTCATACATACACACGAGGTTACTAGTACACATCCCTCGCAGGAAGAAAGAGCCGCATCATGTCTCTCACACGAGTCCGAATAATGCCTTTGTTTCCGTGGCCCCCAACAACACCATGCAAAACGAACAAGATGAACATCCCCGTCGTCAGTCATTGTCCAGTAGCTTCGCCGCGCACTTTTCTGATGAACCTCTGGCATATTATCGAATGGTCATCTGCTTGGCCATTGCGCCGCCTTTGCCGACGCCGCCCTCCCTGGACGCTGACGCGCTGACGCCCGCTTTCCGCTCAAAGATCTTCCAAAATTTCAAACTCTCATCCGCCGCTGTGTGATCGTTAGCCCGTGTCGCTTCGATGCTAGTCCCAAACTTTGCACACTCACCTGCCGTTGCCAGCATTTGTCCATCGGGACTGAGGCAGCTGTGAAGCACTCGAGTCTCGTGAGCCGGAATCTCCACATTTCGCACCAAAGTCGGATAGCTCCAGATGCTCAGTGAGTTGTCTGGGAAGCCGCTGGAGCTCACCAGTTCACGGTAGTGATTGCTCCACTTGAGGCTTGTCACTTGTGATCCCGTGTCGATGCTGTTGACTCGAGCGCCTGTGGTCGTGTTCCAAAAGTGAATATGGCGGTCGTACGACCCGCCACCAGTTGCCAGGAGGTTCAATTGCCAGGGGCACCAACTAAGGGCCTTGACCGCCGCGCGGTGATTCTTCTTTGCAAACTTGGGAGCGGCCAATGAACGGGCGTCCCAGATGGACACCAAGTTGTCGTTTCCGCCCGTGGCCAGCTGCGCGCCATCACTGCGCCATTCCAAGCCACACACTTCCGAGGTGTGGGACACCAGCTCGGCAACCTTATGTTGGGCGACCCGGACGTCATGGTTGAAGACGAGCCCACTTCTTGCCCCTGTGGACAAGGTGTGCTTGTTCCATCCCATCACACCTACCCGAGTTTCATGTCCGAACATGCTCCGGAGTTTGGTCCCTTCTTCGACGTCCCAGATCTGGACTTCCCCGGAACCAAGACCCACGCCAACATACGCGCCATCGCCAGACCATTTGACACTGCTGACATAGGTGTCGGGCGAAGTTTCCAATAGGCAGCTGACGGTGCCGCTGTCGGCAGACCAGACGTAGACATTGCGCTCCAAGCCAATGGCCACCTGGTTACCCGAGCTCCAGTCGAGCAGATTCAGATAATAGTCATCGACAAGGCCAGGCGCATCCAACACACGCTCAGGCGCAGATTGAATGCGGCGTCGGAATTGAGCTGACTGAGCATTTGCTGCCTTGAGTGGGCGGTTGTATTGTGACCGGAGATCAATTGGCTTGGATGATTCCGGAGGGGCAGGCTTGAATTCAAGAATCCGTTGGCTTGTTGAGATGCCACATGCAGAGGCTAGTGATGATTCATAAGCACTGGAATCGGGTTTGGTCCGTGTGTAAGATGAGGAGGTGTTGTCATCCTCGAGACCAAGACCTTCTAGGGCGGTCGTGATGTCTGCATCCGCACCTCGCGCGGAGATCTCAAAGGCACTAGCGCTGGCAGCGTTTGCGAGGACGATGGACCCATCCACACCGGCAGTTCGCGGTCGAGTGTTCTCATCCGCCTTGCCAGACCCGGCAATTGCCAGGCCCGCACTTGCAGCCCTGTTGGGAATGAATCTATCTGCGGTGTTATTGGGGAGTCTGATCGTGGTCTTGCCTGCCCTCGACCTCAGGACTGTCTCTTTCCTTGATTTTTCTCTCGACGGTGTGGCAGTTGTGTTTGGCCCGGTGCCTGTTAAAGTCCAGTCCGAGACACCCAGCTCTAGTTGCTTAGGTGACTGCCGTCCCTTGGCAATATTGGATTTTGGTGAATTGGCATAGGCAAACTTGGATACCGATCTTGAGATGGAGCGAGAGAAGAAGGTCGAAGGATCGGACTTGTGGATAGACTGGTCTTTTCGTAGAGGAGTAGAGGGAGAGGAGGTGGTGGAGATGTTTGTGGCAACGCTTGTAGTTCTCTGTCTTGGGGATGGGGTCAGAGGCATTCTGCCACCTGCGGTTTTAGTGGAGAAGAGGCCATGATGGCTTTTGAGAGGTGTTGATACCGAGGCTGTTGCCATGGTGTGTAGATGTGTATGTTTTTGATCGAACGGACAAGTCAATGTTTCGATCAGGGTCTGCTGTTGAACCGAGAATCAATCAAGACCTCGGGGGTTAGTAGTGGTTGTCGATTAAGCAATCAGAACTTGTCGAGGAAGTATCTGTGCCTGGGTCCAGCAATTCAGTGATTATCTCAAGATGCTCAACTGAATGGATCCTGAGAAAGCTGTCGGTAGTATGTAAGTTAGTAAGTCTCTCAGTGTCGCTGATATTGTTGGATGATTGAGTAACCGAGCGGTGGTTGTGGCACGGCAGGGCGATGCAGTCGGGGGGTCGACCAAATCTAGCAGATGCAGGTATGATCTAATGGACTGTATGCTATGCACGCGCAAAAATGTATGCGGAGAGGAGGGAGATGTGGATGGAGGTGAGGGAGTATGGTATGGTAGAGAGAAAGAAGAGCTGTTGAATGAGTGAGAACTGGAAGTTCCAGTTGAAGTACTTTCCCAAGTTGGTGGATTTGTCTGCCACGGCAACGGCGACCCACAGCCCACTATGCCGTTTGTGGCACTAGTCAGTCTGGCCGTCGCTGGGGCAGAATTGTTACGTCAGCGCCAAGAGAGACGGAAAATGGAAGAACATTAATCCGAGCCACTCCCTCCGTTTGCCAAACATGCTGCCACCTGAAACTTTCGCCGATCATTTTTAATCTTCACTCCCTTTTCTGCAACCCCTTGTCATTTCCTTGTCGTCCCATACACGTCGACGGCGGGCAAAGCTTTGATATTCAAGTCTCGCTTACCCCACTTGGATGAGCCTCCGGGCTTCTTCACGCCCCATCTTTTACTCCATGAAATTGGTGAAACCTTCTTGAACAAGCAGCGCTGCCCTAAGCCTACGCCTTTCCCCGTAAACGCCGAAGTTCCAGTGAATCTTCAGTGAATCTTATGATGGCCCAACCTGCGAGAACACAACCATTCCTTCGCGACGACTCTACTGCTGAAGACGATCCAGTGTGGATCATCGGTCCCTCTCGACCACCCCGGGATTCTGGTGCCAATACTCCCACGGCTAACAGCTACATTATGCCCACCATCCCAAACAATAACCCCACCAACATGAACAACGGACTGAAACCAAAGATCACCAAGACCACTGGACAGAAACCGGCTTGCCTGGTCAATGCATCAGTCACCTACTGCGGGAACGACCAGATCTACGCCTTTGGCGGCTTCGACCAATTCACAGACGAAGTCTACAATCACGTGCTTCGGCTGAATCTGAAAACGCTAGACTGGGCGCTAGTGGATAATTATGGGGACATTCCCGGGGTGCGGATGGGGCACTCAGCTTCCCTTTACCAAGGCGATAAACTTCTAGTCTATGGAGGAGAAAATGAACACCGGGAATACCTGTCGGATGTGGTCATTCTCAACCTGAAAGACCATTACTGGACCCAACCAGACGTCCAGGGTCCCGTCCCCAAAGGCAGGGCCAGACACGCGGCAGTCGTGTATGAGGACAAACTATTCGTCATTGGAGGGTTGACCGGAGAGGCCAATTACATCCTCGACGATATCTGCTACTTGGATCTGAAGACGTGGACATGGTCCAAGACATGGAGCTTTGTGCAAAGATTCGATCACTCCGCCTGGATATGGGGAGGTCGACTATGGGTTCTAGGAGGCCTCGGAGCAGATATGGAGCGCCCTTCAGAAATTTGGTGGCTGGATCTTAAAGGAAGTCCGGCTTTGAATGGCTCCGGCAGGCAGTACTCTACCATGGGTCGCGTGTCCTCTACCAGACATGATCCCTGGCTGCATCCCACCCGCGCTGATCGTGTCGATACCTACACTGCCAACTCTGGCAGCGTTCACATTCGGTCTACAAGACGGGAGAAGCCCGTCGCCCCTGGAGCGATATCGTCGCTGAAATTTGTTTCTGGCCCGCATGTCCCCCTCCAATCGTCCGGCACACATTTCCACGTCTGCTCATCTGGCGCTTTGCTCGACTTTGTCACGCCGTCGTCGACTATTCGTCACAGTGAATGCAACTTGTCATCTCTCGAGCTGGACTCGTTGAGGTGGCAAAGATTGGTCGAAGGTCCGGAGCTATTCCAACCAGGCTACAAATGGCATTACTGTACAATCAACGAGGATGGAACAAAGGTCTGGCTGCTTGGCTCCCCTGGTGACGACTCTACTGGGACCAATCAAGAGCTGCAACTGAGCGAGGTTTTGGCCGTCGATCTCAAACGCTATGGCTTGGTCGGCAACCTTGACTCCTTTGCGTCTGAGCAAAACCGCATCCTGGCCTCCGAACGGCAGACAACGCATTCAATTCCCTCTGGCGGTGTGGGATCCGGCCTCGGCTCGGACCTGGCCTTGATATTTGATCAGCCCCCAGAATCCGGCAGCATGAGCGACTTCATCATAACGGCGAATAACGTCCACCCTTATGAAGACGACAACAGTTCGGAAGCCGATTCCCAACTGCGATTTTCCACCAACTCGACTAGCAGTCAGGTATTTCTTGCTGAGCAGTCTGCTGTCTCCGCCCCGATTCATGTTCACAAGATGATACTCCAAGCCCGATGGCCGCACTTCAAACGTCTCTACGCTTCCAAAATGGTGGAATACCAGACTTCTCGGTTACACATCCCTGAGCCATACTCGGTTGTACGCGCGTTCCTGTACTACCTATACACGGACAGCATTTCCCCCCATCCCGTGTACTGCCGCGACCTCACGGATGTCGCTGGCATGCTCGTGATGGCCAACCTTTACGACATGCCAAAGCTCCGCCTTCTGTGCGTCAATCGTCTTTCGCGCGAGATTGACATCGTCCACGCCGCCGTGATTTGGGAGCGTGCAGGACGGACCGAGGAAGAGTGGCTGAAACAACGCGCGGCCCGCTTCTGCATGATGAACTTTGGCCGGATTGTGCGTACCGAGGGATTCAGGAGCCTGAGTCGGCAGTCTATCATGGAGCTTTGCGAGGTTGTTGGGATGGAAGGGAGAGTTGTTGATGGCGATGAGATGGACGACGCTGATGGTGGGATCATGCAAGGCGGAAGCCTTGGTGGGCGATATAGACGAAGAAGCCATCGACCCAGTGGAGACGCCGAAGAGACCGAGGGGGATGACGATGACGGGATGGACATGAACTGATGCCATCAAACGAAAATCAAAAGGAGATGGGAATTAGCCGCCTCTATCCAGTCACGAAGAAACGGAAAGATGCTCGCTTGAGCCAACGAGAAAAAAAGGAAAGGAAAGCAAAAGACCCTCCCGGGTCCGACCTTGACGGGAATTCCGGATTTTTCAACTTCTCCACGGGCTTGCTTGCTTGCAGTCCCGGTGCATGGCAAGATATACGTGGTTTTTTTTTTCCCGAGGAAAGCTACGGTCAGAATCCACGCAAAAAAGATTGTCACACAATGGAAGGGGAACCCCAAAGGAGGGAAAATGTGCATGGCATGAGCCCCAAAAACAATGAGCATAGCGAGGACAACGGGACGGACTTTTTGTCGAGGGAAGGCGAATAACGGACTATCAATTACATTGTACTGAGATGGGGGACTGGGGTTGGTACTGGACTGGGATGGGATGGGTTGGGCTGGGAAGGGCTGGTTTTCGGTGAATGAGCAATTCAACGCTGCTTTGTGCTGTATATGTACCTGGGTAGGGAGGTAGGTAGGTAGGTACATATATGTGCCTGAAGCACGTATGTAACTACTACCACTACTATTGCTGCTACTACTATCACTTGTGGTCCGCTGGATGTATGAGTTTATAGTTGGGCGTTGAAGCCATCTGTCAGGCACTCACTCACTCACTCACTGGACCTATCTACCTAGTAATTTGTCTATTCTCCTGAGCTGGGCAAGCAGGGTTGCTGTGAGATAACAGGCACGGATTCATTCACTCAGCCAGGGTACCAAACGGCTCGGTTTTTGTGTTGGTTTTGATATTAAATGGCGTGCTCCCATTCTTGACCGTCTGGTCTGTTTTCGTGTCGTCTTGCTAACTAGGTAGCTATCTAGTACATGTACAAATACAGCCTCGACAAGACTGCCTGTTCCCAGCTCAAGAACGGGCATGCGTCCGAGGTGGCTCCAAGGTGGCTGAGGAGAAGTTGCACAAAGCAGTGGTCAAGTCTGCGCTGTATCTATTTCGTTTCACCTTGCTCGGAGTTCATTCTCACTTTTTTCCTGGCCCGAACCCATCTCATTGATGTTACCTCTGCTCATCTTTGCATGTTGCACAATGGACCGGATTTGCCGAGTTCGAATCAGCGCCTCAATGCATTTCGATCAATACTTCCAGCTTGCGAGAGAGGTGTGTTGCCTGCTTTGGTTTCCCCGGGCCCGTAATCCAACTGCTGTGCGCCAGTACGTTCCTGTTTTTGCGAAGCTTAACTCAGCTTCGATGTCGTGCTTGCCGAAGTCTCGTCCTAACCATAGCGATTCTATCTCTTCTTCCCTCCGGGTCTTGGTTTGACCTCTTCCGGCTGCACGCCATGCAACATAATCTTGTTTGGTGTCTGAGGTGTGTTCTTTTGATAGCCTTGGCTCCAGTCGTAGCAGACCGCATATGCAAACACTGTCCCTTGCCTATTGAATGCCGTTGCCGTGATCGGCGCGCCCACTGCTGGATAACCCTTGAGCCGATGCTTCGCATTACCATCCCAAAAGTGGAAAGTGCCGTCGCTGCCTGCGGTCGAGAACGTGCCATGTACGGGGTGAAAGGAAATGGCGTTGACGGCGTAGACATTGGCGACATCGCGGTTGGGGCCGGTGGTGGCGGGCGTGTCGCGGTGGCATTTGAAGCTGAAGTTGTTGTCGGCGGCCTTTTCTTCCACATATTGGATTGCACATCTTCCCTCGATACTGCCCACCGCGAATCCAGTGGCATCCGTGAAGCAACTAACCACTCGGGTCTGGAATTTCAACGGGGACTGTACCGACTTGTAGAACTTCTCGGGCGAGTTGAGGTCGACGATATTGATGTATCTATCTGCCGTACCAATAACTAAAAGTTTGTTCTTGACATCCATGGTGTAGACTCGCTCCTGACATTGTAGTGTTGCGACAGGGTTTGGAGTCCGCAAATCCCAGTATTTGACGGTCTTATCCCACGAGCCGGTAATGAGAATGGACGAGTTATTGATATTCGCGAACCGACACGCTCGGACGGGCTGTTCGTGGGCGACGAGGGTTTGTGGAGTCATATTGCCCGATCCCAGGTCAAGGAGTCGGAATGTCTTGTCGGCACCGCAGCCTGCAACCTTTTGGCCGTCCTAGAATCTGGGTTAGTATGTCCTCCCAGACATATCTTCAACCCTGGCACAACTCACGTCTGACCATGCGCAGCCCAGCACTGGAGCATCAAAATCCATAGCAGCCTTGCCCTCGCTCTGCCCCTGCTCGTTCACCTGGTATATCCGGACTTTTTTATCCCATGACGAGACCGCCAGAAAGTCGGCCTGTGGGGAGAATGCAAGATGAGACGTGCTGTCTTCTGGTGGTTGCACTAAGGCGACATCCTTTGAGAGGTCCCCAGTTGTGCTTGTGGTGGCCGCGGCTGCGGGCGATGAACCAAAGAGGGTAGACATATTACCAAACTATGGCGCAGGAACTTCAGAGGGGTTTCGGCGGAGGCTTGCAAGCAACAGGGGACGAGGCAGAGATTGTCTGTCAAGCGAATGTCAAGGAGGTGGTGGCAGGCACGAATACAGGAATTCGATGCGGCTGCCAGCGCGTAGAATATCTGAAGCCTCCAAACAGCGCGACGGCAGCCTATCGACCACCGTTCCCTATGCCAAGGCTACGGGCATATAGTCTACAGCCAGATTTGGAGATATCTCCCCGCTGCTTTATAACAAGCTTTGAATCTTTTAAAGCAGCGTCGATTCGTACAATATTCACTGTAACCATTGCTAGACCTTTCTGTATGTTGTCCATAAAAAAGGGAGAGAACATCTATATTCAGCCGTATGTCACCTAGATTGCTCCAGAACGTGAAGCCACGGCGACAAAGAGGGCGGTCTGTGGCTACAGACCCGTGGGCCGGGCAATCTGAAGACCGCTTCTTAAGGAGCAGGGCTCGCAGGTCTCGTGGATAACAGCTAGGTGGCTCTGTAGATGTTCCAAGGGCGGATTTCAGACAGGCCTATCCCAAGGCGTTATGACGAACAAAGTGAGGAAGGAAGGAAGAAGGCATTGTCTGCGCATGGTGTGGGGCGGTTATAGAACAAACCGGGACTAGCAAAACTCCGAGCCTCCAAGAACGGATTGGCGTTCAACGGTCAACTGGCCTCTACTAACTTGTGTCTCTTCATGGTCATCTCGTGCCGTTCAAGATTACGAGCACATCTGGATCTTATCAAAGCGCTTCCCCACATGTCCCTGCCTGTATCGTCAGCCCGTCTATGAAGCTAAAAGACATATGCAATCCGCGGCGTTGTCCCAGTGGTTGCGAAAAACGAAACCCGTGACGGAACGACGAACGAGGCTACTAAAAGGTGCCATCCTTCTTGGTTCTTGAGAAGAACTTGCTCTCCCAGGACTCGACGGCTTTTTCAGTGGTGTAAAGCGGATTGGACTGGAATACCCGAACCAAGTGAAGCTCTGTGAAGTTCTGGCTTCTCTTACTTGCTAAGATCGCTACAAACCTCAAAACCACGATACCTCCCAAAACACCTATGCAATGGTTACTCGTTAATAACGCTGAACCATGGCCCATTCGATACACAAGCCAAATGTCTTTCACTGCGGACACCACAACCCCAAATATCCGAGGAAGTCAAATGTGGGGACTTTTTGTCTCGCACAGCCGCCTAGATGGCATGCTAGAATTCATCTTCGTCTGGGCCTTGGCCCATGTCGTCGTCTTCATATTGGCCTTCGTCTGGGTATTCTTCTTCTCCTCCTTCCCCATGCTCAAACCCCTCGTCGCCTTCCCACCCCTCCTCCCCATGCCCCTCCTCTGGCTCCTCTTCCGGCTCTTCCTCCTCTTCCTCCTCCTCTTGCTGCTGTCCAAACTGCTGGCCCGGATGCGTTTGCTGGGATGGTCCAGCATGCATTTGTTGGGATGTTCCGGCATGCATCTGCTGGGGTGGTCCGGCATGCTGACTCGAACCTTGAGCAGCGTGGCCCAGGGCCTGGGCCTGGGCGTCTTCCAAGAGCTGCCTCTCGAAGGCGACCGAGTCCTCAGTCAGTGGCGGGAGATCTTGCAGGCCGTGCTGTTGCAGGATCTGTCTCACTGATCGATCGAAGGCTGCTTGGCCGGCTGGCGCGGTGGGGAGTGGAGGGGCGGTCAGGCTTTGAGACTGGATGAAGTCGACGACCTGGTGATTGAGATTGTTCTGGGCGTTCTGCCGAGCCTGGGTGTCCAGATCAGGCTCCTGCCCATTGTCGTCGTCGTCGTCGTCGTCGTCGTCGTCGTCTAGGTCTGCTGTCGGGTCGAAGCCGGGCGCCCCCGGAGGCGGCCTCGCCCCGGATCTTGGTCCTGCCGGGCCCGCCGGTGGTGCCGCCGGCGGCGCCGTTCGTAAGGTTACTACAAACGACAAGTAGCCCCCGGTCGATACGGTGTTCCCTTCCCTGAGTGACGTTGCCTGCCCCTGTACGTTCTTCTGCGTATACGCCGTCGCGTTGAAATGACCGCCGCCGTTCCACGTGATCGCGTGTGCTACCAACAGGAAGTTGGTCGCCGAGACCGGCTCGGTGCCCGTGAATCGCTTGGTCGGGGGGTCCTTTTGCAGCTTCTTCGGGTTGGGTATCTGCTGGGAATAGGTGATGGTCCATTTGGCGCCGGGAGGCGCCGTAGGCCGGGACGGGACTGGTTCATTCTGGGTTTCTGGAGGAGGGGGGTGGTTGAAGATCAAAGGAGGTGGTGGCACCATGCTGCAGGACGGGTTGACAGTAGATGTGGGGGGAGGTGAAAAGAATAGATTCGAGACAGTTGTCACAGGACTGTCGAGATAGACTGTCGTCCGTAGAGCTCCGTACAGCAGGAGGGAGAAGGGCCAACTAATAATGGTTGAAAAGGCAGTCACCGTCTCGCTTGTTTACTCATATATATCATTGAAGAAATCGATTTCTTTATTTGCAAAAGAGTACCCAAAGTTAATACCCTCTACTATGCCTCCTTCCCAGCAAGCCATCCTCTAGCTCTTAACCCAGGACGAGTATCTCAAGGAGGCTCTGGCTGACTGGGGTCCGTTGGAGGCTATAACGCAAAGGGAATATTGACCAAACTGCTGAGACTTAGAATAATGTGGGCCATGGGGCGCGACGACGAGTGGAAGGACTCGTCTCGGGAACCATTGCACGAATGTCAGCACCCTGTCTTGTGTCGTTAGGAGGTATAACTTTCGTAAACGTATATCCCTTTCACCTTACTCATTCGATAGATACTCCGTCTTACCTGTAAATTGCTCCAGGGAGGCCGTCTATTCTTCAGATTAGCGGTAAGAGAAGAAGCTGGAGTTTTATGTGGGCTGCGGGTCTCGACATCCAGCTCAAGGGGCCTGCAGGACGGGAGTGATATCAATAGAGCATGTATTCCTGAATGTCGCGTGTGATGAGGGTCGCTGATGTCTCCAGTCCCCCACAAGGCAGTTGCCTCCCCGCTGTCATTTACAGCTTCATATTACACCACATACCGTTTTCTATATTCACGCTTATCTGTTTCAAGGGTGGCCCTTTCCAGTTACGTTCACTGCCCCTTCGAAATGGTCAGCTCATATACTGGTCTCGGCACTCCAGGACCCTGAAACGGCTGGTGCAACGACACTTGAATGATCCTTGATCAAACGGAATTACAACCCTTGGAACCCTTATGGGGCCATGGTTCATGATGACGACCGAGGAAAACGCTGCGACTGCCCGCACCACAGGGAGGCATCCTGGGGGCAGTCAGGTATATTTCCCCTCCTCTGCTGGAACGAACCCATACTCGAGCCATTGAGCAAGGTGTAAAGTGGGTGAATTCACAGTCGAGTTCTCCGATACAGGCGACTCTAGGTAAGGTCGAGATCAAGCAGCAGCGCTGGGAAAGCCCAGGGCATCCAGATAGAGAGGATATCTGCCCACTTTTCCCCAACGTCCATCTTAGAGAGGACTCCATCGACCGCAATTCCACGTTATGATCACGGGTGGAGTCGACACAATCGATACCCACCGCACGGCGGTGATGTCGTGATTACTTGTATTACCTGTATCTGCCAGTCACTTACCAGTGGGTCACTTCAATCGTTATAATTGTCCAATGAATTGGGCGGCAAAGATCCATCTCATTGCCTGGGCAGGAATTCGTAGCGCCTATTTTTCCGCCCACGATAAGCGAGAGAAGTCACCACGCTCTCGGAACTCCGAATCAAGAAAATCCAAAGAATCCCAGAAGCCGTGGTGCAAAAATCGATGGAGTATCCTGGATGCGAGCGTCGATAATCCGAGGATAACGCTTAAGCATCTGCTTGAAGGTCCTCGGTGTTGAAAAAGAAAAAAATGACCAGATCTGTTGAAAGCTGATGCCAGGCATTACGACTTCTATTCGACAGAGAGAGAAAGGTCACCACCGGGCCCAACCGTCCCACTGTGGCTTATGAGCTCGTGTGACCATTGTGCCTCTGTTCTATTGTGCAATAATCCGATAATGGGTCGGAATGGCCTGGTATAACTCTCGTGCATCTTTCAATCTGGGCAGTGAGCACCGGCTACCTTCCACCACTGAACTCATCCCGATTCCGAAGCAACACCTACCTATATTGGACAGCCCGCTCTATCTCAATTTAGTTGCGCCGCGGAAAGAATGATCCATAACGCTTCAGTGTGAGTGGGGTTCATCTTGGACCATGCACCGCCCTATGCTTAATGAGCCCCTTTCGTTTCTGGCGTCAGAAAGAAGATCCACATCGAGAAGCATATCGTACAATCCTCTTTTCCGATTTCTCTCCTTTTCCCTTTTTTCTTTTTTGGTTCAACCGCCTAATTGCATAGTGACAAACCAAGCCGAGGTTGTCAGCATGTGTACGAGATCAGTTCATGAAGCTTCTCAGCCTCTCGGCATGTTCCGATACTCTGACGCGTGAAAATGAGGGCCACTGTTCGGTCGGCCGTGGAGATGGCAGCGTCTTCCAGCGTGATCCTAGCAGATGCGGGGACATCGCTACAGTCATTGACTTTGGACAAACCCTTTTCCTCGATTTCAATGATGCGTTCGGCTATGCTTGCTAGAATAGCACTGTTCCAGATGCCTTCCTGTCTCGGGCCATTGTGGAGCACGTCGACTGCCCGGCGTCTGAGCTTCGGGTGCCGACAGCGGCTGGCCACAAGATACAAGGGGAGGATCATTCCCGTGTCGAATTTGGGATAATGGAGGATACGCCCCTCCGGCACAGTCAAACGCTTCGTTTCGACCAGATACGAGCCCATATCCACGAGCCTGGAGAAGTCTGGCAGCCAAGCGTCAAACTGCATCTCCGAGGCAAAGGACGGCGCCAGCGCCCAGACATGGACGGCCAGCCGTTGCATTTCCAGAAGAACGCAGTTGCGACGCTCCAACTCGGAGAGGTTTCGATCACTTCTGGCGCGAAATTCTGCAAAGGCTGCGGACCATTGTTGGAGGAAGTTGCTGGCGTCTGCACATCGGTCTGGGCTCGGTGCGTGTCGGCTCTTCACGCCGTGGATGATTGAGCCCATGCCATCGTTAAAAGAGTCTCTTGCTTGGTCGGGCGTATCGAACGTGTCTGGAACCTTGCTGGGCAGCTTCGGTGTCAACTCGGGCACCAAAAGCCTCCTGTCCATGCGGCGCACGGGGAACAACAAAGACTGCGTCATCAGCCTCTTGAAGATATGGCCGAGTTGGACTTCCAGTTCGTCGCCTGTCTCATGGCTGCTGTCTGTTTCTCGCGCCCGTGCATCCCCGCCATGCTTGACGTGCCACTCGCAAAAGAGGTAAAGCCCACTCGAGAGCTGGCGCAGCGCCGACTCGTAGTGGTTTTGAAACATCTCGAGACAGATGAAGAGCAGATTGCTGATCAAAAGCTCCACCGTGGAGGGCTTGGACGCCTCGTGCTCCATGCACCTCCGCATCTCGGCGACGGCAAGCGTGTACTGCTGCAAGGCGAACTGGTCGCATTCCCAGTCCGCCGTGCTCCTTTTGTGCATACCAGGCACCACGACATTCTCCCAATGCGAAGCCAGCGCAATCATCGCCCGTCGCAAAGAGCCCACGCCCGTCTGAGCAACCCGGAACGTCAGCCTCGTCCAGAAACTCGCATCAAAGTAGCCCGCCAATCTCTCGGCCACGACGTCTCGGAAGTACCTCAGGGCGCGGTATTCTTTGGGCGACTGGCCGGGAGTGTGCGCCAGCCGTTGACCGGTGAGCTTGGGCTGTGCCGGCTCCCACAGCACGACTCTTATTGCCGGCTCGTCGCGGGATTCTTGCGAAGACGCAGTTGCATATCTGCACTGACGCCCGCTCTTCTTACAGGCGGAACAGCGAGGCCTGCGCTGATCGCACCGCACGTGTCGAGATCTGCACGTCTGGCAGCCTCCTTTGCTCTTGGGCGCGTATCTTCGCCGCGCCACGTTCTCCGTGGATGTCACCATTTCACAGGGATAAGGAATGTCAAGTTTGACTGGATACGTAATACTTTTGCAAGTAGGTTGCGACGATCTTGCAAAAATCAAGAGCCGTACGAATACTTGCTTGACATGGATAGCATATGTACGCTTGAGAAAAGCAAGCATCCGCTCCTTTTGAGAGCTGGAAATGGGTTGCACAGTCTCAGGCGACCTGACGAGCCCAGATTGACGTCCTATCGGCGTTTGTCGTCGTAGGTCGCCTTATTTCCGCCTCGAGACTTTTCCTACCTAAATCTAGTGGGATACTGGGTAGTAATACGATTAACGAAAAATTGCCTAACAGGGATGGGATAGATACCTGGTACTCGTACTCGTGTCTAGAGCAGGTTGTGGAGAATGTCAGGCTGGAAGCCAACGCGGACTAGATCGGAAGGACAAAAGTCATATTCCCGAATCGACGGTATATTGATGCCGGTGTAAACATGTAAACATCGCACAGCATTTGTTCATTTCTGCTCAAGGCACATCATCATATCTTCAGCACTATGGAAACAATCCCCTCAAATCGTTACATCTTGCTGAACTTCGTTCTGCCGTTGAGGGCGCCCTTCTTCTTGGGATCCATATCGAGCCACGATGCTTTTATCTTCTTTCTCCCCCAGTATCGGTGTTCTTCTCTATTGTAAATCAATAAATCGAATTGCGATTCCTTTCAATTCAGGACGTCGGTATCGTTACCTGCGCAACGCCATCAACGACCTTCGCTACCGCCGCGTCCTCTCCAACGTCAGCAACTCCATTGGCGAGCTCCTTTCCTTCCTCGCCCCCTTTCGCGCTCTTCTCAACACCTCCAGCTCCTGCCGCAGCCGCAGCCTTTTGAGCCGCTTTCTTAGCCTTGGTCTTTTCTTTCTGGGCTGCTTTCTTCGCAGCAGCCTCTGCCTCTTCTTTTTGTTTCTTCTCCCTGTCGGCCTGGTTGCCGCCAAAGTACTCACGCCATTCATCGGCCTTCTTCTCGTCAATTCTTGTGAAGAGGTACTCTGCCTTGCCAATCTTATGGCCCGGCTTGATATATATGGGTAGCCAACCATTGGCAATGTCTTCCTCGGACGGGATCTGCAAGAATGGGCGGTCAAGTTGCTTCCGTATCGACGCACAAGTTGCTGGAAGATATGGTTCGAAGATGGCAGAGCAGAGGTAGATGAGATTGATCACAGTTCCCACGACGGCAGCAGCAAGGGTGGGATCGCTCGCAATGAGCGAATTGTCCAGACGGTGGGCCTGGATTAAGCCATTCCCGGCTTCTGCAATCTTCATCGCAACGAGAAGCCCGTTACGGAGGTGCACTGCCTCCATTTCTGCAAGATATTGGTTGAGAAGATCGGTAACCTCAGCCAAATGTTCCTTAAACGACGAAGGAAGGTTGTTGGGATCAAAATCCGGTATGATCCCAGAATAGGCTTTGGGAGAATTGACCAGTTTGATGACTCGGTTGACAAAATTCCCAAGTTTAGCAAGCAGCTCCGAGTTGTTGCCATCGATGAACGACCGCCACTCAAACTGCGTGTCGCCAGATTCTGGTCGGTTCTTGAGGAGATAATATCGCCAGACATCGGGAGGTACGCCGGTCTCCTTTGCATTATTCCCAAAAACACCGATACCGCGGCTCTTGCTGAACTTGCCGTTCTCGTAGTTGAGGTATTCCGTGGATGAAAGGTGGTGCAGCATTGTCCAGGACTCTCCTGTGCCCATCTGACATCCTGGAAACACTACCGAATGGAAAGGAACGTTGTCTTTCCCCATAAACTGATATAATTGAACATGTTCCGGATTCTTCCACCACTTTTCCCATTCGTCTGTGTAGTTAGCAGTGATTGATGGGTATCCAATACAAGCCTCGAACCAAACGTAAAAGACCTTATGCTCGTAGCCAGGGAGAGGCACAGGCACGCCCCATGCCAGATCTCGAGTGATACCCCTCTCTTTCAGACCTTGTTTTAGCCATGACTCGGTGATGACCTTCGCACTCCGCGACCACTGGCCCTTCTCAATTGATCGCTTATCAAACTCTTCGATCCGGGGCTGTAGCTCGTCGAGCCGCAGGTAAGAGTGTTTTGTCTCCCTCGTCACCGGAGTTGCCCCATCCACCTTACAGCGGGGGTTGATCAAGTCCAATGGATCTAAAAGGCTGCCACATTTGTCACACTGATCGCCGCGAGCATCGTCGTAACCGCACTTTGGGCACGTGCCTTCAACAAATCGATCGGCCAAGAATTTCCCGTGCTTTTCGCAGTATGGTTGACTGTTGATGTGTTCGGTCAGGTGTCCATTCGCATGGAGCTTTAAAAAGATATCTTGAGAGATCTCTGTGTGTTGTCTGGTAGGAGTGCGGCCAAAGTGGTCGAAACCCAGCTCGAACCACTCGTAGATTTCTGCATGGATTTTATTGTATTTTGCGCACAGCTCTTCTGGAGTGACTCCCTCCTCAAGCGCCTTCGTCTCGGTGGCGGTCCCGTACTCGTCAGTGCCGCAGATGAAAAGAGTTGGTCGACCGCGGGCTTTGTTGTACCTGGCGAAGGCATCGGCACTGAGCACGCTACCGACAATGTTGCCCAGATGAGGTACCTAGCAAAGAATGTTAGCCAGTGTCTTGCGGATGTCACCTGGGGGGACTTACATTGTTGACATAGGGCAGCGCAGATGTTATGAGGATATTTCGCTTGCCCTCTTGAGGGAGGATCTTTTCGGAGCCCATGGCGGGCGGAGCAGAGTTTGATGGCTGGAAGCAGGACTGGCGCAAGGACTGTTGTAGGACTTTGACAAGATAAGGTCAAATACCAACATTCGCAGCCCTTTTTCTCTATGTGTTGAGTCAATCCAGAAAAGCGGTGCGTGGTAGTGACATATAAAGCGGACTCGAGTCTGAAGGAGCACGAGGAGTCACCAAATCCCTTGCTCGTCGCAATAGCGGCGGCGGCGGCTACGGCGGCGCAGGCGAATGCCGAGGCGCGAAACGACGCGCTTACTTCCAAGTTCCTACTAGGTCGGTAATTTTTAAGCCTCATGGCGTGCCTCTCGATATTTCCTTCGTCTCTCGTCTGCATCCTTCCACTGACTATTATACTCTCGCTGTTTCGTGATACCCTGGGCCATCTCATTCTAGAGTGTTCTCGAAGCCCGAAGAGACCAAAAGCCTTATTGACTGATTTCTTCTGACTCAATCTAGTTCTACAGCATGGCCACCGATCCATTTGATGACCTCCTCGAGCTCGAGAACGACTACTACAGAGAAGGCTATGATGCCGGCGTGGCTGACAGCACCTATGCTGGTATGATCGAAGGCAAAGTATTTGGAATTGAGAAAGGCTACGAGAAAGCCTTGGAACTGGGCAAATTACACGGGCGTGCTCTAGTGTGGCGAGAGCGATCAGAGAAAGCGGTTTCTAAGGACGCTGCCACATTGGAGACTCTTGATTCTTCACGGCTGAGAGACATCATCCAAACTCTTTCGCAGCTGTCAGACAATACCCGCTTCCGAAGGCATGTGGAGGGTTTGTACGCTGCTTCCGACGGTGCTACCATCGCAAAAGACAACTCGGACGAAGCAGTGACCGAGTTTGACGACCGCATTACTAAGGCAAAAGCAAAGGCCAAGGTCATTGGAAATATTGTGGGAGAATCACTCAACTCGACCCCTGCCTCGAACGTGGGCATTGAAGATGCTACTGGCTTGCAAGCTCGACATTGACGACAGTGCGCTTAGCTTACTGTGGCCCTACGCCCTGGTTCTGGACGGAGGCTGTCAATCTTCCAGACGAGGTCCGAATGTATGCTGGACCAAGGGCCACTGCGTTCCGGCGGCCGTTGTGTGCCGGGGCACTTTCTGCAGATTTCCCCGCAAAGTGTCACCACTTCGATTGCCCAACTAATCCTGTTGGCGTTTAGGCACTGTCTATGCGTAGGTATGCAACGCCGATCCGCCACACTCCTTCGCACCTTTCGCCCTCAAGATCAGGAACGGATTGCGGGGTTCTCTAAGTTTCTTCAGACCATTGTCTGGGCATACTACCATGACAACTTCAAAAGCGAACCATGACGCCTGTGCGAAGACTCGTTCTCCGCATGAGTTGGACTTGGCTGACGATGGGAAGCTGGAATACCCCGCAAGCTACGAGATGGATACAAAGTCTGTGGCCATTGACTCAGTCTGCGACTCTTCTCAAGCCTTTAGAACGCAGGTTGCACGATGAGCGCGATCCCTAGCATACTGTCTCTGTTTCTGGCCGCTGTGGCCGTGGGTCAAATTCAACCCTCGGGTGTGACGAGACCAATCGTCCAGGATTGTGGCTTTAATGGAACTGTCGTCTGTGTGAATAAATATGTCAGTCTTGTTCTGTCTGATCAAGAGGTGTCACTAAGTCAAAGCAGGGCGCTGTACTGCCTTACCACTTCAACCGGTCCATCTCCAACAACAACGCCGACTACGACTTCAGGAACACAAGCGTTGGGAACGCCTCGACGTTTGACCTGCTTGATGGCGCAGATTTCGTTGTCTTCGAACGACAGCGTGGCATGCAGTACCTAGGATCAAATCCGAGCTACGAGTTCATGTTCGCAGTCTCCAAGGCCGTGCATGAAGCTCCAGTCTATGCTCCACAGCAGAATCTGTTGTTCATCTCCCAGTTGGCGCCTCCTCCCGGCTATCTGCCTCAGCTGGTCGTGAACTTGAACGATGACCCTCCAACGCTGAGCGAGTACCTCCCAAATCCACCGGTCTATGCTCCAAATGGCGGGACATTCCGGGACGGTCTCATTGTTTTCGGCGCGAGCGGAGGCAATGACAGTATTGGCGGAGGAGAGCAGAGAGTTTCGCTTCGAACGGTGGATCCTGCCACCAATCGTTCGACAGTGCTCCTGAACAACTACTTTGGGTTCTACTTCAACACCATCGACGACGTGGCTGTCCACCCTGTCTCGAAGGATATCTTCTTTACCGACCCGCAATATAGTTGGTTCAACGCCTTGACAGACACCGCCCCACAGTTACCCTGTGCAAGCTACCGGTTCAACCCAGCCACGGGTGCTACATTCCTCGTCGAGGATACTCTGGAGCAACCCAATGGCATCGCATTCTCCCCCGACGGCACAACCTTGTACATCTCCGATACAGGCGCTGTATCGGGGACTATCTCCCCCCAACTCGGCAGCCAGGGCACCACCTTCAACACCACGGGCAAACGCACCATCTACGCCTGGGACGTGTCGAACAACGGCACCAGAATCTCCAACAAGCGCGCCTTTTACCTCGCGCAGGACTGGGTCCCGGATGGATTGAAGGTGTCTCAAGAGGGGCTTGTGCTCACGGGGTCGGGTCACGGTGTCGATGTCCTGGACGATGCGGGCCAGCTGCTCATTCGGATTCAGACGAACTATACGGTTCAGAATTTCGCGTGGACGGGCGAGAACCTGACCACGTTGTGGCTCATGGGGAATAACGGCATCAGCAAGGTCGAGTGGAATATCACGGGGCAACGACTGACCTAATGGAGATTCTCTGTCGCGTTACCTAGGTAATTAATTCTAAATGCAAATTCTCAAAATGTAAAAGACGCAGAGGTACTAACTAGTATTGCCCGAGTCTCCTCCCTTGCGGGAAGTAGCAGACGAGAGGTGTCGATGTACAACGTGATCAATGACCCATCTGAGCACATGCTATGCAGGTGGCGGGTGCACGAAGCGAGAACGGCAATCATCACAATCACCCATCCACACGATTGCAATGATCATCACGTCTCGGGATCAAATCGAACAAGGGCTTTTGATACAGCACATCCCCCCCCTCCTTTTTTCATGTGACTGCCTATAATCATTTCGGCCCCTCGATGAGCACCTTAATCGCCTTGCCCAGCCTGACATCCTCAAACGCCTGCTCGGCCTCCTCGAACCCGACCTTCCTACTAATCAGCCTCTTGACATCGATTTTCCCCCCAGCCACCAGATCCACGGCCATGGCATAATCCCCGGGCCCGTAGCGGAAGCTTCCCCTGACGGTGAGTTCCTTCGTGCAGGCGGCCATGATGGGGAAAGTCATCTCGTCGCGACCCATGCCGCCCTGGACGTAGGAGCCGCCCATGCGCAGGGCGTGGATGGCGGTTTGGACGCTGGGTTCTGCGCCGGAGGCGTCGATGGCGACGTCGAAGCCGGCGGGGAGGTCGTTGTCGTGTCGGAGTTTCTGGGCGTTCTCCGCGGCCGAGAGGTCCTTGGACGGGACGAAGGTGGAGGTCGCGGCGAAGGATTGCGCAAACTCGAGTCTTGCAGTGTTGATGTCCACGGCGACGACCTTGCTCGCGCCCAGGGCCTTGGCCACCGCGCAGCAGAGCAGGCCCACGGGTCCGGCGCCGAAGACGACCACCGTGTCCCCTTGCTTGACGCCGGATTGTTTGGTGATGTGCACGCCCACGGCCAGGGGTTCCATCAGCGCGCCTTCCTCCAGCGTCATGTTCGGGGGCAGCTTGTAGCAAAAGTCCTCGGGCAGGAGGTAGTATTTGGCCAGCGTGCCGTCGTAAGGCGGCGTCGCTGCAAACGCCATGTCCGGACACAGGTTGTATTTCCCTTCCTTGCACCGCACGCAGTGGCGGCATGGGATTCCCGGCTCCATGGCCACGCGGTCCCCCTTTTTCAGCGTCTTGACACCACTCCCGACCTCGAGCACCGTGCCTGCGGATTCATGCCCCAGGACCATCGGCTCTTTCACCACGAAATGCCCTATTCGGCCATGTTGCCAGTAGTGCACGTCGGAGCCGCAGATGCCCGTGTAGTTGACCTGGAGGAGGACGTCTCGGGGGCCCGTGAGTTTGGGGACAGGGCGATCTTCAAAGCACACGTCTTTGATCCCGCGGAGGACGAACGAGTTGTTCTCCTACGTAACGCGTTTGTCAATACTCTCTGGTTGCGGAACTCCCAACAACGGCGACCTACCTTTGTTTGTGTTTCTGTGGCCATGGTCTGAAAGGTGAGAAGTGAACAAAGAGGCACGGTCAACTCGAAGCAAAGTGCGGGGTCTGCAAAAGTATAAACAGAAAGTTTTGACAGGGAAGATGTGAAATTGTTGCTGTGGGAAATCAGCTATAAACGTGGCGGTTGTTTAACCTGCGGACCGCCTTCCACTGTAAGTAACAAGACCTCATTATACCAGGATCGGGCCATGTCAAATGGCATTGCATATACCTAAGGTACACACCACCGGAGGGGATATACGCAGTTGAGAAATTTAGCCTAAACACCGCGACCTCAACAGCACGAGACGGTGCGGGGCATGGCCTCCATCATCATGACGAGACCGGCAGCGGAACAGCGCCGTCCCAAGGCTGCCGGCTTCGGCGTAGAATGGCCCGGGCCAGAGACCCAAGGCAAAGGCTCAATGGCCTTGCTCAATCTGGACAATCTTGTCGCAGTTGAGGAGTCCCAGAGGGTCGAATGCTTGCTTGAGCTACATCCAGAGATTAGTTTCGACGAGTCTGATAGAGTCAAATGACTAAAGCTGACCTTGCGCATTGCATCGACAGTTTCTTCCCCGAGCTCTTCGCGCAGGTACTCGCGCTTCTTCAGCCCAACACCATGCTCGCCCGTGACTGTCCCCTCCATGGCGATGGCACGGCGGATCATCCGATGGACCAAGTCTTCAGCAGTCTTCTTCTCGGTGTCATTGTAGAGGAGGATGGCTAGAAAAGGTCAGCTCTGGGCCGAACGGCGCGCTGCAGTGTAGATTCCTTACTATGGAAGTTCCCATCTCCCACATGTCCACAGATGCCTCCAATCAAGCCACTGCTGGCCACATCATCATGGGTTTCTTGAATGATGTCCGCCAGTCTGCTGATAGGGACAGCCTGTCTCATGTCAGTTTTATCTAGAAGCCTCGATATGGTACAACTTACCACATCCGTAGTCCAAACATGGTCACTGTTGTTTTTCCGCATTGCCATGACACTCCAGAGGGCCTCTTTCCTCGCACTCCACAGTTCCGCAGCCTCGTCGTCGTTCTTGGCGAATTCAAAGCTCTGATTTTTAGTCCCTTTGGCGATGTTCCGGATGATCTTGATCTGTTCCTTGACGCCTTCAGGTGTGCCGGCAAACTTGAAGAAGAGGGTAGGAGCTTCCTGCCACGGCCTGCTGGTCATACCGCTTTTGTTGATGCAGCGCATTTGCACATCGTCCAAGATCTCCATTCCCGCAAGCTGGATACCTTCGCCAACAACTCTCGCAACACACTCCGCTGCAGAATGGATGGTGGGAAAGGTCGCAACGGCAACAGACTGGCTTTTCGGGAGGACCGTGATCTTCAAGGTGGCTTCGGTAACAATGCCTAGAGTGCCTTCGCTGCCGATGAACATCTGAGTCAGGTTGTAGCCAGCGCTAGATTTGCGGGGTCTCCTTCGTGTCTTGATGATGGTGCCGTCGGCGAGAACGACCGTAAGAGAGACGACCCAGTCGCGCATGGTGCCATATCGGTACGCATTTGTTCCGGAACAGCCTGTGCCGACCATGCCTCCAATCTTTGCTCCTGGGCCTGGATCTGGTGGGAAAAACATGCCATGTCCCTTTAGTTCTTCATTGAGGTCTTCCCAGCCCAGTGCGGGTTGTACGACGATATCCAAGTCTTGAGTTCGCAGTTCCAATATCTTGTCCATTCTGGCCATGTCGATACATATTCCTCCTCGTGTGGGCGCAAAGTGGCCTTCGAGACTGGTACCGCCAGAGAGTGCGGTGACGGGGATCTTTCGTTCATGACACACTTTCATGATCTTGGAGACTTCTTCGGTAGTTGCGGGGTATACGATGGCAAACGGCCGTTCATTAGGTTTCGTTGTGTAGGAAGAAAATTCGGAACCAGAATGCGCTTCGAGGTCGTCGGGAACCGTTGAGACGTTATCCTTGCCCACGATTTGAGCAAAGTCAACCCAAGCGGCCTGCAAATTAGAGGTTCGAGTATCATGTTGGGGCGGCTGCGCTCGAGGCAGAGGAGTCGTGGAAGAGGCGTCCAAGGGCCGTTCTCCCCTCTTCCCAAGGTAGTAGGCTGCGGCTGCGACGGACAGAATCACTTAAGTTGTTAGCAGGGAAAAGATGCGCCAAAGGTGGGAACAGTACCGAAGCTGAGGCTGAGTGTTCTGCCCCCGGCACCTCCTCCACGAGAACTTGCGGCTTTTATATATTGTTCCTCCGAGGCTCTTTCACGCTTCAACCTGTCTGCGGTGCTCTGGTACAGCTGTCCTCGAAAAGACAAGTTTTCTTTCGCGTCGCCTTTACTTTGCTCTTCGAGCTTTGTGTGCGAGTTGTGGAATGACCTCGCAGCCCAGGGAGCAAAGCAGGACCTTTCGCGCTCGGCACATCGCAGGAGGGAGCCGACGGGGCGACTGAGTCGGGCGATTGACTTCATGGTGGATTGTGGGCGCAGTGGTGGATGAATCGCTGGTGCCGATACTCAACGCATTTTCGAAGGTTGCCTGAAGAGATATATAGAAACAGCCAGGCTTGCTGTCAAGGAGATTGCAGCGACACGACACTCGAGCGGCGGTACGAATTGCGGAGAAGTTCTAAGAGGAGCGGAAGGGCACCGCTTAGTTGATGGTGTGCTTTGGGTGTGTCAATGGGATCGACTGGAAAATGACGATGTTTCCCCGAGGCCGCGCGACCCCAGATTTGAGAAGTCCGGTCACTCGGCGACCCATCGTCGTCTGATAGGTTTCGTATCTTTAACGAATACTACCTAGTAGCGACACAGGAAATGGGTATGGCAATGCTTAGTGTTGGGTCCTGTCGTCGCTCACAAGTCCGCTGCCAGTGTCCAAGAGCTGCCTTGTGCACGCCTATTCGTGAGACATCCATAAGCTCCTTGCAGGTACTTCGTGCGTGTCTTTCGGAGCCTTCACATTCTCCCCGGGCACCATCAATAGTACCAACTATCGTAGAACAGACTTGACACTGTTACACTCTCCGACCATCAACATGCTGTGATAAGCGAACGTTTACCGCCTTGACTACGCATTTCTGTCCTTCAGTTCTGAGCACGCTTCTCGTGAGAAGGCCGTGGCCAAGAATGAAGTCACGCCATTCTCTACGAAATGGCAGGCAAGAACAGCAAGCATCCAATGCAGTATACGAGGTAGAAATCTGTGACATGTTGGCGGCGGCGGCGGAGGAGGCGGGCCGCCGAACCGCCAGGTCGCGCAAGCAGCGTCTGCCCAGGTGCGCTCTGTGACGGGTGCAGTTTCCCCATAACAAGGCTGTCCAGGCTCACTGGGCTCGTAGATGGGCGCAAGTCAAGGGGATCGAGCCCTGTGGACTGTGGCGAGACAAGACCCAGCGCAAGTCTTTACCAATCCGCGTCGATGAAGAGCTCCCCGCAATAGGTGGGAACCAGCTTAAGGCGTGATCCGATGCGCCGATATGCGAGCCCCATGTAATAGTATTTTCCCGAGGCACAGGGCTTTCTTTCTGGAGTTTATGTACATTGTATCTAATGCTAGATTTCTAAAGAATTCACAGGGATATTATCATCGACGTATAAGTAGGTCTAGGAGCCATCATATAATGTCTTTCTCCAGCATCCCGATCCTGGATCTCTCGCTGGCGCGGGACCCGGCCACGAAGCCGCAGTTCCTCGTCGATCTCCGCCATGCGCTGTTGGAGGTTGGGTTTCTGTACATCAAAAACACGGGGATTCCCCAGGATCTGACCGACGAGGTCATGGCGCTGGGCAAGTCCTTCTTCGACCTCCCCGAGGAGAAGAAGTTGGAGATCGAGATGAAGAACGCGCCTTCGTTCTTGGGTTACAACAAGCTCGGGATGGAAATCACGCGGTTCAAGACCGATTGGCGCGAACAGATTGACCTGTCGACGCCTCATCCTATTCCAGGCCCCAATGACCCCCTTTACAGGAACTTGTTGGCGCCGAACCAGTGGCCGGATCCCGCTGCCCTGCCGCGGTTCCGGGAAGTGTACGAGGAGTACATGGCGCGCATGGGCGACATGAGCATGGAATTTACGAGTTTGATCGCCGAAGCCATCGGCCTTCCGACGGACGCGTTTGCGCAGTTCTTCGACGAGGCGCAGCAGCACAAGTTGAAGATCGTCAAGTATCCCGACTTGGAGGAGTTGGGTGTTGAGGGCGAAGCGCAAGGCGTGGGCCCCCACAAGGACAGCATGCTCACAAGTTACCTCCTGCAGGCAAGCCACCATCGCGGACTGCAGGTGCAAAACGCCGAGGGCCAGTGGGTCGACTGTCCGCCGATCGACGGGACGCTTGTGGTCGCCATCGGCCAGGGTATGGAGGCGTTGACACAGGGCGTCTGCCAGTCGACGACGCACAGAGTGCAGAGTCCGGCCCGGGGGTCCGGAGCGCGGTATAGCATTCCATTCTTCCAGGGCGTCAGCTACGACGCGACCTTCGAGAGCATGGACGTGCCGGACTCGGTCAAGCAATTGCGAGCGGACATCCTGGCCAAAAGGGGCGGCCAGAGACTGGACGATATCGAGTTTACCTTTATCAAGGGCATGTGGAGTCGACTGGGCGAGGCCACCCTGATGAACAGGATCAAGAGCCACCCGGACGTCGGCGAGAGATGGGTAAGTAGTCTTCCCGCCCGAGACTGCCGCATCACAAAGAGAAGTTCATACTGATTCTTGCTGGCTGTGAATAGTATCCCGAACTGCTGAAGAAGATCCGCGCAGACCAGGCCGACGAGGCCGCCAAATTCGCCGCCGCCGAGAAGGCTGCAGCGAACAAGTCGTCGACGTCGATTCCAGCCCAGCCGCAGTCCATCCAAGCGCATTAGGGGGGGTAGGAATAAAAACTAAAAATGTAGAATAGGAAAGCTCCAAGATCGAGCTGTGTTCCATCAGTCTTGCATCTGATCCTTTCTTCTTGAAACCCGTAAAGCACCAACGGAAGGCTTGACTACAGGCCACAGATCTTTCAACCGCAACGAACTCCAAGACTTATCTTTCGATCTCAGCGGGCTATCCGCACACTCTGAAAGCCCTATTGATACTGATCTCCTCGTTCCGCACCGTATCCGCCTTCATCTTCATGCAAGAGTTCTGGTCTCGGTGAAAAAGAAGTCTAGATACCGAAAGTGTTGGGCAGGGTACCTATAGCATACGCCATGACATCCACAAGTATCTCGTACAATAAGGGGCTATCGTTACAAACTATCGAGTACCTGGACCCTCGGAGGCCCTCAGAAAGGTGCCCGGCAAGCCGACTTCAGAAACAAAATGGCACAGTCTGACACCCTTCGTAAGTGGAGGATCCTACTCTGCTCAAGAGCAGGATGGGATACCTTTTGTAAGTGAAGGATCTCGCTATACTCATGAGCAGGTAGGATACCCTTTGTAAGTGAAGGCTCTCGCTATGCTCAACAGGAGACAGGATACCCTTTGTAACTGAAGATCCTACTATACTCAATAGCAGATAGGATACCCTTTATAAGTGAAGGATCCCGCTATGCTCAAGGGCAGATAAGATACCCGTTGTAAGTGAAGATAATCTAACAGCCAATAGTGAATCACTTCTACTTTGTTGGCGGCGTACCCTCTTTTCGTAAGGACTTGTGCCACTTACAATATTTTTGAAGTCGGCTTGCCAGGTATCTCAGTGTTGAATGTACTACCAAGCCAATTTCAGGTGATTTACCCCGCTTTGTCTCCATATTATGGCAAAGAACAAAGGAAACAGAAGTGAAGGTCTATCATTCAGGTATGTGTCTTCACTAAGGAAGAAGGTAGAGCCTCTGGCGAGATGTAAGCACTGTAGGCGATAGGGGGCGAGATATGTGTAACTGGGCGGTATGGTGTTTGTGTTTCTAAGGTGAATATCTGACAGTTTATCTACTACCTAGGTGATGGATGCCAAGACACTAATGGCTCAACAGCAGAAATGGCCGAGTCTATATCCAATATGGTAAGGCATCTGCCAAGAGCGCCTAAGCCTAATAGGGTTAGGTATTAGACTCGCATAGCCGGCCACCCATTCTCCAAAACTCATTCGAGTAGACCAATATCCGTACACACAACAAAACCCCACTGAAAAGGCGGCTGCGAAAATGTCGATTTGTGCCTTTTCCCACTTTTGTGCTCAATATCCTCCCAAAGAAGGAAAAAAAAAAAAATTCAGCAAAAACCGACCGCGGGAAGATTCGAACTCCCAATCTTTGGTGCGCACGTGACCGAAAACCAACGCCTTAACCATTAGGCCACGCGGCCGCGACTGGACCAAGACAAACTCATGGAGTTTTTCTGGGTGTTTTATACCAAAGTGCTAGAGGCTTCAATAAATATCGGTAAGATATTGATCTTGGCTAGTCGGACCCACAATAGGGCTAGTATATCATTGGTCCGCAAAAGTCACCGGATACTGCCTATTTAACACCAAAAGTGGCACTTTTCGACCTAGTATAACCTTTTAAATTAGTATAGCGACTATATTGTTTGAATTTTCAAGTTAGTAAGTTAAAGCTTATCCTGAAATCTACTATTAGATACTATAGTTATAGATTTTGATAATCTATAAGGATTTGGAGTCGATTCTTTCTTTTGCTCCCTCTATAGCGTTCCCGACGGTTCCCGCACGATTTCTATTGGCGATCGGATGGCAGGCCCGCCACTTGTGTACACGCCTTACCTGATGGGGTATGAGCTAGGCTTGGAGGCTTGGCGTGTTTACAACACGCTAAGACCTCTCTTTCTTCCATACCAGCAGAGACAGATCAGCAGACAATCAGACCTTTGCTCATGTTTCCATTTGTTTCCTGCTATAACAATTTCAAAGGAACCTGCAATGCATTTTGATTGTGGTATGTCTACCTATTTCAGAGCAAAAGGAAAAGAGGAGTCTTCAGTCATGATCAGGAAGGATTTGCACCCATGATACTCCCACAGCGTCATCGCAGCTCCCAGCTTGTTCTGTCATCGACTTCCTGATATCCCCTGGAAACGCCAGCTTGGGAATGTCTGCAATAGAGACATTTGTACCGCCTGGTACCTTCAATCTTCACCCTGGCCGCGGACGAGAGACCTTGTTTCAATTCGTGTCATCCACCTTACCACAGACCTCGAACTTCTGCTCTCCCACGGTTTTGTAATCTCGAATGGTTTTGAGGTAGGCTCGTGGCTTCACAGGAACTTGGTGAAAGCCAATGTGTATGGTGTCTTTGCCACTGAAGAACTCGTAAACCGTAGCATGCAGCGACCCTTGTGTCACTATGAACTCTTCGATATCGTGTTGTCCCTTCAGGATCAGGGGAGCTCTCCTACCTTCCCCTATCAGGTCCCCGATTTGAATCATCGGCATAAACTCTGATGGAACAATCCATTGCTGCACGGCCATGTGAGCTAGTTCCGTGGGAAGGGCAGAGCATGCTACAAGGCATGGGTGTGCGGTGCGATAAAGTTCAACTTGTGCAACAGTTCCCTCGACTGGTGCATAGCCTGATCTCCAGCTGTTCCATTGGCTACATAGGGTGACCATTGGTGTCGCAGAGGGCAGCATACCAGCCCAGCAAGGCGGTTTTCCAGTCCGGTCGTAGCATTCTTTCTCTTCCTCAGACCAATCGTATTTGATCATGGCCATTCTGCCGAACGGATGAAATTTGCCGAGATCGATCATGCAACCCTTTCCCCTGTCGGTATTGTTAGTATGCATCATACTAGGGGCCCTCATCACCTAGACTTACATGCGTCTGCATTCCCTCATAAGAGGGAGAAATAGTGTAGCGTCTTGATTGGCATCCAAATGTCCAGCCAGGCCAGAACGATCGTCCCCTGCAACAGATGTGAACGTACCGCCCATACTTGTTCTGCCGCCACCCCCGCCAAGTTTTGACGGACCAGCTCCCGCTTGGCCTGAATTCTGAATGATAAGACTGTCGTCTGCAGATTCGGCACTCGTGTATGTGATGATGCGAGCGATGTTTTCCACGATAGCGGCAGAGGTCCCGTACAGAAGCACTCGGCGACGATTCAAAAATGACGCATCAGGGAATTTGTGTGTCATCCAGCCTTTCAATCCGGGATCTTGGTGCCAGAAGCTAGTCGGAATGCTCTCCTTGCGGATCAAATATCCCTCTTTGTCGTCAACCATGGTTAGAAGATAGTCCCATGTGGCCTCGAAGGTAAAAATACCCCCACCAGCAAGACCTTGACCATACTGCATATACTGGAAGGTTGTGCCATCCTCAGAGACGCGTGCATGCTGCCGCTTGATCTCGACGAAAATCGAAGTTCCGTTGACGTGGTCGAGGCGTAGATTGGCCGTGATGGGACAGCAGAGAGGATTTCGGGCCAAGAACTCCGGCGTGCCTGAGCCTGTACGAGCGACGTCGTCAAATGCTTTCCAGATCTTGTAGCGCAGATCTAGTTCGGGATCGTTCACGCGTGAGATAACGCTAAAAGGCTGCGGCTCGACTGCGACTCCTTCTCGCAGATACTCGATTCCAGAGTATGGGTTTCGCCTCGAGAAGTCAGCAAGACACTCCTGCCGGCAAAGCAAACTTACAATCTGATTCCTGGATTTTGAAGGTGTGTCACCATATTTTCGAACGCCTCAGGGAGGTTGTTTTTGTGCATCACGAAGGGAGCAAGAAGTGGTGGTAGTGGGCTGAATCTTGCCATAGCTACTGGGACAAGACTTCTGAATAGTCTCTGGCCTTCCCCTCTGCCGGCATGTGCGACTTTGCTGTAATAGTACCGTGGAATGAAAGCAACCCAGTCTGGATCGTTCATACCGCTGATGACAAGTGCTTGACAGTCTTTGACTTGCTGCGCAGTCAAGATCACCTGGCCTCTGAAATTCTTCATGGTGCGGTAGCCATAACTGAAAGCGTCTTGTACCACATCGATGGAATAGTCGAAGGACTTGAAGTCGATCGGAATCAAAACATTTGCATCAGAGTCTTTATACTTCGTCAGCAAGCTGAAGAAGCGATCCGTCTGGTCTTCAGGGACTGTCGACAGTTGAGAGTCTGGGAGAATCAAAGCTCCATCGTTAGGAGCGTTCTCGAAGCCTCTGACGAAAAGAGGGCTTCTGGCTGCAGCGGTGGATATGTCGGCTCGGACTGCATGAGCTGCCATTAAGCGCAAGCCTTTTCGCATCCGGGTTTTCCAGAAGGCCTTTTCGTCTTGCTCTTGCTGCTCACTTTGGAGGGAATCATTCTGCGTATTTGGAGCTACTGAGGCAGGCCCGGGCAGGCCTGGATGTAGAGTGGCCATGTTGGAACAAACAGAGGGTTGGGGCTTGAAAGGGAAGTGCTGGTGAGAGAGTAGTCAGAGGAAAGAGAGAGACTAGATCGAAGTTTCGCAGTGACGACAGTAGATCAGAAAATTTGGCATGGCCAGAATTCACTGCTCACAGTATTCACTACCAGATAGGTGTCACTGCCTGCTTGGCTGGAAAAAAGTCGCCAAGTAACACAGATACATCACAGCAAACAGTCTCTTTCAAAGGCCTCACTTCAAATTGAGCCTCCTCATGTTTACCCTTGGTCCGTCTGAATTCCAAACCCAACAACTCCATCAAGCCTTCTGTGTTTGGTATTTCAGCCACACCTCGATCTTCATCCTGTCCTCATCGACCTTCTCACATCATGGCTACCTTTGACTTCGCGCGAATGCGACCTGACCAGTACAATCTCTACGATGCCGCAAGCGCCGTGGACTTCCAGAACATGGTCGAAGATCTCATGAATGTGGTCAGAACCAACGCAGCCGCCTTTGAAGAACGTGATGCCGAGCTTAGCACCTTCTTGAGGCTTCTCCTTGAGAGCGAAGACGCGTGGCAACTTGCAGCCCAGGTTGTACCTGAGTTTCGATATCCACAGTAAGTATTTCTCTGCTGCCTTCTCTCCTACCGGATGAGGAACTCTCGAATGAACCAGAACTAATCTCCCCATCAGAGACCGTGATTTAGGGGAGGAAGACACTCTTCTCAATCACATCTTGAGAGCAGTGGAGGACAAGAGACCACGTGCACCCTACAACGACCCAAAGGTTGCAGCAGAGAAAGCGGTAATGAGACTAATGTTTCGAAACTTGGTTGAGTATATCGAAACTCACGGCAAAGGTGTCACTCGTGCAACTCCCCAGGAGCTGGAGGAGATTGAGGATATGGGACACGCACAATGAAGATACTGGAGAATTAAAAGCCATAAGAGCTCGGGTGCTACGAGGCACTGAGGAAAACACATGGCCAAGGACGACAGCACGCAACGTCGAACAAGAACAAGAGCTCGGGTGCTGTGAGGGAAAACACATGGCCAAGGACGACAGCATGCAAAGTCAAACAGAAAGAACTGAGGGCGGACGTGTACGTTGACTTAGTCGAATCACAGACTATTTTCGTGACGCGACACGCAGGTAGACAGATTCAATACAAAGGCATTGCCACGAAGCTGGCTACTGTGACCACTCTCTCGCTCCCTCATTCGCGCTAGCCTGGATGTTACACTGCGGGACTACCAATTCAGCCAGTCCGACATGAAATCGGTCCAGAAGTCTTCCTCGTCGTGCGCACGGCCAGGGTTTCTTACCGCGGTTGAGCCCCTTGATTTGGGATCTCGTACACGGCCTTTCTCGTCGATGAAGGAGTTGACGAGCTCATAGGCCGATTCCGGATGATGACAGCCGCCAACCTCATCGTTATGAAAACCTTGGGATGCCTCCGATGAGCCGACCTGCTGCATGACTGCTGTCAATATCTTGTCGAGCCAGCCCAAAAGGTGCGGAGCCAGCAAGACCGTGTTTGTCTTGGCCTGCGCCACCAGGTCAGCCATAAGAGTTCGAAAGCGCCCGACATAGAGATCTGTGAGTGGTGGATGACCCAGGAGGGAAGAACCCGCTCTGCCCAGTTCTAGCACTTCAGCCCTCTCCAGACGAGCGAGGCAAAAGAGAGCGGTGATCAAGTGCCCCCACTCGATGGTGCCCAGCTGGACAAGGTAGCCGAGCTTCTGGCTCAGGATGTGAGACAGGAGTTCTTCGAATTGCTCGACGCACACTCGCGCATCCTGGGCGGACATGGACTTTGCACTCGAGCCCTTCAGCACACTGTATCCCGCGACGAAATGGTAGCTCGACCTCAAGCTCGCAGACGTCTCTGGCTGTAGGTATGTTGTCTTCCACTCGGCGAGGCCCTGCGATGGCAAAATGCGAGGTTCAGACCGGTTCTGGTCTATCCGATGTAGGCTTACAAGGTGTAGCAGCTCGACCAGCGCAGAGGCTTCCTTGTCGATAGACCGTGGCGAAACCTCAGCCAGCAAGCTCGCCGCGTTCCGCAAGCTCTCGATACACCGCATGTTCTCGGGCCTGTCGTAGCCGAGCACGGCGCCAAAGCAATTGATGTAGTAGCACAGCAAGAATGCTCGAACAGCGTTCACATCTTCTTCCCCAGAGGGTGATGAATTGCCGTCTCTGGCAAATCTCCTGGGGAGCCCGAGATCGGCGACCATGCCGTTGGCAAGTTGCAGGAGCTGGTAGTACTGGAGGGTCTCGGGGTCAAACCGGTGGTGATACCACAGCAAGTAGGTCAGCAAACTCTGGAACAACTCCATGCTCTTCTGGCCCCGGACAATGACTCGGTCGGCGAGCACATGTCTAAACACCTCGCCCGCTTGCCGTTCGAACTCTGGGTCGGCGCTGCTCCCTGTGAGGACGGCTGCGAGGAGCATGATTGGCGAGGACGATAAGAGTCCGTCCAGGGTCGACAGCGGTAGGTGGATGGCAAGTGGCACTGCTTCGACCATGTCCTTGTAGCGGCCCAGAAACACGGAGCATTGGTGAGCATGAACATCTTGTACAGCAGCCCAAGTGCCTGGCAAAGGCTCTCTGACGTCCAGTGCTGTGAGCAGGGCACGGCCGAAAGTATCCGGAGCATCTGCAACAGCCGGCGACGCTGATGCGGATGGGTTTGTGGTGGTGGATGTTTGTGGACCGTCAAAGTAGTGGCTTTCTTTACCATTGTCCTGCAAGCACTCCGCCTTCCCAGCCCAGGCTCGCAAGAGAGCATTGGTACCTTCGCTCGCAAACCGCCCTCTCACTCTGGCAAGGCATCAGCTCGGTTCTTTCCCTCAACCACCGCGTTCGATCTTCCGTACCTTTTCTGCGGCGCCGTGCGCTTGACTGCCTCGTGTGGCACACATCTAAGTCCGCCATCCTCGCACCTTGGACGCTGTCAATACTTCAAGACCTTCCTGACTGGGACCAAAGGAAAAGAAAACGGGTTGGCGTCACTGGTATCTGCTAACCTCTTGCACGTTTCATCGCGTGAGCCCGGTAAACAGCGTGATTTGCGCGTTCGGCACGCCTCGCACGCTTGTCTGCATCGGGGTCTCATTCCCACCTCCGAGGACTGAGCGTAGTAGCAGCAGCAGCGTAGGTCCCGGAGCAAGTCCCCATATGTGGTGTGCATGGGTGAGAGGGTGAAAAACGGGCCACGGGGACAAGAAGAAGGTGCCACAAAGCCAAAGGTGGAGCATCGGAATCACGGTCGGAAGATCAAGGATTCGTCGATGCGGCCATCAGAGTTCGCGAGCAGCCTTTTGATTGGGCGTGGCATCCGTGGAGAAAGACCGACACGTTGATACCTACTTACCTAGGGATGCATACAAGTACTAGGTAGGTGAGAGCTTCAGGCCTGGCGATATTTGTTATTGTTGTTTCGATGTGGCTCACCCTCTGACCATCCCTACATCCTCAAGCCCTCCGGTGACCACAATGGTGTGTCACAGGCTTTTTCGAAATTCAATGCTGAGGCATAGAGGCCTAGTACCTGGTAAGTACCAAGGAGCCTCCTGTGCATTTGGAGTCACAGTCCTCAATCCTCGATACCTGACAGGAACAGCAATAGGACGCATTTCGAGTCCGAGGTGTCTAAATGGAGCAGCTTGCTCTAGCCTTGCATGGACCCTGCCTAGACCACAACGATTCACCAGGTATCCCTCTCCCAGCTACTGTCACAGCAAGGACTCAATGAACTAAACACTAAACAGCCCTCTCCTACACAGACAAGCAAGCACCACCTCCAAGATCTCTTCTCAGATCAAACCCATGACGCCCTCCCAACACGCCGCCCACCTGGCCTCGCAGCGCCTCTCCCGCCCCGTCAGCCCTCACCTGACAATCTACAAGCCCCAAATAACATGGTACTCGGGCGCGCTGATGCGGAACTGTGCCATGCTGCTCACGGCGCCCATCTACATCTTCGGGGCTGCGTATGTCGTCTCTCCCCTAATGGGCTGGGGCCATCTGGACACGGAAAGCGCGGTGGCGTGGTTCGGAGCACTTCCCGTTGGCGCCAGGCTGGCAATCAAGAGCCTGTGGGGGTTTGCGTTCTGCTTCCACCTCGTGCACGGGACGAGGCACTTGATCTGGGACACGGGGGCCATGTTGTCGAACAGGCAGGTGAGGATCAGTGGATGGCTGGGACTGGGGATCAGCGTGTTAGGAACGGTAGGGTTGATCCTTTGGTAGGGGCATAAAGAAAGGAGGATCAAAAATTCAAACCATCCAGAATAAGCCTGTCTTTTCGTTGGATACTTAACTCACTCGCTGACCGACTCACTACTTTACTCCTCGTCCACAACCTTCTCCTCCGCGCCCGGCCGAGGTGTGTCGACCTTGTGCTTCCTCTCCCTCGTATCACACCCCAACCACAACAGGTCCGGGCGACTGTAATGGCCGCAGATGTCGAGGAAGCTGCGGGCCATGATGGCCATGCTGGGGTCGATATCGGCAATGACCAAACCCTCCGATTTGGCCTCGAGTGGTTCCGACAGGATGCGCCCGTCGGGTCCAATGACACAGGAGTAGCCCCCTCCAGGAGCATTCATAAGCATGGCCTGGCCGGTGCCCATGAGTTCGATGCCCTTGGGCCCGAGCACGGTGGTGGCGTGGAGGACAAACGTCTGCGTCTCAATGGCGTATGTTTGGGAGAGATTCTGGCAGCCTGCGAGCGAGCAACCAATAGCATCAGCCTAGATATAACTCCTCCCCATATAATCCCCCCTGACGTCGGCCAGGGTGTCCGAAAACATACATACCTTCCATCGACATGGACCACAGCTCCGGCCCCGCGTGCGGGCTCAAAGGCGGCCAGCCCGCGACGTGAATGTCCTCGCGCTGCGTCGCGGTGTGGTACTTTAGGAGCGGCTGACAGTGCTCCCAGCACGCCAAACTGCCCACCCTCTTACCGGTCTTTGTGGCCACCACATTCATCAGACTGTTGCCCGACGCGTCGCCAAAGATGGTGCGCTCCATGTGCGTCGGCTTCAGCTTCCGTCGATGCATCAGCATCTTGCCGTCCGCGTCGATGATCGCTTGCGCGATGTACACCGAGTTGTTGTCGTTCTCGGAAAACCCCAGGGCGACGACGATGCCGTTTTGGGCCGCGCACGACTGGATCGTGCGCATCTCGTCAGAGTTCACGGCCAGAGAGTTTTGGATGTAGCGCGTCGCTAGGCCGGGGTCTACCGGTCGATGCCTATAGATGTTCCCACATGTTACGGACATTTGTGGTGCTGAGACACAAAAGGATGGAAGTCTTACCATATCCACGCTGGATACCCCGGGATGAACGCCTCTGAGAACCCCACGATCTTTGCCCCCTTCTTCGCCGCCTCGGTGATGATCGAACACGTCTTTTCGACCGAAGCTGACAAGTCGAGCCATTCCGGTTCGTACTGGGCAACCGCCACGCGCAACGTCGCCGGGGCAGCTGCACTTCCCATATTTCCTATTCCAAAGTTGCGGAAAATTCCAACTTTCGTTCTCTGGAAATTCGGAGCGTTCCTTACCGAGTCGGCCGGTGACGATGACCAGAAGAGACGCGAGCGACGATGAGAAAAAGCTCCCAAGTCCGTTCTACCTCTTTATGCGCGGAATGTTCCGCTTTTAAGGATTATACCAAGTCGGATTTGAGGAAGAGTAGTGCTGACAGCCGGAGGAGCCTGATAGAACAGCTGCATAGAGTTTCATGCTAAGGCCCTCCGCACCCCTTTCTTTATCTTTGCGGCCGTCGTCTGGCGCAGAGGAGGGGCAGGGCTCGTGTTCGCCAATTCTGTGGTTCCAGTGCGCTGGCTCCATCCAACCGCCGGGGTTGCCTAGAAAGCATATTACTATTGGCGGCCTCGCTTTGCTGGGCACGATGGGGTCCGGACCCTTCTATTTCCGAGGAAACGATAGGAAAACAAGTGGTCAGAGGTGGAAGACATCGTAGATTTGGGGAGGGGTTGTGGATGATTAGTGACTGACGAGCGAAAATGGGCATGCGAGTATACTGGGTACCTAGGTAGGTACTCAGCCTCAAAATCCACAACCAAACAGACACCCTCATTGCAATCAGCGGAGCGTTCTCTACACACCCTCCAATATCATCAGCCCAGTCCCTTCCCTGCATCCAACGTATTCGGCGTCCATGTCGCCCGACTTCAAAATGCAAAGCTCAACCCAGATCGAGAGTTTGCCATTTGCGCTGTGTGGACCTCCCGGGCCGTACATTTCAAACGTCGTCTGTCGCAGCTTGACGTGGTCTTTGAAAGAGCGGCCGGCCAACTCGAAATGGGCGAGATCGAGCAGGTACATCAACTGGTTCGTCTCGGCAATGGCATCGGTGTCCACTTCCAGGTCGGTCCCTGGCTCCAAGGTCGGCTTGGGGTTCAGATGTGCGATGTTGAACGTGAACGAGACCACCCCGTTCTTGTTGCGCTCCGTGTCGAGGTGTTGCATCCAAGCTAGAGCGTGCGGCGCCAGCTTTTCCTTCCACATTTCAAGCTCTTCGGGAGGCAGGTTTGGCTGTCTCTGGCCTTCTCGACAGTAGCACAGGTTATCGGGGATCTTGCTGATCTTGACCCTTCCGTATCTGACCTTGTTGGACAGCGACGATTTGGACAGATCCACGACTTTCTTGCTTGTGTCAGGCTTGGCTTTCCAATTCGTGACAAGTGGTGATGTGAAGGTATCAGTCGGGTCCGTGTACTCGTCGGGATTTGCGCTGAGCCGATGACGGTAGACGCCCCAGTATGCCTCATCAGTACTGTCCTTGAGCCCCAGCATTGTGGCCATGCCAGACGTCTCGTGTTGGTTCGCTGCAAACATGTAACGAGACTTGGGGACCGTCATCACCTCCCGCCAAACACCGGCATCATCAGGCAGGTTGTCCCAAAATTGTTTCACTTCGTCCGTTGTCTTCCACTTCTCGTAGTCGCTAGATTTCAACCAGTATGCCACAAAAGTGGTGCATTTCGGGCCTTCGCGAGGCACGCCATGGCTCTCGTCCTGTAAGTGATCAACTCGATTGGCAGATTGGCTCAACAGGGAGTAGAGAGCTGAAATTGTTTTCTTCTTTTCCGCCGTGAGTTCGTCATGTTGCACGCCAAAAAGACCATAGGTGAAAACGAGGCCTTGGCCTTCCAAGTTTGCTAGAAATACCATCTTCTCAGAGTTAATGGACGAACCTATCTGGAGTTGCAATTTTGTGCACTGGCAAGAGACGAGAGAGTGTGTAGAAATCGCGGGGGTGAAGTCGTATAAGGTCAACGAACCCCTCGCAGAAAGTTATTTGGCTCGTATCAATCGGGCGCCAACTCAAATCCTGATCCTCGGACAACCCGCAACATGGAGGCCATGGCTGGGTTGAGATGCAACCGGGCGCAAGAACTGCATTAACTTCACAGGTGGAGTATCTGCATGATAAGCTGGCGAGCATCGGATTCGTAGCTCGATTTCCCGGGTATGGCACGGTCTGCAAACGACGCGTAATGGTTCTCTGTATTATTGGCCGCAACGAGTTGAGGCTGAAATGTGAAGATTTCCACCTATGATCTTCTACAATAACACTGCCGATGGTAGAGCGAAGGATTCCGGCTGGCGACATGTGGCAAGCCTTCAGCCAACGGGATCCTGGCACGAGTCGAAATGATTCTCATCCGTGTCTGGCATTGCTATCAGGCTGGCGACGACGAATTTTGTGCTGAGAACAACATGGTCCGAAAAGTACTTCATAGTCTGCAAGCGGAAGGCTATTGAGGAGGAATTTATATCTCTGATGTTAGGCCGGAAATGACTGACGGTACGCATCGCGCGAGTAGTACGGTCGCGATCTTCAACTCCCGGGTTTGAAGGGACGTGGGATCTGGTTCCTCATTTGAAACCAGTATGTCCATTCTTGGACCGCGGCCGGGAAAACATCCTGAGACTGTAGGTGTACTCTGGCAGATAGAGTGAAAATCTTGATTTGATTCGAGGTGTCTTCGCTTCCGGCGCTCGTCTCTGTCCCTCTGGGCCCCATTGAGCTCGTGAAGCGCGTATGGGATATCCAAATAGAACACAGCCAGGTCGCCAACTGTTTCCAGCTCAGTTAGGATCCAATGTAGGAGAAGACGGATTGAATAAAGACGCGCTGATGGCGATGAATTGGGAGAATGAAAACAAAGCCGCCAAGACAGGCAACATTTCCGAAGTGTTCCTCGAGCCGGATCAATGATCTTCCGGCACACGACATGCACCGCGCGCTCGACAGGGACGGAGTGGTAAGCAAAACATCCTCATATTCAGCCTTGAATCTTCTCATGGCCCTCATGCCAGACATGGCAGATTGTTCGAGAAGAAAGCAAGTTATCAGATGCAAGAAACTCCCACAGGAAGCTTCAAGGAACGAGAACGAGCCCTGCTCAAAACGGCCCAGTCGGATCTGTTTTCATTGAGGTCATTGAGGGGAGATGGAAGACGTCAGTACAAAACGCTGTTCAGTGTTCACATGCCAGGTAGGTAGTATTTACCTCCAGGATTCCTCCAATCTTCGCTTCTATCTATCCACATCACATCTGCTATTTCCAATCAAACACATATTGATTCGGTGGGAAACTGCTCTTGGAACACTGTACACTGCCTCTGCCCGCCTCATCCCATCTACCGCCCCAACAATGGCCGGCAAAAAACCACTCAAAGACGCCGCAAAGTCCAACCCCACGGCTCTGGGCGACCCAGTCTCCCTCAAAGCCGAGCAATCAGACACCTCGCCCACCCATCAGCCGCAGCAGAAGGCCGACAGGAGTCCGAGCCTGAAGGAGCGCGCGGAGCAAGACCTCAACGAGGCCAAAAAGGGCAATCGTTCGATGCTTGGGGATCCCGTGAGTCTCAAGGCCGAGACGTCCGAGGGCGACCCGGTCCGGGACGCGGATGAGAATGAGGACGGGACGGGGAGGAGTAGTGGTGCGAGGAAAGGAGGGAAGGGGAGGGATTCGAAGTTATGAATTAGTTGCTCCATCCATTTTCTTAGGGCAGGACTGAGCAGAACTACCATGTGCGTCAAGGCGAAATGCCCAGATGTATGGGTCGTCTAGATGTTGCAGGGTGTACAGATTGGGAATGATCACTCTGGATTCTAGTACTTGTTTGGACTTGAAGGTATCTGCTCATCTCATACATAAAGTCGTCTCAGCCACCTTTGATCAGTCTCTTTTAAGCACGAACCCTCACGAGTTGTTCTTGAATGTCGTAATGGCCTTGACATTAGCATACGCCAAAATGCCCAAGGTGCCAAACTCGGTGCCGATGCCACTCTCCTTGACACCACCGAACTGAGCCTGGGGCCCAGCGGCCGGGAAACTGTTGACCCAGACGGATCCGGCCTCCAATTTGTCCGCGACCTCCTGCAGCTTCTGGGGGTCCTTGCCGAAGACGGTGGCGCCCAGGCCAGCCTTGGAGTTGTTTGCGCGCTTGATCACGTCCTCGATGTCGTCGTACTTCTGCACGGGCACAATGGGTCCGAAGGGTTCCTCTTGCACGATCAGGCTGTCCTCGGGCGGGTTGTCGATGATGGTTGGGTTGATGAAGAAGCCCTTGGACTCGGGCACGTCGCCGGACCCCAGGGCGAATTTGTAGCCGTGGTCCTTGGTGTCCTTGAAGAAGGTCTTTACCTTTTCGTACTGCATGCTGTTCTGGATGGGGCCGAGCATGACGCCTTCTTCGTTGGAAGAGCCAACTTTGAGGGACTTGGCGACGTTGACAAGCGCGGCCAGGAACTCGTCGTACATGGACGAGTGCACGTAGATGCGTTTCGAGGCGATGCAGACTTGGGAGGTGTTGAAGAACGCGCCCTGCACAAAATCAGTCAAATGTGAACGAAACCAAATCATTAAAGAGACTCCTTACCATAGCAACCATGGGAGCCACCTTGGCAATGTCGGCGTCGGGGAGCACGATTGCAGGGTCGTTGCCACCCATCTCCAGGGTCACTCGCTTGACGGTCTTCGCCGCAGCAGCCATGACTTTCTTACCAGTGGCGATTGAACCAGTGAAGCTGATCTTGTGGATGTCAGGGTGGTCGACGAGAGCCGGACCGAGTTTGTCGTCACCACCCAACGCCTGAACGAGACCCGGTGGGAAGACTTGGTTGGCGATCTCGACCATCTTCAGCGCGGTGTATCTGTTTCGTCACCGTCAGCTCGCCGAGCAATTCAAACTCCCAAGGTGGTAGACATACGGAGTGAAGGGACTAGGCTTCACGATGATAGCATTTCCCATCTGCACAGCCGGCAGCACCTTGCCCAAACTCAACAACAGAGGGAAGTTCCAAGGGCAAATGGCCGCTGCGACGCCCAGGGGAACAAACTTGTTGACAATCGTCCGGTCGTCAAGGTCGTATGATTCACCCTTGGGCTCCTTCAAATTGATATGCCACTCCATAAACTTGGAGCAAGACTGCACCTCGGTGGCCCCAAAGTTGCGAGGCTTTCCCGTCTCCTTGAGGAGCAGGTCGGTCATCTCCTCCTGGTATGCCTCCAGGGCCTCCTTGAAGCGGGCAATGCGCTCGGTGCGGTATTCCCAGGTCGTGGTCTTCCACTCGGCAAAGGCCTTGTTGGCGGCGGCGACGGCATCTTCAATGTCGTCGCTGGTAGCCACAGGCACGTCCCAGTTGGGCTGTTTGGAGGTGGGGTCGATTCCGTGGTATTTTGTCTTTGAGCTACGGGGTTCACCGTTGACGATGTTGGAGAAGGTGGTGAAGTCGATGGTATCTAGTCTAGAGGGAGCCATGGCTGGGTGAGAGTCACAGTATAATCTTTGTTCTTCTTGTCTTCCTTGTTAGTAGACGGAGGGACAGGGCACAGAGAAAGGTGCAGAAGCAGGGCGTGAGTAAACAACATGTATCCCCCTCCAGGACATACCCACCTTTTTATACCTACGCGTCCATCAACCAGTTCCTCCTTCCTTATCTGTCTCCATCTAAGGCCAACCCAGCGGATCTAGTGTCGCAGAAGGTTCCCCTGCCGCCCCTCCCAGAGCTCGTTCACGACCACATCAATGCCGAACTGGCTGCCCCGCACTTAGTCGCTGGGACTACCTTGGGCTACGTACTCGTACATACCGAGCGAGGCAGGATATGCAGGTTATGCTCGGGAACGATAATCTCGCCGGCTCTGGGCCGGTCTTTAGTGGACGAACTGCCGATGCTGGTGGATGCAGGGTGTCAGCAAGGGCTACTTAGTGGGCTCGCGCTGGCCCGCCTGGAGAAGAGCCAGTCTGTATCCCGCGGCTTTTCGAGTCAGGGAGTAGAACTTGGGAGAGAAGAGAATAATACAAAATCCGACATCTGGCCTCGCACATTGCATTATTTGGCCCGCGGTCTGGTGAGATATTCTGACGTTGATTTGCTTACCAGTGATTATCAAAATTATCAAAACTGCCCGACCGCCATCCCGCCACCCCCGAGAAGTCCAGCGTTGCTCGCATATTCCTATGAGTAACAGCTCGTGTACCTCTAAAAGTAAGACAGCTTCTCCAGAGCCCACCCCTGGGGGAGACGTGGGATGGAGGTGGGTTGCTGGAGACGTTGCGCGTCAAAGGATTCGCCGTCAGGCCAACCTAAGATCTTACAAGTTGCCATGAAACGCCAGGGAGGCTGAATCTGGGACCATGACAACCAACCCTCCAGCAACGTTATGGCCATGTCAGGAGCTGTCTTGACGCCTCCCCAAACTATCCGTCTAGGTATTCACTTCGCTCAAGTCCCTTCCCAAGACACCCACAGCTGTCTATACGAGCTGATATTTGAAATCCTTGCTTCTCCAGGAACTATTCTTACATTCCAAAGCGAAGGGTGTCTGGTACCGTTTAGCAATATTGTGTGATTCATTGTGTGATTCGTTGTGGTCTCGTATCTACAACGGTACCCACTGCCTGCAATTTACCGTTGGCCCCGTGCATACCGTAGTAGCTAACAATCCATAGCTCAAAGACCCCTCCTTTCATGGTTGCACAGGTCAGCAGTGTCATAACATGTTCTCGAGCAATGGCTCCATTGCTGGCTGCCTCCAACAGTGACACTGCAAGTGGATACGCATAGAAATGCCACGGCAGCCAACTCCGAACCTCGATAAGACTTTGCCTCCCCTTCCCACCACGAGAGAATGACTGATGTTAAGACAAGTTTGGAATAGACAGTGCGTAGAGTACTCGGTCGATCCCAAGAACAGTCTCTCCGCTCGGACGCCCATCTGGACTTTCCCACGAGCGATTCAAGCCCTCTTGAGCAGCACGACAAACGTAGCCTTGCGTCCTTGGACGTGGTCGAGATACCCCTCCAACTCATCATCTTCCTCAATGAGGTAGGGGATCTCGTTGCCCACAGCGTCTTTGTCAATACCCTTGATTTGTTCCGCCTTAGCATGGGGATACTTGGCTGCAAGCATTGCATGGAGCTCCTGAACAGTGCGGCCGGTCAAAGACCCAAGTGAGAGTTTTGTGTTCGTGTACATGGTCGAGTTGGGATGCGGACGGACATACACAGGCGTCACGCTTGACACTTGTGGGGTGCCTAGATGATCCGCCACCTGCAACAGGTTGGGGTCGATTTGAAGGTCTGACAAATCATTATTATGCGGTGCCGCGGTTGATACACCACCAAACGGATTCGCAGGCAGGGCATCGCGGTACGCGCTGCTGGCAGAGGCTGGTGCGGGAGCGACAGGCGACGCAGGGGGCTGTGGTGCAGTGTCTTCGGCATAGGTCGTCGAAGGTTGAACGGGAGCGGGCTTTTTCCTGAAAGTGCCCTTCTTCTTCGCTCGATCGTCTCGCACACGCTTCATTACGTCCCGACACAAGAGCTCCATTGCCGCTAGCTTTCTGTTGTGCTCGGGATCGGCCTCGCTCGCGGCGAGGATGCTCTGGAGATATGAGTTATTGGCAACCCAGCGATCTTTGAGTTCCTTCCACTTTGCTGGTCCCATCTCGAGTTTACTAGTGTAGTACTCCGATTCGAGGATCTCGTAGAACTCGCCACGGACTTGTCGACTTTGATCCGGGTTCAAGCCCAACACCTTCTTGGACTCCAAGATGGTCAACCGTCGACCCATTGTCCGGATGCGCTTCGTAACATCGGTGCAGATAACGTCTAGGGCGAGCTCTTTGGATTGAAGGTTGGTGGTGTTCTGCCACATCACGGCCTGCAACAGGCTATTCTCGCGAACCAGTCGATCCTTGACGGCTTGCCATTTCTCGGTTCCAGCAACGGTCTTTTGCATGATTTGCTCCTCCTCACAAATTGCCTGGAACTGATCGCGAATGGCCCGATATTGCCTCGCATCAAGAGCCAAGATCTCCCTGCTTTCCTCAAGCGTAGTCTCGGAGGGGAAACGCGGTGGCATGCCCGCAGGATCGGGTGGAAGACCTGCGTATCCCTTGGTGCGACGGCGGCGTTTTTTCTCTCTCCAGCGCAGGTCACTGATGGCTTGAAGTTCTTGGAGTCTCTCCTTTTGGCGCTCCACAAAATCTGGTGGTGGATCCTCGAGGACTGGTTGTTGATTTGGTTGAGCGATGCCCTCGTCACTTTTCGCAGCCTCGATCAACTGCCCTTCGAGTCGAGCTTCGGCGTCATCGGCGGGCGTCTGCTTGGCACCGTTGGGAATGCGCATGAGCCAGCGGTTCTTAGCACGCAGTCGCATCAACTCGCGTTCCTTGATATCGTGACCCTCGGCTTGAAGAGTATGAAGCATGTTGCGTTGACTGTAGTTTGCCTCCCATAGCTGCCTCACGCGATCAAGCAAGTCCTCGTCGCGAAACGATGGCTTGCGTTTCGACGGAAAACCCCATCTCTTGAATTGTGTCTGAAAAGCGCGCTTGGAGGGAGTGAAGTTGGCGACTTCTCGCATGTACTGCATGATCTCCTCGAGGGACTGAGTCTGGTTAGCCATGCGCGATCTGAGTGGCAGGCAATAACAATGAGTTTGGTCTTACCTTCCTGTCCTCGATGTAGAGCTTGTAGAGCACATCTCGGTGAGGATCCCAGCTGTAGACCTGTTCGAGAGTCAAAATCGTACGCCAACTGTGAGATGGTGGTGAGGGATACCATGATGGCTTACGCGATGCCGAAAGCGCGGTTGACGCTGCAATGCGGTCGTGTACTGGAACTATGGTGAGGCGGGACATCTCGAAGGTGCAAAACTTGAAAGGAGGCAGTAAATGCGGCGGGCGACTGGCAGGAGCGGATGAAAGTTATTCCGAACCGCCCTGTCTGTAACTCCGAGTCGTGCACGTTGAGCGCGGCCGCAAGGCTGAAGGTTGGTGCCTTCTCACGAGGCTGCCACATCTGCCGGCCGAAGGGGCTACTAGTACCACCAGCTAGCTCAACTCCCATACTTGATTCCTTCTATCGAGGTTCTTTATCGGATGGACGAGCGTCCCTTGGACCAATCATCCTTTTCCACTCTTCGTCAATACCGATCCTCTCACTTCTAGGTTTTTGGAGCCAACGCCGCTGCCATTCGTTGATCGTCTGCTCCCAGCGAGTCACTTCGGCAATTGCAAATGAAGCTGCGGCATTGGCACACTCTTCGACCTTCAACATAGGGACCAAGTGACCACAGTCTGCCAAAACAACCTCTTTCACTCGGCCTTCAGCCTGCCCTCCGCTCCCGCCCACGCCGATACCAGTACTTACCATCTTTTTCCTCCTTAGCTGTGGTGTGGCGAGCTCAGACTGGTCTCCGAATATATACAAAACAGGTGGTCTCAGCTCGGGAAGCCGCCGGAATATTTCGGCGGGCTCAGGGCGATAGAAAGGATACCCCTCCTCCACATCCTCCGGATACATATCCCCATACACGGCCCGATCCTTTTCAGGTGCAATACCCGGAGTACCGGTGTATTTTGGTCTCAGATAAGAAAAGACCTCTTGAGACTTGGGGGTGGCTAACGTCACGCGCGGCTCTTTGCTCTCATTTTTTTCCGGATAGAGCTCCGTGGGTAGATCCCGGAGACCATATTGCACCCATTTCTCAAATACCCGTGGATCCCAGGCCTGGTAGAACTTGCTGCTCGCGAACTTTGCTCGGGCTTCTTGACGGGATGGCCAGATATCTCGACGATAGGTGGAAGGTTTAGCGAATGTTTTGCTGGGATTCTCTGTTTGGATAACCGGATCGATGAGAATCAGAGCTTGCAATAGCCTTGGATGGAGAAGTGAAAGCTGCGTCCTGGAGAACAGTCAATGCTGTGCGCTTCCAGTTGGAGATTTGGAATGTACAGTTGCGATGCTCCCATGCTATGCCCAATCCCTATTAGTGGTTGAGGCAACTCATCTTGCTTTTGGTTGATCAGAAAAAGAAGGTCTCTGGCACCATCCCACCAGTTTGCTGTCACCCATCAGCAGGTTTCAGTAAGCTTAGCATGTGCTGGGCGTACGGTCATTGCCCAAAGCTCTTTCATTGAGAATATAGCTCTTGCCCTGGTGAGCGAGGTCGGCAATCCATATTGCCCGGATGTCTCTTCCCAAAGATCTTATTTTGGTATAGATGTCATCAAACAGAGGTTCATATAGCTCCTAAAGATGGTCTCAGACATGGACCCATGTCGACCGGCGCCGTGAGCATTGGAATAGAGCACGGACCTTGGGGAAGCCATTGGCATGTGCGGCAATAAAGGTGATATCGCCGGGTGCCGGATTCTTTTGTTCATGGGGGATATATTGTTTGACAGAGAGCTTCAAGGCATTTTCATAGCCAACCTCGGTGCCCCTCGGCCAGTGGCGCGTGTGTTGGGCGCGCACTTCGTGTTCAATCACACGAAAGTAGCTCAAGCGTCTTCGAAAGCTGTAGACTTTCACTTTCAAGCCATTTCCTATGGTAGAGGAGCGACTGACACCTTGACCAAGGGGCATATTCTCAAGCCTCTTCTGCAATCGAGTTTCTCAACATCGTGACAACATGTTCACGAAGTTCTAGCATGGACGAGTTGTATTGAGACGATGACAAAATCGGCTCTAGGTGGTAGCCGAGCCTACCGGCGAACTCTCGGAAATGCCTTCTCTCTCTGCGTCGCTTCGTTCCATCTCTGATTCTCTGTCTGCTCAGCAATTCTAAGGCTCGGAGATGTTTGTTCCGCTTGAGCGCGTGGAAGTCTGTCTCATGAACTGATGCGACTCATAAATCAAGTTTATGTAAGACGATCTTGACTTCCTAGAGGGCAGTCGGAAGGCCTTGTAACAGCAATGACTCAGATATGGCCCGAGAGCTGCGGTTAATGCAAGATAGTCGAAGAGACATGATCCTACACCTCGTTCGAGTTGAAAAGGAGCGTGAACATGTCTCCATAAGCTCTCATCCATAGGAGAGCCTCAATGCGGGAGGTGAGTCATTGCTCTGGAATCGGTGCTGCGCCACCGCAAGGCTGGTTTGACATCATCAAGAAAGAATCGAATATATGAAGACTACAATACAAGATTGTTGTTCCTTCATTTACCATCTCACCGGCTGAATCGAATTCTTGTAGTTGATGGCGGGAAGCGAACGACCAGAAGATGCAGCGCCGGGGCTGCCCGTGCATTTGATCGGTCATTTGAGAGGCGTTGCAGAAAAGCACCTCCAGGTGATTGATGAAGAAAGACTGCAAGAAGAAAAGGATGAATTGAAGAGAATCCAAGATCTAGAGCACTATGCGAAGCACAAGAAGCAGCGGAAGCAAGAGACGTCCATTGCCTCCATCGACGTGCCCGTCCTCAAGATGAGATCAGCTCAAGGTACGGCGCATACGCTCCCTGCAAGACTGGCTCACTAACAAATGCCATATAGATGTCCTAAAGCGACTGCAATGGGATGCTGATCTCGATGTGTCAAAATATGTCATTGGATATCTAGAACGATTCGCAGGAGTCAAGGAAATACCCGCAACCAACTGGATCTCTGAGGTTACCGAGGAGGAATGGATCCCCCAGCATCGCATCAAATACTTCAAACGACTCTGTGACGACGGGGAGAGTGAAATCGTCTGTGACCGTGAAAAGCGGATTGACAAGATCTTCGGTAGTGGCCTGAAAGTGAGCGATTCGGATAACGACGAGAAGGCGGATATTCTTTCCGAAGATGGCGGTGTCAGTCTCTTACAACGATAATTGGAGCGACAGACTTTTGGATTCGCATTTTGGAATGTAAGGGCGTCTGTGCTTTGAGTTGCAAAGGGAGCCTGACTTCGCATACTTAGGTACCCAGCCGTGGGTTTCCGCGGCCGAAGTTGACGGATCGGCAATGACCATGGAACTGGGTGAAACTTGGCCACCGCTCCTCAAATATGTAGCAATGAACGACGCAAACTCCTCGCGACGTTATGGGATGGGTGTGTTGTCTTGTGAGCAAAATCAATCAGGATGCTGCACATAAATAGAGCAGGAGTCGGAGTTTCTGTTGCGCGCTGCGTGAGACGTCTTACAGCACACCGTTGAAGGTGCTACCTCGGAGTACATCTACGTTGAAACGCCATTCACTTTTTTTGGGTTCCCGCTCCATGTTGTTCTTCATGGCGTTCTTCGTGGCACTCCTTCTGGCTTCACGACACTGATGGCTCTCTCGAATCTGTAACATGATGCTACTTTAGCATCCCTCCTCTGTTCCAAGACTGCCCATGTCTAGGCCCATCCTGCATTGGGTAGTAGACCTATACCAGCAGATTCAGAGACATATTTCTCCATTCAAACTCATGGCAGAGACAGCACCTGCTGGCGCAAGCCACATGTCGTCGCCGTCAAAGTTGACAGGCAGGGCCTTCTACGAAAGCATGGGCAGCCCCAAGTACATTTTGGCTCCCATGGTCGATCGCTCAGAATTTGTCCGTTCTCCCTCCATCTTCGGCGACTTCACTAGATTTGTTGACTTGTTCTCCAGGCTTGGAGACTCCTCACGCGATCCTACCTAGATGACGAGCGATCAAAGTCCTTCCTAGCGTATTCACCTATGCTACACGCAAGATTGTTCCGGGAAACGGCAAGATTTCGAGACGACCACTTCCAGCCCACCAGAAGCAGTCTGGTCTCAAAGGACAAATCCTCATCCCCGCCATGGCTGGACGGCAACCCGAGTTTGGACCGACCGTTGTTCGTGCAGTTTTGCGCAAACAAACCTGAAGATCTCTTAGAGGCAGCACAATATGTGGCCCCTTACTGTGATGCGGTCGATTTGAATTTGGGATGTCCTCAGGGCATCGCCAGAAATGGTCACTATGGGGCGTTCCTGCAGGAAGATTGGGACACCATTTACAACATGATCAACAAGTTGCACAATGAGTTGACAGTCCCCGTCACGGCCAAGATGAGAATACTGGACACTAGGGAGAAGACGCTGGAATACGCCAAGATGATTCTATCGGCGGGCGCCAGCATATTGACAGTGCACGGGAGACGGAGAGAACAAAAGGGGCACAATACTGGTATTGCAGACTGGCAAATGATTCGATACCTCCGGGAACATCTACCGCCGGAAACGGTGATCTTTGCGAACGGGAACATCTTGAATTCCGGCGACCTAGAATCATGTCTAGCTGCAACTGGAGCCGACGGTGTCATGAGTGCAGAGGGCAATATGTGTGACCCTACGATTTTCGCAAACCCGCCAAAAGAGCACAACCCTCGGGAGTACTGGTACGGACCAGATGGAAAGGGGGGATATCGCATGGATGCCGTGTTCAGAAGATATCTCGACATCATCCACCGATATGTTTTGGACAGAGAACCACCCGTGCGCACGCCTCTTTATGTCCCTGGTGATCCTGAAGCCACGCCTCAAATAATGGAAGCCTCCGATGACGACGTTCGGCCGAGGAAAAGGCAAAAACGCGGGCCCAAGCAAAAGTTGGACCCGAATATCAGGCCAATGCAGGGGCACCTTTTCCAGCTCCTCCGTCCCCTGGTATCCAAGCACACCAACATTCGAGATGCGCTAGCAACAACAAGGTGTTCAGACATTGATGGCTTCGAAAGAGTCCTTGCCATGGTGGAAGCAGCCGTCAAGAAAGGTCTCGACGATCACGCCGCCTTAGCAGAGGTTGACTCCAAGCCTACGAAGGAAGCTGGCGCAGAGGAGCGCGACCTCGAATTGACGCCCAGACAAAAAACTACAATGAAATACCAGAGGCCTTGGTGGGTCTGTCAGCCCTACATCCGGCCGTTGCCCGACGAAGCTGTGAAACTTGGTGCGATGCAACCGAGCAAGAAGGATTCATCCGCGGTTGGGCTGAGGGAGGCGGCAGATAACAGAGATGGTGCAAGTCAGAAGCTGGATGTCTTCGAGGCACATGATCGACCTTTGCATCACGCCTCCGAAGAAGAACTCCCAAAGTCTACTCTGGTCTTCGGCTGACATTGATCAGCTGAAAAGCAACAGAGCAGCTCGCTTCAGCAATCATCACGTATACAATAACATATGAACTGTTCGTTTATACACGAAGTTCATCCTGGTTTCTGTATCCGCAGCAAGATCTTGTGCGCGACGAGCAATCAGCGGTTGAAAGAAACTCAATATAAACCCTAGACCAAGCCTTCATACAGAACGAAATACGGAATATCGAAACAGCTGTGACACCAACAGATGACTTGTTCTTGTCATCTTTTCAACTCCACGGGCGACGTCCTCAATGTCCTAGCAATTGTTCCCAGGTGGAAATACGCTTGCATCACCCACCAAATGGGCCTCCTCGCCTCAATCCTCCGCTCAGTCTTAGTCTGATATATCCATGGTCTCGTCCTGACCGTCCTCAGGATCGTCGCCGGAGGATTCATCCATCGGAGCCTCCTCGCTACCAGAGGCTCCATTGTCCTCGGGCTCTTCCTCGTCCTCGGTAACTTCGCCGCCAGTGGCCACATTGGACTGGTCTGCGTCTTCGTCGTCAGATAAGTCTGCGCGCTTGCGCTTTGTGCCAGCTATCTGCTTCGTGCCAGCTATCTGCTTCGTGCCAGCTTTCTGCTTCGAATCAGCTTCCTCTTTCTCCTTTATTTTCAAAAAGTACTTTTCGTCTCGTTTGACTCCAAACCGGTCGACAATCTCCTGGATGCGGGTTCTGCGTTGCATTATTGCCGCCAGTGTCCGATCAGCGCGTGGTTCTGTCGAACCTTCTTGGATCGTGCCGGTGAACTTCTGGTTGAACTTCTCTGTCCACTCCTCTTTTGCCTTGGTGCTGACAATCAGTTTATCACCCGTGGGAGGCCTCGAAGAGTTCATTTTTTCCTGGAGAAGCTCCTCGCTCAATGTGATCAAGTAATCATCCTCCTCCTTGGACCATGGCTGCCCGGCATCCTGTCTGGAGCCCTTGACTGTTCGGCCAATAGCTTGTCGACGCCAGTTGTTCAGCAACTGGATGTGTGACGCGTCGTTCCAGTCAAACTCTACTCGTCCCGTCTGAGTCTTCGGTGACTTAGACTTCGCTGACCTAGGCCTCGGTGACTGTCCCTTTTGGAGATCTGGCCATTCGAACTTTTTATCCTGTCTGAAGCGTTTGAAGGTATACTTCCCCTTGGCGATGTGCTCGACGAGGAATTTGTCTGGGTTCTTACACCCTCTTTGCGCATTTTCATCAGGATCGCCATCGACGGTGAGGAGAAAACCTTCAGCACCCTTCTCTCGGCCTTTTTCGGCCTTTCTAGGTTTCTTAACCTTTTTGCCTTTGTTGGTGTCGGGGTCGTCGACGTATTGATCGGGTTCCACACCCCAATCGCCGACCGTGAAAAGGGCGCTGTCTACTTTACAATGTTTGGGCTTTGGCCATTCCCTTGACCTCTCGTTTGGGGTGACGCGGATGCCGAATTGAAGTTTCTTCCCATCAGGGTCTGCCTTGGTCGATTTCCGGACCTCTTTCCTGGGCGGTTGAACGGGTTCGACCCCGTTGAAGAACCAGAATGAGACAGCCTCAATCAAATTCCAATTTTGATTTTGCAACACCTCACGCAGAGACCACCAGTCAGACCGGGCGGTGATGTTGATGAACTCGGCGAGTCTTTCATCTTGTTCTCTCATGACGTCGGCGTTGTCAGGGTCGATGGCCGTTGGCAGATCCGTACGCATCCGGTCATAATCGCTGAGCTGGAGACGAATGTCCTCCAATGATGTGAAACTCTCGGCCGCCTGGCCAAGATCCCACGCGTTGACGTGGAGAAGGAGTATTGCTTCCGAAGGACTCAAGGTTGTGGCTGTCGAGGTTGAGTCTGGCGTAAAGTTTTCGTACCACAGGCGAATTGCAAGGGCGGCGTCCCGACGCTCTCGCTCCAAGTTGTTATTGAGAACGCCGCCGACGGGGCTTGAACGCATGTCGCTCAGTGTTGATTCTTTTCCCTCTTCCTTTTCTTCTTCTTTGTCACTTTTTGTCAGGCTACTCAATGCACTCGAAGCGTCATCTCCGTCTTTTTCCTCTTCATCTTCTTCGTCTTCATCTTCGTCTTCATCTTCGGAGTCTGACTCGGAAGAGGAGTCGGAGCCGTCACCACGTTCGGCAATGATCACAGCCCTATCCGCCTGCCACAAGTTATAGGCAGCCTCTGCGTCCCAGTCTGTGGAATTGAGGTACCTCTCCAGCAGGCTGCTGTCGGTAATGTTGGGTCGGAGCCGGTCCCGCAGGGCGGTGACCATTTTCCTGCGCTCGATGGCTGTCGGTGGGCGGGGGCCGCTAGGTCCAGGAGGACCTCCGGGAGCTGACATTGCTTGTGAAGGTTATATATATGTATAGATATGTATGACGATAGGTGAGTAGGTGAGGTTGGAAGTGTTCGACAACGGTGACAGTTTGTGAGAGGGAGAGGAGTCCTCTGACGGGGATTTAAGCACCCTGTCGAATCCATCTTTTGGCAGTCGTCTTTATGCGGCCGGTCCTGGGCAGCTACCTTTGTTTCTTCGTTGTCTTTGTGCCAACGAGCTGTTTTGAAAGGCGTGCAACTTGGGCAACTCAGGAGGCAACGGCGCGGCAGCGAAGCTGCAATGTCCAGAACCCCACGATGCGACTTTTTTCCTCGGGCGAGGAATATAGCGATTGCCAATTTTCCACCACCGAGCAGAATCTCAGTGGGCAACACCGCATTTCAGGCATATTCTGGACATAATCTGGGACGTATATCCCGACGCATTACCCTCCTGGAGGCGAGACCTGGACATCCATCGCCGGGTTGGGGCCATCAAAGCACTGCTCCTCCACCGCGAGTCTCTTTCTGCTGCCCTGGCATTGTTGACGAGTGCTGCGGATTGATTGTCTCGAGATTCCACGAACGGTTTTTCTTCTCTGTCGCCGGATGCGGCGACTCCTTCTCGTCCTCCTCCTTCTTTCTTTTTTTGGCTGCTGCTTTGGGTAAACCATGCAGAGGCAGGCGCGGAGATGAGCCCAACAATGACCCTTTTTTATCTGCCCTATTGTTCATCGACGCGAACGGCTTGCAATTGGCGCGAACAGAAATTTTGCCTAGGTTTGAACGTGATAGGCATGTCCGCTCGTCGAGTTTTTGTCCGTCGATTGACGAGGCTGAATAGCCCCTTTTTCTTCCCCCCCAGAGATTTGCGAGCAGTGCCAAGAACAACGATCTTCGCCCACGAATCGTCTATCTACTCGTACTGTCGCTCTCAGAGCAACGATTCCGGAAGAGAGACATTGTGCGCGGTGATCAAATGTTACCCCTGCGCATTCACACCCTCGACGTTTATTTCACCCACTACCCAAAAAGGCGTCCACCAGTCATGAAACATCCAAGCCACCGCAGCCCAGCTGTTTGCAGCCACACCCAGCCAACCCGACCTGTCTACCTTGGTATCCTGGGTTACTTCTTTCCCAGCCGCTGAAAACGGCCGCGCCGAACCCGGATCCAATCGATTCGCGCGTGCCAGGTGATTCATTTTTGTGGCTCTTTGTCTCTTCGCTTCTTGGGTTTTTGGTCCCTGTGCTCCTCTGCTCTGAACGCGGCGAGGGGGAGGTTTGTGCCCGGATGCGTATAGGTGGAAGGACAAAGGGCGGGAAGTCCAGGGACATCCGGGCAATTGGGTTCTCGCTCCTTTTTTTTGCTACCCATGTGTGTCTCAAGGCCACGTCCTGCATTTTCTTCACACTCTTCGCTCGCTGATGTGTGTGTGTGTGTGGCCTTTGAGCAGGCTGACGCTGTTGGGGGTGGGGAATTTCAAGGTAGACAGGCATGGGGAAGAGAGAGGAATACATTTATATATCATGGTTTGGTTTTCTGAGGACTGGAAAAGGAATAACCGTGGTCTATCAAGGAAAAATCCAATGCACTCGAGGCATTCTGTTTTCTCTTTTTCCACTTTTGTCCCGTCTGGTGAGAAGTTCGACGTTCCAAAATGCGAATGAAGCAGACCATGAGAAGACAGCGACTGCAGAAATCATGTATCGCAGCCCCTCTCGAACTCCGTATCGGCAGACGCCCTTCTCCATCCCCTGGCATGACGCCCACAGAGGGATCCGGCTTTTCCAACGTCCTTGTTCAACCCTTCTGAGTCCTCGCGTGGCAATGGGGCATCGTGATCAGCCATACATATCTGAATCTTCTTCTTCGTCATCTTGGGCTGCATTGTTGGCAGTCTGGCCCGCGCCGCTACCAGGTTGAGCTCCAGTGTTGGCATGCTGGGGGGCACTGGTGCCAGGTTGAGCTTGGGTGCCTGTCTGGGCTTGGGTGCGTGTCCGAGCCTGGGTGCCAGTCTGAGGTTGGGCGCCGCCGATAACACTGGCAGCCGGAGGGCCTCTGGGGACAGCGCGGCGACCGCTCTCATCCTCAAAGTCCGAGTCGACGTCGCTGACCAACTCACTCCCGTCCTGGACGTCCTTCCATTTGGCCTTGTCAGGCTTGAGCATGAAACGCTTGCAGAAAGCAGGGATTCGGCACCTGTGCTGTTTGATCTCGTTGAGTGTCCGCGGGGGGCGAGGGACGTCGCCCACCCTGCTCATATCCTTTGGTTTTTGCTTGACCCGGACGGGGCCACGCCCAGTGGAATTCGGTTTGTAGTTTTCCTTGTGATAGAAGCGCTTGCCCGCGAACTTGATGTTGAACTCTTTCATGAGGTTGTTGGCTTCTGCAGCTGACAACGGGACCGGGTAATTGGAGCTATTTTCAAAATGCCTCTGGGCCACTTGATAGCGCTGGGGATCAGTTCTACCATTGACGTCGACCTGGCCGGCCATGTCGAGAAACTTCTGCTCGATCCGGTTGGCTTCCTGTTCCACAAGCCATTGCTCCTCGTACTTGTTGAATGGCCCACCGTTGGGTTGCCCCCTAGTGACACCTGTGATTTGGACATAACGGTCGTTCCTCCAGCGGTTTAATTTCTCAATGTGTTTTTTGTTGTGCCAGTCAAATTCCACCTCTTCAACTGTATCATCGGGCATGTCGTCCCATCGGAAGGGCAGGTTTCTCCGGACTCTGAACTGTCCTTTGAATCGCTGGCACTTATACTCGCCGTTTTTGATGTATTCGATAACCAATTTTGTTGGATCTGGACAGTGGACGACTGCGGGATTGCGATTAGGGTTGATCAGAGCACCGCGAGGATTGCCTGTCCCGCCACGATTACCGCTGATATAGTCACGACCTGGGATACCCCGGCCCCCACCGCGGGTTCGGCGATGCTGATTCTGTGCTCCATCTTGCCCCGAGTCTTGCGAACTGTTATCCGCGTCGTTCGGAGACCCTAGTCCGGGATCCATCTCCACGTCCGCGTCCCCGTCCGCGCCGCTGGCTGCGGTTTTCTGTCGTTTGCTCAATGTAGCGGGAAGGGACTGGGGCACTGCGCCAACGCTGCCGGCTTGGCCCGCTGAGATGATAGTTGACGGATTGGAGCTGTCTGTGTCACTACCTGATCCGGGCGCCTTGCGCTTCTTTGATAGCCATCGATCGAATTTGTCGTAGTCGTGATCGAAGAACTGGAACCGACCATCTCGAATCCGAGGAGGACGGTTAACGTTGACTGCCCGCAGCCCATCCTCTGCATCTTCTTCATCCCCGGGTGGGAGAGGTGGGAAGCTCACGTGAACCCCCCCAGCCTGGAACCAGGCATCTATGGCGGCCACGACATCCCAGTTGTGTTGTTCGAGCAGTTTTCGTGCAGAGTACACACTGTTGGTGGCTGAGATGTTCAAGAAAAAGGCGAGTTTTCGATCCATGGCTAACAGACCGTCTAGAGGCTGACGTAGCCTTGAAGCCTCAATTTCGTAGTCGTCAAGATCCCAATTCCCATCTGGGTCTTTGTGATCATCGTCCGGGCCCTCCATGCGCCTTTGAATTTCTGTCTCCACATCCTCCGGGACAAAGTTATTGGCATGATGTAAGAGCATCATGTGGACGTTTAATGGTAACCTGCTACGGGTCTTACTGGGAAGGTTACTGGCGGGGTTGCTGGGGGAATCGGACATGTCGTTTTGCGCTGCTTCCTCCCTCTTTTTCCTCCGAGATTTTTTGGCTTCCTCTCGAAGACCAGTCTGAAAGTCGCGCACTGTGAAAATTCGCTCCTGTTCAACCGAGTCACCGCGACGCATATATGGTCCAGTGGGTTGGCTGGGGGGCAGCCTTGCTGTTGGGTTATTCACGTACCACCAGAATTCCGCTGCGGCACGGTTGACATCCCATTCGTTGCGATCGAGATGCCAGCGCAAGGTCGTTCCCGACAACATGCGAGGGTAAGCAAGCTGGTTTCTGAGCGCTGTGAGACGGGCGTCTCGCTCATCGTTGTCGAGCAGCGAAGACGCAGGAGGATCCGGAGGGTTTTCCTGGTAGCCGAGAGTACGATTGACGGGCAGCGGTAAGTGCGGAGCGGGAGTGATGTTGCTGGGATTTCCTGGATTGGCGCCCCCTTGGCTTGCCGCAGGTTGACTTGGAGGACCCCCAGAGAGAGCTCCTTGAACAGGGCCACTTTGACCAGGAGCACGTCGACCTCGGCGAGTGCCTCGACTGGAACCACCTCGGCTGGAGTTCATTGTTTCAATGCCGGGTTGTAGACCGAAGAGAAATTATTGAGATACCTAGTGAAGAGGGGCCCGGAAGTCATACCAAGGGACCCAAGGAGAGCTCGCTATTTAGGATCTCCCTCGAACGAGATCCTGGACCAGGCAACATCCGCAAGCGGACATTGCGAAGTCGGGTCTTGCACGATCCTTTGTGCAAATCAAAAGGACCAGGCTGTGTGGAAAGAGGTCTGTGAGAGCAAAGGGCATTGCCGAAGGAGGACCGGTTCGAGGGAGGGAAAGGTGCCCAGCGACGACCACGCCTGCAAGCAGGTCATCACCGTTGGCGATATTGAGGGTGACCATGGCACTATCGTAGTAGATCGAGACATCGAATGTGCCATGGCCACACGTACCCACCGAGCTGGGCATCTCATCCCCTGACGAGCCTGAAGTCATGACAAGGCTCGTTGGCCATTGCCCGACCAGCCCAGTGGATTGTCTTCTGATGTGTACTCTAGCTCCATCCTCCCATAAGTGGTGCCGAACAGGAATGTTCAAAGGATGCTGTATCGTTCAATCCAACAGAGACCAACACCATTCATTGGCGGCGGAGGTGCCATCAGGTGCACGGTGCACAAACGCTGTTTGCTGTTTGCGTCTAGACAAAGGAACCCTCGTGTCTGCAAACAACCCCGGTCCGGTGGGCAGTGATTGGCACCAGCGTGCAGGGGCACTTTGTGCTTGATACAATCGAGAACATGTCTGGTGACTACTAGGTAGTTGTGGAAGGTCTGGTTCTCAGCTTTGATGTTGTTGTTGCGGTCATGCTAAGCATGTGCTAAGCAAATACTCCGCCTGTAAAATGGTTGCCGGGAATCCGCCTGCCAGTGCCGGCCAGGTGGTCCGGCCATTTCGACAATGTTATCAACAGTGCTATAGTACACAACACGTAAAGGCGTTTTCTGGTATCGACGTACTGCCAGATCTCAAGTATTCGCAGAGACCGAGTCCGTCGAGACACCGGACGTGATTACAGTTCCCTGTGTTTGTGATGTTCCAAGCTGTGGAACGAGACTTGCATAATATATCGCTTCAGTGCCTGCCAACTACTCGATTCGAGAAATCAGCGACAAACACCAGCCTCGCCAGCGCAGTTCTCTCGTTCTAGGATTGCCGTTGCCCGAGAACGGAAACATACTATATTTTCAAAGGAAGGGCGAACGAACATTCCACGGACAAGAATGAAAAAGCTCGGCATGTCGAGCTAGTTGCACGAAACGAAACTAGGCGCCTGGATCAGGGCCAAGTGTCCCGCACGGCCCATTCGAATCATAGCGATTGTACTGGCCGGTGCTCAACAACACATAGCCCGAATTCCCCTGCTCTCCATTGGGACAGACGGCGGTATCCCCGCCAATGGGGTTGCAAATTCCCGTGTCGGCGTCATAGATAGTATTTTGGCAATTAGCCACCGCAGTGCCTGTGATGCATAGTACGCAACAATCATATGCACTTCCAACGGGGACGTCGGCCTGTATTCCGTTCGGATCAGAATTCCCCACCCCTTGAACGTACATGCCGTTCTGCGATACTTGAGGACCGAGAATGTTGTTGGTCGCGCAAGCTGCGTAGAAGGAGGTTGTGGACGTTGTGGTTGTAGTTGTGGTTGTGCTATCTGTTTCTGTGGAGGTCTCGGTGGATGTGCTTGTGCTAGTAGTGGTGGTTGTTGTGATTGTACTAACCGTTGTCGTGACTGGACCGGGGACGATCGTTGTGGTAGTAATGTATGTAATGGTTGTCGCAACAGTGGTTGTTGTTGGTCTAGCCCTTATCGTGCTTGTTGTTGTGACTGTTGTGAAGGCGGTGGAAGTAGGTTGAATTACAATAACACACTTGACTTCTTGTACTGTTGGTGGCCCTTGACCTCCAGGCCATTGGCGGTTTGCTGGGCTGGATCTGGGCTTATTTTGGAGAGTGTCCAAAGCCTCTCGCTTCAGCCGTTGCGCACCGTTGAGAGACGTGTAGCCGGAGCTATCGTAGATGGGAGTAAACCCAGCAGGCGCAGGAACAGTTGACGTTTCAGTGCTGGTGGACGTACTAGTATCGGTACTAGTGCTAGTGATGGTCGTCGTGGTCGTCGTGCTGGCCGATGCCGTCAATGTCGAAGTGATGATGGAGGTGAAAGTGTCAGTCACGCCGAGAGCTGTGGTAGTAGCTGTAGACGTGCTTGTCACCGTAGAAGAAGCAGTGACCACCGGGGTAGATATAGTGATGACGGTGGAGGTCCGGATGACGGTGATGGTGGTTGGACGCAGAGTTTGAGTTGACGTTGTCGTGGTAGGTCTTCCTTTGCCGCCCTGCCATCCCGAGATAGTGTAACAGGTTGAACTCGGTTGCCCTGTTGAGGATGAACCTCCCGGCCAGTTTGGGAATCCTGGATCTCTGAGATGTTTCGCGTGGGTTGCCTTTGGAGGAGCCGCAAGAACAGCCGAAGGAGAGACAAGAAAAGTAAGGAGCGTGGTGAGTAACATGGTGGATGAAACGAATGGAAGCGGCAACGAGGCCAAAATTTATTATTAATACTGAGCGAGAGATGGAGTGAAAATGGCGTTGAAGATTCTGGGGAGACATTATATGGGGCTGGGCTAGTAACAGGATCGAAGGACGCCTTCACCATGTTTGAATCGCCAAGGAAGCTAATGCGAGTGAATTTGATGATGAGAAAGGAGAGTGGAAATACGGTGGCACCTGGCGCTTCCCAGAGTACCCCAGACACGGCTGAACACGAGTCACTAGCATCCTCAAAGAGATTAATATACTAGTACGGAGTAGTCAGGTATAGATCTGGTTAGTACAACAGCCACCGACCGGGGGTAGGAGCAGGTTACAAACAGTATGGCACAGTAGGTACTCGGTAGAGCGCTAAGACTACCTGCACAGTACAAGTACGTAGGTAGGTAGGTAGGTACGGTCCACAAGTCCGCTAAGGCCTGTCAATCTCTCCTCCGGCAATGTCTCCTGCTACCGAGGACATGTCAGGCAGTCTCTCTGGGTTGCTTGCCACGCTGCCAACCTCCTCGTCCCTACGCTGGAGGCCTCCGTTCCGAGGACCTGAGGACGATACGCCTGGTGGCATCATACCCAACCTTCTTCATCCACTCTTCAGCACTTTTGACCCGGTCAGGCAGAATCCGGTCCAGCAAAGCATAGTCGCGCTGGATCACCCCTTTGTTGTCTGCACTATTCTGGTACAGGTGCCACCAATTGATGAAGTTCTCTCCAAACGTCTGCAAGAGAGCGTTATCGTCTTTGACAGACGCAGATCCAACCTTGGTGTTCGAACCCTTCGGCAAATGCTTCCAGCGTTTCTCAGAGTGCTCTTCTGCGGGCACATCGACATATTCAGCCTTCTTGCCACTTGCAGCTGTGAAGGCTCGGGCAAGTTCAGGACCTGAAACATGGGCAATAGCAATGCCGAGGACCATGCCGTTTGCCTCGGCGCGATTGGCGTATATCCATGCAACATAGCGCCCAAAGTCGTCGAGGTGGACGAAGGGAATAGCCCCTTTGGAGAGAGGTAGCATGAACCTGTACACGTCGTCATTGCCCTTTTGCGGGAGAAGGAGCTCCCAAAGCATTTCAATATAGGGTCCTGAATTCTGTACGTAGTCCCGCGTCAGTCGCGATAATACCGGCCTGTCCGGGGAGAGGAAAGGCTCACGATCACGGTCCAACCCATTGGACTGGTTCCCTGAGACCGCATCCATTCTGGCGCAAGCGGTCAGCAAAGGGAGTATTCGAGCTTGCAGTGGCGTTGCTCATACCTGTGACTCTCGCCTTCCCTTCATAATGCCCGACGTAGAGCTTTGGATCGTATCCAGTCTTCTTTCCGTTGTAGTCGAGACCACTCCAGATGAGGTGTTTCACGCCAGCTTTGGCAGACAACTCAAAAAGCCGAATGCCCCAGTATGTCTCAGCTTGCTCTCCAAGGGCGAAACCATCAGTGTTGATGAAGGCGTAGTCGGATCGTTGAGCAGCCTTAGAGAATTGGTCAACGTCATAACCGAACGTTGCTTTGGATTCGATCAGTTCCACATTGGGAAGATGTCCAATATCCTGGGCGGCTGACGAAGTAGTGCTACGTGTCAGGGCGAGAATTTTGTATTCATTGGTCGAAGAGAGAATCTTGATAATGGCACTCCCTTGCGCGCCGGTGCCCCCAATAAACACGATGGTCTTCATTTTCTGATCAGGAACGGGATGATGGGATGGTTTTAAATCAGGAGACCTCTAAATGGTTTTTTGATAGCGAGCTGAGGCGCAAGGTGAGTGCTGGGGTTTAAATACATGATCAGACTGTTAGCTGGCAACTTTGTTGACCCGAAGCCGGCACATGAGATTTGGCTGTCGTAGATCATTAATTGCTCTCGTACCAAAGACAAGCATATTGGAGTAAACAGCGCGCAGAGGGGACAGAGAAAAATGTCGGGGATTGGCACCATATCAGCAAGTCTATGGTAGAATCGTACCAAAGGGTTTTCAGATGTTCCAGAATGTCGGTGTCGAGCAGCAGGAGCCAGAGCACCGTTTTGCTTTCCCAACGGGGACTCGGCTGACGACTGCCAGCATATCGTCTCATGATTCCAAATCTAGCGATCTCGATAGATTTGGAGAACCATGTCCCAAACGTCAAAATTGGTCTTGTAAATGGACGATGTTGGAGCCGGAGCGGCTAAGTAATCAAGGATGAGAATAATCATCTCGTACTTTCGTACTCGTTGGATGCCCGACCAGTACAACCCCTGGGCCTTTGGAAGCCGACTCTTTCAGTGGATGATCCTCAAAGAATGGGTTGTGAGCAGACCTCTTTGGTACAAGTGTAAGGTTGGATTTCCTCTCTGCTTCTCCTATTCGGCCAAAGATAGGGGCAGGAGAGGAAAGGGAAGTCGCAGAGCGGTAAGCCGGACATCAAAGAGTCGGGGAAGACCCACCGGCAGCTTGTGTAACTACTGCGGAAAGGGAAAACAACTCGTGAGGCTAATACCGCATGGAGAATTTGTGGAAGAGACGAAGAGAAGAAGAGAAGAAGAGAAAGACTGCGGTGAAGAGTGAAGAGGCGCAGATGCGAACCGGGGATGTTCGCTTACTCATCGGTATCAGGTGACTTCGCGTGTGCCTTGAGTCGACGCGTCTCCTGCGCACATCGTGTTGGCGGGGCAGACGCATTTTGTTGTCTGTGCGGTTAACGAACCATTCCATCCCACATTTCCCACTATCACATATCACGATCCTACCCCACTAGACGATGGCTTGAATGCAAGACTCGATGAACATCTGGCTCAAACAGGAGCCATGCTGAACACAAAGGAGCCGCCTCGGGAAAGCGCGATGGATGCATTGGGTGGAAACAGTGAGATCCCCCACCCCATTATCACAAACAACGCCCAAAACCCCCTTCTGTTTCTCCTAGTCAACGTTGTTTCGGCAGTACTGTTGGGATCAAACTCCCTGCCGCTTAACTTTGCCATTGACGGACGCCATGCTGATCAGGAGTGATGGAACAGCTCTGCAGCGTCCAGTGCTGTCGCCCGATGGCAAATCGTTGGCGGTCATAGCGCCGGATGAACGAATACACCTCATCGACCTGTGTGAAGCCGCCAAAGGACGGAGATTCATCAATGGGCTTAGGCTTCCTAAAGCAGACCGCACATTCCTGCGAACTTGTACCATCCTCCGTTGGTCACCGGAGACCGTGATCAGCCCCGAACGCCAGGCTGCCGAAGAAATCATGTCCGCAACGTCGTCTGAGTGTGACTTTGGAAAATCCTGGCTGCTATTGTCAGATAGCAAACGCCTGATTGCACTGAGCACAGATGTCAGAACGCCGAATATGATGTCGGAGGTTAACGATGAGACAGGGGTTAAATCCAACATCCTTGCTGATTACGATCTTGGGGGCCAATTGGGCAAACTCGGCCTTGTAGAGTTCGTCTTTAACCACAGACATGCATTGGTCATGTTCGAGTTCGGCTCGGTCGCAGCTATACTCTCTTTGACCAGACCTCAACGCAATGACATTCCCCACATCAAGTTTTCAGATGCTAGAAGTCTGGCCAAATGTCCGGATTCCAGGTATTTTGCCCTGCTCCGCCGCGGCAAAGCACAAGATCGAGTGACAGTATTTGAATTGGGGCTCGACAACCAGGTGACATACAAGTCCTTTGATTGCAGTACCTCAGATGCACAGGACGTGACGTGGTGCCCGACCGGCCAGCCACTTCTGGCCGTGTGGGACTCGCCCACGTATGGTATCAAAGTCTCGTTCATGACGGCACATGGCCATACACTCAGACAATGGGAAATCAAATCTGCGGCCTTCCAATGGGATCTCAATCTTGCACTGAGCAACCAAGCGGACGGCGTAGGTCTTACCTACTGGAGTTGGACCAGGGCAAATCGACATAACCACGCTCTTACGCTCCAAGCGCTGGCCAACGGACAGAAGCAGGTGCTTGTGAGGTACCAGCCCACCAGCAGCATGGGTACTCGCACGCGGACAAAACTCATGCATCCAGACCTGATTGACGGCGCAAAGACGTTTGTATGGCTGGAGTCCTGCAAGTCTCCGTTTCAGTCTCCCGTATTCGCTCGACAATCCGGTACTTTCGAGGTGACAAGCACATCATCCAGCACCGACTCAACTCCACAACCTCGTTCTGCGTCACATTCTCAGTCCTCGTCACAAGAACTCGATCAAGTGGACCTGATCGAATTGAACTCCACCCATACACTGCTCGCCACGCGGCTGCGGTCGTCACCTCGAACACTGTTCCTCTGGAATGCGCACAAGACGAACAGCCCTCTTACCGTCCTGATTTTTGCGCAGTCCATCCGCCAGGTCCACTTCCATCCTTACCTTCCGCACGTCCTCATCATCCTGACAGCCTCTAAACTCCCAAGATTGTATGCTTGGTATCACCATAGCCTTCCTCCCGCGACCGGCCTGCTTCCCATTGACACAAGCGGGTCGACCGACTTCTGGGGAAATTGGTTGCCGGAGTGTATTGCTCACGATGGCAGTAATGACCGCTGTCCCTTTCTCCTTGCCTCGAAAACTGCTTTCGAAGCTGGATATCTGTCCAGCCACGAAGGACAATTGGTTTTCGAAAGCATTTTGCAACATCCACCGCACTTATCCGGGGACATCACCTTGGATTTTGCCGGTGACGAGTCCACGACGGAGATGATAGAGACGCCAAGTCGACCTAGCAAGCAAAAGCCTGATGAGGGTGAAAACGGGACCACGAAGAAGAAGAAAGCCCGGTTCGATGTCCCGCCAAATCCAAAGACGGACTGGGCGGATGATCCGATACATGCACAGGCTGGGTATGCTTACGCTTGGTGAAATTGTCCTCGGCCATGCCCAAACCCGCTTGTCGCTGACGACCACGACAGCCCATGTCGGCCCAAAACCAAGATTAACAACCACCCTGTACGCCAGTGATCAAAGTGAGCTGGGACTTTCGTCTTACATCCAGGAATAAAGGCGCAATGGAAAAGAGTAGGCATCTCATGGAAGAAAAGGGCGACCCCATGAAGCCTCTGTGTCGGCTGTGTATGTTTGAGGGAAGAGAGAGAATGAGGTTCAAGTGTCTCTTACCCTTACGACGAAATGATCTGGTATTCAACAGCACGATGGAACACATAGAGAAAAAGACAGGATCAAATGTTCATCCGGCTGGAGATGAAACTCGGGGCAAAGCTCTGAAAGAAGCAGAAGAAGGAACAAGAAGAAGAATGAAGAACGAGGAAATGAAACGGGGAAATTGGTAGGTAGCATGATGATATTCCCCCCTCAGTCCGCGGTATTCTGGCATCGATTGTACAACTAGAAAACAGCGAGTCTCTCGGATCCACAGCACGATCAAGTCAAGGGGACATTTATTAACCAGCCCATCATTGTTCGCTGTGTTAGTATCGAGAATTCAAGTCCTCGCTCCTTGACGAGGGTAGAGTTTGAAACTGAAGAGATATCCGCCGGTAGCCGGTTCATTACTCGTACCTTTACTCAGTATGTATTAGGGACGCAGTAATAGCTCCGCAATGGTTATTAACTACTCCTTCAGCGCCCCCCTGCGTTGGTTATTTCATATTTTCACGCCTTTGCGTTGCATGTTTTGTTCAGTTCCACTGTGCGAGTCAAGCCCTCGTCACCTTGAACCTCATGAGCCTTCCTCAATCTGCCCAGCCAGCTCGGCGGGCTGGTCAAGTCCCGGCCCGCTCACCAAGCCGCTGCCCTTGCCGCCACCCTCCTCGATGTTCTGGCCACACTGCACCTTCCAGTTCTTGGGAACGTAGCCGTCGGCGACGCGCTTGAAGGCCTCAAACGTGCACAGGGACTCGTCGCCATTCCAATTGTTGCCGGGCTTGGCGCAGGCAGGGATCTTCATCACGCGGTCGTTGTAGCGGATCCGCACGTAGTAGCCGTCCAGGCGGCGCTTTTGGGACTCAGACAGGTCCGAGTGGGGTGTCCGCGCTATGAGGTCCTTCGGCGGGACGGAGGGAGAGATGGTGGAAGAGCGCGACAGGGAGGGTGTGGAGAGTGGAGTCGATGACGAGGTGGCCGAGGTGTTTGATGAGGAGTCTCTCGAGCTGGTGAAGGTTGAGCTGTCAGTCGACGAAGACGACGAGGACGACGGGGATCGAAGCCCCAGGAAGGAGGCGAAAAATCCCGGTCTCGCGGCCTGTTCGCCTTGTTGTGTCTGCTGGCTCTTGGGTTCTGTACTGGCCGGCGTCGTTGGCGTCAGGAAGTCCGCATCTGGAGGTTGTCCCTTGGCTGCATCTCCGTGGTCTTTCTCCCTGAACAGTTCAAATGCGATATGACTCGTATAAGGCGGCCATTTCTCTCCCCCAAACGCCCCCAAACTTGTCAAGACGCCCGCCAGCGTTGTATCATGACAACCACTTAACGCAAACCGAATCCCAGTCTCGCCACCTCGACCCATTCCCAACTGTCCATTCTCCCCTCCGATCTCGTTGATCGAGAGGCCCGCGCCCTCGATCTTGGAAGTCATGCGCTCGACGATATCGCCGATTAGGCTACCTATGCCTAACATGCGATACTCGCGGTTCTCATTGTACCCCGAGAACCACTCCTCCACACCGATCCGATCGATGATCTCGCGGGCACGGGTGTCGTAGAATTCCTTGGGGAGGCGAGTTTCGGGACCGTGAGCGAGGGTCGAGTTGATGGTGTCCATGATGCCCGAGAGACGCGGGTGTGAGTCGACTGCGATCTTCTTGTCACTGCTTTCCGGCATCCATTTCCCTATCAATTTCGTCAGGTACTTCATGTCGTCCGAGTCGTTCCATCGGTCGGCCGTGCGCTGGGCGAATGCTCTACTCAACTGCGCAAATCTTCGACAGTTGCCGTCGTTGGGGAAGAGGGTTTCGTCGGCCGGCGTGCGTGTGACGATGGTCGGCGCTGGGAATGCGGCCGTGCGGGACGTCAAGGGATACATGCCCCAGAAGGTCTGCTGCACCGATTCCAATGCGCGGGGCAGAGGGGTAGCGCGCAGATAGATCAGGTCGGCATTGGCGATAAGAGAGGGCATGAAGCGAAGTTGGTCCACATACAGGGTGCGCAGGCGCATCCCGAGGGTGTACGTCGTTTGCCGGCCTGGGTCGGTGAGTTCGCCTAGTTGGCTACATCATGGCAGGGAAAAACAGTGAGTCTTGAGGTCCTGCTCGACGATTGGATAGCAGGGATGTCCATACCAGACACCATCAACCTCTCCCTTGGGCCCGGCCGCAATTACCGGCCCATCGTCCTCGCCAAATCGCTCGAGTCTTCTTCGCCATTGTAGGGAGTTCCACTGGGACACGTCTTGCGGGGTCATGGCGACGGAGCGCAGTCGTTGCGCCGCATTGCAGTAGGGCCAGTATGCTGGCAAGCCTGCCTTTTCTCCCCCAGCGGTCAGCACATGCCACCACCGAAAATCTAGCAAAGGAATGGATTTGTTTGTGAAGGACTCACGTTTCCGAATCTGGCTGAAACGGGAGCGCGTTCTCCATGGCGCAGGAGGACCTGGACAAGTCGCAATTCCAGGTCTTTGGGGTAGAGCTTGTCGAGCTCCTCCTGCGTGTACGGTGGCCGGAACTGAATAGAGGTCATTTTTGTGAAGGGCTACACGGTGTGTAGAGGGAACTGTAGGAGTAACATAGGAACGAAAGAAAGGATATCATCTAGGACCAGAGATTGTATGCGTGTGGTGGAGAGGATTGAGGAGTAAGTTCAGTCGGTGTACCAAGTAATACCAAGCCGCAGTCGCAGTTCCCGTCTCCATGCAGCTTCGGCAGTAGTGCCTGATTCTGATACGCAAGCGAACCATACATCTTATCGTCATTCTACATAAAAGATTCTGAAGCAGCAGGCAAGGGTATCTGTATCCTGATTCTCTAGCCCAAAGCCATTAATGTCGTCAATTCGCATTTCGCCATCAAATGTGTAAATCATTCATTCTCCTGCCCACGCCCTGTGTCTCATCAACAGGGCTTACAGGGTTGCTTCCATAGCCACTACTCGGCGGATACGATGATCTCCCGTTGGGCGCTGTCGCAGAAGAAGGCGGGCTTCCTCCATGCATCGTGAGATGATCTGCCGATGATTCTTGTCGGTGTATATAGCTCGGCGTTGGTTGGTAACCTGGATTGTAAGGCCCAGGCCGGTGCTGATCGCTCGGCAATTCTTGTGGATGCTGATTCGTTGAGTATTGCTGAGGAGGATTCGGTGAGGGTGTGTTTTGAGGTCTGTCAAACAGCGCATTCGATCTCGCTTGTGATTGTGGAGCTCCATACCCGTCGTCGGCGAATGGATTTTCAGCCACACCGTAGTCGGCACTGGATGAATAGGCGTGTGATACTGGACGAACCCGCGTCGGCACTGGAGGAGCCTGTTCAGGAGCGGCATAGGCAGACGAAAAGGCGGCGGCATGGGAGAAATCGTAGGGATTCTGGCTCGTTGGTGGCGTTGGGTTTTGCGGTGCTCCCATTTTGCTTGGAGGCGGCCCCGGAGGCGGCGCATATAGCTCTTCTGCCTCTTCCCTCCGCAGAGGACTCACGGGCGTGGGGACGGTGTTTTGCCGACGAGGAGGTGAGGAAGAGTACGGTCCATGGTCGGGCGGCATGGACTGAGGCTGAGATGTCTGAGCATAGACATTCTGACCCGGGACGTGCTGTTGGGGCGCGAATAGGGGATTCTGCTGGGGCTCCGGCTGTGGTTGAGGGCTAGGTGTTGCCAGTCCAGTGGCTTTCCGAGCTTGCAGGACCGCTCTCTGATGTTTCGACATGGCAATGTTTAGCTGATCATTCGTCTCGATCAAAGTCAGCGTCGTGTCAGGGTCGGGTGCAGGATTCTGGGCATTCAAGTACGACTGAATGCTCCTCTGCATGGCTTTGGCTCGCTCCGCAAACTCTTTGACCAGGTCATTCGCCAATAGCTCCGCCTGAGGCGTCGACTGGACGGTCTGGACAAGTAGTCGAGCTGTCGTCTTTGCTTCTTCGATCCGTCCGACCAACTCGTCAGGTGGTGGAAGCGTGTCCCGGCGTCTAGACTGTTGCTGGTTATACTGGCCGGAGTAGCCGCCCGGTGTCTGTGCCTGCTGTTGCGACAAATGGTTAGCTTTCCTCCGAGGACGAGATCTAGAGACGGGACAGGCTTACCGGAGGGCGCAGAGCATTCTTCTTTCCTTTCTCCTTCTTCCACATCTCCATCAGCGGGCCAAGGCTATCATTTGTAGGCGCTTTCTCGAACTCAAAGTAGTCCAACGTTTCCCTGAGTATCTGCTGTACGCTAGTGTCCTTGCCTTCCCGCAGGAGCTCTTTCACGGTCGCGACAAACTTGTGATCGAAATTCTGAGTGAAGGCTTGGGCAGGGTTGTCGGTCAGGATGCGGGTGAGCATGACAGCGTTGTACTGCGCAAATCCTCTTTGGTAGTGATCTTTACCCAGATATCGTCGGATGGTTGCAGCCGCCTCTTTGGCCGCGGTAGGACTGGATTCAGCGGCATCAACTATGGCTGGCAGGTGGAGGTATTCTTCGCCGGCGGTATCAGAATTGGGGGCACCGGATTCGCAGAATGCCGTCTGGACATGGGGCTTTAGCTGGCGACTCGCGACGAGATGGAAGTTAGTAGTACTCACGACTTCACGAACCACGACAGCCTCAGGCGAGTCGCCTTGTGGCAGAACAAAGGTGGTGCCGCTGCTCCCATTTCGGTCGGGACCTGGGGCACCATTCTCGTCAGCCTAGCAGATCCAACAAAAGGTGGGGGTTATCGCGCATACTGGAGCTCTTCTTCTTGATGTTTCCCAGGAACTTCTTCATCGCGGCGGTTGAAGGTCTGACTCCCACCACTTGATTCTCAGCGCTCGTCGAGTCTTTGACTGCGGTGTGCGGATATGGGTTGCGACGAGATGAGAGGAACTCGTAGGGTCAGCCTGCGGCAACAGGCGGCGTTTGAAGTATTATGGGTTTGTGCCAATATGCAGGCTAGTGAAGCTGAATTAAGCTGAATTAATGGGCAGGCCGTCCGTTGTGGTTGGACAAATGGCAGATCTCCCGCAGAAGCAACTACTGCACGTTCTGGGTGCCGGGGGTTCGTCTCCCGCAGGACCGCAGCTCGGGAGCAAATCTCAAAGGCCTGGAGGTTATGTGGAGAAAGGAAAACCAAGGGACAGAGAACAAGTGAGATCCAAGGGCTTTTCTAGTACTTGACGAGGTGATGCATCTCACCATCAACCTCGCACTTGGTTTTCTTGTAAGATGGCAAAAAACTACAGAGGGCCGCGTCTCTCTGTCACTCTCCTTCCACGTAACTCGGCCTTCACGCATGGATGTAAACGAAGCGTATCTTGGCCAGTTGCCAGTTGCCAGTTGCCAGTCAGCCGCGCACTTTGGCTTCTTGGAATCTTGGGGCTGCACAACCACGTCGTCATCAATCATCAAACATTCTCGCGATTCGGAGCGACGCGATCTACACGGGCACTTTTATCGCCAGAACAGCGCGGGCTTTGCGGAGCGGCGTATCTCTCATATCCCCCGGTCCTCATTTCCACGAGCCAACTACCATGGATGATGGAGATGATGCATGTGGAATGAGGCTGTGTCGATGAATGCACATCATCTGGCCCCCAAGAGCCTTCCTGTACTTCGCAGGCAGCGTAGAAAGCCTCTATCCGGAGTTCCTCCACACACCCACCACCCAGCCCACGCGCCTGTGCCTTCTATACGTAAGCTTCTCATCGTCATCCTCGCCACTTGGGTGCCACTCGCAATGACCCAGTGACAGAGTAGGAGGCGATATATTTGGGAGTCTCAGAGAATACCACTATATGTTTGCGCCGGTTCATTCGATGCTTTCTGCGAAATGCTAGTACCTTCCCATCGATTAGGATGAAACATGCCTGCACACTACGAACATACCTAGGTAGGTACCTAGGTAGGTAATTACTAGGTAGGTGCCTAAGGAAGTAATGGCGGTGTTAGGACAGGCCACAGCTACCCACCTACTTTGTAAGAGATACTTTACCTTTACCTACTACCATAGCGCCTATGGTATTAGCATCATGCCTACCTAGGTACTTGACATATTGGAGTCAGTCCTCCAGCAATGCTGCACATGGATTTCCCTGGGTTCGAGTCAAATGCATCAGGCAGCGCTTGCCGATAGTCCCTGCTTTCAGCCCGAGAGCCTGGCTGCGGTTGGCAGGATGGGTGTTCAATATGATTGCACCACAACCCCACGCATTGCTTGCATAGCCCTGCCTCAGCCCATCTTGCACAACCGTGCTTCGAGAACCAAACGCCTTACCGTCGTGTTATAAAGATCCAGACGCTGCACATCCTGCCTCATCAGAAGAAAAAGGAATATCTCTAGAACGATATGCGGCTCATCAACACTGACACCTTAGAACTCGAGGAGTACTTCGGTTCCGACATTCCGGCTTATGCCATCCTCTCGCGTACCTGGGGCAAGGGCGAGGTCCTCTTCCAAGATTGGATAGACCGCGGTCTCAGAGAAGCCAAGCCTGGGTATCGCAAGATTACCATGGCCTGTAATTATGCATCAGGTCATGGACATAGGTACCTTTGGGTCGACACCAATTGCATCGACAAGACTTCGTCGGCGGAGCTGACAGAGGCGATTAATTCAATGTTTACCTGGTATCAACGTTCGACCGTTTGTTATGCATACCTTGAAGATGTCCCGCTCGTGGAATTTGTGAAAAGTCGATGGTTCACGAGGGGGTGGACGTTGCAAGAGCTCCTGGCTCCGGAGGAACTGATCTTTTTTGACCGACAGTGGCAGAAGCTGGGTGACAAAAGCCTACATCTCTCGAAGCTCTCTGAAGCCACCGGGATCGAAAGCGGATACCTCGACGGCTCCAAGCATCTCGATGACGCTTGCGACGCCGAAAAGATGAGCTGGGTTTCGCACAGATTTACCACACGCGTAGAGGATATGGCATACTGCATGCTCGGTATTTTCAATATCAATATGCCGATGCTCTACGGCGAGGGCGAGAAGGCCTTCACCCGGCTGCAACAGGAAATCATCCGCAATGGCGATGATCAATCGATCTTCTGTTGGACCTGGCATCAGGACACACCCGACGAATGGAGTAGCATTTTAGCACCCCATCCGTCCTCATTCTCAAATTACCGGACCACACCATCCAGCCCTGTGATTCTTGGTAGAAGGATTGAACCCTACTCCATCACAAATCAGGGTCTGCGTATACGGCTCCCAATCCTGTCCACATGGTCTTACTTCCTCACAATCTTGGGTGTTGGGGTAGCCCGGTCAACAGTTTGGGGAATCCAAACTTACTACTGCCTCCCTGTTGACAGGATTTCCGAGACCAATTCTTATAGGAGAATTTCTTGGCCCCGAAGACCTTTTCTACACACAGGGTTCCTCACTGGCGTCGATGGGCTCACGATAGGGGTTTCGGAGACAACAAGCAAAGAAATATACATTTCGACTCGAATCTCGCGACCAAATGCAGACGACGAAGTCTCAAACAAGACATTAGGAAAGTGGGAGCCTCGCAGACCTACCAGTCAGACTTTCTGTCTCCTGCTCATATTCGGAGATAGGCGTGCATTCTGGTTCGCTGAAACATGTCCTGCGCACTTATTTGATTGCAAGAGGAGTGTCTTCAGGCTAGACTCCCAGATGGACATTTGCGGAGGCATAATTCGCTTCTCAAGGCATCCAGGAGAGGAAATCGCCATTTTCTTCGGTGCAAGTTGGTCAACCCAAGGTTTAAGATGGGGATGCCAGATTATGCCGAGTAACTGGCTGAATCGGCTTCGCTTCGATCTTTCCAACTTGTCACAAGAACTTTCTCTACTCCACAAAGACTTAGCTCTGTCAGACGGTGCGGAACATAGGTATGTCGAATCCAATGGTGCGGCGACGGTGTACATTGATTCAGTGGACACATTCGATTCAGAGGCTGGGTATTTCCGCCCGGCATACATAAAGTGGTCTTCTAGTCCTGATGAATCTAAGTGGGACAAACCAAGGAGACCAAGGGAGCATAAGGTCTGAATGACTCAGAGCTCCATTGGTAGATAGATGAACAATGAAACGTGATGAGCCAGTTTATACGCGCTGTGCCACCACCGCTGCAGTGAATACCAAGGAATGTACCGCGTAGGTGTCGGCAAGAAATCATTTGTAGGTAGTTCGTAAGAGTCCATCTATCCATCTATCTTTGGAGACAGTCCCTCTTCCCTGCGTACGCCAGCGCCACGCTGAAGGCATTCAAAAGTACTATGTACCTTAGGTAAGGTAGGCAGGGGACTGAACAGAACGCGAAACTTTCCCATTCTCTACCTTTCCCTACATACCTGGTATTCACCTAGGTAGGTAGCCAATTACCACGTAAAACTCTCCTCATTCAACTCCAAATTGCCCCGATGAATCCTACTCCTCACCGCGGCTCTTACCTCGTCCGCCAACGCCCCCGGTCCACACACACTGACCATCACAGCCCCGACTCTCACGGGGATAACCTCATCCAGGACAGCTCCGGGGTCAACCCGACCCTGGACGACCTGCATGGTAGGCTTGCTCTTGCTCTTGTTGGTGTTGATCGCTCTCCCCGTCGTCGTCGGTTTGGTAACATGCACTCTGATGCAAAGAACTTCTCGGCGCCCTTCCATGTGCAAGATCTCGTTCATCCACGGTTTCACCCACTCCATGCACTCGGTGTCGCGGATCGACCACACCAACACGATCTTGCGGGTTGCCACGGTTTGGGACCTTGCGCCTGCCAGGAGGTGGCGGATCTGGATGAGGTGGTGGGTGATGCCGCCTCCTCCCGCAAACATGACGACCGTGCCGTAACTGACCAGTGAGTCGTGTCCGGCGTAGGGGCCTTCGAGAAATCCGCGGAGTGAGAGCTGGCAGCCATCAAGAACGGCAGCGCGGGCCCTTTCGTAGAGTTTTCTCGTCATGCCGGTTCGTGCGACCATGATCAGCGAGACGGTCGTGGGTGCCTTTGATGGTGAGTTGAAGACAGATGACTGTCGTTCCAGCGAGTTCGGGGTTGATGGTCTCTGCAGTTCAACACTGTGACCGCCACAGACAGGGGCCTCCGACTCGACATTCGTCCAGGCGACGGAAAACGGATGCGACATCCAAAGCGAGATTGAGGGGAGATATGCGTACACGTGGCTGCCGGGCCGGATTGTGATGTGCCGCGGTAATTGAAATGTGACGCGGCATGCACCGCCCGGCAACGCCTCAACGTGCGCTGTTGTAGTGCCACCTGACCGAGAGTAGTTGAGGTATGCGATGCGGCATATGCGCCAAACCCTCTCTGCGAATAAAAGCAGGATAGCCGCCAAGATCGAAGGATAGGCAGGTAGATGCATGATGTCCAGATGGACATATACCCCGAGCAGGGCCATGAAAGCCAGGCTTTGGTGAAGGTGAAGGAATGTTTCGTAAAAAGCATGTCGAATGGGTGACAACGAATGCAACGGCAGCAAGACTATTGCAATCAATCCTAGCAGGCCGTAGTCGAGGAAAGGAGCGCCATGGAAGATTCCGATTGTTGCTTTGTCTCCCTTCGCCAACTTGTACGCAGCCAGCCACGCGCAGAAATGGATCGTCGACAAGGCGGCCACCAGTCTGCCGATCCAGCGGTGGAAGAGGTTGAATGTGTCGAAGCTGACCCTCAGGAGCGGGATTGCGATGTTGTTCCTGCCAGCGAGCACAATAAGAGGGATGAGGTTGACAGTGGCCAGGATGCCGCTTCGTCCGCGTAGCTCCGCATACAGAGCTCCTCTCTGCGGATTACGCCAGTCGAGTAGAAGACAGTAAATCAAATTGGTGATGGCATAGATGACGAGGAGCAGTGAGTGTATACGGCTGGGCAAGGTGCCATAGTTGACCGCACCGGACAGCTGGAACTCGCGATTGTGTCTTTTCTTCCAGAGTGGAGCATAGATGATATGCTTCTTTAGCCAGGTCCAAATTCTGAAATGATCGACACCGTAATAGTTCTGTTGAGAGGGTTTTTCTGTAGTCATGCAGTAGATGTTGCGGATGTAAGACACAAACAACTGTGACAGTCGCAAAGCAAACACAATTGTGAGTGCCACGATGATTGAAAGCCACAGCATCCTGACCAGCTGAGCATCCATCTCCAGGTTGACTCCGTTCAAGCCGGTGTAGAATGGAGAGACAGTAGGGGGGTTGCCACCGGCGACCACGAGGTTGGAAATAGTGACAGTAGGTTTGGTGCTGTTGAGGAAAAAGTTCCGGGCAGCTTGGAGACTCATATTACCATCCGCCAGATCCCTTCTGGAGTGACGGGCTCGATGCTGGTTAAGATGGTCATTTGCATGGTTCCGCAGTAACTGCGAGGTTGTGTTGAGCACATTGGAAAGTAAACGGCCGATGTTGTCCATTTTGGTTCAGTGTGATCCGGTTGGAGAGTATGGGTCCAGGTTCGAGACGGATGTTTGTGGCGTGTCTGGGAGTGAGAAGACGATATGGGCCCTTTGTCTCGAGTCAATGGTTTATGCGAAAGAAAACTTAGCAGCCGCCTCTCAACTCCTGCAAAAGGGTGTAACAAAGCAGTTGTTTGAAGTTCAACAATTACCTTGTCTTGAAGAATGAAACTGCCAAAGCAAATGCACAAAGAGCAGAAGAAAGAAATCAGCTGCCTTTTTTAAAAGGCTCGTGGCCATGATGTCTCAATTGCTGGAGGTGGTTGACGTTTGAATAACTGCCTCAATAAGACTGCCGCTCACATGACTTCTGCAAAAGGCTGGTTGACAGGAGTGCATGTCGCTCAATAAGGGCAGCGCGGATTGAACGTTATTGAGTAGGTTCAGGCAGGTGTTCCGAGATAGGCTGCTTCTCACTTTTTCTCTCAGTTCAAGCCATGGAAAGACGTGATGAGAGGACATGATTTCCAAGAGGACGATGGGAAGACAACGGCAGTCGATTGCGGTGAACGCAAACGACCAACTTCATCCCGGGAGAGTTGACATCCTTACCGCCAGGGAGAACAGTTTTGATAGCTCCAGAGATGATCGTTGGAACATGTCAGAGTGGTGTACAGGTACCGGTACAAAGATGTCTGCTGAGAAAAGCCACGAGAGCCAGTTGTGGAGGAGTGCATAGTTTCTGTACTTTCTGCCACACAACAACCCATGTCGTGAAAAGTTTTAGCGAGGCCAGACGATCACCAGAGAACTTGACCTCGCAAGAAAAGGAAACCAAGTGAGGTCACTGCCATACGCACTTTGTAGAGAAGAGGTGAAGGCGGAGGTGGAAAGTTGCAATGAACTGCCGGCTTAGTTGCCGAATCTTTTCAAATGACAGGAAATTCCTTCCAAGGCTGCGATTGGCGTGTCATTTCAATGTTCATGAATTCATTCCAAGGTTGTGTCTTCCAGGTTGCCTTTTGGCCGTCTAGTTGCGCCCCCTAACGTGAACAGAACAACTGCAGTCTAATAAACACCCACCTCAAATTGTCTGAAACAAGATGACAACATCAGGCAAATTGCTCTCTTCATCTCTCTCCTATATCACCGTCCCATCCACCCCCCATCAATAGTCAGTACCTCACCACTCACATAGCGACTCGCGTCACTGGCCAAAAACACCACGGCGCCCTTGAAATCCTCCGGCGTTCCCCATCTCCCCGCGGGGATTCTCTCGAGGATCTGCCTCGCCCGAGTCTCGTTCGCGATCAACGCCTCATTCATGTCCGTCTCGATATACCCGGGGGCGATGGCGTTGACGTTGATCCCCTTACTGGCCCACTCGTTGCTGAGCGCCTTCGTGAGTTGCGCCACACCGCCCTTACTCGCCGCATACGCGGGCACGGTGATGCCGCCTTGAAATGTCAAGAGAGAGGCCACATTGATGATAGCTCCCCGCGATTGGGAAGGTGAAGAGGGGGCAGGTTTGGACAAGAGATAGGCTCCAAAGTCGCGGCATAGCGTGAACACCGTCGTAAGGTTGACTTGTAGCACCGCGTTCCAGTCGTCCAGCGGGAATTGGTGCGCGGGATGTCGTTTCTGGATCCCCGCGCAGGTGATCAGGATGTGCATATCGTGGCCAGCCTTCGCCAGGTCCGGAATGATCCTGGAAACAGACGCCTGGTCGGACAGGTCGGCCGTAACTATCGTGGCTTTGCGCCCCAGTTGTTGGACTTTGTTGGATGTGTTCTTGTTGCTTTCGTCACGCTATTTGAGTCATCTTGTAGTCAGTAAGTTTCCATGAGTGAGGCGAACATTGTGTTCAATCGCGACCACAACTAGCCCTCTCTTACCTGAATGAGAATGATATCTGCACCAGCTTCAGCCAGAGCAATGGCCATAGCTGCCCCAATCCCTCGAGTCCCGCCCGTCACCACAGCCGTCTTCCCAGCAAGCGAGAACATCTTCGTCAACGCCTCCATTTCTTCGGGCGTTTCCGACAAGACAAAACCAAAATGCGCTGCTTCTGTTGTTTTCTCGGGATATCTTCCTACAACGCTCTCAGCAGAATCAGAGTCCCAAGGGCGAATGCCACGCTATTGAGGGATGCAGAATGTTTCTGGATCCAACTTCTCCCTCCCAGCGTTGGGGTCTTCACAAGACAAAACTAGTAATTTACGGCGACGCGGCTATTCAGAATCATGGTCGCTCCGCAAATGAAGCTTCTCTGAATCAATTGCCGACATGAGGGGCAGATTTCCCCCTGACGCCCCTCCAGCCTTGTCCGACATCGGCGAGAACATCGAGTTGCCGAAGCGGGGAGTCCTAGAGGCTGCGGTCGGCGGGACTAGTTAAATTCCATATTTGTCTTATTGAATACAACCGTTGTCACCACTATTAAACATGGTTCGTAATCGTCATGGCCCTCCTGGCTCACACAGCCCTGGTCCGCCTGGAAATCTGCTCAACAGTCCATAAGATCACAACAAGATCGACACTGCCGTCGCCTCGGGGTCCATCACATCGTAAGGCTTCGTCTGATCATCCATGTCTTTGCTGTTCTTCTTGAAGACTTCCGCCATCTCCATCAAATCCGCATACAGCTGTGCAGCTGCAGCCGCAAGCTGAGTCTGGTTGTTCAGCGACGCAAGCTTGGCCGTAGAGAGGGCAAAATTAAGCAAGTTCTGTTCTTCAGCCACTCGGTAACTGAGGAGCCAAGGAATGTGGGATGCCAGAAGCCATTCACGTGCGTGCTTGATCGGATATGCGGCAACCATGTCTTCCTCCTCGTATGCCTTGAGATCGTCGAGACTCTTCGGCAGTGGTGAGAATAGAGCCGAGGGCTTACTAATAACGAATGTCTGGTAGTAGGCTTGAAGATAGTTTATGGCGGTATGTTGCGGTGAGGCGATATGGATGCACATGGTGACAGCGTCAACCAGGTCTTCAAAAGTCTTGATCACGGGAAAGGACTTCATCTGTCCTCCGTCGTCGCTCTGCATTTCTTTAGTCCAGTCACCAATCTGATCATCCTTGGCCACTTGCTCATCGGAATGGATGTCGATAGCAAGAACGGCCGACACGAACTTGCGGAGGATCTGCCACATGAGTATCATGTTCCGAGCATAGGCATAGTTGTGGAACTTCGGGTTGCTGGCCAGTTCACTAGGAGGGAAGCCTCTCGCCGTCAGGTCATTCGGCACGTATTGGCCTGTCCAGTCGAAGCGCTTGTACCCATCTCTGACGAAAGAATAGAGTTGAGGATCTGTGACACCCACTATCTTGGTGATAATGTTTGGAACGAGCGTAGCCCGAGCTGCCGCGTTAACTGACAAGGTCTTGAGCCAATGAGGTTGAAGAAGGCGATATACCGCGTGGTCCGTCGAAAAGGCACGATGTGCTGCCACAATGGTGACCTCCTCCACCAGGTGGGTATTGGTCAGGTGCACCGTGACCTCGTGTCTCAGCCAGTCAGAGACCTGCGCGCATGTCTTTGCATACCGCCACGGCCAATCGTCTTTGGCCTCTGGATCTGATGGATTGGACCTCTTGTTGAAGATGACCACAGAGTCCGCGAGGCTACCCTTGTAGTCAACTGCTATTGCCAGTGGATGAAGGACGCCGGCATCCGTCAGTTGGAACAAGGACACCGAGGCACACAGGCGTCTCATTCCGTCATTTGAAATCAGGTCTGCGTGCTGATCTGCCCCAACAGCAGCTCGGAAGTAACTGCAGTCTTGGACATAGAAGGATTCGGGGCTTCCACTCGACAGGAGGCTATGAATCTCGGTGCTTGACTGGGAGGCATCGGTGAAGGCCTTGAGCCATTCGGCCGAGGCTTGTTGGATGGTGGTTGGGTTTGTTCCCACAAATTGCTGTTCAGCAAACACGGCATCAGTCCACCAGTCAGGGCGGTTCCCAATGTTCTCCTCGTCAAAAATATCTTCCTTGTCGTTGTGGAGCTCGTTGTTGCGTGCCTCAATTGCATCAACCGTGGCACCCTCCGGATGATCGTGGATGAAGTCAAGGATATTGTCCGGAATGAGAGTACCGACGAGGGTGCCGGTATCAAGAAGCCTCATGAAGTCGAAAATCTTGAGCAAGTTGACTTGGTCTACTTCGGGAATGATGTCCAGATGCGGTGGGTAATTGTCACTACCTGGCTTCTGGAATGTGTAGAGGTCCTTTGGCTTGACAGCGACGCCCAAAGGGACGCTGGTTTCAAATCCGGCTACATCGAAGAAGGATTCGAATCTGTGTACGTTCAGTATGTCCGCCACTTGAACAGAAGTTTAGCCAAATACCTTGTTTCAATGCGTCTCATGATCTGAGTCAGGGCCAATTTGGTTCCTCGATAGGTACCGGCCTGAAGAGGAGGAGGCTTCCCTACAGCTGTGGGCGGAGTAATCTTTCTGTCGGTATCGGCAGCAGAGATAGCCCGTGGCACAATGGACTGTTTCAGCAGCTCCGAAGTAAATGCTCCCTCGTCCCAGCCATGCTTCAATGGAATGGCAGTGACCGATTTCACTGGTGCCTGAATACTCCCCATGGTGGACGGTGATGGATCTGATGACGCCGGCGTTTTCTTGTTGGGGATGCAGGATAGAGATTGAAAGAAATGGTGGATGTGGTGGTAGCCTGGGCGGACGAGGTCTTTAAATGCATCTTGGGTGCAGGTGAACGGAGGTCTGTACCGTTGGTGGCGCTCTGTTCTAGACCTGGAGAAGGACAGACAGGGGCGGGAGGGTCGAGGAGGGGGAGCAGAGGTACTGAGAGCGACCTGTGAGTTGTGGGAGTTGAGTGAGGCCACAGAGTCTGGAGGAGAAAGGTGAGAGGTGTGACAGTCGTTGGTGTTGAGGAGTCCAGCCGCAGCTGAGGCTGCACCTGTGATTGGTCTATTTGGCAGTATTTCACCTAAGCGACTTCAGCCTCACGAGGCCAGGCCTAGACACGAACTCTACACAAACTTGTCGCCCAAGTTCAGCTCCACAAAATGCCGTTGCACTACCGCTATTGCGAAATCGATCTGCTGGGCTGAATGATGGCCACTTGGCATTGCAATGACTTTCCCATTAGACTTTTGCAGTCTGCACTTTCCACATGTCAAATAATTGTAGCTTCTGCAAGCTGCAGGCTCTCGACCGTGAACGACCTTCGACCTCGATCCGGCAATCACTGCCGTACGAGATCCCCTCCTCTACTCTGTCCTCCCACATCCTGCGGCTGAGGTTCCTGGTCAAACATCTAAACATTAATGGTCCAGCAAGCAAGGCGCGAACCTTTCCATCAAACAGACCAGGACCGGGAACCGATAGACCAAATTCCTCCAAGACCACCGACCGCAAATCCTCCGTCTCCACCGGGCCGACACGACCGTGTCTGCCCAGTCCCAATGGTCACCGTCGTCCATATAGGTGCCTGCGGACATCAAGGTATGCTGGTTAGGTAAGAACTCGAAGAGATCTTCGTCGGTTTCGTAATAAGGGTATCGGCGCCGGCGACGAGAGATCCCGCGTCTGCTGTTGAACGAGTCTCGATCGGAGTAGTAAGACATCATAGAGCTGTTCCCCGCGCAATAGATATGTGTATCGGATACGATATAGAACAGAAACTGGTTTAATCCCGAATAGTCGCTTCCTTGTTGTGGATGTCTGTTCCCCTGAACATGTCGAGAGATCGAACTCGTCGTGGTGAGGATAAAACAATTCCAAAGAAATTCTCAAATTGAACGAGACATATTTGTACCTCACTGGTTCTGTCGTGTCTGTTTGTGCTCACCAAATTGACCCTCTAACCGCGCCGGTATCACGGACTGGTGACTACTGTCTGCACCAGAGACTTCACTGCGTTGATACCAGTAGTGAGCTTGCATGCCTGTTAAATGGGAAAAGGTGCTGTATAGGCGGCAAGGGTAGTCTTTCCTGGTCAAGGTCAGGCCAAGTTTCTAGAAGATGATGAACCAACCTTTTTGAGCTCAAGATTCTTTTCCACAACTTCTCTCACTGCCTGGGCGCAGGCGTCTCATCTGTTTCCATCGATGTTCGAAACTCGATTGTGCTACGAGGTTGATCTTGGCGGTCGCGAGATAGACAAAGGGTGTCAAGACAGGTTCCGTGAATGAAGCACCTCACTACCTACGCGTTGGATTGCCTCCTCACAATGAGTACTAGTGTCTATGAGCCAGTATTTGACAGACACTTCTCTCTTCTCAGGTGCAACAATCCTCTGGAGATCATCTCTCATCCAATACTTCCAGAATGTTTGGATTCTGCCAGAAAACTGGCCGCAACTTCTCCTCCAACGAAGAGCTTCCGCGTCCACTCGCGAAACAGAGAACTACCGCCGCCAGATCTCCTCGCACAGCACCTCACGCAAGACATCAAAATCATCGACACGCTGTAATGGGCAGATCCAACGCCACAAGCTGTCAGCGCTTCAATCGCGGACTATCTGGATGGTCAGGAGTAGGAAAGCAGTACTGTTGGGCCAAATAGAGGAGACGTTCAAGCTGCTGTCTATCACTCCAGCTTACATTCCTCCAAACTCAATCACTCCAAATGGCTTTGAACAAGTTTGTGACGCAGAGCTGTCATCTGCCCCAATCCCACAGCCACGGAAGACTCTCGTTCCAAAAGGCTCCGCTCGAAAGTCATCCACATTGGTGATCCCATTCCTTCAGTTCCCCACCGAAATTCGACTCAAAATCTACAAACATCTCCTGGTGGTTCCGCTCGAGAAAGTGTGGGAGGAGTGCGACAGGAAAAAGCAAGACGAAAGAGTGGCTATCAAGTTAGCAAGAAAGAATCTCAGACGTATATGCCGTCAAGTCCAGGGAGAATGGGATCCCCTCTTCTTCTCGACAACCACCATTACCGTACGAAATCTGGTTCCTGACTGGGACTCGCTCTTGGTACCCAGCATCAATCACAACAGACCCTTGATGAATTTCGGGGAATTGTGGCACAAGGGTAGCGAAGTGAATTGCAACTTCCCCCTAACCCGTCCATTGGGATCTGGATTGTTCCGAACAGCCTTCCTTGAGAGACTACCTCACTACAAGTTGAATGACATTCGAAAGCTACAATACCTTATCAAAGGCCCCTCCTTGAACTGTTTGGACTTAGAAGACTTGAAATTTCTTGTGAGAGTGCTCCAGGTTATGAAAGAAGACAATTTGAAGTCGCTAGAAGAGGTTACCATCTGTTACAAGCCTCTGCTCCCTGCGAGTGGATATCTGAGGGTGGGCAACATATGGGCAAGATGCAGTGAAGGGACCGAAAAGTGGGATACTGTCAAAGCCATTTTCCAACCAGAAGGCGAATCTGGGTGCTTCAAAGATTGGACGATCGTGCGACGGATGTCCTTCAACATCGGATCAGACATCAATCCCCCACGGGCGATGTTCGTGCAGAATTTGAGAGTCCACGAACTCCAACTAGTCTTTTGCAAGTCGCAGCAACATCCAGCAACAGGAACCTCCGACTGGGTAGAGCTTCCTGAAAAATAGCTCTTGCAGTAAATTGTCCCTAGAGGGGGAAAGGTTCTGGGAAGAGACGATACGACTGAGTCAATGGATGTTGACTGGCATGGGAGGATAGACCGCAGCACCAAGGTCTACGGACACTGGCACGGAAAAAATCACAAGCGTTGGGGGAAGGATGGGCCAGTTATCAGTCTGGGAATGAGAACCCCCATAGAAGCAATGAAGTAAAATTCCTAGTAAATTGAATTCGCCGGCTCTAATTCATCCACTATCAATCTGTATCCATCTCTACTGTGCTGACATAATTCGCTCAACAAAATTGACCGGGGGGTGAGATAGATATCAATCCATGAAGGCGAAGTCAGTAGGAGTTGAAGTTCAAGTCAGTTGTAGTTGAAGACGAAGGAAGCAATATTTGACAACCCATCCCACAACCATTTAATCTTTTCCTCCTCCTCCCTCCCTCCTTTTGTTGACTTCTCTTTTCACATCTCCTGTTCCACTCACGCTTTACGATCCAGCTCTACAACGTTAAGACCACGACCTGAAAGCCTTTCAAACCTCTCCTACCATTTCCCGCCCCATCTGCTATCGCACAGGATCCATCTAACACCAACAACTGCTTCAAGATGCCCAAAGTTGAAAAAAAGAAGCGCGTTGCCAAACGTGGTCCTTATGTGAAGAACGCGGCAGGGACCGAAACTTCCAGAGTCGACAGTTCTTCTCAGAAGGAGTCGTTACCACTAGTCCTGGACATGCCGACCGAGCAGCCCCGAGCAGCACTCCAGAACAAACCGCTTTCATTCCTCGACCTGCCGACAGAGATTCGACTGCAAGTCTACCAACACTTCGTCACTATCCCACCAAAGACAGGCATTGAGAAACGCAGGTTGGACAGATCCAGGGTCATACGGACGAGATATTCGCTTCAGTTGACATGCCGCAAGGTCAGCCAGGAATGGTCGCCTCTCTTCTACTCCACGACCACTATCGTGATACATGGTCTTCGACCCGTCCCAGATGATGGGTCTCCGGAGTATAGGACGAGCCGCGGAATGGACTTCTGGGGTTTCGAAAAGGAATTTGTCAACCTTTCTTCTCTCAGCAAACGGAAAAGAATCCAGAGCCTGGCTTATGATTGCGGCGACGATATAAGTGGCGACTTCCAAAGCACATACATGCCGCTCATCAGCCTCCTCAGAGAGCCTGAAAACACCTTCGCGTCTTTGAAAGAAGTGGTATTTTACCGCGAAGTATGCACCCGGGTACCTGACCGTTTGTACAGAACGAAATCATCACGGGACGAAATAGTGGATCTGGTGTTCAGGGAAGGATTGGACTGGGAAGCGGTGGAAGAGATGGATAACATGGAATACCTTCTCTGCAAAGAGGAACTGTACCCGCGATGGAGTGTTGGGTGGGGCTTGCGAGTCAGTCACTCTGGGGACTCCGAATGGGTCGAGAATAAGCTGCGGCCCATTAAAATAGTCGACGAGGTCCAGGTGGTTTTCCGCAAGCAGGCGGAACCTTTGCAAGAGACAATATGGTTCTGAATCGAGCTCTCAAGCATGACCCAGGACCTTTAAGAACGCGTCACGATCGAAGGGGGACCAAGTAGGGCACAGACTATGTCATCAACACTGTCTCAAATCAGCCTCAGGGAAGCAGAGACACGGAGCTGTCAAAATGTCCCGCACATTGGGAATGAGGTGCTTGAAAAAATAGTGAATCGAAAGCACTCCTATGGATCGTGGAACGAAAAGAGCATGGGGGCGGACAATGGAAATTGCTGGAGATCTGATCTGGTCAGACGCATTGGTTGGAGCCGTGGAGCACTGGAGAACGATCAACAACGGCGAGCAGAGCTGCAATTTCCATTTGTGCTTGAACAAGTCCGAGGCAATGGAATATTTGGGAAGTCACACAGGAAACAACATGCTGCAATCGGACATGATGAGGCTGAATGTGCTGGGGACAAACTCGACGAAGGGATTTATGTACTCAGAGAGGTGACAGACTCGGAGACCTTTCAACAAATGAAGCGATCAATATCTTACGCAGATGAGTGCTTCTTTTCGTATCCATATCTCCTCAGCCATAGCCCATCCTAACATGTTCTCATTGTGGATCTCCTTGGAACCTCTCTAGAGAAATCCGAGCATTCTGGGATCGTCGCGTTCGCTCAATCCAGTAGTCGAGTTGTTGTAATTAGCAAGTCAAAAGCCCTCCCAACCAGGCTGTCCATCAAGGCCAGTCCAGTCCCACGGGTCCACGTAACTACCCAGCGCCTCTTGCCCCGGCCACATGTCGGTGTCTATCATCTGTGGATTGAGCAGTGTGAAGTCATCATCCTGTATTCCATTTCCGTAAGGCAGGCTCTGGTTGGAAGTCCCCACCAGGGTCGGTGTAGGGCCCGAGGTCGCCATCAGACACTGCTCGTCCGTTATCATTTCGGAGCCCGTAAAATAATTGCTCTTTGGGTCGGTGTCGGTGTCAGCATTGGAGGTCTGTGCATGGTGGTGCTGGTGCTGAGATATTTGGGACAGCGCGTGTCTGATGGATGAGACGACTCTTGGCGGCAGCGGTGTGAAAATAGAAGTATCTTCGTCCCGCGTGGGAGAATCCTCATACGCCTCCCACGCCCGGAGTATCAGGTTTGCGAAGAGGCGGAAAAAGGGACTGTGCGCTTCCCGAAAGTTCTGCGAACCGAACCACGCGTCGTAGTTCTCGCTCATGACCTCCCAGGCTCTCGGGGCGTATTTGTTGCTCACAGGCCGGCTTCGCAAGTCCTGCGCGATTTGGATGTAGGCTGGGAACGGGAAGTGGGCTTGACTCAACCAGCGGAATCCCTTGGTCAGCGGCGACGTCATGACCTTGGTGTCGCACTCGAGCACCCTCAGCGCGTACAAAGTGGCGGTATCTCGCTGCGTATCCGTCTGTCGCGCAGATGAACCCGAATGCCGGGATTGATGTTCCAGGAGGCGATATTTGGCAAGATGTGCCCGTGTCGTCCACATCGTCATGAAGTGCAGTGGGTGCTCTGGTTCGCAGTTCTTGAGATATCGGTCCTCAATCAGCTCCTCCAGCTTGGCCAGCTTGGCCTCTTCTCCTCCGAGTCCGCTCTCTCCAACAGTTGTTTTCAACGCCGGAGTGGTAAAATCGAGATGGAAAGACGAGTGGCGGATCACTTCACCCAGCTCACAACGGATAACGGCGAAAAGTGCCTCGGTCGGATTTTCTTGATTTGCTGGCGGCGGCCTCTTCGTCTCCGGCCGCAGGTCAGAATCGTTCACATTGAGAGGAATTCTGCAGTCCCAAGTAGGATCTAGCGTCACCGTCCTAGAGTTGGCCGTCGCGCTGATGCGAGTGTCAAAAAGTACCAGCGACCACCACAGCCTCCGGCGCATTTCCGCCTCGAGTGCACTGTATCTTGCCAATGCCGACTCACTGTGAATGCCCATGCGTTGTGCAATGCGAATCGCCACGGCCAGCATAGATGACAGAGACTGCGGAACTGTGCTGGGTCTGATGGAGATCTGACGTTGTCAACAAGGAAGAAAGAAATCTTAGTTACTGACTACACTTACTAGGTAGAGATACAATGCGGTCAAGCATTCTCGATCGCTGGTCCGTAAAAAGGAGCAATTCAACAGCGCCTGCTGGCAGCCATATTGATACCTCATCAACAGATCTTCTTTCAAAGAATCGAACAGTCTCTGGCAATCTTCGGCGGCAAGGCTCATGATGGCGGTGCAGTAGATGCTGAACATCAGTGCCTCTAAAGTTGGACTGATCTTGGAGACATCGCTGACGGCTTCGACGATCCGTCCCTGCAGGCTGGGGATGTGTGTGACCTTGAGCAGCGGGTTTACGTTCTCCAAGTATACCTGCCAAAGCCTGAAGATCTGGACTGGGAGGGGGTGAAGATTAGAAAGATCGACTGCTGGTCCACGGGTGCCGAACAACAGATTATCGTCGTTTGCAACTGACTGATCCCAGGCATCCTTCACAGCGCTTTCAAGCTCATCTTCATGCGAGGAAGTGCTGTCAGTATCTGGATCCCGATACTGTTGCAGCAATCAGTAGAACTCAAGCCCCAAGGCAGTTTGGTTTTACCCCATGGCTCATGACGTGCCATACGTTTCTAGGAGAGTTAGTCACCTTGTATCAACTCCTCGAATGACGCATACTTGACTCCATAACTCCGTCCTGACCTGGGTGTAGCCGAGGGAGTTGGCATCTCCGAATGCATGGATTCTGGATGCTCCTCGTCCGATTCAAAACCTCTCTTCACATTTGAAGACCCTTGCTCCCTAGCTGAATCTTTATGGAGTGGTTCGAACGCAACATTGTTCTGACGCAGCAGGTCTTCGTACGTGCGCAACCGTTCCAGGAGGATTCGCTGGGGGATTCTACGTGTCCGAGCGCGTTGGACTTGCGAAGAGGGAACACACTGAGCTCGAGACCTGACGCAATTCGCGCAAGGGAAGATGCGATCGCATTTCACCTTGCGCTGCGAACAAAGAACACAGGCAAGCACCCGCCCAGGCTTCAATGCCTGGGATGACGATGAAGCCGTGGGTGGAGGTTGGTCCACGATAAGGCCATCCAGTGGCTGCAGTGCGGTTGACATGATGGATGATGCACCATCTAGAAAGAAAATGGAGACCAACTTCGCAGAAGATTCAACTGTTGGATGACTGTTTAGGAGAAGAAGCGTTACTCAAGCATCGTGGCGGCGACTTCGGTTGTCCAATCAGAGGCTGCAGAAACACCCGTCTCGGACTTTCTGTTATTCCGAAGGAATATATCAATCCACCTCGCCACCCGCTTCAGCCTTGTACGCTCCTGGTTCCTGCACAAAGCCAGGTTCTTTGTCTTCTGATAGCTGGCACAAAGCCTCTGTTCAATTTGCCTTGTTAGGGACTGTCCATAGATTTCCTCTTTGTCGAAGATGGTAGTCTCCACAAAGCCTCTGAGGTAGTCACGGCAACAGTGGCAGACAAACCTCTTAGGTTACATTTTACTTGTCTCAGAGAAACACAGTAAGACCTGAGATACAGTGGCAGATGTCTCAGTACTCTCCAATACAACTTTAACTGCCTTCACCCGCCATGCCTCGAAGCAGTGTCTGTGGTTGCCCTAATCCTTGAGCTGCCCTATGCTCGAAGGGACATAGATCTCTCTCAATGCTTTCGCCTTCCTTTTCCACGCTCTGCATCAACCACCACCACCATAACGACCTCACTAGGGAAGAATCCTCAAACAAAATCAGACTCACAGATTTCTGCACCGGGTAAAGTCTCCCCCTGAGTGCCCTTACTGACCCCCGGCAGCCGCCTCAAACCACCACCGCCCAAGATGCCTCGTTACTCGACGCATGGTGACAAGCCGAGACGCAAGCTTTCCAAGCACAAGTATTCCAAGATTAACTCTCCCCCTCCGTCCATCACTTCCGAGGCCCCTCTGCTCCCTAAACCACTGTGGACATGGAAGGACTCGATCAAGTACTATGTGGCGAGGGCCAAAGGGGAAGTGAAGTATGCGATTGACATGTACAGGATTAACAAAGTGCTTGGTGAAGAGTTCGACTATTGAATCTGTGTAGCAGGTGAGTGCCAGTGTGTCTAGCTAGGCCTTTGAGGGAAGCGAACGAGACGGATGCGAGCAACCAACAATGAATACCTAGGTAAGAACCCAGCTCCCCAGAAGGACCTGATGCCAGTAACTCCGCGCTATGTACTCGGTATACATGTATTTTTCCAGCTCTTCTGTATGCAGTGTCTAACTTTTTGTCCCTGAGATATCACGTACTGTTCGTCCATTCGTCATACCTGATCATGCATCATTTCATCGTCCTTCTCCCTATTCCCTTCTCTGGATATATCACCGTTCTCGACTTTCACCGTTTCCTCCCGCTCTTCCTCCTCCCTCTCCGCAGCTTCTCTCGCCTTGATCTCCTTTAATTCCTGACAGAACTTACTGTTGTCCCGGATCCGATCACCATATTTGATAAATGCAAAAGGGATGAAACACATTCCCAGACTAAGAAACGCAAGTAAACTGCACGCCCAGGCGATGCCCAGGTGGGAGAACATGCTATGCGCAGCTAGGGGCAAGAGCGCACCAAACACGCTCCGACTGGTACTGGTGATACCCTGCGCACTGGCTGCAAATGTTTCGTAAGCATCGGTAAGATAATTGAGCAGAGCCATGAAGATGAGTAGGAATGCTGCTCCAAAGATGACTCCTGAGGCGACAGGGGCGAGCCAAAAGGTTCCCGGCTTTGCACTCCACCCAATCCAGAACAGAGAGACCACGTACATTGGCCCTCCAATGCAAGCCAGTGGTAATCGCCTGTACTCTTCCTGTTGTGCCCACTTTGCCTGTCTTTTCCGTGCCTTGGCCAGATAAGAGTCCCACCAAAGATATATAGGTGCCGCGAGGAGTGATCCAAGTCCAATGGGAATAAAAGCGAGACCTGCGAGTCCATATGACCATTTGTACACGGAATCTGGACCCTGAAAGATAATAGGGTATGCCTCGAAATACAGGTAGAAGATTGCGTACGCCAGAGAGCAATATGCTGCCACGCACATGACAATGACCTCCTGGAACAGCATGCGGTAGGGCCGGGTCATGACAACGGTAACGACATGACGCCACGTTTTCTTTTGAAGATCGGTTTTAGCAACGATCGTAGGATCACCTGTTTCTTTGCGTAGTCGTGCTGCTTTGCGACTCAGGAGGACCGGGGTGTAGGTCTCTGGCATAAAAATGATGAAGGGAATAGTGGCGACGGCGAGCAGAGTGCCCACGGCGAATACCCACCGCCATGAGGTGTTCTCTGCGATGAACCCTGAAATGGCGGGTGCAATGACGGGGCCGAACGTCGTCGCAACCATGAACCAAGCCATTGCCAATCCACGCTCCCTTGGATCGTTATATACGTCGGCGTATAGTCCTCCTGTAATTGCGATTGGCCCAGAAAACCCAACCCCACACATAAAGCGAAAGAAGAGCAGACAGGGCCAGTTAGGGGCCAGTGCGCAAGCCATGCTGAATAGGGTAGACATGACGAAAAAGGATAAGATGACTCGTTGTCGACCATTGTTTTCGGACAGAGGGCCACAGAGCGTGGGGCCTACCACATAACCCGCCAGGAAACATGATATCGGCAAAGGGAGCTGAATTTCTTGTGTGACATCAAAATGCTTCGCAATGAAAGTGATTGCTCCGCTCGGTAACGACGAGGAAATGGTGCTGTTCATAACAGTTATGATGCCACAGAAGAAAATGTACAACTTCTTTCTCCGCGGCCAGTTGTAGGGACTTTCTGGGTCATTGGAGCTGAACGATATGATCTTCCTCGAGTTTTTTCTGTTCTCTGGCTCATCGTCTGGCGCCACGCTAGGGGCTCGCCCGCTTGTGAGAGTGTCTCGAGAAGTGTCGCGTCGCTCGAGATCGAGGCGGCCGGCTTGGTTACCTGGTGAAACGTCAGAGGATTGTCTTCGCAGAAGTATGCGAGGGGGGAGTACCCGGTAAGGACTGTGGCGCGACGGTGGTTGTCACCGACTTCTGGGGTTCATTTTCAGTACCAAGACCCATGATCGGGTCCGTCTACCAAAGGTAGTCCAGCAAAACTGCGAAAGGAGGATACAAGCAGCACGCAACAAAGGAAATAAGGAGACGGGCATGGGAAATTCATGAGGGCAAGAGCATGAAAGACACCGGCCTTTCGGGAAACGGAGAATGGGCGCCATTGCAGGCGTGCCTATACGCTAGATGAGGGGGTCGATCAAAAAAGAGTATTGCACCAAGCATGACGGAGGGAGGACCGGGTCCAAGCTAGTCGCGGGGCGCGTTTGCGACCAATCCACGGCGTCCAAGATGGAGAGAGTGTATATTGATAAGCCATTGATCATGAGAATGAAGCTCGCGACAAGAAAAACTGCGAGATCGGTTATGACGGCAGAAGAGTGGAAGCAGGCGGTGGAGAGAGATGGGCTTCTGATCCTTTTTCGTTCGACTGCGCGGTGGAATGGAAGCCGAGAGCAGCAGGGGAAGGCCAAGAGGGGGCATTAACAACGTCATGTGACGCCTAAGCTATTTAAGGCAAGGCTTCCGGCCTAGTTTCGCGCTAGCGATGCTGCGGCTGCTAACGTCACAATAAATCGCGCCCTTTGACCATCTCAAGTCCTTGTTCTATCCTATGCCATCACAGCAACATGTACTCGGTAAAGCCATCGCTACTAGGCCAGCTGGTCCGAAATCCGGAGCTTTACCTCGAGACTGTCCCAGCAGCCGCCCTCAATGTACGCCCTTTGACAGAAAAGACTTCAATCGCCTGCACAAGGCTAGGACATCCTAATTTGCGCTCAGCTTGACGACCCCATCAACCCATTGGGCGGGACTGTCCTCACTTCGCCTTCGTCCACCCTCTTTCATAGTATTCCTCCTCCGCCCGTCTCCGCTGAGGATGGCAGAAACCTCGTGCCTTGTTTCCACATGCCCAACGTTGGACTCTGTTGGGAGGTGTTGCTCATAACTGGCAATCCTGGTAGCATGTTCCTGCTCCAAGTCGCGATACCGCTCCTCATAAGCTAGTCGCTTCTTCTCGCGCTGTAATTCTTTCCGTTCTTGCAGTTTTTGTTGGATAAGGGCACCGGCGGCGATCAGGAGATATGCCATTCCCCGGCTTTTTGGCAAGATATTGCTGTTGGCGGCAGCAGAGAGTGTGTGATGGTGGGTGGTCTATAAGTGATGGAACTAAATATGAAGCCCGGCAAGTGTGAAGCGGCTTTTGGAAGTGCGCGCCGAGTACTGTTGGCAGCACAAGAGCACTGGAGGATCCTGGGAGCATTTGGACATGGATAAATAGATGCACTTGTCTTTCGATACTTCGGACTTCGTCTTCCGGGTGAACACTCGGATGGCCAACGCTTGACGCAGCAGATGCGTATTGGCGTATAAGGAATTGACAACTTACGGATTGGGCTGCGTAACCGGGTACGCGCTGCTCCATTTGAGGAAAGTCTGGTACATTGGATTCCACTGGTCCTGAATAAGAGGACTAAATGCCATCCGCCGAACGCCTCTGCTCAATTCTGAAATATTGTACAATGCCATATAGTCGTACAGATTCGTTAAATCCTGTTTTCTGTTTGATACACTGTCCACCTCATGCACAAGGTCTGCCGCGTCCCTTCAAGGCCTGGATCCCAACGAGGCGACGGCTTCCGAGAGCCGAGTAAAGCCTGCATTTGCCGGGGTGGAGGCTCCGCTTTTCGAATTCTGGCCAGCCGGACAGATTTGCAAGCCGCGCCCATACTGTTGCCCAGAGCATGCATGGCTGCACGGTGTTAAGGTGTATTGGAAATAGTTCACTTGTGTCTCCGTGAGGCAGTCACATTCCACGTCAACTGACTCATTGTTAGAGAGATGACAGAAACGGAAGCTAGCTGAGGGAAGAGAGCACCTGGGCCAATATGGCAACCGTGGTGACTTACCCAAAGCACATGAATCTCTTCCAGCCCTTCGCTCCGTCCATTTTTCGGTTCATTCGAAGATCGGCAAACCTCTCACCACGAGGTCCTGTCACTCGATCGAATTCGCTGGCTGGTGGACTAGCCATCGGTGCGAGAGTCGGCTTGTGTTTGGCATTGACCACGGCAGCGTAAACATGAAGTTTGGCGACGGGATTCTTTTCACTGTCGCTCGATAACGGCAGGTCCGGCTGTATTGTAGAACTGTGTTCATCTATGGCACCGAGGAGTCGTGACGGCGGCGTCAAACGACGGGGACGAGTGCCTAAGCTACTGTACATGGATGACGGGATTGCAGCTGTTGAAGAGGGTGAAGGTGGTGGTGATGAGGAATCTGGAGCTGACGAGATGAGAGTGCTTGAAGATGACAGGACGCTTTCCATCGAGTCTGACGGTGATGGAGACCGAGAGGCCGATTCACTGTCGGCCTGGCGGTTGCGGGGAGCCATCTTGGTTTGTGCTGCAGAGAGGCGAGGACTATGGTGAAGATCCAAGGCTGGGAAATTTGATGGAAACCTCGCTTGATGGTAGTTGCCAGAGAAGCGATGGTGCTATATGAGGAGGAGCGGGGCGCGAGGGCGCACTACACTGTCTTATTCACAGATGACAGATGACAGGTGCCAGTGATCTTCACCAGGGCGAAGGACAGTTAGCAATAGCCTTTTGAAGCACAGTAGAAGCTTTAATCACTCCTCCATCGGAGAAATATGCAAGTATACAAGTCAGGGACGACAAAAGTCAGAGCGAAGCTCTAGAAGGCGACACGGGACGCAGGCTGGTTCAAAAAGCCACCGGGCTCACGATCCAGGGCCTGCCAAAAGGAGCATGTCATCCCATCCTGATGATTCACCCTTGGCGCCCTCCATTGACGGCGGCTTTGTCGATCAATTGCTTGGGGAAGTTGTTGGTGCTGGCACATTTTGTCTCTCATCTGCGCCGAAAAGCGCCATCTCGCCGTCCGGGGGTGGTGATTGGGTGCACTAGGCCCTGCTTTCTCGCTAAAAGTCTGGAAATCTAGGGGTCTCAGGCGCTAAGGGACCCCGGAACTGCGGTTGTGTGTGGCCCTCTCGCGTCCCCTGGGTCCTGGCACCCCAACGAGCCCCCAACAGCCCCTCCCAAGCCCCCGAAGTCCCCGAAGTGACCGTTGCCTGCCCTGCCAAACCCGCTAAACCTCAGCCACTGAACTCTCGATCGGGGAAGCAATGGGTGCATCTAAACTCTATTCGATCCTGGAGTTGCCTGAAAGGATCTCCGTTTGACAGTGGCTGGCGTCAATGACGCCTATGGCTTGATATGCAGGGTCACATTTGAAAATGGGTGCTCAAGCAAGTCCGTCCACACAAGCAGCCTCTGGCCCGCACGCTACATATTGGGGCATGTGAAGAATGGTATGCATTCCTTGCCTGATTGTGGCTCTAACAACAGGTTGCATGTGTGTGCGTTGATCCCTGGTCATCAGGAAGGGTGTGTCTCTGGTGTGTCTCTGGTGTCGTCGGTGCCTCTGATAGTCACGGGAATGAGTCGGCTGAAAGTAAATCCGTCGAGGCACTGCCGGGCTCGCGGGATCCCCATTTTCGGTCCAATCCGCACCGGCAGAAGCACGCGAAGTCGTTATCACAAATGCTCACGTCAATTCACGTTACTGTGATGGTATCGGCATTTTTATCCATATGGAACTGCAAGAACCCAGCACAATAGCACAGCTGCCTAGAAGGCTCCCTGCACAATCACTGTCGCCAAAATGGCGCGCCCACGACGAGCATCTGCCGCGTCAGATCTCAGTTCTGTACCGGACCAGAATCAGGTACCTGCGCGTTCTACAATACTTTCCCCAGACCATAGTCGGGCGGCCTGTAGTAACAAGTTACCTATAGGAGTTAGGAAGCATGTACGACTACCTCGCCAAAATCGTCCTCCTTGGCCCCAGCGGCACCGGCAAGTCCTGCCTCCTGCACCGTTTCGTGAAGAACGAATGGCGAGTCCTTTCTTCTCAGACCATCGGCGTCGAGTTCTCCTCCAAGATAATAAAGATTGGCACGCCGCCCAATCGATCGAAACGAATCAAGTTGCAGCTATGGGACACGGCAGGCACAGAGCGATTTCGAAGCGTGAGTCGGAGTTACTACAGGGGTGCAGCAGGTGCAGTGCTGGTGTACGATGTTGCGAGTATGGCCAGTTTCCAGGCGCTGCCCACTTTCCTGAGTGACGCACGAGCACTGGCTAGTCCGCAGTTGACGGTGATTTTGGCGGGAAACAAGGCGGATTTGGCGGACGAGTCGCTACAAACACAAGGGCAATCGGGTCAGAATCATACGAGAACTCAGGCTGTGCACATGAATGGAAGCGCTCAACACCATCGCATCCAGAGGGAGGATGAATCCAACACCACTCCAGCCGCATCGAGCGCGTCAAGTCGACAGTCATATTTCCCCTATGATTCCGGAGGTGCAAGCCTCACCGACTCTGTGAAAACGACATCCAGTCGCTCTCGCGGGGACAGCATGAATCTTTCAAAATGGACAGCCACTCAATCCACGGACGGCCGTGAAGTCAGCACCGACGCCGCCTCACGGTGGGCTTCGAAAGTCCACATCCCCGTCACAATGGAAGTTTCGGCTCTCACGGGTGAAAATGTTGATGCATTATTTTACCGCCTGGCCGCCATGATCCTGACCAAGATCGAGCTGGGAGAGATCGATCCGGATGATCCGGCAAGTGGTATCCAGTACGGTGATGGTGCTGTGGGAGCCGATGGAGACAGTATAACCACAGATGGAGGCACCGTGAGGCGGCGGAAGGGAGGAAGGGGTGGCACGGTAAGGAATGGAGTGCTCAGCAGTCTCGGGGAGTGGGAAGACGTATTTCGCAGACCGGCCTCGCGAGCAGGGGGAGGGCGATGTTGTTGATGAAAAGAGTTCCGAAAGACACGATACGATGTCTTTCTTGCGATGGGGTCATGATTGCACGAGATGTTTCTTCTCCCGCTCTCTTTCACTCTCTCTTTGTCCTTTGTCTTTCTTGTTACCGCCGTCTTTGGAAAGAACGAAAAAGCAAGCAGCAAAACAAGCGAGCGAGCGTTTTGTACACAGCCTTGTTGGATTGGACTTGGGTCGAGTTCTGTGTACAGTTTTATACAGTTGTCTCGATGTCAGCCGCTTTTTGTTACACGATAAGGCGAGGCGGACGCATGCATGGCGCTGGGGCTCTCGCAGGTGCTTTTCCATAGTGCAGCCTGCGCTGTGCCGAGAGTTAATGTCTAATACGTTGGACACCCTTTTTGTCTTTGCACGAATCCTTCCATTTGGGCCAGGGCAACGAAAGGGGTGCAGTTTCGGTGGTCACGGCCCCTCTGCACCTACTTTACGATCCTGCGCCCGACGAGGTTGCAATCTGTGAAAGTTGGGCTGGTCACACACTTTTGTGCGGAAAGCCATGGTGTCTAGGGATGAAGGGGGTTTAGATGGGCATGGGGGGTAGTGAGACTGGGTTGGGACTCATTGAAAGGGCTGCCAGATTCGCCCAAGTATGGCAGGGAAGACGCTCAATACAGGGAAACATGGATCATGTGTGCTGCCGCTGATATAAAACAATGTTTCAAGGTCAAGTTTGTAGCCCTATGCGGACGAAGTGAGGTTGAAAACTTCCATGTCTCCCAGCCCTCCATCAACTTCCCCTCACGTCAGCCTGTTGCAAGCTCTTCATACCCTTCCTGACCCTGACCCTGTCCACCTTCTTCACCCTCACCTCCCGTCTCGATCTTTGGACCAATCTTCTCACACAGCTCCACGAACTCGACCTGCCTGATGAGGTTCTGCGCCGCGCTCAACGCCTTCATGATTACGAGCTGGTTCCTCTCGGTCGTGGCAGCACGGAAACTCCTCACGAGAAACTCACTCAGCATCTCCACCGTCCAGTCATCCGGGATGTCCTCCAGGATCTGTAAAGGGTCGAAAAAGCTGGCGAATTTTCCGAGCAGGTGGGATGTGCGTTCCAGGCGGTCTTCGACGTCGGAGATGGAGAGGAATTCGCCAAAGAGGAAGGTGAAGAGTTCGGTCTGGCTTGCTCGGGAGGGCAAGGTAGATGGGTCAATCGGGTAGGATGAGGGAGGCGAGGGACGGCCGAAGTAGCAGTATCGTGTGGCCGTATCGTAGTCGCCCAATCCGTGGGTTAGAAGGCGAAGGGCTTCTTTGTGACGCCCTTGACGCGCATCGAGGATGACGGATTCTGAAACTAGGTAGGAGGAGAAAGGTGCCAGGCGCTCGAGGACCATGGAGACCGAATAAGTCAGATCCTTCCCGGCGTCGTTGGTGCCCGTGGTTGCGTACGCGCCACTTCCTAGGAGTTGGAGAAGACGGAGCCGTGATTGCCACCATGGCTCCCGGGGCGCGTTTTGGTGGATGAAGTCGAGGTAGGTCGGCTTGGGCGACTCAAGAGCTCGGTATGTCGAATAGCTCTCTGCTAGCGACGCACGAGCGGATTCGGACTTTTCCAGGACAGTGAGAACTGAGTCGAGGTAATAGCCTATCAGGTCATCGGCGTACTGCCCGAGGTGTTTGCCAAAGACGAGATATTCCAGGTACTGCTGGACTGCCCCTGGCGCTTGTTCCTTGAGTAGTAGGACAACTTCTTGAGGGCTGAACTTCACCCGTGCAGCGTCATCTGTGAAGACTTGGACGGCGAGGTCTGGATTTCGCTGAGCGAGCCACAGGGTGTAGGCTTGGACAAGATCGACATCTCGAATGACTGTCAAATAACGGCGTAGTTGACCTTCCACGTAGCCAATATTTGAACCGTAATCCACATCCTTCTCTCCATCTATGATCCGTTTCCACGTCGCGAGGACATCCTGAGCTTGTTTCTTACTCTGGTACAGCCGGCTCAGAACGTAAAGCCGGTTGTACCTTTCCAAAAGCAATGTCGCACGCTCAAAATCGCCCTTCCATTGATCAACGACATTGTGCAATTTGGTCCGAACTGATCTCTGGGCAGGACTATCTGTGGGCAAAGCTTGGTCCAAATAGAGCAAGACATGAAGAAGCGCCGCATCCACGGAATCAAAGACGTGCTTGTCGTCTGCAATGCTTCCGTACCCGCGCTTCTCTTGCCACAGCATCAAGAAGTGTCTCATCATCATCCAGAATTCAGTAGGAGCATCCTCGAAATGAAAAACTGGTGATGGATGGTCCTGCAGCAGGTCTGCCATACCTTGATGGAGCCAGATGCCTTCCGGCCCGTACAAGACCTCCGATGACAGCGGAGGTAAAAGAAGCAGCACGATCCGCGGATCCAATCCTCCATCATGTAGCGTGTTTTCAACAGCTCGGAATATGTCTTGAAGGGCCGAGGAACCCGAAAGCTGTGTCTCCAAATGTAAAAACAGAATCAGACTAGCCTTCTGTCTGATATAGTTCAGCGTAAGAAACTCTGTCTCATCCTTCGGTTCGCGACCGTGTATGCTGGCCAAGAACCCAAAGATTTGACCAGGGATTACATTGGCGGGTTGACTGTCGACCATGTACTGCATCAGACGGTACTCGAGCTGCGAAATCAAAGGATTTTGCAAGATCATGAGTAGATCTTTCCCGTGCCAAACCAAATTTCTCGTGAAGGCGCGTCCGAAGCGACGGGCAAGCTTTTCCTCTTCAGTAGCGCGCTTCTTCACAAGCTCATTCGACGGCTCTACAGGCGTGCTCAAAGATTGACTGTCGAACAGAGCGCGCTCTTGCTCCACCTGCTCCATGGCGGACTGTGTCCTCGGATCACCCTCGCCTTGAGCGCTTTCTCGATGATGCAATGGTTTGACGGAAAGTGGCACCAGTTGCAGCAGTTCTCCGGGGGCTTTGAAGAAATGGTTATGCGTACTTAGCGTGTGGTGCAAGCCAGCGGGAGCATTCTCGAAGCCGCTTGACGGCAGGGCAACACACGTGCGAGGATGAGCCAGCTCAGATGCATTCTCGACCAGCTGTATTTCCAATTTCCTCTCTGCGATGCCTTCCTCAACTTTCCGCAAAAGAGCAAAGATAATTTTGCCTTCATCTTCCGAGCGTGGGGCTCCTTCATTTTCTGGCACAGCAAAGTTGTCCAGGAGCAGATCCTCAGGATAGCTTTCAAAGTCAATGGTCCCTCGGACAACATCACCATCCAGGTTGACGAACATACCAACACCAGGCTCAGACTCTGTTGTGCCAGTTGTTAGCATGAATTCAGTCGGAAACGGCGAGAGGATATGTGGCTTGAGACGCTTATGAGAATGCTTGCTGTTCGTTGCAGCAGATGATCTGGAGGGCAGTGCCTCGGTCGACGCCCGAGGACGCGCTCTCGGTCGTGCGCTCCCATCAGCACTTCCGTCGGGAGCTGCAACGTCGGTAGATGGTAATGCGGGTTGGCCTGAACCAGCCGATGCCGTGTCATCAGGAGGCATTAGATAGGCAGACTCCTGGCGCCTGTGAGGACTGTCCCTTCTGTCCTCTGTAGAGCCTATCAGGTTCCCCATGCTTGTACTTCGACCATGACCAGCTGCTTCAGCAGGTGGAGGAGACCGTGCTGGAGATCTACCTCCATTATCGGCCAGAATCTCATCGTCCGTGGGCTGCGACGAGATGGGAAACAGTGGAATCTTCTGCTGGTGTTCCACCTCCAAGAGCGCATAGCTCGTGTCGTCGGCCACGCATGCAATGGTGTCTCTTCGACTTGATCTCAAACAGCCGGGATATTCGATGTTATTTCTCAGCGATCGCAGCCTCTCACCCACACGGACCAAGATGATTCTGCGAGAGTTTGCGATCATCACCACAGGGCCTTCCGGGTTCTCTTTGTCTTCATTTTCGTCGATGCCACCAATCCACTGGACCCCAGTGGGTTCCCTGTTAGGAAATGCCGGACTGAACTCTGGAAGTGAGTAAAACGAGACAACGCCGTTGCATAATACGCAGGCTTTCAGAGGACCGGGCAGGACAAGGATCTGCTGGATGCCTGGCGCATTTGGGGAGTCGGCTGAAGCGGCATGGCCGCTGGGTTGCAATCGGGAGGCTAGAATGAAGGTGGAAGGAGCATTGTCGTCGTCCTGATCAGAAGGGATCGAGACCAGGTGCAGGATTTCAGCCGCAGAGGTTCCGATGTATAAATTGTTGTCTGAACGACCGTGAGAGGCTTGCGGGAGGTCCAGGATACACAGCCTCACCTACTCCAATATTCTACACATGTAATCGATACTTCTGCATCACCATCGTCCGCTGCCAGTGGGATGTCCTCGAGAACGGCACGAAGGACATATGGGCCTGGTGCCGGCGCGGCCAGCTTCTGGCGCTTTGCAGGGCGCTGGTTATATGGATTGGCTTCATCCATTTGCTGCTTCAAGTTTCAGGGAGATCGATCGAGTACATCCATAGCTGCGAGCAGTCTGAGAAGCTTGTCTGAAATAATAGTAAGTGTAACTCGACTTAGGATCGCGGTTGATGGCGGGAAGCGGAGCAGTCTGGTCTAAGCGCAGGTACTGCGGGATATTCGGTTTCGAGGTGCAGTCTCCCCATTTCACACTACTAGGCCAGATCTTCCATTTTGTTGTCGCTACTGTTGACGCGTTTGACGTTGATTCAAACGCTTTCATAGGCTTACCTCACCTTTTCGCTCTAACAGCAGAAGTCGATTGATGTTCTACCGCTGATGATGCCTCCAAGTCGGCCACATTTCAATCGGGAGCACCAATAAACCCCCTGGCCTGTCGACAACATGGACGCAATGGTGGTGTCAGAGGTCAATGCCCCTCAGGCAGAGGATGATGCCCACCGGCCTGAAGACACACTAGATCGGCCTCCCGTCGAGGCAGAAAACAAGTTCCAGAAGGCAATCGCAGCATGGCGGAGTAAGTTCACGTCCAGTACCTCGTGTTCATGCTGCGGGCTAACTCATCAGACATCGACCTTTCCTCGTTGATGCCTCAATTGGATTCCACAGCCTCTGAAATAGTCGCCCAGCAGAGAGATGCCTTGCTCGAGCGGAAGGAACTTGCCCAGAAGACGAAAGACTTTCGAAAATTGGAGGATGCAGCGAAGTTGACTGAATATAAGACGCTCTTGAAATGTTGGTTTCCCACATGCAGGAACAGGTTCCGAAATTAACTGCTTGCAGCGTACCAAACCTTCATTGACCTGATCACTGGCCACGGCAAGACTTCATCGTCCGCATTCCTCCAACTATACCAATCCTTGTCTGAGGCTCCGGATCCCTTTCCTCTCCTCGAAGCCTCGGTCGACTCTCTGGTTGCATCCGAGGACACAGTACCCAAGCTCACTTCTGAGAACCAGCAACTGCTCGCTAGGGTCAGTAGACTGACAGCTCAGCTCGAAGAAACAGAACGAAAGCTGCAGGACGAAAGCAAAGCCCGGAAAGATGCCGAGGCCGGAACGAGTACGCTGGTGCAAGAGGTCGAAGCCAAATGGGAAAACGTCCTGGAGGAGAAACAGAACAACTGGACTGCCAAAGAGCGCTTTCTGGAAGACAAGGTCGAAAACCAAGACAGACTCCTTAAAGAATTGAAAGCCAGCTACGAAGTGTCTCAGAGGCTTCAAGATGGGTCGGCTGAAGCCGCATCGTCTAAAGCTGCGGCTGCAGAACTAGAGATGATGACCTATGAGCTAGAGAAGACAACTGCCCGTCTTGCCGAAATCGAAGCAAGGAACGAACAGCTTCGAGTCGACCTTGCCAGAGCCACTTCCCAGGCTGTTGAGAATCATAGTATCGAAGATGACCCTTCCTTTTTACGCCTGCAGTCCGAAAACTCTTCCCTTCTTCGAAAAATTGAGTCCGCCAGGTTCGAGAGAGACACGGAAAAGAGAGATTGGGACAATAAGCTACGTCAAGTTGACAGGCAGCGGTCTCAACTCGCAAATGAGAATGAGGAGCTACGGACAAAGGTCAGTAAATGGTCCGACTATGAGGATCTGAGACGGGAGCTAGATACTCTTCGGTCAATTGAACTGTCAATTGGCGACGATGAAGATGGGGACGAGGCTGCTATGGACGGGTTGGTAGAGAACGGCACGAAGCAATCTTTGGAGCAGCTGCTGCTCGCACGCAACAAAAAGCTGACCAACGAGCTGACGTTATTGCGAGTGTCGCACCAAGACCTTCAACGGCAGCTTGAAGATCTTCAAGAAGAGCTGTCCCGGACGAATGCCGAGTTGGAGAAGTCTCAGAAGCTGTCTTCAACCCTGGAGAACGATCTTATGCGCGTACAAGAGGAGGCTGTAAACGCACTGCCCTCTTCGGGGATGTCTGTCGCCGGCACTTACGTATCTCGGCATCCTATGGGCTCTTTGCGGAGAGGAAGGGCATCACCCACATCCTCAATCATCTCGGGCTACGACATGCAGCCGAGAACCAACACCTTGGAGTCACTGCGAGGGGGAGATCCAGCTGGGGGAGGATCTGGCATTTTGCCGATGATCCAGGCTCAAAGAGATCGGTTCAAACAGAAGAACCAACAACTTGAGGAAGAGCTATCCAAAACTTACGCGACCGTCACTTCGCTGCGTCAAGAAGTTGCCTCGCTTCAGAAGGACAACTTGAATTTGTACGAAAAAACGCGATATATCTCTGCATACAATCGAGGTCCAGCCACGTCTTCCGCTTACCACGGGGCACCAGGACACACCTCGATCCATGTGGATGACTCAACTACCAGCCGCTGGAAATCGCAATACGAGGCCAATATCTCTCCTTTTGCCGCCTTTCGTGGCCGAGAAGCGACACGTGCCTACAAACGCATGAGCTTCCCAGAAAGGATTATATTTTCGCTGACGAGGGTCGTTCTCGCGACCAGGACTTCACGCAATCTCTTTGCTGGCTATTGTCTTGCACTTCATATGCTGGTGTTCGTAATGCTCTACTGGATGGGCACCGCAGATGTGGATCGAAAGGTTGTCCATCTGGGCGAAGCGGCAGCGGCAGCAGTGGGCGGCGCAGGCCTTCGATCACCTGAATCCCACGATCCTGACTGGCATCAGCAGGAATTTGGATAGCTTGTGACGGACAAATTCGCTTTGCTAGGGGTGTTCGTGAATTCCCAACGGATTTTACATGGCCGGTGGCTTCTGTTTTCGTTGTAGCGAGTATCCTGTTGCTTCTCACGTGTCCTTCAGTTTGAAGTCTGTAGATTGCGGTCATTCGGGCAGACGACCTCTCCTGGGCCGGTACACGCCCGATGTTGATGCGGGATCCTTCGGAGTGAGCACTAGATCACAGCAGGGTATTGCGAGGGATGTTAGATGGACTCGCTGCGGCTTTCTAAGCCGTACTCCGCGCAAATATTACGATCAAGACTCCAGCTTGGTAAACGTCTCGATACAACTCCAAGAGGCAAAGTCGAGGCTGACGTAAATGGTCGGATCGCTGGAAGTAAGCACGGACGACGATGAGGAATGTGGTCTACGCACGCACCTCCGCACGTAATACCGCTACACTCGGTACGAGCCATGATTCTCCCCTGACTCTGTCGGTACCGAATCTCCGAATACGACACTGGCTCTCATAGTCAGCGTGAGGATACCTCGTGGGACCCAAAAGACGTGTCTTGGGCTCCTTGGGCATTCCTTGCGGACACAGCTAGGATTCGACTCCAAGGTCTCGCGTGTCTTGGTAAGCATCAATTGCGCGCAGCATGTTTCTGTACTTAGCACCGAAGAGCATCACCCGATCGAGCCTGAGAAATTTGTCTTGGTTGTTGCCACTGCGCGCATGTGTGGTACAGTGTGCGAGGCAACTTGGCAGATGACAATGGCCTGGCCGTGGGAATGGGAGGGCCTCAGAGACTTGCTTCCTCTCGCCCAAGTTCCCTAGGCATCGGTTATAAGTCCTAAGACAAGCGCCGACAGCAATTCGATTGGATACCCGTGTCCAAAAACATGAAACGAATACCCAGCCGAAGAAAGGAACTGTCTGGACGCGGACATAGCAGAGAACGACTCGGAGAGCGAATTCGACGCCTCCTCAACAGGGCGTATCCGCTATGTGGGCCACATATGCACGTCATGCAGTTCCCTTGGGATCAAACACTCTGGGATTGGGCCTGTGAGACGGTGGCTGGCGGCTGGCCGGCGGCAAGGAATTAACCAGACGAACTTCCGAGGACGCCTGAAGGGAACCGATAGGAAGACCGGGCTTGGGCGTCGGAGGCCAGCATGCGGCCAGCCGATCAGCAAACCGAATACTTGCTGGCCAGATCCTCAGGGTGCCAGTTGGATGCCAGTTGGGTGCCAGTCTAACCAAGAGAGCACAAGAGGCTCCAAAATCCCAGGGTTTCTGCTGCCGCACGCGCCAATTGTCCATCTATTATTACACCGGACACCCAGGGACCCTCGTCGATCAGACACGCAGCCGACAATCTCCCTTGCCGCCTCTTGCAGCACTCATGCAGCGCTCATGCGGCCAAGCAGCCTCCACCGTGGCTGGCGAGCCAATTGCAAATGCAACGACCTCAAGATAGAAACACTGCCTTCTCGACCAAGCTCCACCGTCAGAATAGCAACCATCCTATCCGTGGTCGCTATACCAGTCCACTTTACAAGTTGATATAATGCGGCGGCTGGTCTCGACAATGGCCTCTGACCTCTTCAGCTCCTCATATACAGTCTTTCCTCTCATTTCCAACAGCACATTCCAGCAACTCATTAATCCGTGCCAATCTTTCCTTAGCAGTCTCAAAAGAATCTGCGGGCCAGACAATTCCCTTCATTAATACCATTTACAACATTCTTTTCACAAAATGAAGTACTCTATGCTGCTCGCGTCGTTGGCGCCTACGCTGATGGCCGCACCGCTCACTCGCGATACCTTCGAGTGGACGCCGACATTAGCTGGCTACTTCGACGTTGTCTTCCAATATATGCAGCAGGCTCAATCGCCTGGTCAACCATCGCCAACTTGTGATTTGTCAAACGCTGCTATGCCCATCGCACCGACGCCACTGCCCAGTCCGGCGGGATTGGTCCTTGAGCATGTTGTTGTAGGCAGAGGTGTTCAGGTACGAGTTTTGTCTCTCTTTTCTTGGCCAACGACATACTGACGTTAAACAGAACTACACATGCGCCAATGCCACAGCCACCCCTGCAGCAGTCGGAGCTGTCGCAAGATTCTACAACGCCTCGTGTGTAGCGGCCGACTACCCAGATCTCCTCGGCCTCATCCCCAACCTGGCATTACAATACCCTCTGCCAGCTGATCCATCTGCTCCTCTTGCGCCCTCTGAGCTTCAACTTTCATCCCATCACTTCTTCGCTAACACCACCACGCCGGTGTTTGCTTTTGACACCCCCGAGTCTCCCGACTTCGGCACCATCTTTGCACAGAAGGTAAACTCCTCCGATGCACCGGCCAACGCAGTGCCCGGAGTCAGCGGCAATGGCAACGGCGCGGTCCCTTGGCTCTACCTGACATCTCGATCCACCACCGAAAGCGACATCAAGGCTGTCTACCGCGTGAGCACCGCTGGTGGACAGCCCCCGGCGACATGTGCAGACATGCCTGCGGATTTCAGCGTGGACTACTCGGCGACCTACTGGTTTTACAAATAGTAAAGTAATATGCTTTCAAACCTGACTGTGTTTTCACTTCGCACGGCGTTGGTTACATGGGATTTTGGGGGGCCACTGATGCCCGCATAGTGGGTGGTACTCTTGGATATTGAGAATTTGCGAAGTTGGTCGGGAACTTCATATTGCTGGAATATATACCCCAGATATTTCCGAGAGAATGGCAACTCTTACCTACTGAATGATCTATACACTCGTTCTTATTGTGCTTCTTTCCCACAGCTCACAATGTACCGGCTCGCCGGGTACTCAGTAGGGCAGAACGGAAAGAGGTTTTTCCGGAATTGATCCGAGCTCGCCCATGTACCGAGAACCTCGTAGCTAGAGCGAGGCCGCCTATCGCAACTCACTTCCTCACTCACTTCTCTTCTCTTCGTTCGAGACACCCGCATCTCATCAGCATCAAAAAGATCGCCACTCGTAGCGCGGAGCAGGTCAACTCTGCGACGCATCTTCCTGCCTCACTCGAGCTTCTTTGCAAGAACACCCTCACACTTCGTAGCCTACACATTTGGACACACGCTACACCTTTAAATCTCGGTTCTCCCTGCGATTGCTGGCAGGCAGATGTTCGAGGCCAAGGGACCCGACTTCGTGTACACCTCCTGGCAGTTCAATGCTGATTCTCCCTTCTTTCTGCCGCCTGGGGTTTCGGTGGGCTCTCTTTGCCCCATTATTGCCGAGTTGACACTTGACATAGACTTTGTTTCGAGTCTGGTTCAAAGTCTAAGCATCTGGTCTACACTCCACTCACACCGATGTCAATTGGTGCTTTCTCATGGCACAACATGGCTCGGACAACCTACCAATGGACACAGTATCAGGTCCAAACATTGTTCCAAGCTACGCGTCGACGCGCATTGACCACCACGTCCTCCTGCGGCGACGAAATCATTACACCCCATACAGTCTATATTTCCAGCCACACATTCAGTTAGAAGACCTGGAATGAAGAATCTGGCCTACGCTGAGGTTCAGTCCGCTTTTTAACGGTAAAGTGCTTTGCCTACAACGCTGCGCGCAAACACAAGTTTCCGGCTTGATGGGAAGCACTGATGCGCGCTTGCCTTGAGGTCTACGCGCTTCTTTGGGCTCCACTGCAGATACAGAGAGCCCTCCAGCTACTCTACCATGACCCACCCGGGGAAAGGTCTGAAGGTGAGCAGATCTTCTTCTCGAATCCCCACAGGCAAACCATATTCAATGCAAACCTGGCCACATGAGAGTTCCTACACCTTTTTGATTGGGCGCCATGTCCACGCTCAGGTCTGTACGGCGCTTTCCCAGATCAGTCTTCACGATCTCTCCACCAACTCGTCCCCACCGGGCTGAGCCAGGGTTAAACACACATGGCATCAATTGGGCCGACAGCTCTTTCACAGAATGCAACCAATCATCGAACTAGATGAGTCGGATGAGATGCTACTTCTTTGCTCAATCAACGCATTGACCAACGTTGGTGAGTAACTATGGGCATGGTAGGTCCAAAAGAAACTTTTCCATCAGTTTTCCTTTGCCCATCAATACAGCTTGGTACAGCTGTGTCTGAGATATTAGCTTGGTGACTCTTTCCTCTCCGAGTATAAATGCTCCATTTCCGCTCCTTTCCTTTGTCTGCCCTCGACAGAATCAAACCACAAACACACACACACAGCACTCTGAACAGTAAGCAACGAAATACTCAGCACAATCAGCCTACACTCGCTCTCAGAGCATCGACTTCAGCGCATACTCCTTCTCTGCAGATCCGGATGCACCAACGGACGCAAATCGCTCGATATACCGCTCATTTTGGACAACTCGTTCGAATTCAATCCCAATCTTACCGACATCTACAGTTATCTGCGCATATTCAGAACATCGGTACAACATGGCTATCCTTGATCCAGAGTACGGAAAGATGTACAGCCAATACAAACAAGCTACAGACAATGTTCTGTGCTGGATGAGGGCTCTCTACAACCGCCCGAGTACAATTCCCCTGAACGATCATCTCCAGCTGGCCGTTTCAGCCGTTCGGGACGGAATCCGAATGCCTGAGAACATGGCGGAAAACCTTGCAACAGCATTCGAGCTACGAAAGAAGACAGCCGAGTTTCATAGCCAAAGTGGAACATCGGATCACGGACACAACTACATGATCACAGTTCTTCAAACCATTTCAACCATCTTCTCCCTATCAAGGCCGGCAACACCAGAACCGACTTCAGCATGTGCCACATTCCCGGCACCCGCTCCTTACAGGCAGGAGCACTTGACTCCTCGACCTCTTACTCCCCCTCAGCAGGGGTATTTACCACCATTTCCTTTTCAACAGGAATGGTGCCCTCCTTCGTTCTGTGCATATGATCATCTCTATCAATATCAACAACAGCCCTACGGCACCTCTCATTCACCAGCTCCTTCTCCTTCACCATCACTACCACCACCACCTGGCTTGTACCCACTTTGCCCATCACTTCAGCCTCAATCCTTTCACATCAACCCAGCCTTCAGCATGAGCACTCACAGCATTGATATGCCAGCATCAATGTTTGAACGCGCTCCGGGCTATTGACGCGAATATTTCATATACAATCATTTCATCGCCAACTCAGAAAAAACCAGCAACATATACGGCCGTCTAAACCGCCGTGTCTATCGGATGGGCTACCTATCTATCAGCAACATACTTCATCTATGGCATCGCCAAAGAGGCAGCATCTGCGATAATATTTCCTGCAACACCTGCCATGAAACATCAACACCAAGTACATTTACCACAACAACAGAATCGACGAAAGCAATGCAGCATTGATAGCACCAACAGTGCCCATACGAGCACCACTCCTTCATGGGGCCGTTATTAACGTTTGGGAAGTTCCAATCACGTATGACTCAGTGGCAATTCCACTAATCCTTTCTGACGTGCTTCTAGTCTGCTCAGAAAACGCCTCAAAACACGTCACAAGTCACTCCGCAGGTGGTTGGGGAGGAGAAGGAGCTCGTTCTCCAGATAGAAAGAAGCAGAAGAAGCAGAAGGCCATGGATCGACGTGAGCAGTAAAAGCCTACAAATCCTACGGGTCTCAAAGTAGACTCGCAACATCCACTCAAAAAGTGGTAGAGAATCGGTCCTGTGGGACTTTGGAAAGAGGAGGACGCCCTGCAATAGAGAGGCACCTTCTCGCGGTGCAGGGTGTGAGTAACAGTTTCCTATGTCTTCACTAGGCTGTGAAACCAAGACCTCTCCTGTTTCCTCATGTCTTGACTTTCAGGTTCGGGGAAGAGAGGAATGCCACTTACGCCTGCGCTTAAGCTCTTGTTTGCTTCGAGGTGGGTAGTGCAGGGAATTCGTGTAATAGACCACTTCCTTTGCGTTAATGCTGATGAAGACAGCATCGAAAGGTCCGCACATCCAGCGGGCCGAATCTGCCGAGTAACAAACACTGTGGGTTCTTAAGCACTACTATGGAAGGATATCCAGGACCAGCTATCTCGAACGGGCGAAGAATGTCGTTTCTTTGACTCCTTGTCCGACAAATTGGGGCTTCACATGAGCGCACCATCCTATCTTTGCGTACAGCGTGCAGGAACACCCCACTGGCGAGTTTGGTATCCGCGATAAAGCTTGGGTACTGAAGGTAAGATAGGAACCACGGTAGGGCCGATCATGGAATCAGAATAGTCTCCCAGTGCAATGAACGGTATGCCTAGGCCCCCCATGTCCGAGAAATTGCTGCATTGGGACACGGGTGGCGTTGTCATTTACGTTACATTACTAGCCAGCCAGTTTAAGAGGCGTGACTTCGACATACACGACATAAGAATCGAGACTGGTGGCCTGGCGGCCTGACCCATGTGACTTCAGGTTGGTGTGTTCTGGAAGTATTTATACTCCATCACCAGCTCGAGTGTGGCATCTACGAGTATCGAACAACTATTCTCAGCTGAAATACCTTCCACAATGTATCTCCAGAGATCTCCTTCTGGCGCTGCCGTGGTGCCCAACGTTATTGGAGGCGAGGTTGTCTCTCTGCCTGAAACCCAGAACTTCCCTGTCATCCAAGGTTCAACCGGTGAAACCATCCACTACGCTCAAAGTGCCACCGTCGACGTCGGAATCAATGCCGTCGAGACTGCTGCTAATGCATTCAAGACATGGAGGAAGACTCCGCTGTCTCAGCGCCGAGCAATATTGGATAAAGTTGCCGGCATCTTGGAGACCAAGGCCGAGGAGTTGGCCAAAAGAGAGATCCCAGAGACCAGTTGTGATCCGCACTGGCCAGAGTTCGAATCAACTTATGCGTCAAAGTTTCTGAGGGAGACGTCTGCCAATGTTGCAACCGTGTGTGGGAGTATTCCTGACTCCGAAGTTCCTGGTACAACTTCATTCGTGTTTCGAGAGCCCGTTGGTGTCGTCCTTACTATCATACCGTGAATACAATCGATCTCCGCTCCTTTGACGGAGTGACATTCTCACTGACAGAATGACAGATGGAATGCTCCGACGATTCTAGCCTGTCGTGGCATCGCTGCAGCCCTCGCAGCAGGCTGTACCGTGGTCTTCAAAGCGTCTGAGCTGTGCCCATGGACTCACCAGCTAGTACTGGAAGTCTTCGCCGAAGCGGGACTCCCCGCCGGCGTATTGAACAAGATTCAATGCGCTCGTGCTGACGGTCCCGCGGTTACGGAAGCTATAATCAGCCATCCGGCTCTAAGGAAGGTCGAATTCATCGGCAGCGCGGCGGTTGGGAGGATTATAGGGAGTATTGCGGCCAAGCATCTGAAGCCTATTTTGATGGAGCTGGGAGACCAAAGCCCGGCCATTGTCCTGGAAGATGCCGATTTGAAAGCTGCCGTGAAGAATTGTGTGCAAGCAAGTATGTCCTCCCGTCTGCGAGGTATCATGACGCATGTCTTACCGAGTCTCAGCCATCGCCCACCATGGCCAGATCTGTTTCGGCACAGAGCGGATCATCGTACATGAGAAGGTGGCCCAGGAGTTCTCCCAACTCCTCATCGAAGCCACCAAATCTATACCCTCAGCTGGCCATGCCATCACCGCAGAGGGAGCAAAACGCGCCCACGATATCCTCGAAGAAGCCGTCGCTGATGGTGCCCAGTTCCTCGTCGGCAGCGCCAACTACACGGGACGGGCCTCCCTTGAACCTTCGATTTTGACGCATGTGAATTCAAAGTCTCGGTTATCCCGCGAAGAGTCCTTCGCCCCATCTGCGAGTTTGTATGTGGTCAAGAGTGACGAGGAGGCGGTGACCCTGGCGAACAACACACCATATGGGCTTTCGGCGTCCGTCTTTACAAGGAATCACGCCAAGGGACTGGCCCTGGCCCGAGACTTGGAGTTCGGCCAGGTCCAAATCAACTCCCACACCATGTCCTTCAACGGTAAGGTTCTTTTCGGCCCATCTTGAGGTTGCTCACTGACGGACAATTCAGTTGCCGCCCCACAGACAGGATTCAAAGGAAGTGGATGGGGAAGCAATGGTGCTGCTCATGGCATCGGGGAATTCCTGTTCAGCAAGCATGTTTCGCTAGCTCCGTAGAATTGGGCGGCCATGTGGACAACCCAGGTGGGCTGCAAGAGCCCATGCGGTAGAAAAAGCAGCAGTGCCAAAAAGACCTTATGTTCGCCGTATAACAAGCAACAAGGGCCCCATCAAGTGGATGCTCGGCTAAGAGAGAAAGGCACGAAGACCCGTTTCGAAGCCACGAAGGCAAATTTGAGTATCTTCGTGAGTGATGAGGCTTATTGAAGCTTGGTTGAAACCCCCTTTCCTGGCAAGGGAGATGGGGCTCACTAGGCTCGAGATTCCACTTAGGGGCTGGCGGGCTCAGGGGAGGCTGAGATTCTAGAACGCCGTCCTTCCTAAACAGGTATGAAGCCACTGGCTATATCCACAGCCTTGCGCCACATGGCCTCTTTCAAAGCGTCATCCAATCGAGTTGCTCGCCCCTGCGCATTCAGCCCGCCACAGAAGGAGGCACATTAACGAGTACGGAGTATGTCCCCGTACGAGTACGATTGCGTTCCCTCAAATTGGTGGCCGAGGCTAGCCTGTGTCCCAAGGCTGACGAAGAAATAACAGCTCGCAGCCGAGACATTGTTTATTATAATTATCCACAACCGTCCATTTCGATCAGAGCGGAAGGATGTGCCTCTGAGCTCCCATCAGCCAGCCCAGAAGCCATGAAGGTAAGCTTGATATGGTATATTGTTGGCGGATTTGCCGCCTATCCGAACACTATGTAACCTACCTTCGTTCCTCTCTTGTCTTGCTTCAATCCCTTTGAGCCAGTCACTCTTTCCAGTATTGTTTTGCTCCTTTGATTTATCGGTCTGCCCAGTCACTCTTTCCATTCCGGGCCCCTTCTAGCCATCATTGATGGCCTTAATGCGTTGCTTTCTTTCATTTCTTCCCCTTCTGTCTGTTGCTGTTCAGGCTTCGTCCCTTGAACGAGATGTGGCGGTTACAGTGACAAAGACTAATACGCACATTGTCTGTCCTTGTACCACAGAGTTGGGCGGCACTGGAGACTGGCAAGACTGGGCATCGACAGAGACGATATTGATCCATCCTACCAACCCTGTCAGTCTTACAAACGGCCATCCCACATGGGCCGATTGGGAGTCGGCCAGTGGTGCGAATAGAGTCCCCTCGACCAAGAGCAGTACCAAGTCGCACTCCTCGAGGACTCGACACAGCAGTGCTCCAACGTCGAGTTCTAGCCATGACCACCAGACGAGCGGGACTACGACCATTACAACCTCTCACCGGACTCCCACCCCAAGCCCGACCCTGAGCACCAATACTACACTTGCGGAAAGCCCGCGTACCACATCTCGCTCCCACAGCACTTCAACAAGTACTCATACCACTCCCAGTGCTCCCCATTCTACGTCAACGACTGTCCATCCGGTCTCCACAAGCACAGCTCCTGCGCCGATGAATACGCAGACCACAACGGCTGCTGACAGATCAAGTACCAGCACCTCCTCAAGGACCACTCTGTCAACGAGCACCAGTTCCATTACCTCAACTGCGCCTTTGACTTCTGATCCGATCACTTCGACGTCCTCGACAAGTTCAGGGACGACGTCCACAAGGTCCCCTTCCACCTCATCGCCTTCTCCTGTTAGCACTACTACATCTTCTGAAACATCTTCGTCAACCTCTTCGGTCCCAACAACCACCTCGACGTCTACTGAAACCACTACCTCGAGCACCAGCAGCACATCAACGTCGCCTGCTGACCTCCCGACAACCACGGTCGATCCTCAGACTACGTCGACTTCGTTGATAGCAATTACCTCGAGGACTAGTAGCAGAACTACTTCAACTGCTATTCCCCAGACAACCACAGTTGATCCTCAGCCTACATCGTCCTCGAGCACCACTTCGACCAGTTCATCGTCAAGCTCCACTCCATCGCCGAGCTCAGATCCTGCCACGTCTACTTCGTCTGCTGCAACGACAACGTCCTCGGTCACATCTTCGACGAGCACAACCCTAAGCACGACTTCCACGACTTCAGATGCGCCTATAACCACGTCCACTACCAGCAGCACAACATCTATTACTACTACGACAACAACATCCACAACTGCGACCACGGTAAGTCCCAAGGTTTTCCTCAGGTCCGTCCCTTGACTTGTGAGACAGACCGTTTTGCTGACATTTGTCTTCGCCTCCGACGCAGAGTGCCTCGCCAACACCGGACCTCATATGCGGCGCATCGGGCACGATCGTAGGCATGGGTCCAACTTTACACTATCTTGGCGTCGACGCCGACTACTGCCTACTGCTATGCCAGGGTGAACCCACAGAGATTTGTACCGCAGTCGTGATACTTGGGGGGGGATGCTACCTGTTTGCGGGCTCGAGCCTCACGGAATCCAACATTATCTCAGGGGACAGCACCATCTATGACCGGAACTGTCCGTTCTAGGTAGTCATGTTTGCAAGATGCCCACTGTGATATATAGAACGTGTGTATATGCGCAAAGTGATGGTGATGTATGTGCCTGTCCAGCGAAGTGGCACTGTCACAGCCGGGAATAGAAGATCCAAACGCGACAGGTGGGATTTTCTTTAATGTGTGTCTCCTTTCAAAGCTTAGTATCTTTATCTTCTTCAGGGCCAACCTTTCTTGATGCCTGTGTAGGCTGATGTCCGCTATTCTCTCCCTCTCAGCTAGACCCCTTTTATCGTTCGGAAACTCGTCTCTAAGCCACAGGGACGAACAGGGATTCTGCACCGCCACCACATCTTCAACCATCCAGAAACCTTGGACAAGCTACACGCAATGCCACATGACATCATATTGCATATATCCCCACGCGTCTACCTACGAGCGAGAACAAGGTACGGGGTCGTGGAGGCCCAAGTCAGGCTTTTGAGGGTCGATGATCTCTGGCACAATGAGATGTGAGGCTCACTAGGCCTTGGCCTCGCAAAAACCAGTTCAATCCACTCGACTAACCATGATACAAGCTCTCCCGACAACCCTGCCAGCAGCGGTCAGGGGAGGGGGCCATCTTCCTTCCTATCTACCTTACCTCGCTACCTAGCTTTCATCCTCATGTCCGCCCGATTGATCTACTTCATTTGACGCGTGGACATGATTTTCTCTGACAAGTTTCCTTTGTCCCCCGACCATCCCTAGCCACGATTTCGATTGCCCTCTGTCGACAGCTACCCGAGCTAGTCGATCCAAAGCAAGAACTGGGAAAAACCTGGCTGGCAAAGCTCGGCACCGACCCTTCGTCACTGATATAACTTCAGCCACAGGACAGGGCGAGAGAGTTCTGGTAGTGATTGGTGCCTGGATCGTAACTTCCCTCGTACATTTTAACGGCAGGCCAGAAACCGCAAATCTACGTCGCCCTTTGTCAGCTCAAAAGGCGTTGCAAGCCGAGACACGGGCAGCATTGTTACATTCAAACCCTTTCAGCCAGCGATCCTAGAATTGTTTACGGATTTATCTTTTTGGGGGAGGGAAGAAGTGTGGTTATTGCTAGGCCTGCCGACCTACCAACCTATCTTGAGCAGTCTCGATACACACACTCTCTCTCTCTCACTCTTGTGTCAGAACAGGAACACGGAGTTTGCATCTGTTTGGGCACGACTATATTTTGACGACAGTTCAGTTTCTGGAGACTTGACGGTAGCTCCTATCTCAAGCCGGCCGGCCCAACGCAGGAGAGAGTGAGTGACTTGTTAGTCAACGCACCCGTATACTTCACACCCTACGTGACCAGCTCGCCATGGCCGGAGACCATTTAGCAAACGGCGCTCGTCTGGATCGTTGGAAACACCCAAAGAGACCCAGGTCGAGACCACGAGGCCGCATCCAACAACACCACGCCTCAACCTCCATGGTCCATGTCCTTCCTACTCTATCCTCCACCCTCATCCTTCTCTCCACCTTACAATCAACCGTGACCGCGCAATCCGTCCCGCTCCTGCCCCTCCGCGTCACCAACAACTGCAAAGAATCCATCTGGCCCGCCATCCTGACCCAGTCCGGCACGGGTCCCCAGAGCTCGGGCTTTCTGCTGGACCCGGGCGACACCATGCCCCAGACCGTGGGACTCGACTGGAAGGGCCGCGTGTGGGCGCGCACAAATTGCAGTTTCCCCGCCGATAACACCAATTCGACGCCCGCGAGCGGCCAGGGAGGCAGTCCCTGCCAGACGGGCGATTGTGGTATGTTTCTGGAGTGTCAGGGCGCGGTGAGTGTTTATTTTTCTTCCTTTTTTTCGGTGAGCTGCGCTTGATATACATATGTCTATGTATATATATTTGTGTGCATCTGTATCTTTATGGAGCGCTCGGAGCAGTGGAGGAGGAAACGAGTCGAGGGTAGCGTAGCAGTCAATTTACTCGAAAGTGAGACACTTGCTGATCTGACCTTCGCGGTCCCCAGGGACAAGCGCCGGCAACGTTGGCTGAATTCACCATGTCGTCAGACACCAACCAATGCTTCTACGACATCTCGCTGGTCGACGGCTACAACATCCCCGTGGGCATCATCTCCCTGCTCGGGCAGACGGGTAATCCAAATTTGACCGACATCCCTCCCAACTTGACGAACCCGGTCTGCATCGGCACCTCGTCTCTCCTGTCTCCCGTCGGTAATGCCCCGGACGCGAACCTTGGCACAAATTCCACCTACCCGCTTCCTCTGGACCAATCCGTAACCTCTTCCTTCGTGCAAGACTGGTGTCCCTGGCCGCTGCAGCTCACTCCACCCACCAAACCGGGCGACGGCGTCTACCCTTACCCCGACGACAACATCCAACGACCCATCTTCAACCCGTGCCTCAGCGCCTGTGCAAAGTGGAACAAAGCTAAGTACTGCTGTACCGGTAACCACGGTACGCCCGCCACCTGCTCGCCGAGCCTCTACTCGCAGCAGGCGAAGAAGCTGTGCCCCGACGCCTACAGCTATGCCTATGACGATCAGACTTCCACCTTCATCATTCCCCAGGGCGGTGGGTTTGAAGTAGTATTCTGTCCCGCGGGCAGAAGCACCAAGATTCTGGTCACGTTCGGGGATCAGCTGAGGCAGTTGGCACAGACCGGCCTGGCGACCAGGGATATCCTCTCGTTGGCGCAGAATGTCACCTATATCAGGGAGAAGAGTGCTGCCGGACAGGTCACCCTGCCGGGCACTTTGCTGGTTGTCTTGGCGGGGCTAGTGCTGGCTTGGATTGGAGAATTCGGAGTTTTGCTCTAAGAGATGAGACATGCCCGTCCTGTCTGCGCTGGAGTCGGGTCAGAGGTCTGAACTTGAGATCCTGTCGCGCTGTTGTGATACCCTTTGAACGACTGCAGTGGAATTTATCCTTTTTTCAACCATCGCGGTCCAACCCCTTTCTTTCTCAGCCCTTGTCGTCCCCTTTGCTATTCCAACTCCATCCCAGCGTCTTGTGGTCCATCTCATAACTCTTGTTCTGCCACTGCAAGGTGGTCACGCCCGGGATGACGCCCGAGCACGATCCGGGCCAGGGGGCATCCTCGCCGCCGTACAGCACGGCCCACAGCAGCCTCAGGTCCCGCGTGGGCAGTTTCTGCATCAGCACCTTTGTTGCGGCGACCTGGATCTGCTTCTTGCGGTCCTGGTCGTCCTGCGCAAAGGCCAGAGCCTGGTGTTCGCTGAGGTAGCTGTCGTGCTTGACTCGGTGCGCTTTCCAGCGGCCCGAGGGCGTGAGCGACGAAAGGCGCGGGACAGGTGCTGCGGTGGGGGGCGAGGGCGAGGGCGCAGCCGCGGCCGCGGCCAGCGCTTGGACTTGAGGTTGAGGTTGAGCATGAGCGTCAGATTGGGATTGAGCTTGCGGCTGATCCTCAACCTGCGACTGGACTTGGACTAGCGATTGCGCTGGAGCTGCAGCTAGAGCGCTAACGTCTGCTATGGGCTTACCCTGGGCCTGAAATAGAGCTTGAGCCTGAGCTTGAACTTCGGCGGGAGCATGGGCTAGAATTTCCGCATGAAGTTTGACTAGAGCCTCGCTTTGAGCATCCAGCGTGGCGGCGAACTTGTCATTATCGGCGATGTCGGCACTTTTATGGAGCGACGCCTTCATCTGAGCCTCAAGTAGTGCCATAACCTCCTTGCTCTGTTCGAACGCCTTTCTGATACCTTCGGGCATGACGTTGTCGGATCCGCTATACTCGACATCGACGTCTTCGGCGGCTTCTTCGCGAGTATCCTCCACATTCGAGGGAACTTGGCTCGAAGGTCTGGATGATGTGGCCACGACCGGTTGCGGTGTTGAGGGTTTGTCCCTGGGCATGTCGATGTTCTTATCCTCCTTTTCCACCGATTTCCCTGCAACGGAGCCTGAGGCGGAGTTTGTAGACGCCGAGGGTTTGCCGTTGACAGCTTCCACTTCCCTCTTACTTGCACCAGCATCGGCAACAGCTCCAGCTCCCACTCCTGCTCCAGCACCAACACCAGCACTGGCACTACTGCTGCTTGCATCCGCAGAGGCTGCTGCTTGTTTTGCCCTCGCCTTCAGCCGCTTCGGTGTGAAGTAATCTTCCAATGCCCTCCAGATGTCGGACGCGATCTCGATTGGTTCGGCAATCTTCCATGCTTCGCTGCCCGGTACCAAGGTCGACAGGATCAGGGCTTTGGCGCGGGCGTTCTTGGTCCAAAAGTCGTCCGTGATGCTCGGCTTCGGGAGGGTCAGAGGAATATAGGGAGTCGTTTCTTCGGCAGCTGTAGCGGGGGCAGGAACCGCCGCCTTTGCCGCTCCAGAGGGTTGAGCTGGACTCTTGCCCTTCGAGGCATTAGGCTTGGATTTCTTGTTTGGCATGATGTCTTGGGTTTGTGTGTGCGAGGGTTATTTTTTGCGGATCTTCAAGGCAGCGAGGCGGCCTTTGCTTGAATCCCCCCAGTGTCCTGGCATAGTTGATGTCACAGCGACTGACAGGACGTGTACGACAGCGCTGATCAAGAAGTATGGTTGATTCAATGCAGCATTGGCGAAGCTGGGGAAATATGGATATACGGCTCAGAGGTGAAATGCTCGGACGGATAATATTACAGCGGAGCATAGAAGCCAGGGGTGTATTCCACTTCGCGACTTCTTTCTGCCTGTGTCCAATATTTGAGATCATCAACTTACAGTCCCATGTCAAATATATTTTGTGGTGAAGTCTCTCATGAGGCCGCATCATCGATTACCACACTACGAGCTCGGTCGCGCCGTTTCTCACCAACTTAGAGCGTGTACTTGAATCCCTCCTGTCCCTCGATTGGCTTCTCCAGAGTGCCAGCGTCGACCTGGCCATTCTTCTTCCAGAAATAAACTGAGGTGCAGCAGACAGAGCCGAGGATCCAGAACTGCAGCGCTGCAGTAGTCCACAGCCCACTTCTATAGGTCGGAGCTTCCTTCTGGGAGAAGGCCGTCGAAGCGATGATGCCGCCAATAGCTCCGAACCCGATCTGGAGTGCGCTGCCTACACTCCGCTTGGACTGCATTCGAATGTTGTTGGATTGATAGGCAAGAATGGCTGGGATATTTCCCTGGCATCCCGCAACACCAAGGAAGATTCCGAAATATCTGACTCCGTCAGAGCTGTGGTAGGCGGTGATCATGAGCCCCGTAATGACGATGATTGCTTGAGTCACAATCACAGGGGCGCGCATGCGGTATTTATCCCCGACCCATGCGAATGCCAGGGCCATGATCACTGCAGCGCCGACGGGAGGCGCCGATAACAAATTGGCAACTCCGGCACTGTATCCCATACCCTGCCACTGATTAGCTCCGCCTTCACTGAAGGACTGTCAGCGCAAGCCTTACCTGAACGATGACTGGTGTGAAGTATGCAAATGCATAAGCTGGCATCGTCGTGGACATGAACATTGTCGCACTGGAGATCGTCAGTGGAAAAGGAAGCACGGTGAAGTGGCTGCCATACAAGACCCAGAGTTTCCAGTCTTGGAGATGTTGGCAGAACTTTGCCCATGTGAGACGGTCGGGGATAGCATCTCTCCGATCATTCTCGATCCGTCGGACGATGAATGAGGCTTGCTCAGGTGTTAAAAGACCCTTTTTCTTAGCTTTGTCCGGGAAGTCAACTATAATGAACCATGCAATGGCGGCAATGACCGTTGTTATCAGGCCTTCAATGATCTGTGCACCATCAGCCATGGACTCACGCAAAGGGCCATGTCGTCTTACAAAGATCCATTGCCACCCTCTCAGACCGCCCACGCCTTCCATCTGCATCAGACCATACGCGAGGATATTTGAGAAACCGCCGACGAGAACCGACAGAATATAGAAGAAGGCAAGCCTTTAAACATTAGGACTCTGCTTTCAAAAGGGCCCTTCAAACGTACCGCTTCTGGACCTCGTACCGCACGTACCAGCAACTGATCAAGTACACACATCCGGGAAAGAAGCCTTTCAACCACTATGTCAGCTCGCTTCAGACATTGACGAAGGCTTTCCTTACCTGCCTCGAAAAGACCAAGCAACGTACGGCAGACGGCGAGAGCCTGGTACGACTTTACGAACCCCTATGAATGCGTCACTAACAGACTGCGCAGGAAGGGAGCAAGGAGATCTTCTAACTTGACCAATCATGGTACATCCCCAAGCAAAGGCAATGAATGAGAGCCAATTGGCGCTTCCTACTCGGCGAAGGATAATATTCGATGGTAGCTAGAAGGCGTTCAGCCAGGAAGTTTTGAGAGACGCATGAAGAATCATTTACCTCGAACAAGAAGTATGGAGGAAAGAACACCACTAAAACGACGGTGTATCGGTTCCCAATCTCCAAGTCAAGGTCCTCTCCCATGCCCGCAACCCGAGCGTTGGACACCTAATCAGGTCAGTCCTGATGGCATGCCCGAGTCAAGGGTTGTATTCCTACATTGACACGATCAACAAGAGCAATTGAGTACAGAGCGCCCAGAATTGGAAGAAGTCGCCAATCGATTCTCCGAATCAGCTTGTTTTCAGCTTGTTTGTCATATTCCAATTGGTCTTCGTTGAGGCTTTGTGGCTGCTCATGGGCACTTGAATCCGAAAAGTTGCCAATTGAGCCATTGTACTTCTGATCTGTGGACGACATTCTGTCTCGACCTATATTTTCCGAACTCGAAATTTTCTTCGTTGGAAGGATGCTGGCCTTTGATGTTTTGCCTTAAATTCAACTTGAGCGAAGCAGTCTTGCTAGAGTTGAAAGCTGGGAGGTCGCGTCTTTATGGTTCTGGCTCCATCATCTCTGCCCAGGCATGGCAGACTAGGGTGATGAACAAAATCTACTCGTCCAAGACCCTTGGCAAGTGTTGTGTGGCTTTCCGATTTCCTTCCAACCATGTTATACGGCTTACCCCTCTTCCTGGCAGCTTGGCCTAATCATTTCAATGGCTTGCCGCGCTGCAGCCAAGCTCTAACACTAGCATTTGCTGATGCCTTCCTGAGTGTGGCGAAGTTGGTGCACTTCAACAATAGGCCAGCCTTCGTATTTCGAGACAGGTCAAAGGGTTTTCCTAATATGTTCCGTGCATAGGACTCTAGGTACGTTATCCAAAGTCCTAGCCAGTCATTCGGAGCACATGGGAAAAAAGACTGCAATCGACAATGGAAGCGCTAGCCTTGCGGAAGCCGTCGATAACGCCCTGCAGCTTAGAGGTTCAACCAAAACTCTAAGCTTGGACCAATAGCTACGAAGCCGTGCTTGTCAGTGGACCAACAACACGTGGTACAAGGTGGTCCTTGGACATTCAGTCGGACTTTGAGGTACACCCGGTGACCCAGGACACGATTGTCGAAACGCCACATTAAACGATCTACAACTGCGATACGTGCAATGTGACTGGATCTACAGCGTTTCTTTGGCGAGGAGAGAGAAGCCCGTCCCAATGGATCGGGCGCTTGTTCGTTACTAAGCGGATACGAGACTTGCCGACAGCGACTTTTGAACCACGATACTCTGAACTTACCGCTATCAGACCTCGCTTAATCAGATCAATAAAGCTGTCAATTTTCCTGCGTGATCAAATCCGCGGCTTGCTCAGCAATGGCATAGGTCGCCACCTGAAGGTGTCCGCCAATTGGTACTGGAATCACGCTTGCATCCACAACCCGTAAACCGTCGACGCCCTTGACTCGCAATTCCGTATCTACTACAGAGCCCATACTGGCTGAGCCCGCCGCATGGAAGAAGGTGCGAGCTTCGGATCGCACCCGAGCGTCAATTGCTGAATCAGAGGACCTGTCGGTCAAGGCTTCCAATGAAGGCGGAGGATTTTCGGACTCGATCACGTCAGACATGGAGTCGTGCACAGCTTTGAGCACGCGACGAACACCATAACGAAACAGAGCGCGATCGACACTTGTTGCGTTGTAGTTGGGATCGATGGCTGGAGGGTCCAATGCTGAGGCGGAAGATAAGCCGATTCTGCCACGGGACGTCGGAGACATAACTCCAACCACGGCACCCACGTGGGATCCGTCAAATGGTACATGCAGATTGGTGATAGGTGGGCCACTGGGAACGTATACCACTATTGTCTCAAGGTGTGCTGCTCGATGGTCGAGAAGGGATACGGCGTAATCGTCTTCACCTCGAGATGGATCGTTGGCGATATCTTCCTTTACAGCCTCCTCCAAGAAAGACCGTGGGACGTTCTCAGTTACAACCCAGTCTGCAGCAAGGCCCATTTGGTATGCTGGGTCCGCCCACGGACCAGCTGCGCCTCCCATGGCAAGACCTAACGAAGGGTCCTTGAGTCGAAAAGCGAAGCCGATAAGAAGGTGATCGTGGAAGTTCTGGCCGACCCCAGGCAAGTCAAGTTGTGTTGGGATGTTCGCTTTGTTCAGTTCTATGGCTGGCCCGATCCCGCTAAGCATGAGGAGCTGTGGCGTTCGAAATGCTCCTGCGGAGAGGATGACCTCCTTTGATGCCAGCAACTGTCTCCCGTCATGAAGTTGTACTCCTGTGGTGGTGAGCTTTCCCTGTCGTTTCTCCAGAAGCACCTTTTGCACCACTGTTTCCGTTAAGATTTTGACGTCGCCTAAGTCGAATGCCACACTCGCGAGCTGCCTTTTCCCGTCCTTCCAGTTCTCGACCAATTCACCGACACCTAGAGGATCACCACTGTTGGCGTTTTCAATTTTGTCCAGTCCGAGGTTGAGCCAGGCCTTCAAAACTTGATCTCGCAAGGGATACTTGCGGTTAGGGCTGCTCTTGGACACCGTCCCAGTTGAAATATAGTCCTTTTCAGTCTTTTCGAAATATGGCAAGAGTCCGTCATAACTCCATCTCGCGTCTCCCACGAGTTTACCCCATCGGTCGTAATCGAACTTTGGTCCACGAGTCCAAGTGGCATAGTTTGTTGCGCTACCACCACCCAGAGCCTTCCCACCCGCTTCATAAAGAGGCCGGTCATTGAGGTGTCGTTGAGGCACGGTCTTGTAGTTCCAGTCAATGTCCGATCCGTGTGCAGCGAAGCAGGCCAATGGAGCCTGGGTTATCGGGTGGCCCGATACATCAGGGCCAGCCTCAATCAACAGCACGGAAGGCGACGATTTGGATTTCGATAGGAGAGAAGCGAGCGTGCAGCCAGCAATGCCGCCGCCGACTATTATGTAGTCGAAGATGTTCTCAGCAGCAGCCATTCGAGGAGCCTTGGGGAGCGGCGCAAGAAAGGAGAAGTCGGATTTGGAATGATTTTCGACCTTGGGTGCAAGTTGTCACGACTTCAGACAGGGGAAGCAACGACCATGAGGTTTATGGACTGCTGCTGGTATCCAAGTGTGTTCTTATAAGGCTTCATGGAATGGTTTTCTCCCGGCCAACGTAACAACGTTGTATTGGTGGTCAGAAGCATAGAGGTCATCACAGAGGCAACGCCTACGCGAGCTGAATAATTCGTCGACTCCCCGGTTTCTCTTGGTCAGCTCGCTGGGTGGCCCGACCCCGTTCCAAAGAAGAGAATATGGTTTGCCGATTTGGTTAGCTCACTCTGACCGAAAGAGACAACCTGAAGCGTCCAGTTTGAAATATTCGGATAGTTCCAAACCCAGTATGTCTTCCCCTTTGGGTGCGGACTATTTGTGCTATTAATATACGCAAACGACCCGGATTTCCGCTCCTCCAAAAGGCAAGCTCGTGGCTCGTGGCTCGTGGCTGAAGTCCCCCAGCTGAGGCGACATCTTCTCCCGGGCAGCATTGGCGACGTATCGTAGGTCCGAGTCTAACACGAGGTAAGGGGCAAAGGGGGTCGCCTAAGGCAAAAAATCAGAACACATCCGGCACGACTCGCACACTCTGCAAGCATTTTGCCGTGGACACGCCGGGCCAGTGGCGCTGTCGTTACTAAGCAGATCTGTCCGCTCTTTAGGCTAGGCAGGGAGTCTTTGGACACTTCCAGGTGCATACCTGAGACCTGCACTATGGCAAATCTCGAACCATTGCGAGAAACAAAGCAGGTTCAACGGGGCGCAGTACACCGATCCTGAGCCGGTGGCATCGGCCGCATTTTTATGGGGGTGAAGAAGAGAGACTAGGTCTCACACTGACCTTTCAAAGACGCGCTGATCTCTTTCCAATTGTACGCCTGGCCGAGAATATTCCTGGGGCACCGTCAGCCTTTTCGATGCAAGCCTCAAGGTGGTCCCCACATCCTGAGAGGGGCTCAACTAACACTCCATGACCATATGGTGTGGCTCATCTTCTCAATGCCTTTGATGGCCTCGTTGATGGAAAAGGCTGCTTGCAACCCCCGGGCCGAGAACTAATCAATGACTGAGCTGGCGAAAATACTACCGGGCGCATTATTAATCGGCACTGGCGAAAGTTCAGTACTACGCCGGTCACCCAGGCGTCAGTCGCCGGATCTCCCAAAGACACTCCGCTGTGCTTGTTTCGAACTTCTGCAGGTACCGGCTAGTCAGCGAATAGGAGCTAAATCTCTCGGGGATTCACGACACATTGAGAAGGCTAAACACTTTGGCTCTGCAATGGGCTCAGATCGACAAATCATGCCTCTCGCCACGACTCAAGCAGAACACTACTAATGTACTTAGAGGATCAGCCTTATACATGACCGATCCATTCATCTTCGCGTGTACAATGCAGGGAGAACGGCGGATTCCGCCACAATCTCGGGGCAAGCAAGCAGGGCTAAGCTTGCTTATCGATCCTCGTCGGCTGAATACTGGCCATCATGTAACAGTATGATCTCGGGCAGGGAGGATATTGCGGTCCCCTTAGTCAAACTAAAATGCTCCATCGAGGGTTGCACGATGGGAAGCGGGCTCGACATGTTGCTATCTATTTCGGGGTCTCTCGCTGATTTCCACTCGAACTATGATGCGTCACAAAAACTTCGCATACGGAGTCTCAATGACCCTTCAACAGCAATATCTCTGGGTCAGTGTGGACTCAAAGGGAAGAGTGGGACGCTCGGATCAGCAAAACAGCAACATTAAATCACACTGCGCACAGCACTATCACCAAGTCAGCAGACAGAAGATACGGATTGTCCCGGTCGACCTGGCAGTACCTGAGGTGACTGCAACAGACTCATCTAGATCGTCGCCCGCTCGGTCTGTCTCCTCGGGAGAAGAGCGAGAAGCGGCCGTTCAGCCCGATCGACGAACAGTCTTACATTTTTCAGTGGAGGAGTCAAATCAGGAGAGGAAAGGACAGACCGAACACAGAGTCAAAAAGAGGAAGCCACAAGAATGGCGACGAGTGCGATGCCACAGGTTCAGAAAGGTAGCTATGTTCCAAGCCCACGGGCAGGGGAAACGTTTCGAAACTGACATATGTTAGCAATCTGGCGGGCGAGCACCTCAGGCTGAGGCATTCCACATTCGACAAGAGGTCTTGCAGTGCTTGCCAGAGGCATCAGATTTCGACCCAGGGGTTGGAGATCCGTTGATGCTATGGGTCAAGCTGACGGCCTTTTTCACCCAAGCTGCTTTGCTCTCGAATTCCCGACGTACGGGCACGTCTGTCAACGACGAGCAGTTCGCTATCCAACGCGCGTTATACTCCTACAAACTTTCTGCAATACAAATGATTCGCCAAAGACTGAGCGAGAACCCGCAGAGCCCGGACCGGAACATCTTGTTGGGCGTTGTCACTCTCGCAGGCTGTGAATTCATAGCCAATAACCCAGAAGAGGGTAGATTACATCTCGAGGCTGGCTTAGAGATCGCCCACGCTCGTGGGGGTCTGTGCTCGTTGTCTGATCCTGAGTTGGAGCTCATGTGCCTAGTGGACTTCGACCTTGCCGCCCTGTCAGGAAAGACGCCGTGCACGCCTCTCTCGGAAATGGAAGAGGCTGTATATTCGAGAATCTCCGAAGAGCGGACGGGCCATTGGGGGAAATCCAACCTGGCGAATTTGGACTGCTTGCGCGCAGCAAAGGCTTCACAGACTTGCAAGGGTCTTGCATGCTTGCTGCAGATGACAGATGGTCTCAACAGTTCGAAGTATTCGAAGCCAGTCGGCCAGAGTCAAAAGGATCTAGTCATGCGTGGTCTTTTCGCGGGCTTCTTACTATGCTCCGTCCAGCCACAGACACCTCATTCATCACACACGGGAGACATTGATCTGGACGAACCGCTGCGAGTGGCTGGTCTGCTCGTTGTTGCTGCCACATGCTTGCAAAACACGCCAAAAGACCACTTGTTGGACCGCCTCACCGCAGACTTAGCGCTACACTTGCAACTGACACCTTTGCCCTTGTACAGTCCGCGTCCACGAACTGTAGCCTCTACCATGCTGTGGATGTACTTCGTGGGGGCTCACGGGTCGCTGGCCTCTCAAAGACAGTTATTCTTCCTGCGGGGTGTCGCACAAGTGGCTCGTCTACTGGGGTTGGAGAAGTGGAAGGAGGTTCGAGAACAGTTGAAATGCTTCCCCTACGTTGACGACGAGTTCGACGGCCCATTTGAGGAGATGTGGAACTCGGCCGTGTTATTCTCGAGCTTGCCGGCGTAGCGAAGCTGTGACCGACCCCATCAGTCCGGTTACTGCATGAGGCGTCGAGTATTGTTTCTTGAGTTTTTTTTTGGCAGGGCATTCATCCCTGGACCAAATAGGTTTCCATTCTGTTCCGTGCGTCTCCTCCTCTCGAAGCATATCCTTTGTGGGGTTTCAAGTCTTGGTCAAGATTTCCTACCATTCCTTCAACAATAGAGATCTTTGTATAGTACCACGATGCTCTCTGATGACGCGCCTCTACCGTTTCACCGAGCAGCGCCAGAGGGACATGCCTCGCATGCAGGCACAGAGAATCCGGGATTCAGCATGATATCCCCTGGCATCCCCCACGTCTATCACCGTCCAATGAGAAGCGATGTAATGAACAATATGTGCTATTCCAGCTCAGGGATATGCACGGTCCGTCTGGTTGGTGGACTTAGACAAAGAACCCTTCCACGGGAAGCGTGGAGCAGGGGAGGTTGAAATGGAGTACGAGGTATAGCCCTCAGGCCCCCAACTAACATTCTAGTCGGTACTTGCACACAAGTTAGTAAGCTACTCGATATGTACCTCGTGGGTGCCTCGTACGGAGTACCGACTACGAGATGCCCTGGCTCTCTCCTCTCGGGTTGACCCGCCGGTGGCCGGTGCATGACCGGCCACCGGCCACCCCCACTCGGGGACGCAGCTCGGCCTCGCCAGTCCGCGCCACCAAGTATAATACTCAGCCTCACTCACTAGCCTGAACCTTTTGCTTCTCCCTCTTCCTTCCTCAAAACTTATGTCCAGCTCATCGGCTTTTCGTCACCATGATACGATGGTGCCTGTGTGCTGCTAGGGAATCCCAGTTTGTGCCACTTTCTTTAACATGCTTGGCCTTGGCCCTGCTTATGTGCCCTGTTCCTGTACCGAGAGCGAATAATGCACTCTTGCGCGGCGGCAACGCTGAAGCCTTCCCTGCCTCGTTGACTACAAGTGGGTTTGATCGCAGTTCGTCGTTGGCTTTGATCAACCTGTATGGTCTGGGGAGATTGTTTGTTGGGAATGATGCTTGTTGCCCCCGTTCTCATCCGAATTCCAAAATGCGTTTGGTGAGAGACACACCCGGCAGGAACCAATGGGTTGGAGGGGGAATATGAGCCCTTTCTGGCTCTGGTGCTACATTATTATATGGAAAGAATCACGGGAAAGAATGAATGCCGGTTGTCAACGGCCAGAATGGGGTCGCATGGGCCATCGCAGGCCAGCGACCAGGCTGCGCAAGGCTGAGTATCGGTCCCCAGTTTGGAGAAGGAGTCCCCGACATCCATCGGGACAACCTACTAACCGCCGACCTGGGCCTCAACTGATGAATGGTGAAGTACCGAGTACTTCAGTTTGCCCTCCTCTCGCCTTTGTCAATTCTTTCTTTCTCACGCTTTGTTGGTCGCATTCATTTCCACGGCAGGTAAGCTGCATCCGCCAACACTTGAATCAATACCTCAATACCCATCCATTCCCTGCAGAAGTCTTCGAACTCGATGCCTTCCGATACGAGAAGAGGAAGCGATCGCACACTTCGGGACAGAGCCATGCCGCCTGAAATTCCATTTCATGGATACCCCGGCAGCAGGGCGATTATGTACCTGTGTAAGTACCCCCATTCCACTCACCTCACGACGGTCAAAACAGCTGCTTTTTGTTGCCGCGGTAGAAGACCATAACAACTCAAAGCCCACGGCTGACTCTGGCTTTATACCCTATCAAGGTATGACGATGTGTGTCTGCGTCTGTACCGCATGGCATTGGAGCATGGGGTCGATGCAGAGCAGTTATGATCCCTGGCAAGAACGTCCATGGAAAGAAACCCCGAGCCTCGAGCAGCGGCAGACACTGCAATACCTGCGCACGCACTTCACGCTCAAACTAGCCGACATCAAGCACGACCGGTGGTGGACGCTGATAACCCCGGCCTTCAGCCACATCGACCTCGACCACATCGTGGGGAACCTGATGGCCTTTTCGGAATTCTCGAGGATGCTGCTCGCATCCGGGATCCGTCCTCTGCAGTACGCGTTACTCATCCTCGGCTCCGCCGTTGCAGCACATGTGGCGTTCTTGTACCATGCTGCCGCCCAGCGACGGACCCCTCCGCCGTGGTGGTGGGCGCTGCTGTTCCCGCCCGTAGAGGTCGAGGTGCTCGGCCTGTCCGGCGTCATCATGGGTTTGGGTGCCGCGCTTTCGCTGGCCGCTTCCAGGGCCAGAGTGGCCGTGTCGCGCAGAAGATCGCTGCCGGCCTGGTGGCTCATGCTGGTGTACATCGCCTACGACACCTGGAATCTGGACGACCTCTCCGCCGAGGTCGCACACGCGGCACATCTGGGCGGCGCCGCCTTCGGGGCCGTCTTCTACTTCCTCGCGCTGCGGGGCGGGACGGCGTTGCCGTTCTCCTGGCGTCTGCAGGAGTAAAAAATGATCAATATTGTGATTCGCGGACGCTTGATAGATTGGGCCTGGTCGTTAGTAGGAGCGGGAGCTTGCCGCTATGGTATCAAGTAGCGCAGACAGGTGGGAAATGTCTTGGTACTTTGCTGTCGGCAGTCAGTCGAGTGCGCAGAAGGGGGAAAGGATATATATACCAAGAATTTGCTGTGGGTGGCCGAAGAATCTGGCGGGAGATGGAATTATACTTCGTTAAGGGGGGGAATTGGAATTAAGCCTTATCGTCCTCATGCATCCCACCGACTCGACTCGGTCCTAAGGCACCTTACATACCTGTATGCCGTGTTGTGAGACTAGAAGCGACCAGTGAAGCGGGCAGGTTTAACCATGAACACCACGCAGCTCAATTGATCAGTGGGGTAATCTAGTATGCATTTAGAAAGGAAAAAGGGGGCCGTAACGATTTCCCATCTGACTCACACCCGCGTTCTCCTGCTTTGCTGAGCCCATCTCTTCGAGGACAGCATATGATCCACGGCGCCGCTCACGGCAGCTTCGCCATCACGCGCTGGATGCAAATCTCCCTTGCCTCCTTCCTGATCTCTTCGCTCGCGTTGGACTTCAGTTTGATGCCCCTGGCATCGGTCCCGCTGTCCACGGGGGTTTCGGCGAGGAGCTTGAAGCCCAGCCTCTCGTACGCGCGGATGCCCTGCGTGGTCGTGGTGTCGAGAAGAACGGGGCGGTCGGGAAACAGGGCAAAATGTTGGTCGATTTGAAAGGCCAGCAGCGCCGACGCGTAGCCCTTGCCGGCGTATTTCGGGTTGCTCGCGATCATCTGGACGAAGGCGCATTCGTCCTCCTTGAACCCCTTGGGCGGGAGGTCCGGGAGCGTCCTGGTCCACATCTTGTGGATGTTCTCCTCGAAGACGAACTGGATGCGGTAGAAGCCCGTCAGGCCGTAGTGCCATGGCAGCATGAGGCCCAGGAGCCCGGACTTCCACAGCTCGAGGATGTCGAATGTCCCCATCCGCTTCTTGGGTGGCAGCCAGAGCAGGATGGCTCCTATATCGGGCTGCGTCGTCGCGTTGCCGTCATCCGGCGCGTGCACCTCAGTCACGAGAACCTGCCCCCCCAGCAGTCTCGTCACCTTGATCAGGCTTCGATAGAACCGGACGCGAGTCTTCTGCTGGCTGTTCATCTGTGGTTGGCTGGTGGTTGTGCCGATCATCATGGGCTCCAGCGGTTGCGATATCCCGTGGAACCAGTTGTGGTTCCTGGCGAGGCGTTAGCTGACTTGGCCCGTACCACGCTCCCCATATGCAGGGTTACCAACGTATCAGGGATCACTTACCAAAGTGGAAGAAATGCATTACAATATATTCTCGCGAGCATGTCATCCTCCTCTGGATCCGCAGAGCGGAAAATAGGGGTCTGCTCTCTTTCGGGGGCAGCTGTCGTTCCTCCAGCCTGATTTGTCGCCATGTCTTGAGCGTTGTTGTAGGCAATGATGGAGTAGAAAGATCCGTGAGCAATTGAAAGGGAATGGGAGAGAGACAAAGGCTTGGTTTTTGAGATTTGCAAGATGATGGTCTTGAGATAACCAGGCCACCAGCCACTATTAAGGCCTTTTGCGGACGTTGGGGACAAGCGAGGATCCAATTGGCGGAAGCAGCTAAACGAAGGTAAATACGATATACGGCGAAACAACTCCAAAGCCCAGGACCAGTTCCGAGTCTGCTGGGCTTCCTGTTAAGTGACCCGCCCGTCTCGAAGAACAAGCTGCATAGCGCTGGCCAGGCGTTGCATTTACGAGGTATACGAAATACCGCGGACGACACCAATCGGTCCGTTGGCCTGGACACAAGAGCAGGGGCTTCGCGCGTATGGAAAGCATTCACCCAAGACCTCAACCAGAAAACCCAGAACATGATGCAAACAAAAAGCTGCTTGAGCTCCATCGGGAGAAAGGGTCTCCCTTCTTTTTCCTAGATCGTCAACCTCCCAGGCAGTTTCGTCCAGAAGCAGTGACACGGCTTTGGCCCCGCCGGTGCCCGTTGCTCTCTCACCGTATCGAAAGCCATGTGCGGGATTCTCGTCGTATATCGAACCGTTACACCTAAACAGGTGCGGACGTATTGTGCAGGAAACGGTCTGCGCAAATCATCCGCATGCGCCTTGGTCAGAGTGAGGTGTGGCTCTTGAGAGACGGATCATCTGTGCGCAGGCCTCGATTCTGAGTAGCCCTTAAGACTCACCAATACTCCTATACAATATGGCGATGAGCGCGATGAGCGCGATGAGCGCGATGAGAAGAGCGTCCAGACTTGGCGGTCTTTGGTTGATCCATCTTCTTCAGCGAAAGAGTCAAGCATTTATCCGTGATGATGGCGTTGTCCCAGTCGGGTCAATGACCGTGCCAGCACCTACTCCCAACCTGCGACATATTTGCCAGTTCCTTATCTAACATTCCCCGCCTGAATCCCGGAGATGGAGGCGACACTGGGCCTATCACAGGCACGAGGTGAGGCAAAGCCAGATGTTTTCCAGATGGGAAAACACATCAGCAATTTTGTCCTTCTCTTGCGGTCACATCGAGACCCTCTATGGCCAGAAACGAGTAGAGTATCGATCTGATGTCTGGTCCGGGAAAGTGTCATGCAGCTCAAATTCGTCGAACACTTCCTGCGCACAACCGGTGTTGAGTTGCTTGTGCCATTGAATGAGGGATCTCGCACGCGAAATGGCAGGCTCGATAGGAGAGCATCGAGGAGGCGGACACCAACGAGTTCGCAGGGAAGACGTGGCGAGTGCTAAGAAAGAAGCAGTTACTTAGAAAGAGGAAGTCTACATGCTGTCGAGCTGTGTAATTTACCTTTTGTGCAGCACGAGGAAATGATCTGGCGGCTAGAGCATAGGGCAGCATCACCGTCTTTCCGGAATTGGTGGGGCTCAGGGTGGCTTCATTGGCCCTCCCCAGGAATGCGGCTCACCCAGACCGTGCCGCTTTTACATTCTCATCCTCCCTCACGCCCTCGTCCTCACCTTGACTCGTCCTTACCCATTACATTCAATAACAGCCCAGGGCAATGTTGTTTCTAGCATTCCAATTTTTGCACGACAGCTGCCGGCATTGACATCTAGAGGATGTCCTGACAAATCAGAACAGGAAAACACCATTGAGGCTGTGCACGAAAGTGACCCTGCCCGACTCTACAGCATGGCAAAATGGGCGCCCGTCCGCAGAGGTTCGTATGCCTTGGGCTGAATGCACCCATCATGATTGAACGCATTTGGCTCGAGCTTGGCCACGGACTCTGCATATGCCAGGGACAGTCCCAGTCATCACTGGCACTCTTCACCTAGTATCTTGGTTCGCAAGAGTGGCAAACCCTTTCGAGGAAAGCGCTTGGGGGGCGCACTCCTGGAGGGTGGTTCTGGCACATGACATGCGCGTCTTCGACGGGACCAAGGCAAAATGGCTGCACACCTTCGTCACCCATTGGTTAGGGAGCTTTCTGGTGCTCTTTTGGTTGCCTAATTCCGCTGGCCATGTCCAATCACCGCTGTGCCTTATTCACCTTTCTGCCAATGGTCTTTGAGGCTCTCAGATCCCTGTCCAGGCATCAACAGCCAGCTACAAGCGAGGCTTTCCGCACCCTTGTCTGGACAGTCCTGGTACACTCTTGATACCAGGAAGTTGAGGCTCAGGCAGGGGGCTTGACCGCCTGGGCTGACAAGCACAGGCTGTGCACCCTTCCACATCTGCCGGCATTCCTTCTACATATATCTAACCCATCGCTGCCCCACGGCGCCATACCGCCCTGGAGAGCTTCGTCCAGCAGCGCTTGAATAGCACCTATCTAGCAACCCTTTTCACAGTCATCTCACTTACGTGGTCAGCCTCGCGGCAAAATGTCCTCCAGAACTGGCCCAATGCATCACCAAGTACCGTACAGCTCACCCCCCACCACTATACCTGGGAGTCAGCCGAACAACAGTACGAAAGCGAAGAAATTAGCTGGCCACTTCGATAGTCCCTGCGACGTGATAAAGTGCGACCCGTGCCCACAAGCCGGTAACAACCAGCAAAGCACCTTAGCCAAGGCATTTGGTGACAGCATGCCCACGTTCAGATCCTACATAGGACGAGGGTCCATCGTCTTTACCAAAGATGGATCTGGGGACACTAGGATGCACGGTCGGGTGTTAGTCGTCTTGCGCCGAAACACTCAGGGCTCTTCAACATGTTTCTGTGTTTGTAAACACGAAATCGCCGATGACACCGAACTCCACAACACGCATCGTCGGATCAAGATCAAAGGCACGCAACCGGAAGAGGAAGGAGAAACTCCATCGATCCAAGCTGAGGGCAAGCTTGCTCTGGACGCCATCGAAATCGAGCTATCTCGTCGGCCTGGTTTCACAAAGACCCTACAGCCACACATCTACATCAACTGCGAAGAGCTCTGGAATCTCGACGGTGAAGTGGAGGTGATAACACTGGGAAAAGTTGCTCAGAAATCAATTGATCGTCTCTTTCAGGACGTTCGCGAGCTATACCAGGATCCATCCAGGAGGACCAGCAGTGGGGGGAGCGCAGAGACAGGCGGTCGAGACGAGAGACGTATATTCACAGAGAATTACCGGCAAGAAGAACTACGTCGCAACAATGGTACTCCCATTCGCCCCAAGAAGAATGAACGCGAACTAGGCAAGGACAGGCATCAGGACTACTATCGTTGATCTGCTCATTCGGAAGCCAGAATATGGTTCGACTGTTTCAAGGAATTCAATTGGCTACATGCATTTGGCCGCTGTGTGTCTTGTTGACCTTTCAAGCCGCTGAAAGGGCTCTGGGGCGGTTGCACTGTTTTTTATTCAAGGGAGGTGTATTGAGAACCCGTCTTACCCTGTGTTAATAGTGCTAGCGTTGTTATTTATATCAAGGAGACCATAATGTTTACAACCGGCTCACGAGCAATTCAACCAGTGATTCCTTGGGCTAAGGCCAAGAGTACATGTACGTTTCTGGTGACTTTGCGGGGATGCCTCCCGGAGACGATATCCGGCGAATCCGCCCTATTACATTGTACCTAGGTATGCTTGGCCGATTCTTTCACCACTAAATTTTGCTTAACTATGGTCTTTACTAACGATCCTTACTAAGAATCCTGCGTAGATAGCGTGGGTAATACTCTTCGTAGCGAGGCACTAGACCATCTGCCTCTGCGATGGCGGGATATTACGCGTGATCAGTGACCCGACTCGGGCGAGCTGGGCTGGGGATGATCATAGGGCGGCGTCACTCTCTTCCCAAAATAGGTGGAGCTCGGGACGGCTTTTACTGACCTTGGCATCCCGAGTCAAACCGTCAGGGTTGGACGATTCAAGTCTACTAGGTACAAACGCAGGCAGCGAGAAGACCATACACATCCATCAACCTTTCAACTTCCCTTACTTGGCTGCAGAGCGGAGCTCCCTCCTACTACGTGTTCGTTTCTCGCCTGTCGTTCAGATACCCTTGATGTTTTGGATTCTCTCCTGCTCGTCCTAGAAGGTCCCGCGCGATCATAGTCCCCAATCTACGAACTATTCTCATCCTTCGTCATCTCTCCACACTCCCTGCGCAACCATGAAGACGCCCGTGTACGCCCTTTTACCACTCCTCCTATCGCTATCACATCTTGCCGCCTCTGTATCAATAGACTGTCAACACATCCGGGTCGACGGCAAGAAGTTTGACCTGTCGAAGCTCGCGGGGCGTCATTCCGTCAGTGTCCACGACACATCAAGGCCACCTGCCGAATACAACACCACATGGACGATCGACCTTTGTGCGCCGTTGAAGAAGCTCGAGGGCATAAGAGACCAGGACCAATGTCCGCATGGAACACGAGGTAAGCTGCAGATTTTCTAGCCGGTCGACATTGAGGCGAAGAAATTTCGCTCCCAGTGTATATTCAACCCTTTTGGTTTAACATTTTGCAATCAGTATGCGGCGTGGTCCGATCGTGGAACCCTGCCGACGACCCGGAGAAGAAACACGTCCAAGTCGAGAACGTGATCCCCATCGCGGGGAACTTCGAGTCCAGCACCGGTGCCGGTCTCGATCCCAAAGTGACGAGGTTGAAAGCGCAGGATGCGAACTCGGACGGTCTCCAGATTGAGCTGAACGGCGGCAATTACAACCACATGAAGCAAAAGGCAGTGGTGCAATTAACGTGCGACAAGGATCGGACGGGGAACGAAGAGAAGAGGAAGCGGAGCCGGAAGCAGAAGAAGCGCGACGATGACGGTGAGGATTCGGACAAGGACAAGGACAAGAACAAGGACGAGGTGGAGCAACCGAGCACATCCAGCTTAGAATTCGTGAGCTACGGCCAGGTCGAGGGCAAGGACAAGGTCGAGGTTCTGAGACTCAACTGGCGGACAAAGTACGCTTGCGAGGACTACGCCGACAGCGACGAAGCGACGAGGAAGAGCGGTTGGGGCTTCTTCACCTGGTTTATCCTGATGTATGTGCTCCTGTCACTCTCATCTTTCCTTTTTTTTATCCATCTATCTCTCATCATTACCTATCTGTACTGACTATCGGCCCCAACAGCGCCTTCCTGGGCATCGCCGCCTACCTCATCTTCGGCTCCTGGCTGAACTACAACCGCTACGGTGCCCGGGGCTGGGACCTGCTCCCGCACGGGGACACGATTCGCGACATCCCCTACCTCTTCAAGGACTGGTCGAGGAAAGTCATCGACACCGTCTCCGGCGGCGGTTCGAGGGGCGGGTATAGCGCTGTATAATCAAGATTAAAAAGATTTATTCCTTTGTAGAACAAGCAAAAGACCGGGTGGGGCGGTAAGGAAGGAATTGGGAAACCGGAACCGGAACCTGAGGAGGGCAAAGGGGCCTTGTTCTCGCATAGCGCGGCGCATACATTCGGCACAAGCAATTTTTATTTTATTTTATATCCTCTGGGTTATCCTCTGGAATCAGACATATCCATATATGTACGAGTCGAGATATTCCACCCCAGCGAAGTCATGGCTTGAGGTCGTCTACCCTACCCTACTGACCCGACCCTAGCACACCATACATGGTCTTCTCACTCTGCGTGGCGCCTCCGTCGTTCCAGCTCTATGATGTCCTGACCACTTCATTTAGACTGCCGAGCCGAAAGGGCTTCACAACAGCTGATCTTCGCCGGGGACGATATCGCCGTATTTCTTCGCGGAGCCGTGGCTTCGCGCGACGATGCCATAGGCCGGGAAGTACTGTTTGGGAGGACAATTCAGCGTTTGTTCTTTTTTTGTGGAGAAAGGGCGCCATCCAGAGAGAAGGAAGTGTCTTATCTGTAAACAGAGGTGTGGTGGAAGTATGAAACACATACCTTGTCCAAAAATGGAAGCACCTCGGCCGTGCCAGGCGTGTTCCGCCAGTCTTTCATCAAGAACATGGAGATGCCGAACATGCCGGTCTAAAACGTCAGTCAAAGGAGCCTCAAGAGATCGAAGGTTGGGAGATTGCATTTGTGCCTACCAAGTGAACACCAGCATTCTCCATCCTCCGGTTCGCATCCTCGGCCAGCTTGGGCGTCGCCGTCCCGCTGGCTTCAGTGTTGGCCCATACCGAGTAACCCGCCTCCCTCAAACTCAGCGCCAGAAACATGGTGCACACCTCCGTGACGATCCCGCCTAAGATGACCTGCTTGCGGCCCGTGGCTTCGACGGCGGCACGGAAATCCGGATTGTCCCAGGCGTTGACCTCACCGTTTCTCCGGATGAAAGGGGCGTTGGGGTACATGTCTGTGATTTCCTTGGGCAGGGGGCCATTTGGTCCGGTCTCGGCCGAGGTTGTCAGGATAGTGGGCAGATCGAAGAGTTTGCCCAATTCGGCGTGAGCGAGGACATTGTTGCGGAACTCGGCCGTGGTGTAGTCCTTGACGAGTTGGAGCAGGCCCAGTTGGTGGTCGACGATGAGGAGGATAGCTTTGTCTTTGTCGAGGCGTTCAAACTTGTACGGCGGTTGTTGGTAGGCCATGACTGCTGCTTATCTAGTTCCTGTGTACAAGAACGATTGAGTTCTGACTGCACAGTTGAGATGTTAGGTATGGTAGACAACTGGATTTGGAGAGAGTGTCTCGACCTGACGAAGACAGGCGATACGGAAGGCAAAGGTGTAGATGAATATATACGACGTTCTCCATTTCCTTTTTCTTGCTTAACGCCATACACAGTAATCATACTGCTTTCCATATGCTTATCCGGAGTTGGACACACGTCGGGCAAGTCAGAGACTGGCATATAGTAAACCGCACCGGCCGCGCGAGGCTCGACGAAAAAGGCGAACGACTTCCCAGTTCAGGCTAGAGTCAAGTCTCCATGACTAAGGACTGCGGTCCTTGACACTGGGTGACACCAGTCGACGCAATACTTAGCTGAGCTCTGGTGTGGTAAGCTTGGAGTAAGTAGCAGCGTGGATTCTGTCCAAGCAAATGAAGCCTCAAGCAGCGCTTGACTGATGGAGAGTTGTGCCTGTTTCACAGTGTACAGCTTGGCGGATGCATACGTAAGGACCAGGTGCTGAGGTAACCGGAGGCTTAAGAGGATAACGACGACATGTTCGTGACAAGTTGACATGTCATCGGGTGTGCATGTGAGGCTGCAGGCCATGCATACATCGTCGATGGGGGCACATGGTCAATACGGCGTACTGTGGTGGGAATTGAAGTGTGAAGACAGGTCCCAACTCCTTCGTAGCAGCGGGAGACAACTAGTGCGGCTAAGAAGTATATGCTTCGCCGTACTGCACTGTTCTGCGGATCATATCATCATATGGCGCTTTACACGTTCAAATGCCATCAAGCCTGTAGAGTCGATTTCAACGAGCACGGTACACAGATCAACCCTCCGGACTGAAGTACGCAACTCAAACCTTTTACCTCGATTTACGAGAGTACCATCGACAAACTGACCTAGGGTGCTCGTGTCTAACCATAACCCCACACTTTCGTCATGCTGTCCAGAAGAGTCGTAAGTGCCATCTATTTTCCCACGTTTACCCAACACGTTGACAGTCGGCACCACGAACCCTTTGCCATCACCTTCTCCCCCCGCCTTTAGTGTCCGGATGTGGTAAGTTTCTAACTTTGCCAACCCAAAAAAGCTCTCGAAAGAGGAAGAATCAGAGTCGACGGACGCCGAAGTCACAAAGGAAGACCAAGAAAAGATCAACACCTTTTCCAGACTGCATAATCGGAGTAAAGCCCTGGAGGAGGAGTTAGGCTCGAAGCAGGTGAGTGCAGAACTCGTGCTTTTCCCCCTTGAACGCTATTGTGGATGGGCGGATGGGTGGATGTTAGGTTTTGTTGCTGTCGTGCGACGAAATGAAAAGGCTATGGTTCACAGGGCTGGTCAAAAAAAACCATGGCTCAAAGAAAGGGACTCGACATCTTCGAATAGCCACTCATTACTTCCGAGGGCTGTTTCATCTCAAGGACCCTGCGTCTACATCTCACCATGTCCAATCTACTCACGCCATATCCTCTTAGAAAGACAAAGAAGATCTCGAAGAACTGTCCACGGAACTGGAACTCGCCGACGAAGACTCTTTAATCCCGTAAGCCAGCGCCCCCTTTTCCCGATTTCCTACCTCATCACCAACCCAAGTCTCCTGTCTCGCCTCGAACATGTATCAATACTTTCTCCCCTTTCACGTCCCCTGACATGAAGTCACCTCTAGGTACAAGATTGGCGACTCATTCATGCACGTCCCGCTCCCCGAGGCGCAGGAACTGCTAGCCACCCAAACGACCGAGATCGAAAGCGAGGTGTCGACGCTCGAGGAGGAGCTGGAGACGATCAGAGAGCAGATTCGCGGACTAAAAGCGCATCTGTACGCGCGGTTCGGGAAGGGGATTAACCTCGAAGCCTAAAACTGTTCTACCCAGGTGATTAAGGGGAGGGGCAAAATCTGAGCTCCGTGTCGCGAAAGACCACTGGAAATGAGGATTGAGATGTGATGTGATTCCTCGATGCCCTCAAGGACCAGGTCGTCAGGAGCAAAGGGTAATTTGGACGGCGTGAGTTCATGTTGGGCTTGCCCGAGTCGGTGGAGTGGGTGAATGGGCGAATAACCCATGTGCCTAGGTATTATTCCCCCGGGTTCTCGCGAAAATCCGGGGGACGGCATGATGCCTTGATCCAAGAGGGCGAGTGGCAACTATGATTGAAGAACGACGGCGTGAAAGAAGCGGACCGTCATGATTGAATCGGTGGTTCAAGGACGGAAGCGACTGCAGGTGGTTAATCTCTCCAGATCCAAAAAGTCTATCTATCCCACTATACAGTCCAATGACCTTAACCGTGCCGGGGAAAATTGGTACAGAAAGGCAGTCAGAAGGATAGGAACTCGTGCCGTCCACCGCTCCACCACAGATTGTCATCAAAAACTCATGCCACTCAAAAAGCCAAACCAGCGCTGACTCCAAACCCAACAGCAATCCCCTACTTCTACAACTTACTGTCTGTAGGGTTCTGAATCAATCTGACCACGCCCTCCTGCGTGCATGTCGCGATCAAAACCCCGTCCTTACTCCAGATCCTCTGCATGACCAGACCCCTCCCGTCGCCTGCCCAGGGACTATCCATCTCTGTCAACATCCACTCGTCCGCCCTGAACGCCCTGGGATTGTGGAAGAAGATGGTGTGGTCCAAGCTGACCATCATGCCGATTTTGCGATCGTCCTTCTTGGTGAGGGCCATTTCGGCGTGTTCTTCTTCTTCCTCCTTGGCAATGTCTTCGAGGTACAGTCGCATTTGTTTCTTTTCTTCTTCTGAACCTCTGAAGACTGATAGCGTGCGCTCGATGTTGCGCCGGTTGGCGAAGCGTTGAAGGCTGTGCACCCGCGCGACCGTGCCGATAAAGTACGAATCGCTCATGTACGCCAGCGCGCTCAGGTGGGCTTGGTGGTTGTCGCCCGGCTGGTTCGCTCGCTGGCCACTCTTCAATTCCTCCTCGCGCACGTTGGGTGGGCAGTCGGATATGCGGCCGCGGGCGCGGATCCATTGTCGCAGTTTGCGCTCCGAGGGTGGCCCGTTGCGATTGGTGATGGGGACACGCACCGACTCAAACGGCCGGTCGTCAGAGCTCACGTTCTGACGGTCCGAGTCTACGTCTGGCGGGGCGATGATGTCCGAGGGAATTCGGAGAGCATGTTGGACGGTCTCTTTCCCGCCGGAACCCTCCTTCATAAAACTCAGCGTCGTCGTGAAAATACATTTCCCCCTCTGTCGCGCTTGCACCGTCCGTGTGATGAAGCTCTTCCCGTCCCGCACCCTCTCCACGTGGTATAAGATAGGGATCTCGCTGTTGCCGGCAAGCACAAAGTAGCAGTGCATGCTATGGACGGTGAAGTCGGGCGGTATCGTGGCCTGTGCGGCGGAGAGACATTGAGCGATGGCGGCGCCGCCGTAGATCCCTCTTGCGCCGGGAGGATGCCAGAGTGGACGAGCGTTGGTGTAGATGTCGGGACCGATGTCAATGAGCGGGAGGAGGGAGAGGACGTTTTCGATGGGGGAGTGATGCGGGAGCGATTTGGGCGGCTTGATGAGCGTGGCGTGCTTGGACATTGTTGCGAAGGGATATCACTAGGACGTAGAAGAGATTTACTAGTGAAGGAAAGTTGCTAGGAATATGGCAATCAACTCAACGCCGGTGTGAAGGAAGGAGGTTGTAAAGGCTGAGTGGGATGACGGTGGACGAACGACCCTGTTAATAATGGCCTTCGGGTGTGTTTATCGTCGTACCATTGCCCTCAATCGGAGTATTCCAGTATCATCGGAGTTGACATATCGTTTAATCTCGGTTCATGTGCAACATCTCGGAGTAAACATGAAGAGTGCCACAGTGCGCTTCGGGCAGGTTACATATGATGGCAGCTTGAAATGCCAGAGGGCGTTGGTTCGGCCGGAGAAATCATTGGTTAAAGTCGCCAAACAGCCGAGGCTCGTTACAAGGCGATATTTCCCAGGCACTCGGCCCGGAAAAGAAAATGTGGCAACCTAAATAAATACTTAGTATCATGTGGAATTGAAGAAGCCATACCGAGTAGATGATAGACGACCTACACCCGCTACCTAGTTCGGAAGAAGGCCATGTAAAGATCCACCGGACTGATCCGAGACAACCCAAAATGTTCTGAAGGCTTACATACATTTACATATAGAGTATTGCCCCAAAGCCCATAAACGATGCCTATGCCCAAAAAAACCAAACATAGACCGAGACGCCGCGCTAAAGTCCAGACTTCTTTTTGGCACACGCAAATCATAACCTATGCATACCTCGTCGACCCTTTCCAGACAGGATTAGGGGAATAAGAAAAGGTCTGGGACTGTGATGACCCTGGAGTGTGTGGCCATTGCCCGTGTTCCGTTCCTGGTGTCAGCAGGATTGACGATCTCTCGATCTCTTCCCGCCGCCGCTCTCGAAGATCTCTCGATGATGCGCTCTCAGCAATCGGGCTTCGATCTCGTGACAGTTTGTTTGACGTCTGCCATTTGCTGGTGGCGGCGGGGAGGCTGCCACTACGGGGACGCATCTCAGGCTGTACTCCTTCCAATTCGGCCGATCCCGTATCCTCGCCCGGTAAGTTGATGTGGTAGGTGCTCTGAGAATTGCGATGATTGGGTGACTCTGCTGAATCTCGAGTGAGTAGCAGTCGAAGAAGTTGGCGGCGCTGTGCCTCATCTTCAGGTATGTTATTCGCAGTCCAGGGTGTCATTGGTATTAACTCTGTCGTGGAGGCAGCATCGCCGTAGCTGACATAGGAACTCCTGTCCCATCTCTGAACATGTTGCCTTCTCTGCCTGTCCAACTCCTTGATTTTGTTGATCTTTCTGTAGGTGACAAAACTGAGGACGCCGGCCCCAATAGTGGTGGCAGATGCGATCACCAACGGGATGTAGATGTAAACCTGAGTAGGAATAGGGAACTTTTTGTGGAGAGCATGGTTCATGACCGTAACAAAGATGCCCATAAAAGAAGAGGTCAAGATCGGAAGCAAAACGGTGTCGAACAGAAAGAGCAGGCTGCGACTGAAATATGCGATTGCGGTAATGGCACCATAGCCGGCAAAGAGGAGCACTGCGGCGAGAACCGTCAGAAACGTGCGTGACACTTTTATGTTATCTTCGGCAGAGGTGAAGACAAGTGAGAATACAATGTATCCGCCTAGAGCGAGCCATGAGGCAGCGATGGCAATGGTTCTGAAGTACCACGGCAATGCATCGCGTTCCGTGTAAAGATCGAAAAGGGTCTCTCGCATTCGCTGGTAATTGCGCTGCATCCTCCTTATGAGAACGGACAGAGCAAGTCTCGAGGCATCCAGAAGGGAAACGAAGGATCGGAAGGGCTGGGAAACATGCAAGTGTTGTTCAGGACGCTCAGCTTGTCGATTTCGTGGCTCCTCTGATGGGGTCCAGGCGGCTGAGGCTTGGACGCCTTGAAGGGAAGGTGGTGGACGTGAACTGGTCAATCAATCAAGCTTTACAGAAAGGAAATTCAACAAAGAAGCTGCCAGTGCATAGAGGCCGGCAGCAAGATTAGGAAGAGAATGGGCTGACGCCGAGAGCGCGGTGAGAAGGAAGAATGAGACACCATGATTGTGCCTGCGCTCGAGAGCAACGCAATCCAGGTCGTATCGCATGGAGGCGACAGGGAGTCAAAGTCAATTATTGCTCAAGAGGTGAGCCACTGTGAGCCCACTAGCCGGGACATGCGGTAAGGCTGGGAAAAGCCAAAGGGGTGGGTCGCGATCAGCTGAAATGGGGGTCCCTTGGTGACCTGTTATAGGCGGGAAGATGCCTGTGGATGTGCCCCGAGAGACCCTAAAATAAAATCTCGTAGGGCTGGCACCATTACGAGGTATTAATGAGGGCACCACCAAGGGCGACCAAGAGGCACTCAGGGCGACCTCCAGGTGTCATCACGCCCATACTCGCACCTTCTCGTATTCCAGCTACCTGCGTATTCAGCGGGCAGTTCTGCATACCTAGGTATGGCTTCATCATCTCATCATCTTGTCTTCCGCGTGCCATTCCCTCGTGTGGCTCTACGTAGCAGCTCGTCATCAACATACGCACTGTATGTCCCTCGCAATCCAAGCACAAATCCAATCGCCGTCGAAAGTCCCAACACCAAGTGTGTCACTGACCAACTGACCCATCCATTATCCTCTCCAATCAATACAGGCCAGTTGTCCCAAGAGTCAAAGATGCAAAACAACTGCAATGCCACAACCCAATGCTCGATTCGGGTCTCAACCCATTTGGGGATCCAGACGGATGATGTGTACAAGGAGCTGGGCTGATCTTCCGTCAGGAACGAGTTGAGCATCCGGAAAAAGATTTCCTTTTGGCCGTCTTCAGGTACCGTCCATTCTCGCACAATGAGGTCTTCTTGGTCCTCGTCTCCTGCAAAAAACCGGTGCCATTCATGGACTGTGTATCTCGGGACTTCGATCGCGCCATCCTCCGCTCTATAGACCCCGGATCGATCCCCAACTCTGACGAATGCGCGTCCTTGCAAGACCTGGAGATATTCGGTGTGAGTCTCGTGCCAGTGTGGACCGGAAGTCCAAGTAGAAGCAACAGGCACGGTGATTGTCACACTATCAGCCCGGGAGAGGTCGTAGGTGACAGTCGCAGGAGTGAGCCGTTTGAACACCTTGATGTTGGACGTCTCTTTTCTTTTGATGGCCATCTGCTTTGAAAATCATCTCCGCCAGTTTCCCTAATCGCCAAAGCCGCGACCGATCTCTTATGCTTGTTTCTTGCGGATGGTGGTTTAAAAGCTGACAAAGGCAATTACGGGCACAATTCCGCCACGCGACCTACCAAGCTCACCTACTAGCGAACAACTGGATCCAGTTAGCACAGGATGTGTCCGAGGCTGCTAAGGGAAAGTGGTCTGTACAGATTCTGGCATGATATACAACGAGCGAAAGTCTGTTCAATAACCGTCGCGAGAAGCGAGGAAATGGGTCAGGTCCGTCTTTCAGCCTCGCGCCCTTTTCAAGAAGACGGATCTGCCTGCGTCTCGAGTCCCAAGGCGTTTCTAGTCCCTAGCGCATGGGGGCCAGCCACGTGAAGGTTTCCGATTCAGTGCGAAGCCCTTGGCATAGCCGACCAAAGACAAAAGCAATTGGTTGCCCGTCGAACTAGCACAAGGCAACGCCCCGTTGCATGAACGGACTCACAGTCCCAATGTCTACGGCTCGCCTCCTGCGCCCGGATTCTGCCTACGAATCATTTGATTGGGTCTCTCAAGCCACTGTCTCAATAGACCTGCCTTCTCGACCGTCTGTGGGCTTGCCGGAAGACGCCCTGGAGGCGTCATGGCCATTTCGGCCCTTTCGCCATGTTCCCCCTGGCTGCCGTCACGTCAAAACCTCTATTACTGAAGCCTGGTACTCAGACTGTCATCGACCTTTGATTTTCTACACCGAAATTTCCTATCTCTGGGATATCCTGATGCCTTTGTCTCAGTCGCCCAATGCTGGCTCATAAGTCTGCAAGAATTCGCCAACTATCGGGGGGTCTTTTTGTTGAGGAGCCGCCTCCTCAGCGGATCGGGCTTCAGCCTCGTTTCCGAGTCGAAACTATCAGTCAACATGATAAAGCCTTTGCCGAATCTGTTCTGAAAAAGGAAGCCTCCGCTGCCAGAGGATCTAAACCGCTCCTTCGGAGAGTAAAATCAAAGTTGAGCCGGCCGGACAAGGCTGTGACTTTGGCCGTGCTATACAATCATGTTCAGGCCAATGGCTCTGCTGAGGTTGCTCAAGTTTACGTTGACAGACTGTTCCTCGACGCTGCGCAATCGAATTTACAGTTACAGTTTCCGGATATTCTTTTTTGCACTGCTGTGAAGAATGCAAACACCAACCTTGTCCGACTCCTCGCTCCTCTCACTGCGATCGAGGCGGTCAGTTCCGTTCTTGAATCTGCGATCCTCAGTCGAAATCTCCAAATTGTCAGAGCCCTGCTGGAGCATGGGGCGGATCCAAACTGTTTAACTCAAGCCTGTATACTTGACCTGGCTGAAACGGACTGTCAACTCCTTCAACTCATCCTTCGCGCTCCAAGGCAGCTCCGCTATGAAACATTCGGGGAACTCTGCGCCACTACTATTCGGCAGGGGCTGTCAAATGCATTCAACGTCGTCCTTCGCGCCATCTCCGAGTATCCAATCCTTCGCGACTCGCCTCCCTCATGGAACAGAGACAGTCTCCTCGAAGCCGCGATCTGTGGCCCCGATAAGAGTATGTTTTTCGGTATTGCTACGGCTACGTCTGCATGGCCCTTGAGGGACAATCGTCTTTTTCTGCATGTGTTGGACTCAACGGCGATAGATCGCTTACAAGCTAAAGACATGGTAGAGGTCTTACTCTGCCTAAGTGTCTTGTCGCCAGTGTTTCACTCAAGCCCAGAGATTGAATCATTTCACTGCCGTTGTGTACAAGAACAACTTGAAGATATACTGCGACTGATGGCGTCTTACGGCGTTGCCGTGTCGGCAGAGCCTCTTCTGCTCGCATGTCAAAACCACGACGAAAAGATCCTGGATGTCCTCCTCGCTGGTCCTGTTCAAGGAGAAGAGCAGGTGGTTGCTCGGGTTTCGCAACTCCAAGGCGTAATACAGAGGGATATGCGTCGAAAGATCCTCAGGCGTCTCCTTGCTGGAGGAGCCAAAGGGGTGTGGAAACATGAAGAACTCGTCACGGCGGTCGCGCTTGGACAGGTTGAATGGGTCGAAACACTTATCAACTCAAATGCTTCGGTTGACTACCACAATGGCGCGGCCCTTCTCAAAGCCGTTTCATTGGGACACGTTCGGATCGTACAAAAGCTTCTATCTCGTCCTGTGTCTCTGAAAAGCTTGCAAGATGCCTTTCCAAGCATCAGTCAACTCGAAGCTTTGCCGCGACGTCTGCTTACGAAGCTCTTCATTAATCAGGGACTCTCCGGTCAATGTCTCGACGATGCTCTCAATAGGGAGCTCTGCAACTATTCATACCACAGGGACTCTGAGTTAGTCGATATGTTGATCACGTCGGGCGCTTCTTGCAATGATGTTTCGCTTACAGTCGTCTTTGAACACAAAGATGCGGTGATCTTCGACAAAATAAGGCTCTCCAAAACAGTATTCCATGAATCTGTGACGGAATGGTTCAAAAATTGGCACCGCATGCTCCTCCTTCACGCTCAACAAGAAGATGAATATTCCCTAGCGGCCTCTACTTGCCTCAAGATGCTGTTCAGCAAATTACACATTGTCGAGGCACTTTGTGACGCTCATGAAGGTGACCGGCGCTTTGAATGCTTCCACCAGTTTCTGGAAAATGGTGCAGCGGACACAGACATACTCGCGGCATGGCTGAAATGGGCACTACAAATGGACAGTAACACATTAACCGAGATCGTGCTGACAGCAGCTTGTTTCTGCGACCTCAGCAGACTCCATTTGGTCATAAGCTCCATACAACTGACCAGTCCGACCCCCTTACCTTCGGCAACCTATGTCGAGAGCCCCAAGCTGGATTCTCAAGCGCACACAGCAAACATGTTCTCATCCGTCCAAGTACCTCCAATTCGTCAGGACACCCTCGCGTTCTCAGACACAAGGAGTGCCGAAAACCTGAAGCTCATCTTTCGCCAATACTTACATGGGGGCTATGAGAGTCACCTTACGACGAAACTCCTCGAGAGACACTTGGAGAATTGTACCAAAGCCATCACTGAAGGTGAATGCTGGCCGCTCCTTACCCTTCAATTTCTACTATCCCAGCCTATTGAGGTCACACTGCCAGAATTCAGCTCCTGCTTATACATGGCCATTGCTTCTCAGCAATGGCTCGTTCTTGGGCTGCTGCTGGATCGGCAATTACCGCAGGAGATGGTTGCCCGCTTCTTCCTGGTTGACACGTCTCTGCTTGCACCTCGTGCAATCAAGGTGCTTCTTGAATCCCAAGCAATGGCGTGGATGGACGATGACTTTTTCGCGGGGCCTGTACAGCGTACTTTCAATCATGCATGCCTTGCGCAAGACCGAGAAATGGCTATCCTCCTGTGCTCCAAATCTCGCTGCCAACTACGCCTCGGGGATATTTTGCTGCCTGTACGACAAGCAATTGATGCCTCGGACCTCAGTTATGTTTCTACTTTGCTCGGTGCAACATCCTTCTCCAAGAATGATCTTGAGATACTATGGAAGCATATTACTCAACAAGACCAAAGCGCCGACTTCCTCGCACTTGTGGAGTTACTACTCAAAGCGGGTGCTGACGGCATTTCAATCGGTGCCTCTTTGGTAGAAGCCGTTGAGCGGGATAATGAGTGTCTCGTCGCGCTCATTCTGGCCCAATGGCAAGCTATACGGTCCCTGCAGTATCGCAATGAATTTGACTATAGAGGACGCCAGCCGATCTTCCGAACACCAGACTTTGGCCCTTATGCCGAGTATTTTCCAGTCCTCGCACGCGCTCTTACGGTCGCAATTCGTCTAGACCGAGCAACCCTTTGCCGGCATCTTTGCACAGCGGGAGCTCCCCTTGTATTTCAAGGCCAATCACTCATTGAGCTTGCAGTAGCCCTGGGAAGCCACAGCGCTCTCATAGAGATGATCAGTTACTCGAAGACATGTTCTGACATGGATGGCGCTGTTAGCTTCGCTCTACTTCAAGTGGTGCTGCACCACCGCGAAACTTGGGTGGAAGGGCTAGTACGCCTCGGTGGATCAGTCGAAGCATACGATTTCGAGCCCCTGAAAGTTGCGGCGGAATTTGATCATCCTGGTATGTTGGCAACGCTTCTACCCTACATCGAGACACAACCTGGGTTCCATGAATTCTGCCAAACACTTCAAGGGCGTCTTACGGCACACGAAGGTGATCTGGGCAGCACTTGTTCCATGTTCGAGCAACTCCACAAAGCAGGCTTCCAGGAGAAGGAGCGATACAATGAGGCTCTTTTAACACTGCTGGCGATCCGATCTGCCACCTTAGATCATACCAGAATCTTAATCGATTGCGGAGCGTCTATCGAGTACAGAGACGGCGAAGGCATGGTACAACTTTGGAGACGAGGCAGCGTGCGACTCTTCCCGGATCTCCTTCGCCACTGCACTCGGCAATCGATCAGAACAAGACTGTTCATTGAGGCATGTGGCGATTATCTACGACAAGACCAGGATCGTACTTGCCTCTCAACCAGCGATACGTTGCTCGTTCTGGGTGCCCTCCTCGAGACAGATATACCTCAGGACGCGCGCGATACGGCGCTCGATTCAATCGCAAAAGCTTGCCATCGGAAGCTCAAGTCGGGGCCAATCATCCAACTATTGCTGGAAAAGGGGGCTCGTTTCTTCGATCGAGCTGGAGTGTCACTCTACCGAGTCTGCCGCCTCGATCATTCCAAAATCACCTCCCTAGTTGTCCATAGTCGTCCACATGCCCGCACTCGCTTACAAGCTCTCCAACGCCTCTTCCGCAACCAAGGAGCAGGATCTTCAGGCGCCGCAGGCAGAGAAACCGGCCAAGAGCCCAATCCATCAGATCAGGCTTGTCTATACAATATCAACTTCACTGCGTCGACAGCGCAGAATATCAACCTAGACGCTTCAGACGTTGTCGAATTGATAGACTCAATGCTGAATCCCAGGGTTCAAACCACAGGGACTAGCTTGATGTTTACTTTTTTTTTCATGCTAGGAGGTCTTCACGTGCTATCAACCCTGTGTTGTTCAGATGGCGATCGCAATGAGGTGGAGAAAATGTTTGTTAATGCCGTAATGAACTCAGCAGCCAAAGAATTGGACGATCGAACCGAGTTCCTGCTCAGGGTCATGCAGATTGACGCCCCTGCTTTAGTGGGTCTGACTGGAGAGGCCTCCGGCCTCGCTTTGGAAAAGAACTCACTGAGCAGGCTACTATTATTGTCGCTGCAACACAAGAAATTTGGATTGGCTAGTACACTCTTGGACGCTGGCGCCGACCCGAATGCCACAGATGAAAACGGACGTACCGCACTATACCTGGCCACATTCGAGAAGTCTCTCGATACAATGAGAGCCTTGATCGCAAATGGCGCCGAGGAGGACGACGGAAGTCTCCATATCTCGACTTGCTGGCAGCACCATGAAGCAATGCAGCTGCTTCTGGAAGCAGGGCACGAACCAGGATATTGCTCTGAGCTCTTCTTTGGAGCTACGCCGCTCGAGGCCCTGCTAGGATTTAGCCACTCCGAAGCAGCACCTGATAGTTTTGGAATGACGCTCGCGGTGTTGCTGTGTGACGCTGAGGTCCCAACAAGCTTCTGGAAGAGTGAACCTAATCTTCTGTCTCTGGCTCTAATGGGCTTCTGGCCGTATCAAATGTTCAGCACGCTGCTGTGGTATATTCCTCCAGGAGTGGTTGAACTGCCTCTCATTCGTCGAGACCGCTTCATGTTCTCTGTACTCAGCTTTGTCGAAAGAGGAGAGGATATCGGATTGTCTGATATCGAGCGAGTGGAGCTGTCGACACGGCTAGAATCATTGGGATTCGAACGAACTTTTTATGCTGCTGAAGGAGATCAACCCGAAGACGCCGTCAACGTGCCAGAACACCTGGAGGATCCCGAAGTGAGGGTACGCCTTCGTGCTTGGAGGGTAAAGGACTGTGCTGTTTGTGCCGAAAAGCCTTCCGACCGAAATGCGATCCACGCAGCATTGTCGCCATCATGCGAAAAGAACCATGGGTGGGAAGACGACATCATCTGTACCGACTGCCTGCAAGGACACCTCGAGTCGCAGATGTTTCCACAGGGAGGTGACAAATTTCCCTCGGCCAAAGTAAAGTGCTGGGCTCCCAACTGCTCGGAGATCCTCAACCACTCGGTCGTGCAGGCCTTTGCCGAGTGTGAAAGATTCACCATCTACGATGCCGGCCTCGCTCAAATGTTCCTCAACGACGGGGAGAATATGGCCAAATGCGCGAAACCCAAGTGTACCGGTGCGACATGGCTCGGTGACGAAGACAAGAACACGACCATTATCATGTGCGACGTGTGCGGTGAGTCTACCTGTATCCAGTGCAATCAGCTGTACGACATGCATCGAGACGAGCCATGTCCTCAGGGCGAAGAGGCCAAGGGCATTGAAAGACGGAGGGAAGAGGAGGCAGCTACGGCAGCCCTGCTGGCAAAGGGGAAGAAGTGTCCAAAGTGCAAGCTGCCGTTTGAGAGGATTGAAGGGTGTGATCATATCGTATGTGGCAAGGACGCGCACTCGAGTGCAAGAGGCCGTAAGTCGACCCCTTCCTATCGACTCCTTATTCCCATTCGCTGTGAGAATGCCTGTGCTAACTTATGAGCAGTTGGCTGTGGATTCGAATTCTGCTATATCTGTGGCGCAGACTACAATGGCATTCGCAGGCAGGGGAATACGGCGCATGCCAGGAGTTGTAATCACTATGCATGATACCATGTTGTAACGGAGAAGAGACGGCGTTTTTGGAGAAACACAGAGTCGAACTTACCATGCCCCATGAGGACGATAGATTTAATGCCAGAATCAACGAGACCGACGTGCTTTTCTCGAAACCTGCAGAACTCGTGATGTAGTCCGTACTGCGCCATGGATTTGTGACTAATTTAACGGATAGCATATCTATTTGTTTAGTGTCTCTATCGTCAGGTCGATTTTTCTTGGTGTGTGTCTCTCACATCGGCGTACGCCCATAAATGAAGGCGTCGTGTCCGGCGAACGCACGCATGGTAAGCCGCTCCAAACTCCGTCCTCAGACTCAGTAGCGCGAGCTCCCGTACCCACCCCCACCACCGTATCCGCTACCGTATTCCTCGTTGTCGCCGCTCTCGCGGTATCGACGCCGACCCTCACCCTCACCCTCACCCTCACCCTCGCCGTTGTCACCACCGTAGCCTTCATTCTCGCCGCCGTACTCGCCTCGTCTCCCGAAACCACCACCACCGCCGCCGCCGCCAGCATACCCGCCGTCATCGCGCCCGCCGCCGTACTCATCGCCGCGCCCGCCGCCGCTGAAGGAGGAGTACTCGTCTTGTCTGGTGCTGCCGAAGCCGCCGGGCATGTCGTCGTAGGTAGTAGACACTTCTTGTTGACGCCGACCGTATCCGCCGCCGCCGCCACCACTAAAGCCGGAGCCGTAGTTGCTGGATTCTTCGTCCCGACGACTGCCGCCGCCAAAGCCGCTGGACTCGTACCGTGATTCTTCCTGGAGGTCCGCCCGCCCGTATCCGCCGGAGCCACCACCACCGTACGTCGTCGATTCTTCTTCCCGCCGCCGACCGCCGCCATACCCGGCTCCTCCGCTGGAGGAATACTCGTCGCGGTCGCGGCGCTGCTCGTGATGACGGCCGTATCCAGAGCCACCATACTCCTCGTCATGTCGTCGACCGTATTCGTGCTCCTGGCGGCGCCCGTAGCTCTCGGAGCCACCGTACCCGGAACTTTCACGCTCAAACTGCTGCTGGCGTCTGCCGCTGCTGGCGTAGCTGCTCGCAGAGTATGGGTCCTCCTCTCGCTGGTCACGACGCTGTTCATGTTCGTAGCGACTGTGTTGGTCATCTTCTTCGTGTCGGTGTGGATGGTGTTTTGGGCGATGATGCTCTTGACGACGTTCACCGTAGGGACTGTCGTTATCATTGTCGCCGTAGCGTCTGTAAGATAGCACGTTAGCCTCCCCCCCCGGTCCGCGTTCGCGCAAGCTGTGACTTCGACGTACCTTGTCTCCTCGTGATACCTGCCTTCGGCCGTCCGCTCCTGATGATGCACCTCGCTCTGCCACCCTCCACTCGCGGTCCCTCGCTGCTCAAAACGGTTGTATTCCTCGTACCGTCTCTCGCCGCTGGGTCCTGTGGTCCTCGAGTACTGCGCCTGGCCGTACCGATGACCCCCGGAAGACGACTGACCCAACTGCGTCACCGTCTCTGTAACGGATCCGTCTTGCCGGTTATACGTGTCGCGCTTGTACGTCTCTTGACCCTGGCTGAGCCCGCCGCCGAGGATGTCACCGCCGATTTGGCTCGTGAGGCCCCCTACCAGAGAGCCCAGGACGCCGCCGCCGACGGCTGCGCCGGCCATTTTCCCGAGTTGGTCGCTTGCCCTGGAGACATTCGGTGGTCGGCCGCCACCACCACTCTGGGAGTCTCCGCCCAAGGCAGAACTGATGGCCCCGAGAGCGCCGCCCGCGATGCCACCGGACGACACCTGGTTGGTGTTGAAGTTGAGATTCGCCATGCCGAGGGGCCGATTGTTTCCATGTCCGTGGTCCTGGACCCCCGGTTTGTGGTTTCTGCCTGTCTCGACGCCCCGACGGCTGAGTTGCTCGCGCAGACCATCCTTTTCAGAGGCGGATTTCCCGCGCCACCATTCCTCCACAACGCCAAACATGATACGACGCCCGTCGCCGGCACCGTCTTGCCCATAGTCGCGCAATGCAGGGTGGTGAAGGACACCGTGGATGATGCGATTGAGGGTCCGCTCGACGTCGATTCGCTCATCGTCCCAGCACGCCACGATCTGCGGCACCACCCATTTCACTGTCTGATGGGCCACTTTCCCCGCGGGTTCGTTGAGGATGTTGGAGAAGTGGTCCTTGGAAAGCATAGAGTGCGTGGGGTCCGAGGAGTTGTCGTCGTTGAAGACAATGTGCTGCTGAGCCAGACTGGATTGGATGATCTCGTTGGAGCCTGTGTTGAGTTCCGTCTTGACTTGGTTGATGATGGGCACCACGAAGGGGGCGAGTAAGCTGAAGACAAACTTGTTGATTTGGTCCTGGATTTGCTCAATCAGGTCGGGCAGAATGGGGATCTTTTCGATCGTTTCGGTGATGGACTGCATGATTTCGTCGTGCCATTCTATGATCGGGTAGATCTGCCTCTGCACATCGTCCAGGTAACGGGTCCATTGCTCCGGCTGGCGAGGGGTGATGTGGGCGTTCTGCATTTGGTGGTTCAGCGCGTTTTGTTGCAGTTCATTGGCTTTTCCTGCTTGATCCTTTCCACCAAACAGGCCCGAGGGCAGTTTATTGAGAAGATCTTGCAGAATGCTGTTGTCCTGGCTGCCATTTTGGTATTGTTGAAGAGTATTGTTAAGTTCCTGGATTTCGGATTGCGTCGTCTTGTCGTCAAATTCGCCACAGACAGAATGGAGGAAGTCGACGCCGCCGAATGTGCCCGTGACAATCGGGTAGACTGGGTGACGGACCTCACGGAGTTGGATAGCAGTGCGGCGGCCGACATGGGGAAAGACGTCACGTTCACCCATCTCGACGAGCGCAAGTTCAACGTAGTTGGAGTGAGCCGCGTAGTCTTCCAGGCAGTGCGATCCAGTACCGAGTAGCCGGAGTGCTTCGTAGAGGTCCTTCTTGTTCTTACTCCGGGCATATTGTCGTCCGAGCTCGATGCTTCTACCGAAGAGTTTCCTCACCAGACCAGCAGAAGTGTCAATTCCCATGCCCTCAGAAGCGATGTAGTTCTTCAACCCGGTCTGTGGGTTAATGGAGAGCTCTCGGCGTTCGTCAACGGGGCCGCGAAGGCGGCGATCGTACTGCCTGGCATCTTGGTTGTCTGCATAGTCCTTTGGGTTGCTGGGACAGATTAGTTCTTTACTTGAGAGGAGGCTCTTTTGGCTCACTCGATATGTTCCTCAGGTCGGTAGCATCCGAGCCTCTGACTGGTGACTTCGAATTCGCCCGAGCCATATCCGAAAGACATGAACCCAAGAACCCAAAGCAGGATGCGAATGGCTTCTGCGCTGACATATTTGACGGTGCCGACATCGACAGCCTGGCTATAGTCACGCAGCCAGTTGCCGAAGTAAACCTGTCTGCGGTTAATATACGCCGGTTTCTCTGAAGGACAACTCACTCTCTTGACGTCAAGCTTGCTGAATTTCTTACCTCCCATGGCGCGCGAGGCCACAATGGTCAGCAAGGTGTCTTCGAGATCACCATGTCGCCAGTTTTGCCCCTCGATTTTCGAAGTGGATCCGATGTTGCCCGCACCAAAAGCATGAGCAGGTCTCGCCAGCAAAACAATACCGACCGCACAGAGAAGAATGATCTGTGACGAAGACAGAGCCATGCTGGGCTTCAGCTATGGGGGCGATGATTTTGTATTTGGGAAGCACCTTAGAGCAGCAGACAGAGACTTATACAAAGCATTCCAGGCCGCAGGTGAATCTGAGGTCACCGACGAAGAGTCAATGGCAATGGATATGAGGCGAAAGTGAGGGTTTGCAGTCAGTCAGATGAGGTGAGGTTTTGATTCTGGTGATTCTGCCTGGTTTCACCACCCACGCAGTAACCAATCACAGCCGCATTCTCAGCGCCGAGATCTCTTGGCGATGCTTGTTCTTGAGGCGGTGAGTATTCAATATGGCGTCCCCAGGACGGTGTGATTGATATCTCGTGGAGGTTATGGTGGCGTGCCATAGCGAGAGGAGATTGTGTGCGATTCATACTGCGCACTGAAACGAAGCTCGTGTCTGGCGTAAAAAGGGGCCTATACACCCGGTCTTGGCATTGGTGCAAGGCTGAGCTATGCTTCAACCAGCTTGCCACTGGCAGCCTCGGATTCCTTGCGCTTGGCCGTCATCCAGTCGCCCAACGGCCTCCAGATCGCCAGTTTCTCGGCTGGCGTCAGCGTAGCCGCCAGCCCACTGGTAGAGGTGGCCACGAATGTCTTTGCACCTGGCCAGGCCAGGTGTCCATCCTCCCAGACCCTCCCCAATTGCATCTCCTCGTCCTGCCAACCCCAATGGAAATCTGGATCATTGAACTTCTTCTGGCCTTTCTTAGCCATCCAAATGGCTTCCCAGATGCCCTTTCCAACTATCACCACTGCCTCCGGTTTGTAAAGAGCAATCTTTTTGTCAAGGACGATAGCGCCTTCTTCCATCTCCTGCTTACTCAACCCATCTCCGCTCCTGGTAGGCCGAACGCATATGTTCGTATTGCCAATCTGGTAAAGATCCATCAAATCCCTCGTCTCAGATGGGAGGTGCTTCTTGGGAGTAATGCCAGAAGTATGAAGGAGATGCCAGAACCGATTGGAGGGATGGGCATATGCATGGCCCGTTGCGGCTGTCATGAGCCCAGGGTTGAGGCCGATGCATACCAGGGTCAAGCCAGGCCGCAGACTGTCCACCAGATTGTTGACTGGATTGTACAGATCCTTGGATGCTCGCTCTTTGGTCGTGCTCCTTCGCTTCTTCAGCTTCGGGGCCGTGGATATGTTGGACTCTAGACTATCCTCCTCCTGTTTGACAGTATTCTCGCCGTCTTCCTCGGTCTGGTCGTGTTGCTGCAACCGAAGCCGTTTTCTCGGCGACGGAGAAGCGCTTCCTGCCTTGGAGGCGGCGAACGCACGCGGACTAGCAAGTCGAGGGGAGCGTCGCATCGTATCTGCTTGTTTCAAAGGGGAATATTTGAACTGCTCCATTCGAGCCTTGAAAGTGCTGCCTGCAAAATCAGTATTTGGAGGCATAAATGCAGTGGCTCCCATACTCGGCTCTGCACCAAGCACCTCCAATCCAGTCTCGTCTGATAGAGTTGCAATGTCCTCCATGTTCGTCGTAGTTGTCGCCTTCAGCTTCACGCAACAGGCTGGCCTTTTGGTATCACAAACCAAGCCATTGCCACCCCCTGAGAGGCTCACTAGGCACCAGTTCTCACCGAGCCTTCATGCTGGCGAAAAAAGTCCAATATGCTAGATCTGGACATGGCGACTTTGCTTGCCACTGGCGCAGGGGAACTGCAAGGTACCAGATATCTCGCCGGAATAACCCATTGCACGCCACGCTTACTTCTTTGGGGCCGAGAATCGTGCTGCTCTAGAGAAGCGTCATAGCCATGTCTATGCCTGAAATGTCGAGGCTGTCGCTTTCACAAAATGATGCATCACTTCACACAGTCATGTCACATCCCAAAGGATCGAGATTGGATAAATCGTTGCTCCCAAACCGGAAATTGGTAAGTAGCAGGGCACTCGTTTTGTCGATGAACCCCCGCAGCCCAAGACGTTGTACAAGGTACAGAGTATGGAAACGATCTTGAGGTAACTCCCCAAGGCGGCTTCGAACGAAAGCTTTCAAATTATTGACCCCGTCGGCACGATCAACACATAACTAGTGGTTGAGGGCATAGCACCGTGACTGCCTAGGTACAATTACTTTTGCCCGGGCTGCCTATCTATAATTTGACGTGGACAGCCTTGCACTGCGTCATGTCACGCAACTCTTCGAAGCAGTCATCCCTTCCAATTCCGGATTGCTTGTATCCCCCGAATGGCATACTGAAAAAATGTGTCCCCACTGTGTTGACCCAGACAGTTCCAGCTTCGATACGACGTACTGCGGTCTGCATGGTCTTAATATCAGAGGTGAACACTGCACCTGTCAGACCATAGTCGACAGCATTGACGTCCCTGAAGAGCTGCTCTTCGTCGGTCCACTTCAGGATTGACACGATAGGCCCGAATACCTCTTCGTTGGCGATCCGCATGTTCTGAGTAACTCCTGCAAATATGGTGGGCTCGACAAAGTAGCCGCCCTGCGTGTCGCTGCTTTCGGGAGCTTTGCCGCCTAGTACAAGGCGGGCACCATCCTTTTTGCCGATGTCGACATATTTCAACACACGGGCCTGTGCTGCCTGACTCACTAGTGCCCCCATTGTTGTATTTGGATCGATCGGGTTTCCGGGACGGAACTTGCTGGCTATCTTGTCGCGGACTTGGTCCAGAATCTTATCGTGGAGTGATTCGTGTAGGAAAACCCTCGAGGTCGAACCACAGGATTGCCCGCACCAACCAAAATTCATTCCTGCGATGATTGCGTCCACCAAGCGGTTATGATCCGCATCAGGATACGCAATCAGAGCATTCTTTCCCCCGAGTTCAAACGAGGTCAGTTTCAATGTATCTGCTGCGGCTTTCTGGATCGCTTTACCCGTAGGCACACTACCAATAAGCGTGACCTTGCTGACAAGGCGGTGAGTTGAGAGAGTCTTTCCGCAGTCGAGGCCACCGGACAAAATGTTGAGGACGCCCGGGGGGAAGACATCTTCTAGGAGTTCGGCTAGACGAAGTGCTGAAAGAGGTGCTTGCTCTGGCGTCTTGATGACCACCGTATTTCCCATCGCAAGGGGCGCTGCGAGTCGGTTGGCAGCGAACATGAGTGGATGATTTGAAGCAACAATGCGTGTTACCACCCCCAACGGCTCACGAATGGTATAATTGAAAGTTGAATCATCCAGATGAGTGGTTTCGCCTTGAACAGCTGGGATGAGACCTGCGAACATATCAACCGTGTCGGCCGAGGAGAAGGCGTCGCCTCTCATCATAACGACTGGATTGCCGGTGTTGAAAGCATCGAGCAACGCTAGCTCGTCCGCGTGTGCGCGCAGGATGTCGGCCACCTTCCTGAGTTTCTTGCCCCGTTCCAAAGAAGGAACTGCTCTCCACGCAGGAAACGCTGCATGTGCCGCCTCTATGGCAGCGGTGGTGTCTTTCTCACCGGCGAAGGCGACTTTCCTGATGACTTTGCCGTCACCGGGACTGAATATCTCTCGGTGGTCGCCGTCCTGGGGCTCGTGCCATTTCCCCCCATAGAACAAGCCCCAGTGCTTGGGAAGACATTCTTCGATTTTAGGAAACGACATATCGATGAAGGATCAGTGTGCTGGTGTTGCAACTTGTCCTGCAAATTGATGCTTGCTGCCTGCCGGGCCTCAAGCTGTCTTCGTTCTGGGCTTTATAGTCAGACTCTCATGTGGCCGCCCGGATGCTATGTCGTCAGCAATTCAGAGATCTGACTACAGCTCTCTCACGCGTCTACCCCGTTTTTCAAGGTTGTCGGACACAAAGCCTTTTCCGATTCTGGCTCAGGTCGGTAGGGCTGCCGTAGCAGAGACTGTGTCCAGGGTGATTCCAGTCCTGAAGTTTCTTCGAGCTTACCTGACCGCATTTCTATTCCATCTCTAATTAACGGCTGGAGATTAAGAGATAGAGGAGGGGTACGCAGGCGACCAATGTGCCCCCGGATCAACGAGGGGCGAACAAGGGTGGGGATGCGGAGTCGCGGCCGCCCAGAGCGTCGTGCACGAGGCTTCAATAATACACACTTTTTTTCCGTCCTTCCTGATCTACCGTGCCGTCTCATTGGAACTTTCCTAGCGACCAGCATGTTGTTGCGTTGTCGGCCTCATCGCCACTCTCGAATCTCGCTCTAAACGGAGTTTCGGCCGTCCTTCATCGGACTATCGACGCATCAGGCTGAAGGCCACCTGCCACGTCCCCCTCCTTGAGGATTGCGGAATCCCATGCCACCAGAATGGTTCGTGCACTTAGATTTGAGAACATGCGGAATCAGCATAGTCGCCTCCCGGTCTCCAGAGTCGTATTCCCCATTGGAGGAGGCTGAAAGTGTACCACACAAACCACTGACTCGAAAACTGGCCCCAAGCTGCGTCTCCGAACGTTTTCTATCATCAATGGACAGAGAAGACATCGCTGACAAGAAGCTCGAGACGTGCATCTGCTCATACTAGTGAGGGAGAGTTTCAGCATCCTTTTCCCAAAGATCCAAAAGTCCCCATCAGTTGCTGTTCCTCAACCCGCGAGGCTGAAGCTAAACTGTGTCGTTGCCTTGTGCTTGTTCGAGCTTCTCATCCGGCCCCTATCCAATCAATGGGCAGGAACGAATGGCCAAGGCTATCCATCTCGTGTTGAATGGAACAGACCTCCTTAAACATAATGGACAAGCGGGAGACTTTCAGAGGACTTTTTGATGGTCTCTTTCTCCTGACGCCGATTCCATCGACACCGACGATGGCGCGCTTGCCCCTTGAATTTCGGCCTCTATCTTCTCGACGTCGGCGTGTCACGACGTGGTCCCCGTTGTATGGCTGGATTCTTCAACAGCTTCCCCCTCCTTGAAGAGAAGTGTCAAGCCGTCTCGCAACTTCTATCACCGGTTTGAACTGCCAGCTGGGATCAAACTCATGAGCTCGATGGGGAGACATTTCCCAACCCAGAGAAGTACACCCACCATTGTCCATTGTCGGTTCACTGGTGGGAAGAGACCACCTTCAGTCACCCTTCACGAACGTTTAATTTATTGACAAGGCAGACTCAGACAAAAGAAGTCTGGGGTTATGTTCAAGAAAAAACGCCAGGAAGGGGACTTTTTTGCCGTCTGTCAGCACATCTGCTTCGAGGTATAAATACCTCTGCTGAAGCCGCAGAGGCAAGGGGATCATGCACAAGGGAAAAAGCAACCAAAGTGAGAAAGTTTACAAGAAGTTTTGAAGACACACTCGCTCGCTCGCCCGGGGCACAGTCCATCATTTCATTCGTTCATTTGTCCTTACTTCCTCGATCTATATACCGTGCCCTAGGTACCTACCTAAGGGGAGCCGAGTTCTTGTACCACGTACACAGGTGGTATTTGGACGACCGAGAGTTTTTCGCAGCCAGTCATTCAAAAGCTCTTAAGGGATGGATGGATCCATGCCTCATCACCGCGCTCCTTTTCCACACTGACTGACTGACGCTGGTGATGGCTCACAGCCACCCTGGAAAAGAGCGAGGTTACATGGAAGTAAATACTAGGTATAGTAGATATAAAAAGTCCTCGTACGGAGCAATTGGGTACACCATAAGTAGAAGCCTCGACGCACCAAGTGATATTATATTATGGCGTTCCAGGAAAGAAAAGTACACACAAGAGTTGTCAAATGGAGCAACTCTTCAGGGTCAAAACAATCCCTTTCCACTTTTTGCTGAACGCACGAGTTACACACCCCATTCTCGTCCTTGGACGGACTGACTGCGGGAATTACTGAGTAGGATTGTTCGCGATGTAACCTCTATTCGTGGTTACACCAAGTGATACATACCTAGGTACCTACGGTAGGGCAGGTGGTCCCTCAGCGGGAAAAATCGGTGCCGTTGTGTCGTGCCTTAGCCTTCCTTCCCCAGCTTTTGTCCAGCAAGGCCCAGACAGAAGCTGACTACGTTCCAGTTGGTCTCGGTACACGTATGCAGGTGCGTCTTTTCGTCACGGCACGCCCGCCCCAGGCTTTCGCCGACTGACATTTAGAAAAATGGGAAAGATTTGATCAAGAGGCTTCACGAGAAGCAACCTTTTGCGGCGATTGTGGGAGCCACTGACACCTCGACGGGCACCGACATTCGGAGTGCCAGTGACCTGCAACAAGGTCTTGGCGCGGGAAGCGAAGGATGCGACAATTTGTGATCACCTTCTTTGTTTGTGATTACTCGGCCTGGGACTGGGACTCGGACGCGGGCTAAGTCGTAGTGTAAGATGGGACACATTTGATGGATCTGACGGGAAGTAATATCCTCGCGCGCCTACCTACCTAAGCTGCAGGTTTGATGAACCCAGCGGACCGAGGGATGGGAACTAATCAAGTGCCAGTTCTGCCAGATGGTTACCGAGTAATTAGTGCGAACTTCCAAGAAACTCGTCAGATACCTACATACTAGGTACAGGGGTAAGTACCTCGATCATGGTCCTTAAACTCGGGTGTCCCTGACTACGCAGCACTCGGATCCTCAACGGCGCCAACGTCAAAAGAAATGAGGCAGCACATCCTACTGATCCGAGTAAGGTGCGCGCATGGCGCCGCTCGCTCCGCCAGATCCTCCTCATCTCACCAGGGGATCCTCAAGGGAGGGGGGGATGGGAACCCGGGTATACTAACTTTATGCCTTGGGCCCAAATTTCCGAGCACCATTTGGATTCGCACCGCGGCCACCACCGTTGGTCTTGTGCTCAGGCTAGTGAACTAGTGAGTGACTTGGGCGAAAAAGCTTCAAAGTACCGAGTACTTGCAGTAGTTAGGCCGTTACGAGTATGTGAAACAAAGGGCACACGAGCACCAAAGTTAGTCCGAGGCGGAGTGAATGATTCAAATCTTCTCTACCGAGTACTCGTATGCTCAGGACCAGGATCAGGGGATGACGGGTATATTCAGTCCAATCTACCTCATACTAGAGCGATCATAATACTGCGTACATACATGATGATTGGATGCGACACGCCGTTCCAGATGCTTCACGGGCCCTCAGGCCATTCCCAGGACCAACAATCCATGATTCTTTCGTTATGTGCTGCGGACCTTGCTTTTCCAAATGACATTTTGTATTGCGCACTATAGCCCCATTCAAACAGATGCTAGACAACAGAGAAAAGGAAACTCATTACAAGACTATTTGCTTCAAAAACATTCACAGAGCAAAAGCGAGCGCGAGAAGGCCAAGTGCGGCCGTGCCCGATGACACCATCACTGATGATGCTGCACCGGTGAACGAGGATGTAGACACACTGCTTGTGGTGCTAGATCCCTCGTTCTGCACCTGGGTCCCCGAGGTGCTGTTTCCGGGGTAGGTGCTTGTGCCCGAGCCAGGGCACACCTTGCCGACGTCCGAGGGCACGGTGGGGAACGCATCAATGGCATCGAGAATGGCAACAGCCATGCCGCCAGAGAAATGCGACTGGACGTGGCAGTGCAGGAGCCAGGCACCAGGAGTGTTGACCTGGTAGCGGAAGACCATCCAGGTGTTGTTGCCCTCAGCAGGGATGCTGGTGAAGCCATCAACATAAGGAGGGTTGACCAGGTTGAAGGGGTAGCCTGCCGTGATGGCGTCAGCCACGTTGGTGAAGTTGAAGTCACCCACACCGGCACCGATCATATAGAACTTGTTGGCGTGCTTGTGGATCGGGTGCGGCTCAGCAACAGGGCCCGCAACCTTGATGATCAAATCAACCCATTGGTTGTTCAGGGTTTCCAAAATCAAGTCACTGGTAGGAATGCTAGAGGGGCTCTGGAAGAGAAGAGGCGGGGTGTCGTCATCGGTGGTCATGTTGTACGAGTCGGTACCCGACAGAGTCCAGGCCCAGGCCTCAGTAGGCTGGACGGGAGACTTCTGGATGTCCAGGATGAAGCTGGCATCAGCGCTGGGAGCCGGGGTGTTGGCGGGGAAAGGTGCGGCGGCAGCGTTGTTCAGGGGCACGATGGCGGTAGTGTTCTGACTGCCATAGTTCATGACGGACACTCCCATGGGGGTGTTGTCACCACCCTGGTACGACAGAACGCCAAAGCCTGAAATGACCTGGTTGATACCTTCGTTGGCAACACGGATGGTGTAGTCGCCCGGGGTCTGGTCCAGCTTGACAAAGAACGACACACGGTCCCCATTGCTGAGACCGAACTGGTCGACAACCTGGGGAACGATGTAGTTGCCGTTGACCTCATAGACGTACAACTTGTGGCTGTCAATGGTGACTTTGACCAAGGCGACACTAGCAGGGCTGATGAAGGTCATAGCAGCCCAGCCATCGCTAGGGTTGACGGAGTAGGTGAAGTTGGAACCACCGTATCCAATGCAGGTGTCGTAGGCATCCGAGGGCAGAGCGGCAAGGTTCTGGAGTGCCAGGTACTGGCCACCCTGGATCGCAGCGTTGTTGGGAGGAACGCAGCCCTTTGCGGTCAAAGAGGAGCCGTTCAAGACCTGGGGTTCTTGAGGAGCAGCAGAGGCAGTCAGGTCGGCAATGGACGGGCAGTACTGCGAGCCGAAACCGTTCAACGTGATGGAGTCACTGCAGGCCCAGTCGACGTTGGCGGTCTGCTCAACCTCAAAGAACTCGTTGAAAGTGTATCGGTTCCAGTCAGTGACAAAGACAGGCTCGACATCCAGCGCAGCTGCGGTCATGGCATCGATATCAGACTGAGTGCTGCTGATCTGGCTGAAGGGCGTTTCGGCATCATCCGCGGGAGCAATGACGATGGCACCGTAGAGACCGTCCATCATTTGTCCCTTGTAGTGACCATGGTAGAAGTAGTTACCCGACTCAACCGCAGTCCACTGGTACATGTAGCTTGTTCCTGGTTGGATCGAGTATTGGCTGACGCCGGGGACACCGTCTGCCCATGGTGTACCAACTTGACGAATACCGTGGAAATGAATGCCCGTGGTATTGGGCATGTTGTTGTTGACGACAAAATCGACGCAGTCCCCAACCTTCATCTTCAAGGGGGGGCCAGGCAGCGAGCCGTTGGTGAGGATGGCATTTCTGGAGATGCCTTTGCTTGGGTCCGTGGCAGCCCAAGTCAGGTCAATAGTGAATGGAATGCATTTGGACGAAGATGCGCAGATGGAGCTGCTGTTGCCATCGGCGGCGACTGATTGAATGGAGGAAACGAGTGTGAGGGCGGCGACAGCCTTGAGGAGGCGTGTGAACGCCATTATTACGTATAGACAAGAAGAAAGAGAGACTGAGGCTGGACAACTATGTAGTATCGGTAGGTTAGTAAAACGAAAGAGGCAGACACTGACCCAAGGGAAAAAGAACAAGTCTTATGAATGAACAAGCCATCGCAAGCACCAGCAAGCAAAAATCCCACCACCATGGCTGATTTCCCCGAGGTGGCTGCAGATTGGCAGGACCAGCCTGCCAGCCATCCTGGAACAGATACGGCCTCGACAAAGTTTTGGTGTTTTGGGGCGGCGCAAGAGCCTCCTGGTGCCTTTTCAGCCATGCACGCTTACCGGATGGACGATAGCGGGATCCAAGCAGGATCCTCCCTATCCACTCGGATGGATTTTGGTGGATTCGGATCAGCCTCTCCCCAATTATCAACAAACATCCCCCCAGCCCCAGGCGCTATTGGGCGGTGGCAGCCTCAGTGCTAGAGTAAGATGTCAGCTTCGGCGACTTGCTCCTCGGAGGTCGATGTGCATCATGCATTGCATACACGAGCGGACAGTTGCTGCATAGCTCCCTATCTGTCACAGTGTCGGTCCATCAGAGCCTGTCAGGGTAAACGACGACCAGTCAACGGCACCATCAGGCGAGCTCATTTGGCTGAGATTGCGGACAGGGAGCGCCCAACCCGGCCTTGACCTGTCAGTTGGCGGCGCAGGGATCCAGACAGGGCTTATGCACGAAGGAGGGGACCGTTTGAGATGCAATTCAATTAGATGCGACCGTGTGATCCATGTTCGGTGGCTGAACCCCAGCTGCCACACGACCGCAGGATCCCCACAACCCCCAGGTGCCACTGGCGTTGCCCTGCTTGCAATGTGGTTTGTGCCCTGTTACGTGACGGAGCCCGTATTCAGAAGCAGGGCGCTCCACCATCCAACCCAGGCTAAGAGGTGACCATGTTGTCTTAGCGCCGTTAAGCACCGGGGGCTAGAAGCTGGGTTATCTTCAGCTGCTGCTGCGCCCGCCATCCCACTTTGGAGGGTTTTTTGGGCCATCTTTTTTTGTTTTGGGCTTGCCCGTCCTAGCCGTCGGGCTGAGGGGACAGACCACTTGGACATGTCCAGGCAGAACCTCGTGAGCTGTGGACTGACGATCCATCCGACCACGTCGAGATCATGGCTTATTTAGTTGATATAGGCCGCCTAATACTCGGAAGGAATAATGGATGGATTTATTGAGGTCCATCTCTTGAATCCCTCAGGAGTCCCCCTTAAAAACAGGTGGCAAGGAGAAATGTTCTTGGGACTGGCACCCAGACTGGAAGTGTTCCAAAAGAGCTTGGATGCAGCAGGGTATTGGGCCAAGTCAGGTACAGCCGTGCTCGGACCGCTCTAGGTTGGGTGTGGGTGGATTGACTACCCGGTAGGAGGATGTGAGCATGTGAGAGCCTGAGAAAGTGTGAGGAGAAGACCTAAAAATAATCACATCCGGTTAGTGTTCAATCGTTCGAAAGGATGGCCACCCAGATGGGTTCCAGGACCAAGAAACAAGGAAGCCCGGCACCCAGCCCGGAGCGCGGGAAGCACCACAGCCATCCACTGGTGGCCCATGAGGAAAAAGAACAGCCGAGAAGCAGGAAAAGAAGGTTTTGAAAAACCTTTTTGGCCTTGTCGGTTCGGCTGGCGACGGTGGCTCTGGTGGCTCTGGTGGGCAGCGGGTGGCTCCGGTGGGCAGCGGGTGGCTCCAGGGACACACACTGGGCCAACCATTCCTCTCTAAAATCTAGATTGAGACAACCACGCAAACAGACCCTCTGGGACGCGTTATTGGTTTCGTGGTCCTCTCTCTTCCTGGCTTGGAGCTTGTGATCGCCATGATGCAAGACGGGTTCTTAGGACGTTATGAGAGTGTCAATAATACGAGGACGGTGAGAGAGGCTGGGAGGCATGGAGGAGGCCGGGGGCGGGAATATTGGCGGGAGGCTGGGGGGATCGCTGCGGCGAAAAGACTGCGATGACAGCAATGGCTTGATGATAGGCGGTGATGGACGGTAATGGACGATAGTGGACGATAGTGGACGATGATGGCTTGCGGAAAATCGTTGATTCTCACACGTGTCGAGTTCCACTGTTGAGGAGGCTGAGGTGCTTCTGGTGGTTTCAGAACATGCACATGATGCAGTTACGTCAGTCGTTCTCCGTGTCTCTGCATGGGGGACTCGAGAGTAATAATTACCTATTGCAAAGTACGACTTAATTAGTCGCAGGAACTCCGTCCTCCCGATCCAGCCAAAAATTCACTGGCTCGTACCGAGTACCGAGTCGTGACGGGTGAGCCGGAGTGGGAGAGAGGCGGAAGGTGAGAGAAGAGTGATGAGTGAGAGCAGTTGCCGCTGGCACGCCTACTGTACCCCTTCCAGTATTCGCTACACAGAAAGACGAACCTGCGCTTTTTCCTGACTGTGTACGCCCATGCGAGAGAATTTTTTCCCATACTAAGGTACCTTAGCACCGATTATTCCAGTTACTCTCTTCCAGCACTTCCATTGTCGTTCGTTCAATTCATAGACACATCACGTATAATTACGTACCCAAACTCTTCCTCTTCTTCTCCCTTGCTTCCTATAATTAGGCCAGCGTGGCCAGTCACGTAATTACTAGCACATTCTCTTTCACCGTCCACCCGCTCTATCCACTGACCTGTCAAGCGAACCCTCGTATCTACGCCTCAAAACCATGCATCTCCTATCTGCAAAGTTATCGTAAAGGGCCAACCACCTTTGGACTTCCGTCTGTTGCGTGATCGACGCCTCTTTCGAGCTTCTTCGCACCCGCACCCAATCACTACTGTTGGAGTCACCCGTCCGCTGGACCGCCATGCTTCCCCCTCTGGTCCAGAATGCCATCAGCAGCTTCGCGGTGTGCCTGTCCCTCCTAGCCTCGCTCCAATCCTCCTCCTCGTCACAATCCTTCCGCGTCTCGGTGTCCGCTGCGGCGGCGGTTGGGCCTGCAGTCTCTTCCAACTTTCCCGATCCGGGCCTCGCTTTGGATACCAGCAATGGCTCCGAAACGTGGTACGCCTTCAGCACCCAGACCGGAAAGATCAACGTCCAGCTTGCCTCCTCACCGGACTTTTCGACCTGGACGCTGCATGAAGGCTACGATGCTCTACCCGTAACGCCAGCTTGGGCGCGTCGGTCTCCTCACGCTGGTGTCTGGGCACCGGACGTGAATCAACGGCCTGATGGATCGTGGGTCATGTATTTTGCGGCCGTAGGGCAAACGCATCCACAGAAGCACTGCATTGGAGCGGCCACCTCTCCCAACGTCATGGGGCCATACACTCCTCTCGACAATCCCATCGTGTGCGATTTGCCTCGAGGCGGCAACATCGATCCAAATCTCTTCATCGATCCCATCAACAATCAGAATTACCTCGTCTACAAAACTGATGGCAACGCAATTGGCCATGGCGGCGCCTGTGGGAACACCGACAACCCTGTAGTGCCAACCCCGCTATATCTTCAGCTGATGGATCCCCAAGACCTCGTCACACCAATTGGCAACCCTGTCTACTTGTTCTCAAACGCCCACAGTTTCACCGAAGACGGCCCCAACGTCGAACGACCATGTATGGTCTTCCGCAACTCAACCTACTATCTCCTGTACAATGCCAAGTGTTTCACGAGTCTGCAGTACCGTATCGACTATGTCTCCTGCAGGGTTGGCGTCGACACCCATACTGGTGTACTTGGCTGTGACTGGGACGCCCTCAAGATGCAGCAGCAGACCTCCAAGGACCACACGCTGCTCCAGACTGGTGACGTCGTGTCTGGCACCAAACTCTACGCCCCAGGCAGTATGGACGTGAGTCCTGATCAGCACAGAGTCGTCTTCCACGGTGATGTCAACTTGGACTGGTTCACCCCTCATCATCCTCACACTGTCCACCGTGACCGTGCCATGTTTGCCGGTGAGATTGACTTTGTGAAATCAGATCTTCGGGTCACCCAACTATTCTGATGGGAGGCCCTAATGGAACCATCAAACGAGAGGCTTTCTCCGATGACCACGTGAGATGACACGAGATGACACGAGACGACGTGTCGGATCGATCCCCTTGAAAGGCCGCCCAAGGCACGAACTATCATCCCTCTGCCGCCTGCAGGAAGCCTTCCTCTTGAAAATCTTCTTCGATTCTAGCGACCAATGTTCGTTCATCTTTCCCCAAGCCCGCTTCCAAGGCCCTTGATTAGAAGAACCAAGTTCTCACCCTGCATGTCCATTACCACATTCCATTTCGACGTTCTCGACGGCCGACATTCAGCGACTAATCACCCACTGGATTTGGACCGGATCTCGGCGCCCTGGAGCTAGATGCTGCAAGGTCACCCACTTCTGACGATCCTTCCAGAGGGTGCCTGAGAGATTCGCTTGCTTTGCCTTCTGTCGATTAGCATCAACACTTCATGCTTACACTTTCTCATTTTTGGTCCTGCATAGGCATATGCAATCACCGATCCATAGCGTCGGAGTCTCGAGTTCTTGATCCATCATTTCAAATTGCGAAGACTTCCGAATGGCGACCTTCAACTCTCACTTGCTTTCGAGTTGTACTACATGAGATGGCAAGTGGGGAATATGGCTTGTCTTATTTCTATTACGTTTACATTGGAAGGGGATTGGGAATTGATTCATCAAAGCAGGCAGGTGTAAGGACTGGATAGATTTGTACAACAGAAAAGTAATCAGCAGAGCACGTGCTAGAGGTGGAGACGTTGTAGAAGTACGAGTTCAATAGACATAGACGGGGTCAGACTAATAATAGAAGGACGTCGATATAGTCGGAGCACCTAAGAGCAGTCCTTCAGAGTCCTTTAGGGGGGGTCTTCTATGAGAGCAGTGTGTCATAGCAGAGCAAGTACGCGGGAAGTCACAGGCAACATCTGCCTTCACCAAGGGAGGAGGGCCTCGAACAAGAGTGCAAGGCAGTCAGAATTGCAAGAATGCAATGCCAAAGAAAAGGGGCCCCGCGGTAGAGAACTCCTCCTTCTTTGCCCAACTTCCCTTTGCTGTCGTATATGGCATATGGCATGCTGTCGTCATGTCGTTTTGTTCGTCTGTCCGTCGACCTGTCATCTAGTATCTGGTGTTCATCTCCGTTGGTGTGGTGTGCAAATAACCCTTCAAGTCAAGCCTTGCTGCTGTGTTCCCCTCCCCCATCCCTACCAGGGGCGTGGTGGTGGTGGTGGTGGTGGTGGTGGTGGTGGTGGTACAGAGCACAGAGAAGCAGTCGAGTTGGAAATCCCCCTTTTTTCCTTTTAACCCTTGACCCTTGCGTCCTGGCCCTGGCTCTGGTTCGGTATGGGATGGCATTGTGCATCGTTGCACGACCTTCCCGGCCGTCTGTCCCACGTTTCCCACGACGAGATCTTGTGTCGCCCCTCGCCGACCCTTCCCCCACCCATCGCAAGGCTTGCCAGGGGTCAGTCAGGGCGGGATGGGATCGTTGTACTCCCTCGAATGCGATGCCTGTGCTACATACACACTCGATACATGTCCAGAAGCTGCCATGACATGATATGACATAACCGCGTGATGTCGATGTATCTTGCGCGCACTGCTGGTGGCTTTGCCTCCTGAACTTGTGCAACGCGGCGGGGAAATTGGATACATTTGCTCCTTGTGCGACGCTGGCCGAGCGCATGTTATGATGGGCCATCTGTGTTGCAAGACCTACTAGTTGATGATGAGCAGTCCCCGCCATCGGGAGCCTGTGCAACAAAACCCGGCTTCGTGGACGGGAGCGGCAGGGTGTTGCAAGTCCTTCAGCCTTGTTCAGCCTTTGTTGACTCTCCTTCAAGGAATCTCGCTTCCGTCCTCTTTCTGTACGCTGTATGTATGGATGTATCATGGGCGCTCTCGCTCAACAGGTGACAGTCGCTTCTTTCCGGGATCTTGAGAAAATCACTCACTACCTAGGTAGTTTGCAACCCCTTTCCCTTGATAGCGTGAACAATGTCCGTAGCAGGTGACCGAGGCGATGGACGGGTCCGATGTACGTTGGGTGAAGAGAGAGATTCCGTACAGGAGGGTAGATCAACCGGATTGCTGGGAACGAAGCCTGCCTTTCTCTCCCCCACTCATCTTCTCGTGCTTGGTGAGCGGAGAAGGAAAACCGGCTCGATATGATCTCTGCGAAGGGCGCAGAGTGCGCGGCACGTCTTGATTGGTCGATTGATTGATTGGTTGAAGCAAGCTCCTTGGAATCATGCGTCCACGGAGTGAACATCACTCGAGTCGAGACTCGAGCAGACGGGAGATAGAAAAAGAGCCTCCCGTAATCGATCAAGTGATTTCGCGTCAGAGGGTCGAGGCTGGGGACTCTTGAGACCGCGGATTGACGATGCGAAGTGAGCAGATTCCTCGTCCCTGCCAAGCAGGCATCATGCGAAGGCGCTCAGATGTGTTAGTTATACCTCCCTGTCCCCGTAAAGTCTCTGTTAAATCCCTCTCGGCGTCTCGTTCAAGAAGATCAAAGTCCGGAATAGCGAGCTCTTGGAAGGTAGTATCGTACGGTACTGATTCCTTCCTGGTCAGCTCGAACCCTTTCGAAAGTCTCGCAAGGAGAGAACTAAAGAAGTGTGTGTAGTCAGCGCCGAACCCGGGAATCATGAGAAACGGAGTGCAAGTTGATCAAACACCGACGGGCGGCCGTGCCAAACTGGCATGTCCAGAGGTGAGTATTTTTGATGTGTTCAAGTCCGCAAAATCTGTCTTTCCTGTTTCCGTAAAGCCTTCCAGCTTTATGTAGGGTTTTCAGTGAGTATGGTCGTTTGGCACGGACGATCCCAGATGTGACCTTCTGGTTGTTGAGATGTCCGTTCCTAGCTCATCCCACATGGAGGACGATCGGTTGTCCTGGTCTCAGATCGAGAGTTGCATTCGGATTGCCAATCTCTCAACAGCAGGAGGAGGCTCTGGGGCAACCGTTTCGCCGTTTACGACAGGTACAGTAGCTCGACGAGTTGTATTCGGAGCTGACTCGAGAGAGGAATCGTCATGAACAAGAGGTACAGCCTCGAGGGATCAAGCCATTTCCAGCCATGAAGGAATTTAGCTCCATCCATTGCGACATGTGAGTGTATCGCTGAGAGTTCAATGTGTTAGCACGAGAGACGCCCCAAGACATCCTTGATTTTGACATTCATCAGAACGTAACCTCTGATTCTCATCGTGGACTGGCTGCTAGTCGTCCTCTTCCTTCTTCACCATCGATTTGTTCACCGGTGATGCAAACTGATTACCGTGGTGCTCTGATAGGGCGATTGCAGGCTCGGGCGAAGAGAGCACAAATTTGAAATCGATCTGTCGTGCTCCTGTGTCGACTTCACCAACGCCGAGCTTTGCATCGACACGCCGAACTCCAAGCATGTGTCCATGAAGGTCTGATCGAGGTATCACGTTGTCATGTAGTAACGGACGATATCTGAGGAAATTCCTGCCAGGAAAGCTTCACGTCGTTAAGTGTGCTTGATATGTGGAGCTAGCGGATGGGCGCTTTTGATGGCTTTTTTTCCTTTTTAGCTCCATGTGGCTGGCATCACTGTCAACCACTGACAAGTGCGCTCACAAGAAGAGGTATGGATCAACCTGGTCACCAGATGGTAGCATAGGGTGTCCTGGGCACCGACTGGGGTAGCGGTAACTGGTGACATCAGCCTGTTTGAAAGATCGATATGGATGCCACTCAAGCCGGTTCTCGCTCTGGAAACGGTCGTTCGTTTGAGGCAGCGTAGCTCGATGGGCGCACGAGTCGCCAGCATAGTAGCCGCAGCTTTTGAATCATGAAGACCACAAGACTAGCTCTGAGCTCCAAGATGAGCTCAGAGCTGCAAGTGGAATCTTCATGCAACACTCCATGCCACTGCCTGAACATCGTCATCCCAACACGTCTCATCTTTTTCGGCCTGTTCGTTTGCTGCTTCCTCAATTTTCGAGCTATGTCCCTGACAAGCGTGCGTCGATAGCGTGTAAAGATCTGCTGTAGTTGGAAAATCTTCGTCCACGAGATTCAGGACATAAATTAAGCACTCTAACACTGCCAAAGGCCTTTCGCCCATGGGCCAGCGGTTAGTAGGTCATCTTATAGTGTCTGCCAGGTGCCTGGCTCCTTGGAGTGCCCTGTCTTTAGAAGTGCAAGACCGCAAGATCCATGCCAGGATATTTGGAAGAACATCATCTGGATCACATTGTAAGCAGTTCTTCAGCTCGAGGCGCGATATTTGAGAGGCCACTGTGTCCCTCTATGCAATCTAGAATGCGGTTTGAGGAGAATGTCTTTTGAATGTCCTGCACTCTCTCGTGAGCCCTTTCAGTCACAGTAAACATGTTTCGAGTGCTTGCATAGGTCACGCTGGTGGAAATCGTTGCTGCATCCACGACCACACCGACCACTTGTAGGTGACCAAGGATAGTGATGCATGACGAACTTTGATTTGACAGGGAATCTCGAAGCAACCAGCACTGCGACCTATCCGTGAGCTGAGCCCCGCTGAAGCCGATACAAGGCTAGTATGTTTGCTTGATGCGATCTTCCGATAAGACATCACCCTTGAGTAGACGTATCCACGCCAATATCCTGATCTGACAAAGGGTGACAGTGGTATCTCGCCTGGTAGGTAGCGCTGCTGCCGGCAACAAAAAATCTCATCAGTGCCGAAGAGGTTGGCAAACCTATCACCTTATCGCGGGCATTTCGGTCTGGAGCTGTGACGTGTTCAAGCCTTGCTTCCGGTAACCCTGGGGTTCTTTCTCAGAGACATGGTCTCAGAGACATGGTCTCAAAGCCTGGATTACACGGCCAAATCAAGACAGTCGCCGGGTGGGAAGTGTTTGGACATGTTAAGGCACGATCCAGGGAAGAGCTCGCCATGGCTCTAATCGAGGGACTCCGATTTGGAGAATGTAGAGAAGATGGCTGAGTGAAAGAGCAAGGGAAGCCTGGCGGGATGAGCCAGCCGAGACGGACGAAAAGCGTCGGTGCCAGCCAGCACATTGCAGGCTATCATGCCATCCTGCATGCATGTTGTCGTGGTGATGCCACTTGCCAATCAGCACGAGAGACGTGCAGCAGCGTGCAGGATGCAGATATGAATACCTTGTACTACCTTTCGAGCAGTGAAGCACATTATCTCGGCTGAGATTGTCAGGAAGAGAGTTGAAGCTCAACACAACAAAAAAAAAAGAGGCTGGTTATTCAGCAGTGACGCAAGACAAAACCACCAATTAATGCTTGTAGAGGGACATATGTAACTATCCACTCCTTATTCGTACACTGTCTCCAGATTTCCACATGGGACGTGGTACGGGATGGCCATGACTGATAGCTACTAGGTAATCATTGCTGTCTTGATTATATGCCTAGAACATATGACGGATAAGAAACCTTTCCGTCATGGTACAAAAATACATTCAAGCATCCGTCCAGAGTATTCCCGATGAAAAATGATAGTGTCGCTCCAAAGCATTCTCTCAGTCTACCGCCACGGCCACCACGTGCCGTTCAACAGGCGGCGCCTTCTTGAAATCCATATTGCAGTGGCTTCAGACCCTGCCGTGCAGAAAGCCGGGCAGTGGGCTTCTTTGGGCTTCTTAGAGAATCTCTATCGCTTGTCCGAATATGCCGCCTGCCTCTCGTTCTGCTCAGCATACCTCTGCATTCTCCTGTTTGTCATGCTTCTCTCCAATAGTATGCCCACAACGGCCACGCCCATACTCACCGCCTCGAGGGCCAGCAACCCTGCAATCAGCCCCTGGCTCACCTCGCTCTCCATGCACAGCCTCTTGAATCCCGCGGGGATCGGGATGCCGTTGGTTACGTAGACTGGGATTTGTAGCGAATGGGCATCGGTCATGAATTGCGAGGCGCTATGAGAGAATTTGCATGTCCATGACTGGATCGAATCTCGGTGATGATGAGATGTGGGGTTGGTGAGGAGGCTATTGAAAGGGATGGCGAAAATGGATAAGATGACGCCTGCCAGGGAAGACGCAAAGAAGAGGACATTGTATAAAAGTGTGCGGGAGTACGGCTGTCCTCTGGTTAGATTAAGTTTTCCAAGAGCAGCCAGGGAGGAGGCTCACCGTTGGAATGAGTGACACGATCAAATAGCTCAAACTGAGGAGAAGGATGAGGGTGGCCGAAATCAAAATGGCCAAAGTCGGCCTCACGTCGACGTCTGTCGGCCACAGCGGGGGCAAATGCCATTTTGAACCCATGTGCGTGCTGTTATATCTGTGCAAGACATGCCCCTCACAGCCCACAGCGGCAGTGGCCGTGGCCGTGCTCAAAATCGCCAGCACAGCTCGGGTCCATCGAAGCCATTTCGCTCGTCGTAGATACGCAGACTCCTGAGCCGAAGTTGCTGAGTTCCGGGAATGCAAGGACGAGGTAAGGAGCGGCGACGGCTGGATCAACAGCGCGGACGCATCATAGGCGGGAGTAGGAGGTGGTGGCTCGAGTTTATTCATGCTGGAGCGGGACCTTGGTGGACTGTTGGAGCGAGTCTCGGTCTCTGAAGACGACGCAGGCCGGGAAGTGGTAGGGCGGTTCTCCATGATATAGAGGGATCGCCAGACGAGACAAAGCAATAAACAGCAGAACACAAAACCTTGGGATGATGGGGCAATGCGAAACCAGCGCCAAACAGCCCAGAAGTCGAACCGAGTGCAATACAAAAGGGCACGGAGAAACAAGTGAGGCTCTGTTCCATTATATCCCAATCGTATGTTTCCTTCTCATCAACTCACCTGGCCGACCACATCTTCGGCACGCTCGTGGCTGATCTATTCAAAGATCGGGCTTGTCTCTGATCGCCCTCCGCGGCCAGACATGGGCGAATCATCACTGAAGCATCACCACCAGTAATACAATGTTGGGCGGTTAGAAGGCTTGGTAGATGAATGAAACAAACCAGCGGGACAGACGTGGAAATGGGAGGGATGATGGCCAGCACTGTCCAAGCAAAAAGGCAGGCACCCAGCAGGGGGAGGAGCGCTGGGAGAAGAACTGCAGGAGAGAAATTGGGGAGGCCAGTGAGTCTGCGGCGCTTAATTCATGTCTTGGCGCTTTGAAGGCCAGTGATTGGCTTGTGCCCAGGCGCATGCAGGGCGCTAAGCATATTTATAGTAAGGTCCGCCAGAGTGGATCCGTACTCGGACAATTCGGCGGGTCCTGACTGGCCAGTTGGACTTGCTTCCTGCCGATCTCCATGGATCGACTCGCCAGCACACACACTCACCAACCGAGACCTCGAACAATCCTTCAACCGCGCACCTGGACCAACTCTGGCATAGCCCGCCATCTTCACCGAACCATGCAACCAGCTGCCAGGCCATCATCATTTGCTGCCGGCTCTTCTGCTTCAGCTGCTCTGCAGACACCGGCCTCAACCCCCATTGGCTCGAGGACGAGACAGCAGTCCCGGTGCAGAGCTCATTCGACCATTGGCCCGTCTCCTTCCACCATCATCCCAGGCCAAAGGCAATTCTAGCCTGCGATCCGAACATCACGGCATGCTGAAAGCAGATAGATGAGGAAACTAATTCCTCCATCTTCTGCTCGCTTCCGCATCAATGCCACTTTGCCATGACCCCAACCCTTTCCCTCTCATCTGGCCAAACTCTGGTCTTGCTGCAACTCTCCCCACCAGCCAGGCTCGAAAGGGTTACACCATCGGCCGCCAAATGGGTCTTCGTGCCTCCTGGCCCGCCAAAATCCAAAAACTCATTCCCTCTTTCAACCTCTTTTGGCCTTGTCCCGAGCCGTGACAAGTCCAGTGCCGTTACAACACTCCCCACATGACTTGCACCTCATGCATGACATATTGAGATGCTGGTGAATGAACTTCCGCCTTCCTTCCAAAACCAGTATCTTCCTCGCCAGTTTCGGGTTGTCGGAGAATTGTCGACCTGGACCAGCGCAACCTTATGCACGCTTGGACCTTTCGAGCCCTTAGGTCGATGCGACCCGTCACATTCTGCTCCCATTGGAGCTGCTCTTCGTGAACGCACTCGTATCCAAGTCGTCTCTCGTGGAGGGGTAAGTTCACGTGTTGGAAAGCTGCCCATCACACCGGCTCGAAGATGGAAGCGACCTTTTCCATGGCTTGCACCTCCTCCAGGTCCACTCGCCTGCCAGACAATGCCGTAGAATTTTCCCCCGAGGCTTCTCCACTGCGCTCGAGATGTGATCGTGTTCGTTGCTCGATATAACCTCTGCGCTCCTCCTTGAGTTCATCCTTGGCACTGGAGATGTTCATGTCAGTATCTTTCAGCGATGCCAGCTTTGGTCGCAACTCGGCGAGCAACGACTTGAGCGCGGGGAGTTGTGAAACAGCAAAGTTCGTGTTGGTGGTCAGACGCCGGCCATCGGTGTGTTGAGATCCATTGAGGGTCTGAGCAGATGCGCCATTCGTCAGGAACGAAAGGTTGGTTGTGGTGGTATGTGTATTGCCAATTAGATCTCTCAGTTGTCGTAGGATTGCCTCATTCCGCTTATACTCTTCTGTCAGGGCATTCGACACAGTACGCGAGGCGGCCAGCTTGCGCCGTAGGAGCTGCACACTCTCGACGGTGGGTGCGTTCTCCGGAGGTGGAAATGATATGTTCTGCGCGCAGTTAGCTCGACCCCCGAAGCCACGTCTGCGCAGTCTCGCCCACCTCGTAATGACCCAGCTGGACCCAGTTGACTAGTTCTGCAGGCACGGAGAGGATGTTCCTGAGCACATATATCTCAAATTTGTCAAAGTTCTTGTCTACCGTCGAGTTGAGCAGTGTCTCAAGTTTGTGAAGGCCCTCTTCGATCTCTTTCTTTGCCTCGGGGTACTCGAGTTCTTGCACGCCGTCGTCGCCGATAGTCTTGACGGCCTTGAAGCCTAGTTTCTCAGGAGGCGTCGTCAGCAGACCTGTTTCCAGGCTACCGACTCCTTGGTAAACGAAGTTATTGACCGAGTTGATGATGTCGTCGATCAGTGACTGCGGCTTGTCAGTCACCCCAAGTCCCATTCCATTGCCAGGGTCTTACCAAAGGCGTATACTGTAGATGCTCGGTCAAAAGCGACGTCGCCGCTTGCGACGAGTCAGCCATAACGGTGCCTTCGAGAAACGGAATGGGTAGAGCAACTATGCTGGGGGTGGTGATGTCGTGTTTACTAGTATTGTGTGACGCGCCCGCCGCGCCCAATGTTTTGGGGTCTTAAGGTCTTGGGGCGGCACGCCCGGGGCAGTCGGCAAGTCGGGAAACCGTGGGTGCCACTGGGTGCCACGGGCCTCAAATGACGCTGAAATGACATTTCTCTTCGCTCTCACTTGACAACCACTTTCCCTTCTACCCACATCATCTCCCGCACATCAGCCCCCTCCATCTCTTTATCACCAGTCAGACCTCTAAAATTACGCAGCTGAGACGATCACGACCGGTGTCATTCTTGAGTCTTAGAGTCTTCTTTCACTTCACCATGGGTGGTCCAGGCGTAAGTTTCTATTCGATTCGCAGCATCATCGACGCAGGCTAATCGGCTTCCTCCAGTCAGGAGGGTACAAAAACAAACCAGGTGATACCGAAACTCACTCAGCATGGGACATCATCCCTCAAGATCCAGAGGGCACCCAGGTATGTGTATGGCCTGCGCACCCTCTTCGGCCCCAAACCCCTCTCACTAATGTCACTTTTAGAAGCTCGCGCAGGTACGATGCAAGTACTGCAGCAGAGAAATGGCCCAGCATACCTCTCGGCAGCGTGTCCACCTCCTCGGCTGCAAAAATTATCTTGACGCGATGAAAGAGCAAGGCATCGAGAACAGCATTACCCGTCAGGCCGCCGATCCTCAAGCGTTCTTCAGAAGCTCGGACTGGGCGCAAAAGACCACAGAAGCCAAGGCTCCAAAGGTTTTCAAAATGGGCGACCACACCACCGCTGTGCGCATCCAGGCATTGGCGCTGGCCGAGGCAAGCATTTCTTACGACCGCATCCAGGAAATCACCGGAATGGACCCAAAAGTGATGGCTGGTCTTCGACGACTCGCGCGCGAACGTGGCTACGATCCAAGTGTCTCCATGCAGCTCAAAGAAGAATATGTCGTTGATCCTCCCAACGCACCCCGCCCTCGTGGCCGACCCCCAAAGAAGAGGAAGCAAGATGACGATGTCGATCCTGCCTTGACCAACATGCAGGAAACCTCTCGGCCTCAGAGTCCCAGCTACAGTAGCACACCCAACAACCGTAGCAACCTGCCTCCCGGACAGTGGGATTTCATCGCTCCTACGCCACCACCCAGTGGGTACACTATGACCTAAATGCACATTGAGAGATCTTTGGTCTTTTGGTGACTGTCCTCGACAGTTGCCTGACTCATGACATCCTGCCATAATTCTGGTCGAGGAGGGCATCCACGTCCAAGGGCGCAAGTTGCCGAAAGGGGAGTACGGTGGGTTTCCGTGCCCAGGTTGCCGGTCCAGGCGTTCAAAATTAAACGCCTTTCGAGGCACGGAGTTACCATGGGAGAGCGTCTACTGAGCACTGATAACACGGGAGAATAATGTATGATTACGATGGAAAAAGTGTGCGTGTGGGAAAATCTGGGGGTTGAGACATTGACGGACTGGCTTCTTCGTACGCTTCAACAGGGGAGGTAATTCAGACAGAACTTCAGAAAGCACCAGGTAGCACAGTGTAGCGGACTAGCAGATAGCTAATCAGACGGAAGTTCAAAAGTCCATGGTACATGCCTGCGAGAACAGCTGGTCTGGCTGCATTGAGACGAGAATCCTCCGCCGGCTGCTGCTCAGCGTCTTGCTCGCAGGTACCGTCCAGTGCACTTTCGGTAAGGGACATTCCGATATCAAGCTTGGTCCCGACAATGACTCTGAGCGTGGCTGAGCAGCGACGTCTCTGTGATTATTTGCCCGTTTGAAACCCGGAAGTCTGTCAGCCGAGCTGCAACCCCGGAGAAAAAACAAGGGTAGAGCCGTAGACAAGCTTTTTCAGAGGGAGGCGAGGAGGATCAAGGCCCAGATCGAGGTCCCGAGGTTGCAAGATCCGCGTGAAGCGAGTTGTATGGGGATGGGACATGGCTGGTAAACGAGATAGAAGGGAGTGAGTTTGGGGAGCTCGGAGGTACTCAAAGGAGGCAAAGAAGCTGGGCCCTCGGAGTGCCAAGGACAGATATCACGCCATCCCCAAAAGGGAAAGGCGCACTCCGCTCGTTGGAAACATCTTGTGCCTCAGGGTCGCGCTCCTTCTCCTGCCTCAAACACCATTCAAAACCTCCCAGCGCTTCGGATGCTCCTCTCGCCTCTCACTCTGCGACACTCGACTCCTACCCTTGCACGCCTCCGTTGTGACTCTATTCCTAGCTATGGACGTTTTGACGCTGGCCTCCTTGCTTCTTTGCGCTCTCTCCGGTAGGTTGTTCTCGCCTGTCGCGTCTCAGGTATCCCCTTCCATCTGAGACGACTTTGTAACGACTCGTCCACAATGTCTTCAACCTCCTCCAGGGGCAAACACGACAAGGTGACGAGACTCTGCGAGTGCCATGTCCCTGGCCTATCCAGATCCATAATCTCAGTTCCTAGATCCGGACTCTCTCCTGTTCCGTCCTTTGCACAGCCTCTTGCTTCCTCGCCGGCCTACATATGTCTCCTGTGTTGCTGTTTCGAAATCGTTTCTTTCTTTCCTCTCTTCATTCCATCCTTATACCAAAACAAAAAGTGGTCTTCGTGTACTTCCTAGTACCGGTCCTGTTCATTCCTTTCCTGCTGCTTGACGCACTGCAGTTTTCTGTTCTTGCGCCGGTCGCTCGTTGTCTCGCACCATCTCAGCTGTCCCTCTCCAATATCAAATATTGACTAGCATACACTATCCCTCACAAAATCTCGGCAATCATGTCTCTCAAGAGTCTTCTCGTCTCAACCTTTTTCGCGGCGTCTGCCTTCGCACAGAACTACGGCAGCGGCAGTTACGGTGGCAGCTACGGCGGCGGTAGCTCAGGCAGCGGTAGCGGCTGGAGCAGTTGGAGCGGGAGCAGCAGTCAAGGCCCTCCAGCACTCGCTGCAGCGTCATGCCCAGCTGGTTGCCAACCGATGCCCACCGGTGGCGCACCACCAATGTCGACTCAACCCGGCCAATTGATCGTCCAGGTCGTCTCTGTCTCGGACAATAACGGCTCTCTGAAGTATTTCCCCGACAAGGTCACCGCGCCAGTCGGATCTGTTGTCCAATTCCAATTCCACCCAAAGGTATGTCTGCTCCATCTAGTTCGCGGCTATGCGGTCTAATATTTGCACAGAACCACACAGTCACAGAGTCGTCCTTTGCTGAGCCTTGCAAACCTATTGCCGCCAATCTCACCACCCCCACAAGGCCTGGGCTGAAATCTGGTTTCGTTCCGCTCACCGGCACGGAGCCATTTACCCCTGTCTACAACGTCCTGGTTAACGACACCAAGCCCATCTGGATCTACTGTGGCCAGACCAATCACTGCGAAAAGGGCATGGCCATGGTCATCAACCAAAATGACTCCTCGCCCAACACTATCGACGCCTACATTGCCAACGCGGCCAAGATACCACTCGTTAATGTCACCACACCTCCCCCAAGCAGTAGTGCCGCCGCACCTCCGGCTTATGGCTCTCCGCCACCCTCAGAGTCATCGGCGCCTCCCGCTGCCCCCCCGGCTGCGCCTCCAGCTTCATCCTCGGCGTTTGCCTTTGGTGCCCCGCCAAGCTCCACGCCCGTCGCGCCAGAATCGACTGTTGCTCCGCCTTCGAGCTCGGTACCCGTGGCTCCTGCTACATTCACTGGTGCAGCTGTGCCAGGCTTCGTGCCTCAATCATCAACAGGTGTGGTCGGTCTTGCTCTTGGTGTGCTGTTGGCTTTGTGGTAATACCTTTTTGAATTGAGTCGATATACCCCCACTGGAGAAAAACGAAATTCCGGCGCAATGGAAAGAAAAGGGGAAGAACCCTCGACGTCGCCGCTTCTGGTGTCATTTGTGAGGGATCGGGGAATGTCTCAGAACTCCCTCGGCAAGATCCGAGGTTGAGTCGAGTCAAATCACAGGCCGCGACCTGGAAAGGAGGGAGGTTATTGATAAGGAGTCAAGCGGAAGTTGGGAGTCAATGCTCCTGTGGACGACTTTTTTTACAAAACATATTTTTTTTCTTTACTCAAATACCACCTTTTTGATACCAAGCTAGCTACATATCTACATACTATGTAGCTACATGCCACGTGTGCAACTGCCCGAGACGCAGAGGTATAGATATATGTATGAATACATATCCATATACAAATACTCAGTATGAAGAGGGCACGGACTCCTTTCCCTCCCCTTAAGGACGAACTGGATTTCCATCATCTTCTATTCTACGCGGCTTTTGCTCCCTTTTTGTCCACATTCTTGGTTCATTTCATCGTCTACATGTGTAGACAGCCACTGGGTAAGACAAGATAAGCTGAGGAGGTAGGCAGGTAGGTAGGTAGGTTGGTCGGCAGATAGGTAGGCAGGATAGATATGGACGCTCTCTCTTCCTCTCTCCCTCCCTCCCTCATTTTCTCTCTCTCTCTGGGTGTGTGCCCGTCGGAGCCGGGTTGACCATGCAGCATATGCCCGGCTCATAGGCGCAGGAGTTAGTCTATGGTAGCAGAAGCGGAGATATATAGGGAAATGTAGAACCAGCGTATAAGATTTGGAATTTCTTTGCACTTCCAGATTCGCATGTTCTGAGTTTTCTCTTCCACTTTAGCGAGCGAACGAGCGAGCGGGTCAAGGAGGGGTTCTACGAGCATTGATGTACAAGATGGAGAAGAAAAGGCCTCTTTTCTGAGTAATCCTGTCCCGTGTCCGTTGCGAGACTGGAACCACTAGTAGAGATGCACAGCTCTGTGTTTCCCATCCTTGCCAGTCTCACGACTGCTCCATTCTATCCGGTTCATCTTCCAACCCGCATATTCGCCGGCTCAGAAATCCAAACACAGCTGCACGCCCACTCTCTCCAGGTCCTCGACCTCAAGCCACCCCGTATCCCCCACTACCACACCATCGCCATCCCCGTTTTGGTGGGCAGCGCGCTCTCGTTTATCATCCACGCACCGGCGTATCGCCTCCTTGACAAAGATCTCGGTGTATTTCCCCATGAGGTGTCGCGCGTCCGAGGAAATTGAGGTTTTGTTTGGAGAAGAGAAGTGCGTGTGCATGATTCTGTGGATGAGTGGGAGGGGGATAGGCGGGTTCAGGGTCGTGGAGGATGTGGATGTGTTGGTGACTTCGGCGAGGATGAAGTCGGGTTCGGGGGAGGAGAGAGTGAGGGTGCGGTCGGGAGGGAGGGAAGGTTCCTCTTCGGCTGAGTCTTTGTCTTCGGATTCTTGTGCGCCGTCGTCGTCGTCGTCGTCATCATCCTCACCCTCATCCTCATCCACAAGGTTATCATCCTCGTCGACCGCAGTGTCCATGTTCGCGTTATCTTCCGACCCAGCACCACGTTGGTCTTCATCTTCATCGTCGTCTCCCGAGCTTGCCTCTCCAAGTATGGCTCTCATCGTCCCCGCGGCAGCCCCTTTTCGTTTCGGCTTCGGCCCCTGTCTTCCCACTCTGGGTTTTCGCTGCTTCTGTTTGTGGATTTTCGAGTTTCCCACTCCCCCCAAACTACTGTGTCTGGCTGCGTTGCTTTTTCTCGTTGTGCCCTTCTTCTCTTTCGTCGACTTCGTGGCCGTCTTGGACTTCCCCGGCCGAGGCGGCGAAAAAGCACTCTTTGTCGCTTTCCTGAACGCGGTCGAGGGAGCCATATCTCCGGGACTCAAAAGTGTCTATTACTCCAATCGCTGGTACGGTATGGGGGCTGGTACTCGAGGCACTCGAGGTTCGATTTGTCTGACGTGGGACCCAGCGGGATTTGTTCCTTTTTGCGCATGAACAGGTGGGGTCTATGATGCTGGGAGGATTGGGTGTGTGTATTCTGTGAGTGTCACTGTCAATTTGTTGTATTTTGTCGGATATGGTTAAGATGCAAAGCGGACACGGCAGATGCGACGCGCTCATGAAATGACGTCATATGTGGGCGCGCCTCACACGCGTTTTAACGAGACACGTGAAGCCATATACCGAGTACTCGTAATTACTGCAAAGCTACAATTCGAATCTGTAAATTGAAGACATGATATTTTTCATTATGACCATTTACAGGTCTAAGCTATCATCACCCAATGTTCCATGAATGTGCCCATAAGGCCATTTCAACCGAACGCCATCCGCTTTTAGGCTTTGTCATAATTCGTCCCCCTTCCAACGCCTAGCCTTTGCTGTGCGCGAGCTTTGACCCCTTTACTCGTAAAGGTCCATGTTGCCATTCGTGCCGTCCTCCAACTCTAACATTGCGTCGTCGTCATCAAACATATCTTCGTCTTCTTCCATCTCACTGTCGCTGTGGTTGGGCAATACCACAACCCGTCCGTCCTCCAAAACGACATTGGCCGTCTCTCCGTCCTTGATGGCACCTCTCAAGATCAAGACAGCCAGGCGGTTGAGGATTTCCTTCTCTATCAATCTCTGCAGAGGTCGGGCGCCATAGGCAGGTGAGTATCCAGCGGCACCCAGGTAGTCTTTGACCTCGTCGCTTGCGTTGATCGTGATCTTCTTGTCGTTGCTCTCGAGTCTCTTTTGGATTTCGTGCAATCTCAGGTCGACGATCTTGCGGATTTCCCTCCTCGTGAGACGGTTGAAGATGACAATCGAGCTGATTCTGTTCAAGAACTCCGGCAGGAAGTAGTTCCGCAGAGCATTCATCACCAACTCCTTGGTGGTGGGGTCAATCTTGCCATCAGGTGCAGTATTGCGAGACAAGTACTCTGCACCAAGATTGCTCGTCATGACCACAATGCAGTTCTTGGCGTCCACAACACGTCCTTGGCCATCGGTAATTCTACCGTCGTCCATGAGTTGAAGCAACACGGTGAGCACTTCCTTGGCAGCCTTCTCGACCTCATCGAATAGCAAGATCGAGAATGGCCGACGTCGTAATGCCTCGGTGAGTTGCCCACCAGCGTCGTGTCCAACATATCCTGGAGGCGCACCAATCATTCTTGACAGTGAATGTCGTTCTTGGTATTCTGACATATCGAATCTGATCATGGCCTTCGGATCGTCGAACAGGAATTCGGCAAGCGCTTTGGTCAACAGCGTCTTACCAGTACCAGAAGGACCGCAGAACAGAAAGCTCGGTGGCTGATTGGGATTCCCCAGGCCAGAACGTTGAAGCCTGATGGCGTTTGAGACAGACTGAACAGCCTCTCTCTGGCCAACGACAATGCGCTGCAGATGCTGTTCCATGTGAAGAATCTTCTCCTTCTCGGAAGCACGCAGTCTCGTGATCGGAATACCAGTCATTTTGGCAACAATGGCATTGATTTGTTCAGGGCCAACAGCGTCGGTTGGTGAGACCTCGCCCATGGCACCAAGTCTAGCGTGCTGCTCAGCATCCGCTTGAGCTCTGGCGTTCTCGAGGGCCTTGATCTTCGCAGCCACATCGGGAATGGCGTAGTATGTCAAGTCAGAGGCAGTCTGGAGATCATTGGAACGTTCTGCTTCGTCTCGTTTGTTCTTCAGTTGTTCCAACTTCATCTTGAACTCCTGGATTTCCCGGGAGCGAGCCTTCTCCCGTTCGTAGTGCTCTTTCAGAGGTTCCAACTCTTCCTTGACGTTGGCGGCTTCACGCTTGGCCTCTTCCAAACGCTGAACCGATGAGGGGTCTGTTTCTCGTTGCAGGGCATGGATCTCGATCTCGAGTTGTCGGAGTCTTCGTTCAAGGTTGTCGAGAACTTCAGGTTGCGATTCTCTGATGACGCGAACGTCGGCTGCTGCCTCGTCGATGAGATCCACGGCAGAGTCGGGCAGACGCCGAGATGTGATGTACCGAGCAGCAAGGGTTGCAGCAGCCACAATGGCGCCGTCGAGAATGGTCACACCGTGGTGGACTTCGTATCGCTCTTTCAAGCCGCGAAGAATGGAGATTGTCTCTTGCACGGTGGGCTCTTTGACCAAGACCTGTTGGAATCTTCGTTCGAAGGCAGCATCTTTCTCAATATACTTGCGGTACTCGGCGAGGGTGGTGGCACCGATACAGTGAAGTTGTCCACGGGCCAGCATAGGTTTGAGCAGATTTGCTGCGTCCATTCCACCTTCACCACTGGCACCAGCGCCCATGAGCAGATGGATCTCGTCCACAAAAAGAACGATCATCTCATTGGAGGCTTCGATCTCTTTGAGGACACCCTTCATTCTCTCCTCGAATTCACCACGGTACTTGCTGCCAGCAACAAGAGACCCCACATCCAGCGAGAGAAGCTTGCAGGCGGCAAGATTGGCAGGGACGTCAGCATTGATGATCCGTTGCGCCAGACCTTCGATAACAGTGGTCTTGCCGACACCGGGCTCACCAATGAGGACAGGGTTGTTCTTTGTTCTTCTGGACAAAATCCGAATCACCCGTCGGATCTCTTCTTCTCGTCCAATCACGGGATCGAGTTTGCCTTCTCTCGCCAGCTGCGTCATATCGATTGTGAATTTCTTGAGATTTTCATTTTCCTCCTCCGAGTCGGCCTGTTTCGAGTCGACCCGCTTCGTGCCACGTATTTGCTGAATGGCAGCGTCGATGAGTTTGGTATTGGGCACGTTTGCCTCCCGCAGGGCTTCCTGGATCTTGGGGTCCTGCGCGAGGGCGGTGATCAAGTGATCGATAGCCACATAGGTATCTTTTTGCGTCTTTTGCAGCTCCTGGGCGGATCTGATCACTTTTGAGAGGGAGGGCGACATGGTGACATGCTCGGGCGGAGGGTCTTGACTCGGAAGCCGCACGAGGGCTTTTTTGAATGATCTGTCGAGTAACTGAATGTCGCCATGGGCTCTTTCGACCACCTGCCTGAAGAGAGGAGCGGAGGCGTGAGACTGTGAGGCATTGACTGTCGTCTGTTGGTCTTTCGATTCGTCCGGAGGAGGGTCAAACAGAGAAACTGCCAGGTGGACTGGCAGAATCTGTGAATGAGCATACTGTTCAGCGAGGTTTGCAGCATCGCCGAGTGCCTTTGCGGCACGATCAGTGAACTGAGGCACGCTCGCCATCGTTCAGTGATGTTGTGAGTGTCGAGGATTCTATCGTGTTTCGTGTAGGAAGTTGTGCAAGAAGTTTAAAAAGTCACTGAGAGTGTGAAGCGCGTGATAATAAAATACTCGGGAGCAGTGCCCAAAGCGAAGCGAAGACCAATTGGTGCTGCGAGTAATATGACATCGGCTGGCATCTTCCAGAATACCCTAGCATGTGCTAGCATGTCTTGGCGCCTGCGGGGAGGTTCCTGTACCAACCCGACCACTCGAGACAGTGCCTCCTCATTACTTCCCGGTGTCTTCCAGCAACCTCTCGTCATTGTCACCTCATGCTCACTCCCGATGCGTCACTCATCAGACCACCGGAGTGACTGAGTGTCTCATCCAAGCGAGTGGGGAAACGTTAGGCACGCATCTATGCTAGCAAACGACACAGGCATTGGACTCAAGAGCTGCTCGACGGCGGCAAGGACTCCACCCAATGGTTGCAACAGAACCAACTACGTGAAGAAGAATGACGGAAAAGAAATGAGCACCCATAGTGGAAGGTCAAAGTGAGGCATGAGGTAAAGAGCAAGAACCACTTGTCCGGTATGGGCTTCCATCTCCCTGTTCCGAGTATTCCGCTGGGTGTCCCTGTAGGTAGGTACCTAGCTGTCTATCCACTAGGTTAGGTACCTTGGTAGATACCTCCTTAACCGCACCCGCTAGCCCCCTATTGATCCACCATTGCCTGTTTCATGAACCCCCATAAGATGACTTCTTCAACCATATTCCAATCCGGAAATGTTGAGCCGATATTAAATGGTTTTTCAGTTGCTAGTGCATCCGGGGACACCACGACGTCGTGTCTGCAGCCTGACAAAGATTTCACTCTAGCTAGCAGTCTCCACAGAATGAGCGAGTCTGGTTGTATTTTTGGTAATATGCAATTGAATTATGCAAGTCTGTAATTTACTAATCCTTAAGACGTGGGAAAGAATGATCCATTCTGGGGTAACGAGAAGAGTAGCAGTAGCGCTGGTCAGATATCCGACGTCGTCTCCCGCATCAAGTCTTCAAGGCAAACTGCTTCAGGTACAAGTAGTCGGCCATGTTATCGTCGACGGTTTTCCGAATCACTTTGGCAGCCTTTTCTCCGAACTTTTCCTTCCATTCAGCATCCCATTGTTCTTCGGTCTTTGGTGCTTTCTTCTGTCCACAGTTAGTTTTGCCACGGAATGAAAATGGTTACCACCCACGTGAGCCCTCGGCTTGAGGTCTGTCGAGTCAATCGCGTCCTCATGGAAACCCTTCCATTTCTCGAAGACGGTCTTCGCACGCTGCTGATCCTCCTCGTTGTCCCAGTTCATCATGTCAGGGTGGAAATCAAGTCCGACGCTCTGGCAGTAAGCTCGGAGAATACCCTCGGGGTCGTCCAACAGATCGTCAGCATCGACCACACACACTTCAGGCACTTTGGCATCGCCATTCACAACTCTGCCATTCTCTGTCCCATTCTTTAGCCCATCTTTTCTGTCTCGCACCAACCCAACCTCCCGGGCATAGTCAAAAAAGCGTCGGAGCTCGTCGTAACCAGCCTCATTCGGATAGAACTCGTGGAATCCCGTCAAGTCCTCCAACGGCGGGATGGTACAGCGATAATAAGAAGGAATGCTCGAGTGAGGATCCCGGATGAGGAAGGTGAAATGAAACTTGTCCAGCAAGGCTTTGGGGACGATTGTGGGATTTCCCGGTTCGCCTTCCGTTGGGAATGGGAACGGGGCTTTCTTGCTGACGCCGTTGGTACCATTGACATGATAAGTTCCGTTCACGCCGTTGGTACCGTTGGTACCGTTGACCCCATTGACCCCGTTGCTCATCTTCTCGGTTCCGATGCCTCTCTTGACTGACTGCAACGATGGAGCCAGTTTCGGAGGCTGCTGGTCGGGGGGAACCAGATACTGAAGCATGTCCTTGAGGAAGACGCGTTTACCCTGGTCTGGTAAGCATGGAATGTCGGATTCGGTGTGAAGGCTTGCTTGAAAAGGAAAGACTTTTGAGGGAACATCACACCTTGTCTCCTCCGCGTTCGAGGTCATCAAAGATTGTTTTGTAGGTTGCCTCGCTGTATCCCGATGCTTTCCTCGCATCTTCGTCATTTTCATAGCGAACGCTCATCCTCTCCGGACTGAAGAGAGGGTTAGGTTGAAACGCTCCTTCGTTCTGCCTGCACCGACTCACCCATAATAGAATGCGTCGCCAAATGGTTCATGGAAACAGTTCAAATCTTTCCTGGTCATGAACACCTTGCAAAATGGTCAGCGATCTCATCAAGTCCTCAAAGCAGGCAGCATCGAGCGAACACGTTCAAAAGCTGTACTACATGCACGTGGGTGCGTGGCACAGAATATAGGTTTGGCCATGACGGCAATGCCTTCTCGACGACAATGCTACAAGTCGATCGAGAGGCTGAAGTCGACAGAATCGGCCAACTTGAAGTAAAGAGAATGTCAAGGTTCGGAGAACCTAGGAAAAATAGCCCCTTTCGGTCAGCTAGATGATTTCAGCCGGACAAGGCAGCCAGGAAATCGAGAAAGAAGACTCCTCTGAGCGATTCTGCGAATCTATGGAGATCACCAAGTAGGTATTTATAACAGGACCAGATAACGGGACTCGGTCGCGGTAATCGGACGGACATGGGCAAAAGTCACTCGAGAAAAGAAGTCTTCATTGCCTGCATTCAACTGGGATCCTTTTCCATGGCGAATCAATGGGCTTTACGAGGTGGTGAAAAATTCGTCATTGCTCCATGTGCCAGTGATGTTGAGGATCTCGAATGACGCCAAGGGGAATGCGATTCGCTTGCCGTCGTCGGAAGGCCCCGCAGGACGAGAAACATTCCCAAGTCACAATCCACTTTTCCAGGAACATGTGGGAGATGGAGATCGTGATTGGCATCTCGAAGGGCCCAGCGGCGACCCGTGAGAGCGAGGAGGCGAACGCCATGCATGGAGTTGACGGCTGACGGCCGAGTCGCGGGAAACGTTGAGGAGGGAAAAGTCCAGGGCAATCTGGATGGCGAATTGAGAGGAGATGGGTCCTCTGAGCCCAGGTCATCGAAGAGATGCATCAAACTCGAATCACACTCGGGCGATCCCGAGCCACCTATGTAAGTGATACATCTTGACCTGAGTAATGCGATCAACGCCGAGCATTTCAAAAGTGGTAGGAATGACTGGTGATCAGAGCCAGCGGCGACTTCAGAGAACTGTGTGACGTCGGCAATCGGTGGGAAACCTGGAAAGAAGGAAGTTGTACCTGACGTTCGAGAGATTTCCAGTTCCAGTTGAAGTTGGAAGAAGGTGTGGAGGACTAGCGGGCACTTGAACTTGGCTTAACGGGTATTAGTAGGTAGCCTAGCAGTGCCTACTAGGTAGGTAAGGCAGATCTGGGGAGGACACAATAGGGGAGCCATCAGTGGCGCCATGGACCCCAAGGGCAACCGCCTTAGGCACCTGGCGAGCGCTGGGTACCTACAGTACCTAGGTAGCGAGCTAGGTAGGCAACTCTCGACAGCGGAATAGTCCGCAGCAGGATCCAAGCCACCTAACGTGTGTACCCAATGGAGCAGGTAGGGCATTGTCGGGCAAAAATCCCAACTCTGTCAACACCATTGCTCTGAGTTCCAACATCCAGAGCCCCATCACGCATATATCGTCCGCTCTTTCTTGAAGTCGGGGAGTTTGGCGCCAGGGAATTGTCGAGTCTGGTTGATCTTCATCGCGCTTCTTTTTTCTTCTCTTGGAGAGCTTTCCTTCTCAACGATTCTCCTGCACCTGAAGCTGTCTGTCTTCCCTCGTAATCATCAACCACCAGCATGGATTTTTTCAGGAATCTGATAGCCTCTCCTTCGCCTGCGCCGCCTCTTGCGCCAGCGACCATCGTGGCCAAAGCGATCCATCCATATTATCCCACCGAGATTGAAATCGTCAACTACGCTACCAACGAAATGACCGTTCCGCAGTTACTAGCTACCTTTGCGACTGGTTGTACAATCATCCTCTCGCTCACCTGGTTCCTCACGTCGAGTCTTGCACCACGTCTCAGAGTCGCGGATAAGGCCATTGCGCTGTGGTTTTGCTTGTGTATGAGAAGAGCCACACTACTGGGCGAGATGCACACTGACATGGAAAAGGCGGGTTCATTCACTTGTTTTTCGAAGGCTACTTTGCCTACAACCACACTCGCATGGGCGGTCTCCAAGATATCTTCGGTCAATTGTGGAAGGAATACTCGCTGTCGGATTCGAGATATCTGACCTCGGATCCCTTTGTCTTGTGCATGGAGACCATCACGGCGGTAGGGGCCTTTCTCTCCCAACAAGTTCGAGTTGAAGGACAGTGTTGACATCACTTAGGTCTTCTGGGGTCCCCTCTCCTTCTTGATGGTGTATTTCATTATTGTATCGCACCCTTTGCGTTATCCACTGCAGGCTATCGTTTCACTCGGACAGATCTATGGCGACATCCTCTACTACGCGACCTCGATGTTTGATCACTACCACAAGAATTTGACCTATTGCCGACCCGAGCCATACTATTTCTGGTGTTATTACTTCTTGATGAATTTCTTCTGGATTGTCATTCCAGCAAGTAAGTCCTCCCTCGTCCCGTGTTCTCAAGTCAGAGCTCACTCGGAAATCCGCAGTTCTGCTCGCTAGTAGTCTGAGAATGACAGCCAAAGCTTTCAAAGCGCTTGACCGAATATCGCATTCGGTGCAAGGAAATGGCACTGTGGCCAGACCGAAAGCCAACGGCCACATCAAACATGCATGAAGGGTGCGATCAGAAAGGAGGGTGGCGTCCAATAGAAGGCGTCGGATTGGCTGCTGTACGAGCAAGAGTCCATCGGTGTCTCCCCGAACTGCATCCCGCTTCAAGAATTGGTTGAGATCCCAAGTGGTCTGGATTGCGGTGGCTGTGATGGCAAGCGAGGTATAGCTCGAGAGTAGCAGCAAGGGAGCTGAAAAGTGCCAGGCGATCTGCACACTAGACAATGATTATTGTTAATCCTTCTTTTTCGAGTATGGGATCGACTGATTACTTCTATTTGTATATTCGGGTCGTGTTCGGTTATCGATCGTGGTGGTTGCTCTGGAAACCGTCGCGACATATCCGGCCCGGCAAGCTGGGGCTGGCGAGGCCTTTGACGCAACCTGCATATTGACTTGCGCCCACCTGCGTCCACCTGCGCTACCGCCATTTGGTTGAACTGCGCCTTGCATGAAACCCAGTGAATCCCAGTGATAGTTCGGATCTCCTTACCGTTGGCACCTGGAGTTATTTTTGCCCAAGAGTGCGCGCCCGTGCCACAAGCACCTCGAATATACCAAGCACACCTGTACCCATAACTTCCTCGTGCGCAAACCGAACTCAACATGCCCACAGACTGGTCTTCACATCTAGCGAACACAAGTCTGATGGACCGAGCGATAGCTATGCATTGAATGATATAGAAGGCCACCACAACATAGCACCAGGACGCATATCCGTCAATGCGAGCAGACTCGACTCCAACCTCCGTCCGCCGAACATCCAAGAACCATCGCTCTACTACACGCTCTTCCACCAAAGCGCAAAATGTAGACTCATCTCGTCCCACTGGGCTCTACGAGTCACCTTCTGTTCAAGACCGTATCCGACAATGGCAGGCTCAAGGCGCAGCAAATGCTCCGGCCCCAGATGCTGTGAGCGTTCGATCGATACCCATCTCGGAATGCCCCTCCACTATATCGAAACCCGAGTCGGAATATGGAAACGAGTCCAGGGTTCGTGTCGGCGGAAGGACCAAAGCAAAGAATGAGGAGGATCAAGAGAGGGCCAGGAGCTCCAGTGCTCCGCGAAGGCGCATCATCAGCGATGGCCACTGGAAGACGCAGAGGCAGGCGAAAGACAACAAGGATGCAAAAGTCGGAGCCAATACAAGACCGGAATCACGATTGTATGACCTCTCCTACACTTCAAACCAAGAAAGGAGCAAAGGGAGACGACGCTCTAGAACAGAGCATGCTTCGCGCGCCGGCCAGGGCGCGGGACAAACATTGCCATATGACGACGGCATTAGAGTGGCACCAGTTTCAGTCGATGACCAAGCACAAGAGGAGGCCTTGCCGCCTGCGTACGACCTGGAGAGCCGAGCAGACGAAGAGCTTGCTCAGCACTTGACTACAGAATCTATCGCGTCGGGAGATCTTGGGAGATATGCACACGAACCAACAGGGCGGGAAGACGATGTTCCTGGTGATTGGAGACCCAGCAAATACGCCGCGTTGTTGGGAAGGACAGAGGAGGCTTCTCTGGACGGAGAACTGGCAAAATCCAAGAAAGGTGGATTATTGGGCAAGACCAGAGGCATGTTCGTCAAGTCAGAGGCTATGTCTTCCCACGGCAACAGGCTACCCAGTATTGAAGCATGGCTTGACGAGCAACCCGATCCGTTCGTCGACAACAAGGATGGCTTGGACGATCTGGCGCCAGTCGAAGTGCCCCAGCCGTTGAGGAAACGCACGCACCGGAAGAGATCCTCCACAGAGAAGTCTATCGCGCCCGATCCGAATCAGATTTGGAATTCCATCTCACCTCATCAGACAGCATCCAGCCTCCACGATGCATCAAGGCCTGGTGGTTCGGTCCCTTCGCCAGATATTAACCAAAATTCCTCTTCAAAACTTGGCAATGCTGCAAATGAGGCACAAGATGGAAGTGATGGCTCGCCCTCCAACCTGCGGAGGAGAGGTGCAAGAGTTCGCCGCCAGCGAGGCTCGGCGAAACAGGACAAAGTACCGGATGGAGCCTCCCCAGAGCCCGCAGCGTCGCGGGCAGAAGGTTCCCCAGCTGAGAACGCGACTCTCAGAGCTCCCAGTCTACCTCAACGACCCTGCCCCCCCACAAATCCGCATCAGCTTCCAACGATCCAGTCTGTGGAGACTTTCAAAGAAGTCGAATTAGAGCCGCAGGCTCTGGGAGAGGTTCCAGCGCAGGTCTGCGAACTCAAACGCAAGCTAACCACTCACGAGGATCTGATGTCTGTTTTGTCATTACCAAGGGGCAGCCGCGCCCGTCGATCGAGACGGAATGCGAGAACTACTCGTGCGAAACAACAGCCAGGTTCAGCACAAGAGATAATCGCTGCGGTGGTGGCTGACGAAGAAAAGTATGGACGGGAGTTGCGAACCTTAGTCGACGGCGTCATCCCGGTTCTGCTCCAATGCCTCCTATCCAAAACGGATGCGGCGGCGGCGGCGGGCTTGTTCACATCGGCATCGCTCCAGGATGATGCGAGCACCACCAGACCTATCATCGATATGGGTATTGCTCTGGAAAGGTTGAAGGCCTTGCATAATCGAATCCCCTCCCAGAATCTGGACAGTCTACTCAACTGGGCCCAAACGTCGGAGAAGGCATATAGAGACTATCTGCAAGCCTGGAGACTCGGCTTTGAGGACGTGGTTGTCAACCTTGCGCCCTTGGAAAGCTCATCAGCTCAAGAGCAAAGCATGGCCAGGGACGAGGCTGGCGACCTAGTGGACGCTACGGGCAAGAAAGTCGACGTTGCATATCTCCTGAAAAGACCGCTTGTGAGGGTCAAAGCCCTGAGCAAGACATTTAATCGGATCAAGGATGAATACGACGTGCCTCTTGCTGCACAGATGGCCAATACTTATGCTGATCTGACAGCGCTTGCGAAGAGAAGGAACCAGGAAGAGCAAGCCAGGTTGGAAGATGAGGCAGCTGCCAACATTGATGCAACAAGAGCCCGCGATATTAGGACAATGGCAGCATCAGGGCACATCACTGTCAACAAGACCCGCCGCGTCAAGGCAAGGGACGATTTCAACCTCACAATCTATCATTCTAGTGGACAAAGGATGGATTGCAGCGTCGAACTGATCTTCCGAGACAACGCTCGCGGTGACTCCCCTGGTGGAGATGTTCTGATCTGTGAAATCGATGATACCGGGAAGTGGCTGCTCTTTGCCCCCATTGAGCTGAACTCGATATCTGCCAGACGTGGTGAGGATGGATTCGATCTCGTCATCATGATTCGCGGTCGGGCAGGTATAGGACAAGAATGGCACGAATTATTAGCCTTGAAGACCGACGATAAAGAAGCTGTGGCGGAGTGGATGGACATGCTTGGTTCGAACCCGCTGCCCCCGAGGCTGAACCGCACTCCAAGTTTTGTGAAACGACCTTCACCTTCGGCCGTTGCTCCAGCGGCTGAGTCCGAGGCCTCGGCGTCAAAAATCAGCAGTCAGACAGTCGATAAAAGTCCTGCAACCACACCCGAATATCTGGATGTACCCATTGGCGAGCCCTCTGTTCTTGGGGCTCGCAGCGAGTTGAGTCGGCGTCCACAGCATAACAGGGCGCTCGTCGAGAGACCGGCACAGCGGTTAAATCTAGGGGGCGGTCTGGCGTCAAAGCCTCTTCCCCAGTATCCGCCAGCCTCGAAAATTCCCCCAAGGCGCCCCGTCTCGGTTCCGTCAGTCCTGTCCTCCGACCGATCCACAATTTCAGATCGTTCCATACGGGATTCAGCTACTATATTCACCTCATCGTCATCCAAAACTGCATCAACTAATCCTAGCCTTCTGTCAAGTCAAACCAAAACCCCTGAAGCATGGCAATCTCCTCACCCCCAACCTCCCAAGTCTCCTGATGATGCGAACAGTCAGGTCAAAAGCAACAAAAATGCTGGCTTACCAAAGCTCAGTGGACCAGGCAATGCCGGCAGTGGTTACAAAAGCCCTTCGGTATCGCCCGAGACAAAGATATCAAGAGCAAGTGCGACGGAGCCAGCCTTACGGGACTCACAATATCCGCTACCGACGGCCAACAATGGCCCATACTCGTCGAAGTCTTCCCCAAGTACAGCACCTCAAAGGCCAGACTATCATCGTACATTGTCCTCTACCCCGTCAAAAGACCTGCCCACCGTCAACAAGCTTCGAACTCAGCAAGCTCAAGCAAGTCCGTTGTCGTCCCCGCCAGCGAAACAACCTCCAGGGACACCGTTGTCAACGTATACGCCTGATCAGGTACAGCAGCGGTCTAAGCGGGAACACAGGAGTTCGCCCAGAAGCCAGCTATATACTGAAGATATTCCAGCTCCGCCAGTGCACAAAACACGTCAAGATCGCCCCTCAATACCCAGTTTTGGGACTTTGTCCCCTAGGACCACCCCGCCTCATAGTCATAGTCCCAGCGTTCTGCAGCCGATATCAAGCAATCGGCCCAGTCCCGTACTGAGAGCTACCCCGAGTCCGGCAGACAAGACAGCAAAAAGGCGGACTTCCTCACCCTTGAAGCATGAATATGAACCATCCACAAGCTCCGACACTTCCGGATATGATTCAGACAGTGGCAGCAGTTCGTCTTCAGACACGTCGGAAGACTTCTTGTCGGAGCATGGGGATGTACCGACACCTCTCGTGGCAATCAGAGCAGGTGACGGTCGAACATCAAAAAAACCTGTACCTCCGCCTTCAATGAAATCCGCCGGAACTCGAACACTGGCTCCCTCGGACTCTGCTTCCCAGGGTCCTTACCGCAAGGCCCCTTCATCGATCACAATGCCATCAGAGAAGAAGGCGAAGACTATAGCGTTGATATGCTCGTGGTCGAACAAAGGCATGTGGGAGCAGATTTATCCTGACGAGTGCTCTATTGTCATCTCGCCCGGTTTGATCGAAGCCTTTGAGATGTCAGCGGCTCATTCTGACACTCAGAATTCCTTGGCCAGTCGCTCGTTTGACAGCCATGGGCCGGGAAAGCCCTCGACCTCCCCACAGCCCCTGGTAGCTTTCGAGTTGACGCCAATAGTTCCGCTACGCAGGGGAACTGCACTGGACATTTCTATACGGTCTCCTCCTACAGCGAACTCCAAGATCAGAACAACAAACAATGTCATGTTCCGTTCGCGAAATCCGGAAGAGTGTGAAGCTCTGTATGGAATGATCAACTGGGCTCGGTGTAACAATCCTACGTATATCCAGCTGCAAATTGCACGCCCTCGCCGCCAACCTTCGGTGACTTTCAACGTCGGGCAAGCCCAACACAGTCGCTCGAGGGCGAGCTCATGGTTCAGCTTTGGGAGTCAGAAGAAATCAAGTTACCGGGCTTCATCTGCTCCGACACCCGCATCAATCGATATGTCAGTGGAGAGCTCAGGGACTGTGACAAGCGCTTTCTCCGGGGCGCTCAAGAGACTTGGCGTTAGCACCGCCTTCAATGTCAATCGATCTTCGGTGATTCGCAAAAGCGGCGGCGGCAGTACGGGGGGTTCTCTTTATTCCTCTAGCACTGGGACCGCAACAGGTTCGGGCTCAGGCACACCTCCGCCCAGTCAGCTTGGGTTCATCCCGGGAAAAGACGGACCATATGTCCCATCGACAAGTGCCGCTGCAGCAGAAGGAGGAGGCATGGTCAACAACATGAAAATCCGACTGTACGTCAGGAAGGGACAGCACTGGGAAAATCTGGGGGCTGCGCGTCTTACAGTCCTTCCAGCACCATCAACCGCAGCAGCAGAAAGTGGCAAGTCAACGCCCGATCGACTGGGGGTTCCTCCAGGCGCATCTCCCCCACCAGCAACAGTTGGCGGCCCTCCTCGATCTCCGTCCAACGTTGCAGCAGCGGGAGGGGTAGGTCAACCAGGCCCACAAAACCGTGGTGGACCCCGTCTCCCGAGCTCGAACCACACCCCCCACCGCATCCACGGCAACGGACGTGAGAAGCGCATTCTTATCACTCAGAACAAGAACCGCGACGTCGTGCTCTTGGACAGCGTGCTGGGCGAAAGCTGCTTCGAGCGCGTCATGCAGACGGGCATTGCGGTCAAGACGTGGAGCGAGGACGAAGAAATTGCCCACACGGGAGGCGTGACGCTGGGGAAAGAGAGGGTGTACATGATGCAGTTTCCTGGCACCAGGGAGGCGGGTTGGGTGTTTGGGCTGTGTGGTACGTATAGGTACGGCGTCGGCGTTGGGGCGGAAACACTACCGTAGTGATGAAAGGATGCAAAGGATTAATTACATTTTTCACGAGAAAACTGGTGGATTGATTTGTGGGTTTTGATCTTTTTCATGTCGACGTTGAGCGTTGGAGTTCTAAGGGATGAGATGGAATTCTCTTTTGTTTGTGGTGGCTATTTGATTTCAGGTTGATGAATAAAAGGTTTTTCCCGCGTGGAGAATATTCCTGGGCGCGCGAAGATAGAGATATATTAGACGGACGAGACCAGACCAGACCAGACGAGACGAGAAGTCGTGGTCGTCATCATGATGTGTCGACGCATAAGGCATTTTGGGAAACAGGGGCGGTTTTGTATGAGACTCCGTGAATGGAAAATTATTATATTGGACTCTGTGACTCTGTACTCTATACCCGTCTGTACGAGGTATAATATATATATATATAATCCCCGAACAGTCGACGCCTACGACTATTTCGCTAACTTATCCCTCGCCGCTTTACTCTCCCGCTAACGACTATTTAGTCGAATCGCTCGCTCGTCTACTCTCTTCTACTCCCTTCCTCTCTTTCGTTCTCCTCCTCCACTCCCCTCTGCTCCCTCACGGCTCTGGCCCGCTCCTGCCGTACTCCTTCGCCTACTAGGGAGGCTCCCGTTCGGGCTCTAGTCGTATAGACGCTAACGTTACGTATATCTAGCCTCGTGGTAACTTTACCCGATTATATCGATAAGGGCCCGTTTCGGCCCTGATGAAAGGTGGGATCCTTGAGTGATGCCCTACTACGTCGCTGGACGGGGTCAACAGCCGCCTACGCAACTGCTTGAGCCCACAGGAGGAACTGACAGAGTAGACACTGTCGAAACTTCTCAACCTTCGGTAAACGACAATTTCAGTAGACGACAGGTAATTTTCCTCTCCACAGCCTGTTAACATTGCTTACGTTCTCTAGAACACAACGCCAGCCATTGATCCCGCAGGGAGGGGGGGGGGGACCAAAGAACATTCGGGATTACGAAGGTGACGACATTCCCGGCGTTACTGAGGTGCCGGTTCTAGGATTCGAGACGGTGGGCGTGTTAGTTCAAAGGTCGCATTGATACTGGCAGTAATTAAACCGGTGACCGCAGCGAAACCAAGCCTACTCTGCTAGGGCGGGAAATAGCAAAAAAAGTAATACACGCAGCCGCTGAGGCTAATCACACTGTGCCACCCCTGTCACGGCGGCACCTCCCAGCCAACTCCCGAAGACTTCAAATCCTTTGTAGTACAAACCACTGTTGTCGTCATAACTCGTTAGATACCAGACATATCTCATTGCAAGAGCCTCCAACATGATCAAGCTGCTGTCGTGAATCTGGGTGGTTCAGGCGCCAGCATATGTATACCCCCCGTCCGTGTCAACTCCACGGCCTCCTCCCAACAAGCATCCAAGTCCTCCACGTTGGTCTGGGCGTCAACCGACCCAGACCCCTCCTTTGGTTTATCACCAGGGCGAAAGACGAAGGCCTCGGACGCAGGGAGATTACCAAAAAGTCGTTGGCGGGAGGATTCTGAGCGGAAGGATTTCGAGCGGAAGGATTTTGAGCGGGAGGGGTCTGGCAACTCGCCTTCCGAAAGCGTGACCGACGCGTCGACCGTTGCCACAATGTCGGCATCCTGTTCTGCCCGTTCGATGAGGATGGCTGTCTGTACATAACACGGGATACCGGTTTTATTGAACTCATCCTCGGTCAACGTCCACCTCGCCGTGTCTTTGTGGCCCTCATCAGAGTGGAAGTTGCGCGCACGCGCTGCACCCGATATTGTTGCCTTGCCTGCCGAGACTTTGCCGCTTTCCTGGACCCACTCGGTCGTTGCGCTGAGGGGACCGACAGCGGCGCCTACGTTGATAGAGCCGGCCAGCGTTTTCGTCGTGGATTTGTTCGAGAGACCGACGTATCCTTCTGGGGCAAGAGCAATAATGGCAGGTGGCGTTGGAGATGAGTGTTTCCGATCGCCACTAAGAGATGAGCCATTTTTAATTGTCGATACATCAAGATTCTCCGACGTAGTACCAGACTTGGCGTGGAAAGTCACATTGATAGCAGCGGCCGAGATGCGCTTTGAACGCTGTGGTTGTTCGAACCAGAAGTCTATCATAACAATAGATCCAGCATGTTTGTTCCTCCGTAAGCCGTGCCACACCTTGACCATCTTCACCTGAAGCTCGCTTGGGTCAATACGCCCTCTCGAGTCAACCCTCTGGAGGCCCCAGGTCCTGAGGGACTTGTTCCTGGAGGTAGAGAGAGACACGGAAGGGCTTTTGGGGCTTTTTGGTTCTGAGAAGTCCGAGTCTCGATCCGTGAAGAGCTGCACAGTCCGGGTGTTCGAGTCGACAGTTGCCATGGTCGGGTGCAGTCTGGTTCACAGCGGTTCACAAGTTGTTTTTTGCTGTCGTCGGGTCAGATGGGAGGATGAGAGAATTATCCAAGGCAAGAGAAGTTCACGAAGCCATGCCGTAATAGTCCGCCAAACCAGGCAGGTCTACCGACCGAGTGAGTCACGTGTACAGACTTGCACGTGAAGCACAAGCGCCACTCCTTTACGTACATGGCCTTGATCGCCCTCTCCTGGCTAAGCTTGGCCTAATATCTAGTATCCCACCTAATAAAAGCCACCGACATGCCGCTTACGAGTCTCTCTGTGGCATCTATCAGCTCTGAGCTGGAAGCTGGCCCTCACCGCCCCCCCCTCCTTTTGATCAGCCAAAGTCTGAAGGCGTGCACTAAACTACATATAATTAGGTGGTCTCTAGTTGGAGAGGCCTCTAGGTGACTTCGTCCTGCAAGCCTGCTAGCACTTGTCACATTTCACACCCAGCAACCCACCACTGTTCTTTAGCTGCATTGCCAACGCACAAAGGGAAGGCAGCGTGAGGCGAGGCTGCAGGTTGCAGGAAGAAGCCGCCGGCTGCCAGATATGCCACCTGCTGCCACTAGGAGCTGAGCAAACCAACCCCCTCTCCAATTGAGAGCGGGAATGGCCCCGTCGAGTCCTCCAGCCGCATCAGGCTGCCTCCAGTTTGGAGAAATGAAAGCGCAGTGTTCTTGTCATTATTGCACTGTTGTTGTGACAACTTCGCAGCCCTATGTTGCAGTTGTGGAGTTGAAGCTCATTTGAAGCCACGCTCTCCCCCGAGCCATGGCGGAAAACAACTTTCCAGAGCCGGTGGCCGACTGGATGCAGATTGAGGACAGCTGGGGAGCAGGGAGGTTGCGTGAATGCCCGACGAACAGCACCAGCCGACTAATCGAGCGCAGGAGACTCGCCACCCTCTTCCTTCATTCACTCGCCGCTGGTCATCGGCCGCAAAGGCACTCTGGCTCTCCTCAGCTACCATCACAATCTTCTCCAAGTCACGTCCTATGATGTGCAGCCGAGCCAGCCCGCACTCATTGCTCGGACTTACCTGGCCCCATCACTGCAAAGCCCCGACCATCTAGCCGGGCAATTCCTGCTCCTCTCTCAGTCCCGAGAGCAGCCCCGCGACGGCTGGGGTTTAAGGGTCGACCCGCCCGCCGGCTGCCGCATTAGCAGGCTCGAGCGCGGCTTCATCGATAGCAAGCAACCGACAAGGCTGAAAAAATATGCCAGAAGCGTGCGGCGTGATGGCGCTATACCAAACCAAGATGACGAGACGGTCGATGTCTACATCGAGAAATCTACCTCGTACGTGAGGTCCGCGTCGCGTGTGGGGCCAGGATCACTCGTACAAGCTATGGTGGTGGCGTGTAAAGAGCCGGGGCTGGGAGTGACATGGCACTTGGGCGGGCAAATCCAGTTGGTACCGGGCCAATCTTCCAGGAACTCCGCCGTCGACGAAAAAAGTCAGCTTGAACGATTGTTCAGGTATACCGTGGATCTTTCGCATAATGGGCGAGTGCTCACCGTCAAGTGCCGGACCACTGCCAGGCCAAGGTCTGGAGCCGCAGATCACGCGACGGAACTCTGCCTCGATATGATACTTTTCATCAATGGGGAAGCGACGCAGCTCAGCGCCCAGCCGGGTCAACCCGCGGTGCCGATTGCTGATTTCGTAGATATCAGCCAGAGGGGACAACTCGTCTTCCCGGACACTCAGCCGTCTTTCAGCCTCGTCGCCGTCATTTCGGTCCGAAACCCGTTGCGACACGAGAACCCAATCCTACCAGAGTATCCTGCGCTGACGGAGCTAAGGCGCAAGTTGATGGTCGAAGACGGGTTTGTGCCGGCCGCGAAGCCTCTGGCCGAGCTGCTTTCTGGGCCAAGCTTGGAGCTACGAGAAAAGCTACGAGAAATACCAAACATCATCGCTGCCGCCTTGCATCGGGTCCTGGGCTCGCTGGTGACATATCAACCACCCGGTGCCACCCCACGGAAGTACCCCGTCCGAAACCCACTACATGGGTATCCTCTTGAGAATGACGCTGACCCTGAGGAATGTCTGTAAGTCTTACCTTCCAGTTGGATGCTTAAATGGTGTCCTATTTTCAGATGGCGTCCACTGGGGAATGACTAACATTCGAGGTGGACAGTTGGCTTCTTCGAATTCTAACTTTCATTGCTGATAATTTTAACGATCATATCGGCACTCGGTTGAAGGCCCGGATCAGACGAGCCATTCGCGGCCTTCTGGATGTTCTATTAGAGGGTATTCCTCTTGACAGGAACGAACCCGCGTACATGGCTTTGGGCTTATGCCTGTCATGGAAGTACCTTCGCCCTACCTATATCGATAATTTACCTGAGAACATTACAAACGCCATTGTAACAGACGCGGAGAGGCCAGGAGGCGTAATACTGGATCCGACTACAAGATTGCTGCAATGGGCACATAGGATGGCAATTTCAAGATTGCGTGATCTGGATGATCCTGCAGATGACTCAGAGTCTGATGATGGAGACTCAGAGTCGGGAACCGAGTCCGGAGCCGAGTCTGGAAATGAGGCAGAGCCTGTTGGAGACGAGGAGCCAGCGGCAATAGACCAACCTCTGGCAGATCCCGATGAAGAAGAGCAGCCAGCAGCACCAGACACACTTCTAGCAGAGCCAGAAGCAGCAAATCTAGAAGACACAGACCGATCGATTCAGGATTACCACGACCTTGCGCTGGATCGCTCCGGGTCCAGACTCAGTCTCGGCTTAGATGTGGACTCCGACGAAGAGTGTTCTGAACAACCGGAGGATCTCAGCCAGGCCATCTCGAGGGAGGAAAAAGGGAGCCAAATCGCCCTGCTTGTCCTAGATCTGCTTTCAAATACCTCGGCGCAATATAGACGCCGCCTATTGGACGAGGTTCAAAAGAGACAGGCCGTCCGTGAGACAGATCGAATTGGCAGAATCCCTCCTTGGGGTCTCCGCTTCCGAGATCATGGCATCCGTCTTGAACTGGCTACTATACGGCGAAAGCTGGATGCAGGGCAGTCAACGCCGACGCCGACACAAATTTCGGATGAGATTCTTCAGGACGCGACCGATAAGTTGTCGTATTTTGGCCGCTCCAACTTTTCAGTTCTGAGCTGCGTGTCAGAAATGAATGAGCCAGAGTGGGCGAGCAGTCTGTGGAGCCTTGATTCTCTCGATGCTTGCTGCTCACTCTTAGGCATCATTGAGCCACCTAGATGCGAGCGTTTGCGGGAACGACAAGCTGAGCAACAAGGCACCGCGGGAGAGGCTCCCAACTCTACGGCAAATCGGACCCGTTTCCCTTGGCAAAGGCATCTCATCCACGCAAGACAGTATTATCCTTCATTTATTCGACAGTCTCTGGACGACCGCCAGTTGCAAGCGGATCGAGAAAGGTTCAATAGCTTCTACGCTGGAGTCCACCGCGAAGATGGAGACAACAAACTCGTCAAAATGATCGGTCGTGAAGGGCGGGCACTGTTTGCTCACATGAGCCGTGCTCAGAGGTGGCTGCCAGAGCACCTGAGGTTTGGGAATGGAGATATGCGTGTCCTGGACTTTTCGTTCCCGCACATGCGTCACTATAGTGATATGGACCTCCGCAGACTTCTCTACGAGCATGTAAGTGTGGCCGTGGCCGTGGCCGTGCCCCATACCCCAAACCTCGCGCGGAAGATTGGCTCTGTGCTAACAAGGACGGGCCTTGCAGCGAGTGAGAACAATGGCTACTCAGAGGTTAATGTGGGTGTATACTCCGCTCCCTTGCGCGTCTTCTCAAGCGGGGACTGATCTGACATTTTGGTGCTCAGCGTGTTAGACTGCTTGACCAGAGACATGATGATCACATACCTATTCTTTGCCCACCGAGAGGCTTGGGAGACACTTACTGATTATCTAGGAGGGAAACTCAGCCTTCGCTTACCAATAGATGGAATCGAGCCCTTTGAATCTGCACGAGGGAGAGATTGGCAGCTGGGCGTCACAATCCCGCATTTCTTACATGAACAAGTCCGCTCAACAGACGGCTCGGCCGATCAAATCGGACAGAGCCATAATGTGCACAGCTCTCCACCAGGTTCCGCCGGCGTGATACTCGAAGTCTGCGCTTCCGCATGTATATCTGGCGACAAACTCGGACTGTTTTGGACTTCATCGCTACTCGGTACGGGGATGGTCATGGCTCAACCGCTCACCCAACCCCTCGATAGACGAAGATATGTCAAACTCGGGGTTGCCATAGAAGACATCATGATATCGTTCAAGTACGACAAATACGGAGCTAGGAGCCTGGTATTCGTGATACTCTTGACTTCGATTTGTCACGTCGTTTCCGAGAGGCTGGAGAAAGTCATGAAGAAAGTGAAAGAGGCTCTGAAGCTGGAGGTTTGTTGGGTCCCAAATTCTTCTCTACCGTCCAAGTCTGATCCTGACATTTGCGACTTATATAGAACAGTATGACACTCTATCAACAGATAGTGGACCATGAATTCATAAATTCTTGGCGGAAAAAAGGGACGGCCTCGGATCTGACAGCGGCATTGCAGAGAACGCTATGGGGGGTCAATTGGCTTGAAAAGCTAGACAAGTGTGTCACCTCCGCCTTGCCGATTGTCGACGAGGCCACCACGCACACCGAGACGAGACTGTACGAGGCAAGTATCGCACGGAGGAAGCCTGGAAGAACCTCCCATTCTTTGCATCGAGGAAAAATTCGGTTTACGAGGACCCAACAAGCTAATCATATTTACAGAGAGGAGGCTTTTGGGACGACAGTCTACACGAGTACAAGCAAAGAGTCATTGGAGACCAGAGAAATGCGCGCCGCCGGCTGGTGGTGTTCCAGAGCCGCGTGCGAGAGTTGAACGACACGGCTGCTAACGTGAAAGACACGGTAGGAAAGCCCCGGGCTGCTCGCGAAGAAGCGGCGAACGAGTTAAAGAGTCGAAGGAAAGCTGAATGTCTCATAGCTCATCTCGCTGACCGATATGTCCATGACTCGGGCCACACTCAACACGACCATTGACACCAGGCAGATGAGGGTGTTGGCCTATTTGACCGCCGTCTTCCTCCCATTCACCTTCGTGGCGGTACGTTGGAACTGCCACTCCGCGGCCCTGCATATATCCATTGCTAATGCTGGACATAGGTGTTTCTCACGATACCCATGTTTAAATGGCCAGACCCGCCCGACGGACAGCATTATATCAAGACACCTCTTATCCTCTACTTCAGCATCAGCACTGGGCTGGTCGTGTTGACAGCCTTGTTCATGAAGTACTACTCGGATGAACAAGTTGCTGCCCTTTGGCGTATCGTGGTGGATTTCCTTGCCAAGTTGTGACTCAATTGGAGGACATGATAGATTTCGAGGGTCTCTACCTACAGTGCACTGTAGGCGCTCTGTGGCGGTATGCGGTGGAGGGATAAACGGTATACGTGGTAAGTACAGGACAGTGTGTAAGGTTCGTGTCAGAGTCAGTAGATGAAGTGCAGTTTGTCAGACTTGAAGGTTAAAAGCATTGCCCCTCTGCTCTAGATAGTCTCGCACGTCCGGGATCGATAAGCGGGCTTATAGCCTAAGGAGTCCTATTCCCTAGGAGGATAGGGATGCCCAGGCTAAAAGGCAAGCCCCCCCCCCC